TAAGAGAGTACCCCAGAACATCCTACCCGCAACATAAGAGAGTACCCCAGAACATCCTACCCGCAACATAAGAGAGTACCCCAGAACATCCTACCCGCAACATAAGAGAGTACCCCAGAACATCCTACCCGCAACATAAGAGAGTACCCCAGAACATCCTACCCGCAACATAAGAGAGTACCCCAGAACATCCTACCCGCAACATAAGAGAGTACCCCAGAACATCCTACCCGCAACATAAGAGAGTACCCCAGAACATCCTACCCGCAACATAAGAGAGTACCCCAGAACATCCTACCCGCAACATAAGAGAGTACCCCAGAACATCCTACCCGCAACATAAGAGAGTACCCCAGAACATCCTACCCGCAACATAAGAGAGTACCCCAGAACATCCTACCCGCAACATAAGAGAGTACCCCAGAACATCCTACCCGCAACATAAGAGAGTACCCCAGAACATCCTACCCGCAACATAAGAGAGTACCCCAGAACATCCTACCCGCAACATAAGAGAGTACCCCAGAACATCCTACCCGCAACATAAGAGAGTACCCCAGAACATCCTACCCGCAACATAAGAGAGTACCCCTGTATGGGGGTGTTCCCACATCCTGTATGGGGGTGTCCACTGATGTTTCCTATGCTTCTAGCCTGCGGCTACAGTATCGAATTGCCGATGCTTCTCGCCTGCGGCTCTAGAATCTAATTCTTGATACCTCGCGCCATCGGCTCCAGAATGAAATGTCTATGCTTTGAGCCTTCGGCTCTAGAATCCGTTTTCTGATGCTTTGAGCCTTCCGCCCACAATCTGTTTTCCTACGCTTCTCGCCTGCGGCTCTACAATCTACTCTCTATGCCTCTCGCCTTCGGCCCAACAATATATTTGCCTTCGCCCAAAATATCCAACAACATCCGTTCCGTATCTAATCTTTGGGGCTCTCTGATCTGGGTACTCCTATCTGCGTGTGTTTGCTAACCACCTTCGCCGCTCTGATATTTCGGTCTCTTACTTGCCTGCATATTCTCGTTACTACTCTGTTCTTACCACTGTGTCCTTGAAACGCTCATGCTGTTGCTCTCATGTTTCTACTCCCTTGTTTCTACTCTCATCCTACCTCTCCTTGTGAAATTGTATCTTTCGATCAATTGCTGCTCAAATCTATATTTGCCTTCCATGAAATACTCCAAGAACATCCGTTCCGCGTGTTTTTATTACTGTCCTGCTATGTCTCGTCTCACATCGCCCGCCTCTGCTATCTGTGCTCGGTTCTCCATTCTAATGTGTCTCTATTCTCTCCTTGTTACTCTTATGTTTCGCCTCTGTCAATCCATCTCTGTATACCAATATTTGCTTTACATTTACTGCCGCATAATATTCCATCTGCTGCTTGTCTTATTTTCCCCTACTCTACTTCGCTGTCCCCCAATATTATAGTCACCTTCGACAATAACTACATCATCCTATCAGCATTTCACCTGTTGTGTACTCACAACTTGACACTACTCTGCTCTCTTATTCTCTACTTATCTACATCTCCTACTCTGGTGTTTATACTCTAATATCTGTAAGCTGACTCTGCCACCCCTTGTCAAAATCTCTCGTTCCAATTGCCTGCTACGTAACAACTGTATCACCCTCTGCTAAATACCCGCTCTACTCATATCTTACAATATCTCCTTCCAATTATCTACCCCAACAATTTAATCTCATTGCTCTATACAATATATCCACTCGTTGTCTTAACTATACTATCGTGTATCCTGCGGCGCACGAACTTATTATATTCTAGAAGCAGTCCTACTTCCGGTCTCAGCTTCGCAAATCATTGTACACTACTAACATAACAGTGTCTACTACCACTTGTCTGCAACCCCAAATGCTAATGTGTCCATTAACAACATCCACTTCCGGTGCTCGGTTCTCCGAAATATGCTAACAGCTAGTATAAAAAATGAGTCGACTATCACTCATTTACTTTGCTGAAATAACCTAGATTAGTATTGTTGACATATTGCATCTATGCACTCATCACCATGAGCATTAGAAACTAGTGTTCTCTCTCCATCTTCCTGTCATTGACTCCCGTCTCCATGACTGACCTTCGTGTCCTGCATATAATAGTAACCGCGCTACCAACATTCTCCTGCACACAATATCTCCTATGTTTATTCTCACTTTCCTACAAATTATATCTAATATATATATTATCATACCTACATTGCTATAAAATTTACTAATCTTGCTACAAAATATATACTAGTATTTTCTCTTCCCATTTCTAGCACAAATACCAATATACTATATGTTACTAAGTGTTACTACGCCCACTGTCCAACCTACAAAATACTACCCGCTATCTTGTACATCCGTCTTACACATTCATGTTGTATGGGTTGCTAGATTCTGCTCTCTCTTCGAGCAACTCCCATGTCTACTCATTGCTGTTGCTCCCTTGATCAGCTTGTATTACCTTTGATCGAATGCCATCTCCCACTGCTTACGTCGTTGATCGCACCACCGCCACTTACCTACTCCACACTCCCTTCTGCCCTTGTAATTCTCCAGAAATTCTTCTATCCATCGCTTACTCTCCAACTCTTGGCTAGTTCTTACAGTTATGGCATATCTGCCTGACCAAATATAACAAACTATCCATTCATATATATATTTACTTAACTACTGTTGTATCTTCACGGTATTAGTCCCATACTCGATCTCGGCCCAAAATGTCATTTAGTATACAAATATGATGTCCGTTCTTGCTTATTGCATCAAGCCAGTGGGGGAAGTAATTAATCGTCAAACCAAGTTGCCTTGATCTTCGAAGATCCCTGAAAGCTGGAATGCAAAAGATTATATAGAACAACTCTATGGCTTGGGAATACCGGCACTCGCCACTATGTTTTGAATTTCCGCATTGCCGACAATAATTATTATGAAACTGCGACATTTGAATCAATTTCCTTGTATCTGCATGCATGTACTCTTCACCGTATCTCTGAGCCTTCTCGTATATTCCTGCATCTTCCGTTGGAATGGGGTCTTCTAACAAATATTCATTCAAAAAGAACGGATGACGCAAGAACTTTCGTAAGTGGTCAAGTTGGTTACCATAATCGTCAACCAGAAACAAAGACGGAACCCGCAAACAGTTCGTAAATTGTTCCACTTTATCCAAGTATGTGTCGTAAAGATGCTTTAAATTATGATTCTGTGCCCACTGATATATCTCATCACCCCAACCATTCACTTTCATGTCCTTGATATCATCATAAGTTATGTCGTCGAGTATCCATTTCAACACTAGTAATGCCTTGAACCCACCTCTCTTGCACTCTTTAACATGCTTTCTGCAACACTTTGTGCAGATGTATTCTGACTCTGGTAGTGCATCCATATGGGTCAATGGGTACTTCAAATACTTGGCTCCATTGTCAATTAGCTCCTCCAACCATTCCTCCGGTTCAAATTGCAATGCAAAGTGGTCAAGTCTTTCTTCTGCAGTCCATGATCGAAACTTCTTCGGTGCTGGCGCTTGCTCAGTTCCAAATTGAAGTTCCTTAAATTGGGTTTCTGTAGCACAATGGACGTTGTTCACCAAGTCAACTATATGTGGCTCAAGAATGCTATCATTGGAATCACAACAATTTTGACACTTGCTCACCTTGATACCATAGAAGTGGGCAACTTGTTTGGTTAAACACTTGCTGACTCTGATTCTTTCTTCACATGGGTCATAGTCACTTGAGTTATCCATACATTCATAATCCTTACTCGTTTCAGAATCTTCCGCGGGTTCCCTCCTCACCTGCGAATCGTGATACAAAATATTTAATATACACGATCCTCGTCCTCTACCTGCTACCTGAAGAAAGTCAATCACTGGTACCAAGCAATTTATAAAAAGTATATGGTTGACTTGTGGTAAATCTATCCCACAACTAACCAGCTTGGTCCCCAAGAGCACCCGTGCACCTCTAGTCAATCGAAGCAAGCTAGCCTGTTTATTTTCAGTGTCCGCATTGATCATCACCATCAACTTGTCTCCAAATTCACTACACAATCTTCTATAGTAGTTCTCTTGGATAATCTTGTTTTCAAAGTATAGCAATGCTATATCATTTACATCTCGTTGGAGAAAGTTCTTCATCAGAACTACAACATAATCCATAATTCTGTCTCTCTCTTTGAATGATGTACTGGTATTGAATATCTTGGCCAATGGATCGCTTGTGATTAGATTGATATATCTTCCACAGTCATAGCCCCACTTCTTCTTTAAAAACGTTATAAAATTCTTGGGAATTGTAGCAGATATCATAACTGTCCTGTGAAACAAATCAGTCACTTGTAACTTCAACTTTTTAAATTCTCTATACGAGAAATCACACACAAGACTTTGCGATTCATCAATTAAATAAGAGCATAGACTGTGTAATATTGGATTTGTTGTCGGTGCGAAATTGTTCCAGTTGCGGTACACCGGTAAGCAATATGTCCCTTCTCTGCTTTTCTACATTTTTTTGGGCACTGGGTTATTCTATAAAAATACGCGAGAATCACTGCTACCACCCGAAAAAAGATTTTGGAATTTTTACTAGTTAGAAATGCAACCTCTAAAATGTGTTATCGCTAAACTGTAAAGCCAGGTCAGTTTTGTATAAGGGTTAACAACTAGTACATTCGCACCAAAATCCAGGGTTGACAAATAGCTCGTTTAGTTAGGCAAGTTGACAATTAGATTGCGAGTCCCACTCCTTACTTTTTTTTTTGCTTCAAGAACCTTCAAGATTTTGCGCTCTACTATGCAATGATATTATAGCTTCTACTAGAATAATTTAAATCATATATATATGTTGAAAGAAAAGCATATACCTAATTAGATAATATAGACTATGAAACAAATTAAAATTAAAAACAGTCTGTTAACCATAATACCCAGAGCAACCCCAGTACTTGGATCTAACGTGGATTCTGTACCAATAACCAGTGGTGAGAAGAATGTAGAAGTTTCATTTCTGAGAGATTGTCCTCTGCCAGAATTTGAATATGTGTTTTGGTCCACTTCTGCAGTTTTATCTGCTTGAACGTTTTGTTCTTGTGATTCTTCTAAATCTGCGAGTTGGTCAATGCCATTTAGAATACGAGTTCCTTGGGTAATACTATTTAGTTCATCACTTGTTCCCACGACGTTGTCATTATAGTTTTCAGCATCATTTACTGAATCTGTTTTATATTCGGGTTCATTACCTGAACTGGTCTCTCTATCAACATCATTTAAATCTTCTGATTTCATATCACCAACACTGGTTTCTTTAGATTCTGTATTCTTAGTGAGCATTTCCGAAACCGCATCAGTAGTATCCACAATATCAGTAATAGTATGGATAACAATTCCCGATGAAACTTTGCCGTTTCGAGTTGTGAACATAGTGGTCGACTCTTCAAGAGGGTCTCTAACTGTACTTGTTAATGTACTAATGAAAGTTACATCGGTTTTAGTCTCAGACGATGTTCTGGGTTTGTAATCAACACTAGATAAAATATCAGGCAGAATTTGCGTTTCCCCAGTGTCATCAGATGAAACTGACAGTAGTTGTGTATAAAATTCTCCATCATAACTGGACTTATTGTTTGTTGATTCGATTGAATAATCATGTTCAGTAGATGCAGCAACTTCGGTTGGAGACAGAAGATCTGTATTTTTGGCTATAGCAGATTCTATTGTTAGTTCAGTGAAATAAGTTGATACAGTATATGCATGAGATAATTCCAAAGGGTTTGTGCTAAATTGGATCAGGTCTTGATCAGTAGTTTCATCAGGATTCTGGGTGGATTGTATATCACTAGATTCAGTGGACTCCTCACCTGTTCCAATTTGGATAAAAGACTGGATAGTGTTTTTAGCCAGAATATAGCTCGAAGGTTCAACAGGTTTGATAGATGATACTAGGATATCTTTGGTGGTTTTGTCATAGTCTTGGATTGATGAACTAGATGATTCAACATCGACTTTGGTACTGAACTCGGTAAGTGTTTCGTTAGGCTTGCTTAAATCGTTAGAAGTTGCCACAAATGGTTCATTAGAATACATTTTAGATTCTGTTGTATCTGTAGAATCATGTTCACATGGGATCAATATTTCTAAGGTATGTGTTGCAGCAATGGTATCAAGGATTAAATTTGTAGTGTTATAATTTTCGTTCCAGCATTGGGTTACTGTAGTGGTGGTATCAGTTGGAGATTGTACAATAACAGTGGCCGTTTCCCCAATTATAGCAGTAACTGTTGATGAGTAGGTTGAAATACCTGTATAGGTTGTAGTTGTGGAAACAGTTGGAATAGGAATTTGTATAATAATACTCTGCTTGTGAGCAACAACAGCAACTGTAGTTATTTCAGTTGTCAGTTTAGTCCAGGTTTTGGTTGTGATGAATGTTTCATCGTCCTCACATTCCATTGTTTCAGTTAAAATATCAGACCAGGTTTCAGATGATGCGTATTCTTCTTCACAATCAGTTTCATAGCCATCATCATCTGTTGTAACTTGTGTAGATTGTGTTTCTTTGTCAATTGTCGATGATAATTCTTGGTCGTCACAATTGGTGTCAGTGCTCACAACTTCTGCCGTTGAAATTGACAGATCAAACCAGGTTTCGGATGAAGTGTGTTCTTCTTCACAATCAGTTTCATAGCCATCATCATCTGTTGCTTCTGTTGACAGCTCACTAAAGGACTCTACTTTTGAAACAGTTTCCTCGGTTGAGTTGATGTCTTCAGTAGAAATAATATTATATGTTGTTTCAGTTGTAGGAGATGTTTCTTCTTCGGAATCAGTTGTTGCATAGAAAATTTCACTGGAGATTTCAACTTTAGATGTTGTTTCCTGTTCTTCACAATCAGTCTCAAAACTATAATTGTTGTTGGTTTCAGTTTCCAAGAGAATATTTTCTCCAGTTGAGGATGGTTCATTGTCTTCACAATCAGTGGTGGAATAATCATCATTAGGGGTTTGAATTGAAATAATATCCCCTGTTTCTATTATGTATGATGTTACTTCTTCACAATCAGTTTCGATATTATCAACCTCAGTTATACTTGGCAAAACTGATATAATTTCTGTATTTGAGGATTTTTCTTCCTCTTCACAATCAGTTTCAAATTCTTCATCTCCTGTTGTTTCAGTTAATATATCTGCCCACGTTTCAGAGGATGTATCCTCTTCTTCACAATCGGTTTCGAAATAATCATTATCTTCAGATGACAATTCAGTTCCAATTGCTGGGAATCCATCCTCTCCTTCTGAATTAGGATCAGAATTATCGTAAGCAGTCCATTCATAGTTTGCATCATGGTTAGTTTGGTTGTCATCACCAATACATTTATACCTATTAAAATAAACCATTTTTATTGAATGACCATCAGTGGGAATTAAAAAGGCATCAAGATATGGTTTATATCCGGCAGGGATATTCTTGTAATTCACTTCAAGCTTATTATCAACACATGAAATTGTCCTTGTGATACTATCCGCTGTACCAGCCATCATCCAGCTGTTAAACTGATTGGTCATATTTGCGTGAAAACTACTACAATCAATTTTGGCATTGCTGTTTGTTATTTGTAATCCTAATGTTCCTGATAAGTATCCCTTGGAACAGTCCCCAGCAACCAAATAAGTTTGAAACTTTTTCACCGAGGGAACGGTACGGGCAAAGAAAGTGCCATCTGGATTATATGAAGAACCTGCATCAAATTCAACCGTATATGTAAATTTTTTTCCTTCAGAAAAAGCAATGACATTGGAACCAGATGTAAATGTTTTAGCACATTTTAAGTCTGCATCCAACGCAGAACCACCGACATTAAAAGTGAATGGGAAGCGAATAGTACCTTTTGCATTAGTACTAGCGCTCACAGTTGACAGAATAACACAATCCAATTCTGAATATGTCAGAAATACTTCTGCTGGCTTGAAATGGCATTGGCCATATTCAATGGAACCAGCTTTTAAAGGAACATAAGTTTGATCTGTAATGAACTTGAATACACATGGCATCTTTAAGTAGAAATGATCCAGAGGATGTACTTCAGTACCTTTGATCGCCCATGACAAAGTCGCATCCCAATGTGGTTGGTATGGTTTTGCCTGATCATTGATGGCATGCTTAACATAGACCACTTCATCAAGACTGGTGAAAAGTTCAAAACTGGTTGCAAGAGAACCCAAAAGGATAAATACTAATAATAAAATCATTGAGCTTCTTTCAAGTCTGAGTAAAATATCTTATTCCAATGCAAATACTAAACTAAAGATATTGTCTTATATATAAACTACACTGTAATCAAAACTTTTTCGTCTACTATTAGTGAGCTTCTTAGAAATATATTAACATTGATATAAAATACAAATTACACGAAATCACCGGCGCAAAGACGCATAAAAAATAAATTGTTGCAAGAGGTTTAAAATCCGTAGTTGTACGTTATTAATGGTTCCTTGCATCCCGTCCATTGTTTACGGGAGTTTGTAACAAAACGTTTTTGAATGCTTTTCAGTAATTTCCTTGCATGATGTTAATTACGAATTAGAAGAGTAATGAATTTAAAACTACAGTTGATTAATTGCAGCTTAACGTCTATTTTTTTTCTATTCTTAGACATTATCATATGAGCAGTTTTTTTCTTATAGTCCAAATTCTTGCTCAGTCACTATTACCTTCTTTTATTTTGATGTGGTGCAGTTTCGTATCACAAACCGGGAAATTTATCTCGCATATGCCAAGTAAAAATCTGAAATGACGTGGCTTAAAATTTGTATCTCTTACTGTTACAAGTGGCTGTTGGGTGATTTCTTTTCGTCTAATCGACACCAGGACAATAAAGACGATCAGATCTGTAATTCACTGTTTCACTTTCTTACTATTACCTTTACATTCAAAGCTATCACTTGAAGTAACCATTTCTTCTTCAAAGTATCCTATGTAACAATTAAAATCTCATTCGAATATCAGGAAAGATAAAATTAGGTGTCTCCATTATACGTCTTTATAATCTCGAAGCCACTTATAACCAAACAAAAAAATACTTTATTTTTTTAATTACCCACGGAGATAGCCTCGTAAAACAGAGGGAAATCATCCAGAAGTGTGATAATTATTTCACACCCTTTTAAATTTCAATATTAGATCCCTGAAAAAGTTTCTTGAATTGGCAAAATATGATCCATGTTATTTTCTAATCAAACGTATATATGTAAGAATTACTTTCCGAGCAACTGCAAAATGTCTGTAACAATTCTTCCTTGGCAATACTAAATAAGTCTTCTACTTCATATTTGATTACACTTTACGTTTGATCCATTACTTATTCTCTGCGGGATCTTGACGGTACCTACTTTTTTTTAAAACGACACGGTTTATTTTTTATGCTGGTTAAGATCTGCGACAATGTAGCCACATTTTTGAGTAATATGGATTAGTATAAACCGTATAATCACGTGATATGCAAGAAAGTTTCATTTTTTTGGTTTTCAGCCCACATATTTAAACCCGTTTACAAAAATAACTTCCTGTAAATGGTATTTCTCTGGGCCATGTGCTTTGAATGGTTTATAATGCAAGGAAATAACTAATAGTCTATTTATCTAATCAATTACACGAGTAGGTGTAGTGTGAAATTATAAATTCTTTGTTAAAAAGCAATAAATAAACCGACGTTTTCCCAGCTAATCTGTAGTTAATAATCAAATTTTATATTCATTACAAAAATGACTACAATTTTTGTGTTTTCGTCTATTTTTAATTAACTCACTTGTATGTTATTCTAGTGGCAAAAAAATTTACCTCCAACATGCGAAAAATTCAAACATTCAAGGTTGGTACACTCTTGTAAAAATCACACCATGTAATTTATTTTGTATGAATTTTTTTTCTATAAAACTTAAGTGGTTACTACAAAATGAGACTAACTCAAAATATAATTGAGCTACACACGAATAGTAACCATTATGGTGGAAGTGTATCAGATATAAATAGAACCAAGTGCAAAATACTATTGTATTGTGTTCCTTCTCCATAAATTGATAATTTGTGGCGGGTGTAAATTCTTTGGTGGTTTAAAATTCAGTAATGAACTAATTAACGAGTGTAAAAGATGTTTCTTTTTGGCATCTTTTTCTGTCATATTATTTTTCTTGGGTTGAATTGGGAAGAAGATACGATAAGCTTATTTGTTTATCCTGGACAATTTCTTGATGCATACTACCATTGACATTGTTAATATTTTTTGCAAACAAATCTTCAGAAAGATACAGGATCAACCCTTGAGGCTATTGTTAATTTACTGGTACAGTATTTGCGTTTGCAGACGTCTATCCTACTTCAATTGTATTTATGATAATTATGTGCTTGTTCTGTAAAGTATGGCAAAACAATTCACAAAGATTATGAATTTTAATTACCATCATGTGGAATTTACTTAATCATACAATAGAATCAAGTATATATCTTAAACTAGGACATTTTATATATTCAACCTTTGAATTGATGACTTATCCTTGAAGTTGACCCATTCTTTTGGTAATATATTGCAGTAGATATTTGATTATCTATAAAATTTCTAGCGATTTCCATTTCTGGTAATCGGTAAAAATATGCACATTTTAGAGGTACTCAAGGTGATTACTTGGAAATTATTCCTGTTTTAAAAATTCAACCAAGACACTGCAAGACCATAAATATTATTTGACAGATTCGTCTCGTGCTATCTCGTTTTATCATGTAACTTACATAATTATCAATAGTGCAACACAACTTTCAATTCTGTCATATATTTAAATCCGCAACATATTCTATCACGTGTTCCCCATCACGAGACATTCTCAACTAAAATTGACACAGGAACAATCTGAAAAATGCGCAGCAGCAAAAAGAAATAAAAACAGGGGGTGTAAAAAATAAGATGGAATCAATTCGGGGAGGGCGAAAACAGGGGGTGTGACTGACAACACCGGGTGCACAAAAAAAAATTACGTTGTCTTTTTTTTCAATCTCTGGCACAAAGGAAAAGGAAAATTTCATAAACTTTGTGCAGTAACCAATCAAATCTAACATCGTTACCTTGCATTAAAATTGACAAGAGTGGTTTGAATGGTGATTACGTGTACATTACACCTATTCAAACAGCTATACTTCACCTGTTAGTCCAGTGTTACTACATAGATGAAAGAATTCGCGTATATTTTTAGTTCGATTGGCCACATCGGAAATGTCCCACATTTTCTTAATTGGGATAATCGACCAACCTTTTTTTTTTTTGGTTATGCCGGTTGTTTGGCAGTTTGTTTTTAAAAGCGAGCAAAAAAACTTTTTTTTTTTTACTTCCAACATTCAATCTAGGTCTCTCCCACTTTATTCCTACCAAGTCAATCATTTAACCTGCCATCCTTGACCGTATTCCCTTTTGTGCTTGTATTTTCTACCGGAACAATTTTTACCTTAGGTTATGTCGGTTTACACTTCTAATTCAGCTGCCATGGCGCAACAACAGCAAGCCGCTGCTGCCCAGCAACAGGCTCAACAGCAACAACAAGCCGCTGCTCAACAACAACAGCAGCAGCAACAACAACAAGCAGTGGCTGCAGCTGCGGCCGCTGCTCAACAGCAAAGACAACAGCATCAACAAAGATTGAACGAATTGTTAGATGCAGTCAAGGCCGAGTTCGAATATGCATTGAATGAAGCCTCCAGTTTTAAACAAGTAAAGGAAGATTATGACTTGAAATATAACCAACAAACAAGTGAAATGCAACAAATAAGACAAACTGTGTTTGACTTGGAAACAGCTCATAGAAAAATCAAGGATGCTTATGAAGAAGAGATTTTAAGATTAAAGAGTGAATTGGAAAACAGAGATAGACAAGCTCAAATTCAACAACAACAGCAACAGCAACAAGCTACTGTAGCTGCCCAACAAGCCCAACCAAAACCAAACGGATTACCTTACGGTGGAGGTTATCAAATTCAACCGCAAACTCCTTCTCAAGCTCAACCTTTACCTGGGGCTATAAAACAATCTCCACCAAAATCTTTATCTCCTCAAGTTGCTAAACAAGAAACCAATGGTGGTCAATCTATTGCAGTACCTGCTCCTGAAACTACAAGCACTGCCTTGACTGTTATCGATAAATCTCAATATATTGTTAACCCAGCTCAAAAGGCACTTCATATCAAGGAAATTCCACCATTCTTATCTGATTTGGATGTTTCTAAAGCAAATCCAGACTTTAAGAAGCAAAAGCTTGATTATTATGTGTTGTATAATCCTGCATTCAGCCGTAACTTGGATGTTGATTTGATTCATTCTTTAGACCATTCTTCAGTCGTTTGTTGTGTTAGATTTTCTAAAGATGGTAAGTTTATTGCCACTGGTTGTAATAAAACTACTCAAGTTTTCAATGTTGAAACTGGAGAATTGGTTGCCAAGTTGATTGATGATAATAATTCCACTGATGTTAGTGCCAGTGATGCTAAAGCTGAAGGCGATGCTGCTGCTTCTGCTGCTTCTGCCTCTGCTGCTAGTGCTGCTGCTGATTTATACATTAGATCGGTGTGTTTCTCTCCTGATGGTAAATTATTAGCCACTGGTGCCGAAGATAAATTGATCAGAATCTGGGATTTAACTACAAAGAGAATTATTAAGATTTTAAGGGGACATGAACAAGACATTTATTCCTTGGATTTCTTCCCTGACGGCGATCGTTTAGTTTCAGGTTCTGGTGACAGAACTGTTAGAATCTGGGATTTGAGATCTTCACAATGTTCATTAACTCTTTCTATTGAAGATGGTGTTACTACTGTTGCTGTTTCTCCTGATGGTAAATTAATTGCTGCTGGTTCTCTTGATCGTACTGTTAGAGTCTGGGACTCTACCACTGGATTCTTGGTTGAAAGATTAGATTCAGCCAATGAAAATGGTAATGGTCATGAAGATTCTGTTTACTCGGTTGCATTTTCCGTCAATGGACATCAAATTGCTTCTGGTTCCTTAGATAGAACGGTTAAATTATGGAACTTGAAGGATAGTCCAAGTGCACAAAAGTCAAGTTGTGATGTTACATATATTGGTCATAAAGATTTTGTGTTGTCAGTGTGCTGTACACCAAACAATGAGTATATTCTTTCTGGTTCTAAAGATCGTGGTGTTATCTTCTGGGATCAAGTTTCAGGAAATCCATTATTGATGTTGCAAGGGCACCGTAATTCAGTTATTTCTGTTGCTGTATCATTAAATTCTCAAGGGACTGAAGGTATTTTTGCAACCGGAAGTGGTGATTGTAAGGCCAGATTATGGAGATGGACCAGAAAGTAAGTCTAATCTTGTGAAATTCTTCTTGTTCTTCTACTTCTTCTTCTCTAACTGTTTTTATATTAGTTTATAGTCTTTTTTTTGTTAAGTGTAATAGTATATTATTTGTGTGTTTGAAAATGTAACCGTAATTTATACGACGCGGTCGCTTAGTTACAGAAAAAAAAAAGATCGAAAATTCTGAACAAAAATGTTACAACGTTTTTCTTACAACAATGAGTGTCTATTCAGCATCAGTTACTGCTCCAGTTAACATAGCGGTATGTAAATTGGATATTTGTATCATCCAATAAATTACTAACTTGTTTAGACTTTGAAATATTGGGGAAAAAGAGACAAAGAATTAAACTTGCCCACTAATTCTTCCATTTCTGTTACTTTGTCACAAAAGGATTTAAGAACTTTAACCACAGCATCGGCATCTTCCACTTTTAAGCAAGATGAATTGTATTTGAATGGGAAATTAGAATCACTTGAATCTGCAAGAACTCAAGCATGTCTTGGTGATTTAAGAAAATTAAGATCTGAGTTAGAATCTCAAGATGACAAGTTGGAAAAATTATCTCAATTCAAATTACGTATTGTTTCTGAAAACAATTTCCCAACCGCCGCCGGTTTAGCCTCTTCAGCTGCTGGTTTTGCTGCCTTAGTTTATGCCATTGCTAAGTTATATGAATTACCTCAAGATATGTCTGAATTATCCAAGATTGCTCGTAAGGGTTCTGGTTCTGCTTGTAGATCCTTGTTTGGTGGATTTGTTGCTTGGGAAATGGGTGATTTGGAGAATGGTCAAGACTCCAAGGCTGTTGAAGTGGCACCCGTTGAACATTGGCCAACTTTAAAGGCAGCTATCTTAGTTGTTAGTGATGACAAGAAAGATACCCCAAGTACTTCTGGTATGCAAGCTACCGTGAAAACTTCAGATTTATTCCAACATAGAATTAAAGAAGTTGTTCCTCAAAGATTTGATGAAATGAAACAAAGTATTTTAAACAAGGATTTCAACAAGTTTGGTGAATTAACCATGAGAGATTCAAACTCTTTCCATGCTGTTTGTTTAGATTCTTATCCTCCAATTTTCTACCTTAATGATACTTCCAAGAAAATCATTAAACTTATTCATAAGTTGAATGAAACTGAAGGTGAAATTATTGCTGCTTATACTTTTGATGCTGGTCCAAATGCTGTTATCTACTATGATGAAGCAAATGAAGCTAAAGTTCTTGGTTTAATTCACACTTATTTCAACCAAGTTGATGGTTGGTCCAAAGCTGATACCTCTAAATTATCTAAATTAGAAATTGAAGGTACTGACCCTGAAATCTACAAGGGCGTTTCCAGAATTATTTTAACTGAAATCGGTCAAGGTCCTCAAATTACAACTGAATCATTACAAATTTAATATAAATACAAACTAAAAATACAAATAAGCTAATTTAACAATGATTGACTTTGCTCAATAACTTGCTTTAATTCCGATATGTCATCACCATTCTCAAAATGGCTTAATAAAACTTTATTATATATTTTCAATGTTGCTTGTAGTTTTTGAATCTTTAAATCTCGATCCTTTAACTCGGCTTCTAATTTATCAATATTATTCTGTAATTCCATTTGGGCTTGCTTTTTACGTTGTCGACATTTCGATGCGGCGATTCTATTTCTTTCCAATAATCTTTCCTTTTTCCAAGCGGCTGTGCCTGGGATTGGCCCATTGTTAGGATTAAATATTACTTCATTATTATAAATTAATTGGTGGTTTGGTGGAGGTACACCAGCAAATTGAGTTTTGCTTTGTTCCTGTTGTGCTGGCACCTGTGCTGGAGGAGGAATTACTTGCATTTGATTTTGCATCAGTTGTTGTGGAGGGGCAACTGCAATTGCTGGAGCTACTCCATTTGAAGCAGGGAGAGCCGGTGTCGCCAGTGATACGTCTTGTGGTTGCTGTTGTTGTGGTGGAGAAGGGAAGAATAGTTGACCATTATCACCCACATTTGTACTACTATGAGGACGAGTAAATTCAAATTCATTAAATCTATTGCCGGAGATAAAGTGTAAATCATCATCCAAACTACCATTTCCTACATCATCACCTTCAAAATATGCCTCGTGGTTAACAATCTGGCCAATTTGACCATTTGAAATAGATATTCTTCTTCTTCTAGGTATTCCGTCGGGAGTTATAGGTAACAACATCGTAGAATCAAATATAGGAGGGTTGGTTATTGGATATGAATTGATATCGAATGGATTATGCAAAAATGACAAAAAGTCTGGATTTTTCGACATTGTTTGTTGTGCTGGTGGTGCTGGTTGCTGTGCTTGTTGAGATGGCGGTTGTTGCATTTGACGTGGTGCTGAGTTATGTGTGTTTCCCGGAGAGGAGCTGTCAAGACTAGAAAAACTAGAAAGTGAAGTATTTTTTGTAGTCAAGGGAGATTTGTTTAATCCAGCAGATTCCAAATCGTTCAATACAACGTCTTCTCTAGATGTCTCTTCAAAAGTTTGTTGTTGTTGGCTCTTTTCCGGGTATGGAATGTTTGGTCTAACCAAAGAATTTAGCATCAAGATTGAAAAAAAAAAACTTTAAGGTTTAATTCAAGGGGGGGCAAATTAATGGTTATGAACTTTGACTAATTAATTATAAAAAAAACCCAAAGTGGACTAGAAAAAGTTTGATCGGAAATAGTTTAGTATTTCGCAATTATAAGGGTCTGGTTATCTATTGATATGTTAAAACCTTTTGAATTTGGAAAATTTATAGAAAATTTGGTTTATTTATTAAAGTGTGTATTTGACCAAAATTCGTGATGACAAATGTACTGTGTATGCCAGGGGTATGCAGTACCAAGTAATTATTTTTTTTTCTTTTTCTGGAGATTGCTTAATGTCATGCTATTAACTGCGCGCGGTAAGGCGGAAACTAAATAATTCTAAATAATAATTGATTGCCGTTTTAGTTGATGAAGATGATGATACGACATGTGTCATTCATTTTAGATTCTCAATTAGGTGATCGGAGACATATTTCCGTGAAATTTTTTTCATGCGGAACGAACTATGAGCGAATAGTTCCGTTGTTCCATGCATACTTCCATACAGAGTACTTCAAGTTTTTTTTATCCAAAAGAAACCACACACAATGTGTAATACTGCATATCTTTCCTTTTAAGCGGCATTTTTTTGAATCATAATTCCATCTCTAAAATTTTATAGCCTGTGATAATTAAAATCTGCCAAGAACTTGCCACCGTAAATCATGACTCTCGGTGCACAGCCACCATCCATTCCACAACATGAATCTGATTCAGTCGCATTAATCCAGCAATTAAATGATCATATCCAACGTTCAACTACGTCATCATTATCGCATGATTTGTCGATATTCACCGAATTCAACCAAACCATTTCCAAAACAACACCATATCAATTTGATTTTATAATTGAAAACGAACGAGGTATTAAATTATTTGGAATTCCATTATACTCACAAAAGTCATTGTTACCTATAATTGATCCAAAACAGTTTCAATCTATCACTAAAACAAGTTTAAATATCCCATTGTCAAACATTGGAAATTATCCGTTGCCTGATTATAATCAATGGGAATGGACTTGGGATCAGTGGTATGTTTTCATGTATAAAGATGTCGATCCTCACGGATGGATTTATTCTACAATGTTTTTTCAAAGTGATAAACGATGGAGAGGTAAGTACTACTTTGGCAATTCAGTAAGAAGAAGAATTTGGATTAGAATGAGGCAACGAATAGCTGGTAGTGCTGACGTAAAATAGTATTTATATTTTTTGGGTATATGAAATTTGGTTGTAAGATTTTCTATTGTAATCTATTTTGTGCTGTCTCTTTTTTTTTTTGCAACACCAATGATAACTTTGACTACTGCTTTGGCAATTGCTATAATTAGAGCCAAACGCAACTCTGGTAAACTGTTCACAGGTAAGTTCCAACTGTGTAAGGTATTCGTTCCTGTACTAATCTTTCAGATATAATTGATCAATTACTTGATGAAATCGATCCAAAAGTTGATTCACTTTTACAACAAAATTACAACATTAACTACTTCTCATACAACTTAGCTACAGTCAATAACAATATCACAAACTGTAAACAATTGTTTGATATTGTTATATACTTTCTATCACTACCACGTACTAAACATCATGATCAAATAGCATTTCTATTTACAAGAAAAATCAACAAAGCTGTTAAATCCAAATCATTCTCGATCCCCCTCCAAAAGCAACTCGTTAAATGTCTTGAGCTGGCTTGTAATGACAAGCAAAGGTTATTATGGTTCTATCCTATATTGGCCAAATTGAATACCAACCAAGTGGAATTGTTCTGTTTAGCAAATTTATTGAAAATTGTTAAATGTAGTGAAATTAATGTTAATAAAACAATTGAAAGTATAATCAAGGAAAACAACTTGAAGCAGCATATTGGGTATACTCATTTTCACACGAAAACCCTATGCAATTATCTTGTAATGTTACATCTAAAACTTTTGCTTTCTATGAAGAATAGAAAATATCCCTTGCTTTTGAAAAGTTTAATAATTGTCTATAATAATCCGACTATTTTACATATTTCCATGAATTTCGATTCAATACATAAGTCAACCCACTGATAACAGTTGTCACACCAACAAGTCCACCAAATCCTTGAAAGAATAAATCTAAGTTTTCACTAATCAAGCTTTCAAGTAAAGGACGATAAACTAAACTTCCAATATAGACCATTTGTAACATTGTGTTAAACTTTCCGAGTAAGTTTGGATGTACACTGATAGTTGGATTTGAACCAATGCTTACAAATTTGGAGAAGGTACGTGGTTTATCAAGACTCATATATCTCAAATAAAATGACATGAAACTTAAAATCACATCTCTTCCAATAATTATGCTTGCCACTGATAATGGAATGGAATTGATATATGCTAAGGCTAATGTACAAGTTGTCATGAGAAATTTATCTGCCAAAGGATCAATAATTGATCCAACAATTGACTTCATATTAAATCTTCGGGCAATATATCCATCAACTAAATCAGTTATACATGAGTATGTAAATAACAGTAATGCAGTTATACTCTGGCCACTGACGACATAATAACCAATGAATGGAGTTGTTATTATTCTTGTATACGTTAAAATATTGGGGATAGTCCATAATTGAGATGACGGTTTAGTGACTGTAGTAGTGACTGGTTTGGGAAGGGTTGGCTCTTTCTTTGGCTGAGTTGCTATTGATCGGATCGGGTAATACGGTTGGAGTTGGTGTCTGGAAGGGGCCTGCTTGATTAACGCGGAACTTATCCTGACAGTACTTGGTCTTAATAAATTAGTCTTGACTAGACTGGGTCTTAAAATACCCACTGGGTTAAAGAGTTTGAACATGAATGTATAGGTGGTTCTAACGTGTAACCGATCTTGGGTGAAAAATTTAGTAAAAAAAAAAAGAACCATCTTGCGACTGGATACGTCAAAAGTCAAACAGGCAAAATGTCTGAACTGAAATAATTGGCTATTCTAATTTCACTAAATAGTAACCAATATATGATTCATATCAGTAACCATGGTCTCTTGACCATAGAGACATCAAAAGGTAAGCTTTACTTCATTTCCTTTCAATGAAGACACATTTGCGATATAGTTTCTGAGAGAAGTGGATTCAAACAATCAACATCAGGAAACTCTTCCTATATCAAAGAGATGGCCTCGAAGTTTACTCGAGCTGCCTCTGATCCATTAGCAACTGGTCCTCTATAAAGTTGATGCAAATTACTTTGGTACCTGCATATAATGACAACGGCAACCAAAAATTTTTTTTTTATGAAAAGAAAAATTAACGCGATTGTTGAAAGAGAAGATACATAGCTTATTAACCACGAAAGTAGAAATATGTCACTTAGACTTCCTCAAGCACCCAATTCGGGTTTGTTCAAACAAGGATATCAATCCTTTTCCAATTCAGATGGTGCAATCATTAGAAATATTGAAGCTGTCCGTGAAATTTCTTCCATGTTAGTAACTTCCATGGGACCCAGTGGACGTAACAAGATCATTGTTAACAAATTAGGTAAGAAATTCATCACTAATGATGCTGCTACTATCTGTAATGAATTAGAAATTGTTCATCCTGTTGTAAAAATCTTGATTATGGCTTCAAAACAACAAGAATTTGAAATGGGTGATTTCACCAATTTAGTTATTATTTTAGCTGGTGAGTTCTTAAACGTTGCTGAAAAATTATTATTGTTGGGATTGAATGTTACTGAAATTATCCAAGGGTTCAGCTTAGCTAACAAGTATGTCATGAAGATTTTGGATGAATTGGTTGTTGACAAAGTAGAATCCATTATGCAAAAGGAACATTTACTTAAGGTTGTTAAACCGGTGATTGCCGCAAAACAATATGGATACGAAGATTTAATTTCCAATTTGGTTGTTGAAGCTGTTCAATCAGTCATCAACCCAAAGAATCCAGCAAGTTTTAATATTGATAGTATAAGAGTTGTTAAAATTATGGGATCTTCATTACCACAATCACAAGTTGTCAAGGGAATGGTTTTCCCAAGAGAACCGGAAGGTTCAGTTAAACACATCAAGAGTAAATCTAAGGTTGTTGTATTCACATGTCCAATTGATATTTCAACTACTGAAACTAAAGGTACTGTATTATTACATAATGCTCAAGAAATGCTTGACTTTACTAAAGGTGAAGAACAACAATTGGATCAAGTTGTAAAGGAGATTAGTGCTTCTGGTGTTAAGGTTGTTGTTGCTGGTTCAAACGTTGGAGAATTGGCATTACATTACTTTAATAAATATGACATATTACTCTTGAAAGTTGGATCCAAGTTTGATTTGAGAAGACTTTGTCAAGTATGTGGTGCTACTCCATTACCTAGATTAGGTGCTCCAATGCCTGATGAAATGGGAGAAATTGATATCATTGAAACTAAAGAAATTGGAGGTGATAGAGTTACAATTTTCAGACAAGCCGAGTCGTCAGTTTCAAGAACTGCCACTATTGTCATTAGAGGCGCTACTCAAAATAACTTGGATGATATTGAAAGAGCTATTGATGATGGTGTTAATTCCATCAAGGGTTTATTAAAAGATGATAGATTATTACCTGGTGCAGGTGCTATTGAAATTGAATTAATTAAGAGAATCACACAATACGGTGAAACCACTCCAGGATTGTTACAATTGGCAATTAAGAACTTTGCCAAGGCATTTGAAGTTATCCCAAGAGTTTTAATTGAAACTTCTGGATTTGACAGTACTGAAGTTTTAGCCAAATTACATGCTGCTCATTCTGAAGAACCGGGATTAAATGTCGGTATTAACATTGATGATGGTGAATTGGTTGATATTTCCACTATAGGTATTTACGACTTGTTAAGTTCAAAGAAATCAGCTATTGATTTGGCTGTTGAAGCTACTAATACTATTTTATCTATTGATCAAATTATTATGGCTAAGAGAGCTGGTGGTCCAGTTATGCCACAACAACCAAGACCAGGTAATTGGGATCAAGATGATTAGAACTATATAGCAAAAGTAATAAAGGTTTAATTTTTAATTATAGCTGTACAGTTAACACATACATTAAAACTAAAGAAAAAAAAATTAACTTTTTTTAGTTAATATCTTTTCCAATGGTTATAAAGGTTTTGATTTTTGTTAAATCCTTATTTCCTTCGGCATCTTCAACACCACCACTGACGTCATAACCAACTACATTTTTAACATCTTGTGTAGATAATAAATTTTCTGGGGTTAATCCACCAGCAAGTAAAACGTTTGTAAAGCTAAGATTATCATTAATAAAGCTCCAATCAATAATTTTACCTTCTCCACCAGCTTCTGAGTCCAACAAAGGAATTGCAAAGAGTTTTTCTTTAGTTAAATATTCACCTTGTTCGGCTAAATCTGGAAACTGGGTAGGAATAACGTATCTTGGAATAATCCCAAATTTACCAGCAATTCTTTCATCCTTAAAAAATGCCATCTTGTCTTCGTTTCCATGTAGTTGAATAAAATCTAATTCTAATTCAGTAGCAATGGAAACAACTTCATCGATGGGTTGATTTTGGAAAACACCAACTAAAAATGGACCATTATCAATTATGACTTCACTTATCAATTCAAAGTATGCACGAGGTGATGAATAAAACTGATTAGTCAAATAAGTTTGAATGTCTTCTATGGTTGGAAATTTTTTAGAAGATCTTGCTTGCTTAACTTGGGAAGATATTTGTTTAGCAATTTCAAAGTCAATTGTACGTTTACGACCTGGAACTAAAATACAACCAAGTAAATCAGCGCCATTATCTATAGCTGTAGTGGCAGCTTCAACTGTTCTAAGTCCACAAATCTTAACTAACCGAGGCATCTTGTATGACTAATGTGGGGGGGGATAGTTAAGGGTCATTTTATTTTTTTGCTCGTTTTTTCTTGTACTATGTTGAACTAATTAAAAGTGTATTTCCCCAAAAAATTTGGAAAATATGATTGGTGAAGAAATGAAGTGAATGGTTGTATTTTTTGATTGTATTTCTAGTTGTATTCTTACTGTATACTTTGAATGTTTTGAAATAAAAGTACATCTATTGGGTAAATTTTGCTGCAAAACTTCCAAAAATCATGTCATCGGTAGTTAATGAGAACTTAAAGAAAACACTATAAACAATACTATATCACTGATTTAGACTTCTGTGGTAATGCTAATCTATCCAACACATATTTTATCAAAGGTTGTAATTAACTCCAGCATATTGGAAGAGATATACCTTTATAAACACATGGTAGCGCTGTGAAGTTAGAATTGCCCATCAGTGATTAAAAGCAAATTTCTACTACAAGTCTACTTGGTTAAACCTTCATACAGTGTCTATTGGATTCTACTGGTAGTTAGGTTAATATTAAATCTAATCACTTTCCTTTCTAAAAAACTTTCCAAAATTCTTAAAGTTTTCATTCAATTTATTTACATGATTTTCACCAGTCATTGCAAATTCTCTTAGGTTACGTTCAAATTGGTTTAAATTCTTCTTAGCGGGTAGTAACATAGGTGACATCACTTCTGGAATTGGAGTTACGCCTCTTGAACTATGACCTGAAACTATTGGTTCCTCCTCTTCAAGTACTTGTAATAGTTTATTACTTGTCTGTAAATCACCTGTTCCTATTGTTAATTGCAACTTAAAGTTTTCAATATATTCAAATTGGTTATTGATTTCCTTTAAGTTGAGTACCTTTATGAAATTTGTGATTGATTTATCACCAATTAATTCAAAATAACTTTCAATTAAAGTTTCAATTGGCAATGAGGGAACAATTAATAATTTAAGCAACGATTCTAAATTGTGAAAATTGGATACAACAAACTTTTCATATGATTTAGAACAAGTTTTATCCGATGCTTCACTATAATTTGGATCAGCATATAATGGTAACTTCAAAGCTAAATCTTTCAAACTGTACACATCCAATAAAATCTGCTCAACGGATAATACTGTCAACGGTTTAATAGATTTTAAATTATTGGCAATCGAATGAACCAAATGTTCAATTAATTTATCATTAAAATTTCGAATAAAACTTTCTCTTATAATTAATGGTAATATTATTTGAATATTCTTCAAGGTAATGGATTTTAATTCTGACATATATGAACTTACGTCATTTACTTGATCCAACAGTTGCCAATTCATATTGAAAAATTCTCGCCAACAAATTCTATAATCATTTGTTAGTTTGACAATCAATTTGCTAATACATTTATTGATTAATTGGGAGTAGATTTCTTGACTTGAGTCAAATGATGGTATTCTTGACTTGTATTGAGATTGAACAAGTGTTTGAAACTTATTTGATAAATCATCAATATTATTAACCAAATAATCACCTGTATTCAAAATCATTGTCAAATATTTGAGTGATTCATTTGTAGTTAAGTCTTCATCCATAGGTATCAATGGTAGAAGGATCCTATTGTGATATTCAAACAAATATTTACTGAATAACTTGGCCAATTCAATTAATATTTCACCATTGGAAAGTTTTAAGATCTGAGTAAGAATCTTGTGGAAATTCTTAAACAACTCAGTACATGAATTTGATAAATTTGGAACATTATTAACTTTAAGTATGGTGAGAATATCTTTCGATTCTTGGAATTCTATTGGTAATTGAGAACTAGATGAAAATTCCAATATTTTAGTATTCAAGAGCTTATCTTGTTCCTGAACCCATACAAAAAGATAAGGCTCAAACACCAGAGAAATTAATTGGTTAAATTCATTAGTTTGGAAGCTTGCATTTAAGGATTTTTCAAACTCAAGCGTCTTTGTTAAATTTTCTAATATAATTTTGGAATCTGATTTATGTTTTGGTAGTAAGTTTGTTAAATCTTGTTTGGTTAACTTACAAAACATAATGGAAATTTCATGGTCTATTTTCCAATTTTCCGGGAATATATCCTTGTAGTTTTGTTGTATATCTGTTAATATCTTGTTGAAATAAATAAATCTTCGGTTTAAATTATCCAAAGAACCTGCTTCATCAAAATTGTTAAAAATAGTTTTAAAGTCTTTTAGTTTTAAATTGTAGAACCAATTTGTTAACTTTTCCTTGTATTGTACATCAATTAATTGTAAGATTTCACATCCGTAGATCAACTGGTCGGCCAAATCAATATTATGAGATTTGACATACTCTTCAAAATCAATGAAAATATCATCAATCAACTTGTTTTGACTGTGAATAATTAACAAGTTGATTTGATTAATTTCATCAATCGACTTGAACGGTTTGAAAAATGTTAACAATTGCTTTACAACACCTAATAGCGAATGAATCTCTTTGTAGTTATGCGTGTGGATTATCTCTGATAATTGATTATTAACATTTATCAACATTTGTAATCGCTTAAGTATTGTCATGGACAATACTAGATTCTTCTTGTAGCAGTCCAATTGCTGAATCGAGCTTGTCATGAGAGTAATTGATGTTTGTGTTTCATTTGCGTTGGATTTAACTTCTTCAATTGATTTTATTAATGATGAAATATTTGAATTGAGCAGAGCTATACGAGTAGGTTGTGAGTTGTACGTGTTGATATCATGTTTGATTTGTTTGGACAATTCTAGTTTGTATTGGTTAACATGGGATAATAATTGAGGTAATTCATCTAATGAATCAGGAGAGTTGAATATTTCATGAAGATGGTTAGTTGGGTCGTAGTTATAGTCTTCCATGATTGTATTGTGTTCTGTTTGAACACCTTGGTTGTAAAAGTAAACTGACCCGTAAAGTGTTTTGGCTGTCAAATTTATTCATACACGACATTTTCTTGGGTGTGTGATTGCCATGTCGTCACCCAACAAATGTCGTTTGATTCACGTGCGAACGAACTATACCCTACAGCAAAAATGGAATATGTAAGATTAAATTGAGTCAAGTTGGTAGCTAACATGATTAGATCTAAAAATTTCATGTTGACCTATACAATTTGCAATATTACTCGAGTATATATATGTTCCCTTTGAAAGTTCTTTCACCACTACACCTTTTAAATAACTAGCCAACAAAACAAAGATTCAAATGTTAGTCTCTGATAGCAAAATAGAGAGGTAGTATCAAACGTATCTACCAATTTACATCAGATATCAACTTTTAGTTAAGATCTTCTACGTAGAGATTGTATTATACCTCGAAGTTTTTGTATTTAGACTAGATCGTTTTAAATGTGGTAGCGCGAAACGTATCTAAGGCAACAGACAGTACTTAACTTAACGCGCCCCAATAGATCCTAGAAAGAAATAGTATTCATCCTCTAAGACTGTTTAGATCTCTCAATTGTACAGAATGATCTGAAATTTTTTTGAATTGCATGCAGAGAACTAATTTAAGGTGATCTCTCACAATGAGTGGAAAGATCAATAACCATATTACCCCAGGTATTGATTTGTGCTATGAAATAGAATAGGAAAATAACATGCTTGATTTGTGAATCAAATTAGGAACTACAATATGACCATTTAAGGTAATAAATGTCAACTATCAATTAGAAATCTTGCCGAAGATTCTCAGGGGAATTTCCTAATTAGGAAAGTTCTCTTACAGGACAAAACCATCTCCAGCAAATCATATGAAAGATTGCATTGATTTAGCTTGGAAGTAAGGCTTAGGTCTGCAGTATCAACTCCATAACGGGTACAAAGATCGAGTTTCGGATTCGACATGCCACTTGTTTCACACAATCATAACCATAAAAAAAAAGTAACTTTACACTAATTCGTTATAGGTGCACTTGCACAATTTCGTAGTCATTAATTTTTTTTGCCAGTTTGGTTGTCAATTATAAATAGCAACTTAATTCTCTTAAACTTTTCTAAAAAAAACTGTCAGTCTCCCCTTTTTATTACTATTTGGGTCTTTTTAAACTTTCAATTCCTGGTTTATACCCGCATACACTCGCATACACATACGTAGCGTAGTAAATTTATCAGTTAGCTGTTTCCTACAAGAAAACCACAATAACAACCAAAGAAAAAAAATATTCCCACACCAGTTGTAAAGAATAAACAACAAAAAAAAAAACAACAACGACATCACAACCACCAGCAATTTAGCAAATTTGAAGCGTTAATCAATCTCCCATTCTTACCCTATACCTTCAATTTGCTCCCCTTTACAACCTTCTTATGGCACGTCTTAAGTTTTTGAAAAAGAAGAGGCATTCACAAGAGCAAGAAGATTCAGCATCAACAGGCTCATCAACAAGGTCATCCTCAAGAAAGCAAAAACAAGCACAAGAATCGACTTTTGAAGAACAATATCCCGCGTCAAGCTCCCCAGCATCATCTCCAGGACAAAGTATAACCAAACCAATGCCTAGTATTACTAGATCTTCCCCTCCTCCCCCACAACCCATGATTCAACTGAGGTCTCCACAAATGTTTCAAAGATCTCCTCAAGCTCAAAGATCCCCTCAGCCAATTCAAGCTCACAGAGCTCAATTTGGTCATGTGGCCAATTCGGTCACTGTTCCTCCTTCTGCTACCTCACCTTGGAATAGGTTTAAATTATTTGATTCCCCATTTCCAAGATACAGACACGCGGCTGCTTCTATCTCCAGTGAAAAAAATGAGATTTTCTTAATGGGAGGATTGAAAGAAGGCTCAGTATTTGGAGATACTTGGAAATTGGTTCCTATGGAAAACCATCAAGGTGAAGTGGTTAACTTTACGGCTAAGAATCTTGAAATTTTAAATCATATAAACCCTCCAGCTAGAGTAGGTCATTCTGCTGTATTATGCGGTAATGCGTTTGTTATTTATGGTGGTGATACAGTTGATACTGATGCTAATGGATTCCCAGATAACAACTTCTATTTGTTCAATACAAACAATTGTAAATACACTATTCCAACTCATATCTTGAATAAACCAAATGGAAGATATGGTCATACTATTGGAGTAGTTTCATTGACCAACAGTTCTTCCAGACTTTACCTTTTTGGAGGGCAATTGGAAAATGATGTTTTCAATGATTTGTACTACTTTGAGTTAAACTCCTTCAAATCTCCACAAGCAAGCTGGGAATTGGTTGAACCGGCCAATAATTTCAAACCACCTCCATTAACTAACCATTCCATGTCGATTTATCAAAATCAAATTTATATTTTTGGTGGTATTTATAATAATGAATTGGTTTCTAATGATTTATGGATTTTCAATGTCGAACATAACAAGTGGAGTAAAATTGATGCATCAGGTTATATTCCCAAACCAGTTAATGAACATTCAAGTTGTATTGTCAATGATAAACTATACATTTATGGTGGTAATGATTTCAAGGGTATAATTTACAGTTCATTGTATGTTTTGGATTTGAATACGTTTGTATGGCTGAAATTGATTGATATGGGTGAAGTTAATGGACCAGGTCCAAGATGTGGTCATTCTATGACTTTCTTGCCAAGATATAATAAAATTATAGTCATGGGTGGTGATAAGAATGATTATGTTGATAATTCTGATAATTTTGAAATGTATGAAGAATACAGAGAAAACGTTGTTGGTACGATGATTTTCCAGTTAGACTTGAATGAAATTGATCATTTCTTGACCAGTGATCCAAATAAAGCTACTGTTGATAAGAGAATTGCTACTAGAAGTATGTCTGCTTTGGAAGAAGATTATGATGCTTCATTACAATCTCCACCAAATATTACTCGGGAATCACAAGAACCACCTACTATTAAAGAGTTGCCTGAACCAGTAAGCAAGGAATCTCTGGTTGGAGTAATAAATGAACCACCATTTGACCATTTGAAGGACCGTGAACCATCATTCGTCGATGTTCCTGCAGCTGAAGTTCATCATGAATCGATTAAAGATGTTTCTGTCAAGAAGATTATTGCTGAATTAAACTCCGAAATTCAACAATTGCGAAAGTCAACTAAAGAACAAATGGAAATTGCCACCGAGAAGATTACTTTCCTTGAAAATGAAAATAAATCATTGAAAGATTCTAATCGAGATTTTGACTATTATCAGAAGCAAATTAACGACAAAGATCAATTGATTGAAGAATTAAAGGGTAATATTAAACCTGAAGATGAATCAGTGACTAAATTCAAACTTGATTCTTTGGAATCTAACAATAAATTGATTTATGTAACCCAAGAAAACAATAAATTGAAGGAAAAACTTGAACAATTTGAACCATTTATGAATAATCACATTATGGAATTGGATAAATTTCAAAAGTTGATTAAAAACCAAGAAGATAAGATTTCACAATTGACAAATCAAATCAAACTGGAGGAATCATTACATAAAGAAATCAATGACTGGAAAGTCAAATTTGATAACTTAAGCTTGGAATTTAACAATTACAAATTGGCTCATGATGATTCTGAAGAAGAAATAATGGAAAATGGAGATGATGATGTAACAACTGAAACTACAAGATCAGTTTCTAGCAAGAAGGATATATCTAATCAGTTGGAAAATTTAATTCATTTATGGAATGTCAAAAAGACTCCGGAACCAACACCTGAAGAAAATCCAACAGTTGCTCAATTACAACGTCAAGTTGATGAATTGTTAAGAATTTCTAAAGAAAATGATCAATCCACGGAAGTTGAAACCTTACATAAACAATTAGAAGAGAAGACTGCGGCACTTGAAAAGTTTGAAGAGAATTATAAACAAGCACTTCAATCGGTCAATAATACCAGCAAAGCTCTTAAACTTAATGAAGAAGAGTTTGAACATCAAAAGAAATTGTTAGAAAAATTGACTAAAGAAAATAATGAATTGAAATTGTTTAAGAAGGCAAGTAAAAGAATTAGCTCCAGAAGTGGTACTCCAGATGAATTGACCGAAGAGCTGAATGAAGCAGATGATGATGATGATGAAGGAATTTCAAATGCTCATTTGAACATAAAGATTAAAGACCTTGAAGCAGATTTATATATCATTAGGCAAGAACGTGATCAATTGAAGGATCATGTTATATCATTACAAAAGGAATTATATTTGGTTAAGAATGAACATCATTGAGTGCTGGTGTTGCATTTTGAAACCAATGCTTACTGTTAATGTATAATATTTATAATTTTTTTTTGTTTAAATATTGATAATTAATTGGTTTTATAATTTTTTAAATAGCGTTTGTAAAAGTTTGTACAACCTCTATACCAGGAATGGTCAATATAGACCTTCGCGGTCAAGTCTTGAAATGTATGTGCTAACTTTATAATTTATACAGAATATTAAATTTTTATATTACATATCATAAATACATTAGAACTACAATCAGAACGACATTAATCAAATTATATGTTCGTGTTCAGTCTCGGGTGTATTTTCATCATCTGGAGGTGCAGAAGGTAATAAACTTGTTTCCATTAATCTCATTCTTTCTTTCTCAGGCAATTCTGAGTTTGATGCCATTATATTCATAAAGCTATTGTTAGCATTCCCTTCATCGTATGTTGGAATTGACTGCTGTGATTGTTCAAAATATGGGGGTGTTGTATTGAAATCCATTGGCTCAGGTATTGAATAAGGTGGTTGTTGTTGCAATTGATGTTGAAGCATCTGCTGATGTTGATGTTGCTGCAGGGCTGGGGGGTTTGATGGTGATGTTGTTGGAGATTCTAGGGACAATGGGATAGGCGAATTATTGGAAGATGATGATAATAAATCGGTAGCAGTAGGATTCGTAAGTGGCTTGTCCAGTCTATGAGTTCCAATAACTACTTCAGTAGTTAATTGGACAAACTTTTTCAGTCGTTTGAATTTATCTGTATTTACAAAATTTAGTCTTTCCTTTTGATGTTGTATTAATCCATTGGAGTTGTGAAAGTTAAAATTGAATTTGTAGCTGTCGGTAGATCCATTTGATGTGATAGGATTGTTGAGACTACTGGTGCTTGCTGCCACTGCAACTGCTGCTGCGGCAGCTGCAGCTGTATCTGACAGCAGATGATGTCTATCGTTATCTTCCAATACCACCGGTCTACCGGATAAATTAATTAAAACCTCTATAAAATATTGGAATGAAACTAATGGACAACCAACAATTGTTGGAAATGCATCTGCGGGCACCCTTATATTTGTAGTAATTTCTGCTTTATATGTTATTGGATCGAGGTATAATGGTAAGATCACTTGTTGCAAGTCTTTACGGAATGATTCTATTATTCCGTCCTCGGATCCATTATCTAAACGACAAACTCTAACAAAGGTTAGAATTATTCCATTTAGATCCTGAATATTTTTCAAATGCGATATTGAAATTTTTATAGGGATTGATTCACCGCGCAAATATCCTCGTTGGGCAACTTCTAATATAACTTTGATAGTTTGAGGTTTATTTGTATGATTAGCAATACTTTCAGGAGAATCACCCGGACTTGAAGCTATTGAAGATTGATCGGAATTTGCTGAAGATGCGGTGGCAAATGTGTTTATAGTAGATGTTGAAGATTGTGTTCGTGCAAGCTTTTTGATTTGATTGAATCTTGGATCCTTTAATATCAATCTTTTGGGCTTTCTATTAGTTAATACTGCCACATCGATTGGGTTAACCAAGTTTATTGACTTTTCAGAGGTATAAAGTGGATTTGTAAGTATTCTTTTTGGGCTGTTGTTTTCATCTATAGGTGATTGCACAGGTAAATAACAAGTTGAACTTCCGATGGAAGCTTTTAAAGTGTAGTTGATTGACCCTTTACCAAAATCAATCGAAGTGAAGATTCGCTTATTTGGTAGTTTAACAATAAAGGGGAAAACATGTTCTCCTTTGAATAACCCATTGTTAAAGTCCGCATTTGAAGTTTCTTCCTCTCCGTAAATCTTGATCGTATGGTCAAACAAAGTGTGCTTGATCGGTCGTAATTTTGACTGTGAAGATGCGTTGATTTTAATAAATCCAATTAATGATAAAGTGATGACAATATTAGCCAAGTTCTTCTTAGTTATCAAGACAATTTGTCCTGGAACTTCATCCCCAGGTAGCCAAATTTGATGTGGGTTGTCTAATTGGATATAAAAGTCGTCAATAGAATGGAAATCTATTTTAAAGTTGGAAGATGTAGATGTTGATGTGGATAGTAGGGTTGAAGCTGATTCATATGGTTTTTGCTTGGGTAATATTCGTGATACTGCCTTCCTCATGTTTTACAACCAAACCCTCCCTTTTCAAATTGTTGCCGTTTTCTGGGATAAAAAGAAAAACAAAAAAAAATAGTAAAGAAAGAAAAAAAAAGAAAGACAAAAGGTTCAAGATAAATTTTCTTTCTTTCCAAGATTTAAAAGTAAAAATGTCAAAGTTGTTGTAGTGAACGAAAATAATCTTGTGTCATACCTTGTTTTATATAAATATAATATTGGCTTAGCTAGGCCAGATTTTTGAAATGTTGAGGTTTTTTTTCCCTCAGTAGGTCTTTTTTTTTATCCTTAGAAAAAATATGTCTAAACTTTCTTTTTCAATGATACTCTCCGCGACAATGTCTAAGTTGTAATGAGAACCGGTATCGAAAATAAAAAAAAAAAACGAGCAAGTTGTTCTTTCCCAATTGGAACGTAGCGTGTTTTAAATGTAACCCAAACCAAGTAGCCACCGTTTGGGATAAATGAAACACGAAAAACAGGGCTTTTAATTTTGGTAAGGCATGTTGCTGTTAATAAAGTGGAGTTTTTATTATTGAACCATCCACACTACAAAAAAATAATTTTCCGTATGGCAATCTAGAAGGAGAGAAAAAAAAATAGAGCATGAATATATGTCAGGAGATCAAACAGATAGTCTGCAACATAGGCTAAATCTTTTGGTGGTTGCCAATTACTCTTTTCGTCATATAGGTTTATATTATGGTATACAACCAAAGTTATGTATAGTTAAACACGTAAAATAAGCTTTCTCGCTATGAAAGTCTTGGCTGTTTTAGTATAGAAAACGAGTCATTTGACGTATTTAGCATTTTAACCGACTTCCAAAAACAGAGAACAATTCTGCATGCACATTCGCGCCAGAATATGTGCAAACAATAGAATTTTATGGTTTTGTACAATCCCGATATCATCCCGCGGCCATCCGCTTTATGGTTTATACTAAAGCGGTAATCAGTTGGATATGCAACAATTTAGTTCATATCCTTAAGTTCTAATTATAGCGTCGGCAAGATTTACTAACTTTTCTAAGTTTAATCCCTCACCCTGGACATCGTAAATGTCTGGTTTGAAGAAAAACAAAATCATTGGAAAGTCTTATCTTAGCCCAGAATAAATAAGAACAACTCCTCGTAAGACTTGATAACACCATCTTTGCATTCGTGCCAAGGATTAACCATAAACATGCATGATCGTACTTGAATTATTGTCTCACGTTGATTCGATCTCCACAACAATGTGAGATCGTAAAAGAGGAGGGTGGGTGACATGACCTTGGCACCAAGCCTTTGGCTTAGATTTAACTATGATTTATTGTTTGGGAGTTTTCTTGGTCAAACTAATTTCACAAATAAATGTCTTAATATTAAACAAAAAAATACTAAATAATATAAAAAACAGAACTGATATAATAAAAATGCAAAAACTTAGAAATACAATTCACCTCTAATCAAATGTCTTTTTAGTACCCTTAAATTCAGTGGTTGGTCTTGGAGAAAATGATCTTTCACGGCCACCTCTATTACCACCGAATCCACCTCTACCACCACGGTTACCACCGAAGTCACCTCTACCACCACGGTTACCACCGAAGCCACCACGATTACCGCCAGCATTAGCGTTATCTCTTGGAGCGGAGAAATCTAATCTACATGCTCTACCCTCGATGTATTCACCGTTCAATGCTTCTAATGCAGCCTTGGCTTCATCAACAGATGAAAATTGAACATAACCGAATCCCTTAGGTTGTTGGGTGTCTGGATGAGTTGGGATTCTACATGAAATAACAGTACCGTGTTGACCAAAGATTTCAAATAAGTTGTCTCTTTGAGCATTGAATGAAAGGTTACCAATAAATAATGTGTCTGATGGAGCAGATGGAGTGTCACCAAATTGCTTAGCTCTATCGTTAGATTTAGATGCATGTGGCTTACCAGTAGACATGTCTAAGTTAATTGGTCTACCGTCAATTTCTTTACCTTGCATTTCAACTAAAGCCTTTTCAGCTGAGTCCTTGTTGTCGAAGTCAACGTAACCATAACCACGGGACTTTCCAGTGGAACGTTCCATGATAACTCTAGCACCAATAACACCACCAATGTGTTCGAATTCACGCTTTAACCATTCGTCATCAATGTTCCATGATAATCTACCAACAAATAAAGTAGCTGGTTCATCAGTTTCATCAGTTCTAGCCTTCTTAGCAACTGGTTCTTCAGATGATTCTTCGGATGATTCTTCTTCGTCAGCTTTACGCTTCTTTGGTTCTTCTTCTTCTTCTTCATCAGATGAGGAGTCACTATCACTCTCGCTTTCAGATGAAGATGAGGAGTCACTGTCACTGTCTGATTCATCCTTCTTTTCTTCCTTCTTTTCTTCTTCTTCTTCGTCAGATGAAGAATCAGAGTCAGAGTCAGATTCACTGTCAGATGAAGATGATTCGGATTCAGATGATGAAGATTCGTCCTTCTTTTCTTCTACCTTAGCTTCCTTCTTTTCTTCTTCGGATTCAGATTCGGATTCAGAAGAACTGGATTCACTATCAGAAGAACTTTCATCTTCAGATTCGGATTCAGATGATGAACTACTGCTTGATTCACTAGAAGATTCGGATTCTGATGAAGAAGATTCAACCTTCTTCTTTTCTACCTTCTTGGTAACCTTCTTATCTTTAGTGGATGACTTAGCCATGATGTTTGTTTAATACTTGTAGAAATAAACAAATTGATATGGTTTAATTTTTCATATTTTTTTTATGTAGTGTGAGATGAGCTCTGTGCTTGGAGCAAACAATGAAAAAAGAAAAAAAAAAAAATTTAAGATGAGAAAAAGTATGCACATGATCTAAATCATGTGATTGGAATGTGTGACTTTAATCACGTGGATATGTCTCCTTCATTTTTCTGCTAGTGTTGGTCGCATGGAACTACAGTTTAATCGACGTATTTTTTTTCGCGTCTAATAAAGCTCTCCCCTCCCTACTCGTATATACGTGCATTGTTCTTTACCCTATAGGATATTTATGTTTACTTGGGATGTACTACCACCATTTAGACCAACTTGAGATAGGATGTAGGGTAAATCAGAGGATTATCGTACCATATTAGACGTAGGAGGGGAACAGGAGGGGTTAAGAGAGGGGTTGCGAACCAACTTTTGTGTAATTTCCTGAACCGGTGAGGTTTTTCCACCACGCCGATTTCGCCAATAATTTTTCAACTATTATTCATATATAATATTAATTTTTCTCCTTTAAACTCTACACTGTATCTACTTGTATAACCAAAGCAACTATGAGAATCAATTTTAGAGTATTCATTAGGACATTATCTTCCGGTGGAAGATTACCTCCGGTTAAGCTTACTTACCAAAATATGCTCAAGGATCCATCAATTAAATATCCACCACCAAAACATATTAATTTACCCAATAGAACTTGGCCAAACAAGGTAATAACCAAAGCCCCTAGATGGTTATCTACTGATTTAAGAGATGGTAATCAATCATTACCTGACCCTATGTCTGTTGCTGAGAAGAAAGAATATTTCCACAAGTTAGTCGAAATTGGATTCAAGGAAATTGAAGTTAGTTTCCCATCAGCTTCTCAAACTGATTTTGATTTTACCAGATATGCTGTTGAACATGCTCCTGAAGATGTATCTATTCAAGTTTTAACCCAGTCTAGAGAACCATTAGTTAGAAGAACTGTTGAATCTGTTAAAGGTGCCAAGAAGGCAATCATTCATATATATTTAGCTACTTCGGATGTTTTCCGTGATGTTGTCTTTGGAATGTCCAAGGAAGATGCTATTTCCAAGGCAGTTGAAACTACCAAGTTAGTCAGGTCCTTAACTAAAGATGACCCAAGCATGAATGAAACTGAATGGAACTTGGAATTCTCTCCTGAATGTTTCTCAGATACTCCTGTTGAATTTGCTGTAGAAATCTGTGAAGCTGTCAAGAAAGCCTGGGAACCAACTGCAGAACATCCAATGATTTTCAACTTACCTGCCACTGTTGAAGTTGCTGGTCCAAATGTGTATGCTGATCAAATTGAGTATTTCTGTACTCACATCACCGAACGTGAAAAGGTTGTTGTTTCAACCCATTGTCACAATGACCGTGGTTGTGGTGTTGCTGCTACTGAATTAGGTATTTTAGCTGGTGCTGACCGTGTTGAAGGCTGTATCTTTGGTAATGGTGAACGTACTGGTAATGTTGATTTAGTTACTGTTGCTTTAAATATGTACACTCAAGGTATTGCTCCAGAGCTTGATTTCTCTGATCTTGAAAGTGTTATTGAAGTTAGTGAAAGATGTAACAAGATTAATGTGCATCCAAGAGCTCCATACGGTGGTTCTCTTGTTGTTTGTGCCTTTAGTGGATCTCATCAAGATGCTATCAAGAAGGGCTTCTCCAAGGCCGAAGAAAGAGTTAAAAAGGGTGATATCAGATGGGCCATGCCATACTTGCCATTAGATCCAAAGGATATTGGTAGAAATTATGAAGCTGTTATTAGAGTTAATTCTCAATCGGGTAAAGGTGGTGCCTCTTGGGTTATTTTAAGATCATTAGGTTTGGATTTGCCAAGACATTTACAAGTGGCTTTTTCCACTTTAGTCCAACACAAGGCTGATTCATTAGGTAGGGAATTATTAACTGAAGAAATTTGTCAATTATTCACCAATGAATATTTACATAAATCAGATCCATTCCACCTTGTTGATTTCAACATTACAAAGGTTAAAGATGATCGTGAAATCAAGGCTGTTCTTGCAAGTTCAACTGGTGAAGTCACTATTTCCGGACAAGGTAATGGTCCAATCTCAGCATTTGTTGATGCTCTTTCAAATAAATTTGGTATCTTGTTTGAAGTTGTTAATTATAGTGAACACTCTTTGGGTAGTGGGTCAAGTAGCAAAGCTGCAACATATGTTGAATTATCATACTTAAATTCAAATGATAAAAGAGTTAGTAAATGGGGTTGTGGTATCCATACCGATGTTTCCCAAGCCTCGATTGAAGCTATTCTTTCAGTTGTTAATTCATTGATTGATTCAAAGGAGATTTCTATTTAGTCTGAAATTTAATTCTGTGGTTTTATAGCGTAATAAAATAAAGCAATTATTAAATCGTAAACCCCCCCCCCCTCCTCGTTGACTTTTCGTTCTCTTGCAACCAAACTAGGGCTACAGCCCTTGACATATTTTACACGTGATTTGTTTATCATCCTGTATAGTAAGATTGTTTTTTTTCCTAGTGAGAATTAAAATTTTTTATTGCTGATGAGGCAAATTTACAGTTTTTCTCTCCCAGTCTACAGGTTCGCACAGTTTGTCTTTCCGTTAGTTCTTTAGTTTTCGAGCAAACTCTGGCAAACAGTGCATTTTACACTATAGAACAAAAAAATTCTCATTCTTTTTTTTTCACTCTTCTTTTAGTTCTAGTCAAAGCACACCATGTCTACTTTTGAACCAGTTGTTGTCATTGATGGTAAGGGCCACTTATTAGGTCGTTTAGCTTCTATTGTTGCTAAGCAATTATTAAACGGTCAAAAGGTTGTCGTCGTTAGATGTGAAGCATTAAATATTTCTGGTGAATTCTTCAGAAACAAATTGAAATACCACGACTACTTGAGAAAGGCCACCAGATTCAACAAGACTCACGGTCCATTCCACTTCAGAGCTCCATCCAGAATTTTATATAAGGCCATCAGAGGTATGATTCCTCACAAGACTGCCAGAGGTAAGGCTGCTTTAGAAAGACTCAAGGTCTTCGAAGGTATTCCACCACCATATGACAAGAAGAAGAGAGTTGTTGTTCCTCAAGCTTTAAGAGTCTTAAGATTAAAACAAGGTAGAAAGTACACCACCGTTGGTAAGTTATCTTCTGCTGTTGGTTGGAAATACGAATCCGTTGTTGACAAATTGGAAGAAAAGAGAAAATTACAATCTGCCGAATACTACGCTAAGAAGAAGGCTTTAACTAAGAAGATCATCGCTGTCAACACCGCTGAATCTGATGTTGCTAAGCAATTGGCTACTTTTGGTTACTAAGTTTATAAGGTCAAGACTTAAATATGTACTTTTATAAATTTTGTTAATACTACAACAAACTAATGAAACCATAAATATATATTTACAAAGATGGGAATTAATGTGATATCTGTATATTACATATGTGCTACATCACTATATCCTCTATGTAAATTGTGTAAAATCCTCCTCAAGATAATTCTCTTCAGGTGTCGCGACGACTTTGAAATTGTTTTGTGGTTGCTGCCAACTTGTTTTAACTTACTAGCAATAGAATCAGCGAAGGTAACTGAACCAGTTGATTGATCCACAAATTTCTCTTGATTTAAATACTTTTCAATCTTAAACTCTTTATAACAACCTCCTTGAGTATCTGGTTTAATAACAATCAAAAACTTGTTATACGTATGTACATTTAATTCCTTCAATTTTGGCTGATTAGCATTCAACCCGAAAGTATAAGACTTCCCTAGATGAATTAAGTTGATTTGATTTATAAGAAATTCTTGTGGATAAAATCCCAAAGTTGACTGGGTAGCATAGAAGTATATGAACAAGTGACTTAATGTTAGATCGGCAATGTCGATCTGACAATAGGTGGTTATTAAATTATGCACGGCTGTTAATTTGACGTTAATATCATGATGGTTATAGATCATAATTAATTCAAGTTCTTCATCATTCAGTTCCAAATGTTGTACTGTTCGGGTCTTGGTAAGTCTCGTATTAAGGTAATTGGTGAATACTTGACTATTATACTGAACTGGTGTTGCCAATGTAAGGCATGATTCGCAAGGTGATAAAGTGGCCATCATTAAAGTACCTCTATAAGCAGATATAAGAAAGAAAGGAAGCACATATCAATGATCTTCAAAATAGGGGCCTGGGGATTGTTTTTATAATTTTGCTTGTCAAGAATTATTATATCGTGGGGTCCATTGTTTTTGTGGTGTGAAAGCACCTTATTTAAAATAATATTTTTTTTATGCTCTTGCTAATTTTGTTCTATGTGTTTTGTAATTATTCCGAACAATATTCCAAAATAAAAAAAAAAACAAGGTGAGGTTTGTTGACAAGGCACTACGAGCTCCGTCAACTCCCTAACCATTTGCCGAATCCAACTAGGTCATCTATTTAATTAATACCTCGGATGAAAATAACCGTGATATCCTTTGGGTGATTTAGTCGAAATTTTTAAGCATCATTAAAGTACAACTATTTCCTTGGCCTCGTCGAAAGTTGCACGTAAATCAGACAGACAGAAAAAAAAATTTTAGTCACCCCCACCTTGCTACTCCCCCCCCCCCACTTCAAATTAATTAAAAAAATGGAAGTTTGATCCATTTCTGTGATTCTGACTGTGAAACAACTTATTGTTTTTTTTTATTATTATTATTCAAGATCACAAATTCAATTCTTCCGAACGCACCTTGATGTACACAAGTTTTGATTTTACAAATGTATGATTTGATCTGTATAATCGCCGCATGTTCGTTTGGATCCAACATGTCAACAAAAAATAAATCTTGCTGCAAGCGAAAGATATTTATGGTGCGATCTCAGTGATTGTTAAAAAGAGGTTTTGACGAAACTACAACAGGTCTGGTGACAATTTTCAAATTATCAAATGTAAATTGTAAACTGTAAACCGTGAATCCATTCAGATTGAGGAAGCTCGAACGAAGCATTTTACTCGAGCTACTGACAAAACGATAAAGTTTAAGGATTCCAACATGCTGCAAACAACGATTCTAGATATACTAGAATATATCTTTCCTTCTATTTTATCACTAGAGCCTTATTTTTTGTTTATATCAATCTCACTGCTTTGAATGTACCGGGTGGATAGCTTAGTTGTGCGGTGGATAATTGAACGAATTTTCTAGTTCCTTATTGTCTTGGCACAACGAAGAATACGAAAGTTTGAATGTCAACACTACCTATTCTAACTTATCTTATCCGCCATCAAACTAATAAACTCGATTCTTTTCAGATCTAAAAGAAAACTTGCATGGGTATATAACTGTTTAATCAATTGAACAAGTAAGTAGTTTGTCTGACTGGCATTACGTTCATCAATTAACTTCAGTATGTCTTCTATAATCACCACATGTTCTTTTACGCCAGGAAAATATTTAACCAATTGCTGTAGCGTGGTGAACCGTTCATAATTTATGTTGTACTTGGTTAGTGGATATGGATTAAGAAGAATTTCAGGTGTGGTCGAATTAATATAAGTTATATCAATCTTTTCTGGAAGACTCGATAATATCTGTTGTAGTGATTGTCTCTTGTTAGTGGTGACTAGATATGTTACTCCTTCATCTGACATGATTAGAGAAGTTTACAATGTTGTCTAAAATTAATTTTTCATGAATTAAAATAAACTGAATATACACGTGACTTACTTCATTCTGGATTATATATATAAAAAAAACGGTCTCCTCCTCAAATACCCCTCTATCAGCGGTTTATGCCAGCTTAATTGTCATTATCTTCTGGTTTATCTTCTGGGCTATCAACTTTTTCTTCCACAACTTCAATTTTTTCCACAATTCCCTTTCTTGCCTTGACAATAGTTTGTAAGTTTTCATTGGAAAGTAACAAACCATATCTTCTATATTGTTTAATAAATTCAGGCAATTCACTACTTGATTTACTTTCAACGTTTTGAGCAAAAACAATTCCCAATTCTGCAAAATAATCATAGGTCAATCTCAACTTGAAATTTGGTTGTTTTGCTTCTTGTAAAAGTTGTTCCAAGGTACGGGTCATGTTTTCCCTAGTTAATGGGGTGTTATAACCTTCACCTTCTTCCAATTCACAACCCAAGTGCTTCATGGTGTCGAATAATCCGGCTCTATGAGCTTGAATCATACCTCCGTGCTCGGCAATCTTGTAATCACGGTAATAATCCTTGTATTCGTCAATGGTGGCTTTTCTGGTACCAGTCCATCCTAATTCAAGTAATTGCTCCTTAGTAAGGTCTTTTGGAGATGGGATACTAGTTCCTGGAAGCTTAAAGACTTTGATAGGGTTGAAAGCACCGGTGTATAACAATCCGAAAATCATAAGAATTTTCATAATATGGAAAACAAAGAAAATAATTTGGCCGGTAATACCAACCTCGGCTGAATCTTCAAGTAATAAAGCGGCAATTTTGTCTTGTTTGAAATATACTGCTAAAACAGCAAATAATCTTGTAACTTGGTTAGTTAAACATATACCTGGAGTAGGACTGATAAAGTCAGGTAAATCGGTATATAACCAACTTAATAAGAAACTTAAAAATGCATAGAATCCAAAGTCGTTGAATTCCCATTCTGGAATGATTAATTGACCTGGCCAAACGTGTTCATTAATGCTTGCATTTAAATCAGTTATACGTTCAGTTTGTTTTTGGGATTCATAATCGAAAAGGAAATTACCATCTTCAGTAACGTAACCTGGACTTATAGACTTCTTGAATCCTATAGGACGTGCATGATAGAATACACTAGGGCGAAGGGCGATAGGTAAGGTATCAAAAATCTTGTAAAGATCTTTGAATGTGGTTGTGGTCTTTACTTGGAAACAGTAATCCTTTTCCATATCATCGTTGAAACGTAAATAGATATCAACGTATCCTGATTGTGAATCATCTTCTTGTTGTTCTTTAGCTGTGCTTGACATGGTAATCCTGGTGAAAAGAAGAATGTCAATGTCAATTGGAAGGAAAATAAGAGGAGTATTTAAAAGCAATTCAACAAATTTAATCTTTTTTTTTTTCGTCCACCGCCACTTACACTTTTTCGCTTCACCTGATGGAATTGACAGAGGAAAAAAATATTAAGGACAAGAGGGGAGCCTAGATAGATAATCCAAGTCCGAAATGGTTGAAAGAGAAAGCAATTTTTCTTGACTTAGTTACTTCGGTACTGTTACAGTAGTAGTTGTTTGATGATACTGCTAATCTATGTTCACGGCTGATGCAAATATGAATAGTGCCTTAGCAATATCCTCCAAGTTACCGTTGGACTAAAAAAAAAAAATGTGTGTGTGTGTGTGGAACAAGTGGGGGGTAGCAGCGGGGTCGGAAAATTACGAAGTAGCCAGTTGAGAATTAAATTAAAAACGACTTTCGACACCCACAAAAAAATTGAATGTAGAAGTAATTCCGGCGAAATCGAAAGAAAAAAAAATAAAAAAAGAGTAGGAGAATTTTTTAGGTGATTGGGTGGAGAAAATCTTATCGTGCTTCTGCTGAAAGTTTTTGTTGTTACGGAAGAAAACGCGGCAAAATTGCGAGGATACTTCTAACTAGCTAGATTTTTAGTTAGTTTAAGGTCTTCCGCACGTTTCTCTCATACTCTTACTGTATAGATTTATCTATGGGTTGAGTTTTGCATAATAGTATTATTGGGAATTGTTAAAAAAATGGTTAAATTTCTACCGAAAAAGGTTGAGTAAAAATTTCGCAACCAAATTGAAAAAAATTATCTAAAACAGATGGTACGGTGAATATTGGTTGAGGATTACAGCTGACAGGGTATCATTTGAAAAGTTTATTTATGCCAGAGTAATCAAATCCAGTCGGGAAACCACACACCATCGTAGTAATGTGCTACTGATGGCCATAACATCCGCCTGTGAAAGCCCTCTAGAAATTTCAAATGACAAGCCATAAACGCGTAAATTTTAACCCATTATGATTGGCTAGTGGTTGAAATCTTGTTAAAGCCTACTGAAACTTTCGTCTTAAGAGTTATTACTTATAGGCTTAAGATTATGGCTTAATGTTAACACAGCCCAATTATTTTGTTTTGGTCGTGTAAATTGGTGAAGAAGATTATTTTTTTTTGATCTAGTATACTTTGTGTAATGTTTCGAATTTAACCAAATTTAGAAGTGACGATTCGAAAAAAAAAAAATAATAATAATGAATAAAAATCTGCCATTTGATTCAAATGGTGATTCGCGTGTTATTGCGGGTATAACATTCGAAAAAGGGAAAGGAAGAAATTTATGGGGACAGGTTCAGACATATCCACTTTCACATATATTGCTGGCTATTATAAGTTGCACAAATGTGGTCTCACTAAGCCAAGATTTATTTCCCAGAGAATTTTTTGCCGGTGAAGCCATTTAAAAAATTTTTCCATCCTGATTTTCCGCAACCCTTTCTTCATGCACATTAAATTGGTTATACAAAGAGCACAAAAGATCTAGACGATGCCATTGCATAATGGATATTTTCAAGTTTGGGGTTATCCATCGTTGTAGTTTAATTTTTCTCTTGTTTTTCGTGTTAGTTGCTGTGTTGTACCAGAATGAAGCATGTGGAAACCTTCTCGTTGCGCGCCTGGTTTCACCATACAATGTTCAAAACCAGGCCAAGACAAAAGTTAAAAAAACCGTTCAAACTTTAGATTGACAGGTGCTGCAATTGCAAAATTTCTAGCATTTAAACTCTTGGTAAAGATCGATGCTTCTATCATTCGGTCCGATCTTTTTCTCTTTTTTTTTTAATTTACTGCCGGCTAGCTGATGCTATGACGAATAGCCAAAGCCATATTTACTTCTAAAATTAAATTGTGCATTTCTTTTTTTTTTATTTACCATTTTATTTTTTGTTTTTTTTTCCCCCTAAACAACAAACGAAAAATTCAAGGGATCGAGAAACCGAATCTGTCAATTTAAAAAAAGCGTAAATCGCCTGGCGGTTTTTTTTTCTTGATTCTTTCTCCTACTTTTTCTTGGTCAAGACAGTTGATAGACAACCTTTCACTTTCGCTAATGTTGTTTAAATCTTTACTTCCTTCAGCCATCGTGGCTATTTCCACCTTCATTTCCTCGGTTTCCGCCGACGATTTACCACCAATCGAAATTGTTGGTAACAAATTCTTTTACTCCAACAATGGTTCCCAATTTTTCATGAAGGGTATTGCTTATCAACAAAATACTGCTGATTCCAACTCCACTTTTGTTGATCCATTAGCTGATGCCGATGCTTGTAAGAGAGATATCCCATACATGCAAGCTGTTGACACCAACGTTATTAGAGTTTATGCCTTAGACACTACCCAAGACCACACTGAATGTATGCAATTATTGCAAGAAGCTGGTATCTACGTTGTTGCTGATTTATCTCAACCAGATGAATCTATCAACAGAGCCTCCCCATCTTGGGATTTAGACTTGTTAAAGAGATACACTTCTGTTGTTGATTTATTCCACAACTACACCAACATCTTGGGTTTCTTTGCTGGTAATGAAGTTACCAACGAAGTCTCAAACACTGATGCTTCTGCTTTCGTCAAGGCTGCTATTAGAGACACCAAGGCTTACATTAAGGCCAAGGGTTATAGAACCATCCCAGTCGGTTACTCTGCCAATGATGACACTGATATTAGACAATCTTTAGCTCAATATTTCGCTTGTGGTGATGACGATGAAAGAGCCGATTTCTTTGGTATTAACATGTATGAATGGTGTGGATCTTCTTCATTCACCACATCTGGTTATTCTACTATTACCAAGGATTACGCCAACTTAAACATTCCACTTTTCTTCTCCGAATACGGTTGTAACAAGGTTACTCCAAGAAAGTTCCAAGAAGTTGCTACCATTTATGGTGACCAAATGACTGATGTTTGGTCTGGTGCTATTGTCTACATGTACTTCCAAGAAGAAAACGATTACGGTTTAGTTTCTATTGACGGTTCTGGTAAGGTCAGCACTTTACAAGATTACAACAACTATAAGTCTCAAATCTTGCAAGTTAGCCCATCCGGTGTTAAGGCTGCTGATGAATCTTCATCTTCTCTTTCTCCAACTTCCTGTCCTACCAACACTGACAACTGGGAAGCTTCTACTGAATTACCACCAACCCCAGATAAGGATGTCTGTAACTGTATGAGCGAATCATTATCTTGTGTTGTTTCTCCTAAGGTTAAATCAAGCAAATACGGTGATTTATTTGATTACGTTTGTGACCAAATTGATTGTTCCGGTATTGGTGCCAATGGTACCACTGGTGAATATGGTGCTTACTCCCCATGTGAAGCCGCTGACAAGTTAAGTTTCGTCTTGAACCTTTACTACGAAGCCCAAGGTGGTGATGATTCTGCTTGTGACTTCGATGGCAGTGCTACCCTCCAAAAGGCACAAACTGCTTCTTCTTGTTCCGCTATCTTGAAGTCTGCTGGTACTTCTGGTTTAGGTACTGTAGTTGGTGCTATTCACACTGATGAAAGTGACAGTCAATCTAACGGTTCTTCTACCAACGGTTCCAACTCTTCCAAGACCACTTCTGGCTCCAGCAGTTCTGGTACTTCTGCTGCCAAGAAGAACAGTGCTAACTCTAACTCTGCCATGACCTTATGGACCAAGATTGGTGCCGTGGGTGTTTCCATGGTTGTTGGATTCGGTATGATTATGATGTAAGTTTGTATTATTTAAGATATTTAGAGTTTATAAATATAATTGATTGTTCATTAGGCTTGAAAATTCATGTATTCTATACTAATTTTACAGATATAATGCTAACTACTCATTTTCCATAACCATTTTTCGTATCTCCCAATAATAATCTCGATTAAATTGGTAATCGCCAATACCATTAATAAACCATCGTTTAATCTTTTTAACGATTTTAACTTCTTCCTTTTGGAATTTTTCAATTAGTTTTCCAGATAATTGGAATTCTTGTCTCCATTGTTCTGCATCTTGTTGCAAATTGGACTTACTTGTTAGCGATGACATTGTTCGTTGAGTAAACTGACTAGCGCCTCGGTTAATAGGCGAAATTCGTTGTGGTTCTTGTGGCTGTTGGGGATAAGGGGTTAGACCTGGCGGGGAATTCAATCTATATGGTTTGGCTTCAACCAAATCAGGAATATCATGAAATACTGATTCGTCATCATGATTCATATTAACCCATCGAAGGTTTTCTTGATCATAAACCATATTTGGTTTAGTCTTTGGTTGTTCTTTTTGTTGTTGTAATTCACGGAACGTTATCAAGGTAGGTTTAGTCACGGTTTCAAAACGCACTAAATCAATTTCATTGCCTTCCCATCGATTCATGGCGGCATTGAATTTCATAGTCTTCTTTGGCGTGGGGTATACTGGATCGGTAATTATGCTATTATTGTTAAGGTATTTTACGGTCCCAAGCTTGGGTTTGGGATTTTGATGTTTAATTTTCAGCTTGTGCTTATGCTCGTGTTGTTCTTTATACTTGTTTAAAAGTTCAGCTTTGGCGGGATTGTTATTGCTAGTATTGTTATTGTAAAATGATGGAATTCGATCAAGTTTCCTGATTATATTGTTATTAAAATGAAATTCAGGAAGATCTGCTGCCACTTCTTCTTCTTCTTCTTCTTCGTCAATATCGGCTTCTCGTATACCCCTGAGGGTTCCAAAATCCATAGTTGATTTAAATTTTTTAACTGCAGAACCATTATTTCCTCTTAATACTGGCATAGATTGTTTGGCTCGAATAGGAGGTTTTTGTTTAATTTGCCTTTGAATATTCTGTTCGAAATTTACATCAAATCCATCTTCAAATTTAGCAAAATCATCCCGGGTATATTCATAATTTACAGTATTTTCACTTTCAATCATGTCTAAAAGGTTAAGGTTTTCATTAGTTAACTTATTATCTTGTTGAAACATGGAAAAATCCTTAAGCTTTAAAGTTTGATTAGGATCATTGTCAAAATCTATAATCTTCTCCCGCCTGGATGAATATAGCATTCTTAATTCCTCTTGTTCCCGTTCAGCAACTTTCTCTTGTTCGCTTATTTTTGCATTCAATCGTTGTTTCATCGAAGTTTCCCCCTGGAAAATATCATCCAAGCCTTGGAAATCGTTATCAGTAAATTCAGAGGTAACATCGGTATCTAAATCCTCACTATATTCACTCAAACATTCCCTCATTACTCTTCGATGTGCAACCTCGCCACTACTACTAGTGGAGCTCTTGGATCTGGGTTTGAGAGAGTCAAGCTTGTCTCCAATATGGTATGATGGAGAAGGTGTCGTTTTATTTATAGGTGAATCTTCAAGTACAAGTTGTTCCATTTTGAGCGTTTCAACTCCATCATCATGTCGATTTATCCCCAGGGGTAATACATTCTGGTTATTGTTTAACTGCAGAGGATTATGTCCAAAGTCTATTCCTTCTATATCTCCAAAGATTTCATCGTCGTTGTCATTGTCCGCAAATCGAGTCAAGAGTTGGGCTTTATACAGATTTGGTACCGATGTTGATGCTTTCACTTTCCTGGATTTCATTATTGTTACAATTAGACCACTCCCTTTCGTTCCGCCGGGGAGTTACAGGGTGTTATTACTTGGCTGGGGTGAAAATTTTCTAGGGTGTTTTAAAAACCTGTTTTTACTTGATTTGGTGGCATCAAAATGTAAACAAACTGGGATTAACAACAGAAAAAATAGAAACACCAAATTTCCACGATCACGTGAAAACATAAAAAAAAAAAATCTTTTATTTTATTCAGAGTCTTTATACAAATCAGGATCGATAATATCGCTAACTGGTGGTGTCAATGTCAGCTTCAACTTTAAAATCTTGCTATCAATAATTGGTGGAACAATAATAACAGCAACCAAGAATAATGCAGTTACTATAAATAACAAGAAATTCCAAAATATTTGCCATTTCTGCCGTCTTCTTTCTCGCTTTCCAAATACTGGTCGCGAAATTTGTCTTGTCGGCTTTAACCAGAATAGCATACTTGTATGCCAACGGTCAATATATGGAATAAACAAGATTGGAAACATGGCAATTAAAAGGAAATGTCCAATCATAAAATCCAAAGTAAATTTATTCAATTCTAAAGTCTTAACCAAGAACTCGCGTATATGCTGAGTGACAACTGAAAATCCCAATCCATTCCCAATCCATCTTCCTGACCACCACGCCTTGTTGGAAATATTGTCAGTAATGTTATCTGTACGTTCTCGGGAAACAAACACAATTAGAATAAAGTGACCAATTACTCGGTGTAAATTGAGTACAACCAACGATGCTGAAATCAACTTGACAATATTCCAATCTTCAAGAAAGAATAGAAATTCAAAGTTAGCTATGTTTACCAAAATTGAAATAACATGGGCAATGGCAGCTATTGCTGCTGGTAAACTTTTGTAGCAAACCCCTAGAAATGGTGCAAGCACTATTGACAATGGCCAAAGAACAAGCAAGACAACTGCATTTTCTAAATAAGGTGCCACGGTGATTAACGCAATTTTCAAAAATGGATTTTTCAAATTCAACCCCAAGTAATTATCCTCATTATTTATAAACAAATAAGGACATAAATAAAGTAGGGTGGTGATAAATGGTGAAAATACTTCCCCTGTCAATAAATTAAACAATGAAGAATCTCGTCCCAGCGAATAGCTTCCTTTTTTAGCCCCTGTTAATTTGGTTCTCTTTGTCTTGATGTGATGTATCCATGACATTTTAATAGTTTTTGACGAATTTCCACTTGATAACCACTTGATATAATTGCCATAATCGATAAAGAAATCACTCATGCTGAATTGGTGGGGATTAAATAAAAAAGGTGCTAAACATAATGATACAATGGTAATGACGAACCAAACCAATGCTTTTCTCCACATAGTCAAGGATGCAAATAGTATAACAAGGAAAATTTCGCACCCATAATAAATTGATGAACCTGCATATTGGGAATATAACTTACTAAATGCAATACGAGAAATTGCAAATCCTCTACCTGTGCCGATGTACAGAGCTTCTCCAAATATTAAATTATCTCGAAGTGACTTGAAATAAATCTGACAAACAAACACTTCAAAAAATGGGGAAAGAGAAATAACTTGGAAAATTATTCTATAAATCGCCTTGATGAACCCCTTTTCGATCAATTCTTGGATAATCAATGGTAAGAATGATATAAAGAAACAAACAAAAACTGAAAGAACAAATCTGTCAATCCAATTCAAAACTGGTCCTAGATCATGGCATCCACGAGTTGGATTATCTCCAGCTTCACAAGATATTGTACCATAATTAAGTGCTCCGAGATTTGCAACCAATAACATAAACATCTTTACAGATAACATAATCGATAAATTATTAATATGAAAACCTGGATGGGCATAATAAAATGACAAGAATCGATCAATGGGTAATTTTGTGCCTAGGTAAAAGTATTCTCTTGATAGTAACTGTTCTCCCATTCCGGCGCCAATCTTGGTAGTGAAATTGATAATTGATTCAAACCCTAAATCTCTACCTTTCCCACATTGATAATAATCACAATGTTTTATTCGTCCGCCACGACAAGTGGCTGTCATTCCAGCATAAATGTCTTCATTTAGGTGTAATCCTCGTTGTGCTTTAGAAATACCACCTCTGGTGGTCATAAATATCCCATTAAGGAAATCAGGATGTCCATAATGTAGTTTTGAGCCAATCTCACCCATAGTTCTAGCAAATAAGGTTCCAAAAGTTTGTTCCTTACCTGCAGCAATGTCGCCTAAAATACCAATATTTTGAGAAAATATATACTCTCTAGCACCTAAAATTGCAACTGGATTTGAATCTTCTTGAGTATCTCTAGCTGCAGGATCATATCCGTTCCCAATATCTATATTGATTTCCTCAAATTCAGATAACAATGACTTGATTTTTAAGCATTCTTCCAAATAATTATCCTGGTTCGCATCGATAACTTGGATGTACTCCCCTCTGTAAAATATAATTGAATGGTTTTGATTATCAGATTTCCCATCTCCTAAAATTGGATTTCCAGACAATTTAATTCTGTATTTCCTCCATAGTTTCCCTTCGGGGTCTGTTCTCGAAACATCCAACAATGTGGAATAATATTCAGTGACTTCGTCATTGATTTTAACTTTTTCCAAATGGGCAACTTTGAGAGTTGGAAATGCCCGGAATAATGTCTCTGCATCTTTATTCAATGGTACCGAATTTTCTAAATTTTGCATTGCAACCAATAAATTATACTTCCTACTGGCAAATTCCTCCAATTCAGCTTCGTTGTGATCTTCAGAATTAAACCCCAAATCTTCAATTTTATAAAGCACTTTTAGTGCAGTTTCATAATTCATAAACCCGGATACTGTTCGGTATAAAGTTTGACATCTTAATGTAGCCCAAATCAGAGTTCTCAATATATTTTCTGGAGTTTCATCTTTGAAACCAAGACAGTACAACGGTAATTCTGCTGAATTTATGGTGAGGTTCACCTGTTTAGACACATCCTTCATTTCGGTATTCAACATAGGGATTATATCATCATCGTCAATATCAATAGTTTCCAACATCTTACTATCCTTAACAAAGGCCTCCCATTCACTGGGATAAAGTTGTTTCAAATAATCCAATAAAGTCAACTTGGAAAGTGCCGAGTGCAGAATTAATTCTTCTAAATTAATAAGAATCTTTTCATTATAATGGGGAATTAGCACTGTAAATGTAGGTATAGCCACTACTTCAAATGGTTCTGGAAGCGGGCTGGAAAGTGATTGGGCAAAGAATGTTATTCTTCGTTCGCATTCCTTTCCAATAGTAAAGAAATCATGTAGTTGGAAGGTATTATCATCAGCATAAACAAAAAACAATGGTCTTATAGGATTCTGATTGTTAATTCCTCGTTGATAAACTAATTTGCTGACTTGTTCCACTGAAAGTAAATGCTCTCGATATAACGAAAACATGATTGTATTCCATATTTGCGACAAATTCAAATCGGAAGATCCTCCATTTTCTTGGGAATAGATCTTACTGGATAATCTCTCTGGTAATCGGCAAAATATATTCCTCCATGGTGTGAATATGGAGACACCTAATGAAAATGATAACCCTACTGAAAATAAACAATTACAAATGACGTACCATAGATAGGTATCAAGGAAAAACAAAATCAAATCTGTAAGGTATAAAATAACCAAAGCTAATTTCGGCTGGAACTTACAAATGAAATTCCCCTCACTACAATTCAACACAATTGTAGACAAAATTTGAATAGGATCTTTCATGGATAGAATCAAGAAAAAGTAAGATTCTGAATATTTTGCAACAAATACGCAGATCCATAATAAACAGGAAAATATTCGACTTCGTAACTTCAACCTGGGAAACGATCCTGAAAATGTATTATTTGCACCCGTTCCTGGAAAGTCTCCTGGTGATGCAATCGATAAATAAAGAAACGTCAAAATGGAAAATGTAAGCAGGATACTTCCGATAACAATACCATTATGGGAATATTGATCCCAATATAAAAACCCAAGGGTATAAATGGAAGGAGATATATTGAGGATAGTAAGAATCACAAGGAATACAATTCTATGCCAAAGTTGTTGTTTGTTTGGAACTCTTCTTGGAACAAAGAAATATTCACAAATATCACCTGCTAACGATAGTAAAGAAGCAATTGCTCCACCCAATGACATAATTGCCAATCTAACGTGCATTTGTGGTTCTTTGTTAGGTACATAATCAGGGGTATAAAGAGACGGCGAGTTAAGTGACATAAAATACCAAAATACCGATACATGTACAATCCAAACTCGATTGAAATTAGTAATTACATGGAGCCATGTTCTTCTTTCCCTGTAAGTTTTCTTGAATGCTTTGTCCCAATTTATTTCCCCGACTTTCATATATCTTTCTTCCTTAGGTAATGAATACAATCTCCTACCATCACGAAGTTTGATTTTGTAAAGACCTTTTGGACTCCAAAATTGCTGATTTATATCATCATAACCGATAGTGTTTGCATGATCAGTTTCTTTACGTTGCCATCCCCCACCTTCGGCTTTACAATATTGCTGATCCCTTATAAAATTATAGATGGGAGTAATTATCTGATCTAAAAAGTGGAATTGAGGAAGGCCAATATTTTCCTGTTGATCTTTATCGGTGGGTAATATAGATCTTTGGTACTGCCAATAATCAAATGCACTTTGAAATATAAAGCATATACATTCAGGCATGAATCGTACGTTATTTGCTTCTCCCCATATTAGCAAGTATAGTGCAATATGGTATACATAATCACTATCTGTGCATCCATGAAACCTTCTGGCCCATTTTGATTCATTTGATTCTTCCTCTATTGAATTTCGATTCTTCTTTTTCTTTATTGATTTCTTTGGATTCCAGGTAATATCGTAGTCAAAATTAAATTGTGCTGCAAAAAACCATTTCTTATAATTGGAATTTTTCCCACCGATATAATCCAAATGTAATGAAAGTAAAGCGGTGGGGCATCTCATTCTGCAAGATCGAGAATCTAATTGAGTCATGAAATGGTCAAACATATTGTTTACATTGTCGTTTTGAAACCCAAACATATCGCCAAGTTCAACGAATATATTTAAGATTTCTTGCTCTGAAAGTGTGGAGCCATTGTCAAGGTTCCATGATTTAAATTTGGATTCTTCCATTTTATTAGTTTTAGTACAATATAAAGTTTGTGTTACTGATAAGAAATGTTAACATATAAAGCGTGTTAGTGTTATATACGTGAGATTCACCATATTTATGATTAGAAGTTATTTGCTATGGAAAAGCAAGCCCAAATGACAAAGCATGTTTCAGATGTTTGTTATGCCATCTTTATCCTGCTTATATTTGAGCTTTTTCTACATGCATAATTTTCTTAAAAGCTAAATAGATTAAGGTTAACTACTGCAAAAAAAAAAAAAAGACCAACCTGTGAATATCAATTATAAAAAAATAATTATTCAAATATGTTTTAATGCCTTCAGCCAGATTCGAACTGACGATCTCCTCATTACTAGTGAGGTGCCTTACCAACTTGGCCATAAAGGCTTTTTTTCGTAAAAATTTCATGCTTTTTGGGGCCCCGAAAATGACACTGTTGCATCACGTGATCCACCCAAAATAGAAGCCATACCCCGTGCCGAAAAAAAAAAATAAAGGTTAAAACGTCACTTCAATTTCACCCTTAAAAAAAATGAGACTGCAAATTGATAATTTGTACACCAACATGTTGGTTTCTTTCACATTTAACCCAGTTAAGTTTGTTAAAACTGGAAAAATAAATGATATTCCGATACCGGGAGTCGAACCCGGGTCTGCTCGGTGAAAGCGAACCGTGCTAGCCGTTACACTATATCGGATGTTATTATACGATTAAATATGTTTATTTTTGGCACTGAAATCAAGAATTCGAAAACTTTTATTAAGTTATAACTATAGCATGAATGGTAGTATAGGAATAATTCTCTTATTGATCTATTCTGTTTTTGCTTAAGTTTCTTGCTATAGTAAACAAGTAGAGAAATCCCGTATTAAAATACCATATAATTTCCTCAAAACACTTAATTCAGTAGGAGATCATTTGCCAGCTCTATATGTACATGGCTTGGTATTGTTTCTTTAGTTCAAGGCATTTGTTAGTCATTTCGTATGAATATTCGTGGCTCTGATGTAATTGACTCATTACATATGGCTAAGGCTGGGTTCTTGATGACTTTTTATCGTATAAAATGGCTAGTGTGCATCTATTCCTTTGGTAATAACCATTTTAGATATCAAATAAGTTGTGCCAAAGTATCTTCTTTGATGGTTACTTATATATGTAAGATCTAGGTACCTTTAATGGATTGGGTTTTGATTTACGTTTGTTTTCACTCAAAATTCTACAAATATTCACCAAAACAACAAAACTTTAGCACAATTCCATCAGTATTGTAAATTATTCTTCTTAGCTTAGCTTACCCTGCTGATATTTACTTGATAGTATTATTTTAGTGGAAAAATGATGTAAAATGTTCCAATGTTTTCCTCGTACCACGGACCTCTTGATCCCCTGATTATTATTTTTTTTTCTCGCCAGCCATGTGTTTCCGCCGTGCATCAGCAAAACTCCACATCAGAATAAAGTTCCGTAGTATACCAACTTGAAACCTTTTCTGGACAAGTTATGCTAGTCAGCTAATATAATACAAACATACGCGAAACCAAGATTCAAAATTCACTTACTGGGTCACGTTTTGGACGCTGATTATGTGCCATTGGCTGAGAATTTCATATTTTTTTTATTGTTGCTCCTGGGTCATTGTTTCCGCATTGCCGCATAATTAGGTTAGGAAATTTTATTTGTAACCATCTCATTTTCACAGGAGCATTTAATCAAATTTGAACCACACTCTTTTCTTGTAGTTTACACAATCCTCGAAAAAATTGGAATAATACAATGAGTTACGACAATCCTGATTATCGTCGACCACCACCACCTCCCCCGCCTACCTATTCACAACAGCAGCAACCTCAATATGAGCAACAGCCATATCAACAACAACAAGGCTATGGCTATGAAGTTCCTGCCGATTTAGAAAATCAAGGATTGCAGCAATATTATGAGAAGCCAGTTCCTGCCCAAGATTTCGATGAAAGTTTCAAAATTGAGAAACCCAAATTTAATGATTGGCCATTTACAATTTTCTTCTTATTGGTTGTGGCTGGGTTTATCGCTGTTGCAGGTATAACCTTGAATGCTTTAAGGAAAACCTTTTCATTTGAAGGGGGTGGGATTTATAATTCTGGTAATTCCTTTAGTTTGAATACAAACACCATTATTTTATTTGCGTTTGTGATTGTTATGGGATTTGTGTTGTCTGCTTTAATTATCGTATTTGCAAGAATGGCACCAAAGTTTTTCATTACTTCAGGGTTAATTTTGAATGTAGCACTTGGAATTGGGACTTCTATTTATTATTTTATCAAGCATTATTATTCTGCGGCCATTGTTTTCCTTGTTTTTGCGTTATTTGGTGCCTGGTGTTATTGGAGAGCTCGTAGTAGAATTCCATTCAGTGCTACTATATTGACTATTGTTATTGATGTCATGAAGACCTATCCTTCAACATTGATTACTTCTTTTATTGGTATTTTAGTTGGTGCAGGGTTCAGTGTATTGTTTGCCGTGGTTATTGTTGCAACTTATGTTAAATTTGATCCTAATGAAAACAATGAAGGTTGTCGTGTTGGTGGTGGATCATGTTCGCAATCTAAACTTATTGGAGTTTTGGTGTTTGTTTTCTTTGCTGGTTACTATATTTCCGAAGTGATTAGAAATGTGATTCATGTTGTAATTGCTGGTGTTTATGGTACTTGGTATTACTTGGCCAATTCTGATCAGGGTGCCCCAAGACATCCAGCATTATCTTCATTGAAACGTGCTTTAACTTATTGTTTTGGATCAATTTCATTTGGGTCATTAATTGTTGCTTTGATTCAGTTGGTAAGACAACTTATCTCGATTCTAAGATCTAATTTTGCAGCTGAAGGCAATGGGTGGGCCGTCTGTTTTACGATTGTCCTTGATCTAGTTGTTGGATTTATCGACTGGATGGTTCGTTATTTCAACCAATATGCTTACTGTTATGTTGCCTTATATGGAAAGAGCTATGTCAAGGCTGCCAAAGATACATTTGATTTATTAAGATTTAAAGGATTTGATGTTCTTATCAATGATTGTTTTATCAACACTTCGTTGAACTTGTATTCGTTGTTTGTGGGTTATCTCGTAGCATTATTGGCCTTTTTGTATTTGAGATTTACTGCCCCTGCATACAATGACGACGGAAGTTTCTATGCACCAGTGATTGCCTTTTCATTTTTGATTTCAGGACAAATCACTCGTATTGCCTTGACGGTTATTGAATCTGGAGTGTCTACCTTTTTTGTTGCTTTAGCTAAAGACCCAGAAGTTTTCCAAATGACTAACCGGAAGAGGTTTGATGAAATCTTTAGAAACTATCCTCAAGTTTTGGAAAAAATTACTACTGACCATTAGACGTTAATATTTGTATATTTTTGTATACTGTTTGTATGAAATTTTAATCTTTTTTCACCCAAATAAATCTGAACCAGTCCACTCCCCCAAAAAATACACCTTTTCTTAATACACCCGCTATAATATCATGTTGACACTCGCAATTGGTGACTTGTTCATCCCAGAAAGATCGATCGATCTACCAACAAAGTTTAAAAAGTTGTTGGCACCCAATCCAAATTCCATACCATCAAACAACAAGATATCACGAGTTGTCTGTCTAGGCAACATACTCAACTCTCAAGAGTCCCTTAAATTTCTTCATAATCTATCACCACAATTCAACTTGGTCAAAGGAGAATATGATAATTCAACCATTCTTTCCCAGCAGTTGAGTATTCTTAGTCATAATAAAGAGGAAATTATACCTTATTGTAATGTATTTACTCATGACAACCTAAGAATTGGATATACTAATGGGTATCAAATTGTTCCCAAGGGAGATCCATTGGCATTACTGGCATTTTCTAGGGAATTAGATGTAGATATTTTGATCTGGGGTGGGTCACATAGAGTGGAGGCGTATACTTTGGATGGAAAGTTTTTTGTCAATCCCGGTAGTGCCACTGGGGCCATAACTTTCGATTGGCCAGATAATGAAGCTTATGAAGAAGAAGAAGAAGCAAATAAAGAAACAGAAATGAAAGAAGACAAGCCAGATGAGAAGAAGGAAGAGAAGGAAACGGAACAAGGTATTGAAGATCAAACAGAAAGCAAACAAGAATCTAGCAAGATTAACAAAGAAATCTTGTCAGAAGTCACCGAACTCAACTCCAATATCCCCTCATTCTGTTTGTTGGATATACAGGGGTCAACTTGTATTCTCTACATATACACCTATCTCAACGGCGAAGTCAAGGTAGACAAGGTCACTTACACCAGGGATTGATATTAATATTAATATATAAATACAATTGAAAAAGTACAAACTAAATGCCATTATGCTTGAACAGAAGAGTAATGTAATACAAATTCCTTTCTAATCTTTTCCCAATTATGAGGGTCAAAGAATATGTATACACCCTTTTCCACATCTTGACTTATCAACACAGGTTCTACATTACTATCTTTAGTCAACCATACTTGAATGTCCTTGTGATATCTCCAATTCCTAGCCACCAATTCTCTAGCAGCATATTCTTGCAATGTATCTCTTGGTTTCATATAGAATATATAAAACAAGGTTTCGTCGGTAAAACTTTGGATTTTGTTATCGCAAGGACCAGGACCAGGTACGATATTCTCTGATCTTATCTCAGGAGGTAAGGTGAAATATGGCTCTACTTCTGATCGTGAAGTTTCTGCCCATGGTGATGCAAGATTTTTTAATATTTCTGAGTCTTTACTTAGGTCTAATCCACTTTTACTTATATCTTGCCCTATGGCAAAATTGGTGAGATCCGATTGGTCCATTCTCACTAACGATGTCAATCCTTCCAATCCATATCGATTCATATCTTGTTCACTATTCTCGTTGTCTGTTGATACACCTGTTACTGCTTGATACTGAGTTAGTTTAACTGCTCAAATATTGCTCTTTCTGACTAAAAATATTGACTTTTGAATACGTACGCATGATGAAAATTCAATTTTTGATAAAAGATGTCCTTCTAGTTACACGAAATACACTGGTGTTGGTTAATAGTTTGGTTGTTCTCATTTAACCTGTTCCAAAGATCCCAAAGCAAAAAAATTGCTGAATGAATCTCAAACCCGGAATTAAGTCACATGACCAGATTTAATTCCGGAGGATGCCTACTAGTTTTTTTTTTTTTATTTGCTCCTATCAAGAAGAGCTATAGTTATGACATCTACAACTAACCGGGCAATGTCACGCAGATACTTTCCAAATATTATAATAACGGGTACTCCAGGATGTGGTAAGTCGTCCCATTCTGAAAGTCTTGTTTCCCATTTAAACCAAGAGTTATCCAAGAAGGGTCAAGAGTTTACTCATTTAAATGTCAGTGATCTTGCCAAGGAACGTGGGTGTATTGAATCTTATGATGAAAGGTTAGACACCTCTGTGGTCGATGAAGATAAATTGTTAGATTCTTTAGAAGTGGATCTTGAAAAAGGGGGTGCTATTGTTGACTGGCATTGTTGCGATATCTTCCCAGAGCGGTTAATTGATTTGGTTGTGGTTTTAAGAACTGATAATTCTAATTTATATGACAGATTGAAAAAGAGAAATTACAACGAAGCTAAGCTTCAAGAAAATTTGGATTGTGAAATTATGGAAGTGGTTTTAAACGATGCTAGAGAAGCTTATATCCCAGAAATTGTCATTGAATTGAATTCTAACAGTGCTGAAGAAATGGACGATAATGTTGAAAGAATTGGCCAATGGGTTACTAATTGGATAAAAGACCATCCTGATGGAGTTACCAATGAATTGGATCCAGAACTCGCTGCTCTTGCAAGAGAAGAACAAGGTGATGACGAAGAAGAAGATGAAGACTTTGAGATTGCCGAAGAAGGGGCTTACGATAGCGATGACGATGAAGAAGAATATGACGATGATGACAAGGAATAAGGGTGTACACACATAGACTACATTTATAGATCTCACTCTAATATAAAAATTAAACCCTAAATACCTATATAAACCAGAACCAAAAAAAAACTTAAATAAATTGCAAAACAATCTTTCTAAGGTAGAACATTATTACCACCAAAAGAAGGAACAATACAACGTAGTAACCTCTGGTGATAGCATAGTATGTCCAATTCTTGGTTAACTTTTCAAGATTATGTTGTTCTAATTCAGTTACAACCTTCAAGTTTTGAGCAAAGATATACTTTGATTCTTCAATGATTTCCAACTTTTGCTCTTCAGTTAATGCATTTCTGGTGACCAATTCATAGTCTCTCTTATAAATAATTCTAAACAAGTTTTCATCAGCAACATCAAAGGTAAAGAAATTGGCACCCATTTTAATAACATCTTCATGACTTAAACCAGACTTTCTTGGGTAGAAACCAGCGGCTCTAGCAAAAGAAGATCTCATAACTCTACCACCAGCAAATAAAGCCAAGTACATAACATGTAAATAGGCAAACAACAAATATGGCTTTTCTTTGGTAACTTCCTTAATATGGTTAGCAAAAGCAACTTGCTCAGACATCACTGGGTGCATAAACTTTTCCTTTCTGTCATCATAATAAAACATCAAATCTTGTTGAGCTTTTTCTCTTCTAGCGATTTCTGGTTTCCAGACTTGTTTGAACATTTCGGTCCATTCATCATCGATTTCTAATTGTTGATATAAACTGGTTTCAATCGCATCGAACACATGGTAGAATGCCTGAAGACCTTGACGGAAAATCTTATAGTTTTTAAGAGCAATGGCGAATTTTAAGGTAACCACTTTATCAATCTTGTCATGTAAACTTCTAGTTTCTTTATTAATTCTGTTTGCTAATGCACCAACATCATTTGGAGCGGGAATGATTTCATGTTGACTTAACTTGGTAGTAGCACCAAGAGTTTGTGTAGCAGTAGACATTTTTAATTATTCTTTTTTTTTGACTTAGTTTAAGATATTGATTGATTATAACCAAGAATAACCAAGGAATAGCCATCCCTATTTATAATCAATTAGTAAATGGCGCAAGCAAGGGCCCCGAGCGATATGTCCGGTATGCGTCAAAATTTTTTTTAGTTGTTTTTGTGTAACCAAGATCGCAATTATCGGGCACATGTCTCACTGATAAAAAAAACACCACAGTGCGATAAGTCCGAACATAAACAAATGTTCCGCGATTTTACCGTTCACGCGTGGTGGTGATGTTTTTATTGGTTTATTCTGGGGTAAAATTTATCAAGACCGATTTCGAAATAACGCTGGAATTATCGGAATTCACAAAGTGACACGCTAAGTTTATATAAATGTAAACATTTATATAAACAAGACACATTGTCGCATTCATTTCAGTTTCAGTTGCTTGGCACAGATACAACACAACTATTATAGAGCTGTTTCATAGCTGTTGAGGTACATACCAAGTATTGATTTCCGAATCGGGGGACTGTTTACCATAAATATCAACTGTGTGATATTTGACACGCGAATATAGTATGGAGAAGTAGATTTCGTTATCGAGGGGCCCTGAAATATTAAATATGGGATCTTATTGTAAGAGTTTTCCTTGACGGGAAGTTCCAACTATTTTCCAGCAACAGTGATGGAAAACCCACCAAGCATATTAGAATACATTTAACTTACAATCAAAAAAAAAAAAGTATAAGTTTTATCTAATTAAACTCTGAAAATGTCTTGGAATCACTCCATCAATTCTTTTAATGTGGTGTTTCTAGGGTTTCTAGAGTAGATCTGAATTCCTCAGTTAAATCATCAAGACAAGCAAGATCCTTTGTTGACCTTGTTTCGAAGAATTCAAACCTAACTAGTATGTACAAAAACTTGCTGTTCCATTTCACTGTTCTTCTGTTGATACAACAAAGATCTACGGTGTCTTGATTTGGAAGTTCAGCAGTAACAGTTGCATAGTTCTTATTCTCGCTACTGATCTCTGACTATTTTTTAAGACCATACTCCCAAAACATATATGAGAACCACAAGACTGGTTTACATTTATGTGAGAAAGGATATAGTTCAGATTTCGTTTTGCTCGGACATTTGAGTGAATACGCTCATATTGTGACCTGAATGGTATTTATAGAGTTTTATCTCATGTAGAAACATTAATCACCAAGGACATGTATGATGTAGAAGATCCAGCTACTTCTTCTCTTGTTTAGCAGTACAATCTAGACTTCCAAGTACCAAATAATACCATGGTGAGAATGAAATATATCCCTTGGATTGCGGAATTCTGACTTAGCATTAACTGATACTATATTTATTCTGAATATATATGCTTCTGAAATCTACCCGCTCAAAAATGTTCAATTGCTTAGATAACTTGATTTTGTAGAATTACTAACTTGGTTTTAAAATGTGCCAAGCAACTAACCACTGAAATTGCTGGTGAAATTTTGAGTAGTAATACAAAGTTTATTGGGCCGACATCGGAAAATGGTACAATAGCGGGTAATTGGTCTAACATTGAAACAACTAGGTAGTATAAACATATACTATGACGTAATATCCTTTTTTTTTACCTTTTCAAACTACCCTTCTACTCCTTTTTGTCAATGAGATATTGTATGCAAGATGCAGTAAATAAGTGCAAGATCTCTCCTGCATCGGAGTAAGTCAAATAATTTCCGGAAAATTGAAAAACCGTTGGCTACAACAAATTGGGCAAGTGGGGAAAAGGAGGGGGGGAACAAGCCCAAAGGAGGGGCAGACACAGACCACCTGTTAACAATAAAAAGGACGCAGTACATCACCAGAGGATGAGGCTTAACGGAGGAGCCGGTTAGGTGGGGTGACCGGTCTCGTCAAACTGGCCGATATCACTGCATATTTTCATGACCAAAAAAAAAAAATCTCATAAGCCATGATATCTAAGAAAAGGACCTTCCGCTAACATCACCAAAATAAGAAACCTTACCAACCATCTTCGCCGAAGTCACGCGTACAAAAAATTGACTTGGTCATATTAGCTAACCAATGTATCCATTGTTGTGCCAGTAACGTGATTTTGTGGTGGGCTGTTTGTGTACGTCACGTTGTTCTTTGTAGTGGGGGATCGATTGGGGGGAGGTAAATCCGTACGAGAATTTTTTTGAAATTGCCAAGCCCCTCAGGATGATACTTGTCCAAACTGTAAAATCGTTAATTAACCAGCTTTGTTTGTTGTCTTACTAGAAAATGTGTTACTGGTCTGGTATTGAAACATTGAGTATTGTTAATTTATTTTCTGACTTGTTCTCTCGTATTCCTCTGGGCAACGTTTTACAACAATAAATGGGAAGGTTAAACCAAATATGACACAAACATTATTCAACTCCTTAATTTTACAGGTTATCTATTATCTACAAGGTTTCATCTTAAACATAAACATATACTATTAGCTAATAACAATCTATACAAACCGTAAAGTATCTAATCAGTCCATCAACTTCAAATAAAAAAAAAGTATTAAGAATTAAAATAATATCATGACATAATAACTTAGACCAACTTTTCGGCGTGTTCAATTGCAGCCTTGTCTGGAGCGGAAGAAAGGTGAGTTAAAGTAGTTTCAGGATCATCACCGAAAGCTCTAGCAACTTCTTCCAAGGTGTAACCGGAAGTTTCGACGTAGAAGAAGTAAACCAAAACTAATTCAACGGCTAAAATACAACAGTAGACAATGTAGTACTTCCATTCAATAGCATCCATGGCAATTGGGTTAACGAAACCATTGTATAACAAGATAACGTTTTGGGAGAAGAAGAAGACATTAAGACCCTTGGCTCTGTGGGAGTATGGTAAGATTTCAGTAACGTACAAGACTGGTAAACCGTTAGCACCAATATCATAAGCCAAGTAGTAAAGGAAAATCATAGCCAAGACACCGTTAGCTAAGGAGGTATCAGTGAAACCACCAAGAGCGAATCTAGCAGATAAAATAGTCCAAATAACATAAGCGACTAACATACCAGTGATACAAGATAAGAACATGGTTCTTCTTCTCAAGTATTGACAGACAGAAGCAGCAGCCCAAGAGATAACCATGTTATAGATCATCAAACAACCGTTAATTTCTAATTGCTTCTTAGCATCAGTAATACCAATGGTATCCAAGACCTTGTTAAGATAGTATGAGACTAAACCATTACCAGATAATTGCATAATAACGGCAGTGAAAATCAATAAGAATAATCTTCTTCTGAAAGTTGGAATGGTAACAAAATCAAAGTAGGAAGCGTTGTTGGAGACTTTTTCTAATTCTAAAGCAGCCTTAATTTCCTTAACTTCGAATTCAACTAATCTGTGAGCTTGTTCAGTACCGTCATTACCACAGTGGAAGGTATGTAAGATTTCTCTAGCCTTGTCATCCTTACCCTTGGAGATCAAGTATCTTGGGGATTCTGGAACCCACCAGAAAAGAAGGACTTGAACTAATGGTAAAGCACCTTGTAAGTAAGATGGAATTCTCCAAGCATAAGCAGATGGAATTGGTTGAGTACCGAAAGTAACCCAAGCAGCAATAATAGCACCGAAATACCAGAAGGTGTTATATAAGGCAGTACAGGTATCTCTGAACTTTGGATAAGATAATTCGGAAATCAAAGATGGGGAGGAAACAGTGGAAAGACCGAAACCAGCACCTAAGATAATTCTGGCACAAATGAAGAAAGCATAGTTAGTTGAAGCACCTTGTAAGATAGCACCTAAGATAGTGAAAGATTGACCGACAACAATAGAAGTCTTTCTACCGAATTTATCAGAGAACCAAGCAGCAAAACCAAAAGAAATTAAACCACCGAAGGTGTTACCGTTAGCTAAAGCACCTAAGACAGCACCAGTTGGGTGACCCATAGCATGTTGCCAATCATCTAAAACTTGCAAACCGTTCAACATAGAACCATCGTAACCATTGTTGGTGGAAGTTAAAGTAACAAGGAAAACAAACCAATGTAAAATAAGGAAGTGCTTGTACTTGTACCATGGTTTGTCTAAGTAAAGATATTGGTCAATTTCACCCTTTTCAAGGATGTGTTCTTGGAGATCAAGATGATCAGAAACGGATTCTTGATCAATAATTTGGTTGTCTTTTAAATCAGCCATGATTATAGTTGAGTATTCTTTTCTAATTGATGTGCGACCAGCGACTACTGTTAGAATAGATTGATGATGAGAATGAAGAATTAGAAATGAAGAACTTGGGATTCATCATCTATTTATAATCTTTTTAGAGTAAGACAAAACAAGTGCAATTACAATGGAGGGGTAGCTAATATACTCGATCAACAATTAAGACAGCAAAAAAGAAACTAAATCCATAAGGAAAAACAATTGTCAAAAAAATTTCGAAGATTTTTGCAGACTACGGGGTTAGACAAAAAAAAATATCATGAAATAATAAATTTTAGGATTCAGTTCCTAAAACGTAAATAGAAAGTTATTACAAGAGAGAGGAGGGGTCAAACTATTCAATGGTTGCCACAAGATAATATTGTGTGCGCAAAAAAATATTCTCCACGCCCCCGTAAAAGACAATTGAATTGAGGAGGCGTGTGGTATATTGCTAATTATTTGAAGAAGAAAGGTCCATTACCTAGGCAGGGCTAGCATTATTTTCTATCATGAAGAATGCAAACACTTCAATAACCTCTGTATCTACGTATATGCAGATATCAGATCTACAAGGATCTTATGTGTCATTTTTTTTTTTAAATTGCTTCGTTTCCTTTTTCAGGGTGGCTGAATCGGGATCTATGCCTTTCCTAGACAATACCCATAAATTCGTATAAATTATTGCCCCACGATGTGGTGTCGAAAATTACTTCCTATGCTTCAGCCTCGGGATGTTGTAATGGAGTGACTAGATACCAGGCTTTGCATAATGCAATTCAAGGAGATCTTGAATTCCAACAATGAGAGGGCCCCAAATTTTGTTCTCAATAAGGCTGAGTATAGTACAATTAGCTTCGCGACAAAAAAAAAATCCATAATATCCACATCTTCTATCTCTTCGATATACACATTTGTGTTAATATCGAGCCAAGAAATATTAACTACGACCGCGGATGCATTGCTCCCTGGGTGTGGTAAAAACAGATTGTATTGTGTTCGATTATCTAAGCTAGAAATAAAGAATACGATTTCTAAAACGGGAAGTGACCCCCTGCATTGTTTTACCCCCATCTCCCCACATTGCTGACCCCAACACAGTAGTCGTCTAATTCTTCTTCTGCATTGTTTCACAACCTGCACCCCAGGTTCTGAAAAAAGATGTGTCAAGGAAGGTAGAATCTGTGTATTTTACGAAGTTTACAAAACTAAAAATTGCAAGTTCAAATTATTTTTTAGCGTGTGTGCAGAGATAACACACAAAAAAATTAATACAAAACAATAGGAGTTTTGATCTTAATGGGGTTATACTACCGAAACTAGACAACTAACCGTACAATAATAAGACAGTTTGCGTGGCGTTAGCTTACCAAGCCTTTATTTGGAAATCGTTCCTGGAATGATACAGATTTAATGGAAAACAAAAAACGCGAAACCACGTCCACATTCATAGTATTTCCGCCCGTGTCTAATACTACTTACGAAAGTCTAGTTTGGAACAGGGATGGGGGGGGGGGAGAATGTTACTGTGTGGTGTGCTATTTGAAATTATTCTTATCTTTTCAACTTTACCAAAAGAAAAAAAAATATAACCGCAAGGAAGGTACATGGCACAATCTGGGGTATGGAAGGTGAAACGTTCCTTTACAGTTTGATATGATCGGTTATGCGTTGCGGAAAAAGATTATAGAAACTAAAAATATCTATTGTAATCAATTATAAAATTTTCAGGCGGTCAAGCATATTGCTGTGTGATTGTTTACTCTTTTTTTTGGGGCGGTTTTTTTTAAAAAATAGGATCATACGCAAGGCTTTTCATCTCTAGTGATTTTGGGTTCCTAGGTAATTAAAAATATATGTATTCCTCACGTATTTGTTGGTTCTAATAGTGTTTCTATTGATGGTCCAAGAATTCCATAGCAAACTTTGCGGATCTAACAATTCCAGGCAGAAAATCTAACTTGCACTTTAACTTTACAGTTTATAGATGCATAAAAAATACTGGGGATAATTTACTAAACAAATGTAAACACGCACAGTTGAAATTTTGTTAAAAAAAGGAAGTAACTGAGATATTATTATTATTAACGTGAGCTCCCCACTCCCTGCCCCTCTCTTCGGATTTCCGGTTGGCATCCGGAATGTCCGTGACTTTCAAGAATTCGTCTAGATACAAAATTCCATTAATTATGATGCCGCATATGCTAAGCTGAATTGATTGGATCAGAGTACTGTCGCTGAAACAGACATGACCAACTTAAAGATACTTGGCGTGACCCTTAAACCATGTTTGTAAACCAACTGATGGAAAGATCTAATTACATTGTTTTTTTGTTCTTAGTAGAATAAAATTATCGGATAATAATCTCCTTCTCCAAAAAATTGCAGTTGTGCACAAAAAAATAAAATTAAAAAAAAGGACCTTTCTAGGAGTGATTTCCTAAAGCGAATATGTTACCAGAATAGAAAATTCTTTACACGTACACTTGAGCATTGTAAATTACTGAGTCACAGTGGGATTCATTTTCCACCATCACGTAGTGGGATGACACTTGGTAAAAGATTAATCCTATTCATAGGCACTGCATTAAACAAAGGAATATACGAGAAATGAATCATTATTACAAACTCTAAGTGTTGTCTAAGTTCCAACTAAGTGGTTCCTGCTGCTTTAAGCATCAACTTTCCATTTGCCCGAGAAATTGATAAAAATCTTATTACTTAAAACAAAATTGCATTGTTTAGAGCAACAGACAGCCTCTCTCGTACTTATCTCATTAATGTTATTGAACGAAATTTTGCAAAAATTGAACAAAATTCGACACGTTGAATACTTTATAGAAATTTTGCAACTAATGAAAAATCTGTCACGAGCATTTTGAAATATGCACTATTGCTTCTCTAAAGCTTGTAGTCAAGTTCAGATTACTTTGATTGGACTGCAGAGCTTACTACAAGAAAGTACAAATTCAGTAAAATTGCAGCAAAAAAATGACCACCAGTTAGTCATTTGAATAACCATTCATAATGAGAACAAGTGAACGGGTCATATTGGCCCATTACACCCCACCCAAACAATTAGAACCTCAATATAGTATCGCACCAACAGAGGTCCCTTGTTTCAACTACTAAGAAATACATTATTGCGAAAAATTACTAACTTGTATCCCTTAGGCTTACAAAATACAATTCAAGAGGATCTTCTGTCATTGTAATAATCGAAGGATTTTACATTGTCAAACATAATCTAAACTAGATAACCCCATTTGCGAACTGTAGTAATTTCACCCCACACGCCTGACCCCAGCGCAACCATCGTTTATTTTATTCTCTCATATGTACAATTGAACTAACCCCAGTTTCCAAGAAAAGATTCAAATGTTGGAAGGAAGGTAAAAAGAGAAGAAAAAAAAAAATAGTTGCGCTTTTACATGTTATACTTTGACACCTGCATTTGCAGGTTTGAAATTATTTTTTTGGTGTGGCCAATTTTTTTTGACGCTTTGCTTTTGATATTTTTTTTTTCTATAATTTTTTTGAATAATAAAAAAAAAGAAACACATCCCCGTCTTTTAGGGTACGCTGCCAAAATTAGACATTTAACCGCTGAATAATAGCTGTTGAAGTGGCGCTAGTTCTAGGGGCAACCTTTTTTAGGGAGACTCTCCCTAACAAATGTGCTTAGCACATAAATATCTCCTTGCTATTGCAGATACATAATTCCCCTCCTCAGGACCTCCTTTAGAGATTGATTTAATGCAAGGGGGGGGGGAGGGGAGGTGGAGTTTTGTGCCGTGGTCTAAACCACCCCGTGCTTGCTTGGTTCGTAAACATCGAACGAAAATAAAAATATTAGCTTAAGGAAGGTACATGTCAAATAGTCTGGTATGGAAGGTGAAGCATATCCACATGACGCAACTATCTGTAATATCCACTTATCCTTGATAAAAAAAGATTGGCCAATATATAGAATGTGAACAGGAATTACCTTCTTCAAGATTAATCCCCGGTTTTGTGTAATAGTGGTTAAACAGAGAAAAAATAATATATTTTTTCTTAGGTGGGGTGACCGCTCCACAAAACAGATGGCAGGCAAGTCTCTCCCCTCCTACTTCCCCATTGTTTTGATGATGAGGTTATCAAAAGTGTGGGATTAACTATGGGAACGAGCCCATGGCACAAGCTTCCTCATTTTCGTGTTTTAAATTGGCTCGCCCACATTGCTATTAAAGTGGTCTAATTTCGTGTGTTCTTGTGCCGTCATTACATCACCAGGTGAGAGTTTTGTCTCTTGTGCTTATAATTTCCTTCTCTTCGACTTTATCTATTTTTCAATTTTTCCAATCGTTCCCCATTATATTTTCTAGAGATCTCGGCGCAATTTCGTTAAGAAATTCGGGAAGATTAGCTTCCAATAATATAAACGGTAATTAGAGAACGTTGTCCTTGTCTTGATCTCCACAAATGTAAAGTATAAATAATCCTGTTAATCCAGTAGAATTGACTTCTGTTTTTTTTAGTTTATTTCTCTTTTATTATCATTAAGATAAAACACAATTTATTATAATGTCTAACGGATTTTTAAGAACTCAAGGTACCAAGATCGTTGATGGTGAAGGCAAGCCAGTCGTCTTGAAGGGTACTGCCATTGGTGGTCACTTGAACATGGAAAACTTCATCACTGGTTACCCAGGTCATGAAACTGAACATAAGAAGGTTTTAAAGAAGAAGATTGGTCAAGAAAAGTTTGATTTCTTCTTTGACAAGTTCTACGACTACTTCTGGACCGAAAAGGATGCCGATTTCTTTGCCAACGAATTGGGTTTCAATGCTTTGAGAATTCCATTCAACTACCGTCATTTCATTGATGATGAAGGTGATTTCTTCAAGATCAATCCAAAGGGTTTTGAAAGATTAGACAAGGTTATCAACTCTTGTGCTAAGTACGGTATTTACACCATCTTAGATTTACACGCTGTTCCAGGTGGTCAAAACCAAGATTGGCACGCCGATTCTGCTATCCACAAGTCTATCTTCTGGGATTTCAAGATTTTCCAAGACTGTATTGTTAACTTATGGATTGAAATTGCCAAGTACTATAAGGACAACACTTGGGTCGCTGGTTACAACCCATTGAACGAACCTGCTTCCCCAGATCACTCCAAGTTAGTTAACATTTACAAGAGATTTGACACTGAAATTAGAAAGGTTGATCCAAACCATATTTTCTTCCTTGATGGTAACACTTACTCCATGGATTTCAGACAATTCCCACCTGCTGACTTCATCAAGAACGCTGTTTACGCTATCCACGATTACTCTGTTTTCGGTTTCCCATCCTTGGATGGTTACCTTTACAAGGGTACTGATGAAGAAAAGGCTAAGTTGAAGCAACAATATGAAAGAAAGTTGGAATACATGCAAAAATACCAAGTTCCAGTCTGGAATGGTGAATTCGGTCCAGTCTATGCTTCTAAGGAAAGAGGTGACGAAAACCCAGAGTTTATCAATGAACACAGATACAATGTCTTGAAGGATCAAATTGCTATTTACAAGACTGGTGATCCATCTGGTGATGGTACTCCAATCTCTTGGTCCATTTGGGTTTACAAGGATATTGGTTACCAAGGTTTGACTTATGTTGACCCAGAATCTAAGTGGTACCAAGTTTTCGGTAAATGGTTATTGAAGAAGAGAAAGTTAGGTTTGGACAGATGGGGTTGTGATATTGATCCAGAAAACGACAAGTTGTACGAAAACTTGGTTCAACACATTCTTGACAACACCCCAGAAAAGTACCACAGAGCTTTATACCCACACAACTGGCACGTCAAGGATTACGTTTACAGAGTTTGTAAGGATATGTTGTTCTCCCAAATTGCCACTCACGAATACGCTGACTTGTTTGTTGGTTTATCTTTTGAAGAATTAGATGAATTAGCTGCTTCTTTCAAGTTCGAAAACACCGTCAAGAGAGAAAAGTTGAACGCTATCTTAAAGGATTACTAAGTTATGGAATAATTTTTTTTATAGATTTCCTTTTTTATAGCTTGATTATGAATACGACATAGAATGTCTTAATGAAATTATTGTAGATGCAAACTAAACTACTATTTCATGGTTTTGAAATTGCATAATGTTTTCCTAAATTGTGCCGATTTGAAATTGAAGATAGTGTTATTTACCTCCAGTTGGAATGTTTACCGAAACCGTGTGATATTGTACCAACAAAATCAAAATTAAATGATGTCATAATGCTGGTATATTTATTTCACGGGATATTTAGTGAATTTCTTACAAGCAGTAAAATAAATATTCAATTCTACACAAAAGCTCATTATATGGTACATACATTGACAGTTCAATTGCTCTAGATTGACTGGAACAGTTTGTTGTAGGATAGATATGCATCACATTCAATACCCATGTTGGCTCGTATAAGGTGATATGCAACGAACGATTGAAAACGGTAGGAGAGAAGCATTTTCCTGCCGAGATCGGACTAATTATTTTTTTCCGGGGAGGATGTTAAATAATTTGCAAATATTATCTCGAATTAATTTACAAGTTATTACTTTCCAAAAAATAATATTTTCTTTGTTTATTTTCTGTTGGAATATCCGCCTTCACCTTCAGTAATTATTTTTCAGAACATTTTAATTTCCGCTCTAACGGTTTGGCTTAGTGCTTCCCCACCTAAGACAAGTAAATGAAATTTGTGGAGGAAGAAACCGTGTTTGACTCAAGCTGTTGAAATCACGAGTTATGCAACTCGGGGAACAGCATTTTGCTGGATCCAAGGTTTACATTACTTTTCTTTTACCTCGATGGAAGAGGCGTCACTGCAGAATGCATACCCGAAGAGGAGATCCACTTTTGCGAATTACGGCACTAATTTTGCGACGAAAAAGCAATTTCATAATTTGTGCGTAAAAATGCCATTTCCTGGCCCACACCCCCCTGGAAATCCATTCCCCATAAACATATAAAAATAATTGCTTTTTAACCTGCTAGGTGGGGAATATGCAGGTTTTTTTCTTCAAACAGCAAGCTAAACGGTTACTGATTGTATGACTTCCGTTTTAGGTAATCCTCCCACAACACTGAATAAGATTTCCAAATATGGAAGCAACTCCACAATTTATTTACCCAAGTTTTCACTAGCTCCGAGAATTCAACCTGATGGAATCTCGAGGTGTGTCTCCTAATCATTTCACATTTAAGATGTATAAATAATTAACCATACCCCTCCGTAAAATGTCGAGGTTAGAGTTCTCGAAAAATATCAACTATTTGAAAAAAAAAAGAAACTTATCATGCAACTTCCAGATAAGAATGTCACATTGACACAAACTCCATCCACGGAGAAGATTCAACAGTTAGATGTTGAACAATTGATTGAGGAATTGACTCTTGAAGAGAAGATTTCTTTATTGGCTGGTGTGGATTTCTGGCATACTGTTCCAATCGAAAGATTGAACATTCCTTCAATCAGAGTCTCTGATGGTCCAAATGGTATCAGAGGTACTAAATTTTTCAACAGTATTCCATCCAACTGTTTCCCATGTGGTACCGGTTTAGCTGCTACTTTCAACAAAGATTTGTTGGTTGAAGCTGGTGAATTAATGGGTAAAGAAGCTAAGATGAAGGGTGCTCATGTTATCTTGGGTCCAACTTCTAACATTGTTCGTTCTCCATTAGGTGGTAGAGCTTTCGAAAGTTACTCCGAAGATCCTTTACTTTCTGGTCATGCTGCCGCTTCTGTTATCAAGGGTATCCAAAATGAAAAGGTTGTCGCTTGTTTAAAGCATTTTGTTTGTAATGATCAAGAAGAAGACAGACGTTGTGTTGATACTCTCTTGACTGACAGATCTTTCAGAGAAATTTACTTGAAGCCTTTCCACATTGCTCTTAGAGATGCCAATCCAGGTTCTATTATGACTGCTTATAACAAGGTTAATGGTGTTCATGTCTCTGAATCCAAGGCTATCTTACAAGGTATTTTAAGAAATGAATGGAAATGGGATGGTTGTACAATGTCCGACTGGTACGGTACTTACTCAACCAAGGATTCTCTTGATGCTGGTTTGAACTTGGAAATGCCAGGTCCAACTAGATTTAGACAAGTTCTTCAAACTGTTCACCAAGTCCAAGCTAACTTGATCCACCCAAAGGTTATTGATGATAACGTCAGACAAGTGTTGAAATTAATCAACCAAGGTTTGAAAGCTGGTATCCCAGCTGATGTTATTGAATCCCCAAACAACTCTCCAGAGTCTAGTAAGACTTTAAGAAAGGTTGGTGATGAATCTATTGTTTTATTAAAGAACGAAGAAAGTATTTTACCATTATCCAAGACCGCTAAAGAAACCATTGCTGTTATTGGTCCAAATGCCAAGGCTTCTCAAGACTCTGGTGGTGGTTCTGCTTCTTTAACTGCTAGATACAAGACTACTCCTTACGGTGGTATTGAAGAAAAAGTCAAGGAAGGTAACAACTCTATCAAGTTGGAATATGCTCTTGGTGCTTTCTTAGATAAGAACGTTCCAGATAGTGCTGCCATTTTGGAAAGTGAAAGTGGTAAAAAGGGTCTTATTACTGCTAGATTCTACCACACTGCCCCAGGTACTCCAGATCGTAAACCATTTGATGAATTGTCATTAAACACTACCAGAATCTTCCTTAACGATTTTAAGAGTGACAACTTAAGTTTGGAACAATTATTGTACTATGCCGACTTCTCTGGTTACTTCACTCCTGAAGAAAGTTCTGAATATGAATTTGGTTGTTCCACTTTTGGTTCTGCCCAAGTTTTTGTTGATGGTAAGTTGGTCGTTGATAACAAGACCAAGCAAGTCAAGGGTGATGCATTCTTCTTAGCTATGGGTACTAGAGAAGAACGTGGCTCTATTTACTTAGAAAAGGGTAAGAAATATCTTGTCAAGGTTGAATTCGGTACTTCTCCAACTTATACTCTTGCCAATGGTTCCCAAGAACCAGGTGGTGTATACTTTGGTGTTCGTATCAAGTCATCTCCAGAAGATGAACTCGCCAAGGCTGTCAAGGTTGCCAAATCTGCTGACAAGGTTGTTTTGGTTGTTGGTTTGTCCAAGGAATGGGAATCTGAAGGGTTTGATCGTCCAGACATGGATATCCCAGGTTACACCAACAAATTGGTTGAAGAAGTTGCCAAAGTCAATCCAAATATTATTGTTGTTAACCAATCTGGTTCTCCAGTTACTTTACCATGGGTTGATAAAACAAAGGCTTTAGTCCATGCTTGGTATGGTGGTAACGAATTAGGTAACACTATTGCTGATGTCTTGTTTGGTGACTACAATCCTTCTGGTAAGTTATCTGTGTCATTCCCAAAGAGATTAGAGGACAACCCATCATTTGTTAACTTTGGTTCCAACAAGGGTCAAGTTTGGTATGGTGAAGATGTCTTTGTTGGTTACAGATTTTACGAAAAAGTTGGTCGTGAAGTTTTATTCCCATTCGGTTTTGGTTTATCTTATACCTCGTTTGATTTCAAGAACTTGAAGGTTGATACTACTGAAGACTCATTAGTAGTTAAAGTTGATGTTACCAACACTGGTAAGGTTGATGGTGCTGAAGCTGTTCAATTGTACATTGAACAAGCCAACCCATCCATTAATAGACCAGTTAAGGAATTGAAGGACTTTGAAAAGGTTTTCTTAAAGGCCGGTGAAACAAAGACTGTCGAATTGGAAGTTTCCATCAAGGAAGCCACTTCTTACTGGAACAGTTTTGTTAACCAATGGCAATCTGATAAAGATACTTACAAGGTCTTGGTTGGTAATAGTTCTGACAATATCTTGGTCAAGGATGAATTTACTACCAAGAAAACCTTCACTTGGTCCGGATTATAAGGAAGTTACATATGTTTATGAAAGTTTGTGTATAGAGTTTATATTGAATATGAATCTTTGGTATTTCAGTTATGGAACAGTTCGTGTAAAGTAAAATGTGCTGCCAAAATCATTTTACTGTCTAAATATTTTGATCCCGCGTATAAAGAAAACTAAGGAATCGTTTATTTATTTATTTATTTTTTTTTTGCTTTGGATTCGCTTGATTTTGAACTTACGCGTCATGGACAACGTACCTGTTGCGAGACTTACTAAAGTCTGCGACTTTCCTCCAGGACAAAGTGGAAGGGTAAATGTAAATACTCCTAGAGTGACAGCCTGTGTCTTGGTTCTAAACGTTGAGAAAAATGTGGCAAGAAATTCCCCTTGCTCATTGTATGTGACTGATTTCACATTCAACCCTCAAACCTACTCTGACCTAAGGCCAAATAGGTATATCTGGGACGATTACTCAGTACCGCTTGGTAAGGTTTTGAAAATATCAGTATTCAATAGGTATTTCCGGGATCTTGACGATGAGTACGAACTTAGAACTGGTCAAGAGTTGGGATTAAACCAGTGGTATTTAGATATCCCCGAGGGTCAACACCAGAAAACATCGTTTCTTAGAAAATTACTTATTTTAAACGTGGAAATTGATCTTAGAATGTACCTAGATAGCTTAGAATGCAATTCGTATAGTTTTAATATTGCAGATCCAACCGACAAAAGAAAGGAAGTACAGGATTTGTTTGACCGAATGGTAAATGAATTACCGCTAGAAATATTTCAAGAAAACCAAGATATTGCAGGAAAACTAATTCCTTCAACCTTTTTATTGAGAGTTTTACCTCAGTACTCCACTCGGTTATACCAACAAACATATGCTAATGCTCGTGATTCCCATCAACAATCATATAATAGCACTAATAATTCATACCAACCTAAAGTTCACTATTCCAACAACTCAACCCAAATCCGACAACATCATAATACTCAAACTATCGAAGAATACCACACATTTAATGATTTCGTTGAGGACTTGGAACATCATTCTGATTATATCAGCACACCAGCTCCAACCATGTCTCATACAAAGCCCGTGAGGGTTAAGAAGGAATCTTCACAGCCAATCTACCAAATCCACCAGCTACTTGGATTGAATGCTGATGCGCCTAATCAGGTGTACACCGTTAATGCTAGGGTTATTGATACAAGTCCATCGGATTGGTCATTATTATGCGGGAAACTATATGGAATAAAAAATGGTAAACCTGAAGTTATGGATCCAGCTCCTCTTGACCTAGAATTGATTTTAGTAGATGCAACTCTGAATGATAAGGCAATAAACTGCAGGAACTCATTAAGTGTTCACTTACCAGGTAATTCCGTAATGGAAATGTTAGGAATCCATGCAGTAGAAGAAATGTATATAAATGTTTCGTCATTATATGAAAGGTTTATGAAATATACTGCAAAGCCACACAAATTAGAACTTTGCAGAAAGCCAGTACCATTGAATGGAGAAGAGACTATAGATGCATGGACTATTTTAAATCCAAATGTGATTAGTTTGTGAAGAGTAACTGATTTGATCAGAAATCTTTCTGTTCGATATGCTTTTTGACTGTATATGGATGTTTTTTTGAAGGTTTCTTTAGATTATTTGGCCCCAGTTTAGTTTATGAAGTTATTTATACATGGAATATGATTACAGATCATATTCTATATTTTAATGATTGGTATTGACGGAACTAAATATAAGAAGTTCCAATTTTGCAATTGGAGGAATCAGATACTACTGATTATATATCTAAACCATTCTTAGAAGTTTACTTTCTATTGTACTTATATTGTTTAGTTTATATATGAGAATCAAACAAGGAAACCATCTTTTGTTTGAAAGTTGCAAAAGCATTTTCCTTTGTTATTTTCTGATCCTGCACCTAAAAATAAAAATGACCTTAACCATTAGATCGGTTATTTTCCAAACCATACGCGTCACAATAATCTCGTGTTTAAACACGTTCAATGGATCTTAAGCGAGTTTGTGACTTACCTCCAGCGTACTATCCTAACGAATTTGTATGTGTCTTGGCTTTACGTGCACAAAGGTTCCACAAAGGTTCGACTTGCATCCTATATGTTACTGACTTTACCGAAAACAAAATTTTATCAAATGCTCGATTTGCAGTTGAATACGGATTTGGCAAGTTCTACGTACCCAAGGGTTTCGTTATGCGATTAGTGATATTCCCTGATAAATTAGCAATACTAGAATCAAAGTACAAAGAAGTATATGGTCAGGAGTTGGGGCTACTATCTTTCCTATACTCAAATGATAATGATCTCCGCGAAATTTCCTTGCTTGACAAATTGCTTGTCTTCACGACAGAGGTATGTTTTGTACAAAAGGGTGGAAATTTAGAGTGGAAATCATATCAACATAAACCTGTAAATAAGGATGATGAGAGAAAGGAAGTGATTGATTTGTTGTACAACATGACATACAAGGTACCACTGAATGTTTTTCTTGAAAATATGCCAGTTGCTAAGGAAATAATCCCTTCTTTGCTATTGAAGACTATTTTACATGAGATTAATTTTTCCCAGGAAACTGAAAAGCTATTGGATGTTCCTGATTTCTACCAATCCACACAACTACAACAACCAGAGAATGAAATTGGATCTATGGAGTTTGATGAAGGACAATCTAACTACCAAAGGTTTACTACAATTGTAGAAACGCAGAGACAACATCAATGTCATGAAAATACCATTTCCATACATGATGAGGAAGATTCCTACTCTGATTTATTTGCAAATAGGGAAAATGATGATGATGATGATGATGATGTCGGTTCATTATCTCCAAGAATTATGTCTACCCTGGAGCGAAATTCACGCCAGCCCGTCTTTCAAATATATCAACTACTTCTGTTGGATAATAAAATTGACAATCAGATCTACATAGTTAACGCTAAGGTTATCGATACGTCTCCTTCTAATTGGTCCTTATTATGCGGCAAAAAATATACAGGAAAGAACGGCAAACCCAAAGTTCTGGATTTGGTCCCACTTGACTTAGAATTGACCTTAGTGGATGCAGCTCTGAATGACAAAGTGATAACCCGTGCAAACTCATTAACTGTTTATTTAACAGGCAGGTCGGTAATGGAATTATTAGGAGTACACGCAAAAGAAGAAATGCAAATAGATGCCACCTCGTTGCATAAAAAGTTTATAAAATGTACTTCAAAAGCTCATATGTTAGAGCTTTGTAAGCAAAACATGAAGATTCTGGAAGGAGAAATGAGCATAGTCATTTGGACAATTCTTAATCCAGGTGTTTTCGGTTTGTAAAGAAATTGTACCTATGCCCTGGAAGGCATCATTAATAAATTATCTTCAAATTTGAGCATTGTAGTAGTTTACAGAAACAATTAGTAGAACACCACACACACACACACACACCACTTTATTACAGGAAAATAATAACACTATCTATTGTTATATAGGAAACAAAGCTTACAGGTCTCGATTTTGCAACTTTTCTAATAGACGTTACCCGGAACTTTTGTATAGTAATCACGTGATGGGATCAATTTGGCAATCCGATGACGAATTAACTGAAAACAAAGCCTTAGTAGTTCAATAGATACAGTCTACCATCTTTGAGCTATGAATAGTGTATTTACCAGATCATTGACAAAATCGACATTTCTCCAAAAAGAGCTCTCAAAAAATGCCATCAAGAGGAATAGCTTGAAGGATGCCGTATCATTAGAAGAGTTTCTCTTCCGAAGCCGAGTCAAGGCAATTTACCGAGATTTAATTCGACAGGTATACAAAAGTCACGAGAGAGATTCATTAATGGCATTCATACGGCCTGAGTTTAAACTTAATGCTCAAGAGACCGACTTGAAGTATCGAAAGTATTTGTTGAGTTTGGGTATTAACAAAATCAATCAGATGAGTGCTAGTGTGGGTATTAATGTTAATTACAGGTAGCTCTATACACTAGATAATGCATTAAAAATAGGAGTTGACGTGTTGGCAATTGATTCTTTCAATATTGAGGTTGTTTCTGAGATGTCAAAGACAAAGGGTAAGTCAAATACCATATCGTCAATTAATTCAACTTGTTTATTTACAAGGTTCAATTGCTTGATTTCGTAGACTAATTGTCTGGAAATGTTGATTAACTGGTCAATAATTGAGGATGACAGACCACTTGACTTTTTAAGAAGCTGGATAATTTTCAAAAATTCTGCCAAATTGACTAAATTATGATTCAATTCACTAGAAAGTAAATCATCAGGGATTAATACAGCTTTCAATTTGTCAATCTTCAAGTTTTTCTGGATAAAGTTGCAAAGTGATTGAACTTCTTGATTATTCAACTTTGATTTAACGATTTTTAGCAAATTGAAATATAATTTGAATAATAAATTATCAAACGGAGATGTGATTTTAACACTTGATATAATCTTATTGTAGTTTTTCAATAATTTTTGAATTTGGTTTGGATTTTCTTCATATAGGATTGAATAAATTAAAAGCTTCAACTTTAAAGATGATTCTTCATCTACTGTTATGTTCAATAAATCATAGTTATCCCTCTTCAATCCTAATTTCCATTCAGATCTGAAATCACGATTATCAGGAAACTTTTCCATAATTAAATGACGACTCTTTTTGAGGTACACAACAAAATAGTTCAAATAACCAGTATCTCCCACCACCAATGAAAATTGGAAGATTTTACTAATGATATAATTCAATGAAATTGAATTGGTCATTCTTTTACCAAATTTCAAAAAACTTTCAAGTTTGTTAAAAACTCCCGAATTAAATCCTTGCAGAATTCCCGACTTGATTTCTTCCTTTGATGTCAAATAAAATCTGAAAATATTTACCAAATAATCAAGACTTTGTTTGGATGGGTTTATATTTGTCAAGTAATGGTTCAAGGTTTCATGCTGGGCCATTTTAATTTTCAAGTCACTGTAAACTGGTTCGATTAAACTGAAACTGTTCAATTGTGAATATAATTTAATAATCCATAATTTTAATTTATGATTGTACTTATCTTGTTGTAAGAGTGAGCTAATTATTCCAATATTTCTGATTATATTCTTGGATGTTTGATTCCTAGATAAATCAAGAATAATCGAAATCAAATTTAACTCATTCAAGGGATTATTATCAAATTCACCACCTTGGATTGAAGTGTTGTCTTTGTAAATTTGATGAATTTTCCAGTTTGTAGTTAAGAAATCTGCCTCACAGTCAACGTTAGGAGTTTCAAGGAGCAAGGTAAACTTTTGATTGTTAATTAATCTAGTTAATTGATTCACATCAGTTGGATTAATTTGCAATATTTGTTCTGTAGATGCTTTTACTCTACCAAGAAACGCGGGATCGAAATCGTCTTGGAAATTTATAAGGTCAAAGTAACAACACAATTTATGGTTAAACTTTTCATAATATTGATCAATTTTAGCTAATATTTGTGGTTGGTTTCCATAAGCCTTTGCTAATTCAATTTGTGCTAATAAACTGTTTCTACTGAAGGTGAAGGTGGAAAATTCATTCATTTCTTCATATGTTTTGTTCAATTTTGTTCCCGCCAAGATATACAACTTCCAACAGTCATAGTCGTTAAATTTCTGGTTCATTAGCAAGTCTTCACAATAGTCGTACAATTTTTGCCAGTTGGAATTTTGTTTCATGGCGTCAAGGTAAATCAATTGCAAATCTAAATCCAAATTAAACTTTGCTTGTGTTATTGCTTCTTCAACAGAAGTATAATCTTCTTCCAACTGCAAAAACTTGACAAAAACAAACAACTCTTGGGTGTTTTCAAATGGCATCAACTCTTGAATGATCCTCTTACCCAATGACTTGTACAATGTAGTTTCCTTTTCACTATACTTATCTTGATTAACAAGCAAGTAGAAGGTGAATGAGTACCAAAATGCGTACAATCTGGAAGACTTATTGTTCTTGTGTAAATGCATAAAGATCTTGTTGAACAACTTGACATCAAACTTGTCAATTGAGGTTTCCCACCATGTTAAACCTAAATCTGTGGAAGATATAGGGTATTTCTTGATAACGTTTTCATAAACTAAGTTAGCTTCTCTATCCATACCAACTTCAACAAAGAACTCATTGAGAACTTCAATTGAGAACGGATCATTAGGCAACTTGTTAAGTAAAGCAACATTATTCTTGACGGCTAATTCTTCTTGTCCAGTGAGAAAAAGGATCTTATTTTGAAGTGCTTGATAACCGTATTTTTGGGGGAATTTGGCTATTTTTTTAGACAATAGGGTCCTAGCATATCCATAGGAACCACGATCAATTAGATCTAAAAGTTCCTGATCTGAATCAGACGCCATTATGTGGAATAGAAATGTGTTGCAAAGAAAGTAGTTTAAATTTAGAACCCAGCGTCAATTTTTTTTTTTCCTGGTGGAATTTTTGACAAATTTGAACGGAGATGTGGATTGCGTTTTTAGCAGTTTCGCAGTCAACCAGTTTAAACGAGGAATTATCCGTAGAGGGGCAATACTACGGTATGTCAAGCCATCTGAATTAGTTTATATTTGTAGTAAAAAATAATAATAAAAGGCAAACACTAGTCTATTTATTCTATCTCAATAATTGATCCTTAACTTCGAAGTTCCCACCTAAATGTACAGTATTACCAAATTGTTGTATCTTACCAGTATTGGTCTTCTTATTAATATCAATAACAGTGATTGAAGTATTGAAAGGAACTTTTAAATCGTGTGGGGTTATTGACTCATCCAACTCATACTGCATATTAGTGTACAAAAAGTTGGTAAATCTAGTAATTACACCACCATGAGTACATACCAAGACATTCTTATGGTTTAGCTTCAGTATGGTATTCCATTCAGTTTCAACTCGAGCACATAATTCTTCTTCCTTTTCACCCAAGTTACGAAATGCAGGTCCAAATTGAGCAAGGGCATCTTTAAGATACATTCCCTCACAATGTCCCATATCACGTTCTCGTAAATTAGAAGTATATTTAACATTATCTTTATTGTTTTGATAAGCAAGAACCTCTTTTATTGTTTCTCTACATCTGGTCAAGTCTGATGATACGAAATAGTCTATTGGAAGTTGAGAAAGGTACTTTCCAACAGTGACTGCTTGCTGTTTCCCCAACTCGTTTAAGTCAGTATCCAAATGTCCTTGTAGGATTTTATTCACATTATGATCAGTTTGGCCATGTCTTACGATAAACACCCTCGTAATGTCACTATCTTTATTGTCAGTTATCTCTCTGGTCATGGAATTGTTGTTGAAGATAAAGAAGAATGTGTTACAAAAGAAAACGTTTTTTTTCATAAATTTCTTTTCTTTTTTTCCGGTTAATCGGGCTTATCTCTATATGCTATACTCTATAAAATACTTTATACCAACTTTTCAGCTTCAGCTTTAAATTCTTCAAGAACGTCAGATTTGATCTTATAACCATGCACATTAGGCTCTGGGAAAGTGTTAGCTTTAACTTCAGACTTGTATTGTTTTAATCCTTCAACTCCGAGGTTAAAGAAGTTTCCATATTGTTTAACAAATTTGGCAGTGTGATTTTCTTCAGGATCTTTCATGCCTAACAAATCAGAAACAACAAGCACTTGTCCTGAAGTGTGTGGACCAGCACCTATACCAATGGTTGGAACCGACAATTTTTCGGTAATAAACTGCGACAATTTATTAGGAATACATTCCAACACTATGGCAAACACACCTGCACGTTGCAAATTCAAACATTCCTGGAAAATTTGCACTGCATTTTGGGCATTTTTACCTTGCAACTTATAACCCCCTAATGCATTGTGCTTTTGTGGAGTTAATCCAACATGGCCCATTACTGGGATCCCCACGGAAATTAATTTTTTGATGGTTGGTATAATTTCTTCATTCCCACCTTCAATTTTCACCGCTTGAATTTTCCCTTGTTGTACCAATTTGATTGCTGAACCTACTGCTTGTTCCGGTGATGCCTCAAAGGTTCCAAACGGCATATCAGCCACTAATAATGAAGAAGCGTTGGCTCTTTGTACTGATTTGACATGGTATATGAATTCATCAAAGGTCAATTCGTTGGTATCTTCATACCCTAAAGTGGTATTAGCAAGGGAATCGCCGATTAAATTGATATCAATATCGGCCTTTTCCAACATTTTCGAAGTGATGAAGTCATGTGAGGTGACCATGGATATCGGTTCACCGGATTTATAAAGCTGATTGATATCTGACAAAGTTTTCCGAGCAACATGATTATATGATGATCTATGAAGGGCAGATATGCTAAATGACCGCTGTGTAAGCACTGAAACGCGAAACATGATTGAAAAGATGGAATTTCCTACTTTTCGATTATTGAAATTTGGCAAGGGCTCGGGTTTATATAGTGGGATTTGCTTGGTTTTATACGACGATGAGGGTTTAAATTAATAAAGTACAAAATAGGTAAAAAAAAATATTTCTCTTCGCATCCAACAATTTTCAACAAGCTGCAGCACTTTAAGTGGGGGAGAAATTGATCAATGATTATATATTATGAGTGCTTATAAAATATTCTCGAGGTTAAACTAAGTCAAGAAAGTTAAAGTAGAGCTCTGATGCAGACTTTAGTTCGCAGGCGTGATGTAGTAATCTGATGTGTCATAATTTCAATAATTTTTCGCTTTTTCCTCGGCCCAACTTTTGCGACAGCAGAAGATCCAAAGAATCTGTTGTCGCGCCGTTCGGATGTTCTCGTACCGGTATAAGTTCTGCTGCTGCAGACAGACAGGACAAGGGGAAAATATAACGATTGCTATTGTTGGCACCAATTAGCAAATTTAGCAAGTTTATAAATAGAGACTGCAAAAGCATTATAACATCTTTAGACTGGTGTTTTATCTATTTAATGAAGCTTAGAGGCAAAATATCCTTGTCCTGGACCACCTTGTTAAGAGCGCCGTTTTGCTTACGTAACACGCAGATTATAACCCAAACTAAATTTTTCCCCAACAAAATACACTCTTTTTCTACCACCACCCAACTCAAGCCATTAACTGCCAAAATGCCTTCAATTGACAATTCTTTCCTTATGAACCATACTTGTCTCCGTATCAAGGACCCAAAGGTTACAATTCCGTTTTATACTGAAGGCTTGGGATTCAAATTGATCAAAACTTTCCCATTTGAAACATTCACGTTATACATGTTGAATTATGAAAATGAATCAAACAAAGACTTAAACTGGTCTGCCAGAGAAGGTGTCTTGGAATTGTGTCATAATCATGGAGTTGAAAATGACCCCGATTACAAACTCAATCACGGTAATGGTACTGAATTTAGAGGATTTGGTCATATTTGTGTTACTGTAGACAACATTGAAGTTGTTCAAGAAAAATTATTGGCCAAGGGAGTCAAGTTCCAAAAGAAATTGTCTGATGGTAGACAAAAGAATATTGCATTTGCCTTGGATCCAAATGGATACTGGATTGAATTGGTTGAAAATGGTATCAACAAAGTTGAAGCCAAGACAGATAGTGCCAATTATAGATTCAACCATTCCATGATTAGAGTCAAAGATCCAAAGAAGTCGTTGGATTTCTACAAGAACGTTTTGGGATTCAAGATTATTTCTAAAAAGGACTTTCCAGAAGCCAAGTTCACCCTTTACTTCTTGGGTTATGACCACGATCCAGAATTCAAAGAAGATTCTCAACAAGGTAATGAACAAATGAAGAGACTGTCACTTATTGAATTGACCCACAATTGGGGAACCGAATCCGACCCAGATTTCAAAGGTTACCACAATGGTAATAGTACTGAAAATGGAGCAATTCAAGGATATGGTCATACTTGTGTTAGTTGCAAAGATCCTGCTAAATTCTGCGCGGAAATTGAACAAGAACTCGGTGATAAGGCTGATTGGTCTTTGAAATGGGATCAAGGTAACATTAAAAAGATTGCCTTTATCAGAGATCCAGATGGATATTCTGTCGAGATTTTAGGTCACGATTTATTCGCTAATCAACCAAATCTTTAAGTACTATCGTATGTACATATGTACCTAGACTAAAAAATAATTAGTCATCATTGCCACGGACAAACCCCATAGGGGGAAATCTCTGTTGCCTCTCTTTTTTTTCCCCCTTGCGAGCAATAGTGTGTGGATTACAAACACAATATAAATAGATTTCTCTTTTCTCTTGTTTTCAATTGCGTTAAACTTGTGAATGTTTTCCAGTGTATTCAAACGTTATATAAGTACATCAAGAATGGTTTCCGCTCAAACTACCGAAAAGGTCAAGCAATTAATCAAGACTAAGCCAGTTTTTATTGCCTCGAAGACTTACTGTCCTTACTGTTCTGCAACTAAGAAGACCATTGAACAAATCACCAAAGAAGCATATGTTCTTGAATTAGATGAAGAAGCCGACGGTGCTGAAATCCAAGAAGCTTTATTGGAATTGACTGGTCAAAGAACTGTTCCTAATGTTTTCATTGGTGGTCAACACATTGGTGGTAACTCCGATGTTCAAGTTTTGAAATCCCAAGACAAGTTGGAAGAAAAGATTAAGGCTGTTTTGTAAGTGTGTTTAGTTTACCAGAGAGTTTTTTTTAGTTAATATAGATTATAATTTAAATTGTTTTTAGTATATACTTTGCAAAAGTAGACTTGGGCATCCCCCCCCTCCAAAGGTTGCCCTACAAAATCTCACAGCACAATTTTTTTTAGTGTCCATTAAAAATTTTTTTACAACCAAATTTACCAGCTACAGAACATCACAACCCAATAATGTCCAACGTCGGGTTACAAGTGAGGAAGGCGGTACCTTCTATTGATTCAGTAGTGGCTGACTATGCAGTGGGATACATTCAACATGTTTCCAATTCCACTGAGGATATAGTGTTGGCACAACAAGTCAACATTGACCAAGAAATGAACTTTATTAAGGAATTGCTTGTTAATGCCGGTGGATCTGTCGAAAATGTCAATAGTTTAACCGAAACCATTGCTAAACAATTAAGCTCCAAATTATCCGACAATATGGAAAAATTGGCCCTTACCGGTGATACATCTAAGCGATTATTAGATATCAATATCTTACAAAACAGTTCCAAGAGAGATATAAATTCTTCATTGGCCTTGTTGTCTGCTAGTAATGATATCGAACACACAGGTCGTAAAATGGAAAGTAGAGTCGATAAGAAGAAGTTGGAAAAACAAGAACGTAAAATTGCAAAGAAGGTGGCCAAGAGAAATAACAAGTTTGTTCAATATGAAGCTTCTAAATTATTGAACGCAAAGAAAGATGCTGATTACGACTCCTTCTTTCTTGAAATTAACCCCTTGGATTTTGGATCCAGTGCTGGTAAATCTAAGGATATCAAGATTGACAATTTCGATCTTTACGTTGGTGACGGTCAAAGAATATTGAGTGAAGCCTCATTGACTTTGGCTTATGGTAGAAGATACGGTTTGGTTGGTCAAAACGGTATTGGTAAATCTACCCTTTTACGGGCATTATCTAGAAGAGAATTAAACATTCCTAAGCATATAACCATTTTACATGTGGAACAAGAAATCAGAGGTGATGATACCCCTGCATTGCAAAGTGTTTTGGATGCCGATGTTTGGAGAAAGAGTTTATTGCAAGAAGAGCTGAAGATCAATGAAAGAATTGCTGAAATTGAAAAATTAAGAAGTGAATTTGATGAAGAATCTAACGAAGTCAAGAAATTGGATAATGAACGAGAGGATTTAGAAACTCATTTACAAGAAGTCAGTGAGAAATTGACGGAAATGGAATCCGACAAGGCTGAAAGTAGAGCTGCTGGTATTTTATTTGGGTTAGGGTTCACCAAGGAAACTCAAAACTTACCAACCAATCAATTCTCTGGGGGTTGGAGAATGAGATTATCTTTAGCAAGAGCATTGTTTTGTCAACCAGATTTATTATTACTAGATGAACCTTCCAATATGTTGGATGTTCCATCCATTACATTTTTGGCCAAATATTTACAAGGTTATAAATCTACCGTCTTGGTTGTTTCCCATGACCGTGCATTCTTGAACGAAGTCGCTACCGATATTATCCATCAACATTCTGAAAGATTAGATTATTACCGTGGGGCTAATTTCGACTCTTTCTACGCTACTAGAGAGGAAAGAATCAAGAACCAACGTCGTGAATATGAAAATCAAATGGCTTATAGAAAGCATTTACAAGAGTTTATTGACAAGTATAGATACAATGCCGCCAAGGCCCAAGAAGCACAATCGAGAATTAAGAAACTTGAGAAATTACCCCTTTTGGAACCACCTGAAGATGATAAGGTCATTACCTTCAAATTCCCTGAACCAGACAAGTTATCGCCACCTATTTTACAAATGCAAGATGTTACTTTTGGTTACAGTCCTGAAAAGTTATTAATCAAGAGTGTTAACTTGGATGTGCAAATGGATTCAAGAATTGCCTTTGTTGGTGGTAACGGTACTGGTAAGACCACATTATTAAAGTTGTTGATGGAACAATTACGCCCACTTTCTGGATTTATTACAAGAAACGGTAGATTAAGAATCGGCTACTTTGCACAACATCATGTTGATGCCATGGATCTTACCACGTCTGCTGTCTCCTGGATGTCCACTGCATTCCCCGGTAAAACTGATGAAGAGTATAGACGTCATTTGGGTTCATTTGGTATAACCGGTTCCTTAGGTTTACAAAAGATGGAATTGTTATCCGGGGGTCAAAAGTCGAGAGTGGCATTTGCTGCCTTGTGTTTGAACCAACCACATATCTTAATTCTTGATGAACCTTCCAATCACTTGGATACCCAAGGTTTGGACGCGTTAGCTGACGCATTGACTAATTTCAAGGGTGGGGTATTAATGGTCAGTCATGATGTGGCAATTATTGATAAGGTGTGTAATGAAATTTGGATCAGTGAAGATAATACCGTCACTAAATTCCCTGGTTCTATTTATGATTACAAGAATCATATTTTAGAACGAGCCGATATTGCGGGGGTTGTGAGAAAGCACTGAGTGAATCAAATCAACCGGAAAAAAAGAAGTGACAGGTTTAGAACAAACTTTAAATAGTCTTCTCTTTTTTTTTATTTGTATAGCAATCTAAGAAATATGGGGATGTCGTTTGTATCGCGACTTTCACTCAAGGCGAGGGTCGGATGGGGTTTGCTTCTCGGGTATACCTCGTTTGAAGTATATTTGCACTTTAGAACGCAGGCAATAATCAACCTGCGAAAACAAGAATATAACAAAGTAATTAGAGAGCAAGCAACTGATGATATAGATGTATCTAAATTCAAATCCAGTTTAGTAGCTGGAATGTTCATCAACCCATTTGAGGAATACAGAAATCAGACCGTGTTTGAGTTTCTACTAGTTAGAATTCTTGAACTTTTGGAGAGTGTTTATGGTAGCAAGATTGAAATCCATCAGAAATTGCCTCATCCTCATGATGGTGCTGTTGAAGTTGAAGACATTTTGAAAGTGTTCCAGCCTGATTTAGAAAGATTCCGCAAGAATTCGATCATCCTCAGTCAATGCTTAAGCAAGAATGACTATTCCGACTTGTCCGTGAGACCAATAGACCCTCAGCATATCCAAAGGTCATGGTTCCATACGAAATCCGTGGTTCCACCGGGCCCACCAATTCACGATCAATTGTTGTTTACGTGGTTAGGACAATCATGTACGTTAGTTCAATTGGCTGGGGTAAACTTCCTTACTGATCCAATTATTAGTGATCATTTGTTTTCGCCTAAATTTGGACCTAAACGGTTAACTAAATCTCCCATGACCATTGATCTGATCAAATATGCCACAAATGATAAACTTGATTTCGTAATTGTATCGCATGATCATCCGGATCATTTAGAGTATGATTTTGCCAAACATATCGGCAACAACAGTATGTGGATTGTTCCACTTGGGTTGAAAAGGAAACTTGGCCGCAAGGGAATATACAAGGTAATTGAGATGGATTGGTGGGAAAAGCTCGATATTACAAGATACATCTCAACCGATGAGAACTTTCCGGATAAATATGAAATTGAGTGCTTGCCTTCAATGCACTGGTCAGGGAGATATGCTTTTGATTCTAACTGGTCTCTATGGTGTTCCTATGCTATTAGAAGAAATGGTGAGTGCATTTTGTATCACACAGGAGATACCGGGTACCTGAAGGAATTGTTTGATGTAATTGGAAAGAGATTGGGTTCAGTTACGCTAGGTTTGCTTCCTATTGGGCAATATTGTCCTTCATGGCATCAGAAACCAAGGCATATTTCGCCAGAAGAGTGCTTGAAGATCTGCTCACAATTAAACATAAAGTATATGAAGGGCATCCACTGGGGAACATACAAATTGAGCAGTGAACCAATCTTGGAGCCCATGACTAAATTAGAGAAACTAGCCCATAAACAAGGCAAAGCTATCCAATACCGGGTGCCTGAGTTTGGCCTCACCTACTTGTTCGACTTGAACAACAAAACCGAAACTGAGATTCATGTATAAAATTTGCATTCGTTTAAATACACAAACTATAAACCATTGAGTTCCTCTATATACAACGACACGAAACTCTTTTATTCCCACTATAAATATACAGGGCCATTAACCTCATTAAAAATTAAAAACGTAAAAAACCTGATGTGCTTATTGTTCATCCCTGTATATAGCTCTTAATTTTGCTCGTTGAGCATACATCATTGATTGTTGATAAGCTTGAAAATCACTGTCTGATCTAATGACTGAACCAATTGACATAAACAACCCGAAAGTTCCTACTGAACCTAAGATATATTGGCCTAAAGTTCTCATTACCCCATTTGGTCCTGCACCATTTTGCAAAATGGAAAATCCTCCGAAAAGAACACCGACACAAACACCAACGGTGGATCCCATTATTGCTCCCATCTTGAACTTGTCCCAGTTGGACGGTTGATGAGCATATTGATATTGTTGTACTGGTGGCATAATATTTAGTCTTTAAATACTGAAGAGTAGGATAGTGCCTTCCCCGTTCAAATTTTTTTTTTTACTTCTGCTCTGGTTAATCTTCACGGCCAATCAAGAAACTTGGTTAATTCCGCACGACCTGGGAAACCAGATTATTGAAAAAAACAAAATTGCTGAATTACTATGGCGTACTTCAACCAGGGTCTAACTCGATAGGAACTGTGAAGAAGTAGCATTTCACACGTTGTCACCGAATAATATATAATAATTAACTATTTATAATGGGATCAAGTGCTTCCAAACCAGAAACTAAAGTGTTTACTCCAGCAACACCAATCGACTTCAGTGCTTCATTTTTGTCACAATTGGAAAATACTCCGGAGGTATGTACAACTACATGATTGTGTAGAGATCTGTTACTAACTTGTCTAGTCCGAATACTCCCGTGCTCAACATACCGAAAAATACATTCAAGAAAGAGTAGCAGCCGAGTTATCCAAGTTAGAAAGCCAAACCATTGCTCAATTCCAAAATACTACAAACAGCGCATTGTTAACTGATGACGATAAGACCACAGCTTTGCCATCTGTGGCTGCATTGAATGAGAAAATCGCCAAATTAACCCAAGTATTACAAGAAAACGCCAAATTAGCTAAAATTGAGGTTCCATCTACAATCGCCGCCTCCAGAGAGGCAGTTATCTCGTGTTTAAAGGAAAACCAAGGAAAAAGCTTGAATTGTTGGGAAGAAGTGGAAGTATTTAGAAAACTAGTTAAGGAATTATAAGTGGTATTTAAACTAATACATAATAGATAAACCGTTTACAACCCTAATCCTTTGTAGATCAAGAGTAATGCCGAATCACTTTCACCCCCACCAGCTAAAGTTTCTATCTTTTCTCTAGACACGGAGCTAACTTTATCATCATTGAATAACCACCATCTATCACCATCGATGTCAGTAGAATCCTTGACATATGCTTTGTAATGACCGCCATCGGCCGAGGCACCAGTATGGGTAACCACAGCATTCAACACATATACTGAAGATGGATTTTCAGTGGTCTTGTCAAGATCTATAGACTCAGGTAAATTAGACACTAAATCGTCTCTGAACTTACTCTTGATGGATGCAATCTTCAATTCATCTTCTTCTTGTTGCTCCAAGGGGTTTAATGTGGTGTCCTTCTTGGCCTTTTTGAAATCACGAACTAAATCCAAATTATCCTTTTCAACTTTTCTAATTTTATCTCTAATGGACACTTTTTCCGGTTTTATTGAATCATCCAACATCTCAGCTAAATCCAATTCAAATGGGAATTGAACCCTTCTTAAAATCTTGGATTTCTTGTTGATGTCTCTTCTCCAGAAAAATCTCATAAAGTGAACAGTCAAGTACTTTGGTAATCTATCAATAGTCTTTGTGATTTCATAATCGGTGTTTGATCCCAAGGAATCGTTATACTTTTCAATGGTTTCCTTTAATCCGGCTAATATCCCATCTCTCAAGAAATTAGTCTTGATGTCAATATGACAATCCAACTTGAACGACTCTTCATGATCTTCCTTGACATCCTCGGGCAAGGCCAAACACTTGGTCTTGGTCTTGAAGGAAACTCTAAACAAATCATCAACCTTGATAGTCTGTCTCAAGCAAGTCAAAATCTGAGAATATGCTTCTTCCGCATCTTGCTGTTTATAAATACCATGTTGTTGTTCAGCAAATTGAGGAAATAAGTTACGGAAAAGGGCAAGAAACAAAGTAGGAGTAACTGATTCACGCTTTTCACTCATTTGTTGAAACAAGTTCTTCAATGAAATGACTAATCCATCATTTGGTTGTCCACTGTTGTTGACTTTGAAATCCTTTAATCTATTAGCAACATCGTCAATTTGAAACAATGCTTGTAAAGTAGAATTCAAGTAACATGTATTACCCAAATTGACCAACCCTGAAGGGTCATTAGATACTTTAACCAACTGGTTCTTGTTCAAATCTTCAAGGAAAACTTGCTTTTCCACTGGTTTGCTAGGTAAGTTCTTGTCCGGAGTACCCAACACCATGATAGGAGCCTTTGTATTCAAGTCTAATGAAGACACAAGAACATCATCAGGCAACTTACCTCCTTTGACCAAGATCTTTTGTCTTTCTGGTGGGATTAATGTCAATTGTTGGATCTTTTCCTTAAACACCTTACCAGTGTCTTGAGGATCAACTTCGATTTCGTAAACTTTACCTGCATTCTTGATAGAGACTATATTTGGTTAGTATATATTGCTCCGAGTCAGATCTCAGTTCTTTACATACGTGTGAACGACATCTTGTGTTGTTGCAATTGGTTGTAAAAGTGGCGTCGGAGTAAATCTCGTTACATGTTTTTCTTTTTTGCCCCCAACGCTGATGCTCAAATTTCACTACCATGTGTATTTATTTTTTTTTATATATTTATTTTTGTTGTGGCACTAACATAAAATTCTATACAACTACTTCATCTAAAAGGGAATATTGTTGTAAAAGAATACAATCTCCTCCCCGTTCTGGATCGACCCCATAGATGTAAAACACTCCTTCCGAAGTCACCACATATATGTGTAAGAAGTTAACTTCAAGCATGACATCTTTTGAACTAGCACTTATGGTACTATTTGTGCTTTTAGAATCACTATCCTTCGCATATAGGTATGTCAGTGGGACCAAGTCCGGTTGGATAACACTATTCATCACTGCGATTGACTTGGCATCTTTATTTATAGCATTTATCTTTAACGAAGCGAAATTTCTCGTTGGTTCTAAAATCGAGGAGAATCGCGATGGTAAGAAATCTCCCATTTTCTGGGCAGCTTTTCGACCAAGTGTTTGTGAAGATCTTCTAATTAATCTGGCCATGGAGATTCTATTTTGATCAATCAATGGTTCCGATTTGGGAGAATTGGAAATGGGAGTTTCATCTGATTGTGCACTATTGACAGAACCTTGGGATAACTTCCGTTGTTTACTAGCATGATCGTTTTCTTCTTCTTGCTCATCGTCGTCTTCAACCAACTCATCGGAGTCATCGCCATCATCTCTAATATCAAAATCTTCATCTTGCGAAGTTCTGGCCTTTCTGGGTTTGGATTTCGAGGAAGTCGATGCCGACGAGGAAGCTTCCACTTCTTCAGCAATAGCATCATACTTGCTATTCAATTTCTTCTTCTTGTGTTTATTTTCCAATGCTTCGTCCTCGCCCAACCGGAATATATGGACAGTTAAACTGGAACTAGTGGCAACAACATAATTATCATCGGCACTGAATCGAAGTGAATATATCTTGGTTGGGTATGTTCCTCTTCTAAATTGGTATATTTTCACTCCGGTAGCAACTTCAAAGATTCGAACAATAGTTCCCTTATCTGACGCAGTAGCCAAAAGAGAACCGTTGGTCGAAAATGCTATAGCCGCTAAAGTAGATTTATGAGCTTCTATAACTGATATTGGTTGTAATGTAGTCAAGTTAAATATAATCACATCGCCTACTCGATTAGGAGTCTTGCTCACCGAAGTTATATTGCTCTGAGTTGAATTCAGCCCACCATTTGTATTTATCCCGGTGGCCAACAATGAATCATGAGTTATAGTTTTAGGTGGAGAAGGGTATGCCAAAAAACTATTTCCTTCATTGTCAGGATCATAAGAAATGGCACAAAGACCATTCACATTAGGACTTGTTTCAATAGTATGCAAAAGTTTCATAGTGGAGATGTCATAAATATATATCTGATCCTCCAAGACAACCACTAGTCTCGTTCGGGTGAGTTTAACTTGAAGGATCGTCGATGGGAATATCAATTCACATATGGTGCTTTGCTTTTTAGTATTTATGATCTTCAATTTTCTAGGCGATGATCCCGGTTCTTCACCCTGGCCCACAATGGCAACAAGGGAAGTACAGTACAACATCTCGACAATGCCAATCAGTTCGTGCTTCTTGAATTGGAAACATCTGCCAAAGTTCGGTTGGCAGTTGAAGATCTTGTACCCGCTAGTCAAGCCTAGCGCCACACAGGAAGCATCCTGGTTAAATGTGATAAAGTTGACTGAATCGTCAGAATTCTTGATACTGCTTATTACTGAAGACGCGGTGTCATTATTTAGACTGTTGGTGTATTGCTTTTGTAATTGATGTAGCGGTGGGTTTGATTGTGTCTTTAACATGACAAACTCGTTAGTTCCTGTGGTATATGAATAAGGAAATGGCAATACAATGTAATGATTCAAAGGGTATTTCGATTGATGCAGTAAGACCAAGGGATAAACACTCGGTTATTGTTTTCTAAAATGTGTAGATGGTTACGTGGTTGTAATTGCTTGAAACCAAAAGTTTTGGGCCATTTCTAAATTTACAGTTTATTTTTTTTTGGGCTTTGTTACCAAGTGGAGACCAAACAATGACAGTCAAAGTGAAATTTGAAACTCAACCCATGACGCGACATTGAGTGAGATTTGCGACATTCCGTCTGCACTTATATGTTTACACTTTTATACAAATCAAATATAAACTTACACTCTAGATGTTCTTGACTAACCAGGTAGTGAAACGATCTATCATTTCTGGAGTGACATCGTGGCCAACACCTTCTTGGACAAACACTTCACAAGCGGAATTACTGTTTACATAAACGTCACACCAGACAGAGCTCAATTTGACCGGCACTAACGTATCTTCTTTTCCGAAAGCAGCAAACATTTTGATTTTGTTCATGGGGAAATTTTCAAAGATTCTAGTATCTTCGTAGCTCAACCTTTTATGAAACACTTCTGGATAATTAAGTTGTTTCTGTTCGGTATTCAAGTCTAATTCGTCATAATGGAAATAGAAATATTTCTTATGATAAGAAGGTGAATCAAGTGGGGTCTGTTTCAACCGGTTTACCAATAAAGAAGTCAAGTCATGACATCCAACCACGGGATTAATTATCTTGACTAATTCGGGATACTCGCTAGCAAATCTAAACACAGTATGTCCACCAAGAGAATACCCACTTAAAAGGTTACGGAACTTGATTTCACAACTAGGGTTTCTTTCTCTGAATTGGGCGCCAAGGAAATGGTTCAAGTTCAAGTAACTTGGCAAGTAATCAATTATCAACTTCAAATCACGTACGTTACCTTCAATTCCTGAAACCATATCTACGGCATGACTTTGGTTCCCTTTAGTCCATCCGGAATTACGCAACTCGTCAACCAATCTTTCACCATGGTTTCTAATATCAAAAGTAACACAAATTAACGGAGTAGTATCATCACTTGCTGGTCTTTTTTCGTAAAATTGTTTAAGCACGTTGTAAGCAATTGATTCAGTGAACCTATGGTCTCCACCACGTTGGTGAACCAAGTATAGGACATTAATTGGGATTTCCTCAATGTGGGGGAGGTTAGCATCGTCAAATTGCTTGATATATGGCACAAGTAAATCGGAATTGTAAACGTAGGTGGAAATTCCTCCAACGTTGTATTTCTCCTTGGAGAAGGACTTGGGATCGAATTCAAAGATTTGCATATTCAATGGGGTAAGCTTCAATAACTTGTGATGGGTGTTTTAATAAACTTGGGGAAATTTCAGTCAGCCATTAAGTGAGCAAGAAAAAAAATATTATAGGGTGATTAATTAGTGTGCATATAAACTTTCACATGGTGTATTAATGCACCTCTGTAGTATTACTAAAAAAAGACAAGAATGCTACATAGAGATCACTATGAATCATTTCATGACTCAACTTTTCTTATAATCTAATTAAGTTAATCATTTATGGAATTTGCAGATGCGCATTTGGCAGGCAAGGTAGCAATACCAATCCCAATCCCAGCATTCAAAATGGCATTCTGGCTAGCCAATTTCTCATGCTCTTGTAATTCTTTATTACTTATAGTATTACTTCGACGGCGAGTTTGTGGTTCTTTAACATTGGCACTTATTGCTTCTCCTGTAGCTGAAGATTTCCTCGAATCGATAATCGGTTCCAATTTCTCATCATCATCATGAATTTCCAACTTTGCTTTAGTGGGCTGTGGAGATTTTGAGCTTGATTTCGGGATCACAGGAGAAACTGATGGTTTTGCTTCTGGACGATATTCAGGAATTGAACTATCCTCGTTATCTTCATCTTCTTCATCTTCATCTTCATCTTCCTCATCGTCATCGTCGTTCTCCTTGAGATCCTTCTCATCATTCTCCTCCTCTTCATCTACATTGTCATCCTCGTCCACTTCCGGTTCACTAGGAGGTCCCAATTTCTTACATACGAAATCAACAACTTCTCGCCAAGTTCTCATTCCACCCATGGATATGTTACCATCGATATCGACGCATTTCTCCACCGGTTTTAAAATACTCATGTTCGGGTACGTTTCTTGCAATAATGCCAACTGTTTCTTCGTTATGGGATGGGAATACATAGCACTTGTGAATGCCAATGCAGCAATAATAGGCTTTGGTGATAAGATATTATACGACATTACTGTTGTGTCCTGCTTTGGTTGTGCTATAGGGATAGAAGACTGTTGTTGTGGAACTTGTGGGATGGGCCATACATGCAATAATTCCGTTAATAGGTTATCAGCAATCCCCGTGGTCAATTTCGCAACCGTGTTTGCAGAAAGTGGTGCTAATAACAACACATCGGTCCATCGTTGCAACTTGTATGATAAACTATACTGTTGTAATAATTGAGGTGCAGTTAGTTTATGTTTTCCCAAGGATCCAGCTGCGGCGGCATTCAGATATGCCTGTTGAAATGGTGAAGTCAAGAAATACTTTTCACCATCATCGCTGAACCACACTTTAGAAACTCCCAATTGTTCAAGTTTGGTTAATTTATCCAGAAGGAACCATTCAGCTGATTTGGTGAGTATGATTTGAATTTCCAACTTGTCATGAGTGTACAATTCAAATAATTTTTCAATTATAAGGACAATATTTTGATGAATGGAAATACACCCAGTTATACCAATTAACAAATGTAACTTGTCATCTTCTGGCCCAGTAATAGGATGTTGTATGGGACTGACACCCTTTTCTTCGGTTGTCGCTACATTATTGACACTAGTGGAAGATATTGAATTATTGTTAGCAGAATGACGGACAAAATCAATATACTTCTTGTCGTTATCATTATATCGTAATGAGTTAACTCGAGAAGGAAAGTTATTCTGTTGTTGTATCGGTGATGCTGATTTAGAAATGGCACTGGAAGAAACACTTCCCGGTTGACTAGGTGCCTGCACCACAGTCACTGGGGTCACACCACCGCCAACTTGCTCAAGATTTATGGGTGATGTAACTAGTCTCAGTTGACTATTTAGTAACCCATGCATTGTCGGACTAACACTGTCTGTAGTTACGAATTGCGGATGTTGGTTTTCTAGATGGTGGTCAGCATCAAGGGTGTGGTGTAATATTGGCGGGTTAGATTGTCGGCGTTGTGGTTGCATATCAGAAGATCCAGTTCTTGGTTGTGCAGGTTCCTGTGGTTGCAGCAGAGAAGGCGGAAACGGCTTCTGTTGTAGATGCACCAGGGTTGTAGATTCAGATGGTTGAGAAAGACATGATTTTAAATTTGGATCTTGCTTGACAACTAACGATGGCAACTTGTCACGTTTCGTATTGGAATGGTTTGAGGTTAGGGGTTTTGGGGTAGATTCTAAATTCAGTTTCAATTGGTCAGTCATGGCGGGTTTTTTGGGGATGGGCGAATGTAAGACGTTTTTCCCCTTTGTTTTGGTTGATGAGGGTGAAAGCTGCAGTTGGTCTATAGCTGTGGTTGTATCCACTGCCAACTTGGGATGTTGTGTACTATGTGCGTTGGACATTGGATGGGGTGTGTAGTTTGTTATGATTTAAGTCGCTGCTGTGCAACACAAAGGGGAAAAGTTAAGAAAGATGAAAAGGAACGAGGAAATGATGTAATGGAAATGCTTTGTTGTTTCAATCAATCTATTGTTCAGGCAACTACGTAATAAGGAAACTGTTAGAAAATAATAGCAGAGAAAAAAAAACACATATCCAATGTGTGTGTATGGGAATAACTACTAATAATATTTGTATGTATTAATGGATGTTAGCCCGTGGTGTTACTTACGAGTTTCAATGGCGAACTAAAACAGTCACACATTCAACAATTAAGATAGCCGAGCCGCATATATATATATTATCACGTGGACTAAACACACGTGAATGGGTTGAGGGGTTTAATTTGAATAATCGGGGTGTGAAGATTACTTGGCAGATTCTTTTTCCGTCCCGATATCTGATTAGCTAAGCATAATTACGAAGGGAAAAAGCCTGCTTTGTAAACTCTTACAAATCGAAAGAAAAGACTACCAGTAATCTCTCGACGATAATTTTTCGCTGAGTCAGCTGGTGGAAAATAGTATCCGAAAGCAGAAATAAACCATTAGCCCGAGAGGATCTCGCTTTTTGTTGTCTTGTTGCGCCACATTGTATAGATGGTGTGGGTTGATGTAGATTTGAGATTATCAGCCACATTATGTCAAATAGGATAAACAATTCAAACAAGAGCGCTTCTCCACTCTCCTCCGCTCTCCTCCGCTCCTCTGCTCTTTTGACAATCAGCAAACTCCCAAACAAAAACATTAACTCCACCTTATCTCCGGTGACAGTTATTGTTCTGTATCGTTTTCATCTGCAAAATGCGGAAATCGATTGTTCCAATAATACAATGTAGCAACTTTGCATAATTATCCGGAAAACTTCTTCTTTGGGGTAATAACAGTTACCGAATTGTGTTGAGTATCGGCTTGTGACTTTTCGGTTAATATAAAACCCCACACATTTTCCAACCCGTTTTTTTTTTCTCTCACTTTAAAACTTTAACCTTACAACCATTGCTAGAAAAATGCCTCCTGTACAAGAACAACTGTCTATTGCTACCCTGAATAAATCCAATGAATCAATCGATACTTCGGTTTTGGATGCTGAAGCATGGTATACCCCAGTTGCAGACATCGCTCCTGAAGTCAAACGTATAACCGAGGCCTTTTTTATTAAGAGAAAGACCCATTCGTTGCAATTCCGGTTAAATCAATTACGTAATGTGTATTTCGGGATTAAAGACAACATTGATGCTCTTTGTGATGCCTTATACCAGGATTTCCACCGGTCCAAGTTTGAAACTAGAAACTTGGAAATTCTCGGTGGTTTAGCTGAAATTGTTCATATTATGGAAAGTTTACATACTTGGGCCAAACCCGAGAAGGTCACTGATTTGCCAATCAATCTTAAAACTCAACCAGTTTACATTGAGAGAATCCCCTATGGTGTTGTTTTGATTATTTCTCCCTTCAACTACCCTTTCTTTTTGTCGATCTCCGCTGTGGTTGGTGCCATTGCCGCTGGTAATGCAGTTGTTTTGAAACAATCGGAAATGACTCCACGTTTCTCAAAACTCTTCAGTGAAATCTTGACCAAATCCCTTGATCCAGACATCTTCTTGGCTGTGAATGGTGGTATTCCTGAAACAACTGAATTATTGAATCAGAAATTTGATAAAATTATGTATACTGGTAACAACATGGTTGGTACTATTGTTGCTAAAAAGGCGGCTGAAACTTTAACACCTACTATTTTGGAATTAGGTGGTAAATCTCCCGCTTTTGTTTTGGATGACGTCCAAGAGAAGGATTTGGATACCGTTGCTAGAAGAATCGCCTGGGGAAGATTCACTAATGCTGGACAAACTTGTGTTGCCGTGGACTACGTCTTGGTTCCTAAGAAACTCCATGATAAGTTTATTACTTCTGTTAAGAAGGTAGTTTCTGAACAATTATACCCCAAGATTAATGCAAATGATGACGAATTCACTCACATTATCCACGACCGTGCGTTTAAGAACTTGACTGGATTGTTAAAAACTACCAAAGGTGAAATCGTTGTTGGTGGAGATTCCGATGCTAAATCGAGATATATTGCTCCTACAGTAGTTGATAATGTTGACTGGGATGATTCCGTCATGAAGAATGAAATCTTTGGCCCTATTTTACCAATTATCACGTATGAGAAATTATCTGATGCTCTTATCGAGGTTCAACGTCGTCATGATACTCCATTAGCTCAATATATCTTCACTAGTGGATCTACTTCCCGCAAGTATAATCGTCAAGTAGATCAAATTCTTACTGCAATTAGATCAGGTGGTACCATCATCAACGATGTTCTTCTTCACGTTGCCCTTTTAAATGCCCCATTTGGAGGTGTGGGTAATTCCGGTATGGGTGCATACCATGGTAAGTTCTCGTTCCGTCATTTCACCCATGAGAGAACGACAATTGAGCTGAAATTGTGGAATGAAGCTATGATTAAAGTCAGATACCCACCTTTTAATGATACTAAGAATACTTTACTTCAAGTCACCCAGACTAGTTATGGTGGTAATGTTTGGTTTAATCGTACTGGTGATGTTCGTGTTGCTGGACCAAGTACCTTATTTAGTGTGTGGAATGGGTTTATTGGTACTTTGGGAATTCTTGGTACTTTTGTTTCCAAGGCATCCAAGTTGTAAGCTTGTGTCTTTCTATCCTCTCTTTAATTTAATGTGTATGTAATGTGATTTAATTTTACAAAACTGAGTTGTTTTTTTTAAAAAAAAAAGACAAACGTATTATGTATTATTATGTATTATTATTTTATTACTAGTATTATTAAACAACAGCAAAGGTTTAAAATGTGTACCCATCATAACTCATAAATCATTCAGAGATAAATGTAACTTCACTATACGCAACTCCGGATTCAGTGATACCATCAACAGTCAATTCCAATTCATCACAATATTGGTAAATATATGGCTTGGCACCAGCAACATTGCTAACAATAGTCTTAACAAGCTGGGGAATTTCTGCCATGACATCAACACGTTCAACCAAAGTTTTTAAATCTCCCTTGACGACACCAACTTCAACCCCTTCGTCGTCTGGATTGGCGGCATCCTTAAGGTAATGAAATTCAATAGATTTAGGAACAGGCCATCCAATTTCAACATCATCATGAGGATCCAAATGAACAACCTTGTTGTTCACGGTGGCATACAACACCTTTTCGTTATTACAAATCATACCGACATTGACTCTGGTTTCAGCATATGATCTAGGAGTGGTGAATTCCATTTGGACAGCAGAGTAATTTTCCGATTGGAAGTTGAGGAAGTTCCATGATTTGGCAGCATGATGAGGTTTCATACCTTGCAAGGCAAATACAAACATGGTGTAACCTTCAATTGGGATTTCCTTGGTGACAGGTTCAGCATTGGCTTCAGTAGCAGTCTTGGTGGTGGTGATCTTACCAGCAACAGAACATCTTGGCCAAAAGGCGTGTCTCATTGATCCCCATGGGTTTTCAACATCTTCTCCATAAAATGTGAATCCATCCTCACCAAATATAACTCCATCAGTCAATCTTGTCATTTCCAATTCGACAAGTGATTCTGGATTAGCCGAGAAGTTCAACTTAAATGTCTTGTTGTCGATTAATTCCAAGGATATACCATCAGCATAAAAGTTGGCACCTTCCAATCTAAAATTTTCCAATTTTGTCGAAGTCCATATTCCGAGTTCTGGGGTCTTGGAATTAAATAATCTGAATGTGAATTGAGCGGTGGTATGAACACCCATAACGTTAGAATGGATAACTTGAGCAAACCCAGTAGATCCCGACTTCAAGTCAGTGAAGTAAAAGGTCTTGGTTTCAACATTAGTTGATCCTGGTTCAAGCCAATTGAAATCTTCAGCAACAGTAGGTCTGCTGACTTGATTGTTGACGATACGCTTGGTGATGGGTTGGATGGCATCGGCCCCATATTCAGGCTCAGCAGTACCAGCAACAACAGAAAGACCAGATTGTACCCACTTTAACATATTAGCTTGTGATGTAGATAGCGAATGGAAGATGTATTAATAAAAACTCTAAGGGGGAGTAGGGTGAGAAAACTTTTTTGTGTGTGTGTGTGAGTGAGTGAGTTGAATGTTTGCGATTGCTTGGTGCTGGTTTTCCATTTTCTTTTTTTTTTTTCTTTTGCCTCCGGCGCCAGATTTTCTTCTCCGTCTGCACTGGAACGGCTTGTGATTGTTCGTCAGGGGGGGAGGGGTGACGGGCGGACCAATTTGACACGTCGAATAAGACGGCACTGGGAATTTATATTGATCTTTGGATGTTCTGTGATCGTATCTAGGAGTAAACTTATGCTTGACTTGCAATTGTTTGAAATAATACTTGTGTTAGTTATTCACGTGAGGAAAGTCACGGGAAACAACTCCTTTCAAGTTTTACTTCGGCGTAATCTGATTTACCCCTGCTTTGAAAGTTACACAGAACTGATTAACAACCGGTGCAATTCACGAATATCCAATTGGACCAATTTTCCTATCGTACCTGCCAGTAGTATGAGCCCTGCACTATGTGATCTAGATTCAAATATTCCCAAATGTTACGCGTGGAGTATTTGTTCTAAATTTTCGGGAAATTCATGCTATAATCTTACACTAAGTTCTAAATAGTTTAGATAATCACAGGATCATAGAAATAGAATTGTTGAGTAACAGCCCTGTTTAGTTTTAGTCTTAGTTCTAGACATGCATTTCTACTACCTCCATTAATCTATGCATAAAGTGTAAAAATGAGCGGGGCTGATACCAAGCGGTGCAACCTGGGAACGAAATTTATCCCTCCTGTTTTCCCCCACCTGATGTTTTTCTTTTAGTAGTTGACACATAACCATCACTTAACTCCAGAAAAAAACCGATTCATCTTAAATGCTATATGCTATAACTTCAATCTATTTAAGCCTTTAATCTGAAACAGTGCCGCCATACCCGAGTAATATTTTTGTTGTGGCTATGATTTTAATATTACGGATATACATAAAAAATTGGGACTTAAAACTTCCGTCGTGGTGGGCCAAAACTACGAATCTATTTTTTTCTGCATTTTTCTTTTTGGCTCTTTTGGGTAAAGCCAATTGTCTATTTTTTTCTTTTTCCATTTATTTTTTTTTTGCAGTTTTCACAATGTAAGGTTGAAGCTTTTTTTTGCAGTTAAAAAGGGTCGTGTAAGAAGTTTTATTGTTATCACGCAAAATGCGAAGGAGAACAGAAAAAAAAAAGCGTGAGGTTTTATGTATGACAAAAATAGCAAGGGTGATACATTTAAGTTGATTCTAAGCAGATATAAATTACCATCTCTGAAATGTTTCACGTCTTTATTTTAGATGGTACATCACATATATCATGTACATGTTTGATAGAAACGTTTATAAAGAAGCATCATTGGTATGTATATTGTTATTGTACACCTGACGACAGCCCTTCGTAAAAAATAATAACATCAGTTTACACAAAATTTAGTAAATTGATTTTCTTTTTTTTTTTATTTTTTTTATTTTTCTGTTTGTTAGCGGCTAGTGCTTGACAACACTAGTTAACACACCGGACAATGGTGATAATTAATTAGCCTTTTTTTTTACTTCCCCAATTTTTCCACTTTACCCATAAAATTTGTCAGCAGTTTCTTTACGTTTCTTCATTGCCCATCATCATTGTCATTAGTCATAACATCACACTTGACAACCCAATTCTGACATCAGCAACTAAAGTTTCAACCCTTGAAAAAAAAAAATTCACCCTAGAAAATCCAAATTGGTCGCATCAGGCGTAAATCCCCGTTGACCTGCCAAACAAATCACGCAAATCATTAAAGCTTCCCTCCGATCCTTCTTACTTTTACTTTCATTTTCACTTTTACTTGATCTGCTCCAAGTTCAAGCAAACCATGTCGGGTGTTATAATATCAAACTTACCTCCTCCTCTAAGTGGGTCCACTGGCACCACTGCCACTGCTTACACTATCAAGCTTAACAATGAAATTATTAGTCATTTGAAAAATTGCTTACATAAGGGAATAACTGCCAAGTTGGTAGTCAAAGGAGGCAACTATGTATGTATAACTGCTCCAACCTTGTTTTATCAAGTTCTGTTACTAACCTGTTTCTAGTCGATTAAGATTTCGGAATCTTTGGAATTCCCATGCATGAAGCTGCCAGAGAACTTAAACGTCGATATCTATTCCATTGCATCTGCATCTGCGAACAAGCATGTCTATAACGGTAGAATAGCAGCAAAGCTCAATGTCATTACCGATACACGTAAGATCAAACAATATACCGCCAATGCCAACCTTGCCGTTTCGTCCCCAAAACCTTTATCACGCTCCTCACCTTCACCTTCAATCATAGTGAGCACTTCCACGCGACCTCATGCTAATATCGACTATACTGCATTTAGAACCAGCACAGGTGATCCTGATATTGTCAAGAAGTTTATTTATTTGTTAGCATTGGGTCCGATTTGCTCCCTGCGAATAGCGGAAATTATGCATTATGAAAATTTGAAGTCGCTACTAGACGAGTATGCTCAGGTATACGACCCTCGTGATTCATTTATTGAAGATGACGTATTTCCTAGCCAGGACTTATCGGATGATAAAGTCAAACAAGATCCGCAGTATATTCTTAAAGACAAGACTTACAAGGAGTTGAGACCTTGGAAATGGAATTACTCTGCATACGAAAGAGACTTAATCATCGGTAATATAAATCATGCATTGACGAGATTGGGATACTCCCAAACTCATCCATTAAGACGCAAACTATGTGATCAAGATGGTGATAAAGATGAAAAGCCAACTACACCTTTGAATGCCGAGAGAAGTAGTGGGCTCGGTGGTGGGATGTTGATTTCTAAAAACGCTTTCAAACGCGCAGCTACTGATTCACCATTAATCAGCCATCTGACACCACCACCACCGCCGCCTCCTCCTGCTCCGGTAATCAAGACTGATTCACAAAAGAGAAAATTATCATCACTGAGCACATCCTCGGATGAAGAACCTCAAAAGAAACTCAAACTCGAATTCAGTTCCGCTTCATCCTCATCTTCATCGTCATCCTCTGAAGAGGATAGACCTAACCCGGTCCCTCCACCAGCAAAGAAATTGGACTATTACACTAACTTAGCCATTAAGTTTAAATTCAAATATAAGGAGTATGAGTCATTATACCTTCGACTTAAACAAGAATCCAAAAAAGATCAGGAATCCAAGAAGGAGCTTGTGAAATTGTTTGAAATGCATCAATTATTAAGTCAATGGAAGAAATTACTTTGGGATTATGATCGTGACCAAAAGCAAAAGGTCAATGTTATGAATTTGAATAAACATAAAGTATCAAGGTCAACTTCAAGAACGGAAAGAGCTGACAATGTTAAGAGAAGCGTCAGTCCTCCTAAACGAAGAAAAGTCCTTGATTACTAAGACAGTTAATGTGCTATTATTTTTGCATTTTTAATATATATAATGTATTGTCATAGGCTGCAACCTCTACTATACACAATTTGTATCTAATAATTGAAAATACTCTTGTAATACAAACATCTGCTTTCTAACAAATCCCAATCCTTTTGAGTAATCCACATTTCATTAACAACCTTTAATCTTCCATAAACACTACCACCTTTCCACGTCAACATTTCCGGATCAAATTCTCGTGGTGGGGGCAAAACATTCACTGGCATTAACGTACCTTGCTCGCTCAAACTGTCGATATACTCCCAATCCAATTTAAACTGTGCTTGAACTTCAATATCATCCATGACATCTTGAGGCAATTCCACATCATCCACAGAAGTTTCTTTATTTTGTTCCTTGTGAATCTTGGCCTTGGCTTCGTCAATCAACCCCTGTCTCATCTCATTATTACTCTTAATTTCTTGAGATACATAAGCGATAATGGAATCAATGGAACTAGTGGAAAGAATTTTTGGACGCCAGATATTTATCCGATCAGTTAACATAAGATCATACCCACTTATCTTTGCCAATCCACCTCCAACAACCAAGATATTATCATACAACTTCTTAAGTTTTGACAAGTCAGTGGCCAATCCGGCATTGGTGATTGATTCAACAATAGCTTTTTCCAACGGAACATGGTAGATGTTATCTTCCTCCTTGCCATTCGCAAAAGTAGTGTCCTCATCCTCAATTAATCGCGTTAAAAGGTCATCTTCATTCAAATCACAGAAGTTCAATTGCGTACGTAATAATTCCTGAGATTTACTCTTGGTGTTATTAGGCTTGTTAGTGTATTGGTCTAACGATGGTTTGAATAACCTACCCTTGATTCTTGAATTTCTAGGTTGGGTCAGAGTAGATAAACTTGGAATGGCAGGGGTTTCCTTTTCAATTTGGAATAATTGAGGAAAGAAAAGCGCCATTGGTGCAAGCATTACTTCATCAAATACCTTAAAATCATACTTTTCAGTAGTTTCATGGGGTTTCCGTTTATAGAAACTGTATAATTGCACGGCAATATCGGCATCTTGAAACGTAGCAAAGTTATGTTTAAGATATTGAGCAAGTTCCCAATCGTAACTAGTACCCAAATCAATATCCTTATAAGGGAACGCGTTTTCAAGAAGTAATTTAATAAATGTCTCTGTGATATGATCACCTCCGTAGTTTAACAGGATGCTTGAATTAGTAATAACCATACCTTCGTCAACACAATTGATGGTGGTGGTTTGTGCACCAACATCGACAACACAAGCTGTTGAAGCACCAGCACCAAAGGTAGCGGCAACAGCTTCTTGAATTATACCAACACGACCAAATCCAACAAATTTGAAAAGTAAATGACACCAAGTTTCAACATAAGATTTATCATATAAATCAGGAATAACCAACATACACTTGAAATTTTCAAATTTTGTGATTTGTAACTTACTAATCAATGTTTCAGTGATGATATTACTTAAATCACCTAAGATTTCTTCAGGGGAGTTATAATCACGTGAATATTCATTAAAATTACCGTTGACTAAAGGATATCGCAATTTCCACTCCAGATTAATAGGTACAGCCAATGCTTCTTCTCCAATATAGAACGTCTTGTTTGTGTGCTTGACATCGACCCATTCTTTTCTATTAGGATCATTGTGATCAGGGATTAGTTCTGGTTCTTGTTTTTTATTGAAATTAGCAGCTGTTTCTCGAGAATTGGGAAGCACTCTTCTTTTGTAATAACGCATACGAGCGCGGAAATCTTTAGTCACTATTGCACGTTGTTGATCAAATTCTTCGTCAAAATAAACTTCACCATCTTCATTCTCAAATCGTATAGGTATTGGTTTCTTGGAACTTTCTGAAACACCGTTGACCACCACTGACGAATTTGTTTTCACGGCAATTACTGAGGGTATAGTTTCAGGGACAGCATCAATGGCACGGCCAATACGGATAAAAGCACTTCCTGGCTGTAAGATAATAACATCTTCACCAATCTTGGCCTTTTCCTGTCTCACTTCTTCGGTTTCATTCTCATCGTCTTCTTCTTCTTCTTCGTCCGCTTCTTCTTGTACTTTTGAAGCATTCAGTTTATCTCTTCTCATTTCAGCTTCTATAGCATTCAAATCGAAATTATCAAAAGTTTTCAAATCCTTAGAATCTCCCTCAGTCTCAATATTACCTTGTTCTTTCATCTTCTTCAACTTTTGTTGGGCAGCACGTTCGCTTCTCCAGTTACGAATGAAGGAAACTTGTTCATCCTTCTTCAAATATTCCGTAAAGTAATTCTTTTGATTGATCAAAGGAATGGTCTTGACACTGGTCAATCCAAATCCATTCTCGGCTTCAAATCGCCCTATACCTGTCTTTTTAAGATTTTGAGCGATTGTGGCGGCAGCCTTGATTCTTCCTTCTTTTCTTCGTTGAAGAACTTCAGCACTGGGTTTTTTGCCTGTTGTTGGACCAGGCTTGAGTCTTTTGGGTGAATTGCTGTTTGCTTCTGTGGTAGGCTCTTCTGACATTGTGTGATTGATGGATGACTCCGCCTCGTTGTTTAGTTAGATGATTGGTGTTAACCTGTTGGAAAGAGAGAAGTTGTGGTGAAAATTGTTGATCGCTTGTTTAGTTAACGTTGTAGCTATTTTTTATTTTTTTTCCGCTTTGGTTTTTCTGCTTTGGTTATTGTCTACTGTAGAGCTCAGCAAATAAGTATAGGGTGAAGTATTATATGAATCAATCATGTATTTGATTTTATTTAATATATACTACTACGAATTTGAAGAGTGCTAAACGATTCTATCGCCCTTTTGATCAGCTGGCAAAACAATCTCGTCGACTTTTCCAGAGTTATACTCCAACTTACCTCTACTGTTGATATAGTTAATTTCATGAACGTTGGAATGATCAGGAACAAGCTTATCACAGTTTCTCAACTTGTACCAAGGTAAAGTAAACACTTCTTCAACCGATTCCAAACTACGTCCTTGCAATTCTGGTAACAAGAATGCAAATACTAACCCAAGAACCATAACACCAACAAAGAAGTAAAATGCTCCATATGGTTGCAATGCCAACATAAGCTTAGGAAGAGCCTTGGAGTTACCGTATTGGTTGGCAAAGTGTAACACCATGACTAAAGATTGAGCAAATGAACGGATGTGTAAGGGGAAAATTTCCGACCCAAGTAAATATTGAACTGAATTGAAACCAATTGTCCATCCTGTACCGGACAAGAAGATGGCAGCAAGTGCTCCCTTGGATGCTCTGGTTTGAGAAGGCGACAACTCAGTATCATCTTCGGCTGCCTGGGGAACAATCGTAAGGAAAATAGCGTAATATAAAATAGAAATCATTTGTAATGAAATACCAGAATATAAAGCACGTTTTCTACCAAACACATCGATAACGAAGAAAGCACCCAAATAAGCAGAAGTAAGTTTAACAGCTCCCAAAATAGCAGACATTTTCAATTTACCAATTGGACCCTTGATACCAGCAAGAGAAAACAATTCAGAAGCATAGATAGTGACAGCGTTAGCACCACTCCATTGACCAATAACTTGTGCAGCACCCGCAATACAGAAGAAACGATAAGCAATACTCTTATTTGTGAAAATATCTCTGAAGTTTCCCAAAATACTTGAATTGGCAATAGCATCCTTTTCAGCCATGACTTGTTCATTGATATCACTAATTTCAGCAACAATATAAGCATGATCTTCTGGCATGTGTCTTAATTTTGACAAATTTTTAACAGCTTGATCAACTTTATTGACTTTCAATAACCATCTGGGTGATTCCACACAAAGTAAGGTTGCCATAATTAAAAGTAACCCTGCCAATAATATCTTTGGAATAAGAGTGTATCTCCATTGGTTATCATTAATATGACCATTAACAGTATCAGCAACATGCAAAACACAACCATAGTTTGTCATATAAGAAATTAAGACACCCAAATAAACCGCACCAGCAAAAATACAACTTGCTAATCCACGAATAGGACTTGGTGCAACCTCAGCTAAGTAACTAGATATATTTTGTTAGTAAAATAAACATTTTGCAACCGATGAAAAAAAAAAAAGAATACATACACAGGACCGATAGATGTTGTGTGACCAATAGCGAGTCCTTCAATAAGCCTACCTGCGTAGAGCTGGCCGACATTACTGGCAGTTATTTGAATGATAGTTCCTACTATCCAAATCAAACAGATAATTTGAAGGGACCTAACACGTCCAAAGTAATCAACAGTCTAGAAATAATGTTAGTACCATAGAACACTTGACTCCAAAGTAAGTTTGACATACCTTCATTGCAATCAAAGCACCTCCAATTGCTCCTAATTGTACCATTGAAGTAATGTTGGACTTAAGATTGGCTAAATAATCAGTAGTTTTCGTTGGGTCTTTTAATCCAAACCTAGCGATAAATGAAGGAAGGGTTATATTTCCAGAAACTAGTAATGTTAGTACAAGATCTTCGTCAATAGCTAAATCACTTTACATACTGTTCCCTTCATCCAAGCCTCTAGCTGCACCAAGAATACCAAATACAAAAATAGACAAGTATAAAGTGATATTGAAAATTTGTTTTGGATGATCCCTTTTGTCAATGGTCCATCTAAATTTCCTTTTTGGTGGTGGAGAGCTAATTGGCTCGACTTCCACTTGATCTTTCAATTCTTTGTGCTCGTTAGAGAGAATACTGTGACTCATAATTGTTTTACTTATAGAAAGAATTGGAAAAGGAGAATGAATTGGATAGATTCCACTCCCTTATATATTGTTCGATCCAAGAGCAATATCAAAAAGCACTTCATATCGACCCGATGTCAATTATCTAAAATTTCAGGAAAATCCCGGAGAATAATTGGTGGGGTAAAGGTGCTGCAGATTGCAAACCACTATTATTTGGTATTAAGTGGGGTTATGTAGCAGCAATTGTTTACTACGTATTTGGCACTAAGCCTGGTGAAATAAAGAGGCGGTAAATTCAAACTATAATCGAAAAAATATTATTCGCCCCATTGTTTTCACCCTAAAGGAGAAACTCTGGTGAAGATAAATATTTTAAAGGGACTAGACAATAAAAACATCCACATAATGAGGAACGACTTGTGTGACAAGTAACTCATTCGCACCCTTGTTTAACGCAAGGTTACTATTATATATTCCCTCCATAGTAATAGATATTATCTTCTTTCTTCAAGAGTTGATTTTCAACAAGTGCCGTTTGATAAAGCTGGAACCCCGCCAGTTTGTGTAAAAATTATGAACCAAACTCCGGAGTGAAATTGGCACAGATTAATTATTCCGAGTGTATAAAATATTGCGAACTAACTAAGGATGATTGGTTATAATTTTCTAAGAAAGCTCGGAGTATCCTTTGTATTCGATCTAAACTGTGGGCTTTGAATTTGGGGATGCAAAAAAAACAATAGAATGGGGTGGGGGGACGTTCGCTTATTTTGAAATGTTACATTCTCAATTTTTATGCTTTCATCGTAACTGATTACTAATTGAATTGGGTCTTGCCACATTTATTGTTTCTTTATGTTTACTTAGTTCATGTTTATACTCTTACATGATTTTGAGCAAAGTGCTGTTTAATTTGATTTGGGACAGCATAAAAAAATATATCATTTTTAATTTCTTGGCTGCTTTCACTGGTCAGAGAAACTTCAAATGCATACGCGGTAAAATTTGACGTATTGACATATGTTCTAGTCATAACATAGCGCAATGTAACTTTCCAACATGGTATGTTTGGGCGAAATAATAATTGCATTCATTTCCATTGTTATGTCCCCCACTCTTACCCCACCGCAAGAAAAAAAAACGTTGAATTTACTGAACTTATTCTTAGGGTATTTCTTTAACCGATTGGCCACATTTCATCTTCTACATGTAATATTCTAGTATTAGCAATGCCAAGAAAAGACTTCTGATTGAAATTTTACTTACTTTGGTTCTTGTTTCCACTCCCCGCCATTATCCCTTTCCACCAAACAGATTCCAGCTCCGAGCTTTTCCATACTATAACAATGGTTGGCCAGAAATATGGAACAACTATCCCCTCTTCTTCTACCCCATCTGTCTGGAACACTATTGTTTTGGCTCAATCTTTGCTGTTACTTCCGGGGCACGGAGCCGATTTCGGCAGATGCATACTCATTGTACCATACATATATGACTCAAGAGTAGCATATCTTTGTGGGGAGATAGAAAGAGGAGAAGAAGGAGAGATACTTGACTCCTTTGTTACATTAAACGAGTTAAACAATTGAAGGAGTCTAAAACCTCCTTTGTTTTCTGAGTTAAATTTTGGATCCGTATGCACAATTCCTTCAAAAACCTTGTGCAGCTTGTATATTTGCCTGTTCGTACCTTTTATGGTTCTATTTCTTTCTTCTTTTCTTTTCGAGTAGCAACGACTTCTCAGTTTACAGTTTTTTAAATGCTAATTTCATTAGTATACCCTGTTTACTAGCTATTGTGGTACTATTTACTTATTTTCCAAAAAAAATTGCAATTAGTTGTTCAGTTTTGCGGAAGAATCTGTGTGCCTTGCTATACAAAATACTGGGATATTTCAACCTTAGATCAATTAGAAGGTAATCTACAAGGTGAAAAGTTCAATCAAGAAATTTTGATTTCTGTTACAAGCGGCTGAAATATCGCAAATGTTAAAATATTGCATATTTACAGGCCATTGCTATATCTTTAGACTAAGCTTTAATAAATTATAGTCTAATCTTTAGATTTGGCTTTAGCAGTTTTAATTATATAATCTTTGTCTAGTCTTTGCTCGATCTAAATAATCTTTGTCCGCCTAAACTCCGCTCTCCGCCTAAAATCCGGGTCAAATGTAAACAAAAGTTCCCCAAGTAGTTAATCATGATGTGAGTAATGAAAGAACTGTGCCAATGAAAACTATATGTTTGACTAAATAAAGAGGGATCTCAAGGATCAATAATGTTTACCTTGATGAGCCACTACATTTGAAGTCCACAGAATGAAACTGGTGTGTAAATTTGTCCATCTTATACCTTGTTGAAAATGCTGCAAAAAAAAAAATTTTTTTCGTCTATGTGTACTTGTGCACAACCTGAAAAACCAATGACTATTTAAACGTGTGTTAAAACTCCTTTCATTATTCTACTTTTCTCTCTTTAAACAAACAATGGATGATATTACTTCCTTAGAGTTGGGAAATAATGAGTATCTCCCCCAAAAGCGTTTTTTGACTTTCCTCATGCCAAAAAGGGAATATCCAATCCCCAAGGAGGGAGAAAGAAAGTTGCACCCAGAGCAAAGTGCCAACTTTCTTTACAAGGCATTTTTTTGGTGGCTATTCCCATTAATGAAGGTAGGATATGCTAGAACCTTACAACCAAATGATTTATGGGTATTGACTGATGATTTAAAAGTAGAACACTATACTGAGCTTTTCTATTTCTATCTTGAACAAATTAAGTTGAAATCCCAGGGAAAACATGTTGAGAAGAAATGTAAAGAACGAAATGAAAGTGTTGAAAAGAGTTCTGTAGGCTTGGAAGAAGATTTGAAAGATTTCGTTTTGTCTAAGTGGGATATTGCCTTTGTTATATTTTTTACTTTCAAGAGAACTTTGGTTATTGGTACTATTCTTGCTGTCATCTCCCTTTTTGCTATGGCGTTTACCCCTTTGCTAACCAAATACCTTATCAGGTATGTTGAAGCAAGATCCCTTGGTCTTGAAAGTAATGTAGGTAAAAGTATTGGGTATTCGATTGGATTGGCATTGTTGATGTTATTATCTGGGGTTACTGTTAATCATTATTTTTACAGAGGTTTACTTGTTGGAGGCTCAACCAAAGCATTGTTAACTAATGCTATTTTGAAAAAATCACTCAAGTTGAATGCACATGGTCGTCATAAGTTCCCTACTGGAAAAATAACTTCTATAATTACAACGGATTTGGCCAGAATTGAAATTGCGTTGCTTTTCCAGCCTCTCATTGTAGCACTTCCAGCTGCTGCCATTGTTGCCATTGTTATCTTGATTGTCAATATCGGTGTTTCTGCTGTTATCGGTATTGCTGCATTTATATTCTTTTTGGGTTTTATTTCACTCGGTGCAAAGAAGTTATTTACTTATAGAGATGCTGTCAGTAAGATTACTGATAAGAGGGTTGGCTTGATTAAGGAAATTCTTAACAATTTAAAAATGATAAAATTCTATTCATGGGAACAACCATACCATAAACGGATGATTCAAGTTCGTAACCAAGAAGTTAACATGATTTTGAAAATTCAAACATTAAGAAATGTCATTTACTCACTTGCAATGACATTGAATGGTATTTCAGCCATGATTGCTTTCTTGGTGTTGTATGCGCTTAAGGGAAAAACTGCAAACCCTGCTAATATCTTTTCATCGGTGTCCTCATTTGAAATGTTGTCGTTCTTTATATTCTTCCTTCCACAAGCATTATCAACTAGTGCTGATATGCTTATGGGTTTTCAAAGAGTTGGGGAATTACTTTCTGCACCGGAAGAAGAAAGCCATGAATTATATATCACTCATGATGTTCAAAGTGAAGTTGCAATAAATGTGACAAATGGGTTCTTTAGTTGGGATAACTTTGAAGATGGCAACAATGACGATGATGAAAGTGATGGTGATATCGACTTCTCTGGATTGTCCAGGAAGGAGAGAAAGAAAGCTAAAAAAGAAAGGAAGGAAAGGACCAGAAAAAGAGAAGAGATTCAGAAAGATAGAGAAGAAAGAGAAAAGGATCTTGTTAGAATTGGAGCCAAATCTGATACAACATTCAAGGGGTTAAAAAATCTTAATTTAACCGTCAAAAAAGGTGAGTTTGTTGTGATTACTGGTTTAGTTGGTACTGGAAAATCTTCATTGTTGAATGCACTTGCTGGTTTTATGAGGTGTGATTCAGGTGAGATAGAAATCAATGGTTCATTGTTATTATGTGGTACTCCATGGATTCAAAACAATACTATCAGAGAAAATATTTTATTTGGATCCGAATTTGATCAAGAGTTTTATGATAGAGTAATATATTCATGTTCATTGCATGTTGATTTAGCTAATTTACCTGGAGGTGATTTTACTGAAGTCGGTGAAAGAGGTATTACCTTATCTGGTGGTCAAAAGGCGAGAATTAATTTAGCTCGTGCGGTCTACTCCGATAAATCTATCCTTTTGATGGACGACGTTTTAAGCGCTGTTGATTCTCGTGTTGGTAAGCATATTCTTAACCAATGTTTGCTTGGTTTATTGAAGAAAAAGACGAGAATTTTGGCCACACATCAGTTGGCTTTGATTGGAAAAGCAGATAGAATTATTTTTGTGAATAGTGATGGTACTATTGATGTTGGTACCATGACTGGTTTATCAGCATCAAATTCAGAATTCAACAAACTTATGACTTTCAGTAAAACTGAAACAGATGATGAATTGGATATCAACATCGATACTGAAATTGAAAAGGATCCCTTTGAAGTAAGCTTGGTAGAAGTAGACGAAGATGATAATTTAGACTATAAGCTTAACAAGGATGTTTCCAAGGGAAAGATCACTTCTGATGAAGAAAGAGCAATCAATCAAATCACAAATGAAGTTTATGCGAACTACATTAAATACGGTTCTGGAAAATTAAGCATTTGGGGATTTCTCATTTTACTTACTTTAGTATTATCTATTGCTACATTCTGTTCGATCTTCACCAACACTTGGCTTTCATTTTGGATTTCTCAAAAGTTTCCTGGTAAATCTAATGGTTTCTACATTGGAATTTACGTTATGTTGAACTTATTAGCTCCCATCTTTGTTACCATGTCATTTATTGTTTTGATCACTATGACCACTATATCAGCAAAGAATTTGCATTTGAAGGCCATTAACAATATTTTGTATACCCCCATGACATTCATGGATACTACCCCCATGGGCAGAATATTAAATCGCTTCACAAAAGATACTGATGTATTAGATAATGAAATAAGTGAAAATTTGAGATTCTTCTGTGATAGTGGGGCACAAATAGTTGGAATTCTTGTGCTTCTTATCATTTATATCCCTTGGGTCGCTTGTGCATTGCCTGTGGTTGCTTCCATCTTTATTTTGATTGCTAACTACTATCAAGCATCTAATCGTGAAGTTAAGAGATTAGAAGCTATCCTTCGATCATTTGTATTTAATAATGTGAATGAAGTGTTAAGTGGTATGGGTGTGATTAAAGCATACAGAAGCCAAAAGAGGTTTGCCAAAATTAGTGATGATTTAGTTAATAGAGCTAATGAGGCTGCTTTTGTGCAATTTGCAAACCAGCGATGGATTGGTATACAATTGGAAATTGTGGCTAGTTGCCTTGTTTGTTTGGTTTCATTATTGTGTTGCTTTAAAGTGTTTCATCTTAACGCTGCTTCTGTGGGTTTGTTAATGACATATGCTATAAGTATTTCTTCTCAGTTGTCAAATTTAATTAGAACTTTTACTGAAGTTGAAAACTATATGAACTCAGCGGAAAGATTGTGTCATTATGCATTAAAATTACCACACGAAGCTGCATATACGATTGATTCAACTGAACCACCAAGTTCCTGGCCACTGGAAGGAGCAATTGAATTTGATAAAGTTAATATGAAGTATAGACCTGAATTACCTTTAATTCTCAAAGATTTGTCGTTTATCATTTCATCTAGTGAGAAAATTGGTATTTGTGGTAGGACCGGTGCTGGAAAATCCTCAATCATGACTGCTTTGTATCGTTTGTCTGAGTTGGAAAGTGGTAGGATTTTGATTGATGGTATTGATATTTCCACGATTGGATTGAAATCATTACGTTCGCATTTATCTATTATTCCACAAGACCCTGTATTATTTAATGGTACTATTAGAAGTAACTTGGATCCCTTTGGTGAACATCTGGATGAATGGCTATGGAATTCATTAAGAAAGTCTGGTATCTTAACTGCAACTGAAATCGAAGAAGCTCAACAATTAGACAAATCAACAAAGTCTGAAAATTTACCTAAATTTCATTTGGATAAAGTGGTTGAATCTGAAGGGGAAAACTTCTCACTTGGTGAAAGACAGTTGGTGTCGTTTGCTCGTGCATTGGTTAGAGAATCTAAGATTTTGATTCTTGATGAAGCAACTTCGTCAGTTGATTATGAAACTGATAATAAAATCCAAACCGCTATTGCTAGAGAATTCTCAAATTGTACCATTTTGTGTATTGCTCATAGATTGAAAACCATTATTAATTATGACCGTATCCTTGTTATGGATAAAGGACAAACTAAAGAATTTGATTCACCATGGAAATTGTTCAACACTCCAGGAAGTTTATTCAGGGAAATGTGTAACAAGTCAAATATAACTGCTGATGATTTTGTATTTAGAGATTAGTGTATAGCCTTTATTGTTTTTTTTTGTTTATATGTATAAATCTATCAAAAACCCTGATAGATGTCAAATAAATACGACATGCATATTATGGCATATAGTGCGAGGTAAGAGCCGTTGTTGCAAAAATAAACAAATAAACTGGTAGCGTTTGATTTTGTTTTTGCAATAGATTACACCAACTGGAAGTTACTTGGGTACCTTATTAAACTACTTCAAATTCCCAAAAGAAATATAAACTTTAATGGGAAACGTACAAGAATGCTTAGAAAATGTGTTCTAATAAGAGCTTTTAGAAATTGATTGAAATTTCTTATTTGAGTTATTGTTCTGTATATCCTGAAGTAACGCTAGACTGAAGCAAATAAATACTAGTTTGGAGTTGGAATTATTTTGCATGGGGATGATATTAATAAGCTAGTGCTAGTATTTCTTATCAATCAATGTGTCCTTTTGGAAATGAGTCTTCCACGTTCTTGTCCTCGGTGTATTTGGTGACGAACTTAACTAACTTGTTGGATCCTGCCCACTTCAAATAGATACAAGCCCATAAGATTTTGCCCGTTCTTTCTAGCTCTTTCTAATCTAACTCTGATTAATATATGTTGTGGCTAATTTATCCTTGGCTGTATCTGCCAAGAAACGCACGTGAGATTTACGATGAACCAAGAGAAACCTCTGAGCTTTTGATTTAAAGGTTGAAAGACATTTGGATATACTTCCATTTCTCAAGGATACATAAATACCTTGATTCTATTAAGAAACGTGATTCAAGCTTATTTCAACCAATCGGACCAACAACAATTTCCTGGTGCTATTCCCCGGAAACTTGATGTAAAGCTATGCAATGTGCCAACTACCCAGGGGTAATCAAAGATATTTTTTGTAAACAAATCCCCAGGTTTACTACCACGCCTCACATAAAGCCTCTTTGACCAATGGTTGAGGGAAGAATTTAAGAATGCTTTATCGTCAGATTTTAAAGGCTAAAGAAAACCGACTGATTATGGTCAGATTTTACAATGCTAGATAAACTGCAAAATAGAACAATAGGTGAACTCATTTTATGGAAAAGAGACTTTATAAGAGTACTCCATGGGGTTAAGATGTTTGTATAGTATGCGAACTAGTAAAAGTGAAAATTATCTAAGTGAGGGGATAGGGGGCCTTATATAACGGTAGTAATTACCATAATTATTCTTCTGTCATAACAAAACTGTAAAAACGTTGGCACGCCCGGCTCTCACCGGAAAATAAAGAAAATCTTGGATGCTCGGATTAACTAGGAACTAAAAAAAACTGAATCGAATTTTCAATCGGTCCATTTTTTTTCCTTGGTGGTCTTATATGTAGAGCGGGTTTAGAGCTGAACTATAGTAGTTTCAGCCACTACTCCGCATTTCAATCATTGGCTAAAGCTAGACATTTCACCTAGTCAACATGAAAACTTTTGGTGTGGTGGTATTCGCAACGTTAGCAAAAAAAACGCTCTTTGTAATCTCGGTTAAGTTTCTGTCTTGGATTCTATTGTTCTTTGTGTTGACAGCAAAGATTTATTTGGATCGCACCAACAACCACGCCCCGGGAACTTCCCATCCGAAACTGTAGAAATTTGTCGGACAGAAAATTTCGCATTACGAATGTTTTGCAGTTTACACTGTTCTTTCCATACCGAAAAACGGACATAACCTACAAATTTTGATTTGAAGTCCCGAAAAGTGCAAAACTCACCAGAAAAAAAAAAAAAACATTGTACGTGAAAGGCACACCTATTGAAGTAGCGCTATATGTCGAAAATTCAAACATAATTAGTTTTTTATATTTCATTCTTTTGACTTGTTCATCATAGCTCCAACTATTCATCATCAATATGTACAAACAATTCGTTAGAGGTTTTGCCTCCTCTGCTCCTGCCAGAAACTACGCCAGCACCATTAAGAACTTGAAAATTACCAAGGACACCAAGGTTATTTACCAAGGGTTCACCGGTAAGCAAGCTACTTTCCACGCTGAACAAGCTATTGCATATGGTACCCAAGTTGTTGGTGGTATCAACCCAAGAAAGGCTGGTTCCACTCACTTGGATTTACCAGTTTTCGGTACTGTCGCTGATGCCATGAAGGAAGCTGGTGCCACTGCTACTGGTATCTTTGTTCCACCTCCATTGGCTGCCGCTGCCATTGAAGAAGCCATTGCTGCTGAAATTCCTCTTGCTGTTGCCATCACTGAAGGTATTCCACAAAAGGATATGGTTAGAATTGCTCAAATCTTGAAGACCCAAGACAAGACCAGATTAGTTGGTCCAAACTGTCCAGGTATCATTGCTCCAGATCAATGTAAGATTGGTATTATGCCATCTTCTATCCACAAGAAGGGTAAAGTCGGTGTTATCTCCCGTTCTGGTACTTTAACTTACGAAGCTGTTGCTCAAACCACTGCTGTCGGTTTAGGTCAATCTTTAGTCATTGGTATGGGTGGTGATCCATTCCCAGGTACTAACTTTATTGATGCTTTAACCTTGTACTTGAGTGATCCAGAAACCGAAGGTATCATTTTAATTGGTGAAATTGGTGGTTCTGCTGAAGAAGAAGCTTCTGAATTCTTGAAGCAACACAACTTGACCAGAGATGTTCCAAAGCCAGTTGTTTCCTTCATTGCTGGTGTTTCTGCTCCTCCAGGTAGAAGAATGGGTCACGCCGGTGCCATTGTTGCCGGTGGTAAGGGTGATGCCAAGAGTAAGATTGCCGCTTTAGAATCTGCTGGTGTTGTTGTTGAAAAGTCTCCAGCTAGATTAGGTAAATCCTTGTTGGCTGAATTCGAAAACAAGGGTCTCTTGTAAAAAGTTGGGTAAGATTTAGCTGAAATATATATGTATAGTTCTAAGAAACTTAGATAGATTTTATTATGTAGTTGTCAATGAGCATTCACTGAGATAACAAACAAAAAAGTTATTAGACTAGAAGACCTGTAAAAAAATACTTAATCTGGTTAAGAGGCATAGAACTTGGCTACAGTTGCAGCATTTAACTTTTAAATGGTTGCATGGAATTTTGGTGATTTTGATTTTGTCGCACTACCTTTTTTTCAACCACTGAAAATTTTTAAAATCACTTACAATACTCATAGATTTGACCTTAATACTTACAGCATACAAGATGAACATGATAAGATCATTAGTGAGGGGTTCAACTTCAATATTCCCATCTGTTAGACAAGTTCTGTTTCAACAACCAGCTATCATCACACCATTTTCTGCATATACTCGTTTATTTTCCAATAGTTTGATTCACCATGCACCACCTCAACCTAAAACCAAGGCAAACGTACAAGATTTAGAAACATTCTTTAAAGCCATTGGTCGTAATACAGTTGAACATTTAGAACTTTTTGATGGAAGTTTGCCCAAGTTCTTGAAGGCATCTTCAGCAGAAATGAAGGAAATGGGAATTGAAACCCGTACAAGAAGATACATGATAAGATGGAGATATAAGTTCGAAAATGATTTAGAGCCATTGCGTGAACATAAACGAGGCAAGAAGAAGAATGGTGGTCAAAGAAAAGCCAAGGCCGTTATTGCTAAACGTAGAGCTTTGGAAAGAATTGCTCAAAGAGAAGCATTTGCCAAGAGTGAATTGGATGCCGAAACTAGAGGTGAAAGATTGTTCTAATTAGGGGAGGGATTAACAAGGAGCTAATGTATATCTGTAAATAGATTCGTATACTTACAAAAACATAATAGAGTGTACAAATGAAAAGCATATCAACAGACCTTAACATTGTAAATTAAGATAGTAACATATTGTAAACAATGTAGACTGTTGAACTACAACAACACATTCTAATTATATTACACTAGTAGTAGTAGTAGTAGCAACAATAAAAGTAAAGTGAAATTTGTACGACTGGAATTTGGTTGTCTGCGGCTGCCACAAAAGGATTTGGGGAAAGAAGACTTGTTTACATTTTGTTCAAAATTCACGTCCTTTTTGACAACATTATTTTACAACACTTTGATTCATCCTTTGCCACTTTCCCTGCTGTGTTTTGATAGCTCTTTATGATATGAAAGAAATTGTCTTAGATCAGGGAGTTATACTCTTTCTACAATCGCAGCTATCAACGCCTTTGTCTCAATCACAAAGACCAAACATCCCTCAACAATATGATCTCAAAAAATTAGAATCTACGTGCCTTGCTTACTTGGGAGAAAACTTAGCACCCACCAAGGTTATATCATCAACATACATTGAATCAATACTGTCAAGTCTTAACTGTCTTTATTTGATTTATCTGAACAATAAACAATCCAAGGTTGGGGTATTCCGTAAACACCAACTATTTATAGTCAAACTTTTGGAACTGGGTCAATCGCTCTTAGACGTGTTTGAACAACTATCACTTCTATATGTCCAAATCCATAGTGTACTTGGATTCAATACCAGTGGAAATGTTACTATAAACAACATGATTCAAAGAGATGGAATACCATTTACGAATACGCAAGATGATTATATTACACAAACGGTGATTTCATTCCACTTCTTTCTTTTACAAAGCTTCCTTCAATACTTGTCGAAAAATCTTCGTTCAATAGTTACAAAGACAAATCAAGTAACCAATTTAGAAACATTAGAAAGAATACCGAACTTGTTCTTGAATATAAGTAATATAAGGAAATGGCAAGCACTGACTGTGAATTCCCCCAAGCACAAAAAAAATATGGTTAAGATACTTCTGGGTTATATAAAGGTATTTGACCTGATAAAATCTCCTAAATTTAAAGGTTTGAAGGGATGTTTACAATTGAAACTTGTTGAGTTGGCGCAAGATATTAGTTTGTTGAATCAAATTGAAATATCCACTGAACTAATCCCATTCATAAACGATTCTAAGGATGTTCCTGGATTAGAAGTTCTTTTACTGAAAATTCCTAAAGTAGAACATGAATCTTCCGTCATAATACGTGAATTGCAAAACTGTGTTTCTGCCAATTCCCTCAATACTTTACTGGTAAAGTTTTTGGGATCTCCAAGTCTTGTGAATGATAGACAACTCCTCCAAGCTATGGTCAAGAAGTTTCAAAACAGTTCGTCAATGAAACAGCAACTTTCACAGGCATTCGTATCATTCTTAGTGCATGGCGAAATAACAGAATTACTGACTTTACATCTCAATATCCTTGATTCAATAACTGTTTTCATTAGAGATTGCCTTGCTTCAAATAAACCATTTGCTCAAATGCAAACTGTACTAGCTCAACTTTTCACAGTTTATCTGAAATTCAAACAAACAAAGAGAGTACGAAATCTTTCAAATTTGTTGTACAACATAGGAAACAAAACTGAAGATAAACATGCTTGGAGCTTAGCAATAGAATATGAATGTTACATATTAGATATCGAACCTTCTGACAACAACCTCGCTCAATTATCAGGAAAGTTTCAGAGACTAGCAACTCACACCCCAAATCTGATATTTCCTTTTTTGAAATCTTATCTGAGGAATTCTCTGACATCAGAGAAAATTCTGTTTGATTCCTTAACTGTTCATGTCATTTCCAAGATCTTAACCACTGATCCAACTTTTGTTCTAGCAATAAATCAATTAGAAAATGACAATTTCAAGGTACAACTTATTGAACAATTATTCCACACTCTTGAAAAATCCCCTAATTTAATAAAGCTAAAACTGACATGCGACGCAATTGCGAAAAATGTTCAATTCAAGGATGAATATTTTGAACATAGAATACAATTTGCATATTATAACATATCCGGAATTGAAAATCACCTAGACCTAAGTATTCTGGGTTCGGATAACCCTTTAATTCTTGCTGGCTTTCAAGTGTTGAAGTTGATGAACCATGGTTGGGATGAACTCAAAATTGAAGAGTGTACATGTAATGTTGAAACGTGGTTGGAAATACAGAATAGCGCCAGTGAATTTGAAATTGAGATATTTACTCAAATTATTGCCTATTTTAAGTACAATGGAATGACTGGACATTTGATTAAGATTATTGAGGCTTACAAGAAGAATAAATCTCCTTCCACGGATGTCAGAATATATTTAGAATCAGAGTTATCACTTGCTTTATCTAAATTGTCGTTACATTCACAATGGTCAGATTCAATCATGGAAGTTAACAGATTATTGAAGGAGATCAAGCCAACTTTGAACCAAGCAATGAACTACAACTTACTTCAACTTGATTACTACATACAAACAGGTAATCTTTCACAAGCAAAGGAAAAACACAGCAAGATTTTATCAACACTTAAATCACGTCCTGAATACAAACTTGATCCAGGTTCTAACGTTCCCATGGGTACAAAGTTCAATAATTTCATTCTCTTGGGGAAGTTTCAATACCTCACTTGCAAATTAAACCATTCATTGAAACAAACAATTGAAGCAAGTCACAATGCCAAGAATGCAATTCAGATATTTTACTCGCTTATTAAGAAAATGGCCGGTTCAAGCATCTCCGGAAGAAACTTGATTGAACTTAAGTGGGAATTAACCCATTTATTGTTTGATGCTTATGGAACCATTGTGGAATTGTTGGGTGAATTGGGTATATCGCGAGACATTTCGTTCTATCTCCGAGAATATAGTAAAGTGAATACTTCAATCAATAAGAAAATTCCAATTGTTAATTGTTTTAATGATTTTGTGGTTGGTATATTTCAAATGCTTATGAATTCAGAATATAAAGAAAGTATTGAATCAGCAAGAAGTTACTTTCAGCTTGAAATCGTTGAATATAATTTCACTCTACAACAATATAATTGTTTTGTGTCTAATTTGATGGGAGATCCTGAAGCTGAAGTTCGCTACCCGAATTATTCTAAATGGCAGGACATTCCTTTTTTACATAACTGCTATAGTATTGATAAGAACCAAGAGTCAAAGTGGAGGCTTTACCGTTCCTTGTATATGGATGTCCCTCTTGAAAATATAGAGTCTAGCGAGGAACCAGGAATTCAACTAATTGCCGAGACTAATAAATGCTTGGCCAAGGTAGCTAAAATGGTCAAGGGCGAAAACCACTTGCAGAAATTATCAACTACAGTTCAATGTTTTCCTTCAGTGGTGTCAGATGGTGAATGCCAAGCAATTTACCAGCAGTTTGATATCCTTAATCTACTTACAAAGTGCAAAGCACAATTATTGGCTTATATGAGGGATGGATATCAAATCCCAATAGTTGTTTACCGTACATTATATCACCTATTGCATAAATGTCTTTGTATGATTTCTTCAATGACGGTCTATACAGATGCATATCACCTACTGACAGAATTTTTATTAATACAAGAGCGTATGAATTTATACACTTTCCATAATGAAAGATTAAAAAATTCAGTGGCTACTGATGATTTATTACCAAGTCAAATTGCAAATATTGCCCCAATTCAGTTTGAACAATCAGTGATAGATTTTAAGGGGCTTCTTTTTAATCATATCCCATCAGGTACAACATTTATTAGCATTGATATATGTTCACATTCAGGAGATCTTTTACTTTCAAAGATTGATCGAGGAAAGGACCCTGTGTTTCTTAGGTTACCAGTTAAAAGATTTCAATCTCGGGTTAACCAACCCGATAAGATTGTAGGTTTTAAGGAGATTAAGGCAAGGTTTGCTAGCATCATTCAGGAAAGTGACCAATCTACCAAGAAGGAAGTTACTTCCAGGGTGAACACTAAAGCACAAAGGCAGAAATGGTGGAAATTAAGGTTTGAGCTTGATTACCGATTACAAGAACTATTGAACGAAGTGCAGAATTATTGGATTGGTGGATTTGGTGGTATTTTTAGCAATTTTCAAACAGGAACTGTGTATGATAAATTCAAGCAAGATTTCTTGAAAATTTTATCGGATAGGTTACCATCAAGAAAAAATAGAGCTTCAAAGTCTTTTACGTTTGATGATACGGTGATTTATTGCTTGTATGCGTTGAAAGAATACTCAAGAGAGTTGGTGGATGATATTTTTTATTACCTCATTGACACACTAAACTTTCATGGTGAGTTCAATGATTATGCATTAATTAACTTTGATAAATTACACCATTCAACAAAAGTTTTAATGGACAAATATAGACCCTTAAGATATGAGACCAAACAACAATTAATCATAATACCTAGCTCTAGGTGTTTATTTTTCCCATGGGAATCCATGTTGTTACTTGAAAACCGCGCTATATCAAGAATGCCATCGATATCGATGGCAATTGAAGTATTGAAACCACGTATGTATTGGTCAAACAATCTTTCTGATTTGTTTTATGTGCTTAATCCTGGTGGAGATCTTGGTCGAAGTGAAGAAAGATTCAAAAAGTATTTCACGGCACACAGAAACTGGAAAGGTATAATTGGAAGGAAACCCCCAGAAGATGAAATCATTCATGGAATATCCAATACTGAATTGTTTGTCTATATTGGACATGGTGGTTGTGACCAATATTTTAAAATCTCGAATTTCTTTAAACATTTCCTAGCATCTGGATCAAAATTACCGCCTAGTTTGTTACTTGGTTGTTCTTCAGGGGCACTTAAAGATAATGGTATTTTTGAACCACTGGGGAATATATATAATTGGCTTGCCTGTGGTGTTCCAATGGCATTGGTTAATCTTTGGGATGTTACCGATAAAGACATTGACACGTTTAGTGTTTCTGTGTTTGAAAATTGGGGATTGTTTAAACTGGATAAAGAGAAAGTTAACTTTGCAGAAGCTGTTAGTAAAAGTAGAGATAAGTGTACGTTAAGGTTTATGAATGGTTCTGCCCCGGTTGTTTATGGTCTTCCGTTGACATTGCCATAGCCTTATGTATTAACTATTTATAAAATATAGAGATAGTTAGAAATTGGATTTTCTTCTGAAATTGTTTAAAAATTGTCATCGTAATGTAGACATCTTTGAAATAAGGAATTTAAAATTTTTCTTCAAGTTATGGTACTTTCTATCATTTCTGATCTTTATATTTTCTAAATTGGTTGCAAAAATTTGAGAAAATTTGCAATCTTTTAGGAAAATTTTCAAAGTTTAATTGACTTTACAGAAATAATTATTAAACATCAAAATGTGTGCAGCATGTAGAGTAAGATGACTAAAGTAAAGTTTCAACTTTTTTTAAGAAAATATCAAGCAATTGATAAGATATTAACACTTTCATAAAATTCCACAGTCACGTGATCAGTCATAAGCGCCTTGTGTTTTGAAAAATTTTTAAAAAAAATCTGGCAACTTGTCCGAGCGGTTAAGGAGAAAGACTTGAAATCTTTTGGGCTTTGCCCGCGCAGGTTCGAGTCCTGCAGTTGTCGTTATTTTTTCTTTTTTAATTTTTGCTACTACAATTGTTATTAAACTAGTTTAGAACAAGTTTGTTATTTCGGGGGGATTGATACAGTATTACTAATTATCTATCTAACGTACACCCTAGTTGTTCTGTTTGGTTAATAACATAATTAAATCATCCAAGATTTCTACGGTTTCTCTAGGACTTGAAATCCATGCAGTACAAGCACTTAATCTTGCTTTGAAATCATTGGCACCAACACTAGCAAATTGATCACCGACATGCAAAGATTCTGCCTTTTCAATTGGACATGATTCGTTGCTGGAATGACAAAGATATTTTTGTAAAGATTCAACCCCTAATGATTTATCTCCGATATCGACCCAAACGTCTCGACCACCATTGAAAGCACAAACTTGAATGTCACTTGAACAAAGGGCTTCTTGAGAATTGGCGAAATTTTGCGATCCTCGAAGAATAAGGGAAAGCTTGTTGGAACAGGATAACACCATTTCTTCCAATTGTTCTCTGAAGATTCTACAGCCTTCATTAGGAATGATACCAACTGATCTTTCCTTCTTGATAATTGTCGTTGTGTTTTGTAATTGGAACTTATTTCTCAAGTGATGTAAGTGATCGCAAACTGTATCCATAATAAACTTAATCTTGTCTTTATCCCAATCTCTCATTCTAGGTAAAAGCCATTCTTCATTTTCAATGAATTGTAATCCTTTCATTTCGTTACTGTAACGGAAAAGGTAATTTGATTCAGCTCCCATAACTAACAAATTTTCTCGTTGTTGAGGAGTTAACTTACAATCTTCGCTATTCAAATGGTCAATTAATCCCTTTAATCTCTCATAATACTTAACAGCACCACTTTGGCCAGGATACCCAGCAGCAGTAACGACAGCAACAAACAAATCCATAGATAATAATTTGATTAATCTAGGAACAACTAGATCATTTTGGTCCAATGATTTCCCATCCTCGTAAAGGGTGACATCCCCATCAAATGTAATCAACTTCAATCTTTGTTTGTTCTCTTGGGTGTACAGATTAGTAAGGGCCATGATTTGAGCATTATTGAGAATCTTACGAACATCGTTAAAAGAAGGAGACACTAATCTTCTCTTTGAGATATTTCTTCTATTATCCTCATACAAAAATGCTTCTGTCAACGGCAATTTAGTAAAGAACTTCCCTAAGGAGGGAACCAATTTTCTCAACCTGCTTACAGACATTCTTGTAGGATCTCTTTCGTTAAGGTCGTCCATGATAATCGTGTGCTCAATTAACTTCTCAACGTCCAGGAAGATTTCCAAATACCGTTTCCGACATTCGTTAGCAACTGTATTCTCATGTTCTTCTCTATACTTCTCGGCTGATTCTTCCGGAGTTCCATTTTGGCCCATATAAGCAATATCAAAGTTCTCCACATCGGCATGAAGAACAAACGGGCCGGCCAAAAGACCCTTGATCCACTCAATGAATTCATCACGACGATGGCTCTTTAATGCATATTCAACTCTGTATCTTGATGTCATTTTGTAATATTAATTGTATTTCTAGTTTCAAATCAAAGTAGAAACTTCGTTGGGTTTTTTCGGTGCAGCAACCAGATGGCGGGCATCGGGAGTTTGTGTTGATTTTATTTTTTTGCGACATCAATTTGTGGTTATCCACGTTGACTACAGTTTATGTGAAATTCCGTGTTACATTAAAAACTTTAAACTAATATACAAAATCAATGGTCATTACATTAAATATAGATAGAAACGTAGACATCTTACAAACCTTGTTGGGTTCTTCTTCTGTCTCTTTCTTCAGAGATGGTCAACTTAATACCCTTACCCTTTGGCAAAGAAACCCATGGCTTACCAGCTTCAGTACCAATAACGAAAACGTTAGATAATCTGGTAACAAAAGTGTTGTCCAAAGAATCCTTAATGTGGACCAAGTCAAAACCACCAGCATGGTGTTCCTTGTGCACAATAGCACCAACTCTACCCAAGTTTCTACCACCAGTGACCATAACCAATCTACCGGTATCGAATGGAATGAAGTCAGAAATCTTACCAGTGGCCAAGTCAATCTTAACAGTGTCGTTGACTCTGATCAATGGATCTGGGTATCTGATGGTTCTACCGTCGTGGGTAACAACATATGGGATACCCTTCTTACCTAATTGAACCTTCTTAACTTTACCTAACTTGTAAGCAGCTTCTTCAGCAGAGATTCTGTGAACAGCAAATCTACCCTTAACATCGTAGATTAATCTAAAGTGTTCATTGGTAGCTTCTAAAGTGATAACATCCATGAAACCAGTTGGGAAGGTAGAATCAGTTCTAACCTTAGCGTCAACCTTGACATGTTGTTGCATCAAAATAGCCTTGACTTCTCTACCGTTAAGAGCATACTTAAGTCTATTTCTCAAGAAAACAACCAATGGTAAAGATTCTCTCAACTTATGAGGACCAGCAGATGGTCTTGGGGCATAAGTACCGGACAATTTGTCCAACATCCAGTGGGATGGAGCTGCTAATCTTTTCAAATGCTTCTTTCTAGAAAAGTGTTAGTTTAACATTCAATAATAAATCTACGAGTGTTTGAAATAGAGAGGACGCGCCGCAGTGATCTAGATGTTGTGTTTGCCCATAGTGAAGATCTATGCCAATAGTTCTTTCACAATGAAAAAAAAAGTCAAGACTTAATAAGGGTCAAATTATGATATAGGTTCTTGTACCAATTCAACCAATACATCTTCACTTTCACAAACTCAACAAATAAAAATCACGACAAGGCTCCCTTCCAAGCCAATTTGCATTGACTGGTATACCATAGACAAAATTGTCCAATGGGTTTATTATGTTTCCTTCCAAACTTAAAAAAAAGTCTGGTGTACTCCATTTCTATTTCACAACAATCGTGTAATTGTTGATTCTATTGAGATCAACAGATTGTGTGTTTGACATACGGGCCTCTTGCCATTTTGTGATAATTATGTTTTGTAGGTGTTTAAAAGAAAAGAAAACGTATGAAAAATTTTTTAATTTTCTCTCCAAATTTATAGTTCATAACTTGTGTGTGAAAATCAAAATTGAAAATCACATGACAACTCAATCACGTGAAAATAACAAGTTAGGGTTAAACCCTGATAAGAGATAATAAATAAACAGGTGTAAGTGATTAGAATCGACACAATCAAATTGTTATTGCCCGTTTACATTGGAACGGAGACAAAACAGAGAAAAGGATAAAGTAAGTTTCTTGTTTGAATCATCATAGACTAGAAGAGATATTGAAAACCTAGTAAAGTTATTTTTTGGATAGGAATCATAAAGTTGAAATAAACAGTCGCGTTTGTTGCATATGCCTCATTAATTGTAGAGCATTTGTCCACATGGACATGAAACATCATTCTAAACATTTATCAGGTTGTAAAATAACTTTATATTTACTGTTAGAACTTCTTTCTTATTCTGGAGAGTACTGTAGATTATTTAAACTGCAGCCAAATGCAGTTTAATGTTCAAATGATGGCAAACATAAAACCATCTATACTTGATGTCGCTATATTTTATTGGCTAAATAATTGATAGACCAGTAGCCAATAGTGGTTATATTAACCTATACTCAGTCAATAATAAAGCAATCGCTTAACCTTTCCCCTCTCTTACTAAATTTTGCAATTTGTCCGATAAGGGGAAAAAGTGAAATGTGGGGAATAATCATTGATTTTTTTTTAAAAAAAATATAAGATCACATTACCATCGTGTCATTTAATTTCCACATTAGCCGACAAGTTAGAGAATTACCATCTGAAACTTGCACTTGAATAGGTCGAAATATATTTATGATAATTCATTGTATATTTCCTACTGTACATAAAAATTATACACAATTAGTCATCATATCCACACGAATCGTTTGGGTCAAGAGAGGACGAGAGAAGATTTCCATGCATGACAAATAGCAAACTTCTCAGATGAATTGAAAACATGAAAACTAGCCAAAAACCACAACCATCGTGTTTGGCTTAATAAAATATACAAAAATAACCAGTAAAAAAAAACAAACCCAAAAATCTTCCATAATAAATAAGGATATCTCTCCGTGACCCTTCCTCTCCGACTCATATCCGCGAATTTGCAAATACTTTTTTAATGCTTTTCATGCTTTTTTTTTATTAATAATTTTCCGTTTTTTGTATTGTACTATTCTAAATCAAGATGTCATTTAGAAAAGAGTTAATTTTGGTTCTTTTGGTGCGTTACCGCCCATAGCAGAACCAGGATGAGTTTGTTCATATTCAATTTCTTCTTCTTCTTTCAATTCTTGTTCTGGAGTACATACAGACAATGACCCTCTTGATTTCTTAGCTTCCTTGTCAACCTCAGCACCAGTCATGACTTTAACCCAATCAACCTTTAATGAGTATGGACCATATTGTTTGTCCAACAATCCAATTCCAAAAGTTTTAATTTCTGATTTGTTAATTTCACTTCCATCTTGAATGATTCCCCAATTAGTCATGACGAAATCATCCAATGGAATAACTACAGTCTCCCATTGACCAGGATGGTTCAAGAATAAACGATGTTGGAATAAGTCAGTAACCAAAGGAGTATTGGCTTGAAGGTTAACCAAGTACTTCCTACGATCACCCTTAACTCTCATTACTAATGATGAGTATTGACTCCAGTCCCAATATTGCTTACCAGAAAACCAAGACTCTGGCAATTCCATAGTTCTAAACATTGCATAACCAGATCTATGAATTTCTGGATTATCTTTGGGTAAATCTAAACTTAAATAACCATGGAAGTGACCGACTTTTTCTTCAGGGTCAATTTCAAAATTGACGGTAGAGAAACCACCCAACTCCTTGTCAGACCTTGTTATGATATCTCTTGTGGCTGATTCTGGATTACGTTTGAAGTCAAGAACAGAGCAGACTGATTTGACCATATCGGTTGGCTTTTGGAATAAACCCTTAATTGATGGGGTGAAACTAAGAGTTCTCAATGACATTTTAAAAGTAGTTGCTTGATTAGGTTGAAATATGTTGTGCAAAGTTAATAATTATTAGCAATTGATAGGAAAGGCTGGAAATTACCAATTAGTTGTTGATATAAAAGATTAAAATAAATAAACGAGTAACTCTCTGATAAGGGTGTGACTAGAAAAGGGAGGAAATCAATACCTATTTATACCAGTAGTAGTCGAAACAAAATTTTTATTTTTTTTTGCTTGGGCTTATTTTTTTAGGGGTCGTGCATGTACGGTCAAATAATAATCCATGATCGGAGTTCATAAAATTGAGATACTAGCAGGAAAGAGCACCATACATTTAGATTTGTAATACTGAAAATGACAATTATAAATTGTTCATTGTATATACTCCACCTCAAAAGATAGTAAGATATTTATGTACAAGATTCTATCGTTGCTATTAAGACCACTGTTATTCGGGTAAATCTCTCTTTTTTTTTAATTATTTTATTTTTTGTTTTTTTGGAGCAAAAAATCAAAATCAAGATGTAAAAACTCTATCAAGAAATAGTGGTGTTACTTTCTTCCCCGGAAATTCGTGAGTGATGCACAGTAAATTGACTAATATTAGCTGATCAATTGTGAAGCCATAGTTTCATTTCATTTCCACTTGCTAACCTCTGATATTCTCACCCGCAACCGGATTTCATTTAAGGTCAGGCACTCCCCTCATATGCTTTACAATCTATCAAAAAAAAAAAACAATTGAAAGATAAAGTGGGGAACATTTTGTTAGTGAACCCTCCCCTCCAATTTGCACCGATTTGGAACTTGATAGTCAACGCCACTTGCACCCCATCCCCACAGTTGTAGTCATAGAACATAACAGAAAAAACTAGAACTACCAATTAAAACACTTACAAAACCCACATCTCCCCCACACAATTTAGCATGATTCACCCGCAGAAGGATGAGGTAATCATGTTTAGTATAATCCAAGAAAAAAAACTGGTGATTTCGGCCGGAGTTTTTTTATTTTACCTATCGTAAAATCACTCACACCAAAATTTCAGCATATGGTATATTTGCTCATTGTAAAAAAAAACAGATAACCCCTTTTTACGGAATTTGAAAAAGTTTTATAAACAATGCTACCAATTATTTTCTTGATCATGCTATGATTATTTATTTTCCATTTTTCTTATCGCATTGTTTTAATAGGTTTTTTTTTTTTTGCTTGATAATTGTTAGCAATTGAAACTGCCCCGGGGCGTGTAACCGTGGCCTCCGCAATTCTCCAGGATAATACAAAATACGGAGATTTATGTCCGAGAAGATGCAACCTAATGTGGAAATTATTATCGTGTCTTTTTTTGATGCCATCGTGGCATCTCTATTTCGTGTTCAACTGTGACGTGATAATTGTACTTCGTCATATTGCAATATTCAAAACCGCTTTGTCACACATATATTTTTTCATGGTCTATGTTAGACGAATTCCCGCGCTCGGAACCGACAATTGTTGGACGTTTTGCAATTATAGTTTGAAACTGTAGATCCATAATTCTCTATCAATTTAACATAAATGAAATACCTTTTACAACCATGCTTTGATAGGACTATTTGTGAAATTATGTACGATTGCATCTTCGACTATTACATCATTTACGTTCAAATTCTAAAACATAGTGTTTAAATAAAATAATTGCCTTTACCCAGATTGCACTTGTGAATAATTAATAGAGCCATCTACTTCGAAGAAGGAGCATTGTGCTATATAGGTGAAGATATAGATACCTGCAAATTAAAAAACCTACCAAGATACCGTATTTTTTTGTATGCTGTTTTCTTGATACCTTTTGCTCTTGGATAGTTTGCGTTTTATTTTATTAAGTAAACTTAACAATTTTCAATACACAAAGCAAGTAATATTAAAATTAAAAATAATAGATCAAGAAACACATACAAACTATATAAATCCGAATACTTAGTCGTAAATTGATTTAAACCCAGCCATTTACAATTTCCATGGATCTTTTGGCTGATACACCAAGTCGTATGGATTCTGCGATAAGCACGGAGATAATATAGATATTACACAAAGCCGGAAATAGAAAATGTTCGAAATATCACATCCAACCTAGGCTATGTTTTCGATGAACTTTTATGATCACCTAAATGCGGAGATAAAAGTTCGCATTTAAAACAAAATCTGCACTGTTCTTTGCTAATAAAACTCTCGGAGACGGAGTTCACAAACAGTGGTATTGAAGTACATCCACAGCCATCCATATAATTACCGCCATTTGTGCTAATACTTTTGATCACACCCACAGTCATATTGCGGAAAATTTATCCGCAAAAGTGAAAGCATGTGAATCATTCTTCTTAGCTAAAATCGATTAACTCGTAGTTAGTTTCATTGTTGTAGGAAAATGTAAATGAATTAAAGTCTTCACATTCTTATTTTGTCATTGACATTATAGATGCACTATCACATTTTATATTCAATTAAATAGAGCCATCCACTTCAAGAAGAGTTATGGTGCTAATGAAATAAAGTGAATCTGCACTCAAAATGCAAGAGCAAGAATGTACTTTATTGCTTGAGTGTGGATTCTGCGGCAAAATCTACGGAAATATTCCCGGAACACAAAACCGGAAATAGGAAATGTTCCGGAAGAATGCATCGAACCTAGGCTAAACCTGAATACGGAGATAAAACTTCGCATTATCTTCATTTGGATGCAAAAAGACTAGGCTGAGACGGAGTTTACAAAAAATTGCTATGAAATTAGTCTATAGCAATCACCATAGTTACCACACAGTATGATATTTCACATCCATCATTTAAATATGATCCCATTTCCCAAAGAAATAACTTCTGATTTATTCCTCTCAACTACAACCAACTTAACTCAAGGCTTTTATTACTAACAGTATGGTCAAACAAACTAAATTCTATGATCCAACTACTGCTCCTTACTTAGACCCTAAGAAGGATAGACGAGTAGTCTTTATTACAGGTGGGAACTCAGGAATTGGGTGGTATACTTGCTTACATTTGTACTTGCATGGATATATTGTTTATGTTGGAGGTAGAACTGAAAGCAAAGTGGTGAAGGCAATTGATGAGATCAAAGCTGAGGCTAGGGTCAGAGAAGGGAAATACACAACAGAAGAAAGAAAAAGCAGATACTTTGGGGAATTGAGCCATGTATACATTGACTTAACTGATTTATCAACCGTGCCCAAGGCTGTGGAAACTTTTGGATCCAAGGAAAACAAATTGAATATCTTGATAAATAATGCTGGGATTATGGGTGTTCCTTATGAAGAAACTAAAGATGGTTATGAGATTCAATATCAAGTGAACTTTGTCAGTCATTTATTATTAACTTTGAAGATGATACCATATTTGAAAGCTGCTGCACACCCAAGAATCGTGAACCTTGCTTCAATCGGTCACAATTTTGAGTATAAATATTTCCATCCAAAAGATCACTTTATTAAGCATTGTCCTGATGCCATCTTCACTTGGCCAAGATATGGTAAAGCCAAAGGTTCTCAAATCCAAAGTGCCAAGGCTTTAGCCAAACATTTTCCTGACATTCTTTCAGTTTCTGTTCATCCTGGAATTATAATGGGAACTGAATTATATGAGCATTGGAAAAGAGTTCCTGGGTTGAATGCGATTGGTAATGCCATAGGAGTGAGTAACGAAGAAGGTTCATTAGCTACTTTAAAAGCAGCAATGGATCCAGAATTAACACTCAAAGACAGTGGAACTTACTATGTTACTGGGGGAAACGTAGGTACCCCAAGCTCTGTTGTTTCTAAAGAAAAAAACATTGAAGAGACTTGGAACTGGAACATTGAACAATTAGAAGAGCGTGGTTACCATTTTGACTTTCAATAAGTGATTGCTTATTTTTCTCTTACAAACTATTAGAACATTCATATGAACAATTGTTATCTTTTTTGTGTGTAATGGATATTTACTATGCCCTTCGGTTAACTGGTCGCACACATGCTAAATTTTATCTTTACCTTATTTCTGTATCGTTATCTTGTCACTTAAATATACATGTATTAAATTTGTTTCAAGCACTAATCTAGTTCAAGCAGATGGATCGTGAATTAGCATCATCGAAATTGCCATGAAAGACCGTGCTGTATAAATGAAGTTACAGAAAACAGATTAAGAGCTTAAATAGGGTCAGTGAGTATATGTGTCACAGGATTCTGCGACAAAATATAGGGAGAGGGTAGACCTGCATTGAATCGAAGTACACAAAAATATGGAGTTCGCCATAGAAAATAAAAAGTTCTCTGGGGTGCAAAAACCACAGCAAGACAGAGTTCACAAGTATTGGTGATGAAATTCAACCAAAGTCTCCAAGCATAATGCTGCAGGCTGTGATGTCTGCATTTTTCTCATCCTTGATTTAAATATACCCTATTTGGGAAAAAGCTTCCCAGGTAATAAAAAAGCTTCTGATTTATTCTCGACTAAAATTTATCCAAATCAAAGCAATTTGCTACCAACACTATGGTTAAAACAAGTAAATTTTACGATCCAACTACTGCTCCTTACTTGAACCCTAAGGAAGACAGACAAGTAGTCTTTATTACAGGTGGGAACTCAGGAATTGGGTGGTATACTTGCTTACATTTGTACTTGCATGGGTATATTGTTTACGTTGGAGGTAGAACTGAAAGCAAAGTGGTGAAGGCAATTGAAGATATCAAAACCGAGGCCAAGGCTAGAGGAGAAAAGTATACCCCTGAGGAAAGACAAAACAGACATTTTGGAGAATTGAACTATGTATACATTGACTTAACTGATTTATCAACCGTGCCCAAGGCTGTGGAAACTTTTGGATCCAAGGAAAACAAATTAGATGTGTTAATTAATAATGCTGGGATTATGGGTGTTCCTTATGAAGAAACTAAAGATGGTTATGAAATTCAATATCAAGTGAACTTTGTCAGTCATTTATTATTAACTTTGAAGATGATACCATATTTGCAAGCTGCTGCACACCCAAGAATCGTGAACCTCGCTTCAGTAGGCCATAATAGCGAGTTTAAATATTTCCATCCAAAAAATCACTATCTTAAACATTTTCCCAATTCAGTCTATACTTGGATAAGATATGGAAAATCTAAATGTTCCCAAATCCAAAGTGCCAAGGCTTTAGCCAAACATTTTCCTGAAATTCTTTCAGTTTCTGTTCATCCAGGTATTATTGTAGGCACTGAATTGTATGATCATTGGAGAAATATCCCCGGATTGAAATTCGTTGGTAACGGAGTAATTGGAACTATGGGCAAGCTTATGGGAGTGAGCAACGAAGAAGGTTCATTAGCTACTTTAAAAGCAGCAATGGATCCAGAATTAACACTCAAGGACAATGGAAACTATTATGTTACTGGAGGAATTCTAGGTTCTCCAAGTTCTGTTGCTTCTAAGCAAAGTAATGTTGAAGAGACTTGGAAGTGGAACATTGAGCAATTAGACAAGCGTGGTTACCATTTTGACTTCTAATTGTCATTATTTATTTTTCTCTCATTCCCTTACATTCATATGAACAATTGTTATCTGTTTATATGAGTAAGATATTAAACACTCTTTGATTAACTGGACATATATATATATACTATGCGACATATAATTTCAAAATTTGTATACATCGGGATTGTGCGACAAATTATACGAAAATAATGAACCTGCATCGAACCTGACTACATGTAAAAGTTCGCCATATAACCCACAAATTCTCCACTTGAGCGCAAAGGGCACATCATGATGGAGCTTACAAACATTGGTATTCAAAGTTCATCCAAATCTATCAACATGAACTCCACATTTTTCACATGTTAAAATATCCTATTTTGGAATAACAGCTCTCGAAAAAAGAAAAAAACTTCCTTCTTGACTAAGATCAATCTAATTCGAAGCCATTACCACTGACACTATGGTTAACAATAAGTTTTACGATCCAACTACTGCTCCTTACTTGGATCCCAAGGAAGACAGACAAGTAGTCTTTATTACAGGTGGGAACTCAGGAATTGGGTGGTATACTTGCTTACATTTGTACTTACATGGATATATTGTTTATGTTGGAGGTAGAACTGAAAGCAAAGTGGTGAAGGCAATTGAAGATATCAAAACCGAGGCCAAGGCTAGAGGAGAAAAGTATACCCCTGAGGAAAGACAAAACAGACATTTTGGAGAATTGAACTATGTATACATTGACTTAACTGATTTATCAACCGTGCCCAAGGCTGTGGAAACTTTTGGATCCAAGGAAAACAAATTAGATGTGTTAATTAATAATGCTGGGATTATGGGTGTTCCTTATGAAGAAACTAAAGATGGCTATGAAATTCAATATCAAGTTAATTTCGTCGCTCCCTTATTATTAACTTTGAAGATGGTGCCTTATTTGTTAGCTACCGATAAACCAAGAGTAGTAAATGTCTCTTCAATTGGCCATAATGCCGAGTTTAAGTATTTTGCCCCACAAAATCACCATTTTAACAACTTCCCCAATTCAGTCTACACCTGGTTAAGATATGCTAAATCAAAAGGCTCTCAAATTCAAGGTGCAAAGGCATTAGCTAAACAGTACCCTGAAATTCTTTCACTTTCAGTTCACCCAGGAGTTATAATAGGTACAGAATTGTATTATCATTGGAGAAATATCCCAGGGTTGAAGTATGTTACTAATGCCGCCTTTGCAGTTTTAGATAAAACGATAGGAGTTAGCAATGAAGAAGGTTCATTAGCCTCGTTGAGAGCAGCAATGGACCCAGAATTAACACTCAAGGACAATGGAAATTACTTTACTACTGGAGGAATTGCAGATACCCCAAGTTCTGTTGCTTCTAAGCAAAGTAACATTGAAGAGACTTGGAAGTGGAACATTGAACAATTAGAAGAGCGTGGTTACCATTTTGACTTTCAATAAGTGTTTGCTTATTTTTCTCTTACAAACTATTATAAAACTCATATGAACAATTGTTATTTTTTTTTGTGTGTAATGGATATTGACTATACCCTTCGGTTAAATAGTCACACCCACATGCAGTTTTTTTTTTCTGTGTCTTTATCTTATCACTTAAATACACGTACTAAATTTGTTTTAGGTTCTATCTGGGGGAGGGGGCAATTTATTTTTCTAGTAACGATAATTTGTGATGATACTAAATTCTTATTTGTAAACTTCTCGTAGTAACTCCGAATACCTTTTTCTTTTTGTTATTATCGCTCCTCAACTAATCCTTTAGAATTACCAATAGCTTATACCAACACACCTACGTCAAAACATATACTCAATCTAAGGGTCCAGACCAGGAGAAAATACTAAGCACTATTCGCACCATTCCTTTATTATTACATTAAACTCGATATCGTACTTTTATCTTACCAAGGTTGAATGATGGGCTTCTTCACATTGTTAAGGTATGTCATACACATTCAGATATGCTCAATGGCCATGAATGATTACACTACACACATAATCTATTCTTGACTCGAGTTGTACAGTTCGATGGCAAAATCCCTCCCTATCCCCTATACATGTGATAATTTTTTTGCCATCGCCACTTATTACACTTACAATACTAACACCTTTCTAGTCTCTTGATTAACACGGTATATCCAGTTGTCGCGTCATGCAGAGCATATGACAATTATACTAGGGTTGCCAGTACAATTGCTTCTCAAAATTTGAAAATTGCAGGAGTGACCGTCCCACTCGGATTACTCTTTGACACGTTAAAAGCAACTACTGGTAGTAACGAAGACAACAAGACTTCAGGCGATACCGAGCTGAAAGTCACACCTGAATTGGAGTTACAAAGGCATTTGATTTCCATTCAGAAATGGTTCATTTATTGGATTGTGATTTCAGTCGCAACCTTGTTTGAAAACTTGTTATTTTTAAATACTATTTTGCCAGGATATTCAATATTAAAGTTGGGATTTAGTCTTTGGTTAATCTTCCCTATGATATCCCTTTCACTGGGCCAAATGGAGATTGATTCAAGGTTTGATAATACTGACGAATGGAAAAAGTTTACTGAATCAGGAGCCGGATTCTTGTTTTTCAGGTATATTAAACCCTGGATAGAACACAATAGGGATAAGATCAATGAAGTTATAAATGATCCAATACAATCGTTACATTTGAAGGAGACTACCAAGTATTTACCAATTGTATCAAGATATATTAACCCCGAAGTTAGCAAGGCTAGCAATTATTCGGAACCGGGATTTTTAGATAGCTCGTTTGTGATGGTAATGAATATGAAGAACAAATGGACTGGTGGGGGAACAGGGACTGCTACACCTACTGAAGGCGTGGAAGAGAAAGTGGCTGATGAATTTGATATCATTGAAACTTCATCTGCTGGGGAGGAAGCCACAACTAAAGAAGGCACCACGGTTACTAAACGAAAAGGGTTCCTTTGGTAGAGGATACGCTTCACTATTTACCATTGTCATATGACTAGAGTAATTGAAGTTCAATTTGTATATTTCTTATAAGAATTGTTTAATTATGGTATTTTTTTTGTTGAAAAGTAATTGTTAAAATTTTGTGTTAATATAACTCTATATACAAAAAGAGTGGTGGTGGTGGTGGTGGGGGGTAGACGTTGACGTCTATACTATTTACAAACCCAAGTATTTAGAAACCAAATCTCTGTCTGGCTTGCCTGCAACTTGTTTCTTATATTGACCAAGTTCTCCAGCACCAGTTCGTCTAAAGTTAGCAGGAACAAAAGCATTTGGTAATGGATTACCTTTGTATAAGCCATCATACAAGTCAGAAACTTTCTTTTCGTCAGATCCAGTCTTTGGTTGTGCAAGGGCGAATTGAACCTCTCTTTGTTCTTGTTGTTGTTCGACAATCTTCTTAGGAACTTCGGGCCAGACAAATGGTTCAGCCATATCAATAGTCATCTTCTTCAATTGGGGACCTCTGTAACGGCCGAGATCATGTTGACCTCTTTGCCATCTTGAATGTAATAACTGTACGGTAACATTCAATGCTCTTAATCCATATACATGCCACAAATAATCTCTTAAATCCAATCTGTTCATATTCTTTGGGACTAAAAACTTGGCTTGGTACGGTGTTTGTTTAGCGTTTGGTCTTAAAAGACAGATTCTTTGCTTGGGGAAGTAGACCTTCTTACCACCAACCTTGAAATGAGGTAAGCCCAATTCAATTCGTTCATGTAACTGAATCAAGTTTTTTCTAGCAATAATGTCACTTTTAGGCAAGAATTTGATAGGTGCAGGTTTTCCTGCTTCAATATATTTCTGACGGATAACTTCCGATGGCAATAAGGTATCAGTAACTGATTGAGAAAGTAATGGCTCTCTTTGTTTTCTGTAACCATATCTTGGTGGGTTTAATACCACATCTTCTGAGTTGACCTTGGGATAGTTCTTTGGTTTCATATTATGATGTAAGTTTCTGACAGAAACCTTCCAAAGAGAAGAAAACATCTTGTTACACGCTTCCATTGTGAGTTCTTCCTTGACTTATCACTAGGTATTGAATAGTATTTGGCAACATGAAAAAATTCTTTTTTTTTTGATTGTGAAGAAAAGGTCGTGTGAGAACGTCCAAAAATCGTTGGAAATTTTTTCTAAACAAAAAACCATGGGAAAGAAAAACTTCAAAATTGCCGTTACTATAACTCAAAGGTTCATTAGTCAGACAGCACCAACTTACCCCTCCCCCTTCACCCTTTCATATCATTTCATCAATCAACTAATCAAACATGTCGACACAGAATCAACACTTGCATGAAGAGGAAGATGATCCATACATGTACGATGATGGTGATTCTCAAAGTATCACTCCAGAAGATTGTTGGACAGTGATATCCTCCTTCTTCCAGGAAAAGGGATTGGTATCGCAACAACTTGATTCTTTTGATGAATTCATCGAAACCACGATTCAAGAATTGGTCTGGGAGGATTCACATTTGATTTTGGACCAACCGGCTCAACACACTTCAGAGTCTGATCATGAAAATAGAAGATATGAAATTACGTTTGGAAAAATTTACATTTCCAAACCATCTCAAACTGAAGGCGATGGTACCACTCATCCTATGTTCCCACAAGAAGCAAGATTACGTAATTTGACTTACTCTTCTCCTTTGTATGTTGACATGACCAAGAAGGTGTTTAAATCTGATGATAATAAGAGGAAGGAAAATAACGAGTTAGACTGGATAGAAGAGAAGGTTGAAGATGAAGACCCAAGAACCAAAGTGTATTTGGGTAAAGTTCCAATCATGTTGAGATCCAAGTTTTGTATGTTGAGAGATTTGGGTGAACACGATTTCTATGAATTGAAGGAATGTCCGTACGATATGGGTGGTTATTTCGTTATCAATGGTTCAGAAAAGGTCTTGATTGCTCAAGAAAGAAGTGCCGCCAACATAGTCCAAGTGTTTAAGAAGGCCGCACCATCTCCAATTTCCCATGTTGCTGAAATCAGATCTGCCATCGAAAAGGGGTCCAGATTGATTTCTTCTATGCAAATCAAATTATATGGTAGAGATGAAAAGGGTGTTTCCGCAAGAACAATCAAAGCCACCTTGCCTTATATTAAAGAAGATATCCCTATTGTCATTGTATTTAGAGCATTAGGTGTTGTCCCAGATGGTGACATCTTGGAACATATATGTTATGATGCCAATGACTGGCAAATGTTGGAAATGTTGAAGCCTTGTGTTGAAGAAGGTTTCGTTATTCAAGAACGTGAAGTTGCGTTGGATTTCATTGGTAGAAGAGGGGTATTGGGTATCAGAAGAGAAAAGCGTATTCAATATGCCAAGGATATCCTTCAAAAGGAATTGTTACCAAACATCACTCAAGAAGAAGGGTTTGAAACTAGAAAGGCGTTCTTTTTGGGTTATATGGTGAATAGATTATTATTATGTGCATTAGAAAGAAAAGAACCCGATGATAGAGATCACTTTGGTAAGAAGAGATTGGATTTAGCTGGTCCATTATTAGCCAATTTATTCAGAATTTTGTTTAAAAAATTAACCAAAGATATTTATAATTATATGCAAAGATGTGTGGAAAATGATAAGGAATTCAACTTGACTTTAGCTGTCAAGTCACAAACCATTACTGATGGGTTGAGATACTCCTTGGCCACCGGTAACTGGGGTGAACAAAAGAAGGCTATGAGTTCCAGGGCTGGTGTTTCTCAAGTGTTGAACCGTTATACTTATTCATCCACATTATCACATTTAAGAAGAACAAACACTCCTATTGGTAGAGATGGTAAGATTGCCAAGCCAAGACAATTGCATAACACGCATTGGGGGTTGGTTTGTCCTGCAGAAACTCCAGAAGGTCAAGCGTGTGGGTTGGTTAAGAATTTATCCTTGATGACTTGTATTTCCGTTGGTACTCCTTCGGAACCCATCTTGTACTTTTTGGAAGAATGGGGGATGGAGTCTTTGGAAGACTATGTTCCATCTAACTCTCCTGATTCTACCAGAGTGTTTGTTAATGGTGTCTGGGTTGGTACTCATAGAGACCCAGTCAATTTAGTGGACACTATGCGTAGTCTTAGAAGAAGAGGGGATATCTCACCGGAAGTATCTATTATTAGAGATATTAGAGAAAAGGAGTTTAAGATTTTCACCGATGCTGGTCGTGTTTACCGTCCACTTTTCATTGTTGACGATGATTCAGAATCCGAAACTAAGGGTGATTTGAAATTACAAAAGGAGCATGTACTCAAACTTTTGAATTCCGAATATGATGATTATGATGGTGATGAAGGGTACAATTGGACTTCTTTAGTCAATGATGGTATTGTCGAATACGTTGATGCTGAAGAAGAAGAAACTATTATGATTGCCATGACTCCTGAAGATTTAGAAGCATCCAAGAATACCTTATCACAAACACAAATCAAAGCAATGCAAGTTGAAGAACAAGAATTGGATCCAGCTAAGAGAATTAAGCCGGTGTTTAGCAGTGCTACTCATACATTCACCCATTGTGAAATCCATCCTTCTATGATTTTGGGTGTGGCTGCTTCCATTATTCCATTCCCAGATCATAACCAATCTCCACGTAATACATATCAATCTGCGATGGGTAAGCAAGCCATGGGTGTTTTCTTGACCAATTACTCGGTGAGAATGGATACCATGGCCAATATCTTGTATTATCCTCAAAAACCATTGGCCACGACGAGATCGATGGAATTTTTGAAGTTTAGAGAATTACCTGCAGGTCAAAATGCCATTGTTGCCATTGCTTGTTACTCGGGTTATAACCAAGAAGATTCTATGATTATGAACCAATCCTCGATTGATCGTGGGTTGTTTAGATCATTATTCTTTAGATCTTATATGGATTTGGAAAAGAGACAGGGTATGAAGGCACTTGAAACTTTTGAAAAGCCTTCCAGATCAGACACATTAAGATTGAAGCATGGTACTTATGAGAAGTTGGATGACGATGGGTTGATTGCTCCTGGGGTTAGAGTTAGTGGTGAAGATATCATTATTGGTAAGACCACACCAATACCACCAGACACGGAAGAATTAGGTCAAAGAACTCAGTATCATACCAAGAGAGATGCTTCTACTCCATTGAGAAGTACTGAATCTGGTATTGTTGATCAAGTGTTGTTGACAACTAATGGTGATGGTGCCAAGTTTGTCAAGGTTAGAATGAGAACTACTAAAGTGCCACAAATTGGGGACAAGTTTGCTTCTAGACACGGTCAAAAGGGTACTATTGGGGTTACGTACAGACACGAAGATATGCCATTTACTGCACAAGGTATTGTGCCAGATTTGATCATTAACCCCCATGCTATTCCATCTCGTATGACGGTTGCGCATTTGATTGAATGTTTATTATCGAAAGTGTCAGCATTATCTGGTCTTGAAGGTGATGCTTCTCCATTTACTGATGTTACTGCCGAAGCTGTTTCCAGATTGTTGAGAGAACATGGGTATCAATCCAGAGGGTTTGAAGTGATGTACAATGGTCATACTGGTAAGAAGTTGATGGCTCAAGTTTTCTTTGGACCTACTTATTATCAAAGATTAAGACATATGGTGGATGACAAGATCCATGCTAGAGCTAGAGGTCCTGTTCAAGTGTTGACTAGACAACCGGTTGAAGGTAGATCGAGAGATGGTGGGTTGCGTTTCGGGGAAATGGAAAGAGATTGTATGATTGCCCATGGTGCTGCTGGATTCTTGAAGGAAAGATTGATGGAAGCATCCGATGCATTTAGAGTTCATGTTTGTGGACTGTGTGGGTTGATGTCGGTTATTGCCAATTTGAAGAAGAACCAATTTGAATGTCGTTCGTGTAAGAACAAGACCAACATTTACCAAATTCATATTCCATATGCTGCCAAGTTGTTATTCCAAGAATTGATGGCCATGAACATTTCTCCAAGAATGTATACCGAAAGATCTGGCCAGACTGTTCGTGTGTAAACAAGTTTAAACCCTGGGGGTGGTTTTTTTCAACATTTTGTAACTACGTTTGTATTATAAATAGTGTTTAATATTAAAAAAAAAAATAGTAATTTAACGAAGACGATCAAGTGAATGTTAGTTGTTTATTATTCTTTTATTTACAGAACTAATAAGTTTGATATATACAGATTGCTGGCCATACGATTATTGACCAAGGTATTTCTTTCTGAGTTCGGCTCTGGTGGCTTCATTTTCTTCCAACTTCTTTGCCTTGGCCAACATTTCAGGAACTTCGTCAGCAAACGCAATCAAGTTGTCCTTGTAAGGATGCTCATCACCGTCGTATACTTTTAGTCTGTCCATTCTGACGAGTCTATGTTTGTTCTTTGGAATCATACCTTTGACTGCTCTTCGTAAGATTTCACCATACCCTTTATTAGCAACCATTCTTTCCATCGATATCAAGTTTAAGGAGCCCGGACGTGAAGTGTGGGACCAGTAGTGTTTCTGTTGCATTTTCTTACCGGTGACGTACAAATGAGAACAATTAGTGACGACGACATAATCACCGTGATCTCTATTAGGAGAGTAAGTTGGCTTGTGCTTACCAATCAAGGTTTGGGCTATGGAGGCTGCCAAACGACCTAATGTTCTTTCTTCAGTGGCGACATCGACGTGATGCCAAACCTTAGTGAGGGCCAGGACGGAATGACCAATTCTCTGAGACATGATTAGGATCTACTTTGTTATTTGGTGAGTCTTTGGTATACTTTGAAAAATTTTTGTATTTTTTTTTTTGCTTCAGCGAAAATTGAAGAAAAAGTCAAATCTTCATCGACAGCTAAACAAAGCACGACTGGATGGATTAAGAGCTGGCTGGTATCAGTTTTTACACACACACTCAACACTCACAGCACGAACTGACATCTTTACACGACAAAGCTCGTCACAAATTGTATTATATGCATTAGATTACCTCAGCTTAAACAAATTTCGTTTGATCAACAACTCTGTACTATAATTATAAACTAAATACCAAACTACTCACACACACACACAAAACACATCATGTTCTTTTTGAAAGATTTGTCATTGAATTTGACGTTACATCCATCCTATTTCGGACCACAGATGGATCAATATTTGAGAGATAAGCTTTTAAGCGACGTGGAAGGAACCTGTACTGGTCAATTTGGGTATATCGTATGTGTATTAGATTGCATGAATATAGACGTGGGAAAGGGAAGAATAATTCCCGGTTCAGGAATGGCCGAATTCGAAGTGAAATACAGAGCTGTGGTTTGGAAACCATTCAAGGGTGAAGTGGTGGATGGAGTCGTCACCACCGTCAATAAAATGGGATTCTTTGCTGATGTGGGACCTTTGTCCGTGTTTGTCAGTACCCATTTAATTCCCTCTGATATGAAGTTTAATCCATCAGCTAACCCACCGGCTTATGTAAGTCCTGATGAAAATATTGAAAAGGGATCCAGAGTGAGATTGAAAATAGTCGGTACTAGAACCGATGTCAATGAAATCTATGCCATTGGAAGTATAAAGGAAGATTATTTGGGTCCAAGTCCGATGTGATCAAGTAGAAATATTAATTTAAATTTGAAAAGTGTTTTGTTATTTAAAAAAAAAGCATGATAAACTAATGCATTGTAAAGCTTATACTAGAACATTATATAAGTCTTGTGTATATTACAAATAAAAAAGAATACAATCTAGTCACTGTCATCTCCCGTCAAGTCAATTACTTCATGACCTGGGAATAAGGCAAACGTGTTTTTGGCGGCAGCAGTCTCCTTTCCATTGCCGAATGAGAAACTTTCTGGTTGAGGAGAACCTTCCAACCCTATTACATCTTTACTCAACTCAATGCCCAACATACCAGTGATTTTTTGACGTTTCTCTGGCGGCGATGGATTTACTGGAAAATCAAAAGCAGATATCGATGATAATGGCTCTTGGGGAAGCGGTCTCTTTTCAACATTAGTAGCAACCAGACTACTTATTGTAGGAGATTGCGCATTTTGTGTTGATACAGTTTCCTTTTGCTGATTCGATTCTTGTGTATCAACAAAGAAAGGAGATGGGAATTGTCGATTTTGTTGCGAAACTTGCTTCGGTACACTTGAACTTCCCTGTGCAATATCTACCGCATTCTGCATTGGAGAGTTATTCAAGGATTGAGCCGAGTTTGTCGGTTGAGAAACATGTATAGCTGCGGTTGGTTGTACTGATTCAGTTGTCAAATTTTCCACCATGGGCCGAGTCTGACCAGATTCAGCGGGGTTTTTTACTCCGTTGTCTTGTTCAAACAATGATGACAAATGTGAAAAAGCATCCTGCGATTCTTGGCTAGATGAGTCTTTTGACGGTACTGTTGTTTGTAAAGATACACTACTCGTCTGGTTTGGTTGTACTTGAGCTGACAACGCCAGGGTCGACTGGATTTGTTGAGTTGCCAAATTTGGTGATGACGACGGAGCGTGTTGTGTAGGATGTACTTTAGGCACTTGAGTTACTTGAGGCCGAACTGATTGGATTGGACGTGTTGGTTGTGTTAATTGAGTTGGTTGTACTGGTTGGACAACTGGCTGTGTGGTTATGGTTGGTTGAGCTGGTTTGTAAACTGAACTCGGGCCAGAACGCGATCGCGCCCAACCAATTTGTTCCATATTCAGATTGAATGTCTGTTGAGATGCCAGTCGGACTTGTTCTGGTCGAAGATTTTGCGATTGAGCCAGCCAACCTGGGTTAAATGAACGGCTTTGTTGATTCATTTGCGGACGAACTATCTGCGAATTCTGTGTCGGAACAGATATGTGACTATGTGAGTGGTGATGATGGTGCGACAGTTGTGCAGTAGGTGCCGATGCAGCAACTCCACTGGTAGTTGTATTAGAAGGATTGATACTTGAAGCAGCACCTACACCATTTGTGGATAAGTTACTACCGACTGGACCACTAGATCTAGTCAACTCCATCACTAACCTTGTTGCTTTTTCAATTTCCTGCGCAAGATGCTTCATGTCACTCACAAACGAATTATTCAAGTTTTGAATCTGTGACTGTTGTTCCTTCTCCATAGTAACAATCTCGCGAGCACGTTCTTGAGCATAACTCAACACCCGATCTCGAATGCGGTCCAGCTTAGCCATCAATTCATTACTCATTTCGCGCGATGTAGCCATCAGTGCTTCTTTTCTAAACCGATTAGCCTGCTCGTTCTTCTCGAAACTCTTGCTTTTAGTTTCGTGTTTAAATCTTCTTATATCTTCCTCATGTCTTTTCTTCATTGCCTCTAACTCCTGTTGAAACCTTAAATAGTTAGCTTTCCTACGTTGATTAAGTGCAATTATTAACTGGCGATAATATGCAGCGTTCTTGTGTGGTCTCTGTTGGTGCGAGTTGTGCGACATGTTAGGTTGAATAGGGTGTTGACCATTGCTTTGTACTGGCAGTGTTACTCCATTTGGCTTCTTTTGATAAGTTTGACTAGCCAAACTCTCACTTACTCTAGGATATATAGGACCCTGGCTGTTCACAGGTGAAGATGATGTTGGCGAACTTTGTGTTTGCTGAGGAATTTGCAAATTGACATTAGCCATAAGTGGACTACTAGAATTATGTGTAGATTCTAGAGGAGAACTTGAAGTTGCCACATTAGTTCCAATGGTGTGAACTCCATTGGAGTTTGTCTGGGGTGCCGAAATATTGGTATCCGGGGATTTGGAAGAAATACTTCTTGCATGGTCTAACACTGGCGAGTTTTCTGATGATCCACTGGGCCGAAGTGGCGGAGAAGTTGACCTGGGTGAAGTTGCTTGTCTCATTTGATGAAGGTGTCGTTGATTTGCTCTCGGATTAATAAATATTGAAGAGTATCTTGGACTTCTTGGATGTGTACTCACATTTGGAGGCGGAGAATTAGCAACTCTTGGTTGATTTTGAGATGCATTCGGGGGTTGGTTTATGCTCGCAGTTAATGCTATATTTGACAACCCAATCCCTTGGTTTGCACTCACGGCTGAAGTTTGTGTCTGCAATTGAACTGGCCCGTCTGAAGTTCTCGTGGGAGAAACACTATTGGAACCAGCTGGCAGAACTAATGAGTGAGTCACAAGAGTCTTGGCAGGGGATCGATTACCTAATTCTGGCAAGACATTTTCTGAATTATTCTCGATGGAAGAGTTGGAATGATTCCTTCTAATCCGATCACGGGCGTCTCTCAAATTGGCTAATGGCGATTCATCATTTAACTCTTCCTCGATAGTGTCTTCCATTTGCGCAATTGCGTTATCAAGTGCAGCAGAACTTTTTATATTAGTTAGTCCAGATTCACCCAGAGTGTCAGCCGAACTTCCACTATTCACACTTGTTGTAAGTTCATTGGTTGAAGTGGTCGGATAGTCATCGTTAGTTGGTCCAGCCACTTCCATTGATGCAGTCTTTACAGTCAAGACATTTATTGGTTCTTCTATACTTGTTTCCGCGGTCTCTTGAATGATTCCACTATCGTCTTCCGGCTCTTCATTCTGCTCATCATTCTGCTCATCCTCGTCTTCATCACTAGATAACGAGATAATTTCGACTGTCTCAACCTGAGCACTGGCACTCCTCCCTGGTTTTCCTACAGCATCTGAATCCTCATTCTTGGGCTGAACTTCAACTTCCCATGTCCCATCCGCGTTTATAATCACACTGTCGACATCTTCTTCCACGGTAGCTAGAATCTCTTCAAAATACTCGGAAATCGCCAAATCTTCCACTTTAACTCGTTTCAGACATACGGGACAGCTCCAAGTAGGCAACTGCACTTGAGTCTGGAGAAAACTCATCCCGTCAAAACATTGCGTGTGGTTACAATAGATTGATTGGATAGGGTACTTTATTTTCGTGCGAGATACTGGGTCAGTTAATGGCACAGTACTACTTTCAAGCATGATATCTTCGTCCTCACTATTCTCGGCTTTAATTCGGGCAATGGTGGCAATCTTGTGGATCTTTGGTCTTTGTTTAACCCTTTCCAATACTGTTTCTGGCGATATAGCCTGTACAAGGTATAGATAGGCCAAATATGCTTCTTGGGTTTGTTGGTATACTAGTGTTACCTTGTTTGTGTTAGGAGGTGGTTTAACCAAGTCAGTCAAATCTGCAGGTTTAGCTGTGCCTATATTCCCCTTTATCCCCTTGTATTGAGTCAATAATTGTTTGCCATTAACATGAATTTCCGAAGGCAGCGGGTATTCGATAGGAACATCAGTCGAGGACGGTCCCGAGGTACCTTGTTTCCCACAGAGCAAGTAAACTTTTGTGCCTGGATTATCCTTAAGTAACTTATACTCATCGGCTGCAAATATGAATTGGAAATGGCATTCACCACGACCTTTTGCCGGTGCACATAGTTGCGGACTACTGTGAATCAGCCGCCTTAACTTATAGAAGGGACTTTCCAAGAAGTACAACGAATGTCCTTTGTGTGGGATGGAGTCGAATGAATGGAGGGTTGCTTGCTGTTGCGGTAGTGACGGTGCTGCTGTTGGGTTGGTATCGCCCACTATGCCTGCTAATGAGTACAGCCCGTTACTGATGGCGCTGTGTAGTTCTCTATAAGTAGGCAAGTTTGTTCCGTTTACTCGCCGCAAAACAAGCGTTCGTATCGTTAACAATCGAATGTTGTCCCCAAACTCCTGACCATGCTTGAAATACAGCTCGATGCTATCAATCAAATCAGCTTTCCGACCACTGAGTCTTAGTTCCATGGATCTGCATATGTCCTTGAGCTGGGCCACTTTCATTTGGTGGAGTCTGACTAACGTGTCGGCAATCTCTTCTGTAGACAACTGGACTTTTTCTGTTTCATTTTCGGTGGTATCAGTCATTTTTGTTTCATTTGTGATGGGGTGGGTGGTGTGTATGCATGGGCCAGACTGTTTGGCGACGAAATATTTAATGAATGAGCTTGTTTACTGTAACGTTGTGTGATAATACTATGTTGATGGGTTAGCTCAATACGTGAAAGAGTTGCAGTAATTTTTTTTTGTTGTTGTTGTTATTGTGGTGATTTGTGATCGTAACGCTTAAGCAAACTAATTAAGTTATCAAACCCTGACTAGAGTTAACTTTATTACTATAAAAGTTAGAAAGTAGCTATACCAAGTAAACTAGCGGCATTCTTCGCGTCAACTACACTCAGCTTATTTGTATTGTCATCGTCAAATGGTTTAGAAGAATCTGATTCTCCCAAGTCATTCTGGTTTTCTCGTTCCTGTTCCTCCTTTTCTAAAGACCTAAATGTTCGTGAAGACCAAGAATCACCTTTTGCAGACTGTGATTGAACTAAATTGTGTTTTAGATTGCCCAAATTGTCTCTGTTTAATCGCGATAATCCTCCTCGTTCATCCACGATCCTAATGTCTAGCCTTATGGTCTCAAGATGTTTTAGTATTTTCCGATGATGTTCCACTTTATGTAATGTGAATGACTTCACTAGCTTTTGTAATTTCTTTTCAGTAAAGTCAATCACCTCTTTACGTTCGTACAACATCTCTCCCGAGATTCGCTTGACTTGGAGGTTTAATGATTCTTCTACCTTTGTGGCATATTCAAGTGATCTTAATGCCTCATCGACCTTAATTGGATCCAACGAGGATCGACTTTTAATCTTGTTGGCTTGTGCATGTTTAGCAGCAGTCTGAGCCTCGGCTTGTAAGAGCTCCCGCATGATCAAATGTCTATTAGTTAACGCCTCTTTAATTTCGTAGAAATCGTCAATTAATGCTTGCACACCGTCGCCTAAAGTTCCCATGTCATTAATCGACTCGATCAAAGTTAAATCCGATTGAATCTGGGTGATTTTCCCAAGTTTCTCCCACATGTTCTTCATGCCTGGATGTGTGTTTTCAAATTGGGACAACACATTCAACTTGTTGGACATGTCGAATATATGTATCGACAACTGCTTCTCGGTTTTGGAATGGCGATCCAAGATCTTGTGCAATTTCTGGCAAATCAAATAAGCATTTTTAATCATAGGCCTGAAGTCTGCCAATTCTACGTATGGATCATAAGGTACGGAAAATTGTTTCAATGTATGTCTCATTAGCCCACTGGCCACAGAAGACTTTCGGTTACTGTTAATCACGGAATATCCAAAATCATTCTCAATAAAATAAACAAATTCTTCATCTCTGATTAAAATAGGGTTGGATGTAATCCTATCAAGCCATTCTTGCCACACCATCACAAGTTGCTTAGTTTCGTCTTCTCCATTGGTCGGATATGACGTGTTGGCACTGGGGATAACCGGAACAAACACTTCCAAGTTGGATATCGTCAAGTACTTGTTAAACTTGACCACTTCGTTGAAAGTTCGACGGATGTCTTTATATTTGACTTGTCTGAACCTAGGTAATCCCTTGACCTGGGCGTCCATTTTCAAAATTGGGTTGCCAGGCTTGTTCCGTTCAACCCCGATTAACTTAATCTTTAACTCGTACTTGTTAGTAAATCGCTCCGGTATGAGCTTCCTAAACTCGGCTTCAGTTAGTTGTCCACTTTCATTTAACAAGTTGGATTCTTGGTTATCACCCTCATTTTCCTCCTCAGTGGTGGGGGGCTGGACGCCATTGTTGTAATCAATTGGCGGCGCAGTACTATCTCGCACAGGAGCAGGTTGGTTCTGGTGTTGCTCTGCTAATGGATCTGCAAATGGATTGTTATTTTCAAACTCGTCCGGGTTGAATGACATTCTTGTAGTGTATGTGTTCTATAAAGAGTAAGTAGGCCAGTTTGGCAACACAGTTTACTTTTTTTTTTTGTTGTTTGCGTTGATTATTTAAAGTGGGGGGTACGAAATAGTTAGAGGTTTCTATAAATCTATCAACATAGTATCAGAGGGACTCTCACTCTTAAGACTTTCTCTGGCAGTCACTGATGATGGGGCCAGAACCTTGGCAAAATCAGGGTTGGCACCTTCAGGGTTTGGTGTTTCTTGCATGGAAGAAGCTTCGTCTTCTTCTTCGTTAGAGATTTCCAACTCTTGCTCACTTTGTGTTTGCGATCGCTTAATTTCTTGTTGTAAATGGTGATTATCGGATTTGAAAAACTCAGTCAAGTTTACTCCAAAGTCAACTTCTTCCTGGTTGGTGAATGAACTTTCGCTAGCGTAGATAAGCGTGAATTGGTCACCAGAACTTTTGGATGCTTCGGCAAAGAAGATATTGACACTTTCAAAATCCATAATCTCCATCCGGAAATCATTGACAATATTATCGGGAGTGGCCGTAAGGGAGAAGTAAACCCAATCTTGATCAGGTGTCTTGGAAGTTTTAGTCTTGTAAAGATATTCTGAATCGGACAAAATAATTCCAATCAAAATATACTTTTCCGGAGCTTTTATGGTTGGATCGTGACTGATTCTTTCCAAGATATTATCATGATTATTCACATCCAATTGCAAATATTCATGATTCAACTGACGAAGCTTATCATTCAAAACGACAGTTTCTTCCTTCAAATTATCCGCCAAACGCAATAAATCATCATGCGATTCTGCTTCCTTCCCAGTCGATCCCAAATAATCTATACTCTTTTGTAAAATATGTCTAATTTTCTTGCCTTCAAACGAACTCAAATTCATGATTCTGTTTGAAATCAAACTTCTTTCTTTAGCCACCTCAAGTCGTTTCCTAGACATCAGAGTGACTAAAGCAACACATTCACTGCCGTATACTCCAGGATAAAAGTGCTCTTGCAATTGCATAGACTGGTTCAGGTAATCGCCATCATCGTAATTAAGCACATGGAAGGTAAACAACGGAGCAATACGGCAAAAGCTAACATTCCCTACACCATCATCCAGATTCCAAAACAAATTATCCAAAGATTCAGTTATGGTACTGCCTCGTGAATCCGAATCGATTTCAAACACGGGCAATTCAACCTCATCTCCTTCTTCATTTCTAACCACCGAATTGAAAATTGAACTCAACGACGAATCTCCATCATTATCCAAAACCAAATCAGATTCCTGTGCCAAGCAAGCATAAACCTTTTTGAGCAATTCATCCAACCCCTCCGACTGGAGCAACAGGGTGTAAAATTCAGTGGGCAAGGTACTCAATAAGCTTTCTGCACTGATCAACAATCTTTTGCTTAATCCATGGGATAAATACCCCACTATTTTCTGGACTTCAACTACAAACTTGTAGGAATGTTTATTGGTAGTAAACTCTTCTGGTACCGCAAGTTCGGACTTAGCTTGGCTATCATACCAGTTTTCCACATACCCGTAATCAAAGTTATTTCTTGTGAATAAAATCTTGTTGAATTGAGACAAACTAGAGGCGATAGTCAAAATAGGAATAAGGATATTCTGAGGTGCTCGTAATCGATAGGGCAATATCACCGGTGGGGAATATTCCTCTTCGCCATCCCTTGCCAAAGTGTTGTAATGCTCATATATGGAAAATGGATGGATCGAAGAGGATGAATCACTAGAACTGCTTTCAATGTTTTGGTGGTACTCATAAAGATTCAGTCGCGATTGCATGTTGGAGTTACTATCACTAGGATTGGCAAACTCAGTAAAGCTAGGAATGTCTTCCGGATTAGTTATATGAACAGTGTCTTCGTATCGTATGAGTTGGCCCTGCTCCATCTGATGGTTTACCAGCGGTGACGATGGAGGTGGTCTAGGTTCTGCTGCTAACTGAGACTGAGATTGAGACTGGGACTGGGACTGGGACTGGGACTGAGGCTGGGGTTGGGGCTGTTCCAATGGTTCGCCAAACAAATATGCAATTGCCAGTTCCAATACATAGTTGGTTTTCTGCAAGGCGCTTTCGGCTTGATCACGGGAGAACCCCATCTCCTGCAATTGTTGAACTTTGCCTTGATCCATGGTGGTATTTGTAGTGTTGTGTATGTAAAATGGGGGGTTGCTGTATGGTAGGTGGTATTAATTATAGTTGGCAACGCATTTTTCTGCCTGTTTTTTTTTGGCCTCCACAAAAAGTGACAAAAATGCTGCTGCTTCCAAAAACGACGGCATGGGGAATAGACCACGAATATCAACACGCAGAGTCTACAGGCGGCTGGATTTGCTTGTAAAGCATGTTGACTCTGGCTCTGCTAGAAGCGTCAACATTAAATTGCGCTTACTTGATTTATCCATTGGTAGCGCAACGGTGGATCCTCAAGTGCATTGGTAGCGCGAGGTGGCGAAGTAGTGCCTGATGCAAATAGCGTTCGCCATAGAAAGGCGGTATATGTGCCAAGCAATCGGTTGTGTTTTGCAGACTGACTAGTCCAAAAGCTTACGAGATATGCAGAGAATTCCATGGGCTGTCATCACGTCGTACTACCTTGTATATACAACTAGCTGACAATAGGCGGTCTGTTATCGCTTTCCTTACTTCTTGTTTCCTTGCTTGCTTCCTTACTTAGTTTCTTCTCCTTACTTCGTTACTTCTCCTTTCTTTTCTTCCCCTTTCTTTTCTTCCCCTTTCTTTTCTTCCCCTTCCTCCCTTCCCCTTCCTCCCTTCCTTCCCTTGCCTTTGTGCACGACTCATTTACTCGCTTTAGGCAATTGCGCGCTTAGCCCAAGATGAGTAGGCATCGTCATTTTGGTGGTGATGAAAAAAAAAAAAATTTTCCCAATATATTGACTGTTAACAACCAACATTTTATGTTAGGATTGAGGAATTTCTTTAAGAAACAATCATTAATAACAATCATATCTCGAAGATCAATCATGACTACTCCAACTATCCACTCAATCACCGAAGGTTTGCAACATTTGGGTTTGCAACAACCAGAATCCCACATCCAAGACTCTTACCCAGAATACAATGTCATTGATGTCGTCAGAAACTACATCTGTGGAGAATTAAGCCGTATCTCTACCGTCGACTCCAACATCATCTTCCAAGCCTTGGACACTCCAAACTCTTTAGACAAGGGTGATTTGATCATCCCTGTACCAAGATTAAGATTAAAGGGCATTAACCCAAAGGAAAAGGCCGAACAATGGGCCCAACAATTCGAAACAGGTAAATTCTTGACAGAGGTCAAGGCTGAAGGTCCTTTCCTTCAATTTTACATGAACCCATCTCTCTTATTCAACTTGGTCATCAATGACGTCTTGAAGAGAAAGACCGACTATGGTTACTTGCCATTGGGTGTTGGTAAGAAGGTTATTGTTGAGTTCTCGTCTCCAAACATCGCCAAGCCTTTCCACGCCGGCCACTTGAGATCCACAATCATCGGTGGTTTCTTGTCTAACTTGTACGAACATGCTGGCTGGAACGTCACCAGAATCAACTACTTGGGTGACTGGGGTAAACAATTTGGATTATTAGCCGTTGGGTTTGACAGATATGGATCAGAAGAAAAGTTGGCCCAAGACCCAATTAACCACTTGTTTGAAGTTTACGTCAAGATCAACAAGGATGTTACTGATGAAGGCGAAAACTCAAAGACTAACGACGAAGCCAGAGCATTTTTCAGAAAGATGGAAGATGGCGATGAAGCCTCATTGAAGATTTGGAAGAGATTCAGAGACTTGTCCATTGACAAATATATCGACACCTACGCTCGTCTTAACATTAAGTATGACGTCTATTCGGGTGAATCTCAAGTTCCAAAGGAATTGATGAAAAAAGCCACTGACATGTTTGAAGAAAAGGGATTGATTCATGTTGACCGTGGGGCCAAATTAATCGATTTAACTAGATTCAACAAAAAGTTAGGTAAGACCCTTGTGGAAAAGTCCGATGGTACTTCTCTTTACTTGACCCGTGATGTCGGTGAAGCCATCAAGCGTTACGAAACTTACAAATTCGACAAGATGATCTACGTCATTGCCGCCCAACAAGATTTACACTGTGCTCAATTCTTTGAAATTTTGAAACAAATGGGTTTCGAATGGGCCAAGAACATGGAACACGTCAACTTCGGTATGGTCCAAGGTATGTCCACCAGAAAGGGTACCGTTGTCTTCTTGGACAACATTTTGCAAGAAACCAAGGAAAAGATGCACGAAGTTATGAAGAAGAATGAAGAAAAATACGCTCAGATTGAAAATCCCGACAAGATTGCTGACTTGGTTGGTATCTCCGCTGTCATGATCCAAGATATGCAATCTAAGCGTATCAACAATTACGAATTTAAATGGGACAGAATGACCTCGTTTGAAGGTGATACCGGTCCATACTTGCAATACGCCCACTCACGTGTTTGCTCCGTGCAAAGAAAAGCCGATCATATCTCCGCTGACGATTTGGTCAATGCCAACTATGAATTATTGACTGAACCAAGTGCACAAGCTCTTATTAGAACTTTGGCTCAATACCCAGATACTATCAAGAAGGCCTTAAAGACACTTGAACCATCCACCATCGTCACCTATTTATTTAATGTTTCCCATATTATCTCTCAATGTTATGATGACTTATGGGTTGCAGGTCAACCAGATGACTTGGCCGCTGCTAGATTGGCATTGTACGTATCTGCTAAACAAGTCTTGTACAATGGTATGACCTTGTTGGGTTTGACTCCAGTCGAAAGAATGTAATATAGTTTATACACATATAGTTTAAGAGATCGTTAATTTTGATCGTGGCTTATCTGGCCGGACCGCGCCCCGCGCGAGAGAACTTTCCGATTACTAAGCATTTGATCGAGCAGCACCAGATCCTTTGAAATAATTACGTCATTTTCATCTCTATGAATTTCTCGGTGCTCGGGCTGCCTTATTGGACACCTCTGCTTTCCAATTGACCGGTCGGGGATATGGATATCTCTCCTAAACACTGTAGTATTGCCGATTTGCTATTGCCCGCAAACAACCAATTGAAATTCGCCTCTGCGCAGCAATTAACCCGGGCAAGAAAAAAAAAGGGCGACAAAAGCAAAGTCAAAAAAAAAACTTAATTCCCCTTTAAATAGCACCTGCCCTTGCCCTTTGCCCTTTCTCCTCTCTCCCCCACGAGGTCATTATTCATATCAATTGCAATATCTAATCATGCTCTCCTTAAGAACTGCTAGTCGCGCTTTATCCAAGTCTGCCCCAATTGCCGCTGCTGCCTCAATTGGCGCCGTTAGAACCAAAGTATCCCTTCCTGATTTAGATTGGGATTTTGGTGCGCTTGAACCACACATTTCTGGTCAAATCAACGAAATACATTACACCAAGCACCACCAAACCTATGTCAACAACTACAATGTTGCTACTGAACAAATCGCCGAAGCATCCGCAAAGGGTGAAGTCAAGAAGATTGTCGAATTACAAAAGGCAATCAACTTTAATGGTGGTGGATACATCAACCACTGTTTGTTCTGGAAGAACTTGGCCCCAGAAAAGCAAGGCGGTGGTGAACCTCCAACTGCCGAATCCGATTTCGCCAAGAAAGTTGTTGAACAATACGGATCTTTGGACAACTTGAAGGCCTTGACTAATGCCAAATTAGCCGGTATCCAAGGTTCTGGTTGGGCTTTTATCGTCAAGAACAAGGAAAATGGTGGTGCTTTGGACGTCGTCACTACTCCTAACCAAGACACCGTCACTGGTCCATTAGTTCCATTAGTTGCTATTGATGCCTGGGAACACGCTTACTACTTGCAATACCAAAACGTCAAGGCTGATTATTTCAAGGCTATTTGGAACGTTATTAACTGGAAGGAAGCTGAAAAGAGATACTTGATTAACTAAGTAGGTTTTCGTAAAGGTTGTAAATAAATTTTAAACTGTTTTCGCAAAATATTCACATTCGCAATCAAGTCACCTTTCTCAATCTTTACCCGATTTCGTAGAGTTGTCAACACACGACTACCTGCTAGCTGACGCCCCAACCTACATAACAGTAAACTGCTTTTTCATTGTCAGGTTTTCTTGTATAGCCACCATTGTGACCCTCACAGCAACGCACCGAGGTTTGCTACATCGTGATTACCGTATAACATACCCTTTTCGATAGACCTTTTTGATTTTGTGAACAATTATTTTGGCGAAATATTTCCTGTCACACGTTGCCCAGCATAAACAAGTCGATGGCGCAATCGACTAAAAAACCCAGAGTTTCCGTAGACACAAACACTTTGGCGCATGGCGTCTTAAATGTCCGCGGAAATGTAGTGTCTACGGAAGTACGTCACTTTTCCAAGCATCCACAATATCGACTCTTCCATCAACAAAGGCAATTGTTTGGTATTGGAGTCTTTGCAGGAAATAGAGGTTGCGCTGGGATTGTCCACATGTTATTTTCTGTGAATGTTGCACAAAGCTGTTTTTAGCATCTTGACAATTCCGTGCGGAAACGCCCATTATTGATGGAAATGGAAATAAGACAATTGTTTTTCTTTCAAGTGGGCTTCTTTAATTAAAAACAATGAAGTAGTCTATATTCCACAAATTATTTATCAAGGTACCAAAAACAAAATGGTTATGAGTACTTGTGTGAAAATTATTTTTTTTTTTGCATATGTAGATATGTGCATTAAAAATATGAATATTATTTATATCTGCAAACAATACAGCCAGGAAATACTTTGTGAATTATTTTCTAACATTTTTCCCGGGTTCGTTTCTTTTTCAATCTTTCGGGCTTAGGAGCTGTCATCATTTTCTCCTCAGCCCTAGATTAGGAGTCAACGCGATGCTGATATGGTGCCGTATCAATCTGCAAAAAAAGAAAATCACCACTTCGATTAAGGTTTACAACCGAGATATGTCTAATTGTGTATACGATCTGCTGCGCCCACCAACGGACTTGCATCAGCTGGCAAAATCCGTGGAAATATGCTGGGTATCGGATATGCCATTGTGGTTTTCGAACTTTCCGAAGATTTGGATACCCGAGCTCGAGTTATTTTAAATGGAAGCTTCATGACGATATTTTAATAATGGATATTATTATGTATCTAGAAAATAAAATTTTTGTGGTGCACCAAGCATTATGACGACAAATGAAGTGGGTGGATAATCGAATCGACCAGGAATTATTTTCTGACCAGAAAGAAATGAATGCACAGAAATCGTACAGGATCGCACAGAATCGCCCACCAGATTTAGTTCGAAGATTCTATGCACTAATCCCCCTTCCCAAACTTCCCGTTCCATACATCCGCGGGAAGGTCTAATATAGAACAATACCTCGAATCTAATTGTACCACAATCTATCAAACACAAAACAAGCTGTGGTTTGAAAGTAGGTTTTCTTGAAAAGAAATAATTGATAAGAAATTTTTTTCTGGCTCGTGCCCATAGACAAGCGCGGAAATATGGCCAACAATAAGTTTTTTTTATTTTTCCGGAGCCTGATCGGGTTGCATTTTCCCCTGCCAAACCCTGACCTTGCTCATAACCACTGACAAAAAAATAATGAAGCTGAAAAATTCTATATTTGTCCATGATATACTCAATTACGAATAATTTGACGGGAGCGGGACATTTCAAAATGAGACAAATTTAAAATATGACTAAACTTTCACAAATCGCAAAAATTAGGAAATTGTTCTTTGCGTTCAGCATTAACAAAGGCAATTTAATTAACAATCGTGGCCCGCCACAAAGAAACCCATGAGGCCACAAAAAGTAGAATGCGGAATTATTATTTTTTCCGTTTTGTTGGGATTGTTGATATCCTCTTGTTCGAGTAAATAATGGAAAGGCCATTTTTCTAGAAGGTGCACATGCAATCTTTTTAGTGCCTCTTCATTTTTTGTTCTCTTTCTGTTTTCCATAATGGTGCGGGTATTCGTAAAAACAATAGTGACAGGAGTGCCGTAGTCTGCAGGAGATAAGGCATTGCCGCATAAATTTGCTTTTTTTTTGTTGGTTATCTCTGGGTTAATTGCGCGAGCATTCCCCCCTCTCATTTTCGTTCCCGTGCCACGGGATTATACTGGCGTTTTAGCACAGGGGAATGTTTCCCCACTATCTCCGAGAAATTCACATTCTTCAGCAATACTGTATTTAGAGTTAATGTTTATGTATCGAAACCATTGCCTAATTTGTCAAAAGGTAAATCTGGTGAATGTTACTATGGCTGTAACTAAGATATATTTTCTAATCTTGATCTCTCAGATGAGTGATAGACTTGATATTTTTTAATGTTCTATATTGCCCTGTAATAGAATATCTTAATTGAACACAAAACTTGGGGGGAGGGGGTGCACTGGGAGGGGTGTAATGTTTACCTTTATTGCAGCTCATTGAAAGAAGGAGAAGAACAAAAAAAATAATCTTGGAAAAAAAGATTATTTCACAAAAAAATAAGACTCTGCGTAAAAAATATCTCCCTCAACTTTAATAATAATTTCCATGAAAATTTAACCCGAATCAAAAAAAAAAAGATAACGAGTGGTCATGGATCACTCTCAATGTGTAATCAAAGTACAAAATAATATTTTTGGGTCGTACTTTAATTTTCTGACGATATTATAGGGAGTGGGGTGTGTGGAACCATATTATTAATAAAGTGAGGAGATGTATATTAGGGTAATTATTTGCAATAATAATATAAGGTGCATTTTTCAAACCCCCAACTTTCCTTCAAGGCATTTGGATACGAAAATAATGGAGAACTGATAGGATCACGCATGTTGTTTCTGGAAATTAAACAAAAAAAAACTTGTCAGGCACTAAAAACAATAAGAATGGACGTAAAGTTTTTTAATAGGTAAACATTGGACTAAACGTAAGGTCCCAAAAAACCCAATTTACACAAAACCCTTGTCAATTAATTATGATATTAACCTCCCCGCTTGAGCCTAATATAGTCATGCAAACCTGATTGGCCCAATTTGCAACCTAATTTCCATCGATAATAGCACACACTATCAAGCAACAATAGCCCATTAATGCATTTCCAATGGCACCACACTAAGTGCGGAGTAATCACTTCAAGCTTTAGCTGCAACAACCCAGCCTGAGGCAAAAGCATCTGACGTAAAAAAAAAAATGATAGTTTAAAGTTTGAAAAAAAAACGCCAAGCTAAACCTAAATCAGGTGGCGGAGGGCTGTGCTTCTTACCACCTTAGGCCGCGGACAAGTCTGCAACATCTAAACTCTAATACCCATTCGTATTGTCTCTACAAAACCTTACCCGTTTTGGTTGATCTAGTATTCGTCTTCTCATGTCACGACACTCAGCCTGGACTAAAAATTTCGCAGAATCGGCTCCATAAAAAATATAGCCTAAATTCGCCCTGCTCGCCCTGCCATTTTAAGTCCTTCTGCATAAGAGAACAAAGGCAACCATGGTACAATAAATTTTAAGAAATCATGCCTGGGAACGCAACACTAAACTAATTCATGACCAATCTGATGTTATTCGCATTGCATGAGGCGAGCAACCTACTGGTATCAACTTTTTTTTTCTTATGCTGCAATGTAAATCAGCTAATGTGGTTGTAATCAGATCCAGCACTAGTTGCTAGTTAGCCTACAAGTAATCATAAATATCGTTCATACATTGACGGTAAAAATAATTATTCACGAATCGAAAAACCTTTTGACGAAAGACATCGGAATACAAATAAACAAAACGTCTATAATAACAAGAATTATAACAAAAAAAATAAACACAGCAAGTAGTAATAGTAGTATAGCACATAATAACAAGTCAACAGGAAAACCCTAAAACGCCCAAATAAACATTAACAAAAATAGAAAGTCATCAACCAAGAAAAATAAATAAACTTAAATTAGAATTTGAGATGAGAATCAGATTTTGGTATCTCGGTGTAATAACTTTGCAAGGCTCTCTTTAAGGCAGGAACTAACTTATCCCACCTTAAAATACGCACCTCTTTATCAAACCCTCTTGGTTTTCTGATTTCGTAACCCATGATTCTCTTGGCCAACTCTATTCTAAAATCGTGGTTGCTTGGGTTGCTTGACAGTGAAGGAACTGCGTTGTCATGCATTCTTGAGCTGATTGGTTTCTTGGACCAGAATGGAACCAAGTTGGATCTAACTCTACCTCTTTCCCTTCTCTTTTCGGCAGGATCTTTGGTCTGGGTACCAATTAATAATTCGACAATCTCAACCACTTCGACAGAAGTGATGTAGTATTGATAGTAATCTCCATCAGGATCACTCTTGACGTAGTTTTTTGGCAGGGAGGAGCCATTCTTCATGCCACCTTCATCGTCAGAAGATTGGGAGTCATATGAATCATCATTTGGTCTGACGTTACATTCTAAGCAACTAACTTCAACAACGTCGACATTTGGAGGAGCAGGCAAAGTGATTGGGTTTTCATTGGCACCGCCAACAATTGAAAAGTTAGCAATCAACTTTGGACCATTTTGAATACGTTCGATTCTAATGATTCTTCTTCTATCGTCCTTTTCTGATTTACTCCATTTAGGATAACAAATATCTTCCACGGAAGCCCCCATCAAACTTAATTCAACAGGCAAGAAAGTAGAATCACTTTCCATGGATTCCTTGGGTGGACGTGTAGTGCATCCGCCAGCAGAGACACCTCTAACAACTCTATATCTTCTTGAACCATTGTCACCGTCAGTATTACCTTCCGACTTAACCGGAGTATAATATGTGCTAGCCATCGAGCTGCGTCTTGGTGGTTGTGGCACTTGTGATACAGGAGGAGGCAGCGAACTGTTGTAAGATAATTGCTCAAACGTAGACGAGTTTGGAGCAGAGTAGTGTTGTGGAACGTCAAACATGACAACTTTCCCATTACTCATCTGTTGAGATGGATAGTAGTTATTATAAGCTAATGAGTTGGATGTGCTGTCGAAAAGTGAGTGAATGGACGAAGAGCCATCAGAGGTTCCGGTTATTGGAGTGCTGTTGGTGGTGAGTATAGATTGAGCACTGGCAGCATTGTCGAGCTTTTGATTGGTAAAGGAAAATTGACTTTCCAAGTGAGGTTGACTAGTGTATAACGTGCCAGCTGGATCAGCCATGTTTGATAACTGGTTGAAGCGACCGGTTTGTTGTTGTTGTGGCTGTTGTTGCTCGTAACCACCATAGTATGGACCGACATTAGCACTGTTACTACTATTTAAACTGGAGGCAGCAGAGGCATACGATATTCCCAAGTTGACGTTGGCAGTTTGGAACGCATGACCATTGATATCCCCATTGCTGGTGTTGGAGTAGTTGGCAGAATTAGTGATATAATTCACAAAAGGTGCATCATCTAAACTATCTTCCAACGGGTATGTATTTCCTGTGTTCATAACCAACAGGAACTCATTCAAAGGGTTAGGATCATTCGGATCTAACATATCAAATCGATTAGACTGGAAGTAGTTCGGAGTGGTAGAAGTGAGCATAAAAACCTGATTTTAACTGAATATTCTTGTAATATAACTTGTGTACTAGCAGTCCGTGTAAAAACTAATATACGAGACTACGCAACACAAAATAAAACCTTAAAACTTGTTTCTTTGAAATCTTTAAAAACTTACACCAGTTTGATGATGCAAATACTATCTTATATCTTAATGTTGAGTAAAGAAACTTATGAGAAATTTATAAATCTTTTATCAAAGGAGTAAATTCGGGGAACATGGGCCAAAAAACGTCATTTAAATACAACAATTAAAGTTGAAGTAAAAATAGAAAGAACAAAAATAAAAAAAAAAAATCATGAAGAATCTTTTCTTCCCCTTCAACACAATTACAGCGGGAAAAGGGAACAAGAAAAAGCAAAAAAATAAATCCTAAAAAATACCCGCCCACCCAGAAAATATTATATTTTGTAATTAGATTATTACAACTGCTCCTCAAAAAAGTTAATATGATTTTATACGTGCGATTTGGGAGGAGGGGTGGGGGGGGGGGGCGAAAAGCCTACACTAAAATATTTTGTAACTCAGTATGTGTGTAAGAAAAAATAAAATATTTTTATGCAAGCAAATATTTTGTGGGCGCTTTTCTTTTCTTTTTTTATGTGATGTTCGATGCAGGTTTTAGCGCTTACCCATAGATCCTCAGAACAACTCCAAAGATACACAAAATTAGATTTGCCATTTAAGAAAAAAATCTCGGAGAGTCACAAGGTAAACTTTATTTTTTGATTGTCTTTTTTTGTTGTTTTTTAAATCAAGTCCGCATTCTGTGGACATTCTTCGACATGGTAAATCCTGTATATTGCATATCGTGTTATTTGGTTTTGTGAACTCTTTGATCCGGACTATTGTTTACTTTGGTTTCTGGTCATGCGAAAGTAGCGCTATTGTTGAGGCTATGATAGCAATAGTTCTCGTCGAAACAAAAAAAAAGCTTCCAATAATTTGCAGGTGACTTTTTTTATCGACATTCTCATAAACCTTCGATGTAACCTCTTGAAATAAAGAAGTTGCAAATGTTAAAAAGAAATATTGAAAAAAAAAACAAGCCAGGATGATCAAGATGTCACTATAAATTACAAGTATAAGCGTGGGTGCCTATATTTTGGTCAATTATCCATGTGCTCTTTGTTGATTTTAGACTTTTAATGTAACCAGTGGTGCTTTTCCTGTTTTGGGCTACTTTATCATCAATTATGTGAAGCCCCCGATATGGAAAAGTTTTGTGAACCCTGGCTGTGATCCCTTTGTTTTTTTTTGTTTTTTTTTTCTTGCGAAGGCAATAAATCCGATGTATGGAAATACGTTTTGGGAATATTTTTTAAACCCTAACTTCTCATGCATCGGCACATATCCGGACTCATGCACCGTCAATTTTTTTTTCTTGTCAACAATTCCTTGCCTTACAGGAATCCCCCAAAAAATATTGATATCACTATCGTCATATCTAATGATTACATCATAACCTGGACGCTCCGGAAGGGCTTTACTGCCTCGGGGACCAGGCTGATGCTCCCGTGCCATGCATGAAATTTCTCGTATCGGGGATATTATTTGTCATTTCTTACAAAAAAAGTACTAAAAATTTAGAGAGTCTGTTTCATACTACAAGATTCCACTATTTCACCAGGTATTGTTAAATGACTTAGTTTTGTTAATCCTTCTAGACTTCTCGTGAAACTGCATTTAAAAAAAAGTAGTCTTTTGTTGCAATTTCAATAAAAATTCGTAATTTATAGTGACTAATGTGAGGGGGCTAATGTGGCACCATCTTAATCCCAAATAAGAAAACCTTAATTTGATACATGATCATCTAACCTCATATCACTTATACAACCCTTGGTGCATATAGATGATCTATAGCTTTGTTTCAAAGCCCGGGAAGCCTGATAAAACAAAGATTCTTCGGGTCTTGCCTGTCTCTGTTAGTGATAGCATATATATATATATATGAAACTCACTTCAAAATCGATCGCTTGTTTGCGGGGTTAGTTCATTGCCGTTCAGTTATGCTCTAAATTAGACCAATACACAATATAGTAGATTAGGAACTTCTAGAAAATACCATCCACGTTGGTGATTGACCAGGTTGCAAAATTCAAAGATGAAATTTTATGAGGTGATCTGAGTCCGCGAGTCAATTTTTTTTCTTAGCATGCTTCAAAGGCCCTGGTTACCCGAGCTGCTTCTATTTCATGATCTAGCTGTACATACAACAAATCCGTATATTCCTGATATCTTCCTTTTCTCGAAGCCCGGAGGAAAAGAAATTAAGATTGTTCAATGGGTTGATGGGTGATGCCAATTAAGGTTTGTCGGGGAAGCCTAGCATGCATAATATTTTTATTGTCATTCAGTTGCAACTCGGTAATAGTTGCCTGACTTGAGAAATGGTGAATATTCCCGAGCAATCTAAAAATTACAAAATAATTAGTACAAAATCTTCAATTAAGGCACGGCGTATTTATTCATTTATACTAACATTAGTTATATGTAACACAATCCATGTGGCATTTGTACTAGTTTGCACAAACTGTGTGGTAGCACTCGGAAATATCTCTAGCGGCACCTACGGGGTAACACTAAATCATGCCATCAAGGTTGACAACATATATCCGCGGTTGTTGGTTGGAATAAATCCGGGAAATCCGGTAACGGAGGAGATCAGGAATGTTTTTCGCAATGATTGGCGGCGACAAAGATCGTCATAACCACGGCTTGTTGGTCGTACAAAATTTAGATATGCAAGTATTAGAGAGTTTTAATTATAATTCACAAGCCCACCTTTCAAATTTGCAGCTTTTTAATCTATTATTTCAGAATTTGAAAGATGCAAGGGTTCAAACAATGGGTGATCTGGATTTTAGGAAGGGTCCCTGCCAAGTTTTTGGTTACATAGTTTCAAATTAGTGGGGGAACCCTGAAACTAGTCCACACTGAAAATGAACCAGATCTTATTGTTTCGGTTTAGGTTCAATAACTGTGAAAATAACTTGGATTGGGCTGTTTGCTATGTTGGAAAGGAGGCTTGAATGGCCAGAAACTAAAACCCCACGTTTTGACAAACTAAATCATGTCAACTAAGGCATCACTACCAATCTAATGCAGATGGCGACAGCCAAGAGCTTGTAGATTTGATTATTTTGCGGAAATGTCACCACCTTCTTTGCGACTTGTTTTTTTTTAGCCCCCTTTACCTTTCGTGGAGGCGTTTTCAACAACCTCTCTGCAAAACTTATTTTTTGTCAGTTTTCCGTATACTGAACAATTACTCAAGCACAATGAGCTTTGTTTGTGGACACAAGGGAAAACAATTATATACTCGCCATAATTATAAGCTGCAATCAGATATCCGTGTGTAAACTCAATTATCCACAAAATTATTTCCAGGAGAATGCGGATATCTGTTTGCAGCAATTGTCAATCTGGCATACATCCTTTCAATGCCTCAATAGAGGACAAAGTTAAATTATTTACCCCTAACTCATATTAAGTAATCAGGGTTGTGGAATTGCCGGGGTTAAGGCGTCGTGGAGAGATAACCTTTTCAATGATCTAGAATTGATAAACACATATGTAGCAAGTACAACTTTCCATGTAAGACTCCGCCTATCACTACAAGTTTGGAGTTTCCAAAACAAAAAAAATACTACAGACGCGACTCAACTTATCTTCTGATATTGGTAATGCTAACAGATACAAATAAATAAAACTATATTTCTTCATTCATGCTTGAAACAAGCGTTGAACTCAGTTGACAACCCGGTTCCGACTATTTCTTGTCGTATTTCGAGTAGTATTGGTTGAACAAGAAACCATCAGCCAAAACTAATGCAGTAAGAGCGGCTGCATTCAAGCAATTGATGGCCCTGTTATCACTCTTAATCTTATACTTTTCCAAGTGGGCAAAATAACCAGCTGCACTGGCACTGGCAATGACAGCTACTTGGGCAAGGACAACTGGGTTTTGAAGTTCAACACCAACACGAGAAACGGTTGAGCAGGCGGTGGTTTGCGCACAGTTGGCAGTTTTGGTTACACTGTCGACAACTGCGTTAAAGGCCTTTTTTAAAGCAGATACGATACCGCATTCTTTATCATTGTTACCGGTGACTTCATCAACTTGTTTTTCAACTTCATCAACTTGCTTTTCAACTTCTTTTTGAATTTCTTCAGCGGATGGAATGTGTTCAGACATATTCAATAGATTTTATTTTTACTTCCTGGATAATAGTGTAGCAAATGAGCAAACTTAAATGAGAAGAGTAGAGAAGAGAAGGCGGACAAAATTTAAGGGGGGTTTTATTCGTCAGTAAGTAGCAACAAGTGAGGGAGGGAAAAAATAACAATGACGTTTAGCTTATCGCCTGATAATCAATATTTTTTGACATCCAAATTGTCGTGGATTGGCTTAATGACCTGACTTTTCAAAAAGGGTCAAATCATTGGAATGAACTTGGCATTGTTAACAATTGCCATTAGCGCTACTTGGTTCCTTATTAGGTTTCTGCTTTTTCAGGGTATTTGCCAAGGCACGGCTGTCTGGGGATACTATTTTTTTTTCTCTCCACAATCTGTTACACGTGAACGTACATGGCGAGACCAAAAACCAAGATCCCCTTTAATACAAGAAAGAGAGAAGGGTCTACAAGTTTCCTCAGAGGAAGGCATTGCATGATGGAATAGTATTGGGTAGTTTTCAGCTGAGTTATAAACATGAATTGTCACTAGAGCAATCATTTTCAAGATAGGATACCCCGGAGATTCTCTCCAAAGTGTACCACTAATCCAATTTTACATAGGAATCAAACTCTGAAAGTATCGATGAATAGTAGCACAGTTGGATTTGTGACTTCGTTTCAGGTGATGTGTTTATATTGTCCTTTCTGATGCAGCCATAATAACTAAAACCTCATATAAAACGTCTTTCATTGGTCTTGTGAGCAGAAACCCAATGCTCACAACCCGATTAATCTGATCACATGACCTTTTCCCGTGCAAAAAGAGATTTTAGGGTTTCCGCCCTGGACAGTTGATAGAAAAAAAGAAAAAATCGCATTCGCACGCTTCGCCAAAATTTTCACAAAGTCAATTTTCACTAAAAAAAAAAGAAAAACCTTAGTCCCAGGTTGGATTCCGATTCTCTTTCCTTTCCATTAACTAACTGTCGATTGAAAACCAACACCCCGGCTTTCCACGTAACATTCCGACAATTAATTAAAGTAACATAAACAACAATGTCTGCTGCTCCAGAAGCTCCAAAGAGAAATTTCGGTAGAAACGCCAGAAGAGGTGGTAGAAGAGGTGGAAGAAGAGAAGAAGAAAAGGGATGGACTCCAGTCACCAAGTTAGGTAGATTGGTCAAGGCTGGTAAGATCACCACCATTGAAGAAATCTACTTGCACTCTTTACCAGTCAAGGAATTCCAAATCATTGATTTGTTATTACCTGAATTAAAGGATGAAGTCATGAAGATCAGATCCGTCCAAAAGCAAACCAGAGCCGGTCAAAGAACCAGAATGAAGGCTGTTGTCGTCATTGGTGACTCTAACGGTCACGTTGGTTTAGGTATCAAGACCGCCAAGGAAGTTGCTTCCGCTATCAAGGCTGCCATTGTTATTGCCAAGTTATCCATCATTCCAATCAGAAGAGGTTACTGGGGTTCTAACTTAGGTGCTCCTCACTCCTTACCAACCAAGGTTACCGGTAAGTGTGGTTCCGTTGCCGTCAGATTAATTCCAGCTCCAAGAGGTAAGGGTATTGTTGCTTCCCCAGCCGTCAAGAAGTTGATGCAATTAGCTGGTGTTGAAGATGTCTATACTTCTTCTTCCGGTTCTACCAGAACCACCGAAAACACTTTAAAGGCTGCTTTCGTTGCTATTGGTAACACTTACGGTTTCTTGACTCCAAACTTGTGGGCTGAAACTCCATTAGCTGCTTCTCCATTGGAAGTTTACGCTGAAGAAGCTGCTGCTGGTAAGAAGAGATACTAAACGTATATAAGCGATTAATTGGGTTTAACTTGTTTATTTAATGTATAGTAACGTTTCATACTGAAAGAATTTTAGTGTAGCAATATTTCTCTACAAACGTGATGACATTTTGATAAATTTGCAGCATATTGCAACATTTATGTATACCCTTAAATTTATCCCCATTACTAAAACTACACACTAAAAAAAATAGAAGTGATAAACATCAGAAAACAAACCCAAAGCAACGCCAGGGTTCCAGGTTTCATATAAACCAATAATCAACAAATTTGTCAAGTTTTAGTTCTTTTGATTCTTTTTCTTTAGCTTTTTATCTTCTTTTTTTTAGTTTTTTTTTTTAAATTTCTATAATATAAAACAGCATAATATTAATATAAAAACATTATAATTTTCTTTTTGTAACAAAATATAACCTATTGTTGAACAGCTTGTTCCATAACTTGGTCTTCAGGAACCGCAAATGAACGGTTAGTGGTAGCTGCGTCTTCTTTGGACCATGTGTTTGGGGCTATAGTTCTTCCCTCTGGGTGTTGATACATACAATTCTTGTTTTGACATTTTGCGCCAAAACGACAAGTTTCTTTGATTGGATGGGCAAATGTACAATCCAATCTTCTGCAATCAGATCCACTACGACATGGTACACTGGAAGTGGCGTGTCTTCTTGGACATTTATAATTAGTACATTGAGTTCCAAACTTACATTGCTCCAATGCAATTTCAGCAGCAGATGTAGTGGATTCAGCCGTGGCTGTTGGTGGTGGCGGATGTGATTTCTTACATTCGGTATTTATACAGTTCTTTCCTTCTGTACACCATTCCAAAGTTTCAATGACTGCATTGTTATTGGCTGGAGTTGGATGAGCAAACGGACAGGTGTCTTTGGAACACTTGGCACCGAATTTACAAGACCCTTGTTGAACCAAGATATTGTTGATCTTCTTTTGTTCGTATTCCTTTCTAGATTGCTCCAACTTGGCAATTAAGTCTTGATCTTGATCTGGATGTAAGTAGTTACAGGTTCCTGGTGGATTAGGACAATTTGGATAAGCAAAGCAGTTCTTAGTAGGATGGGCCTTGTCACATTCCTTATTTTTACAGTATGGAAAATCGGGACATCTTCCCTTTGGAGCTTGGGGAACGAACTTGTCATTGAGAATTTTAACACCGGATGAGCCAATCATATCTAATGCCTGTTCTATTCTCTTGGTATCGTTGAAGTTCTTTTTGAAATTGTTATTCTGTCTCTCTGATCTTCCAGCGGATCCTGGCTTTGAAACACCTCCACGTCCTCTAGCACTTATTCCAAACCGTTGCCCTCTAAGTTCGCGTCTTTGTTGTTCTGACATTTGGCTTCTCATGTTTTGAGGAGCGGTAGGTATGTTTATCTTCTTTCTTGGTTCTTCCACCATCATTGGTTCCGGTGGGGTTTGTTCTGGAGTTGGTTCGACGCTTGTTTCAGAAACAACCTGTTGTGGTTGTGGTTGTGGTTGTGATTGTGGTTGAGGTTGCGGCTGTGGTTGGTCTCCTTGTTGTAGCTTCTGAATCTCCACTAGAACATCGTTAATGAAGGATGTATCCATAGGTATATCGGCAATGTCTTGTATTTCCGTGGCGATCTCATCATGGGGCTTGTTGCTGGCTAGCAAATACATCAAGTAATCAGCGATATCTTGTGCATCATCTTGAGATTTATCAAATCGCCTTTGAATTTCAGGTATTAAGATCAGTTTCAACCTTAATCCAAGTTCACTTTCTGGTACAAACAGCATGGCAAGTATATAAGAAGTTTACAGAAGGTGTTGTTGCTGACTTATGTTTTCGCCTCTTGATGAAGAAAAGAAATAATGAGAAAAAAAAATTCAAGATCTGCACGTGATCAATAATGTTACTACTTATGCAAGGTTATACTATACCAATACAAACTTTTCTTCAGCTATTTCTCCCAAAAGTTCTTTAATCTGGATGAGAATGCTATCAAGTCGTTGAGCAATGGTGGAAGCAACTAATATATACGAGTACAACAAAATAAAGTCAGTGTTTTTAAGATTCATGTCGTCATCAAGTATCAGTTTGTTTCTGATTTGGTTCAACTTATACAACATCCGATCTTTGGCATGTTCGATAGATGCTGGTTTACCAGGAACTGGGAACCCCAATCTCATTGCACTGGCAAGCATGTAGAACACCAAGAATATTCTGTGCTCAACTTCATTTCGCTCAAATTCAATATATTTTAGCACATATTTCTCATTCTCTGATAAAGTGGGATCAACTTTTATGAACAAATCTAGATTTTGGAACGCATCTAGAATGGCCGAGGTATCCCGAATCAATCTGGAATATTTACTGGTAGGGAACGACCCTTTCAATCTGTATTCTAAAGGTGCTTGCTTTAAAAGCACTTCACATTCTGCCAATAAACTGTTAGTGCCTTCTTCCGCTTTAAACCCAACCAACTTCATAGTCTGAGGATTGTACTCTAGAGGGTCACTGTTCCATATAACACCCAATCTCAACCATAATACCGTTAACCCACGTTTCAATCTCGCTCTGGCACTGTTGGGCAAGAACAAAGTAGCCATGGTCATGGCCCATACAATACCCACCGACACAGCCACAAATCTATGAAAGGCAATTTCTTCAATCAAGGGATTCTCACCACCTTCCCTATCATCCTCGGAATCCTTTTGAAGCATACTGTACGAGTACAATGCCGTCAAGTTGTATGCCAACAAGAGGAATCTTCCAAATGCACCATTCACTTTCCAGTAAAGAATGAAATAGAATGAGGGAATCGATATTAAAAATCCGGTTAGAGCCAAGGCATACACGTTGGCATCAGTGAGTGCCCATACGGCCAATGCAGTATAACACCCCACAAACGTACCAATAATTCTATACTTTACCGTCATGGCCGTCCCACCGACTGATTTATTCATCATGATACAGTAAATAGTAAGTGCCCATTCTCCTCTCCAAGTAATGAATATATCCTTCGTAGCATCCAAGTATGCAAAAAGTGATAGGAATGCGGCACCCAACCCGACTCGAATACCAAATTGTACGTCGGTTCTTCGAAACACTTTCAAGCTATTCCAAATCTTGTAACCGAAATCATGATTAGCTACACTGCTCCTGGTAGGATCTCTATACTGGTTTGTTCCAAACTCATCACGTAAATCATCCAATGCAGCGTGGAGACTATTCCCCTGGTCCAAGAGTTCATCAGTGGCACTGCCACGTGGTTCCCACCCATGCCATCTTAACCAGGGCCATTCCCGGGGACTTGCCTTGGCGTCCTCGTATTTCTCCGATAATTTAAGGAATTCTAGCAATTGTAATGCAAATTGAGATAACAAGTAGGAGTAATTTCCACAACAGGCCGCCACTTCTTCCTGATCTGCTATAAACACCGAGTTTGAGTTTTGTTTGAATATAGGCTGATCATATAGTCTCTGCAAGGATTCATTTTGTTTGTCTTCATAGAGATGGATTGCACTCTCTAATGAGTGCTGTAATGTTGTTGTCTTTGCAAACTGGCCTGGGTATTCTTCATTATATTTTTCAAAGGGAACTTCTGCCAATACGCCTCTGATAGTAAACACGAGTGATTTTATGGATGGTGAAAGATAGTATACGAAAAGATCAAATAGTTGTGCCGAAGTGTGTATTTCATTGGATGAAGTGTCTGGGGGTGTTGGTGTAACTGTGTCTAACAAGTCCACCGAGTCGGTAGGATCAAGGCTATCATCATTGGAAATAATATCGGTACCCGCATCAACCGGTTCGTGTAACAAATTCCATTGCATCTTGGTGGCTGCACTTAGAGCTTGCAAATGTCTTGCTAGGGAGATTGTAGAATCCACCATTTCCTTGAAAAGCCTAAACTCCTGTTCTCGTCCTAATAATCTTAACTCGTACTCGGCTTCTTCGAGGTTTTGCAATAATGAGTTGATGTTCGACTTTAACTTTTCAATCATTTCTGAATCTTTAGCTGAGATTTGTTCACCGGAAACAAATCGTTTACCAAGGATTGACAACACTGATGCAAATATATTATACGAATCGTTTAACGCAGATTGCAACTTATTTATGGCACTCACGGGCCATATCAAATAACAACATGCAACGGAAATCATACATCCTGAAAGAACAACCCGGAATATCGACTCAATTCTGTTCAAGGGAACCATTTCCGAATTCATACTTCCTTCTTTTATAATACAGGCAATGATTGAAATACATGCGAGGGAACACGCAGTATTAAATGTCAACTTATTAACTTTATGTTTCATGAATGCCACTATTCCCAATGCAATTGAGCTTACCAGTAAGTCCAAAAGCGTGCCAAACCCTTCTGCCCCAAGTTGGAATATCTCTGCTGCTACCGACCGGCATGCTAAGGACACAGCAAAACTGAATCCCACTGATAGCAATACAAACGTCAACGCTTGAAGCATGGATCCTTTGGATCGGGTAGGATGGAAATATACCACCACAGTAGCCACCACATGTTTGGAATCAGTGGTTCCTAAAAAGTCGTCAAATGGAGTATAATAGACCCCCAAGGATGATATGAAATATGCAATACAGCATTTAAGTACACTCCTAAATATAGGATCAAAATATATGTTTCGTATAGGTTTAAGCATATGTTCAGTTACCCATTGGTATCTATTTCTAGGACCTGCTTCACCTAGCAAAGGATCAGTTTCTCGTGGAAGTGTAGATTGACTGAGGGTGATTGTTCGATGGACACGTTCCCCCGTGCTGGCCAATATGACTGAGTTCATTCTATTAAGAAACTTTCGCGGTCCGGAGCTTGACGGGCGCCATTGGAAGGGGTATTCTTCGTTGTGAGTGTCGTTTTGAAATCGGATGTTGTCTGTGTTTTGGCTGTTATTTTGACTATAGCTTGGCGTACTGCTGTTTAAGTTGTTGTCGCTGTCGATTGAGTCTTGCAATTGATCCAGATAGTTAAACAGATCATCATCGGGTTGTTTTCCCGGCATGTTTGTCAATTGGTGTATACTTTGTAGAGGAATAACGATGATGTAATTTGTTTCTGCACTCGTAAATTTCATGTATCGCGCAAATCGTCAAACAAAACATCACCATGCAACAAACAAAGCATCACCTTAAAATGTGTCAAAACTAAGATATTACAGAATGTGTAATGCTATGTACAAATATTTACAGCTAATCTTCAAAGCCAATGATTTCTCTAAACAAATCCTCACAAGGAACAGTAGCGTTCAATCTTGCACAAAGCAAAAACACACCACTTAACTTTCTATGCAAGGAATATGTTTCTTCTGGTGGAGGAGTCAATCTTTCATTCAACATCAACCCAATGTTCCCCTTGACTCTATCAGTAATGGTTTGATCACGGAAGTTGAATGGAGTCCCTTTGTTGTCTACTGGCGAGAACGCTTCTCCAAGAACCATGACAGAATCAACATGAGCTTGAGTCATTTGTGGAGATTCCAATCCAGTTAAATATCCCAACTCACGCGAGATTTCCTCAACTCTCTTACGGTCTTTCTTGACAGCAACTCGTAACACAGAAACATACTTGGAAATGAACTCTTCGGGGAAGTCACGGGCAGCTCCGAAATCCAACAATTCAATCTTTTTCGTTTTGTCATTATACAAGAAATTAGCCCAATTAGGATCAGTCTGCATGAATTTAAACTTTTTAATTTCCAATAAGCATAATCTCATGATGTTAGTGGCTATCCAATCTTTAGTTTCTTGATCCCAGTCTCCCTTAACAATTTCCGTTCCCATCATTCTTTCCATGGTCAATACATGTTCTCCACACAAGCTATGGAAAACTTTAGGAACAGCAAATACAGGATCATCCTGCAACACTTCTCTAAACCTCACCAAATAATGGGCTTCTCTAATATAATCACACTCCCACTTCAATTCAACTCTAGCATTGGCAATGGTCTTATCCAAGAATAACCCGGCAGGTAAAAGGGAAGATGCAGTCAATAGCATGAGCAAATTATTCAAATCTGAGTCAATCGAATCAACAACACCAGGGTATTGAACCTTGACCACCACAGGAGTTAAATCATCGGTGATTGCACTATGAACCTGTCCAATAGAGGCTGCGGCAATAGGAACATCGTCAAAACTGGTGAACAAACGTTCACGCCAATTGTTACCTAAATCACCCTTCATTACTCGGTCAAGTTGTCCCAATGGCATATAATGAGCCGAATTCTGCACCCGTAATAAGATTTGTTGGATTTCCTTAGGTAAGACCGAAGAATCTTGGAAGGAAAGCATTTGACCAATCTTCAAGGCGGCTCCTCTCATTTGGGAAAACTTCTTGGCTAATCTTTCAATGTTCCCTGGGGATAACATAAGTCCCTTCATGGTGATATCCTTGGAGTTTCCAGCCATGTATCCCTTTATACCTTCTTTGGCAGCACCGTATCCCATACCGGCAGCCAAGGTTCCATAATGGAAAATACGGGCTAATCTAGAACTAGGAACCTCACTTTGGGACATTTGGAAACCTTTGGGTTTCTCTTTAGCTCCAATTACATTTGTATGCTCTTCTTCATGTTCTTCATGGCTTGGTTTGGTAGAGTATGCACGTTTTTGAGTTCCATCAAATGAAGTTCCTTTCTTGTTTAAACTAGAAGGAAATGGAGGTTGTGAAGTATTCACGTTGCTCTCGCTGTTTCTTTTGGATTGTGCCTTACGTTGAACTTCATCCCACATTGGTTTGGTGGAATCCCATTCTCGTATTGACTTGACCAAAGGGTATTGAGCAATATCACGTTCTAGAATTCTGATCGATCCACCAAGGACCTTGGAAAATGAACATGCTATTGCAGCTAGCTCAAACACGGTCTTTCTTTGTGACATTGAGGGATTGATTGGTTGTCAAAGCTAGTGTTTGCTGTGGTTGTAAATCTTTTTTTTTTTGTTCCCAAGATCTCTGTGGTGAACAAAAAATTAAGAGTTTGAATATACTATGAAAGACAACATCAATTAGTCGTCCAAGAGGAATCTGCAGAGATTCGGTGACATATCTAGGTAGGTGTAAAACTGACTTACTTTTGGTGCTTCACTGCTAGGATCAAGAATATGCAATCCGAAGGTCGGAACATTATGACAAATGTATACGAAATGTGCGGCTCGATAATTGCCTAAAATAGGGACGAGGCAAAGTAAGTACTCTACATGACAGTTATTCGTACTTGGATTGCATAAAGTGGAATGTCACCGCCTTGACTTTAGTGTGCTTCTTTGTTAAGTTTAGTCCTGGCATGAGTGTTTTAGACGAGGTTGTTTGACGCTGTTCTATGCGGTTTGCAGTAAGAATTGAAATCGCTTGTGACATTGGAGAGAGACAAAAAAGAACTCTATTACTGCATACGAGGTGCATAGTTGTATATTTGACGTTATAGACTGATCAATTTATTATAATTGTAATTATAATTATGTTTCATAAGTTTCTGTGCCCAGTTCATTCTCATATCCATTCGCATCATGAAAAAGTTTAAATTTTGCAGTAAAGGTTTGCGAAATTTATACAAAATGTTCACCACTTCGGAAATGCTTGGAATACTTAGAATACATGGACCAAATGAAATTACAAAAGAAGGAAGTGTTTCTCCGTTGCCACGGCATTCATAAATGCATTACGTAACAGACACTTAATTTGTGCGAGACAAAGAAAACGAAAATCAACCAGCAGATCTTTTTGTCTTTAGTTTGTTTTGAAAATTAAAAATAGTAACCGATAAAAATAATCGTTGTGCCTTTTTTTGACACACCACATTTTTTTTTTTACTAAGGCAAAAAATTTAACCTTAAAATTTCATCTGATAAGTAAGTGCCTCCCTGCCTCCTTTTTTTTGATTTGATCCAATCAATTGATTCAGTACAGGATACAGTAGAAGACCACTTGTGATTATTGCAGTCTCAGTTATTATATTCGCATTCACTAAAAACATATTCCCCACTTTTGCATTCCTAGTTCGTCTTTACCGAACCAACATTTCCAAATTAAGCTAAAAAAAATCCCAAGCAAGAATAGCCAGAAGTTTTTTTTGTTTACATACCGTCGTATATATATACAACATACACAGCATTTTATTACTATTCATTCATTTGTTTTAACTTCTAAGCTAGTATGACCACAGCTACACAATTGAAGAGAAGATCATTCATAGGAAGATCGCCCAAACAGCCCGTTGAAGAACCCACATTCAACCCTTACGAAGTGGCTAATCAGCAAACACATCGAAGAAACCCCCTGTTTCAACAATACAATGAGCCGAAAATTATCATCAGGGACGACCCCGTGATTCCCGACTATAAAGTCCAGGATGTGTTTGAAAAGCGTAGCAACTACAATATGAAGCTAGTCGTAGTTGGTGATGGTGGGTGCGGAAAGACATGTCTTTTAGTGAGTTATGCCCAACAGAAATTCCCCGAGATTTACGTGCCTACTGTGTTTGAGAATTACGTCACCACTGTGCAATCACCCAATGGCAAGACTATCGAATTGGCATTATGGGATACCGCCGGGCAAGAAGAATATGATAGATTGAGACCATTGAGTTATCCCGATGTCGATGTATTACTTATCTGCTTTTCGTTGGATAATATTGTTAGTTTGCATAATGTTAAGGAAATTTGGTTTCCAGAAGTCAACCACTTTTGTCCTGGGATCCCCATCATATTGGTTGGTACAAAAAGTGATTTACACAGTGACATTGATCCCGACGTACCTATACAATTAGCCACAGAAATAAATGCGGTAGGATACGTGCAATGTTCTGCCAAAACCATGTTCAACATCAAAACCGTGTTTAATTTTGCATTAAGTCATTTTCAAAGAAAAATGGAATTACAAGAACAATACGAACGAACTTCGAAAAATAGATTGTCGAAAGTGTTGGGAAATGGAGGAGGCAGCAATGGTGGTCATTATGCATCCCATTCAAGACAACATTCGTCAACCTCAAGACGAGGACATCTTAATAGTACTTCATTTGATTCCACGGCATTATTGGACCAACCATTGACTGAAGATAACTATACGAAAAACCCCTATGGAGACTTTGGTAATGACAATAGCAATAATGCGCCAACTTCCCCATATAATGATGATGAATTTGCATTCACCAGAAAGAATGCAAAGAAAAAGAGAAAGTGTATAATTTTGTAATGTGTTTTTGATATAGAGTTTTTTTTTAATATTGATGTAATTAGGCAAATAGCGCGTACCGCCTTGTTGTTTTTAGGGGAACGAAGAAAAATTGGAGTTGACCACTGAGGGTAAGACAAGGGAATGTTTGTGTGAGCAAAGTCAACTTTTTTTGTCAACGCAATATTTACCTAGGTCCAATGGAAGCAGGGACAATGACGTCTTCAGTTCGCGAACAAACAGTGAACAAGAGACGAGGAGACAAGCAATCCGAAGGAAAATCCAAGTCTAAATCACATGGATTGGCAGATGAAGCCGATCACACCGATGACGCTGGGAATCAATCAAATGACCACTATAAAGCCCGTCTCTCCCCATTCAGATACAGCCTAAGATCAAAACTATTACCTATAATCCGAGCCGAATCAAGTTATTTATACAGTTTACAAACGAAGTTACGACATCCAATTCTTGATTTTTATTTTGCGTGGACCGCCAACTTAGCCAGTCATACTTTTTACGTGTTGATGCTTCCACCACCTATCTGGTTTGGTGCTAGTGATTTATCTCGTGATCTAGTGTATGTGCTTGGATTGGGGATCTATTTCACAGGATTCCTCAAGGATTTCTTTTGTTTACCCAGACCAAGATCCCCACCATTACGCAGAATCACCATGTCGTCATACACCACACAAGAATACGGGTTCCCTTCATCCCATCTGGCAAATGCTACTGCTGTTACGCTTGTATTGATTTCTCGTCTTGTTAATTTAGATATTTCCCGCGGGGAATACTGGGCATTAATGTCGGGGTTGATTCTTTACTACTTTTCATTGATTTTCGGAAGATTATACTGTGGAATGCATGGATTTTTGGATATTTTCATCGGATCATCAGTGGGTGCTTCTTTATTTGCATTTAGACATTATTGGGGAAAGCAATGGGATGAATTCTTATTCAATAATGCACTCGGAGCTATTCCTAGTGCGATTATTATAATTGCGTTATTCATGTCATTCATTCATGTTCATTCTGAACCAGTTGACAATTGTCCATGTTTTGATGATTCCGTGGCATTTATCGGTGTCTTAATTGGTCTTGATTTGTCACATTTAGTTGCCTTCAAAACCCAGTATTTGGCTAATTTAAACTTACACAAGGATCCATTCCTACTTCCATTCGACAGCAGTCAAAGTCCATGGAAAACTGTTGTTCGATTTATATTAGGGGTAACCCTAGTAGTTATTTGGAAAACAATTTCCAAGCCGGTGATTTTTACAATCTTGCCACCAATTTATAAATTCATCGGGGTTAACTTGCCAAGAAAGAATTTCATCGCCACAGCTCATACCAAAGCGCCTACTCGAGCCATCCGATCCGCGTCAATTTCCAACGAAACCGGCGAAATCGGAGACATAAACACGTTCATCAAGGGAATAACTGCTCATAATCAACGAGATGAAGTTGGCCCTAGTACGGAAATAGATTACTTCGAAATGTTGGATTATAACAAAGAACATCATTTACAAGAGAAAGTGGAGGAAGTCGCCGGCGTGTTTAAACCACGATACGACGTGGAGATTATTGGGAGAGTTATCGTTTATGCTGGTGTTAGTACCACCGCTGTGTGGGGGCTTTTTATGGCTACCCAGTATGTCCCTGTATAGCTTAGGATTTAATTCATAGATTAAGTTTTAGTTAACTCCTACACTCTGTAGAAAAATGGTGCGATTTGCCAGCACCTGCCCCCCCCCCCCCTCTCTTTATCAGGGGAAACAAAAAAAATAAAATCTGACAGACAATTTGTCCCTGCAATTTCATATTTCAGACAGACACAAAAAAAAAAAAAATTGTCCGTTGTATTTACAACAAAACAAACAAAGGCAACCCCAATCTACGCTAAAACAAAAACATTAGATCTGTAGCTTGACGAATCAAGAGTTTGAATCAGGAGTTTTAAAAGTTGGATAGACGAGTCGTTCCATAAAGTTTCCGAGAGCGCAATACATACCTAGTCTAAAACGCAATCACCATCGGTTTTGTAATTCCTTTTCCAAGTGCCCAAAATCTCCAGTCGTGCTTGCAAATCTAATCGGTTGTAACTTGATTTAAGCGGCCCAACAGCAACAGGAGATCTAGGCTATAAACAACACTATAGATCTGACTTTGGTGTTTTCCGTGAGTATGCCCAGCTAAGAACCCCAACAACCTTGCCATTTTTTAAAAAAATATTAAGATAGATTAACCCGGCACGCATAAGATCAATCAAGAATTCTAATTTCACCGGTGTAAAATCAATCAATCGCAAATAATATCATGAACGACACGTATAGTAACGCCCAATCGACTCTGGCGATGTATTATAATACCACGGCGACGCCCACCGCGGGACGAACCCAACCTACTAACCAACCCAATACCAATACTAACCCCAGTGGAAACAGCAATGGACAAACCACGCTATCTAATCAAGCAATCAACGACATATACTCCCAACTCAACCAATTACATAATCAATTCAACACGTATCAAAACACAACAAATGAGAAATTCAACCAATTCAACCTAAAGCTAAACTACATTTACGAGTCTATGGAAGCAACCAAGAGAAATGTCAATGAATTATCACAGCAAGTCGTATACATTCTGCAAAATGTGTCATCATCTTATGGATTCGCGAACCAATTTAAAACCATTGAACTATTTGCCAAACACATTAATGACCTAAGCAAAGATCTCGATGAATTATCCCAAGCCGCAGGTGTACACCACCCCCAGAAATCAGTACATCCACAATTACAATCGCAACACCATTTAAATGTCCCCTCAGCTCATTCCACCACACCAAGCACAAACCCTGCGTCAGCAGCCACAAACACGGTACCGACAACACATTTCGATGATGAAGTCGATGATTTAAATCGACCTCAGCTTGGGAAATCTCTTGGGATTAGATCACCAGGAAATGCCTCAAACCCAACATCACCGTTCATACCGCCAAGATTTAACTTTGATTTAAACCCATTTGCATCGTCGAGGAATGGAAGCACATCTCAACAAACACGTCAACCACAACAGAACTTCCATGAACAACCCCATAAGAAAAAGAGAAGAAAAGAAAGCAAGAGCCAGGACAAGACAACTGAACTTCACCACCACCAACAAACAAATCCGACTCAGCAGCAGCAGCAGCAGCAGCAACAACAGGGTGCCATAGGTAATTATAATATGCTTCCGTTGCCCAATTTACTAGGCGAGGGCAACGCGCCTTCGAATAAACCAGGATCAGTAGCTGTACAATATATGTCAACCATTCCACCTTCCGAACTAAGACACACTAATCAATCCCGAACTTCATTCTTTGGAGATGATGATATTGATCATAATATAGATGAGTTGTCGGGTGATAATGGCGGGAACACCAATGCAGCTGGAACTGGCAGTGGTGGGACTACCGCAGGTACAGCTGGAAGTGACAGTACAACAGGAACAGCAGCAGTTACCACAGTATCCGCCCCAGGTGAACCAAATGATGATACAAGCTCGTCCAATGGAGACGACAAACCCTCGAAGAAGAGAAAACTGGACGAATCCAGCAAGGCCAACCTTTCCTTAGATATTCCGAAATACCGCTTAGAAAGAAGTCTCAAGTCAATCAGTGATATCTGGAAAGAATACGAATATGGTCTAAATGACAAACCACCGTTGAAACTATTAGAAATCAAGTATGGAACGAAATGGAGAAACGATACTGAATCACGTACCTTCCTTCGAAGAAAGAAAATTTATGATGCGATTGAAAATGGCAAAGCCAAAGGATACACTGAAGATCAAGTCATTCGGGAATTAGAAGAATACCGAAGTTATGATCGTAATGGAACAATCAAGAAGAAACCACTACTGTGGTTAAATGCAAACATGCCCGACAAGTATGACTCCTAAGTCGTTTTCGCAACCAAACAAATGTAACTATTTCTGCTTATGAAAAATCACGTGATTCCAATTTCCTAATTTAGACGAATCAAAAAAAAATTGTTGATGCTCATTGAAATTATTTCTAATGATGTTTATCGATTTGTATTATTGCTTATTTACAAGCTACTCCTTTTGCTATTACTACCACAAGTCCCCCGGTCTAGATTGTTGTATATTGCTATTTTGTAACTATATTGTACTTTTAAATAAATAACACATACCAGTAATGACTGAAGACGATAAGAAAAGACCAGCATCAGAAGTTGACGCAAAGCCAGTCACTCACCAACCAAAGAAGAAAGTACACAGACGGAAATACAAGACTAAGGAAGTGGATTCTACTTCTCCCCTCGGAGTTCTCCAATACGAAATTGAAGAAGTGTTGAAAGAACATAATCTCACCAAGGACAACATTTCCAATGATATGAAGTATGTCTTGAATGATCCTGATGCGGATGCAAAATACCACCGTATAGTTTCCAATGTCAAGATCTTAGCATTGATTTCCAATGGTGATGGGATATCTATCATCCCCCACCCTGAAGATTCCACTAAATCACAGATTGTTGTTGTTCCGTTTGGATTACCAGGCGACATAGGCACCATCAAAGTGTTCAAGACCCACCCGTTATATGTTGAATCCGATTTGCTTTCGATCGAGACCCCTTCCCCTGTACGTAAAGACTCATTAATCAACTGTAAATACTTTGGAAAGTGCTCGGGATGTCAATATCAAAATGTGGAGTATGATCAGCAGTTGAAATTCAAACGACAAACTATCATCAATGCATACAAATACTTTGCTCCTAAGTTGAATGAACTTGGAGGATTGCCTAATGTCGATAACACCGAGGCATCACCATTGCAATATGGTTATCGTACTAAATTGACACCTCATTTCAATGTTCCATTTAGCAAAAAGGAGTTGGAATATAGACCTAACGTAGGATTTGGTGCCAAGGGTAGACCAACATGGAGAAAAGATGGCGAGTTTGGTCCAGATGGGTCTATTTTGGATATTGAGGAGTGTTTAATCGGAACTGCTATAATTAATACAGGTATGAAGAATGAACGAAGGAAATTTGAAGGGGAGTTTAAAAAGTATAAGAAAGGAGCTACCATTTTACTTAGGGAGGATACCAAAGTCGTGCATAATGATGAAGAGGTTAAATTAGGAGAAGGATCAGTTGATGAAAATGGAGTTGTTTCACATTTGGAAGTTAGTGTTGAAGAAGAAAATACCAAATTAGTCAAGACTTGTGTAACCAATACCAGACAAATCGTGAAAGAGTATATTAATGGGTACACATTTGAATTCTCCGCTGGTGAATTCTTTCAAAACAACAATTCTATCTTACCAATTGTCACAAACTACGTGAAATCAAACCTTTCCATCCCCAACTCCACTCCAGACCAACGTAATTATTTGGTAGATGCATATTGTGGATCTGGATTGTTTTCAATAACTTGTTCCAAAAATGTTTCTAAAGTCATTGGGGTTGAAGTTTCAGCCGACTCTGTCAAATTTGCTGAACGTAATGCTCAAGCTAATAATATCGAAAATGCAAAATTTATAGTTGGTAAAGCCGAAGAAATATTTGCCAATATTGACACCCCAGCTGACAGAACATCTGTGATTTTGGACCCTCCAAGAAAAGGATGTGATGATGTATTCTTGAATCAATTGTCCCTGTACCATCCCGCAAAAATCGTGTATATCAGTTGTAACGTCCATTCTCAAGCACGTGATGTTGAATGGTTCATTAATAATACCGAGCATGGTAAAGATTACTATGTTGAGAGTATAAGAGGATTTGATTTCTTTCCTCAAACACACCATGTTGAAAGTGTTGCTGTATTAGCATTGAAATAGAAATGGCTGCAAATAGACATATCCGATCCGGATTAATCCAACGTAAATATCACGCATTTTTTATTGTCAAACCGCATTGTAGAACATGTATGTGCAAAGATGCAGTCATAACGTCAGATTCTGCATAGTTTATAACTAAGGCGGAATTACATATCTCTGTCGCCTATTAATACATTATTTAACATAGCTCTTGCTTTTTCGCAGACAAACGATTTCACAGTGGTCACGTGCAATAGGGTTACAACCCTAGAAGAGAAATATCTCATGCTGAGAAATAATTTACGAGCGCTAACATTTTTTTTTCTTTTGGTGACCAAAATCCTCTTAACTATGTGCCTGCACAGAACCAACAGACTGGATGGGTCGCTCAGGAAAATGAAAATTTTAAAGAAAAAAAAAGTTTATCAACTTTCATAACATAGTGTATTCTCTTGATACTATACTAATAATAAACAAGCCAAAATGGAAAACGATAAAGGTCAATTAGTATGTAAGGATCCTCGATGTGAATATGAAGAATATGCGAAGGAACAAGTTATTCACCTGTTGAAATGTTGAACTTTTGAAAGTTTGAATCAAGAAGATATTAGTGAAAGAGCAACATAAACTGTACTGTGAATTTTTCAACCACAAGTCACCACCACAACTAAAGCAAAAAGAACGATTTGGAAGATTTGATAAACGTAAACCTGTAAGAAGTTCCAGGTTGACCGTAGTCATTGGAGAAAAGATGTCCAAAGTCATCATCAACATCATTGCAGGAACTATGGACTCTGAGAAGAATCCAAACCTTACGAATCAGCAAGCCAGATTCAGGCCAGCCAAATTACATCTACAGTTTGAATTATCAATAATATTTGTTTTATTTATAATGGAGCTACACATAATGTCAGGTTCAACTAATTTGCATATTCCTCAAATTTGTTTTTTTTTTTTGCAATGAGAGGCATAGTACTAACATACGATATAGGTTGAATTATACGTCCCAAGAAAGTGTTCTGCTACCAACAGAATTATCAAAGCTAAGGACCATGCTTCTGTCCAAATCAGCATTGCTAACGTTGATGCTGAAGGTAGAGCCATCCAAGGTTCCAACACCACCTACGCTTTATCCGGTTACATCAGAGGTAGAGGTGAAGCTGATGACTCTTTAAACAGATTGGCTCAACAAGATGGTTTATTAAAGAACGTCTGGTCTTACTCCCGTTAAGAGTGTAATTAGGTATATGTGCATATATATTAATTTATAAAAAACAAAGTTCTTCAGGTGTGTGTATATTTAATGTTCATGTAATAAACAATTAGTCTAAGAATGTACAGATGTGTGCAGGTTGTAAAGAATATTACGAAATAGTATAATTGTCGGATCAAATTGGCATTCGATCTCTACATAGTACGGCAGATCATACGAGAGAAGCGGAGTAGGCTTATGTTTCAATCAACAACAATGCAACACTGCTTAAAAAAGAAGAGAGCAAATTCCACCTGATGATGGTTTTGAGTTGTTCTTTGGTTCCTTTAGTTTATAGAGTTGTACGTAAATCTATACAGGCGATATTAAATCCGATTATTATGAATCCTAAGTGAAACTGTTTTATTATTTGACATTGAGTTTTTCTTGAAATCAATTAATATTTTACGCTGTTCCATTGTTCCATATTTGGATTTTAGATTTTTAGGGTTTTGCATTGCTGTAACTCCTAATATAGTTTAACCCCCAGCACAGGGTGGTGCAGAGACATCCGCGCAAGCCCGTAACGAAATATAATTCAGTATTCATACACAATTGTACATTTGTAAATCAGTTAAGCCAAGAATAATTAGATAATTCGTTAAAGTTTATCTAAACGACCTTTTACCAGTAGGGGCACATGGTTTGTGCCCGCTTAATGTCGTTGTTACATTGAAAATGTGTAAATGTGTGAATGTGTAATTTTTTATTTTGCGCTAAAAAAGACTAAAAAATATTCAATTTCTGTTCCTAATTAGGCAGAAGGCTAAACCGAGACAGCACTTAATTGAATAATAACATGCATGAAATGTAAACAAATCATCTAGACAGACAAATTAAATCACCACAGTAAATAGACAACCCTCACCTTGTATAAAACGCCCACCACCTGCCCCCCCTTGAAAAAAAATTTAAAACCATTTAATCCATTTCACTTTTCTTCTTTTTCTGCAAGTTACTGCAACGAGCTTATCGTAGGGAAAAAGTTTAAATTTTGTTTTTTTTTCTTCAGTCAGTCAGACTTTTTTCTTCTGTGGATTTTTTATTTTTTTAATTTCCGTTGGTTCTTGTTTTGCAACTGGTGGGCTTTCTATTTTCGGATTACCATTAACCCACGCAAAAGTTCATTATATCATCAAACAACACCAGCACCCACCACACACAAAAAAAATCACACATTTACACATACAATTTTCAATATAAATTCTTTACATTTGGTTTTAGTTTCCACCTGTTGATCTCAATTGCTGCTTTCGCTGACATCTGCTTCTGTACCTTCCACAATCGTTACAATCATTTTACCCCTTTTACTGTTACTACCCCAACCACAACCCCAACCCCCCCTCCCCTTATACACATTTTTTAAGTGGACAAAATAAATTTATCAGAAACAACGAAACTAATGACCCAGGCTATATTCACTCTTTTGTATAACCCCAGTTATCTTGCCGGGGCCTTGGTCTTAGGATCTACTTTAAAGAAACTCATTCAAAAACAAGAAGATGGTCTGGAACTTAAACTTGGAATTTTGATTGACAAGAAGAATTTCACCTCCCACCACTTGGCATTATTATCTAAATACTATGATGATTTGGTTGATGTTGACCCCTTGGAGTCCAAAATCACCGATAAGTTATACCACGATTTGAAAAGACCAGAATTGGGCAAAACATTCACCAAGGTCAAACTTTGGTCCTTGATTCAATATGAAAAAATCTTGTATTTGGATTCAGATACTTTGCCAATTGTCCCCACCGGTGATCAAGGCAGTGTAATTGATTTGTTAAAGTTGGATTTTGCTAAAAACAAAATCTTAGCTGCTCCAGATAGCGGGTTTCCTGACATTTTCAACTCGGGTGTATTTGTATTGAAACCAAATTTAGATGACTATTCTAAATTAGATGCATTAGTGCAAGAATCCGCCATAAACCCAAATGTGTCCTTTGATGGTGCTGATCAAGGTTTATTGAATCAGTATTTTAACACTCAACCAGATTGGGTTCAAAGTTTACTCAAAGCAGGGAAATCCAACATTCAGCAAGCAGAATCCACTGCAGAAACCAATTGGGTGAAAATTCCATTTTTGTATAATGTGACTCCAAGTGCCCAATACGAATATTTACCAGCATACAAGCATTTCTCCACTTCTCCAGAATACCCTGGTGCACCAACACCAGGTCCATTGGAAGCTGAATTAGGTGAAGGTGGTCAAGATCAAGATAAACACGATGAAGAAGTTGTCAGATCAACTTTTGAAACATTGAGCCGCTATCATTCCACTGCTGTCACTTATATCAACTACTCCACTACCCAAGTTAAAGTGATCCATTTCATTGGTCCTTACAAGCCATGGAGATCAAGCTCTACTGTGAGTGGTATTCATAGAGATTGGTGGAATATCTGGATTCAAGAATTTGGTGAGCGTAGTATTCAGGAAGTCATTAGTCCTCCTGCCAGTGAAGCATTTGTTTACGAAGAACCAGAACAAGTTTATCATCATGAAGAAAGTTGGGATGTTCCTCATCCACCACCACCTCCACCACCTGAACCAGTTTATGTACCAGAACCAGAGCCCATTGATCATTCTCAACCTCAGTCATTATTGGATCCAGCTAATTATCAGCAATTTGAAGATAATATCAAACCTAGTGTTGATGCCATGTGGGATCCAACTAAAGAAGCACCTCCCGTACATGAGTACCATTTTGATGGTAGCCATGAAATGGAGCATGGTATGAGATCGTTTACCAATGTCTGGGATGAACCATATCACGAGCCAGAACACCACCATGAGGAGCATCACCACCACCATCACCATGAAGAACCTCAATGGCACCACCACGAAGAGCATCATCACCATGAAGAGCATCACCATGAAGAGCCTCAATGGCATCATCATGAGGAACATCACCATGAGGAACCTCAATATCACCACCATGAAGAACATCATTACGAAGAGCCACACCATGAGGAACCTCAATATCACCACCATGAAGAACATCATTACGAAGAGCCACACCATGAAGAATATCATGAGCCACACCACGAAGAGCATCATCACCACGAAGAACACCACGAAGAACATCATGAAGAACCCCAGTATGAAGCTCCAGTCCCAGTGTACGATCATCATTACGCTCAACCAGAAAGAGTATTTGACACTAAATACGACTACTTCCCTACTCACGTATTACAACAACTTGACAAGAGTACTTCCACTGAAGAACCAAGATCACTTTCTTCCCCAAGTGCAGAATCCAGTGATAACGCAGCAACTAACTTTATCAATTTTGCTGAAGTGAATCAAGAACTTCAAAGATCGGGTGTCATTGATGAAGATGATTTCGAAGAAGACTATGGAGAATTGGAAGAAGAACTTCCAGAAGAAGAGGAATACGAAGAGGAGATTGAAGAAGATTATAATGTTCCTAAGTTGTTCCCATGGGAGTTCAGACCTGCCTACAGAGCAGAAAGAGTGTTTGACTAGTTTGGTTTGTTGTTTTTGTTGTTTATTTTTTGCTTTCTTAATACTGTCATTTTGATTTAGTTCAGTTCAAGACTTTAGATAAAACGTTGATTTTTTCATATTTTTTCCATAACTGTTTTTAGAAGACTTTGCATGAAACTTATATATACTTTTCTAGATGTACTTTTGTACAATAGACGAATAAGGTTTACTATAAACTGTAGGTTGTTTCATTAGATTCATGTAAGTTGCTGCGACTGCGAAAATGGATCGACATGCAGCAACAATGGGCACCACGTGACTCGATCTCCGTTGAGATGTGGTTACCCGGAATTCCGTGATCCAATGTGTAGGAGAAAAAATTTTAATTTTTTTTTCACTCGTTGCCCTTCCCTTTTTCATATCACCACACCCTTTTATACATACACTAATTGTTAGTATAAACCCACACAATGGCTTCTGAAGGAATTACTGAAATCGACGCTGGTTTGATTGAAACCAACTACGACAATGTCGTCTACAAGTTTGATGACTTAAACTTGAAACCAAATATCGTTAGAGGTATTTTTGGTTATGGTTACGAATCTCCATCTTCTATTCAACAAAGAGCTATCTTGCCAATTACTGAAGGTAGAGATGTCTTGGCCCAAGCCCAATCTGGTACTGGTAAGACTGCCACTTTCACCATTGCTGCTTTGCAAAGAATTGACGAAAATGAAAAGGCCACCCAAGCCTTGATTTTAGCCCCAACTAGAGAATTGGCTTTACAAATCAAGAATGTCATCACCTCTATTGGTTTATACTTGAAGGTGACTGTCCATGCTTCCATTGGTGGTACTTCTATGTCTGACGATATCGAAGCCTTCAAGTCTGGTGTTCAAATTGTTGTTGGTACTCCAGGTAGAGTTTATGACATGATTGAAAGAAGATACTTCAGAACCGACAAGGTTAAGATGTTTATCTTGGATGAAGCCGATGAAATGTTGTCTTCTGGTTTCAAGGAACAAATTTACAACATTTTCCGTTTATTACCTGAAACTACCCAAGTTGTTTTGTTATCTGCCACCATGCCACAAGATGTCTTGGAAGTCACCACTAAATTCATGAACAACCCAGTTAGAATCTTGGTCAAGAAGGATGAATTGACTTTAGAAGGTATTAAGCAATTCTACGTTAACGTTGAACAAGAAGAATACAAGTTTGACTGTTTGGTTGATTTGTACGATTCTATTTCTGTTACCCAAGCCGTTATTTTCTGTAACACCAGATCCAAGGTTGAATTTTTGACCAACAAATTAAAGGAAAACAAGTTCACCGTTTCTGCCATCCACGCTGATTTGCCACAAGCTGACAGAGACACCATCATGAAGGAATTCAGATCCGGATCTTCCAGAATCTTGATCTCTACTGATTTGTTAGCTAGAGGTATTGATGTCCAACAAGTTTCCTTGGTTATCAACTACGACTTGCCAGCCAACAAGGAAAACTACATTCACAGAATTGGTAGAGGTGGTCGTTTCGGTAGAAAGGGTATTGCTATCAACTTTGTCACTGACAGAGATGTCGGTATGATGAGAGATATCGAAAAGTTCTACTCTACTCAAATCGAAGAAATGCCAGCCGATGTCGGTAGTTTGTTCGGTTACTCTGAGTAAATGTGTTTATTCTCCCTTTGTTTTAGTTAATCTTTATCATATTCTATATATTATTTGAAAGAACAAAAATCTCTTTAAGTTGGCTGTGTAGGAGACAAAGACCCTCCTTAATTTTTTTCTGGTACTGTAAAAACTGCAACTGCCCCACGCATTTTAATCCGAAGGCGCAATTAGCACCAGATCATCAGCAACAACAGTAGCAACAGCAACAGCAACATGAATCATTCAATGCCGGGATCATTTCCTGGTTCATATGGGTCTACTCTGTATCAACCCAGGCAGCTACAGAAAGCCACCACGAACGAACGACTAGCCAGTCAACTCACACAATCAACAGAAATGACCAGATTCTTCAACACCACCTACATAAACACCAAAACCAAAGCCCAGCATCACTTGATTGGCCAACTAGGCTTGATAGTCTACGTACTTGCATTCTATCAATATGTAAAGTACTGTCATTCAGCCGCATTGATACCGTTATTGTTTCATTGCATTTATCAAGTAGTACTCTCGATTGAAATACTTACAAATGCTAATCTACAAGTGATTAGACATTTGCTTCTGGATACTACAGAACCGGAAGAGCAACAATTTGTCTTGAACAACCGAATGCGATTTGTTTGTCGCATGTTATATACGAAATGTTTGTTTGTGTTGTTGTACCACATTTTATTTGTGTGTAGTTGGATGGTGTCCATTGTGAACCGGGGCCAGTTGCAGGAGTTGACCTATGGAACTTGGTGGGTTGTTTCGTTCATAGGCGAGGAAGTTCCGGATATACTGCCGGAAGTTCCATACCATGAAAAATTATTGAAGCTAGGATTGATTCAGTTGTTGTTTATCGATTTGATTGTGTTATTTCTTGAATTAGTAATGTTTCAGTGTATTTATAAGCAGTCTCCCATACTTAAAATAGAGAGGAGATTAAATGAGCAAGAGATTTACTGTGTGAGACAGAGTACTAGTCCGAATATTAGTGTGAATGAAGAAGATGTAAGTCAAGAGGATGTACCTACGGTGTTGAAAGTTAAGTTATACCAATGTTTTAAACGGGAAGGATATTTGGATGTTATAGGGCAGTAGTAATAGAATAATACAAAGTCATTGTGTAATTTATTGTGCGTTGTGACGCGTGTTACACATTAAAAAAAAAAAAGAATGAAATTTCGTGTTTCTCTAGTCCCACTATTCTTCTTCTTCTTCTTCAGCATAGTTTGCAGACAAAATGACCACCCAAATTGAACAAATAGCCAAGAAGCAAAAGATCGTCACTGACACCTTGCGTGTTTTCTTACGTTCTCCAAAAGCCAAATTGCCAACTAAAGGTTCCGCTTTGGCTGCTGGTTATGACATCTATTCTTCTGAATCAGCCGTCATCCCTGCACATGGTCAAGGTTTAGTAAGCACTGACATTTCCGTGGTTGTCCCTATTGGAACCTACGGTAGAGTCGCTCCAAGATCAGGTTTAGCCGTCAAGCACGGTATTTCAACTGGTGCTGGTGTCATTGACGCTGACTACAGAGGTGAAGTCAAGGTTGTCTTGTTTAACCATTCCGATAAGGATTTCCCAATTAATGCTGGTGATAGAATTGCTCAATTAGTATTGGAAAAAATCATCAATGCTGACATTGAAGAAATTACTGCCGAACAATTGGACAGTACTGAAAGAGGTGAAGGTGGGTTTGGATCTACTGGTAAGAACTAGACAAAAGGGTTGTATATTTAATATAGTTACTTACATGGAATTGAAATAAATAAAAAATGCTTTAATATAAAACTATTGCTGCTTTTCTTTGGACTTCTCCTTCTCTTTCGAATCCTCTTTCTGCTCATCTTCTTCAATCTTCATACCATCAGTGGCGGTATCTTCATACTCATCCAACTTGATGTCATCCTTGACTTGATAAACAATACCCTTTTCACGCAAGTTTTCTTCTTCAATCAACTCACTTTGTTCCTTCAACATGTTCAATTTCAATTTAGAGTCATCAGATAATTCCAATTTAGCAACATTATACACTTCATCTGGGATGGAAGACAATACTGCCAACAATGCATCATAGTAACTATCAAGACTGCTTGATTTATCACCATAAGTGTAAGCACAAGACAAAATCAACAAGGTTGATGGAATCTTTTTTCTTAATCTTAAATCTAACCAAGTTTCCAAATCTTCTCTTAATTTTGCTGGAGATACGTCGCTGGTCTTGATACCTCTTTGCAGACATGCCATGTGCAATTCAGGGATAGTCAAACTGTCAACACCTTCATAATCAATAGCTTTGTCATCCTTGATAATAGTCAATAGTCTATGTCTGATTTGGTAACGCAAAATAGCATCAGTACCAAATGGTCGTAACGACATATACTTGGCCATAGCGGCTAATTGCGGACGAGATAAGTTATCCAAGACATTATCATTCTTGAACAATCTAGCAACTTGGATCAATTCTTCACTGGTTGGTTTCTTACCAATGGAGATTCCATCGAAAAACGACACAAACGCTTCTCTTTCCTTGTCGGTAATACGCTTGGAAAGCTTGAGTCCTGATTGGGCCACGGTTTGCTTGATGTATTCCGAAGCACTGGTTCTGGCCTTCTTCAATTTGTTCTTCTTCTTTTGACGATCCACATTAGATTCATAAGTGGAAGGCAACAAGTTTGGGAAGAGCTTCAATGCGACCGGCAACAAAAGTTCAGCAAATGGAATAATGACAAACATGGAGAACGGAACTAATCTAGCTACATCGACAATAGTTCTTTGTAATTGATTAGATTCTCTTCGGGATAAACCATACCCGGACATCATCTTCAACATTAACTTGGTAGAGACTTTTATTTCATATCCTAAAAGTTTAGTACCGTGCCAGTAATGTTGAGCTTCATGTTTTATTTTTTCCCATAATGAAGGTTTTGGTTCTTCCTCCTTGACAATCACTTCGGTACGTTTATTTTCTGGCACTTCACCGGTCTTAACCTGTTCTCCTTTTTTTGCAGGTTTTTCCTCCGCTTTTTTTTGTTCCGGTTGTTTTGTCGATTGAAATCTGACGGAATGTATTAAGGCAAAATTGACAGTGTTTTTATTGACATTCAGATGCAACTGAGGTCTTAATGGATATTTCGTGTTACCGATTACCGCCAGTTTGAGCACTAGATTTCTTGTGCTGGTCAATATTATGTCATTGGAGAATCGTCCAATAGATCTGGTTCTAAAGAATGGTGATATCATTATTCCACGGGTTCACTCTCTTGGTGGCAAAAATATTCGGATGGCCTATTATCTATATGAATTGGTGCAATGCTGTAGGTTTGTAGTAAAGTGTGCTCTCTTTCAAGGTAGCCCACTATGTATATATCCAGCAATTGAAGAAAAGGAAGAAGAGGTGAGAAATAACGTTGCTAGATCTGTTGAAAGAAGAAAAGAAAAAAACCCAGAAGGTGAAAATTAAGTTGCCCTTGGAATGAGATTTCGCAGAAAATGCATCGGCGCCACTGGGCCAGCGGTTCAAGACAAACAAGGAGAGGAAAAACAAATGCCAGTGCCACCCAGCACACGCAAAAAAACAAAAAAAAATAAAGGGATCTGCTTCGCTCGGCCCGTTTGTGTGGGGTGCAATTATTACTAACAAGCTATATATTCTATTGATATTATATTTTCCTACCAATCTAATCTAGTTGTAAATTCAAAAAAAAAAGTTAGAGTAATAAACCTAGAAGTAGAAAATGTGGCTCCAAGTATGAAGCTAGTACCAGTAAAATAAAAAAAAAGTCTTCAGCTCATATAAAAGATGAAGAAATTTCTGGTTCAAAATAGGTATTTCCCCTTACCCAAATCTTTTTACTGTGCACCCAAACAATAAACTCCAATTAACTACTAATTTTGTTTCGTTAACATAATGTCTTCAACTTTCTTTTTTATTATATTACTTGTATGTTGACATATAGTATTAGTTAAGTAACTATAGGAGTATGCAGTACACGCGGACGAAAAACTTATCCGAAGTTCCGAGAAGTCACTCCAGTAACGATAAATGATTCGTCTATTGTTTTCCAGCATGTGTCGTATACCTCTGGAAAATATCATCGCACTTGACATTGCATGTCTTGTCGTACATCGGCACGTTGTGGAAACCAGAGGTGAAATTGTCTCCGGATTTTTCGGAGGTTTATTGGCGAGCTTCTCGGGGATAAGAATAGGATTCTCCGCGCTGTGGTAAGTTGGGGTGAATCTACTTTTAACATAATACACTAAACATAAAGAACTCACCCAGATTAAGGTGTTTGAATATAGTTTACTTATAGATATCTAATTCTAACCTATCTGTACAAGACGACTCTTACTCTTCACCTAAACTTTGAACAGTACCTTGATTAATAGCATCTCCATTAACACCCACAAGTACAATCTTTTCCACAACTGTATGGAAATCTTCATCATCACCATCTAAGAAAACACACAAGTTTTGGACATTTTGAAACCTAACAAATTTTAACTTAAATTCATACCAGTCATCCTTGATTTTGTCTACATCCACTGATTCAGAATGGGCTGCATTACCGTTTGATGCTTCATCAAATGAAATAATTGATTGGACATTTGGCCAGATTTTAACAATGTTGGGTATTTGACTTTCTGATTGCAAATCTTCTTTATCAATTTTTAACCCTTCAGTAGAGTACTTTTCCCCCTTCTTTAATTTAAATAAAATTGAATATACTTTACAAATATTCAATAACGGAATAAAGAAAATCATTTGTGAATCGGCATCAGACCAAACACCACTGATTTCATTGTCAATCTTGAGAATGTCCTTTACTTCACCTTCGTACAACTTCATTGAATTCAACGCTTCAAAATTTCCAAAGTCAATGGCGGTGTTCAATAAAGTGTACCCCTTAGGAATAAACTGCTTGACTTCCTTACCAGCACCAGGTTCTAATACACTAACAGACGAGCCTCCACTACGTTTCGCGCCCTGCAGCACAGCTTTGGTGTTTAAGGTGTTAAGTTGGGAAGTCACAGCGTTGATATTTGCACCTGTAACCCTGCTTATTTCCTTCTTATCTTCAAAGAACACGAATGTTGGCACTGCAGTAATGGTATATCTACTTGCCAATTCTTTCTGGGCATCAAGATCAACACGAACAATCTCGACCCCGGTATATTCTTCATTCTCGTAAAATTGGTCAATTATCGGTTTTATAGCCTGGCACGGGCCACACCAACTTGCGGTAAAATTAGCAACCAAATACTTGTTAGAAGACAAGTATGCATCGAAATCACTAGTGGATTTCACGAACTGAATTGACATAGCGGTGGAATGTTTTGGGGAAAGTAGACGAGTGAGTTGGAGGCAACGGAATTTTTTTGATTTATCAGCACTAGAAAAAAGCGGGATTCTTGCAACACACACTCCTGTTATTGCTTATCCAACTACACAATTATGTCCCAGCCTGGTGCTACTCGTCTTGCATCGGGTAATTCGGTGGCTTCACAACTACGACTATCACGAGTGACGACACCTGACCTGACACTCCACAGACAACCATCGAAAAATTCGCCTAAATCTAAGCATGACCCAGAGCAAGAACAACAGTACAACGATGTCAAACCCAGAAAGAAACACGGTGCTGGTTTTGACTTGGACATTACTGTGGAAGAAGTCATCCAAAACAAACGTACCCCTTTGACACCCACGCAAACTCCGTCCCACGATATATCCAAGGATGAACTCAAAAAGGCCAGTGAATTGACACACTTGTTCTTAGATACCAGAAACACCCTCAGGGCCGACTGTAATATCATCGATCCAGTGACTTCGGACTTACCCTCTAGTCCGCAAGAAATGAGTCCAAGTAAGTTCTCCCGAAGCACGATTGTTCGGGCCGAGAAGGTCAAAACCATGATTGGAATGAAGTATCTCTATATCCAACGAATCTACGAATGGAATGACGCACATGGCATGAACACGGAACATCCTGGTATAGAAGGAGTCTATAACCCGTTGCAGATTTTAAGAAACCGAAAGATCCGTGCCAAATATAAGGAGTTTCCTAAACCACTTTCATCCAAGACTATCCCGCTTGCATGTATCGTATTCAGCAAACACAACCAAGGACATCATCGGAAACGAACATGGAGAATGGTATGGGCTATTGAATTAAATGAATTCGTTAGTGATTCTCGATGGAGAGCAAGACATTGGCACGAATTGGAGAAACCAAATGGAGAACTCTGGTTCCCACCCGAAGACCACGTCCCACAACCCAAGAGTAAACGTAAGAAACTTAGACGATTACATGACAAGTTGTTTGATTCAGTAAGTGACTATGAGGATAAAAAGTCGACCCATCGGAGGAATGAATCTGTTGTTACGGCTGGTAGTTCCGATAGTGAATTAAACATGTTGAAAATCCATCGGTCGAAATCACCAAAGAAAAAACTCCGTAATAAGATGAAGAAGTTTTATGAACGGGACTCGTCTTCTTCGGCCGCAGATATTGAAGAAGTTTCTGACCACCATGAAATCCTAAATACACAAATGTTCAGACGAGTCGTTCATTCGGAATCTAGTTCCGATGTGGCAGCTCCCGATGATCCTAAGTTAGCTAGCATATCACCGCCGATAATCAAAATTGAAGCATTGCCCGATGAATCCATCCAGGATGTGGAATTCGTTCCTTCCAAGCGGTCAAGTTCCCTGCCTGCTCTTATCCCTAGTGATTTAGAAGAAGAGGAAGAGGAAGACGTATCAACAAACAGTGTACCCCTGGAAGAACTGCCAGAATTGATGTGCACGGTTGATCAACGAGAACATGCATTCTCCAAGATCGTAAGCAGTGTGGATTACTTGTATGAAGTGTGTGTACTTAGAACAAACCACTTGCTTGTGACATACCCCAATAATCTTCAAGTAATTCAAAATAAGGTGGATAGTATCACCGGTAAGCAAACATTTGACATACTTCGACAAATGTCAAGCATTAATGATGAACATTTACCTGTTTACGAAGAATTATACCATGGATTCTTGGACGAAATCAAGTCGATTATACACATGGTTAATGATAACTATTCGGTCAAGATTGACAGTTTGTTGAGCAGCAGTGATCGAGCAATCAGTGAAATCAATGCTTCGCTTTCATTAGAATTACGTAAAGTCAATGAGCGATTGGATCATCTTGACGAATCATTCCTGAAGAAAACAATCCGACCATCAGATCTCAAGATGAACATGAAAGAAGGAACAAACTATAAGATCATGTATTTCTGTCTTGAAAACCTCATTGTCATTCTATTAAGGCTAATATGGGTATTGGTGAATATTTTCAAAGGGGGAGTAATGGTTGTAGGAGTGGTGTACAAGATAATTCGTTTATTTATTTAAGTTATTTAACTCTAGCAATAAATTATTGGCATTTATGAAGTACTCATAATTGGAATTAGGAGCGAAACTAAGTGATTCACTGGATGCTCTGTCCACCAATGTAAATAATGATTCAACGTCTTCGCGGTCGTCCACTTGATAGTCGTATGGGACATAATGATCACCCGAGTCGATCATGACCCCGAGAATTTGATCTCTTACTTCACTGTCTAACACCAGTTTCAAGGTAATCAACTTGGTTTCGTAATCATCATTGGAAACTCTACCAATGTCTAGCAACAACTTAACCGTCTTACCTTGTAGATTCTTGTAAGAATTGACTTTAGCAACAAGTTCAGTAATGTCATCGCCAAGCGGTAAAATCACAAAAGTGTCACTGTTCCCCGTAGTACCCACGACAGCGACTGTACCGTATTTAGTAATACTCAAGAACTGGTGTGGTTGCAGGGTAGCATACATTGAATCAAGACACGAAGTCAATTTGTGATCCAACATATCTGACTTTTCACCGGCACTGAACCCAACGGCGTACGATGAGCCCGAGGCTAATTCTCTATGTAGCTGAGATTCAATGAGAGTTGGCCCCACTATACCCATACTGTAAAAATCAGCAAGGTATTGTGGTGTCAATGTGTCGACGAATTCGGAAACTAATGGGGCATATTGGGATAATTCACGAAGGAGGGAACGACATTTGGGTATACCCTTGTCGATTTCGAATGTTCTTATGCTTTGCGACTGTGGTGATGTGTATGCGTGGTTGTACATTGTAAGATTGGTTCTCAAGGCTAAATGCAAGTTGGATAACTCAGCTGGGTCATGAAAGATTGACTTTATCTCAGAAGGCAAGTAGTCTGAGCTGGTTATTGAATTGCCCTGTTTCAAACTGAGGTATTGGGCACATGCCTTGATTTGATTGGTGTCTTTGATATGCGAGGGCCCAGTAATGACCAACAATGGCTTTTTTCCATCTGACAAAAGGGAGTTCACATTAGTTCTATCATTAAAAATCTTGTTTTGCAATTGAGGAGTAATGGGGTACAATACCTTTTGCATTACCTCCGGTTGTGGAATTGGGATGTTTCCCTTGTTAGTTGTATTGCTGGACTTGGTAGCTGTCTGATGATACTCCCATTCTGGTGCATATGAATGAGCCACTGGGCTCTCAACTTCGGTGTCGGTTGTATTTACACTTTCACTTGTTTCTATCACCAACGATTTTTCAAGGGTGCGTGATAATGGGGATTTTATTCTTGGTTGAAGGGACATTATTGAGTGGGGTAGATTAGGGGATGTGCTAAAATTGCTAATCTTCGGACTAGTCTGTGAAGTATGAGTAATGTTTGTAAACAAATGAATGTGCAAGTCGAGTTATTTTAAAAAAAGAACAGAAAGAGAAAGGGTTAAATAAGTATACTATAAAGTTGACTCATCTTACTGGCAAATTTTTACCCGTTATGAGTAATTTTGGTGCCGCTTAAAAGAACAAAGCGTTTGTTGCTTTTTTTATTTTTCGGTTGCAACCACCTCGGACATGAAATTGCCGTATCAAAGTGCACGTTTACACTACGCCTGGTTTCATGGTATGCGCTACTTGCATCAATTATCAGCAGTATCAACCTAGACTACCATCTCTAGCAGCAACTGAGCATAGCAACGTTTGAAGTTGTGCTCCATTACCGGACTATTTAGGGAATTGTATAATTCAAAGAAAGAAAAAAAAAAGAAATATGTGGTCGTGCACCATGTCCCCAAAATAAAGGTCGTGCACTTTGATCCAAAACACCTCCTCCCACTGAAAATCTGTTTGGTAGTCCTTGGTTTATATATAGTCAACAAATAAGGAATACGCCATGCAGCCTAAATCCATTGCCTTATTGCAAAAGATTGATTCAATAGTGGAACAGATCCTCGCCAAGTTCCAAGATATCTTTGAAGTATCAATAAACGAAGACAAACCCAAGGAATTGCTAAGCATTGAATCGTTGACTATAGAGTCAGATGCATTACATATAATCAGATTATGTGAGGATCTCTTGTCGATATCTCGAAGCATTCGAGAAACTTGGTGTTTAGGAAGTTTAAAAGTGACTAAACCAGGAGATACATGGAATCAAGAAGAAATTGACCACATATTCACCCAATTCAATGTCTTGACTGATAAAATCGCCAGGGTAGAAAAGAAACGAGTGATTGGAATTCAATAAATACATTTCATTACTTCATATACAATTACAAAGACTTATTGTTTATATTCAACTGGCTTGCTCGTCGGCTGACAATTCGACTGGCTGGTGTGCTAGCAGACGGACTTACACTTTCAATTTTTTCCTCAAATAAATGAACATATTTTTGAACCTTACCAACTTTGATAAATTTGAATTTCTTGTCTTCCTTGATATACCGAGGAACATCAGTTGATCTAAATGCATATTCTAAGGAGGGATCGTCCAGATTGGTAATCATGGAAAATGAAGGTTTGTTGGATATATGTCTGTTGTCGCTACTGCCACTATACTTTGTTGGTGAAGACATGGCCGATAATGATGATGGTTGTACAGTTAAATCATAGTTAACATCGTATTCCGATATGGGGATCAACTTTACCGGTGATTGTAATTTGCGTGGTGACTCGATATCACTTTCATTTTCACATTCAACTTCAAGTAGATTTTGTAAACTGTCTTTATTCATAGATTCGTCAGCAATATATTCGTTGCTGTCGCTGGAACTGCTAATATCACTTATATCTTCATTGTGTCGTAAGTTATTTAGATTTCGTATGAATTCCACACTTGAGCTTTCATGAGGGGAAGTTGCAGCAGGTATTGTACTAAGACTGCTGTGGTGTTCGTGTAACGTATCATATCTATCAAGGTCGGACAAATCCGTAAACGTTATAGTCTTGTCCATGGTGTTTTCTTCTTCGCTATTGTCCAAAGTGCTGTCATTTGTGTGAATCTCCGGTTGAGCAAAACTTTGTTGAGTGTTCAACTCACTCATAAAGCAATTGTTTATATATAGTGTAACCTCGTCGAGGAAATTCCCACACAACAATAACCCGTAGTTTTCATCCTTCGCCAAGTCCAATTGTAGTCCCTGTGGTGTTACTTCATAGTCAAGTACACTGAGCACCACATTGACAATAAATATTTCATCCAAAGTGCATGGGGTGATTTTTGTCGGGTAGGTCCTCGTGATAATATTAGCTAAAGTTAAACCATTGTTTTTGTTTACCTTTGCCAAAGATACGAGATTGTCCTTTACCAAATCAATTGGCTTTAGATGAGGATTTCGCAAAAACAACGAATTCAACTCGATATTAATGTTGAATTGGAGGGAATCATTCACATAATGGTTATATCGGGTCAATTGCCTGATTTTCTTGGGTATGTCAGAAGTATAGATGAATTTGGGTTTAATTAAATCGCTCAGGTATGACCTTATTGAGGGAAACATGGCCTGTAAGCTGCTTGAAGTGGTATACGTTTAATTGAGGTGGTAATCTCAGGGATTCTAATCAAGAAATTCTTGGGGTCGATTTCTTAAAACCAAAACTTTAAATTTCGGAATTAGAAAAAAATGTAAACAACACATTGTTACGTCAACCTGTAAATCAACAGATGCAAAATGCAAAAAGCAAAAGACTACCTTTTTACATCTTTTGTACATCTACAGTTTATTCAATAGTTCCACTTCCAACATCAGTTCAAGCAATACGTTAGCACAGGGATATAATGTCATCATATTACTTGGCCATAATAGGCACACGAGATAATCCGATCTATGAACTAGAATTTGCCTCGTTTAAAAACACAACCATCCTTTCGTCACCAAGCACACCAAATACACCACCACCAATACCAGGCAAGGCCAGGTTTGCCCCAAACGTCAAGGAGTTGTTACCATTCATAGCCAACTCATCCTTGGATTTAATAGAAGACGCCCAATTCACATCAAATCAATTGAATTTGGGCAAGATCGACACGTTCTATGGCATTTCCATCAATGCATTCATCACTCCCGGTAACATCAAGTTTGTCCTTTGTTATGACGGGAATGTCAAGGAGGAAAATTCCATAAGGCTGTTCTTTAACGAGATTAATGAGCTATATGTCAAGACCTTGTTGAATCCGTTCTATGCCGTCAATGATGCCATAATATCTCCCGAGTTTGACTTGAAAGTGAAGCAACTAGCACGGAAATACTTGTAATCGCTGAGCTGGTTGGCGAACACTTATATATCATTACCTCGCGGGAACACGCGGTTCACACTAGCTACTAAAATAGATTTAATATATTTACAAGTTTATACATAACTAATCCTGCTTAGGTTCTTCATCCAACATTTTTTCAGTTTCTAACTTGTATTGTCCATCTTCAGTTTCAACAATAATCCCTTGTTCTTTCAAAGTGTTGAAAATATCTTGAGGGATCCATCCACCACTAGCTGCAAATGGAGTAGATACAGTTTCCAATTGGAACTCTTGTAAATCAGTTTGGTGTTGGTCTAATTCAGCTTCGGTGTATTCGACTGGGAATTCACTTTCACTAGTATTGGTCAATTCATTGGCAACATAAGAATCCCACATGGCTTGCAATTGAATAATTGATCCTTCAATGTAAAGATAATCCTTGTCTGATTTCATTTCAAGAGTTTGAATATAAGGACTCTTTAATAATTTGATGTGTGGAGATGCAACAGCAATCAAATCGTGTCTTTTGTTGTTCAATTCCACTTCCCAAAGACGTTCATTTCTGGTCTTGTAGTACATGAATTCATATTGTTGCTTTTCAACTTCGTCCATTTCGTTATATCCTGGGATGTCTTGTTCTAAGTCGAAAACCTTAGCTCCGTGGTAAGCGACAAAGTTAGGATAGTTGGTCAAAATGAATGGTTTAATAGTAGCACCTTCGAAATCAACAAAGTAATGTTCACCATCCTTAACGATAACATTCAATGGATCTAAATCAGGAACATACAATCTTGGCTTGAACAACTCTTCAACATTCATAATAGACTTGGAAGTTGGGTTTAACAACTTGGCACCAATTTGCTTAAAATGTTCAAAAGTAGTGACTTGCTTCTTTAATAAATCTTCACTGGTGACTTCTCCAGCATCAGCTTGAACTAATGATAATCTAGTCTTGGCATTTTCTAATTCGATGTCAGCAACAGAAGTAATGACATCAACTGGATTAGTCCATGGACCGCTGTATTGTTCAATTTGAGCTTTAGTTAACTTGCCCTTGTTCTTGGTGAATGGTCTTTCTACACTTGGACCAATTCTCCATCTGTTGGCTAAAACGTTGTCGGTTTCTCCTTCATATGGCAAATCTGATTGTAATTTGACATCGACGTCGTTCTTGAAGTATAATGAACCATACTTGTTGAAAGTGATTGATAATAACTTATCATTGAAATCAGCAATTGGATCAATAACTTCTTTCAAATGTTTGGCGCTTCCTTCTGAATCAGGCAACAAAGGATTCCAGTTCTTCATAAGTAAACTACCGTCAATGAACTCTTGTAAGATAAAAGGGGTTTGAAGTTGGTTAGATTTGGATTCACCATAAGCCAATACCTTAGGAACATTCAAGCCCAACTTCAAGTTCAAGAAATCTAATGTGGCAACCTCACTCTTTATTTTAGCAGAAATTGCAAAATCTGATTCCAACTTGTATGGAATTCTCAAAGCAAGTTCTTTACCAGTACTCAACAACAACTTGTAAATACGATGGTGCTTACCTTCATAAACACTAGCAATTGACTTAATCAACAACTTGGAAGTGCCTTGGCCCAACTTCCCAAGTATTTCTTCATTTAAATTGTGAGAAAGGATAGAAGTACCATCCTTTAATTGCTTAGGGGTGTTGATAGTGCCATCGCCCTTATGACCATTCAATTCATCGACAAGAGTACTAATTCCTTCAATGGAGAAAACAGTTTCACGTTGTTTCTTCTTGAGTTTGTCGTCAGTCAACCATGATCCCCAGGTATATTGAAAGAATTGACTACGTTGAGGGTCAGCAGTGTCAGAAAGTTTAGTAAACACTTCCTTTGGCTCAGCTGTGGTGGATTGAAATCTTACAATTGCGGTTGGAACAATTGGTCTAACAGACTTGACTAATCTGCAGTTTCTCTTAGCAAGTCTTGACAACATTTTGCTTATTGACGGGTCGCTAAACATGGCAGCAACTGTTCCTTCGCTAAGATTTTTTTTTCATCTTTGAGAAAAACTGTGCTCGGAATACAAGTAATCACGTGATGTGTATACCCTCGTAAATCCCACGCTTATCAGCACGGCATGGTCAAGTTTAGCCGATATTGCAGCAACCTCAAACAGACAGAAATTAACCGTTTTAAAAGACTTTATTAGAATCATTCGATATAAATTAACAAATGTATATACTATAAAAACATATAAGTTTTACCCCTAGAGGGAGGAAGGGGGATAAATAATAATTAAGTTTTGTCTGACTCTATTGACTCTTGTTCTCGATTCAATTGAGAATGTCTATGTTTGCTGATTGGGCGTTTTTTCTTGAGATTGTTGGGGTCGTCAGTGCTGTCTTCACCTACGCTTGTGTTCGACTCAAACGAGTTTCTTGGTTCGGGTATGGCTATCTTCCCCTGCAATTGCTGGCTATGTACCATATTAGCGATTATGTTGCTGGAATATGCTGTGGGCCCATACCGATGAAACCTTCTCCCCTCAATTCCATCTTTTGTAGCTGTCGTAGAAAGACAAGATGTAGTTGAGCTTCTCAGGATTGGACGCGATAACGAATCACCCACAAAATCGGGTGACAATAAACTAGTGGAATCTTCTAAGATCCGTTGGTAGTCTGATTCAGTAGACACTAAACTCAAGTTGGTGCCGTTTGTATCATTGAATTTGACTCGTTGATTGTCTAATGCTTTAAGATTTTTCGAAGTGACGCTATAGTTTGATTCCTTTGAGGATATGTCGTCAAGGTATTCATATCCACTGTTCTTAAAAGTCTCGTCTATTGCCTCATCGTCGATGTCTAGATCCTCAGCTGGGTAGTTGTAACTGTTATTGTTATTGAAATAAATATCGTCAGGTGAATCCAAGTTTATCTTGCCACTACATATAGATTTAACACTGGCGTCTGGATGTGACATGGCAACGCTCTCTTTCTTTCTGTTTCTAGATCAATTGCAAAGATTTAATTCTAAGTCACCTGGTGTAAAAAAGACAAGACAACTTTGTATGAGACAGAAAAATGAATGATGAATTTCTTATGTATGGGGAAATTGTGAATCACACTCTCTAAGGAGAGACTAAAAACTTATATGCAGGTGCGTCATCCTATTTTTTTTTTTTTTTATTTCTCCATTCTTGTGCATGGTCACTCAAGCGAACTTTACACAAAACTGGAAATTTCATGCAATAGAACATTCCGGTGATTCCCTTCTATTAAAACTTATACACTATTATTTGCAACTATTTAAAATCTCGACATGAATTCAAACGAATTGGTGTCAGAGTTTAGTATTTCATGGTATGAGCTACTGGCACCAAGCAACTCTCTCGATAATTTATCCATATCGGTGTGACCATCACTGGTTAAGCTGATCTCTAATAATTTGTTTTCAATTTGCTTAAACACTTCAGCACATTTCTTAGCAATCATCCAATCACTTCCAAATGCCTGTAGTATTTCAATGCAGTAGCATATTTCCGTCTTCGACTCCACTAAATCTATAGTCCACTTGCACAAACAATACAAGATCGTAGTGCACACCATGAGAAAGCGATAAAGTGTAGTCCAATTCAAAGGTAACAATTTCGCAATAAATAATTTATAACTACATGACAAATTTTCAAGACATGATTTTCCCAATGCCTCCAAGATTTCTGGTAGCGGATTAGGGTTCAAGTATGACGGACGGTAAAGTAATACCAACAAATGGTGATATCTGGCAGTATACCAAGGACTCTGGCCGTGGAACGAGAAAGATGCTCGGGAGGTAGTAGGGCTATTCAAACACATGGCTTGTCTGTACCATTCATCGATTTCTTGTCTCAATTCAGAATATACTGCTTGGCAATGTGATGTCCGTGTTTCCTCGGGCGTGCTTTGAAGATTCACTGAATGCACTCGACGTAATATTTGCCCTTCAATTCGACGCAATGCAATTAGCACTCGATTTATTTCAATATCCTCATGGTCGTCATCAAGGATTTGGGGAAGTGGAACGTTGATATCTTCATCGTTGATTGAAACTGGTCGTCCTAAAGATACAGAAGTCAATCGATCAATGGCATATACGCTCCAGAATAACCTTGATCTTAGCTCAATTTGTCTCGAGGTCATATTCTTCTTCTCCTGTTCGGTAATCTCCTTGTTTAAACCGAGATGAATAGCCAATCTAGTTAATTTTCCCATTATTTCCCAAGATGTGAATTCACTAGGATCGAAATAAGAATACAATCCCAACAAGATCAAATACTTCACATTCTTTAAATCATTGGTGGACAAGTTGTTATGAACGTGATTCAAAGCCTTGGATACAAAATATTCACTGATTTTCTTATCTCGAGAAATTATCCCACATCTTTCTAACCCAGTACTTCCAATTGCCAACACCATATACAACTCAAATTGATCGTCAAAGCCATCCAAACCAATGACATTTCCTTCAGCAAATAATTTATTGAACTTGGTGATAAATTGATGTTTATTGATAACAGGCACGGCCCGGTAATTATGCATGAAGAATGCATTTATAATTCGTGATAATAATTCTACATCAACAATAGGTGGAATTATACTCACATTAGAATTGGTCTTGATTGAAACTGCACTTACAAGCACTTTTGAAACTTGTTGTTGATATGAATGGAAATCAGGAGCTCGCGCGTCAATAGGGTTTATCAGGGGGAATGTAACAGATTTGCCCGATCCTGGTGAAGGAATGGAAAATGTGCTTGTGGGTGTTCCAGCAAGAGAAGGAACGTTTGGACCGGTTGTTACTGGTTCGACGCTCAGTAGGGAGAGTCTTGCTGGTTCGTTCTTTTGCATATAGGAAAAGTCAGCTGAGGTAGTTGAGGTAGGCAGCACGGCATCAGATTTGGCTCTTCTTGGTTTCCTTGGAACATAAGTACATGGTTCACCAGCTTTTTCGCAATTTTGACATTCAGGAGTGGCCTTGTTACATTTCTTCTTTAATTTTCGACATCTGATACAACTGGTTAATTTAGTTGCGTCTATTTCGGGTTTAACTTTAACGAGCGATCCTGGGAAACTGGCGGGTTTTTTAACACGAAATTTCGTGACTAAATGGTTTGAGTATTCATTAGCACCCTTTAATGTTGGATCTACTGCTACTTTAGTTGATGTATCAACGGTCATTGAGTGGGGTGACATGGTGATGATAGTTGCTATAATTTATTTGTTTACTGAAATTTTCGCATTTTTTATTAATCTCAAAAGATTTGACGTGATTACGTCATTTTTGATAAGAAATTGTTGACACATCTAGGAGAACTAACAACAAGGAGTGATTATGTTGTTATAAAATCAAGTCAGGAAGAAGTAGATAACTCGTTAAGTACTCTGATTAAGTTTGTCTAGATTTCAGTTGTGTTTTTTTATCTTATCTTGACTCAGCTTTCACTAGTTAAAATTTAGGGGCCCTTCAAGCTGTGGCTCATTGTGGGTTTTTTTTTCTTGGATTCAAGGAACCACATTAATCTATTGTGAGTCAACCAAATTGTTGCAGATTGTTCGAATTGTTGAGAGGGGATAATCAACAATGGGATTAAGCTGGCTGTGTTTTTTTACATTTCTCTGAGAGCCCGTACCAGTTTCGAATTGAGCTTGCTTTTGAATGTGTTTAGTTTTCTTGTGTAGAATTCAAAAAAAAAATTTATAATAAAACACATATTCTAAAAGAAATAATCTTAAAATCACTTTTAAGTCATATCTCTTATACGGTATTACCTACTAACTGTTTTTCAAATAGGTTATGCTCATAAAATTGGGTGTAATAAGTATCAAAACGTTGTGTATAAGTGCATTTTTTTTTTGCAACCAAAAACCTCAAAAAAAGGTAAACATTCAAAGTGCTGTCTAATTAAACACTTATTGTTCTTCGTTCACTTTTCTTTTTCCATCTTCATTTCTTCCAGTAAGTACTACAATGCAAGCTCAAATCTTCAAACAACCCATCAGTAAAAAGGAGTCTCGTGCTTTGATTCAAGAGCTAATCAGTGTATCCTTATACTGTATTACTTTCTTGCGCGATATATTCGACGAAGACAATTATGTTGATACAAAGTATTATTCTGGTGAACAGCAATATTCCTCTTCAGAAACTAACTACATCAGAACAAAGAAGTTAGTTAAGGGAGTTTCTTCTGAAGCAGATTCATTAATCAGTTGTATTGAAATTGGAATCAAGTCTGCTCTTACAATGGAATATTTAAAAGCTATCCAATTTTCTATTCACCTTGCAGACCAAGATCATTCTCAAGCAGCTGAATCTTATGTTTTTGGAATCGATTATGAAAATCTGCTGGTGTCTGTTCAACTCAACAATCAAGAGAGGTACTGCACTAATACTTCAGAAGTGATGCAACAAATTCAAACTTTAATCAAGAGATTACTTATTCTCACTCAATCCCTTGATCCTTTGCCTGAGGATAAATATATATCTATCAGGTTATTGTATAATGATCTGTGTCCAATGAGTTATCAACCTCCTTATTTCGAAGATGGTACTACCCAACCACTTTCAGTCCAGGTTGGGGAAAAAAATGGAATTGTTGAGATTGGAACATTGCAAACTGGAAAGAATAATGTCAAAGTAAATGTGTTTGTCAATGCTTCTAATGAAACTGCATCAATTAGAATTGATCCTCTTGAACTATTTGATGGCCAAATTGAAAGTATTGATGATTTGACAATATTGCCCCTGCCTCCATTGTCGTTGAATTTAGGTGAGTACTTAGATACTGAAGAAGCAAATATTGGGGTTACTCAGTTGGTACCAGACGCGATTGCTAACCTATCCAGTATTGATACAATAGATCAGTACATACCAAGTATGCCTTCTCAACGGGTCCCAAATACATCTGTAAAACCTCTGATTTGCACTAAATGCAATACAGCTATCAATCTAGCTGCCTGTGGATATAGTAAGCGCTTAAGAAGAAAAATCACTTGTACCAAATGTGTGGTTCATGGGAAGGTGACTTGGGAATTAAAATGGCTTATGAATGTCCGATTATTATGGAATCATTTGGAAAAGAATGAAATAACTACGTTTGAAGATTTGGTTAGTTCATTGGAAGATCCAGATGAGAAATTAATCGTTGCTGTATTTAATAGATTGTTTCGAGATAATGTTTTAGTAATTACAAGTACTGCAATTCTGGAATCAAATGCAGAAAAGTATTCTTTTGGTTCTGGCGCTATTGTCCCTTCAATTACGGGATTAATAGCTAATGATGGTACAGAATTGATAAAAGGCACAGAATATTTTGTGACTTTTGTTCCCAAGTTGCCAAAAAAGTATCGTTATATGACCTATGATGAAGTGGTGACACACATCTATTTCCCAAACTTTACCTTAAATCGAATCAAGTCGGTGTTGATGAATCTTGAGAAATTTATGGGTTTACCAAAAATAGCCGGTTGTGAAATTACCCCAACAGCAACGAATCGGTCTACCAGGGTCAGTACGGAACTTTCCGACAATAAGGCTCCAGATTTATTTGATAACATGGGAGATCTTACCTTTGAGGATTCGTTGGTATTTTTATCGCAACTGCAACCTAAAACCAAAGCAAAGGAAAGAAAGCTAGTGAAACAAGGACGCGGTTGTCCCTTAAAGAAACGTAAGATAAGTGTCGGAAGAATCTGAAAAATCTAAAAAAAAAATCTAAAATATTATTCCGGAAGCATGATTGACTAGGTTGTCAATCACATTGTTCTGATTTTAAATATACGGTCATTGTTTGACGAGATCAGTCATTTGCTCATCGTCAGTTGATTTTCTATTTTCAGCCAACAGGGAACTTCTGACTCTGTTGAGACGAATACGATAAGATTGCTTCTAATTCAGAATGTGGTCATTTCATTTCCACGTATTTGGGAAATAAGCATCAGCTAAAAACCACACTAAAGCTTGCTAAAAGAAATAAGAATAAGCTGAGCCATTTAGAAAAGGTACAAAAAAAAATAATAGAAAAAAAAAAGAAATTCGTAACTACTTCTGGATTTAGAACGGTATAAAAATGAAAGGCACCAACCTTGGCAATCATTTACATCAATCATTTTATTTTAAAACTTGTATAACCACTAGTATTGCTAGATACTTACTTTTGAGTAAATTATTAGCACTTTAATATATGTATTTCCGTGGGTTGCTTTGATAGTCTTCAACTTTATTTAACCTCGGAAATCTTTGTGGCAGTATTTTGCATTTCTTTACCTATCCATCATTAAAACCGGATTCATACATATATCTACTTCGTTATTTGACACCTATTCAAAAATACTTACTTTGACAGTGGGCTAGTAAAGAGAAATGACAAAAGTAAAATCGTCTGGATACTCAAGGCGAAGGCATACCAATTCCAAGCTAGGTTGTTTTAATTGCAAACGAAAGAAAATAAGATGCAATGAACAATTACCGGAATGTGGCAATTGTATTCGAGGAAGAAGAGAAACTTGTTCATATTTAAGCTTAAGCCCCGAGGAAATTGAAAAGATAAGATTGACGCACTCATTACGAAATAGTCAAAACAAATTATTGAATCAAAATTATAGATTACCGGCAACTCCGCCAAATATACCGTTGCCTATTGACAGGTTGTCAACATCACCTTCTACAACCCTTGAATTTAAATTTGAATTGGCCAACTTACCGGTGAGGATACCGGAGATTTGCTATCCGGAGATACACTTTAACAACTACACATTAAATGATTTCCCTGATGATCATAATGATTTTGAAATGAGTGATGAAATTTCACGAGACCAATCACCACAACAACAATTTCAATCTCCAAAACAACAGTACCAGAGCCCCAAGATGTTACCTAACGGGATTAAGCAAACTATGCATTTTACTTCGATTATATCCCGATTTAAAAGAAAGATCACACTAGAGGATGTTAATGCAAGAGCTGTGGCAGATTTAACGCACCATGGAGTTTTGGGCAAGGTAAATTTGTTGGATCTTTTAAGTGATATGATTTTGGAATTGCCAAAGAAGAAAGATTCAGATGTTCTTGCTCAAGCCTATGTTTGTTTAGGAGAGGCAATCATCTTGAATATTTTCCGGCGAAGACAAAAATACATGACTAACTTTCTATACACCAATTCAATTAATAGTTTGAACCAAAGCTGTTTAGAACGCCATGGATACTGTGAAAGTAGAATACGAAGTTTGTTTGTTGATTTGAGCACGAAGAAGAACTTCTTGACACATGATGAAATGAGCAATTTATCTGAAGTTTTGGCGTATTCCAGCTACTTAATGACCTTTGCTGTATTGATGATGAAATTTGGAGCCCAAAGCTATTTCCACTCTTGTAAAGGTGTAATTACTACCTTTGAAGAATATACAATATACATGATGGAACGAAACTTACAACCTATATCCACTGTTAGTTTTTTGATGAATAATTTACAATATAATATTGTCAGCATTAATATCCCTTCATATAACCCTCAGTTTATATTTGAAATTGAATCGAATGTTCGATGTTTGGATTTTATATTCAATAATTCATTTACATTCCAGGACGAATCCATCAGCTTGAGATTTCAATGTTTGGAATTTGAATACAAGAGCCTTTTGAAGTTTCTTAATGAAAACATTTTGCCCACAGTAATATTGTTGCGTGATGAAAATTATGTAACTACTTATCCACCAGTGGTTATCTATGAAATATTCAAAGAATGGCATACAATTTTCCCTTCTGAGGCCATGACTTATACATTATTCAAGAATGATGCCCATTCAGTTGAAGCAGTGTTCTTAAATGCATTGTCAACCACATTCTATATGTATTATTTTGCAGTTGCTGCTTCTCTAGATGCATTATTCCCAGCTTGTAAATATTTATATGGTATGAGTTTCATGGTCCCCACCAACAAATTCTTCATCAAACGGGAAATAATGGCTCTTGATAAAGAGAATCCATATATCCAAGGATTGTTAAGATTTGATTGTCGATTACAAGGTCACATATATTATGCATCGCGAGTATTTGCATTTTTTCGAAGAAGATATGTGTTTTATCACAATAATGTCAAATGGAGTAATCCTTATGATGATTTGACTGATGAAACTAGGTTTGAGACTCGTGTTATCAAGAACACAGAAATTCCAATAAAGAGTTTTAATACTACGTTGATTCGTCCCGAACATTATCCTACAACTAAAGGTTCTGTTAACTTCAATAGTCTTACATTCACTCGTGAGGATGAATCTATGATGCATAATGCATATTCAAGAAACATTGAAACGCTCAACTTTGATGAAACCTTTGTATTGCAATATGATTGTGAAACTATGTTGTTGTTGCGTGATTATAGACCTCCAGATATAACAAATAATGATCGTCCCAGGTTGGAAATTAAGGATATAAACCAATATTATGAGGATAGAACAAAGATCTTAAATAGTTTACTGTAGCTCTTTTATATAAATGGTCATAAACAATCATCTCAAGTAGTTTTGCAGTAAGAGCCGTTAGTTAGTTACTCGCGCTACCAAAATTCCATCGGGTTAAAGAAAAAAAAAGTTACAACCAAATTTGAATAATCTATAACAGACAACACTTTATTCGATACAACAACAATGGCTGACTTGATAGTACCAGGTGATAAACTCCCTATAGAAGACCCTAGCACTGTAAAGACCACGATAGGGCCAGGGGTCTATAAAATGCCTACAACCCACAACCTAATTCCTTGTTCATCAGGAGTAATCACAGTTGAAACCAAAAACAGCAATCAATTAGTATATATTGAATCCAATAACAAAAGATATATCCCTCATACCAACGATTTTGTGATTGGTGTAGTCACTGGAGTGGTTGGTGAATCTTACAAGGTTCAATTACAAGATTTTTCTTCACCAGTATTACTTGGATTCATGGCTTTCCCAAATGCCACCAAGAAGAATCGTCCGAACTTAAAAATTGGGCTGGCTGTATATGCAAGAGTGTTACAAGATATTCCTGAAATTGAGGCTGAATTAGAATGTATAGATCCCACCACTGGGAAAGAAGGTGGGTTTGGATTATTGGACGAATCAGGGTATATTTTCGATGTTGAATTAAACTTTGCTCGTGAGCTATTATTCAATCCAAAAACAGTCTTTTTGCAATTATTATCTACTAAATGTCAATTTGAAATAGCTATCGGTATAAACGGTAAGATTTGGATTAAATGTGGTGAAGGTTTGAAAGAAAAGACTAGCGATTCTATGGAAACTGATGAAGAAGATCCTGCTACTAACATTAAAGATTTACGTACAACTTTGGCAGCTGCTAATTTCTTAATAAAATGTCAACATATAACTCAAGATAAACTTAAAGCTGAGTTGACGAATGCATTTAAGGGAATATAGATGATTCATAGACTAATATACGATACCAGTGGATATTGTCCCCATCGCGGTCCCCCTCCATCGCACGCTAAAAAAAAAAATAGTAACCTCTAAAAAATTTCAACATACATAAACGACAATCTGGCCATATTAGATAAGTACTTTACGAGATGTCCACCGAGAAACCCAAGCTAACTCCAGATCAATTAGCTAGACAAAGAAAGAAAATCGAGAAAGACAAGAGGAAGAAAGTTTATGATGATCAACAAGTTCAAGGTACTAATAATTCCTCGATTGTTTCGAAAAGAAGTGTAGAAATGTTGTATACCAAGCAACTTCAACCTGAACTAGGTGAATGGTTTAAATATTTTGTACCTAAAGGTAAACGAAGATCTCCTGCTATCAACAGAGGATATTGGATTAGAATGGAAACTATCTGTCAAATGGTTATCAGAATAGTCAATCTTAACCCAGAAAAGAAGATTAATGTGGTTAATTTAGGTTGTGGATTTGATCCATTACCTTTCCAACTATTGTCAGTATATGGAAATTCTTTTGATTTGTGTTTTATTGATATAGACTATCCTGATTTGGTTCAGAATAAATATGATATGATTCAGAAATCACAAGAAATACTAGCATTAATAGGAGAATCACGATCTGATAAACTCTGCAAAATATCAACTGATAATTATAAACTTGTTGGATGTGATTTAAAGAATTTCAAACATTATGAAGAAATACTACCTGAGCTTGTTGGCAGTGATGATTCCGTCAATGTTTTCATTGCTGAAGTATCTTTAGCTTATATGAAACCAGAATTTGCCAACCCAGTTATTGAAATTTCTAGCAAGGTAAGCAACAGTCACTTTCTTATATTGGAACAAATCATGCCAGATTCTCTGGATAATTCCTTTGCCACCAAGATGTTATACCATTTCAATCATTTAAGAAGTCCAATTCAATGTGTCGAGCATTATCCGACTAAAGAACTTCAAATGACAAGATTCAGACAATATTATTCTCTGGTGGAAGTAAAGAACTTGTTTGAAAATTGGTTATATTTGGTTGATGATGAGATGAAACTGAAAATTTCTCAAGTTGAAGAGTTTGATGAATGGGAAGAATTTATAATATTTTGTCAACATTATGTTCTTGTTCATGGTACAAATACGGATCAACTTATTTACGAAACCCCAAATGGAGAAATTGAATCAAAGGAATATCCTATGGACACTACTGTGACAATGGTCCAAGATTCAAGGTTTAACGCAGAACAATTAGAGATTAAATTTCCAGCAATTACTTCGGTAGATTCAAAAATATATGTTAATGGTGGATTGAAACAAACACGGACAAATGAAATGCTTGAATTGGATTTGGAAAGTGGGACTATAAGTAATGTTGAAATGAACTTACAACCAAGTGCAAGAATGTGTCATACATTAACCACATTAGCGGATAACAAAATGTTATTGGTAGGTGGTAGGTCTAGACCAGGTTTACATTTCCAGGATGTATATTTATGCAACAAGGGGGTTTGGGAGAAATTGCCAGATATGCCCGTGAAACGTTCAAGACATGCATGTGTTTCGGTTACCGAGGCCGAAGTCTTACTATTTGGTGGCTTAACAGACGAAAATAATGATAGTGATAAGTTATTTTTGCAATATGATGTAAGATCAGGTACATCCAAAGAATTAAAAATTAAAGGCGATTCACCAGGAAATCTTTTAAGTTGCTCTATGAATTATGATGGTGAATTTGGGTATATTTTCGGTGGTATTAGTAATCATAATGTGCCTATTGTAAATGACAAATTGTACAAATTTAAGATCATAGACGATACAATTGAAATTGAACTGGTTTACCAAGATTATTTATTATCTAGAATTGGAAGTCAATCCAAATTACTTGGCAACAAATTACTTATTGTCGGTGGTGTGTCCACCATCAAGATGCTAACTAAGAAGACAAACATAATGACGTTAGAATTGGCTGATTTTAAGTGGAAGTATGTTCAAGTACCTGAGCAAATTCGGAAGACGAGTCCACCAATATTTATTGGATTTGGATTAGTTGAAAAATCGTCACACAAGCAGCGGGATGCGTCCGCATCGTATTTTATGTTAGGAGGTGGGGCTGTTTGTTACTCCTTTGGTAGTTGTTTCAATTCAGTTTATAGATTAGATATAGTAAACTGATTTAAACCGAAGTTTAAACCTTATTACATAAGACACGGCATTTTATAATTGCAACCATGTAGTACCACACGTGATTAACGAACTACAATGTTCACAACCATATTGATGAAATTTTACAATTTTCTTCCTCCCTTTTATCTCGTTTGGCTGTTCCTTTTCAGCTCATGTTACCCTTTTGCTAAGGAATTAGGATGAACAGTCGTGTGGGGAGGCGAATCGAGTATGATAGTAATAGTAACTATAAGCGGACGAACTGGCATTTTAACTCTAAAGGGGGATATTATATCACAAAAGGGGAAAGAGCGGGACTATAGAGCAAGGTAAAAAAAAATACAGCATTGGGGCATCGTGTGCATGGCGGGTAAATCGTCCAGAATACAGACGAAATGAAGATCAGGAAAAAAGTGCTTCGAAGTACTAGACTTTTACTTCTTTAGGAATAACAAGTATGAGGTAGAATCTTCCCAGACAGCTCCGTGTTTGACTTAAGTTTGAATGGTTCGAGGTGTATTATTCCATGTAATTACAAACTTCAAGCGATGGAGTTAACAAAAAGGTTTCGGTAATACCCATCCCCTCCAGAGATCGGACCCCTGTTGCAAAAAAATAACACAAAAGGCAAATGAAGAAAAAAAAAACATGCAGAGAAGCATAGTCTACTATTCAAAATAACACAATATCTTTGCTCGGGACTATTGACTAGATAGGATTAGTTCTTACATGAAGCAAGAGAATAAGTTTGTAAATTATAGTTTTGGCTTTTGTCGGAGTTTGTTTCCGAGGTTGGTTTAAAGAGTAAAGCCCACATATGTAGAGTGCGATTTAAATTTGAACAATTAACGAAGTCGAATGGCACTAAAAAAAACTGTTCCAATAATAGATTAGAACAATCACAACAATTTTCAATTGCTATGCTGCTTAATACTACATTTGCGATTCTCGGTTAAATTATCAATTACTAATATCGGTTCCGTTCCTTTTTTTTTTCTTTTTTGTTCTGTGCAACTTCTATTTCCTTCGATAATCGAATCCTCGGAACAATGTACCCAAAAAAAATATTTTAATCATACTTTTTTTTCTGTGGTTTATCTTGGCTGAAATTTTTCGCAGTCTTTGCTAGCAAACACCAGCCATAACCAGCAGGTCATCGGAATCTAGATAATAAAGCAAAATCTGAAAATAATTGACGTCATTGGAGAAGTCCGTATTTGATATGATCAAATCTACACTTCAATTATCAAACATGACTCAGTCAGTAATTATTCCTTCTATTTTGATGAATTCTTGGTAGGTTACACATACAAATTGTCAAAAAGAAACTGGGGTAGAAAAATAAAAAAAAAAATGTGCATATCATCCCAAATGCATAAAAATATCATGTCATTTGTCCCCCCACCATCACCACTGTTTATTTTATTTTTCTATACGGTTCTATCAGGAACTAACGGAATACGAAATAGCGGTAAACAACTCGTGTAGTATATCACGTTTGATTAGGTTTTATTGGTAATTAAGAAGCGGGTGGTGTGTCCCTATTCCCCCACAACATATTTCACACATCAGTATAATCATCAGGTAATTATTTTTTTCAATTACTAACTTTTCTTTTTTGGGCTCAGTTAGTCACATTTACTTGCTTAGACATAAAAATTACATAATAATTATTTTACGCTCCTAATTTTTATTATTTACTTTGCGTTAGTTTTTTTTTTTTTTTTTATTTTAATTTTTTTTTTTTTTTTTTTTGAGTTTTTTTAAGATGTTTTAAAGTCTCTCCTCCCTTCTTTCTCCTTCCTCCCCCCCTTGACTCCAAATAAAAAAATTAACACTACCAAGAAAATTACCACATTTTCCTGAGACCAATTTTATTCACAACAAAACTATACAATTCAACCCTGGTTGGTTATTTGAGACACAATCAAACAAGATAATTGTTGTCTGACGCTATCTTAATATATCTATTCCTTTTTCAAAAGGTTGTTATTTCGATATATCCTGGTTGCAAACGATATCGTGGGAGATTAGATCTAACAACATATTTCTAGACAACAAAATAAATAACCAGATATGGACAGTGCTTATCCCGCATTGTTATCAAAACAGCAACAAGATGAATTTCATCCCCTTACCCAAGATTCTAAAGCAGCAATGTCAAGTCTAGCACCACCACAAGATTCACACCACCAGAGACGCCCTTCGTTTACCTATGAGTTAAATCTACTGAAGAATGGAAGTGCCAACAATACCCTTAATAGAACTTCCTCTGAAGAGAGTTTCAACGATTTACCCTTATCCATGAGATTCATTCATAAACCATCCAGATCACAAGAATTATTTATAAAGGCCAGTGATCCCACCAAAGCAAATAGTATATTGAATTCACAAATTCCTTCTGTTGATTCTAGTAACAGTATCCATAGTGATGCCATAATATCCTCGTCCCCTTCAAACGCTAACTCGCCCAAGAGTGCTCCAGTAGATTTAGACAGTACTCCCGGATATAAGCTAGTACGGAAAAAATCAGGTGAGTTATTAAAGCCGTCATTGAAAAGTCCTGTGGGGCAACGAGGATATTTTGATAAGAAGAGATCGCTTTCACTACCGGCCACACCCACATATAAACAAGTTCATTTTGGCGGAGCTACCGATGTACGATACTTCAAGAAGAAAGATAAACCAACAGATATATCAGCATCGAATTCGCCTACATTAGACGGCCAGGCCCGAAACTTACGATATTCCGATGATGAATCAGAAGAATATAGTTATGGAGAAGACGATGATGTTGACGAAGAATCAGCCATGGAGAATGACCAAGAATATCACAACTTCAGCTTGAATGATAAGGGTATAACCAAGTACCCTGGTGGTGGTAAACACATTGAAAGACAAGTTGATTGGCAGTTGAAGTTACTTAACTTCATGCCCTTGTCCTATTTACGGAAGATTGAAGCTGATACTGCTGTGTTCTTGGAGAAATTGTTTATGTCAAGCGACAGGAAGTATTTATTGGGACATATTGCGGTTAAAAATTTATCGTTTGAGAAATACTTAACAGTGCGATATTCCTTGGATCACTGGCTGACCATTATAGAAATCCCGACTGAATATGTTGAAGAGCGCCCTGAAGTGTTGAAACTCAATGACTATGATAGATTCACATTTAAAATTCCCTTGAATAGTTTATTCAATAGTTTCAGAATATCCAAGGATAACATCGATAGTTCTGATGAAGATTTTGAATCCCATTCCACCACTACCGTTCAAGAGAAAACTTATGAAATGTGTATTAAATATTACGCTAACGCGAGCGAGTATTGGGATAATAATAATTTTAAGAATTATGAAATCAAATTAATCAAGACTGTTAGAGAAATCACTCCTGGAGCTAATATTGAACAACATAAAGCTAAGCCCAAATATTCAAATTCATATCTTAAGCGAGTTGCATCGGATTCTCAAATTGAATTACATAAGAATGAAATTATGAATAGATTGAATGATGAAGTAGAAGAAGCCAAACGCAAAGAACAAGAGAAGGAAGAAAAGGGAGAAGGTGGAAGTGAAAGTGAGGATGAAGATGAAGAAGGTTTAGATGATGCTAAATCCAGTGCATTGTTTATTAATGATAATTCTTCGGACTTGAACGATTTTGTCAAGAATAATTATTATTTGTCATCGCCATTATTATCTTCTTTGTATAAGAATCCTGATGGTAATGAAGAATACTTGAAGAATTCCGAAGATGCAAAGATCATCTCGCCTTCTCCGCAACCAAGCATACCATCCCTGAAATTTAGAGCTAAATTTCAAAATCAATTATCCGAAAGTCAAAAACAACTCGATACATCTGAATTTAACAGATTTGGATTTAATTGGGTTGATGAAGAACAACAGAAGCAAAATGAAGCTACAAGCAACCCATCTAAACCACAAAGAACAAGCCCACTTTCAAGAAATAAATTTATGAATTCCAAATCATACAAGGAATTATTAGACAACTATTGTTTCTTTTCTTCTAGTAATGATGAAAATCATTCACCAGATGCGGAACTCCCATATCCTAATACTAGTATCAATGGAAATGGCAACGGCAAGCCATCAAGCAATGGTGGCGGGAATTCGTACACAGTTTCTTCATTCTTGGGAACTTAATTTTTTACAGTTTACAAATAGAGGACAAGGTAAAACAACAAAATAGATTATTAAAAACTACAACGACGAAATTTATCTTGGTTAAATTATAGAAACGGTTGGTGATTGTTTTACTTGTCTCAACTAATTGAAGAAGATGTGTGTATGTTTTTTTTTACGTTTGCATTTTGTAATATGCTGATCATGTGTGTTATGAAGATGATTTCTATTATTATTTAAAACATTGAAAGTTTTTAGTTTTGCATGTAAAGAATCAGGGGTTGAGTCCCTGTTCCTATTCCTCATATATATTTTTTTTTGTATATAAACTGTTAATGATATATACTGTTTAGTGTGTGTGGAACAAACAAACAAACAAAACGAAAACACAAAATCTGTAAGCCGTGTATTTTTGCAACCAATATGCACCATGCGGTTTGGTTGACAATGCGGAAAAAAAAAGGAGGAAAGTTACAACAAACATATCACTGCAGAGTTAATAAGCCACTAGGCCTAAATGTAAATAGACCCACATCAACTCGCACTAGGATTGTGAGTGTGTGTGGGGAAACTATGCTTAAACTCTAATGACAATAAGCTTCCATTGTTCTTGACAACAATGGAACACAATACGTAATATTCTAGTAAGTCGATGAATCTAGCAATGTTACATCAGTCGTCACAACCATAGGTTAGTTTTCGTATTATGTATAAACTAAACCTTAATTGGTAGGAAAATAGAAAAGTAACGCCATCTCAGTTGCGTTATTTTCAAAACTTGGGTGGTGCTAAATTTGCGTTAGTTCCGATGGGGTTCTAAGCGTCAATTGGAATTTGAAAGTAGGGAACAGTGTAATTCTCTTATAAATAGGGGTACATGCACCATTTTCTGTATATTTTGCCAAGATATTACTAATATCCCCATTAGACAAGGCTCTGTGATTGGTACTTAGCATTGAGGGCTCCATGTTATTACAAACATGTAGTCCTCCGTGCTACGTACCAATTAGAAGAGTTAGAGCATAAATTCTCTTCACTGAATACTATCGCCAACTTGCAGAGAAAATATTTTACAACTTAAATTCCTAATAGTAATTATATTAAACCCAATACATAAAACCTAAATAAATAAACCAAATTAATCAAAAAAATACATTTTAACATGACCACTTTCCAATCCAGCAGCAAATCTTGAATCGCTTAATCCAACACAACTTACACTTGAATCATTACCAAAAGTATGTAAACATTTCCCATTCTGTAAATCCCAAACTTTAATTAATCTATCATGGGCACCACTAATAATTCTAAATGTATCAGAATTGATCGACCAAACTCCTTCAATATGACCAAACTGGGTTCTAATACATTTACCAGTTTGAACATCCCATAACTTTATGGTATTATCAAGTGAAGAAGTTAAAAGATGGGTGGGGTAATTTGCTGGGAGTGGTTCGTGTGGTTGGTCATTTTGAACTGAATCAAGTAATGGAGGGTGTTGTAAATCAGTTTCTCCTTCACTTTCGCTTCCTGGATCATCTTCAACTAATGCTTGTCTGTAAACAAATGGAATCACACATTGAACTTGTGCAATATGGCCATTCGAGCTAGCTCCACCAAATACACGTAAACATTGATTGGTATTCATATCCCACATTCTAATTGTAGTATCGTCACTGGCACTGAAAAGGGTATTAGAAGCCAGATGGATCTTGACACAGTTAACCCAATCAGTATGACCTCTTAAAGTATAACAAGTTCTTGAATCCACGTGCCAAATACGTACAGTATGATCAGCAGAACCCAGGACAATGGATTTGTTGGAGAAATCAACCGATACAACAGCGTCATCATGACCTCTATAAGTAGCAATACATTCCCCAGTATGATAATTCCAAACTTTAATGGTAGAGTCCAACCCACCGGTAATTAACTTTTGGTTATCAAATACTAATGATCTGACACCTTTGGTATGACCAGTGAGTGTTTTTAAACATTCCCCAGTTTCGATTTTCCAAATTTTAATGGTGGTATCATAAGATCCCGTCATTAGATACTTTCTATTAAATTGCAAACATGTAACTCCGTCAGTATGACCAGTGAATGATTTGACTGTATATATACCTTTACGCCAATTCTTTTCAAGCTTATAGCGTTCAGAATAAACTGCTTTCCAGGGACGTTTTCTAATAACTGGAGGAGTAGGTGCAGGTTCCTTCTTAGCTGCTGTTATAGCTGTTTTAACAGCTGATGCTTCTGAATGTCTTCTTTTTATAGGTCTAATGTCGTCATCTTCTTGCATCTCACGTGCTCGCTTCATATGCATCAAAGGTAATCCCCATCCACAATTTGGGCATTTTCTATCAATATGTTGTTCACACATATGATGCCATACTCTATCGTCGTCAGCTAAACTCTTCCACTTTCTCAGAACTTGAGCGGCATTACATAATGAACGACAATCTAAATAACATAAGATCTTAAGGGAAATTTCTTGGGGTAATGCGGATATAAAGTCAATTCTAATTAATGAGGAGATTTCTTGTGATAAAAATGACAACTGTGGGAAACAACATTGGCTTAGTAATCCTTGCAATATAAGTTTCTGTTGTGGAACTGGGGCAGCGTTAAAAATGGACCAAACATGTGATATAGCTTCTTGGTCCCGGTTAGGCAATCTCTCTAACCGGTTCTGAATATCCTTCATTTTAATATCGTCAGTAAGTTTGTTACATGTAACATCAGGGTTATGGCGATAACAATACTTGTGGAAATTGTCACGAGGGATTAAATTCTGGTTACTCAAATGAGTAATCAAAAAGGGAGTAATGGCTGAATTTTCTTCTTGTGGTTGTTCAACTTGTGTAGTCTGTTCCACTTGAATATCAACTGTTTTGGTTGAAGTGGGGCTATTGTTCTCTTTTTCCATGATGATTGATTTATTTTCTAGTACAGGCGTTATTTGTGATGCTTCTAGGGTATCCATCTTAAACACAACAGACTGGTTGTAGTGGTAAACTAATTAATAGTACAAATAATACGTTGCAGTTGCGGTTGTGGTTGGTTATATACAAATGTGATGAATGGCTCCGATTAAGCCGCTTGTCTGTGTGGTGGTGGTACAAGAACAATCAATGATAAAGAAAAGAAAAGATAAAAGAAAAAAAAACTGTGGTGTTTTTAACAGCGGACTTTTTTTTCTGACATTGTTTTCTTCTGTTTTGTTCTATTTTTTGTGGGATGGAAATGAGAACCGAGAACTTTCTATATGTAACCTTAAATAATTGTGGTGTCTAAAACTATGGCGTCTTGTTAATCCACATCGTCTAATACTATTCAACTCCGCGTTCCATTTCCATATTCAGCGTACTACTTCTTCACTTAATCTAACTAGTATAGCTGCTAATATTTGATGTCATCTCTAGGATTTTTATGATCAAATATCACGTGAACTAAACTCTGCCTATTACCGAAAAGAGAATGCAAAATTTGGTAAGCCTTTTCTTGCATAGAAAAAAAAAATTGTGGAGAAGCCAATGTAACTCCGCCAAGTAGTAGTTTTCTTGGTTCTGGGTTGGTTTTACTGGCTTAATTAGAACTTAGCTACTGAATCCTAAATTGGAAACCTTAGACGACACATTTCAATTCTGGTTATTTTTAGCTGACCTGAACTTTGTCAACAGTTGCCAATATTTCCACACTAATTAAAAATTTAGTCAGATATTGCGCAAAAAAAAATTTTTTTTCACCGCTAAACTTCCCTAAAGTGGAAAGTATTTGCGGAATTATATATAGTGGGGCGTCACCTTTCACTATGGGGCGACACCTTCTTTGTCGGCACAATGAACCGACTATAGCCTGATTTAGGCAAGTGCAACACGCGACGTGTAATTAATCTTCTGTCGGTGAATCTTTATTGTAAATTAGCTATTGTGAACGTGGCACAATTGTTATTTATGATATATTGTAGGTACTATTTTGGGAAATTGCAACCTCTTTGTCCTACATTGCTTTCTATTATATCGCCGAATAGAAGTACCACTTTAGGAATCGCAACACATTAGAACGCACGGCATAACTAGCGGGGTAGCTGTGGACCTGCTGGTTTAAGGGCTGCAAAAAAATATTGGTAAGTTGCATCCACAGCTTATGTGGCTCTAGAACTAAAGTTCGCGTTTATAAAGTCTCGGAATCGTGACTAGAGTTGCTAACCTTTACTCTCGCGAATTTGTGTGTTTATGTTCTTATCTTTTAGCGAGAAGATTTATTCTGCTGAAAATAAACTTTCTCATCTTACGGTTTTTGAACTTTTTATTTTTGGTGATTGTAGTGCATAGCTGAGTTAAGCTATGGTGCATAATTGGTCATTCATATTGTCGTGCGCTTGAAATAAGTTTGGACGTACTTTCTACAAAATTTATATATATATATATAGTGTGTATTTATCATAAAAGTAGGTAATTCCAAGTGTAAATTATTTAGCGTGGAAACTATCATAGTCAAAAAGTGTCCATATTCAATCGGATAATGTATTTTATTCTTTAAATTTGAACTATTTCCATTCATATAGTAGTTTTGAGCATACTTGATGAATTAGAAAGGATCTATTAAACAGTTTCAACGGAATTAAAAAAATACAAATTTTGAGTACATCAAAAGTTCCCATTTGATCGTTCGAGAGAGCAAGATATATTATTATGTTTACTTAATAGACAAAAATCGAGAAAAGTACCAGCATTTTTACTCTTGAACGGAGATTGCAGATTATTTCTAATGAAGAACACGTAGTTTTCCGAGATAACAACCCGAGATAACAACTCAGCAATGCTGTTGATGTATTTTGTTCATTCTAATACCTACAAACTCCTTACATCAAGATCAATTTCTTGAAAATCCTTTAAATTTGTGGCACTATCAATATTGATAACAAAATTTTCATCATACCAGCTAGACTAACCAGCCAAGAATAGCAGGCATATGATGTTGATCATCAACAATTGGAGCAACAAATAAATGTTCAAAAAATATTGTCGTGTTTAGAAAAGGAGAACGAAGTAAGAGTAATGACATACCGCAGTGTTGTCCATGTTCAACTTGCACCAATGAACTTCACATCGATTACCGTCTGCAAGCAAGGTAAACTTCTACATATATTTGTACCAACTCTACTTTAATAAAGTACTTGTGAGAAACAGTGTCCAATAAAGCATGTATTAAATACTCGTTAAAATAAATACGGGCCCATACTAGTGTATAATCACTGTACTGCTTGATCAAATAAACTTGTAATTATATTTCTAACTTGAACTAATAGGTGGCACATAAGACTTCAGCAACCTCAGGGGTTGAGTACCTATACATTTCATGTAATACCATGTAATAATTATATTTATAAAATAGTTAATTAGAATATTTTTGCAACTAAAAACATAATGTGCATTTGGTAGCCACTTTGAGAAGCTTCTCGAATCTTCACACAAAATCTATCTCATCAAAAAAAAATCTTGAAAAAAAAATGCAAACTATTTATATCGTGATTAGTCAGGATTCTACAAAAAAAGAATGGATCATAGCGAAGATTCACATATTGACAAGAAGCAAAAGGTAGAAATGTCACAAGAACAAGAAAAGGAACAGTTATTCACTACTGTTGGTGAACAAGCTCAAGAAGTTGACAATGAAGTTAGACAAACAGGTGCATTTGATGCCCAAGGTCATCCCGTTCAAGAGATTGAATCATTGTGTATGAATTGTCATGAAAATGGTGTAACTAGAATGTTATTAACCAAAATTCCATATTTCAGAGAAATCATCTTAATGTCATTTGAGTGTCCACACTGTCATTTCAAGAATAGTGAAATTCAACCAGCTGCTCAAATCGCTGAAAAGGGATCAAGATATGTTTTCAAAGTTGAGAATAAACAAGATTTCAATCGTCAAATTGTTAAGTCTGAAACCGCCACTGTTAGATTTACCGAATTGGATATTGAAATTCCGCCTAAAAAGGGTCAATTAATTAATGTTGAAGGTATTTTACAAGAAATGATTGAAGATTTAGAAAGTGATCAACCAGAAAGACAAAAGGTTCAACCAGAAATATATGAAAAGATCAACCAAGTGATAGCTAAAATTAAATCTTTCATTGAAGCTGAACCAAACACCTTACCATTGACAGTCACTATTGACGATCCAGCTGGTAACTCCTGGGTTGAATATGTTCCAGGTTCAGAAGAACATAAATGGAGTATGTATGAATACAATCGTACTGCCGAACAAAATGTTTTCTTGGGTTTGGTTTCTGCTGATGAAGTTGCTCAACATAAACTTAAGGAATCTCAAGAAAAGAAACAAGCTACTGAAACAAATGTTTCCTCTACATTATCCAATGCTCCTCACACTACTGGGTTCATTTCTGATGCCAGTGAAATTGAAAATTTTGCAAACGAAGTTCAAACATTTGCAGCCACTTGTTCATCATGTTACAAACCTTGTGAAACACACATGAAAACTGTTAATATTCCTCATTTTAAAGATGTTATCTTAATGTCTACTGTATGTGATCATTGTGGTTACAAGTCAAATGAAGTTAAAACTGGTGGTGCTATTCCAGACAAGGGTAAGCGTACTACTTTGAAGGTAACTGATCCTGAAGATTTAGCTAGAGATATCTTAAAGAGTGAAACCTGTGGTATGAACATCCCTGAATTAAACTTGGATTTAACTCCAGGTACATTGGGTGGTAGATTTACTACTATTGAAGGGTTATTGACACAGGTTATGGAAGAATTGCATGGTCGTGTCTTCACCCAACTGTCTGACTCTATGGATGAAGAAACCAAAGCTAGATGGACCAGTTTCTTTGCAAGATTAGAAGATGCTGTCAGTGGTAAGATTCCATTCACAATTATAATGGAAGATCCATTAGCTTCTTCATACATCCAAAATGTCTATGCTCCAGATAATGATCCAAATATGGTTATTGAAGAATTCGAAAGAACTTTCGAACAAAATGAATCGTTGGGTTTGAATGATATAAAGACTGATTAATTATAAAACTAATGTATAAATGCTTATAAAAGACCTTGTAATATACCTGAAGAGGCTGCTTTTTTTTCTATTTCTCAACTGGAGTCTAACACCCTTGCATACAAAATGGCAAGATCTTAGCTTCTTGCTGGATGTTTTGCCGATATGTACATGTGTCAACGGATATATTGTATCCTCTTAGTAACACTGCCTTCTGGGAAATTGCTTTTGGTCAGATTAAGGATAGATCTGGCAGCCAAATTTTTATCCACTTCATGCAGGATTTGTGTTTACCTTAACTTTCTTTTTTGCAACAACCTACCACATATTCACCAAGGGGTGAAAATGTTTCCGGTTCAGAATCGTACTTTCTTTCAGTCCAGGAAAAGGGTTTTAACTTTTCCCGTTCTCCCCTTTTTGTTTGATACATTATAAGTCTGTTCCTTCTGAGTTCTACTAATCAACTAAAGATAAAAAAAAGCAGCATGCAAGATAAGACCATTTTATCGTTACCCGATGATATTCTCAATCTGATATTCTCCCATTTGAATCAAGCTACAACTTTAATAACTATGTCAGTAAGCAAAAGGTTTCATGAGGTTGGATTAAAAAGATTGTACCGTTCTATATATTATCGTGGTGACAAATGGCCTCCTCTTTCACTTAAAGCTGAAGCAGATATTCCATTCCATCAAAACTACACTATTATCAATAAAAAGCAACAATTAGACAAATTACTTCTTCTGAAACACATGGATTTAGTCAAGTATGTTTTATGCAAAAGTGAAGATCGGGAGTTTAGATCGAGTGTTTTTGGTAAATGGCCCTGGATTAAAGTAGACTTGGAGCAATGCTACTGGAAAGATGAATCAGCTGGATACACGGATGTTGTAGTCACAGACTTTATCAAAGAACTCCCTGTTACTAATTTAGCACCTTTGGAACAAGATAACTATACCCTTAAAAGTTTGATTGTCATAGTTGATGAAATGTTGTCCACCGAGGTTTTGGAAATGGTTCCTCGAATGAAAGCACTTGAAAGGATCAAACTTGTTGGTCTGTCAGAGTACGCATTCGACTGTTTTAAATTTACCCCCAAGACTCCCTTGAAGATCAAAGGATTATGTTTATGCTTCATTGGTGTTGATGTTGTTGACTATTCGAGAATCTTAAGATTATTTGATATGAGTGTAATTACAAGTTTTGAAAGTAAATTACACTGGCTTTATCTGAATGTGGATCATCAAAACCAATTGACTTGGTTAATGTTCAACTTACCAAATCTTAAGAACTTGGCATTTGAAACATGTAGGTTTATGTCGTTTGCGAATGTTATGAAGCCTTTGCAGAAGCACACCTTGGAAAAGTTGTATATTACATGTCACCAGCTTCCTCCACTACGTGAGACTCAATTTCACTATTGCATGGAAGATCATGCCAAATCTCTCACTCATTTTTTTCTTAGTAACACCGACCAAAGACTTTGGACTTTTGAAGAGTTTCAAAGGATATACAAAAGAGGAACATCCAAGGATAAAGTTAAGGAAGTTGAAATAATTGACAAGTTTTTGCTGAGCGATGTGTCCTATCCTAATTTACGTTACATTGTCATTGATCGTGATTGGTATGTAATCGATCGAACCAAAAATGGTTTTAAAGTTGTACCTATGAATTAAATATTCTGTTTTGCTTTGTGGTATTTGTGTGTTGGAGTTGATATTGGTCTTTCTTTCCTTTAGATGTATTTGGGTGATGTATTTTTTTTTTGATTGCTGAGAGTGTCTACTTGGTCTTCTGTTTTCTTCGGTATTGTTTTATTATCATGGGTTATTATGCATATTGAACCCTTTTTCTCACTTGGCTAGAGGTATATATTAATATATTGTTGTTCTCTCTTTTACTATGAATCGTTTGTCTGCAAAAAAATGTAGAACTTTTTGCAGACAAAATATAGGTATTGCCTTAGATTCATTGTAAAAATCTATCACATACAAATACTTCCTAATAAATTCTATTCTATAAAATAAATAATAACCTATTCATCAACTAAAAAAGGCGAAGTCTCTTTATCATCATAATTTGGTTGAATTGATAATTTCGGTTTAGTTTGAACATGCACAGGGTAGTCAGCATAAATTGCTGAACTTCTAACTTGTGGAACATTATAATCACTAATGTCATCACCAGTAACATAAATCAGTGGAGGGGTATTGATTCTTAAATTCTCATTAGTCAAATAACTATGTCGCTTGACTTCTGTATCAAATGCAAGATTAGTATCTTTTATACCTAGCTTCTTATCCTTTTGATATTTCCATCTACATGCATAACCACCAATAAGCTCGTATACCCTCTTAGTATGTAATCGTTTAACCACTTTTTGTAGTAATAATCTTCGTTCTAAATAATCAGTTAAGTTCAAACATTGTCCTGAATCAAATGCAATGTATAAAGGTAATTGCAATAATAGCCTTGTAAAGGAAATTCCTGGATCGTTATTTAGTTCCATTGTGACCAATGCTTCTTCAATAAACATTTCATATTGCCTTCTTCTGGTTCTGATCTTGTCTATATCCATTGAATTCATTGTAGCTTCAATTGCAGTAAAATCAACTGACACATCATAGGGATCCATACTATTTCTAGTTATCCACTGTTTACAAAGTTTAGGAATTGTTAAATCACCAGAATACAAGTGGAATGATAATGCACCATCCAATTCTTTCAAAACCTTAGGTAATTCAATTGGTTTAATAAAACCTGTTCCTTCAGGATCAAACCTTTGCCAAGTTCTTTTAAACTTTCTAATCTCTTCACGTTGAATCAATTGGTTATAATTCGACCTATGGTTGATATAACTGAAACTATCCAAAATCAACGAAATAAACATATTCAAGAATATGTACATTGATATAATAGTCCATGCCATAAACAAAATATACGCATATTGCTTGTTCCCACAATCATTATTATCGAAATTTGGCTCACTCGTGCAGAACGGTCTTTCCAATGTAAAATCATTCATGATTGAATTCCAACCTTCGCCAAAACTGCATCTGAAAAGCAACACCAACAGCTTAGGAACAGTTCTAAAGTTTATATTACCTGAACTATTTGGTCCAATTTTGGTTAATCCAAAAATTTGGTTCATAGCAATTGCAAACACTAAGAATATAATTATCCAGGTGAAACTTAATGATATGATCTTGGGCAATGAAGCAGATGCAAACCTTGCTAACTGATTCAATCTATTACTTCTGGGGATAATAAATATCAATAAACCAACAAGGAACAACTTGTTAAAATTAATAAATGTTGAGCTTGGGTCAACCAAGAAGCCAATAACTGTAGTTATAAATGCTCCTAATGCAACAAAACAGTTGAATATATTCCACTTATATTGTAAGAATGACCTTCCTTGTGCAATAACAGTCATGATACTATTACTTAAGAATATAATCGATGTTATCATATACATCAGCTCTCGGAATATGATTAACAGGTCTGGTGATGGCCAACATTCCAACATCAAAGATAGAGCGTGGAAGAAGAATACCACATTGATAATCCTAGCCCATTTAACTGACTTTTCAACAGTCATATTATAGCAAAATTTTCTAAAGGCAGAAAACGTCTCTAGATTCTTTCTCTTTGACGGTTTGGTTTGAACCAAGATTTTCTTTACTTGATACCAAGCAATTTGATCAGTAGTCATATATGCTCTTCCTGTTGTCTTTGAATAATTACTAATGATAACCGAAACAAACAAGGTCAAAATGAAAACAGTACTTAATATATTGAATAGTACCACAAAAACCCCATTGAATGGACTAGCATCCTTAGAAGGTGGACTTCCTACCCCAGTACTTGCCATTACATTCGATAACAAGTCGGACCACCCTTCCAACGAAGTGATTTCAAATAAGGTAGCAAATGAATTTGCAAATCTATTAAAATGTAATTGTGGGCTGGCATATACGTTAGGGCTAACAATTTCCCAATTATATACAACACTTGGATATTCACCAAGGCACAATTCTTTTGGAGATACTCCATCGGAACACACACCTAATCTTCCGTTAAATACATTCAATCCCCAAATAGAAAATGGAAACAATAAACAAAGTGATATTATTGCTGCATTTATAATTTTCCAAAATCCTGAGATCATGGTATTGTGAAAATTAAGTGTTGCCGTTTGACTAATGGTCAACAATCTCAAAGCTCTAAGCGCCTTTAAACCACGAACAATTCTCGATAAGTTTCCATCATTGTTCAAAAATGCAATCACTTCAATCCATAACGAAATTAATACAGAACAATCTATTAAATTCCAGGAAGATCTAGCATATGCATTGGGTGTAAATACAAGTCCATCTGCAATTACCTTAATCGCAAACTCAATGGTAAACAAGATAGTAAATGCCAGTTCTAGCCAAAAAGTCCAGTTAATATTCCCATATTTCAACACTTGTTCACGTCTAAAAATTGGTGTCATATAACATGCACTGATCACTAAACCCACGGTAGCAAGAAACATAATTATAACGAAAATCTCGGACAACCTCGGAAATGGTACTACTCCATCTATACGTTCTCCATAGCTTGGCTTAACTAATCTTTGACAAATACGACGAAGTCGATGTCTTGGTCCAATGATATAAAATACATAGTTGTACTTTGGATTGTTTTGAAGATACTCATTCTGTCTTTGAACTAAAGACTTACGTTGCAGAAGAATTTCTTTTGCAAAATTGGCAGGACTAAAATCATCTAAATCTTCTGTCCTTGTAATATCGTCATAAAATGGATTATTTAATTTGGCTCGATAGTATGAAAGAGTGAAATATTTCTTCCAACTTTCACTAGACTCTTTTATGTCATAGTTGTCCCTTTCCAAAAAGTCATTCACTGCATTACCACTGAGCAATAAATTAATTACATCATGTTCCACATCGTTATAATTCTTGTTCCTTTTGAAAAGCTTTGTCTTTATCTTTGTCAATAATCCAATTTCATGATTTATATTCTGAATCTTGTTTGTCATATTATCAATAAACTGTAACAATTGTTGTCTTCTCTTACCTTGTTCCGAAACCTCCAATGTGTCTGCAATAACAGCAATGAAAATATTGAATATAATCATATTACTCAAAATAAACCAACTAATGATAAGAATTGCTCCCAAACATCTAGATGAAGTAGTTGGGGCATATTCTTGCATTGCGTACAATATATCCGTCCAATTTTCAGTAGATGTGATAATATATAATGATATGAATGTAGCGGGTAATGTATGCATCGAAAATGAAACGTTTTCAATTTCATCCATGGTCATAATTCCTTCAAAGAACCTTGCCAATATAATACTTATCAAGAATAACAATATAAAGAAGAACAACGTCAAATCAAAAATTGCCTTGAAATTCCCCATGATTTTCAACCAAAGATTTCTTGTAATTGAAGTAAACAAAACCACTCGATAAAATCTCATAATTTGGAAAACAGTCAACCAATAGTATGCCTGTCCTAATCTGTCCTTTACTGGTTCAATAATAATAATTGATGTGATAATAGCCAAGAATAAATCAAAACAGTTTCGTTTAGACCTAAAAAATAATCGCCAATTTGGAAAATGTATAACAAGTCGGAATATAATTTCAATTAGAAACGCAAGGGTAAAACTTGCTTCAAATCTGTATAGCAAGTGTCTTCTTTGGTCGCTCATCCCATTCTTTCTAAAACATTGAACCCATAAATCGGCAATAATCACAAGAATAAACATAAATTCTAATTTATAGTACCACTTAAGAAACACATTTTGATTCTTGAGAAATTCAATTCGCTTTTCATGAGGCTCACTGTGTCCAAACAAATCAAGAAACCTTTTATTCTGTTTCTCTTGTTCGTGTTCCATTCTGGTAACATTGAAACTTGTAACAATAACGGCAATGAATACATTAACTAACCACACACACATAATAAATATACAACCAATGAAAAATAACGATGCGGCAAAATTATCTGACTCTATAGTATCATACATTATGTCCGTGAACGTATTTGCACTAATCACAATAAATATCATTTCCATTGATTGCAAAATATTATCAAAATTAAGTGTTCCATTGTACGGATTTTCTCCACTTACACATCGTGAAAATTTTGGACATGTGTGCCCTTTGATTTCATTGGAGGATGAGCCATCTCGTAATATATATGGTTGTCGAACTCCATTCAAATCAAGATATGATCCACAAAAGTGAATCTCGTTGATAAAAGTTTCAGTTGGATCTGCTGGATTTGTCCAGACACATCTTCTAGATAATGAAGATTTGAATGATTGCACACCAATTATAGCCCAAAAAAACCAAAAGAATGAAATGAATATTGCAACATCGATTAACTGTGGGATGGCAGCTTTACATGCTTTCAAGATAGTGTTGGTACCCGTAGTCAAATTAAGTAAACGTAAAATACGTAAACAACTTATAGATCTGAATATCATTATGTGATGTTCCCTGTCATAATAGTTTATAGATAGGAGCAATGAAATCCAAAAGGTTACCATCGATATAAAATCAATTCTATGCCAACTGTTTCTAAGAAAAGCTCTTCTTAAGTGAAGTTTTTCAGTAATTTCAGGGTGTGTTTTCAAGAACGTGTTCTTCGAATTTAATAACTTGTTTGGAGGTTGAGAGTAATGCATATCTGATAATGAATCTTGCCTATGATGCAGTGTCATCCTGTATTTTGCCTTTATATCAATTTGTTCTTCAGCACTACTATAATCAGGAGAGAAATTTTCTTCTCTGACATAATAGCTTGTATCTTTCCTAGGATTCAAACATGATTTAAACAATGTGAATAACTTTATAATATAATGAGAACTGAAGTACATATTTCTGAATTCATTTTCAGGATAAGTCAATCCTAATTCTTGGTACATGATTTCATCATCAATGAATCCATAAGCTATAATTTTTCCAATTATTTCCAAGGTATAAATGAAGTTAATTAACATAAGCGTATAATCAGCCCAATTGTATCCGTCATATATATATCCTCCAATTTTAAGTGGATTCCATTGTCTATAACTTAATAAAGCAATCTGTAATACTAACAAGAACAAAAAGAAGGAATTTGTGTATTTATTTTCAAATACTTTGTAACAAAATTGCCGGATTTTTGATTCTGGTGAGAATACCTTAACAGATTTACCAAACAAGTACATGGTATTTGTTGAAATATGCTTATGTGGTGGGTGTAGATCGCTTGTAATTTCGTTAGTTTCATGGGTATCTGCTTTAGGATCTTTAAACGGGTTTGTTTGAGATGGTAAATCTTGTAATGAAGAATTAAACAATGATTGTGGAACTTTTAGGCTTCCTCCATCTTGTGTAGTATCTTGGAATCGTGCACTCATTGGTGTACTAGGCATAACAGGACTGGCCATGGGACTTTTCAGCTCATCTTTTGACTTGTCTTTTGGTCCTGTACCCGCAACTCTATCTGATATTCTTGATAAAACATTAGAAAACTTGATAACTGGTGTAGTAGGGGGCTGGTCGTTCCATGATTGTGCTTCTAGGTGGCTATGGTCATTCCCACTTGATTTTGATTTGTTGTCGAAGATAATTGAAGATTGATCTTGTGATCTTATACTTTGTCTTCTTCTAAGATTTTGCATGGGGATATTGAATGTGAAATCAGAAGGACTTCCTATTTCCAGATCGGCATCTTCGTGCCCCGTGTCAGTTTGTTTGTAAGGTACAGTGACGGGGAACCAATTTGGATCATTTCTGTCGTTCCCTAACGCGTAATCAATACCTTGCCGTAATTCTTCAACATCTTCATCATTGGTATGGTCATCATCTGGAGATGGAGAAGGACTTGATGAGTCACTCTTGGTGACTATGTCATATGCAGTTTTCTGTTTGCCATACAGACTCAGTCTAGTGTGTAGTAAGGGAGCTTCACTTGAACTGTTGTCGATGGAAGATTGTCGACGTGAGTTATAAGTAATACCTGAAGATGATCTGCGGTGCAGTATATCATGATGTAGTAGTGGTATACCACTTGAAATACTTCCCTGTGTGTTATGAGTAGGGTTTATGCTTGAGGAAGGGTAAGGAGAAGTTAAATCATCGTAGTAGTTAAAATGAAAGTCTTCTAGTATTTGATCTTCGTCTTCTGTCGGTTGACGTATTATTATATCAGGTTTAGTCCCTTTAAATATGTTATTATCCATTTTGGAAGTCTATTATGTCCTAATTCATGTGTAAGGGTGAAAGAAGTGTATTAGATCTGTATCTTTGAGTTGTGTTGTAAATTAAGATATCCTGGTGTGCTGCTATTTTTGGCTGACTAGAAAAAAAAAGTTACTAGGTTGAAAAAGGGACAACAATTTGATTCAGGAGTAAACCGTTAATGTCTTGGCTGCACTCGGGAGAGATCTGTAAAGAGAAAATACACATTAAAGGGATGAATTATTGCCCTTTGGATTTGAAATTTTAGATTTGCTTACTGAGAGATTATTCATCGTAAATCGAAGCCATGGACGATATCGTAATTTACAAAGGAGGAGAACAGAAGACAATTTGCAATTACGCGATAAAGATCAGCCCTAAGATTTTCTTGCCTCCCCTCTCGGTTGAATTTGTATTTCTTTGGCAGGATGTTAATATATTGCTATCTATAGCTTTGGTAACTTGGGTTCTCACTTAGTCCCCCTACCTTGAACTCCTTTAACTAAATCTGCAAGTCGACACAAAATCAATTGTTCTATTTCCGGAGCCGAAGAGGCTAAGCATCTATATGAAGAAAAAATGTTATTGCGTATTTAGTAGGCGCAGTAATAAATTGAGTTTATCCAAATGCATGTCTTAGTCTTTGCCATTAGTGGTAACAGAATTGGTCTAACATGACTACAGGTATTATTAGTTGTTTCACTTAGCCTAATAGCTCCAGATTGTTTTGTTCCTCGTGTATTTTTGCAATTCAATAACTTTCACCCCATTTATAAAAACTTTTAGCAAAGAATCATTCTCCTTTCCTGGAAATAATCCATCTCTGAACCAATGGTACGATTTCGAAACTCATAGATCAATCACGGCTTTAGATTGGTGGTTGATTGTTCAGTCAGCACTATGGATTCATACCTTGGTTATTTTCTGGTTGTTGCACGACCCGTACCCAATCATATTGAAAAAAAAAAAAAGTGAAAATTGTTTGTTTGAATCAGCTAATATCAATAGGTGTTCAAGCAATGTCTTCTATATTAAGGAAACTTCCTACCAAGGAAAGACTTCAACAACTCAAAAAATTGTCTAGTTCTATATTCAGTGAAACTTATAATCCAACCTGTAAAAGAAATGGTGGTCAAATCTTAAAGGCTGAATTAAAAGGTCCTGAGGTTTTGAAATATTACGGTGAAAACTCATCCATGCCAACATTCAAAGATTTCAAGAATTGGTTCCCTGAATTGAAATTGGTTGATCCAAGAGAAACCCATAGATTGAAATACATTGCCATTAGAAAATTGAGAAATAAAGGTGCTCCAAAGAAAAAGAGTAGTTAGAGTGGGCTAAATCTTCCTTGTACATAATACATGTTCATATTAATACAATAATAATACAGTTTAAACTAATTATCATCCTACCAGGTGTAGGTGATTCTATCAAGAAATGTTGAAATATGTGGCCCCACCAAGGACCTATCCTGATTAGATTCGCATTTGTACTTGCAAAATGCCACACGTTCCACTCTAACCCCTATTAAGATCGTTTGACTCTCTTCTTAAGATTAAATGTGTCCGTAATTGTACTGTCATCAGCCAAAGCTGCACTCAACAAATTTCTCTTCTTTAACACTAATGCTTCATTGTTCTTTCCTTCAATAACTTGCCAATGTACCAACTGGTCATAAAATACAATGAGTTCCTTCTCATAACTAATTCTTGATATTTTGGTGAATGACTTAAATATTGATTCAAGATTGCTCTTCGTCATGTCGTATAATAATACTTGCAGATTGGTACATATAACTATTTTGTCCTCTCTAATCATAACATCAATAATAGGTTCAATTGTCGTGATTACTGTTTTCAAATCAAACTCGAATTGATCTTCCTTGTATACCACTTCATAATAAAGTATCACTGAGCTATTCAATATGAAAAATGCCTTATAATTTTCAATAATAACTTGTGTGATAGTATGCTTGGTTGGTAGCGCAACTTGACCAAAATGTATGCGGTTCTCTTCTTGTTTCCAGCCTTGAATTAATTGAGGAATTTCTAAAGTCACATCCTTAACTACTCTTAACAACTTCATGGCAACGATCTGAACTTTAATATTTGCATCAATTATTCTTGAAATTAAAAAATATTCAGATTCATTAGTTGACAACCAATTATGAGTGAATTTAACTGGGCTCATTTCAGCTGGGGAGTTATCTCTATATTCAAATCCTTCAGTCGAGAATTCAACATCAATAATTGGGCGGACTCTCTTGGGTTCTGTTATACCTAAGAAGGAGTATACCATTAAATGATACCCAAATAAAGTTTCATCGTCATTAAATACACTAATCCAATTACCCGACTCAGACCAAGTAATGTGTGGGGGGGTAATGTATGGATGAGAGAGTCTAATTTTATGTATCAACACACTTATTGAGCCTTGGTTGTAGAAGTGGTATAATATAGGTGCGGAATTATATTCCCTTGTGTTGCCGAGTATTGACCAAAATCTATAATCTTTATTTGGTCGAATTATTATGTGATCTATTACTGGTTTTTCAATGGTGAATAAGATATGAGTGCAATCTAGGGAGTAGACCTTCAAACTTAATCTATGTTTGGTGAAGACAGCGATTTGTCTTGAATTGGAATATGCTCCTTCGTTAGTTTGTTGTATATCTGAAGGTGGGGGTATCCATTGGCACTTCTCAATGCCATCATGTTTTGTTTGTCGTATAATAATAGAAGGACTGACCGTGTCTGTGATATCGATAATGACTACCAATGCATGGTTATCCACAACAACTGCTATGAGTTTACTAGAACTGTTTGGTAGTATATGTTCCCATTCAACTTGTTTTATATCAACGAATGTATTCCTTGTTTGTGTTTTAAGATAGTTAGCAACAATATTTTGGATGTTAAATGTGTTTAGTATAGTCTTGTCTACGTTTTGAATTTCTAATGCATTGTTTGATTTGGTAGTGGCAACAAACTTCCTACATGGAGAAGCAATACAAAACTGTCGTTGTCTCATATTGTTGTTCATCTGGCTGCTGTCTATTCACCTTTGGGTTCAAAAACTTACAACCAAAAAAGATCACCAAAATGTAAACACAAGAAAAGAAAAAAAAAACAAAAATCACAATTTACAAAAACAAACGTAAATTCCACATATTTAGCACCTTGAAACGTAAACCGCAAAAACGTGACACCATAAAGCTGCATATTCCTTAATTATGCCTGCGAAGAAGAAGAAACCAACAAGGAAACAGCAGCAATTACCAGTTTCATCCAAACGAGTAATTTCGGGCGAACCCATACCAAATTTATCTCCTCCATCATCACTTCCCCAACAACAGTCAACCACAAAGGAATTCCCCCTCTATACCAGACCATCCAAATACAGCGCTCTTTTCAACTCACAAGATTCTACAACGGCGTCTTATTCGGAAATCACAACAAAGAGAACATCACAATCTCAGCCCATAGAGCATAATGGGAGGAAGAAGCGGAAGAAACAATGGAGTACGCCCATTCAACAATTGCAACAGGAAATAAACTTACTTGGAAACGATGAGGATGATGAGGATGATGATGAAACTGTTGAATTTAAGTTCACAGTAGATAAGCCGACAACAAAAACAAATAACTTTTTGGATGGTGTATCACAACATATGGTGGGGTTACCAGATGAAGCACCAAGAAAAAGTATAAACAAACGAAGACAATCATATAACAATCGAGGTAAACGAGCACTGTCTATCGGAAATGGATTTATAACTGACTTGCATGAAGATGTTCCATTGAAGAATTATTATAAACATATAAATGCTTCCTTACCTGACCCAGACAGAATGAGACAATTATTAGTGTGGTGTCTGAAACGACGTTTAGCACAGGACAATAACAAGAAAGAATCTAATACAAATAATCAAACCAATCTTAATATTGCTAAAGTGATAGAAGAGGAAATTACTAAAAGTCTAATGGACAAGAGAATACCAACTAGTTGGTACAATCGAGAGAATGACCCCAGTCAAGTGTATGGTGGGCCCAAGGTTATGATGGAAAATCTTCAAAATCAGAAGAACTTTGCCAATAATAAAATATTTCTGGAGAAAGTGAATAAACTTAAAAAGGGAATACGTCAATGGGAACAGGAATATAACCTGGATGTTGACGCCATTCGAAAGACTCCAACAGACGTGCCACGAGACATTAAAAAGAAGCAAATTGACGATTATTCCTCAAACACTAATCTAGAGATAGATACATCTATCGTTGATAAACTCACTGAAAGTTATTCTCAAGATGCACAACTAGTCAATAAAGACTTGCAGTATTATCTAGAGATTCTTAATCATACAGTGAGGTTACTACATATTGATGCCAAGAAGGCACAATTGATTCAAGAGGAACATGCTATTAACCCAGTACAAAGTTATAAGGACGATTTTTATCGTAGAAATAGCATTGAAAATTATCGAGCTTTAAGAGCACGAGAAGATAAGTCAAGTGTGCATTGGCCATATCCTATAGCATCACTCAAAACCAAAGATTTATTAACTTGTTTGGGGATTATACAAACGCGAAACAAGGACTAGAAAGGTTTGAGTTTTTACAAACGTTTTATTTCACTTCTATTTGTATTATGCTATTTTGTTTTTTTTTAACGGGTACTAAATTTCCCCGTTTGTTTTCTGTATTACTAGTGTGTCAATATATGTATATTAACAAGTTCAAGGATATATATGCCTTGTTTATGAATACCTATCAAAAACCCAAACCAGCAGTGCCTTGCGAATAGTTGTGTGCTATGAAGAAAGTTTACTTCTTTTTAGCAAATAATGGTTCACCAATATTCTTACCTCTCAATTTAACACCTAAAGCTCTTTCCAACTTTCCTAATAATTGTTGGTTTGGAACAGCTCTACCAGCTTCATAATCGTTGATAACGTTTGGTTTTTCGTTAACTTTAGTAGCTAAGTCCTTTTGGGTTAACTTCTTTTCTTGTCTGGCTTGTTGGATGGCCTTACCGACACTAGCATCTAACTTCTTGACAGTAACGACATCATCAGTTGCATCCAACTTAGTTAATCTTTGACCTTCTGGGTTTGATTTGGTGTTGGCGGTACCATATTTCTTTTCAATACCAACAACGGCACCGGCTCTTCTGGCAGCATTAAGTTGACCTTGAGTTCTGGCAACGGTTTCTCTTGGACCACCACCACCAACTCTGGCTTTTTGACCAATTATAGTAACATTATCCCAGTCAGACATTTTTGCTTGTGTATGTAATTTGTTTGTAAGAAGAAAAAGACGGAGAATGAAGTCACAAGTTTTTCAGGTTGCGTAATTCTAGTGGTGGCGGCGGTCAAAAACTTTTTTTTTTTCTTTCTTGTTTTTCTCCCGCAATTACTCATTTTGTGGTGGCACACGACTTTCTCCGTGGAAGTTTCTAGAAGTGATAACGAGAACAGTAAACACGATTAAATCACTAGGTATCAATGTACACCTATAGCAATAGGCATGCTTGTGACTTGGTAATTTGTTAATTGAAAAGTATTGATATATTGTTGACAATTATACATCATGTGGTAGCGGTGGTAATCCCTCCCTCCTTCTCCCGACCGCTCCCTAAACCTTTCTTCCAACCGCGGAGCACTCAAAAGAGAGGGAAAATTTCGCGGTAGTTTTTTAAAAGTTTGCCAATTGACAGCAACAACAACAAGTGGACAACATTATGACTGCAATTGAAGTTAAATCACGTTCAAAGTCTATTAAGTCACTTAAAACTGACTTATCTTTAGATGGAAAAGTTCAAGAACTTGTTAATGAAATATCTTCCAAGAATTCCATTTCCCAATATAGACTCAGATTAACTATTTTGGATAAAGAAACTAATAAGCAAAAACCATTGGATGCTAATAAGTCCTTTATTGCTAATGGAATCACTTCAGACAAGGTTGAACTCTTTGTTAAAGATTTAGGACCACAAATTTCCTGGAGAACTGTTTTCTTGATTGAATATTTCGGACCATTTATTTTCCATTTTTTCTTTTACTATGTCAGCAAGTCATATGGTGTTGAAGCATTTGAGCATTCTCAAACTCAACAATTGGCGTTTGTTTTAGTATTGGCCCATTTCTTGAAGCGTGAATATGAAACTGTTTTTGTTCACAAGTTCTCCAATGCCACTATGCCTGCTTTCAATATCTTTAAGAATTCTGGACATTACTGGATTTTATCTGGTTTCAATCTTGCATTCTTCATTTACAGACCAAACGTTGGAAGATCAGGTCCTTTAAGTTTTATTTTTCATGTCAATGAACACTCATCATTAGTGAGCTATGCCCTTGTTGGACTTTGGGCTTTTGCTGAAATTTCCAACTTTATTACTCATGGAATCTTGGCTAATTTAAGAAAGGGTGATACTAAGAGATATGTTATTCCATTTGGATATGGTTTTGACTTGGTTGCTTGTCCAAACTATTTCTTTGAATCTTTAGCCTGGTTAGCTTATGCTTTATTAGTAGGAAATTGGTCAGCTTGGGTTTTCTTGTTTGTTAGCTCTGGGCAAATGTGGTTATGGGCCGTTAAGAAACACAAGAGGTATTTACAAACTTTTGGTGATGATTACAAAAAATTAAAGAGAAAAGTATTTATTCCATATGTACTTTAGTTTTCATCCTTTGGATTGAATTTAATTGAAATACTATTGACACAATGTCTTTCATCTGTAGGTGTTTTGTAGCCTTCCCCTTTAAAAATATGACCTAAATGTCCATCACATTTAGCACATCTCATTTCTTCGCGGACCATACCATATGAATCATCACGATAAACCTTGATACTTCCAGGAATAGCTTCATAAAATGCTGGCCAGCCGCAATGAGCAATAAATTTAGTCAGGGATTTGTATAAGGGGTTCCCACAACCAGCACAGTCATAAAAGCCTTTGTCGGTAGCTGGTGTGTTGGTGTATTCCCCTACGTTTGGGGCTTCAGTTCCACGTTGTCTTAACACTCTGAATTGTTCTGGAGTTAAGACTGCTCTCCATTCTTCTTCGGATTTAGACATGTTTCTTGTGAATACTGTAAATAGCTGTGAAACTGGTGGGAAAACTGTTCTGGAAGATTGTGCAAGTATTCGTGACAAAGACATAAAAAGAGACTATCTAATGTTTATATAGCCTTGTTCTTTTTCTGGTGTTCAATCGCTTGCTGTTTGCCACTGATATATGCAAAACCCCAAAATCAACCAAATTTGGTTAATGCGACAAAGATCTCGGATAAAGTCTGGAAAATTTAAGCTGTTATGCACAAAATTACTAATACAAGATTAAAAAGGTTTTACAGACGTACATTTAAAGAAGTAATGACCGAAATACTCGGTTTTAACGTTTAACCTCTATTTCGAAATAACCATGTATGAGATATAAGCTTGAATGAAACAAAAAAACCGAGATCTAAGTGAGATCTTCAGATTTAACAGAGCCAAACAACCACATGGTATTGCAGAACAAAAACTTCCTGAAATTAGCAGTTCTTTTTTTGTAATATACACCGTATGCTCTATGCTAAAATGCAAAAATTAACGTAAAAAGTAATTATACTTGCCCTTTTGTTCTCTTGATTTGTCCTTAGAACTTGTCTTCAAATCCCATTCAATTTCAATATCGATTTCTCTTGGGTTAATCTTACTTGGAGCAGAAGTAATCTTACCTTTGATAATATCACCTTTTCTAACATTCAATACTTGATCCATATAGAAAACAGTTTGTTTCCAATGAGTGTACTGGTTCATTGGTCCAGTAGCCAAAGTGACTTTTTCATTTCCTGGGAATACAGCATCCCAGTAAACAATATAGGCATGACACAAATCATTTTCAAGAACTTCTAATTCAAAATCACGCTTGAATGCTAATTCTTCTTTGGTAACAGTATTAATATCAAATTCAAAGAATTTGGCTGAAGAAGTAATTAAAGCATTGTTTTCAACAGTGTCAACTAATGGCTCACTCATGGCAGTCTTGATAAATGGAGTATAGTCAAACCCATAGACATCTTCCCAATAATGAATCTTTTCATCCTTATATTGACCATCTTCAATACCAGCAATGTACATGTTACATTTATCTGGAAGAATTAATCCACCTTTGACAAGATATTTGTCTCTGGCATACAACACAGTGTCCAACATACTTTCATACAATAAGAAATATCCCATCCATTCAGAAATAATTATATCCACGGAATCAACAGGTAAGGTGATATCTTCCAATTTACCTTGTAACAAGGTAATCTTGTCAGTGAATCCATTAAGGTTAATAATTTCCTTGGCCTTGCCAATAATACTGGACATATCAACAGAATAAACATGTTTGGCACCAGCTTTAGAGGCAAACATGGAAAGAATACCAGTACCACAACCAACATCCAACACAATCTTATCCTTGAAAAGATCTTTGTTTTTATACATGGCATTACGGTAACTCAATGTACGGGAAGTATCCTTCAACATTTCTTCGTGAATACCAAAATGATCATATGAGGAGAAGTAATGCTGTTCATGGGATGACAACTTGGCTTTATCGGTAGCTGAATCGGACATTGTATACAATTGATAATATTTAAGGTTGATTATTGTTAAAAAAAGAAGAGATGTGTTGCCAAAAATATATTTACAAGTTTAAATTTTGTGAAAAATTAATCTGCGATGGTGTTGTTCTTTTTTTGATGTGTGAAAATGGAAAAAAAAATTAATGCAAGGAATACATTTAATGGACGAGTCCGGAGTCGAACCGGAGACCTTTCGCATGCTAAGCGAACGCGCTACCAACTACGCCACACGCCCTGTGATTTTTCAATTTTTTTCTCCTCGTTTAGGATATGCGGTAGATAGAATGGCGATTGGTAGCGTTTTTGAGATTATAGAATACTGATTAATTTGATTTGAGAGGATAAAATTCATTTAATAATATAAATTGGAACATTATATAACGTGTAAGAGTTGTGGTCTTTCAATTGAAAATATTTTTCTTCATGGAAAGTTGTGTTTTGTATCTTTTGGTTTTTTGAAAATTTTTGACTATTTTTTGAGAATATATATTTATATTTTGAAATTCATTTGCCAGTTTTTACTTAGGTTTAATAGAAAATATGACGAGTTATCTAGATAAACGATAATTTGATACTTTGCTAATAACAAAAAACTCCCAATTCAAAAAAAATCATTTTTCCCCCACATGGTAGTTGGATTTATCTGATAACATTAAAAAGCTAACCACTGAACTGTCTGTTTTATTTTACAAACATTTAATTTTTGTTTGAATTTCTTTGAGATCCAATAAACACTTACAAGGAAGGATTTTCATAAGCATAGGATAAACTAATAAACTAATCTAAACCAAATTTGCCTTACTAGCAGTCTTTCATATTAGAACCTGGGCAGTCATAGGTACACACGAATCACCTCTATTTTTTTTCTTTTTTCGCAACCATTACTCTACAGTAAATAGTTTATAAGTTACTAATATTAAACATTTGTTATACAAAGAGAGCTATACAAATATAGCTATGAAGAATTGAATAAAAGCAGCAAATTTACTCGGAGTCATCAACCAGGATTTGATCTTCAGTTCCAACTCTTTCCTTTTGGACAATGAAGTCTTTAACACCTTGTTCACCTAACTTTTCCATCATTTGAACAGCATCGAAAGTTTCAACTTCAGTAGACTTGAACTTTCTAGCAGGAACCTTGTCGTGGAATAATTTGTCCAATTCAGCGAATGATCTACCTTTAGTTTCTGGTAATTCGAAATAAACCCAAATACTAGAAAGGATAGCAAAACCAGCCCAAAGGAAACCAGACTTGGCCTTCCAGTTCCATTCAGTTGGGTTCAACATATATGGAGTAATGATACCAACAATGATGTTAGCCAAATTATACAAGTTTCTTGCCAACATGACAGTTCTAGCTCTCAATCTAGCACTTGGTATTTCAGCAACAATACAGTAACATAATGGACCGATGGTTAAATCATAAGTGAAGGTATAAATAAGAAGCATTGAACCGACACCCCATGAAGCATTCTTGGAACCAGATACACCTAAACCACCAACAATGAGTAAAAGAACCGACATACAACATAAACCATAGAAGTAGATTCCGAATCTACCAACTTTTTGAGAAAGGAACCATGAACCAACAGTACCAATGATACCTAAACAATATTGAATGATAGAAAAGTTGAAAGCCATAGATTCAGGTAAACCAGCTTGAGTGTAGAAATAAGTAGAGTAACCCATCAAACATGAACCAGTAATACTTTGAACTAACCAAGTGAAACCAGCAATTCTAGTTCTTCTCAAGTTGACACCAGTGAAACAATCCTTAATAGAACCACCACTCTTGAGGGCATCTTCTTCTTTAATGGTCATTTGAATCTTGGTTAACATATGTTCAGCAAGGATTTCCTTCTTTGGCAAGTTTTTGTTTTCAGTTAATAATCTGGTAAGAGACTTCTTAGCTTCTTGATATCTTCCCTTCTTAACCAAGAACCAGGGAGATTCAGGAGCAAGATAAACACCTAAACACAAAGGCAATGGCCAGATCCATTGAATAGCAAAAGCAATACGGTATGCATGTTCTCCTTGCATCGTCAGGATACCCTTAATAACACCAGAAGAAATCAATTGACCAAAAACCCAACAGACATTAACATATGTGGTGAGATAAACTCTAAGCGTCGTAGGAGCAACTTCAGAAGCATAAGTGACAGTAATAGTTTGGTAAGAACCCCAGTTAATACCCAACAAGACATAAGAGAATAACAAAACTTCTCTATTTGGAGCAAAGAATTGAATGAAAATCAAACCAACAGAAGCAATCAAAGCAGGCATCAAAGTTTTTCTATACCCAATCATATCAGCAAAGATACCGGCAAGGAAAAGACCAATCAACTGACCACAGTTGTAACCCATTGACAACCCAGTTTGCCATCTAGCTGGGATTTGATATTGTTGAATATCAGGATACCAATCACCGAATTTTCTAGCAAAACCAGGGTAAGCAAAGAAACTTGATAACAAGTTTGTATCATAACCTTCCATAATCAACGCAGTTGAAAGAATAATAGACCACATAACAGCCTTAGGGAAAGTTCTTATACATTCACCAAGAGGCATGTGCTTTTCCTTTTGGTCATTATCCTTAGCTTCATTAGACATATCCAAGAACTTGGAAATGTAATCATCGATATCAGCATTTTGAGATTCGGTTTCGGTTCTCTCTTCAACAAGGGTAACACCCTTGTACTTTTCGTCAATACTACTTGTAGACATATTCAACTGTTTGTTAATATATGAATAGTAGAGAATAAGAAATGCAAAATATCATTCAAGACAGAAGATTTCTACTTGATTTTATATTCTTCAGGAGAAGCTGAGAAAGAATTGTGAAGATAAATCATAAAGACAAAGAGAAAGTATTCCCCCGGAACAATGGCCCCATGCAAACACGAAGTGTAATGTGGAGGTTTGTCGAAAATATTAATTTTAATTTTCTTTTTTTTTTTTTGACATAAAAAATTTTGCAAAAATAATATTATTTTTAAATATTCTAGTGTGTTTTTTTTTAGTTCATTTTCTTTGCTCATTAATGTTATTATTGCTTCCCGAGGTTAATGTTAGTGGCAAGATTGTTGGTTCGCTTTCGCACCACAACAGCGGTATATTCTATGGTAAACAAAAATTAATGTAAGGAAATGTGGTAAAACGGTTTATGAACCGTTATGTCTTATTTCTTAAAGCTGGATATCGAATTTCTCCATGTAGACAACACATTTCCAGATCTGTGAAAATGCTTAAAAAGAAAAAAAAATTTTAGATGGGGGGAATGCCGCAATCTTTCTCGCTGAGTTGTAACCAACCACTCGGTATTTGGATTGTTTTTTCTCCACAAATCTAACCCTGGGAACAATGTCGTATCACTTTTAGCCCCCTTTCAACTACAATAGAGTATATCAGGATAGTCATTCATGTTAGAGAAGAAGTGGATCGAGGAATTTATTCCAGTTTCTGGGGTCAATGCCCGCGGAGATGCGGCGTTCACTAATAGATTTAAAGTTTTTTTTTTCTTTTTACAATTTTTTCTTGTTTAAAACCCCACCTTGAAATTGAAATTTTCCGATTTAGTAATTTTAAACTTTGAACGTTTTTCCAGAGATCTGAATCTGGCACTGTAAAGCGCTTGTTGAGAATAATTTTCTCGGACTTATCACACATACACTCGATATAGATACGAAAAGGAAAATAATTATATGGACAGGAAATATGGCCGTTAACAATATTCCTTTGTCAATTACCCCATCCGTTATGAACCTGAATGGGGAAGCTGCAAAGTCTATCGCAAAGGAACGCTACAATGCTCGCCTCAAATCATCCTGCTGTAAAAATACCCACAAAATTGAATATCAATACGTTTTAGATCACCGGTTTCGGACATGCAGTTAACACATAATCAGAACTGTTGAGAACTGTTAGGCGTTGGCACAGTCTATTTCATTTCGAGTCTAATTACCCGTTACCACATCTGAAACATTCATGCATAATTACTAAAAGAAAATCCGGTCGCGCGCGCACGGAAAAATACACCCCAACAGAAATAAAATAAAGTTTTGTCGTGCAGCAATTGCCGCAAGACAAAACTTTATTTTGACATAGTTGCACCATTGATTTGTAAAACTACATTGTTGACCTTCTGAATTAACGTTATGTGGGCTCCCCGCCTGGAATTTAATCCATTGTTACCTTTGGGTACGGCGGAGCAAACGAGGAGGCGTGAATGATTGTGGTTAGTGAACTTTGTTACTTCAAACCATTCTAAGAAAACATAAGCAAGATAAGAATAGAATAGTCAATAGTTTTCAAGGACTAGAAATCTCTCTAAATATTTCAACGATTTTCCGAAGCATATAAAATGCAAAGTATATGCTCAAATCGTACGATGGTAAAACTCAACTTGAAAAACCTGTAAAAAAAAAAGCACGGTCTAAATAAATACTAAAATTAGAAGCAATAAACGTACAATAACCACCAAATTATTCATGCAATGCAAGTTGACTAGCCATAAAGGGACCTCTTTGTTTTCTAATTTCATAACATGGGGACTATGTTGTTCCAAAAGTACTTGTAAAAAGTTCGTAAATTTCGCTCAATGTCATCTATTTCCTTGTTGAATACTTTCTTAAAAGATCGCTTTTTCTAAATCTGAATTGATGCAAAGAATCCTCGGTGCTTCCCTTTCTCTTGCATGACATCATAGAATTAAGAATGGAATAATGGGAATTCCACTTGAAATTTCTCGCTGCAATGCTCGTCGATGCTGCAACTGTACTTTCCGACTAAACCTGAATTAGGAATGTTCGTATATGCACCCCTCATCCGATTCCGAAATAGTTAACCCGCTCGATAGATATTTTTTTTGTTATGTAAAAATAAAATGAAACTGAGCGAGAAATTTTGCATCCAAAAATATTCCGAGCTTCTCAGCGCATTTCCATTATATTTCCCGACAATTTCCAGCTGCGAATATTAAATCCCCCACATTTTCAAAAAAATTCTAAAGAGGTAATTGTTCCGAAGAGTGGAGGAGGATCTACCTGCTTTGTTGATCCCATCTACGGAGGAAGTTCGGCAAAATACAAGGTCTGAATTGTGTAAAACGTGTAAAATCTATGGAATCCTATATAAATAGCCATCTCTTTCGCTTTCATTCTTGTTTGGCAAATTTTCAAACTACTTTTACAAATCATAAATACTTTTTAAATATGACTATTGATAACACCTGGTGGAAAGATTCAACTATCTATCAAATTTGGCCTGCCTCCTACAAAGATTCTAACGGTGATGGTGTTGGTGATATTCCAGGTATTATCTCCACTTTAGATTATCTTAAAGACTTAGGAGTTGATATCATTTGGTTAAGTCCAATGTACGATTCTCCGCAAGATGATATGGGTTACGATATTAGTGATTATCAAAACATTTATCCAAAATATGGTACTCTTGAAGATATGCAAAATTTAATCGATGGTTGTCATGAAAGAGATATGAAAATCATTTGCGATTTAGTTATTAACCATACTTCTTCTCAACACGCTTGGTTTAAGGAATCCAGATCTTCCAAGACTAATGCTAAAAGAGATTGGTATATTTGGAAGAAACCAAGATATGATGAAAGTGGTAACAGATTACCTCCCAACAACTGGATGTCTCACTTTTCTGGTTCTGCTTGGGAATTCGATGAACTTACTCAAGAATACTACTTGAAACTTTTCGCTATTTCTCAACCAGATTTGAACTGGGAAAATAAGGAAGTCAGAGATGCTATTTATGACACTGCCTTGAAATTCTGGTTCGACCGTGGGGTTGATGGTTTCAGAATCGATACAGCTGGTATGTACTCCAAAGATCAAGCCTTCCCAGATGCTCCAATCGTATTCCCAGATCAATATTACCAACCAAGTGGATTATATACCAACAACGGTCCTAGAATCCACGAATTCCACAAGGAAATGTACAAGAAGGTAACTTCAAAGTATGATGTTATGACCGTTGGTGAAGTTGGCCACTGTTCTAGAGAACAAGCTTTGAAATATGTCAGTGCCTCGGAAAAGGAAATGAATATGATGTTCCTTTTTGATGTTGTCGAAGTTGGTTGTAGCACTGGTGATAGATTCAGATATAAAGGTTGGGAATTGAAGGATTTCAAAAAGGCAGTCGAGAACCAATGTCAATTTATTGAAGGTACTGATGCTTGGTCTACTGTTTTCATTGAGAACCATGATCAAGCTAGAAGTGTCTCTAGATTTGGTAATCCTCAATATCGGGAAAAGAGTGCTAAATTGTTATCATTGTTGCAAGCTTCCTTAACTGGTACACTTTTCATTTACCAGGGTCAAGAGATTGGTATGACCAACTTACCTGCCTCTTGGTCTATTGACGAATATAAGGATATCAATACTATTAACTACTATAAACAATTTGTTGAAAAATATGGTAAAGATGCTGATTTTGATATCAAGGAAAAGAAACTTATGAATATTATCAGCCAAGTTGCTAGAGACCATGCGAGATCACCAGTTCAATGGGACAGCACTGCTTATGGTGGGTTTTCCACTGGTAAGCCATGGACCAGAGTCAACGACAACTTCAAGGAAATCAATGTTAAATCACAGCTCAATGATTCCAATTCAGTATTGAACTTCTGGAGAGAGAGCTTGAAGGTGAGAAAAGAATACAAAGACTTGTTTATCCATGGTGAATTTAAGATTTTGGATTTTGACAATACAAAATCTTTTACTTTTATCAAGGAATCTCACAAAGATTCTCAAAAGGCTTATGTTGTTCTTAACTTCTCTACTGATTCTGTAGAATTCAGCAAGTTAATTGATGGTCTGTACAAGTTAGTTCATTCAAATGTGGAAGATGTCAAGGAAGACGTTTTATCTCCATATGAAGGTCGTATTTATATCGTAGATTAGTTTTTATAGTTTTGGTTGCCAGATTTATTTAGCGCGATTTAATACAAGTTGCATATTTTTTTTTTTCAAACACACTTTCTTTTATCACTAGAACCAGCAATGCAGCTGGAAACAAACGACGATGTCGAAGAAGGAAGAAAAACCTTGAAGCAACAGTTACAGGAGAACAAAGGTAAGTGTATATGGGGCCATTGAAAGCAATTGGTGTTTTGTTGGGTCACTTTTTTTTACCCTTGCCAAACATTATATACTAACTTGCAACCAGATCGAAAACTCAAAGAATACCAAGAGAAGCTCCAGAGCCAGAACTCCTCATATATATTAGATGAATCTGCAGCTCAGTTCTATGCTGATCTAAAGAAGAAAGACCTTGAAAGAGAACATGAGATAAAACAGCGAGAGGCACAGGAACTACGAAGATTCAAGCAACTACAAGAATCTAAAAAGAAACAGCCACTCATGCCAACTCCTATAATAGGAGATGTTTCAATAAAGAAGAAGCAAATCCCTAATAAGACAATTAGCAAACCAACTAAAGTAGATTCATCCCAAATCAAACTGAGACTAAAACCTACACAGGCGGTTCAGTCCCCCAAAAAATCACAGGATGAAGATCAGAAACACCAGCAAGACGAAATACCAACAAACAATAACAAGGAAAACATTGTAAACTATTCATCTAGCGATGAAGACTAGGCTCTGTTGGTCTCTCACTGTTTGTTCGATATCACCCCTGTTTATCTGCCATTAGGTCGTGCAAGATTCAATATCACGATCATAGAGTGAAGTTTTTTTTTTTCTTGAACAATTTAAACATTTTCATTGTTAACTACTGGCCAATATCTGCAAACTACCAGCAAAGATGTTCATGAACCTTATTCAATCTGCCAGCAGATCAATCTTTGGCAACAAGCCAATAATAAACACATTAATACAAACAAGAACTAAGATGAAGTCACACAAAGGTATCCGTGCCAGATTTATCAAGACTGCCAATGGTCTTAAGAGGAAAAGAGCCGGTAGAAATCACGGTAACGGTCGTTTCGCCGCTAGTGATTTAAAACCATTAGATGGCTACATCAATGTTGAAAACAAAAAAGATTTAAAGAAATTGTTGAAATATTATTAGGTACTCCAAGTCTTGTAAATAGTGCAAAATACAAAATTATCTATTAACATATAGTAGATTCTATTTATTATATTCTACTTCAACCCATTTTCCAGTTTCTGGAGATTTTTTGATTTCACTTGTTGGGAAGTAATGATAATCTGTCTTTAAAGTTATAGCAACTGGAATATTATCAAATGTTACCATTCTCAATTTGACAAATGTATTGTCAGGGATATCTCTAACAACCTTAACAAACGAGTTAAGATCTTTAGTTTCTTGATCATTGACATGAGTGATGAATGCAATAGGGGTGATACCATATTGATGTGCTGGTCCACCAGGCGCCTTTTCAATGACATAAACTTCTGATGGGATAGTCTTCATTAATTGTCTTACTCCATAATGAGGAGTTTGAAGAAGGGCACCGGACCAATTGACAAGATGAGACGTATCAAGTGATGTGGTGTCAATGGTTGGCACTTGTAAAACCATTTCCTTCTTTTGTCTAACAATTCTAAACTCTAAACTTTCTTGTTCATACATATCACCAAAATCTCTCATGCTCTTGACAATCCTACCATTTACAGAAAGAACAATATCACCAGTTTTCAACGGACTATGCTTGCTATGTAAACTTGGTGCAGCCACTCTGTCTACTGCCAAAAACTTAATTTGATCTTCTGATTCATCTTCGAATTTGTTTATCCAACTTTGGGAAACACCTCTGGTTCTTCCTTGAAATACAGTGATGGAAGCAAATTCAGCTTCGAGTATTCTTAAATGTTTTGGAATCTTGTTGGCTTGTAATGAGTCAATAACTTGACGGACATCAGTAACGTCCAATCCCATTTTGTACATTTGATCATTGGCTTCACCTAAATAGGTCAACCAAAATGCACGAACGGTACCGTCATTATCAGCTAATACACCAGCATCACATTCAACAGTGACTTTACTATCCAACAACACACATTCCAAATTGGTTCCTCTATAACGTGGAGCCATAGAGTTGGCAGTAACATTCAATGATGAAACGGCACTAACTTTGACATCTTCAGTGACTAATCTGAGATTATAGTTGTACCCGATAAAGAAAGACTTGTCGCCTCTCTTCAATGGCTTGGTTGCAAATGTAGGAGTCTTGACATCAGCCAATACTAAAGAGGGATCATACTTGATTATGACATAGTTGAGATGAGGGTGCATAAACACAACTTTCCCTGGGACATCAATAGATTCAGCAAATATAACAAAGATGTCACACATATCATGAGGCACAAATCTTCTCGACACTAAAACAAACCCATTAGTTGAGTCAATGACTACCCCATAACAGATTTCCTTCTTGAAAGGGTGAGAATCAACAGTGCTGGGTGATATGGTTCGTACTTGAACAAAAGATCTCACTAAACCAGAACAACCCTTCTTCTTATCATCACTGAACGGGATGTCAATATATTTGGCATTTTGTGGTTGAGATGGGATAGGATCCAAAGGTTTTTCTTGAAGGGTAGTAAAATCCCACAATCCAGTTTCATCATTACGTACAGCTTTCTTGAAGGATGTGGCCCAATGTCTGTCAACATAAATAGTTTGAACATATTCTGAATGCATATCGGAAACATGTCTATAAGTAATCGGTACTCTAGCACAATCAGGGATATTCTTCATAACTTCGACAAATTCATTCAAGTTTTCAACTAGCTTATCATCCACGGTTTCCAACAACCAACCAGTTGGATCTTGATTAGAAAATTCAAAAGAACCAGAGGCGTTATTGACATAAACACCCTTGACAGGTAAACAGAAACATCTTGCTATTTGGTAAGACAAGTTGTTAAATGTAGCACCTGAAACTGTGACAAATGTGTTGGGAGTGATGTCATGAAGGTTACCAACCTTGATCATTTGCTTGATTTCAACTCCACCTCTTTGAATAACAAATTCTAATTCCTTGCCAACATTTTCATCCAAGATTTCATCAACACGAATAAAAGTAGAGATATGTTCTCCGTTGATAGAAATCAAGGCATCACCTTCTTTGATAGCTCCATCAGCTGGACCTTCGGGCAATACTAATTCAGCAACTAATAAACCAATCTTGTTTGGGAACAATTCTCTTGCCTTTGCTTGTGCTTCAGCTGTCAATCCTAATCTGGTACATTCATTAAAGGGCTTCAACTGCCATTCAACTTGGATATCACCTCTTGTAATTGACTTGTCATTTTGAATGCACTGTAAGGCACGTAATGGTCTGTAAACCGGCAAAAAGAAATCTGTGGATGCTTCAGTGGAACCACCTGCCTGTAATGCAACACATTGTCCATCTTCATTGACAACTGGAGACCCAGAGGATCCACCAGTGGCAGAAGCAGCTGCCTGTATATATTCAGTATTGAAATCGTTATAAGTCAAAGAACCATACTCGGGAGCATTTCTATCCAATCTAGAAATGATACCTGCCAAAATGGACAATTTTTCCCCGGCATCATTACCAACAACTCTGATTTCAGTTCCAACTTTGGCCAATTCTGGTTCTAATGTAAGACGACTAAGCTGTTGGTATTTAACTTCACTAGGGTCGAATTTCAAGAACCCGAAATCATGGATGGGGTCTCTGTAAATAGGCTTGACATCTACTGATTCATGATTATCAAAGACAATGTATCCTGTGAACGGACCTGGTCCGACCACATGTCTATTGGTAAGAATCAAACCTTTTACGTCATCGACAATAAACCCAGTTGCCTCACTGACAATAGCAGTTTCGGTATCAAATGGGGCAACGTGGGAGAAATGAATGGAGACCACGGAGTTGACAACTTTGGTTATTGTCTCTTGCCACTTGTTGCTGTTAGAAACTGGGATGTCGAATAAAGGCAGTTGACTGGCAGTACCATCTGATTGATAATCTTCATCATCGCTGGTATGTTCACTTGGGTCGCTTTCATAATCACCTTTGGCTGGTCTTTTGTGTACTTGACCGTTTAAAGGCGATTCAGCTCCTCTTTTTAATTTAGAAGCAGCCATAGATGGTAGGTTGGTTGTAAGAAATAAATGTCGTAGCCTTTTGGAACATTCCAGATCGCCTTCTGGACATTTTTTTTCGCACAAAGTAAGGTTCGTGATGGGTTTCCATTTTCGGTTACACGAACCAAACGCGCAGTGCACAATACTGCAAATATTACATTAAAATTTCTATACAGGCTGTCTCTATTTATTACTTAAGAATGCTACTCGACCAAGTGTCATAGTAATTCTGTTGTGGCTTACTCTCGTACAAAACGTCTCCATGGAGCATTGCTCCTAATCGTTCCATTAAATCCCAACCTTCGCCAATTCTTGCTCTCCGTTCAGTCACAACCTTCATTTCTTGCGAGGTCTCAGTTCCATACATAAACTGTTTTTCAATGTCAATAAGCCATTGTTCGTCTTTCATCCAGTCATCAACGATATCATACCAAAGCGCCAAATTCCATCTCATTAGTCCACCCTTTTGGTATTGGAATAGCAAATCCAAGAACTTTTGTTCTTCACCTACTTTAGAAGAGAGTAGCTTGTGGTTGATCCGGATATATGCCGTACGTACCATTGCAGCTGCAAGCAACCATTCTGATTTCTTGACAAATTTGTGTTTATGCATGAGGAATGTTTCTGTCATTTTTGCTGATGTTTGTGCTGGGATATAAAAGTTATTGCAAAATGTGATGAAGTCCAGAATCAGAACGTTTTTCTTGTCATACTTGTATACATGTGGTGACAGGGGACTGCCTTCACGATTGTTCTTTTTATTAAATGGTGATTTCAGGGGGCTGGTGGTCTTTTGGTTAAATGGCGATTCAATATCTTTAAGAACACCAGTCTTTTGTTTCTTGGAACCAGGCGTATCTTCTTTTTGTAACTGTTGCAATCTCTTTAATGGAGATCCGACTTTAGGTGCACTTTTTGTAAACTGACCAGGAACAACCTTCAGACCTTTGGTAGGAGTAACTGGATCTTCGACATCAGCTCTTCTCTTTCGAGGGCTGGTATTGGGAGAACTAGCAGCAGAAACTTGATCTATAAACTCTCTGAAGTCGTCTAGAAGCTTGCCTACTAGTTTCGGTTGTATTGGGATTCTGGTTATCTGAGGAGATGGGAGATCAAACTTTTCTTGGTACTTTTCAGCAACCAGGTATGCACATAGGTGATATCTTGCTATCTCTGCTTTATTGGGTAGTACACCTTGTTTTCGTAAACTCAATTGGTACAATGATGCTATATAGTCTAGTAATTTTGGAGGAAACTCTCCTTGATACGTAGGTAGGACATCACGAAGCGATCTTTTTAGCTGAATTGTGCTCATTGATATTTGTATTGGCGCGTTTTAGGGAAGGAATAGCACGCTGAAGATCTACCACAGTCGGTAGATCTTCAAAACCATGTTTGGTGGTGTCAACATCGTCCACGTGACCGAGTGTCCGGGTAAGTGCAAGTTTTGTGCGAACCAACCAGAGGATCTCAAAACTGGATTACTTGAAAAAAAGTTAATGCAAAAACGGAAAAGCTATAGCACAAGGAGCAAAGTAGCAGAAAGAATACACCATCATGTTATCTAGAGTTTCAATAAAGTCAATTCCAGCCACCGGGGTCCGTTGTTTGTCCAGCACAGCTTTTTTGAGACAAAAGGCAGTTGCCGAAGCTGAAGAATTTGTCACTGGAAAGGAAATAGTATCGGGAGCACCAAAGGAACTTGTGACCAACAGAGTAGTCAGAATCTACCAAGAAGCTAAATACGCCACACAATCCGGTGTCCACAACACCAGAAACTGGAAATTGGACTGGGATGTCTTGGGTAAAGGAAACAGATGGGAAAACGACTTGATGGGTTACCAAGGTTCTGCTGATTACATGCAAGGTACCATTATGAAGTTCGACACCAAGGAAGCTGCCGTCAGATTTGCCGAAGGACAAAACTGGGATTACTACATCCAAGAACCAAAAGAAAGACATTTCAGAAAGAAGGAATACGCAGCTAATTTTTACCATTCTGCTGGTCCATTAAAGCACATCAGAACCAAGTAAATGGAACTTCACAGTATTGTATTTTAATAAAACATCTCGGCTCATTAACTCCCCTATTTATTTCGTTTCAAGATGTTGTTATGTTGCCTGTCCCATGCCCTAGGGTAACAGCTGCTGCTACTACTACCACATCTATCACTTTTGTGTGTTGCATTTTGAATATTGGTAATCGCCACATATCATAAATTTATACGCATACTTCCAATACACATAATTTCATTAGTTGTACAGTTTTATTTGTAACGTCATCTCTATATGCTTATGTGATCCGCTGTAAATCTCGATAGTCGGAAACGCGCGCAAAAATGTCAAAACTGAAAAGAAAAAAAAAAAAATAAGAACTTGGAGTCACTCACAGGACTTTATTCTCACCTAGAATAGACATAGGCCACTACCATCGGGACCATCGACTCAGACTGTGTTTAAAACAGACTTATAGTTCGAAACCTATTCAATCAACCATAATCATTCACTTTTGAGGATTGTTTTCTGAAAAGGTATACGTTTTTTTTCTTTTTTTTTTCCTCAATTGATTGTGCATTATACAGATTGGTAAGTTTAACAAAGTATCATATCATGTCTTACAATAGGGGCTACAGCCATAGAGGTTACAGCGGAAGCAGCGGCACTGGTAGTTATAGAGATAATAGATATAGATCAGGCCGGACTGATTCGAGTTTTAGGAGACAGGAAGACCACCCAGGTGCGACACTAACTCTAAACAAAAGCTCCCATTACGACGACAGCAACAACAACAACAACAGACCGCATCATTTGGGATCAAGGTTCCTGGCAGGATCACGAAATGGTGGTTCTTCTACTCCAAACGGTTCAAATTCTGACCGAAATGGGAAAAGTAGCGGAACTCCTACCAAGGGTAGTCAGACCCCAGTACGAAGAATAGAAGGAAGTGATTTGATAACCGGTGAAAATCCCAAGGACTCGGATTTCAACAAACTCTTGCACCACAAAGACTATACCGACACAATCCCATTTTCTAGACCTGTCGATTCCAAGAAGAACTACAAGGTCATTTATGACCCAGAATTTGACAAGAGTCTATCCAAGGATGAAAAGAAGACAAAAACCAAAAAGTTGAGATTCCATGGAGAGGGAATGGACGATAAAGAATTGGTTGATCCTAGATTGTCCCATCTACAACTGTACTTTCAAAAACCAAACAAGAAATCAAAAAAATTTCCGTTTAAACAGTTACCCCAACCACGTTTCGTCTTTGACAAAGATTCCCTTGGATCAGCACCACGTACCCAATTAGTCGTATGGGATCTTCCTGCCACCACCAGTGAGATATATCTTTCCAATTACTTTAGAAGTTATGGTGATCCTATAGAAGACATGAAGTTCATTAACGATCCAGAAAACGCCGTACCTTTAGGAATAGCTACATTCAAGTTCCAAGGCAATCCAGAAAAAGCCACCCGATTAGCCCAGAAACTAGTTCAATCAATAAAATCAGAGATGCCCAAAATTGACGGTGTTCTTCTCAAGATTGGCTTGAATGACAACGAGGACGAACTTTTGAATAAGAAAATAGAATTAGCTCGAGATAAATTAAAGGCTATAAAGTTGAAACGAGAAGAGGAGGAGCGAAGACGCCAGAAAGTGATCGAAGAGCAGAAGAGACGAGAAGAAGAATTGAAGAAGAAGGAATTGGAAGAGCAAAAGAAGAAGAAAGAACAAGAAGCAGCCGCCGCCGCACAAGAAAAGCAAAAAGTACAAGAGTCTGATATGAAATACAAACCAAACACCACAATTCTTTCAATCAGAAGACAAAATAAAGTTGTCTCCGGCGTATTTCTTCCAAAAGATCTCAACAAGTACGTCAAGGACCGTGCATTCATCTTGATTCATGACAAGTATGTTCCCACAAAGAAGATCTCATCCCAGGATATTAAGAGGGTTCTTAATAAATATGACTGGACGAGAGTATTATCTGATAGAACTGGATTCTACGTTGTATTTAACTCTCTCAATGAGTGTGAGCGATGCTTTATGAATGAAGACGGGAGAAAGTTCTTCGAGTATAGATTGTATATGGAGATGGCCATTCCAGAGGGGTTTTCAAGCTCTCCATCAGAAGAAGAAGAAATTCCAACTTCGAAAAAGAATGACGTTATAGAAGAAGCAACTAATATTTTAATTAAGGAATTGGAAACTTTCTTGGCTAAAGATATTCGAGAAAGAATCATTGCTCCCCATATTTTAGATTTGCTCGGTCATGAACATTATCCTAAATTAGTGGAAGAACTCAAAGCACAAGAAGCTGCATCTAAACCCAAAGTTATCAACACCAATGACCAATTAAAGCAAAATGCTTTGTCAATTTTGGAAAAAAAGAGACAATTACAACAGCAACAATTATTGCCATCGTTTAGAAAACTTCAACAACAGAATGAGTTAAAGAGACGTAATGCGAGAAAGACCCTTGTTCCTATGCAACATGCCCTTAATTTTGATTCAGACGATGAGGATGAAGACGAAGAGGAAACAAGTAGATCGGCTACTCCAGCAATACAATCGTTAAAGAGAGAGCGTAGTTCCACTGTTACCAGCGCTGATGAGTTTATTGAACCAGAACACAAGAAGCCAAAGAAGGATAATTTAAAGAGGTCAATGTTGTACGAATCATCATCTGACGAGGAAATGGATGAAGAAATGAAAGAAGAAGAAGACAAGGAGGTAGTCGATGAAGAAGGCAAGGCTGAAGTTAAAATTGAGGAAGAAGCCAAACCAGAGGATACCGAGATTGATTATTCCAAGATTGCTGCTCATTTCCAACCAACTGAAGACAGTCCTACCACCGTATACCCCGAGTCACCGTTATCTTCTATCTTTGATTTGGAGGCATTACAAAGCACATTGAAAGATGTGGAAGATTTAGAATTGGCCCAACAGGTATTGGCAGAAGAAGGAATATCACCTTCTCATTTGAAAAACATTGCATATTGGGCATGGAAACAAAAGGATATCAAATTATCATCTGATGAAATCGCTGAAGAAGTGGAAAATATCGAAGTTTTGCCAACACATTTGGAATCTGAGTCAGGAGCATTTAGAAGCGACGGGTACAAGAAAATCAATGATGCTGACAAGATTCATTACTTACCTCATAGAAGAAAGGTGCATAAACCGCTCAAAACAATTCAATATGAAGACGACGATGAAGAAAGACCAAACGATGCCGCTAGTGCTGTGCAAAGTTCTCGTGTCAACCGAGCCAATAATAGACGATTCGCTGCTGATATTACTGCTCAAATTGGTAATGAATCCGATATTTTGAGTTTGAACGCATTGACAAAACGTAAGAAGCCAGTTACGTTTGCTCGGTCAGCCATTCATAATTGGGGTTTGTATGCAATGGAACCGATTGCCGCTAAAGAAATGATTATTGAGTATGTTGGTGAACGGATCAGACAGCAAGTAGCGCAACATAGGGAAGAGCTGTATTTGAAGACTGGGATTGGTTCTTCATACCTTTTCAGAATTGATGAAAATACCGTTATAGATGCTACCAAGAAGGGAGGGATTGCCAGATTTATTAATCATTGTTGTAGTCCTAGTTGTACGGCCAAGATTATCAAGGTTGAAGGTAAGAAGAGAATTGTTATTTATGCTTTACGAGATATCGAAGCTAATGAAGAACTTACTTATGATTATAAGTTTGAAAGGGAAACCAACGACGAGGAGCGTATTCGATGTCTTTGTGGGGCACCTGGATGTAAGGGTTATTTGAATTGATGTTGTATTATTTACTTGGCATATTCTGTAATAATATATACTAATTAAGAAACTTATAGTAGAGGCGGGTTTCATATGTGAAGTTGCTATGGGTTCTTTGTTTATGGTTCTCGTAGCTGCAAAAAAGGAAAATATGAAAACAATCCCAAATTAGACAGGTTAAAAAATATTTACGAATTGCATTATTTCCAGATCTGAGATCGGCATGTAAACACGGACCAGTTAGGAAATATAATTACAAAACGGAATTATGGAAACATATCTAGATAATATACCTCACGACATGCAATGGTTACAAGAAATTCTTGGTTTGTATATTTGATTCTATTGGTGCAAAACCCTGGCTTGGCCCAATTGCTTGGACGAAGCCGAGAAGGGAAAAACGAACTAAGTTGACTACTTGTACAGGATTGCCCCTATGTTGTCTATACTACTTACTATATTGGGCCATTTGAAACATAACTCGCTAGGGGGGGTGGGAGCAAGTCGATAGTAATCTCTTAATTGTTTCAGATTGTAGGTCAACAAGAGAAATAGAACAGTAGCAATGGATGTAATACACACCAACTAGTTGTATAGCAAACCGTAGCCGTATTCCACGTCTGTATTGGGATGTAACCCAAATATACACAAATAATTGTCAGAGAACAATGGCGAGTTTTCAAGATATTCACGTGACCACTTCTTGATTGAGGGAAACCGAAAACAAACAAGTACCAGAAAAAAGTTACAAAATTCCTAATTGGGAAATTCGTAAATATTGAAAAAAAAACCCAGTGAAGCCCAATCCAAACAAAAATTAGCTAGCCCATTCACACTGTTTGTGAAGATCAAAACCTCGCCTAATATTGACAAGAGCTATTCATACATCACCGGTAACAAAAAAAAATAACATTAATATATGAGTTCATAGATATCCGGCTCAATTTTTTTTTTTTTTCATCCAAACTCTTTCTGAATACATTTTCCCTGACACATTATTTACTTCATCGTTTACCGTTTCTTTCAACCCGATATTAGGAGAGGAACAACAACACAAACAGTGCATTGAATTATACTGAATCACCAAAAAAAAACATCAATCCCTCCACTTCAATTGGCGTCTGACTGCATTTACCCAGAACCAAATTGGACGACCCATCAAAATCAACAAGAATATAATAGAAAACTTGTTAACCGCCCACAATAATCACCATTAATTTGTACATCCATTGTACCATATCTGACGATTAAAAACAGCATATCACCCAAGCATCTAGTCATTCAATCATGTCTGCATTCCGTGCTCAACCTTTACAACCGTTGAACAGTGGTCAACTTAATTCTAGAGGAACTAACATAACCCCTATAAAAACCGTTAGACGCCCAACAGAAAACCTACCTGCTGAAGGTGCCAAACAGCACAAGAAGAAAAAGGAAAAGTTATCGGCCTTATGTAAGACTCCTCCTTCAATTGTCAGAACCAGAAACGGAAGAGACTACCGTAGAGGTAACTTTCTAGGTGAAGGTGGATTTGCCCGTTGTTTCCAAATGAAAGATGCCTCTGGCCAAATCTATGCCGCCAAAACTGTAGCAAAAGCCTCAATTAAGAATGAAAAGACCAAAACCAAGTTATTGTCTGAAATCAAGATTCACAAGTCATTGAAACATCCAAATATTGTCAATTTTGTTGACTGTTTTGAAGATGACGTTAATGTATATATTTTGTTAGAGATATGTCCTAACCAATCCTTGATGGAATTGTTAAAAGCTAGAAAGAGAGTCTCTGAACCAGAAGTAAGATTCTTTATGGTGCAAATAGTTGGTGCTGTCAAATATTTACATTCTAGAAGAGTTATCCATAGAGACTTGAAGTTGGGAAATATATTTTTTGACCCGGACATGAACCTTAAGCTTGGTGATTTTGGTTTAGCTTCTGTGTTACCATCTACTGATTCAAGAAAGTACACAATTTGTGGTACTCCAAACTACATTGCCCCAGAAGTATTGGGAGGAAAGCATACTGGTCATAGTTTTGAAGTTGATATTTGGGCTATTGGTATTATGATGTACGCCTTGCTAGTTGGTAAGCCACCATTCCAAGCTAAAGATGTTGAAGTAATCTACGAAAGAATTAAAAAGACCGAATACTACTTCCCAGAAGACAAACCAATATCTCCTTCTGCCAAGACCTTAATTCAAGATTTGTTAAGCTTGAATCCTTTAAACAGACCAACTATCGATGAGATATTAAACTATGAATGGTTCAAGGGTCCTTTCCCTGATAAAACTCATGAAATTAGTTTGAGTGAAACTCCAGTCAGCCTTGAGCAAATTTCCAGAGCTCAATCCAGTATCAATTTTACTAATACCAAGACCAATGCTGGTATCTATACTCCAAGAAACAAGGATCCAGTTGAAATCTTGAGATCTGATTTACAATCTGAACAACCAAGAGCTATGCTCCCTACTTCATTATCTCCTAATGATACTAGGAACAAGTACCAAGAAGTTGACCCTAGTCAAATGGGAAGACCTAGAAGAGTCAATTTCAGTGCAAACTTCTCTACTGCAATCAAAAGGCTCAACCAAGTATGTTTTGAGACCTACCAAAACATGAGAAGACTAGAATACGCCGGCAAAGAACAATCACAAACTCAAGAAGCTGTTGATTGTGAAAACCCTACGTTGATTAGTAAATGGGTTGATTACTCCAACAAGTATGGTTTTTCCTATCAACTCAATAACGATGATATTGGTGTTTTGTTTAACGATGACAACACTTTATTGAAGCTTCATAACTCGGATAGATTTTTGGAATTACTTTACCATGAAAACGAAGGTTGGGCATGTGTTGAGAATTCCACCAGTCATCCTCCAACTCAAGCAAAACGACAATTGGAAATTGTTGACTTTTTTGCCAAATACATGAATAGTAACCTCTCGAAAGTCAGTGAGAATGAAGACAGAAAGGAAATTGTGTTTTTGAGAAGATATACCAGAACATCTGATTATATCATGTTTGAAATGACCAATGGAAACTTTCAGTTCAACTTTAAAGATCATCATAAAATTTGCATTTCTAAATCCGGTATGGTCATTACTCATATTTCTCCAAACCGTTCTACCAGAACCCTTCCATTGGCTGCTGTCTTGAGACAAGGAAACTTCCCACAGGAACAAGTTCCCTCTTGTTTGGAAAAGATTACCGTTATCAAAGAAGCTATCAAGAGAAAGGCATTCAAGGAAGCTAATTAAAACACTATTCTCCTTTTACTATCCTAATTACATCACACAGACAGACTGTATTATTTAACCTATCTTTATATGTTCTAATGATTGACTTGTACACTATCGTTGGTTATTTTTTTTTACATATTTCTCCGTTATTCAAACATTCACAGCCTTTGCACGTTGACAACTTTTCTATATTCAATTCAAGTTTTTGTTGCATATCGTTGCTGCTTTCTACTCCAGTGTTAGCTTTGCGGTATTTTTTACATATATTTTATCAACCTAGCATTATATACCAAATAGTATACAATATCATAGAAAAAAAAATTAAAATTTCATGAACAATATTAATAACATTACATCTCTATTGGTAAAACTAATAGTAAAATCGTCTAATATACAATTGTTTTAAAACAAGCTTAAAACTCGTCTTCGTTATTATTTAACAAAGCCTTAAGGGCCCATTCGGCATTGAACCTACTTTTTATAGCATCCAACTCACTGATCAACCCAGAACAAGCATTTTTCAAAGCTTCTCGTGGTGAGTAATCATCTTCCGTTTGTATTCTCAACACAAAGTTGGCAAATAATGGATGTTCAACCTTGTATGCAGCAAAAATAACCTTTTCATCTTTTAATAATTGATTTCTTAACAAGTTTGCTAATGTATGGTCTTCTCTTTCTATCTTTATGATAGCTGCATTTGGTACCTTTGTATCTGGTGTGATTTTAATTCTTTTAAATCGTTAATAAAAAGTTCAAAAAAAACGGTAATGAAACCAAAAATTTATGCATACTTATCTACTCCATCCGGTAATATAAATAATTCAAATCTATCTGGGGCATTCATTTCTGTTTATTAATTTATGTCTGTTTCTTGCTTGCCATGCACTATCAACAAGAGTAGTTCAATTTGAGGTTGAATTAATCCAGCAAAAATTTTGTAATCGAACACGTGATAAACAATCACATGACTCAAGATATCCGGGTAATCCCAGTGGAACTAAGGTTACCCGGCATACGCACCATTTTTGTTTTTCTGTCTCCATTCAAACGCAACAAGGAATCCTGGTCCATTTCTGTGATGAAAAACGAGAAATTCGTTCAACTGTACAAGTCTAACCACTTTAGAGAAAGAACAAGTTTTGCTTAATCGTTATAGTGATTGGATCCTTTGAATATCAAAAGTTTTGGTTTTTTTTTCCATCAGTGGTGTGCTTTTCAACCCTTGTTATTTTTTTTAGATCAGAAGAAGAGTCAACTACACCAAGGGAAAACATCAATAGTTTCAAAATTGTACATTCAAAAATAAGATAGCACGAATTTAGCATGACCAATCAACAAGATCCTTGGAACACTCAGCAACGCCCACTTGGCCAGCAATTCACGTATGTTTTTGATTTTGATTTTTTACGAGCTTAGCCGTATTTACTAAAGTTAGAATACTAACAAGCACATCTTTAGCCGTCCACCAGTTTTACCACCTCCAGCTACTTTAGAGCAAGGTATGTTTCCCTTTAACACTGAAGTCAGCATACCTTCGTCAAGTGTTAAAAGTACTAACGTTCCTTTAGGCGGTCAACCTTTTTACCCTTTGCCTAGTTTACCCAGCTTAGGCAATGGAAGTGGCCATCCTCAACATGGACATCAATTTACAATTCCATCCATCAACCCTGCAAGTGAGCCATCTCAATTAACACAAGTATGTATCATTTGGAAAACGATTTGCAAAATTCACGACCAAGAGAAGAGTTTTACTAACAAAATATACAGCCTCCTGATCATGCAAGACAGTCAACAGAATTAAGAAGACCATCAAACGTGGCTCTAAATCCACCAACTACTCAGTTAGCACCTACCCAGGGTGAGCCTCACCCCCAGGCATCTGTGGCCCCACCACCCCCACCATCCCTTGGTGGCATTCCCAACCGATCCACTACTAGCAATGTCTACAGACCCTTGAATGTTAAAGATGCATTATCTTATTTGGATCAAGTAAAGATACAATTCTACAATCAAGCTGATGTTTACAACAACTTTCTTGACATCATGAAGGATTTTAAGTCTCAAAGGTATGTTTACTTCGTTATATGTATTACCCGGACACCGGAAAACTTGATTTCCCAGTGAAATTGCCGTCCTGCGCATAACATCCTCATGGTGTTATTTTTTTCTAATTCGGAGAAATAGGGAAATAGTCTTCGGGTATTGCCGAGGTTGTCGTGTACCAGCCCAATTACTAACATTTATTTATAGTATTGATACACCGGGTGTGATTGACAGGGTTTCCACGTTATTTCAAGGACACCCAAATTTGATTCAAGGATTTAACACCTTTTTACCTCCAGGATACAAGATCGAATGTTCTTTAGATCCTTCTGATCCTAATCCAATTAGAGTGACAACTCCAACTGGTACCACAACAAGACCTAATCTTAGCGGAAACACCTACAGTCAAAGATGGGGTACTGAGGAAGGTGCAAGTCAAGTTCAACAACAACAACAGCAGCAGCAGCAACAACAGCAACAGCAACAACAACCACAACAACCAGCACCACAGCAAGTTGCTGCACAAATGCAATATCAACAAGAGCAACAGGTTCAACCAGGTGGAAGTAATGTTGAATTCAATCATGCCATTTCATATGTCAATAAGATCAAGACTAGATTTGCTAACCAACCAGATACTTACAAGCAATTCTTGGAAATTCTTCAAACTTATCAAAGAGAACAAAAACCAATCAGTGAAGTTTATGAACAAGTGACGGTATTGTTTGCCAATTCCCCTGATTTGTTGGATGATTTCAAGCAATTTTTACCAGACACTAGTAACCAAGGTTTCCAACAGCAACAACAGCCGGTTCATATGCAAGAGGGGTCTTATTATGTTAACAATGGATCACAATTGCCACCAGTAGGTAACTTTCAACCTCCAACGGGAACAACCGGTTTAAGTCCAAGTGCCACGCAACAACACTATGGTCAACAAATTAGTTATCCTTCAACTGGAAGCCCTGAACCTCAATATGGTATGGATCAAAAAGCTACCAAAAAGAAGAAGTCAATTTCTGAGCCTTACTATGACGACAATTACAACCAAGAAGCTCGTTTGTCCAGTATTAGATCTGGTGTAGTTGCCACAAAGACGGGCAAACCACCTGGAATGGTTAAAGTTGTTAACACTTCTGTTGCTGCTGCAGTCAATCCAACCTTGGTACCAGGAATTCCAGAACCAGTTCCTCCATATGCTTCAGTTAAGACTTCTTCTCTCCTGGAAGAAATCAGTTTCTTTGATAAGGTCAAGAAAGCTATTGGTAATAAGCAATCTTATAGTGACTTTTTGAAGATTTTAAACTTGTTCACACAAGATATCATCGATAAAGATACATTGGTTGAAAGAGTTCAAGGATTTATTGGTGAAACTCATCCTGATTTATTCAATTGGTTTAAGATGTTTGTTGGATACCAAGATGTTCCTCAGAATATAGAAAACATCACTTTCAAGAAGCATCAATTGGAACTTTCATTGTGCAAAGCCTATGGACCTTCATACAGACAATTGCCTAAGGCTGAAACATACATGCCATGTTCTGGAAGAGATGAAATGTGTTGGGAAGTTTTGAATGATGAATGGGTTGGACATCCAACTTGGGCATCGGAAGATTCTGGTTTTATTGCTCATCGTAAGAATCAATATGAAGAAATTTTATTCAAGATTGAAGAAGAAAGATTAGAATTTGATTATTACATGGAATCTAATTTGCGTACTATCCAAATTTTAGAAACAATTGCTAACAGAATTGCTAATATGACACCAGAACAAAAGGTTGCTTTCAAATTACCTCCTGGATTAGGTCATAATTCACAAACTATCTACAAGAAAGTTATTAGAAAGATATATGGAAAGGATCGTGGTTTCGAAGTCATTGATGCTTTGCATGAAAACCCTGCCATTGCTGTGCCTATTGTCTTGAAGAGATTAAAGCAAAAGGATGAAGAATGGAAACGCGCTCAACGTGAATGGAATAAAGTTTGGAGAGACATGGAACAAAAGGTGTTTTATAAATCGTTAGATCATCTTGGGTTAACATTCAAGCAAGCAGATAAGAAGCTTTTAACTGCCAAGCAACTTGTCAGTGAAATCAGTACTGTCAAGGTCGAACAACAGAATAAGAGGTTGCACCCATTGACTCCTAAGCCACAAGAGCAATTGAATTATACTTTCGAAGACACTGAAATTTTGTTTGACATTGTCAAGTTGGCTGATGTTTTCATTAACAGATCGTCCAACTATTCTGCTGGTGATGGTGAGAAATTGTCTCAATTTTTACAATTTTTCGTGTCACTCTTCTTTGGAATACCGAGTGAAACCATCCAGAACGCCTTGGCTGCAAGAGGTAAGGCTGAAAAGAATGAGTTTGTTCACGAAGAGGCTGAAAATTCTGATTCCTCTACTTATTCATCTGATGCTGGAGCTAAGAAAAGAGCTCGCGAAAGTGATTTATTACGTGATGTGTTGAAGAAGCAATCCAAATCAAAGAAGGATGATCGTGGAGATTCACCAACTCCACAATCCGCAGATGCTACTATTACTCAAGAAGTTGCCGAAGAACTTGAAAAATCTACTGAATTGTGGATAAAATCAGCCAACACCAAATTCTCATTGAAGGATGATGAATCAGAAAACAAGCGTGAAAAGTATAACTTGTTCTGTAACACCACTATTTATGTCTATTTCCGTCATTTAACTACCTTGTATGAGAGATTACACGAAATTAAGGCAATGAATGAAACTGTCAGCAAGGAAATCAAGAGTCGTAAACATCCTCAATTTGCTAAGGATTTGAATTTGCTTTCTCATCAACTCGAAGATGTCGGTGTTGAAATTAATGGCTCAAAGGATTGTTATGTTCAAGTTTTGGAATTATCAGAAAAATTAATCGAAGGTGAAATTGAACATCAGTGGTTTGAAGAAAGTTTGCGTCAAGCATATAGAAATAAGGCTTACAAGGTTTACACTGTTGATAAAGTTGTTCAAGCTTTGGTGAAACACATGCATTCTATGATCACTGATGCAAAGACTTCAGAAATGATGGTCTTATTTGAAAATGACAGATTGAAGCCTGTTTCTAGCGCCAAAGAACAAATCTTGTACCGGATCCAAGTAAGAGCTTTGATGTCTCCTGACGAAAATATGTTCAAGATTTCCTTCAATGAAACTCAAAATTCAGTCAATATTCAATTTGTTAGCTTGGATGACTTAACAATCAATGACCACGAGAATTCTCAAGAACAGTATAACTATTATGTTACAAGTTATGTGTTATCACACCCAACCGAAGGAGTCCCAGCCTCAAAGTTGAATATGCCATTCTCCCGAAGCTTTATTGAATCTTTAGACGAAGATAGCGTCGATGGACGTGCTACTACTGGGTTAAAGGTTTCTGTTTGTGAAAATTCATACCGATTATTCTTTGAAGAAAATTCACATGATGAATTTATTGCTAATTCCGTATATAAGGAACGAGCCGAAGAATCTGGTAAGCCTGAAGAAAAAATTGAAAAGCTTAAGAAATTATTGAATGGCGAATCTGGATGGAAGTCTGTTTGTGCGGATGAAGATGCTTCTAAATTAGAGGAAAAGATCAAAATTTTGTATGAAAAAGGTGCTGCTGAATTTAACGAGCATGAAAGGGCTAAAGATGTTGAGATAAAGGAAGCCGCTGCTGAAGCTCAAAAGCAACTAGAAGAGAAAGAGGCCTCAGCACAACAAGAAGAGCTGATTGATGCAACATCCGAGAGTAAACCTGAAACTACAGATGAACAACAGGTAAAGACCGAAGAGGAACACGTGCAAGAAGAAGGCGCTGAGAACTTGGATGAAACCCAAATGGTAGATGCAGACACTACCGTGGCTCAGCCGAACGATACAACAATACAAGCTGACGCCAATGATACTACAACTGATGAGACTATAAACCCAGAAGAAACCACGATTGTTGGTCAAGATGAGTAATTTGTACTGAGCTCAGTTTCTATATAATTTTCTTATTTTTTATTTCTTGCTTTTGCTTTTATTCTATTGTTTACGATTTGTATATTAAATAAAATTGTTTAATTAACTAATTGAATCGTCTTTCGACAGCTGCTCTTGCTATCCTTTCGGTCGCCATACTATAAGCCAATTTCGATCTTTGGTTAAGTCTTTGCGATACAAAATTCTTTCTTCCTCTAGCAATCAACAACCTTAAAATCATATCCTCTTTCAAAGTCTGATTGGTGATAGGATCTGCTCTTGCTTCTTTTACTTCAACTGCTGCCTGGGCTCTTGATCTAGCGGTGGCATTTGCCAGGATTGTTTTATTTCTCAATAATGACCCACTTCTGATCCTAGATTTTTGTCTGTTAGTGTGTGTTGGAGCACTATCAAAGTTATTTCTATTATTTAACATTTGGACATATGCAGGAGATAAGCGTTCAACTTCGTCGATTAAATAGTCATCACCTTGATCATAAAGAGCAGGAATCAAAAGCAATGATTGATATTGTTCTGTCTTCAAATCCTCCATTGGTGGGCCATTTCCTTCATTATGGAAAAAACTAACAAGTAAGCTTAACCAGAAAAGTACCGTTTCCAATTCAATATCACTTAAGGGACTATCAATACCAAGAATTCCAAGCGAGACATTGGCGAATTTAGATGACACTGCTTGCCAACTATTACCTCCTGACTCTAATGTAACTGATGCTTTAGAAAGTTTTGGCAATACAAGTTCATCAGCACTGGTTACAACAACATTCCAAGTAGCAACCATTACCTTCATGAAGATCTCATCTTTCAAAAATTCCTTAAGAACACACAAATTCATATTTAAATAATCACACAAATGTTCGATTGCAGCTTCGGAATCCTCCTTTGAAGGTTGGCCCTTAGAACAGATTGACTTCAAATTGGCTCGTGAGAAACATGCATGAATGAAACCAGAAAACTTTTCAACCATGATCTTGATAGCTCGTTCTTGACAACGTTTCAAGGCCCGGTATGCCCTACCCATTACAAAGATCGCATCCAATGTTTCACTTTCCACCGCAACTTCAATAACTAATTTCCCTTGTAAATCGAGATCCAAGATGATTTCTTCAGGCATACCATTATGCTTGAATTTTCTGGGGTTTAATTCCAAATATGCCTTCCCACAAAGTAGATGCTGGCCAAATTTCTCATCCCATACCAATGCTGACAATTCAAATGAGGTATTTGCAGGAATTGTGATTTCAAACTCTTCATCCCATTCTGGATCTGAAGATTGAGTAATTGTTCTTGTCTTGCCAATTAATCGCTTAGCATTAAAATCAACCAAGGAGACGTATGGGTTGATTTTATTGCTTGATTCCCTGGCCACTTTAAGGTTCTCAGCCCGAACAATTCTTAATGTAAACACATGACTTAAGTATCTATTTTTTGAATTGGGATCGTAGGTAGATAAGGAATTCGAGATTGATTCTGGATCAAGCCACTCTTCCAATTTGGCGAGGTTTTGCATCATGGCAGATAAGTTGTTCAATGCGATACATGTCTGTGGTTCGAAATTATATACCACTTGGGGTTCTGGTTTCTTCAAATTTTGGATATTGGATACAACATTCTTAACTTCATCTAACCAGTTTCGGCCAATATCGGGAGTATCTTCCTTTTCCAATTTAGGAGGTTCTAATTCTTGAAGAATCTTGTTTGTTACTTGATCCGCATAGTAAAGGGCACCATTTGAAATACTTCGCAATAATATAGTGTAGACTTTGGATAATTGAAATTCATTACTCCAATGTTGACCTCGAAGGGCGTTCAAATACTGCTTGATAATTGTAAAGATATCCAAAATAGAATTACTATTCTTTTTGTCATCATCTGAAAGATCTATTGGTTCATAGTTGTCATTTTTGAGAGCTTCAGTAATAATTGCCAAGATCTTTTCGTCACTTTCTTCAATCCATGCTTCTAAATATGGAAAGAAAAACTGTTCCAAATCAAATTCAAATTTAGAACCAGCGGGAGTTACTTGATTATGGATATCTCGAATTTCACTTAATGTCTTGTATACTTCTAATGCATCTGCAAAGGGAATACGTTCTTTTCTCTTTTCAGCATACCCTTTAATGTGGGTCAAAATTACACGGACATCACTGGCAAACATCCCCGTGGTAATTGCTGCTACTGTATGGGCAACATTCAAGAACCCTAAAAGTGGAGCCTTGTATCGTTTCTGTAACTTCTTAATATCGTCAACAATCATATCACAGATATTCAACACATGAATAACACTAAGGGTATCATCTCGAGGAAGGTTGGCAAGATACTCACCATATCTGGTTCCGGCAATCTTTAGCAATGCTTTAGTTAATCTCTTTTCCCATTTCTTGGGTAATCCCGACTCGGAAACTATTGGAAACAAAGAGTCTGATTCAATATATTCATCCAAAAACGATAAATACGGACCAAACTTGGGTTTTGTAACTTCGCTAAATAACAACACGAGCGCTTCTCTAAGCGACACAAATAGTTGACTGTATGATAATCCAAGACAATGGGCCCATTCATCCTGGTCATCTTTGAGCCATAAATTCTTGTCTTCCCAATCTAACCCACCTTCTTCAAGCAACTTTTTACAAGTCTGGAATGCCTTCATGGTGGCAGCAATGCTTATGGGAGCTTGCTTCTTATTAGTCAAATCCCGAGGATCTTCGGCAAAGACATTAGATTCGTGTCCACAACACATTAATGCTACTGCTCTTGTGGGGTAATCAATATGCCATATTCTTGCACAGATGAAGAGTAAATCCTGGGCCGCCTTGGTTAAAAATGGTTTCTCAGCAGCATTGAAATCGGAAGGATCTTGTTCCTCTAATAACAATTTGGCCAAGGTGAAGAAGCAACTCCTTTCTTCGCCATATCTCGGTAATATATGGAATTGCTCACCAGCTGGGATTGGTGGAACAGGAAGTAAGGCTAATTCAGCAGGCACTTTGTACCTAGTAACTAGCAGAGCTGCAATTGACTCTTGTCTTTTCTTCCACTGATTCATCACTTCTCGAGAGGGGAATTTATCCATGGGAGGGTCACATTTTAGAAATTCTTTAGAATCCTTATGCACATGCTTGGCAAGGGCCATATCTTTGTATTTAAACACATCCTGCTGAATCTTGATATCGTCAACTGTGAATAGAGTTTTCAATAACCCGATGTAATTCTTATCCAAATCAGTTAGTCTATATGATTTCTGTGGATATCTCACACTTCCCGTAACCAGGGATTCTAAACTTGGGGCAGGTTTCTTGGAAGTGAATGACCGTTTCGTGTCTTGCAATTTTGCAATCACTGATGCATCTTTATCCCTACGAACACTGACAATCTCGATAAGCATATCAATGAATATCCTGGTTTGTCGGAAAACAATTTCACTCATGTCATCTTCGGCATAATTGGCTACTATCTTTAGTTCTTGGTTGGCAGAAGCCGCAAATTTGGGGATTAAAAAGTCAATGTTTTTAAGATACTTTTCTTGAGTAGGATCAAGCAATTCTCCGTATAATCGTAATAAAGACCGCCTGGTTTGTTCATCGACAATCTTTGAGTTGGTCATGATTGTCTTTAATTTCTCCTTGAGGGCCCTGATGGCATAATCAGGCAACATTTGGTCATTCATCATACTCAAACGAGATGCACGTTTTGATGGAGTTGGTTGAAGGTTGTTGTTTTCTATTATGGGAGTCCTGAATCTGGCTTCATTACTGTATTCTAGTAGAATGACTTTAAGCACATATTTGTACAAGTCTGCTGGAGTGGCAGTTGCTGGAGACGGCGATGGCAGCAAATTAAGCATTGCTGTTGAAGCGGTACTCACATTTCGTGAATGATGAGGTCTTGGAATTGAATTACTCATGTTCAAACAAACCTGATGCAAGATTGCTTGTTACTGTTGCAGGGCTGATTTGATAATACGCGGATTCTTCTTTTTTTTTGGTGGTGGTGGTGGTGGGAAAACAAAGGCCAATACTTAAATGAACGAAAAAGTGCAAGTTTAAAACCTGGGGAGTAGTGTAAACAGCTGTAGTAGCAGGTAATGGTATACAGCCGTGAGAGAATAATAACCAACCAGGTGTCCTAAAATGGTTACACCTCTTTTTTTTTTTTTTATCTCCGTGAAGTTTAATTTCTTAAAACGGTTTCGATACGCCCCAAAAATGTTTACCCCATTTGATCTTGTGATTCTAAAGTTTAAAATCTTTATTCAAATTAAAATACAAAGTGCGTTTCTAAATACTACATGAAATGAAATGAACGACATATTGTTACATGTGAACTCGCCAGCAGGAGACACCATTGGTCAGATTGTACTAACATTGCATTCTTCTACTTGTTTACTCTTCTTCAGAACTTTCGTCGTTGTCATGGGAAAATATTTCCTCTACTTTTGAGTTTCCATTTCCATTCAGGCTTTGGTTAGCTAAACCATCACTAATATCTTCCGGTTTAAATATATGGCTAGTTAAGAGTTTATTCATTTCGAAACTTGTCACCATTTCTAGTCAAAAATGTTAGTAAATGAAGATTCCATACCAGTTTTAGTAGATAAATACATACTTTTCTTGAAAAGACGCTCCAATCTTTCGTCACACAATATCTGTCTCTTGTCTTCTGGATTTTGTAAATCGTTGTCTTTGATGTATACCCACAACTGTTTCACCACTTGGGGTCTAGAAGCTCTGCTCTGTCCGATAAGATTGGCAAGTTCGTTTGACAACACCATTTCCTTATTGAACCCCACAGCTGCTGTACGTTTAGGTTTATCAGTACTAGACGACGACTTTGATTTCTTTTGTGACTTTCGCTTACCATTCTTGTGGTCAGTTACTGCCCTTAGCCTTCGCCCCACACTATAATATTCTGTCTGCAGCAATTTAGCAGCAAGAGGTGCATCTTGCCGTTCCATTTCTTCTCGCTCCTTCTTGACAGTTTTCTCTTCCTCCTCTTTCTTGTCCAACAACAAGAAATATCTGTTTGTTATAAGGTCGTTTATATCTTTCTACACAAAGTGTTAGTACTGGCCCGATTCAACTTTGTCTCTTTGTCATACATACCTTATGTGGTTGCAAGTCCACACCAAACAACTCTTGCAATGCATTTCTGATTCGTTTCACCGTTATCACTTCCATATCGGAAACACCCAAGATCGCCTAATTTCACAACAGTTAGCATAACCATACTTCGTGCCCAGGGTCAGGCTCAACGAGCCAACATATACATACATCAATGGTAGGGACGTATTTGTCCGGATCAAATTCTGAACTCATGATATTCTTGTGGGATCTGTGAGATTTGTCAACGAGAATAGTTGGTAGGGTCTAGTTAAGCATTCCCTGCGCGACCAAAACTTTAATTTCGGTTGTTAAATTTGTCTTAGCGAGAACAATAAAGTGGCTACACAAAAGAGAAGTTGACTTTTACATATTTCTTACTAATTCCAAGCTAATACAAGCTATATTCTATCTACTCATTATGTAACTGAAAAAAAAACTTTACTAATATACATAGTTATGCTGAAAAATGCAAAGATGGTCCATTCTAGTTGGCACCTTGATTCTTTAAATTTCGTTTATGTTGTAATTCATTCTTCTTAACCAACTTCTTTCTTTCAGCACGACTCAAGGTTCGAGGATCAATCAACTCATCTGGAGTATCCTTAACCTTATCGTCAACTTCAACCAACCATTGGTCATCCAATTCCTTGTTCTTACCCTTGTATCCCCACTTAGGCACCCATTCACCGGTAGCTTCATCATAAACCATCTTACCATCCTTGGCCTTGGCCTTGATACCCTTTCTAGCGGCAAATTGTTCCCATTTGGTAGGTGGCTTAGGCTTAGGAATGGCCTTTTCTCTAGGCAACTGGGTACTTGGCTCTGGTAATTGAATCAAAGTCATGGTAGAGTTTTGACCAGTGGAAGAACCATGGGTATCAGTGGTGGTCTTTACTGGTAATGACAAGATTTGGTTGATTAATAATTGTACATTATCTCTAGTAACTGAAGTCAAGTATTCTTCTCGGTCGCTATCACTGGTTAATTTGCTATTGTCAAGAGGATTTGGATCAAAAGTGGCCAAGTTACCAAGATCATATGTGTTTGGAATAGGTTTATCTACTGTGACTGGTTTATATTCGGTTTCGTTAGACATGTTGTACTATACTTGGAAGATAATGAAAGTTACAAGTCTTCTCTTGATAATTTAATTTTTTTTTTTTCAGATGAGGATTGATGAACAGCCAAAAAAAAAAATAATATGGCGCCGCAGATTCCATATTGGGATACTCACTTTCTATGCATACTATTAAACATCCATATCGAAACCATGGCCATAACAGCAACAGCACCACCAGCCATTACAATCGGGATAATTTGTTCTTGGTCTACTTTTTGTTCCTTTTCTAAACCTGGGGTTGCCGAAGCTGGATTCTTGGCAGCATCAACTAGTTGGATAAACAACTCATGAAGTGATGAAGTCCAAGAAGATGAGATATGTAATGGAGAACTCAAGTTCAACTGTCGGGTATAATTTTCCGGTTGCACATCGCAACGTTGTTGTTGTTTATCCAAGTCGGCTTTCAAAGCAGCAAATACCGAGGGAACTTCATCTAACGATTCGGCATACTTGTTTCGGATATCGACAATGTATTGGAATGAATCGGGGTCCGATGAATCATAAGTATAACAAATAACATCACATTGGTTTAACCGTTGCTTGTTTTCTAAAATGGCAGTTTCCAACTCTCCAAGCTCTTCTAAAATCAAATAACATTGTTTCCCACCTCTCAACTCTATGTCCTTAACCACCAATCTAGGTTGAATAGTTGGTGAATACATTTCACTATATGAATCATGCAAAAACAGTTCAAGTAATGAACTTTTACCAGATTGAGGTGCTCCAAGTATGAAACAATTGAATACATTTCTATCATTTACATTACCACGATAGAATTTACCCTTTCTATTTCTTGTTTTTCTGGGTTTGGTTATTTTCAATGCCTTCACCGAAGTTCCTTCATCAAATCCCAAATATGCCAAATATTCCAAGGTTGTTTTATAGCTTAGAAAAGTAGTCAAGTTCCATTGAGCTAGCCATCCTTGCAATGTAACATACCCTTCTTCGTTGCAAACAATCGAAGCGGGGAACTGAGTTTCAACCCAAAGCTTGGGTATACCTGGAGTAGGTCTAAACAAATTAGTCAATTCATCTTCATTCAACCCACCATCATTATCTTTGTCAAACTTGATAAATAAATCAACAAAGAATCGATATCCAGAAGGACTCAATTCAACACTAGAGTTAGGATTAACTTCCAAGTTCGGAAATAAGAACTTATCATGCAATGATAACGAATTGGTATAATGGAATGCTCGTAAAATACACCAAATAGTTTCATGCCTTCCTGACATGGCATACATTCTATTAAGCAACACAAATCCATCTTCTGATATCCCCTCGCTCCCGGAAGATAAATCAGGATATATCTTTTGACTTAACTTGGTCATTATATCTTCATACTCCAAATCAGTAGCGGGGTGATCAAAACATTTCAAATGCAAATCAGAAAACTCTTTGAAGTTTAAGTATCCATCTTGGTCAGTATCACATAGGAAAAAAATCCTCTTTAATGCCGCTATTGCTAATGGTTTAAGATTACCTTCTTTGGCATCAAATATAGGTGAGATTGGATGGGTCACTGCTCTTTGACATAAATAAAATGCTTCCACTACATTATAGTTGTTCTTGGCACTACACCTTATTCCTGCTTCAATCTCTTTAAATTCGTTGATCAATGGGACAAACTCATCCTGGTTTTGTGTTTTCAATGTGTTTTTATGCTGGGTATCTGACTTATTGGCACATAGAATAATTGGAATATTGACACCCATAGATCTGAACATTGGCATCCAATGTAAAGATATTCTTTCATATGTGTAGTGGTCTGAATAGACTAACCAAATTACATCAGCCAGCTTAAGTTCCTTTTGTAGATTGATCATATCTGAAGACGATGTATCTATTATTGTTGTGATATTGGGGATGTACTTCAGCACCATCTTAGAACTGGATTCCTGGAATCTAGATAGTACGGAATCGCCATTGGATTGATGTGATCTGTTTTTCTTGGTTCGTGTTGCCAGGTTTTCAAGTGAGTATTCATCAAAACTGTCAATGTAGTCATTTTGTGAAATTGTAATTGGTGGCAAAACACTTGGTTGGGAATCGATAATAGTTTCCTTAATTAAGGAAGTGATGAGTGAAGATTTTCCCACCGAATCATCCCCACACACCACTACTCTTAGCGTATCTTGTGACATTAAATTAGTGTTTATTTAATTGGTTGTAAATCTACCAAACATTTTTTGGTTGCCATTAAAAAAAAAAAACATTTATAAAAACTATACGGGGAGGGGGGATCATTACAAATCTATACAATATTACTCCCTAAACATGGTGAACTCGTCTATCATTGATCCTGGCGTATCTGTTAGGTGTGCCATAAATATTTCAGGTTCGTCTTTAACCTGGTCTATTCCTTCCTCCTCTGCCTCTTCTTCTTCTTCTACAGGGAGTGGTTCTCTACCATCATCAAGATCAACGTAACTGGATAAATTATCCCTAGAACAAATCTCTTCAAAATGACCCTGTTCTTTCTTTGATGTAACTGCTTTCAATTCATGTAAATCAGCAATGGAAAACAGTCCAATTGTGGGTCGCAAACATCGGAGTGTTTCCCGTCTCCAGATGTCTACTTTATGCTGCAAGGGTAGTTGCTCAAATGTGTGGAATGCAATAGTCAAGATACTAAGTAAATCTAACCTATCTCGCGTTTTTAATTCATTAACTACCAAATCGTAACTGGAATTGTCAGGATACGAATCGGGCCATTTGGATACTGGCAAGTATAATGCAGTTATATGGGCAAACTTACTACCAGGATCAGTTGGTTTAGGTTCAACAAGGGGATAGTTGCCGAACTGGTCAAGTAACCATTCGTTGGTTAGTAATTTCGCTTTAATTCGTCTATCTCTTAGTTTCCTTCTAAGTTTACTCTTTTCTCGTTGCCCACTGGCGGGATCCACTGATATCTGGGATCTCGCCATACTTTTCTTGATAACTTTCCTCTTCTTGCTTGTGCCCTCACTAGGTGGTGCTGGTTGTGCTGCTTTTCGTGATCCTCTTGGTACTTCAACGATCCTTCGTTTAGTTAGACTCCTTATGGCAGTGATCTCATCTAGAGGATGCACTGGGTCCCCCTTTTTTGAGTCCAAATGTCTTCCCAAAGACCCTTTGCTGGTGAATTCTTTATGACAATAAGGACATATTCTCCCATTATCTATAACTATTTCTTCTTTGGACATCGACACAACAGAAGGAGGCAACATTGAGACATCTGGGGAATCTTTCAGTAATCCGAACTCTTCACTCAAATCATGTGGAACCATCTGCTGGTGTTGGCGCTGGTGCTGGTGCGGCTGACTAGAACTACTATTCTCATATACCTCGGTACCGTCCTGTTTTGGTATGTCTCCTAAATTTGTAAACTCGTCATAGGTGTCATTCATGACATTCTCTAATTGGCTTTTAAAAACAGCTGAGCTATTCAAAAGCGCAAATAACGGTTTGTTACTTAAAAATAAACTGTTTTGGAAGGGAGGGGAGGAAAGAGTTAAGTTTATTTTTTTCCATTATACATTTTATTATTCCATCCCACCCCTCTTTGTTAAGTGTCACGGTTCCCCATGTTTTTTTTTTTAAACTATAAAATTAATCTAAATATTTAAACCCTCGACTATTTGTTTTAGATTGCTTACATATCTATCAGTGATGGTATCCCCCTTTCCGGAAGCCACGGTTAAAACTAACTCATTTAACTCAGCACTGCCGAGGATATCAACATGCTCTGCAGTCTTAGCACCACCTCTAATATCAAATCTATCCGGTTCATGTTTAATTTCTACAATTTTAACCTCAATTCCTGCGGGATTAAATCTCGATTCTGACCCTTTCTTCCATTCGTGACACATTGTATGTGTTAATAACAGAACTGTACCATCACCATCCGAAAAATAAACTGGGGTTTCTGCCAATGGATCAATTATATACGGAAGTCTAACGGATTTATCAGCTTCTGTATAAGTATATGCTCTTTCTGTAGGTTTTCCAACTCCATAGAAACAATATATTTTCATGTCTGGGGCATTTGGTAGTTCTGCCTCTAATGGGTTGGACCAAGTTCGTTGATCCTGATTATTAGCTTTTATTTCACTAGCTGTACGAGCAACACCCCAGGAGTAGTTATCTCGTACTCTGTTAGTGTACCATTCTGGTGTGACATCTAACATCTTGTCTATAGCTTCATCAATTGTCGCGTTGGTAACGTGGCCATCTTTATGATTGTATTTGAAAAATGTACCAAAACTTTCTCGATTACTAGAGTTTGCATCCAATACTTCCTTAGGTTCAAACTCATTGATAACAGGATCATCAGGGGCGTATGTCAAATTACCCCAAATTAATTCCCCTCCCTTGGGCAACATCCCTGCAATTCCTCCAAAAGTTCGCAACATATCTACACGTTCTCTTCTACTGAAAAATTGCTCCAAGCCATACACTGCTAAGGCATTTAATTGCACGGTATCCTTCATTTCTCCTGACAAAAGCGCCGAAATAGTTTTTGGTGTTCCCAAAGTAGATCCACTTATATCGACAAATGCAGCAATGTGGTCATTGACCCATGATTTTCCACCATTTCCATAATCTTTCCCACTAGCTTCAACCCATTTCATAAAGTAAAATATAATCTGTGAACCCATTGAATGACCAACAAGAATAGACTTTTCACCAGTATGTTTAACGGTTAATTCAATTTGAGCTTTCAATTTGGAGAAATATTTGTCTCTTTTTTCCAAATCAATATATGTCAATCTCCAATCATAGGCGGCACTAATCATATTATCAGGACTATATCCGATAACCGCAAGATTTTGCAAGATTTTGTTCCAAATCCAATATCCCGGCATGAAAAAATCAGAAGCTTCAAACCCTTCGGCGGCACGCAACTTGATTCCAGGTGGATCTAACCCTGTTTCCTGGTCCAACATGATATGTTTCAACCAGCATGTCTTGTCGAGAATCATCATTTTCAACATATAGAATGACCCCCACATTCTCTTTCGGAAATGGCTAATGGAAGGACAGGAACCATAGTTTGTAGTTGACCATGATTGTAAACCAGTAGAAATAACACCAGGAACCATGATAACATTGTATTTCTGGGTGAAGTTCTTCGTCATGGCCAACCTTTGTCCCACACTAAACGATTCCGCTGATCCATGTAGGCCATCGTCGGGACTTTCGGCTTCCTGTAATAACGATTGCAATCCCAGCGGTAATAAATCCTTCCATTCACTCCAATCTTTCCAATCTTCAAAGAAATTCAAATTATTGAAATTGTTGACAACTTCAGACGGCGCATTAGTGGTTGAAAATAAAACCGTCAATGCCAATCCCAAAACTGTTCCCAATATAAACATAACCCGTTTGGATTCATATACTTTTCTCTGTTTCTTCTCAATGAACTCGTCTCTATTCTCCTGCAGTACCCGCCTGCCATGATGGTGGCTGTGATGTGGCTCGTCATACAGAAGACGTCTTCCCCTTCTGTCAATTCCACTAGATTGACCTATTGAAATGCCATCTATCTCGGCACTTTTTTGCTTTCTGAGTCTTGGTGACGTTGACATTGGCAGTTGAAAGTTATATCTTTATATTGGGAGGGTATGCTGTAATTGTTGTCTGGAATTTGAAATTTACTGATATAGGAAAAAAAACTAATTGAGTTTAAGTTAAGCCTGTCAAAAAAAAAAACTATGCTTAGGATTGCAGAAGAAACTTGAGTCGTTAAATCTTCCCGTTCTTTCCTTCAGAGAACAAACCAAAGAAGAAAAAATTGTAAACATAAAAGCCGTTAAATTTCACATGGAATTTGATTTAAACGATGATGTTTTCGAAGGATGTCTAGAATTCTATGGCATATGACAATTTGGCCCAGCAAAAAAAATGGTATTGTGTTTTGGTTGCTGCGAAATAGCTAAAAAAATAACCACAAACTGAAACTTATGTAAGAACTGTTAATTGAATTATATAAATACTAAGTAAAGTTCAAGCATAGGCGTTTATGTGCATCTATACCGGTAGCAGTTATCTGTTTAATCACAAGAAATATGAACTTTCAATAACACACTACCTAAAACATAGCACGTTTTGATTTCGCTATATAAAATCGTTTATAAAGCATCCATAGTATAATCATACACAATTCCAGGGGTAACACTAGCAATGAATTTCAAAAAGATAATCAAATATTGGTCAACTCTAATACCTTCTTCATCTCCTGGCTCAGTTGGTTCCTCCGCATCTTCAACCTGCTCACTCTGATCATCGACTGTTAACGTCCTTAATCTCTCATTCAATGTATCACTTGCCTTTTTTAATTTTGAATGTTTCATCAATACCTTCATCACCGAAGCATGTCTGCAAGGATGGATCGAAACTGATGTGGTGTTATGAGCCACTGGTAAATTCTCAATTGTAGCTGTTTTGTCCACATAATCCGAGTTTATATCTTCAAACATTTGCTTTGGAAGGAGCGGTATACCATTGGAATCAAACCCCACCAAATACATCTTAGGAACACGATATGAAGTAGAATAAGTAATGTACATATCATACTTTCTTAACTTGTTATTGGAATCATTGATGATATCCAAATCATCAAAATCATCCTCTTCTTCTTCTTCTTCGCCACCTTCAGCGGTGACATCTATAAGTTCGTCAATATCATTCACCTCAACTGCTTCTTCCAATTCATCTTCGCTTTCTTTGTCCTCCTGCTTAGCTTCGGCTGTTTTATTTGAAGTCGCCACCTTTCTGGATTTGACCCAACCATCTTCTCCTTCCTCTCCTTCTATTTCCTCTTCTTCCTCAAGCAAATCAGGATCAATGGAATCGGAACCTCCGTTTAAATAAGTAGATGCCCGCTGATAACTGGGGACATGCTTTGTAATCAAAAATTGTTTCTCTTCAGGCAAAAAGCTCTTTTGAAGGTTCTTGGGACAGCTTGACCATCGCCAAGTAGGAAATTTGAAAACAAGATAATCTCCAGCTTCAACGAATTCTTCGGGGCTAATCTCCCCCGTGGTTGAGAAGTTGGATTTGTGGTTGATTGGGGTTAAATATTCTCGTAATGATGATAATTTTGATCTTAACATGATGTGTCTATCAAGTGCCTTGAGAGCTGTATAAGGTTAATATTATGGTGTTGATTAGGTTTTAATTTGGTGACGACAACCTGTTGTAAAGTGGTATTGCCATCAGATTTCTTATCAGTACAAAGAGGATTGTACAACAAGGGGTGGAACAAATAAAAGCTGGGGTCGTGTAAATCCAATTTCTATGTCATGTGATCGATATTTCCAATTTTGGATGAGAATATTATAGTTACATCGTTTGCGCTATTTATAGCACACGAAGAATAGCAGTATATCATAGGGGTATTATATTGAAGGTAAATTAAAGAACTTTAAAGTGTTTGGTAGTGATTTGATAGGCTATTAAAACAAGGACAGTACTTTTTCTAAAATTTTGAAAAAATTTTCTGGAAAATACTTCTAAAATTCAACTCGAGTTAAAATCGGGTTCATTACCCTTTCAGAAAAATTTTGACAGTTAGTTTGGCAAATCTTTAGATATAGTTTTACCTAAAAGAAACATATTAACAACAAACATGCAAGAGAATCATAAGGTAAAGGCAACTATAAGAGAACATTCGCTCCACTCCTTCAGTTGTCTTTAATCCAAGTAGAGACAGTTTGTAAAGCTGAACTTCCAAGTATGACGGTTTATTGAACAGTACTAACTCATGAAGCTGTACAGTTTAATAGCTTCTAAAGTGTCGGTTGTTTTGATTCTTCTATTTTGAGGTTTTGTTTCGCAACCATTGATTCATTGTTGAGGCTAATTGAAAAAAAAAAAAATAATTAGATTTCGCGAGTTTAAAAATATTTTAGTTTTTACTTGCCTAATTGGGACCCCCCAAATTCGAGTCATTTCCAGTTTCAGATCATGTGCCACAAGATTGTAATTACACTAAATGTAATGAAATCGTATTGCAAATAGCAAACATTGCTAAATGGGGGAAATATAAGACCATAACTTGAAAGGAGAACCAGTCGTGGTGTTTTTATTTGCATTGAAAAACCAGTCAAATTACACGTGTCGCGACTTACCTTATCCCTATTTGGAAAGATCTTAACATATCTTGATGCAACATGTAGAAAACGTTCAATCCTGCTAACTGCAGGGCCCTTACATGACCTGATTTATAATTCAACTAGATTGGGATACTTAAAAAAAAAAAGACACGTTAAACGTGAAAACTAATGTGCCTTACACGTCAGTTTTTCAAAAGTTTACCCGTTTCGGCATACCTCCCCCCCCCAAAAATCTAAAATCAAATATAGTATCTTTGTTGTCTTTTCGCTGTACGTGTTTACGATTCCCCTTAGTATAAAGTTCGCGCTTTTTATTTATTTTTTGCGTCTCATGTTGATATTTTATTCACGATGCGTCTCGTATTTTCTGTTTCTTTTTTTGTTTGTTTTGAAGTTTTGCTGCAATTATTTATTTCGTGTACTACAGCGAAAAGGTAAACACTAACACAAAAGAATTTCCTACCCAACAACCATTCCGATTGACAAGAAAATCACGAAAACAGATGCGAATCACAAAAGATATGCGACACGTCAACATATCTTTCAAATCTAAGTTTCTCTCGCTTTAGTAGCCGCAGTCAGTGGTATTCCAAAACGCCAAATTATATTTCGCTTCAATTGCAAAAATTACGCGAACGTTATTTGTTTTTGAGATGCTTGGTAGGGTGGAGAAGGTCTAATGCTAAGCAGTACAAATGAAATAGATTACTTAAGGAGTACTGAATTATTCATATCAATCTTTTTCATCAACCAGGAAACATGATCTCACTTGTGGTTATTTTGCAATAGCAACATTTGCTGAAAATAACTCAGTTTCCAAGACAATCACCAGCTAAGGGTGTGTTAAGGTTTAGAGTGTAGCCTTTAGTTCTCCCGAATAATCACTCGGTAAATTCTTATAAAATAATTAATAATGTTTTGGTTTAACCTAAAATAGGATTTTGTTGGCAGAAATAATTAAAAAAAATTATTTTCCTAAACACATTCATCTTCCATTGTACCTTTTAAACTTCTACGTATGTTAGTATTTTTTTTTCATGTTTTGGTTTTTCCTAATTCCCTTTTTGTGACCGTTTTCGTTAGTTTATGGTATTGGGTACTACAGCGTAATACAGGGAAATATTATAATTAGAACGAAATAAACAACTCGAGTTTGTTTTTCTTTTTCAATACTTGGACCCCAAGCTTTCTCTTACTTCAACAAGACAGTTCATTCCAGCCATACCTTCACTTGCAAGTCTATTCAGCAGTTCCAAATCACTCAATTGGCTTTCAAGAAAGGAATAAACGCGCATTCACTGAATTATTTATTGCATATTCCACACACGCATATACATAAAAACACCCTACCGCTTCACACCAAATGTCCGTGACAACCAACAGAGTAGCATTAGCACCAATCAAAGATACTCATTTGAACTCGAACTCGAATTCCAGTTCCAGCACGCCATTGAAGGATAAGAAGAAAACACCAATTCTATTCAATATCAACAAACACACGTTTTCCGCAAGTGAGATCAAGAGAAGAAGACAAGATTTGTTCATGAAATCTTTAACCATACCCAATTCGGCAACTTCATTAAACAAAAAGTATTCTCCTTTACGATCGCTCAGCTTTTCTGATTCGAGATCAACATCGTCAACTAGTTCCTCCCCTACCGTTAAAGTTAGAGCCAACAAGAGTATTAAAGCAATCACTAATGATACTGCTGGTTTAGCTGCTACTAAGTTGAAGTTGAAATTACAGTTGGCCCTTTACAAGATTCAACAACAAAAACAAACACACAGATCATTGACGCGTAAAAAAGCTATTCAAGTTGATGAAACTACCACTATCAAGTTTTCTTCAGCAACCTCGCTTAAGTTGCTCAGCCCACCAAATTCAGCTAAGGCTTCTAGTTTTTCATCGCCAACACGTAAATATCCTCCTGCAGTTGCAAAAGCCATGTCTTCATTGCCCACACCACCTCAAGCGCCAGCAACTTATTTTTCATCCGTCAACATTAATTTAGAAACTAAGGCAAAATTATTAGCATCTGCACAAAGTTACAAAGACTCTTCTACGCGTCCAACATTATCCAACATTGCTCAAAGAAAACAATCCAACAAAACTAACCAAAAATTGAGATTGTTCCAAATTAAAAAGAATTCAATCTTTTATTCTAATGAAAACCAAAATAAAAAGTTGCCTTTAGTTCAAGGCGAACAACAAATAAAGCCAAAACCAATACATGTATCATCATCCTTAGATATCCTCAAGCATATGCCTTCAACCACATCACCAAAAAGACAAGCCTCCATAACCACTGGTGCTTCCTTTATTCTTCCATTTGCAGCCGCAGCTGCCGCTGCTGAATCGGGAGCAAGACAAAATAATGCATCGACTTTACCATCTATACTTCTCAACCCACCTTCAAACATTAGTCAGTCATTCAATTCTAATCATGCTACTAATTTACCATCAATTAACAAAATCTTAAGAACTCCAATAAAGAGAGCCAATTCGACTCGTCAATTATTGAAGCAACAACCTAATCCTCCACCACATCCTGCAAGAGCTTCTCGCTTACCTACTGTTACTGATGATACTACCATTGATGAAGATAATGACATGACGATAATTAATAACACCACCACTTATAACAACAGCACCGTGGTTGAACATAACGACACCACCATTCCTGAAAAGAATGAGGATGACGATGATGAAGACGACGATAACGACTTTGATTCCAGAAAGAAAGATATTCTTAGTTCTTCTCCATTATCTAATCCATTCGGTACCCCCAACAGTTTCAGCGTTGCTAGATCCTTATTGCAATTGGGTGGACACAGAATGTGAACACCTCAGCTATATGTTACATTTAAGATTTGACGTTCTTTTCACTTCGTTTCAAAAAGTATTATAGAGTCCATCCTTTAACATTCTTGTACTATACTTGTCATTATGTCATTGTCTCTTTTTTTTTTGTTTTCCTTTTTCACTATTTAGTTTAATCATAATACATAATATTCCTGTTTACATTGAGGTAATGTTCATTTTGTATGAATTATTAATGAAGTTTACAAAGTCTATGTATCTATCTAATTGTAACGTAACCTAAAACTTACCTCTTAACAAGTTCTTAATCATGTCTCTTCCAGTGTAGTAACTTGTTAAGTAAAAAGTGTAGAAGTCCATAGTGGAAGTGATAGTGTCCATGAATCCAAATGGCAACATAGCAGGAATCCAACCTTGGGCCAATTCCAAAGCAAAACCTCCACTTGGCATACTATATTGTTTAACTTGACCTCTTTCTAAATGATGTTGGTCACCTGGCAAGTACATTTCTGGAGATAATGCACCTGGAAAAGCTGCGCTTTGATATCCAGTTAAAATAGTAAAGTAATCATCAGCAAAATGAACACCAGTGTGACCTTCAGTACCGATTGCGGTACCGAAAAGGATTAAGTACTCACTGATGGAAGCATGAAGAATGTACATGGTACCCATAGCTCCACCGGCATTGTTGTAGACCCATTCGTCAAAATTTAAGTCATTAGTGATTGAGGGGTATTTTTCTTTGATTTTTGGAACTAATTCAATCATAATGTTGGTTGCATTACCATCTGGATGATTAACGAGAACATCTTGGACAATATCTTGAAGAACCTTTTTGTCATAGATGAAGTTGGTAGGTAACCAGGTGTCATAAAGACGACTCAAAAGAGAATAGAATCCAACGGCGAATAACGCAAACAGTAAAAGCTTCATTGCAGTTTAGTTAAAGGTAAAGAAGAAGGAAAGAAAGAAAGAAGTTTACAAACTTTTCGGTGTTTTTTTATTGCAAATAAATCTGCAGGAATAAGGGAAAAAAAAATATTATACGAGCGAATTAAACGACCACCGCGCCTTAAATATTTCTGACATTTTGAGGGGGGTTATAAACGACGGCCTATAGCAAACAATACATCGAACAAAGACAAGAAAAATATGATTCTGGTACTTGTAACTACAGGAGCAACGGTTACATTTGAATCATTGATTTTAAAATTGATCAATGCTGACCTTATTGAACAATTGATTGCACTAAACGTGGACAAATTATATTTCCAATATGGAAATGAAATCAAAGGATCTCAACATATCAGTCGGAATTTCTTTGTTAATCACTTATCCAAAAGCGGAATAGTGGAGAAATTTAACCTTGAAATGATAGGGAGCTCGAAGCAAACTGGTGACGTGGAACACTATAAGTCAGATATATTTGAATTGATTACATTTCCTTACTCACCTCATATCGACGACTACATAGACAAAGCATCAGTTGTTATAACTCATGCAGGAACAGGATCAATAGTAGATGCTTTGACATTACGTAAAAAGTTAATGGTAGTAGTTAACGACCAGTTAATGGATAATCATCAATTGGAAATAGCTCAAGAGTTTTCCAAATCAAACTATTGTTTAGCTTATGAGATAAAAGATATGGAAGGTGACAATAATCGATTTGTAAGTGATTTAGAAAAATTGCTTAAAGATGAAATCCGATTGAAAAAGTTTCCTAACAATGATGGTACTATTATAGAGTCTATCATATATAATGAGTTGACCTCTTGAATTGTGATAACATAAACAGATGAGGAATATATTGGCCAAAAAACACATGTCCAAGAGTTGTGGTTGCATCATAAGCATGAATTTAGTTAATACATGATTACGAGATTCACAGTGAATAACAACTCTCAAAGCTATATATCAGTCCATGGAATAACTTACTTCAGGAAATGCGGTAATGGATTCTTATAATTTGTATGCAAAGTGAGTTTAGAATACAAGAAAAGTGGTTGGTAGATGTAATGAAATATAGTATGAAACTCTTTGTTTAAATTTTATGAGGCATTTACTATCAGATCCTTGCAAAGGGACACATGGTAATCATGTTACTGTTAGCTAGCTGCTATATTTGTGGCTTAGCAAGATCCCAAAAATTTCTAGCTCCGATTTATTTCCGTGCTCAAACTTAAGTAAGCTGCCCAAAAGTTGCTTACAAATCGGGTCAACAAAAATTTTTCCGTGCGGATGTACAAATTTGCAACCAAACATTATTGTACCAGAAAGTCACAATTTCACAATTTGTCAGCAACCCAGGATTGCGAAAACTATAAATACAAGCCTGAATTCCCTTATTGAATAACCTTTATACACTTTTCTCATCAATAACACACTTATTTACAAACAAAAAAAAATACTTGAACATATGACTTCTACATCTGTTTTTGTTTCTGGCGCTAATGGTTACATTGCTCAACATGTCGTCAAGCAATTGCTTGCAAAGGGATACTCCGTTGTTGGATCAGTTAGATCAGAAGCTAAAGGTGAAGAATTAAAATCTTTAATTAACAATGATAAGTTTTCTTATGAAGTTGTCCCTTCACTTACCGAAAAAGGTGCCTTTGATGATGCAATTAAGAAACATCCCGAAGTTACTGTGTTCTTACATACTGCTTCTCCTGTCTCATTCTCGATTAAAGATATTGAAAACGATTTAGTTAAGCCAGCTATTGAAGGTACTGTCAATGCTCTTAGTGCCATTAAAAACTATGGACCTCAAATTACCAGAGTTGTTGTTACTTCCTCTGCAGTCTCCATTCTTGGATTTGGACCATACTTTGATAGTGACAAGATTTACAATGAAGATGACTGGAACCCAATCACTTATGAAGAAGGTTTGACTAACCCTCACTTTGGATATTTTAGTTCCAAGAAATTCGCTGAATTGGCCGCCAATGATTTCGTTGCTAAGGAAAATCCAAAGTTTAACATTTCATTTGTCCAACCAGTTTATGTTTTTGGCCCTCAAGCTTATGCTGTTAAAGATAAGGCCAACTTAAATTTTTCAAGTGAAATTGTCAATCGTGTTGTCAAATTAAGTAAAGATGATAAAATCCCCGAAGAAGCAGCTGAATTCATTGACGTCAGAGATGTTGCACGTGCACACATAATTGCTTTTGAAAGTGACGAAGCTATTCTGAAAAGATTATTCCTTGCTGCTGAAACGTATACTCTCGATTCAATTGCCGATATTATTAATAGACGTTTCCCACAATCCACAGTTCCAAAGGCAGACCTTTCAAAAAATGCCGAAATTTTGAAAACTGCTCATAAGATTGATAATTCAAGAACAAGAAAGATTCTTGGATTTGAATTTAAAACTCTTGAAGAGTCAGTATATGATACTGTTGAACAAATCAACAATGCTTAAAATATATAGAAAACTTTTTCCCTTTCAATTTATAGAGTTATAAAAAATGTTAAAATAATCGAGAAAGTATAGAACTACTAGTTCATCTTTAGAGTTGGCCAATAATGTTTAAATAAATGCTCCATGATTTTGCAACCATAGTATATCAAATAACTGGAAGGACAAATATTGGTCAAAGTACACGACAAATATTTGTGGCTACCTAAATAGAATTTACAACTGCGTTACCATATTACAAGTTGAAATAACATTACTATTCCTCAATGACAACAACTAATCTACTTATAGATATCATAAATGACAGCTCAATCATCGATAATATAAAGGTAAAGCAACTATCGGTTCAAATATCACAATTTAATGATGTTGACATAGTTCTGCTTAATCCTCTGGAATTACCTGTTGATACCTCCTACAAATACATCATTCTTTTACTCAAGACAGAAAAAATACTAGCACAAGATCCATATAACCCAATTTTGAAACAGCTTGTTGTTGATGTTAACAGTATTCCACCCGTGGCACCCAATATCAACGAGAATGACTTTAATAGCTGGTTTATCAAAGTTAAGCATAACGACTTAGTCACTGATATAGCTTATTTGATTACTGATTTGAAATATGACAATTTCATCGATTTAATCAACAAGAAACTTTTAAATGTGAAATCTGTCCCCACATCGAACCCCTACTATTCTCAATTGACTGTCTTGATCAAGTTGAAAATCCTACACCTTTACTTGTTATCAAACTATAATTTCAGAAACTTGAATATTGCCCACTATTTACAGGAAAACTTGATTGCTGAAGAGGTTAGTGGGGATATTTGGCAATTATTTGAAAATTTCAAGACCAATGCGTTGATTTCTCATGATTTATTTAACTTGATTGTATCAGCCAACTTTAATGACAACTACCAAAAGATTATTGAAAAAATGGACAAGACCAAGTTGTATATGAATATTCTTGAAAATAACATCATTAGATTAAGTAAATATTATACCTCAATCAAGATTTCTAGAATCGGGGAGATGTTTCAATTTCAAGAAAAAGGGATCAATGTTGATTTAGAAAATTTACTTTTCGATATGATTATAAGAAAGAAATTAAATGCCGGTAGTAAGATTGACCAATTGGAAAACATACTTCAATTCGAAGAATCTGCAGAGAACTCAGTACAACTCAATGATCATATTAAACAAGTTGGAACTTTAATTAGTGATATATGTATTAGAATCTAATCATATTTAGAGAATTCTTTAGCAAACTGTCTAACAGTTTTTTGCTTTCCGACAGTTGTAATCTCGTCAACTTCTTCAGGAGTTAATTCAAAGCTGAAAATATCAACAAATGACTTAATACGGTCTTCCTTACTGGATGTAGTTAATGGTAAAACACCTTTTTGAATAACCCATCTTAATAAAATTTGACCTTCAGTCTTTCCGTATTTCTTGGATAATTTTGCTAAAACCGGATCCAATGGACCCCCTTGACCCTTGGTGATTGGACCTAAAGGACCATAGGCTTCAACCAAAATACCATTTTCTTGAGAGTATTGAACAATTCCTGGAGTTTGGTCTTGCAAATAAGCACTAAATTCAATTTGATTAACTTCAGGTTTGTACTTTGGCTTGGAATCCAAAACAGTCTTTAAATCTTCAACAGTGAAATTGGAAACACCGATATTTTTAGCTAAACCTTCATCCTTCAACTTTTCCAAATATCCCCAAGCTTCAGTTAAGCTGAATCCATGGGTTTCCTTTTTGATATAGGAACTGTGAAGCAAGTACAAATCAACATAGTCTAACTTCAATTGCTTTAAGTCAGCCTTTAATGCTTCATATGGATTAGAATGTGGTGATCTATTAGAAAAACTAGCATCACCAGCAAAGTACTTGTCAGTAATGAAGATGTTTTCTCTCTTGACCCCCGAATTAACCAAAGCAGCACCAATTTCTTCATTGGTGTTGTAAATTTCAGCACCATCAATGTGTGCAAATCCTAATTTGATAGCCGTTTCTAAAGCATTGATAACATTGGTATCAACTTCATCACGACCGAATTTGAACCATTTGGTACCAACACCGTACCCAATTGCAGGGATGGTATTTCCGTTTGATAATTTAAAATCTGTACCAACTAAAGACATAATATTATGATTTGTGTATTTGTTTTGCTCTAAGGTGAATAATGGTAGACAAAAAACAGTAAACAATCTTTTGAGAGATTTGCAGTTGTATTTATAGGAAAAATCTAGAGCCTTTCACTTGCCAGCAAATAGCAATCTCTGTGGCTTGATTTCCGTTTGTGGCATCTCCGAGAATCAATCCACATTTTCCCCCACTTATTTTTTTCTAGTGGCCGAATTTCTCGGATCGTTTTACGGCCATTGTTCTAAACCCCTGATTACTAATACTTGGGTAAACATATCCACACATAAGCAGAGTTGCCACAGAAAGTAACCAGATAAGAGTAAAGACTAATTGCAGCCACCACCACCGCCTTGACTATCACATTACCCACCACAATCAGATGTGCACACGGAGACTTTTTTTTTTGTATAGTGCAGAGGTTTGAATATTTGGGTAAAGAGTAAATTATATTACATCTTCCTCAAAAAAAAATCGAGTCAGAGGAAATAGTAGTCACTTCCAAGACATTTTGGTTCAAATAGAATAATTCTACTTAAGTCTATTCTAGAATTACTCGACAATCTTCAGAAACTCTTAAAGTTCTCATAAATGAGTGTCAAGATAAACATCTTACGGAAAAAAGAATATCTTAACGGATATACTACAAAACATTTTAATAATAACCAATAAGGCCTAATCCGACATAGATATTGCTTTGAGATATTGGAAAGGTTACCTTCTTTGGTAATGCTGTTACCTTATGGTAATTTGTTGGTTGCGAAAAAAAAATCCATTTTGTGTAACAAACCATTTAAGTCAGCACCTGCATTTTAGTTAGTGATTAGAAGTGGAATTCACCAGGATGTTGTCTATATGTACCAAGTCTTAATACAACTAGTATCCAACGGATCAAGGCGATGTTGTACCATCCTCGGATTACAACACAAAAGCGAGGATCAGATTGCCAAGATTACAACCGGCTTTGGTTGCTATTGGCCCACGCGGCCCATCCCAAAATTTCACACACGCTACGTGTGATTTATAAACAACACACTATATAGTCAGAAGACAAGATCTACATAAAGAATGCAGAATTCTAACATAAGTGAAGAGACACCATTGCTACAAGAGCCACTTGCGAGTATCTCTTCCGCCGAAGACAGCAATGAAATCTTGTCATACGTACAACAACGACGACTTTCAATAAATTCAAATGGACCAGATAAGATACCCAATTCTTTTAATCTTCACCACCCATTTCATCATGATGATAACATGTCAAGAACTTCATCAATACAGTTATCTGTGAATGACCTTATTACTATGCACACAGATGAGCTTGGTCCCGAGCCATCTACAACAACTGTTCAAGAAGTTAAAGTTCTACTTTCTTATTCATTTCCTATGATTATAACGTTCATTCTTCAGTACTCCTTAACTGTTGCTTCTGTATTTTCTGTTGGAAGAATAGGTGGAACTGAATTAGCAGCTGTTAGTTTAAGTTCAATGACAGCCAATATAACTGGGTATGCCATTATTCAAGGTGTGTCTACTTGTTTGGATACACTCTGTGCTCAGTCATATGGAAGAAAAGATTATAATGCAGTAGGTGTTCATTTCATCAGATGTAACTACCTATTAATGTTATTATTTATACCGATATTTCTGTTTTGGGTTTGGGAAGCTGAACCAGCATTGTTAAGCTTGATTAACGCTAACGAATCTAGTGATATGTGTTTATTAGCTGCTAATTATTTAAGAATATTGGCATATGGATTACCTGGGTTTATTTTGTTTGAAAATGGTAAACATTTCTTACAAAGTCAAGGGATGTTTGAAGCATCAACTTATGTGTTGGCTATTTGTGCTCCACTTAATGCATTATTAAACTATTTGTTAGTATGGGATAGTAACATCGGATTGGGATTTCTTGGAGCCCCGCTTTCAGTGGTTATTACAAATTGGCTAATGTTTATTTTATTATACTTGTATATTTTCATTGTTGAAGGATATAAATGCTGGCCAAAACAAGGATTGCTTAACAGAATATTCTTTACCAATTGGAACAAAATGATTTCCCTCGCTATACCAGGTGTATTGATGGTAGAGGCAGAATGGTTAGCTTGGGAAATTATAACATTTTCAGCTGCTAAATTTGGTACTAAGGTCTTAGCTGCACAATCAATCATAACCACTACTTGCATATTGATCTATCAAGTTCCATTCGCTTTGGGTATTGCGACCTCTACTAGAGTGGCTTGGTTTATTGGGGCTGCTTCCAAAGAAACAGCAATTACTGCAACCAGGGCTTCATTATTGACCTCACTAGCACTAGGACTAATTAATTGTACGTTCTTACTATTGTTTCGTCATCCATTGGCTTCATTATATACCAAGGACAAAGAAGTGATCAAGTTAGCGGCAAGAGTGTTAGTGATTGGAGCAATATATCAAATCAATGATTTCCTATCATGTTCCACAGCTGGAATTCTCCGAGGTCAAGGACGACAAATGATAGGTGGTATCCTAAACTTGGTGGGTTATTATTTGATTGCGCTTCCTGGTGCATATTTTTTTGCATTCGTTGCAAACCTAGAATTGCTCGGCCTTTGGTGCGGAATGATAATTGCGCTCGGCTTTGTTTCCCTAACTCAATTATACTTCGTAATTATAAGCGACTGGGATAATGTAATTGACAAATGCATAAATGAGGGTATAAGCGAAGATGGACATTTGAATATCGAAACACATTCTTTGTTGCCGAGTATGAGCAACTCAGGGGCCATATAGCGGATTTTACAATTTAAGCCATGAATGTTCCCGATTGAATAACTAAGTTCACAAGAAGATAGGGGTAAACCTTTCTTGGAATAGATTTGCTAGACATACATTAGATAAGAATAGTTGCATTACTAAGCCATACTTCATTTACAGTTGAAACAAATAATCGTACGAGAATGCCCTGAACGGACTTATATGGTGGATTAGAGGTGAAACACTACATATTGCTATGAAACAAGGGGAGGGCTTGTCAGGTCGATCCTGCGGAATTTTCTTGTCCTAGGCTATAAATATGAACTAGTGTGAAATACGCGCGCCAAGAAATGCCAATCTCTTTGTACAAAATTATTTAGACTCTTTATTATTCAATTTAAGTTGTAATGCTTCTTTTTCACTTTTCATTTGCCGCAAATCCTTTTGCAACTGTTCCTTCTCCTTAAGTAGCAGATCTCGGTCTTGTTCCCATTTGTTGACATCCGAAAGTACGTTACCACATAGATTTTTTATTGTCAGATCCGATGTTTTTGACTGAATAAGCTTGATTTTCTCACGCATGGGAATCACTGATTTTGTGGCAGATTTTGAAACAGTTACATCATTCTTAGTACTCTTTGTTTTCCGAAACTGCAAGTGCTTCTCAAGGAGCCTATAATAAGCGAGGTATAACGTCTGGGTTCTGTGTAATTCTTCCAAATATTCAGTTTTCATATTATCATACTTCTCCATAATATCAGGTGGAACTATTGTTGATTCATTCTGCTCTTCATTATATGCCTTTGTCAATTGAGATAATTTGCTCAAATACTGGGTTCGAGCTTTTAATCGAGTGTTCAACTCACGTAACTGAGATGTGGTATCGTCATTGCCAGTACTTGGCTTGTTCTTATAATTCTTCAACTCATTATCCACTTCAATTCGTAGTTGATCGAGTTTTCGATCTATTGTGGATTCATAAACTTGCTCAGTAGATTCGTAAGATTTAGAATAATTTGACGTGCGTCCGCCTTTACTTGCTCGTATATCCCAATTTGGATCATTCTTTTGTTCTGACAAGTTAGATGTTCGTTCTCTACTGCGTGGATATTTCCCTGGATAATCATCAGGAATAGAAATACGCGTGGCATGATTTCCCAACCCGTCATAGCCGGAGCTTAGTGTTTGGGTCACTTCTCTTACCAAATTGATGTCATGGATTAAATCGTCATCGTAATCTAATTCGCTGTCAGATAAATCTCCGATTACGGGAATATCTGGATTATTGTGTGAGCTTCCTGTTGTATCTTTCAAGATCGACTTGCGCGTTTGTCGAAGGTTTCCTTGTGATGAAGGCGTCAGAGAATGTATTGTTTCATTGTAATCGATCGTGGGCTCGTCTACCAATGGGCGTGAATCATCTTCGCCCACTCCAAACAAATATTTTATCATTTTTTCTTGTTGAATCTTCACCTGTCAGGTACAGAAAGTCGTTGTTTACATTTTAACTAGAAATGGTGATGATAATATACATTTTTTTTTCTGTGTATCTTTGTATTGTTGCCAGTCCAGGATGCAAACAAAAAAAAATTGTCGCAATGCAAACTCATGTTTGACGATTGCAAAAGCATATATATATATGGTGTTGTCGTCACTACAAAGTGTTTATAATCATAACAATGGATCCTAAAGTGCTTCTATGTATGATCAGATGATATGTCTGTAATTGGTAATTTGTAGGATTTGTGTTTGCCAACATTGGAACCAAAGTAGATGACGTAAATTGTTCGATTGCAGCAATAGATCTATTTGGGGTATTTGTAAATATGTAAACAAGTAAACATATACACAGCCTTTTCGTGTTTTGTACCTGTTAACAACGGGTTGCTTCCGAGTTTGGTAATGACTACCAGTTTCTCCCAAGTAGGAATACAGGCGACGCCTATGAGGCGATGTCATAGAGGTGATAAATACTTTCGCGTGCTATCAGTTTAATTGAATGGTAGATTACAGTCAAAAGGCTAAAAAAAAATACACCGCTCCTCGTGAACAGAAGGCACAACTAGATCTGCAAGCACTGTGTCAAACTTTAGTATTGGTATTTTTGACATTGTATCGATTCGGAGAGTAACCGATGGTATTGATTGCACCACAAACAAGCCGAGAATAGACGAATTGAAGGAGACAAAACAACTGATTGTCTTAGAGTTTGGTTGAGATGAGCTACAACAATGGATTTAATTACGTACCCTAAATATTAAACTTCCATTGTATAATTTTGTTCCACAAAATACAAGAATCCTTCATTGTATGCATTTGGGCGCACTTTTTGTAATTACCGAGGTGCGTACTCCTATTTGCTTGCAACGCAGATACTCGGGATGCAGCATGACTTGGATTCCATGACACAAGTGACCTAGACTTTAATTTACCCCAGCAATTGATAAGCGCTAACATCGAATAGGGGAAATTTGTGTTTACGGAGTTATTCAGGGTATGATGCATATCGGCAACTAATTTTTTTTTTTCAGTAAAGTCTCGTCAAAGACAGCAAAAATTTGCCCATTTAAAATTTTTCGTCTAGTGAAATGAGACTATGTCAAAAATTACAAGAAACTTTAGTCTAAAAACAATGCATATTATCTACAAGAATGGTGTGATTTACGTGAACAATTAAGCTTTTATTCAACATAGGTATCGGCAGAGTTGGTACCTTATCCCCACTAGTTTATTATTATTTGATATGTAACAATATACAGCCAGCGCCCTCGTCATCAGGAGATTTTTCAGGGGAGATAGCCACAATATAACACATATTTTCTCATTATATCTTGAGAAAGTGCTCTCTAGAAACCATATTTTTGGTATGCAAGTTAGGTTTGACATAGCAACCAAACTAAATCGCGTTTCGTGTTTTGTTACCTGATTGGTTACAGCCTCTAATATGAGACCCTTGCCAACCGAACTAAATGTATAAAAAATTTTCTTTTCTGCCCAAAAACAGAGTATTTTTGATACCCCTGAAAAAATATTTTATTTTATAAGTTAAGAGCCTGTGCATAGGCTTAACTCCACCCTTTGTTCCAATTAAATAGCGGTTAGTACCTTAATCTAAAAAAAAAAATGTATATGCAGGATCAGACAATAAAACGTCCACCGCGTTTACCTATTGGGACGTACATGTGCTTATGAAATGCCCTTCCATTATAGTGAGCAACCCCGAATGGGATACGAAATATTCTGTTTGTAATTCAAGTATTGTGGTTGTAATTCCCCTGTTTGTACAAATCCCAGCACCACATGTATTAGCCAGGATATTGGTATCAAAAAAAAAGAAAGAGAGCCGGGAACCAAACCATAATTTAGTAGCTCGGTTATGCGCTTGGAGAATTTATTTTTTTTCTTTTTTTTTATTTGCTGTTAATCGAGACCCGTAAAACTAAATCCCTGTGCATGAAGGAATCTAAACGCGAGAATGCCATAAGACTAGGAGATAGCGGCAGCAATCTACAGTAAACACAAGTTGCAATAATAATTCTTGAGAATCTAATCGAAGTTGGAAAAAAGCAAAACATAGAAGTTGATGTTATTGTTTAAGTATTTTTTTTTTTCAAATATTTTTTTTTTTGTTTGATAAACTTAGCTGCATGATTGTCTTTTAGTAAATTATTTTTCGAAACTTGTTAGTCAAAATTAAAATTTAAGGATAGCTCCAAGACATTTCCCAATTATAAATAAAACTATATTCGGGGGTTTTGTCCAACTATTATAAAATTTACTACTTAACCCAAACATTCTACATTCTTTTTTTTTTTTGCTTTTAGTCTACTTTTTAATTCATTCTCCATTCGCTTGATTGAATTGTCCATTTAACTCACGATTGTCCATTCGAACCCCCAGAAGAGTTTCAACTACCAGGGTTCATACCAGTCCCTGCATATTTTCATATACATACAAAGAAAAAGAGTTTACAGTTTTAGTCTGGTACAAATAACAAAGGAACACTTTATTCACTCGTTTATATCCCTCGGCATTCAATGTTCAACGTCTCAAGAAATAAGTCAATGCCATTGACTCCGCCTTCTTCGTCTGAATCTGACTACTCCAGAGAACATGATTCCAAAGAAAACAAGAACATTGGCAAATGTTCCAGCAGCCCACGCAAATTCACCCAATTAAAATACAATCATGAGTTATACAAATCAGAATTAAAAATCCACAACCAAAGTCTTGCTGAATACGATTATGACATTTATGACAACATGGCAGAAGCAATTAGAAATGCCAGACCCAATATAGACTTGTACAAGCAACAACCATACTTGACTTTCCCCATTAGACAAAAGTTGGTTGATTTCTTGTTGAAGATTTCCATCAGATTGAAAATCCTCCCATTTGTATTTTACAAAGCGGTCAAGTTATTTGATCGTTATTGTTCAAAAAGAATTGTGTTGTTGGACCAAGCACAATTAATCATAACTACATGCCTTTGGATAGCCAGCAAAGTCCAAGGAGGTAATAACCATTTTGTGAATTTAAGCAACTTGGATAAAGTATCCACTATTAGAACCATTAACGATATAGGCTATGGTTCCGGTGGGAAATATTTAGGTCCTACTGAAAGATTCAGATTACCTAAATTACATGAGTTAGTAAAGTTGTGTGGTGCTAAATGTCTGTATGATGCTGGTATGTTTAAGCAAATGGAAGTTCATATTTTGAACACCTTGGAGTGGTCGTTGAATGACCCTGCTATTGAAGAATTCATTGTTGAAAGTCACGAGTTCAGTACCATGACTCCACCTTGTGAAATATTCAAGGTAAAGGTATTCCTTTCATACGTTGCATCATACACACATGAATTAATCGATGTTCATGTCGTTGATTTGGCTCAAGTCGTTTTAGATCTCATAAATGAAACTTTCAAATTAACTCCTGAAGATCCAAACTATCAAACTGTTTTGAACAGCCCCACTCCAATAGTTATGGAATTAGAAAAATACAAAAAAATCAAAAAGAGTTTGGTCAAGGCTATTCTAGACTCATCGGAATACATATTGAAGCTTTTCAACTCAAGAGGACCACAGTTTATGTATCATCAAGTTATTAACCATTACAAAATGAGTTTCTCACCACAAATGCCAATTACACCAGTTTCACCAGAAACATGTACAGGATTCCCAGAACCTCAAAGCACTCCACATCAGCATCAACAATTCAAACCAAGAAGAGTAGTAACACCACCAGAAATAGAAGTGTCTTCTCCCCCTATTAGAAATGCTAACCATAAAATAGTTACACCTACATCAACTTATCCCCCAGCTATAATCAAGGGGATTCCACCACCACATCAATTGCCATACTATTTTCATTCTCCCATCGAACAACCGCCACTGCACAAATACAAGTGGGGCAATCGCACACCTAAACAAAGAAGTTACTCATCTTCAAGCATCAAATTCAATACTACAAATTTATCACAAGGAAGCTTGAGCTCGATTGCTTCCAAGCCAGATCTGACATTTGATGCTGAAAATCCAAATTTTACACCGGCAAGTGAAACTCAATCACCCGTGTGGTTAATTAAGAAACAACAACGTACCAGACCTGCCGCCCATGTTCATACCCAAAGTGTTCTGTTCTAGTCCATCAACAGATATTTACACAAGATTACACAGTTTACACTTTTGCATTCAATTCTCCAGTATAATGTATTCCTTTTTTTTTATTATTATTCGTCTTTTTTACGAACATTCTACTATCGGCTAATGTGTTTTATAGTTCATACATAGATAGTTTACGTACTACTTGCATTTTTAATATATGTTTACCAAAATGAAAAGAAGAGCATTTACGAGTTTTAGTTTCAAATCGCACAAGAAGATCATCCCACTATCAGCATTCCAAGTCATGAAAATAATGAAAGTGGTTCGTTTCAAGTAAACGAATTTGATGGTCTATTACTAGAAAACAAGTGAAAATCCCCTGATTTAAAGGAAACATCCATTCCGCAGCACATTCCGTTAAAAATGAAACTAGAATACCAATCGTGACGCCTTTTCTTTAGAGCAACGAAAAAAAAAAAACAAACACAAAATGAATTGAGAACAAGGAGTGTCTAAAAAAAGAAGGAAAATTCCAACTTCAAACTATTTACTTTACACTGCCTTCCCAAAGTAGCAGCCCAACAAACAGTAACACATATATTGACATCAATATTTTCATTTTACCCAACACGCGCTTTGATTATAGACTAGGTTTAGGGTTGAAACGTATTAAGCATCTCATTTAAAAAAATAAAATTAACCTACACACACACACGCACACACGCAAAATCATGGTGTCGTTCTACTATTGTTTGAGTATAGTCATCACGCTTTGGTCATGTCTAGTCAGGGCTGATCCAAACATGGCCGAGTTGGAAGGAACTTGGTCATCCAAATCCAATACCGTATTCACGGGTCCAGGGTTTTATGATCCTGTCGATGAACTTTTAATAGAGCCAGATTTACCAGGTATTTCTTATTCCTTCACTGCTGATGGACACTACGAAGAGGCATTATACAGAGTTGTGCCCAACCCTAAGAACCATTCTTGTCCAGTCGCTTCTATTACTTACCAACATGGGAAATACGAATTATTAAGTAACGGATCTCTTGTCTTGACACCTATTGCTGTCGATGGCCGTCAGTTATTAAGTGACCCATGCAACAGTCCTGATCCATCAAAATCACAATACACTAGATATGTTCAACCTACCTGGTTCAAAACTTATCAAGTTTATATTGACCCTTACCATGGAAGATACACGTTGCAAATCTACCAATTTGATGGATCTAAGATGCAGCCATTGTATCTTGCCTACAAACCACCATTAATGTTGCCAACTACCGCCTTGAACCCTACCAATGACGAATCCCAAACTGCAACTTCATTACCACTGAAAATGAAGAGAAATATCAAGAGGTCATTGGAAAATCAATATAGAACGAATGCTAAAAGGGATGTCTACAATGAATCCTTTGACAAGTATTGGTGGATCTCGGTTGGATGTTTGGGTTTAGCTTCTGCTTATTTGTTTTTGAAGTAAATTATATCGAAAGTTAATTTGGTTTCTTGTACTGTGCTATATATACATAAACATTAAAAAGTAAATGTAAAACTCTGTAATACTCGTTTTGGTTGTAAGTTTTATGCAACTTAACGGTTTGTAGAATTACACCAGCTCAGCACAGGTGTAAAGAGATTATTATTGAAAAAATAAAAAAAAAACAACAACAACAACATAAGCTTAATATCATCCATCCAAGTACGTCTTTACTCTAGATATACCTGCACCTTTTGGTACATATGTATGTCCTTAGCTAATCGCATAGTTAAAACTGTGTTTATTTTTTTCCTTCAGGGTGAGAGAATATCTGGAGGCGTAGTCCACAGAAAAACGAAAGGCAAAACTTCCTATCTACTTAGTAACCACCCGTTTATAGAACAACAACAACAACAACAACAAAAACTACAGAGCCAATCATATAAATTACAATGTCTTGGGTCACTGGAAAGGTCTCCCCTGTGGAACTAGACAACAAGATTGCAGAAGCCACTTCTGAATCGATTCCTAATGGTGAGCTTGAATTATCAATTGCATTGGAGATCACTGATGTGATTAGATCCAAAAAGATTCCCGCTAAACAATGTATGCGAGCTTTGAAGAAACGATTGACTTTAATTTATTCAAATCCCAATTTAATGAAGTCGACATTGAAGTTGATTGATTTATGTGTCAAGAATTCGGGATTTCATTTCTTGGTGGAAATTGCGTCCAAAGAATTCATGGATTATTTAGTTGATTTTATCTTATTGGTTCACTACAACGTTAAGGAGAGAAATGTCAAGAACAATGAAGCCAAATTAAGTGTAGGTAACTTGATATTGTCTTTAGTTAAAGAATGGTCGATTGTATTTGGTAACCAATTACAATTGAATTATGTGGAAAAAGTGTATAATGAATTGGTCAATCAAGGCTTTGAATTTCCAGAATTAAGTGGTCACGTTCAACAAATGACCAGCACTTTTGTGGATTCTGAAGTGCCACCAGATTGGGTCGATAGTGATTCATGTATGATTTGTTATACTCCATTCTCGATGATCAACAGAAAACATCATTGCCGTGCGTGTGGAGGAGTATACTGCCAAACCCATTCAGCAAACAACACTCCCTTGGTTCAGTTAGGTATTATGGAAGCTGTTAGGGTGTGTGACAACTGTTTAGCTAAACAAAAGGCCAAGACTAGTAAGAATAAACCTAGTCATGAGAGAAGCTCCTCAAGGTCAATTCAAAATGAAGCCCTTGATGATGAAGAGGAACAAATCAGAAGAGCAATCGAGTTGAGTTTGCAGGACAGCTCTATTCCATCAGCACCACGTCATGAACCTCCTCAAGCACCACCTCCTACTCAAGAAGCAGATGACGAAGATGAAGAAATGAAAGCGGCCATTGCTGCAAGTTTAAGAGAATATGAATCTGAAAAGGCCGCCCATCAAAGCCATCAACAGTTCCAACAACCTGAGCAACAACAGCAACCACCAACACAACCTGAACTGGATCTTTACAATTTCAGCATTCCAACTTCTAATTCTCAACAAAACCAATATCCCCAATATGGAGCCCCACAACCACAATTTCAACAACAAGAACCACCTCAGCAGCGCCAACCACCAGTTCAAGAAGATTTATCACAAGCCGAAGAAGAACAAATCAATCTCTTTATTACTTTGATGAATAGCTTAAGAAATGATCCGAAGAAACAAGCTAATGTTATGTACGATCAAGATCTTAACGAATTACACTCCAAGATAATTAGATTGAAACCAAAGGTTAACAAATCGTTGCGTATTGCTATTGAACGTTATGAATCATTCTTGGAAATGAATAATAAAATATCTACAATTTCAAGATTGTATGATCAATTTTTGGAAAACAAATTGAATTTAGCCTATGGAAATCATTATATTAGTAACCCACCAGCACATCAACCACAGCAACCACAGCAACAGCAGCAACAACAGCAACAACAACAACAACCAGCTTATCATACCTTTAATGAGTTGCCACTGCAGGGAACTGGATATTCTCAACCCACTGCAGTGCAGAGTGAACATCGTCCATTTGAGAGTTCTGCTTATCACGAGCAAACTCAAGCACCACAGGGCACTGGCGGGTATCAGCAGGGCCCACAAAGGACTGGCGAGTATCAACAAGCCCCCCAACTTTCAGGTGGGTATCAGCAAGATCCGCATACAACTGGTGAATATCAGGGTAATTCCCAAAGAACGGGCGAATATCCGCCACAAACTCAACAATATCCTCAAGAGCCTACCTCCACTGGATATTACGAGCAAGCTAATGCTTATCCAAGTCAACCTCTAAAGGAACAGGGCAACTTTTACCCCACCTTCCCTCAAGAGTCTAATTCCAACGATTCATTTGCCAAGCCAATTTCGGATCAGTTACCATCCGAGCCTAAATTTGACGAAGAAAATGACGAACTGGAACGCAGAGTGCCTAAATTTACGTATTCCCAGTATCCGCATTCCGATCAAGACATAGGGGCTAAAGTAGAGCAAAAACAAGCTAGTTACCCCACTTCCGATAATTATCTCCCTTCAGAACCATCACAAAAATCAGAGAATGATTATGTTACTGTTTCTTTGCCTCATTACCCGCCACCGGAAGATTTAAAGCAGGAATTGCCGGTGCAATCATTTATCAGAAGGGCATCTTCTTCACTTCCTGCAAACGCTCTTGAAGATGCCAATGCCAAGTTTCCTACTTTGGAGAATGTTGAAGAGGAATATGACCGTAGTCATAAGGGTATTGATAAATTACCAGTTTTACCTAGTTTGGATCTGTTTGAAGAAGACAAAGAGTCCGAACAGGTTAGTGTAAATGGAGGAAAGAGATTTGTATCTGAGCCAGAGCCTTTAATTGATTTATAGCTGTGATTTAACATATATAGATACATATATAAAGAGATGCTTAGCCGATGTATTACTCGTCAAAGTACCGCTTAGGGCTGCAACCATCATTTGATGACTCGTTTTTGTCTTAACCGCCTTGAAGTACATGTTACACAAAATCACAAACCATTTTTTAAAAAAAAGTTTTTGTGACTCTGACGAATGCACGCCTGCGTCTTTTTTTTCACATTTTGTAATTGAATAATTTTTCACCCTCTTTTGTTTGCTCTCTTCCTCTTTCTCTATCAAATAACTTATATAAGTTTCCTTCCCCATAAAGCTACTCACTTACTGCTAGCACGACTACGTCTTACAGTTCACACAAGCTTTATTTTTAATCTGTTGTAATTTCTTTCATTGAATTTACAACTAATCCCTTCCCCAATTAAAGTCTGACTTTATCCCACGAGAGCTGCCGCTTGAAGTCCAATCAACAAACTATACTCACCCCATTTCGTGAGTATTACCCCGCCGTTGCATTAATAGAACAAGTTTTTTTGTACTTTTGCCTATTCCCCTTTTGGTTCTTCTAATAGTCTCCTGTTAGAGTTTGAAAAGTACATTTTTTTATAACCTTCAAAAAAAAAAATTAAAACAATTATTAGCCAAGGTATGACCCCTAGTGTTATCCAAGATGATCAACCTCGATTTGAATCTTTAACTCCAAAAGATTCCTATCTTGAAAAGACAAGACAATTGCCTTATTCAATCCAGCAACAAGCTAATCAACAGTCGAGTTTTGCTTCGAAGTTGATTGGTGATGCTCTTGCCAATCACATTGCTGAAATTGACCACGACCAATGTGATGCCGGTGATGAAGATTCATTTTTCGTTTGTGATTTAGGTGAAGTATTGCAATCGTTTAGAATCTGGAAGGAAAAATTACCCCAGGTTCACCCTCATTATGCTGTCAAGTGTAATACCAATTTAGAAGTTATCAAGCTCTTGGCTAAGTTGGGTGTTAGTTTTGATTGTGCGTCCAAGACTGAAATCGATACTATTATTAACTTGGGCATTGATTCGGATAGAATTGTCTATGCTAACCCATGCAAGACCAATTCGTTTATTAGACATGCGAAGCAGACTAATGTCAATTTGACCACAGTTGATAACGTGCAAGAATTGTACAAGTTGCAAAAGCATCATCCAGAATGTGGAATTTTGATTAGAATTGTCACCGATGATGAAACCGCGCAATGTAGATTATCCACCAAATTTGGCTGTTCCTTGGAAGTAGCAATCACTGAATTGTTACCGTTAGCCAAGGAATTAGGACTCAATGTTAAGGGAGTTGCGTTCCATGTTGGGTCAGGCGCTAAGGATTTCGATTCGATTTACAAAGCCATTAGAGACGCTCGTGCTCTTTTCGACGCCGCTGCTGAATTCGGTTACAGCTTGGACGTGTTAGATATTGGTGGAGGTTTCGAAAGAGAAACTTTTGACCAATCTTCCAAGATGGTTACGTTGTCCTTGGACAAATTCTTTCCCGAAGCTTTTGTCAAACAACACCAAGTTAAGTTCATTGCTGAACCTGGAAGATTTATGGTTGCAAATGCCTTCACTTTAGCAACCCATGTGATCGCAAGAAGAGACATCAAGGATGCCGAAATCAGAGCCATGGTTTACATCAATGACGGAGTTTATGGAAACATGAACTGTATTTTATTTGATCATCAACATCCCCAGGCTCATGTTTTGACTCATAATAACAAGTTTTATTATGATAGTGTCCAGTCGTGTCCTTACCGATTCTCGATTTGGGGACCAACTTGTGATGGATTGGACTGTGTGTCTAATCAAGCCAAGTTGAGTCATGATGTTCAAGTTGGCGATTGGTTATATTTTCCCAACTTGGGAGCTTACACTAGTGCCGCTACCACTTCTTTCAATGGATTCAAGGGGAATGCTCATGTTATTTACGTGGCATCAGAAGAACTTCCTTGAAGAAGTATATAGACATATAGTTTATTTTTGGTTCAGAATATAACATATTCATCTGACTAATTGTAGTTTTAGCCGGCTGTGTGGGGCTATAAAGATCACAACGTCAACTTATAATTAGAAGGCACAATGTTGGAACAGTAAAACAAAATAACGGCGATCACGTGATATCTATTCTCACCAATTTCAAACCCTTTTGGTTTATTCCAAAAAAGAAGTCACCAAAAAAGAGGCAATGACAACCAGGCGGTGCAACTTGACACATTTCTATAAATAACTGTGCTCAGTGAACATAGAGACATCATACACCAAGTCAATTCTACGTATTTATACCAACACGAATCTTGATCAACAATATTTTTGTAACACTTTGTCCCTAACCCCTTACATTCCCTTTTGAGAGTTGATTTGCGATGTCAGGAACAAATGTTGAGGAAAACACCAACCAGATAAATAAGGCATTGAGTGCCATCCACCAAAAGAAACCAGAGTTTTCCCAGCCAGACTTTACTGTTTATACTGCAGATGATGGAACAAAGTATTCCACGATAGAACGAGCAATTTCTACTGTGGACCCACCAGCCACTTTCAAGCCTAGCCATGACCAATTATACCTTGCTGATGGGAAACCTAATTGTGCTTTCTTGAAGGACCATTTCTTTCATGAGGGAAGATTGCACGAGGCGGATGCAATTTCCATTGTTAAAAGAGCTACCGAGTTGTTGACTGCTGAGCCCAATTTGCTTCAGGTTCCAGAACCAGTGACTATATGTGGGGACATTCACGGACAATACTATGATTTGATGAAGTTGTTTGAAGTCGGTGGAGATCCTAAATCTACCGCATACTTGTTCTTGGGGGACTATGTGGATAGAGGCAGTTTCTCTATTGAGTGTTTGATTTATCTATATGCACTTAAGCTCAATTATCCCAACACGTTTTGGATGTTGAGAGGGAATCACGAATGTCGCCATTTGACGGAGTATTTCACGTTCAAGAACGAGTGTTTGCACAAGTACTCCGAAGAGTTGTATGAAGTGTGTTTGACTTCATTCAATGCCCTTCCCTTGGCTGCGATTATGAATAATCAGTTTTTCTGTGTTCATGGAGGTATATCCCCCAAACTCACCAAACTCGATGACGTCAAGGAAATTAATAGATTTAGAGAACCACCCACTAAAGGATTGATGTGTGATTTGTTATGGGCCGACCCAATTGAAGATTATGATGATGACGAATTGGATAAGGATTTCATCAACAATGCCGTGAGAGGATGTTCGTATGCATTCACATATCGCGCATCATGTAAGTTTTTGCAAAACACGGGACTTTTATCGATTGTTCGTGCTCATGAAGCTCAAAATGCCGGGTATAGAATGTACAAACGAACCAAAACCGTGGGGTTCCCCTCCTTATTAACTATGTTTAGTGCACCAAACTATTTGGACAGCTATAACAATAAAGCTGCGGTGTTGAAGTATGAGAATAATGTCATGAATATTAGACAGTTTAATGCCTCGCCCCATCCATATTGGTTACCTCATTTCATGGACGTGTTCACGTGGAGTTTGCCATTTGTCGGAGAAAAAGTCACTGATATGTTGGTATCAATTTTGAATGTATGTACCGAAGATGAGTTGGAGGAGGATATACCCTATAGGGAATCGCAAATTGGAGTGTTGCCAAGTGAACTTGCTACCTTGGCTCAGAATGCTCCACCACCACTGGGAGGTATCCCTGTAGCTGGCATGGAAGTTGAAGAAGAAGCTGAGGAAGAATCGCTTGCAGCTAAGAAATTGGCATTGAGAAATAAGATTATTGCCATTGGTAAGATGTCGAGAATGTTCCAAGTGTTGAGAGAGGAACAGGAAAGTGTGGCTCATTTGAAAGAGTTAAATCGTGGAACATTACCCAAGGGTAGTTTGTTGCATGGTCGTGATGGGTTACGTCAAACGCTTATGACTTTTGAAGAGGCCAGAGCTGCTGATTTAGTTAATGAGGCGTTACCTCCTAGTGCTGAGGATATAAAGAAACTTAACGATGAACGAGAAGAGAAGATTAGAAGACAGTTTAAATTCCCGGGAATATTAAGATGAATGACTTATATTACCTTTTTTTCTTTTCTATATACATGATGAATAACATCAACATTCTTTTTTTTACCGTTGTAGCATGATGCTGCTGTCGTCAAACAGTAAAGTAAATTTCATGCCGAGATTAACCACCGTGAACCGGGCAGATAAAAAACTTTTTTTTTTTTTCAGAACCATAAACATGCACCACGGTGGTTACCCACAAGTTAAAGCGTCGACAATAGAAAGATATAATGGCACCAACGCCTCGAATAGTGTTTGAACAGCCAAATATAGAAAACACCATCCCGTTCACTTTATACCAGTCCTCGTCACCTGAGAAATTTTCATTTGAAGATTCAGACAAGTTTGTCATACATGGAGGAGGGCCTTTCTATAGCATTACTGGCATCGAGGACGCCGAGACAGAGACATGTCTTGAATTACAAGGCGTTGACTGTAATGACGTGTCTTTGTTTGTGTTAAATACGTCATTTATAATATGGTTCAATGCCAATGAACGAGGGTTGGAATTACCCTATCAAAGTATAGTGTTGCATGCAATAAACGAGGGCAAAGACGATTATATGTTGTACTTGCAAGTTGTGTCAAGTGAGGTCATGTATAGTGTGAATAATAACAGCCCTGGGTTTGTATCATATGTTAATCTTAACATCACACCTACTTCACCAACCAATCCACACAGAATGCACGATGTCAATAAGCTTTTTTCACAAGTGAAAGATTTCGGCATAGTTAGCATATATGAAGCTCTTTCTAAATGTTCGTCCTTGCATTATGACACAGAACTGGAAGAAGAGGAAGTAGGAGGGGCAGGAGCAGATCGTGCATTTTTTGGAGCTTCACTCGAACAGCCACAACAGCAAGAGCCAGTATTGGAAATTCCAACTAGTTGGATACTGCATAATGGAGTAGGAGGTTATGGAGATGACTTGGATGATATTGTCATTGAGGACGAGGCAATTGATGCCGGTATGCATGTAGATGTGGGGTATGGTCCCATTGCTGGTAGCATACGTAAACGAGAAGATGATTTGGAGGGCGTAGTTAAAAGTAGGCGATTGATTTAGCAGTAATAAAATTGTATGGTATGCTGTTTACCTTCCTCTTGGTGCGCGCTCAGCTTGGGGTCCTATCTCCAACCCGCCGCCCAAAATTCAAGTTTACTTTTATCTCAACCCTAAATTTTGCTGTCTATCCAACCGACATTTCATTACCCAGTCAGCATTCTCGTTGTTATATAACAGTGATTTATCCTTCGTTATCAATTGTTTCTAATCGAAGCGTACACAGAAAACCCAACCCTTGCATACCATGATGACCGCTGAGGAAAAGGCGAAATTCAGGTCCCATTTCCTCGAACTTGGTCAGGGGAGAATCATACCTCCCACCAACACCTTCTGGAATACCCTTTGGACATACCCCACTTGTGCAGAAGATGTATATGAGCTGTTGACCCCTTCAGACATACGTACTGTACGAAATCAGAACAAAGTCAATTTTATCCTTCTAATACGAATATTATGCACAAAGATTGTGGAATATGGCGATCCCGTCCACATTGACAAGTTGTCAGGTACGAAACATACAGTTGAATTGTTGAATTGCATACGGTTTGTCTCCAAGTTGGTCCCGTTTGTGTTTGAACTTGCGGCTTATCACAATGATCTTGAAACTGTGTTCTTTTGGAGTAAAGAGTTTGACCCGATAGAATACCTGCGAAGAGAAGCACCCGTACCACTACAACCTCATGAGATACACGAATCTCTCGCAGTGAGATTACTTTCTAGTTTGATTAAGTTACTATTTGTCAATGGCTTTACTACATCGCTGAAGTCAATGACAGTTTGGGAACCAGGGATTGGCCAACGCACAAAATACGACCCTCCCAACTTGATTATAGATAGCAACCGCTCAGAGTTGCTTAAACTACTCATCACATTGTGTTCTTCGCCAATGTACTCCAGCATCTTGCATTTACTGTCGACGGGATCCAAGTTCTTGACGTATTTGGTGAGTAGCACCCCAAAACAAGAATTGTTATTTTTGGTATGCTCACTTGTTAACGTTGCTTGTCGAGCCTCTAGAAGTTCTATGGATGAGAGCTCGTTGATATATCCTGAAAATATTGAATATTCGGAAATTAGACATGTGGTGGTGGCTTATTCATTTCAGTTGTTGACTTTGTTAGTTGCATATCCGTTACCTAGTCCCACGGAAACCAAATTTTTGGTTGATGCCGGGTTAATCACGTCAAAACCTCACAACATGGCAAGACTATACATGGGAAGAATATATAAAGACAATGAAATCCTATTTTTGGCAACTTCACTAGTTAACATATTGAGATTCCCTGTCACGGGAACACGAGTGACTGAAAATGGGACAAAAGTAAAAAGTACCCCACCGGCACTTTGGGCTACAGAGGCAGCAATGTTGATTTGGGAATTGATGCAATGCAACAAGAACTTTAAAGAGTTGATTGGCCGGAAGTTTGTCTCAGAACTAATGGTTGTGCTCATGTATTACACTTTCTCGTTCCATTCCAACCATGTACATGCTAATTTAGTCCGGGTGTGCACTTACCTTATGTTGTACTTGTCTTCGGAAGACATGATTAACGATTTGTTCTTTCCCATGAGTTCATCATTGTATGAGTCCCTCCCTGGACCATACAAGCTTCAATATCACCCTTTGACGACTCGAGATTTTCTAGTGTGTCAAATTTGCAATTGTATTATTGGAAAACAAGCCAACCTCTTGTACTTGACGAACAAACCCATGCCTGATTTGTTGGCGAAGACCTTGGTTGAAATTCTATACAATTTAATCCAGCCAGTGTCCAATGACGAATTGAATGTACATAATGATCCATTGAAGAAACTCAATAATCCAAATTCGCGAGGTGGACTTTCGTACGCAGCAGCGTGTTCCATCACTCACCTTATCGTCAAACTATCCAATCGGTCATTTGTGCTAGAGATACCATTCCATCTGACTTCATTGGCGTTGGTGATACGGGCAGTTGCAACGGCGGCTATGAATTATCCTGGTCCTTCACGAATGTTGCTATTCTCAATGATCAAGAATGAAAAGGTATTTCAAGAGGTGAGAAATACAATGGCATCACTCCATGGCGTACATTTTAAACAAGGAGTGCCTGTAAGAATAGACAACACCCCAGAAGTTGTGCCTGTAACTCCCCATCTTATCAATGGAAGTTTTAGACCTTCGATATATGGGGAACCAATTGAAACTTACGGAATAGCAAGACCTATCAATAGGGAAGAAGACCATTATATGACGGAAGATGAGACCGTGGCGGAATCCTTACGGCCTAGTTCACCCCGAGGGATGACCAACAAGGCTAGAGAAAAGATGAAGAAGAACATACCTATTGGCAAATCCTGGGGTGGCGATGCCGCATTGAAGACGATCCTAGAAGTCATTATTCCTAAGTTGCACGAAGTCCTCGATGAGTCTGAAGAAAATGAGATTTTGAAAATGGTTCAACTTATTGAAGACATTACGTTTGAGGACAATTATGAGAAACCAGAACCATTGCGATTCACGTGGAGTCATTTATCCCTTGGTTGGTATATGTCGTTGTTATTTCATGAGATTTATGATTCGAATGACTTGATGAAGAGTTTTATGAGGAGTAACAATGGAATATTCAAGAGTATTGGTAGCTCCCTTGCCAGTGTTAGCATGTTTTCATACAGTTGGAATAGTTTGCTCAGTCGTAAACCCAAGACAAATCAGGATGAAATTCAATGGGTCAAGAATTCATTAACAAACTATAATCATTGGGCAAATACAAATGTCAGATTGTTCAAGATTGACTCGGGAGAAGGATTCTTCTCAAGCATAAACAAGATAGGATCTGGTGTATCACAGTCTCTACCTGTTAGTCCTGTCACGGAAATGGCGACACAGTTTGGCAAAAGGTTTAGTGAACTACGTCTAAATTCTAATCAAAATAGATCATCGCCTGTGCTTTCGATAAGCGCAGGAGAGACGCCGCCACAACGGCCAGATACATTACGAAAATTGTCACGAAATTCAATTCTGAGCTTGCATACATTGAACGCGATAAATAGAACGAGAAGTAACACCATAGTTTAAAGTAATATTACATGTCTATTAGAAATAAATGCATACATAACTATCTTCTTCTTCTTCCCTTACTTTGAACCAACTCAAATCCATCTTCATCAACTACTGGACCAGCAGGTTCGTCAATTTCCATGTGATCGTGCTCGTGATCGTGATTGCAACCTTCGTGGTGCTCTTCTTCATCTTCTTCCTCTTCACTATCGGAAACATCTGGATTGTTTGGATCAGATTCAACTGTAACTTTGTGAGATTGATGCTGTCCAGAATTCTGCTTCTCTTGCCATCTGTTATACAACTGATCAATGTCGGTATAATTATGAACAGTAACGTCTTTGTAGAACTTCATAATCAAAGCAGCAATCTCCAAGGCAGAATCATTATCAACTTCAGTGTCAAATTCATCAACCATGGCATAGAGCAAAGTCTCTTCAATCAACTGAATATCTACAGCTTTCTCATCAAACAATTCAATAACAATACCAGAAATCCAATCTCGTTTCTCATTGGACTTAGGTCCACCCCAGCTATTCTCCACGGCCGTGGCTAATTCCTCCCACTTGTAAACAGCCATACAAACACCAAGTTCGAACTTTCCTTGTTGTTTCTCATCCAGGAAGCGTAAACTGCCGTGCTCGACTTCGATGTAGTCGGTAGGATCAATGGATGTACTCATGTTTAGGTATGTAAAAGAAATAAACGGTATAATACAAACACGATGTTTAAGTTTGCCAATTTAATTTTTTTTTTTTGCTGGATCATCGCGGGTTAGATTTGCTTTAATTAACCAAATGCGAAACTTGCTTATCACGCTTAAATACAGAAATCACCTCTTCTTCAGGCACATTCAACTGAATTAATCGCTGTCTTTCACCTTGAACATTCTGTTGTATTAAGATACCTGATTCAACAAATGAGTTTAAAATGTACTTAAAGTAAGGAACTCGTAAATTACGAGATCCTTTCTTGGAAATTGAAGTATCAAACAAGTTATCAGCATACAATATATCGGTAATCTCTGTATCATTGGACTTGTACTGAGCATTCTTCATTTCGTCAATGATATCACCAAGGGTATTTTCAGCTAGTCCTGTTCTCTTGCTTCTTAATAAAACTGCAGCAAGCAATAATTTCGAAGCATATGGTAGCGAGGCCAAGTATTGCGATAAGGGAGAATTTACAGTCTCATTAATTGCTGCTGAAATATGAGAAATCTGGACTTGGTATGGTTTGTCATCATCATCATTACCGTTTTTCTCTTGAGAATATTCCTTCTCGGCAATCTCGACAGCACGACGACATATTGTCAAAGCTCTTCTAGCATCACCACTAACACTGGCGACTTTTCTGGATGCAAAACCAATTGCATCGGGTGAGATATGGACTTTCCGCTTACTTTGCTTGGTCAACATATCAAGCCTATGACGAATGATATCTCCCAATTGATCAAAAGTATAACCACGGAATTGAATTCTTCGTAATCCCAAACGTGATGATATCTTGTTGGATAAGACTCTTTCTGGTAAATCCATAGTATTGGCCACGGCAATCACGATCAATTTTGAGTTCTTATAAGTGGGCCAATTCAAGAAGTTATACATGACATTTTGTTTCTTAGTGGCTATTTGATCCAATTCATCCATTAGCACAATGAATGGTTTCCTGTTATTGTCTTCTCTATTGAAATACTCTTCTAATAAAAGAGCCGAACTTGCAGGACTCACCTTATCTCCACTGATTTGCTCCCACAACATTTCATAAGCAACATTTGGTGACACTAGTTTTAACCCATTGAGTTCTAGATAATTAAATGGTTTAATTTCGTTTCGTTCCACTGATTGAGTCATTTGTTCAATAACATCTCGGATGGTGGCAGTTTTACCCATACCAGGAACCCCACTGACATATACACAACAACCTGTTTCTTCATTGACGGCAGATTCTAAATTCATGTAAATCATGGCATATTCATCTTCTCTTCCCGGAAGAGCATTTAACTTTTGTGACGTGTGCAATTTGGCTTTGATATCTTTGAATGCTTGTGAGGTTGGATCTGTAAGAGCATTTGTGTTTTTAGAAGGTGAAAGTAATGTAGGGAGGATTGGCGTATTGGGTTTAAAAACTCTTCTTCGCTTAGTTGGGGTTAAAATTGTGGAATATAATTCTTCGATTTGATTCTTTTGTTGTTTTTTTGGGCTGCTTTTAGGAGTAGTTGTTTTGCTTGATTTACGAGGTGATTTAACGGGACTGGATCTGGCACTTGGAGTTCCACGACTTCGTTTAACTGGAGACTGAAGTGCGTCTACGTATTCGTCATCACTTGAGTCTATTCCTATGACATCGTCGTCAGAATTTTCTCCAGTTAAATCCTCAAAATCTACATCATTATCCTTGTCTAGTATTTCTTCTTCTTCTTCTTCTTCATCTTCATCTTCTTCGTCTTGCTCTGCTGTTTCAAGTTCTGCTTCTGCTTCTGCTTCAACAGAACTTGTTTCCTTTGAGATAATGGTTTCTACTGGTGCTGGCAGTGCTCGTGCAGATGAATTCTTACTTGTCTTTCGCTTCTTAGTTGGAACTACCGTCTTTGTTCTCAAATACTGGACAAACCCATCTGGATTTTCTGTAAATTTATCCATCAAGAATCGAAAGTCAAATGAATCCGACTTACCATCATCGTAACAAGCACGTCTAGTCATGAATGTAGTGGAAGAATTGGATTCATCAATAACAATATCATTGTATTCTTCGTTAGATAACACCTGCACTTTCATAATCACGTCTTTCATCTGGATTTTTTCTAGATATGGAGTAATATAAATCTCATTTTGTTCAACATCAGGCTCTTTAGAGTCAGCATGGGTGAACCAAATCACCAACACTTCTATAAAATAATCAGTACCAAAATCAATTGATTTGATAAGAGCTACCTCAGCAACTGCGTTATCATCTTTGACAAGAACGGTATCACCTACTTTAAGTTCCATATCATCATTATCACGTTTGAGAATAATTGAGCTTGTGTTCCGCGCCGATCTCCGGCTACGTCTGTTGGGGGTTTCCGGATTTGCATTGTCCTCACTTAATATGTATTGCCATCCCTTCAAATCCTTCTGACTTCTTGCCATGGCTTGTGTTGTCTGGATATGAACGTGGTTGTAAACTTTTTGAAATCTTAGATTTTCTATGTTGTTCCGCGCGCGCCTTGCTGGTGGGAAAAAAAAATATGCCAACATCTACACAAACAAATCAGTCGTACCATTATATTATTGTAAGCTTTGTCTAACTAAAGAAAGAAGAATTGAAATTTAAAGATGTAGAAGCAATTGGCCTTTACTTAAATATGAGAATTGGTTCGCCGACATTTGTAATTTCGTCTAGGTTCAACTTCAAATCAAACGCCTTGGACAAGATAATCTTGAATATCTTTTGAACATTGATGGAATGGCTGGTGGAACAGAATACCACTGGTGCTTTCATGGCACTACCGAACTTCTTGGCTTGTTGGGTTATTTCTAACTGATCTTGGAAACTCAAATCTATAAATTGGTCGTATTTTGTCCCTACCAAGAATGGAATCGCTGTTTTATTAAATCCTCTAGCTTGTCTATACCACTCTTTGATCGAGTTCAACGTTGACTTCCTAGTTAAATCAAACATGAACAATATAGCCACGGCGTCATTGGAAACTAAAGGTAGCATGTTTATAAACTCTTTTTGTCCACCTAGATCCCAAATCGAGAACGTTATTGTAGTATTGCGAATCTGGATCTTCTTATCCATGAAATTGACTCCCAATGTTTGAATGTAGTCTTCATCAAATGATCCTTCTACGTATTTAACCATTAGTGAGGTCTTACCTATCTGTGAATCTCCTATTAATCCTATCTTCAATGCAACTCTATAGTGGAGGTTAGTACTATTATGTTTTGGTTCTGGCTTACATGAAACATACTGGTTGTTTTGATCTTGATTGTCATCTTCGATATCTGGCATGGTATATGATTAGGAAGTAGTATTGTGGGGATATATGGTATGGTTTAATATAAGGGCAGTAAGGTTCACAGGAATAGACGTGTAGAATCAATAAAGCTGGCTTGTTTACATTTTGATGTTGGAACACTACTTTTGAACGCGACATGGAATGTCGTGGAGAGATTTTAATGTCGCGCGAAATAAGGTCCGAGTTTTAGGGTTTGTGCCCTGCTAATTTTCATGCGCACGTGAGAAGCAGCCCCATCGTCTAATGAGACGTTATGTCCTGCGTATACTACTTATCTATCATTTTTTTGCGTCAATTTCATTTACTACAGAAAAAAACAATTTACTCGCTCACGTGACTTTCTTGAAAACTTTTTGTCTGCACAGTCAAACTTTTTTTTTTGTTAGTAAGTGCTGCACTGCGGGTTGGATTTTCTACTAACAAATTTCCCACTCTTTCACTTTTGATTGAAAAAAGAAAATTTGAAAATTTTTTTAATCCTTCTTTTTAGCTTTTATCGTAATACCTTAAACTAGTAAACATGGCTGTTGGTAAGAACAAGAGATTGTCCAAGGGTAAGAAGGGATTGAAGAAGAAGGTCGTTGACCCATTCACCAGAAAAGATTGGTTTGACATCAAAGCCCCAACCACTTTTGAAAACAGAAACGTTGGTAAGACCTTGATCAACAGATCCACCGGTTTAAAGAACGCTGCTGATGGATTAAAGGGTCGTGTCTTTGAAGTCTGTTTAGCTGACTTACAAGGTTCTGAAGACCACTCTTACAGAAAGATCAAGTTGAGAGTTGACGAAGTTCAAGGTAAGAACTTGTTGACCAACTTCCACGGTTTAGATTTCACTTCTGACAAGTTGAGATCTTTAGTCAGAAAGTGGCAATCTTTAGTCGAAGCTAACGTTACTGTTAAGACTTCTGACGATTACGTTTTAAGAGTTTTCGCTATTGCCTTCACCAAGAGACAACCAAACCAAATTAAGAAGACTACTTATGCTCAATCTTCCAAGTTGAGAGAAGTTAGAAAGAAGATGATTGAAATCATGCAAAGAGAAGTTTCTAACGTTACCTTAGCTCAATTAACCTCTAAGTTGATTCCAGAAGTCATTGGTCGTGAAATTGAAAAGTCCACTCAAACTATCTTCCCATTACAAAACGTCCACATCAGAAAGGTTAAGTTATTGAAGCAACCAAAGTTCGACTTGGGTGCCTTATTAGCTTTACACGGTGAAGGTTCTACTGAAGAAAAGGGTAAGAAGGTTTCTGCTGGTTTCAAGGATGTCGTTTTAGAATCTGTTTAAGGAGATTTCGTACGAATAATAATTTCTGTTAATATATTTTAAAATAGCATTTATTGTAACATCATAATATAAAAATACAAGTATATATATATAATTTTGATGAAGTGTAGTTGAATGAATGAATTTGTTTTATAAATGAGTAGTACAGTAAAAAAAGGTATGGGACTCATGTTAACGTGACAACTTTGTATTTGCTTAAGACAAGCATACTTGGCCTGTTAGATTGGAGTGCCAACAGAATAGTATAAACTAGCACACTTGTACGATAACTGCACTGACTCACGCTAGAGATTGAAGAAGAGTAACAATTCGAAAGAGAGTATAGAACGAGAAGACAGATAATTGAACCATCTAAAGATCACAAATCAAGGTTCAATCTAACTTAGATTGGCTGGATTGACTTTTAAAATAGCGATCTTGTATATTTTTTTTGTTTTGCTGCCACTAACCATCAATTCATTATGTGCTAATCTGTACTACGTTGGTAGTTGGGGTTTTTTCCAATTAGCAACTCGTTTCATCTCCACAGAATGAGGTGAATTTTAAAATATTACAAGTATACTTGATAGTTTCTCTCGAGTAAATCACTTTGTTTGTTTGCATTTGATTAATATTGTTCATTATATAAGAGCTAGTAAAGTTGAATTGGATTTCTCTCAAATTTGCATCCATTTTTTGCAAAAGATTTGTCACATGCGTTGATTCATCTCTGTTCAGTAAATTCAATTTTCAATATTCATCTCCACAGGACTATAAAAGTGCGAAACAATGAATATTTTAAGATTATCGGATTTAACTACTTCATGTCTCTACTAATTTCGATAACTCCTCTGCACGGGTATGGTTAGAGATTCCCGATTGTCAGGCTTTGAGTTTACAGTTTAAGGGATAAATTTCCAGTGAGGCTTGGGTAATTTTCTCAGGGTAACCTGTAATTCGGGAACAATGGAAATTCCAGTTTGGACAGATTTGCTGTTCCATCACGTCAAACTGCAAGCCGAACTTTTTAATACCGTGTATGTCGTCACTTCTATTTACCTTGAATTAATCGCTCGGCAGGGATTAATTTTACGTTTCTTTAACTGAGTACCACCCATACATTTTATTCAATTGTATATAATACATCTAGGATAATACAATTGCTGTTGTCACAATGAGTCAACCTGTATGTATAGCTAATACTTCATTGCTTATGTAAGTGTTTTCCTTTAGGTGCTGCCCCCCCTTTTTTTTGTAGGGCTGTAACTTTTGGCTGTCTACACCAAAAGTAATTCGGACTTTATATGAGTGCCACAACCCCCCAAAATATGGAGTGATGATACCAATTAACCGAATTAGAGGCTTCAATTACAGATAAATTGCCACCGTTAGGAAAAATACACGAGTGTAACGCTGTTGACTATGTACTAACTTCTTGTAGGCAACCACCTCAGAAAAGAAGGCTGTGGGAGATAGTAATATCATTGGCACGCCTGTTAGCATACCAGAAGTTGAAAAAATCCATGAACCATCTAAAACTGCCAATTCCAATGAATCTGTGGAAGCTAAACCCGTGGAGAAACCACCAGCTCAATTAGATCCTGTTGATTCTCAAGCGTCATTGAAACAGATCAGTCCTTCTACCACCAGAAGAACTTTGGAAGAAAAAACTCCAACCAAAGTATTGATAAGAGATAAAACTGCCTTTTCTTGGCAGAATATCGGTAACTGGACCGATGCTGAAGATAGTGGACAAGATAAGCAAGCGCTTTTAGAAAGTACTAAAAAGACTGAAGCTTATATAATTGATCACTTCTATGGTGATTGGTTTTGGAATTGTTCCTTAATTATTGGAACTTGTTTTTTTGCCTGGTTTGTTGCTAGAATTGGGGGTGGATTCTTATCTCTTGGATTAGTGCTTTTGTTTACTAATTCTGTTTATCGAAGTGAATTAAGAAGATTCAATAGAGATATCAGAGATGATATGACAAGAACCCTTTCTGTTGAAAGATTGAGCAATCAAGCTGAAACCATGGAATGGATGAACTCCTTTTTGGACAAATTCTGGGTTATTTATATGCCTGCTTTCTCAGAAATGGTTATGACTCAAGCAAACGCCATTTTGAAGGACCAAGCCCCTGGGTTTGGTATCGATGCTTTGTCTGTTGACGAATTCACTTTAGGTTCCAAAGCTCCAAGAGTTGATTCTATCAAATCATATACTCGTACTGCTGACGATATAATTATGATGGATTGGGCTTTCTCCTTTACGCCCAATGATACCGATGATATGACCAAGAATGAAATCAAGAAAAAGATTGACCCTAAGGTTGCTTTAGGTGTTACCGTTGGTAAAGCATTTGTTTCCAAAACTTTGCCAATTCTTGTTGAAGATATGTCTTTTACTGGTAGATTAAAGGTTAAGTTTAGACTTTCTGAAAACTTCCCTCATGTTAAAATGGTCTCGGCTCAATTTTTAGAAGCTCCAACTATTGATTATGGTCTTAAGCCTGTTGGTGGTGATACTTTTGGTATTGATATCATGTCCTTTATTCCAGGTTTATCCAAGTTTGTTAATGGTATCATTCATATGACCTTGAGACCTATGTTTTATGCTCCTAACTGGTTTGATGTGGATATTGAAGAATTGTTGTCTGGACAAACCAATGATGCTACCGGGGTTGTTGCTGTTAGAGTTCGTCGCGCCATGAAGTTGAAGACTGGTAATCCTACTGAACCAAACAGTATTAATCCATATGTTCAAATTAAATTGACTAGTAATGCTGAAACTGAAGTCACCACCAAAGTTAAGAAGTTGGTTAATGATCCTGTCTTTATGGAAACTAAATATATCCTTTTGAGTCATCTTGAAGGTCACTATTTGAATTTTAATGTTTTCAATTTGTTGCAAGATAAAATGGATGATCAATTAATTGGAACCTGTGATTTCCCATTAGCAGAATTTCTTCAAGAAGAAGTTCATCAAGGTTTGGTCAAGAGTATTATGAATTCTGGTAAGGTTGTTGGTAAATTGGAACTCGATATCAAGTACTTCCCATCATTGAAGCCAATTGTTTTAGACAATGGTGCCAAGGAAACTGTCACCGATGCAGAGGTGGGTATTTTGAAATTAACTCTTCACGAAGCCCGTGATTTAGATATTTCCAATTCGGTCATTGGTTTATTGAATCCTTATGCTGAAATTTACATCAACAATGACTTGGTACGCACCTGTCGTCGACTTAGACAAACTAATGAACCTCATTGGGATCAAGTATGGGAACAATATATCACTCAACAATCAGAAACCGATATTCAAATCTTGGTGCGTGATTCCGTTGACTCTTCTGTGGTTGCTAATTTGACTGTGAATTTACAAGATGTAATTTTTGAAAGTGGAAGAGGTCAACATTGGTTCAATTGTACTGATTCTCCAGATGGTCCTAAAGTTAAGCTTAGTGCCAATTGGAAGCCGCTTGCTGTTGATGATGAAGTGACTGGAAAGGTTCATATGAATGCTCCTATTGGTGGTTTGAGATTACATCTTCGTAAGGCTGAGAATTTAAAGAATTTAGAATCAGTTGGATTGGTTGATCCATATGTTCGTGTTATCCTTAATGGTAAACTCAGAGCTCGTTCCCACACTATTGAAGAAACTGTCAATCCATCATGGGATGAAGTTTATTTCTTACCAGTGGCTAATGAACATCAACATTACTTGTTGGAAGTTATGGATGCTGAACCAGAAGGTAAGGATAGATCGTTGGGTACCGCCGCTGTACATGTTGCTGACTTTTTGAAGAAGGATGCCGAAGGTAAATGGTTGCCTTATGAAGGTGAAGACAAGATTATCGAACAAAAGGTTATATTCAACAAGGAGGAAATTGGAGTTATTTATTATTCCGTATCATACTTCCCAGCCCTTCCTGTTTATTCGTTATCACAAATTGAAGATAAACAAGGATACCTTGAAGATATTGAAAATGCTAAGAGAAAGAATTTGGAAAAGTATCGTCGCGATAAACAAAGATTTGAAGAAAATCCAAAGGAATTTGAATGGCTTGACCTCAATACTCAGGATGATGCCAACAAGGAACCACCTCCAAAGATTGAATTGACTCTCGATGAAGCAATCAAGTATCCTGCTGGTAACATGATTGTTCATTTATTGAGTGGTAACTTTTCTAAACCTGATGTTTTCGTGCATACTTTATTTGATGAGCATTCTCAACCATCCGGTGTATCTCCACGTTCAGTGGGTAGAAAATTGCATGCTATGTCTAGTGGTGAATCTTTTATTCGTGATTTAGCTCATTCCAAGTTGATATTCAGAGTTGCAACCGTGGCTGATGTCACCCACCTGGGTCAATTGTTGTCTGAAAAGATCTTTTCCACCTTGGATATTTACCGTCAATCATTTAAAAAACCAGTCAAATTGAATGTCGGGAATAACAACTTTGTGGTTGTTAGATTGGAATATATTCCTAGTGAAGTTAAACTTCCTCCATTAGATACTGTTTTAGATGTGGGTGTTGTGAATATGACCATTGTTGGAGCTAAAGGGTTACAAGCAATGGATTCCAACGGTAAAGCTGATCCTTTCTGTGCTGTCACATTGGAAGGCAAGGTTTTGAAGAAAACCGACAAGCAAAAGAAGACACTTGATCCAGCATGGAATGAACAAATTAGTTTCCCCATGGTTTCCAGATCAAGACAAGTGCTTAATGTTGAGGTATATGATTGGGATTACACTCATGATGATAGGTTAATGGGTCGTGGAAGAGTCGACCTCTCACAGATTCAAGCAAACAAGGCGTCTCAAGTCACAGTTAAATTGGATACCCAAGGTGAAGTTATACTTTCGGTCACATTTGCTCCTGAGTACATCCGTCCTCCATTGGAGGCAAAAGTATTGTCAGCGCTTCATTTGGATGAATTAGGATCTATGGGTTCTGCCGTTGCTGGTGCTGGTGGTAAAGTTGGTTCTGCCGTTGTTGGTGCTGGAGGTAAAACATTTGATGGTGCTAAAGAAATGGGCAGTGGAGTCAAGGATATGGCTGGCTCAATTGGTGCTCCTGTGACTGGGGTAGCCGGGGATGGATTAGATAAAGCTACCAGTTTCATAAAGGGATTTAGAAAGTCAAAACATCCTACAGAAACAGATGAAGTCAATGGAGGTGGTAATGGTGGTAACGGAGCTTACAGTTCTATCACCCCACGTCCATCTGATAGCAGAAACAGTACTGACCAATCTCTGATGCGTGAAGGTCTTCTTGCTCCAAAAGCCAACCATCTTCGTAATGTCAGCACCAGTTCTGCCGAGTCTACATATGCAGCCAGTATCAGTGGTCCTGAGTCTGTTCCTGGACGAGTTTCTGTTATTTCATTGGAAGGTTGGCCATCATTTGAACAACCTTTGGAAGTTAAGGTTGTGTTGAAGACAAGCACCAAGACCAAGACTCTTCTCAAAACTAGACATACCAAGATTGACCGAGAAGATAATAAATATTCATGGAATGAAAGTGTTGCTTTTAGAAGCGCTCCAAGTGGAGAATTACAATTTACAGTTAGAGAACACCATACTTTTGGTAAGAGTAAGAACTTGGGTACTGGTGCAATTTTGTTAACTGATATCAGCAGTGCTAGTGATGACATTATTGTGGCGCTTGAAGATAATGGTAAGTTGAAACTCAATGTCAAGTATTTGACGGGTTAAAGATAGACAGAGCTTATTATGTAGGTGTATATTATTATTATTATTATTATTATTATGCGTATCATATGACTTCAACTTGTAATTGCTGCGAAAAGAAGTAAATCTGGGCAAAAACTTTGTTCACCGAATTGCATACTACTCCATTTACGCCGTTGATATTATTGTTAACATTGACAATTCCGATCCAGGTTGGGGAAAAGGGGGAGGCTATCGTCATACTATTCCTACGCAACCATTATATATACCTGTATCTCCCAATTCCCTAAACAATAGACATGTACCTAACTGACTATTGCGTACATGGAAAAAACAGCCCCACCAAATCACGTGAAAAACACCTGATTTGTGACTGCTTTTTTGTTTACACGTGACCATATGCTCAGGCAAAAAGTGGAATTAGCCATGTGCACTACCCTGATTTTTTTAGTATGGCAAGATCTTTTGCTTTGTATGGTGCGAGAAAAAAACTTTCCTGTATGTGCCTTTGCCCATAGTGAATGGCACACCTCAGAATTTCTCTTAGGAAGAAAAAAATACTTGGAAAAAAAAATCTTTTTCAGGTTTTTAACATAGTTGAATATATCACCAATACAAACTAGATCAAAAATGAGCCAAATTGTATGTTCATATCTTGTGAAGAAACGAAGGAGACAAGGATGTGTATAGAGTGGAAGTGTACGAGTTGTGAATCATGAGTTTAGTGGGAAATTAAATATGAATATTGGATGTCTAAGAAATAGTGAAAATTAGTCGATACTACTACTATATATATGAATTATTTTGCAAACTAGTATTAAACTATCGAAGAAAAGATTCTACTACCATAGATGTACATGTTTATTCAAAGGATATTGCTTTTTCATAAACAGAAAGCCACTAAAGTTATACCTTGAAAAGTATGAAAGGAATAGTAATACTTGCAACCAAACACCCAAACTGAATGAAAGCTAAACAGAATGCCCGGCGCACTTATATCAAACACGTTATACATCCAATCCTACCTTGGTTTAAAGAATATTATACTAACATTTTATTTTAGGCTCCAAAGTGGTACCAATCAGAAGACGTTGCAGCCCCAAAGAAGGCTAGAAAGACTGCTCGTCCACAAAAATTACGTGCCTCCTTAGTTCCAGGTACCGTTTTAATCTTGTTGGCTGGTAGATTCAGAGGTAAGAGAGTTGTCTACTTGAAGAACTTGGAAGACAACACCTTATTGGTTTCCGGTCCATTCAAGGTCAACGGTGTTCCATTAAGAAGAGTCAACGCCCGTTACGTTATTGCCACCTCCACCAAGGTCAACGTTGAAGGTGTTGATGTTTCTAAATTCAATGTCGAATACTTTGCCAGAGAAAAGGTTACCAGAGCTGCCAAGAAGTCCGAAGCTGACTTATTCAACGAAGTCCCAGCTAAGAAGGAAATCAAGGAAGAAAGAGTTGCTGACCAAAAGACTGTTGATGCTGCTTTATTGGCTGAAATCAAGAAGACCCCATTATTAAAACAATACTTATCCGCTTCTTTCTCTTTAAAGAGCGGTGACAAGCCACACTTATTAAAGTTCTAAATGTGCTGAAAATATAAGAAAGATCATCGATTCATTAGGGTTAAATATTAAAAATTGAAGGTCTTGATCTATTTTATTTTAATTATTATTTGCAGTTCTTTTAGGAAGTTTTATTGGTGTAAAATTTTCTCTTTGTATATTTAATACAGTTAAAAACGATAAGACGTGATGTAGACTTTAACTATTGAGAAGAGTTCATACTCCGAGACTAGATGATGTATTTTTCTGGTTGGCGTGCTTGAGTCCACAGAATTTAACATAAACTTGGAAGGAAGCCCCTTGAGTAGGTTTATGGCATTAATCTTCAGTTGAAGATGATGTGTAAGCACCCAACAACGAGGTAAAGGTGTACTGTATTGACAATTATGTCATATCTAACACATTTAACTTGGGTAGGCTGGCTGGTCAGCCTGCAGTTCCGATCCACGTGATCAAGTGTTCGTCTCATCTCATCCCACATGGAAAAAAAAGCTGTAAGAGATTCCAAATTTTCATTTAACTAGATCTACAACCCACATCAGTTTGTACAACCATGTCTGAATTCCAATTACTTCCAACTGCTACCTACAACTTGGCATTGAAGCCATTCGACCCAGCTGCTGCCATTGAAGATGAATTTCCAGTCACTATTAGACTTACTTTAGCTGCTGTTGATCCTGAAGCTGTTGATGATAAAGAAGAGCCATCCACTTTGAGATTATTAAAGAGACCTCTTTTGATTGACGATGATGAACTTGATTTACTCGATGACGAAGCTGAAGAAGACGACGAATTGGACGAAGAAGAAGAAGAAGAAGAAAAGGTCACTAAGAAGTCCAAGAAGGATGCCGATGAAGACGACGACGAAGAAGAAGAAGATGATGATGAAGAAGACGAAGATGATTTGGATGACGATGATGTTGAAGAATTCGTCATCTGTACTCTTTCTCCAAAGGTTCAATTCCAACAAACTCTTGATCTTACCATCACTCCTCAAGAACAAGTTTATTTTGTTGTTACTGGTTCTTACCCAATTCACTTGACTGGTAACTTCATTGAACATCCAGCTAATGATGATGACGATGAAGATGAAGATTACGACGAAGATGAGTATGATTTGACTCCAGATGAAGATGAAATCATTCATGGTTACGACTTGAATGAAGAGTACGACGAAGAATCTGACGAAGAAGAAGCCAAGATTGAAGAAGTCGGCGACGAAGAAGAAGAAGAAGAAGAAGAAGAAAAGCCAAAGAAGAGAGCTGCTGAGGAACCAAAGGAAACCAAAAAGTCTAAGAAGGCTAAGAAGGACGACAAGAAGGTTAAGTTCACTAAGGAATTAGAACAAGGTCCAACCGGTTCAACCTTGGTTGAAGAAAAGAAGGAAACCAAGAAGGAATCTAAGAAGGAATCTAAGAAGGAAACCAAGAAGGAAGAAGCCAAGGAAGACTCCAAGAAGAAATACCCAACCAAGACCTTATTAGGTGGTGTTGTCACTGAAGACCGTAAGGTTGGTTCTGGTACCACTGCCAAATCCGGTAACAAGGTTGGTATCAGATACATTGGTAAGTTAAAGAATGGTAAGGTTTTTGACAAGAACACTTCTGGTAAGCCATTTGCCTTCACCTTAGGTAAGGGTGAATGTATCAAGGGATTCGACTTAGGTGTTGCTGGTATGGCCGTTGGTGGTGAAAGAAGAGTTGTGATTCCAGCCAAGATGGGTTACGGTTCTCAAGCTTTACCAGGAATTCCAGCCAATTCCGAATTGACCTTTGACATTAAATTAGTTTCATTGAAATAGAGTTAGTTTTCATATAGTCGTAAAGAAGAAAAAAAAATAAAGTTGATTTACATATTACATATCTAAACCATGGAGATTATAGATGAAACGGTCGAGATGGGCAAGTTCGGACGTTGGTACTGTCATGGGCGGCGTTAAAAATCATGTTGCAAATCGTCATGTCCCAGTACGGAAATAATTCCGCCGCACGGGACCAATAATTCCCGAATCTTTCCACATGAAAATGATCTTGAAGATGATCTTGTTTCGGGTAGATGCAATCTAAGGGAATAATAACTCGTTGCCAGGCAGCGTCTTGTGTGTTACCAATTAGATCTGTAAGTTTAAGCTGCAAATCACACGTCTGCAATTGTGCGTAGTAAATCTAATTAAACCTGCATAGAAGCTAAATTGTTGGGAACATGTTTTACGAGCAGAGAAACGCGTCGTATAACGCATAGCTAAGATGGTCACAAGTGGATGTTAACAAGGCTAACTCGGGGAACCCAGCTGGTGAAACATTGTAACATTTAGCCTCAATAGCCAAGAATAAACTTCTTCTCCACTCCACACCAGTCGTAATTAGTATAAAATTAACTGATATAAAAAATTAAACAAGAAAAACCACAAACACTGAAACAAAAAATTCTTCACTAAACGAGAAGGAACAAAAAAAAAATTATTCTTCCAAATCACGTAGTAGATTTTTTTTTTTACAAACCCGCTTCTGCTGGTGGTGGTTTTTTAAGAAAAAACTCAACAGTTTAAAACCTCCTCAAAAAAGGGCTAAGCAATTTCCAGCTAGTGAACCAAAGAGACTGTCTTTTTTTAAAAGTTTTAACCGTATTTTAGTTTGAAAACCATTGGGAAACTTTTGAAACCAACTTTTTCATCTCCATTTTCCATTTTCCATTTGTCCATCTGTTTGTCTCGTTCTCTTTTTTGGTACTGCCCCTTTGCTAATATCTAGCTAGATACTACTACGACCGCGACCACTACTAATACTACTACGACGACGACAACAACAGCAAGGATTGCACATACAACTACAAGAGTCTGATTTCACCAAGTTTCACTCAGTTTCCATCGCCAATCATTCATCCTTGTTCTTCCCCTATTAGTGTACTTCAAAGATTCACCACCCGCTGCACAGAAAAAAATAAGGCCATTTATACTTTACACAAGACATCCACCATATAGTTACCATGCTAAGTTTAATTGCCCAAGTCACTAGTGCCGTTGCCAAAAAGGCAGCGCACAACCCTATTCATTTCATAATCGTCCCTTCTTTCCTAGCAGCCATCGCCTATTTGGCCATTGTTGATGAATACATCTTGGAAGACAGCTTATCGTTCTTGGAAGGTTCTGTTAATACCAACACCAAGAGCTACTATTACCCGCCAACCGACTCGACCGCCTCAACTGATGACTGGATTCAAATACAAGATGTTAACCAATATCCTGACGCCAAACGTTACTATGTTGTCCCTACAAAATTCAAGCCGGTTCTCAATCATGAACTCCCTCACTTGAATCATACCATTGCTGGTCCTTCCGTGTTTGAACCAATCATTGTATCAGAAACCGCTCCAGAAAGCGTTGAGACTCTTGTTGAAGACGGTATTACTTGGAAACTTGGTCCGTTTAATAGAATCAGTAAATACTATGATTATTTCACTCATGCATTAGCCAATATCCAGGACTCAATTCAAAAGGCTGATAACTTTGATATTGTTTTAATTATTGTTGCCTATTTGGCTATGTGGTACACTCTTATCAAGGTGTTTATCGATATGAGACAATTTGGTTCCCAGTTTTGGTTGGCATTTTCTACTTTAACTTCATCAGTGTTTGCATTCTTATTTGGGTTATTCACTTCCATCTATATCATTAACGCTAAGGTGTCCTTGATGAGTCTTTCTGAAGGTATTCCATTCTTGGTGGCCATTATTGGGTTCAAGCACAAGGTTTCCATTGCCGGTAAAGTTCTGAGAAAATCAACTGGCTCTGAAGAAGTTTCCGATATTGTTGCTGAAGCCATCTCATCCCATACTTTGAGTATGCTTCGTGATCATGTTGTTGTCATTGGAGCTCTTTTCTCGTGTGCTGCTTATGCTCACCGCGTCACTAGATTGAGAAATTTCTGTATTCTTAGTGGATTGATTCTTACTTTTGATTTGATCTTGGTGTATACCATGTTCCCAGCTATTCTTGGATTGAAGGTTGAAATTAAACGTGCTCGTCGTACTGAAGCCATCCAAGAAGCTTTAGAAGAAGAAGGTATTTCCCATGTCCTTGCTGCACAAGTTGCTGAGCAATCTGCTACTTTGGAACATCCTACTGAATCCACACCGTTTTTCTCGAGCAGTTCATCAATCTTGTCCGCTAAAGTGGCCATGACCATTGGTCTTTTCGCCTTTCATGTGTTCTGGTTGGGTAGTTCTTGGCTTTATTCCAAGGATGACACTGAAAGTCTCACCAGTATGCTTTCATTCAAGTCCCAGACCGAAATCGCTCCATTGACTCAATTGCTCACCAACCAAGTTAAAGTTGATCCTCAAGGTACAATCATCACTATATTTCCTACCCAATACTATCACCCTGTGGGATTCCTCGTCAAGGTGGAAGATGTTATTACCATTGCCTGGGAAAAGTTCAATGATGCTATTCAAGACTCGATTCTTTCCAAGTTTATCATTTTTGGATTGGCAATTTCTGTGGTTATCAATATGTACTTTTTGAATGCTGCTAGATATCAAGTCAATGCCACCAAGATTTTGATTGAAAAGAAGGAAAAAGTCACCATTGAAAAGAATCAAGCAGAACAACAACTTGCCCAAGCGCAACAAAAGAAGATTTATGAATCTGACGACGAATCTGAAGAAAGTGTTACTCCTAGAGAACCACTCCCTCTTGACCAATGTATTGAAATCATGAAGACTGGTAACACCAAGACTCTTACCAATTCCGAAGTAACTAACTTAGTTGTGAATGGGAAATTACCATTGTATGCTTTGGAAAAACAATTGGGTGACAATACTCGTGCCGTGGTTGTGCGTCGTTCTGCCATTGCCAAGATTGCTGATGTCCCTGTTCTTGACACTAATCGTCTCCCATGGAAGCATTATGATTATGATCGTGTGTTTGGTGCTTGTTGTGAAAATGTCATTGGGTACATGCCCTTACCTGTTGGTGTTGCCGGTCCGCTTTTAGTCGACGGCAAGCCATACCAAATCCCCATGGCCACTACTGAAGGATGTCTTGTTGCTTCTGCCATGAGAGGGTGTAAGGCCATTAATGCCGGTGGAGGTGTGCAAACTGTTTTAACTAAAGATGGTATGACTAGAGGTCCGTGTGTTAGATTCCCTACTTTGGCCCGTGCCGGTGCTGCAAAATTGTGGATTGATTCAGAAGAAGGTCAAAGAACGGTTAAGAAGGCTTTTAATTCTACGTCGAGATTTGCCAGATTGCAACATATTCAAACAGCCCTTGCTGGTACTTTATTGTTCATCCGTTTTAGAACCACTACTGGTGATGCCATGGGTATGAATATGATTTCCAAGGGGGTTGAATATTCGCTTAAATACATGGTTGAGCAATGTGGTTGGGAAGACATGGAGGTTATTTCTGTTTCCGGTAACTACTGTATTGATAAGAAGCCGGCAGCCATCAATTGGATTGAAGGTAGAGGTAAGTCTATTGTTGCTGAAGCAAGAATTCCTAAGGATGTTGTTGCCAAGGTGTTGAAGTCCGATGTTGACGCGCTTGTTGAGTTGAATGTTGCCAAGAATCTTGTCGGGTCAGCCATGGCTGGGTCTGTTGGTGGGTTTAATGCCCATGCTGCCAACATGGTGACCGCCATATACTTGGCCTGTGGTCAAGACCCTGCGCAAAATGTCGAATCATCAAACTGTATTACATTAATGGATAAGGATAAGGTTACTGGAGACTTGAACATCTCGGTGTCCATGCCTAGTATTGAAGTGGGTACCATTGGTGGAGGGACAATTTTAGAACCACAGGGTGCCATGTTGGAATTATTAGGTGTTAGAGGTCCTCACCCTACCAATCCTGGTGATAATGCTAGACAATTGGCCAAGATTGTGGCGTCGGCTGTGTTAGCGGCTGAATTGTCTTTGTGTTCGGCCTTGGCTGCTGGTCATTTGGTCCTGGCTCATATGCAACATAATAGAAATACCCCTGCTGCTGTGCCAGCTGCTGCTCCAGTTGCTGCTGCACCAGTTGTGAATGGTAATGGGTCTCCTGTGGATATAAAACGTCTTCAAGAGGGGTCGATAACGTGCATAAAATCATAAAACGGCTGCTTTATACAGATTCTCTATTGCTAGTCTACTAATATATAGCTAAAGACATATAAACTCTAAGCACGAGGTGTTAACTGTAACTCTTACATATCCCTGGTTACTCCTATATATATATATATATACATATCGTGGCTGTGTTTATCCTGAGTAACATTTAGGCGATGTTTCATCGAGTCTTGCACAAAAAAGAAATATGTCGCCATTAAATTGAGTCACCCACCATTTAATTTTTTTTCGACTTTTCACAGTTGATTTGTTTTCAGTCACTACATCACGTATATATATATAACCATGCAATTACAAACCCTGCCCTCACAGGAGATAGGGATGCCGATCCCTAATATCCCACACGCTGTGTCGGTAACGTTACCCACTTGGGAAGCAACCGTGGGGTACGAAGAAGGCGAGGACTGGGTGGTGAGCAAGATGCGCTCGGGATACCCTCGGTTCTTTATTCATCCTATAATCCAAGACCTTTCCAAGCGAGTCGAGCACAAGTACGGGAGGGATGGTGAGCGATGCATGATTTTCCCCAGTTACAAAGTGGCTAAGAGATGTCGAGAATTCATCCAATCCAAGGCGAAAACTAATGCCAGCCGGAGAGTGTTGCAGTTGAGCACACCTGCCCCGGCTCTGGAAGACGACAAGTCGACCGTTATTGCTGCCACTATTGGGGTCGTGTTTTTCCCAGCATCAGAGTATCCCCTTGCAAAGAATTACTGGCAGCATTCCGGCGAAGGTATAAGTTCCAGAATGGGGGAATATGTGTTGAAAGAGTTGTTTGAGAAGGAACCGGTGTCGAATGGACGTACTGGTAATATGAAACTGGAGTTGCAGTCGCAAAAGATCCAACTGAGATCGCCATCGATCAGTGCTGCTCGTGGTGGTTCGCAATCTAACAGTAGCAACAATGGCAGTGCTGAAGTGGACAAGGAGTTCAGCACATTCATTGAACAAAAGTATGGTCGTGTGCTCGATTTGAAGTTCACTCAGGGTGCCAAAATGGCATTGAGACGAAGAATTTGTGGGAAAGTTGACAAGTCCAAGAATCAAATTGAAGAAATGGAAAAGGCTCGCAGAGGTAAACATCTTGGAGAAACCGATGTGTACTTGTTCCCATCCGGGATGGCATCAATCTTCTTTGCCCATTTTTCATTATTGCAAACCAGTAAAGGTGAACCAAAGAAATCGGTATGTTTTGGGTTCCCTTATGTCGACACCTTGAATATTTTAAAGAAGTTTGGTCCAGGAGTGTATTTCTACGGATTAGGTGATGATGATTCATTAGATGAGTTAGAGCAAGGGTTGGAATCTGGAGCCATTGATATCATGGCCCTCTTTTGTGAATGTCCTTCCAATCCATTACTTAAAACCCCTAACTTGGCCAGAATCAGGGCATTGGCTGACAAGTACAATTTCGCTGTGGTCATTGATGAAACCGTAGGTAACTTTTTAAACATCAGTGTTTTGCCATACGCCGATATAGTATGTTCGTCATTGACCAAGGTATTCTCGGGTGATTCCAACGTGTTGGCTGGGTCGTTGATTTTGAACCCACTTTCGTCATACTACCCCACCCTTAAGAAATTCTTTAACGAAGAGTACGAAGATTTATTCTGGGCTGAGGATGCATTATGGTTGGAAAGAAACTCGCGTGATTTCGCTGAGCGTGTTCACAAGATAGACAATACGGCCGAGCAAGTGGTTGACTTGTTAAATAACAATGATTTGATCTCCAAAGTGTATTATCCTTCCTTGAGCGCATCGCGTAAATACTATGATGTCATCAAAAACGTCAATGGTGGGTATGGGGGATTGATTTCATTCTTGTTTAAGGATCCCGAACATGCCGTCAAGTTCTTCAATGTGGTGAACCTTCACAAGGGACCAAGTTTGGGAACAAACTTCACCTTGGCTTGTCCATATGCTATCCTTGCCCATTATCAGGAATTGGAAGAGATTGCCCAGTGGGAAGTTGATAGAAATTTAATCAGAATCAGTATTGGATTGGAAGATCCTGTGGAATTATTAAAAGTGTTGCAAAGCAGTCTACAAGAGTGTGTATAGAGTAGAGTAAGATGCATATACCATATTAATTTGTATAGAACTATCTATTATGATGGACTAGCCCTGGGAACTTCATGTGTTCGCATGGCTTGGGTGGATCACCGGTGGGTGGTTTGTGCTGGACTTCCCCGACATACCAATACTTTTCGTGATTATCGAAAAAGTACTGCCAATCGGCCAAATCTCGTTCCACTTCTTCTTGATCCAATTCTCGTAAGTCATAGGTGTACTCTCCTGGGTTCATGAAACAACCCGTGACGTAAACTCGCGCAGCATCCTTGCCGGCCAACTTGTTGTATGTCCCCCTGGGACCGTAAATGCTTCGTGATATGCTGACATCGTAGACGCGGCCATTTATGCCGATGTATATGGGGAGGCTTGGGTCTGTTCCGTTGTATAACGCGAGTTGTTCTGTTGTCAAGTTGACAAAGTTGTTTGTGAGTCTATGTTTCAAATAGTTGACACTGGTCCATTTGCCATTGTATCCCCAAGTGGTTGTTGATGTGAACCACCACGAGAAGCAGGCGTTGAAGAGGAGAATGCCCCCGAGTATCCTCAAGATGTCGATGAATCCAAAGTGATTTCGTTCAGCCATTTGGTGGTGAATAAAGAAGTAACAGGTGATGGTATTGATCTGAACAAACAAGCAAAACCCAAAAAAAAATAAATATGAATTTTCTATATTAAACTTTACAATAAATTACAAATAAATATACACAAGTCTAATTCTTCATGAAAAACACTTCATCGTTCAATTGGGCCGTGTTGGCGTTGTTATTACTGAAATTCAACCGGTCAGCGTCGGCACTCAACAAATCCGCCCAGAACTCGTCATTCAACGTCATGTAGCTCGACTCTAAATGATCGGGATGGGCAAGGTTATGCAGAAACGAAAGACTGTTGCGTCCCATATTGCTGTTGTTCATAGTTGGGTCAATAGCACCCGTGGAGACCGAGGGCATTCTCAGTAAATCGTGTTGTTGCAGCTCGGACAATGGCATCATTGGCTGGCCCTGGCCGTTGAATGCTGGGTTTCCTATGTTGAATCCTACTCCAGAGTTGATTCCTCGGAAACTGTAATGTGATGGTGATACCTTGGAAGAGCCAGCATCGCCACCTGTTCTCATTGGTTCAGGCTGGGGGAACAATGGTTGAAGGTGCTGTTGTACTCCAGGTGAGTTCGTGCTTACACCTGCCATCGGTGTGTTATCAGCCGAATTGAACATGGGAGCTGGCCCGTCCTTTAGCCCTGCTCCTGAATCAGAATTAGACCGTTTGTTCTCTTTACCATTGGAAGATTCACGACGGACGCTGGCAGCGTATGACAAAATGTCAAGCGGCACAGAAGAACCAACCCGTTCTGGCTCGTCAGTTAATAATGACTTCCTATTAGCTTTAGCGTGTGATTGGTACATTGAAACCAATTTCTCCATTTCATTAATTTCATTTTCATTAGGCTTGAAGTTCTGTGGCGTCTCTCCACTCTTTCGTAATAAATCTTGCACTTCTGTAGCATAAGTCTGGATAAACAACTGCAACACTAATCTTGTCTTTTTCAAAAAGTGATTGGTTGGGTGCATTAAATTGGCCTGCTCCACTAACTTACTGGTTCTTTGGATGGCTGTGACTGCATGTCTAGGTACCAAATCCTTCTCAATCAACGAAGGTAATGACAAAATCAAGTATCTTAATCTCAACAACATCCCTGCGGTATAAATTATTCTGCACCCGTAAAACAAGGGAATAGCAGCAACTTGTTCCGAAGTCAAATGGTTGAATTCATCCAACGCATTCAAACATGAACTGGTACAGTTGGAAATTGACTTGACGGCATTATCGTTCAATTTAACTCCCTTTTCAGAATCTTCACTGGTGAAAATGTTGGTGAGACAAGGTTCATGAAGATACGCTTCCACGGAAAAGTAATAGGCTAAATTAGCATGGTCATCATCAGCAATCTTGACTCTAATCACTGTCAATTGTTTTTGTAAATCGTGAATAATGTATGATGATGTGGATGTTCTGGTTTCGGAAATCTCTGGCGCATGGAGGATATGATGAATCTTATCCAAGCAATGATTCAACCGGGAAAACAACGCCAAGTTACGATAACGTGGTTCTGGGGAGTTCTCAAGAATACTGCAACATTCTTCGACATATGGTGTCCACTTCACATAGATTGTTCTTCGTAATATCAAACAAATACTCACGGTAGTGAAGTAGATAATCAAAATCAACGACCGATACTCGGTATTACCCTTGGATGGATCAGCACCTAGTTGAACTTCTCTAAATGAATAAGTACGGCGAGAAATAATCCCCAAGTCATGCAACAAAGAAACACAAATGGTGTTCAATAAGTGATAACGACGTTGACGAAACAATTCCGGTGAATTGTACCATAAACATAAAATCAAACAACTTTTGATGAGTTCGTCTGATTTAGTACCAGCAACCATGATTTCAAATGTTACTGTTCTTATCGCTTCATTGTCAATTCTCAAAGCATGTTCAATGCTCCCAGTCTTGGAATATAACGCATTGGACACCGACATCACTGCATTAAACAAGAATGGCTGTTTTTTCCTGAATTCATCCACGGAAAGACTCAACGGAATCTCGACAATTGGATTTAAGGCGTAGATTTTATTACGGTAAACGTCCATACGTTCTTCTGCTTCGCCAATAGTAATCAAACCCGACGAAACCATGTCTATAGTGGTACCATTTCTCAACAATGCCGTTCTTTGTCCTGCAACAGCGTTTAATTCCTGAGTCAAGTCGGATAACTTGGTTGTTGACGATTCCACCAAAATGGTAACTTCGCGTTCTAAATCATACTTGGACACAAACGGTGGTGAATTGACTTCCGAGATTGTATCACTGGTACTGTTCAACGACGCCTTTCTTGCATGTTGGTGGTTGTGACGTTGGGCCAATTGTGCTTCTAATTGTTTAACTCGCTGACGCAAACGTGCAACTTCATTATCTGGTTCTGATTCGTTTAATGGAGAAGACACCGTTGGCGCATTAGGACTCTCTTTATGATTGCGCATGATTGGTGTAGGGATCGACAGTTGCATAGTAGGCAATGGACCCGGTGATGGTGAGCTTTTCTGATTCACGTTTTGAATCATGGGGATCATGGGAGTTTTGATATCGAAGCGTGGACTTGGCACACTCGAGATCGCGGCCGAGTCGGGAGCGCTTAGTATCCCTCTCGACATGATTGATTGAGCACCTAAGGCAATGGCTGAGGAGCCGGAAGTATTAGCGACGTCAGATCCCGAGTTACCCGTATTAGCACCACCAGCATTTGAGTTAGCAGCAGCATTAGCAGAAGCAGAAGCAGCGGCAGCGGCAGCAGCATTTTGCCTAGCTCCGAGTATATCTGCCTTCTTTCTTCTCTTTCGTGTTTGATTCAAGTCGATCTCACACTTCCTGCGTCCATTCAAGCATCTGATGCACGTACCTCCTGGGTTGTTGGGGTCTGCAGGGGTGCACTTCACTTTGAGCGAATGACAGCTCTTACAAGCAACGGAACGACGAGTTGACTTCTGCTTTTTCGAATCGCCGCCGTTGGTAGACGCCACGGACTCGTCAGGCTGGTTGAAACTCTCCAGCTGTGTGTCGAAGTTGGATACTGGAGTATCTGAGGATCTGATACTGAAGTCGGTTGTATCTGTAACCGATCCTGGTTTTAATGCCGGTTGGTGAAGCATTGCCGATGCTCAAAATTTTCTATTTTTTTTTCTGTGGTTGTGGGGGCGATGAACCTCAGGAGGAAGGTATAGTCTGGGTATGTGCGTGTGTACTAGTAGTTAAATGGGGTGATCGATAAAGTAAGGTTGTTCTAAGTACGTGTAATCATACGACTCGTTAATGCGGCTGGACCGGTTGGTTTTGAGTTGTGGACGGCTAAATGAGAAATTGAATTTCAGTTATGGAAAGACGCTATATATAAAAGAAACAGGAAAAAAAATTTTTTGTCCCTCAACCGCACATTATTTTTGATCACTCATTGTTGGGAAATCCAAACTGTTTTACTAGTGAAATCTGAGCTAAAGTATAATTACATTGCTGATATAAACCATTTCTAGAGCTTGTACATAATTTCTGGCTCGCTTGCTTTGTTTAATCGAGTCAGTTAAGTATAGTTCAAGACTAAATCAAGGGTATAAGCTATATAGCAAGCCTACATCGGTATTCGATCGGCGTGTGTGTAGTCTTTTTTTTTATTACCGTTATTGTTCGAAATGCCGATCGATCCTCCGGGATCACCTACCGCGATGAGCAATTTTACTCCACCTCCGCCACACCCACACAGAGTCTACTCGTAAGACACGCATTCACCTACAGCGATGTCATCTTTCTCCGCACATTCTTGGCAGTTGAAGTCACCATCTGCCGCATTTCTCCTTCGAAACATGACCAAATCGGATGATGAATGATGAAATTACATTTCCGATATCCGTTACTTCCTTTCATTGGCGGAAATACCTAATTCGTCCAACCTGGTCATGTGGACCGGGTCACGCGCAAGATTCCTCCTCTCTCCGCTCGTGACGCGTATCATGTGATCTAGATAAGCCGCACGTACAGTCAAGTTTTTTTTTCCAGCTAAAGACCACACTTCAACAATATCAGATCCAATCAGCAGGAACTTGTCTCTTGTACGCATACAATCAGATCTATTATTGTTGTTCTTCAATCCATTGAACGACATTCGATCTTGAACCAATCTCAAACTTTTCCAGCAATTTAATCGCGTGGGTGTTTTCTTTTTTTATCATAAGAACTACCTAACACCACATGTCGTTCTCATTTGGTATCAACAACATATCACGAGGTAACACATACAAGGATAAACCTACAGGAGGGACATTGCCACTATACTACAAGGACAAACCGAATTCGTTCCGTCCAATTAGCCACAAGAAACAACGTAAATTAGTCATGCTTCTCAAGGGGTTCATATACTCACTCATATTGTATACCGTGTACCATTTCGCGTCCACTGGCAACTTGAACTTGTTTGAGTTTGGGTTTGGCGGCGGCATCGGCAGTGATAATATCAGTAAAGGCGCAACTTCGTGGCCGGCTGCACAAGAAGAAGTCAAACAGGCCATGTTGGATTCGTGGCATACTTATGAAAAGTATGGGTGGGGGTACGATGTGTACCATCCTATTAAGCAACAGGGGGAGAATATGGGCCCTAAGCCATTAGGTTGGATGATTGTGGATTCTATAGACACGCTCATGATCATGGATGCTAAGGACGAAGTGGACCGGGCTAGAAAATGGATCAAGGATCTGTTGGACTATGGATTTGATTACAATGTCAATGTTTTTGAAACAACAATTAGAATGCTTGGTGGGTTATTATCAGCTTTCCATTTCAGTGACGATGACATGTACTTGGATAAAGCCGTTGGTTTGGCCAATTCCTTGCATGGTGCATACAAGACCGATTCGGGCATTCCTTACTCTTCGGTCAATTTAAAGACAGGCAAGGGTCTCAAGAATCATGTTGATGGTGGTGCTTCGTCTACTGCCGAGGCAGGTACGGTCCAATTAGAAATGAAGTTTTTGGCTAAATTGACTGGTGAGCAAGATTGGTGGAAGCTTTCTGAAAAGGTAATGGAAACTCTTGAAGCCAACAAGGCACAGGACGGATTGGTTCCTATCTTTGTCCAACCAGATACCGGTAAATTCCGTGGGAAGTTAATCAGATTAGGATCTAGAGGTGATTCGTACTATGAATATTTGTTGAAACAATACTTGCAAACTAAAGAGCAAGAACCTATTTACTGGGACATGTACCGTGAATCTGTTGCCGGGGTCAAGAAGCATTTAGTTCGTGAAACATATCCTCTGAAATTAAAGTTTATTGGAGAATTGGAGCATGGTATTGGTGGACAATTGTCACCTAAGATGGACCATTTGGTTTGTTTCTATGGTGGATTGCTCGCCTTGGGTGCCACTGGAGGTTTGCCAGTTGAAGAAGCAAGAAAGTTGAGTAGTTGGAATGCCCAAAAGGAATCTGATTTTAAGTTGGGTGAAGACTTAACCTACACTTGTTACAAGATGTACCATGACGTTTCTCCAACTGGATTATCTCCTGAAATTGTTGTCTTTAACCAGGACCCAGCAGTCAAGGACGATTTCTACATCAAGCCAAACGATAGACATAACTTGCAACGTCCAGAAACTGTCGAGTCGTTCTTTTACCTCTACAGATTGACTGGAGATGAAAAGTACCGTAAGTGGGGTTATGAAATCTTCCAAAATTTCATGAAGTACACTAAGGTGCTCAATGGTAAGGGAGAAGTATCCTTCTCGTCTCTTAGTGATGTTACTTCCTTGCGTGGAGATGGATCTTCTAAATTCAAGGACAATACTGAGTCTTTCTGGTGGGCAGAAACCTTGAAGTACTTGTATCTTTTGTTTGACGATAGCAACAAGGTTCCATTGACTGATTACGTGTTCAATACTGAAGCCCATCCGTTCCCTAAGTTTGATTTGAGTGATCATTTAAAGACCGGATGGATCAGGAAAATCGACGAGAGTAAGAAGCCAATCATGATGGAGTCGAAAGTAAAGATTGACAAGAGTAATCCACCTGTTGCACGACCAGTTGATAAGTCTGCTGAAGAGGCTGCGAAGGAGGTGCTTAAAGAGAATCCAAAGCTTGCTGAGGAAGAGAACAAGCAGGAAAATCAACAAAAGATGAATAAAATCATCGAAGAGATTGCCAAAGAGGACAAGTAGTTACATAGTGTAAGTATATAATAGAGAATTTGAGTTATTATTTCTTTTTGTCTTTCTTTCTATTTTTAGGGGGGGATGTCGTTCTAGAACTAGCTTCTATATTCAGAAACATTTTTCGTTATCTCCGGAGAAGGAGGAAGAGGGGGGGTCAAGTTACACTTTTCTTGTGCCAAGCCCTCGATTGGACAAAACTGAGCTGATGATAACGAAGATTGCAGGGCGAATTAGAAATTGCCGAATTCAGACTCCTCTTTTTTTATTTTGCTGCTTAAATCGCTCATACATTAGGATCAGTTAATTACGATGGTTTCCTGTGGCTAAAAAAAATTAAATGAAACTGGTGATTGATTACGAAAAAGAAATTTGCAGTTGCTTTTTCCTTTTTCACTTTTTTTTTTTTATTTTCCCTGCGTCAAAATCTCACTAAAAAAAACCACAACGCACAAGAAAGTAAAAAAAAATCTTACGTCATTCATTTCTTCTAAACACTTTTTACAATTGCAACCCGTTGACATCAAACTTAAACAACTACGTCATAGCTCGCCCTACATATAACCAACAATAGCTTGTCTCGTATATCAACGCCGTTCCTATAGTCAGCTGCAAACTAATTTTAACAGATTGCAAAAGCAAAATACGCGCATCTCACCCACCACACATCAAAGCATATAAACCATACCCCATTTGCTCATTGGAAATTAAATTTTACAACTTTGCTGAAACAAACCCTGATCGATCGATCCAGCTGTCCTAGATTTTACCTAAACCCTGAAAAATACACAAACATCTATAATTATGACAATGACTGAGGTATGTATAAACTCACAACACCCTTGTTCCATGACAGTATGTGACATTGTTTACTAACTAATCCCGCCTCTAGCTGAAATCTACCTTTGAGTTGGAACCAAATCCTTTCGAAAGATCATTTGCTACAAAGGAATCGTCTGCATCGCTAGATAAGATGAGCGACGGAGCAGAAGCAAGCAAGGTTACTAGTTCGTCCTCCACTAATAAACACAATTTACATATTCCAAACATATCCAATTTGAACCTGAATGGAAAATTGCCAGCCTTGACACCTCCTATATTCACCCCTGGTGGAAGACGCCTACCACCATTGTTATCTCCTGGTGCTGTTAACGCCACTTCATATTCCAATCCAGGCACTCCTGGGTCCGCCTTATGGAACAACTTTCTTGCAAATAATAATATCTCTCAGCAGCAGCAGCAACAGCAACAACAACAACAACAACATCAGCAAGGCCAACCTCAAATAGGAGGTACTCAAAACGGATACAACCTGTTCTTATCATCGGCTCGCAAAACAGGGCTTACACCAAACGAATCAAATATAAGAACTGGTTTGACTCCTGGAGGCTTGAGTCATTTCCCCTTTGGAAGTCAACTAGCTGTACCTGGACTTTCGACCCCCGGCGCTCTCCTCAACGGTCCAATAACACCAGGGTTATCTAGCTTATTGGGCTTGACTCCAGGTATAAATGGATCCCACCTATCCTCTATGTTACCACCAGTAAATGGAAATAGTGGAGCCTCTAGTCAGCCACCTCCACAGATTTTACAACCACAGCCGGTTATTCATGAAGAACCTTACTCGGTTGCTCCTCCACCTGTGGTCCCACAAATACCTACGCTGTCCAGCGCACCTCCTCTCGCTCCAGTCAATGTACCACAACAAAAAGAGCAGCCCCCAGCAGATGCAGACGATACACCGCCCCGTCAAACCGTAGAAATCAAACAAGAGAATAGAAAGAGAAGCGGTGATGATTTGCTTGATTCACCACCTTCAAAGAAGAAATCAACCCGAGGAAAACGGCCCGGCACCGGTAAAAAACAAGCCAAAGAAGAACCAGACGCCAAGCATTCTGATTCATCGTCTCCCAATGATTCACGCAACAAATCTGATGACGAAAAACGCAAGAATTTCCTTGAAAGAAACAGAGTGGCTGCTTCCAAATGTCGACAACGGAAAAAGCAATTGGTTCAGAAAATGGAAGAAGAGTTGGCATTTTACCTGAATGGTTACCGTGAATTATCAGCCCAAGTTACTCAATTGCACGATCAATTGCTCAATTTGAGAGGAATCATCGCTGGACATAAAGATTGCACATTATTGGCCCAGTCGGTCGGTGGATTTGAAGCAATTAATCAAATCGTACAACAGGCTGATCTTGCCATTCAAATGAGTGCTGGTGGTCAAACAAATATGACATCGATGCCATCAACCATACCGACTAATCTTCATGCCCAACCTCAGGTTGTAGTTCAAGTTGCTAAGGACCCAATAGTGCGAGGGTCAACTACGGCTACTCCAGAATTATACACGAATACCACCACGCCTATGGTGAATGATGGCAATAACAATACTACTATTGCTTCTCATCATAGTTTAACTGATTTGCGATCCACAGCTGCTGCTCAGACAATGTTACTAACTAGTAACGGAGGAATGAATAATGGTGATTTAAGAGCTATTAATAGTATGTCCAACCTAGCTGCCATGAATCAAAGACAGTTTGTATAAATAATTGGATAGTTATTTTTTAGTTGTCAAGTAGTATACATGAGATGAAATAGACCCTGCTCTGTTTTGAATGTGGTTTTATGCACCGACTCTAAAGTGGTAATCTTTCTCTTTCGCTAACGAAAGTTTTTACTTTTTAACGATCATCGTATTCCGACACATAGTCTTAATTCTTCTACAATGTGTAATCCCCTCCCCTCACACACCCCACCGACTTCGTTCACATGCGAAACTGAAGGAGTTGACCAATTTAATTGATCATTGTCCAAATTCTCATTGTGTAACGCTTCGGCAGGGTACAAATTTCCCTGAAATTCAAGACGCGTATGGATCGGCCAAAAATATTTTGGATCTACCCCTTTCAAACAAATAGCCTAATTCCACCCAACAAAGGGTTGATAAGTGCAAGTGGCTGACGAGATCTACATGGGTATACCCTGGGCTTAGGTCAGCTCACCTCCTGCCAAAATGATGTAATTAATTAAACATACTTTTACCACTGGATGCATAACCCAGTGAATTTGGTTCTAGAATTAACTGGGCAACTTTACACAGTTGCGGACACAAAATCACGGCATGTATTGAAGTGTGGATGTTCCACCTTTTATTGTTCCCTTTTTGGCTCTTTGTTTACCAATTAACTTAAACCACCAAAAAAAAATAAATAAATAAATAAAAATTCACAATTGAAGCTTCCCAATTGTATATGTTTCCCCTAACTCGCCACATACTCAAAACCAGACTCTTCTCCTTTCGTTAGTTTTTGGATTTACTACTAACTTAGTATATATCCGTCTTTTCTGCAAGACTTTTCCTCATCGACCGTTGGCGCATTCACCAAGTCCATCACCTACAACTTACAAGGCGCACAACTGGCAACATTCCTTGCTGACACTAACAAAGAAGGTCGTATCTTGCCTGTCAATATCGCGAGTTAGTGAAACACACAATAGCCAATTCTTGTCAACTACGCCATCTGAAACACACAGTGTTCCCATTTATTTGCCAAGATCAGTCTTTTCACTTCCCAGACAGCCAATAAGCACCCACATTAGCGTGAGAGAAATCCGAAGAAATTTTTTTTGCAACACTTACGGAAAGCTTCTATTAATAAATAAACAACCGCGGACATACACATAATTTTCCACCCAACCTACCTTTAATTACCTGCTCGCAACCGTTTCACCTGGTTGTCATTCCTTTTTAATCGGTGTTTTCCTGCCAAAGCAAAGTCTGTTTGGGTCCAAATCGAGATTTCTGTTTTGATTTTGATTTGAATTTTATTTATATAAGAAGCACCACATATGCATCATGGCTACAAAACAACTCCCACATATACCTGATCTAGAGTTGCCCAAGTTGCCAGAGGTGAAGAAATCTAAAGACTCCCGGTCAACCCTGGTTGATTCAGGCATCATTCCTTACAGTCAGTTTACCAGAAACAACTTGAAATCAATCATACATTCGCTTACACAAGAATTGAAAAAACGAGGAACAAAAACACCATATATATTCCTTCCCTTTCGATCCAAAATTAATGATTCACATTTGGAAAAGCTACTTTCATTCGTATTCCCTAATGGCGAAATCATCGATGCGGCAAAAGCTGAAGCTGGATTACTTGAATTTGACGAATTCACATTGATTTGCGGATTGAAGTATTTGTGGGCAAGATTGCCCAATAACGAAATTATCGGCTGGGATGTGTATCTTGAATTCAAAAGAAAAGAAAAGGAAAAGGGATATCCCAAGAACGCGTTTTTAGCAATCATGCCTAAATGCTTGTCGTCGCCTGCCCATGCATCGATCGTATACGACTTTCTCGATTTGATTGTCAACATAACATCCAATTCTCATGATAATTTCCTAAGCGGGAGAAAGATTAGTAAGATGGCCAGCTTCTGGGCATTCAATCCTATGCATAGTAAGAAACCGCAAGAGTTTGATTTTATTGAAGGGATAGAAATGTGGACGAAATCCACCAATGCATTGTTTCACCTCGTGTTATCATTCTTGAGATCAATGTTGCCAGAAACTGATATGGAAACTTTAAAATTGCCCAAGTCATTACAATCATTATTAGTCACTAATCAATATCCACCGGTGGAAGAACGAGGTGAAGCCTTGAAGAATATGATTACCATTCCTTGTGTTCACATTAAATCTACCCGACCCTCGAAAAATGCATACGATTTAATAAGTAAAGTACGATACAGCCTATCTTTTGACAAGAGAGATTCATTTTTATCCGTGGAAAACTACACAATTTTGAAGAAGTTGTTCAACAAGAAAGGAACTAGTGAAATTGTAGAAACTTTGACAGAAGAGTCACGAAGAATATTGGCTAGGATAACTGCTGAACCGGCTGAATCCCAGTACAACCTTGAACCGGGTTGGGCTAAATCTCCAGTTCCATTTGATGAAGATATCCCACAATATTCGAAGATTGAAATCAAGAATGTATCTATACAAGACTACTATATCTGGACTTGGTTATCAAGTTTAGGAAGTGATCAAACTAGTCACATGAAGAGATTATTTGGAAGATCAATTGTTGTTGAGGCAGATTTATTAGGATTCCAGAAATGGATTGTCATTTCTGAAAAAACGATGAGTTCAGAAGAATATCTCCGTAACTTCAACTTGGATCACAATTCTGATTACAAATCTGAATTGAAGGATAAAAATCTACCACCTGTACCAGATAAAAACAAGGGATCTCGTGAATCGTCAAGACCATCTCTGGAAGAAACCGATAAGGAATTCAGTGATGAGTTTAGTTATATTTACAATTCTTCACTATGTACTGATGATAACGATAGTAGTATTGAAGATATTCATCAATCATCCAAGGAATTGAATACTACATCTAAGAAATTGTCCAAGTTGATGATTAGCGAAGCACTTCAAAAGAAGCCTCAGATTAGAAAAGCTCCGCCACCACCAACAGTTGAATCTCGAAAAACACCACCAATGCTAAATGAGTACCTGCTCAAGAAGAACATTACAAAATCACCAGAAAGTGTTGGAAGTAGTTTTATTGAACCGTTTGAACAATACCATACTCTGATGGAAAAGCGTCATAAGTTAAAGGAGGATATTTTGCATAGTGAACCATTTGACAATTATCATGTAGGTAGAGGCATACCTGAAGTCGAGCAACATAAACAAGTTGATGCAGTTGTGCAGGCTGATGAAGCAGAAAAGGTCCGCAAATTGAAACAACAACAAGAAGAAGAAGAAGCAGAAAAAGCCCGCAAGTTGGAAAAACAAGCACAAAAGGCTCAACTTGCAGCAGCACAAGCGGCTGGATTTCCATTTGCGTTCTTGCCATCTAATGAGCCACCTCCTCCACCAGAGCAAGCTGCTGAAACTGCAAGAGTTGTTAGTGATTTGATGATGACTACACCATTTTTGATTACTATTCCTGGCTCAGAAAATGTGTTGGCCTCTCCTAATAAGAATAAAAGTAAGAGCAGAAGCCCAGATAGAGGGGTGGAACGTGGGTCAAGTGCAAGTCCTACTCGTCATGCTGCTAGTAAGAGCCCAGACAGAATCCGGGTCAGTCCAGAACAGAGAGCCCGCAGTGCTCAAACCAGTCCAGAACGTCAAGTGGATATTAAACCAGAACCTGTTGTACACCCAGAAGCTAAAGAGAAAAAGACACTTCTTGGAAGAAAGACTCCAAAGTATGATAAATACGAGAAGGAATTACCACCAATTGTTGCACCAACTCCAGTTACCCCAGTACTTCAATCTAACTCTATAACTAGGGAAGCTGGTATTACTAACTTGCTGGGATTCGTTAAATCTCCACTTGATCCATTTGAATCTCCGAAAGTTGTCCAAGAACCGGAACTTCTGGCTGCTCATCAATATTCTCTTGAACAACCTCAACAACATTCGTCTAAACATACATCATGTCATTCTCCAGAACATTCATTACTACAACAACATTCTCCTACACACCAAACATCGCCACAACGTCGTTCTCCTGAACATTCATTTACACAACAAGGATTATCTCCCGAACAACAAATTCCCGAACGTCATCCAGATCATTCATTGCCACAACAAAGATACTCTCCTCAACATCCAGCCCTGCAACAACGACACTCACCTGAACATTTAATGCCACAACAACGCCAATCTCCTGAATACATGCCACAGGAATATTCATTACCACAACAGGCTCCACCTCACTCAGAACATTCAATACCACAATCTCAACAAGCTCAACCTCATCCAGATCCTCGAGCTATTCGCAAGTTGGCAAAATCTCCTATGCTTCAACCAGCCCAGCCGGGCTTTATGGGACCACCTCCAAGGTTGGGCTCTCCGCAATTAGCTTCTTCACCTCGTCAAAGATCTGATGGATTCCAACAACCACGACCATTAAGAAAACAACAATCAATTCCTAATATAGCTCCACCAAGAATTGTGACAGGTTATGGCCTGCCTCAGCTTCCACCATCACCAGGCTACTTCCCACAACAGCAATATGGACCACCATCTCCAGGATATTTTCCACAACAATACCCCCCACAACAGCATCCACAGTATGCACCACCACAACAGTACCCACCACAGCAGTACCCACCACAACAAGGATATCCACCTCAACAAGGATATCCGCCACATGGATATCCACCACAAGGATATCCACCACAAGGATATGCTCCACAGCATGGATATGGTCCTGCTCCAGGTCATGGTAATATGCGTGGTGCACCAAGAGGCGGTAAATATAACGACATGATGGGAGTTCCAGTAGTTGGAAAACACAACAAGAATATCACTGAAAATAAAGCATCATTAAGAGCAGCTTTTGTCCAAGGTAATTTTGGAATCTAAAAGGTTTGTATATATGTGTAACTTAAATTAATGATTAGAAATGTAATAATTCCTTGTAGAATTGAATTAAAGAATCACTATATAATTTTGCAACCTAAATTGTCATATGGTAACTCGTTTCAATTATTTGAACTATCAGTAATTCAATTATAATCAAAGTCCTTGACTTGAACAGTATTAACCAGTGTATTTTAGTTTTAATAACTTATAATAAGGGTGATGTATTTTACTAATGAGTTAGGCACGTTACATAACTTTCAATTTTAAAAAGATTCTGGCGGAAAATTGGTTAAAATTATACAACAAAAATTCATGCTAAGTTTACACCACAAAATACATAAACATAAAAACTAATATCTACATGAACAATTAGATATTATAATTACAATATAAGCCTCTAAAAACAAAGAAAACATCTGTATTGAGCAAGTTAATCATGGCAGACTTTACTTGGCATCAAAACTAACTGAACTTTAAATGTTAGAGGAATGAACTCTTTAAGTCTTGCACATGAACCTTTGGATCTGTGTGAAACTAAAGATGGAAATGTGTAAAGTGATCACACAGGATCTCAGGTTCCCTTTCTCCTTGTTCACCTAATACGAATGAGATATTCCCCCTCTTACAAGATTTAGACAATGCAGATACGGGGAAGGATCGGAGACTTATTCGGACGAATATAAGATTACATAGAAAGATACATTACCCCTCAACTATCTTGCAGATACGAGATAGATAAAGTATTAGAGTGTCATTAATTCACAAGGAGGTTAGGAAGGCTATGGATGTGAGGCAAGACGAGAAAAAGAATATTTAAATGGTTGGATTTTCTCAGAAAGTCACTTTGGATTTGTAGAGTTTAGTTTAACTTAACTTAACTTGACTTAGTTTTAGTTTACGAATAGATAAGAGAGACTCGTCGTAATTCTTTTACAGTATTTCGTATTATAAACTATACTTATATCAAGGACCTATAGGAGAATCTAATATTAAATCACTGTTAGAGTATGAACTCTTAAATCTAGCACGTGATCCTAGAGATTCTGTGTAATGATAAAGATGGTATTGTGAGATAGAGAGCACGGGATCCAGGAAGCAACCAATCAAACATGTTCACTATACTAACCAATAAAATCAGAAAGCCAAGAAAAGATATTAAGAAGGGAAAACATTAAAATACCCCTGAGGAGAATAAGCTTGGGATAAATGAGCTGATCTTAATATTATGGCCTGAGGAAAAGGATAGTTGAAGTGTCGACACCAAACATGGTCTGATCGGAAAAGCTAGAGATGAATAGCTTGAAGAAAATGAAATATAAATTTGATTGGATTCCCAGTTGAATAAGTATTAATAGACTCTCGGAAAAAAGTAATGAATTATTAAGTATCAAGTTCTCGAAGTATCATATTCTATTTATAGATAGCTTAGTTAGAGTAATAGACTCCTCCACTTTCATTCGTACAGAACTATTATAAAGACGCTTCCACTGTAAAGTTACTACGTTAGCTTTATTATCTACCTTCATCAGTCACGCTTGTAACAATCACATCGAATTGGGCGTGTGGCGTAGTTGGTAGCGCGTTCGCTTAGCATGCGAAAGGTCTCCGGTTCGACTCCGGACTCGTCCATTATAAAATCAAAAATATTATTTTTTCTTAGATTGCTAATCATTGATTAATCAAATTTGATTGATTCAATTGCCTTTTTTTTTGTTCACTTTTGGAGTTTTGGGGAAATCCTTGCGAATTATTAGAGCAGGTAATTTTTTTTCTTCTTCTGAGTAGGGGCGGGGCTTAGTTTTACGCGGCTAAAAAGCTGTGGGGATAACTATATGGAGTTACAAAGACAAGTCTACATGGGGAGGTTACTTTCAACATCATATAATAAATAATATAAATAAACAATAAATAAGGTTAGTATTCACTCAATCTCAATTTCTTTCCAATTTCTCTGATTGAGAATCCAACACCTGGAGAAGAACCACTAGCTTGTCTATTCAAGAATGGTGGCTCTGGAACTTCACCCATACTCTTGATATCGTCTTCACCCATGTCGAAATAGCCGTATCCTCCTAACAATGAGTTAAGGTGAGATGGAGATGGTTCAACAATGACTGGAATGGCCTTGGCAGCGGCTTCGGCGGCAACAGCAGCAGCAACCTTCTTTCTTTGTTTCAATTCTCGGTGCATGTTTCTAATTTCTAAAAGATATGATTTCAATGTGGTCAAGAATCTTTGGGTTTGTCTATGTTTGGAAGATGCACAAATAGAAATAGAATCATCCTTGATGATATAACCTAATCCAAATCCATTGGCTGAAACCGGACCAAATCCGAAAAGACGAAGGGAAGGATTACCACAGTTGGATGTGGAAATAATGGTGTTATTTAACTTATCCCACCCGGAATCAGCGAAAAGATCAGGGATGTTACGTAATCTATCATTTAAATCCTTAGGGTGATGAGTGGCCACAAATGTGGTATCATCAGACATATTATCGTTTTCGGCAGCGCCTCCATTCTGAGTATTTTCTTCATCTTCAATTTCGGCCAAGTATCTTCTCCAAAGACAGAACAAAGCGTACAAATGACGATCAACCCCTTGTCCTTGTGAACATAATCTGGTTTGTGCAGAATGAGCCTTACACGCGGCATCCAAGTAGTCCAATTTTTCCTGAGCGGAAACACTGGCATCAAAGAACTTTCTCACAAACAAGTTTGATTCTTGAGACACGGTTCTAATAGCTTCGGTTCTACCATGGAAAAATTGCTTAGTCATGGCTGGTTCATAAGTACATTCAACTTTACCATAAAGGGCATAATAAGTTGCTTGGAATGCCATTTGTACAAATGCATCAGGGGAGAATTTCATCTTTTTAATTTGAGTTGAACCGTAATTTTCAAATTCTAAATGACGGAATTCATTTTGATTGATCAAGTCAGATAATCTAGTTTCTCCGAATCTTAAAGTGAGTGAAAGTTCTGGAGTTAAATCCCATTCTAATTTTCTAGGAACAGTAATCAAATCTTCTTCTTCATATTCGAAATTAGTAGTAGTATTCCATAATGAAGGGGCATTGTTGTTAATAGTATTGGCGAATCTTAAAATGGAATCGGTATAAATATCGGAGACAAATCGCAACACAGTATGACCATCAACACCAGTATGTTCGAAATTAATACCAGCTTTACCATTTTTAGTAATGATGATTTGCAACTTATCATACCATCTGTTGGTACAAGTACCAATTTGCACACCTTTATCCAAAATACTCAATCCACAAAGCATATTTTTCGACAATTCACTCAAATCATTAATGGCAATGTCATCAAGACACAACACAAACAATGCTGAATCAATAATCGATAAAATCTCACTATTGATTTGATTATGACTAATGACGTCGTTTCTAACGTGAGCCCAAATTCTTCTATTTTCAGTAGTCAATACCCCAAAGGAAGATTTGGCAATTTCGTTTAAAGGAGTGTGCAAGGAATCGTAAATGATGGACTTGAAATTGATATTCAATTCCGATTCACTTAAAATAACATTGTTTTTCGAGTCCAACACGTCAAACCAGTAGAATTGGGACTTGGACATGACAACAATGTGATTGGAGGAAGGGTCACTTTGCATTTGACAACCTTCTTGGGTAGGTATTCTTGAAGCACCAAATAATTTAGTGTATTGGTACATACACATTGGTTTCCCCCCTCTCACTGTATCCACCGACAATGTTTCATTCTTTAAAGCTTGAATGAATTTCAATGACGATAAAGTCAAAGAAGTGGCTCGTTTAACTTGTGGGTCAAATGGACTGTTTTCGTTAGTGAATGGATCGTCTTCAAGTAAGAAGAACGGGTTCAAGTTCAACACCACGGGGGAATCGTAGTTCAAATAAGCGTCATACCAAAACTGTTCAATGTAACTGGCACGGTTCTTGGCGAATGCTCGCAATTCCGAGTCTAAATAGGGACCGACGCCAGATTTGAGAAATGATTCAACTGCTTCTACGGTTTGTTGGTGTTCTGCTTCAGTTTGCAATGGTTTCAACACTTTCAAGTAGTTTGTACATGTTTGGTTCAAATCGGGAATTGGAAGTTTCTGAAGGGTATCTTGATGTTGGTACGTCATTGTGGAATACTAGCAAAGTAAAAGGAAACAACAAGAGGCAAAGTGGCAACAAACTTGTTTGAGTTTTTACATTAGTGGGAAATTCTAGGTGAATTTATATTAGTCAGGAAGTGAGACAATTTATTTTTAAAAATTAAAAATTAAAAATTTAAAATTTTTGTGGGGGTGGAAAACACCTGCATGGCAGACAAAAGAATTTTTTTTTTTATATCTCGGAGTTTTAAACAGTTATTATATTGATGGTGAAACAGACAGATTGCTATACATCAATTGCTGAAAGTGATTACTTTTACTATTACCTGTTCAACTGAGATAGCAATTACGTTAGCACGCAGGTTGTAGTGCGACCTGGCTCAATCATGCAGTCATGCAACGTTACAAAGCCCTGACGTTCCGAATGAAACATCATTGATGACAAACAATTCCAATTCCAACTTTGTGTAAATTTCGGAATCCAACAGACCAATCGGAGTTTGATATTTTCGATTCACCGTGCGCCAATAAATTTTTAGTTCAACAATGTCGTTTTTTTTTAGAACTTTTTTTTTCCTTTATTCCTTTTTGCGGGGGTGGGGGTGTATTGTGGGGGCTATACCAGATTTGTCCCACGCGGGGCGCTAGAATATGGTATGATTTTTCTTTATCATTGCAAGAGCTGAATTATCTAGTTGTAACTTGTTAAACGTATTTATTTTGCCTGTCAGAAACTATAGATAAAGTGTGGCGTGGCCACCGCCTTAAGGAAAGATCTCTCTAATTTTTTTTGTCGTCCATTGTTTTTCATATCCAATAGCACATGCTATTTTTCAGCTTATCTGGATAAGAAAATAATAATGGCGGATATTCCTTTTTCAATCCTGCAAATTCGCTATCTTGTCAATTAGGAAAATGGACAGTTTATTGCCTCGGACTTTAGGATGGTGTTTGTCTAATTTAATTTTCAAAATAAATCTTGGAATCTTACACATTGATGTTGCCAAGGCAATCATTAGAGGATGCTTTAACGAGATATCCATATCTAAAATTTTGTTGTGAATACTAATATATCACCCAAAATAGTCAGCACTAGCTTATCTCTTGTATACCAAACATGTTTATCGTAAATTGTTTCGCACGGCTACCGATAACCGCGGATACGCCAGATAACTACAGTAAAATGACATAATACCTCAAAGGGATCACGTAACCGGTAGTTTCGTATTTGTAACATTCTATCCGTTAGATTTTGATTCAAAACGTCCTTGTGTCATCCGGTTAAAGGCAAGTTTATCCCCGGATTGTAAACATTGTTCCACGGGCCAAGGGACAATATTGAAAGATTGTTCTTGATCCGGCTACACTAGTAAAAAAAAACAATTGTAATGTAAATTATAATATTACAGTCTATTCAGAATAAATTACCCAGCTAATACCCGTCAGCTTCACCTCTCTTCCGCCACCAATCACAAACCCCTTCCAATTTCTGTCCAACCCTTCTAATTCCATTCATAGCAGTCAATGTCCCCGTCTCAACAAACTCATGGCCCATAGCTTCTAACTTTTCTCTCACACCCACAAATTCCTCATCAAACATAGTTAAATTCTCAATCATAACATATTGTGGAATTAACTGATGATGCATTCGAGGGAACCCAATAGCTTGTAATAAACTTGTTCCTCTATAAAATTGTCTTACTATTGCTTGCAAAATAGCCAGAGTTATTCTACTGCCACCAGCAGCACCAATGACCAATTCCGTCCTGTTATGTGAGTCCATAATTATGGTTGGTGCCATGGAAGACAATGGTCGTTTATAAGGTTTGATAAAATTGTATATCGAAGGAGTCAAATTAAAAGCGTTTGATATTTGTGGTCTGGAGAAATCATCCATTTCATCATTAAGAATAATCCCGGTTGCAGGATCATAAATCATGGAACCAAATAAGAGATTAACCGTAGTTGTGAATGCTACGGCATTGTCATCTTTATCAACAATACTAAAATGCGCAGTACCGTGATCTTCAACAATATCATACTTGGGATCATAGTTCTTCCACGGGAAAGTAGTATTTGGTGAGAACTTACCCGTTGATAAAACTTCATCAATCCAATGATCGCTGGTATAATTGGATATAAGCTCTTGTTGATACTCAGGTGAAACATCACCTAACCTACTTCTAACCAGAGTCAACCATTTGAAAGATTCAATTAGCTTATGATTGAATGAAGTAGGTTCATCGTCTTTATTGTATACTCTATCGAAAAATTTCAATCCTGAAACCAAAGCAAGACCAGATGAAATCCCACTAGCGGTGTAAATCGTCTTGTTTTGAAAAGTACTGGTAATTGCTTCATCAATATTAACCTCATACTTTGTGAAATCTTCACTAGTAACAATACCTCCATATTGATGGATTGTCTTGACCAAATTAGGAACAATTGGGCCTTGAGGATCATAGAATATCAGACTAGATCCGTTCTTTGCAATTAATTCAAGAGTATTTGCATAGTTCTTTCTTTTAATCCAGTCACCGTGTCTTAAATGCTCACCTTTATTGAATATGAAATCCCAGTTTGTCTTAATGGAAGGAATCAAATCTAGGATCTTGCTTTGTTTTTCAATAACCCCTTCAAACAATTCAGAACATTCAAATCCGTCTCTATTCAACTTAATAACCGGGTCAATCAACTCAGCCCAAGTTAAATGTCCTGATCCATGCAATTTAAACAACTGGTACAACCCAGCAAGTTCTCCAGGAATACCAATACTCAATCCACCAATCTTGCTCAACAACTCACCAGCCAAACTTCCATCATGTTCGTACATATCCTTGAATGCACCAGAAGGGGCCATCTCTCTAGCATCTATACTCACGACATCCCTGCCATGTTTCAGTAAAATCAATGCACCTCCACCTATACCTGAACTGTGAGAGTTAATTGATCCAATACAAAGAGCAACAGTGACGGCCGCATCAGCTGCATTACCTCCTGATTGAAGGATCTGTTTACCCATAGTGGAACATAATGGCACATCACAAGCTACCATGGCATTTCCTGCCGTGTGACGGTGTTTTGAATCGGGATTAAGTGTGGGTTGGCCTATATGTTGGATGGGATCTTCATTGGTGACATACTGAAACAGGATCGGTGGTGGAGATGTATTTCCGAAGGAGAGAAATTTGTGAATGACAAGCACAAGGGTGATGGTTGTAAAGAGGTAGTAATATCGGATAGTCTTTGTTGATTTCGGTTCGAAAGTTGACGTTTTCATAGTGGTGTAGATAAAGAGTTGAGAGAAAACGGTCAAAAGTTTAATTTTGGGGATTTTTTTGATTTCAGTTGGGGAGATATCAGTGGCGATAAGAAACCAAAGCAAAAAAAAAAAGTGGAGTATCAATTGTCAACCAATTGAAACTTACTCCTTACAATAGACGTGCATTATTTCTGTAACTAACACGAGTAAGTACATCTGGGTGAGTGCATCACACATTTAAACACAAGATCTTCCAATAGGAATAAAAAGACTACTGAAACAAGATTTATATCTCTAGCTCCTAATTTCATGTTGTTTTTTTTTTTGCTGCCAAATCAAACGTATGACCCATTGACACATTCTTTTTTTCAAATACCCAAGTTGTTTATCTATTTAAGTAAAAATAACAAATACATACCGATGCAGAATGTGTAATCAGAGAATATCTACATATATGGGAAACAGTAGACGGAGTAGGTTTATGTTGCGATTGTGATGTTAAGATCAAACATTTGATTTAGGTCTTGAACCAAGTGACAGCCACTGCTTTCACTTCTATTACTATTACCGTTGAGTAATCACTTAGTAAGCAAATTAACACTCAGGACAGGAAAATACATACACATACAGGGGCCAAAACTACTGAAAAGCAAATGTCCCGATAGGCAGCACACTTGTGATGGTACTTACTTCTAACAGTTTTGGAGTACAAAGAAAATTCAATTTCAAGAGGAAAGATCGAACATTTGAAGCGGTCGCACCTCCAAAATGTGAAAAAGAATTTGAATGAGCTCATCCGGAACTCCCATTTTTACAGAGAAGGGCCGTGTCAAATTGAAGATTATGATGCCTTCCACGTACTGGAACAGACTTTCCTTTTAGTAATTGTTATTTCAGGCTGCAACTGCGAATTTGTTCCATATTATGGTGCTATCGGAATCACGATACAAGTAATGAACATATAGACCTCTTGAGCTTGACGGTTGATTTGGTACATCCCGGTCAAAGTAGTGCTTGGGCTTTCCGACTTCTTAGAGTTCCAGAGTTCCTTTTTGTGCCTACCATCAATAAAAATAACTCAGCAGTGGCTCAGAATTTACGACAGCAACAATAACACCGGCTCTCCTATAATTATAAGGTGATGCCGAACTATAACCCATCTCGTCGTCTACTCTTTCCCGATTGAGACATTGATTGTATTTTTGACGTTTGTCGTAAAAAACAAGAACGCGCCACGGTTACAAAGAACAGAAAAACTGCAACATCCTGCATACAGGCCAGCTAAGGCATCGTGGGTTACCCGGCGGTTTTCTTTTTTCTTCTATGCCACGGCATTTGGATGTACATGACTATACATGAATTGCAGTAAATAGAAAAGTTCAACCTTTTTTACTATGAATAATTACTAAGCTATATCACCCTTTCGTTTAACTACCTCCCTTGTCATTCTTTTAGTTTGAATAATCACAGCATAAGAAAATGTCTTCGTCTTCCCGTAGTGAAACACCTCCACCATTACATCGAATAACTAGTGACGATGAACTCATTAACAATATCCTTCCTTCATATCACATGTTTGCATCCACGGTATCCAAGAACCTTGTCCCTACCAACGAAAACTACCGTATTGACCCTCCAATGTATGAAATGACCCCAGTTACATCTACCACACCATCACTTTTACCTACCCATTCCCTTGATAACAGTTTGGATGACTACTACCCACGAAATAGTGACGAAGAAAATCACTTGGAAGGAGGTTCATCAGGCGAATATAATCAACAATCGGCTGATATATGGAAAAACAATATCTTGAACAATGTCGACAAATTACCCAACTTAACTCACTCCAAGGGATACATCTCGGACAACCTTAAAGTTGAAATCACTGTGACTGAAAAAGTGTGCCAAAAGGGTATAAAACCGGAGATAATCGATCCATTGCAAAAGGAGTATATTTCAGGAGACTACGTACATGGATACGTCACCATTCGTAACACCAGTGACAAACCAATCCCATTCGATATGGTATACGTTGTGTTTGAAGGATCAGTTACTGTGCTTGACTACACTAATGGTTTACTTAATCTTGAAGCTGAACCACTCACACGATTCAAGTTCTTGAATATGTTGGATTTGTTCGCCAGTTGGTCCTATGCCAATATTGACCGGTTGATCACCGATAATGGAGACCCTTATGATTGGTGTGATGGAGAAATCGACCCCTATGACAACACATTGCTTGCCATTGACGTGAAACGATTATTCCAGCCTAATGTCACGTATAAACGATACTTTACATTTAGAGTCCCTGAGAAGTTGTTGGATAATACCTGTGAAGAACATAGTTTGAATTTACACTGCGAGTTACCACCCACGCTCGGAATAGACAGGAATGCAGTGACGCCATTACAATTGCTTACCAACAAGAATTTGCTGGTTAAGGATCTCGCCATAATCGATACTAATGTGAGTTATAGTATTGATGCCAGAGTTATTGGAAAGGCATCAGACTACAGTTATAAAGTTGATCGAGATCAGTATCTTGTTGCGAAAAAGGCAAGCTGTCCTATCAGAGTTATCCCACAGAGTAATTTTGAACGATTTGATAATTATAAACTATTGCTGGAGGAATGTCAAATATATTTCAAGGCATTTGTTGATCAAGTAATCAACAAGATTGAATATGGGTACGAATTATTAAACATCAACATGAAATTAAACAATGATTTACTTTCTCCACAAGTAACCAATGACAGTACCGATGAGAGTAAGTTACGACAATTATATCATTCAGCTGACTCGTCCTCATTCCACCATGACCATGACGCCAAGAATTGTGTAGAACAAGAAACATATCAATACATGACTACATCGAAAAAGAAAACCATCACTGGAGTAAGTAAGCATCTTGGAATAGTATCCCTTTCAACACCAAAGACGATTTATTCCGCCAACTATATCAAGCCTTCCAGGTTTGGCAAGTCAACCTTCAATAACCAGATAAAGATCCCACTTGAGATAAACTACAACGCAGAAGCGTCTTCTTCGTCCACACTTCCTCAGGTTAAGTCCGTGAACGTCGAACTTGTTTCATTAACCATCAGATCCAAGAAACATCCAATTCCTATAGAGTTCACTCCAGAGATGTGTTTCCCAGAAAAGCACATTGACTATAAAGGTGGGAATGGCTTAGTCCCCAATTTTGACAATATAATAATAAAGCAGTTCCACGTATATTTGACGTCATTCCATAAACTAATCAAAGAATTAGGAAACGATATAATCAAAATAGAAACGCAACTATACAAAGACGTGAAATCACTTGCATCCCTTGGCACGAAATACATCAATTTACAAATTCCTGATGTCACATACATGATGCGCGATGACCAGGGAACAAGCACGGGCTCGTATCCTAGTGTGAAAACCATCCCTTGGAAACAGCAAGATGCATTTTCATACACTATGAAGTTTGAAGTTAATGTGAACTTGAATAGTTCGTGTCTCAAGGGTAATTCGGGTGATTCGGGTGAAATTACCCTCGTGCCTAGTTTCCAAGGATGTCTTTTAAGTAGAATCTATTATATTAGAGTTAGTGTTAAGATGAGTCGTGGTGAAGTGTTGGTTGTCCATGTACCATTAACTATACAAAATTAGGATATACACACACATATATATATATAAATAAATATATAAAATACATATTTATGGGTTGGATTACTGCAAGTTGCAACTATGTCGCAACTATTGAATGTCGCAAAATTTTATAAATTTGGTAGCACTCCAGATTCATCGCAAGAAAATAAAAATTCAACTTATTTTACCTCGAGACATTTGCTTTATACTTATCAAACATGTCTCAACCAGAACAAGTACCAGACGTGGGAGAAGTAGCAGACAAACTTGTCTCAGAATGGGATAGACTCAGATACGTCCCTAAGGCAGGAGACCCTGCACTCCCACCACAACTAGCCGAATTCACATCTAAATCTACCGATCAAATTATGACTGAATTGAACAGACTTCCGTTCTTCATGACCAAGCTTGACGAGACCGATGGTGAAGGCGGAGAAAATGCCGAGCTTGAAGCCCTTCGTAGTTTGGCTTATGAAGGAGAACCTCACGAAATCGCCACTAACTTCAAGAACCAGGGCAATGATTGTTACAAAGTCAAACAATACAAGAATGCCATTGAGTATTATAACAAGGGGTTGGAAGTTGAGTGCGGAAGAAAGGATATCGAATCAGCATTGTACTTAAATCGTGCTGCTTGTAATTTGGAATTAAAGAATTATAGAAGGTGTATTGAAGATTGTAAGAAATGTTTACTTTTGGATGATAAGAACATCAAGGCTTGTTTCAGATCAGGTAAAGCATTCTTTGCTATTGAGAAGTACGATGAGGCATTACAGATTTTACAATACGCATTAAGTATAGACGGATCTAATAAAGATGTCAAGGCATTGATCCAACAAATTGAAGCCAAACAAGACCAAATCAAACAAGCCGAATTGAAACGTGCCCAAAAGAAACAACATGAAGAATATGTTGCTAGCATTCTTGAAAACTCTATAAAATTACGTCATTTTGAAATCATCAAAACTTCTAAACCAGCGGAAGTATTGACCAATTCCAAAATACGATTGGAAGATGAAAAAGATTACCAATCCCAATTAATCTTCCCGGCTATGATTTTGTATCCAACCATTGATGAGTTTGATTTTATTGATGAAATAAGTGAATTAACAACTCCATTGGAATTACTTGAAATGATTTTGAATAGACCTAAGGAATGGTTTGATGATCCAAAACATGAAAACTTCACCGTCAAGAATTTACAATGTTTTATGGAAACTACTTCAGGTGGTCTTGTGAAAGTTGGTAAGAAAATTGAAATTAATAATGCATTAATGAATGATAAACCAAAGGCGCCATTATTTGATAACGCCCTTAGACTCTATGTTGTTCCTAAACAGGATGTGGATGGATGGTTAGCACAATGGAACAAGGAAACAGCTTTAGCTAGTCGTAGATAGAAATAAATATAGCAAAAAGGGAATAAATTGAAAAAAAAACCCTCTACAAATAGCCCATTTTTTTCAGATACTCCCGTTCTTCTCGCCTTCTTTCCACCAAATCCGGCGTTCTTTCCGGTGATTGACAACCACGCTCACTACTAACTCTATTCTCAAACACTTCGTACAAATCCAAGGTTGGCTCTTTGCCAAAAACAGTACTCCCATTAATAGTTCTATTCTGAATCATAGATTTCCTTAATTCAGGTGATCGAGCCCAATCTTGAAGCACTTTCCTGTCTTTATTTGGAGTAGTGTCATCTTCGTCATCAGTCAACACATGAGGTAATGTTTCGGCCGTGATACGAAGTGGAGTCTTTGGTGCAGTCAACTTCCTCTTTTTCGTGATTTCAAAAGTATCAGATTTAGGACGAGTAAGGCGTGTAGTTGAACCATGGAGAGGGGGTAATGCAGTAAGGCCATTTGGTCCAATGATCAACTTTTGCTTTGGTTTTTCAACTTCATTTCTCAGCTCAACTATCAGCTTCTTTGACGGGATCCTTCTGACCCCTGTTTCAAGTTTGGAATCTGGGGTCAGAACAGGTAATTGTAGCTTGGGCGGGCTTAACAATCTAACCGAAAGCAACCTATTGTTAAACTTCAGATCTTGACGCTGGGGCAGTGTTCGTGGAAGTTGTCTTTTGGTCAATGGAATACTCTTTGGGGCGTATTTAGCCAGTAAACGTGAATGCAAAGGCGATGCATTGCGAGGAGATTTCAGACGCATTGGTTGCTTTATGGGTGATAGTTTCACAGGTGATAATGATCTGAGTTTGCTTACATTGGTCCAAATATTTGGTGACTCCTCTTTTGAGTTCTGTTCGGGTGATGAAACTGGTTGTTCCTTTGGTTCGGGTTCTTTCTTTTTCATTTCCTCCTGTGGTTTTTCATTAGTATATGGAAGGGGTATGCGAGATTCAAATTGAAACAATTGTCTGTTATTAGGTACTTTGACGGGCGACATAGCAAATTTCTCTTTGATATTAATAGGCTTGCTTTCTATAACTCGAGTCAGTATTTTCTCTAAACTTCTCTGAGGCTCTGATTGGAATATGCTTGACCTTTCGCTTGGCTTGTCTGAATATGGTTTGTACTTTCTTATTTTCTTTGGTTTGGTTGTTGATTTCACCACTATTGGGGTTCTAGCAGGCAACGAGACAAACATTGAGCTTTTACGCTTTGGAGTTTTTGCAAAGGAACGTTCTGTTGGTGTCTTGGATGTTAGTTTGATGGGGGATATAGGATCAAAGGTTATTCCTGTTCTGTCAGCAATACTTTTCCTAATTGCTCTGGATATAGCCAGGAAGGAAGATTCCCTGCTTGATTCCTTACTAGATTCGTTACTAGCTGGCAGAATGACCTTTTGTATCTCTTTGGAAATAGAACCGGATTCAACTTTTCTAACCACAGGAGAAGTGGTGACAGGATGATGCATGACATAGCTTGTGTCAGGGACAACAGGGCTAACATGTTCACTGGCAACAAGGGTAACCGGCTCTGGATCATGTTCCTTCTCATCTCCAAGGTCAAAACTTATATCGGGAATAACACGGTTGAGATCTTTTTCAACGACGTATTCCTTCTCTTTCTCCTCATCATGTTTCAACATCCACAAGTTATGGCTGTTTCCCTTGAGTACATCATCCATCAAAGTATTCAACTCAGAATAACGCTTTATAAAGACATTGTTTTTGTCTTCATCTGCATCAAGAATGCTTGAAAATTGGAGCAGAAGCTCGTTACTAATCCAACGAGAACTTCCGGGTATGAATGCAGCAGATTGATTGTTCTTATGAGCCGCCTTCGCCGCCCATAAATGTGACATGTTAGGTTGGTTTTGATTAGTATGGTGTTGACAATATAAACTTGATGTTGTTGCCAAACAAATAAAAAAGATGATACACGCGCACTGCCCCAGAAGCAAAAACTAAAAGTTTCTTAAAACCGTGTGGAGATTCCAAGGAAGGCAAAAAACCAACCCCCCCCCCAGGCAATACATACAACTTAGCAGAAAACAAGCATGTCTTACTTTGTTAAACGAGACGAGGGTTGTTCCATATATGATGGTGCATCCACTGTTAATCTCATTTTCCTGATTTTAATTACGTTTGGCATTATAGCCAGCTATATCCCGCAATACGTTCGTATCTACCATAAGAGAACATCAGAAGGATTATCGACAAATTTCTTGTTGTTGGGATCGTGCTCTTCCATATTCACATTGACCAATATCATATTGATAAGTTCGATTGCCAGAACCTGTTGTATTTCTGGGGAATTGAACATGTTCAACTGTATAAATTCCCAGCTTAATTTGATTCAAATTGGTATCCAATGCACCTGTGCTATACTTATTCTTGTATTTGTCTTGTTTCTCACCAAGCATTCCCTTAAACAGGATAAGTTAGAATATCAACGTATAGTGCAGGTTGGCCATTGGGTGACCCTCCATGGAGTGGTGTCGCTTATTCAAGTGATTATCGGGCTTGCCGGATCGAGAAACTTGTTATACACAATAGCCAACACCAATGGGTTGTTGTCCACCTTGTTGACTGTGGTTAAGTACTTGCCTCAGATCCATACCACATACAAGTTAAAACACCCAGGGACCCTTTCCATTCCCATGATGTGCATCCAGACCCCAGGTGGGTTCGTTTTCACAGCAACTTTATACTTTACTAAAGGATCACATTGGAGTTCGTGGGTGTCTTATTTAGTTGCAGCATCGTTGCAGGGAACTTTGTTGGCACTTTGTATCTACTATGTATATGTTAAGGGCCAAGGTGAAGAGTTGGAAAGAGAGGCAATTGATAGAATTATACAGGAGAATTTGCACGATGAGGTGGATCGAATTCAAGAAGATGATGATGAAGAGGGGAGTCCTCTTCTTTAGTGTTACAGCATGAACTGTTTTATAATATAAAATACACAATATATAAAGTTGAGTTGTCATTGTAGTTTGGTGCTCCATGCCTTGGGCCGCGAGCGACTCTTTGCAACGACATTTGTATGGGAGTAGGCTTTACGCGTGCCACATGCATGGTTTATACCCAAGACTACAGTTGGAGATGTAATGTAATCCCATTGACAGTGCTATATAAAACTTCTCAATCCAAACTAACATCGATGATCGGTATCGGGTATTTGTGAAAACAAATTCGCATATTGCACTAAACAGCCCACACAAAAAAGCATGGACCAACCATCCGTAACGCCATTCCCATAACAGACCCGCAAGTGGTCCATTGTTATTTCTTGTGGCATTACCCATGTGTTTTCACACTAGGGATACTCTCAGGAGCAAAAAGTAGGTTGGATGGAGTGAATCACCGAATTTCCCACCCATGTTTTGTATGAGATTAAGTTATCTCTTTGTGTAGACGGGTAAATGCGAAACGATGTTAGAAAGGATGGAAAAGGAAGGGTATCTACAATTCATTGAGGATATCCTTAAAGAAGAAGAAGAAGAAGAAGAAGAGAAAGTAAGTAGTGGAAGAATTTTTTAGCAGAATTTTTTATAGAAGAGCTTTGATCCGAGCATGTGACCACCCGCACGTGACAAAAAACCAGCGAATTAGATTTCGAGGACGGAAGTTGGGGGTCACGTGGAAGGGCGGGTACATGTTACATCAAGCCAACAATTGTCATTGCACAATAAAGTTCCCAACTAATCCGAGTCCGTCAATCGCTATCGCACTTTGCCCCCAACATATGTGATAGGTTCCAACCAAGCAATTGACGTGGTTTGGCTGTTCCTCTGCCTGTTTATTTATGTCGCATCGCTATTTTTGGCTACGCGGCGGCGGCACAAAGCAAAATCGAACAAAAATTCCCAAGGAAAAAACTTTTTCAAATTTTCACGAAATTCAAACCAAAGTTTCCCTTTTTCCTCTTTACTCAACAAGTCAGGGATTACACAATGTTAGCTAACTTTGCTTCTCTCTACCGTTTGTCCACTGTTGGTGGTGCTGCCGCCCGTACCACTTTACGTACCGCCGCTTTAAGATCTGCTTACCCATCTTTGGTCAGATCCTATGCTGCCTTCAACCGTTCTAAACCCCACGTTAACATTGGTACCATTGGTCACGTTGATCATGGTAAAACCACTTTAACTGCTGCCATCACCAAGGTTCTTTCCGAAAAAGGTGGTGCCAGTTTCATGGATTATGGTTCCATTGATCGTGCCCCTGAAGAAAGAGCTAGAGGTATCACCATTTCTACTGCCCACGTCGAATACGAAACTGACAACAGACATTATGCCCACGTTGACTGTCCAGGTCACGCTGATTATATTAAGAACATGATTACCGGTGCCGCCCAAATGGACGGTGCTATTATCGTTGTTGCAGCTTCTGATGGTTCCATGCCTCAAACCAGAGAACACTTGTTATTGGCTAGACAAGTTGGTGTCCAACAATTGGTTGTCTTTGTTAACAAGGTTGATATGATTGACGATCCAGAAATGTTGGAATTAGTTGAAATGGAAATGAGAGAATTATTGAGTCAATACGGTTTCGATGGTGACAACACCCCAGTTGTCATGGGTTCTGCTTTATGTGCTTTAGAAGGTAAGAAGCCAGAAATTGGTTCCGAAGCTATCATGAAATTGTTGGATGCTGTTGACGAATGGATCCCAACCCCAGTCCGTGACTTGGAACAACCATTCCTTATGCCTGTTGAAGATGTCTTTTCCATTTCTGGTAGAGGTACCGTTGTCACCGGTAGAGTTGAACGTGGTACTTTAAAGAAGGGTGAAGAAGTCGAAATTGTCGGTAACTTTGACAAGCAATTCAAGGCCACTGTTACTGGTATTGAAATGTTCAAGAAGGAATTAGACCAAGCTATGGCTGGTGACAACTGTGGTATCTTATTGAGAGGTGTCAAGAGAGATGAAGTCAACAGAGGTATGGTTTTAGCTAAGCCAAACACCGCCAAGGCTCACACCAAGTTCTTAGCCTCCTTGTATATCTTATCTACTGAAGAAGGTGGTCGTCACTCCCCATTCGGTGAAAACTATAAGCCACAAGCTTTCTTCAGAACCACCGATGTTACTTGTGCCTTCAAGTTCCCTCCAGGTGAAGGTGTTGACCATTCTCAACAAGTTATGCCTGGTGACAACATTGAAATGGTTGGTGAATTATTCAAGAAGACCCCAATTGAAGTTAACCAACGTTTCAACATCAGAGAAGGTGGTAAGACTGTCGGTACTGGTTTAATCACCAGAATCCTTGAATAAACAAGACGTACATAGTTAATTATTCCATTATATGGACTGTACATAGTGAATTTATGTTGTTTTCTTAGATATCTCACCTCTTACTCGATTGTTTATATAAGTTCGTCTACTTTGTATGGGAGACCACGTCAAATGCCAGTCGCGAAAATATTGTTTTGGAAATTTGGCAACACTTTTGAAAAAGATTTGCCAACACGGTTATATGGTTCAACTGCAATGACGCTAACCTTTCCAATAATCAACCATGACGAGATACAGTTCCCCGTTGCATCAGACCAATTCCAAGATATTCGATTATTCAGCAATAACCGTCAACTTTTAATATCAACAAGAAAAGTTGTTGTTTTGAAAGGATCACTAGTGTCCAAAGTATTGAATTACGACGAAGATATAGTCACTGCTACATATACCCATTTCCTTAATGATACCCCAGAGTCAACTAAATACCCTGACGAAGTTCTTGCTGTCTGTTTGAAAAGATCAATTAATATTTACTACCCCGACGGAAGATCTTACGTTATTACCTTACCGTTCCTACTTAGTAAGGCGTTGCCGTTTGAATCGGGGTTAATTCTACATCGTGATCCTAAACTGCCAATAGCATCTACTACAGGTACATTCAACCTAAATACACCTACTTCTACATCAAGTCCTATTCTTACCCTTGTGGATCCAATTGATGAATTCAGAATGGTGTCGACTACATCAACATCAATTATATCGCCCCATGAAGAAATAATGACATTTCCCACCAAATCAGGCCAGATCCAAAAGTTTTCCCTATGTGCTACTTTGAATTCTCATGATGGTACCATTAATGTCTACCACATACGTACACCTACAAGAGCAACCTCGAAATTTGACTCAAACAATAAACGATTACACAGTCTGAGAAATAGAAAATATGGCGCGTTGACCACATCACGCATCCTAGAGGAGGAAATACCAGCTTTAGAATCTTCTCAGAATGTGGTTGTTTCAGGAATCAGTATGGACAAGAAGAGAACAAGTACATTGCTATCTGATGTTTCATCGATTGGAAGAATGGCTAGTGATATCCCCCATGATTTAGTTATGTCACAAGAAAGCAATTTTGCCAATTATAAAAAGGATATGATATTATCCCGAATTGATCTGTTTGGAGGTAGGCTATCCAAAGAGAATATTCGTGTTTTCAATATCGTATTCGAGGATAAAGAAGGGATAGTTCTTGTAAATAAATCCAGAAAGGAATGCCGCGTGTTCATATATGAACGATCAAATACAAGTATTCGTCATCTGTCATTATATAAAATCTCTTGTCGTGATTGCATACCACTTTCATCACAACAATTTGAAGGATTATTGGTGACATTGACAACAGATGGTAAAACTTTGAATATCGTTAACCCATTTCTCGATACCATTTCTGCCAATAAAGATAATTTTAATGGAGCTGTGATTCAAGAGTTGATTTCCTCGTGTGATGAAAAGGTGGTAATTAGAGCAGATGAAGGAAAGATAATGAATCTCCAATTGATACTTAAACCTTCTTCAGAGTTTGTTGGCAATTGCTTAGCATGTTTCCAATACTTATCTGGATCAGATTTAAATACTAACATTTGGATGCTATGGAGATCAGCATATGTGTTAAATAAAAATGACTGGAATGCATTTGTCATTGCTTTGCTCTCATTAATTTACCCCTTTACTGAGAGGCAACAGTCTAGTTATGTGGAGAATGAAATTACTCAACTCCTCCCTCAAGCCAAACACTTGTCTGAATCTACAAATTTGAACTACTCATTATCAGATCTTATTACTATTATCGTGGAATCATTACATCTAGTGAGAGAAGAAGTTAGACTAAACACTACGAGAAAGTCGAGCTTGCATAAATTTAACATACTTTTATGTCAATTAACCACATGGATGGGCTGGCCCGAACCATGGCCCTCATATTATGGAATCAAACCCGACACTATAGATCCAACTACACGATTTCTTGTCCGTTGCCGGTTCAGCACCCCTCCTAATTTATTGGAATCCTTGACAAGTTTATTTAGTAACCAGATTGTACCATACCTCACCTTTTCGCAATTAGTCGAAGAACCCTATAAAGTGGACGCAAAAATAACTCCAAGAACACATTACATTCTTAAATTATTTGAAGTTTTAGTTTCTAATCAATATGGACCTACCGCAATAGTTGACTTAATGTGTGAGTTTGGAATTACTCCATGCGATTTAGACACATTCCCTGTGGCAGTTAGTATCCCCTTGAAAGAAGCATTGCTGATGAGCCAAGAGTATCCTGCATTTGAATGGACAAATAATGCCCTTGAATTGGTTGGGAGAAGAGATTTGACTACACTCTTGGAAAATAACGATGTTTCGTCATACAGTGGAAGATCCAAGGATACTGAAGCTAGAGATATCAATACATTGCTCTCGGGCGTTTTTGATACAAGCGAAGGTGTTTCTCCTTGGGATGGACAGACTGAAGCTGATAGAATTGGTATCACGAAATTGATTTTCGATTCTGACCGAAGATATTTTGAAATTACAACGTTATTACATCAGACCAAAACCCAAACAGCTACTTTACATGAAACGCAAGGGTTTTCGGAGTATGATTTAGTGTTGTTACAACGTGAATTGGCAGTTATTGTAGCATTGAGAACATTGACAATCCCGCTCGGGAGAGCAGCATTGTTCTATGGTGGTCGGCATCCTTTGATCACGGAAAAGTTCCCAATTCCCAAATTTAACTTGAATACTTTGATTACACCAACAATGACAAATATCATTCATTCGGAAGATAATATCCCATCACAAGTTTCCGAATGGGGTAATTTCCATAATGGTGTATCTTCAGGTTTGAGTATAAGCAAAGATGCGAAAGGTATTAGTGGCAGTTGGATAATCTTTAACAAACCTCCTGAATTGAATGCACAACATGCTGGGTTTTTGCTTGGTCTAGGATTAAATGGACATTTGAAGAAATTAGAAGAATGGCATATCTATAATTACTTGGGTCCAAAGCACCCTTTGACTAGCGTGGGGTTATTGCTTGGTATGTCGGCCAGTTTGAAAGGTAGCATGGATAATAAGTTAACTAAGGTACTTTCGGTTCATGCAGTAGCCTTGCTTCCACAAGGTGCCAACGATTTAAATGTTCCTATTATGGTACAAACCGCTGGCCTTATTGGAATTGGATTATTATATTTGGAAACCCAGCACAGAAGGATGAGTGAAATCTTATTATCACAGATCACAAGTTCAGTATATCAAAATGACGTGGAACAAATTCATGAAGGGTATAGATTGAGTGCTGGTATTGCATTGGGGTTTGTAAATCTTGGTAAAGGAGGTGACTTAAGAGGATTGAATGATACACATGTAGTGGACAAGTTGGTGAGTTTGGCTGTTTCAATGAAGGACTATCAACCTGTTGAAGAGTTGAATAAATCATGCTGTGGTGCTATTCTTGCCCTTGGTTTCATTTACATCAAGACTGAAAATCGTGAAATTGCTAATAAATTACATGTTCCCCAAACAGAACAATTGCTAGATTACATCCGTTCCGATATGTTACTTTTGCGTTGTGTTGCAAAAAATATCATCATGTGGAGAGAAATTGAAAACACCATCAACTGGGTTGAATCGGAAATTCCCAAGGTTGTCGCCGAGAAATATGCTACATTTACAGAATTAGATTCTGACATGCTAACCTATTTCAACATCCTTGCTGGAACATGCATGTCTATTGCTATCAAGTATGCATCTAGCCATGATATTACTGCTCGTGACACCATTCTTCATTACTTGGATAAGATGATGGAATTGGAATTAACATCTACACAACATAGTACTAATAACAATTATGATCAAAAAATTGCATACAATAGTGCCATCAATATTCAAAACTTACTAGCAATGTGTGTTGCTGTAGTAATGGCAGGAAGTGGAGATTTGGAAGTATTTAGAAGATTAAGAGTATTGCATAATGATACCAATAAGCATATGGGATATGGAGGCTATATGGCTATAAATTGTGGCTTAGGGTTATTATTCTTGGGCGGAGGACAATATGCATTTGATACACATAGTAATTTTGCCATTGCTTGTTTGATCACGTCAATGTATCCAATCTTCCCATCGGAAAATAACGAGTATGAAGTCCATTTACAAGCATTGAGACATTTCTGGGCATTGGCAATTTCACCAAGGTGCTTTATTGTTCGAGATGTTAAGACGAGGAAACCATGCAAGATTCCAATTGTGATTACCAGAAAGGATTACCGAGTCGAAGAACGCATTTCCCCTTGTTTATTACCTAATATAGAAGAGATTCTGACCATTGAAACCAAATCAGACAGCCATTTTTCCGTCAAAGTTGATTTTGAATTGAAATCAAAGTACTTGGAAATTTTTAAGAAATCGTTTACTTTGTACGTGTACAAGAGAAGTAACTATCAATTGTTAAATCCTACTATTAAGTCTTTACTACAAAATGAGGATAGGGAGTTATATACTGAAGAGGCTAAAGTTGTTGCAAACAAAGATGTTGTAAAATTACTAGATTGCCAATTTGTCAAGGAAAATATTCATCTGTATGAACGAAAAGTATGGTTCAATGAAAGTAGTTGCAATGAAGACGACGAATCTAGTGGTATTGACTCTACAGGTTTAAGCATTTTCAATATAATTGATAACAAATTAGAACTCATGAGAATGACTGGTTCCCCAGAGTCCATTGAAGACTTGTGGAATTTGAGATTATTATTTGCATATGGTGATCGAATGCTCCAGGATGAATTACATTATATACCCGTTGAATTCATCGAGAAACTAAAACAGAGATTGTGGAAATAGAGAAAATGGGCGATGCTGTCACACTACCTATAATCTGTTTTAGGAAAACTATATGCATGAAATGACAGGGATTTGAAATGTTGGGGATGGAGAATTTTTGTGGGGGTGCAAATTCGGCAAATTGCCCAGAAAGGAGAAATGGACAAGAAAATATCAAACATGAAAATCACTCAGCCAACGAAAACAAACATTGGCATAACAATTATATTATCAGACGATTCCTATCGTGTATGATATTTTGATTGGTTGTTTATCTTCCTGCATGCAGAAGACGCGACTACAAATATGGAAATGTTTTTTTTTAACTAATTTAGGGAATTGACATGATGAATTAGGTAAAACATAGCGTATGTAGTTTGCTTGTTGGATGTGGTGTATATATAATAGAGTCAAGCGTATAGAATTTAGAATATAGTGTGTACTAGGTCAATCCTTCCAGTGTTAGATAAATATTATCACATGCATAAATTTTAAACGATCGTGTGTCTATTGTCATTGTTTGTTTTACGCTAGTGCAATTAACATTTTTTTTCATTGTTACCCGGCTGGTTTTCATTGTACGACAACAAGACAAAAAAGACAACAGGGAGATTTTTTTTTTTTGGGGACTTTCGGATTTTGCTTTTTGATAATTTTCACCACATAAACACAAAAAGTCTAATTTGGAAAAAGTGTATTCAAATTAAACTCAATTTTGTCATTTTCTTTTCGTACGAGTTATTGGCACTTACTTTGATTGTTTCTATTACTTTCTTTTATTTTCGTGAAACTAATTCAAGGAACTAAAAGCTCATCGGAAGCGTTTGCAACAGAAAAAGGGGAAAAATCAAGCCGACAATCTAATCACAACTTGGCCTTTTATTAGTGGTGAGAAATTGCTAACTGACACAAACGACCAATACGATCTGAAAAAAAAGCCTACTTGGAAAAGCAAACTAGCAAATTAATAGGGATAATTTTTTTCCGGCAAGGTTTTGAGCTAGTAATAGACGATAGAGAGCATACCAAGATCCACGAGATCGTAACTTTTCCCGTTTAGAAGAATTATGCTATTTAGACCACCCTCGTTCCCTTGGCCAAATAAAGGAGGTGTTTCAAGGACAAGATATACACGTAGTACATTTCCATTCGTTATTAGTCCTCACGGTAAAAACATTACACAACCATTGTCTAGAGCTAGCCAAATGGCAGAGATACTACAACAACAAGCCGACACCACCACCACCTTTCAACAGAAGCGTAATTTCGGTTACTACTACCCCTTTCCGAAGATCCCCCGTCCCAAGAGAAATGTCCTTTATTATTCAACATGGTCAAAGGGTTCAAGTTATATTCTTCCTCGAGGCGGAAGCAGATATATGCATTTGCCAAGTTTGAGAATTTCGAAAAGACTGTTTTCAAATGCAAATCAAAAAATCAAACTGAAAACTAGAAGTTTACAAAATCGATTCTTCTCAGTTGAGGCCCGTACTAGAAGACAACAACGTCGAAAATTTATCAAATGGTGGACACTTACCACTTTAACTGTTGTTTTAGGTGGTGTTGCTGCTAGAATAAGATACCAAAGAGGTGAAGTTGACGAAGACCACCCTGCTAATCCATATAGAATAAGACCACAATCTTGGCATTTATATGCTTATTCCACTTTACCACTTAAGACGATTTCCAGACTATGGGGACAAGTTAACTCGATTAATTTACCAGTATGGATCAGAAGCCCATCTTATCGTTTATACTCAGCTCTTTTTGGAGTGAACTTGGATGAAATGGAAAACCCGGATTTAAAAAGTTATAGTAATCTTTCTGAATTTTTCTACCGTACTTTAAAACCAGGAGCTCGACCTATATCTGGAGATGAATTGGTGAGTCCTGCCGATGGTAAAGTGTTAAAATTTGGTATCATTGAAGATGGTGAAATTGAACAAGTTAAAGGAATGACTTATTCTATTGATGCATTATTAGGTTTGAAGCATGGTAGATTAGCTGCTCCAACCCATTCATTGGAAGTGGAACATGATAGTGATGACGAAACTATAGTTCGCAGAGACGAAGAGTTTGCCAAAATCAATGGTATTTCTTATTCTGCCGATGATTTAATTGGAGGTGAAGGTGATTCTACTTATCATATGCATGAATTGCAATATAAAGATGAACATGATGGTACTGCCATGGGTGAAGAAGTTTCAATTTCCAAAGAATTATCATTGGCAGCAAAATTAACTCCGGACCCATTGGAAAGTTTGAAGATCGCGAAACACAGTAAGCAACTTTACTTTGCCGTGATTTACTTGGCTCCTGGAGACTATCATCATTTCCATTCCCCTGCCAACTGGGTCACTACCCTTAGACGTCATTTTATTGGGGAATTGTTTTCAGTTGCACCATTTTTCCAAAAGACTTTACAAGGATTATTTGTTTTGAATGAAAGAGTTGCTCTTTTAGGATATTGGAAATATGGATTTTTCTCCATGATTCCAGTTGGTGCCACCAATGTTGGTAGTATTGTTGTCAATTTCGATAAGAATTTAAAAACTAATGACGTTTACGAGCATGAAATTTATCAAAAGTCAAAAGAAGAAAATGAAAACACTCCTTTACTTGAAAGAGATTACCAAGCTAGTGATTTAATTAGTATTGATTCTCGTGAATCAGAAGAACGCAAGAAGAAGAGATTAAGAAAGAATACCGTGTATGAAGCAACTTATACAAATGCTAGTAGATTACTTGGCGGATTCCCCTTGAGTAAAGGACAAGACATAGGTGGATTTAAACTTGGGCTGACAGTTGTGTTAGTATTTGAAGCTCCTGATAATTTCAAGTTCAATTTAACTGTGGGTGAAAAAGTGAAGGTTGGTCAATCCTTGGGTGAATTTGTACAATAGATGTGCTATATATATTCTTGTTTTTTTCTTGCATAAGCATACCCCCATAGTTTATTTCTATATACGTATTTCATTTAGTCAAAGTTCACGAAGAACATAGTTGTAGTGGTTGGCTCTGCTAAGAAATCAAAAAAGCATCACGTGATCTGATCTGATGTGATTTTTTTTTTTCGTATTTTCTTTGTCTCGATTTTTTTTTTGTTGTTGTTGTTGTTGTGAATTTTGATTTTGGCTGTCAATACAATCAAGAGAACGCCAACATAGGCAATACATATAACATATATAAGGTTTTCAAGATAGGATTATGTCGTTTCTTAACACTATAAGAGGCTTAGGAAGAAGTTCCAAGAAGAACAAGAAGGATATAGAACCAAATGCCGCATCGTCTTTCTATGGCCACACAGAGGTTCCTGGCAGCCATATTAGACGACAATCACCTACCAGAGCTAGTTCGCCTTCAAAGCTGGGAAGATCTAGTAATACCCTGTCACCAATCAAAAGAAATAGACCAGTTGTTCCACAACAACAACTTCCACAAACAGTACAACCCCAGTTGCAACCGACGCTTCAAAAACAATCACAGCAATCACAAGTACAATTCCAACATCTGCTGCCTAAGCGTGCGGCAGCTTCATTAAATAAAAGCAATCAAAATACCAGCATACAGCCGACTCAACTTCCACTTTTCTTATGTGAACCATATGTTAAAACTGCCCTTGTCAAGGGGTCGTTCAAGACTATTGTTCAACTTCCTAAATATGTTGATTATGGCGAATGGTTAGCCCTTAATATCTTTGAGCTTTTCAATAACTTAAATCGATTCTATGGTGTTATTTCTGATTATGTAACACCTGAAGCATTCCCTACTATGAATGCAGGTCCAAATACCAATTATTTATGGGTGGACTCCAACGGCCAAGCAGTTAATTTGCCCGCAGGTCAATATATTGAATATGTTATTTCTTGGATTTCAAATAAATTGAATGACCAATCAATATTTCCCACGAAGAATGGTGGTGCTTTCCCGCCTAATTTCTTAAAAGATTGCAAGAATATAACTAGACAGATGTTTAGAATCTTTGCCCATATTTACCATAATCATTTTGAAAAAATTATTCATTTAAGCTTAGAAGCACATTGGAACTCATTCTTTGCTCATTTTGTTTCATTTGTGAAGGAATTCAACTTGATAGACAGAAGTGAGCTCGAACCTTTGTTGCCGTTGATTGAAAACTTTGAACAACAGGGGAAAATTATATAGATGTTCTATATTTTGACTATTTACAGAAAATTTTATACATTAAAGAATATTTTTCATGATCAGCGTGTAAATGGGTGTAGAGCGTTTCTATGAGAAGAAGTATAACGAATCCTTAACTCGGTTAACATCAAATTCACCCTTGGGAGGCACTTCGGGGAATTTTAAAGGAATTAAAATTTCATAGGTACCTCTGTCATTAACGTCTTCAATTTCACCTTCATACTCATGTGCTAGCTTAATGGTAGTAACCATGTCCTGAGCCGCTTTAATTTTTTGAGGGTCATCAGAGTTTAAAAATTCTAACCGTGTTCTTTCCATATATAGTTCGTCACCAAGTGTGATGGGTCTGTTCAATTGTTTTGTCCATTGTTGCTTAAGCTCCTTAATTGATTTGACGAGGGGATGCTTTGATGAAATTTTAATTAATTGGTAGTTATCTTTGTATCTAATTTCAAATTCTTCTTTCAAAAGACTGATTAAATTTGAAGAATGTAATTTAACAAATTGTTCTCTAATCTGTTCATTCATAGTATCAACATCAGCGGCATGAGTCCAGAAGGAGTCATGAACCGAAGCAAACTTTAATCCACGTTCCCCACAAGCAGCAGCAGTCATCATCATGTGAGTTGCATCCAAGGAATGAACAAAATTTGGTGGGAATCCAGCCACTTGTTTTCTACCATCAACCATACCTGCACCATCGATTCTGTTAATGGTTAATGTTTGCACCGCGGTCTTGAGGGACTCAGAAGTACCTTTTCTATAAGGCTGAACACATGGTAAATTCAATGGTGTTGTCCATATAACTGCTGAAGAATGCAATGCCACGTTGTCTGATTCTTTATAATCAATACTAACAGATTTAGAAATTCTTCTAGCTGATTCTCCTAACCAATCTTGAATAAGATGTGCATTTTCAAACAATTGTCTAATTGCTGCAAAGACATGAGTGGTTAAATATCTGGCATGTTCTTGAAGTGAATCTCTTTGGTTGTCAGGGAAATAATCTTCCAATTGTTTACGAACTTGGGCTAATGCTCCAATATATGTAACACCGTAAACATTAGTCATAACTGTAGGTTTAACAACTTTACGATTAATTTTATCCTTTAAAAACAATGCATATTTGTTGTTTTTCTGTGCATCTTTCTCAAGAAGCTCTCGAACAATTCCAGCAACATAGGCATAGACATCTTGTGGTCTATCAGCTCTAGCCAAATTAACTTGCTGAGCCCCTTCTAAATCCCCACCTAATGCAGCATAATGTTGTAACCCATTACAGGTACCATCTTGATGTACTGCCATATGAGAAACATATTTGGTTGGATCAGGTAATTTATAAGCCCGGCGCAAATCAAAACAAACACCTAATGCTTGCCATGGTTTATCAGCTTTCTTCCACCATGCGTCTTCAGAATAAGGATTCTTAGCTGATTCGAATACATTCTGCAAGTTATCCTCGACAAATTTAACTCTTTCATCAAATGGAGCTTTATCAAAACCGTACAAGTTAGCTAATTGGATTTTCAACCATCTTAAACCACGTTCTCCTAATTCTTTACCATCCCAGAATAAGAATAAAGATCTGGTCATATCCCCACCTAAATGGTTGAAATGTGGTGATATAGGATATGCCCTGCCTCTGAAGTCTAAATTATGAGGAAAGTACAATTTTTCACCGATAAAAGCTCTGGCAATCTCCAATTTATAATTAGCATCACACCTTTGAGATCTCATGGTAGAAAATTCAGACTTTAATTGGGTAACTAACTTTCGATATTTATATTTAATTGAAGGATCGTCGCTTCTTTCAGGTTTTGGTGGCAATATTGGTTTATCTAGAACACCAGGGATATCTAAAAATTCTTTACCCGTATTCCAATAATGACTGATAACCTTAAAAATATCTTTATTTACAGTCCATGCAGTATTACCCAAGACATTTAATCCAGCATAAACTTGATCAAGGTTTCCATTCCTGGCTGCTGTTTTAACGTAAGCAGCAGTTTCAGGGGAGTCCCTGACTCTAACTAAAGGTGACATAACTTGCCCTCTACCATAATAGCCATCCCAATCTTTTGGTTTAACTGGCATTGGCATATGTTGAGGTTGGACACAACTGTCAAGAGAAGACCTGTTGATACTTTTAACTAAGTCAGAATGGAGTTTAATTGCCCCAATACGTTGACCACCGATATACTGAATACTGTGAAAAAATGCACTCTGTTCAGTTTCAACGGTGTGTCTACTGACTCTAACTTTTGCTACTTCCATCAAGAATGATACAAACACTGCACCTAGTCTAATACTTATATCTTGACTCCATCCAAAATCTTCGTTAGGATCTCCCTCGGCGGCATTACGGACAAGATTCAACAACAACCTTGATCCTTTATGTTTTGAAGTTTGAGTACGTTTCAAATCCTTTTTAGATAATTTTTGAGTGATATAATCGTATTCTAATGCTTTTCCAACAGATTGCAATGCAGTTAAAGCTCTCATACCATTAGAAATACCTCCCGTAGATTGTAATTTCATAACCTCTAATATGGTGGTCATTGCAGCCTTTTCAGGATCAATTTTAACAAAAAAAGGGGCATAAACCGCTCGTTCTTTATTTTCAGAACTTTTTTGATTAGTGGCCTTATCATCGATCAAATCTAAACATTCCTGTCTTTCCTTTTGTAAGAGTGGAACAAGTTTTTGATACCATTCGTATAATTGAGCATTCAAGTTCTTAGTTGACATAATCGAATCTCTCTTTTTAGTTTCTTCATATTCATGCTTCCATTTCTCCTTAGCCCCTTCAACACCTCTGATCTCCATTTGCTTTTGTCTATCGAGGTTGAAGTTTGCAAGGGCATGGTTGAATTGGTCACGCTGTTCTTGAGTTTCTAGCAATTGGTACATTTCAAAATAGTTCAATTTTCCGGACGTGATCTTTTGTTTACTTTCTTCATTTGTCATGTCCTTGATTATTTCTTTGATATCGCTAGTAAATACGGCAATTTTGTCGGGACTAGCCTCCAAACCTAATAAACTGTGTCTGACAATTTGCAATCCAAATGAATCAACAGCTTCCAATTCAGAAAGATCATCTTTTTCTAATGATCTAATACTTCCATCTTTTTCTTGTAATTTTTTGGTATCTTCAACAATTTCTTTGTTTTTATTTAAATCGTATTCATGATACAGCTCTTTCAATTCACTAGGAATCCAAGTCTGGGCCTTTGGATGATCAAAGATTGTATATAAATTATCAACCCCGATTATGTCAACGTTTGAAAGTGTGCTTCTGATATCTTCAATTTTAGGAATTCTGAAAAATTCATCAAGATCAAACTTGGGATCAGTTTCTAAATATTTGGTCAATCTTAATGCTCTTGTTCTATTATTCAGTTCAAAATGACATTCTCTCTGCATTTTATCGATTACTTGTTCGAGTTCACGGACACTTACTTTCTCATCTTGAACAAGTGCTTCCAAGTATATATTAGCAAATTTGGTAAACTCTTCAGGTGTAACCAAGCCGCTCAAGGTTTTCAAAAGAGGGTAGGCCTTTTCGTAATATTGATCACTAACAAAGCTTTCCATCAATGACTTGAGATAGTTGATTTCCCGAGCAAAAGGTTGTCTTATGACATTGTCTCCTTTAGAACTATAATAGCCAGGCTGTCTTTCTGCTGCAGGTGCTGTAAATTCCGTCTGTTCGATCTCACTAAAAGACTTTTGGGTTAACTTTGATATACTATGTTTTGCATTACTTTCAGTTCGTTCAGATTTTAAAGGTTCGAGTAATCGACTAACTGGGGAGACTGCAACAGCTGATTGAGCCAATGTTTTTGATTCAGACCTCGTGTTTATATATGCATATTGGATTTGAGGTAAAAGTCGTTGAACTAGAGCTCGCAGTCTGCGATAACTAGAACTCTTTAGGGATGTTCTTAACATATTATAAAGACTTTATTATATGTGGAAACCCTTGATATTCGAAAAGGGATTTGGTTGTAAAAACTAATGAAAAAAAAATTTAAGGGAGCTGAGGCAAAAAAAAAAAAAAAAAATTGAGTACAAAAAAAATAAACAAAAAAGAAATGCAAAGAAAATGATCATGTGACCTATACCGAAGAAACTCCGTCTAGCTTTATATGTTTCTGTAAATGTATTAATAACAACTATGAATGGTAACTATAGGAAGGTAAAAAAAAGAAGAAAGAAACCAAGAAGAAGTAAGATCTTGATTTATCTTCTCTTCACTACCTGTTAAAGAAATAGTATCTAGTAATAGTAGTACCGGTGTGTGTATATATATAACAACAATCCCTTCAACTTAATGCAACACCAAAGAAATGAATCAGCAAGTTTACAATCCCATTTCTGCTTGCAATGCTTTCAAAGCTTCTTCGTCTTCATCTTCCTCGACTGGAGCAGCAGGAACGGTCTTATTAACGGTTGGGAATTCAGGCAATTGTTCAACCTTTTGAGCAGGAACCTTTTGAACTGGCGCGGCTTCTTGTTCAGCTTGTTCTTCTTGTAATGCAGCCAATTCTTCTTCTAATTCATCTTCATCAACGAATTCGTTACCAACAGGTCTTGAAATAGCTTCACTGATTTCATCGGCCAATTCAACTTGTTCTCTAATCTCATCCATCGTATCTTCAACCTTATCAACATTGTATTCGCCATGTATTTGTTTCATAGCAGATGCCCCTTGTTTCATGGCCTTCATGGTTTCCAAGTTTAAGTTGGCCCCTTCTATAGATATGAGTTGAGTTTCCAATGTTTCAATTTGATTCTCAACCTTCATTAAATTTGCTTCATAACCTTTCTTTCTCTTTAATGCATTCTTTGCCAAGTTGTTTTGCTTACTGGCAACGTATTTTCTGGCCATGGCATCTTGATCAGCCATTTGTTGTTCCAAGTGGGATTTCTTCTTGTTTAAGGTTTGTATATGTTCTCGTAACTCCACTATTGCCTTCTTAGGAAGGTCTTTCTTAGCTTGACTATTACCTCCGAATAAAAGTGACCACATGTTGTTGTATTCTATGTCTGTTTATACCCTCTGGTGGCAACAAAAGAATGGATAAGTAAATTTGACTCTCCTTTGCACACCAAAAAAAGAAAAGGAAAAAAAAAGATTAAGAGATTAGAGGAATCCACACTTCACTTTACTATACGGGAAAAAAATAGCCTACTACAAGCATGTCACTTATGGTATCAATTTTATTAAGGATATACTCTCATAAACAACCTTTTCTATATATTATGTGTTAAAGCAGTATTCCCAACATATCTACATATTCTAATTGCAAAAAAAAAAAATTCAACCGATAATACCCCACTTTTAACTAACTAAAACCCAGATAAAGAAGAATATAATCAAGACACCAAAAATCTTCAAGAATAACCAACGATTACTGGTAATGTTAGCATAGTACTTTAATAATTCTCTTTGAGCACCACTAATATTTAAACTAATATCTTCAACATTTTCGTCAATTCTTTGAATTTGTTCACCTTGTTCACTAACCATGGTGGCCAATTGTTGAAACAAGTTCCCTACTTCGTTTATAGTAGATTCTATAGTTTCAACTGCACGGTTTCTTTGTTGAAGGTATTGTGTAGATTGTTCTTCCATCAATAGCATTTGTTGGGTTTGTTTAGGTAATGTCAAGTATTCTCCACTATTCCCATAAGGAGAAGAGACTAGATCAGTATCAGTGCTACTGGTAATTGCCTTGTCTGGATCGAATGGTGAATTATTTAAACTTGAACTTGATGCAAATGGGTTTTCATTATGTAACATTGGCAGGGCACCCCGACTAGAAACTGAGCTTGACAAGAAATTCTCTGTTCTATTCTTATTGGCAATCTCGTTACGTTGTCTAATTTCCAAAACATTTTTGAATTCTCCAGAGATATTCTTCATTTTCGAATTCAACAAATTCAACACATTCTTAGAATATTGAGAAATTTGGGAATCGATTTGAATCGAATGGTCACCTTTAGTAAACTTTTGTAAATTTTGAATGTTAGTTTCAATCTTAAAGATTTCTTGTTTGATAACATAGGTTAATTCTCCAATTTCAATAGGTTTATCATCAAAGATTGGTTTACGTTTTGCTAATAATGCTAATTTACTCAACAATTCAGTAACGTGAGAAATATCCTTGGCTATAATACTTGCTTGTTGACTAAACTGTGACTTCTTGGGTGGGATGTTGGATGACGGTGTGCCTCCTAAACCTTGAGCATGTCTTTGCTTTTTGTTTATCTTATCATACGTTGACACACATTGTTGAAATTCTATAGTTCTATTTTGGATGGAGACAGACATGATATGAATATCTATGGCGTTATGCTATAAATTCTGTGTTGTATGTATTTGAGGTGTGTAGGTTTACTAGTTTGTGGTAGGTGTGCAATGTGGCAACTTATGCTATGTAGTTTACCCTAATTATTGAAAGTGATAATAGGTATAGGATAGGATATTATAGGTAATGACTTGATTGAAATTAAGGAAATGTTATTTTCTAGTTATATTACTCCCCTTTCTAATGACAGGTCATCAACTTGGGCCTGTATAATTTAAATCTTAAATGTTGGGTCGGTTAAACTCTAAAAAAAAAACAGGGCTATGAATTTTGTTCTCACCAGTTCGCTGGCTTTCTTTTTTTCGTAACTGCGTGTTTGTGGGTTTCTTTTTTTTTGTATTTTTTTTTTTGTGAGATAGTAAATTATATGCAGGGGATTCTTATACGAATGCTTTTAGCAACCATTTTATATGCTCTTGTTATACGTCAACTATTTACTATATAAACATATTTAGCTAACACATAGATAAATGCCAGTTATTCTCTTGAACAATCTCATTCCAATCAATATAAATTTTCCCATCCATATTCCTTTCCCAAACTTGTTTAACAATATTAAACATTCGCTTTAAATTTGCGACTTTATAATCTTGACTTACTTTTTGAAACCGTTGGATCATTTTTAATCTATCGTTCTCAGAACTACACGTAATACCACAAATCAATAACGGAAATGCCAAACTTGTCATTAACTTCGTATCTATCAAGATGTCAATATGTTTTAAAGTGTTTAATAGCAATGATTGCATTTCAATAGATACCGGTGGAATTTTTCTAATCTGATAATTCATACACAATTGACATGTTAACAGGTATGTTTCAAACAATGTAAGATGTAATTCTAATTCTTCATCTGGTATTCCGTTCATTTGATTGATATTTGGCTGGCATTGGGCTAGTCTCCTTTCAAGTTCGTCGTACTTGTTAATAACTAATTGATAGTGCGCCAATCTTGAATCTTCGTCGGTACTATCGCTAGGTGAATTCTCATTAAATTCAACAGAAGTAGTTATAATATCTCCTAATAGTAAATATATTGGTTGAATACACCCTTGGAATGGATCTAACCCATAATCATCTAATTCTAAAATCTTTTCATTGGTAAATATTTCATTATATTCAACCATAGGGAACTTAGTTCCCTGGGTGAATGTTATGCTCGACATAATATCATGGTATTGAATGTCTGAAATCAACCACTTAATATCATTTGAATAATTGAATACTTTACAAATATGATTTAATCCCCCGTGATCTTGAATGATTTTTATAACTTTTTTGAATAAGTTATACCAGTTACTGACATCCCCTGCACATATATGAACACCTATATTAATCAAGTAATAATTTAACAACACATAAATATCATAAGTTGACAAGTTATCTTGACGATTATATTGTTTCTCAATTAATTCTGACGCCTTTCCCATATACAGTTTAACGTCATCAGTATACCCATCAATAAATAATCCGCCCCATGCACATAATAAATATGAAATTGAATCTTCCGTATAAGACAACTGATAAAATGTTTTAAGAAAATAGTTGGAACTTTCTGGACCAATACAAAGATCCTTGGCTACTTTGTGTATAAATGCATCCAAGAAATTTGACCCTTTATTATCTAGAATTAATGGCGTAAGTGAAGGCTGGTGTATGAGATTAAAATTATGAATCAAGAAATCATCTAGGTTGGGTGATTCTATGTTGTCTAAGTCTATCGGTGATTTTATGTTGTCAATTGATTGAATTTCGGTGATTATTGGATCAATCTCACTAGTATGCAACAGGAATGGAGTGACTACAGTTTCACATTGTTCCAACAACTTGTCCAAACAGTAATTTGTGTCTGGTTTTTCTACAGCTTCAATTTTCTTGCTTCCTGCCTCCCTCTTATGTTCTTTCTTAAGTATTCGAAATTGGGTGCCATTTCTCCAGTGACATTCAACTTTTCTGTGTTTGCAACTTCCGCATGTAGGATATTTTTCATCGCATTTTTTCCTAAATCTTGATTAGTAATTCCACTCTAAAACAGCAAAATTTCATAATTAGAAACAAGCTCTTACTTACTTTCGTTTTCGGCATTGTAAGCAACCATTTCTAGATCGAATGGTCAGTCCAACAACAATATCTTTAGCTTGCACCTTTTTCAGTAACGAAACAGGAGGAATCACAACATTGTCATTAGTCGTTGATTCAATTGTTTCTAAATTATTCAAGTCAAGAATATAAAACATTTATGTTCACCTTGTAAAAACTCTCGCGCATATCTTGTAAAACCAAAAGTGGAATATACTTGATAATATATAGTAGAGATTTGATGTCAATGCGGGATGTGGTAAAAGTGGGGTCCCAATACGGCTAGCGCGACCCGAACAAAGAAATGCCTTACATGGCAAGGAACCGCGATTTTATTGGGGTAAAACGGTTATAGATGATATACTCCGAGTTGTGCATGACAATTAATTTCTTAATTATTTGCCACCAAGAAGCTTTAATTATGTGGGGAAGAATATCGATATTCATTGCTTGACAACATTCCTTGCTTGCTAGGTTATGAGAAACATGTAACCATTTTTATACGAATGTTTGGTGCTACCAGGTGAAAGCAAAATAGTGCGTAATTTTTTATTAGTAAGATTAGATAACAGATAAGGAAGGTTAACTAGTTAATTTGCCGTATATATTATTTTATTAGAATTAAATTACGGATATTCTTTGGCTTGGGTAGGTAGTTACATATGTTGAAATTTATTTCCATCTAGTTAAGGTTACTAGAATTTTTACCAATTTTGAAACGAAATTCTGCAGGAATGGTAAAATTTCAGTAACGAGTCCTAAACGTTTCTTCTTTTCAGGAACTAGATCAATTCAAATACTTAGAGAACCAGACAATCTAGAACATAAGAATGGAAGTAGTATTTACTTTCAAAAAAACTGCAGCACAAACCAATAATTTCATATCACGATAATGTGTTCATCATTTTTGCAAGGTACCTTCCCCCCTAAGGGTTATAGCAAACTGTTATATAGCCCCTCAACATTTAAACACATTGCATAAGAATAAATGTCTACTTCTTAAAGCCAGTTATATCACAATACTTCCTAATTGGGCTTAAATAGGTCGTGTATTTACCACGTATGATTTCCAGTCCTTTTTTTCGTTTGGCTGGGAAAATGTAAACAAACCAAAAAATCTGCTACTCTGTTGAATTTTTTGTTTTCTTCCCTTTTAACCCTTAACGGAATCATAATCTTATATTTATACCATACACAATGAGAGAAATTGTATGTATAGCGATTCATCAGATAGTTACAATCTGTTGGTAGTGATGCCCTGCATTGATTGGTATCAGTGACTAGTGTTCTTGGGTGGGTTTAATTTCTGGTTGTGCTACGCGCCTGTGTAATTAAATCAGTCTTGATTCAACCTTTATGATCACCACTCATTCCCATCAAAGCTTGCATTACTACTATGATCATGAATTATGTACTAACATTTAATTACTAGATCCATTTATCTACTGGTCAATGTGGTAACCAAATTGTATGTTTATAACAATAACTTAACCGAAAAGTGTGTGTGTTTGGAAATTATTTTTTTTTTTGTTTTGATTTTGTTTTGAATTTTTGACCGCTTAATTTTTACTACACATAACACGTCTAACCATGATGAAATTTATATACTAACATCGAAATTTAGGGTGCTGCTTTCTGGGAAACTATCTGTGGTGAACACGGTTTAGACAATAATGGTACTTACTCTGGAGAAGATGATATTCAAAAGGCTAAATTGGACGTTTATTTCAATGAAGCTACTTCAGGAAAATATGTCCCTCGTGCCGTTTTAGTTGATTTAGAACCAGGTACTATTGATAATGTCAAGACTTCCAAGATTGGTGGTTTATTTAGACCGGATAACTATATTTTTGGTCAAAGTTCTGCCGGAAATGTTTGGGCTAAGGGTCATTATACTGAAGGTGCTGAATTAGTTGATTCCGTCTTAGACGTTGTTAGAAGAGAAGCTGAAGGATGTGACTCTTTGCAAGGTTTCCAAATTACCCATTCTTTAGGTGGTGGTACCGGTTCCGGTATGGGTACCTTATTAATTTCCAAGATTAGAGAAGAATTCCCTGATAGAATGATGGCCACTTTTTCAGTTGTTCCTTCACCAAAGGTTTCCGATACCGTTATTGAACCATATAATGCTACCTTATCTATTCATCAATTAGTTGATAATTCTGATGAAACCTTTTGTATTGATAATGAAGCTTTATATAATATTTGTCAAAAAACTTTAAAGTTACCTCAACCATCATATGCTGAATTAAACAGTTTGGTTTCTTCAGTTATGTCGGGTGTTACTACTTCATTACGTTATCCAGGTCAATTGAATTCCGATTTAAGAAAATTGGCTGTTAATTTAGTTCCATTCCCAAGATTACATTTCTTTATGGTTGGTTATGCTCCATTGACTTCTATTGGTGCTAAATCTTTTAGATCAGTTACTGTTCCAGAATTGACTCAACAAATGTTTGACTCCAAGAATATGATGGCTGCTTCTGATCCAAGAAATGGTCGTTACTTAACTGTTGCTGCTTTCTTCAGAGGTAAGGTTTCAGTTAAAGAAGTTGATGATGAAATGCATAAAATTCAAACCAAGAATGCCGCTCATTTTGTTGAATGGATTCCAAATAATGTTCAAACTGCCGTTTGTTCTGTTCCTCCAAGAGATTTAGACATGAGTGCCACTTTCATTGGTAATTCTACTTCCATCCAAGAATTATTTAAGAGAGTTGGTGATCAATTCAGTGCCATGTTTAGAAGAAAGGCTTTCTTGCATTGGTATACTTCTGAAGGTATGGATGAAATGGAATTTACTGAAGCTGAATCCAATATGAATGATTTAGTTAGTGAATATCAACAATATCAAGAAGCCACTGTTGATGATGAAGAATTGATTTATAATGATGATATTGTTGCTGAAGAACCAATGGAATAGATGCATTCCTTATGAAGTGTTCAATTGTTCTCCCACTTTTTTATAGTTTTGGTTTGTGAATTTTGTTGTGATTAGTAAAATCTATACCCCTTGACTATTACAACAAATTGCAAATTGTTTTTTTTTATATATTTTTTCATGCTTATTTTCTTTTACCTCTATATACATATATCTCTATTAATTAAAGGTGGTTTACTATATTTAAATGAGTTGTAAATAGGGTCAGGTGGGGTTTTCAGCGAGTCAGTTTAGCTTTGAATTTAATCTAAACTTGATAGAAAATATTACAACACTTACTAAATCGATTCTTATAGATTTGTCTCTGTTTTTGACCTTACAAGCTCGTTCTAATTGGCTTGAGCCAAACGATATTTTATCTTTCTAGATATATATTAAACCTGTGATAAATAAAAACTAACATAAAATAAAACATACAAAATGAAACATGGCTAATAACCTACAACTTTTCAAGATTGACTAACCATATGCAATTTAATTTCCTCTCAAGAAATTCTTAACAAAGTCATTTTTGTCAACTACACCATAGGCTCTTTGTTCATCGAAATATCTCAATACATGACATTGTTGTTTCCAGAAGTTAATTAATTCTTGGAATTCCATTTGACCCTTAGCATAAACGACATTAGCGACGTTGACGTCGTTCAAGAACCTTTGTCTTTCGAATTCTTGTCTGATCTTGGTCTTGATGTTGGAGATTGGCATATCCAATTCATATAAATCACTGAAATCCTTAGAATGTCTCATGTATTTACGATATAAATGTAACACTCTTTTTCTTAATTCCGCATTTGTCAATGAACGGTGGGTGGTTTCTGCGAATTCAGTAGCTAAAGTCATGGTGTTCTATTGGTCTATATGTTTGCAGTAAGATGTTTAATTGATATTGATTTTTTCATGAGTTAATTTTTTTCTTACTAAAGGAAATTCATTGGTTGGACCTGTTATGTGTCGCAAAAAAGTGCGACTTGTCGCTTTTAGTCGTGACATAATTTGTTTGTTGTCCAGCGCGCGTGCACACAGTTGAACAAATATCCAATAGATTTTTCGTTATCCAATAAATCACGAGTATGCAAAATGTTCTCTAGTTTATTTTTATATAACGAGAACCATCGAGAGTTTGTTGACTGTTGAATGTAGCATACTTGAGAATGGTGATCGCTATTTGATTTGTAGAAATATTAATTTATCAGCTGTGTCTAATAAATATTTTATTATTTACTCATTATCAAATAAACAGTCCTTGCACACATGAAGAAGATTGAAGTAAGTTCCATAGGTAGTTCCACTTTCTAAAAGTGGACCCCTCAATACCCGATTTGTCAATAACAGGTAATAATTAAGCCTTGATAAATTGTTTAGAGTGGTGGCCTAAATCAATATGAACTTTATGTGTGAGGGGAAGGAATAAGCTTTAACTTTGATTGTTAAAAGATCGATACAATTTGCCATTGAACCGGTATCAACCAGTAGCAGGCATACAGAATTCATTAGGGAGTACTTAATACTTTGTATCTGGCGAAGACCGTATAAACATCTAGTTTGCCTTCTCCATCTTTAAAATATTCTCCAAATATAGTACAACTGTTCTCATAGACAGCCATAGCTTTTTCTTCGATGAATTTTTCAAGTTTTAAAATCTGTTGCATCATGGTTGGGGCTTCAATGGATACGTGTCTACATTCCTCGTCATTTGATTGATCAGTTTTGATTGAATGGTGTCTAGCTTCTTCAGTGAGGTCAGTATTCAATAACAGAAGACTAATAGCTTTAGCTATAATAACATCAATATCAAGCCACGACTTGGGGGCCAGAAATCTTTCTTTGTTCTTTCAACAAGTCTCTCCATGCTAGTTTTAAATTTCTTTAGGGGTATCAAAATAACACATAGAGCTCAATAACATATTGTATAATCAAAAAAATTTCGTTCTATGACAGTTGTCTATATAATATATGGCTTCGTCTACTGAGAAAGCTCTTGCTGTATTTTAACAAGGAGGTTCCCAGTTGGTTCTAATAGTTTTATAAATCTACATAATTCAAAACACCAATCCCATCTCCCAGATTTATCCAACATTTTAATAATCTTGAGAATGACTTGAATATCATCTGAATTCAACTGATCCTTTTTGGTTTCGTCTTCGGTCTTGTAATTGAGATAAATGATCAAGTAATTGTAACACAATTCAACATTATCAATTTCAATCAACCTATTCATGAATTTGACTGGAGTTGTTTCTAACACATCGAAGAATCTCGGCCAATAATCAGCTTCGATCTTTCTTAAACAGTTTATATAAATGTATTCAGCATTATCAGTAAATTCGATCAATTGACATAACCTTTTCAAGGACTGATTCAAAGTTAAGTTCTTAAACAATAATAATTCAAGACAGTAATGGAAATTCTTAAATTGTTTGTATTTATAAAACGAACTTTCTAAATCTCCCTTATGAAGTAAATCAAATTCAATAAAATTGTTAAGGATTAATTTATGAGCCACTCTATTCTTAATAAGTAATCCTCCTGTCGTTTGCTTGTATATAGCAAAACTCTCCAAACCAATCAAATCAAGGGACTTATACGTGTCTTGGCCAATTTCAAGAATTGAATCCAACTTAATCGGATGCATTCCTTGACTTTCTATTAGTATTGGATGAAGTTCATCATCGTAGTCGTCACCTATAAGCATATCTCTAGTCTGAGGTGCTGTCTGGATACTTTTATCATATGACTTGTCAATCAATTCATTAATATCATAAATCAAGATATGTTCACTGTTGAATAAATATATGAAATCAATAATTGAAGATTTGTTAAATCTAATTGTTTTAAATTTGAAAAATTCAATATTAACATTCAATTTAATCAAATCATACAAGTTATTCCCCCCTGTGCTTCCTCCTGAATGCATAGAGCTATTACTGATAACTGACCCTTGTCTATTCAGCTGTTGGTTTTTCAAAAGGTATAAATCACCAGTATCCAATAAAAACAAGAAATGACGATTGTTGACCATACTTGTTTGAATAACATCATCCAAATTAACCTTATTCTTTATGGAAGATAACAAGATTGTTTTCCGGACACTGATAAAAATCTTGTAGAATTTAGTTTCGTCATTCTTGATGGTTATTGTTTTATCCATAGTTAAATCAAGAACAATTAATCGATAGTCACTAGTAACGATAACAACATGACATGTTTGTTTATCCTGAACATCTGTACCAATCTGAATATCAACAAACGTGGTTTTAAAGTCATACTTCCAAAGCAATGAATCACTATTAAAACTGATATCTTCTCCACCCATACCATATCTAGTTGACGAGGTATCAAACACAATAAATTCATCAACCAAATGATCATTTGAATCGACACTATTTGGATTATCATCATCAGTAAATGCATGTTTAGATTTCCGGTTAACCACTAGTAAATAATCCTTAAACCAAAAATGCTTCACTATATTCATGGATTCGGCGAAATAACTCTTGAAGTTAAACCAAAGTATGTGGTTGATCTTATCATCACCAGAACAATAAGGCGTAGACACACTTAAGCAATCACCATATGATATGGAAATTTGATTGAAATCATTCCGAGCAAGGCTAAATTTCCCTGTAGCACTTTTAATCGATTTGTTGATGTTGCCGTTGTAAATTTCTTGATTCGATAAGAACTTCTTAAATTTAGGCAATATTGGGAATCTAATCAAGTTTCGGTTATTTTGAATTATGCTGATATATTCATTGTCATAAAGTAATCCACGCTGCGCATCACTGATAATTCTTACTAGATTGATAAAGAAAAGCTTTGACTTGTCATGACTCAAAAGATACAAGTTCATGGCATTTCCGGAAATAGATATAATTGATGCTTTTAAAAACTTTCGATTTTCTTCCGGATGATCATCCAATTCTTGTAAAGTTTCTTCACTATTGAAGGTAACATTTCCAAATTTTGAACATAGCTTCCAATATCCTGTATTTGGATTTGTAATGACAAAGTAAGCACCACAAGGAGACCAATTGATCACCAAATTAGGGCTCGCGTTTTCATCTAGAACTTTTAAGAGTTCAATTGTATTTTGCTCCATTTTATACATCCTCAATTCATGATTAACTCGGATGATTATTAATTGACATTGAGGATTAAACCAGAATTGAATATTGGTCAATTCTTCTTCTTCTTCAAAGATAAGCAATTTGTGACCCTTGGTTGTTATTTCTTTATTTTCTTTATCAAATTCCATAATCCATAATTCATTCCTTCTATTAACAAAAAGGAAATAGTTGAAAAATACATTGAATTTTATATAAGTAATTTTGGAGTTTTGTTTATACCAGCTGAATTCACTTGACTGAAATAAATCAGTTTTGAAGTTGAATATATTGACCACTTGGAATCGAGAATCTTCAGTTTTATCTTCAGAATCAGTGTTGTTATTGTTGAATATTATCAAATAGTGGGAGTTTTGTTGTAGCCAAAAGTTTTGTAATTTGATCCCAATTTTCAAAATCTTAAAAATGGAAATCTTGACGAACTCAATTGCAGAATTACCCAATTCGTCTTCTAAACTGGCATTATTTATGCTTTCAATATTCTCAAGATTAACTAGGGACTCTTCGTTACCATGAATAATTGATTTTGTTGCTGATTTTATTAACCCAGATAAGGAAAACTTAAGCGATGTATCACTCAAAGGTAATCCAGTTTGAATTAGCTCGTTATTGGAATTATGTACCTCATATAAAGACTTGGAATAATTAATTTGACATTGATATATAATCAAGTAGTTTGAATCGGTTTGAATGAATAAATTAACGGTGTTTAATTTCTGAAATTTGCTAGTGTTGACACTTACGTGTTTTACCTTAAGTTCTAGATTCTTACCATTGTTCTCTATACTTGTTGGAGATCTGACATGTGATGTTAAGGGAAGTAATGTGAATTGATGGAATATATATACACTGGTAGGTGTTAGAATGGTAACAAGTGGTGTGTGGGGGATATGAATGATTTGGATGATATCTTCATGTGTTATGGGGGAATCTATCAGAAACTGGGGACAACCATTGATCCATACCATTGCAGAGAATTAATGCTGTGTGGAAAAAAAGAAAGAACGTAAAGGTATGATTTGAAACTGTGCACAGTTGGTTGTAAACCTGGTGTCCGAAACGTTGATTGTAATATTATTTCCGTTCTACAAAAAATTGTGCGTAGTGCTGCCAAAATTAGGGTAGAGTATATCGGCCACAAAGACTTTCAACCAAGCCTTATTATTGCCCAGCACTACGACTTATAATTGTCTTGGTATATAGAAGTAAGCACATACCTTTGTATTAACCAGAGTACTGGCAAGTTTAAGGATAAAACGTTTTGTATTTCATACATGTAGAAGTGAAACTTGGATCGAAGTTTCACAACAATTGGGCGTGTGGTCTAGTGGTATGATTCTCGCTTTGGGCGACGACTTGGAAACAAGTTGATTTACTACAAGCATGCGAGAGGCCCTGGGTTCAATTCCCAGCTCGCCCCTTTTCTTTTTTTTTTTAATCATCTGCTTTTGCTACCTAGAGTTAATAAAACATTATAAAACATGTTTTTTTAATAAAGTTGAGCTAAAAAAGGTGTTAACTACATTTTTTTTACCTGTCCTTATTTTTTGTGGAGTGCGAATAATAGAGGGATTTGTTAGAACTATAGTCATTTACTATCATTCTGATTATCCGATTTTTGATGTATTAAAAAGTTAAATAGAAAATATTAATACCTAATATAGACTCTTGTAACTATGTATTTAATTTTTCTTACTAATGTAACAAGTTGGGGAATGGTAGATGGTGGTAAATGTGACAAATAATATGTATAATTTCCTTAACGGTAAGATTTTTGGAATCTGGCTCTGGCACCACGACCACCGAACTTCTTTGGTTCCATTCTTCTGGAGTCAGCAACCAACAAGGTCTTGTCGTAAGAAGCAAAGATCTTCTTTAATTCGTTCTTAGAAGCTTCGTCAACGAACTTTTGGTGGTAAGCGACTAAACCCTTAGCAATGGCTTGTCTAATGGCGTAAACTTGAGAAACGTGACCACCACCGGTGACCTTAACTCTGATGTCAATACCTTGGAATTTGTCTAAACCAACTAAAGTTAATGGTTCGTAAACTTTGAATCTTAAGATTTCTGGTTGGACTAAGGTGATTGGGGAACCGTTAATCTTGATTAAACCCTTACCGGCCTTAACGTGGGCAACGGCAGTAGCGGTCTTCTTCTTACCAAAAGTCTAGAAAAGTTGTTAGTACTAGTGTTTTGAAATATGTAAGGGATTGGAACAAGACTGATGAGATGTTGGAAAGTGTTTCTCTCGTGTGGTTCTGGCTGCATGGCATACGATCTGAACTACTATATTCAGTTCAATTATATACGAATTCAACTCATGAGTTAAGTCAAGATTTGATAGCCCGTTGTCAGAACTTTCATAATGTGGTTCATATAATTGGTTTGTTTGTATTCTTGTATTGTATCAGATTTACTTGCATGTAGTTGTGTACTTAATGATTGCATGGTAGTTTTACTTCATTTTTCATGTTGTAAAGTTCAATCATTCTTCTTTGATTTGGCTCATTCCGTGATGATTCGCTTATCTGTATAGTCTTCATGTGTTCCTCGTTTGATATCCCTGTGGTATTCATTACATACTTGAACAGATTGGGTAGACATGTTGTGCTTGCTAACTATATAAATTCTAACTTGAAGAAATAGAAAAAAAAAATTTTCTTAAACAATTTTGGTAAGATTGTGAGAATTGGTAGGGTGAAAAAAAATTGTTAGTGCGAAGTTTTTCCCTCTCCCCATAGTTAAGATTGTTAACTATGGGAGAGAGCTCTCCTGTGTAGTGCAAGATAACCTGTAAGAAACTTGCAATGTAACCTGTAAACTGGTTTGGGTTCTACGCGCGCACAGCAATGTTTCAGGGCAACATGTTTTCGAAAAACAAAATTTTACGCTACTGTTCTGAGAATTACTCACTTGTCACACGTGACTCCTGTGACTAGTTTTTTTCGAAACAAACTGTAAATAATTTTACAGATTCAGTCGCTGCATACGCCAGTGCGAACTTTCTCACCAACAAAACTTCAACCCGCACTCACTCAGTTTCGCTGTGTTTCTGTACAGGCGAAAATTTTTTACAGGCTTCATTTGAAAATTCTTTTTTGTTAAAAAAAAGGTTCCCATTCTATACTTCTTTTAGACCAGTAAGAAACATTAACCATGGCTATCTCAAAGAACTTACCATTATTGAAGAACCACTTCAGAAAGCACTGGCAAGAAAGAGTCAGAGTCCACTTTGACCAAGCTGGTAAGAAGGCTTCTAGAAGACAAGCCAGATTATCCAAGGCTGCCAAGGTTGCTCCAAAGCCAATCGATTCTTTAAGACCAGTTGTCAGAGCCCCAACTGTCAAGTACAACAGAAAGGTCAGAGCTGGTAGAGGTTTCACCTTAGCCGAAATCAAGGCTGTTGGTTTAACCGCTAAATACGCCAGAACCATTGGTATCTCCGTTGATCACAGAAGACAAAACAAGTCTCAAGAAACCTTCGATGCCAACGTTGCCAGATTACAAGAATACAAGTCTAAGTTAGTTATCTTTGACAAGAAGACCAAGGCTGCTGAAGTTGCTGGTTTCGAACAAGTTTCCACCGCTGCCACCTTCCCAATTGCTCAACCAGCTATTGAATCTGGTGTCAGAGCCGTTGAAGTTCCAGAAGAAACTGCTTACAGAACCTTGAGATTGGCCAGAAACGACAAGAAGTACAAGGGTATCAGAGAAAAGAGAGCCAGAGAAAAGGCTGAAGCTGAAGCTGAAAAGGCTAAGAAATAAGCTAATCACAAATAGTTTATCATGATGAGGTGGGGAGGTCTTTATAAATAATAATAAGAAATAAAACATCCATTTTAATATATTTGCATGTATCAATTATAAATATAAGAAAGGGATCTGTAAATTATTGTGGTTTTATCTACATTGTGTATTATACCTTCACTAGCTTTTTTGTTATTGTTTTTAGAGATGAACTTGCCTCATTACTTTTGTATGTTCTGGGTTTATCATATTAATGTGATGTCTATTTAAGAGTATTACCTGTAGGTTTTCAGTAGGAGCATTTCAATGTTTTTCTTGTACGAGTACTAACAAGGAGATTGCAGTGTGTATAATACGCTTCTCTACGTCAGATACCTGTCTATTCTCCATAAAGTTCAAAACCGACTGCTCATTGCTCGCTGCTTGCAGCTAATAGTTCTACACTACTACTACTACATTTTCAATTATTATTATTATTATTTTTGTATATTCGAAATCCATAAACCTTTTTAAATTAATATAACATTTAGACTAATAACCATTTTCAACAGCCAAAATAAGCCCAATCTTAAACTAATATTACAAGTAATATAACTAGATAACCAGGTTATGCGTTTAATCGAATAAACCGAAACCCATATCATCGTCAGATTCTTCCTTGGCTTCTTCTTCCTTTTCTTCAGCAGCAGCTTCTTCAGCAGCACCACCAGCAGCAGCACCGGCAGCACCTGGGGCAGCAGCAGCTGGGGCAGAGGAGAAGTTGAAGAAGAAATCCTTCAAGTCCTTACCATCGAGAGCCTTGGCGAATAAATCAGCCCAGATACCTTCAACTTCAACGTTAGCCTTTTGGGTTAAAGCTAATAACTTTTCAGAAGTGATTTCAACTTCGGCATCGGCCAAGATCAAAGCGGCGTAGGATAAAGCAGTTTCAGTAGACATTGTTTCTTAATGATATGTAACTAGAGATAATCAAATTAAGCTAAGCAGACTATTCTTAGTATTGGTTGGTCCAAAATGAATACAATAGTTTCGATAGCACGAAGTTTTTTTTTCATCATATTGCGCACACAAGATGCAGCGAGTAAAGGACAAAAAAAAAAAGTGCTGTGCAAATCAAAGTTTAGGGTTTGAACCCTGATCACGTGTAGTGTTGCTGCGAAAAATATAAGACGGGCTACAGAATAAACACATATCAGATGCAATAAGCTGTACTAACCAAACATCACACGACGAATACAAAATTTGCTAATTGTATCTGGTATATATTAATCAGAGCTTAGATTCGGCAAAAAAACAAAGTGCGCCAACGTGCAAGTTTTGAACATTCGTAAGTCTCAACAACGCGAAAGGGTTAAAACTTCATGTTGTACTGTTGTTACACAGCCGCCTTTGCTTGTGTCATATATTTAGTTGAATGGTATAATTGTTTGAATTATTTACTTAATTGGAATGGTTAGAATCAGTAGTTAAATGACAAATTAACATTTCCTTTCAAGTGTTAATACCGATGCATGTTGTGTCATGTAATTAAACTAATATTTCTTGTGAAATTCTGAAGAAAAGTTCCAAAAAGGTATAAAACTTATGCAGCTTAAAAAGACTATTTCCTAAATAAGTTAATTACGATCATTAATTGACCCATCTATCCAATTTGTGGCATCATACGATTGATGTATAATCATGATTAAAGTATGCTCAAGTCAGTACTCGCAACATTTATTTTTCCAACCTAAATTAACTGCATACATAAATATTATTTTTTAAAATTAAATGGAAGTATTTTTTTTTGAAAGTTTAATCTAGACCCGTGGCTGCAACGCGAAAATTAATTATTTTTTTTTTTTGCAACTGACGTCAAGGAATAACTTACGAACATTTTAGCTTGTGCGTTATACCATAAACAGCTTCATCCTACCCCAACTTGGATTGTTATTATATGTTAGTTCTAGGATGGGAAATACATTGCAAAATATGGAAATGCTGGTTGCTTAGAATGCGAAAAGAAATCGACTAACTATGAGGCTATGTAATTAGTTTAAAAAAGTTATAAATCTGTTTTAGACACTGCATTCTCCGAAGACGGACTTGCTGATGTTGTCTTTTAGCTAGACGAAGAGGAATTAGAGAGCAAACGAGTATAAATTTGCGGAATAGGAACTATCTCTCAACTTACCCGAACCTTCCGACTAACACTGTTAGAATAGAAAACTATTACTTATACTCTTTTACCCAAACTTTTCTAAAACGATCTGAATAGCACTAAACCAAAGCTTAAATGAATACACAGAGATGCAATACTCTCCCTTGTTCTCTCCAGATAAACGAATGAAACCAAAAGATAAGAAGTTCTACCCACGTTTTAGTTGTTAAAAATAATTCTTTCGCGTAAACTGCACTACTGCGCCATTGTTATTTATTATATTGTATTTGACCCTTTCGTTATTTTTCGAATAGATACAGAAAAAGACGAAGTTTAGTTCTTTAAATAGAACATTGCTATTGCATATGATAACGAATGTAAACATCCAGCACTAAACTAATTTGCAGCGGTTCAGCCGGGAAGTATCTAAATGTTACTTAGAAGTTATACGTTGTACAAAAACGTGGATCATTCTAGTTGAATAATAGTGGCATTGTGCTGCGATCAAGGGGTAAAGCATGTAGGCTATTTCATAATTCTAATTCCATCCCCTAGGGAATTGTTACCGGGGGAGATGAGGGTTGTAAAAGCAATCTTAGATGCGGCTAAGCCTGAATTCAGCCATGTCTCACAGATTTCCTTTTCTCACACATACACACATACACACATACACACACACATTCTTGTGCAATTGGGAAGTATACCCAGAAGAGTAAATTGAGATCTCTAATTACATAATCTAGATTCAAGTGTACGATCGGGCACATCACTGCTACCCGTCGCGGATGCGACCAAATTTCAGCTACTCTCCTTAAAATTAGTACATTCCATTCCATCCCCTCCTTGCATTAATCTCATCGCACAAAAAAGCTGGGTTTTGATTTTGTATCACTTGCACGTCACATTCCACTCCTTACAATACGGTGATACACATGGTTACCTAAAAAGACAGTACTGAAATTCAATGCTGGCTAGGAGAAAAATTCCAATCAACAATACAGAATTTCATTGTTTGGGATATTTTCCCTTCTAATAATAGCTATTGTAAACAACACAGAAAAAAAAAAAGATTCTACCGCCGACAGCAACAAAAGCAACGACGGGCAGGGAGAATTGTTTATCCCTTCAAAAGCCATAGCTGGAAAAGGGGCTAATTTTAAAAGTCATCCTTCATAGAACAATTATATATTGTTTTTGTAGAATGGGAAAACAGCATCGCAATGTGGAGTAGGTAACAAAGGGCAGTTTGAACTATGTGAATCTAGAACTAGATAGCAAGGCTCTTTCTACGGTGCTGTAGGATCTAGAAAACACGTCGCGTCTAAGGTTACCACATTTCTCATGTGGTTATATAATAATTTTAAATTTCGATCTCGGCACCAGCCATCACGGAATATTTTTTGCATAGTTGTTTTGCCCCATGGATCAAACCGTGCAGATAAGGTTTAATATGGTGAAATTCTAAATTTGTCCTATTGTGAAACAAAATTGAAACAATATATTACCGTGGTGATTATTATTTAGGGGATAAAGACAGTTGATAAGGGCAAAAAAAAAAAAGAAATCGGACACTAGACAAATTTACCGCCAGGGTCTTCTAAACATGGGTGTAGATTGCTGTACACTAGTGTAGGTACCCCTGGTTGAGGACCTGCCCTCTGTGATTAGTCACTGGACTTACCCTGCTACAGAAATGTACGGGCGGGATATTAAAAGCTGGGCTATTTGAAACATTAATTGCAGCGACGCCAACAAAATTTATACATGCTGCATAAAAAAATAAAGTCTTTTTTTTTCTATTGTGCATAATTATTTTTAAAACCCTCCTTTCGTATTGTCCGTTCAACAAAGTATGAATTGTCAAACTCAACTTTAACACCTGGATAATACGTCATAGGCTTATGACTACAGCTTTCTCACTTCAACTCGTGGGTTTTTTATTATAAATATTCTTAAATATCCCTAATCCCCACCTTGGGTAGTAATTGCAAGCTTTTCTTTCTTATTTTTCCCTTTTCCTCGTAAACTTACCAGAGGTTACTATCCGACACGACAGCGTCAACACCAACTACAAATACGACACGGTTCGCCCTATAGCTTGATTTTAACGTACATACATACCGTACACACTGCATTAAAGAGAACCACTCTTTCGTTTTAATAAAGTAACTATTTTTTTTTCATAGTAAAAATTTTTTGCACCCATGCAATTATCCAAACTACTTTCCATCGCAGCCGTGGCAATATCCCTGGTTAATGCCTTGGCTATCCCTGACTTTCTTTTGAAGAATGATAATTTGAAAATGCTCACCAAGAAAAGTGGTGGATGGGATTATGGCAATGATATAATGAGAGGGGTTAATCTTGGAGGTTGGTTTGTGTTGGAAGCCTACATTACTCCATCCTTGTTTCAACCTTGGGTTGGTGCAAACGGAGACCAGCTGCAAGTTCCAGTTGATGAATACCATTTCACCGAGGTTTTAGGAAAGGATTTGGCCCTTCAAAGATTAAATCAACATTGGTCATCTTGGTACATTGAAGATGATTTTAAACAAATGAGTGAATTGGGATTGAATATGGTGAGAATCCCAATCGGGTATTGGGCTTTTGATTTGTTAGAAGGTGATCCTTATGTTCAAGGTCAAGTTGAATACTTGGACCAAGCAATTGGTTGGTGTAGAAAGTATGGTTTGAGTGTTTGGATTGATTTACACGGTGCACCAGGATCCCAGAACGGGTTTGATAATTCTGGTTTGAGAGATTCTCTTCAATTCCAAGATGGTGACAACACTCAATTCACCATTAATTTACTTAACAATGTCTTTTCCAAGTATGGTTCCGACCAATTTTCTGATGTTGTCATTGGTATTGAATTATTGAATGAACCATTGGGTCCTAACATGGATATGGATTACTTGAAGACTTTCTATTCTACCTGTTACAACAACTTGCGTGATGTTTCCAACTCTCCAGTGGTTATTCATGACGCATTTATGCCATCGGGATACTGGAATGATTTCATGACTGTTGAATCTGGTCAAGACAATGTTATCGTTGATCACCACTACTACCAAGTCTTCTCTGCTGGTGAATTGTCCCGTGATATCAATGCACATATCTCCGTTGCTTGTGGCTGGGGATCCTCGGCTAAGCAAGAGTACCATTGGAACATTGCCGGTGAATGGTCTGCCGCCTTGACTGATTGTGCTCCATGGTTGAATGGTGTCAATAGAGGTGCTCGTTGGGAAGGTCAATACGATGGATCTCCATACATGGGTTCCTGTCAACCATACTTGGACATTAGTCAATGGCCAAGCGATTATAATACTAATGTCCGTAAGTATATTGAAGCTCAATTGGATGCATTTGAACATGTTGGTGGGTGGATCTTCTGGAATTGGAAGACTGAAAGTGCCGGTGAATGGGATTTCCAAAGATTGACTTACTACAAGTTGTTCCCACAACCTTTGTCCGACAGACAATACCCTGGCCAATGTGGATTTTAAGCAGGTGTTGTCTATTGCATAAATTTCATTTCTTGTTTTCGGTTTATATTCTTGCGTATATAGGTAAACTTAATCTAAAAAATTAATATGGAAACCTAAATGGTTAACTTCTTGAACAAGGGTTCCAATTCAAGTGAATCTTTCATCACCTTGACTAAAACATCAGCAGCGTGTTGATAGTCGCTCAATTCGTTGTACACATGACATGAGAATCTAGCGTATAATTTCCCGTTATGAACAACACAAGGAATGAATGACTTGTGGACATCAATAGATGGAGTATACACGGTTTGATCAAATCTAGTCCAATTGGCCTTGATGGCAGCAACGTCAATTCCAAGTGATTCACAAGGTACTTCAACATTGACCATAGCACTGATCAAGTTTTCCTGATCTAAATAAGAAGTACCCCATTGTTTGGAAATAACTTCACCAACTTGCTTAGCTAACGAATTACAGTATTTGTAAATGGTCTCTTCACCACCACACACTTCGTTTCTAAACTTTATAGCATCAGAAATCACACTAACAGATGCATAATTTTTGGCACCAATAAAGGAAAATCTATCAATTAAACGATTGAGTTCTTGTTCCTCGGATAATTTCACATCATCTTGAACATAAGAATGACTGATTGGCATGGTGTGGATCTTATGGTGTTGTTTGGCATCAACGTACATTAATGCACAAGCGGTAGGGACAAAGAACCACTTATGCAAGTTGCTAACATAGAAATCTGGGGCGATTTCTGACAAGTCTTGTGGAATGCATCCGATACCGTGAGCACCGTCAATCAACGAAACCACATCGTATTTCTTACATAAATTGACCAATTGCTTGAAAGGGAAGATGACTCCCGGCATGGAAGAAATAGTATCGAATAAACACATAGTAGGCTTCTCTTCTTTGAACACCTTTTCAAATTTTTGTAAAATTTCATCATCGGAAATAGGATAGTTTACTTCAATTTCAACGTACTCAACGCCGTATCTATAATTCAAGAACTTAACAACGTTGTAACAGGAACCATAAACATTGGATTGCATGACAATCTTGTCACCTTTCTTGAATGGATAACTTCTCAAAATGGTATTGACACCCGTGGTGGCATTATCGACAAGGGCCAAGTTATGGTAATCACAATTGACAACTTCACTTAATTGCTTCAAAGCGTCGGTGTACTTGTCACGGATGTCATGGAAGAATTTGTCGGTGTAGTGGTACTGTTCTCCACTTGCTTGTTTGAATTTTTGGATGACAGGATCAGGTGCTTGTCCCCAGGATCCGTGGTTCACAGGGTATACTTCTGGATCAATTGAGGTGAAGTACTTTTCCCGGAATTGTTTACCGAATTTTTCAGTCATGTTTAGTTAATGTTTATCAAATCTATGTAAAGTTCCTGCTGATTGACAAGGTTTATATAGTGGATAAACTGACTCGCCGTGATTAGTCATTTTGATCTTTGACTTGAAAAATGTTATTTTCTCGATCCGTTCGGAACCACAACAAAACAATAAAACAATGGAATGAGGCGTGGAATCCCCGCCAATTACCGAAAGTCACCAAACATTGTTCAAACAGTGTTATCTCTGAATGTTAGTGACTCATATTGAAGACAAAAAAAAACACTTTAGATAAAATAGATTTGTGAAATCTATGGAATCCTCTTGGCATATACGATGCACGGGCGCTTAATTTTATTGTCGTAACTAGTGGGGAGCTTTATAAATGCGTCACAAAGTTAGGAATAATCGCCGGCGAGATTCAGAAATGTATCGGGCTCAATTTCAATGGTTTACGAGCAATAAGCATCAGGAGTCAAAGATTACTATTTCATAATGACTCATGGTGTGGGACACAAAATTCATTTGGAAAGGTGAATTTGAGCTGAAACTTATCCCAGTAAAAGTTATCCTCGATGATGACTCAGACTGACTGAAAAACATACAATAGAGTTTCAAAAGACGAATAAGTCATAATATGCCCTAATAAAATCACAGATAAACGTCCCAGATTTTATTGATTTCGACGATTCCCTTCACAGTTCTAGACTTTTGGTAAGAGAAATTTAGTTCCAGCTCAGGATTAGACTTGATTGATTTATTATCATTCAACACCACAACTACAACATCATACCTTATGACACAAGTAGAAACTCAATTTAAAGTTGGAGACTTGCTGAATTTGAACCGCAGAGGCAGAAGTAAATAGTCGGATTTGTACCGCCTAGACGAGAGCAAATTTCAATGTGGATTCAGCCATTTTTTCAGGTTCATTCACTTTTACTATATAGAAATGTTTCACATACTCTTTACAACTCTTCCATCTACAAGGGTTTCCAATATCTTTCTGTTTCAAAGAATATACAAGAATTATAACAATTAATCAAATTCACTTTTTGCGGCATATACTCCACCCCCACCATCGGGAAACCCCCAATTTTTATATGCAGGTAAAGGGCTTTCAATTTTTTTTTAGAAACGTTCCATACATCGTAGCCCACCCTGATTTAGATCGCAACGGCAAAGCAACTTACACTTATAATTCCATATTAACATAAGGAATTGAACTGGTCTAGATAGTATCAACCATGCTTAGATCTCGACTTATAGGTTTGGTGCCTAGACGAATACCAGGGTATATTGTACGGTATCCCATTAGGCCATTACCAAGAAGTATATCCTACACGCCTAGACTCTTACAACGCAAACAACCACCATCGCCACCGTCACCACTATCTCCACCACCTCCACCACCACCTCCTATTATACTGCCACCAAGCGAATCCCCTGTAAATAGACATGAACTTCCCACAAAAGAACAACTTCTTGAAGACGCCAATTCTATCTATTCCCGACTAAAAGTGCGTCTCAAGTGGCTCCTCAAAAAATCAAACCGACCATTCAACACCGACGACTATTCAGCATTCTTCTCGTGGATCGTCGTCGGCAACGTATTCCTCTTCTTTGCTGCGACCACTACATTTGTTTCCATAATCATATTTACAGCCAACACTGTTTTTGCACAGGAGTTTGTAGCGAGGAAATTGGGGGAGTTCATCACCAAGAACTCAAAATTGACGGTGACTTTCGAGGAAGCGATTGTGCCTGGTTGGAGAGACGGGAAAATCAGTTTTCGGAAATGTTTCGTTAGTCGTCGTCCCAAGAAGATCCAGCGGTTCGTCAAGGGTTCCCAAGCTGAGGCGTATCAACAGAGTTTAAAGGAGGAAGAAGTTGATTTGTTTGAGGACGATGGGAATTACACCCAGTATGATTTGACCATTGAGGAAGTGAATGTTTCACTCTCATTCAATAAATGGGTCAATGGAACAGGAATTGTCGAAACCATGGAAGTTAAGGGCATGCGAGGCGTGGTTGATCGTACTCATGTTCACTGGGACCCCGATGATGATGCTACAAATTATAAAAACATATACCACCCGGGAGATTTCGAGTTTGACAAATTTAAAATGGAAGACGTGTTATTCACATTGAAACAGCCCAACAACTTTCGGGTGTTTGATGTGGCGATATACAATTGTGAATTACCTAAACTACGCAAGCATTGGTTGTTTTATGACTTCTTGAATGCCAATGTCATGAGTGGGTCCTACGATAACTCCTTGTTCACCATTCACAAGAAACAGCGGTTGAATGATTATATCGATGGTGATACTGCCAAGTGGAAACGGGTCACTCGAATGCGGGTGGATGCATTGAATGTTGATCATTTGAATACTGGATTGGAAGGGCCGTTTGGATGGATAAGTAACGGGCGAGTGGATATGATTGGTGATGTGATGGTGCCTCAAGATAGCGATGAACTAACCGTGAAGGAGATTGTGTCAATCATTGCCGATTCAATCAAGAAGGAAGCCACCAGGTACAAAAATCCCGAGGTCATGGAAAAACACCCAGATTTACATACGAGATTGACCCTGGACGATTACACTGATATTCTGAAATATTTCGTTTTGGACTTAACCATCAGGTTGAACAATGTAAGAGCGTCGGTTCCATTCCAAACTCCGGAACTTTCATACATCAATTATGCCTTAATCAGGCCGATTGTCGCGTACATCAACAGCAAAAACACGTTTATTGAGATCCATAACCGAATCGTCAAGAATATCCAGGATTTCAGTGGATCGTGGACAATCTACGACTCATTGCTTATGGATGATATTTCAGAAGAAGTGTATGATAACTTTGTCGATTATGTTGCTGACGAAGAAGAACGAATGACCCGGATGAAAAAAGTTGCGTTCTGGAGTTTCCAATTGTTAGCCCAATGTATCATGTTTGGGTTAGGGTCACTAGTATAGTACTTGTATATAGCTCTTAAATTCTTAGTATTAGTGCTAATACTGCGATATAACTGCATAGACTGAATACCGTGAGCATGAGCACGGTGTCGCCTGCGGTCTTGAACATTTCCATTTGTTTGGAAGGGACGTAGAACCGATCAACACGATTAGTCTGGTATACTCCTAGGAAGTAAAGGAGTGTTCCGTACATGGTGTAGACTGTGCCCACTGGGAGGAACTCCTTACTGAACATCTTGATGATGAGGATAGAGAAGGAGAGACATCCTATTGCTGTTCTGGTGTATGCACCTTCGTAAGTTCTTTGATAGGCTCGAATGTCTAGTTTGAGGTAGTTGGAGAGGATGTCTAAGGAGGAGAAACGGCGTTCAGCTAGTGGTTGTGACATTGTCTATGTTTGCTGCGGTGGTGAGATGTAGTGTGTAGTGTGTAGTGTGTGGCTTGATCCACTGGTTAATTTTTTTTGGGCTGTTCAAAATAGTTAACCACTAAACTCTTTAAACAAACAAACAAACATACAAACATACAGTCAAACAATCAATCAATAAACATCAATCAATCCTGGTAATATCATCTAATACCCCCCCACACACACGTAATATAATATAACATAATATAATATAATAGTGAAATGGCACCACCAAAGAGATACTGGGTCAAACTAAAGGTGCCCGCCAGCACCCTCTCCAAGCTTCCCGATTTCCCCACTCCCATATCCAAATCACGACTCAAGAAAATCGCCGCTGAGGAAAGACGAGCCGGCGGCCATTCCCACTCCCTCTCCCCGCTGGAACGGTCCTCCCCTGCCCCAGAAGAGACAGCCAGCAGGATCAATCCTGCCAGTTTGAACAATTTGGTTCCTGGTGGTGGTAGCAACAGCACCAGCGGCGCCATCAGTCAATTCAAAATCAACCAGGGATTAAAAGAGCTGAGCACTTCTGGATTAACTATGAATAGCATAACCAGTGGTCTTTACGCTTTGGACAAGCTGGGCAAACCAGTAAGGAAATGGATCAAAAAACCACGAGAGTTTAAGACGTTTAGTGGATTCAAGGTGAGGTATGTAAGTTACCAACATAAAGACGGAAAGAAGGAAAAGAAGGAGAAGGAAACTAAAGTTGAACCTGAGTCAGTCACTCCCGAAGTCAAACTGGAAGCGTAGTCTATATAAGTGTATATTAATAGAAGATGTTTGATTATGTCGCATGTCGCATGTCGCATTGGCCGGAGCAAAATCGGCAGATCTGAAAAATTTCAATCAAGTCAGGTGTATCATCACTTCACCAGCTCATCCAATGTATGTCACCAGAGCAATAGCGAGTGAATTGAGGATAGCTAGGACTATTCCAATACGAACATACTCAAGCAAACCAAAAGACAATAATAAACCAAAGGAAGCCATTTCCTCCACCCAATCAAACCATGCGTTATCTCAACAACAACTTCTCTACACCACCGACCCTACTTCCCCTGGGTCGATATTCTTCCTCCCACACGGAACGAGAATCTTCAACAAGTTGATCCAGTTCATGAAGAACCAGCAGACAAAGTATGGGTTCCAAGAAGTGGTCACTCCGTTAATCTACAAGACCAAATTGTGGAAACAATCAGGCCATTGGGACAATTACAAAGAGGACATGTTTAAAGTGTTAGGTAACGACCAGAGCCGTGACGACGAACTTGCAGTAGAACCATGTGGTCTGCATCATGTCCATGAAGAGGAGTTTCACGAGTATGGTTTGAAACCGATGAATTGTCCTGGTCACTGTATGATTTTCGCCAAGTTTGAACGAAGTTATAATGAGTTGCCTATCAGGTATAGTGATTTCTCATCGTTGCACAGGAATGAAGCCAGTGGTGCGTTGTCTGGGTTAACCAGAGTCAGAAGGTTTCATCAAGACGACGGCCATATTTTTTGTGAATTGAGTCAAATCGACCAAGAAATCAAGAATACCATCAATTTGATCAAGGATACCTATGGTGTGTTTGGGATTGGCGTGAATGACATTGAGTTTTATTTGTCGACTCGTCCAGAAGACAAGTTCATGGGTGATATCGAAACATGGAATGTTGCCGAGCAGCAATTGAAAAACGTGCTTAACTCTACTACTGACAAGTGGGAGATTAGAGAAGGTGATGGTGCTTTTTATGGTCCCAAGATTGACGTCTTGTTGACCGATGCATTCAAGAAGAAACATCAAGTAGGTACGATCCAATTAGACTTCCAATTGCCTAGTCGATTTGAACTAAAGTATATTAGTCAGGATGGAACCAGAACCAATCGACCAATTCTCGTCCATCGTGCCGTATTTGGATCGCTTGAACGATTCTTTGCTATTTTACTTGATCACTACCAAGGTAATTGGCCATTCTGGATAAATCCTAGACAAGCGGTGATCATCCCTGTGTCTAGTTCCCATCATGAATATGCTGAAGCCTTGCAGAAACAACTTTCCGGTGATATATTAAACAGTGAAGATATCGCCCCAATTACTGGATACCACTTTTACGTTGATGTCGACAAGAGAGACGCTACTGTAGGGTTACGTATTAAAGAAGCCATTCAAAAGGGATACTCCTACATCATCATGGTGGGTGATAAGGACATTGCCAACGGCACCTACGCCATTCGAACAAGAACAGACAGGAAAATCACCAGCATGACAGGAGACGCAATTTATCAAATGTTTATTAGTCTAGAACGACAATTCAAGTAAACTTGTACATAGAAATACACACATACACACACACGCCTATTTTCCATACCCGCGATTCACCAAGATCTTATCTATATCCGCCCAGAAATCTCTGACAATCATACGGTCTCTGAACCGCTTGTCTCTGTCGACTTTTATTTCACTCACGTTCCAATCTTTGATTTGTCGAGGAGATGCTTCACCGTGGTATCCGAAGTAGAACCCATGGTACTTTTGGAATAATTCCTCCGGCTTGGAGTATTTGTACTTGGAGAACTGCCAGGCTTGACCCGTGGTGAATATGGCGATCACTCTGTCCCAATATTCTGGCTTGTTAAACATGTCGACGTTGTCAACCACCATGATTTGCGATGCTGAAGAGATGAGTTTGTCAGAAGGTGGATGACGGATGGTGACTAAGCCACCAGTGGGTCTATTTGTAGGCACTGGTTCCACGAATTTCCCATCTTCAAGAAACTCTTTGATATTAGATAAGGATAACAAGGCTGATGTGGCTGGAGATACAATAATAATCGGTTGTTTCTTGTTGGATGTTACTTTAGACTTTGGTGTGGCTGTCTTTGATCGTTTCAATTGATGAATGAACTTTTTGGCGTCAGATACCAAGTATCCAAAGTCAATGTTTTTCGAACCACGCAAGGCGGCATTGTGATCGATAGATTCGATTTCAAACTGGCCGATTCGGGCTAATTGTGGATCTTCAAGTTTTCTCTTTGTGCTTTCACTCACAACTTCGTCAGGCTTGGAAGTGGCGGTTGAAACATCTTCATCCTTGATAAAAGTACAGGAGTCAGAGTTCCCATTCAACCAAGTTGTCAATTCAGTTTTAACCAAGAATTTAAAGTCGGCAATGCCTAACTCGGAACAGGCATCTTTGTAATCGACAATAGATGACTTGTCGTGGATCCAGCAGAACAACACGGCTCGCAAATCCTGTTTTTTGTCTTCATTGTAGAAATTAGTGATAGTGTCTAACGGATATGTCTCTTTGTCTAATTCGACATGAGTTGCGTCCTTGATTGACTCGGTGACCTCTTTATTATCCCCATCTATCTTGAGGAGTACTAGAGGCTCGTTGGACGTGATAGCCCTATGTAATGCCTTGAGTGGTGAGCTCATTGTATAGCTTGTTGTATCTAAACGGTGGTGGTTGTTGTCGCTGGTAAATTTCAACAAGCAAAAAATTTGATATTTCCTGCATACATTTCTGTTCCTCCTCCTCCTCCTCCGCCTCCACATCTCCACCTCCACATATCCTTTACTACTCTTCCCCATCAAGGTTAACTATGACCATTAGTCAACACGAAGTACTCCGATGGTCCACTGAAGCACAACACACACTCGAGAGAGCCCAGAAGATATGCACCAGCGCACAAGCATCGTTGCATTCCACCCAGAATGAATTGTCGGTGCACCTTCCAGATATAATGGATGCCGTGGAGTTTCTCTACGATGCACTTGCACGACAACACGAGACAGTTTTGCGGATCACAGAATCTTTGAAAAGACATGTGAGGACAAAAGTGGATTCAGTGTTTGAGGAGTTTGGCAGTGTGTTGGATCCAGCCGTGGAGAAACTCGATGGGATAATCTCGCAACTTCGCAGTACCACGGTGCCGTTGTTCTTACTCAGGGAGAAAGAGGAAGAGGAGCAGGAGGACGGTAAGTCACTTGCCGACTTTATAGCCATGGACTCGATAGCCCTTCTCAAACAGAATATCAACATATACAAATCCAATTGTGGCAGGTTGCGAAAGGCTCTTCTTGGCAATTTCGAGGATATCCTCGAGTACAACATGAAGATGAATAAGCAATTCAGTCAAATCAAAAAAAGGTACGAGAATCTCGTCCCTCTCAAAGTCGAGATCAAGTCTATCCAAAGCAAGGAGTCAACCATCGGCACTGTCCTCCGAGAAAACCAGGCCCTTGAAAATGAACTTGTCTCCATCTTGGAAATGTTGACTAACCACTACGATCAATGCATGAAAGCAGTTGAACTAATATCCAAGGGAAACACCACGGGCATAAACCTTGAAGTACTACAGGGAGATGTGAGAGAACTCCCTGACGTGGCTAAAGAATTAAATGCAGTGTATGAAATCATCCTCAAAAATGAAGAACGGTCACAGAAGTACTTGCACACGGAAACCATTGAAGCGACGATAACTCTACTCCAACAAGAACTACAAACGTACCGAACCTTCAAAACCACTGCACTTCCTAAGTTCATCCTTCTTCTTTCCGAATGTGAAAACAAACTTCAAATCAGTTCAATTCCATCAACTGCGGAAACGCCCACACGACTTTATGTGCAAATTCTCGAAGAGTTGACGTTCCACTACACGCAATTCCTCCACATTTACAAGACAAAATACTTGTCAGAACTATACCACGAACAGTACACATACCCCAGGAAGTTTCTCAAAAAGCTAACCGAGTTGCTCAATCAAGACATGTATAGAATACAGTTGGAGGAAACAGAGCGGAGAAAACAGTGGACGGCAAAATATGGCAATTTCATCCCTAAGGAGTTCAATCTCGAGTTGGAATTGCCAAGTATCGTCCAGATAATCACTGAGGGACTTGAGAATATACAGAGTGGTGAAGCTGAGTTTAACGAAGGCAAGGAAAAGGAGTTGTTAGATTTGATTAAATTGACTAAATAGTTTTGCAACTTTATAGAAATAAAATAAAAAAAAAAATCAAATAAATCAATGCGAAATGTTTCTATGTAACTATCTTTATCAACTCTGTGTTACTATGAACTCCAACTATGCGTTATTCTTCCGAAAAGAGACGAATGACAAAGTGCAGACAAGTGCCACCTCTGGTGGAAGTATGATGTCCGCCATACACGATGAATACTCCGATTTGGAGAGTGATTCAGATGACACCCAGCCAGTACCCACCATGATCCAACCCAATGACATCCCACAGGATCATCAGAAATACGGCATTGGTGCCCAGCTATTATTCAAGATGGGATATCAGCAAGGCAAAGGGCTCGGGGCCAATCAAGAAGGGATAACTGCACCGATTGAAACAAAACTCCGACCTAAGGGACTAGGTGTGGGTGGAATCAGAGAAAAAGTCCATGAACGAGAGTACGTGTCTGAGGAAGAGATTGTGTTTCACGATGAGACAAGCATAAAACGAAAGAGCTTAGCTGAAAAGTATTTTCATCTTGTGCAAGGATTTGAGAAGTTGAACTTGAGTGCTCCGCTACAGTTTAAAGAAGTTTCTGATAAGTTGGCCCTGGGAGATGATGTCGATTTACAGGACGCAGAAGCAAAATATGCAGAGTTATCCACACTATTTTCGAAACTTAAAGAAACCATTGAACAAGAACAATACCTCGAACACAACTTATCGGAGCTTGAATCAAAAGCTACCCATATAAATGAGGAAATAACCCTGAATAAAGCAGTTCAAGACGTACTTTCACATATTTCCCAAGAACACATATCTCCAACTGAAGTTCTACCACTATTAGAAGCATTGACTGTTGTACCCTGTGTAAAAAACCCTATTTCCCCGTTAATATTCCTCACACTACTAGATATGACACCTGACCTATGTTATGGTGCGTTTACAGATTATGCTCCCAATGGAGCCATGTACAGGCGACTCAGCAGAATACGCGAACTCTTTGAACTATTAAACCCAGATGAAAGTCTAGCACATACATATGATGAGCAGTTGTACAAGAAAATCTACAATCCAGCAAAGCGATTCTTACATTTTAGAGCACGCAAAGGGAAGATTGTTGAAATAGCTGATGGTGTAACCACAATGGTAACAGATAGCAGCGACACTGAGCTAGACAGTGAAGATGATGAGGAATTTATGAAACTGTACGTGAGAATAGAAGAAGCCGTGGACTGCATAAATAGTTTGCGAAATTTTTGTCTAAACTCATCCGTGATGAATGATATGTTCCCTCGAGAGATTATCGTGCCTGCATTTTCGAGCTTGACTAAAGAGTGGAATCCGTTCAAGAATAAGCGAAGACGACATCCTCATGGCCTTTTGGAATTCATTTCATTCTACTCGTTTGAAGAAGCTGGTCCATTCAAGAAAATTATGATTGAGGTTTTCGAAAAGTATAAACATAGTATTGATTTTGAAAATAAGGACTCGTTCTGGTTTAGCAAGTCGTCGCCCAACCGCGAAGATTTAACTAGATTAGACGACTGGATGAGGGTGTTTAAAATATATTTGCCCGATCAAGCAAAATCATTATATTCAGTATTTGCAAGATCGGCCGTGTCATATCTTGAAACTATAGACTTTACGAAGTTGGACAAGGCAAAACATAAAATTGAATGCTATCAAAATGTAGCCAAAATCTTAACCAAATCAGACCATGCAAAACTAGTCCAATTTAAGATACTCAATCCATGGATCCACACATTAATTGATTTGCACAGCACCAACACTGAATCCGTTCCATCATTCTATTCGTTCTGGTATACTTATTTCTCCAAGGATCGTACCGATACGGTGCGCTGGTACTTGAACAAGGCCATACTTCTCATCCAGTCTGACTTTCCAGATACGCCCCTTCCAAACTACAATGGACATGCTAATGCAACATACACACAACTCTTTCTTGAATCGACACAGGTCAATGTGCAAGGGGTGCTGTCATACCAACTCCACACGTCATTCAAGGACGTGGTTGAACAATATTGTCTCAATAACGGCATCCTCATGAAACTATCCAACTTGCGCCACCTTAGAAATATGCGGCAATTGTATAATCTCACCAATGGGAAAGGAGGGAAAGCGTGGGCATATATTGAAGATGATGTGCTTTGGATTACTAATGACGAAGATTTTGAATATGTCGAGTATGAGCCGGTTGCGTTAGAGGATATTGAGAGTTATTTGTAGTGGCATTTGGTAGTGCGGGATAGCTGTATAGTTTTTTTTTTTTCCTGGAGGAGTTGACAATGAATATTTTTAGTCTTGGGTGTTTGTTTATTTGCTCTTTAGTAGAAGTTACCGCCAGATTTACATCATGTTTAGAATAGCTCAAGTGTCAAGAGGAAGTGTGCAGTTATCCAGAAGGATACTTGCATCCAATGGACTGGCATCACCAGTGTTTAAAAGATACAACAGCCAATCACAAATAAAACACCAATTGGACAACACAAAGGCATACCTCAAGAAGGTCAAGGTGGAAGACTCAAAGGAGTCCGAACAGGTGTTGGCATACTTTCGAAAAGCCGGGGTGGTGACTGCTGGTGGGATCTTGCTTTTCTATGCATACGCCATCACGGTGCAGATGCTCAACAAGGAAGACGAAGAGCCGGAAGTGGTGCCTGTCTTGTCTCAGGATGTAAGATATAGGTAGACTTCCTCAGTAAATAGGCGAGCTTGTAAATAGAAATAGAAAAAGAAACATATGGTTTATTATGATTGTAGCCTTGCATCTGGCTTGGTCTCAAACCGAAACGGGTAAATCTACTTGTGGGAGTTGTCACGTGTGGATACCTCAACGTTTATCCATTTGGTAGATCTGCAATCCATGTTGTGTTGTTCACTTACCTGATCGATAAGCACTGGAGTAATAGCAATGTTAACTCCGGTGGGACCTGACCGAAAACACTATTCCTGCATACACCACCCTTCTTAATTACTCAGCGGGATTTTCCACCGTTGCCGATCTTCGCCTTTCTACTGCGAACAACCTTCAAGAAAAAATTACTGAAATTTTTCACAGCAATTGCTAACCCTATTAAAACTCAAGATTAGACAAATCATGTATAGATATATCGCTAGATCCTCAATCCGTCCAGCCAGATCCACCCTCCGTGGAGTCAGACACTACAGCACCCCTAAGCCAACCACCAGTTCCAACCCGGGATTGGCCGTCGGTGGGGTCTTCATTGCTGCCGGGTTGGTCTACGCCTTTTGGTCGTCCAGCAACGGGAACAAGACCGAATCAACCTTTTCCAAGATCAAGGACACTTTCCAACCAGAAAAGTTTGAGTCCAAGCTCTCTGTGCATAGGAACAAGGATGCCGAGAAGGAAGTCAAGCAAGAAGTCGAAGAAGCCAAGGATGAGCAAGCTGTTGCTGCTGAATTCACTGAAGCTAAGCAAGAAGTCCAATCTGAACCAGAAACTCCAGAAACCACTCCTGAACCAACCCCAGAAGCTAGTCCTGAACCTGAAGTTGCTGCCGAAGCTGCTGCTCAAACTCCAGCCGAATCTACTGAAGCTCCAGTAGATACTCCTACTGAAGCTGAAGCTTCTACTCCTGCTGAAACCTCCACCCCAGCTGAAATCGTTGAAGCTTCGGAAGGCGAACACCAAGAAGGAGAAGCCGCATTCAACCCGGAAACCGGGGAAATCAACTGGGACTGTCCATGTTTAGGAGGTATGGCCCACGGTCCATGTGGTGAAGAATTCAAGGAAGCCTTTTCTTGTTTTGTGTTTTCCGAAACCGAACCAAAGGGTATTGACTGTATCAAGAAGTTCGAAACCATGAGATCCTGTTTCAAGAAGTATCCTGAACATTACAAGGATGAATTGTACGAAGAATCCGAAGAAAGAGATGTTCAAGCTGTTGAAGCCAATGTTATTGAAAGCGTTGAACCTGCCGTTGAAGAAATCACCGCTGCCACCACCGCTGCCACCACCGCTGCTGCCGCCACCACTTCCTCCTCCGCTTCCGCTTCTGAATAAGCATGTACAATCATATAGAACATCTTACATCTGTATATAAAACAATCAAGTCTATTCTATCAAAAGTATTTAACATGCACATCGAGACAGTCGTGCTGACAAAGTGTCTCGCAATTCTATATTATCAAAATCCTGTAATCGTCTCGATTGATTACGATTACCTAGCAATCTCTCTACGCCTGTTTTCGCCAGCTGGATAAATACTTTTTCTACTAGATCTAGTCTTTTTGCAGTCACTTCCATCAATGAAGCATCCCAGTCGTCAATGTAATCGCCTACATTTGCCGTGGTTGTGTTTGACGTTATTAAATCTTTGATCTCTTCCAAGTCAACACATCGTTCATTCACCTTATCCATTTTGTTTCCTACCACCACAACTCCAGGGAAGTCCACATGACAATGCTCTTTAAATCGCGCAAACCAATCGCGCATGCTCAACACCGACTCGTAATTCGTGATATCGTATACTAGCACACATACATCAGCACCACGATAAAACGCCTGTGAAATTGAATTGAACCGTTCCTGACCTGCGGTATCCCAGATTTGCAAGTTCACCTTATCAGGTACACTGGCCTTTATGCTCTTGAGTGAAGTGAACTCGGAAGTCTGTGGTGTTTGTGGAGTCTCCGACCCCGTTAATGTAGAATCGGTGTAGTTGGTCAGATGTCGCGGTTTCTCCTGTGGTAGAGTGACCGTGGTAGTTAGATAGTCACCACCGATGGTGGCCTTGTATGCATTGGTGAATATGTGGTGGACAAACTGGGATCGGAGACATGTCTTTCCCACTCCCAGATCCCCCAATAGTATGACTTTTAAAGTTGGTGTGGGTGTGCTCTGAGGCTGAGGTGATCGTCTTTGCAAGACCGGCGGTGTCGTTTCGAGCGGATGTCGCGTTTGAGTTTTTCCAGACATGCAGTATTTATATTTTATATTAGTGAGTGTATATCTTATCCATTATAGTATTTGATGTATGTTGGATTGTTGGATTAGCGTATGAGAGCCCTAGGCGTTGGTGGTGTAGATTGTAGTATAGATTGTTTCTTGTAGTAAACAAAAAAACTCGTCTACCCTGTGAAATTTGATCTGGTGACAAGCGGCGCAGGTTTTTTTTTTTTGTTTAATTTCAAGTTTTTTTTTTTTCTTCTTCTTCTTCTTCTTTGGTTTGCGTGTGTAACTAACATCGCTGAAGGCAATCTTATCGCAAACAAACACGTAGCACATCCACATAGCAATACACATAGCACATCCACATAGCAATACACATAGCACATCCTCACAAGGGCATACAATATGAAGATCTACTATATAGGAATTTTAAGAACCGGCGACAAGACCTTAGAATTGACTTCGGCCAGGGACTTATCCCAGTTCTCCTTCTTTGAGAGAAACCTGGTTTCTCAATTCATGACTTTCTTTGCTGAAACCGTATCCAAACGTACACAAGCCGGACAAAGACAAAGTGTCGAAGAAGGAAATTATGTCGGACACACTTATGCCAGATCTGAAGGCGTCGCCTGTGTCATTATCACCGACAAGGAATACCCCGTTAGACCAGTATACACATTAATCAACAAGGTCTTGGAAGAGTACTTGTCGTTACATCCATCCAACGAGTACGCCAACATAGAAGCTACGAATTCCAGCTTGGCATACGATCAATTGGAAGTATACGTTAAGAAATACCAGGATCCATCTCAAGCAGACTCAATCATGAAGGTGCAACAAGAATTGGATGAAACCAAAGTGGTTTTGCACAAGACCATCGAAGGTGTGTTACAAAGAGGTGAGAAGTTGGATGCATTGGTTGACAAATCAGAAGCGTTGTCCTCGTCTTCAAGAATGTTTTATAAACAAGCCAAGAAGACAAATTCATGTTGTGTAATTATGTAAGTTTGCTTTCAGTTTGGGTTTATAAGTTTTATATTGTCTATACAATGGTAATACATGCAATTCTCTATATCAAATAGATTATTCTTTTTCGTTCAAGCTGGCCTTGACAGCATCAAACGCCTTCATCAACTTACGTCTGGCTCCCAACGCCGCAACCCCCTTGGCTTCCAATTCATCGTTATCCAACTCAATAAGTTCCTTCCATGGAATGTCCTTAAGGCATTCAGTATACTTGTGTAAGCGCAACAACTTTAACCAAGCTGGAATATTGTTTAATAACTCGATATTGGCAACTTCACTAGGCATAGACGAGGAAGTGGTAGTCGATGGGGTAGTGCTACCTGCTGCTGCTGCAGTTGCTGCAGTGGTCAGTGTATTGTTAGATGTTGGCGATTGCGGTCCTTTCTTTTTAGAAGAGCTTGATTTTGAACTAGTCGTACGGTGAAGATTAGCGGGCACAGAAGCAGAATTCAAACTTCTGTTAAGAGAATCCTCATAGGCAACAGCAGCATGGGTTCTCGATTGAGTGTGTTTATGTTGTGGTTGTGGCTGTTGCGGTTGTTGTTGTTGTTGCTGCTGCTGCTGTTGTTGTTGTTGTTGCATGGTTAGGTTCCAAGTGGCCCCAGTTGCACCGTGAGAATGTCCATGTTTCCTGTTTGAATCAAGGGCTACGCGGGAATTAATCGTGGCTAATGCTCCCAACTTCAATGCGGTGTGTGATGATAAATCGTCGTCATGTCCGTAGTGGTGACGCACAGGTGCATTGGTAACTGCAGCCAATTGTAAGAAATTTGTCTTCTCATATAAATGACTGGTTGGGCTTCTTGATCTTTCAAACTGTTGTTGAGAATTACCATATCTGATCCCAGAAGCAGATGGTTCTGCCGATTTAGGTCTGGCAATGCGATCCATAATGTTTAAGTATTGGGCGCCTTGTCTGAATGTAGGTTTTGGATGTTGCAATTGTTGTGGCTGCTGTTGGAGTTTTGAATCTTGAAGATTCAATTGTTCAATGTCAGTATATAAATCCTGAGAATAGGAATTGTTGAGCGGAGACATTAAATTGAAATTCTGTTGTTGAGCAGCCTGGGCTTGCGCAGGCTGGGTTTGCAATTTGGGTGCTTGTAAATGGTGGTCCAACCTTGATTTGAAAGCTAGCAAAATATCAAGCGGCAAACTGTTGCATAAATAATCAATCATGGTGATATTATCTTGAGGATTCAAGTTTTCAATCCAGTTGCTAAATACTAATAAATCCAGATAAAAGCTTGCTTGGCCGAGTTGTTGCTGTTGTTGCGGTTGTGGTGCTTGCTGGGGCTGAGCATATGATTGAAACAGGTTTAACTCGTTACGATTGAAAATATTGCTAAAGTCATTGACAGATTGCGGACGATCAGGGATTGATGCTAATGGAGGAGGGCCCAAGAATCCAGTACTGGTGTTCCCAGGGGTCGTGCTGCTATTTTGCGAGTTGTACAGGGAGACGCCATTAGGTTTCAACAACGACGCAAGGTTCGCGGAGGGAATTTGCGGGATTGGCGACAATGCCGAATCACGGAGCAAAGCTGATGATGAACCTGATGAAGAGATTCCTAAAAGATCTGCACCTAAAGCACCGTATTTCGCCGATGGGGCCATTAATCCAGGTGATTTCAAGCTGGTTTCATTGACAGAACTGGCTGACAAGTGTTGTGGCTGTGGCACTTCAAGTGGCGGTTTCGACGGCGGCTGGTTTTCGTAATGGGTAGGTAAATTGTTTCGCAAATCCAAATCCAAATCTGCAGTGAGAGTCTCAAACTCGTGTTGTAAATTGTATCCTACGCTTTGCTGTCTTTCCGAGTGGCCCTGAGGAAGTTGGTTGGACGAAGGAGCAGCAGTGTGCTGGGCAAACGGTGGTAAGCTCATAGGTTGTGGTTTTTGCAGATGTGATTGGAGTTGTTGTTGTATGTGACGTTGTTGCTCTTGTTCCAATGGAGGTGGGGACAATATAATGGGAGTTTCTGAGTACGGGTTAGGAGACTTGTTTGAACTTTGCTGGTCCATACTGATGAACGTGGAATAGATTCGACAAGAATTGAAAGAACCTGGAAAGGCTAAAGTGGTTACTTTAGATGTGCTATGTGCTGGGTGCTTTTGGCTAAATGAATTTAAATTCACTTAGAAATTGCGTATTTTTCTGTTCACACAGCGGGCAAGTCCTGGGCACAGCGAGATGAAATGGAAGAAGTTTAGACCGTAGGTTAAACAAAAGATGACGTTCGTGCGAAAAGTTCAAAAGTGCCTCACGGATCCAGAAAACAATCCACCCAGGCCTGTCAAAAAAAGAAAGAAAAAAAAAGTTTATCCCCCAAAAACTGAGCAAGTCCTTTTTTTTTTTTTGGTAGGGCGAATTGAGATGACTTTAATATTAGCCCTTTTTTTGTGGAATGTTCTTATGTGTCAATAACCGCGGCAAACAACTGGGCAGTACCTTACTATGCATGAAGGACTAACCATATTTATCATAATGCTATTCGATGTGCTTGCAACTACATAGCAAGGGTCTCTATGCCAACATAGTATCGTTTCTGGTTTGCAATTCTACATCAACTCTTGTAATACATGTTAAAACTCTATAAATGCTATATATAAAAGTATACCTAAAAACACATTAACCAATTTGTTTATCTCTAACCAACCAAAATCCCTTATTCTCCTGAATTATGTCACAGGCGTATTTCATTTCTGGTAACAAGTCCGCTACGCTATTAAATAAATTCTCGGCAAACGTATTGATGAAAAAGATTTGCCCCTTGTGTAAATTTGGATTCTCACGCAAGATATCTTGCAAATCATGAGGGATCGGTTCATAAGTTATATCTTGATTGATATCAATTTGTTTCCCGTCATTCAATTTCGCATCCAATACAGCAACTTCTTCAAATTCGCGGGCTAAAACCATGGCCCATTGCGCAGACACTCGCAATGGACGAGTGACATTGGAAATATCAGCACATTTAATCAACAATGACGAAATTAGCTTCACCTTATTATTGTAATTGATAAACTCATCATGAGACTTCAAATTCTTTAACTTGTTAATGTACTCAAAATGCTCGCCCATGTCGGTGGCTAGTATTGATGATATGATTAATTCCCGCACCGTCAACCCGGAATCACGATCGGTCTTGGCACTCAATAAACTATTCCAATTAACCGCCAAAATCTTATTTATAAACACCGATGAATGGTATGACTCCAATACAGAACGGTCATTGAATATTAATGAGGTGGGTGCACCATTCTTAATCATAAATGCATTAGTTACCCCGGGGTGTCCCACATCATGCCCCAATGCTGCGGTCAACAACCCCAATGTTTGCAATGGGTTCAAATGATCAGATTCGCTAGAAACAATTTTCAAATGGCGGTCAGTTTTACTCAACTCAGCACTCACATCAGTCTTGTCATTTACTTGGCTATTTTCTGGGTCAAGATTCAACTGTTTGAATTCAGGCAAGCATCCAAGTCGTACGAGGAAATGGAAACAGGCTTGAACTACATCCACGGCATGGCGGAAGTTATGAAATGGATTGCCATTTTTGTATGTGTCTCGAACCATGAATATAAAACATAATAATTCATTTTGGTCAGGTATGTGCAAATCCTCCACTGGTCCCAATTGTTTCAAGGCATAATTCAACATTAAATATGCACAATACACCAAATCATCATTGGATAATTCATGGGCTGGGAATGACCAGTTTCCTACCGCAAAACATAACTGAGAAAGATGCTTATTGTCAAACGATAATAAACTGAGGAAATCAACTTCTTCGAGAATTAAATCCTTGAAATAAGTTAATGCTTCTATAGTGGCTTCTCCCTTGGTGGAGTTGTTATTTAGGATATATGTCATGGTTGGTATTATTCCTGAAACTTTAGGCGGATGGAACTCACTGTCCGTATTGTTATGACTATTTGATTTGCTATTGCTGTTGGTTTCGTAGTGATCGTTGACGTGAGTTGTATGGTATTTATCGTTAATTGGTTGTTTTCCGGTTCCGGTCCAAGTTTCCACACGAGATATTCTATTAGACATTAACTGGGCCACTTTCTCTATAGGTTCTTCCATGTGTTTTGCCGTGATGGTTTCATTGCATACAAGCAAGTTCAAATGACCAAAATAGTATCTCAATAATAATAGTTTGTCTTCAAAACATAGTGAGTCTAATCGAGAACTCTTTTTGGATTCACCATGCGGTATTATGACGATGATGGGATGGTTGGCGTCAGTCTCTCCACTTGATTTTTTAAACAAAAAACAAAGCAAGTCTCTGAACCGGGTGAAAAATTTCCTCTTGGTAGTGTTGGGTATCCGTGGAGGATGTGCTATGAGTGATAAAACTTCAACCATCTTGTATTATGTGAAATGCGTGCAAGATGTGAAGAAATTATATGCTAATGATTATGCGTAAGCCACGTTTGCTGGGATGCTTGATTGGATCAAACAAATGTTGTTGTAAATGATAAATATGAAATCTAAACCCACAGGGGATGATGCAAGTAGATGTGTCTATAATCCAAAGTTAAAAAAAAAAAGAAATCCAGTCTAAAAACAAAATACTTCAATGTTTGCTGAGATGCCTTTTCTTTTTTAATATTTTGCGTTTTATTGTTTGTGATTTCTTTCCAATTTTTTTTAAATGATACCACACTTTTTCTCCTCCTTGGATGTTTCAAATGTTAAGTATAGCCTAGCGTAAGATATCCCAAGAATTAAGCTTTACCTGTAAAACAGTAGAATTCCTGTGTATAATCAGTTATTTTAACTCTGCAATTGACAACTGGGCTAGTAGGTGTAATTTCGAATATCCACCGGGGTTATAATGAAGAATTTATTTTCCCTGGAAAACAATTAAACTTAACCTGCTGGGAGTTCGTTAATTAACGTTTAAACTTTTTCTTTTTTTTCTGCTTTTTGTTTTTTGCTTCAGTCGGAGATAAACTTCCACCTTAACCACTTGAAATTTTGCCTTTGTGCTTTACGTATGATTTCTTGGCTAAATTCCTACTGTGAGTTGTCGTACCCCAAATTTTAAATACGGCAAAACAATTGAATGAATTCCTTCGATGGGAAAGTATGACCGCGGTTGAAATATTATATAGCAAAATTCTACCAAATCCACGTCGAACAGCAATTCAATGGGAGGAACTGTATTATGTAGGTTGTAAGCACGATTTGATCGTTAGACTTTCCTAAAATGTTCTATAAACAATGTTAGGATCTTCGTGTATGTAATAATATGTATCAATTAACGTGTACCTGAAAAGACTTTACAACCACAAACTGGATATACTCTTTGTGTAGTAGCTGCTTGGCTAATTATGTGATTCAATGAAATTGCTATTGTGGTTGTTCCTGTGACGTATTGACTAGTACAACGACTTCTTGAATACGTTATCAGGTTATACTCAAGATAAGCTTGTAAAGTATAATTTCTAATGGAAGTGCCACCGGTTTTGTGCGTAACCCTCTCCGAATTTTTTTTTCTTGTGTGGGTAGTGGAGTAATATTAGATTGGGGAGGAAAAGTTAATCTATGTCAAGCTTTCTTGGCTAGTTCTAGTGTTATCTAAAATACCTTTGGTATAGGGAAATCCTCTTTCAAAACACGAAACACTGATGTACACGCTGAATTCCAAACTGTATTAAAATTCGGCGTAGTCCGATAATTATAAGAAATTGGTTGTAAAACCAAAAAAAAAAATAAAATAAAATAAAAATTCGAAGTCAAAATTTACCGGTCGTGACTTTTTTTTTTTTGGCACAACCGTTGAACAGATCCAACCCGTATAATTTTTTTTTTCTCCTACTCCTTCCAATTTTATTTTTCGCGCCCGTGTGTTGCTAAAACGGCCCTGTAAATTAGTCCTTGGAAACCACATTTTTCGCCTTTACATTGTCATGAACTAGCCAGAAGCCGTAGAAACGTTTTAGAGCCGTCAGAATTTAAAAGTACGAGCTGTACTAGAGAGGGGTAGACCGGGAGGATTTACATCACCGATTATGCAAACGGTGTAAGTGATTGTTTAAACTCTAAATTTGACTTGTTCCTTCCTGCATATTTTCTTGTTGTTGCCATATGCTTGCGGTTCAACGGCATTTCGAAAATAACTGAAATTTTCGAATCGAGTATCTATTTAGTCATAAAAATAATCCCCCAAAAAGCCGCTCAATATTTATGACACAATTATGGGAACCCTTGGGGCCAGCCCACCACCACCACCTTTTGTTCGCCTTTGTCAAAATTCCGTGCCTATTCCGTGCGCGTTCCATGTCAAAAAAATTTCAAATCCCGTATCAGAATTCCATCGTCCACAATGAGTGATTTCACGTGATTAAATCAACACTTGAATCGGTTTAAATCGTGCAACATGTCAAGTGTCAGATCTATTACTCTATCTAATGCTTTGTATATTATCTCCATCTATATAACTTTTCATATCCGGGCCGAATCTATTGCCCCACGTAAATTAATTAATTACATTATGCCGATTATTTTCTCTACATTGTCATTGTTTGTCCCCTTATCTTTTTTTCCCAAAGGCTTCTCGGTGTTGGCAGTTTGGTGCCCTATCTCCAGCGGACCATCATCATGTCGGAGATACACGCTTGGTTGCTAAAAATGTGGTACTTTTGCTAATTTGCAAACATTCGACTATTTTGACTCTTTTTTGGGGGAGGAATGTTACATAATTTTGACTCGATGTTTATTATTTTTTTTTGTTGTTCCAATGTTGCAAAATTCACCTGTGGCCATAGTATATCGCTAAAAATATAACCACACCAATGGAAAGGAGCATCTGCACTCGTCTAAACCTTCTCGCTTTCCTGATTCTCGAGTATTCCCGCATACGGAGGTTGATATTCTCCAATAGCTCCAACTTTTCAATCATATCCTGGGACATAACCATATTTTCCTCGGTTATCTTCTCCTTGAATGCATTTGATCGTTTTTCCAACCCTTTCAATTGCGCCGTGACATGAGTCAATTTGTTGATGTTGACATTTATTTCTTCTCGGTACTTTGACCGGATTAGCTCTCGGTTATTGTTCAATTGCGTGATTAACTCTGCCGTTTGCAACTTCAACCCGTGGAGATATTTCTCTACAGAGTCGAGTTCTTCAAGAGACTTGTTCTTGGTGGGCTGGTGTCGTAATAAAATATTCTTGAATTTAATCTCTAGCTTGTCGGTCATGCTAGTCATAATTCTCTCCAATTGCTCATAAGGTCTGTTTGTATCTTGAGGATACTCGTCGAGAATAGTATCTATATTCAAAACAAAATTAATCAACTCGTCATCTTGGACAAGCATTTCTCGATCAAATTCAAACTTGAACCCACCTTGGTTTAAAATCTCATTAAACAGTTCGTCAGTCAATGCCGACTCATGATTCAACGTCGACCCGGACGTAGATTCCATCATCTCGCTGTCGTTCATCCATCGACGTTTCCCAGGAGTCAATTCAATGCTCGACTTGAAAATACTAGCCAAGTCAACACTGCTATGAGCGCGATTGTGTAGCTTCACATTGGGTCGATAAAACTGATCCACCAAACGGTTCTTATCCGATATTCCATTTAATTTCCCTGAGGATATCGTCGACTTCATGCTTGAGCTAGTGCCAAGACTGGTGTTATTGGAAGCGGAAGTCATCATCAACTTCAGGTTGATCTTGGGGCTATCCATCAACTCCGGCTTGGCGCCCGTCCATGATTGTCGTCGGTCTCCTCGTAAAAACATATTGAGGTTAGTTCCGGATGCGTTATTCAACATATCTTTCTTTTTTGCCAATGATTCTCGCCGTGGTTGTTTCTTGTATAGTTTGTCCAGCGGTGGTGAGAGATTGGCATTGCCAAACCCGGATGGCGGTGTGATTGTTCCTCCGTAGGAATACAGCTTGTTCATGCCGGGAGGAGATAGTAGTATTCCATCCAGATCTGGACTGGTGGGCTGTTTGTAGTGGTGGTTGTTGTTGCTGTTGTCGTCGTCGTCGTTGTTGTTGTTAGCTGGCTCGATCGGATCAAATGCAGGTGACACTGAATCAGGAGCGCCTTGGAAAACGTGGAGATGATTGTCGGTACCTCCTACGGGCTCACTCAATTCTATTGTGGGTGAGTGCAAGGGTGTGCTTGTTGGTATCGGTTCTGTGTCAGGTTGTGATGGTGATGTGTATCCCAGTTGTAAAGTCGCCGGCTGGGACTCTCGTGACGGTTGTTCTCCATTCATTCTGTTGGCATTTCCTAAATTTGGGAAAGTTTAAATTAAGAATAATAGGACGACGTTTAAACCTGCCGTAATGTGATGACGTATTTTTGTGGTATTTTGGTTATGGTATTTCTTGGCTGGGCTTTTTTCGGTGCCCGTCTGCCTGATTATGTGGGGCGCAGCAGCTTTGCAGTTCGTCGACACTTAACCCTATGGGGGCAGGCCCTTCATCTACGGTGTATCATGTTTATCTTCATGTTTATCTTAATGTTTATGTATAGTGATAGTTGTAGTTATATATTTACATGCTTACTTGGCAGCAGATCCACGCCCACCGGCACCTTGACTAATCAAACTCAAAGTCTCTTTACTCAACTCAACTTCAGGCAACTTCTTTTCACCTGTGCCAGTAGGACCAGGCAAAAACCCAATCTTGATCAAATAACTAATGTAAACACCAGTTTGATCAGGAGTCACACCCTTACCCTCACTGGCATCAACTCCACTCCATTCAGCATCCAACTTCAAAGAAGTGGCGGCATTAGTATCATCCAATTCCGGTGCCTTGGTATCTTGTGGCAAGTTATCCAACACAAAATGCAACAATGGGAATAAAGCAGACTCGTTGGCTTGTTCAACCACATATTTCTCCAATGCAGTCTTCCAAACCGGATAATCAGCCAGGTTGACTTCGTATCCATATGTCTTCAAGCATCCCAAGAAATCATTGAAGTGGATTCTTGGATGACCAGTAACGTGGGCAACAGCCAATTCCGATTCAACCGGTGGGTGCAATGCAGTAGCAGTAACTACTCGAGCAACATGATCGACAGGAACCATGTTGACCTTGTTGGTGATGTCAGGGTACAACCCTAACTCAGCTGACCCTTTAAGCATTCTCAAAAGGAAATCATCGGTGTTAGAAGCACCAGTCTCGGAGAACCCAGTAACGTAACCAGGTCTAGTGATGCAACCCTTTAATCCACGTTCTCCAGCACGTCTAATTATGAACTCAGCAGCCCATTTAGATTGTCCATACCCATTACCCAACCCCTTAGCAGAACCAGCTAATTGGTCAGCTTCTGAAATACCTTGTTTACCTTGAGCTAACAACTCATCGGACAAGTTGACAAAATAATCAGTGTCCAACGCAGATGTGGATGAGACAAATGAGAAATACTTGGCTTTACCTTCACCAGCCATGTTAAGAACGTTAATAGTACCAATGACATTAGCATCACGCAATTGAGAGTATGGATAGACCCAATGGACAAAAGCACCATTATGGATAATCACATCAACAGTGTTGGTCAATTTAGTCCATGCATCGTCAGCCAATCCAAATTGCTTCTTGGATAAATCTCCTAAAACAACTTCAATCTTGGAAGTCCACTCTTCATCCCAGATACCATATGTGGTACCAGTTTGACGTAATCTGTCCAACCCAGCTTCAACCGAAGATGCTCTCACATGAGCAAAAACTCTAATGTCCAAACCCTTACGAGAAGTCAACAAATCACGAACAATAAATGAACCCAAGAATCCAGTGGCACCAGTAACAAACACATTGATGGTCTTGGAACTGTCAAGCCCCTTCAATGATGGATAGCTGGATAATAATGCAGACTTGGATAATTCAACGGCATCCTTGGCATAGTTAATAACTGGTTCTTCTTTCTTGGCTTCTCTTTCAGTTTCACCTTCATCAGCCAATTCGACAACATCATTACCCTTGATAATAGTCTCCACCTCGCGGGCAAATTGCTCAACGGTTGGATTCTTAAAGATAACACCCAAAGGAATTTCCACATTCAATTTCTTTCTCAATTCGAAAATCATACGGGTACCCAAAATCGAATGACCTCCCAAATCAAAGAATGAATCCTGTTTAGAAATGGTGGCTGGTCGGTTAGGCAACACTTCAAACCACAAGTCCTTGATTTGTTGTTCCAACGCAGTGAGTTTCTCTTGTTCGATTTCTTCTCCTTGTTGTTTGGAAATACTCAACTTGGAAACAGCGGCTAATTGAACCGTATCCGGGAATGGCAACTTTGGCTTGTCAACTTTACCATTTGGATTCAAGGGTAATTTAACCAAGGGGACGATGATGGTTGGAATAGCATACGAAGCCAACTTTTTCTTCAAATACGCCTTGATATCCTTGATTAATTCACGGTAGGCGACTAATCCTCTCACAATTGGATCATTGGCTTCTTCGGCCGAATCATCGATTTCCGATTTGAAATTGTGCAACTCTGGAGACTCTTTAGGAACAATGTACGAAATCAAAGTTGGTTCTTCATTCTTATCTCTTCTGACCAAGGTAACATTTTCTCTAACTAATGGATGTTGCGATAAATGAGTATCGATTTCTCCCAACTCAATTCTAAACCCTCTGATTTTCACCTGATCATCAGCTCTACCACAACATTCAACATTCCCATCTGGCAAATAACGACCTAAGTCCCCTGATCTGTACATTCTATCTCTTGGACCAAACCAACCATGCTCTCTCCAAGTCTGTTCCGGATTCTTGTTAGCTTCATCCTGCTTAACCCATTGACTAGGGTCCACGTACCAGTTAGTAATGAACTTGGCGGCATTCATGTCCGGCAAGCCACGATACCCCTCGGCCAAACCAGCAGCACGAACGTAAATCTCCCCAATTTCACCGACACCACACGTCTGGGACCGGTCGTTTCTGTTAACTACTAACAATTGCACATTGTGCATCCCAGTACCGGCTGGCATCACGTCCTTCAAGTTCTTCAAGTATAACGAGTCGCTTGCTCTGCTCTTGATTTCAAAGTACGAAACGGCTCTTTGGGTTTCGGTGGTACCGTACATATTCACAATGTAGACATTCTCGGCTAAGCTTTGTAATCTCAAACAATCTCTCTTGGTTAAAATGTCACCCACAAAAAAGGCATGGTGTAAACTTGGAATTGGTGTAGACGCCTGAGCACTTAACAATTGACCCATTGCTGGAGTCAAATGGGTCACGGTAGCTCCGTATTTGGCCATCCATTCGGCTAATTTACCAGGAGTACCAATATCATCAGCAGTAGGAACCAACAATTGTGCCCCCAAGAACAATGGTGTAAACATATCTCTTTGAATTGGATCATGGGCAATACCCGACAACATCGTAAACTTGTCATTTTCTGACAAGTTGAATCTCTTGGCCATCCAGGGGAAGTAATAAGCCAACGAATAATGACGACCCAAAACACCCTTGGGGATACCCTCGGATCCTGAAGTGAACGACAAAGTAGGATTGGAGTCGGGACCAACAATGACACCAGTTCTTTGATCCTTGAACTTTTGATAGTCGGCAAGGCAATCACCAGAACTTCCTTCGATGGACCCACCAACTAAAGAACCATCGTCATTAACTCGCAATTGCGGAATGGTGGAAATGACATCCAACTCATCCTTGATGTAATCAACGACCAATTGATCCAATTGTCCAGCTTTTTCCAATCCAATCAATGCACGTGGTCTAGCGACTGAAAGATAAATGTTTTGTCTAGATGGTGGATATGCTGGATCAATGACGGAGAAAGTGGCCCCAGCTTTCAACACACCCATGACGGCAATCATCAAATCGACACCTCTGTATGCGTAAATCATAGCCACATCGCCCTTTTTGATCCCGGTTTCCTTCAAGTAGTTACCAACTATGTTGGAAGCCTGATTGATTTGTTGATAAGTAAATGTACGAGTTTTGGAGCTAGGGTCCATGAAGGACTCGGTTTCAACAACACAGGTTCTGTCTGGGTGGGCTTCAGCATTGGCCATAAAGATGTCTTGAATGGCACCTCTGTATCCCGACCAATCCAAATCCAAAGTAGGATCAGGTAATTGTGCTCTTTGTGATTCTGTAACCAAATTGACTTTGGTGATGGCAATGTCTTGGTTTTCAGAAACACTGGAGATGTATTGGTTAAATTGTTCACCCAATATCACAATTCTGTCATGAGAATATAACAACGCATTGTAAAAGATGGTAAACTTTTTACCGTCGGTATACACGGCTAAATCACGAATTGACCCTTCAACGGTGGTATTCAATTGTTGGTTTTCATTGGCATGTTGATAGGACAATCTGAACAAAGCCGGGTTTGTCTCTAATTTGTTAGCATCTTTAATCGTCTGGGAAACTTCTGATAAGGTTTTGTAGTTGACATGACTACGACTAGTTTCGTATTCACTGGTTATTTTAGCAACAAGATCACCAAAGGTGATTTCCGGGGTCAAGTTCAATCTGATGATGAACTCAGTAGGATCGTTGGGAGCATCGGTAGCAAGCACTATATCTTCGTCACCGGTCAATCTGTAGACCAAAGCAGCAAACACGGACAAGCCAAAGATAAAGTCATCGCTGGACTTGCCTGGGATGTCGAATGTATAAGTACCTTCTACGGATTTGTTGTTTGCTGGTTTTAAATAGTCATGGGGTAACACAGACAAAGTAGGATTAACCAAATAGTTTAACCAGTAGTCTGACATATTTGATTCGTGTATTCTTTAAGTTCAATTGGTAAGAGAAGAAGAAGAAAGAGAAGAAGTGGGAAACAAAGTGAAATTTTTCAGTGTCGGTTGTTCTCCATTTTTTGTCTGCTGGTGACTAAACATTTATCGTCTGTCCGATAGCGGTTAATTTTTTTCGCCGCACTAATTTTTATGACTCAGCGGTCATTTTTTTGTACTCCCCTTTTGTGTCTGTCGCGTTATCTTATTTGTCGCAACTTAATCCGTTTGCAACATTTTTGCAGTCAAATACAATTCACCCTCGTTTCACATGTAATACTATTACATCTATACACTTAATTCATAAACAAAAACTGTAAATCATCGGGAGTCAATCTACTGATTGCCGCATCGTCTTGATTAATCGTAGCATGAATCATATTGGCCTTTTTGTCCTGCAACTCGATAATCTTCAGCTCAATACTATCTTCGATACAGAATCTCGTGATTCGAATCGGTCTTCGTTGACCAATACGGTGCACTCTGTCCATAGACTGCCACTCCACACTGGGATTCCACCATGGATCCATAATGAACACCTGTGATGCCTCACAAAGATTAAGTGCCACACCACCGGCCTTTAACGAAACTAGAAATACTTCCACATTGGTGTTTTCCATAAAATGTTTAATTGTGCTGTCACGCTGTTGTGGAGACATTGAACCTTGTAACTTCACAGTTTGGAACCCGGCACGTTTCAATCTCCATTCGATAAGATCCAACATCGACGTGAACTGAGAAAACACAATTGATTTAATAGTATGTTTATCCGAGCGAAGTTTGTACAATTCTTCAACCAATGCTTCGATCTTGGTCGAAGATCTCCATTCGCCACCATGCGACCCCATCTTGATTCTATTGACAATCGATGCCTTCGTAAATAATTCCTCATCCACTTCAATAGCAGGCTGTTCGAGATCTATAGAAAGCCCAATGTGACAAACTGGACATTCCAAACTGCTTTCCTCGCCCATAAACGATTCAATATACTCTTGAATACACATTCGACAGAACCTGTGGTGACACTTGGATTCAATCGGTTCTTCTGCTTCATCATCACACAATTGACACATAATCACCCCTTCTATATCATGAGAAATAGCGTTATTCCCTGATTTCTTAAGCACCAAATCAGGATGATCGGCCAATTGTCTCATTCTGGTAATCAAGGTGAAAATATTGGCATAATTGTTCAAAACAACCCCTTCGGCCACATAATGGTTGAACTTTCTCTTGGAATCACTATAAAGAGATGTGTACAAATCCTTCTCCTCTTCATTGAACCTATCATACCGTATTTCCACAATTCTAGGAGGCAATCCCAAATCATCAGCTCGCTCGAGCTTGGTTCTTCTCAACATTATATTGTCAAGAAGCAAACGCAAGTTCATAAAACTAGTCAACCCATCACCTTCAATCCCATGTTTCTGAATATTCTTGAGCAAGAAATGATTAAAGAAATTGGTGTGTACCATAGGTGCATGTCCACAATGATCACAATGTCTCCAATCCGAAAAATTCCATTCAGAACTCTTACAATCACATTTGGTACAGAAGTACTGGAAAAATGGTTCAATTTTCATATATCGAATTAACGAATACATTTCACCAATTCTGTTTTGTAAAGGAGTACCGGTCAAGCACCATCTCTTTTTCGTGTTGAGATTGTTTGCTGCTTTTGAGGTGTTAGATGTTCTATCTTTGATATTGTGTGCTTCATCAAGAATTACTCGGTAAAATTCCATATTATGCAAGGGGGACTTTTCCTTGACAACACCAAGCTTTCTCTTGAATCCATACGTTTGTTTACGGTAAACTGATTCCAAAACAGAGTAGGAAGTAAGAATCACATCATATTCAGATAGTTCTTCGATACTGGTTGTTCTATTGGCGCCATGGAACAATAAAACCTTCAACATGCCTGGATCGGTATGTTTTTCAATTTCATTCTTCCATTGCATCAATGCAACAGTGGGTCCCACAACCAAATTTGGTCTCTTGGTTCGATCATGCATGAAGAGCCCAATCGTCTGAATAGTCTTACCCATACCCATTTCATCAGCAAGAATCCCCCCTTGAAACTCCCCATCCTCCTGCTTAATAAGCCAGTTCAACCCTTCTAATTGAAAGGGCAAAAGTCGTATTGTCATTCCCGGGGGGTGTTCTGCTCGTTTAGTCTCTACCTTTTCACAGTTTGCCAAGTATGGAAACACGTCCTTCAAGTATGGATGCATGTCATATAATTTATTAGTGATACGCGTGAAATATGGAACTTTAACCTTGACGGGTTTCTTCTTCTTAGATTTAGCCGGGGCCTTCTTCTTTCGTTTAGGCGCTGTTTTATTTGCAAGTGGTATGTCATCTTCACTCTCTTCTGAAAGCACGATGGATAAATCGGCAGATGAGCCATTCCTGTCGACACTACTGCTTCCCACAATCACCAAGTCCTCGTCAGCAGAACTAGCTTCGTCCTCTAGGACATTATCTAGAGTGAACTCCTCGTCATCGTCGTCTGATTCCTTAGGAGCCTTCTTCCGCTTATTGGTACGCGATGGGGTGGTTGCCGAGGCACGCGTCTTTCGTTTCCGTTGTGGGACAGACACATTGGCAAACGTGTCAGGATCAAAGTCATCATCGCTCTCCTCCTTATATGACGTGTTTTGGCTTCTGGTCTTTCTCATATTCCTTCGGGAGTACTGGGGATCATTCACCACGAACCCGCCGCCTTCTGAATCGGAGCTGCTAGCTGATGCCGATGCCGATGCCGATGCTGATGCTGATGCTGAGGCACTCAGTAGTTTGTTTCTAGATGGTGCCATGACTTGATCTATAACTTTAGAATTCTATTAATGTGTTAATATAGTCGCCTAAAGGTGTTGTAGTGAAAGATGCAAAAAGACGATAGATCGTTTTGTGAAAAAAAAATTTGGGAACTGATTAGTAAAAAAGCTCATTTATCGATCACGTGAACCGTTTGGCCCCTGCAGATCATTACATTGCCATTTTGAGTCTCCATCGGGCGGGTAACAACTAATTTTAAATAAACCATTTCTTTTTCTACAGATTTCTTTTTTTGCATTTACATGTTTTCTACATTGCTTGTAATTACACAGCGGCAAGTAATTGAACCTTTGTTCGGGAGAATATCTCAGACAGGTACTGCAGGTAATCAATGATAGAGGGTGTCTTAGATAGATACTGCAACTAATCAATGATGTGCCCAGCTGATTGCGAGTTAAAAAAAAACTCACTTTTTTTTTTGACTGTTGATCCGTAGGCTGTATGATTGATTATTGGCGTACAATTGTAAATCGAGAACAAGCCTATAAATTACAGATCGAGATTCAAAACTATGTTTGTTTGTCTATCTGTTGTGCATATGCATTTGCATCTGGATGACAATTCCAATCTGGTGAAATCATACACATCAGAGAATGGATTTCTAAAGCCATGTTTGAAACCTTTTTCTTTTAGGTGTAAGTATGTACTTTCTTATTTGCTTTAGGGAATTTACATAGTCGAGTAGGTATACACTTGAGAGATCAAGATTCAAACATTAAAGTTTGATTTTGAAGTTTCTATATATACTCAATTCGTAGCTCTAAAAAGTTGATTTTCAACTATGGCAGTTTCTACAAGTTGCATAATATCCGCAGCCTATCTGATACATGGTCAATTTTCTTCGAAAACATTAAAACACTTGAAATTAAACTAAAAAAAAACATAAAACTAGGGAGTACTAACTAAGGCTTAGAAACACTAATAAATTCTTCATCTTCGGCATCTTCTAAGGTTGGACTATGGCTTGATGAACGCAGTAAACTCTTCTCTACCTGCGGCTCTTCTTGGGTGGTTTCATCAATGTTGTTTACTTCAGTATCAGAAACAATATCTTCTGTTTCAGACGTTTCTGCCTCTGAAGATTTTTCATGTTCTTCTTCTTGTACGTCTTCTTGTTGCTGTTGTTGCTGTTCTTCTTCTTCTTGCTGTTGTTGTTCTTCGTCCTGTCTGTTAAGCTGTTCTAATTTCTCTTCCAGCTCTCTGGATAATTGCTCATCCTCGACAAGCTCCTTCTCTAACTGCTCCAATTCTTGTTTCTTCTGCCTGATTTGTTCTTTCCTTCTTTCAACCTTTCTCTTTGCAATTCTTGAAGCATTGGCGGCCCTTTCCTTTTCAACTTCACGATTATATGGCAAAGTAATCAACAACTCATCATCATCGTTAACTTGCAATTCAATATTGTTCAAATCGACAAGACTCTTGTTTAACCTAAATACCCTCTCAAAACTGTCAATCTCAGATTCAATCACAAGATAATATTCTCTTCCTCTCTTGACCACCTCAACGTCGAAACCTTTATACCCCCTGGCATTATAGATGTGGATCTGATGATTGTTGTCGTTTTCAACTTGTTTCACCTGGACAGAAGTTCTTCCCGTGTTTGCCTGTTGAAGTGAGCAGAATCTATAGCTACCGAATCTTGGATTCACCGGTCTGGGGAAAACATCAAGGGGACTATGTCTTGGATAGAGTGTTTGTCTTTCGAATTGGTAAAACAAGTCGTCCAATGGAGAAGCATAGGTGCTGTAGATTTGAAGCATGGTTAAAGTTGTAATTGTATTATATATTTATAATGAATAAAAACAGAATATATAAATGTAAATCAAGAGAGGATTTGGCTTTCCTTTTATAGTAATTTAATCCTGACGGCAAAAGCGTGGAGATGATTTTTGCAACCAGAATCGTGTGTTTTTCTCGTGGTGTATTTTGCTAGAACATTCTGTGGATGTATGACAAATCAAACGAAGATTACCTCCGCAAACAATGCGAGTCGCCACTTGTATATCTTATCTCCGTTCTGACTAATTGTTTACTTCTTGTTACACTTCCTACGTGTGTTTCCAAATTGGGTTAGATCGGCTTTGTTCTACATTCATAGAGATTACTAATTCGTTGTGTTGATTACAATTGCCATCGTGTAAAACAGACGTGTTTAACAGGTAATTATTTTATTAGCCTAGAAATAATATACAAGTTTTGGGAAAACGTACTAAAAAACTGATGGAGAGAACTGTAAACTTTAAATAGCAGCATTATCAACCTTTTCGGTTCTTTCAGCATCAAAGAGGAAATCGTAATATGACTTATCATAAGTATGCACTCTAATAAAACCATCTTCTCCTCCACTACTGTAACCGGACCCATCTGGGTGTACAGCAACAGTGTTCAATGGACCGAAATGACCCTTGACACGACCAATTTCATCTTGGAAAATCTTGTGGTAGAATCTAGCTTCAAACTTACCTTGGGATTCAGCAGTGGTGGTAACATTTCTGGCTTCTTGACCACCACCCAAGATAACGAAATCCTTGACTGGAGTAATGGCAGCGGTGTTCATTGGAGCATCAGCCTTGTATAATTTCAATGGTTCAAAAGTATCAACGTCAATCAAAACAGCAGTCTTGTCCTTGGAAGAAGTAATAAAGTAAGATTTGTCTTCTGGGGCAAATTGAATATCGGTGATGGAAACAACCTTTTCTTCATTGTGTATACCGTGAGCTTGTAATGATTGGACTAATTCTCCAGTTTGTGAGTCATACTTGGAAATAGATCCATTGTCATGACCAGCAATGATGTATTTGTTATCACCGGACCACCCAGCAACTGTGACTTTAGAACCACCTTCAGCAGTGCTAATAACTAACACTGGGTCTGCCTTTTGGTTGGATAAAGTAGCATTTTCTTGATTTATTTCAAACACGGAAATAGTACCTATGTGACCCATAACTTGATCGGCAACAGCCAATAACTTGGTACCATCAGAATTAAATGCCACTCTTCTAACTGGAGATGGAGATTCCCAAGTGTAGTAACATTGACCGTTTTCGACTTTCCACAACTTGATAGCCAAGTCACCCCCTCCAGTAGCAACCAAATGGGTTTCTGGGTCAACATCAATAGACCAAATTACCCCCTGGTGTCCTTCTAAAGTACCCAATCTTTCACCGTTGGATGAATACCAGATAGATGCGGCATTATCTTTGGCAACTGAGAATAATAAGTCACCTTCTCTGTTGTATTTAACTTGAGTCAATGAACGCTCATGACCCATCAACTTTATTGGTCTCATTGTTTGGTATTGGTTGTCTATCTGTATATCTTCTATATTTTGAAAAGCTCTTCTTTTTCATGAATTTTTTTTTCACTACAATTTTTTATTTTTTCGATTTGGAATATTTGCCTGCATATAAACAACACAAAGTCTACACATACTTAACAGATATCTTGGATAAAGACATTCTTACCGTCGTGGTCACCGTATTCCAACTTCAACTTACGGTTGAATAGCTCGAAAAGCCATTCGAAACAGTTCTTGGTGATGGCAGGATCATATCTTCCTTTACTGCTTTCATCTCTAACAAAAGCATGTTGAGCATCATTAATTTCAATAAAGGTCATTTCGACATCTTTAGATCTCAATTCACTTCTAATCAAGTCTCTACCTGGTAAAGGAACATGGTTATCCTTGCAACCAAAGATCATCACAATCTCACCTTGAATTTCACCACACCTCTTTAAAGAATCGTCATTTTGACCTTTACCAAGAGCATGGTTATGGATATCAGTAGCAAAGAAACAAACAGCAGCTTTGATTCTTGGATCTAAAGCAGCACGGAAAGCCAAGTGGCCACCAAGGCACATACCAGTAGCACCAATCTTACCATTACAGTTAGGCAATGAAGTTAAGTACTCAATGGTCAATTTGTTGTCTTCATCATAAGATTCCAATTCCTTTTCAATCTTGTACTTGTTACCCTTGTCAGTACCTTCGACATCATAAGCCAAAGCCTCTGGCCCTTCAAAGTTGTGATAGATCGATGGACAAGCAACAATAAAACCTTGACCGGCGATATCTTTGGCAAATCTTTGCACTGGACCAGTGACTTGGTAGATTTCACTATAGACAATCACCCCTGGGAATTTGACCTCGGGATAGTTGGGAATAACTGGGCTATAGGTGAAGATACGCATGGTAGTACCATACGATGTCTTGACATCGTGGTAGGATTCCTCAATCAACATCTTGTAGTAAAGCAATTGGTGTATGTTTGTGGGAATATGAAATCTTGTTGAATGAGTCTAAAAAAAATACAACCAGAATGTTGAAAAATTAACAACCCCCTCCTCCCCCCTTTTGAACAAGCGGAATGCGTGGAAGCTCCCCACTTTTGATTGCATTTTCTAGTTTAGCCTAAACTTGAAGTCTTGGCTTATGTAGAGTCAAGCAAGACCAGTACTGTTTGTGTAAGAAGCTGCATTCTTAAATCTTTGTGTTGTCTACATAAAAGTATAATTTACTTTTAACTACCTTTACATTACACCTATAAGCAAACCATATAAATAAATAACTCTACAAACCTACATACCAACCGATTTCCGATTAGGCTTGTATAGCTGGAATTAGTTTGTGATAGGATCACTTCTTCATCTTGGCTAATAGTTCTGCCTCCTTTTTGGCGTCAGCTATATAGTTGGTTAGTATCAAAAAGTTCACAAGGTTTGCCAAGACATAGTCGCCGTGTGGACTGGATTGAATTTTACATACCTGCTGCTTGTTTCAATCTCATCTTCTCAGCATCACTTTCCATTCTTTTAGCCTTATCACCTTGCTTTTGCCCTTTGGCTGCATCTTGTTGTTTCTTCAAGTTTTTAGCACGAGCTAATTCTCTTTGGTTTCCTCTAGCCATTTCCGAACTGTTTATTAGATATACAATAGAATACAATTACTCTTGGACCTCCTGTTAAAGGGGATGTTACCTCCTTAATGGTTATTGCAAGTCGTTATAATGTTTTGGCTGACGTAGTTTTTTTCTTTCAGCACTACTCCAAATTAACAAAGTTACCCGGAACTTTTTGTCGTAAAATTCAGATCCATTATACATACTAAGCCGATGCTGCGAATTTGGTATTCATACATTATTATTGTCTATATATTATACAAGGTCAAATCTAACTATTGTTCCTTCATTTCAGTAATGATTCCACGGTCAACCTTTGGATCATAAGGTTTCAACAAGAACTTCGAAAATTTAGTCAAATTTTCCACTCCTCTAATTTCAGTACCTAACAAAGGCATCTTAACTAAATGGTAATCTTCATATAATTCCGCCATTTGATCCAAATACTTCTTTTGCATCTTCCATCTACTAACACATCTGGAGCATGGGCTTTCATCATCATCAGCAAACAATAATTGGTTGACGACAATTGAGTTGACATCCATTTGGTATGACATCAATTCCTGAATCATTCTTTCAGTTTCATACAAGGAAAGGAACTCGGAAATACAAACACAGACAAATGTAGTCAAGTCAGGATTAGTGAATTGTTCATTAACTTCAGTAACATTCTTCTGAACTTCATTCAACTTTGCAAACATATCTTGTTGGTTGGCACCTCCTCCCAACATGCTCATCATTGGACCAAGCTTACCGGATAATTGTTGGAACTTTCCTAACAACTTTTGTAAAGTTGATGGCAATTGTAAGAAACGTAATGTGTGTCCAGTTGGAGCAGTATCGAAAATAATAGTTCTATAGGAAATCTTATCCTTAGAGTCGTCTTCATTAACTTTTTGGTTCTTGATATGCTTCAACACTTCCATGAAAGATAAAGCTTCATCGATACCAGGTATGGAGCCAGTCATATCATTCATCATACTCTTTAATGGATCGTTTGGATCGTTATTGTACTGTTGGGCTTGTTGCTGTAAATCGCTCATGGCAGCTTCGGGATCAATTTCCATACATGACAAGTTGGGCAATCCTTCGACTTTTCTAGCATCCTTACCAAACTTTTGACAGAATGCATCGGATAAATTATGAGCTGGATCGGTAGAAATCAACAAGAATTGGTCGTTTGGATGGTTCAAGGCCAATTGTACCGCGATTGAGGAAGAAGTGGTGGTTTTACCAACACCACCTTTACCACCGACAAAGATCCATTTTAAGGTGTCTTGAGTGATTAATGTTTCCAAAGTAGGTTCCAATTCAAAGTCCATTGTGATTTGTTACGTGTGTTGTTGACTGTCTGAAACAACGTCAATTCTGTTTTTGATATTTTTTGAATTTTCGTTATTGCCCTCGTTTTGCTGTCCACAACTTTTTTTTTTTGTTAATTGTGAGAAGGTTCCAGAAGATCGCACATACGTCACGGACAGTGCAATGAAAAGGGAATGATACACTGGGAGTGAGTGCTGAATCTGACGTTGATACATCTTGTTTACTGATATTAGTAAATGCAGTAAATAGTGTGATTATTAAAAGAATGGGCAATTTCGAACGTGGTTCAAGTGCTCAAGTTCTTCAAACTCTTTGATTTGCAACCTTTCAAGTAAATTGCATCTAATCTGTACTTATATAACCATATTTGATACAGAGAAATCACCAATAAACTAGTTCTTTGAATAGCATATATTAGTAGGTCATATTACCTAGTTTTAGGTGTCTTGGGTGTTTTAACTTGAATTAGAGGAAATTTTCCCAAAAATATAAGATAATACCTAATGAAAATGGACAGATCAAGAAAACACAAAAAACAACTAACATAACAAAATTTTTTCTATATAGAATCCATAATTAGATGTTATTAAGGCAATTTAATCTCCAAATAACTAAATAAATTCACAATTGATGCTCTACTCAGCCATTATTTGACTTACAAAAGTCATTTAATTATAATTCCTCAAAATTTTCATTAAAAAAAAAACTTCAGAAAATAAGCGCAAATGGTTTAGTGGTAAAATCCAACGTTGCCATCGTTGGGCCCCCGGTTCGATTCCGGGTTTGCGCATTTAAAGATATTTTCGTATAGCCTTTTTTTTTAATTTTTGTAGATCTTCACATTAGCAAAATATAACATTGATATTTACTTACCATTGTTTTTTTTTGTTAATGTCGATGTCGATTGCCAAAAAGGGGCTTCGAAAGCATATTAAACAAGGTCTAAAAAACATATCGCAAGAGTCATTACTGCTCCAAAGCAGATACATCCATGATAAGTTAATCCAACATGAAAAGTTTCAAAATGCCAAATCAATTGCATTATATATGAACATGCCCGATCTGGAGGTGAGGACTATGGAAATGATCAAGACTTCTTTCCAACTAGGCAAGTCAGTGTATTTGCCTCGATGCAATTATACCGAGAAAGAAGGAAGAAAGAAGAACTTTCTATCTATGTTGAATGTGAATTCTTTCCAGGATGTCCAAAATCTTCGACCTCAAGGAAAGTACAAATTATTGGAACCAGTTGATGGCGAAGATGCCATGGAACTGGGAAGTCTTGATATAATTATTGTTCCTGGTGTTGCATTTACTAAAACCAAGAAGCGGATGGGTCACGGGGCAGGGTTCTACGACGAGTTCTTAAATTACTATTACAAGAAACACAATAGGAAACCATATCTTATTGGTGTAGCTTTAGAAGAACAATTAATTGAAGATTTACCTACCGAAGAGCATGATTGGAATCTAGATAGTCTAATTGTGGCCAATCATGACATAATTTATTAAGTTCTATAGATTAATGTACATATATTCCTACAATGCAGTTCTCTAGCATTCTATCTGCATTCACCCAACTATGATACTTGTTGAACAATGCAGTGCCATCTCTCCCTGCGCACTTCATAATTTCATCAACTCCACCAGGATGGAAATTAATATACGGAGTTATATTAAACACTTTGCCATTTATGCATGTCCAACAATCTTGCTCTGACTTGTGTTTCTTTAACTCTTCTTTGGTGATTTTGACGAACTGGGCTGGGGGAGTAGTGGGGTCAACTCCTCGTAGTTTATATTTCGGTTGTGTTCTATTCAACTGGGCCCAGTCAAGAGGTGAATAGCCTGGCTTCAATGCCACTTTGTGCCGAGGTCCACTTAAGGACGAAGATGCTCGTTGTGCTGAGTTTGGTGCAGGGAATAGTCCTCGGTTGGCACCTCCTGATGGTGGCGTTCGTATGGGGCCAGATACCGGTGGTTTTAAATTAGAACTTTTCATGCCGAGCCCTTGGCTACTTCCCTGTATTTTAGCTGTTAGTTGCTCAAGTTTTGATCTGGTATCTTGATTAACCTGGCTCATAGTAGTTGACTAATACGATTACTGTTAATGGTAGATCTAAATTTTTGTATTCTTTTCTTTTTTTTTTTTTTGTATTTAGCGCGATTGCTAAAAAATACTTACAAAATTGCAAAATGTTACATTAATGTTATATACGTCTATTCATTCTCATTCCTGTTCTTCATTAAGACGCAGGTGGATGTGTGCATGTTGGTGATGGTGATGGTGGTGCCCATGACTATGACGTCTGATTTGTTTATTGTCAACCCGTTCATAAAACAACATGTAAACCGTAGTTACCTCACTTAAAACATAACTGGTAGAAACTTCTTGGATACGAGCATCACTAATTCTCCAATATGGATTATTTATGAGTGAACTGATCTTCTTCACCTTGATTTTATTCTCTTTATGTTTCTTTCCATTAAATGACTGTTTAAGGTCATATCCATTGAACAAATTACTTTTGTCCTCCACTTTAGGATGAGGAACAGCAGGATCATCCACATACATTTCCGAAGGTGTCTGTACTCCAGATTGTATGATCTCTTCCACACTCACTGGATCAGCTTGGATCACCGAGGGAGTTCTCCCGATAAAACTCGAGAATCTCGAACGTTTGCCTTCTTCGGCACTGTCGTACCCGCTCTCGTTGAAATCAGTACTATTGGTAGAAAGACGTGACACCACCGAGAATTTACGCCTCATTTTAGAATCTTTAGGTTCCAGATCTGAAACTATTGGTGTATCACTTCCAACCATAGGAGTTGCATCACATATAATATCACCCGTTGTTTCATCTTCAATTTGAGGAGACAATTTATAGATATTACCCTCTTTATCCTTGACAAACAATGGTTTATGTTTATAACATTCATAATGACCTTGAGTGTGAGATCCAAAATGTCTTATCATAGCCCGCAAACGGTACTTGTAAACATCATTCTCATTGAATTTGAATTTCTGGAAATGGATTCTTAGATCATCCTTTTGTTTTTCACTGATACCAGAGGTAGCCTTTTGAAGCGAAGCTTCGTTACTATCACTATGCTGCAACGACACCGGAGTTCCGTCTCGTGAAATCGAATCAGCAGAAGCAATCGAAGAATTGTCGAGAGCACTATCCCCTTCTACTGGTGAATCATCTGTAATTTCTGATTTATCGGCATCAGTTTCAACCTCTTCACTTACATCATCTGCAGAGGAAGGTCCCCGAAGATCTATATCCTCTCGTTGAACGTCTTCATCCTCCACATCATTTATATCAGTGGTTAACACCGACCATGTTCTTCTTCCTCGGTACAGACTCTCATCGGCATCACCAGTTTCTTGTTGAAACTGTCTCAACTTATTGTGATAATCCTTACCTATTGATAAAGTCAAATGATCATTGAAAGTTACTCGACATGAGTTTCTTGTAATATTTTGGCCATCAAATGAAGATCTCGAAAGATGAATGGTGAAAATCTTGGGTGGTTTCAAAATTTGGGATTTTTTGAAAACGGTGGATGTAATTTCAGAAACATCCACTCCTTGAACAGAATACTTTCGGATATAGTCTTCCAAATCTTCAGGAAGATCTTGGTTAATGCAAAATTCACGGTCTTTATTCAACTCCCTGATTGTCGCCAAATGTTTCTTTTCTTCTGGGTCAGTTATATTCCGGTTTATGTTATCTTCATGTTCCACAATCCTACTTATACGACATTTAAGACATTGATATCCTTCAATTGTTGCTTTTTCATTCTCATCCAATATTTTCTCCAATTCAGCATGAGGAGTTTGCGGCGTTGATAAAGTAAGGATTAAAAACGGGACGAAATTAGGTTTGGAATAACATTGACAGGACAAGCACCTCATTTGGTTCATAATCAACCCATCAAAGGGGAATTCCGGAACCTGGATCATTTCAAGCTCAGAATAATCTTGCGGAGAAGGGAAATTGACAATTACGTGCAAGTTTTTGGAGATGAAACGATAAAAGCTTTTCAATTTCAAATTTTCATTTTCCAAAGTTTCATTTATCAATTGGGTCAATTCATGGGCATCATGCTGAGAACGGGAAATTTTGGCATTGAATATGTTTTCCAATACATGCAAGAATGTCCATACACTAACAGTTCTCGACGTCATTTGAGTGCCTTGTAATATTTGCACTAATCGAGCCATGGCGATATGCAAAGGGATATCAAATTTGGAGTTTGCTGATTTGAACTTGGAGTGTTCTAAATTCGGACTGTGTTCCAATCGCAATTTGATCAACCTCTCGATGTCGATATTGTGTTCATGAATAAACAAGGTTAATTTGCGGAAACTCTTGATGAACTGGTTCAAGTACAGAGTTAGCGCCGGCAGCGACGAATATGCTTGTAAGGACGAGTTGGCAAAACAATCGTTTCTCATATTGATCAACCCAGTGGTGTACTTGTCAGGTCTTTTGGAAAACATTTTATCTTCTCTATTTAAAAATGGTAATGAAGGGGAAAGAATATAGTAGGATAATGACACAAGAATACAAAGTTGGACAACTAGTGATTTTCTTTGGCGCGGAGTTCTATTATGCCAATGACGTAGTATGAAATCAGGAAGTAATGAGCTATTAGTGGGTACTGCAGCGGAAGGACTGGGAATTAGTAATGCAGTGTTTACAGATGGCGGTTGATAGCTAGCAAGATCTTGATTAGTGATTAGGCAGCGGATTTGGTCCCAAAGACTCATTCACTAAGAGAAGGGTTGAAACAAAAGCAAAAAAAAATCGGGATTATATGAAGCAATGAAATTTGCTGGATTAGCTAAAAAATGAGTGATTTCTGGAATTGTGTAGGCTTTAGATTTTTGTCTAATTCTTTTTGGGGGAGAAAGGAGGGGAGGAAACTTAACGGTGGTAAATTTTTTTTTTTTTCATTCCAGTTCTTTTCTTTTATTTTTTTGGCTTCTCTTGGTGTGTCTCTGATTACCATCGCCCAAACCCTTCCCCTAAATCTATGGAGGCAAAAAAAAAAAAAGTTCCAGAAAAAATACGCAGGTACACACGATTTCGCGGGTGACAGCGAGGGGGATTTGTGTAAGTCCCCCACGCCACTACCCCAAACTTTATTTCTATACAAGTGAATCTCCAGATCACACAGCCAAGACATGTTTTGTACTTGGATCGAAACACAATGTCATATTTATTTGATAACAAATTAACACAAATTGTTATCTATTTCTCTCTCTCTCTCTCTCCTAAACCTTAGCATACCTGAAAGTTGCTAAAAGAAATACAAGGTAACATGGTAGCGCTGCAATACAAGACACTGATTAAGATCTACAGTTCCTTGTGCTAGATCTTGGTTACATGTTGTGGTAATATACAACATTGCTTTGTGTTAATTGATCAAAAATTGCTATTCAATTGTGTAATTTTGCATGGCATTTTTGGATAACTTCTCATCCCAACTTTGAGATATATACCTTATTAAGATGATTGTAAACATAAGAGCTTCTCCAACCAACTAAATAAAATGCAAAATGAAAGCTAGAAATAGAGTCATATAAAACTTAATTTAGAGGCCCCAATTTAATATTACCAACATTTGGCTGTTATAGGTAAGAAAAAGTTCTCATCACTAACAATTAATTGCAACTTGGGGGAACTGCTTTTTCAGTACCCACTGTATCCAGAATGAACTGAACGGATCTTTTATAGCAAATCTGTCATTTTCTTGTTTCCAACAGTAACGTTTCTTAGGTAGTTGTATTTCTTCAAAGTGGAATGTTTTGTAAATCCTCTCAAACTGTAATTGGGCTCTAACATTACAACAGCTTCTATGCCTCTCCCACTGGCCTGAACTATTCAAAGTATTTCTTGTTCTTTTCTTACAGTCTCGAGCCATACACAAGACACAAATACATTTTAATTTAATATATTATTATTATATTTTTAAATAGAAAGCATACCTTGAGTTATACTTTTGTTCAGGTTCAACCAAGAGCAGTAAGAACATTTTTTTAATGCATGCAAATAATTTAAACACATAAACTCAGGTAAAAAAACACACCTTGTTTTCGTATAAAATATTTTCCCGTGTACCACACCACTGATTGATATTTCAACAGGCTAAAATGACGATTTAATAAAAATTCATCTTGTTCTTGATTAATTCACTAATATCATTAGTTAGTTTACGAAATTCTTGCACTAGTGATACAAACTTTTCTGATTGACTCATATAAACTCAATTAAACAGAACAGTTTGAAACCGAGAATATTCCAAATAGGTTTTATTGCAACTATCTATCTAAGAGATCCCCAATAAAAAGAACAAACTTAGGTACTGTTGAATTAATTCATTTGAAGCTAGCTCAATTACGAACGGAAAAGAACAATTCAGAAAAATGAAGGGTGAGATCGGAGATATACTCAGTGTATACAGCAAAAGTTCCATGAAAGACCAAAGAGGAATCCTTCACTGCAATTCACCTAATTTGAGAATCAAACTTCCTTGGTAGGTGCACTTTCTGCAATCTACACATACCTAGACCTTATCATTTTTAAAAAAATTCTATTAAGAACACATATACTATCCTATTTACGTTCTCGTTCTCTTTATCTAGAATCTAAAAATTAATGATTTTCATAGTGGCATACCCAACAGAAACAATAATTGCATAAGCAATCACTGAACTTGGAACACCTCTAGTGATAAATGTACCTACCGTCAAATATGGCTTACCAAACTCATCAGTCATACAAATAGCAGTGACGTTAGGGAACCCAGAGGTAGGCAAACCCATGGCAGCCGAGCATAGCAAGGCACTTGCCATGATCAATAACCTTGGATGAGGTTCGGCCATATTATTACCGATTTCACTAACTAATGGAATAATAATTAAAGCAGCAACGGTATGAGAAACAAATGTAGCCATGGTTAAAATCAAAAATCCAAATGTTAAAGTAACTCCAAACAATGAGAAATCTTCAACTTGATGTTGAATTTCAATTGCAATTGTGTTCAATAATCCGGACGATGCAACAGCTTTACCTAACGCAGTACCACCCATTGCTAAAATGACAATATTCCATGGATAGTTATTGAAATCTTCGGTGTTTAATAATCCCGAACCAAAGAATAAAACAAGTGGAATCAAAGCAATGATACCCATTTCTCCGAAAATACCAGTCAATCTTGATGCAATACACCAAAGGAAAATAGTCAACACGGTAACAGCAATGATAAACCATTGAATGGCGGAAAACTTGTCATCAATAGTTCTAATTGCAACCAAATGGGTATTTCTTGAGTTACAGTTGAAAGTAATTAATAAAAAGATCCAAATCAACAACAATGATAAGATACAAACAGGCAAAGCAATGACAAACCATTGACCCCATGAAGGTTGAGGCTCCATTGATCCAATGGCAATCATGTTTTGTGGAGATGCAATTGGTGAAGCCATACCTCCAATGTTGGATGCAAGGGCAATACCCAAAATCAAGGCATTGATGAATTGTGATCCCTTTGGCAATGTTCTTAAAAGTGGTTGAATCAAAGAGAAGCACAACACTGGAGCAGCAACATTCGACACCCACATGGATGCAAAAAGAGCAACTCCCATAATTGTCAATAACACAACTGAAGGATTTGTACCAGCTTTAGAAAGAATCCAGGTGGAAATTAACTTGGCAATATGGTATTTGGTCAATGCAGCAGCTAAAGTGAACCCACCTAACAATAATAAGATAACTGAATTCCACATAGTTGATAAAATGAATTTAGAAGCATCGACAGTAGGCATAATTGTTCCATCGTCATTCTTTATAACTTGTAAATTAACAATAAGTAATGGTATTAACAACGAAGTTACAAAAAGTGGAATTGTTTCAGTAGCCCAAAGTAACGAAGCACAAATCAATAATGCAAAACAATTCTTCTGAGCTGAATCAGTAAACGGAGAAAAGTTAAGTAAAACAACCGTAATGGTCAAAATAGTCAAAAACTTCAACACAACTGGATTCTTTAATGAGATATTGAACCCTTGAATCATTTTATTATCCGAACCTTCTTCAGCCTTTTCTCCACGTTCACGATCTGAAAGCTTTGCATTTGCAGCATAAGATTTTCTTTCCAACCCAATCATATCTCTCCAAACGGTATTTCTTTCCCAAACCACATGTTCACGTAAGTGGATCGATAATTCGGATTTGGCAGCTTCCAAATCATCACCTTGGTTACAGATTAACGCATAAAGTTTAATCAAGGCTTCAAGACGATCATCCACTTTATCAATGGTGGCTGGTTTGAAAATATAGGACTTTTCAGGTAAGGATTTCAAATATTCATCCTTTATGTTGGTGTTTAAAGATTTGTCAAACTTCTTTGAAGCTTTCTTAAACCCGGTTTGATTCAATTCAATATAAGACTTCAATTCGGATAAAGTGGTGTATAACCCAATGATACGCTTTCTCAAGATAATTCTACTTTCGCTCAATAAGAGCAATTGAGGAGGAACATTAGCTTTGCCTGCAACTTGATTCAAATTGTTCCAAACTTCTGGGGATCTAGGAGACTTGAGATATTCGTCAATAGAACGAGAATGACGTAACGAAGTAGCACCATCCGAGGGCAAGTTAGGAACAGAAGCAAATCTTTTTCTTTTGGAACCATCATCACTAGCTGCTCCTTCTGTACCTACTTCTTCTTCTTCTTCATCATCGTCATCTTCAGCTTGAGTGAATTCTGTGTCAGGATCAGTTGTGTTGACGACATAGTCGCTGGACAAAGCTGAATGAGCTCTTCCTCTAGCTTTAAATTGCAGGGACATAACCAATGAACTGTCTATTTCGTGTTCAAAATTCTCAATGTCATTCATCAATTGATCAATACTTTTGTAAATGAACTCTTCTTGTTGCTGATAGAAGGAGTCAATTTTCTTCAATTCAGCATCAAGGGCAGCAATGAATACAGCAGAAACTGATTCAGTATCACCTAATCTACCAGTAGATGCATAGCCTCCTTCGGTTATCAAATGGGCAGCTTCTAAATCAGTTCCTTCTCCTTCGTATCCTCTTCTTAAGTTATCTCGTTGAAGGGAATAAATCAACTTCTTCAAAGTTGTATAGGCAATGTATTTTGAAGACCATTCTGGTACAGCATTAAACTGTAAGGAATGAGAGAATTTCATCTTCGGATACCTGGGTTCTGTTTAGTTAGTTCAGGAGTCCTCGGGTAAATAACTTATTGCTCTATGGGGTATCAGTAAGTCAAGATGTAGCTAACTAGTGTTGACTTGGAAGTTTGAAGCGTGTTTAAGTTTGTCCAAAATTTGTATTCACCGGGGCCAGTATAGGAATTTTGAATTTATGTGTTGCCGTTTTTTTCGCCAGAAACAACGAGCTTTTTTTTTTTGTTTCCCGAATGTGTTTTTCTTTGTAAAAATGGAACTCGGAAAAATACGTGCTGGTCAAGAAGTGGTCTTCCTGGTGATATTATGGGGAGGATTCAAATTCAAATTCAAATTCAAATTCAAACACAAGAAACAATTTACTGTAAGAGAAAATTTTAAGAGCAGTAACTGAGTTTGAAAGGAGAAGGGGCACTCGGCAAGCAATTTATACAATGGGGGGGGGGGGAGGGATACGTTTTGAGTAGTCTCGTAGTGGACCTAGCAAATTATTTTTAGATCTCTTGTCAGTTGTCAAATTCTCGTGTCATATTTTGAAAATTTTGTGGCTGCGACACAAATCGTCCAATACGAAACAATGGTGTTAGATCAAAAGATTCGTATGGAAGGTTTACTTGGGTCACAAAGTTTGATGAAATTGATTTGAAAAAAAAATGTTCAAAAAAATATTGGGCCCTCTCAACTAATTACACTCCTCACCTTCATCTTTGTTTAAAGTGCTGAATTAAAATATGTGTCCCACTAATAAGGTATCACACCCTCTAGAATAACAAAGCGTTTGTTATCAACCTTTTATCGCAGCAGGTTTATTTTCAACATTTTGCAATTTTATTATCAGAGAATCCATCTAATTGTACATGGAGAGAATAATTTTTTTTCTCTCACTGAGCTGTGTAAGCACGTGTGCTTTCCTAATTAGGCAAGGCCTCCCGTGCCCTTTAATTTATTTGGGGTAACACAAACTTGATTCACTCATATGATTCAAATTATTATCAAAGAAAATAACGCAGAATCTCCTCCCGATAGGATTTGCTTGATTGTAATTGGTGGGTTATTGGACCAAGAGGGGAAACGCGACACGCTCACTTCCTTGTTGCAGTTGTCAAGTAATTATATCTTGCCAGGAGGCAATAAATTCCTGCAGCTATTCAATTTTTTGACATTATTTTACTGCCAAAGAAGGTTTATTCATTTGCACAAACTGCCAGTTTCGGTCACACGAGGCAATCCTTTCCCTCTATATTTCTACTTTGTATTATATATTTTTTTTTTGACCCAACACGAATATACAATTAATTTCGTGTTTAAATTTTTTTGAGATATTTGTAAAATTATTCAGTTAATGATTCAAAATACTTGATTTTGGGGATTAATTGAATATATTTGGAGCTGATTGAAGACCAGATAATCTGTATTACTCTCTAGTAGGTAGTTGCTTGTAATATTACAAATGACACGAGGCATAAGCATGTGCATTAATGCATTGTACTAGAATTTTCAGATTTTAGGTAAATAATTTCTGCTTTATGATTCAATCCCGCGGGATGCAGTTCCACAGTCAATTTCATATAGCAAAGCCATACAGTTAACATATAACCTAGTCTTGGCAACAAATCTCGACCCCAATGTTATGTGGACAAATATGAGCAACCATCAAAACTTTTTGAGATAAGATCAGTAAGAATTTTCCTTCTGTCTCCCATAAAATGTCACAAAGACGTCATCCGTTTGTCTAAATAGCTCATATACAATCCAATTGCTTATACTAAGGAAACACTAACACACGAATAACATCACATATGTATGAACTCTGGATGTGATGAAAATTAGATAAACTAGTTTCATTTTAACCGCTTTATGCTGATAGATAAAGTGTACATAAAAAATGTCGCAACTTGCACGCAATTATCTCAATTTGTTCCCTTTTTTTTTGTATGTTCAGGCACAGACAATAAACGAAATTACATCATAGAAAAACAAAAAAGTTATTACATTTTACAAAATGCTCTTTCTACAGTTTCAGCAAATAACAGTTCTACAATTCAGTAGCGATCAATTAAACAATAGTATTTCTCACTATATCCGGACAAACCAGCCTACTACTTTACCAACTACAATCAGGATTCACTTTTGAATTCATCACTCAATTAGCAAAGCAACTAACCCCCCCTTAAATTATGGACTTTTGTTTCTTTCTTGTTGGATGTAAGTATATATCATTATGAAACACGGCATCATCATTCCAACTCGGATATTGACGCAACACCCTCCAGTTACGATATTTACCGCGGAAGCATATACGAGGAATAACCGTCAACTAATGACTTGGAGTTTGACATCGGAATTGCTGGAATTGTTAACCAAGCGGTAAAGTTGCTACTACTCACGATGATTTTGCCGAGATTAAGAGCATTCAAAGCCACTGACTCATTATTCGTTGCATACATACTAACACCTCTCTAGTCAAAGAATTCAATAAGCCATTACCCGATGTGGGTAATGTTGCGTGTTATTGCGGTCATTGCCATAACCAATCGGCTTTTCCAATGCGAACCATCAACTGTATAACATTGTTTTTCATTCCGGTATTACCGTTTTATTTCCATAAGAGATTGAGATGCAATATTTGCGGAACTACAGGTACCCTTAATCAAGAAGCACTTGAACGGTTAAAGCAGGGCCAGCCGGTAGCTATAGGATGATCTCGGATATAATTTCGGGATTGATGGCAAGATCGGCTTAGATCGCGATTGTTTTATTGTATAGTGAATAAAAAATAAGTTTTCTATATTCGTGTTTGAGAGGTAAATTTTAATCAAAAAAATGAGGGGATTCTCCAAGATTAGTAACTCGCTACCATTATTCCATTAGTTTATTTTGCTGTATACAAACCTGCTTTCGAATCAATTGACCTACAATTAGTATGCGCTACAGATTGTGATTATTTGAATGAACCTGAATAGGTAAATATGTTACCCGTGAAAGTTCGTCTAAGGGGTCAAATATTTGTGCGCTTATGTAAGAGAAAGATATTTTACCGGTCACTACGGCTAATACTATGCTGTACAAGAACCCGGCTCTATCGAATTAGTAAGAATTACATGACTAAAAATTCAATGGAACAATCGAGAAAAAAAAAAAATTAAAATCTAAAGCTGCAGGTGAGGTAAAAAAAATATCACCGCCGTGCCGGCTTTACCGGCGCCAGTGGTAGGTTTCAGCGACACCTGTCATGAATTATTCATCAAACCACGCGATTTCTGCAGTGGTTGAGTTAGCAACTACCTCATTTACAATCGTTGTCGGTACAAAGATCTGGAGATTAGAGTGAGCATTGCTCTTAGCGGCCTGTGCGGATATAACAAGAATAAGAATTTAAAAGACTAAGCTTAAACAAAACCTCGAGATTAACTTTTCTTTTTCAATGAGGGGTTTGATTTTATAAAATTGCAGTTGCTTGGCCAACGGGGGGTCAAATATGTCGCAATTGGCATAGAATTGTGGTTGAAGCAAATAAGTTGGTGGCAAATCCCGTGATGGTGATAAAAGCGCAGACGGCTATTTACAAAAAATAAAATATTTTCATGCAAAAACATAACTCAATAGCTTTTTTTTTGTAGGGAAAGTTCCTTTTTTGTGTGACCACCGAAATTTTTTTGCATGCACAAACTTTTAACCGACGATCAAAAGCATTACTAATTGCCATTTCATCCCTTACCTATTTTAATTTGCTTTATCCATAATCTCCGTTTTACACCCTCAATTAAAATCACTCGTCATCATTTCCTTAACTATGTCACGCCAATACTATAAATAGGGGTACCAAGCTACCCCTATTCTTGTTTTTTTTTTTTTTACTTTTATTAAAATTAATCAAAATAATTTTTTTGCAATCAAATTTGAAAATTTAGCAATGCTTGAACTTGTTAAAAGAAACACGGCGCTCGAAGTTAATCCAACTTCTAGTTTTATTGACATCCATCTTACTGACCATGGTAGTAGTTGGTTATGGGCTGCTTTTGCTGTATTTGGTGTCCTTACAGTTGTCCATGGATTCTTATACACGCTCACTAGTGTTAGACGTAGTGGCTTGAAGAAGGCCCTTCTCACAATTCCATTATTTACTAATGCTATCTTTACTTATACCTACTTTACGTATGCTTCTAATTTAGGTTACACTGGTATTCCAACTCAATTCAACCATGTTACTACTGATGAAGGTTTAGATGTTAGACAAATCTTCTATGTTAAGTTTATTGGATGGTTCTTAGCTTGGCCATTTGTTTTGTCAATCTTTGAAGTTATCACTCATACCCACTTGACTGAAGAAGGTACTGACTTAATCAGTAAGTTTATTAGTCTTTTCCTGGGATTGTTTACCAAGGTTGTTGCTGTAGAAGTTTTCGTTTTGGGTTTGTTGATTGGTGCCTTGATTGAATCAAGCTACAAATGGGGTTACTTTACCTTTGCTGTCTTTGCCCAATTATTTGCCATGTTCTTGATTGGTCGTGATCTCTTCCATTCATTTGGAGCAGCATCAAGATCCGGCTTGGGTAACATGTTTGTCTTGTTTGCCTTTGTTGTTTGGATTTTGTATCCAATCTGTTGGGGTTTATCTGAAGGTGGTAATGTTATTCAACCAGATAGTGAAGCTGCATTCTATGGTATTTTGGATGTTATCACTTTTGGTTTCCTCCCAACCATTTTAACTTGGTTAGCTGTCAAGAATGTCGATGAAGGCTTCTTTGGTAAGATCTGGCCATACCACTTGAAGGACTCTGTTGGTGACAACACTGTTGACCCAGAAAAGAGTATTGGTGACACCACCCCAAGACATTCTGGTGATACTGCTGTTGCACCAGCTGGTGTTCCTGCAACTGCCACTGATGAATAAGCTGATTAAAGCGAAAACCAAGGACTAATTTTTTCTCCATTAAATGCCCCCTGGTCTCATGATTTTTTTTTGGTGACGATGATACGTTTATGATGATGCATGTTAATTCTTTTTTAATTGTGATTTTTTCTCTCTTATACAATGCATCTAATGTCTAGTTTAATTTTTAAGTACAAATTCAATTTTGTTTATATTTATTTTTAATATACCTTTGAGTAATATTTTTAACTGACTGCAAAAACGGCATATCAAGATTGTGGCTATAATTGAACGTAGCCACACGACTCCTCGCTTGAAATTTTATGGTTTCCTTGGGAACAACAAATTTTGTGTGTCAAATATTCTTTTTTCTTCTATCGAGGCAAAAAAAAAACATCAGCACCGCCCGTAGGTTTTAATTTTTGTTGTTTTCGTTGAGCCGATCGACCCCTGTCTGAATTCATTGCTTTTCTCAATTGATAAAACCAGTGCCAGAAGAATCCATCTATATTAGTCAGACACGAACCACACTTGTATAGTCTAGATTTCGTTTATTTTTCACCTTATCGAGATCAATTTAACAAAGTTTACTTACAACTCATCCTTCGCACTCCCCTATTCCCTAGAAGTTAAAGATGTCTACCAGACCAGCCACTAACACTGCTAACAGACAACAAAGTCCAGTACAGCAATTGACTGTACTTTTCACCACTCAACAATTCTATTGGTTCTTGGGCCATGTGTTTGGTGTTTTATTTTTCTTGGTCAGTACCATCACTGGGTTTTTCAACCCCAAGTCTTCATTAAGATACTATCAATTTTCATTATTATCAATCATTGTGACCTATGTGATTGTGATCAAACAAGTATATTTTAAGGGACCTAAAAAGGTTTCAATTAGCCCTAGATTGTTACGTGACGAAAACGTCCAATATCTTGCCTTGGCTGCTGTGTTTTATGTGACAAGTTTTAAAGTTGGTGTAATTACATCTAGTTTATACTCCTATGTTATCTTTGCTATATTCCATATTATAAACTACTTCCAAAACCACTTGTTGGGAATTGCTTTGCCATCATTACAAGCACAGCAAAGATTAAACACCTTACTTACCCAATTCACCCTGAGATTCAATCAACCGGCATTGTATTTTGCTTCAAGTGCAGAAATGGTATTGTTGGTAACTTCAGCATTCTCCTTGATTCCTGCCTACTTGTACAATTTGGTATTTAAGTTTGATATTGTATATGCTGTTACCAGAACTGTTATATTTTTCGCAGTTGTTGTGTTTAACAAGTTTAGATTTGAAAGCAATCAATACACCAAGGATGTCGTTTCCCAATATGATGCCAAGGTTAATCAGGCTTTAGCTACTAATGCTTCTGCATTACAAACTTACCAAAGAATTAAGACTGTGATCTTACAATATTTGAACAAGATTCAATTACCAAAGGAACCAGCCAAGACCAATTAGTTTGTCAAGTTTATACATCTATTTATATATATATATATAAACTTATATATAATTAATAATCTAAATATTGTGTGTACCCTTATTTTGTGTCCTTACCAGACCACTTGTAAGTCGAAGACAAAAAAAAAAAAATTCAAAATAAAATCACCACAGTGTTATTGCTTAGCTTTAAAGGTAATGGCTGCACAAAGTTCGAAAAAGTTGGCAGCTGCCAACGTGAAAACATTAAACCAACTCCATCTCATATCTGCAGGGATCAACTTACTAGTCATCATTGCTATATTTTTCCTTCATCGTCCTGCATCATTCTTACCATGGTTGCTATTATCCATTCCAAGTTTCCTTCTTCAATATAACTTGGAAGCTTCTGGTAGACCAAAGTATGTCAAGGAGAAAGGGTATGATAAATTGGTCAAGCTGGGACAAGACATTCATCAACAAGGTGGATTATTTGAATATTTCTTTGACGTGATTTACTTAACTTGGTTGTTTGACATTTTGATGATTATTTTCGGTACTAATAAAGTATGGTGGGGGTACTCAGTTATTCCAGGATTTGCATGTTACAAATTATATGGAATTGTTTCTCCATTTTTTAAAAATAAAGGTCAACAACAGCAAGAAACTACTTCCACCGCTGAAGAAAAGTCAGCTTCAGGTAAGAGTAAACGTCAACAAAAGTTGGAGGCTAGAAGGGAGAAAGGTCCTACTATGAAGTATAGATAGTGTGAGTAGAGATTTTGCACATTAATAAAGTGTAAAAAAAACATGACAGAAAAAAAATTTCAACCGACAATTTTAATTAACTATCAGTGTACTATATAAAATTAAATACCATATAATCCTAGCTTAGATATAATGCCTAAAGTATCAAACATTGAATCATTCATTGAGCTAGCCTCAGAATTATACTCTACATATCCCACCACCACAACATTATCCATAACTTACACCAATGTTTCGAAGAAACACAGTAGCAAGAATACCAAGGAATCAGTAACGAAACCGAAACACGCCGTGGCTACTCATTCAGTCAATTTCAAGTTATACGAACCAAATTCAGGAAAATGCATTAAATTCAACACATTCAAAATCAAAGAATTATCAAGAATATTGAATTTCGTAGGTCCAAAGGGTGTCAATGACAGTGATAATACTCATGTTGTTGGATTGGGAAGTTTGATGACAAATGTCAAATATGATGCTGTGGAGGAAGAAACCACACCAGCTCCAGAAGGAACACCAGAAGTTGTTAGCAATGCTGCTGCTACTGGTACAGGTACTAGTGTTGCTCCTTCTGCTGCTCAATCAAAGAAGAAAAATAAGAAAAAGAAGAAGAAGAATTAGTTCTATTTGTATGAGTAAATAGGATAATCGAAATAGCATTAATGATATAACGTTAGCTGTAACAATAACTTAATATATTAAATAATGAAAGTTGGAGCCATAAACAGATCCATGAAAAACAAGAAATACTAAACTAATACACACTGGGGAGCAAGAACAAAGACTGCCAAATTACCTTTAAAATTCTATACATAAAAACACAAGTAAAATGGCAAAATTGATGTTCAAATAAACTCACAAAAAAAAGGGAATAAATATGCAACATTGCAACATCAACGCCCTATCTAAATAAACTCTTGAATCTGGAAATAAGATTCTCTCTTCTACTTCCAGCTTCTTTCTTTGGAGAAGCAGCAGCAGCAGCAGCAGCAGCAGTAGCCTTTGGTTCTGGACTGGCTGGATATCCACCTGGAATCTTCATGATATTTTCTTTAGTCATTTCAATTGTAGATTCAGATGGTTGTGATAACAACACTGGCTTGATAGGTTTATCTGAAGCAGCGGTAGCAGCAGTAGTAGCTTGATTAGAGGATAAAGTGAATTCATCATTTTGTTTATCAGCACTTGAATTACCCAAGGAGTTAGTTGGGGTATCGAAATCTTCTTCAGCATCGGCATCTTCACCTTTAAGGTGTTCGTAGTCTTGTTCAGACAGGGAAGGAGGCAAAGAAACTGCAGCAAATGAAGAAGATGAAGTCAAAACTTGAGATAAGGATTGCTGTTGAGCGTGAACCGGTTGGGTAGAAATTGGAGATGAAGATTTCTCATCAATATCAGAAATAATTTCATCTTCAGAAGTAATGATTGACTTTGAAGGAGATTGAATTGAATGTTCAGGAACTTCAACATGAACAGGATCTTCTTCAGAAACAAGAACAGCACTGGAATTAATTTCGTTTTCAGGACTATAGTGCGTATCTTCCTCAAATTGTTCAATTGGAGCAGCAACTTCTTTCTTGATATTCTCAACTGGTTCTTCATCTTCAACATCAGGAACTTCAACGAGTTCTTCAATTTCTTCTGGAGCAGCAATTTCTTGAGGAATATCTCTAGCAGTTTCAGCAATATGCTTATTGTCAACAATTTCTTCTTCAACATCCTTGCTATTTAATTCTTCAGATTTGACAGTAGCATCAGTAATTGGAGCATCAACTTCAATCAATTCATCAGCTTCAATAACATTGTTGGAATTACCACTTTCATCATATTGAATCTTGAATTGATCATTAGTGATCCAATCATTGTCATTAAGAACAAATTTGAAAACAATGTTTTGTTTTTCATTAGTGATAATTTCTTGGGAATACCCCTGAGTGAAATCAGTTTTTGCGGGAATTGATCTGGACCAATTATCAAAAGTACCCGTGATCTGGATGGACTTGATATGAGCATCAACGGTAGGCCTAGTTAATAGTTAGTATATCAATGCATTTGATTGTGTAATAAATAGATGGCAACTAAAAAGCACGGCGTGTATAGTTATGACTCCTGATAAGGGAAGAGGGGAAGATTTGAGTCAGACAACAGGGCCAAAAAAAATAGATCTTATTTGATCCCTGTTTGTGTAAGTTCATAAGATTTGCTGCCATTGTTGTGAATGTGCAAGGTAACATACCACCTGATAGTATAAGTATATTTTGTCATCTTAACTATTATTATAATACTAAACTGGAAGGAAGAAAGGAAAGGAAGAAAAGGAAAAGAAAAGAAGGAAAAGAAGGGAGAAAGAAAAATCGATCAAACCTGAAAATTAAAAGAAAAATATCAAAATTTTATAAATGAGAAAAAAAAAGAAAACTTTAATAGTGTAAGTTTGGTTGTTTGGTTTGTTTATTTGTTTATGTAAAGTGAATAACCTCGATTGTTGTAAATGTGGTAAATTTAAAATGGTGCGTGTGTGGTGTAGTCTTTTTTAATCTTTGCTGCTGTTTATAATATTTTTTGCTAAAAGTGTGTGTGTGTATTTTATTTTTTAATCAATTTTTTTTTCTTCATACCATTGTTTATGTTTGTTTTGGCCAACTAATTCATCGGAAGAAAGTCTTGAGTTAACATAGAATACGCGTAGTTAAAGCCCAGAGACAAAGAAGAAATACGAAATACATCCACAAACCAGTTTCAAATATCATATAACTTTGTTGACAACACCTACATGGACAGAGCTGTATACTTGCAGTAATGCAGCTTTCTGTTTGTCTGTCTCCGCTTGAAGAAAAAAAACAAAACAAGAAAAAAAAGAAAATCGAGATCATAAAATACCGTTGAAATTTGTTCTCTTCATGTGTTTATGTATATAAATTCTTGGTTCTGTATTGGTTCATTTTCTTAATTCGCTTGTGTATTGCCTGCAACAATATGTGTGTGTATGGGTTGTGATGCCGAATGACTCCGATACCTGCATATTAATAAGCTTCTCGATTGTTCTCTTGCAGTTTTCAATTGTTTATGTAAAACTTCAACAAAAATTATTTGATTTTGTGAGTGAATCTGAGTTAAAAGCCCGATCATATTTTCCAAGTGTTTTCAAATTTTATTCCACCGCGTCAAATCACTGAAGTAACGCGATGACACGATACAAGACGTATTTTTCAAGCAATTCAAATTGAACCATAGCATTTTGGCACTGATTCTATTTCGTAAATATTGGTTGAATGATATGGGAAAGTGATTGCATTATTTCCCTTATATATATTAAAGAAACGATTTGCAAGCCAGCTGCTCTAGGAGATCTGTATTTGATTTTGTTGTCCAGGAATATTTCTTTCTTTGGTAAAAAATTATAGCGCGAATAATTTGCAGCCAACAACAAAATCAAGTAAATAAAATAATGTCTATAATTATATAAAGTCTATATATACTAATTAAACCATTTAACCCGCACGTAAATCGAAGCAATAGCAATCACTCTATAAAGTACAAAACAAGCTATCAATCCTCCAACCATGGGCCCAAGATCTGCCTTCAAATTATAATATTCTAATACCGCTTCACCAGTTTCAAACACACATTCGTCCAAACCAGTACTACATTCAAATACTTGTCCCCTGAGTCCCAAATTCGCACATATGGCAACAGCATATTTCATAGGACTAATGTAATTAATACCTTTGAAAAACAGCGGCATGTGTAAACTCATAGTCCCACCCATGAAAATTGCAATGATCACAAAAACCGTCAACACATTAGTGGCAACTCCCATATGATTGAAGCAACTGTTAACAACAATACCCAAGGATTCACCACAGTTAATCGAAAGAGCAGCAGTTCCATACATGGCAAAGAACATATTTACTGTACGTGGTAAACCACATGCAAACACAATCAATGCCGCGAAAAATAGACTAGGAATTATCTCAGTCGGCAACTCATTAAGGAAATATGAAATTCCAAATTCACTGACTCCATATACGCCATCTTTATACTCTTGGTAGAATAAATTACGTTCAAATGGGTATAAACTTATATTGTTCACCAACCCAACAAAGTACAAGTTTAAAACTTCTTGAATTAAACCTAACCTGTTGCTGATCCCGTCCTGAGTATTTCTCAATGGTGCAAAATATAAGGTATGCACAATGGCTAATAATATAATTTGTCCTGTCCGACTAAAAACCACATCCGGCGAGCGGTATGATGTTACGACCTGTCGTTCAACTATCGTTGGGAATGTAACTCGAAATGGTAATCTCTTATGGAAATGCTGTCTAATATCTAAATTCTCACTCGAACAATAAGTTATAATACGTTCCTTCTCATTGTTGTTCCAATTATTGCTCAAGTAGTCAGTAATGGAACCTTCGCCTTCTTCTCTTTTGGAAACTAAATCTAACACAAAATCAGCAACATTTGTATCCTTTTTCATTGGGTATCCTAATCGCGACAAATATTTGATTACACCAATTGAATCTCCCTGATATATAACTTTTCCACCATATCCCAATAATAAAAGTGATCCAAACGTACAAAACATCTCATAACTCGGCTGATGAATAGTGAGAATAACCGTTGTGCCATTCTCTTTAGCTAAGGTTTCCAAGAGTGAATATATAGTTTCTGCTGTAGATGAATCCAAACCTGAGGTGGGTTCATCTAAAAATAGTACCTTCGGTTTAGATAATAATTGAATAGCAATGGAAACTCTTCGTTTCTCACCACCACTAATACCCTTGACAAAATCAGAGCCAATAACAGTATCTGCACAGTCAACAAGACCAGTGTGTCTGATGAGACTATTTATTATTGTATGAATATTCTTGTGTTCTTTTAAGGGAAGTCTGATTTTTGCTTGATAATATAACGTTTCTCTTACTGTCAAGTTGTCGATTAATGAAGTATCATGTTGGGTAACATAAGCACCGATCTTGGCTAGTTCTTCCTGAGTTATAGTCTGATGATGATTGACCTTGATCAGTCCCAGATTTATATATGACGAGGATTTAGGAAGACGGTTAGATAGGTAGTTTAATAATGTTGTCTTACCACTTCCCGAAGGGCCCATTATTACATTGACTGCATTGGCATGGAAAGTTGCATTAATCCCATCAAGAATGCATTTAGCTTGTTTGTTAAATCTAGTCTTTTTAACTGAAAGGTGAATATTTTCGATATCAATTTGAAAATCATCATTATTAACCTCATTAGTAGGAGTAGATGGAGGGGATTGCGGTTCAATAACTGAACTACCTCCACTTATTTCCTTGTTTCTTTCTTCTTCCTCTTGTTGTTCATCCTCAAACTTATTCTCTCTTGTCTTTGCCATTCTAACATCAAACCTCTTGAAGTAGATAGCAATACCCGCAAGAAACAAATACCCCACAAACCAGCAAATCAAGATTCCAATAGGTTCACCAATCCATCCCCTAGGGAACCCCAAGAGTTCCAATTGATAGTCACCAGTATAGCTTACACATCGAACGTCACCTTCTTCAAAAGGACATTCTCCAACCCAGCCACTGAACTGGTTGGACGCCAAAGCTCCAAATGCATACCAGAAATGAGCAATATATTTGGTCCATCTCACATACACAGGCATGGTAGCTGCATTTACGAAAAATCCACAAGCACTATTTTGTAATTGGTAGAAGATATTAACAATTAGTGCAGATATTGGTAAAGTCGGAGCAAGTGCGAAACAAAGCATCAGTGATGCCATACAACAAAGCTCAATAATTAAAACCAATGCAAAATATACTCCAAAGTTGCTTCCATTGGAAAACCCTAATCCCCACATAAAGTATGAAACTACCGCAAATATAATAGACATCGGAAGATCTTCAAGTAGAAATTTTCCTAGACGACGAGATATCATAAACCCAGAGATGGTTACCCAGTTCTCCAGATATTCACGATAGAAGAATACCCCATCAGTTAACCATAATCGTTCAATTTCATAATACATGGGACAAAAAGCAACCACTTCTAGCATGACATAAAGCGAGGAAGTGAGAGATCTTATACCTGCCAAATCATGTTTTGGTTGGAAAAACATCCATCCTAGTGTTACAGATACGATTATTGCACCGAAGTTCAACACCAAGAGACCCTGTATGTCTCTGTATGAAAGTACGAATGTACGTTTAGTGAGAATAATTAATTCTTTCCAAAATGAAATCCGGTCTTCTTTTCCACGAATAAATAATTTCAAATTATCTTCAAATGAATCAGGTTTCTTGTCATCATCTTGATATTCTTCGTGATTTTCTTTCCACATTTTAACTAGCTTATCGATTCGAGCTATAGTTTGATGCTCACGTTCACGTGAAGTTGTATCTTTGACCGACAATCCCATGATGTATTCGATATGATTAAAGTAATCAGCAGAAGATCCTTCCAAAAAGTCAAGACCGTCAAAATATGTTTGGGCATGATCGACATTTCCGAAATAAACCATTCTTCCACCTCTTGTTAAAAGGCAAATTTCGTCAAACAACTTCATAATTTCCAGTCGAGGCTGGTGAATAGAAACCACTATTGACATCCCAAATTCAGAAGAGAGCTGTTGAAGCAACGTTATCAACTTTAATGATGTTGAACTATCCAAGCCTGTAGTTGGTTCATCAAGAAATAATATCGAGGGGCGTGACAATAATTGTACAGCCAACGACACTCGCCTTTGTTCACCGCCTGAAAGACTAGAAGAATGTGAAGAAAAGTCAGCTACTCTTGTATTTTTCACGTGTGCAATTCCCAAAACTCCCAAGATATAGTCTATTAATTGCAACTTCTCTACGTGGGTTATACGAGATGGTAAACGTAAGTCAGCTTGGGACTTGAGGGTTTCAAAGACTGTTAATCCTGGAAGAAACAAGTCATTTTGCAACATGTATGCATGACTAATATGAGAAAGGTTCTCCTGTCTGGTATAAGTTATTGAACCTGTGAAAAGTAATTTCTTATTATTGATATTGGTCCGTTGAGATAAGGTATTCAACAAGGTTGTTTTCCCGCTACCTGAACCTCCCATTATAGCCATCATCAGACCACTCTTGAGTTCAAAACTTATATCATTCAAAATCTTGTGAGATTGATCTAGCTCGCCAGAAGTTTCCATTTCTTGGTCTGTTGTCTTTGGGATTTGAGATTTTACGGACACCGACAAATGTCGTACCATTAAGCCAACCCTCTGATGATCTGGAATTTGTAGTATGTTAGGAGCCATCATCGTGCTATATAAAGAACATTTATATTTCAAACAGCGTTATACACTGATTTCGAGACTTGAGTTTGTATTTAAATAAGCAAGTCACAAACTTTTATGATCCAACGGAATTTCCATCGTTTTTTATCATAATTTTTTGACCTTTCTTGGCGAGATGCATTGTGCATGGAGGAGATGAAAACTGCGGAATTATTTTTTTCTTGTCAAAAGCGCAATTGGTTCCTATAATGGTTATTAGTCATTGATAATACAAATTTTAGTGATTTACCCCTTGAGCGATATTTAATGGACTTAAGCCTCAGAATATTACAAGTAACATTGTAACCCCATACAAAAGCGCCCCAATTCATTGTAGAATACTGCTAACCTGGCTATTTCCTTTTGTGTTACTGATTTACCGTGCCTGGTTTGATGTAGTTTTATTTAGTATGGAATAGCCACGAATTAAAAATTCCTTATGCTTGCTATTGGGTGCTGGTATCAGAATAATCCTTTTTAAGACGTTATGCATTCAAAGTATTCTTGGCTGGGAAGGTTGATACCATCAGGTTAGGGCAAAGCGCAATTTCGGAATGTGGCTTTTTCATTCCTGGTTCTTCCGCACTTAACTGCAAATAAAACAATAGCAAGGTACCGATTCAAGTTCCTCGGAAGAAACGGTAAGCATTACAGTGTCAAGACAAGACAGAAACAACAGTTATCTAGGGCCTACATGTGCTAGTTGGCCGCTACCAAAGTGTGTCTACCAAGGTCTAGAGTGACATGCAACAATATCTTACGATATAAAAAGTACATGAAACAATATACAACGGAATTGAACTAGTAACGGCTTGATCCCTTACTATCTAAAAAAAACTGTCACAAAAGCATATTGCGCTTTGAACTGTATGAGCTCTTAACCTTTTGCAAAAATTAGACAATCCAGAAAATAAAAGTTCAGCAACTGTCTCATGGTGGTAATCATACATGGTAGAAAAAAAAACGCTTTATAACTTAATGTCCTTTGTTTACCTCTATATTACAAATTGTCATTAATATGGAATAACCTATTAAAATAATCCACCCAGAGCTTATTTCTTTTGTAAAGATAATCTAGCTAATTTCAAAACGGATTCTTCGGAATTTGCCCCTCCAATGAAACCAGCAGCATGAATAAAGATACACCCTTCAACTCCACTCTTTTCACTTAATTCTTCATCTCTTAATCCTCTTAATTCTTCTGGAAGACCTAATCTGAACTCAAAAGAACTCGAAGTGACAGAAACGGTGGAAACTCTCCATTTATCGGTAGAATCTTTGAATAACACGAATTTGATCTCACCTTCGGCATTGTTTTCTTGCTCAATAGCATACAAATGTTCTTTCCATGGACAGAATTGAGATAAAACAAGGATTTCACCAGATTTATCAACTTCAAACCTTTGGTCGAAGGCGTCTTGAACAATAGATTTGGCAGGTAACCAGGACTTTCCGTATCCTTCTAATAAGGCCAAAAATGCAGAACCCATTAATTCAGTACTCTTTAAGAATTGACGGTCGAAATCAGCATCAGTACAACTTTCATTCCAAGATGGGTTCAAACGGGAGACCATTGAAGGTAAAGTAATGTTCTTGTCATGGAACTTTGGAGTGGCATCCTTAGGATAGTTGTTGATACCATTATCATTAGCATCAAGTGATTCTATAAATTCCTTGTAAACTTTATCGTATAAGAATTCAACATCCTTGTCTTCAGACAACTTCAACACGTGTTTAATGATATCCCTACCATAATGCTTATAGATCAAACCTGCTGATGACAACTTAGTTTTGTAATTTCCATTGAAAACTTCATTGAATTCACGTTGGTGATGGTCGAAATACTTGACACCATCGTATTTACCACTGACATCAACGACGATATCACTAGCTTCCCAATCGCTCGGATTACGAGATCTAACTAAGGTAGAATCAGAGAATTGTGGCAACAATCTGAGTAAATAAACAGCGAGTGATTCATCAGCGTGGAATGAGCCGGAATGAGTGCAAATTTGAACCATTTTGGGTGACAACTTGATTTTCTTGGGTGTTGACATTGTAAAGAAACGAACGAACCTCATCTGGATAAGTGAAATTTTTTTTGGTATATTTTTTTGGGGTTATTTTTTGGGGTTATTTTTTGGGGTTATTTTTTTTTTTAGTAGAAGGCCATGGCCAATAGTATGCGAATGTAATGTAAGCCAAAACCTATGTCTATTGTGAGCAAAAGGTTTCAGCCTAGAAGTCGCGACAGGATCTAGTATATAGATTCTTCGACCTTACCTGACTATCTATGTCTGTGTTTTGTTACTTGGAAATCAAACCTTTTAATTGCAGGTGGCTGAAAAATAATCTGAGCGGTAATTCCGCAGTCAATTTGTTGTTGCTGCAATATCAGGATTTGATGAAACCATTTGTATTGGAACTGAGGTTGCGTTAAAAAGCTATTTTAGTTTAATCAATAGGGACTAAAATCACCAGTTAATAATATTTAGAAATAACAACCATTAAGGTTGGTATGGAGGAAGTTTATATTGTTACTGTCCAGCACGAAGTTACCAAGAGATTCCGAATTTCCAGGTACTAAAGATTGTCCGATATTTTGTCACATTTGAAATCACTCATATGAAACTACTTGAATACGGGCCAATATCAATGGAGAATATGTGTGACATCCATACAGATGGAAAATACCAGCAAATAAACTTTTTTTACCCCATGTTTTATGCAGAAACCAATAAAACGGACCATTATTAAACTCATATTACTATTTATTTGAGTCTGGAGACTTTAAATGTAACATTAACTGGGTTTTTAGTGCTCTTAATGGCGTCACTTCTAGGATATGAGCACTGGTTTTAGGACGTGGGGATGGCATACTACAAAACTTTTCATACTGGCCGATAGTCCTTTGGAAGAGTAGATAATTCTGAATTTCGCATAGAGATTCGAATTCCAACTATATCTTGGATATTTATCATCTTATATTCAAAGAAATAAAGTATTAAATTGCACAATTTCTGTCTTGAAGTCAGAAATGTCTTGTCACAAGAAAGAAATATTTTACCCCAGAAATAACGAACCTTGTCATTTTATAAGAATTATGAGCCCCCTCGTAAAAAGACAGAGTCAGCAGCATAGTGAAGTATAATTTGCAGTATAAAAGGACTTTACCCATGTCATCCACTCAAAGTTTTTTTGTTATTGCTTATTCAACAAGAATTATCTTTTATTCAGCAAAATGATTTTATCAAGAATTGATCAAGCTTTATTCGACCCCGCTATCAAGGTAAGAAACTTTTTAGATCGCTTTCCTAAGATTTACAACATCTACATGATTGCAATGTGCTCTACCATAGCAGGTATGATGTTTGGTTTTGATATTTCTTCAATGTCTGCCTTCATAGGTACTGACAGTTATATCAATTTTTTTGACAACCCAGGTTCCACCATTCAAGGTTTCATTACCTCCTGTATGGCTTTAGGTTCTTTCTTTGGTTCCATTGCTTCCTCATTTGTCTCCGAACCATTCGGTAGAAGATTTTCATTGTTGGTTTGTTCATTCTTCTGGATGGTTGGTGCTGCTATTCAGTCTTCTTCCCAAAATCGTGCTCAATTGATCATTGGTAGATTAATTTCTGGTATTGGAGTCGGTTTCGGTTCTTCCGTTGCCCCAATTTACGGTGCTGAATTGGCTCCAAGAAAGATTAGAGGTTTAATTGGTGGTCTTTTCCAATTCTCTGTTACCTTGGGTATCTTAATTATGTTCTATATTTCTTATGGTTTAGGTAAGATTGACGGTGTTGCCTCGTTTAGAATTGCTTGGGGTTTGCAAATTATCCCTGGTTTGATTTTATTTACTGCCTGTTTCTTTATCCCTGAATCGCCTCGTTGGTTAGCCAAAAGAGATTTCTGGGATGATACTGAATATATTATTGCTAAAATCCAAGCCCATGGTGACAAAGATGATCCTGATGTTTTGATCGAAATTGGTGAAATTAAGGACCAACTTTTAGTTGAGGAAAGCGCAAACTCGATTGGTTATGCAACTTTATTCACAAGAAAGTACTTTAGAAGAACCTTTACCGCTATTTCTTCTCAAATCTGGCAGCAATTGACTGGTATGAATGTTATGATGTACTATATTGTCTACGTGTTCCAAATGGCTGGTTTCACTGGTGATACTAACTTGATTGCTTCTTCGATTCAATATGTATTAAACGTTGTCATGACTATTCCTGCTTTGCTTTTGCTTGATAGGGTTGGTAGAAGACCTTTGTTAATAGTTGGTGCCATTTGCATGATGGCATTCCAATTTGGAGTTGCAGGAACTTTGGCTGTTCATTCTGTTCCATGGCCAGATTCAGGCAATGAATCCGTCAACATTCAAATCCCAGATACTAAAATGTATGCTTCAAGAGGTGTTATTGCTTGTTGTTACTTGTTTGTGTGCTCTTTTGCCTCTACCTGGGGTGTTGGTATTTGGGTTTATTGTGCAGAAATCTGGGGTGATTCAAGGATCTCTCAAAGAGGTAACGCTTTATCTACTGCTGCTAATTGGATCTTCAATTTTGCTATTGGGATGTATACTCCATCTGGATTCAAAAACATTTCTTGGAAGACGTATATTATTTATGGTGTTTTCTGTTTCTTTATGACTGTTCACGTATTCTTTGGATTCCCAGAAACTAGAGGCAAGAGATGGGAAGAAATTGGTCAAATGTGGGATGAAAATGTTCCAGCTTGGCAGTCTAGATCTTGGACACCAATTATTCCTATTAACCCAGAAACAGAAAAGGCTGCCAGAATATCTCTTGAACGTGAAGAAAAACGAAGAGCAAGTAGTGTTGTGCGACCTTCAATCCTGGATCCCTCAGTTTAAACTTTTTAGGTATATTTGTATCAATTTGTATGGTCTCTACTTTTAAATCTAAACTTTATTTTTGTATATTTAAGTTTAGAAGCTTTAACCTTTGATGGACTGTATTCTCTATCCAAGCTATAGAGATTCTCCGCCCTTCGCTTAAAGTTACAATTTTTTTTCCTATTGTAATCGTAAATTATGGTATCAAATAGCAAGGTTGACTTTGTATTGTGTTTATGAACCCCATATGTGATTTGTATAACGCGTCTTCAAGTTTATGGATTGTTAAAAATTTCTCCCTTTTGGGAATATTTCAAGTGCACAAACCCTTGAAGTACAATTTTGTTCCTTTCAAACTGATTTTAATTATTTTAGAATATTTGTGTTGCATCTGTAGATACTTTTTTCTGATTGTACTTACAGAATCATAGAAAACACTAGTAAAATACGCCGTATTCCCCGGATCCCTTGGTTTACTTAACAACGCCTTTCCCACAAATTCATCAGCTAATGCGTAGGCTAACGCAACCTAGCATTATCCTAACCCAACTACAAAACAAGTGGGCGGATCAATTTTATTTTTCCTCCACAAAATTGAAAAAAAGTGTCTGAATATTAAGGTGGGGATACGGAACGGAGATCGGAAAAACTGTCAGAAAATAACTGTTGTACGTTACAACACAAAACCGAAAAAAAATAAAAAGAAAAACAAACATAACCTAACATTGCTGATACAAATTTTAATTGGACAATAACAATACACAAACTTGGCATTCATTCTGAACTAGGTAATTCTTCCGAATGACTAAGTTTGACAAATATCAGACAAAAATCTGGAAAACTTTTCTTCCATTGTACCCAATTTACCACAAATGGAAAAACTAAAATGCTTGCCGTTCGCAAGGCATTTAGTAGTTTATTTCCAGAAGTATTACGTGAAGCCCCGCTTCATGCTTCATGAAAATATTTTCCGTTTCAGATTTTCCGGCAAAGCTCTTAATGAGGTGACGTAGACTCGACTCAGAATAAACTCGCGGAGTTTACCACGAAAGTTTATTCATTGAGGTGGCGAGATGTATAGTTTCAAAGCGGAAAGTTCGGTGAAATGAAATTTACATTGTCTAATTTGTAAGTACATTATTCCTATTTTAAATCTCTTTTTAGAATGCTTTATGCTTGCTCACCCGTTTGTTCATTACCTAAAAGGAATTTTTTGCGGGATTTTTCTTTTAATCCGCTGATTCAAAAAATGTCTGCTTAAAAAATAATAGTAAATAATATATCCCAAAAATTTTTTCCGAGAATTAACCTTGAATGTATTAACTTAACAACGAGAAATAACCCCACTTGTATTTAACAATGAGTGGGGTGCAACTTGTGTGAAACATGTCTAATAAACTAATTTGCCACTTTCTTGAAATGTCGGATTAACTTCCAAATCAAGAAGGAAAAATCAACGGAAAAAACTTTTTTTTCCATAATGTGTCTTGCACAAAACGGGTTTTTATCAATTGCCAAGCAAATGATTTGACATTGACTTAGGCTTCGTAAATTAGATTTAAGTGCCGATTTTTTTTTCAACCCCACCTGGAGAACACATTTGTCATTCCACTTGTTTCCTATCGCCTTCTCTAAAACAATGAGCCTCATATATACACACACCCCCTCACTCATGAACTAAACACCTGATGGTCTAATTACTATAAACATTGGCAAAGATGTAATTTATTTGAACGGATCTCGCCGGAAAATTTCAATCCTTCTTGTGAACACCTGGTGATGCCCCAACGTTGCTATGACTCCCATGCCCAATAATATGTGTCAGAATGTAATGTTTGTAGGGCATGGTAGGTGAGTCCGGAAAAAATGAGCATTGTGTGATTTTCCGATAAAAAATTTTTCTGGAAGGGGGCCTATTGTTCTACAAAAAATGTCAGAACGGGGTTTAATCTAGTCTGCTGATTCGATTTTTAGCTCATACCCCAGATTGGCTATATCATCTTTCCTGTATAAGGTTATTAGTAATACGGTTGTAAAATAGGTGAAGTCATTGCTATCACGGACCCATCGGCTGTAATAAATATGTTTAGTCGCCAAAAAGAAAAGAGCGTGACAATACATTACGGACGGTTTTTTTTTTCTCGTCATTCTTATTTTGCTGGCTAAGCCAGAATAACAATGGCGACACAATTACGCAAAGTTCGGGTTTTGTCACGGATTTTCTGAGTTTTTCCAGACATCCTTATTTTCTGTCTGATTTAATATTTTTGTGTACATCGAAAACAAAAAAAATATGTTGCCCCAGCTGGGGCATGATGAGGGGAAAGACCCACCGGTCTCAAAAACCAGGAAAATTTTGCAGTATATAAAGACTTTGGATCTCCCTGTTTCAATCCGATGTTTCCAGGAATTTTCTTTGTCTTTATACCAATAGGTTTATAAATCATGTCTTCTAAAATAGAGAGTGCTTTTTCAAAGCCTGCCTTAAAGTTTAGATCTTTCTTAGATCGTTTTCCTAATATTTACAATGTTTACGTTATTGCTATGTTTTCCACCATCGCTGGTATGATGTTTGGTTTCGATATTTCCTCCATGTCTGCCTTCATTGGTACTCCATCTTATATCAAGTTCTTTGATAACCCAGGTTCCACCATTCAAGGTTTCATTACCTCCTGTATGGCTTTAGGTTCTTTCTTTGGTTCCATTGCTTCCTCATTTGTCTCCGAACCATTCGGTAGAAGATTTTCATTGTTGGTTTGTTCATTCTTCTGGATGGTTGGTGCTGCTATTCAGTCTTCTTCCCAAAATCGTGCTCAATTGATCATTGGTAGATTAATTTCTGGTATTGGAGTCGGTTTCGGTTCTTCCGTTGCCCCAATTTACGGTGCTGAATTGGCTCCAAGAAAGATTAGAGGTTTAATTGGTGGTCTTTTCCAATTCTCTGTTACCTTGGGTATCTTAATTATGTTCTATATTTCTTATGGTTTAGGTAAGATTGACGGTGTTGCTTCATTCAGAATTGCTTGGGGTATTCAAATTGTTCCAGGTTTAGTTTTGTTTGTTGGTTGTTTCTTTATTCCAGAATCTCCACGTTGGTTAGCTAAGCAAGGTAACTGGGAAGATGCTGAATATATTGTTGCTAGAATCCAAGCCAAGGGTGACAGAGAACACCCAGATGTCTTGGTTGAAATTGGTGAAATTAAGGAACAACTTTTGATTGAAGAAAGTGCCAAGTCTATTGGTTACGCTACTTTATTCAGAAAGAAGTATATCAGAAGAACTTTGACTGCTATCTTTGCTCAAATCTGGCAACAATTAACTGGTATGAACGTTATGATGTACTATATCGTTTATATTTTCCAAATGGCTGGTTACTCTGGTAATGCTAACTTGGTTGCTTCTTCCATTCAATACGTTTTAAACACTGGTACTACTGTTCCTGCCTTATTCTTGTTTGATAGAATTGGTAGAAGACCATTATTGATTGGTGGTGCTATTTTCATGATGATTTTCCAATTCGGTGTTGCTGGTATCTTAGCTACTTACTCCGTTCCATGGCCAGATTCAGGTAATGAATCCGTTACCATTAGAATCCCTGAAGAAAACAAGACTGCTTCCAGAGGTGTTATTGCTTGTTGTTACTTGTTCGTCTGTTCCTTCGCTTCCTCGTGGGGTGTCGGTATCTGGGTCTACTGTTCCGAAATCTGGGGTGATTCTAGAATCTCCCAAAGAGGTAACGCTTTATCTACTGCTGCTAACTGGATTATCAACTTCGCTATTGCTATGTACACTCCATCTGGTTTCCAAAACATTTCTTGGAAGACTTATATCATTTACGGTGTTTTCTGTATTGTTATGGGTATTCACGTCGTTGTTGGCTTCCCAGAAACCAGAGGTAAGAGATTGGAAGAAATCGGACAAATGTGGGACGAAAATGTTCCAGCTTGGAGATCTTCCTCATGGCAACCACATATTCCTGCTACTTCAGATGCTGAAATTGCCAGAAAATTATCTCTTGAACATAAGGAAGAAGGTGATTTGATGGCTGAAACTAATTCTGATAACCAGGTTTAAAAGGTTTTATGATATATGTGATGATTCTTAATTTTATATTTAGATATTAATGTTTTAATTTAAAAATACTATTAATGTTAACTAAAATTTTGCAATGTAGGCTTGATTTAGAGGGTGTGGTAGTGTTCGCTTCGACTTTACTTTTCATTTCGGTCAAGGAACCAAGTACACTGATTCTGGCACCATTCTACGAGGTGAGTGTGAATCGCCTTCTTGGAGTAACAGGTGATGCTGTGGGGTTTGAATATCGAATGGTTAACCATTTGTATTATATACCTGCCAAGAAAATCAACTTTGAAGTACAAGAGGGATTAAGGAATAGTAGAATGATGGGCCAAGAACAAGTTTATTGTTGCATTATTTTTTAACAATCGCAAATGGTGGATAAAATCATCGTCAATGTTAAAAATAAAAAAAAAAAAGAAGATCAGTAACGAACCATTATCTGAATTTGATCAGATAATTTTACCCCTCGGTCTACTTATGGAAATCAAAATTGGTCATCACATACGACAAATTGCTAAAATAAAACTGGATCATAATATCTATATCGCAATCAAATCTATTAATAACGTGATACAAAGTACATATTTACGAATGAAAGCTAACTATCTTCAAGTCAGCAAGGCGGCCACTCGCCTTTCTTCAAAGTATTCAATTATAGTCGAGGCTTTTACCAAGATGAAAATAATGATCGAAAGGATTTATGCATGGGACTAACGGAACTATGCTGGCTAAGAATGGCTATTTGCAGGATTAGGCTCGAGTCTAGGCGCGCTCGTAAAACTAAGGCGGGTATACACGGGGTTATCTAAAATCAATTATTAAGTTATTTCTATTAATTTTCGCGTCTGATTTAGTTTCGGATCAAAATATGAACAAAACTTAACTAATTGACAACTTGTTCCGAAACTAAAAACTGTATTTCTCAGCGAAATTACAGCTAGTCCGTAATTTTGATCTTGCAGGGAAAGATGAGCATTGCTGCCAAGACGGAAAAAAAAAAAAAAAGTAGAGTGACCCTTTAATATAATTTTCAGGTTAATGACCTGTTCTCGTTTTGTTGCAACCAACGGAGTCGACTGCTGTAGCGGCGGTTATTAGTTTTGCCAACGGATTTGTGTTATTTTCTGGCGATACCCCTGTTTTAGCTAAAATTTTATCATGAGATTAGACGATCTTTAGACAATGGACTTCGGAGTGACTTAAAAAATTCCCCCGTTCATATCCATATCCGATGAGATTCACTTTAGCAATTTTCTATCTAAGCCTTTAAATGTTTCAGATGTCTAGACCTTCACAAACTAAAAGGGTTAATGAAATATGACATTACCTGCGTTACATGTACATCCTGCTTTTGGTAAATAAATCCATGAGTTACCTTGCCTTGCGGCCGAAGCTTCTATCCGCTCTCCGGAATATATTTTATCCATGTAATGCGCCAGCGTAATTAAACTTGTATTTTTTTGGCGGACCTGTACTTATCTTTGGCTTTATCGGGAAGGAGGAAAATTAAAAGAGGATGATTAGATGACGTTTTTCTAGCCGCAATAGCATAAAAATAATTTACGAAATAATAAATTTGACGTAAGAGCTTAATCGCCCGATTTCCAAACGCTAATTACCAAGTGGGAAACTTTTTCCACCCCAGAAAAGAAAATTAAATGCATGTAATTTTTTATGTAAAAAGAAATATTATTTCGCCAAGAAATTGTTCTCTTCCTGACTTTTCCGCACCGCGGGATTATTTTTTAAGCAGAGCCCGCCCGTAAAATCTAAATAGAGAAAAGAAACATTAAAACAATGAGCCGCGGAGTTCTTTTTATTGTTTCAAAAGTTTTCCTTTGCATAAAAATAATTTTAATATTTTTTTTTCGAATGACGACGGAAGTGTCGTCATCGATATGATATGATATTGGTGATGAGGTAATGTATTTTGCGTAAAACAAGTCACAAATACCATACAACAACCATGTTGACACAAGACCCCTCATTGTAATTAGGGTAACTACAAAGTATCCTACAGAAAGTGTAATCAAAGTAACTTTTATATTGCTAAAAACTTTTTACTTAAAGTCAGTCTCTATCAATCTATAACCCAAAATTAAAATCCAAACCCAAAATCGTAAATTATCGTCAAATTATTAGTATATCATTATTATTCCAAGTAAACTACACTGTTACTAGGAGTTTCCAAATTAAATTTAGGAACATGAGCATAAATCTGAGAAGCGGGTGGTTGCTGTTCTTGATAATAATATTTGTGATTTTGTAACTCTGGTTCTTGATGTGGTTCTTGATATTCGTAGGCATCATCATCAATATTTTCTTCTTCGTCACTTACATAAGAGTTGTATCTTGTAGTTTCAGGTGGTGTGTATAATTGTTCGTTAACTTTGTGAGTTGGTTTTGGAATGGATTCTGGAACAACTGTGTGACGACGAGCATGAATGGTGGTAGTTGTAGGGGCAGTATTTGCATGATGACTTGGAGTATCTTTAAAGAAGTTGCACTTGATAACCTCTTGATATAATTGTGGTAATGAGATTCTGTCATTAGGGTTTAATTGGAATATTCTATCAAGCAATCTATTGAATTGTTTGGAAATTGGCAAGATTGATGCAAGGATATCTTTATTGTTGTTCAAGATATAACTCTTGAATACATCATTATGACTGTTGTTGAATGAAGCGATTGGCCATGGATTTCTTGAGCATGTGATATTGATAAACAATACTCCCAAAGACCAAATATCACCAGCTAAAGTTGGTAAATATTTTGAATTTGATTCATTGACGGTGGTATTGTTGATTTCAATTGAATGATATTGCGATAAATCAACCAAGTTTCTGACAACTCTATGAGTGTTGAAGTTAGTGGTTCTTTCTGGAGCCATGTAGAAAGAAGACCCACGACATGCGTTGCAGCAAATCAAGTCTGAAGACATTGCGAGACCAAAGTCTATAAGTACAAGATGTAACTCGTTATAGTCGATTATGCAAGAATTATCTGGTCTTTTGTAATTTGGATTATAATGAATCATAATATTTTCTGGCTTTAAATCACAATGATAAACGCTTTGTTGGTGACAGTATTCGACGGCATCAATTAATTGCAACATGGCGTTCTTCATTAATAATTGTTTGTCTCCGGTATGGTTTTGGAAGATTTGTCTGTCAATGATATTTCCAAATAAATCACCTTGTTCAAAGTAATCTAACAAGATTACAATGGCAAACTCTTGTAATTCATAAACTTGATGGATGGTGATAACATTTGGGTGATGATGGACTTTCAAGTGAAGTTGAATCTCAGTCATGAATTGGTATTGGTGTGATTGATCTTGTCTGATGTATTCTAAATTGACTGGAGTTGGTTCTGGCATTGGGTTGGTTAAAAAATATTGGTAAAAGTGTTGCTGGATTATTTTTTTGTTACCACTTGAATCCTTTGGATCTCCTTGCTTGAATGGTGGTTGCTTGAGTAACATCTTTGCAGCATATCTTCTACCAGTAGTGATATTTTCAACCAAGTAAATCAATCCATAAGTACCAGCGCCAATCTTCTTGATGAATCTTAATTCGGGACTCAACATGTAACCATCTAACACCATATTTGGGTTAGGTCTTTGCGAATGTTGCTGTCTCTTCACTTGTTGTTGTGAAGTTATATATTGTTGTTGTTGATGCATAGCTGGATGGGGGTCCTGGAATGATAATACATCTAATGTCATTTTGTATTTTGTACTATATGTGATATATGTGTTATATGTGTGTTATTTTCGTTGTTTGTTGTTTTCGTAATTAATGATAAGGAAAATAGAAACTATCTCGGGGAAAACTGGGTAAATCGCATGGGGTTATATATATTCATATATTCACAAAAAAGGATATAGAAAAATAATATCAGAAAGAAAGAATCAGTATTTATTTTTTTTTCGGGAATTATTTTTTATGTTCTATAAATATTATTTTTTTAGCTGCGAATGGAATAGTTTTCCGCTTTGTATTTCTTTTTTTTATTTGTTTTCTTTTTTTATGGATCTAGTTTATTTTGGTTGCATGCGGTTTTTCTTTTAATTTTTGTTAGAGATATTGTTTTGTATACGAAGTAGCAAGGGTAATAGAGATATCTTCTCGTAAAAGGTAAGTTCGGAACAGATATACTAAGATAAAACTATTGATAAATACCCGACACTATACACTTCCCAAAATGACACAATCCCACTAGAATGTTAAATCTTTTGGGTAAGGGATCACCCTATCCCCACAATGTAATCCCCTTACAAATTTGAATTTACCACAGGACAAGGCTAGTTCACTACTACCACCTGCCTATGCCCAACACCCAACCGAAGTAAAAAAAAAAAAAAAAAAAAAAAGATTGAATTAATTATGTACTTAAAAAATATCTGTGATGATGGTGTGATGTGATTAAAGTCACCTCATGTGACAATGTGAATGAGTAAAAAAATAATTCATTTTTTTAAATATATCAAATTTAAAGTTTAAACCTAACAGATGTCATGAGTAACTCTTTTTTTCGTTCCTAATTATTCCGAACGCTATTTTTTTTAACTAGGTACCTCAGCGGATGAAAGGCTAGAGAGGGGCGGCGTTTGATTCTGGCACGAAGTCGTTTATCTACAAGAGTCAATTTGCAACAACCTCGGCGAAATATGCCGTAATAACTATATAGTCTTTGGTCGCAATCCCCTTATGTTGCTATTCAATGTATAACTGAAACTGGATCACCCTGTTGTAGAAGCAGTTAAACCAAGTGGCTGTGCGAAATCAGTAGATATTGGTATACGTCACCACCTAATACTATGCACTATATCATAGGTAATTCTTGTCGCGCAATTCAGTTTATTACCGTCATCATCATTTCGCTTAATCAAAACAATGACTAAGCTCATGTATGATGTATGATGTATGGAAATCTTCCTTATCGGAAATTCCAGGAACAAAAATAAAATACAGTGATGGGAACGAGTCAAAGAAAAAAAAAAAAAGACTTTTCCATGCGACAAAAAAACAAGCTCATAATTATTCTTTACATGCAGGTTCCGGATTCTATACCTGTAACAAGGCTTGTGAATGCTAAGAAAAAAATGAAATCATGAAAATTATTAACAACGAAAAAATCTGGTCATATATTTTTATTAGCGTATGAATGGTGACGCGTGCGGCGGGCTCTGCGCGCGCGCGGAGTAAGACAACAGCGCCCGCAATCCCTGGCTTACCCTTGTGCCGCGGTACCAAAAATTTGTTACACCTACACTAGGAACGATTAATTTTTTTTTCTTGCCCGCGGACAGGTCCGTGTGGTGTGGATAAATGTAATTTCATACTTTGTTGTAATGTGGGAAACCACCTCGTTATTTCTTTTTCTTGTCTTGTGGGCACCAACCGCAAAAGATGATATACTGCTTACTTTCAAAATACGTTCATTTGTAAACTTCACATATACATCCACATTCAAGAAAACTGACATAGATGTCGGGGGAGTAATCTCCATATTTATGTGTAGGGAGTATCGTATATTATTTTCTACCGCAAAAATTGGGTTATGAGACTATTTCCGCATCTTGCATGAGACTCCCTAAAAAAAAAATCTCCAAATCTCTGCTATCAGAGACGGTTATACGACGAGGTTTAGGCGGTCTAGAATCTGTACTCGATTGTGTCTGTAATAAATTATAACGGTTAGCGAGACCTTTATCGTGTTAAAACGGAAATCTTATATCGCGACCAAGTGAGCTGTTTCAAATATATTTCACATGGCGTTATCATGGAGGGGGGGGGTGTTCCCTTTTCAACATCTATTGTACCACTTTTTCTTGTAGATTTTGTGGATAGATAATCGTTCTAAAATCTCCCTAAGCATATCCTTTAAGCCATTTTCTTATGATAATATTTTAGTTGGTAATACCTGGGAACCCAAAAAAAAAAACATTTAGGTAGTGTATAATAGATCTCAAACTGGATTTTGTGACTTGCATAAACTTGCATTGACGGTATGCGAGATTTAATATTTCTACTAAGGATCGTGGGGTCAACCCATAAACGTGAATTTTTTTGTTTCTATGACAGTTGCAAAATTGCAATGAACACAAACTCATAATAAATCTTGTTTTGTACTATACATATATGTCATACAAAAACTATTTAAAGCTTAATTATACAACTACCAGTAGCAGGTTTACTATCAAGAATAGCTTCACGCAATTCTTCTTCGGTAATATCTGGGAATTCCTTCTTGTAATACTTGTCAGTAAAAGCTTGGATTAATCCTGGGACCTTTTCCACAGTGGTTAGGTGGACAATTGATCCACCCCATCCAGCACCAGTGATTCTTGAACCATAAGCACCATTATCAAGAGCAATTTGGCAAATTTCATTTAATTTTTCATTGGAAGAATTGTTCAAATTGTCCAAATCAACTTGAGAAGCATTGAATAACTTACCAAGCTCGCCTAAGAATTGTTCTGGGTCGGAAATAGGAGATTTCAATAATTTTAATGTTTGTAAAACTCTTAAACTTTCACGGTATACGTGCTTGGCACGTTGATATAATTTCAAAGTTTCGAATCTAACTGGAACAGCAGTCAAGTACTTTTCTTGGAATTCTTGTTCAGAAAGACCCAACTCTTTACTGGCTTCGCTAACGGAATATCCAGTTTGGTTAGTTAATTCTTGTTCAACAAGGTTGATCATCTTGGTCAATCTTTCAATCCCGATATCAATATCATTTCCATCCCATTTTTCTTGATTCAAGGTAGAATAATAACCGTCCATAACTCCTCTTAAACTGCTACTGTCAATATTAGAATCTTGAGGTAAATCCTTAAGACCGAGCTTCTTGGCTAATAAGTCACTGGCAATACCCATTTCAACAACTCTCAAGTTATAGTGAATAGGGGCAGTTTCATGCTTGTTGGCAACTTGTAAACTGTTTGTGATTACAAATGTTAAATTCTTGATTGGAAATTCAAATGGAGTTCCTTTTAATTCTGGTTTAAATTGAATAAGTAAAGCCTTGTTGGTTTCACCATATACTGAAGCACATTGGTCCATACCTCCGGTATTAACACCAACATAATGTTCAGAAACAACGGTGATCTTAGTCAAGTCAGATTTTGACAATTCCTTAACACCATTAGCATGAAGAATAGCTAAAGTTGAAGCAACACAGAATGCGGCTGATGAAGAAAGACCTCCACCAGTTGGAACAGTACCATCAAATATAATATTCAAACCTTTAACCTTACCATTGTGACCTTTTTCCAATAAGTATTTGTGAGCGACAATTAAACCACATTTGAAGTAATTTCCCCAACCATGTTGTGCTTTATCGATGGTGACTGAAACTTTTGGATCTGAAGGTATTTCAATTACTTGTTTAGGAAAATCCTTTTCGTCGGTATTGGTAATGACAATTTGATTACTATCATTTACACCTACAGCAGCAACAACATCAACCTCAATTGCCATTGGTAAAACTGGGAAGAAGTTATAATCAATATGGTCACCAATTAAGTTGACACGACCTGGAGATCTGGCGAAGAATTCCACTGAAGATTCAGGGAAGTTCTTTTTGAATTTAGTTACAAGGTCATTGTATCTTGACTTGTTATCGTGAGTGTAGAACGACAAGTCAGTAAAAGTAGGAACAAGAGAAGACATAGTAAGAATTTGATAAACTTTGCGATCTTGGCTTGAAGGTAATCTTGGTTTGTTTTGAGTGGGAGGGGGGGGTGTGTCTTGTTTATATAGTTTTCCCAGAAAATGACCCAGGTTGAAGTGCACCAATTGAAAAAATAAATTCCTTGACCCCATCGAGGCTGAAATTGCAACGTTACATTGGAATTCCCCATAGTTAACGAGCCCCAGGTGGGGATGTCAAAAAAATGTCTGATAGATACGCGGGAAAAAAATCTGTGTCTGAAATAATTTTTGCAGGCCCATGCGCCGAAGATCGGGGGGATCAGATTATATCCGGATAATCTCCTCTCCACGGAAAACATGCATACGGCAAAATCACCTGTTTATGTAAACAGTATGTGCATGGATCTGTATAGGGAATTGGCCCATGTAAACATTGGTTACTGCTTTTGGGTGTTTTTGCTGTGGAGTGGTTGGTATGGTATCTGCAGTTTGTACGTCATGCTACTTTGGATTTCAGTTGATCTTACTTAAAAAGAAAAGCTAACAAGAACAACACATGATCACGAACTCAAGTAACGGCTCATGGTTCAGGAGACCAAATAATAAATAACTCCGCTCAGTAATAACCACTATTACATATACAACCCAACATCAAAGATAGACAAAAGTTTAATTGAAGTATTGCGGCAATTCAGTGGTGGCTGAAACAAATTCATTGTCTGCTATCATTACCTTGATCCAATTTCTTTTATCCACTCGTACTTTTGGTATGTGTCAAGGCAATTTGTGGCAAACAAATTTTATTTTGCCGTTAATGCATTCACTGTTATTATTGTGTTAAATAAAAAAAAAAAAGTAGTCTGAATTTTGTTTATCAGTCATAGGGCGATCAACAGGGGGTGTAAATTATCCCGCGAACTATACCCTTGGATTGTTTAGAGATAGATCAAGTAAAAATAATCAGGATAATTCTCGCCAATCTCCCATAGATTTTTCCTGAAAAGTACAACGTTGCATTTTCCCTGGCACTGTTTTTTTTTCCAGCGCATAATTTTGGAACTACCTTCCACCCCCCAGATCATCAAATATTTTTTTTCCACACATTGTCAATCCACCGGTTAGACCTTTTGTTTGAAAGACTCTCCACTTTTTCATCGGTCTCACCACGATATATTTTCACCACAGATCGTGCCGATTTTTTCTTCTTCCAACCCCTTTTTCTTTTCTTGTACTTCTTTTTCTTTCCAATTTCTTCTAATTACCCATCTAATCCTTAGAAAAATGTCAGAATATATCCTTGTTACTGGTGGTGCTGGTTATATCGGTTCCCACACTGTTATTGAATTGATCAACAATGGTTACAAAGTAGTTATTGTTGATAACTTGTCCAACTCAAGTTATGACGCTGTTGCTAGAATTGAGTTCATTGTTAAACAACATGTTCCATTTTTCAACGTTGACCTTAAGAACTATGAAGAATTAAACAAGGTCTTCCAACAATACAAGATCTCCGGTGTTATTCACTTCGCCGCCTTGAAGGCTGTCGGTGAATCTACCAAGATTCCTTTGGATTACTATGAAAACAATGTTAGCGGTACTGTTACCTTAGTCAAGGCTTGTAAGGCCAACAATGTCCACAACTTGGTTTTCTCATCCTCAGCTACTGTTTATGGTGATGTTACTAGATTTGGTGACAACTCTATGATACCAATCCCAGAACACTGTCCAATGGACCCAACTAACCCATACGGAAGAACTAAGTCTGTCATTGAAAACATTTTGAAGGATGTTTACAACTCTGAAGAATCTGCTTGGAAATTTGCTATTTTAAGATACTTCAACCCAATTGGTGCACACCCATCAGGTTTATTAGGTGAAGACCCATTGGGTGTTCCAAACAATTTATTACCATACTTGGCCCAAGTTGCCATCGGCCGTAGAGACAAGTTATCTGTCTTTGGTAACGACTATGACAGTCACGATGGTACTCCAATTAGAGATTACATCCACGTTGTTGATTTGGCCAAGGGTCACATTGCTGCTTTGGACTACTTGAAGAACATTGAACAAGGTAAAGGTTTATACCGTGAATGGAACTTGGGTACTGGTAAGGGTTCTACTGTCTTTGATGTCTACCATGCTTTCGTCAAGGCTGTAGGTAAAGATTTACCTTATGAAATTGTCGGTAGAAGAGCTGGTGATGTCTTGGATTTAACTGCTAACCCAGCCAGAGCCAACAAGGAATTGAAGTGGGAAGCTAAATTATCTATTGAACAAGCTTGTAAGGACTTGTGGAAATGGACCACAGAAAATCCATTTGGTTTCAATGTTGAAAACTATAGTTGGACTACCTTCGAAAGTGATGGTAACTACGACAACAGATTGCACACCTTCACTAACGGTCCATTGACTGTTAAGTTAGCTAACCGTGGTGCTTTGATTCAAGATATTGTTTTCAACGGTGAACGTTTAGTCAAGGCTTTCGACAATGGTGACGACTTCAAGTTACCAACTAATCCATACTTTGGTACCGTTGTTGGTCGTTTTGCTAACAGAATTGCTGATGGTAAATTCGAATTAGACGGTAAGAGCTACCAATTGACCTTAAATGAAGGTCCAAACAATTTACATGCTGGTTTCAATGGGTTTGACAAGAACAACCTCCTTGGTCCAGTTGTCAAATTTAATGATGGTAAGTTCACTGTTGAATTCTTGATTGTTGACCAAGATGGCAACGATGGTTTCCCAGGCACCTTAGAAACTGTTGTCAAGTACGTTATTGATAACAAATCTTTAGAAGCTGAATATGAAGCTCACTTGGTTGAAGGTGAAGCTACTATTGTTAACATGACCAATCACTCTTACTTCAACTTAACTGATGAAGCAAATACTAATGGTACTGAAGTTAAATTAGTTTCTGATATCATGATGGAAGTTGATGCCAAATCATTACTTCCAACTGGTAAGTTCATCAAGAATGAAAAGGTCACTCCAAATAAGCCAATCACCTTGGATGATGATGCTTTCTTTGATTATTGTTTCATTAGAGACGAAGCTGGTTGTGGTATCGATACCAGATCTTTACCAGTTGTTCCAGTTTTTTCTGCTGAACATCCAAAGACCACTACTAGATTAACTGTCTTGACCACTGAACCTGCCTTCCAATTCTATACTGGTGATGGTGTTAACACTAAGGGTTTCGGTAAGAGAGCTGGTTTCTGTTTGGAACCAAGTAGATTTGTTAATGCACCAAACCACAAGGAATGGGCTGGCCAAGTTACTTTAAGAAAGGGTGAAGTTTACGGTACCATTATCAAGTACGCTTTTGAAAAGAAGTAAGCAAAAACGCTTACTGCTTTGATAGTATATAGCTAAAATAAAATGACTTTGAATAAATAGTCTTATGGATTTGCAAAAACGAAAAAAAAAAAGAGATTTACATTTTTGTTTCTAGACATCAACTTGTAGAACTTGTACCTCTGTTTATAGATATAATTCCTACATAAATCTCACGCTAAGTTGATAGTATAATCGAGTATATGAAAATGATAAGTTAAACTTTATCGATATGTATATGGATTTAAACATATGAGATATTACATTCAATTTTCAATTTAATTGCTGCAAAATTTTGACAAATTCAAGCTAAAATTATTATGAATAAAAATATGGACAAAAAGTTTTAATAAACTCCCACAAAGGGATTTTCATATTAATATAAGGTCTTAATTAAAGGAAACCAACTTTTAGAAAAGAAATCCTTATAAAATAGAGGTATAATTGAAATATTTTAAAATATAAAGTCACGTGATAATAAGTTGGTATCAAAAACTAGGGAAAAATTTTGAGGGAAGCTTCGTTCCTCATGGCCCAATGGTCAAGGCGTCTGGCTACGATTTAGTAACCACTTCTGGAACCAGAAGATTCCAGGTTCGACTCCTGGTGGGGAAGCTCTTTTTTTTTAAAGTTTTTACATTTACACTAGTACATTTTACACTAGTACATTTTAGCCATTTATCTATCGATTACTGAAAGAAAATTCATATGTTCTATAGTTGAATTGTGAAATATCACTTTGTTAAATCATAAAAAGTTTTTGCAGATCTTGATTTTGATTTTGATTTTGATTTTTTTTTTGGTGCGGAAAAATGTTGTGTTTTTTTTTGACAACCAAAATCAACCAACCATTTGTTGCCTTAATTGCTTAGCTACGACATAATGCTTTACTCGATCCTTATACTAAACAAAGCCGGTGGATTAATATATCAAAATGAAGTAAATCCTGGTCTTAACAAATTATCTACCAATGATTATCTCGTGTTGGCTGGGTCCTTACATGGTATCCATGCTATTGGTGCCCAACTAGCACCAAACATCGGCGACAAGACCGTACCTGCTTCAGTAGAAGAATTCAATCGGAATCAAAACAGTTCCATCATGTCCACCTTCAAAGCACAAAGTCCAAACACTAATCGTTCCGGTTTACAGAATATCGAAACCCTGTTGTTTAATTTGTATATCTTCCAAACAGTAACGGGATTGAAGTTTATGTTGATTACCGCTCCCAATCCTGCCGAACATAAAGGGGAATTGAATAAGCAGTATGACATGGCACATGAACTTTTCCGTCAATTGTACATGCTTTATTCCGACTTCGTCATGAAGGATCCATTTTATTCCCTTGATATGCCAATCAAGAATCCGTTATTTGATACAAAGGTTAGAGAATTGGTTAATTAACTCTATTACTAATCTATATTATCATATCTAACCCTTCTGGCAAAACCACCACTGGTTTCCATCCTAACTGCCTTATCTTGTCATTATTTATGGAGTACTCCTTATCATTATATCCTCGATCCTTAACATATTGAATATATTGGGTATGGTCCACGGAATTGGTTTTAAAAACCTTTTGACATATTAATTTGACTAAGGAATTATTGTCAATTTCGCAATCACCACCTATATTATATATTTCACTCGTGCTAATGCCCGAATGCCAGATTAGGTCTATTGCATGTAAGAAATCCAGGATATACAAATAGCAACGTTTATTAGTTCCATCGCCATGAATTGGAATTGGGCTTTGTTCTTGCAAGCATTTGATTGTTAATGGGATGATTTTCTCGGGATATTGATTGGGTCCATAAACATTATTTGGTCTTAGGATAGTTATTGGTAAGTTATATGAGTATTGATATGATTGAATAATGAGATCTATCGCTGCTTTCGTAGCTGCATATGGGTTTGTGGGGCATAGTGTACCTTGTTCATCTGTGTTTTGGTTTATGTCTCCATATACTTCATCAGTAGATATATGGATAAAGTTAAACTTGTATTGGTGGCTGTATTTGTTTCGAAGTTCACGATAACATTCAAGGACATTCTGAGTTGCAAGAATGTTATTTTTTGTAAAGTATAATGGGGATATAAGTGATCTGTCGACACAAGATTCAGCTGCAAAATTTATGAAATCAGTGATTTCCATTTGATGAAAATTTGTAACTAGCATACTGTATAATGTTTCAAATGATTCCGACAAGTCCAATTTTATGAATTTGAAATTGTTTAACTGTAAAAGATCAGCAATATTTTCGAAATTGCTGGCATAGTTTAGCTTATCAATGCATGTGAAATGATAGTTTGGATACTTTCTCACGAAGTAGCTTAAGAAATTTGAGCCTATGAATCCGGCACCTCCAGTAATCAAGACTCTTTTATCGAAATGTATAGTCATGTTATGTGGCTTTCTGTCTGTGCAATCAAGCAAGATTTACTTTCGGAGATTTTGTCGTTGTCGTACGCTTTTATATGATCACGTACTATAAACAGAAAAAGAAATGTGAAGGGGAAAAAAAGAAAACATCCTTACCTCATCACAATTCCATATCTTCCAGGGTAAAATTGCAACGTTGCATTGGGAATTAGCCACATGGCTTCGGTTTCGGACCAATGACGATTCCGTGGGGAAAACAGGGGGTGTACACATATGGTACTTTGTTATTATTTTATTCATGCAGACACCAAACTGGAACGCCATTTGCGTGAATTAGCTTAAGCTGAAAAAGAAACTGGTCGATATAATTTGCCGTGATGGCAGATTTGTTCGGAAAAACTGAAATTCAAAACAATACCAATGAAAATACACAAAAAAAAGTGTCCGACATTTTTCTCTGTGTTTCTATTTTTTATGGACATAATTTCCGTGGGAAAAACAGCGATCTCACCCAAAAATGCAACGTTACATCGAAATTTACAGTGTTGAAAATTATTTTTCTGATAACTCACATATAAACATGATGATTTCTTTGTTTTCCATAATAATTTGAGATCCCCAACAGTTAGAACCCACGAGTTTCACAAAACGTCATCTTTTGCATTTCTGTATTTTCCTCTCCCCCGCTCCACTATAAATAAGCACCCTAATCATGCATCTGATGGAACATTTGTTAAATCCATTAACATCAACAAAAACATACATTGAAATGTCACAACAATTTGATTTCACAAACCATTCCCACCGTCGGTTAAACTTGCTCACCAACAAGTACGTCTTGTGTTCTCCTCATAGGGCTAAACGTCCATGGCAAGGTGCCAAGGAAGACATCAAGAAAACTGCATTACCTGAGTACGATCCTAAATGTTATCTTTGTCCCGGGAACATCAGAGCTACTGGTGATGTGAACCCTAAATATGAAGCCACTTATGTATTTCCTAATGATTATCCTGCTGTTAGGTTAGACCAACCTGATTACGTCGAGGAAGAAGCTGATGAAAAGAGTTTGAAAGGAAGGTTGTTAAAGACTGAAGGTGCCAAGGGGAAGTGTTTTGTTATTTGCTTTAGTCCAAAACATAACTTGACAATTCCATTGATGTCCCAGGAGGAATTGGTGCGAGTGGTTAACACTTGGCAAGGATTATACAAAGATTTATTAACCGAATCCCAAAGCGGTGCTGCACCATACAAATATTTACAAATATTTGAAAATAAAGGGTTTGCTATGGGATGTTCAAATCCTCATCCTCACGGTCAAGCTTGGTGTTTGGATATAGTGCCTAGCGAAGTTGAAGATGAACTTAACAACATGACAATATACCGCCAGAAGCATAACTCACACTTATTAGGTGATTACGTACAATTAGAGATATCAGAAAAGGAAAGAATTGTTGTGGAAAACGACTCATTCTTGGTAGTGGTTCCATATTGGGCATTATGGCCATTTGAAACCTTACTTATCTCCAAAGAACACTTGAGATCTACTCAAGATTTCACCGAGAAACATAAACTGGATTTAGCATCAATTCTCAAGGTCTTAACCACAAAGTACGATAACTTGTTCAACACATCATTCCCATACTCCATGGGTATTCACCAAGCCCCATTCAAATGTTCTGATGAACACAAGGACAACTCTTGGTTCCACATGCATTTCTACCCGCCATTATTAAGATCAGCTACAGTGAAGAAGTTCTGTGTTGGCTTTGAAATGTTGGGAGAACCTCAAAGAGACTTGACCAGTGAACAAGCAGCTGTAAGATTAAGAGAATTATCCGGAGAAGACCATTATATGAATCAATAGCTTATATAGTTTAAATGTACATACAAACCTCGAAAAAAAAAAAACGCATCGGCTAGATTTCTTTTTTTTTTTTTTGCAAACTTTTCTTTTTGCACTATCAGATATCACCACAGCTTGACCAACATGACTCAAGATCAGCCAGTTAAAGAGACCAAACCCCCTTTAGACTCAAGAATAGGAAAGGATGATCCGTTCGTTTTTGGCCAAAGATATCTTACCAATGAAGAAGACGTTTTCAACCAAAATGCTTGGGATCATGTTGAATGGGGAGAAGAACAAATTAAACAAGCTCAAGAATTGATCTCAAAACAATATGAACACCCAGTAAAAGACTTTGATAAAAAGATGTTTAATGCTAACCCAGCCAAGTTCTGGGACATCTTCTATAAAAACAACCGAGAAAACTTCTTCAAGGATAGAAAATGGTTACAAATTGAATTCCCTTCTTTGTATAAAGTCACTAATGAAGATTATCAGGAACCAACCACCATTTTGGAAATTGGATGTGGTGCTGGAAACACATTCTTTCCAATTTTGAACCAGAACAAGAATGAAAATTTGAAAATCGTAGGTTGTGACTATTCAAAAGTCGCTGTTGACTTGGTCAAGTCTAATGAAAATTTCAGTCCTAATCACGAAAGGGGTATTGCCTTTAGTTCCGTTTGGGATCTAGCTAACCCAGAAGGAAAACTCCCAGAGGACGTTGAACCAAACTCGGTAGATATTGTCATTATGGTATTTGTGTTCCTGGCCTTGCATCCAGAACAATGGGTTCAAGCTGTAAACAACTTGTCCAAGGTATTAAAACCAGGTGGTGAAATTTTGTTCCGAGATTACGGCAGATATGATTTGGCACAAGTTAGATTCAAAAAGGGAAGATTGTTGGATGACAACTTCTATATTAGAGGTGATGGTACCAGAGTGTATTTCTTTACCGAAGAAGAATTAAGACAAATTTTCTGTGTGGATGGACCATTTAAGGAAGACAAGATTGGTACTGACAGAAGATTGTTGGTGAACAGGAAAAAGGAATTGAAAATGTATAGAAACTGGTTACAGGCTGTCTTCAAGGCGTAAGTATTTACGACATAGCAATAATTATAATATAGAGAAAATTATCTAGATGTCTAAAGATAGTCCAAATGTCGTGCAATGGCATATCCATGATTGAACTGATATCAATGCCATGTATGTATGTACGGGCTAGTTTTACATCATTTGTAAATAGATTAGGTAATTCTCGTTGTAGAACTCGACTTAGGGTAACGGGTTTGTCATCTTCATATGCATGTATAGGTGCTTGAATTACCGTGGTAGATCCAGGGATGTAAATCTTTACGGGAATTCTTTGAAACTGTTTGGGGATAATTTTCTTATTCAAGCTAGTGAATTGGCCAAGATTTCTGGTGACAATCGAATTCCAAAGCAATTTAGAGTTTGATTCGCTTAGATTCATGATTGGCTTGGCGCTGCCGTTGATCACAAAACATGATTGCTTAAGTTGGTTGACTATGATCTCATTCAACGATTGTTCGTAATTGATGGTATTATCCGGGTTTGTGTACACAAACGGTATAATGTACTCAGCCGGGTATTTACCTCGTAAGTTCAACTGTATAGTCCAGCAATTCTGATCTAAGCCACCACCTCCACGTTCTTGAATCACACTTGGCAAATACAAGTAATCGTATAGTACACCTACAGGTAAATTCCAGGCTATAGGTACACCTTCATATTCAAACCAAAGTGCTTGCTTATAAATCTCATACGACACATAATTTTGGAAATATGAAATTAATTGCTGGAAGTGAATTGGCAAATATGAATTTCTAGGAATATTAATTAAATATTCGATATCCTCACTATCATGTGGCAATACCACCTTAATGTTAATACATCCGTTCCATAATTTTCTTTTAATTTCAGTTGTTGCCAGCAGAGATGCTCCTGTGAAATTCATATGCAAGTTTTCCAGATATGATCCACACACAAACAAAGAAACGCCAATTTATTCAATGTATAGCATTCATTCGTTTCTCTACACTAAAGATGGCTGGCTGGCTGTGCGGCGGGTTAAAAATTACAACTCAACCGCCCTAAAACTCCAGGAAAAAAAAGACGCCATAGAAGAAAAAAATCTCGTACTTAAAAATAGAACAATAGAATTATTGAAGTTTATTGTTGGTTGTAAATTAATAAGGGCTTCTTTGCAAGCATTCAAAAAGCCTGACGCCTTCTCCTCGCTGTTATAAATAACACGGTAACTAACCATAACCCCCACGTTTGGTTTTGTGGGGCCACTTTTATTCTTATATGTTTCAACCTTGAATACTCTATTTAATTCCCGTCAAAAATTTTTTGCAGCTCTTCAAAATTAATGATTATATAACCACATACCCCCCCTACAAATGACAGCTCAAACATTTAAACAAAGACTTCGGACTACCGATAAACCTCCTATGATTCCTGCTCTTGAAAAAACTGATTTCTCACATGCGGTAGACACTTTTAGACCCGTGAGTATGGATTTATCTGATATTCCTGATATTATACGTCAATTCAATAGAAGAGAAGAAAATGAAGCAAAAAAGCCAAAGAAGAAGAGGGTGGTTAGTACGCCTATTGGATTAGAAAGCTACAGAGAACCTATACAGTTCCCACAGGGTTATAACGTGGCATCAATACCTATGCCCAAGCGGAGAGTCGTAAGTCAACCACTTTTGTCCAATGTCAAAGAATTACCTGATGTTCCAAATGTTGAGCCCTTAGAAGAAGAAGAAGAAGAAGATTTAGAACAGATGCATAGTAATTCATCTAAGTCTAGTTCAACGTCCGTACATGACCTGAGACATGAAATTGCCTCCCAAGAATCAAATATAAGACCTCCACCACCAAGCTATAACAACTCATACAATTCACAGTATTTACACTCGAAACATAGTCTGACTTACTCCAGTAATAGTATTGAATACATGCTCAATTACCCTAGTCAGAAACATCAAGAACCTCCCCAATCACCAGATTCAAGTTACAACTCGGTTAATTCCCTATATTATACTCCTCAAGAATACCACGCATCTTATGCGCTTGACAGCATCGAGTATCCGAAACTTGAAACATCACAATATAGGACCAAACAACAACTGGACTCCAAAAACACCAGCTACGGCACATACAAATTACATTTCAGACCTACAGAATACCGTCTGTCTTTCTCAGATGACAATATGGATTATCTCTCTCACGAATTTTCAAATCTTGAAATTGCAAAAAGTAATGAAGATAGTTTATTTTCTAACCCATTAGTTGACCCTGGTTCATCACAAGAAGATTTGTATTTAACGATTTCTCCAGAAGAAACTAAGAAACAATTATCACCAGTTCCTGAAATTCTTCCCAAAGTTCGCAAGAGTAATTCCAAACACAAACCAAAACCACCGGTATTTCACAATAGTTTATATTCGGAAAAACATACTATCATTGAACAAGTGAAACAACGTCCATTTAGTTATTGTCTTGACTCAAAGCATAATTATGAAGATAGCAGATATCCTATAGCTCCACCAATTAAGAAAGTGCAAGATATAAACAAACCTAGAGCTACTAAGAGGAACTCCACATTAACTATTAATACCACAAATACAAACGTGAATGAACAAAGGAGATCAGTAAGTGACTTGCAGCAATACATAAAGACAAGCAAGGAAAAATTCAACAATAATCGTATAGTGTCATTTGTTAGAGAAAAGAGTAAAGAAGTGACCCCACCCAAGCAAGAAATGCCCAAAGTCGAGAAGAAATTGTCGTTTGCTAGAGAAAATACCAAGGAGTCTGTCGTTACTTCAAAGAAAGAAAAGCCTAGAACCGAAAAGACATTGCCTGCTCCTCCCACAGTTCCTGTGAAAGATAAATCGTTACCAACGCCTCCACCTATATTTCCACCTGTACAAAATATGAACAAACCAATTGCATATAAAGTTAGAATTATACACAAATAGACTAGATATTTATAATTTAACAATTAAATCGTCATTTTTATACTTGTCAATGATATCCTCAATATCATACTTCTTTGCAATTTCTTTATTAATAAACCTCCCTCCTAAATAGTGAACCTTATCTTTACCACTTTCGACAAATCTAGCAGCACATGGTTTTGGAGCAGTTAAACTTATCAACATTGATGCATTAATGTCTATATCTGTAGGACCTTGGTCAACATCCCATCCTGATGGAATATCAACTGCTACGACAGGAGCAATCTTGTCATGATTCACGGAAAGAAAACTAATTAAATCTTTGAATGGTTCTCTAATTGGTGGTTTGAATGAAAATCCAAATAATGAATCAATGATTAATTTAACTTCACCTTTGTTATTAAGCAATGCTTTCACCTCTTCTAATGTTTGTAATTCTCCCACTTGTAAATCTTGCAATTGTTTAACAAGGTTAGAATACAATTGGTTGCTGGTTTTTTTAGGATAGTACAACACCGGATCATATGACCCCCAAGTTTTCAAATGACGAGCAGCAACCAATCCATCACCACCATTATTTCCCGGACCTACAAGAACCAACACTTTATTGGGAGTCCCTGTAGAAGGAGGGTACTGTTTATATATTGCTTTTGCAACAGCCAAACCTGCCAATTCCATCAATTGATCAATCGAAAATGCACCCGTTGACATCAATTCTCCGTCCAATTGAGCAGCCGATTTGGCCGACAATGTCTTGAATCCAGCTTTTATCATGGTTGTATACTGAGATGCAATCGAGAATAATATAATTGCTGTAGAAACGAAAAAAATAGTGATCCCCTTATTATTCATTAAGGGGGGTATACAAAAGTGTCGTGATATTTTTCTAATTGGCCCACACAGAAGAAATTCACTTTTTGACATATGTCCTTTCACCCTTTTAAAGTTTATTTTCTTCTGTATTACAGTTGTAGTTATAGTCCTTCCTATATGGGCCAATTATATCCAAACCCCCACAAATATCCGCGACATTTTCAAAATGTCGTCAGGGGGGGAGGGGGACGGGGAGGTAGACACTTGCAACCATCATAAAACAAATTCTTGGTAAATCCGAAATTATCACGTAAATCAACCGTAGAGAAGTTTGTTTCTACATTTGGTCAACAGTTTAACCTCTGATGCTGGAGTTGTTAGATCTAAGCTTGGATGCATGCTCTAAAATGAATTGGTTTCCATTGTTTTATGCCTCAGAATAGAATTTTCACCTGCTCAATAACATATTAGTACTAGATTTTCGGCAATACAAAGAGAATTTCCTGGTTTTCGTGGTAGCAACTTTGTTCCATGACAAGCAAAACAATAGATGCAGTTACAGTGTCGCTAATAATAGACACACACAGTAAGTTACATTCACAGTAAGTTATGGGATTGCGCGCGTTGCAAAATACACGCACCTTTCAAAGTCTAATTTTTTATTACGGCCAGAAAAAGAATAAACAAAAAAAAATTACCGATTCAAAAAATTTGTTTGTCCATTATCACCAAGTGAATTCAGACGTGCAACAGCCTTGTTAACGACTAATACTGTTGTAATCTGTCCTGATAACACGCTAATCTAACCACAATTGACAAATAGGTGATACCCCTGACACGTATACTGTTAGATTACTTTTGTTATCCCCTGAAAATTCGCGTATCTCGTGTCGACCGTACCACCACCCAATAAAAACAAAAGTTTGTTTAACAGATCAACATCCACAAAAATGGATCAACTGTACACGTTCAATGTTTCGTCATCCAATGGCCAACATAGCTCTCCTATAATTAATTATAGAAAGGATGCTAAAAAGGGGGTCAAGTTTACCTTTATGGTTGTTGGTGAACTGGGTACCGGTAAAACTACTTTCATCAATGCACTATTAAACAAGAAAGTCTTGAATCATAGATATGAGTCAACAGCACATACTGCCGGAGAAACCAAAACATTAGCCTTCACTTCGGCCAAGTCAGTTGCTTTGCCAAACACTTCGATCTTGACCAGAAACGAATTCAATGCCAGAACTATTCATGAAGAACCCGGTATTGCCTTGACTGAAACTCAAATTGAAATCTTGGATGACGACAATATGAAATTGTTTTTGAATATTATAGATACTCCTGGGTTTGGTGAAAATTTAAACAACGAGATATGTTTTGTTGAAATTGAAAACTATTTAAAGCAACAATTTGATTTGGTCTTGGCTGAAGAAACTAGAATTAAGAGAAATCCAAGATTTGTTGATACCAGAGTTCATGTGATGTTATACTTTATTACCCCTACCGGTCATGGTTTGAGAGAAATTGATATTCAATGTATGAAGAGATTATCCAAGTATGTTAATATCATTCCAGTTATTGGTAAAGCCGATAGTTTTACTAGCGATGAATTACAATTTTTCAAACAACAAATTAGAATTGATATTGAAAAATTCAATATTCCAACTTTCCAATTTGATAGCTTCTTGAATGAATATGATGAAGAAGAAGATTATGATTTGATACAAGAATCTAAGTTCTTAGCCAGTTTACAACCATTTGCCGTGGTTTGCTCTGAAGATACCTTTGAAGTTAGTGATGGCGCTGGTGGTAAGCCTAAGATCGTTACTGCTAGACAATACCCTTGGGGTTTAGTTGATATTAACGATACTAGATATAGTGATTTTTCAATTTTAAGATCAGTATTGTTAGGATCTCACTTGCAAGATTTGAAGGATTTGACTCATGACTTCTTGTATGAAACTTATAGAACTGAAAGATTAACAAAAGTCACTGGTGATGCTGGATTTGATGACGATCTTACCGAACAACCTACTGAGACTCATGATCATACTTTGGGAACTCGTCATGAGATTCCTTCATTATCAAACTTGGCTCAATTAACCGATAGTTCTACTAACGGTGATTTTGCTCGGGAAATTGCTGATAGTCATTCAATAACTTCTACAAGTTCTTCATTGAAGAAACCAAGTATGTTATTGGATGATGAAGTAACTCCTCAATCTCCAAGGTTAAGAAATGTGAACTCATTCACATCTTCTTCATCCACAGTTTCATTCGACACTGAAAAACAACAAAACAACAATCAATTCAAGAGATTGTCTATTGGTCCACAACGTAACCAATTGCGTCAATTGTCGGAAACCGTGCCTTATGTAATTAGACACGAACGTAACTTAGAAAGACAGGCCAAATTAGAAGAAATGGAGATGGCCAGTGCTAAGGAATTGGCCCATAGAGCCGCTATGTTGGAAAGAAAAGCCGCGGAATTAAAGGCAAAAGAACGAGAATTGATGAGACAATTGGAAGAGGCTAGAGAAATTGAAAGAAAAAAGGAACAAGCAGAAAGACAAAGGGCTGAAGCAGAAAGACAAAGAGAAGAAGCAGAAAGAATAAAACAAGCCGAGGCTGAAAGGGTTGAAGAGGAAGATGAACAAGAAGACCCAGAACCAAATGTTATTGAAGTACATGATGAATCTTATGAAGATTCCCAAGAACATCATATTGAAAAAGATACTACTATAACCGATTTGCATTCAATTGTAAGTCAACATTAACCTGGTATATATGTGCACATATGAATCTATTGATTTTTCTAGTACAATATCTCTCAACTTTATCCTGTAGTATTAAGCTAACTCTGTGACATAGCACGACGCGACATTACCATTGACGAAAAAAAAAAATTTACACACAGGCAAAGGAAAAGGACAGAGCAAAAAAAAAAAAAACTTCACGTTCAAATTTCAGCTGTTGTCAAATATTACACCAAAGGAAAGGGACAACTAGACAAATACTATCAAATTTAGTGTGAATCAACTACATATAGTTCTACCAGCGAAAACTACACACCGAATTATCTCATTTAGTTCTCCCACAACATTTTCTTTAGTAAAAAAACACGACATATCTCCCGTGATACCCAAAGCTTTTTGTTATAATTTTAGAGACCAAGTTTTTTTTTAACATTCATCCCTACTGCGCTTTTTCCCAGCAATTGCTATTAATAGACTAGTTAGACGTACAGCCACCATGGATATCCTTCAAATCTTGGAAAATGCCTTGCTAAACCCTGATCCTAATGAAAGAACCCAAGCAGAAATTCAATTGAATGAAGCTGCCAACAATCATTTCGCCGAATACATCCAACTTTTAATTGGTGCCTTGATGAATGAAGAAGCCAAGACTGAAGTTAGAATGTTGGCTGGTATTGGATTAAAAAATCAATTGACTTCAAAGGACCCCAAGACGAGAGCAGGCCAACAGGAAAGATGGATTCATTTGGAACCAGAAACAAAAAAGAAAATTAAAGACACAGCCATCCAGGGTTTAAGTGTCCAGGACCAAAAAGTTGCTGGTACTGCCGCGCAATTGGTTGCTGCTATTGCTGACATCGAATTACCAAGAAACGAATGGCCAGAATTGATTCCTATAATTATCCAAAACACCAAATCGGAAAATCCTGAAAATGTTAAAAAGGCATCTCATTTGACCATTGGGTACATTTGTGAAAGTGCGGATCCAAATAATCCAAATATTGTTGCTCAAGCTAGTGGGATTTTAATTGCTATTGTTCAAGGTGTCCAATCTAATGAACCTTCCAAAATTGTCAGATTAACTGCCTTGAACGCATTGGTAATCTCTTTGGAATTCATCAAGTATAATTTTGAAGCTGAAGGTGAAAGAAATTACATTATGCAAGTCGTTTGTGAAGCTACTCAAGCTGATGATAGTGAATTACGAGCCAGTGCATTTGGATGTCTTGCTAGAATCATGGCCTTATACTACCGTCATATGTCTCTTTACATGGAAAAGGCATTATATGGATTAACTGTATCAGGAATGCAAAGTTCTGATGAAAGAGTTGCCTGTATGGCTGTTGAATTCTGGTCAACTGTTTGTGAAGAAGAATTGGAAATTGCATTACAAAGACAAGAATTTGGTTTAGATCTTGAAAATGTTCAACAAATTCCTCCAGAATTCACTTCATACAATTTTGCTCTCGTTGCTGTTCAAGATGTCTTGCCTACACTTTTAACTTTATTAACTAGACAAAATGAAGATCCTGAAGATGATGATTGGTCAGTTGCCATGGCTGCTGGTGCATGCTTACAATTATTTGCTCAAAATATTGGTAATTATGTCGTTGAACCTACTTTGAATTTCGTGGCTGCCAATATCACCAACCAAGAGAACTGGAGAGCCAAAGAAGCTGCAGTTATGGCCTTTGGCTCTATCTTGGATGGTCCCGAACATGAGCAATTGAAGTCATTGATTACTCAAGCATTACCACCAATTCTTAATTTAATTAATGATGAAGCATTACAAGTTAAAGAGACCGTGGCATGGTGTCTTGGTAGAATTGCTGATGTTGTTGTTGATGCCATTGACCTTGATACTCAGTTATCTCCATTAATCCAAGCATTAACTTCCGGATTACGCGATCACGCTAAAGTTTCCACCAATTGTTGTTGGACATTGATTAATTTGTTGGAACAATTATGTCAAGAACAATTGGATACTAACATTATGTCACCATATTATCAAACCATTATTCCAATTTTGTTACAAATTTCTGCTAGATCTGATAATGAATTTAGTAGTAGAGCTTCTGCTTATGAAGCATTGGCTACTTTTGTGACTTATAGTGCTAATGACACCATGTCAATTGTTCAAGGTATTGCTACTGAAGTATTATCAAGATTGGAATCGACCATCATCATGCAATCTCAAGTTACAAGCGCCGAAGATAAGGGTAATTTAGAAGAATTACAAACCAATATTTTGTCCTTATTAACTAATGTTATTAGAAGATTAGGTAATGATATTGCCTTGGCTGCTGATAATTTAATGGATAGATTTATCAAATTATTGGATGCTCAAGAATCAAATTCATTAATTGAAGAAGATATTTTCATTGCTATATCTGCAGTTTCTGGAGCCATTGGTAAAGATTTCATTAAATATATGCCTATTTTCTTGCCATACTTGACCAAGGGATTACAAAACACCGATTCACCTACGTGTAATACCACAGTTGGGTTAGTGGCTGATTTAGCTCATTCCTTAGGATTGGATATTCTTCCATATTTGGATGGACTCATGTCTATTTTGGGTACCAATTTAAACAATTCTGAAGTGAGAAGAGAATTAAGACCGGCCATCTTATCAGCATTTGGGGATATTGCCACTGCAATTGGACCTAATTTCCAACCATATCTTAGTTTTGTCATGCAAATATGTATTCAGGCAGGACAATTTGAACCAGAAGATAACTCCTTAGATACGATAGACTACGTGTTCAATGTTAGAGAATCCGTATTAGATTGTCTTGTTGGTATTGTGGGAGGAATGGCTGACTTACCTAATGAAATTTATCCATATATTGGATCAATATTTGGTGTTTTACAAAGAGTTGCTCAAGATATCAGTATGTCTAATTCTGATTCTGTGGCTAGATCAGCTACTGGGTTATTAGGAGATATTGCTGCTATGTATCCACCAGGAGAATTTAAACAAGCATACGAACAAGTTTGGGTTACTGAATTTATCAAAAGAACCAGATCTAATCCTATTTTTGATGAAAAGACCAAGGATGCAGCAAGATGGGCCAGAGAACAACAAAAGAGACAAGTCAATGCTTAATCACAAGTTCCCACCACCACCACCACCACAACCCTCGTTTCCTCTAATACATACTCTCTCATTCATTCCTCTCATTTTGCACCTCTCATACTTTTACACTCTCACTTTAACGTTTCCGAAAGTTATTTATTCATGTTTGCTTTCCTAATAGAATCAAACCTCCTTTTTTGCCTTTTTTAATTTTAATGTCCAATTCATATCCTCTGCATAAATATCTTATATACTTTTATAAATATATTTTCCTTTAACGAAATATACACACCTGCTTAATAGACGTTATACACAATTTCACAATTAATTTTAGACCTTGCATTAGAACCAAATAGTCGTATCATGGTTGTGATGTGAATTTCAGATTATACAATAAGAAAACTGACTTTTAGACTGTTCGATAGCAATATGCGCAAGTATTTTTCCACCGCAATCGGTCCAATCGAACGGTTAAAAGAAGCGAAACAGGGTTGGTATCCAACTCCACAACTAACTACAGATCACAAAACAATGAACCCAGAATGGATCATACCACTGAAAAATTACCTCCCGGGGAAAATTCCCAAGTAAAGCCCATCAGAAAACGGTTGCATTGCCAGTGACAAATGCAGTAAAGAAGCCTTGGACGCGTGGCAATGCGTCTCGGCAAAAAAAAAGTTTCATTGTCTGCCAATGAATTTTTTCTATTGGACTAAAATACATCCTGACTTTACAACGGTATTGTCTTTTGCAATTTTAATATATAAAGGGTAGATCCCCGAGCTCGTTCTTAATTATAATTGACGCAGTATCCACTCGTGTGCGCAACAAAGTTTAGATGCTTCTGTTCAACAGTAATTCCAATTTAACTACGATATATCCCGCTTATCAACCGGTTCCATTCGATCATACTTATATACTATATGATCCCCAGGATGTCATATCTGTGATCTGTGTCCAGTTTTCGTTGTTGCCCATATACATCATGGTGTTCTACACGGCGTGGTTCTTAATAACTCGAGAGATAGAACCAGTTATAGCCGTGGGTGGTCATTTGTGCAATGAAATCGCCAACAAAATTGTCAAACGACTTATCAAACATCCGAGACCAGATTTCCATAAGGACTTTGGGTTAGGTTCATACAGTTTGACTTACGGGATGCCGTCAGCCCATTCTCAATTCATGGGGTTTTTTGCAGCATATTTCATATACACTATTCATTTCAAAGTGGACCATATGCCAGCCAGAAAGAAACGTTTTGCATACTTGTTGATGATAACTGGGATGGTTGCGGTTGCATTCTCAAGAATTTACCTTTTGTATCATACAGTTCCTCAAGTCATAGTTGGGGTAATGGTGGGATTCGTATTGGGAATCTGTTATTTCATTGCATCCACACTCGCCAGAGATGTGGGGTTAGTTGATTGGGTATTGAATTGGCCCATTGTCAAGTACTTCTACATAAAAGATACTTATTATTACAAGTACGAAACTTTCCAGCAAGAACATGAAAACTATCTTGCAAAGAGGAAGCTGGCCAAGGATACTCTGATACAAAAGACTACCAAGGAGAAAGAACTACAATAGATTCTAAATATATTTCACTAGCAATTAGCTATATATAAGCATTTACAAATATAAAAAAGAATACAAAAAAAAACAAACTCTATGCAGTAAAAAGACATTAAAAGTCATCCCATTTATCTTCGTCATCCTCTTTTTTAGCAGGACCCAGAGACAAACTTTGGTATTGAGTTTTATGATCAGGTTTATTAACTCCAAAAGCAGGTGGAACTGGTTGCTTGGCACCGCCAAAAAGAGCACCAAATCTATTATCAATAGTCTTGTTTAAACCTTGTTGATTGATGTCATTGGTAAAGCTCTGGAAAGTTTCTTGACCATACTTTCCAGTTTCTTGCATTTTTTGTCCAAATTGGGCCATGGCCCTTTTAGCCTCATTACCAAACTCACTAGATTGAATAGTACTTATACCTGGCTTAATAACACTTTCATTAACTTCAGCCACGGATTTAACTACGGTAGAAGAAAACAATCCCCAACCTTTAGTTAAAGTACCCAAAGGATCTTTTTGGAGATTGTCTAAACTCAAACTTGAAACACTGTTGTTAGCTGGTTGTGGAGTAGGGGTATTACCAAATCCACCGTACTTCCCACCTTGAGATGGTGGTAAATGATCTGGTCTCAGGTTGTTTCTTGAACCCAATTCAGCAAAATAATTTTCATTTTTTTGTCTTTGTTCTTGTGATAAAAGTGGAGTTGAACGTCCTTGAGGAGTGGATTGGCCACCAACTTGTGATGGGATAGACGCAGTTGAAGAAGTTCTTGAATCTGGTAATTGCTTACCGGAATGATCCTTAGGAACAAATTCTCTTCCTTCAACTTCACAAGTTAATAATTCCTTGTAATCTTCAGCAACATAATTATCATACTTGGCCTTGGCAGGTAAAGTTAAATCAACACCGTTGGAAACAAAATAATTCTTTAATCTTTCATTACCACCGATTTCCATTCTCATGGTTTCCTCAGGCTTGAATTGATCCATGGTTATCGATCTAACAAAGGAAATATGAACACCTAAGCCTCGATGGATCCCAGCACACTCTAAACAGATGAAAATACCAAATTTAGGAGAGGCCCATTGTGGATTGTGGGCGGAACAATCGAAACATTTCTTGTTTTCTCCGGTTTTTTGTAATAATAACAACTTTCTACGCGTTTCAGGATCAATTGACATATTTGACAGCAAATCACTTAAAAAAAAAGTTTAAAAACTAAAAAGTAAAAGGTTAAAGGTTATGTATAAGTCTATATAAAACGCCTGATGGAGGTTGGATTAAGTGGTTGCCAGATAGTTTAAGGTTGGTTACTTGGTTCTGGCGGTGATGATATGCTCAATATGTGGTAACAAGTACGAAAGTAAATCACAATTTTTTTTTGTCCGTTGTTTCAATTCAAAAGCAAAAATTGATAACGCCTTGGTCGTGCGGATTGACTAAAACTGCAAACATAAATACGATAATTCAGGAAACTACTTAGGATTGATTTCATTTCATTGGAATGGTATGTTCTTGATACTGCGTAACATATCTATCCAGATAAGTGATCTCATACTTAGTTTACTAAGCCAGAAGGCCGTAAGAAAAGTGTATAGTTGAATCAATTTCTGTCAAGTTGTAAATAGTATTACTAATATAGTGTAAGCCACCAAGAATTCGACCGTTAACGCAAGCACTTAACCCTGAGTTAATTACAAATCTCAAGATATGTCAAGAGAGACGGAAGCGGATGCAACAGTGTACTTCCCGATCCGCGGTCCCTTATGATCTTTCCAATCGTCCAACCAATAGAAGTTGTAGATGAAATAGTAGCATTAAATATTATAATTCGGGATTTCCTATTTGGGAATTTCTAGCAGCTGCTTACAAATTCAAAATGTAATCAAGTAGCATGCTCACCAGCATAAGCGAGTGACTAAAAGGGCGTTGCTGACATTATGTAAGCAAGCTCCACGGGTAAAATATGTCGCGGATATTCAGCAAAGATAAAAGTATCCACACTACCACTAATTAGTGATTTCATATTTTTATCATTTTCCCTGGTTGATATTATTTAAAACATACGCTATGCCACACATTTCAAGTATAAATAGGGGGTGTATTCTCCTTAATTTCTATTTACATTCCCCATTTCTTTCTTCATCAATTATAACTTAGCTTAAGATGTCCCCAACTGCAGTATTTGTTTCCGGTGCCAATGGATTCATTGCCCAACACATTGTCAAGCTCTTGATTGACAAGAACTACATCGTAATTGGTTCAGTCAGATCACCCGTAAAGGGAGATGAACTTGTTGCTAATATCAATTCTCCAAACTTTTCATACGTTGTTGTCCCTGATATTGGAGTTTCTGGAGCATTTGATGAAGCACTTAAGGCACATCCAGAAGTTACAGTTTTTGTTCACACTGCTTCACCATTCCGTTTTGATATTAGTGATATCGAAAAAGAATTGTTAACTCCAGCTATTGAGGGTACCAAAAATGCTTTACAGTCAGTACAAAAATATGCCCCTCAAGTTACAAACGTCGTTGTCACTAGTTCATTTGCTGCAATTGGTGCTTTCCGCCAATACGAAGATCCCTCTAAGATCTTCACTGAAGCAGATTGGAATCCTATCACGTGGGAAGCTTCATTAGACAATGCAGGTGACGGTTATCTTGGTTCCAAGAAGTTTGCTGAACAGGCAGCATGGGATTATGTTAAGACTGAAAAGCCAAATTTCAAATTAACCACTGTCAATCCACCATATGTTTTTGGTCCTCAAGCTTTCCCTATTAAGAATAAGAAAGAATCGAACACTTCTTCGGAAGTGGTCAATGCATTGTTGAAACTTTCTCCAAGTTCTAAAATTCCTGAAACTCACCATTTATTTGTCGATGTTCGTGATGTTGCAGCTGCTCATATTTCGGCCTTTGAAAATCCAGAAGCTGCAGGTAAGAGATTGTTCCTTGCTTCTGCTCCATGGAGTTCTCAAGGTATTGTTAATATTATTCGTAAGAACTTTACCGAATTGAAGAACATTCCAGTTGGAGAGCCTTGGAAGGATAATTTATACAGAAGTGCAACTTACAAGTTTAATAATTCCAAAACCATTGAAACTTTAAAGGTTGAATTGTTACCATTAGATACTTCGATTATTGATTCAGTCCAACAAATTTTGGAAGCAAAGTAAGTAATTGGGTACTCGAATTAGATTGTTTACATAATTCTTTAATACTGTTTAAAATTAAATATAAATAGAATGTTCTTTAATGACACAATCGTAGTTGCAGCAATTTGTTCAAGGAAGTGCTACCACTTTTAGGATCCACAACAAAAATCTCGCTGTGGCTAAAATCCGGTAGCGCCGACTATTGGGTATTTTCATAGCTATGCGGTTGGTACTGAATAATATGGTGATATACACACGGACTTTATAGTTCCATTACATATGATATATTGATTCTTATATAGCTTTATATACACAATTACAACTTACTACCTGGAGCATCTAATGCTTTAATAATGTTAACTGGATAATCCCTGTTACCAAGATTTCCGACATGCCAACTTCCACCATCAACAACTAATACATCACCAGTGACATATGAAGCAGCTGGTGAAAACAAATAGACAGTAGCATCAGCAATATCTTCAGTGGTACCTAATCTTTGTAATGGGATATTGGCTGCCATTTGATCCTTTGTACCTTTAGCCAATCTTTGAAGACCCTCGGTATTGTCAATTGGGCCTGGGGCAAGACAGTTTGATCTTATACCCAATGGGCCTAATTCTACAGCAAGCGCATTTGATAATGCATCGACACCGGCTTTAGCAGCTCCAACATGAATTTGGAATGGAACACCGTAGTAATGTAATGTAGCACTAACGAATATAATTGCCCCCTTGTTCTTTCTCAATTGCTCAAAGCATGCCTTGATGGTATTAAAAGAACCCAATAAATCAATAGCAACAACCGATTTGAATGCATTTGAAGATAAATGATTGAAATCACTCAAGAAATTCCCGGCTGCTCCTGCAATGACAAAATCAATTCTACCTAATTCTTCCACAGTCTTATTAACAGCTGTAACTAAAGAGTTAACATCACGGACATCAATATTAGGTAATGAGATGACTTTGGCATCTGGACGTAAACTGGCAATGTCTTTGGCAGCAGCATCAGTTTTTTCTTTGTTTCTTCCAACAATAGCAGCATTGGCACCTAATAACACCAAAGCTTCTGTTTGAACTTTACAGATGGTACCAGCACCTCCAGTTACAAATACAACTTTTCCTTTGAATAAGTCAGATCTCCAAGAACCTTTAGAGACATATGATTGATTTAATGTAGGCATGATATGAATGGAGCTATATGTGTAAAATGATAGTAACAAAATGATACGGTTGACGAGCAAGCAAGGGAAAACGGTTGTAATTTATATATATATTTTTTTTTCGGTTTATGCCTGTGACATAATTGTGGATATTCCCCCACCCCTCCCCCACAAATATCATTTCTCCTTTTCCGCGCATTAGCACTAACCGAGGTTATTATGTATGACGATTTAATGTCAACATGATGCCGTACCCAACAACAACATTATACGCCGGAAATAAGCTATCATATCGGATATAACACTTGGTCTTGAAAATTTCTATTTTCCACACTTATCATGGAGATATTACAGCTATAACGTTAACTCCGGTATATTTACATTCCCGTTTATTTAATCTTACAAATAAGTTTACATAATAATTACTGACAACAAATACACTATTCTAAGCTTCATTAATATTGGTCGACCCCGTGCTTAATGCAATCTTTTGACTACCATTTGAAAAATCAGATATGATTGAAATTGTCGGAGTAGTCTCATCTGAATTTACATTTACCGCACAATTGATTTGTTTTCGTTTAGTTGTTTCTTCTTCAGTTTCTTCTCGTTGTCGTTTCTCCGAGATGGAGTCATCAGGTCTCTCTTCTTGACTACCATTTTCAAAGTCATCTTCATCATTGATTGGAGTCGAAGCATTATGCTCCAATATTTCATCATCAGATAAACTCAATTCATCAGTTTTGATTCCATTCAGAATAACGTTTGTATTTGTGTCGTCGTCATCTTCCTCATAGTCACTGTCATCTTTCAAATGTCTGGTTTCCACTCCATTGGCACCTAATTGAAGTAATACCCTTCCTGTAATGAAAAAGCTCAACTTTGTCTCAAAGAATTCCCGATAATTGCTATAAATATGCTTAACCAACAATTTATAGTTCAATCTCTTGGAAACTCCTTGTAAATTCTTAACAATAATTTCAATCAAATCCAAACATGTCGAGTTAGCCAATGTATTTTGATCAACCACATTTTCGAAAAACTTGAAAAAATACGACAAGATCCTATTGTTGATTATGTATCGACAATAAAAAGTATCATTCAAGATAATTATGTTCTTCAAGCATCGTAATACACTCAACTTGACTGTCATTTTGCAATTGCCTTCTAATAATTTGACAATTCCCAATAATATATGATTCTCCAAAAAGAATGGACGGGAGATATGTACCTTGTGTTCTCGTGTACAAAATGAAATCAAATCACATAAATGTTGATACAATAATTCATCACTGTGGGACATCTTGATAGGCAAATTCTTATCGTCTTTGGCAATCTCAATCAATTTTCCAAATAATAAAGGTGCAACCTGGGTGTAAAATGCTCGGAAATAATTCTTAGTGTTTATATCTTTAAAATCATTCAATTCATCATCATCTTCAGAATCATAATCGGTCCCACTTCCATTTCTACTTGAACTTGTGGCAATATTTGAATCTAACAATATCCTCAATGCTTCCACCGCTTGAATTTTCAAGCCTGGATTCCTATCTTCAACTAAAAGATTAGTCAATATGGAAATTAAGGTCATATCATCAGATAATTTAAGTTTGATTTCACTTGCTTCTTCTTCGTCATTTTCCTTAATATCTTCAATTACTGGATGTGTCGGTGGTTCAGAATTGTCAATGGTTTCTTCATTTTCGATAGAATGCACTAATGATACATCTTGCTCAATTATAATTACGATAAGCTCGGTTCCTAGTACTCTGATTTTATCCTCAGAATCTTTTAATGCAAAACTAATCATTCGGAAAAGCCCGCTTTTCACCAATAATGAGAAGAATCCCAATTTGAGATGAGATTGCAATGATTTTGCAATGAGGATATATTGATGTAACATTTGCACTCCATCCCGTTTAAGTTCCGTGTTTGATGAAGTCTTGTAGATTTGGAATAATGATTCCAATACCAGGGAATCCTTTAAATAATTGATAATTTCTACTTGATTGAGGTAGATTAACGTTGATATCATATTGAATGTTTGGTCATCCAATACTCGAGGTAGCACCACATCTTTCAAGAAATTCAAATGGAAATCCTTTTTGAAGATATTGATTTTATCAATCGGTATTACTGATCTGAATGATTTTGCCTTGAGGAAATCCCGATGGCATGCTTTGAATTTAGGGTATTCCGAATCATATTCTAACATTCCAACAAGAGCCAATATTTTCTCTTCTGATTGTAGGAAATCTTCCACTAATAGTTTTTCATTATATAGAAACAAAGATTTCACAATTTCACTTAATATGTATAAATTATTCAATTGTTTGGATTGTTCAGCTTTGTTGAATGTGTCCACTAGTTTCTGGAAATAATTATCTTCTATTATGAATTTCAGGATATTGTTTCGCGAATATTGTGAATTTGATCCTTGATTTATAACCTCTAGTATCTTTGTCAAATTTGTATCTGTTGGATCTTCAGGGTACGTTATTGGCCCCGTTATCAATTCCGTTACATCTTCTCCATCGACAGCATTCGGTATTACGAAGTACAAGGAAATGTTAGGACTGTAGTTTGCTTGTTGCATTTTGACAATGAATTCACATAAATCAGCACATCCTTCTGTCTCTTGAAATGATAATGCAAGATCCTTTCCAGTTAAATCTGTCCATACAATCAAAGTTTCTTGTTGCCGTTGAAACTGAATGGATCCTTCAAGAAATGACTTTAATATAATTTGATTTGATTCAGTCTCACTACGTACTAGGAAATACGGACACTTGGTTTCAGTATCTATATCTCCAATACAATAACCTGTCCCATTGTCTATCCAATCATCTCCATTTAGTAGGTATACTTTAACTCGCCGGGGCGTGTGCCCAGGTAGTACTATTTTCTCATCTTGTGATGCATCCATCTTGTATTTTGTGTCTATTATGGTTTCAGTAGCTCCAATCATTTCTCGAGGGCTATTATTGGGTAGTTGTAACCGTAAGTATATAATATGTTCAACGCGGATCGATAAGATAATTTCTAACGCGAGAAAATATTAAGCGATATCGGAGTAAGTGTCGGCAAGAAGAAATATCGTACGAGGAAGGAGTATCTAATAGATTGCTCTAACGGTACAGCGTTTTTTTTCCCTCCAACGAATCAATAACTTTTGCGGGGGTTTGTAATTATGTTTGTTGTAAATGGATTCAGTTATGTGGAGTGTGTGTTGCTTATTTCTGGAACGTTTTTTTTTTTAAAAAAAGGAACGGGTCACGCAGGTTGTCAAAGTCGTGTCTTAAGTTCAGATCAATAGTGCGTATCAGCTTTGATCAACGATTCAGATGATTGTCCACACGTGATTTGATAATGAAATGAGATTTGATCTTGACTTTTAAAACTCCAACCGTTTGAATTGTTTGGGAATGTATTGCTTCTATTGTGCTTGCTATAAATTTTATTATTTGTTTTAAATTGAGTTTAAATTTTTTTTTACTGCGTTGCTTTTTTTTTTTCTTCTTTGGCTTCTTTTTTTTTGTGTTTCTTTTTTCGGATCCGTTACCACCAGTAAAATGCTGTCAGAGGTAAGGCAGCGTTATGTGACGTCAACGCTTTTATCAAAGTTTGATTTGCTTATTTAATAGAAGGTATACCCCTGACAGAGAGGTCGTGTGATATTTAGAAGTCTACGATTGGCAGAATAGGTTTGCCCTGAACTGGTAAGTAAATGTAGCGAGCAAATTAACTGACAGATCGGCTATTTGGTTTCAGTAAAATATTTCCAAACCAGTAGGCTTTCTTTCTGTTAACAACCAATTAAATGTATCTACAAAGTTTACCATTATATGAAACTATCTTTGTGTTACAAATTACCCTTGTACTCACAATCAAATTCGTTGACACATCACGTAACTGCTGCGTGGCAGGTTTTCCCTGTTGCCAAACTTTAAATGTTGCAAATATAATTGATACGAATATATACAAGAATTCTATAAACTTTTTTAATGACATACTAATGCAGCACTAGCTAAATTTCTTAACCAATCAACCTTATCAACATCATGAGTATCTTCAACTTCACCCCATTCCTCAGTTTGGAAAATAGTTTCTAAATTACCCAATTCCACAATTTCTTCCACTGTCTTGTGATAGTATTCTTCAGGAGAATTTTTATTTAATTGATATACGGACTTCATGATTTCTTCATCAGATATGTTAGAACGAAGTAATGAGACACCACATAAGAAAGATTTAGTAGTTAAAATTGCTCTTTCCAAAGCAATCAAGTCGAAAACTGGCACATTATCCAACCAATCCAAGACGACATTTTGAGTAGTAATAGTTTGTCTATTACCTCTTAATCCATCAGTTTCGCAATCCAAGTGTTGCAACTTGACTTCATCTGTTGGGTGAGCCAACAAATGTCCCTTGTTTCTAGCATATGTGGTGAAGAAATCATTATATTCTTGAATCAAAGGTAGATACAACTCATCTTGCTTTTTCCTTAATTTCCCACTGTACTCTTTATGAGTGGCAAATATAAGACAAGTATCAGTATCAAGATATCTCAACACGTTAATCTTGATATCTTCAATGTTACCGACTTTAGCAATCATTTCTTCTCTATCGGCAACTTCTTGATCATGAATATGAGTCAAATCAATAGCTCTAGAAGCTAAGGAAGTCAATGGTAAGGAATTTGTCTTGATTTTTAAATCAGGTAAGTTTGCCCATTCATGAGCGATCAATTCCGCCAATTGTTTCTTGGATTCAGGAAGAGATAAGGGAAAACCCAAGGGGGTTCTCAAGGTTTTACCATCTAATTGAACATCAAACTTCTTGGTGTCTGTGTTGTATTTAGCATCAGCGTTCTTCCAGAATTTAGTCAAGGATTTGGACAATTTATTGGTTTCAGTAGGAATGTTGGATTCGATGGTACGGTCACCTAATGGACGATCAAGTCTGTTCCAAGATCTAATAGAAACAGACAAGTATCTTCTCGAAGGGATAATTAACCTAGGAAGGGCTCTTTGAGTTGCTAACTTAAGCATTGTAAAGTTGGTTATTAATTATTAGAACTGTATTTGTAAGTTGTAGTAGAATTTTTTTGTTGAAAAATTCGTTGTCTCAAATATTTACAACACGTCCGACCAAGCTATAGACCTACGATATAAACCCACAAACACATACACACATACACACACAATGAACCAAGAGGCATTACAGAAGGTGTTGATTGAAATGGACAATCAATTAAATAAGTCCCGTGCGGAATTATCTATGGTCAACCTTCAACTTGATAGAGTAAACACCAATTTAAACTCCATAACTTCAACCAAAACTAAACTTAATAAACTTTGTGAACCAACAGAAAAAGTATGGCAAGGTGTTGGAAAAGCCTTTGTTGCTCGTGATGTCAGCTCATATTTAAAAGATTTAGACTCTGATGCAAAGGATTTTAACGATACCAAGAAGAGTTTGACTATAAAACAAGATTACTTAACTACAACCCTTGAAAAGACCATTGATAGCATGACCAAGATAGTCGGTAAGAAATAGCACGTGTATAACAATAATATATATATATATATAAGTATATTTATACCAGATTAATCCTCCTCTTCATCTTCAGCTTCATCCAAGATCTTTCGTTCAAGTTCTTGTTCATTCAGCTTACCTTGTTTATCCAATTTCATACGTTCAGTCAAGAATACATTCAATTGATCTTGTAAGGTCGTCAACTGAGCTCGTAAATTACCCATAGGAGTATCCTTGTGTGGTGTAGGTTTATCTCGATCTTCACCACCAGCATTTATAACATGGTCGGATATTTGCGTGGTTGTACCTGATGTTGTATGAGGGCCGTCCCCTGGATGGAACTCACGGTGTGGTATATCTGGAGCTTGGTATGTTGCTGTTGGTATTAATGCCATTACTTTCTGTCTTTTACTAGGAGAGTCTTCAGTGTGCATTCTACTTCAACTGGTTGCATGTTTTCACTACTACAGAAAAAAGGATGAGGTGAGCAAAATTAAACAAAATTGTAACGTTCTAAATACACACAGTTATACAAAAAAAAACTATTTAACATTCAATGTGTTTGCAAAATCCTTAATCTTTATCCGCTCAGCAGAATTGGAATATGCATTAAACTTGATTTCAATAATTTCATCTTCTTTGAAATTCAAGGATGGGATTTCATAACAGGAACATGACATTAAATAACCATAGAAAACTTGCAAAATTGTTTCATCAGCAATAATCAAAATGTCTCCACTCATTCTTTCCATCTCTAAAATCAAGGGTTCAATCTTGATGGCTAAATCATGGTATGATTCTGCTCGAGGGAATCTATAATGATAAGGATCTTGTTCATATTGTTGATAAAACTCGGGGTATTTCTCCTCAATTTCTGATTCAGACATAGATCCAACAATACCAGGATTTTTCTGAGATAATTGAATTCTATGTCTTACTTTAATGTTACGCTTAGTAAAGAATTGCGTAGTTGCAATAGTTCTCTTCTTAACTGATGTCCATATGACCAATGAATCTTTATCAACTCCATCAACTCCAGTTGGCGGTTGTCTTTCATCGACAGAGAGTTCTCGCTTTAATTCGGCTGGTCTTAATATACTTCCTTCACCGATGTAATCCTTACCACAATATTTCAAATGTTCAACCAATGTCAATGTTAAATTCTTGGCATACTGAATACCTTCGGCATCCAATGGTGGATCCAGTGCATAATCCATAGTATTCTTGTAACATCTGGCAAAGAAAACCGAACCCAGTTTAATTCGAGAATTCATAAGATAAAACACAACCTTATTAATCAAATATCCATAACTGGAATTGTGTAATTCAATTCGCTCCCCAAAGTTAACAAATTTAATATATGATAATTGACTTTCTTCTGTGCCCATGGGTTGATAATATGGTGCCAATGCATTAATTCTTTCACTATAATCCTTCTTAGCCTTTTCATAATCCCAATTGGTATAATCTGGAGATAGTCTTGCAGCTTCCTCGATATTCTTTTGAATAATTTTGTCATCAGTTACTAAACTCTCAATAAATAAGACCTGGATATTTAACTCAGTAAATTTCTTGTGTAATTCCAATCTAAATTCAGGAATGGCATTAACTGCATCATATATGGCAACTTGTCCCTTGTCTGCTTTGAAGAAATTCAAAATATCATTAAGACATTCATTCACAGCTTTTTCTCTAACTGCATGTGCCTGTTTACTACTTGGAGTAGGCACAAACAAATCATGAGTTAAGTTATTATCTTCAGCAGTGGCTCTTCTATAATCACCTAGATGAAATGAATGAGTCTTTACACCCAACCATCTTAAATATCTTGTCAATGAAACTGACAAATGGGTCTTACCTCTACCCGGTAAGCCCGCCAAAGCGATAATAATCTTCCCAGCATGGAACAACCTCCCAGATTCGGTAGAGTATAACTGAGCACCACCCCATTCAGAATAAGGGTTGAGTGTTTTATGCACACCATCCTCACCAGTGATATCACTTAATCGTCTAGGCTTGCCACCAGTGTTGGCATCCACCGGTAAGTCCATTAAAGGTCTCGTGTTGTTGTGGAACGACCACCGTTTAGTAGTTCTCATTTGGTTTCTGGAAATAGGTGAACTTCCAAATCCATTATAAAGTTCACCTTCGTCATCAGAAATTGCAGAACTTGACATGTGAGATTTATTGTTTTAGGAGAGAATAGAAAATTCCAAGAAAACCCAAATTTTTTTTATGTGTGATGTGTAGCGGTTAGCAGCTATCTATCTGTTTCAACTTGGATTTGTCGGTTTGCCTTTTTTTTTCCTTCTCTCTACCCCAAGAATTATCTCCGCTTTTATTTGCGCTACCAATGGCCCAGTCCTACTCCATATACTTGGCAGAACATAGTACTGCATTAGTTTACATCATTCACATTATGCAATATAGTAAACTGGGAATATTGCTCGTATTGTGGATCTAAACCGTAGCGCCCCCGAATAATAGTGTCATTTGTTATCTACAATTGTAACTCTTCTAAAATACAGAACCATTAAAATACATTCATATTAAATAAACACTGTGCGAATTATATAAAGAGTTTTATTACAATATGAAAATAATTTATTCGAGCTTACCACCCTTTCTTTCAATCAAAGCCTTTCTATCCTTGTCCAAGTGTAACTTGGTAATAACAACCTTAGATGGGTGAATGTTAATTGGGACAGAAGCACCGTTGGACTTTTCCTTTTGTAATTTTTCAACTTGAACGGCAAACTTTAATCTGTAAACAGAGTTAATCTTACCTTCAGAACCCTTCTTGGAACCTCTGACAACCAAGACTTCATCATTTTGTCTGATTGGTAAAGACTTGACATTGTACTTTTCTCTTAATTCCTTGGATAATGGAGCAGATAATAAAACTCTTCTTTCAACAGAGGAGGAGTTGAAGTAAGCCTTTCTGGCTTTAGAACGGGAAGAAGAAACGTCTATAAGTTTGTTAGTATATGTTTAACCTTTCAAGTTATTTTGAGAATGCACTGAATGTGTTTACTAAATTTCCTGAATTGTTTGGGATGTAATCTATTGTTTGAATAATTGTAACTTATGCTGTAGGAATACGGTCGAAGAATTAATTTACATAGTGGTGGCTTCTTTCATTAACGCTGATATCAAAGTTTTCTCCTATTCTGTTTCATTTCATTATTTCTATGCGTTTTGAATTACTGTTTCGGTGTAAACTTTATTCGTGGTTGTATTCAATTTGCGATGAACTCTCATTTTCACGAACTGCTCCTGACAAAAAAGTCCCCCCTCTCAATCTCCTGGAAGTTATTCACATTCACAGACATCTCATATTCTCTCGATGTATCATACCTTGACTAATCTTGGCCATTTTTAATATGTGTTCTTAAGGTCTATCAAGTGATTAAGCTGAAAAGAAAATTTTTAATGTATATTGAAAAAATCAGTATAGTGCGCAAGAGCGAGATTTTCCAGAGTTTCCTACTGACGCACTGACAAGCGTTTGCTAACAAAAGAATTTTTTTTTCTGGTAGTGCAAAAAAAGGAATAAATTGTATGCAGTTTTAAGGGCAATAACCCTAATACCATATAGTGCACGTGATGTTTGGTTTTGTGTGTTTCCGAACGAAAAGAAGAGAAGTGAATCAACTAACACAAATACATATACTTGACAAATGGTAAGAATTTACACTGCCACCATTAAATGTTCTTCTATCAATAGGTTCATGAAGGCGTTAAAATAAGCGTGACCATTAGTTCCCTAAAGGAATGTCGACTTTGATTGGTTGTCACTCTCATTTTCCAACTGGGTAGTTAATTTGGAAACAAAATCCTGAATTAACTCCTAGGTGGAAATTCTGGGGTTGACAACGTACTTTTTGTGTTCATCAACAAGAAAAGGTAGCAAGGATCTTATAATTCTTTGATTTACCATAATAAATAACCGAAAGAAACCTGTACCCAATATACTGAAAATGGTAGCAAAAACCATCTTTCTAAAAGAAGTCACTATAAGTTCCAGTACCTTTAGCGATATCAATCTGGAGACTTATGTAAAATATGTGTGATCCATAACTAAATCCTTGTATTGCTCGTAGAAATGGTCCAACGAATTCAACTATTTTGGGAGTTACATTATGTTGTGTAACCATGATTTTTTACCTTTCAGCTAGCCCATCAAAGGAGCAATACGCTTAGCTAATTTGGGTATAAAATATCCAAGGAAATTTGTTAAGTTTACAACTGATCTAACTTCAATAGATGTTTTTGCTAAAGTTTAATTCATGATTGCTTGCATCTTATTCAGAGTTGGAGAAATATTATCAGCACTGATTCTGAATACTTTGCGGATGGCCCAAGATAGGATACGCATCAAAGGCACTGTTATAAGCCAGGAAAACGACATACACCCCCAATAGTAGTGTATGATGTAATTGCAGTTATAAGTCCCTTGAAATATTCACATGGACCAGGAAACCTATATTCAAGTTATTCAAAGAAACCTTCTCAGAATTTTTCTGAATTGTCATTTTATGGTTTTGACTTCTAATCTGATTGGATTTCTTTTTGTTTTACTGACAGACTTCTTGAAGTCTTTCTTTTCGTATTTTCTCTTCTATTGGTTATCATTTTGGCTATGTTTTGACTTGTTCAATTGATCCTTTCCCTTTTATTGGTTATTTCGTTGCAGTTCCTGGTAAATAATGAATTTTGAACTCAACATATCGATAAGGACTTTGGCTATCATAAAGTGTGAATCTTTAGTGATATCATATGGATTAATAAACGAAATAGCCTGAGTAGTAACTACTTCAAATCAACAATGGACTAAAGTCTCTAACTAAGCTTATACTTCCTTGGTTCACCAGCAAACTAATGTTCAATTTGTTGAGTGAATTGGTTCAGTCAAGGATCAACCAATAATTGATTTAGCTTTTTATTCACAAATCTCTCACATCTAAAGGTTAATGATAAATGAAAGTGTCATCCGTGTATACCCTCAGGAAGAGGTATAGTTACACGACCACGCCCTTCAGTAGGAAACTTCCTTTTGCAGCTTAGATTTGAGATTTCTATGGTAAGATTGCTAGTGTCAAATAAATTGTGGCTATTGGAAATACGTGTCGTACTAAAATCCAAATAAAAGGTAATAGCTGGGTCATTGCCTGAGTTGAAGTCAGAGATCGGTTCAAACGCTTTATGAATATCAACGCAATACTGGATATCTTTTGCGCCTCCTTTATGCTTACCAGCACGGTTCTTAGCTTTGTAGAGTTGAGTTCTAGACCAAACACTAGTCTTAGCAATGTTAAAATTAATGGGAAAAAGGCCCATCTAGTTAAAAATTACACCTAAAGGATCAAGAGGTAGGATATAGTAGTAACAAGTTCTTTTAATATTAATCAAAAATTGCAAAAAATAACAAACAGCCCAAGGCGGGACTCGAACCCGCAATCATTATCTCCGGAGGATAACACCTTAACCAATTAGGCCACTCGGGCTATTTCAAGAAAAAATATTTTTGTCCGTTTTCCGTGACGATACACATTTCAAATTTTCAAGGGCCAATATCTGACACAATTGAGCTTGTTCCAGACACCAAATCATCCTCTAACATAGATAAACTTGGTTTCTACCTATCAGAAAAGTTGTGAAGAGGATAATAAATTTTTGGTGCAGTTATTCGGGGTCAAAATTTCCCAATTTTTGTTTGAGTGGGATAAAAATGCCCAGTTTATAAAATCAAATACATGGTCAAAATAACATCAAAAAGGGCACCAAAAGACAAAATTAGTATACTACATACCAGTAGAGGTATTCAACATAGCTCAGGCGTTCTTTATAAATTTTTTGCGTGGATTATTATGGCTTCTGAATTATCCTATAATTTGCAACAATCTGGTTGGGTTGACATATGCCATGTTTAACGAAAGTAGAATTAATGAGTTGTTGTCATACCAACTGGTCACTCATTGTTCCATTCATCTGTGAGCAATCAGTTTTTGTTAATACTTCTATTGGTAATAATGCAAACCTTCTCAGGCTAAGTATCTGTATTTCAGGTCTTACGATTGTCAACGACTCACACTATTTTCAAGGACTAAGAAAAAATTTTATGATCTCCGCTCTTCCACTTTAAAATCACTTGTCTCAATCCTTAGCCATGCTTTCATTGAGCTATCAGTCCAATATAGGGTTAAGATCCCTTGGTGCACGATGCATAAAGATAAATGCGCCACTAATTCCAATTGGTTTAATGAGAACTTATTACACCCGTCCTCAAACTATAACCCATTCAAAGCTCCCTTTTATAACTACAAACTTACGTAAACTTAACAATTACAATACACTTAGGTTTACCAAGTTATCCTATTCAACAAAGACAGCACCTCCTCCACCTCCACCATCCCATGACAAAAATGAAAAAGGGAAGAAGTTACTTAATAAGATCACAAGGGCATTCACATTCTCAATATCATCATTACTTGTTCTTGGTGCTGCCGGGGTAGCCTTATTGGTTGTATATTTGATATTGTCGGAGTTATTATTACCTTCAGGTGATACCAGGACATTTAATAAAGCCGTGAAATTAGTTGAACAAAACGAAGCAGCACAAAAGTTGTTGGATTTCCCCAAGGGCCAAAGATTAAAAGCTCATGGTATGGTTTCCTCAGACAGATGGGTTCGTAATAGACCAGTTCATGGTATCAAAAAGACCGGAAAAGATGGCAAAGACCATTTAGTTATGCAATTCCAAGTTGAATCCGACAAAGGAAAGTACGGGATTGTCACTTTGGAACAAATTGATAATTCTTATTGGAGTACTGAATTTGCATACATTGCATTAGATGTTCCGGGGTCAAAAAGATTATACATAATTGAACCTAAATTCCAAGCCAAGAACTATTTACCAAAGTTGAATAGCAACTCCGGATTTTTGGGTCTTAAATGGGGCCCAAAGAAGGACGACGAGGAGAAACGTTAACGAAATGTATAAAAAGTATTATTAAATATTTATTCAAAACAAATATATATATATTAGCAAAAAGTTGTAAATGGAGATTTAAAAGAAGAGAGGCGAAATAGCCAACATAAACAGAAGAAATAAAATTCCAGCCACCCCTTCGTTCTGGGGTGCTGATGAGTCCATGTTACTAGCTGTAGAATTTTCGTTACTTTGTGGTGTCACTTTAGTAGGTGGAGACTTGTCAAAATTATGTTCAGGCTCTTCTGAATTTGAATGAAGTAGACTTAAACAATTTCTTCCATCGGAGGAGAATTTTGTGTCCAAATCAACAAACCCAATAGGATTAACTAATATACCTTTACCTTGAAATGAACAAGTTTCTTCTTTTCTTCCTGTTTGTTCATAAAATTTGTTCAAAACATAAGAAGCTCGTGTTCTGGAATCACAATCGGAAAATTGACCAAATTTTCCTGCTTTTCCATTACCATTAACTGGTTCACAATCAACATCTTCACATAACGATTTCAAAACTTGTTCTTCCTCAAAACTTCTATTCTCTGGAATAATACATGAAAGTGATTCTCTTAAGCATTCACATTTACCAGTGTCGGGCGTTTGAGGTAAGGTATGAGCAACGTTCCAAAGCTCATCTGGACGAGAACACGTTACTCTGGGAGATGGGGTGGCTTCTTTGATGTTAATTCCAACCGGTGATACCGAGTTAAATTTCGATTTCAAGGTATCAAAATCTGGCAATTTGACAATTTGGCCATCTTTCTTTTCAATAACAATACCATAATGGTTAACTTCTTCAAAATATTCATACACAATCCCACCAGACCAAATCTTGCTCATGCTTACCCCATACAAAGCATCAACCTCAGTGAATGGACGTGGAGAAACAGTATTACAGCCATACTCACTGAAAAATGCCGGAACAGGATAATCACTAAACGAACTTGTCAAATCTCTATATCCCGAAGTTGAAAATGTTGAGTATCCACACCATTCATACACATTAATTGCAAAGAAATCAGCTCTCCCATCACCCAGCCCATCAAAATCACAAACAAAATAATTGGCAAGATGTTCTCTAATTGACGCATCATCATTTGAAGCATACCCTACTGGAATCTGTCTATAATTTTGTTCATCAATGTACCTCTTACTATCTCTTATAGCTGCTCTAACATATGGAGAAGCATCAGTGTTGATATATGAATTTGTAACTTCATTCCCAGCAAAAAAACCTAAAATGTTGTCATATTGATGCATGGCATCAATAACCTCCTTATACCTTGCAAACAACTCGGTATCCCAATGAGGAAAATCTCTTCTAATGGACAAATAAGGCTCGGAAAGATCGGCCAATACGTAAATACCAGCGTCAGCAAACGCATTCATGCAAACATCATGATTGGCGGTTGGGAGGATTTGATACACTCGAACAACATTGACTCCTAATTCTTTTAAATATTCTAAATCTCTTAAACATGTAATAGGATTAGCCAAAGGATCTATGTAGTGAGGCTCTTTTGAATTGTCATATAATTCTCCTTCTTGTCTTGTTTTCTGATATGATATTCCTTTAATGAAAAACTGGTTACCTGATTCAGATAAGAAAAACTTGTTTCCAGCCACTTTAATTGTCTCTATGCTTGGAACATCTGTAGCAGTAAATGATTCACCGATTTTTAGGACATTTAATAGCCCAATAAGGAATATAAAGGGTAGTAACTGCATCTTTAATGTTGGCGGTTAATATCTGTGGTTGCAAAAAAAACAGCCTAGAAAAAAAAATTTCCCTGGTTAAACTTGGTTGAAATTCGCAACTAAATCATCACAAATAAACTACTGAAAACTATTGCAAAAAAAATAAATCCCAATTATATTAATTACATACTTAACTAATCAAGAACTTCCAATAACTTCTTAATTTCCCGTTTACCCTTGCATTCAATCATGTACATTTCTTGTTCAGAAACCTTAACCAATAATCCTGCCTTACCAATTGTTTCCAAGTATTCAAACTTTGAACTCTCGCTAATTAACCAACCATACTCTTGTTCAGCTTCTTCATTCTTTAACGATAAATGGAAGTAATTCTGTTGAGTGAGAGTGTCAGTTACTTTATCAACCTTTAAGTCAAACATTGATACTATTTTCCACGAGGATGGTACATTGATTTTGGTATAAGAGTGTAATTGCTTTTGCAATCTCACAGTCATCAGAGAAATTCCAGGTACTTTCAAAGAACCTGGATTATTAATAATACAAGATGCATAAACTTCGGAATCGTTGATTGAATTAGTAGAAGTGACAGCAGACGTGGCCAATCCATTTTTTGGACTTCCCAGGCGTGATTTGAACCCAATGGAACTGAGGCTAGAAGTTGTGGATGATTTGCTTGGATTTTCCATCATGGATGATGCAATAGTGCTGTCGGAAAATGTAGAAGCTTTCATGGACTTATAATTCTTGTTGGCTACATTTTGCAAGTCAATCAAGACATTAGTTAAATTGGAGTGAATTTCAGTAACAAGGGCACCAGTAGATCTGATAATAATAAGAATCTTTTCTGAAGTGATTGCATTTGTTGAATTGATTTCCACATCTAATGCAGCTGATCTTCTGATGTCGGTAATATCCGGGTTAAGTTCCAAGATCAAGACTGGCTTGTCAATTTCTTCGTTGTATACTTCATCGAATTCTTCTTTGAACACCATCAACCAACTCTTGTGCAATTCGTAGTTAACGGCAATCTTCACAAACAACTTTTCACAAACAGTCAACATTTCCCATTTGCCGTATTTTTCCTTCCATTTAGAAATCTTTATTCCTTTTGGTGTGCTACTAGTCATGAAGTAATCTATTGTAGATTCATTATTGATGACATCTTTCAATTCTTGGGGAATGGTCAAAGTACCTTCTTCAAGCTCGGACACAGGCAGCTCTGCTTTGGTGGATTGACTGACACTAACGGTTGAAGAATTTGGTTTCTTAAAGAATTTTGTGGATGTAGATGATGGTAATGCAAATGGTGCTGGAAGTGTAGAAACTGGTCTGGCTTTATTCTCAGACTTATCTTCTTCAGTTTCAACAGAAATTTCACTGGTGTCAATGGTATCTTCAACTTGTTGGACTTTGCTCAATTCTGAAGATTTGGTGGGTGTATTTATAGGGAATCTCAGTTTGCTTGGCAGTTCCACAGTTTCAAACCCAGGTACTGATTGTGAAAGTTTAGATGCACTTGGCTTCTTAAACAAGTTGAAAATGGATTTTCTTTTCTGCTTAGTCTTCTTAGGGATAGATACCGGAGATTCTAATTGAGTTTTATTTCCAAATGATGGGGTATATTTCTTTCCGAAATTATTAATATCAACAGCTGAGCCCGAAGACAATGAATACATTTTATTTTGAGGAGGGGCCAAATTTGGAACTGAGGATGCAAATTCTGATTTGTAAGGATGTTCGGGTAATTCTCGATCAGTTAATTCAACACTCGAACAAGAAATAGCATCATCATTATTAGTGGAAACTTCCGATTGGACACTATTAATTTGAATAACTTGACCACAAGAAGAAATTGGTCTGTGTTCATCTTCAGTAGCTAAACCCACGGTATTTCTATTTACACTTTGGATAAACTTCACATCGTCCTCAATATCGAGAATTGAGTTTTCAGATAATGTTTTCTTTATCAATGGTAAAGACTTCTTATATTGAGATTTAGCTGATGAACTAGATGGTTCTCGTTTTTGTTGTTGTTGTTGTGATTGTGATTGTGGAGTTATTTTAGAAGCGCCTAATCCTAATGGAGAATCATCTGGAGAGAACAATTCCTTAAATGGTGTTCTGAGAACTGGAGGTGTTTTAGATGCAAGTGATTCCTGGGAAGCCATTGCCAGGCGACGCTCGTTGTCAGTCACCAAATTTATTCCTAACCCGAACATCTTGGTGGGGCTGGCTGTGGATTCAACAAGGAACCTTTCTCTTAATGGGGAATCGGTTCTTTCAACCGGGAAAATAGACGATAACTTGGCTATCCAAGTATGCAAAACATGGTTGTCAGCACAACCAATAATGAGCGTGTTATCTTCAGGGTTGTCAACTAATGAAAAGTCAATTGGCTTTAACTTAAAGTGGTTTGCCGAATGTACTAATGAGACTTCGTTGATTCTGAATGGGGGATACAAAAGCGACCTTGATTTCTCAAGACCATTTTCAATATCAATTGATAATATGGCTAATGAATTGTAGGCGTGGGTACCCGTTAGGTCCAACAAAACAAGCTCGATTTTTTCCTTGGTTGAGCCATTTTTTATGTAGAAATCTGCATTTTCACTTCTTTCAATTATTTGCTCAATTGTGAAATAACTAGAAACAAGTTCTTGGCCACTGAGTTTGTTAGACCCAAATGCTCGTACTTTTGTAAATAGTATGGAACACAACTTTCTTTGATTGGTGTAGGTTCGGTAATCTTTAATTATATCTTCTAATTTGTATTTTATATCCTTTAACCTGTCAAGGACAAATGGGTTGCGTAAATGTTCAAGACTGGCATCAATGAACGTGATGTAGTTCAACAAATTCTCCAATGGACCACATAAACTCTTGGATTCAAAACTTATAGCGTCCGTTCCTTCGGATTCTTTCAATTGTGTAAGATACTTTTGGAACAACAAGAGCCCGTTGTTGTCAAGGGATAATATGAAATCATTAACAAAATTCTTTATAACTTCCTTGTCATTAGCAGATCCGGACTCAAACTCGGTAATGGATTTGTCTAACGTAGATAAAAGGTTGGAGTTTTTAGTATATAATCCTCTCACAATTGCAGAAAGCTGGGACTTGGAGACTTTTGCTGACTTAACCACTCCTAAAATTTCAAGTAAGTTGTTATTCTGACCTGCTTCGGATTTCTGAAGTTGAACAAGTAGTTGTATTGGACCCGATGAGACTGTCATGGCGAGATAGGGTGACGAGGGTATAGAAGGCTCAAAAACAAAAGTAGTAGAAGAGACAACAAATATTCGAGGGATATTAAACCATCAGGATAAACAATAATATATAAATCCTTTTGTGATACTGTGACTTTGGGTACGAAAGAGAATGGGACCGAAAATCGAAAATGTCGTGTAATGGAATTTCTTTCTTTGTTTATTTATCTTGGAAACAAAATAGTAAAGCTCGATGATACGCCAGCCCTCCCCCGAAATCTCTCATAATTAAATAATAATTCGTAGAACCGATGGCTTTTCTTGTCCTTATTGTAAGTGGCATGCCTTGCATTGTTTATGTAAAATGAAAGGAGTGTGTATTTTCTATGTTCCGACTTTCCTAATTGAGGCAAATTTCAGTTTTAATTTTTTTTTTTCGCGTCCTGGCAGTTGCTATCAAGCCGTCTACCAGAACTGGATATATTCATAGGGATATGGCATCGTCAAAAACCACTTAACAAAGCTTGCATGGGTTGTCAATGTATCTCCTCGTCCCACTTACAGGTTAATAACTCTAAATCTAGCCAAGGAGTTGGTTAGGTTCTTTTAGTGTATAGTTTAGTTTCGTTATTGTGTAGACCACCAAAGCAAATAAAAAATAACCAGAGGCGCGTCGCAACACAAATTCCATTAATTAATTAAAAAAATTCCAAGGCGGCGGGAAGGAGAAGGAACCAAACATATTTACGAATTCAAATTTGAAACTGATCGATCTAATTTATCCTTTTTGGGATTAATTGAATACCGTTAGACGTGTTTTTATCGTGTAATGAATTATTTTCTTGTTTATTCTAGATCTCTGATTAGCTAATACCTGTAGAAAGTGGAATCTCCAATATACCCCTTTACAACACCCCCTTGCGTCGGCACTATAAACTAATATCTTCCACAAGATCCCCTAGGCTTAAAGCCGACGGCAAGCACGGCATTATGAAATAGAGTTAATTATGTACATGTTTTTAATACTGTCTGGTTATGATCCAATCAAGGACATCTTCAATACCCCTGCCACTTTTACCACTTATTAACCTTATAGTCCAATTGCTATCTGATTCTTCCTGCTTATTCATATCAAGATAACTAGTGACCTTTTCTTTCAAAGCTTGCAAATTGGATTCCGGCACCAAATCAATCTTATTAACACCAAGCACCAAGTAGGCGCCCACAAGTCTATCCTGCTGCATAACCTTCTCTCTCAATTCCTGAAACGATTCATTCAATCGTTCAAGACTCAACCCATCAATCACCCAAATGACAACATCAGTTTTATCGAAGTAGTTCCCCCAGAATGCACGTAGACTTGATTGTCCACCAACATCCCACATATTCAATGTGAACCCCTTATGATTCAAAGTATTAATTTGAAATCCCATGGTAGGGGAGATTTCTTCAATGTCTTGACCCATCATTTGTTTAATGATGGTTGTTTTTCCAGAATTGTCAAGACCTAGAGTTAGAACTCTTATCTCTTTGTCCTTTTGTTTTTGTTTCTTTATTATTGTCAACAACCCCATTGATTGTGTAATGTTTACAACAAATCTGTTGCAAGAAACTTAGTTTGCAAAAAACAAAAAAAAAAAAACTACTGATCTGATATCTCTTCTTAACTCAAACAACACTTAAACAAGCAACCCAGTTCTAGCTGTAAAAGACTATGCCCGTGTGAATATATCGACAACATCAATATACTGTATGAAGGCAAGCTTAATAACGGGAAAGAAACAACGATCTATATTTGAGTTCTCTCGAACTCGAATACAGGCTCCAGTATCGCGAGAAATTATAGAGATCACATCAGACACCGAAGATGACTGTCCAACAATCAAAGATGAGGAACTACTGGTGATAGATTCATCCCTGACTGACCAAATAGACGTTCGTTGTCCTATCTGTGAACTTAGCTTGTCAAATTTAACCATAAATGATAGAACTGAACATGTTGATGCGTGTTTGGTACGTGTAACATTCGTTGAAGAGCCCTTAAAACCACAGATTTCACCAACTATAAAGCCAGATATCAAAAAGAGAAAGATTATTCGAAAGGAACAACCTCAACCTATTGACCCAGAGAAACTTAAATACATCAACAAGGAAATAGTCACTAAACCGCAAGGTGAAATTGCCATTCCTAAAGCAATCACTAAATCAAAAACGAAAAGACCTATACCTCCACTCAAGATAATGACATTCCCTATCCAAGAATCTCAGAAGTATCAAGTAAGCGTGGACGCTTTCTGTTACGCACCTCATGACACAATTTCCCAGTATTTCCTATCACATTTCCATTCAGATCATTATGGAGGTATATCCAAGAAATGGGCTTATGAAAGAGTCTTTAAGGATGATACTGATTTTGAAAATGAGTCCAAGTATCGTAGAATCATTTATTGCAGTGTCATTACTGGGAAACTCCTAACTTTGCATTTTTCAATCGATCCCAAGTTTATCAAACATCTTGAAATAGAAACACGATATCAGATAAAAAGCTACATTACCGATATAGACGATGGTGGTTACGAGAGCGAAGAACAAACTCCTGGATTGTATGTCACCCCAATATCAGCAAACCATTGTCCTGGATCTACAATTTTCTTGTTTGAATCTATAGGATTGGAGAATAAACGAACCAGAATCCTACATTGCGGGGATTTTAGAGTTAATTACGAAATACTTAGTCATCCTTTGTTAAAGCAGTTTAGTATTGACCCTAATAGCATATGCCTTGACAAGGTATATTTAGATACAACATACATGTCCCCAGCTTACAATTTCCCTAAACAAGAATTGGTATGTGAAACAGTAGCCACCATGTTCCAAGATTTAATGAAAGAAGAAACGAAATCAACTTCATTATTCAGCACTTGGTTTGGGATAGGCACACAATCGAGAATAACTGATTTTTGGAAAAGTAAACCTACCACTAAAAAGAAAAATTTTTGATTCTAGTAGGAACTTATGTGATTGGGAAGGAGAAATTAGCAATTGCTATTCTGAAAAAATTGAATTGTCCCATATATATTCTGAACATTGGAAGCAGGAATAAGAAATGGGATACTTTAAAGACTTATGACGATCAGTATCTTGATCTGGTACTCACTACCAATGATTTAGGTGATGATTCTTCAGATGCTATTATTCATCTAGTTCCTATGAATATTGTAAGTTCTACTCAAGAACTATCAAATTATTTCAATCATAACAAGTATTTTGAATATTTTGAAAGGTGTGTGGGACTAAGACCAACAGGATGGAGCTTCAGTCCAGGAAACCATCGAGAAATCAAGGATCCAGAAATTCCAAACCATTTACAGGAATTAGAACGAATTATGCTGAAATCGCCTTCATTTGACTATTTGAATAACATATTAACACAGGTCACTTCCACTCCAAGCAAGACCAAAGGCAAACCTGACAAACAACTATATAGAATCTACGCATTACCATACAGTGAACATTCCTCATTTCGAGAACTCGCATATTTTGTCATATTTTTCAATATTAATAGAGTTATCCCCACGGTTAATTGTGAGAATGAACGTTCAATCAGAGCCATGACTGATATTATAGAGACTTGGGAATTAGCGCGAAGGATCATCACCAATCTGATTAAACCTTCTGATGATGATGACGTTGTTGTTGACATGGAGCTAATTGAGAAGATTCAACAATTATCGCTAAATTCTTTTTAATATAATGCATTTCTTTATAAACTTCCTATTTACTTGGTTTCTTCACCAACATATCGTATTGATTTAAAATTTGTTCACAAGCAGGAGCCTTACAATCTCCCCATTGAACTACGAAATCTCCCTCAGAATAAGTAAACTTTGAATCCTCCTTCTTTTTGAAATTATGAGCAGCAGCAATTGTCTTGGCTGGCACAATGGTAGTTTTACTTAGTATGAACGGATGCCATTGTAAGATATGAGTGATTGCTGAATCAGGACCATAGGGGAAACTTTGATAATTCAAATAAAGCTGGTTGCCCCAAATTTCCAAGATGGACTTGGCAACATGATCATTTCTTAAAACGAAGGAAGTAGTTTCAATCATGGATTCCGACTGGGTCACAATTAACTTAATTGAATTTGCTCTAACGTTCTTGTATGTCTTGATAGCTCCACTTGGGGGAACCAAAGGTTGTTCTCTCATCATGATTGGATCCAAAGCATCGTCATTCAACATATACTGCTCGATATTAATGTCCATATCCATGATCAAACTGTCTTGATCGACAAACCAAAACCACTTGGCCTTGGGGAATGCAAATCTAGCAGCTTGCATACAATAGATACGAACCCATTTGGCCTTTTCTCGAGTCTGCAAGAAACTTTGTGCATTCAATTGTGGTAAAAACTCTTGAGAGTACCTGACAAAGGTTCCATAATTTTGAAAATGGGCATAGTCAACTCTATTTTGAATGAGCTTAGTCATCCCATCAAGACTATATCTTTCGTAATCAACAGCAGTGACGATAATCACTTGAGGATAATCATCCGGGTTCTTTGGTTTAAAAACAACTTTGTCTTGATTCTTGAAACTGTTGATAGCTTTGGAAACATCGGAAACGGCATTTTCAGCTTCTTCCTTAGCACGTTGAGTTTCTACATCAGGATCATCCAACGAGTTCAATGACTTGATTAAAGTTTTCTCAATTTCTGGAAAATTGGAATCTCTAACACGAGACACTTTCATGATTCTGTCAAGTGGTAACCCTTTAAGATACGGAGAAAGTTCTAATGCAGGATATATGAATCGGGAATTCGTTTCAATAACATTGTGACTTGTTAATGGATGTGGTGGTGGATATGAATTAGGTGTAGCAGATCTAAACATTCCAGCAATAACACCGAAGGGATTAAAGAAGTACCACATAAACAAGATAAGCAAGGCTATCCATGGTATATTTTTTCGTTGTAACGTATGAATTCTATTAAAGGTTGCTGGTAAGGGCAAGATAGACTTTTGTCTTTGCCTTGGTTTGAACTTACTACCTCCTGTTTGACCAAACATTATTGTGTTGAGAGAGTTGAGCACCAAAATGTAGAGCAAGGCTGAACTGAAATGGATCTCAACGGTTTTCCATGTGTGTAAAAAAAAAATTAAACGCGAAATTTTACACAGTTTCAGATTTCTAAAATACATACAAATTAATTATATAAATATCCAAGGATACAAATTATTCAACTAAACTCTAAGTCCGCTGGTTTAAGCAGGTGCTGAGTGCTCTTTGGAAATTCTATCTTCAATTACTTGTAAAGCCACCTGTCTTCTTCTTTCAGCTACAGAATTGGCCACGCTTTTTTGAGTCTTGCTGACTTGTTCTTGTCTCTTTTGGGCTCGTAAATTACTCTGTTCCATGCTCTCATCATTAAATGGGGTTATTAAACCTAATAACGCACTGACATTGTATACGTTATCAAACACACTGGATAATATTGGCTTGGTAATCGGAGGGAAGAATTCAACCAATTGGAAAGTATCTGAAGCATCACCTGTAACAAACGAGCTATTAGCGGCATCGCTTGTAGATGCAACCGGCAAGGTTGGTTCCATGGAAAGGGTTTGGAAAAATCTCAAGTAAAAGTATGAAACAAAGAAACTTGAAATTGAAGGAACAGCAGGATAAAGCGAACGGCTAATAGCCAATGACCATACAGTGACCAAGATCAACATGGCAAATGGAACTTGCTTAACTCTAAAGTTTATAAGCCCTTGGAACAACACAATATTATGTTCGGGAATCAATTGTTTGAAAACTACCAAGAATCCAAAGTAGTAGGAGATACCGCCACCTACTGGTAAATCCATACTATCTCCATCACCACGAGAAATATTTGAAACAATAGCAATAATCACCGTAATCAAATTAGTTACTGTCCCCACGATAAACACAAACTTGGTAACTTCCAAGTATCCCCAGAATCTTTCTACAAACTTGCTGGAAATTATCAACACAGCAAACGAAAACAAATATGCAAACACGGATACTTCTGCAAATATGGCAGTCACCAATACCCATGGATTGAATATGGTGGATCTTGGAATCAATTGCAAGAATGGAACATGGATGTCGTGAAACCTGACATCTTCATTGGTTTGTGCTAGTTCTCGATATTGTTGGTATTTGAAGACAAAAACAAAGAGTGACACTGTTGTCAATAGACCAAGTAAGATCTTGGACGATTTCGCCAAATTATGTCCACGTAAAAGACTCATCTCAAATCGATATCAGTTTCTAAAAGATGGTGTATGTCTAAGATTGGAAAAATGACACGTCAAGTAGATAATATCCCTGTCAATCAAAAACTTAATTTTTTTTTTTGGGTTGTCTAACCATTTTTCAGGCTCATAATTTTTGAGTAATATGACCAGCCCACATTTCAATTAAACACAAGTACATCTAAAGTTAACAGTAATAATCCATGAATTTAATATAAAAAAAAGTATATAAAGAACTTGTATAAACAAAATAAACAAAATGTTAAATGATAATCGGCAACAAAAATATCTAATGATACACATCTTTTTTTAAACCAATACTCTAGAATGGGTTGGTAGAATAACCCTTGGTCTTACCCTTTTCTGGAGTACTGAAATAAGACCAGGTGTATGATTTAGGTCTGTTTGGACCAGTATCGTTGTTACTGATGTTTCTTGGTTGGAACAAACCATTGATGATAGATCCATTACCACCAATGTTAGCAAATTGATCAACAGCAACTTGACTGGAACCAACAGCTGGGGCAACAATAATAACAACAAATAATACCAAAATGGCAAAGTATAATGTACAGTATTTTCTAACCATTCTCTTTCTTAATCTAGCTTGCTTCAATGAGTAAATTGGTGGTCTAATCAATCTAGATGGTTTCAACCAGAATAACATAGTAGAGTGCCATCTGTCAATCAATGGAATACACAACACTGGTAATTGACAGAATAAAATGATATGAGCCAATACGAAATCACCGGCAAATTCAGACATTTCAATAATCTTGGCAACAAATTCACGAGATGGTTGAGTGAAAGCCATCCATCCCATACCAGTGTTATACCACTTACCAGTCCAGAAGGCAGTGTTGGCCTTATCGTTCTTGAATTCTCTAGTCAAGAAACACAAGGTTAAAAACTTGAATAATAATCTTTGAATGTAAATCATAGTGGCAAATCCTAATAATAATCTGGCAAAGTTGAAACCTTCCAAGACCCACATGACAATAAAGAAAACAATGTGAACAATGACAGCACCACCATGGGCAACACCAGCAATAACAGCACCAGTCTTCTTGCAACACATACCCAACATTGGACCAGCACAACAGGCCATGGCAACACAGACAGCTAAAATACCCATGTCAATAACAACAGGAGCTAATGCACAAATAACAACTCTCAAAGTAGCATTGACTGGTTGTGGCCTTCTAGAACCCAAAATTTCATATGGATATTCAGTAACCCCAGTTTGGGCATTAATGAAAACAAAGGCAACATAAAGACCAGCAGTGTAAAGAAGACATGGAATGAAATCAGCAAACAAGATGTTGGATCTGTGAGCTCTGGATGCATCACCAGCAGACTTTTCAGAAATATCATCAATCATCTTCCTCTTGAAACCAGTAACACGAGATCTAGAAAGTCTAATGTAACCAATCCATGAGTTTCTGTGCCACTTGGTATTACCTCTGGATAACCATCTAATGAAATCTCTGTAATCAATGAAGAAATCTTCCCAAGCAAATTGATGAGGGTTGAAAATAAATGGTGAAAACATCAATGATGACAATGAAGCCCAGAACCACAATAATGGAGCTTGCCATTTAGAAACACTACCGAATAATAAAATCAACATCAATCTTGCACCCATGTAAATAGAAGAATCAGCAAAACGGGAGTACAAAATTGAAAATGGGATTCTTGAAGTGGCAAAACCTCTACCAGTGGAAATATATCTAGCACCACCAACAGTTAAATCAGTGAAAACAGATGAAGAATAGATTTGGGCAACGAAAACTTCAAACATTGGTGATAAGGAAAGGAAATGTCTAACAAATCTTTGGAAAGCCTTCCAAACACCTCTTTCAATTAATTCTTGAACAACCAATGGGATGAAGGAAATAAAGAAGACAATGAAAATGGATAAAGTATAACGTCTAACCCAATCAACAGCTGGAGCCAAGTTGTAACAACCATATGGATATAAAACATCAGTAATTGGAACATCCTTGTTGTAAGAACACATAATAGATTCATGAGCCAAAGAGTTCAAGTTAGCCAAAACCAAAATGAAAACTTGTAAAGACAATTGAATGAACAAGTTATTAATATGGAAACCTGGATGACCATAGTAGAAAGACAAGAAACGATCCAATGGTAATTGAGTAGACAAGTAGTAGTATTCTCTGGACAACATTTGTTCACCCATACCAGCACCAATCTTAGTAGTGAAATTCAAAATAGAGCCGAAACCCATATCTCTACCTTTACCACATTGGTAGTATTCACAATGCTTAATCTTACCACCTCTCATCATAGCATTCATACCAGCATAAATATCTTCGTTCAAATGTAAACCCTTTTGAGCCTTAGAAACACCACCTCTAGTTAACATAAATGTAGCATTTAAGAAATCCGGGTGACCATAATGCAATTTACCACCAATTTGAGCCAAAGTTCTAGCAAACAAGGTACCAAAAGTTTGTTCTTTACCAGCGGCAACATCACCCAAAACACCAGAGTTTTCAGAGAAAATATATTCCCTAGCACCCAAGAAAGCAACAGGTTCCTTTTTGTCCTTCAATTCTTCACTCTTCAAGTTTGGAGCATATGGGTTAACATGTTCAACATTCAATTCTTCAAATTCAGCCAAAACAGATCTAATCTTCAAACATTCTTCCAAATAGTTATCTTGGTTAGCATCAATCAATTGAATATATTCACCTCTGTGGAAAATAACAGCATGATTTTGGTTATCAGACTTACCATCACCCAAAATTGGATTACCAGACAATTGAACTCTGAACTTAGGACGACGTCTTCCGTTTTCTAACATTTCACAATGACCATCAATCAATGAGGAGTAAACTCTAGCGTCTTCACCTTCTTCAGCAGGTTCTTCATCTAAGTAAGCAATTTGTAAATCTGGGTAAGCACGTAACAAGAATTCAGCATTTTCCATTTCATCATCCTTAAACTTGGACAATCTTTGCATAGAAACCAAGAATCTAAACTTTCTTCTAGCCATCTTTTCCAAAGCCATTTCTAAACCTTCTGGATCGCCACCAAAGTATTGAACCAATTCTGGGTTTTCAACTCTGTACAACAACTTGATAGCTCTAGCATAATTCATGAAACCAGAAACAGTTCTATATAAAGTTTGAGATCTCAAAGAGGCCCAGATTCTAGTTCTTAAAGTATATTCAGGGGCAGCAGACTTGAAACCAATACAGTAGAATGGTAAATCATCAATCTTAGATTTCAATCCATCTTCAGACATCTTTTCGGAATCATCGCCATTTTCGTAGGCAGCAGTTTCTTCAGCCAAAATCTTAGTATCCTTGACAAAACAGTCCCATTCAACTGGGTGCAATTGTTTCAAGTATTCCAATAAAGTAACTCTAGAGAATTGATCATCTTCTCTAATAATTTCTCTCAATGATAACAAAATCTTTTCAGAATAGTGAGGAGTGAAAACAGTAAAAGTAGGCATGTTGTCAACTGGTAATGGTTCTGGAATTGGAGTAGCTAAAGATTGAGCAAAGAAAGAAATTCTTCTTTCAGCTTCGGAATTTCTTGGGAAGAATTCAGTTTCAAAGTTGTTATCATCTTGAGAAACAAAGAAAGTTGGAGCTCTCAAAGTTCTCTTACCTTCAATTTCTGAAGGAACTTGGTGGTATAATAACTTTTGGACATGGTCAATGGCTAACAAATGTTCTCTGTACATAGAAATCACAATAGCGTTCCAGATTTGGGAAATCAAAACCTTTGGCTTATACTTAATTTCCATTTCAGTGGTAGCTAAAATCTTGGAGTAGATTCTCTTTGGCAATCTGGTGAAAATGTTTCTCCATGGAGTCAAGATAGAAATACCCAAGTAGAAGGAACGACCGATGGAGAAGATACAGTTACAAATAATGTACCACATGTAAGTATCCAAGAAGAACAATAACAAATCAACAAGGTACATCAAACCCAAAACAATCTTAGCTTGGTTTCTGCAAACTGCTTCCTTATACCAAACTTCACCAACACATCTCATGGTAGTGGTGGACAAAATTCTAATAGGATCTCTAATAGATAAGGTCAAGAAGAAATAAGATTCGACCAACTTGGCAAGGAAAACTAAGAACCATAATAAATATGACATCCACATATCCAAACCCTTCAACTTGATGAAATTAGCAGTGAAAGTTTGAGATGAAATATATCTTCTAGATCTCTTGTTCATGTATGAAGTGAATAACCCACCCAATGGCATAACGGCAAAGAAAATAATGGTGGCAACAGCAATAAAGAAACCAACAATTGAGACCGCGTAAGCAGATTTGGAGTATAATGTTAAACCAGTAATCTTGAATGTATAAACCACAGGAGCCAAGTTAACAAAGAAAATCAAAATCAAAAACATTAAACGACGAGTCAAATGTTGAGCACCAGCCCATTCTCTTGGAACAAACATCCATTCAAAAAGGGTAGCAAAAATTTGAATAAGGGAAGCAACGACACCACCAATAGCACAAGCAGCCCATCTTGAAGAAGCAAGAGGTTGTTGGTTTCTGGTTTGAACGTAATTCTTGGTATATAAGGTTGGGGAGTTGTAAGCAGTATACATCCAGTAAATACTTGCATGGATAATCCAAATTCTATTGAAATTAGTAATGAAATGTAACCAAGTTCTAATTTCCTTATAAGTTTTGAAGAATACATTATTCCATTCAACTTCACCAAGTCTTAAATAACGTTCTTCTTGTGGAATATCCACCATTCTTGTTCCATCTTCAAACATGATTCTGGAAATACCCTCTGGGTACCAAAATAATTGATTAACATCATCATAACCAATAACCTTATTGTGATCCTTTTCACGTTTGACGAATTTACCTTCGTAAATCTCATAAACTTGAGATCTAAGGAATCTATATAATGGGGTAATAACTCTGTTCAAATAATCACCTTCAGGAACTGGTTCTTGTCTTTGTTGACACAATGGAGAGTTCAAGTAATCAGATGCAGTCTTGTAGATATAACATAAACATTCTGGAGTAAAACGAACTTGATTAGCTTCACCCCATAATAACACGTAAAGAGCAATATCACGAACTCTTTCTTCAGGAGTTAAAGTGTTCATCTTGGCTTTCCATCTGATTTCAGCAGCTTCCAATGAATAATCACCTTCTAATTCAGTAGCAAGAGCATCAACATCTTCACCATGTTCTTCGGCTGCCTTTCTTGCCTTCTTAGACTTCTTGGATGCTTTTCTAGCCTTTCTACCAATCTTACCTAAGGCCATATTAGCAAAACCGAGAGAATCGTCTAAATCTTGTTGGGAAGAAAAGAACCATTTTCTATAATTAGCATTTTCACCACCAATATAATCAGCGTGTAAACTTAAAAGTGCTTGAGCTGGTGACATTCTTGAGGATCTAGAATCTAACAAGGTCATAAAGTAATCAAACATATTTCTCATAGAATCTCTTTGGAAACCAAACTTGTTTGTTAAATCAATAAAGATATCTTCAATATGCTCAACCTTGATTGGAGCTTGAGGATCAGCAGACCAAGCAGGATAAGGTAAGTTAGATGACATTTGGAATTGTGATGGATCATATCCTTGACCTTGACCTCCATAAATTGGAGTTGAGGCACCAGAAGATCTTGGGTCACCACCATAACTCATTTGAGAAGGAGTGTATTGGGTACCATATTGATCATATGAAGCACCTGGAGTTTGACCACCATAACTGAAATCAGAAAAGGCTTCTGGATCAGCATTATAACCTTGGGCAGGTTGACTACCGTATTGGGCACCATCCTGGTATCCATCCATATCATATGGTTGTTGTTGATATTGAACATTTGGATCATAGTAATCTTGTTGTTGTTGGTTCATATCATCATATGGTTGTTGATAGTAACCATCACCCTGAAGTGGAGCACCACTGGGCTGTTGGTTGGGATCATAATAATTGTGATTATTATCGTTATACGACATCTGACTAAAAAATGAGTTAGTATAACTATTATCCCTTACGTGTAACTAGGAAAACTCAGACGATAGAAATAGTCGTGAAAGGAACATTTTTTTTTAACTCAATTTGGGGAGTGGAAAAAAATCATAAATTTATTTTCTCATAACCGAGTTGCAACAACTGATAGCACGCTGTGTGACTTCCATTTCTTTTTAGTGACATCATCATCGTCAAAAGGGCGATAGATAATTTACCATTTTTAGATTCAATCACAGAAAACAATATAGATTTTGTTTCTGCAAAAAAGAAATGATCACATCTTAGCAGAAGATATGGACCCAAAACTTCGATCAAGACACTATACTCCTGGCTAAACGAACCTCGCCGTAAATTTCATCTGCAACCCCGTAGTCAAAAAGCAACAATAATAATAATAGAATATTTTTTGCTACTTCAGATTTACACATTCAGTAGGGATCATTTCAAATTGGGCAACACTAGTATAATGCATTAAATTTCTTTTTTTTTTGAACCACGCACACCGCCTCCCACATACAAAAAAATCTAAATTTAGCTTTCTCGCGCCTGTGATCTAGCATTGAGTAGGCGGTAATGCCATCGTGAGATGTCTGCCTAATTTGATACTAGTATGCTTCGGTGAATGCTTTTAGGCTCCAAGTACGGTGACAAACGATGTTCCTGCAATCCAGTGCAACTTCGATGTATAATTCACGCCACTGATCGCGACTCCCCCTTTAAATTCTTTTTTTAGGTTGTGCGGAATTATATACACAACCATCGAATCAGAATCCTTGACTGCCGAAGATATAACCGATTCAATGGATGTTGCTGGACTGAATGAACAGATCCAACTTGATCCTGAATCCTGGTAGAATATCTAATTAGATTGAAATATTTGGTGAAAAGAGCTGGTTGGTTTCGAGCCCATTCACCCCTTAAAATTTCGGTAAATTAGGCAGCCAAAAAACGTTAAATTGGGAGAATTGATTTGGTGGTCAGTGAACTTTCCACAAGCATTACTGGTATTGCTATCGTGGAAACAACGTGGTACCTTGTTCTATAATGTGTTCATGTGCCTTAATAGGTGAAAATGTTGGATCTCATGCCGTAATTAAAAAATTGTTCCCTCCGATTTGAAACTTGATCTGATCTTCCTTCTGTTTACCACATGTTTTAAAAAAAAAAAAGTACATACCTTATATTTATATTGCTATTACTACTGCTTTCTTAGAAAAGGTAGGACAGTGGTTAGTGGCAATGATGATAAGGATTGGATGGTTAGGTATAAATCGATGTTACGACACTAAAAGAAGAAGAAGAGAAGTGAAGTATTCTGATTTAAAAAAAAAAATGTATACCGATTTTCGAAACACAATCAGAAAACAAAAAATTTCAAACTGTAAAATTGCTATATCTAAAATTTTACATCTTCTATCCGAAATGAAATTATTATGTGTGAAACACGAAACGCGCGACGCCGAAAAATTATTTTTAGAAACTTTGATCCATTATACCCTTGTACCGATTGCTGTTCGAAGCTGCACGCAAGATTCTTCTATCTCCGTGTTGTTTTGACATTGTTCTTTACTAATCGATTAGAATGTGTGTTTCCGTTGAAATTGTCGAGAAATAAAACGAAGAATTCTAGACTTTAGTGGGTACTCCAGCTCAAAAAGCGCGAAGAAGAGGGATGCATGTTCTAGATTATTAGAGATATGCACAAAGAGTATATTCCATGGGGAATTTGGCGGTTTGGAAACATTAATTACAGCTTCTCATCCAATCAATGCATAAACCTGTTAATTCAACGTACTACTAAAAACGTATTTCTGCGCCACAAAATTTTTTTTTCTTGCCGAGATTGTTCAGGGGTTACGGTAAATTTCTTCTAATATTACGGTTAAAACATCACAGATTCGCCTTTACAACTTCGGCCGAATTTCCATAGGCTTAAAAGAATTAAACACATTTCGGCAATCACAAAATACTCCCTCACTGAAACTTATTACTAAGGCATCAATTGTGATACGATTGGAAAAAAAATTTTTAGATTTATTTTTTTGCAATTTGTTTTCATGTAAAAATTTCCCACACACAACATTGCAACAGGGACGCGAATATTATTCCAATTTCAGTTCTTTATTTAGCACTAAATTAACTATGACAGCCTACAAAGAACTATAATTTACATACTTTATCTTACTAAATATACCTCTAACCAAAATTAAAAGAAAAGTTTAATACAAATAAAAGTTAATTCTTCCATCGCAGAAAAATTTTTGTGGGCCTAGATTCTAATATATTGACACATAACCAAGTGTTACAATTCTCTACCTATGGTAAAATTTTGTGTTGTTTATTGAAACGATACGTGCACTAACCGTTTTACAGTTTTACTTACACAAAGGCAGAGCAATATAAAAATTTCACGCCTCAAGAAAATTAAATTATTTTTCGCATCAAGTGTACACAATAATTACATTTCCTAATGGGGAGATTTCTTTTACTTATTTAGATCTTCCTGCATATGGAATGGGCTAATATGTATTGCAATAAAAAGAAACCAAACTTTTTGCAATTAAACCCGATAGTTTGAAACAAGTGTGAAGGTTCTAAGAACATAGAACTGGGTGTAAATTGTATACTTCATGAAAATTTACATCTGTAATCTTGCAAGCTGATACTAGTGGACTCTGTATATCCGGTAAATCCGGCAAATTCAGAAATTCTGGCATCCAATATGAAGTATTTTCGTTTGATTTAAGAAGCCCTTATTAGGCTAATTATAGATGTATATGTGTGTGGGGGCTTAACACTCTCACTTTGTATTATGGCATAGAGCAATTTTATGAGCTGCACGTTAAGTATAATTTTTTGTTTGAATTTGTGTAAAATATGTCAAGAAATATTCCTATATTATAGAGCTCGCATCTTAATTATGCATTAGCTTGCTAGATGGGGCGCGCCTCGTGCAGTGGACCATCACAACAATACTTTTTTTTAATATACATATTTATACATTCTTATCTGTTCTTATTTGTACTGTATACGAATTATCTATTCATTCCATCCTAATGTATTTAACTCTTGTCTAATTTCATCTTCTTTAGAAATCTTAATAACTTGAGTATCTTCTAATTGTTCACCAGCAGCTTGTTTCATTTTCAATTGTTCAATAGCTCTCAATTTCTTTAATAAAGACCTAATCTTCTTTTCTTCAAGAGAAGCAACACCACCAATTACGGAACCAGTAACTGGTGCCACTGGAGTAGGAGCAGCAATTGGAGCTGGAGACTCAACCTTTTCACTTTGTTGTTGCTTCTTGGCTTCTCTCTTCTTTCTATTCTTAGCAGCGGCCTTGCTTTCTTTCTCAGCTGGTGGAGCAGCACCAACAACAGTTCTTGGTCTACCACTGACTGGGTTAACTCCGTTTCTGGTTAATCCCGGGGGAGGAGGAGTAGGAGTTCCGGTTCTCATATTGTTTTCCATTTCCTTTTGATATAACGAGGAAGTTGGAGTCATGCTGGAACCACGAGCGTGTGGTGGACGATAAGCACCAGCTGGCTTTTTAACGGCAGCACTGGCACTACGTTTAGCCAAGAATTCCTTGGTTGACTCATGGGCTTCTGGAGCAGGTTCCAAGGTCTTGATTTGAGGGAACAATTCAAGAGGTTGAGGCTTCCATCCAATAGAATATAATTCTTGGTATTCCTTCATGTATATTAATTTACCACTGGCATGCCAAACCTTTAATCCATTATCAACTCTCAATCTTGGAGATGTAGTTGCGGTTAAAATAAATCTACCACATGGAGACCATTCGCATACAGAAGTGTTTGAAGCTTCAAATGAAACAACCTTGGCAAATTTATTTTGACGGTCATAAACATCAACAGTACCTTGTAAATTACCAAAACCAGCAACTAAGACGAACTTGGCGTGTGGAGAATACAAAATGGTATTTCTTGGAGCGGTTGGCAAAGAATGGATTTCGTTACCTCTCAGGTCAAAGAAAGTGGTTTCAGATGGCATATAACCATAACTGACAGCAAATTCACGAGCAGAAGGGGACCAAGTGATATCGTGAATTGGTCCTTCTCTCTTCAAATCAATTCTAGAATCGTAAGAACCAGCAATACCTAACAAATAAAGGTTAGTTTCTCCGTAATAAGATTTATTAGATGTATCATGATCAGTAGATGCTAATGCTAACAATGCAGTACCAAGAGAGTTCCATTTCAATTGACATCTTTCTGCCTTGAAGAAATGCTTTGAGCAGATTGGTTGATTAAAGTTTGGAACATTGTAAATCAAAACACTGGCGGGTTTACCTGACTTTTCAGGAATGAAAATAGCAATACTTGGGTTCTTTCCTGGAGAAATTTGAAAATTTTGGAATGTAGCCTTGGAATCACTCATTTTGAATTTATGAGTAGGATGATTAATATTAATGGATTCATTTGAGTTTGAGTCAATTTCAAAGAAATGAATTTCCTTCAGGTTTGATCCTTTACAAAAGATCTTTTCATCATTTGTAAATTGAGGTTTCCAACCAGCTTGGTGTCTGGCACTCCATTCGGCAATTATGGTCTTGGTCTTGACATTGAAAATCTTTAAATTGTTATTCCAAGTACCATTTTCCTTATTGAGCTGAATTGGCTTACACCAAAGACACAAGTAAGTACCATTTGGAGAAAATAAAAGGTCAAATACTTCTGGTAATTCAATACGGTGAAGAACTTTAGCGATGGAACTAGTGTCTACTATGACGACTTCGTTTGGTTGGGTGTATGCAAAGAATTTCCCATTACTTGAGTATAATGCAACACGACATTCTTCAACAGCCTTTGGGGCGGGAGTAATATCTTCGAAATCTTGAATCAAATCAACAGATCTGGGAAGACGACCTAAAAAAATGTTAGTACAATTGTCCGCAAAATAGCAAAAAAAAAGAGGGCATCATCGTCATCGTAGTGTATACATACAAAATATTTCTGTAGTTTTAGACATTGTTATTGTTTAAAAGTGATATGACTGAATTTTGGTAGACAAATAATTTATAGATGACAAATAATTCAGAAAATTTCAGCTATTGCGTGGTTGTAATTGATGAAACTAAGATCAGTAATGACGAACTTTGGCGGGGTTAGACGGATAGCTGGTTCTAAGTCTGTGAATTCTGGATTCTTTATTGATTTGATGATTCAACTGTAGTGGGATCCTTTCCTGGTATTATACTTAGTAGGATATCTTGACTGTCTTTTTAGTTAAACGAATAAAGAAAGTAACACGAAAGAAAATGAAAGAAGTGAAACTAAAATTTGACCATTGGATTTTTTTCTCGCCCTGCGTTCAACAATGTGCTTCACTAAAAGGTTTAGCTGGACGAACTTTTTTTTTTTCAGCGTCTTGTTTTGCCAGGTGGGGGGTTTTTTGCACCTAAAGTAACACACTAGCTAGCTTCATAGAACTAAACGAACTACAGTCATCCTTACACTCTGCTACAGAAATATCGCAGATAACAGCTTACTGTTATGATTCTATTTTTACAGTATAAACTATCTCTATATTTTGGGAGTTTTCTTCTTTACTTCTCCAAAATTCACATGTCCAGTTTCTTCTGCATGTTTCGAAGCCCCCATTTCTCCCACAAGTATTTGATAACAATCAAGACATCTAACTCTGAAAGTGGTTGTATTTGTAGCATAATCATTTTCTTGTAACTTCTTGCACAACTTTTGACTAGAAGCAAGTATCAACTCTTCTTGTTTAGATTCTTCGATTGGCCAATTTGAAATATCATTTTTCATATCTCGTTCATTCTGAGATAATTCTTCATTCAAACTTAACAAATCATAATGGATACCACTGTATATTAGAATTATGAAACGTTTAGGAGGTTTCTTTTCATTCTCGAATCGGATAAAGTTCCCTGACTCAATATCAATGCAAACAATTCGAATATCAAACCAATCAGCCAATATTCCCAACTCAATTGCTCCACCCCATGAATCCTTTTTTCTGATCCATTCACAATACTCATCTCGCGGTCTCCCTAAAACTAATTCTGAATACAATTCCGGATCTTTTTCAATATACTCCACGACAACATTTCTTAAATCTCCTGGTGGTGAAATTGTTCTATATGAATCATACCCTGACATTGCATAAGATATCGAGTTAAATAAACAAGAATTATCATCAGGGATATTTCGAAGAATGATATACCTGTCCAATTCCGGAATGTAAACGGCTGGTATTTCTTCACTGGGTGTGGGTCTTTTCCTAACTGGTGGTACGGGGGATTCTGATAAAGGTCTTTTGACTCCACCAGAATGTACGAATTCAACAATCAATTGATCACCATCTTTTATTCCTTTATCACTAACGGTAACATCGGGGGAGCTAAAAGTCAAATCTAAAGGTTTTGGTGGGAATCCTGATTTTATGGATGAAATTCGTTCTGTTTCAAGATGTAGTTGTGAATTATTCTTTATATCTTCCAAGAAGTCTCTGAATAACTTGGAATCGTCGATATTTATTGTACATGTTCCTATTCTAGATTTTAGTTTTAGCCGCATTGATGTAATTTATATGAAACCGAGGTTGCTATGTGGTGGTTAACTCGATGATGACAAGTTCTAGATCTGAAAAAAAAAGATTGGAATGGGTGATTGAAAAACGAGGGGTTGTAAGATTTATGATGTTTGACTGGATTGGGTAAGACTATGATGCAATTGCGAAGTAAGAATTATATCTTTTGGAATAATTCATAACTGTGAAACACTGGGTTTGGTGGGTAGTATTTTTTCTGTCACTCTCTTTTGCTCAATTGTTTCTCGGTTGCTTTGAGGTGTGTGGGAATTTTCTAATTTTACACTTTGATTGTTCTGTTCCTTTTTTTTCTTATACTATCAGTAACCAAGTTATCAGCCGCAACCAGCCAAGCATGACAATAATTTCAACAGAGTGGAGGTGGGGTATAATGTAAATGCATAGATCCGATATTTTATATCTTCTCAATGTCTTTAATCGGAAAGTATTGTGTTACCTGATAACGTCCTCCTCCTAGATTTGCGTACCAAAAAAAAAAAAAAGAGTTGCAACCAGAGATAAATTACTAGTTCCATTTTAACTGGCGCTAGTTTACTAATAATCAAAAGAACAAAATCAATCAAATATCTATGGAAATAAAAAAACCTATGAACTGAAAAATATGCTAATGTACAAATATATATCAAATCTAGATTTTGATTTAGTCAGTCATAACAACTTCACCGGTGGCTTCTTGTTGTTGCTTTTGGAATTCTTCGGATGGGATACCAGTAATAATAGCATCCAAGTTATCCTTCTTTTGGTTAACTAATGAATCGTATTCTTCTTTATTTTCAGCCTTGTGTTGTTCTAATTGCTTATATTTCTCGACTGAGTCCATGAACTTTATCATGTTTACTCCAGCAGCAGCTTCTGCTTCTAATGGAGTATAAGGTCTTTGTTTTAATTCCTTAACTCTTCTCTTATGAATCTTGGATTTACCATGACGATCTAAACTAATTTGAGTTTCGAAATATTTGGCACATTCAATACAATAATATTGACCTAACCCAGGTTTGGTTTCGTCTAATGGTTGGTTCTTTAAACGAACTATGCTTTCTTTTGAAGATAAATCATCATAGATTAAATCAAGATCTCTTGTTCTTCTCTTAGTTTTGTATCTCTTAACACTGTATCTCCCCATTTCTATGTCTATGTGCTTGTACTAATCTATAGTGATAGCGATGAGATCAGAATTTTTTTAGTAGCTGCTGTAAGTCCAATAATGCGTACTTCCATTTTAGGAAAACTTCTCAGGTGACTTGAATCATATGACTTTCCTCACATGATCAAAAAAACCAGTCACAAAGGTCATGTGACTTGGTTTGAAATGAAATAGAAAATATTCCTGTGGCGGGAAACTTTTTTTTCTCCTCGTCTTGGATACTACGTATACCACCACAGTATGACAGTATTATCTGCAGGAGCATACAGTTTTTGCTTTTGTGACGTTTTGGTGAGAGTCCTGACCCACTCGCACTTGACCCTAGAAAAGAATTTTCATAAAAAAAAAAGTTTGCTTAGAAATCCATTTACCCTTTTACCTTAACCAAGTGTTGAATAAGGTATGTTCATAGACCTACCATATGATATGGAACTGAATAAGAAGCATAGGGGAATCAGTAACAAATAAACTATCCAGTGTTGTTGAAACTGTTTGTACAACTACACTGATGACTGAAGAAGCAAAATTTGTAGATGAATCTTGATTTGTCATCATTATCAAATTGCCACTATTTTCCCACACACAATATTAAATTGACATATAAATACCTCAGCAATCCCCCAAATGTAACTTTATTATCAGTTCTTTTATATATTGGCTGAATAATTTTACTAACAGTTTTATTTTAGACAAAATGGCTAGAAGACCAGCTAGATGTTACAGATACTGTAAGAACAAACCATACCCAAAGTCCAGATACAACAGAGCTGTTCCAGACGCCAAGATTAGAATCTATGATTTAGGTAGAAAGAAGGCCCCAGTTGATGAATTCCCATTGTGTGTCCACTTGGTCTCCAACGAATTGGAACAATTATCTTCTGAAGCTTTAGAAGCTGCTCGTATCTGTGCTAACAAGTATATCACCAAGATTTCTGGTAGAGAATCTTTCCACTTGAGAGTCAGAGTCCACCCATTCCACGTTTTACGTATCAACAAGATGTTGTCATGTGCCGGTGCCGATAGATTGCAACAAGGTATGAGAGGTGCTTGGGGTAAGCCACATGGTTTAGCTGCCAGAGTTTCTATTGGTCAAATTATCATGTCTGCTAGAACCAAGGACTCTAACAAGGAAGTTGTTATTGAAGGTTTAAGAAGAGCCAGATACAAGTTCCCAGGTCAACAAAAGATTATTATTTCTAAGAAGTGGGGTTTCACTCCATTGAACAGAGACGAATACGTTGCCAAGAAGAACAATGGTGAAGTTAAGGATGACGGTGCTTACGTTAAGTTCTTATCCAGAAAGGGTAACTTGGAAGAAAACTTGAAGCAATTCCCAAACTTCCAATACACTGTTTAAGTTGAGTATTAGTTTACTTTAGAATTAGTAAGTATTTAATTAACATCATCTTTGTAATAGTTGTAATGTAGATTAACATAGCAGTTGCTATGTATTAAACATATCATCACTTGGTATTATCTATAACAATAATATGAAGTAATTGAGCATATTCAAGCTCTTTACGTCATTGTGAGGCTCATAGTACGAATTAAGAATCTAATTTGACAGATCATTGGTTGCACAATACATTTTTACAAAATTTTTTGCAAATATTTGTAAAAATAAATGCACTCTAAAAAAGGCTAGAACATTTACAAAAGCAGAGCGAAACTTGCAAGAAAAGAAACAGAGCTAAACCCAATTAACAAATCGAATATCAGTATTGTATGAATAGACTTCCAACAGAATCTTCAGAACCTATAAAAAAAATTTTATGCTGCAATATGCGTTACAAAGTATCGAATACAACGTTTGTACCAAACATATCCTGGTGATACACAAATTGACCCTGAATCTATGCTTACAAGCACAATGAGCTGAAGTAACAATCTAAATAATAAACGTGCGTGTGTGTGTGTTTGCGCCGTTGTTTTTGCGAAGGCTTTCGAGAGTTATTTTTAAGCTGGTCGCGTAGATCTAATTATTTTTTTTTTCCAACGTCTCCGACAAAGAACACGCTTGCCCAAGAATTTCAGGTAATATTTGTGCTATTTAACACTGTGGATTTTTCTTCTTTCTTTCTTTTCTTGCTCTTCTTCTTTGACGCTAATATTAATTAAATTTTACATAATGTCTTTCACTAACAAGGAAAACCCAAAGGTCTTAGTCTTATTCGATGTTGACGGTACCTTAACTCCAGCCAGATTATTCATTTCTGACGAAATGAAGGAAACTTTGGAAAAGTTGAGAAAGAAGGTTGTTATCGGTTTTGTCGGAGGTTCCGATTTCTCCAAGCAAGTTGAACAATTAGGTCCAAACATCTTGGAAGAATTCGATTACTGTTTCTCCGAAAACGGTTTAACCGCCTATAAGTTGGGTAAACAATTAGCTTCCCAATCTTTCATCAACTGGATTGGTGAAGAAAAATACAACAAATTGGCCAAGTTCATCTTGAAGTACTTGTCTGAAATCGATATCCCAATTAGAAGAGGTACCTTCATCGAATTCAGAAACGGTATGATCAACGTTTCTCCAATCGGTAGAAACGCTTCTACTCAAGAAAGACACGACTACGAAGCCTTTGACAAGGTCCACAACATTAGAGAAAAGATGGTTGCTGCTTTAAGAGAAAACTTTGCTGACTACGGTTTAACTTATTCTATCGGTGGTCAAATTTCTTTCGATGTTTTCCCAACTGGATGGGACAAAACTTACTGTTTACAACACGTTGCTGATGAACACTTTGATGAAATCCACTTCTTTGGTGACAAGACCTACAAAGGTGGTAACGATTACGAAATTTACAACGACCCAAGAACTATTGGTCACTCTGTTACCAATCCAAATGATACCATCAAGATCTTAAACGAGCTTTTCAAGTTATAAGCAAACCTTTTCTGTTTAGATAATTAATAGATTTTACCCTTTTATCGAAAACCATGTAGTATTAGTAGTAGTACAAAATTATTGCAAAAGTTACAAACTATATACAGACTGCAAAAAGAAAAAAAAAACTGAACCTAACTACGTCTATAGAAAATAGCAGAGGATTCCTTTCCTGCAACAATGACTTGCTCAATGTTAGTCCCGTTAGGTAATTGGGTACCAGACAATAACAGCAATCTATTTGTGACAACATCACCTACTTTTTGAACTAACTTCTTTCTAGTCTGTCCTTCGAAATCTTCTGGTTCAATCAACTTAGGCAATTGTACTGGTTTGTTTGTCTTGACCCTCTTTCCATTTCCATGTTGACCAGATTCATTCTCACCAACAGCAAGAACGTCTTTGTTAGTTCCAGAATTATCCAAAGTCACAAACAAATGTTTATCACCCACACTGATATCCTTGATTCCAATATTAGTCAAAGCATTCTTGGCTTCGTCGTATTCTTCCAACCCAAGAAGAGACTTCATAATTTGCGGTTTGGAACATACATGTAAATATCTATTGTTTCCCAATTGTCCATTGACACCATTTCCAAAACTTAACACAACTTGCTTATTTTGAGTCGAATCTTCAGGATCAATATAGCTAACAAGGACATATGAGGATTCATTACCAGCCAATACTTTATCAATGGTGAGATTATCGGTTGTGACATTTTTAGGCAAGTGTATGAAAAAGGCACGGATGATATCTTTCTTGGATAAGATCTTCTTAGGCACTGGTTGTAATTCATTTTTGAGATTAAGTTCAATTCCACATTCACCATTGCTGTTTTGACCCCAGGTCCAAATTTCTCCTGCTTGATCCGCAACGATATTGAAGTTGCTTCCTGCAGCAACACTAGTGAATGTACGCTCCTTCACAGATTTGCTTCCATCTTTCTTTGTGATCAATTCGTTATTCAATAATGTAATGTCAATGGCTTTATTACAAGGAATTTCAACTGACTTATCAAAAGGTGAAAATGCAGGACCATACTGACCATAATTCTCAGGAGTGGATGAAGTGTTAATAACATATGCTTTCCCCTTACGACTCAAACATAAGAGGTGATCCTTACCTGAGGAAATTTGCTGCACAGCACCAGGGACATCTACCTTATTATAAGTTTGTTCCTTTTGAATACCTAACAAATTTCTAGTTTTGAGTGGGGTGAATTCGGCAGATTTGACCTCTGGTCTTGGAGTATATACAACTTCACCCTTTTCAGATAACATATAAAGGTAATCACCACTAACGCAAACTTGTTTAACGTTGATTGGCACGTTCATCAATTGAGGTGTTTCAAGACCTTTGTACCATTGGTAAACTTGACCCTTTTCATTTACAACTACTAAATAATCTGGTGATATGTAAACATCTTTAAGTAGCATACCATTAAAGAATGGTAGACGGATAGGTAACTTTTGGCCATTATGCTTTCCAAACACATATAATCCAGGAACTTCGGTTGAGTTCTGCAAATTTGCTATAGTTTCATCATTCAATTCACTCTCCAACTTCTCAGCAAAATTTGCCACACGCTTAGTGTTTAATTCGGGTGCTGATAAATCTTGAGCCTTACTGTCACCAATCTTATAAGTATAATCCGCCATGATACTAGTTTTCAAATATTGATAATTCATAAAGATTTGATGAGCACTAATGGCACCTACGACAATAAGAACACCCATACCTACACCTTTCATTCTCTCATTAAACTCGAATCTCTTTCTATCTTTTTCTTGCTTTTTCTTGAACTCTTCATAAAGGTTGTGTAATTGTTCCTTATATTCAGGAGAACCATACCTGAGGTTGGCCAACAGGGGGTCATTTTCTATTCTGGTGTTGAAATTAGCAGCAAGTTCATCTTCTAAATCAATAGTTGCTTGTCTATCGGGGTTGATCTTCTTGTCTAGATCATCTATGGTGTCGAAATTGTAGCCAAATTTATAGTCAACTTTGGACTTGTTGAATTGCTCAATGGTTTGTTTCTTGTCCTGTGGATTAGAGTATAATCTGACAGGGACAGTCACCTTCAGCAACCTGGAAAAGAGAAATCTTCTTCTCGATGCCCTTATTGTTCCAGAAAGCATGTTTTTGGTTTGTAATTGGCTTGACGGGATAGGGCGATGATGGTTGTAATTTTTTTCCTCTTCGATTGATCTGGTTTTGGCAGTAGGAAGCGAGTGGGGACAGAAAACGCAAACACAGAAAACCAACTATAGAACTCAAACCCCCTCCAAGTTGCCACCACATTATTCCAGCAGGAAATGCAAAATGCTTAATAGAATAATACTACAGAGATCGTACCGTCCAATTCAGATCCTAGCATTTAATCGAAATCTTGCAACAATAACTAAGTTTGACACTAAAAAGTTTGTTCAACTTTTACAAGAAAAAGGCGACTTTACTCAAAAGCAGGCCGAAACAGCTGTACAGGTAGTAAATTCTGCAATCAACGATGGAATAAGTTCTATAACTAATAACTTAGTGTCTAAGGAAACACTATCATCCAATGCATACCAACAAAAAGTTGACTTTGCTAAGCTTAAAGGTGAGTTACAAACAATGGACAAGGCAGAATTTACAAGTTTGAAAAAGGAGCAAGAAAAGCTACGCACCGACTTAACCAATTTGAAGAATCGGTTAAAGGAAGAAATAACCAAGAACCAAGCTGGTGTTCGATTGGATTTGAATTTGGAAAAGGGAAGAATTAGAGAAGAAAGTTCAATCCATGAGCTGAAGATTGAAGAAACTTATACGAGAATTGACGAAGAAATCGCCAATATGCAAATGCAAATCAAGTCGGTAAAGACTCAAGTTATGCAATGGTTGATTGGGGTATGTTCCGGTACTTTTGCTTTGATGTTAGCCTTCATTAGATACTTTGGTTAGTCGATTCAAGTAAATAATACCACAAAATAGTAAAATTGATGTAATCTAATCCGTCTAGATGAAACATGTAGGTGAAATTTTGTAGGTCATTCTGTTGACACGGATATGCACATTTTTAGTTGAACAGCGCAAACGAAAAAAATGTCAAACTGGCAACACAAATAACAGCCATTTGATTGACATCCACAGAAACACAAACAATGAATTCTATATACAATCATGGGGTTAAGCAGACACAGACCATAACAAAAGATCTATCTGAGTTCGAGCAGAACCTTTCTACTTCGCCATTGTCGTTGCAAGGTGCCATAACAACATCCATCACTGTATTTAAGAAAACCATCAAGGAATATCATGATTTGTTAGAAAAAAGCAAGAATGATCCATCATACCCCAAACACGAAAGCAGATTTCAAAAATTTAGTCATGATGTCCATGAATTTCAAACTAAATTTGAAAGCTTAAAACTTCAGAGAGATACAATTGTCCAAGAAAGCAACAAACAGGAATTGTTTGGACGGAGACATACTCACAACTCAACTACTAGTTCAGACAATCCCTACGATACTACTAACCAACAACAACAAAGTTACATGTCATACCAGGAAGGGTTATATAAGGAGAAAGATGCACTTTCCCGAGGTACTGAACAACTAGATCATATCCTAGAAATGGGACAACAAGCATTTGAAGATATCGTAGATCAAAACGAAGTATTGAGAAGACTTCAAACCAAATTCGAAGAAAGTTTAGTCGTATTGGGTGTAAGTCGAGGAACAATTCGAAGCATAGAAAGAAGAGCAAAACAAGATAAGTGGTTATTTTGGTTCTGTGTAGTTGTGATGCTTGTTAGTTTCTATTACATAGTTAAGATATTTAGGTGAAATTTTTTTTTTTGTCTATAACCCAACCAATTGAATTTAATATCAAACATATTCTCAGCTTCTGCTAATTAGGATGTATTCGCTTAAGTGATCGTAGCAATTCACATGTCTATCGATCTCCTCTTAACAACAGAGGCTCAGAGTAGGCTTATATCCCATTGACAACACGAATCGACAAATTTCGTAATTTGGATATAACTTTACCCCCGTTACTCCCCGGATAACCTTAACAGGTTATATGGCAACTGCAAAAAGCTGTAAAGTTCTGTGGGGTGAATGCAAAAATTATCAATTTTTCCTTATCGCGGTAAATCCTTCCTATTCTAAGTGACTACTGCAAATGAAAAACAGACACATACTGTCAATTATTTATAAGCCACCAGCATATCCAGAATTATGGAGCAATACCAACTCCTAGAAACAGTAAAACCCTGAAACAGGTTTCATGAATCAGTATGTATCAATTTTTATTGTTTGGGCTTAGTATCTAATTACCCAAATAGGAAATCGCGTAAAAGGTCGTGCACAAATTCAGATCGGCACCCATACAAAATCATGTCCAAATTAGGAAATGTTCCGTAAAATACTCTTAACACGAACGATGCACACAATTTATTAAACTTCTTCTCTAACTCATTACTATACCAATATAGGCAACTATCGAAGTCATTATGCCAGACGGATGATCAAAAACCCCTTTGTTTTCCAAGGGTATATAATATCGAACCTGTTCGCCTCTGTTATAAAACATGTTGAAACATTTTTTGCACCCAACAATCTTCATCACTCCTTGAATACATCCAACAGGAATCATCCAGCCACTGTTTGAATACTCAATCCTTACAAGTATACCCCAAAGATGAACTTGTCTCTCCTTTTTATCTATTTGCTAGTGACAAATATAGCCCAAGGTCTTCCAATTCAACATCAAAAAAGGTGGAGCTTTTTTGATCTCTTTGACCTGCAGTCATCCGCAAGTGCTGTAGCTACAACCCTAGCACCAACACCAGCTGTAATACCAGCTACAACACCAGCTCCTGTTCAAGCCCCAGTAGCAGTCACTACTCCGGTAGCGGTTGCTACCCCAGTACAAGTCGTTCAGTTAGCTGCCACACCATCGGTTGCTCCTCAAACCACTGCTGCTGCCCCCGCTGCCGCCGCCGCTACTGCTCTGGGAACTTCTGATGGTTCTAGTTGGCTTGGTCAGACATTTAAAAGCGCTTTCCATTACTTTTTTGGAGCTAATCCAACCACTACTGCAGCTACAACTCAACCACAGCCAGAGGCAGCTGCTGCTGAAGACGACGCTGACTACCCATCCGAGACCACCATCACAAGAATACTTACCGTAACCAGAACCGGATATAGCTCTGATTTCCCTGCCAGTAACCCAACCCAAGCATCCCAACCAACTACGACAACATCATCATCATCATCCAGCACTGGAGGGGGGTTCCTCAACTGGTTAGCAGGACTTTTTGGCTCATCTTCATCATCATCATCATCAACCCAAACCACTACAGTCCAACCAGATGCTTCTCAAGTTGTAAGTTCTGATCCTTCATCCTTCATTGAAGAACCAGTTTCAATCCCTGATCCCCAACCAGTTTCATATCCTGCTTCTTCCCAGGTTAGCATCCCATCTGCATCAGCATCCTCCATAAACTTGAGCTTTCAAGGTGGATCTCCAGGAAAGAATGCACTCGCATCCAGTATGGCAACTGCATCTGCAATTAATGGTGGCAGTAATGCAGGAGCAGCAGCTGCAGTTGGTTCCAAAGGTATCACTTACTCTCCATACACAAAGACGGATCAATGTAAATCTGCATCTGATGTAGCTTCTGATATTGCTAAATTATCCAATTTTGACGTTATTAGATTATACAGTACTGATTGTTCTGGAATTGAAAACGTTTTAAGTGCAATGTCATCTCACCAACAGTTATTCTTGGGTGTTTGGAATGTGGACCTGGTTCAAGGTGAATTGCAAGATATTGTAACTGCGATTTCTGGAAGTTCCCGAGGGTGGAGTGCAGTCCATACTATTGCAATTGGGAATGAAAGAGTTAATGCTGGAGCTGCCACGGTTGCTGATATACAAAATGCAGTTTCACAATCTAGAGTATTCTTAAAACAAAATGCACCTCAATATACTGGACCAATTGTTTCAGTTGATACCTTAGTTGCTGTTGTTGGTAATCCAGCTCTTTGTGAAGTTTCCGACTACCTTGCTGTTAATTCTCATCCATATTGGGATGGTGGAGTTCAACCAGAAAATTCTGGACCTTGGTTACAACAACAAATTGCTAACTTACAAAACGTTTGTGGTAAAGATAAACAAGTGTTGATCACGGAAACCGGATGGCCAACTCAAGGTGATACATTTGGTCTGTGTGTTCCACTGGTTCCAAATCAAGTTGCTGCTATAAAGTCCATTGTGAATTCCTTAGGTTCACAAGTTATCATGTTTACCATGTACAACGATTATTGGAAGGACCCTGGACCATACAATGTTGAGCAGCACTGGGGTATCTTTGGGGACCCAGCAGAATAGAATCTTCTAAAGACAATTCTGATTTGACTACCTTTCACTTCTCTTCGTTTCACTTCTTTTCAATTTCTTCAATAGTTTATCAAATTTTACTTTAGTGAATAATATATTATTATGGGTAATATCAGGTTGTAGGAAACTCTAAGTATGCCATGCTAATAGTTGCAAATTCAAAGTGGCGTGTGTTGCACAATTCGCGTACTCAACTTTTGTTTTTCGGAACGAGAGCAAAAAAAAAAAGAACCAAATGGTTAAAAAGTATAATACAAACCTTTTTCCAACACCATCAACAGAACAAAAACAAATTTGTAAATTTGCATCCAATAAATCGAATAAAGTCGACAAACAGAGAAAATAATGTCGGATAGGGAAAGGAAAAAGTTGGCGTTAAGGATACGCACCCTTTTTGATAGATTGTATAAAGTGGAAGACAACGGATTTTTAATTTATCAAACATTCCAAACATTACCCTTGAGAACAGGAACCGACTATTACAAATTGGTCAAGAATCCTCTTTCTTTGCATGCAGTTGGAAAGAAAATCAAAACACAGAAATATGCCAGTGCCCAAGAATTTATAGATGATTTGGCTTTGATTTCATGGAATGCTAGATACTTTAATGAACCAGGTTCTGCTGTGTACAGGCACGCCCAAATCTTGAAAGAATATATCAGCAACGTGGTGCTTCCTAAACTAAGAAATGACAAGGCTATTCCAAACCACTCTTCCTTGTTCTACCCTAATTTGGGTGATTTGCCTGATGATAATGATGATCCTACCTTGGCGGGTGTTAATTTTGGAGATGCGGGTGAATCAACACCCAGAAGAGAAGAATTTGTTTCTGAAATGAGCGTTACTCCTCAAGCAGACCCATTCATCTCAATGTCAAAACCTTTGGTTAGTACTTCACATCCTAAGCAACAACCATTTATCAACAGCAATATCCATACTCCAAAACACCAAACTCCACTGTATACAAGAGAAAGAGCAACAAAGCAAGCCGAATCGGGTATCAGAAGAGGTCGTCCACCTATTATTGATAAGCCATTTGAAACTCGTATCAAGTTGATTTTGAAAGGGTTCAAGAAATTGCGTGATGCAACTAATGATCATGCCTTGACTAAGCATTTTGAAAGGCTTCCCGATATCAAGCAGGAAATTGATTATTATGAACGTATTCCAAATCCAATAAGTTTACAAGAAATCAAAGTGAAGGTAAGAAGTAGAAAATATGCTACTGTTGACCAATTTATAAATGACTTGGATTTAATGTTTGCTAATGCTCAGACTTATTATGGTGATGATCCATACAGTGAAGAATTTATGGATTACCAACAATTCAAAAAGGAAGCTCAAATTATTATTCAAATGGAATTGAGCAAATCCGACAAAGAAGTTCTCAGTCTTAGTACCGCAAGTAGTGATGGTGTTTTGAGATTCCCCATGGATTCGTTAGAAGTTAATGGCTACACCTATAAAATTGGTGATTGGGTATTAATGTCAAACCCAGTTGATGCCGAGAAGCCTACTGTGGGACAAATCTTCCGTTTATGGTCTACTGAAGAAGGGAACAGATATTGTAATATATGTTGGTACTACCGTCCCGAACAAACTTGTCATGCTATCGATCGTTTATTCTTCAAGAATGAAGTTTGTAAAACAGGTCAATACAGAGATCATTTAGTTGATGAAATTGTTGGTCCTTGCTATGTTATCTTTTTAACAAGATACCAAAAGGGTGACCTTCCAGAAGGTGTTATCCCTGATGGAGCTCCTTGGTTTATTTGTGAATTCAGATATAACGAATCAACCCATGTTTTCAATCGTATTAGAACCTGGAAGGCTTGTTTACCAGATGAAGTTAGAGATGATCCTGAACAACCATTAATTCCCTTACATGAAAACCGTAAGTTGATTAAATATGAATCACCTTTGAAGAACCTTTTGAGACCAGATGCATATGTCGGTATGCCCATTCCAGATCCAATAGGAGGACAACCAAACACTCCACCAGTATCAGGGCTGGTTTATAAATTAGCCCCAATACCCGATGATGATTTGGGCCAATACATTTCCAGTCCTAATGTTACACCGATGCCAGAACATGATGATGTAGCTACAGGACGTCGTGCATTCCTCTTCACTCCTATTTCTCAATTGAAAGGTGGAGGTGGTGCCACCACTGCTGTATATGCTACTTCCCCTAGTGTGCTTGCTCGCGGATCTCCTACTGCTCTGCAGGATGTTGTGCCAACTCATACAACCACCAGTATTAGTGCTCCTACAAACTTTGTTGAAGATAAACATGCATTACCAGGAAGTTATAAGCTGCTTCAAGCACAAATTCAAGAAAGCCAAGCTAAGAAATTGCAAGAGCAACAATTGCAACAAATGCAATTACAACAACACCAGCTGTTGTTTAGAAGAGCCAACACTCCTACACCTACTAGTATTGCGCCCACTGGAGGAAATTACCATACTTCTGCATCCACTTATTCTACATTATTGGCTGGTGGAACTTTAGCTTATGGGTTGAATACAGGAGTTTTTGATTTAGGCGAAGAAGTTGAAGAATTAGTCAACAAGAGACAAAAGTTGAATAATGAAGGTGAAGTTGAATCTGAAGAATTTGTGTTTTACAGAGCACCTCCAGTATTATTAAGCGGAAGAAAAATTATAACTAATTCTCAAGCCGAGCTTGGACATTCAGCTGCATATTTAGCCTGGAAATTAAGGAGGGAGCAACAGTAAATAAGATCTTATGTATAATTAAATTGAATCTATTTTAAACTAAAGTGTATTTCTTTTAGGTAAGACTTTATCGCATGTAAAAATCGTCATCAGATCGTGCCATCAGTTTCGCCCCACACAAGCAAAAAAAAAAAAAATTACTGTACTAGACTACGTAAGGGTTTTTCTAAGTGAGACAAGAATGAGACCCTCGGAATCGCCTTCAACTACAATGAGCACACAATTAAAGGAATTCCAAGAGCATCTACTCAAATCTAAAAAGATAGTGGCACTTGTTGGTGCAGGACTTTCAGTGTCTTCAGGATTACCGACATTTCGAGGATCCCAGGGACTATGGAAGAACTTTAATATGATTGATTTAGCTACACCTGATGCATTCTATATTGATCCTGGATTAGTATGGCAATTCTATTCATGGAGAAGATATACTGCACTCAAAGCTAAGCCCAACAAGGGACATTATGCCCTTGCCAAATTATCACAAATGGGGAAAAGTCCTCAATCCGATCTAACATACATTACCATAACTCAGAATGTCGACGGGCTACTGAGTAGAAGTGGTCATTGCAAAGAAAACTTATACGAAATACATGGGTCTTTATTCGATCTAAAATGCACAAGTTTTATGTGTAATTTTGTTGATCATAACAACTTTAAACAACCATTGACAAAAGCTTTAGCCGATACCGAAGAAGAATTTGATCCATCTCATAATCGAAAACGACTGCTTGACGAACAAGAAGTATCAATATCTCCTCAATTTAACCCAGTAAAGACCTTATCTGAAAAAGAACTTCCTCAATGTCCAGTATGCAAAGATGGATCGTTATTGAGACCTGGTGTTGTGTGGTTTGGTGAGTCACTTCCTTTGAGTTTGATAACCAAAGTTGATAATTTTATTGAGCTGGAAGGGAGTCCAGTCGATCTAATTCTTGTTATTGGAACAAGTGGGACTGTATATCCCGCCAATAGCTATGTTGATCGAGTGAAATTGAAAGGGGGGAAGGTGGCGATATTTAATACTGATATAGAGAATGATATAGTCGTAGGGAAAGTCAAGGATACTTGGGGATTCAAAGGTGATGCGGCAGAACTTCTTCCTTTGGCATTGAAACCATTGATTGGTGAGATATAGTATTGTTTATAGAGGTTGTAAATGCTTACAAAAGAGTGTTGCAAAAAAAAAATATATAGAGTACACATTTATTAACTTAATTATTCTAGGTAAAAGATACAACAAACGCAAAAACTCCGAGTTAAAAATGAAGCATCTAAATTGAACATCCCATGTAAACCAAAACAAATTAAAAAGAAGAATTGAAATAAAAACCAATTTATCACACTAAAAAGATAACATTAAATGAAAGACCCAGGTAAGAAGTAGAATATAAAGATGAATGTCCAATGAATTGTTTATACTGAGAACGATTCTGATAAAGGATCAAAATAATTCTCCTTGTTGTCTGAAACGTCGTTTGCGAATCTGTTGTAGTTGCCAAATAAAGATTCCACCACAAAGACTTCTTCGTTAAGTTTTTGATCTATAGTTGTAGTTTCAATAAAACTGTTATTGTCAAGCACTAGCAGAGTGCTATCAAACGATTCCGTTCTCTTCTGTCTTTGCTGTTGCTGACTTGGAGAAACAACATGCATTATTGGTTTATAGAATGGGTTACCCACTGACTTAGATCTCTTCTTGGTAGTTGGTGGTGGAAGTGGTGGTGGTGGCGCAATTGGGGCGGGAGGGGAAGATTTTGAGCCACTTAGGAAATTTGAAGATGTGGATTTTTGAAAACGACCAAGGGTATCAATGGATGCAATAGTAACAGATGGCTTAAGTGGGGGCTTTAAAATAGGGGAAGTATTTGCACTTTTGCTTACTTTAAACTTGGTGTTATTAGTGGTACAGTAATTGTATGAGAAAATGTCGCAGCCAATACTGTTATTCCTTGATCTAGATTTTCTCCTCGAGGCGGATTTTTTTATGGTGGAGGGACAATTTGATGTGGGCGGTGAGGACAATGGAGAATCATCCTGTTCAATCAAAGGTGGTATTCCAGGTAATATTTTGCTTTCTAATAATGGGGAAGCTAAAGATAATTGTTTGGAATGACAACGTGAATGGGAGGGTGAAGATAATGCGGACGGCGCGATAGTTTCGCAGTTTGTCCATGTAGGCGCAAGCAAAGAATCGAGATCATAGTTTAGATCCAATTCTGGAAGAACGAACAAGGAAGAGTCCTTGAAGTCAGCTGGAGGAGGAAGTATAGGACAATAAGACTCTATTAGCGAGATATCGAACTCTCCCAATGGGTCCTCAGGAGCATTCATGGTTTTGAAGTTTTTATAAATGCAGTGCGAATATGGGGGTAAGCAGGGCTAAAGAAGCCAATAGTTTTGATTTTTGCCTGTGCGACGGGCTATATATCTGTATTTATAACCTTGTATACTGGTATGTTGCTTTCTTCCAGTACCGATTTCGAATTTCAAAAACAACAAAGCCAATTTCAACCAAATATAGCAAACTTACAACTGTTTATGGGCAGATATAAAAAAATGACCTGGCGTTTCAATCGAATGATATTTCCTTACCGTCGTCAACCTCACAACCAGTCTAAAAAAAGATCAAGATCTAATGGAGTACACAACGCGGGATCACAAAAAATTTTTAGGGAAACAACAACAATAAAGAACTAGATTGGTTTTGTCAAACAATGGAAATTGAATCTATTTCCAATCCGAGATATCAATTGTATTTATATGGGGGGGGGGGGAAGTTAAATTAATAAAAAATAATGCCCGAGGAAAGGAGATGGAGACAAGGAATCGGAATATTAATATTTTTTAAGAATTTATTTTTTTTTCCTAAAGAAATGATTGCAAAAGCTAATTTACTACTACATTTATATGAAGTAGATCCGGTTGCTTTTATCTAGAAAAAGAGAAAAGATACAACCTCCAAGCAAAAACAGTAATATACGATGCGCTTCATAACTTTAGGTAGGATATGCAGAGGTAATTCGAATTGTTCCAGATTTAGTAATACATGTGGGGAGAGATTAAGGTTAACGGTTGGTTTAACTGGTCCTCGAGAGTTTTGAGCAATGATAAGGTTAATTATTAGACTTATTAATCTTTTCTTTTTTATATATCTAAACTAAAAAGAAAAAAAACAAGGTTTTCTACTCATCAAACTGGCCACTTCTTGCCATATGGCGTGGCAAAATTTTTATGTAATCTTGGCGTGGAGAATTCAGTAGATTTTGTTGTACATCTGCACAGATCAGAAATTAAAAGAAAACTAGTTTATAATGATTTAATATTGTGAATTAAATAAAATGGAGTTTACTATTTAAGTTAAGTCGATGTCAATTCTACCGTTTACACATTCGGATCATGCAGTTTACATCAAAGGCTTGAAATGATAATGACGCGTTATGATCCAAAATTTCAAATAACCCCTCCTTGTTGTATTTGAAAATTTTGACAAGTTCGAGACTTTTTTTTAAGAAAACAAGTTTTAGCAATTGTGCATTAAAGAAAGAAATAAGCATCTCTGATGCAATAGAGAGTACCAAGAAGTTTAGAAGTACCAATTTGCGGCCAGGCAAATATTCCACAAGACTAAAATAAAGCTTTTGCCAACCGTTTTAAGTATATGTTTTGATGATTAGATCACTAAATCTACCCGAGACTTATTTTCTACATTGTTATTACATTTACGGAATCTATTATGATCTTCTCCAAAATTCAAAACAAATGGTATTGATATTATTTAACCTAACCCAAAGGCAGGTCATTGCCCTGTGTGCTTTATTTAGAAAAAAAAAATTGGGCCACGAATATCCCTTTCTCCCCCACAACCACAACAGGAGAAAAACAAAATAATAAACAAAAAAAATGCAACACGCCAACCAAGAGCTATGCCAAGTCAGATCAAAAGTTTTAAGTGATTGTTTCCTTTTGCTGTGTTGTGCATTACTTTGCTGACAACCTGGCAAATTCAGTCCTATCCTAATCAAGAAATTTTGTGCGAACAAAGGCAGTCCAAGATAAAGAGCACATCTAATTTCCCCTCCACAGTAGCAACACAAAACAGACAATGGTAGCAGATCGAAAATAACTCTAAAATAATACAGATCAATCACGTAAAGTTATGAGCCCCCCTCAGACCGCGGCCTTTCCCGGAGTGGCTTACAGTGTAACATATCAACCATTGATACACAAACAATAGTCATTTCTAACTAAACCATGATACTAAGTGGTGCTAACCCTCGAAAGTTTAGATTTTGGCGGAAAATTAAGATGATGGTCCGATCTGAATGACGTCAAAACTCTAAGATTATATTTGTTGATGGTTACATTTGCCGGAAGCTTAATGGGTAGCCGAAATTCTTGGTTGCAACTATATCCTATAGTAGTGTGCACTTTTTTGTAATTACTGTATTGTTCAGGGCTCCGGCACAAATGTAAGGTTTTTTTTAAAATAATTCTATAACCTTCCGGCGGGGGCTAGTGCTTATTGTACATATTTGTACTTAAAACGGCAATTACATGCATACATGGATCGATAGAAGGCAATTTCAAATCTTGATGGTGATTCTATTCTTTACAAGATATGCCACACCCAGTCGCCACTTCAACACGTGTAATATAAGTGGTTGTCTTTTGCCGCCTTGGTAGAGAAAAAAAAATTTTTTGGTGTATTGACAACGGGTCTCAGTATTTTCTGAGAAGTAAATAATATTCTGCCGCGCCTCAACACCCATTATATTTGGGTGACAATGTACAGCAACTTTGAAATTATTCTATTTTCTATTTATTACACGTTTACGAGTTTTTATGTAGTTCATACTGTTATCTATCTCATGTTACGACTTGCCAGAGAAATATTCTCCGCACCGAATACTTTGCTTAGGCGTAACTCCACTAAAAACCTAATCAGTCAAGATTTCTCTTTAATATATAGATATTCTTATTGACTCAGCATTGTCTTGTCATGGCTAATATCAAGAGTTCTCGGTAGTAATGTCTCTTCGATACTTTAACACCTAAGAACGTAATAATTCATCATCAACTTCATCTTGGGTTACTCTTTGTGGGATTGTTGTTCTTTCTGGTGGTAAACCTACTTCTAAATTCGCATCAAGCAATATTTGATTCTTCAACCATAATCGCCTTTTCTGTTTAATGCTATTAGCTAATTGGTTTGAAACCAATTTATTAATCTTGCTTGCAGTATTAAACTGATTCAATAATTTCTCATGCAACTGTTTTAATGTGCTTATATCTTCAACTTCGTCTATATCTTGATCTTGCAAGCTGTATGACAGTGACATCATCTTGGAACTGGTTGACAAATATTCATGGATTGGATTACTTGATATTTCCGGAATTGGCTTATTTGGATTATCAAATTGCTGTTGTTTCTTGATAATGTTCACAATGGCATTGTTGTCGTCATGGCTACTGATGAGTTCTTCGTCATCCTCTTGTTCCTCTGTGATAATATAATGCTTATATCTAGAAGTAGCAACTTTATATTGTTTAAAGTCCACGGGTATTTGATCAAGTGTTGATAATTTTACCGATTGAGGGTTATTTGAATCCGATTGTTTCAAAGCACTCACAAATGTATTGGTGAACCACCAGGGACTTTTCAAATCATAATCATTTTCAATAACTCGAAGATAGTCATCTTCATTCATATCTTCCACATTTAATCCAATATCCAAGTATCCCTTTTTAACTTTCTCTTTCACATTATTTAATTGATCTTTAATACTATGTAAATCATGAACACCTTTAACATGTTTGGTCAACGCATCCGAACGAGTGAAATGTTTTTCACATTCTGGAATAGGACAAAAGTATGGCTTTTCGCCGGTGTGGGTTCGACAATGGGAGATTAAAGCAAAACGTGATGGTTGCTCTATACCAAATCTAGGACAGTTTTCCCATTGGCATGTATATCTGATAGGAGTATTAGGGGATAAATGTGCCATTTGAGTCAAATGTTTGGTATTAAGATGATTTACGAGTGTGGTTAGACTAGGATAGGGTTTAACATCACAACCAACCCATTTGCATGCGTATAATTCTGATGGTGTGTTGTTTGTAGCTGGTAATGGTTGGGAGTTTGCTGAAGGCGCATCAGGTTGAGTTTGTGCTGTGACTATATTTTCAGCACTTGCCCTTGTCTGTTCTGCAATGTATGGTTGGATTGATGATGTCTCTGCCATTTTAGTTGAGTGCTTATGTTGCTTGTTAGATAGAGTGTAAGCGGGTAAGTTTGTAGGAATGTCTCGTGTTGAGAATTATGCATTTTTCAATGTTCTATCTGCAGGACAAAAAAAAGACTACTATTTGAACAGATTTATAAAGTTATTTACAATTTTCTAGATATTAAATTAAACTAAATCTTCATCTAATCTTGCAGCTGGGTTTGATTCAACAAAGTCCAAAGACACTTTATGACCCAATAATTCTCTAATGTTTGAAACACCATACTTAATCATAGTTGGTCTTTCTAAGGAAAGACCCCAACCCAAAACTCTCAAATTCTTTGGCAAGCCCATAGTTTCCAACATTTCTGGTCTGAACATACCGGAATTACCAATTTCAACCCATTTCCCTAATCCCTTGTGATATGCAAAAATTTCCAAAGAAGGTTCAGTATATGGATTATAAGCAGCTTTAAATCTCAATCCATTAACACCCATCTTACCAAAGAAATCTTCCATGAAACCAATCAAATCACCTAAAGTGATATCATAACCGGCAATAACACCTTCAACTTGGTGGAATTCAGCCAAATGGGTAGCATCAACGGCTTCATTTCTGAAAACACGGTCAATAGAGAATAATCTAATTGGCTTAGGGTCCTTGGCTAATTGATATAACATAGCGGATGAAATGGCAGTAGTGTGTGTTCTTAATACCATTCTTAAAGATTCTTCACCTTTCCATGGATATCTATATCCAATAGAACCATATTTCCCGCTTTCGTGAACTTGTCTAGTACGGTCCCAGTATTCTTTATCTTCAGGTAAACCGGCTTCAACAGGATCTTTCAAATAGAAAGTATCTTGCAAATCTCTGGCTGGATGTTGTTGAGGAACGAATAAAGTATCGAAATTCCAGAAACCAGATTCAACGTATTGGTTTGATGGCATTTCAGTGAATCCCATAGAGAAGAAAATTTGTCTAAATTCTTCTCTGACTTTATTAAGAGGATGCAATGCACCGGATGGTGGGTATACACCCTCGGAGTTGAAATTATATGGCTTGAATTCGGCGTCTTTCCAGGTGTTGTTAACAATCATATCGGAAGTAATATCAGTTTCTAAGGAAACAATTTCAAGAGCAAACTTTGGACCCTTTTCCACTTTGTATCCAACAATCTTGTTCATGATAATTAATTTTCTCTTTTTCAATTCAGTTAATTCCTTCTTGTCGTCGAGAGTACCAGTTTTGTCAATAGTTTGCAAGAACTCTAAGACGGTGTCTTTAGGTAATTCCTTAACATTAGAAATCAAAACATCACCTTTCTTACTCAACCATTTATTTTTGAAGGCTTTACCTTGACCAACAGCTCCAATTGGACCTAATTTAGTTTTTAATTCTGAAATGGTTAAGCCTTCCAAAGCCTTTAAAACTTCATCAACCACTTGAACTTCAGGAGTAGCGCCTGATTTAAGGTATGATTGGGCTTCTTCAGTTAAAGTCCACTTTTCAACTTCAATTTTGGAGAACACAATCATTTCCTTGGCCCAAAGGGAAGTCAAATTTGAATGTAAAGTATTAGCATCTATTTTAGACAATTCGGCAACATTAAGAGTGTTTTCAATAACTCCACTATTGCTATCGACTAATTTCAATAACTGTAATTGTAAATCAGACATTTTGATATTGATGATCTAGATGTCTATGTCTATAAGGGGATATGATGGTGGTGACAGTGCTTGACGGTTCTACTTACAACACATTATGACTATTTTTTTCACTTCTGCCAAAAAAAAATTCATATCCGTTCTGAAAATTACTGCGAATATATAAAACTAGCAGTAAAGCTCAGTATAGATCGGCCAATTTAAACACGTGATACTATTTCCTAAAACGGCTGGTATGGCTGATAATTTGTTTGCCATTCCCTCTCCTCTACCCCACTCCAATCTAACTACTAGTACTACTATTAGATCAATGTAAACATTAGGCTAAGTGAAGGCAATCGTAGGTTAGTGCTTTGCTAAACTTTCTTTTTTTTTTTCGGTTGCCATTGAGTTAGAAGCAAACATGTGCGGCTATATCGGTTAACGTATAACCTAATTGGGATGACAACAATGGTGAAATTTCAGAAGGGGGGAGGGTCGCGGGAGGCTGTGGAATAGCAAGCAATGACATGTTTAAATTCATAATTTGATATTTACAATCTTTGCTATTTAAAGAAACGTTTTCGTCCTTCATCGTCTTTTAGTTTACATTTTTTGCTATTAATCTATCATTTAATCAACAATGGCTGTAACTTGTTCAGACATATTTAAAATTATCGCTGCTGTCATCCTTCCACCATTGGGTGTGTTTTTAGAAAGAGGGTGTGTTGGCTCTTTCTTTCTTAATATATTATTGACAATTTTGGGATATATTCCAGGTATTATTCATGCGTTGTATATCATTCTAAAATATTAATGAGCCAATTGAATAGGTGAGTTGTGGATTACTGAATGCGTTTCTTGCTGCTATATTAGTTGTGTGCATACATCTAACCATTTATTTATTTATATATATTCAAACAGTTGATATAGTTGAAGAATTGTTATTTTAGCTATAATACACGTTGCTTGATCCCTTGTTTACAATTTTGTAGAATTTTGGAGATTATGTTGCAAAATTTATAATTTGCAGTAATAGAAGCCATGGTTACTGCATGTGTGATCGCTGTTGCAAAAATGAAAAGCGGAGTTCTGCAATTATATTCCATTTTGAACCTACATGAAGCTATGTAATTTCTTTCTTTTCTTGTGTCAACCTTTAGAATCAAGGTAAACAACACGGTACTATACAACGCGCACAATGATTTCCCTAATGGGAAATAACCCATTTAGCTTCAGACAAGGATTTCTACCTTTCCCCAAAAATTTCTTACTAGTCGAACAAAGGTTGCCTAAAATTAACAATGTTCAAATGCGAAGCTATCAAGGGACATTAATAGGGTTAGATAACCGATGTGTATGAATGTCATGATATAAATTTTGGTATTGATACATTAGCGAATTAACAAACGACAAAAAAAAATAAGCTAAAATGAAATGATATTTTGCATGTTACTACTTGTTATTGCATGTACTTCAGCAGCTCAACTCTTCACACAAAAGGAAATATGAAAACACTTCAAGCAAAAGCATATATTATGTGTATATAAATCCGATTTTTTTTAATGATAGAACATCAGCCCGAAGTCTTGGCAAATGATGTGTGGCAATAACAAAAGAGTGATTGTAAAATATTTTTAGTTTTATATACCACAGAACGCGGTGACCTCTTCAAAGAAACATTATTGTTAACTTTAAGCTAAAACGCGTATGATTAATACTCGTAGAACATTTGTTAATTTGGGGTAATGTATGGCGGTTGAGATAACGATTTTTTTTTTCTTTTTTGAGCCATCTGGCGGGTCTGAGGCGCATAAACTGTAAAAAGTTTAAGGCCCACTTTGTTATGATCCCGCTCGAGTAGGAGGAACTGTACCCCTGATACCACTAAATTAAGGTTTTTTTTTTACCCATAATCAGATGCAATTTGCAACAAGAACTTGGATATTCCGCTAAAACCGATAAAACGTCAATACTAGATCGGCTAAATTATTGTGTGACCTAGCAGCGGCTGATGGGATTATTTCATTCGCATGCAGTGTTTAAATCCTGTTTCAGCTATATTATTGTGTTAGGCTACACAGACATCGAACCACAGTTTAAATTAGCTCTAAAATTGTTGATACCACAAGAACATATTTCCATCCCCTCTCGGTTCTTTGTTTGGGTAATTAAAATGTATTAAGAAGCAATTTTGCAGATTAGAATTTTCTATTGTTTTATGAAAATTTCACCAACACCGATGAAATTAGATCACACGACGCGATTGTACATACTTTAAGACAAAGACCACCAGTCGTAGGTCATCTCTCATCTGTAGATTGATTTCTTTTTATGCAACTATTTGTCTAACATCATTCAAGTGGTCTTGAAATCTCAGGCAACGCCGGCAAACGTTACTATATTCATTCACGCCGCCAGTCAGGAACATGTAAAACGGGGCAAAAAAAATTTGAGGAAAATGCAGGTTATGATTATTTTATATGCAACATTGATAGCGAACAATATGGTGCAATTGCTTTTTTTCTCGCCCTGCAGCTATTTTTAACAGTTTAGGCAGAATATTTTTTTTATCATTCTATCTTTTTGACATTTAAAAAAAATTTTTTTTTGGGTTAGATTAGATCCTAATTGTATTTTAAACACACAGTTGCCGTTTTTTTTGTTCATGGCTTGATTTGAAAAGCCTTAGTGATTTTTAACAACACATCAAAGCTTTCGTCCAATACTGACACCAGCAGAACAAGTGTTGCCTGACTTACACACATTTAGTATTAATTACTACCAAACTTCATTTCGACTAAATATAGTATTACCGTATTTTTCTGGAGAATACCCTTGACGAGCAAAAGGCAACCATTACAACCTTACAACCGTACATAGCCACCTTTCGTTTGCCTGCTTTCCAATCATATTAGTTCAACTCAGTCATTCGTTATACACCTACCCAAAACACTATTGCATTAATTTCTACCTCCACTTGCATACTTCTTACATTACAATATGGCAAATCTATCAATGGCCAAGAGGTTTGTGCTGCCGAAAATTCTTAAATTTATTGTTGCTATCGTTGCAATAATAAATATATTTTACATAACTGCATTATTACTAGATGGTAATACCCTGAAGAAACTCACAGATAAATTCAAGAGTAACTGGGATAACTTGTCATCAGGTTCAGTGTCAATACTGAACAAAGCAACACAAAGTAATTCCAAACAAAATAAAGAGTTGCCTAAAGTTCAAACTGTGGACGAGAAGGTAGATCTGTCAATAACACGGGAATTATACCCAGTACCTGATAAGCCATATGAGAAATTATCAGACCACGACAAGATTCTTTACAAGCTCAACGAAGTTACTAAAGACAAGTCCAAATATTGGTTAGGGCACACTGAATTAACCGATTATGAATTACAAATCAGGGTCAAGGATTTCTTACCTGAAAATTGGGTCAACAAACCAACTTTATTTTATGATCCAAGATTCACACTTTCGGTATACCTTTCAGAAATCAAGCATCAATATTTAAAGAAGAACCCCGAAAATGTGCGTGGTAAGTCACACGAAATCGTGGTTCCATTCAGCTGGTCAGATTGGGTTGATTTAACCATGTTAAATGACGAATTATTAAAACCTGAACATGAACGTAAGAATTGTGAATATATGAAGGCAGTACATCATATTCCTGCCAAAGATCCAAATTATTGTATTAATAACCAAGATATTTCTCAACAAGACTTGGAAGAAATGAACCTACCATCAACCGACTATATTCCTGGGTTTGCAGTAAAGAAATCTCCAACTAATAAGGCTTCGAATGAAGTTAGAATGTGGGAAGGAAAATCACATTTATTGACGTATGCTGCTAATCCTTTAGCAATCATCTTTTTAAGTAAGGATGGTGTCTATGAAGCTCAAATTGATGGAAAGCAGCGAATCGTCGATGGTGAATTGTTTACAAATTACTTGAAGAATAACAAGATTGCGAAAACTCAAGATGAATCAGCTACTTTAATTCTTAACCCAGTTAATGAATTCAATTCTTTACTTGAATATGTTGCTCCAAATCCATTAGATCCGGAAGAAGATGAATATGGTATGGTTGCCATGATTAAGCAAACTGATCCTACTAAGCCTCGAGACTTGTATCTTCCAGAATCTGCATTCAATTACCAACAAGATAAAATTGATGTGCAAATTGCTCAATATGAATCAAGAATGAGTCAATTACGGGATTTAACAACAAATGAACTTTCCTATGACCAAAGTAAAATTAATGCCATTAGATTCACCAGAAATGAAAAAATCTATTTCGATGGATTGAAGTTTGCCAACAAATATCAATTAAATAATGAACCAACATATTTCAGAATGGCTAGATTAAATTTCGGCAATGAAGAAAATGAAAGTGATGCTGGTTGGCATTATGAGTGGAGATTCTTCAATGGAGCCTTGAGATACTTAAAGAAAGGATGGAACCAAGAAGAATTATTGATTAGAGAAAAGGTTCTTCTTGATAGAATTCTTCGTAATTGGTTCAGATTTGCCAATGAAAAGGGTATAGTCTCCTGGATTTCTCATGGTCCATTATTAAGTTGGTATTGGGATGGGTTACTTTTCCCATTCGATGAAGATATTGATATTCAAATGCCAGCAGAAGAATTGTCTAGATTTTCTAAATTATATAATCAAACTTTGGTTGTTGAAGATATCACTGAAGGTTTTGGGAAATATTTTATTGATTGTTCGACTTTTATTCACCATCGTGGTAAGTCTTATAAGGAAAATCATATTGATGCAAGATTTATTGATATTGACACTGGTTCATATATTGATATTACCGGGTTAGGTATTTCTGATGAGAAGTACCCTGATAAATATAAAGAGTTGGTGGAAAGTGCAGAACGTGAAGGAAGAGCTAAACCAGTTTATAACTGTCGTAACTTGCATTTCTATTCTTATGATGAATTATCACCATTAAGATTCACTATGATGGGAGGTGTTCCATTGTATGTTCCTAATAGAATTGAAGATATCTTAAATGACGAATATTCCAAGGGTCTTACAAGTTATGAATATGGAGGATTTTATTTTGTTGATGCTATAAACCTTTGGATTCATCATTCTAAATTAGAATTTTTGTTCCCGTATGAAACATTCAAAACTAGCGATGGTAAAATTAATGAACTTAGATTTACTCAATTAGTTCAAGGTATTGGGGAAAAAGAAGTTGTCAAGCTTTTAGAAAACGACGAAGATATATTGTTAGAGTATTACTTGACTAAGAATGTCACTGATATTCATAAGGAAGAATTGACATATTTATTTAACACCCCAAATGGTTCCAATACAAAATTAAAAGATGTCGGACATCAAAAGACCAATGGAGAAATTGCGGACGACAAGGAATATCATAAGTTTACATCAAAATTTAAATTCCAAAAACCTTTCAGAAGACCATTATTTAATTATGAAATGATAGATAAACCAAGACATCACCAAGAGTAGTTAATATCCATAGAGTTATTTATAGAAATATCATCACAATCCATAACATTTAATTTTTAAAAGAAATAAAAGATCCGAAATTAGGCTACTAATCCGATCGTGTGATGTTTTGCCGTAATTTTAAGGGAGCAACTACGTAATAATTAAGTCTTCTATCTGTGTCAGATCTTATCAGAATCTCATCGCGTGCTAGTTCGAGCGCGGAACAGTTGCCTTCTTTCTAGCCAGTAAGAACCCTTGAATCAATAGCAAGGGGGTCAAACCAGAAAAAATATTTTATTTTTTTGTATTGTTATATAATAATGCACTATTTTAGACATAAATACTTTTGCAGTTTATGCAAGTTTCTTTTTCTGCCAGAATAATTTTTTAGGTGTCAGATCCTGTGTTTATTTTTACAATTCTTTTTATTAACCACACGACATTTATTATTTCTATATGAAACTTCGGTTCTGGCACAAGCAACCCTTGACTATTTTTAGGCAGAAAGCAAAAAAAAAAAGGGATCCCCTTGACAACTTCTCTTTACCGTTCATCAGACCATATCTACCTTTACCCTGACTGACCCTTGGAATTTTATAGATCCTAGATATCATCTCAGAACAGTCGCTTAATAAATTACGATTATTTTCGTCACTGCTTTTTTTTTATTTACTGATAACAGTCACACGAATATAAGATTTACCAACTGTGGTGTAAGATGATCGATACCAAGTTAGTAAGGAACGTCTTTTTGGCGGTTCTTTTTATAAATGTGGTGTATTTTGTGCGCGTATACCAACAAGAAGAGATCAAGACAAAACATTTAGCATTATCCCATATATCGTCAATTAACTATGCCACTGACAATCAAGTTGAATTTGATCCCAAGAAACCGTATCATATGTTAAATACAAAGGAGAAAATTTCATATTTACTCGATAAGGTTAGCAAGAACCAAAATAATCACTATTGGTTAGCTAATACCAAGATTCAACATTCTAAATTAAAAATTAATCCTCGTGATTTTTTGACTCCAGAAGATGATTCTCTCAAGACATGGCAAAATAAACCTGACTTGTTTTATGATCCAAGATTTACCTTGACTGTTTATCTTGACGAGTTAAAAACCCAATTGAAAGCACATAATCCAAAGAATGAAAAGACCAAGGATCATTTGATTAAAATGCCTTTCAGTTGGGCTGACTGGGTCGACTTGACCATGTTGAATGAAGAATTAACCAAGCCAAACGACCAGAAATTAAACTGTGAATGGTTGCAATCTAATATTAACAAACCTACCAAGTATCCTGACTTCTGTAAGAACTTAATGGAGTTGTCTGACGAAGAAGTTGAAGAAATTGGCTTGAGTAGAGATATGTTGCCAGGATTCATTGTCAAGACTTCTCCTATGAATAAAGCTCCACACAAGCCAGTTATGTTACAAGGTAAAGCTCATTTATTAGCTCAACAAGAAAATCCATTAAGTATTATCTTTTTGACTAAAGATGGTACTTATGAAACTCAAGTTTCAAATAAGCGTCAAAGAATTGTTCATACTGATATGTTTGAAAATTATCTTGATAGAAGAGGTATTAATGCCAATCATATTGAAGATACCCCTGAAATTGAATTAAGCCCTAGTACAGCTTTCAAATCATTACAAAAGACTGTAAAAGCCCGTCCCTTGGATTTACATGACGACATTTATAAGATGAGACAAATTACCAGACAAAAGCAAGTTAATGCATCTCGTGAACTTTATCTTGATAAGGAATCATTTAACTACAAACAAGAACAAGTCGATGATCAAATTCAAGAATACGAAATCAGATTGTCCTTAGTTGAAGAAGCAATGACCAATGAACTCAAATATAATCCAAAAGTAATCCAAGAGAACAAGCTTAATCGTCATGAATTAAATCATTATAATGGTTTAAAATACGCAAACTCGCTTGCCGTTGAAAATGAACCAACCTATTATAAACTTGCTACTTTAAAGAAGGATAAGGATAATCAAGATGCAGGTTGGCATTATGAATGGAGATTTTTCAACGGTGCTTTACGTTATTTGAAAGATGAATCATGGACCGTTTCACAATTAGAAATTAGAGAACAAATTATTTTGGATCGTCTTTTAAGGAATTGGTTTAGATTTGCTGAAGAGAAGGGGATTATTTCATGGATTGCTCATGGTCCTTTGTTGAGTTGGTACTGGAATGGATTGATGTTCCCTTACGATATCGATATTGATATTCAAATGCCAAGTAGCGAGTTAAACCGTCTTTCCAAGAATTATAACATGACTTTAGTTGTTGAAGATGTTACCGAAGGTTATGGGAAATTCCTCATTGATTGTTCTACATTCCTACATCATCGTGATATGGCTACCAAAGATAACCATATTGATGCCAGATTTATTGATGTGGATACTGGTACATATATTGATATTACTGGTATTGGTAAAAACAACGAAACTCCTCCACCTGAATACGATAGCTATATTAAATCAAAGAACCAAAAGGGAGAATCAGTTGAATTATATATGGATAGAAGAAAGCATTGGTTGAATTTTGAAAAAATCACTCCTTTAAGATATTCAATGATTAGTGGAGTTCCTGTTTACGTTCCTAATGATATTTTATCAATGTTAAATCATGAATATTCAGTTGGTACAAAGTCATATTACTTTGATGGGTACTACTATGTTCCTGTATTACGTCTTTGGTTACAAGAAGAGAGATTATTAGTATTATTCAAACCAGAACAATATGAATCAAGCTCTGATGATACAAGACACGAAAAGATAATTAACTTGATTAAGCAACTAGGTGAAGAGGAAAAGTTAAAATTACTTGAAAGCAACGAAGAAACATTGATGGAATACTATTTGACCCACAAATTTACAACTTTCCACGAAGTTGAAAAGAAATTCATGTTGGATCACTCATTACAACTGCTGATACAAGATTTATCAGGAAATTCAGAATATCATCAATTAACTTCTAAATTTAAAATGAGTAATAAACCAATGAGAAAATCATTGTATGATTACGAGTATTTTGAAAGATTTGAGCATATGGAAGACAAGACTGAAACTCCATTATAGTCATACCCTTTATAGAATTTTGCATATTATAAATAAGTCTGTGTATAAATATTAAATTTGCACTACAAGAGAAGCAATGAACTAGTAAAAGCGCGATTATAGATAGTTTGGCAAACAAATGTACTTTTATTATTTTTAAAAGAATCAAATATAAAGACAGACTATATAGTTTAAAATAAACTCTAGATTAAGGGATAAAACCCATACCATATTCTTGCAAAAGGGTCTGGACGTCAAAATTGGGATCAAAAGGTTCCAATGTTTTGACAACTCTTCCTGGAACACCAACGACAACAGAGTTTTCAGGAATATCCTTGTTGACAATGGCACCTGCAGCAATAACACATCCATCACCAATAGTGACACCTGGTAAAACTTGCAGCCCAGCACCTAACCATACATTGTTTCCAATTGCAACTGGCAAGGCATTTTCCAATCCATTAGCCCTTAATGTAGGATCAAGGGCATGTGTTGCAGTAGTGATGGTTACATTAGGCCCACACATCACATTATCCCCAATTTTAACAACCGAGGCATCTAAGATTGTCAAATTGTAGTTGCTGTAGAATCTTTTACCAAAGTAGGTATTGAAACCATAATCAAAGTGAACTGGATATTCAATTAAGATTTCTTCAGGAACATGCCCAATAAACTTAGCTAAATGTTCTCTTTTAGCAAATATATATTCCAAAAAGGAGTTGTAATCTCTGCGTCTAATCTTCTCGTAGTCTAAGATATAATCTCTAGCAAAGGTCCTAGCATCAGCTAATTCCTGATTGAAAAAGTTGTAACTATGTTAAATGTTAGTAGTGTAACAGATTACATCAATTCATAAAACGTACACTAATCCACTGATCATTCTTTCATAATTCTGATCACCATGTTCCAATGGAATATTTAATTTCTTGTAAGCAAATTCAACCAATTCCTTGTTGATTTCATCCTTCATGTTGGTTTGGTTGCAAAAGTCTTCTTTGGATTCGAATTTTGGCATTTTCAATATTGTTGTTTCTTAATGTGTTTGTATTTGTAGATGAAATCATGGAAAGTAAAGTCCAATTAGGTCATATTTATACCCCCTGGTTTACGGGGTCATGTAATTCAATGAAATCGGGGTTATACAGACGGAGTCTCAAATTACTAATCAATATACTGTCTCCTGCCAGAAGTAACGGGCCGCCAGCGAAAAAATATAGCTGCATCATTGCGTAAAATTCCAAAAAAAAAATTGGAGATTAACGCCCGAATTTTCGGAACGGAGTAATAATAAACAGGATTTTTACCATAAATCGTCTCGAATATACCTGAAGTTGTTAATTTTTAACTAGAGGATGATTAATTATACAAACGGATCGGACAAAAGACTAATTACACTGTCGTTCCGAAATCGGAATTATTATGCACGAAACGGAGTTTACGAAAAAACAATGAATGCTTACGTAATTCTTGAGAATAAATAAATTTGCAATCAGATGTTCCTAGTCATCAAAACATTGCAAAACAACACCCCCCCATCGGACTGATTACATCACTATCACAAGTTTTTGTGTGGCTAAGTACTCTTGATCATTCCATTTAGGTCACTTGAATCATTGGCATTTTGTCAACAGAACAAGGAAACAATACCATGCGTCATTCTCAGAATGTTCTAGAAATATAGCACAAGAATTCCAGAGAATTAAATGTGATTTATGCAATAGATAATCATAAATAAAGTAGATTAATTAGCTTTAGGAGTAAATATTTGGAGATAACTAATATCTACCTTCTGTGTGGAATTTTACAAAAAGAGGAAATTCACCACAAATCTGCACAATACCCGATTCCAATTTTCTTATTTGCATTCAATTGAAGTAAAGAAAAAGTGCCAAATTAGATTAATGCCGATTAAAAATTTTAGAGGACATTAAGAGAAAGTTCCAAATAAAATGTACCCAACTTCGGACTGATTAGACTGTATTTCATTATTCTTGACTATATCTTGATTTTGCCTTTTTGATATGTGTCAAATTTCTAGCAAGTTGGTAGCACCAAGATATCGCTGGGGTTCACGAAAAAAAAAATACTTGCTAGTAGAAAATGAGGCAAAATAACTACGATTTATTACACGAATAACAAGCAAGCAAAAAGATATAACAGGTTGTAGCCATGTATAGAACAATAAGGGTATCTTCTAGTATAATTGGAAGACCTAGCTCACTAATCCTAAGAAGAAACGCATATGTCCGCTATAAAAGATCAACAAGCACTGCACCATCATCAGCTATCAAGAGTAGTAGTACCTCATCATTTACCAAATCGTCACCTAAGACAGTGGTGAAATCAGCCGCTAGCCCAATTGAACAATCACAATTGTCAGAACCAATCAAGTCAGATCAACCCAATCTGATCGCAAAACCTAAGGACAAGCCTGATGTTTTCCAACTCCATGATGCCCCCTTGGATACTCCACTGCCTGTGACCAACACCGCTTCCCTGACTGCTGCACATGTCGATTGGTCTGACTCCTTCCATGGACTTGGTTCACAGCCATTTTCTCGTGAAATTATTGATATTTTATTGGCACCAATTGAGCCTCTGGATATTGAAATTAAACCTGATGGATTAATCTATCTTCCTGAAATTAAATATAGGCGGATTTTAAATAGAGCATTTGGACCCGGTGGTTGGGGCATGGCTCCAAGAAGTGAATCTATGGTATTACCAGGACAAATTAGTCGTGAATATGCATTGGTATGTCATGGTCGTTTAGTCAGTATTGCTCGAGGCGAACAAGATTATTTCGGAGGTCAAGAGAAAGTCACTACTGCTTTGGAAGGTTGTAAAAGTAATGCATTAATGAGGTGCTGTAAAGATTTGGGAATTGCTAGTGAATTATGGGATCCAAGCTTTATTAGAAAGTTTAAGCAAAAGTATTGTGATGAAGTATTTGCTGAACATGCTACCACTAAAAAGAAAAAGAAGTTATGGAAATTGAAGACAATAAAGGCTTTGGATTATCCTTATAAGATTGTTTAGAAACTTGTAAATATCTTGTGTAACATTAATTATGAAAAAATAAATCACATTCGTCAATATATAAGATGTATGTAATGTACAAAATGAGTTTAATTAAATACTTGACCCAAGATCCTATGGCTTGAAAATACCACGACCAACACCCAATTGCTCAACAGTATCACTCAAAGGTCTTCTTTGCCAAACTTCCCAGAATCCTTGCTTATGTTTAACTGGTTCAGCTTCAGTTTCTTTTTTGGTCTTGTATGAGAAGTCTTGACCGGCTGAACTAGTCCGTTGTGAAGCCAAGGCTCTATCTAAAATACCAATAGCAGAAGCAGCAGCCAAAGTACCAAAAAGTTGCTTTCTGAATGGTAATCCCCTTTCGAAAACTTGGTAAAGAGTAATAGAAGATGCAACCCCACCCCAGAATGAGTTCCATGAATCGTTTTTCTCTCTAATATTAGCAAGAGAATGATGAACACCAGTAATGATAGACAAACTGGTAACCACAGCCAAGGGACGTACAATATTGAATGTTGATCTTCTCCACATATACATGATAACATATGCACCGGTAACGGTGTAAAACCCAGTTCTAAACACCTTCCAGGTATCTCCTTTAGTATCTAATGGTTTAAATGCTGGGTACCCAGCTCCCGTACTGAAATTAGCAAGTGGAGCTTTAAGCTTGAATGTAGCATCTGGTAAATTAGGATCTTGTGCTGACATGATTATGCAATGGATTACTTGATCTTCCCCTTTAACTTTGGCAACATGAAGAGCATTTTTTTCAATAGCGTCTTTTTTTAACCCAATCAAAATTCTCATGTTTTTTCCTTACTAAACCCACACGTGATTTTCATCACGTGGAATATGCGACATTTTCTGTTGACATTCCCAAAAAATGTCGTAATTAATTTGATTCAAATCTTAGAAAATTTTTCGTTTTGTCAAAGAAAGGAGACTCTGTTTTAAGCAATTAGTCTAATATATCATAATCAAAACGCGCTATGAGTAAAGCTTTAACATTCACCGCCATCGCTGCTACTGCTGTTATCGGATATGCCGTCTATTTCGATTACAAGCGTAGAAACTCATCAGACTTTAGAAAGGCATTAAAGAAGAGAGCAAGTAAACAACAAAAGTTGAAACAAAAGAAGGAAGCTGAAACCAAACAAATTAAATTAGAATCTGTCAAGACTGCATTAATTGCTGACTTACAAGCTAACCCAATACCAACTGATTTGTCGGAAAGAGAAGCATTCTTTATGGAACAAGTTGCTACTGGTGAACAAAAGACTAAGGAAGATCCTATTGCCGCCGCTATCTGTTTCTACAAAGCTTTAGCTGTTTACCCTAACCCAACTGATATCTTGGGTATTTATCAAAAGACCGTTCCTGAAGATGTTTATGAATTGGTTGTTATGATGATTGCTGTTTACCCACCAGCATCAGTTTCCAATATTTTAAATAAGGGCCCAGCCGCTGCTGCTGCCGCTGCTGCTCCAGCAGAAGAAGATTTGGATTAAACCATCAGCGTTACGAATAACTTAGAATGATTAATTATTTGCCAAAGTGAAGACTAGAGAATTCGCTTATTTTATTTTATTTTATTGCTTTCTTTGATGTATTACGTCCCATGTATTGTATATAGATATTATTACACGTATTACCGGCATGCTTAAGAGCAAAGTATAAGAAGTAGATATGTGTATACAGTCGAAGGTGAGGAGTTATTTCAACATTTCTTGATTTTAGGATACTACTATTTATAGCCGAAACACGTCAAGAGACATAAAATTTCCAGTGCGGCTTTGTGTTGCCAAGTTTTTACACACAGAGCAGTTACATGTGGTTGGGCTTAAACCGTTGCATTCTCCTTGTTCATTGTAGCATAAACTGACCATCACTCGCTCATTTCTAGATATCAGACATCATGCTTTTGTATCTTCGTTTGTTAGTATTGACTACCTGGGTAGTACAAGTTCTTGCAAATAATTCAACTGCTTTCCAATACAAGGGTATTAGTATTGGTGGTTGGTTAGTTCTAGAACCGTACATTACGCCAACTTTATTTAAAGATTCTCTTAATCCAGGAGAATCTGAAGACGATATCCCCGTGGATGAATATCATTACTGCAAGAAATTAGGTAAAGAGGAAGCCGAACGCAGATTGAATCAACATTGGAGTGAATTCTACAATGAGACTGATTTCCAGTTGATTAAGCAAGCTGGGTTGAATATGGTGAGAATTCCTATTGGATATTGGTCATTCGAAATGATGGATAAAGATCCCTATGTATCGGGTGCTCAGGACTATTTGGATAAAGCTATTGAATGGAGTAAACAAAATGATTTGAAAGTATTAATTGACTTGCACGGGGCTCCTAATACCCAAAATGGATTTGATAATTCTGGATTAAGAAATATTGGGTATCCAGGTTGGCAAAACAAGACAGAATATGTTGATTTGACAGTCAAGATCTTGAAACAAATTTATAACAAGTATGGGACTGGTGAATTTGCTGAGAAGTATAATGATACCATTATCGGTATTGAAGTTTTGAATGAGCCTTATGGACCTGCATTATCTATGAACAAATTGAAACTGTTTTATATTGATACTTATAATGATGCTAGAAATATTCAAAATTTCACGAATTCGATCATGTTCCATGATGCATTCCAAGGTATTGGTGACTGGGATGACTTTTTATCCAGGGGTAAAGTACAGGTTGTATTCAATAACGGTACGCGTAATATTACCGTCACTAAATCTGCCAAATTCAATAATGTTGTTTTAGATCATCATCATTATGAAGTTTTCGCTGACTCTGTGCATCTGAATATTACAACTCATTTACAGAATATTAAGGATTATGCAGGATCTATTAAAAAGGAAAAGAACGGGGCAATTGTTGGTGAATGGTCGGCTGCATTGACCGACTGTGCCATGTGGTTAAATGGTATTGGATTAGGAACTAGATTTGAGGACACTGCTCCATATGGAAACAAAACTAGTAATGGACAATGTGCTAAATGGACCGATGCAAAGAAATGGTCAAAACAACAAAAGAAGGATTATAGGAGATTTATAGAGATGCAATTATACGAGTACGGGATCAATACTCAAGGATGGATATTTTGGTGTTGGAAGACTGAATCGGCTACGGAATGGGATTTCCAAGCTTTGGTAAAGTACGATATCATGCCACAACCATTGGATAATTATAAATATGTTAAGAATGGAGTTGACGTAAGTGGTAGTACAAAGTTTGGATTGAATTGGGTTTTACTTATTTCTATGTTAGTAGTATTTTTATAGACTATATACAAATTTACCATCCAATTTCAGATAATCTTTCGTTTGTCTTTATGGTTCCAATGGCAATTCCTCCCATTAAATCACCCAAATCAGTGGAATATTCTAATAATTTCTTTGGATCATTGTAATGAGTGGTTGCATTTACAATAGCCCTTGCTAATTTTTCAGGGTTGGAAGATTTGAAGATACCGGAACCGACAAAAATACCTTCACAACCTAATTGCATCAATAATGCAGCATCTGCAGGTGTTGCAACACCACCGGCTGCAAAATTAACCACAGGGAGTTTTCCTAATTCTTTGACTTCCTTCACTAATGATACTGGAACTCTGTATTTCTTAGCAAGGGCTTCAATTTCAACTTCACTAGTTAAATTCTGCAATTCTTCAATTTCTTGTCTAATTTGAGAAATGTGCTTAACTGCTTCAGAAACATCACCGGTTCCTGCTTCACCTTTAGTTCTAATCATGGCAGCACCTTCGTTGATTCTTCTTAAAGCTTCACCTAAATCTTTAGCACCACATACAAAAGGAACTTTGAAATTGTTCTTTTTAATGTGCAATTGTTTATCAGCTGGAGTTAAAACTTCACTTTCATCTATGTAATCCACTTCCAATGCTTCTAAAATTTGAGCTTCGGCAAAATGACCAACTCTACATTTAGCCATGACTAAAATTATTAGTAAATTTTTCAGTTTTGTGATAAGTGTTCAATTACATACCTGGGATAGAAACAGCTTCTATAATTTCTTTAATCATTTTTGGATCGGACATTCTGCAAACTTGACCTGATTTTCTCATGTCAGCTGGAATCTTTTCCAATGCCATAACAGCACATGCACCTGCCCGTTCAGCAATCTTGGCTTGTTCAGCAGTGACAACATCCATGATGACACCACCTTTAAGCATTTGAGCCAAACCGGCATTGATTTTAAATTGAGACAGAGACAGAGCCATTGTTATTATTATTGTTGTTTTTGTTGTTGTTGATTGATTCAATTGCAAAAAAAAGGCAGAACAAGAAAAAGAATAATGATGGATTGAAGGAATTATTTATAAGGGGCGAATTTCTTGGTCGTAACCAAAATTTTTCAGTGGGGAATTCGACTTGTTAGGGGAATTATGTGTGTAAAGGGAAAGTCGTCTAAAAATAAGGTTAGTCATACCGGGCTAGTGCGAGGTGCAATAAATTGACTTCTTCTGGAAGGGAATTACTCATCCTGGTCATGAAAAATGACTTCTCCAGTAAGTCAAGTGGGGCAATTAGACGTTTGGAATAAATTTCATCAACGTAACAGACTATGCTCTAACAGAGCCTTGTAGTTTTTCAATGTGATAAGCCCCAAGAAAAAAAACGGCCCATTGTTCTGGACCATTTTTGTGTACCAGATAACTAACACTATGAAGGAAATATTATTCTATTTTCTTGCACAATTACACCAAAAAGCCTCACAGCAAGTCTTGACCAATTACGTTTCATTTCTGGTTAGAATCAGAAATGAGTCAATTAAGGAAAATTTAGTATTTAATGAGTAATATTATTTCCATGTCTAGAATTGTTAGCGCTATTTCCCCTTTTTTTTTGAAGTGCGCTATCTTTTTACCAGAGTCAGATTTTAATGATAACAACAAAGTCATTACGTGAGGTTTCCCCTCTGAATATTTTTTTTTCATAACGCCCTTCAACTCTTTCTTAGCAATTGATAGATAAACATCAGCGCAGAACGGTAAAGCTTATTCCTTTTTTTTTAATTTCTTTTCTACTGATATAACTATGACAACTTCAAAATCAGTGGTAATTGGTGTTTTGGCACTACAGGGAGCATTTAGAGAGCACATTGCTTACTTCAACGAACTAATACAACAAAACCCCAATGACTATGCTGACTACGAATTTAACATCATTGAAGTAAAAACCAAAGAAGATCTCAGTCAATGTGACTCGTTGGTAATACCTGGTGGTGAGAGCACGTCAATTTCATACATTGCTGAACGTACTCACTTATTACCACATCTATATGAATTTATAGCGGATGAATCAAAAAGTGTATGGGGAACATGTGCAGGAATGATATTTTTATCACGACAACTACTCAATGGTAAGCTAAACCAAAAGATATTGGGTGGTCTTAATGTTGAGGTTAGTAGAAATGCATTTGGAAGACAATTGAATTCTTTTGAACAACCACTTGATTTTAGTTCGTTTATACCTGGTTGTACCAATTTTCCAACTGTGTTTATCCGAGCTCCTGTTGTTACCCGCATTTTATCCAATCCTGTACATAGCCAAGAAGAAGACCACCATAAACAAGGAGTAATCATGACTGAAAACCCTTATGTTAATAATGCGTCGGTCGAAGTATTGTACAGTTTAAAAAACTATGACAGTCAGGATCATGACTTGATCGTTGCTGTTAAACAAGGCCATATTTTGGGTATATCATTTCATCCAGAATTAGCTGGAGATTATAGTTTCCATAAATGGTTTATTGACGAGTTTGTATTAAAGAGGAAGGTACATAGTTAATTAATATAGAAATAAAAAAAAAATCAAATATCTACATTGTCTAACGTTGTTGATCAACTAAGTTGTCATGTCCACTATATATGACATCATACTTTTAGTATACCAGATGGTAGTGCGGCCCTCCAGTTTTTTTCGGGGTTAAAAAATTCTTCTATTTTTTTCTTACTAAAAAAACCACCTGAAAAAGGATCATAAAGGTGTGTTGCAAATAGAATCAATTGACACATTTTCTTCCATTCCTTCAATTGGCTAATTCGGCTAATCCATTCCTTTCTAATGTCTAATAATGTCAGCATGTTCAATTCAAACTCAAAGAACAACACCAGGCCTGGCCTCACAACAAGTGGTGGCCCCATAAATTCTAGTAGTACTTTTCCCACATCATCAGCATCCTCAACTAGATCTATCAAGCGACAAATGTCAGCAGCAAGCCATGCCACACTCACTATTGGATCTTCTAGAATATCATCAGGAACACAATCCAATTTCATGAATAGGAAAGTTGGCAGCACAATTACCGTTGGCCGACGAAATAATCATGATTTAGACAGCTTACATAAAGAAAGTCAACTAAGAGTAGGTACAACCCCTGCACACCCAGGAATCATTTCCAAATCATCGTCTACTAATGCTATTCCTTTAGATAAAGATGAAAATAAGTATCCCATCCAATTGACTGTTTGGTTTCATGAATTGCGTGCCAGTCCCGAAGACATAATAATAGATTCAAGTGCATTCCCAGGGGGTGTTCAAATAGGACAAGTGTTTGAATTACAAGCATTGGAAGGAAGTGCCAAGAGGAAAAAGAAGTTGATATTTATAGTAAATGAACATAATTTACGTGAACATTTAGAAGAAACAAGTGAGCCAATGCTGGTTGAACCTTCTCAAATGGTCACTGCAACAACAGGAGTCACAATACCAACCAAATCAAAATTTCAAATCTCCCTTCTTTCAAATCCGTTGCAAAATTTGCTTGATTTGCCTGCTAGAAGTCAAGTTCAAATTAAAAAAGTTCCTAAATTAGAAGATGTCACTGTTGAATTAGTAGAAATTTTCATAAAGGATGTTAATTTAACTCGTGATTCTATGTGGAATTTTTCATCCCAACTAGTTGGAACATGTGGATATGTCGATCAAAGATTAACTTATTTGAGTAATCGTACGGGGATAATAAAATATATGTATAAGAATGGGAAAGAAGTATTTTCAGGATATATAAGTCAAGACACCAAAATCATTTTCCGTTCAGAAAGTGCAAAGTTAACCGTATTAATTCAGTTATCGCTGGAAATGTGGCATTTTGAAGAAAATGGAGAAATTATGTTTCACAAATTAGTCAATAATTTATTCCCTAGAATTTTCCGAAGGTGGCGAGACAAAAATACCCATCATTCAATAACAATTGTCTTGTTTGCAAGTGTTGATCTAACAGATATACCATGGACCGTGCTTTCTGAAGGGGAACGACCTCCCAACAGACGTGACTATTACCGGGTTGTTGTTGATCAAGTTAATATCTTGTATTGGGATAGAATTATGGCTAACCTAAGATTGGAATTTGCAAATTTTAAGAGAGATATTATGTTGAATCGACAAGAGAACTTCAGCTACAAAATTGAGGGAGATTCATTACCTTCAGTCAAAGGGAATTTCCTCGAGGCGGTTAATGTTGGATTAACCTTGTTAATAGACAGATTTAGAAACACTGATCTTAAGCATTCATTAAGTCATTTCATCATGATCACTGCTGGGACAGGATTGTTTGATGTTGACTATGATTTATTATTAGAAACAAGTAAGAAAATTACCGGTATTGACACCAGTTTAGATATCATTTGTTTAAGTCAACCTCCATTACATGTCACACCATTGTTTAGATATTTAAAAGAGGGAAAAGTTTGTTATTGTGTTCCTAATTGGTGTGATATTTCATTTTATAGAGATAAATCAGCTGCGAATGGCCAATGGATTCCAAGATGTAAAATATATGAATTACAGATGATGGGAGTTATGGAAAATGAAGTCAATGATGCAAGGATACCAAGATTTCATGCTAATAATAATGATAGATCAATATTGGATGTTATGAATGATTATGATGAAGCAATTTTTAAACCAATAAATCACGTAGCACCACTGTCACCAATAAGCTTCAAGACTCAAGAACCTAAATTTGAACCACCGCCAGTGAAAGATTCCCAAGCTACACTTTCATTGATATTTAATCCTCGTCCTGCATTGATGCCTTCTGATAGTACAACCTCAACTTCCGCCGCTGTTGGAACAGTTGCCAGACCAAATACAGATGTATCTGCCCTTTCAACATTATACACATTAAATAAGAATACTGAAGGTAAACCACCAAGCCCAGGAGCACCATCTATTAAAAGTTTAACTCCAGTTTCTACATTGAGGATAATACATAGTCATAGAAAGGAAAGTGATGCTGGACCTCGAATAATCAAAAGTGACAAATTTTTAAAACAAGCAAGTGAAGATACCTTAGTTCGAAAACCACCACAAGTGATATCCACATCAGGAGCTGCTACAATCAATACTATTGAAGAAAAGAAGCTACTCAGGAACCGAAAGAAATCTTCAATACTAGTAGAACCTGAGTTAACAAAATCAACTGATTTATTCTGGTGGGAAATTTCTAACCCTTCGCAAGAGTTGAATAATAATGTATTACTTAGATCACAAGTTAGTAGATGGAGTAATGTGTTTCCTTCCAAAGCTAAAAGGAAAATGATTAAATGGAGATCATTTCAAGCACCCGCTGCATTACCTATCAGTACTGAGGTATTCCCCAGTCCTAGGCAACTTGAAAGTGATTATACATTCCAAATTTATACTGTATTTTTAAACTATGAAAATTATTTGGAATTATCAACTACTTCTCAATTAATGAAAGAAATGATTCAGTTAAGATTATTATTAGGGTTTCAAATATGTTATGGTGAAAGAGTCAAACGGGCTGAAATGGAAAGAAAACCAGCTGGAAGTCCAGAAAGTGTAATTAAGTACTTCCCTGAAAGTTCTTGCTTAGGATCAAGAATATATATGATGTTAGATGATGAAATTCATAGGATTTTCTGTGATTATAGTGGGAATTTGAATGTTCAATTATATAGAAGAACAGATAAAGATAATATTCCACATAAGATAACATTGGGACAATCCAAAATAAAACCATATTTCCCGTTAATTAGAACAAGATATGCTGATGATTATACTCCAACAATGGTAGATTCAATTTCTGTTCAGCCTCAGAAATATAATTGGAACCAATTTGATCAATTAATTGCCGGATTTGATGATGCCATGCCCGAAAGTAAAAAGGAATTCCATAAAATGAAATTTGTTGTTTTGCCAACTGATATACCTAAAAATGCCTATTTTATATCCAATGAAAATTTAAGTCCGGAAGAAATCAGAGTTGAAGGGTTAAGAAAATTAATTGCGGTTATTGAAAGAGGTACCTATAAGAAAAATAACACGAGTGTTAAATCAAAAAAGGAAGAACGATTTTCTGATATGATATTTTATACCGGCAATCTATATGATTTCTTAAAGGAAGAAGCAGATAATTATGACATGACGGGTGCTCAACCAACTTTAATGCTTCCTGAAAATGTTCGATTTGACAAGTCAATCAAGCTTGCCGATCTAGCAAAGGAAATGCAAGGTCCATCTGGGTTAAAGTTAGTTGATAGAACTTGGCATTTTAAACGACATTTAGATTGTTTTGTTGGAAGTGAATTGGTAACATGGCTTTTGGAATGTTTTGAAGATATTGACAGCCGTGAAGAAGCTACTAGTTACGGACAAAGTTTAATGACTAGGGGGCTATTCAAACACGTGGAACTGAGGCATGGTCTATTGGATGGATATTATTTCTATCGGTTTGCGGATGAATATTTTGAAAAGACTGCAAGAACATGGTTTGGTACAAAACGTGACGGGCAGCTTACTCCCAAGAAATCTGATAATGATTTACCTAAACTTCCAGGGGTTGATGATTTGCAAAAACTCACAAAGATCTCTTCAAGGAATGTAGAATCGGAATCATCATCTATGACTGATTCTGGAAGTAGAAGAAGAAGAAAATTCATTCTCAGTAAGTCAATCAAATTTGATGTTGATCCATTGAAGAAATCCTACCGTCCGGAATTGGTAACTGTTCATTATGATCGTGTACATAACCCTGAACATTGTTATCATATTCGTTTGCAATGGTTGAATACAACTACAAAATTCATTGAAGATACAATTACAGCCTGGTCTAGATTGTGCGAGAGACATGGGTTGAAATTAATTGAAACCCCTTGGAAAGAGTTATGTGCTGTGCCTACAATCAGTCCATTTCATTCATTCGTTGAAATGATATTACTGCTTGATCCTTGGTTAGATCCAGAGTTTGTAGATGATACTATCTTATCATCAAATAGGTATTATTTCCATTTGTATTTCTTAAAGAAATTGGAGTTTTTATTGGATAACCGGTCAACTTCATTCTTTCTGAATGAAAATGTTGATATTACTTATAGTTGGGGTAAACCTACTTTCAAGTATGCACAATTCATACACAAAACAGGAGCATATATTATTGAATTAAGAAGTAGTGGTGGGTTTTTCTTAGCACCTAACAATATCCATTTAACTAGAATTAATTCATCAATGCCTTCAAAGGGGGACTATGATAATGCCAACCCTTCTAAGATTAACACCTTAGATTCACAAAAGGTTATGTTAAAATTTAGAGCAGCATGTCAGAATAAAGAGTTCTTACGAGAAATATTTAGGGAAGCCAAGGAAACTTGGAAAGAGCAATATCTTTCTCCAATCTCATAGAGTAAACTTTATAAATATGTATATAGAAAATACAAAAAGGTCTATACTTACTTAGCGATTCTTTCAGCAATCTTGATAGTATCAGCTAAAACCCCGTGAGCAGTGACTTCAGAGCCGGCACCAGCACCTTGGATAATCAATGGGTTTGGATATCTCTCGGTCTTGATAGAAACAACATTGTCACTTCCCTTTAATGAAGCGAATGGATGATCAAATCCATATTTACCAATACCAACAGAAACCTTGTTAGTTTCCAAATCAACTTGACCAACAAATCTTAAAACCTTGTTTTCAGCAAAAGCTTCATCCTTAACTTTTTGGATATCGTTGTCGTAGTTTGGTAACTTTTCCATGAATTCAGCAACACTTTGAACGCCTTCTAATTCCTTTGGAATTAAAGATTGGACTGGGAATGAAGTTGGGCTTTCAACTTCTAAACCAGAAATTCTGGCCAAGATTGTGACTTTTCGGGCAACATCTAAACCGTTCAAATCATCTCTTGGATCAGGTTCGGTGTATCCTAATTGTTTAGCAACCTTAACAACATCAGAAAACTTAACATTCGAAGGCTCGGTGGTGGAGAATTCGTTGAAGATATAAGATAAAGTACCAGAGAAAATACCTTCAATTTTAACAACTTTATCACCAGTAGTAACCAAGTCTTTTAATGGAAGGATAATTGGTAAACCAGCACCAACAGTTGATTCGTGGTATACTAAACCAGCGCCTTCAACCTTACTGCTTTCAAAGATATCATTCCAGATCTTAAGGCTCGAAGAGAAAGCTTTCTTGTTTGGAGTAGCAATGGAAATGCCCAGCTTAATAAAAGTTGGATAAAAATTGGCGATAGCTTCACTGGAAGTGTTATCAACAAAGATTGTAGGTTTGCCAGAATCTTTCAAGTAAGAAACTAAATCATCCAAACTTAATGGTTGTTGAGTTTCAGTTGTTGTATAAGTAGACAAATCAACTGGTTTGTAATCCTTGGAGAAAAGTGCTTGGGAGGTATTCAATGCCAAGTAGATAACATTGTACTTGATGGCAGTTTTCAAATTATTCAATTGATTGATGAATGCTGATCCAACAACACCTGATCCGATAATAGCAACGTTGACTGATTTAGACATTGTATTCTGTATGGTAGAGTTCAATGAATCACAATTAGTCACTTTCTCAAATTTAATTTTTCACTTACGATCGCTCCTGAATCGGCGTTTGAAGTGAATATCTCAGCACGGCGCTACCATTATCGTCGTTGCACGAAAAGTTGCAAAAGTGTGGCTCTGCCACCAACAAATAAGAGACCAACTAGGAATGGGCAAATGATCTCATCAGTTAATTTCCTAGGGCCCGGTTTTAGTATTTGCAATAACTTTCCTGCTTTGGTTGGATATTGTAGATACTCTATAGCATTGTTGCTTTTCTTTTGTTATGGTTAGAGGTTTAAAATAGACAATCATATTTCAACTGCTGTTAAAGCAAGAGTACTCTAGTATTACAAGTTATAACCATCAACTTTCCAGGAAACTGTTGATATTGAAAATTTTTATATTATTTTAACAAAATCATCACTAAATTTCGAAAACTAGTTCAGTGGATCTCGGGTAAGGCGCTTTGAATGAATATTTCTTTTATACTCCACATAGCAAATATATAGTCTCCACTAAAAGTCATACATTGTCTGAAAGATGTGTTATGACTTCATAAGATCGCTCCTACTTACTGTTTAAGTGGTGGGGGAATATAGATAATACACACCTCGTTTTGGGGGAGCTACCCAGGGCTTCTAAGGCATTTTTTTGATCTCTATTGTTTGCTATCTTGCCTCCAATAAAAAGTAAAAATCAAAATTACCCAATTAGGTATCCCGCGAAATTCGGATAAGAAAATGGCCGCATTGAAATTATTCATAATCAAGTAAAAGAAATTGGGTCACTCGTCTCACTATGCGAGATAACAAACGTGTTAGCGGGTTGACTGAAAGAGACTTCTTTGTTAACGAATGCCAAGACTTTGCTTAGTATTCACCTTTCAAACTGACATATTAGAACCTTCTTCATTTACTTACTTAGCTCAAGGCTTAAGTCTACTGAGCCCTCCGGTAAATTTCACTGCCCCACCTTATTACGCCTCCTCTCATCGGTTGTTTCTTTTAAAAAAATTGACCCCATAATTAATTAACACATTTGCTTCTCTCGCGTTCGTGGGCGGCGGGACACAAAAAAAAAAATAATAATAACCTACAGAATTTTAAAAATATTAATATTCCAATACAAGGCTATAACAAGACCGATAAGGTGGATACACGACTGTTAAACTGTTGCATCAGTTGTTAGGGACGCAATGGGAGCGCAAATATACATTGTTTAAATTCCGAATGTTAAAAAATCGACAGATAAGAGTAAAATTAAAATCGTTGCGTGAATTTGCAATCAGAAAATTGCTAAATGGATAAGATACATGAACAATGGACGTCGAAATGAAATAATATTTCATGACATCCGCTAGTCTCATACCCCATTTTTAATTATTACCCAGTGCCTCCACACATTGTAGAAACCATACACACAGTTGTATGGATATAAATTAACATTGATTTCCACTTCCAAGTTCTCATTTATCTTCGTCTTTATAAGTCCTTGCTGTTTTTAGTAAATTAAATAACATCGTAACATGACAATACTAGAGAAGAAAGAAAATATCACTGTTGATATTGAACAACTTTCCGAAGAAAAACCTGTGGTCACTACTAAATTCGATGATTTTGATGATAAAATAGATGTTGAACAATATGGTGAAATCAAACGTAAGTTAAATGCGCGTCATGTCAATTTGATGATTATTGGTCAATCCATTGGGCTGGGTCTCTTTATTGGTTTATCATCTCCATTGACCACTTCAGGTTCACTCTCATTATTTATTGGGTTTTTGGTATGGGCTTGTTTGGTTATTTACCCGTTAATGCAAGCAGTGGGTGAGATGTGTTCTTATTTACCTATAAAAGGTACTTTTTTACATTATAGTGCTAGATGGGTTGATCCTGCTCTAGGATTTGCATGTACATTGATTTATCTTTACACTTCATTGATGTTTGTGTGTTTGGAGGCAACAGCAGTTGCGTCATTGATAAGTTTTTGGACTGATGCAAATCCAGCTATATTTATTACCATTTCGCTAGTGACGTATCTTTTGGTTAACTTAGTTGGAGTAAATTGGTACGGGGAAATTGAATTCTCGTCTTCAATCCTTAAAGTTATATTGATCATGGGATTAATGTTCTTTTCCTTAATTTCCATGTGTGGAGGTAATCCTCAACACAACGCGTATGGGTTCCAGCATTGGAAAGAAGGTGGATTGGTTAAACCATTCCTTGTAAGTGGACCAACTGGTCAATTCTTGGGTTTTTGGAATGTATTGATTTATGCTGCTTTTGCTTGTGGTGGTCCAGATTTATTGGCTTTGTGTGCCTCAGAAATGAAAATGCCTAGAAAATCCGTAGGTATTGCTGCGAAAAGATCTTATATCAGAATCTATTTATTCTACTTTGGTGGTATTTTCTTTTTAAATTCCCTTTGTGCTTCCAATGATCCAACTTTGTTACACGCAATTGATACTAATGCTGTCGGTGCAGCTGCATCTCCATGGGTCATTGGAATTAAGAATGTCGGAGTTCGTGGTTTAGATTCAGTGGTTAATGTTTGTATATTGGCATCAGCTTGGTCTTGTGGTAATGGGTTTTTCTACGGAGCTACCCGATGTGCCTATAGTGCTGCTTTGGCTGGTTACTTGCCAAGATTTTTCTCAAAATGTTTGCCTAATGGTGCTCCAATTTATTGTGTTATTGCCTCAGTGCTTGTTGGGTTATTATCATTTTTAAGCGTTTCTAATTCCACAGCTACCGTTTTCAATTGGTTTGTTAACTTAGCCACAACCGGGTTGTTATGTACATATCTTTGTATCTGGTGGTGTTATTTCAAATTTAAAAAGGTTTATCCAAAGCAAACTGGTGTTCAATTCAAAAAGGATGAATATAATTATTACTTGGCTCCAAAACTCATCCATCCATACTTTACCTATTTTGGTTTGTTATTAAATATCTTGGTGTTATTTTTCAATGGATTCTGGATATTTTTCCCAGGGCAATTTTCCGTGGCTAATTTATTCACTTCATATTTTGCACCTGTTTTATATATTTGTTTATTTGTGTTCTGGAAATTCTTCAAAAAGACCCATTTCAGATCAGACATGGAAGCAGATATAACTACAGGTAAAGAGCAGATAGATTTAGAAGAAGAAGCTGACATTGAATATGAAGCTACTAGGGAAAGAAGCCAGAACTGGTTCTTTGTTGTCGGACGTAAAATTTCCCATTTCTGCTTTAGTTAGATTTTCTACATAATGATTTGACATGAAAATACATATTTAAACGAATGGAGTACAAGATCCTGTATTAATAACTGACTACTAGGCAGCAAACTCTTGTTTAAATTGTGGGGTATGGTGGGGATGGAAGGGGCCCCTCGGAACAAATAACAAACCCATAAGGCATTTTGTTGTTTCAAAACTGCATGGGGAGATATTATTATTTCTTTTTTAAGATACATTCTCTAAAAAATATTTGCTTGCATTTCGAGAATGCTTTCTATACACACCAAAAAAAAAAAAAAGCTAACACCGGGATCATCCTGGCTTATAGTATTTGAAGCCTCTTTGCCAATTATGGGGAACAATGATTCTAAATAAACGGCATTCAACGAGGCTCAAGTATCTGAGATGATTCAATCAAGCCTTATAACACGGATTTTGAAAAGTGGTTCGAGTGGCTGGTATTGAACGATGGAAAACGGGCAATTGTTATTGTACTCAAGTCATATAAATAAATTCTATGCAAACCCCAAACTACGAGGCGAGCATTGACATTCTAAACAATTCTAGTTGTATGACAAGTATTATCATCACAATCAGCCGAGAAATTGGTATAAAAGCAATCCCAGTACGCTTGAAATTGACCAGTAGTAACTGCTGGAACAATCAAGAAAAATTGCTTTTTGAAAAAAGTTATGTTACACAAAAATAATTCTAGTATTTGAAATTCTTCGGAGTATGGTTGACTGTATCCCACATAGTCACTATCGGAGCTTACCCATGTTATGATACAACCACAAAACACACACTATCTCACATTTATTTGCAGAAATGGCATTGGCAACCCGAGGAAAAGGTATTTTTTAGCTGAAGCCATCTCTAAGCCATGGAAAAAAGCCCTTTAAATTGTTTTTTGTATGGATCTGCGCAGGAAAAAGTATCTAACGGCTAAATAATATTGAGGTGCATCACTCGTTTCAATCAGTACGTTATTTTTTTAATAGAGCAACGTTGATTTTTCCGTGTTGTATTTTTTCCTTTTCTCACATGATCCAATATAATGCATATCCAGTGATCTAACGTTTGCTTATCTATGAATTAGGTCACTTCTTGATGAAATTTGATGTTGATAACTAAGAAACCGCCCGGAGATCCCATTATAATTATAATGCATATACGAAAATCAATATCAAGCCATAACTTTCAGGCTTAGTCCCGACTTTGTCCCCTCATGTGCATTGTTGCAGATATCAATAGTGTTTAATATGTGCGGCAAACCTACATACTCTAAGGCATTTCTTTTTCTTGTGTGGTAAATATTTTTTAAATATGTAAAAAAATTTTGCAATGACACAAATTTGAACTATGGTGATGTTCCTTAACCAAACGATATTTTCTTGGCAAATTACACAAAACCGAAACACTATGCAATTTGCTATCAGGCGGAGTTGTACCACCAACAACGTATCACAATAAATGCAATTTTAAACGGAATAAACTTCCCTGAGGGGGGAGCAGAAATAGAATATGAGGGGATTATTTTCTCGTTTCTATTCCGAATAGCTATCAATTTCGGAGTAATACCCTCATCCCATCGTTGCTGTTTTTGTGGGAGTTTTGTCGTATCAGGTATTTTAAACTTCTGATTTATTTATTTTTTATTTTTTATTTTAATTTTTTTAACTTACCATTGGGGGTATATTTCCAGTATTGAGTGGTATTTGAATTTGATCCTTATCTGTCATCGTTTTAGTGAATATTTATATCCAAGGTAACATCCCGCATTTTTTTTTATATCAACTTATATATTCTACTTTTTTGCTTTATTTTTATATACTCTTTTTTTTAACTAATTCCCGATTACTGCAAAAAAAAAGCACAATCAAAATGGATATTGAAAAAGACGGTATTCAATTAGAACAAACACTTAGTAGACACACAGTGGATTATGATCTTTATGTTGAAAAGTCCAACCCTTCTGGTATTCAATTAAGTGATGGTCATCAGTTAAGACAAGCATTAGACTCTCGTCATGTTACTATGATTGCTATTGGTGGGGCATTGGGTACTGGTTTATTGATTGGTACTGGTTCAGCATTGAAGGCTGCAGGGCCTGGTGCTATTTTAGTGGCATACTCTACCATTGGATTCTGTGTGTTTATGGTTATGAGTGGTTTAGGTGAAGTTGCAACGTTTGTTCCATTGAATGGTTTTGCTAATTATTGTCAACGTTATGTGGATGATGCTCTTGGGTTTGCCTGTGGTTATGTTTATTTATTCAAATATTTGGTTCTTCCAGCCAATCAATTGGTTGCTGGGTCATTAACAGTACAATATTGGGTTAGCAGGGACAAGCTAAATCCGGGGGTATGGATTACAATTTTCTTGGTAATTATTTTAGCCGTTAATTTATTGGGGGTTAGGTTCTTTGGTGAAATTGAATTTTGGTTATCCACATTAAAAGTTTTGACTTGTCTTGGGTTGATTTTGTTATTATGGATTATCGCTTTAGGTGGTGGTCCAACACATGATAGAATTGGGTTCAGATACTGGAAAGATCCAGGTGCGTTCTTAAAGTACGCTGATTCTTCCAAGGGTTTAGTGATTGAAGGATCAAAGGGTAGATTCGTTGCTTTTGTTTCAGTGTTAGTCACAGCCGTGTTTGCCTATTTAGGTACTGAATTGGTTGGTATTACCTTTAGTGAAACCAGAAACCCAAGAAGATCTATTCCAAGAGCTATTAAGTTGACTTTCTACCGTATTCTTGTGTTCTACATCTTGTCCATTTTCTGGCTTGGTATGTGTGTTTCTCCAAAAGATCCATTATTATTGAGTGCTTCAGGTAACACTGCATCTGCATCTCCTTTCGTCATTGCCATCAAGAATGCCAAGATTGGTGGATTAGATCATGTCATTAACGCTTGTATCTTACTTTTTGTTCTTTCTGCTGCTAATTCCGATATGTATGTCTGTTCAAGAACTGTTTACTCCTTGGCTGTCGCTGGTTACGCTCCAAAGTTCTTTACCAAGACAAACAAATTGGGTGTTCCATACTATGGTATCTTGTTAAGTTTCCTTTTCACATTATTAGCCTATATGACAGTTTCTGAAGGATCTGCCGAAGTCTTCACTTATTTCGTCAACGTTGTTTCCTTGACTGGTTTGATTGCTTGGTCCTGTATTCTTGTTATTCACATAAGATTTATGCAAGCTTGTAAAGCTCAAGGTATTGACAGAAACAAGGACTTAGCATACAAGTCACCACTTCAACCATATGGATCGTACGTCGCCTTAGCCATCTGTGTTTTGGTTATCTTCATTAAGAACTTCACTGTGTTCTTGGGTAAGCCATTCACTTACAAGAACTTCATCACTGGTTATATTGTCTTGCCTGTTTTCTTAATCATGTACTTTGGATATAAGTTCTGGTACAAGACAAGCATCATTAAACTTCATGAAGTTGATTTGGAAACCTACAGAGATGTTGTTGATGCTGAGTTCGAAAAATACGAAGCTGAAGAAGCTGAGAAAAAGGCTATTAGAGAAGCCGAAGGTAAAAGATTCGACAAGGAATGGTTCTATGACAAATGTATTGGCTGGATCTTCTAAGACATATATCCATGCCTTATTTATACTTAATCTAACTATTTATATTTTGTAAAATTAATTGATACTTGTTGTTAAACCAATTCTGTAAGCTGTGTACACTTAGTCGCCCATTTCAGACTTCTTTCCCCCACGCAAAAAAAAAAAAAAAAAAAAAAAGAAAATATGGTAGTATTTACCAGTACGACCACTCTGACAACTAATTAATAAGATAAGAATGGCACCTATCCCGACCAGAAATAGAAGGATCATTCCTCTAGACCAAAGGAAGAGGGTTTCTGCAGCGTATGCAAACTTTTAGTCTTTTATTCACTTGTTCTTAGTACTAACTGACACTCCTAGTTGCGACCGTTGCAGATCCAGGAAAATAAAATGTGAAGGAGGATTCCCCTGTAGCAAATGTATAACTTCAAAGAAGGAATGCATAATCACGCCAAGAGATATTCCCTTGAATCCGTTGGACTATAAGTATGTATATTATGCGAAATTGTGTGTAATCTGTTACTAACACTACTAGACAACAATACAACAATGTCAAAGCTTACAATTGTAAACTTGAAAGAATCATCCAGTTTTTATTCCCTGATGTATCGTTGGAATACTTGCGTAACAACATTGACGAGTTTGAGAAACAAGTTTGTATTAATAAACTGAGGTTACCTCATGTCAGTACACCAATTACTCCTGAAAATCTGGCCGGTGGTAATAAACTACTATCTCCCAATTCTGCCAAATCAGACACTGCTGTCAAGTTAGAAACGTTAAAGAACTTCAATCAAGTGTTTGTATCAACAACGGACCAAAGTTTTATTGACTTTATTCAGAAGTCTTCGCATGAAATTGTCCAACCCGAGCTTTCCAAAACAACATTTTCATACAATAACAAGGAGTTTGTTAGAGCCAACCTACTAACCCTAGTGAAGGATGCTGTTGCCATATTACCTGAAGATGATAAAATAAGGAAGCTAGTTAGGATATATTTGAACATCTGTGAAACTAACTATTTCTATGTTCATCATACAAATTTCTATAAGAAAGTCGAAGAATTCATAGTCAAGAGACGAGAACAAGATTTGGAATTCTTTATACGTGATTGGCCAAACCTTGTAATTTTGCTAGCAATGATGGCAATATCGGCGGGATTCGAATATATGGACGATAATCAACCAATACCCAATTTTGTTTTAGATACAAGTCCTGGTTTGATTTACTACTATGCGGCATTACCATTTGCTGGGTTTTTAATTGATCAAAAGTCGATTGAAAGTGTCCAAGGATTGTTGATCTTTGGTGTGTTTATGACTACAAACAAATTAGAAAACTTTCAAATGTTTGATGGCGGGTATTTATTCATGAATCTTGCCCTTGAGATTGCCATTGCCAATAAATTATATCTTAAGGAACCGTACAGAAACTACTCAATTGAAGACCAAGAAGTATATAAACGATTATGGTGGTCATGTTACACCATGGAACGAAGGTTTGGAATTAATTTAGGAAAACTGGAAATCATTTCTCCTGATGATATAACCGTAGAGTTACCCCTGAACGTGCCTGCATTAAACAATAGTTTGGGATGCTCCAATTATTTGAGTCAATCATCAATGATTGATTTGAATTATATATTTAGAGATATTGCTGAATTGTATCAACCTAGAACTAAGAGCAAGGATAATGAAGCACGAATTTCAATTGATCCTAAAATGGTTAGAAAATTGGTGGAAGATGCTGAAGAATGTAAAATTAATTTCCCAGTATATGCCCAAGTTGACCGATTAAACCCGACTTCACAGTTATATCGAGGCAGCATTCATTTGAATTTAGCTTATTATTTGGCAAAGATATATATTGGGAAGCCATTCTTGTTGTACAAAGTTGATAATTTTAGAAGATTAGCTGAGCAAAGTGATTATGAATCGGCTTTTGTGGATCATTTATCATCGATTTGCATTGATGCTGCATTCTGCACGATTGAATTATTATCGGAATTAGACAAGCATAATAAATTGGGGCTTTTCTCATGTACAGATATCAATTTTTGCAATATTTCCTTGTTTACAATTCTTGTGTTTTTGAAAATTGACAGATCGGAAACAACATTGTTGTTCTTACGGAAGGGGCTAAAGATTTTGAAAACAATGTCAAACGGTTGTTCTAGTGCGAAGCTGTCATTGCAAAAACTTAAAAAGCTAGACAATTTAGTATCTGATTTTGCCGAATTAGATGAGATGCAAAAAGATATGAATACTTTGTTTAGTGTGGAAACTGCAGCAAAGTCATTTCCAACGCATGAAGATAACAACGATCCTATATTACAGTTTGATGGAGTTAAGGATGTGGATATTTCTCAATTGTTTGAAGGTATTGATGATTTCTTGGGCCAAGTTGATGATGATATTTATCAACAGTTGCAACTCCAATAATGGTCCTGCACATAATCACAAGACCCTTCAAAAAAAATTTAGGTTATTGTTTTACTTACTGCCGAGGAAGCTTGGCAGGTTTTTCCGCGGTAAAAAGTTGCGATGCCACGTTTAGAGAGAGTGCAAACCTGTGATACAGTAGACAAACCATGGCCTCTGATGATATACTACTGAGTGATGAATTAACTTTGGTTGATTATCCAGAAACAGCGTTACAACTTATATCTCCTTTATTTAGTGTGGATAAAACCGTATATGGAGGTCGAGGATGTTTTGCCAAATCAATAATACCAAGTGGGACAATAATACATAGATGTTCCTCGCCAATAAGTTCGTCCATAGCGAGACCATTCAAGAAAGAAGTGTGTCACTACTGTTTCAAGTATGACAATGGGAAGACATGGAAGATTAAACGTTCACAACAATTTGGGAAGCAAATGTGTTCTATAGTGTTTTGTACTGAGGAATGTCGAGATAAGTTTTCACAAGAAGATGGAGAAGGTATCTATTTGAAAAATTTGATGCTTGTGGAGAAGAACTATTTACAAGGGTTAAAGAAACATGAGGTGGAACCAAAAGAACCAAAGGATCTCGATACTGAAATACTACAGGAATGGGAGAAAGTGGGTAGTTGGGAAGAAAAATTAAAGACCATGAAGCCTTCAAAACGTGAAAGTATACTACCAAGAATTGATGAAAGTGAATATTTGGAGATTAATTATGTGATTGGGGCACTATTTAGCATGTACAAATACGGAAATTCGGGAATCACTTCACCTGAGTATTTCCAAGACATTAAACGAGAAGAACAAAATCAATTCGAATTACAATATTTCAATACTTTGCAATCAACCGAATTGGAAAAGGTACGAAAATACCCGTATTTGTTATATTCGTACATCAATATCTATAAATTTCTTAAACTCACGGTTAGTGAACAATTGCAGCCGTACATAAATACCGATGAAATAAGGTGTATTATTGGTAGAAACCTATCTAATGCATTTGGGATCTGGTCAGAAGTTTCTGACCCAAAGGAAGATAAAGAATTCTTGGGATTTGGAGTATATCCATCAGCATCATTTTTCAACCATTCATGTGCGCCAAATCTTGTCAAGACTAGAATTGGGAATCAATTGGTATTTACAACATTAAGGGATATTTCTGCTGGAGAAGAGTTGTGTATTAACTATGGGAATTTTTTTGGATGAGAATGTAGAATCTCGAAGAAAACAATTACAAGAATGGTTTTTCGACTGTGGATGTTCTAAATGTGTACTGGAGTTAAATTAGTTTACATGTGTATATATCTAGGAAATGGTAAAATCATGGTTATGAAAGAACTTTTTAAATTCCTCACAATCTTCAATTTCTTTGAACTTGGGTTGTTGACATTTATCCCAGTACACTCGACTGCGTAGGTTTAAAGTGTCTGCTAGTACTCTTCTTGGAAATTGAATGTCTATAGGTTTGGACGCATCGTCAAGTTCAGCTATGTGGATTTCCTGTTCGGTCGGGTTGGTCCATATCGTGAACATGATATAGTCTGATTTATTGATTATCCCAGCCAACTTAGGATCTTGCAAGTCTATAAATTTGTGAAAGTTCAACTTATGATTCTTGGTGAATTTTATATTGTTTGCTTTAGTTCTTGAAGACAATGATGGAGCAAACTTACCCAAGAATTGTTCCTCTACGGGTACAAATTGAATGTTGAGATGCACATTAGTTGATCTACTAACTTCCCAAAACACAAGTCTATAGCTTGGTTTTTGTTCAAAGAATGCAGATACTAATGACTGTTGATACTTGATAATCTCTTTGTATATAGGATTATCTTGAATGTCACCTTTTGATCTGATAGTCGGAATATGTTCTATAGGTATAAGTATACCATGTCCTGAAAAATACAAGTTTCTGTTTGATCTAGTTAATGGACCCTTTGCTATAGTTAGATATGCATTGGCACCGATTGATACGATCATATGATGTTCTATTTTAGGGTTTCCGAGACAGAAGAAACAGGACTCTGGCGAAACAACTTTAACTTTCTTTGTTTCAGCTTTATCTTCGACAATTTCTAATTCTCTCTTTTTAGTTTGTATTGTGAATGGGTTCTCTCTTAATTTAAGAACATCTTCTTGGATGAGTCCCAAGGAAAACGCGTAGAACCACTTAGATCCAGTTCCTTCCTGACCTAAACTTATAAATCTGGTTATTTCACCTGAATCCCATGCAAATGGTTCCAATTCAAAGAATTTACCTGTGATGTTCCCCACTGCAAAATGATACCTTGGTTTAACTAGTTTAATAACTTGGTCAATTACTTCACTCCCCACGAGCGTCAATTGTTCAATATATGCTATTGTCTTGGGCCATTCGTATGTAACTAATATGTCGACTTTAACCTTGACTTCTTTCACTTGGTTGATTAGTTCTTCTTTTGGAATCAGTGGGTTTCCTGATACCATCATCACTACTAGTCCTGAAGTTAGCCTTAAAACATTCACGGCAGATTTCATAAATGTTAAGTTTTTATCAACTGAAATTAAGGAATCTGTTGAAATGGATATATTTTCAGATACTCCGTTCTTTCCTTCGCAAAAGTATGTGCTTCCTTCGAGTTGTACCTTGGGTAAGTTTGAACCAGATGGTAGGACATCGCCTAGTAATATGGTTGCTTCAAATGGACCATTCTTGGTGTATTGGAGGTTGGACTTGGTCAATACTTTGTCGAGATCTTCCGGAGAGGGATTCAATATAAGAAACTTCAGTTTCTGGGACATTGTAGTTGTTGTTCTGTTGTATGATATCTCTTCATCATCTCATCTTGTGTTTGAAAATTTAATCCGGTAGAAAAGGTCACGTTCTGCAGGAACCAAATCGAGAAATCCGGTTTTTGTTTACATTATGATTCTCAGTCCTTACAACGAAGACCCAGCATAAAATACTTGTCACAACAATGAGTGAATCTAATAACATCAAGGTCTCAGTCAGAGTACGGCCCCTCTTACCACGAGAGAAGGAAGCATCTGAACATCCAAAATGTCTTATTTCAATGCCCAACCCCACCAAGACTGTGCTTCAATTACCAAAACCATTAGGCGTCGATACGGGAAGGGGCCTTACCGAAGACGACAAATCCAGGACATATTTGTTTGATGAGTGTATATGGTCATTTGATCAGTCTGATTCAAATTATACCGATAACAAGAAATATTACCAACAAACTGGTCCGGACTTGTTATCCCACTTGTTTGAAGGGTATAATGTATGCTTGTTAGCCTATGGGCAGACAAGTTCAGGAAAGACATACACTATGATGGGAAACCGAACCGAACCAGGTATAATCCCTTTGCTTATCAAAGATATTTTAAAACAGATGGAGATTTGCGTGAATGAAAAGATTAATTGTGAATTGAGATTTTCATATATGGAAATATACAACGAACAAGTTCGAGACTTACTTGGCGACAACAATTCGCAAAAGTGTAAAGTCAGGGAACATCCGCAAACTGGTCCCTATGTGGAGAATGTCCAGGAACATTTGGTGAGAGATTATAGTCATTTCTTGAGTTTGCTCAACAAGGGGAACCATTCGCGATCAACGGCTACTACGTCGATGAATGACAAAAGTTCAAGATCTCATGCTATAATTACACTCACATTGAAACAAACTAGGTTTGAGTCACATTCTGAGGATGATTTGGGTGACGCTGCTGAAGAAATGATATCCAATATCAAACTTGTTGATCTTGCAGGGTCAGAAAGGTTAGGTAAGACGAAATTATACGGACAACAAGAGAGAATAAAGGAAGGAACTTTGATTAACAAGTCGTTGACTGTTTTGGGAAGGTGCATTGGATTATTGGCAGGAAAGGATACGAGCAAAAGTGGAACTGTAGTTGTTCCATATAGAGAGTCGATTTTGACGTATATCCTTAAGGAGAATTTGTCAGGGAACTCTAAAACATGTATGATATTTTGTGTATCGCCGGTTGATTTTGAAGAAACCCATCAAACATTAAACTACGCTAACGAAGTTAAGAAGATAAAGACTAGTGCTAGGGCCAACAAGACGAAACTTAGTAAGGCCCCTGTAAACTGGGAGGAATTACAGAAATCTGATCAAACAGTTATTGACTCTTTGAAGAAGGAAATCGAAGTGCTTACTGAGAAGTTATCGCGTATAGAAGTAAGTTCAAAGGCCGAGACTCAAGAGCCAACCCAATTTGACAAGATTATTGAGTTTTTGGAAAAGGAATCTGCGAGAGCTAAGTTTGAAAACAAGTACTTGAAACAGCTTATGAAGGAAAAGAATAGTCATATTGAGGAGTTGAATAGACATATCGACTATATTGAAAATGAGTACGAAACGCTATTTATCGAATCTCAATTGGCACAAAGAGTACACTTGCAACAAATCAAGCAGGAGCTACTTGATGCCACCTATAGTCTGCAACAAAAGATGGAGCTTGACATGAGGGAATACGATCCTTGTTTGTTATTTTAAGGTTTACCTTAGTATTTATGGTTATGATTCTCGTATATACTCCTGCATATAAACTTTTTGTATATGTGTTAAAAATAATGTGGAGTGTTTTTAATTCCGATTGTACGTCCGTCCGCGAGCAAAGGCGGAAACTTAGCACGAGCTTTTCTTGGGATTTTCCCGCAAAATTTACCACTACCACCACCACCAACAGGTTAGCAACACGCCACTTGTGCATACCAATAATGTCGCAATACATTGAGAGTTTGTTCAGCACTTCAGTACAGGAGTCAGTTCAGGCTGCTGTCACTTTAAACAAGCCGTTGTTTGTGTATTTGGCCCGAGATAGCCGAGCTGATAGCGACACTAGTTTTCTTGATAAGTTTATCGACAGCCATATCAGTGCAGTACTAAAGGATAACTTTGTATTGTTGAAGCTAGTGGAGAACACCACCGAATACGGTCAGTTTAATCAGATTTACACTCGTTTGGTGGTTCCTAGTTTTAATATCATATGGCGTGGTAAAGTCATTGGGGAAATTACTGAGAGCAAATCAAAGCATTCTTTTCGAATGTTGGTTGAAACAATAGCAGAGAATCTTGGTGGCACAATAACACGAACTGCACCGCCTCCATCTACAACTACAACAACCACGTCGTCGCCGTCATCATCATCATCATCATCAATACCTTCATCTACACCAGGTCGAGCTTCTCCAGGCGGTATCGTGTCTTCGGGCAAATCAGCTGAAAAGGTACAAGAAGAACACGAACTAAACGTCAAGAAACACAAACTTCAAGTGGAGCAAATTAGAAAAGACCAAATAGAAGAAAAGAAGAGATTACGAGAACTTTTAAAAGCCGATCAACGGGAACGTGAACTTCTAATGAAGGAACAAAAGGAAATTTCGCCGCAACTTGAACCGACAAAATCAAATGAAAAGCCAATCCATACTGATGAAGGGATGTGTATGTTGTCTATAAAACTATTTGATGGAAGTTCTATTAAGCAAGAATTTAAATCAGAGGATACCTTACACGATGTGAGAACATGGTTGGATCTAGAAGTTGGAATAATTCCTTCGAATGAAACCATGCCTGCGTTTGCCAAGAGTTCTTACCCGCATCCAGTCAATTATGCCTTTCATAGACCAGTATTACCAAGAATCACATACTCTGAAGAGCAAGAATCACAGTCTTTACTTGAACTTGAATTGACTCCGAGATCGGCCTTGATTTTAAAACCAATATATCATGAACCAGAATCCACCAGTGGTGATGGCAACCCACAAAGTGTCGGATATATCAGAAGAGCTTTTGGGGTTGTGGGAACCATAGGGAGAGCACTTTACTCCTTTTTCGATTACGGAACGGGACCCGCGCCCGCATCATATCAAGAAGAGGATCACGACGACCCCGAACGTCCAGCACCCGAAGTAACTCTTGGCTTAATCGATGACATTCAACAAATTGGATTGGGCCACCCAGCCCATACAATTGTGATGGATGACCGCGCCCAATCCCAATCGTCATTATTTAATATCGAACATCCGAATATTAGAGCTACAAGAGAAATCATCAATTCACGGCCAACATCACCAAGATTGGGAAGTGCTGGTTCTGATTCTAATCGCGCTTCGGCATATCCTAGTCGATCAAGTACACCTAGACCCAGTGGAGTTAATAGAATTCAAATGTTTCAAGACGAAGATAAAAAGGGGGTTGATACATACAATGGTAATAGTGTTAATTTAAATGAGCGGGATGACAATGACCTGGAATAGTGTTTGTCTGTCGGTTTATCGGTCTATTTCGTATTTATCGTATATAAAGTTTTTCTAGTAAATTAATTAGTGACTAATTCTTTTTTTTTTTGTTGTTGTTGTAGTCGGACTTAAAAATTGCAGCTTCGGAGTCAAGCGCAGAGTCATCGAATTACCATTGACAGAGGACTGAAAGACCATGGACAAAGCCAGTTTAACAAGTTTGGAAAACTTATTGAAGTTCCCAGGCAGTAATCACTCCGATCCAGTCGCCGATGCATCAGTGTTGACGTGTGGATGTTTGGTGTCTGAAAGTCTATTTCTCCAGATTCAACAAGGAACATGCCCCAATTGTAAAACCACCAATGTGTCAATTTTATCGGAAATTAAACCGCTAAGGGAATTACACCGCTTGATCACTCATTTCAGCACACATACTAATACGTATGCTCAATCTAGCATCAGCAGGCGACGTCGGTCATCTTCCAAAAAGAGCTTTAAAGAAGAAGGTACACAACAGTATGGTGAGTCAATGGACTTGCTCAGTTTATTCTACAAGTTTGCAAAAGAAGAGGAGTACACTGATGGTGCCAAACCTACACATGCTACAGCACCGCAAATAGAAGCAAGTGCCAGTGTTCAACCTATCGAAATCAAACAGCCACCCCGCATACTGACGGATATTGATATTGGATCATTACAATTACAGAAAACACCGTCGGCATCACCACGAAACAACAATCAATTGTGGGGATTTGAAACCAGCACGGCAGCATCAATTACTAACCATTCGCCAGAATTAAAGTTTGAAAAGAATTTGTTGAAGAGTATAGGTGAACAGAAGGAGTACAACTTCAGTAAATGTTTCCCATTCCACAGAAAGTTAAGCACATTCCCCATGTTGAAGTTTAATTTCTCGTCCATGGTGAAACTGGGATCAAGTATAAAGAAAGCTATAAGCACACTGATTAACTCATATCATGATTACGCCTCCGGTAAAGAAATCACTCGATTTGTGTTGATAAATTCCAAGCGGTGGGAACTTTACGAGTATGCTGTTTCTATAAGTGATATAGAGAAGGTACAGATAAAACCCCAATTGATATTATGCGGGAAACTGACTGGTGAGTTTGCCGAAACTGTCAACGGTCTTAACCAAGCAATTCCTAGACCTTCTATTAAAGAAAGTATTGTTCGGAATGAGTTTGGAGCAAAGGGAGATAACACCAATGATGTGGAAGATATGAAGAAACGATTATTGCAATGGGATCAAATTGAATGTTATTTAACCAAAAACTATTTGGTAATTACTGGTACCAAGGGGGTCTTGCGGGTGTTTAATGTCAATAGAACGTCTCCTTACTTATTCGGTCAACCAATTTACTCATATTTAACAAATTTCCCAATTAGATGTGTCGCAGTATCACCAAATGATGCATTAATTGCTTGTGGTATTACTGCAAAGGAGAGATTATCAGGCAAGGAACAACCATTTGTTATTCTCCATACTCTCACCTTCTCCGAGACCGGGCAACTTGGTTCTGTGAACCCTATCACTATTACTATTCCTTATAGAGACCCTATAAAGTTAATCAGTTTTAACGCATCGTCGACGCATTTGGTGTGTGGTACTCTGTGGGAATCGAGATATTTGGTCATAAAATTAAAGAGTGACAAAGAAGACAATTATAGAAAACCACGATTGATTTGGTCGGATTTCACTTATAAGTCAGCGAGAAGAAGCAAAGCCGGTATGGAAGATGGTAAAGAGTTTGATGATAAATTGGATGCGGATAATGAATTAATGATGTCAAATGAAGGAATGACCGATTTGCAGTTTGGTAACATATTTTCTAACGCTGTAGTTGTCACGTCGTGTTCATTAAAGAGCAGGCCTCCCATGATTATCCACTTGGAAGGAGCCATGATCGACAGTTCAAAGAGTCATAATGTTGTTGATACGTATAGTATTCAGAATAGTGTTACTAGTGCAGACGAAGAGGATTATTCTAGTATTAAATCTGCTGAAGTTATCATGAAGATCCCTGAGATCGGGTCGTTAATTCATAGGTTTGCCATTTCACCTACAGGTGATGGTATAGTGTTTTTGGCTAAAGACGGGAATGTGTACTTGTTATCAGGGCCAAATTTCAAAAACAGGTTGTCTACTACATCGATTGCAAATTCAAAGAAAATTGTGGTGTTATTGGGGGAAGTTGCAAATGCCGAAAGGTTCTCAGAGGCAGCATCGATAAAGTTTTCCCCCGACGGTGGTAAAGTTTTTGCTGTGGATAGAAAAGGGGTGTTTACGGTATTTGATTTCACTAAAGGTGTGCCTGGTCATGATCCTGATGTTATCAAGTGTAAGATCATTAACTTGTAGAAAGGTGCCGTGCCTTTGTATCCCTCGGTGTTTAAATGCCGTTGTGGCCTTATGCGGCAAGAAGAAATGGTGTACATGCATCCTGTATATAAAAGAATATTCTCCGATGACTTTTGCCATGCAAAGAACAAAAGACCGTTTAGCTAAAAAAAAAAAAAATCACACGCTATGTCGTAAAACCAAAATGTGAGCCTCAGTTTGTGATTCAGACAAAAAAAATATAACCACGCCTTTTCAAACCACCTCATCAGACACCTTTTTATTCCCTACAAAAGCAGTAATGACCTCCGTTAAACTAGACGCTCCTGTTCCTCCTTTGAAGGAAGACGTGTTGGACCTTATTGGTAACACTCCTTTGATCAAATTAAACAAGATTCCTCAATCTTTAGGCATCAAGGCTAAAGTCTATGCTAAAGTGGAATTATTCAATGCTGGTGGTTCCATCAAGGACAGAATTGCCAAAAACATGGTTTTAGAAGCTGAAAAATCCGGAAGAATAAAACCAGGCTACACTTTGATCGAACCAACCTCGGGTAACACCGGTATTGGGTTGGCCTTGGTTGGTGCCGTCAAAGGTTACAGAACCATCATCACTTTACCTGAAAAGATGTCCAATGAAAAAGTTTCCGTGTTGAAAGCCTTGGGTGCTGAAATCATCAGAACCCCTACTGAAGCCGCTTGGGATGCTCCAGAATCCCACATTGGTGTTGCTAAGAAGTTGGAAAAGGAAATTCCAAACTCGGTCATCTTAGATCAATATTCTAACGAAAATAACCCATTGGCTCATTACTATGGTACTGGTTATGAAATTTGGGAACAAACCCAAGGTAAAGTCACCCACTTGGTTGCTGGTGCTGGTACTGGTGGTACCATCACTGGTATTTCCAAATACTTGAAGGAAAAGAACCCTAACGTTCATGTTGTTGGTGCTGATCCACAAGGTTCCATCTTGGCCCAACCAGAATCCTTAAACGCTTCCACTGATCCATACAAGGTTGAAGGTATTGGTTATGATTTCATTCCTGATGTTTTAGACAGAAAGTGGGTCGACTCTTGGATCAAGACCGACGATGCTGCCTCTTTTAAATTGGCAAGAAGAATTATCAGAGAAGAAGGTATCTTGGTCGGTGGTTCATCTGGTTCTGCTTTACAAGCCGTGGTTGAAATTTCCAAGGATTTAACCGAAGACGATGTTGTTGTTGTCGTTTTCCCAGATTCTATCAGATCTTACTTGTCCAAATTCGCTGATGACGAATGGATGAAATCAAACAACTTTGAGGTTGAAGAAACCAACGCTGAAAACAAGACCGATGCATTTTTGGCCTCCAAGACCATCAAGGACTTGGTTGCTGGTAAAGCTCCAGTTGTCACTGTCACTTTATCTGACACTGTTGGTAAGACCTTTGACTTGTTGCAATCTAACGGGTTTGATCAATTGCCAGTTTTGAACAAGACTGGTCACTTGGTTGGTTTAATCACTTTATCCAAGATTTTGAAATCGTTGTCCACCAAGAAAATTCAATTAACCAACTCCATTAGTAATATTATTATTGATTTCAGAAACTTGGAAAGTTTTGAAAAATCCTTCACTATTTCCCAAGAACCAGGATTCACCAAGAGAAAGTACCACCCAATCACTTTGGAAACTTCTTTAGCCAAGTTGAACAAGTTCTTTGAAACCAATTCTAATGCCATTATCACCGATGAAAACTTGAAGCCAGTCCAAATTGTCACCAAGGTCGATTTACTTTCATACTTGACCACCAACTTGGCTTTCTAGAACGACACTTATATAGAAATATTTAACTTTATATTTGTATTAAAATATATATATAGATATAGTACAACATGACAAACACCAGTAAACCTCTACGAGAACTTCCATCTGTTTCCACAATTTTCACAAGTACAAAAAGTAGTCAATGGTTCATCGGCCGATCTTGTTTGCATTTGGTAGTAACTGACCTTCTTGTGTTTACACTTACCACAGGTGAATCTGTCGGTAACTGCTCTCTTTTCCGTAGCACCTTGGGCATCAAAAAGATTTTGTTTGTTCAACTTTTCGATTTCCTTTTTAAGTGATTCCGGAGCCATTTCACTAGGGGTCATTTTGATGAAATTAGCCGCTAAGATGGCCTGGGTTAATAATCGTTCTCTCAACTCCGGGTTCTTTTTATTTCGAAGATTCATGGTAAAACTACGAAGTTTATTTCTATAACTATCGGTAACCTTCAGATATTCACTCTTGAACACTTCACTTTCAATCTCAGAAGCAATTTTCAAAATAAGTTCGGAGGGGTCTCCACGCTCTACTGCTAAGGAAGTGTATAATGCACTGACTGAGGCGTTTCTGGTTGGATTATCGTATAATTCAGTGCTTACGCCGTCAGTCTTGGGGTTTCTTGGACCAGTAGGGATCTTCTTGGCCCCGTCGATCGAGTTCAAGTTGGTAGAGGAACTAGGAGTTGCTGGTGTGGCAGGGGTGCTGGGAGTGCTTGACCCGCTGACTTTCTTCTTGGAGATCTTCTCGTGTTGTACTGCATCTCTCCAGTTTCTGATCATCTTCTTGACCAAGTTGCTGATTTCACTGTTTTCGTGACTTCTGAACTTGTTTACAGCCACACCGACCTTGGTTTCCCTTAGAACCTTTTCACTTGGTTTGACGCCATCATTTAAGATGTTCAACAATTTCAATATGGTGGTATCATCTGTCGACTTTTCAAGGTTTGAAATGGTCGACTTTATCTCTTTAGTATCCATCGTTAAGGGTCTCGAGCTTATTTGTTTTCTTTTAAAAGTTTATGAAATTTTTTTTCCTCTCTTTTGTAAACGAAAATTTAAGCTGGAACCCGGAACCCGAAGGAAAGTAGATACACAGTATAAACCACAGACATGGACAGCAAAAGTACAAGTGTATCCATTGGGAAATTCCCATTTGATTATACTGAAGAACAGGTTTTAGAAATCGCCAAGTCAGTAGGCCCTGTGCTCGATGTCAAACTTTTGTTTGATGACCTTACTGGTAAATCTAAGGGATACGCCATCATAAACTACGCTGATAATGAAACTGCTGCTTCGGCAGTACGAAATTTGAACTATATGACGTTACCCAATGGACGATTCCTTAAATGTTCATTCATTAGTGAATTCGAGAATGAAACTATTGCCAAATTACCGCCATTACCCTTGGGTATACAAATCCATCCGAACCAAAATGCATCCCAAGTCATTTCTAGCATATTGTCTAATATCGATTCACAAGCTGCATTGCAGATCATGAAAGAGATTAGAGATATGAGTGTGGACAATCCTAAATCTACAAAGTTGTTACTAGAACGATTTCCTCAATTGGCCCTTGCGTTGGTCGAACTTGGTATGATTTCAAACACAACCAATCAAGAATTAATTGAGTTGACGTTGAATAAACGAATTCCCGACCTTAAAGAACTTTCGTATGATCATGTCAGGTTATTACATGCAGTCAACGATTTGAGTGATTCAGATATAACTACCTTGGATGAACGTCAACAAGAGATTGTTAAGAAAGTCAAAGCAGAAATAGAAAAGGGAACGTATGGTGAAGTATTAGATAGTGCCGCTTGATATAGACATGCATAACTGTAATCCTGCACGAGCAATCAGCTAACCTCGGTATTAGTCAACAACAAGCCACCTTCCATGTTCACCCACCCAACAAGTAAAAGAAATCAGATATTTTTAAGGTGCGGAGTTATACGAGTGACTGCTTGTAAAATTTCTTGGACCACTGTTCTAGACGTGGACAAGGAAAGAACAGCTGTATAACATATGATTAGATATAACGATTACAAATTCATAGTACAAGAAATGACTTAAAATTAGTCACGATCCAACTATTGTAAGCAGCTCTAGCCGGTAGTTCCATTTATTTTTAGTATACCCTTAAAGGAGGGGAGCAAATCGGATGAGTGTTGCTGAGGGAGTTTTATCGTCACGTGATGATGAGCACTAGAATTTGACGGTTTCATTTTTGTGGTAGCTACTCAAATTCCGCCGCCCCCCAGAAGAACAAAGAGATCCCAGAATTAGATCATTCCCTTCTTTACAACGCCAACATTCCCTATTTTATCCCGGGACGCTCCTCAAAAAAAACGTACACGTACACCGTTTGCTTTTACAACATCTATAGAGAGTTCTAAACAACCCTGCACACACACACAACTACTACTACTAATAAAAAACTTTAACTTTTAAAGGCAAAGAAAAATCTGAAACGACACCAAAAAAAGATAAGCCCACACGACATCATGAGTTCCCCTAAAAGACGTATTGAAAAGGATGTCATGGAATTAATGATGAGTGACCATGATGTTACTTTGATCGATGACTCGATTCAGCAATTTTTTGTCATCTTCCATGGTCCTACCGGTACACCTTACGAAGGTGGCACCTGGAAGATCAGAGTGGAACTTCCTGATCAATACCCGATCAAGTCTCCTTCTATTGGATTCACTAATACCATATACCACCCTAACATCGATGAAGGATCTGGTTCTGTTTGTTTAGACGTAATCAACCAAACTTGGTCACCTATGTTTGGCTTGCTTAATATTTTTGAGAATTTTCTACCCCATTTGTTACGATACGCTAATCCTAGCGATCCTTTGAACACCGAAGCCTCAAATTTAATGACTAAAGATGAGGCTAAGTACAATGAGACTGTCAAGAGATATGTCCAACAATATGCAAAGAATAACTTAACCAGTACTGGTAAAGACGAAGATCAAGAGGACGACGAAGACGAAGATGAACTTAGTGACGTGGGTAGCTTGTCTAGTGATGACGACTATGATGAAGAAATGGCCAAGAGTATGGAGTTATAAACTTGCTCTCGGCATTACTCTTTCGTCCTGCGTACGCCTTTGTCTTTAACGTTGCTATGCAGGCTTCGCATCCCCCTACCCCCCTTGATATGAGTTTTAATGATTGGCATGTTTTTTTATCCCGTTATTATCACCAGGAGTTTTAATTCGGTATTGTTAGTTTGTTTTTATTTTGTTTCCCTTTTATGTTATCTGAATCCGTGGAACTTACATATACCGGTTTCATTTGTCTAGATTTTTATTATCTCTATTTTTGGTTCCACTAATCCGTTTTTATACACTATTGCTTTTATTTTTGTACTTCTTGCATTTGGAAGATCAACTTGGAGCCGTTGTGTGAATATGATTTGAGTAGTGACATATAGTCTATATAGAATAGCATCGAAATTTGTTTACCTTTAAATTTATTAAATAGTATTCGCTTTTACAAAGCCTCTTGTGAACCATTTCTAAGTTCATGTGGTAGTTAAGCTTATTCAATCCAGATTCAGTTATAGTCATTCATTTTCGTGATAAACTCGTTGTGAAAATGTCATGCATCAAGTGCTGCAAGAACGGCTACTTTTTTCAGTAGGCGATTCAAAACTTACGCCATTGAAAAAACGAGTCTTATAAATTTTCAACATTTATTACTTTGAAACAAACTACCACTCCAAACCTGTAAATAGTGTTAAACCTTATCTAATCAATCCCATACTGATTCATCCAAAATGACAGAAGCAACTATAGAGAACGTGGATGATTCACTGAAACCGCCACATAAAAAGAAGCACACTATATCTAATGATGACCTATATCGTAAGTCCACCCAGTTTGAGCTATGGTCATTCACCCACGAACAACTAGTTGAGGTTAAAAGGAAAGCCAATGAACAAGGCCGACAAGCAGCCAAAGAAAAGTTTGATCAAGCGTATTCTGAGGCCAAACTGGCCCACCCAACTGCATTTGCTTCTGGTACACCCGAACTTCTTCCAGAAAATATGATAAGTCTACTTACGCCCGAAGAAGAAGCCACATACCTTGATTTCTACAGTAATAACATCATCAAGACTTGTAATTTCTTCAAGATGCCCACCCAAGTGAAACTAACTGCTGCTTCGTTCTTCAAGAAGTTTTATCTTGTCAATTCAGTAATGGAATATCATCCCAAGAATATTCTTTATACATGTGTGTTCTTGGCAGCTAAATCTGAGAACTACTTTATATCCATTGATTCCTTTGTACGGGCCCTTCAAGGGACCGAAGCTGCGCATATCCTCGATTTGGAATTCATAGTTTTACAAAGCTTGAAATTCACATTGTTGGTACATCACCCCGTAAGACCTCTTTATGGGTTCTTTCTCGATTTCCAGGCGGTATTGCTACATCCAGAACCAGTAATGTACGATGTGTCCGTTGATACCTTGGGAAATTTGTACAATAGAGCCAAGGATTGGTTAAATGAACATGCTGTTACTAGTGATGTCACGTTTTTGTTTACTCCTCCTCAAATAGCCTTGGCTGCCATGTATGACACTGATAAGAGGATAACCGATCGATATTTGAAAAGAAAGTTTTTGAAAGAAGATAAGGAGAAGTTGAATGTTATTAAGGAAGGTGATGAGGAACAGCCAGATCAAAACACTGAACCGCAGAACGAAGAAAGCGAAAAGCAGGGAGTAGTCAAAGAAGAGAGTGAAACTAACAGCCATCATAACATCAAACTCCATACTCAAAGAGAACACTACGAAACTTTGGTCAGAACAATTAGAAAATGTATCAAAATCGCCAAAGAGGTCAAACCAACTACCCGTGAAGAAAGTAAGGAAATTGACAAGAAGTGCTTCTTTGCATTAAACCCCAAGAAGCTAATTGATAAAAGGATCAAGAGACTAGCTTTAGAGGAAAAGTAGTTGTATGATTATGTATTACTAGTTAAATCACCTTTAAATATTAGCACGTGACTAATTTTATGATTGCGCGATTGCTAATTCCAGTTTGTAAAAGTTGCGCTTTTGTCATTATATAAGTACACTCTGTATTGCTTTCCATTCCAAATAACTACCAGACGCTATGTTTAGACGAAGCTATCTGACAATGGAACTGTCGTCCAAAATTATTTCATCCTTGAAGCGTCCAGAACTTGTGCAAACCCAAGCTTATGTGAATGGGAATTGGGTATCTAGTACGTCTGGGGATTCCTTCGCGGTTAACAACCCAGCATTGTATCCTAAACTGGAAGCCAAAATCGCTGAAGTAACATCAATGACTTTACATGATTTCAATAATGCAATTGAAGCTGCTCATCGTGCGTTTTCAACTTTCCAAAAGACTTCAGGAAGGTATAGAGCTGGTTTGCTCCATGATTTATACCAATTAATGATGGAAAATAAAGATGATCTTGCTAAATTGGTGGTCCTCGAAAATGGGAAACCTTATGCTGATGCCTTAGGTGAAGTTACTTATGCTGCTTCATTCTTCCAATGGTATAGTGAAGAGGCACCTCGAGTCTATGGAGATATCATTCCTTCTTCAAACTCCACAAATCGAATCCTTGCCATAAAGCAACCAATAGGAGTATGTGGAATCATGACCCCCTGGAATTTCCCCCTTGCTATGATTACCAGGAAGCTTGGTGCGGCAATTGCTGCTGGATGTACTTCTGTGATTAAACCAGCTTCGGAAACTCCCTTATCCGCCACGGCATTGGGGTATTTGTCTCAATTGGCAAAAATCCCTCCTGGGGTCGTGAACATTCTTCCTGCTGCTGAGTCTTCCTCGGTGGGGAAACTCATCACTGAACATCCATTAGTCCTGAAAGTCTCATTTACTGGGTCTACAGCAGTAGGGAAAATCCTTATGAAACAATCTGCGTCAACTTTAAAGAAACTCTCGATGGAATTAGGTGGTAATGCACCATTAATTGTATTTAACGATGCTGATATAGACAAGGCAGTTACTGGTGCCATAGCCTCAAAATTTAGATCTAGTGGACAAACGTGTGTTTGTGCCAACAGATTATTTGTGCATGAAGATGTATATGAGGAATTCAGCAACAAGCTTGTGGCTAAGTTAGAAGAAACTACCACCTTGGGTAATGGGTTTTCTCCTGATGTCACTCATGGCCCTGTGATTCATGATAGGTCAATGAAGAAAGTCAGACAACATATTGAAGATGCAGTCTCCAAAGGCGCCAAAGTTTTGTATGGTGGATCCACCCGTCCTGATCTTGGTGAAAATTTTCATGAATTGACAGTCTTGGGCAATGTAACCACAGACATGTTGATTGCTCAAGAAGAAACATTTGGTCCAGTGGCACCATTGATCAAATTCTCTACCGATGAAGAAGTTATTCAATTAGCTAATGATACTCGGGTTGGTTTGGCTGGTTACTTCTATGCCAATGATGTAACTAGGATATTCAAAGTGGCTGAATCATTGAAAGTTGGGATGATTGGTGTCAATACCGGAGCAATATCAGAAGCTTCGTTGCCTTTCGGAGGTGTTTCTGAATCTGGTTTTGGAAGAGAAGGTTCTAAGTATGGGATTGATGATTATTTGATTACAAAGAGTGTTGTTCTCGGAGGAATAGATTAAATAGTGCAATCTACTATTTTTTATTCACTTATGATATGTAGAAAGGAAGTCAGAAGGTTTTTGTACTTCGTACATCTAATTCTATTTTTTTTTATTTTTTGCAACTCTAAAAAGCGATTAATCATAGTTGTATATAGTATTAGGTAGTATAACCAAGTCTAGCATAATACTTGTGGAAAAATTAGCTAATGACGTGCTTCAGCTCTTCTGTTAGTGGTTCTTCTTGAATTGGCAAGGCGGGCTTGGGGTATTGCTTGCTTTCCTCTATCTAGAAATTGTAGTCTTTCAATTGCTTAAAGTCCCGTTAATCTTCCACAGAAATAACAAGTTAGAAACAGAACAAAAATTTTGAGAAAGAGCAACTATACTTTTCATATTATAAATTATGCTATGAAATTAGTTCTTTATTATTATACAATCTTTACTATCTATTCTTGTCTTACAAATAGTTGTGCCTTCAGTTTCATTGCGATGTTAAGCAGTATTACCCAGAATGTCTGTTTGCAATGAATTCGCAGCCACTTTTAGGGTTTATATTTGATTCTCTACTTCCTTTACTATTTGTTGGGAAGTTTCGACAACTTCTGTTGGTTGCACTGCCTGTGGTTGTTGTTCAATTTGTTCCGGCTGCTTTGATTCCACGATTTCCTCTGTTTGCTTAGTCTCACTTGAAACTTGCGTTTTATTTATATCGATTGCAGGCACATTAACACCTGATACTCTATGATATTGTTCAATTCCTGCTATCAAAACTTTGTCTTCCTCTAATACCTTGTGCTGTTTCAAGATTGGATTTAAATCTGTCAACTCCAATTTATGCTCTAATCTATTTTGAAGATCTTTCAGCAACTCTGTAATTGGATCATTGGCTATGATGTTACCTTCTTCTTTCTCTTTCGTTATGTCACTTTTCAAATCATCAATCATCCCCTTAAGGTCAACCTCCTTCTCAGTAATTCTTGACAATTCAATTTCTGAACCTCTGAATGATCTTCTCATCAAATCATTGTTTTCAACAAAATCAACACATGCAATAGACTTAAATGTGAGTGAATATAGGCCTCCTTCGAGTGTCACTCCGTTTATGATTGATGAAGGAAAGTTCTTTAATGTTGCTGGAGATTGTTCATATTTTGTTGGTGGAAAACTTGGTGGGATTATATTTGGATCATTCACCTTGTTATATTGATTAGAGGTAGCATCTCGTGATATGGTGGCTATTTTTTGACGTTTCAAATGTCTTCCCATGTTGATGTTATTATTTGTTGCTAACCAACGGGTCTAGATGTTTTGATTATCAACCTTGTAGAAAAAGTAGGGTGGAAAAAAATTGTTCAGCTGTTTTGGGGTATTGCACGACCCCTTATGTATTTACACCAAAGAAAGATAACTGCCACTCATGGTTGTTTCATGGAATGTTATAGCTTAACTACCAAATTATGTTCAAAGCTTAGCATCTGCATCACTCATAAGCCCATGTCAATGTTCTACATTTACTGCAGTTTAACTAGTAAGCTTGACCATTAGGACCTTGCGTGTTCAGATCCAAATACAAATTAGTGTCAATTTGGTAGCGTATATTGATATTAAAAGTAAATATTAAAAACACTTAAAATATTTGTTCATTTACTAATTGTATCGCTGCATGTTAGTGATGGTATTTTACATAGTTAACATATGGTGCTAATTGATACATTCCAGTTATAAATCCGGCTTGTAAACAATCTCGTAAACAAGGATAAACAAATGACTCGCCTGGCTCTATATGTTTTGATTTGTATCGGAGATTAATTCTCATGAAATAGAATTTTGCTGGGCTTAAATCCGATGGACAGCTCCGTATCATGTGAGGTGATTAATTTTGTTTTCAAATTGGTTTGTGCACGAACTCCTTTTGATATTTTTTTCTAACTTAAATCCGTCTACTAACAAAAGTTGGTTTTGCGTCAAATAATTTTTAAAAGGTTGCAAAAACCAGTGACTTCAAAAGGCTGATCCGTAACAACCCCTGATTGGGTGACTTTGTGTTTTGATGCAGGATGTGTCTGGTTGTTAACTTTCTTTTCTAATTCTTAGCAATCCTTATAAAAGGCTGCAAACCGTCTTCCAGCAAATTTGAGGTCTAATATTCTAAAAAGACAATTCAATAACTTTGAAGTTTTTAGATTTTTATATCAAACTTTTGTTACTAAAAGAGTTCTGAATGTTTAAAGAAGACTATTTAACTAATTCTGGCTCATTTGAGGCTAACCCTCACGAATCATACCTTGGTTTCAATGAAGAAGCCAGTGACGATGTTAGACAATTAGCTAGAAAAATCACCCAAGACTATGCAACCTCTGACCAATCATCTTCTGTCCCGTACTTATCATCCAACGATGTAGTACCAGCTATTAATCCTTATCAAGACGAATTAACTGGTCTGAACTTGGATCCAGAATCTCCTAAATTTGATTCAAAGTATTGGATCAAGAATTTAAAAGCATTGTATCAATCAGATCCAGATTATTTCAAGCCTAACAAGTTAGGTGTTGCTTTTAGAGACTTGCGAGCTTATGGAATTGCTAATGATTTTGACTATCAAACTACTGTTGCCACTGGTTTAATCAAGTTTGTTGTTGACGGTCTGAGATATTTTAGAAAGGATGACAAGTCCAGATACTTTGACATCTTGAAGCCTATGGATGGTTTATTACGACCAGGTGAACTTACTGTTGTCCTTGGTAGACCTGGTGCTGGATGTTCAACCTTGTTGAAAACATTAGCGGTTAATACTTATGGTTTTCAAGTTGATAAAGATTCTAAGGTTTCTTATGATGGTTTAACTCCTGATGAAATTGAAAAGCATTATCGTGGTGATGTAATTTATTCTGCTGAAACTGATGAACATTTTCCTCAATTGACTGTAGGTGATACTTTGGAATTTGCTGCCAGGCTTAGAACTCCCCAGAATAGAGGTTTGGGTGTTGATCGTGAAACTTATGCTAAACACATGGCAAGTGTTTACATGGCAACTTATGGTATCTTAAGACAAAGAAATACACCAGTTGGTAATGAGTTTGTGCCTGGTTGCTCTGGTGGTGAACGTAAAAGAGTTTCAATTGCTGAAGTATCCTTAAGTGGTGCTAATATACAATGTTGGGATAATGCTACTAGAGGTCTAGATGCTGCTACTGCCCTAGAATTCATTCGAGCTTTGAAGACTTCGTCGGCCGTTTTAGATGTGACTCCGGTTATTGCTATTTATCAATGTTCTCAAGATGCTTATGACTTGTTTGATAATGTTTCTGTGTTATATGGTGGACATCAAATCTTCTTTGGTAAAGCTAACAAGGCCAAAGAGTACTTTACTAATATGGGTTGGTATTGCCCTGAAAGACAAACCACTGCTGATTTTTTGACTTCTTTAACCAATCCAGAAGAACGTGTTGCAGCTCCTGGTTATGAAGGTAAACTTCCTAGAACAGCTCAGGAATTTGAATCATATTGGAAGAAGTCCTCGGAATACCTAAGCTTGATTGCTGATATTGATGAATACTTTGTTGAATGTGAAAAGTTAAATACCAAACAAGCTTATCATGATTCTCATGTTGCAAGACAATCAAACCATATTTCACCGAGATCTCCTTACACTGTCTCATTTCCTATGCAAGTCAAGTATATCATGGGTAGAAATTTTTTAAGAACTAAAAATGATCCTTCAATTGCAATATTTACAGTTGTTGGTCAAGGTATGATGGGGTTGATTTTATCTTCTATATTTTACAATTTAGATCAAACAACCAATTACATGAACTATCGTGGTATTGCTTTATTCTTTGGTGTTTTATACAATGCTTTTGCTTCCCTTATGGAAATTTTGTCACTTTTTGAAGCTAGAAATATTATTGAAAAGCATAGAAAGTATGCTCTTTATAGACCTTCGGCTGACGCTATTGCTAGTGTTATATTTGAGCTTCCAATTAAGTTCATGATGTCCATCACTTTTAACCTTATATTCTATTTCATGATCAATCTTAGAAGAGAACCGGGGAGGTTCTTCTATTATTGGTTAATGGCTATTTGGTGTACCTTGATTATGTCACATTTGTTTAGATGTATTGGTTCTTTGGTAACTACTGTTGCTCAAGCAATGACCCCAGCTACTGTTATGTTGTTAGCTATGGTTATGTATACCGGCTTTGTGATTACAACAAAGGAAATGTTGGGATGGGCTCGTTGGATTAACTATATCAATCCTGTGGCATATGTATTTGAATCATTTATGGTGAACGAATTCCACGGTAGGTATTTTGAATGTTCCAATTTTGTTCCATCTGGCCCTTCGTATGACAATATCACATTTATCAATAGAGTGTGTACTGCTATTGGGGCTCAACCTGGTGAATCATTGGTTAGTGGAACAACCTATTTAAAAATGGCCTATAACTATGATAATACCCATAAATGGAGAAATTTGGGGATTTGCATTGGTTATGCTTTATTCTTTTTGGTTGTTTACATAATGTTGACAGAATTCAATAAGGGTGCCATGAAAAAAGGGGAAATCACATTATTCCTTAGATCATCATTAAAGCAATTGAAAAAGAGAAAAGAGTTGGCTGCTCAGAAACAGGATATTGAAAGTGCATCAAATGAAAAGGTTCCTTTAGCTGAAGATCTTGCAAATTCCGATTTTGAAAAGAAGGAAATTGTTGAATTGAGTGAGAATGGCCTAACAGGTGAAAATGAAACATTTCTCTGGAGAGATTTGACATATGAAATCAGAATAAAAAAGGAAGATCGAATTATCTTAGATCATGTTGATGGTTGGGTCAAACCTGGTGAAATTACTGCCTTAATGGGTGCAACAGGTGCTGGTAAGACAACATTGTTGAATTGTTTGTCTGATAGGCACACTGTTGGAGTTATCACTGATGGTGTCAAAATGGTCAACGGTCACTCCTTAGATTCTTCATTCCAGAGATCTATTGGATATGTTCAACAACAAGATCTACATTTACAAACTTCGACTGTTAGAGAAGCTTTAAAGTTTTCTGCTTATTTAAGGCAATCTAACACCACTCCTGACAAAGAAAAAGACGCTTATGTTGACTATATCATTGACTTATTAGAAATGTCTGAATATGCAGATGCAATGGTTGGTGTTGCTGGTTCGGGATTGAACATCGAGCAAAGGAAAAGATTAACTATCGGGGTTGAATTAGTTGCCAAACCCAAGTTATTATTATTCCTTGACGAACCTACTTCTGGTTTAGACTCTCAAACAGCATGGTCTATTTGTAAATTAATGAGAAAATTGGCTGATCATGGTCAAGCAATTTTGTGTACGATCCACCAACCTTCAGCATTGTTACTAACTGAATTTGATAGACTTTTGTTTTTGCAAGAAGGTGGTCAAACTGTGTATTTTGGTGATTTGGGTGAGAACTGTCAAACTTTGATTAATTACTTTGAAAAATATGGAGCTGACGCCTGTCCAAAAGATGCAAATCCAGCTGAATGGATGTTAAAAGTTGTTGGTGCTGCACCTGGGTCTCATGCTGAAGCTGATTATTTCCAAGTTTGGAGAAAATCTGAAGAATACAACGAAATTCAATCTGAATTAGATAAGATGGAGGTAGAGTTAGCTCTATTGCCAAAAAACAATGACCCTGAAGCACATTTAAAATATGCTGCTCCTTGGTGGAAACAATATGTGATAGTAACCGCAAGAACACTCTTGCAGAACTGGAGAACTCCAAGTTATATATATTCCAAATTGTTCTTATGCTTAGGTACCTCATTGTTTAATGGGTTTTCATTCTTTGGAGGACATCTCTCTTTGAGGGGTTTACAGAATCAAATGTTTGCTATTTTCTTGTTTTATGTTCCTTTCAATACAATGCATGAACAAATGTTGCCTTATTTTCTCAGACAAAGAGCTGTTTATGAGATTAGAGAAAGACCAAGCAGAACATTTAGTTGGTTTGCTTTTATTTCTGCACAATTAACTTCAGAAATCCCTTACCAAATTGTGGTTGGTACTTTATCTTTCTTTTGTTGGTATTATCCTTCTGGTCTTTACAAAAATGCCCTGCCTACCAATGAAGAAGAATCACGGGGCGCATTAATGTGGCTATTGGTTGTTAGTTTCTATTGTTATATCTCCACCATGGGACATTTCTGTATTTCCTTTGTTGAGAGAGAAGAAAATGGTGCTAATATGGGTCATTTCTTATTCCAAATGTGTTTAATGTTCTGTGGTGTTTTAGCTGGACCCGCTCAATTACCAGGATTTTGGATTTTTATGTACAGATGTAATCCGATCACTTACCTTACTCAGGCTATGATGGCTGTTGGGTTAGCCAACAATCATGTTGTTTGTGCTCCACAAGAGTATGTTTCCATTAATCCTCCTGATGGAATTTCTTGTGAACAATTCATGGAAGATTATATTCTGAAAGCTGGTGGTTATATCCTTGCTGATGAAGCTACAGGACAATGTCAGTTCTGTCAAATGAATAATACTAATGAGTTTTTAGCATCTGTGGGATCATTTTACAGTCAAAGATGGAGAAACTATGGAATCTTTGTTGCCTTTATCGCAGCTAATGTCTTGTTTAGTATCTTCTTGTACTGGTTAGGAAGAGTTCCAAAAGGAACTAGAGAACGTAAGAAGGTGACGAAAGATGAATCTAAAGTTGGAAGAAGATGGTTACTCTGATTTCAAGTAAGCTTGGTTGTGCTTTTGCTACTATTGTACTGATTGATAAATATTAAACCTGCTTTAGTTGTTTAAGTAAATAGGAAATTATAGAGTTCGTTATGCTTTTAGAAATAATATTCTCAAAATGTCTGCAGATGTGGGAATTATAGTTATATGCTGATATCGAGCACTTGGTATCGATTGAAAGCCAATTAGTTAGAATACTTGATCTTGACTACTGATTATTACTTTGACATGACACGTGTAAATTTTAAGTATCTAAAGAGTCAAGAAAATACAAATAGAACTGAATAGAAATTTTAACACCAAAATTGTAATAATATAAAGCCGCCGAGTCCACTTTAACTCATTCCCTCTACTAACGATTCTTCAATACCGTCTAGTAAACCATCGATATCTTCAATTCGTAAGCCACAACTCAAACTGATCAATTTACGGTATTTGTACATTTGCTCATCAACTGCAAATAATTTGGTTCTTTCACCAATTTCACGAACAAGTTTGTTCCGGTTCAACTGCAAACGAGTCAATTCTATAGCATCATTGAATCTAGTCTCTGGTGAGCTATCCTCTTTAGAAGCTTTTTCCATTTGTAGGGTTTCTTCGGCATGAACGAGGTTAGCAAGTGTAAAAGCTTGGTTTCGTTCCAAGACTCGATGGAGAGCTATTTCTTTATCGCTCAATGCATTAATAGCGTAGTTTATTTTATCTATAATCACATTTTGTCCTTCTTCGACAGTTTCAAATGCTTCTTCTATCCCTGAAAGACCAAGGAGTTTCTTTAATGAATCGATGGATTCTTGATTTTCATTATTTTTCGTTTCCACCAAGTGATTAAGTTCGCTGAGTTGTTTCTCCAAACTATGCATTTCCTGTGAATATACTCCACCAAGAGAATTGATCATTCCAGTTATCATTGATGCCAAATCGGTCATTTCTAATTTCTTGATGGATTGCGGATCGTCACTCTTACCATTCAGAACTAATTTCCCATTCTTATCCAATTCAGGAGGGTTTGGCTGGTGAGGTACAATGTATTTTTCATGTATAACTGATAATTGAGGGGATTTCGTAATTTTCATTCGTGGGATAGGGGTAGATTTATTGGACTTGTTGATAAATACATTATCATTATTCAATGCGTCTAAATGTTTCTTGTCTACCCGTGCTACAACTTCGTCGTCATCGTCGTCATCTTCTTGGATTGTTCTTTGTGTATCTGGAGTTTCTGCTTTGAAATTCAGAACTGGAGTAGCTACTACTTGGTTGTTATAATATTGTGACTGCTGTGGTTGTTGAATTTCAGATTGATTTTGAAATTGTTGTCGGTAAACTACTGGCATATCCATTGTATTTTCTGGAATTAAACCATATTGAGAAATTAACATTTTACATGTCTCTCTTTGAACGTTTTCTAAATCATCTCTAGCTCCATATTGTAAAAACAATTGAACAATTTTAGCACAGCCAGCTTTGACAGCAATATGTAGACAGGTATCTCCATTGACATCTTGATGATTCAACACATTCTTAAGTAAATCAATTTGTTTTACTTGATGAGTAGATAGCATGGTCAATTTATTCAAAATTGCATTCAAGTAATACCTCAAGCTTTCGAATTTAGTTTTAATTTTGGAAAATTGAGCTAAATAATGTAATGGCGTGCGGCCATTTATATCAGTATTAATGAGACACAACTCCAAATCATCGAGAACTTTAGGGAAATTCTTCAATTCAAAACAGTTATTAAAAGATATCAATTTTGAAAGTGGATTTAATCCAAAATTGTTAACAACAAGAGGATTTGCTCCCTTGGATAATAATAAATGAATCATTTGGTAGTTTCCAATAGAAGCAGCCCAGTGCAATGCAGTATGTCCTTCATCATCAATTGGCTCGTTAATATTGAAATCTGCAGGAGGATAATGCACAAAATAAGGAACTTCGGAATTGTCTTCGCTGAAGAATTTCAATAATTGAGCAGCATATGTGCTTGGTTGATGTTGCTCATCTTTGTCTTGAAGTGGTGGCATTTTCAACTCTTCGGAATTGATTGAAGTATCACTTTCTCGTTGAGACCAGTTAGTATCATTTGAAGATTGTGAGGACAGTCCTGGTGCTCCATTGGCATAGTGAAGTGGGACTTGTGGTGCTTGTTGCTGCTGCTGCTGTTGTTGTTGTTGTTGGGGTGGTGGTGGGGCTTGTTGTAATGATGTTTGAGCTTGTTGTGGTGCATGTGCTAGTGGAGCTGAGATAGGATATTGTCCATTTACATTATAAAATTTTTGATGTTCCATAGGAATTTGTTGAAGATCTTGCATAGGCATTTGAGAATAGTTGTATTCATTAGTATAGTTTCCGTCATTACCATTCATATGGGGAATATATTCTTGGTGAGTGTACGTTCCTTGAGAAGGAGGTAACTGTTGTTGAGGAATTTGTTGATGAGGATGTCCTTGCAGAATGGGCGCGCCTGGCACCATACCAACAGATTGAGTGTGCTGATGCTGAGGCATCTGCTGTTGTTGTGGCGGTTGTTGCTGTGGTGGATACCCTTGTATATATTGACCATTTGTAGGTTGAATGTAAGAATTTTGTCGAGATATGGAACTGAAAGAATCTCTAGAAAAAGAACTGTTTGGATCGTTATCAAGATCTTTCTTATCCTTCTTATATTTCTTATTTGGCATCTCACCCAAAGGTTTGATTTTCTTGACATATTTCCTCTTGACGAGTGATGGTTCCTTTGGTTGTGGTTTGGCCTTTTGAGGAATTACCAAGTTGGGATCACTGAAATCCATAAATAGTACTGGTGCCAATTCTTTTGTAACACCATAGGTGGTTGCCAACCTACGTGCATCTTCCAATGGAATCCAAGTTCCTTGAAATCTACCAAACCCCCCTTGAACCTTTTCATGAGATCCCAGTTGAACTCCCTTTTCTAAAATTTTTGTTCTTTTGGCCTTGGGAAAATTACAACATTTAAGAATTTGAGTAGCATTCACCCAATCATCTTTACATCTCCTCATAATCGGAGAGTCATTCATAGTACATTCATATACATCGGTCTTGATTGATATGTTAGTATATATGTTCTTGTAAAAATTTGTGTTGCTATTAATAGCGTATGAGACGCGTCATGAAATTGTATGTGGAGATTTTGGAAATCCAACCTGTGAAAAGAGGATTGGAAAATGCACCACTAGATCAGCGCAACCAGGGACATAATTTGCAGTACATACATTTGAGTATGTGGCTCGAAATACTCGCGGAGCTTCTGACATGTTGATAGTTATAGATGCTGCCACTGTAGGTAGTTTTTGGAAGAAGAATCGGTTCTTATCAAAATTTCTAGCTAGTTAAAGGCATGAGAAAGTTTTCAAGTTTTTTTTTTGGTTTTTTTTTCTGGTGGTGGGTTCGGGTTTTTCCGATTAAAGAAAAATGTGTGTGAATTAATTTACGACCAGCAAGTTTTGTTGCGCACCACCGAACAAAACAGAACGCGTGAGCCATTAAGACTTTTTGGGTTTACACGGATGCAACAAAGCTTATAAGTCTAAGAGAAATAAGAATTTTATGACACTTGTAGTGGTATGATATACTATTGTTTAACTTGAAATATCATGAATCAGTTGTGTAATAAACCTGATGACTTTGTGTTTTTTTTTTCCAAGTTGAAACAGGTTGATTTGTCTCAGATCAATATCTTTCTGTCGCAAGTATTGGTACAACATGATTTTGCTTTACTGAATATTCTGGGCAGATCAATTATCTTGGCCCAGATCAGTCAAAATGCTTTTTTGTTTTTCTTGAAGCCAAGTGGAATTTAAAGGACCAAACAGTCAAACCAAAAAAAAAGTAACTAGTTTTGTTCCACTTCTTGCTAACAACGAACCAACTTTCTATCTTTTGTATTGGTAATAGATCTACATGTGTTGAAAAAAAAAATAGGGGGTAGTGAGGCTACATTGACAATATCTAGTGTTGTCGTATATATACAATAACTTTCAAGATCATATCGGAAATACGAATCATGGATGTTCCCTCCAACCGTCAAAAATAGCAAACAAATGTTGACGAATATTGCGATAGCACCACGTTGCAATTTTTGTCTTTGCAGCACAGGTTGAGTTGTCAACCCTCTCTGATAAATCTTGGGATTCAAAGTATGGAACTGTATGCTCGTTTGGCTGCTAAAAAAAAATAATGTGAAATCGAACCATATGAATGGATTTTAGTTATACAGATTACGAATCAACTAAGCCACAACTTTATCAAGCCAAGACTTAAATCTGACGTCAGATTTAAACTTTCCTTTCAAAGAATCACCTCATATATATGGTTAGTTTCTAACGAAGTCAATAGTTCATCTTACAACAACGTTGTCTAGTAAGTAGTTGGTATTGTGACTCTATTTCATCTGATAAATGATGAACAAGGCGGAGCTAATTTCCCACCATTGTTTTTTTCTTTTTGTCTACCGAGCTAATTGTAAATTTGCCTTTGACAAAATGCGGCTTTGCTCTCTGATATATGAACGTGAGGCTGATTTAGCGTATGATAATACTTCTTCTGCAAACTAATGCCTCAACCAGTACCCCCCACGATCGTTTAAACCCAGATTCCAAATAATGACATCATAACTTAGCTCGTCATTTAGACTGTTAGAAATATTAATTAGTCCTGCACATAGATTTTGTTACGATTCCCAATTATTACTCTAGGGGGTCACACAAGTCTGATAACGTTGTAGAAGTTGATATATCTTGAAGAAAATTCTTCAAATTGACTTGATTTACATATATAAGCCTTGTATTGGTATGTTGCGTCCCCACTTTCCCCTTTTCAGTCCGTTGTTTTCATTTTGTTGATCATTTTCCCCATATGTTTCAAGATTTCTTTTTAGGTTTGAATGTTTTTCTTTTTTTTTTTTTCTTTTGTCATTGTTTCGGTTTTTGGTCTTGAGCCAGAGTTCCATATTTACGTGTCACTTCAATACCCTCGTGGTTAGCTTATTTATTTCTGCATTTATCTTATCATCTTCTTTTTCACTACTTGACAACAAGCACAATATATCAAAGTATAAATATACCCCCTTTATATTTTTTGTGGTTTGCTGTTCTTTCCTCTGCTAGTCTCATTACATTTTTTTATAGTCTTTACATTTAGGGAATTACTTGGGGAGCATATCATAGAAAGGTGGTTAATCAGACGTCACCATATTTAAAGTAATTCGCTATCAGCATATCAAACAAAATGATAAAGGAATCAACACAGTCGAAGCGTAAACCTTCTCATCTTGGAATTCAACAACCAGATGAGAAAGAAGTCACAGGTACAATTGTTATGATGGATGACCCAGATGATGGTGACGAGGATCTCATGTCTATGAAGAGATCTGCAACCGGTATTATATTGAACCCTCAACCTCATGAATCACCTAATGATCCTTTAAATTGGCCAGTTTGGCAACGTGATCTTTGTTTGGCTACTGTTGGGTTTATTAGTTTTATTGGAGGAGGTCAAACACCTTTATTGGCAGCAGGTTTAAACACCTTGCTGCAGGAATTTAACAAACCTTTAACTACCATTGCTTATTTAGTTGGTGGGTTTATGTTATCCATGGGTGTTGGTTCTGTTTTCGCTAGTCCTACAGCCGTGTTGTATGGGAAACGTATAGTTTATCTTGGTGGTACCTTTCTTTTCATGGTGGGAGCAATTTGGGGTGCTGTAGCTAAAGATTTTGGTAATCTTATGGGGGCAAGAGTCATTACTGGTTTAGGTTCATCTCCTACTGAATGTTTGCCAAGTTCTACAATTGCCGAGATCTATTATGCTCATGAGCGTGCTTATAGAGTGGGTTTATATACCATGTTAATGTTGGGAGGTAAGAGTATTATTCCCTTGATTTCTGGATTGATTTTTCAAGGATTGGACAGACACTGGTTATACTGGATTTTAACCATAGCTTTGGGATTATGTTTGGTGTTAATTTTCGTTTTTGTTCCAGAAACTTTCTGGGATAGAACTCCTTTGCCAAACAAAAGATCTCAAGAAGAAACTAAAGCAGCAAGGAGTGTCAAAACCTACCACCCACCAGAATTAAGACCCAACGCATTTGCTTTACACCGTCCATCTCGTCAAGATGTCTTGGATATTCACACTTTATCCTCCACGGAGGATCAAGTACAAGAATATGGTCCAGTAGGTGTCACTGAAACTCACGAACCTCATCTTGAACAGCAACAACAAACTCATGAAAAAGATTCATATATGAAACGAATTGCCTTTTATCTGGGCCGTAAAACTCAAGACAGTTGGTGGATGGTGGCATTACGTCCATTCTTTTTGTATTCTTACCCTGCTATTCTTTATGGTTCCTTCATTTACTCCCTTGCTGTGGTTTGGTTGATTGTCATTTCAGAAACAATTTCTGACATCTTTAGGCATCCACCATACAATTACTCACAAATGACTGTTGGGTTGTTCTATGTATCTCCTTTTATTGGCGGTATCTTGGGTGCTCTTAGTTGTGGTTTAATTTCCGATAGATTATCAAGATATTTGGTTTCCAAAAACCATGGTGTCTATGAACCTGAATTTCGTCTTTTCATGGTTATTCCTTCCACCTTTTTTATTGCATTCGGGTTAATGGGATATGGGTGGTCAGCATTTGCTGAAGATTTATGGATTGGTCCAGTCCTTTTCTTTGGTAGTATCAGTTTTGGTAGTTCAATGGCAAGTACTGCAGCAATTACATTTGCTGTTGATTCTTATAAAGTTTTTGCTGCTGAAAACCTTGTTTCATTCAACTTTCTTAAGAATTTACTTGGGTTTTGTTTCTCGTTATTCAACAATAAGTTTGCAGATAGCCAAGGTTATCGTAATTCATTTGTTGTCTATGGATGTATTCAAATCTTTGTCAGTTTGTGGGGTATCCCATTATATATTTATGGTAAACGTTTGAGAAGATGGACTGATGAAAAAGAAATCATGAGAGCATTGTATCATGTTGACAATATACCCCCTAGTGTTGGAACTAAGACACCAAGAAAGCTTAGTTCGGAAGACGATAGTCTGTTATGATTATTTTAAATACGTTTATTGAAAAAAAAAGTATATTTTAATTCTATTTGATGTATTCATACCCAAGTAAACAGAATCTCGCTAAAGTTGGGATTCTGAGACTTATATATGTCTAGTCTCTCTGATAGAGATTTTCTGTTTATCAAGTCGCTATTGACCTTGGGCATTCCTAGTTGCTCAATTATGCAACCACTGGCAATATTTCCTGCAATACCTGCAACCTGCCAATTTCCTCCACTTAAGTAGTACCCCATTATAAACCCACCACAGAACGAATTGCCTCCTCCAGTTACATCTACTACATTATCCTGGTTCTGGTGGTATGCCGGAAGATCGTAAGTTCTGCCATCCTTGGTTCGGATATGGCAACCTAGTTTACCACAACGAATTACTGTGCCAGAATCAGGGAGCTGCAACCATTGGTTGAATTCTTCGGCTAATTCATCTGGATAATTGGCATTTGTACTTTTAAGCAATTCTCCTGCTTCTTCCAAATTTGGGGTAAATATGTGAATCTTGGGAAGCACGCGTTTCAAACGGTCCAAATTTTCAGACTTGCAATCGTCAGGAAGCGGTTCATAGATAAATATCTTCGCTTCCCTACTTTGGTTATGTTTATTCAACCTATCTATTATTTCTTCACATCTCAGGATTGAACAAATCAAATGATAGCATTTGCTAGATTCTAGCTGCTCAAACTGTAACACATCATCAACTTCAATTTGTTTCTTAGGCGACTTGTAATAAAAAGATCGTACTTCATCTTCATTATACACATTGACACCATGTGTCGTCAATCGATCCTTGCAATCACGAATTATCACCCCAGTAGACCATGATTGGATTTCTTGCTCTATACTTTCAGGGAAGTCAGTCCCACGGTCAATTATTCCCGAGATGGAGTTCGAGTATTTGCTTGTTGCGATTATTCGTGCTCCCATGATGGCATATGGACCAGCCCCGCCTATTTGGTCAAGAACAGGTGGTTTATTCCAAGAAGGCGGGTATTGGATCTCATCAATGATGAACATCCCCAACGTTGCTAAAATTGTTGACATGGTGATCTGCGGTGCTTATCATCTTGATCAGTGAGAAAACAATTGGATGTCAGAAATTTTAGTGCGTCAATTCGGTTGCGGCAACTAAAAAGAAAAATAGTTACAATTTGCAATCAGTAATTGTCCATTGTATTCCATAATTATTCTATAAATATATATATATATATTATTAATAATTGCTGTATAGAACACTTCGCTGCTGGAGAATTTGCTCTCTATTATACCTCAGGATTGGTTCTAGATTTTCCCACTTTTTTTCAATGATCCGAGTAACTCTCGAAGGAGATTTATACCTCTTCTTGATGGCTAACTTCAGCAGTATCATCTTCAGCATCATATTCAGCGTCATATTCTTTCATATAAAATGTTTGCAAGCTATATGCCAATGCCAATAACCCTAAAATAAACCATGAAAGTCCTCCCACACTATAATGTTCACAGAAAGTCATAAGGTAACCCCATGAAATAGGTCCAATGCATCTTGCTAACGAATTCAAACTCAACCCAGTTCCATTAATAAATGCTCTGTGTTTAGGATGAGCTGCTCTGTGCATTAATATTAAAAGATTTGGAAACCCCACCGCGATCGAGCAAGAAGTCATGCAACACAACATATAAAGCAAGGTTTTCGTAAGCCAAGGAGGGTATCTTTCATCATAACCACTTCGAGTGAATATCAAATATGGTAATATGGTATAAGAAATGGGGAAAATAATGGTTGATAAACGCAAAGTTGTAATTGTCTTGTAATTACGATCAAGATATGGGAAAATGAACAAAATTCCAAGAGCACCAATTAAACCAGTGCTGGAAAGTAAATTCCCAATCATATTACTATCATATCCAAACCCACCGATAATAGTAAATGGGAATTTCAACTTTTCAGGCATAAATTGACCAGCTAATAAAACTGGAAGGAATTCAGTATAGATCACATAATGCAAAGAACTAAGAAAGTTTGCAACAATAGTTTGCACAACTTGTGGAGTGAAAATATCTTTCGAGAAAGAATGATCAATGTTAGTAGTGATAATAGATTGGTTAGTAGTTGTTGAAGTAATCATAGGACCTAATTGACTCGAAGAATATCTTCGTGCCATGACTGCCGAATATCTTCTTAAAGGTGCAAAAGAATCGATGGAAGCGGTTTCTGCTTCGTCGTCATCATCGTTGTTGTCATCAGCAGCATCACTAACTGCTGAATTATATCTAGACTGTGAATTTTCTTCAATTAAAGGTGTTACTTCTGTTGTTTCGGTACGGGCCGGGTCGGTGATTCTGTTTGCTCGCTTTTTCTGCCAGGGTCTAACTGGCATTTCATAACCTAACATTTTCAATATGAAATCTCCAATTTCTAATCCGACATCTCTTCTCTTTTTAAATCTATCAGTTGGTTCTTCCAAGAACAAGAATCCTATAGTGAAACTAAAGGTACAAAATAATCCAACCAATATGTTAGACAATGCATAAGGGTGATTATTAAGGAAACGTTCATAAGCCAGATCTCCAGTGGATTCTGCCACTGAACTCATGAAAAAGTTGGCAATAAAACCAGCAGGTTCATCATCTCCACTATTCTTGGGTCTAGTCAAGTACTTTGACCCACCAATCATTGGCCCAATTACGGCTCCTATATTCCATAATAATGAATATGAAGAAAATGCAAGACCTTGATGTTTCTTTTCACGAGCAATTTCACCAATTGCTGTTCTTAATACTGCCACATTCCCATTAAGACATCCCATAAGGGATCTAGCAAACATGGCTACATAAAAGTTTGGGGCAAATCCAAAAATAGTAATTGAAATTGCGGTACCTGCCAATCCACAAAGCATTATCGGTTTTCTTCCTAGTTTATCAGATATTTTACCCCATTGAACACAAAATAAAAATTGAAATAATGCAAATGATGCTGCTAAGTATCCTGAGAATTTGGCAATATCAGCAGGAGTTTTGGCGATATTGAAATCTCGGATCATGAAATATAGATATGGGAATGGTGATGTGAATGCAAGAGGTTCTGAGAACCGCATACAGCTGATGACAAACATCTGCCATATGGGGAACCCTCTCATCTGTTCACGGAATGTCAATTTCGGTGTATCTTGTGGCATTTGTCCTAAAGATTGTAGTGTCAATCTTTTCCTTGGCAAGAATCAATGACCGTAAATTCTTTTTTTTATATGGGAACGATTTACGACGCGGCACCAGTGGAGGTATCTCCTTAAAAATGACTCACGTTTGCGTTCTGGTGAAAACATCAATTCACATTAAAAAACTACAAGGCTTAACAATAGAATAACTACTTTAAGTAATGAGTCAGAATACTTTCAGCTTTGTCTGATTGGTATACAATAACCTTTGATTGTTTATTTCTAGTTAGGGTTTGCTTACTCACAATATCTGCATATGAGACGGAATATATTGATTAGTAATGAATAATAAAAAATACTTAAAGGATAACTGAATTTATCCCCGGAAGTATCATATTACTTCTTGCCAACCCTCTGTGTGGCCAAATAATTACAAGATTAACAAAAATTAGCTCATATTATTTTTGCTCCGTAATCCCTCCACTTTTGTATATGGTAGCTCTGGGTTGGATGCTGCAAAAAACAAAAAAGCATTGCATGAAGTTACATATATAACTAAAGTTTTCGAACGACGGTTTGGTTTTAGTCTTACGGTTAATAGTTACATGCAAATTCCCATTTGATAATAAAATATATAATCTATAACCCATTTTTAGTTCCGATACTAAACTATAACCAAAACTTGTACATTTCTTAAACCTCACCTGCATCTTTTTCTTCTTCTTCGTCATAATCTCTCATATGCAATGCTTGGGTAGTACATACCAAAGCTAATAATGCCAACAAAAACCAAGATACTTCACCCACACTATATTTCTCTGCGGCAGTCATAATATAACCCCAAGAAATTGGTCCAATACATCTAGCCAATGAATTCATACTCAAAGCACTTCCATTAATAAATGCTCTGTGTTTAGGAGGTGATGCACGATGCATCAATATCATAATAGTAGGGAAACTGACTGATGCCGCACAGGTATTGTAACAACATAAACCGTAGAGAAGAACCAGGGTTAACCATGGTGGCAAATTGGAATTATAGCCACTTCTTGTAAAAATTAAATAAGGTAAAATGGTATAGGTGATCGGGAACAATAATGTTGACAACCTTAAAGTGGTTATGGTTTTAAAGTTTCTGTCGAGAATTGGAAACACAAACATCACACCAAGTGCACCCACCAATCCTGTAATTGAAAGTAAATTACCAATAGTGCTACTATCATACCCAAAACCTCCAACTATTGTGAATGGGAATTTCAACTTTTCAGGCATAAATTGACCAGCTAATAAAACTGGAAGAAATTCTGAATAAATAACATTATGCAAAGCAGTGAGGAAGTTAGCCATGATTGTTTGAAGAACTGGTGGAGTGAATATCTCCCGTGAGAAAGATTGTTCAATATTTGTAGTAAGAATGGAGTTATGTGTAGCTGAATGTGAAATCATGGGGCCCAACTGAGCTGAAGATAATCTTCGCACGAGGGCATTTGAAAAAGTTCTAGAAACGGGGCCAAATGAATCGATTGAAGCACCATCATCTGCGTCTTCCTCATCTAATGCGGAATAAACTTGTTCTGTTGGAACTGCTAAATGATCTTGAATCAATCTGGAATCCTCTGTTGGATCTTGTGTAGCAACATCATTTAAGGACTTATTTGCGCCTTTTTGTGCTTTTCTAATTTGCCATGGTCTTGGTGGTCTTTCGTACCCTAACTTTGAAAGTATGTAATCACCAAGCTCCAATCCGATATCTCTTCTTTTCTTAAATCTTTCATGTGGTTCTTCTAAAAACAAAAACCCGATGGTGAATCCAATCATGCAAGATACTCCAACAACTATATTAGATAAGGCATATGGGTGTTTTGTTATAAATCTTTCGTACAACAGATCTTGATTAGAAACAGTTTCCGATACAGTGGCCATGAAAAAACGAGCGACTAAAGGCACATCTTCTTCGCCCCCACTTTTAGGTCTTGTTAAATATTTTGAACCACCAATCATTGGTCCAATAACGGCACCTACATTCCACAAAAGTGTAAATGAAGAGAATGCAATACCTTGGTGTCTTCTTTCTGTGGCTATTTCTCCAATTGCTGTTCTTAATACTGCCACATTTCCGTTAAGACATCCCATAAGTGATCTTGCAAAAATAGCAACATAATAATTAGGTGAAAATCCGAATATTATAATAGACAACGCGGTTCCGGCTAATCCACATAATAAAATTGGCTTTCTTCCGTGTCTGTCTGATGCTTTACCCCACTGGACGCAACATAAAAATTGGAATAATGCAAATGAGGCAGCTAAATACCCCGAATATGTAGCAATATCAGCTGGGGTTTTTGCGATTTCAAAATCACGAATCATGAAATAAACATATGGGAAAAGTGATGTGAATGCGAGAGGTTCTGCAAATCTCATCAAACTGATTACAGCCATTTGTTGCAAGGGAAATCCTCGCATTTGCTCACGAAATGATAGCTTATTTGTAGCTTGTGACATATTCGAACTGGTTCATGTAGTTAGTTCCCTTTGTTTTGAAAAAGTCTATAAACCTGAAGAACACAGCGATTTGGTGCCATATTTATAATATTTACACGTACAATGGCTAAAAATTTTTTTTGTGGTGGCTAAGTGACGCAATAAATTGATTTCTATTATCATTGAATTAGCTATTGTTTAAAAAAATATGGGTAATTAATAAGCAATGACTACACCCGAGTAATTGCTTCTGAAGTGAGTCACAGTTCAAATACTGCAAAAGTGGTTTGTCAGAATAAGTAAAGTGACTCTTCTAGATGAAGAAGTTTCTGAAAGGTTTTAGATAATTTTTAACCTTAAAAAAAGGACAATGTTGCAAGATGCAGTAACATGTAAACATTGATAAGCCACCTTAGATGCCCCCCACTTCGTTTAATTTGTCAACGCGGTTGAAGAGACAACTCACTAATGTCATTGTTCAAAATTCAAATTTGAGATTGTGGAAAGATGTCTTTTTTACTCAACATGCATCGGTATAATTTCCCCATTCGGTATTTACACAAAGTGACCATTGCGCTCCGGCGAAATTATAGAACACCGGAGCAATAGACTCAATATGAATTACTAATACCTTATCGATGTACAACTTTCACCCCACATTCAAACTTTCTTTAAATATGTTTCAGACATGGAAATTATCTCATAAGGCTTAACTAACTCTGATTCGCAATAATTGGTTATTGTGCAGAGGCCCTAATATTTGTAGTCGTAGTTTCTTTTCTGTAACCATTGGGTATCCTTATTGGAGTCAAATTATCTTGGTGTAGTTTATATTTCAATTTTAATAGCATATGAAGAACTATAATGCTACTTAGATACTATAAAAATTGCTGATAAATCTGTATCTTCTTATGGTGATCAAAATTAAAGCTAATTCTCAAGAATTTTTTTCTGGAAAATCAACGAAATTTTGTGGAAATTGGTCAAATTTCTTTTGCAATCAATTCTTTCTCTGATTGAATAAATATTCAAATTAAAACATATTAGCATATAAAAAAGCATATGAATTAGATGAAATACTATAAAACGTCTCAATTTTAGGAAAATTGAAGGAATAAATTCAACAAATAGAAATCTTTTTGGTAGCGCAATGAAAGTGTACACAAAAAAGCAATTTCGCAATTTTTAAAAATAAATTTGCCCGCTTGGCCAAGTGGTAAGGCGCTCCACTCGTAATGGAGCGATCGCCGGTTCGATTCCGGCAGTGGGCAGTTTATTTTTCTTTTTTGATACTTTGTTACTACAGAAGGATAGGTATACACCAAGATATCTTAAATTAAACTATATTACTGCAATTGAATTATATATTCATTAGACCTATTTAGAAACTGTTGATGAATGAGGGGGCGGGGGTGGGGCAGTAACACTTTCCGAAGAATGAGTTTTAAATTCATCGTCTTTTATTTTTGATTTTTGCAATTCTTCATTCATATAGTCGCTCAATCCTCCAAGGTCAGCGGATAACGCATGCTTCTTCTTTCGAGCAGTTGCTAATCTAGTAGGCGATCTTGGGGTACTTGCAAGTGGTGGAAGAGTGGTTGTAATTGGGGGAACATTTGGCGGTTTAGGACTGACTGTATTATTAGCAGCAACTTCAGATAAAGGAACACTTGGAGGAACAAACACGGATGGTTGAGAATCAGGTTTTTGGTTAAGGTCATAAGTAAATTCTTTATTTGACTCAAAAATTGGATTCTCAGTAATTGTGTTATTTTCGAACTTTCCTATCACTTCTGGAATCCGATGTAAATAGCCATACCCGACATCACATCCCAATAATCCTTTACCATGTCCAGAACCCCAACTTCGACAAAGGTTGACAGTGACAGGACGAAGAATATCATATTCATGATTATAAACGTAAAAAGTTATGGGAATATTGTCTTCTTTTGAAATTGAATAATGATAGTTGTAGTAGCTCGAAACTGTCTTTGACAACAATGCTTCACCGCCTCCTATTATTAAACCTTTACCATATTCATCATCAGGATATGCTGAGTCGCATCCGATAATATAGTCGGAACGAGGAACTAATTGAGCCATGAAAGCCGGAGACCCTTGATGGGTAGTCAATATCCTCCATACAAATGTTGCTGAATTCAAATGGGCAGATTGTAAAGTCAAACCAAATTGTTTGAACTTATTTTCAAACAATTGTTGTACTGATCCTGTTTCAGTGGTGGTGGGAGTTGCTGTGGGAGGTGGTTGAAGTGGTAGGACAATCTGTCTGACTACCCCACCTTTGGCACTCCAGACATCAACAATAAGCTCTTGATCATGTTGAACCAATGTTGAAATCTCTTGCAATAACAATTCAAAATTAATGGATCCAGCTTGTTCACTTGTAGCACCACTACCATAGTTTAATGTTCCATCATCACTAATACTGTACGTGTAAGTGGATAAAGAAGGATAGGTCATAGGCAACTCATGATTATTTATTTTTATTATATAATCAAACCAGGACTCGAAACCTTTGGAATGGGCAATTGAATGAGGATTAACTTTCAACACTCGAAGACCATACCCCTTGTTATTTATTTCTAGAGCATCTTTAAAGTATGCGTCATTTTGGATAGGTTGTTCTTGGGGAACATTTCCTTCAAGTCTGTCAACCAATTTCTTTGCAAAGGAAAACATTTGAATGAATAGAGTGGATTAGATGTAGATAAATGTGAGAATGTAACCCTTGTCTTAAAGAACACAGTAATACAGTTCTGATATTTTTTTTTTGAGTCTTAAGAACAAAAGTTTAGGCAAAAAAAAATAATTTACTATTTTTTTTTTTTACAACCAATTTGTTTTCTAGATAGTTTACATTAAAATTATTGTACATATAAAGTCATTAAAAAAAGAGTCTAAAAGGTAAGACTAACTTGAGTTAAGAACCCCCGCTGAAAATGCCAAACTCCAGGTTCTACTTTGTCCATTATCCAAATAATCATTTGTGAAAGAATCGGATGCAAAGAAGTTATACGAGGAATTAGGATCGAACAATGCTTGATTCAATCTCAAGATACCAGCCCATCCATCTTTGACGTTATCGACAAATGTAGAAACTTGATCTTGCCATTCTTCTTGAACATATGAAGAAATTCTAACTAAGGATGAAGCAGGTGTAATAGGAAGCATGTGAATACCGTGAACATATTCAGGGTGTGTATCAGGAGTACCAAAGTAAGTTGTGTAGTCAACCTTGTTTTCAAAAAAGATACCACTAACCTTGTTGGGCAAGAATGATTGTGGTTGAACAGTGTTGTCAGACTTGTAGTAGAAGTATAAGTTGAATGCACGAGACATAATGGATAACATTAAACCACCTCTGGCTTCCATTGAATGGTCACCAATAACATTACCCCATAATTTCATACCATATGCAAAATTTATATCTTCAGAACTTGATTCTTGGTTCTTACCATCTCCACTAGCAAACAAACCAGCAGCCCAGGAATGACCATGGTACCAGTCAAACATTCTGGAAACAGGGAAATAGTTATCTTGTTCAGAAGGATTAGCAACATCTCTAACCAATGCATTAACCCATTCCTTGTTGTCTTCAGCCCAAGTACCATTCAATTGTTTGTCAACGTAACCAACAATAGCTGCAGCGTGAATAAAGTAACCGTAGTGGAAGTGATGGTCATTATAATAAGCAGATCCGAAATCAGCGCCGGTATCCCCATTTTGAGCGGAAGTGGATGTGACTCCACCGTATCTAGTATCATACATCAATGGATAATATTGCTTATTGCTGATAAATGTTGCAAAGGCATCCTTCATTGCCTGTAAAGTATCTTGGGTAACTTCCTTGTCTTGGATAATATCGTTGACTACCAAAAGAATATAAGCATATTTGTCAATAACCTTACCAGAAAAGTAGTTGGAATCCATATTCTCGACAGTATCTGGTATGTTTACCGCCAATTCATCATTGGCAGCCTTAGCAAATAATTGCAATTGAGAAGTAGTGTATTGCAATTTCTCAGTCATAGTTTGAGACCAAGGCAAGAATTGAATGTTAGTGTCGATTGTTTCAGCAAAAATCAATTCATTGGTCAAAAAACCGACCATATTACCCTTGGTTGTGGAAGCAATGGTAATTCCAGTATCTTGCAGAGTAACAGCACTAGTTAATGATTCGAGATGATGTGGTAAGGCAAAAATAATTGGTTTACCACTTGATGAAATTCCCGAAGTTTCATAGACAATCGAGTATTGAGCATTTGAGTCACAAGATACAGAACCTTCAACATCAGCAGTGGTAGCATACATACCAGCAGCAGCATCATAATAGGAATCTTGAGTGTCAACAGATGGTGCAACAGCAATTTGGATAACCAAACCATTGACATTTTTATTGGCTTGAAGATGATAGAAATCCTTGACTTCCAACTTAAAACTAGCATCCACTTGAGGTAATGTAATATATATCAACCATTGAACACCATTGAATAAAGTAGCACGGTATTTGATGATATTTGGAGACAAGGCAGCTGAAGTTTCTAAAACTAAACTTTCAACACCATTCATGGAATCTAACTCAGCAACTAAATTACCATTATAAATACCCGTAACAAAACCGATACCCTCCACTAAAGGAATATCCAAATAGTTTTGTTTGTCATTTTGTGTACTTGTAAGTGTCACCAAGGCAGATAAACTCCTCATGTTAGAAACTCCCATATATAATGCATTTTCATCAAATGATGTAGCTGAAAAGATAAGTTCACCAACGTTGGTAGGATTACCATAATATGAAGGAACACCGACGTTGTTTGTATTCTGAGAACCAAATATTCTGTCAGAAATATTGGTGTGTTGTACTCCAAACCCATAATAATTTGTTGTGCTCCAATACATTCCGTAAGGATAAGTCCACACCATATCAGTTTGAGATCCCAAGAATAAATTAGAATAAAACTTGTTTGTACCAATTGGAACCCCTTCATTAGAAACACCAGCAGGAATAGCCAATGGCAACTCCTGAACAGGAAATAACAGTTTAGGATCGCTAGTGGAAATAACTTTAAATATATCACCAGAATAACAGGTTGCAGAAGTAGGTTGTGAAGCAGTAGATAAAGATGAAGTTGAAGTGGTACTCAGCAGGGCTTCAGTTGTGGATGTGCTGCTAATTACAGTAGTGCTTGCCAGGACAGTACTTAAGGATGAGAATTCAGAAACCAATGTTTTAGTTAATGTTGTGGAATTGGTATATAACTTGGAAGTTATTGTTGTTGTGTTGGTAATCAAAGTGGTAGAATTGATGGGATGGACACTAGTTATAAGTATAGTGCTGTTTGAGTAAGCTGATTGCAATGACCTAGATGACAGATTGGAATAACTCGCAGAAGTAGACGAGGAAAGTGTCACAGGATTGGTAATTGAAGAAGTATCAATTGTAACAGGTTTACTTTCACTGACAACTGTTTGAGAAGCAACTGGCTTTGATTTAGTAGATGTAATACTTTCAAGTGTGGTTTGTTTAGAAATTGTTGGGGACGGGGTGGAAGTAGCTTTAAAGATTGTAGATGATGTAGTTTTAGCAGTTTTAACCAGGGGAGTAGCAAAATAAGTTGGATCATAAGTTGGATCATATGTTGGATCATCATTCCTTATGGTATAAACATTACATGCGCGATTCAGACACATGGTTGTAGTAATGTACTTGTTACCAGAAAGAGGATCTGGTTGGATTCCTTGATAATCAGGGTCATTTACCTGACTTCCTGGGTTATATGGGTCATTAGAAATTCTTTGATTAGTGGGGTCTTCTAGGACAAACACTATTTGAATTCCTGTTTCTAGACCCTCGGGATTTCCTGGTAAAGCTTTCGAAGCTTGGTATTGTAGGCACGGAGAGGACACTCGTCTTGTCTTTGTTACAGTGACAGTATAATCTTCCTCGACAGTATCAAGAGAAAACACTCCAGCAGCTAGTGTTGACGCTGTTAACAAATATTTTAGATTGAACTTCATGTTGTGATTATTGTAAGAGTTAAAATTGTAGAGTAGGAAAGACAAAAATAATAAGGATGATACATTTTCGGGGTATTTATGGGAAAATTTAAGTTTCTTGTGGAGGGCTGGTTATTGCAATCTGACCGTGATTTAGTTCTGATATATGTCAAGAAAAACTCATTACATGCAGCTTAAAAATTAAATAAAAAAAATACAGATTTTGTGTCTCCGGAAAGATGGTGCAACATAACCTTTTTGATTATTCTGCTTGCAAATTGTATCGGCTAAAACTATAACCCTAAGATTGTTATCATTCCACACGTGTAATACATTGTTTGGTGAATGCACCTACCTATTTTGAGAAATTAATTTATTGTTTCAAGTGCTAATATTTTAAAATCGCTTATGACTATTTGTTTATTTTCAAATTGACGTGGTTTGTTTGAATGCATCTTGGAAGATTTTCATGCTTGCTAAAATGCCCAGTTTGTTCGCGCAAGAAAAAAAAAAATATTTGGTTGCAAATTCTTTTTGTGTACTGTAAAATAGACGGTTTACGGAAAAATAAACATTTACATGCAAACCTTATCTGGAAAACTTAGATTAGGTTAAGATTCAACATGTAAAAAGTGATCTGGTTGAAGTATTACTGAACTTAGATTCATATTAAGAGAACTTCACACAAACAATGTATGTGATAAGAAGAAAAGTGGTCTGGTAATGCAACAGAGATTGTTTGAGCGAAAACAAATGAAACCGATATAAAACAAACTTTTTAGAAAAACAATTGACGAAGATTATTCTTGTATTGTATAGACCTTGATAGACTTTTTCTAACTAATTCACAATATTGAGGAAACAATATCTGGTTGCTACTCGAAATAATCAAAGCAACACAAATAGAACAATAATAACACAAAATCATGGCCACTATAGGATCTTGCTATTTTCTTTAAGCCACTATCTCGTCAACTAGAATCTAATTACATAGTATTTCATACCATGAAATCGAACGACTTTCTGCCAAAGTTGAGATTCTTTGGCGTAATTCAGCCTCAAAAAAGCTTGTTTGCACTAGAGCTATGCTACAATGTTCAAATCGACATTGGTCCTACTTTGGGCTTTCACTAACTAAATATATAGACGATTGTGTATTCTTCTAATGAATTGGTTGTATATTTCTATTAGTTATACATCTACTTATAGTTTGTCTATACAAGAGTGTAATTAGAATTAAATACACGCGGGTTGGAAAATAACGTTGACTATATTTTTTCCAACCAGAAAAGAAAAAAAAATTGTTTACATTTCCGTAACCAGAAAAAAAAATAAATTTGGCAGCCAGCCTTCCAGGTTCGTTTTTTGGGATCAATTTCTGTCTTGGAAATACGTTTCAAAGCTTAGCCAAGATTTACCACAGCCCAAATAGGTTAGAAGATAATCAAAACTGGACGCGGTTGTTCTACTTTTTAAAAACACGCGGTTGCAGATGCCAAGTGAAAGGTGGTACGATGTGCCCAGCACATTCTTGTTGGTGGTCATTTTAATGATAGGAGAAGCTTCGAAGTTTGTGCTAATGTCTAAGTCCCTTGGCGTTCGCGTAAAGGTATAGGGCTGTTATAGCATATGTTCTTAATAAGAAAGTTCAGAGGTGCTACATTTGATAGGAATGATTCATTTGCAATCATATTGACTAGAGACCCACGTCTTTTTGATTATCTTTTTTTTTAACTTAAGAGTATTAACGGATATTGGTAATTATCCGTTTTGATCTGCAACATTTTTTTGATGATGCGCACGACTTCGTAAATCATAATTTTTGACCCCCTAATTAAATCAACTTCTTGAACCCCACAAGTTGAAGTATCCCCCAAGCACTATATGAGTTCTAAAGTTGTAATTTTAGGGGCTGGAGTTAGTGGATTAACCACAGCTCTCGAACTAAAGCGCCTGAATCCCAATGCAGAAATCACAATCGTGGGCGAGTTCATTCCTGGAGACATTGATAAATCATATACTTCCCCATTTGCAGGAGCTAACTGGCAATCATTTGCAACATATGATGATACAGAGCTTCAGGAGATAGATAAAGTTGGATACAGCAAATTCTTACAGCTTGCTAATGTGGATTATAGAGCAGGTGTTTGGATCAAGGACAACATATCTTACTTTACCGACCATGAGATCTCGTCTAAAGGATCAAACTTCAGAGAATTTCTTCCTTGGTATAGAAACTTTGTCGAAGATTTTGAAATTATTGATAAGCATAACCTTCCTCCAGGAGTTGCTTTTGGTACTAGATTTAAGGGTGTGGTTATTTCAGTCCCAACTTATTTGAAGTTCCTTGTTGACCAAAATAAAGAGATAGGGAACACAATTAAGAAGATCAACAAGGTAAAACATATTGAAGATGTCAGGAAATTTCATGCTTCTGGAAAAGTAGCAGACTACGTGATAAATGCAACTGGATTACTGGCAACTTCAATTGGAGGTATCGATGATCACAAAGTGAATTATACTGTGAGAGGTCAAGTATTACTTGTAAAGAACAATGCTAGAGACTTATTGACAGTTGAAGGGTTTCCTGGTAGGGAAAACGAAATGCTCTATATGATGCCTAGGGTTGAAGGTGGAACTATTATTGGAGGCTGTTTTTATGAAAATGACAAGAACTCTGAAGAGGACACTGAATTGACAAAGAGGATTATCAAAAGGGCAATCAGATATGCGCCCGAATTGATCAACCCAAAATACAAAGGGAATCCTCGGAAACTTGAAATAGTTCAAGTTAATGTGGGTTTTAGACCATACAGAGTAGGGGGAGCAAGAGTAGAAGCTGATAAAAAGTACGATTGGCTTATTCATAACTATGGTGCTGGAGGTGGAGGTTATCAAGGAAGTTATGGGTTTGCTCGTAAAACAGTAGAAGTGCTTAAAAAGAAGACTTCGCAAACTAAACCAAAATTATAAGGTCATTGTTAGTCTGCATCTGCTGCATATATAGGATTCCCAGAAACGAACGATTCAAGAAATTTCTTGAATTGGAGCTATTCTCTCTCAAATATGCATAATATGAAATGATATAGTTCTTAGATTAGTAGTTCAGTCAAATTATATTTGACATATCGTTCATTTGAATTATATTTAGTGCTTGTCTGGTCATATCCTGCATATACATTTCCAAGTTTAGAGATTAAAGAAAAAAAAATTTTCGTTACACCAAATGGAGCTTTACTATCACTGGACTTAGTGTACTAAAGACAAAGAGAATAGAAGAGCGATGAGAGCAACACAAGTCTTAAATTTCCAAAGTACAGCCCTGTCTTCTTTAAGAAGACCTTGGCAAAAGTATAAAAATGGTCAATTATGGTATGGTTTTATCAAATCTGGTTCCAAGAGACATCCAATAACCACCAAACAAGGTAACCACACTTTCTACAAAGGTACTGGTTCCACAGGTGTAGGGAGATTAAATAATAAGGGTCAATATATCATGAATTGGGATAAAGTAAGAACATACGTGGTACCATCTGATTTGAACTCTACTGAATTGAAAGCTCTTGTTTCTCCAAACACTCCACAGATTCGTCTCACCACAGAAGGCTATAAAGATGGAATAAAATCAGCAGAATATGCGTTTGATAGTATCATCAAGTTTGTGGAATATGGTGAAGAATATGACCAACAAGACCTTGAGAAGCAGGATTACGAAGAAAGAATTGTAAGTCCAGAAATCTTAGAGAAGGAGAGTGCTGAAAAATTGGAATTAAACACAAGCAAGGAATAAGCCAAATTATGAGCTTTATCCAATGTTATGAATAGAAAGATATTTCTACTGTAAATAGTCAATAATATAGACATGATGCCAAATATAATACTTTGTAAACACATCCGAGGTTTTCTACCACGTGACTAGAATATTTTCCGAGGGTATGCGTCCTAACTGAAAATTAATCTTGTAATTATCTATCCAGATTCCACAACAAGACAAACAAATGAACAGCACCATGTCTTCAATCAATGAAATAGACGAGAGTAGGCAAACTACTGTCTCGCCTGGAAACACTCCTGAAACGAGCTTACCTGCCGAGAAATCAACAACACCACCAGCAACAGATGCCATGGAGACTGATGATCCCGAAGGTACTGAAACCCCAGCTGTTGATGGTGAAAACGAACCAACATCAACAGCAGAAGCAGAAATCGAAACAGAAGAGGCAACAGAACAGTCGATGTCTCTCCCATTGTCAAAAATAAAGAGAATATTTAAAATGGATCCAGAATATCTTGCTGCTTCACAAACTGCTGTTTATACAGCAGGGTTAGCCACAGAATTATTTGTTCAATACTTTGTAGAACAGGCAAGCTTGCAGGCCAAAATGGATAAAAGAAAGAAAATCCAATATAAAGATTTCTCCTCTGCCGTTGCCAGTCATGATTCCTTAAACTTTTTGAGTGATACCATTCCTAAAACCCAACCAATTGGTGAATTAATTCAGAACAAAAAGGTTAATATCCCAGGCTCTGCACCAGGTAAAGTTACAAACTCAACTGGAAATTCCAGCGATAATACTTCAAGACCGGCAGAGATTTTATCCAAAGGGCAACAAACGCTCCATTTTCCAATTGCAACTACACCAAAAGAAGACAAGCCAATCCGCAAAGCTGTTATCCATGATCTAATAGCAGAAGACGAAGCAACTACTACCGATGATGCAGAAGGACTGACAGATGTTGTAATGATAGATTGAGTTTACTTTTCTAAGTACTATAAATAGATTCTATAATTCATGACTTTGTAGCACCTCGATGATACCAGCAGTATCTCTAGATAAGATAAGATCTTCAGGAATCTTTAATCTGTGGCATAAACTAACTACGTTATACCTGACAATATCAGGTATGGTTCTCTCATAAGCTTGCACACCGGTGATTAAAAATTTGATAAGGACATTTCTTAACTTCGGGTGTGTTCTAAGAGGGCTCTGCAGCACTGTCAACAGTCTTTCTTTTGAAAGTTCATCCTTAGTACCCTTGCTGGATATGAGCTTGGAGTGTTCAGACATAAATTCCCAGGCTTCTTGAAATTTCCTTGCAAAAAAGTATTCCTCTTTGCTCACATCTTCAGTTAAAATTTCAGTTACAAATTCCAATGATTGAAACATCAAATTTGTTTCTTCCAGAGTGTATCCAATAACATCAATGTTGGGGTAGGTGGAAAGTGATTTAGATCCAGATATTAGAGTGACCAACAAGGGCCAATTACTGGCAATTACTGGTAAAACCAATTTGTAATTAAAACAAAGTAATGGGAATATTAAACGTAAAGTTTTTATTATTTGAGCTCTCAAAGAAAAAGATGGTTGGGCAATCAAAACGAATCCATAATTGAAAATTCTTTGCAAGATAAAATATACCTTCTTTGGAACAACTGACTGCCACTCTTCTTCTTCTTCCTCCTCTTCTTCTTGCTCCTCTTCACTCTCATCCTCATCATCAGAATCTTGCAGTATCTCTGAAAATGGGACATCTGTTTTTCTCTTGAAATATTCCTTAGTGCTATCATATTCAACAACTGAATCAAGAACACTTCCGGCACCCAGGATGAGTGCCATCATTTGCTCTTTGCTACTCATCCCCCAGGGTTTATATGATGAGGAATTTATATTATCAGCACTTTTAATCGTTTGCCTTGAACCATACTGTTTATTAATCTGTTCAGTTAATGATTCAAATACAACAAAGAAAGATTCAGCTAGTTTGTTGTAGCCATGGTATGTGTCTAAAAGAACAAACATTTCAGTTAGAATATCAGTAAGTTGATTAGATTCTAACAACTGAATCCCAGTAATTTTAATTATAATGACTAAAATACCTGGTAACACTGGAGTCAAGTTGCTTGCAACTGACATTTGTAAACTTAAACTATCTATCAAGTAGTCCAGATTTTCAATAATCAATTTCTTCATCGAATTATCGTAATATGCTTCTAATATAGATTTGACGGTGTTTTGAGCAACTTGTTGTACTCTAGGTCTGTTATTGTAGGTTAATGATTTTATTAAAACCAAAAGATTGTCCATGAGAAAGTCAGATTGGAATTGTTCCTTAGAAAGTTTTCCTGCCAATTCGTTGATTGCATCAAGAGCACAACAATATATCAATTCATCCGAAACATTTAGCTCACCATCATCCTTGGAGCTGACCGAGGATATCAATTCTTCACTTTTAGCCAATACCAAGTATAGAGACTCCTCACCTGCGTCTAATTCTTCATCAATATAGCTTGATTCTTCTTCAGTTTCTGTAAAGTCGAGAAACTTATCTGGATCGAACTCATGTTCCTCTATCGACTTCGAAGACGTATAATTTTTGATTAACCTAGTGGCTATCCATAATGATAAACTAGTTTCGAGCGAATTATCATCACAATCCATAAAAATATCTTCCAAGTCATTCAAGGTTGAGTCTGAATCATTTCTAAATCTCAAATTTGATAAAAATTGAATAAAACCCGCAACTTTGAATTCAATGAGCTTGGTACCAATTCCAAGTGTAGAAGATTCCTCAGAATTAGCCAAAATCAGTGCCTCATTCCAGTTTCTTGATATTAATTGGAGATTGTGAATGTAGGAACTTGTGGATTTGGTCAATGTTTTATTTTGAGTTGCAATGTTATGTACATTCACATATTCTGGAAGCTCGATAGAGTCTAATTTGTTTGAACTTTCACCTTCATTTAGTGGAATCAAGGTATCAGAATTGCCAATCTTGGAGGCTGATTTAGAGTTCTCCAAGTTGAATCTGTCTAACATATGTTGACGAAATAACTTCAATGTAAACTTCCTTAATTCATTCAAAACTTGATAATCAGTGGATTGACTTCTAGATAAATCAAAGAGTAATTGAAAGTTTAGCTTTAAAGAAGCTATAGTCATTGATACTTTTTCTTCATCAATTGAGAATAAAGTGGAAGTGAGTTTGTTTTGTAAAAGGTATAGCAACTTTGAGTGAAGAATTTCAAAAAATGCCATTGCTTTAGAATCATCATCTAAACATAAACATAACATGTTGCTTATTGATGATATTTTGTCATTGATATCCTTTTCCTCACCATACGAAGAGGCATATACCAAACTGGAAAGTATATCGATTGATAAGGACGCAAATTCTGTAAAAAGAGTAGCAAAACAACTGTTTAATATACCTGAAACAAAATTTATTACTTCGTTGTATAGTTCTGGTTTTGATTTTAGTCGTTGCTTGTTCTTTTCCGAATGCAATATGGTTTTGAAGAATACAGTTAAACTTATTTTCAATTGTTTCGATGTTGCCTTTACCCAAGATAAAGAACGGTGATCAGTTTCAGTGATTGTAATATTGCACCTTTCAGTTGTGGCTACCTCATTAGTATTCCAAACCACTTCAAGATCTTTCAAGTTTTTAATATGGTGAACATCTAATTCGGCATGTAGTTCATTGTCGTTGAATGAATTACAGATAATAAAAGACAATACTTTCAATATGCGAATGGTCAACTCGGCTGGAATGTTTGAATTTTTAGAACCGAATGTGGTAACTGAAGAAACTATACCAGGTAAAATTTGTGACTGCTGACTTGAAGTAAGGCACTGAACAAGTTGAAGTATTGTATCAAATATAATTTCCAAGACTTTAATTGCTTCTTGTGAATTTGGGGTTGTAGATCCAATAATATCTATAACAATTGATATAGAATTGCTTAGAAAAACAAGTCTTTTCCCTTCACCTTGAAAGTAAGATCTAGTTAGCGTTTTGGAAATACTGAATAATGCCAGTATAGAAGACAGTTTAAATTGTAATGATTTTTCACTTAGCGATGTTTCTTGTGCTTTCGTATCAAATCCCAGGAGATATACCAATAATGGGAATAACTGATCGATCAAATTGTAATTAACATTGAAACTCCATGCATTGTCTATTAGAAACCCAATAATGGCCAAAATATGCTGAGTAATAGAGTCATCCAAACGGGGAAATTTCAACAAATTTGAAATTGGAAAAAATATATAATCAGCAACTGTTTCTGGGAGTCTATATATGACAACCTGATCTTGTGCCTCTTTCAAATGTTTATATAAAGCAGCTTCAAGTGAAGTTAAAAGTGATCTAACTTTATTGATGTTAAATTCAGGAGCATTCAATACTTGGGACAATTCAACGCAAATTGGCTTGATTTTTGAGAATAACAGTTGAGCTAATAATTTTCCAGCATCTTCGCCTATTCCAGATCGTAGAGGTAACATTGGATCTCATTCTTGTGATGGAATATGTTGTTCAAATGAACTCTATAGTTCTGTAGTTGGGTTATTGCGTTTTTACAACCATCACGTGACATTCTAAAAATTACACCTGGTTAAGTATATTTTGTCCTGATGCGAAAATATTTTCAATTGAAAAATTTTTCAGTTTTAAGGAAATATATGAGAAACTACTTCTTCTTTATACCCTTTACTAATAACTACTACTAATAAATATAAATTGTACGTACTACCTTCATATTTAATGATGCCCCATGAACCAGACTGATATATATATATCAGTCTAACCTACTAATCTGTTCACTTTTTTTTTCATTATGCAAGGTATTTGAATCAGTATGTCTTTGGGTTACTTTACAGGATTTTGAACAAGGATTTACCTTTCAAGTTCAGGTAGGGCTAACGTATCAGAGACTAGTGATACCATTTACTTTGGGTTAAACAATAAGTTTAACTATGCTCGTGACTCCGAATAAGATATTTGGACACTCATGTGGCTATTCATGTTTAATGAAAAAGTTTAATTTATACTAACTTTGAAATAGAATAGAAAATGACTAGAACTTCTGTCTTAGCTGATGCTTTAAATGCCATTAATAACGCCGAAAAGACCGGTAAACGTCAAGTTTTAATTAGACCTTCTTCCAAGGTTATTATCAAGTTTTTAACCGTTATGCAAAAGCATGGTATGTATTTGGTTCCAACAAGAGTATGAATCATTGGGTGTTTTTTTTTCTTTTAGTTTAATTTTTTTTTTACTCCGAATTGATAACTGGATGGATTGATCGGTGTTTAGTCCCTTTCTGTCTTTTAAGTATTCGGGAGAATAATTTGGAAATGCTTCTTACACGACGGTGATATTTTTCAGTTGTTTCAGTCGTTTACTTTTCCTTTACATTTTCTTTTTATACACCATGATGATTTTCTTATTCCAATTGAAAAATCAGAAATACTAACATTTTAACTAGGTTACATTGGTGAATTTGAATACATTGACGACCACAGATCTGGTAAAATTGTTGTTCAATTAAACGGTAGATTAAACAAGTGTGGTGTTATTTCTCCAAGATTTAACGTCAAAATTAACGATATTGAAAGATGGACTGATAACTTATTACCAGCCAGACAATTTGGTTACGTTATCTTGACCACTTCTGCTGGTATTATGGACCACGAAGAAGCCAGAAGAAAGCATGTCTCTGGTAAGATTTTGGGTTTCGTTTATTAAAATACTTTTCTTTATATATTGTATCATTAGTCTATTTTAATCTTAGGTATTTCACAATAAATGTGTTTTTAGGTGTCAATTAATGTTCCTAGAGTCTGCTATTAGCGCAAACTTGGTTTTCAGGTAAAATCGCATTTACTCCACTCAAAATTGCGACATGAAAAAAATTAGCACTACCACTAAACCGGTAAAATTGAATACTACACTCAATGACAATTAGAGAAAAGTTACGGTTTGGTTGGTTGACACTAACCTGGTCCTTGAGGGTTGGATGTGCCGTTCATTTAGTTCATGATTATACTTATGAATTCACCGAAACCAGAGGAGAATCAATGTTGCCAACATTACAAAACTACTTTGATTATGCTCATGCTTTAAAGAAATATAAATTAGGCCGAGGCATTGAAATGGGAGATTGTATAGTTGCTATGAAACCAACAGATCCTGATCACAGAGTGTGTAAACGAGTGACTGGAATGCCAGGGGATTTGATTTTAATCGATCCTTCATCTTCATCCCCATTAACTAACACACCAGCAGAAATAGTCCAACATGATGGGTTTAATAAATATATACGAATACCCGAGGGTCATGTATGGTGTACTGGAGATAATTTAAGTCATTCGTTAGACTCCAGGTCATATTCCGCATTACCTATGGGATTGATAATTGGTAAGATTGTTGGTGCTAATCATTTGGATAAAGGAATACGAGGATATCTTGATTTCAGGCGAATTAAAAACACATTTATAGACGAAGAGTAGAATAATACTCTAACGCGTATTTATTAGGCTAGATATCTATTTATTTCTCCAAAGTACGGTTAATAGCCAAGTATCTTAAAACACGTACTCCGAAATATACACCGGAAATAGCCAAAAAAAGCCATAGAACAAAGTAGTGAATATGGATTGACCTAAGTAGTAACGAACAAAGTTCAATTCAAATCCAATAATTGTAGCTAAGAAACTAACATTGTATAATAATTGACCGCTGGTGATTCTCTTGAAAGATCTGGCAAATTCGGCCCCGGTAAACAGGGTCCAATAACCTAACAAGACGAGGAAGATAAATCCGGCAACGGCACTGAATGCAATTGGGAATACTTGATTGACAGTCTTTTCTTCTGCTCTAAATTGATGATGAATTTCCGGTTGAATACCAATTCTAGGGGTTGAAACAAATGAACTGGTTTCTTTAAAGTCAGAGCTTGGTAATATTTCAACTAATTTAGAATGTGTATTTTCAACACCTTGTGATCCAGCAACTATGATGCTTAAAATTAATTTGTCCTTTGATTTTAAAACTTCAGGTAATTTAGCAGCGTTGATTGTTGTTTTAATTGATTTGTCTGAAATAGTTGGAACGTAATGAGTAACTATGCTTGGAGTAGCTGCATCAGCTAATGATAAAACTATTTGTTCCGGTTTTGTTGAAAATGCATCACTTTTCAATTCAATGAGAATAGAATCCTTTGGTGATTCAATAGGTAATTGCTTGATTTCATCATTAGCACTATCAAATTGAACTAGATTGGTATTAATTTTAATGGTACCTTTCAAGGTGGTCAATGCCAAAGCCAGGACCAACAAATTGAGGATAGCGATAACAATTGAATACTTCATTCTGATATGCAATTGAATAGTGGTTATGAAGTACAATCTAGTCTCAACTGGTGCTGTTTTTTTTCAAAGTTTGACGTGGTCGGTAGAAACTCAGAACGAGAATTGGCGGAACAAAAAAATCTGCCAAAGTACACACCCTTTTGGACTGGGAGAGCAAGAAAAGAATCATGCTAGTATCAACCCTTCTAAATTAGTGCCGTCTTCAGCAGTTAAAATAGTAGATACTAAAAAGAAAGTAGCAATGAATATCTGTAAAATGACAAATGTTGGAATTAAAATTAGACCTGAACGGTGTCAGTAAATCATTAGTGGTTGTATTGGTTGCAAATAAAAGGTATAACTTACAGATGAGGATAAATATCAAAAGAAACATGATTCCTATTAAGCACATGGTGATTGATGATATTGCAAACATATCTGCAATGGTTAGTGAGTTAGAACTCTGGTGGGTTGTTAGAAACTATTAGTAGGTAAATAAATTTTGTTTCCAAAACTAAATGTTTTTCTTTTACCGCCAATTTATTTCATCCACTTTATAAGTGTGTTACAATATTGTTAAAGTATCAAAAACACCTTAGTAATTCCAATTTTCAATAGAACTTGCCAGTGTTTTTAAGGTTGTTTATTCTGGTGTATACTTATTTGCAACACAACAAAAAAAAAAACTAACAAAGATCAACGCTGAAGGCAATAGAAAATACTGCGAAGCAAAAAAAATCTAAAGTTCACATTTGCTGCCTTTTTCTTTTACAACCAAGACAACCATGCAATTTCTAACTGCTAAAACTATACTTTATGCAAGAGTGATTTTCCTCTTGGCTATTGCCTTTTATCTCGTCAAGGATCCAGAATTCTTATCAACATCAGGATTTGTGGTATTATTAGGACAAGCAATGCAAGTTCCAATTTTACATCTTGATAAAACTAGTCCTGTTTTAGGTATTGCATCAATAGCATTTGGGTCATTAGCCGTAGGCGATGTCATTCCATTACTTGCTGAAAATACTGTTTATTTTGAATCAGTTGTTCCTATCAGAGTAGCTGGTTATTTTATTTTAGCTGGTTATGTCTATATTGTTCCAACTTCAATTTTCAGTAATAGTTTAGTTGTTACATTTGCATTTTTTGAAATTTGGTTAAATTTCTTAATCTATAACAATTTAAGAGATGAAAAGTACTATAACATGAAATCATTTGTTGAAGAAAACGCTGAAGCTATTCAAAGAGCTCAAGGTGAACAAGTTAGAGTTGTTGAATTGGATGACTGAGCTATTTAACTATTGACAAAATTCTGTATGGACCAATCCAAACATTCATCAATTTCATTAAAATCATTAAAATTGATTTGAAGCACGTTTGTTCCGTTAATTTTATTTTCAAAATCAGATTCATTTTCAAATCTAATAATTGTTAAGTTTATAATAAGATTAACAAAAATTTCATTAGTGGTTAATTCCAACTTAATTTTCAATATATTAGATTTAGCATTTTTAACTAAAACATGGAATTCCGATACTGGTTTTTCAATAGATTTCTGGAAGGGGTTTTTTGATTTATTTTGTAGATTAACAAATTTTTGCAATTCCAATTTATAAGTTTTGTGTTTGGTTAGTATACGATTTAAGATATCATTCATATTCTTCAAGTTTAATTCATGTCTCATGTTTCCAAGTAAAGGACGTAATATTAATGGATGTGAATTGAACTGTTTCCATTTAGTTAATGATGTGGGAATCTTTTGTTTTAATTTAAGATTGTATTTGTAATAGCAACAAAGCATAAGTTTGAGGTAGTTTAAAATCAATTGACATTTTGTATTGTTTATTGAAGAATAAGCATTAATGTTTTGGTAATAGTTGCTAAGTTCTTCTTCATTTAACTCATCATATACCACTGATTCAATTTCAATTATTTCTTTGTTTATTTCAATAATGATCTTGTTTGAAATAATGGAAACATTATAATTAATCAACATCTTACCTTCTCTGGTCAATTGATAGAATAAGTCTTCTTCAAACAAGAAAAATCTTGCTCGTTCAATGTCATTTATAATATTGGTCTTGCTTTTGGTAAAATCATACTGGAAAATCGATTGCCCTGTAAGCATATAATCACCGTCAATTTCACTCAAGATTCTAATTCTAACGTATTTATAAACTTTTTGAACAATTTTGTTTGAATAAGTTGCAATTGGATGAAATGAAATTTCCCCAGTTTGGTTATCCTTACGAAGTAAGGCCATTCCCTTATCATGAAAATTTGAACCTGAATCTCCATATCCATACATTACACCTATGGCTCTTGCATTATTCAATGGATCTCGTATTCTAAACAACACTTCATCATTTGCCAAGACCAAATTGATCATATTCCAGTATCGTCTTTCTTTTAAAACTTGCTCATTTAAATTCAAGCTTGATTGTCTAAATAAACTTGTTACTTTGTTAAGGGACTCTAATTTCCAACCTTGCCCTATTTTACTCGAATTTGTATCTCTCTTTGCTGATATTTCATTTGTGTCTGCCGTTGATAATCTGTCTGAATTTAAAGAACCAGGTTTGACAAATTTAGTCAAATGAGGAGACATTGTTGATTTTGCCAAGTTGGGTTTGACTGAAGCCATCAATAATGAAACAAAATCGAGCGATAAGGAAGTTTCATTAAGGGCACTGTTTATGTTTTTGGACAACTCGAGTTTATGTTTATTGAATGCTTCTTGAGGGTCTGTTTGTTCATCTTGATCAGTGCCCTCTGTTGACAATAGTTCTTCTTCCTCCTTGTCAATTCCTAAAGAAGATTTTTCAATCTCTTTCTTAAGAGAATCTTCAGTAACATTTATGAATGATTTTCTTTCTAGTAAGATTCTAGGTATAAGTTCTTCAAGATTAAGTTTGTCTCTGTATCGTGTTAGTATAAGACGAGTCCGTTGGCAAAAAGGATAAGGCAACATACTCATTTTGTATAAATGGATCTTTATTAACTTCGGTATATTGATCCAAGTTCAAATCTATATGAAATCCACCACCATTGGACATTGTATTGTCTATAATATTCTAGGAATAACTAGCTGTTAATTAGTGTTGCAAAGAGTTAGTTGGAACAACAATTCCATTTTTTTCACTCACTGGGAAAATCTTGTTCTCTACTCGCAAAATCTACTGAATAAAAAAAAAAAATTCTATATTAAAAACTAAAGACTACAAACACTAATCCATGAAATCATCTAAATCTCCTTCTTCAATGGCTTTTAATAATTCAATTTCTTCACTTGCTTCTACTTCTTTGGTAACATTTTGCTTGTCGTTATCATTAGGATATCTCATAGCCTTTACACTTTCATTATGTAATGATAAACAAAACTTAATTCTTTGATCAAATTCAGTTTGAGGTAATTTGGTCGAATAAACGTCAAGTAATTCGTTAGATTGCATGTATCCCTTTTGATGGTTAATAGTAGCTTCAATAACACCATCTCTGATTGCCTTGGAAACAATATATTCAGTCAGTTCTTCGGAGTCTAGATGCAACTTAATACAAATGTCCTTCAAGGAAATCTTGGAATATGATAATGAAATAATTCTAATACCAGTCTTGATAACATTTTGACGTAATCTTGAAACTAAAGTAAAGTTGTCATCATTTTTGAAGTTGGTTTCATATTTCTTCAACACTTCACCAAACAATTTTAAATCACCTAATCTCACTGCTCTGGTAACATTAAAATAAGGTTCAAAATTTTGATGTTCTTTGAATACCTTCAAAGCGGGAATGTCACCCATTAACAATTCAATCACAATACTTAATTTAGTGGCACTTTGAATAAAACCCTTAGCTAAATGTGTTTGAGGAGCCTTTCTTATAGCAGCAATAACACATTCATGGGCAGTTGAGTAATCCAATTGTATAGCATTGATTCTTGCTAAGTAATAGTAATATCTTGCCACAAGTGCATTACCGGCATTTTCTGGGAATTCAACTTTTTCAACCAAGTTAGAAGCTTGATTAATATCATGACATAACAAGTAATTTCTCAATAAAAGAGTAATTATCGATGCAGTGGTTTCAATATCGTGTCTTAAGGTTGCTGTTCTTAATCCATATAATAACTCAGGGCGAATTGTATATAAATCTCCTAATAATTCTTTGACTCGACAAACATAAAACCAAACTTTAGCTTGAATAAAATCTAAAGATCTTCTATTGAATGATTTCATTAACCCAATTACAATGTCACTTAATTCATTCAATTCAGACAACTTTTCCTTGTCCAAGAGATACACTTGAGCTAAAAGATGAACATATAATTCAACTTCAGGAACAATAGCTTGGCCATTTTCAGATTCAACATCCATAGATTCAGACTTTTCAACATTTCCAACAAATCTCAACAAATATTCCCTTGAAGGATGGTTAGCTGGATATAAGTTGGTTATAATAGTAGGTAATACCTTATCATTATTGGCTAATTTCCTTCTTAATGGGCCCAAATCCCTGAAAACTTTGGAAATATAACGGTTGTCAAATGAAGATGCAGCCTTACCCAATAAGCTAAAGGAAGATTCAATTTCATGGATTAAATCTTGGAATACAGATGCATTGACTTCTTCTTCTGTATCTTTCATAAGCACGTCTGCTTTGGTGTCGGCCATTGTATATATTGGTTGTTGGTGTGGGAGTTCAGAAGTATGCTGTTTGATTAAATTTTGTTTGTTCTTTCATTGAGATTTTCGGTGTTGTTGCCACCAAAATTTTTTTTGTTTGGGGAACGCATTTATGTCCATAGTGACAGGTAGATATTACTATTTTACACACTAAATAGTCTTCTTAGCATTCAGATATAGAATAACCTGTTATAACTGAAACTATACGATTCATTATGCGTATATCAAACACTTCTCAACTATGAAAATACCCTATATCCTGATTTTATATGCAACGCGCTACCAACTTCATACCTTGATACTGGTTCAATTGTAGTAGTTGGGATAGGTAATTGTATGTATTCACCATGAGGTTAACTACTTAATTTGGGTTGCTATTTTCTGCATCCTCAGTTATTATCGTGTAAAATCAAACTTGGCTTAGGGAGAACCCCCTTTGATTTCCGTGGGGGGGAATCATGGGCCAGGTTTTTTCTCGGTCTTTAAGCCAGGTTACTAAGCAGAAACCTCTAGTTTCATCACGCCACACCCAATTGTTTTCCACCTAGAACATACTTAAATTGGACCAATTCGTTTATAATTAAAGTACTTTTTTAATCAATTACTCATCCAACTACCAAAATGTCACTCAATTTAGCTCTTCCTGGTATCCCCAAGCCAGCTGAATTCATTCCAGTTTTCACTTTCAACTTAAAACTTGCCAGTGACCCAACCTCAATTTTCTCAGACCCTGCTTCTGACAAAGCTTTAAGCTTGGCTACTGTTTCCCTGGGTGAAGTTAAAACCGTTGCCAATTCATTGGGTTTGGAATTTGAAGTTGTTGATATTTCCGGTTGGGATGATTTAAGTCTTAAAATTTCAGCCCTGACCAACTCCTTAGACTGTAAATTATATGGTAAGACTCCTAGCGGTGCTGGTGTCTTCATTCATTATGGAGGTAAGGTGCAATTGACTGAATCTACAATCAACGTTGTTACTAAAAAAACTCAAGTTGCTTCGATTGAAGAAAGCTATGTTACTTGTAACCCAACTTTCCAATTAGACGAAGCCGTTGAGGACAAATACAAATGGGTTTTGAAGGAAAACTTCTTTGGAAGAGGTAGATTTGGTAGAGATGATGATGGTACTCTTTATGTTCAATACTATGTCTATGTCATTCGTTAAGCTCAACGTATATAGGTATATATTTTCTTTGGATATTTAACATCAATATATATATATATATGAATTAGATGTAATCAATGTTGTTATATAGTTTGAAAGCAAATAAAAACAAAGTATAAAATAAAAAAGTAATATGCTCAGGAGAAAAGACACACACGCAAACCATCATTACCTATTGATCAGCAATCTACAATTCTTGGCCGAACGAAATCAATCAGTATAAAAAAATAGAACCTGTAATTAAAAAAGAAGGGTAAATCTATGAATTTAACAACATGAATTAGATTGGTTTGAAGTTAACGACTCACCTCTCAAGTTTACATTGGATTTACCCTTGGCATTACCAGCATTTCCTGAGTTAGTGTTGCTTGTCATTTGAGCCTTGATTTGTCTAGCCATTGTGTAAAATGCTTGTTCAACATTAGTTGAAGAAAGTGCGGAGGTTTCCAAAAATGGAATATCTAAAGCATCGGCAAATTCCTTAGCAGCTGTATATTCAACAATCTTCTTATCTGATAAATCAGCTTTGTTACCCACTAATAATTTCATAACACCACCAGTGGCATAACGATCAATTTCTTGTAACCATTGCTTGACGTTATTGAAAGATTCTTGATCAGTGACATCGTAAACAATAATAATACCATGGGCACCACGGTAGTAAGAAGAAGTGATGGTTCTAAATCTTTCTTGGCCGGCGGTATCCCAAATTTGTAATTTAATTGTCTTTCCATCTAATTCAATAGTTCTAATCTTGAAATCAACACCAATGGTGGAAATATAGTCAGGTGTATATGTATCATCAGCAAATCTTAACAATAAACAAGATTTACCAACACCGGAATCACCAATCAATAATAATTTAAATAAATAGTCGTATTCGTTATTCATGGTTGTATTTAAATCAGGGGTGTACTAACACGTATATTTATATCAGGAAGGCAATTAAAACAACACTTTCAGGAAAAAAAAAAAACTGTTAGAAAAAAGTATGATCGATAGTTTGACAACTCCTCGGAAGTATTTTTTTTTCTGTAGTAATCAAACACAACTAAAAGAACAAGAATGAATCACGTATAAGTCTTTAGCTGTACAATTATTAATATTCCTTCTCTCTATAAGTTTGTATGAAGGAAGCTTTTAGTTAAATATAACTAGTGGAAATGTGGTGGAATTAGAAAGGGGAAAACATTTTTTTTTCTTTGTTGTCGTGTTGTTTGTATAGTGTCACAATCTGAGGCTTGAGTTTCAGTTTTGTATCTTTCGCACGACCTTCCCTATTTAAGTTGATAAGACGACCAAGGGTACCTGATATTAGCTAATTCTAAACGACTATATAAAACTATTAACAACAGTCCATTGCTTCACTTTTGTTTTGTTTTGTTTTGTATTCTTTAGTAATATTTTTACTCTATCTTTTCAGCATCATGTGCTGCTTGTCTTGTAGATTCTTTACCGCTGGCTTTCTTTATGGCAATTCTAATCATTTTCAGGAGCCAGAAGACATTAAGAGTGTCCAATGAGAAATTTAATGCCAATATTGACACTGGCAAAAAGGCTGGAACTAAATGCCATGTAGCAAGCATATCACATGCAAGCAAGTAAACAGCATAGAAACCCCAGACAATACGAACTAAAAAGAAACTGATTATCAAACATAACCCATTGATAATAATAGTTCGTTCATTAAATGTTCCTGCTGGTAATTTTGATGCAAACCAATTTAAATTGACAAACGGAGTACTCAATTCAAATGTTAAAAATGCACCAGCCCAAGGTTGGCAATATGGAAGTAATCCTGCACCCATAGCATATGCTGCAGCAAACCCGTGGAATAAAAATCCAAGCCCAAATAATCTATAGTATCTGGTACAAACATAAATGTCCCAAAGAAAATAACCCACAGTTACTGAACAAACCATACATCCAAATGGGGTAGTTCCCACTAATGAATTCACTGGATCTTGTTCTCTGTTTAGAAAATGTTCATTGTTGAAATGGGCCACTAGAAGAACGAAAGAAACAACACATTGAACCATTGAAGCGACATGAACATCAAAATTAACCTTGGTTCTCTTGGGCAATTTCGTATAAGTAGGACCCATAACTCGGGAGAAGATAGGTCCTGATAATTCTTGGACAATTAAGTAGAAAAGAAATGAGGCCAAAATTTCGTGCCAATGGGCTGCCAAATTGGATTGTGGGTTGGCTGGGAATGGTCTATATTTGGCAAAGGGATCTTCGGTAATATCAGTAGGAAAGTATTTAGTAATAAATGACATTTCAATTAAACTGTTTATGGAATAGGGTAAAAGAAAAGGGTCTATAATTATGAAAATCTATACGATAAATTAAAAAATCTGTGGGGATTATTAATGCATGTACAAAAAAAGGTCGTCGTATTTCAATGTGTCAAAACATAGATTGTAGTCGAAAACAGGCGTTGTGTAGATTTTTTTTTTTCTGAGGGCGTTGAGGAGAAGAAAGATACTCAAATCGGATATAAAAAAATACTTTAGGCCGATCGGATTCACGCAAAAAAAAAAAAAGTTTTGGGGTTGTATCTTCCAACATAAAATGTTGGGAAAGCTAGCAAATTCACGCGTGGTGAGATATTTGATTATGTAATATATGTTAAAGATGACTTACAAGAGGTGCTAATTAGTTTGCTCGTTTACAATATTCAATGCGGCTGTGCACTCGTTTGCTCTTGTGTTTTGTAGGCTGTTCAACCCTACGACTCTTGGCTAAAAAGTAACTTCCTATTATGGTAAACGAATTGTACGAAAATCTGGTCATTCTATTTTATCATTCAAAGTTATGAGCACCAACACGCCAGTGAAGTCAAAAGTTTGTCTATTAAATCTAGTAAATTTAAACTACAACAATACTCAATTTGTGCCATGATAAAATATACTCGGTTCTAATAACAGAACTCACGTAACATTTAATCGTCTTTTAGTATACTTGTTAGTGTGATAATCTTTCGTCAAATTACCAAATAACAGTATACGATATGTTGTGTAAACAACAAGCTGCAGAAGTCTAAACTTGACTCTTAGGACTACATTGTTTTTTTTTCCGCACCGTTTTTGTACTGCGAAAAAAAAATTTTTCACCCTAATTGACTCACTGAAAATTAGAGAATTACCTCAATTCTGTGACAATTTATATTAATAGGTAGGTTGGTTTTTAAAATAAAAAAATAAAGGTCGTACCCGGATTCGAACCGGGGTTGTTCGGATCAAAACCGAAAGTGATAACCACTACACTATACAACCAGATTACATTTTTTTGTTCTATAATGACAGGTAGCTAGACGTATTATATACACAGGAATACAGGAACAGATTATCTAAACCGAGGCTCGATTCTAGATGCTTGAGCAATTGTAGATTGACTAAAGAAAAGAGATATGAAACTATAAAAACACAAAGTGAACACTTTCACTTTAAATAGTTTGCAAATGTCACTATTGTGACATTAACCAAACTTATTCAACACGCGTCACTCTTGACACGCTGTGCAGTACTTGCAACATGGTCACGTGGCAAGTGTGACTGCTTAGCTGTAATCATATTTCTAATCGCACTAGTGCGATTATGGAACATTTTTTGTTCTATATCAGAGCTTCTCTGATGAGAAACAAAATAGAGTCAATGATATGACTCTAAGTTGGTTTAATAAGTGGGATTGTTTTACATTAGTTAACGTTATGGTTTGAATTGTTGGATTGTTTTAGTTATCTCTCGACTTACAGAAGAGAGTACATTACGCCGTATGCATCATTGTTCATAATGAAATGTATTGATTTAGAGCTTTGGAATATGACGTGCTGGCGTGTGACTGAAGGACGACACGGAGACTGAAGTATTCTGTCTTGTACGGATACGTGGTCTTATTGGTTTAAGGGGCTAAGTATCCCTAGTTTCAAGGATTGACAGGATTCTCTATAAGAATACGGAAATCCGCAGAAACTTATTTTCTAGGTTTGTATATCTTTTTCTTTAGTCAAGTTTTATTTTGGTTTAGGATTGAACCAATTGATATTGTTATTTGTTAAGTACTTGGCTCATAGTTAACCTGATATCCCCCACAGGCTCAGAGTATAAAACATTTTTAAACATTTTACTACGCCTCCCGCTTATGTTGCTAGTACACTAGGGAAATGCATTCCACTTCAATACCATGCTTCTACAGTCTATTACTTTCTTTTTCAAGACAATATACCATCAAGGAAGGGCATATATATATTTGTGTAGTTACCGAGGCCCGTTCTGCGAAGTAACTAATTAATTATTATTGTAAAAAAGGTATTAAAAAAATAGTATTGAGTAGTAAAAGAATGACAGCAAACGCAATTAACAACTATTAGCTTTCAGAAAAAAATCGTAAACCGATTCCTAAACCATCATACAATTAGACCTGACAATCGAGGAATAAGTAAAACCTTTGATCTCATTGTACCAGGAGCTAATGTTGAGGGAGGGGTAGATATTATGAAACTAAACTCTTAACAAAGAGTTTTCAGAGATTTGCAACAAACTACGAAATTAAATCTTGCATTTGATTTCTCTTTCAAGTCTGATAGATAGCCATGTACTCCAGGACCGTAAGAATTTTTCTAGGTTCAAGTGCAACGAAGTTACAGCCAGATCCCATAATGAAATACATGAAGCTAACACCAAAGGGGTAAACCAGATCTTCCTAACTAGCAACAAGGTTTGATTGTGAAGGAGAATAAGAGGATAAGTTTATCGAAAGTTATATTTTAACGTTCGATCCATCGTAGTCGTTATTTTACCTTGAATAATTCACTATTTTTTTCACTTTTTTTTCTCAATAAAAATTGCAAAATTTCAGCAAAAGTTTACTCAATAAATGGACCAATTTCTTTTCTTTTCTATTCTATTTGATACTCCCAGGATCTAAAAAACCATTAACAAGAACTACAATACCAAAATACAGTACAGATGGCCCTTTTTCATTAAATAGATGGTAGCACATTGGAAAATTGATAATATTTAAAATCCTTCAATTTAAAAAATAAAAATTCATCAAAGTGCCTGCGTAGCGTAATGGTTAACGCGTTTGACTTCTAATCAAAAGATTCCGGGTTCGACTCCCGGCGTGGGTTCTCTTTGCGGTTTTAGCTCAGTTGGGAGAGCGTCAGACTGAAGAGATTCAGTCACAGTTTAATCTGAAGGTCCTGTGTTCGATCCACAGAAATCGCATTGTTTTTTTGGTTTAGATGTGCTTCTATCTGTTTTAGATAGGTTATGCACATCTGCATAATTTTTTTTTTTTTTGTTTTGATTTTATTTCTTCGTGCATTTTTTCTGGTGTTATCGAATGATCCTAGTGCAATTGAATGATCCCACCAACTGACGACTGTAGAGGAGTGGAATGACATTTGGGCTGAGTTCAACTGGTCTAAACTGCGGATGATGATGCTAATATAGTTTCACAGGAAAGAATGACAACTTCTAATTGTAGAACAATCAAATGTAAACTTTTCTTGTAAATCTTTAAAAGTGCGGCTGTCAGTTTAGGACAAAAATCAGATCAGAAAAAAAAAATAGAGATTTCTAAAACATACATTTTACATTGCCATCAACTTTTACTATAAGCCAATGGGGACGCCATTTAGAATTCCGTTTGCATATCAGCACGCTGAGAATGCTAATGTGAACTTGACAAAATTGGTTTTGACAAATGAGCTTGATTCAGTCAGGATAGTTGTGGGTTTAGATGAAACTAAAGGTATAGAATCAATTAAAAAAGTACACACCAATACTTTAGAACCTATCAATGAACTCACCAGCTATATTGAAAACCCTGATAGTGAAGAGAAAAATGAATTTCCTTTATTAGTGAGGATAGACCCAACATTTAACAGATTAAAATTGAATGTAACCATAAGACCAACAACCGATTTTAGCAACAGGTCCTTGATAATTGTTAAATCCACTGGCAATTCAGATATAGAAAAGTTGAAACCTCAATTATATGATGACTCATCATTCGAAAATGCAGTTGAAATTTCCAAACTAGAGTATAAAAAGCTACCAATTGAATTTAATGACCACAGCTTTCAAAGACTAATTATTAATGATGTGTTTGATAAATCAATTGTTAATGATTCAAAATTAACCATATCCCTTTGGGAGCACGATCCAGAATCTAATGATTACAATTACCTTTTAAACTTCAGTGTGTGGATAGATACCTACACCAAAGAACAGACAGTAGAAAACAGAAGCATATCAAGTAATGGCACAACACTGGAAGAGAAACTTCAAGAATCAAGGCTCTTTAACCTAGGTGACTTCAGAAGGGAGTTTAATTTAAATATTGAGGACGGACCAGAGTTTAGAAAGGCACTAAGTGACTATGAAAGTCGAATTCCCAAAGCAAAAAAGGTTTATGCTAGTCTTATTGAAGATTTTAAAGCATTGGAGCAATCTCTAAGACGGCTAAGTTTGACAAAATTAAGGATCATGGAAGGTATAAATTCATTGCTTGATTTACATTCAAAATCATTGCTTCAAGAATTCGGCTTTAAACGGGATTTTGACAAGACATTCAAGTCAATGTTTGAGCCTTTTGAAAAGAATTTGAAATTCTTCCTTACTGAAGTATGTAGCCATTCATTGCTTTTGAAAATTGCCCATAATTTGTCGTCTGATTTATTAGATCTAGGTTTGTCTGGGGTCGGTGGAGCATCTTCAAATTCCCAGAGTTCAACTTCAGTCGAATTATTGCAAAGAAGGAAACAATTCGAAAATGATTCTAAAGAATACTACAGTTGGCTTAATAAGTATTTGTCAAATGAAAAGGAAAGACCAGAACTGAAATTGTTAGCAAAAAGGAAAGCTTTTGAAATTTCAAAATTCGACTATTTGAATCATCTTAATAAAATAACCAATAATCAATATATAAATGGACTATGGGAAGACCTTTTCAAGTTTATGAATGTGAAATATGATGAGCATAATTGCAAATTTCTTGATTTTAACTCGTACAGGGACAAGAAGTTGAGCCAGCAATTGATTGGAGAGAATTACCAACTTTATATTCATGCTCTATTAAGGTTTAATAGTGAAAAATACCAATTTAGACAAAAAATAGAAGCTTGCCAGACAAATGAAGAGTTGACAAATCTTATAAGGTTTAACAGACTAAGCCATCATTCGATGAACAAGTCAACCTCAATGGCTGCCACCAGTAGTGCTATCACAGGAACCAATGACTTTATTATAACTCCAGAAAATATTGATTTGATTTTCTCAGATAGTCAGCCACCAATTGAGCTGATAGCTAGTGAATCAGAAATGTCAGGAATTTTATTTGCTCTTGGTGGACAAGGTAAACAAGGCTGGCATAAAGAATGGGTGGTATTAAACAAGGGTCAACTTAAAGAATATGCAGATTGGAGAAAAGGTAAAACTCCAATAAACAAGCCAATTGAAGTTGTATTATCAAGTGTTAAACCGGTCACTTACGATAAAAGACAGTTTTGTTTTGAGATTATTACTTCCCGAGGAGCGAAACATGTATTCCAAGCTATTAATGATAACGAGAGAGATAAATGGGTAAAAGCCTTATATAATGCCGGACAAGTTGTCAATACCCAAAGATTGAAAAAAAGATTTGGAAACAATAGTAATGGGCATGCTGGAAAGTCCTCACTGGACAAGAAAAAATTGGGAAAGCTTATCACTAACTTTGTTGAAAAACCAGAAAATATTGGAAGGTACATTGCTGATCTCGTTGAGAAACCAATAATACCAGGACAATCAAAAGATAGATCTGTATCTCCAGTTTCAATAATATCGAAAGCACCTACAGTTTTAGAAAAGGATTACTTAACCTTAGTGAAATCTATTCCTGAAAGCGATAATAATATATGTCTTGATTGTGGATCAACTGAACTGGTAGAATGGGTTTCTATTAATACTTTATCATGTTTCTGTGTTCAATGTGCTTCTTGTCACCGGAATATCGGATCTCATATCACCAGGATTAGATCATTGAAATTGGATAAATTTGACAATGAGGCTGAATTATTATTGAAATATATAAATAATAGACACGTGAATTCATTCTTGGAGGAAAATATGAATCCTAGTGAAAAGATAAACAGCAATGTAACAAATGAGGCTCGTTTGGATTTTATCCGGAAAAAGTATCAGGTGAAGAAATACAAGTCTGTCATACCAGATATAAACAATCAGTTAATTAAAGCTATTCAAAAAATCAATATCCCCGATGTTTTGAAATATATACTATGCGGAGGAGATATCAATATCAACATTCAAATAAATATTCCCAACAGAACCGACTATCTTGTTATTTCACTTTTTGAATATTCTTTACGGAAGTTTATTGAAATTGAGGATGATTTGATGCTAACATCTGAACCTAAGAAGCTATTTATAATTTCTGAGCTATTAATATTGAATGGATGTAAGATTGATTCAATTAGTGGAGTGAATTCTGATTTGGGATTAACGGAAGATGCTACGAAATACTGGAAATTACGTTCAGTGAAGTTGGGTGGAGGATTTCTAACCCCTTAATAATTAGTCTATAGCCTTTAGTACGCTTACCTTTGATTGCCGCAAAAACAACAGCTGTATTTTCGCAACAAAACAAAAATAATAAAAAAAAAAACTAAATATTTTCTCTCGTTGCCACAAACTCTTATCTTTGAATTGGTTGTTTGATAAACTACTTTTTTTTTCATTTCTAGTTAGGTTGACTCATTTTCATAACCTTGCAGTCAGTTAGGAACCAGCTGCAAGGAAAAAGATATAGAAAACAAGCGGCACAGCGAGTAAGATTCTTTGTGAAGGTTTTGCCATGAGTTTGGTACAAACAAAACATATGGGTGCAGCAAATAAATACTATTTCGAGAAATGCATTGGAAAAGGGAACTTTGGGGATGTATATCGTGCTAAAAGCATCAGTTCTGGGAAAACAGTAGCTGTCAAAGTTGTTTGTCTTGATGATTCCAGCGATGAAATGAATCAAGTCATTCAAGAGATTCATTTTTTGTCAAAGTTGAGAAACAAGTTCATTACCCAATACATTGAAAGTTATTTACATGGTTACAATATGTTTATTGTTATGGAATACTGTGGAGGTGGTTCATGCTCTGATTTATTGAGATGTCATAAGCATTTGGATGAAGGTGTTGTTAGTTATATCATCAAAGGCGTCCTTTCTGGTTTAAGTTATTTGCATGCAGAACACAAGGTTCACCGTGATATCAAACTGGCAAATATATTGTTGACTGAAGATGCCCAGGTTAAGTTAGCTGATTTTGGGGTAAGTGGTGAAATTACAATGACTAGGTTGAAAAAGAACACGTTTGTGGGAACTCCATTTTGGATGGCGCCGGAAGTAATAGCTAGATCGAAGACGAAAGGAGAAAGTGGATATAACGAAAAAGCAGATATTTGGTCAACTGGTATTACAACTATTGAATTGGTTACTGGATATCCTCCATTATCTCAGTATGATCCTTTGAAAGTTCTATTTGAAATCCCGAAAAAGAGACCACCTATACTTCAAGGGTGTAGCTACAGCGCTAACATAAAGGATTTTGTCAAGTATTGCTTGTTGAAAGATCCCCTGAAGAGACCAAGTTCCAATACATTGTTGCACCATCATTTCATTACCCGTGGATCAAACGTGCGGGAAAAATTGATTGAATTAATCAATGCAAAAAACGTCCGTATGGAACTGAAGGTGAAAAAGCCTCGACATAAGATATCACCGGCAAATGAACATAATAGTGCATTACTGACGCCAATAGTTTGGACATTTGAAACAAACAGAAATTTGCACTCATTTTTAAATATTGACTTAGCCATGGAACAAGATGAACTGCAAGGTCCAACCAAACACATATGTCAAGTGGAAGAGAAAGAAGAGGACAAGTTCAAAGAAGAAACCGAAATGCTGCATGAACTTGTGCCAACCGCACCTCGGTCTCCGGTGGGAAGATTCGCTAAAGATAAAGCGTGTATGTTGTTTTATTGTTTGGAGCGGGTATATCATCGGGGAAAAAATGAATTTACAAAGCTGGCGGTTGCAGAGTTAATGAAGAGCATTCAACAGCATGAGCAAGAACAACCGGGATTATGTCATACGATTGTGGAGGAATTTGAGCGTTTGCTCACAACTGCAAATAATAAACCATAGACACTGCCATATTATGTATAGCTTTTTAAATAAATGATCTGATATCTGTCAACACCATCGCGCCGGAAACATTACCCGAATGGCCCGATTGCATGTCGCAACCTAAAAATAAACTGCAGATGCAAAAAAAAAAAACAGTGAAATTGTCAGAAAGCGCGTTCCACACAATTCAAATTTCGTGTCTCTGCCAGGAGTTGTTGTGCGGCAATTAAAAACTACTATAGTTTCGTAAACACTTGATATACACCCTTCTTTCGTTAAATTTATTGTACTTTCTACCTGTTTACATGTTGATTTAGACATTACTACATCTACAGAACCTGATTGAATCCTTCCGTATCCCAAATTTACACCAGCAAAGAACTCATTCATAAACAGTATTGATGTCTAACAACGACAATTCAAATCCAAAGTCAATTATGCATCCAGAAACCCCGCGTGCTTCCAGAAATGGAGCTATGTCCAATCTGAACCGAACATCAACCCCCACATTCACTTTTGGGCTCAGTTTCCTGCCTTCATTCAGCTTCAACTCACCAGTTTCAGTCATATCTCCCAGCAAAATGATTAATATTTCCAATAATCTCAATAGAGCATTTACCAAGCGTCAATTTGATTCAACCAAAGAAACTCCCAATACCAAAACAAGAAATCGATTCTTGGACTCGCTTACAAAAGCCAAATCACAACTGCCTCTTGGGATCAAGTTGGAAAATGAACATATGGACATGAGTAGCCAATCGGGTGATGAACTATGGACTACTCTTGATCACAATGAATCTCATGCAAATATCACAGACATGACAACAATCACTAATGACAATGAAAGTAAATCCACCAACCACACTCAAAACTTCCTAACTCCACAGAAGCTCATTATACCTAATGATAAAACTATCAAGAAGGAAATTACTTCAAGTAATTTAAAACCATCATTACTCTCCAGCAAGGAACTCGAAACAAATCGCTCAGACTTGGAGTTATCTCTGCCTGAAGTTTCTATAACACGTGTCAATAAGCGAAGGAAACTTGAAACTTATATTGGCGATTCTCCAAACAATTCCGTTGCCTCACAGATTGAAACAATGGACTCACCAATTATCCATAGAACACCGGTAAATTCAGCAAGAAAAGAGGTAATTAGCGCAGCCTCGGCTGTTTTGGCATCAAACGTCCAATCTGAAGACAAGGTATGGTATCCAGAATTAGATGACGTACTAATCAAGTCCTTCCAAAAGTATCGTGAGTTTAGAGAAAACCAAACTGGTTCTAATTCTAGTACAGTATTGAAAAGTACATCCCAAAACAAAGTATTGTCACGAATGATACTTAATAAGACTGGTATATTAAGAACATCAAAACAAATCTCGTCACGCTTATTCAGATTGTCAAAGTCCAACAGATTGGACAAGAGGAAGAAGGGAAATGCATCTTCAACTAATTTAAGTACTTTAGATGAAATTGAAGATCTTATCCTGACTCCATTGGATCAATTGATGGCTTCTTCTAAAGAAAGCGGGGTTATCAATGAACAAGAGTTGAATGCATTATTGTCCTCTTCTCCTCCGGATGATAACCTGGAAGAGAATGTTTTATACCTGTTATCTTTAAATGAAATTAGTTTATCTTACAAGAGTAAATTCAATCTGTTGGAAGATCATATTTTTGCAAAATTCAATTCGACTTCAAGAAACAAGAAATCCACCCAAACAATCGAGTCTTTGCGAACCAGATATAATTTAGACTTGAAAGTTCTTGGTAAACTTCATGAACAAAATCTTCCGGTATGGCTCTTGGAACACGATGTTAATGTAACCAGTTGCCGACTGCAACTATGCACATCCACACCCATGTCAGCGTCGTCAGATAGTCATGTGCAGCATCCTATGAATCTAATGAATGGCCTGTTCGAGTCCCTTATGAAAGTTAGTGCCTCGAGTTCTGAATCTAATAAATCATTCTTAAGTTGGAACATTTGCAGCAACGTTTACAAGGGAAATTCAGGTGATTGCAAATTATTGGAAGCCGCAGATATAATTAATGGATACTATGACGAATCAACAAAGTCATACTTATTGCAAATTCCATTTATGCGAAGCTTTCTTTCCGGTTATATCAGTTACCTTGTTAATGGTGCTTCCATGATTACTCCCGAGGACGACAATTTGACGATAATCCAAATGATATACAGTCATCATGGACAAAATTCAGGCAAATTTGACCCTGAAAATTCAACCATTAGAGGATATATTATCCACCAATTAGAGATGGGAAGTGCCGATACCAAATCTGTTTTAACTGAAATTAGTCTTTCGGATGAAATCGACATGTCTGAGAGTTTGAACAATTCTAGCCAGACTCAAATCCAAGCGGAAGATGATAATGAAACTGTGTTTGTGGGGTCTTCGCCATTGAAAGGTTCGTCACCTAGTACTTCACAAGATTTTGAAACTCCACAAAGACCATTACATATTGATATCAACCGAGCTAATATTGATTCTGTTATAAACCCAGGTCCTAAATCCGCTCCGATAATCTACACCATGCCCACATTCAGAAAAGATTTATTGGTTCAAGGAGCACCACAGGGCCACAATCTTCAGCAAAATTTAGCTGCTATCAATGAGAATCCAAATCAACCACAGATGTTGCACTCGGTTTCAATGCAGAATATTCCTCAATACAAGAACCAGGACATGCCAATAATGCCTACAAATTTTAACCAAGGAGTGACTTCTTATTCAGCATCGAACACACCATACATGAATGCACAACCTACTTTTGGAAACCAAAGTACGACAGCGATTTCACAATGGGATTCCGATCGTTATATATCTCAAGAGCTGTATTCCAGACCAAACTCAAATGGTCCGCAAGATGCATATTTGCTCAAACAAGGACAATTTAACATGCCACCATCCCAGGCTTCAAATCAATTTCTTCTGCAAAATATGCAACCTATGCAACAGACGCATATTTCCAACGGATTTAATCAGTTTCCCGAACAGTATGATTTTGGTGTGAACCAAGGATTAGGCCCCCCAAACCCCCAGCAAATGACACAAATTCCAAACAGCTACCTCAATAACAATGGGTCAAGCCGGTTCAATATGGGTGTAAACAAGTCATTTGGAGTTCATACAAATAGCAACAGCGTGCACGTTGATCGTCACCTGCATCCGAACAAAGAAAACGTCAAACCAATAGAAATCAAGTTTGGTCCTATTCTAGAGTATGATCCTTCCAAAGATGCCAAAAAAATCCAACAATCCCAGAGAGTGTCAAAGCAACCCATTGGAACAAGTACATTTTCTATAAACACTCCTGTTAGCATCTACAAACCAAACAAGCAGTAGACTTTAGCTTCTTGTATATTCCACAAACATTTCTGTGTATTAGCATATTTCTTTTTAGTTCTTCTTTTTCGATCAATATAAGGTGTTTTATATAAGCATTTGCTTTATTGTTATGTAAGTTGCAAAAAGCTTCTACATCCCATATACAGGAAAACGTTAAAGCCAAATTCACCCCACCGAAAAAAAACAAAGCGGCCCCTGGATGTTACGGAAAGATACGATACAATAGCAAATACTAACCAATGGCAGCGGAAACCCCTACAAAACCGCAACGGTCATTAAGAATATCAGAAGTTATGAATAGCACTTCTAGAGCACAGCAACGAAGTAATAGCTCCTCCAGTAGAGAGCAGCACTCTGCTAGATCGCCTTCATCAGATGACACTGCGCAACAGCCGGTCTTGACTCGGCAGTTCAAGTTGATTTCGGTCAATTTCAAAGAGGCCGCATTAGATAGTCCCAGTTTCCGTGCCAGTGTCAATCATTTAGATATACAAGTTGATAATATCGAGAAATGGCTAATTGCAATCTCGAGTTCCGTTAAGAAGATCCCTCGTTATGTTAATGACCTCCAATCGTTTTGCAATTCCTTTTTGGAGCATTTAACCCCTACCTTTTTACAAGAAGGGTTGATCGATCAAGAATATACGGTACCAGCTCTTCATACAACCTTGGCTGGACTCAAGAAGATATGGGGGTTAAGTTTTCAAGCACTTAATGTGAATTTGCATGCATTGGAAGAAATCGATTCATTCATATATAGCGAAGTGCCTCGATATAAAGAACTACGAAAGAAATTTGACGAGAAACAAGCGAAATATGACAAGTATTTGAGTGTTTATGTGTCAATACCAAAGGCAAAAGAAACACCTATGGTGATGGATGATGCCAGGGAACTCTTTTTGGTGAGAAAGGAATATATCCACGTTTCTTTGGATTTAATCATTCAATTGCAAAATTTGGGTAATAAATTGAATAAATTGTTTGTCAATATGAATGCTGAGTTGTTCAGAAGCAAATGGAATGTATTTTCTCCTTTGAATCTGGATAGTACATTTCGAGACCAGTGGGAAAAGGTTCAGAAGATCCAACACTGGAACGATTCTTATGCTACCGCTGTGGATAAGTTAACACCCGATATGTTGTCTGCCCGAGAACAGGTGGAAGAAGGGTGTCATATCCAATTCCAGCCTTCTCTTAATGCAGATGATTACAGGACCTTCTCAATTAACGCCAAGTCCTTAGATGATATTGATGAACAAGGAATAGAGAAGCACGGGTATTTGTTTATGAAAACATGGACGGAAAAATCTTCAAAACCTATCTGGGTAAGGCGGTGGGCATTCATCAAAGGTGGTATATTTGGATTGTTGGTTCTAAGTCCTTCACATACATTTGTCCAGGAGACTGATAAATTGGGTGTTTTGTTATGTAATGTGAGGTATAATCCCAATGAAGATAGAAGGTTCTGTTTTGAGGTTAGAACAAGTGATATTACCTTAGTATTCCAAGCAGAATCCCTTATTGAGTTGAAGTCTTGGATAAAAGTCTTTCAGAATGAAAAGAATAGGGTTTTGGGTACTGATGAAGAAGAAGGGTTAGTTAAAATTGCTTCCGGAAGGTATCCTCCCATAATTTTAGAACTTGCTTCAACTCTTAGCACAGTTATGGATCGAGAATTTACCAGCACAAGAATAGTCAATGCCGAGGGCCAAATCATTACTTCCAGTACATTATCAAACCACATTGAAAAAAACGAAAAGTACTTTCAAAAGTATATCTATTTTCAAATTCCAAGAATACGTCCACCGTTCATAACTGATACCACAAAATCATCCATTATTGCATACAGTCTTGCTTCAGTGACCTCGGTACCGACTGCATTGACTGCCAACATTTGGGGATCAGTTAACTGGGGGATTTATTACTTGCATGATTTAGTGCAGGACGGTCCCCCAATTTCAACTTACGGAATTGAACCTGATCACGAAATGATTGAATATCAAGAGGACAATCTTGGGAATGGGATTTATCATCCAAGTTACTACCCTAAAGAACTTGTCAGTTTAGATATTCAGATGAGATCGTTGTTTGAATCAGCAATTGAGCCAGGAGAATATTGTATCCTTTCTTTCAGTTGCATTTGGTCTCCTAACTCAATGCAGGAGTTGGGAGGAAGATGTTTTATTACAACCCACCGGATGTACTTTTACATGCAGGCCCTGGGATTCATTGCATTGTTTAAAGGATTTGTAGGACTGCTTGTCTCGGTAGATTATACTTCACAAAAGCAGTATGATCTTTTGAAGATTTATAATGTGAATGGAATTATTAAAATGAAGTTGTTCTTGGATGATGGGAAGCTCATCAAGAAAAAATTGGTTTATATAATCAATAACGTTGCCAGCGACAAACCAAAACCTCTTAGAGAAGTTCTTGCGGAATTAGCGGAGATTGAGGTCAAGGTGCGTAAAGAGAAGGAAGAGCAGACACAATTGAAAGAAATCAACCAGTTATCCAAGGGATTGCCCAGTAGTGAGAAGAGATTGATTCTTGGAGATGCGTCTTCACTTGTTCCTGCCATTGAAGGAAAGCAAAGCGTACACAAGGTTGATTTTAGTGATGAATATGATCTTGTTGGGGACCTGACCTTTGATCTACCACCAAAGGCAATTTTTCATGCGTTACTTGGTGATAATTCCGTTATTTTCACCGACGAAACGGTTTTCACAGTAAAGGAGTATTATATCAAGAAGCCATGGAGAACATCGTCTCGTGGCACCTTGTATCGAAAACTCAATGTTCCAGCAAAATATGGGACAAATCTCGGAGAAGTTCACATTCGACAAGAGATTGACAATATGGAAGATAATTCATATTATACATTCACCTATGCCCGGTCAAAGTTTACATTCTTCTATGGACCTAGATTCTCCGCCATCTATAAAATAGTTATTGTTGGCATTGCCGGGAAACGTTCACGAGTTATGTTCTATTGTAAAGCAGTGTTTGATCGTTCTACATTCTACAATTGGATGCTCAAGAGATTCTGTGTGCGAGTAGATATGAGCCAAATTAAAAGGATTCAGAAACGTCTTAAACAAGCTGAAAAGGAAGTTGGAAAACATGGTATGATTGTTAAATCTATTTACTTGTATGGAAAGTTGAGTCATACCGATGAACCCGAGGAAGAATTGCCTGATGGATTGGTGAAGTTTGGATTCGGTTTTGTTGCCCGATTTATGCTCATTAGAATGACTAATAAAGCTGTGACAACTACTTATAATACCATTATGCAAATATTGAGATTATTGATAATATTTTTGAAATCGGTTAGAATGAATCAATTTTTGCTTTTTATTATATTTGGTTCAACCTTGCTTAATTTGTACTTGTTTGGAAAAACTACCACTAGTTATTGGACTGCTAAAAGGGCAAATCAGCTTGCGCGTGAATATGTTACGAAAGATCCAATCGTATTGCAGCGTTCTGTATACCTTAAAGATATCCAAGAGCACGTTAATAATAGAAACATCAGTTTTGGAAATCCTAAGGTATTTGGGCTATTCAAGAATATCTCATTTGTGCACAGCTTTAATTATGAGCCCCATTGGACTGATGATTACTTTGATGACAATACCAGAGATGTCGCCAAACAATTACGATTATCATTTCAAGAGATTGGTGTTAAGAGACACGAGTTATTGGTCAAATTGAACATTTTAAATGATATGGAAAGGGAAATCGCCCAAGCGGAATGGAACAACTGGTTGATGAGCGAGGTACAGCGGTGTGATTACTTGAAGGAGAATATCTTGGATCTGCTAAAAATTGATGAGAATGTGGTTAAAGGAATTGAAACGGTCATGGGATTCTGTGAAGAGTGTAGAGAAGCCTTAGCGGGATTAATATAAGCAAATGATCTCAGTGGGTTCTTTCCAATAAAGTTTACTTCTATTTGTTTCTATATCGATACCAATAATAGTCTTATATATATAGATCTAATTAATACCCCTTTTCAGCTAGATTATTTGCAATTTCTAAATATAGCAAAATTGGATTAAATGGTGGATCTTGATTGAACATGATTTTTGTAAAAGTATCACGGGCATTATTAGTCCAATTAATCAAGTCCAAATGATCTACCTCATCGAAGGTGCCCATATACTCTCCCCATTTGGAACTATCAACACTGACCAACCCGTCATTATCAACCAATTTTTGATATTTTGATTCATTGCTATGCTTGGACTGAATTTTGAATTTGGTAATTAGCCAAGTCAAGCCAAAGAAGTTATACCAACGAGGATTGAATCGAGCACCATAGGAAAAGTACGCTACTTCGGGGTCATCCACCACTATTTTGTTGAATGTTGCCATATTGGTCGTAGTCATGTCGAAAATCGATCTGGGGACTAGTTGAGAAAGCACCGGTCTATTTCCCACAAGATCCACTATGAAATCAGCGCATTCGGACCCGTGATGTGGTGTGGAGATCGTAGTCAATGATGATACTTTGTAATGACTTTTGTCGTTCTGCAATTTTGAAATCAAATAGCGGCTGTCCAAGCCACCCATTGAATGGCTTATCAAATTCAATGTGACAGGGCTATTTGTCGACTGTTTCCTTTGAATTATTTTACATTGCCTATTTAGAAAATGGTCGAGATTCGCTGCTCGACTTCTAATATCACTGAATGCCGGTACGCGTGCAATCAAGACCTCGGCTCCGATGTTCTCAAGCGCATATTGAATGCCCCGCCAATAGTCGAACTCGAGTATTCCCTTAGTGGCAACATTTTCCAACTCTTTCTTTGCACCAGTGGGCAAGTTTCTTATACCAGGAATTAAGGTCAATTTGTCAAATCCGGAGAAGCCGTGACATAGCACAATCGGGTTCTTGGGTGCCAAATAGTGACTTAGTGGAACTTGCTTCAAGAATTGATCTTGTGTTTCTTTTACAGTATTCTTCAAGCGAGATCCTATAGCGAATCTTCTCACGCTCATATATCTCAATTGAAGTCTATTCATGTCTATACGTATCTATAATGAACATATGGTTCACTTTGTTTGCTGTTTCAGTGTAAAGTAAAGACGAAAAAAAAATATTAATTCATAATCATAAACTTTATATGGGGAAAAAATATGTACAATATATGAGATCTAAAGACTAATCAGTTTCATCATCATGTCCTTGACTGGACTAAGGAAGTTGACTGTCTTCATACCCAATCCCCTAGCGAGAACTAATGGGTAGAAATCAGTAGAGAATAATTTATGCATCTTATCGCAAATTCCAAGCATAGCATGGTTTGCGGGCCATGCATTGGAAACATAACTCTCCAAAACTAGCGTAGATCCAAGATCCAATCCTCTATCAATACCCTTTTCCAAGGCTTCAACGAGGTGGATTACATCAGATTGGCCCATATTTAAACCTTGCCCTGCCAAAGGATGAATAGTGTGGGCTGCATCACCTACTAATGCTACTCTTGGAGCTACATAAGTATCTGCATGAGATAACTTCAAAGGGAATCTAGCACGAGATCCGTCAAGAACGGAAACAATAGCCGCAGGGTATCTCTCTTCTAAAACCACTTCAGGAACCTTGGACATTCTCCATTCGATTTCTTCAACTGCAGACAAATCATCAGGGTTTTCTTTTAATAACCCGTAAATATACTTCAAGTCGGTTTCTTCCAACACCATGGCTGCAGTAACAAGACGAGGAAAGATATCTTTGTTAACTTTGACAAGAATTTCCAGCAATTCAGGAGTACTGGACCATACTATAGTTGCATTATCTTCGCTCAATGGTAAAATTGCAAGTGGACCAGTAGTTAAAAATCTTTGCCAACCCACTGATCTGAAATCTTCATATTGTAACTTCACTGTTGCTACTACCCCAAAAGTATTATATTGCCAACCTCTTGATTCAATTTGAGCGTATTTACGAACAGGTGAGTTATAGCCATCACATCCCACTAAAAGACGAGTTTGGATTGATTCCCCGGTGGACAACTTTATAATTGGCCAGTCTAATTTACCGGTTCCTGGAACTTCATCTATTTCATTCAAATCATGGTTTTCCAAATCAGGTGTTAATGGGTTTATAATATCCACAACCTTGGTATTGTCTTTAATGGTGGTGGTGTCTTCCAACCCAAGACTTTCAACTTTGGCCAATAAGGACGCTTGAATATTGATATTCTCGCACATGGCAGCAAGATTATCTTTTCCAATAGAATTGACATCAAATTCAACTCGTGAATCTGCATCTTGCCCATCATAGGCAATGATCCCTTGATATTCCTTGATTCGATCTTCATGAATGAAATCCCAACTGCCAATCTTGTGTTTCATATAGTCAATGGTTTTGGGAGTAATTGAAACACATCGGTTGGTGTATTCTTGAGGTGGATTGGTGGCAAATTCTCGTACTTTGTCCAAACTACCTCCTTCGATTAAGGTACAGTTCAAGTGTTTGGTCTTTGGGGAGTTTTTCAAGGTAGCTAATAATGAGAGACCAGCTGGTCCTCCACCAATGATAACCACATCTTGAAGAGTAGGTGGGGCTACTTGAGTAGCTGCTCTTATTGCAGAATTGGAGAAATACCGTATGGATCGAGAAAGCATGTGGAGCTAGTTGCTAGCAAATGTGTTTCTCATTTACTTGCACCACTTTTGAATTTTTTTATTTTTTTTTTTTCAGAATTTTCATCCCTCGAATCATAACCTATACGATGATTGCAAAAATGTAGAGATTGCTAGAAACGAAAACTTATCCTCGTAAAGCAGATATCATTACAAAATACTAATCAACCATATCCATTAAAACAATTACAAAGTATAATTAATATCTATAAAGTTCAACTCTTTGGAATATTTTCCAATTTTACTTTCCCAGTTTCAATCCAATAAGGATCAATAAGTTTTTCTCTTTCCTCGTACATTACCTTATAAGAGGTCTTAATAGTACCATCACTGACACCGGTCTTGTCAGAAATCTTAGAAGGTGCTAAATCAGCACCAAACACTAATGCCGCCATATAGATAACTGTAGCCGCAATAGTGGTGGGAGAACGACCAGCAAGGACACCAACTTCTTTACATCTTCTGGCAATATACTCTGCCCCATTGGTAACCTGTGTATGTAACCCCAAATGGGAACAAAATCTTCTAATCAAATCTTCAGCTGACGTTTGTGTGGTTTGGATGTTATCTTGACTAAAGTAGATAGCATTGGTTGGATTTGCGGCATTCTTTTCTCGAATTACCTTGTCCATAATCTTGAATACTTTACCAATCTCTTTTCTAGGAACATTAGTTAAGGCCCAGATTTCTTTAAATGAACGAGCAACTTTGGCCTTTCTACATCCAATGAAAATCGAAGCTGCCATGATGGACTCTTGTGATTTCCCTCGTAATGGTTTTTCATCATGTACCATCTTGTACACTTCCTTGGCTCCATCCTGGACAATCTTCGGTAATTGGTACCCTTCGCACATCTGCGAAATCTTTTGATATGCTGCTGCCAACGCATTGTCCTTCTTATCTACGGTATTCTTTTGGTGTGCACGATTCAATTCTCTTCCGGCCCTGCTGTTCTCAGGAACATACGAAATCATCGTCGACAAATCTTCGGTATCTAATAAGGGGTTCCCGGCATCACCTACACGGGATGGATCGTCACCGTTTTGATCGTCATTACTAAACGTTCTCCATTCCGAACGAGTATCAACCACACGATCACTCAACACCAACCCACAACTTCCACACACGATATCTCCCTCACTAAATCTCTCTATCAAATCTGGTGGGAAGATCTTACACTCCGGGCAGGTTAGCGTGACGTTCAAGTTAGGTCCTGTGAATTGGTCGTGAATGGTACTCATATTTCCAGCTGGTGCCATGCTTGGGTTTATATTAGGGTAAAAAAGTAGCTTTTAGATAACCCTACAGGACGGCAATAAAAGACCTATGTCGTTGAAATCTCTCTTCTTCGTGTAGTTTGAGAAGAGTGTAGTTGTGTAATCTACTTGCGGTATTAGTAATCACAAAGAGATTGATATACGCCAAAATCTGTAGTAGTAGTAGTAGTAGTAGTAGTAGTAGTAGCGATAGCAGTGGATCTATTGTAGGACTCGAGTTAACGGCACAACAGAACTTCTGATGATAGTGGCAACGACAGTTAGATGGAGGAACCTGGACACGCTCTGATCGTTGAAAGAAAAGGTGATGTGTTGTGAAGGCTGGTTCTGCCTTAACTAGAAAAAAAAAGAATCCCTAAATACATTTTTTTACATGACTTTTTAGCGCCGCCAGTTTTTAACTATGTGATGTGTCGGGACAGCAAAAAAAAATTTCACAAAAAATAGTGAAGGATGCGAGGTTCGAACTCGCGCGGACACTGTCCAGTAGATCTTAAGTCTACCGCCTTAGACCACTCGGCCAACCCTCCATTTTTTCTGAAAAATTTTTCATAGTTTAAGACACTTATTATTTATCACGTGATTGATACATTTTATACTAGTGGCAGTAGCTCTATATGTTTCAGTATTTCTTGGAATATATGTATTGGAAATGAGTTGAATTGTAGTCTGTTAAGCATTACGGCAACTGAAACTTCATAGAATGATTGTTTTATGAAAATAAATACCGTCGTTATAAATGTTATGTTTTGGACAAAATCAACTAAAATTTGCATCAAATTCATAGCAACCTAAAGAAATGAACAGACTACGATAAGTTGTCCTGTAAAGATAAAACTACTTGATATCATAGATGAAATTTCTCAGAGTATTCTAGGTTGTTTTTTGTTTTGGATACACAAGCCCACTTTTAATAAATGATGAATTGGAGAGAAAAATGGCTGCTAAAATATGTCTAGACTATAGTGGTTTATACATATGTCTAGTTTTCATTGACAGAAATACTTTAGTTTGAGCAACTACTCATTTTATCGTCATTCTATAAATATTTCTATAAAACAGACAAATATCTATCACCGTGCTAGAAAGTGATACAATACGACCAGCGCATTCAAATTCTATCAATTCCAAATAATTATCGAAAAACTTCCCAAGCTATGTACACATCCAACCTCTCGCCATTGAACAATTGTTTAAACTTAATATTGTTTAAACTTATCTCATCACCTTGTTTCACTTCAAATAACGTATTTACTTTCATCAATAGTACTACTTTCTCTTCTTGAGTCTGCAAGTCGGCAACTTTTGAAACAGCCATGAATTTATCATCTGAAGATATCTCAATTATTCGATGAGTTGGAACTATACACTTTCTCAATTGTGGTGGAGTGTACATACTCTTCTTCAAATTTGTAACTATTCCGCTTTCAATTACAGTAGCATGACCTACTCCTGGTTTTACTAACCCCTTGGGAACTTCATTTTGTACTTTATGGGTTTTATACCAATCGGCAATGGTCTTCATATTAGAAATGCATCTGCGAACAATTGGATCGTCCAGATCAACTCGACTAGCCTTTGCTACTTCCTTATCAACTTCATGAAACTGATCTTTGAAACCTCGATGTTCTATGACTGTGAATTTCGCTTGAATGGATTTCACCAGGAGTGTTCCTGGTTGTTCTTTGGTAGGCAAAGATTTGGTGAATTTGCTGAGAATTTCTTTGGTAGTGGCTCGTTGTGGTTTGGGTTGGATCGGTAGTTTTCTGAATTTGTTTATATCTGAATTAGTGATGTTGCGCAGCGCTGTTCTAGTCTTGGCTACACCTGGTGGCTTTGATTGTTGAGAAGGTAGCTGTGTAGGCAGTTTCCTGCTTTTCATTCGCTCCACATTCAGCTTATACTTCTGTTGATATATTTCAAAAGCATCCATGGTGGTCATTGCACAAATGGCTGTAAATACAAATTGTGAAACAAACGAATTTGTTTTATTGTTTCAAAAATAAAAAAGCAATTTTTTGTGACTATCAATAACCGCTACCATATTACAAGTAAATTTGATATAAGCTATTCTATAAATGTCATTAAAATACACAAAATCTATGAAATTGACTTTCTCTTGAGATGAAAGAACTTCCCGAGTCCTAAAGAGTTTCTTCGTTTTGGTTCTTCGTCATCATCGTCATGCAGTCTCTCTTGAGATATTGAAAATCGAGGTAATGACAAGCTTCGGGCGAGCGAGTTTCGCCGAGATCGTCTCGTGGGTGACCTCGAAGTATCACTAGCAACATCCAAGTCACTAGAATATGGATACAATGGCGCAAATCCGTCTTCAATATGTGCTACATCTTGATCAAACGCTTCGTCATAAGTAGGAACCTTGGATAGTGCTTGAACATCAAGGGTTTGCACAGGCAGCAAAGGGTCTTCACCACTATCTATACTACTGTCAAGAGATTCTGGTCTTTCCACAAATGCAGCTAGGTTCAATACTGAGTTAGTCGGCGATGGAAGCGGACTGTACTCTTGAAATTGTTGCAATGGCGATCGGGGCAGGTTCATGTCATACACTTTATCAAAAATGTGTTCCTGATATAGAGGAGGAGCTGCTTCTTCACGATCAGGATCGATTTCATCCTGGGAGGTAGCTTCCTCGTCTTCCATAGGGGAAATAGGTCGACGGGAACCCAGAATAGATTCAAATTGACCGTTTGAGAATAACACTTCTTCAAGTTTATCGTTCGGTATAAATGTCCCATAACGTGGATCCACCTCATAATGCCTATCAACGACAAAACCCGAATTTGCACTTATGTATACTGAAACAGGAAGATTCACTCTCAATTCACTAACATGATCACTTCCAGGATTTTGAAACCTGATACAGATTCGTAGTCTGTGTTTGACAGTTAGCAAATTGTTCTTAATTTCACAACCTTGGGTTAATTCTTTCAATTTGTGCGGTACTCGGTAGTGTGTTTTGATATCCCATCTTTCATATTCAAGTTCTTCCATGGTTGGAACTGCCAAGTGTTGCCTACCTATCACTTTTTCAAATTCTGGAGATCTTTTATGGGATTGCTCGATATTGAAATGCTCGACAATAGAACAACTCATGCCTTGAAGGACCAACCCTTTTACCATGGGTACGATAATCACATGGATAGGTATAGTAGAACCTATGGCAATACCCTTTTTATGCATGCTGACCTTGTACTGAATTTTCTCGGGCCATGTATTGTGAATTTCGATACTTTCACAAAGATTTAGATTTTGTGGGTGTAATGTTCGTATCACACGAAGATACTTTGCTTTGGATTCGGTTTTCTCGAATCTTCCTCGCTCAATGTTGCAGTGGACACGATAGCGTATGCTTGCTTCTGCTATACCTTCCACTGTTTCGCAAATGTCGGTAGGGAGAAATACTTTGAATGGTAGACTGTAGTTCCCCTTGGGTAATAGAAAAGTTTGGTTGGGGGAGTTTTGGTTCTTGAATGGAGTGCCATCGTATCCACTCTTGGGCACCTCGAGTACGCGTGGCGGGGAAGCAGGGACCTCAGATGGTAACGAGTTAGTTCTGGAAAGAGCAGGCATTTCAGGAGTGGTTGCTTCAGTGATTGAGCCTTGCCTGCGTTTTACATCACCTATAGATTTGGATCTGGCTTTGTTCAAGGGGATGATTGTGTCACCGTAATTTCCAAACGTGACTTCTCCATCTTCACTAGTCAACAAATTATCCCAATCCACCCAAAGCACACAGGTCTTGCCGTCGTATCGTTCGCCATATAGTCCATACTTTTCCCCACGGCAGATATAATCATACTGGAATTCCCCCACAAGACACAAGTGGATGCGTTTGACATGGACATCTTCATTCAAGGACAATTTGACTTCGCCAAAAAATGGCACGGACTCCACTTCAAATTCGTTGCCTCGTAGGAACAACAACCCCTTGTAAGGAGTCTTGAGCTTTATATCGAATAAGGCAAGATTAAGGCCAAGACTAAACATAGTTGATTACTGTGGTGAATGTTGAAACTAAAATAAATAATGCCTATCGACCAGATATTTATATGCAAGATTAGAAACAGATGATCTTGATGACAGAGAACAAAGGGGACCCAAGAAAATAATATTTTCTATGATTGTCCCACCGACTTCCAAATGATGCTAAAAAATTCCAAACAAAACCAGCATTACATAAGCATATTCATGCTTAACTACGGAACTACACATGTAATTCCGTCAGGGTTTGGTCATGTCTGGCTCCCCCACACATCCAAAGTTAAAACTTTAAATTAACGTGGAGGAATTTGGTCAAGAAAAAAAAAATCTGGGGCAGTTCAGTTTAGTCATTGCGTGATTCTATTTCTATTTCTATTTCTATTTCTATTTCTATACAATTCTCTATTTAAAGTTGACTTCCTCGTAGTTTGCATTTGTAGTATGCATCAGCTGTTATTTTAGCATGGCATGCAGATGAAACTAGACAAGAACCTCAGCAAACTTCTGGAAGAATTGTTCAATAACTTCAACACACCAGAATTCACCCGAGGTCTTGACGTACCCTAAATGACCACCCAAGTCAGTTTCAACAAGACACAAATAAGGATTGGTCTTGGCATCAAGAATAGGCAATCTCGTACCGACAGCAGGATCATCAGTCGAGTTTATAATCAAAAGTGGAGTGTTAATCTTTTGGATTCTCCGTTGTGGAGACAATTCTCGATAATATTCAAATGCATTCTTATAAGGCGTGGTCTTGGAAGTAATGGCATCATCGAATTCCCAAGTAGTCTTGGCCTTGGCAGCTCTTGCGATCGCTTCTTCAGTCAAGAAAGTAGGATCAAACTTGTTGAAATCTTCAGCATTATTCTTGACAATCTTATTCAAGAATTGGGCTAATGATGGATTAAGAAGGTATTTACCAGTCCATGACTCATTGATATGGTAGGCACTATCGACAAAATCCCAAGGACACCCAACCACACAAGCAGCCTTGACTAAATCCTCGGTCTTTTCTTCAAGGTGCTCTTGCTCTTCCCCTAAGAAATTGGCAAGCATGGCAGCACCAAACGAGAACCCAGCAGCATAGATTGGTCTCTTGGGATATCTCTTTTTGAAATCAACCAAAACTTCTCTGAGATCATCGGTGGAACCTGCATTGAACAACTTGGCACTTGTGATTTTGGTTCTGCAACATCCACGGTTGTTGACAACAACAATATCCCAATGATCATTAGTGTTCTTTTGGATACTTTCGGCAAAGTTACGGATCAACGATTCATGACTTCCACCACCTAAACCGTGGAAGATAACAACAAGAGGCACATCGGAAGCTACATCTCCGGCACGTCTGGCGTCAACCTCGTCATCTGTCAAGTATCTCGTTCTTGGATGCAACCTTGGGAATCCTTCAGGCACACTTTCCTTAGCTTGCTCCTTGAACGCATCCTTGTCTTCAGGTTTAGGAATCACCCAATCTAACGAACAGATACCCCCGTCGGAATAAGTAAACAATTCTCGGCCGTAGTAAATTTGAAACTTGCTGGAACTGTCAGCAGAAGCATAGTACAAAGTTTGCAATGAACCAGTAAACAAAAGCGGATTCAACCATAATCTCTTGCTAGGGTCAATGAGGCTCAAGTTTTCCCTGATAAACTCGGTGAATTTGATGGTTCCCGATCCATTTCTGGTTGGGAAAGCAATGGAATTATCATCGTCAACGTGATGAACCTTGATGTTGGCTCTGAACCCCCAATTTAAAATACCCATTTTGTGTACTTTCAGCTGATATATATCTTAACCCTAAGATGAGCTTGTGAAGATTAAAAAGAAGGTGTGATTACAAATGGCTACATCCTCGGTTAATTGGTTGTGTTCTCAATTTTTTTTCACATCATTTCGGCTTTAAGGGTCCGTTACACAAAAACGGACTTGCAATTTCAATTTATTTTTTTTTTTTTTTTTTTTTTTTTTGCTTCCTGGAAATTTGCCGCAACAACAGTTGCAAATAAATCTACACATATCTATATAATAGTAATGTCTTAATTGTATACTTACATAGTTCTTAAACGTCCAGTTAAATTTTCCCATTGGTAGAAGTCTTCTTATTCATTTCTTTATCAAGACTAGCCTTTCTCCGAAGACTAGCAGCACGTTCGATTGCCGTCTTTGACCGCTCCGAAGATTCACTATTGGCCAAATGTCCACGATCATCCAATTCAACAGTACCAGCACTCTCAAACAATGACACTTGACCTGCCAACAATCCTAAGGTTTCCAACACTTGCGAGGGTTCATTCAAATGAGAAGTGGCTACTGTTTGTTTCGAGGCTGGTCCCACGGCCACGGGATATACTCCATACGACCCAAATTCATTCTTGGGCAATCCTTGCTCAGTCCACTCGGCTTCAATGGTTTTCAACGATCTGAACATATCTTCATCGGTTAAATCATCACCCAAACACAACACAAAGTCCGGGAGTTGATCAGCAGCAGTGGCATCAGAATGACAATGTTCATTATGAAGGTCTTGTTTAGAGCCGTGTGGATGTAATACTAACCGTTTAACAATCTCACCCTTGTTCAAGAACTTGGGTCTGACTTCAATATTAGCCTTACCAGCCATGACTTCACAATCGTACTCCTTGGCGATAGTTTCATTCAATTGATGAAGACACTTGGCAGCTTGATAGTTCCCCAATTCTGGATCAGCACGACGATAGTGCCAAGTCAAGGCCACTTTCTTGCGTTCAATGTGGGAACCAGGCGTCTTTTCAGTATAGTCCTTGTACACTTCTTCTACTTTGGCCTGCCACGACATGTCAAATGAAGCAGCGAGATTAACCCATTCTTTCGAGCCAAGGTCCTTCATAAAACACCCATGCTCAGCAGACAATCCCACATTCTTGTCGCCCATCCACTTATCCAAAAAGGCTTGATCTCTTCCAGAAATAATCCAGATTTGATTCTTGGGATCAGCAGCCAAGACATCCAAGATTCGATTCAACTTGTCGGATGGGATAGCAGCAGCGGGCTCCTTGACAATCGGGGTCAATGTACCGTCATAGTCAAATAAGAATAATCTTCTGCTGGAATTTAGGTAGTTTTTCAATAAAAGTGGTCGGTTCAAAGTTGGAGTGTAATTAGTAACGTGAGTGACAAGTGAGTGATCAATAACATCACGAATAAATGTCGATATCCAGTTTTGTACCGTGTTTGATGTAACCTTTTCGTATAATCTTGCTTCCAACTGTTGCTTTTCCTTATCAGACAACAAGAACGCTTCATTGATAGTCTTTGCAATACCGACTGTATCCCAGGGGTTGATCAAAATAGCTTCATTCAAAACGGAAGCAGTTCCGGTGAATTCCGACAAAACCAAAGGGGAGCTGTTGTACTTTTGACAAATGACGAATTCAAATGCGGTGGTGTTCATTCCATCTCTCACCGAAGTGATCAAGGCCAAATCAGCTACTCTCAATAATGCCAAGTACTCATCTTTAGGAATCATCATTTGATAATGTAAAATCGGAGTATAGTTCAAGTTCCCATACTGAGAATTGATCTGATTGATCAATTCAGTCACTTTACTTTCAACATTGGCCGAGTGAGTGAACCCTGGACTGGAAACTTGAATCAAGACTACTTTTTCTCTCCATTCAGGATACATTTCCAAAAACATACCAAATGCCTCTAATTTCTGAACCACTCCTCTGACCTTGTCCAACCGGTCTCTACCAACGATAATCTTCTTGCCTTTATAAAGTTCCTTCAAGGCAGTGACTTTTTCTTCAATGCCAGAATCAGGTAAAAACGCATCATGTTCAATCTTTTTCGTATCCACCCCAATAGGTAAAGTCTCCACAGAAATAGTTGTACCAAATGCAAACACCTTATCCGAAGTCACTTCAAATCCTAAAAGCCTAGCACAACAAGAGAGGAAGTGTCTTTGGAAAGAGCCAGACTGGAACCCAATCTTATCGGCACCCAACATCCCGTCCAACAATTGAGTTCTTTTGGAAAGACACCTAAAGTATTCCGAGGATGGGAACGGAATATGAAGGAATAACCCGATATAGGCATCTGGGAATTCCATTCTTAACAATTGAGGCAAAAGCAACAAGTAATAATCGTGGATCAAAATCACATCTCCTGGTTTGTAAACCGACTTTATCTTATTCAAATAGACTTCGTTGAACTTGACGTAATCATGCCAAGCTTCTGCTTCTTCCTTACCGTCCGAAGGTTGCCCTTGGATATAGTGAAACACGGGCCATAACACCTTTTCAGCATACTTTCTCCATCTGCTTTGATCGCGCCTTAACAACCAAACAGGGTGGATGTTTTCGGAGCCGTTAGCCTCACGCAACTTGGCTTCCAATTCCTGTTTGTCCTCATCAACCAAGTAAAGAGCGTCGTCGACATTATCCCCATTTTGCCAACGGGTAACTTTACTAGCGTTGATTTCACCTGTCCAAGCAATTAAATGCGATTCCCAATCGGAATGCTGGTCCAAAAAGTGTTGCGACGAGTATAATGCCGAGTTACCACGGACAGCCTCAACGTCCCAAAGGTAGTCGCCTGAGGAGGGGTCATAGTTGCTAATAATCTGAGTGGGGAGGGTGGTCATGACATTGAGGATACGGCCTGAGAGCTTAGCATGGGTATGATTAGCGTAATCCTTGGGGGAGACGGTGCTGCAATCTGCAGGGTAGGCCTTTAATTCTTCAATTTCAGTCATGGAGATTTCAATTGTAGATCTGAAATTCTATTGATAGATATGCAAGTGTTTAATAATGAGCGAGTATTATTCAACAATTGAAGTTGCTACGGAGACTAGATCGTGACTAAATGATTATGTGGGAAAAAGAGAGAAAACGGATAATGCCAGAAACACATTGTATATAAAGGGGGGGATAAGGAGAGAGAACAAAACGAACGTTACCGTTGCAATCTGCGGGTGGTGTGGGTGTGTGGGAATACCATTCCGGCATATAACTTGACACACTCACACTTACACATTCACCACCACCACCCACGCCTCGCATGCTACATGTCATCACCTATACAAGTAGCATCATCCATACAAGATGTAGTTTCAAGAGCAGTGTATGCGTGCAACCACAGTGCCGGTATAATTTACTTCTTGGTTAATTAGAGAGTTCACGTAAAAGTTTACGGTTGCTGTGTGGGGAGGGCAATGTTGCCATGCGGGAAAAGTGAAATCAGATTAATTTTCTGGAAACTTCGATAGCCGTTGGAACTCACAATGGAATAAGCTTTACCCTTTGAGCAGATACACATCACTTGGTCATAACAAGTCACAAAGCAGCTATTACCCATCCAGAGATTACAATCACACTACGAATTTCAGATGTCCATTACTAAGTCTCAATGTAACAGTACTCTAGATTGCTATTTCTCTAGACTAAAAAGTTTGGCAGAAAATTTCAAATTTCAGTTCTCATTGGCCGCAAAAAAAATTGCAATCAATTTATCTCTACTTCACCTTAGCAACCAATAGAATGATCTACAACTTCATCTACAACTTCATCTACAACTTAATCTACAACTTAGTAAACATTTTCATCTTTTTATTGCTATTTTTAGTATATATTATATTATAAATCCTTTAACCCAAAAGTATTGAATACCATAAAAATACATAATATACTTTCAAAAATAGAATACAAAAATCAACATCAAAACCCAAAATCTTCTCCCTTCAACACAACGGAAGAACAAAAGGTATACATTCGTCAACATTCAAACAAAAGGGGACACAAACTAAAAACAAAAAACCACATAAACCTCTCTCCTTTCTAAATTGTCAAAATAATAAACACAGACAGACATCTATTGGATCTTTCTTTTCATGTTCTCCACCTTCTTCTATTTTCATAAAAATATATCTTTCTCTTTTTTTTGTTTTTATTTTGTCAAATCGAAATTAAATTACACTCTTAAGCTTGTGGTTGCTCTGGAGCAGCTGGAGCTGGAGCACCAGCTTCAGACTTCTTGTATTCTTCAAAAGCAGTCAAAGCATCTTCAAAGTGGTTGTTAAACAATTCATCATCTTCTAATAAATCCAAAATTTCTTGGTTTTCCAAGCCCAACATCATACCAGTGATCTTACCGGCAGCTTCTGGTTCTTGAGCCTTACCAGTAGCAACAATCTTTGGGTACAATTCTTCACCCAAGATTCTCTTTTGTTGGTCAGGTGGAGCATTGGCAATGATGGCAGCCAAGTCCTTTTGTTGACGACCACCCTTGTTTTGGTTACGGTTTGGATAGTAACCACCTCTTTGTTGTTGTCTCATTGGTTGACCATTGAAATCTTGGAATTGAGGTGGGATACCGTAAACTGGAACTGGTTGACCGTTTGGTCCTGGTCTTGGCCATTGTTCTGGACCTGGGAATTGTTGTCCTCTTCTCATCATCATTTGTGGGTTTGGACCTGGGAATGGAGCGTTACCTCTACCGTTAGGTGGGAAGAAACCTTGTTGACCGTAAAACATTGGGGGGATGAATTGACCTGGAATACCACCAGAGGCAGCAGCATTTTGCATTCTCATTTGGTTTCTAGCTTGGATTTGTTGTTCCAATTGAGAACGTCTAACATCCTTACGTTGAGCTAAAGCAACGTATAATGGCTTGCCCAAGATCATTCTTTGGTTCATTTCAGTAATAGCCTTGGTGGCTTCTTCTGGGGAGGAGAAACAAACGAAACCAAAGCCCTTGGACTTACCAGCTTCGTCAACCATGACCTTGGCAGAAGTGATGGAACCAAATGGCTTGAATTCTTCTTCTAATTTTTCGGAATCAATAGAGTCATCCAAGTTCTTGACAAACAAGTTGACACCTTGGTATTTAGATAATCTTTCAACTCTGGTGGATTCGTATTGCTTCTTCAATTCTTCCATTCTTTCTCTCTTCTTTTGGGCTCTACCAACGTAAATCTTTTGACCATTGATTTCCTTGTCGTTTAATTCCTCAACGGCCTTGACTGCAGATTCGTGGGTTTCGTAGTTGACGAAACCAAAACCCTTGGACTTACCATCTTGGTCCTTTTCCAAGTAGATGGAGGTGATAGTACCGAATGGAACAAACAACTTTTCAAATTCTTCATCGGAGAATTCCAAATCAATGTTCTTGACGTAAATGTTGGTGTAGTTGGCCTTCATTTCTTCAAACTTGGATTCACGGTCCTTCTTGGAGATGTGCTTACCAACGTAAACTTCACGGTCATTCAACAACATACCGTTGACGTTTTCAATAGCGGCCTCAGCAGCTTCGGCAGTTTCATAGTGAACGAAACCAAAACACTTGGATTGACCCATGTCATCGGTAGCAACCTTACAGGACAAAATCTTACCGAAAGCAGAGAAGGTGTCGTGTAAAGCCTTGTTGTCAATAGCTGGGTGCAAGTTCTTGATGAAGATGTTACCATCACCGGATCTTCTGGAAGATGGGTCTCTTTGGGACCACATGATACGACATGGACGGCCTTCAATTGGAGTGTAGTTCAATTCTTCAATGGCTCTTTCACCGTCTTCAACCTTGTGGTAGTTGACATAAGCGTAACCCAAGGACTTCTTGGAAACAGCATCACGACAGACTCTGATGGAGGAAACTTGACCAAGTGGGGAGAAGATTTCGAAAAGAGTGGCTTCGTTGACGGATGGGTTCAATTCACCAACATAGAGGGAAGCGGAGCTGTCACTGACGTTAGAACTGGCTTCAGCTTGTTCTTGTTCTTGTGGTTGTTCAGTAGCAGCGGCGGCAGCGGCAACTGGTTCAGCACCAGATTCAAGGTTCAACTTTTCCAAGGATTCTTGGATTTGATTAGTTTCAGCAGCGGACATTATACCAATGTTGTTACAAAAAAGGATTCTTTTTTGGAATTAAAAATTTTTTTTTAAGATTTTTTTTATACGACAACTAAAAAGGAGAAACAAAAAGATGTAATATTCTTTAGATTCTTCTTTATGTATGTTTTTTGTTTTTGTTTTGATGTGGGTTCGACCAGAGAAGGCTTATTAGCTTTGAATGGAGGATTCCAAGGGATGTGTTTTGATTTGAGGTTCTTGTGTTAGAGAAAAGAATCAAACAACAAAAAAAATTTCACTTGGTGGAAGTTTAAAAAAAAAATTGAGGACGCAGAAAATTTTTCGCAAAAGGAGAACAAATCAGATTTCTATTGCAGCGTGGATGTTTTGCAAGATTTGGCAGTATAAAATTTTTTTTCCTCTGATCTTTTTTTTTGTTCGCGATGAGACCGTTACCCGGATTGTCGCCAAATGACACGTTAGTGGTGACACGTTTCACGTGACTACGTGTGAGTGGTGGATTTTGCAACTTATTACCATTACATGTTATAGTTAAAATACAAATGTTTTATACAAAATCACTATGGCGATGACGCCTTGGACTGGGCTTTGATTCTAGTGTACATTTCCCGAATCTTTCTGCTGGGGACCACCGATGGCCAGTAGAGACCCGTGTATGACCATAGATGCTTCTTCAACTTTTCTGCTTTAGTGGCATCGCCCCTTCTAGCCTCAGACTCAATAAAGTCTCCAATGGTAAGCAACTCATTACGCAAGATCTTGGCCCATTCATGTTTCTCCAACCCTTTGCTGCCCTTGTGCAATCTATGCAAAGACTTAGCCATGGGGTGCATGGCCGATTTGCAGCCATCTTCATCCATGCTATCATACTCCAAATCACGAGACTCCGCTTTTTCTTTATGATGATGGTGATGCTTATGGTCATGGTCGTGGTCGTGGCCATGGCCATGTTTGTCTGCAGGAGGCGAGGTGTGCTTGTGAAGAGAAGATGGTTTCTTTGGTTTGATCTTGCGGAAAGACACCTCCGGTGTTTCTGACTTGATTGCTTTCTTGGTCTTGGAAGGAGCTGGTGTTGCACCCGGAGTCTCCATTTTTGGCTTTCTCACCACCTTCTTTCTAGGTACAGGAGTTGAACTTCCTCCATTTGAAGTGTCTTCATCTCCAAGCAACGTGAACAAATAATCGACTCTTCTTCCCAAATGAACAGCACCAGGAACCTTCTTAGATGCTTTGCTATTCGCTTCTTCACCTTCAGCTGGTTTCTCCTTGGAATTAGGTGCATTCTCCAAAAAGATCTTATTCTGTAATCCCAACACTGGATCATCTCGAATTTGAACCCAAGATCCGTATCCGAATTTATAAACACCAACCAATAACATTGCGTCATCCTGGGCACTCCAATCACAACTCCAAGCTTGAACCAGCTTAGGTGGTCTAGGCAATTCAAAGCTCAATGGATGATCTTTAGGAACTAGCTTCTCCAATAATTTCATATCAACCGGTCTATTCAAAACCAACTCAGCATTAATGTTTTTAACACCTTGGTATTCAAACAAAACCGCCTTCTTTTCCTTCTTCTTGGCAATCCACAACGCGGTAGGATTTGGTTCTCCAGGAGCTAATGGTTTATCACGCTGTTCCTTGGCCTTCTTTTCTAATTCAGAAAGCGCCTGTGCACGTCTAGCTTCTTCTTCCTTAACCAATTGTCTCGAGGTGTTGATAATTTCATTATAGGCATGCTTAACCAAGACAGGGTTCTTATTGGTGATGCTACCTTCTTCAACTAATTGTTCCCATTTACCGGACAAATCACCCAATCTCAAGATTGATCTATAGATACCTCTAATTTCCTTTTCAGATAACTGATGATCACCAGCCTTTCTTCTTCTGCCAATACGCTCTTCGTCGTCATCGATATCTTCATCACTAGGAACAGAGGAACCATTTTCAAATTTACGCACAGTGGCTTTCCTTCTCGAATACATGGCAATTTGTTGCTGCAAGTATTCTTCATCGGCCTTTCTCTTTTCTTCATCCTTCAACTTGATCAATTCTTCTTCAGGAATAATATCATCCCATTCGACATCGGCCTTATAATCTGTAACTTCAAACTGTTTCAAAAACTCTTCAGAACCCAAGTTAGACTCCCCTAAATCAGGTGTGGTGATATGATCTTCAGCATGACTCAAGACATCATCCAAATTCAAATCTTCCAACTTCTTTTGATTATCATTTTCCTTAAACATTGTCCCAGCCCCAAACTTCAAAATCTGACTCAATTCACTCGAACTTGGCTCATTCTTGGTCTTTTTCGAATTGGCATCTGTGATACCCAAAGAAATAATGGCATATTCTAAAATCATCTTTTTTCTTGCCCGCTCCAAGATTTCCTCCTCAACTGTATCCTTACTGACAAATCTATACACGGAAACATGGTTCTTTTGCCCAATTCTATGCGCACGTGCCATGGCTTGCAAATCGGCCTGTGGGTTCCAATCAGAATCAAAGATGATAACCGTGTCGGCCGTCATCAAGTTGATACCTAACCCCCCGGCTCGGGTAGACAACAAGAATATGAAATCCTTGGAATCAGGAGCATTGAAATGATCAATGGAGATTCTTCTCTGCGCAGACGGTATACCACCATCCAATCTTTGGAATTGATACCCCTTGATGGATAAATAGTCACCCAAAATATCCAACATTCTCACCATCTGCGAGAAAATCAAAACACGATGCCCTTCCTTCTTCAATCTTGTCAACAACTGTTCAAGTAAAACCATCTTTCCGGAGGACATAATCATACCTCTAAGGATATTTTCTCTAGATGCTGAACCAGCCTTGGCCAATACTCGTTCTTCGGCACCGTCAAATAAGTATGGGTGATTAGATGCCTTTTTCAACTCACTCATTATGTTCAACAACGAGATTTGCGAACCCTTGTTTCCGGCGTTTAAAGCAGCATAATTCTTGGTAATAATGTTCTTGTAATAATCAGTTTGAATATCAGATAACTCTACACGCAAAATACGTTCAGTCTTGGACGGTAACGACTTTTCCACATCCTTTTTCAATCTTCTCAAAATAAAAGGCTGAATTTTCTTTTGCAAATCCTTGATGTACCGTTCTTGTTCCGCATCTGGGGATTCAAAATCAATTTCTTGCTCAATGTTGAATTTACCCGGCATCAAGAAGTTACACAATGACGCCAATTCCTTAAGATTATTTTGCAAAGGAGTACCAGTAATCAACAACCTATTGGCCACTTTAAACCCTTTCAAAGACTCATACAATGACGATTCGGAATTCTTTAAACGATGAGCTTCATCAACAGCCAAAAATTGCCACTTGATTGATCCCAATTCATTACGATCCTTAAGAATATATTCATAAGTAGTCAATAACACATTAAACTTGGGCTTGCCATTAGGAGTGTACCATTCGTATTCACGAATAGTCTTTCTGGCTTCACCATTACCCAAATAATACACGCAGTTCACTTCAGGAGCCCACAATTCAAATGTCTCTTGCCAGGCAGGCATAGTTGACAAGGGAACAACCACTAAATGAGGACCATTTTGTCTTCTGGCATAAATCAACCAGGATAAGAAGGAAATAGTTTGAATAGTTTTACCTAACCCCATTTCATCGGCCAAGATACCATTTTCGTTTCTAGACCACAAGAATGCCATCCAGTTCAACCCCGTCAATTGGAAATCTCTCAATTCTCCATTCTTTATAAAAACCGGTTGCTTCACCAATTTTTCAAATCTTGGTCTTTGTGAGATTGGATAATTTGCCGAAAGATTAGGCAAGATCTTGGACTTCAATCGTTGTTGATACTTGGAGACTTGTTCTGGAGCAATTTTAGCAATTTCCTCTCCATCTTCCCAGGAACACTCGTCATAATAAAGTCGTTTCCATTTGACAAAGTATTGCAACTTGTTTTCACCTAAGTCATTTTCTATTCTTTGACTATCCACGATTCTTTCCACTTGGGTATACTCATCTTGCTCGTCCCTTCTTCTTTCACGTTCTATATCCATAACTTCCAAGTCTTCCTTGGTGGTCAATGGGTCATTTCTTATTTCTTGGTCGTATATTATAAATTGTTTGATATAATTCTCAACTTTTCTAAACCCCTTGAAATCCTTTAAATCTTGGTATTTCTCCCAAGTATTATGCAAATGAGAAGCGTCAGTCCATTTGATTTTGAACAAGTAATCCAACTTGGGATCATTGGTAAGTTCGGCATTTTCTTCATTCAACTTATGATCCATTACTAAATCAACCCCGCGCTCATCTTCAGGCTGCTCATTGGCTTGTTGATAGTAGTAATAGTCGTCATTTTCATCGTCATCTTCGAATTCCGGTTCGCTTTCAAGCAAATCATCATCATCATCATAATCAACTGCATAATTAACCTGTTTATTATTTCTCGAAGAAAATCGAATCTCTTGTGGCACGCTACTTGCACTAGACATCACCTTCTTTTTCTTATGACTGTGTTTTCTGCTCGTGGTTTTCGATTTCCTAGTGCTGGAGTCGATGAAATCGTCATCTTCGTCATCTTCATCTTCATCAAAGCCATCCTCACTGGCATCATCGAAATCATCATTATAGTCATCATTGACGTTCTTTTTACGTTTTCTTCGTGATGGTGCTGCTGCTGCTTCTTCTTCATCGGAATCACTATCTACGATGGCAGGACCATGTCTCTCACGATGGGATCTCCTCAACCCGTACAACTCAGGGTTGAGAGCGGCCTCTTCCGGTATGTACAATTTAACCATGTCTATTTACACCTGGGGTAGACCTGGGAACGATTGTCTAACTGATGCTGTGTACAATGGTTTGTAACTGATTAACTTTATCAGGTCTATTGCAGTGAAACAAGCTAATGCAAACGGATTTAGCTCGATTTACTATGTATATCTATACCTGACGGATACCTGATCTGAATTCAAATTCTATGTTTTTCTCGCTGTCCCAACTGAAACAGGAGATTTATTTGAAGTATTGAAAGTTTTTCTATGTTTGTAGCAACTAGATGTTTATATAATCAGCTGAAAACTCTATGGGACGGTTCCAGAGATACAAATAAAACAGTGGTTGTAAAAAGAATGAAAACAAAGTAGAAAAGAATAAATGTTGGCTACAAAAAAAAAAAAAATTGGTGGGAATTTCGTCTCCCTATCCCACCGACGACGACAACAGCAAAATTTGTTGGAAAAATTCGGTGTTATGCGTTTAATGTCCTTAATTAGGAGAATGAGCCAATAAAGAGAACGTTAATTTCAATGTAATTACAGTCTACAGACAATTCTGCTTATTTCACCGTCAACATCATGACAGATAGTGATGTATTTCAAATGGACTATCTAATATAAAATCCGTGCTTTTATGGGGCTGGCGGGGATACCGGGAAGCAGGAAATGTTAACTGCAACATCGGATAGACCGAATGGGTACAATAAAACATATGAAGCAACTCCGGCGTGCAAATTTTGCAGCCAACACTTGTATGGCAACATCAAAACCAACATGCGGGCAAAAGGTAAACCTAGGAGAAGACTTTCATCTAAATCAATCTCTGAAACGTTTCAGTTCGAACTTGAACAAGAAGTGGTAATAACTCAACATATAGCCATGGCCACCACCTTCAGCAACATGTCACCTAATTACAACCATCAACAGGGAACCATTCAGCGGTTCGTGTTCACTTACAATGTCCTCTAGGACCATATCTTTATGCCAGTACAACGTGCTGGCAGATACAATACCGAAAATGTCTGAAATCTAGATTGATTCAAATAGATCATTCTTGACCAAAGTCATCAACATCAACAGACATTTTCAGACACACAATCTGTGTAGGAACCCAACAACAGTGACATCAACCAGTGGATTACCTAACCAACTGCACCGTAAACAGGACAATCGATCACTAACAAACATTCAGCTATCAATGCTCATTGTTTCAGATCAGATTACTTCAAAGTTGGGATAGTAAATAACCAATATATAGTAAAGCCCTGGACTTTTTATAGGACGAAAAGGAAAGAAAAACTGACATAGCAACAAACAAAAATAAAAATGTGGGAACTTTCCGAATTTTAGTGATTTTTTTTTCCTATACGAAATCGGTAAACCGCACGACCTATTTGTTATATGGTAAATACACGACTCAAATGCTGTGACCTTCTGCAAATTAAGTATGTATCGTTCGAGTCTCGTGCTACGTGGTATACTGATCTCTATGGTGCAGTCCTGCCACACGAACGAGCATGTGCCAAGCTCATACTTGTAAGCTAGCAACGCATGCTTCTGTATGTTAAAGCAAGGGCTTCTCACAGTTGAATTGAAAAATACCAAATAAACCTGTCAAGGTTTGAAAGATGGTGTTGATTTGGTATTAAACAGTCTTGAGTAACACTCTAGATGTTGTTTCCATGTGAAATGTTTACAGTTCTGGCAATCGCTTGACGGCTGCACAGTCACGGTTGAGCCAATCATTTGGCAATGGTTAGTAATGGACTGGAATTTACCGCGGTATTCGCGCGCATCCTGGGTAAATTTCATCCCTAACATTTCCATTTCCAGTACCATCTCAATCTTTGTAACACTAAAATTTTTTTTTCAATTTTCACGACTTAAACATCAGCCTACACTTAAACAATAATCGCTACTTAAGAGACATATCAAGATGAGTGCTCGAGCAAAGAATAACACAAAGGGTGAAACCAGTTCCAAGAACGAAAGAATTGCTATTGTTTCCACTGACAGATGTAAGCCAAAAAAGTGTAAGCAAGAATGTAGAAAGAGTTGTCCCGTAGTCAAGACCGGGAAGTTGTGTATTGAAGTCACTCCAGCATCCAAGATCGCTTTCATTTCCGAAACTTTGTGTATTGGTTGTGGTATCTGTGTTAAGAAATGTCCATTTGACGCCATCACTATTATCAACTTGCCAACTAACTTGGAAGGTGAAACTACCCATAGATACTCGGCCAACTCATTCAAATTGCATAGATTACCTACCCCAAGACCAGGTCAAGTTTTAGGTTTAGTTGGTACTAACGGTATTGGTAAGTCCACCGCTTTAAAGATTTTGGCTGGTAAGCAAAAACCAAACTTGGGTAAATATGACGATCCACCTGATTGGGAAGATATCTTGAGACACTTCAGAGGTTCTGAATTGCAAAACTACTTCACTAAAGTGTTGGAAGATGATATCAAGGCTATTATTAAACCACAATATGTGGATAACATTCCTCGTGCTTTAGCTAAGGCTGCTGTTAAGGACGTTGGTTCTATCTTGAAGGCCAAGAATGAAAAGCCAAAGGATTTCGATTATATTGTCAGAGTATTGGAATTGGGAGGTGTGCTTAACCGTGAAGTCGCCAACTTGTCTGGTGGGGAATTACAAAGATTTGCTCTTGGTATGACCTGTGTGCAAAAGGCCAATGTTTATATGTTTGATGAACCATCTTCTTATTTGGATGTCAAGCAAAGATTGAGAGCTGCCGAAATCATTAGATCCTTGTTGGATCCAACCACCTATGTCATTTGTGTCGAGCACGATTTGTCCGTGTTGGATTACTTGTCCGATTTCGTTTGTATTTTGTATGGTGCACCATCCGTTTACGGTGTGGTTACTATGCCTTCATCTGTCAGAGAAGGTATAAATATCTTTTTGGATGGTCACATTCCAACTGAAAACATGAGATTCAGAACTGAATCCTTACAATTCAGATTGGCTGATGCTGCTGATGCCAACTTGGTCTTGGACAAGTCCAACTCCATGCAATACCCAGCCATGCACAAGACTCAAGGTGATTTCAAATTGAGTGTCGAAGCCGGTAACTTCACCAACTCGGAAATTTTGGTTATGATGGGTGAAAACGGTACTGGTAAGACCACCTTCTGTAAGTTGCTAGCTGGTGCTCTTGCTCCAGATGGCGGTGATGAAGAAATTCCTAAGTTGAATGTTTCTATGAAGCCACAAAAGATTGCTCCTAAGTTTGCCGGTACTGTTCGTCAATTGTTCTTTAAGAAGATTAGAGCTTCATTCTTGCATCCACAATTCCAAACTGATGTTGTTAAGCCATTGAAGATTGACGACATTATTGATCAAGAAGTGCAAACATTGTCTGGGGGTGAATTGCAAAGAGTTGCTATCGTTTTGTCGTTGGGTATCCAAGCTGATATTTACTTGATTGATGAGCCTTCTGCTTACTTGGATTCCGAACAACGTATTATCTGTTCCAAGGTTATCAGAAGATTTATTTTACATGCTAAAAAGACAGCCTTTATTGTCGAGCACGATTTCATCATGGCTACCTACTTAGCCGACAGAGTTATTGTATTTGAAGGTAAGCCATCCAAGGATGCTATTGCCAAGGCTCCAGAATCGTTATTGACTGGTTGTAACCGTTTCTTGAAGAATTTGAATGTCACTTTTAGAAGAGATCCAAACTCGTTCAGACCAAGAATTAACAAGTTGGATTCCCAAATGGATAAAGAGCAAAAGTTATCAGGAAACTACTTCTTCTTGGAAAATACCGAATTATAGATTATCCCCCCCCTCATACTTCATTTCATGTTCTGGTGCATTTGCAATTGCGGATGTTTCTGGGTTGTACATTAATTTAGCATTACTTGCAGTTTACGGATTATATAGATTGAGGTTGATTACAGTTTAGAGGAAAACACTAATAGGTTGACTGGTTGAACTACTCCGAGTATTCCATTTCTTATAGGATAATCGTTCAACGCAGCTACTCCACAACTTTAAATTCATACTATATATATAGTTAATATACCATTAAATATTATTATGTTCATCTGTGCGGCTCAGTTTTAGAGGACACGCTAACCGACAAAAAATTTGGTCCACGAAAAAAAAAAAAATTGGCAACACCAAGGACAACAAGCTATATCCAACGAATAACTAAAGATGTCAGCACCACAAGGCAATGGAGGCGTTCAGATTCAGGTGTCAGAACAACGTACACCTGTGGCCATAAGCATTGCCAATTATTTATACCAAAACCCAATCATGAAGCAAAGAACTGGGTTGTTAAACAACACCACTGATATTGATTTCTTCCGATACAAGCGGTTCGAAAGGGCGTTATTGAGTGATGACTACAAGAACAAACAGCAAAACCCCAAAAATGGATTAATTCCAATTAACGATGCCGTTGAAGTGCAAAAAGTGTTGGTCATGTTGATACAAAACCAAATGTTATTACCGCTCAACAAGTTACATTATGCTGACATCAAGGCGGTAAAAGGGTGGAAGCCAAACAAGCAAAAGCCAACTTTGAAAAGATCAGACAAGGCCGTGATTGATCCTGATGCATACTATGGCTGGTTGTACCAAAAACCAAACCCATTCATTTTGTTATATAGTATTTTGGCTATTGCTGGTGTGTTCGCGGTGATCTTGTTCCCATTGTGGCCAAGAATTATGAAGAGAGGGGTATGGTATCTTTCCATGGCTGCTTTAGGATTGATTGGGTTATTCTTTGCTACTGCTATTGTAAGGTTAATTATTTATATTATCTCTTTGGTGGCATTCCCTAAGCCATTCTGGTTATTTCCTAACTTGTTTGAAGATTGTGGTGTGCTTGAAAGTTTCCAACCATTGTATGGCTGGGAAGAACCAAAGAAGCCCAAAAAGAAAAGAAGCAAGAAGAGTAATGAAGATGATGAAACATTTCTCCCAATTAAACCAACCAAGGCCAATGAAACCTCTGGTTCCAAGACCAGTTCCACTACTGCTGAAAAGAGAAAGGTTACCTTGGAAGAAGTTGAAGAGTAAAAATGTATATAAATTTTTATACTACAAATTTAATCTACAAATTTAATCCTGTTGCAACGCGCGCAATTTATAAGCCCATGGGGCAGAAAACCTAACTCTAATCTACTACTCTACCTCAATACATCACCACAGCCATGGTAATTAACGACTTGGCATTCAATCCGGATTACTCATGTATCTCAGTATCCACATCGCAGTTCCACAAGATATTTAATTGTGATCCATTTGGCGAGTTTTACTCTTCATCACAAGGGACCTTGAGACGATCCTTATCGCACTCCATGGAAGATGCCAGTGCAGCAGCAGCAGCAGCAGGCAATAAACAAGAGGCAACCAATGACAATACACCCACTGCATTCCTTAAAATGCTATTTTCAACTTCATTAACTATAATAGTACCAGAATCTGAATCCGGCAACCGCTTACTAAAGATATACAATTTAAAACAGAACTTAAAGATATGTGAACTAACGTTCCCTTCCAATATAATCGATGTCAAATTGAATAGGAAGCGATTATTGGTGATATTGGAAACGGGCCAGATTTACATTTACGATTTAAGTTGTGTCAAATTGCTAAAAGTACTACAAGTGAATGTTGATCGTGAATTTGTGGGAGATTTAAGTGCCGATGACAAGTCATGGTTAGTGTTACCTCTTTCTTTAATCACCCAACAAACAGATTTAGTCAATAATGATCCAAACCCGCAACCTATGTCTTCACCTATTGTTCGGCCAGTTGACTATTTCTATTTTGACGATTTGGTAGAGTTTACTCGAAGGTCAAGCACATCAAGCCAGTTGTATAACAAACAGCACATCACCCTTGAAGATATTAATCATGATGCCCATGGTTGGGTTTTGGTATATGATACAATTAATCTCAAACCAATAGTTGTATTCCAAGCGCATAACTCTTCAATTGGGAGAATTACTATATCTGCCAGTGAGAATAAGATTGCAACTGCATCAAAGAAAGGGACTATTATACGAGTGTTTAATTTAAAACAAGAGGCAGATAAATTGAGGATTAAACAGGTGAAGAATTTAAGACGTGGACATAATCTGGCCAAGATTAACGCATTGAGTTTCCATAATGACAATCAGATTTTAGGGTGTGGCTCGGAAACGAACACTATTCATTTCTTTAAAATCTCGGGAGAGCTTGTTCCCACAGAAGAAGGTGAAGATTATAGCAGCCATGATATGAACACTAGTACTGAGATTGACGAAAGTGATGACGATGGTGACACCAGCAGATCTTCAGAAGATTTGAACGAAAACTTGGCCAATTTGCTAATCTCCAAACCAGTTCCAGAATCACCTCCTTCCAAAGACGGACCAATATCTTGGTTTAAAAAGACCAAGAATCTTATCAATAATCATTATACAAACACAATAATCAAGAAGTTACCATACAAGGATTACTTGGAGAATCTTATATGGGAACCACCAACGAGATCATTTGCTTATATCAAACTCCCGGAAACTATCCATAGTGGGAAAAACAAAGTTGAGATTGGCTTCAATGGTAATTCAGTGTACTTAGCCAGCTATCAAACGGGTAATTTCTACCATTATAAGCTTCCTAGACACCGTGCTTCAGTTTCTTCACTTGATGATGATGAAAAGAGGGCAGCATGTCCGTTGATATCTCAATATAGTTTAGTCTAACCTATGTATTGTGGGGTAATCGCACTATATACCCAATCTGGTGCGAGAATTTGGGGGAGGGGGGGGTTGAGTTTCCGAGGAAGAAAAAAAAAGGGAGCGTCCACCCATTGAAAGGCAATCAGTGGCAGTCATTAACCCCACATGAAATCTTTTCTTATCCGGGCTAAATTGACTATATAAATAGTATACCAAAATACACCATCTCTTTTTTTTCTTGAGTTCTTCATGTTGAGATCTTCTTGCATTAGAAATATCAAACTGATCAAGTCAATTCCGTTTCTAATAATGTCCAGACCAAACGTATCATCGTCCACCGCCGCCACGTTGGCTTCCCCATCCCCTGACGATGTTGTCTTGTTCTCGCAAGATCTGGGTGCCAAGTTCATCACCCTAAACCGGGAAAAGAAATTGAATTCGCTAAACACCGACATGATTGAATTGATGACCCCAAAATTATGGGAGTACGCCAAGTCAGAGGGCAACAGTGTTATTGTCCTCAATTCAAAATCTACTCGTGCCTTGTGTGCCGGAGGTGATGTTGCTGCCTGTGCCAGTGGTATTCTCAATGGCGATCCTCACTACGGTGCTGATTTCTTTTACAAGGAATACAATTTGAATTACATGATATCCACTTGTCCCAAGCCTTATATTTCCATCATGGATGGTATCACATTTGGCGGTGGTGTTGGTCTTTCCGTGCATGCTCCATTTAGAATTGCTACTGAACGCACCCAAGTTGCTATGCCAGAAATGGATATCGGGTTCTTCCCCGATGTTGGGGCTACATTCTTTTTACCTAGAATGGATGACAAGTTGGGTTACTATATCGCGCTTACTGGTACTGTATTAAAGGGTGCTGAAGCTTATCACTCTGGGTTTGCTACTCATTACATCAAATCGGAAAACATTCCTAAATTGACTAAGGCTTTATCCAAGAGCTACTCACTCGAGATAGATAGCGAAAGATTCTTGCAGGAAATCAATGGAATTCTCAACAATTTCAGTGAAAAGCAATATCCTGAAGGGTACAAGTTCCCATTATCTGTGGAAAACTTGCAAGTTATCAATAAGGCTTTCAGTCAGCCTTCAATTCCTGATGTTTTGAGCTACTTGCAACAAGAAGGTTCCACTTTTGCTACTGAGACTTTTGAAAAATTATCCAAGAAACCAATGACTTCGCTTGCAATCGCATACGAGTTACTTAATAGAGGTGCCAAGAACAGCATTAAGCAACAATTTGAATTGGAAATGGTTGCTGCTACCAACATTGTCTGTATTCCACCTGCCCAGAATGATTTCGCCAATGGTGTTGCACACAAGTTGATCAAGAAGATCAAGGATCCATTCTTCCCAGAATGGAATCCTCCTTCGTTCGTTACCAAGGATTTTGTGCAAGGGATTTTAAAGCCTTCGGCCAATGTCGACAAGTACTTACCCAAACCTTTGATTTCTCCATGGTTTGGTGTTGACTTCGATCAATATCCTCACAATATGGGATTACCTTCAAATGCGGAAGTTGAACTGTACATCAAGGGCTCCGATGGTTCTGATAGAGCTTACTTACCTACACCGAATGAAGTTGTCAGACACTTTGTTAACCGTAGTAAACATAAATTGGGAGTTGCTGAAAAAGTGGAGCAAATTTTAAACTTACACGGCGAGACCGCAAAGTATGATAACAAATATGTCAATTGGAAATAGGTATAGTATTACAAATTTTACAAATATATAAACGTTTCTTCTACTTGAACTTTTCAACGATTAAATCTTCTCCCAATTCTTCGTAATCTGCCTTCGTAATAAACCAGTTATCTAATGCAATTTTGGCACTATTTGAGTCTTCATTGTGGTCATTCAACATACTGGCCAAATTACAAGCACCGAGCCAAGCTCCGAACTGACGATCCCAAGTCTCGGAATTTTCAGTGTTGTTTGGTCTGATTTGTTGCACAGCATACGAGAATGGATAATTTGGGAAATATTTCTGGGTCAAGGCGCGCAAATCGTTTATTATATGATCAGGCAATCCATTGGCGGACGCGGTACCACCAGTAATAAATACATTGGATAACAATTCTTTAAATATTTCAATAAATCTGGCGAATTTGTTTTGCGAAGTGGTGTCGTTGGACGAAGGGAGCAAGCTTGACTCCAAGTTCTTTAATGCTAAGAAGACCAAGTTGGTTAAACCGTGAGACCCTGGTTTGTCCAAAGTGGGTTCAGGAACAGTAACATTGGGTAATTTGTTCAAGGTTGGGTCAAACAAATTCTCCAAGTAGTTACGTTGGTCTTGGACATTTATGTTTTCGTGGTTGTATAATTGATAACTCTTGATTTGGTAACTTATCGACAAGTTCTTGTATTCTTGTAAAATGTTATGACTGGCATAGTAGTGCTTGAATGAATCGGAAGCATGGGCGAATTGAGCAGGGATAAGATTGTTGAAGGGAGTCTTGGATTCCAAATAGTTCAACACGTGTAAATTTAGGAAATCACCAGCATATTTCGAGTGGTATGACGACTTTTGTTGAATGATCCCGTCTAAAATTGGAGTAACACTAGTCACACTTGACCCAATGTCAATAACTAAACCGGTGGACTTACCAGCACGGTACAATTGCGCAATTGGAGTTTTCACCAACGAAAAGATCGGCACTTCTAAACTTTCAAATACAATCTGGCAAGTAGTGACTTTATTTTGGGGAGTGTTCCATGATTGTTCAGTCAATACCAATGGGTACTCCTTGGCATCAATCGGATTATGGTTGTCGATATTATCATAGACGTATTGCCAGTTGTGTATAATATTGTCGTAGTTGTAAATCAATCCGTTATCAAGCAAGGTCATTACTTCGTTTTGACAATTGGCCTCTAATGCATCGTCACCAACAATGACAGCTTGAGTTTCTGGGTTGACCATATAGTTGGAATTGAATACCAAGGAGGGTAAGTCTTCGCGAGCAAACCCCGCTTTAGTAGTGTATGAACCATTGTCGATAACGACAGCTGGAGATGTGTATGCCATTGTTGTATTGGTGTTTGCTTCTATCGCTTACTACTGTTGTTTACTTCTTGGTAGTAGTTTGACAATTCAAGGCGGTTGAAAAAAAAACCTGGTAAGTGGTCGTGTACTTTGGCAAGGAAAAAAGAAAGGCTCTAGAACCAAAGTCCCCATTATTAATTAGCCATTGCGAAAACTTATACCTTCAATATATACTTTCACACACATACAATAATGTTGAGAGGTAGTTTAAAAGCTTTAACAAAACAAGCAGGCCGTCGTCTGTTTACCACTGCCGTTCCAGGGGCAACTTATAAAACATCCGTATTACCAAATGGCTTAACCGTCGCAAGTGAATTCATGCCTGGAACTAGAACCGCCACTGTTGGTGTATACATTAACGCTGGATCCCGTGCAGACAGTCCCACCAGTAGTGGTACTGCTCATTTCTTGGAACATTTAGCGTTCAAAGGTACCAAAAAGAGAACTCAGCTTGGGTTGGAATTGGAAATTGAAAACCTTGGATCACAAATTAATGCATATACTTCAAGAGAAAACACCGTGTACTACACCAAATGTTTAGCTAGAGATGTTGACCAAAACCTTGACATTTTAAGTGATTTACTTGCTCAGTCGAGATTGGAAAATAGAGCTATTGAAAATGAACGTCATGTTATCTTGCAAGAAAGTGACGAAGTGGACAAGATGTATGATGAAGTTGTGTTTGACCACTTGCATGCTGTAGCTTACAAATCTCAAGATTTGGGAAGAACAATCTTGGGTCCTCGTGAGAAAATCAAGACTATCAACAGAAACGACTTGGTCAACTACATCACCACAAACTACAAGGGGGACAGAATGGCCCTTGTCGGTGTCGGATGCGTCGATCACGAAGAATTGGTCGAACAGGCCAAAAAGTATTTCGGCAAGTTCAAGCAAAGTGATGTCCCATTCAAGCAAAATGGTGACGATTTGCCTATATTCTATGGTGAGGAAATCAGAATTCAAGATGATGCCATGCCCACTACCCACGTCGCATTGGCCGTGGAAGGTGTAAGTTGGTCAGCTCCGGATTTCTTTGTTGCATCCGTGGCAAATGGTATTATTGGTACTTGGGACAGAACTATTGGCAGTGGATCAAACCATCCATCTCCATTGGCAGTAACGGCTGCCACTGGTGGTCCAGGGGGCACTCCAATTGCCAACTCGTACATGGCATACACCACCTCCTATGCCGACACGGGATTATTAGGTGTTTATTTCACCGCTGATAAAGATGCAGACTTGAAATTGTTTGTTGATGCTGTACAAAAGGAATGGGGCAGATTAAGCTCAGGACAAATCACGGAAGAAGAAGTCGAACGTGCAAAAGCACAGCTTAAAGCTGCATTGGTGTTGGCTTTAGATGATTCCACCGCTATTGCTGAAGACATTGGTAGACAAGTGGTCAACACTGGTTACAGATTATCTCCTGAAGAAGTATTTGAAAGAGTCGAATCAATTACAAAGGATGATGTCGTGAATTGGGCCAACTACAGATGGAAAAATAGACCAATTGCATTGGCTGCTGTAGGTAATGTGAAAACATTACCTTCCCATAAAGAAATCAGTAAAGGAATGTCATTATAAGCTAAATACCTGTATATATAAAATGATAGAACTAAACCTTTTGTATTATTTCCACTGCAGTAGAGACATTATCAGTATTCTCATCTTCAGCAGGTTCAGGATCAACTTCACCTTCTTTAACCAAGATTGACTCTGCGGGAACACGTTTCATAACTTCTGGATTAGGGAACAATTTACCGATATTTTCAATCCATCTCCGTCTCTTTTCCAATAGTGCTCGTAATCCATTGTTAAGTGCTTGCTGTTGTGGAGTATTGGCTTCAACCTTCTTCTTTTTGCTTTTTCCCTTCATTCTCTTCATATACGCTTGACCTATTTGTTTATCCAAATCTTCCAAGATTGCACAGTATTCTTGGTACGCAATGTGTTCTTCCACTAACGGAATTAATTTCTTTCGATTAGCACGGTTCCTGCTCACAGTTTCTTTCAACTCTTTCTGCAAAGATCTAATCTCAGCACACACTTCATCATCCTCCTTATTCTTTATCCATTCATCATTATCTATAATGCTAGCAGTTAACTTCTTAGGAACCCGTCCACCTTGCTTAGTCTTGATTTTACCGTCTTCACTGGTTAACGGTAAGTTCATGAAAATACCAATGTACTTCAACTCTCGTTTCAATCGTTCTTCTATGGATTGGAAATCATTGACTTCAGTAGTCACTTTGTAATCTTCTGTGCTGTCCAACTGTGTGGCAATCTGCTCGTCGTCAAGTGACTCAGAAGCGGGTCTTTCTCCGTTAGGTTGTTCGGGGTCTTCATCTTGTAATGTTCCTTCGTGCGTACTCAAAATCGCCGACAATAACCTGCTGGAAAGCGGACCACATGAGATTTCCTCCGTGTATAATACATCATCGCTTATAACATCAATGGACCCCTTAGGTTTGTATGAATCTGATTGAGGTTGTTGAAAAGCAGGAGAATTTAACTTCGATGATAAAGTAGCGTCTTCTTCGGCCCATACGTCAGCGTAGAATCTGCCCAACTTGGGAATCAAGAACGGAGTTACATCTGCATCATAATCTTGTTTGTTAAACCCAGGTGGAATGATATTTCTTTCTCGAAGAAACTCAATGTCTTCCGTCAGAAATGGTCTGAAATATGGTTCAATATATGATTGGAATGTACTGAATTGGACTTGATTAGTTGGTGGTTTGTTTTTGGAGAAATCAATATCGGGTATTTGACCAGGAAGAAGGTCTTGTAAATCATTTTCAGGAAACGATGCAACACCATACTTCTTCTTCAAGTATTCACGGTCAGGTACTTCATCGCTGCCAAACTTTGCCTCGGAGAATAGCCCTAATTCGGCTATAGCTTCAGCAGAAAGAGTCTGTGGTTCGACATATTCAGACTTGGGGTTCTTTAATCTGGTATCATTATCCTGAGTAAATGAACCTGATTGTATAGGCGGCACCGGATCATCCTTGGAGTTTACTCTTTCTTTATCATCATGTTCTTCTTCTTCGTCTTCTTCTTTTTGTTTTTTGTCGTCCTCGTCTTCATCGGCTGCGGAAGCCCCGCTGCTGAGCTTTCTCCTCTTGGCCAAATTGATAGAATCTTCACCTTCTTCTTCACCTACTACTTCTTCGACATTTTCCTTTTGGAATTCCCCTTCTTCGGAAATGGACGACTCTCTTGCTCGTTTCTTTTCGTTGACTGAGCTATCTTGTTCTTCCATCTCCTCCGCTTTCTTCTTTTCCGCTTCCAACGCATTTATAGCCGCCAATGCGGTATCATCAGATTCCTCTACTTCATTCAACCCATTCCACAATTTCGTCAACAATTTATTCAAATTCAACAATGTATTGACATTAGGTATGGTGCGCACCGCTTCTCCATCAAGCAACCCCACAGTCGAGTCATACGAAAGTCTTAGTTCCGTAATGATGTCGTCGAGTGTCGTCGAAGCTGAATGAGATTCTGCCATGGTCTATAATACAAGTACAGTTGATGTATTGGCACGTTAGGTTGTCAAAACAAAGTGTTGCTGATTTTGCCTGTCAGTTTATTTTTTTTTTTGTTTTCTGGAACCGCCAAAAAAATTAATATACGCAAGTGAGCTACAACTGAGTACTGAATTTATATATTTACAGGATAAGTTATATACTATGGTGTTATGTGTTTAAGATAAGCATCGTCTTTATGTTTCTTCAAGTTTTCTACCAATCTGTTGACAATAGCATGTTTCGCAATTGGGGCGTCTTGAGGTCTCTTCCAAGCTTCTGGGAATTGCGGTTCAGGCTTCTTGATGAATGGCTTCATATGACGCTTGTCTAATGGGATATCGCTAAAGTCGTCAGTCAAGTTCTTGGATTCGTTTAATAACTTGGTGAATGTTTCCACACAAAAGTTGGCATTTTGGGCAGCTTCTGGGAAATGGCCAGACTTGATTTGGAAAGTGTTGGATTCGTGGTTGAACTTGTTACCGGCCAATACCTTGAATTTATGTTGTTGCTTATCATTCAAGTTCAAGTGGTCGAGTTCAACAGATAATGACACTTTACGGTTATATTTGTTATTGATATCTTCGGTGAAGTCAGAGTAATAAGTCAACTTTAATGGAGTTTCAGCCTTTGGTTTTGGGGTGTATGGTTGACGATACTTGGCCAACAATGGCATTTCGTAGGCACTGACCCTGGTGAGGTGTTCAATTCTTCTCTTTATGTGTGGAGCTTCACCTTGGTTCAACACCAAAACGTTACTCTTTCTTGGTGGACGGCCTCTTTCATTCATGGGAATAGCACTGGTGTATTTTTCCTTGAAGTTTTCAATCCCAAAAACATAACTCAAACTGGGCTTGTTTCTGACCAAGGCGCTAATAGTGGACAAGATGGCGGTTCTTTCTTGGTTGTTTGGAACATAATTGGTTCCCAAATATTGCTTTCTCATTCTGTGTAATTCAAACACTTGGTCAGCAGGTAATCCTTGCCAAGCATGAGGGTTAAGATAAAGTGGAGTTGATGGAGGCACACTTTCCAATTTTGACTTGGATGATGAGAAACGAGTTGATACCCTGACTATAGCTGGTGATCCAGCACACTTTCTAACGGGAATCATGCTTTGTTATACTATACTTTCAACTGTTAGTGGGACTAATTTGGTTGTAAAAATTTCAACCAACTAAAAAAACGAAAATTTTTTCTGGCAATTTTACACTACCTTTGACACGACGTATATTGCAAAAACACTATACAAACAGTTGCTAACTAAATCAAACAATTATATGGTTCGCTTATGAGGCTATTTCTTGTATTGACACATTTGTAATGTCTTCTTTGTTCCTTAACCGCTTAGATGGAGGTCCCTCGTTATTTGTTGTTCGTTTAGAACTTCTACCTTTAGTTCTCAGATTGGAGCTCCCAGTCGTATAACTAGAGTCTTCTTCTTCTTCTTCTTCTTCTTCTTCTTCTTCTTCTTCTTCTCCCTCCTCTTCCCCTTCTTGATAGTCCTCTTCTTCGTCGCCCTCAACTACTTCGTCATCATCTTCCACTTCTTCATCATCAGCTACCGCGTCGTCGTCTTTTTCAGCGGCTTCTTGTTCAAGTCCCTCCTCGTCGGCTTTAACTTCTTGTTCTACCTCATGCTTCGCTTCTTCGTTACCTTCTGCTGCATCCCCCTCTTCTTCTTTGGCTGCTTCTTTATCTTTTTCGGCTGCCTCTTGTTCAAGTCTTTCCTCGTCAGCTTTAACTTCCTGTTCTACTTCATCTTTCGCTTCTGGGTCTCCTTTTGCTGCGTCTTCTTCTCTTTCTTCCTTACCAACTGCATCTTCTTCAACCTTTTCATCTTGTTCAGTTTCTTGTTTGACTGGTTCTTCCTCTTCACTTTCACCTTCGTTTATTTCAGGAGCATCTAATCCATCCAAGTAATCTTCTTCTTTCACATCGACATCATCATTCTTGGAATTATCATCTTCCTGTTTAATCTTCTCATCAGTGGGCTCAACCTTAAGTTCTGGTTGCTTCTTTTGTGGTTGAAAGAACAGTGAAATCGAAGCTTGAGGTTTGGATTCGACTCTCTCAATCACATCTTCTCCGTTATTACTGGGCACACCAACTTTTTTGGAAACAGGATATCCTTCAATATCAGCATACGCTTTATTTGCAGCTGAATTCAAACAAGTTTCAATCATCGAATCTTCCCAATTCTTACTTGGATCTAACCAGTCATCCCATTCTTTAGAACCAGGGGCCAAAAATACAGGTTTTCTATCATGTAGCCAAGAAATATCATGAGTATCAGTCTTCAAAGCTGGGGCTGTGATGATCGTGAATGATGATAAGAAGTCGGAATTATTTCTATAATTCTCATAATTACTATTATGAGAGTAGAAACCAGCAAGATATACAAGTGCAGATTTCTTGGAATGAACATAATAAGGAATTTTGTCTCCTTTGGTCTTGAGCCATTCGAAGTAGCCCTGTATAGGGACAACACATCTATGTTTTCTTGACGCGTTCCATTGTGGTTGATGTTCCTGTAACGATTCCCGACGACAATTAAAATACTTACCCTGGTAACGTTGGATTTCACGCGAGTACTGTGGTCCTTCATTAGGGGTGCCTTTGTTAACAGGAGTTGGATCCTTAGGTCTAGCCCATGATGGAAGCAAGCCAAACTTCAGGGGTTCAAGAACGTACTTTTGGTTGATTCCAGAATCCTGGGATTGGACCTTGTATACGATAAGAGCAGAGTTTGTAGGGGCAATGTTGTACGATGGGTACCAGTCTTGAACGCGGGTGGCGTCTAACTCAACTCTGGCCATGTCACCCTCACTACCATGAATGTCATACTGGTAGACTCCTTCATTTGAACTGCTGTGTGTATCAGCTAGTTCATGCGTTTCTTTATCCACTAGCAACGCGGTGCTGGTAAATTGATTGGGTAAGTCATTTAAATTCTTAACGGTTAGTAGGGAAAAACTTCTTTTTGGAATTTGCCAAAGTATACGTACTACTCCTAAAGCGAAACGTCCACACATTAGCTATTTCTATTTATTGAGCAATTTGATATATCAATGGAAAGCTTGAATTGTAGAAATAGGGTGAATTTCGCAGTTTTATATCGCAGTCTTTTTCTGGGGAAGTTTAAGGAGTGGAAAAGAGCAAATAGCAAGAAACTAAAGCAAGTTTGCTTTGCAAAGCAATTGTATTTTATATATGTTATTCTAATTATTACAGTATGAAAATTACATAATTTAGCGATTGCCACGTTCCCTAATCAGTCTTGATCCAAATCAGCTTCTGTATCATCATCAAAATAATCTGGCTGACTATCAGGATCAAGAAACTCATCATAAGATTTTCCGAAATTGTTGGTGCATTCAGGATCATCGTCAGAGTACAGATGACCCTCTCCTTCAAAATACTCTGGTTGGGCATCCTTATCTAAAAACTCGTCATATCCAAAGCTTGGCTCTTTCTTATATTGCGTCTGTTCTCCATTTTTCTCTTTCTTAGTACCATTCTTATATTGTTGTCTTAACTTCTCTCTATAACTCCGCTTAAACTTCTCATAATCTTCCACTGCTAATCTACTCGATTCATACTCCTTTTCAGACACCTGTGGATCCTGGGCATGACCAAGATGCACATCCTCTAAAAACTTCACTGGTTCCATCCCTTCGGGAAAGTAGCCCTGTTTCACTTTCCCATAGGCAAAACTTGGATTGTACTTGTATTCCTGACCATACCCCAACTCTTTCATCAACTTGGTAGGTGCATTCCTCAAATGTAATGGAACAGGCAACTTGGTAAGTTCCGGTTCTTCGCTAATCAATTTCTGAGCAGTGCGTAATGATCTGTACGACTTTGTTGATTTCGGTGCTCGCGCCAATTTGTTGGCAACATGGGCCAATATGATTTCTCCCTCGGGCATACCTACAAATTCAAGTGCGTCTTTTGCAGCAACCACAAACGGTAAGCACGAACTGTCACGCAATCCAACATCCTCAGAAGCAATGACTATCATCCGTCTAATAATAAATAAGGGGTCTTCTCCTCCAGAGAGCATTTTCACCAAGTAGAACATGGCAGCATCGGGATCTGACCCTCTCACCGACTTATGAAATGCACTGATTATATCGTAATGTGATTCTCCTTTCCTATCGTACACTTGATGGAAATTCCTAGTTTTCAAGAGCGGTCGAAGAATAGACTCTGTTATTTTGATGACGCCCTGTTTGTTTTGCAGTTCTGGGATATCCTTCTGTGCCTCTTCATTATCGGTGGAAAATTTGGATGTAGACAAATAAGCATTCACAGATTCCAAGATATTCAATGCCACTCGCGAATCACCCATACTCAAACCCGCAATATAATCAAACGCATCTTTCAGCAAGGAAATATAATGCATGCCATACAATTGTTTTCGAAGTTTATTCACCTCATACAAGGCGCGACCAAGGATTTTCACAATTGACTCCAGAGTCAATGGTTCCATCACAAACGTATGAACTCGAGAAAGTAACGCATTGTTTAATGTAAATGATGGATTTTCAGTAGTGGCACCAATCACCGTGACTATTCCCTTTTCAATTGCTGGTAATAACAAATCTTGTACTGCTTTGTTAAATCTGTGGATTTCATCAAGGAATAAGATTGTCCGCTGTCCAGTTAAATTCCGATGGTTTTCAGCGTGGGTGAACACTTGTTTGAGTGCCTTGGCATTGCTGTCCGCTCCGGATAATTCCACAAATTTGCAACTGGTGGATTTAGCTACTATTCGCGCTAGTGTGGTTTTACCTATCCCTGGACCACCCCATAAAAGAAATGATGGGATGTGATCAGCTTCAATTATGTTTCGTAATGGTCCATTTTTCCCAAGAAGATGTTCTTGTCCGTAAAAGTCGTCTAATGATTTAGGACGAAGCCGGTGTGCTAGTGGAAGACCAGCAAGCCGTTTCAATTCGTGCATTTCATTGGCTTTTGCAAGTATATCGGATTGTCTTTTCGGTGGTTCCTCGACGATCTCCTCTTTCTTGATCTGGGAAGCATTAACTGCTGCTGCCATTTCTTTCAACTGTTCTTCGAGTGGGGGCTCTTTTGGTTTCTCTTGCGGGCTCTGTCTTAATTCCTGTTTTACGCGTCGTTCTTGAAGGAGTAAACTCGTCAATGTAGGACCCTTGACATCACTCTTCCCCTTCTTCTTCTTTTGAGATGAATCAGCTTTTAATCCAAGTGCACTGAACGCATCGCGTTTCCTGGTGCCAACTATGTGAATATCATCATTGGAGTCATCTACATCGGTGCCCACCAGATCAGCTCTTGTGGCTGATGTTCCTTCAAGATTGTCCAAACAACTGTTGACGTGTCGTTCTAGTAGTTTCTGGTCGATTGCTTTCCCACATATTGGACAACTTTCCTCCATCGTTATATCATGTTACCTTGAGCTTATGATAAAAAACTGGTCTAGAAAAATACGCGCAATCCTTTTTTTTTAAAACAAATCTATATCACCAACAACGATCATGTCGGATAGGTACAACTACGACGAGGATGCTTATAGAGAATCATCACCTGACTATTCAGACAACACAGCCAGACGGAAAAAGCTGAGTCCGCCACTAGCTTCCGCCTTGGCTTCTAAAAAACACAAACTGTCCTCTCCAGCCATTGTCGACCAAGAGGAAGAGTCATATGAAGAACTAGCCCGACAATACAAAAAGTTCAAGAATGCCCCGAAGTTTGACCTCAACAGCGAAGAAGTGTTTTGTATCTGTCGCAAGCCAGACCATGGCGAGTTGATGGTTGCGTGTGATGGGTGTGAAGAGTGGTTTCATTTCAAGTGTATGAATGTCAACCCGGGGTTTTCTCACTTGATCGCCAAGTTCTATTGCAAGTTTTGCCAATGGAAAGGCGTTGGTGTGACTAAATGGAAACGAAAATGTCGATTGCCAGAGTGTTACGAGGCGATTAGGTCTGAGTCAAAGTATTGTTCAGATGAGCATGGGAAATTGTACATGAAGCAAGTGTTGTTGGCAAGAGCAGGATCAGCGTCATCTCATCAGGATATAGATATAGGAATAGTCAAGGATGTGCTTGATTTTGTTGGCAAAGACTATGAAAAATTCACCAAATTAGGTAGTAAATTCCCTGAATTGGACCAAGTAGAAAAGTATAGAATGGATGAAACCAACATAGAATCGTTCCTAGATGGTGTGAAACTGGACTTGCAAATGGTTTCGGTAAAGTATAGCAACTTGGATGATGCAATTAATCAACAAAACCTCAAAATGTCTCGATTAATAGAAATTAAGGAAAACATCAAAACCTTGAATGAAAGATTGGTGTCTTTGATATATCCTGAACAAGTCCAAGAATCAAATTCTTCCAAAAGCAAAAAATCAAAGAAAGGTTCAAATAAAAAGAAGAAGGTGGATTTGTGTTATTATGACAAACTAATAAGCTCAGATAATTCAATTATTTCCCAAATAATCAATCTGGATGAAATTTTCGAAAAGTTTAGTCAACAAGTCAAACGGAAAATACAAGCCTTAGCTGAAGAAGAGGAAGAAGGAGACCAACAAGAAGAAGTTAGCGATATGTTCATGGATCAATTGTGTATTAAAGACAAGAGAAAGTGTCCTCGTCATAATGGCTGGTGGAACTTGGCTTATGACGAAATATCCAAGAAACTATTAGAACAAAACTCGAGAATGGAAGTATTGAAACAGCAAAAGGAAACAATACTACGAAATTACTCTATAGATGTGTATGAAAAAGTGTAATAAACTATTTCTTCTTCCCGTTAATTGTAGCCACTATCCTTCTAGTGTGTCTGTAAGTTCTGAATTCACACAAGTAGATTCCTTGCCAAGTACCAGTTGCAAGTCTACCGTTGCTAATGGGAATGTTTAAATTGACCCCAACAGTGGTGCTTTTAACATGACCAGGCATATCGTCAGGGCCCTCATCAGCATGGATATAAAAGTCACCTTCAGGAACCATTCTATCTAATGAGGAAGTCATATCGGTTCTTACGTCGGGATCGCAATTTTCGTTCAAAGTCAACCCTGCACTGGTGTGTTGCAAGAACAAGTTGAGAATACCAACTTCGTAGTTTTTGATTTGAGGAACATTGCGTAATACTTCATCTGTGATGAGATAACATCCTTTGCTTCTAGGACTAAGTGAAAAAGTTACCTGTTCCCAAGACATTGTAGCTGTTGTAACTCAGTTGGTTTAGTTAGTAGAGTAGGAGTAGATTAGATTTTGGATTTATTTTTTTTTTTTCGCGTTCATTTTGGTACCAATTGGAAGGTCGATGTAAGTAAGCCCTTAACTATGACTGTCCTGGCTCTTTTTTCCAAAGCAATCATAATAATTGACTTCTAGCAACTTTAGAGAACTTCTCTATTGGTATCGTATGATTCACCGCAATTCAGAATTTCTGACAAATGTGGCAATGAACAATGGTCTGTCAAGTTGGACCCAAATTTCATTGTTGGAGGTTTAAACTGGTGTGCCCAAATTTACGGTACTAATCGGTGATAACCGCAAGGATCTTGACTAATTCATTCCATTGAGGGGATTATCTCAATTAGTTGCTAGTATGGAGCAGTACGGAACAACGGATTTAAACTAAGCCCATTTGTGTAACTGCAGCTCTCCAAAATTGAAAAATTGGTCTAAACTTGCAACCTTTTGTATTGTCACATACGAGAACTCCCACCAGAATTCTGGAATTTTCTTACGGCGGCTGTGACCATCATGTTTATAAAATAATTTAAAAATATTTGATATTAATGGGAAGAAAATGTTTTCCATAGACCCCGCCATTCAGTAAACCCGCCTCAGAAATCTTTGGTGATCTTCGAAAATACATCCACTAACTTTAAACAGGATCAATCAGGCTACTAAAATTTTAAAATAGTCATGTAACAGCGTGATGCAAGCTGAGCTATGCAAGGGGTCTGTTCCAACATCAATATCGCTAAGTCTGAACGAACATACTTAATATTCCTTGAGCCACAGGCTTTGCTCACATTAACAATGTTCTATCGTAAATGCAATTTCAAATATTATTTAGAAAAAAAAAAGATCAACTGCAATTTGCAATCACAATTTTTTACAATTATAATTCTTGGCACAATACAAATGAACCACTTACGAAACTCCTCTTCCATATTATTATTTCGTAAGTTTAATTATAGCAACAGGCGGACATGTTTGAAGGTGGCACACGGTCTTTCTAGACTTAAGACAAGTACTTAAGTATCGAAATTGTCCAACCTTTGTTATTTTTTTTCAACATTCCCTAATATTTTCCTCAATGACGTTATTCTTTGTTTTATTTTACGTCTTTTTCTTGGCATTAGCTGCTGAGGTCCGTATTTTCAATCTTAAAGGAACCGGGGAACTTACTCCTGTTCTGGTCGATTCAGCCAATGGCGTCTTATACGGCGCTGTAGAAGTTCCTGATGAACTCGACCTTTATTTACACTCCAATGGTGAGCTAGAAACATTCAATGGTCATTTCTTGAAGCTTACTCCTTTTGGGATAGTCGAAACTGATACTCCAGAAACCCAAGCTTGGGGTGTCACACAGATTGATGGCAAGGACGTCTTGACTTATGACGGAAACGCTCAGTTTTACTATGGGACTGACCAACATCAGGGAATGGACCGGTCTTTTACCCAGCAGAAATACTTTTTTAGCCAATCGGTTAATTTAGAAGTAAGGGATATTAATGATGGAGTGGACACTGCTGCTGAACCACCTAATGTAACTGAACCTAATATTGGAGATGATGCTCAAACTCTTGATGAGGGTGGTGATGTTACTGAACCTGCTGGAGGAGACGTTACTGAACCTGATGGTGGTCAGGTAGCTGATCCTGCTGGTGGTGTTACCGATCCTGATGGTGGTCAGGTAACTGATCCTGATGGTGGTCAGGTAACCGATCCTGCTGGTGGAGGTACTACTGATTTGGGTGGTGGTGATACAACCGACATCGGTGGTGGTGATACAACCGACATCGGTGGTGGTGATACAACCGACATCGGTGGTGGTGATACAACCGACATCGGTGGTGGTGATACAACCGACATTGGTGGAGGTACTACTGATTTGGGTGGTGGCGATACAACCGACATTGGTGGAGGTACTACTGACACGAGTGATGATGGTGGACATACCTGGCATGATGGAACTGATACTAGTGAAATCGGTGGGGGTACCTCCGATGATGGACATTCTGCTACTACTATTGATGGAGGAAGCCATTCTACCGATGATACTGATAACAACAATCATTCTGGTACCAATAATCAATCTGGTACCAATAACCAATCTGGTACCAATAACCAATCTGGTACCAATAACCAATCTGGCACCAATAATCAATCTGGTAATAATCAATCTGGAAATAATCAATCTGGAAATAATCAATCTGGAAATAATCAATCTGGAAATAATCAATCTGGAAATAATCAATCTGGAAATCAATCTGGAAATAATCAATCTGGAAATAATCAATCTGGAAATAATCAATCTGGTAATAATCAATCTGGTAATAATCAATCTAGTAATAATCAATCTGGTAACAAACCTGGTACCAATCAATCTAGTACTACCATTACGCATTCTGCTACCACCCATGACAATTCAGGGCCAACCATTTCATTGGGAGGTTGGCAAGCGTTTGTGCTTATTGTCTTGTCTTTATTTTAGTCTCTCTATTTAGTCTTACTCTTTAGTTGAAATCCATGTTTTCATAATATATAAAAAATTATTGCAAAAAATAACGACAACTGCAGGACTCGAACCTGCGCGGGCAAAGCCCAAAAGATTTCTAATCTTTCTCCTTAACCACTCGGACAAGTTGCCTCTTTAGGAAATCGATAATTTTTCGGTCTACTACGTGATGCAAATATCACCACCTTTAGATAGTTTAATAAGGGATTTAGCTCTATATTTGGTCTTTCACGCATTTAAAATAAATATTTAATACTTTAATAAGCCATAATATCCAGATTATTTTATTTTTTGGTGCATTTAAAGCGCTTTTAAATTTTGTATATAAATCTCGTTACGATTTCGGTCAGATAAGTAATGGGGCAGATTTATCCCTTCACTGATAGTTTATTGATCTCAAATAGAGACCTATTTAAAAAAAATTGGGGTAAATCAATAAAATCCTGGATTTTCTCTTGTGATTCCCTTTGTAAGGAATATTTATGTTTTGAAATTCTAGAAAGCTGAATAATACGTATATGATTTTGCTGAGAGAAAATTTCTTTAGACCTTTGGCAAAAAATTAACAAAAATTAACAAAAATTTACTAAGTTTTTTGCTCATTACTATCTTAAAGTATTATAAAGACACACATTAGTCAAATAAGAACCAAATGAACGATACTTCCAAACTTCTTTTTGTTATATTTTGAACGACTGCCATTTTGCAGCAATTTTCTAGTTGTTAGTAACTCGCAGTACACAGTGAATTTTTTTTTCTCTTAAATTAGTGCGATGCCCATCAAAAAAAAAGTGAAAACTTCAAGTCGTACATTTTGTAGACTACCTTTCATTCATAAAGAATACACTAAACATGCAACTTGCAGTTCGTCAAGAAGACGCCGATGTCTTGCTTAAACAAAAGAATATCTTAGATGAAGCTATCCTTGAAAAATATAGAGTAGCAGGTCAAATTACACAAACTGGGTTAACATACATCAAATCATTAATTAACAACTCCTATCACTTGACTGGATCCAAAGTCACCATTCAACAATTATGTCTCTTGGCTGATTCCTTTTTAACCAAGTTATTATCTCGTCAATACGTCAATACTGTTAATGAAAAGGGAATTGCACACCCAACCACTATTAATGTCAACGAGTTAATCAACGGATTTGCTCCTGAAATCGATGATGAACGTTCCTTCACTTTTAAGGAAGGTGATGTTGTTACTATTAGTTTAGGGGTTCATATTGATGGGTACGCTTCCCAAGTCAGTCATACTATGGTTATTTACCCACCTTCTCCTGATTTCAAGCCTGCTGGTCCATTGTTGGGATCAAATGCTGATGCTATCTGTGCTGCTCATGTTGCAGTAGAAACCATGGTTGCTTTATTAGGTTCCTCCTTATCTCCAGAAAAGTTACCAAACAACTTGAAAAACCCAAGCAATACCATCACTGGTCAACAAATTAGAGGTCTCGTTGATGCTATTGCCGATTCCTTCAACTGTATTGTTGTTCCTGGATCCAAGATTAGAAGAGTTAGAAGATTCTTGGCTGGTCAAGCCGAAGGTGTTGTTGCTGAACGTGACTTCAAGGGTGTTGTCTGGGATGAATCTCATCAAGAAAGCAGATTATTGAAACAAGCTACCACTTCTACTGAATTGATATTACAAGATAGCGCAAACAAGCCAACTCAAACAAGTAATTCATCTGCTGTACCAACGGATGAATTTGTTGTTTTACCTGGAGAGGTTTACCAAATTGATATCCGTATGGCTGGATTGCAAAATATTAATGAGGTTGGTATTATCACTACCGAAGAAATTGATCATTTCACTGGTAAGAATAATAAGCAAGATTTCAACTGTAAGAGTTCTGTTTTCATCCGTGATTTTGCCGTTACTCATCAATTAAAATTGAAGACTTCTCGTAAATTATTGAGTGAAATCGACAATGAATTCTCTGTTTTCCCATTCAAATTAGATTACGTCGGTAAGAATTTCCCAATTAACTTGGAATCAAGCGATGAAGAAATCAAGAAGCAAATTGAAGCTATTGGCCAAGATATGAAGTCTCACAGATTAGGTGCTTCCGAGTTAACCAACCGTCATTTAATCAAGGCCAAGCCTATTCAAATCACCAAATTCATTCCATTGGAACAAATATTGTTGACTTCTAACCCAACTGGTAAGCACGGTATTGATGCTGCCAAGCCTGTTTTACCAGGTATGGAAATCCCATTACCTAAATTAGGTATATCTTCCTTGAAATTGAAGGCATTATTAAAACACGGTAAGAACATAAGCAATGTGAGAGAATCAACCACAGTTATAATAAATAACAATGGTGATGAAGTGATTAGATTAACTGGTGGGGAAAAGACTGCCAAGCCAAGTTGGGTTCATTCACAATACAAATTGGCAGGTGAAATTAACGAAATTGTTGGTCACTTGATCCAATTAACTAAAGATAAGAGATTTGGTATCAAGGTAAAGGAAATCAACCCTTACAAGATGAAACAGTCCAATATGGCTGTTGAATCCATGCAATTAGATTAGAGCATTTAAATATTTGTAAATTAAGAATTTTGTTGTACTTAACTGTGTAGTAAAGTGAATGAATAATATTCTCCAAATGTAAAGTTTAAACGAGAAAGAGCTAGAGCCAAACGGCATAAAGATGTTGACCACGATTTGAAATTTTACATTTGTTACAGAAAAGTGTCTTTATCTAAAAACGGATCACAAAAGATACTAGACAATCAGTTCAGGCGGATTCCAACATATAACCTGATGTCGAAATTAAAATCCCAAGCGGTCTCGCAACAATGCCCGCCCAGATTGTATTAGGTCAACCCGCGCAGATGGGTAGCATCTTAAATCAGTTAACTTTCCACTACTGTACTTACTAAACTTAGTCCAGATCCCTTATATAATTGAACTTCGGGGCTACTAGCCTCCGAAAGTAGTCCAAGCAAATTAGACAGCCAAAAAAAAAAAATCGTTCCAGAAAATTCTCCCGCGTTAGGTTTTACTTGCCGCCGGGGACAAAGCCTGCGAATCCCAAAAAAAAATAAAATTTTGGCTTTATTTTAGACGGACAAGACAAACAAACAAACAAGGGAGACACGAATTTACACCAGGACCAATACTCTCGTAATAGTCGCGTCAAGAATATATTTCTGTTCGAATATCTCTATCCAAGCTTGGCGCTTGATTTTGGCATTTCTCAAACTCTACTGGAATATCCGAACTGACCGCCCCTTTAAACTTTACATGTGATGTCATTTTGGCGCCCATATTTTTTCGTCACCACTTCTGCATATCGCCTAAGCAACCTAAAAATTCAATGTTCTAAAGAAAGATTCAAAAAAAAAAAATGCACAGCTATGCTGAAGTTTAGGTGGATAAGTTGGGACATTCCTTGGCTCTTTAAAGAAGTCCACATAAAATATTCTAATCTTTTCTGATATATTATGTATGTATGTATTGACTATTCAACCCTTTGTATTTGATTATTGCGAACCAGCAAATTTGCACATAACATGTAAACTAAATCTTGCAGGTTATATACCTTGTTTTTTCTCCTGATTGTGCTAACATGTAAAGATTGGTTGGCAAGAATTGATTTTCACACGACACAGACAAAAAAACAACTCAATGTGAACAAAACAAAAACTTTTTTCAATTTCAGGTTTCAAGATTTTTCCTCATAGCTCTCCCTCTTTTTTCAGTTTTGTCTAACTTAAAAGTGAAATAAAAACAACGGAAGAGAAATCTCAAAAGTATGTATTTTCAATCCATAATATACAAGAGATAATGATTCGTATGGAAGGCAGTGCATAAGGTGAAAAGTTGTAAAATCAATACAATTGTTTGTGTGAAATTGATGGCAAACTTGAAGTTGGAAACATCCCTTAATTTATCTGAATTGATCTGATACTCGTATTTAATGACTTTACATTAAACAATCAATTGATATTCCAGTCAATGTATAGAGGGTCCAAGATCAATTGATATAACATACTGTTACGCAATTGATTGATTAATTATTTTCATAAGGTGATCATGTTTTGTTTTGCGTGATATTATTTATTACACCAGAAATGTTACAAATTGGACAGCACCGATTGGGTGTATTTACCACCATTTTTACTACAACAAGAACCCAGAGTAATATATCAAGAATGTATTAGAAATTAAGAGAAACAACTAGATCAGTTACACGTTTATGTGGTATAAAAATGTGGTTAGTCATACTTGGGTTATTGCGGGTTGTTTATATTTTGTGTGCTGTCTATAATTAACTAAAACTGGGTGCTGGGAGAAAAACAAACCAAAATCCACACACATATTTTCCTACAACAAATGATTTTTGTGGGAGAGAAAATTTTGGGAGTTTTGCACGACCCCATTTTTTTTGTGGGTCTTTTTTCTTCCAACTTGAAAGTCAACGCCAAAATCACAACGATGACACACCCCCTCTTTTTAAACTAGGTGTGATTTTGATCATTTCAAGCAATCAATTTGACACAAAACAACCAGCGTAGTATCAATTGCAAACAATTTAGTATGTCAGCCACTATTTATTGAATCAATTGCATACAATTATTATTTGAAATTTTCTAGCATGCCGGGGCTGGTCAATTTCAAATGGATTGCCCTTTCGACGAATCTATCTCAATAATTATCAATTCGATATGATTTACTAACAACCATCTAGTTAATTGAACTCAATTAGAAAACAGAATAGTATTTATTTTTGTTTTTGAACTTCCCATTTTATTGCTTAGAAATTTTGATATCACGTTTTAAATTATAAACTACAATGCCTGCTTCCCGTGAAGACTCTGTCTACCTCGCCAAGTTAGCTGAACAAGCTGAACGTTATGAAGAAATGGTGGAAAACATGAAGGCTGTTGCCTCTTCTGGACAAGAATTATCTGTTGAAGAACGTAACTTGTTATCAGTTGCTTACAAGAATGTCATTGGTGCTCGTCGTGCTTCCTGGAGAATTGTTTCTTCGATTGAACAAAAGGAAGAATCTAAGGGTAATGAAAACCAAGTTTCTTTAATTAGAGAATACCGTGCTAAGATCGAAGCTGAATTATCTAAAATCTGTGAAGATATTCTCTCTGTTTTAACTGATCATTTGATTTCTTCTGCTCAAACTGGTGAATCCAAGGTATTCTACTACAAGATGAAGGGTGATTACCACAGATACTTGGCTGAGTTCGCCGTTGCCGACAAGCGTAAAGAAGCTGCTGATTTATCTTTAGAAGCTTATAAGGCTGCTTCTGACGTTGCTGTCACTGAATTACCACCAACTCACCCAATCAGATTGGGATTGGCCTTAAACTTTTCTGTTTTCTATTATGAAATTTTGAATTCTCCAGACAGAGCCTGTCACTTGGCCAAGCAAGCTTTTGATGATGCTGTTGCTGATTTAGAAACCTTATCTGAAGATTCATACAAGGATTCCACTTTAATCATGCAATTATTGAGAGATAACTTAACTTTATGGACCGACTTATCCGAAGCTCCAGCTGCTACCGAAGAGCAACCAGCTCAACAATCATCAGAAGCCAAGGCTGATGAAGAATAGATGTATGTAAAGTTTTAGTTATATTCTTGTGTGAATTTAATATTAAGTATTTTTAGTATTTCCAGCTTACTGCTCACCCTGGTCAACCCAAAAATTTTGTCATTATCCAACATCATCATCATCATTATCATAATTGTTTAAAATTATTGTTTATCCACCCCCCCTGTCTTATATCTTGTTTGATTTTCAGTTGCTTTGTTTTTTACTTATTTCATTTATCATTGTTTTTGTTCAATTCCTAACTACAAAATTTATTGGGTTACTCATACAATATACTAAACTATACTATACATAGAGATAGCTTTATTGTCCACCCCCCTCTTACCTCTGATTCTATATATCGAAATATAAATTGTTTGATAAGCTATTGTATCGCAGCTGTCTGTTGATGCACACATACTAATTTAAGACAAAACGCGTGTTACAATTCTTTTTGAACTCGGTGCACGCAACTGTAAACAAAAAAATTAAATTTAATCTTTGACAGTGAGCAAAAAAAAACTCTATTCCCAAAAAAACAGTTAAGATCATACTTGGCCACTAATTACAATACTTTACTAGGACGTCAACGACAAAGTAAATACATAATGCCTGAACCTGTTGGAATTACAAGTTTGCCTGATCAAAGGTATGTGTTTTACACCAATGAATTGAGACATATGTTTATGAGATCAAGCGCTCTTTTTTATTAGCCGAACTTTTTTTAAAAAAAAATGTTTGAATTTTTGTTGTTGGAATATGTCGAATATTCAACATGATCGATTTTACTAACAATATTTAATAGGTATAAGATTGTCTCTAAGGAAGGAGCCACTTTCACAATCATGGTTGCCGGTGAAAGTGGTTTGGGTAAAACCACCTTTATCAATACCCTTTTCCAAACATCTTTAAAACCTCACCAAGACCCAACTGAGAGACATAACAAATTCCAGTCAGCGCAAGAAACTGTCGAAATTGGGATTGTAAGAGCTATACTTGAAGAAAAAAATTTCAAGATTAGATTAAACATTATTGATACTCCTGGGTTTGGTAATAATGTCAATAACAACGATTCGTGGACTCCTATTATTGATTTCATTGACGATCAACATGAATCATATATGAAACAAGAAAGACAACCCCTTCGTACTAACAAGAAGGACTTGAGAGTGCACGCGTGTCTTTACTTCATCAGACCAACTGGCCACTCATTGAAGCCTTTGGATATTGAAATCATGCAAAGACTTTCAACCAGAGTAAATCTTATTCCTGTTATTGCTAAAGCTGATACTTTGTCACCTGCTGAATTGGATACTTTTAAAACTAGAATTAGAGAGATTATCGAAGCACAAGACATTAACATCTACACACCACCCTTGGAATTGGATGACCCTGCCAGTGCTGAACATGCCAAGCAATTGATTGAATCTATGCCATTTGCAATCATTGGTGCCGAAGAAGAAATTGAAATAAGCCCTGGTAAGTTCTCCAGAGGTAGAAAATACCCATGGGGAGTTGTTGAAGTTGAAAATGACGAGCATTGTGACTTCAAGAAGTTGAGAAGTTTATTGTTGAGAACAAACATGTTGGATTTAGTCTTGTCTACTAATGAAATTCACTTTGAAAACTTTAGAAGTACTAAGTTAGGAGCTGACGAAGAAGAAAACGAAGATGAATTAAAGGAAGAATTGACAAATGAAAAGGGTGAGGTTGTCAAGAAGCCTTCTATTACTAAGAAACCAAGAAGATTACACAATCCTAAATTTAAGGAAGAAGAAGACCAATTAAAGAAATTCTTTACTGAACAAGTTAAGGCCGAAGAACAAAGATTCAGACAATGGGAAACTAATATCATTAATGAAAGAAACAGATTGAATCAAGACTTGGAAGAAATGCAATTGAAGTTAAAGAACTTGGAAGAACAAATAAAGAAGTTACAATTGGCCAAACGTTAAATTATTTCTTCTTGATTGTCTATTTTTTTTTTACCTCTTCAATTTTTTTTCTCACTTATTTACATTTATATTTAAAGGTTCTTTTTGTTTTTAACATGTACGTGTGTTATCTTTATCCTCTTATTTAGGTTATATGAATATTGCTATATAATTCTTTGTGTTAATTTTGCAGTAAATAAAAATCGCCTCAAGGAATTGTGGCTGCTGGCGCGAGTTATTTGGTTGCCGGTTATAGACGGCATCACAGAAAAAAAAGAATCAAACTAATTTTACTAACAGCTCCTCCTATTATTATTAATTCAAACCACTAATCTGCAGAGAAAATTGTGCAGGAAAGCGGCTATTTTAACCAGTGAACTTTCTGTGTATACATCAATTGTTAATTTGCTCAAACTGACCTGATATGTCTGGACTCAGGGACAATCAAAATCAAATGTTATCTGGAGTAATGTATGATCCATTACAACAACAACAACCACAGCTTCTGCCTCATGCTCAAGAAGGAGAATACAGACGGCTGTCATTCGATACCAACCCATCCACTGATCCTTCCCTGCAATACCCGAAGTTCAAACGTAATTATCGTGCCTGCTTAAACTGTCGAGTTCGAAAGGTAAAATGTGATTTGGGACCTGTCGATAACCCTAGAGAAGGTAAATGTGCAAGATGTCTTCGTGAACGTAAAGATTGTGTGTTTGTGGAAAGCAAACGTGGTGGTTCCGGAAATGTGATTAGTGGGAAAAGAAAGAAGAAAACTAAGGAGGAAACACAAAAGAGTGGCTCGGAATCACCTAGAGATGGTAGTTCACCTGGCACTACAGCGCTGTATCCATATGAATCACCAGCAATTCCCAAACTCAATAATGGTGGAGTAGCTATCCAAGAGCCGCGTCAGAAACTTCCTGGAGTCAGTAGTATTTTAGGTCAAGATAGTTCCCTTCCACCTGCATCATTACCAGTTCAAACGCCAATAACAACTCCTCTGATTGCATTACCACCGTTTTCAACACCACCAACCCATGTTTCTGCTAATTTAAGTACAGCCTCAGTGCAACAGGATTCGGCTCACCAGAACAAAACTCCCAGTCATTTCTCAACAATGGAAGGAGCATTAGTCTTTTTGGCAAAGGCAGCGGGAACTATAGCAAAGGCAGATGAGAGAGATAATATAGATGGTAGAGCCAGGTATGAACAAATAGAGGCGAAAATGAGAAGTGAAACAAACAGCGTATTGTCTAACTCGGAACAATCAAATCTGGATATGCCAGACCAGAACAACAATGGTGACGATATATCAGGTGCTTCTTCAAGAGCGCATACCCCCGGCGTGCAACATACAGCCAATGTAACTGAAAATTCTAATCAAGGACTAGAACAGGATGGTACTGCTGACACCGACCTGAATAGCCAGCATGGTCTCCATAGACACCACCACCACCATCATCATCACCACCAGAGAGGCGCTCAAAAATCTTCAATTCCTGCTTTTATATTGCCAAGTACTACAAAGAGAATGACAATGCCCCCTGCAGAAAGTGGTTATGCGGTGAGACCTAAAGCATCCAATAAACTTTCTAATATTGAGTATATTGGCCCAGCCCCTAATGGAATCTTAACCGAACAAGAAGCAGAACGGTTGATTAATCTATTCTTCACAACTATGCATCCGTTCTTCCCACATTTACCCAAGTTTCTTCATTCACCCAAAGTTCTTTCCGGATATCCGATTTTATTGTGTGCCATTTTAACAATTTCATCTCGATATCATCCATTTGAAAACAATGTAAGTACTTCTGGAAACACCAGTGTACCTAGAAATATCGAAGTTCACGATCGATTATGGCTCTATGTCCAAAGGTTAATTTCACAAACGGTTTGGGCAGAAGCAAGTACCAGATCAATCGGGACAATTTTTGCATTTTTGTTATTCACGGAATGGAATCCACGTGCTATCCATTGGAGATGGTCAGATTACGCTAATAAAGCAGAAGAAAACAACGATGAAGTATCAGGTTCATCGGCAAACTTGTCTGCATTTAATGGGGATACCAGTGGTGGCACTGGTGCTGACAGTGAGCCTAACCTTGCTGGATTGGGTGCTATGAGAAGAAGTTATAGAATGGCGTGGATGTTGATCGGTTCGGCTGTTAGATTGGCGCAAGATATGGGGTTTATGGAAATAAGCTCCAAGACATTCATTGCTACCCATACCGCCGAAATCAACTCCGTTATGAATATTGCAAGACGGTCGATGTTGGCTCATTCGCTATCAGAAGTAGATTTAGATGAAGATGAGATAACAGAAGAGGATATGGAAGAGGTCGAGGAGGAAGATGATGATGACAGAATGCTCAAAATGTCAGAAGAAGATTTGAGGCGTGTTTCAAGTGAGCACGTTCTTAAATTTACGAAATCTCAGAAGGCACAAATTGAGTTGCTCCAAATCATTTCTCTTGGTCATGAATCTTTGTATGGGTATAAGGCACAACTAGGGCTGCTTTCTCAAAGTCAGAATTTGTCAGTGTTGAACATAATTAGTCCATTGATTAATAATTGGGGTCGCAAGTATAAAACATTTCTTACCCCCTCAAACAATAAATTGCTCAAGCATGTGTCCAACATAACCACTCATTGGTTGAAACCAAACTCAAAAGTGTGTCATGAGATTGCTGAATATATAGAGCGGGAATCCTTCATATTTGAGTTCAACTATGTGAAGCTTTACATTTATTCACTTGCATTGAGTCCATCACCTCGGGCTTTACTTGAGCAAAAGAAGAATAGAAAACACGGCAAGGTTACATTGAAATTAGATGAAATGTCCAAATCAGCAAAGTATATTGAACAGGCATTTACCGCGGCTAATGAAATGTTATATGCTGCTCATAGAGTTCATAGATTAAAGATGCTTAGGTTTATGCCGGTCAGATGGTTAACGAGAATGGTTAGAGCCGTTGCTTTCATTGTAAAATGTTATTTGACAATCATGGCTCATAAGAATTCGTCAAGGAGTGGATCTACCAGTTCGATAGATAACTATGATTCTACAATCTTGTCGCTTTCCTTAATCACCATTGATGATATTACACTGTCAATTCAAAGAGCTGCTATCACCTTACGGGATTGTTCTCCGGACGAATTACATTTATGCACAAGATATTCAAACGTTTTAATGTATTTGTGTTCTGAGATGAAGACAAGAAAAAACCACTATGAAGAGGAGCAAGCCGCCGAAGATGCAGAGGAACGCGCCCATTTGCAAGAGCAACAGCATATGGCCAAAAGGCAAAAAGTCATGTCGGAACCGGTGCCGTCCAATGACATGGCATCATCGATGTTCCAGCCGCAGCCAGTACAGTATGAAGGCAACGGAAATGAAAACATGCCCAGCCCTCAGATGGCATATCCAATGCAACAGCAAACAACCCAGCTGTCCATGGATTCATTCGGGTATGGCCAATCACTGTATTTCAAGAATGGTTCAATCTCGCAAAGTGAGAGTATGACACCAAACGACTCTAATACACCATTGCAAACCTTGATGGGAGATAGTGAGGTAATTGATTGGTTTATGAATAATCGTACCATTGGTCTTGATTTCGTAGGACCATGGACGGAAATGATCGAACAGCAATTGAACTTGAACGACCAATTCAACTTTAATGATGCCCTTTAAATTAATGTATATATATTTTCTTATATAGAGGGGAAATTTTTTATCTTGTAGCGAATTATTAATTTTCCCAACCTTGAATATGGTTAATTATAGACATGTAGAAATCCCGAGACTTATCATTGATTGAAATTCCATGGCTTGAAGATAAGAATGTGTTAATTCCCTCGATGGTGTCTGCATAAGCCTCAGGAAGATATGGTACAGCAGTTCTAGCTTCAAATAAATAGTTGCTTTGGGGTTTTGTTGAAGGTGGGTTTTTGTAGTAATCATTTTTATCGAAATCGATAGTATCAACAGTAACAGAAAGATCAAGCTTGAAAGCGATACCTGAACATTGTAATTCATAACTAATATCGTTTAATTTCTTCACATAAGTGTTGGCATTAATATTCCCCATTCCTGCCAAATATTTAAGCAAGGCGATTGCCTTATTTACCTGGGGATATACCTTACCACGAAGACCAGCGATAATAAGCATCATCAAGGACGAAAATAAATGGTGACTGTCCCAGTAACCCAACACAAAGATCTTTTGGCAGGTGTATAATCTCGCCACTATATCAATGGTACTACACGATACAAACATCCCCTTGGCAATTGTAGCTTCAATATCATGATAGTTTTCAAGTAATTCAGAAGATGAAGGGTCTGTAGCGAGGGAAAGCAAGGGCTTCGTGAGCAAAATGTTCAACTGGTGGTATCTAAGTAACAAATTAGCGAGCATTCTTGAACCATCATTAACATAGTCTATACCTCTAAATTTCGACAACAAAGGAAATTCAAAATTCTTAATCAAGTCTGATGATGACGTTAAGATATTCTTCAACAAAAGTTTCTGGTTAAATTGGTTGGTGTTGATGTAATTAACCAGAAAAGTTCGTATATTTGGCCCATAGATCAACCGAACAAACTTTGTGACATATTTCGTCAAATGCACGTTGGTCTCAAGAATAGTGCCATCAAATGAATCACCTAAATCGAATGTATTTTCAGTTGGCAAGTCAACATCCGTATCTGTATATTGAAAGTTTTCAGTTTTTGCAGCCCACAAAGAATCAATAACAAAGATAGTCCACCATAATCTCTTTGACCTTTCTGCAAAAATACGAAGTTCTCGATACTCTTCAGGTGACTTATTTCCAGGAATATCTCTTTGACGGTGATATCCCTGGGCTACAGCTGAACGAGCGGCAATTCCCAAGTAATTGTAGGCAATATTGTAACGCGCTAAATTGACCGAGTAAAGACCTAACAACAAGGAACTTTGCATAAAGGTGATATCAAGGTCGGATCTAGTTAACCGAAACAAGTGTTCTGCCAACAAATAGTATTCCATTCCAGGGTACTTATTTTCGTCAGTTTTAACATTCAACAATTGTTCACCAAATGCAATTAAAATAAAGAAATAACAAAGCGAGATCTGAGTTATAGATCTAAGCGGTGGCTCAGAGTTCTGGTGGGTCTGAGGCTGTCCCAGAGTTTGCTGTTGTTGCTCCTGCTGCAACCCGTCAAATAATGCATAGATATCATTGGTCAAATCCAAAAATTCTTGAATGGCCAACAAATAAAATTCTTGATTATAAGTGAAATATACTTTATTGACCAAGTTAAGGGCATAGGTTCTTTCAGGTAATTTGTTTTGGCAAGCGAGTAACAAGTTGTATTGCAAATCATAGTCGTCAAATTCTGGCGCGTAGAAGTTGACAAGTTCTATCCCATTAATGACGTTCCCACTTACTGGGATCTTTTTCGTAGATCCTATGGTCGACATCGATGGATACGAATGAGAAGCAGATGTACCCACGGTTGTAGTATTAAGAGGGGCACGTTCGGGCTCGGTTGTGTGCGATGGGTTAGATGACGCGATAATTGATTCCAAGTATTCGACTCTATCGTGCAACTTATTCAAGTCCGACTCCATGATGACAATTTTTCTATCTTTGGTAGGATACACACATGCATCTCCTTTGTTAATGCTTTTACAGTTAGCACACGCAGGTCTTTCGCCGGAACACTTTATCTTCGATACTTTGCAACGAGTACAGGCATAATGGGATCTCCCAAATACCTTTAATGGTTTTGGCTTCTGAATGTTTCCACTCATCGGTACTGTATAATTTATATGAATAGTAGAATGCAGCTGAGTAGTGCTAGTTATAATAATACAATGTATAAAAATTCAAAGGCAAACAAGTTTTCGTATGTCAACGTACATACATATAGGTTAATAATCTATCCAAACAGGTATATGGATATCAACTAGCTTGTGGTCAGATGCGAATATCAAATACAGTCGAGGTGAATTGCTTCCCGATTTCAAGTTCAGCTAGTCTTTGAATTTTATGTGTTCTATCGCCTAGAAATGCTAAACTCCGTGACCAGTATCCAATTAGACTTTGCTTTTTTTTATCCAAAATGGTAATACCTATCTATGCAGCAATATGATCGTCAAAATCGATCTATAGAATGAGCGAAAAGATCTGCCTCCTGAGATCTTTACCTAGTCGAAGACTGTGATGTAACAATTGATATTTCGGCTTGGTGAGTACAATGGTTGGAGGCGCAAGTGTATTTTTTTCAAACCTTATGCCTGGCTGCCAGTCAATTGATCAAAAGTTTCCAAAGTTCCAGGGTTCTTCCTCCGCAAGCAGTACTGTAATGCTTTCCGTTTACGAGGTTATATTGGATAATGAAAAACTGATTCAAAAAGATTAAAATTTTTTATGTAGTCTGAATAACACAAATATATTATATATGCACATGTATGAAAAATATCTTAGCAAATTTACGGCGGGAGTTTATTTTTTATGTGGGCAGAATATATTTTTTATGTACCTCCCAGTTTTCCATTGCTCGCCTCAGAGATGAAATTAAATATTCTTGCTCAGTATTTGCATGGTTTTAGATCATTTTGCGCTCTTAGTTGGTGATGAATAAACCATGAGAATGTTGTTAGCGGTAACCCCCAAGTTCAAAGCCTGATTTAATTGTGTTTACGAGAAAAAAAAACTGTCAAACGTATCAGGAGAGCCTCCCCCTGAGCTAATGCATAAACGGATACAATCGAGCGACCATTTAACATGCAGAGAAAAACAGCCCCAATTGGAAGGGATATAATTGACGGAAAATAATATCCATTTGTTAATGAAATACTTGCAAAGATGGAAGGTTGAATCTAGTGTGTGTGGCCTAAGGACGTCAATATTTTTTCATCGGTTGTTTTGTACAAATTTGAAACAACCGCGCGCAAAAACGCAGTACAACCGCCAAACTTACAATGAAACAATTGGGGTAAACCATACCGAAACACAGGCGGGCCTACTTTTTCTAGGGGAGCAGAATCAAAATGATAAGATATCCAAATCTAGAATGATGACTAAGATGAAATGATACACACTTTAAAAATTTTAGAAGGTCCGGAACAGCCGCCCGAGCTTACCCCACGCAGGTCTGCTTAAATTTCAAATTGTCTTTAGATTAATTGTGGAGAGCAACTTCGAAATTATATCTTTAGTGCTGATTTTTAAACAAAAATAAATCACTTTTCCCTTGCGTCGATCTTGATATTTTTCGTAATTAATAATTATCGTAGACACATAAGATGAGGGGAAAACTGTCAAATCAGACCACTATAAATGGAATTATGATCATTTGAATTTCACAGTTCATCGAAATTACGAACATTCCGATGCATTAGACGATAACAAGAATGGAGAAGATGCGATAGTTTAAAAGTAACTACGAGAATGTTTGTCGAAAGCGCAGAGATTTAAATATTAGAAAGCGCAAGCTACATCCCAGATTGGCAGTTTGATCATAGAAAGTGGTCCCAATTGGAAACCGATTTTGTACTCAAATAACTTAGATGTATTGTTTACCTTGCAACGGACTTGTGGCATGAACTAAAAACGCCTTCTGTGTGTTTCTGGAAGCCAGCATTAGATACATATTATTACCCCAGACGAGGTGGTAAACTCATAAGGCATTAGTGATTGCTTTGTGGTATTCATGAGTGGTCCTCCCTGAAGCTCGCTATCTCCCTGACACCATAACCCAATAGAGTAATTAGTGGCTGCGAATAGACGGATATTAAGAAAGATGTCTTATTCTCCGTTTTATTGGGCAACTTAACAAAGTCGACTAAAACTAGTCGAGATGCAGGCACAGCCACAATTGTCAAGCGTTATCTATAGTTAAACACCTCATTATTTAATTGTTTATCGGAAAAGTTATTTCTTATTTTTATTGCACTAGGATTGCACAGAAATCGCATTTTGGCTTAGAAAAAAATGTGTACATTTTTTGTAATTTCATTGTTGTTGGGCAAAGGGAGAACCGAGGGTGAAAAAAAAATTTTCCCAATTTTTTTTTGATCTACTAAGAAATCGGAAAATGATCCGGCGAAACACAAAAAAACTACAAAGTCTTACAAGGGAACGTGGAGCGTGGAAACATAGACGGTATGTAGAACAATACAGAAACCATAAAGTAAAACGAGACTAAGAGCAATTGTTTACAATATTTTACTATCACATTTAACACCAGCAACGCGTGAGAGTACTCACAACAGAGAAATACGAGTTTCCAAACAGAATTCTTCTAGATTTTGACGGCGATGCGGGTTGACTGGGCAATGATCTAGATCCGCAGTAAGTTCGAAATCAATTTTGTAGCCGGAGTAATAAATTTACTCTCAATTCGATGGAATATGTGACACTGCCGTATGGAAAGATGGTGCCTAAGGGCGGTTACACTATGCTTATCTAGTTTACTTTCTAGCCTCACAATTAATTTCTAAAGTGTGCGTAAAATATGAATCCTGTTGTCAAGTGCATCCCTAAATTGCTCAAAAATATTTTTTAAGCCGCAGAAGTCTAAAATTTTACAGCCGATTGTATGCCGGAAAATCACACATTATCGAAGGCTTACGAACTGACTTGACCTAGACCATACTTAATACACTGGCCAATTAGACATACAGGTAGTCTAGATCATATGCATGAAAGATAAAATGTAAGACATCCAAAGGTGTTTTTCTCTTATTAGTAATTTGGAAAACATAGGCAAATTCTGGTTATGAGCACTTGAGCACTTGAGCGTAGTACTTACCCCATGTAGAAGTAAACAAAGGGATTGATTTAGCACGACACCTTCGATTATCCTGCCAAAACGGTTGAAAGGTAAACAAAGTGGAGAGATGATGAACACTGAAGCTAAGGAGCGGACTTTCCTCTTCAACATTTGTGGTTGTCTGGTGTAAATTATAGTTTTTGCCTAACCTGTAGTGGACAGCCTTGATTATGAAACCCACTTTCTAGGAGTCGTTACTTACTACCAGGAAATGGATCAACTTTTAACCTAGAATTCTAGCACCATAGAGCGTCACAGAACCTACACGCACCGGGCTTAATGCAAGGCAAATTGCAATTTTTTACTATTAATAGTAGTTTTTTTCTTTTTGTGCGTCATTAAAAGGCTTTAAATTGTTCCGGGAATATTACATATATTCCGAGGGTAAATACAGGCATCAAGCTGACGCTCTGCGCTAATAATCTTATGGTGAGACGTAAAGGTAGCAATAAACAAGCCCGCACTAACATAGACTGCTATTGATCGGGTTAAACGGGCAAAGAACATATACTGGTTTGAGTGAATATGAAATATGTAACTTTGTGCTATACAGCAAACAGATCAAGGTATTGCCTGTTTTGGAGTGAAACAACAAAAAATAAAATATTTTTTGAACTAGATTTCTTTATTAAAAATTTTTTGTTATTCTATGAGAGTTTTCAAGTTTCGACAGAATTCGAACAAACGAGCCCACAACACAACCAGCACCACTTTAAACTCTGAGAAATATTGTGTCACATCCCCCTATTTTAAATTACCCTTTCCGAAAGAATTTTTTTTTTATTAAATTTCTTCTTCCTCCTTTTTAAATCTCTTTTCATTTTCTTTCTTCTTTCTTTACATTCTTAACTAACTAGAAAAGATGCAATTCAAGAAAGTCTTTGCTGTTGCCGCCGTTGCTGGTGTCGCCCTCGCTGCTGACAAGAACAGTATGTACCTTATTTTCCTGTTAAAGTTTCTGAATTCGGTTGTGGCCATTATGGTGTGACTACTGATCTACTCGGAATACTCTATTTGATAACTAGGGATTCCATGTGGCCAGTCAGTCATTCCAGGATCAACACACCAAACAGGGTCTATGCTAAAATTAGATCATTTCCATGATGTTGTGAGTTTGAATAAAAGCAGGTGTTCGTCAATTTTCATAAGATATTCATCAAATATTGTATTTCCTCGAGGATTTTGACAGTAGGATTAGATTACATCGGTCAAATGTGGTACTGGGACCTCATAACTTAGAATTAAGTGTTGTTACATACGTCTAGCCTTTTTCTGGAAAAAGGCTATTTTTAGATTATTGAGGTTTTTTTCTACTCCCCTCCCCCCTCACCAGCCACGACACAAGATAAAGATCATCCGTCTAAACCAGACGTAAAAATGACATGATATCAAGAGTTTGACCGATGCTAATACTACAGATTCTATGACTACGAAATAGACGGATATTTGTATGTGGGAAATTCAACACATTGTCAATTTTTTTTTGATTTAGTTTTCGAGAAACGTTTTTTTTTTTTGATCCCCTGAGCCGCAAACCCAAGAAAAAAATTTCAGTTTACGATTGCATGCATAGAAAATATTTAAAACAGAAACTTTGCAACATGTGTAAGAGGTTAAATTTACTAACATTTTAATTATAGACTCCACCTTGACCACTGCTACTCCATCTGTCACCAAGGACTGTTCCTTCTCTGACTTTACCGCCACTCAATCTGCTCAAGTTGCTCAAGTTGCTGCTTGTCCAACTGCCGTTGGTGATATCACCATCTATGGTGATGCTTTCGGAAACATTGATTTGACTGGTTTAGAACAAGTTTACGGTGACTTGTCTATTAAGAATGCCACCAAGGCTGCTGGTGTCAATGCTCCAACTTTACAATTAGTTTCTGGTAGCCTTGAACTTAACGCCAACACCATTTTGTCCAACTTGAACTTGGCTCAATTGACTACCGTTGGTACTTTGAACTTCAACGCTTTACCAGCTTTAGAAACCACTGGTTTAACCGCTGGTATTACTTCTGCTGATTCCGTTATCATTTCTGACACTGGTTTATCTTCATTAACCGGTATTAACGTTTTCGAATTAAAGACCTTCAATGTTAACAACAATGACCAAATTGAAACCATTAACTCTGGTTTAAAGAGAGTTACTGACACTTTGGACATTTCCTACAATGCCGAAAAGGTTGATGTGACTTTAGATCAATTAACTGGTGCTAACAACATCATTTTGCAATCCATCAACTCCATTTCTGCTCAAAACTTGACTGTTGCTAACGGTTCCGTTGCTGTTTCTTCTTCTTCTGTTGACAAGGTTCAATTCAAGAAATTGCAAACCATTGGTAAGTCCTTGACCATTAACAAGAACGATGACTTGGAAGAATTAGATTTCCCTAAGTTGACTTCTATCGGTGGTGCTTTGGAAATCTCTGACAACGACAAGTTAGACTCCTTTGATGGTTTCCCACAATTGAAGACCATTGGTGGTTCCGTTAACATGAACGGTACTTTCAACAACGGTACTTTTGAATCCTTACAAAGAGTTGCTGGTGGTTTCACCTTAAAGACTGACGGTGAATTATCATGTCAAGCTTTCAACAAGTTGAACTCTAACGGTGATGTTAAGGGTGACAAGTTCCAATGTGAAGACAGAGTTACCACCACTTCTTCTTCTTCTAAGAAGAATGGTTCTACTGAAACTGACTCTTCTGATGACTCTACTGGTGCTGCTGAAACCACCACTTCCAAGAAGAACGATGCTCCATCCCCAGCTGGTAAGTTAGCTTCCGTTGTTGCTGCTTTTGCCGCTATTGGTGTTGCTTTAATCTAAACTTAGAGACTCCAGTTATTGTATTGTTATATTTTCCTGTTATTTTATATGTTCTTAATAAATGAGTAACGGGGGAGATATATGCAACATTTGTACATTATTACATTAGAGGAGAGGTCAAATTTTCTATATAGAGTTGGTTGAAGAGAATTCCACCATATGCTAGCCGTGTTTTTTCTTTTAGTTGTTTAATTTCTTATCTTTTTATTACCTTTCTTTTATAATCGTGTGTTTTTATTAATCTCTTTCTATAAATAATGGACAAAAATTTCTATAAGTTTTCAATACTTTTATAACTCATTGGCTTGAATGTATTCTATTTTGGGCATGTTTAACAACTCTGCAACCTCTTTAACGTACATGTTTGCAACCTGTTCTACTGTTGCTGAGGTTTCACCTAGTTCTTTCATAATTGAAGTAGCACGTTTGCCGTCGAGTCCACACATGATAAAACTGTTCATAAACTTCAAATCAGGATTTACATTAAGTGAAATTCCATACTCAGATATCCCTCTCTTGATTCTAATACCCACACTAGCAATTTTATCGTCGGCAGAAGTCCAAACACCAGGGTTTTCTATGACTTCCGATTTCAATCCGAAATTATTCAAAAGGGTTCTTTTCACACTTTCGAGAAGAATACTAGTAACAAAACATTTCGCCGTTAAGTTATGGAATGCCTTGATATCAATGACAGAGTATGCCACGAGTTGTCCCTTACCATGCCATGTGACTTGTCCTCCTCGGTCCAACTGGTGGAATTCACATCCTGATTTCTCGTATTGTTCACGTAACTCAGGACTTACCTCTTCTTTTGAACGTAAACCTCCAGCGTACACGTTATTAAATTCGAATGTTAATATCGTAGGTAATGGTTTCAAATCTAAGATTTTGTCAATCAACTGAGTTTCCTTATACGTTAAGGTATCACCTCTCGTCTTTTGTATTTTTCTGATGTTGAATTCAGTAGATTTAAAGTGTAAGTTGTGATTCACTAATGCTTGCTGGATATCTAATCCATGTTGGAACGAAGTTATCCCTGGGAAATGAATATGTCGAAGTGTTCCATAGCTTTCTCTAATAGGCCAAAACTTCTTCTTGGGCTTCAAAGTAATAGGACAGATCCTGGAAGATGCTTCTTGTAGCAACTGTACGCTTACTCTCATCGTTGTCCAGTTCGACCTAGGCAAGAAAATTTTGTGATCTGATCTCAATATTTACAGCCAGTTCAATTTTTTTGGCTGTCAATCGAATCAACTACCAAACAACTCAATTCAATCAATTGCAAAGAACATTCAGGAATGACCAACAATGCATTCCGAAGACCAAAGCCATTGTACGCCACATCCATGGCTAAACCACAACCGATTCGACCGGCTATCTCGGCCGTCACTGCAACAACATCCAATGCCACAGCCATGAATCGTCATGGCCTGAGTCAAACTTCCAGTAGTACCAGTGCAACCTCTGGCCGTGCCAGTGGGGTTTTGTCTCCTATTAGTTCTCCTGGCTCTACGCCCACACCAAGTAACAGTACTACTAAGAAGGATATTAAGGTGAGGAAACCTAGAAGTATTGTTTCCTCTGATTTAGACGAGGGTCTGATATATGATGATGATTTGTATTCGGAAGAATTGAGGTTCTTATACAGGTTGTATGTTCCTAATAAGTATCGAATCAAGAATAATAAACAATTGCTTAAGCATTTATTGAATCATTTACCCAGAATTATACCTAATCCTACAAACCTAAATATAGATAACAATACTATAGATTTGAACTTTCAAGTGCATTTATTTTTAAGTACCATTATGGTAAAATTTGTCAATTCATGGTATTTTACCAAATTGAATACTAATAATGTTGAGTTTGTCAATTTGTTGTATCAAATTATGTGTGATTTTGTGAAAGATTTCTCGAAAAGAATAAACGAGGTAATACAGCAAGATAAGAGTCTTGAGCTAATTGACGAGTTTTCAAACATACTCAATGGTCATTTGAATAAATTAGTAAGTGAGCCTAATTCCAAATATGCATATAAAATAGTCAATGACTACTACGAAGAAGCAAAATCAACAAATAGTTTCAAATATAATACAAACACACATCCTGAAGAAGTAGTTACCGACTATCTTCATTTGCAACACATCATATTTGATCAGAGTCAACTAATTACAGAACAAGAACAAACATTGAACTATTTGAGAGTCATATTCAAACAAATCTTGCAGGCGACATTTGAGTCAGACGAATACTCTCCAAACCCATTGACTTCTGAGATTGCTACAAACTTGGTTACATTGTTAATGAGTGATTTAGTCTTGAATAGGCTTGTGGAAAAGTTATCATCCCCTGAATTTATATTAGTGACTGTTGTAAACACGATAGTAACCAAATTAATTGATTTGATTAATGGGAAGAATAGAGTTGTCACACAGACTAGGACCGGCTGGAGTGCTAAGCTTAAACAATTCCTAAATTCTTCATATCACAAGATTAGTGACTTCATTGTGAATATTTCATATGGTACGAAAAACATAATTCAAGGTTCACCCGAAGAAGAAGATATTCCGTTTGACGTATTTGACAATTCCTTGGTGAAGCTAATAAACACAATAACTAATTTCAGTGAACGAAAGCCATTAGTGACAAACTTTCTCACATTTATTAGAAGTGCATTAAAATTGAACGAGAAATTGAATATGAAAGTGAATTCTATTTGTTCCAGATACATTGCCAATAAAATCAAGACTTCATTGACTGAGGATTTCATATCAGGAGTCATATCTGACTTACGAATAAAGCTATTCTATCCGGAGAACAACTCAGATAATGAAGAAGTTACACCTACAGTCAACCACATAACTGACAAATTCATAGATTTGTACCAGGATAGATTACCCCAACTTCTTGGGGGATACGTTGGGTCCAATTTGCTCAAGTATGATAAAGAATCCGACCAAGAGCAACGGGAATCTATAAAACGAATGTTGATAATTTTTAACCTGGTAGATATCAAGGATGAGATTGGCCAACCAGCTACCAGAATGAACAAACTACTAATTATGAAAGTTTTGGATTGTATAGTTGCAAATTTATACCCAGAATTATTATGATCACGTGATGAAGTAATTCTGATCCCGAGAGGGTCAGTTGATTTTTTTTTAAGTATTTTTATACGAATATACGAAATCAAGGGGGGAAGCTACTTTGTAAGTCAAGCAATCATGTTGAGAAATAACTCTGTGAAAGCTATTGCTCAATCGCAGAGAATTGTAAAGAGACCTTTTGTAGTGGCAGCAGCAGCCAATGCACTTCTCGGCTCATTTGAATTTTACAAGAACATTGATCTCGCTACTAAAATGGACAAAGGGCAGCTTCATTATGAGGATGCTAACGCTCAATTCAATAAGAAACGCACTGACCAACCATTTTTCACGAGAGGTGAGCCAGAATACCCAGGTCATGTTCCATTATATTTGCATGAAAAATTGCTTATGTTTTTAGGATCTTCCCTTGGAGCATACCTTCACCCTGAACGGAATGAGTTTATTGTGGCATTGGGCGAGTCTGCAGCCGTGACTCCCGTGTTACGGTCTATTCAAACAACCATGCTTAATGATCCTGTTGGAAGACAAATACTTCGTGAAAGACCAAGAATGACTTCTACGTCACTTGATTTGGATCATTTACGAGCATTACCTTCTAATTCTATTGGTGGAACCTATGTCAGTTGGTTAGATCGTGAGAATTGTAGTCCTGATACCAGAGTTCCTGTGAGATATATAGACAACGAGGAATTGGCATACATATACCAGAGATATCGGGAGTGCCATGATTTCTATCATGCTATAACTGGTTTGCCAATTACAATTGAAGGTGAGATTGCAGTCAAAGTGTTTGAGTTTATGAATATCGGGATGCCAATGAGTGGGTTAGGTAGTTTGTTTGCACCATTGCGATTAAAAAAGAGTCAAAAAAAGAGATTATACGATGTGTATTACCCTTGGGCATTTAAGTCAGGACTTAATTCCAAGCCATTGATGAATGTGTATTGGGAGAAGATCTTGGAAAAAGATGCCGATGAATTTCGCAGCGAAATGGGGATCGAAAAGCCCCCAGATTTGAGACAAATGAGAAAACAGTACTTTGACAAGTTGAAAAAGTCAAAGGGATTGTAAAGCCTTGTATATAGAAAGTGTATGTCTTATGCCCTCCATTGTTGTCCTGTTTTAGGCAACAACAAAAACCCTTGTCGTGAAATTTCACGTCAGTAGAAAAATAGCAAACCTTCACACGCATCCCCAATTTCGTATTATTGTTGTTACAGCCCCTTCTTCGTGTAGTTGTTTTCTTTTTTTTTTTCAATTCACATTTAGTTCAGTTTTAACCAAAATAACCTCAATTGTAAGTGATACAAGATAATCACCATGTCACAATTGCTTTATAAATACTTTTTAAAAAAGGTATGTACTTCCCCACGTATAATTAGTCTGCAAAAAAAAAAGTAAATACTAATACCACCAGACCAACCTTGACCATATTGTTCAAATGGGCGATGACGCCGAAGACCCATACTTTGAAACAATCCCTGACAATGAATTACACTTTTATCAAAGAAAAGGGGCCAAGAGAAAGAGAAGAATGCCCAATTTCATACCTAAAAACGACTTGAAAGTGTTAAATAAAGTCAAGAGTCGAGCTTATCATTTAGATTTACAATTGAGCTTGTGCGGGTTGAGATTAGGTTGGGCCGGGATAATCGGATTGATTCCCTGGATAGGTGATGTTATTTCTCTTTTGTTTGCATTACAATTGGTTAAGAAAGCAGGAGAAATCGAAGGTGGGTTACCTAAAATCCTACAAGCAGAAATGATGGCTAATGTCATGATGGATTTTGGAATTGGATTAATTCCATTTGTGGGTGATTTTATTAATATTTTATATAAATGTAACTCAAGAAATTTTATATTGCTTGAAAAACATTTGGTGAAGAAGTACTCCCATGGACAAACGGTCCATGTCACGTCGCAGCCAGCTACAACTTCCAATGAAAAACTGAAGAAGCCCAAAGAACCAGAACCAAATACCAAGACAGCTGCTGCTGCAACTGCAACTGCAACTGCAGATGCACACCAAGAAACTGGTACATATGACCCCCACCATGGTCCGACCTTACCGTCTAGAGCTCATACTGCTGAGCATAACGTTCATCATGCAGTACCACCTATTAACGATCCAGTGCCTCCGCACACGATCGATGCTGATAAGGCAGCATATGTTGCTGAGAAGGTTTAACCAATAGCTTGAAATTCTTGTTCTAGCTTTCCCAATCTTTGTTTAAATTCCGAGATAAACAATTCCAATTGATCCAATTTAAGAAATTCTAATTCAAGTTGATTACATGTGGTTAACATCTGATCAATCTGTTCAAATTGACTGGATAGTTGTAGTTGTTTATCAAAGTATTCCTCGTTGATCAAACCTTGTTTGGTTTGTATCGATCTATATGTAATCTCTGTTAAATTTGATATATAATCGTTTATTTTATACATCAAATAATCATAGCTTAATGCGAGCTTGCGTAATTCTAATGGATCGGGATCATCTGACTCGATGTTGTTGTCACTTATAGCAGTGCTGTCTACTGGCAGGACAATGCTTTCTAGTGAAGCTTGTTCCAATGAATCTCCATTTGTATCCTGCGACTCTCCATTTGTCCCTTCCAACAATCTTAACTCCTCATCATTCATAATTGTTTTTCTTTGTACTTATAACAGCCACTAGTTAATCTTTTTTTGGCAAACCACAATTTGGTGCCTCCGTGGAAATTTCACATTTGTTCGGCCGCTGGCTCGCCCGTGTGTGTTTCTTGCCTTTCCCCTAAATTTTGACTCTTTTCACCACACTCCACATCAACACAATTGAACCCCACATCGATTGATAATTCACCATGTCTTCCTCATACTCCGTGGATAAGATCAATCCTAAGTTATTAAGAAGGATCTATCGTGCATGCAGACCCACCAACGATGAACCTAATCTTGCGTTAAACCTTGAAATCTGTGATTACGTCAATGCCAAAAAAGGATCAGCTCCTCGTGAAGCCGCCATCACCATCGTTAAATTGATTTCTCAAAGAGATCCACAGACTTCAGAATTGGCATTGGCCTTGTTGGATAACTTGGTCAAGAATTGTGGATATCCTTTCCAATTACAAATCTCCCGTAAAGAATTCCTTAACGAGTTAGTAAAAAGATTCCCTGAAAGACCTCCGTTGAGATATACTCGTGTTCACCGGTTGATCTTGGCCCAGATTGAGGAATGGTACCAGACCATTTGTCGTACTTCGAAATACAAAGATGATTTTGGATACATCAAGGATATGCACAGATTGTTGGCCAATAAGGGATATGTATTCCCTGAAGTTAAAGTTGAAGATGTTGCTGTGTTGAACCCTTCTGATAATTTGAAATCCTTGGAAGAAATTCAACAAGAAGAGGAAATTGTTCATTCAGCTAAGTTACAAGAATTGATTAGAAGAGGTAGACCCCATGATTTACAAGAAGCTAATAAATTGATGAAGATAATGGCTGGTTTTAAAGATGATAATGTTAAAGAAAACAAGAAGCAATTACACGACGATATTGCCAGATTGACTAGAAAAGTTGAAATTCTTGGTGAAATGTTGACTTCAATTGAAAACTCCGGAGGTAAGATTGATCCTGATTCCAATGAAGCCATTATGGAATTATACAGTTCTATTAAATCTTCTCAACCAAATATCAACAAGATTATTGAAGAAGAAAGAGATACTGAAAGTGAAGAGCAAGTTAATGAGTTATTGCAATTGAATGACAGAGTCAATAATGTGGTCAATAAGTTCCAATTGTTGAGAACTGGTAACGTTAGTGAAGCAAGTCAAATCAAAATTGGATCTACTAATGCTGTTCCAGAAATTAACTTGATTGATTTCGATGACGATCCTGAAGATACTACTGTCAACAATGATCAAGGTTATAGTGACTTATTAAGTGATTTATCCAACTTGGCATTCACTGACAACAAAACCAGTTCTTCTAATGTTAACCCACTCAATTTGTATGGAGCCGGTGGTTCAATTGCCTTGGGCAACTTTTCTGAAGTTCCAAGTACAAGTGCAACTCCATTACAACAACCGGTTGCCACTAAAGGACCAGCTCCTTCCAATACTGTTGACTTGTTAGGAGAATTCAATACTCCATCGCCTCAATTACAATCGAACACCTCATTAGATCCATTTGGATTAAATTTCCCTCAAACTACTCCAAGCCAAGTTCAAACCCAAGTAGGAGGAGGCGCTGCTGCTGCTGCTGCTGCTGCTGCTGGGCAAGTTGGATATTCCAACATGATTTTAATTAACCAATCTACTAACTTGAAGATTGAAGTTGGTGTTTTATCTCAAGGTAATCCGTTCAAGGGAAGAGTCTTGTTTAGTAATTTACAAAGTCCAACTATTTCTCAATTGAAGTTCTTGATTGCTGTTCCTAAGGGTTGTATATTAGATTTAAAGCCACAATCCGGTGATAGTATATTTGGATTCAACCACCATGGTACTACTCAAGACTTTGGGATTGAAAACCCTCAACTGAAGCAATTAAAGATCAAATGGAAAGTAGAATATCTTGTTAATGGCGAACATAAAGAAGATACCGGAGTTGCCGTGTTAGAATAATTTGTTTATAAATATTACAATTGAATCTAGTCAAACTTGTAGTCTACACTTGCGCTTACAAATAATAACACAATATATTCCAAAAACACTATCCAACCAAAATAAAATAAAAATAAAAATAAAAAATAGATAACGATTATGGCTTGACTAAAGAATCATCAATCACAAATACAAACCCGTTCTCAACTTGTTTAACTAAAACAACATCGATCCATTCACGATCAACTTTAACTTTAAACTTATCAGTAATCAGATCTTGTTTAATCTTGATTAATTTACCATTATTTAAAGGAGCAATAACAACTTGTTGAAGTTTAACATCATCATCACTACCAATAATCAACTTTGATTCGAAATTAGTTATGATATGTCCATTCAAGAATCCGTTCAAGTTTTCTTGTAAAAGTTTTTCTTGTTCAAATTGATCCTTGACATTTCCCAAAGAGTGTGGGAATTCCCATGGTTTTAATCCGGAAAGTTTCAGTTCAATAGCCGAATCCATGGGTGCGATAATAACCATGGTTTCATTAACGAATTCGGTCTTGTCATTGAGAACTTGGTTGTCTCTTATATAGCCAGCAAATATGGAAATCAGTCTGATTTGTGGGAGTATCGATTGAAGAAGGTTGTTGTAACAATCTACTGAATCGATAGTAAAGAGTAGGTTGTTGGCCAACACTTTCTGCTCGTCTCGTTTGGAAGGTCTTTGTGACCCTTGCTGAAGTTTAGTAAGGTCAAATACATTTTTTGCATCTCTCTTGTCGATTTTAAAGTCGTTCAAATTAACTACGTTCTTTCTTTTAGTTATTGGCTCTTTAAACTTGTTTATATCAATCACATTCTTGGGTTCTCTCTTTCCATTAAGGATTTTAAAGTCGTCTAAATTGACAACATTCTTTCTCTTTTCAAGTTGACTCTTGTCTTCTTCCACCTCGGCTTTAAATGAGTTTAAATCGACTAAGTTCTTGGCTACTACCGAAGATATTAAAGTTAACGAGGTAATGTATGTTAATTTCATGTTTGTGTGTGTGTTTGCTTACGCAAAAAGAACAGTGAATTAATTTTGCTGCTCCCTTAAAATGAGTTTCAGCTTTCTTTTTTTTCCCTTCTGGTCACTGAATTTTCTGGTTGTAAAAAAAATATCCGAGCTATGGGTTGACTCAGTTGCAAAGGTTACTCTTGTTAACCCTTTGAATGTTCTTTCAATAGTTGGAACATGAAACTTTTCTTGGTAGGGCTTGATATACTTTCTTCTCCTACTAATCTCTTGTTCAATTATTTTTTTTATAGAACTTTGAGAGATTGTTCCATATAGTTAGCAGTTATATATTTAGAGAGACTCACTGATGGTATCAATTATGAAAATGGAGAGAGCTTCGGAAGATAAACATTCAACCTTATCAAGTATTATTACACCTGTATTACATTTTGTTTTTATACACTGTATACTACATACCCTAATTAAACGTACTACCACTACTTCTTGCTAAAGTATACTTCAATCTTTCTTTCTTTTCTTTCAACATGATCAATTTCCGAAGTTTCAACCTGTCAACTGTCTTCAGTTTTTCAAATTGTTTAATTAAATCATCAACATCATCATAGTGATCAATCACTTTACTTTGTTGCACTCGCAAATTCTCCAAGCTTGATTTCCTTCTGGTTAATTCTTGCATGAGATGGTTGATAGTGTGGGTGTTTTTTCTCAATTGTTGATGTATGTTGTTTCTGAAATGTAATTTGGCATCATTTAGGTCCAGTTGGGTGGTCAATCCAAACACTTGTCGTGTAGCGATTTTATTTCGATAGCTGACTTTATTGATGGTTGTTTGGAGTAAGCCATCGCATTTCTGTAACAAGACTACACTGTCTCGTAGTGAATCAATCGAATTCGAAAGTATATCAAATGGCATTTTCTGTAGGGTAGAGAATAGTGTTTGTTTATGTTTCTGTTTCTGTTTCTGTTTCGGTTTTAATTTTTAATGTTTTTTTTTGTGATTCAAATCTCCAGATTGGCAAGTATTGCCTACTCTGACATGATCTGACACTATGTTATTGTATAGACACAGTACTACAATTAAACGCTGTTGCTAATCAGGTGATACTGCATCATTCTAAATAACTAAATCTACACTGTGCACACGCTATTAATACGGGCTCACCTGAAACATTCTACGCGCCAGGGTTGTGATAATTCTCACCCAATTTTAATTTTTCCTGCCTCTGCAAACGTCCCTCTTTGCTGTCTTGTCTCCCTGTAAATTTTTCCCTTGTATAGCTTTGCTCTGTCCAACCCTAATCAATCAATCAATCTATAAGGGACAGACCCAACTGGCACAGCCTGCTATAGCGGTTAATACATAATATACCGTGATACACCAAATCTCCAATCACACCTTTTTCACCAGCTAATGGTAGCACATATTTATATATTTTTGTTTCAATTCAATTAATTTTTAGATTCTCAGACGACCAGTACTTTTTTACGACTACACCCAACATTTTGGTAATATTTAATCATGACAGACATACCTATATCACTCGAACTATCCCACGAACCGTTTCCCAACATCGATATGAAGAAGAATGGGGCGCTATATATCAAAAACTCCCAAATGAGATCCAACATATCCAACACCGTCAAATCCAATGGAATTAAGCCGGACAAAGCTTCCGTCAAGGGCAGAAAACGATCAAATTCACAATCTCAAGTCATATCCCTACCCACCAAACCGACAAAGTATACAACTACTGAACCAACTCCTTTGCCTACTAAGCGGAATCAAATTCAATATTATGTTACTCTACTTCCATTAAATGATACATTTATCAAGAAACATTTGCCAGTAGCCATATACCCTGAAACAACAAAATTAGGTCGCCCAACAGGCACAAAACATAAACCCGATATCACAAATGGATATTTTGATTCTAGAGTGCTTTCGCGAAATCATGCTCAAATATATATTGATTCGAAATCAGGCAAGTTGATGTTGCAAGATTTAGGTAGTTCAAATGGTACTTACCTTAATGACATCAGATTAGGTAACGACCCGGTGGAAATAAAAGTAGGTGATATCGTGTGTCTTGGATTTAACGTACAAGCAGAAAGCACACATAAACAAATCAGTTTAAAAATTGACAAAATTAATGTTATTTCAAGTGGGAGCCTAAGCGATGATGGATTCGATAGTCTTGTGAATCATGGATTACGATATGATGAATTAGATTCAGCAGATTTCAAACATTTATCATTCATTGAAGATATCTATCGACAAGTGACTAAAGAGGAACAACCTAAAAAGAAGAAATCAAGTAAACGGGATTTAACGTTTGATTCGGCATTATTTGGAGATATTAATGCTAATATTGAGGATAATTTGCTTGGACTTTATTCAACTACTAATTCAGGGATTTACAATAATTCACAAATCACAAATACAACAGCATTGGAAAATATCATCAGTATATTGGTGCTTAATTTATCCCGAGTCAAACAACAAAATTCTTCATTGAATACCATCGAAAACTTTTTGAATAACTATCATTCTCGTTTGGATACATTGAACCGAAACTTTTTAAATGAGAAGTTCAAACTGCATTTGTCAAGAATAGAAGATGATTTAACCAAGGAGAGAACAAATAATGATATTCTTCGGAATAAGTTGACTACTGTGGAACGCGAATCCGGGGAAAAGTTATCTTCCCTTGCAGATCAATTAAAATCACTTGAACAAGAAAAGCATAACTTGAATGAATCTTACAAGTCCCAGCTCCAGGAATACGAAATGATGAAACAAGATTCAATGTCCAGAATAGAACATCTCGAACAAGAACGAGACTTGCTAAAACAAACGCTTGAAAGTGAAGAGAAACCTGAAGAAACAGAAGAAATTACCACTGATGATGTAAATACCGCCATTAATGGCTTCATAATGGATCTTTCAAGAACACCCTCTGTGAGGGAAACCAATCGGAAGAAACATGAAGTGGACAATTCCGACAAGGTGTCAATTGAATTGACACCACCAGTATCTGATGATGAAAAAGAGGAAGAAAGTATTCAGGCTCAAGATGTCCAAAATTCTAATTCTACCCTTGATTTAGTATCAGCTGAGATTAGTAATACTTATTCTAACGATGTGGAGCCATTTCCTAAAGTCCATGATCAAACCCATGAAGAAGTGGTGGCCGTGAAGAAGAAGTTTAAGCTTGAGAATGAAGAATTTAAACAAGTTAGGGCTATTGCTATTGCCATATCAGGTGTGCTTATTGGCTATTTTATTAGAAGATTAACTGGATAGCGTATATAACTATATATTTAACAGGGACTAACGATTTGCTAGAACACTATACTGCGATATCGGGTTTCTCTATTCTTAACTTTTTCTGTTATACACGCGATAAGAAATATCAGAAAAAAAAAATCACAAGGGTTGCCAAAATCAACTACACAAGTACCAGCAAGTAAGAACACGGGTAAAGATAATTGGAGTCATGGAAGATATAGGAGATACTATAAATACAGTGCTACACGATAATAAATATAATTATTTGATTTACCTACTTGAATTGTCGGCTCATACTGAAGTTCCAGAGAGTACGGCTTCATGGATAAATACACTTGAATTATTTACATTTGGTACAGTGTCAGACTATATCAAGTTTCAACCCCAATTCATCCAGCTTGACGAATGTTTGCTTAGAAAGCTTGTCAAATTGAGCGTGTTATCCTTGGCTAATGATCACGAAGAAGAAACAGTCTCAATTGAGGAAATCTTGTCAGAGAATGGGATTGGCCAGGGATTGAAGTTGTTGAGTACTGATGAAGTTGAAGAATCCTTGCATGAGTTAATCATTGATATGGGTTTTGAAGGGATTGTTGATGCTAAGATTAATGACCAAGAGGGATTAGTCAAGCTTGGAGCAGTCAAGTTGCTACGTGATGCATACAATCCAACTAGTTATTCATTGAGAGTATTGTCTGAACAAGACATCAGTAATAGACTGTTGCGGGTTGCGTATGACAATATAAAGTCTTGGTATATAGAGAAGTTGATACCTACAAGTCAAGAACTTGAACTGAAAGTAACGAAACTTCAAGTCCCCGATACAAAGTCAAAGAAAAGGAAATCATCCGATAACAGTGGTTAAAAATAAATAAATAAATAGTATATCATAAAACTAATCAAACCATACTAGGCCTTCCATAATTTACTAACAACATTTGAGATACCACCTTCCTTCTTTTCAATTTCGTAAATACCGTAACCAGCAAAAGCAGTACCACCCATTAACAACCACATGCAGTAAGTGTGATAAGCACCGTAGACTCTCTTTGGGATATAATCTATAATACAAGATTGGAACCCAGCAAAGCAATGGAACAACAAGAGTGAGCTCATGGCAGAATCTAATAATGTTGTGGTACCAGTGGTTAATGGAGCCAAGACTAAGGGAACCATACCAACGGCAACAATTCTTTCGGCGGTCCAATGTAAAGAACCTTCGGACTTGGATGGTGGTGGTGGAACATAAGCATCATTGACAGTACCAACAATGTATCCTGGTGGTTGAGGAATGGTCTTGATTCCTCTGATTAATGCTGGTTTAATGAGAAGTCTGGCGGATTGATTTAATCCAATGCGTGAGTAGACGGACAACATGGTGAGTTATATTCTGTAAGTACGAAAAGAAAGAGTATAATCAACGAATTTCACTCCTTAGTTTTTTTTTTCTATGTGGTTTTGGATTTCCGGGTGGTCACTGGGTATTTTTGTCTGTGTGCCCCGGAGTGTCTGCTTTTTCCGCACTGGATTATTTTCAATGCAGACATGATTGGTTGGATTTTTTTTTGGTGGTGCATCGACTGCGAAATTTACAAACTAGCGACTGCTACATAGTGTTTCACTTCTACATAGTGCTTCACTTCTACAACTACCAGTAAAACTCGGAAACTCATTACTTTTATATACAGGTATACTATTCCACATCTTCATCTTCGTATTCTTCAATATCTAATACTCTTTCCCCAAATCCAAATCTTTCTCGCAAGGGTTTGGCAAGAATTTCAATCGGCCCGTCTTTATACATAATCTTACTCCACTTCTTGATTAAATCATCATACCATTTTGTACTAACTTCAAAATCAAACACTTTCAATTCCAGTCTCAATTTTTCACATCTATTTTTGGAAGCAGTATCCTTAATATCATCATACATAGCCACCAAGTTATTCAATACATTGATTAATAAAGGCGATGCCTTAGCTGACGATTGGCGATCATAGTAAATTTCCTCAACGACTTCTTCCGACCATCCAATGGCATTTTTCTTAAATCCCTTGGCCCACATCACTTCGCTTATATGTGCACGAAGTTCACAGATGGAAATGATTAAATTTTCACGATCGCAATTAAACCAAGGAAAGTTAACTTGTGTTTTGGTTTGCGTTTCAAGGCCTTCTCTAATTATATTTAAGCAACGCAAGTTAGCCAAGTAGATTTTGAGTGAATTGCTAAGGAGTTCTTCTTTTTGTTTTTTGTTCTTGGTGGATTTGGAAGCACTGGCGTATTGGAACGCCAAGTCGTTGAGACAGTTGAGGATTTCATCGGAGATGTTACTGTTTTCGGCAAGTACGTAATCTTGATCGACGATTATGGAAGGATAGAATTTTCTCAACATGTTAATTGCTCTTTTCAAGTAGTATTGTTTCTGTTCAGGGTCGGGGGATACTTTAGCAAGTAATCTACTTCCGGCTGCCAATTTTTCAGTGTCTCCTAGTTTATAAAACAATACGTCGTCATTGATAATCTTGGACAACACATCCATAGAAACTTCCAACTGTCCCTTCGCTAATAATGCTTTTGCGTATCTCAATACAATGTCGATATAGAAATTTGAAAACTTGTTTGATTTCTTGTGCACTAAAGTGTCAGAATCAATAATTGGTACTTCAAACGGACCCAAGCTATTTTCATCCACGCTTGGATCGACTTCTTTTGCTAATTCAATCAACAATCTCCGATAGTGTTTCACGGCATATCGAGGAGATTTCAAGGCATCGTCCTTGTTAATAGCCTTGACTGCTGTGACCTGGTTTTGAAAACTTAATTCAAATGGGATAGGCTGGCGAGTGTCGGCGTCGTGATACATGAAATAAAACAGACCAAGACTGACTATACCAACACCAACATATACCCCAGCAAGAACACTCATGATGTATCGGTAGTTCTTGGCTACTCGAACACCTTCAGCTGATAATCTGATTGATCGAGATTGGATAAGTCCTGTATTGTGGAAGATTGGAGCTATCCGCATTCTCCGCTTAGCCAAGTGAGAGTACCTGATTTTGAACATTGTCGGTGTCTTGGTTGTGTATTTGGTAATTGGATTCGCTTTAGAAAAATTGTTGCCTTTAAATTTCGATGCACCGAATTTCGGTCCAAGGGTTTTCTGGGCTAGAATTTTTAGTCAGTTTGTCAGCAGCAACCAGTTGTACGATTGTTGCACACAGTTTGGGACATACCGTGAGATGACGGTTCAAGGTGTGTCTTATTCCCCTACACAGCCTGTATCTCCTCAGAGGAGTATAGGAGAGTCTACAGGGTCTACAGCAGCAGAAACCATACCTTCAAGTCATGCACTGAAAGCTACACCAACATCGAATGATCCACCCAAGCTTTCACTTCTACATAAATTCATTACCAATTGGCTAATCATGGATCCTGCTCTACTAGACAAGTATAAACATACATATGAGGAGAATGTTGTCAACTCGTCTACAAGACAGAGTCGACGAAGGAGACATATACGGAACTACCAAATTCAGAAACATAAAGATATGAAATACATATACTTTTTTGGCGGAAGGTTTCGTACAATTAAAGCAATGCCGATTACAATATTGACTGGTGCGGCCATAGTTATACCCAGTGTGCTATTTTGGATCTTTGAAGCGAGTTGGATATGGCATAATATCCATCCGGCCGCAGTTATAATGTTGAGTTATATCTGTTGGTTATGTTTTATGTTCTACTTTAAATCGTCAACTTCGGATCCAGGAGTCGTCCCGAGAAATATCCACATTCCTAAATCGCTAACCAGCAACACTGTCAAGTTGCCTCCCGAGGAGTACTTCAATACTATAAGTCTACCAGGACATAACCATTGCAAAGTTCAAGTCAAATATTGTCCCACTTGCCATATCTGGCGGCCTCCGAGAACTAGTCATTGCAGTGTATGTCAAGCTTGCATTATAAGTCATGATCACCATTGTGTATATCTAAACAACTGTATTGGCGAGAGAAATTACCGGTACTTCTTGTGGTTTTTGTTAACGGCTGTGTTATCCTGTTTGTATATGCTAATTATTACCATTGTCCATTTGTGTTATTATAGAATAGTTTCGAGTGACATCACGACATTTGGTCACTCTGTCAAGAAATACCCCGTGGCATTGTTACTATTCATTTATTCAGTTCTTGCTCTAATATACCCTTTTCTACTACTACTATTCCACATATTCCTAACAGCCCAGAATTTAACCACAAGAGAATACCTCAACTATGTCTACAAAAGAAGAAACAACACCTATGTCAACGTATTTGATACCCACAATATCTTTAAAAACCTATATATCAATTGGTTGGGTAAATCAAGCGGGGTAGCCTTGGTTCGACCTCGAGATAAATATGAACCGGGTGATCTACGCTTTGAACAAGTACTTCCTTTAGAATTGTTTACCAAAGAGTCATAACTTCGTATAGAAATAGAAAAGTCGTAAGGTTTAAATCGTAAATGTTTCCGAAATCTGTCACGTCACGTGACCGTCCATATTATTGTTTCTTTTCTTTGGTGTTAACCATCAAAGATTAAAAGCCATAGCCTGATTACGTCACTTGTCCTCCTGGCAACTACATTAATCTACATAACAACATCCATCTATCAATCTATCACATGGTCACCAACACATGATAATATCTTGATAATAGCCGTGCATCTGTCTTTACTACTGTAGCAATAAAATTCACCATGCAGCGACGATCTTCATCCTATATGGATGACCTTCTACGTCAACAGCTGATTCTAGATTCCCCAACATCAGAATTGTCTATTCACAGTGAAGACATGGTACTACCATTAGACGATGATAATTCCTTACAAACCGACACCATGACCCGGGTGATTTCGTTAGGGAGGGCCCAGACCATATACACCAATGATCGATATTTACAACAACGACGAAGAATCTTGAGTTGGCCCCAAAAGATCTTCCGATGGCTTTACTCTTTCTCGTTGGTTATCTTTATTGTGTTGCTACTTGCATTTATCAGTGTTACCCCGTTGGATGTTATTGCTCAGACTTTTGACACTAACAATTCCATTGCGGTGAAAACTTTTATTGTCATTGTGGTGTGTGTGGTGTTTATTGTTTTATCTTTGGTTTTCTACTTCTCAAGAGTGTTTCAATATAGAGTTTCCATGAATGATATCCCTAATAGGTCGTTGTATATTCCATTTGAAGGAGATTACCCTAATGATGTGTTCAAGCAAATTGACGATACCTTGGCGAAATGTTTTGAAGTTAGGGAAAAAGCAGGCCCCTTGGCTAATAGAGATATCATAAATCATCCCGGTGTATCGCCTCCAGATTACATCCAACGTCATAATCAAAAGAATGGTCTGGGCGATGGGACTTTATTGCCTCCAAATGTGCATTATGAAGATGTAATTCGAAGTTTAGGGGATAAGTTCTACATTGGAAAAATTCTCACTGAAGACGACCTCCCTATTCAGTTATCTCTTCGAGAAATCATGTTATATCTTGCCGAACTGTTTTTAGAATATACGGACGAAAGAAGGATCCCCAATCTTGTGAAGTTAACGAAAATATACGAAAGATGTCGATTTGGTCCTGATCTAATTCAAGAGCGAGATTTATTTGAATTCATGATTGAATTTGATAAATTTGGACAAATGTGTCAAAATGATTATCAAAATAAATTGCCCAAGAATCAATCAAGACGAGTTTCTAGATTTAGTCGTCGTCTGAGTACTAACTTTGATGATACCGAAGGTGGGTACATGTCGAATTGGGATTATAGCAGTGGTATCTTCTATGATAGTTCATTTGAATTACATCCTGAAGACGATGATGATGAAGATGAGGAAGAAATCGCACCACCATTCCAACATCGTGCTGTAGAAGCAAAATATTTTACAAATTTGGATAGCGCAAGTTCAATAGCGGACGAGTCACAAGAGTCGCCAGCCGGATCGATTAGAAAAGTCAAGAGGAAGGATAGTGCAAGCAGTACCAGATCGGTCATTCGAAACAAATTGGCCCTTTCCAGTAGACATACATTGCTGAGCATTAGACGAAACGCTGCCGCGGAAATGCTGTCATTAAAGCGAGAAACCAGTGGATACATCACCGACTCGGAAGCGGATTTTGATCAAGAGAGTTTTGTGGATGATAGACCTGATGAGTCAAGTCCATTGTCAGCCATGGACTTTTATGGATTTAGAAAAAGACGATCAACTTTTGTTGCCCCTGATGAAATTCAAGATAGAGATCTAAACATTTCCAATGATGAAATTAGAAACATTGAGTTTAAAAAACGACAACGATAAATTTATAGAATGTATAGATATAATATTAATAACTAATTCTGTCTAGGCTTAACTATACCCTCATGTATGAAATAGTAGACTATAGTTCCATCGTCGTTCACCACGGCAATAGCTATACGTTGAGGTGGGTTACCGTGGATCTCTGCAATTCTCTTAAACCATTGGTTAATCTCATCAACGGATAATTTAGAATTTGAGTTGGTTTTAGGAACTATCCATTCAACATCTATCTCCTTATCATCTAGTTTCTGTGGAGGTTTTCCTGAAATAGCAAACAATTCATTGCTAACTGCATGTATTACAACATCAGACCATTGGTTGTAATGTGTTAAGTTGATTTTGACTTGTTCTGCAAGCGTCAGTGTCATATCATTAGCAGCAATAACAATAGTGCCATCACTAATGAGAACACAGAACTCTACTGCAGGTAAAGAAAAAAAAGGAACCATTTCGAGAAGGTCGTGCGCCTAGGCCAACACTCTAAGTGGCTGCAAATGCCAGTGTAACACTATATCATGAGATAGTTTATTCGTCCGGTTGCTAGTTTGTTATTCATTAAGTTGGATCTTTAAGTTAAATCGCACCATGATTTAAGGGGCTGTTTATAGATTACACTTTTGAGTTTTTGGTCATTTTTGCAGAATTCTTTACATGCATTAAGGTGATTATCGGATTTAGGTGGTATTCCAACCGTCGTATCAAAAGTTGATCTAGTAAAAGTTGACAATCATCTTTCCACTCGTTTGTAACACTCACAACCATAGTTAATGAGGGAATTTCATAACGGATACTATCCGGGTATGTACGGACGTCACAATCTCGATTTACCCCAGGTTTTGTGTTGTTAAGTGTCACCACTTTGAGTTGCCTTGACAAAGTTCATTACAGAAAAGCAGATGCAGATTTCATAAACGGCGTACATATCTGTTTCATCAATCTGTTTTTATTTTACCGCCATCAACATTTAAAACTGTGCAATTTTGCCTTTAGTGCGAAATTCGGAATGATTTTCCTGAATTCGACCATTTATCCAATATCTTGCTACCCCGTAACACGGCAAAACGTTCGCCCAGCTTCAACTGCGATCTACAGATCGAGTTTAATACTATATGCATGCTTTATCCTTAGTGCATGTGTACGAGATTTGTCATCTAGGTTTTAACTATTGTTAGACGAGGTTGAGTTTCCCAATTGGGAAAAACTCTAAATAAAATATTTTTTGTGTGCTTCCTAAGCAAAATAAAAAAAATTTTCTCCATGCAGGTAATATATCACAAAGTGGAACTTGTTCAAACAACGTTTTTTAATTAATACTTCACACAGGCGATTTAGTTCTCCTGAAAAAAGCCCTACAGTTTTTTTTGTCGACAAGAAAATTTTGTCTGGCTACTACAAGCGACGCGTGTATTTTTTTTTATTTCATTTTAAACGAAAAGTGTCGGGGGATTCTAGACCCTGTATTACTAGTAAATTTCTTTTCCATACAACTCCTATCTTCCCCTCAGGTCATAATGGTCTGGAACCATATGTCGTGATACAATCAAGTTATTGTTTGTTTCATAGTATTGTTATTTGTACCCCTCTATTATACTCAGTTTCATCATTGATTTGCTCTGGATTGTTTGAATTGTATCTAAACTAGTACAATTATAAAAAATATAGACAAATTTTATGAGTTGTCCCGGTGATTTAGGACAAAATCGACAAGAAACAATAGTATCAGGACCACAGTATTGAAAAAATCGATTATGTATGAAATCTAAAAAATATTCCGATCGAGTTAATTTTTTTGTGTCGGGGTTCGAGGTCAACGGTCTTAAGGCACAACTTTTTTTTTTGCGCTAGACTTTAAATAGTACGTTAGTCTGCATAAATTCCAAAAATCGTCTGATTTTTCTTGAGCTTCTACTTCTGGCTATACTATCGTATCATTTCCAATTTACGAATAGAACGTCACCCCGTCATCTAGCACATAAGCTTTTGCAACCACAAACAAATACCAGTGCTATTTAGTGTTACACATTCTTGCCCAAACTCCAAACTAGGAATATATACCAAGAATTTTCGAAACCCTAAAAACCAAGTAGCGCCTAAGAAAATCAAAGTTATAGTTCCGCTAACAAAACCACATTCCGTATCGTCAAAATTAATTTCCCGAGATTAAAGAATAATTGCAATTCGCCCATTTCCAAGAATATTTTTTTTTAATGTATGGTATGATGTCGTTCGCTGCAGCTCCAACTTACACTTCTTTGCTCCAAAAAGAAAGGAAAAATCTTTCTTTTAAAACGAGTTTAAATTCCGGAGCCAATGCCCACGATTCTGATAACAATTCTCTCAAAACTTCTGTTACTAATAGCACCCTTACTGGATTTGACCTTGAATCAACCAATAATTCGTTTGATGAGTTTGTTACAAAAGTTAACTTAGAAACCAGAAACATTCACAACAACTACTCATTGACCAAAATGGATACTAGACAATCGCAAGATGGACCCGCAACTCAATATAGGGTTAGTTTAAGTTTAACCAAACCGGAAATTGAACTCATCAGATACACTTGGAATAAAATGTTATTGGATGATGAAGATACAACTCCAAGACCACCAAGTAGATCAACCAGTCCAGGTATCCCTGGTGGATATCCTGGAGACGAGACTCTTACACGTGATACCCAAAGCTCCAACTCCAGTACTGCCAAAATGATAAAAGCGCAATCGTCTGCCATCGCCACAAGTTTGTTTTGTCGTCAATTTTACGCCAACTTGTTATCACATGAACCTGCATTAGAGAAAATGTTTCCATCCATCAAGCATCAAGCCGTCAGTTTTGCTGCAGTCTTGTCTTTGGCAGTCATGCAATTGGAAAATTTGTCAAGCTTGGAAGATTATCTTTTTAAATTAGGTAAGAGACATACTAGAATCTTGAACATCGAACCTGTGCATTATGAGTTAATGGGTGAAGCATTAATTCAAACTTTCCATGAAAGATTCGGATTTAAGTTTAATCAAGAATTGGAAATTTTATGGATTAAAGTCTATCTTTATTTGGCCAATAGTATATTACAATTTGGTATTGACCCAGTGATGCAATATAATGAAACTCCCAATCCTAACCTGCTTGCCGCACCATCATTCACCCCATCTAGAAGAAATAGTATGGTTGATGAAATCGCTTCAACATTTGATGATACCAAATCAATGAGCACTCAAACTACATCATTGTCAACTCATATAACTGGAATGTTCAAGAGTCATAAAAATAACGGACATGATTCAAAACCGGTTCTGCCAGTAGATCCACTTCCTTATAATTCCATGATTCCATCAATTTCTCGACATGGATCACAGCCTCAAATTCGGGCTGCACCTCCACCACCTCCACAAATCAAGAAGATGCCAAAGAAAAGAAAGAGGGATTGTGTTATTATGTAGATAAATGTTTTACGTGTATTATGTTGTATAGTATAATGTATCATCGTATTTGGGTTCAGGGAAAATATAATTTGATAAACCGGTACCAAGGCACTTGTTTGCAGATTTACGTGATTGTTACTAGTAGCTGTGAAAAAAAAAATAGTATACCGAGGCTGTACACGATGGGTATGATGATGTAATATTAACGTCAGTTTTGGCATATCGATGGATGCCTTATGCCTCGGTATTACATGTTAGGCTTGCATAGTCTCAGTTGAGCATATCATTCAAATGACAGGTTTGCCAAGAACTCGAGGAAACTTTACGGCATTTCCACCTAAAGAATGTTCCGAGATGTTCCAGATTATATTAACTGATAGCGGATGATTCCGAAGTCATGATCACTTGTTCGATGATGTCACTCTAATTTCAGTAAACCATGAACCTCGGAAATGCAAATCATTGTCCGCGATTAAAAAATATTTTTTTCGAGCATTGTGTTGAGACAGAAAACATGACCACAGGGAATGCCATGCAATAACCCTAGTCATGTGCTGCGAGAGTTATGTGATCATTGGTTGCAAAACCCATGGCTGTGTTTTGACAGAATCAACAATATATAAATCCCTGTTTACCACCCTTAAGTTTAGATTAGTTTAACTTCTCATCATCAAACAATTTAAATTACTCAAATTTAACTTACACAAAACAAACTTTACGCGCTATAATACAATGTTGAACGATTACGACAATATCCCAAGAAACTCAACTGCTTCCTTAGGTGCTATGATCGCCAGAGCAATCAGAAGAAGAAAACAAAGAAAGGAGCTCTATAAGAAATATCCAGAATTGAAAGAAGAAAAGAAGTAGTTTCATTACAACCAGTCAGCATCTAATTGTTTCTGGAAACATACTTCTTGCATTGCAGTTTTATTCATTGATTGTTAAATAAAACGTATACTTACTATATCCCTCTATAAATATCTTATCAATAAATGAACTTCCATTTTAATAACCCAATTTTATTACATTGCAGTTTCACCAGGGATCATAATTTAACGCGACTTGCAGATGGTTGCATTATACCCTTTTTGTACTCGGTTGGCACAACAAAAATCGAAACAGAAGATTGAAATACTTGGTAATGTAGTATAGAATAAAACTTCTTCATAGATTTAGAGGTAATTGCACTTATCTAAATCAGTGAATGTTAGGTTGCATGTTTTGAACCCCATATTGAGGACAAACAGGTTCTGGAATGTTTTATATAGATACATTAAATAGTACAGCATTAATTTTCCGCAAAATTCTATTTCTTACTGCTTCTACCTTTCTCTTCAGTTTTAATGGTCTACTATCTTATAAAATTTATTTCATAGTATTGTTTAATTATAATTTGTCGACTATTGACACGTTCCATTAAACATCCAATAAAGTCTATTTTTAATGTAAATAGATTTATCGTTTGCTTATATTTTATTTTTTTAGTTTTTTTCATCTCTCTTAAAAAGCCATGTTCTACAAAAAGGCTTGGCGTATAGGGGACAAAACAATGGAACTTATTACTGTTGTCAATCCATCCACATAACCGTAACAAGTGCAAAAAACTAAATATATTGTGATTTAGGTTATAGGACACGTCCAGATAGTCTATATTGAGACTATTTAAAATAGTTGGAAGCCCCAACTTCGCAACAATCTCGAATTAAAAATCAAATGCTTCATATCCAACGCGGATTTCTTATTTGTAAGTACCGAAATTTGACCCCTGTCAATAATAAACTTTTTTTTATTTTTATGACATGATATCGACTCATTCTCTGACATGATTTTTGATTCGCCAAGAAAAGGTGCTCGAGAGGAAATTAAATCCGGGAGCGAATGCAAATTTAGTTTCTTGCTTTTTCATTAGCTGAACTTTAGACCGTTTGACATTCCATCTTCAAACAACTCACCAACCCAACTTATTCCCCAATTGACATGGAAACTAGATCTCAATATGGAATTAAATCAAATAAAAGTTAGTTTAAGCTTATCAAAATCGGAAATTGATATTATTAGATATTCTTGGCAAGATATGTTAATTGAAAATGAAACAACTTTCCCTAGACCAACAATTAGATCAACTAATCCTTCAATTCCTGGAGGATATCCAGAAGAATACCCCAATGAACCAGATAATCAAACCATAGCTGCAAGTGTGTCCGACAGAGTAAAGGCTAAATCTTTAGCGCGGGCAACTACTTTATTCTGTCAGCAATTATACAAGAATTTATTAGATCGCGATCATGCATTAGAAAGAATGTTTCCATCCATTAAACACCAAGCAACACATTTTGCTACCGTGTTGACAGTTGCAGTTATGCAATTAGACGATTTATCCACTTTAGACGATTATTTATGTAGATTGGGTAAAAGGCATGCTCGAGTTTTAGGTGTCGAGCCAGCACAATTTGAACTAATGGGAGAAGCTTTAGTCGAAACATTCCATCAAAGATTTGGAGCTAGATTCAATCAAGAATTGGAAATTGTGTGGATTAAATTATATCTTTACTTAGCAAACACTATTTTACAGTTTGGAATTGATCCAGTTATGAAATTAGAACAAGAACAACTTCCTGCTTATGATAATCGCGTTTACAACCAAGAAACAAATATGGGTTCTGAGCCAGATTGCCCAATGGAGGTATGGGATGTAGAGGCACCACCTCTATTGACTCCTAAGATCATTCTGGTGCCTTCTCCCACAATATATGACGATTTCGATCAAACGAGCATGGGACGAGGATACCATTCCGCATGTCCTTCATATGGTAACCAATAAACTTCATGTAGCTTTAACGGTGCCTAAACATTCATTGGACACAAAAACAATTATTATTGTTATGTAAAGTGAATTTTTTTTTCATAGTATTTAGGATGCAGCGAATAAGAAATAATTGCATATGGTTTATGTTGAAAACTTTCTGATAGTAGTAGCTCATTGCAAGTTGATCTCGATGTTGGTAGTAATGTGAGATTCATTTTTCATGTTTGCCAAGAACAAAGAAAACTTCTCGGTATTTCCAATTTTAGAATATTGCATAATATTCTAGAAAACATTAAACAATAGGGAATGATTACCAAATCATGATGATTTAGTAAACAATGCCTCGCCAATTTCAGTGAGTCTTTGTGGACCAAAAAATAAATTTTCATTCGTTGTGAAATCTTGGTAAGCCATTATCGTAAGGTTGCTAACCAACGATCCCAGTACCCAAATGTATGGGTGGTGAATGATTGTTGGAGATAATCCCAGAATTGTTATCACGCTTGAAACAAATCTACCTTTTTTGCTATTGCTAGACACCTTGGAATTCCGTGACCAACTATTCGTTTACACAAAATCAGCTTCTTAGTTTCAACAGCCTAACAGTTTGAAGGGTCGCAAATGACAGATCTAGACCTGTCAATTATTCAAGTTACAGGTGTTATACAATAAAACCCTGTTGATTCGCAGATACGAACGAGAAATAGCCTGGAATTGTGTATAATTTCTCCTCTTTGAGTTGCACAATTTCATTTGGCCGTTACTTATTTTCTTGGTCTTGAATTTAATTGGTTGCACAGTCAACCTTCCACCAAGTTCGTAAATATTTTCCTCCATCAAATGGACTAATTTCATCCTTGCTTATTAGTAAATTTCATTATTAGCCTAGTAGTGATTATTTTTTAGTCGGAAGCAGGGGCTGCATGGAAGGCGGTTCTATATTTTCTTTTTTTCTCTTCTTCTCAGTATTGTTCTCTAGGTCTAGATTCTAAAGGAATGCTTGGCTGTTACTAGAGTCGTGTGTAGGATCAAGAATAACAGTTACTTCAATCAACAAATGATTCTTTGATGTTACAAATATACAAATATATCCCCCATTGCAGTTACATGATTTTACCAGATACTCGGAGGAGACGATGTTGGTGGATCTAAAATAGTGAAAAAAAGGTTACCCTATTGGGCATAATAATGCATAAGCGTTATACGTCAATTCCGTGCATGGACTATTGTTTGGGGATGAAACTTTTAAGTTTAAGGGATGGTCTTGTGTCATTATGGAGACATATTTTAAACTTAGCCAAGAAAAGCCTCACTGAAAAGAATTTAAATACTAGAGTGATCGCAAATGCTTGTTCTCATAATGTCAATTCCGAATTGCTTATCACTACTTCAAACAAATCGCATATACAGAAATAAATAAACTACGATGATAACGGAAGATTCACACACTAGCGAGGAAAATCAAATTAAAATCACTTTGAATTTATCAGAATCAGAGATAGAAATTATTAGATATACGTGGAATAAAATGTTTTTAGAAGATGAAGGTATTGCTACCAGACCATTAATTAGATGTACAAGTCGAGACTTTCCAGGTGGATATCCGGAAGAGGGAGCCAATCCAGTTCAAGATGTCTCAAGTACAACGTCAAGCATTGCTCAAATGCTAGAGGCTAAACGTTTAGCTACTGTCACTGGGGTATTTTGCTATCAAGTCTACCAGAATTTACTGGCTCGCTATCCGGGGTTAGAGAAAATGTTCCCTTCATTAAAGCATCAAGCTACCCATTTTGCCACAGTACTAAGGATAACAGTAACACAATTGGAAGATCTATCGCAGTTAGATGATTATTTATGCAGATTGGGAAAAAGACATTCTCGAATTTTGAAGGTGGAACCGTTACCCTATGAACTAATGGGAGAAGCATTAATAGAAACATTCCAACAAAGATTTGGAACTAAATTCAATCAAGACTTTGAGACTGCTTGGACTAAATTATATCTATTTTTAGCAAACAGTATTCTACAGTTTGGAGTCGATCCAGTGATGACCTGTGAAGGTCCTCTTCATAACAACCGTGTATATACTCAGCCCACTAGTACGGATGATGAATCAAGTTCCCAAGAACTGATCAGTTTTAAAGAAAATATGGAACCTTCCCCCACAATAGACCTCGAGGAGATTATTCCAGAACGTGGACGTAAATCTCCATATGATTTGTACAAACGGCCTACGATAAAATATTCTCGTCTGCTGATGGCGGCAATGGCCACAGCTGCAATAAAACGAAAGTATCGTAAAATCTGATCATAGGAGATACCCTTTGCTATTTATTTTAGGAGTTTCAGATATAGCGGTTAATATATTTGGTTTCTGTTAAAAAAATGTAATTCTTTTTGGTACAAACTGGTTGAGGTAATGGCTTTGTTGCAAATGTTGTAGATATTTTTTTATTTTTTGAACAATTAATTTTCCATTAAACATATTTGCCAAGGAGACTTACTGGCCCTTGAAATTTCAAAACGTTCCAAGATACAAACCCCGTCAAACAATAATAAAACGATTGCCAGGACATTGATGGTTGTACGTTGAATGATATCTCGCCAATTAGAGCAGATCTTTTATGGCGGAAATACAACCCATTGTGTGAATAAAAAATATTTTTTCACGCCATTGTTCAACCCTGTACAATATTATTACCGAGAAGTCATCCCCCCGTAGCAAGGCGGACGAGTTGTCACTGGTTGCAATAATCCATAGCATGCTTGAACTGACTCAATAATACGTATCCTCTTTCCCTATGTTCTGAGATTTAAATTCTAACAGTTCCAAAACAAATTGAGATACAAGGTTAAGTCGAACAAACAAATTTATCCATATGGAAAGACCATGCCAGTATTCTAGGAGATTCTATCACTTCCTTGATATCATGACTACTAAGGCTATCAACAGGTCATGCAAAAAAAGAAATAATTTTTACAATTGTTACCTAGAACTAAAATGTGAGTGTAAGGGGGCTTCTAATTATTATTGATGAGAGTGATATTATTTCGGAACACAAACACCTTGCTCTACTACGTATATATTAATATGCACATGAACCAACCAGGCTATCAATTAACCTTGATTATACTACTAAGTACTTTAATTACATATTTCCAAGGATATCTATCGATTTGATCGTTCCGGAAATTCTTGAAAGTAGTTTCATGCACCTAGAAGCCAGAAGAGTCGTAAAATTTAGATCCAGACTTGAGTTATAGAACCAAATAAAATGTATTATCGAGTAATTTGCAAATTGTAATAAGAGTATATTTTCATCTATTTTCTCATCTTTCAATCGGACAATTTAATTTCTTCCGATCGATTTCTTCTTGTCTAGTTTAATTGGTCGAGTGCAAATGCTATACAATAATTATTAATATTTTACTTCATAGAATTGTCCAATTATATCAGTTCTACATTCGTAACCATATTTATTTTAAATCAATGAATTGTCCAATTACATCAATCATTACATTTCCTTAATATCCAAATAAATATTATTTTTTGTAGTAAACAAGGGTTGTTTATCCAAGGCGGCTTAATGTTTATTTATTTTTCAAGTATTGTTCTACATACTAAATTGAGTTCTCGATAAAAGCTCGGCTGTTTCTGAAGTCGTGTATGATCACGGATCGTGATCGCTACAATTGACACGTCAATATCTGTAGTTAAGAAGCTAGAAACATATCCTAGTCAAAGTTTCAAGAATTCATGAGATAATTAAAAACTACTAATAGATCTAAAATACAGAAAAATAGAAAATCGGTTTATTCTGCATAAATCTAACCTTTCTATATTCCACAAGTTTTATAGGCTATTATTTGGATAATATTGAAATTTAATTTATAGCAGGATATCGTGTCATTCTAGAGACATATTTTTCAATACTTTGCCAAGCAAAGAATATCGAAAAAGGGTTTAAATATTGAACTGACTGCAAACTGTGCTTTATCATGAGAATCGGTATTGAAATAGTGGATTACTTAACATTGCATCTACAATCAATTCGCGTTTAAAGCATAGCTAAATTATAATGACAGCTGAATATCCAGAAAATATCCCTATAAATCAAATCAAAGTTAGATTAGAATTATCAAAATCTGAAATTGAACTTATCAGATATACTTTAAAAATGTTAGTAGATGATGGAACTACTACGGGACCAATATCAAGATCTGCAAGTGCAAAGTTTCCAGGCAGATACCCTGAAGAAGAAGAGTTAGAAAATGAAGTCACTGATGTTCAAAGTACAATGTCAACCATGGCCAAAATGTTAGAGGCTAAATCTATAGCCACAGTCACAAATGTATTTTGTGACCAAGTTTACCAGAACTTAATATCTGGTTTTCCAGAAATCGAGAAAATGTTTCCGTCATTAAGGCATCAAGCTACTCATTTGGCTACAGTACTTAGAATAGCTGTTACGCAATTAGAAGACTTATCACGTTTAGATGATTATTTATGCAGATTGGGTAAAATGCATAGGCGGATTCTAAATGTAGAACCTCCACAGTATGAGTTAATGGGAAAAGCATTAATTAAAACATTTCAGGAAAGATTTGGAACTGAATTTAATTATGAATTAGAGAATGTATGGATTAAATTATATCGATATTTGGCAGATAGTATTCTCCAATTCGGAATTGATCCAGTGATGAACTGTGAAGTTCCGGTTTTCTATAATCGCAGTTACCCACAGCCTACAGGTCTCGAAGTTGGATTGAATTCAGAAATACAGATTATTCCTCAGAATATTATAAGGCCAACTCCAACTATAGAAAATTCGGACCAAGATATTTCGGGAAGTATATACAATTCCCTGCATAGTTTGTACAGAGTACCTAAGGTTAAAAGTTATCGTCTGCAAATGGTTGCAATGGCCAGAGCTATAGTCAAGCAAAGATATAAGAAAGAATAAAAGTTGTAAAATACAGGGAGTATAACATTCAATAGGGTCTATGTTTGTAAACATTTTATTGTAGCTAATAGATATTTGTGTGTTCAAGTTAAAAGCGTAGTATTGTCATATAATATTCAAAAGTAATGAATGGGCGAGGGTAGTACCCAACTTTTTAGATTCTATGGTCTATAATATAGAAAAGGGATTGCTTAAGAACAAAGGAAACTAGTTGGTTCCAGAATACAAACCATTCCCGAGTCATGATTCCCGGTCAATTATATCGGATCTGTTCTATACAGTCCCGTATGTATTGCGTTGTCTTTACATAAAAAATATTGATCTAAAATTATTTAAATATTGAAATAATTTAGAGCATTTTTTTATTTTTAAAATGCAATATGTATAACGAGCAGTAGGACACGGGCTCTTGAAGTTTTGGAACCATTGATTACAAAACCTAGAACTGTACTTGATCGAGCAAAGAATATATAAATAGCTGAATCCTCTCCTATATTCAAGGATCCAGAACGCACTCATAATCAAACAATTTTAAATACTGAGGATTAACGAGCACTATTAACATGATTTACACCCTAACTTGTTAAACATTAGGACAATATCCCAAAAAAATACACCGTTAATTAGGAGCTATGATTGCTAGAGTGATCAGACGTAGAAAACAAGCAAAGGAGTTTTACAACAAACATTCAGAGCTAAAAGAAGAAAAGAGGTAGTTCCAAGAAAATTTATCAGCATCTAATTCTTTCTTAAACTGTTGCTTTCAAACCCTGATTATTATATTCAACATATGTTTACTATTCAGCTCTACGTGTTTTATTAAATATGTTAGAAATTTTGATTGTACTATGCCAATATCTTTATTTGAGGCTTGTACAGGGTGTGGCTAAGTTCCATTATACTTACAGGTAAACTTCATCTTGTGCCTTCTCTGGATTTCCTAAGAGCCGTTTAAACGATGAAACTGATCCTCAAATATCATTTTATTGGGATAATAACCTATACGAGTCACAAACCCTTCAACATAGTTGAGATCGATTGAAGAATAGTTAATTATTTCTTACTGGACCTTTAAGAAAGGGTTCTAGCTTTTTTTTTTTTTTTTGCAAGATACTAGTAAGGGAGGATTTAGATATGGCTAAAGATGCGAAGCTCTAGTTTCTCCTGTTTCAGATGCAAATTCTAATTTCAAGTTGTCTGATTACTCCCTCACATTATGTTATTGTCCTCCAGCTGCAAAGTATTTCAAGTTATTGTATTACTCAACCAGCTCTTTCTCTATTATCAATTATCAATAAACAATTATTGTTCATTTCGAGGCGGGCTCGTTTATTTATGCTGCATCAAACGAATCGCGTAAGTTTTTCTAAATTTCTATTCATATTACTTAGATATGTTTTATTCAAACGTTTGGCCGTTTTTAAGTCATATAGTGTCAAGAAGTTACTAATTGTTACATTCTCTGCTGAGGGTAAATATCTAGTTGCTATTACAACAGTACTAAAGCAATACTTTTGTGCATAAAGATTGGAATATATAACCCAAGATGAATCAAGTTAGGGATCTAACACATTTAAAAATAGAATGTTTGCTAGAGAGAATCTCCGCATACGTTTAATGAGCTAAATCTCATGCACAGCTTCCTACACGGGCCTATTGTTTGTTTATTCAACTTAATCCAGAATATTAACTTTTATTTTATGACAACGTATCCATTATTTCTTCCTCGTATGTGCCACCCAAGAGGAAACAGTATCAGGAAAGCCATTAAAATATTTTCATTCTGAAAATAATTCTAATGATACTAGTTCTGACTTTAGTTATCTACAAAACTATAGATTAAATTACATCTACTACAATGGTAACCGACCAACCTCAAAAGTCTCACCCAGATCAACTCAAAGTCAGCTTAAATTTATCAAAGTCTGAAATTGACCTAATTAGGCTCTCTTGGAATCGAATGTTAGTAGAGGATACAGCAGCTTCCACTAGACCACTACCCAGGTCTCATAGTCCAGATATGCCAGGGGCATTTCCCGAAGAAAATGAACTTCCAAATGGAGTAAATGACCGTCACTCTAGCTCATCAAGTTCTACTGGAATTCTACTGGCCACATCATTAGCTTCATCAACAAGTTTGTTTTGCTATCAATTCTACGAGAATTTGCTATCTCGTCTGAGTAACTTAGAGATAATGTTTCCATCATTAGAACACCAAGCTACCAAATTCGCCACGGTTGTAACAATTGCCGTTATGAAATTAGATGACCTATCAAGATTAGAAGATTATTTGTGGAAATTAGGAAAAAGACATAGCCGAATTCTAAGCATTGAACCTATTCACTTTGAAATAATGGGAGAAGCGTTGATCCAAACTTTCCATGAAAGGTTTGGAGCTAAATTTAACAAAGAACTAGAAGTTTCATGGATCAAATTATATCTTTTTTTGGCAAATAGTATTTTGCAATTTGGAATTGATCCTGTTATGGATTGTGAAGGTCCTGTTTGCAATTATCGTGTTTATATACAACCCAACAGTATGCCCATCGAACTAGATTTGGCACCACCAACGAGTACGCAGAACATTATACTACCATGGAATGTATATAACACCCCAGAACTGAGTCCACTTCCACCTATAAACACACATTCTAATCCCGCTGCTGTCCCTCCTTCTGTTCCTACTACAGCTCCTCCTCCTGTTCCTCCCCTTCCTGATGCAGCTCCTCCTACCACTTCTTCCATTCCACCTTCAGCTCCAGATCATCATCATCAAGATCTTAAAAATAATAAAAGTGGACAGAATTCTTCACAAAGCTCAAATAATACAGATCAAAAGAGTTCACGGAGTAGGCGTTCTTCGCAGCACTCACGCGCACCACCTCCTAGACCTGTTGTACATCTTTATCCAGCGATGGCCGCAATGGCTCAGAAAAGAAAGAAGAAAAGATCAAAATGAAAGAAGATCATATATATATATATATATATAGCGGTAATGTTTGATGAATGTTTACTTGTAGTGATTAAGACAATGTTGGTGTAAGCTAAATTTTGTTATATTAATCTTTGCATTTTAACAAGCTAACGTCATTGAGGTCTAATTCATCTGTTTCTGAAATCTATGGGAAAGATTTTCCGATCAAGAAGGTTTCCAAAAATGATGAAAACTGCACAGCAATACCTGTTCTAGTATACTCATTATCCTGCGTTCAATAATGATATAAATTCACTGGAAATTATAGTCTCCTCATTGTCTGCGGGTAAAAATGATTAGTTCTATATTTGTTAAACTTTGAAAATATTCCGCGAAATGATCCGTGGGTGGTGTGCTACTTGTAGAGTAGAACTGATTTCAAGGCTCAGGTCTTTACTTTTACCAAATCTAACAATATCTGACCGGTTGATTCTTTGTCATATTTCAAAGGGTTATGGTAGTCTAGGTTATCAAGAAATTTAAGTCACTAATCTAAATAAATTTTAGCACTATAAAATGTTGAACAATTGTGATAGTATTCCAAGCAACTGAATAGTTATTTAAGTGGCCATATAGCAAAAGTTATGAAAAGAAGAAAGAAACGAAAGGTACTTTGCAAGAGATGCCCAGAATTAAAGAATAAAAAAAAGCCGTTTTTAAGCTAAGAAAAAAAAATTAAGACGCAAGGAGGAAACAGTTGCTAGAGACTTGTGTGTCCCTTTGATACTTGTATCGTTTATGCTTTGATTGTTGCAGAATAAGTTCTATATATAGTTTATCAATAAAACCGCTAGAAATCAATTTTAATTATACTGTACAAATATTTTTATTAGATTCTAGTAGTTCATTGAGGGTGGGGCAAGCTTTAACTTTATTTGTAGTATATTAGATAAAGTTGCGGGATAATTTCCTTTTGCGCTAAAATCGTATTGGGTTTGTCAGAGTAAACCCGGAGAAATCAAGTTCATATACTACCCAGCTTGAACCACTTTCGATTTGTTCAAACCTGATCCCGCCCCCTTTATTGTTCACCGACATCTCAAAAAAGTTGTAAATTTAAATTGTATTTCGCCCTAAAATCATGATTCCATAAGATAAGGTTTGTGATTATTTTTTTCAAGATACGAATGAGGGAGTCGCCTAATTTAGATTTAGCTGATAATACCCGAGAAACTCCTACCTGCTCTCACTGCAACATGCAACTCTCATATCTTGCATTCTGATTCTTCTCTCGCGTTATTCTAATGCCCCTCATTTCTAAATATTTCACGTTATGACATTGAACGATACTTCCCCTTATTAACAAAGCTTATCAGGGACCAAATATAGCTTAGTTTGAGGCGGATTAGGTTTGTTAATGCTGCATCAAAGCGAATCGCTTAACATTCTCTGATTTATGTCTATTACTGAGATATGTATTATTTATACGTTTGTTTGTTTCTATAGTTGTGGTGCTGTCAGCACTAAGCTACATTCTCTATTGAGGAGAAAGATCTAGTTATTATATAATAAGACTAAAGTATTATAGGTGATCTTGAAAACTAATATACAGTAATAAAACAAAAGACAATTAATACATATATCCAGTAGAAACAAAAAAAAAAAAAAGTACGCTTATGGCGAATCTCCGCCTAAATCAAACGAGATAAATTTCATGCATACCCCCTATACGGATCTATTGTTTTCACAATTTAATCTAGAATATTAACTTTTAATTTATAATAGGATATCGACTGATTCTCAGATACATTTTTCATTGGATCGACGACAAGAAATGTTTTGAAAGCAACTTAAATACGGTGGTAATTTTTCAGCTTTGAGAATAATACTATTAATACTGATTTCCGGCTATTCTTTATTCGTTATAAATCTCTCCAAATATAGTAATTGAATTATACTACACAACAATGGTGACAGAAAAACTTCTAAAATCCCCTTCTGATCAACTTAAAGTTAGTTTGAATTTATCGAAGCTAGAAATTGACCTTATCAGGTTCTCTTGGAATCAAATGTTAATGGAAGATACACTAGCTTGTAATCAATCGTTTCTTGGATCCCCAAGTCCAAAAATTCCTGGTGGTTATTGTGAAGAAGACAAGCCTCCAATTGAAACCCCTGATATCAATAGAAGAGTATCAAGCTCTAATGAAATCTTACAGGCTAAATCTTTGGCTGCCGCAACAAGTTTGTTTTGCTATCAATTCTATGAGAATTTACTATCTTGTGAGCGCAATCTAGAGATAATGTTCCCATCATTACGACATCAGACTACCAGCTTTGCTGCAGTTTTATCAATAGTGGTTATGCAATTAGACGAATTAACAAGATTAGAAGATTATTTGTGGAAATTAGGAAAAAGACATAGCCGAATTCTAAGCATTGAACCTACTCACTTTGAAATAATGGGAGAAGCGTTGATCCAAACTTTCCATGAAAGGTTTGGCACTACATTTAACCAAGAATTAGAAGCCGCGTGGATAAAATTGTATCTTTACTTGGCAAATAGCATTTTACAATTTGGAATTGATCCTGTTATAGAGTGCAAAGGCCCCATTTGCAATTATCGTGTCTATACACAACCCGGTGTTAATCCCAGCTTGGGTTTGGAACCACCTGCAAATGCTCAGAACAATATCTCATGGAATTCATATAATCCACTCTCACCTCTGAGCATCCCCCCATCTATCAAAACACCACGTCCTCCACCACCTCCACTACCTCCTATTTCTCCTATCCCTTCTCCTGCTTTAGACCTCCGAGATCAAGAAAGTATATCTAGTGAACAAAATTCTTCATCTTCACACATTTCAGATAATCAAGATCAAAAAAGTTTTGCAAGTAGAGGGTCTTCGCAGCGCAGACACAGAACTAAAGCTATTTCACAATATCATCCACTGGTAGCTGCAATGGCACGGTATAAATATCGCAAGAGATAAATCAAAGGAAATAGTATTAAATAATTATATATAGGAATTATGTTTAATGAATGTTTACTTGTGTTATACAAATCTTAGGGTTCATTTTGTAGTCTCTACGGAATCAATTTCCAGAATATCAGGGTTGCCAAGTAGACACAAAAACTGTTCGGCAATTCTTGTTCCAGAATGTTCGAAAACATTCCATAAAATATTAAATAATATTGGATGATTCCCAAGTCATGACCATTTGTTCCATTAATCAGAAATTCAAGCTTCCGGATTTTTTTGTCATTGTCCGTGCATGAAAAAATATTTCTTATTTCATTGTTTAAGCTTTAAAATTATGACCCGCGGGTCACGAGCTCTTGGTAAGATCATATCATTGGTTGCAAAACCTATGGCTGTGCTCAAGAGGTATGACGATATATAAGGGGGTGATCCCTGCGCTTTGTGAAAGGGTCCAAGGTTTTTTCATCATCAAACAATCTTAAATACTCAGATTTAGTTTACATAAATAATTTTACTATACGCGCTATAAAATGTTGAATGATTACGACAATATTCCAAGAAATTCCACTGCCACTTTAGGTGCTATGCTCGCAAGAGCTATCAGAAGAAGAAAACAAAGAAAGGAGCTTTATAAGAAATATCCAGAATTGAAAGAAGCAAAGAAGTAGTTTTATTCACATAGGTAATCATCTATACAAAGATGAGACGAATTAGTTCTGGAAACGGCTCACATTGCTATTTATACATGGATTGTAATAAATAGGCATATTTTGCATATTAAAAACTCTATAAATATATTATGAATAAATGATCAATAAGTTTAAAATTTGAAGTGTAGAAGCTACAGTTTCATATGTAAATTCATTCTAATACATCTTAATTGAACACATAGAGTCTTTTTCGTTAGGGGATGCAGAGACATGGGGTCAAGTTTTGCCCCCCTGTTTCAACAAGGGATTAAATTTTACCCCCTTGGTTGCTAATCTACAGATCTTATTGTGAACTGAACTTTCGCAGCCAAGAACAAGAACTATTTTTCTGATAGGTATTATGCACGAGAACTAATTTTATTGATGATACAAAGACTCGCTTAAATACTTACTTAATACGGAATGATATTATGTATGATGGGTTATTGAAGTGAGTACAGATATCCCTGAATTGACTACCGAGTAAATCCACTTTAACTTATTATTGTTTATGACCCCATCCCATAGCAGAAAAAAATATTTTAAGTACCAAAATACGATTTTGGTACGTCAATTTATATTCTCGTCAATCTTTTAGTTTGCAACGGTAATAATCCCCCTTTCAGACGCTTGTGTGATTTTTTTTGGGGGGGGAGGTGGCTTGTACTTTTTAAAAAATAACACTGGTATTATTAAAGCAAAATCTAGGACCCCTTTTGAAATATGACAAAATTGGTTGGTAATAGTTGATTTCCCCATTTCATCTTCAGACGAGCAAATTAATCATGCTATTTTTGAATATGTGTTACATACACACGTTAAGGTACGGCTCCATCGGTAGTGCATTTTGGTTTCTTGCTATCCATTTTCCTGCCTTTCGGTTCTCTTTAGACGTCTAGAATCGCCCTTGAGTAATTTCGAACATTAGTTACGTAATTGCTTGGCCCCTATTCTTAACAGCGTGTCAATCATAAACCAATAAAACTTAATTTAAAAGTACAGAGGTGTAAATTGTGTTTACACAATATGCATAGCGGTAGTGAGGGATTTTCATATTCCTTCTCTTATGTTATAATTGAACATTTAACTGTTTTGGGGGCTTGTGGTTTCAAAGAAGAGTACGCATTTCACTTCACTTTTACCTATTTATTCAATGGACCTCGCTGACAAGTTTTACAATTCAATTGAGCCAACAAGGGTTAAAGATTTTGCAACCACTATACAAACAATTTGGATAATTTAGAATATTCTAATCACAGAAACAGCACAGAAAATTTTTCACTGTTATGGTTTCAAGAAAACCAACACTTCGTCCTAGGACCCATCCTTATAAGGTGAGCTTAAATTTAAATAAATCAGAGATCGAACTTATTAGGTATACTTGGAACACATTGCTAGTAGAAGATGAAGGGACTACACTTAAACGTCAGACTAGACCACTGAGTCCAGATTTCTTATGTGAATGCACTGAGGATATTACCCCAAGATCAAGTGAAGATCTGTTTGATAGTCAAGATACAATCACGGGCATGGCTCGAGTGATCAAATCCAATTCTACAGGAATTGCAACCAGTTTGTTTTGCCGCCAATTTTATGCCAATATAATAGCCCGTGATCGTGAAATGAAAAATATATTCCCATCTATAGAGCATCAATCTCTAGATTTAGCTTCAGTGTTGACCATTGTGGTTTTGCAATTAGATGATTTGTCCAGTTTAGAGGATTATTTAATGAAATTAGGTAAAAGACATACCCGAATTTTAAACATTGAACCAGTTCATTATGAAATATTAGGAGAGGTTCTAATTCAAACTTTTCATGAAAGATTTGGAAATAAGTTCAATCAAGAATTGGAAATTGTTTGGATTAAGTTGTATCTTTTCTTGGCCAATTCCCTTTTACAATATGGAATTGATCCTGTGCTCAACGTTGAAAAAGAGGCTGTTGACCTTAAGCGTGTTCCCACGCATATGAGCACCTCGTCCGTGAGAACCGAGAAAACTTTGGTAGGAAGTCCCAAGAAAGGATTGTATCAAGATGAAAAAGCTGAAAATTCAGATATCGATAGTGTTACAAATGAGGTAAGTGAGGCAAGTGCAGTCAAGTCAAAACATACCACTCGACTACCCACTGGAACTGTACATTATCACCCACTGGTGGCTGCAGTTGCTCGGGCTAGGGCGAGAAGGGGGTATCTTCGTAAATGAAATTGTTGTTATCTATGGGTTTGTATTTATGTGTATTCTGATGTATTGTATTTTACTACGGTAATAAGCAATCTATTTTGCTAGGTTCATATGATTGCCTATATTTGTGCGAACAAAGCTAGTTTCTGTAAGCTAGCCTTCCGGTATGACAATTTAACAAACAGAAATATTACAATGTTTACTGCTGGCATTGTATTGGCTACAGAGAGCTATCTTGTCATCACGTAATAGAATTACAAATACCCAAGTAAATTTTTTTTAAAAAGTACAATTATTTTCTTGTTTGACATAATTAAACTTCTCCTGGAGTTAGTTTAAGCTGTTAGACATGACATCCCCTTCTATTGACTTTTAGAGAGGCAAGTACAAGTATAATATTCACTATTGCGGAGATTTGTGCCAAGGAAGCCGTAATTCTGCAAAGAGTATTATGCATAATCAGATGAGATCAGCATCGTCCATTGTTTATGTAAGTTTGGCTGACGTACCCCTGATTTCATTCACGAAGAATTGTAAACAAAATTTCCCTTTCGCAGCCGGTCGTCATAATAAAGGAGATTGCTGTGTGCACCTCGCAAGAAAAAAAAATTATTTTTTTAACTGAAAGGAGCTAAATTATTTATTCTTTTTTTGCAGCAGACGCGTCACAGCACTAAAACCACAAAACTTTAGATGTGATAAAATCCTCGGAATCACGTGAATGGAATGAACCAATATGTTCTAATCATACCAATTGTACTAAACTTTAGTGTGCTGGTAGTATTACTCTTTTATTCTAGCAAATGCGCTAAAGTTTCTGTTACTGTTTGATTGGTGTTTTGTTATCACGGTACAGTTCAAGTACGGAATTTGATCAGAAATGTAGGAATTTCCTAATTGGGACGGGCTTATTCCTGACTCGTTATTTTTTTTTTCTTTTCATTTCTCTGAGCGAGAACAATTAATGAGTTTTCTTAGTATTTAGTACAAAGAAATTTTACCTGTTTCCCCAAAGTTCCTACAGCAAAATCCTCGACCAGAGTTCTGTGTTAATACCTTATCCACCACCATCCTGATAGAGTCCATTTAACATAGATTTACTGCTGCAAAAGAACTTACATTTCCTTTTTTTTTTGCGTATCGTCGTTTTAACATTGAATGTGTGTTGGTGTGGGAGAGAAAAAGTCCAGAATACAACCCAAAATAGCCTGCTTATTTAGATTTCACCTTATTCTATTGCAAGCATTACATATATATCATAGATAGTTTTTAAAGGCTTGACTAGCATATTCAAAAAGAAACTATCAGCATGACCACAAACAACTCGACCTCGTTTGACGAGTTCTTTTCCGATGATAATTTCTACAGTGCATCCATTACAAATTCTACCAACAACCATGTTAACAACTTGAGAAATTCAATTCATATTAAATATTCCGCGTCATCTAGATCAATAAGGGACTCATTACTAGAACCGAACAGTACTACAACCACTACCAAAGCTCAGAATCAAGCAAATACACGAACATCGTTCATGAAGGCCTCTCCATCGATTAAAGCATTAGAGAATATTCTTAATGAGAAAAGCAAAGGGTGGACCAACCCAAATGCTGCCATGACTGAGTTGAAGGAGGAAGAAGAGGAGGAGGAGGATCAAGAAAAAGATAAACTCAGCTCTAGTAATCTTTTGGCACCTTCGTTTGTTTATCATAACAATGAAACTCACTCAGTGCAAACTTTTGAAACCGCACATGAATCAATTAATAAACCCGAACCTAAAGCACATGAACCAGCTCGTCGATCCGTGTCTACCGAGGATGACTTCGGTTATAGCACTGATGAAACACCTGTTTTACAACAACCACCCACGTTTCAAAATTTCACACCACATTCAAATAACTCACCACAATTGCGATTTATTGAAACTGCAGGTCAAGTTGCAGCCCCAAAAACCGATTCTTCTAAGGAAAACGTAAATACTAATATAGCAATTACAACTGCTTCATCCAGCAATGGTAAAAATAGCACAAACGGAACCAACAAAGAAACCGGCAATAAATCGCTGAATTGGGCAAGCGGCTTAAATTCTAAAAATACCAACAATAGAGATCAGGAAAATTATTCCAATACGCCGAGATTTATAAAAATGCCAAACTACCCCCCTTCTCCGCCACCTCCGCCACCTCCGCAGAGCTATAAGTCATTAGTATCATCCCAGTTGGATCTGCCAGTTCTGTTTCCCCCACCACCCACAATGTCAGCTCTTGTTTCGTCCCCCTCGGCACCTAGTCTCACCGGAATGAATGCGAGCCCTGCACTTAGCAACCACCAGAAATATCCGCTCACCAATAGTCCGTTGTACACTACCAACAATAATTCCCAAAACATACCACGAGTGAGTACAAGTACGGCCATCACTGCACAACGTCCCAAGCAACAACATAAACAATCATCCAGTTCGGTGAGTTCACAATCAATTTTTTCTAAAGCGAATAGTACCAAGGGGTCAAATATTACCGATACCCCTACCGAACTTAAAAAACCAAAAAGTATGTTGGATATACCTAATTCACCAAGGGAACCCCCGGTTACAAAATCGCCTCACCAAAGATCCAATTCCTCGTTTTCCTTGAACTTTAAAAAGGCTGCTACTTATGCGAACCCAATGGATAAACCGGCAACTCCGAAACCATTGAACAGAAAGAGTCAAACTTTTGATGATTTAAAGAGTTTTACCCAGCAACAACAGTCGCTGTCAAGTGCTGCTCCGGAAAAGAAGAAATTCAGTTTCAAGTCATTATTTAAGTCTAAATCAAAGAATCATGCTTTGAATGAACAAACTCGTGAAGTTCAACCACCAGCTGAACCCAAGAAGATCCGTTCCAAATCATTCTCCACATCCAATATTGCCATGTTTAACGAAGTTGAAGAGAAGCCACAAAAGCCATCATTTATCAATGTGTTTAAGAAGAATAGATCCTCGGATAATTTGGCCAAGATTGGGTCCAATGCAGAAAAGAGTTCAGAACCAGTACCACAACCCCCGGCTCAAACACGCACCAGTAAAGACGTTGAGTCATTCGATTCCCGTCCTTCCAAAGCTCATTCTGCTAATATGATTCGTGAAGTCAGTGATGATGATGTACGTGTTGTGACTGATGAAGAACCAACAGCCATACATGAAGGATCAGATGAAGAAGAGTATGATTCCAAGAATCTTTTGCATAATCCACCTCGTAAGCTCACGGGCGGTAACAAGTTTGGTGAAGAAATGACGTTCCTGATTCCACCTTTGCTTACTGATTCTCCCTTGGGGTCTCCATTCCAAATTGATTTGGATACATCGCCTCGACTTGGAGTCGTCAGTAAAACACCCATTGACAGTCTTGTTTCATCGGGGAAAAATTCACCTGGTCCTTCAGGCAAGAATCTTGAAGCTAATCTCTTAGGAGAAGCCTTGTTTCCTAAATCACTTAATCCCCAAGAAGTTGAGAGTATCGTTACTTTAGAAAGATCAATGTCGATGAAATCAGTCAAGTCTAAACGAAGTTCGTTTGTCAATGGTAATAATGATGAACATGTGGTTCAATATAATGGACCAGTGCACACTCCCGGTGGTATTTCTCGATCAAACTCAATTTTGAAGAACTCGACCAGTTGGAGAAATAATTTGAGTCAAGAATTGGCCAGTGTGGATGGCAAGCTTGCTAGTGCCAATACCTCAGCAGTTAAGCCTGAGAATGCCATCTTTGCTGCTAGTAATAATGATAGTATGGTTGATGATCTTTTGGAATTTAGTGACTTTATTGATGTTGATAATTTAAGTTTCTCCAATTCTCCAAAGTATATCACCCGACCAGGATCAGCTACACCTGTGCAAGCATCGCCATTAGAGGATAGATTCCCAGTGCAAGCATCATCTCCATTAGCTGAGAGGTTCCCTAAGGAAGAAAAGGCCAAACCCATCATACCTGAAATTGTCACTACTGATACGTCTAAGGATGATACTGCTTCTCCGAACATAAGTGAATCACAGACACCTTCTCCATCAATGGAACATGTCATGCCTAAATCAAGTTTGGAAGAGGAGCCTGAGTTTGAAGAGAAGCATAGCGGGTTAACCAATACAATTACTGAAAAGAGGGATGATAAGATAGAAGAAGAGAAGAAGGAGCGCGATGAGAAAGATGAAGATTCTAATGTTCTTGAACAATCACCGATTTTGGAAACAGCAATCAGAAGTGGCAGTGCCAAATTCAACAATCGTCCAATTTCCATGTCATTTAAAGGGTTGAATGCGCCTTCCTTCTCAGGTAAATTGAACCAACAAACTTTGAGAAATAGCGAATCGCATCAATCTTTTACGATATCTATAGGTGATGATGAATCTTCATCTGTTGGTGGAGGTTTTGGTTCTAGCGATGGCGAAGACGACGACGACGATGATGATGAGGACGATAATGTTCTGTTTGATAATGAAGATGAGGTGTTCCATTTAACACAAGCACCTGTGCCTCCAGTAGTGGCACGTACTACCACACCACCTCCACTCCCACCAAAACCACGATTCCGTCCAGGTAGTATGATTCCACCTGCAGTTAAATTCAGTCATAACAAGATCCCATCAATCTCGGACCAATCATCAATAAATTCAGCATCGTCGCCTCGATCAATCACGTCGATGATGAGGTGGAAGAAGACCAGTCCTGTTAACCCCAAGATGAATGGCGTGAGATTCAGTTCGAGAATCATCTTGTATGACACGTATAATGAGGAGGAGTATGATCGTCACCCTGACACGGCCACATGTAATCAATTGACACCGATCTTGGCCCAGCAGATTAAGGAAGAGTTGAATACTTTCAAGAGCGAGATGGATATCCATGTTGAATCAAGGTGTTACACTCATTTCTTTTAGAATATATATATATATATATAATTTAATTAGATTATGTTAATGATACAACTATATAGATCAATTGTGTAGATTACAGTTGTTGTTGCTTATGGGTTTCCATGGCACTTTTGAAGATTCTATCTAAAGTATCATTGTCTTTAGGATCAATTTGGGCCACGACAGTTTCCGGAGTTTCCATTATAACAACCACGTACTTCCCATCGCGATGATCAACACAGGTGGTTTTCGCCCATGGAGCAAGGTCGTATTCTTGAAGGGTTATAATTGGAGGATTACCGTTGACGAATTCAGGATAGCTCATTTTGTTGCTTGTAGTGTATAATCTCGAGGATTGTAGTTTTGTGATGAGGTGAAAAAAATTAGTGTTTGAAAATTAACACTAGCATACACAACAAGCAATACCCAATGATGTCAGTCGTAGTGCCAGGCCAATATATCACTCCCGTATACAAACTAGACGAGTCTAGTCAACGTCCGTTGAAGTTTTCTCCTGGTAGAGGAACCACCATTTCTGATATAACCACCGATACCAACACCACGAAGTCCATCCCCGTTATAACATCAACCATACTCGGAACCGTCCACATTAAACAAATAGACACCGATGATAAGGAGTTTACCACCAGCATTGTCACTGTTGTTCCCAAAGGACAGACATTCATTGAGGAGTCCGCCGATACGGAAACTTCGATTAATTTACCAAAGGAGAACGATGTGGTGTTGATTAGAATTACCAGGATCTCGCCTAAACAAGTATTTGGTGAGATCATCTCGGTGGAAAGAGCCAATGGAAGCGGCGGGAATATCTTGGCAGATTCAGGAGTAGGTGCCAATGGAAGCACAGCTCATGCCCTGATGCCACCTGGTTCAGCAACCACCATCACCCAACATGCATTCAACCAATCGACAATTGCCCTGTCTTCAACCACCGCCATTCAAGTGCCTGATATTGGAGAGAATTTCCGTGGGGTGATTCGATCTCAAGATATACGATCTACTGAAAGAGATAAAGTCAAGGTAATTGAAAGCTACAGACCTGGAGATATTGTTCGAGCTGTGATTATCTCTCTTGGTGATGGGTCGAACTATTACTTGAGCACTGCTAGAAACGATTTAGGTGTTGTGTTTGCCAAGAGTGAAAATGGTGCTGGAGAGTTGATGTATCCTATAGACTGGGAACACATGATCGATATCAAAACAGGAGAGATCGAAATGAGAAAGAATGCCAATCCGTTTGTATAAGTTTTATTATATATGCACATGTATCTAAGCTATCTATCACGCAAATCTATATCGTACCAACAGGATGTTTAATTTCAGAATCGTCACCTCTTAAATCAACTTCACTTAATCCAACAACACCGCCAAATAGTTCGAACCGTTCCATGTATTTTGCCTTCTTTTCCTGACTGATTTCAATCATTCTCCTCCAGTATTTGTCGTGGTTGTACTCGAAATTGACCTTACCGTTGAAGTCAACGTCTAATTGTTCTACAGGAACGTATTTTTCAAATGGCTCGTCGAAAACCAACTTTTCTCTGGTTAATGGATCAATAAATGGGTGAATAATCTTCAAAAATGTCCATCCTAACCATGGAATATTAGTAAGCAAAGCCTTGCCTAATCTTTCTGGATAATGGGTTTGTAAAATATGTAAAACTTGACGACCGACACCTACTGGGGGGATCTTCCCACCTTGAGTGCCAACAGGATGGGCCTTGAAGTCTATTAACAATGCAAGAGAGTCTTGACCGGAGGGCATATAGTCAATGACTCTTTCCAACAGATAGACTAAATGTTCCACTTGACGTTGACTAGTCTTTGTGTTTTGTCTCCCTGGTTTCAAGTAAAGACAAGGACGGGAGTCGTTGTCATACCCAAGAATAACTTCTTTACCGGTTTCGTTTTCAATACTAGTAGTTTCGCCGTTGACCTTGTTTTGGTTTTCCATTGCTTTGTCGATACCGAATTCACGTCTCCAAGCAAGGGTCAATTCAACCCTGTTGATTGCGTCTTTTTCGTTCCACTTGGTGGCACGCAAGTATCTCAAGAAACATTCTCTAGTAAGCCACGACTTTTCGTCATGGGTTAATGGTTGGTATAGTTCGGTTTTCTTGTGGTTATGGGTATCTTCGCTGATGGCAACTTTGAGATCTTCTTGTTGGAAATGATGCAAAACTGCCAAGTACTTTTCCTTTTGTTCTGCGCTGAGTTGTGGTTCTTGGGGGATGTGGCTCTTCACGGAAGGTTGTTCAAAGGGGTAGAACACCTTTTCCGATTCAAAGTCTATCTTCTCATTGATGCTTGAATCTACGGAACCAGAAACTTCTTGTTCGGTGGATCTAACATCACTGGCTTTCAATGATGAGGAACTTGTTGGTGTCAAAGATTTAAGCTTCAATTTGCTAAGCATGATGAGTGGATGAAGAGGAGATAAGAAACACTAGAAAAAGAAAGATAAAGAAATGTGTGGTTATATATTAATAATTAACAAAGGGGGATACAACGGGTGCAATGGAAAAGGAAATTGGCCCGAAAGTAGGAAAAAAAAATAAAAAAAAATAAAAATAAGAAAAAAGAAAAGACGAAATTTTTTTTATATCCGATCGGAAATACCGTTCATTCGACGCAGGACGCCCCCCCTCTCCCATTGTTATTTGTCCAGTATTCGGGTTTAACTCGTACCTAATATAAGCCGGGTGTTTCAACACAGTTTGATAATTGTATCATGCGCGTCTGGCGTGATCTGTCTAAGTTTAATTCACAACGCGGTTAGGTGGCCCCAGGTTTGATCTACACCTGTCGTGTAATCTGTCTCTTCCCCCATCCCCGCTTCGTAAAATTCTTAAATTCTTGGGGTGATGGCTAATATTCCGCCGTACATTGTGTGTTGCGTTAGCCACCATCACATTAAATTTCAGGTCTATCGATTGATCAAATAGTATTACGTACGTGGTAATGGTAACTGCACTCAACTTCTGACCAATAACAATCACTCCATTTCTCGTAGCAAGCTAATATAGACGTAAAGCAAAATTGTCATCACGAATAAACTTTCCGCTATTCTTTTTTTTTTTTTGGCTCGGCGCTAATTGCTTATTAATGCGATATTTAAAAAAAGGATTCACGGCTGAACAGAAACGGTCCGATATAGGTCACGTGTGGTGTTTGTAACTGTAGATATCCCTTGATCTTATCAAACTGTAGGTGGGCTTATTCTGAAGGCGACAACATAATCAGGGGATACGTTTCAGCCTTGCCATTATGTTGAACCTTTTCTCGTATGGAAAAACTCATACAGACAAGTACATTATCACGAATAATCGTATGTGCTCGTGTAATACTCTTGCTTAACAAACCCCGCTACTCTCTAAATTGGCTCACTGGGTTTATGTGTCTGCTAGTAATCTTAGGGGCTCTGTGTCCACACCGATATCATCTTGTATAGCACTCTCTTGTATAGCACCATCTACTGACCTTTGCTCTTATCACATGGTAGCATTGCGAAACTTTTTTTTTTTAGTATGCAGCAATTTGAAGGCACATCAAATAATTATTACTACTCTGCTTAACCTCACCACTCCCTCATACATCACATGGATCAACTATTTGAAGACAAAGGGCCTTCTCTACCGAGAAGTAATGTCCCTACACTAGTCCACTTATGCATATCATGTCTTCGCAAAAACACGAGTCAAATCCAAGATGTTGGACCCACACCTTATCATTTACTTGAACCTGTGCTTGAGCGGATGTCCGCGAAACAATTAAACCAACTTGAAACTGCCTCACCTCAACTCATACCATTCTCGGATAAGTTGTGGGTGAAACTCATCGAACGTGAATTCCCTGATAGACCTGGTAAATTACCCTTGGATATCAAACTGAGTATGCCTTATAAGACCTTGTTTGAGCGGTATGTCAAAGATCGGGAAGAGTTTAAACAGGATTCGGCCATGAGGTTGCGTAATATCACACACAAGTTGGAGAGAAAGAAACTCCAGAATAAAGTAGTTAAGTTGGATCAAGTGTTGAAGGACCCTACTATCAGGAGAAGACCAAGTCGAGAAAGCTGGAGTACCATGACTAGTGCTCAGAATAAGGGGTCGATTTTAAGCAAAGTACGACGAGATATGCAGTCTCGGTCGATTATGTTTACTAAACTGCCGGCAATGAAACGGTATGACCCATTTGATGTGTTCAAGACTCAACCTGAGAGGATACGACTGGTTAAAACAACGCCTGTCAAGAGAACTACATTTTTTGATGGAAGTAACGATAAACCCACAATTAATACTACAACCACTACTAATAATACAACCACCACCAAACTGGAATCTCCTCCCCTGGAGAACAAACCAATAGTCGTCCCCGTGCTTCGCAAACGCAAGAGTGCGCCTTCAATTTTCCTCAAGAGTAAACGACCGGCACCTCCGCCAGTCAAACGGACCCCAGAAAAGAAAAAAGTGTTGGAACAATCACCTACAAAGATCAAACAGATTAAATCTTCTATATTTAGCTAATGAATATCACGACTTTACTTTTTTGAGAAGCTTTCCGGTATCGGTATCTTGCAACTTTCGCTTGTAGACTAGACTATCCAGTTTTTTGTTTGGATTTTCATGTTCGTTTTCCAAGAGTTTTGCATTGTCATTGACACTTATTGTTTGTTTGTATGACTTTATTCTTAGTCTTCCATTGACTAGAACTCTTTCGGGGTTGACAGTCATGCAAGCTTTAGCTCTGCTTCTGTCCAATCCCAACGTCTTCAAAATGGTGAGGATATCATTACTGTTACGCAACTGTAATGGCTGGGTTGCACCGCTGGAAATAACTAGTCCACGGGATCTACTGGCACGTATCAATTGAAGGACATTGTTGAAGAAATTCTTTTTAATTAACTGAACGTTGGCATGGGTCCCATCGTACCCTATTGCACCGGATATCAACCAATTGTAGCATATTTCAAACTTGATTCCCTTATCGATGGCCAGGCCTATGATCTTGTGTTTGAGAAAGAACGGCAATCTTGAGCTTAAATTGAGGGAGATTAAATCTACATCCAAGTTTGTTATGGTTAATTGTAGGGCTTTTTCTGTGAGTGGTTGTATGGCAATCAAATCAAAGTGGTTTTGAAGTTTAGTTAAATGCTGGATTTTCGAGGAATCATTGACGATCAAGGTGAGTCTGGTGAATAATCTAAGTTTAGGAAAGTTGACAAGCTCATTCCTGAGCCAGGTGATGTCTATGGGGTTGATTTCATTTGCATTGTTTATAGGTATTTTAACCGTTTCGGTGATGCTGTAGTTGATTACTTGGTGGGTTATACCAAGGGTGTAGTTTGTGGATATTATATTTTTCAATTGTGTGAGTTGAGAAGGTGTTGGCTTGGAGGTGTAGTTATCCACTGGCCATGGTATATTCAAGTCGTAGGGCATGATATTAGCTAATGCCGTTACACCTAGTACTGTTTACTGTTATGTAATTTTTTTTTCCACTAAATTTAGCGATGGTTGGGATCCTGTAAGGAGGCTGGAACGTCAATACAATGCCGAACGAAGATATCTCCGCTTATTAAATCACCGTTGCCACCGCCACTTGTGTTTACTATAAATTTTGCAACTATTTCCCGTTCTATTTTCATTTCTATCCATTATTGTTCATTCTCTACCAGCTACATCATGTCAACAACAAACTTATTTATCGATAAAACACAACATCCAACCAAAGATCAGGGAATAATAGACATAGGTAAGAATTGCAGTTATTGTAACCAACTAGACTTTCTCCCCTTTGTCTGTGAGTTCTGCAAACAGACATTCTGTTCCAACCACCGCAAGATTGATCAGCATGATTGTGTCAACAGAGACATGTTTGATCGCTCACCAACCAGATCAGTGAGTCCGCCACTGGGTGTGTCTTCCAAGACCTTATTCCCTGATCGTGAAGCCGACAAAAAGAGAATCAACGAGAGATTGCACAGCCAATCACCTAGACCAACAACAATCTTGGAAAAGCTGTTTAGAGTAGGTGATGCTGCCAAGGGCAATTCCAGTGCATTCAAAAAGTTTCAAAAATTCTTGACCATACAGAACACCACTAAAGCTGGAGGCGTGTTTAAGATATTCAAGAGTAGTAGTGCTTCGAAGAGTAACTATGCGGAAATAGCCACCCTCAAGAAGGTCGCCAAGGGAGATGCGAAAATCAGTGCTGCCGACAGAATCTACGTGTGGGTATTGTACATTAGTAATCCTGAGGAAAAACTCGACATTCAACAAAACAGAAAGGCGGTGTTTATAAATAAGAACTGGGTGGTGGGTAGATCACTAGATTCCATTGCTGATGCGTTGCACATTACTAATAAAAATAATGTGGTGACTGCTGCAGAAGATAAATTGAATATTTTCAAGTTGGAGAATGACGAGCCGAAAGTTGTTGCTACCAGTGCCAAGCTGAGTTTTAGAAATGGCGATACTTTATATTTAGTTAGAGGAAGTATATAGAAAATAACGAGCCATCGGCGTAGCCAAACGCGTGATTGAAAATAAAGTTTTATAAAATATATATTCTATCAAGTCCATAGCCGAAGGGGCTACCCAAAAAGATAAAAGAGTAAAAGTACACCGGGTGAAGCCTGGTAGATGTTTTTGAAAGAAAATAAAAACATCTAAAGACTCTTGTTTGCCTAGTACACCCCCTCCTTCATATGATAATCCGCCCAAGCACTCACACAATTCTGATCCCATAAATGTTCCCAAAGACTGAACTTGCCTATTTTACACCCGCTGGTAAACTTGTTATTCGGACAATTGAAATACGGATCATGAAAATACCCAATGTCTCTAAACCAATGCACTTTATCGCTGGGTGCAAACAAACTCACACCAATGGAATGCACCGGCGCGTCTCCCCATCGCTCGTAGTAGAATTTACCCGTGGAGTCCAAATACTTGAACCAGTTATTGTACGCTTCGCCCCGGAAAAAGTCCATGTCGCCAATCTCAAAGTTTGACCAAAAGTGACAGGTGGAGTAACCACCTGTAACTTGATGTTTTATGGGGTTTTGCAATGGATCAACTAGCCACTGGAATGACCCATTGGGGTTGATATACTTGTAGTTGTCATCGGTATTCAAATAAGCTAGTGTCTCTGGCCATAATGTCTTTATAGACTGGTGAATATCAGCAAGACCAATAGTGAACCCATACACCTTCTTGGTATCTTCCATATACTTGAACACGTCGTAGTTAAGATCGGTGTAAAAATCTACATTGGGTTCAATCCGCCAATAGTACTTGTACTTTTGCAATTCCGGCACATTGTAGAAGTTCCCCAGGTAGAATCGACACATATTATGATACGATGCTTTATGAGCATATGCCACATTCTCCTTGGCCAACGCGCTCATTGCTATAGTCTCTCTATTGACGTCTATAGAGTCTGGTTTATCCCAGAGCTTCTCCGGAATAGTTACAAACTCCACAGGGGTGTTATCTCCGACATATCTCATGATCTTCGCCTTGAAACCGTCGGTGAATGGCTGATCATTTATAAACGTATATGGATAATTAAATCTATTGTTGAACTTTTGCTGCAATGACTTTATGGTTCGCCCCAACTTGACGCCCTCGTTGTTTCGCACGAGGGCTATAATCGTGGCATTTGCTTTCTTGTATTGTGTGCCTGGTCTGTGTAACTCGCAATCTAATGGCTCGGTGATCTCCTGTGAAAACAACTGCTGATACCGTCTCTTATTCCGCTCAACTACTTGATTGGAATTACCGGATATCCCCTTGGGGTTAGTAAAGTGAAACTCGACATTATTGGGCTCAATAACAAACAGAGGATGTCGGCTTCTTCCGAAAGAGTGCAATTTTTCATTAAGGGATAAAATGTGTGGGTGGGGGGCATAGTTAATAATAGTCAATATGACACATATGCATGCCAATATAACAATCAATAGTCTCAGTTTCCGTATCATCGTTACCTCATAGTAAAAAGAACTCTATAAAACCAACTCGACAAACTGAAAACAAAGGTGGCTCATGGGAAATTGCTTGTATTCACCAATTTGGAGCCATTTGGGCGTACAAATTTATTTGCGGCCCGTTGTTTCTTTTTGGACAAAAATAATTAGGTCACGTGGATAATGTAAGCCTTGCTCCGGGTAACCTTGTACGCCGACTCGTATTTGCTGTAGCTGAAGTGACGTTAATGGTTGTTGTGTGTCTTGAAGCAGTATGCTTTGGTTACCTTGCCATGATCCTAATGTTTACTCCGTCTTTGGTTTGGAGAACACAACCTTAACTGTATTGGGTGCGAAAATTTGGGGGAGGGGAAGCGGGGGCGGAGAACTCGGGCGTGTATGAGGAGTTGTGACTTCTAAGAGTTTACCACCGGGATGAGTTGTAGACTAATCCCCCGACCAAGCATATACTTCGTTCTGGCTGTGAGATCAACGTTGTTGTTCCTGGGTAAAGCAGTTTGGATATTGTTGGGTTGCAATCTCACATTTCATACTCGCACTGAAAATGAAAAATTTCAATGGGCTGATTCACACAGTCTCTAAGCTAGCCCACCAATGTTAAGAACCAGACCCGTACTAAAGCTAGTACGATGGTATTCCCTACCAAATAAGCAATCTACACTTGCAAAATTCAAATTCCCCAATGCAACTTCCACAATACAATCCATAACAAACGACTTACCCACCTATTTAAACAACCAACAACTCAAAGTCACCTTGCACGGACACATGAACCGTAAGCCGAGAATCCGCCCGCAATTGGGGTTTGCATTCTTGCGTGATTCCAACGGCGACGAGGTTCAGTTATTGGCCACCCCTGAAACGACAGATGGGTCTGTGTTTAGCCTCATGGGTAAACTACTCGTCGAAGATTCAGTTAGTGTTACTGGGTATGTGCAGTCCAAGGTCCAGCCCAAGGAACAAAGCACCAGCAGTCCAGTAAGTGATTGGGAGCTTGTCATTGAAGACTTTCAAATCTTAAACTCGTCAAATTCCGATGCTTCAAAATTAGACAAGTTGAAACATTCCAATCCCAGCGAATTACCTCCACAATATCGATACTTGCAATTACGTACGCCAGCATACCAAAATGCCTTGCGGATCCGAAGCAAAGTGGCACAACTAATCAGGAATGTATTCATTGACAACCATGACTTTGTCGAAATTGAAACACCGCTCCTCTTTAAGTCGACGCCTGAAGGTGCCAGAGAGTTTTTAGTGCCCACGAGAAGTTATAACCTGTTTTATGCATTGCCGCAATCTCCACAACAATACAAACAAATCTTGATGAGTTCCGGCTTTACCAAGTACTTTCAAATCGCGAAATGTTTTAGAGATGAGGATTTGCGTAGTGATAGACAGCCCGAGTTTACGCAGATCGATATGGAGATGAGTTTTATTAACAGTTCGGATCAAGTGGGTATTGTTGTTGAGGATCTTATTAACAGCATTTGGAATAAGGTGGGAAATAAAACAACTTATACCGTAAACAGCGAGGGATATTTACAGAAGATTGTCCACAAACAGGATAAGTTACAGTTTTCCAAGTTGGACTACGTAACTGCATTGACGAAATATGGAATTGATAAACCTGACTTGAGATCAAATTTGTCATTCACCAGTCTTGAAAAGTTCTTCACTGCCAAGGAGAATCTGGAATTTCCTGTCCTAGAACTTTGTGTGTTGAAACAAGCATTTAATCCTGAGCACAAGTACAAATTACCAAAACTGTTTACCGATGACATTTCATTCAAGCTGAGAAAGCCATATGTCTGGCCCGTTAAAGATGACCGTATAGTTACATCATGGTATACCAAACTAATCGATGCTGGTGTAATCATCCCTACTGAATCGTTCAATGAAGAAGAGTTGGTGCGTACGCTTAACTTACAGCCCGGTGACATATTTGCCGTATCTACTCGTGCTGAATTCCCCTATGAGAATCCAACTCCATTGGGCAGATTCAGACAATTGGCCATGCAGGAATTCCCCAACAAGTGGCATCGTCCTATTGTTCAACCTGATGGAACATTACTTGAAAAGTACGATTTTGATGATGTAATTGTTGGATCATGGGTGGTTGATTTCCCATTATTCAATCCTAAGGAAGTCCAGTCAGAAGACAAGTATCCAAGGTATGATTACACCCAGTTTGAATCAACACATCATCCATTCACCATGGCAAAACTTGAAGATTATGATTTGTTGTCAAGTGAGCCATTAAAAGTACGTGGTGAGCATTATGATTTAGTCATCAATGGAGTTGAAATCGGTGGTGGATCCCGAAGAATTCATGATCCAGAATTACAAACGTACATCTTTAAAGAAATTTTGCAAATTACAAACTATCAAGCTTTGTTTGGACATTTATTAAAAGCTTTAAGTATGGGCTGTCCCCCACATGCTGGGTTAGCTTTGGGTTTCGATAGATTGTGTGCCATGTTGATTGGATCAAACACAATTAGAGATGTGATTGCCTTTCCTAAGAATCAATCTGGTGTTGACCCCGTAGTTGAAAGTCCAACCGGAGTTAGTGAAAAAGTATTGAATGAATACTTTATTACAACTAAGCAATGAACTGTATATAATTTTACCTGTATATAAATATAGAATCAACGTCTTCTTCCTCTAAGCTTCTGTTTCTTTTCATGAGTAGAACCAAGTTCTTGTTCCAACTTACGTTTAGCGTATCCACTTTCGGCGCGTTCTGCTTCCTCTTCCTTTCTCTTCTTTTCTTCAGCCAACTTCTCCAACTTCAATTCGATTGGTTTCTTGGTTCTTTCTTCGGTTTCGCCAAAGTATTCAGTTTCTTGTTGTTTAACGAGGGACTTCCAGTCGTACTTCTTTCTCGTGAATAATTCCATGGACCAATTCTTCCATACTAATCGTCCGTATGTGCTCTCCTTGACTTTCTTTGATTCGCTGAGTAACTCACTGGCGATTCTATCCTTGTACATTGGCAACAAAATCGTGAACTTCCATAAAGTATCGACAATATGGGAACCATATGAATTACAACTCAACTCGACGATTTTTCCTTGGAAGATATTCAACAATCTCTTTCTGAGAATGAGGGTAGGCTTGGGCTCACCTTCCAGTGCAGGAATAACTACCAAGGATTGTTCAACAACGTGGGAAAACACACCGTGGAAACACATTTGGATGAATTTTTCAATGGGTAAAGCCATGAAATTCAACCACACACAAACGACGAATTTGTAATCGTACTCCATAAGCTTTTCGAGAAAGAGTGATCTCTTTCTTTCCTCAGCAGTGGGCCAGTCCCCGCGTGTGTTACCCAAAGTAGAGCCGGTTAACTGAAGAACATTCTCGAGGAACTCGGTGGAACTTTCAACTGGGTTGTCTAAGTTATAGTTTGGCGCAAACTTTTTGAATAATTGTGAGATAATCTCATCACGACGGTAATTCCCGCGAGAAATACTGGCGTCGATTAACTTTTGAGCTAAATCTAAGTTATGAGTTTCGGAAACACTAATCAAGTTTGAGAATTCTGGAATGATTTCATCAAGAATGAACTCGACTTCCACAGGCTTCAACTTGAAGAGCAATGCTTGGATGATATATACCCCAGTAGTTGACCTATTGGCCAATTTCAATACACGGTCCTTCATGTAAAGCTTGTATAATCGTTCAATATATTTTGGTCTGGCACCATCATTCTTAATCACGGCCTCCAAGAAGTGGGATCCAACTGGGTCACTCAACAAGTACTCGACAAATGCTTCTTCAGTTCCATTCTTGTCTTCATTATCCTTACAGAAAATCAAATGCCAGAATGTTCTTTCTCGATCAACCAATCCTTCCACTTGCACCAAGAGTTGCAACACGGGAGAAGCAACTTTATCAATACACAACTCCCTGGCCCGCTTCATATCCACGTCCTTAGCTATAATACTGGAATACTCGCGCAACTCGTTCTTGAATGAAGGTGGTGTCGAGTATGCACTGTTGAAATCCTCATTATCCTTAATCTCGATCATCTTTCTGGCGATCTTGGACTTCTTAGATCTTAAGATCGAATTGGAGAGTGTCGAACTAGGTAATTCCTTTCCAGAAAGTATAAGTATCAACAATCTCAACACATGTGATGCATACTGATGATTTACCATGGAGGTCAACTGTGGCTTGAACTCACCTAGCATGGACACGAACAAGTCCTCCATAGGAATCTCATTTGCTTCCAACGACAACTCCTTCTCGATCAAGGCAGCTGATCTGACCAACAATGTCTCCAACACGTGCGAACTATACTTGTTGAAACTCAATGACACGAAATGATTAGAAAATGCCCTGAACAAGGTCTTTAACTGGTCGGGATCGGCAAACAAGATCAAACGCTCCATCAACTTGGAACAGATTTGGTTAGTCACCAATTTCAACTCTTTTCCCTTTGATTCCTCGAACACGGAGCTGATGAACCCAAGACGTTCTTCATCGCTGTCGAATGCGTTTATGTTGAGGGTGGATTCGGCCTGTTTGAAATAATCTAATTCATTGGAATCAACAAGACCGAAAAATGTGTTTGGAACAGAAGTCTTTTCGGTTACTTCTTCAACTGGCTGTTGATGTTGTTGTTCTTCCTGCTTCTTCTTTTCTGCTCTTCTTCCTCTGGATTTAGTCTGAGCCATGATGTGTAGGGGTTAGAGTATGATACAGTATATGATGAGATGCTCTTCGCTATGAAAAAAAAATCAACTTTGTGAAAAAACACCAAACGAAAATATCGCTGTCTGTTTGGTAGCGCTGGGTTTAGATAACAAGATCCAGATCTTGATGAAATGCCAAGACAACCAGCTAGGTATTGCCTAGTACAGAGCAACCTATTGCTACAGGAATGATTTCAAACCATATTCATATATTTCACAAACAAACTATATACTTATAGGAACCGGACACTAACAAATAAACTCCAGCTGTTCCCACGCGGCAGCTGACTTACAAAGGTTCAAAGATTCTCCATCTGGTCAACATGAATTTTCCTTGCCATTTTCTTCTTTCCAAGTCTCTCTTGTCGTTACCTGCCACTTGGTCAAGCACGGTTGAGTTGATGACCAACACAACAGGCTTGTTGTTTTCTTCAACGACAACGGGGAAGAAACCGTCTGGGACCTTGATTTCCTGCTTGATGGCTGATTCAGGGAGGACTAACTCTTGGCGCTTGTCCATTGGAGAACCGAAAGCTAAAGCGGCGGAGGTTACTAAAATTAATGATGATAACTTCATGGTTTAAGGAGTGTAAACTAATTTTTGATAATGAGAAGGAAACAAATCTGAGAAGAAGCAAAAGGGACGATTCTAATTCTATTTATAATGTTTCCTTGGGCTAATACTGAGACTAGGCTGCAATGAAACGGATATGAACATAGGTGGAGTTGTTAGTTGCTTGTTGTTGTTTTTTTCTTTGTGGGTGCAACAAACTGTATCACTCTTATTCCTTTTGCAGCCAAATTGGGCAATAAATTGAGTCAATTTTCGACAAGATAAGTAATATGACGTACATAGGTTTTGGGTAAATTAACATGATGGTTTGTCATGTTTCAACTCATTCCATGCATGAGATCTAGAATTATCCAGCAAAAGTGTTTATTCAAATACTGTTTGGGTAATTTTGGAGGTTGTTTATACGCAAAATACATGAAACAAGGCTAGATCGAGTTTCATCAGTGGTTATGAAGGCTAATATATGGTAAAGATGTGCTTTGAAATATTTCTATGATCACACTTGTGAAACATTTGGTGAAGTTTGATCATGGCGATAATACCAAATAAGGAAAAGTACTAGTTTCATGAATCGTAAAATGGAAAAGTAATCGATAGATATGAATAGATTACTAATCCGTGATAACCTGATTCATGTTACAAATAATCTAATCTGACTGACGAAATCAGTTTCATTTGTCCCAATTAGTACGTGAATCTATACTATACACTAAACTACTTGTTTCATACAATGCCAACCACTCCCCGCAACTGATCCTCGTACTTGCCCTTTCTCAAGGGATCGATCTTGATAAGAATTTTCAAGTACAGTTTAATCTCATCAGTTAGCACTTCCCCACGTTGTTGCTTATTAATTAGCGTCTTGGTGAAAATTATACTTTTCAAACACCAAATGTTATCCTGTCCGTTATCTTCCTTTTCTAATTCGTTGACTTCAGAAATGACCTCAAGTTGGTTGTGCAACACTTTAAGGTACTCTTCTTTGGAATAAGCTTTTGTGAAGAAGTCATCGGTTAGTAGCCAATTGTAGTATGACCAGATCGATGTGTCCTCGGGAGACATGTAAATTCCCGTTTTGATCATGTCTAATTCATGGATAAGTATGTCGTATGGATTGTCGAATAACTTTACTCTTTCCTTAAACTCAGCAGGTACTTCTATTTCATGCACTAGCTTGTAGATCTTAGGAATCAAGTTTCCTCGGTTGTGCCAAGCAGAAAAATTTGAAAAATCAGATTGAACTTTCGTGGTGGTATAATCAAACTCATCAAGTTTGATCTTAAGTAATATCACCTTTTCATGGGATGGGTCTTTTGCCACGGACTCCTTTTCGATGTTCTCGACTATGAATCGTCTGTATTGCCATCCATGAAAGTTTCTTTGGTCTAGTTCAAGTAATTTAGAAACAACAGCAAACTCATACATCCAATTGACACGATGAAGGGCAACTAGTTCAAAAAGACACCATCTGCGATGATTCCAGATCCAGTAGCATTTAGGAAACTTTTTCAATTGTTGAAGCACAAGTTGTAATTCGTCATTGAGCACTTGCGCGTAGTCGTCTACATTAGCACCCACTGGTTTATAGATGTTGGATAAGATTTCCCTACGATAATTCCAAACGGTGTAGAATTCAGGATTCATCAAAAGTAATGTGGTGGTTTCATTGAATGCATCCTGAGTGTAGGTGTTGTTATCTCTCAAGTCAAAGAGTTTGGCTGTTAGTTCTTGATATCGTTTGATTTTCAATTGATCCTTCTCAAGCTTCAACTTTTTGAGTTCGGCTGAGATATTTACTCGTTTGACATTGTGTTGCTGCGTGTGTTAATACTTTGTTCTTGTTGTATCGTACCAGTAGCTTACTTACCATTGTTAGTGTTGGTGATAGTGCGTTTGCCGCTTATTTTTCAAATCAATTTTTTTGTTTACTTTTAAATCACATAGAAAGATCTAGCATACACAACATGTCTAAACTAGCATTAAAGGGATCATCGAAAATAGTGAGCGACTACTTTGAGTTCTCGATAAACACAATCCTCTTTCAACGAGGAATATACCCTGCTGAGGACTTTGTCACTGTCCGCAAATACGATTTACTCATGTTGGTCACCAATGACGACGATGTCAAGGCCTACATCGACACCATCATGAAACAGATCAAGAAATGGATCTACGGAAAGCGATTGCTCCGGTTCGTGCTTGCCATAATCAGCAAGTCGACCTACGAGACTATCGAACGCTGGGAATTCAATCTTGATATAATATCCCAAGATGCCGACAATTCCTCCGATAAACCTCAGGAGGAAATCCAGAAAGAGATTAGAGCAATCATTAGACAGATTACATCGCTGGTTTCGTATTTGCCTGTATTAAAAGAGGACGACGACTATACATTTAATGTGTTGGTATATACTGATCCGACAACTACGGTTCCTATAGAATGGTGTGACACACAAGGGGATGGGAAAGAACTTGAAGGAGACAATGTCGAGTCGGTGAAATTTGCCTCGTTTAACACTAATTTGCATGAAATAGGTACTGCAGTTAGTTACAAGTTAGATTAGCCCTGTATATCCAATTCCTTGTTGAATCGTCTTCGTTTGTTTCCCAACATAAATCGAGCAATTCCCTTCGAGGCAGTGGTGAATTCCCACTTAGACAAATACTCATCGGTACGGTTCAAACTCTCTTTACAGCTGGTTTCATTCATATTCTTCAAATCAATAAACTTCTCCTTTAGTTCCATAAACTTGAATATCTGTTCTTTACCTAGTTGCTTGTCTATAGCTGGTAGATAGTTGTTCAACACCGAATGGCTGTATTGGTGAATATAGTAGTCGAGAATATACAATATCCCTTCGTTAACCAACACTTCAGGACACTTGAAGTCTCGTTCGCAGTCAATGGAATCGAGAATCTCTGATAATCTCTCGTCGTCATCTTCCTCGCCAATCTCATGGTGGTCCAACTTTATCTCCTGTGGTTTCAAATTCAAACTGATTATAATAATCGCCACCGCAATGCAATGGGGCGGGATAACCAAACACAACGGTGTCGACATGATGTCAAAGCAAATCAACCACGACAAAATCGACATGCGATAGTTTATATCCAACTGTTTACAAAACTGCACGAGCAAACAATCCACACTGGTCTTTATGCTCAATGAATTAGCACCATTGCTGAAATCAAACTTGATCAACTGTAACAATTTAAACTCGGTAGCCAAGACATACTTTCTCTGCAACTCATGATAGGCAATTGAATCACCACTACTATCCAACGTATTCGTGACAGGTTTGTTTTCATCAATATCTCGCAATTTATTAACGACGCTCTGTAAATCCTTTAGTTTCTTGATGCAATCCTCGTTCTTGCTAGCCAACAATAAACAGGTGATGGCCACGACATACGGATCCTTGTCCATATCATCAAACGCTCCGTCAAACTTGTGAAACAAGTAGAACCGCTGGTAATAGTTCATGGCCGTGGCCAATACTCTCAAGGGGAACTTCAACTGTTTGATGACTTGGTATAACAACTGAAAGATTTGGTATTTTGTCTGGTTATATTGAAGTTTCTTGCTTTCATCTATGGTCTGGCTGTGCATGTATGATATCTCGGAATGGGTAAAGAAAGGTCGCGAAATCTGCGTTATTGTAATCACGGGTTTACCATTTTCTGATAAATTCGGCGTATTCTCTTTGGAGTCCATGTTTACTGCTACTTTCTCCTCCTTCGGTAGAACCATAGTGCATGTTGAAATATCAGTCTTATTTTATACGACGATGAGAAACATTTAGTAAATCTGTGTCACGTGACCAGATCAGAGATCACAACAACTGGGCAACCCACATGCCACGGGCCACCACTGGTCACCACGAGATACGAGCTAGAGACAAGTAAGTAGCAATTGCAACGAAGCAGATTGAACAATTGTTTAATGTATATTTTTAACTTATATAAAAACAACCTAAGCAGTGAAAGATAAGGAGAAACCTAACTTGTGGACTGGTTCAGACAACTTGAGGGCATCGAAAGAAGCACCCAAACCTAACTTAACACCTGGTCTTAATTCTTGGGTGTAAGATAAGGCAGTTAAACCAGAGTCAGCAATCTTAGCCTTGATGGTGGAAGATCTGTCTAAAGCGTACTTGGTGGCGAATTCAACGTTGACGTTAGAAGACTTGACGGAATCCCAAGTAGTCTTGGCACCAACTTCAACAAATGGAGAGACTCTGTGGAAGTAAGCAGCAGAGAAGACAGATAAGTTGGAGGTAGCGGTGGCAGCTAAGGAGTAGTCCAAGTTAGCGTAACCAAGACCGACAGAGTACTTGTTAACCTTGGCAGAAGAGATATCGTAACCTAATTCGGCACCGGCAGTGAAACCATCGTGGGCAACAACTAAATCAGCAGTGGCAATTGGACCCTTTAACAAGTCAAAGAATAATCTGGCATTGACAGCGGATTGTTGGTAGAAGAAGTTCAACTTAGCACCTCTGGTACCGTTTGGAACGACAGAAGTTTCCAATTCCCCCTTTAAGCCAGGAGTCAACAATTCGGACAATTCAAACTTGGTGTTTAAAGCGTTAGCATTGTTCCAGCCTTGGGTTAAGGTTAAACCGGTAGCCTTGTCAACGTACTTAGCGTCAACGGAAGCGGCAATGGTGTCATCCTTGGTGGTCTTACCCTTGACGGTGAAGGTAACACCATTTGGAGCAACGGACTTGACGTCAACTGCAGCAGTGGATAAATGGTAGAAATCCTTGTTGATTAAATCGTTAGAAGATTTAGAAAGATCGGAGTATGCAACTGGAGCCATTGTTGGGGATTGTAATAAAAAGGAATTGACTAGTGGGAGTAGTTAACCTGAAGAAAGAGAGTGTGAAAGTAGAGTGGCCAAAAAAAATTGGGGGTCTGGAAATAAATACTCAGTGGTGGTGGAACAGTACAAAGTTTATTTCCCTCAATTGTTTTTTTTTTTTTGCTTAATTAATTTACCCAACCAAAATTTACAACCACAACAAAAAAAAAAATTTCCCCCAGTGGGCGCCCGCTGCCGCCGTTGGAAAAATGTGAGACCAGAATCACTGGGGGAGGAGGGTCAGACATGCAGCAAACTACATCTAGCTACTTCTGATCTGTAACTAGATATAGCTAATTAGTTTAGATAATTATATGCTATGTATATGTTCTCGCAATTGATAATTGCATAACGCAGAAGCACATTTCAGTGGCAAATCAATTGCTTTTCTAAAAACAACAACAACAACAAAGTCATTCATATTTTTGATTGGCTGAGAATGCGAAAAGCGTGGGGTAGACCACCACCCACCCACCCAAAGATCGCCACGGGTTTATTTTTTTTTTCTTTTTCGTGGTTACCAATTCCAGGTCGAGATCATCAAAGTGGCAATCAAAAATTACGCGGATCTACTGCCGTGTTTGCCTCATGTAAATAAGGTTTAATCATAGCAGGCGAGTAGTATTTATTGTGTAACTATAAATCATTTGTTGCTTCTATATAACCAGAAGGTGACCCTGTTTCAGGATCGGCGAAAATGTTGGGAAAGTTTGCTAATGCCGCGAGCTAAGAAATCTAAACCGTGGCGCTAGTACACAGTTCCATCCCGGAATAATTCTAGCTCTCGCCTGGTCCAATCTGCGTTCAGATAACCATGTGATTTTTCGTCTACACCTTTCAGATCTCCAGATCGGACCTCAGCAAACCGTGGCGGTTTCAAATCTTTACTTGTGTTTTGTGGTGCTTCTGTACCGATGTTCATTCCTGCACAATGGATGGAATGCGTAAGAACACAACGCGGGTCCCGCCTTAGTTAGTTGATTAGCCTCATCCGAATGACCCGAAGGATTCTAATAGCGTCCATCTATAAATAAGTAGCAATGTTCGCGCTGTATCTAAAGCACTGCACGTAAAGCGCATCACCACTACAACAATCACTCTATAACACAAAATGTCTTTAGTTTTTTCGCACGCACAATCTCATCTGTGATACGCTCTATTTACACTTCCCCCCCCCTCCTCCCCACACATACCTCTATATGAAGATAATCCTAATAGACAGTAATCCAATAATCGTCAAATGTTGGAAATTGCATTACTCACACATAGTCAAATACATCAGTAGGCACAACCTCCAGCTAATATATCCCCATGACTATCAATTTCATAACCTCACTATCGAAGATATGATCAAGAGTCAGACCTTCACCGGAACGACATCAGTAGTTACCCCAACAAACAGTCTATGTTATATGGGTGGAGGATTCGATTTGTATTTACTCAAGGGAATGCTATTGGGTACAAATATCACCAGTTATAAGCACATTGAGAATATCTTGCAGCACCACCAGATGACCAAGCATCACGGATACTTATCCCCTAATACAATCTACAAGATTGACTTAGTCAAAGTGTTTGAGAATCAGTACGACTACAAGTCATCGACAATATACCAGAATTGGAACCTTGTAGAAATGGCCCAGTTACCCACTATGGTTGTTCCCGAAATGATACATCGAATGACTCACATATTCGATGGGTTATGGAATCTACTCCATGAATATCATGGCGATGCAACAGATATAGACAATTTGGTCATACCAGGCATAGGCACAGGATATGGCCATTTAGACGAGTATGAGCTGACTAAACTCATGATATTCACTTTCTTCATCTATAATCTAAAACTAGACTCTACCAGACTAGACCAACTTAGAAAATCTTGTCTTATTTTATTCTTCTTTAACAAGGATTACCATCATTTGAGGAATACCAGTGATATTGAAGAGATTGAAAATTGTATTGTCACCGGGTATGGCAAGGAAAAGAGAAAGAACTTGAAAGAAGACACAATTATGGAGTTCGAAGAGTTGTTCAAGTGTGTCAAGATAGACTAATTACTATGCACTTTATTTAATATACATTATATATAGAACTCGGTTCTCCACCCGCGGTGTTTAACCTTCCACTATGTAGTCCACAATCTGGCAGTTCCGTCAGCACCAGCACTAAACAACCAAGCTTCCTTAGGATGCCACACCAAATCCAAAATCCCAATTTGGTTAATAATCTTATGTCCAGTCAACTTCTTCAAAGGAACCAACAATGGATTGGTCATTAAATCGTCATACACCATCCCATGGAAAACATGAACGTTACCATCATCTGAAGCAGATGCAAAAAGTGGGAGGTTTCCCTTGTGGAACTTGATCGATCTCACGGCCTTGTTATGATATCTCAATGTCTTGTATGGGGTAGATGACAAGTCTAAATCATGCCACAACACACGCTTATCATAGGAACAAGCCAATAAATTGTCACCACGAGGATGGATATCAATAGATGACAACATACGCACACCGGGCATAAGCTTCTTGATCAACACTTGTTGGGCCAAGTCGTAAATCTTGACTTGTCTTTGTGAAGCAACAAACAATTGTGGCTTGAATGGATGGAATTTCGCATCCATTATTATACCCTTGGACTTCTTGAATGGCGATTGTGACAAATGCTTACTCAATTGATGGATTAAAACAGCGGTGTTGGAACTTTCTGGGGACACGGTAACGAAATAATCCCCCTTTCTGTGCCAGGATATCTTCTTGACGGTTTTACGACATTGGATAATGGCTGAGATCCCCATGGTTGCTTGTTCGGCATTCGGTGGGAACCATTTAGAAACATCCTTCTTCTTTTCAGTAGTGGTTTCTTCTTCTTCGTCGTCGACTTCCTCGTCATCCTCACCACTTACTTTAAGTTCTTGCTTTTTGTTTCCAAAAGTATCGTACCCCCAACCAGCTTCAATTCTCAATTTACCAATGTTTTCAATATCAAATCCAAAGATCGGTGGCACTAACAAATACACATGCTCACCAACACACACAGCCAAAATACCTGTGGTCGAATCGGGGTTCCATTCCAAACTTTCAATATGGTCATCGGAATTGATTTCCTTGTCTATTAATTGAACCTTGTACACTTGTCTACCAGTCAAGATTTCCCAGATACGGACACTACCATCGTCAGATCCAGTAGCCAACCATAATCCTTGTGGGTCTATAGAAATAGTTCTAATCTTTTCTGTGTGTCCTTGGTACACGGTGGAACATTTGATTGGGAATGGACGCAAGTCCTTAGGGGATGGCAATTCCGGAATCAAACTATCGGGGTCAATATTAAGTTTATTGTGACGAACTCTTGGAGCCAAGTACAAATCTAAACTTCTCTCAAACCTTTCCCTCACGGAATCTTGATAACCTGGGACTTGTCTTAATGAGGAGTACTTTTGCGGGATAAAGTTACGTTCACGATCCTGAGGGTCTTCGGCTAACCATTTCTCTTTTTCTTCTTCGGTCATTAAATATTCTGCTGGTGGGTTATAACTCTCTTCGTTGGTTGGAGGAGGTAATTTAGGAGCACGTAAGTTCATGATATGGTCAGGAATTTCTTGTTCGTCCTTCCATAAATCGAAGTTCAATTCTTCTTCTTCCAATTCCTTCTTGACCTTGTCAGGAGGTATGATTCTACCTTCTCTGATAGCTCTGACAATCTTCATTACTCGTTTAGCTTCATGTTTAGAAGGAACGAATCTACGTTTAGGTTCAGGGACGGCAGTCAAGGGCATGATTTCCTGATCCTTAGTAAACCAGTCAATGAGCGGTTCATAAGGATTAATATTCTCATCGGTTGATTCCTGCTGTTGGATCTTTCTAATCAATTCTAATTCTTCATCAGTTAATTTCAAAGAGGTACCGGTGTTTTGGTCTAATAATCCTGTCCAACCTTCAGGCAAGTCAATACTTTCCAACAATTGGTCCAAAGCGGATCCCTTGGCGGGTCTCATGATTCTCTTTCCGTTGATGTCGTAACCGATGTGGGGCATTTCTTCGTAGGCAGACAACGGAATATTTCCTATAGTATTGAAGTTCTCGGCATCAGAGTCGTCTGAATCGTACACAGGGTTGATTTCCGGTTTAATTATTCTGGTGGTTCCATCAGAGTACTTGCTCTTGACGTTTTCATTTATGGATAAAGTTTTAAGGGGAAGTCCAGAAATTTCTTCTTTTGGTTCATCTGAAAACTCATCGGAGGAATAATCACTGGGGTCTTCTTCTTCGCCCAAGAGTTTATTTAATTCTTCTTCAGAGTCAAAGTCGCCATTATCTTCTTCTTCTTCCGAGTCGGCTTCTTCGTCTTCTTCGTCTTCTTCGTCCTCTTCGTCCTCTTCGCTCTCATCTGAATCATCATCACCATCAATCAATCCGTCAACTTGAAATTCTTCATCTGATTCTGGTTCTTCTTCGACTTCTTCAGGTTTTCTCTTTTTAGTCACACTTTCCTTCTTGGTGACTGTCTCCTTGGCAGGAGCTGCTTTTGACTTGGCCATTGCTGATAGAAAGGTCTAAACACTATAGAAACGTCTTAGAAAAACCTGGAAAAAAAAATTAATCTCATCTCGATGTGATTCCTACATATAAAAAATGTCTGAACATTTGCGACAAAGTTACATAAACACAAGCAAAGTAGCCATCCATGAACTCAATACACAAGATTAACCAAATCAACCAAAAGGAATTAGCCACAAACACGTCATACAAGTCCTCATGGCATTATGACTACCGTGATACAAATTATATATATATAGGCAACATCCCCTCCTCCCTCACCGCGCAAGACATAGTCATTATATTTAGTCAATACGGCATACCGACGCATTTGAACCTTGTCAAGGATAAAACCACCGGTGAGCATCGAGGATTTGCGTTTTTGAAATATGCACATTTCAAAAGCTGCATTTTGGCCATTGATAATTTCAATGGGATAAAAGTTGGGGATAGGAATTTGCGGGTCGATCATAATTATTACAAGTTGAAAGGTGGCGAACTTGAACTGGACTATTTAGTCGATTATAGTGAAATACAAGGAGTTAAACAGCAGTTGGAGAACAAAGATACAAAGTTGATTGAGAACAAAGAGGCTGACGAACTTAAAGACCCTATGGAGAAGTACATAGACGACGATCTTCGAGATCCGATCGAGAATTATAAAGAGGCAGGAAATGACGATGATGAACTTAAAGATCCAATGGAAGCTTACTTGAAAAGGTCTGACAAGCATGATAAACACGGCAGACACCGAAACAGACATAGAAGTGGTCACAAAGATCGAGAAAGAAGTCCGAAACGATAATGTATATTCTATATATCTTTCTTTATATTATGATCAAAGTAGTAATTAATAAACCTCTGCTTCGAATCCAAATTCAATTCTTGGTTAATCAAAGTCAAAGCATTCAATTCAAATGAATTCTTGATTTGGTTCAAGTCAAATTTATCAAACTTGTAAATCTTGATCTTGATCAGACATTTACTCAAGTTTGTCAACAATTGGAACAAGTATTGGAACTTACCAAGATATGGAATTGGCAATGTAAAGTAGCTTGGACTAAGCTTCAACACTAGCGACTTGACATTGAACCCGTCAAAATTGTACTTGTTGTCCAATTTAATGAAAGGCAACAACGACTTGTTATTTGAAGGTGTTCCTTCCAACAACAACACAACAATTTTATTCTTCAACTTGCTCAAATCATCAACTGGTTTACTCTCCTCATAACTAAAACAATGGTTGAAAACTTCCAATGCAGAATACTGATACAAGGTTCCTTGTTTGTTTGGAATTAAAAACACGGTATTGGAACTGTTTGCCAATACAGACACAATAAATCCGTCTAATGGACTAATATAATTAGTCACTAAAACATCACCTGCTTTTGGTTTATATTGTTCCAACTTTTCGGTCTGTGACTTCTTGACCCCATCTACGGTAAAGGTCGTGGTCAATCCGAATAGCAATTGGATGACAAACTTGGCAAATCCGATCCATCTAGTTAATGTATATAACAAATATGCAAGCACAAAGAACGGAAATTTGACAATAAAGATTGGTGTTTTCAAAGTATATGATCCAAGTCTCTTAACAGCCAGTGGTTCCTGTACAAGAGGAAACTTGGTTGGCATGAATGGTGATATACCAGTTGCCTTGTCTCTCCATGCAGAAAACTTTTCCATGGTACCTGTGTGTGTCCGTTTGCTTGTAGGAAAGAAAATCAGTCACATTTTTTTCAAAGTGTTCAAATACCATTTGGTGCAACTTACACAAACCCCCCATTGGTTACTACAGATAATTTCTACTCAAAATAAACTGTTATTATAATATACACTAGGTTAATAAACCACTAATAAAGAATTAAAGACACAAATACAGTAATACCCCTAAATAGTTTACAATTCTTGAGAAGCCTTACCAGCCTTTGGCTTCTTAGCTGGCAATAAGGATTGGTGAATGTTTGGCAAGACACCACCTTGGGCAATTGTAACGTGACCCAATAACTTGTTCAATTCTTCATCATTTCTGATGGCTAATTGTAAGTGTCTTGGGATAATTCTGGACTTCTTGTTATCTCTAGCAGCGTTACCGGCTAATTCTAAAATTTCAGCAGCTAAATATTCCAAGACAGAGGTCAAGTAAACTGGAGCACCAGAACCAATTCTTTGTGCGTAGTTACCCTTTCTTAATAATCTGTGGACTCTACCAACTGGGAAAGTCAAACCAGCCTTGGCTGATCTGGAAGTTGATGCTTTTTCGGATGAACCTGCTTTACCTTTACCACCGGACATTGTTATTTATTGTAATCTAATTTAATAATTTGATATATAGAAGAAGAAAAGAAGAAATGTAAATTTTTTGTTTCTTGCTTTCGTGGAATTTAAGCGATATTTATAAAAACAAGGATTTTTTTGTGATAGTGCACCTAGTGATCGAAAGTCATAACTTCCCTTTGATGAGCGAACCAGACACACACACAAACAAACAAAAGTTTCCTCGCACAAAAAAAAACAATTGTGAGATTTTCGCGGGGAGGTGCATTCTGAAAGTTACCACTGTGTTCTGAAAAGTACTATTGAATGGAACAAGTATACTTTCTACGCACTCGCGGGTGTAAATGTGAGCCCGCTTGGTCTCCCCCATAATTTGCAAGTACCATCTGCATTTCAATACACTGCAATTGCATTAGAACACCATACCAATGGACAAATCTACATCGGAAGCTCCGAAGCATACTACATCAACACCACTGCGACATTTACACATTAACCATCCTAATACTACAGTGCATGTGTAGTGCTTGTAACTACGCGATCAAAATCAAAACAATTACTGTTTTTGTTTTGATATGGTTTTCCACCGCGCACAGAGGAAACAAGAAAAAAAAACCGTCATTGTCTGATTATCGCCACCCGTTCCTGATTATTCTCACCTTCGCGCGAGATTTTGCTTCTCCCACAAAGGCAATTCCACTAGCACCAGAAAAAAAAAACACTCTCTGTTTGTCTCCCCCCTAAACAATCCACAATCACGCACTTGACAAACTTTCTTCATATAAATAAATCACTAATTCCTTCAAACTCAGTTTTTAAAAAAAATTTAACTTCTTCTTTCTTAGAAATTATAACAAACTAAACTTATTACAATGGCCCCACCTAAAGCTGAAAAGAAACCTGCTTCCAAAGCCCCAGCTGAAAAGAAACCAGCTGCTAAAAAGACCGCTTCCTCTGATGCCGGTAAGAAGAGAACTAAGGCCAGAAAGGAAACTTACTCATCATATATCTACAAGGTCTTGAAGCAAACCCATCCAGACACTGGTATTTCCCAAAAGGCCATGTCTATAATGAACTCCTTTGTCAATGATATCTTTGAAAGAATTGCCAGTGAAGCTTCCAAGTTGGCTGCATACAACAAGAAATCTACCATTTCTGCTAGAGAAATTCAAACCGCTGTCAGATTGATCTTACCTGGTGAATTGGCCAAGCACGCTGTTTCCGAAGGTACCAGAGCTGTTACTAAGTACTCTTCTGCTTCCAACTAAGGGTGATCTGTTCTTTCTACTTCATTTCTGTTTATTATTATTTTAGTTTATATCTTTTATAGGTTGAAAGTGTACATTAGTTTTTTCAAATAAATATTAACTTCTATTTACATTGAAGCTCTTGCTGCTCGTCATCTTCGTCATGATCGTAAAATATTAACAATAACACACAGCATAACAAGTTCATTAAATGATGTAACCAATAGGTATGTCGTCCTCCATATAACACGGCGTACATAATAACATAAGCCAAATACCACAGCAAAACCTTGACATATCTTGGTTTAACTCTCGGTAATTTCAACAAACTATTTGTTTGCACGAATAAAACAATTGGCACTATCGATAACAAATTATGATGGGAGCTGAATGGAGTTTTCCAATTGACTGCCAAATTATGAATGTAAACAATGACAATAGGGATGTTTATCGGTAAGATCCATAACATAAGTAAAAGTATTGACAATTGATAATTCAAGTCTTGTCTCTGTTTCCAATTCTTAACCACATTCATGGCTTGTATAACACAACACATAGCATATCCAATTTGATAAGGTAAATAAGTCGATATCGACCCGATTAAAAGCAATGTCGCAATGACACGACGATACTTGCTCGAGCCTCTGCTTGCTCTGACTGGGATTATGTCAACCACATAATGTATGAGTGCTCCTAAGATCCTAAGTACCAAATATGTAATTATAATCAAAAAATTAGCAATTAAATACAAGATAATCCCAACTAACGTAAACCCTTCATCTAATCCCAAATAGAACGAATTTAATTTAAAATCAGGATGTAAACTTAAATTAATCTCATTGAAATCTTGTATAACCACAGGGTCAATGAAGTTTAACACATGTTGAACAAACGGAATAGTAACAATTGGTTGAATCATAATCAAAACAGTAAGAAGAATCCACCATCCACGGCGATGAATCATGGCAATCACATTGATAAACGAAGGAAACGTCTTTCCACTGCCATAACTTCTAAATTGGAATAATATAACCATACTAATAATTGCCACAATCATGGACACAATAGATATTCTATATCTCAATACCAATAATCGTAAACTAGACACCAAATCAATGGAAATGTTAACTGTCAAAGGGGCGTCCCGTCCAGTCACATCACTCCATAATTGAATATTAATCGCATGACTGTAACTCTCACTCTTAACTTTAAATGGTACAAACGGTGCTATTCCATGCATGCTCAACCCAATTGATTTCTCCTTGGTCAAGTTGATATACCACTTGCTTTCAAATGGTTCATCTTTCCATTGTCGCATAAAACTAGTGAACTTCCCATCAACCAATCTGGACAACCTCAACTTGTAAACAAGGATACTATTCCATGCACCCGGGATCTGAATGTTGATTGATAATGCACGTTTGGGTATAGTCAAACTGGCTCCGCCTAACATGGACAATCCACTGGCATTTAATTTATAATTTATCGAGCTTTCCTGGTTCAATTCTGCAACTATAAAATCATCCCCAAGTTCACCATTTTGTATCACTAATATGGTGTCGTAATTGTCTAAAATTGTCGAATTAAATTCTAATCCATAAAATGGGTTTGCTGATCCTCCAAATGTGGAATCTTCAAGTGAATTGGTGTCTTTTGTTGATCTTGGTATAGTTACCATATCTGGAGAAACATCGACACATGATAAAGTGTTACCTTTGGTACATAATAACACGACTGTATTTGCCTTATCCTGGTATTTTCCCAATGGAACTGAAGCAAGCAATGAAAAATGTTGGCCCTTTTCCAATTCAAACATATTATATTGATTATAATCTGCTCCCATATTTAATTGCTTCACCTTATTCGTAGTTTTACCTTTCAAGTCAACTTCGATTAAATTACTCCTAGTGTAACTTTCATAATCTTGACTCTGGTAATTTTCAAATCCGCTCAAGAAATGCTTTCTAAATATCCTCATTCGCTTCTCTAATGGGTATGTCTTACCTGGTGCATTAGAATCGATAACCTCAAGTAAACTCTCGGCTATAAACTGTCTCAATTGTGAACACCACACTATAGCCAAATGATCAATTGGTGTCCATACGTTAGGTGTTCCTGTGGTAAAAACGGTGAATCCATTATTGGGAGGAATCAAAAATCCTAAACTGGTATAATCTGCTGGTAAAGTTGAGTCCAATCCACCACCGGTGATTGAAATTAAACTAATATCTTTGACTCTCTCATGGGCAATTTCCCCATATTCAGAAGTTGATTTGGGGTTGTATCCTTCATACCAGAAGCGGTCAATTGCAGAATAGATCTTTAATATATCCCCATCAAACGTTAATGGTGCAGCCGCATGTGGCGATGACAAAGTTAATATTGTATTTATGGAATTGTCAACATAATTAGGTAGTGTAATCATGACTCGGGCAACTATCCCACCCATAGAATGACCAACAATTATCACGGACTTGGGAGGTGATGGGTTTGAAGAGTATAAATCAAGAATAAACTTTATTGCTTCATTTAAGTATTCGGCCTGATCCAATATGGTTCTTCCATGAAATGCTGTGAAATCTTCATTAAAATCACCCGCGAAAACATCTAAATTCTTGAAATTGGGATTTATTTTCTTATACTTGTCGTGTTCATCATAATACAATTCACTGACTCTTGCGGCAATAGCTCTAACTTGTCGATAACTACCTGCATTCCCAGGAATGAAAAGAACGGGAACACCGTCTAAAAAATCACCTTCATTAGGGATCTTATCCTTGTGTTGTTCCCGATACAAGTATAATGAATACTTTGATGCAAATTTAGTGTATGATTCATCAAACCCCTTGATTCTGGCGTATGATGGTCCCATCCATACTTGTTTACATCCAGGTAGGTCTGGTCCCTGCAACGGCTTTAAATATGAATATCCAATAAACAGGAAAAGTAAGAACCCCAAAAGGGTGCTTATATAAAGGGTAAGTTTATTACTAGGTCGTATCTTGTCTCGTGATTGTAATTCCATTAGAGTTGTTGCGTTATTGAGTGTCAGCTGTTATCATTGAGATGAAGGTTGCAATACTCAGGTACAGTTGATGATTTGGACAATCTAATTTTTTGGCGTCCTTTTTTTTAGGCTTTCCCATTTTGTACATAATCCACAACACCAATGCAACCACGACAATAGAGGGGCTACACGAGGTAACATGGAGGTAAGAAAAAAGCAATGTTGATATCTTTTTGTCTGTATTAACTATATACCTATCTAGTCCTTCATTTCTGTGTCTTCTCCTTCAGCCTTTTCATCAGACTTCTCCTTTTTTGCCAACTCTCTAATACCCGTCAAGAACCCGTCAATCCCTTCACCATGGTAATCAAATTTTAAACTCTGAGCAAGTAAATAGCCAGCTCCATTCCCCTGAGTTAAATATTGACTCAACTTTTGTTCTGATTGTTGAAAAAATCCACTTCTGATAACATCCAATATTTGCTCTTTGGTTGGGTTTTCAGCAACTGATTGAGGAAGAAATTGTCCATACAATTCTTTCAATTGCTCGGTATTCAATCCTGCAAGATGTTTATCAATCGTTTCAAGATCCAATACTGAAGAAATTGAACTAATTGGTAATTTCAAGTCTGGCTTTGCACTAGTGGCTGCAGTTGCAGCTGTTGCAACCCTGTGTTATTCTGTTAGTACCACATGCTTACACGTCTCATTTCTATATGCATTATATATTCTGTTCATCATAACCATGCAAATATGTCCTATAGAAATAAGATAAACACATACTATAAGATACTTACGGTTGTTGCTCGGAACCTTCATCTTTTACTTCCACTTCCTCATTTGGAGTTTCGGCTTCCTCATCTTCTTCTTCTTCGTCTTCATCGTTCACATATATCAATTCGGAAATATCCCGGATTATTTTGTCATCCTTGTCGGTCCATTTATCCAATTGATCTATATCACCAACATCTTGTAACCAGTATAAATATTTAGCACCAGAACTTAAAAATGTCAATGCGATAACACGACCAGTATTACATGACTGTATCTTCTTAATAGTGACATCCCCAGGTATCAACAAAAATTCATCTTTTTCTATAGTTCCCACAGAAGACTGAGTCAGATCAGACTTGGCTGACCAAGTGAAATCTAAAAAGTCAGGTTCATCAACACTAGGTTTGATCAGAATTACGCCCTTGTGAGGTAAGGGAGTACATCTATTTGTTTCGTCATCATACTGAACTTTACCAGCATGGAATTTTACCAGTTTGGAAGATGGCATTGTGTGAGATTATAGTCTATAAGGTGAGGCTTCCTCAATTGAGTGTTCAAGTAGACCGTCTTGGCTGGGTGCCATTTTCTTTGCCACTGTTGAAAAAATGAGAGTTTGTTAGTAGGAAGGTGTTGGTTGTGCTGTGCACGACTAATTTCGTAATTGTGCTGTGGGATGGAAAAAAGTTATAATGGGGAGAGAGTTTTTGGCAAGCCGTAGAGGTTAGTCAATTAGAACAAGCAATACAGACTGCAACAAGCTCTATACTTATCAATTGGTCTTTAATCGCATACGCTCACTCAATATGTCATTCCCACCTGAAGATATCACCGAAATAGTAACCCAAATAGCCTCGATATTACGAGAAAGAAATCAAACATTGGCAATTTCAGAAGCAGCATGTGGTGGACTCATATCAGCATATATCGTATCCGTGCCAGGAGCCTCTAACTTTTATATTGGTGGTAAATTAGTATATTCCTTAAAGCAAAGGTTGAAATTGTCTGGGTGGTCCGATAGTGAAATATCCAACTATATGGGACCCTCGGAACAAGTTGCATTGAAATTGGCCAGAACTGCCAAGTATGAATTAGGATCCACTTATGTGTTGTCAGAAACTGGATTTGCAGGTCCTTCAACGGGGATAGTGATACCGAACGGAAAAGAAGATGAAGAACAAGAGAGTGATGAAGTTGGGACAGTATATATTGGATTATCTGGTCCCAATGGCGAAGCCTCGACCTCCAATAGCACAGGAAGTCATGATAGAGCAAAGAACATGTCGGAATTTGCCAAGTTGGGTTTAAGTTTCTTGCTTGAACAATTACAAAAGACAGATGAAAAAGACAGTAGATAAATATAATGTAGTATCACAGAATTATATATATATATATGTGTGTGTCGAAGTGTTTAATATACGTTTATGTTTAGATTTTAGCAGTATTTTGACTACAAAACAATATGGTGTATATGGTATTCTGTTTGATTGCAAACTGCTGTTGCATATTTGATAATTTTTTTGAGATATTTCTGCAAAATTTATGCGAAACTCAATTAGCCACACACAACAAAGAATTAAACTTTAAGCACATTTCTATAATCCTTGCACATATATTAGTTCAATTCAAGTATTAACACTACGCTACACTATACAGTGTTGATATAAGCTGACATTGAATATATCATCAAAATACATCACGTGAATTAAGCATGATTTAAGCGTGACAAACGCATGACCACTTTTCACCTGACTGACACGTCGAAATTATTTTTTAACTGAATCAAGGTTAAAAAATACTTTGAGCTTAACACGAAATTTTTTTGTCAGTTGTGCATACGAAAAAACAAAAGTTTTGTTTGAGACGAAAAAACCCAACAACAAAAATATTCATTTTGAAACACCCTTGATCAAGATTTCAAACAGTTGTTGGAATTAATCACAAATTCATAATCTTTTGTTTCAATTAGTATTAGCAAACATACTAGGATAACTGAGCTGATAAACAATTGGATCTGAGGACTGATTCGAGAATAACCGCAACCGCAAAACTTTAGATCTGACTTTACCCGCCGATCAATCGTACCAAACAAACTTTCAATCAAGATATATACTAATACATCAAAATATGACTTCAGGTATGTATACAACTAATACCATATTCACAGTTGCATAATGATACTAACTTTGTTCTAGTTGAACCAGAAAAACAACCAGCAATCCAAATGCCAAGCCTGGTGAAATCACCAATAACCTATACTCCCCAAGATATCAAAATCATCAAAAAGGTATTGAATGGTTATGTTGGATTTGCCAATTTACCTAAGCAATGGCACAGAAAGTCCGTTAGAAGAGGATTCACTTTTAATATCATGGCTATTGGTGAAAGTGGTTTAGGTAAAGCCACTTTAATCAACACTCTTTTCAACCGCGAAATTGTCAACCATAGAGATGATGAAGAAACCGTAGAAGAAGATACCGAGGACAAAGAAGGAGGAGTGGCTGTGAAAATTAGATCAACCAAGGCTGAAATCGAAGAAGATGGTGTCAAATTAAAGGTCAGTGTTATAACAGCTCCAGGATTTGGTGAATCAATCAACAATACCGACTATTGGAAACCAATTGTTGATGAAATTAACAGCAGGTTTGATTCTTATTTGGAAGCTGAATGTAAAATCAACAGATCTACCATAGTTGATGATAGAATTCACGCATTCCTTTACTTTATTGAACCAACCGGTCATTCCTTAAGAGCCTTGGATATTGCCATGATGAAATTGGTTCACGAAAAGGTTAACTTAATTCCAATCATTGCCAAGTCTGATACTTTGACTGATGATGAAATTGTGGAATTTAAGCAACGTATATTAGCTGATATTGCACATCAAGGAATTAAAATATTTACTCCAGAAGCTCCCGGTGATGATGATGAAGAAACTGTATCGAATACCCAATCAATCATTGATACTTTCCCCTTTGCCGTTGTTGGTTCCACCAAAGAAGTTCAAACTCCAGATGGAAGAACTGTCAGAGGTAGACAATATCCTTGGGGTGTTATTGAGGTTGATAATGAAGCTCATAATGATTTTGTCAAATTACGTCAATTGTTAATTAGAAACTTTTTGGAAGAATTGAAAGAACACACTGCCAATGTTTTGTATGAAAACTATAGAACTGAAAAATTAAAGAAGATGGGTATTGAACAAGACAGTACCGTGTTCCGTGAATTTGATCCACTTGCTAAACAACAAGAAGAAAGAGCTTTACATGAAGCCAAATTAGCCAAGATGGAGGCAGAAATGAAGCTGGTTTTCCAACAAAAAGTTTCCGAAAAGGAAAAGAAGTTACAAAGATCAGAAGCTGATTTATTTGCTAGACACAAGGAAATGAAGGACAAATTAACCAAACAAATCAAGATTTTGGAAGAAAAAAAGGTTCAATTGGAAAAACAAAGATCATTACCTCAAGAACCAATGGTCCAACCTGCTCAACAAAAGACTCGTAAAGGATTCTTGCGTTAAGGAGGTAGATGGTTAATTTTGTGTTTTATTCTATATATATTTTCTATGTTTTTATTGTTTAGTTGTGCAATACATGAGAATGTGCTAAATTTTTTTTGACGTAGCATATAGCAACCGGTTACCATTGTTTTTTTTGTCTTGTTACCCGGTTATGATCTGTGCGACTCAAAGTTCGTACCAGCAGCACATGCTAATAGACTACCAAATTAGGCTAAAATGCAAACGACGATCTGGCAGCCAAAGAAAAAATTCATGTCCTTGACGTTTTCTCTCGTCTGTTTTTTTTGATCTCACACTCTCCCTGACATTTACACTTTTCGATAAGATAAGCGGAGTTCGAAATGGGAAAGAAAGAAGCAGCCAAACCAGCACCTGCTGCAAAGGCACCACGATTTAAATGGCCTGCTATGCCTACTATGCCCGCTATGCCTCCTATGCCTGCTGTGAATATACCCTTTAAGAAAGATTTATTTCTCTCAACATTGCAAGTATGTGAACCCAATCACTGTCATACGGGATTGAAATACTAACTTGATAAAACTAGAGTTTTCAATTTGTGTCGTTTCTAGGTAACTTTTTAACGACACTTGGTGTACTTCTTTACACGTTGACATATTTCAAGCTTAGTTCCGAGAATTATGAGGTATTTCATGATATCTCCTTGGTTGGAGTAGTTATATCATCTGGAGCATTCACGGTGCAAAATGTTATAAAGCATAGATTGAGCTTGGGTCCAGTTATCAAAGATGACAGTTTTCATTACTTGTTCATAGGGTTGTCCTTGTTAATTCTTCATCCATGCGTATTTTTCACAGTATTACCATTTGGACTATACTCAGTTTTTATTGTATTGTCGTTTCTTACAGGTAGTTTATTTCCAATATTCGAAATCGAAAACTGTTTTGTGGCACATTTATTCAATTCAATCACAAGTGGCCTCAGGGGTCCCGCAGTCGGGTTTGCTAGTGGTACTGAATTGACAGCCATGGTGATGTTGGTGTTGAGAGTGATTACATTCAGAAGTAATTCATTGCTTATAGTGTTGATCTATGCCGTGTTTTTGAAATTGAGATACGAGACTTCTCAAGCCTCGAGAGACGCTGTTAAACGATTTGTAAACTTTGGTGACAAAGTTATCGCCATCTTTGACAGTCATCAAATGAACAATATTTGGAAAGATGTGAAACTGGGTTCAAAAGCTTTGGACAAGTACCGGTTGGTAAATGATTACGATGCCAAAGTGGAATAATGCATAGAGGCTTCTAAGCCTGAGGATGCTCCTAAGCCAGAAGCACCCAAAGAGGAAAGCAAAAAGGAAGAACCCAAGAAAGAAGAAAGCAAAAAGGATGCACCCAAGCAAATAGAAGCTAAGAAGCCACCTCCTCCAAAGAGTCCAGTGATAAAGAACGTTTTCAAACTGAACAAACTACTGAAGAAATTAGTTTCTTTCAACCAAACCAGCAAAAGACAATATAGCCGAATGAAGAGAGCAATAGTGGATGGTATAGATGAACTTCGTTAGTATGACAAAAAGTGTATAGTTAATTTTTTTTTTACTAGCATTACATAGTAATGACGTCAACTCTTTTTGACTGCAAATTTCCGACATTACATGCGTCGCGACTTTTAATTTCTGATTTGCGACAAATGCCAAATTTGAAAAATTTCAAAAAAAAAAAAAAAAGAATATGAAAAAAGTTCTATCGTTTTCCACCGTCTTCCACATCCACAATTTCTGGAAAATTCGCACCCAAATAGAACATGATAGAAATTTATTTCGACGAAACTGGCAAAAATTTTCAACCATTTAAATTGTTACCAAATTCCCTAATTTGATTTTGAAAAATTTCAGTTTCTTTCTTCCTTCTTTTTTCAATTAACCAATTCTTTTAATTAAAAATGTCCAAAGCCGTTGGTATTGATTTAGGTACTACCTACTCCTGTGTTGCTCACTTTGCTAATGATCGTGTTGAAATCATTGCCAACGATCAAGGTAACAGAACCACCCCATCTTTCGTTGCCTTCACTGACTCTGAAAGATTAATTGGTGATGCTGCTAAGAACCAAGCTGCTATGAACCCAGCTAACACTGTTTTCGATGCCAAGCGTTTGATTGGTAGAAAATTCGATGACGCTGAAGTTCAAGGTGATATGAAGCACTTCCCATTCAAGGTCATTGACAAGGCCGGTAAGCCACAAATTCAAGTTGAATACAAGGGTGAAACCAAGGACTTCACTCCAGAAGAAATTTCTTCTATGATTTTATCTAAGATGAAGGAAACCGCTGAAGGTTTCTTAGGTACCAAGGTTAACGATGCCGTTGTCACCGTCCCAGCTTACTTCAACGATTCCCAAAGACAAGCTACCAAGGATGCTGGTTTAATTGCTGGTTTAAACGTTATGAGAATTATTAACGAACCAACCGCTGCTGCTATTGCTTACGGTTTAGACAAGACCTCTGAACACGAACAAAATGTTTTGATTTTCGATTTAGGTGGTGGTACTTTCGATGTCTCCTTATTGTCTATTGAAGATGGTATTTTCGAAGTTAAGGCTACTGCTGGTGACACTCACTTGGGTGGTGAAGATTTCGATAACAGATTAGTTACCCACTTCTCTAACGAATTCAAGAGAAAGCACAAGAAGGACTTATCTTCTAACCAAAGAGCTTTAAGAAGATTGAGAACTGCTTGTGAACGTGCCAAGAGAACTTTGTCCTCTTCTGCTCAAACTTCTGTTGAAATTGACTCCTTGTTTGAAGGTATTGATTTCTACACTTCTATCACCAGAGCTAGATTCGAAGAATTATGTCAAGATTTATTCAGATCTACCTTGGACCCAGTTGAAAAGGTTTTAAGAGATGCTAAGGTTGACAAGTCTCAAGTTCACGAAATTGTCTTGGTTGGTGGTTCCACCAGAATTCCAAAGGTTCAAAAGTTGGTTTCCGACTTCTTCAACGGTAAGGAACCAAACAGATCTATTAACCCAGATGAAGCTGTTGCTTACGGTGCTGCTGTCCAAGCTGCTATCTTATCTGGTGACACTTCTTCCAAGACTCAAGATTTATTGTTATTGGATGTTGCTCCATTATCCTTAGGTATTGAAACTGCTGGTGGTATCATGACCAAGTTGATTCCAAGAAACTCTACTATCCCAACCAAGAAGTCTGAAACCTTCTCTACTTATGCTGATAACCAACCAGGTGTCTTGATTCAAGTTTACGAAGGTGAACGTGCCAAGACCAAGGACAACAACTTGTTGGGTAAGTTCGAATTATCTGGTATTCCACCAGCTCCAAGAGGTGTTCCACAAATTGAAGTTACCTTCGACATTGATGCTAATGGTATCTTGAACGTTTCTGCTTTAGAAAAGGGTACTGGTAAGTCTCAAAAGATTACCATTACTAACGATAAGGGTAGATTATCTAAGGAAGACATTGAAAAGATGGTTTCCGAAGCTGAAAAGTTCAAGGAAGAAGATGAAAAGGAAGCTGCTAGAGTTCAAGCCAAGAACGGTTTAGAATCTTATGCTTACTCCTTGAAGTCTACTTTAGGTGACGAACAATTCAAGTCTAAGTTAGAAGCTTCTGAAGTTGAAGAAGTTACCAAGGCTGCTGATGAAACCATTGAATGGTTAGACTCCAACCAAACTGCTACTGCTGAAGAATTTGCTGACAAGCAAAAGGAATTGGAAGGTAAGGCCAACCCAATCATGGCCAAGGCTTACCAAGCTGGTGCCGCTCCAGGTGGTGCTGCTCCAGGTGGATTCCCAGGTGCTGCTGGTGGTGCTCCAGAACCAAGCTCTGAAGGTCCAACTGTTGAAGAAGTTGATTAAATGGTTTTTAACTCTGGGGAAAATTAATTTATAATGATGCATTTTTTTACGGGATTTGTTATAATTAGAAATTTCTTTTAAATTTTTATAGAAATATTTGTGTATAGATTTTTTTAGAAATTAGAAAGAATTTGGCTAAAGAAGGTCGTAGTAGTTAGTAGCAGCAGTATTGTTATGCAATATTGCTTAGTGATCTGCAGGTTAATGCATGACTGTCAATTTTCATACATTACAAGCGTTTCATGTCAATAACTTTTATTGAGAATTGTCTCCAGATTCAAGTATGATTGGTTTAAGTTTGGTTTATTTTAGACAGATTCATATTGGCTATGTAACTCTTGGCAATGTGACTTGTGAAAATATTAGGAGCAGCACAGCCATGCGTCTTCCGAGGCTAAAAGATAAGAGTTCCACGTCACACACCAATCAAAATAGATTAAAGTCACCTTACTCTAAGCATATATTTTTAGCAATAAATTGATAAGTCAACTCCGGGGGAATTTCAAAAAAAAATATTTTCTTTCTTTTCTTTTGGTGATTCTTGACTCCTGTTTATTAGTAAGATGGTAATATCGTACGAAACATAGACAAAAGCAATGGTGTTTACTGGTGCTTGGTAACTAGATTCTAAAGAATGACTGAGAGCATTTGATGTCATGTGAAGCTAAAGTTCTATAGTTTATATTTGGTGCAACTCACATGCCTCGAGTTCTATAAATAGGTGTAGATTTTAAGGTTTTCATTTTGAAACATGCCATCTATAAGCAATGAGTCAGCCTTAACCTTGTATTGCTTGTTTCATGAGTTTTAATTTGTTGTTCGGAGATTCGGAGTTGGCGATTAAATTATATAATCGGGATGAAAGGAAGTACAGAACAATACCCCAGATTCTCCCCAGGGATTGAGACCAATAAGAAGAAATTTCGGAGTTTTTGCACCGCTCCGTGGATAATCAAACCAAAAAAAAATAAAAAATAATCCATGATAGACTTTTTTGGTTTGTTAGTCGCCGGTTAAAAGAATGACCCCAGAAAATATATTTGATAACAATAAGAATAATAAGAAAAAGCAAAACCAATGATATGTTCCAGATTTAAAATATCATAACCAGTGTAGTAGGTTCAAGCATGACTGGAAAGGTTAAGTGCACTGAACAGACAAACTTGAACTTATCTTGTGACAGAGCAGATTGAGACAGATACTTACTAGCCTTAAGTTAAAAGTGTGTCTAAAATAATGCAACGGGGAACTTTATACCGAAACTAAGAAACTGTGGCATTAGAATTTTAACATAACGAGATTTAACTTTTTCTCGTGCTGCTACGTTAGATTCGTTAAGCTTTTTCGCTTGTCATCTGTACTGTGAATTGTTTACTATTGCCTAGCTTAAATGTTTCACTATCATTTCTTAGTTGAAAGATCCGAGGTTATAGACATTTTAAAGTTATCAACTATTGCAACCATCAAGATAAGGGTCTGAGCAGAACGATCCCGATGAAGTAGATAAGACCAGGTAATGGTTTAATTTCTACATGCAGGGTTGGTCCATATACACTCCTACATACACATACGTCTGTTTTAAATGTGTTTTCGTTAAAAAATAAATATGAAGTACATAAAGAAAACAGTTAAATAATAATAATAATAATAAATTTTTTATTTTGTTGGTTTTTTTTTTTGATCTCAACAAATTAAGTTGTTGAACCCAAATATAAAAATCCAATAGAAATTCCCAAAAAAACTTTTAAATATTTCTTGCTTTCTTTCTTTCTTTCTTGCTTTAGTTCGTTGTTTGTATATTCTTACTTTAACGTATATAAACAGAAGCTTACCCAACCAATAATTGTATGTATATTTGTTGGACCCAACAATTTCGCACCAAAGGACACAAAGAAAAAAAATCCTACTTAAACGACCAAATCGTATAGAAAGAACGAAAATGACAGATATTTACAGATAATTACTCAATTCATGCAAATTCAAGAGAAAGAGATAATTAGGCAATTAGAAATATGCTACAATGGACTTAAGATTTGATCATTTGCCAATGGAGTTATTTGCAACATGGGAATGACTTGCTAGTGATATCTTTACTGAATCATAGCGGCTATTCTTATTTTTTTTTATTTTTGGCAGGACAAGAAAAAAAATTTTTACCTAATAGTTTTTCTTCATTCTAGGCGCGATTGGAATCACGTCAATTGTTCGAAAATTACCCCTCCCCCTCACCGTTGAAATAACGAACCATTTCTTTCATTAAAACTTGTACTGGTTTTGACCACGCCGCAAATACAAATACAAATTGTGTTCTTTGCTAGATCAATTCTAGAATAATTTACTAACAATTGCTTAGTATTCAATTAAATTTTTGCAAGTCAAATTTCGACATAACCAAATTATTATAGATAATTAATTACACACAATGACTGTTCAAGTTCACAAAGTTGTTCACGAAGCTAACGGTGTCACTCCAAGACCAACCCCAAAGGAATTCTACGAAAGACAACCAAACCAAAGTGCTATCAAGGATTTAGACCACTACCGTGAATTATATCAACAATCCATCGAAGATCCAGAAAAATTCTTTGGTGATGCCGCCAAGGAGTTTTTATCTTGGGATCGTGATTTCTCTAAAGTTAAATCAGGTACTTTACAAGGTGGTGATCCAGCTTGGTTCTTGGGTGGAGAATTAAATGCCTCTTACAACTGTGTTGATAGACATGCTTTTGCCAACCCAAACAAACCAGCTATCATCTATGAAGCTGACGAAGAAAAAGATTCTTATATCTTAACCTATGGAGATTTATTAAGAGAAGTTTCCAAGGTTGCCGGTGTCTTGAAGTCCTGGGGTATCAAGAAGGGTGATACTGTTGCCGTTTACTTACCAATGAATGCTCATGCCATTATTGCTGTTTTAGCTATTGCCAGAGTTGGTGCTATTCACTCAGTCATATTTGCTGGTTTCTCCTCTGGTTCCATTAGAGACAGAGTCAATGATGCTTCTTGTAAGGCTTTAATCACCTGTGATGAAGGTAGAAGAGGTGGTAGAACCGTTAACATCAAGAAGTTATGTGATGAAGCTCTTCTTGACTGTCCATCTGTTGAAAAAGTTTTAGTTCACAAGAGAACTGGTAACCCAGAAATCAAATTAGTTCAAGGTAGAGATTACTACTGGGATGCTGAAACTGCCAAGTTCCCAGGTTACGTTGCCCCAACTCCAGTCAACTCCGAAGATCCATTATTCTTGTTATATACCTCTGGTTCTACTGGTACTCCAAAGGGTGTTGTTCATTCTACTGCTGGTTTCTTATTAGGTACTGCCATGACCTCCCGTTATGTGTTTGACATTCAACCTGAAGATATCGTTTTCACTGCTGGTGATGTCGGTTGGATTACCGGTCACTCTTATGCCGTTTACGGTCCATTAGTTCTTGGTGTTCCAACTGTTGTTTTCGAAGGTACTCCAGCCTACCCAGATTATGGTAGATTCTGGCAAATTGTTGAAAAGCACAAGGCTACTCACTTCTATGTTGCTCCAACCGCTCTTAGATTATTGCGTAAGTCTGGTGAACAAGAGCTTGCCAAGTATGATATCAGTTCCTTAAGAACCTTGGGTTCCGTTGGTGAACCAATTTCTCCAGATATTTGGGAATGGTACAATGAATTTGTCGGTAAGGGCCAATGTCATATTGCTGATACTTATTGGCAAACTGAATCTGGTGCTCATTTAATTGCTCCAATTGCTGGTGTTATTCCAAACAAGCCAGGTTCTGCTTCCTTACCATTCTTTGGTATTAAGACTGCCTTGATTGACCCAGTTTCCGGTGTTGAAATTGAAGGTAACGATGTTGAAGGTGTTTTGGTTGTTAAGGATCACTGGCCATCTATTGCCAGAACCGTTTACAAGAACCACGGTAAATACATGGACACCTACATGAATGTCTACCCAGGTTACTACTTCTCTGGTGATGGTGCTGCTAGAGATAATGATGGTTACTACTGGATCAGAGGAAGAGTTGATGACGTTGTCAATGTCAGTGGTCACAGATTATCTACTGCTGAAATTGAAGCTGCTTTAATTGAACATCACGGTGTTTCTGAAGCTGCTGTTGTTGGTATCAATGATGATCTTACCGGTCAAGCCGTTATTGCTTATGTTGCCCTTAAAGATGAAGTAAGCTCCAAGATTGCCGATGTGGAAGAAGCTACCTTGTTGAGAAAGGAATTGATTTTACAAGTTAGATCCACCATTGGTCCATTTGCAGCACCAAAATCTGTGATTATTGTTGCTGATTTACCAAAGACCAGATCCGGTAAGATTATGAGAAGAATCTTGAGAAAGGTTTCCTCATATGAAGCTGATCAATTGGGTGATATTACTACTTTGTCTAACCCACAATCTGTCCAAGGTGTCATTACCGCATTTGAATCCCAATTCGGTAAGAAGTAATAGATGTTTATAGTCATACACAGTTTGTAATTTAATTTAATTCGAGAAAATATTCATAGAGGTTTTTTGCACAGTATAGAATTAAAGCAACAAAAAAAAAAAAATAAAATTGTTAACTTTATGTTTAACCACCAATGTCAATTCCAATATGGGGTCTACTAAGGCTATTCATAGTGCTTAAAGTGATCCAGATACTAATCATATACTTTACTCCGGGTCAATTTGACACGTCATCTCAATTAATTATATCTCAACTAGAATCACCATTTCCTAAGGTAGTAACCACAATACTTGACAAGCTCATCGTATGGGATTCAGTGTATTTCAATGACATGTTTATCAATCCAGCCAAGTATGAGAATCAACTTGTGTTTTGTCCTGGATGGATTGCATTCATTAAATTGTTCCCAGTTGAGAACTACTATTCCTTACAATTGTTAAGTATTGCAATTTCCAATATCTGTCATTTTGCCCTGGCAATTTTGTTATATGCCATCACAAGAGGCATGTACGATGGTAAAATTAGTGAATTAAGCAGTGCATTCATTATATTGTCACCTACAGCGGGAGTATTCCTCACTACGAATTATTCAGAGAATATCAGCAACTTCTTGACATTGCTTTGTTTTTACTTGTACTTTATCTCAGTCAACTTCCAAGATTACTCGAAAACAAGCAACAAATCAATTGCACATCCAGTGACATACATTTTGTCAGGGGTAATTGCAAGTATGGGGTTCACAGTCCGAGCTAATGGATTATTACTCGGAATAATCTACCTCATAGATTTATACCACTTTGTGATAGACCAGAACATGAATGAAATAATATTGACTTTGACTACGGGGTCTACTCTATTCATCACATTTGCATCCACCAACATCTATCACTACATTAAATTCTGTCCTGCAAGAGGTGAATGGTGCAACTCATACTTTCCTAGTCTATTCAAATATGCCCAAGGCCGATATTGGAATGTGGGTCTATTCAAATATTGGACCCCTAACAACATTCCGAATTTCTTAATTGTTGCCCCTGCCATATACATAAACATTTATTCAACATGGTATATATACAAGAACGAGGTACCGAAAAATAAGAAAATATTAGTATTGGTAATAATCCATGCCATTATCTTATTTAGTGGGATTTTCTTTTGGAATGCGCAAATTTTGAATAGAGTAACTAGTTACTCACCACTTGTGTATTGGACGATAAGCTTACATTTCGTGGATCACAACAAAAGAAAATGGGCGGAATACGTAGCCGGGTTTGGCATACTTTGGAATGTTATCCAAACAACATTGTTTGCTGGGTTTTTACCACCGGCTTAATCTAATCTGGTTACTTTTACTTGATTTAGGTGATAGATCAATCGCCAAAAAAACAAAAAAAAATTATTATTTTTTTTTGCTGCAAATCTTTACTGGATTAGGAACTCAGATACGATGTTTCAGGAGAACTGTATGTGTGTAGATAAACAGCGATATATAAGTATATAACAACATCTAATATCCTTAATAAAAGTTGGATTGTAAGGTAATCAACAAGAATGAATCATTCAACCGTTTCAGAAACTGGGGTTATTGAAAAGTACATTGGTACTAACTTTCAATTGAAAATCTCGTTGATAGTTTTTATTCCTCTTGTTGTATACTTGTTTACAAGAACAAAGAGCTTGAAGCCTTCAGCTGAAGTGTCTAATGGAAAAACAAAGAGGTATAACCCCAATGAACGTCCCTTAGGTGTCTGGAATCCTGATTATAATTTCAAAACTCCAGTTCCTGAGCCATATCCAAACTGGGATATCGAAACCACTAAACCATTACCGTACAGGGCATTCAGACACAAGTACAATGTGACAATGGGACTCAGAAATATGGATTGGTCAAGTTGGATCGAATTAGATAACGAGTGGCCCAAATTTCATGAATTAAAGTTGCAGAGATTGGCAGGTGACATGGGTGATACTTTACATGACATATCACCCATGGCTAGAGATGCATCTTGGGAATTGTTACGAGAATTATGTGGGTATTTACCTCATAGATATCCTAAATTATTCAAATTTGAACACGAAGTGATGGAAATCTTGCCTACTGGAGAAAAATTCGATCTTAATGATGAAAAGTTGGATCCTATAGTCACATCAGCCAAGTTCCTTCAAGATGATATTGCTATTGTAGTTGAAAACGATGATGGTGCTTACTCACTCGAAGCTGGTTGCATTTGTCTTGCTGGATTTTGGAGATTAAAAGACAAGTTCAGGATGAAGCTTGATGAAATTCACCAAAGTGGAGATGTTCCTCAGTACGATGAAAGATTAAAAACAGGAATGAATAAGTTTTTCAGAAGATTAGCCGTGGATAAACCGGTGGTGAGAAACAATTATTTCATTCAAACCGATAATGACTTGGCATGGTCATACTCTATTGGTTCAGAAAAGACTGAAAAAGTAGGCTGGTATACTGCAGAAGAAGCTACCGATGTTAATATGCTTTACTATAGAAGTGAAAGACAAAGTTTGAGAAGATTACCTATTTCAGGGGCTGTTGTATTCACTATTAGAACTTACTTTATTCCAATAGCTAAATTGTGTGAAGAACCTTATGTTCCTAGAAGATTATTCAATGGTCTTTCCAGCTGGAGTGACGATGTTGGGGAATATAAAGGATTCCATAAGTTCAAAGATATATTATTACCTTATTTAGAACAGAAAGCTAAAGAGCAAGAGGCGAATGGTTTAGATCCAACCAAAGAACCGCAAGGATTCCCATTTTAATTTTTAGTAGTTTAATAAATATTGTATACAATTGTGTTTATATTGCAGATTATATCATGACCACAATCAGAAACAATATTCTACAACACGAAATATACCAAAATATCTAATGTACATTAAAAAGAACTATAAAGTAATACATGAATTAAAAAGCAAATATGAATTAAATAACCGTACACCTAAGATCTTTCACCTCTTAATCTTCTAGCTAATTGGATATCCTTCTTTTGGATGGTAACTCTCTTAGCGTGGATAGCACATAAGTTAGTGTCTTCGAATAAGGAAACCAAGTAAGCTTCAACGGATTCTTGTAAAGCACCAATAGCAGAAGATTGGAATCTTAAATCAGTCTTGAAATCTTGGGCAATTTCTCTAACCAATCTTTGGAATGGCAATTTTCTGATTAATAATTCAGTAGACTTTTGGAATCTTCTAATTTCTCTTAAAGCGACGGTACCTGGCTTATATCTGTGTGGCTTCTTGACACCACCGGTAGATGGAGCAGACTTTCTAGCAGCCTTGGAAGCTAATTGTTTTCTTGGAGCCTTACCACCAGTGGATTTTCTAGCTGTTTGTTTGGTTCTAGCCATTGTGAATATGTAATATAAAGTTGATGATTTTTTAAAAGAAAATAATAAAATTTTAATTGGGGTCTAGAGTACGTTTTATATTTATTGGAATCTTGGGGAGACACAATTAGCAGCAATGGTTGAAATTAAAATGTAAACAAACAAAGTCATGTGATTAGAGTGGAGATGGCGAAACTAGTATCTTTTGTCGGGTGGAAAAGCGCGTGTTCTGAAAAATACACATCAAGTGTGAAGGTTGCAGAACAAAAACTCGGTGCTGAGTATTACTCAAAACAATGAGTAAATCTCAGAACCGCGAAAAGCAACAAAAAATATCTATTTTCGTTTTTTTGCAATCATTCCCGCGCGACAAATATGAATTTTCATATGGTTACTATTGTTCATAGTATCTTTTGTACCAGCAAGAAAATTAAACTAAGCTTTTTCGTTTCTTCTCGGCCTCAATTGTTATTATCTCCCCACTGTTAGACTGAAACTTACGCAGTGGCTGTGGCAATTGTGTTTCTTTTCAAAGCCTGAGAAGCCACTGATTCAGGGAGTTTTTTCGCACCGCACCACAAGAAAAATCATTTGTCTTTGCCATTCTCTTGACTTTTGCGTTTGTTATTGCGTAATTCCTCTCACTTTACCTTACTTCTCTTTGTTTCCTGGTAACTTTTCCGCTGTTTCATGCGCTTCTCCTCTCGCCTCCCTTGCTTCTCTCTACACAGCTTTCCTGGTTTTCGCACCTGCACAAACAAAAACACAAACAAACAAATCATTCAACTTTTTTTTGTTTTTCCCTCAGTTGCATTAGATACACACTCATTACGGTTATTCATTATCGTTATTTGTTGTTGCCCCCTTTTTGACTGACAATCAAAAATTTGTGAGTTTATTATAAATTAACACCAGTTCGCACTATTTTTTTAACCACTTAATTTTTTTTGTTCTATACAAGTATTAACTTTTAGTTATACAATTAACATAAATAACATACACTAAATAAATACACAATGTCTGGTAGAGGAAAAGGAGGAAAAGGTTTAGGAAAGGGTGGTGCTAAGAGACACAGAAAGATCTTGAGAGACAACATTCAAGGTATTACCAAGCCAGCCATCAGAAGATTGGCCAGAAGAGGTGGTGTTAAGCGTATTTCCGCTTTAATCTACGAAGAAGTCAGAGTTGTCTTGAAACAATTCTTAGAAAACGTCATCAGAGATGCTGTTACCTATACTGAACACGCTAAGAGAAAGACTGTTACTTCCTTGGATGTTGTTTACGCCTTAAAGAGACAAGGTAGAACCTTGTATGGTTTCGGTGGTTAAAGGGTTTTATTCTCGTGATGATTTATTATTAGTTAGTTTTTACATTTGTATATTATTAATACCATTTTCAGTTCGGTTTGAATAATTGAATCAATTGTAGATTGTTGTAGTTTCAAGTTCGGGTTTCTACAAATTTTGTTTGTGCCAAAAAAAAAAGTACATTTCTATATTTCTATAATAATTCTCTATAATCTTCTATAGTTAACATTTCCCCACTTGTACCAATTAATTCATCTAACAATGCATCATCAACGTCACGGAGGAGTACATGAAAGTGGCTCACAGCTCTAACACTTTGTAAGCTCAACCAATTTTTAAACCAAAGTATTTGATCCCATGAAACCCCACGTTCCACAAATGTTTTTTCAAGATATCTATGGACTAATCTCTTGGTACGTGGAGAAATATCACCAACCACACTTTCTCTATCTGCTGGTACTATTAATTTCGACCAGACACACAAGTGTCTAACATTGGTATCAAAATAATAGGGGAATTTGTTGGGTATAATTTTAACATCATCAGAATTGAAAAAGATCAAATCTTCTGGATGATTCAAGTCATATTCTTGAGGGTATTCTCTCGTTTGAGTACGGATATCACTTTCCTTCCATTCTAATTGCAGACTAAGCAAGTAATCATTCACGGTCATTTCATTTTCCTTAAGCCAGGCTTTGAATTTATGATATCTGTGAGTTTCTTTTTCCAGCCTGGCGAAGATTTCCAACTGATTAGATTTTACAATGAACTTGGTGTCTTCCCAACTAAAGGGATCTCCATGCTTGATCTTAGATGCACTAGGCATGAGGCTGCTCTGAGTTACTGAAATGTTGAATTGTGAATAAAATTCTTGAACCGGAGTAGCTGGAGGAGTTTGAAGACTAGTCATTTATATTATGTTTTTCGTGGCGCGAATTTAATGAGTAATTGAAATTGGGGGGAAGGGTATCAAGATTTGGAGAAATGAAAAGGACTACATAGGAAAAACATAAAATAAATAGAAGAAAATACAAGAAGCATATGTGGAATGATTATTGATACCCTAGGGGACCACGATCTCTTTTATAGGCATACATCTGTCAAATCTACCCTGGATTTATTTTATATGGAAAAAAGAAATTCATGATGACTATCAAAATCTAATTCTGTTACATCGGCATTCTTGATGTTACATTTTCGATTGTTGGGGAAAACTTGAACTATGAATTTTTTTGCAGTACAAAGAATACGCCTTGAAGTAAAGCACGAGATAAGAATGTCCTTCTTCGTGTTGTTGTCTTCTGCATGTTTACATATCTTGTGTTATGTAGTGTCGGGTTGAGTTAGCTTGAGCTTTTAGTCATCTAGCGATTTCACATTTTTTGGTGCAAAATTTTGGCTGTATTCGTTTGATGTAACGAAATTAATTGTCTCCCGTTAACAGTCGTTAACAATTGGTAAAAACTCAACTTTATTCCAACTCAGTCATCTAGCAAGAGGGTCAGTTGAAAGAAACTTAGAATTATATCTTCTTGCTCTGTTTAATTCAAGTTTATTTTGAAGTTTTATAAATTCTAGAATATATATTTGATTCAAATCCAGCCTAACCGAGACATATGAGCTTACGAGAGTGTTTTTTGGCTTAATTTGTCTCAAATTTAATCCAAGACGAATAGCGTGCATAAGAAAAACTATATTTACAACCATAACCAAGCTAGGTAAGAGGAAATTCTTAGCAAATTGGGTTATTTCATCATCTCAAACCTTCATGATACTGATCTTCTAGAACATGTTCCAGAATTCTTGGCTAGAAAGGTTAATTTTTAACTGAAATTAGGTAAGCATATAATTCTTGCATTGCACAAACCTTGCAAAGCTGATTCTAGTAGGAACTCTCCTAGCCTCCGTTCCCTTGTTCGAAATTAGTTGCAAAATGGCATGCTACTATAATAAGGAATATTATTTGTACTAGGAAGTACATACTCCTTTACTTGCTCCTTTAGTATGACATTAGAACTATTCTAGGGAGATTATTGTTCTACTTAGCGGCATTCAAAACGACCTTTACGCCTGCTGGTATTACCAATTCCATCCCTCTTCATTTTCCTATGAAGGTTGCTTCCCAAAAAAAAAAACACAATTTAATAACTACAAAAATAAGAGTGAACATAATTATTTTTACATATAATAGTCCTTCATGGAATAATACCAATAACTGCGAGCATGCTCAGCAATTGCTGCATATAGCAACGGCTAACAGCTACTGAAACCCGGGTTATGCACTGTGCGACATTAGGGTTAGATAACACAAAATGAAAGTGAAAGCGAAAAAAAAAATGTGTGATAGGAAGTGTGGTCACCAGTTGACAAAGCCCACACAAAACCGGTTGTACTTAACGTTTCCTAATGTCCACACCGGTAGAAAAGGAGCAATCCGAAACTAACAGTTCGCCTATGCCTGCTCATAAACTCATTATTCTTCGCCATGGAGAATCTCAAGGTAATAAAGAAAACAAATTTTGCGGATGGATAGATATCCCTTTGAGCCATCGAGGACAGCACGAGGCCGAATATGCTGCTGAACTTATTTTACAACATCATTTAGATCCAGATATTATTTACACATCCAAATTGACCCGTTCAATTGAGACTGGATTAATTATACTTCAGAAATTGAACAAACCATGGATCGATCATATCAAGACCTGGAGATTGAACGAACGTCATTATGGGAGCTACCAAGGACGAGATAAACATGAAGTATTTCTTGAATTGGGTCAAGACAAAGAAAAATACAATTATATCAGAAGAGATTATCATGGATTACCGCCACAAATACCCAAGGGAACTGTGGATCCTAGCATTGATGAAAGATACAATGATGTTTTAAACCAAGATATTTTACCTCGTGGTGAGTCACTAGCTATGGTCATGGAGCGATTAATTCCGTTTTTTAAACTTGAAATCTTAGATAATCAAATGGTTCAATTGAATAAGACCGTATTGATTGTAACCCATGGTTCAATTGTTAGAAGTCTTATCAAATACTTGAATAAGGTAAGCGACGATGATATCTCTAAAATCAATGTACCAACAGGTATTCCTTTAGTGTTTGAATTGGATGATCGTGGAGATTTAATCAAGTTTTATTATTTGGATGAAGAAAAGGCCGAAGCAGGAATAGAGAAGGTAAAGAATGAAGGTTTGGTTAAAGTTGGTTGATTCATAGAACAATGCATGTAGCGTAGTAGTAAATAGGTATTTCGTGTGGGTTGTAGAGTGATATATAGATAAGAATATAAACAAACCGATACAACCACCACCACCACGTCGATTGTTTAAAAGATACCAAGAAAATAATCATTGTGGTTGATAATTAGATAATACTTCCCAATTGGGAAGGAGATTTTATGTCTGGGCGTAATTAAGATTTCTGGCTGTATGACGATGCTTAATTGAGGAGGGGAATCACCAGAAATAAATGCTCAACTATATTTTTTTGTGATATTAAGCAAGTAACACCGAGCATCATGTAAAATCGTCTAGTTATGCAGGTAACGACCAACATGCATATTTTTAGACAAAATTAGCACAATATTTGTTATGATTCGCTCAACAGAAGAGTGTGACTGGGGCAGATCAAACGAGCCGGATAAAACAAAACAGCCGCTCCGCCATGTGAAAACCGGCAAAGTAGAAATAGAAAGGCAGGCTAATGTTACATTCCAGTTAAGTTTGCTGGGCAACTTTATATTTTGTTGAGTCATAAAAGCTTGATTTGTTTACATCACACAGCCTTCGGACAAAAGAAACCTTTTTCGGTTATCGCATTTTACATTTGCTTAACTCCTTTGAGCAAGTATCCGCTTTTTTTTTTTGCTTCCTTCCCGAGCCTACAAAACGTCATTTTTCTTTTTTTTTTGTGTACAATCTAAGGTTCGGAAATTAAGGGATCATAGATTAGTTACAAATTCCAACAATAGCAGTTTCTTTTTATTTAATATTTTTTCCGTATCAAATTATAAGCATGCGTAAGTTTCTAGATGTCTGCTTGTGACGTGGTCTTTTGCTTATGCTAAGCAAGTGCTTAGATGTTGAGCAATTAATTGGTGACCAGAACGCCGGGATTTCACTGGAACCCCTCAACAAATATTTACTTCCCTCTCAGAAACAATGTATTATCCACGGTTTTAGTGTTCGATGTGTCATTCACTGCACGTGACTATATTTCATGTTTTGTGTGGATGAAGTTCCGCTCGCCTCGCCCCCTTTGTTAGCTGGAATACCAAAGAAGGCAAGAGAACCGGCTATGTACAGGAAACACAAATCGATTATTTTTTCTCCTCCTAAATTTGGGATGCTTACGCTATTGCTATATAAAAAGTGAGCCATAGCCTGTCTCGGCTCTTGGCTTCCTCCTCACTTTTTTTCCTCTTTTACAAATCTACTTTCACCCTTTTATTTCAACGGTTCATTCGCAGATAATGACTTCGTTGGCTATATTACCTCATTTAAAGCGTTCTATCACCGACATTATGGATGAAGAATTATACCACTCGCCCGCATCCCCCATTCAGTTTAATACCGCGCCAAACACTAACGCCACGCTTACTAATCCCCAAGTTCAACCTTCCAGTGCAACCATGAATTATACAACTTCCAAAAACTCGTTTAACTCGTCTCCCAACCCTAATCATCAACAACTATTCAATAATCAAGTGAATAACTTGGGTAACTTCCTTAATATACCCGATTCATTTTTGGATCAAATCAAGTCTCAACAGCAACAATACCAGTTTCCTTTGGTGGACGAGCAACAGCAGATGAACTATAATAACCAAGTTAATCCACAACAACCGCAACAGCAACAACCTGAAGTGAACCAACAAGTTAATCCGTTCACTGATTATGGTAACCCAAATTCATTTATTAGACCTCAACAGTTACAACGTATGACCCCAGCATCCCCACCTCCATTACCTCAGAAGTTTCCAACCAGAAGAAGAAGAAGGATAACCACCCTTGAGAATGCAGATGAGTCTTCTACCACTTCAAATAAAAAGAAGTTGGATCAAGAATATCTTTTATATAATCCGGATATATCTCCAGCTCATTTGATTAGCCAAACAGATTTGGAATCTTCATTTTTCATTCCTCCTAAATATGATAATACTGACAGCATGGCTGGTTTGACCATTAATGATGGTATTATACCAGGATATGAAGATGACTATTTGTTTGTTGATGATGTTGTAGAAGATGAGGATATGGAAGAGGATTTGTCTGACGAGGAAGAAGAGGATGATGATAATTATTATCACGTTGATGATGAATTTGATGAATTTATAATGAATGGATATGCAAATGGTGTTGGGTTTGACCAAGTAAATTATCAAGAACCACAATCGCATGTCCAAGAAGAAGATATGCAAGTATTTGTTACAAATCCCGAGGTTGTTACTCTTGTACATCCACAAGATGATATGATGATTGATGTTGAGGAACATGACGAACACAAGCATGAGCATGACGTGGAAGAAGACGAGGAAGAGGATCATCACCATTCTTCAACTGAAGATTCTCCATCTCGAAATTCACACATGTCTGCTGCAGAGATATCGGCTGTTAATCCTAATCATCAATGTGATTTGATTAATCCAAGTACTGGAGTTCCTTGTAATAAGCAATTTTCACGTCCTTATGATTTAATCAGACATCAAGAGACTATTCATGCATCTAAAAAGAAGATTTTTAGATGTGTGATTTGTGAAGGTAGATTTAATGGTGGACCAGGTAATGGGAAGCAAAAGACCTTTTCTAGAGTGGATGCATTATCTAGACATGTTAAGGTTAAACATGGGTTGATTGGACAAGATGCATTGGATTTGATAAATGAAGCTAAGGAGAATGTCGAGTATGTCTCAGTATGATAAAGGTAATTTTTTTAATGTTAAGTTTTGGGTATTAGGGTTGATGATGATGATTCTAAATTTTGTTTGATTTTTATTTCTTATACATAGTTTACCAAGGTAAAGTCTTAATTAATATATAAATACAAGTTTTATGTTAAAATTTTAAAATTAATCTATAAAGTGTATGTATGTTTTATAATATATACAATGTAGCTCATTAATAGTTTTTTGGGTAGTAGTAGTAGTATGTTAAACTTATGTAGTGTCAGTAGGCGATTTCTGCTCTTCCAACATGGAAAAAACAATATCATCAATCAGCCTATCTTGCAAGGGTATGTCTTGTTCGTGTTTACCATATTTAAATTGGATATACTGTGTCGCAATGTATATATCCAAACTCATTTGAAACAAACCAGCAAGTATAAAGATTATTGAAATATCGTTTGTTCCATAGAGTAAATAGGAAATCTTGATACAATCACCACCTAACCAACTCAACAAAAGAATCACTTTAAAGTTCTCCACCAGTTTTAGCCTGTTCAACAACAATATCTGGGGAAGCGGTAATAAACTCTCTATAAACAACCCGAGAATACCGATGGTGCTAGCGTATGTCGTGTTTGAATGCAAGAACAAGGTACAAGTTGCAAAAAACCCCATGAACGACACAACAAATACCCAATATGGCTTCTCATGTTTCCATTGCCAGAAATGACCCGGTCTTTGGAAATAAACATCAAAGAACCGAAGAGCCAGGATAAATAACACAGATAAATAACCTTGAGTAAACTTGTAACAATCCCTCATGATTAACTTCACTGAACTCAACCAGTCGCCCATCCAGTATGTTTCATGTTTCATAGCATGGGCACTTGACATCCTTCGTGGAACCCGCGATGTTAATTCTAGTTGAAATACCGGCATAGGCGTGAGGAAATCAGGGTCGTATCCTTGACTACGATACTTTAGCCCGACTTTCAATAATATGCATTGAATGAAAATCATCACTATTGATTGTCGCAAGAGAGTGATCTCAAACGGAGAACACATATAATAATACACACGAAGAATCGATGCCATTAACATGGTACAACATATATCGAGGGAGAAACCCAGCGAAGACTTAGTCCGGTGGATAGAGTAACATGTCAGTCCATAACTGAATAGCGGCGTGAATGTCATGAATATGTTGGCACATTTTTGCAAGTCGGGTAGGTATTCCAAATAGGGGAGATAATCATCAGGAAGAAAAGGCATGTTTCTATATAGTTTGATATTGCTGGGTATTCATGTGTGAGTGGCTAAAGCTGATCGGGTTTTAATAATATACTAGTGGTGAGAACTTTGAAGTGTAGTTTTTTTTCTTGCTTCTTTTTCATATTTTTTTCCGGATCGCCTGTCAAAGTGTGGTTATTACCGATGTCGCCGTTGCTGCGCCATGAAATGTCACTTTAGCTATTATTTACCTTTCTGTGGAATAAAACCACTAAATCACAACTAAATCTCCGGTTGACAACATACTTAGTTTAAATTTCCTGCGATGGCCTCACATTACATCACTTGAGGTTTAACCGAATTTGTAATTTCGCAGCAGTATCAAACGGAAAAAAGGGATCCACGGATTTAAGGATTATTATAGTATTTCATTGAGGGGTGCAAATTCGTGAAACAGGGGGGGGGGGGGTTACATCATTTCAGTGTGGCATATTGGAACCTATAGAGAAATGTGTATTAATAACCAAGACATATATTTTTCAAGTAACGCAACGGTATGTTTGCAGCAAACTGCAAAGATAAAGAGAAAGATCTCAACTGCACTTCGGTTAAACCAAAGAACAATTTTGGTAATAGGGATTAGTTGTGATAGCCAATTATAACTTTAAACCGCTATAGTAGGGAAGTTATGAATTGGTGGTATCAGTTGGTGATTTTCAATAATTTTGTATAATTTTGTATAATCATGGTTTCAGACAGGCTCTGCCAAGATCTTGGCATATGAACACAATTGTAATACACACAGCCATCCTACTCTACATCTAAAAGGAGTACTTCTCTGGAAGTTTGCTGTACTGGTGTCAAACCTTCCCCGGCCAGCCATGTAAACATAAAAATGTATACAATCTGACGTCACTTGCCCAAATGGTAACAAAAGCAGTCCCCGGAACCGTCGTAAATACCAACGGTTTTAGCCTATCGTTGATGCGGGTCAACCTTTTAATTCTCTACCTATAATTCCTGTACATGTACAGAGGAACAATCAGCCGATTATCTAAGAAAAAGGTATTTACCCAACAATTTAATTGTATTCGATGGTACGTATAAGTCAATTGACTCTGTTTGCACACTTAAATAAGTGACAAAATGCATATATTAAAAAATACTATATATTTCTTCGTTATTCAATTATAACCTTAGAATCAACATTTCATATATACACTTCATCAACTCTACTATCTGACAAAAAAAAATGAATTGAATAAAGTTATGAGTTTGCTTTATGATTTTAGAAATTATTTAATTAGATTCCCAAAATCATTTCCCTTGTATATCCTCTTTCAGGACCTGTTTAGGCAGACTTGTTACCATTAGCGGTAGCGTTGATATCCTTTTCCAATTGGTCAAGGGTTTCCTTTTGTTGTTGTAATCTTTCTTTCAATTTCTTTAATTGCTCAGCTTCGTGCTTCTTAATGTATAAGTTTTCTTGGGCTCTTTCCTTTTCAGCGAATTTGTCACCAGTTTGGTTGATGGCACCTTCGGTCATGGCGATTCTGGCAGTAGAGAAGTTTCTGACGAAAGAAGTTCTGGCAATTGAACGTCTGGTAATTGATAACATGATATGAATAGTTTAACGATGAATAGTTTAGCAATTGATATAGCTTGTCTAGTGTAAGAAGGGAAAAGAAGGGAGAAGAAGAATTTACAATCTCTGGGGTTGTATGTAAAAAAAAATTAAAACCATAGAAAGTCAAACTGGAAGAAGCACGGACAAAAAAAAAAATTGTAAAGTGACCAAAATTTCCTGCACACAGACACGTTTCTTGCATTTTCTATTGGCTTAACCAAAAAGCACGTGACACAGCCTAGCCTAATTGAACTAAATCACAATCCGAGTTTAGGTAATGGTCATGACTTTTTCCTTTTTAATACAGTCTAAAGTAACGTGTTTCCCCAGATTAACTGAGAGTCATTCAATGTGACTTATTAATTGTGGGTTGAACCCCTTAGAAAATATTATTCTTGTATTTGCACCCCCGAGCACGGGAGTAAGAGTCTTAATTTATGGCTCTTGGATTAATCAGGGCTTCAATGCATAATTGTGCCCGAGGAATTAGCCTTGAATATGGCAACAATGATAATATTATAGGAACTGCTATTGAACTCTGTTGGAGTGTAAAGAAGTGGTTTTGCAGTAGATAAGACAACCTTCAAGACCCCCACATGGTAGTGGATTGTTCGTTTTGCAGTAATTCTAGTTAGAACAATAGCTAGAAAACGCGGAAATCATACCGAAACCAACTAACTGGAACATAATTCTAATTGCAAAAAGTCTTACATTTTACTTTCTAATTGTCAATATTAATTGATTCTATTTACATTAATTATTTACAGCATATCACCACATTAAAAGTTTCTTTGTGGCATGTGACGATGATGCCTATGCACACTAGATAACACACCAATGGATCTAGCAGTTTTAATGGCATTGCTCAACAACTTTTGATTCTTGGCACTACATCCAGTTTTTGATCTAGGTAAAATTTGACCAGTTGAAGTAATAAACTTAGATAATACTTCTGGCATCATGTAAAGATTTCTTGGGTTCATTCCACATCTTTCGAATGGATCTTCACGTTGAGTACTTCTCATTCCTCTTTCCATATGTAATCTATCCATACTGAAGTGGAATGGATTGTATGTGTGACCATGAGGGAATTTTCGGGTAAATTCATTGGAAATTTGCACCGGAGGTTCTTGCTCTTGCACAGAAAGAGGAGTAAACACAACTTCATCTTCTTGCAAGTTTGTTCCTTGAAAATTTTCAGCATAAAGGTCATTCCATGATTGGTCTTGTTTGGTTACTTCTTCTGCAGCATCAACTGGTTCCGATGCCAACTTTTGTGTGGTGTTTTGGAATTTGATTGTGCTGGTTGAAAGAGGACGTATGATTAACCTACTGGATGTCCTGAAGGAAGCTGACAACATTGTGACGATGGGGATATTCAAAGTGATTCTATACTCAACAAGTTGAACTTTTTTAACCAGACAAAAATTTTCATAATTGGATTTGCTAGGAAAAAAAAAGCCACACGTGATATTGATCACATGACACCATCAATTTTAAAAAAATTTTAATTTTCTTTTGATTGACAAAAAGAAACCACACAAAATATCTTTGCTCGCCGTTTCTGGCCAAATAGAAGAATTATTAAGCAAAAATTTGGGCATAACCACATCAACACCTAACAACAACATACAACTACAATAACACCACCCACCACTACCCCTCACACACACAATCACAAACAAATCTCACACATCTTAGAAAATTTTGTCTTTAGAAACCAAAGACAAGTCAAAATATTTAAAGGGAAAAAGTAAAATACACCTTGTTTCGTTTCACATCTAATTGTTCATCAAATTTTACTATTAAATTATTAATTTATAATTCCTACTTTCCAGTTGATATAATATAGATAGATAGAAAAGCAAAAAAAATGGGTGAGCGAGGTCCTGATCAATGGTTAGAACAAATCAAGAAATGCATAGCACTCACTGAGTCAGATATGAAACAATTATGTGAGTTGGTTAAGGAGCTCCTTATGGAAGAATCAAATATCCAGCCAGTTCAATCTCCTGTAACTGTATGTGGTGATATCCATGGTCAATTTCACGATTTGCTAGAATTATTCCGGATATCCGGAGGATTGCCTCTGGATGATAACAACACCAATTATGTATTTTTAGGAGATTATGTCGATAGAGGTTACTTTTCCCTTGAAACTTTCACATTATTAATGGTCTTGAAAGTAAAATACCCTCACAGAATAACTTTGGTAAGAGGTAATCACGAATCACGTCAAATCACCCAAGTTTACGGGTTTTATGAAGAATGTCTTACAAAATATGGATCAACCACCGTTTGGAAATATTGTTGTCAAGTGTTTGATTTCCTTACTCTTGCTGCTATAATCGACGGAAAAATCCTTTGTGTTCATGGAGGGTTATCCCCAGAAATCAGAATGCTTGATCAGATCAGAGTTCTTTCCAGAGCACAAGAGGTGCCTCACGAAGGTGGTTTCTGTGATTTGGTTTGGTCCGATCCAGATAATGTAGATACTTGGGCAGTATCGCCGAGAGGAGCTGGTTGGTTATTCGGTTCCAAAGTGTCTCGAGAATTCAACCATATTAATAATTTAAGTTTAATTGCCCGGGCCCATCAGTTAGTAATGGAGGGGTTCAGATTCCATTTCAAAGAGAAGGATGTAGTTACGGTCTGGTCAGCTCCTAATTATTGTTATAGATGTGGGAATGTTGCTAGTGTGATGCAAGTTGACGACTATGATGAACCGAACTTTAAGATTTTCAGCGCAGTTCAAGATGGTGATTTGGCAGTTAAAAACAACGGAGGCAAACTGCTGAGAAGTGATTATTTCTTATAGACCTTTGTTTAGAGGACCCTAGAAAAGTTGAACGTGTTTGACTTTAGTTTGCGTTTACTGAAATGAATCGGCATATACACTTACCTTTCCTTAATTTTGATAATAATGAATTATGACTGATTTATGTTTACGTTATTATTTTCAATGATTCATCTGCATAAATCTACTTGTTGTGTGTTTACGAGCTGTTATGTTTTTGTATAATATTTGTTAATGTACATAAGAAGAGATTAGATACTTTACTTTTTCCCCTTTCTTCTCATTCTTTTCATTCCAATGATCTTCTTTACGTCATCAGAAAGTCCAGACTTGTTCTTTGGTTCACTTTGTTCTACAGCGGCAGACTTGGGTCCTTTATTCATGTTACCCTTTCTAGAAGGTCCTTTTCTCTTTTTGTTACCAGGCTTATCAGACTTTTCATTATCATCGTCACCTCTTCTTCTCTTTTTATCCTTATAGTCTTTATTATCACCTTCAGTTCCATGTTTACGAGCAATCATAACCTTTTCTCTTCTTCTCTTGACCACTTGAGCATTTTCAATAGCAAATTCTGCAATTAATCTTCTCTTGGCCAATCCTTCTAACTTGGCGACTTTCTTTTCTTCATCAGTCAAACCTTCAACTATTTCACTAATGCTGACTTCATGAGCATTCAACCATCTCAAACCCATTAATGCAGCTTTATGGTCTCTAAATTCAATAAACCCATACCCTCTACTACGTCCAACTTCACCAGTACCCTTGACTTCCATAATAACCTTAGCTTGACGGACCACACCCATATGCTTATTCTTTTTCTTTTTCTCTTCTTGTTCTTGATCATCTCCTTCAAGATCGTGCTTGAATTTGATTGAACGGTTAACTTCTTCCTTGGACAATGGTTGACGCTTTTCTTCTTTAACTTCAGTAGCAAAGGAAACAACCGCCTTACGACCCAATGCCTTTAATGCCTTGGAGTTCATGGCACGAGGAAGGTTACGAATGGCCAATCTGGTGAGGGATAAATGCAAAGTTGGATTCTTGTTTAATTGTTGAACTCTCAATTTATAAGACTTTTCACGAAGTTCAAGATCGGTTTTGGAAATGAATTGAGCGAGTTTGGAATTGGTAGTGATTCTACCTTCATTCAATAAGAACAAGTTACGCTTGTCCTTTTCTGAAGGGGCTTTACCAAGTGCTTCTTTTCTCTTTTCTGAATTTCTTTCAGCAAGACGATTAGCCGAAGTACGGTCAACGGCAGAAGTGATGGAAAGAATACGACCTTGGTAAACATACCCGGCAGAAACGTCATCGGGGATAAGCATGGAGGTGGAAGCAACAGTTGGAGCATTTTCAATACATTCAGTATATGAATCTTGGTTTACGAATGCAGCAAATGCAGAACCCTTGGCAAGACCAGTTTGTTTGTCTATAACCGGAAGGGCATATTTAACAGGACCGAAATGAGTGTTGAAGTGTTCAGCAAGTGATTCTTCATCAGCATCATAAGGGATATTTCTGATGAAAATGGCAAATGGTTCCTGTCTGTTAGACTTCTTTCTTGGCTTTTCTTCTTCTTCTTCATCCGCTTCTTGTTCTATTTCAATGTCGGATTCTGGTTCGTCATCTGAATTTATTTCATTCAAGTTGTGGAAATCTTCATTCTTGTCTTCATCATCATCATCTTCTTCATCACCTTCTTCTCCTTCTTCATCATCTTCCTTTTCTTCTATTTCTTCCTCTTGTTCATCTTGTTCCTCTTCCAGTTCTTCTTCTGGCTCATCTTCTTTAATCTGTTCCCATTTAGATTTTTCAACAGCCAAATCGACAGCAACTTCTCTACCGTCAATCTTCAAACCCACGCTTTCCTTGACTGCACGTTCAGCAGCAGCTTGTTTTTTCATAGTAACAAATGCAAACCCACACATCTGGCCACCCTTTTTCTTGGGGATATATGCATCAAATACCGCCCCATATTTACTAAACAACTTCTTTAAAGTGTCTGGTTTCTTACATGACCACGGTAAGTTTCTAACAATTAATCTTGCACGTCTTTTTTCCACAGGAGCTTGTGGTTCTCTCTTGATTGGTTCTTCACCTGATTTGTCCTTACGATCTCTTCGTTTGGCAATATCAACTCTAAGTAAACGACCTTTGAATTTTGCCTTTCTAGATTCCACTAATGCAGTAAGAGTATCGTCATCCATTGTGAATGAAACAAAACCAAACCCACGAGACTTTTGTTCATTGTCATTGACTATAACTGCGTGTTTAACTGGTACAAACTGAGAAAAGAATTCTGAAAGTTCTTCTGAAGTAGCATCAAATGGAATGGAACGAACAAATAACGTCTTTCTGTCGAGCCCATCGTTGTCTATATTAGATACTTCTGTAGCAACCTCTGTAGGAGCCTGGGTTTTTATTTCTTCTTCACTCATACCTGGTTTGTTCTATAGAGTTAAACTATAGTAAATGGCTACTAAAAAAATTATTCACTGAAGATCATCTCATTAAGAAAATTCAATCTGCTGCAAAAAAAAAAAAAAAAATAGAACCAAAAATTGGACACACACGCACGACCCCAAACAACCATAAACAAAACAACTCAGGATCCACAGACAACACTACAAATGGCTCCCTAGTAAAAGCAATGGAAAATGAAAAAGAAACAGAACTATAAAAACGTGTTACCAAACACATATATACCCGTGCTATCAAAAAAGGTCCTATATAATGTCCTAACCAGGCTATCTAAACCCTCGCTCATCGAGTTTATTCATTTATGGCCAAAACTTAAAAATACCCAACCTCACATACCACCAAAAACTAGTTTCACACAACTGGAATTCAATGACAAAGTGTCCCGAGAGGCACGAGAGTTTAAGAAAACAATAAACAAACTTCACAAGAAAAAAATCATTGATAAAATACTATTCACTTATTGGCATAAAGGATTAAACCTACTTCAATTGTCCCAAATTGACTGTCAATTGATTGTAGATAGACCCAACAGTTATTATTGGGGGTATTCTACCGTGAGAGATATGAACGACAATGAAGTTCCTATTCTGCTTGATCCAGTACACTTTCTTGACCAATTGGCTTTCCAATTAAGTAAACTATACTTATCATACGTGTATATATGTCGTCATCCCAAATTCCCCATGGTTCTAATTAGAATCCAGGCATTTGACCTACATACCAAAGAGACAGAAAGCCGGCGTCCTCACATATCATCACATAAACCCTACTTCTTTGCTATACCGTTGAATTCCCCTCATATTATTCATTCTGGTGGAGGAGACATGATTCATAACATAGTTATGGAAGTAGTCGAACGAAGTCTACCACAAGACAAGACAAATATTTTAAGGTTATATACACCCGAGAATCAACGACCAATAAAGTCATTGGAGTCAATGCATATCCTCAAGGGTAATTCTCGATTTGCTAATAGTTTAGGAAGTTGGAGCGCGTACGCTGATAATATCGTTGACATGCTTCCTCTTCAACCTACAGAAAAACATAAACAACTTGCTTCTCCTGAAGAACCAATCAATGCCCAGGAAAGCCCAATAGAAAGGTTGAAACGAGTTGCTAACTTGCGATTCAAGGGTTCTGAATTTGGAAAATTAAAATCTGAAAAGTTGTTTGAGGATAGTCGAAAATCCACCCGAAAGAGACGAAATGTGTATTATACCAATGACAGTGACGATGAAGGTGAAGAAGAGGGAAATAGTGGCACTTCCGAATTTGCATCCATTGCCCCTATTCAATATTCAGAATTTTTAATACACGAGAAAGTAACCCCCCAAGACAAAGAACGAACTTCTATCAAGATAAAACTTCTGGGAACAGACGTGTTTGCTGGATTACACGAGCTTTCAGTCATGACAGCCGACCCTGAGGAAATGATCTTAAATCCTGAAGATGTACCGTCGTGGTTAACAGGAGAAGAAGGAGCCAGTGTCGGCCAAATTATAGATTCTAAATTTTATAGTAATATCAAGTAAACTATAAATGTATATTACTCAATAACCCAAATTCTCAATATACTCCTTTATCACTTTTATCCCTTGCTGATTTGACAGAGGAATAGAAGCAAGGATATTTCTCAATAGCTCCACATCTTTCATTCTAAATGCTTCTAAACCAGCCAGTTCATAATCTTCATTCCTAGCAAAATGTTGTGCCTTGTCAGCATACTTGTACTTTTGCGAGTTTCGAATATATGCAGAAATGTGAGCCTTAGGAGCTCCGCATTTGAACCCAGTTTCAACAAACGGTTCAAATCCAATTGGTGATTTTGCGGTGGTAGCATCTAGTGACCCAAATGCAAACTCGTACAAGCGGTCAAATTCTTTCGATTCTGAATATGTTTTGAGGGCAAGATACCAATATTTTTCCTGGGAAACACTAAAATCGTGCATAATCTTACTTGCTGGCTTCAATTGGTTCATTTTAATCAATCTAGTAAGGATAGCCGTAATTGATTTTTCCGAGTAGAAATTTGTCATATATGTCTCCCCCAACTTCTTTTGTAACTCCAAAATAGAAAGTTCTTTTTGTAGTGCTTTCATAGATCGTTTATTCAAAGATCGATTCATTGATTTGTGTAGCGTCAGTTTAACAGTTTCGTAATATTCTTCACTATTATCGGGGGTACGAGATTCCAAAGATTTCAATTTAAGGCTATTTAATTCATTATTCTTCCCCTCTTGCTTATAATATCTTTCTAGGAGCAGTGGAGAATATTTCCCGATAGCTTCAATCCACATGTGTCCAATTAATTCACCAGTTACATTCATAGTATTTGACGAAATCTTGACATTCAAGTCTTGCAACTCTTTTTCCCCATCGTCTTGAATCACCAGTTCGTTTTGGTTCAAAACTCGGAAAAATTGTGAGATTGATAACGAATCTTGTAAATATAATAGAATAAGTTTCGACAAATCATAATCTCCACATTGGAATGATTTTATGAGAGCCGATTCCACTTCTTCGAATTGTAAAAGTTGTTGGATTTTCTTGGATACAGAAGGTTCAAGACTCACCAAAAATTTACAGAGGGTATTTCGTCCTTCTTCGTGGGCAACTTCCGATATTTGCTCCACTGAAATGTAGTTTATTCTTTTAGAACTTAATGAAACCAATTTTTCTGTTATAATTTTAAATAATTCCACATCTGAAGTATCAAGATCCTTTTTAATTTTATAACAACACCAATGAATGTATACCAATTCCTTAAGATTATCCAATTTGAGTCGTTCAATAACTTTGAGGGTTAGATAGTGTTGATTCCTCTTCAATAACATCTGTACAATCAATTTCCAACCTAGATTCTTAATTTGATCATAAGTTAGAAACAATCCAATTTCGGGTGATCTAATTTGATTCAATACTTGAATACTGTTAAGCACAGACAAATATTCATCAGAATCATAATAGTCATCATAGTAAATCTTTCCAAATGATACTGCTCGGAGGGCCCGCTTTTGCCAAACATGATCAAACTCATCAAGAGCCACCTTTAAACATTCAGTCATGGCTTCTAATAACGTACCATCATTTCTCAATATCGATATATTTGCATCTGCCTTAGATGCATTCAGGGCAAACTTGTCAATACAATCAACCAAAATACTACTTGGATGTGCTGATCCAACTTGATACATTTGCACACTTGTTTCTGAAACTCGACTAAGGAATTGAACTTTATTAGTAGTTATTATTCGTAGCCCATCAATAGAAGATTGCAAGATTGGAATTGTAAATGACAATTCTTCTTTAGCAGTGTCCTTTAAAAGCATATCTAAATCGAATTCACTTTCATCTTCAATGTCGTAAAAGAATGAGATTGATTGCTGCCCCGGACCTATCAATTTAACTTCGTCTTTGAATGATAATACAATAGCATCATTACCACACCATTCTATTTGATAAGGAATACTGGATTCGTTGATTGTATCATATTCCATGAGTACTTGGTCGAATTTATTATTAATGACAAATATCTTCTTCATTATTCTATTGAAAAGAGCAATTAGTTGCCCATTCAGGGAGATTGAAATGTCGGTAAAGGGACCATCTGTGAGTTCTTGATCTATAACTTCATATGTGGTTAGACCAATATCGATTTTGAGGGTCATTATTGTTTGTTTACAAGGAGCATGTATAATCAAAGCTTCTTCCTTATCAACTGGCTGGAACTTGAATGTAGTTATATCAGGTAATTCCAATGGGATTTCAAAATTGGTGAAAGTATTCAAATCACATATAATAAACTTAACATCCATTCGTATAACCAAATAGGAATTCCATACTTGAACTTCGAGTATTTTATGAATCTCCTCAGTTTCATTATTCTCTAAATTTGTAATTAGGGTTGGCTTGGATCGTTCTCCATTCTTATAACTACCAACATTGTCCATCGGTGTTAAATGCTTTAAATAACTATACTCATTGAAATTGCCCATAAAGTCGTTATAGTAGCGGTAGACTCCATTGTTGAGTATAACCACCAAATCTTCACCTCTGAAGTGGAAGCTATGAATATATTCTTCTAGACTACTATTGAATACAATTGACCATATTTTGGCCCCACTGGCAGAATATACCTCTATTAAATTTGGATGGGGGACAAATTTGGAGGCAATGGCAACAAGTGTTGCATTGGGAGAAAGGGCCACGATGTAATTGTAGTAAAGGTTATCAATTGTCCAATTTAAACTATCATAGCATGTTCGAATATTATAATAGACATTCTGAAGTTTCAGCCAATTGAAGCTGGGGTTGGATGGCATAGCCTGTGCTAATGATTAAGAAACGGTTGGTAATAACTTTCGAATTGAAATCGGTGCGCGGTTTTTAAAGTCTTTTCAGATTTTGGTTTGTTTGAGTTAAATAGTACAAGAAAGAAAAGCAAAGCAGCATATACAATCACACTCAAACAAATGTCATCGAATAAGGAATACGTTACTCTAGTCTCGTCCAACGGATTTAAATTCGTGGTGTTAAAGGAGGTTGCTCAAATATCGTCAGTGCTCCAAAACTCGCAAGGTTTTGAAGAAGGAAAGACGGGACGTATAGAATTAGATATGGAAGGGGATATCTTGGAATGTATTGTCGATTACCTTCATTATAATTACAAATACAAGAACTTGGAGGACATTGGTGATATTCCTCAGTTTAATATTCCTACGCATCTTGCCTTGGAGTTGTTGGTTAAGGCTGACTATTTAGATATATGAGAAGCATAGATGTTATATGGATGCTGCTGTTACTGCTGTTATATACCCTCACCAGAATAAGGAATACGCTTAAAAGTATCATTCAGATGTTACTATCCAAATTGTTGGTGAGTTCAGACTGGTATTAGTAATAAAACGGAGGAAGGTTGTATATGTATTTATAGACAACTATACATGTAAATGTGTAAAAAAAAATAAAGAACCTACTGTATTACATGTTGGTATTACTTTACCACCAATATATCTCTTCCTATTGTTTACTTTAAACCCGTGACCAATATATCTTGGCAGCACATTACCAAGATTTTGGTTGTAAATACCATTTTATATATATATATTTTTTTTTTTCTGGCTGTGTATGCGGAGAGCAAAGATAACGCCCCCCTCCCCATATATTCCTTACGTTTCAAACCTAATTACTGCCCAGAAATACTTCCAACATTAACACTATTCATTTACCGCGTTAGACTAATATATGCACAATGTCCCCTTCAGAACAGTCTATGCAACATACAACGTTACTAGATACTCTCACCACGGAGATAAATACTTTTATCGATTCAGGGGAAAATCACCTCAGTTCCTTGGTAAGTAACGTTGATACGGTTCTAGATGGATTGAAGTCAATAGAGCTGGAATTAGAAGAACAGTTAAAACTTGAAGAAACTCAAATGCAAACCGAAGATACCGAGAAGGATATCGTCCAAAAGGAACATAAGACGAAGCTTCACAAGTTAGAGAAATTGTCGGACAAATGGTACCATTCTTCTATATCAAATTTAAAACTGTATAATTCAGCTACTAATAGAATCCTGAAGAATGTGCTTAACAATTCAAAATTCAATGTTGAATTAGATGATGCATATACATATCCGTTGAACTTGGATAGCTTCCCCGTGAATGGCAATAGGCCAATTATGCCTTCGACCACCCCTGGCGATTCCGATTTGAAAATGATTAAACTTGAAAACAGAGAAGAATTAATCAAGGCAATTATTTTGCATCTTCTCAAGATTGGTCAATGTGATATAGTCAAGGAAGTTGCACGAGAACTTCCCGAAAATTCACCTATTTCAATTGACGAAAACTTGTCGGAGAAGTTTGAAAAGTTGCATCAAATTGTGGATAGTATAATCTCCAATCACGACTTAACCTTGGCTCTTGCATGGTTTAAAGACAAGTATAATGAACAGGTTGCAAAGAATGGAATGAGTACTACATCTACCGATGACAATGCCAGCAATATTGAATTCAAATACCATATGCTTCAGTTCACAATTCTTTTCAACGGAAAAGACTCATCATTTGGATTAGATGATGCCTTGGCGGCATATTTGTATTCCAAAGACAACTTTTCTAGATTTTTTAAAGATTACTTGCATGAAATTTCACCATTGATGACCCTACTTTTATTTAAAACCAAGACTAATGACGATGACGATGCATTTTCTAGAAAGCATATGGTCAGTGTGGTGCGAGGTTTCATTGAACGTATAAAACAAGGATTTGACATGGAGAACGATTCCCGAAATTCATTAAACCAAGGAGAAACCAAGTTTGTTTCGGAATTGCTCAATAGTTTTGAAAATATCCATTCTAATCAGTCATTATTTGTCAACATTTCGAATGAATTTATTTCCGAATATTGTAAGTTTTTAAAGCTTTCAAATGATTCGTCGCTTTTCCAAAGTATCCTTGCCGGTCATATTTACTTGCCTAGTTTCTACAAGTACAACCAAATTCAACTGAAATTAACCAAGATTAAGGCAGTGCCCGACTCAACGAAGATGGAGGAAAGTAGCAGTTCAACTGCTACACACAAGGCCGAAAATGATGTAATTAATTATACTGCCACATATCATTTCGAACTTCCATTCCAACTTCCTGATTCCAATAGATTCTTGTTTAATTATCATCCTATATTCATATGTCCAGTATCAAGAGAGCAACTTATACCTATCACAGAAACCATGGTTGAGGCAATTAAGGATGAAGAAGGTAGACGCAAGAGAAAACGATATTTGGTGGAAAACCCATTAACTACGCAGGTTGTAGTATTGGAGTTCTGTAAGCATTTGGCATTAAAGGATAGTGTGTATCATTTGTCCAAGAAAGGTACTGAGATATTCAAGTGCCATTATTGCTACAAGAAACACAAATATACCGATGTCACTCCTGCTTACTTCATTGATTTGTAGAGTAGTGTGAGGTTTTATAGTTGTAGATGAATCGAAGAGAAAAAATCATAATTTTTTTTTATTCTTATTGCAGATGGACCCCGGCAGATTCAAAAGAAAGTAGTTGTAACCTATGACCGAAGAACTATTGACTTCACAGACTTCCATATTGGGTGATCCCTGGATACCGATCTACAGAAAGTCTGTAGATTTTGGTGCCAACCATTTTGAACTGGCAATGTCCAATATCATCAAAGAACCAAATATCAACTCCACCGTGATCATGAGAGCAGATATCCTTAAAGAGAACATATATGACCCTAAACACGGAGATACCATGTTTGTTAGTAAACTAATTCATCAGACTCCGGAGTTCCCAGGATCAGAAAACACCCAAGACGAAGTACTCCATCGCGATTTACATGATGTTGAGATCAGGGAGATTCCCAATAATGGTGGGCTTCAATTGACCAAAAAGTGTGAGTTGGTGAGGAGAATCATTCCTCGTAATCCGTTCAAAGATCATATCATAAACCAAACATGTTTAGTCTTGACTGGGGAAGATGCCGTCCTTGTGGTTTATATTCCACATATAGCCACTAAGGAGGAGATCCCATTTTATTTACCCCCAGTGTATGGAATTGGGATTTTGTATCATAAAGGACAGGTTTCTATTCATTATCTTCCATTTGATGAACCAGGATCCACCACTGAGCACGATTTGTTGAAATCTATGCCTGCAGCAGAACGTCCCATTAGAATTGCATATAGACTACTAGAAACATCATCCAAGCATTCAGGCGGTGTTAAATCAGGGTATGAAAAACGAGTCAATCACGATTTGGTGGTTCCCAAGATTGAATTTCAAAACAGGTACATTAGTTTAAAGAAGAAATATTCTTCCAAGCTAGTGAATGAATGGTGCGAAAGTACTGATCCCAAGAAACATGTGTTTGAAGATTTGGCAATTGCTGCGTTCTTAATTGAATACTGGATTTTGAAGAAGTACAACAAGGATGAATTTGAGTTTAGAGATTTGGGTTGTGGCAATGGGTTATTGGTGTACATATTGAACATGGAAGGGTACAGGGGGAAAGGTATAGATGCAAGAGCTCGTAAGTCGTGGGCGATCTACCCTGAAGAAGTGCAGCAAAATTTATTAGAACAAATAATTGTCCCCAGTGTATTACTTAAACCACATCCTGCGGTATCCAAGATGGACCCAAACATCCAAGACAATGGGAGAAGATTCAAACAAATAGACAAGAGCGAATCGGGAGTAAATGTTTCATTTCATACTTCCGAATCACTCCTTCACTCTCCAAAAGTGTGCACAACTGATGAATTCCCACCAAACACATTTATTATTGGAAATCATTCCGATGAATTGACGTGTTGGATCCCATTATTGGGTTTCCCATTCATAGTGATTCCATGTTGCTCGCATGCTTTGAACGGAGCTAAAATGAGATATCCACCACGTAAAGCTCCAACAAACACTCCCCAGAATTCAACATATGCATCCTTAGTGGATCATGTTGAAGATCTTTCGATTTTGATGGGATGGAAAGTCGAAAAGGAAATGTTGAGAATACCAAGTACTAGAAACGGAGCTATTATGAGTAATGAAAGAATCCAGCCGTTCCAACAAGAGCCTGAAGAAATCAAGCAAATGAGAGTGTTGGACATTATTGCCATGGAGGGAGGGGCAGAAGGATGGGTTGAGAATCTGATGAAATTAATGACAAAAGAGCCTAGAAATCATTAGCTGTAGTTGATAGATAATATAGATTGTATATGTTAGTATAAAGTTTTCGCAACCATAAAAAAAATGGTCTAGGAAGAAAGGTCACATTTCTTTTTTTTTTTGGAGGGGGGTCGTGGTGGATTGTCGCTGTGCCCAGGCGCAGAAACCAAATCAACGAAAAATCCACTACCACCAAGACTCACAGGGGGGGTAGTGCTGGCAACCAACAAAAACACGCAAGTAATCAACACCAAAATGACCGGTTCGTCTTCTCAGTATGTCTTTATATTGAATATATACTCTTAAGTGTGTTTATTTTACTAACGTATGAATAGATTCCAACAGTTGGAGAAATTAGGTGAAGGTACCTATGCTACCGTTTACAAAGGCAGAAACCGTGCCACAGGAGCCTTGGTGGCTCTTAAAGAAATCAACTTGGATTCAGAAGAAGGTACACCTTCTACTGCCATCAGGGAGATTTCTTTGATGAAGGAGCTCGACCATGAAAACATTGTCACCCTTTATGATGTTATCCACACCGAAAATAAATTGACCCTTGTGTTTGAATACATGGACAAAGATTTGAAAAAGTATATGGAAGTACATGGAACCCAAGGCGCCTTGGACTTGAAAGTCGTCAAATCATTTATGTTTCAATTATTAAAAGGGATCATGTTCTGTCATGATAATCGCGTCTTGCATCGTGACTTAAAGCCTCAAAACTTGTTGATTAACAGTAAGGGAGAGTTGAAATTAGGTGATTTTGGATTAGCCCGTGCGTTTGGGATCCCATTCAACACTTTTTCCAATGAGGTTGTTACGTTATGGTATAGGGCTCCTGATGTGTTGTTAGGTTCTCGTGCATACACTACATCTATTGATATTTGGTCTGCAGGTTGTATATTTGCAGAAATGTGCACTGGTAAACCATTATTCCCAGGAACAGCCAATGAAGATCAATTAATCAAAATCTTTAGATTGATGGGTACTCCTAATGAAAGAACTTGGCCAGGTATTAGTCAATATGCCAACTATAAGAACAATTGGCAAATCTTTGTTCCTCAAGACTTGAGATTAATCGTCCCAAATCTTGATTCTTTGGGATTGAACTTGTTGCAAAGTTTATTGCAAATGAGACCAGAAGCTAGAATCACCGCTAGACAAGCTTTACAGCATCCTTGGTTCCATGAGATTACAAACCCTGCCCCTGTCATGCACCAATTGAGCGATCCTTACCAACAAGAACACCATTACCAACAACAAGCACAGCCAATCATTGATCACCAATACTAGACAAGCATTCTGCGCTATAGAGATTACGAAAGTCATTTCATTCATTAGCTAACTAAGTTCTATGAAAATTATGCAAGATGTCGTACTCAGGGTTCGGTTCAAATGTCAGGAGTACTTGAGTCAATTGAATATTTCGAAGTTTTATGGCTTCTGTCCAGAATGGACGACTGTCGACGTTGGTATGTCGGGTAAAGTAAAATGCAAGTAGTAAGAAACATCCTTTAGAAAGATCTTGGACTATGGTGTCACCATCCACATTGTCTCCATATATAGAATAATCTATTTTTGTATAAGAATCAAATAAACGAAACATGTCAATGATTACATCTCCAAAACAAGGGCCCGTAGTTTGTGTATGCAGTAATAATTGTGGTATAATTGACCCAACGGGTAATTCTCGATAGGGGAAGTTGTGAATGTGATCTGGTTGGAGGTGCCTGAATGTTTTAGATAATATAACGTCAACCGGTCCTAGAGAATCTGGATGTAAAAGCAATAATCTCTGCACTAGTTGAAATTTCTGTATTGAGTTTATTCCATTACCAAGTATAGTTGCTGGAATTCTGAACATAGAAGGAGGGTCAACTGGTGCAACCAAAAAGCCATCATCAAATATAAAGCTAAACTGATACGGTATTTCTTTGACGGGGAGTTTTTCATCATCATAATAGGAAAGTCTGGGATTGTCAATATTTTCTTCACTCCGATTGTTAACATTCCACTCATCAACTAATTTGACTATTTCTTCCATACTTGCATTGTAATCAATAGTTGTACTGTCTGCGTCATTAGCAAGCTGGGCTGAATCCATGGCCATTTCGGCAAATTTAAATCGTACTACTCGAAGTCTAAGTTTTTGCATAAACAACACTTCTGCTCGTGTCATGAACTTACAAACCAGTTCTTCGGATGCACCAACTAAATATTTGCTGGTAAAAAAATCTAGCAACCTATTTGAGATGAAGTTATTACTAAGCACCTTATCGAGAAGAACCCAGGCGTTCTTAGTATATTCCAAACATATCCTTCTCAATATATCATGGTTACGCACTAGCCGTTTATAGTTGATGTTTTGAGGACATCTTGTCTTGTAATAGCTTATCACACGCGTATAATACTCCATTTTCTTTGTAATGACATCGAAATCCAACCGTTCATTCAAATTAAACGCATAGAATTTCCTCACCATATCCAATACTAACGAAAGGTTGTCCCAGTATCCTTCACTAACGTACTCTTTATCGAACTTCAACATCCGCCGGAGCAGTTTGTTCATGAGGGGGATATTATTGCCTGGGCCAGCTTCTATGAAAATCCTGCGGATGATACAATTAGGCAAGTCAACAAATGTTAAATGATTAGTTATTGATTTATGCCGGTATTCAACTTCAGAAGTGGATGCCGAAGTGGTTATACTGGTGGACTGACGAAGTTTCCTCTTCTTGAGGGACTTGCCAGGATTTATAAAGCCCATTTTCCTGACGTATTAGCATTATTTAAAAATAGTTTAATTTTTTTTTTCTTATTGATGCAATCGTGCGAGGTAAGAATTATTCTTCCACGGTTGCAAAAATAGTCCAACCGTTTTAACCGACGTATGGCATATGGGGTTATATCTACATTAATGATTCAAATACAAGTTTAATATTTCAACTATCTAACATAAACAATAAATAAATGGCTAAGTGAGAAAAAAAAAGATTATCTAAATCTTTTCTTTAAATTGGTCTTCGGTAACACCAGCACCCATGGCAGCAGTTGAAGTAACACCACCACTGACCATTTTCAATAAGCCATCAATATATTCAGCACCAGACCATTTTTGATGCTTGACAACTTCAACACCCTTTTCAATTTCTGGTTGTTGAACATTTTGACCATAAGCCCTCATACCAATTTGCGAGTATTGGTTAGCGAAGTCATCAACAGCCAAAGCAGTAGTATGTAACCCAGCAAGAGTAATGAATTGCCATACGTAACCCAACTTGGCCAATCTCTTGATATAAGTCTCTTGTTCATTTGGTGGCATAGCCTTGTTCCAGTTGAAAGATGGAGATAAGTTGTAAGCCAACCATTGGTCAGGGTAAGCAGCCTTGACACCTTCGGCGAATTCCTTGGCTTGTTGGTAGTCTGGCAATGCTGATTCCATCCAGATCAAATCAGCATATGGAGCAAAGGCTCTACCTCTCATAACAGCACATTGAGTACCACCTTGGTATCTGTAGTAACCTTCTCTAGCTCTGGCAACTTCCCAGTTAAAGTAAATGTCCTTACCAGTCAATTCCTTAGCCAACTTCTTAGCTTCCTTGTGGGAGGTGTTGGATAATGGGTTGACCTTGTCGGTAAACTTCTTAATCAAGGCTTGCTTGTTTGAGTAGTTACCAGCGTTAATTTCATCGATAACAGCTTCATGGAACAACTTTAATCCAGCAGTCTTGGTCCAGTTTTGTTCAATAGCAGCCAATTCTTCACCATAGATACCCTTAGCTTCAGCTTCGGCCATTAAACCAGCTAATTCAGGAGCATCTGGGTTGGTAGAACCAATGACGAAGTAATGGTCTCTGTGATCAATGGTAGAAGTAATCAAAGTGGCGGCTTCAGAATCAGTTCTGGCAACAGCCAATAAGTTAGATCCCAAGATATCAGCAGAAGCTCTAATGGCAACCAATCTGTTAATGTGTTCTTGGACTGGAACAAGAACCTTACCAGCCATATGACCACACTTCTTGGTACCAGGAGCTTGATCTTCGATATGGATACCAGCAGCACCACGTTCAACAAACAATTTGGTCAACTTGATAATAGCAGTGATACCACCGTGACCAGTATCGGCATCAGCAATAATTGGTCTCAAGAAGTCAGTGTATGGAGTCTTGGCTCTTTGAGCTTTAGACATGTTTAATCTTTCTTCACGTTGCTTTCTGTCGTGGAATAATTGAGCAAACCACAAATGTTCAACCTTGTTTGGAACGGTATCCATTGGGTAATCAGCTAAATCTGGAGATGGTTCGTTAGAAGTAGAAGCAGTAGAGGAACATTGCCAACCAGAAACGTAGACGGAATCCAAGTACTTGGCCATTTGAGCAACGTGGATTGGGTCCAAGGCACCGAAGGTGAAGGAAGCAGTCTTGTCAGCATCATGCTTTTCCAACAAAGAGAACAATTTGTCAGATTGTTGGGAAGATGGGTAGTCAATCTTGAGAGTACCTCTCTTCTTAGCAATATCTTCAGCGGTATAGATTCTCTTGGTCTTTCTCCATCTTGGTTGAGCCCACCATTTCTTAATTTCAGCAACTTGTTGTTGGTAAGCTCTTTCTTCTTCGTTAATGTCGATAGCGGAGTATGGCATTGTTGTGTAGTATCTATTATTGAAACCTATAAAAGATTAATGAAGAGAAAGAAGAAGACTGGAAAGAAAAAACAAAAATTTCAAAGGGAATTAACAGGATATTTATAGGTCAAAAAAGTTTTTCAACCCATTCGGGTATATGGGGGAGAAGCGTAATGTCTGGAGAAAAGCTGGAAAATCAGGTGGGTTCATTTCTAAGCTTATTTCTTTTTTTTTTTTTTTTTTGCAAAAATATTTTTTCCCCAGATTTTTGATTGTTGAAATAAACCCAATTCCATTAGTCCTGGGCAGTTGATTAGCCGTATGCAGTACACGATAACAATTGCTTTTGAATAACCTCGGAAACGAAATTATGAGCCAATTTGAGTAATGTAGTCACGCACATTTTTATGTTTCACAACATCACTAAATAGTTCCAACCGTTGATATGTATCTCCCGTTAATAGTTTAGGGTTCTTGACAAGTGTGTCATCCAATCATATTTCAATGTAATGCAAGAAAAGTAAAAGAAAAAACTCCGAGAGTGCATGAACCTAAATGCAAAACCTGCAAAATATTATTTTTTTTATTTTTTTCATGTGCACCAGAAAAGGTCATTTCCAACGGGTCCGAATTCGGATACTTTGAAATTTGGTCGTAGTTTCCCTTACTCCGAGGCTAATTTATGGAATGCCTGGGGTATGGCGTTTTTATGATTCATCCGTGAATTTGTGTTAACGCCTGGCTCTTGGGTTGGTATTGTGTCATTGGTGGGCTATGTCCGGGTTGATCGGCAGGTGACATCTCGTACTACAATGAAAGGAACTACATGTCCATGCAACTGTTATTTTCCTTGATATGATTCATTAGTCATGCATTATTTTTAAAGTTCGGAGTTTCAAGTCCCCGTGGATTTTTCTTGTTATTTCCCACAAATAATAAATTGCAATCACCATGCCCGCATGTTAATCCCCGGACTGTTACAGTTTGAAATCGAAATTACTTTCAAATTATACTAAAAAGTTTCTATAAACAAATATCTCGGCAATCTATTCCGTTTTGGATTTCTTTACTCCATTGCCATCTGGTTTAGGGGCTTTTCTTTTCTTGACCATACCTGACAAATCATTTACAGGTTGAGCTGGCTTCTTTTTCTTAACCATGGAGGTAAGATTGTTTACTAGAACTTCAGACATACTGGTACTGGTATCCCCACCTGAACTGGTGGCTTCTTGTCCTAAAATTCCTTTAATCAATTCCATTTGTTCTTGTTGTAATTGATCACTAGGCGCTTTTCTCAATTCATCGTATTTGACTTGCAATTCTTGGATCATCTCATCATTTTCCTTTTTCATCTCACTATCAGTTTCATGTTTGTTTCTGCGTTGGACAGATTCAATCGCTAATTTCAATTGCTCGGCGGCCTTTTGTCTCAGTTGAGGATCAGAACAGAACTCCAAGGCCAATGCTACCTTATAATATGCTTCTGACAAGAATCCTGAATTTTCCGGATTATACAATTTCAATTTAAGATCGAGACATTCTTGGAAGTCAGTTGCTGATTGTTGGAAGTTTTCTGTTTCCAATGAGATGTCACCAAGAATATCATAACAATCAGCTAACTTCTTGACTGTGATTATGTATTCATTTGTAGTTTCGGAACGGTCTGATTCCAAATATGGAGGAGATAAATCGCCCTTGTCAAGAGTGGAGAGCTTATCTTCTAATAAGGTTCGGGTAAGGTCTAAAATTTCCCAGGCTATCTCAAAATCACTTTCTTCCTCTTCTTGTTTTTCTGGCTTTCCCTTACCATCTTCTTCGTCTTCGTCTTCTTCGTCTTCCTCTGCTAATTGAGGCCCTTCTTCTTCCTGTTCATCAGTTACCTCGGCTTCAACAGGTTCAGCATCATAAAATTGAAACTGATCATCTTCTTCGTCCTGTTCACCTTCTCCATTCTCATTGTCATCGTTGGTACGTGCAGGTGGAGCACCACCAAAAACTTCGGACTTGCTAATGGCACTTTGAAATACTGCTTTACCGTATAAGAACAACAAGTCAGGATCATCACCGTGTTCTTCCGCGTATGTCTCGCAAGCCTCTCCGTATTTTGCAACAGCCGAGTCAAAATCTTTCGCAGAATAGGCGCGGGAGCCTTCAGCTATTAATTTGGATACGTTTTCAGGATACAATGCCATGTTCTGAATAGAGTGTTTGGAGTTGCTGAAGAGTGCTTTAGTTTGTCACTTTTTTTGTGGATGCGAGTCTTGATATTTTTTTTTTTTTTTGCTTTACTGACGCGTATTTCGTTGGCTTGAGGATCGCTGTACAAGGACTTAAGAATACATTCAAGTTTGATACCTTTTTCTTTTATTATGGCCCAAAAGTTGATCTAGGTGTTATCTGTAAGTGCAGATTCCATGGATTGACATTAATTATTTTCTTTTTCTTTACGTTGCTGAAGAGATATTGGAATAACTCTTTATAAAAACAAAATTTTGCAGCAAAACTGAAAGAATAATTACAAAACCTAATACTCATTGAAAATATACTCATAACCTCAACATTTACAGGGATCATATTGTCCATAAATTCCAATCAAACCAATGATATCTATCTAAATGAATAAGGGTATATGTTGCAGCTGGTTTGCACAGTTCAGAAATTAACTGTTAAGAAGGTGATGTACAATTTGTCTTCCTTACAAGAAGCTCAAGGACCAAATCCTCCTTCCTTCTCAATTCACATTATTATCATTTTTCTTTCTTATAATTCGCCGAGGCATTAAGCCTATTTAACTACGGCACATGTGTGACCACTACGTTCTCTCCATTACGACTCCCCACACTTATCAATCCCTCGTAATTGATTTCGGTCACATGACATCCGGAACTTCCACTAACAAAGTTTCGTCATGTTTATTTTTTTTTTTTCTTTATTTTTCTTAGTGAATCTCCCCTATCATTATCAACAAAATTATCATTGATGTCAATTACGGTCCAGTGACCATAACAAACAAACACATCGGAACTTCGAAGGTTACTTTTTTTTTGGAAGTATAACCTGCTCTACTCATTACTACCTATATTCCGTGAAATACTTTGATTTCAGTGACCATACATCCAGGCATCAACTCGGTACCCTTGTTTACATTTTTTCTTCCTTCGTACTTGGGTCAAAAAAAAAACAGAAATTGGTTATTCTGCCTTTTAGTGGTTCCAGTTAATAACAGCAAGCATGTCACAGCATTCACCCCTGAGTGGGAAGAGGTCTCTAAGGAGGAAACCTCCAGCTGAAATGGAGCCATTGAACCAACCTGTGCCTGCTAACAACTCAACATTCCCATATACGACAAGGTCGACTCAACAACCGTTTCAACCAGAGGTGGATCCTCACTTCAAACGCAGACCATCGCAAGATTACTCTCCATCTAATCAGCAGAGATACGAGTTCTTGAACTACGATACTTCAATAGCTCCGGATTACTCCCATGCCGATCAGTCGTATGAAGACACATTTGCATCCCTTGACTCACCCAAGCCAAAGGGTCCCCGTCAAATTTGGGAGTACAATGAGCATGAATACCGTGAAGCAAGTCCAACTCCTCTTGGGAACAATCGTGACTTGGATCACAGACATGCCACTCGTGACAGATCACCAATTCATATCGATCGAACCAAACCCAAGGAACGCGCATTTCAGGAGATGTCAAGGTCTAACTCAATCCCTAGTGTGGCAACACCATACCCTACTAAACCAGTAGAAGAAGAAATTTTTGATGAGGAATTTGCATTTACTGTTTCTCCTCCCGACACAAAGAGAACAAATGAAACTGACAGAATACCCCTGTTGGTACAAAGAAGACTGATGCCGGCTCTTCCAGTTTCCACTCTTGCACATTCTACAAACTACAACAACTTAGCCAGCATCGGGCATGACGCACGAAACCTTAATGTACGTTCATCACAAAACTCACGATTCCCAGGCACGTATGAACCATTGGCAGAAGAAGAACAACCATATCAAGAACCACGATCAGATTCCACGGGGGCAGAATACTATTCCACTATACCGCAATTTCCTCCAGCTGAATTTGATGAAAATGAATTTATAGAATCTCAAGGAAGTAGTTCACGGTGGAATTCTATCCGATCACATGATTCCTATTATGCAGTCACTGATAACCCATTTTTTGATGAAGAGGAGCTAGAAATGAGAACAGAATCTCCCACATCTGACTACTTTGATTATTCCATTTTGCCGGACATTCCAACGGGGAAAGATGCATCCTTTCTTGAACCTACTATACCCCCTCATACTCATATACCCATACCAGGAATACCCCTGATTCCAAGAGCAACTCCATACAAGAAGTTACCAGTAATACCGTTGGATCTACCCGAATTACCATTCAGCTCCTCATTGTTGCTTCTGCAACATTTCCAAATATGTGAAAACATATGGTCACTCTCCCTGATTTTCCAATGGTGTTTGGAGTTGAGACTGTGGCTGCGAGATCAAACTATTTCTAAGCGTGAACTTAAGAAGGCATTGATTAGATTGTTTGCGTTTCATAGAAGCGACTTTGCACTTGATGTGATAACACGGAATGCAAATATAGTATTGACTAGTCTTGTTGACTCAGGCGCCATTGTTCTTGTAGATGGTAAAGGATCGGAAGAAGAAAAGAAAGGAATAACAATGGCCTCAGACGTGTATGTTAATGGTGTACTACCTGATTTCACTCAATGCTATTCTGTTTTCCCTCATGCTGAAGATGACGAGACCTCTTATCAGTGTTATTCGCTGTCATGCTATCTGAATGAAGTAAGAAAGTACGAAGCCCGAAGAAGAACAACCAATATCAAGGATATTGTATTGGAGAATGATTGGGCCACGCATTGGCATTTATCGGCTGAAGACTTGCGAGGAATAGAGCAGGGCTTAATCAAACGTCAATCCTATGTGTTTGACTTGCTTAGATATGAGCAAACATTTATCCAAAGAGCTAAATGTTTTATCGAAATTGTTGTACCGGAATTCGTACCTCATATGCGTGAATTATTCAAGCCTGAGATTACTAAAAAGTTTGAACAGGATGTCGTTGAACCAGGTCGGAAAATTCTTGAGATTCATCAAACCCAGTTGTTTGAGCCCTTGTTGAGAATTCTTATTGCCGAGGGAAAATTTATTAGAGATTTAGTTTCAATTTCAAATATTTACAATGATTGGGCTATAGAAGTACGACCCTTTTTGATGCAGTACATGAGCTGTATGCCATTGATTGAAGAATTGTTGAGCACGCCATCTTTGAAAACATGGGTTGATAACCATATCGGGAATTTGAAACGTGTTAAAGAATTGAAAGTGAATGTTGCCATTTTGTTTATCAGTACCTTCAATTCTAGGTATCAACTGCTTCCACTACAATTGTTGGATATCCGCAAGAAATATGACGAACTGGATGAAGAATATCATGCCTTGACAAAGGCAAGCGAGACAATAAAGAAGTTGGGACTGAAGATTAATGAATCAAAAAGAATGGCAGACAATGTACACACCATAGGTATGATTAAGAATCAATTAGTGTGGAAGAATAATTTACAACCAACGAATTTGAATTTGGGATCTACTAATCGAAAATTCATTTGTCGAGGAGATATGACCAGGAAAGGTGAGATGAAGATCACTACATGGATAAACCATATAATACTTCTTGACAACTACATGATAATTACGGACCGAGTTAAGAATTCAAAGGCACGCGGGTATAGTTACAGAATTATTGAGGATCCTATTCCTGTTGAATTCTTAATTGTGGAAGAGAAAGCCATGACTGGGGTAACAACAAACACTTTACCCTTACCTCGAAATGGAACGAACCAACTACCTACACCACCACCAACCACCACCACCACATCAAATACATTAGATAGTTTGGGAGATGATGATGACTCGGCCACATTTGCACTTAAGATACGATTTGCAGGTAGACAGAAGCATACATATACATTTTCTTGTAAATCAGAACGTGAACGTGGAGAGTGGATTAGATTCTTATCTGAGACGAAGCTGGCATTAGGCAAGAGATTGAAGCCATCAGAACCTTTTGATATGAAACTTGTATCCAATACATGTTTTGGATATGAGTTCCCTAATAGAATTACCAAGTTGCAAATTTGTGCACCATATGACCCTATTTATGAGATAAGTCAAGATTCATTAAGAAAGCTTACTCAATTGGGTTACAAATCTGATTTATACAGCTTCCCTAATTCTAGAAATCATGTCGTGTTTAGCAGGGTTAATTATCTTTGTTCATTTACATATAAAGGCGGGAGATACCATTTTATTGGATTGGCTACTGGGTTATATTGTTGCGAAGCCAAGAACAGGTGGAAAAAGATACTCAATGGGGCGGATTTCACCAAGATACACGTTGATGTTGTAGCTGGAATTGTTATTGTGCTTGGTGATAAACATTTGAAGTATTTCTTGCTTCTGCAATTGCTTTTGGTTTATACTGAAAAAAAGTCAGAAGTTACAAGTATTCCAGTATCGAAAGAGCCGGTATTATTCTTTTCTGTTGGCCGACACAAAAATATCACAATGTTGTTTTACGCAAAAAGGAAGAGCAATGGCACGACACATTTCAAAGTTCTAATTCCCGAGACCGACAATCATGGAGTATTTAGTCGATTCAAAGAAGAAAGAAAGTTTTATATCCAAGCTGAATGTTATGGAATTTCAATTTTCAATTCTTCGTTTGCAGTGCACACAAATAAAGGGTTTGAAATTTTAGAGTTGGATAAATTAATTCCTCGCTCAGTGCCCGACTTACCCCTCCCAGATGTTGAAAATAAGAAAAAGATTGACCAGTTTCAAAGAAGAACTAGTAACTCTTCAAATGTGGCGGTTGAAATAATACGGAAGCTAGTGTCATCGTCAAACATGAAGCCGCTTGGAATGTTTAAGTTGAATAATAACACAGAGTTCCTTTTGGTTTACAATGAGTTTGCAATCTTCATAAACAAGCACGGGAAATTATCACGATTATCTGTTCTTCGATTTGAATTCAAAGCAAGGTCAATCCAGTTTGCCAATAATCATTTATGTATTATTTGCGAAGAAGTTATTGAAATTTGGTCGATCAGTGATTTCGTTAAGGGTACTAATAAGTTGATGCAGGTAATCACTGGTAAGGATATTAGATCCATTTCTGATGATCAAATTGCGATTGCTATGGCAAACCCCATGGTTCTTGGATTACAATTGGTATTTCAATTGATACTGAAAGCAGGGGAGTGAGGAGAACAAACAATATATAATGATGTATCTTTTTCTATTAAGTTTAATTGATCCTTTTTGGATTGTAATGTAATATATATTAATATTCCAATGATGGGCCTTTTTTTTTTGTTTTGCTAACAATCTGACGGAATCATTTACTATTTTATCGATCTGGATCACTGATTCTGTATGTATAAAAAGCAGAAATGTGGTATTTCATCTTTATGTTACTCTAATTTGCGAACAGTCTTCTACAATTACCAGATTTTCTTTTAATCTTTAAAGTGGATTTTGGTCCAAACAAAATATACGAACAGAGACAAGAAATTATTTACTTATACCGTAAAAAGAAGATCACTGCAACATCATCTCCTAATTCCAAGCAAAATTGAAAAAAATATTTACTTAGTTCTTAGAATTTCCTGTTGTCGTTAGTGTTTTGACGCAATATCCTTTGCTTTCATTACTCAAAACTGAGTTGGCATAGCTTCTGTGGAAATGATTACAACGCTTAAAGCTTTCAAATTATATAAGGAAACAGTTATTTTTCTCATTATTTGATGTTAAATATATTTATAAGGCGGCATGTAACTGTTATTAGCACAACCTTGGCATTAATAGCAAGAAAAAAAAAAAAATAATTGCATCCAAAATTAGCTATAGAACTGATATCTCCGCTAAAAAATCTCTTGGTAGAGCAAAAAGACCACACAAAAGATAGACAGGATCATGCTACTTTTTCAAATAGTCAATAGTATATAAAGTCAACGAGATGTTCTTCCAGCTTTCGTTTGCACAGTTTGGTATTCACAAAAGTCAATACAATGATTTTATTACTGCTAATTCTACACTTATTATTAGTCAAGTATTTGCTTGCAGCTACGACAACCTTTTCTTTATATCAAACAGAAAATATGCCAGATTGGAGTAAATCTTCCACCCTTATCCCTTGTGAGGTTAGTCAGTTCGAACCAGCCTGTGAGATAGGTACTGACTACTTGAATAAACTACCAAAGATTATACAATACAGAATTACTGATGTGGAATGGGTAGAAGGAATGGAAAATGCTTATGTAGTCACGATGGAAATTGAGCTAGAGTTCATGCTGATGACTGTTTCAGCATTAGGAATTTTAGGGTTAAGAACTCCAAATAATTATCTTCCCTCATGGAAGCTTACTCCATATATATTATTGAACTTAAGATTCTTTCATTTTTCAGCTAGATGGATCATGACAACAGAAGAGATTGATGGAATGATATTAACAACTCCATTTCAAATAAACATCAATGTTATAACTTTCAAGGGTAGCTGGCTTTCTTCATACAAGCATGGCTGCCCAGATATAGACGGTGGCTCCTATGATTCGCCTAGGTATCGAATTGTTAAAAACTGCGAAGAACCAGAACCAGAACCACCAACAACTACCGAAACAATCACCAAGGTTCCCAATTATGAACCAGATCAACGCTTACTTGCTTGTCAAACGGAGGCATTCGAACCTGGGTGTGAGCTTGGTTTGGGTGAGCACTCACAGTCCAAAGGATATCCTGTTCTAAAGAAACTAGAATTTATAGACATAGAGTGGGTTGAAGGAAGGGAAGACTGGTATATCGTGACTCTAGAATTCGAAATACAGAATTCTAATGCTTATAACGTTGAAAATGTTATACTTACAGGGTTACAAACTCCAGTAAATTATTTACTGGAACTTGACCTAAGCTATTTGAATTATCCATACAATTTTGTGGTTAGATGGCTTATGAAGGTTTCAAAAGTTGGCGACTTTATGCAAACAACTCCTTTCCAAATAGAATGCGATCTATTGACCAATTGCGTAGATGATAATTGTCATATTGATAGAATTTCTTATAGGAATGGATGTCCAACTCAAATTGATAAGGAATATGATTCACCCGTTATAAGATTTGCCAAAAATTGCGGGGGACCAGATCCTGAGCCATTACCTATATCAACATTAATCAATTTACCTAAATATTCATCAACTCAAAGTTTTATTCCTTGTGATCCTCAAACCATAAGCTTATTTTGTGATTTTGAAATTGGTGAAAGCAGTTCATATTCAGGTTATCCCCCTTTGAAGAAATTTCAATTATCTGAAATTGCTTGGGTGCAAGGCACAAAAAACTCCTATATTGTTACACTTGATTTTGAAATTGAACAATTTAAGCACATTATTCCGCAAAAATTGAAGATTAAAAATTTAGCAACTCCTGATTCATACCTATCAGAAATAGATCTCACTGGAACTGAATTAGATCCATATAGATTTTTGGTTCGTTGGGTTATGGAAGCTGAGAGTATTGGTGATTTCATGGTTTCAACGCCATTTGAAGTTGAATATGTCTGGTCAGTTTGTTCAGAAAGTGGTTGCGAAAATGAATATGTGGAATACAAACATGGATGTCCAGATATGATTGAGACAAGAGATATGAATTTAAAAGATTCCCCAAGAGTGATATTTGAAAAGTACCGTGAACAACCATCACCCATCATCAAACCTGCAGAAGCTAGTCCAACTACTATTGAAAGCTCTTTGGACCTTCCTACTGAAGAAAGTATATCGTCAACTACTGATGAAGTCAAATCATTTAGTTCTGAGGAAGTTTTACTCCCCATTGAAGAGTCTACTACAACTTATACAACCAATATCGAACCAATTGACAACGAATCTACCGAAACCTTTACTGAACCAATAGATACCCCAACCTCTGCATCAATCACTGAACCAACTTCTGGAATAACTACTCCATCAGATGTATACGTGTCTGAAGATGAACCTAAAGAAATTACTTCATCAACTGTTATCATTGTGAAGGGAGACGAAGCTTACGAGGAAGAAGAACTAGTACTTGAACAAAATGAAATTATGTCCTTTGTGGATGTTGCCAGTGTAATTATTCATTCTACAGTTGTCCCACCTACCAGTAGCTTATTTTATACAAATACGTTTGAGATACCCGCTCTAATTGAATTTGAAAATATTGTCAATGGTGGAATAATTGTAATAAATACTCGCCATGACATTGATGAGAACATGATGGCCAAGAGGTATGAAACCAATGGAAATCTTTATGAAAGTGGCATAACAACGTTCTTGCATTCATCAAAACGGGATCAAGAAGATCATATTACATTAAATACAATTTTACAGAATACGGGGGATATAATTATTGCAGGGTCTACTGACACAGTTGTTAAATTGCAAAATAAATTTTTCAGCGAAGGATATTTTAGTTACCAATGTAAGGGAGTGGAACCTGGGTCTCTTTTTGAATCGCTAGATACATTTGAGAATAATGGTGTGATTGATTTGAGTAATGTTCATCTAGTACTTGAACATTCCATTACTGGCACAGGTTATATACTTCTTAGAGATAAAGGTACATTAATAATTGCCGGTTCTGATATTGATGTTGCTCCTTCAGTTCAATTCTTTGATGATACTTCTAATCTCGTTATCAAAAATGGCGCTACAGGTAGTACCTTTCATTTTGCTAGTTTTGATATTGGCAACAAGATTTTATTTGAAGAGTTGGTCCTGAACCACAATTATGACAAACAAGGTGGTATATTAGAAGTTAAAACTAGTTCTCAATTGTTTTATTTCAACATTGGTCATGGTTACAACTCCGAACTTTTTGAGTTATCTTCTACTGATGAAGTATATACTTTAAGTTACAGAGGGTTACTTCCTGAAGATGCAAATGTTGTAGAACCCTCAGTTGGTATAAGGACAGTTCCACAAGCGCCAGGAATAAGACCAGAAATATTTACAACTACTGTTACATCGGTATCTGGAACATCTACAACTATGGTGACTATTGTTGTCATGGTAACCACAGAATCAAGCTCTTGGTATACAACAACTTTGTATACTTTGACCAAGCCAAGTGAGGTAGATGTGTCAACAGAAGTTGAAGAAACAGAACTGGCCAAATCAATTGTGAATACGACAGAATCGACAGAGCAAGAAACAGATGAGACAGTGACTTCTTTGGATTGGTCACCTTCTTCAATTAACGACTCTTTGGTAACAGAAATCACACCTATGGATGAGGAATCAGATTCTTTAAAAGTTCTTGTTACTTCTGACGTAGAAACTGCAGAAAGTTCAATCACCGGAGAAAGTTCAATCACTGGAGAAAGTTCAATCACCGGAGAAAGTTCAATCACTGGAGAAAGTTCAATCACTCGATTACCTTCAAAACTGAACTCCCCTGCTGTTGGAAAAACATTAACTAGGACAAGCAAAATTACCACATCTATTACTAAAGTTATCAAGTTTTCTACCGAATTGAGAGAAAACAAAACAACAAAAACAAAGTTTCTAGAAAAAACTGTACTTATCCCAACTTATACGCAAATACTTATTGTCAGTGATATTTGCACAACTCTTACAATAAATGAAATGGGAAGTACCTTAGAAAGTAATCGGGCATATGGTGATGATTGGAAAGAGGATGCTAGTGGCCAATCTAACTTTGCCGAGGGCAATCAAAAAAGCGGATTTGCATCGGTTTCCTTAGTCAACAAGCCCGGTATTACTAAGAATATGGCAAATGTTGAAGTAGATTCTTCGGGATCTTGTACAAAAAAGGCGGTTGGTATACTCTTGAGAGGTTTTGTGTTGTTGTGTATATTAATTTGAAAAAAAAAACCAAACCATTATATTTTTCCTTATTTAGCATTTAAACATTTTAAAATGAGTCTATAAGAGAGATATCTCGGTAAATGTAGTTTATCATCATCCTGGCTGTTGATTCTAGGTGGTTTTTTTTTTTCGCAGCAACTTTGGGGCTACCCCACCGGATTAAATAATGGGTGCGGAATTAGAAATTTCTCCATGGAGGGGCGATGTTTTTTTTTTTTGCATAGGTGCCAATACCTAGACCGTTCTCATGACAAACGAAGGTAGGCATTAGATAAAGTTTACACCAATACTTTAAGATTCAATCCCGTACATTCCGTAATGGGTGCAAACGTACTAAACTATCCAGATTTGCATGCATGAAGGGGTGCAGGGCTGCAGGGCTGCATTAAATGGTTTCCCGTCCTGGAAATAGAAAATCTTGATTTTCTACCGAGGAAGTTTATATTTTTGTTCGCGGGGATTAACCCCATATTTCTTGAAAAAAAAAAAACTATATATTTCACCCCCAGAAGATACTTATTTGAATCAAACATAAAAAAAACTGATAATCATAGATTACAATAATGGTCGACTTTAACGTTAATGGAAAAACTGCACTTATCACTGGTGGTACTCGTGGTTTAGGTTACTATTGTGCTGAAGCACTTGTTTTAAATGGTGCTTCAACTGTTGTAATCACTTCAAGAAAAGCCAAAGCATGTGAAGAAGCAAAGAAAAATTTGGAACAAACAGCTAAAGAAAATGGGAAAACTTGTCGAATTATTTCCCTCCCAGCTGATATTGCCGTTGAACAGCAAGCTGAACAGTTTTATCAAGAAGTTGCCAAACAAATTGATAAACTTGATATTTTAGTTGCCAATGCTGGTGCTTCTTGGGGTGCCGGCTTAGAAGACCATCCAGTGTCTGCTGTCAAGAAAGTGTTGGATTTGAATTTAGTTGCAGTTTTCCATACAATTAAGCTATTCACTCCTTTGTTAGAAAAGGTCACTAGTCAAGAAGACCCATCTAGAATCATTCTTATGTCTTCCGTTATTAGTTTGACCACCAATGATCTGGTAGGAACATACGGTTACTTGGCATCCAAAGCTGGATTATCTCATTTGGGTAAGAACTTGGCTGTTCAATTTGGTCACAGAAACATCACTGTCAACTCTCTTGCTCCAGGTTTCTTTCCAAGTAAAATGTCTAATGGATTATTAGAAGTTGCTGGTGATATGATGGTTGCTACAAATCCTAGACATAGATTAGGAGTAAAAGAAGATCTTCAAGGTGCATTACTTTACTTATGCTCCAAGCAAGCTAACTACATCAATGGGATTGTTTTACCAGTAGATGGAGGTGCCCACTTGAATCCAGTCGGTGCCAAGTTCTAGATTTTATATTTACATTGTGTATCTAGTTGAAACAAATTTTTATGTTGCTTAGAATCGCGCGGAATTTTAGAAACTTTAAATGAACCCTCCTTTTTCTTGTAACTTGGTCTCTACAAATGACAAACGTCACAATTGTAACAGGAGCTTCCAGAGGTATGAATTAAGTGTGTCTATAGACTATAATCAAGTTATACTAACTTAAGTTAGGTATTGGCAGAGCAATTGTTAATATTCTCTTAAAGAATCCAGAAAACAAAGTTATTGCTGTAGCCAGAACTAAAGAAGCATTGGAATCATTACAAAAGCAATACGGTGACAGAATAGAAATTGTTGCTGGTGACATCACTGAATCCAGTACTTCAGTTGAAGCAGTCAAATTAGCAGAATCAAAGTTTGGACAACTCGATGCCGTGATTGCTAATGCTGGTGTGTTGGATCCTGTAGGACCAATTGAGAAGCACAACATTAACGAATGGAAGAGATTATTTGATATAAACTTCTTTTCGGTGGTTGAACTTATCCAACAGAGTTTGCCAGCCTTGAGAAAGACACATGGTAAATTTATTGCTGTTTCCTCAGGAGCATCGTTGAAACCATACAGTGGATGGTACGCCTATGGAAGCTCTAAGGCTAGTTTGAATCATTTAATTGCTTCTTTAGCATCTGAAGAAAGTGAAATCCAAGCCATTTCTATTGCACCAGGTGTTGTCGATACCGAGATGCAACAAGATATAAGAGAAAAGTTTGGAAAAGATATGAGTACCGAAGGTTTACAGCGTTTCATTGATTTACACCAAAACAAACAATTGTCACCACCAGAAGTTCCAGCTGCCGTCTACGCAAACTTAGCATTGAGAGGTTGGTCGAACGATATTAACGGGAAATATTTGAGATTTGATGACGATGTTCTTAAATCATATGCATAAATAGTATGTAGCCAAACAAACATAAGCAAAAAAATTTCATATTTTTTTTTTTCATCGAAATTACCACCTGGTTTGACTATCAACTACAACAATGTTTGCTAGAACGCGTTTAAACCTTGCTCCTGTTCAATTTTCAAGGATTATAACTCGAAACAACGCGGTACCTAAATGCATTAGACGTTTAAACTCCACAAAATCTACTACTCCTCCTCCTCCTCCGCCACCACGTTCACCAAAGGGTAAAATCCTTTTGTTTATGGGTGTTTTAGCTCTTGGTTCTACCGTTGCAGCTTCCCTCAGAAGTAAAGCCGAACCTAAATCAGCAGTTGAACCTACTGCTAAACAAACTGTTGCCTTCCCAGAAGGTGAAATCTCAGTTGTGTTTGTCTTAGGTGGTCCAGGATCAGGTAAGGGAACCCAATGTAACAAGTTGGTTAAGGAAAGAGGATTTATCCATTTATCAGCCGGTGACTTACTTAGAGCTGAACAAGCCAGACAAGGGTCAAAATATGGAGAGTTAATTGCTCAATGTATTAAGGAAGGAACCATTGTTCCTCAAGAAGTCACTATTGCATTATTGGAACAAGCCATTAAAGAAAACCACGACGCTGGTGCTCGTAACTTCTTGGTTGATGGATTCCCTAGAAAGATGGACCAAGCTATAACATTTGAAGAAAAGATTGCCAAATCTGCATTCACTTTGTTCTTTGAATGTCCTGAACAAGTCATGTTGAACAGATTGTTGGAAAGAGGAAAGACTAGTGGTAGAACTGACGACAATATTGACAGTATCACCAAAAGATTTAGAACTTTTGTAGAAACATCCATGCCTGTTGTTGATTACTTTGATAAACAAGGTAAGGTTGTCAAGTTAAACTGTGACCAACCAGTTGACTCTGTTTCCGAACAAGTTAAAAAGGCTTTGGAATCTAGAGGTATTTAGATTAATAACTTTAAATAGAAAGTGTAGAACAATATTAGAGAGAGAGAGAGTAAATTTTCGTCACGTGGTTAGGAGTTTTTGGATTTGCCATTTCTTCTGTTTCAGATTCAATTTTGATGACAAAAAAAAGCAAAGTAATCATCAACTACTATTTTGTTCCACAAGTATATAGCTCAGTAAAAATAAATGACATCGACCAACACAGGATTACCTCCAAGCTGGACAGTTCGTGTCTCGCGTACACACAACCAGGAATATTTCTTCAACCAAGCCACAAAAGAATCGTCTTGGGATGCACCATTTGGCACTGACCAAGAAGTTTTGAGTGAATACTTGAAGAAGTTTAAAGCCAATGGTTACAAGCCTGTAGTTGGAGACGATGGTAAGGTCAGAATCTCTCATTTGTTAATCAAAAATAATCAATCCAGAAAGCCCAAATCCTGGAAGTCGCCTGATGGAATAACCACAACCAGAGACGAGGCCATCCAGATCTTGAAGAAACATTTAGCTAGAATTTTGAACGGTGAAGTAAAATTGAGCGAATTGGCCAAGACGGAAAGTGATTGCTCTTCACATAGTGTTGGAGGGGACCTTGGATTCTTTGGAAAGGGACAAATGCAACCTAAATTCGAAGAAACTGCCTACGCATTGCATGTCGGTGAAGTAAGCGATATAATTGAAACTGATAGTGGTGTTCACATTCTTCAAAGAACAGGTTGATAAGTGATACCACTTTGAAGTACAAGCCGAGATAAAATTTAACGAAATAAAAGTGTTAGTTCTATTCGATAGTTAATTAAATAGTTAGTGAATACATATTGAACGGGAAATAAACCTTATGATGTAGGACATATATAGTAATTAGTTTTACGATAGAATGGTTCAATAGATTCTATATAGACAAATACGGCCGTCAAATTAAACGAGGCAGTGCAACTATTAAAAGGTTCAATGAAAATTTATTCTCTCAGTTATTGAAGTAAAAATGAGATCATTAACTCCGCATGTTTGCAAATTATGATTCATAGAATATTGGGAGGGTGTATAGCGCCATGGACTGGTACGGCCATATATGCCGGTAAGCGACGGTCGTGGGAATTTTTCAAGCGCTCCCGGAACGAAGCTTTTGACTCGTTTCATTTTGATTACATAGCTCAAAAAAAAAGACAAACTTTTACCCCCATTTGTGTCTCTACATCCAATCAATCAGGGCACGGCACCAATTTAGATCAATAATAGGATTTTTCAATCTTGTGCCATTTACCACAATACGTAATGCACCACTCCAGCATTGCCCAATTGCTGAAACTCGGTTGGAAGTCGTTCTCTTATTTTACCCGTCGTGAATTTTCGCAGGCGCACGTCCCCAGAAATCTCGCTCCTTCTTTTTATTATTTTAAGACTCGCTTGCCCCCCATTCTAGGAAAGTTTTCAAATTTCATTCCTTCTTCAATTGCCCTTAACTACAACCGTACTTATTGTCAACACTTTGGAAATATGTGTCGTCATGCCAATTCTGCTACTGGCTCTGCCCAGGTTGTTCCTCAAGATAGAGAAGTATTACCTACTAATGTTACTCCACTTCACTATGATTTGACTTTGGAGCCTGTTTTTGAAACTTTTGTATTCAATGGGCAAGAAACAATTGATTTCCAAGTTAATGAATCAACTGATTATATCACCTTGAACTCATTGGAGATTGAAATCCAAGAAGCAAAGATTAATCATGTACCAGTCGAAAATATTACTTTTGATACCGACAAACAGACTGTCACTTTTAAATTTAGCGACCATTTGGCCAAAGGTACCACCGCTCAATTGAGTCTTCTATTCACTGGGGAATTGAATAACAAGATGGCTGGTTTCTATAGATCTTCTTACCAAGAAGACGGAAAAACCAAATACTTGGCTACCACCCAAATGGAACCAACTGATTGTCGTAGAGCTTTCCCATCTTATGATGAACCATCTGCCAAGGCCAAGTTTACCATTTCCCTTATTGCTGATCGTGAATTGGTTTGTTTGTCCAACATGGATGAAAACACCACTGAATTGTTGGATGGAAACAAAAAGAAGGTTGTTTTCAACACTACACCTTTGATGTCTACCTACTTGGTTGCATTTATTGTTGGTGATTTAAAATATGTCGAAAGTCACGATTTCCGTGTCCCAATTAAAGTTTATGCTACTCCTGGCTCTGAACATTTAGGTCAATACTCTGCTGACATTGCTGCAAAAACATTGGCCTTTTTTGAAAAGAAATTTGACATTCCTTATCCATTACCAAAATGTGATATGGTTGCCATTCACGATTTCTCAGCCGGTGCTATGGAAAACTTTGGTTTAATTACTTACAGAACTGTTGATTTATTAATTGATCCAGAGAACACCAATGTTAATACCAAGCAAAGAGTAACTGAAGTTGTTATGCACGAATTGGCCCATCAATGGTTTGGAAATTTGGTCACCATGGATTTCTGGGATGGTTTATGGTTAAATGAAGGGTTTGCCACTTGGATGTCATGGTATGCTTGTGATTCCTTATATCCAGATTGGAAAGTTTGGGAATCATATGTTTCTGACTCTTTACAACATGCCTTAACCTTGGATGCTTTAAGAGCTTCTCACCCTATTGAAGTTCCTGTCAAGAGAGCCGATGAAATCAATCAAATCTTTGATGCTATTTCCTATTCCAAAGGTTCGTCTTTGTTGAAGATGATCTCCAAATGGTTGGGAGAAGATGTATTCATCAAGGGTGTATCTAACTACTTGAAGAAACATAAATGGGGAAATACTCAAACTTCAGACTTGTGGGAAGCTTTAAGTGATGCTAGTGGTGAAGATGTTGTTAAAGTTATGGATATTTGGACCAAGAATGTTGGTTTCCCTGTTGTTACTGTTAAAGAAGGCGCTGGTGGTTCAATCACTATTACCCAAAACCGTTTCTTAGCCACTGGTGATGTTAAGCCAGAAGAAGATACCGTGTTGTACCCTGTTTTCTTGGGATTAAAAACCACAAGCGGTACTGGCCCTTCATATACCTTAAATGACAGATCACTCACTTTTGAGATTAATACCAGTGACGATTTCTTCAAACTTAACGCTGACCAAGCTGGTATTTATCGTACTGCTTATGAACCTTCTCGTTGGACCAAGTTAGGAAAGGCTGGTGTTGAAGGTAAACTTTCAGTCGAAGACCGTGTTGGTTTGGTTGCAGACGCTGGTTCATTAGCCTCTTCTGGGTTTATTGACACTTCAAGTTTGTTAGACTTGGTCAAGTCCTGGTCTAAAGAATCAAACTATGTAGTTTGGGATGAAATCTTGACTAGAATCGGATCCATCAAGGCTGCCTTCATGTTTGAAGATGAAGCTACCAAGGAAGCATTGAAGGTTTTCACAAGAGATTTAATTGGTGGAAAATTGAGCCAAATCGGATGGGAGTTCTCTGATAATGACACATTTGCAGCTCAACAATTGAAATCCTCCTTGTTTGCATCCGCTGCCAATGCTGACGAACCAAACACTGTTGCATTCGCCAAGAAGGCATTTGCTGAATTTGTTGCTGGTGATAAGAAAGCTATTCATCCAAACTTGAGAGCTTCTATTTTCAATGTTGTTGCCAAGAATGGTGATTTGTCAACTTTTGATCAATTATTCAATATCTACAGAAACCCACAATCAGTGGAAGAAAAGATTGCTGCCTTAAGAGCATTTGGTAGATTCGAAAATGATGAAGTTATGGAAAAAGTCACCGGATTGTTGTTACAAACTGATATTATCAAACAACAAGATATTTACATCCCAATGCAAGGTTTAAGAGCTCATAGAGCTGGTATCGAAAAGTTATGGGCTTGGTTAACTGTCAACTGGGACCGTGTATATGAATTATTACCACCAGGTTTATCTATGTTGGGTTCAATTGTTACCCTTGCCACCTCAGGATTCACTAGACCAGAACAAAAGAAGGAAGTTGAAGAATTCTTTGCCACCAAGAACACCAAGGGTTATGACCAAGGGTTAGCTCAATCCTTAGACATTATTACTGCCAAGGGTAAGTGGGCTCAACGTGAGGCTGAATCTATTTACAAGTGGCTCGAACAAAACGGTTACACCAAGTAAATATAATGTTTATTTTTATCGACTATAAACAATCTTTTTTATTTATAAATGTACCTGAACTTCTCTGAAAATGAATGCAATGTGAAACAGTCTACTGGCTAAGATATCTTTTTCTAAAATGCTATTTTCTGTTTGCATATCTCTTCCAACCTTTATCAATACTGGCTGTTTATCAGATTCAGTGAAAGAACAATTATTGACGTAATATCTAACCAAATCATGTTCCTGTATCACTTCTCCATGCAACACAATGCATGAGAAATCCGATAATATACCTTTTCTTGATAATAACTGAAACCTTGACTCATTAAGCAAACAGTGGTTAATTACAAATTCGAGAAATAACTGACCGGCTTTTCTCATATAAGAAGTGAAGCATGTTAATTCAAATTCCTTGGCATTTGGTCTTGAGTTTCCATGAAAGGATCTAACACCAACGCTTGCAATCACACGGCTGAGAACATTGTTATCTAATTCAAAATCATCAGAGACAACCAGTACTTTGACCTCCGAATTCAATTTGTCTAAATTGAATAATGGATAGTATCGCTCAGGTATATCACAATGGAAACAGTCTTCAAATGTAGTAGCTTCATGGGAAAAATCTCGTATGTATCCATCATCTTGCTTTAATTGGTCAAACGTTTGTTTTGATCCTAGTAAAATGTATAAACAGATTTCGTCTTTCAAGTCGATTGAAAGATCACTTAGAATAGAATCAACTTTTTTTATGCGGGACGATTTGATAATTCCATATTTGAATCTTGGCTTATCGTAGGAACGATTAATAAGGTTTCTCAACCCTTCGAACTTGGCAGAACCTCCTGAATGAATCCAGCTATATGGTAATATTAGTACCTCAAATACCATCCTGATAAGATGTAGAAATTAAGCTATCGGGGTCGTAGAGAGTTGAAATTTTTTTGCCTGGGATCTATGAGGCATCATTATCGCACCCAATTATCGAGTATACAAGATTATCGTAGGAGTAGAAGATCATAATAATCACGATACACTCCAAGTATTATCTAATTGTAAAATTATTATATCATTAGACTGAACGCATATTAGAATCATTTGTAAAAAAAATAAAACAGACTGCATCATAAAAGTCAGTATGTTGCTCCTAAAATAGTCATCACAGCTACGAAATACCAAGAATGGAATTTTGAATGTAAGAGTTTGATTTGTTCTGGTACTCGAATAAATTCAAATAAATTCGTTGAGCTTGTGGTATAAACTTTGTTCTTACTAACCTTTAATAGTATATATACGTTTCATTTTATTTGCAGCTTCAAAGACAAATTAATAAAACCCTCTTGTTTGGTTTCAAAGTGTATCCAATAGATTTATAACGTAAATTGTAAAATAAAAAATATGGAAGATTTGTTGAGCGATCCATTACATAAAAGTATCTATCTACACGGTAGCATTTTCTATTCTATAAGTAAATCTAAATAGCTATTAAGGAATATCATCAGATATCTTCATAAACCTCAATATAATCATAAACTGGTCTTCTTCGTACGGAAAAGCAGTTCGGAATTTGATAATGTGTTTCCATCTCTTTGAGTTCATGGACTTAGCTTCTCGATGTAATCGGTCCCACAAATGATATCCCCCGATATTCTCTTTGATCATTGCCTGAGATAAATCCAAATCAAACTTTTCAGTAAATAGTGGAACACCTGCTTGACGTTGTTGGTTTACTGCCCAAATTAAAATATGCCCCACGTACGACAAAACAGAATAATCCAAATTATTTTGATGAATCATTTTAGTAGAAGGGGTCATCTTGGTTCTGGTTGTTTCCAAGTTGATTTCATCATATCCGCCGAATAACTCCAAGATATTGGCAAATTGTTTCCTCGTCTTTCTAAATCCAAGAGATTCAAAGAGAGCGACATTTAGGCATAAACACATAAAAATTCGCTTCAAGTCTTCGTCTCCAAATAAATCTTCAGAATGTGCAGTGGTAAATTTGACCACAGTTGAAGCATATTTGGAAACAGAAGATGAAGAAATCAAGGTCTTGATTTTAACATCAGATAAATCAGAATTGAGAATTTGTTTATGGGTAATACCAATGATGGTCTTGATAGGATGAATTTCAGGCAAGGTTTCAGAATACTTTTTATTAGTAGATATATTGACGGGCCTTAATTTTACAGCAAATGGATTGGTAGTAGCTGGTACAGGTGTAGTTTCTATGGATGGCTCGCGTTGTAATATTTGCAATTTTTTTATATTGGGAAGTGGTTCAGTGGATAAATCAGAAACCTCTTTAACCTCTTTATTCTCTTTATTCTCTTTATTCTCTTTATTCTCTTTATTCTCTTTACCCTCTTTACCCTCTTTACCCTCTTTTGCTGCAGCTCGTTTAAATTTCATTCTTCGTTGTCTTCGTTTTACATTTCTTAGTCTGCGCTTTTCTTCCCTGGTAATGTGGCCATTAGTACTCTGTGTTGATTCTTCCCCTTCCTCTTCCCCTTCCTCTACCTCTTCCTCGTCCACGGCTGCTGCCTCTGCCTCTGCCACTGCCACCTCGTTCTCCGTGGTGACCGTTACGGTATCCTCCATGGCGTCCCCCATGGCGTCCCCCATGGTGTCCTTCGCGATATTCTCCACGGTGTTCTTCACCGCATCCATCGAATGGCTGGTTGTCATAATTTTCTAGTTCAGTTGTGTTAGTACCTTTCTTATTCGACTGGATAGTCTTGGTTGGATACTTACTGTTGTCGTAACCATCATTGCCTCTACTTCTGCTATTTCCAAGGTCGCCCCATCCATCTTCAATTGCATCACCAAAACTAAATGAATCATTATCAACAGTATTAGGATCTTGAATTTTTGGAGAGGTATTATAATCATTCTTGTTAGCGCCTCTGTTCCTTTTCTTCTCTTTATGAATTGGAACCTCAACGGATACCTCACCCTTTTCTAGCTTTTCTGATTCATGATTTTCTTGATCTAACAGATTTAAGGTTAACTTTCCGGCTGATTTTGCATCGACTTTTGAGGCAATTTCTCCATTACTTGAATCTTGAGATTTGAGCCTTTTCGATTTCTTCTTTGAGTCACTCTTGGAATGATTATCATCAGTTATAGCTTTTGAACCTTTTGAGTTTGGTCTTGAATTCTTTTTCTTTTTTGACTCTTTAACTTTTAATTCAGGGAATTGTTCCCCTGTAATTTTGAAGGCTTTGGATTCTTCAGGTTTTGCAACAACACTAACTGTTGGTTCTTTTTCATCTTCAGTGAGAGTATTAATTTGCTTGGACAACTTTTTCTTTTGTCTACGTTGTCTTGCTCTTTCTGCCGATTTAGAAATGGAACCAATAACGGGAACAATTTGTGCAGGAGGAATAGTGATTGACTCGTCATCAGACCAAACAAGTGAATCACTTGGGAGAATAGTAGTAGCATGATCCTCTTCTTTCTTAATTTGATCTTCCTGTGACATGATCTTGTTTGATTCTTGAGAAGCAGGTGGGGATGGTACTTTATTGTTCTTAGACTTGGATTTGGATTTGGATTTGGACTTCTTCTTTCTCAGAGGAGAAGGAGTAGAAGATTGCTTCTTTAATGATTCATTATCTTCATCGCTATCACTTGAGAAATTGAGTCCTTCCATATCCTTGGTGACATCAGCAAGAGTGAAGTTCTTTTGCTTGGTTGGTTTTTTGGTTGCAGCTGCAATTTTTTCTTCTCCCCAGGAACCGGTAATGATGACTTCTGATGCTACCTTGGTTTCAATGTATTCCTCCGCTTTCTTCTTCTGCTTGTTAGTCAATAGGTAGTCTAAATCATTCTCAAATTCTTGGTCGTCGGCAATTTCTGGTGTGGTTGCATGAGAATCACTGGGCGAGCCTTCACGAGAATTACGGTTTCTACTTACCTTTCTCCTTTCCCGTCTAGCAGCCAATGGAGTTGACATTGTTTTCAAGCTTCGTATCCAACAGAATGAAAAAAGAACTTACTGTTTAAATAGAAGAAACTCCTATGTTGTATAGAATATGATCTGTGGTTGTAAAAAGAAAACTAATTAATTTGGCGGAAAAAAAAAATTTGTTAGATTTAAATTAACAACCGCGTGTTAAACAAATTTAGATACCAGTGGAAATACAATACAAGTCAAATTTACACATTTGGAATTTATCTAGAACAAAATGCTTTTATTTATCAGTATAATTATGTAAATAAACATAGAGCACTTTTTTTTTGAAACGTTATCAATCTTGTATATATATAAATTCTTAAATCAAAAGAAAATTATTTAATGCTCAATTTAGAAAGAAGCAACGAAATCTTCAGTGACAGTCTTTAATCTGGCTAATTGTTCCTTGGACAATTCACCCTTGGTCTTAATGGCGTCTAAGATTTCAACTTCGTTGGACTTCAAGTGAGTCAAGAAAGCTTCTTCGAATTCACCAATTCTTTCAAGAGCAACGTTATCTAAGAAACCGTTAACACCAGCGAAAATCAATGGGACTTGTTCTTCAGCAGCTAATGGGTTGTATTGCTTTTGCTTCAATAATTGAGTTAATCTTTCACCTCTAGCCAAGGTTTGCTTGGTAGAAGCATCCAAATCGGAACCGAATTGGGCGAAAGCAGCAACTTCTCTGTATTGAGCCAAGAACAACTTCAAGGAACCAGCAACTTGCTTCATGGCCTTAACTTGAGCAGCGGAACCGACACGGGAGACGGACAAACCGACGTTAATAGCTGGTCTGATACCCTTGTAGAATAATTCAGCTTCCAAGAAAATTTGACCATCAGTAATGGAAATAACGTTGGTTGGAATATAAGCAGAGACATCACCACCTTGGGTTTCAATAACTGGTAAAGCAGTTAAAGAACCACCACCTAAAGCGTCAGACATCTTAGCAGCTCTTTCCAATAATCTGGAATGTAAGTAGAAAACATCACCAGGGTAAGCTTCTCTACCAGGTGGACGTCTCAATAACAAAGACAATTGACGGTAAGCAACGGCTTGCTTGGACAAATCATCATAGACAATCAAAGCGTGTCTACCGTTGTCTCTGAACCATTCACCAATAGCACAAGCAGTGAAAGGAGCGATATATTGTAATGGAGCGGCTTCAGAGGCAGTAGCAGCAACAATGATGGAGTACTTAAGAGCATCGTTTTGTTCCAAGGTTTGGACTAATTGAGCAACAGTAGATCTCTTTTGACCAACGGCAACGTAAACACAGTACAACTTCTTGGATTCATCAGAACCGTTGTTCCATCTCTTTTGGTTCAAAATGGTGTCTAAAGCGACAGCGGTCTTACCAGTTTGACGATCACCAATGATCAATTCTCTTTGACCTCTACCAATTGGGACTAAAGCATCAACAGACTTTAAACCAGTTTGCATTGGTTCGTAGACAGATCTTCTTGGTAAGATACCTGGAGCCTTAACTTGAGCTCTGGAAGTACCAGAAGCATTGATTGGACCCTTACCATCAATTGGGTTACCTAAACCATCAACAACTCTACCTAATAATTCTGGACCAACTGGAACGGAAACAATTTGACCAGTTCTCTTGACGGTTTCACCTTCCTTGACTAATCTATCGGAACCGAACAAGACAACCCCGACTTGGTCAGCTTCCAAGTTCAAGGCCATACCCTTGGCACCAGAGGAGAATTCAACTAATTCTTCAGCTTGAATGTTGTTTAAACCGAAAATACGGGCAATACCATCACTAGATATAAATGTTAGTAAGCTTTGTACATTAAAAAGATAGTACATCACAACAACGACATTGATCTTTGTTTCACTTGATCAAAACAATGACATGAATATTACATCAACGATACATTAGGTTGATTCCTTTGGACCCTTAATTCTTGGTGTAAAGTTGGCAGCACCAGAAAAAAATTATTCATCCAATGAAATTTCTTAAAATCATTTTTTGGTGTGGGCGCGCGCGAACAATGAAAAGATCGGCCACCCGCAATGTGCAATTGTGTGGTAAAGTGTAGTAATTATAATACATACCCAACAGATAAAACTCTACCGGTTTCGTTTAAGTCGGCTTCCTTAGCAACACCTCTGATTCTTTCTTCTAAGATAGAAGAAACTTCAGTTGGAGCAGCCTTGGCAGAAGCAAAACGTTGAGCAGTTAACAAGGTTGGACGAGCCTAAAATAGCAGTTAGTAAAATGTTCTCTGACATTGCGTTTGGTTGCTTTGACAAGTATATCAATGTATTAAGATGATCAAGTATGCAATTGGTTGGGCTGATACTTGATACAATCCGACCAGACAAATTGATTGGCTAGGACTGTGTTGAATTGAGTTAATTGAGGTCATTCTTTTTCAACCATTGTGTACACAGGTGTGTATTATACTTGTAATTAATCCAATTGTAGTTGTTTCAGTGGATTAAATGTGGTTTTAGGTTGCTATATTTCAATTCTAGTCACTAGCTCCCCCGGGGTGTTCTTTAGACATTGATGCCATGGTAATTCTTCAATAGTTATACATACAACTCTCAAGGATCTGGCAGCAACAGCAGCTGAACGAGCAGCAGTACGTAAAACAGGACGAGCTGACAACATGGTTGGTTTTATTTGAATAAATAAAGTGTAGACGTAAAAGAAAAGAAGAGTGAAAAAAAACTAACGTTGAAAAAAATTTTGTATGGATGTTTTTTCGCAGTGAATTGGTTAATTAGAGAGTAGAAACAAATTCTATTGGGTTTTGGGTCCAATGGTTTTTTTTTCGCACTCGGCGAATTCTGTTGGCGGCAAGTTGGAGCAATTTGATTGGTCGACATTTGCGCCAAAAGACACGACTTGTGGTCACGTGGATTCATTGAATCGGACTTTAACATTTAATCATACACATTAACCTACTACAAAGAGCTATTAAGTTGAAGGAATACTCTAAAGTCAGGAGATTCAACCTAATTCATATTGGTAGTTTTGCGAAGGTTTTAGAGTTGTACTGTTAGGGTAATGTTGATGCTGTAATATTTATTGTACTTGTGTACATGTTGTAGGGGGAGTTGAACTCTTCCGTTCATAGATCTTTCGAGATCTGTATTATTAATAGAGAGAAACTACTTATAATAGGGCAGTTTTTACAATTCTACGAATCAATTACCTCTTATAAGGCCTATAAAGTTTCTGTATCCTTAGCTTTGTGCCTTGGATACTTTAGTCCACAAATATGGAAGTCATCTGCAGTAATTGTAATTAAAACAGATTGTTTAATACTTTTCTTTCATAATTAGATCGTGTCCATTTTGTCAACGCAAGAGTTCCAGTTCAATTGTATGTTAATAACTAAGATTTACTAAGAACACCAACCGCCCTGTCATTTTCATTTTATTTTTGTTAGTCGCACTATCACTCTGTGTATGAAAAAAAAAAAAAATTTTTCAACCTTGAATTGAACCAACTTCTATGTTAGCTTAGCAAGTCCGCCCTCTCTGACAACCAAGTTACAACATATACTCAGAGAGATAGCTATGTTCAGTTCTACCAGACAGGCCCTTGGCAATGGATCCAAAAGATTTGTTAGATTCAATTCAAAAAAAGCCACCGATGATGATTTCTTTGCTAATATTTTCAAACGTGTCGAAGCTGTTACTACTAAGGTCGAAGAAATGAAGAAGACCTCACCTCGTACACACTATAAACGTTTTCAACAGAAAACTTCTGAAGGATCTGGAGAAAACCGTCCTAGATTTAATAAAGCTCCAAGATTTATCAAGCCTGTGGAAGGAGAAGAACAACCCAGACCTATTAAAACAGGAAACGCTGGGCAAGGAAATACCGTAAGACCACGTTTCACCAATAGAAGTGATTCTCAGCCAACACCATATGTAAATGGTGAGCGTCCTCAATTTGTCAGAAGAGATCCAAACCGTCCTGCGTTTTCTAGAACTCAAAGTGATCGTCCACAAACTCACGAACCTAGACAGGGCCAACCAAGACGTCCTGCTTCCGGGCAACCTTCTTCTTTTAGAACTAGAAATGGGGCTAAGGGTAATAGAAGACAAGGGGATGCTGACAGAAAGGATGCACCAACTTTATTCCCAAGAATTGTATCGAAAGAAGCTCAACCTCATGCGTTAGCTCCTACCATCAATGCAGAAACCTTCTTCTACGGGAAGGTTCCAAGTTCAAACGCAACTGTTTCTGCAAGAATTGCCTCTATTGCCAAATTGCAATTGATTAAATCTAAATATCCATTTAACTTACCAAAGAATGTTATTGAATTAGCTCCAAGAAAATTACCTGGTGAAACCATCAATCCATTCATCTTACAAAATAACTGGAACCTTACTGTTGGTGGTAAAAGCTTGGCTTATACCGTAAAGAGAGCCGTCAAGGGGAAAATTGATTATGTTCAAACTGGCAAGGCAACTGGTTCAGATGTTCAATTTACTAGCGCTATGATCAACAAGAATGCTAGTTTGGCATTGAAACAGAAACAAGTGTTATTTGATGCTGTAAATGGTACCATAAGTCCAAGATCACTTTTGGCAAACGCTTCCTGGAACAGGAAGTAGATTAATAACTCTGTACATAGTAAAATCTGAATACACACAACCTATTCCATTATGGTATTAAAAAAAAAAACCTTTGTAAATAGTCGGCTCTCCAATTATTTTTGCAACTTCCGTGCAAAAAATGCAAAAAAAAAGTAATAACAACTTATCTTTGCATTTCCGTATTTTATAAAACTGGTACCATAATATCAATGATGCAAAGTGCTAAAGATTAGCTATCATAATAAATGCAAACAGTTTTCAATGTAGCTATCCTTACAAACCCAAGAATTGACAAAACTTAAACTTATGATAGCAAGGAACAATAAACCAGTAACAACCGTAGCATAACCCACGAGTTTGAAACAATTCTAACGTTCTTAGGTTATATGGGCTATATCGGCACATCTAAACCCCACAAGATCAGTTATTTTCTCCATGCATCGGTCAGATTTGCGGAGAGGCTAGTGTTGACATATCATCGGAGCTTCCGCTGAGGGGCAAGACTTGGCGGGGGGGGGGGGAAATTACAAAATAGTGCGGAACTTCCGCGATTTTTTCGGGACCCCATTCCATTTACTGCAAACTTTGTGGGCATTAGCGGTTCCAAAAAGAAATAAGAAAAAAAAGAAAAATTAAAAAAATATATAGAATCTTTAAAGATACACATCAAACTGACTGACACATCCTTGGGTCTGGGGTCCAGCTTGTTCACGTAGACCAATTTCCCGTTTAAAGAATTCGGTTTGCTACAATTTACATTGAACTTTTTATAAAAGAATTCTGTATTATATTAAATAGTAAATAGAATGCTGCTCGCATCATATGCATAGTAGTAACTTATAATAGGCATAACCAGCCAAACGAATCCTTTTGTTTTTTAGTTTAGAAAATGCCCATGCAAGTACTAGAATCCCGATCTCCCAAATATCACCAAAGTAGAATATAAAAACCAAGTCATTTCAAACACGTATATACGCGTGAACCATATCATTAATTAAAGGGGGTAAAAACCAGTCAACCCTCTTTACGCGACCGCGTGGTTGATAAACCAAATGTGTTTTTAAATCTTATTAAATAGAGCTCTGGGACTTACGGTTCCTTTTGCTGGAGTAGATAAACTGGCACTAGTCTCTTTATACGATAATATGAACGGAAGGGTGGTAGCCATGGTCAAGTATGCTAATGATAACGCAACTGATGATCGTGGAAGTTTAGGATGGACTGAATACATTGTAATAATAGCTAGGGATATGTAATAATCAAGTGAAAGTAATTTGGATATTGCTGTAACAATCGTATAGAATAATAAAGAAAAATTTAAATCAAGGAATATTAAGGTTTATATATTTTTTTCTCGCATACAGGATTGTCTAAATGACTGTGGTGCTGGAACTTGTCTGAGGTTATACGAATGCAACCACAACAACAAAAAAAAAAATGGTGCAATATTTGTAGTGCCTTACTAAATATTTGCTAACGGAAAATCAGGTGATTATCATTCTCAAGAAAAAAAATTTGTAGGGGCGGACTTCTGCTTTGTTGAGAAATGCCTATTTGGGAATTCCGTTGGGAAAAAATCGGAAAATAGCAAAATGATTCCAAGACACACCCCGCCTTTTATTTCCGTAACCAAGAAGAAAACCACAATTATGGTTTTGATCACGCTTCCTTATTACTCATCAAATATTTACACTATTTTATTGGTGCTTGGGAGTCTCCAAATCCACAATGGTTGCAAGCTGCAACAACTGATAAGAGATGAAGATGATTTTCTTTCTTCTTGCAACCATCAATAGTGCTTGCAGGTAGTGATGCATTTGTATGTACGTTCGATTCATATTAAATCATGTCAAAACCATCAGCCTCAACATTTTTCTGAATAATACAGGTTTCTCTAGATCGATGAATATACTACCTCCGTAGTTACTTCTTTCGCCAGCGTTAAACGTGGCTAATACCTTGGTGGTAGCAAAAACCTTCGAATCTCATATTATGTACTTACTGGTCTAAGAAAAAAAAAAAAAAGACAGTGCATCACGTGTTAAATAATCATTGAATTTTTTTTTGCCTAGCAGCATCACCCTACTACACACTACTGCACCCCACATCTTTCGAGCTGAAACAATGTATTTTATCTAAAAAAATAAAACTATACCTATCTATTTAAGCATTATAGAATTGTTCAACAGTATCATAGATAGAATCTTCAAGGGATTTGAAATCAAACCCAAGAATTTTTCTAGTTCTTGAGTTGTCATACTTGTGAATAGTCTTTTTAATTTCAGCAGTTCTTGAAAGATCAGCCTTTGGAACAGTTGAGTTGGGGAAACGCCTGTTAATAATATCAGCAATTAAATCTTTGGTCCAGTCTTCAGCTCCAAGCAATAATCTTTGTCCGATGGCTGCATCGCTTTCGAATGCAACCAAGTGTGCACGAGCGACATCTCTGACATCAATGAAAACACTTCCTTCTTCTGGAATCTTATCATCTTTACCTAACTTGACGACACTGTTGATAAGTTCACTTGAGTGGTTCAAGCTAGACTTATCCTGGATGCCATAAGCTTGTGGACCGAAGACGAAGGTAGGGTGAACTATTGAAAGGTCAAAATTTGGCTTTTCCTTAGCAACGAAATCATTAGCAGCCAATTCAGCATATTTCTTGGAAGCAAAGTAACCGAACCAGGCGTTGGATAAACCTTCTTCATAAGTGATTGGGTTCCAGTCATCTTCATTGTAGACCTTGCTTTCATCAAAATATGGTCCAAACCCCCACATGGTGACACCGGAGGAAGTAATAACAACTCTCTTAATTTGAGGACCGTGTTCTTTAATTGCATTAAGAGCATTGACAGTACCTTCAATGGCTGGCTTAATTGTATCATTTTCAATATCTTCAGGTGAAAAATTGACTGGGGAAGCAGTATGTAAGAAAACAGTAACTTCTGGATGTTTCTTAAGAGCTTCACCAAAAGCTTCTTTGTCAGTAAGAGAGGGAACAATTTCATAAGTGAATTTGTCATTGTTGATGGTAGCTTTCAATTGATCACCCTTGGCTACTGACCTAACTGAACCGACGACGGAATAACCCTTGGCTAACAATTGCTTGACAACGTGTTGGGCAACGTAACCGTTGGCGCCGGAAACGAAAACAGATGTGGAAGTCATTTTAGTTGTGAATATTATGTTTATTTGTTTGTTTTGGTACTGAACTTGTTCAATTATGATAGGAAAAAAAAAATACAAAGATTCAATTTGAACAAGATCCAAGTTTATATACCTATCGCCTCATATCAGTCTTTGACTAATGATGACTAAACTGTGGTCTACCGTTTACACAAAATGTAGTCGCAAATTTCAGGACTATTGACATCCGTTCGGCACTTTCCTGTTTGGGAATCGGCCGAACCAAAATTAGATTTAAACGAAAAAAATTAGCGTTGATGATTTGTAAGCCTTTATTTTTAGTTTCAGATCTTAGTACCATTTATTTTAGTGTTACTCGGACTCCATCAGAATAGGTAGGGAACCCAAACTAGCCGAATAAATTCGTAAACAAGCACTTCCCAGATGACAAATACTTGTTGAATATTCTAATTGGGTAACTACGTGGTGTAATATCATACTTTCTAAACAATAACAAAACTTGAATTTTGTTTAGACATTCTTCTATCCACTCCCAACGGCTCTACATAAACGCCAAAAAAAAAAACTCCAATCTCTCGGAAAAATTTACAATAATAGACAATTAGATCCTATATTATTATTACTTCTGAAAATGTTTAATCTTGTTGGACCTTGGCATAACTAGGAGGTCTCAACTTTCTATTAAGATACTGCACCAACCAAACTGGGAATAAACTAACCACCAATATCAAAGATACTTGCCAAAGATAAGAAATAGACCACACATACTTCAAGTCAAAATAATCAGTCAAGAAAGGAATGGAGCCAATATAGATTAAGAGCGTGATTATAATAGTGGCTGCCATGACCCTGTTCCACTTATAAATCGAGATTGCCACCATAATCAACTCGTTGTAGATTAAACACGAAAATGATAAAGCAACCATTATTGTGAATTTGGAATCTGCCAATGAATGGAATTGTTGTGAAAATAATTGAATTACTGATCCTTGAAACAATGAAATAAACACCCACATAAAGAATGTTTTATAGGATAAAGATTTTCCCAAAGTTAATTCTCGATATAATTCAGGATATAACTTAGTCAAATGCTCGTCAATATCACAATCTAAAGTCAACGAGAATACTGGTGCCATTGTATAGAATGTAGAATATCCCACCATTAACCAACCTTGATATAATGCCAAAGGTTCAAACTTGGACGAAATCAGGTATACTGCTTGTGCAACCGAAATTAATAGACCACGATGAATAATAAATTGTCCCAATTTGGCCGATCTCTTGTAGGAGTTTCTTCCGTGCCATAGTAACAATTTTGACAAGTAATAAAACTGATCAATACTGAAATCAGCAGCTAACGACGCTTGCTTACCTTCTTTACCGACAATCCCAACCCCAACATCAGCACACTGGATCATACTAACATCATTACCTCCATCACCAATACAACAAACACGTTTCCCGGTGAAAGTTCTAATCATTACGGCAACATCAGCCTTTTGTTGTGGCGAACATCTACAGGCAATAACTGCCGGTAATTTAATCACAACTTTAAAAAATTCATCTCGGTAATATTTCATATAAGTTCCAAGGGATTCACCATCGATTAACAAACATGCATTGGTATTGATTCTTAAATATTCCAATTGGCTCAATGCCATATCGGGATGTCCCAATTTTGTAATCTCATGAACATACTGACCACGAGAAATTAATCTGGCACTGATGGATACACATTTTGCGGTTTCAACTTTATCACCAGTCAACATCCAAATCTTGATCCCAGCATTACGCAATAACTCAATAGAGGTCTTGACGTTAAGCTGCAACTTATCTTCGACCCCAGTCAATCCAAGCAATTCTAAATCTTGCTCTAAATAGTAGCTGATTACCTTCTGCATAGCACTGTCCCGATCATGCATGGCCAACGATGCCTTCTGATAGCTTTCAACAAATTCATTGTATAAATGGTCAGGCAATTTTTTTCTACCAATAACCAAAGTACGCAACCCTTCACGAGCCATATTTCCAGTTTCTTCATCTAACCAATCGGTGGTGCTAACAATGGTAGCCATCACGGTATCAGCACCTTTTTGCATAAACCAGGTTTCATCTCGTTGTTTATCCTTGACGATGATTCCCATTCTCTTGGTTTCTGAACTGAAGGGGAAATTGTACAATATTTCATATTCTAAAGTTTGATTAGTTTTCGTATGGAATAATGTAATTGAATGCCTATCTCTCTTGAATAACCTTAATCCGACTGATTCACAAAATTTTACAATGGCAATTTCATCCGGTGATGCTGCTTGGTAGGTTACTTCGGTGAAATTGGAATATTCATCAGTATCTTCTTCATAGGTTGGTGTGACATTATGGCATAGTGCTAGAGTGATGACCAAATCACATACTCGGGAACTTAAATCCTTCTTCTTTTTCAGGATTGATCCTGCAGGATTTGCATCAAGGTATGCCAACAAGGAAGAAACATAGTCAGTGACAATATCTAAAGTTTCACCTGCGTAACTTACAGTTCCCAAATGAAGTTTTTTCAATTCCATATCATTTTGTGTTAAAGTCCCGGTTTTATCACTTAATAAATATTCAATCCGGCCAAGATCCTCAGGAATGGTGGATGTTCTGACAATGGTGGATGGAATATCATCGTCCTTCTGAATCTGCGAAGCATAGACCGATTTGGCCAAATCGAGATTAACTCTCAAGGAAACGGGAATAATCGAAGAAAACAAAATCAAAAATCTCATGATATCAATATACCACCCTTTCTTTAATGGGAATCCATTTGCTAATACCAATACAACCGAAAGGATAAACACCACGACACACAAGATTTTCGAAAGACTATTGATTTCCAATTCCAATAACCCAATTTTCACACCCGACATGGTTGTGTTCATCAGTTGTCTGGTTTCGATACCGGTATATACAACCATCCCGATTGCTGTACCTGATGCTAATACTGTATTAGCCCATAAGGTTTGATCAACAGTTATAGGAAATGATTGATTGTGTGAATTAGGAGAAGCCGACCCAGCCGATGATTGTGGGTGATGGACGAGTTTCCCATTGAAATGATGAATTGACTTAGACGGACTTCCTACGATTAATGAAACTGTGTTTATCATTTCTGTAACGTTGGTCATTTTTTGAGTGACGTTTGGGGCAATTCTCAACTTCCAATCAGTTTCTCCATCCAATTGATCCGTTTTAATGAAGGATTCCCCGGTATGATCGGACGATTGTATAAGAATCATATCTGCTGGAATCCTCACATCTTTATGCAACCTCACTAAATCACCTACACGGAGATTCTTGGCCGGAACTAACTTAGTTTCTACTGTTAATTGGGCATCGGAAGTACCCCTGTTTAAAACTTCGTATAATTCGTTGTTCTGTTCCTTGTCACGACGACGTCTTGCAATATCATCACCAGCTTCCTTCATCATAGTGACAGTCAACACAAATGCCAAAGGAACAATGTATGACGAAAGATATCCTATTCTCAACTGAGGTATTATCTGGGATAAAGCAACTATTAAAAAATACAAATTGAAAAAGAACTTGAATTGTTCGTATAATATAATCGGGATAAATGTTATAGGGTTATATTTGGCATTAGATATGGCGTTGGAAGGGTATGTCTTGTTAGATCTAGCATTAGTTGTCTTTGCTGATATGCATCTTTCTGTGTCAGGGTGGTCATTCTCCATACCCTGGACAGTTGACAGTTTTCGCCTTCTTTCTTGATCCAACTCTCTCTTAGCCATGTTAAACAAATTAATCGAACGCCTAAAGGCACGTTTGAACCTAGACGACATAGATCGTGCCGCCATATTAAGCGACGAGCTGGATGATGACAACGACAAATTGTGATTATGAGAATATGCCGAATTCGCTATCAAGGGAGACATGTCGCTGCTGGTATCGTTATCTTCGATGCGTTCATGTTCATGACTGTCTGATCGTATAGTTGTTAGCGGGATAGCTCCAGCGGAACCAAAGGATGCATTTCTTGAAGGGGTGTTTTGGGAATATGTGAATAGATTGTTGCTGGCACTGTGTAATGCTCTGTCTAGGGAGTTATCTAGATCGTCAAATGAGTCTGTATCGTCTCCAAACGAATATCGTTTTGGAGAGGATGACATGGTTAGTTTCTTACTACTTTTGTAGTTATATTGGTTTCGTTACTACTTAAGAGGCAACCGGTTTGATTAGTTTGAGGAAAAAAAAATACCTCCAACGTTTTTAGATAGAACAATAAAACGCGAACAATTAACTCACACACAGCCATGCTCTAAAAATAACCAAACAATCCTTTTCTGCGACCGAGATGTGTGTTTATTTATATAAGTATGTATGATGATCATTATTGTAATTACACGAGGAAAATTCCAGCTGAAGTAATTCTGATGGCAACTACAAAAGAAGTTAGAAGCAGTAAGCCCATTTGAAAATCTCGTAGCATAGTTGCCAAGGAATCTCGACTACCATTCCGTGGCACTGTTGGTTAGAATATTCCAGCATAAGACTCTTGGGAGATATCAATATGCTAGATTAGTCTGGACATATTCCAACAGAATTTGCAGCCACTACCGAGAGAAAAACTGTGATGAGTATCTTAAATTTAATGTACTTACATAAGAAATCAAGTGATATTTGTCATACGAGATTATATAGTTACTAATACCTAGCTAAGAAATTGACAGGGTTGACAGAGTTGTCAAATCATCTTCCCCATTTAGTAACGACGATCATCATCACGTCTGTAATTGTCATTATGGTGGTCGTAATGGTCGTCACGTCTTCCAGAACTTCCATATTGTTGTTGTTGCTTACGATCATCACGATAATCTTCATAAGCATCCTCAGCCTTATTTGCGGCAATAGCACCGCCAATGGCGCCAATTACAGCACCTAATTTCCCATGTTCACTTCCTCCTAATTTGCTACCACCGAAACCACCAGCAGCTCCACCGAGAAGAGTAGCTCCTAATCCTCTGTCACCTTGCTGGCCATCATCGTTACTTTGGTTAGCCTTGTTTGGTTGATAGGATCCTTGATCTCCAGAAGAGTAAAATTCGTTAGCAGACATGTTTAATGCAGTTTATAATGAAAGAAAAAGAAGTTTCAGAATAAAATCATCAGATTATTGTCCAGTATTTATAGTCAGATCAAAGGGGGTTCAGGGATCTGATTTTTCAATATGTACAATTGACTATTTTTAACCACAAAACTTAAACACCCAAAGTAGAAATATGGACTTCACATGTAGTATTCTGTTCTATGTGACCTTTTCTTTCTGAGAGCACCAATGAGGTCAGTAGCTTGTAGTCAGGCTATGAGACTGGCTCTAGGAGGCGAAGCTCTCAATTGTATTGACAATTCAACCATAATCACCCTATGAAATCCCCTGAGGTCATGGGCGAACAAAATCGGGTTTATGCGCTGTCCACCATACACATTCCAATCACAAACAAAATACGAGGAGGCTATGTCGGCCGCCCAAGAAGCTTTATCTATAAATAGAAGTGGATGTAGGTGTCGATTATGATGTAATGGACTTAGATAGTATCTGGAAGATCAATCCAATCATAACCATTCCCTTGCGGGGAAGCGTAGTTACAATAAAATTTGAATTAAGCAACGATCATGGTATGACAGCTCGTTTACCAATCTTTGCCAAAATTAAAGTTCTGAGAATGCCTTCTTTGGAGTGAAAAGCTATCATCAGTTCTGGTAGGATGATTTTCCAAGGCATCGATCACTAGTATGGTGAATCCCTAGAGCTAAACTATGGAAGCTACAAAAAAAAAAGTAAACCATTCGTGGAGAAGCACGCCTATAAGCTAAACGACTGCAACTAGATTTGCACCTTTAGCCGGGTGAACAATGGCTGATACAAAACAAAATGAACAAACGACGTCTAAACAATGACTCACTAAACAAAGTCAAAGAAAGCATAACTAGCCAAACTTGCAATGACCATCATAGCCCATGGTCTTCCAACTAAATATTTAATTTTACCGTTGTCTCGGCAGGGTATTACTGTTTCTAGAAAAAAAAAACGTGTTGGTATCTTCCTCTGATCTTGAGCTTCTATTGTTATGTAGATGAAACAATAGAACCTTCTCTCGTCCTGCATATAATGATAGCTGCCATTGTTTTGAACCCAAAATCCCTAAAATGCCAAGCGGCGCCATCTATCAAATCCAAAAACGCCCACCACATCTTTATCAATTAGTCACTTCTACCATTACAGATACGCAACTTATAGATTTACTTTTTTTTTCCCCTTGTTTTTTTGTAGCCATAATCATCTAGTTGGGAGAGTAATTGGAACGGAAAAGATGCTGTCGGATGAAGAATCAAGAGAACTATTAGCGGTGAGCGCATCTACATCACCCGAACCGGTGAGCCGACCACATCTAGCCAAATTGTCACAGCTTTCACAAGCACAAGTTGAACAAACAAACACCACACTCAAAAGATTTTGTGAATTCTTTAAAATCAACTTCTTGGGATATCAAAACCAGTTTGAAGAGTATGTGTTGCAGAATGAACCTAATGATTGCTCGTTAGTGGCGAAATACTGCAAAGTCATCGACATTGATTTGCGGAATCAAAACACCATTTCTGTGGACAATGTAACTGTTAATTCGTTACATATACAACACCCATTGAATAATTTCATGAGCAATGAAGCAAATCAGCTTTCGCCTGAAAATGTCGACATACTGAAGGAATTGGAAGAAGCACCAATTCTTGTCTTTGTTCATGGGTTAGGAGGTCAAATGTCACAATTTGAACCTTTGATGGGGTTGTTGTCACAATGTCTGGAAATAGTGTCACTTGATTTGCCAGGATTTGGTAATTCCAAGATTCAATTCAGTGATAAGCTCAAGACTGTGTCTAACATTTCCGATGAGGATAAACAGAGAATATCTTCAAGCATACAAAAGATGACTTGGTCTGATTTCACCACAGAAAATATAACTAACATATTGTACGAGTTCATAAAACAACAAATACCAGAGAATAAGAAGATTGTATTGATAGGTCATTCAATGGGTACTCATCTTTCAATCAAACTCGCAAAGAAGTTACCAAATCATAAAGTAGAAGGATTAATATTGTTATCGCCACCAGGATTAAGAGATGATGTCAATGTTGGAGTGAAAGATTCTGGTCACAAATTATTTAGCTTGTTTAAGTTGTTCACTTATGTACCATGGTTGTTTAACTTGTTTAGGCTGTGGGACAGGTTAGGAGGGTTGAATAGCACCAGTGTAGCTCGGCAATTGTCCTCAGGCTCCAATACGATATATAACAAATTAAAACAATTACGTTGGAATATGGATATTGACTCATCAATAATATTGAAATATTCTAATGGGTTTCTGCCTGCTACCACGTCTGATTTGACGACCGCGGTTAGTCAATTCAATGATAACCCTACAGATAAGCATGTCTATGAGAAAACATTAGTTTTGGGTGGATCAAGTGATTCGGTAACGCCGGTGAAAAACATATACAAAATCGACGAATTTCTAACCAGGACATTTGATAGAAAAGTGTCGTCCACCATAGAAATCAAGGGAGTAGGTCATTCGTTATTGTTGCTGAAACCAGAGTTTATCAGCGGAATGATTTTGAATCATGTGGAACTGAAGTTCCCACAAAGATTGCATTTGTCACCAGCATGGGTTCTACAAGTGAAGGCCCGGATTTCTGGAGATAAATGGGGGCTAAAGAATGAATTGAAGTGGCTGTTGTTGAAACCAATCTCGTCCAATATAACTAGAAGGAATGGTTCAGATATTGCTCCTTTATTAGGTATGAAGACCTTACGTGAAGGAGATGCTAATCATTCACCTACGATCTTAGAAGGATTATTCTACGGGGAAAACAGCCATAACAGCGCAGATATCCCCAAAGGCAATCTTATTGCTATAATCGACATATCAGCGGATATTCCACCATATAGTCCAAAATCATTCAATGTAATCAAGTATTACAAGTGTGCTACTGTATCGAAAGTGGCGCCCGATCAAAGTGCCATTAGAAGATTTATTCAGTTGGTGGATGATATCTTGTCGGATAACAAAGCAGAGCATCCTTTGATTGCAGTGCATTGTCATTACGGGTTTAATAGAACCGGGTTCTTGGTGTGTTGCTACTTGATAGAGGTATTGGGGTGGTCGGTGCAAGAAGCGGTTGAAGGATTCAAGAATGCAAAACCACCAGGAATAAAGCACCCCCACTTCATTGATGCATTATATGTACGATACGAAAGCTGAGAAGATAGCCAAGCAAAGTTTATAAAATGTAGCTAGAAAAAAAAATTGTAATATTTATTAGTCAACTGTTTGTGTATATGGAACAATGAGTTCCATACTCTGCTAGCACATGAGCACCAGCACATGAGCACTAGCATCTTTTTAACTGCAAAATGGAAAAACTAGGACGACCGGAATATATAACAAGCTGATATGCAGGAATGCATAAAAAGAAAATAAATGTTCCAATTTTCTTCAAAAAAATAAAAACTTTATTTTGAATCATTTGAAATTGCTTTAATTTTCTTGCACGTTGCTTATCGCAATTGTTTAGTCCTCATCACTCCACCAAAGCTCTCTGTTTGTCCTCCTCTTGAATGAAGTTTGGTGAATCCTTGAGCGAGGGGTTGGTGCCCGAATGGCACGACCAATATGTGGATTATAAAGCCGGAAAAAAGTTGATCAAGAAGTTGGTCAGTCTACGTGAAGAACAACAAAGTGGATACAACACTGACGACAGCAAGAAAGCGGCACAGGACACAACACCGTTATTAGAAGCCCAAGAAGAAAGAAACAGATATACCGGAGTCGAAGATATCATTACTGATGAACCACTTTCCCCAAATAGGAACTTTACTTCCAGTGATGGTGAAGACTTGACGGAATTCCCCACCAGACCGAAACTTAAGGTTAGAGCTCGTTCTGTGTTTGGGTTTGACTCGTTTAATTTAGGAAGAGACAAATCAGAGGATTATACCCATATTTCCGAAAAGTTTAATTCTTGGTTAGAAAGTGAACTCGTGAAAGTCAATACATTCTTTCTGGAAAAGGAACAGGATGTGTATGAAAGGTTCTTATTATTGCAAGATCAACTATACCAGCTCCGTGATCACAAATTATCAATAATTAAAGAAAGAACCCAGCAGCAGAGAGGTCCTTCTCCTAAAATTTCAAACAAGTTTCCATTTCAAAACAGATTATCGTTACAGGAATTGAACCGACTCGAGTTACCTTCTTTACCATCTGGCACATTCTTGAAGAAATTAGGAAGACGAAGAAATGAATCAACTGGAGACGATATCTCTTTGCATACAGACGACAGTGTCGACGTTAACTATGCTGAAAACAGAATAAGAAACGGATTGACAGATTTAGGAGCCGACGACCAATCTCTTGGATCCGACGTGGAAGTAGATATTCCAGACAGGCCTCGCCCGCCAGAAACAGCAGAACAAGCACGTCAATCGCAAAGACGAGACTATGTCGTCAAAAAGCAACATTTTGGAGTTCCATATCTATTTGCCCGTCGACAACTAAAAGACGCCATATTAGAACACTATCGTTCATTAGCATTACTAAGATCTTATAAAACCTTAAACAGAACTGCATTTAGAAAAATCACCAAAAAATACGATAAATTGTTAAAAAAGGACACCATGAAGGCGTTCATGAACAGAATTGATAACCATGCCTATTTCTTGACCAGTGATTTAGTAGACAAGTTAATTAACCAAGTTGAAGAGTCATATATCGCCTTTTTTGATCCCGAGACCAAAGACAGGAAGCATTCACTTGAAAAATTGAAATCTATCGCATATGCATTGAATGCGTCGGAAATGAAACCTCCAAATTTCTACCTGGAATTCTTTACCTCGGGATTTGCTCTTGGGTTTGGTATTCCATTGTTGGGAACAGCAATATATGTCGCAATTCACAACATAATTACTGGACTTTTGCCAGAGGGGAAATACTTGCTTCAAATATGGGCTGGATTTTTCCTTCTAATGTTGATGTTTATACTATTTGGAGTGAACTTGGCTGTTTTTGATAAATACAAGATCAACTACAAATTTATTTTTGAATTCAATATGTCAACAGTGATGAATTATAAACAGTTTTGGTTATTACCTTCTCTTGGGTTTGCATTGCTTTGTATTCTAACGTGGTTCAGTGTTCATGATTTCTGGCCGTCGGCATTTGCAGGAAGAGATTGGCCGTGGTTATACTTGGGAATAATAGTATTGGTATTCATCTGGCCTGGAAATCAATTTTACTCTTCTAGCAGAAGATGGTTACAAGTTGCCCTTTGGAGACTTTTGCTTTCTGGATTCTATCCTGTTGAATTCCGTGATTTCTTCCTCGGTGACATTGTCTGTTCACTAACTTATACCATGGGTAACATTTCCTTCTTCTTTTGCATATATGCCCATCATTGGAATGGTGCATTATCAGGTAATCCCGGCGAGGATAATGTCTGTGGATCAGGAAAGTCAAGACTTATGGGATTCTGCAGTACGTTACCCAGTATATGGAGATTCTTACAGTGTGTCCGTCGTTATATGGACACCGGGGACTGGTTCCCTCATTTAGCAAATATGATGAAATATACTATGTCGGCACTTTATCAAATTACATTGAGCATGTATCGTATAGAACGAAACAATGCCAACAAATCAACGTTTATTTTGTTTGCATGCATCAACTCATTGTATACTTCGGCATGGGATATTTTTATGGATTGGTCACTTATGCAAAGTGGGTCCAAGAATTTCTTGCTTCGTGATCATTTGTTTTATAAGAGACCGATATATTACTACCTGGCTATGATTGTGGATGTCATTTTGCGGTTCCAGTGGATCTTTTATGCATTTTTCAGTCATCAGATTCAACAATCGGCAGTGACCAGTTTCTGCATTGCTGTGGCTGAGATTATTCGTCGTTTTATTTGGATTTTTTTTAGAATGGAGAATGAACATTGCAGTAACGTGATTTTGTTCCGAGCATCCAAGGATACACCGTTGCCATACTCTATCTCGCCTAAAGTTCAGCGGGCAATTAAAAAATTGGTGATGTTGAAATACACCACTGAGCCTCTTTTGGTTGAACAGGTCAGTACTCAGCCGCAGGAAACTGTCGGTGTCACCCAGACACCCTACTCTACTGGTCTGTTGGCTAGAGACGAAGAGGAGATAGATTCCGACGAAGTTAGTCAAATTAGATTGGATACTGTTCGTTCAGCGCTTCCTCAACTTACTCGTCGAAAGAGTACTTTCCAAACAATTTCGGAATCGTTGCATACTGCCCATATTAAAGATTTCCAAAGAAGAAAAGTTGCTACTCAAGCAGATGATGAAAGTGATGATGAAGACGAGGAAGAAAGTTTACATGCAGCGCATAGAACTTCTTCCAGGCACTCCAATAGATCGTCTGGAAGAGATATGTAACAATATTTTATGTCCATTATATGTAAATATACGCTTATAACATGAAAGCTCTAGCAACGTAAGGTTCTTCCAAATACTTGATTTCTTCTTCAGATAACTTGAATGTTGTGGCACCTAAGATATCATCGACCCTGGCAGTAGAAGAAAGACCAACGATAGGGTTACATCCCTTGCTAATGACCCAAGCAGTGGCAACAACAGCCATACTGACACCACGTTTCTTGGAGAGAACTTCAACACGGTTGACAATTTCCTTGTCTGCTTCTGGCAAATCGTCCAAATGTAATCTTTGGAATGACTTATCTGATTCATTTCTCTTATTCACTGAAGAAGCACTAAGTGGACGACTCAAAACACCTCTGGCAATTGGTGACCATGGAATGAGGCCAACCTTTCCAAAATCACCTTCCTGACAGAATGGGATCATTTCTCTTTCTTCTTCACGATAAAGCAAGTTGTAATAGTTTTGCATACTAATAAACTTGTGCCATCCGTTCTTATCAGCAATAAATTGCAATTGAGCAAATTCAACTGCTTTCATAGATGAAGCACCAATGTATCTGGTATAACCCTGGTCAACAACATCATTCAATGCCTTCATAATTTCCTTCTTTGGAGTTTCATGGTCCAATCTGTGGATTTGCAACACATCAACATAAGTTCCAAGTCTCTTCTTAATTGCTTCAACACCATCAAAGATATGCTTACGAGACAACCCCTTAGAATTATAGTAATCAATTGCTGGGAATTGGCCTTCTTTAGCAAGATTAAACCCAGGAGTGTTTGGATCCAGGGGAAAGAAAACCTTACTTAAGATAACAACTCTATCACGAGGGATGTTGTACTTTTTAAGAAACTTTCCAAGCAATTCTTCTGATTTACCATTGGAATAAACATCAGCGGTGTCGAAAGTACGTAAACCAACATCGTAACATTTCTTCAAGATTTTGAAGATTTCTTCTTCATCTTCTAAAACCCAATCTGCCCATGCTTTGGAACCATAGGACATACATCCTACAATGATGGGAGCAATTTTTAATCCTGATTCTCCTAAGTTGTTGTACTTGAGTTCAATTGACATATTGTTGGCACTATTGAGCAATGGAATAATTCGATCAAGTGGAAAATTCAGGAGCCTTTTATAGGGATCGCCCCGAGAAGCGCGGACCGGCGGGGTTCTTCCGAATCACCTTTACTTTTGTGGTAATTATTGTCGGAAACAAATAAAAGAGTGCGAAGGTTATTTTTGCTTACAAATGCGATAGAGATAGGGGGGGTTTACAACAAGGCTTAATCTCAAGACCAATGACTCACCAAGGAAGCAAGTAACCGTGGATGAATGGAAGATGATTTATAATAATTGTATAGTTTTCTAAATACCGCAAACAAACAGTAACTGTTGACTCACGCAACGAAGAATTACAGATGTAACATTTAGAACATAGCAGCTCTTGGGTTATATGGTTCTTCCAAATATTTGGTTTCTTCAGGAGTCAAGGTTAAATTGGCAGCATGAATAATATCGTCAACTCTACCTACAGAAGAAAGACCAACAATTGGATTGCAGCCTTTGTTGATAACCCAAGCAGTAGCAAGAACAGCCATACTGACTTTGTGCTTTTTGGCCAATTCTTCTACACGGTTGACAATTTCACGATCCTGTTCAGGTAAATCAGATAAATGCAAATATTTCAAAGCAAAGTCGGTCTTGTCTCTTCCAGTCTCAGAAGCACCCCCAATTGGACGAGCTAAAACACCACGGGCAATTGGTGACCATGGAATAATACCAACCTTTCCGAAATCACCTTCTTGACAGAATGGGATCATTTCTCTCTCCTCTTCACGATAAATCAAATTGTAATAGTTTTGCATACTAATGAACTTATGCCATCCATTTTGCTCAGCGATGAATTGCAATTGAGCAAATTCGACAGCCTTCATAGATGAGGCACCAATGTATCTAGCATAACCTTGGTCAACAACATCATTTAATGCTTTCATAATTTCCTTCTTTGGAGTATCTGGATCAAACCTGTGGATTTGCAACACATCCACGTAGGTACCAAGTCTCTTTTGGATAGCTTGTACACCATCGAAAATATGCTTACGAGATAATCCTTTGGAATTATAATAGTTAATAGCAGGGAAAGTACCAGCGCTAATGAGGTTGAAACCTGGGGTGTCCGGGTCCACAGGAGAAAACACTTTACTCAAAATAACGACTCTATCACGAGGAATATTGTACTTCTTAAGAAACTTACCGAGCAATTCCTCGGATTTACCATTGGAATAAACATCAGCAGTATCATAAGTACGTAAACCAACATCATAACATCTTTTCAAGATTTTAAATACTTCTTCTTCATCTTCAAGAACCCAATCGGCCCATGATTTGAGACCGTAAGACATACATCCAACGATGATTGGGGCAATTTTTAACCCCGATTCTCCTAAATTGTTATACTTGAGTTCAATTGACATATCCTTAGTATGGTTAAACAATTTGTGAAAAGGCAACAGGGAGAAGGAGCAGAATTTCGAGGCTTTTTATAGTGGAATTTTGAACAAACGGGGTTCGGAGTTATCCCCTTTTTGTTCGGTGATTTGCCTAATTGGGAAATGAGTGCCTGTATAAACGTCAAACATTAAAGAGAGCACAGTAAATGAGAGTTAAATGATCAACTTATATTTTCACTATATAATTCTAGAACATAGCAGCTCTTGGTTTGTATGGTTCTTCTAAGTACTTTAATTCTTCATCAGTTAAAACTAGGTTGGCAGCATGCACGATATCGTCAACTCTGGAGGTAGAAGTAAGACCAACAATTGGATTACAACCTTTGTTGATAACCCAAGCAGTAGCAAGAACAGCCATACTGACCTTGTGCTTTTTGGCCAATTCTTCTACACGATTGACAATTTCACGATCCTGTTCAGAAAAATTAGATAATTGCAAATATTTCATAGTAACGTCGGTCTTGTCTCTTCCAGTCGCAGAAGTACCTCCAACTGGACGAGCCAAGATACCTCTTGCAATTGGTGACCATGGAATAATACCGACATCTCCAAAATCACCTTCCTGACAGAATGGAATCATTTCTCTTTCTTCTTCACGATAAATCAAATTGTAGTAATTTTGCATACTAATGAACTTGTGCCATCCATTTTGTTCGGCAATAAATTGCAATTGAGCAAATTCAACTGCTTTCATAGATGACGCACCAATGTATCTGGTATAACCCTGGTCAACAATATCATTCAAAGTCTTCATGATTTCCTTCTTTGGGGTGTCATGATCCAATCTATGGATTTGTAACACATCAACATAAGTACCAAGTCTTTGTTGAATTCCCTTAACGGCATCAAAAATATGTTTACGGGATAAACCCTTGGAGTTGTACCAATCGATAGCTGGGTAATTGGCAGCAGTGGCAAATGAAAAGTTAGGATCTTCGGTATTTACAGGGCCGAAAACCTTACTCAAAATAACAACTCTATCACGAGGAATGTTGTAAGTTTTGAGGAATTTACCGAGCAATTCTTCGGATCTACCATTGGAGTAAACATTAGCAGTGTCGAAAGTACGTAAACCAACATCATAACACCTTTTCAAAATTTTCAATACTTCTTCTTCATCTTCAATAACCCAGTCGTTCCAAGCCTTGGAACCATAAGACATGCATCCAACGATAATTGGAGCGATCTTTAATCCGGAACTACCTAAATTGTTATACTTGATTTCTGCGTCAACTGTCATTTTCTTGTCTGTTTCAACTGTGGCGGTCTACCCTTTCGGCGAGTACAAGGGGAATTAAGCCCATTTAAATAGTAATTGGGATAATCATCCTCGTCTACTACAAAAGGGAAATTTCTCGGAGTTATCTCAAATGGGGTAGATGTCTATTTTACCGCTTTATCAAGGGTTGAAATTTTTTGGTGGCTTACTTGAAGATAACAATGGGCTAGCACGCGGATGTTCTTAAAAAGGAGGAGAAAATTGTACTCTATTTAGAACTTATCCCGAGTTACCACTGTAACATAGCAACTAAAACGGAACAATTGATAGTTTGATTACTCAGCAAAGCTCGATTTTTGTGGCAGTATTATGGTAGTTATCAACCTGGCTTAAACAAGGATAACTAATCTTGTTCCTCAACTTTCGGGTTTAGAATCTCATTTTAGAGATAAATTAATCATTGCCAAAATAGGTAATTTTCGATCGGACTTCTGAATAATAAGCTTTGCAATCTAATTGACATAATTGCGAGTAGCTGCTGGTTAATTGCAAATGTAGAAAATTGTGGTGTTTGATTGTTTCGTTAAATCTCGTAATTTTTATTTTTCGTTGTGGAAATGTGATGTGGAAAGTTGCATTGGAATATGCAATGGTTGTGAAAATCGCAGGTAGAAAAAAAAATTTCAATAGACCAGTCTAAAGCAAATAGTATTGATGCAATTCAAAATAGCAACTCGTAGAATCCTTTTCTCCTCTCCTGTTTCTGCCTGACTATTGTTTTGGTCTTTTTATAATATTTTTTTTTCTGGTTGTTGTTCTAAGCAACTGGCTTGAACCAGAGAACATTGCAGTGATAAGACTCGCTTGCACCGAGAATAAGAGGCCATTAAAAGAATTCAAGTCATATGGCTCTTTTTAACCGCTACTTCTAGTCGGGCATATCAACTCTAGCCATACTCGTCATTCTTCGTGATCGCACACGACTTTCGGTTTCCTGTACCGGAAATTTAAATAAATTTCATGAGCATTTTTTTTTTTTCAACCTGTCAATGGTGCTGCCTTTGTCATCTTTCTCAGAAAAAACTCTTCTTATCTAATCTTCTCTTGAGTAGACAACAAAGTCATCGAAACTCACCAAAATGTCCGAAGAATTCAAACCAATCAGTGAGAATATTTCTGCTTCCTCGTCAATACAAGTTAATCCATATGGTCCTCATCCTGGGGATTTTCTTTCTAATGTCGGTAATTTCCAATTGATTGAATCTACTCTTCGTGAAGGTGAACAATTTGCCAATGCATTTTTCTCCACCGAAACCAAGATTGAAATAGCCAAGGCTTTGGACGATTTCGGGGTTGATTATATTGAATTAACTTCGCCAGTCGCTTCCGAACAGTCTCGTCGTGATTGTGAAGCCATTTGTAAATTGGGCTTAAAGGCCAAGATTTTGACTCATATCAGATGTCACATGGATGATGCCAGGGTTGCCGTTGAAACCGGAGTTGATGGGGTCGATGTTGTCATTGGTACTTCTCAGTTCTTGAGAAAATTCTCCCATGGTAAAGATATGAACTATATTGCCCAAAGTGCCATTGAAGTTATTGAATTTGTTAAATCTAAGGGTATTGAAATTAGATTCTCTTCAGAAGATTCGTTTAGATCTGATTTGGTTGACTTGTTGAACATTTACAGAACTGTTGACAAGATCGGTGTCAACAGAGTCGGTATTGCCGACACTGTTGGTTGTGCTAATCCAAGACAAGTTTATGAATTGGTTCGTACTTTGAAATCCGTGGTTAATTGTGATATCGAATGTCATTTCCATAATGATACTGGGTGTGCCATTGCTAATGCATACACTGCATTAGAAGGTGGTGCTCGTTTGATCGATGTCAGTGTTTTGGGTATTGGTGAACGTAATGGTATTACTCCATTGGGTGGTCTTATGGCTCGTATGATTGCTGCTGACCGTGATTATGTATTGTCTAAATATAAGGTTCATAAGTTGCGAGATATTGAAAACTTGGTTGCGGAAGCCGTGCAAGTGAATATTCCATTCAATAATCCAATTACCGGGTTCTGTGCATTCACTCACAAGGCTGGTATTCATGCCAAGGCTATTTTGGCCAACCCATCTACTTATGAAATCTTGAGTCCTGCTGATTTCGGGTTAACTAGATATATTCATTTTGCCAACAGATTAACTGGTTGGAATGCTATCAAGTCAAGAGTTGACCAATTGAACTTACATTTGACTGATGAGCAATGTAAAGAAGTTACTAATAAAATTAAGAAGTTGGGAGATGTAAGACAATTGAATATTGATGATGTTGATTCTATAATTAAGGATTTCCATGCTGATTTAACCACCCCTAGAGTAAGACCAACCACTCATGATCAAGGATTACCAAAGATCCCACATACATTAGAAGAACTTGACGAACCAGAAGAAAAAAGAACAAAGACTAATTAGTTGTATGTATATTTATATATAAAATTATTTCTCTTTCAGTATTGATATATCTAAATTTTGCAATAATAAGCACATTGAAGCTACTCCAAATAATATGCTCATTGTGATACATATCTTGAACGATTTGTAGTTTTTCCCGGATTGAACGGTTACTCCGTTTCTAGAATCTATAAAGTATATGACTAATGCCGCCGCTAGATTGATGATTGAAATCATCGTGAATATTAATTCAAGGTGGGTGTACATGATGTATTATTGTATTAAGATGTATGAGTGAGAATGTATTGGTGATTTTAGGGTAAGTTATCTAGGGGTTAAAAGTAGTGGTACAAGGAAGGGTTCTATTCTATATGTTTATTCGTAAAAGGTTCGTGATAAATATTGTTGTTACTAGTTAAGTTGTAACGTGAAACAGGATGCTGAAAGTGTTGGTTTTACTTGAGATCATTTAGGGTGATGTATGGTGAATGTAGATGGAAGAAAGAAGGTGATGGGATGATGTTGTATAATTTGTATAATTTGAAGATGAGGTTGTAACCAGGAGATTTTGTGTAAGTTTTGTACGAAAGACAACACAATTAAGGCAACGTGGGAACAATAATGTTAGCAATCTAAATCGTATGTAATGGTAATTTCTAAAGACAATCTCGATATCCTCTTATACAACTCCTATTAGTCGCTTCAGTTCATTGGACAAGGAATAAGTTTGATCTTTGAAGAAAAATTTCCTGGCAAAACCTTAATAAAAAAAAAAATAAGATGATAAATTTTGGCCCCCATCCTTCCGCGGTCGCTATAAAATTCCTTTTTCTTTTTTCCTATACTAAGAAAAAAAAATATTTTACATGACCACGTTGTGGTGGCTATGTTAGGCGAATAGCTCAAAATGTGTCACTTGGTTGTTATCAGATTTCCTTATCTAGCAATACTCCAAATGATTGTATAGCATGTCGAAATTTACATCGTTTCGCTAAGTAGAAACACTACGATCATCCAAATCTCAACTAAACCCCCCATACTTGGCTATATTTATTTTTTCCATTTCAAACAAACCCATTTCACCCAGTTAGGAAATTGCTCACAAGACAAGAAAATTTTACTAGAATTTGCAAAAATACGCAAAACCAACAATGAAAAACTACTCGTCCTGCCGAATTCGGGCTTGATTTGGTGAAATGTACCCCACCAATGAATGAAATTTCCTATGACTTTCCTAACAGTGTAGACGTGTTGCATATAACGCATACTTTATGTATCTTCTACCATTTATATTTTCCCTATGTGAAAGTGATACCCATTGTGCCATTGACTGTGTTAGTTCTTCTACTGTGTTAATTCAAGGAGAATATAATTTGTTTCAATTATTGTACAATTTGGTAAAATTTTTGTTCCAAAAACAAAGGCAACCAACGAGCATACAAACACTTATTTGGACAATATCTCTATGTAGATCATCAGGATATTCAGATATCAACATACCAATATAGGTCTACATAATTCTTAGATCAATTCTTCGTATGCCATTCCCCAAGACTTAATTTTCAATTTTGCAGCTACTGTAATTTGAGGTCCTGCATACAGCCAATCTGGTGTTTTGTCCTAATCTATTTTTTTTTCAATGCCTCATCACTCAAGTTAATTATAACAAATAAACAGTTGATACAGTTAATAATACGCTAAAGCTAATACAAATGGCAGCTGCTAATTCTAATAAGAAAGCCAATAGACGAAGTAGGAAAAAGAGAAGAACAGAGGATTTCTCTTCATCTTCTGAATCATCCTCTTCCGAATCTGAATCCGAAGCCCAAGTTGAACAAACAACTGAAGACGTTGAACTCAAAGACAATCAAGCAAACATAAACATAGACGATATAGAAATCGATTCAGATAGCGAAAAACCACTGCATAGGGCCCCTGAGAAGTTGTCCTTGACTCAAAAGGAACAATTGAAAAACATACCATTCACAACAACACCAATTTCCAACTTGACAACTAGTTCAACTAATTCAATTGCTAATATAAATCAAGTCAGTTCTGGAATCGATGAACAAAAGAAGAATTTACAAAATCAATATTTGAAACTAATGGCTCTGGAATTTTCTGATGATTTAGACGAGTTAAGAAAAAAGCCAGATTTTACCGACAAGAGTTTGGTTATTTTAGCAAAAACTTTACAGTCTGGAGTAAATATGTTCGATCCCGAGACCTTGGCGAACGTTTTGTGAATGTAACCAGCAAGAGTGGAATGTATAATAGATTATCAGAGGTATTTTATAGTAATAGAATAAAATAGGAAAGACACTAAAAGGACTCTAAATTTTTCTTGTATTATGGTGGCACACCTTAGTTTCGCTTACTCTACAAAGTATTTTTTGTACTTCCATTTGTTGATTTTCTGGGAACTCCTTAATAGGTTTAACTTGTACTGTAAAGCCTCGTTATTTTTTCTCCGTTGGTGTTATTGTAAGAAAAATTTCCTTTCGTAAATTATTATCAGTGAATAAGACCACGTTGTTAACAATACACAACAGCTCGATTGTACACAATCATAACCACATTTGAGTCATTTGACGCGTTACAAACATGTTGATATCCAGCCACGGACATACATATATCAGTTTTTGCTGTATATACCGAGAGCAATTAGCCCATTGACAAAGAACAAAAGCTTTGTGTCATAGTAGTTGCGTCATAAGGGGCCAGAACCGAAAAAAAAGTTAAATGACGCAAATGTCAAAACTCTAAAATGGTTATCGCCCGCCCTTCTCTCTATTTATTTTTACTGACTACTAATCCCCTTTTGACCCCTCAATAGCAAATTTCATCATTGTTTTACGAATTTTACTTTTGATTCAAGCAGATCACTGTCCTCTTCTATATTCAACCATAGATAGTCCGTCGTTACCATGACTTATGCCACGGAAGACACGGGTTCTCTGCACAACCAAGACTCAGAATTCACCCCTTTGTTGACCTCGTCTAAAGGATCAAATTCATCATCACACGGTGGGTTGGATGAAGGTTTAGATCTCTCGTCTTCCCAGGAAACAAGTGGCGAAGTCAATATGAAACCTCACGAATACCTCGTCTCACCACCACCAACCGGCTCAGAAATTTACAGCAGGCAGCAACAGCAACAGCAAGAGCAAGACGAAGAAGATGACGACGACGACGACGACGATAATGTCAGTCGTATATTAAAAATAGCCAAACGCCCCAGTTTCATCTGGATATGCACGCTTGGAGTAGTGGCTTTTATAATATTCCAGTTGACTTTCCTTCCTAGAACTTCTCTAGGACGCGATTACAGAAGATGGCATGGCATACATTTGACAAAGTCAGACGTGAAGCGATTATTTTTGCAAATGGCAGGAATAGGGAACTCTCACAATAGCCTAACTACAGAAGAATATATCGATCTGTGGCTCACTAACTTTACCCTGATTAATTCAAAAAGTACCGTGAATATGATTGCTGATGACAATTTAGAACTAGTGTCATTTGTAGAAACTAACTTCAAGCAGTTTGGATTCAAAACCGAGTCGTTTAGTTATGATGCTCCTCATAGTTTAACTAGACCAGTCAGTTCAACATTACGATTATTGGATAAGAATGGCCAAGTTGCTTATCTGCCTGTGGTTGGAGAACCAAATTTCAAGACCCCAGCATTTTATGCATTTGGTACCAATGCTAGTATTGTGGCTAATTTTGTATTTATAAACGAAGGAACAATTCATGACTACAATCTACTTGAAAAGCATAGCATAGATGTTCATAACAAGATTGTTATCATAAAGAGCAACTTGTGTAACAAGAACATCACCATTGCTGAAAAAGTTGCTATTGCTAAACAACGTGGAGCCAGTGGAGTCATAAACTATTATGACTTTTCCGCTTCCAACAATGTTGAGAATGAATCATCACTAGCCCATGCCATTTCTCGAGCTTCAATATTTCAACAATTCCGATTACCATCCATACCAGTAAGTAAAAAGATCATTAAACCAATATTGGATACATTATCAGCTGATCCACAACCAGATTTCTCGCACTGGGATTATCCACCCGTAGGCAGCACGCCTATGAAGGTTGAGCTTAATACCACATTTGCTGCTGCGCCTTTGCATCCAGCTAAATTAACCACAGTAGTAGCTTCACTCAAGGGTATAATGAACGATGCTGATGTTATAATTGGTGCTCGCCGAGATTCATACACTTGCAATAATCCACTTAGTGGACATGCTATTCTTTTGGAGATAATGAGGAATTATCAGAGATTGGTTGCCAAAGGGTGGAAACCTTTGCGTAATATCAAGTTTGTTCTGTGGGATGGATCCAATACCGATTTGATCGGGTCTCACAAGTTCACCGATGATGTCAATGTATACAATCCTAAGCGTTCTATTGTTGCTTATATCAATATTGATGGAGATGCTGTTATGGGAAGCAAACTTGCCGTAGATGCTAATCCGATGTTGCATTCCTTATTAAGAAACACAGCCAAGTTTATACCTATACCTAAAGAAGCCACTAGTTATAAGACATTAAAAAACGACGATGATGACGAAGATGACGAAGGATACACCACTTTGCATCGTTACTGGATGAAACAAGATAATGCAACTATAAATTCAGTCATGGGGTTGCCTATAAGTCAAACTGAATCAATTATATTTCAACAACATTTGGGCACGCCTTCTATTAATATCAAGTTTGAGAATGATGCCAAGAGAGATAGTTCAGTATATGTTCCCAACTCAAACTTTTATTCTAAAGACTGGTTAATTAAGCGAGAAATTGACGATGACTTACTATTGCATGGTCTGATGATTCGATTCATTGGACTCTTGGCGATTTCCTTGAGTGAACATGAAGTTGTATCTTACAAGACCCACTCCTATTTCAAATCGATTGAAGGATATTTCAATGAGTTGCTTGAAGACAAGAGGAACACTTTGGGCTTCTGGCATAGTGAACCGGTTTCAAACTATGTGATTGCCAAATCATCCATTTATCAAGATTTAGGGATTGACAATGTCAAGTTTGGCGATTTGATTAGACAATTTAAGCATCTCATGAATGAAACTGTGTACCAGTCAGGGATTTTCGATGAATGGAATAACCATGTTGAAGATATGTTGATGCAGGATTATCCTTGGTACTTGTACTATAAGAAACTTCAACATTTTGCCCAATTCAAAGTCACCAATTACAAATTATCCCATTTGGAACGTGATTTGAAATTACAGGATAAAGATTATCAATATCTTAACAAAGATAAACTGTATTATGATTCAGTTATATACGGTACCAAAAAGTTTGACCCGGCTGAAGTTACACAAGAATATTTTAATGATAAGTTAAAGACAAGTACATTTACTCATTTGTATTCGGCTATTGAAGTGAGGGATTTTGAAATGACTGTCAAGTGGTTGGTATTGATTTATGAGAAGTTTAAAAATTTACGATATAAAATGACGTAATTTTGGGTTTTTTTTGGGGGGTATTTAATTATAATAAATGGTAGATTTTAAATAAATAACGCATTTTGATAATTGTTACTGACACTCACTCTAAATGATGATAATCAGCCACTTTTGTATCAGATTAAATTTGCAAACGCGCTTATACTTTATTTTTTTTGCAACCAAAAACTTTATCCCTAACAAACATAGCAAACAACCATGGAATTGATTCAAGATAGATCCCCAGGATTGGAAATTGCCTGGATGTTAGCAACTTTAGGAAATAAAGCAGCCAAGAATAGGACGAGACGAGAAATAAACAGTCTCTCTATTCCCAAACTATGTGAAGAACTACATGAAGCCTATTCCCAATATGGCAATATTAGATACTCGTCAAACATCCTTCATGGAATAAGTATTATTCATAGACACAAAGTGAACTATTTCTATAATGATGTGTCTATGGTAAGAGATAGATTGAGACAAACCAATGCATTTCGGATCTTGATGAATACTACGAGCTGTTCAGACACGTTGGTACCCCTGAAAAGAACACATCATTTACAAGATGTGAATTTTAGAATTGATATTGATTTGAGTTACCCCTTGGAGGATGAAGAAGATAGGCTGGGGAAGAGAAGAAGAATAAAACTTCAGAATGACGATTCCTGGGGGTTTACTGAAGCGAACTCTACAAGTGAATTAACCCAACCAGAACAAAGTGAACAAGAAGCCATCGATCAATTTATTGGGAGATTAGAAGCAGATCAGTCTATCGAAATGGATATTGATTTCAACTTAGATGGAGGCAATGGAGTTGAAGCTGACCCAGAAAGGGACCAACAGCCCGAGGCTGACACCGCGGTCCAAAACCTCATTGATGATTTGATTTTGCAAACTGTTGGCGAAGCCAACCAAGAAAATCAACAAGAAGCTAGTATTTCCAACGATCCCAATTTCCACTTGTCTACTAGCAACAATTTCCAAACTATTGAAGAAACTACGACAACAGTCCCCTATCAAAAAATGAAAGTTGACGAAGAAACAATGTTGAGTCGTGCCCAAATGATCAAAGCTGTTGAAGAGTATGAAACAAGAATGGTGTCCAAGGAGAATCAGAAATCAGATGAAGCTAAACGGTTAGATGCTATTATCCAAGCTATAAATTTTGATTTTTCTGCCTATTCTGATTATGTACATAGAATGATCTTCCAGAATGAATATAGAAATGGACGTCAACTCAGGAGGAATTCCTTTTTAGATAACACTTTACTTTCAAATAAAGCAACCACTTTAATGGAAGAGGAATCTGAACTCGCAAGAAGAGCATCGAGAGAAAATCTTGAAGATGAGCCACAGCTCAATCTAGATTTGAATAATTTTCAACAGGTAGATATCGAGGTACCTCGGTCACAAGAAGATATTTTCAATATTAGCTTTGGTGATGCACTTAGAAACAGCAGCAGTAGTCGAGCTCCTACAGAAAGAACTGATATTTCTGCATACAGTGACAACTCAACTACTGAGAAAACTACCTTTGGCCGTCAACTACGTAAGTTTTTCAAATATACCAAAGATAGAGCACAAGTTTTGGGTGCGAAATTCATCCTGTCCGACTATGGTCTCAACAATTTACTGGAAGCAAGAGAAATTTCAGGGTTGAAACTAAACAAGGAATATTCTCAGATTCTTTTTTCAGATTTGGTTCCTAATAACACTAGTGCTATGGAATTAGACGAAGAACCAATGATCAGAAAACATGCTGCCAATTCATTTTCCAATATTTTAAATTTAGCTAGTAGGAATTTGCTTGCAATACAAATCACACCTGCTGGTTCTTTCGACTTACTCCAGCCCAGTTCCATTGAAATCATCGTTCAAGTTGAAGATGATACAACAGATCAATAAATTAATTAATATACAAATTGCTTTTTTATTCTGCTATAAACAAATCACTTTTATTAGATCAATATCTACCATTTGAAAGGGTAATTGCAAATGAAACTAAAAACATCGTTCATATTAATACAAAAAACATAAGAAAAAAATATCACAAAGATAAGCAATACTTTGCTATATGACGTAAGTAGGGGTAAGGAGGGAGGGAGGGAGGGGTGGGAATAGGTTAAAAAATATCAAATCACAACTGATCCCATTTAAATACCATTGGCAGGAACTTCTTCGTCATGTTTAGCAAATTCTTCTTCGACAGCTTCATCGATTTCGTCAATTTCTTCTTCATCTTCTTCACCTTCAACTTGGTGGAAGGATAAAGTTGGCTTAACAGCAGCAGAGTCCAAAGTCCAAGAAGCTAAAGCGTTTTCAGCATCAATAATGATTTGCTTAGAGGCTTCGTATCCATCGTAAGCAGGTCTGGTTTCACCTGGAGTAACTGAGGAATCATCCAATAATTCCAAAAGAGCCTTACCGTAACCGGCAATTAAAGCATACTTTTCAGCCAATTCTCTAGTAGCATCGAATTGGTAGTTGAATGCAGCCTTCAATTGTTCTCTGGTGATGTTGGACAATTGAGCTTCAGCAACTAAGGATTCAGCTTCAGCTCTAACTAATTCTTGTTCTAAAACAGCAATCTTTGGAGATTGAGGGTCCTTGTACTTCAAATGAGCAATATCATCAGTAATTTTTTGTTTTCTTTCTCTAGAAGGTTGAACACTTCCTTCAATGTCTCTGATTGACTTAAGAGTAATTCTATATTGGTCATACTTGTCGATGTATTGGTCTTCCAATTCCCCAATTTCGTAAATTAAAACACCCAACTTGTCAGTGACATCAGAGACATCATCGTCATTACCTTCACCCCAGGCACTCAATTGCTTGGCAACATCTTTACGTTCACGAGAAGTGACTTCAATTGCTCTCATAAAGTTCTTTTCCATCTTGATCAATTGAGCCAACTTTCTGGACAACTCTGGACCAGTGGCACCAGCAGTAGCCTTTCTGATAGAAGAGGAAAGACCACCACTACCAAAGAACTTGTTCTTGGTGGTTGAAGGTGGAGGTGGAGGGGATTGCAATTGAGCAGCAGTAGGTGCCTTAGCAGATCTTAATGAGTATGTTCTATGCATTGTTTTTTAGAAAGCTTTGGTAAGTAAGAGATGAACACAATTGAACAAAGTAAAAGAAAAAGTAGCAAAGTTAATTTAATTTAAATGAACGATAAGAAAAAGACAAAAGGCAAAAACTGTGAAATGATGATTATTTTTAGGGGATGAAATGAAATTGGATTGTTTAGGTTTTTTTTTTTAGAGCCAGAGCCACTCCGGTGTTTGCGGGACATGAATTTACTGCAGGTGGGTGGGGGGAGTGAGGGAGTGTGCATCTATATGCAGGATCTCAAGGTACAAAAACTGGCTGTTGAGACACCAGTTTGTCTCACAGAAGCTTTTACGTCACCACGGGGCTGCAACTGTACAAAAAGAAATGTAAAAATTAATAGAACTGAAAACAGGGCAATGTTACGTGGTTAGAGTTGGATGACCTAATTGACGTCATGAGTGCACACATCACTAAACTAATTCGGTATTCGTTCCCTTTTAATTTCAAGCTTCGAGAAGTATTTTTTTGCGCCCTTTGTTCTGGTTGTTGAACAATTTGATTGTTTGCTACATTTTTAAACGAAAGAAAGCAAGAATTTTAAAATTGCGAAAATATCTTGAAATTCTCTTGGTTTAAACATGCAGCTCGGTTGCTTTATGTAATTACACACTTTTTTGTTTTTTTTTGCAGAAATATTACTTGACTGTGCCTAGCCATGTGTTTTTGCAGTATCATCTTAAGACACTACCATATGGAAGGCGGCTGTTCTGATTACAGATGGCTTTACAAATACTACCTTAGCCAATTGCTCACTTATAAAATATTTTCTACATAATTTATATACTAATACAGTGTCTTTCAAAGATTTGAATTTCTAAGCGACTTTAGCCTTTTTACTATTACCATTGTTTTGGTTATCACCAGCACGTTTGATCGACAATCTCAAATCTCCTAGTATTCTATAATAATCATCTTCAAGGGCTTCATATGCAGTCTGCAACTTGTCCTTTTTAGTATTTTCATCCAAAGCGCTTAAGCCTTCTTTGTTCTTATTGTACAATCTCTTTTTAATGAACAAACGAACATCTTTCTTAGTTACCTCATTTGAATGCTTTAATTTATACAACAAAATAAGCTCCAATAATCGAGAAAATTGTCTTTTCTCCAATTTTAACAGTTTACGTGTTTCTTCAACCCAGGAAGATTCCACCTTTGGAGTAACCTTAGAGAACTCCAAAACTTTATTCAATCGAGAAAGATCTGCTCGATCTCTCATATCGTCAAAACTTTCGTTTGGATCTTCAACCACAACTTCGACAACCTCCTCGTCCTTGTGCCATACATCAAATAAATGAGAATACAATGCGCCACCCAATCCTTTACCTTGATATATTGGCAATATTATAAATTGAGATATTTTCTTTCTAATTTCTCTCTTATTGTCATCAAATTTGACAGATCCAGGATATTTCCAATAGTTGTAAGCAGTAGCAAATCCAACAATTGAAGAAGAATCCTTGTTGTATAAAACATACAAATCCCACAATTCATCACTAGTATCAATATAAGAACCAGCTTCAATAAAAAGTAACACTAAAATTTGTAATCTCTTGTGCAATTCCAAACCAGATGCATCCTTCACATTAATCTTGTAAATTTCATATGCAGAATCATCCTTTTCAAAACTATCAATCAACTCCCCAGGAATAGTATATCCAGCTTCCTTTTCTTCTTGAATTGAATCCGCCCATTTACTCTCGTCTTTATAGATTGCCGATTCAGGCAAGAACTTACGGAGTACTTGTTCTAAATCAACAATATCTGGATCATCTAATTTTGCCGAATACTTAACATTGAAAAATGGCTTGAAGGTGAAATGATCAAAACATAAGAAGATAACCAAATCTTTATACCCGTAAATGGTTTCGGCATCTCCAAATATAGGATAGGTAAATGTAGGTGAAAAATTTATGGCTCCAGTTGCATCAGTCACAAATAGCTTGACAGCTTCATTGGCTGATGTAGTCCATTGCTCTGGTTGCAATGATGCTGCAGATATAGAAGTAGACATATGTGCTTGTGTTGTTCTATTGGTTCAACACTTATCTGTTGATTAATTTGGTTTGTTTTTCTACAAACCGCGTTTTCTACTACACCAAATTGTTCCCATACAAATTTTTTTTTTTGTTCAAAACAGTATACAAATTTTTTTTTTACATACATTAAATAAAAACTAATTAATCATGCAATGACGACAACTAAATCACCTGCTTCAACCATATCACCATTCTTAGGGTAAATCTTAACAACTTTACCGTCACGAGGTGCATTGACCACCATTTCTGTTTTCATGGCCTCAACAACAATTAAAGCTTGGTTTGCAACAACCTCAACACCAACTTCAACCAAAGATTTCCAGAACCTACCGGAATACTCTGAATAAATCATTTCTGAACTTTCATCAAATTCTTCAACTGGTTCAATCTTACTGTCAGTCTTCTCTAACTCGCTATTGGAGATTTGAATCAATTTGTTAAACTCTTCCAACTTTTCACCACCTTGTTGTTTTTGAAACTCTTCAATTGATTGGGAATGTTCTTTAACCCATTCCAAGTATTCACCGTGGTTAAACACAGTGTCGATAATATCAACCTTGAACTTACCAGCATTCATTTCTTCAGTAAATTCATCAACCTGTTCTTCGGAAACTGGATAGAATTCAACTTGGTCAAATATATTTAATAACCACGGCTTTTCATCACCAGAATGCTGTCCCAAGCTTAACTTATCCCAAATTGGAACAGTTCTACCAACCAATTGGTATCCGCCGGGGGATTCCATAGTATAGATACACATATAATTACCACCAATACCAACAGTTCCGTTAGGAGTATAAGTTCTTGAAGGATTATATTTAGTACCCAAGAATCTTTGACGAGGATCTAATGGTACAGCGCAAGGAGCACCTAAAAACACGTCACCTAAACCCAATACCAAAAATCTAGCAGAATATAACATATCCTTAACATCGTATCTGGTTATACCATTGATAGCAGCAATGAAATCAACATTGTTAGGTAACCATGGAGCTTCACTTCTAATAGTTTCTTGATATCTTGTAACAGCATCCAAAGTCTTTTGATCTTCAAAAGCCATTGGCAATCTAATTATTCTGGATTTCACTTCATAGTTATCCACAAATAAGATTTCCTGTTCATAAGCAATCAAGGTTTCTAAAAGTTGTGCTTGGGTAATATCATCGGTGAATTCAACCAATACTGATCTAACACCGGGTGACATTTCATAGATCCCCACAGTCTTGTATTGTTTCACCATTTCAACCAATTTGTGAATTCTATAAGACAATTTTAAATCAAGGGAGTTATCTCCATATTCAACGAGAATGTATCTATCACCAGCTTGACGGTAGGTAACCTTAGGACCATTATCTGAAATCTTCAATTGGGAAAGTACTGGGTTTTCTGGAGCTTTCAAAACATTACCTTCAAATGATGGTAATTCACCTTGCAAGTCTTCAATAATACTATCTTGATGTGACTTCATGGTCTTTGCAGTATCATAAGAAACAGGAACAAATTGAATAAATTCACCAGGTTTAACTTGGCCAATCTTCCACAATTCAGATTCAATAACCACAGCTTCACATACAAACCCACCCAATGATGGACCATCACAAGTTAAAATAACAGGCTCATCACCAGTGAAGTTAATAGCACCCATGGAATAAACATAATCATGAGTATTGGAAGGATGTAACCCAGCATCACCACCATCTGGTCTAGCCCATTTTGGTTTAGGACCAATTAATCTAACACCAAATCTGTTGGAGTTATAATGAACCTTCCAAGATGATGAAAAGAATTCAGCCACGGATTCAGGCTTAAAGAAATCCGGAGACCCATGAGGACCACAAGTAACACCAACTTGCCAAGTCTTGTTTGCATAATTAGGAATCAATGATTTTGGAACAGTTGTTGGTTGCGAAATTGGAGCAGGTAATGTACAGCTAGAAACTTCCGGTTGACCCAAGAATAAGACATCACCAAACTTCAACACTCTACCATTATATCCACCTAAATTACCCAATGCAAATGTTGAACGGGATCCCAAATATTCAGTGACTTCAATACCACCTCTAATTGACAAATATGCGCGACAACCTGTAGTCAACTTACCAATTGATAATTTATCACCGGATTTGATGGAAATTGGTTCCCACTGGTTAACAGTAACATTGTTCACTTGAACCTCAGCTTGACCACCAGTAACAGCAACCACTGTTTCTTGATGGAATAACAATGTTGGACCATTCAATGTAATTTCAACACCAGGAGCAGCATGATGATTACCAACAATCCTGTTTGCAATTCTGAATGCATATTGGTCCATACAACCAGATGGAGGAACACCAATATTCCAGTATCCTCTTCTACCAGGGAAATCTTGAATAGTAGTATAAGCACCAGGATTAATAACTTCAATAGCTTGTGGTTTATAATCATATGAATCCAAGACTTTAGTATGGACTTCAGCATTTTCAAACAATTGGGAATTGGCAATAGATCTCAAGTAATCAACATTGGTGATACATCCAAAAACAACAGTTTCATCAAGAGCTTGACGCAATTTCCTTAAAGCATCATTTCTGTCTTTACCATGAACGATAATCTTGGCTAAAGTAGGATCATATTCAGCAGATACAACAGTACCTTTTTCAACCCAAGTATCAACTCTTGCCCATTGTGGGAACTTGACTTCCGTTAATTGCCCAGGAGATGGCATGAAGTCTTTAACAGGATTTTCAGCATATAATCTTGCTTCCATAGAGGCACCTTTGATTTCAACAGTTTGGTTAAAGTCTGGTGGCGTGTCAGCAGCAATAAGCAACATCCATTCAACCAAATCAATACCAGTAACCATTTCAGTAATAGGATGTTCAACCTGTAACCTTGCATTCACTTCCAAGAAATAAAATTCATCTCTGATTTCATCATAGATAAATTCAACAGTACCAGCACATTTATAGTTCATAGATGCTGCCAATGATCTAGCAGCTTCCCACATCTTAATTCTGGTGGCTTCAGGTAAGTTTGGAGCAGGGGTTTCTTCAATGATCTTTTGGTTTCTTCTTTGTAAGGAGCAATCTCTATCACCAATAGCAATGGCATTACCCCTACCATCACCAAGCATTTGAACTTCAACATGACGGGCATTTTCAACAAATCTTTCCAAGAAAACACCAGAATCACCAAAATAAGATTGACCTTGGTTTTGAACAGTTTGGAATACTCTTTCAATATCTTCTTCACAATCAACCTTTTGTAAACCAATACCACCACCACCAGCAGTTGACTTTACCATGACAGGATATTCCAATTTAGCTGCAATTTCCTTGGCTTCATTTGCATCCTTAACCAATCCATCAGAACCAGGAACTAAAGGAACACCAGCTTCCAAGGCAATCTTTCTGGCCGAATGTTTAAGACCTAATTGCTTCATAGCATTACCAGAAGGACCAACAAAGACAATTCCTTCTTGGCCACAACGATCAGAGAAATCAGCATTTTCAGATAAGAACCCATATCCAGGAATAATAGCTTCAGCACCAGAATCTTTGGCTGCTTGAATGATCTTGTCAATGCTGATATAAGTTTCGCCAGTACTTGTTCCACAAAGTGGAATGGCAACATCAGCAAGCAACGAATGCTGAGCATACTTATCGGGATCAGAATAAACTGCTATTGACTTGATACCCAATTTCTTCAAGGTCTTGATTATACGAACAGCAATTTCACCACGATTGGCCACTAATACTGAATTGAATGGTTTGCTAGTTTGACTATCCAACCAACTGTGATAGTTTGCCCAACCTTTGTGCTCAGTAATATCAACAGTTCCTGGAAGTGTGTATCCGTATTCTTCACAAATGAAAGATTTAACCCATTCCCCAGATTTTAATTCAACAGATCCAATACCAAGAGGTTCTGGAACATAGCTGATAAATTTCCCAAACTTGTCCTTAGGGATAGAATAAACTTCAACAATTATTTCAGAGCCACCTTCAGCAACCCTTCTTAATCCCGGTTTAGCAATAGGTCCGGTCTTTGGCAAACTATAAAGTTTGTAGTTGGAAGAAGTAGTTGTTGATTCAATGAATCTTGCATCCACTGATTCAAGTTGCCAATGCAATTGAAATCCTTTCAAATGAGCACCAACAACAGCCAATTTAACTTCCACCTCAGAGATATGATTTGGTATAGAAACTGAGATCTCATCATTTTCAGGAGAAACTATTTGGTTCTTCAAACATCCATAGAATCTTGGACCATAAGATTTCAAATATCTGCTAGCCAATTCCAACAAGGCATAATCGTTGAATTTATGTGACAATAAAGTGATTCCAAACGGTAAGCCATCACTTCGGAAATCACCAGGAATAGCAAGTGCAGACATGTCAGCTAAGTTGACAAAATTGGTATAAGTTCCTTGATAAGAATTGACTTTAATAGGCTCATCAGTAACTTGTTTAATGGTTGGAGTTAAAGGAGCAGTTGGTACAATGATAACATCAATATCTTTCAATAATTTCTTTACCTTCTGTAAAATACCTTGTCTCTTGTACTCAAATTCAAAAGCAGTTGCAGCAGAATACTTTTCACCACCTTTTATAATCTGTTCAACCGTTGGATCCAAATCTGATGGGTTGGTGGCGAGGAAGTCTTTAGTGGCAGCAAATCTTTCACTAACCCAAGCACCTTCATATAAACATTTGGCTAAATCCAATAATGGATCAATATTCAATGAAACCAAATCAGCACCAACTTTGCTCTGGAAAATATCAACAGCCTTGGAGAACAACCTAGGGTTTTCTGTTTCACCATACCATAATAAACCAGTTGGAACAGCAACTTTTGGAGTTGTAGGAAATTTAAGAAGTGGAGATTCAGGGAATGATCTCGAGTATTCATCATTGTCACCATCTTCTCTAGCCAAGACACTAAAAGCTAATTGGGCATCCTTAAGATTTAAAGAAAATACCGATACACAATCTAATGATTTGCAAGCTGGAATCACACCCGAGCAAGAAAATACACCCTTGGTAGGTTTTAATCCAATGATATTGTTTAAAGCAGCTGGAACACGACCAGAACCAGCAGTATCAGTACCCAAGGAAAGTGGAACGATACCTCTTGCAACAACAGAAGCAGAACCTGCTGAAGAACCACCACTAACATACTTTGAATCAAAAGTGTTTGGAGTAATTCCATATGGTGATCTGGTACCAACTAAACCAGTAGCAAATTGATCCAAGTTGGTTTTACCAATAATAATAGCCCCAGCTTCACGTAAGAGCTTGACAACAGTGGCATCTTCTTCGGGTGAGAAGGCAAAGGAAGGACAAGCAGCGGTTGTTTTTAATCCTTTCACGTTAATGTTATCCTTGATAGCAACGGGTACCCCATATAATGGTAATTCACTTTTATTTGATTTTGATTGTAAAAACTTCCACTGGTGGGCCAAGTTTTCAGAAGTGGTTAAGGAAATCCAAGCTGGATCAACGGGAGCTGAATTTTGGGATAATAATAATTCAGATAATAGGTGTAACGATTCACTAGAAGTGGACACGGCGTGGAACTGCTTCCAATCTTCCACGGTCCAGCCGATATAATTTGATTTAGTCTGATGCATTTCCCACAAGGGTTAATTAGGAGTAATGGAGAAATTTTAATCTCAATGGATAGATCAGTGGATCCCCAACATTACTTATATGAATATTAAAACAATGGGAATCGGTAATAACTGGGGTGCTAAGTTTATTGGTCGAATATTTTTCGCAATAAAGGTAACTGATAAGGCACCACCGCGGAGGAAATTGAAAGGTGAAAAAAAAAAAATATTCCCCCACTGATAAGAGAAATTGATTCTAAATCGAAAGCAAAGGCGAGACAGAACAGTTGCTTATGTAATAATATTGATTTTTCATTCATTTGAGTAGGTAGGGCCGACAGGTACCCCTTATATTTTATTCAACTTTCCTCTGTTAAAACAAGGACCGCGGAGGATCCTATTCCTATACGCTAGCTTATGAAACCTCGAAGAATTTATTTTCATCTTAGTAGCAACGATAACAAACGTTAACTGGTTAAGTACATCGGTTATTTCTTCTTAGTCCAAGGCAATCTAAAAGTACTTTTTCAAGCTATAGATGATGCGCTACGATTTTATTGGACGATCATCTGTAACAATCGATTTGGAAGATAACAAATTCGAGACCTGTGTTATCCGGATTTGGCACAAAAATAGCAATATTTTTTGCTGCTTATCTGTTTTGGAGGTGCGTGCGCATTTGGTACCTCCACAGTATAGCGCAAATGGTACATACACTGGTAATTCTAGTTTGATAAATCAAATTAACCAATCATTATATCATATTCAGTAATCGGTGCAGATTGACTATCCATCAAGTATGGCTCTATATTTAAAATAATCGATATTTGACTCCTTTAACACTACCCTCATCTACCGAATAGAGAAACTACTTATTGAATGCGCAGATGATGGCAGGAAAGGTAAATAGTGACTATGCTCAAAACAACTCATTCAAGGAAGATATAGATCTAACATAATTTGTATTACAAATTTATATCTCTAAATAGACATTTCTAGGCGTTTATTCGCTAGACGAAAAAAAAAGTGTATCAAACCAAATTCCGTCGTCAAGTAGCTGAACTTGGTTACGACATGCTGGTATTCCTACATTGAATCTAATAGGCATTTCACTAATGCAATCTGCAAATCAAGAATGTGTCTATTGGTCCTATCAAGTACAGAAAGATGCTGCAACAACATTCAGCCGAGTAGAAGGATCAAACTATGTCCTCACCGCGTCCAAGAACAAAATACAACTCAAAAATCTCGGAGATAGAGCTTCTAAACAAACATTCCTTACTCAAATAAAGTACAACGATATATTGCTGCTTGATTCATGTCCTGCTACTTTGAAAGTATTATCTTCAAGCAGTGACATCGCATTTGTCAATGATATGATAACTGGTGATGAGATCACGCGACTATCAAATGATAATACGAACCGGGGAATTATTTTAGATTGTATATTTATTGGAAATGATGTAGTTGCAACATGTGGAAATGACCTGACATTAACTTTGTTTGATGTTAGAGAAAATCCAGTGAAAGTCAAGCCATGGAGTTTCACTTGCATTCCAAATGATATATTCACTTCAATTGGTTATTCGTATCCTTGTCTAGCTGTTGGATCAGTTAGCGGGACAATTTATATGGTTGATGTGAGAAGTCAAAAGTCTATTTCCCCCTGGATATCTCCAAGTTCAATGTTATCTGTTGATCAACACAAGAACTTGTCGATTCTGTTTGATCTGACTGGAGTAATCCGCTTATATAATGTGAGAAATAACATACTATTGGCGAATAAGAAACCGGTAGGCCAAAAGGTAAGAACCAGAATAAATTGTAAGTATGTTCCTGAACGAAATTTCGTTTTAAATGGCTCTGAAGAAGGTGCAGTTTATTTTTCATTACTAACTGATGATAACACGAAGTTTTACAAAACATTGAAAGTTGAAATTCCAGATAGATCTGCAAACGGAATTGTGCTAGGTATGAATAAAGTTAATCGTGTAGATTATGATCACACTAGTAATAGATTAATCGCCAGTTCTGGGGATGGAATGTTGCATATTTGGGATAGGATATGTAGATGAATTAATATAAATTCCTTTTATACCTATTAAATATCTACATTTTATAAGAATTACTACACTAGGTTGATATCTTCCTATCTCAATCTCTATCATATTAAATATTTATTATTATGTAAACTTAAAAAAAAATAAAAGTCATATTTACTCTTTCTTAACATCAGATGAGTAACTTCTAGCAGGAGTCACTGCACTACTCATAACTGGTTCACCTTCATATACAATTTCGTCAATAGCAGCAGTAGCATAACCCTTTTGGTTCGATAATTGGGCTTGTAATTGAGATTGAACTGCGTGCAATTTTTCTGGATGTTGTTGTTGCCATTCCTTAACCTTATACCCTTGACCAGACAAGTCCCAATAAATACCTCTGAAAGTATTACAAAGGCTTTCTCTTCCTTCCCAAATAGGGAAGATAATAACTTGGAAAACAGTGTAGAAGATCCAAATGAAGAAAACGACAACCCAACCAGTGAAGAATCGCTTGGAGAAAATATACTTGGTTCCAAACATTGGCATTGGCCAAAGCACCAAAAGACAAATAGTCAATGTGACACAAACAATACAACATTTGAAGAATGCTCTGTGCAAGACTTGTTGTTCATGCTCGTATCCGTCAATTTCTTTTTCAACTAATTGACTAGCAATGACTGAGATTTGAGATTTAATAGGGGTGATTCTTTCGTCATCTACAATGGTGACCTTGGTAGCTTCTGCTAATTCTTCTTCTTCATCAACTCTGAAAATCTTGGTCTTCAATATTTCCCAATCGAAATTCTGTTGCTTGAAAATAAGTGTAAATGCAGGAATAAGAACCAATGGTGACAATAATGCAACACAATTACCTGTCAACATGGCATTATCTTCAAAAGTGTTGTCGTAAGTAATAGCACCAAATTGGACCTTGGTAACAACTAACCAAGACATGATAGCAAGGGCAGTGGCAATAGGTGGAGTGAAAGTAGCTGCGTGCCAATTTTGTCTCTTTGATAATAACGTCAAAGCTGATGATAACACTGCACCACCAATAATGACACCCATCAATTCATACAAATAACCCATGGAAACCTCGGCATAGTAAAGACCAATGGCAAAACCAGCCATAATATAGGCAAAACCGATAACTGACATGTGAGAAACCCAAATTAACTTCTTACCTGATGCTTGAGGGTTGATATAAGTACGGTAAATATCATAGGTGCAAATGGTTGATACTGCAATCAATTCAGCAGACATGGCAGAAGTGACAGCCATAAAAACCATCAAAAGTGACAAGACGGCTCCTCCTTTACCTAATAATGCAGAAGCAGCATTTGGTAACACTAACCCGGAATTAACTTCAGCAGCAGTCATTGGTCTACCCAATGGCCAATGTTCAGTGTGTTCCAACGCCAATGCAGCAAAACCCAAAGTAAGAGAACAGAAGGCTGGAATTGGAAGCCATGCAAGAGATCCTAAAATGTAACCTCGGTAGGTGGAAGCTGGATTTGCAGCAAAAGCCTTGTTGAAATAACCATTGTCCAAGAAAACCGTACCAAAGTTACCAACAATATTAATAACAAAGAAGATACCCCCAGATCTAGAATGCATAGTTAAATATGATCCACCGGCATTACCTTCTCTTGGTTGAGTTTCTGCTAACTTGGTAACAATTTCCCAGACAGCTGCTGGAGATCCCAATTTATCAGAAGTAGCCCATGTGGTAAAGGCAAAGATGATAATAATAACAACCATAACAACAGTGTGAGCATAATCTGTCAAGAAAGTTGCTTTAATACCACCGAAAAGAGTATAAATCACAACCCCTAAAGGTAATAATAAACAAGCAGCAACTGCATGCATACCAGTCAAGTCACTAACCACGGCAGACCCACCGGTTAATAACATAGCAGTGACTAAGATGTTAGTTGCAAACCCCCAGAAAATATAGACAAAATGGGTAACTTTACCATATCTTCCTTTAATAATTTCAAGATAAGTGTGAGCAGCTGGGGCTCTTTCTCTTCCCTTAATAGCTAAACACGCGAATAAAGTAATTTGACAAGTTGCACCAGCAGCATAAAAGAACCCACCGGAAACACCATTATTGTAAACTTGAGTAGTGGAAGTTAATAAAGTTGCAGCCCAAGTCCACGATGAAACCACGGCAGCACTAATTAACCCGGTTTTAACACTTCTACCAGCAGTTGCGAATTCTTCTGCTGTCATTATTTCCCTGTTGTATCTTCTTAATATATAGGTGGTTAACATCATCCCGGCTGCAAATACGAAACCAAGACCGACGACCACAGCATAACCTGCACTCTGGGGCAATGGGACCACTGATTCTGACATGATTAGAGTTTGTAGATATTGAAATATCTGTACCGTTATCAAAGATAGAGAATGGCTACATTTTTATATTTACGTGAAATTTGCAATCATATTCAGCTTATCTTTAACCGCGTTGCAAAAACAGTAGTCTCCATATGCTAAAACTTGCAACAATGAATAATTTTCTTATCAGTTTTTGTGTGAAATAATTAGCGTGAGATAAAAACCTCCTGAAAATTTAAGCGACAATAAACACGGCGAACAGATAATTAGAGATAAGTGAATTTTGCGTACACTTTTTGTGGAGTATTTTAACGCACAACGGGGTAATTCCTTGTTTTACCGACCGATACCGGCAACTATCGCAATTATACTTCACATTAGAGGGGTGTTGAACAATGATATCGGGGCCTGATTGTCTAACATGTTCCATCGCAGGTCATATCCTTCTGGGATCAATTCTATTGGCCAAAGATTTTTATGTAATCGAATAAGCATGCATGGAAGTTCACCAGATTATTCGTTTTAGTTATCTTAACTTCATTAGTTACTTAAATTCAATCTACCCAGGCTATATCGGGATTATTTATTAAAATCTCCTCAGATTAGGTTGGCGGCCATCTAGTAGTAACTGGCTGTTATCAAAATATTTTTATCAACTAATAAATTATTTTCTCGTCTCCGCCTGTGAACGTTTCGAAGCGAACTATTAGCTTTGTGTCGAAACGAGAAGATTTTATAATCGTGATTTGGCTAATCGGCCAGTTAAAACTGTTCCAAGTTATCCGGTGATTGCTAGTCATTTCAGTGTCAGTGCTATCTCATGATCTACTTCTTATCTATGATTAAGCTAGTGTGCTTATTTTCATGCGAGATCATGCGAGATTTACGGGTCGATTTGGTTTAAAATGGATTCTGGCCTGATCTGGGACACGATGAATCCCTCTATGGCACCATTTGACGAACAGACTGTAAATCAGAATTCTCAATTAAAATGTATCAAATGTTATTGGATATTCTAAACATAAAACTAAACATCTACACAGGTATTGTATATATAGAAATAATAATAATAATAAAAAAAGTTACTGTTTCTAATCAGTTTCAATATACTCTCTGTCGTCAACCTTACCTTCCAATTCATTTCTAATTTCCTCCATCTGGACAGTTTGTTCCTTCCACAACTTCTTATCGTCTTCAGCCTTGGAGTCCTTGACAAACAAAGAATCATCTGGTCTTCTATAAGATCCACCAATTCTATCCCACAAGGTGGTGAATTGACCATAATTGTAATTGAAATATAAGTGATGAACAGTATGACAAGCGGTACCGTTAACAACAGGATCATTGGACATATAGTTACCATCGTGGATCATGACGGTCCAAAAGTTAACAAAGGTGAATAATCCCAAGTAGAAAACCTTTTGTAATGGGAATAACAATGGGTAAATGTGGTATGGTAAACTTTGGAAAAAACCATCAACAGGATGGAAAGCATGAGATGCAAACGGGGTACACACAATCCACTTATGATGTGGCTTATGCAATCTCTTGTAGACACTAGGCCAGTGCAACCATCTGTGAATGAAGTAAATCCCGCAATCGGTAAACAAGATAAATTTAGGGAATTGCATGGCAACTTCTTTCCAACCACCATTAGCTTCATTAATGTCCATGTAAAGGAAGGAGAGACCCTTTAACTCAGCAATCCAAAATGGAATAGTCAACATAACCATAACTGGAATAGCGGTTGATGCACGGTGGATTTCCAATGCCATTTGGTTCTTCAAGTATCTTGGATGGTTAAAGATTTTTCTATCAAAAACAAACACATAGGATAAGTAGGCAACAATAAAGTATAATAACCAACCAAAGAGAGAAGCAACCACCAACAAAGAAAGACATTCTCTTATAGTATTTGATCTTCCCAAAAACGAACTGTCAAAGTAAGGACCAGCAGGGAAAAGATTTGGAGTTACTCCGTAAACTTCCGACTTGTTTTGAAACGTAGCAAGTTTGTACAAGAGGTAGTTTGGAATAGTGGAAGTAGCGGCATCTAATGAAGAAATGTTGAAACTTGTACTCAAAGTGGAATTAGCGGACAAGGCATCGTATTCTGGTAGACTGAAAGGTAATTGTATACTATTGAGGACTTGAGCAACAGGGCTATTCTTTAATAGTTGGTGGACCGTTCCATCCTTAGGGAAAACCTTAGCATAGACCAGATCGAAAAGGTAGTAATCACAAACTTCTAAAACGAGATCCATAGTGAGATGTGATGATGATGATGATATGGGTGTGAGCTTAAATGTAAGTGTAAGTGCAACTGTTTAAGTGTTTAAATGTTTTGGTGAACCACGTTTATGATTAGTAGTGTTTGGGAAAGGGTCCTTAGTAACAACGAGTGACAACTGAAACAAATGAAAAATGTTCAAAAAGCAAAATGTAATAGCAAATCTATAAATTTTATATAAGGGATTAGAAAAGGTTTGTTTACGATGTGAAACCAAAAGCCGAAGATCAATGGCACCACCTAAGGGCTGTGAGTATTTTTTTGCCCTACTTGGTCGTATAGCAGCAGCAATGGAAAAAAAAATTTCGCGGTCGAAGGTCCAATGCTCGTTTAGAAAACACGCACCTGCCCCTCAATACGATGGGAACGATACTAATTAAGGAGAAACGAAAAAAAAAGAAAAAAAAGAAAACAAAAAAAAAATCATTAAATCTCGGAACTAAATTCCTCACCCGATGGATGTCAGTGATGGAAGAAAGTCGAACCACACAAACAAGAATGACGTTATTCAGAGATAACATGCAATCGTATATATATATAACTCGGATCGTACCGCGTAAACCCGACACGATCATCTTTTCAGGGGTGATTACGAGTGTGTTATGTAGTTATATGTTTCATGTAAATTACAAAATGATTCTACTTATAAGAAGTCCGATAAATCGGAATTGATTTTTTTCGTTTGGGTTCCATGCGCCGCACCAGAAGAGGATACTTTGGGTGCCAAAATCATATTGGAATTAAACCCAGGAGGATAATTCACACTTGGTGTGGAAACCGGCGGGGTTGGCAATGATTTGTTGACGTGGTTGTTACGGTCATTCATTTGTTTCATAGGTAATCCTCCGCCAGTGTTTGCCAGCTGAAAATCATCAAATTCATCATCGGGATTTTTTCTTCTATCAAATGTACTTTGTAAAGTGTTTAATAATCTCGTATTGGAAGGGTTGTTAGTGCTAGTAGTAGCTCCAAAAGTTAATGTTGGGGATGATGTTTGTTGCTTCCTACTAGGTTGTATTGGTTTGAATGAACTTGCAGGAGAATGTTGCATGGGTTTGTATGAACTTGCAGGGGAAGCTTCTCTTGATTTGAACGAACTTCCAGGGGACGCCTGTAATGGCTTGAATGAACTGATGGGTGAATGCAGTTGCACTGTGTTACTTGTATGTAATGGTTGGAAAGAACTTGCTGGTGATTGCTGTTGCTGTGTTGCTCCATGTAATGGTTTGAATGAGTTTATAGGAGAATGCTGTCCTGATCTTCTTGGTTGCATTATTGTCTTGGATTGTGGACCTGGTAATTCCTTTGGTGTATCCCCAATGGTCTGAGTTTTCAACAATGATTCAAACGTAGTAGGTCGTCCAGTATTAGCATTCCCATTGAATGTGCTACTAACGGAAGCTGCAGCCGTAGGTAAAGAACTCAATTTCCTTTCAACCAACTCCTTTTGAATGTCATTGGTTACCGACATAAACTTTCTGAATTCCAGTTGAGTGCAATCATTACATCCAAATGCAAGGGATAAACATTGTGGTAACACTGAATCAACCATGGATTCTAACTCTAGCGAAACATGGGAACTTTTAGATAACCTCAAAAAGAAGTTTAATACAGTGCCGACCACTCTCTTATCTCTGGATTTCAAATTCTTTAATACTGGGAATAATTGCTCAGTAATGATAATTTTATCGATAATCTTCTTTTCTACCAAAATTTCAAACGTTTCTATCGTGATTAATTTTGTGGATAAAATCGTGGTTGTTTTAAAAACATGACATAATAAGGGAAACAAGGTGTTTTTAATGTATGGGAATTCTATTCTTTCCACAACTTTGGGTAAAAATTGCAAAAAGGAATCTTGAAGTTTAATTTGAGTTTCCTTTTCCGCTTCTAATTCTTTAGGTGATGAAGTCAATACTAAATCCAACATTTTCTTAATTAAGTCAATAAATTGTTTATCATTTGTCTTCTCTTGAATCTTGGCTAAATTTTCAACCAAAGTTAATCTAACTCTAACTGAAGATGTCAACATTTTCGTTAAAATCTTGTTGGCATTTTTCTTGGTATCGTCCTTGAATAAACTATCAAATACTTTATCTTGGAATGTCAATTGTGATAACGATTGCGAAATATCCAAAATGATTTCAAGAGAATAACATACAAGTTTATTAGTTTTATTGTCAAGCAAGGAATTTTCATTCAACACGTTAAACTCATTCACGAGAACCTCCACTAATAATGGCAACAACTTCAGGGATTTGAATGGTGCGGGGAATTGGGAAATCAAGTTGGTGTTTGTGGATGGATCAACCACTAATAACCCTTCCATAAACATCAATTTCTCGTCAATTGACTTGGTGGAAAACTCGTCAATGAACCACATGGCTTTGATGATACTACCATTGAAAAACTCACATTCAATAAAGTGTTCCAATGTGAGTCTATCATTGGGGTATCTTGCCAATAATTGAGGAAAGATTGGGTATAATTTTTCGGGGATATTCTTCAACATGTATTTCAATTCTGACGGTTTGTGATTATAGAATTTCATTTCAAACTTTCTAAATTCTTGCTTGTAATCAGAAATACTGTTCAAATCAAAACAATTGATCAACAAATCATGATCATTGTACAAGTAATAGATCAAATTACCAAATGACCAAATATCATTGGCAAATGATAAATTTGTATGGGAATCGATGATTAATTCTGGCGCAGTAAAGTTCAAGTTCAAATTGGCAAATGGAACAAATGAGCTATTCATAATGTAAAAGTTTTCTCTTTCCAGAGGAGATATTTCATTTAGGTTTTGCAAGAATCTAAACCCGCCAAGCTTCCAATCTCCTTGACTGTTAACAAACACGGATTCTGGTTGTAAATTCAAATGAATGATTGAACAATATGAATGCAAAAAGTGCAACCCCTTGGCAATCTGCAACAAACCCTTTTGAATAGACAAGTCGTCCAAGTTGTTGTGACTGATTGTTTGTAAATTATCCACCACTGGTTCACTGGCAAACAAGAATTTTGTCTTTGTTTCTTCCAACACTTCAAAAATCGTCAAGATTTGCGGGTGCTTTAATTTACTTAATTGATTCACTTCAAACTTGATGAGTTCATAGCATTCGCTGATTATGGTTTTGGGGTTCTTGGCTGCGGAAGAGGTGGAACATAATCGATTCACTTGCAGCTCAAACTTGGTCTTATCGAAAATGAACACAGACACAAGCTTCCCGTTGGATCTGTGTTTACCAGGGTAGATGGACCATGGTTCGGCAACAAAGGACGGGTTGTCCAGAACGTTGTATGTTCCTCTTATGCCTGATTTGAAGTTTAACTTAAACATTGACGTGTTATCAAATATTGGCAACAAATCTCTCCAACCCTCAAAAATACGAAATTTAAATAAAGAGAAAGAGAAAAAAAAAAGGAACAAGAAAAATTGTAACACCAGAATCTCGTATGTTCAACAAGGATGAGCCACTTGGATTTATTAGAAGACAACTTTAAACACTCTGCTGAGAGGCTAGATAAGCCATCTCCGTATTTACGAAGAAAAGCCAGAAACAATTATCATGAATTGGAACGAGCCATAACCCTGAAGACAGTATACGTTGGGAACTTGTCTCATTTCACTACCGAAGAACAAATCCACGAATTGTTTCTGAAATGTGGAGCCATTGATAGGATTATTATGGGATTGGATAGAAATAAGTTGACTCCATGTGGGTTTTGCTTTGTCATATATAGAACTGAACAGGGTTCACTTAATGCTATGAAGTTCTTGCAAGCTACAATTTTAGATAGCCAAAGCATTTCAATTGATTTGGATCCGGGATTCCGTGAAGGAAGACAATTTGGAAGAGGTAAACATGGAGGACAAGCAGGACAAGAAGCTGCTGCTGCGGTCGCTGCAGCTGCATCAGGTGGCGCAGACAATGGTGGATATCGAGGAGGATTTAGAGGTGGTTACAGAGGTGGCTACCGAGGAGGATATAGAGGTGGGTTTAGAGGTGGACATAGAGGTGGGTTTAGAGGTAGAGGACGGGGTGGGTTCAGAGGAGGCCGTGGTGGTGGATATCCTCGAGGAGAAGGTTCTGTTTATATACCTTCCCAGGATCCCGGATTCAACTCTCAATCGTTCGGCGGAGAAGGGGATAATCGTTAGAGCATGTATCAATATAAGTTTTTTGCGTATAGTGTGTATCATCAAATTGTAGCAATTTATGTATGCGCGAGGTGGGGAGGAGAGGAACCAGCAAAGTGGTTATGCCTGTGTGATGCTGTATGCTGCGCTAACATGTAAACGCTGGAAACTGAGGTTTCGCCACATTTTCACAATGCTACTGTGAAAAGACTCTGGCTTTGTGCCAGAACTGAACAGCTGAAAAAGATGACAAATCCAACCTGGGTGATAATTATAAATTTTGAAAGAGATTAAGATTTCAATCAAATTATCATGTTTATGTGTGTTTTTCGAGTAATATTAATTAGGGATACACTGTCTTAAGTGTCATGGTTGACTGGTAATCTCTGATATACCATATGTTAGGCTTGTCGGTTTTGCGGCGGTGGAACTTGTGTTTCGAAAAAACCTGTGACTGCGAAATAACATAGGCCCCTTGGTACTTTCCGTTTCTGTAGCGTTTGTACAGACAGGAATATTTGTTTAAATCAGCTGGGGCCAGCGACTTGGGATTGGAGACTAATCATCCGTGATAGATGGAACTAATTGTTTTGCCAGCATTTACCTCAGCACCAGCTGAAAACAGTGCTGCGTATTTTCTATTTTTCCATTTTTTCAACAAAAACATTAGGAAATCAATAATATCTTTATAGAACAACATCGCAACCACCACAACCCTTTAATTGACAAATTCAAAGAAACAAACTGGCCGTTGACACGCCTGAATAGAGCTCAGACGTTAGTCTAATCCCACCTGGTGGGTGGAGATCTCCCACAATGCCTCCTTCACGTGACCTCCAAAACGGTTTTTCCCAGTCAGGCATTTTTTTTTCCTTTTGTTTCTCAAATTCCTTTTTAGAAGCTTTGCGACTATCGCAAACCCAACCCATTTCCTCCGCCTTTCCATTATTCATTTTACGAATAACTATATATAGAAACAAAAATCTAGATGAATCATTTCACGTCATGTCAGTAGAAGTATCCACCAATAAAATACAACAGACACGGGTGATGTCTCCCCAAACAGATTCAGACAATACCACCGGTAGAAAAGCCGGACATTCGACTCAACATCATCATCACAGTCAAATGTACAAGCGATCTGCATCAACATCTAATCTTCCCTTGAACAATCCAAGCATGTCGTCCTTATCTAAGAAGCCACAATATCTGGGTAGACTAAAGTCTCATAATCGCTCGCTTTCCCATAATAAACTATTTTCAACGTCATCTGGTGCCAGCGGATCTGGTGCTAGTCAGGGCATGAGACCAAATTTGAATAGATCAAAATCAAGTGACGTTTTGACACGAAATCGACAAGCATTGTCGTTGAAGAGAAACAGCAGGTCATTCACCAAAGTTGCGGGTCTACAACCATTAACAAAGACTACCTCGAACCAGTCGCTTAAATCCAATAAATCAAACACTTCCTTAAAGGGATACAACGCAGCCATATCCGGTATTGCGCCACCTCAAATTGGATTGAAGTCAAGTACAAAAAGAGAGCGGGCTATTTTAAGGCTTAATGACAATGATGCCGATTACGAGGATGTTGAAGATGCAGAAACTTACCGAAACACTACCCCGCCCATACCAGAACGGTTTAATAGTGATGAATCGATACCGGCTGCATCAGACCACTCAGAACAAAACATCCCCAGTTTATTCGAACAGATTAATAGAATGGTACCGCCAAGTGCCGTCCCTACCCCTACGGTAGAGAAGGAAAACAAGCTCGAGCAGCAAGAATATTCGCACCCCAAACTTAAAGAAAACCGGACAGAAGAAGAAGAAGAAGAAGAGGAAGAAGAAAGACAAGATTCATCAAATAGTGATAAATTAGAAGTTGTGGTGGAAGGAAATACTATTGATAGCAGCTTGAGCAAGTCTAATATGGGATCTAACCGAAGTTCTACCGATAATGACTATTCCCCACCAAATGCTAATCTTTATGGAGGGTCGTTACTATTATCACAATCAACTGGATTACTACGAAAAATCGATCCCATGAGTTCCAACATGATGAATCAAAAGAATTCTTTTAGAGACCAATCACTACCATTTAACAATTCAATTAGTGGAATTTCATTCAAGGCAAACCCGATGACTAATCTTGCCCAGCCGGTGATTAACAATCAAAATGTCATTCAAAATAATTCATATCAACCAAATCAAACCATTTTCAACAATCTACAAAGAACAAATAACCAGCTTATTACCAATACAAGAAAGCAACCACAAACAGAACCACCACCACCACAACAGCAGCAGCAGCAGCAGCAGCAGCGACAACAACAACAACAACAACACGAAGAGTTGATAAATTCTATTTCCAATGGTGCTAACAATTTCACAGATTTTCTTCGGACAAATTCATCGTCATCTACAGACGGCGGTGCTCATGGTCACAATGCAGAAACCAGAACCCAGCAAAGACTATGGTTACAGCGAGAAAGTTCAATGATGGATGTGACTGCCAATATGGATTCCAGCAGATTGCCCAACTTTTCCAACTTGTCATTGAATAACCTCATGTTCGCTCATAACTATAACAACCAGAGTCATTTGAACGTGCGAGACTTGCAGCACCAACAACAACAACAACAACAACAACAACAGATCCAACAGCAGCATAACATGCCACAACCACTAACTCCAGTTACGTCGACCACCAATGGCGGTGGTGGATCTAGTGCATATGCTGCTGCAGCCGTAGGAGAAGGACTCACCAATATTGGTACCATCAATGGTATACTTACCCAGGTTCAAGGTCACAGTTCCATTCAATCAAGAACAGAATTTGAAAGGTTGAATAGAGAATACTTGAATGTCAGAAGACACTTGAATCCCGTGGGTGAAAGTTTAAATAGATTAGACAAACACATCCAAGGTGAGCTTAAAGTCAGCAAGCATTCAAGACAGGGCCCACAGCAAAATCCAGATAAAGAACAGCCTAATCTGAATTCGTTCAAGGAATTTTGTCCTTCATTCCAAGAAAAGGAATCCGAGGTTTTATCTACTGTTGGTCGTTTATGGCAAGATGCAATCTTCACATCGTTAGGTTCGTCCTCACCACCAGGAACAAGAGCAAACAACACTTTACATCCACAAGTGCAGCTGCAACGGCCTACAAATGCCAGAATTGTGTCATACAACCAAAACCAGCAACACGCTCCGCAGGCTGGCACGAGAAGTGCACCACCACAAACAAGATCTGGCAAGATTTCTAACTAAATGAACAACGGAAAAGTTTTCTACAGTTTTATTAGCATAGCTCAGTTTATAGAATTATTGTATTTGGGTAGATATTATATACATGACTTCGGTTTCTATTATACACAACTTGTTAGTCTATCCTTGTCTTTGCTTATGCTTTCCATGAGTCTTGCAGTAGACGTAAACTCTTCCCTTTCTCTTGACCAAATAGCAATCCTTACAATATTTCCTTACTGCTGATCTAACTTTGAATTCTCTGATTGGTTGGTATAAGGCTCTTGGAACGAATCTTGGAGTGACGTTGAAAATTGTCCTGGCGACATTAGGGAAGTAGAATTGCTTCTTTATCACGCTAGTAAGGGAGAACATTGTGATATAGCCTATGTTCTGTGGTTATCGTTGCAATATGGAGTTCTTAATAAAGACTGAAAAAATTTCCCATGGTGACAAAAAGAAACGAAAGAAAAACGCGTCAGGTGACACACCGCACGTGACTGTGTCACACGTGATCGATTTCACAAATTTGCGTTGTCAATTTTGATTTTTCGTTCAGATTTTGACAACCAACACAACAACACACACCCTGACACGTCATTGGAGTTGAATTGAATTGAATTGATCCATCGAGATGTCGACTCTGTCATACAAGAAGCAGGATCCTTATTCCAGCACCGCTGGTCTTCCTGATAAGATGGCCGTTTTCCAAGAATGTTTACAACAATTCAACGCTACTCCTGTCAACGCAAAGAAATGTCGTCAATTGTTAGCCAAATTGTTGAGATTGGTTTACCACGGTGAAACTTTCCCCTCTCAAGAATCAACCACGTTGTTCTTTTCGATTTCTAAGTTGTTTCAACACAAGGACGTTTCTTTGAGACAGTTGGTTTATTTGACTATTAAGGAATTGTCGTCAACCTCTGACGATATTTTAATGGTGACTTCTTCCATTATGAAGGATATCCAAGGAAACGATGCTGTGTACAAGCCAAATGCCATCAGAACGTTGTCCAAGGTTTTAGATTCCACCACCGTTCATTCTGCTGAAAGATTGTTCAAGAATGCAATCGTCGATAGAAACCCAGTTGTTTCTTCTGCTGCTTTGATCTCCGCCTACAACTTATTGCCAAGTTCCAAGGACGTCGTCAAGAGATTCACCAACGAAACCTTAGAAACCATCCAATCTTATAAGCAATTCCCACCAACTCAATTTCAATTGCACGAATACTACGGAAGTGCCACTTCTAACTTACCTTCCACTTCTTATATGTACCAATACCATGCCTTGGGTTTGATTTATCAGTTAAGAAGCAACGATAAGATGGCTCTTATGAAGTTGATTACCAGTTTATCGGAAGGTTCAAGCTTGAAGAACTCCTTATCAATTATCCAATTGATCAGATATATCAACAAGATTTTACTTGACGATTCCTCCTTGATTGGCCACTTGTTCCCAATATTGTCTGGTTTCTTGAAGCACAAGTCCGATATGGTTGAATTAGAAGCTTGCAAGACTTTAGTCAGCTTACAACATTTGATTAGAGATGACCAATTCATGGCCATTGTTACCACTTTACAAAAATTGTTGAGTGTTCCAAGAACCGCTACTAGATTTGCTGCCATTAGATTGATCAACAAGATTTCCATCAAGCATCCTGAAAAGATCATGGTTGTTAATATTGAATTGGAAAGTTTGATCAATGATTCCAACAGATCTATTTCAACATTGGCCATCACCACTTTATTAAAGATCATGGGTGCTGGTACTATTGACAATGGTTCCGGTGGAAGTGAAAGTGTCGACAGATTGATTGCCAAAATGACTTCGTTAATGGATGAAATCACTGAAGATTTCAAGATTGTCATTATTGAAGCCATTGAAAACTTGGCGTTGAAGTTCCCATCCAAGCACAAAAAGTTGGTTACTTTCTTGACGGATTTGTTGAGAGACGACGGTTCATTACAATTAAAGACCAGTATTGTTGATGCTTTGTTTGATTTGATCAAGTTCTTGCCTGATCCAAGTGCCAAACAATTGATGTTGATGAACTTGTGTGAATTCATCGAAGATTGTGAATACACTGAATTGTCAGTGAGAATCTTACACTGGTTAGGTGACGAAGGACCAAACACTTCCAATCCATCTTACTACATTAGACACATTTACAATAGATTGGTTTTAGAAAATTCAATTGTTAGATCTTCTGCGGTTATTGCCTTGGCCAAGTTTGCTGCCGTTTGTGGTGGTGACGTTGCCAAGAACATTATTATTTTATTGGGAAGATGTTTGAATGATGTCGACGATGAAGTTAGAGATCGTGCTGCCATTTCCTTGAAATTCATCAATAGTAATAAGAAAAAGTTGATTGTTTCTGATTCAAGGTATGATTTGTACACTTTGGAAAACAAATTGGTTCATTATTTAAATGACGAAGAGAATTTCAACGAAAAGTTTGATATTGATGAAGTTCCTGTCATTAGTAACGAAGAATACAATTCTATTGAATACAACAGAAAGATCAACAAGTTGGAAAACATTAATGATAATTCTGCCGTCACTGAGGTTGAAGAACGCGTCAAGAGTCCAACAGGAGGTGAAGCAACTCCTGGTGACAGTCTTGCCAATGACTTATTAAAACAACAAGAATATTCTCAACAATTGAGTGGCGTTGAACAATTTGTCGAATACGGTAAATTGACCAAATCAACCATTGAACCAGTTTACTTGTCTGAACGTGAAAGTGAAATAGCCGTTTCTGTTGTCAAGCACTTATTCATTGAGTCCAAGCATTTGGTATTACAATATAACATTAACAATACTTTACCAAATACTGTATTGCAAGACATTTCCGTGGTTGCCCAGCCTGATAATGACTTGTACCAAGAAGATTTCATCATTCCATTGGCCGAATTGAGACCAAATGATACCGGAATAGTTTATGTTTCATTCACTATCCCAGACATAGAAGAAGCTGAGCTTTTGTCGGCATTTGGAAACACCATTGCTTATACCAGCAGAGATGTTGACGAGGACGGACAAGTTGATCCTAATGACGATGGTGGATGGCCTGATGAATATCAAATTGATGATTTGGAAGTATTGGCCTGTGATTTCATTACTCCATTATACAATTCCAACTTCACCGCGTTGTTTGATCAATTGCCATACCAAGACACCTCTGTGGTTACTATAAATCAAGTTGATAATTTAGAAAAAGCCATTGAAAAGTTGAAGAACAGCTTGAACATGATGCCATTGGATGGATCAGATTTCGTAAGCAGTGGTGAAGCAGCCCATTCTTTGAAATTATTGGGTAAGGATGTTTGGGGTGGTAAGGTTGGTGCTTCTATTAGATTGGCTTCAACTGGAGGTAAGATTGTTGCCAAGGTTGAAGTCAAGCTGGAAACTGAAAATTTTGGTAATATTGTTATTAGTAGTGTGTATTAAACTTTGACTGAATATATCTGATTTATACTAGATTACAATAGTACGATACATTATTGTTACAAATGCAAACTATATATATATAACTCTATAAAACTTCAAGAGAAACTCTTTTCTCTTTTGGGTTTTCTCTTCATTTGTTTATACAATAACCCACCGGAGAAGTAAACCAATAATGCCGCCAAGACAATCAACAAGAAAATCCAGATAGCTCCAGTTTCATTGGTCTTGGCAGCAGTAGGACAAGCGTGGTGGGATCTAACCTCGAAAAAGTACGAGCAGTTGTTCATTTGTCCCACAAATGAAATTGACGCTTTGGAGTTCATCATTTCTCGATCACATGTAAATGTCAAGATTGTTGATTTTTTCAACTTCTTGCCGGTGTTTGCATCAACTGCATCACAAAAGGCCCCATTTTCATATGTCAAGGTTAACTTTCTTCCGCGGAATACGGGGGTTGTGGCGTATTCTCCCATGGAAACGTACTTGTTTGTAGCTGGGTCGATGTAGTATGCACCGATCTTGGACGGATCTAAACCGTCCTGGATCTCGTTCCAAGAATCGTGGAATTTCTTGAATGGGTTGGAGCAGATACCGATGGTGTAGTTTCTACCACTGTCGTATCCTCTGGTATTCCAAGGTAACGCCTTACCATCGTTGGCAAACGACGATAATCCCCGAAGATCTATAAACTGTTTAGTGTTTGGATTAATAATTGTGCATGGGTCCAACTTTTCCTCTTCTTCTGTTTCTGATTTGTCGTCAGAGCCAGACTGTTCCTTGTCGGAAGTTTGCTGGTCTGTGCTTGACTGGTCAGCTTGTGAATCATGTGCTGGCACTTGTGGTTGGTCTTCCACGTGCTGTTGTTGAGAAACTGCTTCACTTGGCGAGAAGAGCGCCTCGTCTGGTTGTGCTTGCGGTAATAGCTCATCTTTCGTGAACGTGAAATGACTTATAGAGTCAAATATCTGCGTTCCTGTTTTGTATAATGTGTCTTTGGGTTTGTTTGTTTGTATTATGGTTATGCATACAATCAAGGTGAATGTGAGTAACGGTAATGTCACTCTTCTGAGTATTTTCAACCAAGATTTATGGTTCATAGCAGACGATGTGTGTATTTAACGAATGTAACGGTTTCTGTTGTGTCTATCTTTGTGTTTTATACAAGGTTGGTACTAACCATAGACATTAACACATATTTAAAACCCCTTAAGAAAATTTGAGGGCTTTTTCTTTTTTGATAGATAATAATAATTTTTTTTTTGTCTGTCTGTCTGTCTGTCTGTGTCTGACTGCGATTTTTTTTTCCTCCTGTGGTGTTGGCGGTGTAAAAGATCTGACAGAATTATTTATTGGTCCTATTGTTAGCTGACCTCAGTAATTTCCTAGACACAACAAAAGTTACGACATCATTACAACTGCAATTGCATCGGTGTTTCGTCGTTTAGTATTTTCCGTTTTGTCAATCGATTAAGGTTTTGGCATAAAAAAGTTTGATAAAGTTTAACGCAAAAGAGCAACATCCCCCCCCTTCTCCTTTTCAAGTCACACTATACCCGCCATGAACGCTTGGACAGACGCATCAATCGCAAATATACTGACACCGTTCGTGGAAAACAACCTCACGTCCAACGTCACATCTCTAGGCAACACATCCCTCCCCATCCTCAACTACTCCGATCCCTTGCTATCCAAGATCTTGACCTCCAAAAAGGCCCTTCATGTATTGGAATCAAACTTGGTCAATAGTGACAGCGCAAACAGTTCCAAAACATTGATTGAACTCTTGATTGCATCATGTGATGGCGACTTGGTAACATTGGAAAGTATTATACGATCTAGTGATATCAACATCAACCAATTGTTTCCTAGTGAGTCCAATGGCGTCTCCTGTTTGATTTACTCCATATGCTTTAACAACTATTCCGTGGCAGAGTCGTTGTTGAACAATCACAACGCCGACCCCGACGTGTTTGACACCATAGCACACTACACGCCGTTGATGTGGGCGGTCTACTTTAATCAATTGGATATCGTCAAGTTGTTATTAGACCACCAAGCCGACCCATACCTCTCACCCAAGGACGACGACAAGAATGCAGTATCGCTAGTCACACTTGAAAACTTGGAAATATACGATTTCTTCAAATCACATGGATTGTTAAAACAAAAGAAATCAGGAGATGATGAGATTTATGGCACATCTTCATTCCAAGGGGAAGATTTTGAAGACGAATTATCAACAGATTTACGCATGCAAACATTATCCAGCAGTATTATAGATGAACCGGAAGAAGTAAGAGAGGATGATGATGACAACGAACATGTTCTTTCTCAAGATGTCGTCTTGCAACAATTGAATGAATTTGATTATGATAAGTTGTTACCTAACCAATTCCTCAAGTTTTCCGATCAAGATATTCCTGTTTTATTGGATTATATTTTTGGATTAAGAAGTAAATCTTCATACCAACACAATACAAAGTTGCCGGCTATTATCATATTCCAATTGGTCAGATATGCCCATTTGAAAGTGGAGAGTCCGGAACTTACCGAGTTCTTGTTTGATTGTTTTACAGCAAGATTGAGAACAGTCACCAATACCAAATCAGGAGCTTTTAATATGGCATTACAAGAGCCTCAGGATGCTACATCGGCAGCAGGAGGAGCAGGAGATATTGTTTTGCTCAGTTACTGGTTATCATCGATTCAATTTCTTCATTTCTACTTTACAAGGAACAAGTTGTATCAAACCTTGCCTAAGTTTTTGCAAGAGATTATCAATATAACCCAATCACTCATTGCCACATTATCGTTTTCCATTAATTCCCGATTGAATTTATTAGTGGACGATTGTTTAATCAATTTCACCAATTTAGTGGATGTTTCTAATGTTCTTTACGCCAAGGATTGGAATTTGTTTAAAAAGAACAAGACCCATCCAAGCACATACGATGACATTTTGGATATGTTATTTCCACCCAGTGAAACCGAATTAATGAAACCTTCACCATTAAAGTACATTCAAGTGTTGGGTGCGTTGGACTATGTGCTCAAGATCCATCAAGTGGATAATTTGTTACAAGTGCAAACTTTCTCACAGGTGTTTTATTACATCAATGCCACAATATTCAATCGACTTATAAGCACGTCCAAGTACAACTCCCGTGCCAAGGCCATTCAAATCAGACTCAACATCTCGGCGATTGAAGATTGGTTAAGATCGCATAATATGAAAGTATACAGACCCGAGAGTCTCGGTATTGATATTGGTCATGAATTAAAGAACTTGTTAGAAGTGGGCAAGGACAAGTCCAAGAATGATCCTCATTATTTGCAGTTTTATTATAATTCATTGTATAATGTGGGAAAGAATCAGTTGACTCCTACTATTGAGTTGTTACAGTGGTTGCAATGTATGTCTAGTTTACAAGACGAAGACAGTTTAGTCAATACCATCAACCAGTTTGATTATATCAACTATTATCAATTGTTTAAAGTTGCTAATAAGTTGTACAAGTATGAAGTGGATGAGCCTAAGTTGCCTAAGAAATGTACACAATTACTCAAACGATTATCCAACGAACAAGGTCCAAAGCAAATCGAACGGGGGGTCTTGCACTATATGACCCAGGCCACTTTCTTATCCAAAGAGCTTTACATTTATTTGAATCCGAACTTTATATTCGCCGTGAGTTTACCCAATTTGACGGAATTGATCAACAATTATGGTGCTGGGTTAGGTGGAGTCAAGGTATTCAGAAGTAAAAAGTATCAACCTAGTTTGCCAATTAGTATTATTGACGATATAGATGAGATTTTAACTGAGAATAAGAATCAGCATTTGCATGATGAGTATGATTATGACAGGGAGGATGACGAAGAAGAAGACGAAGACAATGATGAGGAGAAAAAGCCCGGGCAAGATTTCAAGGGGGATCAGATTTTCAAGCAGGTGCAAATGCCCAATTCTTTGTTGCACAAGAACTGGGGCGACGAAGAGAATAACAACGATTTCGAAGTGAATCCTTGGTGAGCATTTATAGAGATATAGCGATACATAATACCGAATACGATGAGCTATTCCAATTTATATTATTCGTCAGTATATACAAGCTAGTAGGACTATATTACATGGTAGATAAGAAGTTGTTATTCTTTATAGTTTTGATATTTTCCTTTTTTAAATTTATTCTTCTCCATCTCATAAAGTCAGTAGATTTCAATTGATCGCGGTTAGTCTTTGGGTCAAGCATAGTCCATAACCATTCCGGGTATTCTGAGTCTTCTAATGCCACTGGTTCGTCACCTTTATTTCTGAGTTTCAAGTTTAATACTGTTCCTGCAGGACATGTAGAGACGACCTTAGTTTCGTTGCGCAATATAGTAGAGGTAGTTAACCTTCTTGATGTTATTCTGGTGATATTTCTGAACATTATGCTATTACTTCCAGTACAGTTGGTCAAACCTTCTTTGGAACAGTTTGGAAAAATTTTTTTTTGTTGGCGTAAAAATTCAAACCACCCTGAAAATTTTTGACCGATTCATCTCTCTCTTTCTTCTTAAAGTAATTAGCAAACATACAATGCCACCAAAGAAGAAGGGAGCTCAAGAAAAGCCAATTTTGTTAGGTAGACCAGGTAACAACTTGAAGTCTGGGATTGTTGGATTAGCCAATGTCGGTAAATCCACTTTTTTCCAAGCCATCACCCGTTGTCCATTGGGTAACCCTGCCAACTACCCTTTTGCTACCATTGAACCAGAAGAAGCCAGAGTCATTGTCCCATCGCCAAGATTCGACAAATTGGTTGAGTTGTACAAGCCAAAGAGTGAAGTTCCCGCCTTTATGACCGTCTACGATATTGCCGGTTTGACTAAAGGTGCCCATGCCGGTGAAGGGTTGGGTAACAATTTCTTGGCCAACATCAGAGCCGTTGATGCTATTTTCCAAATGGTTAGATGTTTCGATGATGCTGACATCATCCACATCAACGATGAAGTCAACCCAGTGGCTGATTTGGATATCATCAAGGATGAATTGAGATTGAAGGATATCGAATTTGCTCAAAAGCACTTGGAAGGTATTGAAAAGATCACCAAGCGTGGTGGTCAATCCTTGGAAGTCAAGCAAAAGAAGGAAGAAGCTGAATTTGTCAAGAAGATTATTGCCATGTTGGAAGAAGGTAAGAGATTAGCTAACCAAACCTGGACCCAAAAGGAAGTTGAAATCATCAACACCATGTTGTTGTTAACCGCCAAGCCATGTATCTACTTGATCAACTTGTCTGAAAGAGACTATATCAGAAAGAAGAACAAGCACTTGTTGAAGATCAAGGAATGGGTTGACACCAACTCCCCAGGTGACTTGATCATTCCAATTTCCGTCTCCCTCGAAGAAAAATTAGCCAACATGGAAACTGATGACGAAAGAGACGCCTACTGTAAGGAAATCGGTGCTGTTTCTGCTTTGCCAAAGATTATTGTTGCCATGAGACAAAAGTTGGACTTGATTTCTTTCTTCACTGGTGGTCCAGACGAAGTTAGAGAATGGACTATTAGAAGATGGTACACTGCTCCACAAGCCGCTGGTACTATTCACACTGATTTGGAAAGAACCTTCATCTTGGCCCAAGTTATGAAGTATGAGGATTTGGTTGAATTAGGTGACGAAGCTAGTGTTAAGGCTGGTGGTAAATTATACACCAAAGGTAAGGATTATTTTGTTGAAGATGGTGATATTCTTTACATTAAAGCTGGTGAAGGTAAGGCTAGATAATTTACTTGATATTTAATCGATATTTGTAAATATAACTTTGCTGTAGGCGGTGGTGGTAGTAGTAGTAGTAGTAGTCTCTACGTCTGTATTGACACATGGTCGTGCGAGTGTCTAATTTTAGGGGGTGGGGTAATTAAGATATTAACCTTTTACGAATAAGGGGTAACTGGAGACGTAGGAACCTAAATAGATATAGTAGAATGGAAAAGCCAGGTATTTCTGCTGCTGATCTTTCCAAGTTTGCAGATGCGTATTGCTCCGATCTTGAATTTCTAGATGATGACCTTGAACACGAGGAAATGAACCTTGATGAAATCAGAAACCATATACTTCGTAAAGCTAAAAAGAGAGTGATCAAAATAAACAAGACCGAAGACAATAAATACAAGAGATTCTTCATCGACGGTTCCACTGATATTGTCTCGCGCAAAGACGTGCGGAAACCGGCACTTCGCAATCCAGAAGATGTTTATGCACAGATTGATAAGCTAGAGAAACATTTTGCACTGTTGGATCCAATCACCAAGTTAAGATTTGGAGTGGTTGAGACATGCGAACGGAGAGAAATTGAAACTCCGGCTGAAAGAATCTTTTTCGGTGTATATGACAAGAACGAATCCGAAGATTGGTGGCTGGACGAAGAGAATTAGAGATTCAAGACTGGTTCTTGATCTAATTCTATAACTATATAACCTGTCGTGGTATTGATTATGTAAAGTATGTAGATATATTGGTTTATGATTAGTTTGAAAATTAACAGAATGTAGGTGCTAATGGTAGACCTATTGTGTCACTAGACCTAATACCCGGTACTTCCATATTGGGTAGTGAGAACAGACCAGAAAGAAAAATAATGACGTCAGTGTCATTCAAACAATTGGGGGCCACTGCGCAATTTCTTCAATGCTAGGTTGAAAACACGTACCTGGATAGCCCATGGCTACACCAATAACGAGAACTTACCCCTGTCAAGCCGGAGCCAAGGCATCAAATCTTGTTGCGCCAAGACAACGACGTTTTTTTTCTTCTCTGTCTCTGCACCTGGGCTTAAAATTGCAGCCGTCGCACGCTATCAGTAAGCCCGCCCACGCAGATTCACTACCACAAAAACCTAAAATTTTTCCAACAGGGCTTGGATAAATTGGGCCCACGGATCTAGGCTTAGTTCAGAAAGCAAACAGTTGACCTCAAATCTGGACATTTTCTTTCACATCTTTTTCTTTCTATGTCATAGACTGGTTGCTTTACTATGAGATGGAAACTTTCCTATAGGCGAATACTATACTGTACTTTGCTTGCACTAGTGTGCTACTTCATATCTCAACAAACGAAAATCTCACGAATAAATTTGGCAAATTTAATCACTTATGATTCACTTGCAGACCACAGTCGACAAGTACGAAGCAAAATTCATTATACCAACTATTTATATTCCGACTACGATAAGTTTATCAAGCTTTACAATAATGATGTTGACACGGTTAAAACAGCACCTTTAGATGACAAATGTCCTACGTTTTTCAACCAATTTCTCGCTGAGAACCCAGATTGGACTTTCCCAATATACAATTTGGCACACAGTAGAATTGTCAAATCTATAGACGACAAGGAAAAATTCGTCAGGGACAAGAAACCCACCCTTAAAGAAACAGGAAGAAAGTTGACGGAGAAACTCGAAGAAGAATATTCCAAGGCTGTAAACGTCACCATGGAAATACTGCAAATCATGGCCGATACCGCCAGTTTAATGAGAGTCTATGGCAAATGTTTCCTAGACAAACCACAAAATAAACTCTACAATCAACTCACAGAATTATTCTTTCCATTCTTGACAAATCATCTACCCATGTTTGAAGTTGTTACTCAATCGGGAACCATAGATATCCCCGATAACACCTGGCCGATATTTGACAAGAACAACAAACTTTTAAACAAGAAACCAATGAAAACTGATAATATTATTTCAACCATAGTACAAAACGTTCAAGGAAAGGGAATAGTTATATCCGGTGGTAATGCACATACCCGTGATATCATGAGGTTGATTCGAGTATTGCGAGCATTGAACAACCAATACCCTATACAAATTGTGCATCTGGATTTAAACGAAAAATCAAAGAGATATATCGAGGCAGTAGCAATATCCGAGATTGACTTCCTCCTTGATCCTAAGACTTCCGAGTACAAGTATTTGAAACATATTGATTTATTGAACGGACATCAGGAATACGGGTCAAAATACCCAAAACAGGATATAACTTTTGTCCATATTAAACCATGTATTAATCGAAACCACAAGAACTCATTTCCAGGTTATTCAAACAAATTGCTAGCCTTGTTGTTTACTACGTTTGAGGAAGTTATCATGCTTGACGCAGATACTGTACCTCTCGTGCCTACCGATACTTTCTTCAAATCTAAACAATATAAATCTTCAGGAGCTTACTTCTTCCAAGATCGGACATTACGTGATTATAACGAGTTTTTTGAAACTAATTTCATGTCCAGTTTATTTCCGGTTAATGAAGTATCCTTGGACTCTTTATTCAATATTACCAGGGTTACAAATAAAACCTTGAATAACAGGTACATGACAGGTTGGAGACATTATCAAGAAGCAGGGGTAGTTGCCATAAACAAGCGACAACACTACTTGGGGTTACTCATGACATTACCGTTATCACTTTGGAAAGAACCGGTTAAATCTATGATTTGGGGAGACAAGGAGATGTATTGGGCTGGTCTTTCCATGGCTGGAGATGAAAATTACGAGTTTAATCCCAATGCAGCTGCATCGGTGGGACAACTCACAACTGATCCCAAACGAAAGTTCTATCCCAGCTCGGATACACCTGAGTTATGTTCTTCCCATCCCGGTCACATCAATGAAGAAGGAAAACTACTCTGGATCAACTCTGGATTTGCATACTGTAAGAAAAACGGGTATTATCGGGATAAATTCAAATTCCCATACGTGACGTTTGAAGTTATCGAGCTTTCACAACTATACGAATCACCAATTCGAATTACGGATGCAATTGTTCCTCCTGATTTACCAAGATATAGACAACCTGGATCGCCCATTGACACCGCCTACGAAACTAGTTTCCGTCAATCGTGGAAATTGAGACCTAAGGACATAGACGAAATCAATAACGATAAACCCAAAGAAGAACACGTCAAGGTAATTGAAGAATGGGGACCGCAAAGGGGATGGGTCAAGAATGATATCTGTCTGGGGTATTACTATTGTGCTTATAGCGAAGTTGATAGTTATTTTGATGCTGGCGAGAAAGATATGGGGAAGGTGTACCAGTTTAATGATAATGATAAGAAAATGTTTGATTATTTAGGCAAGGTTTGGCATACTGGTGGTACGAGAAGGTATTTGCAAGTTTCCACACAGGGTTAGATAGGAAGTTAATAGACAATACATGTATTATATATATGCAAAGCATAACATAGTAATTGTTTTTTTTTTTGCAGACTATGGTTGCAAAAAAAAAGGTTATGAGAATTCCTGGGTAGGTCTTAAAGTGGTTTTGCATACCTTAGTCTTCATACACAAGAGAATTGCAAATGATACGCTGTGTAATTGCTATTTAACTTAAGTTTGCACTATTTAAATAGCTCAGAGACCACATATAATGATTGGACATTTCCTTATGCGAGGTGAGATAGTCTGTAGTCATTCCATGCCATCATGTTAGATGTTCCTACAGATTGTATGAGAGGTACGAGAGTGATTCCAAGGGATAATTTTCTTCCAAAACTCTTACAAAGATAGTCTTGGTAGTATAAATACCCAAATACAGCCGATCTAGGGATATATAATCAAATTCAGTCTATTCAAACATTTGTTTGACTTTTTGGGCACTGGAGTATAACGTAGCAAACAGTTTCAATATTAAATTCACTTCAAGAACACTATATGCAAATGAATTAGTGAAGTTGCTTGATTCCTTTGTTCCTGATCACTACTTTAATTCGAAGGAATGAGGAAAGTTTTACACTGCAAATTTTAAGTATTATAGAAAATTATGACAATATAATTACAGTGAAAGTAATACCTACACATTCATAAATGTCTAATAATGTCCATTAAATATAAACATCTATATCATATACCATACCATTAAATGATCCATATAAAAATAATAATAAATAATAAATTAAATCTTGAATCCGTTCTCCCTGCAGAACTCTTCAATGTATTCGACGTTATTAATATCGCCAGCCTCTTTCAAAGTAGCATACATCTCGCCCAACACTTCTTTCTTTTGCTTAATGTCAAACAATCTCACTTCCATAAAGTAGAAATTGAGAATGTCCGTAAACTTACCACCATTGATCAATCTACGCACCATTAAACCAAGCATGTCAACATTGTTTTTAATCAACTTAAGGATTTGGAAGAAATGTGATACTTCCAAAGTATCTAAGTCAATCAATTTCATGAACTTGAGAATTTTATTGTACTTGTTCATTACAGGATATTGTGCCGATATTTTAATCAAATTGTCAAACATGGATGTCACAAATTCCGATTCACGTCCACGAACTAAACTATGATTCGCATCATAAAGTTGCTTCATATAGGCTAAACTGTCTGATGACAAGATCGAAATGGCCAAATGGTTAATACTCTTGATAGAACTAGTTACATTTAGTCCACTTGAAGTACGAACGCAGTTCACTAACTTGGTGTATGCAATCAACTCTTCAATTTCGGGACTTGCGTGAGCATACTTTGCAAATTGAGAAAGAATTAAGTGAATCGATTCGGGTGTGTTCAACTTGAGATTGTATTTGATTAATAATTCGAGCAACTTGACATTGCCTGCTTTGATAAATTTCAATGAGCGTTGGAAGTCTGTTTGAAACCTGGTAATTTGAGATAAATCAGCTTCAAGCAAAAGCAACGAAACCTCAGGACCAGTCAACTTATACTTATCAACAATTTCAATAACTTCAGCCGACATATCCTTACTTAATAAATATTCCAAATAGGCAACAACCCATTTCTGGTCCTTAGTATTCCCATATAAACTTGCAAAATATCCTTCTTGGCCCAATACTTTCTTCAGTTTACCTTGGGTGATTTTTGCACATGATTTAAATAATTTAGTCAATAAATTAGTGTCATAAACATTGTGCTCTTTCAAATACAAAGCAACATGATAGTTAATCAAGGCGATATCAAAATCAACTATTTGCTCCATTAATTCAATGGCATCTTCTTTGTTACACATCCAAATTCTGCTAATGAATTGATCAATTTTGATTTGGGATTGGTTGAGCAACACTTCTTGCAAGAAATTAAAGTTGATGATTATTCTCCAAGTACTTGTCTGAAACTTATAGAGTGCGTTCCTTTGGTGAAATAATTCAAGGAATTTAGCAACACCTTTTTCATAATTAATATTCAACAACATGCTTAAATCTAAATCACATTGTAACACATCTTTTTCCGTTGGAGCTGTAACACCAGCAAGCTCAATTCCCAAATGATGACAAGCGTCAATGACGGTTGAAGTTGGGTTGGTCAATTGTGGCCCAATATTAGCAAAATTGGCCTTCAATTCACGTTTAAATTCATTTACTTCATCACTCAATTCCATGTAATAGTTGTGGGCATCTTCAAATTGATTAATCAACAATGCTTGGAATTCGGCGATTTTGGCAACTAACTCAGCATCTTGACCGGAATAGTTCATCAATTGACGAGAAATGACAACAAGACCATAAAGGTTGTCTGTTTGCATGTCCATCATATTAACACTCTTGATAACCAAGGGAGAGTTCATGAGTAATTTGACATTATAATCAACAACACCTTGAACTGCCAATTTGTTATGTTGCAATTCCGCAGGAACATTAATCATCAAATAAATGACAAATTGACAGAGGAAATCATTCAAATCGATGGAATTGACTTGATAGTGTAAAGCTTGTGATTCCATCAAGTTCCAAAGCAAGCCAAAGTAGTATTGGTTGAAATATTCACCTTGTTGCTTGTTGTAAATGACTCCATTGTACAAGTAATTTAACACCTTTTGCAAAATCTCCATATCTCCAATCAAGTGATTCTTCAACATTATTTCCTTGATTAATTGGAATGTACGTTCATGGTCACCACGAGCCAATGTGATGGAAAGTAATAAATCACGACATGACAACTTGGTTTGTTTCATCATTTCCACAGTAGTAGTATCTTGGAAATCCTTTCTGATGGCAACGTGGTCGTACAACCTCCATAAAGTAGCATACACATCATCGTTTACTAATGCATGTTGTCCATATTGGCAAATTATATAGTTGTAGAAGGAAACAGGTAACTCGGGAAGATAAGGAATGGAACTAAATCTCAAAAATAATTCGTACCCTCTGTTGACATCAGTATGAGCAATCACTGCTTGAAGGAATGAGGCAATCAAGTTTCCAATTTGGGCTTTGGTTGGTCTTACATCAAATTGTAAGGATTCCTTATAGTCGAGTAAAATATCATCCAAGAATTGACTAGCCTTGTTCATGTGATTGTTGTAGATTAAGCTAGTAACAACTGCTTCATAAACTTTGAATTCGTTTCCTTCTACATCTTCTAAATTCTTGTACTTGTCGTACGCTGACTCTATAATGGAATAAATCTCTTTACCAGGAAGTAAGTTGAACTTGGTGAAATATTTAGAAATCTCAATCACTGACAAGTAGTAGTTCTTGTCGGCAACTTCAACTGATTGAATTAAAGGAATGAACGGCTTGAGAACAGATTCGGTGATTAATTCAGGGTAGTTGCCAATAACTTGGAACAACTTAGGCAACAAAGCTCGCAAATCCAATTGGTTAGAAATTGAATGAAACAATTCAATTGTAATTTGAACAAATTCTTGAGACTTCTTTTGTATTTCTTGATACTGTAATGGATTTGAAGTTGGCAATGCCACGCATTTCAAGCTTGAATCTAATAATGAATCAACCACTAAATTGTATGTGCTCTTGTTTGGTTTCAACCCAGTTGAAAGGATGTCTTGATACACGGTTAATAAGTTGGTCAATTTGCTTTCAATAGCTTGTAATGTGGATTCACCATCGAGGCTTCTACGGACAATTGATTCAAGGACAATGTTGTACAATTCAACAGTGGGTAATGCTAATTCGTTTCGCTTTATTGCTTGGTAAAGAGGGTAGATGATATTCAAATCTTGCGGTTGTTTAAAGTTGTTGAATGCAGATGTGATGTTGTCGATTTGGGTTTGTAAAAAGTGTGCTTCAAATTGTGGTTCGACGGGTTTGGATTGAGTAGTGTGGATATTCTTGACGAATTCAACTATGCTGGGAACTTTTATGTGGTCATAATTCTTCCTAGGTGCTGTGGATGTGAATGTAGTGTGTGTGGAGTAGAAACGTTGTGACGTAGATGCAAAAGGGTTGTTACTGGAAAGCAATCCAGATACATAAGTGCTGGTTGAACTTGCTGGACTCATTGATGCTGCAGCGGGTGTGACGAATGCGGGAGCGACTTCTTTGCCGACTTTGAAGTTCAAAGATGCAATCATGGTGGATGAAAACTTCTTTATGTTTTCAAATTGAGAATCAATGAGACTGGACAGGAGGGCTGTGAATCCAAGAATGAGCAATTTGAAATGACCATGGCAATGATGGCCACGTCTAAAGTGGTGACGACCGTAACTGCCGCGCTGTTGCTGTTGTTGTTGCTGCTGCTGCTGTCTGTAAGTAATTCTGTCTACCTGAGCCATGTGCTTCATGATATAATATCTAATATAGCGTTGATATTCCCGTTGTTGTTTTCTGCGTTCAGCGTCGTGATGGTACATTGTGTAGTATAAACCATAGTGGCCGTTGGATATGGTTAAGAACCTTCTTTGTCTTGTAGAACAGTATTTCTTCCACCACCAGTTGCTGTGAAATCTTTGGTACTTGATAACATTGTTGTAGTAGTAACTGGACTTGAAATAGGGATACGATGATTGGAAGAACTGTAATTTGATTTCAGGTTTGGCGGAGTATTTAGCCATGCGTATTATAGAAAAGAAAACCATGATCAGATGCAAGTGGGTGTGTGATATAAATGGTTAAGTTACTTGCTGCTGTGTTTTTGTTGAGTTAACAGTACATATGAAAGTGGATGTGTATGTATGCAGGAATTAATAGTTAGAATTGGGAATGTAGTTTGTGGTATTTGAATAGTTCAGTTAATGCCCTTACTGGCAACACGATTGTGGTTGTAAAAAAAAAGAGAAGAGAGAGAGGAAGGGAAAACAAAGGAGCATAAAAAGTAGAGCAGGAAACGAACCAGAGAGAAAGCGAATAGAAAAAAAAAAAATAAAATAAAAATAAAAAAATTACAAAGGGGTCTGAAAACAAAGGCCATTTTTTTCTTTTCTTATTGAGGAGTAAGTTATTGACTAAAGATAGTAGAGAGGGGGGTAAGCAAATGTAAACGAATTCTACATGCGATTTGCCACCGGCTGTACTAGCACTTATTTACTATAACTTGTTGTTTGTTACTATAGTTTTCTACTAACCATCTATAAAACTGCTTTTCGCACTGAGTCATTAAGGAATAACTTTGTACCATTTTACTGACATAAATTGGCCAATGAACGGGCGAGGAAATGTGGTGCGGTTCACTGCGGGCGCCGAGCCCAGGGGAAGAAATCGGAACTCCTAAAAAAAGAAAGAAAATACGGATCAGATTTTTAAACCTAATTTTTTTTTTTGTTTTTCTCTCGCGATTAAATCCGATTTTTGTTTATCTTTGGTTCGGAGTTCCGATCGTACGATTCGGGTCAACCTCTGACGAGCGGGTTCCATTGGTTTATATTTATGTAGTCTAAAGTTGACATTTCTCAAATGTATCTACAATTGTGTAAAACTAACGGAAAGGGCAATAATCTGAGTAAGAACGTCTGTCAAGATACAGTGAATGCATGCACATTCTGGTAGGATAAAGTATCTAGACGAACCATATGAATGTAAAACAAATATCGTTCCTTGACTCATTTATGTGGGTTATTGGTTCGCCTGCAGTCTAAATTCACTTGCATTAGACGAGTTTATCTGGCTCCGCGGTTATTCACATCTGCGGTTTGGTGACTCGATCGAACTTGCTTGGCTGCAAAATTGGTTTTTTTCTTATTTCTTCCGTTCTCAAAAGCTTATCCGATGGTTGTAACAACGCTTGTGCAACCTTGGCAAGGGCTTCAGCAAAGATCAATCGTGGAACCATCGTGGAACCGTCGTGGAACCGTTGTGGAACCATCGCTCAGCATGTTTGCAAAACGTTCAAACCCGAGACATTTACAACTGCGGTACTTTTAAATCTTAGGTTAACTGTCACTACATGTGCAAATGCAAGAATCTTTTGAATGTGCATAAATGTACTGTTCTATAATATCTACAAACGTTAATGCTCAATCAATGATAATTCCAACGCTCTTCGTAGCTCTTCATCGATTTCTTCATCATTTAGCATCGCGTGTTGACTGCTACTCATTTCAACCGGCCCATTGATTATCTGATCTACGATTTTCTTGTTCTCCTCTTCTTGCTTCGACAATTCGATTGCTAATAGCAAATCTTCATCAAGTGCCTGCTCAACTTCTTGCTCTCGCCTTTGCTCTTCATAATCTTCTCCTACTCCTCCTTCTTCTTCTTCTAGCTGGCTGACATCACCAGTACTGTTGTGATAACTTTCACTTATAGCCAACGCAATCGACAATTCTTCATCTTCATCATCATAGAGTGTTCCGTTATACTTGTCCAACAAAGCTTGTTTCATCCTCTGCTGGTATTGCTGAGTGTGATATTCGTCCATTCCTTCCTGGATTTTCTTTTTCGATTCGTGTTTACTATGAATACCCAAATTTACCAGTTTTTGCTTTTTCGGCTTATTTACAGTATCCGGTTGCAAATCTCCAAATTGAAAGTATTGTACAGTATCACCACAAACAATCACCCCATTACAATCCAACTGATTGGGGTTTAACTTGATGTATACATCACCAATAAGACGATCGTGCATGTGTTCAAACTTCTTTGGAAACTTGAGCGATATCTCACGAAGATACTTCCCGGTGTACACGTCATATATATTACAAAGACCATTGTAACCACACACCGCAAGCACAGTACTTGTAACAGCTACATCAACCACAAATGGTAGATCGCGTTGTACTATGGCATCGTGTATCATTGGTGAATATTTCATATAATTTAATGATGGCTGTATGTGTACGATTGGTTCGATTTCTCGACTGTCATCACGTATGTTCCATATAATCACACTCTCATCAGCAAGAAGATTGACATAAAGTAACCCATCTCCGCCGATTATGCTTCTATTTCGGCTCGCTAGTAGTTTAGATTCAGAACATGTTTGTAGGTACGATTTAACAATCGGCACATTTACATGTAATTGTCGCTCTATTCCTGTTTCAAAATTGAACACTTTGATGTTTGTGTCGTAGCATAGTATAATGTTCTTGTCGGAATAATCAATGTCTAATTTGTTTTTGTAGTGAATTAGATGGTCGTAATAACTTGCAGTGTTTGGGTCTTGAGTGTTTACAATGGTAAACCCCATATCATATTCTTTCAATATTTCCAACTTCTGGTAGTCTATAATAACAACTCTTTTGTCAGTGTTTAATATTATGTATTTCTGGAAATCGGACAAAACATTGTAAACAACCTCTTGTTCAAATTGAAACTGTCTCACGAGTTTTCCTTGAAAATTCCAGCACTTTAAATCGCCCTTGTACCCACCACTGATTGCATCAACTTTACTCTTGAACTTATCAGGATAGTCATTCATGCAAACACACATTATGGGAGAATCGCTGGGTTCTCCAAACACTTGATAGCTTGAACGGCTGGTGACCGAAGTCAGAGTTACCAAATTTTTCAAATGAACTTCTCCGTTTAGTTTCCCCGTCAATAAATAATTTCCATTCATGCACAGAGAAGTAATATTTAGGTTTGATCCACCCGGTATAAAGCTTTGATTCTTGCCGCTGTGCAAGTTCCCCAGGGTAATGTTGCCATGGCGCTTCAGGAAAATCATAATTCTATCCTGTTTGAAATCGCATCTTGTCAAGTCATTAAACCTGTACTCGTTATTGATCAACTGGTAGAACGAGTGGGTGGCGTGGCCCTTTTTCCAGTTCTTTGCCACATTCAAACGCATAAAGTATTCAGTCATGCAATTCAGCGACAACGACGGGAAAATCTTGGGTGTGTGAAACTTGTTGGTGAATGCATTAGTCCATGTTTCGCGATCGTTTATGACAAAGTTCCATTTCTTGCACACTAGTCTCATTATGTTGAGATACACGGGATCAAGTTCGGAAAAGATAGCAATGAGTAATTCAATGGGGAGATCATTGATATTTAGCTTATTTTCCACCACACTCGACTTCTCCACTGGGGGTACTTTGGTGATTGTGTTCCCCAATACATCCCTTTCTTCTGTATGATCTTCCATTTGCTTGCAACCACAAAGGAAGGAGTTGTGATGATATTGGTCATTTGCCTTTGCTAATTTTTTTGCTAAGTGTTGCGTGGGGGAGCGCGTACACCACGTTTTTTACACATGTTGGAAGTGTGTGCGATGACCTTCCCAGTTAGGAAGTCGACGTTTGCTTTCCCTTAAGAAAGCTCCAAGCCACAGCAGAGTCAAAGAGAGTTAATCGTAGAGGAGCCAGCTTGGTAAGAGGGGAAGAGTGTTTCTAGCGAGCAACAGACAATGCTGTATGTGTGACATAATGCTGGTAAGCACGGTCTACTGGCGCAGCTGTACGTCGGACGAAGGAGCAAATCTACAGAAAGCTGATATGCACCATGGCAACGGATGGCCGTCTTTTTATGAGCGTCATCGACACTGGTGTGTTTGGTATCGTTGTGCTTGGTATTGTTGTGCTTGGTATGGTTGTGCTTCCATTTGAGCCCAGTCCAGTCTTTCGCAGCATCTTCTCTCGTCAGACAGACAATTCCGACAGCATGAAAAAAAAAAAAATGTCGTCCGCAAAAAAATTTTTCAACCCCAAATTTTTTACATCCATCCGACTTCCTTCTTTCATACTCCCCCAAACTAATATCCCTACCTCTTCAACAATGTCTTCTGGGGAACCACAAGCAGAAGTTGAAGAACAACAAGTTGCCGTTAAGGAACTTGCCTTAAAGGTTCAATTACCCCATTTCTTAACTACTGAAACCTTAACTTTACCTTCGGCTTATGAAGAAAGTTTAGCTGACTTGAAACAATCATTGAGCATTATTCCTTTGTCTCGTAACTTGACCAGTTACACTATTGTTATTAATGGTGTCGACGTAACCGCTCACTTTGACGATTTGTCTACTTTTGCTCAAATCATCGAAGAATTAGGTTTGGCCGATGTCGAAGAATTGAACGTTGAAATCAAGGAAAAGGCTTACAACTTGGCTGCTGTCTATGACCAAATCAGTAGATTCAGAGAAGTTATCGGATTGCACTACATTGACCGTATCTCCCACGATTTCGGTGTTGCTGCTGGTGTTTCTAAGTTTAACAACATTGAACTTGATGATGTCAAGCCAAAGGAAGACAAAGCCGAACAAAAGCCCGAACAAGAAGAAGAAGCTGCCAACGAAGTTCAACTTCCTGCCGAAGAATTGACCAAGATCGCCGAATTCGCCGAAACTGTTTCCATGAAGTCTTTCTCGGGTAAGTTCGTCGATGCCACCGACTTTGACAAGGTTAACGACGCCTTGAAAGTTCCAATCAAGTCGTTGAGTGTTTCTCAATGGTCCCCTGTCCCACCTTTCCAAAAGAACAAGGGCGACTTGCTCTACTTGTCCTTGCAAACTTTGGAACACGAGACTTTCAACATTACTTGTCACTTCTCCGGTTTCTTTGTCAACAAATCTTCCACCGTTAACTTCAATCCTGAAATCAAGGTCAATGAAAAGGGTAAATTCTTCAAGTCATTCTTGTTGTACGACTTAGTTTCCTCCTTATCTCCAAGTTTCGCCAAGACTATTGAGGAAAATGAAATTAACTTATCGTCAGCTACCCAACATCCAGAAACTTACTTGTTGCCAAACAACTCATACTTGGCCTACCCATGGTTGGTCAACACCACCACCGCCAACAAGAACTTCCCCGATGTTTCCCGTTCCCAACTCCCTCTCATCTCCAACGGGGTTGACGGGTCCGACTATGTCAAGGACTGGAACAGTGACATTCAAGCCATTAAGGAATTGCCAACCACTTCCATCCAAGAACGTATCTTGCGTGAAAAGTTGATCCACAAGTCCATCTTTGACTTCAACAAGACTGCTACTGAAACCGCCATTAACATCATCAAGGGTAACTTGACCCCAATGAACCCTACTGAGGAAGAAGACAAGCACATTTACTTGAAGAATGGTATTTTCTACTCCACTGGTGCCACTACTGTTGACACTTTCCAAGCTACCGGTGGTGAAGAAGCTTCTCGTTATATTGCCGCCAAGGATTTGGCAGGTGTTAAAGTCATGAACAGTCGTGACGTTAGAGGTATTTACAATTTAGTCACTTGTATCGTTGATTACATGGGTAAGAGAATTGTCTGTCAAGCGCCTGTCCCAGGTGTCTTGGATCCTGCCCCTGAAGATGAGGAAGAAAGTGGTGAAAAGGTTGTCTACGGGTTATCCACTGATGCCAATAAGATTCTTGAAGATGCATCCTTCACTGAACCTCTTAAGCAAGTTGCTGATGTGTTCCATTTGAAACCTCACACTGTTGAACTTTCTCCTGAAGTCAAGTCCAAGGGTGAATTGGTTGTTTCTAAGGACTCCAAGGGTTTGAAAGGTACCGATGGTCGTAAGTATGTTATTGACTTGTACAGAACTACTCCTCGTGATATTGAATTCACCGAACAACATTTCGACCCATCCAGCCCTCAATCTTATCCCCATGGAGAAGCTTTAGTTCGTCATGAAGCCGTTACAGAATGGTGGAAACGCAAGATTGCTCCATTGATCAAGGCCGCCGCCGAAAAAGCTGAGGCTGAAGGTGACAAGACTGAGCCTGTTTTGCCAACTGAACAAGTTGTGTTCAACCCAGATGCATTCTCCACTGATACTGAATCTGATGAAGATAGAGCAACTGTGAGGGAGATTTCTAAGTTCATTAAGGAACACTTGGTTGAAGAATTCTTGAATGACGTCAGTTCGCAATTGGTTCCATTTGATGGTAAGCAATTGACAGAAATGTTGCATAGAGCCGGTATCAGTATGAGATACTTGGGTTTCATTGCTGAAAGAATTATCGCCAAGAAGGAAGAGTTTGTTGCTAAGGAAGCTGAAACCATCAAGGCTAATGAAGAAGCAGTGAAGGCCAAGAAGGAAGAAGAAGCCAAGAAGAAGGAAGAAGAGGCTAAGAAGGCTGAAGAAGAGGCTAAAGAGGAAGCTAAGGAAGAAAAGAAGGAAGCTGAAGAAGAAAAGGAAGATGAAGAGGAACCATCCAAGGCCACTTATGAACCTATTGTTGCTAATTTGAATGTTCTTTACACCATCATTGTTCGTGAAATCGTGGCCCGTTCATCTAAGCATATCTTGAGACAATTGACTACCGGATTGCCAACTTACTTGGTTCCATTTGCTGTTGCTCACTTCCACAACTGTTTGTTGGGTAGTGCCATCACTTCTACTCCTTCTGTGGAAATTGATCCAGTTTACCGTGATTTTTACCCTGAATCTGCATTTGAATTCACCAAATTGACCACTGATGCTGTGTTACAATTGATTCAAACTGAAGCGTTGGTTAGATTTAGATACACTTTACCTTCTGACTGGAACAGTACCATTCGTGCTCCTCAATTATTGAGAGAAATTGCTCACAAGTTTGGTATTCAATGGAAGTCTCAGCAATATGCCTTCACTAAGGAAGATTTTGATGCGCAAGCTCAAGATTTCAAGGTTTCAACCATCGAAACCAAGTCCAAGAAGAAGGCCAAGAAGTCATCTCCAACCATTGTCGAAAAGACCGTGGCTCGTTCTTCAACTTTTATCGCTGATGATATCGTTAACTTTGTTCCATTAGTCAAGGATTCTTCCAGCAAGTCTAGTCTTATTGAAGAAATCTTCCTTAGTGCCCGTGCCCATATTGCCGCTGGTGGTAAGGACAGAGAAACTGGTATTGCTTTAATCAATGAACTTGTTGGCATTCAAGAAAACATTTATGGTAAAGTCAATGCTGAAACTGCCAGATTCTACACTTTGGTTGCGCAAATGTATCAACAATTAGGGTACGAAGTTGAAGCTGCCATTCTCGGTCGTAAAGCCATTGTTTTGTGTGAACGTACCACTGGGTTTGACTCGGCTGATACCATCACCGCTTACATGAATGCTGCCTACTATGAAGCTGGTAATGATCAAACTTTGAACTCATTGAAGATATACAAGCACGCCATGCAAACCTGGGCCAGTGTATACGGAAAGGATCACCCAACTTTGATCAACACTTTGACCAACTCCAGTGAAGCCATGATGAGAATCAAGGCATACCCCGCCGCCACCCAATTCCTTGAAGAAGCTCTTGAATTATCGGTTGCTGTTAATGGTAATGTTTCTGAAATTACTGGTATCATCTATTTCCGTCTTGCCAACTTGTTGGTTTCCATTAACAAGTTTAAGGAATCTCGTGATTTGTACGTTATTGCCCATGATATCTTCCAAAAGTTGTTGGGTCCGGATGATTCCTTGACCAAGCAAGCTTCTAGATACACCGGCAGTGTCAACATGTACATTGAGTACATGAATGCAAAGAGTCAAGAAGCTAAGAAGCAAGCTGCTGCTGTTGCCGCCGCCACTGCCAAGTCTGCTTCTAAAGTCAAGGTCCCAGGTGTTTCTGCCACTACTGCTGCCTCAAAGAAGAAAGCTGGTAAGAAACATCAAGTTCCTCAACCAGATCCAGAAATTGCCAGCAAGTCCATTGATGATATTTTGAAGTTTATTGAAGGTGGTAACCAGCCAAAGAAGGGAAAGAAGGGTTCCAAGAAAAAGTAAATTTGTTTATAATATATGTACATAGCAAAGTAAACTATTTATAAGTCTATTAATGGGTGTGGTCATGATGGTCGTGACTGTGTGTATGGTCGTGAGTGTGTTCATGCTCATGGGTGTGCTCATCTTCTAGTTGATCAACTTCTTTGAACTGGATGAATATGTTTCTGACAAACTTGTCATCTTCTTTAATCAACGCCAGTAATTGTTCCTCATACTTGTTCAACATTTTCAAATCAATACCCTTGACATCGGTGTGAAGCACCATCCGGATATTTGTATTGGCACCACTGGACAACACCGACAATTGTGCCAACTTAAACTTGTTCAACTCTTCATTACTTAATAGTTCCTGGCGCACAATCTCATCAATTTTGTCATACAATTCACTTCCTGGCTTTTCACCACGGTCAATTAACTCAAACCATGCTTCCTTGATGGTATCCCAGCCGGCCTTGATAATCAAGATGGAAACCCCAATCCCACCAACAGAATCTAACCAAGCGACATTGAATAACACTCCTCCGGTGACGGTAAGCAACGCTACTACTGCAGTCAAGGAGTCGATTCTGTGATGCCAGGCATTGGCCACCAACACTTTGGAGTTGGTTTGGTTGGCGACTTTAAGAGTCTCGCGAAAGAGAATTTCCTTGACGATGATAGATGCACCGGCAAGCCAAGCAGCATTGATGTTGGGGACAACTTTATGAGGTCTGAGTTCTGGTTCGGCTAGTCCCGACAAGTGTGAATGGGAGTGCCCATGGTCGCTCGAAGTTAACATGTCGGTGTGTGAATGGGAATGGCCAATGTGGACTTGACTAACGATGTCGTACCAGTATGAAGGCAACACAAACTCGAAAATCAGGATTAATGAAGACCATCCGATGGAAATACCAGCAAAAAGCAAAATGGCACTAACGAGAAACGACCCAATAGATTCGATCTTCCCGTAGCCCAAGGGGAACTTGGTAGGTGTTCCTACTTTAGCCGCGACATTGACCGTGGCAAGCGTGAGGAAGTCGGCAATCATGTCGCCAACGGAATGGATTGCATCGGCTATTAATGCTTGCGAGTGGAAGTATACCCCACCAATTCCCTTGGAAATTGCGAGGCCGACATTGACGAAAAGCCCGATCCAGGTGATCCGGGACGCCGGGGAAGTTTTGTCCAACAAATGTTGGTTGGGCTCATGCAATGAATGATGGTGGTGGTGGAATATAGCGGCACCACTGTGGGAGTGGGTATGCTTGCTCTCCTTGTGTATATGATGGGCATCTGGTTTCTCTTTGGTTGTTGTCGTGTCCATATTGTTTGTCGAGTTCTTTTGATGTGAGATGGAGAATGTCGAAAACAATTGACGCAGAATAGTTGAGAATTGGAATTGAACTGGTTTCAAGTATACGTTTATTCGTACTCGCAGAATGCTACTATGTGTATGCTGAGGTAGCAACCTAAATGTCGTCGAAATCATCATGCGGGAAATAGACCCGGATTTTTCTGTTTGTCTTTTTTTTCTCTGTAATTGGCTTCTCCGAACAACGGCCGAAGGCTTTTTTTGGTGTGGTATTGAATGAAAAGGGGTGGAACGATGGTGTGTCACAGAAGTATACGTTGCCAGGTCTATGAAAGATAATCAAGTAGCCTTGCTTTTATCTTTGAGGTTCATCAGATTGGCGAATGGAAACTGAACTAAGCGGGAAGAAGAAGAGAGTTACAAAATTTCTTCAACTACACAATGTGAAAATTGGTTATGTTTTTTTTTTTTTTCGTTCCGGGGGAAGTACACTACTTACAACAAACTGCATACTCTATTAGTCAAACAATTGCAGAACAACAGAAGTAGTGGTCAGTTCTAGTGGCTCCTTCTCTTGATACTCAGCAACAGCGTGTTGAGCTATTGGATTACTAAGCAATGAAGCCACCTCGTTCTTGTGTTCTTCCTTCTCGGGCTTAATCTTGGGAATCAACTCCTGCATTCGTTTCAACAACCTTGTCTTTTCCTGAGCTTTAAACAAATCATCAGCCAACTTTTTCGTGGGTTTCCGTACATGCATATAGTTACAATGTTCTCCTCTCGAACAAACATCCGTTTCATATGCTCTGCAGTTGGCTTCGGAAAAACTGTCCACGGGTGACAATTCACAATGTACAGGCCTTCCATTGAACCACTCACTGTTCAACTGTTTCATACTCTCACTCGCATCTGTTTCTGACTTGTATCGCACGTAGACATTCCCATTAAGATGATTATTCTCGTTTTCGCAAACCACCAACTGGGAAATCTCACCGGTAGTAGCGAAATGAACAAATATATCTCGATAAAACTGGTCGAATATCTCTTGGATCTGTTTAGGTGTGAGCTCATCTTCAGCGTCGTCGGTGGTGGCGGTTTTAAGTTTGGGGTTTTGATAGAGGTTGGAAAGGAGGAGGGTTCGCGATGTGGTTGGTTTTATGTGCTTCTTGGAACATTTCTCTCCATGCCTACATGCTCCTATCTTGTTATAGAATGCACATGTCACTAGGTTATCTCGTGATTGGTAGTTGTTGTTGTTGTATTGTCTATTCATTGAGTGATGTTGGTGTAGTTGATAATTGTTTTTTTTTATTTATTGTGATATTTTTTTTTTTGCTGTGTCTGCAGATGAGCAGCAGTTGCAAATTTGCGACAGGTCTTGCCAGTATATTACACCTAGTAATTATTCCTAGATTATTACGATAAATTACTTACAAGTATTCCAATATTAATATACATTAAACTCATTACTACAACCTATAAATAAAAAACCCTAACTCTTTTCGTTAGATGTGACATGTTCAACTTTACCATCGATCCCCTCTAATTCATCTTGGTCGGAATACTCAATGTATTCGTCCAAGTTACTCTTTGGACCAACGTACCACTTGTGAGCATCAACCACAAACCAAATAGTAGCCAATAAAAGTGGACCAAAGAATACTAATGCGGTCCAGTTCATTTCTTCTGGGTTCAAGTCGGCACCTCTCACATATGGGAAACACAAGATTGGAATCATGACAGCCACAAATGCAACGGAGACGAACCCAATTGGAGAACTCCATTTACCAAGACTCCATGGGCCCGGAACAAACTTGTCTCTGGCATAGGTGATTTTAAGCAATGTAGGCATGGTGAAGGAAACGAAACCAGCAATACCACCGACGGAGAAAATGGCACCAATGGCAACATCACCGGCAAACATCAACAACAAAAACAATTGTCCAAGAAACAAGTTGATCCAGACGGCATTGACGGGTGTTTGAGTGAGTGGGAGAACTTGTTTCCACCATCTAGATCCAGGGAACATTCCATCTCTAGAATAAGCGAATGTGACTCTGGATGCAGCAAGCATACAGGAACAACCCATAAAGAAGGATGAGATAATGGTGAGTGCGGTAGCAGCAATCACCAATTTCCCATTCATAATTTGGGCCAAGTATGTAACAAACGGTTGTCCCAAACCTTGTGGATCTTGGGCAATTAAATCAATGTCAACGACAGTATATGCGATAGCAATCATAAATAAGAAACCAATGAGACCACCAACAGTTGAAGTCAAAACAATAGCCTTTGGAGCAGCCACGGCAGCATTGGAACATTCTTCTGATAAATGGAATGGAGAGTCGTAACCAGACATGGCCCAAATAACCCCCAAGAAAGACATAAGCATAGCAATACCGGTAGGCCATTCAGTTTGGTTGTACAATGACCAGGAAATGGCATTAACGTTGAATTTAGTCAATCCCTCTATGTCAGGGTTGAGTTCTTGACGGTTGTTACCGGCGAGAATCATAACAAACACAATGAAAAGGAAAAGAATGTTACAGGTGGTACCAGCAGAATTAAACTTTGCTAACCAGCCAGTGGGCAAGGAACTGATGATACCGTGAACAATTTGGATTCCAAGAGTCAAAGCGTAGATTTCTCCGTTGGTAGGAGTGTATGAAGGATCATTGTATGATCTAAGGGCAAGCATCATGCAGGCACCGGAATAGTTGACCGAGGGAGATGCGGTGATTTGACACATCCAGTTGGACCAACATGTGATCCAGGTCAAGAATGATTGGTATTTAGGTGGGGCTAATCGAGATACGGCGTATGGAGTACCGGATGCAACTGGGAATGCCGAAGCGACTTCTGCCAAACTGAGAGCAACTGATGTGACAAAGATAACAGCAATAATCCAGGGAATAGGAGACATACCAATGACCAATTGTTGGTAGTCAAAACAAGCGGCGATGGAAGGAAGTAAACCCAAGACCGAGAAACTGACAGCAAATACTGACCAAAGAGAAAACTCTCTTTTGAATTCTTGCTTATAACCCATAGCAAGGATAAGGGCTTCGTCCTTGTCTACTTCATGATCGATATTAAGGGTGACATGTTTGTTTGAAAGTATCGACGAGATTCCGAGATCATCGACGTGAACTTGTGATATAACTGGACTGATAGGGTTCAGGTGGATTTTGTCTGTGTTTGATGCAGAAGGTTTCATAGTATTGGCATTTGCTAAAGGTTAACTACTAAGGTACGACACGATCTACAAAGAAGAAATTAATGATTATTTATATCCATCTGGTGGGGGGTGGACCTAATTACGCTAATCAAGTTTTCCATTTCAATTGTTATCTTTTCACCTTAGCCTACTTAATTGGCGGCTAATCTAATAAATTATCACAAAAATTCCATTGTATTTTTTTCTTTTTTTTTGCGAAGCCCAGGTGGATTTTTAATGTCCCCTCTTAATACTGGAGGGTCCCCCCGCTTGAGTGACAATAAAAAATGCCCTATAACAATACAAGACCCCACTCAAACTATACCTTGTAACTGATTCCGGGCTTACCCTGTATTCTATTGCTGTTGCGGATGTGTGAACAACTCTCGATCGGTTGGATCTGCTTGATTTACTGCAAAAACTTAATCCAATATCTGTGGTTATCACATCAATCTTGCGTAATTAATTAATGCGATAACCAAATGCAGTAACTTCGGACACTCATTTACCGCGCCAATCGCCAATTTATTAGATTCCGACAATCCCCCACTCAATTAAAATGGATCTTATTTTTTTGTGCTCTTTGTGTCATTGCACATTTTTTACACATCGGAGAAAGCGCAACGATTTCTTCCTGATCTGGAAATGCGTAATGAGACCTACTTTAAGAAATGCGAGAAAAATGTCCATACAAAGTTCATGTCTTATCAACTTAGCTCCAGATTTCATTGCCAGTTCGAGTAAACTGTGATGCGTAGTTTTTTTTCTGAAACGCAAGAGAAGGATATTGTGGAGTAGGCCGTTTATCGGGTTTATCAATTTTTAGTAATATTTGTTTCGTCTTTGATTTCAGATGGACGTTGTTGATTTTGATATAAAGCTAGAGATGCGCAGCACTGCCAATGTAACATTCTTTTATGCAGATTTTATTTATCTAGTACCCGGTAACGGTGCAGAGAATATATGAGTTATCAATTCTACGCACGGCGGTCTTATCTTTAATATTGAATTTCCGATTATTAACTCAAAAAAAAAAAATTACTGTGTAAGCAAAGCCTCGTTAAAGATTACAAAGAATTTTTTGTTATTACTGGGTATTGTCTAACCCGGAGTGTCTGATACGCGGTAAAGCACAGATATTATTGTGCCTGAAGATCTAGCGCTTGATGGAAGATTAAACTTATCAAAGATAACCTTCTTTGGGTAGATTCCTATTGATGCATAAACAGGCGAGAGGCGCACCCATTGTCAGATCGGATGTTCTAGCTGCAGAAGTGCGCATGGCGTTTACCACGTTAAACCGTTTTTCTTACTTCCAGTTATTGGCAGATCTGATATTACTTTATCAACTAGAATCTTGGAGGTTTAGCAATGATCTTGACTGGATAATGACGAGATGGTAAACTGATATTCTGTTTTTTTCATATAAAGAGCTTAATGTGAATTTCACATGGACATAACGTAGTTTGACTGATTTTTTTTTTTTAGTTTTATACGATTCTATTTCCAGAAATCCCGCTTATATTCTTTCTTATTGTTATCTGCATGAAATATTATATAATATTCTATGTAAGTAATCGGTGGAAAGACTGTTGTAAGGTAAACCCAAGAAAGTTTTCGCAGCAATTTTGACGAAATTATATCAAAATATATAATAAATACCAGCGTAAATCCCGTTTTCACTGTAATAATTGAGGAAACTCGTGAATCAATAATTTGCCCCATTCTAATCACATTAGTCCTTTGCCACACCGAATAGTCTAGTAGATATTATATCTTGCCTGCATAAACCACCTTTGCAATTACCCCGTGCGGCGGTTGTTTACTGCGCACCAAACAAACCACTCTACTTTTTTTTTTTTTCATCTCCACGAAATCTCCGAGGTGGTTTCGTACATCATCACAACACACCGACCATGCTCAAGTCCATAACATTTAGATGGATAGTGCAAATCATACTAACTGTGCTCAACATAGTTGGTCTCTTGTTGTTCTTCCGCGGGTTTTTCCCAAGTAAAGTTGTCCTTCCGGGCCACAATGAGTTCTCTAGCGTTTCTCCGTTCTTGAATCGGGGCAAACCTCAATTCTCCAAGTTTGTACTTATGGTGGTGGACGCCATGCGGTCTGATTTCTGCTATAGTGACACGCATTCCAATTTCCATTTCTTGCACGAGTTGATTAATCAAGGGCATGCGATTCCATTCACGGCGTTTTCCAATCCTCCTACGGTGACATTGCCCCGGCTCAAGGGGATAACTACCGGTGGCACGCCCAATTTCTTGGATGCAATTGTCAATATCAACGATGATAAGCTGGACACATCGCAGGGATTGAACAGCCAGGATTCATGGGTGTATCAGTTTTTGCATGCCGGTAAAAAGATCAACTTCTTTGGCGATGATACGTGGTTGAGGTTATTCCCAGACCAGTTTAGTGAAGTTGATGGCACGAATTCGTTTTTTGTCAGTGATTTCACCGAAGTTGATCATAATGTGACGAGGCATTTGGATAATCAGTTAAGTGGGAATAATTGGGACGGGTTGATTTTGCATTATTTGGGGTTGGACCATATTGGTCATAAAGGTGGCCCTGAGTCAGTATACATGAAATCCAAACAAGAAGAGATGGACCAGGTATTGAAGAGATTGTACACTTATGCTGAAAAGCTGAGAGAGGATATCGTTATTGTACTTATGGGAGACCATGGTATGAATGAGATTGGGAACCACGGAGGTTCGTCCATTGGAGAAACTTCGGCTGCATTAACTTTCATCTCACCTAAATTCAAGCAACCAGGATTGGTTGCCCCCGTGAGCAACGTCAGTGATTTTGCATACTATAACAAGATCAGTCAGATTGACTTGGTTCCTACATTATCTACACTTTTAAATATCCCCATTCCAAAGAACTCGCTTGGGATTATCGCCAGACCTGTGCTTGAACTTTGGCCGGAAAAGGCAAGATTGCCTATCTTGTTGGAGAACTGTAAACAAGTTATGGATTTGTATATTGCAAAATATGATGATCGTACCGAAGTAGTTGAAAAATGGGAGAGCTTAAAAGCAGAATCATCCATTGACAAAGTGTACGAGTTTCTTTCTGACATTCAAGGAGATATGGCTGCTTCTGCTACAAACTATGACTACTCCGATTTGTTCAGCGGAATAGGAATAGTGTTTGGGGTTACGATTGTCACGATAATCATCTTCAACTTTTACTTTTTACGATCTGGAAACAACGATGCAAGGCTAGTCTTCTTTTACCAAATGCTTGTTGTAATTTATGCAATTCATTTCCATGGATCGTCATTAATCGAAGAAGAACACCAACTTTGGTATTTCTTTACTTCAGTAAGTTTAGTCTACCTTGGTTTTGTCTACTTTAAATCGTCGAACTTGGCCTATTTGACATTGATATTTGCAGGAATACGTATAATCAGATCATGGAACAACAGTGGACAAAAGTACTCATCCAAGTACAATATTGGATACTATCTATTAAACTCCAACAGTGCATTACTTTGGACATTAATCACATTGACTTATTTCATCGTGACATTGTCTACCTATGCTCAAGGAGCTTTCGTCAATACATTCACATTCTCCAATACCAACACATTATCAGGCGCTCAGGATTTCGGAAACATGCTTACTTTCATCACATTGTTTGTGGTTGCATCCATGTCGTACCTGTTCAAACTCATGCAATTTTACCTTGATGGAAACGTTTTACCACCGGTGGCTAGGTCGATATTCCTGTGGGCTGTTGATTCATATGGGGTCAAATTGGCCCAGCTTAATGATCATGATGCCAAGATTCAATTGGCAGAAGTATGTGTGAGTTTGTCGCGGATGACAGTAAGTGCAATCTCGTTTGTGCTTTTCATTCGGATAATCGTGGGCAGACTTCGTGGGATCAAATGGGGAACAGCCACAGACGTGACCAATTTGATTACGATGTACCTTATGCATCAATCCAGAGTCGAGAACATTCCCATATTTGCTGTGTTGCTTGTGATTAAGTTTGCGTGGGCCAGGTTCACAGTTGATTTGCTAAAGCGGAAACAGACGTTGAATATCGACCATGACATACTTACTATAACTATTATTACCTTGTGTTTGCAGAATTTGACCTTCTTTAGTATGGGAAACACCAACCTGTTGGCCACCGTCGACTTGTCCAATGCCTACAACGGTATCAAAGCATACGACATCATCCCTGTGGGTGTGCTCACTTTTATCTCCAACTTCCTGGGTCCGGTGTTCTGGTCATTGTCATCGTTGCAAATGTTGTTTGAGCCAAGTAAAGCGGCTTGGGATATCTTTTCCAAGAAACCCATCACCAAGGACTCCATTACGGATTTGATTTTCTTTCCGAAATTGAAAAAGATGATTTTATGGGTCAAGACATTGACGAGCTTGTTGTTTTACAGCGTGGCTGGTGTTAACTTGTTGGGGTCCTGCTTGAATTTGCGATTCCATTTGTTCATCTGGAGTGTGTTCTCTCCCAAGTTGTTATACTTTGGCGTATGGGTGGTGTTGATTAACTTTTTGGTTGATTTAGTGGTTGCTGGGTTGGTTTTACTCGTTATGTGAACTGTACCATTAATGTATATAAATATCTATAAATGACGAAAGTAATCTACTGTAATAATTGATCCCTGTAATGAGGTTGGTTATTGATGAACTTAGCGGCACGTCTATCATTAACGTCCTCTCTCTTCTTTTCTCTAGCCCAGGTTCTCTTCTTGGTGGCGAGTTCCTGTCTGTCCTTCAAGGTCAACATGTGTCTTGTTTCAGCAGCAATGACGGTACCTTGACCCTCGGAGAGGATACGTTCTGGGGCCAAGTTTTGTCTGTAGTATCTCATCATGGAACGATGGCCAATGACGGCACCGGAGGGTAAGATCAACTCGTGGCCGTGTTGAAAAAGGGCATCTTGTTCGGCTGGTGGGAGGGAATCCTCATCGTCGGTGTCATCACCTTCATCGCTTACATCTTCCCAGTCTTCGTCGTTACCTTCTGCCACAGCATCGGCAGCGGCGGCGGCGGCATCTACGTCATCATAAGTAGAAGAAAAGTCGTAAAACTTGGATATTTCAAGCTTTTCATCTTCGGTTTCGTAGGGAATTCTCATGTGTCTCTTTTGGGCCATATGTTCTCTGGCGGCTTCAGCGGTCTTACCTTGGTAATTACAAGCAATACAGAACCCAAACCCAATCTTCTCACCGAGGTACTCAAGTAAACCCTCTGGGTCGACCAAGTACTTTTGTTCAGGAATGTATAACCCATGTTGTTTGAACATGTGTTGTATGTTTTCTTGGATGGTGTCAAAGTTGTGGTTGTACTTTGGATGGGAGAAGAGACAGGTGGTTGGTTTGATTACTAATCTTGTAGCGAGCTTTTCTGCAAGGAGCTTTTCTTCTTCCTGTTCGGGAGTCAACTCTGCCTCTTCTTCTTTGGCTTCTTCTTTAGTTTCTGGTTCTGCTGTTTCTTCACTTTGTTCGGGGGTATCACTTGGAGCAGGCAACTCACCGTTCTTGATCTTTTCCAACATGGCGGCTTTAGCAATCTGCAAAATCTGTCTCTTCTTCTCTAAGATGGCCTCTTTTTCTCTTCGTCTTTGTTCTTTCTTGGTGACTTGCTTCTCTGGCTTGGGCTCCTCTTCTAAAGTGGCAACTTTCGACTGGAACATGTCTTCCGAGATGGGTGGTAGCTGAGCAACTCGTCTTTTCAAGTTATACCTGTGCCAGTCACCTTTCATGTGCGATCTTTGATCTTCGGCAGTTGGGAACTGCAAACTGCATGTATTACACGTGAACATATCTACTCCTGTTATATCTAATGCCTTTGGCCTATGATTACAAATGGTAGAATGGTAAAATGACTGTCGGTCTATATTGCAGAAGCAAAAAAAAAAATGTCCGATGAGGAAGCGAGTCACGTGACAGACACCATCCCCCAAAAATAAAGAAGAAGAATTTTCCTACAACCACAAAGGGCTTACTGGTACTGACTACTACTGTATTAGCTAACCATGTCGGATACAGAGGATGTGTTTAAAGGCGTTCTTCCGCAGTTGGTCTCTACAATCAGAGCGGCAAGCTCGTTAGCTGCGCAAGACATAAATTTCTACAAGTCAATCGATGCCGGTCTTGCTAGTGACATTGATTCCGCAGCTGCCCGGTTAATGAACATCTCCAATGACTTGATCAGAGCCACGACCGACGATGACGAAGTCAAGATTGGGTTTGGCAAGCAGAATGTCGAAGGTGAATTGTCGTGGAATCCTATCGCCCGTGTGTTGGATTCCATCTTTGAGAAGATTGACTATTCGTTTGACCATGCTAGACAAAAGACATCTAGTGATGCCAGGAGTTTGGAGTACTTGGATAGTGGCAGCGCTCCTTCTAATGAATCAGGCAAGAGAATATCCAAACCCCAGTTGAAGTTCAGAGTTCCTGTGGATAATTCCGAATCACACCCTTTTAAACCAAGATTGGACAGCAAACCACATGCTTTGAAACTGTTTGAAGAATCCGTCAAGTTGTTTAACCCCGAGCCCAAATATGAAGATTCCATTGAGATAATAGACCCACCATACTATCCCCAACCATACGAGTACGAAATTGACAACCAGCCATATCCTGAAGCGATCCTACAATCTGCAGTCGAACCTATTCCATCCAAGGACTGGTCAACCACAGAAGCCATCTGGGTAGACACGGTGGAAGAACTCACGAAAATGGTAACCGTCTTGCAATCCCTGACCGAAATCGCCGTCGATTTAGAACACCACGACTATAGAACATACTACGGGATCGTCTGTCTTATGCAAATCTCCAACCGCGATCAAGATTGGATCATTGACACATTGGCCTTGCGCGATGACTTGACCGTATTAAACACAGTATTCACCGATCCTAGCATTGTCAAGGTGTTCCATGGGGCATTCATGGATATCATTTGGTTACAACGAGATCTCGGATTGTACATTGTTTCCTTGTTTGACACCTACTGCGCATCCAAAAATTTGGGATTCCCCAAACACTCGTTGGCATACTTGTTGGAAACATTTGCTCATTTTAAAACATCCAAGAAGTATCAGTTGGCCGATTGGCGGATCCGTCCGTTGTCCCACCCTATGATGGCCTATGCTCGATCAGACACCCATTTCTTGTTGAATATTTATGACCAGTTGCGAAATAAACTTATCCACGAAAACAAGTTACAACAAGTGTTGTATGATTCGAGACAGGTGGCTAAGCGGAGATTTGAATACACCAAGTACCGTCCATTAGCACCTAATGGGAAAGTCTCGTGCCCAGTCATGTCGAGCAATCCAAGAGAGCCATTCGCGTCGATAATGTATCAATACAATGTGCCAAGTTTCAAGAAAGGTGTCGTTGAAGTATTGTATAATTGGCGTGATTTGGTAGCTAAACAAGAGGACGAGTCGGTAAGGTACATCATGCCCAACCAGTTGTTGGTCACTCTAGCATTATTGGAGAGTCCCGTTGACGCCAACAAAGTGTTGAATTGCCAGACGTACGTGAGTGAACATGTGAGATTGCATGCAAAGGAACTTGCTGGGTTGATTGAGAAAACGTTGGTGCAGACTGAAGCCAACGATTGGGATTTGGTGGATAAGTGGAGTAACCAAAAGACTGACAGTTTCGATGCTCATGATAAGAATATGTTGGAGAATGTAAACGGATTGTTTAACGCTTTGGTTGAATCTAACCAGGACTTGTTTAATTCTACTGGGTTAGTGCATGAGATTGAAACTGTGGAAGAACCCAAGATCAGGTATACTGTTGAGTATGATGTTAATAACAACACGGTGGTTAAGCATAATTTTGAGGACGTATGTCAAGAAAGGTTGGAACGCGCCTGGAATGGATTAATTGCCATGGATGCACAACTGAATGTTGAAGTTCCAATTGAAGAAGTTCCAGAGACAGAGGAACCTGAAGCACCCGTGGAATTTGTTAAACCAGCCAGACCAGATGCGGCATTGTTTAGCAAAGACAAGGAAATTGATCCTAATCAACTCATTACGCTTAGACAACGAAAGGTTGCCCAGCCTAAGAGACGTCAACTTCTTGAAGAACAGGAGCAACAACAAGTGGACTATTCTAGTGCCGATAAGATTATGATTCCTAATACCAATAGAAGACCTAAGGATAGGAAAAAGAAGAGCTTTGATCCGTATTCTAGAGAGAGTGAAGGTCCTAAGCCGGCTAAGCGGGCTAAGATCACTACTACTGGTAAATCATCGACGTTTAAGAATAAGAGGAAGTAGTTAATGTACATTTATTTTATAGTGTCTGTCTGTCTGTCTGTCTGTCTGTCTGTCTGTCTGTCTGTATATGACCGTCTGTAGATTTTGTAAGCTTATTTTTTTTTGTCTGGGTACGCGTTTATCAGTGTCGGGAAAATTCATCTCTATTTAACATGTAAAGCACCAGTCGTTCACCACTATGGTCCTTCCAACAACCTTACAGGGCAATTTGATGCCTGCTGAGATAAACTTCTTAGCTGAGAATGAAACAGTCACCATATTACCCAGGTATTCCATGAAGAAAATCGAATTAATAGGCGTATGTACATACATATTCACATACATTATAATGATTTCTACATAAGCACAAATACTAACGAGAGAGCAGACACCAATCCCACCATTACGAGCCATGAGAAGAGAAAAAGTCCCGTTATGGGTAGCCCTTATCCTCAAATCACAAGACAAATGCAACATCGTCCCTCCCAAATGGTTAAATCTCGCATACTTGAAAGAAAAACACGAAGAAGAACTACGAAAACCAAACCAGTTCAGCGACTTACCATGGCATTGGCAAGAGATTGCCAAAATCTTACTTGCCCGAGCCCAGGATGACTTAAGCGATCCATCACACCAATTACGTAGCGTTATTCAGGATTTACGAGAGATACGGTTGGTCAAGTCGAGAAAAGGGTTGAAGGAGTTGAATGAGTCGAATATTCTGTTGAATGGATTGTCACTTTTGGAGATTAACGAATTGAGACCGTTTGTGCTTGGTGTGATGAACAAGTTAAGACTGCTTCATGAGACCACCACCACCAGTAAAGAGGTTGATGAAGATATGGCCGAGGTTTCTGATGATGATTACTAGATAGCACTGTAATATTATAGCATTTACTACTACTTTGTACTTACCACTTCTAATACCCTCTTGCAATCTGCTGTATTTAGTCACCAGCGGTGAGTGGGATGCATTTTCGTCTTCGTCAAGTTTCAGCCTTGTCTGGTTTGATCCGCCTTTTAGTTCCGCATTGGTTGATTTTTTTTCACAAACTCCGCCATTGACTCATTAGGCTACACGACAGCATCAAATGAGCAAATGGCAACAGTTCCAACGGCAGTTCGTGTCAAATCTAGAGAAACAGAAACTGACCACCGACGCCAAACGGAACCTCATCCTCTCGATTTTAAAATCAACCACAACAAAACGAGAAGCGAGAAACTATCTCAATAAATACCAGAGTCAATTCGACTTCTCGGGACTCGACTTCAACAAGAGTATCAAGACCATCAATGACGAACAAAGTTTGACGAAACGAGACACCCAGCGTGGGTTATTCATTACACGGTATTTGAACAATCAGAATCCATTTGTTAACATATACGACAAAGAAGATGTCAAACAAAAAAAGGTCCCTCTTAGAATTGCTATATTCCAGATCAAGTATCCTAAAGTGACTTATCAACAATGGAAGGGGATAGCTGAGACATTTAAACGATTGCTTACACTTGGGATATCTCCGATTATCTTGTTGGACTACGATCATTTTTTGACCGATTCATTTAAACTCAATGAACAGTATATGATTGAAGCTGCCAGTAAACTTCTAACCTACTTTGGCAGACCAGAGGAGGAATCTGAACTCAAAGCAATTGTTCTTCGTTCCTTATTTACAAACAGAAATGGTAAACTCTCAATTGACAGTTTAGAACTGGTGCTTATTCCCATGTATCAAGGGCTAGTGCCTATCATCCAACCAATAGCATACGAGTCCCAGTCAGCTATGCAGGAATTCATAAGCACGGACCAACTATTGTACAGTTTATCATCGGCATTAGTGGAGAAGAGCACATCGGACATATTAACCATTGAGAAAATAGTCATGATTGACCCCATGGGGGGCATTCCTTCGATTGAACGAAACCAATCTAGTCATGTGTTTATCAATCTATGTCAAGAGTACTCGGACATTTTACTGGAACTCTACATTGGACATATCGAACCAAAAGTGCGCGATTTTCATGTATCCAATCTTGATTCCATGAATACTGTATTGAGTTATATCAATGATCGTACCGGGAACGATGAAACCACGGGGATAATAACCACTCCGGAAATCATGTCGGTGAATCACGATGAATTGAACCCGATAATTTACAATGTCTTGACTGATCGACCCATTATTTCCAGTTCTTTGCCGAGCACAAACACGAGAACTCCACAATTGTCTACGACTATTATAAAGAAGGGAGTTCGCGTAGACATTTACGATCAGGACAACTATCCCGATAAGTTCACGTTACAAAACTTGTTCCGAGATAATCTTATCGATAAAGATCGCTTGATTGAACTAATGAATGATTCATTTGGCAAACCCCTCGATCTGGAGACGTACATCAATCGAATTAATGAAAATTTGGCCACGCTAGTCATTGTTGGGGATTATGACGGTGCTGCAATAATCACATGGGAATATAGCCAGGGCGAGAAAATTGCCTACTTGGACAAATTCGCCATTGCCAAGAAGAATCAAGGATTGCCAGGATTAGCAGACATCATTTTCAAGATCATCCTCCTGTCGCATCCTGTCGAGCTCATCTGGCGGTCGAGGAAAGTCAACCCGGTGAACAAATGGTACTGGGAACGGTGTTGCGGGTGCATGAGCTCGCCTGAGTCACAATGGAAGATCTTCTACACGGGCGAGATATTCGATAAGAAGATTGACAAACGCAAGCGAAGCGTGCATGGCCTTGACATCAGTAAGAAGTTGCAACAGTACTCGGAAATCTGCGAGGGCATTCCACCATCTTTTGTGTCAGTACCGCGGGTAAATTAACCCCGATTGTTGCGTCGGTTTTTTTTTTTGTGTTTATCCCGTGCAACCGATTTTTTACCCAACCCTTTTCCGTTGAGTGATAAATTGTTGGCAAATGAAAAGGATAAATAGAAGAGGATTTCTTATATTTTATAAATAAGTAGGATAAGATATACATAATGAACTCACTCAGACAGAGACAGACCACGGTGCAGACTGCTACGCAGGAAGTGCACGATGATCCAGTCACGACTCAAGTGTTGCGCCGACTCCACTATTATCACGAATTAGATGACTGGCAAAAGGATAACCACTTTATCCGATCAGGCTACGTAAAGGAAACCAGTTCGTACCGAGAATGTTTGAAATCATTGACGTACTTACACAATGAATCCATGAATATTTATACCCATTTAATCCCATCCAGTATTGTATTTTGGTCGGTGCTTTACTACATCAACTACGTCCTCACCGAGTATGATAATTATCTTGGGATTTGGGAGAAGCTCAACTTTTTGCAGTTTGCAACAGCATGTACCTTTTGTTTGTTCATGTCGTCTGCTTTCCACACCATCAAGGCCCATTCTCACAAGGTGAGTAAGTTTGGCAACCAACTAGACTACTTTGGCATTGTCATTTTGATTAGCTGTTCCTTGATTTCAATCATTTTGTTTGCCTTCTATGATCATCCCTTCTTAAAGTATTTCTTTGTGGTACTCACAGCGGTGTTTGGTACTATATGTACGGTACTTACCTTAGATCCTCATTTCGCCAGTGTGGAATATAGAAAATTCAGAGCAACAATGTTTATCATGTTTGGATTATCAGGGGCACTCCCTATTCTAGTAGGATTCTATATGTGGGGTTTCCAACATACCAAGGAAAGATCAGGCATGATCTATCTCATCCTCGAAGGTGTGTTTTATATATTTGGGGCCGTGTTGTATGCCGGAAGATTCCCGGAAAGGCTTACAGGCATAGACAAGGAAGAGTTCTTGAAAAATCCTACACCAGGAATGTTTGATATCTTTGGCCATTCCCACCAGATCTTCCATGTGTTTGTCGTCATTGCTGCCTTTTGTCATTGGAAAGCTTTAGTGCAATGCTATCATTTTATGCACCAGTATATATTAACTGTGTAGGGAAGGAAAAAAAAAGAAATACAAAAATTAATTGCGATAAAGTTTAGATCGGTAATATAATCATGTCCAAACACTTGGTGTTACTTCCGTGCCATGCAATCTGGAAGGGTGGTCCAACTACAGGATTAGCAAGAAACGAATGGCACTTGGTAGATTTCCAAATTGTGGGTCAAGACCATCTCGTGTTCCGCGATCAAATTTTACAAAGCATATCCATACTACAACAAGACCCTGACGCGTATGTGATTATCTCCGGAGGTGAAACCAAGAAACAGGCAGGTCCTATGTCAGAAGCACTATCCTATTATTTGCTAGCTAGTGAGTTGTGCAAGGATGAGACTGTGTTGTCTCGAATCCACACTGAAGTATTTGCCAGGGATTCATTTGAGAATGTCATCTTCCTGATTTGCCGATACTACGAGTTGTTCAAGATGTATCCTGACAAGATCACCATCATTGGCTTTGAATTTAAACGAGTGCGTTTTATGACTCATCATTTACAGCAAGCGCTAAAATATCCCCTTGATAAGGTGGATTATATAGGACATTCTCCAAAACCGGAATTATCTGAACAGGACACAATTGAATATTTCAAAGACTTGGAAGAGAGTGAATACAAGCATGCAGTCAAACACTTTCAACTGGACTGGTATGGATTGGCCGACTCTCTTAACAAAAAGAAACTCGCAAGAAACCCATTCAATCGATACCATGGGTATATCTACAGTAATCCAAGCCTCTCTGACTTCCTTCACGCCATTCAAGATGGCAGTACGCAAACCAACGAACTCATTAGAAATCTTATAGATCACAATCTCTGGATAAATAACTAATCATTTATTTTTATATACATAACTTACTTTTTATTTAAAGCTCTTCTAGCTTGAACGGCTTTACTCAACTTGGTCAACATATCAACAGTAGTTTCCCAACCAACACATCCGTCAGTGATGGAAACACCGTATTTCAATGATTCTTTACCACATCCTGGAGCAGGCATACCTTGCTTACCTTCGTTAATATGAGATTCAATCATAACACCAATAATTGTATTTTCCCCATTGGTAATTTGTTCAACGACAGAGTCCAAAACCTTTGGTTGGTTTCTGTAATCCTTTTGAGAGTTATCGTGGGAACAGTCAATCATCAACTTGATATTTGGATCGGTAGACTTGGCAATGGCTTCCTTGGCGGCCTTGACGGACTCGGCATCGTAGTTAGTAATCTTCTTACCACCTCTCAAGATAATAAAGCAATTGTCGTTACCCTTGGTGGTAGTGATGGCAGCCATACCATTCTTGGTGACACCCATGAAGTGATGTCCCTTGGAAGAAGCTTGGACAGCATCTAAAGCGACAGTTAACCCACCGTCAGTACCATTCTTGAACCCGATAGGGAAGGATAAACCTGAGGCCAATTCACGATGTAATTGAGATTCGGTGGTTCTAGCACCAATAGCACCGAAACTCAACAAGTCAGAAAAGTACTGTGGAGAAATGGTATCCAACATTTCGGAACCAATTGGTAATTCAGCCTTACCGGTCAAATCAGCGTATAATTGACGAGATATTCTCAAACCGGCATTGATATCAAAAGAGTTATCGACATTTGGGTCGTTAATCAACCCTTTCCAACCAACGGTAGTTCTTGGCTTTTCCAAGTAGGCTCTCATGATGATCAATAAATCACCCTTCAATTCTTCAGACAAGGCCTTTAATCGCTTGGCATAGTCCATGGCGGCATCGGTGTCGTGAATAGAACATGGACCAACAATGACAAGACATCTGTCGTCGGCACCACTGAGAATTTGGGCACTTTCGTAACGACCTCTAATGACAACTTCCAAGGACTTGCCTGAGGCTTTGATTTCGTGTTGTAATAATGCAGGAGGGATCAAGGGGTTGTAGCCCAAGATTCTTGTGTCGTCGTATTCGTCAGGAATTGGAGTGTTGCTCATGGTTGACTTCTAGAGATGTGGTAGGAACGACAAAGTGGAGAGATGTTTTGTTACTTTATAGTGAAATTTTCAATCCCTCAGCGGGAGAAAAAAAAATTTAGTCAAAAAATTTTTCCGCCGGAGCGGTGTTTGTGGTAGCTAGAAGGAATAAGAAAAAACTCCGCTGAGGAAGAATAATGACTAATTGTTGGTTTTGTACTACTGGAACAACCAGAAAATATACTACCAAAGAGGGCAGTTGCAGTAAGTTAAGTGCTGGGTTACTTTGCCTGTTAACATACTCATGTTAGCACGTTCGTGTTTACATTCGCTTAAACAATGTAATTCACACATTTCCTGATAAGGTATGAATTTCCCCGAGACTGCTGGGACATATCAACAATTTTTGACAGAGCCTGCGCCACGTGATATTTTTTTTTTTTGTTTGCCTTGATTTGAACAATCTCGCTTACTTTCAACCTATGCAGGAACTTTGCTTATGATATCATCAAATGGTCTAGATGCATAATGCACATATCCGAACCACAAACCATATTCATCTCATTCTTCATATTCGGACTCTTGAATAATGTCCTATATGTAATTATCCTATCAGCCGCCATAGATCTCGTAGGATCAGCCACTCCCAAAGCAGTGGTGTTGCTAGCCGATATCATACCTTCATTTACCTTCAAGCTTGTATCACCATTCTTTATCCATCTACTATCGTATCCGTTTCGATTATGGACCATACTTGGCTTGTCTATGTCTGGCATGTTGATCATTTCATTGACGCCGAATGGGTTGATCGGATTTAAGATTTTCGGCATTGCATTGGCGAGTTTGTCATCTGGATTGGGCGAAGTAAGCTTCCTCCAGCTAACTCATTACTACGAAGCAAAACATTCAATAGGTGGGTTCTCCAGTGGGACCGGTGGCGCTGGTCTTTTTGGAAGTTTTCTATTCATGTTGTTCACTAATATAATGGGTATTCCCGTTTGGCTTACCCTATTTATGTCTTCCGTCGTACCCGCGGGACTACTATTGACGTATAATTTCCTACTTCCCCCTCCAGAACTTGAATATGAACCAATATCAGAAAACATAGTCGAAGAAGGGGAACTCGCATTTACAGAGAACAAGTTTGACTTGCATTACATGAAAAATCACATTAGTGAAACCATCACCGAGATAAAACCGTTGATCATTCCATACATGCTCCCCTTAACTACAGTGTACGCCAGTGAATACACAATCAACCAAGGAGTCTCCCCCACGTTGCTCTTTCCCTTGGATGACCTCCCACACTGGCTATTTTCGACGTATCGAGACTTGTATGTCGTTTATGGATTCTTGTACCAACTTGGTGTTTTCATATCACGGTCATCCATTTCGTTCGGGATAAGAATCAAGCATTTGTACGTTATGTCAATGTTACAGTTTGTCAATTTGGTAATCACGGTATGTCAATCAATGTATGACTTTCCATTCCATAGAATCTGGCTATTACTAGTACTTATTCTATATGAAGGGTTATTAGGGGGGTTTTCGTATGTAAACACTTTTGTGTCTGTAAGTGAGCAAACGCCTAAGGCGAAGCGAGAGTTTAGTATGGGATGTGTAAGTATGAGTGATTCGCTTGGAATTGTGATTGCTGGGTGTATTAGTTGGTGGCTAGAGACGAGATTGTGTGGGTTACAGGTTGAAAGAGGGAGAGATTGGTGTCTTACTGGGGGAGGTTCCTAAATTATAGCCACTAGTGTACATCGCGTTTGTAATCTTAATAAAACAACTAGGTCAAACTTAAGTTGAACCAATTTGCGCTTTTTTGTAGAAATATCTGTAATTTCACTATTTCATGAATTACCCAACAAATTTTGCAGCATTAGTCTTGAAAGAGGAGAAAGAACGCGGCTATTTCGTCTTGTTCAGCTAAAACTAATGCGAACTGCACGGCTATTTCATTTCACCTTGTTGGACTAAAACTAGTATAATTGCTACGAACTAATGCACTAAACAAAGTGGTTTAGAACTTGTTTTACGTCGTCATTTGCACAATCCATAGAACACAAAATAGAAGAGAAAGATCTTAATTATAATTCAAACATGAGTCTCGGAAACAATCTCAGTGATAAATCCGAGGATATCTCTTGACATGTTTCGAGAGAGTATGTGCTGACAGCTGGCGCTTCTCCGCTTTCGTCACGCTCGTTACCTGTTTTGGATATTTCACCCAAACTAAGTGCTACATTGCATTGTCTTGTATGGATCCATCTAGATGGTTCTAGAAGACATCTTCAGTTGGATATTCAACCAGATTTTTGACATTGTGTCAAAACGGGGAATGAAGTGTCGGCGAAAAACGTGTGTTTTGTCTTCGGAAGATAAAATGCGAACTCCGGTTCGAGGGGGAAAACAAAAAGATGGAATTCCACATTTCTTACTAGCAAATACAAAACACAGACTACATAACCCCCTTTTTATAGACATCAATGATACTCAATAGACTTAGATTACCCACGGTACTGAAATTATCCCAATTGGCATTTGCCCGAAACTATTCCCGCAAAGATTTTGCCTTTGTTTTCGATATCGATGGCGTGCTTATCAGAGGAAAAGATCCTATTGCCGCAGCCACCCCGGCCTTGGAACTCTTGAATGAACATCGGGTCCCCTATATTTTAATGACCAACGGTGGTGGTGTCCTGGAAAAGGCCAAGGCCGACCACATTGCAAAGATTGTTGGTGTTCCGATCTCCCCCTGGCAAATTGTGCAAAGTCATACACCATTGAGAACCCTTGCCAATGATAGAAAACACAACAGAGTGTTGTGCATTGGTGGTGTTGGTGATGCTGTGAGACATGTGGCTAAAAGCTACGGTTTTGAAGATGTTGTGTTGCCAATTGATATCGTCAAGGCTATTCCCTCGATTTCTCCCCACCATATGTTCAAACAGGATGATTTCGACAAGTACGCCATTGACATCGATGTCAATGTCCCTTTTAGGGCCATTTTAGTGTTTAATGATCCGCGTGATATGTCGACTGATGTTCAAATTGTTCAAGACTTGTTGAACTCCCAAGATGGTGTTCTTGGCACAAAGAGAAAGAGAAGAAGATTGGAAGATCCTGCCATCCCTATCGTATTTAGCAACAGTGATGTGTATTATTCTAATGAATACTCGTTGCCAAGATTTGGTCAAGGTGCATTCAGGATCATCACTGAAGAATTATACAGTCATATCAACCAGTTAAGACCTCATGAAGCCATGAGTTCGTTATTATGTGGTAAACCATTCAAATTACAGTATGACTTTGCCCACCATGTTCTTATTGACTGGCGTGAAATGTTAATCACCAATAAGTTTGAGCAACCAAAGTATCCACTTTTAGGAACTGCCCCAACCGCAAGTCCATTCAAGAACATATATATGGTTGGAGATAACCCTGCTTCAGACATCCAAGGAGCCAATGATCATGGTTGGGAATCAGTGTTGTTACGCACTGGAGTGTACGCCGATGAAGACTTAAGTTCGCTCGAGGCTCAACCTACTGCTGGTGTCTTCAACGACGTGTACGACGCCGTGCTTGAAATTTTACGAGTTAACAAAGTCAAAATTTGATTCCTTTGTTTTGTGCAACGGGCAAATATTTTTAGCAGTCATAAAGAACCTTCTATATCTGTGTAAATATCGTAAACAATGATTTATTGGAACATTTCCGGTGAAATTTCGTGTAAGCCCAGCATTCTTCCATGGTACAAAGTAGTTTCCATTGCATGTTCTAGAAGAGTTGGAAAACTAAACCTGAATCCATGCAGACACTTTTTGTTGCCAGGCTTTGCAATTTAAAAAATATCCAAAATGGAATATCCGGGTTGTCGGACACTTTTTTTTGCCTTTGAGTTTTTTTTTTAGTCCTCGTCATCTATTTCCGACACCTATTTCCGGCAGTTTGCTGTGGCGTTGCTGGCGTTAAGAGTGGCGGGGTTTTTTTAAAGATCTCTGGTCACAGATTTTTGCTAGATCTAAGTGCGTTTTGGTACAGACGGGTCAGGATGTTGAGGCAACTTTATGCGATTTTCTGTTAGGTTAGATCCCGTAAACAGAGGCGACTACACGCATGTGAGGAGAGATGGTTTTTTTATTTTACGTTTGCTTTTTCATATGAAGTTGGGTGATTTATGACGAACTAAAATCTGGGGCGCAAGCATGGACTTTGCACCAATGGTTGTTCGTTAAAATGATATATGTTGGCCTTCCTACCCCCGTCTGGTAACCAGTTTGCAATTTGTGGCTAGTGAGGGATAAATTTAGATTTCATGAAATAGACGCCTTAGCGACGTAGATATACTAAATTTAGTATAATAAGATGAGGAGTGTCCCATTTAGACTATTGAAAAAAAGACACGTTCCGGCTGTAGTTAACCGGGTAAAAATAGCATACTGGATTTTACATTTTTGTTGGGGGATTTCAGAAAACAATAGGCGGAGGAGAAAAGATAACAAAGAAAACAAGAAAATAACACGTCAAAATAAACTGACATAGATCCAACCGCAACTCATAGATTTTTGGGCGGTTCGGGTTTTATTGTCCCATGCGTTTCTTGGCTTCCTTTGCAGGAGCTATCGTACCACTTCTCGATCTAGAATTCGTCAGAACAAAGATCTTTCGTTTCTGCGAAAATCTAACAATAAAATACAATGGGAAAAAATATGTAGTATTTTTTAGGCTGCTATTATCTGCAGTGTTCGAGAAAAAAAGATTCACATTGTTGCCAATTGGACAAAATTTGATTTAATATTTTAAAACAATTTCTCTAACCAAAGTAACGCAACTACAATAGGCAATAAAAGATTCTCCAATTTAGCCGCTTCCCGCCCTAGCCGAATTCCATTTGATATTTATTTACCATTTCGTATCGACTTTATTTTGACATAGCTCAGATATGGTACCTTTTTTGCTGCCAAGAAAGGGTTTTTTTTTTGTAGAGATCATAACTTGTCTTTGAAGTATAAGGACTAGTGCATTTTTTTGCGCGCGGAATCCCGCCCGGATAAACGCTTGCTTTTTCCATAGTTCAAATTTTTTTTATTTTTTCTGGGTTGATAGGCGAGAGTTGTTGGAGCAACAAAATAATTTTTGAAATGAAACATAAATCCGACTCTTTTTTGCAAAATTTATCAGTTTCAACCATTTTGTCGTCAATGTTCAATCCTAACATTCCTTCATGAATCACTTCGTATTAAACCATGTGAGTTGATTATTTCTTGGAGGGTTCAAAATTGAAACTTGCTGCATGTCTAGGCAACTGGCTACAAATATTTTCTTGTTTAGCATAGATATGTGAATCAGACAAAGATTGAATTGACAACAAAGTGACGATCATCAAAAACTCTATCATCTCTTCGTATCGATAACCCATTCACATCAGTTACTTTGTTGATTAGCAATAGCTAAACATAAACTAAACAAGATCATTCGATCAAATCGGCTTTGCATTCCGTCAGATATTCTTTTTAAGGCACGAATCGTTCTATTTTAACTAACAAAAGGCGGCAACACCTTAGAATTTGCAATAGGAAGCTTTTGAGGCAGCTATCACATGTGTATCATTTTCAATCCCCTGCAGGAACCACTTTTGTTGCTCGTTTCTATTTCAGTTCACAACTTCCTGTTTCTGGAAATGGATACTGGTCCGGGCGTAGCCACCGCATTTTAGTTTGGGGGTAGACATGAAATTTCACGAATAGGAATAGATACATTTGCTCTAGTGAAACCCAAAGGCGGATTTGCAGTTCCAAAAACTAATTACTCGTAATCTAAACCCGATATTGCCTTTTGGGCGAGCGCGGGCATCCCCGATATTTTGTGTCATTTGTTGGAGGAATAAATTTGCTGTCACCACATACAAATCTAATGGTACGATTATTGGCTACACGTCTAATTCACTTTGGGTATTGAATTTATTAATTAAACCTAAAAATAACAATCTAGAACTAAATAAGAATCGAATAACTATTTTTTGCTGTTTCGATTAAATATTGCAGCATCAAGCTTCCCCCCGTAGCAAGAATAACAGGGAGCAGCATTTACATTAAAACTAGCATGGGTGATAATATGTAGGTGTGTTAGATAAAGTGTGTGGTGGTGGTAACGAGATTCTTTGATCAATTGGGATATTACCAACCATCATGGGAAGTTGTTGTGGGGGTATGTTTCCCAATACTACAGAAGGTAAGGATATGTTACCAAAGACATTCTCACCACCCTTTGCCTTAGCTTGCTTTTGACTTTCATTCATAAGATACTTCTTTATGCTTATTCTTCTACCGTTCTTACCTCTTAATACCTTATTGTTTAATACTTCTTCAGCAGCCAAAGCAGCACCTTTCTTCTTGACCAACTTAGTATGCACCAACCCACAAGCGTTACAAAGAGTTCTTGCTCCTCTTGGACCTCTTCTCCATTCAGGAGTTTCTGTGGTTCCACATCTGTGACATCTATGTACAGGTTTGGAAACAACTTCAGGTAAAGTGTAGAAATGTGGAGCAGCAGCCATTTGTTGGGGATTAGGTTGTAAACCTTGGTTAGCCTGCTGGACATAGTAGTAAATCTGTTGTTGTGGTGGTTGTGGCTGTTGTTGTGGAGGAGGGTAGTAAAATGTTGGCATTGGTTGTGGTTGTAGTTGAGGAGTTGTTCCATCATATGAAACAGAATGCAAGTTCATTGGTGCCAGTCCATTCAATGATGGTGAATTTACCTTTTGGTAAACTACTGAGATAGGGTGAGAAGAAGTATAGTTAGTGTTGTTAGGAGAATATGCAGTGGTACCAGAAGTCCCATTTGGAGGAGACATTATTCCATTGTCATTTGAAGTTAATGGCAATGGCAAGGGCAATGTTCCCCCAATAGGCGAAGACCCAGTCAATTCCTTAATGGAAGGTAATCTTATCGGATTTGAATTATTTGTAACCGTGGTCGTCATTAGTTAAGTTAGTCAGCAAATTATGAAATTTCAATGAATGGTTGTTGTGTGTATGTGTATAAATATCTATCGTAGCAATCGAAACAACTTGTTGTTTAAATAAAGATAAAACAACTCAAAACAATATTTATAAAATGTAAAACTCTTTGAAAAGAAAAAAAAACAATCAGGGTATCGAGACAAATTTATATCCTCAGTGGTTACAAATGGGTAGGATTTAATTACTTCCAATCTATATCACAGATAAATCTTAGTGACATGGAAAATGAAACTTTAATTACCAACTCTGCATATGCATGTTCACTAAATTATTTTCTACTTGGCATTTTTTGGAAAAAAAAATTATTTACTGCAAAAAATATTTTTTCATCCTTTGCCGTTTCTTTTTTAATTTTTTTTTTTTATTTTGGTTTTTGTCCCCATAAATCAGACAGACATTTTGTTGCTTCGGTTTTAAATCTACAAATCTGTAGATTTGTGAGGGCATTCTAGTGCATCTGGAACCTTTTTCGCTTAAGCTCGTTTTCTTTTATTACACTTTTTTTTTTTTGTACATACGAAATTTGTTGGAATCCACATTTTTTACCATATATAGCATTTTTTTGATTTCATGCCAAGCGAGCTTTATGGACAGTTTACTTCTACAACAAAAGCGAAGAAACTCTTGGATTGTAAAGTGTATCGGGGTGGTAGTCAATCTCCGCGGTGAAGTGACATCAAGATCCACCCAAATAAAAATTACGAAATGTTGCCACAGGGTCACCATGGGTTACATAGAACATTCCATGTTACTCAAATCTCTTGGAATTTGATCCTGAAAGGAACCAGCTGATTACTTAATTTTTGTCAATTCTTGGGCAATGCAAAATTCTTGGTGCAATATAATATTGAGTTTATTTTTTTAATTTAACAAAACGCAATTTCTGTCTGCGGAATGGTACGTTTAAGTTCGTACGGCGTATCAAATTCTCATGATGTGAATTGTCATCAAGACCAAATCTTAAATGAGATGTATATTTAGTATCAAGGTTTATTTACTGGTGGTAATCATAAAGTGGTGTCTACAACATTTTGCTACGTCAAGTGGATCGAAATCTGTGGTAACAACTAGACGGCTAATATTTATTCCGAAGTGGTTTTTATTTTTTATTCTTTTTTTTTTTTTTTTTTTGCGACAACGTACGATTAGAATTTTTTGCAATCAAATTAGTACCTGTCAGATAAATGAGTTAATTGTTGAATCAAAATAGGACATATTTTGATCGTCTAGTTGCATCACTTGAATCATCTCTGCTATCAAGTTGCATTTCTTTTGCTCGGTGGATGTTGGAGCTAGCGCCGCAGTTTTCTTGGTAGCACGATATTTCTTGGCCTATTGTCTTAAGCATATTTTAGCTCCGGCTAAGTCATTTCAAACAAACCCTATATAGTTTAGAACGATGAAAAAGAAATTATGCCCAGTATCTCTCTGTACAAACAATACGAAGGCGGATCTCTTTCATGAAAGATCGGGGCTTCAAATTTCCGCCTCAAACAAGTTCCATTCGCATGTTCTTACATGGAATTGAATGACGGTCGCATTTACAGGAACTAGCTTTGGCATGAGTGCGGAGACTTTTAATTTTTCAACCAGACTTTTTCCAAAACTTATTTACTTTATCTTAGCAGTACATTACAATCAGATTAGGGCATTGAAGATCTAAATATAAATAATTGCAAATGTTTTTATGATTGCAACAATTAAATTGGTAAATTGCGGGACGAAAAGAACATGGTATCATGAATAAAGGAGGTTTTACATTCGTATTACAACAAAGTTTTTTATTCTAAGTTTAGAATTATTGAAAGTCAAGCTTCAGACGTTTTTCGGGGCACGGCAAAATATTAAAATGGCGGAAAATCCGAAGTTCTTGGCGAGGTATCAATCCACAGCAAAAAGTAAAAAAATACCACATTCTTAACTATAGGGATATATATATATGACAGGTAAGATGACGGGGAAGCTTTCGGGGAAGCTGTCGGGGTACCGAAGCAAGGTGCTTCTACAAAATAATAATAGTAATAGGAGGAAACATCTCAAGATTAACTAAATGAGTTGATTTGTTTCTGAATTTAATCTCCCTTGGCTTAAACTTGATGGATACATATCTCCGTCGAACTTAGTTCTTAAAAAACTTGATTTGATGTTTTTATTGCAAGTGTCTTGTATTTCAAAGTGATCAGACCAAAATCTAATTTTGTGTGATTAAAACACTTAATCCTTCTATTAGTCTCATATATTTGAGCCTCCTATAGCAACTGTATATACAAGCCTTGTCCATAAATGGCATCATATTGGTTGTTTGTTACAATGGGGAACCCAATGTGGGTTTTGGTGTGGGAAATACCGCCTCTGTATTTTTCCTCCAATTAAATCGTGGTGTGACCACTCGTACAATTATACTTTAAATTTTGAGGCGTTTGTGTGCCTTCAGTTCCCATCTAATAGAAGCTTCAGGAATTGACGTAAATAAATTTCGTGATCTTGATCTTAATTCGAAATTAATTAAACGCCGAACATAATCGCCGTAAATTTATAAAATTTTGTTTAAAATTTAGCTAATAATAAAAGCAATTCGATTTAGTATTTTAGCAAGCACAATGTTGATTAACTTAATATACTTGAACACCTCCAAGAAACCCAAGCCAGTCAGCTCCTTACCTGCAATATATCATAATTTACGTCACCTGAAAGTTACGGGTACTTACCATAATTACCTAAGAATACATTATCATAACTTCATTTATTGGGGAATATTCGAACGATCGATCCGGAAAACGAGGTAAAATTTTCGAAATATTGAAGTGGCCGGTCTAGTATAGTGGTTAGTACAAGTCGTTGTGGCCGACTAAACCCAGGTTCGATTCCTGGGACCGGCAGTTAATATTTTTTTTCACCTACAAATGAGTGAAGTCTTAATTTTTTTTTCTGATGAATCAAAGTTTTTTTTTTTAAACCAGTTGACAATTAGATATTCAATTCAAACACTTGTAATATACATTTCAATCCAATAGCTTTTTTTTGGTATTCACTTGCATTCTTTAGTAAACACACAGTTATAACATAATGACTCAAACAGAACAATACGTCTACCCTCCAATGCGTATGTATACGATTTATTTTTTTACTGTTACATGGACCCCTTAAACTAACTAAAAATATATAGCATCTGAAGCAGAATTAGATGAACAAGATGTTCCATTCATTCATAGAGATAGATGTGCTGCTCATTTGATTAACTACTACAAATGTCTTGATAAGGGAATTTCCTTCTGTACTGCCACCAAGGAAGAATTTTACAAGTGTCAATACATAGCATTGAAAGAAAGACTTGCTAACCATACCAAGCAAACTCAAACCCACTAGATTTCATGAGATTATTAACAAAGAACATCAGATGATTATGCTGGGGGGATAAAAGTTTGAAGATATTTATTATTGAATAAGTCGGGATTCGTGATTTTTTACTAGTCAAGCATAAACACAGATTTATTTTTTGTTAAAGTTAATGTTCTTGTATAGCGATGGATGAATGAATAAACGTATTTTGCTACCACCATTTTGAATAGGCTTTGAATAGACTTTTACTGGATAATTACTTTAATTACTACTTGAAGATTTTTTGTTAACAAAAATAGAATACATTGAAGTTACAAGCTAGATTACAAGGAAAAGGTTTTACAAATTGAAAGACTATTCATGTAAACTCTCCTCTAGATACTGTAGTGTAAATAATTTATAACATTAGTGTTGTTTCTTCTATGTCTTGCAAACCATATCACCTCTTAGCTCCTGCATGCAGGCCGGTATTACGGGATTTGTTTGCCTGGAATTTTATTGGTTATTTTTTTCTCAGTTTTGATGTGAGGTGAAAAAAACCAACCAAAAAGGAGATACAATTAGCATACCTTTGGTAAAAATACAAGCTTCCTAATCAATAATGACTGTCACAGAATTCCCACCCCTTCGTATGTATTAAAGAATTAGTCAAAGTATATCACCTGTTGTCTGTCCACATACTAACACCTATTATTTTAGTTTCACAAGATGATATGCAAAAATATAATGTCCCATTAAAGTGGAGAGATAGATGTGCTGCTTATTACGCTCTTTATAACACATGTCTTGTTAGAGAAAGAAACAGTTCTAAAATTGATTGTAAGCATGATAAGCATGCTTGGGAAGAATGTGAATTCTTAGATTTACAAAGAAGAAAGCAAGAATTGGAAGAAGCTAAGGACAAGAGAAGAGCTGAATTAAAACAACAAGCTTCTAATTAGATAGTCTGTTTGCCAACCTATTGTTTCACTACCACGATTTTATTTATATTTTATGTTTCATTGAATTGCGTTTGTAAAAGGTATTACTCCTGATTAAGTGAAAACATGGTTTAAATGCATTTCTATGATACACACTGACTTCACATTGCATGCGTGGAGAAGTATAATACGTTGATTTCCACGTCTTTTTATTTTAAGGTTTGAAGGGTCAGATGTCTGACCAAGAGTTGATTGAGTTTGTAACATAGATTAGTTAATGAAAGTATCATTTTCGAATTTCTTCTTCGTATACTCATTTAAAGAATAGGAATTAGTTTTTACTATATAACGAGATAAATTTCTACTCATTTTTTTACAGTCTGTGCAACCTATGACTTGTATATTTGAAACTCGTGAAGAGTATCAAACACAATTTTGAAAAATTAAACATCATAAATTCCTTAAAAGTTCAATTTATCTCCGCTGTCCACACTCTATATCGATTGAGAATACGAATATAAAGCTCTATCTATTTTCGGAGGTTTTATAAATTTACTATCTGAAGAAAAGAAGAGTATAAAACAAAAATGACAACTGAATACTAAAATTTTTCTTTTAACTGAGAATTCGCATCCGGGTAATATCATGAGATTTGCAACTGATAAATCCAAGGGGTGGCGAGGGGGTCGCGATAAAAAAAATAGAAAAAACTAACACATGAAGATTTTACAACCAGCCTCTTTATAACCAAGTAATATATCACCATGAGCAAGAAAAACGAAAAATTGAATGTGATTTCATCTGAGCCAGTTGAATCAATTGATGAAACTCCTGCAAAGAAAGAGTCTCCAGTGCCAGCAAAGAAGGAATCTCCGATTCCAAAAACTGATGTTGCCAAAGAGAAGCATGATAGCACTGAAGAAGTTCCAATCAATGAATCAGAAGAACAAGCTCCTGTTCAACCACCAAGACCAGTTGATCCAATTGAACAAATAACCAAAGATTTAAAGGATGCTTTCCCTAACATAGAAGATAAAATCATTACTGCTTGTTTAATTGCTTCTCAAGGTAACCCTGATCCTGCATTCAATGCGCTCTTATATATCTCTGACCCTTCATTCAAGCCAGAAATTCCTGCTCCTCAAACTAGTTCTAGTACTACCAAATCTGTTGATACAACTAAGACATTAACTGATGACGAATTGTTGGCTAGGAAATTGCAAAAGGAATTTGAATTGGAAGATGATAGAAGAAGACGTGCAGCCCGTAGGAAAGGCAGCCACCCTCAACCAAAGCAATCAAGAAGACATTCAGAAGACTTTGATGACAGTCCAGATGAATTTGAGCAAATTAAAGAAACGTTTTCCCAAGGATTAGAAGAAGCAAGAACTACTCTTAATGGTTGGGTTAGTGGAATTGCCAAGAAGATTGATGGTGTAACTAATTCCGCCCCACCAAAGGTTCCTAGCAAGGAAAATCCTAAATTGTTTGGTGCATTGGGAGGTTCCTCATTTGAGAATAGAAGAAGAACAACTAAATTTGACGAAGATCCAGAGATTCTCACTAATGACTTTCATGACAAGATTCAATTGAGCAATAATGATGAAGGAGATGAGCATGCTCCACCCAAGCCAGCTAGACCAAGTACTGAAGGAAAGATTCCACAACCAGAAAATGAAGCTGGTAAGAAATGGCAACCTTTGGAATCAGAAGTTCCTGCTAGTTCGGATGCTTTCTTGGTTACTGATAGTGAAGATGAAGGTGACGATGCTGTTGCTGCTGCTGAAACTGCTCCAGTTCCTCCTTCAAAGACTTAAGTGTCTGGTTTTTTTTTTTTATTTAAGTACGTTTATATGAAAGAAGAATATTTAAATTTAATATACCTACTATACATTGAAATTCTATATAGAAGAAGAAATCTTTTTTTTATACATCATAAGCTAATATCAAAAACAACCACCATACAACCACCAAACAAGCATAAACATACATATCAAAAGATGAAGCTAAAACAAAATCAACAATATTTAAAAACCACCAACATAATTTACCCAATAATTAAAAAAACAAACAAAATTAAGAAATAATAATAAAAAAAAACAAAAGGATTAAACAAAGTGATACTTGTGAATGGTGTGCGTCTGCAGTCTAGGATGATTAAGTACATACGTTGTAGAACACTTTGATGACGTTTTTGTAAACCGTATTTTGATTTTTCTTATCAATTTCTCTATAATTAGCCAATATGAAGATGACAAAGAAAGAAAGGAAAACATAATTTATTTCAAATTTTTAAACAAGTTAAGTGATTTGTACACGGAATCATCCAAATCTTCCTTTTTAAATTGATCACAATTTTCAAACTTTTTGGATACATTAGTCAATGCTGGATGATATTTGCCCCAATTTATGATAGGACACTTTATAGTTTTATTTGGTTTTGGCAAATTCAAGTCGTTATTCATTAGTTTAAGAAAGAATTCAATTGTTTCTTCTTTATTTTCGTTCTGGGAGTGGTATTGTTGTAATTGGGATAATTCGACAATTTCTTGTGTAATTTTGTTTCTATTATTTGTAGCCAATCTTAAACAAGATGTTAATGCGATGTAATCGGCATTTGTATCCAAACCGATAGTGGGTTCATGGTTTCTTTCGCTTGCAAATGAATGTTTCTCTTCAACTTCAGGGTGATCATCAATTGAAGTTGTAGAGCCAGGTGGGGTTGCAGGGGTAGAAGGTACCGACGAAGAACTTCCTTCATCACTATAAACATCTTCACTGACATTGTATTCCTCTTCTTCTTCTTCTTCCTCGTCCTTAGGTGTCAATAAAGGGGAGTTGTTACTCAAGTCAAAAGATACAGACTTAGAACGGGTTATTTCTGGTGCTGCAGGTGGCGAACTACCTTCGCTAGGGGATGGGGATCTCTGCTGTTGAGGAATTATAACCGATGCAGTTATCTTGTGTTGCTTAAGCTCTTGTTGTTGTTGCTGTCTAAGGCTATGTCTGGTGAGTGGTTTTTCATTGGTGTTGAACGTCACTCGTTGCTTCTTGTGATGGTGATTTTTCACTTGTTTAGGGGTAGTGTGAATATTAGAAATATCTTCCAATTCGTTTAGCTTCCGTTTGGCGGTAGTATGAAGCTTCACTTCCCTTAAGCTTGCTGCCATGGTTGTGGTGTATAAATATATAAGGTAGTGTGCTACTACGACTGCAAGGCTGGGTTAGGATGGTTGGCAGTTGCTTGTTTCAACGACTTTCTAAACAAGCCTTTGTATGGAGAATTTTTAAACGGGAGGGAAAAAAGGGCGGCGGAAAAAAAGGATGATGTAACTCCTACTATTTTTTCGTTTCACTAATTTAACTCTAATTGGAATTAAATTTAGGATTGCGTTGAATGACTCACACTCTTTATTTACAAACTAGTGCGATTACTCTGGTGTAAATGGTTGAAGGTAGCGTAAGTTTCAGTAAACTACCTCTGTCGAGTTAAAGATAAAAAAGGAATGTAAAAAAAAAAAGATTAAGATATATTTTATCTTGATTTTTGAATGGCAAATAAAATAAAAAAAAACATGAAATGGAAAAATTCGTCGAAAAAAAAAAAAATCGGATAATAAAATAAAAAAAAAAAAAAACAGATAATACCGCTGATGTATGGATGCATAAAAGGGGGGAGTGAGTAGGAAATAAGTTGCTGGGCTTTCTTTTTTAAGGTTAATTTTGATTCTTAATTTTAAATTTATTTCGTGAATTGAAAGGGAAACAAGTGTCAAGTCTATGTTTTCCTATTCTATTACCGAAAAAGACGATCAGCAAAAGTAAATTGATAATTATTGACGAGCGCGTGGGCAAGTTTTGACTTGGAGCCTTGTAATTGATAAAATTATTATTAATGTATGGAAGTATAGGAGTTTCCATGGCGATTTATAATTATTTTTTTTTTTCTGTTATTTACTTTTGTGGCACTTTAGTTGATTCAAGTTAATCCCAACAAGAGCAAATATCAACTTTGAAAAAGGCAGAAATTGGGAGCTCTAAAAGAGGTCTAGACTATTCTAGAATTGAACCATGATGATTAATTGACTTCTAAGCGAGCATTACAAGTACATATCAAGTCAAAAAAAAACGCATAAAATCTCTTTGTTTTAGGTGGCTATTCATCTTGTCTGAATGAAAAATCTTGTTAATTTTTGTTTCTATTTTTCCCCAAGGCTCACATGCGAGTCTAATTGCAACTAACTGCTTTTCGCAGTTTTTTACAGCATCAAATTTGCAGCTAGTATGACCTATCGCTGGGCTATGTTATGGATAACCATCATACTGTACACTAGCAATTGAGTCTTCACAAAAAAAATTTATGTTTTGTTGGGCCACTGATTTGATTTTCTTTCATCTTGTTTTGATCTAATATCGTCCTATTAATTATTTACACTATTTACATGTACACACACTCTCTATTTGCCACTGCCTTTAGGTAATGATTTCTTGTTCTTTGGATTTTTTAAAGTAGATACATAACTTCCAGCTTTATTTATATCACTTTTAACCTCTTCAGAAGCCAATTTAAATTTCCAAAATGCACCATGCTCTTTTCTCAACTTCTTCTTCTTTTCTTTCAATTCACGGTTAATTATACCAAATTGTTCATCATAAGGAATGCCAGCTTCTGCTTCAGCAATAGTTTCCTTACCAAACAAATAATCAAATACTCTTCCATCGCTCCAAAAGAATGCTTTTCTATCAACGATCCAATTCTTGGTTCTCTTGTTGGCTAATTGTTCCTTCATTACGAAAAAGAAAAAACCCTTATCGGCAGTTCCATAAAACCCTTTACCTGTCCAAATCTTAGCAGTGTGCTTTCTTGATAAATTAGCTAATGGAACAGTATATACTGGAGTTGGTTTTCCTGGTAATAATGGATATGAAGTGAATTGAATATGAGGGTTTGCTCCTGGTAAATACCACATTCTTCTGACTAATCTAGTAGGAAACAATCCAATGAAATAAGCAAACCCAAACATAATTGTGGACGGAATCATATATGTCATTAATGAAAATACCCATTGACGTTTACGAAGCTGTTCATTAACAATCAATTCTTCGTTTTCTTGATATTCAGTTCTAGCCATATAGAATGCCCATTCTAACAATACGCACGCGTATACTGCAAAAACAACAGCACAAGCCAAACAAGTCAAGAAATACAATCTATGTGGTTCACTTTCATAAATTAACTCAGGTTTAGTCTTGTTTTCCAAAATGTTTATAACTTGAGTAAACGTATATTTTGATCCTACTTGTGGAACTCCTGGCCTTGGTAATAACGTAGGGACATTTTCTTTACCTAATGGGAATTTAGGAACTCTATCCTTTAATGTATTAGTTTGTACTGTTTCACCTGGAATATGTTGTTTCAAATAATTCCACTCTCCTGCTGTAGGTAAATCTTTCTTAGGATTATAAGGTGAAGGAACTTCAGATTTGAATCTAACCAAACATGAGGAAATTCTAGGAACTCTAGAGGAAAGTAAGCCACCCCTCGTTAGAGACTGTAACCCAATTCTTGGTAATAGCAATGTCATTTATCGTCGTGATGGAACAGATCCTTCTTTCAGGTATTAAATAAGAAAAAAAATTTCAATTTTTAATTTGCCCATGGCAGCAATCACGTGATTGTTGTCTCTACTTCTTATGTTTCTTCTTGCCTACTGATGATTCAGCCCGTTTCAAATGTACTGGATGTTGTCCAATGTACTTCCCATTCATCTCTTTAAAAGCTTTCAAGTAGTCGTTGGCATCTGCAAACGCAACAAATCCGTATCCTTTGTTCTTGCCTGTTTTTCTGTCAACAGGAACATGAACTTTACTCATAGATTCATACTTTTTGAACGCATTGTCCAACAATGCATCATTTGCATCTTCTCCCAAGTTTCCTACAAACAACCTGAAATGTTTTGGGTTCCAATCTGCTGCTGTTGAAGTAGTTGGTTTGTTTACAGTGGTAACTTTTGAGTTGCCAATTGAAGAATGCAAGTAGCTTGCTGCTTTAGACGCACTGGCAAGTCTTCTATCTGAAGTTGATGAGCTACTTACGTGTGGTTTCCTTATTCCTTTTGAGTTCTTCATTGGTGTGCTAACTTTGTTGTTGCTTTAGAAAGAAAGCCTTCTGTGTAAACCAACATGTAAACAGGCATCGAAAATTGCACTTACAAAAAAAAAAATCGAATTATTCAGGCATCGATCAAGTCATTACTAGGCGTAAACAGCCCATCCATACCATCCAGAATTATTCATAATGTTCGTGCTTACAGAAATTACAGATTTGGTTCGCATTCCACCACATACATTCAATATACCGATCCAGCATTCGATAACTGACGAGTTAAACAAAAAGTTAGCCAACAAAGTCATTGCCAATTTGGGTCTAGTGATAACCATATGGGATCTCCTTGATATCAAAGATGGATTACTAAAGCCAGGTGATGGTGGATCATATGTTGAAGTTCAATTCAGATGTGTTGTATGGAAGCCATTCGTAGGGGAAGTGTTGACTGGATGGGTTAGTGAATGTACTCCTCAGGGAATTAAAATTAGATTGGAATTCTTTGATGAAATATTTATACCACGAGCATACCTTTTCGAAGGTTGTGAATTCAAACCAGTGGAAAAGGCATGGGTTTGGAAGCCTGATGAAGAAACTGAATTATTTATTGATATAAATGAAAAAATTAGATTCAGAGTGGAACAAGAGATTTTTGTAAATATCAAACCAAAATCTTCCAACGAGGCAGTTGGATTAGAAGAACCTACAAACAAAGCACCACCTTATGCTATAATGGCATCATGTCAAACTGAAGGTATGGGATGTGTCTCTTGGTGGGATTAAAATGAAATCTCACTCTGTGTGTACGTGTAAAATGTGTATATATTATTTCTATCAAACTAATTATATTGCATATATTCACTTGTAGAACTGAATTTCAAATTACCCTTAATGACTTTATCAACTGCCTTCAAGAAATCCTTTTCATTGGCAACTTTTCTTCTTGCTCTAATGGCAAACATACCAGCTTCGGTACACACTGATCTTAATTCCGCACCGGTGGCATTTGGACATAATCTTGAAATTAATTCCCATCTGATATCTTTTTCACAACTCATGGTTTTAGAATGAATTCTGAAAATATTGGCTCTACCTTCTAAATCAGGCAAGGAAAATTCAACTTTACGATCAATTCTACCTGGTCTTAATAATGCAGGATCCAAAGTGTTTGGTCTATTAGTGGCAAACATGACTTTAATGTTTCCTCTTGGATCAAAACCATCCAATTGGGTAATCAATTCCAACATTGTTCTTTGAACTTCATTGTCACCACCAGCACCATCATCAAATCTGACCCCACCAATGGCATCAATTTCATCAAAGAAAATAATACAAGCTTTCTTAGTTCTTGCCATTTCAAATAATTCACGAACCATCCTAGCACCTTCACCAACATACTTTTGCACCAATTCGGAACCAATAACTCTAATAAAAGTAGCATCGGTTCTATTGGCAACAGCTCTGGCACATAAAGTCTTACCAGTACCTGGAGGTCCATATAATAAGATACCCTTTGGTGGATCAATACCTAACTTGACAAATCTTTCTGGACTCAATAATGGCAATTCAACAACTTCTCTCAATTTTTCAATTTGATCCTTACAACCACCAACATCACTATAGGTAACATCTGGTTTTTCTTCAACAGTCATCATGGTAACTGTAGGATCAATTCTTGGTGGTAATGGTAGTTGAATTTCATACTTTTGTCGGTCTACACCAACTCTCATACCTTCTTCAATATCAGTTGGAGATACACGTTCACCTAAACCAACAACAAATTTAGCAATTTGCTTTATATTGATGACATATTTAGATTTAGTATCGGCATTTTGTAACCCTGGAGTGGTAGAAGCACTTGTTTGGGTAGCTTCAATAATCTTGGTGCATCTAGCCACTTGCAATGATTGCTCTTCTTGCATTCTTTGTTTGTCCCCAACAACATCCCATAGGTGGGGTGGAGCCAATCCAGTGTCACTTTCTTTAACTCCTATGTTTTCCTTTATCCTTTCTTCGATATCTTTTAAATCTTTTTCAATTTCCTTCAAGGATGTGGCGTATGGTGCAGCACCATAAGTTTTTAAGACTTGGATATCTCCTTCTGACAATGGCACAATCTTCTCTTGATTCTTTTCATCGTCTTCAGTAGGGGCTATATACTTGTCCCAATCAGCTTTTGGTGGCATTGTTGTGATGTATTGGTTGTGGCTTTCAGTAGTAGTTGGGTTTTTCAAATCAGTGGCAACAACTGTTTATTCGCCTCTCACTAATTTTCTGGTTGGGGCAAAAAAAATTGAAGCGAACGACAAAAAAAAAAATTGTTGCAAAATGCACGACCTGATATTTCTATATTCTATTACTCTATGTACAACTAATAAGCTCTGACAGTTGGAGGTACTGGCTTACATTCAGTTTCATCCAATGTGGACTTTATGACGTCACGGTAGTCTAATCTGACTTCATCACCAACTTGCTTTTGATAAGATAAAGTATGTTTCCACCAATTGGTATCATCTCGATCGGGGAAATCTTCTCGGGCATGGGCGCCACGAGATTCCTTTCTAGCAGCGGCAGAAACTGCTGTTTGAGAAGCACAAGTTAATAAGTTTTGCAATTCCAAGGTTTCTACTAGGTCAGAATTCCAAATCATAGATCTATCTGTGGTTTTAATTTCGGTAGCAAATGTTTTATGTACTTCTTGAATATGGTCAACACATTGATCTAATGTCTCTTGAGTTCGGAAAACTGCACATCCCTTTTGCATGGTCTTTTGCATCTCTAGTCTGATCTCGGCGGTAGATTTCGTTCCATCAGCGGTTCTTAATGTATGCAAATTCTCAATTGATTCTTTGCCTAGATAACTTGGCAATTGCCTGAATGAAGTTCCGGGAGTTAAACTATCTCTAATAGTGTGGGACACTGCTCTTCCAAACACAACCAAGTCCAATAACGAGTTTGCACCTAGTCTGTTGGCTCCGTGAACTGAAGCACAGGCAGCTTCTCCACAGGCTAATAGACCAGGAACAATCTCGTCATTGCCTTCATTCCCTTGTTTAAGAACTTCACCTTTCCAATTTGTTGGGATACCACCCATATTATAATGAACAGTTGGTAAGATTGGAATAGGCTCCTTAGTAACATCCACCCCAGCAAAAATATGAGCAGTTTCAGAAATACCCGGTAATCTCTCCTTTAATACAGAGGGTGGTAGATGGTGTAATTGCAAGAACATGTGATCTTTATCCTTTCCAACACCTCTACCTTCATTGATTTCAATGGTTATAGCTCGAGATACAACATCCCGACATGCCAAATCCTTGGCACTAGGTGCATATCTTTCCATAAATCTTTCACCTTCAGAATTAACCAAGAATCCCCCTTCACCTCTTGCACCTTCCGTAATGAGACATCCTGATCCATAAATTCCTGATGGGTGGAATTGAATAAATTCCATATCTTGCAATGGTAATCCTGCTCTTGCAATCATGGCGTACCCATCTCCAGTACATGTATGTGCTGAAGTGCATGAGAAATATGCCCTACCATACCCACCTGTAGCAATAATAGTCCTATGAGCTCGGAATCTATGTATAGTACCATCTTCTTGATTATAAGCAACAACCCCGACACATTCTCCATCATGCATTAGCAAATCCATAGCAAAAAATTCAATAAAGAAATGGGTATCATGTCTTAGTGCTTGTCCATACAAAGAATGTAATAATGCATGACCCGTACGATCGGCAACTGCACATGTTCGATATGCTTGTCCGCCTTTACCGTATTCCTTGGATTGTCCTCCAAATGCACGTTGATATATCCTGCCGTTCTGATCTCGTGAAAATGGAACACCATAATGTTCAAGTTCATAAATTGATTCAGCAGCTTCACGAGTCATATAATGGATTGCGTCTTGATCACCAAGCCAATCAGAACCCTTGACGGTATCATACATATGCCAATGCCAGTCATCCTTATGCATATTCCCCAAAGCACCGTTAATTCCTCCTTGGGCAGCAACAGTATGTGACCTTGTAGGGAACAATTTGGAAATACATGCAGTTGAGAAACCAGCCTCAGCTAATCCGAATGCTGCACGTAGCCCTGCCCCGCCTGCTCCAACAACAACACAATCATATTCATGATCAATTATTGGATATCTGAGTGGGATAGAACTGTTGGTTCTTCCTTGAATTGATCCGATTGTTTGTGGACGTCTACATGTATATGAAAATAGACGTTTTGTTAGTCTTGTGCCAATTGAGTGGTGTAACCTGGTCATGAATATGGATATGGTTTTGATATAGTCTACTATTGGAAACATCTATCCTGCATGTAGTTCTAAACCAATCAAGAACCATAATTGCGATGATTCTATCTGTGTCACGTGAGGTTTTACACGTGCTGTTTTTTTTTTGCAGCAAAGCATGAAAAAGACAGTTTCCACTGTGACTGACAAACTCCGTCTCGAATAGGTATATATGATGATAACTCTCCAAAATTATACGTTCCACCAAGAAACCTTAATGAATATGAAACTGAAAGCTTTGTAAATTGGTGTAATGGTGACTTTTTTTTTTTCTTTGGTTCATGTATTCGATTGCAAGTTAAGAAAACTTGCGCAAAAATTACTTTAAAGAACTATTTAATAATAACGCGACTAAAGTTAAAAATAAACAAATCGACCCCATTCTAGATTTTCAATCGAGAATTGGATTCCCGGAGGTATTACTGGATCAAAAGGAAGGTTCTACCCAATTGCGAGTGCAACCAGTTTGACGATGCTTATATTCAGAACATGACACATATTTTTGCAGCAAAAAACTTTATCAAAAACTTTGATGAAATTTACTATGCCCTTTCCTCTCCAAGATTGCAGTTCTAGACAAGAGTGCATAATGGGAAGTTGCTATTAGATAAGTTACGATAAACTTGAAATTGTAAAGTGATTCTAGAAAATTTTGCTTATTTTTGACGGAAATTCAGGGAAATAATCGCAAAGACGCTACCTTACGATAAATAGGGGCTCAAATAGGGATTATCAACAAGAAAAACATCCCCACTTAGAAGTAATAATATGTGCCACTACCCGGGATGGAGAGATATTCGGTTGATCTAGTGAATGTTGCCACCAGCAAACCTACCTAATTCTGCTTGTTTACGTAATTCAGGACCAAAGCAAATGTTGAACAATAGAAACCGAAATTGGGATCTAGAACTGAGCATAAAATAAACTCAAATCTTTTGAAACAAAGCCCAAAAATAGGATTTTGTTTCTTTGCATTCTTCATATAGAAAATAAAGAAAAACTACTCTGTACTTGATTACCCCCCAACTGCGCCCTGGCGCACCCGAGGAAGATATTTTTAGTCGAATAGTATCGCAAGAAAATGTGTGATTCATTGTAAATAATAATAAAATAATAAAATAATCGTCGTCACCCTGACTATCCAGATCTCAATTCTGCCAGAAAAGGGTAACATCATGTGCTTTTCTGTATAGAAAAATATGGAATAAATCCGATCCCAATTTATTGTCAGGAGGGTTACACCCCCCCCAACAATTATAACAATTGCGTAGTACTACATAAATTTGCAAACGGTTGATTGTCTTTTTCGGGCGTAAAGGGATTGGACCACAAAATCTTGAAAATAAGATATTGCTTGAAACCGAGACAAAAGCCCATGTCTAATTTTTGTATTGTTGGGAACACTTGTTTTTTTTTTGTGTGTCTTTGACTTTTCTTTTTTTAGAGGTGTAGATATTTTTAAGTATTACCTTACAACAATGACATCTCTCTTAATTCTGGATACGCGGATATGTGACAGCATGGCATTTTCGGAAATCAGCGGTGTCAAAAGGTGCAAACTGTATAACCGTATTTTCTGCTATATGCTTTTTTAACAACCACATTACACCCACTGTTTTTCTTTTTGTTTAACTCTGTGTAATGGTTGAATGCATGAAGCTGAAAACAAACATGTTTGTTTGTGTACACCACAAATAAATAAACGAACTCTTTGTAGAGAAGTACAACGCCGGAAACATAGTGTTGCGAATCATGATCCATACTTCCTGCTTCTCCTTATTCCAGCAATTGGACGCGACTTACCAGGCAACAATGAAAAGCGACAAACCAGGCGTAATAGAGGATGAAACACACATTAGGACGAGCGTGCGAGACCAAAAAATAAATAAAATAAAAACTGAATCTTAAACTAAATGCCAGATAATGATAATAATAAATATTGTTATAAAATAAAATTATATAAATAATAAAAAAGGAATGATCCTTTATTCAAACATTCCATAGCTGAATGCAATGGGTGGGTAGTTCGGGACACGGAATGTGTTCATTCTGTGTATTTCAGTGAAACTTCGTAAACGAAAGATAAAGTGGGAATATGAAATGGCCCTTCTAGGTTATGAGTTTGGCATTCTACCGAAGGCGAAAAACTCGAGGCAGTGGTCACGTCCGCTTGCAGTTCGACCCCATAAATTAGGCTCATGTCTCTTTTATAGATATGAGGCAATAATATGTGCCCTAAAGTATCTTGAAGCACTTGACTAATAACCCTAAGCAAGGGAGCTTAACTTATGAAACGGTATAGTCACACACTCCCCTATTTAATAATTTACGCAATTGTGCAGTTTAGAATTGATGATCCTCATGGTTTCTCTCCACAAAAATTGAGTTAACTTTTCAAACATACATTGTTAGAAATATTTTTACAATCTTTACAAAATGCAAGTATATATTTTTTTAATAGCATGGGACAAAACAACGTAACCATAAAGCGATGACTTGTTAGAGGGGATTGAAAGCAAACTATTTTTTACATTTTACAGGTTAATAGGTTATTGCTTTTTTGGTTCTTTTTTTTTCCTGCTGATTCTGAGCCTCCAAATGGGATGGGATTATTATAATCGCGCCCATTTTACAGAAACAATAGAGAGAAAATGCACTCATTACTGTTTCCTGAAGATTTTTATCATTCCACTTGGAAGGTGACAAGTATAGCAATGATACAAAAGGGGCTATGAAACAGGTTTACCGTTATTTAATGTTTTATTCCTGCATGGGTACATCGTATTTCATCTGAGTTGCCGCGGGACATATATGAGTAAGTTTTGGGCTATGTTAAGTTAGTAATCACCCCCCTAAGAGGTTTATAACAATGACCTCACAAATTACCTAGTTTGTCTTAAGAAAGTACACGTAATTAATATTTTTTAAAAAACGGTTTGATAATTTCTCTTCTCGATGGATCTAAATTTTTGTTGTTGCCCGAGAACACAAAAAACTACAATTTACTCAGCAATTAAAAAAATATATTTTTTACACTGTAATAAAGAGATCATCCAGGCAATTTTTTTTTGTAAAAAAGAAAAAGCAATAAAAATAATCATTTGTTTTTAGAGTAAATCAGAGTGAAATTAGTGTAATAATAAAAAAGACTCAATAAAAAAACAAGACAGACAATGTTGCAATTTCTAAAATTTTTCTTAAAAAACAACACTTCCAATTGATACACCGCAAACTCTTGTTATGAGGTTTAAACCAAAATAACAATTGGTTAAACATGACGGTGGAATTTACATCAGAATACATACCACTGATGACGAAAGACATACCCGGCAATGTAATATTGCATCAAGAATCATCGGTAATATTTCCGATTACTTTTTAATAGACGTCAATAAAAATGCACATTTGAAATTATTTTTGTTTACGAAGAGTGTGATGTAAAAAAAAAAAAGATTTACACCCCCCTTCTATTGCCACCCCCCCTTGAGCAGGAATAGTTTGTATGAGGATAAAGTCCAAGTAAGTTCAAGTACATGCATATGACGAGAAATTGTCCTGAAACAGTAAAAATAATTTGAAATTTTTACTCTATTTTACACTTTATTTAATCAATTTTGCAGATTGTGTGAGATAAAAATTAACCCAATTGGAAATGGGACAATTATTTTTTTACATTCTCACTCACTCACCGCTTAACCTCCTTGTTTTTTTGAATTCTCTCGGAAATATTTAAGAATTTAAAACTTAAGAAAAATAATAATAAAAAGTGAAAAAAGAAATTCACAAATATGTAAGCAAAAAAAAAAAATAAAAATAGCTGTACCGAACCTGCATCACTACTCTTACTCTGCGTATATTTTTATTGTTATTGTTATTTGAGTTGGTTTTATATTTTTTATTATTTTTTTTTTTGAAGCTGCATATTTTTAACAACCAAAAATATTTACAATAATTGCAGTCAATAGTTTTGAGGATATATAAAAGAATATCAAATTCATTCCAAATTAAATCAACTGTTATATAATCAAACAAAACATAGTATAAAGCTTTTTTAATCCACTACAACTACATTTTTTTTACATTTCACACCTACACCCAAAGACGCTCCTTACATAAACTCCCACCATGGATCAATTTTATATTAATAACTATATAAAATTTGTATGGATAATATTATGCCATCGCAAGTCTACAGCAAATACCGAATTCAATAGTTTCAAATCCTTTCAAGCATTCAACAACAAGTATGGGAAATTTATTCAACAACTTATTATTAATTCACAATTAAGTTCCACTAACTTAATGATCAGTTTGTATTACTTATACAAGTACTATCACCATAACCACATTTTAGACTTTCAATTTGATGAAGATGTTGAAGAATCAAGCATGATTGTCTATTTAGTTATCACATCGTTGATATTATCCAATAAATCATTTGACGACCAATCATACACTTTAAAGACTTGGTTAATTATTATTAATAACACTAAGAACCACGTGATCAAGGTTGATTTAAAGTTATTGAATTATTTAGAAGGGTATTTCTTGTGTTGTTTAGATTTTAAGTTGTCTTTTGTCGATATGCATAACGATGATCAATTTTGGAAGGTATTTACCAGCAGTGCTACCATTTTTAAGGTTAACAACACCATTATTGGAAAGTTTAAATCATTAGTTGAAGTTTCAACTACCGAACCAACCGCAAGTTGTTCATGTGATGAATCGGTTATCAGCAGCACGTTTTCATCTCCATTATTATCTTCTATCATGTCTCCATCTACAACTATAAACTATTCTTCACCATTATCTTACACACCATTGACGCCATTGACACCATACGAATATACTGGCAAGAGAAGAAAGTTGTTACCTAACGTTCACCAAAAGCAGCCAATAGCACTTCCATCTTCTTCAACTATGTTGCCAGTACCAAGCTCTTTACAATTTCCTACAGTAATGATGGCTCCTATGTCTACATTACCACCACCAGTGATGATGCCAATGATGGTACCTTCGTTACCTTCCCAAGCTATGATTGCTCCAGCTTTACCCTCACAAAATGTTCAATCGTCATATTACACCAATACTCCAATGTATTGGTAATCTTGCATCTCTACAGCATATATATATATAGTTAGTTTGTCTTTCGGAAAAGGGTTTTTTTCAGGTTAAATATTTAATTTTATAATGGGTTTAATAAAGGTTTCTAATACTTTAAGTAATATATCAAGTTGTAGTTCTTTTGGTACATCGCTGTTTCTGGATGAAGCGATAATATGTAATCGACTATGTTCAACAATGTATTAGAACTGAAATAGAAAAGACGAGGTTGTCTGTCGTCTGGCGGAGCTAAGAATGTTGATTAAAAAAAATAAGTTTTAGTCAGAATCGTGACTTGATGAAGAGAATAAAATTTAGACGGTTTGTTGCATAACAACTTAATCAAGAAAATAACCAAAGTTAACATTTTAGCTTTAACATGGAACAGTCAACATAAGCTTTATTCCTATTTGAACTAAAGGTAGTGCTCATAATTGTCCTCATGCGGAAAGATTTATTTGGTGGTCTTTATTTTTTTTTGCAATCAGGATTATATACAGGACAGGATGAGCCTTCTTATAAATCCGATTCTCCCGTTAAGAATTTTTATTTACATTCTCTCGGATGTGGGTACCAGAACGCAACACAAAATATGTAACTCTGCCCGAACATTTTTTTTTCTTGAACTAAATTCGTAACTTTTACTCCTTTGAGGCCCGAGCGATTTCTTTTTTTTAGTGATGACATTTTATTATTCTCCTGGAAATATTGTAAACTGCTGATTACGGTCATGAAGTTTCTTCAAATGCCGGCGCTAAATAATTTTTGAAAGGAGGCAGGAAGCAGGAGGCAGGAAGGAACTTAAACAAAAGACTCCTGAAAGTGATAGAAGGCGGGTTAAAAATAGACCGCCCACCGTGGTTGCTCAAGCAAAAAACAAAATGTAATTCAATGTTTCATATGTAATAAATTAATTATTAGCCCAAGCAAAAAGATAAGCAAAATCTTATTTTAGTCAGATGTTACTTTACAAACAATGAACTGGCATTATTTGTTGCGAAGGGGGTCGTGTAAATCAATTAATTTTTGCAATCTAGGTGTTGGCATTATTTTTTCGTTAAAAATTTGCTTGCTTTGTGTAAATTTCCAGCTAACCTGTAAATTCCAACAAAGAAATTTACTAAACCAGCAGTTTGCTAGTTAGCTGACACCCCCTTTCTGCACTATTTCCTCCCACTATTTAAAAAAAATTATCTTCTCATGCCAGTTACAAAAAATATTCTATACAATGGAAACATATAATTGAATTAGTTCTAATTGTTAGAGATTTCAAACAACTACGCCCTGCTTTCCACGGAGACAGTTCCATGTAGAACAATGTGCTAAAAATACTCAACACTCAACAAGAAATTGCGCATATACGAAAATTGAGTTGATACTGCGTTTCAAATTTGTAACAACAGGTCACTTTTGAGTAACGTGTGTATTACTGTAAATCACCCTTGTGTGAGCTTTTGCCTTTCAAAGTAATGTGTTCATATTATTTTCTGGCGGTTAATTACTTGCTTTTCTTGGACAATTAGCGTTATATGTAGGGCGTGCTATTTGGTTCTAGTCCACCTGAAATGCTGCTAAATTGGTACAACTAAACAACAACATTACATTACATATGGCCCCACAATTTTGATCCAAGAAAAAACAAATGTTAGTTTGCGCTGCCAAATGATATGATAACAAATGATTTAAAAAAAAAGAACAATACTATTGTTTGTTATGTTCATGACTGTTTTTTTTTGTTTGCTGACTGCATGGTTTAAACTGAGACGATGAGAGAACAAAGACATACAGACGAGAATGTCTATAAGGAGAGAAATGGGAATAATAACCGAGTGCAAAGGACTGACAAGTTTCAAGACTGCCAGAGGAAGAGTATTGAGCTTACAGTTATGTCCAAAATGGGATCATTCTTGATCAGTTCTCAAAGTAAAGCGACAAGAATTCCAACCATGTGGAATAATCGGATCTTGTGGGGCTATATTTTGTGACCGGTGGGCAAAAGAAGCGAGCAAATTAGAATCATTGGTTCTCTCTAGAATGCTATTAACTGCCCCATGTAACTCTGGTAGCATTATCTAAAACAAACTACAAAAATCTTAGTAGTATTACATTTAAATCTATATAGCGAAAACTGAGCTATTTGGAGACCAGATTATGGAAAGACAAGTTTCAAAAACTAAGTGAATTAAAGGTGCATCGATTTCTTCTCCTTTTATGCAAAATGAAGTTTCTTTCAATCAAAACTCAAACCAACATTGTTCAATAACTCCAATGCATGAATTGTTGTATCTACACGAGTTTCGATAGCCTTTCCGGCATATTCAAAATATTATTTGGGCAATTAATTACAATGCCATCAATAAAATTTACTACATATATATTTTGGAAAGAAACAACACTATTGAGAGAGAATATGAAGCATCCGCAAGTTCAAATTCATCAGTTTTCCAATCCAACAAGCTACGACAAGTAACAAATTGTGTGAATCTTTTTGGACACACGATGTTTCTCGTTACAATCGCAAGTTATAATAGAATTACGAATATGGAGGAACCAATTGCATCATTCATTACCAATACAATGTAATCGTTCAAGACTTTCAAATGTGTTACAGCGAAAGCATTTGAAGATATTATTGTGGTTACGAACAAAATGAAAGAGATTCTAACTGATCTAGAGTTCTTGTTGAATCAAGTACGAGAAGCGTTTTCAGGTACATACATGAAAGAAGTGGTTGGTGTTTCCTTGGAGGAAGTTGCAATCGAGATTTTCCTGCTCCTGGCTAAACAGTTCTTTCTGCTAAACACAGGATAACATAGCAATATTATCGTTAATTGTTTAGTAAAACAATTCAAAGTTTCGCAAAATAAGCAGGAGTAAGCAATGATAATTCATCAACAAACAATGCATAAACAGATAACCATCGTGCTAAATAGGGTGGATTCTTTGGTCCAAACTTGACATACTGTTCTTCTTTCTCTTCTCCAAGAGTAATGTCCCAAATCGATCCATTGATATGCTGTCTGAACAAGAACAGACAGCTTGTCAAATAACTTGGACCTTTGTGATTTTATTGACCTCGACTTTCTTGACTGCTGCCATTTGACTAAGGTGCTGGATATTGGTTACCTCCCCAACGCTTTGCCCGGTCATGGAAGTAACTGCAAAATTATTTCTATCCTTTTGTTGTAATCTCCGCTTGATATAAAGCAAGGTAACACTCTTTCCATCTCATGCTGGGGAGGTAAACAAAGTCGAATATTCATTCTCAGTTGAGTTTATATTTGAGATTGTTTTAAAAAAGCCAATGAAGCCATCACTGATAAGAATACTACAATGTATGTGGTAACCAATAGAATAACCTCCATAGCTGAATGATCGAAATGCTTTCCGGCAAGAGTAAGTCTGTTCATTTCAAAATCATATTTATTGTCGGCCCTTAATACAGCCTTAAATATTTGAAATCCATTATTGATAAAACAGTTTCTGCATTCTTGAAGATATCACAGTTAACCTCCTAACAACTAGTCTGTGACAACTGAACAATATTTCTTGAGAATTTAGCCAAACCTGAATTGGTGAAGTATTTTGAACTAGTTTACCAAGTAAAACGACTTTGGTGTTGAGCATTTGTTCAGTCAAAAGTGCAGCATATGGACCTAAGTATTAAAGTTGGAATGAATTTCCTCATCCACATCATAGAAAAGGTTAAGTTGGTATGAACACATTTTTCAAGTATACAATTATTTGAGAGCAGAAGACAAAACAGTGATTCTGGTTGCTTTGGATATAGTTTGCCACGTTTTTCAGTGGTGATCAGGAAATCAGATGTTTCATATTTGTTGTCTTTACGAGTCTTAAGCCAATTATAAAACTTTAATGTGTACGTGTTCCTAAAGATTTTGCATAAACTTAATCCGAAGTATTCTGACACCTAGGATTGCATGTTACCTTCCTTGGACTGCAGTGTGTCCAACCTAAGGAATCATGTGCTAAGGTAAAGTTTTTTGTCGTGGCATAATAGAAGGAAGTTGGTCCACACACTCGTTGTGGTCCATAAACCTTTCCACTTCTGTTATAAATTTTATCGCACCGAATAATCAGGTCTAGTACAAGACTTAATGTAAACCGGGCTCCATGTAACAAATACGATAACTAGTAATTAAATAGTCTAAGCAAATAAGGACAATTTGAGCAGTATTTGTAACTTTCTAATTTGATCTAGATCAAATCACATAAACTTACAGGAAAATCATCCAATACCCACAGCTTAGTTAAGCACGAATGCACCATATGCTATAAAACTTGTTCGATATATCGATCATTTATATAATTAGATTCCATTCATGGGGTTTGGAAAAAATCGAGGTCTAACTTCTCAGACTTTATTCTTGCTTTTCCTAAGAACTTATTAAATGCCTCATACAACCCAACAAGCATTTACCGACCATTCAGAAAAGAGAGATAAATGATCAGAGCTTGTTTATTCATTTTCAAATAAATATTTAAAGGTTTAAGATTTTTAACAGTAGTTTAAACTAGACAGCATTTGCGGATACCAAGCCATATAGTAACAGAACTTTTTGAGTTAAAATTATCTAATATGGGACAATTATGCTATCCAATTTATAGAAATAATTACTCAAGTACAGGAAAGATTTTATTATTGAAGAATCTGCACTCATGTGATACGAAAGAATAGATGTATTATTAGTTCTGCAAAGAGTATTCCAGACTGGTTTTTCGATTTTGATAAAGTCCACTACTTTTAAATCAATTGGTACGCTTTTGGTAGCGCTTAGGTTGTGACACATACACGACTTTTCTCTATTTGATCCTGATGAGTATTCCTGGTCTCTACTTTTTCATCAAGGTTCACTCCGCAATGATTTGTGGATTATGTCAAGAGCAAGAATCAAAATATAAATGTCCTAAATGTAAAGTACCGTACTGCTCGATAGCATGCTACAAAAGTGAAGCACATAAACATGAAGAGAAGGAACTGAACCAATCTACACCGAAGGTTAATATTGCTATAAAGCAAGAAGATATCACAGACAACAAATATGCTTCTGTAATTAATGATCCTCAAATTAAGAGTATGTTGCGTGAACCAGCATTACAAGTGCATTTGTTAACAATTAGTAAACTATTGAATGAAGATTCCTTAATTCAAGGTAATGTTAATTATGACCAACGTTTAGAACTAGTACGATTGAAATTGCAAGATTTAAGGGCAGGTGGGATTGAAGAGAATGAATTGGTCGAGGAGTTTATCGGACGAGTGTTACAATTACTTGATGAGTGATTAGTCTGTATATATTTAATCTATAAATTTAACACTAACTACAATTTACCACCCCAAATATTCTTTGGTTGTCCATTCAAGTTACGATCCAACTTCAAGGAGAACAAGAATCCACCTAAATCACCATCTTTATCTTCAGCTCTAGAATCACAAGTAGGTTTTTCTAAATCTAAATGACCAGTAGTGACGAAAAGTGTATCGCCTTGTTTACCACCAATGGTGGCACAGGTGATTCTTTCAGCAGGAAGCGAAATCTTTTCAACAACTTCACCTTTAGCATTAACATGTAAAACAGTTGAAGTACTGAAAATAGTAGTATAGATATCACCATCTTTAGTCATGACTAACCCATCTGGTTCTGGACTTTCAAAGTCAGGATAAATCTTCTTGGTTTCAATAAATGGAGTCTTATTACTTAAAGTGTTTGTCTTGTAATCATAATCAAATCTCCAAATTGTAAAAGTTAATGAGTCAGTCCAGAAAAGCTTGGTACCATCTTCACTAAATGCCAACCCATTAGCAATTAAAGTGTTATCGACCATAGTTTCAATGGTGAAGTCAGTTGTGTTTATTCTGTAAAGCTTACCTTCAGGTTTAATTCCTTCTGTAGTAGCAACGTTGAAATCATTCATGACACCAATCCAAAGGTGACCCCATGGATCAACAATACCGTCATTAGATCTTAATCTAACTTGCTGTTGTTCATCATGTGGATATTTAAAGAAATACTCAATTTCTCCGGTGGAGAAATCACCTTTGGCGAGTCCATATTTGGAACACACGACAAGAACATCTTCTTGCTTGGTTAATGCAATAGCACCAACTGTTTCAGCAGGGTTTTTCCATTTTAAAATCTCATGCTTGGAGGTATCACTCAAACTAATTCGGTGAACTTCACCAACAATAATATCTATCCAGATTAAACTATCGTTTCTTGGATCGTAGGTGATACCTTCGGTCAAACGACCTCTGTATGAAGGAACGAGGATGTTTTCTTTGCTTAATGAGAAAGTCATGACGTTTAATACGTTATGCAGTTTATATAGCAAGTAGGAAAAACATGTGGTGAATTTGTGGGTGATTTTTTGCTAAATTTATACGGTTGATATTCCACCGGTTGCACTTCCTAATTTGGACAGATCGCCGCCCCAAAGAAAAATTGTTTTTCTTTGACAATTTTTGCGGTGCGCGCCCCCACCTTCTGTTCCCTTCCCTTCCCTTCCCTTCCCCCACCAGAAATAGCACTGTTGACTAACCTACCATTGATAATAATTAATTGTACTCTGAAAAAAGCGGTGTTCTTTACACCAAACTCGAGTACCACGAGATATAGGAATCCTTAAAGAAGAACGATTGTTCTATTCAGCAAGTTTACTACAACTGCGAGTTCATATTCAACCATTGGCTGAACAAGAAAACGCCAAGAGCAATTTAGCCATTAGACTGTTGCTAATTTTTTTTAAAAAAGCAATAGAAAGAATCTACATGTAACTATCGTTTTTCTATTATTAAGGAAGAAATTAATTGTAGATAATTTTATCTTGGCAAATTCGAAAATCAGTTGGTAGCACTAAAGAGTTGGGAAAGAAGCAACAATTGTACAAAGACTACGAAAGTAAAATTCTTCCTAAGATGCAACTCGACATCATGTTGTGAAATCCTGTCATTTTTATTTGTAAAATAAAGAAATGTTTCACAAATGAACCATAGTAAATGTTTGTGTACAGTAAGATTCGAATTAAGCTATCATGCATATTTTCTTCTATTTTGCGTAATATTTGGTAAAACTCTTAAGCGAGATCCAAGTTCAACTTTCATAGAGATTACGTCATATCTTGATCACAAAAGGTGAGTTTTACCTTTACATGCCTCTTCTAGCAGGAAATTTATTTGAACTTGAAACCCTGAATGTTCCGTTTCGACCCTTGAGTTCTTTTGATTTACATTAAGCCCAGAACGTTTTGTACAACTGTCATTCAAAACACTTTCCTTTATATCCAGTCCTTACAATATACAACTGATACTTGGACGGATAATAATTTGTCTTTAAAATTAGTTGTAAAGAGAGATGAGACTCAGTTTGTATTAATGTGAATCAAATTTATAAGGAATACGATGGCAAGAATCTACATTCACCAGGAATTCACATACTTAAACACAATAGGAGAAGGGAAAAAGAGGTTCAGATCATGGACCAGATTTATGTTAGCATTCACAATTACTCCTAGCTAAACATGAAAGATATTGAATGTTTCAGATCAGATTGCTGATTGTGGTTTTAATCATTCAAACTTCACAAAATCAAATGTTTTAAAAAAGTATTTGTACGCAGTCGAGTGACCAGTTTTGCAACCAAAATATAATATATAAACATGAGAGTTTATCCCTGATTATAGAGTGGCCCCTCACTTTTTTAGCCTATCAATTGATCTATAAGGTCTATCCATTTCTTGAAACAAACTTTTGAGTCCTTCCTTTATTAAGAAAAGTTTTAGTTATTCAACATGAAGTTATCTCAGGTTGCTTCAATCTTATTATTTACAACGATTACTCTGTGCAAAGTTGTAACTGAAACTAATACCCAAGTGGTTGTCGTACTTGATCCAATCACAATTCTTATCAAAAACGGAGAAGAAGCCAGTGCTATTCCGATTGAACCTGGTCAAGCCAAAGTGAAAAATCTAGCAGTCCCAGATAAACCTACAAAAACTGCTACCAAAAAAAACTGCTTATAAGAAGCCTGTTCCTAATTAGGTACCAGATTCCACAAGAAAATCCAAAGAATAATCCCTTATGTATAGTTACTGTTAATTGATATACCCTCCCTTTTGATTTGTTCTTTTTTTTTTTCTATCCGGAGAGCAGTCGCTTGAAACCGGTGCATCTAGGTTCGATCTAGGCCCTAGTTGCTGGAGCTAATGTCTATACAATATCAAGCTCCCATAAACCAGACCTCTCCCTTGAAGTGAAACAAGATTGTTTACAACGGCACAAAAGACGATCGATAGATATACTTGCAGTGTCCCATTGATTCATATAATCTACACGCTAAAATTTACGCCAATATCCAAAACGTATTCTATGTGTGTTCTATTACTATATATCTCTATTATCTTGCAATTGCAAATCTTGCCATTCTCTCGCTAATCGAATCATAGCTTCGGTATCCATAGATGCATCAATAACATCTAGAGGCACTTGTGATTCACTAAATTCTTTCTTTGCAAAGGCACCCAAATTGGTTTCATTTATAATTCTAAACTCATATGAATCATCATGAATGGCACTGGTATCTAATGTTAACAATTCATTCCAAGTAAATAACAAAGAATCAGATTTTCTCGAGAACGGGTTGATATCAATTACGTACACCTTGTCAAACGGTCTTGGAATGTAGACGTCTAAAATGTATTTATCAAGGGTAGTATGACATCCTATAGTGGGTATGACTTTATCATATACAAATTCGGATATCTTTTGGTCCAACTCTTGTTTCAAACCTTCTAAATATTCATAGTGGTTTAAATCTCGTTGGGAAATTCCCAAGATCTTTTCATCTTTGATAAATACTCTAAATTCTAATGCGGGATTAACATCTTGCCATTGTTTTAGTACTAGTTCATACTCTATTTCAGGGAGCGATGTGCTTTTCTCAACTGCCAGAAACGGAAAATCGAGATCATCAACTATATGATCTGAAGACTTTAACAATAAAAAGATATCATCTATAGAAGTACATTTGGTGGTATTCCCTGCTAGTATCCACTTGGCATCTTTTGGAGACGACCAGTTTAATTTAGGCGTAACAACCCCACCCAAGTCATTCATATGTTTAGATACTTCTTGTTGAAAATTTACTAATGACGCTTCTTGTTCGTCCACTTCCACCACCTTTTGTTCTTCTTCTTCATCATCATCTTCCCAATCACTATATTCATTATCACTATTAACCTCCAAGGGAACTTCTCTTCCTGGTAACTTAATACTTTCACTTGCTAAATATTCTAAAAATGAAGATGGGATAGGCTTTACCACCTTTGAAGGGTATATATTTGCGGGAAAAAACTTTGACCAATTAGAATATGAACATTCTAATACTTCTTCAGGAGTAAGTTCTATAGTTTCAAATGTGGTATATGCCTTTGTCATTGTGTGATGTCTTTTGATGACAAATGTATTCTTGCAGCACTTAAGCTAAAGCAAATTGTACTTTTGTGAAGGCATGAGCAAACCAGTCACGTGCTCAAAATTTCCAGGCAGCAAAAAAAAATTTTTTTTTCCTTCTTTGCTTTGTTGAAAGAAAAAAAAGGACGCGAGGTTCAATTAGAAGGCAACATTACTTACGTTTTAGCTGTATCAATTAGGACAGGAAGAACTATACAATGGCACAAGTAGCTAGACCTGCAGTAGCTCCATCTAATGCTACTTTCAAAGATAAAGAAAAACCACAAGAAGTTCGTCGTGCCAATATCTTGGCTGCAAGAGCTGTTTCAGACGCCATTAGAACTTCATTAGGTCCTAAGGGTATGGACAAGATGATCAAAACCAAGACCGGTGAAATCATTATTTCCAACGATGGTGCCACCATCTTACAACACATGGCTGTCTTGCACCCTGCTGCTAGGATGTTGGTCGATGTCAGTCGAGCTCAAGATGTTGAAGCCGGTGATGGTACTACTTCGGTCGCTATTTTAACTGGGGCTTTCTTGGGGGCTGCTGATAGATTATTAAATAAGGGAATTCATCCTACTTTAATTGCCGAATCCTTCCAAAGAGCCGCCCAACGAGCTTGTGAAGTTTTATTGGATATGTCATACGAAGTTAAGCTCGACGATAGAGAACAATTAATTAGAGCCGCTTCTACATCTTTAAGTTCCAAGATCGTGTCCCAACATTCTCAATTGTTGGCTCCTTTATCCGTGGATTCTGTTTCAAAAGTCATAAATGAAGAAAAGAACAATGTTGATTTGAATGATATAAGATTAATTAAGAAAGTTGGTGGTACCATTGATGACACTAAATTAATCAACGGTGTCGTATTAACTCAAAATGTCGTCAAGAACGCCAATGGTCCAATTAGAATGGAAAAGGCCAAGATTGCATTGATCCAATTCCAATTATCACCACCAAAGCCAGACATGGAAAATAATGTCGTGGTTAATGATTATAGACAAATGGATAAAATCTTAAAGGAAGAAAGGGCATATTTATTGAACATTTGTAAAAAGATCAAAAAGAGCAAATGTAATGTTTTATTAATTCAAAAATCAATTCTTAGAGATGCTGTCAACGACTTGGCCCTTCATTTCTTGGCTAAATTGAATATCATGGTTATAAAAGATATCGAAAGAGACGAAGTTGAATTCTTATCCAAGGCTCTTGGTTGTAAACCAATTGCTGATATTGACAATTTCACCGAAGACAGATTAGGTTCTGCTGATTTAGTAGAAGAAATTGAAAGTTCAGGAAGTAAGATTGTTCAAATTACCGGTATCACTTCTAAACTCACCAAACCAACTGTATCAGTGATTGTCAGAGGAGCTAACAACCTTGTGTTGGATGAAACTGAAAGATCAATTCACGATGCTTTATGTGTCATTAGATGTTTAGTTAAACAAAAGGCATTAATTGCTGGTGGTGGTGCCCCAGAAATTGAAGTTTCAAGAACTTTAATGAGGGAATCAAATAAATTATCTGGGGTGGAACAATTCGTATACCAAGAATTTGCCCAAGCGTTAGAAGTTATTCCAACCACCTTAGCTGAAAATGCTGGTTTAAACCCTATAAATGTTGTCACCGATTTAAGAAACAGACACGAAAATGGCGAAAAGGATGCTGGTATTTCAGTTAGAAGATCAGGTACTTCCAACACGTATGATGAACATATCTTACAACCAGTATTGGTAAGTACTAGTGCTATAAGTTTGGCTAGTGAATGTGTTAAGTCTATTTTGAGAATTGATGATATTCAATTTAGTAGATAGGATAATAATATACATAATATACATCTATACCAATTTGACCGATCTTGATAATCCCTTTTTAATACCAGTCTTTTCTCCTTCATAAGGACCTTTATTAGAATCGTAAACTTGTCTAACGGATTTAAGTTTCTTTTGTGCCTTTTCGTATTGCTTTCTCTTTTTAACTCTGGAATTTCTGTATTCCTTCTTTCTATGTGGAGTAAGACCCTTATTCTTAAGAATTTGATAATTAATCGCACGCTTACCGTCATTACCGACTTCTTCTTGTAATTCTGCCAACTTACCTTCTTTAGCAGCCTTGACTGCAGCCTCATGAGCTGATTTACGTGATTCCTTCTTGCTAATTTTGCTTTGTTTGATAGAATCATAGTAATCATCCTCTTCACCTTGAGCAAAATCATCACCGGATTCTCCTCCAGATTCGCCAACATCTTCTGATTGTGCCAATCCTCTCTTTCTTGCTTCTTCAACTAAACGTTGTTGTCTTTCAAATAAACGTTCCTTATAAGGAATATCCATATCTCCAGAAAAGGTTTTGTTTTGTTTAGCAACAGCTTGGTCAATCTTGGAAGTATAGAAACGTAATGTCTTTTTACGACGTTTTTTATCTTCCAAGTCGACATCTTCAATTTCAGCAGATTCTGCAAAGTCGTCTGCGTTATGTCTGGATGCGTGTTTAATATTTCTTTGTTTGGTAACGTCAATTGCCAATCCGTTTTCTTCGACTTCTTCTTCGGCTTCTTCTTCGGCTTCCTCTTCGTCTTCAATTTCTTCATCTTCATCACTGTAGTTTTCCTTAGCATCAACAAATTGTTCTTCATCGTCACTTGAGAATGAATTGTCAGCATGTGCAGTTTCCTTGACTTCTTCAGGTAGCTCATTTGCTTGTCTCCACACTTCTCTGGAACTCAATATAGATTCCATAATAGGTTCATCCTTCATCGAGGTAAATTGGTCACCAGTTTTCAAATTATCTACAAATATAGCAAAGTATGATGTTATAGCACCCAAATATGCCGATAAAGCCACTACTTTGACTTCAATCAATGGATTTTGTTCTCTTGATAAGAACGATTCCAACTTTGGTTTAAGCTGGTTTAATTCTTTCAACAAAGGAGTGAACTCTGGGAATGAATGTTTAAGTAAATTTTGTTGCTCCGATGCATCCATCTTGTCTATGGAAGTATCAGTAGCAATATGTAAACGAGTGGTATCTTTTTCTTCATATGCTTCAGCAGTCTTTTGCCAATCTTGCATCATATCTTCATCAATATAATCATCCATGGCCAACTCATTCAAATGTTTCTTTTGCTGTCTCAAGGCTTCTTCAGTCATTTGCTTCATGTCTTCATCATCACTGACTTCATCACCACCATAGTAACTCTTTTTCCCACCCCAGCCTTTCTCTTCGTCTGCTTCTTCTTCACCTTCTTCAAGTTCGTTGTCATCATCATCATCTTCCATTCCTTCTTCATCATCTTGTTCTTCTTCATCGCTATCACTATCTTCTTCTTCTACAGCCATCACTTCTTCTTCTGAGGATTCATCAGAATACTGCTGGTTTGCATATTCTCCAGCTTGATCTAAGAAGATCTTTTCTCTATTGGCGTTGAAAGCATCAACTTCGTCCAAGTCAACGTCTTCTTCTATTCTTTGTCTGGCCATTATTGACGAACTTATAGTGGTATAATAGTCTTGCAACTTTATTAAAAAACCTCATCGCTAATTTTTTTTTTTGTGACAAACAAAATTTGGGCCAAATCAAATTTGAAATTTTTTACCGAATGAACTTAACAGTAAACAAGGTTGAACTAATGTCTAATCGATTAGAATCACTCAACTCAAAGAAACCAGCAGGTTCACCTGCTCCCAAGGGAGGGCTCAAGTTCAAACCAAAGGTAGTCCAAAGAAAATCCAAAGAAGAAAGAGACAAGGATGCCCCAATCATAAAACAGGAACAACAAGCGAGACAACCTGCGACCAGAGGCAGAGGATCCACTAGAGGTCGTGGAAGAGGTGGAAGAAACGCATACGCTGGTACACATTTAGTCACATCTGGTCCATTATCTGCGGGATCTGTGTCAATTGGGAATGTCAACGGTTCAAAGTCAGGCTTAACCAGCGATTCCATTTACAGCACCAGTATGTCACCAACCCCTGAATTTTTACAAAACTTGAAGTTGAAAGATAGACCAAAGTCAGTGACCCCAGGGGCAGAATCCGAGGAAGACGAAGAAGATGATCCAACTAGAATCAATATGACACAACAATATAGATTTGCCGATGAAGAAACAGTATTGTTCCCAGTAAGACCAGATAGAACAGAGGTGGAGAAAGATACTACTACTATCACCCTCAAATCCGAAGAACCAACCCGAGAAAACACTCCCGCCTTTAATCGAGAATCTCCCGTCAAGAGTGAGCCTCTAGAAGACAAGATTGAAAAGATTAAAGTATCCAAGGCTAAGCTTCAAGAAAGAATCAATCAAACAGATGATCCAACAGCATACGAAGAAAATAAGTTACTTGCAGACCATCAACAAATATTAGACCTTCTTACTCATAAATTTGACGAATTAAGTACTGATGAAGTACCAGATGACAAATTCATATTGTTCCAACTTCCAAACCATTTACCAGAGTATATAGACAAACAACAAGATGAATCAAGTGAAGTAAAACAAGAACAAGAACAAGAACCTTCACAATTAGCAGTGAACAAGACCAACTTACGTGGTCGTATTGGAAACATCAACATTCACCAGTCAGGAAAAATATCAATAGATTTAGGAAATGGCAACAAATTAACTGTCGCTAAAGGTGCACCAACCAATTTCTTACAAGAACTTGCATGTATTGAGTATGACAGCTCAGTGGCTGAAAACGAAGACGTGGAAATGTTGGATGAACAAGGAAGAAAAGTTATGGGTAAAGTTATCCGTTTAGGTACTGTAGATGAAAAGGTTATAGCTACCCCGTATATAAAGTAGTATGAATAACATAGAAAAAAAAAATTCACATACATTTTTTTTTTGCAACCAACTTCGGTAAACAATAATAAAACAACCACCCTCTCATGATTCACAGGCTCATATTGTAGGAGGAATCAAAATTGAAAATGAAGTGGGTTTATCAGTCGATATCAAGGAGTCCACAGCCGAGACTTCATGTATTGATTTAGCCAACAAGAAACTATTAATCTTCGAAGATTTTCAAATTTGTATTCCCTTCGTATATTGGTTGAATGATTATTGAAACAAAACCTAGTTCAATATATATATATATATTCACGGGCACCCCCAGATTTAAGTGATGCATTTAGAGGAGATATCTAGTGAATTTGGAGCATCTGTAAGTAGTGAGATTGTGGTAATCTATTCAAAGTTTGATTGTGAGAAATTAGTGAATTCACTACCAGAAGCTGATACATACCAAAGGAGTGAACAGAGTTTGGAAATCAAAGGATTAACAAATAGGTCCCCTATTTTAAGCCAAATCTTGAAGTATTAACACTATTTGGCTTGGAATTGAGAATTATATTGACCCAATAAATTCCAGGGTTGCGCCATTAATATACACCTTGAAATTCTGAAATTTTAAGGAGCATGTATTTATTGATGTGGAATTGCTTTATGTATTACAAATCTTACCTCCATTAAGAAAGAACTTACAAATGTCTGCTAAATTTTACAAGAATTTACTTTACAATCTGACTTCTGTTAAAATTAATAAGCGACAGAATGTTGTTACTATATTAACCCTTAATAAAACATCAAGAAAATATACAATATTATTTCTAATATTATTGGAGTAAAATCAGGCAAATAGATTAAAAGAATTAAAAAGCAGTACTTAAATTCTTGCAACACTTGGTTCCTTAAATAGGCTAAAATGTGAATGTTTTACCAGTACAGAAAATATCCAATTTAGTATCAAATATATTTTTGAAGGTTATTATGAAGAGTTCTAAACCTTCATAACTTTATCGTTCAATTTGAAGAAGTAATTGTTCTTGATAATCAATACAATGATATTTATATGTTTATCTGTCGTTGCAAAATTGAGATTGTTTATCAACTTCACGAAAGATTGTTAGTGTACAAGCAACCCAATATCATGAATGCTAGCTGCGGCAGTTTCTTTAGACTGTTTATGCTCATTAGCCGAGGTTTCACATTCGAACAATTATATTTATCCAAATGTTACAAATTCTGATGCCTTAGAAATAACTCAGAGAAGACACCTTTTAGTGGAAACTTTGCTGGATATTTTTATTATCCGCCCATGAAAAACCATTGTTTGCAACTGCAGGAAATCTCTCTAGAAAATCAATATACTTAAGACGAACTGGTCATATTGTGGTACTAGCTCAGTTAAAGTGTTATTTTCCTGCTTAATCTACCACTATTGGAATATCCCAGTAGACACTTACCAGAATCATTTCTAGAGAACCACTCGAGAAACCAAAGGAATCCATGTTGAAGAATACATCCTCTAAGTTAGATCATGGAGTGGATTTAACCTTGAAATTAACCAAGTTTGCTAAAAAGGAAGAACACGGATTGATTAAAGCTAAATCAGTGGTTACCAATTTTCTCGGTATACAGTTTGAAGATGGAGAGCTAGAGAAGCAAAAAATTAATCGACTACATAGCTGATTTGTGCAATCATTTACAAGTTAATTCTATAAAACCTATTTCTATTTAATTTCCCAATAATTTTGCAGTCAAAGATTCTAAATCTTCCAAGGTTTCAGGTTGTTCATATTCAACAAATTCATCCTTCTTTGTCTTCTTGTTTTCTTCTTCGAACCACTTAGGTTTCTTAGAAACTGGCTCTTCATCAGAAGAAGGTTGTTCCATATCACGTTCTAAATCAATGCCACCTAAGGTTGCAACAACGGGTTCTTCGTCTCCACTACCTAATTCTTCTTCTCTTGCTCTTCTTTCAATTTCTTTTCTCTTTCTCTTCTTTTCTTGTCTCTTTTGTCTAGCAACTTCTTTATCAACTTCATCAGTTTCCTTCATTACTTCTCGTTCCCTAGCTACGAAATCTTCCTTCTGAGTCTTGGCATCACCAGCCTTTATAAAATCTTCTTCTTCTTCTAATTCATAAATTGCATGTGGTACACCTTCATCGTCAAATACTAATTTGCTAGGATTACCCTTGGAAGCAATTGAAGCTTTCTTTGAAAGTGCCTTCTTGGCTTGTCTCTTAGAATTAGGAAGGGTTAAATCAGGTAATTCATCTTCATTTAATTCATGATCCTTTCTAGTCACTTTCATGAAATCGTCATCGCTATCATCATCACCTTTGGCATCTGTCATTTTCAAGTAGTGATCAGATAATATTGTTTGATTCTTTCTTTCAAACATACGATCGTACTTGGTTCTTACCTTAGAGGACTCATCCTTTGTTTCACCATCATCATCTGCCTTAGCCAATGCCAATAATTTTCTTGAAGCATTCTTCTTTTCCTTATTATCAGCACCGCCCTTGATTTTAATCTTTGGTGCACCAGGTAATCCCAATGATGCTGCGAATTTTTCAGCTGGAAGTTCATCAATCTTGAAAATATCTTTATCCTTTTGAATATGTACTGATCTGAAATATGAAATGAATGCACGTTGGCCCAAGTTCTTGATGGTTGGGTCTTTGAAACACAATGACTGTAATTGTGGTCTGATTGATTTCTTACTTTTCTGTTTAATATTCATAAACTTAGGGTCAATCTTGTGGATTTTCAATCTCTTCAACATTCCTTCTTCTTCAGAAGGTAATAACATCATTAATGATTTCCCTTGCCTTCCAAATCTAGCGGAACGACCAACTCTGTGGACATAAGTGGCTGCATCTTCCGGACAATCCACCTGAACTACCCAGTCAATAGCGGGGAAATCTAATCCTCTCGCCACAATATCAGTAGCAAAAAGACATGCATATTGTGCTTGACTGAACTTCATGGTTGTTTCCAAACGAGATGTTTGTTTATGACGCCCGTACAATTTCAACAAGGAAATACCTGGTTGTAATGTTCTAAAAGTCTCATAGGTATACTGTACTTGCTTTGAAGAAGAAAAGAACACCAAAATCTTACTTTTCAAATGTGATTTGATGAAGGACCACAAAACATCTAATTTCTCATCCAATGGTACCTTAACATAATATTGTTCTAATGACTCTGGGGTAGCTGAAATTTCTTGATCTGAAGAAACACCAATTCTTTGTGGGTTAGTCAAAGATAATCTGGCTAAATCCTTGACATTGTCTGATTGAGTAGCTGAAAATAACAAGGTTTGTCTAGTTGGAGGCAAGTGTCCCAAGATATTGTCTATCTGTTTCTTGAACCCCATATCCAAACATCTATCGGCTTCATCCAAGACCAATACTTGTAAATTAGAAGTTTCCATACCGACGGCTTCATTCAAATGTTGAGAAATTCTTCCTGGTGTACCCACCAATATGTTCATTCTTGATACTCTTTCCTTTTCATACTTGACATCTTTACCACCAGTAACAAGACCGGCAGAAAATTGGTTGTATTTTCCAATCTTGGTTAATACTTCGAAGATTTGCACCGCTAACTCTCTAGTTGGCGATACAATCAATGCTGCTAATCCATCAAATTCAGTAATCTTGTTTCTAATTAATGATTCGATAGTAGGAACTAAGAATGCTAAAGTTTTACCAGACCCGGTTCTGGCAGTACCCATAACATCTTCTCCTTTCAATGCAATGGGAATAGTTTTACGTTGGATATCAGTTAATGACACGAAGTTGGCTTCTTTTAAGCCTTGAAGGGTATTTTGCGTGATTGGCAAATCACTAAATTGTGATATTGAACTTTCGTCTACCTTTGGATCATAGTTGTTTATTCTTTCTTGTAGTTTATCCAACTCCTGTTGTTGTTTCTGACGACTTTCCTTTCTGCTGGAAGATTTCACAGCTTTCTTTCCCTTTGGTTTGGCCATTGCTGTTTGAAGTATTGTTGTAGTATCATATACTAGTGAATAATTTTTTTGTGAACCTCATCTCTTAGTTCGCGTGATATATGCAGGAAAAAAAATGTATGGAATAAATTTGCAGCATAAAGGGAGAGTAGAAGTTAGCACATATTGTACACTACGTAGCTAGGCAACCATTGTATATCACCTTAAACTGGATTTCAGCAGTAAGGGGGTTAACAATAAATTCATATCTACAGCTCTTTGGTGATCTTAAAACTAGCCAATTTTTTTAGTTGCAGTTCATACTAACAGTATCATGCTAAGATGAGAGACTATAACACTCAAAAATCATACTACAGGATACGAAAGCAAAGAATTTAGAACCTTGACAATCAGGTGAATGTTTGTGACCACAAAGACCTAACGCCGTTTAGATCAATAGAAAATAAAACGTACTTTTAATTATTTAGAATATGACACTATTCTTAGTACATGCTAAATTAAATCGAACGCCTGAACGCCTTATAACAAACAATGTGACATCATAGGGAAACAGTAGATAAACAGTGAATATTTTTTGTGGTATGATTTTTGGACTACTGCAACCCCGTATCATTTCTGATTTCTTGGCTCGCTCGGAACAATTTACGATTTCCCACCTTAAAATACTAGCCGGGTCCCCGGATTAACTGTTCGACAAACCTTATTTGCTTATGTCAGTTGAAACCACGAGTTACTTCTGTATTAAATGTTTGGTTTTGTTCTAGTTGCATATAATTGATTATTTTTGTATCTCTCTGAGGTTTGCTGGAAACCTGATCCTTTTCGCACTAGAGTTATCGCCACCCGTCCAAACGTTTTAGGACGCGGAGTCATGCAGAGCAATTAAGATCACTAATAATTTAAGATCTTTAGCAAAATAAAGAAAACATCAGGTTTTTACATCAACAGTGACCTTCTAGAAAAACGTGTCACCATATGTTCCGAGAAAATTTCTTTTCATGATTGTCCACGCATTTACATTTGCATCACTCTTTTTTTTTTCGCAGCTATATTTCTTGGTAAGGCATTTGTATTATGAATGGCGTATATGGTTAAAACGCCGGATGTTACCAATTATAGATGATACAAGCTCTGCAAAAAGAATAATATTGTATTCTGTCCAGATAGTATAAATAGGGGTTGGATCGACTTCATATCAGGCCTGAATCTATTCTCATTACAACAAACAAACACACACATACATACATCTACATACACATACAAAATAAACAATGCATCTCATATTCTTAATCATTTTGATGGTGACCTCAATCTCCATTGCAATCCCAATTAAAAAACTTCCCTCACCTCTTCCTGTTGTGAAACCAGTTTGTATTGAGGATGCCAACGGTGTGACCCATTGCTTCAGTAAACCTAAAGAGAATCCTCTGGACAAAAGTGGAATAGTTTTTGATGCCGAAAAGAGAGAAGAAGACCAATGCTACTTAGGCAAGGACGGAAAGATCCACTGCCTGCCAGAAGGCGACGGTATTGTTTTTGTCAAACGTGGAGAAGAAGACCAATGCTACTTAGACAAGGACGGAAAGATCCACTGCCTGCCAGAAGGTGACGGTATTGTTTTTGATGCCGAAAAGAGAGAAGAAGACCAATGTTACTTAGGCAAGGATGGAAAGATCCACTGCCTGCCAGAAGGTGACGGTATTGCTTTCGATGCCGAAGAGAGAGATAAATTATGCATAAAGGATGACAAAGGTGTTGAGCATTGTATGGGAGACTTGGATGGCCAAAGACCAAGTTCACGAACCGAAGAGAACTGTATTTACTTTAAGCAGCTGGGTAAAATAATTTGCCTTGGCCCATATAGAAAAAGACCCGAAATTGCCCCCTAAACTTAGAAAATTATATAGCTAGTTATCTTGAAAATTTTTACAGTTATTCCTGAACTACAACAAGTAACACTGCTCTAATCTTCAAGTCTATGTTTCTATTTTCCTATACTCACATAGAGTTGAATTAAAAATTTAAAATTTTGGAATATTGAAAACAAAGGTCTCCATACTTGTCCAAATATTTTGTATCTAATACCTCACAACAAAGATTTCCTGGAGGTATGCCATATTTTTCACTAACTTTATCAAATACTTGCTTAAATGAATCAGGGTTTTTTGTGTCACACAAATGATCATTCAAATCAATTTGAATAAGCAATCCTCGGAAATTACCGTGTAAAAAAACATTTGAAGTTTTAATACACAAATTACCATTTTCAAGCTCGTATATTTGTCCACCATCTCCTTTTATTATTTGTCGTTGGGTCCACAAGCTCTGTAATTTTTGACCCACAAAAATATCAAATCTGTCATTTAAACCCGTGGTTGCTCCTCTATGGAGATGTTCATTGGGTATGGTTAATTCCGTAGGGTGACTTAGTTCGCTGGCCTCTTCCTCTATCAAGTTGGTGAATACACCAGCAGATTTTCCGTTTACTAGGGTTATAGTAGAATCAGGTAAATAGCTCGGGGAAAGTGTAAACAAAAACTTCGATTCAGGTGATGTTGTAGTTGTTTCCACTAAATCTGGTGGGATAGAGTATGGGTTATTTCTAAATATCTTGAAGTTGAAGTTCCATTTCCCCTTTGATGTGGGAAGTTCGTTTGAAAGCTGATCATGGAACTGTGTTATTGTTTCCGGTGTTGCCTTTTGCACTAGAAGAACCCTAAGTATGTTAGTAAGATGTATTGAAAACCAATTGAGCTGTAAACATACGCAGTTACCATTGTGTGTGTGTGTTGGTTGTAGTTTGTATGTTGATTCTTGATGTTGATTGTTGAGACAACAATATAGAATGCGCAAAGACAAAAAAAAAAAAATTCTATCCAATTTGAAGATCATCGCCTCAAGAAGCAGACAGAAATAGCTTCACTCCTACTACACAGTAAAGCATAACATGAGCATCGACTCAGGAATCGAACAAGAGGCCATATTTATAGGTGCCAATAAACAGCACTTTATTTCCGACTATAACCCCACTAATAACGTGGTTGCTTATGGTGCTGCAAATACTGTTGCCTTATGGAAACCCTTGGATAAGAGTCAACATGGTGTCTATTCTACTTTAAAGCACCACACAAGTGAAGTCACTGGTGTTAGATTTATTCCAAACTCTGAGTTCTTAGTATCCATCGCTGAAGACCACAAAGTTGTTGTTTGGAAATCTACTGGTGATAACTATGAGTACTTTCAAACTTTAGAGGGCCATGAGCATTCAGTTACTTGTATATCCGTCATTAATGAAAATGTATTTGTCACTGGTGGTGCAGATCATAAGATTATTCTCTGGGTTTTTGAAGATGAAAAGTTTAAGTTAGGTGAAGAATTCCAAGTCAAATCAAACTTTTACCCTTTAACTTTAGCCATTCAAGACATTGATATTGCAAATGGATCATATCTTTTGGCTATCGGTGGTACATTATCCACCTTATTCGTCTACTCCTTCCAATTATCAGGATCTGTAATCTCCAATTTGGAAAAAGTGGCAGAATTAGCTGGTCACGAAGATTGGATTAAGTGCCTTCAATTTGTCACTGAAGAGGCCAACCAAAACTATATCTTAGCCAGTGGATCTCAAGACAGATATGTCAGATTATGGAGATTGAAATTGAATGATTTGATTGACGATTCTGACGAAGATGAATCTAAATTGACTCTTTTATCCAACAAACAATACAAATTCGATTTTGGCACCAATTCCCGGGCTGCATTCAGTTTTGAAGCATTGATTATGGGTCACGATGATTGGGTCACCGGATTGCAATGGCATCCAAGTTACAGATACACCAATGGCAACAAGAAGTTACAATTATTAACATCAAGTGCTGATACCGCTTTGATGATTTGGGAAATGGATCCAGATTCAGGGATTTGGGTGTGTGTAAGCAGATTAGGGGAAATGTCAATCAAAGGAGCTAGTACTGCCACTGGTGCCTCAGGAGGGTTCTGGTCTTGTTTGTGGTTTATTGACGAAGAATCAGATTCTCAATACGTGCTTGCCAATGGTAAAACTGGTTCATTCAGAGTTTACAAATCTATTGAAGAATCAAACCAATTTGAATCGGTATTGGGTGTTACTGGTGCAGTTAGGGATATCACCGATTTGAAATGGTCCTTAAATGGAGAATACTTCACTGCTACTTCATTAGATCAAACCACCAGATTATACGCTCCATGGAGATCTAATAGACAATTCACCACCTGGCATGAATTTGCCAGACCACAAATCCATGGGTATGATATGATTTGTTATGATAATATTACGGGATCTAAATTTGTCTCTGGGGGTGACGAAAAGATTCTTCGTGCTTTTGAAATGACCAATTCCTTGAGTAAATTATTAAAGAAACTATGTGGATTTCAAGTTGTTGAAGAAAATGTAGAATTACCTGAATCTGCGTCGTTGCCTGTGTTAGGGTTATCCAATAAGGCTGCCAATGAGCAATTAGAAACTGGGGATTTGGCACCACAACAACAAGATGACGAAGAACAACAACCACCACAACAAGATGATGTATTAACCTCACTTGAAACTCCACCTTTGGAAGAATATTTACAAAGGTATACCCTTTTCCCTGAAATTGAAAAGCTATATGGACATGGTTATGAAATAAGTTGTTGTGCTTCATCACCTAACGGATCATTAATTGCATCTGCATGTAGATCCAATACAGCTAAGCATGCTGTGATTAGAGTTTTTAATGCCAAGCAAGATTTCCAACAATGTACCCAGATCTTACAAGGCCATAACTTGACCATATCTAGTCTTGAATTTTCACCAAACGGTAAATACTTGCTTGCAGTTTCCAGAGATAGACAATTTAGTTTATGGACTGTTGAAAATGAAACCACTGGCGAATTCAAATTGTTTGAGCTTAATCCTAAACCCCATACCAGAATCCTTTGGGATTGTTCTTGGGTCGGCGAGAACCAATATGGAGATTTCTTTGTTACTGTATCTAGAGATAGACATATGAAGTTATGGAAAGTAGGTGAGAGCCAATGTGAATTGGTTGCTTCTACAAAATTACCACAACCAATAACATCGGTGTCTGTATTTAAAGGAGGTTTAATTGGAACCAACGCTATAGTTGCAGTTGGTTTAGAAAATGGTGGAATTTCCGTATTCCAATTTGATATTGCTCAAGCTATTAGTGAGTTTAAGCATATTGTTGATTTGGACGAGTTGATTGTTCCTGCAAATAGAATCGAAAAGTTAAGCTTTAGCAATAAGTTACATTCAGATAAACTTTGGTTGGGTGTTGGAAGTAAGGATACTTCTGTCAGATTGTATACCATTGACAAGTCACTTTTTTTGTAATAGAATAGCTATATATAGTGTACATTATTCACATTCACATAGTAGACATTCCTCTTATTTAGTAAGGGCCGAGCGCTACCGACAAAATCTTGAAATTTTCCACCCGCACTTTTGTGGGCAAAAAAAACAGCGAACAGAAAATCAGTAATATCAACAGAGCCCCCCCCTTTATCCACATACAAATACAAACCATGGCTGATAAATTTCCAGAAATAGAAACCATCGGAGAAGACTTACCTCAAGACGAGCAATTGGACGATTCGGATTTCTTAACTCGTGAACGACAATTAGTGGGTGATCAATTCACCACCGAGCAAGACAAGGATGTTTGGGCCGACGAAGATGACGATATAAATGAATTCAAGGAACAATTCCCTGAAGTTGACGATTCTGCCCCTGTTCAAGTTCCTGAAGTTGCTCAGGATGAGGAAGAAGAGGATGAATTTGAAGCCTTTGGCGGTGCTGCTGCTCCTGCCAGCGACAAATACCAGGGTGAATCACAAGCTTTGAAGGAATGGAAGGAACGTCGTGATTTGGAAATTTCGGAAAGAGAAAAGGCTAATGCTAAGACCAAGGAAGATATTATATCCAAGGCCAAGCAAACCATTGATGACTTCTATGACAATTACAATTTGAAGAGAGAAGAACATTCCAAACAGGTGTTGAAGGAACAAGAGCAATACTTGGAAAAGAGAGATGGTTTTTTGAAAAGAGGCACTTTGTGGGATAGAGTCAATGAATTGGTGGAAGAAGTTGGTGAATTGCCAGAAAACGAAGATAGAGACAAGTCAAGATTTAAAGGTTTGTTAACTAAATTAAAGGGTAAAGAATCTGCACCAGGTGCAGGTGGTTACTAAGTATATAAAGTTTTAGATTTATAGTATATCACATGATACAATCTACCATTCTGATCATTGTATTGTCCTTGAGTCTTTGATAATTATCTGGATCTTGCTGTTTGTTCTTTTTGATATAATCATTTAAATTCATTACTTTGAAAACACCAAAACACATCAACAATGTTTCAAGTCTTATCCAGTTCTTTAATTTCATTATTTTAAACAGTGGATGGTTCTCTTTGGTGATTCTCCACTTGGATAGTAATATCAATCGGAATAAATACAAGTCCAAGTCGTTTAACCAGGATTTACTAATTGTCCTTATATTTTCAGTTTCATCCTCCTCCTCATCTTTGTAACCTAACGCGGGGACAACATTAAGTGCATTCAAGTAAAGAGTCAAAAATGCAGCAACAAATCCAATTGTCTTGGTATAACTCTTAAAAAACAACTTATAGTTTCTCTTGTAAAGTTTTTGTAACGTGTTTTTAGGAATATCTCCCTTGGGTTTCAATAATCTGAACATTGGCGAAGTCAAGGTAATCAACAAAATTGCAATCATATTTGGAGCATAGATGAAATTAACGATTGAATTAGCTCTATGGAAATTATACGTCCAGTAGTTCAAAACCACGCTCAATTCTGTTTCATTACGTTTCTTGTATTTCACTTCGTAAAGCCTGTCCAATAACCTGGTCTTTATAGTAAGTAACCCGAGAAAGCCGATTATAACGTAATTTTGGATTAAGTAGTTTCTCAATAGACTAATCCAGTTTAATCGGGCATGATTGACACCCAATGAAAAGTTCTTCCAGATTGGAGCGAATATTCTTGATTTAATACTTGATGATAAGTATCGTTGGTTTAACTTGTATCTCGTTGGTGTTAAGTAGTTACTTAACAATTGAGCAAATATCGCAGGGAATATAAAGAATTCTTTATTTTCATATAGTTTGACTAACGTTGGATGATTCCTGTATGTCTCCAACTTGAAGTATTTAGAATAGTTTGGGGAGATCTGAATTTTAGTGTTGGAAGGAGTATTCAATTCTCCATAGTAGTTAATGATAAAGTATATTAATCCATAGTCTTTGGGTATAAACTTATTAGTCACCGTAGCTGAGTAAAGAAAACAGCAACTAATAAGATTAGCCAATTTCTTTGTTCGTCTTTCAAAAGTTGCTGTGTCAAACTTGCAACATTGGCTTATCTTATCTTGGTTGTCTAATAATAGCCTTTTGATTATAGGATTTAAACTAAGGAAAGCGATCCAATAAAGTGGCTGTGGTGACTGTTTAAGTAACCTTATAATATATGCTTGTCTGTTTAGTTGCCTTTCATTAGACATAATAGACAATTGAACCATGTTGTGCTAACTAACTTGGTTACCAAATCTTTATATCAGAAAGCGATTTTATACCATAAGAGCTTTGCGGAGACCCCAAGCCTTTTTTCTGGTGATGCGCGTGATAATTTTTATTTTTATTTTTGTTTCTGTTTTGTTTGACCGCGGGTTTATTGTTTACCAATCTTTTTTTTTTTGCTTACTTTGATTGAATTAGGCAACCGTTATTGACCCTTCTTTAAACCCACCCTTAAACACAACAATTCACGTAATAATCAACCCAATATGAGTGCGTCTTTACAACTTCCTCAGCGAAATTCGGTACAAGCAATAACACCTAGTCCAGACCGTAAATCTACGCAATCAGACTTCAAAATAAAGACAGCAAATTCAGTTTCGTCCAAGTTATCACGATCAAGTTCATTAAGAACAAAAGGACTTAACATATTTGCTGTCTCTCCAGCTGCAACTCCACCACCAGCTAAAAGCACCAGCACTCGTAATACTCCCGCCCCTGTGTCTCTGGTTACCCCATCTAAAATTGAAATCAAACAAGATGAACCAAATTCCCATACTAAACCAGACTTAAAATATGACGTCGCCCTTCCATCTAATGAAAAGTTGGCTACTTTGAAAATAGAAGAACAATTACGGTTGTTGGCACTTAAAGAAATGTCCATTGTTGAAATTAAGGACAATATAAAGACTCTAAATAGTAAACTCTCAGTTCACGAACAAGAGTTGAATAAGTTGAGACGAGTTATTCAAACTTCATTGCATAAGGAAATAAGAAGCTCTGCTATAGAAAACCAAGACAAAAGAGTACTCCACCAAAATAACAATTTCCAGACCAGGACAAAAGGTCTTACATCTCCAAACCCTAACCTACCTCACATTCTTCAAGAATCCAATGCCGCAAATAAAATATGGAATGGAATATCCAAGCCATTGAATATGCTTGATAACTTACTACAACAAGAGTTTGAAAAATCATTGGTACCTGAACCTACTCAACATTCTACTCAATATCATCTTACACCGCATAGAAGCCGTCTGTCACAAGGTTCATTCTCAAGCATAGGATCAAACACGTCTCCCTTGAGGGGAAAATCAAAGAGATTGTCTACTAGTGATGCGCCAGCGCACGAGCGGCATTCTTTTGTCACTGACGATATGATTCAAACAGTTTCCTCGTCCATTTGGTCGTTTGTGAACGACGTAAAAGCTAATGTGTTATCCTCATTAACCGATGAAGATTACACGGCCACATTGACTAATATAACAAAAGAAAATTTAGAATCTGGAACGAGTTTGGATGATCTAACGAACCGGACAATAACTCAGACCGAAGTTTTGTCAGAATGTGAAGATGATTTAGATTTATTAGAGCCAGTAGTTACCGATGACGACGACGATGACGAGGATATCAAGATAGACTTGTCAATTTATAGAAAATGATGAATATTTATTTATACCTATACTTTATAAACTTTGTAAACCTTTGACAATTTGTTGTTGTCTTAACTCTTCTAATTTTTTATCGGAAATATCTCCAATAGAACGTAAATCTTTCAACATTATATCCTTCAATTTGTCAAAGTAAACTTCTTGCAACAAGTTTCTAATATTATATTCCGACTTTTCAATCAAAGTACCTAAATTAATCAAATGGAAAGTTTCTAAATTGACACCTCCTTCCAATTCAACAACTTGGGAAGTTTCCAACTGTCTGGTCAAATTTCCAGATAAGCTTAACGATGAACCTTGAGATTTTTGTAAATCAAGAATAACAGATGAAGTCAATTTATATAAAATACTGGTTTTAGATTGAGGAATCACTTCAAACACATGAATAGAATCCCATTTTCCTGATCCATCTTCAGTTTCCTTCTTGAACAACACCACACCGGCAAATCCTTCTTCTAATCCAGCACTTTCATCCTCAGCAGTATCCCACAAATACACAGAAGAAACTCCAGCACCTTCATAATACAAATCACGATAAACATCAAAACTGTCATTAGCTTTGATTTCCAATTGTCGTAACAAGTCAGAAGGATAAGGAGGCAATTCATCACCAGAAATGCTAGGATAATATTTATTGGACCAAGGTGATCTATAGGAATCCCCATCACGATTATAATCACAACACAAGTACATCTTCCCGGTTTCTCCACATTGAGCCGTGGTTAATGGTGTATCTACCGACGATAAGAGATCCTGCACGAGTTCCTCGTCACCGACGAGGGTACAGATATCATTGAGATTTGTTTGGATGGAACGAGGATCTAATCGTCTAAGAAGATCTAATGATGCATCGAATTTATCTTCGTAAGACATTTTTCAAGGTGATTGTGTATGCAAATTGGAATAAGTACAAGTTGGAAGAATCCACATTTGAATTTGTATATTGTGTATGGAATTTTTGGGCGTGCGAAAACCATTATCAAATTTATGGAATCCAACCCCTCCCCCCCCCCCCTACTTTAAACCCCCCTTGGGGGTTCTCTGACTATGTAATGCAGACACTACCAATCCAGACCAGAAGAAAAAAGAGTTGAGATTGTGGAATCTTTTTTGTTTTAGCAGAAATTGATCAACTTGAAAACAATTAAATTAATAAAAAATTATAAACACCTAAAAATACCGAGTTCTTGATCTATGTAAAAATATCTAAATAATTCCCACTTTTATTTCCTTACATAGTGTAAGTAATACCCTTGGATGGAGCATTCAATATTATACCATTAAGAATACCAGCAATTAAACCAGCACATGGTAAAGTAAAGATCCATCCCAAGTAACACCAAGCAACCATTCTCCAGTTGACAGATTTCCATTCTTTGTTACACAATCCAACAAAAACAGTAGCACCGACGGCAGATTGAGTAGTAGAAACAGGAATCTTTAATTGGGTGGCCATAACAGTAGTGATGGCAGCACCTAATTCTAAGGAGAACCCTCTTGAAGGAGATTGTAAAATTAACTTGTTACCCAAGTTAGCCATGATTCTGTAACCAAAAGTCCATAAACCAATAACTAAAGCAGAAGCAGCATAACAAAGAACCCAGACTGGAACTTCAGCCTTGGAGGCAGTAGTGTTGGTGCTCCAAGTTAAGTAGACGGTGGCTAATGGTCCAGTAGCGTTGGCGATATCGTTTGCACCGTGAGCAAAAGACATGGTACAAGCAGTGATGGCTTGCAATAATGAGTACATGTATTCAATCTTGTTGTCGTAGTATTTGGAGGAAGTGTGTAATTTCTTTAAGTCACCAGCTAAGATATCCTTGGAAGAAGCTTGGTTGTGAATAACATCCTGTCTAACACCGTTGGTCAACAAAAGGAAAAGAAGGTATGGGTATTGAGAAGGTTGCTTGAAAAGTTTCTTGTATTCTTTCCAACCGCGAGGATGCTTGTGCTTTGGAGCAGAACTGGTAGTTTTCTTAACTTTAGGTTCAGCTACTTTTTCAATATCACCATGGTCAGAGTCACTTGATTCGCCTTCCTTGACAATAGTTTCTTGTTCTTCAATCAGATCAACCTTTTCAATCAAATTACCAGCTTCATCATATCTTCTACCTTCATAGTAATCAATTGTTAATTCATGACCTTCTGGTCTTGGTGGAATATTGTCTGTAGATTTAAAGTAAAAAATAGGACCTCTAAGAACATCATACCACTTCAAAGTCCAGTCTTCATGGATCAACTTTCTGTTAAAGTATGGGAAGAGGAAAAGCATATACAAAGCAGCTGCAACACCACCAACACCAAAGATAGCACCACAAGTAGTACCAGTTGACAAATCATTCAACTTCAACTTTGGAGAACCCTTCCAAACAATCAACATGGTTAAAATAGAAAAGGTGGTAAACACTAAGCATGGAACCAAGTACATGGCATTCTTTAAAGATCTTCTTGGATCCTTGATTTCCAAAACAGCATACTTTGAAATCAAGAAAATGATGGTTGCAAAACAACCAGCAATAAGTGGGGCAATAAACCATGAGGCAATAATTTGAGCAACACCACTCCATCCCCAAAGGATATTGTGAGCACCCTTGGCAGCAATGGAAGAACCAATAACGGCACCAACAATAGAGTGGGTGGTAGAGACTGGCATACCAATAGAAGTGGCAATAGTTAACCAGGTAGATGAACCAATCAAGGCACAGGACATGGTCAACATCAATACTGCCGGTTCCTTTTCATAGACAGAGACATCAACAATCTTATTTCTGATAGTATCAGAAACACGAGAACCAACAAGAACAGCACCCAAGAACTCCATAATTGCAGCCAATATCATGGCTTGCCAGTATTTTAAAGAACGGGAGGAAACAGATGAGGCAAAAGAGTTTGCAACATCGTTTGCTCCGATATTCCATGCATCCAAGAATGCAAAGATCATCGCAATAGCGAAGATATAATCAAATTGATGTAAAGCCATTGTGAATTTGGACTATGAGACTGATTTGCTTTAGAGATCTAATGGATGACAGTAAAGAAGGAAAGAGAAACACGAAATTTTCTTTTTAAAGATAAATTGTACTATATTTATACAAATGTCTACCTGGTGACCAGGGCATATCATCACCATGCTTCCTTGGGGGGCACGTTGTTGTAGTCTTTTTACATTCAGTGTACTAAGTGCTAAAAATATGAGAGGTCAAGAAAAAAAAACTATGCATATAATTTTTTTTTAAAAAAAAAATCTGGAAATGTTAAAAAAAAATAATGGAAAAATAAAGAAAAAAAGGAAAATGGTGCGATAGAAATGACATCACTAATCATTCATTTTTGACACAGATTGCTGGTCATGATATCTGGGGATCTTGAACACTGATTTGTCAAACTTCACCCCGTTGGCTTCGTTGAGCAAGATTCAATTACCTGGAGAAATCATGATGATTTGATTCACAATTCTCACAAGAAACCTGAGCACCATTGTTGCGAAAATTCTGCCAAGCAATATCTGAGCAAACCAAGAAATTAAGCTTTTACACTTCTAAACAAAATGCTCGGCAACACCACTTAATTGGCAGAAAGTTTAGATTATATTAAGAGTCTCCTGGCGACAGTTTGACAACGTGGGTCTGGTCAATGTTTCTACAACGATTTGAAAGCTTGGTATTTCAAAACTTATTTTTACATTTCCTAATGTCATGCGAGTAGTTCTTCGTTACTTCAGGGTATCTGATTGAACGGAGTCTTATTTTTTTTTTCTACCTGCCTATAGTAAAACTAATAATTTCAAGCAATTATATACCGGGTTGAGTTTTCTAATCATTTAGCCTTGATTTTTGCGCGAATCATGGAAAACTGCAACATGGCTTCTTTGTGGCTTTGAAATTTTCGTGCGGCTATGTAGGTGACTCTGCATGCGACTAAAAATAAGTCAGACTATTGTCATTTTTCCATCACTTTTTTCCGTCGCGACACACTTCCAATGTCATGTAGAAGAGATGACATCCACGAGGTCTCTTGAGCGTGACATGGGTATGTATAATATTTTGTAACATCGTGGGTAGCAATGTACGGAAACATAGACGAAGTCAGTGATGATATAATAATTGTGCAGCTACTACATGATGCTCTGTCGTGGAAATATACAAGACAAAAAAAAAAAAAAGAAATGCCTAAAAGGTTAAACTAAGGCACACGTGGGATCTGACATGTTGTAAGGTTTTTCGATTGAACTATTTTTTTTTTTACTTAGGTAGACTCTCTTATACTCATCCCTTTAGCAAATTGAATTCTAAAGCGTTACAACAAGTGTGGAGAACCGTGCTTCGGTTATTTTATATGGTACCCTCGTGTATTCGAGCACCTGTCAAGGAGGGGATCAATCGTCGTCATGTTCGCAAGTAAATCCCCCCGCACAACTGTATGCTTCGAAGTTCGAATCTAGATTCAAGATCATGGAATTTGAAAAGAAACAGCCTTGTCCTTGAAATTTTCATTTTCCCTGACTCTGGCAATACTTTGGAACGTCTCAACTGAAAAAGCAATGCAACGCCCTTGAATTTTTTTGCCTGATAATCCTTTTACAGTTCCGCTTAATAGAGGCTCATTTCGGGCCAACTGCCGAAATAAAAGTTTAAACGATTAAACAAAAGGATTGCCTTATCAAGATGCATTAAAACAAGCATGAGATTTTTGACTGGGTGAAATTCATCGTATATTTGCATAGAAAATATATTATTTTTTAACAGAATGACACCCCTAAGCCATTCGCTTAGTCTTCATGATTAAGTGACCTAGTTAATAGTTGTCATTACAGTCTGGACATGGCTTATACTGTTTACACGGCTGTAATTAGACTACAAATATGAATCTTTTTGCAGATGATTTGCTTTCTAAGGAATTTCTAAAATTTTATTGATCTATCTGAAATTTTTACTCGCATTATAATCAATAAATCCCTGCACGCTTTTCTGTCTTGGCAATCAAGCTTGGCAGCATTTGTAATACCCCCCCTCGTGTGCCTAACAATAAATGTTAATAACAAGATCTTTTCTGTCTACAGACGAATTTCCCTTGTTAGTTATATTTTAGTGTTGCGACTAACACGTGGGTAGAGTTCCTGTTTAATCTGGCTTCTTCGCATGTATTAGTTATCTATTCCTTTTCTGGAAGTTTGGGATTATATCTTTGCCTATCCATATTAGGAAAAACTATGGGACTTTGGTACAATCAAAAGAAGTTAATACGAGAAATACCCTGATCGTCCCTCGTATGTGTTTTTTTTTTCCGCAATTAAATGTACTTTCACGGAGTACTTCGTTGCACCATTTTCCAGATCAAATCGGTTTCCTACACGATTTTCTAACCATTGTTTAGAATTTCTTATCTATTTTCTTGACATTCTTTTGTATCTTTAGGGATTCACTTGAGGCTGTGCTGAAATAACAAGAAAAACTTAGCTCATAAATCAAAAACCGTACATATGTAGTAGTAATATAACTCAGTTCTATGAAAATAGTACCATGTGGCCAGGCCGCACTCATTCCATAAGGCATTTTAATTGAGTGTTAATTATTGCCCAGCGATCGAAGGAATTGATGCTTACTCGTTTTCTTGGCTAGTCGTGCCATCAATATAGAAAACGTGAAATCTTTAGATTAATTCTAAATTTAAAGTTACGCCTTGGCCCCAGTAGTTTAATTTGATATAACTGCTAATAATCTACGCATGTCCTTTCATGGTTAAAATAATTGTCGTAAAAATTTATTATTTATGAAAAATCAACAAGGTTAAACAAATATCCTGTCTTTTTTCTTTACCTATACTTTATATGGACATAGCCTACGTTCCCAACCATACAAGATTTGCTTCATCGTATATCTCAACCTCTAACGGTATTTTGCACCTTATAAACTCTAAAAATAGATATTCCTGTATATAAGTGATATGCTCAAAATATGACCTCATGACGTAACTACACAAAACATAAAAACAAACCCACACAATCGCTATCAACTACTCCACAATCGCTATGGTAGACGAAAATCAATGGTTGCTTCACCATAGAGCACCTACTCCACCTGTTCCCAGCGTAGTGCGGTATGATTCACCGCCCACACCTCGACATGGTGCGACCCGATTAGCACGACCTCCACTTTTATCGGTACCTTCCAACGCGTCGGTTCGAAGTACATCGAGCTTCAATGATCCCTTGCTAGAACGATATAGTAGGCATAATCATGACAATGATACATTATCAATTCTTGACTTTAAAATATTCCAAAAGTTGAATGATCAAGGAGAATCCAAGGATACCAAATCGTTCGATATGTATGCCTACCTTGCTTACTATATCCCTATTCTTAACTGGCTACCAAAGTATCAACCAAGAACGCATTTGCTTGGAGATACATTAGCTGGATTATCATTAGCATCGTTTCAAATACCTTTGGTTATGTCCATTGCAACTACGTTGGCACATTTACCACCAATAAGTGGGCTCTATGCCATGATCATTGGTTCTAGTATATATGCCATCTTGGGATCAGTGCCTATTCTAATTGTTGGTCCATCTCCATCCACAGGTATCATATATGGACAAGCAATAGATGTAATAATGCATGAGTCCAAGTTTCTGGAATTGACGAATTTGGAAGTATCTTCCATATTAACATTTGGTTTAAGTGGAGTGCTTCTTGCCTGTGGGATAGCAAGAATGGGATATTTGGATAACGTCCTTAGTCGGGCATTACTTAAGGGATTCATAGCTGCCATGGGGCTTATTATGATTATCAATCAATTGAGTACAGAATTAGGATTGCAAGAATTGTCATTGACACAACCACACCTTACCACCATTGATAAACTTATGTTTATTGTTAGGTTTTATGATCAGGCACATATGTTGACGTTCAAGATTTCGGCTTATGTATTGGGAGTAGTGTTATGTGTGAGATTTATTAAAGGAATATTAATCAATAAGCTTAATAGGAAACTGGCTGTTTATTTTCCGGAATTGTTATTGATGGTGATTGTGGCTACTTTCCTCTGCTACCAGTACAATTGGGCTAGTGAAGGAGGTGTCAAAATTGTTGGGAATATTAAACGTAGTTCATCGACTTTTCACTTGGAGAATCCATTCCGATTACTCAAAGTTTACAAGCATACTTTCTCAACAGCATTTCTCTGTACCATCTTGGGATATTTTGATTCAACGACAGCGGTGAAGGCATTAGGTGCCAAGTACAACTTCAATGTCAGTTCGAATAGAGAATTGGTGGCATTAGGTGTGACTAACTTTGTCATTGGGTTGTTTAGTGGATTACCTTCGTTCGGCGCATTGGGAAGATCTAAAATCAACATATTAGCAGGAGCAAAAACGCCCATGGCTGGGATAATAATGAGTGTGGTTAGTATCTTTGTTGCAGTGTATTTATTGCCATATTTGTACTACCTTCCTGAATGTGTGTTATCGTTGACTACTACAATTGTTGGGTTGACTGTTCTTCAGGAAGTCCCTTCTGATTTGCGATTCTTCTTCAAGATTAGAGGATACGATGAGATAGTTACATTTTTTATGATTTGTGGTGTTACTATAATCTGGAGCGCAGAAGCTGGTGTCAGTTTGGGTGTGCTTGTTGCTGTAGCACGTGTAATTAAACATAGCACCAGGTCGCGAATTCAAGTATTGGGAAGAATCCCCCATACCACTGTTTTCAGAGATGCGGATATGTTAATCGAGGAAAGTTTTGCTTCGTTTCAAGGACAGAGTGATGGATATGACGTCGAGGAAGAGGATGTGTTGGCGATGAATTACAGTCAAAGAGATAAACTTTCTAGTTTGATTGCTGAGATTGAAGAAATTGAAGGGGTATTGCTCATTAAGATTCCTGAACCATTAAATTTTGCCAATGTTGGCGATGTGAAAAATAAGTTGGTAAGAATTGAAAGATACGGTTCGTTGCTTGTACATCCTTCGCAACCCACAAGACGTGATTTGCAATCGATAAAATATATTATATTTGATTGTAAAGGTATGACTGAGATCGATGCCTCGGCTACTCAAGTGTTGTATGAAACACTTCGGAGGTATATTTGTGATGAAAAGATTACTGTTTTCTTTGCCCGAATTCCTACCGGTAAGCACTGTCGTGATAAGTTGAAAAAGTCGGGTATTGTAAACCTTGTTAACAAGTCATATAAGAGATTTGCAAATAGTAATCGAAGTATGTCGAGTACAGATTTGACATTGACGGCTGTTGGGTTAGGTGATGGTTTCTTTTTAAGTATCGATGAAGCTTTAAAGACCATTGGTGTTCACAATGTGTAACTTTTGCTAGTCACTTTTAGATTACGGTCTTGTGGGGTTCAACATTTCTTTTTTTCTCGCATTGGCCAATAGATGAAAATTGCGGTGCAATGACCAAACTTTCTGCGAATGATAAGAAACTGGAATTTCCCAAAGCTTCAACTAAACTTTATAGATTCATAGTTTACATTCGAAGTAGAACAATATGAGTGTCGGGTTAAGACCAGCAAAACGTGCTGTTGCAGCAGCGGCAGCGCAAGCACCATCGTTCAGAGCCAGCAACCACAGATATGCCTTCTATGATCTAATATTGCGGACCTCGTCTCATCCTACCCATCCAATAGAAGCCAGTTTAATGACCAGCAATGAACTCGCCAGATTGAAAGCCCGAACTAAAACCACATTTGAAGGAAATTACTACATAGACCCTTCGCTTACCCCGGAACAACGTATTGCCAAGGTGTTTGGTGGCAGAATCAAAGGTGAAGGTCGTGAGTCCTCGAGTAGAATTACCCGTGGTGAACCGAAAGTGATTGCTGGTGTGACTGTTCCTGCCAAACCAGACGAACCAGACAATTGTTGCATGAGTGGGTGTATAAACTGTGTGTGGGAATTGTTTGATGAAGACATTAAAGATTGGAACGAAAAGAGGAAACGTGCAGCTAAGCTCTTGGTCAAGCAAGGCGGGAGATGGCCTGAGGATTTTGACGCACCATTGAAATATTTAGGAAAGGAAAACTTGCCTGTTTCGTTACTTAATAAACCGTCATTGTATGAAGCAAAGCAGAAGGCACTTGCCTCAAGTGATGAAGAAGAAAGTTGGGGTAATGTCCCTGTGGCTATGAGAGTATTTGCAGAAGTTGAAAAGAAACTCAAGGCAAAGAAATTGGCTAGAATAAGTCACAGTGAACCCACTTTGCAACCTCAGGAATCCAAACAGAGTCAAGCATCTTCTTCTTCTGCAGTATAGCCAAGCCACTTCAGAATAGTGTTATTTATTAACAGTTCCATTGTATAAGTTATTTTCCCTTTTAGATCTACACGTTTGGTGCTTTATCGTATTTATAGAAAATATATATTATCACCTATACACATTAATCTTCTAATCCAATTCAATTCCCTTGGATTTGTAAAATTGTTTGGCTTCATCAATTTGTCCCACCAATTCCTTATACTTGTCTTCCTTGTCTTTAAATGTAACTATACCCCATCCTAAAGTGGCCAAAGCATACGAACCAAATGTAACTAACCCCCAGAAGGGTAAGTATGGAAGAATTTCATCATGGACCTTTTGAGGAAGTGGGAAAATACCAACGTACAGAGCAAAGTAAATTGCTACTAAGGTGTATAAGGTCAATGCAGCGTCGGTGGCTTTGGTCATGGCTGTTGTTGCTGTTGTCTGATGAATTAGGTGACGTGACTGCTGGTAAAATTTGATCCTTTTTGTTCTACGTGTTTTGTTCCGACAGAATATCCCAGACAGACAAAAAAAATATATATATGTGCGGCTTATTTTTTAACTATACAAAATATTACGACTAATTTTCTATAGAGTCCTGTTTGATAAAGCCAACCAATCTGCTTAACTTACTTGAAGCATCTTCCGTTAATTCGTCTAGCCTGTTCATTACACTTCTTTCATCAACAGTATCTGTTCCATTGGTTTCTTCTTCTTCTGCCTCTGCTTCTGCCTCAATATCTTCGTCATCTCCCTCCACTTCTTCCTCGTCTCCGGCTTCGTCGCCATCTGCCTCAGGTTCAGCCAGACCACCCAATTCCTCTACTATATAATCAGTGTTTATTATCTTGTAAATCTTATTTTGATCAATTGGTTCATCCTTGACCATTCGGTTCAACTTGTAACGGACTATTCTTCGAAGAACCTCCATACTTTGTCGATTAAGCCACCCATCTTGGAAATCACAATGTTCGCGAAGAAAATCGTTACCCATGTGTTTCACATGATCTTCAATAATTGTAGTGATATCCAAATCCAAGATATCACCAAGTTGGAATGTCACGGTGGAAGGCAATGTAACCCCATTGAAGAATAGCAGTTCACTGACTTCAACTTCATTGGCTTCGTCTATATTCCCTGCCCGTCTATTGGCTTCAAGAATGGTTCTAGGAACTATTCGTTGACTGCCAGTCTTGTTGGCCATGAACGTGGTGAATTTCAATCCTGGGATTCTGAAATATTCACTTTGGTATATCCAAAAGCTAGGATCATTTTTGGGATCAACTCCTAATTTAATATTGGCAAATCTCCACGGACCACTCTTGTAAATGTACGATACATAAGGCAAGGCTTGTTTGAGTGTTCTTCTAAACTTATCAGGAATAATATCCTCCAATTGTTTCCTTAACCAAATTGGCTTTATTTTGAATATCCTTTTAACCCACTTGATACATTCCAACAAAACAGCATCAGGACTGTTCACGGCCAATTTCTTTTTCGTTAGTTTCTTGTAATTTTCCTGTAATTCAGAAGCAGGATGACGAGGTATGTCACCGGTGTGATAGTCAAGCATAATTGTGTATAGCTTCATCGTACTTCTATTAGGCACCACTTTAATCTCTCCACTCTTGACATCCTTGATTGCAGTAGTCAATGGGTTCTTCTGATACCTGTAATCGAATGGGAATCTAATAGGAGAAAGAACAGGAGGTGGAATAAATCCATGCTCGGTATTCTTGAAGTAATTCTCGTCTTTGAAATCATCAAGACCTACGAAGTTCTTGTGGCTTTGCAAATACTTGTCCATTGTATCAAAATTCTTTCCGTTAAGAATAGCACTACTGAATTCTTGAATTATGGGATTATTCTTGGTAGACACTTGAAAATCGGCAATTGACTTGAACAGATAGTTTCGATCGACAATAGCCACGGGCTGGATATTAGCTCTGGTGGTCTCTTTATTCTGCTTATTTCTCTCAAGTAACTCTCGAATAGGGTATTTACTGGGGTTGTCATGGAAATCAGGAGGTAAGCTCTTCTTAGGGATGGACATCTTCAACAATACTCGCTCTTGGGTACCAATCAGCGATTGTATAGGGTGATGGAATGGATCGTTACGTAATCGTAACTCCAACGTATTCTCAAGCGCAAGATTGAATCGGTTGGGGTTGGATTGGGCATTTATTGCAGTTGCGATTCGGTCCTTGCCTCCAAGCATGGCAATTGCTCGATCTGGATTCTTAACATTCAAGGGTAATTCGATGGATGTCACATGGGGTATATCCATGGAATGTTTTTCTGCTAACTTCCTGGGCTCTGACATGGTTGATAACTAATACGGTAAACCATATTTTTGTTTTGGTTAACAAAAAAAAACAAAGAGCTTATATCATCACAGTGCTACCAGATGCGAAATTAGGCAAGATTAAATTGGTGGACCTCTATGGGGAATTGACATATTAGATACAAACCATCTAGAGCCTAGATACCTTGTAATTGACAAGGTAGGCGAGGTAGTCAATTTGAATTTAAGAATCTGGATGCAATGTTTTGTCAAATATTTTTGCAGAACTATCTCCCAAATGATGTTGAAGTCATCTGAGACAAGACGGGAAACACGAAGGTCGTCCTCTCAACTGACCTGGCAGGAACACATAGCGATACATTTACGTTTTACTTCAATCGGGAAGTTGACGTTTTTATCCCGGTAAATAACTTCCGATGGCCCATTTCTACAACTTCTTACACTAACTCAATGCAACTCCAACATGACCAAACAAACCCCGGCATTAAATCAAGTGAAAATCAACTGAATCCAGCCGTATCCAGGATCAGATAAACTCAGTCGAATCCGAGGCATTTTATCTTAAAGTGGAACCGACCGGTTGTAATTTGATTTCGGAATATGAGTACATGTCACGTGGAAAAGATCTCTTCGGATAAATTGGAGTTCAAGTCCAGAAAGAAAGCGAGATCTGTCGGATGAACCGGGACAAGAGTGATACAACTAACCACTCAATTGCAATCAATTGATCTATCAGTACATGGTAATACAGACATACCGAGTCAATTGGATGTCATCTGGTACCTGTGTGCTCAACAATTGAAGGAGAATTTCAATTGGCGCGGATAGTGCAGGGGGGAATTCTTGAATTTGATTGGTCCTTGTGCGCATAAGCCCGAAAAAAATTCACAAATCTGGAGAGAAGCGCGGTGAAAAAAAGGGTGGTCAAAACTCCGTTGTATAAAACAGAATAAGAATCCTTTACGTCGATTTTTTTTTATTTCAATTGTGTGTTCTTTTCTTATAACAACAACAACATAATAGAAAAAAAATGCTTTCCAAAGTTGCTGCTAGATCCTTCTCCTCTTCTGCTTCTGCTGCCTACAAGGTCGCTGTCTTAGGTGCCGGTGGTGGTATTGGTCAACCATTGTCCTTATTGATGAAGTTGAACCACAAGGTCACTGACTTGGCTCTTTACGATATTAGAGGTGCTCCAGGTGTTGCCGCCGATGTTTCCCACATCCCAACCAACTCCACCGTCAAGGGTTACAACCCAGACCAATTGCAAGAAGCCTTAACCGGTGCTGATGTTATCATTGTCCCAGCTGGTGTCCCAAGAAAGCCAGGTATGACCAGAGATGACTTGTTCAACACCAACGCCTCAATTGTCAGAGACTTGGCCAAGGCTGCTGCTGACTACGCTCCAAAGGCTGCTTTGTTGATTATCTCTAACCCAGTCAACTCTACTGTCCCAATTGTTGCTGAAGTTTACAAGTCCAAGGGTGTCTACGACCCAAAGAAGTTGTTTGGTGTCACCACTTTGGATGTCTTGAGAGCTTCTAGATTCGTTTCCGAAGTTGCTGGTACTAACCCAGTTAACGAAAAGGTTACTGTTGTCGGTGGTCACTCTGGTATTACCATTATTCCATTATTATCCCAAACCAACCACAAGGACTTGGATGCTGAAACCAGAGATGCTTTAGTCCACAGAATCCAATTCGGTGGTGACGAAGTTGTCAAGGCTAAGGATGGTGCTGGTTCTGCCACTTTATCCATGGCTCAAGCTGGTGCTAGATTTGCTGGTGCCGTCTTGGATGGTTTAGCTGGTGAAAAGGACGTCATTGAACCAACCTTTGTTGACTCTCCATTATTCAAGAGTGAAGGTGTTGAATTCTTCTCTTCCAAGGTTACCTTGGGTGTTGAAGGTGTCAAGACTGTCCACCCATTAGGTCAATTATCTGAATACGAAGAAGAATTGGTCAAGACCGCCAAGGAAACTTTGATCGGTAACATCAAGAAGGGTGTTGACTTTGTTGCTCAAAACCCATAAACGAGAAAATGAACATGTGTATTTAGTTTTTCAACGTATATATCTACATAAATATTTCTACGAAGAGCGACAAAGTGTAAGTTGTAAATATTCATTCTAGATCAACAAATAATGGAAAACGTGGAAAATTTCACATCCGCGGAAGTTTGGATGTTTTCGGATATTGTCCGCTGTGGGGTGAAATTCTGACACCTTGGCGGGGCAGGCACAATGCCGCTGTTCTTAGCCTTATACAATTGAACAAAAAAAAATACAGGTTTGATACAGAGAGTTACCAGGTAACCAGCACTTACTAGGCTTAGTATTGACTGAGGGGAATTTGGTGAATACTAGATTTAAACTACATTCACTTCAAATTTTCAAACCCCACAATCTCTTCCTCGACCAAAGCAAAACTATAAATTTATTCTTAATTGGGATAATTAAGAAGTAAGCGTAACCGACTTATTTTGAGCCCTGTGAGGCAAATATCGGTTCGATGGGTTTTTCGTTCCGAGGAATTAGGTGATTTTTCTTTTTTTGTTTTTCCTTTTGCATCTGACATAGCAATCTTCAACGGACGATTTTTTTTTAGTGCGCATCTGACATTTGTAATTAATAGCCAATCGAGCCCCACGAATTAGTAACGACAAAATATTCTAGATTCCGTGATCAAGTCATCACATCAAGATAAAAACAATACACAATACCAATGGTTTATGACCTGGTCATAAGTTTTCATCGCAAGGATACAATTGTGGAATCCTCTAATAGGTTGATTATTTTGAGCATCGCTAAATGCAAATCTCGATTGATCTACGCTTACGTAACAAATTGTGTAATCGTGATATAAGGTTGTAATATCTGGGGTCAATCATACAGTAATCTTGTAGTCTCGGAGATATCGCGCTAGCTATATAAAAGTAAACCTACAGTAGATATTGAAGCACAATGCAATTGTGGTTATATACACAAAAAAAGATGGAATGTTCGAGTCTGGATCTTTTTAGTTATTGATAATCACGTTTATTGTTTCTTATCCCCGCCCTCCCCGGCTCACGTTTTTTTTTTTTACAACCAGGGGATAACCAGAATTTCCAAATTTCACCAACTAGTATAAATAGAGGGGCGTTATTCCTACTTTTTTATACCTTATACATTTGTTTCTCTTTTTCTGTTTCCTTTTTCATCAAGAGTCTTCGACTTATTTTTTTTTTAATATCAATTGAATTTACACACAAACTACAATGGCTCCAGTCTACACTAACTCTAACGGTTGTCCAATTCCAGGTGACCCATTCGCTACTCAAAGAATTGGTAAACACGGTCCTCTCTTATTGCAAGATTTCAACTTGATTGACTCCCTTGCTCACTTTGACAGAGAAAGAATCCCAGAACGTGTTGTCCATGCTAAGGGTTCCGGTGCTTATGGTGTCTTTGAAGTCACTGATGATATCAGTGACATTTGTGGATCCGCCTTTTTGGATACTGTTGGTAAGAAGACCAAGATCTTTACTAGATTCTCCACTGTTGGTGGTGAATCTGGTTCTGCTGATTCTGCTAGAGACCCAAGAGGTTTTGCTACTAAGTTCTATACTGAAGAAGGTAACTTGGATCTTGTTTACAACAACACCCCAGTCTTCTTTATTAGAGACCCATCAAAGTTCCCTCACTTTATCCACACCCAAAAGAGAAACCCAGAAACCCACTTGAAGGATGCTGATATGTTCTGGGACTACTTGACCACTAACCAAGAGTCTATTCATCAAGTTATGATTTTGTTTAGTGACAGAGGAACCCCAGCTTCTTACCGTGAAATGAATGGTTACTCCGGTCACACTTACAAGTGGTCTAACAAGAAGGGTGAATGGCACTATGTTCAAGTTCATATGATTAGTGACCAAGGTGTCAAGACTTTGAACAATGAAGAAGCTGGTCAATTAGCTGGTTCCAACCCAGACTTTGCTCAAGAAGATTTATTCAAGAACATTGCTGCTGGTAACAACCCATCCTGGACCTTGTATGTTCAAACCATGACTCAAGAACAAGCCAAGAATGCTCCATTCTCTGTGTTTGACTTAACCAAGGTTTGGCCACATGCTGACTACCCATTAAGAAGATTTGGTAAGATGACTCTTAATGAAAACCCAAAGAATTATTTCGCTGAAGTTGAACAAGCTGCTTTCTCACCAGCCCACACCGTTCCATTCATGGAACCATCTGCTGACCCAGTGTTGCAATCCCGTTTGTTCTCCTACTCTGACACTCACAGACACAGATTGGGTACCAACTACACTCAAATCCCAGTTAACTGTCCAGTTACCGGTGCTGTTTTCAACCCACACATGCGTGATGGTGCCATGAATGTCAATGGTAACCTTGGTGCTCATCCAAACTACATGGCTTCAGACAAGCCAATTGAATTTAAGCAATTTTCTTTACAAGAAGAACAAGAAGTTTGGGAAGGTGCCGCTTGCCCATTCCACTGGAAGTACACTGATGATGATTTCAAGCAACCAGCTGCTTTGTGGAATGTCTTGAAGAGATATCCTAACCAACAAGAACACTTGGCTCACAATGTTGCCGTCCATGCTTGTAATGCCAGACCAGAAATCCAAGACAGAGTTGTTGAATATTTCAGCAAGGTTTCTACAGATTTAGGTGACAGAATCAAGAAAGAACTCTTGGAATTGAGCCCAAGAAAGTAAGGAAATTGTTTTTATGTTAATGTTGTATAGGAGTTTTATTTAAATAAGATGTTTTTAACTATGGCTGTTTGTCTTTATAGCATTGTTCATGAAGTAATTTGATTACGTGTAGATCAATCCTCGGCTTCACAAATTGATTGCGGGGCTGATATTATTTTTTTTTTCTTTTTGTGGATGATAATTATTTTCCGGACTTTTCCATTTAAGGTTCTTAGCGGTTAAGCAATGCCATGAAGAGATCCGCTAGATATTAATAATATTGCCACTATAATAGGTCTATTTTCTACGATATAATTTCCTGCTACGATGCAGTTATATTAAAAATATTATGCATATATTAAGCGCCATAAATAGAATATATCATTAAACCCAAATCATCACCAGCACCATCAAATTTTGTATACCATCACCAAATAACCCCTCTCATTATAACTTGGTAGTGTTGCATGATGCACAAGTGCATCCGGAACCACATTTACAAGAGCTTCCACAGCAATTTCCCTTCTTGGATGATGAAGATAAACTAACTGGAGTGTTAGCGGTAGTAGAAGTAGTGTTGTTGTTGTTGTTGCCGCACATCGTTATCTAAAATAGTTTGTTGAATATGATAAGTTAGACTTTTCAATAAAAGTATAGTTCGGGACTTTGTTTGTGGATTGAGTAAAGAAAGTGATACAAATTAATTAATTTATATATTTGTGGTTTTTGAAAAATTAGTATGCCTTGAACAAAAAGATAAGCGGATTCACTTGCCTATTTGGGAATGCAGAAACGCGCACACGTGATTTATATTTTGTGTGAATCTGAATCTTCACTAAAAGCGCAAGCGGCTTGTATGAAAATGCGTTCTTAAATTTGCTCAATTTTCTACATGGGAAGTTTGAGCATAAAAGAGATGGCATCCATTTTGAATTGCACTGGTGCAATGAATGATCTAATGCTAACCTAACAAAATTTGGTGGATCCATTTTTTTGACTCTGACGAGCCGGATTGCTGTAGTAATGAAAAAGCTATACAGGCACTGGTTAGGGCAAGCTTGCATCCTAACGCGTGTAGAGCTACCAATTGCGCGATTCGAATTTAACCGCAGTTGATTTGGATCGGCCCCTTTCAATAGCCGACTGGATTTTATTGAAATATAGTAAATGGTTCTCAAATGTCAATATTTCACCACTGCTAATGATATCTGATCTAGACGTTTCATGCGGAAATGGCGAAGCGAGTTCTTATGAGAGTCAAATCCCCTCCCAAGAGCGCTGCCGTCGTTTAGATTATAAAGTTTACTTGGGCAGTGTGAGCAAGCTCTTTGACGGTCTCTTCACCGGCTGTCGCTATTGACATATGGTTGACCGTTCTACTTACATTATTTTCGTGCATTAACCTTTTTTTGCCAAACGTTGCTCTAAAAACGAGACACAGATCTAAATCGCTTTGTTCTAGAAAAGCAATACTAGGTTGAGGCTGTAAGAGCATTTCGTTCTGATACTTTGCAAGCCAGCGCTATTGACGTCATCCCGGAGCTAACATACATTCTTTTGTGTGAATGTCTCATGTTGCAGTACACGAAAAAAAAAAAGCGCTGCGAAATTTAATCGAGGCGGTGCACACGATCTTAAACTTGCTACAGCATTAGCAGTGTTCTATTTTTGGATTAATTGTTGGGCGACGTTATCCAGGGGTGAAATCTGATCTTGACATTTTCGCTAGAAACATTCTTCCCGATCGTGTCTGGCTATTTTCCGGTTTTAGCAATAGATCTCGAAAGTAACAGACGAGTATGGCAAACGTCCTAGCCATGCTGTCAATATAAATAACCATTCATTTTCCTGGTTTTCCCTGAGAAGAATTGATTTCAGAATTCATCTTTAAACTAATTTATCTAATAATAGTAAATAATAATTAAAATGCCAGGAAATCACATGCTTATTGCTAGAGAAGAATCAGATATGATGTCTCAAATGACTGGTATGGTGCCAACTATGACATCTGGAATGATGCCTGGATTGGAAACATCCGGTGGTGACAGTATGATGATGAGCGACACCATGATGAAGAGTGACATGACGAGTGACATGATGAGCGACATGATGAGCGACACCATGATGAAGAGTGACATGATGAGCGAAAGTATGACGATGAGCGACACTGTGGTGATGAGCAACCCCATGATGAAGAGTGATATGTCATCTATGGGCGGTAACGGTACTAGAATTGGTGGTGGCCCTCCAGGTGGTCCTGGTAGAACAGCAACCAGGTCTCTTCCAGGAGCAGGATCAGGAACTGGTGATGACGATATGATGATGACTTCCTCCCCTGACGGTGATTCTTCCGCTTCTGATTCTTCAGAAAGTGGTGGTGCTACTACATCCACTGGGAACGGAGCTGGCGCTGTTGCTGCTAATTGGAAGAAGTCAGCTGGTGTTGCTTCTATTGTTGGTCTTTCTTTTATTTTAAGTTTGTTGTAAGTTATAACTAATTTTATATACATTAGAATATGATTTGAGTTTTCCATAAATAGGTTACAAAAAGTATAACAATTTTTGCAGCTAGTAAAATATTTTGTAAGGTTCTTTTCTACAGATCTGAAAAAAAAAAATAAAATAATTGTAAATATCGGATTACTTCTACATTCAAGTCATCATGTCTCCAACACAACCAACAAATGAACTCACTAAGGTAGATCCGATGTCCAAACCAGCCAGACTTCAAGTGGATCCCGCAACCATTCCTGATTCAGACAAACCACCCCAGCTGGGAACCACATTCAACATCTGGTTTCTCAAGTGGTCAGGAGGAGACTCAAGCACACGGTCTTTCACCCAACTGAAATTCAAAGTTAACATCAAACGAGACTCGGGATATACCAAAGCACAAACTAGATCACCCATCTGTCTCTTCTTTGCCCGTGGCTGTTGTTATCGTGGCAAATCGTGTCCATATTTCCATCGATTGCCGTTACCTACTGATTATACTCCTACTACCCAAGACTGCTTCGGTCGTGACAAAACAGCCGAATATCGAGACGATATGGATGGAGTAGGATCTTTCAATAAAGTAAATCGTACGTTGTATGTAGGTGGATTGTACATCAAGCCAGGAATCGAAGAAGTGATTACGAAATTCTTTCTGGAATTTGGTGACATTGAAAAGATTAAAGTGATACATAATAAATCGTGTGCTTTTATAACTATGAGATATGAGAGTTCAGCACAGTTCGCTAAGGAGGCAATGCAAAACCAATCATTGGGTGGCCAGGAAGTGTTGTATGTACGATGGGCCAATGAAGACCCAAACCCAGAAGCACAAAGACACGAGAAGAGGAGGTTAGAAGAATTAGCCCTCGAAACTGTTAGGAATTTGTTAAATTCGACAACAGATCAAGATAGCAACCCAACCAAAAGAACTAAAACTGTCACAGTGGAAGAACCACAAGAAGAAGTAGTCGGAGTTGAACCATCAATAAAAACAATTGAGGCTCTGGAAGTACCTTCCAATGAACTGAAACCGATATTGAGCAACTCCACTTTAAAAAAAGTGGCGAAAATTCGCAATACTCTAACAGTACATAAAGAGATAAAGTCCACAAACGAGAACTTATCAACTGTGTTAGGAGGTTACTCAAGTGACGAAGATGATGAGGAAGAACAAGATGGTGACAAATAAAGAGGTAGTGCCCGCAATTCAAAAACTACTGTGCGGCTTAAATTTGGGGTAGTTACTGAGATAACATGATTTTTCAGTCGAAGTCATCCCCCTTTTACTTATTATAAATACTTGCATTATTAGATTATGTACTAGAATAAATACTGCCATGACTATCGTAAGAGAAGTTAAACCCTCAGATGATGCCAAACCATCTAATGTAGTGTCGTATTATACTCCAGAACAACCAATTCCAGCAGGAACATTCATCCCTCCCGAGGATAACCCTAACCAACAACCACCAGGTCTATTCAAGCCAATTCAGATAGGCAACATGACAATTCAGAATAGAGTAGGTGTATCACCAATGTGTATATTTTCCGCTGATTCTCAATTCGAAGCTACTCCATTTCACTTGGTCCATTATGGATCAATTGCGGTTCGAGGACCAGGAATCGTAATTGTGGAAAGTACAGCTGTGTCTCCCGAAGGAGGACTTTCCCCTCATGATTTGGGATTATGGAACGATAACCAGGCCGAGAAGTTACGACCAATCGTAGATTTCATTCATTCCCAATCCCAGAAATGTGCCATTCAGTTGTGTCATGCGGGGAGAAAGGCAAGTGGACAACCATTATTCTTGCATCTAGAGCAATTGGCCGACGAGTCAGTAGGTGGTTGGCCAGAGAGTGTTGTAGGTCCATCGCCCATTGAATTCAGACCAAATGGTAATTTAGTCAGACCTCGTGAATTAACCACCAGTGAAATAAAGCGAATTGTTCAAGATTTTGGGAAAGCAGCTAAAAGAGCAGTTGATATTGGGTTTGATGCTGTAGAAATTCATGGTGCTCATGGGTATCTAATAAATCAATTTTGCAGTGAGCTTCTGAATCAGCGTACTGATGAATATGGGGGAAGTTTTGAAAATCGAATTCGATTTGCCCTTGAAGTGATAGACGAAGTCAAGAAACTGATTAACAATGAGTCCATTCCAATCTTTTTGAGTGTTTGTGCTTCAGATAATAGTTTAGATAAAAAGGGGTGGGTAGTGGAAGACACAATGAAGTTGGTAGATCATGTTATTGGACATGGGGTTCAGTTGTTGGATATTTCCTCTGGAGGTAATTGCTACAATCTGATATCTCGCTCTCGATTGAACGACGACCATACATTACCTCCCCATGTTGAAATTGCAAGGAAAGTTAAAAGGCACGTTGGAAATAAAGCTGTTGTAGCTTGTGTGGGTAAACTAGAAAGGGATCCAGTATTCACCAATAAATGCATAGAGGATGGCGATTTTGATCTTGCACTCATTGGAACACCATTCTTAAAAAATCCAGGAACTGTTTGGAACATAGCTGATCAGTTGGGTGTCAGAGTTAGCCAATGCTTGCAATATGATTGGGGATTTCATCCAAATTTGGCACAACTCGATGAGTTAACAAAGTAATAAGGTTAGTCTCTAACTGTTTGAGACTTGTAGCTGTATAACCAATCTGGTAATCTTTTGCCTCGTTTAATCAAAAACTTTTTCAATGGAATAAAAACATCTGAATCCTCCTCTGAAATAAATGTATGAGCAACACCAAAATTACCCATTCTTCCTGTTCTACCTATTCTATGAACGTACTCGTCAAATTTCTTCGTCATTTGGTAGTTAATCACAAGAGTAACATTCGGAATATCAATACCTCTAGCAGCAACATCGGTAGCTATTAAAATACGAGCATGCCCATTACGGAATTCCTCAATTGCCGATTCTCTCATAGCTTGTGATTTAGAACCATGTATAGTTATTGTATCCTTGTATCCCTTCTGAGACAATTCTTGGGCCAATGTTTCACAAACATGTATGTAATTTGCAAATACAATTATCAACGGGTTTGATACTGTTCTCATGTGTTTTCCTACTACTTGTACTAGCTTACCAAATCTAGCTTTATCAAATTCTTTATCTTCGGGTTTAGACAAGTATTCAAACCTTTGATCAATAGTATCTGAAGCATGATCATCCATAGTCCCACCAATGTAAGCATATACTGGATCTTGCAAGTATTCACGAGTTATCTTTTCGATTGAGGGAGAAATAGTAGCAGTAAACATCATGGTATTTCTCTTTGTGATATTGAATAGAGTACCTGCGATGGTATTGCCCAATTGTTCGTTTTTGGGCAATGCTTTAATTATGGTATTCAATTCCTTTTCAAACCCCATATCAATCATACGATCAGCTTCATCCATAATAAAGTTCCAACATTTGGAAAGCCCAATAATATTCCTCTCTAATGAATCCACCAATCTCCCTGGTGTAGCAACCACGATATGAACCAGTCCTGATCCTGATTCAATATCGTTAATTGTTTCCTGGTACGCATGTCCCCCAATGATGCAAACAACATTAAGACCAAGTTTCTTCCCGAACTTCTCGGCAACTGTTGTGGTTTGTTGAGCCAATTCACGTGTTGGTGCAAGTATAAGCCCAAGAGGTTGGTTATAATTATTAGGCTGATGATGTTCGTACTGTAAGTAATTCTTGTCAATCTGAAGAATATAATTGAATAACGGGACGAGAAAAGCTAAGGTCTTACCACTACCTGTGCCTGCAACACCAACAATATCTCGTTTAGACAATGAAATAGGGACTGATACCATTTGAATAGGTGTTGGTTGTGAGAATCCAAATTTATGTACCAAGTCAACTAGTTTTGGTTCAAGCGGGCTTTCATCCCAGCTACGGAGTGGATGCGGTACCGATTTTCCCTTAGTTGAGATATTATTATCCTCGTTGAATATTCTCCAATCTCTTTCCGTCATCAGCTCAAGAGATTTGGTCCAAGGAGATTCATAGCTTGTAATTTCATTGTCAAGTTCTGGCTCATCTTGGTCCTCGTCCTCAAGTAAAAGTGTAAATGAAGATGTGGTGTCTTCTTGATCATCCCAATCAAAATGAAACCTTGAACCTTTCTTGTTATTAGATTTATTTCGACCGACGTCTTGTCTCGAAGGCTCTTCTATATCTTCTTCTTCTTCTTCTTCTTCGTCGACGTAAGTTAATTTCTTTTTGGCTCGTTTGACTGGAACTGTTGTATTCCCTTGGTTCTGTTTATTGGATAACTGTTCTCGTTTAACTTTTGAGATGAATTTCGGAACTTTGAAATCATCATCTTTCAATAGATCCTCGATTGATCTGGGTCGTTTTGACATTGCAGTCTTCTCGTGTCAATTATTAATACGGTTATGATTGAAGTATAAAGCCAGTTCTTCCTGCGGCTGATTTTTTTCTTGTTTGGGTTTTGCGCCGCTCTCGGGCACACAATGACTTGCCATAAAAACGAATGCAAAGTTATAGCCAATACTGTTGTATAAAGTATATATTTTTCATCTACAAAACTATATAAAATCTCAATAAATAAATCATCTTTTAAAATAAGCCATAATAAAGAAGGTTTGTATGTATAACCAAAAACAGTCCAATAATACATATTAGAGTTAAAAAAAAATCAAATAATAAAAATTCAATAATGTCTATCTTTCTCTCTGATAGGGAACATCCCTAATTTTAAATTCGTAGTAATAAAAATTGTCCATAATCCCTCTTTTATAATATCTATCAAACACGACATGGAAAGTAAATTAGAGTCTTATTTAGCGTCGCCAAACGGATCAAAATAAGGCAATACTCGGCTGCGATCAGGCTCAACACAATAAGGTTCGTTGGAAACACCCTGTTGTTGCAGCTGCTGCTGTTGTTGTTGTTTTAGCTGTTGTTTTTGATTTGGTGTTGTTGTAGGTTGTGTTGTTTTCTTATCACTGTTAAATCCATAAAAGTATCCTTCCAATTCATTATTCAAATGCTCAATCAAATTCAATAAATTAATCAGATGGAAATAATTTGGACTAGCCAAATTATCAAACTCGTTAATTGAGAAATTCAAAATTTGTTCATTTGATAAATCATATTCCCGAGGAATTATATCCTCTTCAGAATTCTTTTCTGGCACTTTTTGGTTCTTCTTCATGGTAATATAAGTCTCGGGTTTATCAAATGGTAAAACAGCACAGAGCCAAATTCTTGTTTTATAAATCTTGAATAGTTCTTTAATCAATCCTCGGAAATCAATTCGCTTAAACCCAGCAAAATAATAAAAGATCAACTTCTTCAAATCACTCTGATACTCAACATTAATCAAGGTCAAATTGGATTCCAAGTTAAGCTCCTTGATCTTATTATAGCAAGTGATAAATGCCTTCTTTTCCTCGAGGAATTTCCCACTAATCTTGTGAACCTCAGCGGGAGTGGCAAACCTAAGAACCTGTTTAGTAGGCAAAGTAATTATGAATTCATTATCTTCATTCAGATGAGACGTAATTATGCTAGAAGCATTCAACAAAGTCGAATGGGTTCCACCATTACTCTTACTCACTTGGCCGCGATTTCCAACTTTACCAGCATTGTCTTGAATAGTTAAACTCTTTAAATGTTCAACCTTTTTTAAGAAATTAAATAAAATCGCAAAATCCAAATTAACAAGAGGTTCAACAATCATAACCAAATCTTTACCTCTATCACCATCCAGAATAACCAAATCATTCTTTTGTAAAAGAATGTTAGAATTGTTGGGGTAGGACAACAAATCAAATTTCCCATTCTTATTTATAACAAGACATAAGATCTTATGATTAAACGTCAAATTGTTAAGATTCTTGATAAATGTAACTAATTTAATTATGACTGGATTCATCAATAATGCATTCAATTTGGTCAAGATTTCAGCAGTTATTGCAGGGTCCTGGAAATATTTCATTGTTTTAAGGAAAAGTGATTTCAACCGGTCTGAAGAAGCAATAATGTACTTATCTTTTAATATCAAACCATTCTCTAATCTTATTGGGAAATTATTGGAGCCAGGAGAAAGACTTAGTTTCTGAGTTCCTGGAGATTGTTGTTGTGATTGTTGTTGACCCTGTTGTGATGGCTGCTGCTCCTGCTGTTGTTGAACTTGTTGTGCTTGTTGTGCTTGTTGTGCTTGAGGTTGTGACTGGTTTTGTTTTTGCTGCGTTGGTTGAACTACTGGTTGCATTTGCTGTGGCTGCTGTTGAGATTGTTGATTGGCAGTTTCAGGAATAGGCATAAAACCACTCTGAGGAATATTAGTCATAGGCGAGTGTAGTTGCTGTGGTTGCAGTTGCGGTTGTGGCGGGTGAGGCTGTTGCGGTGAAAAATTATATGAAAAATCCACTAGACTAGGTCTACTAGATTGGAAATTATTGAAATTAGTATTTATATTCATATTGGCAAAATTGTCACTGAATTGATCATATTGAAATTGAGCATTTGGGTTGGAAAATGTATTAACCATAGGAAGTTGATTGGAAAACGAAGGTGTAAAGGACTTATTACTATTGAAAAACTTGGAAGAATTTGCCGTCTTGGGTACTTGTGGAGGTTGATGTTGCAGGTCAAATTCGCCTGGAGATTGTTGTATGGATAAATTAGGTGCGCCAAAGGCTGGGAAGTTAGTATTTCTGGTGAATGATTCAGCAGCATAACTAGGTCTTCTTGAAGATATGTTGTTGACTCCACCTTGTAATTCGCGGGGTAAATTAAATGTGTCTCTTTTTGGTGGGTTTATATTGTCAAAACAATTGTAGTAATTTCGAGCATGTGGAGGGGATAATATGTCGACAGCTTGGGTTTCGTCCAATGTAGATAATCCGTTGAATAGCATGTTGTTGAAGCGTATAGGGTCTTCGTTCGATTTGGACGAATTTGTCGTACCATTACTAGAAACTGTGGTGGTAGATGATATGGTGCTGGGTGGACTGCCTTTTGATGTGTCTTTGGAAGTATTCGACCCTATACTTTTCCGATTGCTTTCTGCATTCAAAAAGTCTGGATAATTCATTTGCATGGGGTCCGTTCTCTTGCAAGGTTTCTTATGAATCCTGTCTTTTTCTATTATTTGTATTATATTATATTGAATATTTCTTTGATAAATTAGTGTTGTTGTTTTATAATTCTATAAGTTAGCTTTAGCAATGACCCATTAAAATATTTTTGTTTGGATAAATAAATAAATAAACTGTATGAACTTTAAAAAAAAGGGACGTAAATTTTAATGGCCAGACAGATAATAATGAATCCTAAAAATAGTAATCAACTGAGAATGTTTAAGCTGATCTGTATGTTTCCACCTGTGGGAATATGTTGGGTTTCAGGATGTCTGTCTCTCTTTTGCTTAAAAATATTTTTGTTATACAACAAAAAAAAAAATAAGGTTGATTTTTATATAAAGCTGGAAGTGGTGGGGGAGGAAGTGAAACTAAGGCAAAGGGATGGTGTTTAGATTTCGCGGAAAACTGTAAATAGGTTGTATACTGCGTTTCGATTCAGTGCTCGATTGATTGCTTGTATTGATTGTGGGGTCAGTTGATGTTGTTAGGTTTGTTTATAAAATGAACGTGTTTTACAAAAGGAAAAAAAAAATGATGGTTGATAAAAATAATTTTTGATTCAGGTGTTTTTTTTTTTCTTTTGTTGTTTTTTGCTTTTTGTTAAGTTTGTAATTTTTTTTATCCGTTTAGGTTTTCTGGTGTTTTGCCTGTTTGGGTTTTTTTGCAAATTAAGTTACGTCGGTCTTTTGAGGAGATTCCTTTTTAAGAGAAGTCCTTGGTTATTGCTTTTTACGTGTACATAAAGTCAGTGTAAGGCTATTGAGGTAATGTGCAAAGTATATCAGAAGAGCAAACTGTATAAACATACGAAACAGGACAATGAAATTGTCAAGTAGTGGGAAAAAATAGCAATCAAATCTGAGGGGGCTATTATGCGGTTTGGGTTAAATGGGTTACTGAACTAGTTATGTTACCAATCACCCCCTAAAATTTCTCTACAGTAATCGAATTATCCTAACGATTGATTTGTAATTTACTCCTGGTGTCAATGCATCCAAGAATACTTTTTCCTCGAAAATTGTTACAAGGATGGATGGTTATGAATACAGATTCTTTTCCTATCTTTTTTGCGCCTGCTCTCAATCTGCATATTCTTGTTTAATTTTCCTTACGAGCTTTGAATGGTTAAGAGCTTACCTTGCCTATGATTAGCTACTTTTATAAGTAAGTTTGGATGTTATTTATGAGGCAACCATACTTAAATCCAAAATCATCCAATTTTTGTTTTGTGGTTTTCCAATTGAATGACCCTTTTTAGATACTAAATATTTTTTCGCTTAAAATTTTTTGTGGGGAGGTGGCTAAAAAAACTCGACTCGAGTTTAACTACTCCTCGGTAAACGCACTACTGATTGCTGTCCTCCCCTCCTTGACTAAGAGGTATTAAGATCGGAATAACAACACCAAATTGCATGATAGTGCTATTTTAACTGGATTAAACAAACTGTCAAAATTGTCACATGTTTTTTTTGTTCAAAATTGTACCTTGCTATTTGATAGTTTTGTCAATACACTACTCGTTCCTCAGCCATCGTAAAAATTAGATAATATTCTCTACATATAGGAGATTAACACATTAAATTGTTAGTTGACATGTCAAAAAGAAACTGACTGCTACTCTTATCTACTATTGCTGTGCCAACTCCGCATTTCAGCCCAGTGTTTACATCTACATTTTTTTCTTTTCATTTTCCTAGTATTTTATTATAGTGTAAAAAGTCACTATATATAAATGGTAACCTATATCTATATAAATATAAAAAAAAAGGTAAGTCAAAGTTACAACATCTAGTCAAACCAAACTTAACCTTCTAATCCCTTGTTCAAATTGAAATCATTAAATCGTCATTAAATAAATTGTATTAGTATTTGTCATTACTAAATTCATCTCCTTTCCCCTCCTCCTCTAACCTTGTAGTTTCCTAAATTATCTAGTGGCTTTCGACAGAATAATCTCTTAAAATTGGGACATAGGTTGTACTTCCTCTTCTACAACCAGTAGTAGCCCTTGGTGGATAAGAACCATGGCCTTCAACAGTCACCTTTTCTGCACCATCATTTGGTTCACAGGTACACCATGATTCCTTTGGAGTACGATCCATAATTTCTGGGATATGTTGACCACATCCAGTCCATGACTTTTTGTTGCAGATAGCACAGATAGCAGCGTTACACATTATTTGTTGATTTAAGTTAGTTGTATGTATAAGTTTTAAACTCTAGAGAGTAACTAATGAAGATGATACTAAATGTAAATTAAAAAAAAAAGGAAAAGGCGATTCTTCTTCCAATTTATACTCAGAAAATCATTACCACGAAACATCAGGATAAGCCGGATTTATTTGATAAAGCTCGGTGCGTGATAACGGAAATGAATCCCGATGGACATTAACCTCCGAGTGGAGGATTGAATTATCCCCCTTGAAAAAAAAAATGGAATGACTTTTTATTTTTGGTGACTTGTTGCATGTAATAGCTTAGCGTTTTTGCATTAGTCAAAATTAGACCATTTGAGTCTTGAGCACTTTTTTCTTTGCGTGTGTAGTTTCCTATTTGGGAAGGATTTCTTCGATTTTTTCCTTTCATCCAGAATAATTTGTTCTATTTCCGCGTTTTTCCCTGCGTAGATTCCTAAATCATCCGGGGAACAAAGGAAAAGTAGTACGATCGCAAATTGACGTTTATACATCCATCGCCTGCCTCGATGGATGTCTCCGGAGTGCCCCACACGGGAGGGTTTTACCGTTATCTAATATTATTTTAGACCAATCCGATGTTTTGCGATGTCCTATTGACAACTCAACAATGTAACTAAGGAGTGCCACCTGGATTAGAACGCTGGGCAAATCTTATTTTTTCTTAAAAAACACATGTCATAAACGCCTAACCCCCATGGGGTCATTGTGAGGCGACTAATAGTCACCATGAAGACGCACATCAGATGATATCATCACGCAGATAATTAGACCAAGAGTTTTGCGTGTTTACAAATTGCAACATGCCTCGGCAGAGCTCGGCAAATGAGGCGGTGTTTCAAACCTTTTTACACAGTCATCATAAGCGAGATAAGCTTTTCTTAGATATGTTTTTTAGAGCCTGGTCTTGCTACGACTTCAATTATAAGGTTACACAGAAGAATTAAAAACATTTGTTGTATATTTGTCAACTTCTTTAGAAGTATGATCTCGTATGTTGTTATGCTCGGGCAAGGTTACTATTACCGAGTATTTCTTAATTTCGGAGTATTTTAAAAAATAAGGTTTAGTGTTCTAGTAGTCATCACTTATCGTGACCTATCGGATCAAATATGCAATGGAATCTTCCATGTGATACTATTTCGTCATTGCGTCATACTTAGTTCTGATATTTTGAGTTGTTGGGGGGAGTTTCAATTTTGTAAGAAACCACGCGAATTTTTTACAAAAATAATAACTCCTGTCATTGACTTTTCTTTTTCAATAATTATATCCCTTAAAACTTCTATTATTAACTATTACGAGTTGTTAATTCAATAAAATCATCTCGTATAGAAACTACATTTTCTTGTTTACCGAGACTGCTTCAAGCACAAGGGCAGATCCAAAGTTTTGATCCCTGCTTTTACGTCTTAGCACCGAATCAAGATTACAAAAACATACAGGTTTTATTAGCATGATTTTATATATTCAGATTTAATAACATATTTTATAGTTATACAACATCTATAAAATCATTAGGAATCTACAGGTGCTATGGAAATTACAACATACCAATTCAGCTGACTAATTTCTTGTTCACCCCTCATTCAGTCCAATACATAACCAAAAAAAATTCGAAACACATCTAAAACAATAGTCCAGCTAGTCTACAAAGCACCACCGGTTTGTTCACGATGGGCTTCAATGGTATCACCATCTTCCAATTCCAATTCATCTGGAGTGTTGTGGGGATAGACTCTGGTACCATCAATTAAGAAACGTAAACTGTTGATATCTTTACCTTGTCTCTTACAGAACGCCTCCATTAATCTCTTCATAGGTGTTGATCTTTTGATTTTAAAAAAGATTTCAGCAGACCCATCAGAAACTTTTAAGTTGATGTGAGTGGTGGAATCTTGCTTTTCTTCCTTTGGTTGTTCAGTGTCAGACATTGTTGATGTATGATAGAGATCACGTCCTGGGTGTAAGTTTTGTTGCCCTTGTTTTTTTCTTGTTTTGAGCAATACAATTCAAAATAAGGCAAAGTTGTGTTTTTTCTTTTTCAATTCATGCACGACCTTTTATTTATTTTTCTGTGCATAATGGCTGCCAAAAAAGTAATCTACTATTCCTACTGAATATCTCAGAGAAGGAATGTATAGTATGATTTGAGCAATTAGACTTCTCGATGAAACAAAATTTCCACCTTAACCTTATTTTTGAAAAGTGCTTACTGTGATTGGCATTTTCAAGTTAGTACAGATTGAGATGTTTCAGACTTGTGTCAAGTTGGTTTCATACTTGAAACACTGCTTGACAAGTAAAAAGTCGATTAATACTCTAATAAATAGATGTGGGCCCTTATTACTTTCTAACTCAGTTCTCGTAGACAACTGATAGATATAAAAAAACAACAACCGACATAATGAGTACACCAATCACTCGAAACTATTTAAATCTTACAGAAATATTATCGCAAGCATATCTTAACAAATACACCATCTTATTCCTTCTTATACTTGTAAAACTAATTATATTCAAGAATTCCTTGATAAGTCAATTAAATCAAACGATAGTAAATGAAACTATATGCAATAAAGATCAGATCGAACCAATACTTTCATCAATACACAATATTATCCTTGATGGGTTAAAAGAGACACAGCATGCTGGTATAACATTCATTGTAATAATAGTTACAATCATAAAAAATCTACTCATTTTCTATATTGAGATATTTGTAGGGACATTTCTATGTCTTTTGAATGCTGTAATTAAAGGAACTACCGAGTTGGCTCTTGATTCAAGTGAAACTATAATTCGAGCTGTGAATACTACAGTAGTTGAAGTCACCAACCAAGTAGAAGAAGGATTGAAAGGGTTGAGTGGAGTACTTAACGATTTTGCCAAAGGTGCCATGGGATTTAAGTCTATTTTTTCAGGAAAGGCTAGCAACCCAAGTGAGTTTGAGGACAGGATCCATCTTTCCTTGGGTGAACTCAAGGATAAGATAGCCATTCCTAGCGAGGTAGTAGATGCTATAAATTCAGTTAGGAATGCTGATCTTGGGAAGCTTACCAAATTAGATAATGCAACCCAAGTGATACTAGAAGCTCCATTCAAATTAGTCACCAAACAATTGAAAGAGTTTAAAGATAAAAAGAACTATTCAGAAACAGTGAAGCCTATTGATGCCAACCAGATTCAACAGCTTTGTAATGCTCATGTCGAAAGCGTGCATAATGTTCAGAAGGGTTTAATTATAGTGGTTGAAAACTTGACCAAAACTTTGGTAATTTTGCTCATAATGGCAATGATTGGGTCTACTTGCTATGTTGTATTTATAGAATGTATGAAGTGGAGAAGAATGCAGAAATTCATTCGTGAAGACTTGTCACATCCAGTCAAATTCAAGAATCAGTACAACATCTATCATAGTTCTCTGATGTACATGGTTGCTAAAAGGTTTAATTTGCGTGTAGGTGATAGAGCTCTATGGTGGTGGAGTTTTTTATCTAGCAAATTTGCAGGGTATACTTTACTATTTGGAATCATGGGGTTAATGGCGTTGCTATGCCAATACATTATCATTCTGAAGTTGAGACATACTTTAGGAGAAAGGGCGACTGAATTAATGCAGGATGAACAATCTAGAAACTTAACTACAACTTATATAAAAGATATGAAACAGTATATTAATAATACTGAATCTTCTGTTAACAAAGAATTGTTTGGTCATTTCCACAAGGCAACTGGTGCAGTCCATAAAGAATTAACAGAGTTCATTGAGATTATGAATAGTACCATGACTGATATATTTGGGAAAATACCTTTGGGGAAACCAATAAACACTGTAATATATTGTGTTCTAGGGAGGAAGTTAGTTGCTTTAGAAAGAGGAATAGATTGGCTACATCAGAATATCAGGATTAAACTCCCACGACTTTCAAAAAACTTGGAAAATGACATCAAGCAACTAAAGTTTGTAAAAACAAGCTCAGTTTTGAATAAGTTAAACACCATGATTGATGTTTATGAAAAATCCTTGCGCTTGGAACTATATATCAGTACTGTACTTGTTGCTCTTTGGGGCCTACAAATTATAATTGGCTCAATATGGGTTTTCCTTCAAGATAGAAAAGTTACCCAAGAGCTCGTCATGATAAGTTCACCACAACCGTTATCTAAGTCAGAAAAGATATTATATGGATATCCTCTCGACAATCCTCATATTCTGTTTCCAGGAGCATTCATTCCTTCCCGAAGTAGTCTGATACCCAGTCCACTTTCTAAGTATAATAAAACTTGACATTTGTATCAATTTACTATTTTCTAATATACACACTTATATAAAAATTCTTACTTTTTGATAGGAGCAGGTTTCTTCCAGTAGTATTGTTTGTGGGTTCTTCTACAAGCTCTTAACCCACCATGACCCTTGACATTTGCGACCATTTGCTTTCTTGCTTCATCAGTATCATTTTCCGAGATGTAATAATATTCTTCTTCCAATGGTTTACCAGCAGCGTCTTTACCCTGACGGTAAATCACACCAATACATGGAATATCGTGAAGGATTTGACGGATTTGAGAAAGTGTCAATTTGGAAGTTATTACACTGAAACTGTTTAAGAATGATGCAGGGGTAGAATTCAATCTCGAGAATGCAAGATGGTTGATTAAGATGTTGTTAATTTCGTCAATGTTTTCAGGTAAAACTGGGGTAAACTCTTTTGGTGCCTGTTCAGGGGCAGGTGTCGATGGACGTGACTTCTTTTTCTTCTTTAATTTGCTTTCCGGTTCTTCTGATTTAGCTTTTCTCTTCACGGTGTTTGTGGTATCCTTAAGAGCTGATTTTAGGGTATCAGTAGATGTTCTTGGAGTAGGGGTATTTGTTAAGGATTGGCTTGATTGTTCTGCAATCTTTACTGATTCGTTGGCCTCAAAGATCTTGAAAGGTGTTGATGGACGGGATGGAACTGGATGATGAATCTTGACCAGCTTTGGTTGTTGTTGAACCTGTTGTTCTGCTGGTGCTTGTGGTTCTGGTTCCTTACTTGGGGTGTCTTCATCTTCGGCATTAAGTTCAACCGATGGTCTTGGCTTTAATGGAGTGTTTGGAATAGTAATTTCTGCTGATTTCAATGGGGTTGATAACAAAACTGGGGCTTCCTCGTCAGTTAACTCTTCATCAATGTCATTTGGATTTAATAATACTAATTGGTTTGAAATTTGTAACATAACGCTATTGAATCTAGGCATGGTTATAGTTTCGTTTCTTCTAATGTAGAATTCAGTATGGTTGTAATCTAATTTAATTGTTCTGTTACTAGCAGGAACCAAATCCTTGTCTAATAAAGGTCCAGACTTATTTTCCAGAACAATAAAGTTGTTGGCAGAATTAGTAGCATAAACATAGCATGAATGGGGAATAACCATTCCAAAACCATTTGCACCTTTACAAGTCAAGATAATTTCGTGAGTATTATGACTAATGGCTAAATGAACTCTGGAGACGCGTGAATCGTTACCATTAAGGGCAAAATCACAACTACGCGAAGATCTGCCAACGTTAAAATGAGATTTGTCGGACAATAAAGGTATACGAGTAACGGAAGCATCTGGATTAAGGATATTGAAGTTGGTATTTATAGATACGGACTTCTTGTGTGGTTTAACAGTACTAGCGGTTTGGTTGTTTTCTTCTTCTTCTTCTTCTTCATCGTCTTTTTCCTCAGGTTGCTCTCTTGTTGGGGAGGAAGATCTGAAAAGGGCAGACGATGGATTTGGGGTTGGATAGTTGATTTGTCTCGATGACCTAGACCAACTTGCGTTCCCTTTCTTTAACGAAAACGGGTCAAAATGGACTGATCTTTCGTCGTCACTCACAGTGTCAAGCAAAGGAGACGATGGCGGAAATTGATAGTTTGTATTGGACATTGAACTACGGGTGTAAAACTAGCAGCAATGATAAGTGTTGTTGTCAACTGAAAATGGTTTTAATTCGATGATATCAAAAACTTGACAAGAAAATTCTACTGGGTTTATGTTTTGTTGGTGTGGGTTTTGCAGCAGCGATTCGGTGTTTGTGTAGTTTCATAGCGGAGCGTGTCTTGTTTGTTTACCTTTGCAGCCGAAAAATATTTGGAGTTTGCGCGTACGTGGAAAAGACATCAGGGTTTAACCCTAAGTGTAAAACAAACACGTGACCAGCAGAAAAAAGCATCCTGCATGTACAATATTTGTGCTGTGCACGACCGCTGCCTCACATTTTTTCCGTTAACTATGGGACGCACTCACAATAGCCAAACCTCCCCAGTGCGAACGACAGTTTGGCAGAGCCTTTGGCTTCTCCAATTCTCACATAGTGAAAATTTTCTAACAAAACAGAAAAAAAATTTTAAAAAGAAAATCTTTCTTACTTACTTACTATAACCACATAGATAATCAATAGCAAAAATGGGTAGTATGTGAAGATTCCTACAAGACTATGGTACATCATCTCATATGATGTATCAAATAACTAGAAGCGAGCTATTCTGCAATGTTTATAAGATGTTTTAAACCAAGTGAAATCAATATAAAAAAATGTGAAATGTTGGAGAAAGAGAGAATAAGAGAAGAAACGAGTAAATCATTCACAAGACAACCACTTTCAGACAAACCAAGTTCTCTGTAATACATTACAACGACAATATTAGACTATTTGCCACCTCCAGATCAAGATATTACACCGACCACAATATTGAGATGAGTCAATATGCAAAACGATAGATAGTAGTCTTTATTCCACCGCCGCCACCACACACACACACACACACACACACACCAGTTAAACACTTATAACATTGTCGATATCTTCTAGGAAATACAAAAAGACCAATTACTAACACCTCTCAATAGAAGGTACTCCATCTTTAGGTAAACGTCACAACAAGTCCCACACTTTATGTAACAGATGTGGTCGTCGTTCTTTCCACGTCCAAAAGAAGACCTGTTCTTCTTGTGGTTACCCAGCTGCTAAGATGAGATCTCACAACTGGGCTTTAAAGGCTAAGAGAAGAAGAACTACCGGTACCGGTAGAATGGCTTACTTGAAGCACGTTTCTAGAAGATTCAAGAACGGTTTCCAAACTGGTGTTGCCAAGCCACAAACTGCTTAAATCAATTAAATGTTGAAAATTTATCAATAAAGTTGCATTGGAGGAGAAACATATTCATCTTCCAGGGTTTACATGTATTCACAAATAATGGTTTAATTTTTTAGTTTAAAGCTTTACAACAACAAAAATATAATTTGTATCATAAGGATTATTAAAATTTGATATTTGTAGTATATTTACTCGACTAACTCCATCTCGTCAAACGTGAGGCTGTCGTGTTCACAATTCATATTGAAATATAAATTATCTGCTTCTTCGTGAGTGACGAATTTATTCAAGATTTCTCGGGCACATTCAATAGCATCTGATTCATAAGGGAATTCTAGCCCGTTAGCGAAATCAGTTTGTAAATCAGCAAGATATTTCCCATTCGGTATTATGTCTGTTAAATGGTTTAGTTCTCTTGCTCTGGATTCACATGTTTCGTTAAACACAACTTGATTATAGTAACCTTTCTCTCGAACTTTAAACAACAACTGTTGACCTTCGGCTGTAGTTGAAGAGTCTGACCCAAACGCTATTCTCAGCAATACCACAAATAATTCATGCATCGTCTCAGGGAATATCAACTCAGTCATATCTTTACCTTCTTGTTGGGTTAAATAGTTTATGATTTTGACAAAATTTGAAACTAGTTGGATTCGTAAGTAGATATATTTAGATCTGGGAGATCTCATGATATAATCTTGTTCAAATGCCACGATTCTTATCATAGATTTGAAATGTTCTCTATTGTATAAGAAATCTATAGTTTCTTGTGTAACAATTAGCGAGTGTAATAGTTCAGATACCTTGACCGACAAGGTTAATAAATGAAATTGATGGTTTGCGGATAATTCGTATTGTAACTCACCAGGAGTTTCCAAAAGTTCATATGGAATAGGTTGTGGTGCGACCACTACGTAGTTGTTCAAGCAGTCATGGTCTATAGGCACCATAGAGTCAATCTTTTTCAAATCGTAGTTGTTACCAACTATTCGATTCAATCCATACACCATGAAATTCTCTCGAATTGGTAATTCTATAAGACATACTTTAAGCAAGGAGCTTATAATTACACCATTCAATTCTGAATTGTTAAATGCAAATGTGTCGTCAGTGATGGATCCCAATAGCATCTCCACCATGTTGTACACTAGGTTTACCTGGGCAGTGTTTTTAAATCGTTCTGGATTTTGAGGTAAACACAAATTGAATAGTTCAAGTGGGAATAAATTCCAAGTGTTTCGTATATACTGGGCTTCATACATCGAAGACAACGTAATTGCTTTTTCAAGTATATCCATGCAACAAACGAATATGAATTTCTGAAGGATTGATACATGATTCGGAACATCATGATAATTCATAAACTCGTCTTCTAAACCCAATGGTAGATCACTTCCTTCACTTACTAAGTACGACAAGTCTTTGGCGATGTTAGAAACGTGAATCACAATGTGTCCAATTAGCTCTACAGATACCGCAACAGGTCGAAACGTTATCGAACAATGAACCAATGATAGAAGAAACGGTACAGCAAGACAACTTTTACTCTTTTGCCTATTGAGCAAATTATCAATAATTTCAAGTAAGACAGTGACGAATTCTTGTATGAGCTGATCCAAACGTAGACTCTTTCTACTCATTAACAATTCCATAATTGAGGAAGATATAGGTGTTCTTCTTAACAATTTAAAGTTGTGTTGAGTTAATTCCAAGTCAAAATCAGTACATATTTTGCTTAGATAAGAAAGTGATGTTCTTGTGCTTCCTAATATACAGTAATTCCATATCTGGTCTGAAAATAATGCAGCATCATTTGATGGTTTTATTATCCTTGGTTTAGGTGTAGATGGTGCTGGTGCTGGTACTGTTGCTGTTGCTGGTGCTGGTGCTGATACTAGAGATGCAGCTTTCACAGATTCGTTTGTTGTAGCAGGTACTATACTTGTAGTAACATCAAATTGATTATTTACTTTTCTTTTCTTACTAGCAGAGGCAATAACCAATTCATTATGCAAAAATTTCTTCTCATCTTCAAGTTTCAGCACTGCTTGTTTTAGAGCTACTATTTGTTCCTCATTGTTTCGTTTCAATGCAGTATATGAATCATTTAATTTGATAACCTCTTGTTGCTTCTGTTGTTGGAGCTGTTGCAACTGCATACGAAGGATTGAAATCTCACCATCTGCCCGATATAGCTTAGTTTGTATGTCATCGTTGATACCAGCGGAACTGTTGCCATTTCCTGTAGTAGCGACAGCGGTTGTTCTTAATCCTTGTTGAGTTTGGGTTGGTACATTTGCTTGTGTCGGTATCACCTGGTGGCCCTGAATTTCTGCTCTGCCTTGAATCAAAGCCTGTAAAAGTTCATCGTCATCATCACTATCACCAAAATCCGAGCTAGACATATTAGACCTAACCTAGCCAAGTTGGTTGTAAATAAAATCAAGGTTGACTAATTTATTTCCGAGGCTAATCAACGCGAACGTCATGTGACTCAAGAGGTCGAAACTTTTTTACTCATACGCATTGAGATGCCCGTTGAAAAATTCGTTAAAAAAAAATATTGTTAAAAAACCCTGATAAGAACGGTTTAGATATTGTTCTCGATCTATAGACGAATCATCATGTCCAGTCCAAGTGAATCTCAAAGTAATAACGAAAACAAAGAAACCAAGACGACAAATGCCCCACCAGCTTCATTTGTCCCTGTTCAACCTACCCCTCTCAGTTCTCGTGACAAGTCCACCAAAAGATTAATAGTTGTATTATCACAAGCATGTTTGGAAACCCACAAGATGAGCACAGATAGAAACGGTGGAGGTGACCGTTATGCTCTTTTAAACTGTGATGACCACCAAGGGTTGTTGAGGAAAATGGGCAGAGACATTGCCGAAGCAAGACCAGATATTACACATCAATGTTTATTGACATTATTGGATTCTCCAATCAACAAAGCTGGGAAGTTACAAGTATATATCCAAACTGCCAGAGGGGTATTGATAGAAGTTAACCCAAGTGTTAGAATCCCAAGAACTTTCAAGAGATTCTCTGGTTTAATGGTTCAATTATTGCACAAATTGAGTATCCGTTCTGAAAACTCCAAAGAAGTATTGTTAAAAGTTATAAAGAACCCAATCACTGACCATTTACCTACTAAATGTCGTAAGGTCACTTTATCCTTTGATGCAGAAATTAAGCGTGTTCAAGATTACGTAAGCACTTTAGACGAGGATGAAAGTATATGTGTTTTTGTCGGTGCCATGGCCAGAGGTAAAGATAACTTTGCCGATGAATTTGTTGATGAAAAAATCGGTCTTTCTGACTATCCATTGTCTGCTTCTGTTGCATGTTCTAAATTCTGTCACGGTTGTGAAGATGTTTGGGGTATTTTCTAAATAAACTAACTCAACTATTTAATTCTTTGTATGAATCTTTATCCTTGAATAGCGAGTATTTCTGATTCGTATAGTGCTATATATGTACAATAGATTCTGTTCTTTTAGTATGTTGCTAGTTCGCCGTATCAATAAGTTGTAACATCGCGCTACCATTTTCTGTGATTTTGTTACAGATTGGTTGGCTGAAAAAAAAAACCCTTACCTTTTGCAATCATTTCAAAAAAAACCATCCACAGATAAATACTTGTTATTTCAAAAAAGGTATTTCTAATCACTCACTCTTGCTCACAGACTACCATTAGCTAACAATGTCCAATATAATTCAAGCAAGCTCCGTTCATGGCTTAACTACTACATTAACAGTTTCCAACTTCCTTTTAGAACTGCTCAATTTACAAGATATTCTTGATGTCAATTTCTCGTCTGCTTCTGTTGTGCAGTTAACTAAATATCCAACCCCTTACTTCATCCGCCAAGATAAAAAGAATAAAAAGAAAACAGTCAAAGTGTTTAACGGTAATGGTGAACAAGTGTTTACTTTTGAAAGACTTTCATGTTTGAATCCAGTGTGGAGAATGTTGACTTTTCCTGCAAGACAAGAAGTAGCTACCATTAAAATTGGGCTTACTTCAAGGTCAGTTGATTTCCACACTAAAGAAGGAATAACTCACAGAGACGTATTTCTTGATATCGGACTCAATGGAAGATATAGATCCTTTTATCTTAATGATGGTTACAAATATTCCTGGAGTTCATCCACAAAGTACTTGGAGAAAGTTATTAATCCAAATGGTAAACTTGAAGAAACGAGATTACGAGTCGCCAAGGTTAAATTGATGAGACAATTCAAATTAGATTTCGAAATTTTGGTCGATGAAGATAATATTGATCCTGAAATTGCATTGTCTACTGCATTCATTTCAATGTTTACCCAATGGGGAACTGGTAATTATACAGATACAATTGGACCTACATTTATCCCACCTAAACCAATTGCTGAAGAAGTTGAACCAGAAGAACAACAGGACAAGCCAATTACTTTAGTTATTGAAAATCCCGATGGCTCAAACTTACAAATATCTAGTGAATAATAAATGGTAGTATACCTACATAGTTAGTTTAAAACAAAATAAATTTTATACAAATAAAAAACGTCTATAATCATTTCGTTGATGCTTCAACGTCCAACGCATCTTCACTCCTTAATACTTGTTCAATCTCTCTAAACAACAAATCAGCAGTCTCTTGTGAACCTTTAACCCTAACACAAACCAATTCTGATTTTTGATTAAAATCTCGAGGATTAATCTTTATTCTAAATTTACAGCTCAGAGCACTCTTTTTAGAAATGGACCCTGTTATATTATATCCAATTTGATCATTCTTCAACTTCTTCAATCCGAAATTAGTCCATGAATTCAATAACGAAAATAATGCAATTGACATTTCATGTTGTGGCAAAAGTGTTTGAATCTTTTTGATTTGGATTTGGCTAGAGGTTGAGCTTGACGAGAACCAACGCAAGAACGAGCTCTTGGGTTTTTCTTCCGGTTCATCAAGGGCCTTTTTAGTTCCCCATGATAACTTCCTGAAAATTGATGGCTTCCTCTTTTCATAAATATTGGTCTTATCTTCCAATGGCTTTTTAAGTCCATCAGATCTGCCAGGTGGTCCAAGTGGAGCGAGTGGTGCAGAAGTATTAGCTTTATCGCGTACTTTAGGATATGGCTGGGACTGAATTGGTTCATCGTTTAATGTAGGAGACAACATAGACTTCTTACCAGAAGGAACTTCATTAGCCAAGGCATCAATTGAAGACTTGGTGGATTTGCCTTCAGGCAATTTAATCTTATCGAATACATCATCAGTAGGTTCTTCAGATTCAACAGAAACCATGCTCTTACGCTTCTTGTAGATATCATCACTTTGAGTAGCAAAAGTATCGTCATACTCGGTTTTAGGTAATTCTGGGATCTTAGAAGTTGGTCTTGTACCAGTTGGTGGATTATACCTTCTTGTAGTTGACAACCTCTTGTCATGATAAGAATATCTCTTGTTAGCATGATCGTCAAGATCTAATACTGAACCATTATCTTCATATTGCTCTGCTTCTTCCTCTTCATCTTCTTCAACAAGTCCAGCTTGGTTTAATCTATCAGCCAAACTAGTTCTCAATTTAGGGAGTTGTTGTTGAACATCATCTTCATCATTTATAAACGAATTCAAATCGTGATAAGATTCTTTGGTAGAATATAAAGATAACACGGACAATCTCTTGTTGGAATTAGTGAAATTTCTCGATTTTCTAGTAACATTAGGAATCTTGACATTACCAATTAATGTCTTTGCCCCGACGTCTTTAGATAATCTCTTACCTTCAATTGGTGGAATAGATTGTTGTGGCTTATTTATAGTAAAGTCAAATCCATCATCTTCCTCGTCATCATTATCCAAGATAGAAACCATAGATTCTCTATTGATTCTTTTAGAAACTGTGGAATGTCTGTTAGTAGCAACAGACATTCTCTTAGTGGTAGTAACAGATTCTCTCTTGACGGTAGATTCACGTTTAGGATGCTTATTCAAGAGTCCGTCTCTCCATTCTTGTTCCAAGGCATCCTTTGCTTCATCCAATTGTTGATTTTCATAAGCTTGCCACAATGGATCTAATCTTGAAACTGGTCTTCTGGTCAACACAGGATCTCTTCTTCTGGCAGGCACAGGTTGAGTGACACTTCTCTTTTTCAAACATTCAAGTTCTTCCCGAGTCAATTCCTCAGATTCAAGTATACCTTCAGACAGAGCTCTAACACCGGCAGGTGGTTTAGATTGGCGTTTTGGTTGGGTGATTAACTCGCGGGCAAAGACATCTTGTTCACTATTGTTAGCTTCATTGTCATCTTTGATGGAAATTGTCAATTTTTGATTTCCAGTCAACAAAGACTTTCTATTTTGTCGTCTCTTTCTCTTTTCCAATTCTTTTCTGGCTTTGATTTCAGCTTCGTGTTTCTTTCTTTCAATTTCCATCAATCTTTCATATTCCATGGCTTGTTTCTCTTCAGGGTCGGCCAACTTTTCTTCTTCTGGATCGTAATCTTCATGGTTGAAGATCTTGTCACACAATGTGGCAAAAGTGGCTGAAGTACGCTTGGCTTGTTTATCAACGTATTCCCATTCATTATCAGTAGACAATTTAGCATAAGTTGATAACAATTTCATGGTGATGGAATTTCTCTTCAATCCAGTAGTCATGGAAGCACGAATTGACTTCCTCTTGGATAATCTCTTGCTGCTTTTACTACTGCTGAATATGGAAGCACGTTTGTTAGGCGAGATTTTGGCTGATTCATCAAGACGTTTGTTTTCAGGAACATTGGTTAATTCATGTTTTTCATAATAAGACCCCTTGGATGGAAGTGATGGAGGGATAGATTGATTACTTTGAGCAGCCATGATTTCATTATAAAGATTTCTGGGAATTGAGCCCAATCCGCTTAATCTCTTGTCACCTGTCTTGCGTGGTGAGTGACGTGGAGACTTCAATGGTGAATGACGAGGAGATTTCAACGGAGAATAACGGGGAGATTTCCTTGGAGAATATCTCTTAGCTGGTGAAGTTTTGTATGGAGATCCATGTGGTGACGATGTAGTTGGGTTAGTGGTTTTGACATAGGAATTTCTATTGTACTGGAACGAAGTTGGACGAGAAACATTAATTTTACTTGATCTCTTATTCTTCTTGGGTGTAGTTGACGTTGCTGGTAATTTATTATAACTTGTTGATTTCTTTGGTGGTGATCGATTTGGTACAGTACCATTACCAACTCCAAAATCTTCTTGGTTGGTATTATGTCTATATCTCATTAATAATGCATAGAAGGTTTTTTCGGGATTTGGACCATTCTTCAATAAACTCTCGATAATATCTTGTTGAGATCTATTGTGCCATAAGATAGATAAATTAGATAAAATTTGCTTATCGATGTTTTTAACCGATCCCAAGGATTTATAAGCAGTCTGAGGATGAGGTAAAGATCTTTCACTGATTAAATCTTCATTTGGAATAGGATACTTTAATAACAAGGGATGTTTTAAAATTACATCAATCTTAATTCTTTTTGCTGGATCAGCATTTAACATTTTCGAAATTAAGTCTTGAGCTTCCCGACTTAAATCGTCGGGCATTTCAAAACTCCCAGCTTGAACCTTTAATAGCAAGTTTCTAATGTTTTCATCATCAAATGGTAATCTTCCCGTTAGCAAGGCAAATAAAATGACCCCACAAGACCAAATATCTGATGCGGCACCATGATATTTCAATCCGCTGACAATTTCTGGAGCAGCATAGTGGGGAGAACCGCATGAAGTTTCTAATAATTTGCCATTGCTTTCCAAAGCAGCCATGCCGAAATCAGCCAACTTAACATTCAATTGGTCATCCAACAACAAGTTTTCTGGTTTTAAATCTCGATGACAGATACCGAGAGCATGGCAGTAGGCAGTACCCAAGATGATTTGCCTAAAGTATTTTATAGCTTCTCTTTCTTGTAATGGGCCGCGTTCAACTAACAAGTCAAACAATTCACCACCTTCGACATATTCCATGACAAGATATAACGCTTTTGAGGTTTCCCAAACGTCGTATAATCGAAGAACGTTGGGGTGGTTTAGCAATTTCATAATGATGATTTCACGCTCTATACCATAAGGTAATCCTTCTTTTTTCTGGTCGAGGTCTTGTGGTTCATCTTCAGCATCCTGTAATTCTGACTTTGATACAACTTTGACAGCAGCTTTCTGGCCGGTGACTTGGTGGGTTGCTAACAACACTCGTCCGGTGGCACCTCGGCCAAGGGTCTTACCGAGTTTCCAAGGTCCAATCTTTTGGGGATGGGAATGTCCCGCGTCCATGGACGAACTAATTGACGCCTGTCTTGAATGTGGCATTGCGCGTATGTGTGTGATTTTGGGAACTAGATTCTACTAAACTCCGTAGTAGTATTTAAGGGGTAAATTAAGCGAAAGTATTAAGGGAGTAAATTGTTGCCTTGTCCGTTAGTCAGTTTAAGTTATGAGTGTTTAGTTTCACCTCCTTTGTAGTCTCAATGGGCGAATTTGGAAATAAACAAGTATAAATATGAAAGAAAAAGGTTCGATACAGCCTTGTTGTAAAAAAAAACACTCGTTAAAAGAAAATTTTTTGTTTCTGTTTTAAGTTAAAATTGTTAAACGATTTGGCTGACAAAACGCGTAAACAATAAACGCGTGTCAATTTTTTAATCAACAATGAAATTTAATTTATTTTCCCCCTTTCAAAACTTTAGCACGTGATGCAGCCAATCCAATTATGTTTCTTCTTTGGGCATAATAGGGTCGCCCCTAGATATAGGCTAAATGCGTTTAATATACTATTACGATGAGGTGGGGAAGCGACGAATAAGCACTATGAAATTTCGGGTGATAGTTCAGAGGAACTATCAGCTCGTGCTGGTGTGGTGGTGTTAGTCGAAACAGGACAAGTGCAAGCCCAAAACGGCAAACTCAGCAAATGGGTGAGTCTTCCTGAAATTAAGCATTCTGGTTTTTTTTTTATTAAACAAAAAATACTTTAAGAGCTAATCGCTAGTTTCATATGAAAATTATATAGCGGGAGAGTTTCTAGATCTGGCTTTGAAGGATTCACCACCGGTGCTATTACGTCAGGCCAGTTAGACAGAATGTAAAGATCAATGGGTGTAAAACATATAAATGAAGGCTTATGCTTTCGAATGTATGTGCCAGCCCAATGAGGTGCGGTTTGTCTTGGTCGTATGTGAGTCATGACATATGCTGAAGCTATGAGCCTCAGCACGCTCCAGCTACCGCCACAACAGTAAGAGTAAGACCTGGCTCCATGTTTATAACATATTACAATGACAAGAGAAGGGTATTGGGCTGCTGCAACGAGCTACAATCACCCATAAATTTTCAATCTTCACATAATCTAGTTTTCCAGCTTCTGTGCTTCAAGTTACAGCAACTCGCATAATACTTGTTCTTGTAGAAGTGCGGCTTGACAAAGGTCAAACTGCTAATGTCTATTTCTATATATAGTTTGTGTATGACTATTGCAGTTTATTAAAACCCAACCTGCTATTACAATAGTTGTTGAAAGATGTTCCTGTACATTATTCGTGGCAACTTTACGTGGTCTAATGTATTTTCCAATGTATTTTCCAATGTATCTTCCAATGTATCTTCCAATGTATCTTCCAATGTATCTTCCAATGTATCCCCCAATGTATCTTCCAATGTATCTTCCAATGTATCTTCCAATGTATCTTCCAATGTATCTTCCAATGTATCTTCCAATGTATCCCCCAATGTATCTTCTAATGTATCTCCCAATGTATCTTTCCTAACCTCAAACATGTTGGCGAGCTTTCACCGCACCGCAATTTGAACAGTTTAATCTAAGGCAACGAGCAAACATTGCCTGCGTACCACAACTATCTAATAAGGATATTTTCTCTATAGTTGTATAAATATTTGTTTATAATCCCATCTCAGTCAATAATTCCATTTGTTTCTTTAAATCATTCTCAGTGGTCTTTCTCAGTTGTTTCAATTGTTCATCATTTGCAATATCTTGCTTTAATTGCTTGGCATCTAATGCTGATTGTTCTTTGGGTGATTCTACGGGAGTTGCCAATAAGTTTGTGATCTCTGTGAATGTCGATATGTTGGAGTTTAACTTTTCTATCTGAATTTTTGTTGACTTAAAGGACTTTTTATGTTTTGTAGATACCTTTTTTGGTTTGGATGACCCTTTGGATATCTTATTACTGGATTTTGTCTTTGTATTCACCTTCGCCATCTTGCTTGGTTAACTGTAGTAAATTTCTCTCATAATTTTTTTCTTTCTTTCTTCAGATAGAAATCGTTAGAAAAAAAAAAAATTAAGCTCATCGGATAACCACTTATCAATAGGAGAAGAATCAAACTATAGACATGCCTTCAACACACAATCGTGATAAACCATGGGATACTCCTGATATAGACAAATGGGTGATAGATGAATTCAAACCAGAAGACAATGCCCTGGGTCTCCATTTCGCTGAAGAATCTTCGTTTATGACCTTGTTCCCCAAATATAGAGAAGAATATTTACGTAACATATGGAGTCAAGTCACTCAAGCTTTAGACAAGCATTTCATTAAATGTGAATTAAACTTGATTGAGGGTTCTATGACTGTTAAAACCACCCCTAAAACATTTGATCCAGCCATGATTTTGAAAGCCCGTGATTTGATCAAGTTGTTAGCGAGATCGGTTCCATTTGGACAAGCCGTCAAGATTTTACAAGATGATATTGCTTGTGACGTTATCAAGATTGGTAACTTTGTTAATAATAAGGATAGATTTATCAAGAGAAGACAAAGATTAGTTGGTCCAAACGGGAATACCTTGAAGGCATTGGAGTTACTAACCAAGTGTTATATCTTGGTCCAGGGTAACACTGTAAGTGCTATGGGACCATTCAAAGGTTTAAAGGAAGTCAGAAGGGTTGTTGAAGATTGTATGAGAAATATTCATCCTATTTATTATATCAAAGAACTCATGATTAAGCAAGAGTTGAGTAAGAAGCCAGAATTGGCAAATGAAGATTGGTCAAGATTCTTGCCAAGTTTCAAGAAACGTAATGTTGTTAGAAAGAAGAAGAAGATGGCCAACAAGGAAAAGAAGGTATACACTCCATTCCCACCTGCTCAACAACCTAGAAAGATTGATTTACAAATTGAAAGTGGTGAGTATTTCTTGGGTAAGAAAGAGCGAGAATTGAAGAAATTACAAGAAAAGAGAGATAAGCAAGAAGAAGTCAGTGAAAGCAGAAAACAAGAAAGAATGAAAGATTTTGAAGCGCCAACGGAAGAGAAGCACGAAAACAAGTTGGTTGAAAAGAAGGACAAGAAGGACAAGAAGGACAAGAAAGACAAGAAGGACAAAAAGAAGAGACACGCTGACGATGAAGAAGAGTCAGGTAAACATAAGAAATCCAAGCATTAAATAGGGGTCTCAATGGTATATAATTCACATGTAAACTAATACAAACACACTACTGAAACTTAGCTCTTCGCGACAACCAAATTGAAGTCGCGACACAAAAAAATAATTTTCTCTGGGCGTGAATTTGTTCTGGGCAAATTTACAGATCTCCTTTTCTTAGTTATCGTCAGCATTCCTCTTACAAGTCGCTATGAAACGGAGACATTTTGCACTGTCAATAATGGGTTAGACAGGAGACAGGAGACAGGAGACATGTCGAATCGCGTGATAGCTGAAGAGACCACTGTGTTGGCAGTAAGAAATACTTTTCGCGACAGTTACACTTTGTGACCGATGAAACTTCCAGGTTTACGCGATTGTGTTAGTTGAGGCGATACTTTGTAACTCTTAAATTTTTTTGGCAACAATCGTTATTTTTTGTTCCCCTCTGTATTTTCGATGAATCAATCTAATTGTCTCGTGAGTGGTTTCCTCAAACAGTGTGAATGTCAATACAATTTGCTATGTCAATTTTTAAAGTTGTAGGCGGTGTAAGAGCAAGTCCCTGGCTTCGTCTAGTGGCTCATAACAACCGCATAAGCTAGACAGCCATAACGGTCGACTGGAAAAACGTTGCGACTAAATCCGGCGTGTCGTTTTTTTCTCGTGTCGGTTATTTTTGTTTTCGTTGTCAATTGGTGAGGAAAAAAACTTTTGTCTCGGCCCAAATAGGCAACAGCAAAACAAACAACATAAGAAAATGGCTTCAATTGTACTGCAATCGCACTAACAATAAGAAGATGGGGCGTATTTTTATGGCTAAACAAAGTTAGAGTGATAAAGTTTTTTATATTCCACAACATAACCATAAATATCAATCGATACTACAAGGGAGAGGGCGAAGCAGCAAGTGTATTGACTATACAGCATCCTAATGTCAAACCTAGATCGTATTATTTCCCTTGCGAATAATATTGAATCTAAAGCCACAACCTTAATAGAAAAATCCCAACATTCGCTTAATCTACTAAACCAAACTAGTTTGATCAATCAGGGGATTGAACTAATTGATGAAGAAACTGATGAAATCGACAATTTACTTGAGCACAATTCAACATATCACCACCAGTTCAATGCCTTGAATGAAAGACTCTACTGTTTAGAACAGAGTTTAACTTACAACGATATCTTAGTCAATCAGAATACCTTTGAAGGGTTGGTTAACGAGTATTCGTCAATAATCGAGAAGTTGCAAGTGAATGATTCATACACTTATAAGCCTCCAACTGAACAAGATGATCAAGCTGATCAGGCAGACATTTCATGGTCAAGCATAGATGATATTGACAATGACGAACTTGAAGATGAACCAGAAGAAGATTCAATCCTTCAATCACCACCGGATCTTAGAAAGATGATTTCCATTTCAAATTTGAAGTTAAAGCCTATCCGATGTTCCGCCCGTCAACTCATTCAAAAAAAGAAATCAAAGTATAGGTTGTCTGCAATTTATAATATCAACCCAATAGCATATGAAGAATCGTCGTCAGAATCAACGACGGCAGATACTTCTACCACTACTTCATGCATGCCTTTAACGCCACCCTCATTCCACCCAGGTATTACTAATACGCCTAGTACACCGCCATCAAGAGTCATAAGTAGTGGAGGTGAATCTACTGATACATACCAATCATCCGACATTATGCAAGACAATAACCATGGCCCAACCACATCCCCAGCTTCATCATTAGCATCATCGCCAATAATCAAACCAAGAAGAGCCAAATCATTGGATGAAATTGATGCTGATAATATCTTTAAAGAGTTTGATTGTGATCAAGACATGTTACGATTTAACCGATTGAAACATTTCATTAGTCTAAACCATCTTCCACTGAAGCAAGAAGAGCATGATTCAGATGATCTGACCAACATCGATTATAGCAATTACGACATGGTTTCTGTATGTTCCGACATGTCATATTATTCTCCTGAAAAACAAGAAAATGGAGACGACGAAGATAGAATTCTGTTTGATGATTTCAGTAAATTCTTGCGAAATTCCCGAGTGGAATTAAACAAGGATATCAGGGAAGCATTTCCACATTTAATAGCACCACCACACACATCAACCAAATTCCACAATCCTAGTGAAAATGTTCATCGCGTTGCCCCGTCACTAAGCACAGATTCAAAAGATGTGGAAACTTCAATCAGGGCTGAGCATCAGCAAGATCCCAAGGAATTGTTAAATCGAGTCATTTCTTATTCACAATTACCAATGACACCACCGGCTGGTTTAAGTTATCAGCGACGTTATTCCATGTCGTCACCTACTCCTAAGCATTCACGAAAATCTCAACAATTTACGTCACCTAGAAGACCACCCCTTAAGCATTCAAATAATAAAACAAAACCTCATAGTTACTCATCACCTACTCGATTACCGAAACAGAAATCTTATTCATCACCAACTAGGTTTCTCAAGCATTCGCCACCGCGTGACAAATCAATAACGGAAAGTTTTCTCGAGTTGATCCAAGCGAAAACTTCATTAGCATTACCATTGATTGCCTCACCGTCAAAACCACAACCGACACAGCCACAAACACAACCTACTTCAATCAAACAAATGTGTCTTTTGCGAGATTTACAGAATAAATCAAAACTACATCGCACTAGTCCAATACGAGCCGTAAATGACCGTCAAATTAAACGAATGCCTAGCAGACCAGATGCATTGTCATTGAAAAGAAAGCCGAAATCTGATGGGTTAATCATTGGAAAGAATACCATACACGTTGTTGATCGAAGTGGTGATGTTTTTAAACAGCCGGTTATTGTACGGACATATAATGAAAGAGCTTTGAAAGAAGCTTTATCTGCTAGTTTATTTAACTAACATAATACCCAAACATAAAAGGTGATTCCATTTTGTTGTTTTAAACTTTTATATTTACTACCTGGTTTTTAGAACTCAGGATCCCAAATTCTTGCATTTAGATAATATACATAGAAAAATTAATCAAAGCCTGTACTTTTGAATAAACTGCTACTTCGTGAGTTATCAAGACTCTTTGCTATTTGCTTTTCCTTCAAACTCTTGGTTTGCTTCTTGCTAGCATTATTCTTTTGCATGTATGTAATTGAAGCCTTTAATCCAGATACAGATTTATATTGCTTGCTGATAGTAACTCCCGAGAAAGTAGATTTGCCAAATGAAGTAGTTTGATTTTCTTGTTGAAACGATTTAAAAGATTTTATAATGGATGGTTTCTTGAACGCTGGCATAAACTCATCATCATCATCAGTGTCTGCATCAGTTACTTGCTGACTATCTCTTTTGTTATTCTCGCTGCTGAGAACAGTGGATACAGATCTAGTTAAGTTATTCATACTCTTTGTCTTTAATGTTTGAATATCCTCTACGTCGTCATCATCATCGTAACCATATTGAATGTTTGAGATCCTTTGCAATTCCACATAATCATCATCTTGGTGGCTCTTGTTAAGAAATGATAATTGCCGTTGAACAAATGATTCATCGACGGTTTTCTTACCATCAACTGCAACCTCTTCCCCATCGTCATCATCGTCGATTTTAATTTGTGATGTAGACTCTTGGATAGATTCAAAGAATGGTCTTGATCGCTCATTCTTTTCCAATTCAACCAATTTCTTATTCAGCAATAATCGCTGTTGTTGTTCTTGCAACTTTTGCCTTCTGTAGGCTGCCAACAATTGATCTTCTTCATCACTTAAATCAATATCGAATCCATTCCCATTAATACCACGTTTATTCAATCTATGGTTTTTGATATCATCCAATAACTTCTCCAATTCTTTTTGGTCCTTGATTTGGTAATCTTCCATAAACTTCTTTCTAACCTCTTCATCATTTAAATCAATATTGAAATTATTATCAATCATTCGTTCATCTTCAGAATTAGCCTGGTCGGACATTTCTCCATCCATACCACCAATACCCTGCCATTCATCTTCGGATTCAACTGCTTCTCCTTCAACAATCTTGTTTAAACCACGACGTTCAAATTCCTTTCTTCGTTTACGTTGTTTAAGCTCTTGTTTTTTGATCTTTTCTTGGAAGATTTTGATTTGTTCCTGGATATCTTCTTCATCTTCATCTTCTCCTTGTTCGATCATGTTATTGCGAATTGCTTTCTTTCCTTTATTTACAGTCGCAGGTGTGATTTCGTCTTCATCGTCTGTGAAAATGTCGTCAACTTGTGTTTTAATGGTTTGAGTAAGATTGATCTTTTGAGTTGGTGCGAATTTGTCTGGTTGGGTGATTGCTTGCGTTTGGGTAGGATCTTTTTGGGTTATGTCCACTTGAGTTGCATCTGGCTGAGTGGAAACTTGGATATATCCTTGAGTTGTGTCTTTTTGGGTTGCTTGAGTAGAACCTTGAGTTAAATCCTTAAAGCTTGGCACTTGCCTTTTAACAATTGCGTAATCCTCTTCATCGCTACTAACATTTTGTGTGGGCTTCAGATGTTGGAATAGAACACTATCATTCATATTGAAATCTGCTGCATCGTCATCTTCATCATTTCGGTCCGTTGTAGTTATGTTTGGCTCGTCATCGTCTGATTGCTTGTCTGATTCCTGACCACCAAACATATAACTGTCATCACTACGGGTTTCAGCTATCTTTACTTGTGCTTCTTCGTCCAGTTCAGCTTGGCTATCATCTTCCCCTTGTTCGTCTCCACTATAGTCTGATTCAGGAACTTCACTTTCTTCCAATTCTTCGCCTTCTTCATAATCTTTGTCTATCTCATCAGCAGCAACTCCAAGAGCTTTACCCACCAAGGCTAATTTGGCACGTTCTTGCATCTTTTCCTTCCTTCTTATATTCTTTGCTCGTTGAATTTCTCGCTCTAACAAACTAGTCATTTCTTCTTCGTCTTTATCCAATTCCTCAATTATGGCTTTACTAGGATCATTCAACTTTTGTTGTTTCAATTGAGATATGTTTCTAGCTTGCAAGTTTTTAAGAAGTGAACTGGTTGAATTGTGTGTAGTCTGAGCGTGTGCTCCTTTACGCTTACTGAATTTTTGTTTGATCTCTAATTTTTGATCTTTGGTTAATTCAGGAATTGGCTGAGCAGGAACATGTTGAGTATAAGTATAAGTATTGACTTCGGTATCTGAATCTGAATCTAACACAATTGCTGCTTTTTCTTGGGGTAATTCCTTACGCAACTTTTGAGCATACAACTCAAGTGGGTTCTTTATTTGGGTAGTAGTAATATTAGTAAGGGATGGTTCTGGAGGAGACGTCACGGGAGTAGATTCTATAGCGGGTATTATTTCCTGTTCTTCGTCGTCAGAAAATGCCTCTAATAATTTATCCTTATTAAATACAACTTGACGTTCAAACTCAGGTTGTATGTCTATTTTTCTTTTCTCGATATTCAAGAATTGTTTAATCTTGTTCAACTCTTTAAGGGAAGGGTCTTTATCAGTGGTGGATACGACCGTGTCGTTAATAATGTCGTCATCGGAAGATGATTCGGCTTCGATCTCCTTTTCTAACTGAGTTTGTTCAGTTTGTTGTCTTTGCTGACGCTTCAATTCTATCAACTTGGTAATTTTCTCTTGACGTTGTTGTTCAGTGAGAATGGCCGGCTCATCCATTATAACATCTGAGTGTGTAATAACTTGTGTAATAGCCTGTGTGGATGATTGAATGACTTGAGTAGGCTGGCTAAATTCAGTAGGATCAATCTCCAATTGTGGCAATTTCTGAAATTCGTCTTCTTGTTCTTCTTCTTCGGATTCTTCTATCTTATTACCATTTAAACGTTGATTGATTTTGTCCAATATGTTCAAGTTCTCTTTGTCTGAGTCTTCATGGTTGCTATTGCTATCAGAGTCACTATCATTGTTATTGATCACTTGGGTGGCTTGATATAAGTTATTTATAACTTGAGTTGAAGAATAGTCTTCAATTTGATCAAGCAAATCCATGATAAGCTGCTGGTCTATGGCAAAGAAGGAGAAAGGTGGATTTGGTTGTAAAAAAAAAAGTATGGTGTTTTCCATTTTTGACGCGCACAAAAGCGCGTACTTTATTTTTCTGATCTGTTTACTCTTTTTTTGGTGTTGCCAATATCTCTATACAAGAAGACCCTATTCATTCTGTGGAGGAATTACTGTTTGTGCTTGATTGAATTAAATAAATCTATATGACGTGTCTTATCTCAAGTAAGTTCTTTGAAGCTTTTCTTGATAGTTTTGTAGCATATAATGTGAAATACTAAGCTGTAGGTACACCATCAATCTTTGCAAATACCATGAAATTTTTTAGCAGAACATTTTCAAAATATATGGACGAAATTAGTCAAAAATATAATCAACCTGAGATCAATTGTGTGGAAAACCATTTTGGTAGAGAAGTTAAAATAAAGTTTATGCGTGGAGAAAAATCTACAACTATATAATCAACCGTAGTTTTTGTTCTATAGTCACGAGGATACGCATGTCAATGATGACAGCATAATGTTGTATGGTTTGACCAACTACGCATAAAACTTATAGCAATTTACGTTCATATTACACGGCTAACGGGGCAAACACAAAACCCAAGTCAAATGTTTGCCTATTTAGGGCATAACCTTACTGGTTATTTCTGGGCATGCTACTCCTATGTCAAACATCGGGGCCAAACATGTGCCCCCCCCCCCCCCCCCCACACAAATTAATTGTAATGAGTTTACAACCTGTCAACGTTTTGCATCAACGGTAAACTAACCCATTGTTCCTAGTTATGCACCGCCTATTTTTACCCAATCTAGGCTTACGCCCGCCTGCGACTCTTTGCTCGTATAGATCTGGGTTTTGTGATTTCTTTTTTTTTCACATGCGTGAAACAAGTCACGTGAAATTCGTTAACGCTCAACAAAAAAAGAAAAGAGCACCCACGAGTCGGTACAAAATAAAAAAAAATTTTTTTTGTTTGTTTAACTGTGGCGGACAGCACATTTTTGATCGTATACCACATCGAGGGTTTGTGAAAATTTTCAATATATAAACTTCAAATTTCCCGAGTTAAACTTTAGTTTAAATTTTTTTGAAATTTTTTTCTCTCTTTGTCAATCCTTTTATCCTTTTTTGTAATAAAACAAATATGACTACTTCTAGAGAATCCTTTCTTTTCACTTCTGAATCTGTTGGTGAAGGTCACCCAGATAAGATTTGTGATCAAGTTTCTGATGCTATTTTAGATGCTTGTTTAGCTGTCGACCCATTGTCAAAGGTTGCTTGTGAAACCGCTGCTAAGACTGGTATGATTATGGTTTTCGGTGAAATTACCACCAAGGCTCAATTGGACTACCAAAAGATTGTCAGAGACACCATTAAGCACATTGGTTACGACCACTCTGAAAAGGGTTTTGACTACAAGACCTGTAACGTCTTGGTTGCTATTGAACAACAATCTCCAGATATCGCTCAAGGTTTACATTACGAAAAGGCTTTAGAAGAATTAGGTGCTGGTGATCAAGGTATTATGTTTGGTTACGCTACCGATGAAACCGATGAAAAATTACCATTGACCATCTTGTTAGCTCACAAGTTAAACGCTGCTTTAGCTAGTGCTAGAAGATCTGGTGCTTTACCATGGTTGAGACCAGATACCAAGACCCAAGTTACTGTTGAATACGAAAAGGACGGTGGTGCTGTCATTCCAAAGAGAGTTGACACCATTGTTATTTCCACTCAACATGCTGATGAAATCTCTACCGAAAAGTTGAGATCTGAAATCATTCAACACATCATTAAGCAAGTTATCCCAGAACACTTGTTGGATGAAAAGACCATTTACCACATTCAACCATCCGGTAGATTCGTTATTGGTGGTCCACAAGGTGATGCCGGTTTAACTGGTAGAAAGATTATTGTTGATACTTACGGTGGTTGGGGTGCTCATGGTGGTGGTGCTTTCTCCGGTAAGGATTTCTCCAAGGTTGACAGATCTGCTGCTTATGCTGCCAGATGGGTCGCCAAGTCTTTAGTTAACGCTGGTTTAGCCAGAAGAGCTTTAGTTCAATTTTCCTATGCCATTGGTGTTGCTGAACCATTATCTATCTACGTTGATACTTATGGTACTTCTGAATACAACTCTGAACAATTGGTTGAAATCATCAAGAACAACTTTGATTTAAGACCAGGTGTCATTGTCAAGGAATTAGACTTGGCTAGACCAATTTACTTCAAGACTGCTTCTTATGGTCATTTCACCAACCAAGAAAACCCATGGGAACAACCAAAGCAATTGAAGTTCTAAGTTAACTTTAACTGACACAGATTTTTTTTATATTTGCACACAGCTTTTTGTTTTCATTAACCACAACTTTAATGACTAATGTAATGGAATGACTCACAAAACAGTGGTTAGTTTTATTTCAGCATCAATAAAACACCACTCAAAGATCAACGCTCAACTCGTTGTTCTAAAAAATTCACAATTATAGATGTTTCCCTTTTTTTATTTCACTTACTTTTGATTCTACGACTTATGTTTTATTTTGATAAAGGATATATAGAGTTTTTTTATTGCATTAATATGGGGTCCTCAACGGACAATTAAGGTTTTATAAATAATATATGATAAAAAAAAAAAATTATGCGTAGATTGAGTATCTTGCTTGAATAAGCCGCGTGAGCAATCAAATCACTAACAGTAAGTACGTGCTAGATCTATATTTCTATCTATTTCTCATAATCTATAGGTAAATTGCACTCCTCATCGGACAACCAGTTGAAGTATTTGAAATAACTCAAACATGCAAAAGCAGCCCCAATCAACCCACCTAATATTATATCGAAAAAATGGTGTCTATAATCTTGAGTACGACTCAAACCAATATACGAAGCAAATAATATAGGTAACAATACTACAACCCAATGCCCTAAACTAATGTGAGATCTATTCTTTGTTAACATTCTGAATTGGCCCAATATCCATAACGACAAGTACAACAATCCTGCAAAAGACATAGAAGAGTGGCCTGATGGAGTTGATTTCATCCCATCAGACAAGTACATATCTCCCAAGGGAGCTGTACATACCTCAATACCAACAAGTTTATTAATTGGAGTGTTTGGTGCTGGCCCACATCTTTCCAAAAAGTCTGGTCTTGGGTTCCCAATCCAACATTTGAAAATATCAGTAAGGACACTAGTTACAACAACACTGAACCATAATCCAAGACATGATACTTGAGATAAGTGAAGTTTATCAAACAAAGTATTTGAATGTTGTATAGCTGTTCCTCTGTATAAACACGTTACTATTATGATTATAGTGGGAATTATTGTTGAATATACGTATAATTCATTGTCAGTTACGCGTTCCCTAACGGCAAACGGATGTGAGATTGTAGGATCATTGATTGAAAATTGACGAAAGAATGGTTGTGCTACTTCTGTTACTTGGAAAAAAAATCCAATTAATATAAACACAACAATCCAATCTGGGATGAACTGTCTAAATTTGTCTGATGTAAAATATAGTTGCATTGGGCTTACAGCTTCCAATATACTCCTGTTGTTGTTGCGTTGTTTGTAAAACTTATCATGAATGGCTTTTAGTATTTTTTTCTCACATAATTTTTTTTTTTTGGCACATTTATTTTTAGTCGGATCGATGTCCCACAACGTGGGTTTTGAAATGTTTAAAACTACGTTTCATTTCTAGATTTATTATTTTGACGTATGGAAACAATAGATTATGCACTGCGACAAAGACAAAGATGACAAAGGTTTGCATTGCCATTTGTTTAACGTTAGACGGTGAAATAATTCTATCGGTTTGTGATTCTAACGAAAGGCTTACCAAAGGGGTGTAACTGTAAAATGTAATTACAATCAATATTACAATCAATACACCTACGTTGGTACTGTATACCAGGTTGGTATGTTTTACATCTTTCCATACTATAAAATTTGTGTTAGATAAGAGAGTTTTTAGTGGTAAAAATGACAACGTGTTGCAAAATATGCATCGGTAACTAATCCGAGACTCCACTGTACATGATATTGTTATGTATTGTTATGTAAGACTCAAGAATGAATTCTAAGAACAATATACCCATCTAAACTCATAAACGAAGCTCAAATATAATTTTTTTTCTTTCTATTGATTGCTCATTACGAAATTACTAACCCGCATCTGGATAATGATCACCCCATGACCACCCACGTTTTTGATGATTGTTCTTGAATAAAGCAAACTTACGAAAAACAAAAAGCCTCCTATCTATTTTGCAGCTTTTAAAACAAAGCCCAGGATAAACCTTTTACCTTTTTGAAGGTAATGGTAAATTTCTTTTTACTACAATGTCATCTAAAATTTTCAAACACTATTACTATTAATATCTATTATAACCAAAATAAAATGAAAATCCCAATGACTTTAGCAAGTCATGCAAATTCCCAATATTAAAAAAAAGAAAACAATCTAAACGAAATAAAATTTTTATGCACAAGTTAAATACCCAAAGTTTATTGCTTTTCATCAGAAGATTCAGTAGCGTAAACTTCTCTGGTTAACTTAGTGTTGTCAATTTCACCGTGGTATTTTTCACAAATTTCTTCTAAGGTCATTCTCTTAGTTTCTGGAAGTAATAAAGTGGTGAAGATACCGAGCAACATGAACAAGGCAAAGATTTCTAAAACATGAGGTAAGAAACAGTTTGGTTCATCCTTAGCACAACCGTGGTTAACTAAAGTACCAATACAGGTTTGAGCAATGATGGCACCAACCTTACCAGTAGCAGCAGAAATACCGTGAGCAGTAGATCTGTATCTAGTTGGGAAAATTTCACCTGGGGTGATGAAAGTAGTAACGTTTGGACCAAAGTTTTGGAAGAATTGGGCCAAGACGAAGAAAGCTAACAAACCGTGATTACCTAATCTGTGGTATGCAAAACCCATGATACATAAGATGATGGTCAAAAGAATGAAACCACCTAATTGAATAACTCTTCTACCAAGGATATCAATAGTAGCAATGGAGAACCAGTAACCTGGTAAAGAACCAGCACAGACGATAATCAAGTTACCAGCAGCAGAGTTGTACAACTTTTCGTAAACGTTAGCTTGACCAGCGTAACCAATAGTTTGCAAGATAGTAGTAGTGTTTAAACCTAAACCGTAGAAAGCGACATCCAACATGAACCAAGAACCAGCAGTACCAAGTAAGATCTTACCATATCTCCATTGACCAAAGTGACGAACAAAGTCTCTGAAAGAAGCCTTTGGAGCAACAATTTCCTTGGCTTCAGCAGCAATAGAAGCTTCAGCGTCAGCAACCTTTTGAACAACATCGTGGTCAACAACATCTAAAGCATATCTTGGAGATTCAGCAATGGTTAATCTATAGTATAAAGCAATGACACCTGGAACACAACCGAAACCAATCAAGATTCTCCACATTTGATCACAGGCTCTTCTACAGTTACCAATACATTCAGCACCAGTTTGAGCTGGTTCCAAGTCACTTCTGTAAGCAGCAACTAAGATCATGGCAACAATACCAGCGAAAACTTGACCGATACCTTGGTTAGAGAAGACAGCAGCCATAATAGCACCTCTCCATTTGGTGGTGGAGAATTCAGAGGAGATAATGGAAGATAATGGATAATCACCACCAATACCAATACCCATAAGAATTCTCATAGTACAGAAGATAGCAGTGAAGTTAATAGCAGGGGATTCACCCAAGGTACATTGGAAAACAGTAGCGAAAATCATGACAATCAATTCTAAACCATAGATAGCCTTACGACCAACGTGATCGGCAACAGAACCGAAACCGACTTGACCGATAACAGTACCAACAGAAGTAGAAACCTTAATCAAAGTAGTAGTGGAAGCTGGAATAGTACCGTTCCAGAAAACATATTGCAACATATTGATACCCAAGTTAATAGCAAAGATATCGTAAGAATCAGTCATGAAACCGACACCGGCAATCATAATCATCTTCATTTGAGTCCACCCGAAACCAGCTCTATCAATTTCTTCTAAAGCTAATCTTCTTCTTTCAAGTGGATCTTCAACATCAGCGAATTGACCAATATAATCCTTAAAGGCAGTCTTACCACCAGCAGAGGAGACATGAACATGTCCAGTTTCGTGAATATCGTTAGTCATTGTAGTGATTGTATACTATTAAGTGATAGACTCTTTAGTGGTTGTTGATGATAAAAAGGAAATTAAAAATGAAATTCAGAGGGGGGATATCTAGCATTATTTATACATTTCAATTGGAAATTAATCACCCAAAGGGGGTTAAAGTTTCGTACTATGAAATACTAGAGCATCTCTCTGTCGTTTTTATTTTTTATGCATATGTATTTTTTTATTTTTGCTTTTTATTAGGCGCTTCACAGAGAAACTTATTTTTTAAAAAAACAATTGATTCTAATAATTCATTAAAAAATACCTTTTATAAAATAAAAAGAAATTGAAGAGAAAAAAAAATATTTCTGTTTTGTCTGAGGCTGCAATTCTAATTCGATTACAGTTTTTTTTTGGTTTGCTTCTAACTATTGTGAGCATGCTAACGAATGAGACTAATATTGGTTAAGTTTTATGATTTGTCAAGCAACTGACCAGAGATTTGTAAGTATTTTAAACGATAATCTACATAGTTATCTCTACTGAATCTGCTACGAATAATAAAAAATTAATATTATTCGTTTCTGTTTTCTATGGTATGGACTTACGAGTTAAATAAAAAGTGCATGTTCTAAAGCGCAGGCGTGGTTCCCGTTTGACGGATTAAGAAGGTTTCTTTTCGCTATCTTCCTTGTGACTTTTTATTTTTTATACAAACTCAATAGCTAAAACATCATTAAAACGGAAATCTGTCTACTTTTGAAAAAAAAAAATCGCAAGCCCACATGGGTATATCGCTTATTAAAGCTGCTAGCAAATGGAAAAATTACCGGTGTCATTTCCATAACTCCCCTCTTGGTCACCTAGTGCTAACGTGACGTGACAAAGGCCTGAATAAGGAGCTAGTAATTGCTCAATGGCTTATTTATTTTCTCTTTTAATGTTTAGATAGTATCGTATGTTTATCACCCTGGATTCAATGTGTTGGTTCTAGTTATACTTGTCATACCACGGCATTAAAAAAAGCCCACATCCATAACCCGTGCTGTCCACTGTTGCTAAAACAGAAAATAAAGTAAAATTTAAAATACGTGGGCTACAATTGAGTTTCAGGACTAAAATCATCGTAACTGTAAACTCTGTCGATATTCTATATATATATATACATGAACATATCAATTGACCCCTAACTATGGTTCTGATGATACTAACATACTCTCCACGTTAATATCTTGTGACCCCAGTACAAGAAATAACAATCCTACATTTAGCTTCAGTCAAGAAAAAAAAACCAAGAGATCGGTTAGACTAACGGGGTTTCAAAATATATCAAATGGGCTGCACTGTATCTAAATCTAATGAAGATTTGCTTGGCTGATGGGTTCCAGAAACCTCTTCCCCGCATCAATTAATATCATTATGGCAAAAAAACTCAGTTATTGTATATAATTGCTGTGCTTTCTTATCCATCTCAATGGCTGCAACTTCTACAAACTAATGATATCAGACCTATAAATCTTTGTGCTCTCGCTTTAGCTTCGTTCCTATACAACCGTCAATGGGCCGTGAGGATGGAAAATAATAACAAAAAGCATTATAAACTTCTTACTAATTCTCCATACTACCTAGGATTGTTTTCTAATTGTAAATCGAACCCCACGTGTGATAAGGCCAGTAACTCGTGCCAAATATTAAAAAATAAACTATTTTTTCTGCACAGTCTAAAACAGTCTGCATAGGAATTGTCGCAACCATACGTTTGTCTTGACAAGAAAAATAGAATGGCAGGAGAAAAAAAAAAAAGAAGAGTAAAGTAGGCAAAAGGTACCCACGTGGGTCGTGCGCGAGGTATGAAAACGTGGGCCATACCCAAAAGGAACATAAACAACAAATCTCCTGTTCTCTAGTGCCATTCCCTTGTATACGATGTAAATCTAAGCAGCTTCTCATTGGCGGATGGCAATCAAAGGGCAAAAGACTGGGCTTGCTGCTTATGTATTATAATGTTAGCGCATGTGTAGTATCTAGAAAGGGGGGTTTCACCTAAGATCTATTTTCTTTCAGCCGCCCCGAACGAAACTGATTCATTTTCTTATTTACATTTATTGTATCCGGACATGAATCCTTGTCGCGATGACATACGACATAGACTCGTGTGACCAAAATCGTGATTCTATGTCGTGTGAGTTAAAAGCAATTTCATAACCTCGTGTGACCAGTAAAATAATAACAATTGCGAAATTAGGTTGGACCTCGTGTGAGATTAAATTGGCCCTCGTGTGAGATTAAATTGGCCCTCGTGTGAGATTTATCAAGAGTATTATGTAGAATGGATTATTTTTTGAAGTGAGGCAACTAAAATATCACCTGGGATTTTCTTTTTCGACACTTTTGTGTCAGATCTGGCCAGATGTAATTGGAACATCCAAAACAAAGTAATATGGGGCCCACGTTGGTCAAACTAGCAACTATAACAAGGTTATTTCACGACGCGTATGTTTGAAATAAGTACGAATTCGTAGGATTTAAGAGCTCAGAAATATAGCCAATTGTACCCTAACTTTTGTCAAGCACAATGTCAAAGTTTTATTTGTAGTTTTAGAGTTTTGGCAGGAGTACCTGTTTTGGTACTGCCTCGAGAAACTTCGAGATGGCTGAACATTCATTGTTTTTGCGTTCCTCCAAAAGCAAAAAAGGGAAAAATAACCTAAGGATTAATCCAAATTTGTGTAATTTGCCAAGCTAACTATTCGTAAACCCGAAGGTTAAACTTTTAAAAATTTTGTGCGAGAAAATATTTTATTTTCTTCGCGACCGTTTGTTACTTAAAAAATATTTTTAATTGTTCTTATCTGCCCCACGTTGTCCCTCTCAAAAAAAAAAAAAGGATCTTCAAACTAACATAGTAAAAAAAGAAATCATCTTGCTTCGTTTAACGGTTGAGAACTCACCCGGTGACTTAGCCTAATAAAGTTCAGTCTAAACTACAATTGGAACACGTTTCTTGAGGACAAGCCATTCCCGAGATTGTACACAATCGTAGGCACTCTCCTTACACGTTTCTTTCAGTTCTTGCTTTCAATCTTGCATCACATTTATCTGGCATTAGCTTCAAAATTTCAAAAATAGCATTGTTCATATCGCTTTTTATCAATTGCTTTGTTTGGTTGCTAACACATGCGATAATATACAATGCTCGACTCAAAATAGCCGCATTACCACATTTCATGAATCAGTCGATGCGATGACCTCGTGGGGTCAACAAACCCCAAAACCCATGTTTAAAAGCCGCCACGATTGTCCCATTTGTTTGAACAAAATAGACGAAGCTGACTAATTCAGACAAGCAACTACATGATCCAAGATGCCAGTAATTTAATCTTTCTGATTGTTTATTAGAGTACTTTAGGTCGAGGATGAAGTTATATTTATATGAGGTTGTTTGTTTGGTCCCTTCACAAGTAAATAAAGAGAATTTGATTATTTTCAACTGTTTACCAATAGGTAAAGCTTAAATATTCCAAGTACAAAGTGGATACTCAAATTCAGATACTTGCCATGCTTTTGTGATTAATTTCTGATGACTTGATGGTTTGTTTGATACATTTCTGTATGATTTGCTGACTGGAACCATTTTATTGAAGAATGTTATTGGCCTAACTCATCCTCTAGGTGATAAGAAAAGTTTGCTTTTTATCTATGACCTAAATTTTCCCCATACATTGTTGTTTTTATATTTCCAACTATAAACTTGAAGAGATTATTTTATAGTGATTATCAAATTTTAACTCATCCTTGCTAAGCATTGGATGCAAGTTGTCATTGTGAAAACTGGACGAAATCAAACGAATTAAGTTCAAGGAATAAACTATCTGAAGAAATTGACACTCGTGCGGATCTTGGTCTACATTTTATTACGGGTAGATGATTTTAATCTTTACACAGTAACAAGCATTTTACCTTGGTCAAATATTTCTTGCATTGCAGATTCTTAGTCTTGAACAGTTGAAAGTCTCATTCAATATTATCTTAAATATCAAGCTTCGTTACATGCAGGACATGACTGGAAGGATGAGAAAAAATTACCTTGCACATGATATGTCTCCAAATTATTTCTAGCATAGGTAGTATCTTCAGTGAACTTCCTATTCTGCACTTTTAAAACCGAGCACAATTGATATTATTGTAGCTTCAAGCAGTTGAATGGTAAGGATTTTCCAAAAAAAAAAAAACTAGAATCCCATGAATGGTTATATCAGGAAATTAAGAACTTTATTTAATAAGTTAAGAAAAAGCTCTATAATCAATTGTTTTGCAAGTGATAAGCTTGTCAAAATCAAAGGGAAATGTCGAGAAATCCTTGACTTTTTTGTTTGTTTAGGATAAGCACTCTTACAGTGATGAAGTTATTTGATATTTTTCACATATCTTACATTTTTAATCTTTATTTGATGTTGTTAGGGAGAGGGATTTTGATCAGTTCTAATTTCAACAGACTACTGTATCAATTATGAATAAGATCTAGGAAGTTCAACCCGCTATTTCCAGTTCAGAGTTGAACACCTGTGCATTTCATCTTATATAACTATTTTGATTTTTCCTAGCTGAAGTATACTTGATGGATATTTATGCGTACGGCTGGTGTGAGCATCAGAAATTCAATTTGAAGGCGACCAATGACTTTCCTTGTTCCTGAAATTTAGTGTTGAAAATAACAACAAAAAAAATACGCCGTGCGTGAAATTTCAGTTTTCGCAACCATATTGATTCATTGCCAAGATATTGAAAACAAAAACACTGAAGGAATACGCGAAAATGCAAGTCCGAACATTTTCGTTTGCAACAAAAAAAAAACACGGTATGCTCATAGTCTGTGCTATTTCACTCCGAATTGGTTCTGACACGCCATTGATGAGGCACTACCTTTAGTTTGAAATTATTAATTGCTGATACCCTTAGAGGTGGTGGACATTCCTAATAGTCTATTGACTATGTTATATTGCGCATATTTGTACATCTATCTAGAAAGCCGAATATTGAATTACGCACATATTTGCTTGCTTTACCTAGGTTAAAAATGTATATCTCATCTCAGATATATCGAATACATTGTATAAAAACTGAACGATGGAACTGTCCTCCTCCACCCACCCCTCGGCTGAGCTGAGAGTATCCCCCACCCTGCAAGAGGTTAGGATATTTTGGGAATTTACAACCTATTGCATTCGCTCCGTCGCGCTCAGTCGTGTACTCAACAGTATTTCCTGCGATTGATTTATACTATGCGACAAGAGGAGGCTTTTAAAACACATGTAAGTACTATTTTTACAATTTGGAATAGCTAAAATCTTATTTAATGTGACAAGAAATTGCAAAGATTTAGACTGAACCAGAGGCTCCCCATTCAGATGAATATATATTTTCTGTTATTCAAAATTATTATAATAGTTGCAATTTCTTTGTTCAAATTTCTTGAATAGGGTCCTCGTCCTGAAATTTTGGGTCGTATGTCACAACCGATTTTTAACATGCTTATAGGATTGACATGTCTACATGATATGGCAAGTTCTTCATTTTCCTCTCACCCGCTTTCGCAACCAGTCTCGTGATTTCATTTATAGAAAAGATATACTCAGTAAAAGCCAGCCGGAAACCTTCAAGTCATTTGGAAAATAACAATTCAGGAATAAGTTTGAAACTGGGACCTAGTGAAAAAGCTAAAAAATAACATTTCACGCTTTCGCTTTGCCACTGATTATATACATATTATATAACACATTGGAAAAAGACTGATCATAGCAACGTTGAAAAAAAAAAAATCATTCAAATATCAACGAACCCCTCCCAACTATGTGTGATCTCCAGCAACTTTACGTACTTGAAACTAGTGTGACTCGTCTAAGGGGTATACTCTTACGACATGAAAAATGATCGACTATAATTGAATAGGAAATTATAACCGAACGTGATTTCCTGACGGAGCGGAATAGATTCCTCGGGACACGGAGTTAGACCTGCAGATAAGCAGATATTTTTTTGTAGAGACCCTATTTTCTTAGAGCATTTCAACTAAAATAAAGAGTATCACGCGAGACTTTTTTTGTAATAGGTATCATACCTCGGTTTATACGGGAAGTTCTAAGCCTATTCAAACATATGAAATGAATATTAATTAGAGTTGTCTTTAATTCTCCTGTTTAAACCTTATTCTGCAAGTGAAGAAAAGGTAAAATCGATTTTCTAGATCATCCTGCATATTATCTAGAACCCTGCATATTAACTAGAAATATGCAGCCACTGATGGTTTAGTAACTGAGTTGTGTTAACTCCGTGTGAAAAAACTTTTGCCGTGGGTCTGATGGATCAAACGAAATAGATTAGATGCCTAACTATAAGTCCGTGTAGCTACGGCATATCACCTGATTTGATGAGTAGTTTATTTGGCTTATCAAGAACCTATGTTATCATCTATCGTCACACGCTCACTATTACTATCTTGTGACAACTTGAAAGGTATATTGCAGAACACGACTAATCTCTTCAAAAAAAAATGTGTCAACAAGATGCATCACCTAGCTGCGACTAACGCTCTAATATCGGAAACCAAGGATATCACTACCTCCGGAGCAATTAATTTTGAATCATGAATAATTTAATCCAACCCGCATAGAACCAAAAAAAATACGGGTGTTTCTTGACATATTTCCTGCAGGTAGCTTGGCAAAATGCCTTTTTTTTTTTATTATGTTTTTGTTCATGTTTGCGATTCTAGTCTGCCTTTGTTTTGTTTAGATAATCAACTAGCTATGCCTCCTTGTAATAATGTTTTATAAAAATATTCCTATTCCCCTTTATTTATTTTTGTTTAATTTCATTTCGTTTCTTCCTTCCCGCTTTTTCCTCTTTTTAACTTTTTAGCTGCTACTACTATGACTCTCTCACTTGTGGCTAGGCCATTTATATTCTTATATCAGTTATTGTCGAGGATATTTTGGTCAGGCTTAAACAAGAAGCCTATATGGCGTTTAATTTTGAACTTTTGGATAGGCTTTTCAACTGTCTTTATATGGTTATTGATTTTCAAAAATGCCGGACTAATTCCCCATTCTATCAGACCCCCCATTCATGTCAAATTACCCGTTATCATGGACCATTATATGTTTTCCAATATGGTAGGCAGCGTTTTTATGATTTTATGTTTGTCAAGTTTTAGCTATTTACTTTTTGTCAAATATTACCGACCTAACAATTGTCAAAATTTGACAAAGTATTTACCCATCTTGAATAAGCGAGAATCCATTGAAATTCGGGAAGAATCTATATCATCCGAAAGCTCCAACAGCAGTGATTTGGAGGACCACTTTGGATTGGATTCATTTGCCCTCGACTCCACCACTTCAACCATCGAACCATTGTCATTTATTGAGCCAGAAGATCATGTTCCTCCCCTCGAGTTTTTCCGTACTTTGTCTGAAGCAGAGATAACGCAACGGGAATCAGAAACTAATGCTAAAATTATTGACCATTTGCGGGCAACACATTCTTACCAACCACGCAATTGTTGGTATTTTGCCCCGCCTTTATTATTTTTTCTCAGTTGGGGTATATTAAATATAGACTACTGGTTTAAAGATCCAATTAACACGCAAAAGGATCTACTTGCATGGTTTCTGTATGTCATTTGTCACATTACAGTTCCTATAGTCACTGCGGTATGGCTCTATGTATTTCATGCCCCGGGTGCAGTCAAGTTATACGGGCTTACTTTGGGGATTCAAAACATATGTGGTGTACTTACACATTTGGTATTCCCCAATGCACCACCTTGGTTTGTTCACATGTATGGGGAGAATAAAGAAGCCAATTACGAAATGCCAGGATATGCAGCAGGACTAATTAGAGTTGATATTGCTTTGGGCACACATTTACATTCCAAAGGATTCCATGCATCGCCAATCGTGTTTGGAGCAATTCCTTCATTGCATTCGGCCATGGCAGTTATGACATTTTTCTTTGTTTCATATTATGCCAGATGGACTGCTGTCAAAGTTGCATCATTTTTGTTTGTTGTTATTCAATGGTGGGCCACTATTTACTTGGACCATCATTGGAGGGTTGATTTACTCATTGGGTTAAGTTATGCATTATTTTGGTTCACCATTGTTAAGAATGTTAGATTTGGATTAAATAGAGTTGACGAACAGTTTATTAAACTGAGATTACGATTTGATTTTGCGCACGGAAGTACTATGGGGATGAGAGTTTTTCGGAATACACGATTGCAAAAATTCTTTGATCCCTTGGCATAAAAAAGATACGACTGATAGGTGCAGCATATTTGCATTAGTTATATATAATACTTTAATAGAAATGAGATATTAATGTTTTTCACATCAAAGTAATAAATTTTTTTTTAAAAAAAATTAAGCTTGAGGCTTTATCTCCGTTCGGGAAAATTAATCAGAAATATTAATCTAAGTCGACAATCTAAGCCTTGTAAAATGTATTTTAAGATTCTTGAATTTGACAAGAGGGGAACCTGTTATGACGTAGATGTAAATACCAATAGAATGTATATGACGGAATAATTCGTACTTCCGCAAGCACGTGCCGTAGGTTATATTTAGATGAATTATTCAAGATCTTTCTTGGAGTGGCTGTGTCCTGTTTCATTGTCAAATTTTTCCATGTCACAATCGAACACAAAACGAATTTTTTGAGCTGAGAATTTTTTTTTTGTGTATGTTTACGTTGTCGACACTTGCACTGACGATGGTTCTGCTTCATGTCGCAATGGCCAACTAAATGTCAAATCGATCAGACGAACCTGTTATTGGTGTAATTATATCGTCAAACTAACAATGATACTAGTCGAGAACATCTTTTTGTTTGTCCTTGTAAGCCTTGGCTATGCTAAGTTGTGGCGGTCCCCACTCTGAATCGAATGAAAATTTCTTTTTTTTTTATGACCTGCCTAATTGGGAAATGCTAACGAAGTAGATAGCGGGACAGAACTTCGTATGTTTCGAAAGGTCATACTAAGATCTGTTATACCGCGATAAAACAAATAAGCTTTACATGGAGAAGCTTCGATTTGTTAAGATTTAAAGCAACTTTAAGCAGAGCAGTCAAAAATTACGCTTGCTGCATTAGCCACCCCACTTCGAAGCGACTGGTCCCTGAAACAAGATTTTATGCTCGCTTGATTATTTTTTTTTAAGGTCGTGCTACCTCTACATATTTTGTCTTAAAAAAAATTATCAAAGCAGCAATCGCGCAACCAAAATTAAACTTCATCTATTAAAAGCTTAAAAAAATTTAACATATCCTACATAAACATTTTTAGATAAATTAACCACCGGTTTTTTTAAACTATATTACTATATTACACCTTTATTTCGTCTTGATTACTGCCTGTCAGAGTTAACTACTCACTTTTCGCATCCATTTCCCCTTTGTTTACTAATTTGATACAGGTTAAGAGTTTTCTTGATCGGGTGCCGTCCACAAACTATAGCCAAGCCTCCTCCCCCTCCTCCTCCTGCCCCAAATGTCAAAATATACTAGAGTCTACAACAAAAGGATTAAAAACATACTCCCATTGCTAGTTATTCTAGTCTTGATTGTATGGACAGGTAGGCAGTACCTAACAGAAGCTGTTGTTCAAATGAAACTAGAAAATGCTGCCCTTTTACACCACAAATATAGCAACTTCAATCCCAAATCCATAGCAATAAATCTATTGCAACATATAAACCAACAAACTAGCAGCAATACTACTGGGATATACTTTCATTGGGATGATTGGGTGGACTTAGATCCTGCTGAAACTATTCTCGACAAGTATAGACGAGATAAGCCTCACGGGCAGTGCGACAAAAAGCTTATTCAGTTCTCCAACGTTGATGCCTACTGGTTGGAATCTTATGACAAAAAGGTCCATCGAGCTATGGCCAACTTATATTGTGTTAAGGATATCCCTCAGCGTGTCTTTTTGACAACGGATGAGTCTATGATTGAGATTCCCGTCATTGGTAAGAAACGATTAGGGGTAAATTTTAACAACACACAAGAATACACACCAACAACCCAAAATGTGCTTGATCTCATGAATCACACCAACCTCAATACAAACCATTCATTCACAACTCATAAATTCAAGCCATTCACTGAAATTGTTGATATAGATCAATCCGATTTCACCTTCAATCCTGACGTAGAAATTTACAAATTAACCGATAAATTTATAAATGGCACAATAACAACCAGGGAACGTCGGCATTTGGAATTCCTTAGATACTCCAACAAAATGGTAGACAATACACCACGATACTTCAAATACCCTTGGATTATAACAGACATAATCCAGGGTAGAGCCCATCATTTGTCATTCCCCTTCTTTAAACGATACATTGGTGATCGAGAAAGACATTCCATTCTTCATCACATGGTTCGAAGTTGGTTCCAATTTACTCAGGTTCACGGATTCAACACTTGGATCAACTATGGAAACTTACTAGGATGGACCTATAACGGAATAAATATGCCTTGGGATACTGATATCGACGTACAAATCCCCATTGCTCAATTGGATAGATTAGCCCGCGATTTTAATCAGTCAATAATAATGGAAAACCCAAGGTATGGAAATGCTCGATATTTGTTGGAAATTGCCCCAACTTATATCCGCCAAGGAAATGGGAAAAACTTCATAGATGCCAGATTCATTGATATAAACAGTGGGTTATATATTGATATTTCCGCCCTTTCACGTACTGGGTTTCATCCACCAGCAGAATTCCACAATAAGGAATCAGATATGCTTGTCCATTGCAAAAATTGGAACTGGCATTCATTGGATGAGTTATTGCCCTTAAGACACACATATTTCGAAGGTGCCTCGGTATATATCCCGCAAAATGTAAGTCAGATATTAACCTATAAATATGGAACCAAATCCTTCACCCAAACCAAATACCACAATCATAATTATCAAAAGGATATCCAAATGTGGGTTCCTGATTATATTTGCAAAAAGTCTCCCAAACATAGATTTAACGAATTTGGTCAATTGACTAGATCTGGAGCTTGTAATCTGGAAATGTTAATGGATGAATATGATATCACCAAGGAATGTACACAAAGGCATCAGAACTTGAATCAAGATTTGTCAAATCCAAAGTATTATAATATTGAAGATCTCCCAATCTTTAGAAAAGATGCATGGGATTATTATAATGACCTAAACAATAATCTAGTAAACCATGATAGGTGGTACGTGCAAATGGAGCCTCCAAAACGTTCTCTGGTGAAACAACATATTAGCAATGATAATGATGAGGAGGAGGATGATTCTGAATTCTTTGACCAGGATGTATGGGTTAATTTAGTTTAACCTTGTATTTTCATTTTGTCAAATGTCACGACTAATGATTTGCTATTAATATGCTATTAATATATATATATGCTAACGTATAGAATAAATGGGTATTTATTGGGAGAACCCCTCTTGTATTTATAACTAATTTGGAACTAAGGCGGGCAGTTTTACTTGTACAAAATTATTGCAAAAAAAAAAATACTGGCTCGCTTTTAGTTTACTAATTTTAAAATTGAATTCATGAACTTTCTTCAAGTTTTGCAAGCAAATTTTCCTAGAGTAAGTAACCCCAAATTCTTTTGTAACGTAGTATAATTATCTTACTATATAACCTGAAATTTTTGTAGAATTCTGGATTTAATGAAAGGTGTAAAACTACTCTTTCTTAGAAAACGTGGACCTGCTCAAGCCAAAAAAAAATTTTTTGATTGCTCAAATAATAATGCAGCTCCCCACTGACCGAACTCGGGTGGTACAATAATAAAAACTTGAGCCACCACAGAGCTCATCTCGGTAACCACTAGCACGCAATAGTTTTGAAATAAAGGTTCACTAAGTAGACCCCTAGGTAACAAGTGGAGTTTGCATAATGAAAATAGTCTATGCAATTGAATATAAATCCAAGTTCTGGCTAGTATCTGTATTATATAGTTGGTGGATTACAAATACAAGAGGCATTGAACTAAATACTAATATTCAAAGGTAAGACTAACAAACGTAGTTCTATGGAATAATTTATATACCTAATGGAACTGTCAAATTAAGGTTCCCCCATCGAAGAACTTTAATTTCTTGGCGATCCAAACAGGAACCTATTTCCTCCAGTTAAACTATTGATATCACTAATATCTGAAAAAGTACACTTTCATGACAAGAATAAAAAATTACGTCTAGTAATCATTCCGCAATCGTTTCTTTCATTCACAAACTCTGTTTACTCCTTTTAACTTAAGAAATAAGCAATTCTGAGGTGTAGCTCTTGTACTCGATAAGTGTTTACTAAGACTGGTTAGTATAGGAAATCAAAAACAACAATTAGGGCGTGCGCAAGGCAAAAAAAACAGATTGCAGCACGAGAGTTTCGCGTATGGTCTCCCACTACACTACTCGGTCTCGCTCTTAGCAGCTTAACTACAGTTGATCGGACGAGAAACGGTGTTTTCTACTAGATATGGCCGCAACCGAAAAAAAATAATTTCGCCATTTTTATCCCAGGTAAATGTAGTTAGAAATTTTAAATGTCAAAAATTGCGCTGAAAATCAGCTGTAAAATGTATGTGGGTTTGCAAATATGGTTATCAGCGTAAATAGTATATGTTACTACTTTTATTTGTTTCAATTCAGCTAGATTTAGAATTGTTTACTACTTTACAATTTTGGGTAAAATTTTGTAAAAAATGTTGTAATATATTAAATAGTGAACAATCTACGAGGAAAAACAACTATATTTTGCAACAGTTAGTAACACTCTTTTAGAAACTAAACTATAATTACATCATAAAAGACTACCCAATAGTTCACCTTATAAATTACATCCTATTTAGGGAAAAAGTGTAAATTGCCGAGGGCCGGGTTCGAAGACACAGGTATATCGTATTGGCTGGAAAAAATGTCTTCTATTCTACTGTTACTACCAGACCTTAACGGCCTGATTCTATGATTTATTAGTGTCATCAGGTCAAACAGGCCTTAGTAAAATTGCAGTGTCTGAGCCAGCTGGGGTCCACATACCACCATTTGTCACTGAAACAAGAGAATGGACTACTACTTTTACCCAGACAACCACGGTAGCTTTTATTCGCGTTATTGATAAAAACAGTGACTGTTTTTGTGGGTGTTCCAATTCGAACAGTGACTGTAACAAGCACATATCCAGGACCGATTTGAGAAATATACTATTAGAATACTTTCAAACATGCTAATATGTGCCAAGTGAAATTGATACCAATATTTAAAGTACCATTGTAAGTTTTATCTTTACCTATACAGTAGCAAACTTGTGGTAATTATTGCAGAACTTACCCTACAAAAAAAAAAAACAAAAACGGTAAAGAAATAGTACAGAATATAAAATACCTTAAAGAAGGGGTATTCAATATGAAATTTTTAAGTTATGATTTATCTGTTGAATCTCACTAGAACTTCTGTTCATCATTGCTTGTCACTTAAATAAGTAGATATCACCATTAACCATCAGTATAAAATTTATTTTATATCCACAATAGATCTTAGCGCGTTCCGAATTAGGAAATCCAATCCGAGCTTATCAAAATATCACAAAATATAAAATGTCAAATATTACCAGTTCCTCCAAATGTCAAATAATCTACCAACACAACACCCAATGACCAAAGTATTCATTACTGGAGCCTCAGGTTTCATTGCTCAACATATAATCAAACTTCTCCTTGCCAGAAATTATGAAATCATCGGAACTGTGAGAACAAAAGCCAAGGGAGAACTCTTAAGATCCTGTTTATCACCAACCGACAAATTCACCTATGAAATAGTGAGTGACATTGCTGAACCAGGAGCTTTCGATCACGCACTCAAGAAGAATCCAGGTATAACCTATGTGTTCCACGCTGCATCTCCCTGTTTTTTTGAGACCACAGATCCAGAACACGATATTTTGATTCCAGCCATAAGAGGAACTGAAAATATCTTGCTGGCAATTGTGAAATACCAACCTGAAGTGCAACGAGTCGTGTTGACTTCGTCTGATGCAGCCATATATTCAAACGAAGACGAAATTAATTCTAAATTGTCGTTTAACGAGAGTAACTGGAACAATACCAAGTATGAAGATGCCTTGAATGACGGTATCACAGCATATTATTGTGCTAAGGCACTTGCTGAAAAATATGCTTGGGAATTCATGCTTAAAAATATTCCAAGTTTTGGATTGGTGGCTATAAACCCGGTATATGTATTTGGTCCACAAGCATATGGGGTCCCTGAGAACCTTAATGCTTCCAATGAATTATTCACAAAATTGTTAAATCTTGGTCCTGATGAAAAGTTTGATAATGAAATGGGTGGGTTTATTGATGTTAGAGATATTGCCAGTGCACATGTTTTTGCCATTGATTCTAAAGAAGCAGTTGGTAGGAGATTGTTAGTGAGTAATGGACAATATAGCGCTCAAATGATCCTTGATATAATTAACAAACACTTCCCTCAATTGAATCTTCCAAAGGGTAATGAAGGAACTGGTGAGTATGATACTATGAATTTAGCCAGAGTTAATAATAGTGCTACAAGAAAATTACTCAACCGCAGGTTTAATTCCTTGGAAAATATCGTTGTTGATACTGTTAGTCAACTTTTAGATAGCCGCAAGAATTCAAAAGCACATTTATAGATTTTTAAAGTTGTCGTAAATTAAATTTAATGATTGTAAATATACATGTATATGCAATTAATGTTCGCTATGATGATTATAAGTCAAGAATGTAATCAAAATACCAATGTCATAAGTTGTCTTTAAACAACCAGCAATGACAAATGTAATCCATTGAAGACCTTTTTGGGTCATGAATCCCACAATACTTGGTCCAATGACTTGTGCTAATGTTTTCACAACATTAACAAATCCAAAAACGGCAGTTCTGTCAGCATCAGCCACCAATGTAGCCAAAAACACGTGTTTTGGTGCTACATCCATAGATTGTGTAGAGGCTCTAATGACCAATATAGCCATAGTCATGACAAATGACGATGGAAATGGAACAAATGTCAACAACATAGAAGCAGGAAGATGCGTAGCAACCATGGTTACCACTGCACCCCATCTCTTGGTGAGTGATGTACTGAATAATGACGTAAATGCACTAACTATACCGGTGGTAAAGAAAACCGAACCCAAGTAAGTAGTTGGTATATCAAATTTATTCTTAAGGTAAAAAGAAATCCAAGATGTAGGTGTCAACGAGGAAGCAAATGCATCAAGTCCAAACAAAAGGGACAACTTAAGCACGATCAAGTAAGTATGAGGGCTAAGGTGTGGTAATAATCTGAACAGCAGGAGCTTGGACTTTGTTGGAACTTCGGGTATCAATTGGGTATTTTCACTATCGGATTCAGAAATTGGTTCCGTCTTGGCAGGCTCAAGGTTACTTGAAAGAAATATGCATAGCACAAAGGAAATCAAGGAAAGCAAAGCATATGCCATAAACACACACTTATAACTAAACACTAATGAATATCCATAGGTTTCATTCACAGTATGGACCAATGCACCAGCAAGGAAGCTTCCAAACGCGCCACAAAACATTCCAAGGAAAGTATACCACGCGTAAATATCCGATCTGTCACGATGAGGAACCAATGAAGCTATCGAGCTTTGTTCTATCGTCCTGAACGGACCAACTTCGACCCCCAGCGGGGTTAGTATACCCAAAACTGCCACTACTGTTAGCACATAGAAATTGTCCACAAAACTGAATACTATTCCTGTTAATGCCATCATGAGTGAACAAAGAATAAGCATTTTCTTACGTCCAACTTGATCTGCAATGATAGCAAGCAAGAATGAGGAAACCAAATCACCTATAAATGTGAGGGTCATGAAAAACCCAATATATTCTTCTGTTATATTCAATGCTTTCATGTATAATGCAAGAATTAACGAAGTTGCACCAAATCCAATCAATCGAATCATTCGAAGAGCAATGATGATTGCAACGTCAGAACCTGCTTTGGATACGGTGACTATTCCCACTTCATCCATTAGGACATTTATAAATTTGGGTATTGTGTACCTCATTCTGTGATGTATTGTTGTATATTTAGTCTATAGGTCTATGTTGAAAGGAGATCTTTCATGAGATATATAGGGGATATAAGTTGTGGGCAATATTTCGCTTATAATTTTTTTTCGAACTTCAGAAGCCGACATTTTTAGTGCTACCAATTCCAAGAAAATCAAAATAAACAAATTGCATTGATCTGAATCTATTGTTTTTGTTTTGTGTAGTGTGGACAACAAACAATCCTACATATGCCAAGTAATCGCTTCTAAGATTTAGTGGGATATGATTGTTTAGGTTTATTCCTTTTGGGACTGGTAATCGTTATTTATTTCTAGTTGTTATGAAATTTCTTGATGTTTAAATATAAGTAAGTGACTAGTCGTGTTTATTTTCAAAAGTTTATTTGCGCCTTGTGTTCAATTTGAGACTGTGTTACACAAGTTTATCTACCCCACTTTCTCTTTCTAAAGCTAATAACAAACTAATATCTTCTGGCTTCACTTGATTTATCACATTAATCTTCAATAGTATATTACCACGTGCTCACTTATAACCAATTTGAATATATGTGAAACGTGACAAAATATTCAGGCATTGCAAACAAAGCTCAAAAATAGTAATGTAACATAAAAACTACTATTGTCATGTCTTTTTATGTAAATGGAAAATTCCTCGTCCCGAATGACGTAAATGTAATATCGTTAGCTATACAGACTAACATGGAACAATCAAGTTCGGCCGTACTTTACTCATTGTCGGAAATAGCAAACAATGAACCTAAGATGTAACCATCTTAAACGGCTGTATGACATAATTTCTAATTCGAGCATTTCAGATGCGCTCCAAAATTATTTGCAACGACAAAATAATAAACAAGAAAACCTTGGAAAAAAAATTCCCACTGTGAATTCCATTGGATAGCACTATAACAGACTGTATTGGCCACGGGCTTTTATTCGAAATGAGACTATCTGATAGTAATATCATACAATTCCCGCATGTAAGAAGCTATTATGGCTTCTTCCGCTGCAATATCTTGAACATATCAACTTGCAGCCTTCGTAAAAACTTGGAAATACGTCATCTTCAGATTTAATCCCGTCTATAGATAGCAATCTTGTATACAGTTCTTAATTCCGAAAAGTTAGGAATTAAACACAACTACGAAACAGGGTTCTATAATTTCTTTTATCTGACATCCATACATACATACTAGATATTTATTTTTGATGATACCATAAAGAGGGGGTATCACACACATGGTTTGCGTTGCAAATATTGTGCGTATCTGTTTATTTTTTGGATGATATATAAACTGGTTGTCTCCCCTTCAATAACACATCCGAGTTAGTGCTTTCTCTTCAGTTCAATCGACATTAAATACAAGAGTATACCATGAACAGAGACGAGATTGCTACTGCAAATTCAACTAGTGCGGCTGTTGACCTTGAAGGCCAAGATAACCCCCACAAGAAATTTAAGGAGGCTGATGCAGGTGATGGTACAAAAAGAGAAGATCAGTTTTTACATGGAACACATTTAGTACTTTGTTTTATTTCTTTGTTCTTGTGTCTTTTCATTTTTGCATTGGATCAAACCATCGTAGTTACCATTTTAACTACTGTTGGTAATAAATTCAATGATTTCTCCAATGTTGCTTGGTTATCGTCTGGTTTCTTGTTGACTATGGCTGTTTTCATTCAACCTTTTGGAAAATTATCAATCATTTTCGGTCGTAGATGGACCATGGTTGCAGCCGTAGTTATCTTCGAGGCTGGTTCCCTTATGTGTGCATTAGCTAACAATATGAATGTTTTAATTGGAGGCAGAGTGTTAGCTGGTATTGGAGGTTCTGGTATTCAAGGACTCGCGTTTGTGATTATTACAGAAATTGTCCCAATTAACAAGAGACCAGTTGGTATGGCGATTGTAGCTGTGACATTCGCTGTTTCTTCTGTACTTGGACCATTGATTGGTGGTGCGTTTACTTCTCATGTTAGTTGGAGATGGGCGTTCTACATCAACTTGCCTATTGGTGGTATTGCCATGGCATTTTTCTTGTACTCCTTCAGACCACCAACTCCTAAAGGAAATTATATCAAGCAATTGAAGGAGTATGATTATTTGGGAACATTCTTGTTAATTTCTGGGTCGGTATTATTTTTGTTGGCATTAACCTTTGGTGCTTCTGATTTTAGTTGGGACTCAGGGGCAGTTATTTCTTGTTTTATTTTAGGTCCTGTCTTGTTGATTTTATTCTGTATTTGGAACTTCAGGTTCTCAAAGAATCAAATTATACCCACAGATGTTGTAATTGTTCCTCAAATTATTGCTTCAGTATTAGCACTTGCTGGTATTTTTTCAGCCTTTATTGCAGCCTTGATTTACTTGTCAGTTTATTTCCAAGTTGTGAAGGACCACTCAGCCATGGGTGCAGGTTTACATTTATTGCCATGCATTATTGCTGTGGTTCTTTGTTCCATCTTTTCCGGGGTTATGATTCAAAAATTCAGATATGTTAAAGTGTTTAATGTTGTTTCAGGAGTTGTAGGAGTGATAGGCACGGGTATTTTGGCATTGTTAAAGGTTGACTCATCTTTCGGCACCCAAGTTGGATTATTAATTCCTCTCGGTATTGCAACTGGTTTACAAATGCAGCCTTCAATCATGTCGGCCCAGATTAAAGCTCCAAAGACACCAGGTGGATTAATTATGACGACAATTTTTATCACATTTTGCAGATCGCTTTTGGCAGCGATTGCTGGTGATTTAGCCGACGCTGTTTTTAATACATCCTTGAGAAACATTTATTCCAAAGCTATCCAAGAACCAGCCAATGCTTCAGTTGCCCAACAGTTGCAAAATGTTCAATTGGACAGTTTGATTTCTTCAAATTCAGTATTGAGTACTTTGAGCCCAGAAGCCACTTTGTTCATCAAAGAACAAATGGTGAAATCAATGAGAAATGTCTATTATATGTGTATTGGGTTTGCGGTTATTAGTTTTGTCGCAAGTCTATTTGTCACCAACAAGAACGTTCCTAAGAATGTTGATATGGGCGAGAAAGTAGAACAAGAGGAGAAATTTGAAGAAAAAACTAGCGAGCCAAGAACTAGCTCTGGATCTGATGAAAATATAAGTGTGCAATCAGATATTGATCCTTCAGATGACATTGAGATCAACTCAATTTCAAAGAATGTAACAAGGGAAAAGAATGTTGAAGTAGAGTAATTGGAAAAAAAAACGTTTGTATATAGTTATGTAATAGAGTATTATTAATGTAATTGAAGATATATGTGATCAAGATCATATGGTAGAAATCCATGAATTTAGTCTAGACAACCCATCTACGATCAAAACAGTTGGGAAAGAATCCAACTACATTCATGTATGTGTTTGCAGGAGGTAGATCAATACAAAATAAATGTAAAAGGACTTTGTCCAAGCAATAAAAAGAAAACAAAAAAACTTGCAACCTTGACGCACCTTCCACAATCGGATTAATGAAAGCCTATATTTGCTCATTTACTTCTCCACAATTCTATCTATTACTATTGTATCTACGGTACCTTGCTGGTATTTCCAATAACTGTTATGATTAGTAATAGCAAATCTGTTGACTAAAGTATTCCGAAATCGGATATTTCCCCTCTTCTTCCCTTGTCTTAATTCGGTTATTGCAAAAAAAAAAAATGAAACCAAAATTTAGGTGATAAAGCTTTTACTTTCGTTCCCACTCCCTCCATCCTTAACTCAAGGAGCGCAAAAGATACATGCTCACCATATCAATATGACTAATTCATGTCAAAAACAATAAAGCCATATCTTAACTTATTGTAGGATATCGGTTTTAAGAAATAGTAGACGCAACCATGTTTAAACGGCTGTACATGACAATCTTTGTGACCAATCCGTGAATTTCAGGAGCATATTGTTGCGAATTTAGTCATCAAATAATAAATTTGCATAGATCTCGGACGAACAGTTCCACCATAGTTCGGAGAATTCTTTAAGTATCTTCTATTTGGATTTAAATTGTCGGATATATCTCTCAGTAGTAATACATGCGACACATGCCAATTCTCTCGTTTAGTACCTGAACCCTTTCTTACTCCCTGCAACATGTGTTTTGTGTAATTACTAATATGCCAAAACTACAAGCCTCGTAAAATCTGCACTAGAGAAAAAAATTATTTCCGTACAAATTGTCGGATATAACTTATATGCAGTGATTATCCCCTATATATTCCGGAGATTAAACGGAAATGCGACGCAAATTCGGATTTTGCACATGGTCAATTTCTTTTTCACATCCATACATACATATTAAGATGCGCCACACGCCTGACGAGTATTGTTTTAGATTTTGTGCAACATTCTATATTATGCTTTTTTTTTAAGATGGTATATAAATTAGCGTTCCCCCTCTAGGTGGCAAGTGTATCATTATGTTCTTCAGAAAGTATAATCTAACGTCTATAACTAATACATCATGAGTAGAGAGGAACTTGCTGCTGTAAATTCTGCTACTTCAGAGAATGCACCTGCCGACCTTGAGGGTCAAGATCATCACCACAAGAAATTCAAAGAAGCTGATGCGGGTGATGGTACTAAAAGAGAAGACCAGTTTTTACATGGAACCCAGTTGGTGCTTTGTTTTATTTCCTTGTTCTTGTGTCTTTTCATTTTTGCATTGGATCAAACCATCGTGGTTACCATTTTAACTACTGTTGGTAATAAATTCAATGATTTCTCCAATGTTGCTTGGTTATCGTCTGGTTTCTTGTTGACTATGGCTGTTTTCATTCAACCTTTTGGAAAATTATCAATCATTTTCGGTCGTAGATGGACCATGGTTGCAGCCGTAGTTATCTTCGAGGCTGGTTCCCTTATGTGTGCATTAGCCAACGATATGAATGTCTTGATTGGTGGTAGAGTCTTGGCCGGTGTCGGAGGGGCCGGTATTCAAGGTCTTGCGTTTGTTATTATTACAGAAGTTGTTCCAATTAATAAGAGACCTATTGGTATGGCTATTTTGGCCATTACCTTTGCTGTCGCCTCGGTTCTTGGCCCATTGATTGGTGGTGCGTTTACTTCTCATGTTAGTTGGAGATGGGCGTTCTACATCAACTTGCCTATTGGTGGTATTGCCATGGCATTTTTCTTGTACTCCTTCAGACCACCAACTCCTAAGGGTAACTATATCAAGCAATTAAAGGAATATGATTACATTGGTACCTTTTTATTGATTGCTGGTGTAGTTTTGTTCTTATTGGCTTTAACCTTTGGTGCTTCTGAGTTCCCATGGAATTCTGGTGCTGTTATTTCCTGTTTTGTTTTAGGTCCTGTCTTGTTGATTTTATTCTGTGTGTGGAACTTCAGGTTCTCAAAGAATCAAATTATTGCCACTGATATTGTTACTGTTCCTCAAATTGTGGCCTCAGTATTGGCAATTTCCGGTATTTTCTCTGCTTTCATTGCTGGTTTGATCTATTTATCAATTTACTTCCAAGTTATCAAAGATCATTCTGCCATGGGTGCTGGTTTACATTTATTGCCATGCATTATTTCTGTGGTTCTTTGTTCCATCTTTTCTGGGGTTATGATGCAAAAGTTCAGATATGTTAAAGTATTCAATATCTCTTCTGGTATTATCGGGGTTATTGGTACTTCAATCTTGCTCTTATTGAAGGTTGATTCGTCCTTTGGTACTCAAGTTGGATTATTGATTCCTCTTGGAATGGCTGCTGGGTTACAAATGCAACCTTCAATCATGTCTGCACAAATCAAGGCTCCAAAGACACCAGGTGGGTTAATTATGACTACAATTTTCATCAACTTCTCCAGATCCCTTATGGCCGCTGTTGCTGGTGATTTGTCAGATGCAGTTTTCAACACTTCTTTAAGAAATATTTATTCAAAGGCTATTAGAGATCCAGCCAACGCTGCAGTTGCTCAACAATTGGTTCACATTGATTTGAACAGTTTGATCTCATCCAATGCAGTTTTGAACAGTTTGAGCCCAGAAGCTTCTTACTTTGTCAAGGACCAGATGGTCAAATCAATGAAGAATGTTTGGTATATGTGTATTGGGTTTGCCATTATTAGTTTCTTTGCCAGTCTTTTCGTTACAAACAAGAGAGTTCCTAAGCATGTCGAAATGGGTAAGAAGGACAAACCAGAAGATGAAAAGGCCATCGAAGAAGAAAACGAAGAAAGAAGTGGTGATTCTAGTAGAGATTCTGTGTCTGATGAAAACGCTAGTCAACAATCTGATGAAGCTAGTGGACCTTCAGAAGAGACAATCAATTCGATTTCCAAGGATGTAACAAGAGAAAAAGATATCGAATTAAAGTAATAGGTTTTGGGAATAAGGTGCATGTATATAAGAACAAACATGTTTATAGAGTTTTTTTTAATATATTAATATAAATTTAATCTTAACGATCGGTTCTGTACGATGTGCAATATTTTACGAGAAACGGGTTTGTTTGAATTTTTCGATCCCATGAAAATTTTCAAACACACACCTTTTCATCAAAATAGTTATTAATAAACGGCACTCATAACCAGCCACCATGCAAGCACATGCGTGTTGACTCAGTTACCTAATGAGGCTAGTGTAAACGAAACCGTTGGGTGAATAATAATTAATAATAGAACAATATATACACATTTCAAATAATTTTAAATTCGCTCAAAATAAATAAATAAATCAATAAATAAATAAATAAAAAAAAAAAAGAATCCAGATTCACGGGCGGGCCGATCTACGGAGTCTAATATCTTGCCCACGATTATGCAAGAGAACCCCAACCTTGTTTTATGCAATTACATTGGTTAACTTCGGAGCGTATTTATTAAAAGACGTGCAAGTACAAACATGGATGATTGCAGTGTAGAGAGATCTTAGATTAAATTGCCGCTTTAGTTACGTAATCTAGACGAAAAAGATATTCTTACCGCGAAAGTTTGATGAGGGATTTTAAGAGGTGCTGGTAAAACAATACACAAATACAGAAACTTTCTATCGTCTGGCTCTTCAAAGCAGCCAATTACAATTGCGTCTGATTGAAATGATGAAACTAAACTTTACCTACATCGGCATCTTAAGAGCTGTCCAAAATGACTTGTTTGGTACTGTGCATACATCGAAGAAAATGTTCTTTATAAAAGCTGCTGTCGAACCTCCAACAAAATGTAAACAATACATAACTGCTCCAATCAATGGAATAATTCTTGCAAAGTTATTTCCGATTGTTCTATCAGAATAAATGCAACAGTGGCAGTGTGATTTTGGGTGCCTTAATTAAATTCTTCCATTGTTTAGCTCACCGAATGGCACGTGAAAACGGTTAATTGTTTCCGAAATGATTCATTAGAATTATTTTTCGTAACTCTTAGAAGATCTCGTTACCATGGCAACTAGATTATTTGCGATTCGGAATTAAATATTTCCTAGATAGCTAGAATTGGTAAAAACATCCTATGAACCCCCGCCTCTACCCCTCCTCCCTTTGTGGATTAATATATTTTTTTATATTTGGCTCTTTTTGACAAAACAAAGAAATACAAAAAAAGTTACCACGAATATGTGCAGGATGCATACAAAATATTCACAAAAATTAAGTTAGATCGGCACAAAAAATTCTACCATCTTGGAATTAATCTCCGTAAGCGCACCTTACGGGAGTGCGCTTTTCTATGCACCACACGGAGAAGATTTTGGGACGATAAGGCTAGAGCTAGTAAAAGGTGGCAAATTAAACAGGTGATTTTAGAAGATTTGCATATGTCGGATCAAAGGATTATTCGTAACTCAACGAACTACGTGGGTGAAACACGACGTGAAAAAGGGAGGTGAGTCGGAATATGTAACATGCCAGGTGTTCCAAATTGGGGAAATTTGTTGGGGTTCGAGAATCAAACTTCTCCACCTTTGTTTATTGATAAGAGATTTTCCTGCGCTTGGCTCCAATTAAATTTCGGTTGGGGTTTAAGGCTTATAGTTGCTTCTTTACCTTCCTTTTTTTCTCGTATTATTCTTAGTCATTATTGTCCGCTAGTTCATGCTATTGGTCATATATTAGAAGAGGATTATCAGAAGGCAACAGCTGATCACTGTTGATATATATATATAGTCGTGTACAGAGTCAGATGGAAGTTAATCTACGCAATGGAGCAATTTATTTGCAGGAACGGCATAAAAAATAAACACTAAAAGTGAAAAAAATATTAGAGAAAAAAAACAAAAATTACAAAATCGACCGTTTTCTATCTAAAAATCAAGTCCCCATGTTTCAAGTTGGCATCACAAAACGTAATAGCATGATTCCTCCAATATCACATCATGCTTTGTGCTTCATTTAAAAAAATAGGGATCAGGGTATCTGGGGTTACGAGGCATTGTGAGGTCCTTGTGCACGCAAATGATCCGAGCCGGTGGGGGGAAACCTATATAAATTTTGCTCGTATCAGAGTCCGTACTTCCGGATGGCGCTTTTCCTTAACTAAAAAAAGAAATTGTAAACATGATTTTGAAGTTTATACGGGGTGTACCTTGAGCACAAAGACTCCATTCCATCTCCAATAGCCTTAATTTGCTCAGTGATTGGACTAAGCTGTGGCCAATACAGAAAAATAGAAATATTAAAAAGAAATTCGTGATGCATTATTTTTTATGCCTGGGCCACAGGATGAATGAATCTCTCATTATTTTAATGTCAATTTCTCCACTTTGTATGCTCATTCCCCGATGAATCAGAGTCTATTTTTTGCCGCCTGGGTGATAGTGAATGGCTTCGTTCCGATTATCGCAAAATAGCTTCTAAAAAAAAAGGACATTAGGCCGTCTCCATGGCTTTGTTCATGATTAAGGTTAACGAACGAAAAAAACAGCAAGAAGCAGTTCCTTAACAAAAAAGTTCGTAATTGACTTTTACTTTTTTTTTCTTGTCTCAATGTGCCAACAATTGTTTAACGCTTAAGAACTAAAATAGAGGTGAAACAAAGATAACATTTGAACAGAAACAAAAAAAAGCATCCAATTATTCAGGTATTATCGGAGAATCCACCGTGGAATTCACAATATAGCAAAAGTTACACAAAACCTTAAGAAGAATGCATATACCTTGCGCCAATTACTTAAAAAATATCCCAACACGTATCCAATTTAAGTGAAACTTTACAATAAAGAAAAGAGGTTTTTTTTGGTAAAAAAATAATTGCTTTTTTAGCGTCATTTATTTTGATTAATAAAAATCCGCTTTTGCCAAGTTTTCTCTTTTTGCCTTTAATTAATTATTTTTGTCTCTTTTGTTTAAACCCTTTAAATTACTAATATATAAATATTTATCCCTTTTAGTTGCGAAGAAAATTCATACGCTTTAAAAGCATTTTAACTTAGTACATTCGAGTGTTTGTTCGTCGTATACATTTTTCGTTAGCAATCATTGTTGATATTGTTAGCCGCCCCAGAAATTAGACTAGAGAGAGAAAAAAAAGAAGGGCCCCATCAGCCAGACAACCAAAATCAAAACCCGATACGTCAAAACCTAAATAAGCTTTTAACCTTTTCTGCAACCGTCCTTTCAAATTCCATGGATTCGCAAAAGTTGACCCCTCCTCACCACGCCATGACTCCACCACCGGAATCACCTTTGGCATCGTTCTACTACAACCAATTCAGAAGTGTCAGTCCTTCCACTTCGTCTGTTGCGTCCAGTTACCAATCCTCCAGTATCACACCACCATTCCAACATATACATGCTCATCCTCATGCACAACCACAAATCTCGCCCTTGGGCTACCCTGTTTACCCTCACAACAACATTATGATTGGAAGTCATCAAAGTCTCCATAATGATATCACTCCTTCATCTTCAATAGCGTCTTCTCCCAAAGTATTTTCCGCATCAGACTTGCTATTAGACCAAATTTCCCCTGTTTCCTCTATCGATACCACATATATTAAGCAAGAGTTTCAAGAACCTAGGATGAAAGTGGCAAAACCTTCTAAAAAGCTGAGCCAGAAGTCAAAGACCCCAAGATCAAGATTTGGATGCGAAGAATGTAAATCCAAGAGAATTAAGTGTGATGAAACCAAACCTCATTGCTCAAGATGTCTTTCAAAAGGAATAAACTGTCGTTATAAGATTCAACTTCAATTCAGAGAAGATTTGGAATTAAGAGGAAAGAAGTTTGGCAGAGAAGGTGTTTGGTACAAGCATAAGAAGACCGATGGTGCTAAAACTACTGATTTAGTCTTGAGATCAAAAGAATCCTATTATGGCATTATTCGTAATGTGCAAAGATTAAAGTTTATAAATACCGGTTACGCTGATATTACCCGTGATATTAGCCACGTATATACTCCCCCAAAGCTCGTACCCTCATTGCAATCCTCAATTATACCCCCAGATATTTCCCATGCCTTGAAAGATCCAAATTCCTTGAATTACGCTTTAAATTACTATATCGATTTCATTTCCCCTATCTTAAACCCTGTTGGTGACCAATCAATATATTATAATCAACTCGCTTCTGACGAAGTACAGCAAAGGTCTATTGTAGTTGAAAAAGGGTTGGATTTATCTGCTTTGGTCAAGTACTCCCAAAATAACAATTCCTTGTTTTACCTCATTCTTTCCTTGGGTTCTATTTATTTATCTAAGCTCAACGGAGTTGCTCAAAAAGCGGGTTGGTTAGCTAAAGCTAAGCATTTCCAGGACCTCGGATTAAAGAAGATTCAACATGAAATTGACTTGTTGCGAAATGATGTCGACATAGATAACACTCCTCACGTATACACTACTGATTTGTTGGTTGCATTGGTGTTGCTTATTCTTTATGAATTTGCCAATGATTGTGATCGTCAATGGACCATATATTTGAAGTTGTGTAAGAAATTAATTAACTCCGAGAAGTTTGTTTTGCCATATAACAGTTTGGAATACTCACTTTTAAAGTTCTGTCTCGAATTCCTCAACTATCAAGAATCTATTGGAAGAACTGCATGTAAGGATGTGAACTCATTCTTTTTGCAATTGGAAGAAGAAGAAGAACTGAAGACCGGTATAGTCCAAGCTCCAGATCAAATTAAATTGGTCAGTTGGATGGGGTGCGATCGTCGATTATTAAACATCATTTCCGACATTACTGACTTGTCGTTTGAAAGATTTAGAAACTCGATCTCAGAAACCAATTATGCGATTTTATGCAATGATATGAAGAAGAAATTGGACGAAATGAATATCAATATGATGGAAAGTGTATTGGCCAGTTCTAAACTGGACGCCGAGTTAATGGTTCAAGAATTTGGTATGGAAGTTGAAGAATTCTGTTTCTTGTTATCTTGTGAAATCAAACGTTTGGCTACAATCTTGTATCTTGAAGCTTGCTTATTAAACAAGACCCCAGAAGACGAACAAATTGACCAATTAGTCCATCAAATCTTTAGATTATTGGAGTTTATTGTCATCAAGAACAATTACAAATGGTATTCCACCCTTATCTGGTCAGTATTTATGGCTGCTTCCGAAATTTCTAGTCTTTCACCCGATTGTGAAGATTTGCGTTATTTGACTTTACAAATTTTCGACAAGTTGGAAGATAATACATTAGGTAATGTAGGTAAGACTAGACAAATAGTGTTGAGTATTTGGAAGAGAAGAGATTTGGACAATTGTGATGAAAACAGTTTCGGACTTATGGCCGACAATTCTAAAAAGAACAAGAAGAAGGGGTTGATGGGATGGGTTAATGACTGGGAAAAGTATGTCGTTGATGAAGATTACGCCATTGCCTTAGCTTAGAGGAGATTCGGATATCATGTTATTTTAATTCTTTTAAAAAAAAAACCGGCTGATTGATTAATACGGGTGAAATGGAGAAGTTATGAAAAACTATTTAAGATTTTATTGATGTATTTAATGTTAATGTAGAAAACGGAATAAACAATATATTTAGATTAAACAAACTGTGTAAAAAAGACAAACATCACCAGAACAAAAACCCATTAAATATAATTTGATACGTCAACAGAACCATTAGCAAGTGCTTCGTTCGCAATTTGTCTGACTTTTACCTGACCTTCTGTCAAAGAGTCAGTGATTTCAAAAGGTAACAAGCCCATTGATCTTTTAGCATCAGGGTCATCTTGCAAATGGGCAATGTCACCACCTTGGAACTCTTTCTTTTTATCATCTTCGCTTAATTGGGACCTGTAATCTTCAGGAGAAACATTGTTCAAGAATGCTTGTTTGGTATCCAACAAGGTTTTGATGTTGATCACACTCAATGGACATTGACCATAGTAGAAAACTGAAGAGGGTCCATCACCATTGTGTTCACGATCAACTTCATGGGGAATATCACAATGCCAGTAAACAAAAGATCCTTTCTTGACGTCAGGAATAGAAATAACACCCTGGTGCAAGTGATGGTAGAAATCTTGAAGGAATAATTGTCCAGTGGATGGAACAGCTCCAGGGAATTTGGGAGTAGACAAGTCGATTTCATAATCATTTATATCACCTGATTCTGGATCCTTCCAGAAGAATGGACGCAACATGATATAAGCCATTGAAAGCTTGATGTTGGGTAACATTCTTAACGTACCTTCACCAGATTTGTTATTGGAAAGAGCCAACCAACCTTGTAAGGTACGGAAAGCAGAGCAAATGGTTGATTTTCCTTCATGGATGTGTTCATACAAGTTTTCATTAGCATGGGCTCTGTTGTCCAATTTAAATGGATCCCAATCTTCCCAATTACCAGAGAAGATTTGTTCGTATACCTTGGAGTATTCTTTGTCTTCCCATCTTTCAATTGAAGATGAGTCCAAGTGAAGTGGTAAAGTAGCTGAGGCACCAGGCTCTCTAATTCTGATTCTATCTCCATAGACAATCTGAGTGTCTAAATCAAGCAATGTGGACTTATTTTCCACATAGAATTCCTGGGCCATGGTAGCGACTAACTTCTTCATATTTGGATGGAATCTGGCTTCAGATTGAGGTTTGGTCCAAAACACGTTATACCAAGCAGTAGGATTAGGAAATGTGTAACCAGCAGTTTCTGGATGTTCTTTGCAAAAGTCAACCAATTCATTGAACCAAATATCAATTTGTTGTTCATCAATAACATTGTCAATCATAACTACACCTCGTTGTTTAAATAAATCAGAGATATCCTTTGGTAGTTTTTGATCTTTAATCGAAGCAAAGTCACATCTTGGAACATACGAAGGACCAGCCTTTGCAATTCTAGCAAATTCAGATTCGATTTCAATTAAAAGTTTCTTCCAACTTTCAGTAACCTTTTCCACATTTTCAGGTTTAATCAAACGTTGTTTGACTTGAACAAATCTTGATTCAAGATCGACAGGTTCAGTATTGTCGGTGAGTTTACTTGGAGACATGATAACGATTAAAAGAAGAGAATGACTTACTTCAAATAACCGAACAACTGACTCAACCCTGAAGGCATCAGGGCTTATTTATATTATTCAACATGTTGCAAAAATATCTTTCCCCATGATTTGAGTGGCATTGCGGAAAAATTCAAGTAGGAGGAGATGCGGAAGGGTTACCGGAATAGGTAAGTGTCCAATTTGCGCCGAAAATAATTACTATTTTCCCGGCTTAGCAGAGGGTAGACCACAATAAAATTTAGTGTAATAAACGGCGGGATGCGGGATTCACTCTGGAATTATAGTTATTTTGACTCCGCAATGATATAATGCAGGGTCCGATTATTTAGCGGGACATTCCGCACTTTTATACAATTGATGTCTTTTGTTACATATCAGTTACGTAAGGCACCATATGAATTTTGGCATCTTTACTTTTTAATTTTCTTCTTTTGTCATTATGTTGTACATATCTACTTAATGTTTGATCCTCGCGGGATTCCCCACACACACCATCCCGCTCTGATTGTGATAAACATGTCATTACATTTTAATCTGAAATGTATCAGTAGTTAAAAAAAATTCAAACTCCGCAGGCGGGATTAAATTAGCTCGCGCACAGAAAAATTACCACCAAGTTTGATACACTATTGTATTGTATGATCTTCTCCAGGGTTCTCCATGTTTGCAGTCACAGTTAGAAACACTCTTTGCCGGAGTAATTATGCCGTTCAATCCGCATCACTACTTTTCTATAGACATGCCCATGCACATCCAACCCCACAACAAGATCCCCACCATCATAAATCTCATATAAACCATCACAGACGGTTAGATCTTCATGATTGGCCCACCTCAAAAGACCCTACTCCGTTTGAGATTTTCAACCTCAAGCAGAAGGACATGGGAATGCCCCAATTAGAATTAAAGCGGCATATCAAGAGACATTACTTGGCGTATGTGAAGTTATACCACCCTGATACTAGTCTTACGATTCATGAAAAGGGGGAAGAACTTTCTGCAGAAGAGAAACGACGCAGGTTTGATCAGATCCAACAAGCGTATGACTTGCTTAAAGATCCGCGACGTAGAGTTGCCTATTCGCGGTATCAAACTGCGAGAACTCGTGGTCCAACATATGGCCCAGCTCAACATGGGTACACTAAGGAACATTTTGAAGCTTATCGTGCTGCCAATGCCCAGAGAAGACAATATGATTTTCAAAACAATGAAGAATTCTGGCAGGCAGGAACCTGGGAAGATTATTACCGTATGAAATACAAACGAGAGCCCCCAACCAAGGAAGAATTTGAAAAGAACAAGTATAAGATCTTGGCTGGAGTCATTGCATTTGGAGCATTGGGATTTGCATTGCAGATTGTGAATACTTATAATCGGACCAATGAAATGTTGTTAGATAGCCAGAAGCGGACCTTGAAATCAATGCATGATCTTAACGAACATTCTGACAATTTTGGTCAAGGAAACAGTGAAGCTGATGGACTCAGGAGATTTTTGGTATCTAGAAGGACTTCACTCAAACTGAAGAAATATGACGAGGATACTGAACCAGAACCTAATGACAAAGAGTTGCTTGTAAAGTATGCCAAGAAAAGAGTGGGACAATGGGATAAAGCAGCTGACTAGATTATATTAATATGGTTAGAACACACACATACACATACATCTATATATATATATATTTATTATTGCATGCTAACAATTTTTGTAAATTGTGTAATACCGCACCGCCGCTACCGGTTACTTCTTTCCTATTCTGGCTCTGCGGGGCAACCACCGACGAGCATGAAAAAAAAAAACTCAGGTAGAATTTCTATGTGTCATCTGTCAAAAAGTACTATCCGACATACACCAACTTAGTGCTAACCATGGATTTTATGAAACCAGAGACTGTGCTTGACTTGGCCAACATTCGTCAAGCATTGGTGAGAATGGAAGACACCATTGTGTTTGATCTTATTGAAAGATCTCAATTCTACAGTTCTCCATCAGTGTACGAAAAGAACAAATTCAATATTCCAAATTTCGATGGAACATTCTTGGACTGGGCTCTTCAACAAATGGAGATTGCTCATTCTCAAATCAGAAGATATGAAGCACCCGATGAAATCCCATTTTTCCCTGACATTATTTTACCACCAATCTTACCCCCAATCAATTACCCCAAGATCTTGGCTAATTATTCTGATGAAATTAATGTTAACGCAGAAATTATGGAATTTTATGTCAAAGAAATTGTACCTCAAGTGAGTTGTAAAGTCGGAGACCAAACTGAAAATTTAGGATCGGTGTCAACTTGTGATATCGAAACCTTGCAAGCAATTTCGCGTAGAATTCATTTCGGGAAATTTGTGGCGGAGGCTAAATATCAAAGTGATAAGCCCGGCTATATAAAATTGATTTTGAACAAGGATGTCAAAGGTATTGAAGATTCCATTACCAATAGTGCCGTGGAACAAAAGATTTTGGAAAGATTGGTCACCAAGGGTGAAAGTTATGGTACTGATCCTTCATTAAAGTATAGTCAGAAACCCCAAAGTAAAGTAGATCCCAAGGTCATTGCCAAGATCTATAAAGATTGGATCATCCCATTGACCAAGAAAGTGGAGATTGATTATTTATTGAGAAGACTAGAGGATGAAGAACCTGAATTGGTTGAGAAATATAGAGTATAATTTTTAGAACAAATTTTTTTTTTTGCATTCAATAAAATTATAGAAATTTTTCCATAGTAACACGGTTCCATCAAGAAGTAAAAACGTTGTCATTTGTTTACAATGTAGCTAATACTTAATTTCATCATCGTCAATTGTTATACAAATTGGCTTACTCGACAATGTAAGTGTTGGTAGTTGCTGCAGGTACATTTAAAAATCCAACAGATTTCTTAACTGCATAATTGCAATTGCATGTGATTTTTTATCCCGGTTATCAGTTCCAAAACGGTTTAATTACAATTGGAAAGATTAAAAAATACCAAGCGTTTATACTCGTGTTTAACCAAACAACGTGTGATTGTGTGTCAAATATGTGCGCCAATTCCTTTGTTTTGAAATTTAGACCTGGGGACGACCATCAGCTTTTTTTAGTCAGATTCCAACAATTTTTTTTTTACAGCCAAAATGCACACTGTGCGTAGTGGCGGGGTGAATTTGTAGTACCAAAAAAAAAAAAGATACCACGTTTAGGGCACAACTTTGCACTCGTGGGTCCTGATTTATTTTTTTTTCAAACTTTATTTTGCCTAAAACAATTATGCCCAGATGAGTAAACAGGAATGTGAGATACCCAACACAACGACAACCAATGACAACGAGAAATGACACGTCCGGTAAACGTGAAAAATATTTCTCAATCAATCCGGACACGAAATATAAATACCACCTTGTCTGTTCTTAATTCTCTTTTAATCTCTTCTTTCCTTCTTCTTTGCTTTGGTTGCAAATTTCAACAAATTTGAACTTGTTAAAATTTCCAATTGATTCAACATCCTACAACAAATGACTGATTTTATTGTTGATGTCCTCCCCACGGACATTTCCAAAACTTACGTCTTGACTTCAATCTCGATCGTATGTGGTTTGCTTTATGTTAGCACCAAGTTAAGCAAAACCTTCCACTCAATCCTTGTATTTTGTTGGGCTTGCTTTGTTAAGCCTTTAATTCAAAAGAAAACCGTCAAAAGCGGTAACAAGAATCAACAACATTCGCTTGAATTGTTCTACAAAAACCAAGCTCACATTTACGATACCACCAGAGAAGTATTGTTGAAGGGAAGAAAAGAATGTCTTAGATTGGCCATTTCTCACTTGCAAAAGAAGAAAGATCTCGTATGGATTGACATTGGTGGTGGCACTGGTTCCAATATTGAGTTCATGGACAAAATCAGTAGTATTTCCAAGAACTTCAAGGCTGTTTACTTGGTCGACCTTTCTCCTTCGTTATGTGAAGTTGCCAGAAATAGATTTGCTGCCCATCAATGGAAAAATGTTCATGTTTTAGTTGCTGATGCTTGTGATTTCGAAATTGACTACAAAACTGCTGATTTGATCACCTTTTCGTACTCCTTGTCTATGATACCAACTTTCAATGCTGCTGTTGATAACGCTGTTTCCAAGTTAGACAAGGAAGGTATTATTGCTACTGTCGATTTTGGTATTCAAAGTCACGATACCTCCATGGGTAGGATCAACACATTGGGTGGATTAGTTAACAGAGATATCTCCTGGGTTTCAAGAAACTTTTGGAGAATTTGGTTTGAAGCTGATAAAGTGTTTTTGGATTCTGCTAGAAGAAACTATTTGGAATACAAATTCGGTACTGTCAAGTCTTTGAATGCCAAGAACACAACTTTGGGCAGAATTCCATACTATATCTGGATTGGGTGTGACAAATCCAAGGCTCATTCAATTTTAAACCGATTGAACTGCTTAGCTACTGAATCTCCTTACTTGGCACCATCTACTAGTCCAGTTGCTCAATCTGATATTCCCGTTTCCAAAGGTCATGAAGCTGCATTAACTAATTTACAAAAGAACTTGCCATTCCCTTCAATTTACTATCAAAAGGAAGTTTGGAGAGTTTACTTTGACGAGTTACATCACTTATATGAACAATTCAAGAACCAATATATCTATGCATTCACCTGGGAAGACCCAAGAGAAGATAACAATATTTTGAAATTCTCGCGTGATGATACTGTTTTGGCTATCACTTCTGCTGGTGACAACATTTTGAGTTATGCCACTTTACCTGATCCACCAAAGAGAATCCATGCTGTTGACTTGAACCCATGTCAAAACCATTTGTTAGAATTGAAGTTGGCCTCACTTAGATGTCTTGAACAAGAACAAGTTTGGCAAATGTTTGGTGAAGGTAAGATTGAAAACTTCCAAGATATTTTGATTGATCAATTATCCCCACACATGTCGTCTCAAGCTTTCCAATATTGGATGGACAAGGGTCCAAAGACTTTCTCTGGAAGAGGTCTTTATGATACTGGTTCTACCAGATGGGCACTTAGATTATGTCGTTATGTGTTTAAAGTTTGTCGTGTTTCCAAGTATGTTACTGAACTTTGTCATTGTAACACCATGAAGGAACAATTGGAAATCTGGAATGATAAGCTTAAGCCAGCTTTATTCAACCCTATTGTTGCTTCTTTGATGGTTGGTAACCCATTATTTTTGTGGAAGGCATTGGGTGTTCCAGCTAATCAGGCCAAGTTGATGGGTCCTTCCGTTATTAAATATGTTATTGACACTTTGGATCCACTTTTAAAGAGGAGTTTAATCTCCAAGGATAACTACTTTTACTACTTGTGTCTTATGGGTAAGTACATCAAGTCCAACTGTCCTGATTATCTTACTGTTAAGGGATACAAGAAGTTAACTTCTCCAAATGCTATTACCAAGGAAATTCCAATTGATAATATCAGATTACATACTGACACTCTTAACGATGTTTTCTCTCGTTTGAGTCAAAAGTCCATTTCAATTGCTATTATCATGGACCACATGGATTGGTTTGATCCTGAAGGTCAAGATGCCATTAACGAAATTACCGCTGTCAAGAATTGTCTTGTCAATGGTGGTAGAGTGATGTTGAGATCTGCTGCTACTCATCCGTGGTATATCAAGACATTTGAATCCATGGGTTTCAAATGTGAAGCTGCTGCCATTAGACTTAGTGGTGAGAGTATTGATAGAATCAACATGTATGCGTCTACTTGGGTGTGTACCAAGCAAGTTGCTGAAGAGGAAACGCCTGTTAATACCCGCAGAATCAGTACCTTGAGAATCTAGGGTTGTATTGTTATTGTATGTCTTTCTAAGTATATATTTATATTACTTTACTTACTTCAATTCTACTTAGATTATGTTAGAGCAATTTAAAAATATTTGTCTGTCGAATTTTGTAGACAATTTGTTGCGAATTTTGCAATTTGTCTGTCGGATGTTGCTTTGTTGATTGTCATTGTGGCAACCACGCGATCTTCCGATTTTTTTTTTTATATATCAATTTTCAATCCCCGAATTTGAATTACTAATACACTTTTCCATTCACCACCACCACCACCACCACCACGAAAATGACAGTAGGATTTGAAATTGTGTTTGCAGTTCCTATGGAGTGCAATGATTGCGTCGAGTCCGTCGCCAATGCACTTAAACGAGTAGATGGAATTCAAAAGTTTGATATCGACTTAAAAAAGAACCTTGTCACTACTGAAGGTACCATCCCACCAAGTGCAATTGTAAGAGCAATTCAGGCTACCGGGAAAGATGCAATTATCAGAGGTACCGGAAAGCCAGACTCTGCCGCTGTGTGCATTTTAGAATCATTTGACCCTAAGGATATCAAACAACCAGTCAAGGGATTAGCTAGAATTGTCGGGGTTTCACCAAATGACCTTTTCATAGACTTGACCGTCAATGGATTACCCAAGGGAACATACTACCCATCGATTAGAACCTCAGGAGATTTATCGAAAGGTGCTCTCTCAACGGGAGAAACATTCTATAATTTGGATCCAGTGGAATTAAGTAAGCCTTCTACTTTAGACACCACTATTAACTCCCTAGGTGCCACTATTCACACTGGTGATGAAGAATTATACTCTGGACAAGAGTTTCTTCATGCAAAGTTGAACGTCAATGAATTGATTGGCAGAAGTGTAGTGTTGTCCAAGTTGCAAGACAAAGTCAGTTCCGATTCGTTAGTCGGCGTTATCGCTAGATCTGCTGGTGCTTGGGAAAACGATAAACAAGTATGCAGCTGTTCCGGTAAGACTGTCTGGCAAGAAAGAACCGACGCTATCGCCAAGGGTATGACTGTGTAGTTCGTTTGGTTGCCAAACTTTAGTGTATAGGGGCTAGTCACGTGCTTAGAAATTTACGACAATTTTTTTTTTTTTTTTTACCATGTAATTTTTTTTATCCTGCCTTTTTCGTATCGCCTTTGATTTGTAAAGTTTACGTTTTGTAGCAACAACTCAATCCAATAGATATTTCACACACAAACGTCGTTTCCAATCCTAAATAGCCTGGGTAATACATTGTACATCTACTAATTATTCATTCACAACTTTATAGAATTTGATTCGCTTTGTCGGGATAGATAACTCCCTTGCATTAAATCCAGACAACCATTTACACCATTAGCAATATAACACCATCATCACACATAGTAAATCATATGAGATAGAAATACATCTACGCAGTTCCCACCATGCAAATGAACAAATCAGCAATATTAGCTACATTGCGAGATCAACTAGAGCTGATTGACCAGAATCAAACTATACGATTGAATGGCTTGAATGCCAATACCAATACCACTTTGAACTTTAATGATGTTGTTGATTGCATTTTTGAATTTATTCACTCGTTTGATCCACCGTTGGTGGTTGAGAAGCTCTCGTTGGAAAACAACCATTTCAGTGAATTGCCGTCTAATTTCTCGAAAATTAGCCCGTCTTTGAAATACTTGGATTTACACCATAATTCTATATCAAACATCCCCAATGACTATTTTCACAAATATTTTAAACAGTTGGAAGTGTTGGATTTATCTTCCAACAAATTATCAATGTTGCCCGAATCAGTTTCAGAATTAATAAATTTAAAAGTATTGTCAATAAAGGATAACAAGTTCAAGTATCTTTCCCCTACTCTTGGCAACCTCCCGCATTTGAATTTGATCGAAGTAGCAAACAATCCGTTGATATTGCCATCAAATGACATGATTAGAGCATTTCAGAAACAAAAGTCAGATTTAGATTGGGTTTCGGAATTAAAGAGTTTCCTTCTTGCTAATCGAGCCGTGCTTTATCAGAAAATCGACGAGGGAATACTAAAAGAATCAAGAAGACTGTATGAGGAACAACTGCAGCAGCAGCAACAGCAGCAGCAACAACAACAGCAACAGCTTTTAGGTGAACAACAACCTTTACCACCTTATGTCACCCCACCCAGCATCAGAAGATCACAAAGTGTATCCGAAGGAACCAAAGCCAAAAGTTCAAAAGCATCGAGACGAATGGGTTTAATTATCAAAAAGTCAGACGAGTCAAACGGGTCGAAAATCGTTAATAATACCCTTGATGACAACTCTAACGTTCATACCACCTTACAATTCAATCCAGCCGATTTTCTCACTAGTGGAATCCCCCATTCTGCATCAGCAATTGAAACGCATTTCCCCAGCAGTCCTCCTCAGCTCAAGGTTCAAACCTCGATGGAAGCATCACTGATGGGAGCCACTTCTGCAGCCCAGTCATTGAATTCAGCATTAAATTCCCCTTCTCATACCACCCCTAAATCTGCATTAACCCCTCCAAGTTCTGTCCGACCATCAAGATCAAGATCTAATACCCTTAAGGAAATAGATAGGATATTAGAAAATAGTGCCAGTGTGGATACTGAACACAAGTCAAGTGCTTATTTCAGAAGATTGTCTACATTGCAAGAACAACCACTTGATGAGTTTGAAACCCTGACTACTGCTGCATCTACAGCTACAAAAGAAGTTAGCCAACCAAAGATTATTCCAATTCCAGAAAAGCCAAGCACTGAAAGTATCAAGCCATCAATTTCTTTGAGTCATGTCCCAAAGAATGGTTTACCAGTTGCCAGTAGCGAAGGAAGTTCTCCCGTTCGTACACCATCGCAAAAGAAACAATACAGTTCCACGGTTATTAAAGTTTCTCGGAAGGTTTTATTTTCATTTAGCGAGTTGCATTCTTCAATTAGAAGATTCACAGGATTTTGTTCCGATAAGAAGATAACCATGAAAATGGTATCTTTCTTGTACAGCACCAAAGCCAATATTGATTCGCTTGTAGAAAACCTTGAAATCATGGAAGAAATGGGCAATAATTTGGACCAAATCGTGACTTCATTACAAACTTGTATTTCTTCATTTAAATCAATGATGAATTTATTGCATGAGAGCTTCTCCACTTTTGTCAACAAAATTGATGTTTGTTTTATTAGAATGCTTTATCTTTCCATCTATGGGTCATTTAACGAATTGCATAATGCGTACATGTTACTAGTTCCCAAGCAGCAGCAGCAGCAGCAACAACAACAATTGCCACCACAAACTCAAGCTAAGCTTCCAAGTGTCAGTCAATTGGTTACCACTACTGAGGCAACCAAGCCCAAGATTGTTAGCACCCCTTCAGCTATGTCAGTTGAAAATTCCGAAGAAATGGATGAAAAGCTTTATATTACTATTGAAACCGCCACGGCAACTGCGCAAACTAGTTTAGTTGAATTAAATCAAGCCCTTTTAAAGAATGTCCCTGGGGATATTCAACCTAACGTTGCATCTAGGGTTAAAGAATTAACCAATCTTTGTACGTCATCATCAGAAATCACGAAACGACTCAGCACCCGATTGATTACGATTAGAAACAATCCATCACAAACCACCAAGAAGTTGTTTGCCGAAGATATTAATCAGTTTATTAAAACCATGGTGCAAACCTTGGCTGCTGTCAAGGCGATTGTTAAGGATTTACCTATTTTGGATGATATCCGTGCATCCATGTCTAATTTAACCAAGACTGCCAAGGAAGTTACCTATATGTTGGAAGTGTCTGCTTATAAGTCGTTACTCCCTGAATCAAGTGGAGGAGGAGGAGGAGCGGCAGCAGCGGCAGCAGCAGCATCGAGCGGTGCCACTGGTACTACTAATCCACCACCAACTATTCAACAAGTACAATCACTTGTGAATAGTGTTCCTAATGTGTTTACTCCAGGATCAGGGCATCCACCCACGCTTGCTTCGACCATATCGAGTAATTCAATATTTAGTGGAGGCTCAGGGCCTACTCCCGTGCGTACACCTATGGGACCAATGAGTAATCAATCAGATGGGTCTAATTCGGTGATTAGCCCCATTGGATCCATGGCCACTACTCCTTCACCACTTGCCACTGTTCAGCCAACCAAGACGGGTAATCCGTTTGATAATATGTTTATGAGGGCTGATACGAGTAATAATGAATAGATAGTTTTTCTAATAAATGAAGAAGTTAAGTTATTGTAGAGACAAAGGTTCATGATGGAGTCAGATCAACGTTTATGATCCCGAGTCAATCACTTGAGTGGAAAAGCCGTTAGGTTCCAAAGTGGGGGAGCCAAGTGAAAAAAAAAAATTTACAAACCAAATTTAAAGAGTCGTTATCTCTGATCTTTACACAAGTTTCTTGTCCATTTCTCCCTTAAACCAGCAATGACCATTGAATTAGAAGAACCTCCACTTACTAGCGACAACAACCAAGTTCTCAAGGACTTGTTTGGAGGAACCATGGGTGGTATTGCCCAAGTTCTCGTTGGGCAGCCGTTTGATACCGTCAAGGTCAGAGTGCAATCCGCCCCGGAGGGCATGTACAGTGGATCCATGGACGTGATTAAACAGTTGGTGAAGAATGAAGGACCATTTGCATTTTATAAAGGAACATTGACGCCTTTGGTCGGGGTCGGTGCGTGTGTTTCTGTCCAGTTCAGTGTCAACGAATTCATGAAGCGATATTACGATGACAAGTTACAAGGCAAACCATTGAGCTTGTCCCAGTTTTTCGTATGTGGGGCCGTGGCTGGGTTCGCCAACGGGTTCTTGGCTTCTCCTATTGAACATATCCGTATCAGATTGCAAACCCAGACTGGGAGCGCCTCGGGCGCTGCCACCTTTAATGGCCCTATCGATTGTGCCAAGAAGCTTTATCAAAGCAACGGGTTCGGTCATGGTATATATAGAGGATTGGTACCTACTTTGTTCAGAGAATCAGTCGGGTTGGGGATCTATTTTGCCACTTACGAAGCTTTGATTGGTCGTGAATTAAAGAATAATAAGAATATGATTAGAGCTGAGATCCCAGCGTGGAAATTGTGTTTATTTGGTGGGTTGTCTGGTTACACTTTATGGATCGGTATTTACCCCGTTGATGTTATAAAGTCCAAATTGCAAACTGATTCATTGACGAAGCCAAACTATAAAGGTTCCTTGAGTGTGGTTAGGGATGTGTTTGCCAAAACTGGTATCAAGGGGTTCTACAAGGGGTTCATTCCAACCATATTGAGAGCTGCTCCAGCCAACGGTGCCACATTTGCCGTGTTCGAATTGACAATGAGAGTATTAGGATAGAGTTTAATAAACATTATAGAAAAGTCTGTATTAAAAAGTCGTTAGTCTAGTCGTTATTCCCGTTTAGTAAGATGATGCACGCCTTCAGGATGCATTTCATAATCTGCACCTAAACCCGTGAGATTTTCATAATTGGGCTGATCGATATTGTCAAAGCTCTGATCGTTATCTTCGTAATCCTGAGGTCGTATCACCTTAATAAATTCTATAAAATCCATCATGTACTCGCCATTAAACTCGTAGGTGTCGGTACCTTGCAATTCTACTTGTTCCCAGAACAAATCCTTGTTGGAAGCGACATCGTGAGGGGATACTTGAGATTCCAATTCGTGAATTGGAAGTTCTGGGGTGGTCTTTTGCTGTTTCTGCCTGGCATTGAAGTTTTTATCAATACGTAAATGCAAACCAGGAATGCGGTCAATGATAAGCAAAAACACGCAGGTGAGGATAAACACATATGCCGAGGTCACGGTTATTCCTAGTAATTGATAGGCGAATTGGATCCAATGGCGTTTCACCCATCCACCTTGTGATTGGTATTGCGTATTGGCAAAGAGACCTGTGAGTAACGACCCAACAATACCGGCTACACCATGAATGGCGAAAATGTCCAAGGCATCATCTATGCCAAAGAAATACTTTAATCGCGTGGAAAGGTTGCAAATGATGGCACCCACTACTCCGAAGATTATCGGTTTCCAGAATTCACTAGGCGACGAAACGAAGCCTCCGCCTGGGGTGAACACTACCAATCCCGTGATCATTCCCGAGGAAAAGGAAATCATTGAGAATTTCCGTTTCTCGACAAAATTAGACTTTGTCTCGTGATACCGTTGGCTCTTTAATATTCCTGTTTGTGATATCACTGGTTGAATACGATGGGAAGACTGTGGCGAATGAAGACGTTTCAATTCTATGCTTTCTGGAGATGATCCTCCGATTATTGGTTCAGGATATGCAGGTTGTTCTGGGTTGGCGGTTATGGAAGCTGTGTCAGCAAGGGGAATCGAGGAAAAGAAGTAATCAATGGATGTCCATACAATACTCCCTGAGAACGCCGCCAACAAGGTGTTGACCATAATGTATAACGAGTTTGACGAAAACTTAAAGTCGCACCCAGCGATGAATCCCACCCATCCAGAAAGAATACAAAATGTCCCAAATATGATATGACCCGTATTGATATTTCTATAGTTGTACAAGATTTTCGGGTTTCTTGGTCCCAAGATGTAGGAATATGCCAAACATGTGAATCCACCCACAATGTGAATACAATTCCCCCCGGCAAAGTCCAACACGGGAAGATTATCCAAGTCTATCGAAAGCCATCCATTAGAGTTCCAGAACCAGTATGTGACTGGGTTGTAAATCATCGCCGACCAGAAAAAGAGAAATACCAACATGGGGATGATCCGGCCTCGTTCGGCAATACACCCAGGCATGGTCAAGGCGGCACATATAACTTTAAAGAACCCGTTGAACAAGAAATGGTTCAAAACGAGAATTTCCCCTCTTGTATTGGTAAACACCAAAGTTATTGAGTTTCGTAATTGACGAAGTACGGCAAAGTTTAAGTTGCCGATAAAATGGTTTGCTGATGCTGAATATGAAAGGGAATATCCCCAAATGAACCAGTCGATGAATATGAGTGGTAGTAGAAGAATGGGTATGGCGAACATGGTTAATGATGATCTTCTCTGGGTCAATCCCGAGTAGAAAAAGGCAATACCGATGACCACTATGGGTAACAACGCAGTGCAAAAGATCATGTATAATGCATTGATGGCAGTGCGGACATCAATTTCCTTAAAGTCCACCGTCTGCAGGGATGTCATTATGTGATTATGTTATATGATATGTGCTCTAGAGCACTGAATGATATGTACTACTGTAGCAGTAATGGAAGTGATAGTTAAAGGTTGGTTCCTTTGGAGAAAGTATAAATTTGTATTGCTTTCTTTTTTTTTTTTCCTAGTTAATTTTGGGGTTATTTCTTTTTGTGATTCTTGTCTTGAATGCGAGAACAAACAAAGTGTTACCTCTACTTGTGTAAACTGCCCAGAATAAATAGTCGTGTTGTAACTGCAGGATGCAGATGTAATGAATGTTTGTACGAATAAACGAATACCAGGCAAGTGCGTCAAGAAAAGTCGTAACAATGTCCAGGTCGGCAGGATCTTATTTAACCTAATTTAAATTTTTCATTGATAACAAAAAAAAAAAAATTAATTAAACAAAAAAATTTTTTTTAACCGCCTCATTGCGCATCACGTGAACTGGAAGTTAATATCCAGCCAATAAGAATGTGTTCACCCGTTGATAAGTGAAAATTAACTTCAATTGTCAAAACAAAAGTGACAGGCCATTGTAATCAAGGCGTGTAATTACCACGTTGATTGAGGTGAACGCGCGATCTTCTTCTTACTAGCCCCGCGAGATCCAACTAGGTCATTTCGAGTATTCGTTCAGCGACTATTTCATCGTATTTGTCGCGTCTAAATAAATTTACGACCATAGCTGAAATTTCCATGATCCACTAGTTTAGAGTTGCAATAAAACACCCCACAAACACGTATGTATCAAGTTTGCACTAGATGTATACATTGGCCTCTGTTGCATGTTGTTTGTATGTGTAGCCCATCACAATTTTATAGCTTGGTATGGTAATTGCATGCTTTGCATATGTGTAAAAAATTGATAGATATAGCGCTACCAGATTAGCACCTATACTCCAGTAGCACATAGTAGCTAATCACTCAAGCCGCGTGGAACCAAACTGTCACCATGTGAGCCAATAATCAGTTCTGGTGTCAGGATGTGATGCTTATAGTAGATAATTGTATTATGTTTTCAAGTTGTATGTGCACGTCCAATGCAGGAACTTTCATGCGAGTAGTTTCTTGGCAGAGCGATCACGATCACGATCACGATCACGATCACGATCCTGCATTCTTCAGTGATATCATTTAACTGTGCATTTGTGGTATAACAACATCCCCACGTTCGAGATTTACTTGTTTTGGTGACATCACATCGGCATGTTTCTCAAAGCAAATGTAATAGTTAGCAAAGTAGAAGACAGAAAGTCATTGTAAATTACAAAAGCAGCAAGCACTCAAACAAACTGTGTTTTTTGTACTATTTGCACATTTGAGAGCATATTAATAAGAATAGTACAATGTATGCCTGTACCCCACCTCGCCCCACCCAACAAGGAACATAGCACAACGTAAAGCAACCCACTGAACGCCGTTTGTATATCCCACCCGACCTTTCCCAAACAACAATATGGATGGGTTGCACAGCCGGAAAACCTCGGGAGGGTCGTGGTGGAAATTTGTGGAGGGAATCTCCTAAAAATTCCGACAAATCCCGGGTCACGCACACTAAATTTTTTTTTCCTGCGTAGTTTATTTCCCCAGATATTTCTTGAATAGGGTGATTGAACAGGAAGAATAAAACAAGGGTCTAGTGTATCTAACAGCCATAGCTTGTAATAAGCAGTCAAGCTAACTTCAAACGTAAGGTAAAGTAAGGCGTCGACCTCCTTCCCCTTCTCCTACACAGCGCTTAAAATTCAGTGTATACAGTAGAGTGTGTAGTAATTAAGGCAGTGGAGAATTTCGCTTACACAAACATCCACAACATTACTTTTTTTTTCCCTCATTATTTCACCAACCTGTTTCAACGCTTATATATTATTAATCCGCCTCAGCATTTTCCTTTTTTTTTCCATTCACTAGCACTGGCACCACAAGTGAATGGTTTAAGCAGAGGCTTCTAGAATGACAAAGAAACTCTCACTACAAGAAAAACAGAATCGAAAACCGGCCCTGCGAGCATGCACATTCTGTCATGCCAAACATCTCCAGTGTTCCAACGAAAGACCATGCAAGAATTGTGTCAAGCGGAATATCAGTGATCAATGTACTGATATCGTGAGAAAGCGCGTGAAGTATCTTATGAAAAGCACTCCTAGAAAGAAGAGGAGGAACACTACACCATCGACAAGCTCGACTGCTGAACTGACGGAACCTCATTCCGAACTACCTCTTGATTCAACCATACCATTAAAGATTGATCCGGTGATACAACCACAACTCGAAGCATTGCCTGATGTGACGAACCCCATTCCAGTGATTGACGAACAACCGATTAGTCAGCTTGATTCACGATCAAGTAATACCAACCTCATGTTTTCCGGAATGGTAGAGGCTACAAAGTACACAAACAGTATGCTAGACACAACCAACGATGTGTTGAATAAACTACTTGATTCCAATCTGTACTATTCTGAATCTATGAGTGAGACATCTTCGCTCCATCCGTCATTACGTCCACTGCTGCAACCAGTGTCACATCCACAACAACAACACTTTTCACAACAACGTCAGGGCTCATCATCGACGACATCACCTCGATATGGCAACAAACATGACATGTTTAATTCTAATTTTTTGAATGAGGAGTATTTGATGCTTGGGGATATAATCACCCATTCGCACCCGGCTTCCCCCTCCCCGTCAAACACCAGTGCATCCGAACACACTACCACAAGCGGGATCTCGCCCTCAAATCACTATATGCAAGGAATCAATTTGGATGCTATAAATCATCCCCGGAAAAAAGTTGTACAAAAATTAAAGGATTCTCGACCCTTTATTGCTTTGGGATTTTCACAGGATTCGTCATTGAGCTTGAATAATTTGAACAATATGGCAGGCCAGACAGATAATTTATTGGATAACAATTTTGATTCGAGACAGCATAATTTTAATTCCAATAATAACCAAATTTTATCCAATCAGACATTATCTACGGAATATGTATCACCATTAATAACTCACCATATATATCAATCTGTGAGTGATATTTATGGCAACAGCGTGATAAACTTCGACTATCCCCAATCATATCATCTGCTCACGTATTTCTTAAAGAAACGATTTCTGGGGGCGAACTTGACCTCCGAAGAAAAACAAGAAAAGCGCAAGAATTTATTAATCATCTTGAAAGTGATTGCCAGTTATCGACCTACATTCATCTCGGCCCATAAGTCTTTACTTAAGCCGCAGGATTTGCTCTTGTTGGAGATGAGTTTCCAACGATGTTTAATGGATTACGAAAAGTTGAGCCAGTTGAACTCGTCTCCAACGATAATCTGGAGAAGAACAGGCGAGATTGTTAGTATTACCGATGATCTACTCAGCTTGCTAGGCTATAATCTCGTGGATATTCTTCTGAAACGGACATTTATAATCGAGATGATGTATGACGACGAATCAATCGTCAATTATTTCCAATTATTCAAATCAGTCGCCGTAGGGAACTTGCATTCGCGAATTGTGACGCGTTGTAAATTGATGAAGAATCCCGAAAAGTTTGACACCGACAATGCCGAATTCAATGAGAATAATTCGGACCGCTACATTGAGTTTTGTTCCGTGTGGACTGTCAAACGAGACTTGTTTGATCTTCCCATGTTGATTGTGGGACAATTCCTTCCGGTATTGTATGCCGGTGATGGAGTACGTATGTACTAGTACTATGCATGTATATTTATTAATATTTATTGTTTGATTACACATTAACGTAGATAAAGTTCAACCAGTATATTATGAGATCATAAACATGCCATAGTTCCGAGATTGTTACCGCATTGAGAAAAAATCAGCTAATTTTCTGCGCCTGTTGCAGCCGCAAAAAAGAAAAAATCATGCAATAAAAATCGAAAAATAATGCTTGGGTCATGAAACCTTACGCCAATTAGGAACCTGCACGCTTGCGTGGATTTAACTTTTGAAGTGTATGGGGTACGTCAGTGGGGTATATAAACTTTGGAAATTCCTCAAATTTTCACTTCCCTTGGCTCTACTCCCTTCTTTCTTTCTCTATCATACACAAATTTAACAAATTATTAATATATAAAATATCATAATGGCTTTGGTAAAAGTTACTCCTATGCAAGCTTTGGCTGTCGGTGGTGTGTTGTACGGATTAGGTGCCGCCTGGATGTTCAAGAACTACTTTAAACAATCTTCCATGAGAAAGATTTACACTAGTGCCGACAAAGAATACGAAAAGGTCCATGTCATGCGTTACCCACAATACGAAGGAAATGCTGTTAAGGAATAGATTTTTGTAGCGAACTAGCCCATGTTTGTATTTCATAAATAAATATTTATTCGTTTGGAATGTCTGTATCGGGATGCGTGATGAAGTTGGCAATTTTATCGTTGACTTCCGTCTCGCTGAACTTTTGTTTCATCTTGGCCATTATCTCTTGATTGTCTGTTGACCATATTAGCTTTTTCTCATATAGTTGATTCACAGATAAGTTGAAGGGGTAGATACATTCTTGCGAGGTGCAAGATATTATCATTAGTGTAGGTTGTAATAAATGTAACTTCAACGGAGTTGCACATAATGGGCAGTTAGTCATGCTATATCCTTTCTTTACTGTGCACTATGTTTATGTAGTATGTACGTATTATCTCATCGATTTGTTGCCAGGCAAAAAAAAAAAAAACATCGCAATATTTCAGTCCGCAATTTGTCAGTGCTGCCAAAATTCTTCCTTCTTGAACATATACACACACACACATACACACACTCCATGAAAATCCCGCCAGAAACAGTAAACAAGCTCCAGCTGGACGCATCATGTATCAGAAACATATGTATCCTTGCCCACGTAGACCATGGTAAGACATCATTGAGTGATTCCCTCTTGGCTACCAACGGAATCATCTCTCAGCGTATGGCTGGGAAGGTACGATACTTGGACTCCAGAGAGGACGAACAGTTACGAGGAATCACCATGGAGGCATCCGCCATCAGTTTATATTTCAAAGTCATGAAGATGAAAGAGGGCGAGGACAATCCCGAAATCAAGGAGCATTTGGTCAATTTGATTGATTCACCGGGCCACATTGACTTTTCCAGTGAAGTCAGCACCTCTTCGCGATTGTGTGATGGTGCTGTGGTGTTAGTTGATGTTGTCGAAGGAGTATGTTCCCAGACCGTCAATGTGTTGAGACAATGCTGGATTGACAAACTTAAACCGCTTCTTGTGGTTAACAAAATCGATAGGTTGATCACCGAATGGAAGTTGTCTCCATTAGAGGCATACCAACACATTCTGAGGGTCATTGAACAGGTCAACTCCGTCATTGGGTCCTTTTACGCCGGTGACAGATTGGAAGATGATATGAATTGGCGTGAAGCCGGTGCCATTGGGGAATTCATTGAACAAAGTGATGAAGACTTGTATTTCATGCCCGAAAAGAATAATGTCATATTTGCATCGGCCATTGATGGATGGGCCTTTTCTATCAACACATTCACCAAGATCTACCTGAAGAAACTTGGCTTTTCCCAGAACGCCCTTTCCAAAACTCTCTGGGGAGATTTCTACTTGGATATGAAGAACAAGAAAATCATCCCTGGTAAGAAATTGAAACAAGGTACTAATCTCAAGCCATTATTTGTGTCACTTATTCTTGAACAGATATGGGCTGTTTATGAAAACTGTATCATTGAGAGAAATCAAGAAAAGTTGGAAAAGATTATTGAGAAATTGGGTGCTAGAGTGACCCCGCGTGATTTGCGTTCCAAGGATCATAAGAACTTACTTAATCTTATCATGTCACAATGGTTGCCTTTAAGTCATGCCTTGCTTGGAGCAGTCATTGAATATTTACCATCTCCAATTAAAGCACAGAGTGAAAGAATCGACAAGATCTTACAGGAAACCATTTATAGCTCGGTCAATGCTGAAAAGTCCAAACTTGTCGATGTGGATTTTGCCAGAGCGTTAAAAGAATGCGATAGTTCCAACCCGGAAAAGCATACTTTGGCGTATGTTTCTAAGTTACTTTCGATCCCCAATGAGGAATTACCCAAGGACATAAGTTCAAAGGGAGAGTTAACTGCCGATGAGATCAAAGAAAGAACAAGAATCGCTAGAGAATTAGCAAGAAAGGCATCAGAGGCAGCAGCTTTAGCAGTCGACCAAAAAGCGGACACCGAGGACTATAGTAAACCCAAGAAAGATGCATTCGAATGGGAATTCGAAGAGGAGGATTTCGAAGAAGAAGAGGAAGAAGAGACACACGAATCCAATGAAACATTAGTGGGATTCACGAGAATTTACTCTGGCTCATTTACCATTGGCCAGAAAGTCACTGTCATTGGACCAAAATACGACCCCGCCTTGCCTAATAGCCATCCAACCAATCAAGACCAAATCACTACTGTTGAAATCAAAGATTTGTTTTTGATTATGGGCAGGGAACTCGTACGTATGCAAACTGTCCCCGCGGGTAACATTGTCGGTGTTGTTGGTCTTGACCAGGCCGTGATTAAGAATGCTACTTTGTGTTCGCCCCATGTTGATGACGAATATCCATACATTAACTTTGCATCCACATCCACTTTGATTCATAATAAGCCAATTATGAAAATTGCGGTGGAACCAACCAATCCGTTAAAATTGGCCAAATTGGAACAAGGGTTGGATTTGTTGAGCCGTGCTGATCCGGTTTTGGAATGGTATATTGATTCAGAATCGGGTGAGTTGATTGTTTGTGTTGCTGGAGAATTACATTTAGAAAGATGTCTTAAGGATTTAGAGGAGAGATTTGCGCCAGGATGTGAAGTTACCGTTAAGGAACCGGTTATTCCATTCAGAGAAGGGTTGGTTAGTGATAAGATAAGTACGTTGTACGAAGACGAGGAACTGGGCGAAGAAGATGAAGATGAAGACGACGGTGAGATTGTTGATTTGGAATTTGAAGTGTCGCCATTACCTTTGGAAATGACCCAGTTTTTGATTAATCATGAAAATTCAATCTCGGAAATCGTCAATAGTAAACACGAAATTGAAGAAGTGAAACAAGAATTCCTTGAAAAGTTTACCAATGTGGTAGCCGAACATCCCACCTATGGGTTCGATGGTGCCAGTGACTTTATCAACCATATTATTGCATTTGGACCTAAACGTATAGGAGCTAATATTTTCGTTGAAGCCAAGGGGCAGAATCAATTCAGACACGTTCTTTCCAACTTGGACCCACCCCAACACCGATTTGAATATGAAAACAATGTCCTTAATGGTGTACAGCTTGCTCTTAATGAAGGACCACTTGCCAATGAACCGTTGCAAGGGGTGATGATCACTTTGAAGCGTGCTGTCAAGAATGAAATCAACGAAGACAAGCTCGTGAACCCAGGTCGTATCATTGTCCAAGCGCGAGACTTGATCCACAAGCGGATGTTGCAGAAGTCACCTCGATTGTTTTTGGCCATGTATACTTGTGAGATTCAAGCTGCAGCCGAGGTGTTGGGTAAAGTGTACGCCGTGGTGCAAAAACGAGGCGGTGCTATCATTTCGGAAGAGATGAAAGAAGGTACGCCGTTCTTTACTATTGTGGCGAGGATCCCTGTGATTGAAGCGTTTGGATTCAGTGAGGACATTAGAAAGAAGACCAGTGGTGCTGCTTCGCCGCAATTAGTCTTTGACGGGTACGATGTGTTGGACATTGATCCATTTTGGGTTCCTCACACCGACGAAGAGTTGGAAGAACTTGGAGAGTTTGCCGAAAGAGAAAACGTGGCTAGAAGGTATATGAACAACATCAGAAGACGCAAGGGGTTGTTTGTTGATGAGAAAGTGGTTAAGAATGCCGAGAAACAAAGAACGTTGAAGAAGGATTAGAAACCATGGGGGAAAGCTTGCCATCATCATCATCATCATCATTTTGCAAAGAAAGAAAGAACGAAAAAAAATTTACTATGTAAAAAAAAATTTCTATAATTCAAAAACATCTTCAGCGGTTAATCCTACCAACCATTTTCGTATAAAGCAATACCACATTCTTTGTATATATAACTACGAGTCTATAGGTTAACACAGTATAGTCACTACTCACCCACTCATTTTTCATTTGATAGATCACAAGCTATATCCATGATAATATAACCCCATCTCATACGATACTACAAACCATGGCCAAGTCAAAACTGCAACATCCGACAAACGGTCAACCGCAAACGCAACCGCAACCACAACCACAACAGAAACCAATAGAGTCTATAGAATCAAAGTCAACGTCGTCGTCATCATCATCCTCTTCTTCTTCTCAGCGAAAACAACAAGTGCCGGAGCATCTCCTTGAATATCTTCATAAACGACAAGGGTTGGATCCAAAGAAATTGTTTGAAATGGTGTCCAAGAATTACGAAAATTGGCTGCAAGCGATGTACAAACAGTTCCAGGATTCTGACGACAACTTCCTGCCGTTTCCTGACGATTCGGTGGATAATTCAACGCCGCCCATATTCGACTATAGCATATTAGAAGCGTTGGACAAAGACGACCATGATGAAATTGATACAGAGAATAAGCCGATCACAGTGGACGCAACTGTACGGGCAGCAGATGCCAATGGGAAGCAAAAGATCCTTCATCCATCCCAGTCATTACTCAGTGAATACGAAATTGATTTTCTTCGAAACCGGATATCACAAATGATTCATGATCAAGGCATAGGAGGGCTAATGAAGGATGTCGCTTCCAAGAGCAACAACAACAACAACACCGCCACCACCACCGGTGGCTTTTCATTGTATGATACTCGCGATGAAGAAGGATTACACGCGGGAAACACCGATGAATGTTGTGATCAAGATTACGATCAGGATGATTATGATTTAGAGGAAATTACAGGAGATGATTTCCATTCCCATGCTCATCATATCGAAGTGGAATTGAATACGGTTCCTGAATGCGACGTTCACGGAATGCAAGGATGCGATTGTCCATTTTACGAATATGGCGACGACGACGAACACGATCCCGATTGTGATCACCACAACGGTCCTTCTTGTGAGTTCACCTTTGAATACGATCATACCGGCAAACTAATACCTACATACAGCAACGTGGAAGAGAAATTACGCTTAATGAACTTGGAATCTAGATTGAAAAACCAGAACCAGCAATCCAATATGAAACTACCATCAATCAGTGAATTAAACATCTCGGATTCCATGAAGTCAAAATCCAAAAAGAAAAAGAAAAAGAAGTCCAAAGCCAAGTCTGAACTGAAACTAGGTCATCATAATTTACCCACCACGATCCCTCGGGATTACTATGGATACATTCCCAGCGATAGCTGTTGTTTATTTTGTGAATACCAAGCAATATTCGGCAGTAAGCCACGACAAATGATGAAATGGTACGATCAACGGATTTTACGCGAAGAGCAAAGACGAGCTGAGTTTAAAAAGAAGTTGGAAAATGCCAAGCTGAAGGCGATCAAGAAACAACGTGAAATGAGAACCAAACAGTTGCAGCAACAGCAACAAAAGGAAGAAGGCCAACAGTTGAAACAAGCTCACCGAAATCAAGACCAACAAGTAAAAGCGGATGAAGTTGATTAGCTAGTATATACATAATGCATGGATTACGAAAAGTCTTGTAGATAGTTCTCTGGTATGAAGTTGCATTTTTTGCATTGGTATTTAACCCCCTACAACCAGTGCTTTTATTTGTCTTGAATGGTTGTTAAGAACATCGAGAGCTTTGTAGCTAAAGAAGATAGAGTGGTTATATTCCCGAGCACGTTCCAGCACCATGCCCGTCCTTGAATTAAGGGATAAGACCCACGCCAGGAACATGCGTGAGGGCTGTTGGAACCACTTTGATGGCCGATACGAGTGCCCCTCCTGGTGAGAGTACCAAACCGGCATCCCCGAGGTCCTTTCTACTGTGTGAGATAGTTATTCTGGCATACTCCTCACACCAAATTTTATTCTAGAACACCGTAGAACCTTTCCTAGCAGGAAGTAGCGTGATTTGTATTGTTCTTGAATGCAAATAGTTTTAAAATCATCATAAAATGAAACGGAAAAATAAAAAACAAAACAAATGGAATGCGCTTTGCACGTGACACGGGATTATATATTTTTCCACCAGTCATGTGGATAAAGCGGAGTAAAATCAAATTTAATTTATCGGGGCGGCGGACTTTGGTGGCGAAAATGCACACGCTCCGATGAAACTGCGTGCCATACCATGAGCAATCCACCACACACACATGCATGACACACCCACTTTCTAAATATGGTAACACAGTGACTGTGTTGTAGGTTGACACACAAAGTGACCCAGAAAAGAAAATAAAAAAAAAAAAGAAAATTAAAATTACACTAGACACTTCACTTTTTTTTTTTTCTTTCTCTTTTGATTAAGCAAGCAATGGTGACCCCTTTAACGTGGGGTGGAGATTAATGCTAATAAACCTTAAACCGTAAAAAAAAATTATATATGATCATTGTTGTTTGTTTCTTTGGCTTTCGTCAAGTTTAAATTTTTAAAAATGTCTCAAATGAATTCTTCCCTATCTTATTAATCACTACTTTCTTTTCCATCACCAGAACCCCCCTCCCCCTGCTATTGTACACCAAATTTTCCTTATGTTTTCCAAAAGCGGGACAAATACTCCTATTCCGGGAGGCGTTGCTCACATCAACAAAATCCAGTATCACGAACAGTTGGATGAAACCATCACCTGGATCAAAGACTGGTATTCCCCTAATTTGTCTAACGACTTGTCTGATGACGCTATAAACGATTCGGTCAGATTAAAAGGCTGGTACAAGACAAATATCAACCACAAGAATGGTAATCTGCTCGCCTATAATCCCGATGACGTGTTGAACTTGAATGAGTGGAAGTATTACACCGAGAGCACGTCCATGACTGATTCAAATCAATCGTCTTCGTCTGACTCTTCTAATGGCTCTGCCATGGACGTAGACGAAGTTAAACAATTAGGTGCTGCCATCCGGTACGAGGATGACGGATTAGGAAGGTTGTAAGGTGATGTCTACGAAGTTGTCGTATTGTCTTCAGTTCCATAAAACACTTTTATATTATTGTATATTACAAGTGAATGTATTAATATATACTCAAGTTGTCTGTTTAAGTTTGACAAACGCCAAAGATTCTCGAGCAATAGCTGTCTTTTCAATCAATTCTTGTTGTTTATCAAAATCCCAACTTTCCTCCTGAGGTAATTTTGTAACGTCAACTCCGTCACGTTCTAATTTCTGGAACTTTTGTCGAATCTCTTGCAATCTATACATTTCCAAAGGAGATCTCAGTTGCGAATAGACAATAAATAACGAGTTTTCGGGTAAATTCTCGTAAATCAGCTGCAAGCGGTCGTTTGTGCGCTGGTACAATTCTGATTGTTGGTAATCTAACCTACCATCATAATGTTGTGGAGCTGTACACCATTTGTTATTAAATTCCATTTCTCGTAATTGCAATACAACAAATCGTTTACCTTGAACTTCCAGCTTGAACTTATCAACAACTTCATCGTCGTTATTAACATAGACTCGATCTAGCTGGTAGTCTTCTGGCTCAACGTATGTTTCTTGATCCTTATAATGACTGTAGTTTATCCATAATGATCTGAAATCCGTTTCTTCTTCGTCACTATTACCAGTCTTCTTGGTCAAGTTGTAATTACTTGCAAGGCGCTTAAATATAGAAACCTCATTAACATTAACTCCAAAACATTTCCCCTCAACGATTTTCATTTTAACTAAGTCAAGCGAAGCTTTGGCATCTTCAACTGAAGAATGTCCCTCTCCGGTATCTTCACCGGATTGAATTTTCTGATCAAGGTACTTTTGTGCCAACCATCTCAACGATGGTTTTGCTGGAGGTCCTCGATTATGATCGTAAACTATTGCAGTATCGACAACTCTATTATGCTTAATTTTCAACACTTCTAAATCAGATTCCAAGGAATGTCCAACTAAAATATCATTGGCTGATATCTTGTCTATAAATAATTGCTGGACTTGTTCAAGTGTTGTTGTGACGTCTCGTAATATTTCCTCGGTTATGCCTGAATATCTAGTAACATAGTCGGTGATTTCCTGAGCTGGTTTAACGAATTCATCAAATACAACATTGCCCTCGAAATCAATCAAACTAGCTCGCGTCAATACTTGTTGTGTTCCCGCTTTACAAAACTCACAGTCTATGGCATATATATGTGACTCATCATCTCTAGCAATTGTCTCTCTCCAGGTGTCATCTTTGACAAACATGGGATAGTTATGCAGAATCATATCACGCTCACTCATTAACAAATCATTAATTGTAATTTTATCCTTCTTCAGAGTATCCAAAATTGTCTTTTTCTCGTTCTTAGTTAATGGAATATTGGTGATTGATTGCAATGGCAGGTAAATACTGTCTTTAGAGCCTGGACTGACTGCTCTGATTGCAGTTGGAAATGTTTCATATAAAAACGGCAATTCCGGAACTTGCTTCAATGTGGTAATCGGTATGGTTTGTATTTCTTCTTTGGAATCTTCCTCTATTTCCAATCCAGGAACAATACAGAAGCAAACGGTAGGAATCTTGTCTTGGGCAGTCATGGAAAGCCAAGGCAATTTAGTTCCTAAAGAAACACCAAACGTATAGAGCACTAACAGTCTTAAATTATGGAATGGGAATCTCTTGAATTCAGGTGATTGTTTCTTTACCCCATCAAGATTCAATTCAAGAACAGGTTGTTGTTGAAGTTTCTTCAGTTTCTTCTTGTGTTTACCTCTCTTAGGAGCATTAGCAGTTGACAAGGATTGCACTGAAGATCTTCTTCTCTTTTCATGGCTAATCTTTTTGGAATCATCGTCATCAAAGGAAGTAATAGACACGGCTGAATCTCGTCTGGCATGGGCTCCATTTGTCAATTCATTCTTCAACAATTCCTTCATCTCGAGTCGTGGATTGCTGGCTTCAACATCAACGGCAGCGATTGATAATCGGGCGGTACCTGAACTTAACGAGTCATTAAATTCAGAATCAATACCCATAGTAATTCATGCGTGGTGTTATTTTCGCGTAAACAAAAGGTCTTCTTGTTTAAGGTTTGCAAAGTTCAACAGGAGGGTGCATAAAAGCATATCTGCAAATTTCCGATGTCAAATTTCGATGATTTTTTTGTCTGATCAAAAATGGAAAAATAAGCGTGTCTGCATAAAAAAAAAATTGATTATTACACGAACATAAACTTTATTCAACTATTGAAGGTTGGACTATTTCTTGAAGGAATTCACTAATTGAAATCACTTGCTTGGGAGGGTCTTGTGGCTCAGTGGTACTGGGTTTAGTAGTGCTATTATGCAAGTGAGCGAAAACTCCCAGTAAGTTGGAAGTGTTGCCATGGAAAAAATCATCATAGTGCATATTCAACTGTGCAAGGTTTGATTCTTGACGGATGACATCGTCATTGTTAGACAGGACAATGGACTTTCCTTGAAGTATAATCTTGTTCCAAGAATCCCATGCTTGTGGAATATATATAACAATTGTATCATTACCAACTGAAAAAATTGGTTTTGGTGGAATTTCCAAATTTAGTATGGTTGGTATATTTTTGGCAGTAATAATGGAGCCAATATTACTGGCAGCTATGATGTCTCCGCCGTGCTTCAAAGCTATATACCGTGCTAATTGTAAGTTAAAGATGGTAGCTGGCGACAATTCGTTATCTTTAATTTGATTTGAATCAAACAAGATTGTAACTGGGAACGAAAGAGGCAATTCACATTGTCCCTGAGCTAAAGTAACACTTACCTTGTCACCAGTTGTCTCTGGTTGTAACTCACGAGCAAACTTTTCTAGTTGCTTGATAAACTTTGCTTTCTGTGTTTGCCTATTTCCATCGAATTGGTTGAGGAAATACATTACCTTAGTTAAACTTTCTATGGTGGTAAATTGTATCACTACACTCACATGTGCTAATCGCTTAGCTATCACTGATTTGACATATGATTCGTATTGAAACAAGTTGGTGACTTTGTAAACTTCAATGCTGTCACAACCTTCATATTCAATTGACAGCAAGTCTCCTTCCAAGATCACAACCACTGTTTTCTTCTGTGTGTCTTCCATTTTTTGATGGTTTACTCTTTGGCAGCACTTTCTTTGTTTACATACAAAAATTTACTTGACCTTCTCTTTTCTTACCACCAAAAAAAAAGTTTAACCTTGAGTTCACCACCGGATAGCACACACGACACACAAATAGCAACAATACAACTGTTGTCTATAGGAATACCATCACGTAAATACAGTTAGCCGTAGTTCATCATGGCACCAAGCACAAACGGCTCTTCCAACAATGACGTTTCGGAGAAGCAGTTCAACAAGTATCTCGAATCAGACATACCTGACGATCAAGTGATTGAAAGTATATTCCTGGAACGTAGGACTCAGCATGCTGACGATGCTATTGATTACGAAGATATTGATGAATTGGCTGATGAAGATGAACTTCCTGAAGAAGAACCCAGCAAGAATGTCCTTGACGAAGAGGATGAGGACTTTGATATGTTTTTGGGAGGGGAGGCCGAAGTCAGCAACGAAGAACAGGCGCAGGAAGACGCTGATCGTCAGTTTGACGAGATGTTTGGAGATGCTGACGATCAGCCAGTGGATAATGACGCAGTCAATAACAATCGTCTTTTCAATGACTTGGACAGCGGGCACATTGGAGATGATGATATAAACGACGAATTAAAGGACTTTAATCTAGGAGGAATATTCGAAGAAGAGCAAGAAGTCATTAATCAAAAGCACAAGTTGGAGTTGGAAGAGAAACGGAGATTGAAGAAACAGAAGTTGGAAAAGGTTGTCAAGAAGCTAGAGAAGCAACGACAAAAGTTGAATATCAAGTATCATTATCCAAGTTACAAACGAAATAAACCATTCAATTTCCACTTGTTCTTTTCGCCTGCACCAAAGTATCTCAGATATCATAGTCCTGCTATTGCATCAACCAAAAACTTAAAACCACTAATACCAACCAAACTAAATCTTGAAGTTGATACTGACCAACGGAAAATATTCAAGTCGAGAACCAGTCATCCACAACAACCAAAAAATATAACAAATATAACCACTGCAGATCTTGAATTCGTTTATGAGTTGAAACATAAGAATGAAGTGTCTATCAAGCAAGTTGATTACTTGCAGCGAGATTGGATGAATGATGACAAATTTGATCATTATTCGAAAGATTTGATCTTGTCCACCACTGACTGGAATGACGATGCTATAATAAATGCGGGTGATGCCAAATACAAACTTCGCTCGATTGATATCGAGAGTAATCTCTTGGACACTGAAGCTGCCGAAGAAGAAGAGGAGGAAGATGAAAAGATATTCAATGGTGAAATTGATGATGGTGCTTTCAAACTTGATATGAATGATCCTAACTTGTTATTCATTCCGAAACAAATTGCTGATAAGAAACCAGTCGCACTCGCCGCAACATCTAACTTGGAACTGAAATTCAATATTTCCAATGATAAAGAATATGAAGTTCTTAAGAATAATTACCATATCAAGGTAAGATCGCAGTTGAGTAACTTGAACATTGAACATTCAGTTCCTGCACTTCGTTTGCAAACTCCATATTATAAAGTTAAATTATCATCGGAAGAAGCAAGATCATTCCATAGACCAGTATTCAATATACGTCCTGGTTCTTTAATCAGTTTCTCGAAATTGAAATTAAGAAAGAAAAAGAAGGACCGAGGAAAATCGTTACAACAAGTTTTCAGTAAAACTACTGATCTTACCGCAGCAGATACTGCAAACTTGATAGCTATGGAATATTGTGAGCAGTACCCACAAATATTATCCAACTTCGGTATGGGTTCGAAAATTATTAATTATTATGCCAAGGAAAGACGAGATGATTCGTCGCGCCCTAAGGCACAACTCGGTGAAACTCATGTATTAGGATTAGAAGATAGATCACCATTTTGGAATTTTGGTATAGTTGCCCCAGGAGATTTCGTACCTACATTATACAACAACATGGTCAGAGCTCCCATTTTTAAGCATGAAGGTAAAAACACGGATTTCTTGTTGATCAAATCTCAAGGAGCAGGTTCTCATCAAAAGTTTTATTTGAGAGCCATTAATTTCAATTTTGCCGTGGGTAATACATTCCCGGTGGTAGAAGTACCAGCTCCACATTCAAGAAAGGTTACAAACACTTCAAAGAACAGATTAAAGATGATTGTGTTTAGAGTGATGAACAATAAGGGAATGGCCCGTATTTCCGTCAAGGATGTTTCCAAGCACTTTCCGGATCAAAATGATATGCAAAATAGACAAAGATTAAAGGAATTTATGGAATATCAAAGACAAGGTGATGATCAAGGGTTTTGGAAAATTAAAGGGTCTCATGACCATGTTCCTACTGAAGATGATATCAGATCTATGATTACTCCTGAAGATTCTTCCATGTTGGATACTATGCAGTATGGACAACAGGCTTTGGACGATAAATTGACCTTGTGGGGTGATGATGAAAAGAAAGAAGACGAGAAGAAGAAAGACCATAAGAAGAAAGAAAATGAAGACGACGACGATGATGATGACGAAGGAAAAGATAACAATGAAGGAGAGGAAACTAAAAAGGAAAAGAAGAAATCACGCGATAAAGAAGATGTTGAAATTGACATTGATGAAGAATTGGCTCCTTGGAATCTTTCCAAGAACTTCATCATTGCTAATCAAACCAAATCCATGCTTCAATTGAATGGAGAAGGGGATCCTTCTGGTATTGGTTTAGGTTACTCGTTCTTGCGTTCTACGCAAAAGAATGGGTTTAAACCATTGTTCCCACCACCTCCGGAAAACGTTTCCAAGACTAATACTGCTGCTCACCAACAGAAATTGTATGAGCAAGAAATTAAAAGAATTTGGTATTCTCAACGTGGTTCTTTAGTTGATCATGGCCCTGGGTTCAATTTACAAATGATTTATGATGAATATAAGCCAGTTAATCATGAACAATTTGTTAATTCTAAACTTGAAGCTCAGCAAGATGAACAAAAGATTTTAAGAATCACGAGAAGAATCCGTGATGAGAATGGTATTTTACAAAGACGAGTGGAAACCTTGACTGATCCTAGATTAATTAAAGCATATGTTAAACGCAAGAAGCAAATTGAAGATGAATTGTTAAAGAATGCTGATGTTGGAGATATCTTACCTACAACCGATAAGGAATTGAACAAGCTTCGTAGAAAGGCATTGCAAGAAAAATTAGCGACTTTGGAAAAGAGAGCTAAGCAAAGCAAGGCCAAGAAACCGCCTAAGGATCTGATTCATGCCGCTGCAGCTGCCGGAGGTACGATTATTGATGCCAACACAGTGATGTTGCCAGATGGTTCGTATGCAATTGGTGGGAAAGGTATTGGTAAGGGTAAGAGTAGAACTCGTCGTTGTGCATCCTGTGGTGCATTTGGGCATATTAAAACCAACAAGACTTGTCCATTGTACAGTCAAATGATTGCCGGTACTTTACCACCAAAGAATGGGAAAGGTGCGCCTCCTCCGGCCACTACTCCAAATGCTGGATCTGTTGGTGCTAGTGCAACTCCTCCTTCGAACGCTTCTCCTTCGACTGTAGTATAAAATAGTTACTGTGTAATAATAATAATTGTATTATATTATATTAACAGAGATGTAAGTAGAATATTGGTAGAATATTGGTAGAATATTGGTAGAGTATTGGTAGAGTATTGGTAAAACATTGGTAAAATATTGGTAAAATATTGATAAAATATTGTTGAATTTGTTCAAGAGTTATACTAAAAATAGCAACAATCGATTCGTATACCTTATTTCAATTTTACGCTAAAATCAATGCTACCACAGTAGGTTAGCACCCACCACTATAACCATTCAAATCAAAGTTTGATCCAACAACTATGTTTGCAAAGCAGCCAAAGGGCCATCATACCTATCGCTACCAAATAGCAAAACGTCGTGCACCTGTAGTCAAAAGCGTGCACTTACCAATCAATTTTCAATAAAAAAAAGAAAATTTTTTTTGGTCTCCTTTTTCCACCCAACGGAAAAAACTACCACTTTGTCTAAAAAGCAGCCAATAGTATCCAATACTTGCTTGTAACGAAATTTGAACATACAAAAGAAACATCAATCCGTTTAGTTTCCTTTAGATAGAGAATTAGAAAATACTAAAAAAAACCAACACCAAACCGAAATTGATCAATTATTTTTTTTTTTTGTTCACGATTTCAAACCTACTTTAGACAACCCCACTTTAAAGTGAACAACGAAATCCAAACATCCAATATATATTTAAAGGATTTCCGCAATCAACTTAGAAAGAATATAAATCTAATTTTGTATTATAATCATATCACGTCATGTCTGATCAAAACTGGAAACAAAATTTAAACCTTCCTGCCAAGGACACTAGACCTCAAACTGAAGATGTTTTAAACACCAAGGGTAAATCATTTGAAGATTTCAACTTAAAACGAGAATTATTAATGGGTATTTTTGAAGCTGGGTTTGAAAAGCCTTCGCCTATCCAAGAAGAATCTATTCCTATGGCATTAGCTGGTCGTGATATTCTTGCTCGAGCCAAGAATGGAACTGGGAAAACTGCATCATTTGTTATTCCATGTTTACAACAAGTCAAGCCTAAAGTGTCCAAGATTCAAGCATTGATTTTAGTTCCAACTAGAGAATTAGCATTACAAACATCCCAAGTAGTTAGAACCTTGGGTAAACATTTAGCTATACAATGTATGGTTACCACTGGTGGTACTTCGTTAAGAGATGATATTGTTAGATTGAACGATCCTGTTCACGTGTTGGTGGGAACACCAGGGAGAGTTTTAGATTTAGCCGCCAGAAAAGTTGTTGATTTATCAGAATGTCCTGTTTTTGTCATGGACGAAGCTGATAAGATGTTATCACGAGAATTTAAGGGGATAATTGAACAAATTTTAGAGTTTTTCCCTCCAAATAGACAAGCATTATTATTCTCCGCTACATTCCCATTAGCCGTCAAATCGTTTATGGATAAACATTTGCACAAACCTTATGAAATCAATTTGATGGATGAGTTGACTTTAAGAGGTATTTCCCAATTCTATGCCTTTGTTGAAGAAAAGCAAAAATTACACTGTTTGAACACATTGTTTAGCAAATTGCAAATTAACCAATCGATTATTTTCTGTAATTCTACCAACAGAGTGGAATTATTAGCGAAGAAGATTACCGAATTGGGTTACTCATGTTACTATTCTCATGCGAAAATGCCCCAACAAGCCAGAAATAAAGTTTTCCATGAATTTAGACAAGGTAAAGTAAGGAATTTAGTTTGTTCCGATTTATTAACCAGAGGTATTGATATTCAAGCCGTTAATGTGGTTATTAATTTTGATTTCCCCAAGACAGCCGAAACTTATTTGCACAGAATTGGTAGATCAGGGAGATTTGGTCACTTAGGGTTGGCCATTAACTTGATGAGTTGGAATGACCGATATTCATTGTATAAGATTGAGCAAGAATTAGGTACTGAAATCAAGCCAATTCCTGCTACAATCGATAAGAAGTTATATGTTGCTGAAAATGAAGATGCAGTTCCAAGACCATTTAGAATTGAAGAATTACCAAAGGGTAATACTACTATCCATGGTAAAGCAGGGTATGAATATAAGGGACAACCAGAAGTTACCCAACAAGCTGCTCACCCTCAACAACCACCACACCCACAACAGCAGCAACAGCCACCTCAATTTGCAGGTCAATATCCACCTGGTGTACCACCACCACAACAATTCAACGGATATCCGTACCAACAGCCACAATATGCCCCAGGATATCCCCAACAGTTCAACAATGGGCAATTTCAACAACCACAATCTCAACAACAACAACAACAGCAACCACCGGCCCAACAATATTAAGAGATGCCATGTCCAGCACCATAGTCACATTTTAATGAATTCTTTGTTTGATTTTTTTGTTCTTAATGATTTACTTGTTTATTTGTGTTTTTTGATTATTATGATTAGAAGGTTTGTTAAATGACTATGTGTGAAGTGTAAGGTTGTGAGATGTTTTGAAAATATAAGGAGAGGAGGGTTTACGATTAGAAGTAACGAGATGAGGTGTTTATACGTGGTGAACATTGCGAAGTTAGATGAGGTAAGTATGATGGAGAGTTGAGAATATCAGAGGAGACGGATGACGATGCAGTTGAGTGGTGTATTATGAAGTAAGATGAAAGAAATTGAAAAAAAAAATATGTGAAGATTAAAAGAATATGAAGAAGATTTAAAGGGACAATTAAAGTTCCCAAACTGAAACAAAAATGACTAAGAAATGATAGTGTAAATGAAAGTCATTGTGAATAAAAGTGAATTGAAATGGTCTATAAAGATGTTGAAAATGAATAGAATGTGAAGGAAAGGTTATATAGTGTAGTTCCTACATGTATATAATTGAGTGCAACATCTTTTGAAATTAGCATATGTAGTCCAGCGCACGACTCTTGTGATAAGTAGTTTTGTACGATGTTACACAAATTATAGATAATTAACGTAATGTGACTCCGGTAAATGATTGTGAAATTGAGAGGCAACTGACTCGTGCATTTGTCGATTACTGTAATATACATCATTTAATGGTTAGTTTGTTTATTAGCTAATTATTCGAGTGAACAAGTAGGTGTAAGTAGTACCCGCCTCACTAGTTACTGCATCTGGGACCATCGGGGAAAAGCAATTTCGGGTAAATTTTCAGCATTTGTAAAAATTTTTCTTTTTTTTTTTTATTAGTCAAGCAGTCTCTCTCCATAATTTTTTTCTCATCTCTCTTTGTCAAGATCTGGATTTACTTTCTTTCTTCTTCTTCTTCTTTTAAGATTTCAATATCTTCAACGAGTTCAAGGTACTTGACATCTCTCAAGTTATTCATTCATTTGTCTATTTTCAACAATTAAAAACAACAGTTCACCATGTGTGGTATTTTAGGTGTAGTGGTTGCTGACCAACGCAAGAATGTTGCCAGTGAATTATTCGAAGGTGCCATGTTCTTACAACACAGAGGCCAAGACGCCGCTGGGATAGTCACCAGTGGTCCAAAGGGTAGATTCTACCAATGTAAAGGTAACGGTATGGCCCGTGACGTCTTTACCCAACTGAGAATGAACAACCTTATTGGTAACATGGGTATCTGTCATTTACGTTACCCAACCGCTGGTTCCTCTGCCGGTAGTGAGGCCCAACCTTTCTACGTTAATTCTCCTTATGGTATCACTTTGAGTCACAACGGTAACTTGGTTAACTCCAACGAATTAAGAGAATATTTGGATGAAGTTGTTCACCGTCATATCAACACTGACTCTGATTCGGAATTGTTAATTAACATTTTCGCTGCTGAATTAGACAAGTTTAACAAATCCCGTGTTAACAATGGTGACTTGTTCTCCGCATTGACCGGAACCATGGACATGATCAGAGGGGCCTACGCTTGTGTTGCCATGTTGGCTGGATATGGTATTATTGGGTTCCGTGACCCAAACGGTATTAGACCTTTATTATATGGGGAAAGAACTAACAAAAATGGAACCACCGATTACATGTTGGCTTCTGAATCAGTGGTCTTAAAGGCTCATGGATTTGACAAGTTCCGTGATATTAAGCCGGGTGAAGCGGTTATCATCACCAAGGACGGTGCTAAGCCAGAATTCCGTCAAGTTATGGCTCCAAAAATTTTCGCACCTGATATTTTCGAATATGTTTATTTCGCCAGACCAGATTCTGTCTTGGATGGTGTTTCCGTATATAGGTCCAGAATTGACATGGGGGTCAAGTTGGCTGAGAAAATTCAAAGATCATTATCTGCCGATGAAAAAATCGATGTGGTTATTCCAGTTCCTGACACTGCCCGTACTTCTGCCTTCCAATGTTCCGTATCATTAAATGTTCCATACAGAGAAGGGTTCGTTAAGAACAGATATGTTGGAAGAACCTTCATTATGCCTGATCAACAAGAACGTAGATCATCCGTGAGAAGAAAATTGAACGCCATGGACTCCGAGTTCCAAGGCAGAAACGTCTTGTTAGTTGATGATTCTATTGTTAGAGGTACCACCTCCAAGGAAATCGTAGCCATGGCTAGAGAAGCTGGTGCCAAGAAGGTTTTCTTTGCTTCTTGTGCCCCACCAATTAGATTCAACCACATTTACGGTATAGATTTGGCTGACACTAAGGCATTGGTTGGTTTCAACCGTGATGAAGATGAAATCGCCAGTGTTATTGGTGCCGATAAGGTTATTTATCAAGACTTGGAAGATTTAATTGACTGTTGTAAGCGTGATGAAATACAAGAATTTGAAGTCGGGGTATTTAATGGGAAGTATGTTACTGGTATTGAAGATAACTATATTCAAGAATTGGAAAAAGTTAGAGCTCAAAATCAAAGAATGAAGGAGTATAGAGCCAGAGGTATGAGTTTGGATACTAATGTTGATCAAGAATTTGTTGATGTTAAGCCTGATGTTGATATTAGTATTCACAACAGTGGGGATTATAATGAATAGGTAAGTATGATATAGACTATGTAATTAACAATATGTACACTTTGCATTACTTGTATATTATATTTTGTTGTATAGAGAGAAAAGTGGCTTTTAGCGAGGCAGGGAGTGAGTGAGTGAGTGATATCTTGTTGCCGGACCAACCCAAATTTGCCCTTATCTTCATGGGGTGAACCTGGTAGAATATACCTCTCCTCCCCCGCCTTACTCCCTAATTTCATTATTAAGAGATAACAGGGTGTAGATGTTCTAGAAGTTCAAAAATTTCAGTTGCTTAACCTAAGGCGTGAATCGTATCAGAAAGGAATCATCGATTGTTGTGTATCTTAATAATAAACTTTAGATCCCACAACAATAGAAAAACACCACAACAACGCGTGCGTGTAAAGATAACACAACGTGTGTTGATATAAGCCAGAGACTTCCACAAAGATATACGAGGGTGGGTACCCCATTAGAAGTTTATTTGGTGTGTTACACACATGTATTAGGTTGCCCCACTTCACGTCTTAAAGTTAAGATTAAGATTTAGAGTATCTAACGTTTGTCTAATATGGACGCGATCTTCAAACATGTTGAATGCCACATTTAAATTGCAACCTGAGACACGCCAACTGAAAACGGCCCAAGTTTTACTGTTTTTGACAGCAACAATAAGATTGTCTCTACTAACCTGTAAAATTACCTAATGAGCTACAAAACCGTTGACAATAAAAGTGTTAGGAACAATGTGGAAGTTGCTAACCTAAAGGTTCACCCTGTAAAAAAAAAGCTGTTAGGATCAGAGAAACGATATAACGGCCACATTTGGCAGGCATCACACACTAGCCACTTGTGGTTATTTCGATTACCGTTTTCTGGTTCTATGCACAACTTCTAATAATAGAGCAACCTTCTCCCGGTCGTATTTCACAAAACAGTAAAAAAATAATTATAGCCAATTTTACAGGTTGATTTAAAATTCCAAAAATATTCACCAGGCAGACATACACACACAAAAATAAACAATGCACCAGACACAAAAAATAAAAAGAAATGTTGACACACACGTACAATTTTTTTTTTTTCTTCACTTTATTTAAATTTTTGCCAATTCCCATCCCAACTTTTCTCTTCTTGAATGGGACTTCTCCTGGCCTACTTAATTGGACAAGCACTTTACTTAATCAGAAGGAAATATAGAACCAGCGTCGTCATGGAAAAGTCAAGCTCTCCTCAACCAGGCCAATCTTTGGCATCATCAATCTCCAATTCAGGACCAATCTCCATTCTTGCATACTGTTTATCATCCATCTTGATGACAGTCACCAATAAATACGTCTTGTCTGGATTCAGTTTCAACTTGAACTTCTTCCTTTTGGCCGTGCAATCCATCGTTTGTATCGTCACCATTGGATCTTTAAAATCAGTCGGTATCATCACTTATAGACAATTCAACAAGGACGAAGCTAAGAAATGGTCTCCAATTGCCTTTTTGTTGGTTGCCATGATTTACACCGGTTCCAAGGCTATTCAATACTTAAGTATTCCTGTATATACCATTTTCAAGAACTTGACTATTATCTTGATTGCTTACGGTGAAGTTTTGTGGTTTGGTGGTAAGGTTACCAGCATGGCCTTGAGTTCCTTCTTACTTATGGTTTTCTCCTCCATGATTGCTTACTACGGTGACAACGCTGCAGTTAGAAGTCAAGACGATGAATTCACTTTATACCTCGGATACTTCTGGATGCTTGTCAACTGTTTTGCTTCCGCATCCTTTGTTTTAATTATGAGAAAGAGAATCAAGTTGACCAACTTCAAGGATTTCGATACCATGTACTACAACAACTTATTGGCTATTCCAATTTTGTTGATCTCCTCATTAGTTTTCGAAGATTGGTCCTCTGAAAACATCGCCGTCAACTTCCCAAGTGACAACAGAGTTACTACTATTTCCGCCATGATTCTTTCTGGTGTTTCCTCCGTTGGTATCTCATATTGTTCCGCCTGGTGTGTTAGAGTTACTTCCTCAACCACCTATTCTATGGTGGGTGCATTGAACAAGTTGCCAATTGCCTTGACTGGTTTGATCTTCTTTGATGCCGTTGTCAATTTCTGGTCCGTCAGTTCCATCTTTGTTGGATTCATTGCCGGTTTAGTTTACGCTATTGCCAAGCAAAAGCAACAAAGAGAACAACAATCTTTACCAGGTAAATAGAGAGTTGACTTAGAATATTTTGATAGAATAGTTTTTGTATATTATTTACACAATACAATAGAAATTTAAAACTAGTACCCCATGGCTGGAAATTTTTGATGCTTGATTTTCCAAGTTTTTAGCTTATTTAAAGAAGTTTTGCACTATTAAGGAAGCTGCGAAAAATAGGAAGGTGTAAATACAATAGCTACAAAAACATTAGCGTAACTCCTTAAAGAAAGACAAATATGCCCAAAGTAGATTGAAGTTGGATCAACCACGACAGAATAACATGATGTTAAGCTTACCCGATGAACTTATTAAATACATTTTCAGCTTCTTGAATCAATTTCAAATCAATGCATTAACATTAGTCAACAAAAAACTCAATGCTTTAGCCACCCCAACGCTATATCATTCGGTGTTGGTTTCGATGTCCTGTTCCCCAGTGTTAGTGACTAGTACCCTTCACTTGCCCTTTTATCTAAACCGCACAATCATTACCACTAGTAGCGCTTTCGAAAGACTATGTGCATCACCAAACATAAGCTTGATTAAATATTTTGTGGTACATGAGACTAGTCTGCAATTAAACGACCATTCACCTACGAAAAGGGTAGGTTTGCTAAGCAGAGGTACAAAGGTAATTAAGATGTTGTATCTTGAACATCTTGCCGAGTATAGGCGGAACCTATCTGAAATTATTTTACAGATAAGCGGGCTGGATCTTGACAAACAGAATGTCCAAGCTATATTTGCCCCATTTCAGATCTCAGAGGATAATTTCACCATAGAGACTTTATTTATGTATCCTCAACTTATACCAAGACAATATAGAGTAAGCATTAATCGCTTGAAATCTCTACAGAGAGTGGTTCTATATGATTATAGGCCTTCGCAACTAGCGACAGCTCTCCAAGCGCAAGGGGTAGAGAACTTGAAAATCAAAGAATTGCAAATTTTCACTACCCTTGCTAAAAATGATACTACTGGTTTGGAATACTTGAAAGATCACTTTGATTTGGAATACATTACCTTGTTGGAGTTACTAGTAAAAATTCCACGAGTTACCAAGACATTGAAAAAGAAATTCAGAAGGTTGTTTTCTCAAATGGTGAATGTCAAACACTTATTTTTATCACGAGATATCGTTCAAATTGAAAATATCATGGACCAAATCCAACCGAATACAATTGAAACATTTGCAACTACATTTTGCACCTTTGCTGAAGTCCAATATGCTTTACGAAATCAGGAGAACTCAGTGGTGACTATTATACGAGATGATGATTCGAAAATTGGCTGTATCAAAGGGCCATTTCGCTTTGTGTTCTGCAGGGTGTTGGCAATGACAAAGGAAAATTCTGCATTCGTTAAATCGATTCAAGAAAATGGAAAAAGATACCCCAAGTTGAAAGGAATAATTGCTGATATGTGCTATTACACCATTGAAAGGAACGGATCAGATACTGGCCTAAAACTAAAACGTATCAGTTGAATAAGGTGTTTAATATCCGATTTTAAGCTTTCCCTAAATTGAATATATATAGTATTACTTTCTACTAGTTCTCGAAACCTAAATTCTTTCTAGTCTAAATAATACTGACTTCTACACATAAATTGCCTGCGCACAGTGGGGGGTTGACAAGCCTGAGAATCAAAAACTTGGCCATCGATGTTTTGTATGAGGTACAAGACACTTCCTACTTGGATAAACTGAGCGAGCACTTTGATTTGGAAAGTAACTTTTACTTTCCAATTTCCTGTGAATGTTGTCTATCCGAACTTCCGGGAGCTCAGAGAAGCACATTCAACTGTTGTTTTATCGATTTTACAAATATCAGGAATCTATTTCTGCTAGAGAGTGTTGTTAAGATTGACAATATCATGGATGAATTTGAATCGATTTACCATTGAGTATTTTGCAACTGGCTATGTAGCTTCAAGCTGTGAATTTGGGAAATTAGTTAAAAATCAAACAGAGTCAATTTTGGCGTTTAATCTCGGTTACAGCTGATATTTTACGGATGTTAAAGAGCTATTTGGAAAAGTGATTGACGCTTCAAGAACCTGGACAAAGCAAGAAGTGGACTTTATTGCCAGACTTAAACAGAGTGGAGGTCAATATCCCAGATTGCAAAAGATTAATGCTTGATAATTGGCATTACATTATATATAGGGAAATGAGACAGTATAGACATAATAGGTATAAATTAGAACAATACTAGTGAATATTGTCTTATGAGCCTTTGTCGGTCCAAATGTAAACACCGAGAATGGCTAAAAAAGAATGGCGTGTCGCACAAGTTGCTTGCATTGTTGCTCTTTTTTTTGTGCGAGCAATCCCCACGTTACCAAGCATAAACGAAACCACGTAAACCTTTTTTCCCCTTGTAGATGTATCCCTTGTTTCTTTGCCACAAGTTTATAAACCATAAACTAACAAACCATACAAGACAACATGGAGAAACCTCAACTAGGACACGATTCACTAGGCCACCGGATTTCCAACTCCGGACCTATATCAATCCTTGCGTATTGCTTATCGTCAATTTTGATGACGGTAACTAATAAATATGTGCTTTCTGGATTTAGTTTTAATTTGAATTTCTTTCTATTGGCGGTACAATGTTTTGTATGTATTGTTACGATCGGAACTTTGAAGGTCAGTGGGATAATTACCTATCGAAACTTCAACTTGGATGAAGCTAGGAAATGGTCTCCTATTGCCGTTTTGTTAGTGGCTATGATATACACCGGGTCCAAGGCTATTCAATATTTGAGTATTCCAGTGTATACGATTTTTAAGAATTTGACAATTATTTTGATTGCATATGGTGAAGTCTTGTGGTTCGGCGGCAAGGTCACTGCCATGGCGTTGAGTTCTTTCTTACTTATGGTTTTCTCGTCAGTTATTGCCTATTATGGAGACAATGTTGAAGTCCAGACAGAAACAGATGCATTTACCTTGTATAGAGGGTATATTTGGATGTTTGTCAACTGTTTTGCGTCCGCTTCGTTTGTGTTGATTATGAGAAAGAGAATCAAGTTGACTAATTTCAAGGACTTTGATACAATGTACTATAACAACTTGTTGGCTATTCCTATTTTATTGGTTGCTTCGTTATTGCTTGAAGATTGGTCTCCAGCTAATTTGGAAGTGAATTTCCCTAGTGATAATAGAGCAACTACGGTTGCAGCCATGGTTCTTTCTGGTGTTTCCTCCGTGGGTATCTCATATTGTTCCGCCTGGTGTGTTCGAGTTACTTCCTCAACCACCTATTCTATGGTGGGTGCATTGAACAAGTTGCCGATTGCATTAACTGGTTTAGTATTTTTTGATGCTGCGATCAACTTTTGGTCTGTGAGTTCGATCTTTGTCGGGTTTGCTGCAGGGTTAGTTTATGCTACTGCCAAGCAAAGACAAATAAAGGAGGAACAAGCTACATTGCCAAGTCATACCAAGTAGATGTTTATACTAATAGACGTAAGAGCTTCTCTCAAGCAAACCACACCATGTATTGACTATTAAATTGTTAGTGATGTGCTACCAAGTACTGTGTTTTTCCCAGCCACGACCTTTGTTGGGGGAGCCTCAACAAAAAGAACATCGTAGAAATTTATTGAAGAAAAGATTTCAGGTTCCTTTTTTTGGTTGTCAAAACAAAGATCCACGCCAAACCAAGCCAATTCCATTCTGACATGGCTGACAATTCGTTAGAATCAATCCCTACATACTTGGAACAATCTCTTTCACCACAGTATGCCAAGCAGGCAGAGAAATTGTTAAGGTCGATTGAAAATCAACCAGGGTTTGCCATTAATTTACTACATGTAATTGCATCTACCAACCTACCACAAGCTGTTCGACTTGCCGGAGCCGTTTTCCTTAAGAATTTAGTCAGACGAAAATGGATTGATGAAGATGGTTCCAATTACCTACTTCCGTTGGAAGACGTCACCGCGATCAAACGTGAGATCATTGATGTCATGATCAAGTTACCCCTGTCTTTGCAGGTTCAGTTGGGCGAGACTATAAGTCTTATTGCCGAAAGTGATTTCCCCCATAACTGGGCCGACTTGATTGACAATTTAGTGGTGAAGTTTTCCATGACCGATTTTGTCAACAACAAGGCGATCTTATTGGTGGCCCATTCAATTTTCAAGAAGTGGAGACCGTTGTTCCCCTCAAACGAGTTGTTCTCGGAGATTAAATTGGTGTTGGAAAAGTTTGCCCCCACGTTCTTACAATTGGTTATTGAACTTGATCGATTAATCGACGGGGCAGGAAGTAACAAGGCACAGTTGGATATTTATTTCGATAATTTATTATTGTTGATGCAGATATACTATGACTTCAATAGTCAAGAAATCCCCGAGTTTTTCGAAGATAACATGGTTCAATTGATGAATGTCGTTCACAAGTACTTGATTTATACCAATCCGTTACTAATTGATAACGAAGGTAATGACGATGAAATTGAAGTGTTAATCAAGGTCAAGACTTCCATCATTGAATTGATTCTGCTTTATGTCATCAGATACGCCGATGTATTCGAACCATTGATTCAAACATTCATTACGTCCGTTTGGGAATTAGTCAATACTTTTGTTACAAAACAACCAAAGTTTGATTTACTTGTAGTTAAATCTTTGCAATTTCTCACTGCCATCATCAAGATTGAAAACTATCAAAACATTTTCCAAAATGAGACATCCATTAACGAAATTATTGAAAAGATTATCTTGCCTAATATCTACTTTAGAGAAAATGATCAAGAAACATTTGAAGATGAACCATTACATTATATAAGATCAGATTTGGAAGGGTCCGATTTCGATTCAAGAAGAAAAAGTTCCACTGATTTCTTGCGAGAATTGAAGGAATTGAATAGTGAGTTGTTAACCAACTCAGTAATGAAGTATGTCAATCAATTTTTGAATACCCTGTCAGCAGATTGGAGAAATAAGGATACCGCCATTTACTTATTTAGTTCATTGGCTACGAAGGGAGCAATCACCACTATTGGTGTTACTTCAACCAACACTTTGGTTGATGTTGTGAAGTTCTTCACCGATAATATTGCTCAAGATTTAATAGAACAATCCACCCATCCAATTTTACAAGTCGATGCCATCAAGTATATCTATACATTCAGAAACCAATTAACTAAGGATCAATTACTTGGTATATTACCACGATTAATCACTCATTTGAATGCAAAGTATAACCCCGTGGTTTACACATATGCTGCTATAACCATTGAAAAGTTACTCACTATGACTGACTTTACTAGTCATGAACAAGTAATCAACAAGCATGACATCAAACCATATGTTAATGATGTGTTGACTGAATTATTCCAACTTATATTAATGAATAACTCATCTCCAGAAAAGTTGGCCGAAAATGAGTTCTTGATGAAATGTCTTGTTAGTATTTTACACACTTCTGAAGAAACTTTGACTACCCGACAAGCAATTATTCAACAATTGTTGCAAATTTTACAAATCACCGCCAAAAACCCTTCCAATCCAAAGTTTTCTCATTATATCTTTGAATCTTTAGGTTTGTTGGTGAAATATGGCGATGATATTCCTCAATACATGGATTTAATCATTCCCTCACTATTAGAAATCCTCGCTGAAGATGTTCAAGAATTTGTTCCATACACATTACAAATCCTAGCCTACTTGCTTGAAAACTACAAGTCTAGTGCATTACCAGCTACATATGCCAATCTTGTTGAACCATTACTTTCACCTTCCGTGTGGGCATACAGGGGAAACATCCCAGGTATCACGCGATTATTAATTGCCATAATAAACCATGATGCAAGTTTATTTGTTGCTCAAGGGGATTCCAGTTTATTGCCTTTGTTGGGAGTATTCCAAAAATTGATTGCTTCCAAGGTTAATGATGGGTATGGATTTGATTTGCTTGAGCTGATATTGTTGAATATTCCAATTGAGAAATTACAAGCGCATTTAAATACAGTGGTTACTTTGTTGTTGAGAAGATTGAGTGATTCAAGAACTGACAAGTTTGTCAAGCGGTTTGTAGTGTTTATCGCCGGATTAGCAGTGACGCCAGCAAACATTACAAAGTATCCAAACAGTAATGTTGTCAATGGAGATTTTGTGGTGAGATTATTGGATTCTGTACAACAAGGAGTTTTTGCTCAGATCTATCAATCATTCATATTAACTACTTCAGGAACATTGGGAAATTTGCAAGATAAAAAGATTGTCAATATTGGATTGTCTTTCTTTGTAACGTGCCCTATTTTCCAACAGCAATATGGAACACTCGTTCCTGCTACAATTGAACAGTTAATGGCTAATTTGAAAGAGTACCTGAGTGTTTCTAAAGACGGAAATGTAGTTCCTACCTCAACTGCACCTTTGAGTGAATTGGATTTGAATTTGTCCAGTTTTGGATCACATTTCTCCAAGATTGTTTCCATTAGTTTGGGTAAGTTTGATCCGGTTGTGCAACTCAAAAATAACGATTTTGAACTGATTAAATTGGTTATCGGTGAGAACTTAAAGAAGGTTCCTGGATCTTATTTGAATATGTTGAGTGCTGAAAGTCAAAGTTTGTTAAAGGGAATGGTGTAAAGTTAACATTTTGTATAGAAATATATAATACATTAAAACTAAAGTCTAAAGTTACGCATAGTTATTGAGTAGTGGTGGTTTCGTTTGAACCATTCAGAGGTATCTCATCCTCGTTCTTTTCCTGTTTAGCGTCTTCGCTATTCTCGTGCTTGGTCTCTTTTTCATTCAACTCCTGCAACTTTTCCAACCGTTCCTTTTCTGCGATTTCGGCAGCGGTCAAAAACCTCCCACCTTGACCTCTTGGTCTTCTCATGGCGTGCTTATGTCGTGACTCGTGCAAGTAAGGCTTCCTCTTTCTAGCGATCTTCAAGTTCTCCTCCAACTTAGCCCGAGCTATACGTCTCTTCAAAATGCGATGGTATTGTTTGGCATTGACATAGAATGGCTGTTCGACAGTCTCGGTTTCTGGTTCTGGTTCTGGTTGTTCTTGCTGATAGTAGTATGCTTCCTGTTGGGGAGATTGTGCCAGTTGTTGTTGTTGTTGTTGTGGAGGAGGAGGAGGAACGGAATCATAGTAAGGGGTAGTTGATGTGGATGATGGTGTGTGACTGGGCTCGTGCGGTGCTGTAGCAGTAGGTGATAATTGATTGTTATTGTAATATGTGGGACTTTGGTGGGGATTATTATCGTAGTATGGCTCGTTCACTTTCTGTAATGATGTCATGGTTGACTAGTAATATGAATTATTTATTGTAATTATGGGATATGTTTAGGGTTTTTGGGGGTTAAAATTTCACGTAGGAATGTTAACATTTGAAAAAAAAAACAACCAAGGGACAAAGTAAAAAAAAAAAACAATAAAAAGATTATTTCCGGACTGGCATTTCCGATGGTCGGAATTATTAAGAAATAATTTCTTAATCTTACGATCTACGTTGTAAACGTTATTTTATGGTCTAACTAAGCATTTGCGGTATGACCAACTCGTATATATACATCGTGGGTGTCGGTTGTGTTGACTACTAGCTCTAATTGTGCATTAGCTAGGGTAGCGATTTACGGAAACCGATCGGTTGAACCACAGGCATATTCTAATGTATTGTGCTTGTGTGACTCATTTGTTTCACTGGCATGATCTAGCTTGGGTAAGACCTCGAACATCCATATTATATAGTCCTTTAGCAGAATTTTCGAGTTCTTTTTTTTTTTGTTTCTTTATTTTCTTTGGGAGTATAGGAGTTTGATAAAATTTTTGGTTCTGCATTCACATTATATATCTGGAGTTGTGCCTGTCACATCATTCATTCTATTGAAATTTAGGTCAAGAAAAGGATCCTCTATAAATGGGCTGAGTGTGGAATCCCCGGGATCAACTGTAGGGCTATATGTTAGTGTCTCAGAGTTATAAGGTACTTTACTATCATATGCACTAGGCTGCTGTTCATCAACTATATCCTGCTGCATCGCTATCCGTTGTAGATAATACTTGTTATTATTTTTCCAAGGCTTACTAATTTTGATATTCTCCCCCGAATGTATTCGTGGCACAACTTCTTTATCATGTCGTATTGATTTCTCTATTATTATATCCGATTCTTCATCCAACGACTTATACTCCTCCTCTCTATCAATTGTCTTATACCCTCGCCTATCCTGATCAACATATTTTACCTGTTCGATCTTCTTATGAATCTCATGAGTCAACGGTGGCCAATTACACTCCAACCCCTTGGCTTGACAATTATGACAAACAGGATACGAAGTTTCATCGCACTTCTTTTTACGTTTGCGACACGTGAAGCAACCGGTCCGTGATCTTGTCTTCTTGGGCGTGTCCATGATTGTGGTGGTGGTGTGGTTAGTATCTACCCAATTAGGTAATTTGATTTTTTTAACCGCGCTTGAACTTATAACGAAAATTCACTGGATAGAAAAATTTTCGTTTGATTTTCGTTTTCACTAAGGAGGGGTAGTTGCGTGGAATGTGCCGAATTTTTATTCGTATGAATTTATAAATTGTTAACAAGATGGTATATGCTTTTAATCATGGAGGAATCGGCCAACTGAAGTAGATTAATCAATGCACAGTGACTAATTCTCGACAGGCTCTCACTCTTTGTCGCGACAGAAGATGTGTGTCTCACAATTTTCATTTTGGCTTCCACACCTGCATATAATCTGTTGGTTGTCCAAAAGAATGAGTTTACGGTATAACAAGCTTGAATTATATTAAATACAGAAGGAGATGTCTTGTAACGCTTTTTGAACAGTGATTGGTATATAACCAAGACTGAACTTTGGATGTCGCCCCAATTTACTACTGTATCTTGAACTGGCGTGTCGTAACATCCTGCATATAACACACGGGACTTACTGAGTTGTTGTCAAAAGCGTTGATATTTTTCCTACACTGGTACAGCATTTTTACAACCAACTAGCAACTCACCCCTCCATGAGCAGTATAACTATGTCCAGCGAGGACGTAGCATCAATTGATGAGATGTTCATTCGTCTACCTATCGCGCAAATCAAACAACTCTCCCACGAGTACAATGTCAAAATTGCCCAAACCAAAGAAGACTTACACACATTAGTTGGCAACAAGTATCGAGATTTGATTAAGATTGCTGAGGATATTGACTCAATGTATAGCATAAGTCAGGCCTCTGACGTCCAAATCTCCAATTTGTCGTACAAACCAGCGAAGTTTGTCTCTTTTACTCATGACAATTACTCTAAGTTTGATTCCATGATTAGGAAAGACCTGGCTCAAGAAGCAAGATTGAATTCGCGGGCTATTGTCGTAAGGAATATCATCAACAAGAAATTGGCCAAGTTGGATTATAAGATTAGATCAGGCGGTAGTCCCTTGATTCATACATCGAATTTTATCTATTACGCAAAGGTGTATTACACTATTGAGAAGTCGTTTGGGGATGTCTTGGAAAATAACAAGTCCATAAATAGTCAGTTTACTACCATGAAAGATAAATTTAAACTGTACTTGGAATCAGAGTTATCTTGTTACAATTTAACCGATTCGATTGTTCGTTCAACAAACAATGACAAGTTTAGGTTCAGTCAAAGACTAACTTTGAAGGAATTGACTACAAATGTATTACAAGATGATTATATCGACGAAGAGCTTGAAGAAGAAGAATTAGAGGAGGATGAAGATAAATTTGAGAATTACGAATTGGTCAATTCCAAAATCGAATCGTACGATTTGCATACGTTACCCATTAACAATTACCTCATAAGTTTAACGATATTACTCCAGACTTCATTTGAAGAGATAGTTTCTTCATTCATCGACATCAGATTTAAGTTCTTGCAAGACTTGATTGAACAAGTAAGAAGCAACTCCCCTGAAAAGATTAACTTCTTTAAAATTTTCAAATATATTGAAAATACCATTTGTTATATACAAGGTTATTTCAAGAGTGGAACCAGTGATTATTTTGTAGGATTGGATTCAGTTAGAACTCCTTGGAAGGCGTCTAATTTGACAGGTCATAGAAGCTGGTTTGATGATACAACAATCCGTTTCAACTTGGAAGGATATAAACCGATCACCACCAGCGTCGAATTAAGTCAGTTTCCAACTCTTGTATTTGACATGATCAATGAATTATTAACTCAAGAAGAGACTGTATCAGGAGTAACTAACTTATCATCAACCATATTCATGTTTCATAATATTATGTTGAGTCTTGCTAAATTACAAGATTCTATTGAATTGTCAGGATCTACCTCGAACTTAATCACCATGATATCAAGCACAGACCTTTTACCAAACTTGTTATCCCAAGTCATATTCAAAATCAGTGATTCATTCGACATGCACATTTCTCAATTGAACAGTAGCATCTTTGATATAATTAAAGAACAATTACAATCTCAAACTGGACAATCCCAGCATAAGATGTTCACTAATGAATTAGTCAATATAATGGATGATAACATTGATGAATACATGAAGATAATCACCGACACGGTGTCTTCGTCAAGTGAAGATGCGGGAGGATTAGTGTATTCTTGGTTTGACGAGTACACAAACTACACTACGCTCGTTTCTACTGAACAATCCGTATCTAAACTAGATATTATTAATTGTATTTCCCATTTGAGCCATACTTTTAAACATATCAACTGGGGAAATTTCACCATGGCTTTATTCTCTAGTGAATTTAAGAAGCTTGGAAGTAACATGAATACCAGTTTATGGAAACAAGTGGAGCTTTTTGTTAGCTCACTCAGTGAATTCAAAACATTTGAGAAAGTTGATTATAATTTCTACTTGATTGGAATCATAAGCAGAATCAAGGACAAGCTTAGTCAAATTGATGCACCTGAATCCACAGAAATTTGGAAAAAAATTGAAGGATTGTGTGATGGGTTATTCCTGAATATAGTCAATAACACGCCAACCGACAAGTTTTCCTCTTTGTTCACCGAAGCAATTGAGGAGGTAAGTGATAGTGATGATATTCCAATTAGACCAAGCTTGAAGTTGATTCTGGCTATGTATGTCCTTGCCCAGGAGTACTCTCAAATCAGTGAGGATAATTCGAATTATAATATCTTCATTACTGATTGGATGAGACTGAATTTTGTTGATATCAAAAATAAGTGGATTAGAAATAAGTTGGTAAGTGAGCTTGTTGATGCTTACAAACTGACCAAGTCAACAAAAGAAGAGGGTAACTTAGCTGAAAACGAGGATAAGCAGGAAGAAGAGGTACCAGAGCAAAAGGATGCAGAAGAAGAGAATGGATGGGACGACGAATTTGACATAGCAGAAGTAGAAGAAGACAAATCAGTAGAAGAAGAAAAGTTGGAGCAAGCACAGGAATCAGAAGCTAATGGTAAGTCTCCAGTGAAAAGAAGTGAATCACTTTCATTCCTGGTCAACTATCTCTTCTTGCTTCAATTCTGCAATGACGCAATAGACAAATCCACCCTCAAACAGCTTGTCTCGGTTGATGATTCAATATTAGACATTGTCATACAAGGAGTTACATCCTACTACAAGTCAAATAAAAATGTATATCTTCCATTAAGTCTATAATCTAATACAAATAAATTTTTGAGCCCTGTTTAGTCAATGATTTAAGAACATCAAAAGTTTCGGGTATGTCCCAAATGTTTTGCTTTTTAGAATCTAAATATGAATTATCAACAATGATAATCTTGACTTCTGAAGCTTGAAGTTCGGAATCTTCATGGGCCAAAACTTTGGCCAATCTTCCTGGTGTGCAACATAATACTCTTGATCTTGTAGATTTAACAAGCTTCAAATCGACATTAAGCTTATTCTTGTTTATTAATTTGAGCGATGAGCCCGAGAGTTCTCTGGTTGCTCTATGTATGTCACATGCCCTGATGGCTGACATGGAAACAATGGCAATGAATTTACGTTCGCTGTCTTCTTTGCCTTTCTTTGTAGGTAACATATTCTTGAATCTGTTAGTTATAAATGCTGACAAGTTATCCAAGTTTCTTGTTTCTTTGAAATCAACATTAGATCTGATTTCCGACTTTGCAAAATATAAATCGGCCAATTCTAAAGCTGACAAATTTGGATTCTTTCGGCGAATCTTGGAGTTTATGTATTCAGCAATGACTTCAGGCGATTCCTCCACCGACATGTTCTTCTTGGTTTCAATATCCATTTCCATCTTGAGTTTCTTGGTTTCTTTGAACTTTGTGTTTTGTTTTCTCTTCTTGTTGGCTGGTTGTTCTTTTTCTTCTTTTACCACTTCCGGTTGTTCGACTACGAAAGTTTCTTCTTCTGAATCAGAGAGCTGTAAGTCATACTCTAATCCATCGTCTAAATCATCTGCTGTTGGGTGTGCCATCTTTGTCTAGATATCTAACGAGATGAGTATAATTTTTATAGCTGAAAAAAAAAAAAACTTAAATATTTGCATCTACAATATTTTCACACTAGAGTTTCTCCACTACAGTATGTTTAGACCAACATTAAAACCAAGACATATTAGTGTCATACAAAAAAGGTCCATCATACTTAATGCAGACCTTCAAGCCAAATTAGCAGAGTCTGCTCACCACCCAGTCATAGTCATAGGTGGGGGACACGCCGGATGTGAAGCAGCCACCGGGTCTGCTAGATCAGGAACATCCACAACACTAATAACTCCTCATGTGGACAAAATAGGAACAGCATCATGTAATCCAAGTATGGGTGGTGTAGGGAAAGGAACCCTCCTCCGAGAAGTCGACGCATTAGACGGTGTGGCGGCACGTATAACTGACTTGGCTGGTATTCATTTCCGAATCTTGAACAGTTCTCGGGGTGCTGCTGTTCACGGTCCCCGTGCTCAAATCGATAGAAAGATATACTTGAACGAAATGCAAAAGGAGATATTGAACTATCCTAATTTGAACGTGTTGCAAGCTTCTGTCGAGGATATCATTATTGAACCAAGTGTGGACCAAGACAGCACTGGGAGGAAGTTTGGTACTGTTCGTGGTGTTATACTAGGCGACAACACCATATTAGCCTGTGATAAAGTCGTGGTCACTACCGGGACGTTCCTTGGTGGAGAGATACATATTGGACTTAAGGCATACCCATCAGGTCGTATTGGTGAAGCCGCTACGTTCGGCTTATCCAAGACTTTTGCTAATGCTGGATTCCGTCTAGGCAGACTTAAGACAGGTACTCCATGTAGATTATCATCTAAAACGATAGACTACACACACTTGCTACCACAACCATCAGATTTCCCACCACAACCAATGTCATATATGAATGATAAAGTTGCCTTACAAGATCAATTAGTCACATGCCATCAAACCAACACCACCCCAGAGTTCCATGACCTCATCCGTGCAAACCTAGACAAGTCAATTCACATCAGAGAAACAGTCAAAGGTCCAAGATACTGTCCTTCCATCGAATCTAAGGTCATTAAGTTTTCGGATAAGTCACAGCATACAGTCTGGTTAGAGCCCGAAGGATTAGATACCGACTTGGTCTATCCTAATGGTATCTCGTGTACTATGCCTGCCGAAATACAGGAAAAACTTGTCAAAATGATGCCTGGCTGTGAGAATGTAACCATGGTGCAACCCGGATATGGAGTGGAATATGATTATATCGACCCAAGAGAATTAAAGAATACATTAGAGACTAAGTTAGTCGATGGGTTGTATCTTGCTGGTCAAATCAATGGGACTACTGGGTATGAAGAAGCAGCTGCACAAGGTTGTATTGCTGGTATAAATGCGGGATTGACCCAGAGTGGGAAACAAGCATTAGATATTAAGAGAAGTGATGGGTATATTGGTGTTTTAATTGACGATTTGATAACCAAGGGTGTCGAAGAACCATATAGAATGTTTACTTCAAGATCAGAATTCAGAATCAGTATCAGATCAGATAATGCCGACAGAAGACTTACGGAAATGGGCTACCAAGCTGGTGTAGTTGGAGAAAAGCGTTATCAGCATTACACGGACGAAATGAAACAATTCGAACAAATCAAAGAGCATTTACAAAGCGTAAGAATTAGTGGCGCTAAATTATCACCTTACGTGAAGAACATTTCAACCAGACCAGGATTTGTAGTAGATGCCTGGAAATTACTTTCATACAAAGATATCTCATTCGCCGACTTCCTTCCATACCTTGAACAATTCAACAACGGGAAACTTCCTTCAATTTATGAAAACTTGTCAGACAGACTCATTAACAGAATCACTGTCGAGGGAAATTATGATCCATTCAAAAACGCAGAATTAAAACACTTACACGCTTACAACTCAGACGAGAACTTGAAATTACCTGAAAATTACACATATACCAACGTGGGAAATCTCAAACTTTCTCATGAAGTTTGCGGGATCTTAAATACCATTCAACCAAAGACTATTGGACAAGCAAGAAGAATCCAAGGTGTTACCCCAGCTGCAATTTTCGAATTGTACAAATTAATCAAGCGAACTGCTGCTGTATAATGTATATAAACTACTGTAAATAAATTTCATTAACTGTATTATCTGTCTATTGTAAATAGTTGTATAAATCATTATCTAATGAGATTAATGATTCGAGGGGTAAGAACTTTTGAGCCAAAGTTGAAATAATATCCAATTCTGATTCTCCCGTTAAATTTACCCTTCGTAAATATAACAAAACATCACTCATATTAATCTCTACATTTTCATAATCACTTCTATGCTCAGCGTAGGCTTGTAAGTCGGTCATCAAACTATCAAGGAAAGAATCAGCTTTCTCACGGATACTATTAATAATTTCTGAACTTGGATTCCTCTTTCTTCTTTTGCCGCCATTGACATGTTGTGCTTGAATTGTCTTTACAATATGTGCCATATCGGAATAATTGACTGAACTAGGAATAATTTCCAGCTTCTTTCTCGGCTTAGAAGGCGCTCTCATAGAAGGTAATTGTTTTCTTGGAACAGTTGGGACATCTCCAAGGGTAGTTGGAACATTTGAAGGCAGAGCTAATTCTTCATCAAAAATACTTTCATCGTGATGATCAAGAGAATACTCATGGTGAATGAATTCTGCAGGGGAACTGGAACCAGATCTAGTCCGTGGTGGAGTTACGGTATCAAAATAGCTTCCTGGAACAGGTGGAGTTTCCTCTCTTGGTGGAGGTGTGATTTGAGATTCTTCAGCGGTTGGAAGATCATGATCGGATGTAATATCCTGTTCTGTTTCAATTGGTTCCTGGTCATCATCCATTATTGCAAAATCAAAGCCTTGTTCCTGGTCCATATCGTTAGTTGGCAATTGAATATTTTCAACTGCTTCAGCTTGGTGGTTTTCCTTATCTTCTTGAGACGTATCTTCAAAAGCAGGTGGCTGAGGTTGTTGTTCTGTCATTGGTCTATGGTGCATTGGTTCATCTACATGAATTTCAAATGGGACTTCCTTTGCTGGAGTAGTGGGTATAAATTCAGACTCCAAAAGATTTACCCCAGGAACAAGACTTTGCCGTATAGTAAAGCTAGTTCTATCTGGTATTATAGGCGATTCCCGCTGTATGATATCTTCATGGACAGGTATGTCGTGCTCAATTCTGGTTTCTAAAGGTGATTTCAACTCTGTAGGAGGTGCTTGTTTACTCTTGGCAAGTAAGATCTTTTGCAAATATGATAATGGTTTTGGATTTGGCTTCGACTTTTGAGGAGTCGATGCAATTTTGGTAACTACTGCTGGTGATAATAAATGATCTTGTTGAGGTAATGGTAAACTTTGATCAAATTCTGCTGGTGACAGCGTAGGCGCTCTACTAAATCGTCTTATTGGAGTTGTACTAGCGATATTATTGTTAGCAAATATATGCTCTTGTTCGTGTATAGGATGTTGCTCCAGTTGCGGTTCCTGTATTTGTTCTTGTTTTGGTTCATATACAGAGAGTCGCACCAACTCACCTTGCTCTACCCTGAATGGATCTTGGGGAACTCTCCTTGGTTCATCAACTTCACGCCTTTGCTGAATCTCTTCCTGCTGACGTTTGCGTTTCTGATCAACTTTACAGAAATACAACAAGAATTCATTTGATATAGGGCCTCTGTAATCCCCCATAAATACTTTTTCACCGCCATCAATAACCACAATGGAACTTCTTCTGTTTCTGGAATTTATCAAACTTGTTCTCCTAGGAGTTAGTGATCTCCGCCTCACTGGGGTCAATGATTGTCTATTTGGGGTTGATCTGTTACTTCTTGGTCGTGATCGTGGTCTGAACTCGCTTGAATATCTAGTTGGCAATTGTGGCATTTCATGAGTTGGTAACCTTAGGTTTGTTGGGTTGAATGAATGACGTCGCGTTTGTTCAATGGGTGTGGATTCAACGTAGTCTGATGACGTACGCGCACGTCGTGGCGTTGTTGGGTTTGACATGCTTCTATCGCTCATGTTGGCATAATAGGGAATAGATGATTTGGTTTGTTTACTTTTTTTTTTGTATGTTTTTGTGGGCGTAAATTTTCAGGCGCGGAAGTTTGCAACAAATGTTGCCAATGTGAACAGTTAGTTAGACAAGGTCGTTGAACAACTTTCAATTCTATACATAATATAAAATAATACCATAGTAACGACAATTACAATCAACAGAATTAAATATTCAAGTGTACTTGATTAATTTGAATAGTCGTCAACTTAACCACTAGCTATGTTAATTGTTCTATTGTAATTGACATAGAAAAAAGTCATATAAGTTTTCTGTTTCTTTTGGCCATGAAAGTAAGAAAAGTAGCAACAGCATGCAAAGTCAGGAAAATATCTTACTCAACATATATACTTTTTCCTTTATTGTGTTTTCTCCACAGCCCTGCTGATATATGATGTATATATGCTAAAGGATCATCAAGATTCCCCGACTGGAGAATTCTCAGATGCTCTCCAGGTTGCATACATGTTAATGGCAAAACCATAGCATCAAATATAACAACTGGAAGTTTTATGCCTATAAGAAACTCGTCATCGATTAATTTTTCATAACTGTCAAAATCTGTCTGGAGAATATTATTCAAATACTTGAACACGAGATCAGTCAATCTCCCTGGTCCTGCCCAGTTCAAAACATCGGCAGCTTCATCTTTCCCTAGTACCTCGGCCAATTTTCCAGTCTCTTCTCTCCAATAAGTATATTCAGTGATATTGTCGATAATTTCTGCAAGCATTGGGTGTCCCTTTTTAGCCAAAAATGTCCAAGCTTCAATTTGTAACCTGCGTGCAAAAAATCTCGCCCAATTGCCCTTATGGTAGTCAGATTCGATTCCAACAATGAGACCTAGATCAAGCAGTTTACCCAAGTACAGTGACTGACTAGGGATCCAACTGCTGATAGGTTTCAATAACTTTGTATCAATATCAGCATAAATCCCTCCCAATGCATACAATAGCAAATAGCTTGAAAAATCGCACCTGTTCATAGTCTTAGGCATGATTTTGTAGGCATGGGTTATTTCAGGAATGTCAGCATACAATTTAAGTACCAAAGCATCTCGTTCGTCATTTGACATTACACGATGTGTATAGTCGGGACTGTTGTCGAGCCAAGTTTGATGATATTCTCTAAAGTGTTGAGGAAACTCTGGGTCATCAAGTCCAACTTTCCACATTTTAAAGATTTGTTTGGGGATAGGTTGGGCGGAGTCATAAGGGTACAAAGTCTTTAGTTTTTGAAGAACTGTTGTATTGTAGGGGATAATTCCAGGATGTTTTGGTTGGAAATTTAATCCTGTGCTCTTATAGTCAGGGTGTAATTTTAATTCTCTAAGGAAATCTACTTTGGGGGGACGGTATTGAAAATAGGACTTGAGCTGTAAGTCGCTGCCAAAATGAAATGAAAGACAAAAATAAAGCCCAGTTATGACTAGGGTAGAAATTAGAAGTACTGTACGCCTGGAGCACTTACGACCCACAGCATAAATCTTTTTAAGCAATTTGTTCATGGTAGTCTAATTCCTTGAAACCAGGGTCAAAGTTTGAAAAACCTTGAATAGTACAAATAATTTGCTATTTAAACCAGGAGGTTCGCTCAGTTCCAATATGCGGTCTAAATTTATTATTTATCTAATGCATCGCTGTGTCCTTGATTTGCCGGTTCTCCATATTCTGGAGAGTCTGGTCTGATCCCTTTTCTATCATTATCTAGCACGGAAGTCAATTTTGATAGTTTTCTGATACTCAATCTATTCTAGGTTTGAAATATTTGAGCCAGGATATGTAAAGAAAACATCGGGCAGCTTCAAAGGTTTATTCACAAAAGCGTAACAATCTGCTTGAATTCTTTGTATACAACTATTTTTCTATGCATCATTGTGTTGTATTTTTCCCAATTTGTAACAATTATTGGAAAATAATTTGCATTAGGGGATGTATGAGCTGATTTGTACAGGAGATAACTAATCTTAACTTGATAAACTTAACCGACTTAATGTTATTTCCAACAGCTATAAATAGACTATGAGGAAATCACGACAAGAAGTTTTCCATACTCACCTTTATAGAAAGAACGGCTTTTCTTTTCTTTTTATTAGTTAATAATATCAGAATTTTATTGATTTGCACTCAATTATACGAGGACTACTAATTATTGTGTTTGAGAAACAGAATAGGTTGGGATCAAGATATTTAATCTCTTTCAATGCAGCCATTTTGGATCAAAAACTGACACATTAAAGTAGATCTTGATTACCAGGAAATATCTTGCTATTAGTAACTACTAAACCCACAATTGCTTGTAATAAGATTAAAAATAGTAATGTCATTTTAATTAATAGAAAAATGATTGCGAAAAATTTGAATTGGGCTTAACCGGGGGGAGATTTATATAAACAATGGAAATATACGTGATGCTACCATATATCATCACCATGTGCGAAACAAATAAAACTATTTTTTTTTTTCATTGCTCTTACAATTGAAGAATAATAGCAATCTAGTCACAAATGAATATTGAACAACCTAAAAGTGACAATTTGTTGACGGCATTAGTGTCAGGATGCACTGCATCCGCGTTTGCAGCCACATTAACATATCCGTTTGATTTTCTCAAGACACAAGAGCAATTAAACAATCCCGAGTTAATGAAGAAATTTAATATCACCAATGGACCACATACTTTGGGACAGATGAGTAAAGGATGTTCTGCATTAGTGCTTGGATCGATTTTGAAGAATGGTACGAGATTGATATCATATAATTGGACCAGTAAGTTTATGGCAATTGACGGCAGAGAGGGAAAGACAACAAGCGCTCCAAGAACAGTTATTGCTGGTGCGATAAGTGCCTTCTTTGAAACACTTTGGATAATTCCATTTGAGAATATTAAAATTACAATGGTACAAAATCAAACGTGGATGAACGAAATGACGAGAATCAAAGAGAAAATTGTAGATAAAACTGAAAAGAACTTATTTAAACGAGAATATGTGTCTCCTCATAAATATTATACTACGGAAATTTTTGATCAGTATTTTGGAACTGCCCAACAAAGTAAATTCGCAGCTGCTGCTCAGAAACAGATCAAGAACCCGTTTGATACACTCATTGAGCATTATAACAAACATCCATCATTAACACTTTCCAGTACAATTAAAGAAATTTACTCAATCAAGGGTATTTCGGGATTCACGGCAGGTACATTTATAACCTTTACTAGACAAATTGCCATAACCTGGGTATGGTTGTCCACGTACAATGCTACTAGACAGTTGATTGACCCTCATAAGAAGCTGGACGATAAGGGCTGGTTCGGACATGATTATAACGCATTGGAAAAGACAGGATTGCATTTAGTCTCTTCGTTGGCAGTAATTGCCGTGACTCAACCATTAGATGTTCTTAAATCACATATACAGCTGAAAAACGGTAAGGGAATGTACCGTGATGCCTTATCCACAGCTTATAAGTTGTTTATGCAACAAGGAGCCAAGTCATTATTTAGAGGAGCATTACCTAGATGGTGCAAGCTTATAGTTAGTGGTGGGTTAACTGCAAGCATTTATGGATACGTTGAAGATATTGTCAATGTTGCTGGAGGACAAAAGATGTTTGAAGAGAAGAGACTTGAATAGAGCTTGTATATATTACGCTATTCTATATAAACTGGAATTAATATTTCACCTGATTTATGACTTACACCATTAAATGACTTAGCAAGTAATCCACCTGAGGTACTTGGTTGACTAAACGCTATTTGTTGCTTAGTTAAGGTGACACCGTATATAGAATTCTTGAGTACCACCTGTAAAAATCTCTGACCTAACCCATATCGTCTCCATTTAGGAGCTATCCAGATACGCGATATACCAATTTTGATCAGCTTGTTGATTTGGTTAGGTACAATTGTTTGCGAACTGTGGATCATCCACCGGCCTAGGCTATCTCCGACTGTATCAGTGGAACACACTCCAACAGCTCGATTCTCTATTACTATGACGAATGCTTTACTTGATTCGTGCTTAAGTGACTTCCACTCCCCCGAATCTTGCGAGGCACTTAATTCTTGATTTACCATATCAAGCAATTGATCTACTTTACTCACTTGACTCTTGTTTGTTTTGTCAATAGTAACTATATTCCCTCGGACTATAGTATTAGACCTTCCAGATTTAACAGATTTAACAATCAATGTAAACGAATCAAGTGATGGTAGTGCTGTCGTCCATGGTATACCATTGACGAAACTACTATGATACTTGGTATGTGCTTGTTTTTCACTAGGTATACTGACATTATATGTCATTTCACATACTGGACATGTATGCGGTTTATCTGAGTCAAACAGAAGAATGGATTGAACTTGACTCTTTTTCTTTGTCCCTGTCATATCATATCGGTTGTTGTTATGGTTAATATCGGATCGTAAAATCATCTCGGCATTATTTTTCTCCGGGAATTTATCGTCCAATTTTTCCCTAATTTTTCACTTTACATCTTTCCTCCCAAATACCAACCAACATGTCCCATTACGCTAATCTCTTACCAGTAAGTGGTAAATGGAAATCTGATATAACAGACTACCTCAGTGAGGACGTCCCATCTTTTGATTTTGGTGGGTTTGTCGTGGGTGACAAGCCAGAAACTGGTTCATTATACATGAAGGCCCCCGGATTAATCTGTGGTATCCCCTTTGCTGCTGAAGTATTCCACCAAACTCAATTGAAAGTCACATGGCATCATCATGAAGGTGAGTACGTCACTAAGGAACAACTTGCTCAAGCCGGTGGTAAAATCGTTGTTGCTACTGTCGAGGGTGCCGCTAGCAATATCTTACTTGCTGAACGTACTGCCTTGAATTTATTGGCTAGAGCTTCTGGTGTGGCTACCCAATCTTACATTACTAAGAAATTGGCCGATGAGAGTGGATATACTGGTATCATTGCTGGTACTAGAAAAACTACCCCTGGATTAAGACAAGTTGAAAAATATGCCATGTTAGTTGGTGGTGTTGATACCCATAGATACGATTTGAGTTCTATGGTTATGTTAAAGGATAACCATATTACTTCTACTGGTAGTATCACTAATGCCGTAGCTAAGGCTAGATCAGTATGTGGATTTGCCGTGAAGGTTGAAGTTGAAGTAAGTAGTGAACAAGACGCTAAAGAAGCTATAGATGCAGGTGCAGATGTTATTATGTTGGATAACTTTACTGGTGACGAATTACGTAAGGTTGCTCAAAGTTTGAAGACTCACTATAAGGGAACCCAAACCAAGTTCCTTTTGGAATGTTCGGGTGGGTTGACCTTGCAAAACTTGAGTAACTATTTGTGTAACGACATTGATATTTATTCTACTTCTTCTATCCATCAAGGTACCGGAATTATTGATTTTTCTCTTAAAATCAATGCTTCTTCTTAGTTAGTTTTATCTTATAGATGATATACTTTTAAGTTCTAAACTTTGGAAACCTGTATTGAACCCAATAACTTGTGACACATTAGTCAACACACTTGAACTGTTTACGTGTTCTTCATGTTCTTCCTCTTCGTTCTCCTTTTCATCACATGAGATCATGGTATGTGTGTTTATCAGTAACCCAGACAAGCTAGTAGATCCACTAGCCATACTTAAATCTTTAAGCAAATCGTGATGCAATAGCGCATTATTAGACTCGTTCGCTCCAGGTCGTACAGATTTCTTTCCAAAACATCTAATTGCTCGTATATGACTATCCTTCCCTTCTTGATGGTTGGCTAATACGATTAACTTCACCATGAAACATTTCAATACTCCATCATTTCTGATTCCATTGAAGATAATATGGGACCAACCAATAGGTTGATTGAAGTTAACCGTGCATACATCGATCATATCCCAACCGTCACAACTACCTGCCATAATCTTGATCTTGGAAGGAGTATAACTTTCATCTAGTGAATAATTTGTAAATATCGATATTCTCTCAAGTGCAACCTTCTTGGAGAACTGTATTGTTATCAGATGCTGTAAGTTATTCCCCTGATTACTGCCATCTGATTGCCAGTATGTATCAGGAGAATCATCGCGTAATTGAACCAATCCAAATCCAGGTTTATAAGAAGACAATTTCCAATTGGCCAAGGGAGATAAGTCAAACAACTGCAATGACTCCAATTCCTCAAGCCCCTTCATGTAGTAAACGCGTTGAATTTGCTCTAGATTAGGTTGTTGCTCAGCTGTTGATGCATCTTCACTGGGTTCTTCATGATTAATTCGTAGATTTCCCATTTCATCTTCTTCATCTTCGTCTATGAAGTGGTGGTTATTTTCTGAAGTACTGGACATTATCGTGTCTCTTATTTCATCAGTGGATATATGCAGTTGTAATTGGACCTCATGTTGCAGTATACTAGAAGTGTTTTCTATTCGTGATGTTGATGACATTATATGTGTTGTATTGGTATTACTAAGTGCTACTTCTTGTGGCTTATTGGCTTATGTTTGGTGGTTGTAAAAGTGTTGCCAAAATACAAAGTTTGATTTTTTACGCGCAAAAAAAAAAAATTTAACATATAAACTATAAAGTCTAATCTCATTTAGGTATTATTTCTATTATATTCTCCTATTTGGTTTAAACCAAGTTGTTAACATCCTGATCTTCTTCCTTTAGTTCTTCCTTTAAGTCTTCTTTTGATTCTTCCTTTGATTTTACTACTTCTTCTGGCTTGGATTCCTCAATTTCCGGTTCTGGCGTCTTGTCAGTATCGTCAACCATAATTTCTGGGGTCAGTTTTGCAGTAGTCTTATCGTCTATAATGGTTTCCTTGGGTACTGAAAATTGTCCAGAATTAACTAGTGGGCTTGAAGTAGCAGGTTTGGTTGATCCTGGCTTCAAGTTAGAAGCAGAACTGTTTCTTGATTGGTTTAATAATGGAGAACTAGTACCCGATTTAGGAGCAGCAGAAGCAGTAGGTTTAACTTGTGGAGTAAATTGAGTTGAAAAATTTTCAGTTAATCCGTATTTCTTTAAAGTTCGTCTCTTGAATACTTCAATATAACTTAATTTACCTCTTGCACCTTTACCAAACTCTTTATTATCACGATCATAGAAGAATAATTCGCCTTCATCTTCGTCTTCATCACCAATCATATAATCATCGTTTCTTTCTCTTCCTAAATATCCTAATTCTTCTTGAACAACACTGGAATCAATTTGATAGTTACCTTGTTCTAAATCTGTGACGAAATTAAATATAAATTCAGTTAAGGAATTAGCAATGACTAATTTCGTATCGAAATCACGTCCAAATATAATTATTTGTCCCCATTTACCTTGTGGACCTGGTGCTAAATCCAAAGCAATTTGATTTCCGATGTGGTCCTTCATTAATGTAATCCACCCCTTTTGATAGTAAAATGGCTGAATAGAATTTGGGGGAATAGATCTTTGGTTACCGATAAATGAGTTATTCACAGAAGAACCTCTAGATGATGCAGTTGAAGAAGTTCCTTCCTTTTGTTGATGTTGAACCATATATTGTTGTCTTTCTAACCTTTCGGCGACTTTTAACCATATTGCGTTTTCTTCAATAATTCCTTCCAAATCCAATAATGCCAATCCCATAAATAATCCAGTTGGTCTACCACCTCTTAATTGTCCATCGTGTCTCTTGTAGAATTGTCTAAAATCTTCCGGCAAGTTCCCACATCCTAAATCATTCTCAAATTCATTCAAATCCGTAGTGGTGACACCATCATTCAAACTATCTTCCAATTCAGGATATTCTTCTTCCATCCATCTTTCAATTCTATCCCAGAGGGAATCAATAGAAGGTAAAGGAGGTTGACCGTTTTCGTCAAAGGTCTGCAAGGGCAAATCCTGTTGCAGTCTTAATCCAGGACGATATCCAATCTTAGCCGCAGCAGCCGCTTGTTCAAACGAATGGCCAGATCCATTCAATCGACTGATTTCGTTCAATCTAGAAGTTGATCCATTGTTAACCAATCCACTGTCCCCACGCGATAAGCCTGGTGCCCCGCCACTACTACCATTACGGTACCGAGAATCGTACGAGGCATAATGATCATCGGTGGTTATTGAATGAATGAACGCTTTAAACTCTTGAAAAAGACCCATGATTATATACTCTTATCCCTATATTATGTGTGGTGTTGAAACTTCTTGGTTGTCTTTATAAGAATGCTACGTCCAAAAAGAGCAAGGAAAATAAATTTCTGGTAGTTTCTTTTTTTTGTTTGGTCGTAATTTCGTGTGTGGTGAAATTTTAGCCTCATTTTTTATATATATATTTTTTGTGAGACGTGTTTCTGGTCACGTGAATACTGGAACTAGGCATTCTAGAAAGTAATGGTACAAAATAGTCTAGAAAGCAAGCATATGGTTATGAAACATCATTAGGTCAAGATCTATAATTGACAGTTCTTTTGTACCATAAAATTGAATTGTTGACTTATGTTTCATCAAACTATTTATCTATAAAACACATGTCAATTTCTTATTTACGTTTTATTACGACCCCATTAGACGAGTGTTGTAAGAAAGGCTAAACTGAAGAAGTAACAATATTACAATAGAGAACTATCCCGCACTTGGAAAATATATGAGCCCTGATTCATTTTCAATTTTGGTTTTGTAACTAATTTATGTAAAGAAGTTGCGATTTTCTGGTTTGCATCGTTTTTTTTAATTACATAATCGAGGTGGCTATCAACGCTACAGACCATTAGAGTGAACCAGGATTACTTTAAATATATTGTACTTGGTATTTCAATCAACTTTCAATCTCGAACAATCTTTTTTAATTGTAAATCCCTCGTTATTTTCTATGCAATAAGAGGTGCAAAATAAAAATTCACACGTATTGTAGTTTCCTTGACAAAATCTGACCTTTGATACAACTTTTTAAAGCTATCCTATGTTCAAACAACATAAAATCGACGCCAATTGGTTAAAATTAACTTTGCCTTTTATCATTGGTTACATAAATCTAAATCACAAATTGGCAGTGATGATGATGAGTAGATGATTGTATCAAATTGCCGTAAAAAGTTTGTACAATTCAATCTATTTTAAGATCAATATCAGAGGCGGTATATCTAATACAAACAGAATACTGCACTCTATTCATACGAAATATACTATTGTCAACTATTATAGCAAAAACTTCAAATTAAAATAAATACTTCGGTTAAAGAAGTTATCGTTTTGTGTTGACTTCAGATCCAGAGATATCACCTACATAGCTAATTTATTCATATTAGACTAACTAGCAGCATTGGAATAGTCATCTGGGGGTACATCTCCGTCATTCATAGCTCAAATGTTTAATCAAACAGTTACCTAAACTAAAACATTTAAATTTGCAGAAAGTGCCTTACATGTATGACATAACTTTGCTACATATTTTTCAAATACTTTGTGTAGCTTAACTGTGCATTCATGGTCGCTAGATTGATTTTCATTCACCGACAAAGCACATAAATCTTGTCTTAATAATTTCCGATGTATTTTTAAACCTTTGGGAGACTATGACAAGAGCTATGAATTTTACAATGCAATTGATTTGTGGTTGGGCAAATATATTGAAAGGTATCCCTATTTGCACCATATTATTATTTCCAAGTATTACCATGAGGTGGAAAGGAATGCTTACAACGGTTTTGTTGTTAAAATGATCAATAATTTAGTATATCTTATCGGAAATGTCATAACCTTGTCTTTTATTTTTGTAGATAAATAGCTCCAGACGCAATCAATACATTCCAATTAGAAATTACTCTAAAATGTCCGTTACTATTAAGTTCTATTCAAATAAATAATCGGTTATAACTTCACCAAATAAACTTTCAACAACATCGCGATCAGACAAATCACCCACTTTAATAGCATCACTAATTATATCATAATTTATAAAGTCAGTAACCTTAGAATCACGTTTATATTGATGATGATTCAATACCTTATTTCTTAACCAATGAGCAGTAGTTGGTATTTCACCTTTGGCACGTTTTGAAATCAAGGTTAAATAATATTTAATTCTGGTTAAATCATTAGCTAATGATGTGCTTGGACAATGGCAAGATTTAGGAATTAAATCAGTAGCTATGAGCTTAATTACAAGACGGATCAAACCTGGGAATTTCCCGGAAACATCACCATTTATAATTTGATCAATTGAGTATTTGGCATAAGTTAAGTCTTCGGCATCATCAGTGATTATCATTCCATTACTGGACTTACGTCTTTTACCATTGGTAGTATTTCCATTAACTGTTCCATTTGGAATTGCACCATTTAATTCACCATTAGCAAGTGATATAGTTGATCCACTCACGGAATATCCATTCATGTAAACTTCTTCACCGCCCAATTCATCATTTCCAATATTAATATATCTATCAAACCAACTTAAATCATATCCTCTAAATTCATGATAGTCCAAATTCCAATTGTCTAAATCCTTGAACCAGAATTTGTCATTGATTGCTGAATCCACTTTATGAGCGGTTCCCATATTTTCTTCAACTTTCAGCAATGGAATATAGAAATTTGGTTTAAATTTAATGATAGCTTTGGATAATAATGAAATAAATGTAGAGTATGCGGCATTTTCAAAATCAGTTAATTGAATTTCCATTGGTCTGAATTCAACTCTCCAACCTGGTGTAGTAGAAATGTCCACATTTGATTCATACAATGCTGGTGGTTTGAAACGAAGAGTTTGCCAATTCGTAGATTGAATATTTTCAAAATGGTCATTTTCCAACGTATTATCTTGATCGATTCTTTCACTGAAGATAACCAAAGGATCTCTAATAAACAAATGGGCAAAATGGTTGGCCATATAATGGTCAAAGTTTGGTTCTTGAATTAATCTGTCATAAACCAGCTTATTGATAGGAGCATTTAAATCATTGAACTTATCGCTGTAATACGAAGTGTCATGTTTAGAGTCGGCCAAATAATTGGCTACAGAATCATATCTTGATTTAGGAACATGTTGAATTGGTTTACCATCATTAGCGAAAACACCAATAATGTCACCATTTGCATTGGTCTTGGAACAATCCTTAACCAAAGTATGTTCATCCACATCTAATCCACCAAACTTGTTATATCCTGGGTATTCTTCAACTCCTCGTTCTATAAATGTTCTATCATCAACTGCACCGCTAACAACATTCCATCTAACATCCTGATTAACCAAATGTCCCTTGAAAATAGGAGCAGCAGCTGTGGAACTTAACATAATTGGAGATAATGGAGCTAAGGAATCATAAAGGTATCTTGCTTCTTCGATATTCTTAGTTTGCATAGTAATTTGTAAACAACTTGATCCCATACCGAAACCCATTGAGTCCATGTACACAAATCCTGGTCTACTAGCTCCAATAAAAGGTTCTTGATCGGATTTGAATAAATCACGTTGCTTAATAGAGTCATCCACGAGTTTAGTATGCTTGTCAGGATACATTGGCAAGTTAATAGCGACCTTGTGACCTCTTCTCTTACGAATATTGGCAGTCAAGGTTGGAAAACGAGCATGACGGTTAATGATTTCATCTGGAAGAAACAAAGATTGCGAAGCGGGACCAATTGGTTTTGCTGGAGGTGCTGTGAATGTTCCACAACCCATTCGAGGAAAACTAGTCAATGTTATAGGTTTGACATTTTCGGGCAATTCGTCTTGACTGATTTTTCTTCTCGCAATCATATTTTTTTCAACATAGACATAATCTTCAAGACAATCACCATCATAAGGCTTTGCTGGGGTTGCTTCCAACATAAATCTACCATATTCGGGATGAAACAAAACGTTGTTCTCTAATGATTTGTACAAAGATTTGTTTTCATCGTTCAAATCGTTCAAGATATAATCTTTGTCAATACTTAACCGAGCTGATTTGTTAGAATGATCAATATTAACCATCATATATTCAACTTCGTCACCCCAAAGATATTTGTCATTGGTTCTAGTTTGTGAGTGCTGCTTGAAAATGTTGATTAATTGGGTAATTCCATTATATCGGACATGTTCATTATATTTACGGGATTGGTGCCAGTCTAATGGAGTACCTAAAGAAAGAAGTCCCATGGTATGCTATGTTACGATATGGTACGACCAGCTAGTCTTGGATGCAAAGGGCTGAATTCAAGTGAACTGAATTGGAAAATGACGAAATAATGCGATGATTGCGGTTTGCTGCTAACTAATAATATGTATTAGATTATCAGGCTTGATATATGCTAATGTACAGGAGTTGCTATGGAAAGAACAATGTGTGAGTGGGATGTATGCGATGGTTGTAAAAAAGGAATAAATTTTTTTGGACAAAAAAAAAAAGAAAGTGTTTTTCTGCTCTTGAAATTAATTAACATTTGATTACTAATTAACCACAGTCACGTGAACCCGCCGTTTAGGTTGTTTCCTTGATTCGTTTTTTTAACGTATACGGTAATAAAAAAAAGATAACGGCCACAATTACCTCACATCACGTGCAGGGCAATTCTCCTCTTGATCCGGAGTTTAGACAAGGAAGAGCCTATTACTCGTTTACTATTAGTGTACTAGTAGTTCATAGCAAGGAATAATATTCTTTACTTATCATCTGGCCAGATCTCATCATCAGGCCAACATCACTAAGAAGTTTAGGAAAGAATCTATTGCAGCAAGAATACGGCGTACTACAGGATCAGATAAAGGGTTGTTGAGTATCACTTTTGGAACATGCCTCATATTTCCCATGGGCACTAGTCTCTATAGATACAACGAAGACTAAGATGTATCTGTCTTGACATCAACCCTGGTTACTTTTATACCAAACTTGCATTGGAAAAAGGTCGTGCGGCACAGGTCACAAAATTTCGCAGCAATTATATTACAATGAAAATGTGATTCCAAAGATTCACAAACAGAAAGAACCCACGCCCATGCCAATATTATTTGAGCTCGTCCATCAGATTACCTTGAGACCAAGTGGCGTTGATTGTCAAGCATAAATTGCTTCAACTTAGTGCAACAGGATTTCAACAACTGGATAATAGGTTGTCTATTTTTCAAATCAATGTTAGGATACCAGCATGGACTCGAATCAAAACTGATTCTATCAAGTTGGTATAATCCAGTTTTCCATTCCCCCATGCGAGTATTCAGACGTGAATTGAATTCTTTCAATTGACCTTCGTTGAGTTTGTAAGATTTCTAATATTAGCGATTGGTAAGAAAACGGCTGTCTAGAACTTTTTCTAGTTATGATCTGTAGCGTGGTTAATGAGTTTGGCTTTAAATTTTGTATTACTCCAATGAGATCAATTACAGGGAAACTTAATGATAGTAGCTTGTGACAATAATTTTGCCAATTGTAACTCAAATGTTGAAGGGATTTTCTCCATCCGACAAAAATGAAGTTGGGGTACTTTTTAATTTATTCAAGTTGAACATATGTTTCAAACCCTTAATCTACACGATTTTACCTCTGTTCCTAAAACATCAGTCGCAGCTGTGCTGTAAAATATTGAGGTTAAAATTAATACGTTTCTTATCATTTGCTATTTATTGTGTCAAAAATCTGCTAGTACTTAGCTCCATCTTTTATGCATTGACAAAGCTATCTTCATTTCAAAGTGCAAGATATTCTAAAATAACCTTAGCAATTTTGATATTACATTTGGGATAAAATACAGGTAATACAATTACTCTAACTAATTATTTATTCATATCAAAATCAAACTAATATAATCCATCAACATTTTCAACAACACATCCAGGTTCACCAGCCTTTCTTTCAACTAAAGATCCAATAACAATAGCATCTTTTTCCCCATCTTGTTCCAAGTTCTTCAATACTTGATCAACATTTTCGTTCTTGACAATCAAGACCATACCAACACCTAAATTGAAGGTCTTTAGGATATCATCATAAGGAACCTTACCTTGTTTACCAAACCATTTGAAGATTTCTGGTACTTCCCAAGTGTTCATATCTACCTTGGCTTGTAAAGTCTTTGGTAATGCTCTTGGGATATTTTCCACTAAACCACCACCAGTGATATGTGCTAACCCTAATAATAAATCTTCATTTATTGATCTGAGCAATTGTTTAACGTAGATTTTAGTAGGAACTAAAACTTCTTCTCCGATTGTCTTACCAGATTTGCTCCAAGGAGCAACTGAACTGTATTCATATTCGGAAATCTCAATGATCTTACGAACTAATGAGAAACCATTGGAGTGGATACCATCAGATCTTAACCCAATTAATACATTGCCAGCTTCCATAGCATCGACTCGTGGTAAAATCTTGTTTTTGAGAACAGCACCAACAGCAGTACCATTGGTATCATAATGACCTTCATCGTACATACCTGGCATTTCTGAAGTTTCTCCACCAACTAAAGCACAACCAGCTTGGATACATCCATCAGCAACACCACTGACGAATTTAGCAGCGATTTCAATATCTAATTTACCAGTAGCGAAATAGTCCAAAAAGATCAATGGCTCAGCCCCTTGAACAACCAAATCATTTACATTCATAGCGACTAAATCAATACCGACAGTATCATGAATATCCATAATTTGAGCAATTCTTAATTTGGTACCAACACCATCAGTGGCAGCTACTAACAAAGTATCGTCACTATTGTATCCACCAGCTTTAAGGTCGAATAAACCACCGAAACCACCAATATCGGAATCAGCACCTGGGCGAGCAGTAGATTTGACTTTGGCTTTAATTTGTTCAACTAATAAGTTACCATTGTCGACAGAGACACCGGCTTCAGCGTAAGTGACACCACCGGTGGAACTAGCCTTATCGGCATCACGGAATGCACGATGGGCAATATCTTTTCTGTGATATTTATTGTTGAATGAAACATGCTCAACACCGACGTATGCCTTGTCAACAGATTCACGTAAACTTGGTGCAATTGCAGTGGCGGCAATAACTCTACCACCAGCAGTGACGACAGATCCATCCTTAACGGCAGTACCAGCATGGAAAATAAAAGTATCCTTTGGTAATGGTTCCTTGACGGTGATTACATCACCCTTATTATATGCTTCTGGGTATCCACCAGCAGCCATAACGACAGTAGTAGAGTACATATTTGGTTTAACACTGAGAGTGACTGAATCTAATCTGTGTTCAGCAGCAGCCAACATAACTTGAGCTAAATCAGTTTCCTCTGATAATAATGGTAAAACAGTCTGAGTTTCTGGATCACCAAATCTAACGTTATATTCCAAGACCTTTGGACCAGACTTGGTTAACATAATACCAGTGAATAAAATACCACACATAGGATATCCATCATGTCTCATACCGTCAATAGTAGGCTTGATAATTTCACGGTCAATAGTGGCCAAGACCTCAGAGGTGGCAATTGGAGCAGGAGCATAAGCACCCATACCACCAGTGTTTAAACCGGTGTCACCATCACCAACACGCTTGTGATCTTGAGCAGCTGGGAAGTTGAAGAACGAATAACCGTCAGTAATGGTTAAAATACTCAATTCGTCACCTTCAAGGAATTCTTCAATGACAATTTCATCACCCGCACTACCGAAATTCTTAGCAACCATGATTTCGTCCAATCCTTGCAAAGCTTCTTCTTTGGTTTGAGGAATAAGAACACCCTTACCGGCAGCGATACCATCAGCTTTAAGAACAATCTGGTAATCAATATTCTTAATATGTTCTCTGGCTTTGTTTACGTCAGTGAAGTTCTTGAATCTGGCAGTTGGAATTTGATGTTTGTCCATGAATTCCTTAGAGAAAGCCTTTGAACCTTCCATGACTGCAGCCTTTGCTGAAGGTCCAAAAACTGGAATACCAACCTTATTGAAAAAACTAGAAATTCCGTCAACCAAAGGTTGTTCAGGGCCAGGAATGACTAACTTAACATCGTGATCTACGGCAAATTTCTGCAAGGCTGGGAAATCCTTAGGTGAACTAGATAATTCAGGAACATTGATAATCTTTGATGAGGTAGTCGATGTGGTTCCTCCATTACCTGGAGCAACATAAATCTTGGAAACTGTTGGAGATTGAGCTAATTTCCAAACAATTGCGTGTTCTCTACCACCGTTACCGATGACGAGGATGTTTAATTGAGACATTGAGTTGTTGGTTGTAAGCAGTTTAAAGAAGAGAAGGCAGATGGGAGAAGACAAAAAAAATGATGAGGTGAAATTTTTAAATATTATTTTTTTTTTTTTCTACGTTTGACTCTGGTCAAAATTGGCTAATTGCGTTATGTGGAGAAATGACTATGTTAACAAAGCATCAGTAGAAAATTTTGTGTGTTTTAAATTGGGTTGGATGGAACAATCTGAAGTTCACATCAAGAAATTGAGGGTTTATGTTAAGAGCTATTGAGTTACTTTGGTATTATTCTTCAAGAAATCATGCATCTTATGCTGATTTTGAATCAAATTGGAATGATTTTGTGACAAAAATTTAAGCTGCAAAAAAAAAAAGCGAATTATACCAAACATTTTAATTAATGGAATAGAAGTTTCAATCACCTTTTTATGAACTGAATTTTAATTCATTAAATGAAACACATTGAGAAATAATTTAATCTAAATGAAATGATGCAGATATATACCAACACAATAAATCACCCAAGGAATACTAAGCACCTACCATACATTTCAGAATATATATTATTTGCCAGAGAGAGCAATAGAGCTTGCAATCCTTTGATAAATTTGGATCCCAGAACTGTTATGAGCTTGTAATATGCTAGTTGTGGAGAGATTATTAGACTAATACATCACATTTTTTTTTCATTTACATCATAGGCTGGGATTTCATGTTTCTTCCCACTAAACGATTCAAACAAATTATTTTATTCATACAAATACGGAAGCGATCTTAAATATGTCGTGGTTTTTTTAAGTAACAATTGATTCATATTCGGTATATCATAATATTTAAGAAAATTCAACTATGTTTCAAAGTCCAAGAACAATTAAGGTTACTGTGACGAATAAAGATTCCAAGAGCACTCTATAAACAAATACAGATAACTGAATGACTAAAGTCCAATTAACAGAGTAAACTAGAATTGCAAATTAATTATCAGTATCTTTACTTCGAATTAAGCCAAAGTCAATGATTAAATTAAATCTCGTAGTCGCTCCGAGCCAAGAAAACATATATGGTTTGAGGTTACATTATTCCAATAAGCAGTTCACAAACAATACGTTATTTATGATGCAATTTGATTTCATTTAGAACTTGTGTAGAGGCATTTCCCCGTTATATCATTTCATTTCCCCAAATCCTAAAAAATAAACCAACATCAACAGAAGAAAACAAAAACTCTCGAGTTGAATGTGTACGCTATACTGACATATTAAATCAGCAGATTGTACCAGCAACCATTTGGATCTACATTCCTATTTTGATCTGTAGTTCTAAGATTTTTACACAATCAATCTTGCATGGTTTGTATTTGAACAATATTCAATCATTTAGTTCAAGCAAATTTGGTGATGTTCCCCAGTCTATATTGGCTTCCATACCAAATCCAAATTAGAAAAATGTGAACTGTCAAGCATACTATATTCAAGAAATTCTGGGAAATTTAATCATACTTGTGAGTTATGTGTATGAGACGAAATACACACACGTTTAGTATAAAGCCGCAAAAATATATATTGGGTTAACCTATGTTAACCTGGTTTGTAGTTTGTCCAAGCAACAGCTATAAATATAACTCTTTCTTGGTAATTTATTTATTTAAATTCTTTATTAATCAACACTTCTCTTACTGTTACAGCTTGCAATATTTGATGTTGCAATGCTGAATAGTTTCTTGAGGCTATTTGAGAATTTCAAAGGCAAGAAATCCCCTATTGGTTTTAGAGATATGAAAATTCTTGGTTCACAATGCCATTAGCCGTTATTGTATTCTCTAAAAGAATTTTAAATATTTTCCCGAAATACTTCTTCTTTCGCCTGTCTACAAGTGCATTTGTCAGATACTTGTTGGAAACATGTGGCAATCCCAAGAGTCTAAAATTGACTCACACCCCCCTACACCATCTGTGTACAACCTAAGTTAGGAAATCTCGCTATAAACTTTACCTTGCTGTATTTGTATTCAGCAGTACGATAAAATAGTGCTCAATCTGTGAGGTCTAAATCCACGATTTCCATCAGTACTTTCTATCTTTTCAGAAATATCCTCACCAGGTGGTTAGATGAGTAGATCATCAGCAACCAATCCTTCTGAGGGGACAGCTATACAATAACTAAAATATTTAGCCTTGTCAGTAATTATCTGATTGGTTACCGAGACCGAGGAATTAGCAGTGATACTGGGAACTATCAGTATATGAGAAATATTGGCAAATGTAATATCCTATATTTCCAGTGCGGAACCGGAAATTTATAATGATATAGTTTCAGTAATAATGTAAATAACAATCGAAACGATAATAAAGAAAACAATATAATATTGGTTGTTCGCGGGTCTATTCTTAAATGTTGCAGAGATATTTTCGAACTTGCTTGCAAGGAGATCCTTTCTGGTTATCCTTAGCAACATATCATATGCCGTTGTCCCTGCTTGGGGTCATGGAATAATGAATTGTAAGAGCCACGGCATTTATTTATCTCAAATCGTCCTTACCGTTCTTCATTTTGACCTTCATGGAGGCAGCTTTGATTATTATCAATAATTATTTTTCCATATCCGAATATCCAGACTGGGTATCACCCTGATACACATATTTTTGTTTAGAAAATTATATTGTGTCATACAAACTAAGTCATTCTAAAAATAAAACCAATAACGGTCAATTATCATTCATCAGTAATAGCCCATAACAACCGTTATATCAAGTGGTTAATATTAGGCTACTAGTTATATATATCTAAATAAAAGTTCCATATTCGGTTACACATTCATCATGAATGACTATTTTTATTTTTATTTATTTACTTTTTATGTTTTTATTTTGCTGCTTCAACAGAAGTACATGATTGTAACAAATAAGCATTGCTTAATTAAATAAATTAAATAACTAAGTAAGTGCAATTTGAGTAGTATTTAGAACTTCTAATTCAACCAGTTACATCCATATAAACTTACAGGAAGATCAGTCAGAATTCATGTTCAAAAGCGCATTCGTTTTATGTAATGCAATAATTTGCTAGACTATATAGGAAGTAATTCTATAACTCAAACAAATACTTGAGCTAGCGATATAGAAGAGGGCCTATGAAAGTATTAAAACTTGCTATTTCAATCAAAACCCGAAACTGGAAAATTAACAATGGTTATTGTTCATCCCTTTACGAAAATTAAACCAATCACAGAGCACTCTCCATAGAAAAAATAAGATGACAAAAATAAATAAATGATCGGAATTGATTAAACAGATTACCGGTTTTTATCTTTTCCATCTTTCATTGTAAAATTTTTTACACAATATATAAATAGCCAATCCCTTATTTCTTCGCTTAAAATTTTTCTTGGTATTAACCTATTGTAAAAAAACTGAACATGGTCTCTGTTAAATTTCTTTCTATTACTGCCTTAGCTGTATGCTCCCAAGCATTCCAATTGTTACATGACGAATCTGGATTCGCAATCTTACCTCCAACAAATTTAGTCTTGGATAATTTGAAACAAGCTGAACAACCAGAAAGTTCCGAGTACTACGATGTTGTTTCCACTATTAATGACAAGGGAGAAATTGTTCACGTTAACATGAAAACCCACAAGACTAAACATACTGGTCATTTCAGACACAAGTACGACAATTCCGCATACAAAAACTGTGATATGAACAAATTATTCGCCAGAGATGATTCTGATAGTGTACTCAATGAATGTTTCAATGTCGAATACGATTGGCAAACCAGTCAATGTGGTTTTGACTTTGTTGATTATGGTAATGCTACCGATTGTAGCTCCGATGCTACCAAGTATTCTTGTGTTGTTGGTGTTATGAAGAGCTTTTCTGCCAGTGAACAATTAAAGAATATGGATGATGTTCCTGCTCAAGTTAGATGTTACCACAAGCTTAAAGACGCTCAAAATGATGGTGCTCAAAATGGTGCTTGTGCTAAGTAAACAAAAAAAAATAGTCAATAATATTTACTAATATTCATTAATATCTATGTACAAAATAGTAAGTGTATTTAAATAGCCACATCACCAATACCAATAATACCTTCAAATTTATAATTTGTTTCACTAGGTACTTTAATCTTATCACCTTGGGCATTAATAGGTGAGTATAAGTAGTATGCCAATAAAGCGTTAATCACAGCTCTGGTTTTAGATTCATTCAATGAAGAACCAATGGCTTCACCTAACTTTTCAGTACCAACAAAAACACCGGTAAGATATTGTGGATGACTAGAAGCTCTACCGGTTTCGGCCATTAATCTTATAGAAATAGGTTGGTCAAAACCTAATTTATCACATAATCTAACTAATTCCGCACTTGGTTTCGAGAATTGAAACATTTGATCTAATGGAATTTTTCTGGACAAGATATGATCTTCTATAAATTTCTTTGCTGTATCTTCACCAGAGTGGGTGTATAATCCACCAATTATAGCTCTTACAGCGGAGGCATAAGCTTCAGCTTCACGAGAATGTTCAGTTACACCATCGACTAATTCTTCGACACCGGTTTCTTTAACTTTCTCCTTTTCGGCATCACTGATGTATCTCAACTTTCCATATTTTAAAAATTCATTTTCTTCCCCCAAAAATTTATCAAGTTTGGAAGTAGTATCAACGGTAATCCCCCATGATTTACCAATTTCATACAAGGCACTGGTACCCATTAAAGAGTCAACAGCGGCATTATGGACAGACATAGGTAATCGAGGGTAGTGAATTAACAAGTATTCAGTGACATAATAACTCAACATGGTCTTACCCAAGGTATTTAACCCAAAATTGTTAGCTAATCCGTCATCTTTAAATAATAAGTTAAGACATTGGGATAAGGTAGATAATGCAAAGGTGGAAGGCAAGTTCAATCGAGAATGTAATGCAACTAATGGTGCTGATTGTTCTGCCAGGGATTCAGGTAATCTGTGAGTGAATAGATTATGTTTGTAACTTGAATAATCTTCAACTGAATCATAACTGGTCTTTAAGACGGTCTTGGCAGTGGCAACTTGGTAGGTACGCACAGTAGTTAATATTTGTGGGCGGCAAATAGCTGCTCTCAATACATTCACCCTTGGAGCTGCTCTTATTACCAGTCTTAACATGCTATAGTATCTTTAACTACCTGGTTGGTCTGAACGGTTGATAAATTTTCACAATTTTTTTCTTCTTGTTGTTGATGCCTGCGTATAAAACTCGAACAAGAAAACTTTTCAATTTGGTCACGTGCGAGTTACAATTCGTTTTGCAGCAAGTATCTTTCTTGTTTAAAGCAGTAGTAATTGCTCAGATAGATCAAGGTAGTAAATAGGTTACATATATATTCATATTTAAGCATAAACACTTATTGAAAAAGATAAAACTGTCCTATTCAATGGAGTTATTTCTGGATCGCAACCAGACATTGATAGCTCAGACTGAACAGCTATCAGCATCAAGGTTTTATAGCAATCCATACAAAATTTCATACAGCCTACCTGAATAAGCCATTCAAAATATACAGACCTCATGGAACCTATATACAATTGTTTTATTTAATCATCGAAACAGTAGAGTTAAATCAATAAGGTCGTGCGATATCCAATTCATATTGAAAAAAAAATTCCAGCCAACCAAATCCGCGAAAAAGCTCCTTACAAAAAAACATCATCAGTGCTAACTACTCCATATATATAACCAAGTCAATTACACATATACCAAAGATGGCTCATATCGTCCCATTAAGTTTCCCAGCCATGGCTGCCATGGGTTCCGTTGTGTTAATTTTTGTTGCTATAAAATCACCATGGAGAAATAGATATCATCGTGTCAACAATGTCAGTCCAAAGGCTGATTTAGCTTGGAGAAATGCTGCCCAACAATGGCTTGATAACAATAGAGCATAAGTGGGATATTTCCCTCTTTTGTATTCAAAGGGTGATTGTAAAAGATCAGTCTTATTTATCTTGCATTTAGTTCAGTTTTATCGTGTGTCCTAAATAGAGGATACTTTTGCATGGGTTGTGTGTGTACAATATTCAAATAATGGTATATCTAGAATATATAACAGTTTTATTTATTAGCATTTATCAGTGTTGTTTTATTATCTTCAGGATTTCAGTGGTTGATTCGATTCAACTCCAGATTCAATGGAAGATAAATATATTGATAAAAAGTGGCATTATTCTAAAATCACTCTTTAATTGCGATTGGATTTTTCAAACTTGCTCTTATAGCCAATCTATATTTTTCATATATATATATATTGTTATGTAGATTTCTACCGTCAAGATCTTATCCGGGGATTCTAATAAGTGGGGTGTTGCAAAATTCTTCGCCTTGCAAGGTGTGAAGCTCAAACTGTAAGTACAAATTATCTAGTAAAGTTACACATATAAATCTATTTAAGCCCATATTTGAAGCTGATCATAAAAATCAACTCGCTTCTTTCCAGAATTATCAATGTTATTCCTACAATAATACCTAACATCATCCACCATCACAGGAACGCCACAAGCAACAAATGCAATTGAACCAGGTGACAGCTTGATTTCTTCTTGAATCAAAAGTTCAATGTTTGGCCTTCCTTCTCCAAATTGAATATGAGATAATTCATCTCTATACGGTTCACGAAACTCGTTACTCTCACTTGATTTTGTCTTTGTCAATTCATTTTTTGTGTTTTCCTTAGAAGCACTAATATCAGCTGGTTTCTTCGGTCTAGTTACATAAACTGTTGCTTCAATATTAGTCTCTTTTAACTTGCGTAATTGATAAAAGAACCGGTATACAGAACCATACTCTCTTACAATCCAAATCAACTTCAACGACTTTTTACTAGACTTTAGCCCAATATCCAACACTTCTGAATAAATACCTGGAATTCCATTCCCACCAGCTATAAAAACAGCTTTATCTGCATATTTTGCTGGCGAAGATCCTCCATATGGTCCTTCGACTCCAACTCTCATAGTAATGATATTCTCTGGAGATTTTTTTAATAATCTGTATAAGCTGTGAGTCATGCCACCTTTAACTTTCATATACATGATGAGATTCTCTTCATCTTGAGTAGTGTTTGTGAATGTAAATGGATGAGATTGCCAAAAATAGCCTGGTCTTAAAAAGTGTACAAATGCATAACCACCGGGAACAATTTTCCAGTGTTTTGGCATTGGTATTAACAAACGGATGGTTCCGTCCGTGCTTTGCAACATGATTGTTGCTTCTGGAAATCCGAATGCAAATAAACGACATATCCTTGCTAATCTGTCTAAACACCATACTGCTACAGTTGGATAAAGATATATTTCATATCCAAATTCAGCAATATGTACCCATGTTCCTGCCACGTATAATGCTGCCATCACTATGTGTAGAAGAAGGAATACTTCATAATAGTTTCTCCTGAGGTAAAGAATGCTTTGCATTAATAATAATGCCCCAACAATAGTTGCAATCACTCCCCAGTAGAACCATGGATGTTTTGCTTCATCTGCATAATAACTCTTGACAAGAATGGTATAATTTACTGAATGAATGACAACTAGAATAAACATTACTCTGGCAATATGTCGATGATAACATGAAAATGTCAGGTAGTTTATCCCACATATCCATTGTAGTAAGTTATTTCTGCCTGAGAACAAGAACAACAATGGCATCATGAATGTGGCAACAATCCCCGTTCGATCAGCGACATATCTTAAATCTGCAAGATACTTAGATCCAAAAACAGGATCGCTAGGTAGACCCTGGGTATTGACGGCATGAATGATTGTAATAAACACATAAAATAATGCAATGACAATAGATTCGAATCTAGTTGGAAATAAACAAACAAATACTTTCCAAAATGACAACGCTTGTGATTTGTGTTTTCCATATAATGCAGGCATAGACACATGTTTCCTATAGAAATTAGCAATTGGAAAAGTAAACCTCTTTGCTATCCCTGGAAATAACACTTTAGTCCAATGACCAAACATGTAAATCAACAAAACAACCAACCAGAATCCAAATACCGAAACACCATACCAAATCGAATAATCGTAATTCAACAAGAATCTATTTGTCACCTCTTCATAAAAATCCATACTGTTGTTTTCAAACCTCAATGGCACTTGTAGTGGTGCAGTTTGATCGTTTTCTCCAATATCCTCAACTTTTTTTGCATTTTTGTTGAAAAATGCAAGTGATTTCAGGAACCAATCTGGATCCAAATCTATATTATAGAATTTATGACAATATGCACCAACGTAATCAATTTCTTTTGTTCTATTCCTGTTTTTATAAGTGATGCATCCTGCTACTGTGGCTAATGCATTCTCACATGAACATAAACAGTCTTCTTCCACTGACCCACAAAATCTCATATTGCGTAAGAAATTGATCTCATACATGCATGCATAGAAGGTTTTGGCATGTGTAAACCATTCAAATTTGGTCTTTGCTAGGACATTGGTGATTAATACAAATAGTATCAATATTGATTTCATATTATAAGTGTTGCTTAAAGTGTTTCAGGCGAAATGAATTTCTGAAAATTTGCAACAATTTACACATAATACTTTCAGGCAGGAGCATACATTTACTAACTTTTTCTTTAAGATCAGCGAAGGTAAACAAAAAAAATACTTAATCTGCCCCTTATACAATCGTCTCATACAATCACATGTTTGTTTTGACTTTTATCAGGTGTTTATAGCCAATCAATGGTTTGCTTTTGGAAAATATTTTCTTGGCACGGCTAATACAGCTAATATTTTCAACAATGTCGAAGCGGGTATAATTGCATCAATGATCAAGACACTTTTTACAATTAACCAATTGGACAAGACTATATGATGCACTTGCAGTATTTTTCTTGCTCTTCATGCTAGGCAACAATCCAATTCATACTAATTTGTAAAAATGGTTCATACCACATCTCTGCTAACCAAATGTATAGCACTTTAGTATGATTAATTTAATCTGCTAAGGCGTGAACTTTTGTTTCTCCTTAGTATGGATTAATTTATCCAAGAAATATAAAAAAGTGGAAAAAGACTGTAGTAAATTTTATATTTTCTAAAACCTCTTCTTCCTTAACAGCCATAATTTGACATATTTGAAAAATAATATTCATATACAAAATGGATTTAGATTACTATGAATCTTTAGGATATAATGAAAGCGAAGAAGTTTTAATTAAAGTTAAAAAAGATATATTAAATTCACTTGAATTAGCTTTATGGACGTATGAAAACAAGTATGATATTGATGAAGATATTATAGAATATTGTGTGTCATCTTTTGTGATACATGACTACATAAATGAAAAAACTAAAGATATCCTAAAAATACATGATCCAGTTACATTATGCAGTTACAATAAAATAAAGCAATCTTCATTGAATAAATTATTAGAGATAAATAACTCTGCTGTAACTCAAGTGAGAATTGGACAAGCAGCAATTAAATACGGATTTAAAGAAATATTCTTGAAGTTGAAATTTAGAACAGATGTAGCATTATTTAATATGTGCACTACATACGAAACAAAAGTGTTTCATGATATTATGATGGAACACATTTATAAAGGAGAAAAGGTAACAGATTTTCTAAATTACGGTTGTATTACTTATGAAAATGAAGAAATGGATGATTTAGTAAAAGGCATAGAGGATTCCATGATATAAATAATGAGAAATTAAAGGAGGATTTTGAATCATATCGAAAAATTACTCTTTGCATATAAAATCTAATATATTCTTATGGTTATGCTTATGCTTTAGAAAATGGGAATGTAAAATAGTCCTGAAATAGTGTATTGTAAAATTGGAATCGTCTTTAAATGCATTATTAAACTTGTTTTTTTTATAAATAATGTACGAATTGTAAGCGAAAATGCCTACCAATAAATGAATATGTACTAATCCAACATTGAGTTGAATAAGGCCATGTAATGCATCATTTTGACAATTTTCATGTAGTATAAGTGAAAAACATCTATTGAAATGCTTTGACATGATGTGTTCAAATCATCTTGTTTTGACAACTGTCATACCCTCTTTTGTGTACAAACAAAAAAGAAGCTTCTATTATTTGAAATGTACAAAATATATTCTACACAAGGTATCTGTCTATAAATTCATTATCCCTGTTTAATCTGAGATAATTCGATATCCTCCACCTTTTCTACGGACAATTTACACCAATCTGATTCAAGCTTCAAGAAACACCAAAGCCATCTTCTATAAATTTCCAACAATTCAACAATGGTGTACCCGAATGAATAAGCATCGTATCCAAACAAGAAGGTAGAAAACAAATGCAAGTATGTTACTTTATGTTCCAATTCTTCTTTAATTATGAATATTTTCAAGAGCCAAATGAATCGTAACATGAAATCAACAACTATGGCAAGATAGTACACTGGTTTCTTATATGCCAAGTTTCTTCTCAATGGTTGAAACTTGTACGGATGGTTGATGTTGAATATGAAGTCAAATAACCCTAACGACCAATCCATTTTTACATCCCAAATGAAAGAATAAGTTGAGTTTAAGGCCAGAAAGAAATACCAATAATTGTTAAGTGTATTTAATTGGTTTAACAACTCCCCCGATTTTCGCTCAGCATCGGTTGAATTTATCAAGGTTCTTTTGATTAAAGCATTAACTATTAAAGGGCCCAAATTAGTGGAATATTTGATTAAATTGAACAAATGCAGTCTTTGACCCGTGATTTGAATTTCGTTATAACACTGTTTGATACGAATAAAAGTAGGAATGGCCAAAACAAACATCTCTAACTTGTAATCGTAGTCTTGGTTAGGTGCGTAATAGTAAGTCCACATAAACAAGGAGAAATCATTCAATACTTTGGCATAGGATACTAAACTATCACTTATAAGAATGTCATTCGTTCTCATGCTGATTGAATTAATATTACCAATAAGGATACGCTTGATTGTTGTGAATATCCTAACCTGGCCCATAGTGTTTGTGCTTTTATAAAATACTCGATAGAACAAGAATGCAAATGCAATAGCTGGTATAGGATAGGAGAAATATTTCAACCATTCATACCTTTGAAGGACTTTAAATGCCGCCCAACAAATGAGATTAACAATCAGTATTCCCTTTAAATCATTGTAAATCCCTCTGATCAACCGGGTATTTTCTTCTCTATCTGCAGGTACTGTAGTAGCAAATTCACCGGTGGAAGGGACAATATTGTCTAGTTCGGCATAATTATGATTTGAATAAGAAAGGTTGATCAATTGAAGTACATTTAATGGTGATAAATAATATAGGATTACCACTAGCAAATACCAAAAAGTTGCTCCTAGTTGAATGAGAAACAATATTCTGAATGGTAACGGTATTAGATCATTGAATAAGAACGTGTTTCCTGGTTCAGGCATGGTAATGTTGTACCAATACTTGAGAGTCAATATAAAAGTTACAACCGCGTGTTTATTTTTCGTTGAAATTCGCGAATTATAAAATCGACACACTGTCAGAAAATATGACAGACAGACAGACAGACACAGAGTTGGCAGATCAGCAGAGTAAAAATGTTAAAGACATCGACTGAGGCTTCAGACGTGAAACTTGTCTAGCAAGTTAGCACGATTTAGGTATGTTTTAATCAAGAAGTATTCATGATTAGCATGGAAGCATCATTAGCCAAGTCGTAGTCTTATCATAATAAATCTACAAAGGAAAAGACAGAGAATAATTGATGGTAGTAGTGGTATATTCAGTAATATATATATAGTTCTATATCTATTGTTACAAGTTAGTACAAAAGTCTTGAATAACCTTTACAGATGCATTGATTTACAATCAGAATTTTCAGTGTTTGGCTAATGTATCGAATCGGTCATGGTCCTGAAAAGGATCCTCCGTTTGGGGCGACAAAGTGTCATCATTGAAAATCAAATAATCATCCTGTGAATTAAATGGAACATACAAATTACCTGGCAGTTCGTTGCTTTGCTGAAGAATAAAACAGATGAAAAAAGTGAAAAAATTCTTTTCCCCTACAAAAATTTATACCAAACAAATCCATCGCACAATTACCATGAGAAACTGTTACCCGCACATGTAAAATATATATGCCCTTACATTTACACCTATACCAGTGAAAATACTACAAGATGTCTATTACACAATGAATTACTAATTCTACTTCTTACCTCTAAGTTTACCCTTCAATTTCTCCTTTCTAGTATTTTCCCTACGCTCAGCCTTGGACAAATATCTAAATTTCTTCTTTGGTTTACGTTCAGGTTTAGCAACTCCACAAACAACAGCATAATTCTTTGCTTTTTTAATTGACTTTTCTAACACAGCTTCTGATTTTTCAAGGTGCACATTGTTTGCTCGAGCAATAGCTTCTAAATTTGCTTGTTTGGCACTTTCTATAACTGGATTATCTAATGATTCAACAGTAACTGTTGTTTCTTCGTCTATTACAGAATTAGATAACAATTCTTCGTTGTCTACTTTGTAAACTTCTTGGTGATGTAATATCCCTTTCAAAGGTTGTTCTTCTTCATCATCTTCTTCTTCTTCATCATCATCTTCTTCTTCCTCTTCGTCACCTTTACCTTCTTCAAATCCATTCCAGTCTTGATCTTCTTCGTCGGATTCACCCACAGTGATGTCCTTCATAGTCTTATTAAAAGCCTTTAATTGATTCTCCATATCTCGTTTCCGCTCGTCTCTCATTTCTTTCCTTTCTTGAATCCTTCTTAATCGTTCTTGTTCCTTGATATAATCTTGAGCTTTCTTTTGTCGTTGTAATTTACGCTTATGAAAACCAGTAAGGTATTCCTTACGTGATTCTTTATCGAAGACTACTTCATCGACTAAATGTTTCTTGGCTGCTTTCTGAGCGTATTTCTTACCACCGGTAAGAATCTCTCTGTTCCTTTGGACCATCTGTGTCTGTTGTATACCCTATTTGCAATCAGAAAGAAACAAACTAAAGGAAAAAAAATCTCAATGAGCATCACCATTTGTACAAAGAAAAAATTACTCCAAAATCACCTAGGATTTGCTCTAGATACAACACATAGACATCATGGAAAATATAGACAACGTAAGATTATTCGTGCAGAACCTAGATGCATCAATAACAAACCTCGAAGAATCACTTGTGCCTCTTCTCAAGAAATCACTTGCTGAACTCACATCTACTCCTGGCCAAAGTCACACAGACAAGATCAAAATATATAATAACTACGCATATGTCTTGGTATCAACTATATATTCATACTTAAAGAGTATCGGTATCGATACCGATTCCCACCCCATTAAGCAAGAATTAACCCGTGTGAAAAGTTATATGAATAGACTTAAACTGTTAGAACTGGGAGAAATAAGTGAAGAGAAACAAAAACAAGCTGCGGAAGAACAGGCCAAACTGTTCTTGGCCAGAACCTTAGGAGTGAAGAGTGTTGGTGGTGCTATTGATTCTAAAACTGCTGGTCCTGCTATTAGTTTCCAAGGTACGCATACAAAATTTGAAGATAAGGAAGAACCAAAAGAAGAGACTATAAAAAAGGTAACAAAAGAAGTAAAACCCAAACCAAAGAACAAGTCCACAATTAAATCTGCAACTAAATCCACAAGCAAACCTACAAAGACCAAGTCAGGTAAGGTAACCAAACCAAAGACAAAATCTAAGAAAAATGTATAATTATATTATATAAACTGTAAACTCAAGAATTGAAATCAAACATGCATCTTAAGCGTAATATTCTGTAAACACATGTTCATGTTTTAAATTTTCTTCAATAACATAATAGATTTCCATCAACATATGAGGAAACTTATCATTGAAATATTTATAAAACCCATCTGGCAATGGGCTCATTTTCAGTTGTAGACTCTCGGGCATATCATTGAAGTGATGATACTTGTTTCTGATAGCCCTAAGTAAGTCCATCAATTTATCTTTGTTATATTTTCTATACTTCCCCAAATTATCCATGAACTCGGTATCAAATCGCTTATGCCAATCACCATTGTGTACTTTTCTTGCTTTTTCTTCTAATTTCAACAATAATTCACTAGGTGGGTCACGTCTCTCAACTTCAAATCTATCACTTACTTTCAACAAGAATTCAAGACGTTTCCCACTAGACCAGAATAGAGGATGTTTAAGGATCTTTGATGTGTTTGGTCTCAATGCCGGTTCATGATTGATCAAACTTGAAATCAAATCAGTCGCTTCAAACTTATCATTAGGACATCTAATCTTCAACAATGTTAAATCATAATCTCCCTTGATGATATTCCCCTCACGAAGATACCTGTCACCAAATGGATGAGAACCACCGGTTAAAATGTAGAAAAACACACACCCCAATGAAAAGATATCAATGGCCTTAGTCAATCTCTTACCAGAAGATGTCGATTGAGTAGTACTGTTGTTCTGAGAATGGATAGATGAGATTGAATCTGGAGATATTTCCAATAAATCTTGATTCAATAATAATTCAGGCGCTCTCCATCCAGAAGTTCCCAGAGCAGCATGTTGTGTGGTGGCTCGGAACGACGATTGATCATTATCTAATTTCTTACACAATCCAAAATCGGAAATTAATAGTCTAACATTATTCTCATGTTCACTAGGAACATTCCCATTTTGTAATTGTTGATTATGCTTGGTTTTCTTTATATCAGCAACTAAAATGTTCTGGGGTTTAATATCACGATGAACAATCTTTAATGAATGCAAATAATGTAATCCACTCGCCAATTGATATAAGATATCATTCTTTTTGGGTATCAACAACTCGGGAGATTTCTTGGGTTTTTCAATTATATCCTCCAATGTACACAAACATAATTCCAAAGCAATATAGAGGAATTTTTCCAGTTCTGAAGTCTGCGAACAGAAATATCTAATCACATTAGGATGATCATCTGATTCTTGTAAAAGTCTCACTTCATGATTGGCAATTTCATAGAAATCAAGTAACATACGTTTAACTGCTACTGGTCTATTTTCAAAAGTCCCTTCAAATACAACAGTTCCATGAGAGCCATATCCAAGAATCTTATCTGAAATGACTAAATTATTTTCAATCTGCAACTTCTTTTTAGTAGATTTACTTGGAGTCATTGGAATAGACTTAACAAGACTCTTGGTTGTGATAACTGGTTCTTCGTCTTCTTCGACTTCCATTTGTTGCTCTGTATCATCATCTTCATTATGTTCGTCTTCATTTGATTTATTCTTGTTAATATGCTTACCACCACGTTTACCACCTCTTTTTCCTCTCTTTCTTGGTTTCTTGATGGCTGGTGTTGATTCTGCATCGTCGCTTTCAGGTTCGACTGTACCTTCTGTTGTAGATTCAGCAGTTCCATTTTGTTCTTCTGGTTCAACAATAACAACTTTCTTCTTCTTTGGTTCAACTTCTTGATGTTCATCATTGGATGAATCGGAGCTAGGGGCGACAACTTCTGTCTTTTCAACAACATCATCTTTAATCCCGTGAACCTTTTCCATGGCCATACCTTCAACTACAATAGTGGAAGGTGGCTTTACTTCTTGTTTATTGAGTACTTGTTGTGCTCGCAGTTCCTGATCATCTTGAATAAACCTGTATTCACCAAGAACTTTCCTCAATAATCGATTAGATTTTCCAAACGTCATCAATAACACAAAAATAACCACCAACACCGCCAAATCTTCTATTATTCTTCGCACAATGGCAGTAGAATTAACCCCACCGCCAATAGTCTTAGTCACGGGTGCTTGAGGAAGAGCTTCATATTGATCACTAGCTTCAAGAAGATATACATCTGATTCAAAACTAGGAGGCAACTTTTCAACAAACTTAATCCCATCCATTATTCCTGGGAACTTACTTGATTGTTGCTCAATAGTATCATCTCCATTTCCATCACCTATTCTCTTAATTTGTTCTTGCGCAGTAGTGTATCTTGCGATCGGTTGATACGAGGTATCACTACTTAATTGAAAAGCTCTATGGATTCCACTAATCAATTTCTCAACTTTGCTTTCGGATGCCTTGACTACATGGAAACTTTCAAGATAGTCCAATGGCTGAGTTACACCACCATAATAATTATTCAACATGGTTTGATAATTGGAAATAGGGGCACTCTTGATAAGGGTGGGATAATTTTCAAAACTCATAGCGATCCATTGTTGTGAGTTGGATGTTTTATTAACAAACACAAGATCATTATTCGTGGGATGATGTTCTTTAATTTGTAAATTATTCAATACTTTCAATGGATGTGGGAGTAATATATAATCTCCAGTCTTGCCATTATTGAAAATATCAAAGATATTCACAGCCAATGATGGTAACTTACTTATCCAAACAGGAGTCCCGATATCTTTATTGATCGCTAATAATGACCGATCGTGGAACGGGGTAAAATAAAGTTTATCCAAAGATTGCTGGTTTTGTAGGACTAAATCATTGTCAATATTATTTGGCACCCATTGAGAATAAGTAACATTCCATACAATGCTGCTATTGGATTTAGAATGGATTGCTAATTCATAGGTGGTTTTCCCAATCATCACTGTATCATCTTGATATTGAGAACTGGTTGAATCTCCCAATGGAACTTTGGTATTTGGTACTGGGCACTTTTCATCACTTCCAAAGGAAGATTTAATTTCACCAGTATGGATATTTATAGTGTACAATGAAGTTTTCCTCGTTCCTGTATAAATCTTATCATCGCCACTTAAGGAAAATGGAGATTCCATAACCAAATCTTTGATACTGGTGGGTAGTTTATTCAATCCGAATTTAGGTGTAAAATAATACAAACTTCCGTCTTGATATGGTTCCACAAACCACAATATATTTGATTGAAGATTATTGATGCTATTATTAGTCTGGATTTTAACTAGTGGTTCATCAATGGGTAATGTCCACATTAAACTACCGCTATTTCGTTCTACCCCATATAAATGACCGTCTATGTCACTAATCAATAATAAATCAGTTAAATCACAGTCATTTATTGATCTAGCGTCCATAGGAAGTATCGATGGTGAATCTTGTTGATTCGGTTGTGGCTGTGCAGGTTGTTGAGCTGGCGCGGGCTCCTGCTCATTATATACTTGCTGGGCAGTGAGATACCCAGCATTCTCTCGTCGTGGCGTGGATAGCACTATTGATGTGAATAGTACCAAAATAGTTATGGCGGAATATAGTATTTGCATGGTTATATGTGAGTGGGGTAGTTATATTAGGAATTATGTTGGTTGTATCAGTATTAGTAGTAGATGAAAAGAATAAAGGTATTTAGCTAGTATAAAGCAAAGATGTATGTACAGTAGATTAATCTATGAGTGTGACATGAACTATGTGGTATTGTGTTTGGTTGTAAGTTTTTGGTTGTAAAAGGAGAGAGGAAACCAGGAAGAGAAAAAAAAATTGAGTGAGCAAATTTACTACAGTATAATAAATTTTCTGACTATCCAAAAGGAAGGGGCAGAATGAGGGGGTGTGTGGATTTTTCTTATCCATGGACCAGGGCAACAATTGACGATCTTATCGAAATTATAACTAAATGATAATAGTATATGGATCTATTATCCATTAGTGAACAAGCATTTGTTGTAAACTAGGATTACTCATCATTACTTGATTTTTCACTCAAATCGTTAAAATTGCCTTATGTTCTGCTCATTACTGTAAGGTCGGTTAAATTTATTATTGTATTTTTTTAGAAAAAATTCGTTTTATTATTTTTTCTTGTCCTTGATATGTCGTGTACTTTGGCTAGATCCGTTAAATTTACTTGTTTACGTTTTTTTTCTTGTCTTCTAGATTATTCTTTTTCGTAAGTGTTTTGTTTCAAATGTTCATGTGACTTTTCTTGGACTTAACTTAATCCCAACATGTTACTAAAGATGTGATATATATAGGATAAACGATTATTAACCTTTGAATTCAGTATTTATTTGATGGCTTGGTTATTAGAAGAGTCCAGATTTTTCTCAATTCCCTTCGCCGTGTCAATGAAGACCAAGGTGTTGTCTCGTGGTTAAATGGCAATTAAACTTGATTTGTGGGATATTTTCCTCTCTATTCTGAAGCCAAGTTTTAGGCCCACGGTTTATTGGTCAATAGCAGTATGCGTTTGATCCTGTGCTTAATGGCAAGTTCTGCGAGTTGGCAACATCTTTTGTTATGGATTACATACATTTTCTTTATCTATGGTCTCTACTTTGGCATTTACTAATGGATGAATCATCATTAAATATCTTTTCAGCATATTCCTAAGTAAATCTCCCATTATGCTGTGTTTTTTTTTTCCATGTATTTTAAAAGTACGCCACGTACCAATTGCAAAAGTAACACAGAAGGCATTAATCGGGTTTGCATCAGGTAGTTAGTTTAAACATCCAAAAAGCCCTATCCAAATTTCAAATACACGGCGTTAGAAATATTTCTCTATCATAAATCATTGCTTTCTATTACTCTATACTAATAACCTTATTTAAATACATTTACGACTGGAATTGCCCTAACTCCGGCAATTTATCCCCGTTTAAATACTCATGAACAACCTTTAAAGAGTTTGGATCTACTTTCATACCATCCACTTTAACATATGGTTGCTGTTGCTCGTTATAGTAAACTTGTTGTTCAAATTGTTGCTGCCTAAATTTGCGAATAGAAGCATCCAATTCATAATCACCATTAGATTTAGTTCTTCTCCCTAAGGATGATTTTCTCTTTGATGGCACTTCAGCAACACTTGCTGCCATATCTAAATATTCACCCATAGGGTATGGTACTGGCGAGGATTGGCGTAACAATCTTTCACCTATTCCTGGAGTGGGTACTCGGGATCTGTTGGACTTGTTGGATGTGATTGATGAACTTCTGGACCTAACTTTCTTCATTTTTATCTCATCTGATAATTTAGATGACGAACGTTTATGCCGTGGGGAATGGGTCGGCAGCTTCACTTTTTGTTCATATTTGTGTCCATTCAATGCAACAAGTACATTATTTAACAATTCAAAGAACCTTGCTAAGTAATAATCAATAGAAGTCTCTTCGGATTGATAATCTATAGGTTTAAGGTATTTTGACCCTAACTTATTTAGGACCACTGACAACGACTTGAATGAGGGTATAATTCTATTAAAAAATGGGTTAATCATTCTGTCTTCATAAGACTTGAAATTGGAGTAGTTTCTGAATCCTCTGCTAACAAAGAAGTGGTTCAAGGAACATAGGTTGTTATTGTGACCATAGAACAACCATAGCTTTATGCAAGAAACCACATATGAGATGGCAGTTCTATGCACAAACTGATGTTGTATGTATTGCAATAGCGCATAATACAACCAATAATTTAGTAAAAACTGATATGAAGCTAAATGAAACTCTATTGTTGTATCTAGTGCTTTCATGGATAGCAATAGGGGTATAAATGTGGTAAACACATTGAATATTATATCTATTAGGAATAGCATGTTGAAATGAGTGGATTGAAAGGTGGCGAATCTGAAAGAATGTAAACTAATTCAAGAAACTTAAGTTTAAATTTGAAGGTAAGACATATTTTTATGGTATGCTAATTAAAGCAACTGGGAGTAATGTGGTACTTATAACTCCCCTTATTTTTTGCTTTGCCTTATTTACCGGACAAACGTGACCGTATTGTTTTATGTGGGGGGGGGGGGGAGCCGATGATGTAGGGGAGCAGTGCGCGGCGCCGCACCGTGACATGTTTCTCTATCTGCAACTAATCCTAACGGCGCCAGGATCTAATTCTTTTTTCTGTTGGCCCAAATCTGCGATCTGGTCACACAAAGTTGTTTTAGCAAAAATTTAATTACGAAACGAATTGCTACCCTGCAGGAACAATTACATCATTGCAAATAATGCCCCTTTGAATTTGTACAAACACACAACACACTTTTGTGGCCATTGCTTCGCCACCGCTTAAACTTGTGCTATCATTCTCTAGTGTAACAATTGACTACAATAAAGTTAAACATTACACAATGTATTATAATATGATGCTTTGTGAGGTTGACGGTTTTGTCGTAAAAGGCTTTCCCGCACTTGTTTTAAACTTCAATGAAGAGTTACGACTGTAAACCATACCATTGTCAAACAGCCTCAACTAGTAAAATTAACTAATTTTGAATGGCGCAACTAATCCCGCACCAAAACCGGACGATTGCTGGCGGCTCGATAGGCACAAGTATGAAACAAATAGTGAATTATGCATTACTAACCTCCAAATAAGATTATAATCATGACGTCACAACACGTTAATCTTGATTGGCTTCTTTCAACTATATACCTGACCTATATTATATACTGTGATGTCATTTGACTGGACTATTCTCTATAAGTTCAATTCCTTGGTTAACCGATCTAATTTCAATTGTGTTAACCGAACAAGCTCCTTCAACTCCTGTTCACTATATTTTGTCTTCAAATCCTCATCCAAATCATAATCTTTTGATGATATCTTTACCTTACCCTCACTCCTTTCGCTTAACCAGTTCCACACGGAAATTTCCTGTTGTCTAATCTTTTCTTCGTTATTCAAATTGGTATTAACCGATGAAACGACCATATATTCCCGGTCATTAATCTTCATCCGTCCTGTATAAGCTGAAGATGGCATGTACTCAATAACATTATAATATTGTTTTCCACTGCCACTTAATCTATTAAAAACCGATACCGTAAGCATAAATCCCAATAAAATCATGATAGTTCCAACAATGCTGCTGCTTAAATATGGAATAGGAACCAATTTTCCAATAGATTCAATCAAATCTTTAAGTTTTTCAACAATTGATTTCTCAACAGGTTGAACTAAAGCTTCAACTTTTTCTTCTTCGACTTTTTCACGTTTAACAACTGTGAGCTTTCTTCCCTTGGTCATCTTTCTCTTTCCTACCTTCTTATCGCCTTGGTTGATCATTTGATTCAATGATTCGATTAATGTTTTCATTGAATCCTTTTGACCATCAATACTTCCTTTCTCGATAGCCCCCTTGATCCATGACTTACCACTCCATTCGATATTAGTGACTACATACATCTTGGCTTGATTATTTTCGGCCCATGTTAAAATAAATCTGGTTTTAATCTTGAATGAATTACCACTGGGGACATCCGGTGTTTGGGTAGTTTGTTCAACTTCATAATACTTCTCTGGATTATACTCAACCAATTTGTCTGCAATTATACATTTGGTCTGTTTAGGCCCGATAGGTCCACTCAATGGTTTTACATAAGTGTAATTACGTTCCTTGTTTTGTTTGTCCAATGCAGTGATTGATGATTCTTGAATTTCGATATTTTTCTGATCTTTTAATATTGACGCGTACTTTGCAGTATCGGGACCGAATAAAAGTAGAAAAATCACCCCAGGTGGAACCTTGAAGATTTCTTCTGCAATAAACACATCTGATGATTGTTTAGTGTAATTGGATTCGGTGGGATGGTGAGTCAGTGGTCCTACAATGGGCAATCCCTTGAATAATTTTGCAGAATCGGTGGTTGCTGCTGCGGTAGTATCGTTGTTAGGTTCTGCGACTTCAACATCATCATCTTCTCTATTGACATCAGCTAAAGATAGAACATCTCCATCCTGATTTATATCACTAGATGCAAGGAACGATCCGTCAATTTCATCATCCTCGTTAATATATTCATCAAGGACTTCGCTGTCTTCGTAATTACTCACTAAATGAGAAAGATTGGAAGCTCGTGTATCTCCTCTGGCTCTTCTGATAGTTTTTCTTGCATCAACATCAGAATTTTCAAGTAACACTCGATGCCAAACATTGGTTATCAATTCAAATGTACTATCACGACTTAAAAATGTAGCAAACACATATTTATGATGCAAGGTTCGTATAATCATCCCATTGGGGAATAACCCTGCCGTAGATTTCTTTTCAATTTGAATAACTTCATGTAATGGTAGAATGACATTGGTTACCCATCCTAATATATTGGAATTGAAACATATGTAGTGATCACTAAGGTACATTTTCCCCTGGACTAGAATATCTTTGGAAACAGCACAACTAAAATCATCAATTAGCTTTTCAGCTGAGGGCAACTTCTTAAACACTTGATGGAATTCCTTGTTTCGTTTCTTCAGTGCGTGTTTTAATTTTTTAGAATAGTCAATTATATTATCAATTTCTTCCTGTTCGGCCAGAGAAATATCTTCCAATTCAGAATCTTCGATGATAGTCAGTTTGGCCAGTTTGGAATCTGATAAGCTCTTTGATCTTTCAGGTTCAGAATGTTGACCATTGCTGCTGGTATTATTGCTATCTAAAGACATTGCTCTTCTTCTTCCGTTTACTTGAAGGGATTGTGATGATAAAGGTGCTATAGTGGTAGCATTATTGCTAGGCGTATTGCTACTTATTGACTTTCTGTGCACTCTTTTTAAATCTGCTGATCCATTATGACTGTAAAATGCTGGTGATAATGTACGGCCATTCATATCCGGGCTTAATTCCCGCTTAGGACGCTCGGTTGAACGGGTGGAGTTTTGACGTGAAGGTAGTATTTCTCGCAAATCCATTGCTTGATCTTTCGCCTCAAAGTCATCAAGTGACAATTCTCCATGACCAAGGGTATTCAAGGGTGATTCTCTAACTGGTGCAAATTGAACATCCAGGGCAGATATAATTGAAGCGCCATCATTATGTGAGTTGGGCTTGTCATTCAAACTGGCTTGATCGCCATCCGTCGTTGATTTTATATCATTATCATTTTTAGATGCTTTAAGCCACGTGTCTAACTTGTTTGAAAATGAATGGTCCTTCTTCTTGGGTGTTTCCTCTAGTGAACCAGCACTAGAGGAAATTTTGTTTGCTGCAGCAGATAAAAGAGAAGAAAGGAATCCAGTAGATTCTGACTTAGAAGGTGGCCCCACTGTAGCTGTTTCATCTTCTTCAGGGATTGGAGCTGGTTTGGGTGTCGATGTTCCTGGTAATGTGTGCTCATCCAGGGTGGTTATGTTCATTTTTGTTTCTAGACTGTCTGTTTGATTTATCCGAATGATCGGAGGAAGTGGATTTGCATTTGTTGAAATGGTCTGCGATCTTCTAGATGTTGTAGCTGCCTGTGGAGTGGTCTTAAGGTGTAGGCTTTGCGATCGCGGAAGCGTCGGAGATGGGTTTGTCATGGTAGTACCGTTAGTTGTAGTTTGAGAAAAAGCGGAGGCACCCATGTAGTAACTTTGTGACCGCCTATTTCTTGATCGTCTAACTGAAATATAAGTATGTGGTACTGGAGGAGGTATAAATAAGTTGAATTGTCGTTTGCTACTCTTTTCGTGATTAATTAGACGATCCAAATTGTAATTGCCAAGTCTACGGTTTGATGAGGATTTCTCCGTTGGCATTTTCTTTGTTCTATATTTTTTTGCCTTTTTTGTGATAGCAATTACGTTGCGCTCGTGCCAATTGTGAAACGAATTATACGTAACCTCGTACTTTAACTTTTACTACAAATAAAGAAATCGTGTGTCATTTAAAAGGTTATTTAATTAAGATATGTGTAACTGATGTGGAGAGATGTTATTGTGGGTTATAAGTTTTATGCTTGGCAGTATTTAGTTGTTACACGTTATTGCTAATACTCCTCTCTTGAACCAGCTGAAATTTAGCGCGTAAAAAATGTTCATGGGAAAATTCTACGTGTGAATTTTTTGCGTAGTTCAATGGGTGCAAAATGAACACACACGACTTTTTGTGTAAGCAACTATTATTGCAGAACTATGTACTATTTGTTAATAATTTATACTATGATTAAAAGAAATTATAAACTCCGATATTGGGTGCTTACTCGAACAACCCTGGCAATTCTTGTTGAATTTTTCTTTTTAAAGACCATAATTTGTACTATCATCAATGCTGAAGACTGAAATCGGTAAAGAAAAAAATCAGAATTAGTTTATACAAAAAAAAAATTTAATGCAATAACAAACTTTTCTATTGGAGGTATCTAGTTAGAAAACTATAAACAAAGAAAGCGTTGAGAAACAACAAAAAGGACGACGGAGAAGAAAATAAAAGTTGAATAACCATCTGGTTAATTTTGTTATGTTAGCTTAGTTGAATAAAGCAGATAAAGACTTTTGAACTTGTCTTTCAAGGTAGGAGTTAGCATCGTAATCAACGTTGAAAACAGATACAGAAGCAGAACAGTTCATGAATTGAACAACATAGTTTTCAGATGGTAACTTGCAATCACCATTTTCACAAACTTCAAGAGCATCCCAAGCAGTTTGAGTCCAGACGAAAGAGTCGGAAGTCTTGTTATAAGTAATATCAGCACCAGAAGCAAAGTCACCGGTTAATCTGGAGTTAACCCAGGTAAGATCCTTACAGGTTTCGTTCAAGGAACCGACATTTGGGAAGTTAACGTTAATACCAGTACCAATTGGTAAAGCACGACCGTAACCGTTCAAAAGTTCATTGACTAATTCAGTAACCTTGTTGGCGTAGATGGTAGGTGGAGACATGTCGTCATCTAAGTTCAAGTCATCTTGGAAGAAAGAGTTGTTACCGTTAGAACCAGAGAAAGCAACAGCTGGTAAACCTCTGTAGACAGAATTGTAGGCAGCACCGATAGTACCAGAAAGGGTGAACATACCTGGGGACAAGTTGGTACCTTCATTTGGACCGGAGACAACTAAATCAAAATCAACAGATTCATTGAAGTATTCTGGGAGGTAAGTTAAAGCGAAAGCAACACAAGAAGCTGGAGTACCATTGAAGTACCAGATGTGGTCATCGGTTTGTTCGTGACCCCAAGATGGAGAACCAGCTGGTGGGTAGTTGAAACCACCGTCGGTTTCTAAGGTTGGGGAATCTGGAACATCAAACTTACCACCGAAACCAGATCTTTGAGAGACTGGAGCAACCATGTAAACATTGTAACCGGCATCCTTTAACTTGTAGTAAGTAGCTCTGATGTTGGTGGCAGCCCAACCATCATCGTTGGTTAAAAGAATGTTCTTACTAGAAGCTGGAGGAGCTGGGCTTGGAGCAGCGGAGACTAAAGTAGCGGCAGCAGATAATAAAGCAATAGCGGTGGTAAGGAATTGCATTGTTGGTCGTTAGTAGTAGTTGTTGGTTGATGATACGAATGAAAATCTTAGATTCACAAGGGAATTGGACAACTATTTATACAATTCGAATTGTTGATACCGGGGAGAGTATTGTTAGTAATCGAAAGTTAAAATCTAGTCCTCACTTATTGATAAAGGGGCATCGAGGGCATCGTGGGCTTTGTAAAAGTTAATTGTTATGTATATGGGGACGGCACCTTTATGATGCAAAGTTAAACATATCATAGAGAAAAACAATTATTACATGCATAAATATGTAATAAAACAATGGATGAAAATAATTCTACATGCAGGATGATTCCTCTTTAGTTATGGAACGTGGCTCATTTTTTGGCTAAAATAACATATGCTCTTAGCAATAACTATCAAAGTTTCTGTAAGCACTAACGGTTAACTCGGGATAACCCCCGAATCGCTACATTACCTTAGATATGACAAGTTGCAAGAACGCCAAGAATTGGACAAACAGAAAGTTTGCTTAAACGGTAGAACACGTTCTTGTCTCAAATCTGGTATGATCAACGGTGCCTTATAATAGAATATTTTATTAGAATAATTGATTTTCTTTAAAAAAAAATATTCTTTTCCAGGAACAGAACGGTAATTTTCAGGTATACATTTACGACAGGCTAATTTTAAGTGCAGGATTCATATTACTTACTACGAGATACAGAATTCTTGCAAAACGTGTTGAAGTCAATCATGTCTTTTGATGTGAATTTCAGCATGCTTTACCAAAGGAGTGAATTAAAATCTCAAACAAGGAATCACCATGATGTCACGGCCAAGAGAATAAGACTACCTCGCTAAAGTGGGGTACAACGACACAATAACGTTTCAAGGGATGGGGATGGAACTGCGCAATAATTTGCTCTAAGATGGAATAAACTCTTCAGAATTAGGAAAATTAATAATATATCTAATCATTTAACCGAATTGCCGTAATTTACTACCTGCCGATATTATTGTTGTATGCGAAATTGCAAATATTGTTTTTGTGCCATGCGCTTGTCTTAGATAGTGATGACATTACAATGTGCGAAAAATAATCCACGTGGGACATATTTTTTTTTTGCAACATCCGGCCGGAACAATAATAACTGCGATACCGGCTCAGTTTGGACCGTCCATAATACTCAATATTTACGGGGTAAGATCATCATTCGTTGTGCTCTAATAAATATTTGGATTTACAAACGTATTTAAATAGACAATTCTAATATATATTTTGGCTTAACTATGTAAATAAATATTTCTCTTGGTATTCAAATTAGAACAATGTTTTCAAAGCTCCAAAAACTTGGTGTTGAATTTGAGCGTTAGCATCGTAGTCAATAGCGTAAACAGAGACAGAAGCAGAACAAGTAGTATCAACAACCTTGGATTCAGATGGTAATAAACAGTCACCGTTTAAGCAGAGTTCAAGTGGGGCGAAAGTAGCTTCAGAGAAGGTGAACATGTTAGAAGTCTTGTTGTAGGATAAAACAGGACTTTCAGCATAACTTCCACTAATTCTGGTCTTAACCCACTTAGGGTTGGTACAAGTTTCGTTTAAGTAACCAACATTAGGGAAGTTAACGTTAAGACCAACACCGGCTGGTAAGACTTGCTTGTTCTTACCTTGAGCAGCGAAAACCAGGTTAACAAATTCCACAATCTTGGTACCATAAATAGTAGCTGGAGACATGTTATCAGTTAAGTTCATGTCATCTTTGAAGAAAGAGTTGTTAAAGTTATTACCAGAGAAAGCAATACCTGGAACACCTTGATAAATAGCATTGTAAGAGGCACCAATAGTACCAGAACCGGTGTAAGCAGCCTCACCTAAGTTATCTCCTTCATTTGGACCGGAGACAATTAAATCGAATTTAAGACTCTTGTTGTAGTACTCTGGAAGATATTGTAAACCAAAAGCAACACAAGAAGCTGGAGTACCATTGAAGTACCAGATGTGGTCATCAGTTTGTTCGTGACCCCAAGATGGAGAACCAGCTGGTGGATAAGCAAAACCACCGTCGGTTTCTAAGGTTGGGGAATCTGGAACATCAAACTTACCACCGAAACCAGATCTTTGAGATACTGGAGCAACCATGTAAACATTGTAACCAGCATCCTTTAACTTGTAGTAAGTAGCTCTGATGTTGGTAGCAGCCCAACCATCATCGTTAGATAAAAGAATATTCTTGGAGGAAGCATCAACCTTTGGAGTTGGAATGTTTCTGGCCAAGGCTCCAGTAGCAGATAATAAAGCAATAGCAGTAGTTAATAATTGCATCGTTGTTGTTGTTGTTGTTAAAAAGTTTCATCAATCAAGTTTAAGCATGAAAAACTATGAACTATTTATAATTTTCATTTTGGATTCCTTTCCCATTGTCATAAAGCACCCCCTCATCTTACATTCCGTGTAGAGTATCAGGTTCAGCCTATAACGACCTTGTAAAACTATAGTTTATTTAGTTGAGACGGGTGAAAATTTAATAACTGCAAATTTTCTAACTCTGAAAACAATGGAGGCGCTTTGGAAGCCTCTTCCAATTTTTTGACAAACGTGGTCTATTTTTAATTCTTGAACTCGGGGAGCACACCCGATCATTATAGTTGTTAAGTTGGACGTGAGATATCTTATCTTGCTGAAATCTGCTTCTAATATCATTTCAACTAAACGTGGGATATTCGGGATTAGTAACTATTCTGAAATCTAAATGGTTGTATTTTTTGAGAATAAATTGAAAAACCGTTTGATGCCAGGGGTACGCTAACGAAGAAAATAAAGTTGATACACACCCCCAAATTAGAACACAAAATAATTTATTTGGGATATCCCACATCTTGATTATTGATGTGTATTGTCACCTATTAACAATGGATCGGTCCTATCTCCTCTTCTAGAACCGGGCCGGGGGAAAAGAATTTACCTTCTTAATTTTCAAATAGAAAACCTAGCTATTGTTATGTTCATATTACACTAGTAGATGAGGTTATAAATTCGCAGAAATACGTACTAGATATAAATCACAATGGATACTTTTGAAACATTAAAGAATGTAGGTTAATGATACAACTTTGGAGTTGAGTATCAGGTGATCTTTAACTCTGTAACAAGAAATTTGACTCGTTCAATGCAACTCGTAAATCTATACCTCCTTTTACTTGATAATTAGTACCCCCGTGGTCCGATTCTGTTTATTTGTATACGAATCTTGAACAAATCGATCAATTATAGCCATAACTATTTTAAATCCGTACTTTCAATATGTAATTCAAAGGGGCTTGGAACTTGATAATGCATATCCATGCATTGTTTATCCTGCTTGTGGGGTCCACGTGGATTAACGGATAAGCATTTACCCCTAAAGTTAATCTATTGATCACAAGACCAATCGAATAAAATGAATATCGTTACTAATATTGTTTACTAATATTATTTGCAACAGGTGAGTAAGCGCAAATTTGGGAGGTGTTCTAGGCAAATCTATTTTCCCCTTATTTTTTTTGGAACTTATTTATTTGAATTATCAGGAAAAGCTTCTGAACACTATTTTAACTATGCATCCAATAATTGTGGAAATTAATCATCTTACAAGTAAATGTATAATAGTAGTGTCTTTATATTAAATATTTGATATAACTTTGGATAACCTCTTGTGTACAGGACAAAGCAGTTACTCCTTTACTAAATTTGACAAAATTTTAAAAATTTTGTCAAAAGAGATTAACCTATCATATGGCCAGATAACAACACCATATAAAGACAGTGTTTTAGATCGACTAAACTAAAATATTCTTAGGAACAAAGAAAGAAAGAAAGCATTAAACAATCGGTTGTATACACTTGGTTGCAAAACAAACCAGCTGTATGATATACCACGGCTCATAGGTAAGTACGGCTGACTTTACAATTTGGGTTAAAAGACAAAGAAGAAGTGACAGCAATCTATAGGAACTTAGTCAAGTGGTATAACTCAAGCCTTACCCCATTTTAATAGCATCGCTAAGCACATAACAAAAACATTCCAAGTATATTTTACATTCCAGCCATCATTCAGTTATCACGTGACTAGGTTAAATCCCCACTTTTCAGTATTGACAGAATTTTTGTTGAGATTGATTTTTTCTTTTTACACCCTCGGCAAATGCAGTTGCCATTCCATTCAATCCTCCACAATTGTCACAGCGAAAAAAATCGCAAGCAAATTCAACACAGCTAAATTTACTACTAATATCTGATGGGATTATAGTCATTCTAATTCAAGCATATACGTAAATATTAGCCAGAGAAGTCTCATTCATAACAGTATAATATTAATTATTTAGTCAACATGGCCATATTTTCATCCTTAGCAGGCTTTTTCAAACGTCACAAGAGAAAGATATTAGTTACAAGTGCTGTAACTATATCTATATACTTCGCCATTAATGAGTTTGTTATAAAGAAGTTTCAAACTTATCAAAAACAATTAAGGCAAGAGTTAATATTCAAGCAGCAGATTAAACAACGGTTTATTCAAACACAACAGGATTGTTACTATACCATATTGGCATTACTACCCGTATTAACCAGCCCCATTGTTGAATATTTACCTATTGAGTTGATAACTCAGGCATTAAGATTGAAAAAGAACAACAATGATAAACCAACTGGTGACAATTCTTTAACTACGGACAATTTAAGCTTATTGGAGAATAACAACGATCCTGAATCTAAGCTTTCCTTCTATATGAATAAGTCGAAAGTTGAACTTTGGAACTTGTTGAAGATCAAGACTATAACTAGAATGTTAACTTTGATGTATTCTATTTCTGGGTTGTTTTTGATTACTAAGTTGCAATTGAATATTTTAGCACGAAGGGCATATTTGGAATCAGCCATTTTGATGGCTGGTGTTAAAGCTACAAACAATGATATTGACCCACATGAAAACTATATTATTGAACAAAGTTATCTTTCCTTAAGTTGGTGGTTATTAAATAAAGGATGGTCTAACTTGAATTCGATTATTGAAGCTCTAGTTGTGAAAAAGTTTGAAAAGATTAACCCAAAGAGTGAACTTACTGTTGGCGAGTTTGATTCAATTTTACAAGAAATTATTATCGAAATTAATACAAACAACAAAGAGTTTATCTTGGCTAACATCTTCCCAATAAACTACCCCGATTTGTTGGAAACTATGCTTAATACCAACCCTGATTTGATGCATTATTTGGATACCCCAGATTCCAACTTAATCAAGTTGATAAATGAAACCAATTCAATTATGTTGGATAACGGGTATGTGTTTGACTTATTAAACACTTTAATATTGACTAATTTAAATACTTTATCCCAAAATTTATCAACTGGATTAGGTGAAGCATCAGGTAGTTTATTATTACTGTCTGCAAATTTACAAGATTCACAAAGATTAGTTGAAATTCCAAATAAGCCATACAAGTTGGCTAGCTTTTTGGCCCAACTTTCAGTACAAAATGGAACCATCATGGATAACAACAATATCAAATATGATGAGAAGGAAGAAGACGATGATGACATTCAAGGGTTTATCGATAAGTTGAATGTGACTACATTTCCTTCTAGTGAGAATAGTGAATTTAGTGGTAACGCATATGTGAACAAGATGAATGAATTGCAAGACTTGGATGATTTCAGTGCAGGCATATATTCCAACTTTGAATAGTTGGTGTAGCAAAGTATACTTATATAAAGCGTAGCAAAGATTAATACACAAGGATATACTTGAAAAGAGTAATTTCTGAGGGGGAGGGGGCGAACTGAATAAGCGATAAAATGCATTTGAACAAGGAAAAAAAAAAAACGATATGCTTGCGCATTTTTTTTTATATAAACAGGAAATTTCCAAATAAAAGGTGACTCTTTCTACCACGCAACTCTTTTTACATCCACACAGTTAGTTAATTACAATGTCCACGCCTAAAGTTATAATCATTTCATCTGACGATGAAAAGTTCCCTGTTGAACAAAAAGTAGCTGAAAAGTCAATCTTGATTAAGAATATGATTAATGATTTGAATCCTGACGGGTTGGAAGAAGATTTTGAAATTCCAACACCAAATGTTAGATCAAATGTTTTATCCAAGGTTTTGGAATGGTGTGAACACCACAAGAATACCGTTTTTGCCGATGATGAAGATGAAGATGTCAAGAAGTCCTTGCCTGTTGAAGAATGGGATAAGAACTTCTTGAAGGTGGATCAAGAAATGCTTTATGAAATTATCTTGGCTGCTAATTATTTAAATATCAAACCTTTATTGGAATCCGGTTGTAAGATGGTTGCTGAAATGATTAAAGGTAAATCCCCAGAAGAATTGAGAAGAACCTTTAATATTGTCTCTGATTTCAGTCCTGAAGAAGAAGCTGCCATTAGAAGAGAAAATGAATGGGCGGAAGATAGATAAGTACCATTTGTAGTGTGTATGGCCTAGTGCTTTAAATTATATGTAATGTTGAAAAGTTAGATAAGAGATATATGACCTGTAATATTGTTGTAGCCGCGTGTTAACTTTTGGCAACATCTTGTAAATTGGAGTAATCAATTTGATCCAACAATACAAGAACAAATTTTACTACATTGCTATATTATACTCTATTATTCTACTGTTTTCAACTCCAACTAGTTCCCTAAACAATCCTGGATCAGTTTCATCCTCCCCCCCTCCTTTGTCTAACCCCCTATTTTACAGGGTTAAAGTTATACCAGGTACAACATAAACTTTGTCAAACTATGGCCAAAGTACACTACCTTTGTGGTAGCCAAAAAAAAGAAACCAGACAAAAAAAAAGAGTAAATCATTTGTTCTAATTATCGCAAAAAAATACCCAGACTTCAATTTTGACGATTTACCTCATTCCACTTTCAAGCAAGCAGTGGCTGCAACTGGATAGTTTGTGTGGTATATTGATTCTTTTGACTTAAAGAGGTTACAGCTGGCACTTATATTTATATTTTGATTTTTATTAGTGCTTGTTTGGAGTTGTGAAGTGAACAGTGTTATTTTTCCCGCCAGCTATACTAGGTAATATTTGCAATATGTCTAAATCACCAGAATTCCAACCCCAGTTTCAAGAGATTGCTCATTATTCGCTTGATGAGCTCACATCATTGGAAGAGAAACTCACCCGGGAATTTAGATCTCTCGGAGAGAAGTATTTGACTGCTAGACTTTCTCGAATAAACACCATGATTGACAAACTAAATAATCTGATAAAATTGTCAGTTGCCAACGACAAGAATTGGCTCAAGATTTATAATTTTGAAATCGAGACTATAAACAACATAAAGACCAATACCGAGGATTTAGTATTGATGAATAACGGTATGCTTACTCCTACTAATGATATTTTGAAATCCGTGGATGAGTATGAAGAGGAATTAAAGGAGATATTCAAAAATTTGCAAAGTCCTCTAGATTTCGACGATACCATAACTAGAAGCGATCTGGATCACCAAGAAATCTCTGCCAAATTGCCATTCCCATATCTATTCACGCAATTATTTGCACCTCATAGACAATATCTCAAGACAGTTATAAATGAAAAAGATTATCAAACAAAGTTAATCGGGAATGTACTGAAGGGTAACTCTGTGGTTATTTGGAAGCAGTATTACACTAATATGATTAAACGAAAACAAGAATTGACTCAACAAACATTGGATGATTTGAATCGGTTATACAGGGAGTATCATCACTTGGATAGTCAGCGAGTAATGGAGAATCACAACAAATACTATTATCGGTCAGTTTTATCTCCGCAAGAACTAGTCAAGACGTTTAACACCAGCTCTAGAAGAGAATTAGATGCATTTAAAGGTAACCACGATTCAGATTATGTTAATCTTGACACCAGGCTCATTCAAAAGAATAAGATTGAATTAACATCAATAAGAAGAGATATAAAGGATAAGAATAGGCATGTTTACAAACTTGATGAAACCAGGTCTTTATTAAAGAGAAAACTAAAGAACCAGGAGGACGAAGTAGCTAAAAGAATTAAACCATGTGATGGTTTGGATCCTAATGATATTGAACAAGATCTTTGGCTTTTGAAACGAAGTATCTCTATGAAAGGAAGAAGTAGTACTGTTCCTGCTAACGGTCACCATAGAAGTATAATTGAAGAAGAAGTAATCGAGGATGATGACGAACTGGAAGATTATGACGACGAAGACGCCGAATACGAGGAACAATCACCTGAACAAAAAGAATTACGGGATAAATACACACAACTTCTAGGACTATCTACAGCAACAGAAACACCATTAATAATTTCAGATTTGCCCCCGGTGGAGAAATTCCCGAGGTTGATTGATGGATTAAATTACAAACTTAAATAAACCTAATCCTTTTCTAATAAAATACTGGCATTTTTCAAATTTGCCTCTTCAATCGTTTGATGTAAAGACTCTATAAATTTAAATGATTTGTTTGAACTGTTGGACAAATTAAATTTATCTTCTGAGGAAATTCCAAATTCCTCTCCTTGCTGTTGTAATACGTATTTCAACCATTCAAATAAACTTTGGATTGTATCTGAAGGGTTTAATTTTCGTACTAATCTCTTCCCGTTGGGGAATCTTATTTGGACTCGAGTGAATGGTTGTGCATCAGGTTCTGCATGATTAATTGGTTGAATTGCTTCAAATGGATCTTGTGGAGTTGCAGGTGGCGGAGTTTCTGGTGCTTCGGCAAATGCTTCCTCGTCACTATCAAGAATAATGGCATCATTTTCAGTATTCCCCGCACTTTCCAACATTGATTGTTTCATAGCTAACTCAATTTGTTGTTCTTCGGTTAAACTGTCAGGATCAATTTTAACGTCATGGGTAACTAATGGGTTTCGTGAATCGGGTAATAAGGAAAATTTATTTAAGAAGTCGTCAACTTGAGATAACCATTCATCTACTTTAGGAACTTCTCCGTCTTGCCATTTGTACACTCTTTCCCCAGTCAATGGATCCAATATAGCTAAATGAGGGAATGCATCTGCATGGTAAAAATTTACATAAGTTTCACCATTTGGAGAGTCTCGTTGATATTGCAAAAAGATAAAAAATTCCTTGACTACTTGTTTAACATGTTCATTGGACCAGAAATCTCGATTCATAACTTGTGATTGAAATTCCAGAGAGTCTTGAATGTTTATTAAAATCCATTTGGAAGTTTCTTTACCTTGTTGTTTTGCCATGTCAAGATTTGCCACGGTGATGATATCAAATGGAGGTCTAAACAATGCAGCCAATCTTCTTTGAGTTGAGGTTAATTCTTGATCTCTTGATTCTCTAAGTCTTCTTCTTCTGCTGACTGGTCTAGCTTCCTCATCGGAGTCATCGTCAAGTATTTCTATATCGTCCTCGTCATCGTGAGCATCATAATAATCATGATCTTCCTCCTCGTCGTCTTCCAATTCTTCAAACCGGTTATCAAAATTGAATTGTTGATGGAATATACCTTGTTGCCTTTGACCAAATATATCACTTGGTCTGGTGAAATTGGCCATGCCAGGATGGAATCCTCCACCCAATGAGTCCACTAATGTCTCATGCCTGTGAATGTTCGCATCTGCTTCTCTAACTTGTTCCCCTTGAGCATAAGCTTCTTCTTGTAATCGTTTAGCTAATTCTTCATCAGATCCAGGGGTAGTTTCATTTGGAATAGCATTACTACTAGTAGCAGTTGTGTTATGCTGGCCTTGTTCCATATACAATTGCACAGCATACTCTAAATCTCCACCGGTTGCCTCCAAGAATTGCTTAGCAATTGCCTCATCTTCTACCCCCGTGACTGCTAAAAATGTTGGGATTTGTTCATCCATAGTTGCAAAATTCAACTTCTTTTACCCAACACTTGGAAGTGGTATACTTCAGTCCAACAATATATTGTAAACAAATCTTTACAACCAATTTTTGTTTGGAATTGGTTTGTCTTTCTCAGTGGCGGCCAAAAAAAAAGCATGAGCCGCACGAGACCAATGACTTGCTCCAGTTTACAGGGGGGCGGGTTTTCAGATTTGAATTTCTGGTATTTTCTTTTTTGTCTGTTTTGTTTCTTTTTTAGCACAAAATTGTTTGGGGTGAGTGACGACATTGTTGACGACGACATTCATTCAACATTTTTTTTTAATAGGAATCAGTCATTATTCTTTTTTTTTTAAATTGCAGAAAAAGAAATCAAAAGAAGTTTCTTCTTTTTCTAAATAAAATCAATTTCCTTTCCCGGTTTCATTATTTTTACAACAAAGTTTGTTCCCTTTTTTTGAAAACCTTTATAAGTTTTCTTTTAGGATTAGCTGGCTTCTTTTGTTGAAAGAGAAGGAGAAACAAGAAAAAGAAGAAGGTTTACTTCATATCAAGACCGTTTAACCCATCAGGTAACTGCCTTCCGATTTCCATTGTTTGATATTCTGGCCAATACAAGTATACCATCACAAGCCTTTTTTCCCCTGTATTCCAGATTACGTGTTAGTCTTGACTGATTCCTTACTGGTTTGTTAGTCACAGCTCAATTACGGCCCAGTTCCCAACTCCAGTTTTTAACAGCTCAGCTAAATATATTTTAGGTTTTACCTTTCCCCACACTACTACAACTCTTTGATCTTGCGAACACACTTGGATCAAGATTTCCACTTACCTACTACAACCACCAACACACTAGAGGATATACTCCACAACATTGCATTACTACTACAACTCGTACAACTGCTTGCGACGCGACTTTTACACCATAGCATTATACTACATTCCGCTTTTATGTCAATTTAAACTAATATAAACAACAACACTTTTTTTTAATTACTATTACTACATTATACTTTGCATATAACTACATCAGTTAACTCCTTACGAAAAGAACAATATTTAACAACAACGTCATACTATATTTGTTAAAAAAAGCAAAAAAAAATAAACAAGCCCACCCACAATCCCTTTGAACTAGAATAGACACAACAAGCTATATACGATAAGAAAAGTTCTTAGAAGCTTATCCTTTCATTTTATCCCAAGTTTTATTTGATTTTTTTTTTTGTCTCCACACATTTTCAGTTCATAACTTTTTAACGTTTTTCCGGCTTTATTTAGAATGGATGAATTCGAGCAATATGACAAGGGTCAATTATTAAGAAACCGATATCTTAAGGTCGGTGATATAAGTGAAGGTTCTTATGGATTAGTTTCCGTGGCCAAAGACACTCATTCTAATAACAAACTAGTTGCTGTTAAGTTCATTTATCCCGTCGATTACAAAAAAACTAGACAAGAAGGACAGCAACAACAACAAGATCACGGATCAAGACCAAATTCCAGTCCTGCCAAATTAAGATCACCCGTGGTGGAGTCTAAAACCCCAGATGGGAAACACTATAGACAATCAGTTATAAATAATTTATTAAATGAAGCTCAAAAGGAAATTAAGATCCACAAGATTCTTGGTGATCATCCCAACATTTCCAAGTTATATGATCATTTTGATACTTGTTTAGTTTTAGAATTTTGTTCCCGGGGTGATTTATACGAAGCCATTCATAATGGGAATGGTCCAGCCACAACTCAAGATATCAAGGATGTTTTCCAACAAATCTTAAATGCTTTGGAATTTTGTCATTCTCATGGTGTTTATCATCGTGATTTAAAGCCTGAAAATATCTTAATTGCTGAAGATTGGAGTATTAAATTATGTGATTGGGGGTTATCTACAACAACCAAAGTCATTACTAATAAAGATGAATTTGATATTGGATCTGAAAGATATATGGCTCCTGAATTATTTGATGACAATGTTGAATCATATGACGCGGCAAAAATTGATATTTGGTCATTGGGTATTATTTTGTTGACTTTAGTATTCCATAAGAATCCATTCCAGGTGGCCAATTATTCTGATAAACGGTTCATTCAATTTGTCAATAACCGTGAAGCCTTGTTTGACATTTTTTCAACCATGAGTGGAGATTTATTTTCAGTTTTGAGATTTTCATTAACTATTGACCCCGACAATCGTAATTTAGCCAGCATTTCAAATGAATTGAAATTGCTTAGATATTTCACCATTGATGAAGAATACTGGGCCAGTGATTATGAAGAAGAAGAAGAAGAAGAGCCTGAAGACATTGATGACGAATATGCCTCATATGAATCTGATGAAAAGGCCCATTCAGAATCTCCTACCGAAAAGAAGTTAACACAGATAGAACAATTCAAACTTGAAACTGAACCACTTACCCCAACTGTCTCGATTACTGACACCGAGGGTGAACCCGTTAAAGCAATTTTATCTAGATCTCCATTATCACCTCGTGGTGGAATTGAAGATATTCCACACAATCACAGAGCAGATGCACTTTTATCTTCCAGCACCAACTTGAAACCTATCCCAATTGGAGGATCAGGATACAAGTTTATTAGAAACACGAGAAAACCATTGAATGTAGCTTCATACAATCAAAATTCAAGTCGTTTCCAAAGTTCTTACAACAAGTTCAATCGTGAAGAGTATTATACTCCCAAGTCTGTTTTTAATCACTATATGGATAAATATGGTGAACAAAAGTTTGGTAAGTTGGACAATAGAAGTGGAAGCCCCTTTGAAAATGGAAACAAGAGACCTAAACATGCCAAGAGAACATGGAAGAAGAACTACAAGAAGAAGTATAAACCCAATAATAATGGCGGAGGAGGTCAGCAATATCAACAAAACCAGCATCATCCATACCATCACCAACATACCAGAAGTCAAGATTTTGCTAATGATTCCCATAATCACATTCACCCCAATCGCAGAAAATCAAGACTGTATTCAACATCTAAATTAAAACGTCCAATTTTCCAATCGTCTGGTGGTATGACTGGTAGTCCAATTAACAATAACTTGCTTTCTGCTAACCATCCAACTTTGACTCATCCAAATGTGAATGTAAATGGTAACAGTGCTCCATCTGCTACTTTATCCAGCTCTGGAAAGTATGTTCCTCCATATTTAAGATCTCCAAACTATCAAAGATCGCCAGTGATTGAACCATTGGTTGAAGAAATGGATCATCTTTCTCTTAATAACGACGACGATGAAGTTTTCCATTTGGAAGGTGATTTTGAATCTAAATCAAATGGAAGTGGCAGACAACAGCCACAACATCACCATTACAATAGTGGATATGGCAGTGATTATTCAAGCCACAACCGTCGTAATTCAAGGTATGGATGTGATAGTGGGTATAACAACTTCAATCTGCACCATGCTACTAATGGAACTCATCCTGGAAGAAGAAATTCGGTTGCTGCAGCTACAAGAAAGGCCGTGTTTGGTAATAACAATAACGTTGATAATAGTCAAATGTTATCTACGTCTGCCACTAGTACTTCCAGTGGTAAATACATTCCTCCATTTAAACGAGGTTCAGTAGGCACAGTGCCAGCAGTTAAGAGGTCACCACCAGATAGGAAGGAAAGACCCACATCCAGTACGTTTTCTGATATGAATAAGAATCCATTGATTCATAATCATGTATCTTTGATTGGATCAGAATGGATCTCTTCGTATAAGAAGGATTGGAGTGATTACGATGATTAATTATTTTACGACTATATATATATATTTCTGGGTGTATATCTTTTAACGAGTGAATTATGCATTTAATATAGTGTAGATCGCCGAGGTTAGGATTTATAAAGATGAATATATTCTAATCTGTTCTTAAATTTTCAAATATAACATTACATGGCAAGAGTAAAATGATAAAGCACAAATAAGAAAATAATATCCAGTGCAATAAACAAAATCTTGGCGTTATTTATTAGAACAAGAAGTGTAGATTCCTGATAAAACCAGTCAAGTGCCAATTAGTTTAAAAATAGCATCAAGCTTGATTCTATTGGTCCCTCTTTTTGCAGTTGTTGCATAAACATACAGCTATCAAAATATTTTCTAATGAAATCATACCAAAGTTGTAGTTTCATTTCTTTTTCACATGGTCATAAGTTAAACGACCAACTAAGAGTACAATTTTTGAGATCCTTAAACATGGCAGTAATCCAAGAAATGGAATAGGCTATTATTGTTTTCCCTGCCATCAACAGTACTGGGTCTCGGACAAACCTTGCATGACATGTTTATTTTTCCGGATTATTATTTTAATATTTATTTTATTGGTGATCACCTTAGAAACTTCTCTGTGAGATGGGTACAGAAAAAGGAATGATAATTGCAGATACTGCGAAAAACCTATATCTGGAACTAAAATTCTGGTTATTGATTCTTAAATGCTAGGATTTTCTCGTAGAAGATGAGGGGATAGCAGCTAGATAAGGTGCCCGACAAAAAAGCCGTTCTTTTTTTTTTAACGAAACTCGGGAATGACTAGCCGTTAAAGAAACAACAATGATGTATGCAAGATCCATGATTGCCATTGGTTTTAAGTTTTTTTGGGGTCACGGTAGGAGGATTTCATGCGCTTCCAAGAACTCGTCTATTTAAGGTATTTTTCCTACCATACTCTAATCTTTCGCAGCTAAATGCTATTCACTTCACCAACAAATGCAACAAATTTATTTGCTATACTATTCACTACTATTTTTAATAACGACCATGTATGCCGACAGCACAGAAGCTCAAAGTATTGAACATTTAGTTTGAATTTATCTGCACCAACATCTTATCCTGTTGAACTAGAAGAATCTACTGAAGTAGAATCAATTCCATATTGTGAGAAAACCACTGAAGTCGAAACGATTCCATATTGCGAGGAGACCAACGAAGAAGAATCAATTCCATATTACGAGAAAAAAAAATCGAAGAGATGATTTCTAAGGAAGGAACATTCGAAACGTTGAACCAAGTTGTCTACACTACTACTGTTTCAGACAATGTTGCTGAAGTTATGACATCAACTGCGCCACCACCTAGAATACAAATTAGTACTGACACAAAACTATATATCTAATTACTGGATGGTACAGCCCCAAGTCATAGATCTAACGTGTTTACGATAAGTTTCTGGTTGATTTCTATGTTGATATTTCTTTGATAGAACTGTGTTTACGAGTATATAATCGGCGATTTAATGATTCAAAAACACCAAGTAGGTTTCTCGCAAATAGCAAACGAGATACCTTATAAAAAAGGGTACCATGCACATGCTGCAGGAAAGAAAGAACTGCAGAAGAATTCCAACATGACTCTCGGTCGTAAAGGATAAGATATAAATAGAATCTCCGAGCGGGTAGTTCTTTTTTTTTAGCGGCAATCATCCCCACAACACGTGACATTTCTGATGGCAGCAAGGCGGAACTTGAAACCCGATTTAGCGAAATTTACTTCAAATTGGTTTTTGCGGAATGTTTCAGGTTTCTATTCTGAAACACGAGGGGAGAAATATGTATGGTGATTTTGTTTGCTTTAACGAACCGGCGAATATAAATAAGCCACAAATCCGTTTCAATCTAGAATTCTAAAACAATTTGGTTTCTTCCTGGCCTCACTTTCTTGTTTCAAATTACGCAATCTGTTACAAAGTAAAACTTGCTCTCTATAATTTGTTAAGGACCGACACAAAAGGTTAGAAATTCCAAACAATCGCACAAGAAAAATTTAGGCGCTTTTTTTAATTCACCAGATAGTCCATTATTATTCAATTCTAGATTGTTGTTGTTATTACCACCAATTTATCAAAGTGCTACTGCGCAACATACCATCCCTCTCAAGAGCTCACCAGATTTTCGGTAATTTCCGATACTAAATTTATTGCTTGGTATATCACTTTTTCCAGTTTATAATTCAACCATACCTTGGAATATTACACCAACCACGAACACCCTATAACTAACCGAAGCCTATACAAATAGCTATCGCTCAAACATGTCAAGTGAATTACGCACGTCCGATGACACATCTTCCGAAGCAGAAGTAAAGGAATCATTACGACTAATTGAAGATTTGAAATTCTTTTTGGCCACAGCCCCAGCAAATTGGCAAGAGAATCAAGTTATTAGACGATATTATTTGAACCACGACGAAGGATTTGTCAGTTGTGTGTTTTGGAATAACCTTTATTTCATAACTGGGACTGACATTGTACGATGTATTGTATACAAGTTTGAACATTTTGGCCGGAAAATCGTCGACAGAAAGAAGTTTGAAGAAGGTATATTTTCAGATTTACGAAATTTAAAATGTGGAACTGATGCCATTCTAGAACCTCCTCGATCAGAATTCTTGGAATTTTTGTTTAAAAATTCTTGTTTGAGAACCCAGAAGAAGCAAAAGGTATTCTTTTGGTTTAATGTACCCCATGACAAGCTAATGGCAGATGCATTGGAAAGAGATCTCAAGAAGGAAAAGCTAATGCAAGCTCCAACTACAATTGCAGTGAGAGAGCCAGCATTATCATTCAACTACGATGAATCTTCTAACTTGTATACTCAATTAACAAAACATATGGACCAACAAAAGAAAATCAATGATGCAAGTTTGACAGAGTTGGGAGAGCCTAAACAAGACCTCAGTACCCAGTCATCCCCCGAATATACTACAACGACAAGGACAAAGGATGAAGACTATGGTTACTTAAGTGAAGAAACACCAGCACAATACAAGACGCATTCAGACTATGAAGATGATTTCCCGTTGGATTATGTTGATCCCAACAATTCTAATCAAGAAGGATATATCACATTGGACCCTAACAGCCAGGCATATGTCTTGGATGACAATTATGAAACGTTTTTAGACCCTACACTTTTTGTCCCACCTACCCAGAATCAAACCCCCGCAAATCCCGTTGCCTTCAATGACGAATATTTGATTGAACAGACTCAACCCCTAAAAACGCCACTGATACCCATGTCATCAGCCAGTTTACAACCACGATCATCCAAATACTATTCTGTTCAGTCTGTTAATGGTGACGAATTCTTTCCGACATTTCAGCAAGTTCCATTATCAGCAAAATTTCAATCTACATTCGCAGGCCAACTCCCTACCCCAACATTTTTGAAGCCTCAGCCGATGCCAATATCTGCCACCGCGCAGTATTACGATCCTAATCAACTATTTGAACCCCCCATTGCATACAATGTCTTGAATTCCGAAAGTGAATATTGGGCAAATATGGCTCCAGCAACGACCACCACGGGGTTGCCGGTATATGAAGCGTTTCATCCCTATCAAGTAATGAATGAGCCTGAAATAGTCCCGGTTCAGGTAATGAACCAAGGCTATTACGGAATGGCACCTCCGGGACCACCAACCCAAAACATATATAACGGATACCAGGGAATGCCAAGTGCTAGATCTGGCAAGATCGTTAAAAAGAAGAGACCCAGTATTCTGTCAAAATCAAAATCAATGGACAGAGACAATCAATTCCGCTCCTTAAATGATGTAGTCCATTCCAAGAATACGAGGATAGTTAATAAGAAGGATCAAACCAGATAAAAGTTAGAGATGATGACATTTTTTTTAAAAAAAAATCATGTATTATTTATAAGTACTTAAATTGCAATAGATTCTTTTAGTTAAATTTATTTCATGTAATATTCAATCAATTTCTGTTGATGAAATGGTAACTTCATTTTAACTTCATTCAATGATGTTTTCGTTTCCGATTGAGCGTCTACACCCACCAATAATTTACCATAGCATACCGTAGCCAATCTTAGTAAATCCACATTCAGGCTCTCAAGGAAGTTACTCAATAAATGTACTAATCTCTGTGTTTGAACAGAAGACAAATCGTGATTCTCAACCACAACTGTTGTAAAGTACTCAAAACAGACAGTAACCACATTAGTATTCAAGTCTGGAGTTTCCAAATAACTCAACATGATTTCCTCTATTCTTTCCTTAGAATATATACTTTGAAGAATTGAATCCCAAATGCAATGAATTTCACCACCTGGAGATTCATCCATGCATGTCAGTTCCATAACCTTGAATAGTTTATCCATATCAATGGTCTCATTATACTTGACATTCTGTTTAAGCAACACCAACCCATTAATGACATCTGAATATGGAAGACTTTGCAAATGTTCAAAATAGACCCAAATATTTGCTTCCAATAAATGTTTTCCCTGATTATTAAAGTATGCCTTCACTTCATGATCACATCCCGGAAGAGACCCCAATATACCAATTAACCTCATTACCTTTACTGAATCAATAGGTAATTCCGTAAGATGCTTACAACAGGATTCAAACTGTTCCATACTCCACGCATTTAATATGTGACCACCACCAGCAATTTTGGCAATGTGGTAATCTTCAAACAGGGGAGAAGATACTTCATCCGTGCTTCTATCTTCTTCAATTTTATTGTCTTCATAAATTGCGATCTTTTTTGATTTATTAGATATAGATTTCAAAGGATCAATCTTTTCCATTATCGCTTCAATTGACAGTTTAGCGCTATTATTTCTAGAATTTTCATCAGTGATCTGCACCAGGGCAAAATTCTCCACTAGATTGGCAGCTGAGGGGTTGGCACTGGAAGACACACTAACAGGATCACGGGTGGGTTCAAATTGAATCTCATCAGGCGAAACCAGTTTATCTATTGGTTCTTTTGCTGGCAGCTTGCTCGAATTTCTCTTTTTATCTGAATCAATCCCAAACACATTTCTTGCTGGTCTAATCATGGTGAAATCCGTTGATACTTTAACAGGGGAGAAATCCATAGGTGTGGATTTCTGGAATGGAATTTCGGTCAAGTCATAAATGGATTTGCTCAATGGTTGTAAATTGAATGTTGAGTCTATTCCCACAATATATTCAATTTCTTCCCTAGTACTTTGATCAACTTGTTCGACAGCAGTTAGGAACTTCATATTATTAGTGGCATACAATTGACGAACCAACTGACAACATAATTGATAATTGTCGGTCATCTTGAACAGAATGACAAGATCGAAAAGAGCAGCAAGAAACTTGGAAAAATAAACATCAGCAATTGGAGCTCGTCCTAACGAAATCAGTAAAATCTGCATAATCAGTCTGGCTATTTCAGTCTTATGCTTGACGAGTTGCATTATTAAGTCTTGACTTTCATAGAAGTGGGAGGTATCAGCAACATTCAATAATAGACTTATTGCACTGTCATAAAAAGTATCGACATCAGTGCATGAAATAATCAAATCAACAGTTTTGGCATCAACTTCAGGGAATAACAACGAACATAATCTTAAGAAGTCCGATGGTGAAAATAACTTGGCTGAGGCTTTGAATGTTTTATCATTGGCCATAAAAAGTGGTTTCAACAAGAATGGTTGCTTGATGGAAATCCGTTTCAAAGAGTCTCGTACTTGTTTGGGCAATTCTTCCTGGGTTACAGCAAACTTTAACAAACTGATCCCTTCTACTACAACAGCAGTATCTTGTGATGATAAGAAATTAACAAGCGGATCTTGATCACTGGTATATGTAAATGGGTTGGAAACAGGCTTTGGTGGTTCAACTTTGGGTATAGAACCAAAGCTATGTGAACGAGTAGTTGATTCTCTGAGAGTTTGCAGCACCGGATCTTTATGAACAGTAGGTGGATTAGCCGGCCTCAAACTTCCAACCCTTAAACTTATACTAGTTGGCTCAATTGGTTCAGTAGTACTACGCACTAATGGTGCACCTAATCTCGTTGGAACAGATTTCAAGGGTTTAGGTAGTGGCTGAGTTGACGATATGTCAGGGGTGCTTCTTCCAGAAAGGGAACTTCTCGATCTCATTTCTCTCTTCTTTTCTATTATACTTTCACGTAATGAGGTTCTTTGCGGTTTTGTAACCGGAATAACAGGCCCTCTTTCACCAGCTCTGCTCAGAGGCCGCGATCTCTGTAATGCTTTGGTAGTATTTGAATCAAGCTTCAGCAATAATTTCTCACTTTGATCGGGGAACACTCTACCATATGTCCAGAAGCAATCTTTGGCCACCAGTCTGACATTTGGATTAGCATCTCGAAGAAGTTTAGTCAACACTTTATTCACAATTTCCACTACATGTGTTGCATGAGTTTCACGAAATGTAGAATTATCGGCATATCTCAATAGGATAACTTGTAGCCAGATTGCTGTATAACTTCTTGGCTGGTAATTTCGTTCTTCTGTTACTGTCACGATTCTCTGCAAGGCCTTAGGAGAGTATGAGATGTTGGCATAAAAGGAAGCGATACACATGTTGGCATTATTGGAAGTTATATTTTTCGTGGAGGAACATAATTTGATCAAGGTTGGAAAAACTAGTTCTGCAATGGCATCGAAGTCAGATTGTAAAAGCATGGCACATTCTTTCAATAGTTGACATCCATGCATCGACAAAGTAGTACGAAGGGAGCTGATGGCTTTAATTATACCGTTTGATAAGTCTTTGAAGCATATCAACAAATCGTGCCTGTAGTCATCTCGAGCATTACCACGCAAAATCGATCTCATATGAATTATATTCTTTTCCCTTATCTTCCAATTAGATTCGGTTTCTTTTCCTTGGAAACATGGCAAGTATGAATTGAATTCTCTTAAAAGTGTGGCCAGATCGTTAATATTTTCGGGTTCAATTGCTTGGTCTAGTTCATAATTTGTTTTTTGCAAAAGTAGATTTAACGAATTTGAAAAATCAGGTTGGTTCAGTGTATGCGGTTCTGGTTTTGCTTGTACCGTGTTATCTGGGGTCTGGCTCCTTGCTCTAGTCTTGGCTACCGATTCTGGTTTTGTGATATGGGGAAAGGTTTCTCCTTGTATTTGTATGGTGACTTTTTGAGCTTGTAATTCTCGTACTAAATCTTGAATCTGGGCTTTATTATGACTTTTGGAATAAAATGTATCTAATAAACCTCGTATTTGATGGTCAATTTTGCCATTTTGGTCCCCAGTTGCTAAAATTTTAACAAGGGTGGGTATAAACTTACCGAGACGGAAATTGGGATTGATGCTATTGGCAATATGGTTGATCCATATCACAGTTTCATATGCAAGGGTTGAATTTAAATTTATAAATGCCTGTTTTAAAATCAAATCTTCCACTTCAGTAGAGGCTACCATCCAGTAATTTTCAAGGGCATTTCTTGCCAATACCACGATATTAGACAGTGGGTCAGCCAATTTAGAAATCAATATTGGAACCACGGTAGTGCTTTGCTGTTTAAGCAATGACTCGCGCTTATCTTGCACGCTGATCCGCTTGATCAAATAAGATAGCGTGGAAAGACTGTTTGTTCGTATTTCCGGACTTGGTATGTCAACCGCAATAGCCAACAGGTCAAAATATTTGGGGACTAACGACAAATCAACAAACCCCTTTTTGATGCGACTTTTCAATCGCTGGATATGTTCTAGTTTCGTTATCTCATCAACTTCAGGAGAAGCTATGATCTGGAAAAGTTCGTCAGCGGGAATGATAGGATTCAGCATAACTTGGCTGCCGTTCTGTTGGTGTTTTACAAATCAAGAGTAGAAAAATTCAAAAATAAAAACAACGCGTGTTAGTGGGATCTTTCCGTGCGGCTCTAACGTCTACAAAATTACTAACGTATTACAAACACCAAGTGTACATTATATGAAAGAACTATATTTGAGGTGAAACCAACCACAATCCAAGCATTACTACAACAGTAGCACCTCCTAGCAACTTAGCTTGCAAGCTTGGTGAAATGCCTGGCAAGAAAGTAGCACCTTCTTCAGAGTCATGGCCAAACTCTATTGGACCTCTCTTGATGTTTCTCTTGATTGTACTCGATTGGGAATCGGATTTGTTGTTAGCAATAGACAACAAGTCTGATTCTACATTGTCAACAATGACCTTTTGGACATTGCCAAAGAAATCTGATAAAAGAACTTCGCTGATATTTCTCTGGAACAAGTCAGTTCTAATACCTGGGTGAGAATGAACGTTTTCAAAAGTATACTCTTCAAATAACTTGTCCATTGTAACTTTAGAGTCCTTTGGAATCTTTTCAAGAAAGTCTAAAGTGTAATAAGTGAACCTGTCAATAACAGCGACACCAATATCCATATCAGAATGGTGAGAATACGAGGATTCGTCAAATGCCGACGATCCCACCGCTAAAATATTGGGCGAGTAAATCTTTTCATACATGGTATTGGCTTGACAAGTATCAATCATAAAGAAAATTTCATTATATCTTTTCTTCTCATGCATTTGAGCAAATGCGTCAGCAATATCATACGCACCAATTTCTTCAGCATCTTGAAACTTCAAAAACTCGTTACCCCCATGACCAGTCAAATATATGAAAATGTTTGAATTTTCGTCTGTGAGTAATCTCTTGGATCTTGGTTGTTCATCATCCCATCTATCAGTCAATAACCGGATGAAATTCTCCACAGTTACTTCATACCCTCTGTAATCCACTTCAATAGAGTCACCATACAAATCAATTGCTTGATCCATATTATTGAACACGGTACCGGGGAACGCATTTCTTGAATTACAGGCCACGTCATCAGATAACATCAATATTATTTGAGAGTCTGGAATGCCCATTCTTTTGACGGTACGGTATAAACTCAACACATTCGCCATGTGTCGATAATTGAACCAAAACCGGGAGGTGGACACCAATACTGCCCAATTGTTTGTATGTTTTCCAACCTCATAATTGCCTTCGGATATCGGATCTGCTGATTCTGTTGATTCAGCAATACCGCAAACTATGAAAAATGTCAACAATAATTGGAATAGAAGTTTCATATTTTACAGTAATTAGATCGTTGTTGCCTATTAGTAATGGTTGTGTGATCCAGAAAAAAAAATGTGTCTTTATTTACTACTTACATTATTTTTCTCTCTGTGCAATTTTCCAGAGAATTGAATTTTTTGGGGGCGTTAAGTTTTCGGCTTTATGATGTGGAATGTCCTCGTCTGGGACGTAAGGGAGTATATCCTCGTCGTCCGGGTCGTAGGGTATGAATCCTTCTGGATACTTACTTTTGAATTTGTTGAATATTACACTTCTGGTATGCCTTGCATATATAGAATCCACCGAATAAACCAAGGCAACAAGAAAATACAGTCCTTTAAAATATGACATAGATCGCACCTCTTGTTCAAAGAACTTCTGTAAATCTTCTGAATTAAGATTGTACCTATTCAGATAATAGTGAATTTCTGACAAGTTTAATCTCATGACATAACGAATTTGTGCATCGGTAAGATTCTTTCTTCGTTGTTTGGCTCGTTGGTACGGATACCTGGACGCGAGGTATTGGTTGTATACTCGGGCTAAATTTGCACCCTCACCAAGGGTTTCAACCTTTTGAATATGTTCTTGTGGCTTATATTCTCTGTCGTTTCTATTATATTTAACCGATTCATAAACTGATATCTCGAATTTTACCGTTCGCAGTCTCCTTTCACGCTCAAGAAGAGCAAATCTAAGCCCTAATAATGGAACTCCCCAAACATCTTCTTCAAGTCTCATCCAATAGCCTTTACTCTCCTTCAAGAACTGTGCTACTACTTGGTCATCTTCAAATGCATCGTCTGTTATTTTCACAACATTTTCTATACCATGACGTGTTTCAAAATCGTACATGTGTTCTTTAAAGAACTGCCTGATTCGCTCTAAAAGTTCCTCAGAAACCTCAGGTCTCGGCTTTTCTTTTAGATCATTACCTCCTCCTGAAACTTCCTTAGTTTCCCCTCGATCATTAAGAGTAGATTCTACGGATATTCCGTGTTTAGTAGCATCAACTAGATCGACTATATGACACCGAGTTTTCCCTTCATAAAGTCTTAATCCTCTTCCAATCATTTGTGTTTTTAAGGTTTCTGACAATGTTGGTCTCGCAAGTATAATAGAGTCAATGGCGGGGATATCAGTTCCTTCAGTGAATACCATTACGTTACATAAAACTTGTATCTCCCCATTCATGAAATCTTCTATAATCATTTGTCTTTCAGTTTTATCAGTCTCGCCTGTAACATATTGAGCATTGACACCTAGTTTTTGTAAATACTCGCAAATGAGAATACAATTAATAACATCCACGCAAAACATTAATGTTCGTTTATAACCAAGCAGTTGCAATTCTAGATATGCAACGCTTATGTCTTGCACGTTGGCTTGCATCTGCTTGGATAATTCTTTTTGATCGTAATCACCACGTCTGATGCGTACCCCGGATAAATTTGTTCGAATTTGGGAAACATCTACATCGGCCAACTCATTATTTCTGATCATGGTTTCAAGCGATCTTTCATATGCAATAGTATCAAACACGGAACCAAGTGCTGCCAGATCACCTCTTTTAAGAGTGGCTGTGAATCCAACCACATAAACTTCCAGTTCATTGGTGTTTGCCTGGAAATGCATCAAGATCTTCTTCCAAGACGCAGCGAGTGCATGATGGCATTCATCGACAATAATCGTCTTGTACTCCATAGGATCAAATCTTTGCAACCTTTCCTTTCGGGCTAATGATGGAACAGAAGCTACCACAATATCGGCCTCAGGGCTTGCGCGTAAGTTTCTCATTTCTATCTCTACTTTTAAATTAGGATTAATTGCCCGAATCTTATGAGTGGCTTGCGCCACGAGTTCTTGGGTGTGTACTAGCACCAATGTTTTGTTTCCTCGTTCGGGGGATGATGGTTTTAAAAGGGGGATCAAGTGCGAGAATACCACGGTTTTACCTCCTCCTGTAGCTATAACCACTGCTATACGTCTGAATCCGTCGTCTATTGCGTTAAGAACTGAATTAACCGCGTCTTCTTGATAGTCTCGGAGGGACATTGGTCGGAAAACGTTGCATTCCTCTGTGGTTACAACTTCCTGTTCATGTTTCTCTATGTCCACATCCTGCTCCTCTGTGTCCACGTTTTCCTGTTGTGTTGATACGCTTGTATCAAACTCTGCCGATTCCCGTTGAATGCTTATGTTTTCCAAAGCTGGGGCTAATTCTGAAACACGGGTCTCGAAATCTGAATTTTGTAGGAATACATTGGATCGAAATAATCTTGATGTATTGTATACGATTCTACAACCTATAGGTCGTAGCATTTGCTTAGCTACTATCATGTGGTTGCTACTACTACCCTTTGGTGGTGTACAAAAGAATAATAGATCAAATTATCTATAAAACTCAACTAGAAAAAATATCTACGCGAGATCGGTTGTAAATACTGTGGAAAAACATCCCCAGGTTGTCTTCAGCCGCTTCCAAGTTTGACGATTCCGGTGGTTGGATATGCACCACGGCATAACTCCCCTCTTGCTTGCTGGGGTCTCTATTTGGCCTTATGAATAACCCTGGATTTATAACTAAAACACCCTTGACGAGTTTAGCAAAGTACTTTAATTCAGAAGGTAACACTAAAATATCAGGTAATACATCCCCAATTTCAGTTAATCCCAAGTATGGAACCTCTAAACACGACCCACCTATCCCGGTCTGACTTAAGTATTCTCCACTGGCCCCACCTAATAATTTCGTCATATCAGCTGAACCTGGTTGTGACTTTATAGCACCAGGGAATAACGGGTAGTAACGTCTCTGGTCAATTAAATGACTGACAATTCTTTCAAAACGATTATTCAATACTGAATTAGTTCCATTGTCCTTGGTAACATCTCTAAGATCTCTGAAAACGTCTAAATTGGAGTTCCCAATCAATACTTCATTTATGGAGAAACTAGATGGGTTAGGGAACACCTTGATATTCTTGGGTAATCCAAACTTTTTTCTATCAAATATGTCTTGAGGATAGGAACAGTGCTTTATACAAGTATCTTTTACCGAAGGGTATAATACAACTTGAATACGTTGATCGATCTTTTTTAAAATTGGAGTGATTATAAATTTGAACACCTCATCGAGATTTCTTGGTTGTTGCTTGTCGTTGGCAATGTCAAATTCTCCTTCTTCGACTGATTTATTGGTTATATCAAGGAAAGGGCCATTGAGAATAACAACATTTGGAAAAATCTTGGTATTGATTAACTCCACAAGATTGTTTAGCCTGTCGTAATTCAATGTTTGCAGGTTAGAGAAAGGACCAGATGCGACTAATACTTTCAACCCTTGCTTACCCTGTAATTCTTGAATTTCTTTGATTTCGTCAGAACTAGAAAGTGGGACACCTAGCTGCGGCAATTCCAAAACTTCATCCACGATAAAGGTCCTTCCAGAAGGGTTTCTACCTTTCAAGATAACAATTTGACCACTAAAGAACGAATATGAACTGAGCTTTGAAAGATCTAAAGGAACTCTTTGACCGATACCTTGAACTCTGGAAGTTTCAAGATACAACGAAGTACTATTCAACGCAACATTCTCCTTGTCGTAAAGAGGAGAATCAGGAACAATTCTACCGCAACACAAGATTTCAAATTGTGAACTTAAACATGGGTTTCCAAATTGAGTATCGGAACTTTTATTGGCGTCTTGGTAAATCCCCATCATGGTATCGATTTGATCATCCAACACATCTGCGCCTTCTAACAACTTCATCTGCATAGTACGGAACTTGTATTTGGAACCATCAAAGTTTGTAGTAAGCCTAAATCTTTTCTCTTCAGCTTCACCCAAGTCTCCTTCAATTTCATCAACAGTAGGGTTTAAAGTTTCCAATAAACTATGAGATGGTTTGGCGGCTACAACTATAGCAGGTGCAGGCGATACAAATGTGTTATTGGCAGTGGCAAAATCTCCTGGAGATGATTCAATAGGAGTTCTAATATCAGGACTAGATTGGTCCAATTTTCTTTTCTTGATGTTGGGTGTGCTTGGATTAGCAGCATTTATTGGCTTTCTCATTAACGGTTTTCTGTTGGAATGAATATCTCTGGTTTTGCCTGACGAGGGAGTCAGCTTTTGACTGAGTTTAGTTTGTAAGAATTCATGGAACCTGACTAAATTTTCCATATTCAAATCCAAATCCTCTTGAACTTCGGCAACATTGAATGATTCCCATTGTAAATACAATTCATCAACTGGAGCATTGTAGATTTCCAGTAAATTCTTTAATTTTTCAAGTTCTTCTTCATTTAAGGAAGAAGTACTTGGACCAAAAGTATCAACAAGTTGTTTCTTGAATGTTTCAATACTCATGGTGGTAGTAATTGGCTATCGCTTACTTCTTGCAATGTTTTGGTGAGAGAAACGTTGATACTAAAAACACGCGTTGAAATAAACGCGTGGAAAATAAAATGCGTGCGCTACCAGACTTTCTTGAAATCTTCTAGTGTATGCTCTAATAATCCAAATATTTTGTTTTATTTATGTATAATACAAAGAATGTCAAAGTGATAATATAACTACTAACTTGTAGAATTGTCTTAAATAAAATCAGTCTCTAAAAGCAATTTCTTATTCCCAAAACAACGTAATTTAAACAACTTAGAGATGTGAATCCAATAAACCAAACAAACCTCCCAATGAACGTCCTATTATTCAACATTCCGTATGGAAATGAAGTCACACCATCATTCCGATTCAAGTAGACAATACTTTCAATATAGGTCCACCAAACAAGCATAAATGCTACTGTTATCATTACCGAGGTCCTGACGCTTCCTCTCAGATGGCTATCAAGAACAAGGAGGTACAAATAGGGTATGGCATGAAGTTTAATATCCAACCAAAGACTACGCTCGTAGTTCTTGAACCCTAAAAGTTTCAATGACCAGTACCCCACCGTCACTTGGAATTCCAAGTTGCTAGCTAATGGATAGATGTACTTTACATTCCAATTAGAACTAGTGATTTGGCTGAGGGTTATATATATTATTGTCACCACAAGGGACAATACTGTGAGGAATTGGAATGACCCACCTTTCTCTAACTCCGGTGGGAGCGGCACATTTGTCGTTTCGTAGAGTGCACTAACACACAAACCTAAGACGATCAAGCTTACAAGTCCCTTTCGCGACATATTTCCCAGAGCAACAACTTCTATGGAATGAAATAATTTCTGGTTTTAGCCGATATTTCAAGTTCGGTTCGCTTTAGTATGTGGGACAAAGGGGGGGGGGGGGATTGTATGTTCTTTACCCCACGCGTTAACTTTCTTCTTTCGGATGAAGAAATGCAGCAAGAAAAATTAACGCAAATTACCGGCTCACAGCCAATGCACCTTGGTTTAATAAGCGGAGTATTTCCAATAATTTCATCGATTTCTCGAGAGAATGTTGAGTGACTTTGTTGCAAAATATAGGGGAATACCAAGTTATGTTTGTAAATATATAATGTTGGTAACAAAATAAGAGAAGAACTAGAAAAATGATCAAATTTTACTATCAAAAATTACCGCAGATTTCATCCCAAATGTTTACCTTTGCCTATTTAGATGCCGATATATATATGGTGATTATAATTATAAAAGTACATAAAAATTAATGATAACTTTAGTCTTTTCGTGGGTCAAAATATCTTGGACAACTGGTAGCATCACTCCAACATTACAACATGAATTATTGCACTTAAGCTTCTGGTTCAGCAGGCTTGGATTCTTCCTTGGCAATAGCTTCTTCTGAAGTCTTTTCTGCAACCTTTTCAGCTTCAGCAGCTGGTTCAGATTCAACAACCTTTTCAAGTTTGGTTTCTTCGGTGGTTTCTCTTGGTTCTCTCTTACCTTTGAAGTTCTTACCAAACTTCTTTCCCTTTTGGTTATCATTGAAGCTGTTACGTCTCTTGGTAACTTCATTGACACCAAAACGTTTGGCACTTTCTCTCATTTCTTGGAATCTTAACAATGACATCTTCTTTAAAAGGTTCTTCTTGTCTTCTTCTTCAGTTGCAGTGACAATACCTTGAGGATAGGCTAATTCAACTTCGTTCAACAAGTATTCGGCATCTTCCAAGGTCTTTAATTCAACGTCAACAACACCAAAGAATTCCTTCTTGGCTCTACTCTTGATACGACGCAAGGAAGAAATACCTTGTTCCTTTGGTAAAGAAACAACAATCTTTTCTTGGAACCAAGATTCCAAGTCTTCTTGTGTAGCATCCTTAGGAAAACCTTCAATGTGAATGGTGTTCTTCTTTCTGGTGTTTTTGATTTCATCAAGATCCTTAACTGGTTCCTTTCTCTTGATCATATCTCCAGATTCAGAGAGAACCAATTGACTAGATTCCTTCAAGGCAGCAATGACTTTTTCTTCAGGACGGTATTGTCTCATTCTACCAAAGGTTAAAATGGTCTTTAATTCAACCCAACCTTCATTGGCTTGATATATCTTCCATAAAAACTTGTCTGTTTGCAAGTTACTATCGGAAAAATAGAATTCGACTTGCTTTCTAACCTTTTCGTCGAAATCTTCACCTTGATAAACAAAATCTGACATGCTGGAGCTAATACTTTTGCAGTTGTATAATACTTAAACTATGAGAGAAGCCATACTGAAAAAAAATTGTATTGATGTCGCAAGAGCGATGGTCATATTGTATGCAGGATACCCTATCACGTGGATAATGTGACTGGATTTTTTTTGCAAGACAGCTAGTTAGATCCAGCCCTAACTCTTGGATTTCATTATATTAGGATTAGAGGACCTCTTATAATGGTTATATAAGTTTTCAGGTCATCCAACTGACTAGCTCTTGTTATTGACTAGGTTTGTGTCACTTTCCCAAAAGCCCTAGTGAATTCGCAGTACTTAGTTTGGGTCATTTTTTGCCAGGGCACGCACATGGAAATCAGTCATTGATATTTCCAACCCCAAAGTTAACTAATGCACCTTAGCTTGGTTTGCAAACCTTTAAAGAAGATCCCAGTGTATTCAATCCTTAGAACAATGTCAACATTCACTGAAGCAACAGAAGCCAGAAAGTCTGAATTGTCTGAAAACTACCGTGCCATAATTGACAAAATCAACCAACTAAACCCTAAAGTTAACCTTGTAGCGGTGTCTAAAATTAAGCCATCTTCAGATATAAAGGCGCTTTATGATGCTGGTGTGCGTCATTTTGGAGAAAATTACGTGCAAGAATTGATTGCCAAGTCGCAGGAATTACCCAAGGATATCAAATGGCATTTCATTGGTGGTTTGCAATCAGGTAAGGCCAAGGACTTGGCCAAGCATGTTGAAAGTTTATACGCGGTAGAAACAATTGATTCTTTAAAAAAGTGTAAACAGTTGGACAACACTAGAGAAAAAGTGGGTGGTTCTGAAATCAAAGTTTTCCTTCAAATCAATACATCCTGTGAAGAACAAAAGTCAGGATACAACAGCGAAGTTTTGGATGACCTTGAAGAAACTGTCAAGTATTTACTTTCTGATGAATGTAAGAAGTTGAAGTTGATTGGGTTAATGACCATTGGCTCCTTTCTGGAATCCACCTCGGAATCAGGTGAAAATCAAGATTTCAAGAAGTTGGTTGAAGTGAAGGAGATCCTTGATAAGAAGTATCAATTGGATCTTGAGTTGAGTATGGGTATGAGTAATGATTTCGAACAAGCTATCAAACAAGGAAGTACTAGTGTCAGAGTTGGAAGCTCGATCTTTGGAGCCAGACCACCTAGAAATGCTGCCTAAACCTTTATCATATAGAAATTGTTTCATAGTTAAATTTCAAATACAAAAAAAAAAGAGGAACTATATATAAAGTCTAGCCAGGTTTACTTCTTAGATTTGAAAATCTTCTTTAATCCTGATCTTTTCTTGCCCTTATCTCTACTATCTCTGCTGCTACTGTTCATGCTATCACTTCTTGATACTTCAGAACTAGAGGTAATACTAGGAGCTTGATTTGATGATGTACTGGTAGACACATCTTCTCTTGGGAAAACCTTAGTGACTTCTGCATGAGCATTACTGTCAATAGTTGAATATTGTAAATCACCTTCTGAGTTCTTTGTGGAGATTATTTCATCAGTTGAGTCCTTGATTTTATCCAATGCTTCCTTACTTCCAATAACAATAGGTTCAGTACTAATATCTTCCACCTTATCATCTACTACAGCTGGAACCGGAACTGGAACAGTGTCTGGAAGTTGTTCGATTTCCTTGGTCTTCTCTTCTACACGGGAAGCAGCTTGAGTAATATTGGCTTGAGCTGATGTCAGATATCCTCCCTTGGGTGTATCAATCTTTTCAATTGCAGCGTCAGTGTCACTAGGGGCAGCAAGACCCAAAGTATTTTCAACGGTAAAACCTTCCCAGCCTACATCATTAATCATGACGATATTTGGCTTTTCCTTGTCTTTATAATATTCAAGTCTTAATTTAAGATCGTTACTGCCGAAATCGTTTTGCCATTCAATATCACTCTTGAACAAATCAGACAATCTGTACAAGGTATAACTCAAAATCAAAAATCCGTGTTCAGTAGTAAACATCAACAACATAAGCTTAAGGAAAGAAGATACATTGACACTAGCATTCTTCAAAGCCAATTGTCCGAGTGTTTTTGGTGGCTGGGTGCCATGACGATAAAAGGCAGTAACCACTGGGGAAATGACAGAAGCAACCCAGGTTAAAAAGAACAAGGACTTGTTCCATGGGTGGATAGAATCAGATCTGCTAGGTAAAGGTGGCTTGAAATACTTAGCATTGGCTAGTTTGAATTGGTCAACTCTGAAAATAATCAAATTGAAAATAAGACAAACTAAAGGAGCCAAGGGCCACACGGGACCAAACATGATAAGATACCCATACTGCAAAATAAGAGATCTGAAATCGTCATTGACATCATACACAGGACGTTTTAACGATGAACGAATGTTATGTAACCAAACAGCTTCAGTTGGTTCGTCCTTGGGTTCAAACTTTTCCTTCTTAAGCAACTTAGTCTCAACTAAATCTGTAAGTTTAGCAAGAATCAATGGAAGGAAATACTTGAGAATGAATTGAATAACTTGGTTGGTGACAATAAAGTAAAAGAATTGGGCATTCAATCTGTTTTGGTTCATCTTGAAATCTTCTTGCTTCTTCAACATAATCAAATATTTGTAATAAAATCTGTCCTTGGTAACATAAGTACTAATTGTCGATTTAATGTCTCCCAAATGTGGTTGAATCAAGTGAGCAAATGGCAAATAAATAAATGAGGTAATGATAAGTGGAACATAACTAGTCAAGAAGTTCAACACAAAAGTCTTAATCAATACTGAGTTATTACGACTGTATGAATTATCATGATTTTCCCACTTAATGACTTGGGCAATAACCAAATTGTAAACAATAGTCAAAATAGGAACAAACACACTAATCAAAATTGTAGGCAACAAAGTCAATAAAGATTTGCCTGGACCGTCATAAACATCAGTCAAAAAGATTTCAATCACAAAACAACTCAACTGGTAACTAACCAAAACTGCAGTAAATCCAAGGGCAATTGGAACAAAAGCCAATTGCTTGAGGAATAAAACATAACGTCTGCTCTCTTGAGGAGCTGGATCATTTTTAGGTTCATGTCTTGAGTTTAATTCCGCCAATTCGGAATAATGTTCTTCAACCAAATGACAATTTTGAACACCCCAAAAATTGACTAAAAAGGATTGTTTTCTATTCCAAAATGTGATAAACAAAGTACCCCAGAGCAAATTAACCAAAGTATATGCCAACAGGTAAGTTTTCTTCACTTTGAAGTAAGACACAAGTCCAATCACAGAGAGGGAAACCAACCAAAGCATATAAAACTTAAAATACTCAAAATAAAGGGCAATTTTAATACCATACTGGTTCTTGATTCTATTGGTTGTCAAAACTGGCAGCTCAGTAAAACTTGATTTTAAATCTTCAATTAAGGTTGAATCGTCGAATGCTGAAGTTATTGGGACAATATCATTGACAAACTTCCATTCACCAGCATTGGGAGTAATTCCACAACCGCCAATTGATTTACGTGTTCTCAAATACTTGTTGATTACCCTTAATCGGGCGCTGTACACGTCATCCTTGGCAGTAACTCCAAATTCAAAACTCTTAACCAAGTCCTTTTCAATCTCGTCAATACATTTACTGGATAAAAGTTTGATAAAGACAAGTAAGTGAGAAGCATCACCAGGACGAATTTGTGCTGCAAAGCCATCGGCGTACAAGGTTTCAACCAATTTGGTTAATTGCGCTTTAGCCGCCGATGTAGGAATCCCATTCTCTTGGGGATAATCGATTGATAAGTAGAAATCAGGATTGAGTTCCTGAATTGCCAAAGTCATAGTCGTTGCAAGTACCTAAAAAAGGGGGTAAAGAGTTTAACGGTGAAATAACGAGAACTTATATTGTTAACCCTGGTGTGACAATGTATGGTAGTGACTAGCTGTGTGGTATATGCAGGTTGGGAAAAAAATGATGGGAAATTTCCCAATTGGGGCGACGGACTTAACAATAAAATTTCATATTCGTTTCACAAGAGCTGACATGTGGGAAATTAGGTGTTCTACATGAATGAGAGTTCTGGGCTTCTAGAACACATGAAAATCTGTTTAGTTGAAATTGGACGTTGCACCTAGTGATATGGGGAGAGACTGAATCACTTTGGCTATATTACCCCACAGGAAGACTATGACCCCCGTTAATATATAAGAAATTCTACAACCCAACCAAATTTGATTGGTATGCATGTGTCTGTTGTATTGGTTGCCATGTCAATCTTTTAAGTAGTAGTTTCTATCCGTATTTAAATTTTTGGTGCAAACTGATACTTTAAAATTTGTTGCAAATTGTGCACTAAAATTGCAGTCCCTCCATTTGAGAAACACTGACTGTGGTGCGATGAAAAACACTATACACTGTTATATCATGTAACTATTTTTCCTTTCTGCCTCGTGTCCGTGTTATACCACTATAATAAACCCGCAGAGGCAATTCAATAAAGTATTAAAGAAAGTTTAAGAGAGCTTTCCCGTCAAATGTCCGTATACACCCCAAGCACGTGATTGGTGGCGAGACGTTGTTTTAAAAATGTATGATCAATCCCTTTTGTGTTATGCAAGGAGTCATACTTTTTTCTTTTTTGTGTCTGGTGCGCATATAAATAGAGGAGAAGTTTGCTGGCGTTAATTTTTTACTACAATGTTCTTTTCCTTCTCTTACACAGCTGATATACTAACCTTATACAATCATGTATAACTTTTAGACCAGAGTTGATTCGAAAGTGATAACTAGACTTCTTGCAGATCCAACTTACCGTTCCTTGAAGATTCCATGTCCCGGTAGATCCCCCCCACACGCCACTTCCTTATATACAAATATACAGATAATTTAGCGACCGTAATGACAGCTACAGCTAGATGTCCCACATTGACCCAAGAGCTTCCCACTACATGTTAGACTACATAATTTATAGGCGCTACTTTAAATAATATTGTCCCGAAATCCATTTCCCCGATATTCGATGTTAAGTGTTTTTTTTGCTTTATTTTGCAAGCTTTATAATCCCCGTCGGAATTTCTATACGAATGATTTCTTTTTGTCCTTTGAAGTTTGGCTCCATATTTGTCCCTATCAAATCCGCACACCCCTTTCCTTATGAGATGATTTTTTACAACCAAAACCCCATGAATAACTACAGTACTTACAATGTATTTCTAGTGTATGTTACAGAGAAGATCAATATTGAAAATGTCCCCTATAGGTAGGTATTTTTTATAGGTGTTTCCCCAGTCCTTTGATTCCTTTGACCACATCCCATATTTTTTTTGAAATTTTAATTCTTTGCATGATCCACATGAACGATTTTAATTCAATTAATCCACCGTATTATCCTAATTTTTACTATCAATGTTTCCACATGATTCCTTATGTTTTTTGTTTGGTTTTTTTTACTTTTTTTGAACAGAGAGTTGTGATCCCACCATAGATTCAATTTCCAGTTGTTTTTTTAGTATTTTTTTATTTCTTCTTCAGCTTTGGAAAAAAAAGAAAGAATGGAAAAAAAGTGTTTATTAAAAAAAGCGATAGAGGTGATTTCTTCCTTATGTGTATGTCCCTCGTATCTTAAAATTACATGGCAATAGTGGGTAAGTATCTTTTTATTTTTGTCCCCCTTTTTTATAGGTTTTTTTGTCCCATTTTTTGACGATTAAGGTTTTGTGGAGTATGCGGAAGTCTAGTATCATTTAGTTCTGGTCTAAAAGTTTGTACGTGCTTGTATAGATAGATATGTATATTAAATTTTAATTTTAACAAATAGAATATATTTAACAAAAAGATCATAAATTTACAAACATTCACCAATCGACATAATCTCTTCCGACTGGTCTGAACACTCTAATTCTACCACTCTTGAATTCACCAATCTTGTAATTTTCCTTTTTGATTTGACCAGATCCATCTCTTTCAAACACTTTGAATTTGTCCTTCTTAGAATCATACTCGTAAATAATTGCCGAGTAAATGTTTTCGGGACCATCTCCCAAGGTAATTGATTTACCACCCATAATACCTTTGTGAGTAGTAAACTTGCCGTTCTTGACCCAAAGAATATCACCTGCTCTGATATCATCAAGTTTGGATACATTGGAATTGTTAAAGTTCTTGTAAACGGTAACACCATAGCTCTTGTTACCAATGACTGGGATTAACAGCTTATTGGCATTGACGTCGTCAAAAACCTGATTAACTAAATCATCATTTATCTTGGTACCTAAAAACTGAGAAGCTCTGCTGACAATAGCACCACCAAATTGTTTATGATACCTGTCAAGCAAGTCTTTACGAATGATTGGAACCGGTTTCACAAAATAGTTAACCAAAAGAATTGTGCCTTTTGGATCTTGAGTCTCAAATGCTAGTTCAAATACCAATTGTGATAAATCATAAAACAAAATATAGTAATCCTTGTACTCGATAGTCCGTTTCCCACGCTTTGCAACAGTATTAGAATCAATTTCGAAAATCAATTCCAGACCAATTTTAGAAGAAAGACAATCAGGTAATTCTCCGCGAACCCACCAATTTGAACTGGATTGAAGATTAGCAAGCTCATTTTCAATTTGTTGATGACAAGCCTCAGCCTGTGTTTGACCTAAATCTGTATTGGACCCCTTCAATGCTCTATTGCGCGAAGAATCTAATGATGATCTGGCATCCAATCCACTTGGGGCCTTTGCAAGTTGAGGGATTGCTTCGGTATTTGCTCTTCTAGGAACTGGTGGAATTATTGGTGGGATATTGCTTGGAGGGGGAACAGGTGGAACACCGAGTGTTTGAGAACGTAATGGTTGATCGTGAGGATGTGCTACTTCAGTTAATGAAGCATTTCCCTCTTCATCGGAACTAGATGAATCTTCGTCTTCATATGCAAAATCACCAGTTGGGGGAACTGGAGGAGCTGCTCCTGGTATTGGAGGTGCTGCTCCTGGAACTGGTGGTGCTGCTCCTGGAACTGGTGGTGCTGCTCCTGGAACTGGTGGTGCTGCTGCTGGTATTGGTGGGATACCTACTGGGATTGGTGGTGGTGCAGCTCTTTCTGCAACTGGAACTGGTGGTGGGGGTGGTCTTTCTGAACTTGGAACCGGTGGTGGAAGAGCTCTCTCAGGAACCGGAATCGGAACTGGTGGTGGTGGGGGTCTTTCCAGAACTGGGACCGGTGGTGGTACTGATGTGGTTGGAAATGGCGGAACAGAATCAGGTTGCGTCTTATCCTCTAATGTTTCACGGGATTCAAGCTCTTCAGCATCTACATCGGTAGCATCTATACTCTTTGCTGGGCTAGGTGGACGCACAATTGTAGCTTCATTTGGTTTTGATATATCAGACAAATCAATATCAGCATCATATCCAGTTCCTTCAGTTTCCATTGCTGTATGTTTATGCAATTTGAAAGCTTTGTCTTGTTGGTCTTCTTCAATTCCACTATCTGAAACATTTACTTTTTCAGGAAGTTCCTGGTTTTCCAATTCATTTGCGGTGATTACTTCATTTTCGGCTTCGGAAGGGGATGGTTCATCATCCTCAGCCATAGATGAAGTTTCTTGAGGGAAGGCACGTTCAGGCTCAGGTGGTGGATGGACAGCTGGAACTACAGGAGGAACTTGAGGTTGTTCTTCTGTTTTAGGGGGTTCTTGAATTTTGGTCTTCTTCTTCTGTTTAGGAGCAGCAGCTTCAGGAGCAGGAGCGCCAAATGGAGTTGGCATTCCCATCATACCAAACATATTTCTACCTCCAGAAATCTTGGCCATTCTTTCTACCAATCTTCTACGTTTAAGTTCTTCATCATCTTCTTCCTCTTCCTCTTCTTCTTCTTCTTCATCGTCATCTTCATCTTGTTCCTGCTCTTTTTCTTGTTCTTCACTTTGCTCATCTTCCTCTTCCTGTTCCTTTACAATGTCTTGTTGTTCCACGTGATCAATATGTTCTTCAATTTCTTGTTGTTCGTTCCTATGAATCAGTTCAGTTATCGAATGACGTTTTGTAACCGACTCACCGGTTCCATGTGTCGACAAAGGAGCTGGTTGAGTAGATATTTCACTTTCACCACTCTGTTGCTCCTTCAATTGCTTAGCCTTTTCTCTGTCTTCAGCCTGTTTCTTCTTTCTTTCTTCCTTCTTTTTCAAAGCAGCGGCCTCTCGTTCAGCTTCTTCTTGTTGCTTCTTCTGGAGCAAAGCAATACGCTCCTTCAAAGTAAGTTTTGGACCCTCCTCTTCAGCTTCTTCTTCTTCATGTTCATCTGCTTTGACTACTTCACCCTTGGTCTTATCATCGTGAATGGCGTGATGGACCAAAAGCGATTCGTCTCGAGGTTCAACCTTTGGCACATAGTGAGAAGTGTTTGTAGCTATGAATTGCTTCTTGATACTATATGGATCAGGCTGTTTCGATGCCTGGGGCATTGGAATTGATGATGAACCAGATAAACTAGCTTTTCTTTGGGCAACCGGAGAAATCGGCTCAACCGTTGGCAGCAGTGCTTCAGGTTCAACAGGTTTAGCAATGTCAACTTTCAATGGTTCAGCTGCCTTCACAGGTCTATTGGAGATGGGTACTTCTGGAATTGGTAACAATTCCACAAAGTTCTTGGGAAACATTCCACTTTTGCCATCATATTCCCCAGTGTACCATTCATCATTCTCAATGGTGGTGACGGTTATGATCTGGCCAACATCAAATGGTAAATCATCCTCATAATCTGATTTATAATCAAAGATTGCCTTGACTTTGAATGGAACGCTGTGTGACATGTCTGTCTGGTTTCAATTGAAATCTAAGTTTGAACTGTGTCAAATGGATCGGCAAAAATGAGGGAGAAATGAAATAAGGGGAAACCTGGAATTTTTCCCTTGACCTCCGCGCGCAGTTCGCCGTCGTGTTTACTTTCTATTGTTTTTTATAGGGGAAATTTTCTACAACTAATTCCTCAGAAACCAAGGAAAGAGATTCTTTAATGTCTGTAAATGCAGTCAATTCGAAGTTTATAGCGTCGTCATCATCTACAGTTCAAGTGACTGAGAAAGTTCTAGCGTCTTGTAGACCAGCAAAATTGTTTGATTACCATCAAGGTGCTACAATCTCTTCACTTGATTTCGATGACTCTGGGCAATACTTGATTTCTTCGGGAATTGACAAATCTATTCAACTATACGACTGTCATAAAGGTGTACATAAGGGAGATATACAATCTCAGAAATATGGCGCGCATTCTGCTAGGTTTACCCATTCGGATTTAAATTGTTTGTACGCATCAACACCAACCGAACCACAGGAAAATGAGCATGCCATAAGATACCTTTCGCTATCAAATAATCAATACTTACGATATTTCAAAGGTCACAAACGACAAGTTAGTTCAATTGAAGTGAACCCGATTCATGACACATTTATAAGTTCGAGTTTTGACGGAACTGTAAAATTATGGGACTTGAAAAGTTCATCTCCAACAGGAAATATTGAAGTTGGACAAAATTCCGTGGTTGGATTTGACCCGCAAGGTGTTGTTTTTGCAATTGGGAAATATCCTGGTGCTGAATCTTCAACGGGAATATTGAGCATCTATGATTTAAAAAGCTTCGACAAGGGACCATTTTTACAAGTGGAAATACCAACTTTACAAGGACAACTTTGGAATAGCATAGAATTTTCCAACAATGGGAAACATATATTAATTTCAACCGATTCATGCCAACATTATATTGTTGACTCGTTCCTGGGTCATGTACAAGCAATAATTCAATTAGCCAGCCCAACTCCTAATAAGTGGATGTCGTTTAAGTATCCATACACTGGATGTTGCACTTTCTCACCGTGTGGGAAATTTGTTCTCGCAGGTAGTCCTAAGTCTGTTGTCCACATTTTTGATATCAGCAATTTGAAATCTGCTAAAGGTGCACCAACGGATCCAGTAATACTCACCAATTCGATTACTAAGTTGAATAGTACGACCGGGATTCCAAAAATCTTAGCGTTCAATCCAAAGTTGTTGACTTTTGCAACAGCAGATACAACCGTGACTCTTTGGCTGCCAAGTGGGTAAACGAAATGCGCGCGAACTTGCGAATCAAAAAAATTAATTGTAACAATATTTTATAGTATATAGATAGGCATAATAACATAAATGAGTAATAGCTACTTGAAACTCTTCTTGAATAGGAGATGTACAGCGAAAACAACAGCAGTTAAGCTAATTGCTCCAACCAAAACATTTAGTGCGGACCCTAAAAGTATCAGTAAGCTGAGCTTTGCCAACTATAGTCCCAAGTACAAGGACGCAACTGATTTCTATAAACGTCAGAAAACTCATATAAACATGCTTCCAAGCAAACCAAGAGACATAAAAGGGGTTGATGCTGCAATATATTACCCGGGCTTTAAATTTTCCAGGACATGCAGGCCTATAGTGAACACAGAGTTCATGTCACTTCATTTCTTTCCTTCCCAACATTTCGTGTCCTTATTCAGGAAATCCAACGTTGCATTCATATATGCAACTCGGAAATTGGCCGATTATAACAATGCTCAGCTCGCATCTGCTGCATCCCAATATAAGGGAAAGTATAGAAATGAAGACTTTTTCTCAAAAAAGGGACTGCTTATGGAAACTGCATTTGGAAGAACTTCGATCAGGAAGATGATTAGAAAAATATACGTTCAGGCGACTCAAGAAAAGAAAATTGTCAATAGTCAAGATATAGATAGGTTGGCAGGAACATATTTATTCAATGTATACAAGGTTCCTGTGAATGCCGTTCAAAGACAAGCTTTTAAAAATGGAATCACAAAAGCAATAGATGCGATTCTTACTAATAGAGTGCTTTGGTCTGAATTGGACAAGAATAGTCGAGAAAGTTTTAACTTTAAACTTGTGAAACCAAATATAACGAAAGAAGTGAGTTTTACAAATGTCTTCCGTCCAGAAAATGAACCAATAAGACCCATCAAGCTTCCTTTCTACAAACCAGGTATGCTTAAGTCAGACTCCCGTCCAAAATACAGAAGATGAAGCTAATTGATTTTGTAAGTTTATAAATGACTCCATTGGGGATATTCTGTTTCAAACTTGTAACTATTCTTGTCGTCCGCAAGAGAATAGCTTAGTGCATGGAGCCATATTATGGGGTTCACTGCCTTGTCCACATTGAAGAGCTTTCGGTTACAAGTGGTGCACCTCTGCTCGGAATTTTTATCCTCATCAACCTTCTTAGCTTGTCTATTCTTTAGTATCTGCAAAGCTTCTTTGATAGTGTTGTCATTGTCCCAGTTGATGGCTTCCAAAAGATCTACAATCTCGTCATCAGTTCGGGAGTATTTGTCTAGCTGATGCAATTGTTCAAACTTGGGATATTTTCTAAACAATTGTTGGTACAATTCAAGTTCTAGTTGATTCTTGGCTTTAATTATTTCATTCGAACTTTCTGATTCAGGATTATATAAAAAGTCATTAGCAATTGGATATCCCAAGTTCCGAAGATGGATACGAATCTGGTGAAATTTGCCTGTTATAGGTTTACATAGAACAATACTTTGGTCTAGATCGTCATTGTATGATAAACGCGTAAATATTGTTGTTGAATTGGCTTGTAGTTGATGCAGATTTGGTGGCTGCAAGTATCCTCCGTTTACGTTAACCAGAAATACGGGACAATTGAAAACATATTCACCTTCGGGAAATTTGCCCTTCACTCTTGCAAGATATTTTTTTTCAGTACTGGTCTTTTTTTCTTGAATAAGCTTCAGCATTTTGCATGTTGCCTCTTTAGATTTCGCTAGAATTAGCACACCTGAAGTTACCTTGTCTAATCTATGACATGGCCAAATAGAATCTGTACCTAGTTGCTCCTTTAAAATTTCAACAACACTATTGTACATATAACTACCTGTTGCATGAGTCGGAATTCCTGCTGGTTTATTCACCACAACCAAATCTGAATCTTGATAAATGATTGCAATGCCTATGGACTCATGTACCCAAGGTACGCTGGGCTCATGCTTGTGTTTTTGGTGATAGATGACGTCTTTTCCATCGACTTGTCTCAGTTGAAGTAAATCCCACCCTTTAATTTCTGTAGGGCCACCTGCTCGGCCAACATTGCTGAGGATATAGAGGTGATTATTCTTGATATCACTGACGATATCCTCTTCTCTCTCCCCAAAGTCTGTTTGAAAAATTTTGGTCAATGTCCTTCCACACCATCGGAGTTTAACTGGAGTCTTATAAGTTAGATAGTACGGTTTTACTTTTCTTAAACCATTTTCAATTACATATTTTGTCATACCCCACCACTAGTGAATAAAAAGTGCAGATAAATGAATAATTTTTTATTTTTTTTTTACATGAGAATTTGTTTAAATTTAGTGAAGAAATATGGCAAATGTAACTTCTTCGAGAACACCGGAAGCAATCCGAGGACATATTACAGCAGAACCAAGAGACGTTTGATCAATGTTTTTAAGTTCATCATGCAATCAGATCTTAGGTCTAGTCTTTACAATAGTAAGACACCTCCGGTATTTTTCGATATTTATATAATCCATACTTTAGATGATCCAGAGAGGTTTGTCAAACTTTATGATTTGCAGATGCATTTTCAATGTAAATGGATGCTATATACATTGTGGAGGCAATTTACATCATGTAATTTTGAGGATGAATTGAAACTTCTCTACAAGTTGCAAAAAAAAGGGAACCGAACGATTTAAAAGAGGGGGTTCCAATGGATTGATTGTGCTTATATATTTCTTTTTAATGTCAATTTGTATAACGAACTCGGGCGTAAAATTGCTGATTTATAGAGCTGTATTCCCAAGGATGATCAACTAGGATTTGTATAAATATCTGTGGAGAATTATATTGAAGCATATATGGCTTTCAAAGCAAGTTTTGTTCCAATTTCTGCAAACTGCATTTCTACCTTCTCAAGCTGTTCCGGGACATAATGATTATGGTTGATCAAAAGCTCGAAAAGAAGTACTTTGATAAGAAGAATAATTTTGAGATCGATGCCAATCAATATTTCCGGTTGCTTATCCGTTATTTCCATCAAAATCCTAGGTTTCCAGCAAAACGTGAACTTGGTTCCTCTGCTCGATTTTGTGATGCTTCTTCTAGTGATACTGAATTACTACTTTGGTCTGAAATTAAGAAATATTCCAATTGATGGTTATCATTTGAAGGCCAGAAAGACTTCAAAGAAATCAGATGAAATCTAGTCTTTTAGAAGTAATAAAAGTATCTTCTGATTAATTGATTCTCGTGTTTGTACGGATAGCTTGTCCACAGAAAGTAAATTGTTAACTTAAAAAGCATTTCCTTCTTTATTTTTATGCAATTCATTATAATAATGTTAATACGTGTGTGCTTTCCTTGTTTTTAGATAATCCTAGCATACATATTTTGGTTGCAAATTTTTCCGAAATTTAGCAAAGCTAAAAAAACCCTTGGACGATCTACTCGGCTACCACCAAATCAAAACAATTTTAATATCACAAGATTGCCATTAACAACAAATTATGGAATAGCATGTGGAGAAATTAAAAATAAAGTTGAAATCCTTTACTCAATGACTCTATCAAGTGGAAAAAAATTTATAGAATATAACTGGAAGTAACATAACCAATAGAAGTAGGTATATATCAGAGGCTGATTGTATATTAGAGCCTGTTTACTTTATTTTCAGTTTATTTCTTCATAACTATATACATTCTTAGTGTCATGTGATAATAATTATTCTCTATAAAACTATGATTTAAATAAAAGTAACATTGGTATCACTATCAAGATGGTTTTTGTTTGCAGAATTATTTATTACAACTTTCCTGAAAATATTTCACTCAATGTAGAACATACAATTTCTGCCAATCCACCACCGGTACAACGAACAGTAATCTCTAATTCCCTGCCAACTTGATCTACACCAGCAATAGAAATAAGAACACCATAGTTTGACTTTTGAGTGTGGATAATACCGGCACCAGCAACTCTTATAAGTGCATCTGGAGCTTCCGGAGATTCGAAAACCACGGCAAATCCAACTCTTGATAAAAGTCGCGATACATTTGATGAAGTGTATCTATGGGCTAGCATGATTCTGGTTTTATGTTCACCCTTGTCTATTCCTAGTGCGTCTCCAATTTGGGTCCACCTCTTGGCGAATTCATCGGTGTTATTCAAAACAGTTGGTGCTAATGTCTTCAAGAGCAATACCGGGATTTTTAAATTCAAATGGTTGAATGAACCACCACACATGAATGTCATTGATAATACTGGACTTTCGTTATTCTCAACAATATTTCGTACTTTAACTTCAATCTCCATAGTGGTTTTGTCATAGATTGAAGCTTCAGGAAGTGATTTTATATGTAATGTATAATTAGGATCTTGCGATTTGGTTAAGGATTCCAAATTCAACACCGTGAATCCAGAAATTTGGGTTCCGACTGTCTTGTAAGAATTGTTTATCACAGTGAACTTGATGGTGATATTATGAGCTTCCTTTATTACTCTATATGTAATCTTGATCAACTGATCTTCGTAGAAAATACCAGCATCATAATGTAACATTCTGTGATACCCTGCATACCAGTTTGGTGACAAAGCGATAGACTCAGATTCAAATGGATTTTCCGATTCTTCATTAATGGCATCGATTTTATTGATGTTTTTAGCAAGGACGACAGATCTGGATCTATTTCTACCGACAATTTCCTTGACACTTCCAAGTCTATCCATAAGTGGACTTTCCTTTTGAGTGTTGAATATTGGAAAGTTCTTCTTGATAACGCTTTGTGCAAGTTTGAACAGGGGTTCAATTGTCACCAACTTGAGGTATTCATATGCTCTGGTTTGTATTTCCAAATCAATAGATTGTGTTTCGATTTCAAACAAATCAACAATATCGGGAATGAAAGGTTCATCGGGGAAATTAACAATGAATTTCAAGAATGTTGAAAGGATCATGGCTCTAGTTATGAGTGATACTTTGAAATACGCTTCATAAAGAAGTTGAAATTGATTTGCAGTATTTAGGTCTTCGATATCAATCACTTGATCGCCATATTCTCCTAAAACGAAAGCAGCTACTTTAATCAAGCTTTCGGATAATGGAGGAGCTGGAGCTTTTCCTTGGGGTGTTCTATTAAGGGATCGTTTAACCAAATTAATAATTAACTTTGCCGTCTTTTTCTGTAAATCCTCATTATTGACAATTATCTGGACAATTCTTTCCCAAACCTCATTACCCATATAGTTCGAATCGTTTGAATTGGAACCACCTCCAATAGATAGCAATTTAAGCATAGTTGTGACATACCATGTTGAGTCAGTAGCAAACTTTTCGGCTAGATGAGCAATCTTGATAGCTAACTCTGATTTCAAGGTGAAATCAGCGGTGGGAAAATAATCGAGGAGTTTGCTAATAATGGTGGTGTAGTTTGAAAATGTGCAGATTGTGTATAATAAATCCAACGATTTTCTTCTTACTGATATGTCTCTATCACGAAGTAATAATAACATTAAGGGGAGAATCTCATCAAATTTATCCTTGGATGAAAGGTATGTAGAGTTCAGTCTGGCTGTTAATTTAATCAATGCATCTAAGGACAAGTATCTGGTATTGGTTTCATTCGAGTTTAACAATATTAACAATGCATTCATGGCTCCATTTATAGCTTCGGTAGAAGCTTCCAAGAATACTGCAAGTGAAACGGCTTGAAAAAGAATTGAACTTTGGGAATTTCTATTAGGTATACCCTTAATAGGTTGTGATGCATTTTGAATAGATCTAGCAACAGTTTGACGTAAGTATGTAACTGTTTGTTCATCAAGCGAACTTATAGATATAATTTGGTTGTCGTCTTTGTTGGTTAACAAGAATAACTGTTCCATTAACTGGAATAATTTCACGATTAACCAAGGAGCTGGTGAATTGTAGTAATAGTATGATGCTGGGCATTTGCCTTCTATAATTATATTGTACAATTTTTGGGAAATTGAAGGAACAATTGATATGGCAAACTGTGGTTTCAAATGCAAAACTAGCTGTAAAAGTGGAATACTGGATATGGCAGTTCCGATATCAGGATCATCCACAAGTTTAAGTAAACGAGGGATCCAATTGCTATTCTTGAGAATAACGTCCGGGTATATCTCTAACAAAACCTTTAGGGTGATAGCTGCCTTTCTTTTGACAATCGGTTGTTGTACTGGAGAAGTAGCTGCTGCATATGTCATATCTATTAAGTCAAGCCATTTGTCGGCATTACGATCAGTATCGTAAACCGTAAATGCCTTTGTACCCGTAATGCTGAATGTGGATGCGATGAACTGTATAGCCAAACAGTTAAACTCTTCATTGGTAGATTGTAAGTCTCGAACAAGATCAGAATGAAGCGTATCAACAACAAAATTCATATGGTCCTTTAAAGGTTTGTGACGTTTACTGTTGAGGAGAATTGACACCGCCAAATATCCCAACTGCTTTTCAGAATATACCAGTGATCTAAGCAAATCAAACGATTCCTTAAGTCCAAAGTCATTAATCTCAGTGTTTCCGAGTAGATATACATAGATCAACTTGCAAACATACTTCTTCTTTTGATATCCATTTAATGATGTTTTAAACTTGTCGCGTATGTTGGTTATTTCTAGGTTAATTTTCTTGGTTTCTTCGTCGTGGTCCTTAGAATTTCTTAAATCTGTGATAAACTGGGTTAGCCCTTTCATCAGGCTCTTGGATTGATTCTTCAGCATGGCTCCAGAGTCAACTTCATGTATTTAGTGTTCGTAAAAGTCGGCACATATCTTGGTTAAGATCTAAATTTAAATAGCGCGCAATGTTTTGATGTGTCAGGTGATGATGGATCATGTGACTAAGTGGAAGTCGTGCATCCTCACCAAGTTTTCCACTGGGGCAAATCGTGATTTTCCATTGGTTGAGACTCGTGAGAAAAAATCAAAGCACGAATTCGGCAAAGTCAATTGAAAAAAAAAAAAGTGTGCCCTATACAAGGTTGTATATATACTTACAAACAACAAGCATTGAATATATATAAACATGTCATCTGTTGCTAAACAAGCTGTCAAGAAGGTAGACTTTGCCAAAGTTATCAACAGTTTAGGATTAACTGGTTCTACTGCTGCTTCTTTGACCGCCTTCAAGAAGAGACACGATGAAGCTGTCAAGCAACTTTCCAGTTTATCTTCTCAAACCACTGAAGTTGACTTCGATTACTACAGATCCGTCTTAAAGAACAGCAAAGTTGTTGACGAAATTGAAAGATCCGTCAAGGCTTTCAAACCAGTTTCTATTGATGTTTCCAAGACTTTAAAGAATATTGAAATTTTCGAACAACAAGCTATTGAAAACGCTAAGGAAACCGAAGAAGCCGTTATTAACGAAATTCAACAATTGAAGGTAACTCTCGGTGAAATCGAAAAGGCTAGACCATTCGACCAATTGACTGTTGACGATGTTGCCAAGGCTAGACCAGACTTGGACGAAAAGGTTGAATACATGGTCAAGAACGGTAAGTGGGAAGTTCCAGGTTACAAGGAAAAGTTCGGAGACTTGTCTGTTATGTAAGCAATATATATTCATTATTACATTCCAAACTTAAACTACAACCCTTACATTGTAACAGATATATGTTACTTATAAATATACATAATTAGAAAACATTAACAAAGGTCATAAGTTAGACCATTTATTTGTAGTCTTTTGAAATAACTCTATTCGGTTGTCTTTGTTGATATGCATAATACTATCAAAGCTTTCTAGTAGAGCCAAGGGAAGTTTTGAATATTTCTGGCAGTCGAAATCTATAAGTGTGCTTTCTTTTGCGGGATTGATTCCTACATCAAATTCAATATCAAACGCAGTTACCACGACCGAACAATGGTATTTGTGTCTAATTTGTTGTAGCAACTTTGTTAGTGTTATAAAGCTCTCCTGTGATGACTCATATGATTCGAAACCAAGCTTGGAATAATTATACTTATCTGCTATCTTTACATCCCAGTAAAATGCAGAGATGTTGTCAATAAGTAACACATCCAATTTGTTGCAAAAATCAATGGTACCTAACAAAAGTTGTCGCAATAAGTATAGTAATTGAGGAAAAGAATTCGGAGACGCATGTGGTGACATACTTATAGTTCTTTCAAGTTGGATTCCATTCATACAAGACACGATATACGTGTTTTCCTTGTATGTTGCCAACTCAGTTAGTACTCGTTGTAGTAATTGTTGATTCTTACATAAGCAAAGACTTGCCAGCTTCGGTCGAACTATATCTGAATTTTTAAACACTATTATTTCCCTCTCAGGAAATATCACAAAGTTTCTCAACGGTTCGATCTTCATCACGTTACCTGTTGTGTTTACTTGTTGTTGAATTGTTTTTGTTTTGGGCTATGCTCCTTCGGCGGTACCTTATTTTTTTGAGCCGATTGCGCGAAGGGTTCCTGGGAAAGGGGCAGTAAATAAATAAGAAGAAAAAAAAATAGCAGCAACAATCGTCTGACTCTTGATCAAACATCACAGACTTGATTTGATGTTGCTCCATAGTTTTTATATCCGGTTCATGTTGAATCCTTCCAAGTTCCTCCTTTCCATCTTGGTGAGGATAATGTACCGACTAGCTGTGTTTGCCCAGTGGTGCTTCAAACATCTCGGACAAGTCTGTAGCAAAGTTGAAGAGGACGTTTTGAATCAAAGACATCCCAGGGCATTTTTAAAAGACTTTGTAATAAATACAAGTTTTGTTATATTTCCCATTATATTTGCTGGTTCCGTTAACCATCTTCCGAGACCAGACCATATTTCCTACAAATTTTTATACCGCTATGATAGATACTTTTTTGGATTTGAAACCTCAATAGGTTCCTTCACGGGTTTTATGTTGGTGATATTAGGGGCGTACTTGATATTAACAAAATATTTTAATAATTCCACTAACACTGTTCCCTTGTACGACAAAACTGAAGACGACTTTTCCTTCAAGTTAAAACCTTTGAACATTATGGATACCAGTGAAATGATATTGACATCGCCTTCTCTAGCCAGTGATACTCCCTCAATAGTGTCCCCTCCAAGTGAAAGTGAAATATTAGAAAGTGGTTTATTTGAATTCACAGAAGAATCGGCTAGCACTATAGACATTCCTAAATCCAAGGCTCATCATCATTGGAGATTAGCTCCCGTATTCTTACTAGCAATATCATGGACAGTGTTAAACATATTATATTCAACTAAAAATCCAGTTACTAAACCCAAGAATATCGTAGCTTGGGTATTTCATGTGGTAGTGCATTTCGTGGTGCCCCCATTATTTGGTGGGTGGCTATACATTTTTCACCCACCCCGAGCTCTCAAGTTGTTCATAGTCAGTTCAGGATTACAAACCGTAGCAATCACATTAACATATTTGGTTTTCCCCAATGCACCACCATTATTCATAAAGTTATACGGTGAGAACAAAGAACCAACATTTGACATGATATATACAGATGGAATCACCAGCGTAGATATGAGATTTGGGGTGATGTTACATAAGTTACTGTATTATGCTATTCCCAACAAATTTTCATCATTTCCATCATTGCATAGTGCAAATGCATGTTTAATATTCTTCTTTGTATGTTATTATTCAAAGTGGACGAGTTTTAAGTTGCTTGGATTAGTGAATGTCCTCGGACAATGGTGGTCGGAGTTATACTTGGATCATCACTGGAGATTTGATTGTTTTGCAGGAATGCTTTATGCCATTACTACTTGGGTTCTTTTGATGAATTGGAAAAAGGGTTTACAATATGTTGATGATAGATATACTAATGCTAAGGCAAATTTGGACATGAAGCACGGGAGCACAATGGGTATGAGATTGTTTAGAAATACTAGGCTTAAGAATTTCTTTGATCCGCAAGTATAGATACTTTATAATAAACGAGTACTTGCTATTGTGATACTACAATGTAATATTTTATCAATTAAACAAATGCACTAGTTTCATATATAGAGAAGAAAGAGTTGATCAACATTCAATCAATTCAACAACATCTAAAGTGACTGGATGACATTGATAACCAATTGGTTCATCATATAAGTTATAGAAATTTCCAGAAGCACATTGGAAGAATTTAGTTGAATCACCTAAAGCTAATTGACCGTCTTTAGTAATTGACCATCCAGCAGCATAAACAGCACCATGTTGAGGGGTGGGACCATCAAATTGGAATTGATGTCCGGAAACAATACTACCGATTCTATTATCTGAATCTCTTAAAATTCCATCCTTTAATGTCATTCTTAATGTTGAGTTTCCATAACAGGCAACAGCATAAACTGGAGAGATAAATTCTTCTTCTTCATGGTCAGGATAATATCTATGGTGGTCTTCTTCATGAGGATACTTGTGGTAGTTGTCATCATCCTGGTGTCTGTGGTTATCCTTGTCCTTGTCATCATAGTGTTTGTGGTTGTCATCACCATCACGGTATCTGTTGTTATCCTTGTTCTTGTCATCATAGTGTTTGTGGTTGTCATCACCATCACGGTATCTGTTGTTGTTCTTATCATCACCATCGCGGTATCTGTTGTTATTCTTATCATCACCATCACGGTATCTGTTGTTGTTCTTATCATCACCATCACGGTATCTGTTGTTATTCTTATCATCACCATCATGATATCTGTGATTTTCTCTATCTTTACCATCATGATATCTGTGATTGTCTCTCTCGTCATCGTGATATCTATGGCTATCTTTATCGTCATCTTCAAATGGGCGCTTCTTGTCAATTCTTGACCCACGTTGAATCTTGTATCTATTTTCACGATTTTTGTTTTCACCACCAATATCTTCATAAATCTCTTCAAGGGAATCAATTCTATCATCATAATTAAGATCTTGGCCAACCACAATATCGTCAGCTTCATGGTGACTTCTCTTTAACAATTGAGGAGGAGGAGGAGGAGCTACTTCAGCTGCGGCTTCAACATCAAAATCTTCTTTAGACTTAACCTTTTGCACTTGACCATCATGAATTTGATGAATTAAATCCTTAGTCTTGGTGGGTTTTGGAGCAGCGGTAACGATAGAAGTGATGAAACTAGTAGTAACAGATCTTTCAATACTGGAAATAGGTGGTTCTTCAAGCTCTCCTTCTTCATTAATAAAATAAGGATTGACAACAATACCAAACACAAATGGAATAGTATCAAAACTACCTTCTAATGGTTCACAATTTGGTTTTAATTTAGTCCAATCGTCACCGTTTGCAGGAACATAGTAGCCGCTGATGGGGAAAATGTGGGCAAGGAGGATAGTAATTGTTAATAAGGAAAGAACATACATTGTTCAAAGCGTTCAGGTGTCTTTGATTAATGTTTGTTAGAAACAAAGATGTAAAGAAAAGAAAGAAGATAAAAAGAAAGTATTTGCAATTTAAAATTTTAGGATAATTTTGGGCGTTTATATAGGTGCAAATTTTGAGGGGATTTGTTTACAAAAGGCTGCGAAAAAACTTCAAAATTATGCAACAAGCGGATGCAACTAGTTTTGTTTGTTTCAAGTTAAACTATTCGGAAATATTCGGACTTATCTCATATTTCCTATTACAAATAGAATTTAGTTATGCTGGTATCTTTCAATATGTTTGCTTTCTCTTCTGGAGGAACCGATAAGTGGAAACTCGCTAGTTAGGACTTCCCCGAATGTATTTACTTTTGTGTCGATTCAGACAAATGGCTGAATCAAGTTTGAGGTAAAATTTAACTTATTTTAACGGTCAAAGCATTAGAACTACCCAGCAAACGTGTCCAATCTTGTAGCCAGCTAGATTGAACTATGTTCCAAACTTGGCTCTTAACAGTTACTGATTTTTGGTAGATCTGCACGACCGAGGACAAAAACATTTTCCTTGAATAAAAACGCAATGATTATTCAGCAAAGAAATCATCCACATCAATATACTGTACCATCAAGATGTTTAGAAGAGCCTTAACTAATATCCCAAGATTCGTATGTATATCTATTTATAATACAAGCCAAATTTATATCTTGTTTCTTATACTAACTAGAAGCTATAGACAACAGTCAGACCAAATTTCTCATATCCAGTTAGATTCATGTCTACTGAGATCAAAGAAGCCATAGACCAAGCAGTTGCTTCCTCTCCCGTTGTTCTCTTCATGAAAGGTACCCCAGAATTCCCACAATGTGGTTTTTCCAGAGCTACCATTCAATTATTGGGCCAACAAGGTGTTGATCCAGAAAAGTTTGCTGCTTACAACGTCTTGGAAGATCAAGAATTAAGAGACGCTATTAAAGAATACAGTAACTGGCCAACAATTCCTCAATTATACGTTAAGGGAGAATTTGTAGGTGGTTGTGATATCATCACCAGTATGGCTCAAACTGGAGAATTAGCTGAATTGTTAGAGGCTAATGATGCATTAGTACCTGAAACAGATGATGGTATTGAAGAAGCTGAAATTACTCCAAGAAGATAATAAGTTATTCGTTTTGTATATATTTAAATATTAATACTATTTCCATGCTAAATTAAAATATAAAAGTTGTATCAATATAATGCACGATGCTGAAAAAAATAAATAAAACCAACCATAAAAAACAAAACGCAATCAACTTTCTTAAATACCCATCATAAACCTCTCATATAAAAAAATTTTTTTTATCATATTTTATCATATAATCATAACTAATTAGGCACATTCGGTGCCTTCGTTAATTCCTGTGGTGGCCATATTAATACTACAATTACTGGAAAGACTTCTCTTTTTCAATGATGATTTCCGTCTAGTTATCAAGTTTGAATCATTTAAGTTGAGGGTGAACTTGTAATCACCATTTATACCGGAGATAATTGAAGATGACCTAGTTTGATAATCAAGTTCAGTTGAATCAATTTCCAGGGATGAGTTATTGGAAGACAAGTATTCATCAGGTAATTCATCCTCAAGATATGCTTCAGAAAACAAGTTGCCATGATGGCTCTTCAATTTTAATTTTGGTGATGGTTGGACTTCCAAACTAGTTAGTTCATCTCCAAGTTCATCCATTTCCGGATCACTGTTTTCTTTAGTAAACAATTCATTCTTGTTTTCAGGGTAGGGTGTTCTAACGTATCCACGCGAGCATGGTAAAAGAGGACCCTTATCTTCATCTTCCTCTTCTTCCTCTTCTTCTTCTCCTTCGTCATCATCGTCAGCATCAGCATCGGCATCAACATTTTCAATATGTGCTATTTCATTGTCCTTAAAATTATCATCCAACATGGCAGGGTTATCAAACACTTTCTTAATAGCTTGTGCTCGAGGTGATTTCAATGGTTGGTTTCTTATGGTAGGAACGCTGAGTGGACTCTCATTCTCCTCAGCATCATAAATTTGATAATTACAAGAATCGTCACTTGAGAAATAATGAGTTGCTTCTTGTGGTAACTGTTCTTGAAGTCCAAGCTTATCTTTATCATGTTGTAACCAAGGATGATTCCAAATTTCTTCAATGGTTATTCTTTGTTCTGGGTTGATTGTCAACATTCTTGAAATCAAATCCTTGGCATTGGCACTGATTTCATCCCACCATGGCTGCAAAAAGACAAAATCTCCTCGCAATATCTTGATGGTTAAACTATTGGCATCATCATCATAGAATGGTGGGAAACCACATAATATAGTATACAAGAAACATCCCAATGACCAGATATCTACTGATTTTGAATAGTAGTTCTTACTACGTTTCAAGAAATGTTGTCTGGCATTACAAGTAATGACTTCAGGAGCAGTGTAACCAGCTGTACCACAAGGTGTCTTTAAATACATATTTTTCATTTCTTCGGTAGTTTCATCATCAACAATTAGTTGTTTGGCAAGTCCAAAATCAGCTAGCTTAATTAAACCAATAGTACCACCACCAATGTGAAGTTTGAATTCACCTTCATCTAACTTGGCCTCGTCATCAGACATTCTCAATGAACTCTTAAACTCTTGTTCAGAACGTTCAAAGAATGGGATCTTTTTAAATAATAGGTTTTCAGGTTTGATATCACGGTGAACTATATTCAATTTGTGGAGATGATCAATGGCAGAAAGAAGCTGTTTAAATACATGACGGGATAATGATTCTGAAAAGTAGGTATATTCAATAATCTTGTTGAATATTTCTCCACCATTGCAATATTCTAATATTAAAAAGCAGTGGTCGGGTGTGTCTATCGAATCCAATAATTTAAGCAAATTTGGATGATTGTTAATTCGTTTCATTATGGCAATTTCATTCTTGATGTTGTGGAATTGTTTGGAGGAAAGGTTTGCCTTTTTAATGATCTTGATAGCAACCACTAAATCTTGTTGATTGGTATCAATAGCTTTATACACGGTGGAAAAGGCACCTTCACCTAGAGTACATACAAGTTTATATTGTGGTGGCAAATCAGGATAAACATCGTGTAGGGTTTCGTTGAATGTGAATACTGATGCTGAGTTACTTCTATAATGATGGGAAGGGGTAAAACCGGAAACATCAGTTGTTACAGCTGTTGTCATATTATCGTCAGGTGAACTTGCTAATGTAGGAGAAGATTGACTTAAAGGAAGTGGGGAAAGTTTCTCGCTAGATAATGCCCGTTCAGATGTTGCTGTTGTATAAGAAGTAGCTGTAGTAGGATAACTGTTTACAAATAACTTTTTGAAATTCTATAACTTATAGGTTAGTACAGCTGTGAAAAACTGTAGATGAAAGGAGTCTATTTTGAAACGGTTATTTTTAAACAAATGTGATCTTTATTTTTCCCCATGGGGCTAATTTTAATTGGCTTTTCGATAAGTTTTGTCTTTGTTTAATTGCTTGTTGCACACTGCCATATTCTGCAACTCCGGCTATTCCCGCAGCCGAAATTAAAAAAAAAATGGAACGACTAATCTGCAGGAAAACCGATTTTATCTTGTGATCGAAAAAATAATACTGTAAAACACTCGTGTATACATTGTCGAATAATGGTTGACACCAGGATTATTCGTTCCATCAGATTAGGGAAAAGTTCCGTTATCATCACAACTCCTTGTAAAAAATAATACATACCTCAATTAATGCCATATTCTGAGCTTTCTTGAATAATGAAAACAAAAAGGATTGTAGATGTAAGATGTTGCTATTTTCGAATTTAACAATCTAACATAAAATTTATGCAATCAGGGGAATATTTCAATATTTGAAGGAATGGAAGATCACGTTAATCTGCGTGAACACTTAAATTGGGTGATATTTATCACTAAAGGAGAAACTTTGGTTAGGGTGAATTCCGTGTTTATGTAAGACGGGATAAATATAAACAAAGTAAACAATAAATTTTAGATGAAAAAGTTGAACTTTTTCTTGGTCAACATTTGAAGGATGAGGTGATGAACAAAAAAAAATAGGGGGAGGCTTGGTGTGGATTGGCCTCTCTCTTAATCACGTATGGTAGGAAAAGTAGGTTGAAGCAAGGTCGTGACAGGGGTTATTCCATACGTTCTATCGTATAAATTTGATGTATTAAAAACTTAGGGTGTTGTTTTGGTTTGTTGCAAAGTATGTTTTCCAGGAAATTTTGGAAATTGAAGAAACCAACTGGTATATTTATAGTTGTTATACACAGGAATAGATTACTAAAAATGTCTGAAAGAAAGAAACAGATAGCAATTTAAGCGGGGAATGATTATTTTACTTGAATCAATAGAGAATATTATTTTTTAAACCTGTAAACAATGCTTCCATTTAAAGTGTAAAAAGAAACGAGTAAAATGCAAAATGGCATTATTCTTTGAAACAATACGAAAGTTTCTTCTATTTGATTGTCTAAATTTTGGTTGAGAGCAAAATTAGTAATTTAGCCATGAAATTGACTAAGCAATACAAATAATTGTATTTATAGCAACTTTGTAATGTAAACAAGTTTTGCTATAATTAGATGCTTTGGTTGGATGTTGCCGATTTTGGTAAACTAGAAATAAGTTTAATACGAATAAACTGAAATTTTTACATGTTACACATTTGCGAGAAAGGCCCCAATTTTTTAAAAAAGACAGTATTTTATTTTGGTAACTACTTGAATTACGATGACTGACATGACAACAGAGGCTTTTCATTGGTGGGAATGTTACAATCCTATATAACTAGTAATCATACTATACCCGCGCATCCTACCCGCAGAAGCTAAAGTGCCAAAAAAAACATCCTCAATCACCTATCTAGGTGAACGGGCTATGGTAGGAATACATTAGTACCGCCACTGTTATCTTACTTTATCATATTTTCTAGAAATTTCTAAAAAATCGCAACACAAATAAAACAAAAATGCATTACGTGGAACTAAGTTGTAGTTGGCAACTTTGTAGTACCGTGTTAAATTTTTTATTTATTTTTTTTTATTTTTTTTATTTTTTTTTCTTGTTTTTGCGGGGCAAATTGAAAACTGCGTGTAACATCGATTGAAAATGTATTATCATCAGAATTTCTACGTCGGCATAATATGCGAAATAGCTCAAATAAACAATAATGGGGTTTCCCACTTATGCACGATGACGATAAGTTTGAATTTAAAACTTAAGCTAATTGTTGTTTAGTTTCATTCCCCTGAAAAACTATGGTTAGTGTGAATTTCAAGATTTGACAACAAATGTTTCACTATGCAACGAACCCCCCACCATGAAAAAAAAATGTACAATTTTCAATGCGACCTAAACTTATTCACATTCTCCCCCACACCCCCTTGTGTTAATATTATCTGTATCCACCGCCTTAATCTTTGCATTTACTATAACATGATCCGTGTTTTGCTCGTAACGTGGAAACCCACTTACAAAATTGCATGATCACAACAACTGGGGTTAAACCACGACACAACATCGAAAAAAATATTTTGAAACAATATTTTGCAAACAATGGTGGGGATGATCGAAAGAAACTATTGATCTGAAATTACTTCTTATTCTTAAGTTTTTAATTGCATGATTTTTTAGAGTTTGAGTTCTATATTCTGGAAACGATCTTTTAAGTTTCTTCTGCCATACATTTACTTTCATGACACAATTATTGACAGGTTTACGGAGTTTACGTAGGCACACTACTTACATAAGTTTACATTACAACTACCTTCAGCATCTAGCAACCGTGCCCCCACTTTGATCTTGGCAACCGTAACCATTATCATCAACAGGGGTCACTTACCTAAGCTTTTTCTAAGGATATTCATTTTTCTCCACTTCTTGCCGTGATTGTAATTCATATTAAAATTTTCCGAAATTTATTTTTTTTTTTGTCTTGAGTCGTGATGACGGCTGCATAGTCGATTTCACTATCTCTCTCCTTGAAAGTAAAATTATCTAAAATAGTAAAAATACTTCTCGGAAACCGTGTCTAGATTCATTCAGTCTTGTTACATGTCTCTTGTGATGTAATGTCCATTCAGAAAGCGCGCCATATCTTGTACAATCCCCATCTCCAACCCATTCCCATGTGAATTGTCAGACACAATGAGAGCATCTTCGGAAATGACATCAACGGTGCGGGAAAATGGCAAGTAAAAATATAAAGCCCCTTGTGAAAACGGATATGTTTCCTTTCTGGCAATCACAATGAAGGATCTTAAATAATAACTTACCTCGATTGTGGTCGCTATGGCCTCTATTGTAATTTGCTTCTTTGTTCAATATTTTTAGAATGTAGAGGGTCGCCCCATTGTTACTAGACCCCTCTCTTAGTTGACGTAGTCATGAATTACCGTCAACTAATTGTATGTTTACCTGTTTGCGCCCAGGGGATAATTTATTTTTGGTTACCAATGTGACAGGTCATCTAATCATCTTTTGACTCAAATTCCTTATCCATTGTTTAATCTATTACTAATTCAAGAATAGGGGGGAGGGGCAGTATAACCACTGGGCTTATCTCCATCCCACAACTCATTTCATCTTATCACGAAATACAACTAAGGCCCAACAATTATCTCATCTCAAGCAACCTTATCGAATACAATAGGAATTTATCCGTAATATTTTGCATCAATTGTCAATCAAAATTTTTAAATTTTCAACTCCAGTTTTGCAATAATTATTTGGTAGTTCCCCGTAAACATTGACAAGGGGTCATCCCTTGTGTGGGCTCCAGTTGCACTTTACAATGACAATGAATACGAAACAAAGATATATCGTGATTGTTAATGAAGAATATGACGAAAGGAGCGATTATTTTTCTAACCCTTCTGGAGCTAGTGGATATTTACATTATGGTCAACTAAAGTGTAAACATATGAATTGCAGCTTCATCCTGCAACAAATATTTCTTTGTGTCAAGATTCAAATGGGTTTAAAGAAATTGTATCGAGGCGGTAGCGTTCGTTCGGAAATTGCTTACCAAAGTCAGGAAAATTATAGTATCTAATCAATATTTCTAAAGGACACAATGGTTCAAACTTCATTTCGTTATTATATTTATTCAATGTAACTCAAGATTCTATTCAAGTTTTTGTTTTTATATTCAAATAATTTCAAAACATACTTCTTGCTAGTAAAAGACGCATATTCAAGTGGATAATGCGAATAAGCTAACTTCTGGCTGGATTCTCCTTTGGAAATAAAAGAAGCAGCAATAAACTTTTCAAAATAAAGAGAAGCAAATGTCATTTTTATTGTAGAATTGTTCAAAATATAGTTGGCAAATTTTGGGTTGCGAAAAAACACCAAACCAAATGCAATATTCTAGAGTTAGATCGCATCCTTGTGAATTTTAGTTTGGTGATTTTTCTTAAAAAATTCTAGTTCGCTGAAGTAGGCGTAGTTATGAAGATCGAATATAGATTGTTTATCCATTAATTCTTGTTGTGGTTGTCTTTTCACATACAGCAAAAGCTTCTCTCAATTTAAATGTATATCCAATCTTTTATACTTTTGACTAGGGGAGGAGGGGTTTCTAATTGAAAATTTGTGTAACTAATAACCGCCCAATTCACCATTTAGGATGTCATTTGAGTAGATTTCAGAAACTTACAGGAAAGATCCTTTTAACCACAAAAATATTCTTCTGATTTCTTCCGTGTAAGCCTTGAGTCTGGCAAATCGAAATTCAAGCAAAGAATATAATAGTACCTTTAAATGCAAAGATAATGAAGAACTAGGCTGAGAATGTATCCTACTCGTCATTCTCTGTTTTGAGTCTAAGAAATAGAGGCTGTTGCTAGAAAATTATGTGGGGTAATAAGGCTCAACATCTAGATTAAATCTATTAATTCAAACTGTGAGATCATATTATTCAGTTAAAATGTATGGTCTTTTGTTGTTTTACTAGACTTTACCATTAGTCATTCATGTAATCAAAACTTTAGAAGATACACCGTGATGTTACAGTATCTTTCGGTTTGTTGATATTGGTAACTTGTGCACGACCATACAATTTTAGCAATGAGCATCTCACTCAGTTTAATTTTTTCTCTCTCTTTCTGTCTAGTTTTTACAACCAATTTTTATAATACCTTAAAAAGGCAAAATCAACCATAACAATGACAGGGGAAACTGGGAAGAAACGCAAGTCCTATTCAGTACCATCTATTAATATAGATCATGGCTTGCTTGAGAAGTTAAATCATATTGTGTCCCCGTCTGGTTCTACCGATCTCCAAGCGTTGATCAACTTTATTGATTCAGGAAGTATCACTAAACTATTATCGATTTGGTCCTTTTATGCATCAACAAACGATCATACCCAATTCACAGATATCTCTATAAAGTTATCGAAATTGACATTCCAAATTAATTCTTCATCAGAAGTGCTATTGTCCCAGAAACATATTCTTATTGATACATACAAAGATATATTGAATAACTACCTCAAGGTGATATATCGTGCCTTGAATAATGTTAGACCACCATTAACCAATGCCAATATCAGAATTTTGAATAATTTGATTAATTATGATGGCATAATCGTGTCTGAATTCTTGAATACCTTTGATTTCACTTTAAATTCATTGCCTAGACTTTTGGTACCAGGTAAAGAAGTTGAGGTGGAAACGAAGCCTGCTTTACAAATCAGATTTAATTTTGTATCATTTTGGTTAGATTTATGTTCTAATGTTGCTTACTTCCATAGATCAGACTTGTTATTGAATCACCCAAAAATTATTAACAATTTATGGAAATTTCTTAATATTGATTCAATCGAGTTAATTAAGAAAATCATTGCATTCCTTGATGAAAAAGTATTAGGCGAAGTGAATTTCAAAAGAAGTGAAAAGTGCAAGATCTTATCCGAGAATTTCATGCATAAGATTCATGTGGTGTTTGGCAAAACAGAGGAACTGTTCTTTATTGATTTCATGAATAAGTTAGCCACGGACTCCAAGCAAGGGTTAATGTTTCCAAATGACAAACTTTGGCAAAAACCTGCTTCTGGAGTACCAGTCCAAATCAATAATAAGACCTTTAGAATCGCTAATAAGTTATTGTTTACATTAGTAACTACTTTGAAGCCAGGAGATTCAAATGTCGAATTGCAATATATGGTGAGAGTATTAGAAGCAAACCCAGAATTGATCCCTCCCTACATGAATTGGGCAGTTCAACATGGTGGTGGATATCATGAACCATCATTAACATCATGGTGGATTTCACATACTTTACTTTACTCCAATGTATTGCAAACTAGTGTACCTACATTCACAAATCCAGAGTTATTAAAGTTTGATGCCAAATTGATCTCAGAAAGTATTGTTTTCGCACCAATTTCTAAAGGTGCTTTGATCAATGGATTGACAACTAAAAAACTATTACTCGTCCAGTTAACTTTACAATTGATACTTTACATGTTAAAAAGGTTAGAATCTGCCTTAAATGCCACCGCCAATGTCAAACAAGAATTAGTTGATCTCGTGTTTGCTCAATTTCCTGACCTGACTATCATTGCTCAAGTTGTAGAACAAGCTTCGTCTAGCAAGCTTATTAAATTAACTGGGTTGACGATCTTACAAAAATATGAATCATATCGTTCTTTCAACAACAATTCATTAAATAAGATTGTTTCAAATGGTATATCTAGTATCGTGTCAGATATGTCGGCAATAACAGGATATGAATTAACATTACTTAATTTATATATTTCCATTCAGACTGAGCAAGATTTCAAATGGTGGAATAAGGGACCAGGAGGAAATACTATCTTTACTTCTTTGATTACGCTTTCTGCCAACTCAAATATCGATAAAAACTATGTGATGAAGATTTATCAATTATTAACTGGATTAGGACAAGACAAGATGCTTTGGAATTCTGATGCGTTGATCTCGCCAATATTACCCTTAGTTTATTCATTTGAAGGTCAATCTGTTGGCGATAGAATGTGGAATATGTTAGATGAAACTATTGCCAGACCTGTGAGAACTCCTTACAAGTACCTTGACTTGTCTCATGAAAAGTATCAAGACATTAGTATATTCATAGTTGCATTATTTGAGCAGTTCAAGTTCGTATTGAAAGGAGACGATGATGATATTAATTACATCAAATGGTTATTCCATTTTTTGAAATATTTGATAACCATTGGTGAATCTAGAACTGTATTATTACAGTTGGTTGATCTGTTGGAAATAGGTGATATCATTGAGAAGAATCACTTATATAAACAATTGGATTTTGTCACCAGAACCAAAGAACTGAAGGATTCTACCATTGTAGAAATCGTCATGAATCAATCCGTTGATGATGTAATTAAAAATAATTGGTTGGACAGGAAAGTCATCTCTTCAAATTTGGACTTTTTGGCCCTCATTAAACTTTTAGATACTACTTTACAAAATGGAAAGCCTGCCAAGACGTTGATAACTCTTTTATTCAGTAAATTCTGGAATTATTTAATGAGTTCAGCTGATGAGAAAGTTTCGAATTATTTTTCATCAAAGAAGGTTTGGTTCAATTTGTTTAACCTGGAAAAGGGTGAAAATGTGGAATTGGCTATTAGTCTCTATAATGAAATCATTATCAGTGAACAATTTACCGGCGATAAGACTGAATTGAGTGAATTTGTGTTCGAGAAATATATCAGTGGTCAACAAGATGGATTAGAACAATTCATGTGGATTATGTCACCAGAACAATTACAAAAGTTATTAGAACTTGAAGGGGAAATATTCCTCAAAGCTGTTGATAGTTGTATCGTCAAGAATATCACGCTTGAATTCAAAAATTTTCAAAAATTGTATAACAATTTTACTGGAAATGAAAGAAATCGTTTGATTACTCTGTTAATTGATTTGAAATTAGTCAATTTCACTCCTGATGAATTAGTCCAAACTATCACCTTGATTATGATTACTCCAAGTGACCAATTCTTGATTGCTAACTTTATCCAAGTTTCAGATGATGTTGTAACCTTATTGATGGACAAGCTTGGTGACATTCAAGATAATTACTTAAACTGTTTAATTGCATATTCTTTAATCAAACGGAAGGTTTCCATTCCTAAAGAATTCCATGATAAGGTAATTGACATTGCCTTGACATTGCTCCAAGAAAGCAAATTGGGTGAATTGAAATGGCACCAGGTGTTGACTATTTTAGCAACCAGTGAAACAATACCTACAAACGTATTTGAACAAGTATTCCAATATTTGGAAGTAATTGGTTTAAAACAATCATTTATTCCTTCATTCATTGATTTCATTTCCAAATTTGAACCTACCACTGCGGAAATTAGTTCATGGTTGCACAAATCAATGCTCTACATCACCAAGAAATTTGCCGAATCAGATCAACTCTCAGCAAACTTTGATGACTTTATTGAGTGTATGGGTAGTTATATTCTTGGATCAAATATCTGGACCTTGGTACCTGCATCAATTTTAAACACCCAGCTTGAAGTTATTCTCCTGTCTAAATGGAACAAAACTAGTCAATACTTGAAATACATAACCAAATTGATCTTAATTGCTCCTAAGAATAGGATTGACTTTCAAAGAATGTTCCAAATTACATTGAACATTGTCAATGAATTACCTAATGAATCTAATTCCGAGCTGAGATATTTTAATAATGTGGTATTATATACCCTTTTCAATCTCGATGCTGGAAAGTTGTCCACTTTGAATAATCTTGAACTTGTGCTTGAGAAATATCTTGGAAGCAGTCGTGCAGAAGATTTGTTGTTGAAAGAGATTTTGGTCAAGATGGAAGCAAGCGTTGCTGCTACATGGTTAGCCAAAGTTTCAAACTGGGAATTTGTAGAAGAGTCTACGAATGACGATGATTTTGTTCAAGATAAATTGATCAAGAGTAGTGGTAAAGGAGAAATCACTGTTTGTTTGAATAAAGGATTTATCAGGAACACCTTTATGTCATATCAGGACTTGGTGATGCCTGAATTTAGCAAAATGGTCAATACTAAGTGGGATCAAATTCAAGAATTTTACCATAATAGCAATTTGAAAAACTCCAAATTGTATTCTGCAACCAGCTATGATCCAGAATTTTTGTTGATGGTTACATTAAATAACGAAGAGCTTTTGAAAATCACTAAGGAAGAAGACGGATCCGAAAAGGCTATTTTCAATATCAAGAACCTTATCGATACAGGGATTTTACAATTTATTATATCCACCTTATCAAATCCAAAATATGTTCCAATTTCCAAGATAATAATTGCCAAAATTTTGAAATCTATTAGTGGTGACGATAGCTCATTTAAGGATAAGAGTATTTACACTGTATACTTGTCAAATGTGTTGTTTACTTTAACAACCAGTGAAACTAACATTCCTCATTTGGTATGGTATGTTTGGTCCCAATTGGTTCCAATATTATCTAATCCTGGTAATTTCCTTTATGAGAAATCTTTCAGATATGTTTTAAGCACACCTAAGTTGAAGAATATTGATATTCCATTATACAATTTGATTACTCACCCTCGAGATGGGGAGCATGAATATTACCGAGAATTGATCTGGTTAATCGATAGAATAACCGAAGGTGTTGAAACTGTGGATGATTTGGCTGTATTCCAAAAGGGTATAATTGAAACATTTGTAAACATATTCAATTCTGAATACGGTAATACTAAATTAAAAACTAGTTTACTAAAGTTGGTTCATAAGTTACAAGGTGTTGATTATGGTGCCGATATGTTGATTACCAGATTTGGTCTTTTGGCTGCATTGGAATCGATTTCAATCGGGTTGTCTGACAGTTTAATTGATAAACAGCTCAAGTTAAATATTGACGAGTTATTGGTTAGATTTAAGGTTGGTGTTGGAGCAAGTAAGAGGGTTTTAGAGTGGAGTTGTAATGATTTAGAACCAAGTATCAAGAGAATAAGGAAGGAGGTAGATTTATAGATTTTGATAAACCATAAAATAAAAATTTTGAAAATCGTACGAAAAATAAATTTCTGGGGGGGGTGGGTGGAGAATTTAAACCATCTTTTGCCTTTACATAACCATTCATAGTATAGATCAAAATGAGTGTACGTGATTATCCATAGATTTGGCGTTAGATTTAACATGGGAGTTATATAATCAAATTATTTGATGATCTAATCCAGCTTTTTCAGACATTTAATTATAGTTCTTCCGGTAATACTAACAAACAAACAAAAACTAGATTGGTAAATTGACACATTACACATTTGATTTAGTTTTGATTTCAATTATTCTTGCTGGAATCCATCGTAATACTGGTCTCCAATTTGACGTATCCCACTTTTCGCTGGTTGATGTCCGTCGTTATTTTGGTAAGTATTTGGCATTTGGTGAAGCATGTTATGACAGGGTAGTCAGTTTATTGAAATTCAGTGGGTATTTCAGACAGAGTAACTTAATTTATGATTTTGCTCAAAGGGCAAGTGATAGATTAAAGGAGGAAACTGGAAGAAGTTTAGACGAATTTAAAAGAGAAAATAAAGTGGATTAGTTGGTGTGGTTTAACCAAATCTAGTTTGACTAATTGTTAATTGTGTATATAAAATTAGAAAAAAAAAATATGCTCGCTTGATTTTATTGTAGTGTAACTGATGACGATATTCTAGTACGTACAAACTTTCTGATCATTAACATTTGATTCCACGATAATCCCATGAATGCAGAATCAATCAGGATGATCAAATATCAAACGAAAAAAAAAACAGGGAGTGAGGAATGTCATAGGTTGCATTATCATTGGAATCTAAGATGCATGAATTATTCTGAATAAGTTGAATAATTCAAGAAACAAGATTCAAACATACTAACCGCGTACTCAAAAGGTCCTATTAGAATAAAGGAGTATTAAGATGAAGTTATTTGAACAGTTCAAAAATGCAATTGAAGATGAGCAACAAGAAGACATATCTGAAACAGATGCATATATATCAATGTATTCGCCCAAGAAGTTATCCCTGCTTGGATTAGCTATTATCAATCTTCAGATTATTAATTTAAGAACAGGATTGGGTGCCAAGACTATCATAGAATTGAAATTGGATCCTGCCTTTGGGGATACTGACATTAATACTGGAACCTTACGTACTGGAGATATTGTCAAGCTATCCAAGATGGAAAAACTGACATCCACAAATGCAAAGAAAAAGAAAACCAAAAGTACTACCTCGACGGAAAATTCTGAAGACAGTGAAGATCAGGGTATTGAAGCAGTAGTGTTAAAGGTATCAACTCAAACAATTAGTATTTCGGTTGAAGAATCTACTGATGATGCCCATGTTCTTCAATATTACAATAATACTAATAACGATCTGACAAGAATGTGGCTTGTGAAATTGGCAAATTCAATAACCTATAAAAGAATGATTTCTACAATGAATAAAGTTAATGAACTTCAACCAAGTGACAAAAATGATATTCATAAGTTATTGCTTGGTGAATCACTGTACATATCTCATCAGAATAATCATTTCATTACCTTTTTCAACAGTCATTTGAATGATTCTCAAAAGCAAGCAATTGAATTTGCAATAAACAAATCCAATATAACGATTATTCACGGACCACCAGGAACTGGGAAAACATATACTTTAATCGAGCTTATCCAACAGTTGACTAACTTGGGGGAGAAGGTACTTGTTTGCGGTCCATCCAATATTTCAGTAGATACTATATTAGAAAGATTAGGTGATAAATATAAATCAGGACAGTTGATAAGAATAGGACATCCTGCAAGGCTTCTTCCAGTAAATTTACAGCATTCTTTGGAGATTTTATCCAAAAGTTATGGAAGAGAAATAATTCTGGACATTGAACATGACATTCTGTCTACATTGACAAAAATTCGAAAATGCAAAAGGTATGCAGAAAGAAGGGAGTTATATCAAGAATTGAAATTGCTTAAACGGGAATTGAAACAACGTGAGAAAAAGATTGTACATGAATTGTTAATTAATGCAAGGGTTGTAGTGGCGACTTTGCATGGTTCCGGGTCATATGAATTGCGAACTAATGATTTAGCTTTTGATACGATCATCATAGATGAAGTATCTCAATCAATGGAACCTCAATGTTGGATTCCTTTATTATTGAATACCAAATTTAAGAGGCTTGTTATTGCTGGGGATAATATGCAATTGCCCCCAACTGTTAAACTGGTGAAGAGAAAAGGTAGTTCTATTCTTGAAACTACTTTATTTGACCGTTTAGTACTCAAAGGTGAAGGTAACAAATTTAAAAAGTTACTTGATGTTCAGTACAGAATGAACACAAGTATTATGATGTTTCCAAATATGCAACTATATTCTAATAAATTGAAAAGTGATAGTAGTGTAGAGAATATTACACTTTCTGAATTACCAGGAGTAGAAGAAAATGATGACACATTGTGTAAATGTATTTGGTATGATACCCAAGGTGGGGAGTTCCCTGAACAGGTTAGTGAATCAGTTGAAGGTGATTCAAAATATAACGAGATGGAACTCTTGGTTGTCAGAGGACACATTGAGAAATTGTTGTCTGATGGGGTCCAACCTAAAGATATCGGGGTAATTGCTCCATACGCTGCGCAGGTGCAATTATTGAAGAAACAAATGGGACCAGAAACGGAAATAGAAATAAGTACCGTTGACGGATTCCAGGGAAGAGAAAAGGAAGTGATCATTTTAACATTGGTGAGATCAAATGAATCTCGAGAAATTGGGTTTTTAAGTGATCAAAGAAGATTAAATGTGGCCATAACAAGACCAAAGAGGCAGCTATGTGTTATTGGAGATTTAGAATTAATGAGTTCAAGTGGTAGCATATTTTTGAAAAATTGGTGTAAATATGTTGAGGAAGGCATTGACTGCAAAGATGTTGAACCATTCGAAATCGTCTACCCAAATTTAGAGGACTACTTGCTGAATTAGATAATAGATTATTGACGAAATATTTCCTCAATCAGCCAAGTGTTCAAACCAGGCTTAAAGTTAAGCGATTGTGGGTAAATAAACCGCGTAATCTGGAGAGATGCGCGCGGAAATTGCAAAAAAATAATTTTGCCGAGCCAGGTTACGAAATACAGGGTTTACTTATCATTGGTTAAAAATATGCCAAGATTTGTAGCTTTTTGCCAAAATAGATTTGCTTTATGGTTTTCGCTTAAAAAATACATTATTCTTATTAAGGTTGCTAGAGAAATCTGGGGTGGTCTCATCACCCAGGGCTGCAGAAAACTGGTCCACCCAAAGTAGATATAAATAAATATTGGATCTGTTTATGTGGTTGGTCGTGATCTTTTATGAAAATTGCCAAATTATTAACTCTGATTGCATTTATTCCTTAAGATATTAGTCTGAAATATCTACCACTAAAGTCATTCCTTAAATATTTGTCAAAGTGTTAGCTATTTTTCCATTATAATGAGATATATTGTACCAGTTGTATTCTTGGTGAATTTAATGGTTCAAGCAGCTGAAGTTTATGTAACGGAAACTAGCTATGTAACTGTCAGTAGAACCAAGCTTCCTGATGGACTGATCACCGAAATCATCCTTGGACAGCCAGATCCAATCCCTGTTGATGTTCAACTTCAGTCTCAACCTGACCAGGAACCTGTATCTGGGCCATTTCAACAGCCTGAACCTCAACCTGAACCTCAACCTCAACCTGAACCTCAACCTCAACCTCAACTTGAACCTCAGGTTCAACAGGAACCTCGCACACAAGCTAATGGTGTCAAATCAAGCCAATTTGCAGATGAGATTTTAGACGCTCATAATTCTAAACGTGCAAAACATCGTGTGGCACCATTACAATGGAGCCAAGAATTGGCCAGCTATGCAGAGAGATATTCTGCTGCCTATTCATGTGGAAGTGGTTTGGTACATACTGGTGGACCTTATGGAGAAAACTTGGCTTCGGGTGTCTCATCTTGTTCACATGGTGTTCAATTATGGTATGATGAAGTCAATGGGTATGATTACAATCTGCAACATTTGAACCACTTTACTCAAGTAGTTTGGAAATCTACCCATGAAGTAGGATGTGCTGTTAAAGATTGTGGTAGCAATGGGCTCTATCTCATTTGTGAGTATAATAAACCGGGAAACATAGTAGGAGATAAGTATTTTAGAGAGAATGTTTTCCCTCCCTACTAAGAATTTGAGATTGTTATGAACATTGATTGAACTGCAAGCACAATCCTTGAAGGTTTTTATAGAATAGTCTAACTTTTTGAATTCCAATAAAACCATTTTTCTTTTATCCTTGTGTTAATTATTATTAATTTCAATTCCCCCGAAATATAAATACAAATTTAAATGACATTTATCATACAAAATGGTTTATCCAACTAGTTTACTTCTAGGGCTAGATGTTTTCAAAAGTTCTCGCCCCAGACTACCATATGCGTCTCTGTTTCACACTATAGGAAGAGATGTAGTGAAACCGGTATATGTCCTATGACGTAGGGCTAGATTATAAAGTTCAACAGCAATATTGGGCTCTATTTGCTAGTTCTAGATTCAGTATCAAGCATATATCTCAATCTGATCGTGTCTAGATCGTGACCGGCTAAATCGGGAGTAGGTTATTTAAAAATTATTCCAAAAAAGAAACACTCGTTTAAAAGTTAAATTTTAGACTAAGACTTTGAACAATAGATAGATCTGTCTAGCTTGAACTTACATCTTTCTGCTTTCTTTTATGAATGAATATTCTAAGTCTATATTTAGTTGGTAGTAAGAATCGTTTATAGTTCTAGGATTGCTTTATATTTGTCATTATGATGTACCATGAAACCAATATTTACTGGGACAAATACAAGGCTATTTTATGAGTCTGGAAGGATACTGGCTACCGATTTGGCTTCAATGCTTTATCATTTTTTTCCCTTTCATTCTAACCCGAATCAATTTGCATCATTTCACTCAAACGTTTATATTTTTGCTTAAACTAAATTCTAGGTGTTTCCACAGATTGCAGATAAACCATGCCAATATAAACCTCATCCATATCCAAGTGATATCCCTTGTTTCTCTACTACTATATAGAAGCAATTGTTCTAGTTGCACCACTGATAAGTTGTGTAATTATTTTTGTTTCTGTTTTATTTTTGTTCCCCGCCATTAAAATCATTGGCGTCATTTTGCAACAACGTGAAATGAAATGGAATGTAGCATCATAACATATTGACTTCTTTACCGGGTCAAATACCCCATATATGTTGTTATCAATGACTATCCCTCGGTGACATCATAACCTCTTGTTCCACCTTGCAATGCTATTCTTACATTCTTTCCAATGAATATGTGGCCATGACTCCAGGGTTAAGTTTTCTGATATATAAGGGGAACGATAATTCCTCTTTCGTTGCATCCGAGAGTTTGAATACCCAAAGCTTTCCCTGATAAGTGAACTTCAAAAATGAAATCCTCATATCTCGCAATAATTGCTATATTGAATCCATCACTTGGTCTTTTGATTCCCCGTGGACATGTGAAGCCCCCCGTGGAGCCTGCTCCTTGTACTGATTGTGCACCAGCACCACCACCTGCTCCTTGTAATGATTGTGCTCCAGCACCACCACCTGCTCCTTGCACTACTTGTGCTCCTCCTGCTACTACACCATGTCCAACGCCAACAATGTCAACTGTTCCTGAAACCCCCAAGATGCCTGAAATGTCTGAAACCCCCAAGATGCCTGAAATGCCTGAGAAACCCGAGAAACCTGAAATGCCTAAGAAGCCAGAAATTCCAAGTTTGCCAGAACTTCCAAAGATTCCAGGCTTACCCGATATTGGGGATTTACTAAAGATTCCAGGCTTGCCCGGTGGTGGTGGTGATAAGGGTGGAGATGAAGGTGGAGACGAAGGTGGAGACGAAGGTGGTGATAAAGGCGGTGATGAAGGTGGTGATAAAGGCGGTGACAAAGGTGGTGACAAAGGTGGTGATGAAGGTGGTGACAAAGGCGGCGACGAAGGCGGTGATGAAGGAGGTGACGAAGGTGGTGATGAAGGTGGAGAAACTCCTGAAATACCAAAATTGCCAGAATATCCAAAGATTCCAGGCTTACCCGATATTGGGGATTTACTAAAGATTCCAGGTGGTGGTGGAGGTGATAAGGGTGGAGATGAAGGTGGAGACGAAGGTGGTGATGAAGGTGGTGATGAAGGTGGTGATGAGGGTGGAGGTGGAGGTGGAGCTCCTGAATTACCAAAATTGCCAGAATTACCCAAGATTCCAGGTTTGCCCGATCTTGGTAAATTGCCAAAGATCCCAGGTTTGCCCGGTGGTGGAGGTGGTGGTTTGCCAGGATTGCCTGGATTACCAAAGATTCCAGGTTTGCCCGGTGGTGGTGGTGGTTTGCCTGGCTTGCCTGGCTTGCCAGGTTTACCTGGGATACCCGGGTTGCCAGGTTTACCAGGTTTGAAGAAACGTGATGACAAAGAAAATCAAGAAGCCTAATGTAAAGATCTTTAAGATAATGAATCTAACTTGAGTGAATATGTTTCACCAGTTTTATCAAGATTCGTTGTCAACCACAAAACTAGAGTTTATTAATGTTGAAAGTTCTGTTTATTATTTCATGTTTTATGCTTTACGTGTAAATTGTCTTTCTATTTCGAGTTTCATAAATACCTTTATATGTTTATACCAATAAATTATGCTGATCTCTAGTTTTTATGGATTGTTTAATGAAAACCGAAGTAGGAATTAATTTGTGATTGCTTACAAGTTCTACTTCTGTCTGCCAAAATGAGAGGAGCTACCAAGTATCCAAAAACTGAAGTAATAATCTATAAACTATGGTTATTTATCAGACATATTAACTACATCTTCTATATAACGGCTTGAGCTTATATTTGCTGCCGGATTAAGTTGGTTTGATCTCCACAAACACCAAAATACTCCAACTGGGGAAGTTTTGGCAATTTCAATCTCTCTATGCTGATTTTGTTATTGTTGAATTGCAAATATTTGCTACTGGATGGGATCAACCCAAACGGTATTTTGCTGAGCAAGTTACCTTCTAAACTAAGTCTTTCGAGGGTAAATGGGAATTTCATTTGTTCCATTGAAACTATATGATTCCTTTCCATACTAATTGATTTCAAATTAGGTAGGTGGGTAGCAAAATCCAAACAAGGATAATGTTGGATATTTCCAGTATGATTTAGCTCTAGTTCTTGTATTCCTTTTGGAAGATGCGACAAAAAGTGATTATTAAATGGAATATTGATACCATTGAGACGCAATACCCTTGCCGAATCAGGAATAAACAACGAGCCAACATCTTCCAATGGATTGTAGCTTAGATCAATAAATCGTAACGTTGGTGGAAATTTTAATTTATATTGCTCAATATTAAATTTATTCAAATTGTTGCCTGATAAACTTAGCTTGCACAAATTGTCACCAAAATCAATATTTATCAACTCACTAAGTTCGTTTTTATCTAATTTCAAAACTTGTAAAGTTTTGGGGAATTGATTCCCGTTAATTGACATTAAACCATTTGAAATCATTGAAAGTGTTTTTAATTTATTCAAACAAAGAATATTTGTCAAATCATTGTTGTCAATCTCGTTATTGTCCAATATTAACTCTTCCAAGTTGGACGGTAAATTTCCCAAATCATCAAGATCATCAATTAGATTGTCTGACAAATTCAACTTTGTCAAGTTTTCACATGTATAGAAAAAAGAATCAGGCAAACTTTTAAAATAATTTCCATTCAAAAACAATTCAATTAGTGTTGCTGGTAAGCGAATATAGTCAACCCCAGTTAATAAATTCTTTGATAAAGAAAGAGTTTGTAATTTATTTGGTATTTCAAAGTTCCTAAAACTCTGAATTCTGTTGTATGGTATTCGAAATATCTTGAGGTTGTTACTAAATTTTACCTTGTTTGTTATTTCTGTTACTGCATTTATAGAAGCATCAAAAATTCGTAAATTTGGTGCATCTTGGAAGTTAGGTCCTTCTAAACTGGTTATATTATTGGCAGTAATGATGAATTGTTCTAATGTAGAAGGAATAATTAGTCCGCGCAAACTTGTGATATCATTTCCAGTTAGATGAAGGATTTTCAAATGAGGAGACATTCCATGGAAATAATTTACAATGTTAAAATCATTAAATCCATTATTCCAGAGATATAACTCTTGCAATCTGTCTAACTGGAAAGGGTTTAATCCAATGGCCCATTTTACCTTGTTTCGATTGTAAATTACAATTTTGGTTGATTTTCTGCTTAACATCTCTATTTTCTGCATGATTTTACTTTGATTTAACATTAAACTAGGTGTAGGCGCTGTATCATAAATCAAATGGAAGTTGACGGACTTTATTCGATCCTTGTAAAAATTATCAAATGTAAGCAACTCCAAGATCATAATGAAGTACTCGATTTCTGCGTCTAAGTCGTCTACTTCGTGTGGTGGTGCTTCTTTCATTCGATCCCTAAACCTAAACAATAGCGTTATATCCTTAGGGAAAACTGGTGAATCCAATTTGAAATTAAAATTGATCAATTTTCGCATCAACTGATATCCTTCTTGGAATCCGTGACAACCCATAGATTTTTCATCTTCATTATTTGGATATACAATTCTAAAAAACCCAACCCTCTCACTGTTTCTACTTCGGATTAGAAGTGATTTCTGGAATATGAATCTGAACGCAACTAGTTGAACGTGCAGAAGTTGTAATTGATCCCAATCACCTGCTCCTAGTATCTTTTCATAAACTACGTTAGCTGGCAAGAATGAAAATATTAATCTTAGTAATTCTTCGGGAAAAGTGGATAACTCTATTAAGGACGAGATGTCTTCGTTGTAATTGCTTTGGGGTTCATTTCTATCCATTTGCTATATTACAAAACAGAATTAGTCTAACGACCAGGAATCCTTTTTGCTGTATGTTGAAAATCAGCAAGATTGCTTAATCTTTGATCCCCCTGCAACACCATATGGCTTTTGGTAGCCGTTTGAAAACAAACTGGGACTGGTGCACGACTTTTGTGTGCTACCATGTTTCGGTGAAGATATCAGCAGTTAATTTCATGCGCTGGACAAGCCCTTTAGCTTTCAGAGCTTCTGCGGCATCAGCTGGGAAATCCTGTTCAATGGTAAGTAGTCGTTCTCAAACGGTAGTTATTAGTTATTGTATAGGTGGAGACAAGTGTATTGTTTCTTGTAAATGTTGTCTGAGGCAGCACTGCTAAGAAACAAAGTTTTTTTTTTCTCACTAACAAGATCAATTGCATGCAGACAGTACCTACATCTCTTCATTTGTCAGCAACACAAGTATGGTTCATAATATACTTCCTTATGAGGAAATCAACTTTGTGGTTTGTTAACTGGGTTGTCAACTAGCAAATTACTCATAATTTTTATTTTTTTTTTTTTTGTTTTTTGCCTCACAGTTTTTGTTCTGCCTGTCCTCCCCACTTTTAGTACCAACCGCTAAGAATGAGATTTTTTTTCTTTTCTAAACGGTTTTGGCTAGTTATGTGGTGGTGCCATCAACTTTAAATTTACATCCAATACTCATCTAAACGGGTTGTGTGACAAAACATATAGTATACTTTTATTCACAAAATGAGCGAATTAAGCTCAGCTCTATCTTCCAATGAAGATTTACCCAATGTTTCTCCATCCAACTCCCCACCCACAGTCAAATCAGAAGAAGAGACAGCCATAGAGTTGACTTCCAGTATTTCCGAGAAATCATCTCTTGTGCCTCCCGCAAATACTCCCAAGGCTAATGCCAACAATAACGGTCGCCAAAAGAGAACTTCACTCGCGTGTATAAGATGTCGGGCACGTCATATCCGATGTCCTGGGGGCGATCCTTGTAAGAAATGTCAGTTGGCAAAGGCAAGATGTGAATATATTGAAGCAGACAAAAAAATTGTTGTCTCTATGAAATATCTTTCGAAGCTTCATGATGATATTGCCAGGCTAAAAAAAGATAACGCTGTATTAAGAAATAGTTTGAAAGAGCTGGAAACTAAACGACCAGGCGCAGAGCTGGTTAACTTGGAAGAATCAATATCAGGTACAACGCCAAAGCAATCGCCCTATTCTCATCCAAGTTCAGTAGAGCAACAGCAACAACTGCCTTCATATATCGAACCTTCAATAACGAATCCACAAACACTTACTAATGCTAGTGGAGGCGAAGTAATACATCCATCCCTCGATAGATATGGTAGATTGGTGCAGTCACGTACTGGAGAAAAAGTTTATGTAGGGTCATCCTCAATGACTCTATTTGGATTGGAAATTCAAAATATGGTACCGTCATTTGTATCCAGTTCCTTGTTACCCACTTCCAGTGTTTCTAGTCCTCTGTCCACGATTCAAGACCCTGCAGTTAGTCCTAATCCTATCAGTGAAACCATGTCCCAACATTCGAAACGAGAGTCAAAGATCTTGGAAAAGGAAGGCAATGCATATAAGATTACTTTATCTAAAACACATACTCGACCCGGTTTATCAATCAACTTTTCATTACCATCGTATTCATATGCTATGTTGTTGGTTGATACCTTTATAAACTATAATGATGGATGCTTTTATTTCTTTAACGAAGGGTTAATCAAGAGGTTTTTAATGAATTTATATTCGGGTAAGGCTATGGAGAACAAGAGGATTTTGAGAAGAAATATATCATTACGTAAAAGTCCAGATGAAGATGAGAACTCGATCAAGAGGGATACAGATGACGAAACTATCTTGGAAACAATTTGGTTTTGTAAAGTTTTATTAATATTCGCCATTGGTGAGATGTATTTGGGAACTGAATCAGATACCCACACTTCAAGATTAAAAATGGAAAATTCAAGACATAAGGGCAAAATAAAACGAGAAAAACATACTCTTCCAGGGTCAGGTTTTTTCTACCAAGCTTCGGAACTTTTCACTGGTTTGTTTGCTTCTGGTGCCATCGATAATATAACCAAAGATGGTGGTATTGAAGTCATGCTTTTGTACGCTTTCTATTTACAAGTTGCAGATTGCACGATAGCGTCTTATTTTTATTTTGGGTTAGCATTAAGAGCAGCATTAATTTTAGGATGGCATGTTGATGCTGACAAGGAAAATTTGAATAGATTTGAATTGGAACATCGAAGACGAATTTGGTGGACAGTGTACATGTATGAAAGAATGCTTTCATCTAAAGCTGGATTACCTTTGAGTTTTGCTGATGATTCTGTTTCTACTGAATTACCTATTGACTTTAAGATTGATTTAACCGATTTCCCCCGAGATGAAACTGATGTTAGAGGGTATTACATATTTCCACCTGCTGATTACATTAACAACTGTGTTACTATAACCCAGATCAATGCTGTTATTTTGTCTTCGTTGTATACAAAACAACCCACGGTTAATATTCTTCCTGTTGTGTCTGATTTAGTTCAGCGATTGATGGCGTGGAAGAATTCTTTGCCCAAATACCTTCGCATAGACTTTGCAGTTGATAATCCTCAAGTATCAAGGTTAGTGGTTAATTTGATGACTGAATACTTTCAAGGGATTAATCTTGCTGTTCGTCCACTTTTATTTCATTTTGCTACCAAGAAATTGAAGGAGTTACAAGTTCAAAACACACAAAGTAAATACATTGACTTAACCAAGTATTCAAAAAATGTGTTGTCTTTGTTGAATGCCTCATTCCAAGCCTCTATCAATACAATCAAGAGTATTTGGGCACTTTTGCCGGATAACATGGTGGCATTGTTTGGGTGGATGGATCGTGAATATTTGTTTACTTCGGCATCAACTTTGATTCTTTTTAATGCATCATTTGGTGTTCATGATGCAACCAAGATTCATTTAGATCATGCATTGGTGATATTTACTAAAATGAAAAGGTTGGGAAATTATCCTGCAGCACTTAGAAGAGCCCAATTGTTAAAGTTAATTAGAGTTTTGGATTTCAATGGAGTCATGAATGATATTTTGGAAAAACATGATGATGAAGAATCCAATACACTTTTTGAAAGTTCAGAAAATTTAACTGACAATGTGTTTAATGATATATCACGAGAAGCTAGTGATGTGTTGGGAGATTTACCAACCCCAGCAATAAAGGCTTCAGATTTAGATTACTTGCATCTTCCTACACTGGGAGCTTCCACATTTCCTCAACATCAACAACAACACACACAGACTGGTTCTCAAGTGCCAGTACAACCACAAATACCACTACCTAATTCAAGCTATATATCCGAAATGGTTTCAGGACCAACTCCAACTCCAGGAGATGTATACACCAATCAAGATTTGACCGGGATTGAGGGTCTCACGTATTTGGATGAGGAACAACAGTTATGGAACGAAATTACTAATGATGCTGGATGGTTGAATGTAGCAGGAGGAAACCCCAACCAGCCACCCTCTGCGATGCATGAACCTTTGAAAGGAGCACACGAAGCTGTACCTATTTCTGTAAATGCCAACGCACAGAACGTTGCTCCTTCGCCAGCTTTTTCATTTGGTATGGTGCCTCCAGAAGAATTTTCCCATTCGGGATTCTCAATGGGGTCAGGCGGTTATGCTGATCTTATCAATCATGAGTTCCAAGATCTTATGGATCAAAGCTAGCACATATTTAGTTCAATATTTATAGAATTTGTAATACAATATTTATGAGAGTTACCGCAGTAACCAGCGCGTTCAAATTAATATTATATTGTTACAAAAGATAAATAATACAAACAAAGTTACGGGGACCCTACCTATTTCAATCAGAAAAAGTCAAGGGCTGAGCTGCCAGGTTGACCTTGGTTAAGCATATCACCTGGGGTATTCATACTACTAGACTCTTGTGCCTGTTGCAAAATTTGTTGTGGCGAAAGTGCCTGCATCAGTGATTGTCTGCCTTGATTCGATCCCCCCAGGCCGACATAATCAGTAATACCTGTTTGCACAAAAAAATCAACCAGGTTTCTGCCAGAAGGTGTAGGCATGCTGTCGACATTTCCCATCAGACGTGGTGCGGAATTAAACCCGTTATTGTACATTGATTGATCCTTTTGAGGTTCTCCATGCGGTTTCAGATATAACATAGGATCCGGCTTTTGTTGCTGCTGTGGAGGTCTTTGTTGAGGGGGAAACTGTTGCAGTTGCATGGGAGATTGATGCAGAAGCTGGGCTTGCTGTTGCTGGAGTTGTTGAGTTTGAGGATCCTGATGCTGCTGCATTTGTTGTTGTTGTTGTTGTGACTGTTGCATTTGTAATTGTTGTTGTTGCTGCTGCTGCTGTTGTTGGAAATGCTTGCTGTTTTTCATTTGCTGGATTTTCATCTTGATGAACTGCATGGCCTCAGGATACAATTCTTGAAGTTTAGAATATAATTGTACCAACTCCGGCATGTCGGCAGGTGCAGACAACATGATGGGGAAAGTAGGTCTCAGTGGTGGCAATGGTTGCGACGGGTCACCGTGGTACTTGTCATGAAGGTGATTAAGTACGGACAAATTACAGTGGATCCTTCGCGTACAATTTTGATACGAGTCCAAGGCACGGGCTCGTTCCTTTTCTGGCATTTGTTGGAACATCTGGTTGCTGAGTACCGAGTGGTAAATGTTGATTGCCTTTTTCATGAGATGTGCATTCACCAAGAGAAGACACGTCACCCTTTCCCTATCCAAAGACAAAGGTGCCCTATCCACCAGTGGATTTGTATTCATCTTGATCTCGTGTATCTATGTTTGGCTTCAGACGAAATATATACCCCTATCGTCTATAAGCTACCACAATTGGCGTGAGGAACGTTTGAACCATTTGTTTTTTTGTTTTTTTTTTTTTTTTGGCTGGTTAAATGTTCCGAGGGTTTAGTCACCTGGTTTTTTCCGGTTATAGAAAAAAAAATATTTGCAGTCGACAATGGAATATAAATCTATTAGCTTTTACTATGTACATGTTTTATCTATGTTATATCAGTTGTAGCGGAATTGAGCAACAATAGCATCAGCTCTATTTCCTACTGCTCGTCTCATGTCAAGGAAAGACATATCGAAAGTTGCTTTACCTTGAGTAATTGATCTCAATTTGGACAAGTATCCAATCATTTCACGTAATGGAGTCTCAGCAACAATGATCTTCTTGTTTCCTTTATTCAAATGAGTATTGGACTTTGTCATAGTGTAATCTGGTGGTAGATAGATGTTTTCCGCTTCCTCACTTGCCCAATTGGCGTTCTCGTTGCTGTCAATAACATCATCGTCCATGGAAACGATTACTCCTTGGCATCGTTGCGTCAAGTCATGGGAAACTTCGCCCAAGTTTGACGAGTCGACATAAACTTTGGTCGTCATTATTGGTTCAAGAATGGTAAATTCGCTTTCGTTGTTTTCTACTATCCTTCTGACTGCGAGTCTTGAAGCATTTAATAATTCACCTGCATTCGCAGCGACATTACTAACTGGGAAGTTCCACAAATCAACCCTAATCACAGTAGATTGTAATGCAAATCCCAACTTGGGTCCACCCATTTGTAACGCAGTCAAACATCCATTTATAAGCACTTCTTCTAAATCTTCAAACGAAGTTTCACACTTCCATCTATTTTCCTCAATTGCAACTTTCATTGTTTCTGAACAACAATCTTCGGTAAGGATAATAATATTGTTGTCTTCTTCAAAGATAATTGCTCCATCTTCCTCAGTATAATGAGAATCTTGTGCTTTTCCTTCTAATGGACTCATAGTCACACGAACATGAAGAGATCCATCTTCATTCTTGTATTCACCCGTTCTTTGTGAACCAACAAAAGATTCTTTATATGATACAGCCACGTCCCTCATGGTAACCTTGGCTTTCATGTCCTTTACCAATCTTTCCCGAACAATGTCAAGATGTAATTCTCCCATACCACTAAGGATAGTCTGTCCCAATTCTTCATCAAACGACACCTTCAATGATGGATCTTCTCGAACAAGTGTTTCTATGCATTGGTTCATATACGCTTCATCTCCAAATGTATTTGGTTCAACGGCGGAATTGAATAATGGAGGCGGAATATCAATTGGCATAAGTTTCAAATTGGATTCAATTGCAGTGAAGTTTTTCTTGGTGGGACCCAGTGCTACAATAGTATCCCCGGTTTGGAAATCTTTTTCATACCCAATAATCACACCAATGTTCCCTGAGTTAATGAATTTAACCTCTTCGGGTGCTTCACCATTCATAATGGAGAGTCTTCTGATGAGTAATTTCTTCCCGGTTCTGGTGTTTATTATGTTGGTATTAGTACTGAGTCTCCCGCTGTAAACCCTGAAGAAGCACATTGGTCCATGGGTCTTGTGGGTAAGAACTTTAAATGCCAATGCAAGAGTCAAGTTTTTGTTATCCTTCACTGTTAATCCCTTTTCTTTATCCATAAACATTTGCACTTCCGTGTCCTTTTTAGCATTCTTGTTCTTGCCCTTTGCCAACGTAGTAGTATTACAAGTTATATCAGGAATAGAAGTTTCCAATGGAGATGGTAAGTACTTGGTAACGGCATCCATTAATGGTTGCACTCCGATGTTTCTAAATGAAGATCCACAAAGAACTGGTGTTAAGTAGTTGGCAATGGTGGCTTTTCTAATGACCTGGTCCAACAATTGGGATGGAATTTTCAAATAGTCTTCATCGTGCTCCAAGAAGGCATCAATGATTGATTCGTCAAATTCTCCAAGAGTTTCTACCATTGATTCTCTTGACTTACTAAGCATTTCGTAAAGTTCAGGTCTGGTGTCCTTGGAAGATTCAATGTCAACCACGGTGATTTCGTTTCCAAACGAATCAGTGTCATTCCATTGTAAAAGCTTCTTTTGAATCACATCAATCACACCTTTGAATACAATATCATTTTCCTTGGATGTTTCAAAATAAGGAATATTGCACAACACAACTCTGGTTTCTAACTTTGAAATGATTTCCTTGGCAGTTCTACTGAAACCTGCACCAGGACGATCCATTTTGTTTATGTATGCGATCCTTGGTAATTTCAATGCACTTGCTTGCTTCCAGACTTTTTCCGTTTGGGATTCAACTCCGGCAACAGCATCAAGAATTGTAACTACTCCATCAAGTACTCTTAATGATCTAATCACCTCAAATGTGAAATCGGCATGGCCAGGCGTATCTATGATATTAATCTTGTGATGGTTCCACGGGAGGGTGATTGCTGCCAGTTGGATTGTGATTCCTCGTGCTCTTTCCGAAGGTAAATAATCTGTCACTGTATCTCCCTCATCGACGTTCCCTATCCTGTTGGTCTTCCCACTATAGTAGATCATTCGTTCAGTAGTGGTTGTTTTCCCAGCATCAATGTGGGCAATGATACCAATGTTTCTCGTCCTCGGCAAGGGAATTAAGTTGACACCCGTGCCCAGCGAGGCATACCGTACATGCGTATAGCATGATCGTATGGCTCTAGTTAGTGTCTTTATTCTGACACTACTCATTTGTGGTTCAAGTATAGTTGTTGTAAAAAGTAAATGAAAAGTTTCTTCTTTATTGTTTTCATGCACGACCTTTGCATTTCTTAAAATCAGTTGCAAAAACTGAACACCAAATATGTAAAGGTCCGTTGCAACATCGTTTCAATTAGAATAAGCTGGGAGTTATACCGATTATAGCTTTGTCAAGTCAATTCGCTAATGCAAGGCGAGGAAGTGACACATATGTTGCAATCCTGTTTTGTTTGGCATCCACTAAGCACAACTCAAAAAAAGATTGAATTTTCTCGCTTTAAGGAACAACAGATAATCACTTGCCCAAGCTGTTTCTTCGAAAGTTTTCTTAACGTATGACTTATAAACCACCACGCTGTCCAGACCTCAAGAACATGAAATGTAAAAACAAATTGCAAAAATAAAGATCAGGCTTGCTGGGGCAAGCCGGGAATTGAACCCGGGACCTCCCGCATATTAGCACCCTTAGAGAGTAAACCCTCTGCGGATAACCCTAAGCGAGAATCATACCACTAGACCACGTGCCCAGTATATGCTGAAAAAATTTTTTGCTGGTCTTTCATAATCTGATTTTAGATCTGGTTTTTAAAAGTAGTTATTTTTGAAGTTTAATGGTACCAATACTATGCTCTATGGTTCATCAAGATCGCAGTTTCTTTATTTTCCAGTAAGAGTAAAACTGATGGAATATTGTGGCATTTTATTGATTGCACGTGATAAGCACGAGTAAAGATTTGGTGCTACCAATTTCGGGCTTGACATGATTTATTTATATTTTCTCTAATAAGCAATATGAATGAAGATAAAACAAGTGGAGAGTATAAGCTTTGGTGTATTGGGTAGGGTGCGATTGTTTTGGGGCTACATAGTTTATAACCATAACAACTATATGTCTTTATTTGATTTTTTACAAATTTCGCAACAAATTTTCCAAAACAATCTATGATTAGATTATTTGCAATTGACTGCAAAGAATAAAACGTAACACATAACTCAAATAAATGCTCCATTTTACTAGACTATACGTGCTGTCAATAATATAACTTACACCAGCGTGTGCTACTTTAAATGTGATCTGCTCCTATCGCGAAAGTGATCGCAATTGTATCATAGCTAGGATTCATAGCAAAGTAGACAAAAAAATCCGAATGTCTGTATATCTGATTTGTTGTCTAGTTTATTTACTCTATATTAATATGTATGAAGAATTCTTTCAATATCAATAGTGACAGCATTAAGCAGTACATGTTTGCAAATCCTTAGATTGATCGTATATTGTATATCGTATAAAAAAAAAATATAAACAGGTACAAATACGCTTCCACTACCTTGGTGACTCTTGGAAGCGTCGGAACATTAAAGATGAACCACCACAAACTGATACAGAAATCCGTGATTTAGTTCTCCTCTTGATGAAATTGGAGTTAAAAATTCCCCCACACCAAAAATGCGGATATAGCAAAAGGGCTTCAAAAAAAAAAATACGGAAATGGCTTTTAGAGTAGCCGTGTACGAGCTTTGTGTTTCCAAAGAATAAAAAAGTCAACTGTACTATTAATTGATGCCAGTGTAGAGGTTCCATTAACCTCAATGGCATGGTCAACGTACATGCGATGAGTGATAAAAAGTTTACTGAATAAACACTTCCACAAAAAGACGTTAAGCGGAAGTGCGCAAACGATAAATCCGTGTTTATATCCGTGCATACAGCCACACCATTCATTTAGCAACTATCGTTTACTGCAGAACTCGGTAAGAGTACGGCACTGACCCGACACCCATAGATTTCCAACAAATCAGATACATTCCCGCGAGACGGAGAAGAATATATGCATAGGTAGTTGTGTTAATTTAGAATTATCGTGAGCTGCGTGAGGAATCTCGGAACGATCCGAATTTCCGATTGCGCACTGGCAAGCTTTAGAAAAAAAAAAAGAAAATAATAAATAGTAAAAAATTTCTGACTAATATTCATCTTATTTGTAATATAAAGAAAGACTAAATCTCCTTTGTTTCAAACGGTTGTTTATGAGCTGTTCGATATAGCATAATAATTCAAGGTTAGTCATGGAGAGCATAAAGTCAAAGAATTCTGGTGAGTTAGGGTGTACTCCCAGCAAGGTCCAAACCCGAGAAGCTGTCGGTCTTGCGGAGTCGTCCTCCGAAGAGGGTGTTCTTGAACTTGGAAACAAGGAAGAGTTAGTTAATGAGCCAGCTATTGATCCAAACGTCGATGGTGGTTATGCCTGGGTTATCTGTTTTGCTTGTTTTCTTTTTAACTTTAGTACTTGGGGTATGAACTCGGGTTTTGCTATTTATTTTGCTAATTATTTAAATAATGACACTTTCAAAGGTGCAGACAAGATGGATTACAGTTATATTGGAGGTATAGCGTTTGGTGTCGGTCTATTCTTTTCTCCAGTTATAACCATCATTCAAGGTAAGATTGGTGCCCGTGGTTGTCTTATTATTGGGAATTGCCTAGAATTTACCGCCCTTATGTTGGCCAGTTTCTCCAAGCATCTTTGGCAGTTGTACTTGACCCAAGGGTTAATTCAAAGTTTTGGGTTAGCATTCATGTCCGTTCCTGCTACTAGTTTACTCCCTCAGTATTTCAAAAAGAGAAGAGTGCTTGCTGGAAGTTTAGCCACTGCCGGATCTGGTGTTGGTGGGATTGTTTTCAACTTGGGTATGCAGAAAGTTGTCGAGGCAAGAAGTGTGTTTTGGGCATTACGAGTTCAAAGTATCATTGGATTTGTAATGGCGTGGGTTGCCATTGCTCTCACCAGAGACAAGCAAAAGGTTAAGATTCAATTTACTATGTTTGATATAGGTGTTTTGAAAAGCGCTGCCTTCTATTTGTTATCATTCTTTGTTGTCACATGTATGTTTGGATATGTTATTGTGTTGTATACGCTAGCTCAATTTGCCACCAGTTTGGGATACACTGAACAACAAGGTTCGATTGTATCAGCTATGGTTCAAGTTGGTTCTTGTTTTGGAAGACCAATTGTTGGCTTTCTTTGTGACAAGCATGGTCCAGTCACCGTCACTACTTTCTGTTATTACATTGTCGGTATCTTTTGTTTGGCCATGTGGATTCCTGCTAGAAATTTAGCAACCATTATTGTGTTTGCCATTGTGCAAGGGTCCATGATGGGAGCCATTTATGGTATGATGGCACAACTTATAGCCAGACTCTTTGGATTAAAGAAGATGAATGTTGTTTTATCCAATGTTTGGTGTCTTTTAGGGGTTGCTGGTGTATTCTCCCCAGTTATCGGGGTTAAGTTGAAGAGAGGTGGAGGTGGGTTTGTTGATCCAACTCAATATGTCAATTGTTCCATTTTCACCGGTTGTTCGTTCATTGCATGTGCAACTACGTTGTTAATTATCAGAGGGTATATCAAGGCCAGGGATCAAATTTTGCATGAATCTGAAGACCATAAGGATTCTGATTATGGTGATTATACGGGGGTTTCTGTGCCAATAAGAAAGGTTTTCACTCATATTTTCTCGAATGATTTACAGAAGGTATAAATATGTATACAATCAATGCATTTAATAGATTTATAACCACTTGTAGAGACTACATTAGCCATTTTTTGCAACTTTTGCATTTAAAACCATTTGTCAAAAAAAATTATGCGCGATGATGATTTTTAAAATTTTCAAAACAAACAAATTCGGTAACACTGTCAAACATTACACAAGAGCATTGGCAACAGCAGCAAACAACCGACACAACAAGAAGATGGCCGAAGGAAATGGTATTGCGGCCCCAGTTTTCTCGCACGAGTACGAGGATAAAGCTATAGGTGAGCCATCACCTAAAAGAATCAAAACCGAAGATACGTCCGAGGTGGAAATAACGCAGACTATCTCATCTCCAGACGTGAAAACTATAGAGACAGTAAACAATCACAATCAGACAACCCAGGATAACCCAACGGAAGTAAAATTACCTACTGTTTCCAATTCTCAATCTCCAATCGTCCTTCCTATACCGACTCCACAAAACAACAACACATCAATTCCCATAACTGCAACTACTACCACAACAACAACAACAGCACCAGCACCAGCACCAGCACCACCGCCACAACAAAAGGAGTCTGTCATAAATACAAATTCAACCACGACACTACCACCACATCTACCACCACCCATCCCAGTTCCACCACTAGAAATCAAGAAAATAAACCGTTTGGTTTTGCTCTACGATAAGCCCCGATATTACCATACAATCATCCAATTGAAAGAACTACGAGAACTTCCCAACAATTATGTAACTGTGCTTGAAATAGGAACCATCGATAAAGTGCTAAAGGAAACTACCATCTCTTCAGTTAAATTTGATCATTTCCACATGAGCATTGAATACAATGACCAGTTTGAACTGAATTTACGGAAATTCATTGAATTTTTAAAGAACAACCAGAAAATGATTGATGAGGTCGGTGATATTGCATACCATATCCATTTTGAACCAGGAAAGAAGTGGCAGGATTATAAGCCAAGTGAAATTAAAGAATATTATAACTTCTTGGAAGCCTTGAAGGACACAGCTGGTGATAAAGTGGTGCACTGTTCTGTGGTTAATAAGTATGACATGGACACAGTTTACATAACTGAAAAAGCCGAGCTTACAAAACTAGGAAACGAAATTCAAGAGGATATACAATATTGGAAGAACCTCAAGATACTAGATTACGGTGAGAGCAGTATTCGATTTCTCCCTGGTGTAAAACTTCCTGATACGCTAGAAGTGTTGAATATAGGCGGTGGGTATGCATTAGAAACGTTGACTGGATTTAAAATGCCACCTAATTTGCGGGCATTATTGGCAGGGCAAGGTGCAGTACATTCTATTGACAACATAACGTTCCCAACTACACTTGAACGACTTGAAATTGAAGATAACAAAATCTACTTTTTGAATTACGTTGAGTTCCCGGCCCTGCTTAAACATCTTGATGTATCCCAGAACAGAATTGAGAGCTTGAGAGGAGTCAACTTTCCACGGGGATTGCAATCTTTGAATATCGGGTTCAACCCTATTGAGTCTGTAAGGGGAATAAAGTTTCCTGAAACTCTCCGCAAACTTGAAGTGTCCAATATCCCCAACGAATCAATGACGGGTGTCAAATTTCCCGAACTGTTGGAAGTGTTGAATTTACAGTCTTCCATGACAAACACCAGAGGGTTGAAATTGCCGCAACATTTAAAGACATTAATCTTGACTGGGAACGGAGTCAATAGTATAAATCCGTTGAAATTGCCAAACACTATAGAAGTTCTTTACTTGAACCAAAACAACATCAAAACATTAAACAAGGTACAGCTTCCACCAAAACTACGTGAACTATATCTCGGAGATAATCTTATTACTACATTGAAGAATGTTACGTTCCCATCCACACTCGAAGTTCTTGATTTAGAGAATGATCCAGAATCAATTGAAAATGATAAACATATAACCACATTGAAAGATGTTGTACTACCACCAAATCTCAAGATCATGAAACTCGGCTATCATGCTATAAAAGCCATTGAGTCTTATGAGTTCCCCACCAGTTTGAGGTTTCTTAGTTTAGCCTATAATGAACTTAGGCAGATCAAGAATATCAAGTTTGGGAACCATTTGAAAACGTTGGATTTAAGTGGCAACCCCGAGCTTTTAAGTCTTGATAATGTGATTATTCCTGAATCGGTTACAGAATTGAGAATTTCTCCCCAGTTGATTGGCAATTTACCCGCCTATATCATAGAAAGAGCCAACAAGAACCGCTTAATCATTAAGAAATCTGCTACATGATAGAACGTATATAAACACATGCTACCTTATGTATTATTATTAACTATGTTACAAGTGACCTAAATAGAAATAGTCTACTCATCATCTTCTTCATCAGAAGATTCTCTATCTTCAGCTTCTTTTCTTTCCAACAAACGTTCAAGCTCAGCATCTTCAGTAGCAGTAACAGCCTTTGGAGCCATGTTAACCTTACAGACACCACCCTTAGATTCAATTATTTCTGTAACTTTTTCAATGGCAGTTTCCAACAACTTAATACCTTGATTCTTGTCCAATGCTTGGACAGAAATGAAATATAATGGAGCAGCAACTAACTTGGCCTTGACTTGCATTTGTGGAGTGGAAACGGCTTCGGCGGCCTTCAAGGCTTCCTTGATGGCATCTATACCTTCGTAACTAAAACAAGAAACTTCGACATCAGCTCTTATGTTAATGGCCTGAGGAGTTAATCTTCTAGAAATGTATAATTTTAATTCGTTCAAGACTTCTGGGTTTGGAGCTTGAATGTCATCAAAGATGGTTGGGTCAGTAATGGATATTTTGAATGCATCATAAGCATGGCCAAACTTTCTGCTTAATGGCCAGCCAATGGTTTCATACAAGGTTTCCAAGGAGATGTTGAACTTTTCAGCACAGTGTCTTAAGATGGAATGAACGGCCTTGGACTTGTTATATCTTTCATCACACTTGACAATATCTTCAGCAGAGACTCTTCTCTTGGATAAATCAATGTACCCCTTTTCCTTGTCGACTCTCAACACAACAGCGACTTCGTTCTTACCAACACGAATCAACTTTTGGATGGAACGGATACGTCTTCTGGACAATTCTGATAATAACACCATCCCTTCGATATTGTCATACTCTAATAATTTGACATAGGCACCCATTTCGGCAATTTCTTGCACATTGACCATAACAACTTCATCCACTTCGGGATACTTGTTTTCGTAGAATCTACAGTTTGAAGAACTCATCTTAGACTGGTATGTTCTTTGTTCTAGGTGTAGTAAACTTATTGACTCAGTAGGTTCTTAACTGTGTAACAAAAAATTTTTCGTTTTTCTCACATTTGGCAGAGGGATCAAATTGCAGGTTGGGTATAGAAACTGCAAATATCGGATCCCAAACTGCAGGATGCCAAATTGCAGTCTTTTAGTAATCATAATGTTGCTTCGTGCAAGTCATACCAATATTATACGTTTGAGGTGAAGGAGGGACAGAAAGTGCGTGCGTGTGTGTGGGGGAATAAGAGGCCAAGTGGAATATATCTACCTCATATTTGTGACTCAGATCATTTTGGTTTCTTAAATTCCCTTTTTCTGTGCTAGTCTTTCAATTTGTTCAGTTGTTTCAGGTACACTACTACTAACCATTATAGGCAGTTCCATATACCACCAACTTCCATGCATAGCAATCTTAACATAATATACATGCAAGATTTCGTATCTGAAATAGGCTTGAGAAACGCCTACTCTCGTTAGGGCTGTACAAAGGTGAGAATTTCAGACCTGGAAAATTAAGAAGACTGGTTGCAAACAGGATTTGGTTTATCCTCTCCTCCCCCCCTCTCAAAATTAAGTAACTGCAGTAAAGAGTAATGTGCTGACATATTACATTGTTCTAAACTCCAGATGGTCATATACTCTTCGCTATTACTGTACCAAAAGAGAACCCCCGTTTCCGGGCGGATTAACCCCATTAATGTCTAAAACTTAACCCTGAAATTTTCTATGTTCTAGCAAACAATAGCGTAAAACACAAAATAAATCAATGTATATGGCATTTTAGAAAATCCGCACCTCTCCTCTTCCCCCTGAACTTCAACAATATCATAAGAATTACAAAAGGTAGGAATTGTTCCGGAATGTAAGTCTCCAATCCATATCAGTTGAACGCAGTTCATTTTGTACTCCCCTCCTATTGTTTATCGGGTGAGACGCACAAGAACATTATTTTTAGATTGCGGAGGAGTACTGGAACAAAATGCTCTGATTTCTCCGAGAGGGTGACCAAGGGTAACTATAATCGACCTTCCCTTGACATATTATCTTAGCTGAAACGTACTTATGAATGCATCAGATAGATCTATTACGTAATAGCACTAAACAGTAAGATCGGCCTGCGTAGAAAGTTGCTGCGTTTTCTTTTTTCTTCTATCGCGATTCAAGGGAAAGTGGGATCCAGAAAATTTGGTAACCACACACGAGCAGTATCTAACACGTACAAGTAAATACACATTACCACATATCTGAAACAAACACATCAGGAGAACGATATAGGACCCTGATATTCCATAGCCAGGTAGTACCATCCACAAAACAAAACATCAACACCCATTTCTAGACCAAAATCAATTGAAAAAGGAAACTGCCAAGAAACAAAGCCTCTTGTTTGTTGCATCCTCCCCTTAATAATAGAAGAATAGAAATTACAATTTTTTAGTCACAAAACCGAAAAACCCACCGTTTCGCATAGTAAACACTACCTACTGTTGCCTAATTTTGGGATCCAAACCTACTTACGAACATTCCCAGTTATTTCACCCATCACTCCTCATATTGTTCCATTTTTACAATTACCATTGTTCAATTAGCTTTCCACATATCCCGACTTTCCCCTCGTTCTGGGCGGCATTTCTTTCCTTTGTCTACACCACACCACCCCCCCACACACACTCCCTGAAGATCTGTACATAAATCCAATTATAGAAATCTCACATATAAAATGGTACGAAAGAAAACCCAATATCAACTGCTAAATATCGCTCCTGGCCCCGGTGAAACCAACAATCCTACATTCTTTGAATATTTGTTTAGCTCAATACGACATCACAAAGGTATAGTTACCATGGTTATCTTTGCTAACTTGATTACTTTAGTAAGTATACATCTATTATTTCTTAAATACGCAAATGCCTTCCCGCATATTGCTAGAAACCAAGATGAGTTTGGAACAATCAAGAACAACCCTTCCAAAGATCAACAATCCCCATTTTCAGACCAGTCGGGTCTCATTAATTTAATCAATAGTCCTCAAAATAAGGCTATTTACAGCCAAATGAAATACTCCAGTTATGCATTTTACGACAACACTACAAACACAGTAGGAACTATTGAATACGTGCCTTTTAACCAGTATCAACGCCAGCCATATGTTGCCAATGGATATATTGGCAGTAGAATTCCCAACTTGGGCCATGGGTTCACGTATGATCAATTATCGGATGCTCCAGATGCAAATGATGATGATTTACTCAATGGATGGCCATTATTTAATCAGAGATACGCTGGTGCTTTCATTGCTGGGTTCTTTGATATCCAAAAGAATACCTCGGGTACTAATTTCCCGGAATTGTTGGATAACGGGTATGAAAGTGTAATTGCGGCCGTGCCTCAATGGACTACTTTAAAATTATCAACTACAAAAGACAACCAGAACTACACTTTGGATCCATCCTTACCACCGGCACAAATCGGAAGCATTTCCAACTATGTACAAAACTTGTCTCTTAGCAATGGTATTGTAACTACTCAATACACTTGGTTGGATTCCATTGAAGTAAAGTATGAAATTTTGGCTCATAGACATAATATTCATTTAGGTGTGGTCAACTTGGAAGTATACAACCTGGGTAATGAAACTGTTAGATTAGATATAACTGATGAAATTGATTTCAATTCAGCTCAAAGGTCTCAATTGACAGGTGTCAACACCGATGATAAAGGTATTTACGTTACATTCCAACCAAGTGAGATAGATTACGTAAATGGTGCTATTTATTCCACTTTAATAGTTGATAGCCCAATCACACGACAAACTACCAATGGCACTACTGCTCAACAAATTGCTACCATTTATCTTCAGCCCCACGAGAGTTTAAGTGCTAACAAGTTTGTTGGAATTGCCTCATCTGATTTGAACCCTGACCAACTAACCACCACAGATTCAGTTTTGAATATCGCGAAAGAAGTTTCTCAAAAGCACCAAAAGCTCAAACCAGTAGTGAAATCCCATAATGAACAATGGAAAAAGACATTAGGTGAAAACCCATTAGTTACATTCCCTGATGCGCCATTGTTAAATTTGGGATCAAGAGCTTCCATCTACCACTTGATTGCAAATACCAGACCCGATGCCCAAGGAGTTACTGCTGCTCTTGGAGTTGGTGGATTAAGTTCAGATAGTTATGCCGGATTGGTTTTCTGGGATGCAGATTTGTGGATGTCGAATGCATTATTACCATTTGCACCTGATCACGCCAAGAGCATTGTTAATTATAGATTGTATACCCATGCTCAAGCCGTCAAGAACATGCCTGCGGGCTATGAAGGTGCTGTATATCCTTGGACCAGTGCCAGATTTGGAAACTGTACCGGAACTGGACCATGCTTGGACTATGAATACCATATCAATGTTGCTGTTGCCAAGGCTGCTTGGAACTACTACCTTAGTGGAGCAGGTGATGAGGATTACTTGGCTGATGTGGCGTACCCCATTATTAATGATGCAGCTACATTCTTCTCCGGTTATCTTGCTCAGTATAATGAAAGTGTGAATAGATACACTACACATAATCTCACTGATCCTGATGAATATGCCAATCATGTTGATAACGGTGCTTACACTAATGCTGGTATTTCCCTAGTCATGAAATGGGCTATTGCTCTTGGAAACCATTTAGGTAAAGATGTTCCACAAATATTTCAAAATATTGCTGGTAACATGTATATCCCCTCAGCCAACAATTCACAAGAAATCACTTTGGAATATAGTGGTATGAATTCATCCGTAGGTATCAAGCAAGCAGACGTAATTATGATGACATATCCCTTGGACAACGAATTGCTTGATTTGGAACAAGCTTATGAAAACATGGAGTTTTATTCAATGAAACAAGTGAGTTATGGACCAGCCATGACATTCCCAATTTTCTCCATTGTGGCTGCTAATTTGGCACCTACTGGATGTGCATCACAATCATATTTACAAAAGGCAATTCAACCATTCCTTAGAGGACCATTTGCCCAATTCTCAGAACAGAATAATGATAATTTCTTGATTAATGGAGGCACACATCCCGCATTTCCATTTTTGACTGCCCATGGAGGATTTACCCAAGCTGTACTTCAAGGATTGACGGGTATGAGATATGACTACTTTATTCAAAATGGTACTTTGGTTAGAGCATTGAGAGTTGATCCAATTGCATTACCTTGTTTAGGCAGTGGTGTTCAATACGAAGGAATATACTATAACAACCATTCCGTTGCCATGTCTATAAATGAAACCCACTTCACAATTCAAAACCGGGGACCTACTGAAAAATCAGCCGGCAAGTACATTAACATTATTGTCGATGACAGAAATCCAAAGCAGGGACAATACGCCTTGGATGATTACGACGAAATGGTTATCCCACTTTATACCCCTATTGCCAGTTATCCAGACAGTATTTCTGAATGTGGATTAGCCAGTTTCTATAACATCACCGAAGGTGCCTATGGAGACTTACCAATTCTGATTAATGATGGTGATAATACAACCAGATGGCAAGTTAAGAATAACGACACTATCGGTAAGATTCTCGTTGATTTGAAATCATTCAAGAACATTTCCAACATTTTATTCAACTGGAGAGACAAACCACCTCAAACATTGAGACTTTCCGTCTATAATGATAACCAGTTCACCGATGCTACTGATTTCTTCTCCAAGGTTGACTTTGGAAATGGATTATACAATGATTACAAGTACCATAACCCTGATTCCCAGATTGTCAATCAAAGTGATGTGTTCACTGAAGTGTACTCAGCATCGGTTGATATTACTGCTCCGTACGATAGTAACGAATTCAATGAAGTTATGGTTCCTGACAGACTGAATATCACTTCATTGAATTTAAATCTATATAATAGATTCCTATTGATTGAAGTGAACGGTATTCATGATGCTGAACCTGTAGAAGGAGACACTGGTGGTGCCAAACTAGCTGAGGTTACATTTTTCTAATGTGTACAATAGACTTTCTTAATTTCTCTTGTTTTACTATTACGAACTTTTAAAAGACTATGTAAACTGATTTTTATTGTATATAAAAAAAAGAAGATATTAAACATATTATATAACACTGTAGATTTAAAATAACATCTAACCACGATTTCTAAGTTTCAAACTAATACATTGCTTCGGCCATTGTAATAAGACGCTTAAGTCCAATATGCCAGTTTCCAATCTCACCTCCGTAGTTGGTGGCAATCTCCACGCTAAATGCAGTTGCCTTTTCAAATTCTCTGGCTTCCAAAGATGTACTAACTTGTCTTAAGGATTCAATGGCACCAGAGGACAAATCATCATTGTTCAAATGGTCGAATAACATATTAAGTCTTTGTTCCATATCATTACCGTGTCTGGCGTATTTAGCAGGAATGTTAGGTTTGATAGCTACTAATACCTTGTTTAATGATTCATAAATTGGCAAGGAACTTTCAGGAATATGGGAACGATCACCTGGTGCATGCTTAATCTTTTCTGGTTCTACTGGTTCTGGTGCAGCAGCCGGTGCTTGTTGAACAGGCGCGACATTGTTAACTTGAGGTGATGGAGCAACCGGAACAACTGGGGGAGGAGCGGCAATTTGAGGTTGAGGTTGAGGTTGGAGTTGAGGTTGAGGTGGTGGAACAGCAGCAGGTTGAGGATGAAGACTAGGAGGAGGAGCTGCATGTTGTGGTGGAGGTGGTGCAAATTGCTTTTGTGCTTGAGGAGGAGGAGGTGGTGGAGTTGCTACAGGTTGTTGTGGAGGAGGTGGTGGAGGGGCAGCGTATGGGTTATGAGCTGGTTGTGGTTGTGGTTGTTGTTGTTGTGGTGGTGGTACTGCTACCACAGGTTGTTGATTTGGAGGAGGAGGAGCAACAGCAGAAGCATGGCGTGGTGGAGGTGGTACAACAGCAGAAGGTTGGCGTTGAGGAGGTGGAGCAACAGCAGAATGTTGACGTGGTGGAGGTGGGACATTGTTGAAGGCAGGTTGGATAGGTGGAGTATTAGCTCCGAAGTGTGGTTGTGGTGGAGCGGGAATCATACCTCCCATCTTAGGTGGTGGTGCAACACCCGCAGAATGTTGAATTAAAGGAGAAGCCTGTGGAGGTGGCGCATATGGGTTCTTTGGTGGTGGAGCCATAGGAGCAACTGGTGCTGAAGCTAAACGTGTTGGAGCAGGTGGTGCATATGAAATCTTAACTGGGTTAACTTCTCCTGTTGGTGCATATGGATTCTTCTTTGCTGGTGAGGAATTCGATGGTGGTGCACTAAATCCATTTGTAGTAGATGCTGGTGAACCCAATTCAGCTCCAGGTGGAGGAGCATATCTATTTGTCACAACATGAGGTGGTTTAGGTGAGAATGTTGCTGATGGAAGTACCTTTGATGATGCTGATCGACTACCTTTTCGTGGTGGTGGAGCAAGTGATTGAGTGGAAACTGATCTTCTTGCTGTTGGAGCGGATGTTGGTGCAGCAGCTGGTTGATGTGGAGCAGGTTGGACAGGTACTGGAGTTGCAGCAGCAGCGGCACGACCAAGGGCTGCCTTAGGCTTAAATGTATCCGGTAAATCATTCCATCCTTCAGTATCATTCTTAACACCTGTTTTTGGAGGCGGAGGAGGTGGTGCATTAATACCCACTGGGTTACTCAAAGGTGACAAGTGTGCAGCTGGATTAGCAACATGTGGAGCAGGGGGAATGTATGGATTACCAGCTCTTGCATAAGGATTGACATGAGGAACTGCTGAAGCAACACTTGGTTGTCTTGGAGCATACGAAGATGGTTGATTATAAGTTGGTTGGGTGTAAGGTTGAGCTGGTGCTTGATTGTATGCTGAAGTAGTTGGATATCCACTAGACACAGCTGGAGCGTATGATGAAGTTAATCTAGAAGGAGCACCACGGGCACTAGAGACATCAACATTGTTAACAGGAGCAACTCTGGCAGCGGAGACTGTGGTTGATGTTGCCTTTGAAATTCTTTCCTTTTCAGTACCAGCAAATTCGCTAGGTAATATTTGCAAAAACTTGTTAGCCAATTCAAATTCACCACTTCCAGCAACCAAATTTGCAAATTCTAAAACAACCTTGGAAACTGGTTCAACCATAGGGCCAGTGATTTCCCCAGTAGCACCAGTAAGATGTCTGTAGGTGGCAATCTTTTCCACAAAGTTGGTAACTGCTTGAAGACGAGCATCAGATGGAGAAGAAACACCTGAGGTTCCTGATAACAACAATTCCGATTCATATTCTGGCAATTCCTTTAACCAAATATGAGCAATTTGATCCAATGCATTACCGGCCAAGAAACATAAAATAGCTTGATCTCTTTGACTGTCACCAGCGCCTGCATGTAAAATACGATTACCCAATTCAGTCATCTTGTTATTATATTCGTCAGTATCGGAACTAAAGGAAGAAATAGCGACAGCAATTTCCTTCCAGTTCTCAACATCAGCATGAGCAACTAAATCAGTAACATTCTTAGATGAGGCATTGTAAATAATTCTACAAACGTTATCATCTCCTTTACTTGTAAAGTATGCACTTCTCACCTTTTCCTTGGCCTTTTCTGAAGCATCCAAAGCTAAAATCAGGGCTTCCACAAGTCTATCTTGATCCAAACAAGTAGAAATAGCTTCATCAATCTTATTTGCCAAAATCAAACTAATCAACTTCTTGTTACTTTCATTTTCAGTTGCAGAAAAGATTTTAAAGTTCCCGGAAGGAACAAATGTAGAATCCCTCTTGGTCATTGTTGGGCCATTTCCTAAGTGAGCAAAGAAATCATCATCACCATTTTCGGTTTTTAAATCAAGCAAACTTTCTTGAACTGGTGCAACTGGTTGGCTTTCAATTTCATTCTTGAACAAAGATTCTCTTCCAGTTTGGGACAACTTATTCAAGACTTCCCAATCAGCCCTATCGTGAGGATTAACCGCTTCACTAGTCAATTTGGCTTCAATTATCAGAGTGTAATTATCTGCCTTTAAATCATCAAATAATTTAATAGAAGTTTCTTGACCACCAGAAATGAATTTTTCAATAGATACTATTGATTTTCCATCGGGGCCAGTTTTCAAAGTTACTAACTTGGAACCAAACCCGAAAGTTGCCCCACTAGTTTTTTTAAGCCACTGAGGTGCTTGTCTAACTTCAATAACAGGCTGGTGGATATCTACTGTAGATAAGTCATTCCAGAAGTCATCTTCATTGGTATTAACCTTAGCAGCAACTGGAGGAGAAGTATCTTGGATTGATTGAACAATAATTTTCCCGTCAAATGAAGCAGTAGCAAAAATATCAGGTGCAGCAGGAGCAAATCTTGTTTCAAATGCCCAGTTTGAGCTTGTAGGGTATTCACCCAACTTAATTCCCTTGACTGGATTCCACAAAATGGTGGTGTTGTCCTTACCACTAGAAACCAATAATTCTGGATCTTGTTTACACCAATCCAATGACAATACTCCCTTTTTATGTCCTTCTAATATTTGCTCTGGTTCATTGGCATTTCTCAAATCCCAAGTTAATAGTAATGGGCAAGAATCATTATCACTAGCAGTAATTAATTTGGTTGATATGGTTGGATGCCAAGCAACATGAGAAAAGTTTGCCTTTCCATTAGGTCCGGAGTAAGACAAATGTAAAAGTTCCTTTTTATGCTTTAAGTCCCAAATTGAAGTGTAACCACCATTACCTGTACTGGCAAGAATGTTGCTAACGGAATTATTCCAAGCAACACAAGTTACTTCATCCATAGGGCTCATGGCTTGACCAGGAGCAATTGGTTCAGCAAATGTCTTGGTATCCCACACAAAGATTTGACCATGAGATCCACCGCTGACAAGAACATGATTTTGGATCGGATTAAATTGTAATGACTTGACAGCACCAGTATGTTTTTGGGATTTGTAAACTGAAGCCTGTGCAAGATCCTTGGTTTTTATCAAGATATCAGCATCCCAGAATTCAACAAGACCGTTTTCAAAAGCACCGGCTAATAAACCTTGAGGTCTTCCTTCAAATGGCTTTGACCAGGCCAAGGCATAGAATCTGTTTTCAACGGGAGCAGAAAAGATTGGTGATTTTGAATTCGTGGAGGAAAATATGTCCCATAATTCCAAAGTAATTGATGAGCTGAAGTTGATATCGAGGGTGCCTGCAACAGTACCAGTTGCTAACAACGGCAAGTTATCCGGACTCCAAGCAAACGTCGACGTGCGAGCAATCTCATCAATTTTCATTATTAACCTAAGTAAAAGTTGTTATGTATGTATGTATATCAAATCACAAATGTTTCATAGAACCAGGCGGTTGAATGATGTTTAACTTAAGCTAGGAATTTTAGATTAAACAACTGACGATGAATTCAATTGGGTGTGTTTGTACAAACAACAATAAACGTGAAATTTCTCAGTTTCCAATGTTGATTCGGCCAACGAGCCAACGCACCAATTTCTGAGGAGACAACACAACAAAGAAAAAAAAGACACGTGACCTCAATTGTCGACATTATCACGTGAATAAGATGCTACCACATGAAATATCGACATTTACCAATTCTAACATTATACGTAGCGGATATTACGGATTATAATCATAGTGATTAAAACACATAACTGGTTTGTTTCGCACGTTTTAAATAACATCATATCTAATAAACCCTTGTCGTATACTATACGACTCAGTTGTACACAAGCATTCATTCATAAGCGCATCGCCGCATCGTCGTCACTGAAAAAGATCTTCAACCATCGCGTGCCATGGCTGTATTTTTTTTTTGTTCTTTTTTTTTTTTTGGTTGCTAGCTACAGGAAGCAAACGACGAACTCAAGGGGGAAAACCTTCGTCAGTAGGCGGCTGTTTCAAGTTAGAATAACGTGATGGATAGAGTCAATAATAGCTCATCGCTTATTCGAAAGCCAAACTTTATTTTAAGGTTTTGTGATTCTTAGTCACTTTTACAGTTATGCGGAGATCTTGTTTTTTTTTCTGAGATCTTCCGTGATTGTTTCCAACTGCCTCGGCTCTTGAACTCTTTTGAATAATAAACAACCCCTTACACATCTACGTGTTATCTTTTTGAACTTCTCCTGCATTAGAACATACAAATAGCTAACACACAAAAAAGCAATCTTTATTCATCCAACAATAACCTTTATAGACGAAACCATCAGAATATGCAACGATTGCTGACACAAACAAAACTGACTAGGCATCAGTTGCTCTACTACACAGTTTTGAACCACCTAGTTCACAGAGTTGGAAAACCTTCTTTGAGAGCATTTGTATATGCGTACATATACATAGTTCTTCCCAAGGCTCTTGGTCAATTGATTAGCCACATTAAGAAAAACAAATATGATACACTATATCCCCGGATAAAGAAATCTATGATCAAAGCATTACACCCACGCAAGTTCCCTATGTTTGCTGCGAGATTAATTGCTGGGATAAACCTAATCGAGCCGTTAATGTTTACAATTTTAAAGAAGACTAAGTTGTTCAGTCATAGGTCAACTACAAACGTGTTTGTATCCACATTGTTTTCAGCTTTGTTATCAGCACTTGTCAACTTCCCCACTTATCAAAATCACATCATTGGCTATGATAGATTTAATTCATTAGACTTGACTTTGTTAGTAGCAACCAGAGCCATAGATACTGTTTTCTCGTCAGAATTAGGGAAAATAGTGCCAACGTGGTTGGTGCCTTACGGCGACGTTGTATTATTCACCGTCAGCAGTGCCTTCATTATGTACTCGTGGTTTTTCCATGTGGAACGATTACCACCTGCATACCACCAATGGATTACATCTGCAGCCAACATGGATCATGATATATACGAAGTATTGAGGTTAATTAAAAGCAAGAAACTTGTCTATGGAGAACCTGGTCCCTATTCCGATTTTTTGGGACCTTATTTTGAGAAATACGGAAAAGATCCCAAGGATGCAAACACGACAATTAACCTTCCTATTTCGTGTGAAGCAGTCCATGCATTTAAAACCAAAAGCTGTGAACTTCATGCCCTTTGGCGCTTTTACCGAGGATTTAAGTTTGCATTTACAGTTTATGGTCCATTGAATTTACTTCTCTTGTTATTGCCAAAGAAGAAAAAGATGTCGCAAAGGCTATTAAGGGCGTTGACTACATCTGTAAGATCTTCTGCTTTCTTAGGAGCTTTTATTGGGATATATTGGTATTCTGTATGTTTAGCCCGGACAAGATTATTCCCACTTCTTGCCCCCAAAGTACCCAGAACTAGGTATGATGACACTATTGCTCCTGCCATGGGGGCAATAATGTGTGGGTTGTCATCCTTGGTGGAGACACCTCAACGTAGAAAAGAATTGGCTCTTTTCGTGGCACCAAGAGGTCTTGGCACATTAGTATCAGCAGATGCAACCACCGAGAATTTACAAATTGAGAGTATAGTGTTTTCAGTTTGTTTAGCAATTTTGGTGGCTTATTCCAAGAGCAAACCTTCTACCGTAAGAGGAATCTTCGGCAAGGGTCTCAACTTAGTATTTAATATCGACTACTACAAGTAATAAACAGATTTGCCCTTGGTTGTAAAAAAAAAACAACCCTTCTGTCTAGTTCTTTTTTTTTCCTCTGTTGTTTGGCAGCAGCTGGCGATTTTTTCGTATATGGAAACTCTCACCTATACTTTTTTGACAGCAATTACTATATAGAGGTAAACAACCGCAGTAGATACAAGCCAAGGAGCAAAAGTGACATGTCATGCTGGATAACGAATCAGGTGAAGAAATTGATAAGACAGTGGCTGAATTCGACTTTGCATTACCCATAAATAGAATCACCAAAGACCTAACCAAAAGACATGATGTTCTTGCCATCTTACTAGACTTGGAAGAAGATCCCGAGTTGGATTTCATATTCAAAACAATAGCGTCACTTTGCGATCCATTCACCCAACCACAAGAGTCGGAGGATACCATACTTTCTGTGGATTTCATCTCGGACTTGGTGATTTCAATAGTGTACAGCCATTACGTTGAAGAGAATGAACAAGACATCAAGGAAAACAATGTCGATATCCAATCCATAAAGTTTGACATATCGACCCAACTTTTTACGATAGTACGTCGTATCCATCAGTATCTTAATGCAGAAGACGAACTCGAATTGCGATTTGTCAATAACGATGAAGAACACTATAAAGAGAACTTACCTCATTGGACTCCCAACCTATCCATAAGCAACGACGAAGCAAATGCCAAGCTTGTCTATTCCATTGCATGTGTACTACTATTGTCAATATATAAACTATTTGTCCCCAAAACAGGCGAATATAACGTGGCCATGAATCCATATTTGCATTACTTTCTTAAACTTTGGAAGTGTCATACGAATATCATTCTTCTTGGTCTTGAAATAGATCGAAGAATAGAGTTTCAGAATCATGAAAGGGGAACAGAAGAAGAAACTCCAGAGATAGTTAAATTAACCTTGAAAGGATCCAGTTCTATACGTTATGTCCTAGCGTGGATCATAAACCAGAATCCGTCACTGACTTTTGAAACAGACTCCATTTCACCATTTGACAAAGAGGACCTCCAAAAAGTTACTGTTTTCAATTTCATAGAGCCATTAGCAAAGAAAAAGACAAACGGTGGAGCATTACTGATTGATATGAGACTTGTTATTATTGCATTATTGATTATAAATTCAGGCACGAGCTTTACCGCGGCTCAATATCAACTTTCTGAACGACCCTCTAGAAATGAAGAGGAAGCCAGCCGAAGATTAAACCAATCAAGAAAGATTACTGAACTAGGGGATATTTTAATCGATTTGGAGTATGATGACTTGTTTGATGAGGATATCAAGTACATATTCGAATATGAATACGATGGATCAGACGGAGAAATTCTGGACCACGAGGAAGATAAACCAAGTCTTCATGAAGATATTATAAGTGATGAAGATATACCAGGGAAGATTGTCGAAGATGGAATAGAATTTGACGAGTATGGTCGTGACTGGCGAGATATGGCACGAGGTGATAATTTAATTTATCAAGACTCCTTTAGTCTGATGTTTGACGAATTTGACAAGCTAGAAGATAAAGAACAATCTGATGATATCTTTGCAAGTTGGGAAGAGCTTTACAATACATTTGAATTCTTGAATACCAATAGTATTGACGGGAATAGCGAAGCCGAGAAGCGGGTTGGTCAAGTTGTAATAAATACAATTGCCAAAGCAGTACGAGATAAGCTAACAAAGAAAGAGCTCCCACCAATAACCCCGGAAATGATATATTCATACTGGTCATCCCTGGCTACAGAAAAGGAATTTGAAATCACCCAAAACAATAATAAAGTTATAGTTCCCATATTTAACATCACCAAGTTTGAAATATTCTTGCATAACAATAGCAAGTTAGCTAGATGTGCCATGGATGAAATGTTAATGTACAATGGATCAAGAAGAATATTTATTTGGTTCATCACTCATAATTTGAATATCTCAAACTTATTAATTGATTACGTGTTTCAACTTTTAGCCGGACTTAGGGGAAACTCCAAAACTCAAGGCCCTTATGTATTTTCTAGAAAGGGAGGCAAGGTTATTCTAAGTGAAGTGGAACAGCTGATGTTACTACACGAGTTCTTAACTAATAGTAACGCTTATTTCTCGGCAGCTGAGGGAATCGAGATATCTGATGGGTACAAAGTTGTGCTAGCTGAATCGATAGCCAAGAAGCAGATACAAGTGATTTGTTTAATGATCCAACAATTGATAAATATTGGTGTAATTGATCTTTCATTGGTGCACAATACTGATGATGATAAAGACGATATTCATGATTATAGAAATGAAATCCAAATATTGTTAATCAATTGGATTGGGAAAGTGCCTGAAGCCAGACAATTATTTTTCAAAGTCAAGAATACAGACGGTGAAGAAGAACCCAAGCATGTTCCAAAATCCACAATTACATTAGAAGAAGAAAATAAATTGTTCGAGAGATACTCCAACATGTCAACGACAGAAATCAGTAACGTCATTGACAAGAAGAATGTGGAAATCTTGGACAATTTTACATCAAGAATCGAATCACACTTGAGTTCACTTTTGAGTGTGCAAGGTAACGGCAACTCCAATTTGAAACAACTTACGGATGATTTCCGGTTCTTCCTTGCTAATTTCAATACTCTTTGCAAAATTGAATATGTAGCCGAGACTTTATTCGACAAGTTTGAACCAGTTCTTTTGACTGGTATGATTACAAACGTGGGCAATCCAAAAGCGAATAATACTTTTGATGCAGAGTTTAATAACGAATTCCTAAATGGGGAAGGTAAATTCCAATCTCCTCCAGAAGGAGAACCCGAGTCAAAGAAGAAAAACAAGAAAAAGAAGAAGTCACGAAAGAAATAGTCCTTTTATTTTTATAGAATATAGAGTAATGAATTTATGATTAAAACCTCCCCCCGGTTATCGCGCTTGTAAGGCGATTTTGTGTGGCGGGTTTTGAACCCCTCAAAAAAATCATTGTCCAAAATCTGGCAAATTCCACTGTTGGATCAAGAAATAATTATATATCTTAGGAAGAAATGTTGCGTAATCAATTGAGCGGAAAAGCATTCAAATCATTAATCATGTCTGCCAAGAGATCTAATTCTACCATTACTCCAGTATGTATATATACACTGGTCACAAATGTGTTCCATTAGAAAGATACTAACTGCTGTTTTAGGTAAGAACTAGCCAAGCCCCACCACCAGCTGCTTCTTATTCCCAAGCTATCAAGGTAAATGGTATGTATATAACTTAAAGCCGCTTACATTAATCAATTGAAATGCTTGAAGACAATACTAACACATAGTCTAGGTTTCATCTATGTTTCTGGTCAAATTCCATACACTCCAGACAATAAGCCATTGCCAGAAGGTGCCACCCTTGCCGAACAAGCTGAACAAGTTATCCAAAATGTTTCCAACATCTTGGAAGCCTCCAACTCTTCTTTAAACCACATTGTTAAGGCTAACATTTTCTTAACTGATATGCAAGCTCAATTTGGTGAATTCAACCAGGTCTACGCCAAGTACTTTAGTGAACACAAGCCAGCCAGATCTTGTGTTGCTGTGAAAGAATTACCATTGGGCGTTCCTTTAGAAATGGAAGTTGTCGCTGTTGAAAGAGACGATACCAAGTTGTAAGAGAGTCACAACAAACCATGATATAGTTGAAGTACTCTTATATAACTATAAATTTCGTTCCAATACAGGTTATATAGACATATTAAAGAACAATTAGTGAAATACCAATATAGCATGTACATGTAGTATTAACTAGTGTGAATTTCATAATGCATCAATTTACAAGTCACAGTCGAGGTATAGGGTTACAGACCTAATGATAATACTCACACGTGATGAAAAAAGAACTTCAGTCCACATTATATGCACACTTCATCAATTTTTTTTTCCCCTTCTCATAATAAAAATCGTATGTACTAACAAAACCTGCTCGCTCACTAATAGTGGAAAAAAATTTGTCTAGTGCGCAGGTCTTGAAAATTTCTGTACTATTAAATTTTTTTGAAATCCTTCTTTTGAAGTTCTAGATAGCATATACAACATCTTCAAAAATGGCTCAACGTGTTACCTACAGAAGAAGAAACCCATGTATGTTTTAATCAATGAACTAATGGAATACCTAATCGTGATATTATTGATCTATTAAGTTTACGTTCGTGGAAAGACAGGAATAACTCAACCTTGAAAACCAAGAATAAATTACCTTGTAGAATACAAGCAATCCATTACAAATACCACTATAATTATATCAACTACCATCAGAGAGGAAATCAATACACTTGAGAAGTAATTAAACAATCAGTGGAATCAAAGAAACTTTATAATGTTCTACTACCATTAGACTATATTCGTCAAGTAAAAAGGAAATTTAAACAAAAGTTTTACAAACATAAACTATGTCAAATCAATATGATCGATGAAGGATATTCTTAATTCCAAACTAATGAAATACTAACAATTATTTATAGACAACACCAGATCTAACAAGATTAAGGTCGTCAAGACCCCAGGTGGTAAATTAGTTGCCCAACATGTCAAGAAGGCTGCTTCCAGAGTCAAGTGTGGTGACTGTGGTGTCGCTTTAGCTGGTATCTCCACCTTGAGACCAAGACAATACGCTCAAGTTTCTAAGACCCACAAGACTGTCCAAAGAGCTTACGGTGGTTCCAGATGTGCCAACTGTGTCAAGGAAAGAATTGTCAAGGCTTTCTTAATCGAAGAACAAAAGATCGTTAAGAGAGTTTTAAAGGAACAAGAAGAAAAGGAAAAGAAGGCTGCCAACAAGACTGGTAAGAAATAAATTATTTAAATCGGATTTAAATGTATAATATTTTCATCTGTGGTTAACGGTACTCTGTAAATTCTTTTTCACTTAATACACAACAAAAACGTATAAAGTTATTTTCTGTAGATTCTGTCTGAAGGGTGTTGCAAAAGTATACAATAGTAAACAATGTCACAACAACTTGCATCATACTTTGAAATACTCCTAAAGAACTTCACAAGTAAGTATCCACCTTTATTCGAAGTTTATAATCTCTATTTTGAGGTAAATCCTGATATTTATGAAAACAAAGTAGGACATACACTTATGCGAACGGTCATGGCAGTTGATTTGGTTTTGAACATGGATAAAGTTCATCTTTTTTTGAGAGACTGGATTCAATCGAACTTTCATGGAATTAATAAATGCTTAGATTATATGTTTTCTAAGAAAGGATTTACCGATGTCCAAGTGGATAGTTTGGTTATAGCAAAGTTTATCCTAAATACCGTTTTAACTCCTGGATGAACCAAAACATCTTAGACTAAAAGAATTGAACACTTTTATTTAATTATATGAGAGAGAAAATTAACCAATCAACTTTTGTTACTTGCCAGAAGCAGTATCATTGTATTAGTTTGGAAACAAAGAATGAAAACATATAATCAGGAGAAATTTGAAGAAATCATAGAATTGTTTCCGCTTGCCATCTTAAGATTATTCTTTATTGAATATAAGACTAATCAAAACAGAGTAAATATCTCGAGAGCTATTCAAAATAGCTATATAGCTCTCGGAAAGTACTTTGCTTGAGACTATGAATTGTACGAAAAAACATGCAAAGTTGCAAAAAAATAAAAAGACCAACAAAATGGTTAAACAAATAACATTAATTTATTTACGGTTGACGATCTTGAATGGTTTGCTAGCAAAAAATTTCAACACAGCAACAATATACCAAAACCCGAGCGACTTCCAAGCGGGATCAAAGTTTTGTAAATTAAGTATTCAGCTTGTCAACTTAATCTTCGCGGCAATCGAAGCTTCGAAATATCATCAACTTTTGCTTTGGAGAATGAGAACTAATACTATGAACATATTGTTCACTTATAATTCTAAAACCTTAGATATAACTGAATAGAATATTATTAGAGTTAAGTCTTTAGATATTAAAGAGGAAATCAAACGACTACACAATCCTGATTTGGAAGAGGTCTTGGTTGAATGTTATAAAACAAGTACTAATATTTCATTTCCAACCTAAGTTGATGCTGGGATGTACCCAAAATCGTTCTGAAATACACCAAAAGAATCCAAAGCGTTTATTCTAAAGGCTACACTTAATTTGTTTGATGAATTTTTATAGTTTGTTGATGGAAATGAAATTAATGTCTTTGTCATCTAAGGAATAAATCTGTAGCTAGAATGGTCGAAATCACGCTAGCATCAGAAGAATACCCTAAAGTAAATATAGCTAATGTATGGATGAAATTTTTTCTTTCATCTAGAGAGAGTAACTATGGATACCCAACAAGAGGGCTTGATGTTGAAGATATATTGGGCAATAACATTGAATAACCACCAAATAAGTAACCCAACTATTTGAAATCGAGTGGTTATCTACTTCAGTTTGAAATGTAAGAATAGCTCTGATAATGTAGTTATAATTTTGATTTATGAGTGGATTTGTACTAACTATAGACTTTAGAGATGAAGATAATTCCACCACAGATATTAAATGGTGTTCTATAGGGATTTTAATTGCAAAGATCGTTCAGGAAAACACAAGAACAGATATATTTATTCTTTTTAAAGTTGGTAAATAATCTTAACTAATTTACTTTTAGTTAATGAATGTATGGAAATAGTTAGCTGAGAAGCAAAATCTTTCCTTAGATATTTTGGATGTTGCTATGAGTCAAATACAATAAATATTTTTTTCGGGATTCACTTCCCGCTTTCTTTTGCTACCAAACAAACTAATATTGTAAAACTAGAACAACCATTTCCATATTCATGATTTTAAGACCCCGATAAGCAGATATATCGCCAATATATATGAATAATCTAACATCTTATCAAGCTAATAATCTCCCTTTGCCATTTATTGGCCTTCAAAGACCTAATGCTAACCTGGGAAATGTACGGCGCTCATCGTTTGCTGCAAAAAATATTCTTATCAGTTAAATGAAACTAGTGATAATGGATCAAATTTCCGTGTTTACATTTTTCCTCTAAATGTTATTTATGGTAATCAGGGGATGACCCTTTCCTTTCCGAATACTATATAATTCTTGATTTTCCACATTGTTTGCTTGCATTACACTGTCCCATGTAAAAACATTATATCCCATGGAGACTTCGAGATTATCACACTTTTTAGAAAACACTTACATCCCACCACAAAAACCAACCAGAGCAGCAGTGGTACCTTCCTACCACCCATGTCTTATAGTACAAGATAGACAAACTACAGATGTGACAAAGATCAAACCTTGCGGTTGTGCTGATAGCTATTGTGTCAAGAATGCACCTGCTTGGATCCCAAGAGCTAAACATTGACTCAAAGTCACATTCAAATTTACTTCTTCTGGTTAATATTTTGCAAAATCTAGTATGGAGTGAGTACTTTACTGTATAATTGTTTTAAATACACTTGATTTATTAGTAGTTACCATTGTTCTTGGCAGTGTGCCAATCATGTGTAAATTCAAAGTTAAATGTTGACTCATCACTTAATGACCTGCTTGCATCAGCGACCAAAGTTGAACTTCTGTTTTCATTTTCTTTAATCTCTTTTTCTTCATGGGTATTTCTAACGAGTTCTTCAAGTTTTACCGGTTGTTCTACAAGTCCTTCCAGAACAACCAGGATTGATATATCCTTGCCAAAAATGTGCCTGGGATGGAACGGAACATAAAGTGAACAAGCAAGAAATACCATCATCGCATCTAAAGTCAATACAAATCCTTCATGTGTGATCAAATAACCTCTCCATCCTTGTGACAATTCAATCATTCTGTAAATGCAACGTATATAAATAAAAATCAGCGAAATTAAAATAACCAACGGTAAGTAATAGAAAAACAGTCTCTTTCTAATGAAAGCAAGGGAAGGCTCATAGTATGGTTCCAACTCCTGTCTAAGTAGCCGACCTTCTAATGTGTTGAATAGTAGTTGAAACGTCCTCCTGATCGAGAATTTGATTGTTGGGTTCGCTCGGAAGTATAACCGATTTATGAAGTCAATGTACAAGACCAAGAATAAAGTCATACAGCCTACTTGAAATCCTAATCCACCTACCATTATCCATGTTCCTGGCCTCGTATTTTGCAATTGCAGTATAGCCACGGCTGCATATATTCCACCACCACCTTGAACCAATAAACTAACTAAATCACCTATTAGGAATACGAATGAAAACCACAACGGTCTAAGAACAGAATATTTTCGTCCATGTAATACAATAAATTGAGCTAGTAGGAAATATATACCAGCCATAGTAAATGTCGGGGCAACAGTAAGGGTAATTATTTGACAAAGAAACAAATCCTTATTTGACCAGTTAAAATGGGCAATAAATCTAGCAAGATACCCAATGAATTCTAATGCTGAAGCACATGACATGCACATTCCAAAGTATCGTAGCCTGGATTTACAGAATATAATACTGAAAAATATCATTAAAGCCAAGAATAAGATTGCAAAAATGCCATTTCCAGGCAATGATAGAACGGTGGCATATATGTTTGATTCCCAATGTAATGATTTTAAATTTAAGGTGGCATTGAACATCTCCTCAGTGATTTGTGGAAAATACTGGGTTGCAGTAGCAGTAGCAAGGTATTGTTGTTGGCTGATAATGGTCAATGAAGCAGCTGCTCCACGAAATTGTCTAGAAAGGTAGTATAACTTAACTACATTTGTTTCAGTTTGTGCCCTGATGCTTATCTCCAACAATGTCTCATATAGACCGGCAGAATTTGTTGGATCAATTGTAGAGATAGTGGTGGAAGTTGGTAGAGTTTTGGGATACCATGATGTAATGTTTTCTGCTCCAAACCCCATTCAGTAGATGCTTAATAGATATGAATATGGTGGAAGTACTTGATCATCCATTAAAGAGATATTTCAAAAACACTGCAATGGGGCGCAATTAATATAAAGAAATTCACAGAATTTGCACAATAGCTCTTAAGCCCAAATAGGATATTTAGGAACCATAATCACTAATCAAACAATTAAGGTTCAACATTGTACCCTCACATGCAAAATAAGGTTAACATCAGCTATTGTTATTTCAGCGCTACAAACTCAAAAAATAATTTACCGCACATTCCTATTGGTGTAGATTTTTGCAACTTGGAGATTACATCTAAAAAGAAGTTCTAAAAGTTTTGGTGCATAGAATTACAGATTCTTTTTAGTTTAAGTTTCTCCGTAACTTCCACCGAAACCAATAAACTATTTATAACCATATCAGGAGATTTAGGGGGGTAGGTTGACAATGGGAACAAAATGGTTAAGCCTCTTTCCGTGGGGCGAAAACAATCCACCTATGTTACCAGCTTAGGAAATATTCTTTTACATTAACGAATTGCATCTCAGCTGTTGGAAAATACTTATTTCATACACGAGGTATCATTAGCGAATCCAAACTAATGATTATATGCAAGGTTGCAGCAATAACCAGCTGCAAATACAACGAATGTATGTAAAATTTCCAAACCTGACCACAGGTATTTTTTGTAATCAAAAAAAAAAAGTTAAGCTGTCAGTAGGAATTTGCATAAAATAAATATATTTGTTATGAACATCATTTTAAAACTCTACATAAAATATCAAAAATGGGACACCCCCTTTAATATTTACTTTGGAACCATGTGAATCTAAGTAAATATCTCGAAAACAATTATTTTAACACTTTAATATAAAAAAATCAATCGAAATCACAAATTAGCTCCTAATCTTGGTTTTAGCTAGTTACACTTTGTTGCGTACTCTCAAATTCCCCCTCCCCTGGCCCCCCGAAAAAAAAACTCTTGCCAGAAGCTACCAAGTAGTTGCAACCAAATTGACAACAAATTTCAAAACCTCACTTTAATAGTGCATAAATATATATCGATTAACAGTAATTCATCCCAACTATTAAACCAACAATACTCCAATGACAGCAAGGAATGAAGCACCTAACGTCGAGGCTCCATTCATAGCGTTTGTAGTGGCTTTGGTTGTTGCTTTGAAATCGGTTCCGTTATATTCAATACCTGCTAACTTACAAATTTTTTGTTTTGTATCTTTAGGATTATTTCCCTTGAACTCGGCAGTTAGTTTATCACATTTTTGGTCACATTCCATCAATTCAGGAAAGAAATCGTCATCTTTCTTACAAATACATTCAGCTAATGTGGAGGGGTCACTATCATCGCATTTCAGTAATTCCATGTCCACTGACTTGCAAAACTCGGCGCATTCCTTATTCTTTTCTTCGTTAATTTTTGCCAAGTGTCCAACATTCAAATCGGAAAATCCTGTTGCTAAAGTCAAGGCGATAAAAGAAGTTGCAAAAATTGTTGCACTAAATTTCATGTTGAAGTTTCTGATGATAACCAAAACTCTTAACTGGAATCATGGACTTTTATGGACATATTTATATAGTTCTCATTCAAGGAAATGAATTTGATTCTGAAACTTTGTTTATTGATCAAACAAAGAGTCAAGCGAAAGGGTTTACCACGCACGTTCCATTACTAGCAGGCTATGACCCCAGACTCATAACCTTATTCGTATCCAAGTAGAATGCGTGGGCAAAAATCACCGGTTGATAGTCTTGTGGCGGAGTTTTGTTCCAATTAAAGTTGGTTGATATGCAATGCAAATTAAAAAGGTACCGTCCTAGCCGAAACTTAATTCATATAATTTAGCAAAAGTGGTAATAATTATAGTTTTCCCTCCTAGTTGTTTGTTGATAATTTTCACCCGATAAAAAATTAAAGATTTCAAATCAGCTGTATATTTGATTCTACCAAATGTAACAATTTTAGAAGACTTTGCATAAAATAAATGCATAAACATTATGTATTATCTGTTGATACTAATATTGATGAGTTGGAATTTTACTCACATTTATTAAGATTGCTATATCACAAAAAAATGATAGTCACATTATCCTTATGAGGTTCTTGTAGTAACGTCATTTACTGAACATACAAGCGAAAACTAAGATAAATTACTAAAGTATGGCAGTCACATAATCAAACTCCTTAAATTATGGCAGCAGAGGCAAAACGGATTAAAACTTCTTCCCATGAAGGAAAGAGGAATGTTCAGGTTTTATCTGGTCAAACAATAAAACATGTAATCTAAGGTAATTCAACAGAGTAATCAACACCAGCAATAACTTCCAATAAAATAAGCTTTTATGTATAACCGTATTATTGCATGTTTTGTCTTATTGATAAGTAAAAATGCAATTTTCATCTAAAATCTATACATAAAAATTGTCCAAAAATCTTTACTTCAAGTAATATGGTTATTTCAAACCTAATTTGAATAACGAATATATATCAATTATCAGCTACTTACAGAATAACTAAACCATCAAGATCCCAACTAGAGCCAAAAATGATGCACTTAATGTCGCGGCTCCATTTACAGGGGGCGCGAATGTGGTTGTTACAGTGAAATTGCTTGCATTAAACTGAATACCTGCAATCTTGCAAATTCTTTGCTTTGATTCTCTGGGACTACCTCCTTGTATAACGAAACTAGGAGGAATTTTATCACATTTTTCAACACATCGTATCAATTCGGGAAAGAAATCATCATCCTTCTTACAAACACATTCAGCAAATTTGAAGATGTCATAATCTTTAGTGTTTGCATTCTTTTTGCATTTCAGTAGTTCAATATCCACATATGCACAACGTCCCAAACATTCATCATTATTCGTTTCTTCATCAACTTGGGCTAAATGGCCAACATTAAGAGTGGGGAATCCTATTGCTGAAGTTAGCACAATGAAAGTTGCAAAAACTATTGTGCAGAGTTTCATGTTATAGTTTCTGATAACTAAAAGTCTTGACTGGAATTATGAACCTTCTTGATCTTATTTATATCATGATAATTGAAAAAAAATGAATATACTTCTGAAACTCTGTATATTGATCAAGCGAAGCGCTTATTGAAAATATTCCATTACCACCATGGACCCCCCAGACTCATAACCCCATTCGTATTCAACTAGAATGTGTTGGCAAAATTTATTGGTCGGCGGGGTTCGTTCCAATTAAGCTTCGCTAATATGCAACACACGCTAAAAAGGTACCGATCTAGCCGAAACATTCATTTAATTTAGTACAAATGGTAATAACTGTCGTTTTTCTAAATATTCTTTGATAATTTGAACGCAATAGAAATTAAAGTTTCCAAACAAGCCTCATATTAGTTTCCTACCAAAAGCAGCTACTGCACCGGTAGAGGGGTCTGCATAAAATAAATATTAATATTATAATCTTCATCTAAAAACTATACATTAAATTCAAGTTTTATAACTATTGAAACCAAATTTACAACACATTTCAAGTCTTAGCTATGAGAATATACCAAGTCAATAGCTAAACAAACAAGACCCCAGCTAGGTCAAGAAATGAGATGCGCAATATCAAGACCCTCCCTCTTCCCCTCCATTTCCAGATTTGGTTTCATTTAACGTAACACCTATAATGCTACAAATTTTCTGTTTTACTTGTTTAGCATCAGTTATTTGAAACGGTAATTAAAAAGATACACCAGTGCAATCCTCACGATCCTTAACATATTCGACCAAATAATCCAAAAAAGGGATCTTCCAAAATACAGATACAATAATCTTTGGTAACATTACTTGAATATGTTTTATTGACGCAATTCCTTATTGACGTACGCGTATACACAAGCTCTAGAACAAAGGCGGGACCCGTCCAATGTCAAGTAGCCAGTATCCAAGTTGGAAATAATTTCATTTGCTGACGTCAAGCTAAGGCAAATTGTAAAAAAAGTTCTCTATTGAATTTAAGGTTTAAGTACCAATAAACATCTTCATTAGAATCAAGGACTCTTCAGTCATATTTATATCATGAAAATTGTACGAAATGAATTTACTGGTGAAACTTTACTGATTGCTCCAACTATGAGTAAGGCGACTACAATCATGTATGGCAATAGGTACACACCATTGCGGTGGTGGTATTGTCCTGACTAATAACTGCCTTATATCTATACAAGTAAAATGTCCAGGAAAAATCATCGATTCGTAAATTTAGTAGGGTTTTGTTCCAATATATCGCGGTGGACAACATGCAACAAGAGGTAAAGATATAGCCAAATATGCAATACGAGTTAAAGACATAGTCACACTGATATTACAACCCAATCTATGTTTTTTTCTTTCAGCTGGTGTTGGTAATAATTGATGTCTTCCTTATAAGAACCAAGAGAGTTGGATATTATACATTTTAAAGAAGAAGCTTCACCCGTAGAAGAGCTTTTGTGAAATAAAGATGTATGTTATAAATAAAAACTGAGAGAATTATAAATATATACGCGTGTGACAATTAGTGAATATAATGCATTTTTTTTATTAACTTCTTTAAGTAGCCCCCTCACGTTTTACCTTCAGGATTATGAACTAATTCGTTGGTGATTTGTTCTCGTTTCCAGAATCTTAATAACAAATCACCATAGTTTTGTAAATCTTCTACCGAAATCATCAATTTGAAATCCAACAACAACAAGAATTGCAATTCCAAATAATTCAACTCCTCTAATGGTAACCCTCCAACTTTAGCATACCTTAGATTTTTGTAAAAAATATCCAGAAAGAATTTAGAAGATACAGTGATTCCACTAATGATTAAACGATGAATATTATATGAATCCATGACAAATAATTGTTCTGACTCGGAAGATGATTGCAGTTCATCTTCGTGTCCATTCAAACTCTTTTTCCGTTGATTTAAATTATTGGCCTTTTTGGCTATTCTATCAAAATAAACGAGCAATGATAAAAATACTTCGTTAGTTACAGGACAATATTTCAAAACACGAGCTAAATATGCATGTAAGGAAATCCCAGGAACGTTAGTTCCATGGAAGGCCAAGACATTTGCAAGATATTTGTTTTTCATTTCATCTTCATCATCGTCTTCATCGTCGCCATTATCATCGTTTTCAAAGTCCATCGAATCATGGTTATCACCAGCTTTCATAGATGCATCATCATCATGATTTCTATCAATGTCAACATCTCCATCGTTATCAAGTTGCCTTTTCTCCCTTTGTAATTTCTTGACTCGCTTTTCCTCTTTCAATCGCTGCCTTATGGCTATGGTGTTTTCGAAATGATTAGGATGTAACTTGTCATTAGCTTCAATTATCTTGGATAATAAACAAGCTAACATAACTATTAAATCATTAACGGGATAATCGACGATATTTAAATGTTCTTCATACACATTGCCACCAGGAGTTTCTAAATCAACATCCTTGTTGGTTATATTTTCCAAGAATTCACTATATGTCATATAATGATCTGGTTCAGGAGGTTCATAAGGTATTTGCTTATGTTGTGGTGGTGCTAACTGAGAACTCAACGAGGATGCCGAGCGAACCATGGGTTCACCAGATTCCTCTACCTGTAGCTGGTTATTCCTTTGAGGTATAGCTATAGAATTCACAGGTGTTGATGTCATTGTCGAAGTTCCACTTCCTGGAACCAGTCTATCGGTAACTATCGATTGTGGGAAGGCGTTTGTAAATGGTTGTTGCACGGGCTGAGACTGGAATGAGCTCGGTGCTGGCCCGGTAGCACTGGATGAAGTCATGTGAATAGGCATCCGGCTATTGTGTTGCAAGGAATTAGGTTGCATGGGAGGTTGTGGTGGGATAGCTCCGCCGACGCTAGGTGGTTGGTAGTGGGGGAATGTAAATGAAGAATGGTGACCAAAACTGGACGAAGAAGAGTCAAAAGATGCTGATGTTGTAGCTGAATCTTTAAATACATTTGTGGTAGGGATTGCGTGAGGTATAATGCCGCTTGGTACTTTGTAACTGGACGACGAAGGCTGAGTAAATCGTTGTGGGATGAAATTGTTGTTTGTATTAGTAGCGGATCCAACACTTTGTTGTGGAAATGACGGAGGTTGAGTGTATGAAGGATTGGACGAATACGAGGTGCTAACAACGTTTGGTGTATTATGGGACGAGGGAATGTAAATCAGGGAATCAGGTGCGGGATTTGTATGACTATATTGATGAAAAGAACTATTGGTGGCATTAGATGGATTGTTTCTATAAGATTCATATTCATTATTCGGTATTAATTTATTTCTGGAATTGAACGAATTTGTATAACTAGGTGGATTTGAAGGAAAATTATGTATTGAATTTGAATCAGATGTTATTGATCCTGATTGTGACACAGATGATGACATCAAATTCTTGGTTAAATTAGACACTTGAGGTTTATTAAGGAATGAGTTAGGGTTGCTTCCTGGTGTATCAGATATAGGGTTACCGTCATTGTCGTTGCTAATTACTGTTTGCGTCGGCGCAGATGGTGATGATGTGGGAAATTGTTGTTGTTGTTGTTGACGTTCTATAGTTGCCGCCGCCGATGAAGGAGTATTAAAGTGAGAGCCCATATTACTCTAATGGAGATAGATATGAATCGGCGTAATATATGGGTCTATGCAAAAACCAAGTTTTGACTCTGGTTGTGTGTTGTATCAATTAAGTGGGTTCCTTTTTTTTTCTTTGTATTTTCCTAACGTAATATTTTGGTTGTAGCCTTTCAAGTTTTAGTGGAATTAACGGACAAACCAAAAAACCTGGTTCTGCTGTGGAATCCTTACATTTTATTTTATTTTTTTTTTTCTTTGTTCGCGGGTTAGTAAGTCCGGCAATGCCAAACTAAACTGGAACAAAAATAGGATAGCTGCGGGACTATGTAAACTGCCAATCACTAGCAATCACTCGCAGTTACTTCAAGTAAATGTGCATAGAAGTTTAGCTGAAGAACTTGTTAATATTGTCGATTAAGTAATGATGTGCTGAAACGTGTGGCGTATGTGCGTAGTAAAGAGAAATTACGACATGCGACATGCGACACAGATTTTGTAAGGGATTTATGTCGTAAAAGTAAGAGGGCAAGCACTGCCGGTTGACATTACTAGTCCCCCCCTCAAACTTATTTCTGTTAAATAGCTCCTACTTAATCAATGCTTAAAAGACCAAATAAGTTAATTAGGACATTAGGATTATAAACATTCATTAGTTATTGCATCATAGGGCAAGCTTAATATTAGTACTGTAAAAGTAGTATGGTATTTGCTTTCTGGAAATGAACCACATGCACAGGAATTGCTAGAAATCCTCGAACATTATAGCAGCTTTGTTACCAGATACCCCTATAGTCCAAAGCCAATCTGAAATTCATCCCTAACACCTTCAATAAAGAATCTTAAAAGTTGGTTGCAAAAGTGCCCACTACTTCAAAGAATTAAATTTCTGTCAGTGTAAAAATTCCGCACTATTTCGAACCAGTTTTTTTTTCTTTCTAAACTCTGGCAAACCCCGATTCATCAACTCAAGTCAACAACTCACTATGTCAACTGCATCCAAAGTAACATTTGGCTTATCCTGTGTATTTGCAGGAGCTACATTTGTATACATCAACTATGTCCATCAATTAGAAAGAGATGCGTTGAGACAAGGTCCTATTAAGGACAAGGCAAGAATGCAAGATAAATTCAATAAGAAACAATTAGCCAATGAAGCTGAGCACAGGGAACAAACAGAGTTACGTGAAAAGCTTGTCAAGATGCAACCATTATCCAGTGAAATTATTCGAGGAGAGGAGAAGGGCTGAGAAGATCTTCATCTTATTAGTCTAAACTTGTACATAGAGAATAATATAGATTTAATGTAAATATATGAGATTTTAGTTTGTATGTATGTGTTCTTGGAGACACCAGAAGGTAGGAGGGGATATAGTATCCTCTAATCTCTAATGTACTATGATGCACGTTATTTCTTCTACGAAGTTCTATACATTGAATCGTCAAACAATCCAGAATCAAAAGTCTTGCTTCAATCGACTTGCCAAAACGGTTCGTCAAAAATAGAGAAGATGTTTGATCATATCGTTGAACTCTCAAAAGAGAATTCGATCGTTCCAAGACTTTAGTGCCAGATCTAAAATTCAATAAGATTTTCGATAATGAAGAAAAACCGAAAGAGTGAAGAAGCAGTGAAAAAGTTTTTCTTTCATAGAGTTCTCAACCGACCCATCCCCCCCAGTCAAAAAGCTATTGCACGTGATTACAAAAAACCACAAACTTATAAAAGAAAATTATTGATATGTATTAAACCGTTTATCTTTAGAATTAGAACTTTTGAAGTATAAAAAACGTCTTTTTTTTATAAATTGGTGATATTTTATGATATTTTTGCTTTATGAATTTTCTGTTGGGTATAAATATAATGTATATTTACAAAGGTAGTAGATGACATCGTGGGTATTTCATAAATTAGTTCAACTAATCTTCCATTTGTCCAAGCACACCTACATCAAATGATTCATCTTTTTTATTATCATCATTTTCATCATGTTCGTCATGCTCAATCTGGGCAAATTTCGTCCTCACTGGTGGTGCTTGGAAGTCTGATCCATTTGCAAAGGAAGAAGATAAACTTGGAGATTTCAATCCATGTTCTTGGTCATGATCATGTTCGTTGTCTTCTTCTTTAAGGGTTGGCTTTGTCAAGTATCCTCCATTGAGCGCAGGGGACGAAGGCTCTCTCCTATGTCCGTTAATCGAAGGTGGGTACTGAGATACAGAATGGGATCTGTCAAATTTCAAGTTTGAATCACTAGCACCACGGAATATTTCGTCAGTTTGATATCCATTCTTAAACTTAGGTGATGGTTCATTTAATGGAGGAGTTGGTGTGTTTGAACTGTTGTCATTAGATGGGAAAGGTGGTGAAAATGGAGAGGAATATTTGGGGTCATCAGAAGAGGGATGACGTTGATGTACACTATGTTGACGAGTATTGATGGTGGTTCCTGCCGGTTCATTCATGCCTACTAATATACTGGCTGCTTCTAAGAGCTGGACTTGTTGATGCTTGGAAATCAATAATTTCTTGGTAACATTCCACTCAGGAGTATGCTCCCAAAGATGCTTGGCTAAAGATGAGATATGTTTGTATCCTTTACCACAGGCTTCACATCTTAATTCTTCCTTTAATCTTCCTGTTTCTCCTTCACTGATTCTACGCACCACAAATTCACGAGTTAAAGTCGGTACTGATGAGGATAATGGAGCAGTATTTTGTGCAAACTGTTGCTGGTGGTGAATTTGCTGTTGTTGAGGAGCATATTGGGAGGGTTGTTGCTGGTAATGGTGACTATGGTGGTGATGATGGTTTTGATACGAAGATGGCATGTGTTGTACATGCACTTGTTGGTGTTTGGCAGGAATAGTATATGGAGAAGATGAAGTGGTTGAGTTTCTTCTGTTATAGTTATATTGTGTGCTTGCAGTCATGGTTGTTGTTGGTATATGTTGGGGGGAGGGTATGCTGGCTGAATGATAAGCGTAAGTTCAACTTGACAGGTGTAGGTAGCTAGCTTTGATTATACTATATTGATTTCTTATTTTTCTTCTTTTCCAGCTAGCCACGACAAGAACCAAGGAACCAGATGAGCCAGTAGGGTATGTTCAAAGATATATATGAAAAATGTAAAATTTCTTAAATACGTTCAAAACCACAGTTATGAAGAAACTGAAAAAAAAAATGAATAGCAGTTAGGGCACTGATTTTGAATTAAGCGTTGGCGCGATGTAACAATAGGGCGTGCGAAGTCTTGAGACTAATGAGCTTAAAGTAAAGTAATAAAAGAGTATAATTAAAACTGAAGAAATATGGAGAACAATTTTTTTTGCTTTTTTTTAGTTTAGTTTCACTGTGTATGTTGTTGTGTTTAAAATTTTTTTGAATTTATTTTTTTTTCTTTATTAATTTTTTTTTTTCGTAAAAAAAAATAAAAAGAATAAAAATTTGATGGGACAGAAATGCCAAAAAGTTTTTTTTTTTAAATTTTCTTTTCCGCTTTCAGGGTAGAGTTAGGGGTGGAGTATCAACTTTTTCTTAGCCTGAGATTTTAGAAAGTATCAAATGTTCATTTCATGCACGAAGATGTTGAATTTTTTTTTCATCTTGAAATGTTTGATGGAATCGACATGTCAAAGAATCGGACTAAAAATGTGACCCTTAAATAACGTTGCGTCGGATACTCAACTACTCACAATTATATTTTTATTGTCCTGCACATTAATTGATTATTCATGGCTTTGTCTTGAATCACTAATTACACTAGCAAGCAATGCCCCAACAAAAAAGTTTATATCTACTACAGGATAATCTTCTCTAAGTTTTAGTCAGTCAAATCCAATTTGCTGAATTAAGATTATTTGTTCGTATTCAGCATAGCACAAATCTATAAGGTCGGAAAAAGTAAATCACGTAAAGCAAGGCACCGCCTCTACTATATGAACATAGATTCAAATAGTTTAATAAGCAAACGCCTCAATCGACGTTTCCTATTGCTTTTATAGAAGCTTCTACGTCAGTGTTCTATTCTTAGCCTATAAACTTTACCCCTTTCATGACTAATAATATTTGATTTATCGTTCGGTTATTCGGTGCCTTAACATAATTTGCAAATCTAGACCTTTTTTTTTCCCCTGATCTTGCTCTTTTTTTTTCGTGTCGTGCTACTCCTATATCCATTATCATACTAAGTTATTACAATATAGTGTTAGGTCTCACAGGTTGTCAGTTGGTAATTATTGGGTAACCTCGGATATCCTAACCATGAACTAACCGTTGCAAACTCCTTGGAAAAGTAAATTGCCGCAAAATCGGCACAAACAATATATAAAATACTCACAAAGAGAAAAAATAGAAATCTAAATTTAACAACATACGCGCTCTTGCCGTTCACTTATATTGTTTACTTACACGAGCAAAAGGAAAATTTTCAATCTCTTGTTATACGACAGACACGTATGTAACCTACACATATAGCTCTAATTACGAACTATTTACTCCATATATAAATATTTTTTCTTCTAAAAGGATTCATTATCCAGCATATCAACAGATTTATGCGCTACATGAAGCGAAGTACCATTATCTTCTCTTGAATAAGCAGTTGTAGAAGTAGCAAGATAATCCTTGCCAATATCATCACTAAACACATCATTGGTTACTGATTCTGCAACAGGAGCGGATATATCCATTGGTGCTGGCGCTTCGCCGAACCCATCTTCAGTAGCATATAAAATTGTTTGTATTTTATTCGACAATTTAAAAATATCCAAATCAGCAAATTCATACAGTTTACCATGTTCTTTCGCTTCAAGAATATGTTGAACAATCATTTCAATATCTTGAAGTTTATTAAAGTAGAAATTACGTTCAATTTGTAGACTCTCCGTTGAAATCTTATTATCTTGAATTTCATTACGTAATTGAACAATTTCTTGGTAGGACTCTTCCAATTCTTTACTCAATTGATTCACTTTGGACCTTAATGCGGCTCCACTTGCCGGTGCTGCATTGGTTGGGGTTGTGGTTCCTGTAGCCCTGTCAGATCTGAACGACGCTGATCCAACTGACGATGTAGAGGAGACTCTTCTTTGTCCTGGGGTGGGTACGCGAGGAGAAGTAATAAACGGTTTAGCTGGTCTTCTGACATTGGCAGAACCAGCACTGCTACTCACACTACCACTCGCACTAGCAGGTCCAGCACTGACTCGTCTCTTTGCACTAGCATCATAGTTTACGTCATTGTAATCCTTATTTTCCAACCAATATCGTCTAAACCATTGCAACAACTCCAAATTGTCTTGCAAACGACATTTAATCAATTTTTCAACATCGATATTCTTGGTTATATTATGTTTGGTAAATCCCAGCTGTAAGATTTTCCAATTATGACGATAATCATATTCAGAAGTACCGTTGAATTTAACTTTGGAAATTGGAACACCTCCTACAATTGAATCTAATAGTTGACAAAACGCGGCACCAGTACCACATTGCTCAACTTTAGAATAATTCAAATCCAAGGTAGTGTTCAACCATTGTAATAGCTCAGAGCGTGATTCTCCCACAACCATGATTAGTGTTGATGTATTGAATGTTTATAATGTGTCAAGTGTTTCTGTCAGATCAAATTAATTGTTATGATTGACAATTGTTTTAAATTTTTTTGCTTGAGAATGTAAACATGGTGACTGCATATAAACCAAAGGAAGATCCTTACATCATTAGAGTAGCAACCAGAAGCAACTTGCATAGTAACGCCCCACCTCTCCCATCGCCAAAAAAGCAAGCAAAAGTATAGGTAATTTTATTAGATAGAAATTGATTTACTAAGACTAGTATACAAAGAAGATCATATTCTGCTAGTGATAAAAAGGTGAATCACTCGTCAATTCTCAACAAAACTTTTTGGCAGCACTTTCAAAAAAAATCACAGGGAAAATTTTCCCATTTTTTTTTTTTTGGGTGCTTCGCAATCACCATTTTTACCTACATTGTTAAGAAGTACATTCTATAAATAGTTCTCTTTTACTACATTTTAGTAGATCATAGAATTTACGTTCATATTACAACCATCGAATTAACACGATACATCAGATAGGCGAATAATTTGCTACAATCATCTAACTCAATTGCGACTAAGATATACATAGTCAGAGCATAGCCACCGTCCCTCCCCCTCACACCCCCCATATACCTATAGACTGAAACTACAATGACATCGAACACAACAGGATTTCAGAAATTTGATTCTGCAATTGCATCTGATTCTGAAGTAGACGAGTCTGAACTCCACATGACAACTGGTCCCCCTTTACGAAGATCTTCTTCTTTGTTCTCATTAAAGGAAGAATTACCCAAGCCTGATGAAAAGGAGTATATTAAGTTTATTGATGATGAAAGACACTTCTCCCTTATTAGAAACTTGCACATGGCCGACTTCATTACTTTATTGAATGGATTTTCGGGATTCTACGCTATAATTTCTTGTTTAAGATATTCATTAACTGGCAAGAGCAATTATGTCCAACGTGCTCACTTTTTCATTCTTTTGGGATTATTTTTTGATTTCTTTGACGGAAGAGTGGCAAGATTAAGAAACAAATCGTCCTTGATGGGACAAGAATTGGATTCTCTTGCTGATTTGATTTCATTTGGTGTGGGACCAGCTACAATTGCCTTTTCCATTGGTTTCCAGACCACTGTGGACGTATTATTCTTGGCATTTTGGGTATTGTGTGGATTAACCAGATTGGCCAGATTTAATATTTCTACTAATAATATTCCAAAGGATCACACCGGAAAATCTCAATATTTCGAAGGATTGCCTATTCCAACCAATTTGTTTTGGGTTATGGTGATGGCATTCTTGGTTAAAAAGGATTGGATTCATCAAAATTTACCTTGGGGAACTGTATTACAAAACACTCCATTTGAGTTCCATTTGATTTGTGTTGGTTTCTTTATTCATGGATGTGGTGAAATCTCGAAGTCTTTAAAGATTCCAAAGCCATGATTTCGACTTAATATATACATATACATAACTTCTACATAGCCCCTTTTTAAAATTCATGTATTTTTCTTTTCAGTCCACTGTGGATGAATATTCACACTCAATTGGACATTACGAAAATCAAGTCCGTTGTATATCCCTGTTTGTAACTCATTGTACAATTCGGCGGGGAAATTTCTTGGATCTAAGATTCCTAGATTGTGCACATCATAATATAAAGTATGATGGATATGAGACACGTCTAATCTTCGACTTATTTCCCAAAATGTTCGATGGATCGGATTCAATTTAAATACGTAATTAAATGCAAATTTCCAACTTGGTACATTTCTTAGCTCTGGCGCGTCAGGAACTATCCCCATTTTCTTACATTCTGAATGGAAAAGAGCAAGCAAATAGAGTGGTTCCTTCTTATTTCCTATTGCCTTCATTAATTGATCCGTCAAAGGTTCCGTCTTGGCTGTCTTTTGGTATTCTTCTTGGAATTCTTGCAGCTCTATATTTCTAAAGATATTGAATCCTTTTGCTGCACTTTTAAAAAATGACTTATTATTGGTATTGGAGCCATAGTAACGTATACTAGTTGTTTTTAATAACAACAGTATCCTAATTGAACTTTGCCGAGCAAGGAGTCTATACATTATTGTTGCAAGAACAACCCAGTTTCAATTTCTTGATTGTAGATCTTAACAACTCAGTTGATGCAGCAGCAGCAGTAGCAGCAAAAAAAAAAATGCTCGCCACACCTTCGCCCATTGAAAATTTTTTTAGCGACTTTGCTATTTCAAAGCTCACGTTGTTGCAAACACAGATAAAGCAATGTTAAGAAATCAATCAATGTACTTGAGCAAAGTACTTGCAAGTGCAGTTGTGCGTACCAGTGCGGTTCGTGCTGTTGCTGCTTCCAAGCGTCCAGCATTATTCATGAGAAACACTGTTGCTTGGTACTCATCCAAATCTGACAACACCACAAAGAAAGATGAACAACCTCCACAATCTATCTTGACCGAAGATCTTTTAGCCCGTGCTGGTTTCGAAGACCCTGATCAAGCCAAGGCTGAAGCCCAGGGTGGTATCGAAGGTGAAGGAAAGTCAACCGATGAAGCCAAAAGACCCAGAAAGAGAAAGAGAGCCCAATCATCTAAAGACAGACAACGTGAAAGATACGCCAACTTGTTTTACTTGTCTACATTTGTAGGTGGTATTGCCGGATTGGGATACATGAGTAGAGATTGGGATTCTGAAAAGGAACAAGAAGAAATGGACGGTAAAGATATTGGTAATGGATATACTCCTGGTTTAATGTATGAACGTATGTCCAAGAGATTGGGATCTTTGTTCACTTTCTTCTCTGAACCTGCTTTTGAAAACTTGTTACCACCTCCACCTCCGGAAGCTTACCGTCGTCCATTGACCTTAGTTTTGACCTTAGATGACTTATTAGTCCATTCCAGTTGGGATACCCAACATGGTTGGAGAACTGCCAAGAGACCAGGTTTAGATTACTTCTTGGGATATTTGTCTCAATATTATGAAATTGTTGTCTTTGCCACCAATTCCCAAATGTTTAGTGAAAAGACCGTGGGTAAATTAGATCCTTACCATGCATACATCTCATATGCGTTGTTCAGAGAAGCATGCAGATACAAGGATGGTAAATTAATCAAGGATTTATCATTGTTGAACCGTGATTTGGGTAAGACTGTCATTATTGATGTTGACGAAGATGCTGTTTCTCTTCAACCAGAAAATGGTATTGTCGTTGAAAAATGGGACGGTAAAGCTGATGATTACTTAATTTCTATGATTCCATTCTTGGAATACTTGGCTACTCAACCAGTCAAGGATGTTAGACCAATCTTGAAGACTTTCACTGACAAATCCAAGATTGTTGATGAATTTGCTGAACGTGAACGTAAATTAAGGGAACAATGGAACAAGGATCACAAACACTCCAACCAACCAAACGCCGGTAACTTCTTGGCTAAATTAATGGGTATGCCAACCGCATTGACTAAAGAACCAAAGATGCCATTGGATATCATTAGAGAACATGGTCAATTACAATATGAACATTTCCAAAAATACTTAAGAGAAAATGCTCACAAATTCTTGGAAGAAGAACAAAAATTGAAGGATGAATTTGGTAAGGTTACTTTAAACAAATTGATTACTGAAGGTGCTCCAAGTCCTGAAGAGATTGCCAAGGTTCAAGCTGAAAGAGCCAAGGAAGAAGCTAACAAACAAAAATGAGTGTAAGGAGTATTTATAGGTGAAATTTACTTACTTGTATATAAAAATAAAGTAATGGATATAGATTGTATTTGTATTCGGCATGGTGGAAAGCGCCGTATAGTTGAACAATCAGCATTGTTATTGTATTCTACTGAACATAGTATAAACTCGAGCAAATACAGGGTTTCCGTACTCCGATACGCTTTGTAAGATTCTTTATAAGCATTAATGTTAGGTATTCAAACTTAGATGATTATGGTCTATCGAGTAAGAGATATCAGATATTCTTCTAATTCGCTTATGTCAAATGTTAAAATAACGGCTCCGGAATCATACCGAAAACTATGGAATAAATCCAACCAATAATCTACGAGTAGTTTGGCAGGCCTATTAAAATCAGCCGCATATGCGCATACAGGCAGTAAAGTACGCTTTTTCTTACTGTTTTAAAATGAGTATATAACGGAGGGGAGGATCCAAGAAAAATCTTATCTGATCCGAAGTCGGAAAAACCTCACAAAAGCTAAACTTCTGAAAAAAAAAACGCCTTAGGCAAAGGAGGGAGTGGAAGAAACCAATAAGGGTATAGAACAATGTGTGCCATAGTTGAATTTCTCTACACAAAGTAGTAGCTGAATCGAACAATTCACTAGCAATATGCTTGCTTATGTGAGAAGATTGTTGCCAATAGGAGTAAATTGTAACTAATTCGTGACAATTAGTGATTATTGTTTCTAGCCAATCACATAAATAAATTGTTCAACTGGTGAAAAAATAATAATTCTTACACAAAAACAAATTTTTATCTTTTTCATCTGTCGTTCTTTTCCTCTTCCGCTTTCGCTGATAAATCAAACTGAAATTTGCTCATTCCTTTATACGACGATTTAATCCTTTTATTTAATTGTCTAATTTCCCACATCCTACTTTCTTGACCTGTCAAAGTAGATAATTGAACTTTCAAACGGTCATATACCTTAACTACTACGATCGGTTCCTAAAACAAAAGAAATTTTTTTCCCCTTGTTGTGACTAACACATTACAAATAAGCATGAAGACAAAAGGTCCTAGTATAGCACCTAGACAGCAGCAAATACCAACCCCTATGTCTATGAGACCTGCCATGTCACCATCATCTACGGCATCCACACCACGCCAGATTGTTTCAACACCGCCAAACACGGCAGCCTCCCCACCTAATAGTGCTTCGCCATCGGCCAATGGTTCCGCGTCCTTGGCTCCTAAGGGAATAACCCAAATCATCACTTCCAAAGAATGGGTACTTCCTCCACGACCTAAACCAGGAAGAAAACCCAGTGTAGATACACCAGCTTCCAAGAGAAAGGCCCAGAACCGCGCTGCTCAACGCGCATTTAGAGAAAGAAGGGCAACTAGAGTTCAAGAGTTGGAACAAAAATTAATGGAGGTTGAAAAAGAGAAGGATCTTAAGGAAATGACCATGATTAATACTATCAATAAACTTAAGGTTGAAAACCAATTTTTAATGAAATCTTTAGAGCAACTCAAGAAAGAAGTTGGTCAAATAAGAGGTAGACAACAGCATCATCAACAACAACAACAACAACAACAACCTATACAAACTAGACCACCAACTATAAACATCAAATCTCACGAATCTAGCAATCATGCATCACCTACCAACATGGGCACATCTCCGGCAAGCTCCAATTACTCTTTACAACAGATATCCCCAGCTCCTTCAGCGGATTCCCCACCATCATCGTATAACCCTCGTGTCAACAGCATAAGTACGTTGTTACCGAAAAATAATACCCCGCAAAGACCAACCGATGGTAACACCGTTGGTACTGCAGATTACGATTGTGGCATATGTCTTAAAGAAGAATGTCTATGTGAATCAGTTGGCTTGAAAATACCTGGCACTAATGGATCCGCTGTTTCTCCAAAGCAAACATCTGGTAACCTTGAGAAGGTATTGGAAGAACAAATGAGTGGATTCCAACCAATGCCTGCTGTTTCATTGAACAGAAAGAGAAAGGCAACTACTGAAGCTCGTGAAGTTGATTTCACTAGTCTATTTTCAAAGAAGAGCGAAGCCAAGAAAATGCCCGAGTTTAAACGTCGAAAGGACAACGCTGACCAAGCACCATCAGCATCTCTCCTTCATCTGACTTCTGAATCAAAGCCATCCTTTGATGAAAACTCTCCAGTCGAAAACTGTGGATTCTGTTCTGATGATACCCCTTGTGTTTGTCGTGAAGCTGCTGAAGAAGCTGCAAGATTATCCAATTCTCTTAACCAACCACAACAAGAAATTCTGGAAACATTACCACCAATTCAAATATCTAACTCAAATAATATCAGAAAATCTGCATTACCGGTAATGCATCCAGGTCCTTCTGTTGAATTACGAGAAATGACGAATTTGAAATCAACAGGAAATGCAGCTCCTCCAGTAACGGTGACATCATCTACCTCCTCGAAATATGAATTGGAAAGCGATTCGGGATGTACTGGTAACCCAGGAACTTGTCGTCAATGCCAAACTGATCCAATGTCAACTTTGTTCTGTACAACCATTGCTAGTAGAGGTAGCAATTCTTCTCCATCAGGACAAACACCAGGTAGATCTATGCTGGTGAATTCGCTCACCAATCCATCAACTCCAATAGAACCATTATTAGCTGCTGCTAACGCTGCTCACGCAGAAGTAGCCAACAACCCAGAACCAATAACACCAAGCAGCAGTAAGAACAGCAATGGAGAACAACCTTCGGGAATCTTTATCCCTGTTGGTGATGCATATAAAACATTATCTCGTCACAAGCAATTTAGTTCGGTTGATTTTGGTACTTTGGTTGGTAAATTGACAACAAGAGGAATGCAAGTTGAAGTACAATCGGTGGTTAATGTGTTACGAGAATTGGATAAACGAGTTTATCACTAACTGGTCATTTTATAAATTTTGTTCATGTATTTGGGTATTCACCTTTTGTGTATTTATAACTACTCTGTTTAGCAGAATAAACATATGGATATTTAAGATAAACTTACTTAAAACATCAATCATATCATTTAACTACAAAATAACAATTAAAAAAAAACTAAATATCAAACTATGTCTTATTCATCTCCCCAAGCTCCTGGCATAGAATAGCTGGTCAGCTGAGAATAAGAGTGCATCAAGGTAGCACGTCCAGTTACTTCGTCTTCTTTAAGTTTAACACCCGTTTCTTCTTTCTCCAGATAACCTCTTGGCACATCAGTTTCTACAGCAGCTGATTTTCCCAACGATTCAGTAGTGTAGTTGAGACTCTCATTCAAGAAATCTGACCGCTTAGGAGTCTGTTCTAAACTACTCTTGCTAGAAGAGTTAGTACCAAGTTTGAGTGATTCAGTAGGAGGCTCAAAGTCCAAATCCTTTGCGGCAACACCAGTTATGCCAGCTGCGCCAGATGCGCCAGCTGCAACGAATTTACCAACATTAACTTCTGGATCAGATGATGATCTACCCGCAATTGCTGGTGCAGGCAAATCCTTTTCAGTATCAACACTGGAAATACCCTCATCGAAGAGTTTACCACCTTGTGAAATCGATAAATCTGGATACTTTGCTATAACTCTTCCAATTTCATCCAATGCAATACCGGTAGTGGCATCAAAATGCACTTCTTTAACATTAGCGTACTTTTCTGGTTGTGTTGTTTTCAATCTAGTGATAACTTTGTGGGCAAGTTCATCAGCATATTCATCTTCAGGCATTCCTTTAACACCAACCAAAATATCACCAGTATCACTGGTGGATTTCCTTCTTGACTTGCTATCGTCAAGACTGAGACCAGTAAACCCTAACCCAGCAACAGCAGCAGTAGCAGCAGCAACATCCTCTCCTCTTGTAGCAGAGGATCCAGAAAGCTTGTTCGATCCGTCTATATTATTATCTGAACTTACAGGTAATCCACCAGTATTACCAACAGCCTTATCTGTAATATTTCTGGAATCGACATCTGGAGTATAAACTCTCTTAGATTCGGTATTAACAATTACTTTACCAGCTTTAACTTGACCTTTTTCTTCCAATTCTTTAGCAACCTTCTTTGCATGATCAATGGCAGATTGTTTATCAGGACTACCGATAACATCAACAACCACATTATCTTTGTTAGGAGAACTCACTTTATTTTCTGTATCAGCATCAACCTTAGCATCCTTGTCCTTCGTACGCGAGGCAAGTGCGGCTGTTCCAATACCTGCAGAAATACCAGCAGCTACTTCTTTGGCATATGGTGCATTTTCGGTTGAGAGATCAGCAGTTGCTTTCTCAATTTGAGGTTGGCTATTATCCTTTGATAATGATTCAGGGATAATGTTTTCCTTTTCAGAATCACCCAAAAGTCTTGATTCGCTTTCGTCAGGGATATAAATATCATCGCCAATTCGTGGCGTAACATTGAACGAACTTCCAGAAACTGTTCTCTTGTGAACGGCATCACCTGTATGCTCTGAACCAAATATATCATCTCCCTCTAATGATTTAGTCGTCGAGTGTTCATTTGTATCATCACCGGATGTTGTCCAACTTAGATCACTTTCCTTTTCATGAGCCGAATTTCTTCTTTTGGAGTTACCTGAACGTAATGGACCAAACGTACCAAAGAATCCTCTTTTTATACCATGCTTCTCTTCAGATGGATTAGATTCCTGGCTGGCATCAACATCATCTTTCTCACCACTAGACAAAGTATCAGAAGTTTCTTTCAAATCTTTTTTAATAGGAGTAATATCAGCACTGACTCCAGCTTCATCAATATGTTTCTTATCTAAATCGGACTTGTCTTTATCCAAATAAGCCTTCGCAGCAAGTCCTGCACCAGCCACAGCAGTAGCGGTAGCAGCGACTGCAGCAACACCAGCACCTCTGTCATCCTTTCGCTCAGGCAGGGTTTGTGGTTTGGAAGCAGAAATGCCTTCACGTTTACGTAATCCAAACGAACTGAAAAATCCCTTTTTAGCTTTCTCAGTAGAAGGAGATTCTTTAAGACCAGTAGAAACAGAAGGAAGGTTTTCAGTGTCAATGTCTTTGTCAACGGCCACACCTGCAGATTTAGAAAGTTCAGACTTAATGGCATCAATATTCTTGCCATCAATGGAACTACTAGAGGTTTTACCTACTGGAACATCAACATCTTTAAGAACTGGCTTTGGAATACGGACATCTTTAGTCTTATCAACAAAATTAGGCTCTTTGCTTGGTAACTCGATATCTTTATTAACATTTTCAGACTTGGAATGTGCAGCAAATCCAGCGCCTGCAGCAATTGCTCCAGCAGCCACACCACCAGTAATTTCCTTTCCAGAAACAGCACCCAGTTTATCACCATTAGATAGCTGCAGAGAGGAACTACTACTCGATGAATTCTCATTATTGTAAGGACCAACTAAACCTAATGAACCAGGAATATTCTGCTTCGTTTCGGGCAACTTTTCTTGGTTCTTTAATTCACCAGAAGGTAACTCGTTATCTAAAGCACCAGTAGTGAGATTAGTTGCAACAGACACATCTTTAGTATTTTCAACAAATTTATCAGCCTCTTGGATAGAATCAGGTAAAACACTCTTTGATTCCAAACTAGGACCAACATCAATATCTGGATTAGACATTACAGGCTTTTCCAATTCTTTGACATCATCATATGAAACACCAATAATATCATCAGTTTCAGTACTCAAGACTTTAGGCTTATTAAGTTCCACATGATCGTTATTCTTTGATCCACGTAATCCAAAACTGAAAAATCCTTTCTTCTCACCAGTTGGCTCCTTAGAAGATGAAGATAATTCTTTTTTGGATTTACCAGTAATATCAGTTTCAATGTCTTTAGTGGTAGATTTATTAGCAGCAAGTTCAGGCTTTACTTCAGGATCATCCTTATCAAGAAGAGATTTACCAGCAAGTGCAATTCCAGCTGCAGCTACACCACCAGCGATATTTTTGAATTTATCAGATTGATCTTTATCATGATCTTGCTCAGTCAAATCTGCTTCGAGCTCCAGTAACTTCTTATTAGTATCACCTTTAAAATCAATATCAGCACCAAGTTCACGGCCTCTAGTTTCAGTTTCATGTTTATCAGATTCTGACTCATCTCTCGATGAAGATTTCTTGTGACGAATAGGTGAAAACTTTCTAATTGGGGAAATCTTTTTGATGGGGTTTACTTTTTCCTTTTGTTCTCCATCACTTTCAACTTCTGGAGTATGATCAAATACCATTTCTAATTGCTTCAATTTGGTTTCTGGATCAAGATCAATGGAATTCTTTTTAAGATTCAAATCAGATTTATCTGACTCATCTACTTGAATTTCTGGAACCGTGGGAACATCAGCATCTTTGCTGCTCTTACGGAAAAAGCTAGGCAAAATAGCTTTCTTATGTTCAGAGCCCTTCACATCTTTGTCCTTAATTGGGCTTGCATCTGTAAGATCTTCTTTGCCAACTATTTTCTTATCTGTATCATCCTTCTTAGAATGAATAGCAGCAGCACCAGCGATAGTAGCAGCTACAGTACCGGCAGCCACTCCAATATCTGTTTTAATATCCTTATCTGAGCTATCCTTGTCATAGAATTTTCCTTTAGTGCTCAAATCGTTTTCCAAGTTTGGAACATAACCTTTAATATCTTTGTGTCCATTAGAACCAGTTGGACTCTCAATTGCAAAACTTGGTATATCACCAGTAACTTCAGATGGCAATTCAACACTAGGAACATTCTTATCAATACTGCTTTCTCCCTTTGGTTCAACCTTAACTAATTTAACATCTTTACTGCCACCTTTTGCAATATCAGTAGCAAACCCAAGACTAGGAAACTTTGAATCTGCAGATGACTTTGGAGTATCAATATCGAATTTGAAAGACTTTGATTGGGGACTGGAAACATCAGACTTTGGGAAATCGGTTGTAGTATCAAATTTAGGAGACTTGGATTGAGAACTGGAAATATCAGACTTCATATCAAAAGGAGCATCAAGACCACTAGGCTTACCCTGACCAAATTCTTTATAATCGGACTTATAAGGTTCTTCAACTGTCATGGAAGGGAAACTATCTACCTTATGAACTTCGCTTGATTCCTTTTTCTTCGATTTAGGTTTATCTACACTTGTCTCTTCGGGCTCCTTCTTGGCCTTAAGCTTGTCCTTTGAACTAAATCTTCTAAACAAACCACCACTTAAAAGTCCTTTCTTGGATTCTTCACCTGAGTCTTCCCTCTTGATGAAGCTAGAGTGACGCTTTGTAGCGTCAGGTAATTCCTTCAGTCTCCTATCCTTCAGACTCTTGTGTTTGAGAGCAGCAGCAGAGCCTCCAGCAAGGGCAGTGGCAGCAGCAGCTGCTGCCATGTCAGTCTTTCTACTGTGTTCTTTATCGGGTACTTCTTGCTGGGGAATTCCAGAAATAGCGGCATCTTCAATATTCCTGTCATTACCAACACCAAGTACAGAAGCATTCTTGGTTCCAGAAGCAAGTTTACCTTCTTTTTCAGTTTCAGGGAGCAATGGAATTTCCTTAACAGAAGTTGGGTCAACAATATCAGTAAGTTTACCAGAAGACAACTCTTTGTTGATAGGTTCATCTTTGATGGAAATATCATTCTTCACGACAGCATCTTCAATTTTGTTCTGATCAGCACCAATAATATCTTGAGCACTAGCAGCAATTTTATTTTCATTTGAAATATCAGGAATCAATGGAATTTCTTTGATGAGACCAGGATCAAGTGTAGATTTATGTAATTCGGGCAGTTTATCGGTAGAGATTTCTTTTTCAAGTGGATTACTAATACCTTTGTCGGAAGAATCACCCTTTCCAACATTCAAACCGACATCGTTTTCAGGGGTGAAATCATCATTCTTTCCGAAGCTCATGTCATCTGTCTTTCCAAAATTCAAGTTATTCTTTCCAACATTCAAGTCAGCATCCTTTTCAATATTGAAGTCAGGTCCCTTTAATGATGTATCCAAGCCAACATTATTTGAGTCAATATCCTTTTTCAAATCATTCTCAGTAGTCTTCATGTCAACACTAGGAATTTTCACTTCATCTTGGACATCTTTAGATTCAGAGTCCTTGTGTTTTCTCAAGAATGGAATACCAGGAATAGAAGCCAAAAGTCCCTTCTTTGAGTCATGTCTCGACAATTTGTGATCCTTATCTAAAGGTCTCTTGACATCATCTTTAGATTTATCATTTCCTTCAACTTCAGATCCATCATGTTTAATATCCTTTAATTTAGAGTTATCAATCAGTGGGATGCCAAATTTTGTAGCTCCGGCTCCATCATCAAGATCGGCATTTCCAGGTTCAAGATCGTTATCAAACGATTTGTTAAATTCCGGGTCAGCAAAATTAGTATCTTTCTTCAAACTTCTAGGAGTAGTTTCGGGTTTCGTGTGACTAAAGGCATATTCGGCAGCAGTTACACCAGCAACTCCCAAAACTCCCTTTCTTTCAAGTGATTTAGCTGATGGACTTGGAGTTCTAACTTTTGGATCCAATGTTCTGCCATCTTCCTTTTGTCCTTCAAATTCAAATTTATCAACTGCAGGTGTAGGAACGGCAACCTCAGGAGATACAGCCTTGAAGTTAATCACATTATTGGGCAGATTATCAAGTTCTTCATCGTCATAATCAAATTCTTTATCAATACTTGGAAGTTTAGGTTTTGGAATATCAGACAACTTCTTAGTTCCTTTGTCAATATTAATATCCCGCTTTCCAAGGTCAGTTTCAATATCGTGCGTTTTAATTTCTGGAGATGTTATATCAGGAGCATTGATATCACCAGTATGAATTTTCGCATCCAGAATGTTGATATCCTTGCCATGAAGTTTACCTTTATCAGAGTCAATTGTGGGAGCATTAATGTCAGGAGTTTTGGAATCATCAATGTTCACATTTGGGACGTTGATGTCTTTGTCAGGAAGCTTACCAAAATCAGATTCAACTTGTGGAGATTTAGCATTCACATTTGGAACATTAATATTCTTATCAGAAGGTTTTCCAAGGTCAGTTTCAACATCACGAGTTGCATTATCATCAGATATGTTTATACTTGGCACATTCATGTGCTTATCAGCAAGCTTGGGACTGTCAATATCAGAGTCAAGGTTCACATTTGGTTCATCAATGTCTTTAACTTCAGGAATATCTTGATCTTTATTATGGTTACGCTTTAATCCAAAGAACCCAGCAGCAGTTGCAAAAACGCCACCGACAGCAATACCGGTACTAGCTCCAGAGCCAGTAGATGTATCGTTTTCCGAGCTAGTCGAATGATCGGTCTTAGGAGTAATGAAAACAGGAGACTCATCGCCGATATCATCAACGTCAGTAGTTAATTGTCCAGACTTGGGAGTAACGAAACCAGTCGATTCATCACCAACATCATCAAGTTTGGGAATATCAATAGGTTGATTATGCATAGTCAAAATGGAAGCATTAGCTGGATCTTCACCCAATTGCTTTCGAGCCAACTGTGACGATTTAATCTGGTGTTCAAGTTCACGTTCATCACGAGGGGTTTCAGTTACTCTACTCAGAGAAGCATTTACTGAAGTATCATAATTTGAAGAAGCGGCATATTCAGGTACTCCAATACTGGATTCGGGATGTAATTGGTTGGTGGTGGTAATAATTGGTTTTTCTGAATCAACTTCAGCCGGTTCCAAGTCTTTCTTGTTATCTTTAGAAGAAGCTAATGCGGTGCCACCAAGAATTGCAGCACCTGTAGCAGCACCTGTAGCAGCAGCCGCACCGCCAATATTTGTGGCGTGCTCTTTTGTAGAGTCTAACTTGGTAGCGTCAACACTTGGAGACTCCACAGTAACATCTTTAGATGGCTTCACAATCTCATCACTATCAAGTTTCAAATCCTTTGACCCTTGAAGTGTATCCAGAGTGGTACCTGGAGTCAACTGGGTTTCAGGAATCAATGGTTCAGCAGGAGGTGGCTTCTTTCCAATTGGTTGCACGTAAAGTTTTGGAGGGGTTGCAATTACACGGCCCATAGAATTTTCAGCAATGGTTTCAACCTCTTGACCTTTCTTGGTTAGTTTACGTGGTGTAGAAGTGATCAATTCCTGATTCAAATGTTCAGTTTCAGGATTGAGAGGCGGGGTAGTTGGTTCATTATTCCTTTGCTGTTTCAACTTTTTATGATTGCTGCTGTCCCTCAGCTTCGAAGTTGGTACTTTCAGCTGGGGTGGTTTACCAGGTTGTACCGTTGCATCAACCTTAACAATTGGATCCAGTTTGGGTTTGGATGAATCCTTATCAGAATGACGATGTCTGAACAAGTTTAAAATTTTATGTAAGGTTTTGTGTTCAGACGGCATAATTTCCAGTTGAAGATTCAATTGCGGGTAAGAAAGAAAGAGTAGGAAAGAAAAAGAGAAGAGAGAAATTGAGGAAATTTGTAGGGTGAAAAAGTCGTAAAAATAGGTCACTTGTGGGTGGAAAAGGGGGTTAAGAAATGATGATGCAAGTCAAAGCATCTCTAAAAGTTTTATTATGGCGTAACCTCCCTATTATTATCGCAAATCAAGAAAGCTTGATCATTTACTCTAAACAAAGAAAAAGAAACAAACCACAAAAATTTCAGTTGCGGTGAAAAATATTTTTATGGGGAAAGTTTGTCAATATTCGGTCATGGGCCTAAGTCAGTCTGTGCCCAGAAGCAGCAATATTGCACTGAAATTGCGATGCCGTCATCTGTTCTACATACGAGTATGCAATTGAGTTAGGTCGTTCCCCACTTGCTACCAAAGTGGATTACCTATTACCTGTATCAATTTGGTACGTACAGTGACTACGGTTTTTCCGTCGTCAGGGCCGGAGTGTTTACCTGAATTCCGTTGCTAAGCCAATGCGACACAGAATCCACAGGCGTTGTTTATATCAGGTTATTTCTTCCTTGCAACATGTCAGACCCTTCCATTGTCTATTCGACTTTCCATAAAGCGTTTTTCTTTCAATCTGCAAGTTCTCTTGGTAACAACAAACTTTATTCTCGTCTAAAACATCGCTTACACTAAAGTTGACATTGTAAATATGCCCATTTGGTATATGCATGTGAGTTATATACTATATATAACTTATGTAATTAAAACTAACAAATTCAACAACTTTTTTTTTCACTTATACTCTGGCATTCGGTTGGTTTTGTTATAGATCAATCTTGTTACCAACCATTCTAAACTTTCTTTCAACCCTTGATTCTCCAATACTGACACTGACAATAATTTCGAATCGGTTGCTTCTAACTCACTCACCAACTTGATGAAGACACCAGTTTTCAAACTCACTAAATCAACAGCTTGTGGCAAATCTTGTTTATTTGCCAACATTAATATAGGCACATTCACAGTGGCATCGCCATTGTTTTCGTCTATCCAACTTTCATCATGCGCTATATCAATTAACGTGTCATAGCATTCTTGGAACCTTTCTGTGTCAGTAGAATCAATAATGAATATTATCCCATGGCACTGTTTGAAATATCTAGACCACATGTTCCGCAATGACTTTTGTCCACCCAAATCCCAAAATTTCAAATTTATATTTTTAAATTGCGATGATAAATGTGTTTCTATGCTTGATTCAAACTTTATCGTGGTGGTGTTTTGTCCCACAGTAGGCAAAATCCGCTTGCTCTTGATTATATCACTCGTAGTCCGTATTGCTTCGCCATCTTGCGCTTCCTGGTTAGAGTGTTTGGGTTTTTTTGAGTCATTTGCCGTAGTGCTCGGATACAACAATTTAATGTGTTCTAAAAATGTAGTCTTCCCTGCATTATCTAACCCTAAAATCAAAATATTGTATTGTTCTCGTTTGGTATATTGTGTGTACAATGAGCTGGCAAGATGAAACATATGATGCAATGGGGGGGGTATTAAATCTACCTTGCTGTAGTTGCTATGGATCAAGGATGACGATGTGTGATAATATGTAAATAAGTGCAATTAACAATTGCCAAGGTTAAGCTCTGACGTGTGCTGGTGTGTTTTTGAAGTGTGTTCAAATTGGGCTAGAAAATATTACCCGGAAATAACTTTTTTTTTAATACCGAACGGAGATTCATCACTAGCAATTTTTTTTTCTTCCTCCTCTTCTTCTTCTTCTTCTTCTTCTTCTTCTTCTTTGTTTCCGTATTGGTTACTGTACAGCAACTCACATAGGTTTATGTGGCTTGCAGTAGTATGCTTTATTGGTATGTTTATACGTAATTGTGAGATCTTTTGAATGATGATCAACTGATAGGGACAACTGAGTATCTACATTGAAGATAGTTGTTTAGTAGATAGTAGAAAAACATATCTGATCAAAAGATTCAAACAAAAATTATATTGTTTAAAAACTTATACTAACGAATATTCATAGACTTTAACTAATCTATTAATGCTCTACTTACACATTCTTCTTTTGATAATTGGTGTTTCCGACATAGATGTAAGAAATAACAAACAAAAACCAAGCAGCAATCACAATAGCAACACTGACAATGTATAACCAAGAGTTGGTAATGTCCCAAGATCTCTTGAATTCATCATTGGCCAAGTGTCTCACAGTAACAACTCTCTTGTCTTGTAAATAAGACAATCCAACTCTCTTGTAATCAAGTTCAAAGGTGAAGACACCATGGTGGTCAGGAACAGTGAAGTTGACTCTATAAGTTTGGGCAGTTGCTGGACCATCTGGAGAATCACTAGGACCTACTGAAACCAAATTGAGTCTTTGGTATGGGTCCAACAACTTGAATGAAACTTGCAATTGATCGTCGTCACTAGCAATTTGGTATGGTACCCATTCACCGTCAACTGATTCAGACACGCCAATAGTGTAAACAACATCATCGTTGATTCTGTACAAGTGTGGGTTTTGGGCAGTTTCATTCTTGGTATTGTAATGTTCAACATATTGTAACTTCAATACACCTTGCTTTTGGAATGCCCACTTGTAAATATGTTCAAATTGAAGTAATTCACTGGATCCTAACCATGCAACACGGGCATTGTTCAATGCTTGTAATCCAACTGCCAAGAATCCTTGTTCGCCGAGTGTCCAAGCGGTGCTGGAATCTACTTGTTCCCCAGCTTTACCGGTGTATCCTGTGCTTGAAGATTTGACAATTGGAAAAATTAACTCGTTGTTGGAAATCAATGCACCATTGCCATGATATTTCACATTATCTAAACTTTCAACCAATCTGTTTCCAGGAACAAGGTTGTTTTCGGAGCTTAAAACGACTGATCCGTCTTTGGTGTTGAAATGGTCAAGGTAGTTGAAATTCTTTGGAGAAGGATAGATACCCAATTCATTCAAAAATGATCTGATTCCATTAGGCAAAACACTTTTCTCGCCACCAATACTAATGACGTTCCCACCGAAATGGTTAACAAACTTCATTAAACTATGTTGAGTGATGTTATTCTTGGCCGCGATTGCCTTCTTAGCACTAGGGAATAAAACCAAATGTTGGTATCTAGCGTGTTCCTCGGCATTGGCTTCAAAAAGATAGACGCTTTCGCTATCATGATATTCTTCGAATGTAACTGTGAATTGATCTTGCAAGTAATTGATAAATTGGTCAACTTCAGGAGTCAACAAGGTTCGGTTGGCAATTGAAGTCAATGATGAATCATACAAAACAAGAACTTGGGAGGCACTGGATTTGAGTGCATTGGCAAATGCAAACAATAAGCAAGCCACTAGCAAACTCAATTGGTTAAACATCCTTGATCTGCGTAGGTTATGGAATCAAGCAGTTGAACTTCCAATTTTCTGTTTTTTCAGTTGAACTTTTGACGTGTTAGAAACAACCGAGAGTTGTGTATATGCAGGAATGTTGACTATGGAGATTTACACCAAACCCTTAATACCAGACATTCTAAAGTGAGAAGTATATAATTACAGGGTTTGTATCGATTACAAAGATAACCCGTGTGTTTTCTTTGTAGACTATGTAAAATCTCGAGTTTTAATTGCTCAGATTTACACTTTGCCTGACTTGACTATATTCGACGCTACCACTTGCACATGCTATCATCATCAGATAAAAAAAATGAAAAGAAATTTAGAAATCTAACGGACTTTGCCAACCTTACCCAGCAACATGACAATTAAAGTTAAAGTAGAATTCTTGGGAGGATTAGACGTGATATCAAATTCTATCAGAGAACACAAATGTGTTGTCCCCTACGAAGAAGGTGAAGCCACCATGAAAGAGTTGATTGATCATATAACCAAGACCATCATCAGTGATCCCAAGGATATTCCTGTGTTTATAGAAGACGGAACCGTACGCCCCGGTATACTTGTTCTTATTAATGATACTGACTGGGAATTGGAAGGTATGGAGGAATACGTTATTGAAAGTGGTGATGTATTTACATTTACCAGTACATTACATGGTGGTTAAAATAGATGCTATAGATTTATATAGGTACCAAACGACATCCCAATAATCCTTGGCCTTCCCATTGGTCAGTAGGTTTCAACTGAAGTGTTAATCTCTCACCATTTCGCTTCACAACTACGTTTATCTCTTGGTTGATTTTACCACGGACTCTCGTGACTAGTGCAGAAAGATTTCTATTATTCATGGCATGGATGTCATCGTCAAATACAATAACTTGATCACCTTCTTGCAATCCAGACTTGGCAGCTGGTCCATTTTCCACTAATCCGCGAACTTCAGCAAATGGTATAGTATATGACGTTGGTTCTGGCCGGCTTCTCGTTTCTGAATTATCAACTAAATCTCGTCTTGATTGAAATTCTTCAACTAATTTCTCATCCAACAACTTCAACACTTGTTTATCATCATTCCTCAACCGTATGATCTTGACTCGAATCAATCGGATACTAACCACGTCAATATCACTACGAGGAAATCCATCAGGAGTGACCAAATTAGTAGACATATCAGCATTGTATTTCTGTTGCAACAAGTCAAACAATAGGCTAAGTTGTGTTTCAATCTCGGTTTTAACTTGGGATAGTTGGGAAAAGTTCAAGGTGGCAAATGTGCTGGAATCATATTCTTTGAATTGGGTATCGTCTAAATTAAGCAGTTTCATTAGACCCTGAAACGATCCTGCCAATTCTTGATCGTCAATAGTCATTTGTAATGGTAAAGATAGATGTAGGCTCGCCAAGTTTATATTCGCCTTGTGGTTGATAAGTAACGTTTGATTTGTAGAAACTGAACTTTGTTGGTGAGAAGAAAACATCAGAATTTGGTAGCGCTCGGGCATACTTTCTGTTGCAAATAGTTAGCATGTGTTGATGGTCCACGACAACAATATAATACTGATACTACATTTCTTAAACTGTTTAATATACAAATCTAAAGTCTATCCAAACATTAATTATTCCCATTATCTTCGGTACTAATAGCAAACGAATACGTACTCACGGTCTCCACTTCGTCTTCCTCATTCCCTTCACTAATTTCCTTCCAGGAAGCAATAGTCAACACGACAAATCCAACAATCACCAAAGCATCACCTAACAACTGCTGGAACCCCAATTTATTTCCAAACACCCACCACTCGACTATACCAATCAAGAATATTGTCAATAGTGAACTCACGGATGAAAGTACGGGACTGGTCAATGCCATAAGTGTCAAGAATGACGCACTGAATAGCAAATTGCTTATGATTGACCCGGAGATGTAAATCCAGATTGTGCGTGTATGCTCGCCATAATCACGGAAGTTGAATGAATGGATGTGGAACACTTGGGCAAAGATGATCATGCATGCGATGATTACAAAAGTGAAGAATCCGAAAAGCCCCATGACGAAATTGGCAAAGGTCAGTTGTCTTCTAGGTGTGATGATTTTGGATAAATGCGGTGGGATACACAAGTATTTCTTGTACGTTACCTCATAGTATCCGTACAAGACTGCACCGACTAATATTATGAGGTTTCCCCAGAATCGGTAGGGGTAAAGTGCTTCATCTGGGTTAGAGGCTTTGTCGCTGCCAGAGTATGCCACAAGGAATACCCCAGAAATAGCAATAATCACTGAACTTGCTTTTAACCAGGAAAACTTCTCATGAAGTAAAGGAACTGAGAATGCATAGGCAGTAAATGCAGAACAGTTGTAAATGGCAGTGACGTCAGACGCGTACGTCATTGACATGGCTCCATACCAAGTGAATCCAGCCACGGTAAGAACAAGTGTGATTAAGAATGCACGGGTTATGACATACTTTATAGGGCTTGAATGAACAAATGTCGCTATACAGTCAGAGACTGAGCTTGAGGATGAAATGTGAGGGCTGCTTTCAATAATTTGGTTCAAGTTCGTGGTGCTTCTATTGCCGTTAATGTTTGCTTCGTAAATCAAAATAGATGTATGGTAGATATTATGAAACTGCTTGACTATACATTTCTTGAAATACTCGTAGAAGTTCCCTTTTGTAGGGGGGATCTCAAGTGTTTGTCGTTGTTGTTCAATGTTGTGTTCATCTAATCTCAGATATTGTAATCCGGATCGGGCCGTGACTTCGGAACGACGGTTCTTTCGCAAGGTCTTGCCAAACGTACGCCATAACGAAGCGAATATTGCTTGTAATGGCCAAAGAGTCCACCATGATCCATGGGTGACCAATAAAAGAATCATTGGTTCGCCGAAGCCAAGTTGGTAAGCCTGGGACGTGAGCTCAGTCTGCATGACAAACAGGGCTAATGAAATGACAAACATTATCACCACAAAGAGGATCTTTGTCTTTGAGGTATGTACTTCTGAATGATGGGCATTATTCTCTAGTAGGTTTGTTATCGCCATGGTGGGTGGGGGGGGTAGAGTGTTTTTTGGTCAAAGAAAAAGAAAGTCATGTTTTTTGGGTTAAATATTTTGTCTCGTCTGGACAAAGGATTCGTACATTGTCTACTGAAATTTTCCTATTTAGTCACTATCACTAGCGTATGAATCGTCAGAGACTGCGTCACCATTGTCTGAATTGGCTTGTTCTATGTCAATATAATATTGACGAGGTGGAAGCACTCCACTTTCAACAAATTTAATCCGGGGTACAAGTCTTGGCAATATGATATCTACAACTCTCTCTCTAGTTAACAATTCATCCACCCATGCGTCGATATATGTTAAGCTATACCCGATAGGCAATTTGACTTCATTGAATATTGGCGACTTCAATTTCACCCGCAATTTTCTAGCATCTTGAAAATAAGGATCAAAAGTCTTGTATACCACGTCACTTGAATATACCAATCTAACATATATCAATGCCAATGCAGTCAAATATTTAAATTCATTGAATCCGAGCTGTGTCAAGTATGTGTCAATCATATCCTTCGACGGTTCCAATTCCAACATGCGAAGTAAGCAACATATGAATGGGCTAGGTCTACCGCTAGAATCAGTACCAGACACATACTTGACATGTTCGACTATTATAGGTAATATAGTTGCCTCGTTGGTGAGATAGAGGTGTTGTTTGTAAAAGATCGAGTCTTGAATTCTATGTCGTATAATTGGCTCGATAAGGTATGCCTTGTTGAGAACATTTCTTTTATCTTGATAAGTGGCTTGTTTCTTGTGATGAACGGTTTCCTTGGTGGACATCTCTTGATTCTGTGAAGCATCTCTCTTGTTTAAAAGTTCTAGCATTCGCGTTTTCTATGACGAACGTTGGTAGAGGCATAAACTGGCTTAGAAATTATTGCCAACTTTTGCATTTACAAGATTGATGTTTATTGAAGTATTGACACGATATAACTACCACTGCTGTTGATACTATAATAGTCATAGTAAACCTTACACAGGTAATAGCACGTCAGTTGAGTAACCATGGTATTCTCTTGGTCACGTGATTTGTTTACCTATTTTCACCACAAAATTTATTTCCTGTTTTAATTTTTGACAACCACCACACACACACACGTCTTTTCTTATCAGTTATCAGCCATGTCCTTTAAATTCCCATCGTTCGACTTGAAAGCTCTTCAAGATTCGTTACCAACTGTTGACCAAGTGAAGGAATCTTTTTCTAAAGTAAACGCTGGTAAAACCGTGGAACAATTTCGTGAATCAATTCAACCATTCACAGCTAAAACTGGACAATTGATTCAAGATCAGTTAAAGCAAGTTCAACAATTAGCCAGTAATACTACTGACGACGTTGAAGTGAGTGAATTGCCTGAAGAATACTTGCAGTTGGAAACCAACTGTGACTTGTTGTTGAAGTTGTACACTGATTTGATTCAATATACTGACGATACTTATGGTAAGATTAGCTATGATTATCCTCCAGGAAGCTCCGCTATTAATAAAATCAAAGATGCCAATGTCAGTGGCGTTATCAGTAACAAGTTTAACCAATTAAAGAATGTATCTTCTCCTCAAGAATTGGAAAAAATTTTGTTTAGCAGTTCTCAAGAACCTACTAATGAAGGCAGTGTTACTATTCAACCTACTTCTCCTGACCTCGTTAAGACTTTGTATGGACAATTATCTTCTCTTGCTTTGAAACATAGTGAAGAATTAAAGAGTTCTGAGAATCCATTATCATTTGCATTATTGCAAGTTTCTACCACTTATCATGAAATTGGTGTTGCTAGATTAGACCAAGATAAGAAGATTATGGCTGGTGTTAATGCTGAATTAGCTCGTATTTTGAATGAACAATTCATCAAAGTTAATGAATTACGTAAACAAGTTTATTCCACCAGAAGTGAGTTTGATTTATTAAGAGCTAAATACGAAGAAGATCCAGAAAATGAAGATTTGATTGCCAAGGAAGATGAATTAGTCAGTGCTACTGAATCTGCCGTTTTGGAAATGAAGAAGTTCTTGAAGCCTTCCAAGAATATTGATTTGTTGAAGGTGTTTATTAGTGCTCAAAAGGAATTTTTTGAATTGAATGCAAAGAAATTAGGAGAATTGTTAAGCAACTTGAGCAAGATCCCAATCAATGGTGAAGATGAAGAAGATGATTAAGCTTTTGTTATATATAGTTATGTATTTTGCGTTTTTTTTTAGCTTTATAGAAATTTACTTTTATATTACCGCGACTTTTCACCATACAAAAAATTTTCGAATATTTCCGACACCCTACTTTGGCAACCAAATTCAAATACAAAAGCAATATAATATACACGATGTCAGCTACCGCAGTAGATGAACAAAAGTCACAAGCATTACAGCAAGAATACAATAGGTATCAAGAATTAATTACCGAATTGGAAACACAATTGTCCACCATAAATTCACAACTACAAGAACATTTGATTGTCGATAACACATTAACTTCCATAGATCCAGAAAAGAGAGCTGGTCGTAAATGTTTCAAAATGATTGGTGGCGTCTTGGTGGAAAAGTCAGTTGACGAAGTGATAAAGATTTTAAGTGAGGAAATCAACACATTAAAGGATCAAAAGACCAAGACTGAACTGGAGTTAACTACCAGCAGAAAGAAATTAGAGACTTGGATGACTACAAACAAGGTCAAGATCGTCAAGGGTAATCAATAGAGTTAGATATATTCAATATACAATAATAACTAGGCAATACTTTGAACATATTCACTACGTGCATTAGACACCTTCCCGGTATCTCTGTTGATTGCTTCCCACTTAGGCTCATCTTTGAACAATCTGACAGCAGTAACTTGTTTCAATTCATCAGTTAAGGTGAATCTGTGGTAGATACCAGCAGGCAAGATCAACAAGTCATGTGGAGACAACTTAGCTCTGATCCAGCGGTCTTGCTTGTCTCTAACATCAAAATATCCTTCACCAGCAGTAACGTATCTAATTTCTTCGTCTTCGTGGTAATGCTCCTTGTAAAACTGGGCCATCTTGGCATTATAAGCATCCAAATCGTTATTGAACGCATCCAAGTCTAAATTGACCACATCACGGTTCTTATAGTCTCTGTCCTTGGCGATTTGGTTCAATTCATCTAGGGTCTTGACATTTCTGTAAAACACACCGATTTCAGCTAATTTTTCTAAGGAAACTGGTTCTCCAGAGTTGTGTGCCTTGGTGAAGTCTTCTGGGGTATCCTTGTTATCGTGATAGTATACCTCAACCATTTTCTGTGTACTTGTAGGGTAAGGGCACGTTTTGCGAATAGGGCTGTAAAGTGGAGTTTTTTTATATTTTTCTTTATGTCCTGCATGTGGGATCGACTGATTACAAATTGCAAAAAAAAAAACTGTGGTTGCAGTAGACGACAAAGTACGTTTATGTACCGTATCAGCCGTGGCATGTATAGACCCTCTGTTGTATATTACCAATTGATACTTCTCCAGAGCTTTTCCTCTCCAAGATGTCACTTCTTGTTGAAGTGACAAGCCAAGAAAGGTATTCTTGCATCTTTGTTGAACTTACTTCTCTAGTATATAAGTAATAACTAATGATAGATATTGTTATGCAAAAACATGGTTGTATTAACTTTGAACTGTTCTATGCTCCAGCTTGGTGTGTGCCCTTGTTCATTGGAGTACATGCACCATCAATTTAATCTTACTTGATAATATAACCGTTCCAAATTGTGGCTTCTAGACCTTTTTGTATGTCTTTTTTCTCTTTTATTTTTGCCTGCCAGGAATTTTTGCGACACTGCGAATTATTTTGACAAAACAATTGTCACTTGAAAAAAATGAGACAGCAAAAATTATAGGCAACCAACCCTACATATACATAAATAGTACATTTCTACCACCATGTATAACAGCCAAAACAATTCACATGGGTATCTGAATTCCCAAACCAATGGGAATCATGGGGTGCGAAATGACCCGTCAAACCGACTGGCATACCAACAAAATATTGAACAACAACTAGCATCACAAGATTCTAAGAAAACATCATATAGAAGAACACTAGACCATGGGAACAACATGGGACGATGGTACATCTCCAAGAGCTTGGGATTAAGTAAAAGACAACAGAGAATTGGGAAGGTCCGACCAGAATCGTCCTATCTCATCGATTTCTTGCCCAGTTTGGCATACTCTAGTTTCATGAATTTAAACCGACGCAATAACGGCAATAATATGGCTGTTATGGATATAGAAACCAAGTTTGTTCATTTGTCGCTGAATAAAGTTAAGCATACTATAAATACTGTCAAGTGGACCCCCGAGGGAAGACGGTTAATTGTAGCATCGCACAGTGGTGAGTTTACGTTGTGGAATGGGATGACGTTTAATTTTGAAACCATTATGCAAGCTCATGAATCACCTATTTTAGCTTTGCAGTACTCTCACAATGACGAATGGTTACTAAGTGGAGATCAAAGTGGTACGATCAAGTATTGGCAGCCCAATTTCAACAATGTCAACAACTTGACTGGTCATTCCAGTGGAATTCGTGATATTGCCTTCTCGCCCAACGATTCGAAATTCTTAACCTGTGCTGATGATTCCACCATCAAAATTTGGAATTTTAATAATGGGAAAGAAGAACGGACATTAACGGGTCACCATTGGGAAGTTAAATCGGCTGATTGGCATCCTGATTTAGGATTAATTGTCAGTGGATCCAAAGATAATTTGGTGAAATTGTGGGACCCGCGGGCATCTACTTGCATAACCACTTTGCACGGGTTCAAACATACTGTAAACAAAACCAGATTTCAACCAGCAGGAACCGCGAGATTGTTAGCATCAGTATCGCGAGATCGTTCATGTAGAGTTTTTGATTTACGAACTATGAAAGATATGCTTGTTTTGAGAGACCATGAAACAGATTTATCCTGTGTGGCATGGAACCCTGTTCAGGCATCCTTATTGACCACTGCTGCTTATAATGGATCCATGAATCATTATTTATTGGATTCTTATATTCCCGATTCTAACCCAAGCATACCTAAACGAAACACGTCTACATTCACTACAGCACCCACTATGGATTCCGTGCATAAGATTCCATTTGCTCATGAAAAAGCGATCCATGCATTGGAGTATCATCCTATGGGTCACATATTGTGTTCGGCAGGTACCGACAAAACCGCGAGATTTTGGTGTCGTGCAAGACCAAATGATCCCATGCAATATAAGGATCCAATCTACACTGATGATAAACAAGGTGCATGGTACTATGCGGTTAATAATAGTGTTAACGCCGTCATGGAGGATCCCTCTACTGCTTCTGCTACTTCTGGTAGTACTGCTGCTACTTCTGCGCTTGACTCGCTAGCTCATGAAGATAAACGGGAAAGATCTGCTACTCCTATAGTAACCATTCCTGGTTTACACATTCCCGGATTGAGTAGCAACTACTCGAACGAATCGCCTGGCAATGGGAGTACTCCCAAGAATGGAACAATTCCGGGATTAAGAGGACATTACTAACAGTTCTAAAATGTCTATTGTTCTATATAAAAACTGTATCACATATTAATAGAAATTAAAAGAATTAAAAATAAAAAAAAATCAATGTAACCCAAACTTTCATAGCAAGGTCTAGCTTGTTTACTGAAAGTTTAATAAAAATGTATCCGACATGTTAACCTAAAAAAAAACCCATAATCATTAATGTTGATTGTACCACCTATCAACAGCTTGTTTGTAGCGCCTCCCCTCGTTTTCATAATAGTGCTCTTTAAACTCATTCAAAATTTTATACCAGTATGAATCAGCTTGGAATTCTGGTTCAACATTGGCCAAGTCAAATGTTTCGCCAGCATTAACCACTTTCATATATAAAGCCAAGGGTAAGTTTTGCAACTCCTCTTGCGTTACTGGCTGATACATCTTAATGTAATGTTCAGTACGCTTTTTGAAATCAGCAATGGCAGCACTGTAATCAGTTCCTCTATAATCATTATTTCCTGCCTTTCCATTAATATTGAAATTAAGGTATTTGGCATCATTGCATTGAACATCAAAGATTATAACCTTGACATTCCCCTTGGCCTCCTTCATGACAGTATCAATCATTCTCTTTCTTCTATCCACAGTGGTATTGGTAGCATCCAAGAACCCAACTTGGATAGCATTGTTGTTTAAACTGTTGATCAAGTTGCTGACTGTGATGGTAGCATACAACTCTCTATCCTTCTTACCTTGTTCATTGCTAGGATCAAAGAATGCTGCATCGTTAAAGCAAGAGTTTCTTCTTCTCACATCTCCAGCGTTAAATATTTGGGCTTGGTAGATGGTAGATTTGTTGATGAAATTCTTGAGCTGGGTGCAAATAGTGGATTTTCCAGAAGCTGGTAATCCAACGAGTATAACCACTAACTTCTCATCGGTCTGCGGTATATTCTTTTGTAATTGTTGTTGAATGTTTAACTTGGTGTTTATGATAGACGAGAATTCAAACTCAGTTAAAGGTTTGAAGTCTGTCTTGGATACAACTGGTGTTATAGTGGTGGTGCTGGGTAAAGTGTTTGGTGCATCAAACAAGGAATTTATTGATGTCTCGGAGTTTGTAACTCTGATATCTACTGGACTGGCGCCCGAGTAATCGGTAGGAGACAAATCCAGGTCGATCATGTGTTTGTGTTCACTCATAAAGGTAGATTCGAATGGACTATAGTTTGGACTGAACAAATCAAAAGTGACGTTCTTCGGCTGGGGTATATCTTTGTATTTGGTATTGCTATTTGTGTATGTAGACATTGCTATTGGTAAGCCATAAAAAAAAACCAAGCTGGTACTTTTTTGGCTGCGGTCGACTGTGTGTGTGTCAGTTTATATATATATCAAATCGACAGTCCGGTGACGATGTGATGACTAGAGCTAAAAATATTACGGTAAAAATAAAAATCATAAACTTCCTGTGAAAACAGGTGACGGTCCGAAGGCAGTGTCTTATAATAAATTTCTTGGAATGCTTATTGCAAATTGTAATTGGAAATTTTCCGGCCGGAAAAATCTTTTTTGTTCTAACCTGTGAGCCATTTTGCAGGTAATGCGTGTTTCTTTTTGTGAAACGCCTCGGCCAAAGTGTAAACAGGTCACATCTTACGAAATTTTTTCTTTGAGTATTTCCTATTTGGGAGGGGGGGGAATCTCTATTTTTACAGGCATCCCTTATTTTTTAGCTTTAATCAGGTTGTGTCTCACAACCTTCGTGATTCGTGCCACGGGTTGTCCGTGACTCTTTTCTTTTGTGCAATCACTTGGCCCGCGTGGACCATACGAGATTCGAATGTGCAGGTATTTTTTTTTGATTGGCACATGCTTGCCCTATAGTGGAAGCTCCATGAGTCAGCCTTGCCCAGCTTAACTCCTCCTTATTGTCGGAGTTATGGAAAGAAGCTTCTTGAGTCATGGAATTTTTTTTTTCTCATGATAGGACGAACGGGACAGCCGGACCTACGGGCTCACTTCTTATTGTTCAAAGATAATGTCTACCCCAGGTTAAGATTACTATATCGAACCATATCCGATAAGCGTACTCCATGTGAGTCAAACTCAGATGCGCACATACGGAAAGCTAACCAGCAAATTTCAAAACTCACTCTCATCTCGAAACTACATAAACTCGCTTCTTGGAAATTTATTTTTTTTTTTTTCTTATGGTTATAGCGGCCATCTCAATGGTTGTGCCCTAAAAAATTTGGTGGTGCGCTGTTGCATGGCCATTCTGCCCGTGTCATATTTTTGTGTGTATTTTTACAGGTGGAACCAACCTGCCTCCAATTTAGTTGTCCTGTCAGCTTCGGAGTTCAGACTGCAGTAATCGGACATAATATGAGCTCATTTTGCGTATGATGTGTGACAAAACGGACTTAGTGCTCGCCTCAAAGTTATGTGTCGACCATTACCATTGTCCCATACGTCATTAAATCCTTTGTTCTGTTGGATTATGTCATATCAGGGCTGAGACACGGATGGTCAAAATACACGACCTGAACTGGATTACATAATAAAATTATTATTGTTTACATTGGTTGCTCAGATGTAGGTCTGGAACATTGTTTCCCATATTAGGTTATTCATATCGGCTATGCATGGAATAACTTTTATTTTTTATTTACCTGTACTACTATGTAACTACAAAGCACGTTGCAAATTTTTGCGATAGGTTTTATAAAAAAGATGATACTTCCTTAGTAATATGTAACTATATACAACACTTTTATTCCTTTGGACTATATACAATCTTTCCTTGCTTTTCTTCCTGTTTATCCCATTGCCTCTTTCTAAGTTGTCCGACTTTTTCTAAAACATCAAGTATAGTTGTTTTAGGTGTTTCTTGATCTCCCACAACTATAGTGTCGGAAATATAGTTAAGACATGACAAATATCTTGCCATTATAGAATTTTGTTCATAAGTAAGTCTTGCAATTCTATAATTGACTCTCCAATTATCTGGGTCATCGGGCAAGTGATGTACACGCATTTGTTTACCATTCACGGTACTCTTCACAAGTGAAATCTTGTAAAGCAAAATATCCTTCTCCTTGGTTATTTTCTCATTGAACTCCTTCAATGATTCACTGTGCGTTTTTAAATTCTTCAATCTTTCTGTATGAGTTAACCCCTTGGCATTAAATGCGGTTGCAAATTGTTTGGGGAACTGTTGAATCTCATCAACTTCGGTTTCGGTAATTGGCACGGCGTATGCTTCTAGGATTTTTCCGCCTGCTACCTTTCTGCAATTAACAACTAGTCTAAATGGTTGATTAGGATCTTCCAAATCCTTTAAAATATGGTTATTTAATAAAGTTTGCCAGAGATCCAAAGAAAATCGGAATTGAACATCAGCTACTTGTGATGCTTTGTCATCGAGATGTTCTTCACTTATCTGGTCAATTGGAACATCGGCGTAAGGGTCAGAAAATTTGACGTGACTATAATAAAGTTTATCCAAGGTTGATAATGGAAGGTATTGGAATCCAAAAATGGAACTAATGTTGTGATAAGCTACGAATATACCATCCATTTGCCCGATTCTAGCTTGGAACATATACTTCATTAAGGCTCCAGTTCTGATCATGTCTCTAAACTCTCGTGCAAATGATTCATATTTACCATTGGTTTGCCAAATTTGATACTGGCTATGCTCCATGCTGGGTTCATGCAGTCGAGATCGAATTGATAAAGCAGCACGGGTCTTCAAATCAAAAGTCCCATTCCCCGGTAATCTCTCGTCATAACAATCCAATTGTGATCTCATGAGAAAATCACCATAGGTAGCATAATTATATACATTAGCTTGGTTCTTGACTTCAGAATCATTATCCTTATGGAATTTCACAAATTCATCTTCGGGATTGGTTAATAATGTCTCTAAACACATCCCCATGGCCAGCAATAAGAATTCGGTATCACATGAACGGTCTGATTCCATAGAATATATAGTCTGGCCCTTATCATCTTGACCCTGAGGTTTAACAATCATGCTTGATGCCAATCGGAACGATAAGCCAGTAAAGGGTACATAGCCAAACCTGTCAGCATTGGCTGGATCATAATCATTCCAGAACAAATACAACTTACTGAGTAATTGAGTCATAGATGAAGTGGATGAGTAAAATTTGGCCGATGCTTCCTTGGCATGCTCGAATAATACCTTATCTCTCGAAGCTGGTTTGAATTCTTCCAACGCTTCAAATTTGAAATCCTTATGACTGATAACATTCTTTAAAAAAGGCGGGAAATTATAAACTCGGGTTCGAGGATCTTGTAAGAAATGAACACCAGGGGAGAATAACACACGATCCAAATTATGTGCAAGTCTAGGAATATGTTCCGTATTTAATGGGATAAATTGTCTCATCTTGCTTGTTTTTGGGTCTGATGTCCAATATCTGTAAAGTTCATTACCAGTCCTGCTTACACCTTGGGGAATTCTGTCTTTTTCTTCGATTGATTTAAGTATATCTCTAGCAGCGTCTATTGTCAGCTTGGGTGTTTTTGTATATCCTTTCCTCCTGTGAAATACGGCTTTGGCAGGCTTGGGTCTAGTCATCCCAGGAACGAGCACATCCATTTCATCTTCATACTCTTGGGGGACTCCTTGAGGTCTAGGAGTGGGTATTTGCTCTTCATTCACATCAATATGTTTCTGTCTGTTTGTAGGAATCAATTTATATCTCCGCTTTCTGGCCTCAATGGCAATCGCGTCATCTGAAGAAATTGATTCTTGGGATTCAACCAGTTCAGCAACTTTGATGCTTTTAAGTCGAGGTCCATATATTGATAACGAACGAATCAACACCAGTCTTGACTCCTGCAAGATGGATCTGTGAGATAGCGAAAGCATTCAATGGGGATGAGATTCAAAGATTTTGCTCATCATAGCAGAGAATCCCTTGATTTTTTTTTGGTCAAGTATGTTTGCGCAAGCAGTGAGAGTTTGTTGCAAAAAAAAAGAATCATGATTGTTTTGGGTTGCAGCTTGCAGGGAACTAGAACTAACGTTGTTCCTAGTGTTTCTCTTTTGTAAGCTGTTACATTACATACGTGCCTGATGTGAACGACTTGTTCGTTGAACGATAAGGGAGGGGTTCGCATAGGTAAATCTTCAGGCTACAGTACAAACAAGCAATGTGGTAAAATTAGGCTAGATCCATTGTTGTATTATGTGGTTCCATTAGATCAATTCTTGTAGTGATTGGGAATGATTAGTTCTATTCTGAGTGATAGCTATAATCAAACCAATGGAGTATTTCCAAATGCATTTTTATGTTTTAAGAACTATTCAAAAACAAGGGGTCTACTTTCTCTTGGATTCAACAAATTTCAAACGATAATGATTTAGTACTTTAGCTTGATATCTGCTTTTTCAAGCTTCATTGTTTACTATCTTTTTGTTAACTTTCTTTGTTGTCATATATTGGAGATATTTTTGTCAGAATTTAGCAAAAATTATAACTATATGTTTAGCAAACGAAAAATCTCATGAAATCAAGAAAACGAATAACACCAAATGGCATACAATACCAAACACCATCCATAATGATGATTTAATACTTAGCTAACCGTCTTCTTACTTGAAACTGCTTCAATAGCATTTTAACTACGTAAATGTGGCATATTAGGTCCACCAGTTAGGCTTCTTGAATGGAAACGGTATATATACAACCTAGGAATTCATGTGATAAATCGTACTACCAGATCAACTCAAGCACATATATACTGGTAGCTATAAAGAAATGGTGGAATATGTCTAGGGTCGAACACATTTAGCTTTTTTGCAACTTGATATCTCTCCAATCACGTGCAACAAACATCTACCAGGGCTGAAACCCTACAGATTCGATTTTTCTGTGCACGACAAAAAAATAAAAAGCTCTCACTCAAAAATTTTTTTTTCAGTTGCAGCCCAAGAGTTCACACTACAGTGCGTGCGAACTGTTACCAACCCCATTACCAGTTTGGAAAAAAAAAGAGAAAAATTCATTTACTTAAAAATTTTTTGACGTCCTTTTGAAAAGAATTCGTTAAAGCCAATCACTAAACAATGGGTATGTGATGATGACACCATAAACAACGACAACCGTGTGTTACCTTGCAATATGATACATGTATCGAGGTGAATATCTGTGAATAAAAGAGGAATATCTCAAAGAGGAGCAGTATAAGACGAGATCGAGGATAGTTAAAGTGCATTATACATGAAATCGTTAGATGATTGTAGACAGAGTGAATGAAATATGAACACGTTTAAAGAAGAGAATAGTACTGCAACTATACCTAGCGATGAAGAACATTTTTTTTGTTTGCATAGACCTAGATCTAAAGAATATCGAAAATAGCAATATTGCAAACAAGCACTGCAAATGATAATTAAACGGTTGTCTTTAATTCTTGAAAACAAATTACTAACTATTTTTTACAGGTAGAGTTATTCGTAACCAAAGAAAAGGTGCTGGTTCTATCTTCACTTCCCACACCAGATTAAGAAAGGGTGCTGCCAAGTTAAGAACCTTGGATTATGCTGAACGTCACGGTTACATTCGTGGTATTGTTAAGCAAATCATCCACGACCCAGGAAGAGGTGCTCCATTAGCCAAGGTCGTCTTCCGTGACCCATACAGATACAAGTTGAGAGAAGAAACCTTCATTGCCAACGAAGGTGTCTACACTGGTCAATTCATTTACGCCGGTAAGAAGGCTTCCTTAAACGTCGGTAACATCTTACCTTTAGGTGCTTGTCCAGAAGGTACCATTGTTTCCAACGTTGAAGAAAAGGTTGGTGACAGAGGTGCTTTAGGTAGAACCTCCGGTAACTACGTTATCATTATCGGACACAACCCAGATGAAGGTAAGACCAGAGTTAAGTTACCATCTGGTGCCAAGAAGATCATCTCTTCTGACGCTAGAGGTGTTATCGGTGTCGTTGCCGGTGGTGGTAGAATCGATAAGCCATTATTAAAGGCTGGTAGAGCCTTCCACAAGTACAAGGTCAAGAGAAACTCCTGGCCAAAGACCAGAGGTGTTGCCATGAACCCAGTTGATCACCCTCATGGTGGTGGTAACCATCAACATATTGGTAAGGCTTCTACTATTTCTAGAGGTGCTGTTGCCGGTCAAAAGGCTGGTTTGATCGCCGCTAGAAGAACCGGTTTGTTACGTGGTACTCAAAAAACTCAAGATTAAATTATTTAATTTAATTGTACATTTATATACGTAAATTTTTCAATACAATAATGAAATAAAATAGTTTGGGTTAGTTGATATTCAATTTAATATAAAAGATAAAAATAATATAGCACTACGTAAAATCAGCAAAGGATTAGTTTACGTTCAAGCGGTTGTAGTAGCTAATGCATTGTTGGATAAAGATCTCTCTGCATCGATAATCTGTTTAGTAACAGCATTGGATCCTTCATTATTTGCGGCTGAGACTAGAGAACTTCCAAGAATAGCAGCAGGTGATTTTAATTTAGATGCAACTTCTTCTATCTTTGACTTATAAGCAGGCTTGATAACAACATGTCTTCCATTAAGTTTCTGGGACTTTAAATTAACAATGATATCATCCAAACTAGTTTGGGAGGAATCAACTTTGGCCAAGACGCTAACATAAGAACTCTTGAGGTTTATTGCTCCTCTCTTTAGCTTTCTATTTCTAAAGATGTAGATTTGTGCTGGACCGTATTCTTTAAAGAAGTCCCTAAGTGATTCATCTGTAATCTTAGCTGGAGCTTTAGGAATATACAATGTATCCTTGGATAATTCAGGCTTGGTTCCAGCAACAGTCCCAGTAACAGAAGTAGTATCTAACGCTGTAGTTGTAACAGTTGCTGTTGCAATTTCGATCTTTGTTTCCTGAGGAGGTGGTTTAGTCTTAGGTTGTTCCGGAGTCAATTGGAGATCATCGCTAGTGATTGCTGGTTTCTTACCGATGCCAAAGAAACGACGTTTTGGATCGTAAGCAACGTGCTTTTTAACACTCATTTGACGCTTCTTAAACATTGCTCCATCAAATTGTTTAACAACAGCATCAAGATTCTCACGAGTTTTAAACTCAACATAGGCAATTCCCAATGGTCTTTGTCTACCACTTCTAGTGAAGCGAATAGTATAACTGGGGATCAAGATATTGATTCTAAACAAGGGTTAGTTTTTGGCTGCCAACTTTTGTGGCGGGTAAAAACATACGGTTCATATTTCCTGAACAACTCCTCTAAATCCTCTTCAGTAGTTTGATAACTAAGATTCCTAATGTACGCCCTATGACGATCGCTTGAAGTGGAAGATGACATCCTTTCCTAATTGATTACGTCTGATGTAAATATATTTGTATTTTTGCAACACTTTAAAATTTTGGCTGCCTTTACAAGACGAGCGTCAGAAAAAAAAAGAGTAATTGGTCTACATTCAGTAAATACTGTTATATTCTGAAAAAGCCATAATCTGCCTTAACATTACCTAACAAACCCGTACATAAATATAGTATAATTTGAAATCATCAATTGATGTTATAACGTACAATTAAAATTTATTAAAATAGAACCGGATCATATATATAGAAACATACAATTCAGCTTTCCCCTATCTTTTTTTATATTTAAGCGGATTGAGCCTTGGCAGCAGCTAAAGCCTTAGCAGTACCGTGTAAAGCGTATCTGTGGTTTCTCTTGAACTTAGCATCAACACCCTTTAAAGATGGGTACTTGTAAGTCTTAGGCTTCTTGATACCGTTCTTGTGAGCCTTCTTGGTTTGGTTGTGGGCGGTGTGGTTCTTAGATTTAGCCATTTTTCTATAAATTTTGTTAGTATAACGATTCCTTGATGAAATCACCTGATAGACTTAATTATCGTTTCCGCTTTGACCTGAGTAAACTTTTATAGTAATACATGATTTGTAAAGTATTTTCCTTGGTTGATATTTCTTATTCATCATGTTTTCAAAAATTTTCAATGTCAATTTTATATTACATCCTCTTAGTTATTCACTTCACAAACATCTCTCCACATTACACAACATCTTATTCTATTCCATAAGGTCCGTACACAACATAGTCTCTTGGTGATCCATTTAAACGTCTTGCACATACACTTAACTATAATTACAGTATCGAAACAAAAGAACTGTTCAGATCCTTCAAAGAAAAATATATTTCTCTATATTGGTTTTGGCGGTGCGCACGGTTTCCCCTGGTCATCATAGTTAAGGCGTGGAACAGGAAAAATTTTCCCAGTGCGAACTTAAAGAAAGCACGTGATAAGTATTAGGGCAAAACCCTAATGCTTACAAAATTAAACATATCACCATTTTTTTCCATACAGAATTAATGAGTGTTTAAAAGTTGGAACGTGAGATTAAAGGAAACTAGCTAAATATACAAAAGAAGAATATAGAATAAATGATTAAAAGTAGGTTAACTCTAAGAAGAGGTTGCAACGCTAGCAGAGGCCTTAGCTCTCTTGGCAATCTTGTCGTTGGCTTTAGAACCCATAATACCACCACCCCAGTGTCTTCTGTTGTCTTCGTACTTTTCAATAAAGTTAGCATTGATGGTAGAAACTAATTTAGATAATTCAGCTTCATCAGCACCGTTAACTTCAGTCAAAGCAGCAACAGCAGAGGTCTTCTTGTGGACTAAGGTACCTAATCTAGCCTTACCCTTAACAATGGCATATGGAACACCCATCTTCTTACATAAAGCTGGTAAGAAAACAACTAATTCAATAGGGTCGACGTCGTTAGCAATCAAAACTAATTTGGCCTTCTTGTTTTCAATCAAGGAGACAACGTGATTTAAACCGTATTTGACAACCACTGGCTTTGGAGAAGCATCCTTGGCGGACTTTCCTTCGGCAACAGCAGCGGCTTCCTTGGTTAATCTTTCCTTCTTTTCAGCAGAAGTTTCTGGTCTGTACTTGTTGAACAACTTGAAGGCTTGAGCTGCAGTGTTCTTGTCCAAAGTTTGGGAAAATTGGGCAATAGAAGGAGGAACCTTCAATCTTAAAGACAAAATCTTCTTTTGTCTTTGCAATCTAACATATTCTGGCCATCTAACAAATCTGGATAAGTTTCTGGTAGGTTGAATACTTTGACCGATACCAAAGTTCTTTGGAGTAGATTCGATCAATGGATTCTTTGGACTAGCAGTAACTTTAGATTTGGCGGCTAATGGAGCTGGAGCAACTTTCTTGGAAGAAGGCTGTGTCATTGAGCAAGTTAGTATAAAAAGGGTTCTCTCAAATAAATGTCAACGAACATTCCTTTTTATAAACCTTAACTCTACAGTATCATATAAAGATACTCAGCCTGTGCATCTAAGAAGTGAATACTTCTTTCTTAATAATCTGATACATGCTGTAGAAGAGTCGGCATTAGCCAACGCTTAATACGAGCGAAATACCCAGAAACTTCAAGAATTTTCAACAAAGCATCACTCCAAAGATGCACAACCTTTTGTCTTTTTTTTAGATAAAGATAGAGGATTGAGCATATAGGGAGGATGTTGTTCCAACTTTTAACTTAAGAACATACCATTGTATTATTAGTTCTTTATTATTGTTATTTGGGGGTTTGTAGTAGTGAAAAGAAATGAATTTGCTTTGAAAAAAATTTTTTTTGTAAAATTCTTTTCATTGTAGTACACATAATTTGGATGTATTTTTCAGAACGCGAGTAGATCTCAGACCGTAAATACCAAGCATTTTGCAGCCAGATTTTATTTCTATGCCAGTAAAGCTGACTAAAGTTGAGCTTTTCTTAGCATAATCTGAATAATACAATAGTTTCATATTGAGAAATTTGTTGTATCCAACTTTGTGAACTTCAAATAAGTCCGTCGTCTTCAAATGTTTCTGATCTAACTACTTAAAAACAGAACTCTTATTCAAAAGTCATGACACTAGTGCTACATGTTACAAAAGCAAGATGACTTTGATACTAGTTCACCACCTGAGTTATTGTATTAGATTATAAAAATAAACATTCATCCGTATAGATCTAATGAATCTAACAAAGAAAAAGCAAGGTCAACCGTGGACATGGGCCACTAACAAAACCAGAACCTACAAGCCATGAATATCGCTTTATGTTTTATACTGTAAGTAGCACCAAGTGAATGTAGTATAACTTAATTAACTCAAACATTTATCTATGATTTTCTAAAAAGGTCTCCTTAAACGTGATCCCTTTTCAAAGCAATAAAGTTTATCACCATTCTATAAGACAAGAAGGTATAATGATAATACTTCAAATTAAATTTGGATAAATACACTATGTTTCGCATATTTTTGGTTGCTTAGATGTGAATGTCAGAGAATTAATGTCTATTCTAATATGCTAATTGTATACAGAACAGGGAGCACCACCAATTGGTGTTTCTTCGAATTGCTCGTTTACAGAGTTACCATTCCTGTTAGTGCCAATTCATGTGCATAATTTTCGCGATTTAAATTTCCCCACTGAAAAAATAATCTTCATGTGCATTTTCTGAATGGTTTGGAAACACACCCCCCCCCCCCCCACCTTGAGAAAGGTAATTCCATAATTTCCTAACGTGTTCTTAAATATGACTTCCGAAAAGATACATCACTGGAACATGCCTGAATTTAACAAGAAGTTGCGGGCGTCTTTTGAACCCAGTGATACATTATTGCTCACAACCACCCCCACCCGGCAATTGTTAGCCGACTCTCCGGCACTAGTGTCGGCATTATCTCAAATATTTCCCTATTTACTACTAATCGACAACTTTTTGGAGATTATTACTTGGACCAATGAAGATCATTATCAGAATTTCCTCGTGATAGTAGCGTATGCTTGCACCGTCTTATATTGGAGTTGGATCAGTTACTTGATTTTACCAATGCTAATGGTTCTCGTGTTCACTAGCATCGTGTGGTCAATATCTTCCGTCATATATGATTCCAAATATGATGAAAAACCTACTATTGAAGAAGTACTATACACATTACATAATATCACAGTTAGATTTGAGATGTTGTTTAGGCCTTTCAAACATATTCCTTTGACACGCAACAATTTTGTCAAGCTTTACATAGTTACAATTATGTTAACCCCGTTGCACTTCCTTCTCATAAGAACGATATTAACACCTCAAAAGTATTTGTGCATGTTCGGAATATGCTTATTTACATTCCATTCACCTTGGGCGTTTGCAACAAGACGGTTGTTCTGGCGTTCGTTGTATGTGAGAATTGCCGCCTTTTACCTCACAGGAGCTGATATCAAGATAACAAAAACCCATGAACAATTACCATCACAACCAGCCAGTGCAGCTACTAGTGATGTCGAGGAACTGGCTGCTGCTATCCCAGTTTTAGGAGACTTCCGAATTATTAAAAAGTCAATTGTATCACCTACTCGTGTAAAGCAAATTGTAAAATTTGAAATATTGGAAAATGAAAGAAGATGGATTGGAGTAGGATGGAGCAAGGTTTTGTATCCCCATGAACGACTGAACTTTTGTTACGACAAGTCTCTCAATACTGCACCGAATATTAAAGATACTTCCATCAACGAAGATAATTTCCCATTTCCAGTGTTTGAAAATGATCTTTACAAGTATAGATGGGAATGGGTCGATACTGATTGGAAATTAGACGAAGAGTTTAACAAATCCAAGACTGAAAATGGTTGGGTGTACTACGATACTAAATGGTCTGACGGTCGATTCCGAGATGGATTTTCAAGGTATACCCGGTCGAGAAAATGGACTAGAAAAGCAGCTTTGTTAATTGACAAACAAGGTACAGTTTATGATGAGTAGAAAATGTTATAAAGTTTATTTCTTGATTCCAGTAGAAGCATGTAAACGTCTGCCTCTTAGTTTCCTGTTCTGCGCAGCTAAATTTTTACAACTAAAAAAAAAAATAATAGGCAGGTGCAACAAAAATTCGAAAGGAGACCGAAAATTTTTTTTTGCTTGTACTTTTCTATGCTTCTTCTTTGGACTTGACAACGATACGCCAACGATGAGTTCTACTGCCAATTTACAATACAAGGACATCCCCAAGAAGTACATCGATCCTCTTGCTCCCAAGGACAAGGGTGATGGTTCTAGAGTGAATGGTAAAAACTGGAAAATTCTGAAGGATGCCTTCAGAGTGAAAACCTTAGGTGTTACCAAGCCAAACTCTTTTCAAGCTAGAAATGAAAAGAAACTCCAAGAGGAGCAATACAAGGCTAGATTAAAGGAATTAAAGGAAGAAAAGGAAAATATCAAGAAGCAAAGGATTGATGACTTGAAGAGAAGAAGAGAAATCAAGGCTGAAAAGGAAAGGTATGAAAAGTTGGCTGCTAAGATGCATGCTAAGAGAGTTGAAAGATTAAGAAAGAAGGAAAAGAGAAACAAATTATTGAAGGAACGTTAGTTTTAGGAGTCAGATCAACTGGAGACTAATTCATGTTTGTCATGGAGCAGGATCATCAAGTTTATTATAATTCTACAAACTTGCCACGCACCGACATTTTGTGATAGGATAAGCTATTTGGTTGGAAGATGGACAAAGACTGTAGCAGGTTTGATTTAATTGCATGATTTGATTTCAGTTACAATTTCGCGCATTGGCTATTTTTCCGAAAAGGGGATAAATGAGATGAGCACTGCGAAATTAAGGATTTTCACAAAAACCATATTTTTCATTAGAAAAGAAGAAAACAAGTTAGAATTTCGAAAAGTGCTATATGACAAACGGAAGAGGTGATATGTGAAGGCATGTACATGATTGATGAAACAGTCTTTTAGTAGCGTTTCAAGCTTTGCAACATGAAGCAACCTTTTTTTTGTGTATGCTGTAGAATTTCTTTTTTATTGTTTTTGCCTTCGTGTTAAATAAAAATGGAAACGTTACCCGGATTTTGTCCATCAGTATAAATAGAACGAAAATTCCCTCGTGTTTAAAATTTGCCATTTTCAAGAATTTTTCTGTTCCTGCGTATAACACATTTTTTTTTATCAGTCCCTTTATCGACACATTTTCCTTATCCGATTATAAATTGTTTGATTTATAGTGATAGGAAACCAATATCATTATCTTATAGAAAGGAATAAATTTGATTTGTTCAACATTTATATAGACTTTTTTGCTTGAAACAAAAAAGAGGAATCATTTCGTTGGGACCTACATCCACGATCTTTCATTTTACCTCCAAAGTCCAAGGAAAAAAGTGATTTCACTATATAGATCAATAAAACAACCAGACCAGGTCTTTAAACACTAAAGTCATTTTTATTCATTTGGGATACATTCATTTGTTAATCTCAGCAATCATTATACACACACATAGTATTTTCATATATCCACACACATCATGGACTCGTTGAAATTACCAACCACTGCTGCTCAAGCAAAAGCATTCACTGCCCCAAATTCATTGTTATTCCCAAAAGGTATTGACGGTGAACAACAACAACAACAACAACAAAAGACACCTGAAACTGACATTGTCAAGAAGGAAGAAACCAGTGATATCATTGAACCAAAGCAAGATGAAGATGATGGCGCTACTTCTGGTATTGTTCCAACCTTGCAAAACATTGTTGCCACTGTGAACTTGGATTGTCGTTTAGACTTGAAGACTATTGCTTTGCATGCTCGTAATGCTGAATACAATCCGAAACGTTTTGCTGCTGTTATCATGAGAATTAGAGATCCAAAAACTACTGCGTTGATTTTTGCATCTGGTAAGATGGTTGTCACTGGTGCTAAATCTGAAGATGATTCTAAATTGGCATCTAGAAAGTATGCTAGAATTATTCAAAAATTGGGTTTTAATGCAAAGTTTACTGATTTTAAGATTCAAAATATTGTTGGTTCATGTGATGTGAAATTCCCAATCAGATTAGAAGGGTTGGCATTTTCACATGGTACTTTCTCATCTTATGAACCTGAATTATTCCCTGGGTTAATTTATAGAATGGTTAAGCCTAAGATTGTTTTGTTGATTTTTGTTTCTGGTAAGATTGTTTTGACCGGTGCGAAGCAAAGAGAGGAGATTTATGCCGCATTTGAAGCTATTTATCCTGTGTTGAGTGAATTCCGTAAATCATAAAGAGGCTATCAAAAAAAACCTAACCTGTTTTTTGCAAATTTTGTATTATTATTATTATGAACTAATTGTTTTTTTTTTTGAATTTGATTTTGTATATTATTTTGACTTTGTTGTGAAGAGAGAAGAAGAAGAAGAACAAGGTCGACATTACATTTAAGAAGTTTTTGCATCTTAAAGGGTTTGTCTTGATTTTCCATTTGTTACATTTTTTTTTTTGAAATTTTTGAATTTGGTGTGTGGTTATGGCGGGTGTTAATATTGATTTTATTTAGCATCAAAAATAGTAATATGCAACGGGATAGTTGTGTATTTAATATATTTATTCAAACTGTATATATCAATACTTTGATATCCTCAAATAGATATATCTATATTACAATCGTGTAAAGTCTATCTTGTATTTACAGGAAGAAACTACTTATCGATTTTTGATTGCCTTTTTTCTGAGATTTGTCAACTTTCCTACTAACATAGTTTAATTTAGGTCTCTTTGCAGGTTGTTCACTTGCTGAGTCTTCAGCCTGGGTCAGTGATTGCAGATTTGCCGAATCCAGTAGAGGAGTTACTTCTACCAGATCAGTCGACTTTGATTTTCTGGGTGCAAACAACAGCGAGATATCTCGGTTTTTCGTCAATTTATAATGCAATTTTGCCTCAAAGGGAAGGGTGACGCAAGGCAATACAACCTCCTCTTCTTGTTTCAAATCATCATAGCCTGCCTCGAAATCAGTAAAGACAGGACAATGATCCGATCCAAGGATAAACTCCCAAATATCTGCCTGGGATACCAGTTTTACCATATGGTACGAACTAGTCAATATTAAATCAATCCTTGATCCGAAATTCACCGCTCGTGAGTTTGTGAGTGTGTTCCACACTGTATACATTTTCATTCTTCTACCTTGCAAAAATCTGGTTGTATCATACAAGAACTGTTTCCGGTGTGAATCACTGGGTGAGGATTGAAGGCTCAAGTCGTGCCATAGACCTGGTATGACATATTCATTGAGTAAGTGTCTTGCAGGTGTTGATTTCTTGAAGTCACAGCATTGCTCATAGTTTATGGTTTCGAAATTGTTTCCATTTGGAGAATTTTTGCCTAGACGATTAAGCACCATGTCTTCTATCGTTTGTGCATGGTCGATTAAGTCGGTGCTGATGTTGATATCTCCCATTATTAGAACTTCTTTACCTAATTTGAATTTCAAATTGTAACATCGTTCAAATAATACTTTCATAAACTTTAATCTAAATTCTTCCCCTTCTTCGGTTCCCAGAGAATTTGCAGGGCAATATAATGAAAATACAACTAGATTATTCGTAAATTCAATCACAACGCATCGACCTTCACTATCTAGATTCAATCCTTGTTGTGAATCTAAATCGTCCACATAACCTCCAATTTGTTGTTCTTTGTCCATTGTACGATATGATAGTTTTGAATTCCTCGGGCATAACCAGCCTGTTATTCCTTCTTCTGCTTTAACAACAGTTAAGGATCTCTTGACCGCATTTGACTCGTTTTCTTGTGGTATTCTTACGAAAACTCCAACTCCGCTATACCCTTTCTTGACCCTGGGTAAACTAATAAAGGACTTATAATTTTGCAAATGTCCAACATCCTTAATGGTGCTCAAGTTAGAGGGTGATACTTTCAACTCCTGTAGTGTTATTACGTCAGCTTGTAACAGAGTGAAAACCAGGTTCAAGTCATTATTGAACTTAGTCCAAGGATGGTAGTTGAATAAAGTTTTGGCACCGTTGACGTTGAAAGTAACGAATCTTACTGATTGAGATGACTTTTTTCTATGGATCTTGTTAAGAGGATCCTGAGTTTGAAGGTCTTTGATATTCATAAAGCATTTGTCTAGTTGTTGGTTTACCACGAGATGAACGCGACATTTAATTTTCCACTCCAGGTTTCTTTGGTGAGCAAGAAAAAATTTGCAAACCTACACCTCTTGATGTACGAACAAGCAAGAAACAGCAGACTAATGCATGAAGCCAAGTAATATGTATTTAATTATCTGTAAATGGTTAGATTAGTTCACGCGTAGAATACCTACTCTATATTGAAGAAGCACCCGCTTTCAACACACTAGTCTAAACGTCTAGTTTTCTAAGTAACTCTATCCTAACCTAGAAATGTTTGACCTGACAATGCTCAAGTTTCCTGAACAGGTAACTTGGGGGGGGAGAGATGATGGTCAACGCACATGCCATTTGAAATGGAGTCAACGTAGTAAGATCCAAGTAGAATCTTAGGAAATCTCGCTTACGACTGACTGACAGAATTCTTTCAGTAGTTTTCTACTTAAAGCGGGGCAAATACCGCCTCTACCGGTATGTTGACACAATCATATTTCCGGCGTGTTTGAAGTCGGTTAGTGCAAGGGGGAGTACAATTATCCACAATAGGGTTGACGCGCGCGTGTCCCAGATCAAATCAAAGAAGCTTAAAAAATATTTTTTTTTGTCCGGATTTGAATTCGTCAGACAGAAAAAGGAAACTGAAACAAATGTTAAAAAAAACATCAATAAAAGAAAAACAGTAAATTTTGTTGCCAACTGAACACCCCAACTTTACACTAAAGATCTTGTATTGAATTGTTAGAATAACTATTCGTTAGAGATATTTTACAAAATTCATCCCCCCTGAACCCAGAGAACAGCCTCCTCCCCCCACCACCAACTGATCTTGTCCCTTCATTTGATCCATTCAGCACCAGACAACCACATTTATAACCACAACATTCCGCTCAAACTTTACTAACATTCACATACAATACATCACCATATATATGCCAACATGATTGATTCTGAGACTTTACTGAAGAATTCGCCTTTTAAAATAACCCACAGCGACTCTCAAAACTCGTATAATTTATCCAATACGACCCCAGACCTATTGAAGTTCCAATTACAAGAACAATACCGTAATCAATTACAAGATTTAAAGAATTCTGAATTACCAGATTTAAAATTATTAAACACCAATATATTTGAAAACTCATTTAATGACCATTTACAAAATCAGCTTGAGTTAGGCAATGTTAATATAGTCACTAGAAGTGATTCATCTTCACCAGAGTCCACCTCTACTAGCTTGTTTTCCGAACCAGAGTCTACCGACGGTAGTACTGATATTGAAACCGTGATTGCTTCAACGAAGCCAAATTATTTGAATTTGAAAGTTTTGATTGAAAATTCAATTTTTGACACTAGGAATATTAATAAGGATTCTATATTGTCTTTATCAGAACTCCAAGATTTAAAAACTAGAATCCAAATAAAGAATGAATCAAAGCTGTACTTGTTATCTAAAATTACCGTCACGCAACAATTCATCAACGATATAATATTTAAGCAAACAGAGACTATAGAAAATAACGACAACATAAACACTGAACTAGGTACAAAGTCCCTTATTAAGCTCTTGAAATCCAGTTCGTCCTTGCAATCACAATTAATCTCAATAAACACTGAATTAGAGGAATTAAACACTAAATTGAATAACCACAACTTATCATGCTTAGTGTTGGGATATGTCGAAGATATTAGACTTTCTTCCGCCGCGCCTCTGCAGACTCACAGTGTTTCCGATCCACAACTGTCAGCACCACTCACGCCATTAGATAGTCCTGAAAGTCGAATACTATCTACTCCCAGAGGAGGGGATATATATTCGAAGATTTATGACACTCTTTTCGCCCATGTTGCTAGTATTGCTGCCAGTCGCAACATTACTTTACCGCCACCACCTTCTGCCAATTCAGAATCGTTTGAGTCTCGGACTCGCTGGGTACAGCAATGTATTGACACTGTTCTTTCCAATTCGAAAGTTGATATCGCTGAAATTCCACCAAGAGATGCATCAATGTTCAGTAATGCCTCTTCTATTCTTAGTCCAACTTCCCCAATAAGAAATATTTCCCAGGAAAAGATGTTGATTGAGTACAAGACTGCATTGAATGACTTACGATTCTCGTACCAATATCTTGCCAAGGAATATGAGCACTCTCGCGAGTCGTTTAATAAAATAATTTTAGACTATAAAAAGAAAATTACCCATTTAGAAAATGAATCACTGAAAAACAAAGACGATGGATTGATTTCACCACCCAGTACTCGAATGTCAACCTGCGACTCCCTTGATGCTAAAGATAAAGAAATTTCACGTCTTCGAAAAGAATTGAACTTATTACGAGTTGACAATATACGTAAAGATCATTCACATCTACAAGGACTGACCAGTAGTGCAGATTTACCTGATGGTGCAAGTCCAGAATTGTTCCTGATGATGCATCTTACTGTGTCCAATGTATCCAACGATGATGGAGATGAGACCAATTCCATACATTCCAATAGACCAAGTTCCCAAGGATTAAGTACTGGTATATTACGTAAAGAATTTAAGAAGATTGTTTCTGATATTCAGGATCAATATGAGTTAGAATTGACTCAAGAGAGGTTAAAGAGTCGACAGATGGCAGAAGAATTGGAACAACTCAAGCAAGGTTGATGGTTATTTAGTTAATTTATAGATTTGTACTTGTATTAGAAATATCCTGTTAGGTTCTACATAGTAATTTTTGTTTTGTTTCTTACGCGCTTGTACGCAAAAAAAAAAATTTAATACTTTCTTGATTTAGAAGTGTTGCCAAATTAATCAACATATACATAGACGGGTCTTATATCATTCCAACCCAACTATGCAGAATACGAGACCTCCAAATCAAGAAAACATCACTCCATCCATTGTCCAGGGAAGTAATAATGCTTTTGTAAGTTGGGACCAGGATAACCAATCAACTCCCTTTGCAATGCAAAATACACCTAACAATATGATAAATGCGGACCAATATAATCTCAATAATCCTGCCGTACGAACGGTCACGAATCATAACAATGGTTTCCAGCACATATATAACAACCAGCAACAAATTACAACCAACATAACTTCTCCCACCCTACTACAACAGCCCACAAACGACGTGATTTCCAAGTACCATTCGCTAGGATTAAACTCGTTTGCTGCCATACCTGGTAATAATCCTAATGCAAACCATCATTCAATAGCACCAACTGCGAATATACAATATCTGTCAACACAGAGTCGTAATGTTCCACTAGGCAAGCATGCTTTACATAATGTGAATCGGTTATATCAGCTGAGTGTGCCCCAATCGCTGTTTGCACAGTTTTCCTCCTCTGCTGCTGACCAGGCGATACAACAGTCAAATCTACAAATACAATCTCAAGTTCCAGATAGCAAGAAACCAAAGTATTCTTCCCCTCATCCCTTTAATCCAAGTTCACCTACTTTTGTCCGCGGTAACCCTGAAGCATTATATCGCGAAAGAGTTAAAGAGTCACTACATTCTTCAGATGTTAATATAACAAACGTGGAAGCACGTAAAAGAGAAACTGAAATAGACTACAACTTAATTTCTCGATTAAGCAGTACCATTACCGATGCTAACCACCCAGACAGACCTTCAACGATGATTTCATATTACATTGGCCAATCAGACCGGTTTGTCAGGCTAGCTTACCAGAGTAGTACCATTACAGGGTTGGAAAATCATAACAAATTTATCATTTTAGCTATTAAAATGTTACTTATAGTGACAAAAAAGTATAAAGCAAAGTTGAAACCAAAGCAAGAGCTGATTGTATATTATCGCTTGGGGAAATTGTACCTTATTGAGACAACAAACATACACAAAGCAGAAGAGTACATCAATAAGGCTCTAGATATCGCCAATTTCCATGAATTCAAGCAAATTCGATTCTATTGTGAGCTATTGCTTGCCCAGATTTTAGAAACCACCAACCTCAAACTATGTGCCAATTATGTATTTTCAAAAGGTCAGTATTATAAACAAAAGGGAGACCATGTCTATTCTAATTTATTTCAATTATTGAGAATTAAAAGCTTAATAGTTTCAGATTGTGCAACTGCATTAGTTGTCCTTCAGGGCCTGATTCTAGATCCTAATTTAAATGATTCGATCAAGTGTCTTTGTTTGATTTATGAAGCAAATTTACATTGTTATCGAGGCTCACCAGACATTGCCATCAAGTTATTAGGAGAAGCGGAACAATTAGCTTATAGGGACGGTGATAACCCAATCATGCCAGTTCAAATTGATGGAATGATATTATTATGCAGATTAACCGCATATCTGAATATGAATATGGTTGCGGAAGCTGAAAGCTGCAGAAAGTTGATTTCAAACTATATAAAAGCGCAAACTGAAGAGGGTTGGAAATCGTGGAATGATAATGGGATTGTTAGAGTAGAGATTGACGAGTTGGATCATGATACCACAATTCCATTTCTCTTTCGTTGGTTGAACTCGGATGAGTTCGTCATTACTTACTATCTAATTACAGGATCTACGTATATGTCACATGATGGTTATAGTGAAAAAGTGTTTGATAGATGTTTGCAGATGATAAGTGACCAAAAGAAGAGAATCTCAAATGGAGGAAGCAAGTCATTACTTTCGCCCCGGGAAGTCGCGAATAGAATGTTGAAACTAAGATATTTGCAATTTGTGATTGCTTTCTATAAAACCTGGATTGGGTTTCTTAAAGGCGAATACAAGAAAATAACCAATATGAATGTATTCATGAATGAAAACAACAGTAAATTCTCAAGTGAAGAGTATTCTTGTTTTAAGCCATTGTTACCTTTAATTTATTATATGTTTGCAGCATTTTATCAAGACAAAGGTGATATACAAGCTGCTAAATATTACTACCTTAAGGTGAGAACCATGACCAGTTCCAATATGTCCCAAGAAACTAAGAAGAGTCCAGAACAAATAATAAACACATCACTATTCCAATTGCAATTGGGAATAGGATGTGATGCTTTGGCAGCCAAGGGCCAATTTAATGAATTGTATGTGTTTTCAAGTATACAGCTTTATATCTTGCTTGAATTTCAATTGACGGAAATCAAACAAAATGTTTCTAATGTCAAAGATCAGCAAATGCTTGAAGATCATGTAAATTTAAAACTGGAGTTGGTACAAGAGTTGAGAAATATCTTCAAAGCCAAGCAAACTTCTAATAGCTTTGCTGTGAATTTTACTGGTTCAAATCTAATGTTGACCATAACTTATTTCTTAGTAAATGATATTTTATCAGAAACACAAGAAGGTGACAAGTCCGGTATTGAACCAAGTCTTGAAGCTTCCTTCCATACAGGGTTAAAACTCTTGGGAAAGAAGACAACATTCACGCTTATGCATTTCTTAATCAGCAACTATATTTTAACGAAATCTTCCAATATGGATCAAAAGGAACGAATTTCAGAAATGGTCAAGGAACAAGTGGCCCAAAATGGTTTAAAATCACCACAATCTACCCCCGATTTATCAAAAATTATCCGAGTAATGTTGTTGAAGCACTTGCAAAAAAAATACCACAGTGTGGGAGATTTACAAAATGCAAAGATGGCCGAACTTCAATCACTGTATTATTATAAGTGCTTACAGGATAAGTTTAAGTTTTTGTTTGAAAACACAAGGTATTTTGATAAAGGAGATATACCAGTAGCTAAGATAAATTCAGAGAGTCCACCCACCACATCAGACTCTGTTGAAAGGAAGCAGTTGGATAGATAGATAAAGAGCATTGCTAGGCACTACAATAAGGTAATTCTAAAAAATGAATCAAACTTAATATGTAAATATACAAATACGACTAATTTTTAAAGTCAGTATAGCTAAATGAAATGATGAAAAATGTTTATACTAGAGCAGCTCTACTTCTTTTGCTTCTTCTTCTTTTCTTTCTTATCTTCGTCATCTTCGGACTTTCTCTTCTTTTCCTTCTTTTCTTTCTTGTCCTTCTTTTCCTTCTTGTCTTTCTTTTCCTTCTTTTCCTTCTTTTCTTCCTTTTCTTCAGTTTCAACTTCTTCAATCAAAGTCTTCTTTGGTAATTGAACTTCTGGGGCAACTAATTTGGATTCTGGAACAGCAGGGGCAGGTTCTTCATCATGATCCTTGTATTCCTTCTTCCAAGTTTCTGGGGTATTTTCGTTAACTCTACCGAACTTGTCTAATTTACCATCAGCCTTTAATTGCTTCTTCTTTTGAGCAACTGGACCTAAACCCCATCTTCTTGGGTAAGTGTCTCTTTCCATAATACATCTCTTAACCTTGGCAACAATACCGTGATCACAAGATTGCAAGTCAACGGTGGTCATTTGTGCAATACCAATAGCAATAGCTTCACCCTTGGTGGTGATCAAGACAACTTCGTCATATAATTCAATACCTTCTTCGTATCTCAATAAACCTGGAATCATCAATTTAGCACCATAACAAACAGAGTTAACAGCAGAATCCTTAACGACAATTCTCTTGTAACCAACCAATAAGGTTTCCAATGGCTTAATGATCTTTCTCAAGTAAGATTCATCTCTGGTATTATCGTAAACAAATTGAGCATCCAAAACATCATGTAAAGTAACCATTTCATCGGCTTCACTTAAAGCTCCTGAACGAACACGACGTAATTCTTGCATGTGACCACCAACACCCAATAACATACCTAAATGAACACACAAAGTTCTCATATAAGTACCAGCTTCACAAGAAGCCCAAAAGACACCCAATCCTCTCTTATTATCGAATTCAATTAACTTGGAATCGTAAATAGTTCTGACTCTCAATTGTCTCTTGACAGCAGAAATCAAAGGTGGTCTTTGGAACAAAGCCCCAGTCAAGTTTTCTAAGGTTTGACCTAATTCCTTAGCGTTTTCTAATTCGTCATGCAATCTAACAATACAAACATACTCCTTACCAGCACCTTGTTGAGACTTGACTAATCTAGTAGCACGGTCAATACAGACAATCAAACAACCAGTAACCTTAGGATCTAAAGTACCAGAGTGACCAGTCTTTTCAGCTCTTAAGATTCGCTTAATCCAGGCAACAACTTCATGGGATGATGGGTTGGATGGTTTGTCCAAGTTGATAACACCGGAAGAGACGTATGATTTAAGGTCTCTCTTTAATGGAGAGGCACCAGCTGGAATTGGGGTGTAGTGTCCGGATCTTACTAATAATTTATCATAGTTCTTCAATAATAATGGCCACTCAGAGGTGTCATTAGATGGAGCCACTGATTCTGGCTTAATAACAAATTCGTCAGACATTTTGTACTGCTTTGTTATTAGAAGTTGTCTACTGTATGGTAAGATGAGTTTATTCTGAAATGAGAAGAAAAATTTTGAGTGAAAAGAAAAAACTACAAAAAATTCAATCGTTACATCGTGCGGCGTGGGGATTTCCTATTTAGGCAATCTATCTAAATACATCAACACTAATACCATTACTTCACTGACGAGGTAAATTCATAATGCTATGGGCTATCTCGTCTTTGGTGAGCTCTAACCAGAATAACTCTCGTCCTAAATTCCTCACTGTTTTAATACAAACATCCAATCGAGAATCATTTATAAGTTCAGGTTGATTATGGAAATTACCAGAAATTAAATTGATAGTATCTTTAATTGACTTGATTTCCAGGACAGTTTCGTACAATTGCTTGACTAATGGCAGGTCCGGAATAATCAAATCATCCAAAGTTAATGCCGTATTGGTTCCTGTGTACACCTTGTCTTTGCTGGCGCTGTTTAATTCTTCCAATTTCATCAATTCTTGATTCAAATTACTAACATGGGTTAGTTGAGTTGTAAGATACGCCAAATGGTCATCAAGATTTCTAGTGTTTCCAAGGGCTTGTTGATAATGGTGATTTAATTGGTTATACAACGCTTCGGCCTTATTGGCATGTTCATTAACCATAGGAACATCGCTATTAACCGAACCATTGGTTGGATCTGTCAAATAGGAATTAATCTTGATTGATAATTGTTCCAACATTTGTCTACGCTGAGCATCAGACTGAGTGGAAGTAGAGCCTTTAGAACTGGAAGCAACCGCATCCATCAAGTCCACCACTGGTTGTTTCGCAATAGGAAGGTTCGGTTGATGTTGAACATGTACTGGGTGTCTCTCTTGCGGATGTTCAACTCGTTGTTGTGTGTATCTATTTCCTGGCTGAATGTTATGTTGTTGTGGAGGGAGCTGTTGTGGTGACGGAGCAGCTTTTTGAGGCCCATATGGGATGGGTTGAATAGGAGATGCGGAAGTTTCCTTGGGATAGTTGAAATGAGTAGCCAGAAAAGGTGGCGGTGGTGATGCTTGGTTGAAATGTTGGTATTCAGGTTGAACTGGTGGTTGAGGTTGCAGTTGTGGTTGTTCTCCTGGTAATGGTAATGGCGCTTGGTACTTTAATGGAATCGGATTTATGGTTTGAGTAGTTGGTGATTGAAGTTTGGGTGGTTTGGCTGGCAATGGAGGTCCCGTCGTTTGCGGGCCCATCGTGTTAACCTCGTTCCTAGGTCCAGTATATTGTGGGTTAGCTGACTGGGGTATACCGACGCTTGGAGGTCCAGTCAATTGTGGGCTCTGTACTTGGGTCGTATTAGGAACTGGAGGTTGGTGCAAGGGAACCTTTGCAGGTTTAGGTGGTAATTGAGGCACAGCATCACTTGAAGAACTTGCATGAACCATTGGTGGACTCAGAGAGACAGGAGGGTCGACCATCACACTTTGATAAACAACGTTGATGAGTTCAAGTAAATTGAATCTTGGTTGTGAATCTTGGTTGCTAGAATTGCATTCATTGTACCAACTTGACAAATAAGGATGATAAAACTTCCCTTGACTATCAACTTGGTTACCTGGCTTTAAATAGTAGTTTTTAGCATGATCCGGTACAATATAAACTTGGGGTACCCCCTTTTCTGGCGAATCAATAAAGGGATACGATAAAGGTACCCAGATCTCAACAGGTACTTCAATTTGATCATTCACATGAATGGTACCATATAAGTTTATAAGTAAGTCAGATTTACCAGATGTATTTGAAGTATAGACTTGGGTTCTAACTTTGAAATTAAGGTTCTTTTTTAGGTGTACTTGAAGGAATTGATAAAGGTGGTGATATGTAATTTGTTTGTAAATATATTGGGCTTGTAATACATTGTATAGCCAATTTGACACCAGTTGAGGAAGGGGTTGGAGCTGCTGCTGTTGCTGCTGTTCCATATCTTTTCCAAAATATTTTGTCCTCGTTAATTGGATGTATTACCGTGGTTGCCTTTTAGACTTCGTAGCGCTTAACACTTTGTTCTCCACTGTAAGTGCCTCGACCAGTAAATCCACAAGAACCAAAAAAAAAAAAGAAGGAAAATATAAAATTACACTATCACTAGCAACGTGAAATCTATCTAATCCATCACAGGACTACCAAACTGAATACAAATCAATAATGAGTGGGTATGTAAAACTAATGATATGACTATATGAAATGTCAATTGACACATATTTCGAGGGCTTGATGTCAATTAAAGTGCTTACGAACGTGCACTATTTATCTTCCATGTGAACAACCATACTAACAGCAACTTGTATAGATATACGGTTTTAATTGTATTCATCATAACTGTTGGTTTATCATGTTGTGCTTGGGTATTTGCTCCTAAGGAAAACACCACAGTATTTAGATCATCTGTCATATTAGGAATGGCCATGTGTTACTTGATGTGGGCAATCACATACTTGGCTCAGTTACATCCATTGGAAGCACCAAGAAGATCAGATTTAAGACCTGAAAAAGAGTGATTGGGTGTAGATATGAACGTTACGGATGTGTAAATTAACAAACATTCAATATACTTTGTTGTGTTGTCTCTCAATTTCAAAGGACAATTGCTGCCAAAAAACAAAATTCAAAAAAAGAAAATAATAGAAACTTATTCCATTCCAAAGGCATCTTGGGTGAAAGGGGTTGTTTTACATATATATACATATCGATTTCCATAGTTTAGTTCTTGTCATTTTGTTATATATTCTAGTATCCATAGTGGTGAAAGCCAGTGGTTATACCACTTTATTGTAAGTCTCACCTTAACAGATATTAACTACCTTAGAACCACATTTAGAAATAATATATGTATTTGTACAAGTTTAGACATAGTATGGTGTATGTTTGTCTAAGTTGGTTTGAAGTGTAGGGTTACACAAGCACGTTGAAATTGATGGCCGGGTAAGGAAATAGTTATTCCAACATGTTCATATAAAAAAAACTCGCACCAAGTTGAAAATTTTCTACTTCACTTCATCTCAGTCAACAAACTTATGTGATATGGTTATGCTGTACATATAGCATGTATAGTATAATTGAATAAATATTACATATAGAAACAACGAACATGTAAGTTGTATTTGAAACATAATACAACAAGATGTTTAAAATCTCCTGTTTCTGCCCCAAATTCATTTACGTTTCCTTAGAATTATGGGTTCTGGTGATGGAGAAGATCAAGCCATAGAACGGGCACTCACGACTTTTGATACATCCTGTGAGTGTCTTTTCTGTGGATCGTGTGGATTATCTGATTCCGTTGTGTGGTTGAATTACGAACTTTTGTAATGAAACCTGATCGATGCCACTATATTTTTTTTTTATTCTAAATTATTATTTTGATTCTGCAACCACACCTTGCAATATTCAAGGGGTATGTGGGGTTACAAGCTTTAGATCTACTTGAACATAGGTCTTTTGTGGGGAGGAATGGGGTGATGTTTTTATTCATACCTTACACGGTCACTCCTCTTCTCTCAATGAAATTCGATTCATTTAAGACATTTCCCCTCTATTTCACTGACAGGATATATTCTTTGAAATGCTTCAATTAACGCTTGTAACATCTTGCGAAAGAGATAGAAATGCAAGGTCTGGTGGATCAAATTTTCAAGATTCTGTGATAATGCACAGGAGATAAGCGCAGTATAAAATAATCAGATACAGGGATGAAATTACCACGGCTGACTACTCGTAGATAACAATAGTTAACGCAGCCTAGTGAATAAACAAAGTTCGTATGCTAAACTGTGGATAGTGAAGAGCAACTTTTACATCATGTCATGTGATCAAAAGGCTTTATTGAAACAAATAAACAATGACATAACAATGAACAATATGAAATTAATTATTTAACGTTCGGTTGTTTGTACTTCTGGTATAAAATGAGTTGAATCATCTGCTTTTTTTCTTCTCATCAAACATTTTCTTGTTTAGCTTTATCATCTTAAGATTAGACATCTAGTTTGAGTTTTCTTGTACACTGTTGCACTTTTGCCATCGGAAAATAATCCAGTTCAGAGCAAAGGAAATTAATACAACACCAAGTTAAATCTGTCGTCCTTGTAAGCTATTGTTGCTTAAAGATCTATTATAGCGTTTAAGAAGCATTTCTAGTAATAGCTCACATCGCCATCTCAATTTAGTTTTTTCAAATTCCGGTGTTGCTATAAATATAACAAGGGTCCAAATCTAGACTGCGAAAAATAAAAAAAAAGCATTGAATCCTTGTATAATGTCATCTCATGAAGAGAAATCAAAGGAAATAGTGGAAGATCTGATAGCTTCAGCAGATATTGATTCTATAGTTGATCATAACACACACTTAAAACGTGCTCTTAAAGATAGGCACATTTCACTTATTGCCCTTGCTGGTATTATTGGTCCTGGTATTCTTATCGGTGCTTCACTTGCATTAGCAAATGGTCCTGCTTCATTAATTATTGGATTTGGTATCGTTGGTATAATTGCGTTTGCAATGATGCAATCCTTGGGTGAATTAGCAACTATATACCCTACAGGAGGTACATTCTCTACTTTAGGTAATAAATTTGTTGATCATGCCTTTGGATGTGCCGTGGGATGGAACTATGTAATTATTTGGATTGCAGTGTTGGCTAATGAATATAATACTGTTGCAGCAATCATGCAATTTTGGGGACCACAAGTACCGTTATATGGTTACATTCTTATTTTCTGGGCAGCATTTATGGCATTCCAATTCCTCGGGGTTCAAGCGTTTGGCGAGGCTGAGTTTTGGTTAGCATTAATGAAAATTTGTGGATTAGTTGCGTTTTATATTTTTTCCATTGTTTATTGTGCTGGTGGTGTAAGCGGAACTCCTGCATTTGGGTTTCATTATTGGAATGATCCAGGAGCTTTCAATCATGGATTCAAAGGGGTGGTTAACACCTTCGTGTTTGCCAGTACTTTCTATAGTGGTACTGAAATTGTTGCTGTCAGTGCTGCTGAAGCAAAGAACCCAAGTCGTGCTGTCCCAGCTGCTATTCGTCAAACTTTCTGGCGTATATTGATTATCTACATGGGTATTGCTGTAAGTTATGGATTGACCGTTCCTTTTAATGATCCTTCATTAGCTGCTGGAACTAAAACTTTGAGATCTCCAATGACTATTGCTATTCAAAGAGCCGGTTGGGAAGGTGGTGCACATTTAGTGAATGCATTCATCTTATTAACATGTATTCTGGCAATTAATTCATCCATTTATATTGGATCAAGAACCATAGTTAACTTAGCTCACGAAGGAAGTGCACCAAGGTTCCTTAGACGAGTTAATAAACGAGGTATTCCCTATGCTGCTGTGATATTGATGAACTGTTTTGGCTTCCTTTCTATGATGAATGTAAGTACAGGTGCTGCTAAGGCGTATGGATACATTGTTAATCTTTCGGGGGTAGCAGTTTTCATTGTTTGGGGTAATGTATGTTTCTATCATCTTCGATTCAGAAGAGCATGGAAATTGCAAGGTAGGTCAGTGGATGAATTGCCTTACAAGGGATTATGGTATCCTTATTTACCAATCCTAGGGATTGTGCTTAATATTTTCCTTGCCTTGATTCAAGGTTGGTCTTATTTCAAACCATTTGATGCGGGTAATTGGGTTGATGCTTATATCTTGTTACCAGTCTTTTTTGTTATTTATTTTGGGTATAAGTTGTGGAATAGAACCAAGTGGGTTAATTTGCATGACGTTGATTTGGATGAAGGTAGAAGAAACGATATTGATGTGGGAGGGAAGGGTCGATGGATTCCATAGAACAGTATATAATTCTAATAACTAATTTATTTTGCTCGTTGACAACAATCTGTATTAAGTTACAATGTTTCACTTTTACGAAAACTTTAAAAAGTTTTTGCAACATGCAAGGTTTCTCTTTTCGGCAATGGTTCCAAAATCTTCACACGAATTTAAAGTTGCTAAAAAAGAAATGTTTATTATGAAATGAATAACTCAAAAACTAGCGTAAATGTATAATTGTATAATAATAGAAGTGAATTTAGTTATAGAATGTTAAAACAAATACAAAAAAAAACAAAAGTAGTGTAACAATAAGAAATCTTTATAATATCTGAGAATCTAACCAAACTGTAAGCAAAAACTGAAATCAAACCCACACAACACTAGCAAAAAAAGAATAGAATTTAAAAAATAAAAAAATGACACCGGTTCATTTTTGTTTACTTAGCAATGCTTTTTCTCTTTCTCTTCTTTTCAGCATTCTCCAATTTCTTCTTTTGATTAAACACATTAGGTTCACCATTATGAACCAATTTTATGTGTCTAGTCAAGGAATCGCGACGGTAAAAACCTTTTCCACAATTGTCGTCATTACAGACGTATATTATACTCTTTAATTCACTTGAATATTGACAACATTCATCGATAACCTTCCCCTTTTTGAAATGGTCAATAACAACGTGATGTCTTAAATCAGCCTTTTTGTCGTAACCAATTATACTCATAGGACATTCATGTACAGGGCATTTAAAGCCTCTAAATTCAAAAGAAGAAAGTTTGAATTCTTCAAAATGGTCTATTAATTGCATGTAATTGGCAAAACTTGCATTACAATGGTTGCGACATTTAGCGTCAGTTTCAGCAAGCTTAATCAGCCTTATTTGTTCTTCAGAAAACTTGGACAATAATTCTGGCTTGATTGGTTTAGGTGGTGATTGTCTATGAAGGTGATGGTGAAGACGATGGTTGTGACTGTGGTTGTGGTTGTGGCTATGACCAACTGTACGTGGCGATGTATTCAAGACTAATTTAGAATCAGCACCTCCACCAAGGTTGAAAATACTAGTGGAACCAACAGCAGCTCTGACATCAAAAGCAGACTCTTGTCTTTGTAACCTTGGACTGTGCTCGACACTTTGAGAAGCCAATACAACAGAAGTTCTGTTTCTCATGGTTGACAAATCGGGGTATGACATACTGGTATGAGGTAATGGACGTTGAAGAGTATGTGTAGTTTGCTTTGGGGATAAGTCAAACTCGTTGGATACTGGAGTGGTTGGATCAGTGCTGTAATGATTAATGTATGCCGATTCATGGTTGTGGATATGGTTATGACTATGAAGGTTAGGTAACTCGTTATAGTATCCATCATGGAAGTCAATGAGACTGTGAGTATGTTGAATTGGAGCTTGAGAAACTGGTTGTTGTGGTTGACTAACGGTTATTTGAGAAGGTTGTTCAAACAAGTACTGTTCGTTGTAACTTAAGTAATCGTCTTGTTGTTTTTGATCAAAGACAACAAAAGGAACCGGAGAAACCGGAGTAGTTGAGATAGATTGACCAGCAGAGTTATAATCACCAGGAGTAACTGTGGCTTTGTTATTAGTGTTATTAATAGTATTAATAGTATTGGTAGAATCAGTAATGTTTTGAGAATTAGTGGTAGTGTGATATGAGTTTAAGGTAGTATCTTCCAAAAATGGTTTAGGATTGGTAATAAAATCATTGCCAAGAATGTTATCAAACTTAACTTGTAAGTCAATCATGTCATTGAATGGATATGATACAGAAGGAGTAGTGGTTGTAGTGGAGGTGGTGGAATTATTGGCAGAATTAATAAGTGAGTGTGGGCCAGTGATAATACTGTTGTCATTCAAAAACACATCTTGAGTATAACTTTGTTTGAAAACAACATTGTCTGCTGGTTGGTTTGGTGAACTGGCAAGCTGTTGTGGAATAGTAGCGTCCAAGCCAAGCAGTGTTATATGAAAATGAGCGTCTCCTTGGAAGTCTGAGTATGTAAACATTATGAATTGAATAAGGATATATTTATATGAGTTTATGTGCCTTCAAGACAAAACTAAGAATTGAATAGGTTTAATTATGAAAAAATTATTGGTCGTAATTATGGTCGTTGTTGGACAGTCGATTTAGATATATCTTATCTGATATTAATAAAATCGGGTGATAAAAAAAAAGTGCAAATGGGTAATTTCTAATGCTAGTTAGGATAAACTTCTATTAGTGTGCTAGTGGCTTTAATAATCTAAAGAGAGAATTCACTTGATATATCAAATAGTATAAAATTATGATAGCCTTAAAATTAGGGAAAGTTATCAGTATATTTATATTTAACAAAATCCTTAACCCATTTTACAATTGAAAATAAATTGAAAATAAAAAAAAAAGAATTAAAATTAGCAAAAAACTTTATTTTTTTGAAATTATTTTATGTTTGCTTTTTAAAAAATGCCCAAAATCAAAATACTACTTGACAATGTATATCTAACTATTTTTTTCAATTGTAATTCTTAATTCATTATATTATTTTTCATCAATTATTTTTCAAGTGTCTAAAAAATAATATATTATGCACAACATGCTAATTTCAAATAAAAATAATCTTCGATTTCTTTTTTCATTTGTTCGTTCAGCTTATTGTCTAATTTGTTTTTACTTTCTTTTTCTTTTAATTTTGGAATTTGTACCGTATCTGAAGTATCAACAGTAAGAAATCTTACATATCAAGGCGCACTACTACCAATCATATATCCGATTGGTAAGAAGAGGCCGGGATATGTGTTAGTATAATGTAATATCTTTGATACACACTACGCCCGGGACATAAAAAAACGTACAAGGGCTATTTGGTCTGGTGATTGGCGTAGCATTAGCTCCCATAAAGAAAAAAAAAGTAATTTATTTAGCTAACATTTCAATAGCAATTCATATTTCCGTGGAAACTTGAATCCGCCTGTAAAGGTCAGTGCCAAGGATGAGTACTACCAAAAAAAAACTTTCAACAAATCTAACGAATGCTTAGCACGAAATTAAATGAAAGAGATTTCAAGTTTATAGGAACATTTGGATGTATTGTTCCGCCTGGCTCATAAGAGATTTGATGTTGCAAAAAAAAAGAAAGAATTAACCTGATTTTGTTTTGTAAATTTGTTTGTTGAATCAACAAACGTTTACACCCAGGGCGACATATGTCATATGACGGCCACTATTATGCTCCAGAAAACAAGAAACAAATCTCATTTGATTTTCCCCCTAAATTTAAGGTTTGGTTTAGTCGTTATTTTCTTGGATTAGTCATACGGTATTTGAAATTGTTGACTTGAGAGATTTCCTTGTCTTCTACTGAATCATGAGGTAATTTGACCATCTTTGAATCGTTAAGTTTAATCCGATTCAATTACTTGATGGCTTGTATATCGGTTTTATTTCGGAAATGAAACTTTCGAACTAACTTAGTAGTTATAGCAACGAAAAAAAAAAAGAAAATTAAACCGTGCGCAGCAGCAATTAGCAGATCGGAAATTAATTTGCGCATTACGCATGTAATTTTTCTTGTACAAAAAGAATCCACCAGGTAAAGAGCGAATGTATCTCGATTGCATTTGCAAATTTCTGTATAACTTATTCCTGTAGCTGATTACATTTCCCCAACTTTAAAGTAGCCGTCAATTATAAAATTGTTGAGTTGATGTGTGTGATGTTTCGGGGTTAGTTGTCGGAGAAAGCATTTCTGGGCGTGCACTTTGATACCCGTCAAGCGTAGGATTAAGCTGTAAACTAAACAAAGAGTGTTGCAAAGTTTAAATCTTGTAATTAAAGAATCTTCACAATGTATTGTTTGCGATTTCTGGGTGGGGTGGTAAACTAGCCATCTTAGGCTTAAGCTTCCCTGGTAACGTTTGTCAAAATTATTCCTATGAGGTCATTATTAGAAAAACTTAAAATCAGTTGGGGGCGATGGTCGTAAAAAATAGATTATGGTACTTAATTGGTGTTGACTTTGCACTCAAAGTGAAGGTAAATGCACCCTTGCAAAATGGTACAAAACTTGGCGGAATTTTTATTTTTCACATATTGACTAGGACTACAACAATGGAAAATGACAAGACAAAAAATAAAAAGAAAAACCCAAAAAAAAAAAAAAAAGAAATCAACATTGAATGTACGTCGGCGTTGTTGCCATAGGGTCCAGTTTGGCAGCCAACGTTTCTGTAACAACAAATTACTAATTAATTAAAAATGGTTGTAAGAATTTCTCCACATTCATCCACATTTAAAGGGGAAGCCTAAGAATTTAAATATGCCGTATTTGTAAACAATGCTCATGGTAATACCTTGAATAGGTACCGTAGTTTTCTTTGTGATTATATACAGATAAGAGAGATAGAACTACTGCTCATATAATTCTTAGTTTGTTTATTTTTCAGCATGTGCATGGATGGCATGTATGGCATGTATATGCGACTTTAGAATGATTCATGTTCAAGAAGTGGGTAACTTAAACCGTGCAATTACGTGATTCCCAGGCGAAACTTGAATTATTGCATGTTTGCCTGAATATTTCAAATCATGTTAATTGCAACGTATTAACATTCCGCCATTTATTTCAGTGTTGTAATTTTTTTTTCTTGAATCTTTTCTTGCTTTTCTGCACTACTCGGACGTACTATCCGAACACCGAATTAATCCCTTGCATGTCACCAGGTGGATCAGACAAAATTACTGCATTAGGTTACATTTATCATGTGCGCTAACCCCTCTCCCCAGTCCTTCCAATTGTATTCTTACAAGTTTCTATTCCGTAACAATTGCTGCAAATGTATTTGTCCCCATATTTTTTTTTGAAGTTTTTTTAGGGGCTTAGAAAAATTACAACCCGGAAGTACCTAAACAGACCAATTTAGCGGATATATGCGAAAAAGTTTAAAAACATAGCCACCTCGTGTTCCTGTATCTCCCGGTGTCAGAATATATGTTTGAATAAACTTTATAAGGTTTCGCGTATAACGCCTCTGGGTATACCAGGTATCTTCTGGCTCGTCCAACCTTTCTGATCCGCCTGTATGTTTTAAGCGCCTGTGCATGAGCTGCAAGCTGCTGTGTATTGTTCAGATCTTGGATTTAACTAGTTTTTTTTTCCTTTGTAGTATCAATAATACAAGCCGCTGCCCCTGAAGAAAAAAGGAGCTATCTATTTACGAAATTTAATTTAATTCGCTTTATCTCATAGATAAGATTTTTGTTATCGTCGTAAGTAAACAAATATGTTTTACAAATGTCTGAATTCCTAGCTCCCTGTTTGGAAGTGCTTCCGATAAAGTATTTAGTTTCAGGTAATATATTCCGCAATTAGTACTACGGCTATTTTTGTTGCAAAATGAAACTGATATCACCGCCTGCGTTCCTATCACGCAACCACGTTGGATTGGCAATATTCGTTTGTATATGCGAATAAAGTTGAAAGTATTGGTTTGAGAATGGTATGGCCTTTACCGCGATGCATATTCAGAACAACTGTAAAAGTAAGATCGAATTTACAACAGTGCAATCAATCGCCCAAATTTTATGCGATTAGGGGGGAAAGAGGGGAATAGATGAATTCCGCAGTGGATATCCATGAATTGAGTCCGTAATATCTCTGGGAACAATGTCTCCATCTTTACGTTGTTTGTTTTGATTCTTTTTTTGGTTGCTGTTCCTGCGGAAATCTACTCGAAATCGCCCTCACCCCTTGTTCACCCCTAAAATATTCTCAAAAATATTTGTTCAGCTGAATTCGTTTACGGTATCTACAATCGTGTTAACTTACGAGAATTTTGAGGGGGCAACTTTAAATAGGTAACTTGGTTCTCTTTCACTAAATATGCGTGAGATTGTTAATTTATGACATGATGCATTCTTGATCGGAAATAGTTTTCCGCCAGTGGGCTACTATAGAAATTAAATGCTGTTAACAAGGCAAGGCTGTTGTTGTTGTTCAGTTTTTGAGATCTTTTTTTGCTTGACTCAAAAACCAATACAGAAAAATAGATTGTTAAAAGCCAAGGAGAATATATGCATGAGAATGCATGTATAGGAATAATATTTTAAAAAATTATAGTTATTTTTTAGTGATGCCACAAAACCGTAACTAGATCAATTCCCCCAAACCTTTGACTAATTACGAAATTTCAAGCGTTATGAGGTATTGCACTATCAAGAAGTATACTACAAGCTCTATATATGATTTAATTTATATATTGCATCTGTTTCTCTTTGCTGAGAACAGCTCTACTACTTTATCTCCTTACTAGTAGTTTAGACAATTACTATTTTCTATAGCGCACGAACGAAACAATAGACAAAAAATAATATAATTGAGAGGGGTCGGAGGGAGGGGTACTTAAATTAGGGGCGGACTTATTTTACAAAAAAAAATATATTCGTAATTACTTCGCTGAATAATCTTTGTATAACCCTGATGGCATGGCGGCGATTAAAGTTATCAGATCCATGCATTGGCGCTAATATCAAACTTAATCAACCTTGGTGTGCTTAATATATCAAGTATAAAAGGTTAAAGGTGAAATCTTGCATCAAGACAAGAAAAGATAAGGTAGGGGGCAATACTAAGCAATCATTAAAGACATGAAAGTATTTAAGACAAACTTTATGCAGGAACATTGGATTTAAACGGAAAGAACAATTCCTTGTTTGTGTTTATATCATTTTTTTTGTTGGCTGTCTGATAATTGAACTAAACTTTTAGTTCAACTTCATAATCATATAATAATCAATTGTTTTCAAGTACATTGACTTACGAAACATTTGATACATATTTTTGTTTCTAAATATAAAATCAAGGTGTCTAAAAAGCTTTGGACCATAGATATTCCGTAAAATACTGCGAAAAAAATAATTATTGATAGACTGTAGATTTCATCTTCATCACCTCCTTGCCAAGTTAGCTACTCCAGACTCCATTTTATTTGGACAATGATTGTAAAATTTCTTGGCTTAGGGATCTACTTTACTTGTTGAAGAATGTAGCTTGATGTAGCATGATGTAACAGTTACGTTGGAACGGGTTAATTACAATTCAAGGATACACCTATCTTTAAAAGTAGTCTAGGCCAGCTCAAGAAACAATGGGAGAACAAAGGAGGGGTTAAAATGAGGGGCGGAGGTAAGTCAAAGTAGTACGCGAATGCAAGACATCAATAAAAGACTCGATTGTTTCGATTCTTTCTTTTGGTTTGTTCTCTTGGGGTTTGTGAAGGATTGTTTTGTCCATAAACAAAGGAAATTGATTTTGACAGAGCAAGTCCGGGAGAGAAAGTACACCATTTAAAGCCAATCGGAATATCCGTGGATAATTGTGATCTGCATGAGTTCATCATATAGATTCTACATGCAAATGACTCTGGATCTGCCACAGTGAAATACGGCTCGTTCAAATGAATACAAAATCGATGTTACTGTAACGTCCAAGGTGGAGGAAATATGGATGCTAAGGCATTTTCAATTTGGTAGGGCGTTTTACTTCACCTAAAAATTGAAATATAAAAAAGAAATGTAGAAATAAAAAATAAAAAAGTTTAGGCATGCAGCCATGTCAAAAAAATAATATTTTGTATGTCCCCTTTCTGTAAGATTTAATCGAATAATAACCATATTTTCTGAAGTTTATTTTGCAAGCATTATGTACATAGTTACAAATCTTGTTTTAGTTACATAACAATATAATTTGTAAAAAAAAAAAACAGATAAAAATAAATTAAAAACCGCAAACGGGGAGTGCATGCATGGATCTTTATTTTCAGTTCATTCTATTTCCCTGGTTATAAAACAAAGGGCGATGTGACAAGGAACTAGCAGAGTCATGTAACCATGATCGAAGTCACTTGAAATTTGCTTTCGATACAAGTTTTGTATGGTGCCATCAGCAAAAAAAAACATGAAATTTGGGGGGCGTTTAGGGGTTGTCAAAAAAAAAAACAGTAAATCGTTTCAAGTTTCTGCATCAAACGTTTCTTTTTACAGTTAAACCAGTTTTGCTTATCGGTTCTAACTCGTAATCTTGGAAGTCTAGTTGGATGTTTTTTTTTTGAAAACTCGTGGCTGATTGGTTAGCCACACTTTTGTGATATTTTTATACTAATGAAACCCCATGGGATTGGTTCTTTCGCTTGATGGTCAGCCCCAGGGTTCGTTTCCTTCTCTTGTGGTTATTTTTTGAAGTTAAGCTTTTTTAGATTTAATTGATAGGTTTTCTACCTTCCAGCAGATCTGATGATGACTTTACCTTCGTTGGTTTATCCTGGACGGTGGCGCGCGCTGCCAAAAAAAAAGCTTTTTTTTTTAATTCAAGATATTTTTTGACAGATAAATGCTTAAACAAAAAAGTTGAGAGTTATTTTTTATATTTTTATTATTTCTGCAAGATGTGCAAGTTTGTTTTTTTATTTCTCTTGCTTTGTTGCTCTTTGATTGTTATTTGTTTCACAAAAGATTATAGATTGGATTTATTCTATTTTCTTAATTGTTAACATTTAGATCTGAAGAAATAAGATAAAGATCTGTAATAGGATTTTGTAAAATTATTTTCTAGGTAATGCAAGAAATTATATTTTTTTTCCAGCCCTTACAGGGTGGGGTTATAAGTGGGGTCAAATTTATAGCCCTTAATTTAAAAGACGGAAAGATATTCCTTAAACAGACAAGGTGCATGGACTATTTACGAACTTTCTTGACTCGCTGGTATCCCAACAATTTTCAACTGGTTAGTTTTGGTTTAAATAATTAGACAAGTATAACCGAATAACGTTATTTCTCGACATGTAAGTTTATGCGGTCGGAGATTTGAAGGAAGGTCCTGAGATATATTTTTTTCTTGGGCTATGGCCCAAGATTGGGGGATACTTTTTTTTTTGTTTGTTCATTCAATTCGACCGATATTCAACGGCATCTTTGCATGATAAATTTTTAATTACAGCGATCAATTGTGTAGGGCTTGTTGCTGGGACAATTAAATTACATAAGCTAATACATGTGTTGGTCTGGTGAAAAGCAAGCTGGAATCAATGGGCACTGAGCCTCATTTTGCGAGAATTTCCATTATGATTGTTCATCTCGGCAGAACCATTTTGCAATCGGCAGGTTATAAAAAATTTCTTTTTCTACTGTGCTGTAAGATAGTAACAATATATGCAATGCAGGTTGATGTGCTTTGTTCACATACAAAAATAAAAGTAGTAACGTAGATAGCATCATTTCTACGGCGTTTCACGATTTAGTCATTAACTACTAAGTGCTAAGGCTAGAATATATTAAGATGTCAAACAGGTACCCCTCTATACACGTTGATAATATCGGCAACAAAAAAATTTTTTTTGGAGCGCACGCGTTTAACCATCAAGGCAAACAGGCACATCATCGTCGTTGTGGCTGCTGATTCGGTGGGGGCATTCCGCCTGGCCAAGATTACCCCGATTCGATTATTTTCCCACCATGTGGAATGGCTGAGAAAATATGACAACTTTTGACATGTTAACCAGAGTATTTTTGATCGTTTCCATGTGGTGCACCATGAAGTACAGACGTGTATTATGTAGTGAGTTCATTAGGCAACTCCTTCCCATCCTTCCATACGATCGTTCAATAGCACACCTGGTCTGTTACCGTATAGATTCTACATTCAAGCTGATGTTTGGGAGTTGTTGATTTGCACATAGTCTCTACTAGTCTCTACTAGTTCCTACTTTCTTTACAGCAATAGCTTCTTATCGGGTTTTACTTCTCACTTGTATAGGGTAATGGCGTCCTTTTTTTCCACCTATTACCACACACTTGCAATTTGTAATAGTGGCCATAACCTGGAGTGAATGGACTGTAACAACTACTCGTCCATTTCGTAAATTTCAATCAATCACGTGATGGGAGCATACACGCTAAACATGAAAATCGCAAAACACGCTTTAAAAAAAAGAGCACGTAAGTTAAGAAAATTCACTTGATGTTGTCACTTTTTCTATAAGCAACATGAGCTCTTCGGAAGCAGTAAGTAGTATCAATTGTATCGATCATGATTAATCAAATGCTAACTATACCTAGACACCCTCGTTGGACTTGAATGATGTCCTTAGAGAACATACTCCTACGTCATTCCAAGATAATCGACACCGTTATTTCACCAAAACTGAAAAACAACAAGTTGACATTGACAAAACTAGTAACAGGTTCAAATACTTGTTGGGCCTCACTGGACTTTTCCGCCATTTCATAGAGGCTAAGGCTAATAAGGATCCTTTATTCCGCAAGATTGTTGATGATATCCATGAAAGCGAAGAGCAAAAGAATAAGGATGCTGCCGTTCACCGTAGAAGAAAGACTGAGAAGGAAGAAGACGCCGAATTGTTGAGAAGCGATGTTGGCTCAACCAGCTCAATTTGGGAATTCACTGATTCTCCTGGCTATATTCATAATGGGAAATTAAGACCATACCAAATCCAAGGGTTGAATTGGTTGATTTCGTTGTATGAAAACAACTTGTCGGGGATATTGGCTGATGAAATGGGATTGGGTAAGACCTTGCAAACCATTTCATTTTTAGGTTATTTAAGATACATTAGAAATATTAATGGTCCACATATTGTCATTGCTCCTAAATCTACCTTGGATAACTGGAGACGAGAATTTAACCGCTGGATCCCCGACATTAAAGTGTTGGTTGTTCAGGGTGACAAAGAAGAAAGAGCAGAGTTGATAAGGGATAACGTATTGACATGTAATTTTGATGTTATCATTGCCTCTTATGAAATTGTCATTAGAGAAAAATCCACATTCAAGAAATTTGATTGGGAATATATCATAATTGATGAAGCTCACAGAATTAAGAATGAAGAAAGTTTGCTTTCACAAATTATTAGGATGTTTCACTCCAAGAACAGACTATTAATTACTGGTACTCCATTACAAAACAACTTGCGAGAATTGTGGGCATTGCTTAACTTTATATTACCTGATGTGTTTGCCGACAATGATTCCTTTGACGAATGGTTCCATCAGGATAATCCTAACGAAGACGAAGACAATAAAGTAATTGTTCAACTTCATAAAGTTTTGAAACCATTTTTGCTTCGTCGTATTAAGGCCGATGTTGAAAAATCTCTTTTACCCAAGAAAGAACTTAATGTTTATGTCAAAATGAGTGATATGCAAAAGAATTGGTATCAGAAGATCTTGGAAAAGGATATTGATGCCGTCAATGGTGCCAATAAGAAAGAATCCAAGACTAGATTGCTTAATATTGTCATGCAATTGAGAAAGTGTTGTAATCACCCTTATTTGTTTGAAGGTGCCGAGCCGGGACCTCCGTACACTACGGATGAGCATTTAGTTTTCAATTCGGAAAAGATGATTATTTTGGACAAGTTATTGAAGAAGTTTAAGCAAGAAGGTTCAAGGGTGTTGATCTTTTCCCAGATGAGTAGAATGTTGGATATTTTGGAAGACTATTGTTATTTCCGAGAATTTGAATATTGTAGAATTGATGGGCTGACTGAACATTCAGATAGAATCAATGCCATTGACGAATATAACAAGCCTGACTCGGAGAAGTTTGTGTTCTTGTTGACCACCAGAGCTGGTGGATTGGGTATTAATTTGACTACTGCCGACATTGTTATTTTGTTTGATTCTGATTGGAATCCTCAGGCTGATTTACAAGCTATGGATCGTGCCCATAGAATTGGACAAACTAAACAAGTTAAAGTTTTCCGATTCATTACTGAAAATGCCATTGAAGAAAAGGTTTTGGAACGTGCTACTCAAAAATTAAGATTAGATCAATTAGTTATTCAACAGGGGAGAAATATGGGTGGATTAGATGGACAACAAAGTAGCAAAGCAGCATCTAAGAATGAATTATTGGATATGATTCAATTCGGGGCTGCTGATATGTTCAAGTCAGGCGATGACAAGGAAGAACTTGATATTGAAGATATTTTGAAGCATTCCGAAGAGAAAACCATGGAGTTGAATTCAAAGTATGAAAAGCTTGATTTGAATGCATTACAAAATTTCACTAATGATGAATCGGTGTATGAATGGAATGGTGAGAATTTCAAAAAGAAGGAGTTGAATACTATTGATAATATCGGACATGGGTGGATCAACCCTGGTAAGAGAGAACGTAAGGAGAATTATTCCATTGATATGTACTATAAGGATGTTTTAAATACTGGTGGTAGAACCACGGTATCCAAGTCTGGTCCTAAACCACCTAAACAATTAAATATTTTTGATCATCAATTTTATCCACCTAAATTACTTGAATTGTATGAATTGGAAAAAAATTATTACAAGAAACAAACGCATTACAAGGTCAAGAATGATGATCCATTGGAAAAGAAATTGAAACAACAAGAAATTGATAACTCCCGACCATTAACCGAGGAAGAAAAGCAATTAAAGGAAGAACTTTTAACACAGGGGTACAGTAATTGGAATAGACGGGATTTTAATCACTTCATCCTGGTTTGTTCCAAATATGGACGTAACTCCATCTCCTTGATTGCCCAAGAATTTGAAGACAAGACTATTGATGAAGTTCGAGAATATGCCAAGGCATTCTGGAAGAATTATCAAGAAATCGAAGGGTATGAAAGGTACATTAATCAAATTGAAGCTGGTGAAGAAAAGATCCTTAAGGTTAAATTGCAAAAGGAAGCGCTTAGAAGAAAGTTATCTCAATATAAATATCCGTTACAGGAATTAGTATTGAAATTTCCACCTGCTGCCACCAACAAGAGAATTTTCAGTGATGAAGAAGATAGGTTCTTACTTGTGCAATTATACCGATTTGGAATTGATCTGCCTGATGTTTACGATCAAATTAAACAAACTATTAGACAATCGCCATTGTTTCAATTTGATTTCTTTTTCCAAAGCAGAAACACCAGTGAATTGTCGAGAAGATGTACTACTTTGTTAGCATGTATTGTAAAGGAAATTCATCCTGATGAGACCACCAATGGTAAGAGATCCAAGGAATCTACCCCTGATGTCAAGACTACTAAAAGACAAAAGAAAAAGTAAGTAATTGTATCAAATGTGTATATTATGTGTATTACCTATAGACAAATTAGCTATGCTGGTTTAATAGTGTTACAATGTAAGTTTCAAACTGTAATGGTGTTATAATGGAAGTAAATCTTGCTACGGTTTGGCCATCTCTATTGACGATAAACTTTTCAAAATTCCATCGCACGCCACGGAATCCTAGCACACCCTTGACCTGTCCTTTTAAATACGTGTATAATTCGTGTTCATCGTCACCATTGACATATACTTTCTTCATAATGGGGAAAGTAACACCGAAATGACGCTGACAGAAACTTGCAATGTTTGATTCGTCGCCTGGTTCTTGATTCCCAAATTGATTGCATGGGAATCCCAAGATCTCCAAACCCCGATCGTGATACTTTTCGTATAGCTGTTGTAGTTCTTTGTATTGTGGTGTGTACCCGCAAAGACTTGCCACGTTGACTATTATGACGACTTTGTTTCTGAATTGGTTAAAATCTATGTTGTTGTTGTTTCCATCAGGAATAACAAACGAGTAAAACTGAGATGGATGTCGTATGGTTTTGTTCATGTTGTGGTTGATAAATTCTAATAATGCAAAACTTTCATGTCCTCGGCTGAGGTTATATACAAGTAAAGGAATGTATTGGATGTGATGGATGGTTGGTAGTTGATAAATTTTTGCAACTTTCGATTACAAATAAATCATCCGGGTGTTCCTTTCCGTTCGGAGTTTGGACTTTCTTTTTTTTTTTTGTTTTCAACGGCTACCATGAAAGCGATGAGAGATAATGTGGCGTCGCCAGTTCAAATTAATAAGGCACGATTTAAAAGAATGACCGTAATGTTAAAGTTTACGTAACTGGGCTATAGGGAGGTGGATTAATACGAATGTAGTATATCAAGACTTCCAATAATATGACTCAGAAAATAAAAGGTTTTGTTTACAACGGTGAGCTTAACCGAAAGGAGGCACTGTCAAGGTATTGTCAAAGTATTGTCAAGGGAATGATGATTTCTAAGCCAATGAGTTGTAGCATGATGTCACCTGTTCGGACTCTATCGGAATTCGGCTTTAATGAGAGGTTGGCACTGTCTTCAATTTATAATGCACCTCCTCTTCAGGCCACTGACATTTGCTTAAAACTAGGTAGTAAATCACCCCACCAGGTGTGTTGTAGACTGGATTACGTAAGATGAGATATTGGATTGTTTATCTGCACATTAACAATGCCTTGATGTTGCATGTCTAAACTATTTTATTCTTGTATTTTATACTTTGTTCTTTATCTGAAGATATTTTTGCAACTATTAGAGATAATTCTTTCATAAATTGAGTAAAAATTTGAAAATTATGTCCAGTATTAGACCATACATTTACAAATAATAATTTATTTCTCCAGTTACACTAATAATAATAAATCGAACGATATTGATAACAAATATTCCAACGTGAATTTCAACTGCTGAATTCCCCTATTGACCCCACCCCCCTGCCCCAGGATCTGTCAAAGCCAATCAGCAAATATGCATTTTTATTTCCTTATCACCCCATTTATTTTTTAAGTCACGTGAACAAAATGTTCGAAAATCTCGATTGTAGTGCATTTTATTGCGCTTTCCGAAATTTTCCCTGTCCGTCTATCTCCTCCCCTCGGACCCGGGGTAGCAATTTAGTGGGTGAGATTTTAGTTTTCGTCCGACTCATTTTTTTTACCGAAAAAGAAATGACTGTAAAGACACAAAATAAAAACACAAACCAAATTACAAAAAAAAAAAGAATTGCCATCACTTAAAAGGAGAATTTTTAATTTACACTTTTTTTGTCAAGTGAACTTACACTCCACAAATACTCTAAAGCTTGTTTCTGTTCAACCGGACTCTTAAGCATTTTGAAGCAGTCACAAGCAAAAGTCAGTCTTTTTCAACCAAGAATTTTTTTACGAAAAGAATTAAATAAAAAAAAAGAGACCGAAAGCAGAAGGAAGAAAATTTTTTTTTTTTTTAGTTTGTTGTTTTGAGTTAATTTAATTGGTTTACATTTTCTTATAAACAACAGAAGACATTAGGGCAGGCTATTACTTGAATTCTAGTTGTTAAACGTATTCATCATGTCGTTTAAAGTTAATTGGAACTCGTTGGAAACGGAATCACTTGCTACTTGGACCAAGGAGATCTTGACTCTGGCTTTAAACTCCGGGAAGTCTCCGAACATCCTAGCATCCAATATATCCATCAAGGACCTTAATTTTGGTAAGATTGCTCCTGATTTTGAAATATTGGAGATTGGTGAATTGGCCGGTGATAGATTCAGAGGGATATTCAAGATTAATTATAGTGGTGACTTTCATTTGACTTTACACACACAAGTGCAGGCCAATCCGTTGAATATTTATTATTGTAACTCCATGGAAAAAGATGAGAATTTCACAACTCCCAGCTTTTTACTTTCAAATGAACAGTTTGCGTTGCCTTTGGACTTGAAATTGTCGGATATTAAAATCAGTGGGATTGGGATTATTGTGTTTTCAAAGACTAAAGGGTTGACCTTGGTATTTAGAAATGATCCATTGGATTCAATAAATGTCAATTCTACATTTGATACTGTTCAGGTATTGGCCAACTTTTTGCAAAAACAAATTGAAAACCAAATCAGAGATTTATTTAGAGAGACTTTGCCTACGCTTATTCATCAGTTCAGTTTGAAGTATTTGAATCTTGAAAATAATATTAATGAAATAAGATCTAAACTAGCAGCTGCTAGTGTTGCTGCTGGTTCAGCCAATACTATTAGTTCCACTTCCTCACTTAAAATGTTGGACGATGAAGAGGATTTCACCCTTATATATTCTAGCGAAAATCTTTATCAAATTTCGCAGTTATTCAAATCCAGAGAAACCATGAGTTTAAATATTCCAAAGTTTAGAAATGTAATCCAAAGAACACATTTGAATAAGTTTACCAAGAATTATCCAAACTTGTTGAATTCATTGTATATGAACAACCTCGATTTAAAGAAGTATGTGGTTCCTACCACCGCCAAGGGTATCCCAATTGATATTTTGACTGAGGAAAAGAATTATAACAAGGTTGATGAGATTATCCACGAGATTAGTTCCATACAAGCTAATAGTTTCTACAAATATACTAAAACTGATGAACATAAGCCTGTGAAGCCAAAGAGAAGAACAATCAAGTTGGGAAAGAAGAAGAAGACGCAACAAAAGGAACAAGCTCGTGAACCAGTTACTCCTGTTGTTGCCCAAGAGGTTAAGTTTGAACCACCAATGATCATGGAAAATGTGTCTACTCCTACACTCATCGATGCCATGTCAATGTCAGTTTCCTCATCAGTCAACTCGATAATCAAACCAAAATCAACCACATCTGAAGTATCATCAGGCAAAGTCATTCTTCAACCAAAGCCATTGCGGTCAAATAATGCAAGTTCGACCAATCTTTATCAAGACTTTAAAGCTACTACCATCAGAGAGTCTAACGAATGCTCTACTCCTAGACTTTATGAAAAGGTGTTGAACAATGGCGGTGTAGGATTAGGTAATGCCATCTTCAATTTCCCACCAAGAACCATCAGCACATCACCCATAAAGACTCACGACAAGAAGTCAATCAATCATATTGATATAAACAAGATTTCCAAGAGAATTCAAGAATTGACTAATGAGAAGCATAGCAGGCCTCCTATGAATTTACACGAGCTGTTTTATGGTGGTAATGCTGGGTTTATGGAATCGTTTGCTAGTGTTCCTCCTCCTCCTCCTTACTATTAGATGTTGTATGTGATTATTGCGAGTTATTATTTATTATTTCGGTTTTATAGGTTATGGGTATAGTTGTTCATGTATTTTAACTGTATTTTAGAGAAGGAATAAGTAGACCTGTAAGTTAGTGCAAGTACTTTTTGCAAAAGTTAGCGTTTAGTTTCACTTTTATAGAGTGTATATGAATGTCGGCGTTTGGAGGGTTGATTTGTTGGTTCAACAGAACCAATCTACGTGAAAGTGTTGGTAGATCTAGCAAGTGTATCACTATAAGCCTAATAAATGAGGTAAATCTACGCTACCATAAGGGACGATTCAAATTAAGAAAACGCGCGTTATTTACTAAAAAAAATGAAACAGGAAATTATTTTTAGAAACAAAGCGACAAAATCAAAATCACAATTAAAAAAAATTTTTTTTTTTTTTTCCTTTTACAACAAACATCACCAAATTACAACCTCACACGTACTCCCGTTTCTTTTCCAGTTGACTACACTCAGACACATTACACATTACATCTTTTTTTAATACCATAGCACAAATACTGACACCATGACTTTTGGATCATTTGATAGTATTTGTAACAAGACGGCCTTGCCCCTTTGTTCTGTGCTTGGTTCCGTGAATCAATCCTCAGATTTCCAAAGGGGGATATTACCACAATGTTATGCCCGATCCGTGGAATTAGCCAACACCATGATTTTCCAAGTGGGCACTGCGTTTGTTCATTTCGGGGGATTGATTATTGTTTTGATTATTATCTTCAATGTCCGAGCCAAGTACACGGCTATTGGAAGAACAGAAATGTTATTTTTGTTATATTTATTTATTGGATTGTTGGTGTCGAGTTTGATTGTTGATTGTGGTGTTTCCCCACCTTCCAGTTCAAGTTACTCATATTTTGTTGCGGTACAATTGGGACTCGCCAGTAGTGTATGCGCATGTCTATTGTATAATGGTATCGTTTGTTTCCAGTTCTGGGAAGATGGTACAAGAAAGTCCATGTGGAGTTTAAGATTGATTTGTTTTGGGTGGTTTGTCGTCAATTTTATCATTGCATTGATCACTTTTAACCACTGGAATACAAGTTTAGACAATAGAAACACCATGGTGTTATTCATATTCACCTACTTATTTAATGCCATCATCGTGGCTACCTATGTCGTTTCTCAAATTGTTTTAGTTGTTTTTGCCCTTGACTCATATTGGCCATTAGGTGCGATTATATTTGGGGTGTTTTTCTTTGTTGCTGGACAAGTGTTGACATATGTGTTTAGTCATGCCATTTGTAGCGGTGCTGCTCATTACGTGGATGGGATCTTCTTTGGAAGCTTATGTAATGTCTTCACTGTGATGATGATTTATAAATTTTGGGATATGATAACTACGGATGATTTAGAATTTAGTGTGGCTAATGTCGAACAAGAAGTTCCTGGAGGAGCCGGAATTGGACTTTTGGATGATGAAAAGAGAGCTTCAAGTATGTTTTTCGGGTAGGCAAATAGTACAATACAAGTTATATTAGAATTTACGTCAGATAAGGTGTAACTGTAGCTCTGTAGCCAACGGAGATAAGATTAATTTGACATTGCAACATATTAATTTGATTGACTAGTCAACAAGTTGTCTCACATGGGAATGTTTCCATGTGTGTCGCGACAAACTTAGCGGCGGAGCATTTTAAGTGAAATTTTACTTTGCATGACTACTGTCGTTTAATACGATCTGATTTATAGTTTACGAATTGTCGATTTTTCAACTTCTACGTTTATTCATTTTACTTTCTCCTGTAGACTACCAGTTCTAATATCAGCCTCGAAGGGTCTAGAACTTCGATTTCCTCGTTTTGGAAACTCTAAAAAAAAATCGAGTGACGTAAATTAAAAACAAATACCCAAAAAAAAAAAAAGTACAGAACTAAAACAACGAACTCCCATATATATATAAAGCACACGCTGATCCCTAACATGCCAGACACAACTGCATCAAGCGACAGCTCCGATCCATCATCAGCAGCTCAATTACTTGAAAATGATCCCAAGATCAAATCAATTCTTGCTAGTGATTCTTCTTTGGAAATCCTCCTCAATCGACTCAAACAATCCTTAAACACTAGTGAGGAATTCCTGAAGTTTTTGAGAAAGAAGGCCCAGATTGAAGATGACCACTACAATCAGCTTCGTAAATTCGCGGGTAATTCGCGTACAGGGATGAAAAATCTGGGGAGCAGATTAAAGAATGATTCGTTACTGGTTCAATTGGACAAGATTATCAGTTTTGATGAACAAGTTTACAATGTTGGTAGCTCTTATGTCAAAGGGTTGAACACCATGTATGATGAACTTACTGCATTGGTAGAGACAGTGGCCAAGCAGAGAAAAGCCATCAAGGACGACGGTAAAAGAAGAGAAAAGGAGTGTATGGACGCTATAAGTGCAGCCCAGAAGGCAAAGACTAAATATGATCACTTGTGTGAAGATTTAGATAGATTGAAAACCATGGATCCAAGTAAGAAGTCATTCAGTTTGAAAAACAAGTCAGTTGAACAACAGGAAGATGATCTTACACGTAAAGTGGATACAGCTGATCAAGATTACAAAAGCAAATGTACCACCTGCAAAAAGTTAAAGGATGAGATTTTAGTGATCCACCGTCCAAACAGTTGCAAAAAATTAAAGAATTTGATCTTAGAGTTGGACATTGCTCTCAATGTTCAATTACAAAAGTATGCAACCTGGAGTGAAACCTTAATTATGAACTCGGGAGTATTAATTAGTCCGTTACCACAATCAAACAAACCTTCAATGAGGAAAATGGCTAATTCAATTGATAATGAACGAGACTTATATCAATATTTATTAAGCAGTGCCTCAAGTGTAAGCACCAATGGCACCCTTATCCCTGTGGAATATCAGGTTCATCCAACATTGCGAAGAGCTAATGATATAGGTAAACCGTTCTTAAAAAGTAAAGCTAATAACTTTGGCAATACTTCAACATTTAGCAGTGGTGTCAACAAGCCCACTCCAGCTATTAATACTGACTATAGAAATGATAAACCAGAACCAATAGTGCCCCCCAAAGAAATATCTCCAGTCCCACCAGTGTCCACTACAAGTTCTTATTATCCATCACTTGATCCTAAATTTACGCCAGCAAATGCTGGACCTACCCCAGACTTGAATGGACCAAAACCATTGATTGAACCTATTGCAACCGCTCCAACGCACACCTCCCCACCTAAACCACAACTCACTCCTAGCCAACCTACATTTGGTGTATCCATAGAAGATGTTATACAATTTGCCGGAGTCGACAACGTCCCATTAGTTGTGCGTAAGTGTATTGAAATCATTGAAACATACGGTCTCAACATTGAAGGTATTTACCGAACAAGCAGTAATTCACAACAAGTTCAACAATTAAGGGATTTAATCAATGAAAACTTTACCAATTACTTGATGATTGGAAAAGACATCAACCCTAAGAATGTCATCCACACAGAAATATTCACGGTGGCATCCTTGCTTAAAATGTACTTCTCCAGTCTTCCAGAACCGTTGTTCACAGCCACGGCAGCACCATCATTCATTGAATGTGTAAAATCCAACGATGCAACCTACATCGCCAAAAAGTTACACCATTTAGTCTTTAATTTACCCGATGGAGCTTATTTCACATTGCGTGCGTTGATTTTCCATTTAAACAAAGTAGCGCAACATGAACAGAGCAATAGAATGAACAGCAAGAGTTTGGCGATTATTTGGGGCCCAGCTTTGTTTAACCAAGAAAGTGAAAGCATTGATGATTTAAGTTATAAGAGTAAGGTTGTTGAAGAGTTAATGTTGATTGCTGAAGATATTTTTGAATTGGATGATTAGTGGATATCTGCTTAGACGTTTGTATTAGGATATATATTACTTGTAGTAAATTAAATGCCCAGATTTTATTAATACAAAGATATTCGCATACCAAGAATCTCGGGTAATCTGTCACGGCATTTCTTGGAGGAATGAGCTTCTTAGCAAAGAACTGCCTAATACGGATGGAACACAAAACAGAATAACTTTTGTTAAATTTCTTGACTCTCTAATACTTTGAATCTTTATAGGGCATTGGAAAAATTCCGAGGGTTTAAGCTACATGAGAATAATTTTGATCATGCGCATTCTTGCAGAATCGTGATTGCACAAAAAGATTATTGCTACTCAAATATACGACCGAGAACGATTAACCGGGGTTCATACATAGAGCCAAGAAAATTCATTCAAACTAGTTTGGAAATCTCGTATTCCCTTTGTATACTATATTCTACTCATAGCTGTATTGAGCCTGTCTTCTCTAGATCTCAAATCAGACTCATGCAAGTTCAGGCAATATCTTGTTGCCAAGACTTAACTTGCCCGCAAGCGCGCAAATTATTAATTCTAGGATCAGCATGATAATAAAGTAGGCTACCTCCCGCCAAGAAAACCTAGATATTATTAAAGGTAAGTTCAAGATCTGAGAAAAAAACCGTTGCGTTGCGAGCCCCAGGTTTAACCCCAGGACCCTTCACAACTCGCTGACATGCATTTACAATACTTGGAACTATTAACATTCAGCTTGAAAGGACGCTTTGATCATTGAAATCTTAGAACATCACCATCTGATGATGAAACAATGCAACATCAATACCAGATATCATCACTTGATCAAAAAAAAAAAAGTTTAAATTGCATTATTTTTTAGGTTGCGCTTGGTATCGGGTTCCAGATTTATTTTTTTTTCTAGTAATATTTACCTTTAGCATACTGTTGCAGTCGAGCCACTACCAACTATGGTGAATGAAAGGCATGATATAAAAGTACTAGTTTCTTCCTCTTAGAATCAAGTCCTTTTTTTTTCATGACCATCATAGCTGAACTAGAATGTATTTGCTACTAATTCTTTTACAACTACTTACTTTTGCTGCAACTCAAGAAATTAGCGGGGTTTTCACATCTTTTAACTCATTGACTTGGTTAAATAGTAACCCCAATACCTTTCAAACTCCTGCATCTCCTGCATGGATTGCTGAATTAAGTTGGAAGATTGACGGTTCGGTGGTGCTGGCTGGTGATACGTTTTCCTTAACTATGCCTTGTGTGTTCAGGTTCTATACGGACCAAGACTCGGTTAATTTGCGCGTTGGTTCAACCAATTATGCTACTTGTGATTTTATTACGGGTGGAATATCTCTGACTGATTCTGAATTGAATTGTGTATTGCTGGATGAGGTTGAAGAACTGATTTTAGCTGTTGGGAAATTAACGTTTCCTATTGTTTTCAATATAGGGAGATCGACTGAGGATGTAGATTTGTATTGCTCAACTTTCTATCAAGGAGGGTTAAACACTATTTCATTCATGGATGGAGACAATACCCTTTCTATTGATGTTGAATTCCAAGATGGAACTCCAAGTGGAGACCCAAATGGACCAATGTATGGTGCACGAATGCTTCCATCCAGCAATAGATGGCAAAATTACGTATTAGGAGGGTTGTGTCCCGGAGGACTCAGCACAGCAACAATCGGTATAACAATCAACGATGATGTAAGTACAATTGACTGTGAAACTGCTAATATCCGCCTTACAAATGCAGTCAACGATTGGTTCTATCCCGAGTCGTTCAAAACATTTACCACTGCCTCGAAATTATGTAGGCTGAACTCGTTTATGATTACTTATTGGGGTGTGCCTGATGGCTATCGAGTATTCATTGAAGCAGTTATTAACACAGATGGCAACCCTCCTCGTGTACAGTACACAAACAAATACTTGTGTCCCACTACTATTGACAATGGAGTCTGGGTGAATTGGTTACCGTATGACAGCGTTGAAGCAGACGGGCCTGGAAAGGAGATTATTACAGTCACCGAAACATGGACAGGTCTGGATACTGAAACGATAACTAAGTCATTTGATGAAGATGAGGATCTTACAATCACTATTGCTGTTAATATCCCTATTCCTACAATCACATTGACAGAAACTTATGTGGGAATTACTACCAGTTATACAACATATACAGTAGAACCAGGGGAAACTGCTAGTGTAGTTGTGTATGACCCTGTTCATACTACTATCACTGAAGAATCTTGTTGGGAAAGTGACGAGCTGATTACCACCACCATCATTGATCCAGATTGGGCTAGTGATACAATTTTGATTGTCACACCCTGCGAGGTGACATCAACAGAACAAGAGGAACTGTCAACCAAAGTGGAGGATATACCATCAGATGATACTTTAGATGATGATTCCTACAATCCACCTGAAATAGCAGACAATGCTTCCAGTGAAGAAATCACTTCAGGGGAGGTCCAATCAACTGAGATTCTTTCATCAGAGGAGGTCCAATCAACCGAGATTCTTTCATCAGAGGAGGTCCAATCAACCGAGATTCTTTCATCAGAGGAGTCATTTTCGCAGGATTCCACAACAGTACCATATGGTTCAACAAAGGAAACAGAGATTTCCACTGAAATAGTTCTAGAAGAAACATTTTCAACCGAGGATACCACACCGGAGAATAACACATGGGATGGGCTTACTGATGATGATTCTCAACAACCATCTTCAAACACTAAAAACGATTCTAATGAAGAGTATACCTCAGACCAAATAGATATATCATCTTCTGGTTCAGAAACCTCAGCTAAACAAACTACTACTGAGACTATACCAGACAATCACACAACAGATATTGTACAAGAAGATCCTGGAACCGAAATTTTGCTGGTAGAAAATACAACTGTTAGAGTACCTGATGATAATACAACTGACATTTCCCCTCTGGATGTAATTTGCAACCTGGAAAATGAAGCAAGCTCAGAACCGAACGAAACAAGAACCTATGTCAGCATAGTCCCTACGACTAAATCTAAAGATTCTACAATAACATCTGCTTTTTCTGGATACGAACAAGATACTATCACTAAGGTTATCACATACACTACCACCATATGTGAACTGGATACAGTCACTCAGGTAATTACATATACCACCATAATTACCAATCACGATTCCATTGCAAAGACAGCAACGGAAATGACTACTGAAGCAACTTCATTTGCGGTTACAACTGTTGGTGAAACCAGAACCATCATCTACCTTCAAGATAGCATGGGAACTACCAATGATACTGGAAACAACTCGCTGAATACAAAGTCCGATAGTAGAACAGCTAGCAATAATACTGGAAACAACTCGCTGAATACAAAGTCCTATAGTGGAACAGCTAGTAATGAGGAGATTCAGACTACTGCAAATTCAGAAAACAATTCAGAACACACCAAATCAGAGAGTGGACAAAGTGACATTTCTGAATATTACTCAGGAGGTACAGAATCTGATAGTGGAAAAGGTAACAAGTCTGTTGTTCCTGAAGAGAATCAAGGAACTAACTCAAGAAACAACAATTCAAGTACAAATTCAAACAACCGGTCTGATGACCAAACTACGAGAGGCTCATACAGTACAAGCCTCCAATTGGTCACCTCTAATGGTATTGGTTCTACAAGAGGAACCTCAACTTTTAGTTTGCTTTTCACTTTTGTGATTGCCATTTTATATTAGATATTTGATACAAGTGGTATACACATGTTTATACCACTTTTGTAGTTTCTAAAGTCTGTACTATTAAAGAGACACATTACTCTAGTTTGTATTAGTTATGTAACTTTATAATCATTAAACTTTATAACCTAAATTTTATAGCTCTTAAACTTTGCAACCTTTAAATGTCTATTAATAGTTTCTGCACGGTTATGTTAATTTAGATATATTAAGTCCGGGAAGTTTCGGAGAATCAAATAATACCAATTTGAATCAGCTTATACTCGTAGGAACTTATCCAAAAAAAAATATCGCTTACTATTAGCTTCACTCACCTATCACATACCAGTAAATCATAAACTATAATACCATATCTTTATCATTTGAGCTAGTATTTAACCAGTCATCTTATGGTAGTGATTATACCAGGGAAGCAGGTATAATCTCACAATGGTTTGCATACCTTTAAGAAAAAGAAAAGTAGACTGAGTTTTGATTTTTTTTTTTCAATATCGAGCCATAAACTGGTGGTCAGGCTCATAATCCTATATTAACGGCCATAATAACCACAGACAAAGAAAACAGGGCAGATTCATCACCTTTACACGTGACAAGGTTTGAAGCACAATTATCAAATGCAAAAAAATCTGCTCAAATAAATGACCAAAAGTATTGATCTTTATTTAGCTTTGTTTGCTTCTAGATGTTCTCATAATCGCGCGATACAACATCAACTAGATAATGTAATAAATAGCTCTCGATATTTAGTGTGTGTGTGTGGGAAGATGACTGACAAAAAAGAACCACGGATGTAACAAACACCGGAAACACAAAACAAAGCTTTAACCAAATCATCAGCAAGCTTCCAAAGGGTGTGGTTATGAAACGAACAGAATCATAATGGAACATGTGATAATAACATGCTAAATAGTTACAATCGAAATTAAAATGTTATTTACAAAAAAAAAAAAAGGGACAGTGGTGGTTTGTAAACGTTTGCTTCAGGAAGGATGAAACCATTCTATTAATAAAATGGTTATAAAAATTAAACGCCTCTTCATATAAAGGCTATCCAGATTTCATCTCAGATGATCATACCCTTGCATGAGTGTTTAAGCCAGGACGCATACATGTTTAACCATGTTTAATTTAGCATCATGTGCTGCAATCAAGTTCCACATTTGAACTTATATGCAAAGACAACAATGATATAAAAGCACCCCAGAATTCTATTCAGAACCATCAACCCGTTATTTTGAGCTTTATAACTAAACTAAAATGTATTTACTATTAGTACTTTTGCAATTATTTTCGTTTGTCGCTACTCAGGAAGTTACCGGAGTCTTTACTTCTTTTGACTCGTTAACATGGCTAGATAGTGGTAACTACCACATTAAATATCCTGCTGCTCCAGCTTGGATTGCTGAATTAGGATGGAAAATCGACGGTTCTTTGGTGCTGGCTGGAGATACGTTTACCTTGACTATGCCATGTGTGTTTAAGTTTACTACTACTCAGAGCTCGGTTAATTTACACGTAGGAGACATTAATTATGCTACTTGCGATTTTGCTCCCGGTGGTCTCTTTCTGGCTAATTCGGAGTTGCACTGTATATTGCTAGATGCTGTTCAAGACCTGACCTTGGTTGTTGGGAAATTAACTTTGCCTATTGTTTTCAATACTGGTAGATCATCAGCAGATGTAGATATGTTTTGCTCAACATTCTACAAAAGTGGATTGAACACTGTTTCGTTCACAGATGGAGATAAGACCCTTTCTATTGTTGTTGAGTTTAAAGGTGGTAGTCATTCTGGTGACATAAATAGAGCTATTTATAGTGCCAGGATCCTTCCAGCTGGTGATCAAGGGCAACATTATTTATTGGGTAGTTATTGTCCCGGAGTTCTCAAAATGGCTACAATAGGAATGACAATCAATGATGGTGCAAGCACATTCGATTGTTCAACTGCTCATGTTTACCTTACAAATTCTGTGAATGATTGGTATTACCCCCAGTCATTTGAGTCGATTGATCCAGTTTTTATTACATGTACACCAAAAGAATTTTTGATTAGTTATAAAGAAGTTCCTGATGGATACCGAGTGTTCATAGAAGCAATCCTCAATATAGTAGATGGTGTGAATCCAATTGTCTACTATAATGACATGTACATGTATACTACTCCCATTGATAAATCAATCGAGGTGACGTGGTACCCTTATACCCATGTTGAAGCAGACGGTCCTGGCAAGGAGATTATTACAGTCACCGAAACATGGACCGGTCTGTATACTGAAACTGTAACTAAACCATATGAAGATGAAGATCTAACAATTACTATCGATGTTAATGTCCCTATTCCTACAATCACATTGACAGAAACTTATGTGGGAATTACTACTAGTTATACAACATATACAGTAGAACCAGGGGAAACTGCTAGTGTAGTTGTGTACGACCCTGTTCATACTACTATCACTGAAGAATCTTGTTGGGAAAGTGACAAACTGATTACCACCACCATCATTGATCCAGGCTGGGCTAGTGATACAATTTTGATTGTCACACCCTGCGAGGTGACATCAACAGAACAAATGGAAGAGCTGTTGACTCTCTCTAGTTCTTCAGAATATGAATCAGATGACATTACCGAGATAGTTACACACACTACCACCACTGTGTCCGAGCAAGAGGAAGAGCTGTTAACTTTCTCTAGTTCTTCAGAATATGAACCAGGTGTCGTTACCAAGACAGTTACTCAAACTACCACCATTGTATCAGAGCAAGCTACGACCATTAAAGTGATTACATATACCACTGTCATTACTGTTAGTAATTGTGAATTAGTGGAAATTGCTTGTGAAACACCAGGTGTTACGGATGTATGTGATTCCAAATCCACAACTCAGTGTACCAAAGATTTAGGAGATGACACACCACAGACGAAATCAGGTGGTAGGTCAACCACTAAACCTGTTGGGAGCTCACATGGTACAAGCGTCCCATTAATCACTCCCCCTGGTGTTACCTATGTCGAGGATGGTGTTGGCTCTACCGGACAAAGCTCAAGTTTATATTTGATTTTAACTTTTTTGATTGCTATGTTTTATTAATAAAGTGGTTTGCTTGTGTGTTTGCACCACTTTCTATTCTATTCAGTCTGTCTATTTAAGACATATATTGCTCAAATTAGTGCTAACGTATATAGTTTATGGCCTTAATCCCATATGATTCGAACTATTAGATTGTAAACTTGTGTTCTGGATGCAAATAGAGTATTATTGAATATTTGAATTAATAGCATCTGCCTACAATATCTTTATTATATTTGTGCTAGTACATCATAAACAGATGCTTCTTGTCTTTATCCTTTGAACTACTGCTTGGAGGAGTTGATTGACTTGTATGATTATTATGACTGGAATTTGAATGAATATTGAATCTTGGAGGTTTGGTCACACGGTGAGTGGTGCTACTCAAACTCTTGACTCTGAAGTTATTCTTATAATCAGTATTATTAGCAAACTTAGCTTCTAATTTTAGTCTTTCCAACCTTAACTTCTCTTGCTCCCTTTGTTTAGCATACTCTTCATCACTTATACCCATAAGGATCCGTCGTATATCCATTAATTGTTCTCGAATAACATTGTGAAACTCGGGAGAATCAATAATTTTATCTTGAATATCTCTATCGACAATACTAAGCAATCCAGCTGCACCACTACTGTCATTTATGATTTCACCCTGTATTAATGCTGCCATTTTCCCCTTGTTTTTAGTAAGGATAGTAGGATCTTGCTTGACTTTGTTTTCAACAAGAATCTTAAGTTTGAGGAGTAAGTTGGCGTATGTTTCTGATTGTTTGAAATTTTCAAGAAGTTGCTTCCGTTGAGAGTCGAACTGACCATTCTTCTTATATATTGTTGTAAGTTGCTTTGAATCAGGTGGTGTTGGTTCTGTCATGATTGCCTGTGATAAGAAGAAACAAACAATTTGTAGCATGATCTTTTTTTTTTTTTTTTTTTTTTGCTTATAAGATTTTATTTGAACCGTGCTATCTCAGATTTACAACCACTAGGCAAGGATGTCCCACCTAGACAGCAGTAGTACAAGGGAGTCTACCCCGTCACATTCAACCACACCATCCCATCTTAGATCATCAACAAGCCTAGACATAGATCAGTCCACACACAAGCGAAAGAAACCAAACCATACATCTAGTACTGTTTCTGAATCAGTCATACTCCAGCTAAACGAAGCAAAGAATTCAAGTTATGCCGTGGTAGATATCGTTTTATCTGGTGGTGAATTAGCGCACTCATATAGTCTATACTATCGCCAAATTGAAAACCTATGTCGATTTAAACATATTGAACAAAGCCAATTGACACAAGTGTTGTATGATAAGTTACTGACCTATTTTAATACTCAGATCAAACCAGAAATAGACAGAATATTAAGTGGGGAGAATGATGAACAAACCATGAGCGAGTTTTTAATGTTATTTAACCAGTATAATGAAAAGCTTCGCATATTGGCTCGGTTGTTTCTATATTTGGATAAGAATTACTTGCTACAACATTCAACCAAGAAAACTATTATTGAATATGGGTTGTTTTTGTTTGTTGAATACGTATTGAATAATGAAACTGGTTCAAATCAATTATCAAGAATATTGTTACATAAGCATGACAAACTACTTCGTACACAAAGAGTGAGTAATACCATTAATCCTGTAACCCAGCAGTTGACAAAACTACTTATAAAACTTCATTCAACTCGTACACCGCCTACATTTGAATTCAACTTAACGTTAATTCTGAAGATTATCGATCATTATAATGAATTGAAGGAAACTTGGAGATGTCAACCAAATTATATTATTACTGTATTTCATCATATGAATCAAGAAATTGGGTATTTCAAGACATGCGGGAAGGATAAAGAGTTTATACAAATGTTGTTAATGAAACTTCGGTGGAACTTGATCTTCTACGATTTCAACAATGTTATACGTCATGAATTGCCCGAACTCATAAACAAGCCAGAGTTGAAGCTTCTTTATCTGTATTGTAAAATTACAGAAGCTGATTATAATTATGATTCAATGTCAATATTTGTTTATGAGGTTGGATGTTTTCTAATGGATGAATTTGAAAAGGTGATACAGAATTCACGAACAGATGGTAAGTCAGTAATTCCTACATTAGTTGAATCATACAGTTTTTATACTGAGAGTTTAACCAAACTTGGGGAATCAGACTCGCTTGAATTTGAACTTCGAAATTCCCTTTCTAGAGCAGTGAATACCGCGGGCAACAATACATACATTATATCCCAACTATGCAAAAATATAGACTCATATTTCAAGAAACCAGAAAATTTTCCAAATTTTGAGTATATCATGATTATTTTTAAAGCTATTAGCAACAAGCATGAATTTCTTATGTTTTACAAGAAAGATTTATCAAAGAGATTACTATTAAACAAGTCTAATGTTAAGGATGAAGAGAAATTAGCATTGGAATTCCTTGCTGAGATTGGAGAATCTGATGAAGATAGTATTTCACTTAAAGTCATGTTCAATGATTTGCAATTGTCAGCTAGTGAATATCCCCAATTGGCAAGTGCATCAGATTTTGAGTTTGTTCCTTTAGTTTTAGAAAAGAAGCACTGGCCTTCTCCATTGTATGAAGAGCTCACCATTACTTTACCCAATAATTTCCAAGAAATTCTTGACACTTTCACTACCAAATATTGTGAATTAGGCGAAAAGTTTAAACTGAGGAAATTGGATTGGAATAATTATAAATTGCATCAAATAATCATTATCGGACACTTTCATGAGGACATTGAAATTCAATGTAATTTACTTCAAGCGGTGGTTATAATTTTATTTAACGAGAAGCACAACTACACTTTAACGGAATTGAACCAACGTACTTTAATGGACGAACGGTTATTACGACAAGTGTTAGATACTCTTGTATCCAAGAAGTTGGTCATACAAACAGAAGGCAGCTTCAAATTGAATTCACATTTTACGTCCAAATCACGAAAAATTAAACTTGCCATGCTTAAAGATAAGCCAACGGATATGACAGTGACCATGTCCATGGAAAGAAATAGACAAGAAGAATACAAAGCCACTATTGTTAAAGTTATGAAACAACATGAGAAATATTCTATGACCAATTTGCTTCAAGATTGTCTTGATTTACTACACAAGCGTAACCCCACAGCTCTGGTTCATGACTTGAAAGCATGTATTGATGTGCTTATAACTAACGAGTATTTGAAACGACAAGATCAAGATACATTAATCTATATAGCGTAGTCTGTTTATACAGGATTATATTAAAATTTTGAGTATGTTGTTGGTTTAGATTAGACTGGGACATCTTCTGGATCTGGGTTGTAAACAAAGTGTTCACCAAAGTATGGGATCTTGGAGTAGAAAGTATTTCTGAATAATGGAACACCTTCGGTGAAGACAGCAACTGCAGCACCGGCAGCACCACCCCATAAGATTAAGTTTGGAACATAAGATCTGACGGTATTGATGTTGAATTTTCCAAAGTTTTGAACAGTTTTATAAACTGGACCTCTGACGTACTAATTGAAGTTAGTATAATAGCTTCACACAATTGAATAGATAAGTATACTTGTTTACATACTGAAACCATTTTGCTTTATATGTCTATGTTGTGATAGTAGTAAGAATGCACTGGTTAAATTTTCACAACTTTTAAGTAAGCAGTTTTTTTTTGCTGACGTTCATTGGCTTAACGGGCATCACGTGATAAATTTTTGTAAGACATATAGAAGGTGTAATATCTTTCAAGACATCTACAGTGTAGTTAATCGAGTAATTCATTAATAAATACATAGAATTCTATAAGTGCCGTACCTCTACTCAAAAGGATACTCCGGAACTATACATCAGGCAGTTTTAAACAGCATCAGGTTGAGCCATGATGAAATCAATAGTTTGACCAACAGTCTTCAAACTGTCAGCTTCATTATCAGGAATTTGAATATTGAATTCATGTTCTAATTCAATAACAATTTCAACAACATCTAAAGAATCCAAACCTAAGTCATTTACAAAGCTAGCATCTTCACTAATATCACCTTCCTTTGGAAGAATTGTCTTGTCGTATCCTTCTAACAATTCCAAGATTCTTTCCTTGGCTAACTCACGAGTTAATGCAGGAAAGGCAGCGTATGATCTAATCATTGTTATGGTTGGCATTGGTCTGATTAAACTTGGTCTAACTATTGGTTGGACACGGGCGAGCACTGGTGCTCTCAATGATCTAAGTACGGTATTTCTGAACATGATGCTATAGTATTTTGCTTGTATAGTGTAAGCAACTTGATTGAAATTTTTTCTGGTTCTTCATTTGTAGACTTTTAAGTGGTGGTTTGGGAAAGAAGTGCGACATTTCTTTCCCCCGAACGACATTATTGTGAACCTTGTGAACAAACAAAAAATTTTCACAGTAATTAAAGCTTGTTATACCCACTGATTTCAACAGAGCACAAGACCACCATGTTCAGATCATTATTAGCTAGTGGTGCTAGATTGTCTTCATCATTAATGATGAGACAAAACCCAATCGTTAGTAAACCAATCACATCATATATGAAATCCATCAGTTCAAACATCCCCCAATCAATCTTTAATTCAACCATGTCAATAAGACATGCCACTATAAATCAAATCAAATACGGAAAACAACAAAAGCCAGTTAAACAAACCCTCAGTAAATCACAAGAATTACAGAAAAATCCATTCAAAAAGGGTGTTGTTGTCAGAATTATGATTTTAAAACCAAAAAAACCTAACTCGGCCATGAGAAAATGTTGTAGAGTTAGATTGAGTAATGGTAAAGTTATATCTGCATTAATCCCAGGTGAAGGTCACAATTTACAAGAGCATCATATTGTATTGGTTAGAGGTGGTAGAGTTCAAGATTTGCCAGGTGTTAAATATAGATTAGTGAGAGGTGCTTTTGATTTAGCTGGGGTTGCCAACAGAGGTAGTTCAAGATCTAAATACGGTGTCAAGAAGCCAAAACAATAGTGTATATATTCGTGTAAATAGCTAAATTAAGATCTATCAAATCTTCTTCCACTGGCAGTCTTCTTTTCAACAACATTTTCTGGTTTTGCTCTATTTAAGATTTTGAGGAATTCTTTAACTCTAAATCTCATTCTTGAATGCATGTATGCTTTAGCACATTTAATATGATAATGGAAATAACTCCTAAATAATTCAATATGAGAAATACAATTATCTCTTTTATCACCTTTGACTAAATGTCTTGGAAAAAGCACAAAGGTAACATACCCTTTATTGTCATTATCACCACCGTGAACAACCTGTTGAATATCCAAAGGTGGCGAACCATGGGTATATATCACTTGAGGAGCAGTTTGTACTGCTCTCTTTCTAGCATCCATGAATTCTTGCAAAAAAACCTTACCGAAAATTTTATCGGTTTCATCTTGGAACACAGTCGAGAATATAACGGTGACTCTATCAAAAGAAGGTTTTAAATAAATGGATTCATCAATTCCACGATATTTGATAACCAATATAGGCTCGTTGAGCAATTCTTGTTGAACTTCTTCAGAATAAGTATTGCTGTTGGCATACTGTTTACTCAATTCATCATATCTAGCAAATGCTTGTTCAAAGGGAGCAGCCATAGAATGACGTTTCAATAAACTCAATTGTTCAATTAATTCTTGCTTGGATTCTTCCAGCTCTTCAATTGCTGCTTTGACGTCCAAAACAATACTGAAATTATAACCTTGTTCAATCTCTCCACCAGTCAAGACAGTCAAACTAGGAAAGTTTGCATACTTGTTAGATAAGTAATTGACGACGCCATAGTTAACTAAATCATCCCAGCATCTCAAATATACGCTGATTAATATCAAATTCCGATCAGACAAGGTTGAAACATGAAATGTTGTGAAATCAAAGTCACTAACAATTCGATCTAACGATTTAGGATTGGCACTAGGATCACTAGGGTAAAGCCTTTCAGTTAACGTATTTTGAAGTAAAAGATTGTTCTGTTCAATGTGTAGCATTGTTTCAATTGATTGTGATGTTACTGCCAACACTGCCTTAGTTGTTGAACCTCAGTTAGTTTTGTTCTTGTTGGCTGGCAAAAGGGGTGGTGAATTTCTGTCCTGCATAAAGCATCCACTTCGGCAATAAAAAGGAAGTTGCTACCATGTGTATGGGTAAGTCCAACTTGGTTCCAAAAGGTGCTAAACTCAGTGGTGCTTCTAAATAAGAAAGATAAATGTTAAGTCAGGTGGGCAAATAGTTGTGTAGTATAATTTATGAGTGGTTCAATAAGGTTGCTAGGTTATTCAAAAAATGAGAATCCAATTGAAGCTAAAGCCAAGGTACATACTGAAGATGGCCAAGACTAGAAATAATACTGCTTTGTTATAGTTATTTTTCCATATATGCTATAATTTTGACTACAATTTGCTACTGGGTTTTCTATAATGGTTTTAAAAGGATGTATTTTCTAAAAATATGTAGTCTAGGAGTATAATGCAAATAGAATTATTTTAGTAATAACATTGCTACAGTGTGAGCTTTAATACCTCAAAATCTTCTCAGTATTTACCCCTTTTCTAAGTGTTAATAAGAATTATTCTTCTTCAGAGAATTTCTGTGCCGAAAATTGTACAGATATACTTAAAGGAAGATAAACAAAAACAATTAAAAATTTGTTGCTTTTTTTGCAACAAAATCGGCACCTTTTAGTATTCTACTTCACACATACTAACACCAAACTAAGTGCTTCACAATGGTGGATCATACAAGTGTGACAACTACCTTGACTATAGATAAAGTACTTGAAGCAATTACGGTTACAGTAACTCACAATGCATATGTTGTTACTGTTCCATTTATCTTCCAATTTGGTGACACCAAACCAGGAGAGGAACTAGTGCTGGAAGTAGATTCAAATTATATGAAGATATCTTATTTATTGGTTGCACTGATTTCATCCTATTTCATTGCTAGCATTTTATTTCCTAGTCAAGTTACAAGCTTTCAGAAACTGGTAAGTTGGTTGTTCAAAAAGGTTATTGGGTTATTTAGAAACAAGAAATCTAGTGAAGAAAAGGTTATTGAGGTTGATGAAACTGAACAAGCTTCAAAATAGCTCAACTTGACTTGCTATGGTTTGCTTGTTATGGTACACCAGTTGTATTTGTGTGAATATGTTGTTGCTATTTTCAAAATGCTATCTATAAAATCTAACCAAAAATCAACGAAATAGCCACAAAATTTTAACTAATATAACCGATCTTAAAGAGAGATTTCCATTTAATCGTTATCATGTTTACCTATGTAGAATTCAGCAAAAGTGTTAATTGCTATTGTTTCTTGATTCTTTAATTCAATCACCCCTTGTTATTGTAACAGCCACTAAATAAATACCTTGCAAAAATTCTTTGTTGAAAATACACCCTTCTTCTATTCCTTATAACCCAAAAAATTATGTCCACGTCATAATTAGTAGGGTCTACAACGGTTACTTGAACGTTAAAAGCAGATGATGCTATCCTCATATCTAATCATGTATAGAGGAACTATACGTATTAGTGCCATATATTTTGCTACAACGAACAAGAATGGTGACATCGTTCTTCATCTACCCAATAAAAGAATTAAATCTCAGAAGGACCCTGGTATTGCTCTTAATGTTATTGATTGTACTTAATGGCATCACCAGAATGATAAGGAGCTTAAAGCAAAAAAAAAAAGGAAACGATAAAACAACTGTGGAATTGGAGGAGAAGGACAAAAGTATTTGAACTGATATCACAGAACATCTTCTATCTTTCTCGTCTATCGAGTTCTCTGTCATTACTTCTTACATCTTCTACAATCGGATTAATAAACACTTTACACTTGCATTCAATTGTTTCTGGTAATTTTGACAACCATTAACTAAATTAGGCAAAGAAAAAAAAACAACTATTTGTTGCAAATGAAAGCCAACACTCAGTTAACCACTGACCACCACTATGGAATACACCGATTACACAACTACTTTAACCGAAACGTTTGAAACTGCAACAGTATTTACTGCCCGAGTAGAGACCATATTCCGGAGTACAGCGAGAGTTTTTGTTTCTACTCAGCCAGACAAGCTTCAGTTCTTTGAGCGCTTTGTGGAACCATTATGCCTGGTAATACTTTTAGTTTATTCAATTTACAAACTTAAAAGATTGCTTACCCAGGAAAATCAAAACCGAGAAAGAAATGAAGGAAGAATGTTTTTGCGCTAATCTTGAGACTACGTCAAGTTTCTCAAAATATCACTGTTTAACCTTTATTACTATAGAATATATTCTACTGATAATAGAAATTCCCATTGTTGTTCCCAGATGTAGCATTCGCATTGACTCCAGACATAGGTATAACCAGTGGTGATATAGATTTACCAGGCATGGATGTAGCAGTAGTAGTAGTATTAGTAGCAGTAACTTCCTTTGACCAACCTGGGATATCTTCACCAGACCCACCCACAGGTCTTTCCAACACCACATTCTCCAACCCTAATACATCACCTAACCAACTATGATTGATCATCCCACCGGCATCAGCTCTTTTCTCAGGTTGTATTTCCAACATGGGTCTCAAGAAATCGGCGATTTCAATAGCATCACTGATGGAAAACTTGTATTTTTCACTCAAGACATCTTTCAAACTCCATGGTTTAAGTTTGACTATTCGACGTAATTCTCCTCTCAGATTGAAAAACTCATGAGAGTAATAACTCTCCTTTAACATTTCTCGTGGGAATGGGCCAATCAATTCTATAATCTGGGCAATATGGTCATCATCTTTCGAATACGTTTTCCCATCTCGTGGATCAAAAAGGTAATCTCCGGTTAATAATTCAAATATAAGACATGCAAATGACCATAAATCACTCAGTGCACCCCAATGATATCCTAAGATTACCTCGGGTGATCGATATTGTCTTGTTTGAATCTCATCGGTGAAATGATGGGTAGTCCAACATGCATTACCTAAATCAGCAATCTTTACTGAAATTAACTCGTCTTCGTTTATGATTATATCGTTGGTGGTGGCATTGTTGTTGATACTACTGCTGTACATGCTACCGGAATCCATTGTTGGGATCTTGACTGGATCAACATTTGGTTGATAACTGTTGTTAATTGACATTGATGAAAGTGAATTGTCAAGGGACGCTCCTTCTTCGTTCGCTTGAGGTTGTGGCGATTCTTCTTCTACTGTTGAATGGGGAATTGATGAATTACCCATGGAACCAAAGGCCGCAATGTTGGAAGAAGTTGGCACGGTTACAGTTCTAATAGGTGTATTTGCTGTGGTTGAAGATAATCCGTATACATTTGTAAATGATTTATTGAAACTTCTTAATGGTGAAGGCAATGGTTGTGAACCAGTGATCAAAGTGTTTGATCTTCTTGTTCTTCTGCTTCTACCCAACGAAGGAGAATTTGAATTCATGGTGGTTGCAGAATGGGTTGGTGTAAGTATTCTTGCGGCTGAACTTGATGATAATAAGGTATGGTCTTGGTATGAATTTAATGGAGAAGATTTCTTGGAATTGTTAGAAAGTTTCAGCAACTTGCGTTGTAATTTGCGTTTCATATCTTCTCGTTCTACAATTCGTACAATTGCTTCAACATCACCAATTTCAATCAAAATATTTTCTGGTTTCAAATCGGTATGAATAACTCCACAACTTCGATGCAAAAAATCTAAAGCTGCTAATAATTGCTTAGCAATTTGTTTAACAAACACTATTGGAATACCCCTATGCTTATACCGTCTAATTAATCCCAACAAGTTTTCTCCTAATACTTCAAATACCATAACTACATGGATTCCATTGGGACCTTTATGTGTGAATGTATCTAATAATTGTATAACATGTTGATGGCCAGGGTGTTGGATATCTGAAGTGGTTACTTTATCTAATAACTTAATTTCGTCAATGGCAGTTTCAGTATAATGCTTTGCCGATCTCACAACCTTTACTGCTACATGACATTGCTTATCATTATCTCTCGCCAACCAAACTGTAGAAAAGTGACCCCATCCCAACTTTCGTACCAAAGTATATTTGCCGTCTTTGTACAGCTCTCCTATATAACAGGGATGATATCCACCAGGAACATAATCACCCAAATCTTCTTCATCGGCCGGATTCACTGGTTCGTCTTCGTCTGAATCAGAATCCATGTCAATCTCATTCATAATTTCTAAATTGTCATCATGGTGGGCTCTAATCTCCAAAGGTATTTCGTGGTCGTCATCTTCAAAATTTCCTTCTTTGTGGTGGTTTGGGAATGCAGATGTTTTCAAAGGGGACAAGTCTGGCTTGAAATGTTTGGCTGATGAAGGTGTTGTTGATACATAAGGAGTACTGTGCTGTATCAAGTTAGGAAGTAGTACTGCCGGTGGTGCAAGGGGAGTGTCATGGGAAGTAATGCTAGTTTGGGGGTGTGATAATTGGGAAGAATTTGATCCAACCAGGGCTTTGCGGTTGATTGCTTGTTGGTTGTTATTGTTGTTGTTTTCTGCCTGTTGTATGGCGATCGACAACTTTGATTTAGGATTGTTTGGCATTGTGAATGTTGTTTCTATACAGGCATGCAAGGAAGGTCTAACTGATTGCTTAGAAATTTAAAACACTTAAATGTGTGTGTGTTTCTCGTAAGTGTTAAAATAAGGCTCAAATTTTGATCCACAAACTGTTTTGAATATTGTGGTTATGACTCTTTACTGTTGTCTAAAGATAATATGTTTTGATTTGTAGTATAAACTATATGTTAAATGCAAGTGAATTGGTGCCAAAATAAAGTAGGTACTGTGGGTAATCTAATATTAAAGGTATTGGCAATGTATACTTATATGTTTGTGTACAGTTGATGATGCTAATTAGCCCAGCCTTCTATATTTGCCTGTGACTGTGATGATTACGCATTCAAAAAAAAAAAAAATAAAATAAAATAAAAAACCAGTTTTTGATTTCATATTTTCGTTACATCTTTTTTTTTTCTTTCGGCTTATGTGATTGTTCTTCTTTTGGAGAGGAGGGGTTTCAAGTAGTGGCAATCACCACAAAATTTCTCTACACTCACGTGGACTAAGGGTATGATGTCATTTGCTCTCGAAATCAACCAACACAGTGGTAAAATTAGAATTGCACCATTCAGGCATTGTGAAATTCTTGAACACACAATTTCAGTTAGATCTTTCTTGAATTAAAATAAATTTTACGGATAACGGTTCGGAATTTAATTTTTGTTATGGTAGCGCTGGCTAATATTTCGAAAAAGCGACATGGCGTGTATTGGCAAGACTACCTCAGAGGGTACTACCTTTGTTGCCAAGCAAATTATAAATGCATGTCAGGAGTGGTGACAGGAATGTGTGTATACTGTTAGGGCGTTGCTTTGAGTTTCAATGACAAGAAGAGAAAGAGAGCGAGATAAGAGGAAGAATAAGCGCAAGCAAGCACAAAGTGTAGTTGTAAAATGGTGAGATTTAGTGCATGTTTTAGTTTTGTCTAACTATGCCATATTAAATGATTGGGTGACTTTTAGTCACCCGCTTGGTTTGATCCCCTGATTGGCCCTTTGTTTGTTTCTATCTTTTTTTTTTTCTTATAGCTTCGGCTAATCGGTTGAACTCAGCTTTAGCGTTGCATCTATCTGATTCACCTTTTTCCATCACATGGTATTGTTGATCTCTTGGTTTGACACTTTTTCTTTTATCTAATTTTTCTTTTACACTACAACAGTTGACATTTTCAAACGTTCAATTTCATATACAATCTATAACTCTATTCATCTACATTAAACTTGCAACTTGCTAGTTCTTTCAATCAAGTCAATCACTTGTTGTCTGTTAGGCCACCAACCCCATCCATATTGTAAAGATTGATGAGATCTAACGCCTAATTTGTCAGCAAATTCCCAAACTAAACCAGGATTTCTTAAGAATCCTCTACCAACTAAGGCAAGGTCAAAGTCACCTTTTTCGATATACTTATTAATTAAAGCTGGATCTTCATGAAGTCCACCAACAGTAGCAACAACTACTTTATCGCCAACATGTTGTTTAATGGCACGGGCAAGTGGAACATGAATTGGTTCTTTTGGACCGTCAGTACTCTTGGATAAACCTGATCTTGGTGGTTGACGGTAATCATTACCACCAGAAGAAATATCAAGTAAAGAAATACCTTTAGTGATAACTAAATCAGCCAACTTCTTAGAATCTTCGATAGTCCAAGCTTCTGGATCTGGCGAATTTTCCACTGCGGAAATTCTCAAGAAAACTGGAACGGTACTTGGGATCTTGGACTTGATATTGTCAATAACTTCAACTAAAAATCTAGTTCTGTTTTCAAAACTGCCACCATATTCATCAGTTCTCTTGTTGGAAATAGGACTGTAAAATTCATTAATCAAATATCCATGAGCACCATGAATTTCAATAGCATCGAATCCACTAATTTCAACAGCTCTCTTGGCTGCATCCCCAAAATCATTAACAATTCTATCAATATCCTTCTTGGTTAATTCGTGTGGAACTTTATAGTTACCATGTGGTCTGAATGCAATTGAGGATGGAGCAACAACATCGTCTGGCCATCCACCAACGGATTTGTCGGCAATTTGTTCCAAGTGAACAAATAATGGTTGCCCACTAGCTTTTCTACCACCATGGTTGATTTGAATTGCAATTAATTGACTTTGAGAGTGAGCAAAATCAACAATAGGCTTTAACTTTTCCGCTTGAGCATCAGTCCAAATACCTAAATCATGTGGAGATAATCCACCATCATGACTTACGGCAGCACTTTCAACAATGGTAATACCTGGACCACGCGAGACAATGGAACCATAGTGGATTAAGTGGAAAGGGGTAGCTTCTAACTTATCATCGGCTGAGTACATACACATTGGAGAAACACCAATACGGTTATGTAAACGAAGGTTTCCTACTTGAATAGGTTGAAACAATTTAGGAACTTCAGCTTTATCATCCTCTTGGTAGATAGTCCCGGCTGGAACTGGTTGCTTTGGGGTATAGTATGGAACAACGTCAGAACGTTCAGCTTCGTCAGATGGAGTAATGTCGTATTTGATAGTCATGATAGTTGTTGGTTATTGTTTGATTAGAAAATAAGTGAGAGACATTAGACCTGGAAAATTCCCTATTTATATAACAGCCAATTTTTTTTGTCGCGGAACGGAAAAACGTCAAAAAAGAAAAGTTGTTTGCAGCCACACGTCCTAAATAGGAAAAACAGATTAGTAAGCGGAAAAACGGGATATAGTCTTGGCAGTTAGGATCACCAGAATTTTCTGAGCCATGTCCATTGTTTATCCCCCACGTAGATATCATGAACTACGTGGTATATACCGATAACGCCTTTAAATATTTGTAAGCAATGGTTAAGTACGGTTAAATGCCGTACATAATTTGTCAGCAATGGAAGCACTAAAAAAAAAAATGAGGTAGTTGAGCAGGATAAGCTACAGTAGGGTTAGTATACGTTATTGAGTCGACGTGCTCTCTTGTCATTGGATATTATTATTGCAACTTGCTATACTGCATGTAATTATCCTCGCGTTTTAATCTTGAAGCCTAAATTCAAGCAAGTCTAAACTATGATTCAACAATTAATTGCTCTTGCGTGACGTAATGATATGTTTAAATTGAATTACAGCATATATTTTTTTTGTTGCATAAAGGTAATATTTATTCAATTTGACATAAGACATATAATATACAATCTAAAATAAGAAATTGGGAGATACAAAAAAGAAAGAGCTAGAAATAAGATTACCTTTTGGTTGGTGGTAATATATTGTCTTTCCTGGCATCTTCACTATTCACATTACCAGCTGGTTCATAATTGCAAACGATATACAAACCCCATTCTCTGCTAGTTCCTGGATTGAGATCGGTACAGTTCTTATAAGCACAGCCTACATCAGTGGTGGATTTCCAAATCAATGCTGTAAAATGGTTCAACTCAGTTCTGGTCTCATAATCATAATTGTCACCTTCGCTATACCATGCATCAACTACATCAGTACCACTGGCATATCCTAACCCTAAATTTTCACCGTAGGGATTGTTCTCAGTATGCACTAAATTGTTACCACAGACATACAGATCAGCTACTTTCTGAGCAAACTTATATACATCCTGGTTCCAGCTTAAGGGTGGTGCTCCATGGCGGGAACGTTTATGGTTTTGAGCGTCAAGTATTTCCTTTGCAAATTCGCTAAGCTCAGGATCAACAGTGCTGGGTTCGGCATCACCCGAGCTAGTTGGAGAACCTGGCTCTTCAGTAGTAGGCAAAGCCTCGGTAGTCAACGTGGTTGGATCTTGAGAAGTGTTATCCAGAGGAGCATCAGTGGTACCCAGGGTAGCTGGCTCATTACCCGAAGGAGCATCAGTAATATCCAGAGTAGCTGGCTCATTACCCGAAGGGGCATCAGTGGTACCCTGAGTAGCTGGTTCATCATCTGAACGAGTTCCAGTGGTTCCCCTAGTAATAGGAGCCTCTGTACCAGATGGATCCGGAAGACAACAAGGACCATCAACGGTAACATATACGGTGGTTGTCAGACTACACACTGTAAAAGTCTTGGTAGAAGTGGTAGTTAAGGCTTCTGAGGAAGCAATTGCTGATAATAAAGCGATTGAAGCAATTTTGGAGAATTTCATTGTGGCAATTCTGGCTGTTAATACTATTAGTTTCTGTAGAGAGATTTGAAATATTTGGGATCTCATTTACAGTTATATAATTACACAACACGAATTCATGTGATTCCTTGGTTTACGAACTATTACCAACCATCTGTTCAACTCTGGTCCTAATTTAGAAGTATCCCAAAACGCGAATCTCAATTCAAACTTAAAATCCAGAACGAGAAGAACTTTTTGTAATTACGATTGTAAATAAACTTCCTAATTAGGGGTTCACTTTGTATTAATCCAAGCAACATATCTGAGGCGCTCAACTTCCAAAGGGGGAATCATAATAGTCAGGCTACACGGATAATGAATACATACCTCCTGTCCAGTTTCACAGCTTTTTGTTATAAACTTAATTCGATATGAGGAGCAAGTAAAATGAAAGTTATTGGATTTAAGTTGGAAACATTTGATTATATTTTTCGTACCTGTCAAATAAATACGCGTTCGAAAACAGGCTTTGTACGTAAAAAACCTTAATCAAGAAGGGTCGTAAACAAGACAAAACGTGGCAAGAGTTGCGTATTACGCGATTTCCAGCACTCGAGTATGTGAGTTGTCTAAAAATGATTATGCATATATGCTATTTTTTTTATCTTTTTCAGATCATTTTTAACCCAAGGAAAACTTAAAGTTGCAAAGAGGCTTATCAGATTTAGATTTCTATTGTTTACATGACCTAATACTACTTTCAAAGAAATCTATAGTACCAACAAACAAAAGTTTTATTATACGTTCTTTTTTATTACTGTATATAAACATTCGCCTTGTGAAAATGGCGTTTTACTACCAATGAAGGCGCCTAAGGTACCATTTTTCTATGAGGCAATAATGTTACTAGCACTATTAGATAGTGTTGCACTACATCTCCTATAATAAATAACTTTCTTTTTTATTTTTTTTTTTTCAATTCTTGTATACCAGTTATAAAGTATAATCTAAATCAAATAGTTGAGAACGGATTAAGAAAGCACAAACAAAAATTCTCTAATAACTCGGCGGTAATATATTACCTTGCTTAGCCTCTTGGGTATGCATATTACTGGGTGGGTCATAATCACATGCAATATACAACTCCCCCACGCCCAGTTAAAGCCTGAAGTAAGAATAGTACAATTCTCATAAGCGTAACCAATCTGAGTACTTGATTCCCAAATCATGGTTGTGAAATGATTCAATTCATCACGACTGTTGTAATCCTATGTTTTGTTTTCATTATACCAAGCATCAACAACAGAAATTCCATTTTGTCCACCGACAAATAGGTTTTCAGCATATGGATTATTCGGAACATGATGTAACACCTCACTACAATTATATTTATCCGCGGTCTTTCGGGAATAGTTGTAAACAGTTTGGTTCCATTTCAGAGGGGGAGATGCTACACGGAGCGCACGTTTTCTATTAGTAGCGTCAAGAACCTCTTTAGAAAAATCGAGATCCTTTACCTTTCCGAAACCAGCTTGAATTAGTTCTTTTTGGAGTAGTAGAAATTACTGGCTTAGTAGTAAAACGTAATGTAGTTGGAAATTTAGATTTTAAAATAACTGGTGTTGATTTAGGTAGTGAAGCTGACACTTTAGCCCTAGTTAATGTGGTTGGTGTGGTTGGTGTTTTAGATTTGGTTGAAGATACTGGAGTTTTAACTTGAGATAAACAACTATAAATACTAGTACAATTTATAAATAATGCAAATTCGGAATAACTTCCTGGTCGCAATCCACAGATAAAGCTATTATTCGAATTAGTTGCTACTACAATTCTTCTACATTACAAATCAATCACAACAAAATTTATCTCATTTTTATAAAATTAATATTAAATGCCTAAACTTTAATCCATTTCAACATCTTCATCTTGCTTCTTGGAAGCTTCTCTGGCAGCAGCCATCTTTTCAGCCATAGCAGCAGCTTGGGCAGCTTCTTGCTTTTGTCTATATTGTTCTTTCTTTTCTTGTTCCTTGGCTAAGTATCTTCCTCTGATGATGTTACCAATAGAAGCCAATTCTTCGTACTTGGCGATATACTTGGCCTTGGTTGAATCGTAACCGTCATCGTATAACCAGTCTTCAGTCTTGGTCAACATACCGGATAACTTTTCCTTTTCTTCTGGAGAAGCAAATTCACTGTATTGGTCATCCAACTTACCTCTCAAGTCATAAATGTATTCTTCAAGAGCATTCTTTCTGTCTTCAGTGTCAGCGACCAACTTGTCTTCCATAACCATCGCGTTTTCTTGTTCAATCAATTCTTGAAGCTTGGCTGGTGGTAAGGCAGCACTTTCCAATTCAATGGTGCAGTCATTCTTCTTGACCAACTTCTTGACTTCACGGTATTGAGGTTCAGCGTCTTCGTCTGCTTCTTCACCTTCCTTGACTTCTGGTTCAATCAATTCCTTGACCAATTGTTCTTCGACGGTGTAAGCAGCTTCGACAGTGTAGAAACCAGATGGGTCATTTCTCAACTTAACCTTGGTGGCAATGGAAGCTTCACCTTCGGATGGAACAACACCAGAAATCTTCCATTTGGCAACATTGACATCAGTACCAGCTGGTAATTCTTCTGGCTTAGTGTACTTGGCTTCAATTTCAAAGTCACCGCTTCTGAACAAAGTGATGATCTTGGTGGATGGGAAGGAACCACCTCTTGGGAAAACTTCCAAGTGGTCGTCTTCTTCATCTTCTTGCTTGTCCCAGAAGTAAGAAACGGTGTATTGGTTGTAGTCTTCAAACTTGAATGGTCTGACTCTGACAGTTGGGGAATGACAAGCACAAATGTAAGCGTTACCTCTGGCAATAGCTTCATCTTGGTTCAAAGTGAAGGATAATGGCTTGCCGAAAATTTCAGCCAACTTGGCCTTGATGGATGGAACTCTGGTACAACCACCAATAAGTTCAATAGAGTCCAAGTCTTCAACGGCAATACCGGCTTCTTGCAAAGCAAGTTCAACTGGAACATTGATTCTTTCCAATAATGGCTTAACCATTTCTTCCAATTCTTCTCTGGTTAAAGAAGAAGAAACATCAACATCATTCATAACACTTTCAATGTTGAATGGAGCTTGAGTGTTGGCAGACAAAACCTTCTTTAATTTTTCGGCAGCAACTAAAACACGGTAGTAAGCCTTTGGATTTTCTCTAACGTCAATCTTGTACTTACCCTTGAATTCAGTAGCAAAGTGTTCAGCAATAGCTCTGTCGAAATCTCTACCACCAAAGTGCTTGTCATTGGCAGAACCCAAGATCTTCAATTCACCCTTCTTAACAGCGGCAATGGAAACTTGGTAGGAAGAGTGACCAATATCAACAAAAGCAACCTTCTTGAATTCGTCTTCTGGCAAGTCGTTTTGCTTAAAGACACCGTATCCAACAGCGGCAGCGGTGACTTCGTTGACGATTCTGACTGGGTTTAAACCAGCAATCTTACAAGCGTCAGCAGCAGCACGACGTTGCTTTTCGGTGTACCAGCCTGGAACAGAAAGACAGATATCGGTCAAGTTGGCCTTGGTTTCCTTAAAGGCAATGTCCTTGATCTTGTTAATGTACATACCAGCTAATTGAGTAGCGCTGAATTCAGTTTGCTTACCTAAGAATCTAACCTTGGCATTGATACCACCGTCTTCGTTCTTGGTTAATGGAACAGTAAAGTATTGTTGTTCAATGGCAAAATCAGGGTGATCGTAGTCTAAACCAACGATTCTCTTCAAGTTGTCGACGGTGTTCTTGATGTTAGAAGTTTGTTGGTTCTTGGCTGATTCACCAAGGTATCTGTTCTTTGGACCAAAACCAACAAGGGTTGGAGTGGCTCTGTTGGAAACTTCATTGACAATAATGTCAATTCCTCTGTTTCTAGCACAAGCAATAACAGTGTTTGTGTTACCTAAATCAACACCAAATGGAGTGGACATTGTATAGTTCTTTGTATATTTGGAGTATAAAAGAGAGGGAAGAGGGAAATGGCCACCAAAAAGTGAAAAAAAACTTTTTTTTTCTTTCTCTTTGTTGTTGATGGAATTGCAACGTTGAGGAGTGTAATTTTTTTTGTCTGACTGTCTGCGTCACATCACAATTAAAAAAAAAAAAAGTCGTGCGGGTTCCACGGCATTCGAGAAGCTTCTATATAGGCTACCACGGGAGAGGAGCAACATAACCCAATAACTACTCCGCAGATACCATGGAATACGGATGATTCACGTGTCACATCTGATAGTTGAGTTTGCTATTCTACTTATTCTCTTCTAAAATTGTAATCAACGACATCCAACCAGGACTTTCAACCAATCTAATATAATCATCTTCATTCTTGTCAACAATAAACTTGAATATTGACTCCATTTCTTGAGGTCCCAAAATATTCAATCTGGCTAAATGACACAAGAAATGGAAGTTGCATAGTTTGGCTTTTCTCACTTCGTAGTCTCCTCCATTCAAGTACTTGTACACAGTAGATAAATCTTGAACATCGCCCATAAATTCTCGATTCTCAATTGTGTAATGGTATTCACTGGTGAACATCGGCGTTGGATCAACAGGGAAAGAATCTGTGAGTGAAACTAACAAGAAATCAACTGGGAACGTTGGTTTGGCATTACTCTTAACTTCTAAGCCATATTCGTTAATCTTAGAGTATTGAATATCAGGAACATATCTAGTGGAACTGTTCTCATTGACATAAACCATAGATGGTTGAGTGCATCCAGTGATTATATCTGCTTCCACTAATGCTTCTGCTCCAGTTGAAACTTGATACAGTCGAGGTTCAATCTCCCCCAATAATCCACCACTAACAACACAAGTCACAAATTTGGAGGAAAATTTCCCACTCAGGGTATACTTGGTCACATTCGGATACTTGTGCTGGAATCTGGCAGCCATGATACATTCAAGATTCGTCAAGAAATAACTATCCTTGTGTCTTTTGCACAACACAGTACCGTCTTTTCTTCCTGAATCAGTCAAATCTGTATACGCAATTCCTACTTTAGTTAATCCCAATTTGGAAGCAATGGCATCGATTTGCTGTTCATCATCCCAATTTAAAAGAGTAACTCCATCAAATTCACCAACTTGAGGAGGTTCATAAATCAGTTCGACAACTGCTTTGATTCCAAGGGGAACCTTATCAAACGCTTCATATCTTCCATACAAGTATCCAAATCTTTGCACACCGGTACTTCTCCATCCGTTAAGAAACTCATTCAATATTGACGAATCGGCAAATTCAACATGGTCAACCATTCTAAACTTTTGCTGTTGTAACGTGATTGGGCTAGGCTGACATTTAGAACAAATACCCTTAGGATAAGGTTGGTGTCCTTGTTGACAATGCAAGTCGATTTTATAATCTGGTTCTTCCAAAGGAGCAATGTATGATCCGCCATTATTCTTGTGTTTCTCCGCTTGTTGTTTGAGATAGGCATGGAAAGAAATATGTTTGATGGCGTGTTCACTACGATAGTTTTCATCCCATGGTGGAAGTGGAGCACAGTATTCGCACATCCCACGGGCACCGTGTCGACACATAGACGAAAGTGGACGAGCAATTAATCCTTCTTGCTTATCAAGGGCAATGTCAATTGGGAGTTCTTGGACTTTAGTTGGGCCAAGGTTGGTGGTAGTTATTGGAACTGTAGGTGTAGAAGTTGGAACTGCATTTGGGTCAATTGCGGTTTCGTATGATACAAACAACATGTCTCCGTTCTTTAGTCCTAATTCCTGTACGGTTTTACCGCAGTAACCTTTGGCGGGTTCACCTTTTTGTGATGGTGAATTGGAAAGTAACAATGATTGGGAATTAACTGCCGACGACAATTTAGTGAGTAACTGTTCTAGAACGGAAACAAAATCGGAATCTGAGGATGTATTGATACGGAACATCCCATCTTTGGAACGGAACCTAAGTATAATTGACGCCATGGTGGATGATTAACGAATGGGCTAATTGTGATTTTGTAATTTTTGTTTGCCATCGTTTTTCTCAATGGAAAATACGCCAAAATTAGATCCAGAGTTAACAAGCTGTATAGAGTTAGAACTAACCAATAATATAAACATAGTAGTCAATATACTTACATATATATAATACAGTGGTCTATACACTCATATATACTCGAATGCAATCACTCAAATCCCCAACTATCATCTTTGACTTCATTTTATATCTCTGTCGTTTCTTATCATCACTGTTAATATCTATTGTATCCCCATCGTCCTCTCTTGGGATAACAAATACCAGCTGTCTGACAAGCATCCGCATGTCACCTCTATGTCTATCGATATTCGGATCCATCTGATACTCTATTCCTAGCCGATGTCGTATGAGTTGGAGAACTTTAACTGGGACTACCACCTTGACCCCCTTCTCGTCAACGGATACGTGTCCAGAATGTCCCAGACTAGAACTTGACTCATCATTGTCTTTTCTGGTTACTAGTTCAACAAGCCTGTCGTGTATTATGGGGAGAACCTTGGTGTTTATATAAGCTTGCGATAGTCTCACTTGGAACTTATTCTTGAGCGTGATTAGTGATTTGGAATTTATAGCTAGTGATTTCTTGTCTGAGGAAGTGCTATGATTGGAATACCCTTGTACAAATATTTTCAATGGTATAGCTTGGTTTTGCACTGATATGAAAGCAATCTGTGGAGGCATGGGAACGTAGCTATCCAGTGTTGTGGTGTTGTACTATTTATTTACGTATTTTTCTGTAGAGTGCAGCGATTTTATAATCCTTGAACTGTAACCTAATAACGGGCACCATCAAACTTAAATACTACAAGATGAATCTACACCTCATGTTATCAATAAAAAATCTATCAATTTAATATACCAGAACTATAAACACCAAACAAACCCATTCAAATATCCATAATGAATACCCAATTGAAAATCAATAAAAAATAAAAAATAAAAAATTAAATCCAAGACATACAACACATTAGATTCTTTCTCCAAGAAAAGAACAAAAAGAAACAAAACTCTTTCATCGTCAAAGTATCCAGTAGTACTAATCTCCATCGAAAAACTATAACCATCTTCAACCATATACTAAAGAATTGTCGCTGCTCAAAAAAGGCGCGCCAGAAACTCGTTCTTGATTAATTCTGATTTAAACTTTCCTTGGGATTTCCCACGAAACCGACAGAGTCCAAAGAATCATTCACATCTTCTCTTCTAGGAATATTAAAAACCAAATTCGTAGTTGCAAAATATAAAACACAGCTTGTTTTTTTTGGATTTTTTTTTTTGAATTTTTTTTTCTTTTTTCAAATATAAAACATAGGGTACCCTTTTCCCAGTATGGATCAAAAAATTAAATAGGAATCAGTGGTTTACCACACCCAATAAACAAAAATCTAACAGTAAAAATCAAACTAACCATATTATAAATACATGATAAAATAAAACCATAAACAAAAAAAAGTAATTCCGGAACCAAACACTTCTTTCTCACCCAATAAACATAAACTTAAAATGATAAAAACTCTTCAATATCTAAACCGTAATTATCATCATTCGCAATTCCAACTTGTATACGTTCATCGTGTCCGTCTTCTTCTTCCGTCATTATAAATCCATCTTCACTAAACTTTTCAAACAAATCCAAAAATTCGGGTATGACTGGTGCTGCAGACCAAATTAAAAATACCCACGCCAAAACTGATAATTAAGGGCCAGCCTCAATAAAACTAAATGTTTCACATTTTTGTCCGTCACCAATCTAATTAGTTACTACAATGCTATAAATCTCAGGGACAAGCAGAGAACTGTAATAGGTTGGATTAGGATTGGTGGAACGGTAGAAAGTCATGGCGTCGATATCTTCAGGTGACAAAATTACTGCTGAATTTTGCCCCAACTCATACGAATCATGGATATGTGCGTGGTGTTTAGGAGACGACATCGAGGATGAAGGAGTAGTTGGAATACTTGATGAAGTAGAACTCAACAATGGTGATGGGGATTGGGAATGTTGAGAAGTGGTTCTCATAGTCAAGTCAATTGGGGAATTGATTGGAGAATTGATTGAAATGGGGGAAAGGTAATTACATGGTTCCTGAATTGGATGACCCATGGTAATATAGTCATTAGATTCTTGTTTAATGGGTCTCATCTTTTCTTCAAAAACTAAACTAGTTGACCGAGTAGGTTGTTGTTGTTGAAGGGGTTGTTGTTCTTCAACTTCGGTTTTCACCTTTCTTTTCTTGTTGGGAGTTTCATGTTCTTCTTCTTCTTCGATATCATCATCAAGATCATCATCATGGTGGTTTTGATTGTTTGATGACGACTTTCTTGAACTAGATAAATTGTCATGAATCTTTTGTTTCAACTCAGACAAATCCTTCAAAGCTTGCAAACCAACCAGCTTCAACTGTTCTTCACTAACTAATTTAGAAACAGCACTGAAATTTTCTTCAACCTTCAACAAATTAGCTTCAAGCTCGACAACATAAGCTTCCAAGTATTCAACGTGTTTCCTTTTCTTTTCACGTGAAGCATGCGCAGCACGACGATTACGAAGAATACGTTCAACACGTCTTTGCTCCTTCTCTTCCTTAGTTTTGGCTCTCTTTCGTGGTGGAAGAGCCGTCTTAAAGGAACTAGCCATGTCTACTGCTTCCTCAGGGTTAGCAGTATTATTGATGGCGTTGGTGTTGATGGAAGGGGATGTGGATACAGTAGCGTCCATGGTTGATGATGTTGTTGGTAGTGGTAGGTGATAGAAAGACCAAGATAATTAAAGTATTATATTGAAATTAACTTTAATAGGAAAATTCTTAATGTTCTAGAAAAGGTATACGTGGGAAATTTGATTCAGATTTATACTTTTCCATTCACCTTCAAAAAAAAATAATGACCAAACAAAAAAAAATAAAATTATAAATAAAACTGAAACTTTAAAATCATACAACCAAAAAGGGAGAATGAAAAAAAATAAAAGGGGGTGTGCATGTGGTCGACGTGCGCCAAGGTCACCGCAGCTTTTCGTGAAGGAAATTGGAAGGAGTCGTGTACATACCGTGATATTTTTTGGTCGTGGCTGTAATTTATTTTTATGTTTTATATTTTATTTTGTGGTTTATTTTTCTGTTATGTTTGTTGTAGTACAAAGGGTACCTTTAGTTAGTTACCGTAGTTGCCTTCGTCGTGTGTGGTGTCTAATTTAGGTAAGAACAAAGGTAGTGTGAGAGATCACAAAATCGGAACACTATGGAAACACATAGAAAAACAATTGCGAGCACGGATCAACACTTGCCACAAAAACTATGCCAGGTATGACGACAACATGCTTACTTCTAAAATTACATTTAACTTTCACGTGCTTTAGCCTGGAATTTGTCTTGTCAATCGTTTATGTTTATTTCATAATTTGAAACAAGACGTGTAAAGGTCTGGGCCCACGTCTTACGAAGAAATATTTAATTGAAAAATTCTTGAAGTGCATTATATGGAAAATATTTTAAACGAAAATAATTCATAATCATTATGTGCAGTGTGGAGGGGTTTTGTTTGTTTCTTTCCCTAATAAAATTTTGTGGTGATGTGCAATCGGGGCTTTCATTTAGGGAGAGGGGATATCTATTCAATGTTCCACTCCCTTTGTTATGAGCTGGATGTTATCATCAAAGGCGGAAAGGTCGAATAATTTTTCAACTATGACCATATATTAAGATTTTTTTAAAGTATTTTCCGTTTCGGTGACATTTTTTATTTTATTTTTTTTTTTTTGCGGTTGGCTGAATTTAGTTGCTGATTTCTTGGTGCTAAACCTGTTGTAGTTTAATTTAGGAAATTTGCGATTTTGTGCTTCTCCTAATCCTTCTCGTCTAAGTGAGGAAGGAGCCCAAAATTAGAGACGATGTTACACGCGGTGCAGAAACAGCAATTTTTTCTAGATGTAGAAGTTTACTTCGGGTAAAGAGATATCAAATAATTTTCAATACTGTACGATTTGGTTAGAACAATGGAGAAAAGAAACTGTTGTCATGTATAAAATTTTCTTAATGCACCTCCCTGTTGTAGCATGTACTCTCTTGTTCCGCATTTGGGCGGATTTCTGATCTGGGTTGACATGGTTGAGATTTGTAGTCTTGCTATTATGCCAAGCGATTTCCTATTCACCTGCTCTAAAACCGAGGTTGACAGTATCAACTGATATTCTATGCTATTATTAGCTTTCCTCTTTGCACGTATCAAGTTCGCGCTAATTCCAGCTTTTATCTCTGGTGATATTTTTAACCAATTCTTTTAAAATATCATGTAAAAATAAATATACTACACTTGTCCATTCAGCATACGTGGCCAGAAGGATTTTCGTATAGTAAGCACTCAGATGAGTTGGTGAAGGTGAAATAGGGAGTAAGTCCGCCGCCTTTGACCCCACAGTTGGTAATTACGAAAACTATTTTTTGACAGAACAATAAACAATAATCCTCAAATAATTCTATCAGTTCGTAAATGAAAGTTAAATGAAAATTAAATTTTGTTCGTATTTAGACAAATAGAGATTGTTTTGGATTAGAGGATACACACGTGTAGAAGGCAGAAGCGCAAATGGGGGGGGGGGGGGGGGGCTAGCAATCAATCTGAAAAGGGATAAAGTTATATCGGGTTATGAGAATTACGAGCGATGCCACAGTGTGTATGTGTGTGTGTACGAAACCTAAAGTCCAGATTGAGATAACACCCCCCCCCCCGCCCCCTCCCTAGATATACCAACCCCTATTCTAGCAAGGATCCATTAAGAGTAACCTCAGGCATACAAATCTCGGGAGATCTTAAGTTGGGAATCTGATTGTTAGTCTTGCGCCCAACATCTGCAATAACCATAATTTCATGAAGGCAGAAGTTCAAACCTGTCAAACTTTAAAGTCCCTATTTTCAAACTTCTTTTTAAACACATAATTCAAATCATCATAATTCAACCTTCAATACTAAACATAAAACAAATATCTTTGTTATACTGTTAGCAAGAGCGCATCAACCCAGATTAATCATCTGACAAATACGCAAGACACACATTTGTTATCCCAGTGTGTTACCAGTCATATTAAAGTGTAATCCCCCGTCCTTACCATCAGCATATCCTGAAGGGGGTCCAACGTCAAGTACACATCACCTGAGGTGTAGAAGAATCTTAAATTCAAGAAATTTTAAGGTACCTTATCAGTTTATTGGTTTTAATCTTTGTTGGGTAATCATTTCGTACAAAGTTTTAGGGTCTTTTACTTCATCCATTCTAACCTTGTTTACTAAACGAGTTCTTAATTTAGCAACCAAGCGTATAAATACGACGCCCTAACTATCATCCAGATATTGTTCCACTGGAGGTAAAACCTCAAGTTTTTTCTACGTAACAGTCACCATTAAGACAACTTTTGTTCAAATTGTCACATTTTCTTTCCGCATTTACTGGTCGTACGGGCCTAAGCTTATCTTCACTGTTTGTGACTCAATTTTCGCAATGTGAAAAACCACAAGCAAAGAAAAAAAAAAAACTTTGCAAAAGAAATTTTTGCGTCAATATATTTATAATCAAAACTACAACAGCAGCCTATTATGAAGTCACTACTATCCGTACAATCCCACGTAGTACACGGCTACGTTGGAGGGCGAGCCGCTATATTCCCCTTGCAAACCCAAGGATGGGAAGTAGATAATATCAACACTGTGAATTTCTCCAATCATACCGGTTACGGCTCGTTTGCTGGGTCCAGTCTTGCTCCTGAAGAACTTGACTCTATATTGACTCAACTTGAAACTAAATTGAACGTGCAGTACAAAGCTTTAGTTAGTGGATATATCCCCAATGCTGACCTCATCCGGACGTTATCTCAGCATCTTCCAAGATTGAAACGAGATGGGGGATATTATTTGTTGGATCCGGTGATGGGCGATAATAATTACATGTATGTTGACAAATCATGCATCAAGGAGTACCAAAACATATTACTTTTGGATGACCTCGTGGATATAATAACCCCTAATCAATTCGAACTCGAGTTGTTGACCGGTTTGCGCATCACCTGTAAACTTACATTGATACAGGCCATTAATAAACTTCATCAAGAGTATAATATTCCGTACATTGTCATTACCTCGGTTAGTGGGGAGATATTTGATTCCCAAACTAATGATATTTTCTGCGTGGTCAGCAGCAGTCAAGGATGTAAGGTGTTTAAAGTACCCATGATAAAGAGTTATTTTACGGGAGTAGGAGATTTATTCCTGGCTTTGTTGGTGGATAGATTAGAAAAGAATGATATGGATTTATCCACTCTGGTTAATCAAGTTTTAACTATTGTAAGCTGGACTTTGAAGTTGACACATAAGTCTGCTTTGCTTGCTCAGAGAGCTGCAGCAAAGAATGAAAATGCAGGAGAATTGGTTGGGAAAATTAACGATGCTGATACGATGAAGTACTTGGAACTTCGCATCATCCAAGCCAGAGATTATTACAGTTACGATGGACCAGGAGAGTTTGTAGAAACGGATATGGATAGACTTTTAGACTAATAGATACAATAAAATATGCATTCTATATACGGCGTTTGCTTTTGTTAGCGGTTATCACCGGAGTCAATGCGCCGAAAGCGGAAAAATAGGCGACGGATATCCAAGGTTTTTTTTTCTTTTCTTTTCTTTTGATCCTTTTGACATCGAGATTTTACTGCTACAAATATAATCCTGTCATCCACTTTGATTTACCCCAGAAAAGATCTACTTGTTTCTTTTCCAGGAAATTTCCCTTATTTTGCTAACACGATAGAACTTATATAGACCAATGACACCTGCTACTTCAGTCACCAAACCAAAAGTGTTGATTATTGGTTCCGGCGGAGTAGGAACAATCTCCGCACTTTCACTCACTACCAACAATAAATGTGAAGTCACCTTAGTAGTCAGATCCGACTATGAACTTATTTCCACCAAGGGTTATTCGATTAATTCGTGCACATATGGTGAGTTGACCAACTGGAAGCCTCACAACGTAGCTAAATCGGTCACCGATGCTGCTGAAAGATTTGGTCCGTTTGATTACATATTAGTCACCACTAAGAACATTCCGGATGCTTCCATCACTTGTGAACAAATTATTAAACCTGCAGTTGACTCCAGTCCTGAGCTGGTAATAATCTTGCTCCAAAACGGTTTAGGAGTTGAGAAGCCCATGTATGCTGCATTCCCCAACCATCTTGTCCTTAGTGGAATCTCGCACATTGGCTCAACTTACTACCATGGTCATGTTGACAATAAGGGACCAGACAATGTCTTCCTTGGAGACTTCAATCCTGAAGGAAAGCGCCACCCTCTCTCCCAACTGAAGATTGAGGAGTTTATCAGCATCTATCAAAACCCGGATAACAAGAACAAAATTGTTCTCGATGAGAATGTTCAAAAGACAAGATGGGAGAAATTGATCTATAATTCCGTATTCAATACCATTACTGCATTAGTCAATCTTGATGTGACTCGTCTTCAAATCAACGGCGTCAATGAAGACTTAATAAGACCAGCCATGTTGGAAGTCATTGCCATTGCCAAATCCGTGGGAGTAGAATGTGATGCTAGTAAAGTCGACAAGTTCATTCACATAGGCGACGGATTATTCTATGCTCCTTCCATGTGTATCGACATGAGAAAAGGACAATTAATGGAATTGGAAATCATCTTGGGTAACCCTATGAGAATTGCTAGAGAAAACGGTGTGTCTACACCTATACTTTCCGTGATTTACTCATTATTGAAAATGGTCCAATTTAGAATCAAAGAGGAAAGAGGAATGTTTGAACTTAACCAAGAAGATTTCAAAGGTAATTCTGATGACTATGCCCGTATATTTCACGACAAGTATGTATAGACTATCACCACCATGTAAATACTGGTGGTCTACTAGTTTCTTTAACTAACCGTTCTATAATAACTCTTCTGTTTCCTGTAGCATTCACGCCGCTATCTCTATTAATATGCTCGTACCCTGATCCATTTGCCACATCGTCTTCATTTATTGCCACAAGACTATTTGATAAGTAGGTATGGGCTTGACTAGGGAGTAATGGAGTATGTATGTCATCATATTGACGAGAGGTATCTGTTTCATACAGTGAAGATTGCATGCGGAATATGTCTTCGTTACTATCGATATTCTCCGGCATGTACATGACATCATCAAACACAAGCAAGTTCTCTCGTTTAGCCAATTCCAATGGGCCCGCGTATCCCAACTTTAGGATCTCAACTACATTGAACGCTTGTCCCTTGAGTACTGCCAACTGTTTATGCCACAATCTTTCTTGGAAATCTTGATCTTTAGTGAACACTCCCCGAAGTCCCTTGACCGTTTGTTCCCACCATAGTTTTGATGTAAGAAGCGGCAAGTAATGATTTCTCGTTCGCATTGAGAATGGCTGGCCAATTATAGAGTATGGAAGAAAGAGCCATCCGAATGGGAATGACCGCCATTCATCGGGGTGTTTCCAAGGGAATGCTAATCCCGAATCAATGGCTCCGATCTTGATCTTGGGTTTCATGATCTTTGTGGTTTTACTGTCGGAGTCAACCTGGGTCCAGTCTACTCTAATCATCCAATTGTCTAATCCACGATCAGTATTTCGCATTATATAATCTAAGATCACTAGTTTTTCCACTTCTTCTTGAAACTGTCGCATCGACTCAATGCTCCATTTGAATGTAAATTCACTCTCGTTTATGTCCACTTCAACATCCAGATATTTTGGTAGATTCAGTATTGTTTCATGATCCAGCGGTATTGGGTTCTGACGTATCCACACGTCTGCTTCCAGGTATCCTTGAAGAAACACTTGAAATGATCCAATTTTCTGGGGTAATTTCGTAACATCGCTATTCTGATCCCAATACGAATAGAAAAACGTGGGAGATCGCAAACAAATCACCTCAGTAAATGGAACAATGTATGATTGCAAATGTCGATCGAGACAACATGCAGCTGCTTCACTGATATATCCCAAATTGGGAATAAGACAAGACCGCCCGAAACAACACGGGAAGAAAGTTCTATGGGCCCATTTGGACCATTTTGGCAGGAGTGGACCATATGGCTCTTCGTCTTTCGGTTTGAATACACCCGCTTTGTATATTTCTCCATTGGGTCTTCTCCCATATATGAAGTAACTCCCGGATGAACCCTGAGTTATTCTCTGGGGGAACTCATGCTCAAGTTCAATGATTTCAGTTATATGACTTAGCAACATCGAGAAATCTCGCTCGCTGAGGTAATTCTCTGGAAAGTCAAATGGAATTTTTGTTTCATCTTCCACTACTCTTCTCCAGTGAATGAAAATATCCCTGGCTGATGTCAACTGTGGCAAGTTTCTCAATGGTCTGAACGTAGAATATTCAATGATATAGTCTTCATCGTGCTTTACCTTCTTTTTGTTCTTGCTTAATGGCAGATAGGCCCATTTCGCAGCAGGTATCAAGTATGCTCGTGTGAATCTGCGAAAATTGGAATCATACTCGACACTTCCTCGTCTCGAAGTAGGTTGCGATCTGCTCCCCAAGTCCGGTTCAGCCGGAGGTAAGATTAATGGTACCGGTACCATACTTGCAGATTTTATTTTCACAGGAATATGTTTCAGATCTTCATTGGAATGATGCCAGCTGCGGGAGAGGAATTGCGTGTTGAGATGTGCCATGGATTCCGGCGGAGTTTGTGGTGTTGCCAAATCATCGTTGTCGGTGCAACCATTTTCTTCAGTTCTCTTTAGGGGACTTTGAGGTGACACGGAATTTGATCTGAGCTGGTCATTGACTACGTCTAGCTCTCTGGGTATCTTGAATTTCATAGTAGATCTGCAAGTATGAATTGATGCAAACTTGGGTGTAGCCAGTTATGAGCTCAATGGAAGTAGTGGGGACATGGTTTTTTTTTTTAATTTGAGTAGGAAATATTTTTTGGTATCAGCCGTTCCAAATTCCTTCTATCGGCAGCACGTGATAGATGACCTTCATCTATACCCCCTTCCAGTGGTTACTACTACAGATGTAAAAAGATAGAGAGTAATTATGGCTATACTTCAAAAAAAATCAAAACATTCATTAATTTATACGATCGAAAGGTAAATTAAATACGGAGAAAGATAAAAAAGTCCTGTATCAGGGTATTAAAGCAACAACCAAGGAACAATCAAGGATAAAGATAAGCATAATTTGAAGTTTGTAATCTTCACTGCTCCAGAAGAACTTTTAGATTCAGTAGATGCACTATCAGACAGCTCTTGATCATCGCTCTTGGCATCCTTTCCTGAAACTGAGTCCTTTCCTTCAAATATATAATCATTCAATTGCCTAAACAATCCCTTATCCTCCAACGCTTTTATATTTGCCCCAATGGCATCAGCGTATTTCAGTAAACTATCTCCGATATTTAAATTGTACTTTCCTTGCAAGAACTCTTCCACAACTAGAAGCACTTGCGTGGGGTTTTTAAGGAACTGCTGGGCCAATCGGGTAATATTAATTCCCGAGAAATCAATATGGATAACATTAGCTCTAACAACCGAACTAATCAAAGCTCCAGTCATGTTCAAATATTTTTCATTCCCAATAAATCGTTTCACGGTATACACCAAGAACCCGGTGTCATTCAAAGCATTGAGGGTATCTCTGGCAAACTCACCAACAGAAGGAGAGTTAAATAATGTAGCTGCAGCATTTTCAAAGAATTCGACTAAGGTCCCATCATTGTCGGCTCGTTTAATATACCAGTCTTCTTCAACTTCTCGCTTTTGTAACAACTCTTGAAATAAGTATTTAAGAGTGTCTTTCTGAGACATGATTAAATTGTACTCAATATTGACCAATTTAGGTTGGAAACTTTTATCCAATAAAATTCCATCCAATAATGATTGAACTATACCTGAGTCGATCACGGCGTTGAGTATAGCGGGAACATCAATGATAGAACTCACATTTCCAAGCAGATTTATGAGGGACCCGGCTTTAATGGTGATTTTTCTTCCCTTGAGAAAATTGTAGGTGAAATTAGCTACTGTATCTACTCGGTTTGGATGATTCGCAAGGCTGTCCAAAAGAGTCCACAATATTCCCGAGCTATTAAACGCCTTGAGAGCTTCTTCGATAGTTGGTTCAAAGTTTGCTCTCTTTTCGAGTCCATTGAGTTGTCCGGTGCCACCTTCTACCAAGTCCATAAATTGTTCATATGCTTGAATTTCATTATCTCCGAAATTACTATGGACGTAATCATCCACTTGACTCGAAAGATCCCAGAGCGCTTCCTCGAGCACTTGAGCCTGGCCAAATACCAATAGACAAACTAGTGAGATTATGTAAAGTATCCTCATGCTGATAGTTGCTGCCTTGAAGAAAATCTATACACTGAAGAAAAGAAATTAAAAATAAAAGAGAGGAATTGAACTATATTAAAAAGGGTTAACCGATTTACACAAGAGATCCCGCTTACAGAACGATTTCGATTTTAGGAAATAATTAATCAATGGCCGAACATTTAGATCGGTTGGTACCTTTCTTTGCACCCAAAATGCCTACAAACAAAATTACACCTATGACATATCTCAATTAGGAAATTTCCTCAACTGGGAGCGATCTGTCGTGGTACAGAATTATCCCAATTGGGACAAGCATTGCTATGCAGGAATGTTTTTATTTTTGCACCGATTGCACGACTTTTCTTTTTTCTTGTGGGTCGGTAGAATCTCTGGGCTCTTGGTGGGTAAGGTGAGAAAAGAAAAAAAAAAGAAGGTTTTAATTCAAATGTGGGGTTACCTTCATATGTTAATCCAGAGGAAACTCGAATGACTTTATTGAAATTGGAATTTCACGTTAAGCAATGTTTGCTTGCGTGGTCCGATGCGCAAAAAACTTTATCCTACAACCTGATTAATCGTATTTGCGTACCAAAGGAAAAACCAATTTTGTAAATCTTGCCCTATGCTCGGATAAACAATATTTCCACATTAGGAAAAGAGAAAGATAGCACGAATTTTTCAACAACACTTGATTTAGACAACCACATGAATTTGAAGACCTGCTGCATGGCACTTTACATAAACATAACAAGGTAGGAAAACAAAACCACCACAATTGAAATAAACTGGAAAACCCAAATTAAGAATTAATCCAAAAAAAAAAAAAAAACTTCTCACTATCCAACCTTTCAATCTTGGCACCATAACTTAACTCCAACCTTATTTTTCATCTTTCGGGTTTTTCTTGTAACCATTTTTAGTTGTTGCATTGGACCTTTTTTAGTTTATATAAGGTATTCATCCCAAGTTATCACATTAATTTCCTTAATTTTTTTTTTTGCACAACGAAGTATACCTAACCTCAAATGAAGTTTAGTTCATTAATTACTGCCATCCCTATATTCGGGATGGTAATGGGTCATACCATAGATTATGATTCTCAGCTTCAGGAAATCTTGACACCACCACAATTTGAGAAACGTGCCTCCAACAACTCATTGGTACCTTTGTTGCAAACATTGGCCGGTTCTGGTCTTATTCCCAATCTTTTACTGGAAATCACCTCCTCCCAACAAAAGATGGACACGGTTGCCGACTTGATATTATCAGCGGTACAAGGTGGCAGCAGTATTTTCTCCAACATCAGTTTGAATCTCAATATGAATGTGTCAACTACGGAATTATTGAGTGGCATTACAGGATTACTTCCCTCGGTGTTCCAAGGATTGTTAGTTAATGAAACAAATAGAAATGTCATTGCTGGAGTTGCCAGTGGTCTTTTAGGTAGTAAGGAATATGTCTGGATCTCCGCCTTAATTCTTGAACTTGGCCAGGGAGCAGATTTAACTGTGGATCTACTTGCTAATTTAATGATCAATGGTACTACGTATATGAAATTTAGCGATTACGGAAAGATTGAAGAAGTCAATGAAGTAGAGAAACGTGATACTGATGATAATGATGGGTCATTTTCACAATTACTTAATAATATGGTGGGAACATTACTTAATTCTAATTTATTTAAAGGGACCGCACAACAATTATTTGATGCAATTGAAGAATCTGGAATTGTCGTGCCTTTAGTTCTCGATATAATCACCATCCCTACCCTTCCTAAATTTGCTGGAGTTGTCCTTAAAAAACTTTACGATAATCACGTGTTTGATGGTATTGATTTGAATTCCTACTATGTTGCCATCAAGAAGAGTAATTTATTAACAGATTCCACAGAAGCCCTTTTGACGGACGAAACATTTGGCCCTGCTGTTGCTTTATTATTAAAGAGGATTGAAGATTTAGGAACTTTCGATGCAATCACTAGGAATATGTATGGGGATTTGGCCAAGATTCCTTCCGAGTCAGCAAAATCATCAGATGCGGCGGCCGAACCTACCTACTAAAGGGTAAGTTACTACTACTTACTGCTTTTCTTTTTATATAATTTTATTCTTGCTTCTTTTTTTCTTTTTTGTAAAAAAAAATCTGGGTTATTTTTTAGTTATCTATTTAATATTACATTACATCACTTTGCTGAATCTCGTAGTTTCGTTGCCATGTTGATATTTTGGTTGCAAGAAAAATAGGCTGCATGATCGCACATCATCTTGCACTCGCTTCAGCATGCATAAAAAAGCGGAGAATTACCCCTCCTACTATTTTAAAATAAATTCTAGAACACTACTACAATCAATATCAAAATCACAAACACAATATTATTATACAAGATATAAACAAAGAGAAAATCAAACAGATGCAAAATAAAATTAAAAACGTCTAGAACTTTAATGACGACATGACACCGTACCCAATGGTAATAACACAAATATAAACAATGATACTGGCTGGAACACCTCTAGTGATAAAGGTGTTGACAGTTAAGTAATTCTTACCAACTTCATCTCTCATACTGATTGCAGTAACGTTAGGGAAACCTGAAGTTGGCAAACCCATGGCACCAGAGGCAATCAAAGCAGTGGCCATAACCAAAATCAATGGATGTGGGTGTGGTAAAGAGTCACCGACTTCCTTGACTAATGGAACAATAATCAAAGCGGCAACAGTATGGGAAACAAAAGTAGCAACGACAAGAATCAAGGCACCAAAAATAACGACAATGGCATAAAGTGGGAACTCTCTAATTCTTCTTTCCATGGCCATGGCAATGGTGGATAACAAACCCGAGGAAGTAATGGCATTACCTAAAGCTATACCACCCATGGCCAACAAAACAATGGACCATGGGTAGTTGTTTAAATCATCAACCTTTAATAAACCAGTACCAAAGAACAACACAATTGGAATGATAGTAATGATACCAGCAACACCAAAAGTGTCTTCAATCTTGGTCATGACACACCATAATAAAATAGTCAATAAAGTAACTGCGAAAACAAAGTATTGCTTAGCAGTAAACTTTTCCTTGATTGGCTTATACTTCTTCAAGGTAACATTACCGATCTTAAAAGTCAAGATTAATTCAACCCAAATTAACAACATAGCAATGATGGAAACTGGAAGAGCAACGGCAAACCAGTTACCCCAACCTGGGTTAGGAATCATATATTGCAATGCAATGACATTTTGTGGAGATGCAATTGGAGAAGCCATACCAGCAACATTGGAAGCAAGAGCAATACCTAAAACCAAAGCTTGACTGACTGGGGAAGTAGTTGGCAAAGTTCTCAAAACTGGTTGAATCAAGGAGAAACATAAGACTGGAGCAGCAACATTAGAAATCCACATGGCCAAGAATAACGAAACACACATAATGGCCAACAACACATTTCTTGGCTTGGTACCGGCAAAAGCCAAGATGTAACTGGATAAAACCTTGGCAATGTTATATTTAGACAATGCAGCAGCAAGAGTGAAACCACCAATCAAAATCATAATAGTCGAGTTCCACATAGTACCTAAGATATAAGCAGCAGCATCAGCAGCAGCCATTGGTTCGTTGGACCCAGTTTTCTTACAGACACGACAAGTAACAACCAAAAGAGGAACAAACATACCAGTAGTGTACAAAGGTAATGCTTCTAAAGCCCATAACATTGCACATGCCACTAACAAGGCAAGGGCTCTTCCTTGAACTGGATCGTTAAAAGTCTTGACGGCAATTAAAACCACAAACACAACTATAATAAGAAGCAACTTGAACACTTGCCACGTTATCATAGATGCTGGGAGTCTAACGTGATCATGACCGAAAATCTTGATATTCTTTGGAAAGTAGAAGTCCTTCATGGTGATATATAACATAGAATTTTCATTAGCTTCATCGCCCATCTTTTGACCGTTGGCTTGTAAATCAATGTCATAAGACTTCTTTTCTAAGGATAACAAGTCTTTCCAAACAGTGTTTCTTTCAAAGACAATGTGATCACGTAAATGAGATCTCAAGTCAACTTTGACGTGTTCCAAATCTTCAACAGAAGTCTTGGAGTTTAATCTGCCAGATAAGAAAGCAAAAACTTTGACAATGTGGTCTAATTTGTAGTCCAAGTTTTCAATGGTTTCCTTGAGGAAAACACGGGAATGGTTTGGTAAAAAGTTTTCAATAAAATCTTGCTTGATGGAATAGTTGCAAGTTTTGTCAAACTTTTTACAAATCTTGGTGAAACCAACTCTGTTTAATTCAATGTATGACTTCAATTCAGAAAGAGAAATAAACAACAAAATAGCCTTTCTCTTTAAGGTAACCTTCAATTGATGCTTGACATTAAAATGAGCATGGTTTAACAACACAGAATCTTCAGAGTGAGCATCTTCTTCATCGTCATCTTCATCAGAGTCATCAAATTCTTCATCAGCTTGTTCATTCTTTTCCAAATCCTTGTTGTCGAAATCATTACCCAAATGGTTAATGGTATCGAAAACACTAGCATTAGAAACAACTCTTGAAAGAGTGGACTTCAAGTGATATTGGTGGTGGTCATCGGTATTAAGAGCAGCTTGGTTCATGTTGTAAGCTTGGGTAAATCTGAAAACGTCATCAATATCAACATGGTTAGATTCTAAATCCTTGAGCAAGTTATCGTAGTTGGTAAACACTTCTTCTTCTTTGTTGTTATAGAAGGTATTTATTTTGTCCAATTCAACCAACAATTGTTTAGCAAAAACCTTTAAAGCATCGAATTTCAAAGACTTTGGGTCAGCAAAGGAGTCATCTTCAGAAGCAAGAATTCTCCCTATAACATCAGTAGATTTTCTTGGATTAAAAGACGCTATACTGTCGGAATCAAACCCTTCCTCGGTATAAGTCTTGGTGTCTGAACCCTTTTCGGTGTATTCACTACTAGAGTTCTTTTCCAAGTCGGAATCAACTTCAACCTTGTTGGTTTCAATTTCAGTAGAGCTGGAACCCTTTTGGAACCTTTGCAAAAACAAGCTCTTGACTAATCTATTTTTTAACCCGCCTTGCATGGTTGCAGCACGAGATTTTTCTTGGACGCCCTGGCTGTTGCTCTTGGACTTGAACCCGTCAACCAACTCAGTGACTGTGGTTTGGTTGGAACCAACAATGAACCCAGACTCACCAGTACCATTATTGACAATTTGGTCTTGTTGTAATTTGTAAATAGTTTTCTTCAATGTAGGATAGTTGACATAACTATCTTGCCATTCAGGAACGGCATTAAACTTAAGCGAATGTTCGAACTTCATCTTGTGCCCTAAAATGGATACCCCTCGTGTGACTATTGACTTGTATAATCTGTCAAAATAATAATAAATCTATTTGAGAAAATAGAACGTTTGATTGTGTAGTTGGTTAGAGCCCACGTTGCCTAGTTCAGTATAATGTCAGACGACCTGTTAACTAAAGAAGAAAAGATGCAGAAAAAGAAAGAAGAAAATTACCAAGAAAAAGTTTTTAAATCCCCCAACGTGGTTAGCCCTCGTGTGCTCCTTAGCCAAATTTGGATCTGGGATGATTAAAAGAAATTAAATTCACGACTTCTCGATCATTTTTTTTTATTTTTTGACCATCTTAACTATGGGAAAAATTTTTTATTATGGCGAGACACACCCCACGTGGGTCCATTTTAGATAGGAGAAATCCGATTTTCCTGCATACCACAACTAATTTCTTGCCCTCGTGGGCCCCCTTCTTGCATTAATATTTTCTTGGTATTCTTATTAATCTAGTTCTGGAGAAAGTTTAGGGTTTAGGGCAACGTGCCCTAATAGGGCTAATTGTCACACGAGAGTTAGTTTTAGGGCTCGCTATGTTTTACTATGTCTATTTAATGGTGCTAGTAAATATGACATGCAAGAAGTATGGTTATGTATCATAAGTTTTGGTTATGTAGCTGTTTTACGGTGCTGCGCATTGTGCCGAAATTTTTCTATTGTTGTCTGGAAAAATGAATTGCATGATAAACTGGAATTGACTAGTTTGCCTCCTTCTGTTTTAAACTACTACGGGAATATATACATAAATGTAGATTTGATGAAATTACATCTTATGTGTAACTTGATAGATCAAAAACTATCATATTTAATCCCTATTGCGTATGATAGATTAATACGAGCTTCAAACCTGAAACTTTATTTTTAACTGTACTGCATACAAATCTCTCGTAAAAATAATCTATAAGCACGGAATTCAGTTGACCTCAATCTTCCAATTTCCAATTCAAAGAAGGCTTGTATTGTTTAAGGGTTGATCTTGGCGTGAATAAACTAATTATATTGTTTGAATGGGAAATTATGTCCAACTTTAGCCCAGATACCACCTAAAACTTGCCAAAGTTCTACTAAAAGACTTTAAAATACCAACTTTTACCATTGGACCGACCTTGATCTTTGCCAAGTAAATAAAATTATCTCCAGAGATTTGTTCACAAAAGTAAGATCAATTTCAAATAATATTTGTGGTATATTGGAGACGATAATTTTAATAATCTGAAAAAAATCCGCCTCGGAATTTATCAAGGTCTATTCAATTCCCACCATTAAACTTTTCCAACTAGAAACACAGTATTCTAATGACTTGACTTTACTCGACTTGGCTCACTAGATTTCATCCTAGAGAAAACATTTTCGTGTTGTTTAAATATAAACGATACTTTCTTGATCAATATTTCTTTGTCTATGAGAAAATGGCTAAGCCAAAAGAACTGTGCAAACTTAATTGCTATTTGGCAAGACTTTCGAAATAAATTAAAAAAAAAAAAGAACTTAATGAAGACCCCTAGATCTAACTGGATGGTAGTTACCTTTATCTATTGTGTTGCCTTTACTACTCAAAGTTCAATGTGGTCACCCTTTCTACTAGGTTATTCGTATAATCTATTTTATAAAAATATTTTTCCAATTTTATTCAAAACTCGACAAATACAATAGAGTCAAACTAATAATAAGCGTATTAGTTGCAAGATATTTTACTCATTGCAATGTAAAAGTTGAGCAATATAAGTCTTTAGATGAAATGAGCTTTCAGATAATATCAATCGTATTATTGACCTCTCCAGCTTACTCCTAGAATTCCATTGTAAAAGATAATAACTTGATATGGACGTGAAAATTTCCCTCACTATATAATTGAACAACGGAGTTAATCCTCAGCATACGTCTAAATTGTCAACTTCGTAGTTCAAAAGCTGACAAAAATTTCCAATGTAGCTCGTTTTAACCATATCACCGAACTTCGACAATACAAATGTACAACCCGGAAATCATATATTCAAAAATTCATGATAGCTAGACGAATTAGCTGAAAGAATTATTTCATTCTCTTAAGTTAATTAAAAATATATGGCTAATGTAAATAACACAGCGTCAGGTAAATGGATCGCATTCAACCCATATTTACCCAATGGTTTATTGCACCTAGGGAAAAGCAAATACCAAGCAATTACAGGGATTCTAATCTAAATAAGAAGTTCTCAGAAGGTAGGATATTACCTGGTAAACTTTTGGAATCCTATTTCTATAAATCCTATAATTGACAAAAGTGTGAACTTTTCAATTTATTTAGCTGGCCATGTAAGTATTGCAAATGACTGCAAATTAATGGAACACAAAAATACAACAAAAATCTGGGTTACCCGGAAGAAGCTTATCCCTCAACAATAAGTATTGAAGAAAATGATAATTTTGCCAACATATTTTTTTTGGAACTTTCAACATAAACAAAAATTTGACAGGTTCCTTTATTCCAATCAGTACCATAGTACCACAACTCCAGCCAACACATTTGGGTGACTGCTGATTAATTGGGTTGGGAGATTTTTTTTTTTTTTCATTAAAATCACACTATGTTATCTTAGGTCATCATTTTTCGAAATATTTTCCTGACGTAATTTTTTTTCGTGGTACAAGAATTGAAAGTTTTAGTGCATGCTAATAACCATAAAAGTGGTATGTTTGATGAATAAATTATAAATAATCACGTAATTTCCCCCTATTCCAATGATAAATCTTATTCTAACATATCCATAACAATCCATTTATGAATAATGAACTTTAAAACCTTAGCACTTGTATTCTTGATGGCCAAGGCAGGAACAAGTCTGCCTGTGCCACTTCAGATCTGTTGCAATAACAACGGTCAAATAACTTGTGGACCTCAGAAAGAGGACTATATTCCAGAAAACTGTCACATAGTACAGATTCTCCTCATTTAGGAAATTCTTTAACTGGATCTGTGAATGACTACGAGGGAAACATACTGCTTCATACCAATATACTAGTAACTAAATGCCTTGAATACTTCTATAAACGGAGAATATATTAACTTATATTAAAAATCAAGCTTCATGGATGTCACCTCTAATGTTACAGAACAAACAGGTCTGAGCTGAATGTTGAGGAAGATGATGCATTTCCTATATTGCTATATATATATATATATATATATATTACAAAATTGTTAACTCACCAATCAGTGATGCAGACGTAATGTGTAAGTGAGAATTAATAGTGTAAATAGAAAGGATTTTATTAAGAATAAACAAAAATAGTATAATGGCTCTCTTGCTGTAGCTGTAGTAGCTATACACGGTCTTTCATATATTACACATATTCCCGGTTATGATAATACAATTTTAATTCAGGAGAATTAGTTGCTTAACTATGCTGCAGATATATTAAGCGGAAAATAAAAGCAAACTTCAGGGAAGGAATTTTGGCCGTTTAATCGGTCGCTTTACAACTGAAACGAGATCTGGGTAACAAAGAAATGACTGCAAATTTTCTGCTACACAAAGAACAAAACAACAATGCGAGATCATCTCACGTGACGATAAGTGACCAAAAAAAAATCTCACGCCGCCCGCCAAATTTTTTAGCTGGAGAAAAACAAGAACTGCCAACTATTTTTGGTGGTCACTTGTTTGCACACACACTTGACTCATTCTTTTGCAACACTCTCCCCATTGGAAATGTATCATAATTTCACTAACAAGATAATACACGAGGGGGAAACAGTAATACCGAAACGTCAGACCTTGCCTATCAATAGCACCTCATCCGGCGACAATTTGGTAGCTACTCCCCCAAAGGCAGCCACACCTCTTCGCCTAAATTCTCCTGGGTTAAACCACAATGATCTTTCAATTGTTAGTTCCTCCCCACTCAAATTAGGAAACATATATGGCAACTTTGAAACCACCAGCGACGTCGAATCATTAGGTACTCCTCCATACGGATCTACTCCTTCACTCAGTGATACGAGTTTCCATGATATGCCTAAATTGATTCACAAGTGGACTCGCACCCTTTCCATTCTTTGTTGTGTGGCATCACCAGTGCACAAATTGCTATTCTGTGGAACTCAGGATGGTAAGATTTTAGTATACGATTTGTCAGATTACAGTTTGACTAAGGAGATAGACGCTGGTGGACAACAACATCAACCACCATCGATATTAACCATGTGTTTAAGTAAGGATGAGAATTACTTATTTGTGGCCGGTTCTGATTCTTTGATTAAAGTGTTTGATTTGTCAGGAAACGACTTCCACTGCACCCATATCATATATTCACTAGTTGATATTGGAGATATTTTCTCAATTGCATGGTGTGATGAACTGTCCACGGTTTACATTGGGGCCCAAAATGCCTCAATTGTATGGTGCAAATTGTCATTCGATAAAAGTTCATTTACATCAAGATCCAATATTGAAAGATTGCCTAGTTTCCGATATGATAAGTTTTTCGACTCAAAGGGACCAGGAGGCTCACAAAATACACTACAAACTAAGCATGAAATTTACAGAAAGAACTCATCATCGACTACGAGGAATTCACCCCATACAAAACACCTCAAATTGGTTGAAGCTGGTTCTGAAGATATTATAAGGTTTTCTCATAATGGGTATGTTTACTGTATGGATATTGTCAATGCAGAAATTGGTGATTTTCATGAACGCAAGTATCTTATTTCTGGAGGTGGTGACGGAAGTATCAATATTTGGTCGATTGATCCAAGTAATGGTGGAACGCCGGTCAAATTGACAAGTTTAGCTAACGAAGAATCAGTTTTGTCAATGTCGGTTCAAGGTTCGTTGTTGTATGTTGGGCTCGGAAACTCCTGTGTCAATGTATGGGATTTGACCACATTACAATTAATTCGATCATTTCATTTCTCAGCTGAATTAAGAGAACATCCTCATTTACAACGAAATCATAATCTTCATCAGAAGCAACATCAAGACAATGAAGTTCTCAGTTTGGCTATCTACAATGATTCCATCTTTAAAGCATGTTCTCATTCCGGATTAATTAAATTGGCCATGAAGAGTAAAAATGTTTCATTACATGATAGTATTCTCATGAGTGTTGAAGAAGAAGATGGGATAATAAACACCGTCACCGTGTTTACTATTGATTCAGTCACATACTTGCTTTCAGGGGGAAACAAATCACTTTGTTTATGGGACATCACTCGGTCTACCCCGATACAGGAAGATCGCACACCCCCAGTTATTTCTCTTGCTGACAAATTATCTAATGATAATTTACTTTCTACCTTGAAGAAGTATATTTCCTATCGAACAATTTCAAAAAACCCTCAATTATACCTTGAAGACAGTCGACACTGTGCCCAGTTCCTTTCACGATTACTTGTTGATTTAGGCGCATATCAAACGAGATTATTACCTGTGCATAATGGTAATCCTATAGTGTTCTCTGTATTTACCAAGAACGATAGTCTGGTACTGCAACTGGAATTAAATAAGAAAGTTAGATTGTTATGGTATGCCCATTATGATGTTGTTGATGCTACTAATCACGAAGCCGAAGATTGGGCCACTGATCCATTCACCATGACTGCTCGAGATGGGAACTTATATGCTCGTGGTGTAAGTGATAACAAAGGTCCTACGTTAGCTGCGATATACAGTGTTGCTGAATTATACCAAAAGCAAGAGTTGAGTTGTGATGTCGTGTTCATTATTGAAGGTGAAGAAGAGTGTGGTTCGTTTGGGTTCCAACAGGCCATTCATGAACATCGTCTGATGATTGGCGATATTGATTGGATTGTCTTGTCGAATTCGTACTGGTTAGACGATAATACTCCATGTTTGAATTATGGATTACGTGGGGTTATCAATGCGTCTGTGATAATTAAATCGGATAAACCCGATCGTCATTCTGGGGTTGATGGTGGTGTTCTGAAGGAACCGACTATGGACATGATGCATGTGTTGGGACAATTGATGGACCCTGTGACAAGTCAAATCCAATTAGACCATTTCTATGATGATATTTTGCCAATGTCACAAACTGAACTGGGGCTATACGAGAAGATTCATGATGTAATCCACACCACGTCAAGTACCCTTATTCGCAAGTGGCGAGAACCTTCATTGACCATTCACAAAATCCAAGTTTCGGGGCCAAATAACAACACAGTTATACCCCAAGTTGCCAATGCCACCATCTCAATTCGTATTGTCCCTAATCAAGATTTAGCTACGATAAAACAACAGCTAATCAATAAGTTGCAGAGTTCATTTGATAGACTCCAATCAGAGAACTCCATCCAGATCAATATCTTCCATGAGGCAGAACCATGGTTAGGTGACCCTACAAACAAAGTATATTCGTTGTTGTACGAAAAGATGCAGACTCATTGGCAGCAGGAGCCGCTTTTCATTAGAGAAGGTGGGTCGATTCCGTCAATTAGGTTTTTAGAAAAGTGTTTCAATGCACCTGCAGCACAGATTCCCTGTGGACAAGCGAGTGATAATGCACATTTAAACGATGAAAAATTGAGGATTATCAATTTGTTCAAATTACGATTGATTTTAACGGACACTTTTAAAGAATTGGGAAGACAGTAGAGTATTTAGCTCTGCACATTGTATAGTCAGTTTACCGAACAAATAAAAAATGTCAATATTATTTAATTATATAAATACGAGAAAATTCCTTTCGTATAAAAAGGAAAAAAAAAAAACTTACACACCAGCAAAAAGAGAGTCGAGTTCTTCTTTTTGTAAGATCGGCTAATATAACATATTCTACATAAATCAGTGGATCGAATTAGTCGGTTCATATCGTCAATTGTTTGATATGTGCGTTGGTGTTTGGGATCGCTGTCGACGTCGAGATCTTCAAAATTGATCAAATCATAGTCTTTCTCGTGCCAAATCCAGGCAAAATGAGGTGCCGATGTCGATGTTAGTGTTGATGAGGATGAAGTTGAGCTGGAATTTGTGTCGGAGGACAGTTTCACGTTGGTTAAGGTGGTGTTGGAAAGTCCTTCTTGTTCCGTGTTCAATTGTGCTAATATATCCAATACTTCCTGACATGCTAGCTTATCGTGGAATGTCGGCACCATTGAATGGTAGGTTCTATCGGTTGATTGTTGGGTGATGGGAAAATTGGCAAAAATGTTGTATTTCGCCTTTGTTAGCTCTATCCCCGTTGATATACAGCTGAACTCGGCGAATTTCTGAAGCGATTTGTTGAAACAGAAAACAGTCTGGAATCTCCCCGAATACATTGATGGATATTTTAGCTTGGAGATAGTGTAATTATCAAGAAATACGATGGAAGATTGCGGAATGTTGAAGTGTTTGATGATGATTAGTATTTCATTGATTTCTTTACGGATGTCATTGAGAAGAATGAGGGTTTTGGAATTGGCAGAATTCAAGTGCACTTTATTCAAATTGTTATAAAATGGAAGAAGAATTTCTGTCACGAAACATACATCGTGTATACTTATATTTTGAGGTATAGGTATCAACAATTGATGTGGGACATCGAGGAATTCTTGTAATCCTCCATCAAGGTCTTTTCCATAGACCAAATGGCACTCGCACGACTCTTCGAGATGTTGATTTTCCAATTTGCAAGTTGTATAAGGAAACACCAAATATTTCTGCTTTGGGTTATACGCCAATACTGATTCGATGCTTGGAGGAATCGAACTAATCTTGACTACCATACCTTTTCCGGGCACAACCACGTCGCAGTCATCAATGAAATCGAGTTCATAATTTATCCCCGTCATTTTTATCTTTACAGTTATTTTCTCCTGGTATGAGCTAGGATGGGTCTTGGCGACCTCATTAACCCGTGGGAACACTATTGACTTCCTGAGCTTCTTGGTTTTAGGATCATATAGTCGTTTAATGGGTAGTTGTGTCACCATGGTGTACTGGATTATTGTTGTTTGTGAACACATGCGTGTGATCGTCTAGCAAAAAAAAAAGGTCGTATTTTACGTCTGTTATAAGAGAACAGTCGAGCTAAACGAAACCAAGCGTAATTTCAAAAATAGCCTCCGAGAGTGAAATGTTGGAAAGACGGGTGGCGGAGATCAGGAATTTAAGCAAGCGTGCAGAAAAGGGGTGGCAGGGTACGATTTAAAATTCTTTGTTTAGCATTCTGTAATAATAATTTGTTGTTCGTAAACCCTGTCAGATATAGAGTTTTCCTGTTTTTGGGTAAATAATAATGTGGTGATGATACGCAGGCCAAGCAATGTTGGTTACCTTGACACCGTGGTATTTTACGAGTATTTGCTTACTTACAAGACAGGTTTTGACATGACTTGAGTTTCACATTAGAAGATGTCGTCAAATGTCATATTTTAGCGAGTCCAGACTTAACCGGGAATTGGCCTATTCTTGTCTCGTGTTTTATAGTGGAATGCTGTTGTGAGGTAGTGTCCCCTTAAAGTAAAGGTACCGAAATTTTTTTTTAGCTCACTTTTTTTGTGGCACTAAAAACTTTTCCCTAATTTCTTTGCCGAATTGGGGATTGTTGATAACACACTAAAAAATTAGTCTAACAAAATAATTTATTATGAAACCTTGTAGTTATTGTTCATTGCGGGATGTTTAATAATATTTTCGTAATTGAGCAGTATTACTGCTGGTTTGTTTCAGCTATGGGTGAACTGACGGATCGCCTTTAGTGCTAGATCTGAGATCAAACGTAAGATGTAGATCGTTAAAAGGAGTCAATCTAAACGCGAGGCTTGACAGCTATCCGTAAAATCAAGGGGCAAGAAATCTAATGGTTGTCGTAACAACTGTTTGCGCTACTAGCCTCGGAATAATCACATGAAATTGTAGCTCCCCAAAATGGGCTTACTTGATTCCTTACCCCGAAATATAACCCCCCCCCCCCCCCCCGAGAAATGAACTAGGATTCTTCATATGCAATATTTTCAATCCAGCAATACTGTAAATATTCTAATTGGTACGGACATAGTAGTGCTGAGTACATGCTTACCCAAGTTTACCCAAGTTTACATCCACACTTCAAATTCCGTACTGTCATTTATTAACTTAAATCAACTATATCGTTATGCACATTATATAAATCTATATCCAAACGTTTACTTCTTGGCCTCTTCTTCTTCGGCCTTTTTCTTTCTTATTTCCTCATCTATAATCGACAATCTTAATGCTTCTTCAATCATTCTGTCTTCTATTGATCGAAGATTACTATTGCTGGCAGATCCAGCAGTATTACCTCGTCTTCGACCGGTTTCACCACTTCCACGTCTTCTTCTAGTGTCATCAGTAACTCCGCTAGCGCTTTCAGTACTATCCAGAATTATTAAATTAGAAGCATGAATTGCACTGGCAGTAGCTGCTTTTCTTGCCAACTTGTTTCTAGCAGAAAGCAATTTGGTTTCCCAATCTGGTCGAATCATATCTATCGTGATCAATTCTGGCGTGGCACTTTTTCTCCTAACCATAGCCGGTGGGGTTTTCTTGTTAGTTCTACTAACTTTTTCATCTTCTTCATCAGTGATATCGCCATTTCCTGTATACTGTTTATATTGACTTGGTTTAATTCCTCCGATCCCAGTACACAAGTCTTTCGGTGGTACATAAGTAACTCCAAAATTTGGAGAAGCACAATATGGACAACTGGCTGGCTCGGAAATTAATGTATGGGGCAATGGAGGTTCATTTGGATTTGCATTAGCTTGTTCTTCATGTGGAGGATGAGGGTCCAATCGCTTAATCTGAACAAAACATTCAGTGCATATTGGTTGAAGACAACATTTCGACACATTCAAATGGGATGGATAGTACAAGAAGCAAATAGGACATTCCCGGGGTTGTCGATATAGACGTAATAACAAATCACGACTAGACATGTCTGTGCTAGTTGCTTTGCTTTCTAAATATCGTTGCTCTTCAACCTTTTGTGCTTCCTTGACTCTAGCAATCAAGGCTTTCAACTTGGATTTCTCTTCTTGACGTTTATAAAAGTTTGAAGACTTGTGAATCTTGTGGTCGTCCACATCATCCTCTTCTTCTTCGTCATTGAACCCCGGTTCTAATGCATGTAAGGGTAATTGTTTTAAGATAATGTAAAGTTCTTCATCGGTCCAACTCTCATCAAAATCCTGCAATGGAGTGAAAAACGGCGATAATTTCCCTTCAATAATCAATCGCCGAACTACATCACAATTGTAATCAAGATTGGATTTGTACGTCCCAAACGGAGCCAAGTATCCACCATCGACATGCTCATTAAACTTGACAATTAATTGATGATAATGCTTTTCCAAGGCGTTATCCTTCTCCTGTTGTCGTTTCATCCTTCGTAACTCCGAAGATGCTGACCGTTGATGGCCATTGAACGACGTGGTGTTTCTTCGTTGCAGGGATCTACTGCTTGCAGCAATCGTGTTTTGAATCGATACAGCACCTCCTGAGGTGATGAAATCGGATACTGATGATGAATCGGTGTTGGATCGACTCCTGGTTTCCTTGGTAGGTACGTTACCCATGGTTGCGGATGTGGTGGATAACGAGAGTGGTGGCGCAGTGCGAGAAGATGTGATTAAACTATTAGTTAAACAACCTATATTTCCAGGATAAAGGTTTTTATGTGATGATTATGTGATGATACCCCCTGTCAAACAATAGCAATAAAGGGGTTTAAGTGATGTTTTAGTCTAAACCTGACGTATGTGGGGAAGAGATTTATCTTTTGTCCGTGTCTGCTGCAGGGCACTTGTTTTTTTTTTTTTCCTTGACTTTTTAATTGCAAGTACCACATTTTGCTAGTTGCCACACATTTACAGAACAGAGCTTGTTGATGCAGACAGTGACTATCGGGGCGTTATATGCTTGCATGTTACTGTACAATATGCATAAAGCAAGCAATGTTACCTTCTACATCTACAATACTTGTTACAAGTAGGAAATTATGTTGTATGTTTGCTGAATCTAAGCCGAGGTAATAATTAATTCTACCCCTTTTTCTATTTTTCACTACTGAACACTGTAACTCTAAAGTTTCAAAGCCAATCTATTCATCCAAAGTAGTGTGATAGCCTTTTATATCCTGCTAATATACAACATGTACGCTTGACTCATAGCTTGTGTCTTACCCGTTAACTCTTGTGATGTAAGGAATTGCCTGATCTCGGACAAATCCAGTGCACGACCCTTAAGCCACCTTCATTCCCGGAACAACAACAAAAAAAAAGGAAAATGTCCCTTACGACAGGTATTCCGTGATGCTTACTTCTTAGTAATGATAATTCAAGGGTGAGTCATCTGAATCAATTATATTGTTAAGAAGGCAAATGTCAGGTGTAGAAAATAGAAATTTACTGGTTGTGCCGATTTTGCAACCATAAGCAATAGAATCAAACTTCGGCAGCAACTATAAAACTTACTATTTGCCCATTTCTCGTAAACCAATCTGATTAACCGAGGGTTAACCGTTTTATTAATACAGTCATTAGAGTTGGACCTATAAACTAAAGCAAATAAATACACAAAGCAAGAAAGCAATTATCTTTCATGCAGAAATTTTTCATATAATACACATATACTCGTTTCCCAAGCCAGGGGAAATTCCAATCAATGAGCGATAATCGCCGTGTGACCCTTTGATTGTTTTGTTTTTAGTACTTTCAGAAACCATTTAATGATTTTCAGTTTAGATTGTCGCTCGTCAGATATCTCCTTAGCGACGAGCATGATACTGCTGCTCTTTAAATCGTGGTTCTCTTTCTTTTTCAAAGTGATATCTTCTTGAGATGAATCAGGTGTGCTTCTTTCAAAAGTGGCTGATTTCGATATGGGGTCAGATATCACGGTCTTGTCGGAGTAACTGACACTAGTACATGATGGGACGGGCGGTGAAGCAAATTGTGGTTTGTATTGTGCCACTTCGGGTATCACTTTGCTATTCTTTAGTTTGTCTATGTTTTCAGCTCTATGTGGACTTGGTAGTTGTTTCATCTTGAAGTATTCCCTAGTGGTTTCTTCACAGGGACTCAAATCTTTATCTTCTAGGCGAATACTTGGTTCGGGATAATTGTCTTGACTATCGAATGTTTGTGGCAGGATAGAATAAAAGTTGGACGAAGGCGCGCTCATTCCCATAGAGTATGACTCCATGTCCGGTACTTGTTGTGGTTGTTTTTGTAATGTAGTATCTATGGACAATTGAGGTTTTGATTGACTTCTTTCTTCTATTGAACTGAGAGTATGTAATAATGGATCTCCCAGTATTTTTGAAGTGGTTTTATATATAGTGGTGTAATTTCCATCGTCAAACAGTTCTTGGAATAGCGATATGTAGTTCGTGGTTTTTACATCCAATAGTATTGAATTGATATCTACTTCATCATCTGATGTCTCATCGTCGGAATCGGCAAAACTTTCTAATGTAACGGGTAATTGTGGTTGAATAAACGGGGTATTTAATTGGAATCCAGTAACCCAAGTTTTCAGGTCATTGGGCTGAAGATACATCGATTCTCGCTCCACACTTGATTTTGAGCGGTTGAAAATATTGCTGATAATCTTGGAAGAACGATCGCCATTGGTAGATAAGCCCGATGATTTTCGGAAAAGGCGCAATGAGCCTGTCCTCCTCGGTGGTGATCTCTGATATGTCAGTGGCTGAGGCTCCGATTCTTCCAGATATTGACTTATTTGATCTGTTGAACTGAGACCATGTTTCAATCGAAACATTCTCGAAACTCGATGGTCTGATACGTCAGTCATGTTCTATCACTTCTCACTGTTGATTTGAAAATACTTTCAAAGAAAACACATATATATCTAAGGTTTTTCCTACCAAGTTGTAAAAGGCTGGTTTACGTTAACTTTGTCACTTTAAATTAAGAATACAACAAAAAATTTTTTAATCCTTTTTTGTGATCGCAAAAAAAAAAGTTGGTTCCACTCTGCTACCGCGTTTTTGTGACCGATTCTAATTTTAAACTGTTTGTCGTGCGGACGATTGCTCTAACAAAAATAAATACGATTACTCCAGCATGAACTCACAGGAAGAACGAGAGAACAATTTATATATATTTTTTTTCTCACCAGTGGGGTGATTAGAAAGGGAGGATACTCCAGTATGTACGTTGCAACCTTGTTAGAAGTAGGAATTAAATTAAGCTTGAGCTGAGAAAGAAGGCGATCATTTTTTGTTAGCTTGAGTTTAAAAAAAATGCTTGTTCAAAAAAAAAATTTTCCTGCCGTTGTTCCTAATTAGGAAAATAAATTGTCCTAAATGTGATTTGGGTTAGATTTTTATTTCTTTTACTTAGATGTGCATGAGAATAGGTTGTCTTTACAAATTCATCTATATGGAACTCGCGGGGAAAAATTTAGGTAAGAACCTGCCCAACAGTTTTTTTTCTAATTGTACTAGAAGGGATGAAATCACCAAGTCTAGAACGTAATCTGTTGCCTGATCAAGGGTGAAAGGAGAAGCAACTAAACTTCAGAAATTGGCATCTGAATTGACCTTAACCTTTAGTCCTGTCAAAATTCGGCAAAATATTCCCAAATTAGATAAGCGAAAAGTATTCTCTACAGTTGGGTATTTCATGCAACGTCTTACTTGGGTTTACTTGAAAAAACTAGTTGGCACTTATTTCGAACCGTAAATCCAAAACACAACAATGGCCATACACGAGCTTTCTACAAATGTGCATGATCGTACATGCGCATTGAAGCCCATAATCTACATGATTATGAAGATATCATCTTTCTTATATCATATGAAATTGTCTAGCTGCTCCAGCCGTCTTTCTAATTATACCATTTTTAGACCAACGACATTTTGAAAGATGTCTTGTCCCGCCTGAGTTTAACTGAAAAGAGTGCAAACTCTAAAAATAGTATGTGGTAATGCTATTTTTGGGCTTGGGACGAAAAAACAAAAAAATCAAATGGTCTGGAACCAAATTTCTAACAAATCGAGCCATGTTTCTTTTCCTATTAGGTAAAAACAAATAGCCGAACTACATCAAAAAATATTTTACAAGGTATTTTTTTAAAAATCTCATGCATTGTTTACGTTTTATACGCCTCAGGTATGAAGACAACACTTGGTGAGGTTTCTTTGTGACAGGTTCCTATGGATCTGCGTCTAGTTCAAAGGAACTGACTATAACTCGGTGATGTAATTCTCTTGGTTGTACTCTGTTACAGTTTAGTATAGAGCCAAGTTTCATGTGAAGAAACAATCATTATCTGATTTGGGAAATCTAATTGTGATTTAAACAATGTGAAACATTCATAATCATCCCTGTCAATTCAAAATCTGATTCCAGTTAGGGAACCAGTTATGAATATGTTTCATCTGATTCGGGAATAGGTATTAGATGACATGGTTTAGAGTGTAAATTTAACTTGAATGTTAGAGCATGGGATGATTGATCTAGAAGTGTTTCTATCTTTTATATATTTATGATACATCAAAGAAGTTGAGTACCTGCTTTTAAACGTTTGATCTATATTAAACAGTAAAACAAAAGCACAAGTACGTCATAGTATTCGTGGTCATTGCAATCCGATTGCAAATTTTTCATCATCTTGCATGTCGTGCATGCAACCAATTTGTGTACAAATTGCAAAAATATATTAGATCTTTCTTTTAGTATACACAACTACACAAGGAAACCTCTGGTTTGTATTTACTTCTTCTGGAAGAAACTCATAAGGGATGCTTGAACCTTCTTACCATCTCCGCCTTTCTTTCCAGTTGGTTTGGCAACTGGACCCTTTCTTGCAGCTGTGCGAGGTGCTGGTTTAGCTGGTTTAGATGGTTTAGTTATAGGTCTTGCCTTTCTAGTAGTAGTAATATACCCATCATCATCTACTTTCTTTTCAATTGCATTTTCTTCCATTGGTTCTTCGATTTCTTGAGTTTCGGGAGTAGGACTAGCTTCAATATCTTCTACTTCAATAGGTTCTGGCTCAGCTTGCTTCTCTTCTGGAGGTGGGGACACCTTTTGTGGCTGTTCTGATATCAATATAGGCTCATCCTTTTCGACTTCCTCCTTGGCATCATCAGAATCACTAAATTCATCTTCAAATAGTTTTTCAAGTTCAATAGTAGGGGTCTTACCGCGACTTGTAGGTTGAGTGTCTTCTTCGAAATCATCGTTATTATCGTCGGCGATTATAACTCTTTCCCTTGGTGCTTTAGAGTCTAGTTTTCTAGACTTGTATAGATAAGAGCTTGGTTCAGTTGCTGCTCGCTTTTGGGGAATTTCCTTTTCCTTCTTACGGGAGGTATAATGAGACAGAATGGTGTTCTTTTGTTCTGTATGTTGTTGTTTTCTTGATACGTATGAAGATGAGATAGTCGCACTTCTTACTGCTGGTTTTGGCTTGTCTTCTGAGGTTGTTTTCTTAGCAGCTGGAGCTGGCACAGGAGGTTTGCCGGCAACAGCAGGTAAGTTTGCGCTGACAACAATCTTAGGACCTTTGATTATTCCATTCTTTTCATACTGTTCAAGATTGGATATATGACTTGGAAACCTTGACTCTTCAAGGGCAAGATCGCTATTGGAGAAATTGAGTTTCCGTTGGGAGACACTATATACATGTATGGTCAGAATTGAAGTGAATTTCTTGACATCATCGTCCAAATTAGATTCATCCTTGGATAATCTGATTGATCGACCGGTTGTAGTGGCACCTGAGATCAAGAATGTTGCTGCCAATTTGTCTTTGTTCTTCTCATAATATTCAAATAACCACGTCTTGGCTTTTTCCATTGGTATGTTCACTTGACGCGAGAATTTGTGGTAGGTTACTGGTTTGGAGTTTTCGAATAACTCATTAGCTAAGTACTCTACTTCTTTAGGTGGCAAACTCATGGTCATCCCTGGTGGTTGGTAAGTTTGGTCAAAATTGATGATTTCCTTAATATTTTTCTTCACGCGTTTTATGCTGTGCGTGTTTGTGCTTACAAATATTCTACAAATAAAGGTTGAAAATTTTACCAATAACATTTTCTATATAAAAACAACAGATAGCTATATAAAAAAAATCAATAAATAAGTGAAAGACAAAAAACAAGTTAGAGAAAAAGAAAATCAATAAATAGGCAAACGGCAAATACAGTCAAACAATGGATAGCTAATAATTGATAAGAGCTGTTTAAAGTTCATCCTTAAGAGGAGAGCCAGCCTTTTTAGCTAAATATTGTTGTTTCATCTTCTCTCTAGCTTCAAGATTACCTTCCAATGGACCTTCAATCATATCCTTAGTGACACCATCACTAATCAAAGTTCTCCACAGCTTGACTCTTTCAAACCCATTTTGGGCAAATTGGTAATCCATAACAGCCTTTTGGATACCTTGAGTGCTGCTAGCGACAAATGGACCATATTGAACAACTTCTTGGTCCAATTTCTGACCACCAATCAAGACAAATTCAACTTCAGTTTCCTTGCTATCTTTAGTGGCAAGGTTCTTACCAGTGAAATGATCACCATCTTCTTCGAAAAAGACATTTTCAAATTGGTTTACTCTGGTGTCGTTGTTTAAAATCAAGTCGTCACCATTTAACACGTATAAGAAGTAGTTGAATCCCTTTTGCAATTCTTGCTTGAATTCACCTCCAGCCTTGACACGGAAGTAATAGTAATTGATTGGGGTGTAGGCTAAATCCTTAACAGATTCGACACCATGACTGGAACCGGAAATGACTCTGACAGTAACTTTTCCATCATCAGAAGTAACTTCAGGGATTTCCCATGCTCTTAAATCTCTGTATCTTGGTTCAGAATCTTTCAATTTATCAGGTAAGTCAACCCATAATTGTAAACCAACAGTAGGAGATCCGTCATCGTTAGGAACAGGCATTTCTGAATGGACAACACCTCTACCGGCAGTCATGAATTGTAAATCACCAGCATAAAGAATACCCTTGGATCCAGTGAAATCTTCATGGGCAACAGCACCATGTAAGATCAAAGTGATGGTTTCTTGACCACGATGAGGATGTTCTGGGAATCCATTAGTTCCACTGCTGGAGAAGTGATCAAACATCAAAAAGGGGTTGAACTTACGTTGGTTCATAATACCAATGGATCTTCTGACAGTGGCACCTGCACCTTCAGCTTGTTGTCTTCCAACGACGATCTTAGCGATGTTTCTTGCATTCATGTTGTTCTTGTTTTTGTTGTTGTTGCTGTTGTAATTGTTATATCCTAATGATAAGTATGGAAATAGAAAAATGAGAATTAATATCAAGGGAGTGATGGACATATATATATACTTGTTGCCTTGACCTTCTAGAAGACTCTAGCTTATGCTGACAAAAGAAAAGATTATGTAAATCTTCATAATTATTATCCCAGCGGTATTTTTATAGTCGATTTAGATCAATCTAAAACAGAAAAATATTGTACATTATGAACTTTAGTAAATCTTTACTAAAAAAATTGTCACGGAAAAGCTAAAAGAAAAGTGCAGAAAATTAAAAATGCGGATTTAACTCAGATCGCTAAGTTATATCTTATTTATTACTAATTCCGGTCACGCCATGCGTCTTGACATATCGGTTATACCAATTATTTAGTCACACGTCGGTTATATAACTTTCTTCTATATGGATCCATGTCGGAAATGCAAATGAAGTAATATATTACGCATCGGTTATGCAAATGAAGAAATATATTACGCATCGGTTATGCAATTGCAGCAATCTTATACATCGGTTATGTGATTGCAGCTATTTTATACATCGGTTATGTGATTGCAAATATACGGATCGGAAATACAACCCCAGCTGTATATTACATATGCTTTATGTAATTACAGCTATGTATTATGCGTGGATTACGCAATTGAGTTATAGTAAACAAGGGTTGTGTAATTGCAGCTCTAGATCTCTCTCATACACACCGGATGTTCAATTGCAGCCATATATCGCACACCGGATATGTAATTGCAACATTATAGTTACACAACAATTACGTAATTGCAACTGGGTACTCTACAAGAGCAAGACAAGTATATTACCTTGCGTGATTTAATTATAACGAATGATACAATTGCAGCTATAGTACACATCGGATATGCAATTGCAACCATATGTTACAGGTCGGATAAGCAATTGCACACCAGATATATTACCATATAGTTGCAATTGCAGCAATATTGTTACTCATGAATTACGTAATTCCAGCTGTATTTTACATCGGTAATGCAACTGCAGCTATGTTGTTGCATATCGGTTATGCAACTGTGACTATATTATTGCATATCGGTTATTCATTTGCAGCTATATGGTTGCATATCGGTTATCCAATTGCATATATACGGATTCACATCGGATATACAATTACAGCAGTCTATTACTCATGGGTTATGTAATCATGAGTATATTTTACACATCGGATATGAGATTGTAGCTCTATTCTACACAGGGGTTACACAATTGTAGCAATAGTACATTTCCGATATGCAATAGTAGCCATATATTTTGCATTAGTTATTCATTTGCAGCTATATAGTTGCTCAAGAATTACGTGACTCTGGCTATATAATTTCATAATGGTTACATAATAACAGTTAGTTAGTTGAAATAGAGGATATTTGTTACCTCTTTCTAGCAAAAGTGTAAACGGTATCCCAAATCACTTCAATTTCAGTATCATCATCCCATCCGGTGACATCTTTCAAATCCTGAACAAACTTATCAGAAATATCATACTTAGAACCATGATCTTGCATCCAATTGTGATATGCACTCCAACTCTTGACATAATTCTTAAACCAAGTCATAGTTATTGTTTTTCTAATAAACAATGGAGTGACTTTCGAGTCAATGCCGTCTCGTTCTGAAATATATTCATGTCTAACAACATCGTAATATTCATTCTCGGGAACTTCAATTTCTTTCAATAATGTACGTAAATATTCATGACCAGGTTGTTGATAATATGGACCCATATATCTTTCAAAATCATATTTCTCTTCCTCGTTATCACATGAAGAACCATAAGTATAATTATTATACACTTCATTGGCCTTGGGGAACCCAATGAATACTGGATCTTTATAGAACCAATAAGCTAGAGTTCCATTAGGTTTCAAAACTCGTGCTGATTCCTTAAAGAATTTAGGATGGTCTACCCAATGACAGCATTCGGCACCTGTGATCAAATCAACAGATTTCTCCTTTACTATGTCAGGCTGTTGTTCAGCCGTGCCCAACAAGAATTCAATTCTATGCTCGGATTTTTCCTTCAGGGATAAACTAGAAATGCATTGATTGATCATACTACTCGAAGGATCAGTTCCAATGACGTGTTTGAAATATTGTAGTAGTTTAAATGTAACAAACCCAGACCCACATCCTATGTCAACTGCAATGTCACAGTTTGATTTCTTGGAGTGATAATCTATTAATGCTTGATAGAATGATTCAGGATAGTTTGGCCTAGAATCGTCATAGTGCTGGGTGTTAAAGTTTGATTCTGAATATGTGGACATTTCTGATTATGTATAGTTGAAATATGAAATATGAAATCGCATTGGAACATTTAGTCATATTTATATCGAACCATAAATTACTGTATTTGCAGCAAAAAAAAAAGACAAAATCCTGTACCGGACCGGTAACGGAGAAATTAGTTGGTATAAGCCAATACACGCCACTTTCTCCATATTTTGGAGAAATAATCAAGTTTATTCGTCTATTATTATAACTAATTTACTTAGTTGTATACAGGGGTTATTGTTCATTGTGTGACTAATCTACGGTTAGACCGGAAGCATTGTGTTTATAGAGTTTTGCGAGTATGTCTCAACAAAAGAATAAAATAGTGAGCCAACAGAACTATTGTAAGTCTTCTCTCAGAACTCCCCTGTCGTTATTAAATGAATATCCTTTTGTGTGTATGTTTTGACTTAGTTGGTATTTATGGGGTAAGTTTATATGGTTGTAAATTTAAGTCGCGCGCGTTAAAAATAATCTTTGTCATCTCTGGTAAATCACTAAAGAACAAGCACGTATGAGTGAGCCCAACGACAACGAGAACAATCCATCAGAAGACATCGATGCTACGTCATTTGCTAGTATTCTTGCGGGAGTAAAGCGAATGAGAGAGCAGTATGGTGGAGCAAGTGTTACCGAAGCAGTGGAAACTGTGCCAGAGCAAGCATCAGTACTGGAACCACAACCTGTTTCAATACCAGAGCCAAGTTCTATTACAACTCCAAGAACCTCTCCTATACCATCTACAAGTTCAAGAACCACATTGTTGAAACCGACTGCTGAACCTTTACGACCTTATCAGCAGCCCGCCCCAGTTAATTCTACTTCTACTTCGAAACATCTGACCCATAGATCGGCAAGCATCGCAGAAATACTCGTGAGTAAATCTCAAACGGGGAATCCTCTTTTAAAAGAATCAATGATGAAGTTAACACCATGGAAATTCGATTCAACTATACTATCGGATTATTATATCAGTCCTACTTTTCAAATATTGTTTCTTTCGTTGAAATATTACAAGATTAAACCCGAATATATATGGACCAGATTAAAGAAATGGAATAAAGGAACTTCGGTAGTAGCGAGTCAAAGAATCAACGATCGTGCATTACGAATATTATTAGTTGTCGTGGACATTGACGGACATCAAGAAGTTCTTCGGAAATTACTGGATATATGTATCAAGAATGATTTAACTATGGTATTAGCATGGTCATTTGAAGAAGCTGGCAATTATATAGCCATGGCGAAACAATTAGATAATGCACCATCAAAGACAATTCTGAGCATTAAAGGAATTAGAGGTGTTGATTATAATTCGAGTGTGGTCGAAGCATTCACCGGGATCAGATCTGTCAACAAGACTGATGTTTCTAACCTACTAGCAAATTGCAAGTCAGTTAAGCAAATTGTGTTGGAGAGTTGTAAAGAGGATTCAGAAAATATGTTGGCTGATATTGGTGGGTTGGGAAGTACAAAGCTACGAAATCTAAGACAAGTGTTTCTGGAACCTTTTATTTACAACAAGCAATATAACCAGGACTAACTAGTGGCTGTTTGTTGCTGTTGTTGTTTTTCTAATTCTATAACTTTTCTCCTTAATATTAAGTTGACAGCATTTAATAAATCGTTCTTTTCCACTAGAATATCCTTTAATTTCTTTGCGTCTTGATCCAACTTCTTGATCTTGGCTTCATATACTGATTTACCGTCTTGGGCCAGTTTTTCAACATAGTATCCAGTACCGATATCAACAAGATATTCATTTCGTTTAACAACTTTACCAGGTATGTATAACGAACTAGTCAAAGGAATCAACAAGTCTTCCGATTTGCCAGCTTCTAAATTGTCGATACTGGTTATGCATTCTTTTAATTTGGATTGGGCTGCTTGTAAGGCTTGAAGGGATTGGGTGAAGTGGGTCACTTCTTGATCAATTGATTTACGGAAGTCGACCAACTGTTGTGGTGAAAGTTTGTTTAAATCTATCTTGTTAGACATGGTATGTACTGGATATAGTCTGTGTAGGTTGGTGGACTTGAGATCTGGATGCTGAATTTTTTTACTATTTTTTTTTTTTGCTTTGATTATTTTGTGTTTTGAATAAGGTTTGATAGAACGGCAACAACAACCAAGATGGGAGCCGATGGAGGCACGATAGCCAAGAGAAAAGATCTTATAAATGTCCATAGTAGTCTAGATAAGAAGAACTCGACAGGTATAGGTTATGACAACGAGCTAACGTTATTAAACAGTTGTGGAATATCAGCCTTCCCGTTACATACCAAATCTAATGATCCAATAGTCGGAGACTACAAGGGAAGATTATACCTCAAGGAAAAGATATTACAGTACTTAATAGATTCTAAACAAAGTAAATCAAGAGTGAACCCAAAGCTTAGCCATATAACTTCTTTGAAAGATATCTGTGATGTTAAAATAGAGTGGGATACCAGTGATGAGCCACGCATACGATGTCCAATTACAAAAATACTGAGTGCAAAAAGTACTTATGCATATTTACGTCCATGTGGATGTCTAATGTCGTCTAAAGTGATCACGGAATTAAATCAAAACAATTCCAAGGGGAAATGTCCCAATTGTGATGCGACATTTTCCAGTGATTGTGATGTAGTAATTGTTAATCCTTTAGGAAAGGAGGAGTATAACAAGTTGAATGAAAGTAGTTATAAGATTTTATGTAATCAACAGTTGTCACATTCGAAGAAACCTATAAAGAGTAAGAAGGTGGAACGGAAACAGTCAATAAAGAGGGCGGCTGACTCTCAGGAACCAGTTTCAAAACGTATTAAACCATGAGAGTTTCTTTCCTCTCAAAATGTATTAATTCATAGACTTGGTTTTCGTATTCTGTATATATTAATCAATATTTATATACATTGTAACTAATTGGACTATTTACACATAAGGGAAGTTGTTACTTCTTGTTGTTGTTTTTTTTTCTGAACTCTTCATATACACTTGCTTATTGCTTGTCTCCTTCAGCTTCAGTACGAGCTTCACGATATTCTTTTTGGTCGAATTTCAATTTGTTTTTGTTCCAAGGAGCAAAATCTGAATTGGCGTAAATATTGAATAAGATAGAACCAGTACCAATAACACAGAAACCCACAATACCTAAGATTGTAACTCTATGGATGGCATCAGTAGCACGAACGTGGAATGGAAGTTGGTTTGGACTATTGACCATGGTTGATTATATTGTGTATCGTATGATTGTGATGCTGTCAGTGGTATGTTTTACTTGTAAGAATTTTTTTTTTTCCTTACAGGTCGGGAATGGTTCACTATGAAAAAAAAAAAAGTCCCCCACTCAAACTCCGCGCCTTATTAATCTTACAATTTTGCACTATTATATTACTATTACACTATCTAGATCAAATATTTCAACCAGCCAATGTTTATAATTCCACTCTCGACCAAAGAAGGATTGGCATAGACTAATTCAGGCAACCAATGACTATTGTATAATCTGAAAATATTCTCTTCTACAGAGTTTTCAGTATTATCCAAAACTTCATTAATGATATATTCCAAGATTTCATGACTTGATTCATTAATTTGATTTACAAATTCCAGGTTCTTACTGATTCTAGTGCCTTCAACCAAGATATTCTCCAGAGATTCTGAAACTAAATGATTGAATTTCTCAACATCTACATGTCCGATAGGTAACTTATGGTTCTCACCAGGATTGATAGAACTGGTCTTGACAGTGGGTTTCAATGCTTCATAATTGGCTACATCGATATTCACGGCAAATTGTCTAGGTTGAATTCCTCTAATGATGAACTTCTTCTTGGGTGCCAGGTCACTAGCAGAAGGTGGTAAATTTATAACCATGGCTTCGGAACTAGGGAATGCCTTCGACACATTTTTGATAAACTCAACTGCTGGTAAAAGCTGTTTGAACTCTGGGTTGGTTTGTCCACTAGGTGGATCCCATACTTCTTGAAATTGCTTTTCATAAGCTTTCCATAACGAGATTTGAGTGACTTCTCCAGGAATAACATCAGAAGAGTTCTCGGCCAGCTCATCTGGTTTGGATAATGGAGTGAATGTTTCGTAACAGCAACGTAACCACGTAGTTGCTCTTAATGGTTCGGAAAATCGAACAATCAAACTGTACAATTCTTCCGGCAAGTCCGGTAATGTCGAAGGAACTCCTGCGAAATCTGATCTTTTGGTAAGATTTAATGGAGGTATTGGTTTTATTGAACTTGGATCATTTAATGGTAGGTGAGATATGATTAATCTGGGTAATTGTTTAACCAAAGTATTGAAATTGGCTTTGGTGGAAGATAACTGTAATAACTTTTGTAATCTATACTTTTGAGAATCTTTGATTGGTGATGATATGAAGTCGTGATGAATTGCTTCGGAATTCAAATACATTTTAAGAAATTCCAATACCGCGTTATTCATTTCATTATCAGCCACTAATAATGTATTGACTATCAACTCTAATTGACTGCTGGTTATAGAGTCAATACAATTATTGGTTATTCTTTCATCAACATCGTCTTCTTCTTCCATCAATTGTTTCTTTTCCTTATCGTTTTCTTCTTCTTCGTCAACAAACTTAATTTTTCTATCACGAATAATCAATAAATGAGAAATACAGTTTAGAATATTGACAAATAAATTCTTATCATGGGTAGCCACTAATGCTTGTAATAAAGTATGAAACAAAGGATCATGCCTAGTATTCTCCACATAATAACAAGTTAAAGGTTCGAGTAAATCAATCAAATAAGTCAATGCCTCCAAAAATTGATTTTCGTACTTCTTTAACGCAGGAATTTGGAAATCAGGTTGATAAAACCAATTAGTCAAGAATTTCAAAGCTTCAAGCAAATACTTTTTAAATTGCTTGATTTGGGATAACCATTGCTGATTGTGTAAATCCTGAGCCGCGTTTCTTAAACTTAACAACGAATCCAAACTAAAACTAATCACATCTTGAGTAACCAATTCATACTTCTTCTCGTTGATTAATTGATATGGTCTAATGAAATATTTGAACAATTCAAATCCCAAGAAAGTTCCATCACCATGTTCAAAGTTGAAGTTAGGATTCAATGAAAGTCGACATAATGTGCTCAATGCCCACTTGGTTTCAGATTCAATGCCTGATTGTAAAGACATGTTGATTCTAGTCACATCATCAATACCACGGTGGTTGTATCCAATAGGTGCGGTATATCCATAGCCATTGTATGTCTGGGTGGGGAATATGGATGAAGGTTGCAGTGAACCGTTTGTAAATCCGGAATCAGATCCATTTTTCGCAGATATGCTTCGTGAATTACCGGATATTGGTACAAGTCCTGAAGATGCACTCATAATTGTTATGCTTTTTCTGTTGATGTGTTGCAAGTACAATATGTTGATAATTTTTTTTTCTGTTTTGGTTTTTTTTTGCTGGTGGGTGGAAAGTTCAATTTTTCCAGAAAATCGCGTGAGTTTTGTCACGTGTGCTGGTTGGGAATTGCAATCATTGAAGCCCAATGTGAACAAGCCTGTTTGTACTAACTGTGTCTATTCTACAGTCGGATTATGTGGGTTTTCAAAAATATCTGTTTTTTGTGTAGCAAAATTTTAACAACTAGTGTCATTAAGCGCAGGAGCACCCATTGTATTGCAGAATTTTGGCAGTATTTTGACAAAAAGTGGCCTTAACTAAGCACAATGAAACCTACTTTGTTAAAACTAACCCATGAACTTCAATTGAGTTCTATAAAATGGTAAATATCTTATATTCAAAGCTATTTATAAGCAACTATTTATTAGCAACTATTAGTATACTACATACTATTTAACCCCTTATCAAGACATTTAATCACGCATGGGTGCCAGAAAGCATCGATAGATTCGTCAATTATTATTGTACAATAGCTTTTGTCTTCCATATTACATACTTCCAAACATGTATCCAATAATTCTGGACTATAAACTGATTTAATCAATATTTTATCGGAGGTACAACTTGAATACTTCTTCTCAAAACAATATGATAACATGGTAAAAGCAGCTTCCCCAATACGTTTTCTATGCAAAAGGCCAAATAACAGCAAAGAAACTAGTACAATTATAAACAATTGAAAACTAGAAAGTTTTTGGTCTAATTCTGAATCAATTGGTTCATTATTTTCTGGTTGTAAATCGGCAACAGGAACCAAACTTACCTTGTCGGGATCTGCAAATGATCCTTGACTAGCAGAGGGAGTACTGACCGATTGATCGGCAGATGGAAACTTGCAAAGAGGTTGCAAGCACTCGGTATCTTTATCCATGGTCAATGTTACTTCAGAGGGTGGAGAAGGAAGTTATTGGTTGTAAAAAACAAAAAATAAAGTAGGTTATCGTTTTTTGCCATCTTTTATAGTGTGAAGTACTGCATACGACTGTGTTTGTTTTAGCGAGTGAATGGCTGTAAATCTGAGTTTAGTTTTATATTAAGTTATATAAGTGGGATAGGATTTCCTATTGATTGATTGCTATTTAATTATATCGTGGTCTTAGAACTGGTTTCACTTGGTGGTGAAGGTTCCTAGCTAATTCCGAGCCATGTTGCAGCTCTTCGGCAGAAAATTGTTTAGTCTTTGTTTCAACCTAGTCCTTGCTACGAGGAAACAATTGTAGTCGATAGTAACATATCCTTTAACAATTGTATTATCAACCCAAGGTTAGATCTGCCATCTAACGCAATATTCTGAGCTATTATAACCGATGTTTCACAATAATGCGCGATTTGCAATTTTGGTGGAGAAATTTCGTGCCGCATGGAGCATTACCTTTTCTTATCTTTTTTTAAGTTGCCCCCCTTTTCTGCAAGCTCTATCACATTTCTTCTTCCCAAGTGCAACATGAAAGCAAACCATTTACTCACAGGGTTGGTTGCTCTTATTTATTCATCCTCGGGTGTCAATGCCAGCTGGTTCCCAAACTCCCATCAAGTCATCCTTCAAAACGAAGAACAAACCAATGACATCTTCAACTTCAATTTAGCTGGGGTGCCAGCTGAAGTTGGAGAAGCATGGCAAGAAATGAAAGAGACATTATCTCAATCGGCAATTGCTAAATTGATCAAGGAATATCAAAACCCTATGTCTTCTATTTCCAATTCCAGATTGAAATTGGGAGGTATGAATGAATTTGAAGCGTTATCTCACGATAAGTTTTCCGATTACAGTTTGCGTATCAAGAAAAACCACCCAGAAATCTTGGGTCTTGATAGAGTTAATCAATATACCGGGTATTTAGACATTGAAAGTCTCGATAAACATTTCTTTTACTGGTTTTTTGAAAGTAGAAATGATCCAGCTAATGATCCAATTATTTTGTGGTTGAACGGTGGTCCCGGTTGTTCTTCCAGTACTGGTCTTTTCTTTGAATTGGGTCCTTCATCAATTAATTCAACTTTACAACCAGTTCACAATCCTTATTCTTGGAATTCCAATGCTTCGATCATTTTCTTGGATCAACCAGTTGGGGTTGGTTATTCTTACACTGGAGGAGATGAAGTTAAAAACACTGCTACTGCTGCTAAAGACGTTTTTGTTTTCCTTGAATTGTTCTTTCAAAAATTCCCATCATACTTGACTAATAAGTTTCATATTGCTGGAGAATCTTATGCTGGACATTATATTCCAAAATTCGCCAGTGAAATTCTCTCTCATGCTGATAGATCATTTGAATTGTCTTCCGTATTAATTGGTAATGGTATTACTGATCCTTTGATTCAATCTGCCTCTTACAAACCTATGGGATGTGGGGAAGGTGGTTATAAGTCAGTGTTAACTGAAGAACAGTGTGAACAATTGGATAAGGATTATCCAAAATGTGCAAGATTAACCAAGTTATGTTATAAATTCCCAACTGCATTAACGTGTGTCCCTGCTCAATATTATTGCGATGTTAAGCTTTTTAAACCTTATAGTGATACTGGTTTGAATCCATACGACATTAGAAAGCCATGTGTTGAAGAAGGAGGTAATTGCTATATAGAAATGAATTATATGGATGATTACTTAAACCTTGATTATGTTAAACAAGCAGTTGGTGCATCAAACATTGACATTTACACTTCTTGTGACGATAAGGTATTTAGAAACTTCATTCTCGATGGTGATGAATCAAAACCTCACCAACAATACGTTGCAGAATTATTAGAAAAGAACATCCCAGTTTTGATTTATGCTGGTGATAAAGATTACATTTGTAATTGGGTTGGAAATTTTGCATGGGTTAATGAATTGGATTATTCTGGTAAGGAGAAATTTTCAAGTAAACCATTGCAAAAATGGTATCCTCAAGGAGTTGATGGTAAGGCAGCAGGTGAAGTTAAAAACCATAAGCATTTCACATTCTTGAGAATTTATGATGCAGGACATATGGTTCCATTTGACCAACCGGAAAATGCATTGGCTATGGTTAACACCTGGATCCAAGGAGATTACTCGTTTGGACATTAGATGTGTGACAAATCTATAAATAGGATTTCACCACAGGGACATTTGCTACCTATTTCTCATGGTTAGTAATACGACCTATATAACATTTATCTTTAAAAATATCTGAAATACAAGTCATTTGTGCTTAAAGTTTAAGAGAAAAACAACCCTCAAATTTACAGTTGCAAAAATAGTTCATAACTCTCAATTAAAGTATTCAAGTTTCATTCTAATTTTAGATCCAAAGGAAAGATACTATACAAGTCAATGAAATTGCCTCATGGGACGCGATATTTGAAATCTAGTTGAAACCTCTCTTGTACTTACCAATGCTGAATCTCGCCAAGTGGAGAGAAGATGTATACGGTTTTCGCGTTTATTGTTGTCATTCCGCTTGCTCCATTTCAAGTTTGTGTGTTACTCTGCGCATAAATCAGTTCGTGTTGCAATTAATTCAGGAGAATTGCAACTCTAATCAAATGTAATTATAAACCGCGTAGTAATGCTAAATCTTATTGTACAAAGTGTAATTCAAGGGGATATGGGGCGGCTCAGATACAATCAGTATCTCAACCATGTGGATATCTTGAATGTTATAGCATGCTAAACGAAGCTAGCTTAGGCGAGTAAACAATCCATTTATTATTATCAAAATTTTTCTTGAACTATTTGGATTTCTGGGCGGGTATTTGTGTTTACTTTTTTTTTTAACTTACTTGACGTTGCATGTATACACTCTTCCCGCCTCAACTAAAACTTCCCTGCATGCCGGGCTGTTGTTTGTTGATGCTTACTGCCTTAGACTGTCCTGAGAATTTCATCGAAGTGTGATCATTCGATCGCAAGATGATCGGTTGTCAACGTATTTTAGATATGAATGTAGTTAATTATTTTTTTAGGTATCTATGAGATGCTTACACGAAATGGACTATTGCTTTTGACCCTTTCGGCTAGAAAACAATATCAATGTATACAGTGGCCAAGTATTGACAAGATTTGTAGGTGATTTGTTTAGCTTTTGCGAAACCTAGATTAAAGAAAATTTTCTATACTTAATATCTTGTTTGGATATAACATTGTCCTGATTTAGCCGCCAAGCATTCGCCTTAATACGTGTGTGCGTGAATGCAAAAGATACACGTAATAATGATGCATAAAATTAGAAAATACCAGATCGTAATTGGGTATGTTTATGTTTCCAAGTTTCTAATTTTGTCAAAGGTGGAACTTGGGCATTGGGGTGGTTTGGGTACAGCCTATAAATTTACTAACGATTTCCCCATTTTTTTTACATTGTCTTTTCTATTTCTTCTCTATCCCTTTTAAGAATCTAACTTATATACTTTCGCTAAATTACTAAAAAAATGCAATACTCATCCGTCGTTATTGGTTCCGCCTTAGCTGCCTCTGTCTTAGCTGCTGCTAACAATACTTTGACTATCACCACCCAAGTTACATTGACTGACTATACCACTTATTGTCCAGAACCAACTGTTCTTACCATTACAGTTTGTGAAGAAGAAGAAATCTGTTCTACCAAGTCAATTGCAGTTCCAGTCCCAGGTACTATCACTGTCACTGAACCATGTATTGTTGAAACTGTTTACACTACTGTTTGTGAAACCACCCCATCCTACGGTAATTCTACTTCAGTTCTCCCAACAAAGGCCCCAGCTACAACAGTTCCACCACTTACAGTTACCACTTATGAAGGTGGTGCCGTCAAGAATATGTATGGTGCTTTTGCCGGTGTTGCTGCTCTTGCTGCTGCTGCTTTGATGTAAAAGTAAAAACTAGGAAATATTCTCCAAATATTAATAAAGAAATTATTTCGGAAACTCGTTTCATCCATGTTTCGGTTTTGTTTATTTTTGTTTCTTCTTTTCAAGTTTACAATTTCTCTTTCTATTTAGTGACTGTTGCTATAGGTTTGTGGAATTTGATATTCCATTCAATACCCATTTTCTTTGTATATACATTAGTAATATACATAATTTTGTTTTATTTTACTGGAATCTTTAATAGTTTAATGTAAATTTAGATATAATTCTAAATTTGGTTCATCCTTGTTTATGTTTACCACTGCAAGGCTATAAATAGAGTAGAAATTTTTAGCAGCAATTGGTTAATTTATTTTCTTTTTCTTTTTTTTTAAAAAAAATCTAGACTTCCAAATTAGGAAGTGAATAGATGTGAATATTTAGATTGTTAAATTTAATTTTCTGGGCCTCAAAGTGCTGCCTTTTTCTGCCCATTATCACCAACTGTTGGCTTCCACTTTCAAAAACAATATAGTTCTTTCGCTTGCTACTCTTTTTTACCACACTTCCTAAGAAGTGAAAATATCCTACAATATGACATCATTCAACCATGATACAATAGATACGGGAATGTCAAAGTTTCCAAAATCACCAAGATTCTTTGACAATTCAAATCTACCAGATTTACGAACTTTTCAACTCCTCAAGGATAATAAAGTTGTCTCATTCAATAGTCAAACCACCAATTTCAACTATAATCCATTCACATTCCCTCAACTGAAAACAAAGGCCAACGTTCCTTTAGATTATCACCATCTTCCTAATAGGATCACAGTTGTGCCGCCATCTCCGAAACCATATTCTCCCAACGATATTCCTTGTTTCCAGTTGAATTCTCAACAAAGCTTGGATCCTATTGCATTCATAGAAAGTGTACTGGCATTAGGTAGACGTTCGGGAGCTATAAAGATAAGACTACCACGAGAAGACACGGAATTATTTCAATCCACTATTCAAATAAATTCAGATTTATTTTGGTTCCAAACTAATAAATTGTTGAATAACCCTCTGAAGGATGAGTTAATCATGAGGTTGAGATTCCATCAGGATTTACTAAAATTTCATCAAAGTGAACATCTGGAGTTTATCAAACCCGATGAACCTATTGACTGGAAGAAACTGACTGCTATTGTACCTCCCAATGGAGCTACACCTGGCACACCAAACACTACCACAACGGCGCCTACATCTGCTACATCTAATTCAAATTCTAATACTTCCTCCCCTCCTACTAGTGCTGTGCCATTTTACTTGAATAAGCTTCCTATGATTGACAAACGTCCACTTGATTTGTATAAATTGTTTAGGTCGGTGATTATCCGTGGTGGATTTATGGAAGTTATTAATAAGAAATTGTGGGCTCAAATCGGAAGGGAATTGGGATATAAAGGGAAAATTATGACCAGTTTGAGTAGTTCTTTAAAAGCGTCATACCAAAGAATCCTTTATCCATTTGAGTTATATTTGGGGTCTAAGAAATACGACTACGTTGTCAGAAAAGAAGAAGATATAAAGGAGGAATTCTTATCCAATGGAAAACGTACTTCGGAAAGTGAAGAATCTCTGGCAAACAAAAGACCTAAAATTTTAAACCCAGACACAGGAGAGGGCATGTCACCACCACCACCTCTAATCATTGGTTCTGCCAAAGACTATAAACGATCAGTTAAATCAAAATCATCTAAAGGGATCCTATTGAATTCTCCTCATTTAGTAGATATAAAACAACCAAACATTTTTACCATTAAACAAGATGAAAGGAAGAGAAATAGACGACCAAACGATGTAGTTGATTCGCCTATACTACCACAATCACAATTAAATCATGCTATTAAAACCATGAGAACCAACAAGGTTTCATATCAAGATGACTCCCGATTAAAATCAGCCGTGAAAACCGCATCTATATATTCCTTGAGACAATTTATGGAAAAGGATTTGAAATTTCAAGAGTTTGTTATTCAGAATAATCCAGATGAGTTTAAAAGTTCTTATAATCACGATAGTTCGATTTTAGACCGAAATGTTATTCCCTATGATGAGTTTGAAAAGATATATTGGAGCTTTGTTTCTAATAGTAAAGTTCATGATATTTTGAATAATGGTATTGAATTAGAATTAGGTCAAGACATACCAAGTTATATTAATGGATCAGGTTTTGTTAAGATTGGGGATGATTTAATTAATTTCAAGAATGCTTTGAATAGTATACATTTAAACACCGAAACCAGTAAAGTTGTTCGTACAACCACGGTGAAATCAGTCACTACGTTCTTACAAGGTAGCCAACCATCGTTAATCAATACATCCACCACTAGCCAGATTGATTTAGGTGAATTTAATTCAAAAAACTATGTCGACGAACTTTTCAAAGCAGCATTGCATCCTTGGAATTTGCACAATTTCCCAACTCATCAGAATTCCTTGTTGGGAGCATTGTATGAACAAGACACTAATAATCAAGAACTAACCAATACAAACTTGAATATTGGTATGACTTTCAGTACCGAGAATTGGCATTGTGAAGACCATTTCACACAATTGGCCAATTACCAATTCTTTGGTGGTTTAAAACGATGGTATTTCATTCCAGAACTGGAATTTGACAAGTTTGAAAAATTAGTGCTTAGTCTCAACCAGCAGTTTAAAAATCGAGCTCATGTTAATGGTGGTGAACATCTTGATATTCCTGAATTGATTCAAGCCATGAAAGGAGGACTGGAAGAAATGGAATATGATGCATTGGTGTCGTCCCTTGAAAACAAAATAAATACAGAAAATGATATCAGATTACAGCATTTGAATCCAAATTTCCAAAAGTTGATTGATTTACATAATAAAAGGTTCAAGTATAATCAAGAGCTTATGATAACCCCGAAAATATTGGCTGAGAATGGAATTAGGTTCACGACAACCATTCAAGAACCGGGTGAATTCATCATCAAATTTCCTAAATGTTATTCTTCAACTATTTCGTTTGGGTTCAATTTGAGTGAGTCGGTAAACTTTGCTTCTAAAACGTGGTTGAATTTCTCAGTTGAAGGTGAGAAATGGTTAGCTAAACAAAGCATCTTGCCTAATTTCCTGATTTTTAAATTGTTGATTAATTTAGCCCAGATGTATGATAGTGGACATAATACTACTTTTGATTCGGAGATTTATTCTCAAGTTGGAGGGTTGTTTGATGACTTATTGGCCCGAGAGATTGATTTACGGAATAAAGTTAGAAAACTCAAAATCAAGGAAGTATTGATTGACGAAAAACTGTTTATAGAAACCGATATGATTAGTGATGACGATTTGGGAAATGTTTTCCCTTCTCGTGTGGTTTTGGTTGACTCCAAGACTAAGGAAAGTTTTATAACTACATTGGAGAATTATTTGCAGTATCAAGAAGATCTGGCTCTTGATTGGAATCACCTTACAGTTGAATTGCAATTATTTTATTCCGACGATAAGTTGAAATCATTTTCAAAAATCTTGAATAATTATTCTGTGGATTATGAAGCATGGACGAAAAACTATGAAGATTTAATGGCTGAAAATGGCGACATTTCCTTGAAAACTTACAAGTCATTATTGATTGAAGGCGAAAAGATTTATTCTTCAATATTCTCAATTAATTACTTGACAAATTCGGCTATCAGAAATGAGAAAGTTGATGATGGTCGATTGGCTGTGTTTAAAAACTACATCAAGAACTTGCGAACATTTATCACCGACGCTAATTTATTCATTGAAGAATGTCAGAATGTATTGTCTCTTAAACATTTACAAAGAATTAGAAACGGGAATGAAACTCGTCGTGGTAGTAACGCCAATGGCCCTGGATTAACTGAATTAATTAACCTAGTTGAGAAAGTGCCCGGGTTGAACTTCTCATGTCCTGAAATTGAACAATTATTGGAGTTTAAAACTGAAATTGAGAATTTTGACAATGCAACAAGAGCATTGCTATCAAGACGAAACAAGTCACTTCAAGAATTTGATGATTTGATTAGTTTAGGAGAAAGTTTTGGTCTTGAAATTCCTTCGTTGGAATTTATAACTAGAATAAGAGATCGCATGAAGTGGATGAAGATTCATGATTTAATCCAAAAAGGAGTTGATCCATATGCTGATAAGAAAGAAGTGTTCACTTTGGATAATTTAGTTGAGTTTTTCAACCAGGGATTGGAAATCTTGTCTACTTCGGACTTGGAGCTAATTAAGGAAATTGAAGTTATTTTGAACCAAAGCAAACAATTCAATGCTAAAGTTTGTGGATTTTTATGTTATCAATATGCGGAAGAATTGGATTTGAATGAATTGCAGAAGATGGCAGAACGATTTTCAAAAGAAAAGTTGTTTATTTCAATGGAGAATTATATCGAATTGTCTAAACTCCATTTGAACACAAAATTAATTACTCATGTTAAGAATTTTAATACTTCTGCCGCTGAAACTAAATTTCCTTACGCAGATATCAGACAATTACAAAGTTCAATTGTGGAAAGTGGATTGAAATTTACCGACTCTCTATTATCTAGCAATTTAACCAAAACTGAAGAATGGGTTCTGCAAATATTTGAAACATTTGATAAAATCAAAATTGTGACTACCTTAAGCAAAGATGTTGATTTGGAGCATTTGAATACAAAACTTTCCTTGAATACAAAATTAATTGAGAAATTGTATCAACTACTTTACAAATCTGAATTTAGCTTGTCTGAAGATGATAACTATCAAGAGTCCTCATCTTATACAGCACGCTTTGTGGATGAGGACCTGGATGTATCACCTAAGTTTTACTGTATTTGTCGTGAATATGAATTTGGTACTATGGTGGAATGTGATAAGTGTAATGAATGGTATCATGTCCAATGTGTTAGAGAGACATCAAATCCTGATGATGACAAGTATAAATGTCCAACTTGTATTTTAATTGACTCGACCAATACCAAAGATCTGTTTTTGGAATCACAAATGACTCTCGATGGCATAAAGTCTATATTCAGCCAAGGAGAACAATTGAAAGTTTATCCAACGAATGAATTAAAGGTTTTGAAGGAAATTATTACAACTCTTGACAAGTATCATGAAGAGTATCAAACTAAGATTGCTGCTATTGTAAATGGATCTTCTACTATCGAACTTAAGTTGGATTCATTAAGGTTTATTTTGAGAAAATTATATGGTTGTGGGTTATTCCTTGACGATTTGTGGGAACATGTATTGAATTTGATTAAGGAATTTGAGAATATTTTAAAGGAATCACAAATGAATGCTAATTTACAAGCAAGTGAACAGGTTGCTGAAGTAAAGCCACCTATTAAGAACACCGTAGAGGTAAAGAATGAAGACATCAGGTTACAAGAGCCAACCTCTGTTGTGGATGACAACTCTGGAGCAAACGTTGAGTTAGTGCCAGTTGTACAAGTTACTAATACCATTTCGGAGCCAGACACTCCTATCAAAACTGAAGAAGTTTCAACGATTGTCGAGGAAGAAAAGGGTGAAGCTGAAGAGGAAGCTACCAGTACTACTGCTGAACCTACACATAGCCAAGTGCAATCTTATAATGAAATGCCAGTTGAGTCTCCAAAAATAGATTCTAAAGATCAACAGGTTTATGAACCGATATCTACCGAATTTAAAGTTGAAGATATTGACAAAGCAAATGATAATGTAATTCCTGCAACTATGACTGCATTGACAACCGATGATGTCACAGAAATTATAGATGTGAATGTTCCAGAAAAAGTTGTTAAAGTGGAAGTAGAAGCCAAAAAGAAGATGAGCGAAGTAACTGTCGAAAGTAATAATGTTGTGGAAGTAGCTAGTAGTGAGTCAAAATCAATTGAATCTCAAGATATGGAGGCGTCAAAGAATCAATTAGAACCTGTTAAAGCTGAAGCTCTTGAAAAAACCGTGGATGACCCTTCTAGAGAGGTGGCAGAACAAGAAGATGAAGAAGTTGAACTATCTAACATGGAAATAGACAGTAATCCAGCTCCAACTGTTACAGAGCATGTTGCAGAAGAAATCCATGAAAATAGTGATGATTCACAATTGCAAGTAGAGACCCAGGAAGATAAATTGGTTGGAGCAGCAGTTGAGGTAGAAGATAAAAATTTGGCACCAGCAATTGAGCTTCTACCTGAGAATGATGACTCTAAATTGAAGCTTGAAGAAACCAAAGAAACAAAAGAAGAGATTGGCCAGCCAGATCTGGTTAAATTGGATAAAGAAGAAGAAGAAAAGGGTATTGACCCTGTGACAACTGAGCAGAAAGAAGATACTGATGATATTTCCAATTTAGAAAGTACTAAAACCGAGGCAAACTTACAATCTCTTGAAAAAGAGACGCGTTGATTAAAAAAAAAAATAGAATGTAATTTAAAACTTGTGTGAAGCTTTATAGCAATAACACATATGTAACTGTATAATTAATGCATCTCTTGGCACATAATAAAAGTTATTATAAATATAGGGAGAGTTTAAAATGTATGAGTTTAAATTTTTGCGTTAAACTTTTGCATGTAGTATTCTGTCTTTTTATTTTACTTTATTTTTTTTTTTTGGTGATTGTTTACACATTGTTTTTTACAACCAAACCATAAGGTAACTTCCACGCTTTCTTTATTCGTTCACACTATAGTCACTATCTCAATAGACATAAAAAGCTAATCATGGCTATAGGAATATCTAGACCTGTTGATGACTTAATTAATCTTAGTTGGATAAGAACAGCTCGAGGAGTGAACCGTGAATATATCTATGCCAGTCAACTCCAATCAGTAATTGCAGAAATTGAAAAGGCATTGGCCATTGGTTCAATATTGACTGAAGATGAGATGAGATTATTTATCAAATTGGCTGAGAAAAAACAAGATATGAAAATCAAAAAGACTCAACTTAAAGAACTCATCTCTGCAGCGGCTGAGATGCATTCGTTTGAAGAATTATTACAAACAAGATTCAATATGGGTGAATCTGACATACGACGGTGCTTGAATGTGCCAAGTTCAGGTTATGACGAACACACAAAATCACCTATTGTACCAGTACTGCGACCATTGTCTCTGCGAACGCCTCTGGATGAACGTCTGGGAGCTAAATCAGATAAGGGATTACTATGGGAGGAATTGCATGTCAAGGATAAATATATTCATGACAAAGATCACGAGATTGAATTGAAAAATACTGAAAATCTCAACTTACGTAGGATTAATAGAGAGCAAGAGAAATCTATAAGGAAATTGGATAATGAGCTTTCGGTGCTAAAGAATCATGTTCGTTCCTTGGAATCACAATTATCAAAGATTCCCGGTGAACGCGCCACAAGAAACCTATTGACCAAATTAAAGGATCGTGATTTGGTAATTAAAAGTTTGGAACAAGTGTGTGAAGAGTATAGAGAAAACATCAGTGATCTCGAGAAGAAGGAAGCCGAGAATTTCAAAGAATTGAATGAAATCAAAAAGACCCTAAATCACCAAGATCAGATCTTTGAAAACCTACAGAAAAACTTGCCAGTTGGTTCAACTGGAGATACTAAGCTTAAAGGATTTTTAATGAATCTTCCCTTTGTTAAACAGTATCTTTATTATCTTCAATACAAGCACGAGAATAAAGATGTAAAAATGTTTATATTGAATATAATTGCATTGATTTTTGCTGCTTGTTTGGTGGGGAATATACTACAGCTAATATTTTATGTTATTATGGCTTTTATTAGATCAAAGGGTGAGTGTGAAACTGCACAATATGTATATGATGATTATAATTTCAATGGTGGTTGGTTAACAAGAAGTTCATTCTTTGACAATTGGAGGGGAATAATGTGGCTAGAAGAGCTTATTTATAGATTTACGGATTGGTAGTAAAGGGAACATACTGTATAGCTAAGTTTAATATAGTAATACTTCAAAATAAAAACCCCATTAAATTAAAATACATAAAGAAAAGAACAGTTCAAAAGATTACCATTTTATTATAGATGATATACAATAAATTAATACTCAAACAATAACCTTTTCAATTGTGGTAAAGAAATGAATAAATTCACTAATTAACTTAGTTCATTTGCTTAACTAAAGCGTTAATGAATTCTTCTCTGTTACCGGTGTCACCCCCTTGGATAAAGTGTTCGAACTTTCTGGTTCTGAAACCACCGTTAGGGTTAGATAACTTGAATGGCCACAAGAAGTTGTTAACTTGCTTGAAGTTTGGACCAACAGTGTAAATTTCGTGAATCAAATCTTCAATAGATAAGATGTTGAATTTACCTAAGTTAGCTTCAATGATAGAGTTGTCGGATAAAGCAATTCTTTGCTTGTTAACCTTACCGAATCCTCTCTTGTAGACTAATTGTCTGATGGTAGCTAAAGATGGGTAACCGTAAGCAATGTATGGTTCAGCCAACTTGATCAATTCTTGGGTAGCCTTGGTTAATCTAACGAAAACACCGGCGTTAATTTGAGTCAATCTCAATAATTGCAAAACCTTTCTTGGCTTAGGTGGGATCTTCATAATACCCTTGATTCTGATGATGAAAACCAACTTTGGTTGAGCATCAACGTAGTAAGAACCAGCAGCCTTGGCATCTCTCTTAGCAGCAATGACGGAACGTTCAGCTTCGGTGTATTCCTTTTGGTAAGCAGCAGCTCTGTCAAAGATAGCTTGTCTCTTTTCCTTAGAAGCCTAAATAATTCTGTTAGTATTAGAAATCTTGGTATATATTCCAGTGAAATCCAAATGCTGTTTAGTTTTATTTTCTCAGTCCCGAAAGATGGTTAATTGAATGACAACATCGCCGAAGCTAGCCAAAATTCTGTGGTTGTTTTCATCTTCAAAAATAAAATGGATTCAACTGTCACTTACTTAGTTTATACATACAGCTCTTCTGGCCTTCTTGGCAGCAGCACGTTCTTCAGCGGTCTTTTGTTGGGCCTTAGCCTTCTTTTGCAAAGTTTCTGGTTTCAAAGTACTACATCACTGTTAGTATACAAGGTCTTTAAAAGAGCCCTGCAATCAAAATACAAAATGCACAAAGTGTTTCCCTCTATAATACGGTCAATGAGAAATAGAATTGGTATATAAATCGGAAAGATATTATATTTGAATATGGAACTGAACGGCCAGGTTCATTCCATTTCCCAACTCAAAGATTCTCAATATACTCAGAGGAAAACAGATCTATCAGGCATTGGCTAAAACGAAGCTTAATGAATATTCACATATTCAGCTGCAAGATAATCTGACTTTCCCTTGGCAGATAATTTTAATCAAAGTCAATAGTATCCAAGTGTTGACAATGACAAGACCTCACATTGACTGCGAGAGATACCCCCCAAAGGGGTATTGAATGGAGCAATACATGGAGAAATATTTTCTAACCAGGTAAAGCCCATTACCTTTCTTCATCACCACAAGTAATGAATAAGGATTTAGTTTGTTTGCTTAACGTCTTAACAATCCCAATAAACCATAGAGCTTATTCTGGTGTCGATTGCTAGTGTTGTTTCAAGGTATAGTTCACATACGTAGCCATTTTTGATTGCTTGTTCTGTAAAGAGAAAGGATGAAAATTATTTTCAAAGTGTTTTTTTCTCATCTATTTATAAAAAGTTTGAAGAGGTCGCATTTTTTTTTTCGTCTCAGTTTCTCATCGCACTAGAAAATCGTTAATATTATGGGACTGCATATTGTTAAGTGTATTTAGGGCTAAAGCCCTAAATAATTACTACAAGAAAATATGGCTGCCAACGGAATAAGCAGGATTAATCATATAGTTGAGATTAAAATTAGTATAAACTCGCCATTTCATTTGATTGAAATTACCCTTATATCTTTGTTCGTAATTCAATAGCAGCAGTAATTTATTACTCAAACAACAATAAACAAGAATGTTTGGTACTTCCACCTGATAAAAGAATGGATCAGGCTTTGCCAAAAATTTAATCTTCCAAATGAATCTCTAAATGTTAGTGTAACATCTCTAGAGCAATAAGTGATACAGTCGAATAGAAACCTTACGATGCCAGTTATGTAGCGAATAGAACCATCGAGATATCACCTAAAATAGTTTAGTAAGAAAAGATAAGTTATACTAGGAATAAACCTAATTAAAAATATAACCAGAATAATGGAGAAATTGGCTCAAAATTATTATATCAGCATTTTGCCAGACATTGTAAACAAATTTCAACAACTGTAACGCCCCTGGCATGTTGCTCGACTAATCTCCGACAAGTTGTCTGAAAATCTTACAGGTTATCTCTTAGGCATAGGTTTTGTGCAATTAAACCCGCGTCAAGAATTGGTTGATTATAAAATCTCGCTGACAAAAGACTCCTCTACGTTTTTAATTTAGACTTTTTCTATAATACAACCTCGTATATCCGAAATATGGAGTCCTATGCCGGGGGAGGTTTTTGGGTTGTAACAAGACTGATCGTTGACGATGTATTTAGTAGTAGAATCGCAATAAGTTAGTACTAAAGATAGTAATTAAGATTGACTATTGAACTATTGATAGAATATTTGTGTGATATTAGATATGGTATTTGTTTTTATGCTACAAGGTGATAATAAGGAAGGCTGCTGTAAGTTTAACTAAACAGAATCAACAATAAATATTTTGGATATCCTCCATTGGATTAAGTTCTTGTTGGAATATATAAATTATGATCAAGTAAGCACCCTAGTAGTAGTTCAATAGTCAGTCTTGCTAACTTTTTCTTAGTATCAACTTATTGCACTTGCACAACCATACCCTGCTAACAATCGTTCTCCTTACAACTATGTTAACATCCCAACAATCATTGCAATTCTCTACAACTCAGAAACATTAGAGGGTTAACTCTTTAATTCGACATTAGCTTTGTAGCAACGAATGTGAGAGTATAAATAGAGTAGATGAGAATGGATACCACAAAATCAGTTATTGTTTTGTCTGCCGATAGTCCGATTTAGAAAACCGTTATGGGGAATTAATTTTTTTTTTTTCTGTCACTTTTAACGAAGTCTGCGGCTTGCCTATGCAATTCGGCTTATCCAAACTTAATGATAAGTTTAAACATGAAGTGGGTTTTGCTGGGCTTGCAATCGTTTTCTAGAGTTTGGCTTGGATTATTGAACGTAGATCATTTCTCTATGTTTGCTTTGGTAGCAAACAATTGCTGAATTACAAGATTATTCATTTGCACATAGAATGGCTCAATGTCATATTACTAAATAGCCGAATTAACCGATCAAGAAAGATGTAGTTTAATATGGAAGTAAAGGAATTCGTGCTTGGTGGTAGGCATTTAATTCCCTCTGATTCTTGTTTCCTCTAATACTGATAGAAAAAGGCAATATAGAAACCTACGTTTCTTCAAGACCATATTATCCTTGGTGTGTATAGCCACGTGCCTTCACTTGAGCTCGTTACATCTTACACTATAGTTAAGTATACATTTATTCAATGCCATTAATAAACATTCTTAGAAATCAATTTACTACCTAGAGAGAATAACCTCATAGTTATCAATAAAATGTGAAGAAAACGTGAGATAATCATTTGATCCAATTTGTAAAATACTTCATCTTATTCTTAAATATCACGTGGAATATCACTTAAATCATTGAAATCAATAGAAGACAAGTCTATTGGAACTTTTTCCCCAAAGGTATTTTCACCCGAATACAAAACATACAAGAATCCATCTTCATCTTTATGCTCTTCATAAATTGTGCTAATTAAAGCAGCGGTTGGTGGAAGGATATCATTAACAAAAATAAAAATTGCCTTTTCGCTAGGCAACTTAATTCTCTTTCTTATAACATATACAAATTGACCAACTGACAAATCGACTGGTACCAAGTATTTACGCTTGTCAATCTCGGGAATATCGGAATTCTCAACCTTTTCACAAATGACGGGAACTCTATCTTTGAATCTTTGGGCAATTCTAGCTGCCTCGGCTTTTCTCTTTTCTAAAAATATCGTACGTTAGTAACAAACTGTGTAACTGACGATAATGCAATACATACCAAAAGGATGTTCGTCTTTGAATTGTGATCTCATTGTATGAACAAGGGACTATAATTCGGTAATGCCGGTTAGTACTTATCTAACGAATAAACTTGAAGTCTTGATAACTTAGTGGCGTTTGGATACACCCACAATTCCAATTGTTGCTAGTTTAGAATTTGCCTTCCAAATCGCACACAAAAAAAAACGGGTTATCACGACTTTCCCCATGTTTTTCTAACACATACCTTTTAAGTTCAGGCTATTAAGATATGGACAACTTTAAACTATTGAATTGGATTTGTGAATTGTTTGTAATTTAATCGGTATATAAGCTAAAGAAAACAATAGCAAAAGAAAGATTTTTTGTAATTTCCTTATTTGTTTTTGTATGTTCCCTTTTTTCCCCCTCTCCTTTATGGGGGATTGTAATGTGGTTTATCTCTTATCGCGCCCTTGACTTTACAATGTGAGGGCAAAACAAAACAACAAAAAAAAGTGTGATTATATTGGTAGTGTACCTTGGCTAAATTATATGGGCTTTTTTAAAAGTTGTTGCAAATAGAATACAATCACTACTTGCTAATTGGCTTAATTACAAGGTGATAACTTCAGAATTTAAGAAATTAAACGCTCTAAATGAAAATGAGGACGAAATGTGTTTCAGAAAATGGGATATACTTGATCATTGGTAGTTATTACTGAAAGAACAAGTTTCGCCACCTAAATATTGCTCCTGAGAACCCAAATTACGGAAAAAGCGATTACAATTCTCGTTTACTCCGAAACAGAATTCTCGAGATTCAGATTTAAATCTGAAGTTACAGCAAACAAAACCACTCAATAGTGGATCTCCCTTTAATCTAGTTGAAGCCACCTGAGTTGACCAATGATTTGGAAATACAGTTAATGAGCCCTTCCACTCTTATTTACAGTAATGACTTTGAAGAACAAGAACCTAAAGAGAATTTGATTCTTTGAAATAGTATTTGGGTTCAAGAGCTGGAACTTGTACTTCCCAGTGAACCACTGCCATATCAGAAGCGAAAACAATAAAGATACATTCTTTAAAGGTGCTACGATCAATAAACTAAGCACTTCAAAACCAAATCCAAACTATTGTATTGATTTAAATTTCACTAGATTTAAATATGCTGTAGTAAGAAAGGTGTTGGCAGGAGAACTTTTATTGGCTATTAAAAATAACTAATCTAGGAGCGAACATCGGTTGCTAAACTTAATTCATATGCATAAGCAATGGTAAGTTTGACATGCTCTTTAATATGATCCCAATCTAATCTATCAATTGTATCCATAACAGAATGAATATACTTGTTGGTATACTTCATTTCACTTTCAATCAAGAAAGATGATGGGTATCCATTTTCTAAAGCTGAGGCATGGTCGGAACATGCATAACCACAAGAAGATTCATGATAAGGAATGGAATTGTAAACGTTGATAACAGATTTCAAGAATTCGTTTAATCCTACACTGGTGTAATCAGTGATCAATCCAAAATGAGGCTCAACACCGGCACTTATGGAACCAGCAGTATAACCAGTCATATCTTGTTGCAACATCCCAATGACAACTTCTTCTTTGGCAGCATATTTGGTAAAAACATCAATAGAACCAAGCAATCCACCCTCTTCGGCAGAATACCAATGGAATTCTAAAGTATTATAAGGAATAAATTTCTTTGCAGCATAAGCTTCGATTAAAATTCTAAATGCTTCCAAGGTAGTAACAGTACCTGACCCATCATCATCTGCACCTGGTGCTTTCATAAGATTTGGAAATAATAAGTTTGTTGAATCTTGATGTGCTCCGACAATAACCTTGTCAGTGGTACCTTTACCTGGAATTGAAACAATAATTGAATATTGATCCCAATCACCATGGTCAACCTTGGATACATTAACTTGGTTCCTAACTGGTTCAATAATATCCAAAATTTGTTGAAGTAGCCAATCAGCACTTTCAAGTCCAGATTCGGATTTGTAATATCTGGTATAAAAGGAAGTAAATTTGCTCAATTTTTCAAACATTAAATCAGTATCAATCTGTTCATACAATTTGGTAATTGCTTTCCGAGGTTCAGAAATCTCGGGGTATTTATAAATAGGAACTGGTTTTTTTAAGGTTTTAATCTGTTTTGCTCCGAGAAGGAATAAATTGTGGAAGAAAGAAACTGGACTTGGTTTCAATATCAATCCTTGTTCAACAGCAACATCTACTGGCACTTGATTAGTGATATCAATGAAATTAATATTCTTGGCTTTTAAATCTAACTTTTCTTCTTCTGTAACAATTTTGTAGTCATTTGGTCCTAACTTGATCAATCTATCCTTACTCTTGTCCCCCTTGAAGAAGGCGACTGAATCCTGAGTGAATGGTAATGATAAGGAATTGACAAGGCAGACAAAAATACTAATAACAACTAACAACTTCATTTTTAAGTATTTAAAAGGGAATAGAAAAATAATTGAAGCAATGGGGTGCTAGGAATCTTACTCTAATTTTAGTATTTGAACTTGAAATTGAATCTTAGCCGGGGGGAAAGAGGGAGGCACTGGCAGCAGCAAGATTTCCCGCGATTTTTCTCCACCTCCTGAGCCACAAGGTGGTTGGCTTTTTTTTTTTGGTTGCAAGAAAATAGAACCTTGTTTAGTCAACTAGAAAAGGTTGCTCTTTCCTTAAAAAAGGCATTCAAGCTGGAATCAATCTAAAGGTATAACTAGTAAGTATCTAACAAAGTTATCTGTTTAATTTTCCAAGAGTATTACCCTTTCACCAACACACTGATGGATTCGCCACTGTTTCTAATGCAGGTGTAAATAAAACAACCTTTATCCAATCCGTTCATGAAATAGTTTACTTGTTTTCCTATTCAACTTATATCACATTTACAACTCCCAAGTACATTCCTTGCATTAACACAACTATATTAGTGCTCTAAACACGATTCAGTTTGCAACACTTTGCTTTGGTCGTGCGCCGTGCTCAGAAAATGAAATGAGCTCAAAAAGTTGAAATCTTTTTTTTATGTAAACAACCTTCAGCAGCATTGAAACGAAAGAAGCCTTTACCGAACACTTCAAGGTATATCTGAATTGAAATGAATATACTGGCTTCGAATGGTTCTGGTACTTCCAACGGTACAGGAGTCAGAGGATTACCACGTGATGCCAAGTTTATTACACCTAGTTTGAAGTTGAAGGACCAAGTTCCTGATTCTGTTCAATTCCATCAAGATAGAAATATAGATACAACATCAGCCAGAGGTCAATTATCAAGACGATTTGTTCAACCATTAGGATTTGAATCTAAGGAAGTTAACTATAAGATTAATGTTCCTGATTTTGCCAATATCCCTCCGCTACAATTAGGTGGTAAGTTCATCGCTGATTTAAATAGAATTGATTCAATTACTCCTCATGATATTTTTTATTCTGAAACTGTTAGTAAAACTGAATCTGGTGGATTAGACAATTATTACTTTGATTATGAGAATGGATTAAAAGATTTCTCAAGATTTGAAAAAGTGAGTCAATTGGATTTGCCCGACAGATTCTTTGAAGAGTATAACTCCACTGAGTGCATAACCAAAATAGGATTGTTTCCTGAAATTGAAAGAACATGGATTGCTATTGATAATAAATTAGTGTTTTGGAATTATAATCTTCCACAATCTTCATTCAATACATCAACCCAATTCTTAACTATAGACCAAATTAGACATACCATTTTAACTGTGAAGTTGGTTAGACCTAAAAAAGGAATTTTCCTTGAAGAAATTAATTATTTGTTATTGGTATCTACTACAGTTGATATCAATATTTTCTTGGTTAAATATGATAAAGCATTGAATAATTTGGAAATTTTCAATCCAGACTTATCGGTTTCCACTCAGGGCTTAATTGTTAATAACTTTACCATAAATTCAAAAACCAATGATATTTACTTTAGTGGTGAAGGTGATGGTGTCAACATTTGGCGTTTGGATTATTCCAACAAGTCAAGCTTTATTAAGAATAAATGTGATAAAATATGTTTAACCAAAGGTGGATTATCAAGTGTTATACCAAGTAAAATACCTGGACTTGATTTGTTTAATCAAGGTGCCACAACTACCAATAGTAGTACCAGTACAAATGAAAACGATGCCACTGTTCCTGAAAGTATTGTTCAATTACAAGTGGATGGTGAACGAGACATTTTATACTCGTTGTCCAACAAATCAGTCATTAGAGTTTACAAACTTCAACCAAAACAAGAGCAAATCACTGAAGGTAGTAGATTAACCCCAAGTCAAATTTTCAAATCTGCTTCCAGTATTTTTGTTGATGCCAGTAATTTTAAAGTATTTGAAAGATTTAAGATTATTGCAATTCATTGTATTTCACCTCAAGAATCAACATCCATACAATTGATTGCAATCACTAGTAATGGATGTAGAATGCTATTAAAACTTGGATCAACTTCAAGTTTTGGATCATTACTTTCCACGCCATTCTCGGCCCTTAATGCATTAAAATTGAATCTAGTCAACATTAAATTCCCTCCATCAAGAGAAATCCCCAAGATTAATACTGAGCTTGATTCGTTTACAAGAGATAGACAATATTTATCCCAATTAATTGCCAATCAACAAAAATCTCAATTGTTGAAAAATACCAAAATTGCCAAAATTATAAGTCCTGGTGTTTTCATTTGTGTTAAAAAGACCAAGAGATCGGATAAGTTGTTCATTGCAACTTCAAATTATGGATATTTGAAAAAGAATAATAAATTAGTTGAAGATGCTGAATTTGTTAAATATGTCAGTCATGAAGATGCTCCATTTACCTATATTCAAGATATTATTCAATTGACACCATCCATGAATGCTACCAACACTCCTAATGGATATGCTAACATTTCTGCCAGCCAGTATACTAAACAGCCTTTGAAGTTTGCTGTATTGACCAATTTTGGTATTGTCATATATCAATTTAAAACATCTGATCAAATTATTAAATCATTGAAGGAAGAAGTTATTGAGAATTTCATTGAAGAAAATGGATATGAAGAAACTTGTTCTACTTTGTTATACTTGGCATGTTCTTATGGCCATTACAACTCAAATGATCTTTTCAAAAGAAAAGCTCAGATTTTGTTTTCATCTTGTGGTAATAATGCCCGATTAACTGATAATTCTCAACAATTGGGGGGTGGGCCACAAGTCACTAGTTTGGTGCCACATCATCAACAATTAGCCAATATCAGTTCTAATCTTCATCCTACTGTAGATCAAGTTGTTTTAAGTGATAGATTCTACGGAACTTGTTTATTAATTGCAAGATTACTTCGTGATTTCTGGGACAAGAAAGTGTTCAATCCGTTAGAGTATATCAAGACTACACCAAGTGGAGACATTGAGGTTGCCAGTATTAAAGAAGGAAATCTTATAATTAAAGGGTTAAATATTGACAAGAAACAAATTGAATATTTTATTGGATCCATTATTGTTTTGATTGATTTCTTTATGGAAAATGGAACAAATATTCAAGGATTGAATGCACCAAATTATAGTTCTGATCCAAACCAATTTGAAAATGAGGTTTGTCTTAGAGCGGAACATATTGCATTTACTTCTATTATTAAATGTTTGAATTCGATGAAGGAAGCCCTTTCGTTCTTGATGGTTTTAATTGAAGAAATTCAAATTAACCAATCTAACTTCAATGAAATTTTACAATTTTTATCATTAACTAACCAAGCCAATCTTTTGTGTTTAACTTTTAAAGATTTATTATTGCCTAATAGAGATGTTAAGAATTTGGTTAAGGATTTGTTGTCTTCTATTATTAATAAGAATATATTAAAAGGTGGATCTATTGATTTAATTGCATCTTCATTACAAACCAGATGTGGGTCTTTCTGTTCTACCAATGATGTATTTATATTCAAAGCTATTGAAAATTTAACTAGAGCCAAGAAGATTAATTCCCGTGATCCTGATTTAAAGAATAAATGTTTAACCAATGCAGTATTACTATTTGAAGAAGCTTATGATTCATTGACTTTGGAAAACATCGAGAACTCAATTAATATTATGTTGGATTTACAATTTTATGCTGGTGGTGTAGGAATGTTGTTGAATATTGCCCAAAAACTTGGATCTAATGTTAAATCAGCAGCAGCAACTACTAGTCTTGCATTAACTGAAGATAATTCTGTTAAGAATAACCAAGAAGCGATCGAAATTTCCAAAAAGAAGACTGATTTGTATAATTTGGTGTTTAACATTCTTACTAAGGTTGATTTAAAGGCTTCACAAATTACTGAAACTAGTAACCAAGTTTTGATTAATGAATTCTTGGAGATTAGAGATTCTGCTTATAAAACATGTTTTGCATCTCAAGATAAGGAATTCCATTATGCATTTTATGAATGGTTTATTAAACAAGGTGTTAACGATAGGTTGTTGGAGATTAATACCCCATTTATATTACCTTTCTTGGAAGAGAAATCGGAAAATAATTTGGTATTGAGTGATTTGCTTTGGTTATATCATGCCAAGAGGGAGAATTATTTCGACGCCGCTAAGATCTTGTACGCATTGTCTGTGTCTGAATTTAAATTAGAATTGAATCAAAGAATCGAATACCTTTCCAGGGCTAATGGGTTCTGTAGTTGTGTTTGTCCACCCAACTTGAGACAAAAGATGATTCAACTCTCTGCAGTCATACAAGAATTATTTGACGTTGCCAATGTTCAGTTGGATATCTTGACAAGAATCAAGGCCGATTCAAGAATCAGTTCTGAAAATAAGCAAATTGCTGTTGATTCATTGAATTTTAAGATTTTGACTATAACTGACTTGTTCAATAACTATACTGATCCATTGGGTTATTATGATCTTTGTTTACTCATTTTCAAGATTTCTGATTATAAGAATACCGATGATATTTTGAAAAGATGGGAGTTATTCTTTGATAAGTTGTACCATGAATATTTGGTTGAGAAGAAGGGCAAGGAAACTTTCTATATTCTTTTAAATGATGCATTTGTATCATATGGAGCCAGGTTATCTTCTAATGACTTGGTTTTTCCAATTGATGAATTAATCAAGTTGATTAGTAAATATATTCAAGAAGCAATTGAAGAGAACCCAGTAACTCAGAAGCCACCAAGGGGAATAGTTGTCGATATGTTTATTAAATGTGGAGTTTCATATGAACGGTTATACTATGTTATGAAATCATTAATTGAACATAACACGTTTGAAATTTATTCTGGGTTCACTAATGATTTGAGAAAGAATGAAATGACATACTTAATTAAGAAATGGTATACTAATGATAAGAAATTACGAGAATTGATACCAAATGATAAGATTGCCAATTTGCAAGAGTACACCCTTGAACAGGATCCTATCAATGAATTTACAAACCATGGTCAATATGTTTCATAGAAGATTATATAAATTTTGTATTTTAGTAAAAAAAAAAAGTTATTGTCATGCATTAGATTTTATACTAGACAAGCTAGTTATTTCTAAGAACTGTGTTTAATTCAATTCATAGAATTTATTCTTTTGAATATCAAATCTTTCCTTTTCTAAACTTAATTCATCAGTGGGTCTTAAGTAATTAGAAGTTGTGGTTGGTAAGTACATTGTTTCAGGTCGTTTATCAGTCAAGTACAATATTATCCCGTCAATAACTAACTTAACCGCGTCATTTGGTTCATTTGCTCCCTTGGGCATGATAACATCGGCGAATTCCTTGGTTGGAAATATGAAATCATTCATTTCTCTTCTGGCTCCCAAAAGATAGGCATTTATTACACTATCAAGTGTATTTGTCTTTCTTTCAAGAACATCCCGTCTTATCCAACGAATTAATCTTGTATCACTATCACTGTCTATAAACACCTTGATATTGGATAGATCTCTAATTTCCTTATCGTATAACGCGTATAATCCGTGAACTATAAGAACCTTTTGTGGTTGGTCAACCGGAATGTACAACTTACTGCGTAGCACCTCTTTGAGTTTGTCGAATTGAAATCTTGAAGGTTTAAGGCTTGGATATTTGTCATGGTGGAACTCCTTTGATACCGTTATGGCAGCAGATTTTCCCTGGTTATAATACTCGGTTGTGTCTATGGATGACGCATTACAACCTTCTTTAAATTGATTCATATCAATTATCTCTATATCGACATTAGTCGAAGGAATCTTGCTGAGTTCTTGCTTTAAAGAGTTAGCGGTGGTTTTCTTCCCAGCTGCATGTCCACCACCAAGTAATACTATAATTGATCTATTGGAAGTGGTGGTTGAAGTTGTCATGTTTGTGTGTCGTAATCTCTTGGATACGTGCCGGTTTTGTGGGACTGCGATTTCTGTTGATGCTCATCAAGTAAGCTTGCGAAAAGTAAATAATTTTTCTACACTATCTATAGCACTAGTGATCGAAATATACTACACTACACTATGGACGAGTTTGATAGAGAGTTAGATAATGAATTGGAGTTTAGTCATAAATCCACTAAGGGGATTAAAGTCCATCGTACTTTTGAAAGTATGAAACTAAAACCTGATCTTTTAAAGGGGATTTACGGATATGGGTTTGAAGCACCATCAGCCATTCAATCACGGGCAATTATGCAAATTATAAGTGGTAAAGATACTATAGCACAAGCACAATCAGGTACTGGTAAGACTGCCACGTTCTCCATAGGGATGCTTCAAGTCATCGACACTAAATCCCATGATTGCCAAGCATTGATCTTGTCTCCTACAAGGGAATTGGCGGTGCAGATCGAAAATGTTGTTAAACATTTGGGTGACTATATGAATATTCATACTCATGCATTAATTGGTGGAATTAATGTGGGACAAGATGTGAAAAAATTACAAACTAGCCAACCACAAATAGTCAGTGGAACTCCTGGTCGTGTACTTGATGTGCTCAAAAGAAGAAACCTATCTCCCCGACATATCAAGATATTGATTCTTGATGAAGCGGATGAATTATTTACAAAGGGGTTTAAAGAACAAATTTATGAAATTTATAAGCAGCTACCACCTGGGGCTCAAGTGGTTGTGGTAAGTGCAACACTTTCACCAGAAGTGTTGGAAATGACAAACAAGTTTACTACTGACCCAGTAAAAATTTTGGTTAAACGAGATGAAATATCATTGTCTGGTATTAAACAATACTATGTTCAGTGTGAAAAGGAAGAATGGAAGTTTGACACATTGTGTGACTTGTATGATAATCTAACCATTACCCAAGCTGTGATATTCTGTAATACTAAACTCAAAGTCAATTGGCTTGTTGAGCAAATGAGAAAGCAAAACTTTACTGTGGTTGGCATGCATGGAGATATGAAGCAAGATGAACGAGACTCTATTATGAATGATTTCAGAACTGGCAATTCAAGAGTGTTGATCTCAACCGATGTTTGGGCTAGAGGGATTGATGTTCAGCAGGTGTCACTTGTTATCAACTATGATTTACCTACTGATAAAGAGAACTACATTCATAGGATTGGGAGATCTGGGAGGTTTGGTAGAAAGGGAACGGCTATCAATTTAATAACTAAAGCTGATGTACAAACCCAAAAAGAGCTTGAAAAGTTTTATTCTACAAAGATTAAGGAAATGCCCATGAACATCAATGATATTATGTAGAGTTTTGTGTAAAATGTATAGATAATCTATAGTGTTTACTAACAACATCAACATCATGTTATATGTGCTCGGTTAAATTCTTAATCACGTGCTTGGGCATCTCGATCTGAAGAATTTTTTTTTTTTTCCCTTCTGTTGTTTTTTCATTTTATTTACAACCAATTATTTAAATCATTTCTAGACTAAGTCTGAACTACCGACACAATTGGCTTTGTCTTCCAGCACCATGGACGCCCAATTTATATCTTCTTTAGAAGCTACCTTAAGACAAACTTTGGTTCCAGATTCTGCTGTTATCAAGCAAGCTTCCCAAAAGTTAACCAAAGAATTCTACACTAACCCTTTGGCTTTACCAAGTTTGTTCCACATTTTACAAAATGGTCAAGATGATGAAATCAAACAATTAGCCTCTGTTGAAGCTAGAAAGTTGGTCTTGACTAACTGGGAAAATATTGACGCTTCTTTAAAGCCAAATATTAGAGAATCCTTATTACAAAACACCTTCCAACAACCAAACAAGCGTATTAGACACAGTTCAGCACGTGTTATTGCTGCTATTGCTGAAATTGATTTAGAAAAGGGTCAATGGGAGCAACTTTTACCTACTTTAGTTGAAGCTATCCAGGGTTCTGATGTTCAAATTAGAGAAATGGGTGTTTTCACTTTGTACACTATATTGGAAACTCAAATTCCTTCCTTGACTCCTCATATTGACGGATTCTTGACTTTATTTGCTGGATTATTATCCGACACTTCTTCTAGAAGCATTAGAGTCAACTCTGTTTTATCTTTGGATGTTATTTCTCAATTCATTGAAGAAGAAGGTGACATCAATATTAACTTGGCTAACAAATTTAAGGCCACTATTCCAGCCATGGTTGAAGTTTTGAAGGAAGTTGTTTCCAATGATGATTCAGACCTGGCTAAGCAAATCTTCAATGTTTTCAACAGTTTGATCTTCTTGGATAACAAATTGATTGGTGACAACTTGATTAATTTGATTCAATTAATTGCTGAAATGTCTCTTAATACCCAATTGGATGAAGAATACAGATCTTTTGGTTTACAATTCTTAATTTCTTGTGTTTCATTGAGAAAATCCAAGATTTCTTCCAACAAATTAGGTCCACAAATTACCTTGGTTGCTTTGAAAATTGCTTCTGAAGAAATTGATGAAGAAGCTGAATTGGAAAATGAAGATGAAGAAAACGAAAATGAAGAAAATTCCCCTCCATCTTTAGGTTTAAGATTGATGGCCATGTTATCTGCCGAATTGCCACCATCCCAAGTTATCAACCCAATGTTTGATGCCTTACCATCAATGTTGGCTTCTACCAACAAATTCGAAAGAAGAGGTGGTTTGTTAGCCATTGGTGTTTCTTCAGCTGGTGCTCCAGACTACATCTCCAACCAAATCCAAAAGATCCTTCCAGCCATTCTTAACGGTTTGAAAGATTCTGAAATCATTGTTAGAGTTGCTGCTTTAAGAACTTTGTCCCAATTAACTTCCGAACTTCAAGATGTTATTGCTGAATATCACGAACAATTATTACCTTTGGTTATTGATATCATTGACACTGCTTCTTCAGTTATGGCTTACAAATACGCTTGTTATGCCTTGGATGGTTTAATTGAATTTATGAGTCATGATGCTATGGGTAAATACATTGAACCATTAATGAACAAATTGTTCCACATGTTACAACAAGCCAACTCTTCTTCATTGAAATCAGCTATTGTTTCCGCCATTGGTTCTACTGCTTTTGCTGCTGGTAAAGCCTTCACCCCATACTTTAAGAACTCCGTTCAATACTTGGAACCTTTCATTACCAATGCTGCTGCTACTGAAGGTATGACCGAAGATGATGTTGAATTAAGAGCTGTTACTTTTGAAAACATTTCTACCATGGCCAGAGCTGTTGGCTCCCAATCATTCTCCGACTATGCCAAGCCATTGGTTGAAGCTGCTTACACCTCCTTAAGTTCTGAACACTCAAGAATTAGAGAATCTGGTTTCGCATTTATTTCAAACATGGCCAAGGTTTACGGATCTGAATTTGCTGGATTCTTGGAACAAATTGTCCCACAAATTCTTAAATGTTTAGAACAAGATGAATTCACCTTTAACGTCGATGATCTTGACGAAGATGAAGATGATTTAGGTAACGGTATGAATGTTCACACTGGTATCACCATCGAAAAGGAAATCGCCTCCGTTGCCTTGGGTGAATTGGCTGTTGGTACCGGCAAAGAATTTGCTCCATACGTTGAAGCTTCAGTTAAATCATTACACGACCAAATTGAAAACTCTTATGGTATGAGAGAAGCTGCTATGAACTGTTTATTCAAGATTACCAGAGCTATGTTTATTGCTTCTCAAGGTGAAGGTTTCAAGGCTCCAAAGGGTGTTCCTCAACAACCATACGTTGATGCTTCCATCTTACAATTGGTTCAACAAGTTAGAAACATTGCTGTTCCTCTCTTGGAAGAAGAATTTGAATTAACTATGGTTGCTTGTATCTTGGATGGTTTTGCTGATGCTCTTCATAAGTTTGGTGCTATTGCCATTGTTGATAATGGTAATGACACTTCCTCTTTGGAAAAATTATGTTATGTCTTGATGCAAATCTTGAAGAAAGAACATCCATGTCAAATTGAAGATGAAGAAGGTCCAGCTGATGAAGAAGATGCTTCTGAAACTGATGCTTTATTATACGAATCCGCTTTAGAAGTTCTTGTTGCTTTGTCCCTCGCATTAGAAGGTGATTTTGTTAAGATCTTTACTTCCTTCAAGGATGTTATCTTAGCCAATGCTCGTAGTAAATCCAAGTCAATGAGAGTTGGTTCTATTGGTGCTATTGCTGAAATTGTTGGTGGATTGAAGGCTTCCAACCCATACGGTGAAGAATTATTACAAGTTTTCACTGATAGAATCGCTAATGATAAATCTTTAGATGTTAAGGGTAATGCTGCTTACGGTATTGGTTTAATTATTGAAAACAGTACTGCTGACTTAACTTCTGCTTATCCACATATCTTACAATTACTTTTCCAATTGTTATCTAAGGCTGATAGAAAGGCTGATTCTGATGATGCTGAAACCAATGAAGTTGTCAACAGATCATTCGCCAATGCTTCTGGTTGTGTTGCTAGAATGGCATTAAAGAACCTTCAAGCTGTTCCATTAGAACATGTTCTCAGTCCATTATTAGAACACTTGCCATTAAAGACTGGTCTTGAAGAAAACACCCCAATCTTTGAATTAATTCTTAAATTGTATGAAACTAATAATGAATTAATCGTTGGTCAAACTCCAAAGATTGTTGAAATCTTTGCTGGTGTTTTCGCTGCTGAAGCTGACAGAATTAAATTGGTTAACGAATCAACTTTAGGTAGAGAAGAAAACATTGAAGCCATGAAACAATTCTCCAGTCCTGAATTACAACAAAAGGTTATTGAATTATTAAAGTATTTGGACCAAAAGTTTAATGGGGTTGTTTCATCAAATGAAATTTTAAAGTCAGTCATTGCTGCTTAGATTTTTGGAACTTATGCATATACTTATAAACCCTTTTTTTTAATTGATATTTAGTTTAACTTTTATATAGCTTTTTTTGAATTCTATTTCTTTCTTTTGTAACAACTTTATTCCTTTGCAGCCTTAACTGGGCAATTTTTCGGCTGCAAAATTTACTCGTTGTGGAACGCAAAGGGCGTCGTATTTTCAACAGTTTTAAAAACTTTTTCTCGTTGAAACAGATTTTAACACGGATGTTATGGAGGGGATTAAATGGTTGTAAAACTGTGATTAAACTCGAGTTAGTCAGATAAATAGTTGATGAATGTTGCCTTTTTAAAAAAAAAATAAAAATAAAAATGTTTCATTTAGTTACTTTTCAACAATGGATTCTCGTGCAGCTGGATTAGCAGCTTTTGCTTTAATCTCTTGGATATTACTCATACCTCCATTCATTTGGCATTGCAAGTGTAAGAATTTCCCTGCAATATGTTTAGTATTCTGGTTACTGTTTGTTAATTTCAATGTGTTTTTCAATACGATGGTTTGGGGTCATGATAATTTTTATCATGCTTGGGATGGGAAGATTTGGTGCGATGTTACAGTCAGGCTAGAAGCTGGTTCATCAACTGGTAAGATTTGTGCAATTACTTCGTTGATCTTAAACTTGTATATGATCTTGAGGGCCAAGCCAGGAGTATTCCTTGAATTCAATAGTTGGAAAAAACGGGCTATTGATTTATCTATTTGTCTCATAACTCCAATTTTCATTATGTCGACAAATTATATCATCCTGGCATTCAGATATGGAGTATTCAAGTATGAAGGATGTGTTTCTATGTTTGGACCCAACTATGCCACCATTGGTTTAGATCATATGTGGCCAATTATTTGGAGTTCTATTGCCCTTGTTATTGCGATTATGACTTTGTATAGTTTCTTCACTCAACGGAAAGAAATTAGCAACATTCTTGTATGTACCAATTCAGGATTGACTTATCAGAGATTTGCCAGATTATTGATTTTCTGCTTGTTGATTATTTTGGCTATGGCTCCACTCTCAGGTTACTACTTTGCTGATATATTCAAATACAAATTGCACAAGTTTGAATGGGATGAAGTACATCAGGAAGATTGGGGTGAAATTATGTACTATGATGTTGGTTTTACTGTTGGTTATCGAAGATTAGTCAATTCTATCTTGTCCATTATTGCTTTCCTTTTGTTCGGGTTAGGTTCGGACGCTGTGGAAATGTACAAGTCAATTATCAACGATACGATATTGCTATTCCTGAGAAAGGTGCCTGGTGAAGAAAAAGACCAAGTTACGTTCTTAACCACGCTCCCTAATAGAGCTACTAGAATATTTTCAAACAAATCTGACAAGACCCCTTCTCAGAATAGTGCTGGTACTACCTTGAATGAATATGGACAATTTAACAATGCCATGTCAGATATGGATGTTAAACATACTTCAACTAGTCAACTGAACAAATCTAAAGAATCTGGTCCTCCACTACCAAATGGAACATTCTTTTCCAATGTCGACAATTACCTTGAACAAGAATTGAAAAGTATCATTATGCAAGAAACAGAAACTGGAAAATCGGGGCAGAAATGCTCGTATCGGTTCCAAGTTGAACAAGTTTAATAAATATTTTCTCTTTTTTTTTTGTTTACTTTCGTCTATTTACATATATAGTTCCTATAGTACAAGTTTCAATTTATACCGAGTAGCTCGGTGAACTTTTGCTTGAACTCCTTTGCATGTATCTTCCCTTGTGTTTCTTTCATCGCCTTACCGATTAACAGCTGTACAGCATTAACTTGTCCACGCTTGATATTTTGCACAATCTTCTCATTCTCTTCTATAATTGTTTGGCACAAATCTGTTATAGCTTCGTCTAAATCTTCTTTGGATATAGACAGTGGTTTGTGTAAATCTAACTGTTCGATAACTTCATCTAATGGACGATCAATATCTGCAGGGTTCTCAATCAAATGTCTCAATAGGATTCTGGCCGCAGTGAGTGATATTCCTTCATCAAGAACAGCCTGTGCAATTTCTATTAAAGCTTTAGGAGTAATTAATGTAACATCGAATGGATGCTCGACTTTGGCAAATGAAGTAATCAATTCTTCTAATACCCAGTTATTTGCCGACTTTGATGGTTGCTTTAAGTCTTCCGTATATATCTTGAAGAAAGATAAATAATACTGTAAAGTCAATGGTTCATTGAAAAGATTTCTGGCTTGATTCAAAGTTAAATTATATGGTTCACTTGTCAATCTCTCAAGAATAGTATCGGGCAAATCAGGTAATTTCTCTTGAATTTTCTTTCCAATATTTTCATCCACTCTTACCACTTCCAACTCTGAGTCAGGAACATATCTATAATCTAATGCGTTTTCTTTTCTTCTCAAGGAAACAGTAGTTGCACCATCCCACCCTCTGGTTTCCTGGACTATCTTATTTCCTTTCTGGATCTCTCCAATCTGTCGACGGTATTCATATTGTAAGGCTGCCACGACTTCTCCTGAACTTCCAAGGTTCTTTATTTCAACTCTGTCGTTCCCATTTACACTTATGTTTGCATCAACTCTGATTGCACCTGTTTCCATATCACCACTACATATTCCTAGATGAGACACCAACATCTGATACTTCTTCACGAACGCTCGAACTTGTTTTATATCTTCAAAATCCGGTTTTGTAACAACTTCAATCAAAGGAGTATTGCTTCTATTCAAATCAATTGTTATTTTGTCATCAAAATTTACTGTCTTTCCAGTATCCTGTTCTATTTGAACTTGTTCCAAATTGATAATCTTGTCAGATTCAATTCCATCAAATTTTGAATTTAGTTGAACAAATCCATTCTTTGCTATTGGATGATAATGCTGTGTTATTTGATATCCCAATGGTTGATCAGGGTAAAAGTAATGCTTTCTATCAAAGGTGGAAAACGACTGAATATCACAGTTGAATGCAGTTGCTGCTACTAATGCCAAATAAAGTGCCTCTGGGTTCAATTTTGGTTGTGATCCAGGAAGTCCAATATCAAAATAGCTAACCTTGGTGTTGGGAGCTTCATTGAAACTTGTCTCTGAAAGGGAAAAGAGCTTATATTTGGTCTTGAGCTGGGTATGTATTTCTAACCCACATTTGAACTTGTAATTGGGATCTAATTGAAATTTTTTCAAATGTCGTACCGAAGTACTAAATCTTCTAAGCATCTTTTCTTTATATTGAGTTTACCAATATTAAACCACGACCCATGCAACTAGTAGCTGATTTTGCCAATGTGTCTGAAGCAGATCCAATAATGTTCGCATCAATCATTTTGAAATATTTACAAAAAAAAAAATCTGATTCAGAAAAAAAAATACCTGTACAAGAAAAAATGTATGGGTGATTCCTAACTTGCTTAGTAAATATTGAAAAATTTAACTACCTCCCCCAACAAAAGACTTAACACCATATAACAAATGTATAATTAAAAAAAATATGCCTTCAGCCAGATTCGAACTGACGATCTCCTCATTACTAGTGAGGTGCCTTACCAACTTGGCCATAAAGGCTTCAAAAGAAGCGACCTCGGTGAGGGTCGAACTCACGATCTTGAGATTAACAGTCTCACGCCTTAACCAACTTGGCCACGAAGTCTTTACATTTTTCATTATTTTTTATAGTTTTAGACACCGGCACTGGTTCTTGTATATTTTAGGTAATGTTTATCGGACTTTTAGTACCTTGTATGGTATTTTTTGTCGGTGTTTTGTATCGTGAGTTTTGTTACATTCAATTCTTTACATCTTCAATACATCAATACAGTGACAATTCTTTCTAGATTTGAATATAAAAGGATTTAATAGAAGTATTATTATATGAATTAGAGCTGTTTTAATTCATATTATGATTAGTTCTGCTTTTGCGAGATTATTGTGAATTTTATATTTTTATAAATTTTTTGCCAGATTTTTGATCAAATATCTTTAAACTTTATTTATAAGACTTCTTTCTAAACAAATATCTTTGTTACATAGTAATAAATTTTGTTGTAAAAGCACTCCATTACTAAGAATAGAGGGTTTACAATATCTGAAATAACATTTTTGAAAAAGGACAGAGATTTGTTGATGATTTGAACACCCTAAAATTTTAATGTTCTGATCAAAATTTTTGCAGCAAATTTGTTTCCTACTTGATAACTCGTTTTGAAGAATCCGCCTTTAACAACAAACATTATCTTTAGATGAAAATTATTCTCCAATTGATACTAGGTTTTTTTTTTGACTAAAAGGTTTTGCTAAAGGCGTTCCTAACAGCAGACGCTGGTACTATTCTGCTGTCGAAATCTCTACTATTCTACAGTTGGAAAAGTTCTGAGAGAAAATATATAAAATTTTAACCCAAATATCAATGGAAAACCACATTTTACAAATATAAGTTACTGTAAATGTCTCATTATTAAACTAAATAAATACAAAATATTGACTTTCTAGTTAAATTTAGTAGCCATTTCAACAGCAGCAGCACCCCAGTCTTCACCATGGTTGTGCATTTTACCTTCAATCAATCCAGCTCTAGCTTCAGCTTGTTCTAAAGTAAGACAAGTCAAAACACCAAAGATAACAGGGATACCTAATTCAAAGTTCAATTTCATTAATTGATGAGTGGTCGAGTCACAAATGTATTCAAAATGCATAGTTGATCCCTTGATTAAAACACCAATTGGAATAACGGCGTCCAATGGTTTACCTAACCTTTTTTGTTTTTCAACAAATAATTTGGAACCATATGGTAATTCAAAGGATCCTGGAACGGTTTCAATAATGATATTTTCTCTCTTGACATTTAAAGAGAGTAACTTTTTAATAGCACCCTCTACAAGGGCATCAATGATTTCTTTATTCCATCTTGCATGAAGAATACCAATTCTTAAGTTGGAACCTGTAAATGGGGGGGGGAAAACCAGTTAGTAAGTTGAATTGCAGAAGAAATTGGAGTTGATTACTTACCATCGTATTCTTGGTCCAATTGTCCTAATCCACCAATAGCCATTTTATATAGTTGATTGTAATATAACCGGGGGTGTTAAAATAAAGTTGCAAGCTACTTTATATATATATCTAGGGTTTGTGCAATGCCTACAGTGTCGATTTTTCAACGTCTAATAATTATGTAATCCTGCAGGAAATGTTACCCGGACAATCGGTCGTACCGTAGAAGGAAATGTTAAATCTTTGGTACGAAAATTTTTTTTTTCAACTAGTTGGTTTCTATAGAATTACTAAAACACAGCTATGATTTGTAAGCAATAAGCATTAGTGATCAAAGCATTAAATAGTATGTAACTATTCATTTCCAAAGAAATTTGGAATAGCCGGATCTCGAATTTTGTTGTTATTTGTTTCTTAGAGGATGATACCAAGTTGTTTCTTAAAAAAAAATGATGATCCAACTTATATTTGAAATTAGTCTTTCACCCCTATCTGATTGGTTATGTTCTTCTGAATGGAAATACCCCAATGGAAAACATAATACACTATAAGAGAGAATAGACAGATTTGAGATTTAAATTTTGATAATGTCCGATTACTAACTAACTAAAAGAAAATAAATATCTTACAACATATCAATAACTCACACTCATTCTCTTAGCCAAAACGCAGACAATTTATTTTGGTTTTGCAGCAAATAAACTGACTGTTTATGTTCCAATGCAACAAATTTGTCTTGGGCAGAAAGTTAAGATTTCGTATTTTATGTCTTGGATGAATTAATTTAACAACTGTAAATGACCCATGCAACATGTATGAATTTATATTGTATGGGATAAACAATGCAGTTACAGTTTTCCCGATAACCACAACTTTGTTGGGTTAGTATACCGATAGGTAAGACAACCGATATAGGTAACATTCCCAACAAATTCTTTTACTCCAACTGAAATAACAACTTTCTTTTTTCTTTTTTTTTTATTATTGATTTTCTGCTATGGACCTTCCGATATACGGGTCAATGGACTGGAACGCGGTTGCGGGCAGCAGAATGCTGAAACTGTTAAAGTTTATTCCCCTCAGTAGACCAGAAAATAATTTCGTGACTTATATTAGATCTTTTTCAATGCTAGTCATAAGCATAGCAAAGCAAATTTACATGTCTGAAACAGGCTGCAATCTTCGGTACGAAGAAAAGAAGCACACCACAGCCATGAATATGCATTTAGGTTTACGTAAGATTTAGATAAAATTTAATGTGAACTCATGAAGTGATGTGACAGAATTTATGCAAGAATATTTTCTGTTGGTTGCAGTGAGTTATGCAGGAAGTCCGATCCCGCATAAAGTTATGGTCGTCTAGTTGTCATGACGGCAATATAGAGATTTCTGATGTGATTTCTCGCATAAACTCTTCTCATAACCAGTTAACACGTACATCTACGCAAGGGTAGCAGCTGTCGTAAGTTTTTCAAAATGAGACTAAAACTAGAAATAATATGTGGCGATGAGTTTAGTTTCAAAGACCGGATGGGCTAAAATGGATTTCGTGACTCCATCACTTCCGTTCCACAGTAAAACGAAGAAAATAAAATTTAACATTATAAAAACGAAATAATTCCCACTTGTTCCTTTTTCTGATTCGCAAAGATCTCGCTTGATTTACATCACTTCTTTGCTATTTCCCCTTTAGTATCCCTACGTATATTGCTGTATTGAACTGATAGTTTCCACAACTACACCCTTTTCCACAAAGAACACACACGACCCAGCAATTGGTCACTACCCCCCACCACAATTTTTTTTTTTTTCTGTTGAAGCCTGTTGCCGCCCACAGTTTTTTTTTTCCCCTTATCTTATCTTTTTTGTTGCTACGCTAAACAAGCAACACAAAAAGGTGACGTATATATTCTGATTCACAACCTATTGTACATATAATCAGATCCATAACTAGGCTGCAATAACTATTTGGTGGCTAAAAAGAAACAAACTAGAAAATGTCAATAAACCCGAATCTACAAGCGTTCAGAATAAATTCAAATAGAAACAACAACAATAATAATATCCATAACATTAATAACTCTGACAGCGACAACAACGACCATAAGAATAGTTTTATAAGAATCAGGAACAAGAAAAGCCACAAATCCAGAATGAATTCGAGACAAAATGCTGCAAATTCACCACAGTTGAGCAAACGCCCTATCCAGGCCAATTATGACACCACTTCTAGTATCCTATCCGACTACGAAGACCTAGAATTTGTAGAAGAATCACTGTATGTGTTGTTCAATCCTGTTCAGTCTAATAAAAGAAACGAGTCGGATATTTTGTCGTTGACCAATACGACTAATACACATGCGTATTCATCTGATGCGGAAGAAGATGAAGGGGATGAATCCGAGGATGATTATTCAATCCCAGAGCGAAGAGAGCTTGATGAGGGCAGCACGACCCAATTATACACCCAACAGACAGAAGACCATTTATCGAACAAGATCAATAGTTGGTATAATTCAAATAATGCATTACTTGATGACCAACTACTAATAAGCGACAATGTAGCCAGTTGGAATCTAGACGAGGCGGTAATGGATGAGAATGTGACTATTGATAAGACTAATCCAAAGGATAAAACCATTTTAAAAGCTTTTTATGGGGATGAATTATTCAAATATCTAAATCCGGATGAAATTGCTAGAGTTAAAAAGTTTCATAAGCTAACTGACATAAAAGATTATCTTTTGGACAAGGAGAATGATTCTAGCACTAATTACAATTCACTATTGAATCAAATTCTATACAAGTTATTGTTATTAGACAAGCACAATGACGATGATGAGACCGATATTGCACCAGAACCAGAAACAATTTCCCAATCACCTAGGTTTCTGGGAACAACAGATTATGTAAATCACTTGAAAAGAACCCGAAAAATTGCAATACCTACCTTAGTAGAAGTTGGGACCTTCTCGGAAACTACCAACGGATCTTCTTTAATCATGTGTGGAGGAGAAACAACATCATCATGGAATGAGATATGATTTAATGATAGCTTAAGTATTTTACAGATATGCTGCAACGCTTAAAGGTGAAATTCGCAACCTAAGGCTGTAAACAACGGGTATTGTTCTTAGCACGGCTTAGCAAATATAATTAGCTACTGAATTTTTCTTCTTTCATTGTTCAGATAAGTTGCTTGTCACGTTCATTCACTTTCTAGCATTTTCTAAAAATAGACAATTAGCGAAACTATTTAGCCATAATGATCTCGTACAAATGTAGATTATTATTTTTTGCGAGAAAAAATTAATTTATCACAACCCGCACCCAGAAAAACAAATTAATGTGTAGGTCGACGAAATTAAATCAGATGGGGCCGTAGTGAGGCGAAATGAACCAGCGAACGACCGAATCTTCAGGGCAAAAAAACAAAAAAAAAAACTGACATTTTTGGACAACCAAAGTAAATCTTAGTTTACTTCCAATTCTCTTCGTTTGTCTGTTGACTTAGTACACCGTTTCAATATAAAATATATCAATCATGGGTGGATGTATGTTGTGTTTCCGTTGATGAAAATTAAATCGACTAATTGTTCGTTGTTTGTGACTCATTTACTAACTTTGGAAAAATTTCAGTTCGTCTTCTTGACTTGGTTCAATTCTTCTTGCCAGTGTTACCAGAAATCGAATCCCCAGTAGAAAAGATTGCCTTTGATGAAAAAGTAGTCTATACTGTGGGTGGTGCTTTCATTTTCCTTTTGGGCCAATTGCCTTTATATGGTTTAGTTTCCAATGCTCAATTTGCCATTGTGGATCCATTGTATAACATCAGATCAATCTTTGCTATGGAAAAGGGAACCCTTTTAGAATTAGGATTGTTACCAGTTATCACTGCTGCCTTCATTTGGCAAGTTGCTGCTGGTTTAAGATTAATCAATGCTAACTTGGGTTTAAGATATGACCGTGAATTATTCCAAACTGGTCAAAAATTAACTGCCTTTGCCTTGGCTGTTGTTTACGCTGCTGGGCTTATCTACTCTGGTTATTACGACAATGTTATTCGTGGTTATGACCCATTGAAGGACTCCACTCCAATTGGTTCCTACGTTTTGCTTTTCACCCAAATTGTCAGTTGGTCTTGGTTAGTCACCTTGATGGTTGAAATCTTTGATAAGGGTTACAGTTTTGGCTCTGGTGTTTTGAGTTTCTTAACCTTGCAAGTTGCCACTAATACCGTGGCTGATCTTATTGGTATTGAAGTTTTCAAGGTTTTCAACTCCAACAAGTCTGAAAGTTATGGTGCTTTAATGAACTTGGTTAGAAACTTTTCTCTCTTTAGTCCAAAGAAAAACGCTGCAACTATCTGGCATGCATTCACCCGTATCCAATTACCAAACTTGAATCAATTCTACATTTCTTTGTTAACTATTGGAGGTGTTATTCTTTTACAAAACTACCGTATTGAAATTCCAATTAGATCAACAAAGGTTAGAGGTATGAGCAATGTTTTCCCAATTAGATTGTTATACACTGGTGGATTACCTGTCTTGTTTGCCTTTACTGTTTTGGCTAATGTACAAGTCTTTGGATACTTTTCTACTGTTGTCTTGTCAAAATTGGGTGCCCCACAATTGTTAGTATCCTTATTGGGTAAATTCGAATTAAACCCAACCTCAAACAACTTGAACTTAAAGACTGGTATTTTATTCTACTTGTCAAACTCCACTTCCTTACTCCAAACCTTATTGTCTCCAATCAAGACCGTTGTATACGCATTCTCCATTGTTGTTTTATCAGTTTGGTTTGCTAACAAATGGAGTTACATTTCTGGTTCTTCTCCAAAAGATATTGCTAAGCAATTCAAAGACCAAGGTATTTCCATTTCCGGAAAGAGAGATATCTCCATTGCAAAGGAATTAGCCCGTGTTATTCCGGTTGCTTCCGTCAGTGGTGCTTTCCTCTTAGCTGGTTTGGCCGTTGCTGGTGAGTTATTGGGTGGATTAGGTAAGGGTGTAGCCACTGTTGTTGGTGTCTCCTCTGCTTTTGGTGTCTTGGAAGAATTCATGTTGGAATACCAACAAAGTGGTGGTTCTCAATTCACCAGTGCCCTTTCTGGTTTACAATAGTTGAGAATACCCCAATTGGCAACCAAAAAAAGAAAAACGTTTCGACGTGATATTTTGATACATTTTAATTTTTTTTTTGCACATTTAATTTTGTATACAGTAAAAACCATGAGATTAATATACATTGTACTAGTAAAGTATTAATAAAAAGTATGTAGACATGGACCTCACAGCTTAAAAAAAAATTTCATTACAAATGAAATAAATTCAAAAAAATAATGACTCCGACGCGGTTCGAACGCGTGCATCTTTACGATAGTAGAACTTGAGTCTACCGCCTTAACCACTCGGCCACAGAGCCCTTTTGGATGATGGTGTTAAATCATCCTTTTAGTCTTTCATTGTATAGTTAATAGTCCTAAGACAAATACGGCAAGACTTTATTATCTATTTCGTAAACTAACTAAGTGAGAATCCTTCTACAAAATCAAAGTGACTTTGTGAGAAAAGTTCAACTATTTAAATATTATTATTTTGTCTAGCTTTACGTCCATAGCCTACCTAACCACTTTGCGTTTTCACGACACTCTAATACTTCGTCTATCCTTTATTCAATAATTATTGTGGTATACTATATGTCCTTAGGTGACATTTCTTATCTTACTCTCGTATGATGTCGTGCACGGTTATATTACACCGAATAAACCTCCGACATTCTGTGGTATCTTTGTAATTAATAGTTACCACTTCGTATCTGCATTAAGTCTAAATCTGCAAATGTGGGATGATGTCATTCGTAACAGATTTAATGTCAATCCGTTAGAATTAAATGTAATCATTGAAGTTTGTAAGTTACATCAAAACGGCGAATCCTTTAACAATTACCGTCAAGCTTTCTTTGACATTTTAAGCAATTACACCCGAAAAGCAATTGATAAATGTGAAAATTTCCTTATTGACTTATTTAAAAAAAATGCTAATGTGGAATATTTGATCCTCCTTACTCGAGTTACTTCCTACCGAGAATTAAGAAAAGTAGAAGAAAGACCAGAGATTGAGAGGTTGATTAGATCAAACTATAATAAAACCTATAACAGCAGAAACATTCAACGATCCTCTTGGAATGGCAACCAGTACAACTAGTTTAATTCCAAGAAATCCTCGAAAGCTTCCAAATGTTATAGGCGTTGAAGAGAACCTAGAATCCTGAGCGATAACTTTCTACACAATTTCATCTTTGATTTTGCACATATTCAAATGTTCATGTTCAATACTCAAACAGTTCATAACTCCAACAGTTTGTTTTGAGATTTAATCACGTAAACACAAAAAAATATAGAGACTACCAAACTATAAGTTTTTCAACCACAACTGGACTGTTGTTTTTTTTTCAAAAGTGGTAAATATACTTCAGATGATACCAGGATGTGTTTTAGAATAAGTTTAATCAAAATGAAAATGGCAGGTATCTGAAACAGTTGCAAAAAAGTTTCCAAAAAAAAAAGTCTCTTAAGCAAGCTCACATGAGCATTTCTGAATTAATTGAAAATCAAGAAAGTACAAGATTTAGGTGTGTAGATTGTTATAATTATCAAAAGAATTGTCATGATTCTGTACTAATTATCGATCTCCTAGAACTTAAATATCTTTTAAAAGAACATAGAATACTCAAAAAAAAACCCCATATGACTTACTTCCAGTTCATTGAAGAATTCATGGAGTTTAAGCTTCGACTCAGAGCCAGTGATTCCTTTTGGAACTCAATCTTCAATTTGTTTCTTTTTATTTGAATCTACTCTTTTGTTCATCAAGCTGCTAGGTTTATTTAAAGTTAAAAAGAGTAGATTCAAATATTAATATTAATTAAGTTGTGTTAAATACTTTATACATAATTTAAATAGCCATGATATTGTCCTCGTCAAAAAAATCTATAAGAGCCTTGTCAATCCAATCACACCCAGTGTCCGACATTGGTGACATTTGTCCCATTTGCAACCCATCCAAACCACCATTGTAATCCACACTATCAGCAGTTGTACTATCAAACGAGTTCAAGTAATAAGGTGAATAGTTGGTTACTACCGGTTGTTGTTGAGGTTCGTAAGCTTGTGTATTTGTATAAGTTGTACCTGGAGTGGTATCATTAGATATTATGTGCTGTGCGTTTGTCAGGTTGAGGGCAGAAGGTTGTGAGCTCGACGAGTCAGCTATAGTCATTTGTTCCATACCCACTTCAATTTGAGGTAGGAAGTCCTTTAATTTGGAGTACAATTTAGGTCTTAAGGTAGTGAGAGATTCTCGGATATGTTTGGCTAATTTTCCGGATAAGGTCCAATGTCTTGAAATAGGATAGATAGCAGTTAATGATAACTTGATATATTCAGTAAAAATTTCCAAATCGCTTTCATTCAAATCAAAATTACGAGTGGAATCATTGGCCAATGTGGTTTCTACCCAAATATATGCACTAAGGTGGACCAACGAAGACAATGCTAACCCACAAGCAAATAAAGGTGTTCGATCAAGAACTTTTGAAGCATTGGTATCAATCAAGACTTCAACAATTGAATTGGCAGCTTCAATGGTTTTCTTAGTTTCAATATTAGTACGGGCATCTGCTTTCATGGTTGTTTGGACATCCTTGGCTTCAAGAACTTCTTCATTACATTTAGGGTTTTGTGGGGAATTAATTTTCCAAAGGTATGAGAATGGACGATGGGCAAATATTTTGGCATAGTTGTACAACAAGATAGATTGGTGGACACCTTCATTTACACTTCCATTTTTGTGAATTAAAGGAGGAGATCCAAAAAGTTTAGGATCTTCCAATTTCATTTCCCAACTTGACAAAGATGCCTTTAGTTTAGTGAGGGTAGCTTCGTATGGTTTCTTTTCAATTAATTCCACATTCATCTTAACTGCTTGCGTTACTAACTTTCCTGCCTCTGCTCTGCCTTTATAGTCAAACTCTTGTTGCGAGGGTTTAGTTGGGTAATTTATATCGAGCTCAAGGGCATCCAAACTAGAGATTGACTTACCATCGGCTGAACCAATAATTATATCAAAGAAATATAATTCCCAAAATAATCTTCTGGCACTGTCGGCGACACTAGCAGCAGCCACATGTGATAACCTAGGAGACTGCAAAACATTTACTGACTGTCCGGGGCTGCCAGCACTGGCAATTGAAGAAGTTGGAGTCAAGGCATCCGTGGTAGGATTTATAAACTCGTGCTTGTCAAGGGTATTAATTTTCATATCTTCGATTAAATGAATGCAAAAATGTCTTAATTTCTTGCTGAATACATGGAACGATGAAACATGAGCAACGATAGCAACAAGGAGCAATGCTTGGATGGAAACAACATCAAGTTGATTATTCTGTTTGACAATATTTACACATTGGATCAATCTATCCGATATCAAATCAACCTGTTTAGCATACATGCTTGTGGTTTGACCATCTCCGATAATCTTAAGGATTGGCAAAAGTTCCTTTTCAACGTTAGAATTTGCTAAATAGATCATCAATTCTTCCTTAGGAGGTAATAAAGGATGGGCCAGATGGAATCTACCATAGTAATTTTTAAGAATTTCACCTTTATCAAACAGGGTAGGATCCATAAAGTTGTCAAAATTGTGCACTTTTAGTGTCATTTCCAACTGTTGGAATGTTTTAACATCTTTTATAAGCTCTCTTCCAGCAAATAAACAGTCAAGATTACCTAAAGTATGGTCCAATTTAATCTTCTTTCTGAGGTTTTCTACCATGTGTGCTTCTGCATCAGACAAAGGAGCATTCTCTCGGTTATCAAAGTATGCCACAGCACTTTTACCAGGACAATCCAGGTTTTCACAACGGCCATGATCAAGCGCACATGGAAGCTTAAATATTTCTTTGACCATATCTTGATTATTCCTTATATTGTCCACACGAGCTTGCAAAGGCGCAAGAGGGTCTGAAATATCAGCAGGAGTTTCTTCACGAGGTCTTTTAACAGAGGGGAAATCTTCGATTTCTGCCACATACATGGGCAACTTAGGACCTTGATTTATATCATTTACACCTATGACTTGAGCCTTTTTGGATACTCCCTTTTTCCTGGAGCCACCTCTGTGACTCTCAACATATGTACATTCTTTATTAGACTTTATGCACCTGTCACATCGTGGTACTTTACCATCACATTTGAAATGTCGTTTACGACACTCAAGACAAGCCTTGCTAACATGCTTCCTTGGCTTAGCGCTAGCCACCTTTACTCTCTTAGGCAGTTCCATTATGGTGTGATATTGGTTATGTGTAATGTTTAATAGCAAAAATAATTGAGTTATACAACAATATTGAAAAAAAACTTCAAACACACAACACTTTGTAAAGAAAAACACCAATTAATTTTCAAAAAAAAAGTTAACCAGTATTCGTTATTTCACTTATATGAAGTTGTTAAATTTTGCAGAAGTTAAATTTTCTGCATTCAGTCCGTGGGGGTCGGTTATTTTATTCGATCGGGTTCGTTTACTCAACGTATTTGTGGGGTTTTTTTAATTTATAATTCTTGGTTGGGTTATATTATATCATCTACAGGGTTCCTAACAAAAAACAATATCTGGCGCTTTTGTTACTTAAGTATTGACTTTGATAGTTGTGTCACTGCTATGACAGATTTGTTAACTATGTAGGAAAAAAAAAAAACCAATTGTATGTTTATCACGGGCTTTGAAAAAATGGAGTGTCTGCAGGAACAAAATATTATGGGTCATTCAAACCCCGAACAATTTACATTATGGGAAAGATGGAATTCTACTCCCAATTAGAATCCAGACCGAAAGTGGTAATTACTAAGGTAATTTATTAATTCGATGCATTTACGTAATTTCATCATTATCTGTGTCAACTTTCAAGCAAAAGGGGTAACTTTATTTTGCTCTACAATGAAATCGGGGAAATTCAATTAGCACAAACCACATATTACTTTGTGCTATAATTGATGAACGAGTTCGAAAGATTAAATAGCTCGTTTTGACAATGCAATAATCGAATGAGCCACGATAAAGAAGCTTCTGATTCATTTCATTCGAGTGTTCTAGTTAATTTGCAACTTTCTTTTTTGCCCCGCGCATGGGCCGATCGTTTTGGTCCGAAGGCCCGACTGTGTAATAATGTTTATTAGTGTTACGGCATGACCTCGCCCTCATTTGGTAAGTGAACATATCCTGGCCTAGCAATGGCTCATTCTGCAAAAGCAGCCTACTCGGGAGCCACAACCTGTATTATTTCGTAAAAAAGTCCTTTTCATGAATTTCCAAGCGAACACTGAATATAAGAACTGAAACGTAAACACCACATAATCTAAACGTTTCATGCTTGCTATTGACATATTTTAGAACTTTCAGATCTGTCTATAAATCACCCTATTATTCCAGGATTATAGATCCTTCTACCTGGGGGTGTTAGTGCCTTTAAAATACTTTAGTGCTTTTCAAAGCCACAACGTCGTTTCAATTATAGTCACGTGCCAACAAAAAAACCCATTATCTACAATTTACGAAGCAATGACCCACTTTGTTTTGATACATATATATATAGATAAAGCATACAAAGCATACAGCCATGTCAGTAATTGAAGATAGCATACAACCACCTCCTTACAAGATCGTACTATTGGGAGAATCATCAGTGGGGAAAACCTCCCTTGTCCACAGATTTACATCCAATACTTTTGATGTCCATATCGCAAACACTATAGGAGCAGCATTCATAACAAAATTATACACATCGCATTCTGATGCCAATCGGAAAGTCAAGTTCGAAATCTGGGATACTGCGGGGCAAGAGCGATATCGGTCATTGACTCCCATGTACTATAGAAACGCCAAAGTGGCGTTGATCTGCATTGATTTAAGCAACTTTGAATCTACGTTTCATACTGCAAAATATTGGATTCAACAATTGGAATTGAATAATAGCAGTAATGCCGATGACAAACCAATAGAAATACACTTGATTGGAACTAAGTATGACTTAGTTCAACTGCAAACTACACCCAAAATTTCCCAGGAGGACATAGAAACTAAGGTGAATGAATTAATAGAAAGTCATGGTAATATTGTCAAGTTCCATACAACTAGTTCAAAGGAAGGTACCGGAATCGTCGAATTATTTGAAGATATAGTAGTAGCTATAGATGATGATTTCTTCAAATCGTACTACGACAAGGCACAATCAGAGACGGATGTCCAAGGTGGTCCTATAGGCTCAATATTAAATGCAAGGCATGCAGCAACGTCAGGATGTTGTTAATTAATCTAGATACAATTTAATAATACACATTAATCTACATATCAAGACCCTTTTGTCTCCAATAGTCTCTTCTAATTTCCTTATCAAGATTAGATTTTGACCGCTTGATCTCAACGGCATCATCCTCTTCTGGCTCTTTTGGTTCATACTTGTCGTCGTTCTCGGTGTCTTCAAGACTTAAAAACGACTCAACAAGCTTCTTAGTATCCTTGGCTTTGTTGGTTACTGGAGTAGGTTCTTTGGGAATATATTTTGCATCCAAATCAGTATCACTTTCAACAGTCATATCGGAAAAATAGTATTTGTCGTTTCCTTCTAAACCATCGCTTTCTTCGTCTTCCTCCTCACTTTCGTGGTTAACTAATGCAGTATTAACAACTTTATGTCTATCATCATTAAAGTCTCTTTCTTTACCTTTAAATCGGATAATATCTCCCAAGATCAGCTGGCCCAATCTGTCCTTATAAGAAGCTCCATTCAACTCGTAACACTTTTCAACAAGAAGTTGATAAGCTCCTCCAAATGCCTTCTTTAAATCTCGTAGGTTATACGAGGATCTTGTAATGTTGTTTCTTGGATCTGCTGGGTCTTGAATAACAATGGAGAAGGTACTTCTGGCAGTGTTGAGAACTGCATTGGTTCCTTTAGTCAAGTAACGTGGTTCTTCTGTGTTTGGATCTAACGATATTATCAAGTTATCATATGAGAAATTCCGTCCGTATAATTCAAAGAATTCAATCAATAACACTCCCAAATTGTCCAATATATCAATTGATCCTGTGGATACTTTTGGGTGCAATCTTAAAAAGTGGTAACACATAATAATAGTGGCATATCCACCCAAACCACCCACATGAACATTATTCAATCTTCTTGATCTAAGGAATTGTTTTACTATAAGCACCAATTCCCGTAAACCTGGTGTTGTTATTAGCCATTTACGGATTCTTTTGGCAGCATCTATACCATTTGTTCTTTCAAACGAAACATCTATATGAATCTCAGATTCTGGGTCCACAAATTTGATAATTGGGACCTTGGCATTGGCGATGACTTCCACGTTCTTGGCCAATTTCTTACTTCTTAAAAACGACGAAAGTTGGTATAATCTCGACCTGTTCTCATAATCACCGGTTTCTGAAATAACAACCATATCTATATCAGAACCAGGTAAGTATAAGTCAGTGGCACAGGATCCAAACACATGTGCTTCGGTGCCAGGCCAAAATTTCGCAATTTGTGTCTTGAGTCTATTAACCACGGTGTTTCTAGTTACGATTTCATCACTGGAAGGTGACACGTAATCCACAAAGTCTTTGATTTCCATAGTTAGCCAATCGGCAATCTCCTTCTGGGTAGAGTGATCGTGGTCTTTGATCCAAGGGTATAGGGATTTTTTAGGACCGTCTATAATTATGCCTTGCTCGTCGGCGCTTAGTACTCCATCGTCAGAAAGGTCGTCAAAATTGTCTTCTGCCTCGTCTGAAGAAGACAGGAAACCAAACCCTATGAAATCTTCATTGTTTGTCAATTCATTTCCTTCAACTTTTCTTTTCTTTTGGGGAGGTTCAGTGCTTGCATCTGTGTTTTCTTTGTTATCTGTATCAGATATCACCACTATATCGCTCTTTCCCTCCTCTTCCTCGTCACTATCTACAAGTACTATTTCGCTTTCTTTCGATCCTTCTCTCAGAAAATCAAATATAACACTCGAGTCAGAGTCTTCCTCATCCCCATCATGATTACCATTGAGGTTTGCCAATTTTTCAAACTTGTTGTGCCCAGGGGTTAAACTGTTCTGTAGCGTTTTTAATTGCTTCTTTTTTTGTTTCTTAGACTTGGGCTTTATCCCAGACACTTCCCTCTTTCTCTTTGACCCCATGCTTTCTATAAAAATTTCCCGGTATATATTAAAGAACTATATAACCTTTCTGTTTACTAAGTTTCTTTTTTTTTTTTTTTTTTTTTTTGGAAGTCAAAAAAAACGGCGATGGTTGCACGCGCGCAGACGTCTAAAAATAATCACGTGAGCTTTCAAATTTGAGATAATAAGCAAGAAGAATTGAAACTGCTATTGAGGTTATCACAAATAACACTGTCTTTAAAAGGGTGTAGTTTTCAATGTATAACTCAATTGCAACCAAAAAGAAAACCACAACTTTAAGGATAGAATTAACGAGCTTGGCTGAATTATATGAAATATATTCCAAGACTATCAATTCAAACCCGTATAGTACAATGGCTGCCAAAACATTGTGAATAGAACTACTGCTAGTAGGTGCATCCGGCTCTGTTTTATTTAGGTTTACGCCTTCAAACTCATCAAGTTCTCGGACTCCCTCAAGCAAGTTTAGGTGTTCGGATTTATGTTCCTCCTCAAAGGCTTCATCTTCCTCTTCATCCTCATCAAGAACTGGTTCATCCATGATAGTACCAGACAGAACACGAACTAAACTACCAGCTGCACTACTTTTCCTATTCATGAGCTCTTCACCGCTAACAACAACTTCTTCTTCCTCATAATGTTTAATAAATCTTTCTCTCTTCATGTTTTCTAAGAATTCCAATACCTCCTTGGATATAGCTCTGGATGTAGATTGGTTTCCAGAACCTTCCCCTTTTATCATCATGTACACCAACTTTTGGAAATCCAACATAGTATCGTCAAAACTATCCCTCAATTCAAGAGCATTCGTGGTAAACCACTCTTGAAACAATTCATATGTTAACTCATCGTACCAACTTATGATCTTATTTCTGATTTCTTGAGGATCCGTTTCACCTTTAATTACATCAGAAAATGGCAATTTACCCACACATAAATACAACAAGATCAATCCTAACGAATAAATATCACTTTCATAGGTGAAATCATTGAAAAATGTTTTATTATCTTCTCCCAAGATGGGGTCATTGGAGTATAGCCAAAGTTCTGGAGCAGTGAATTCAAGGGTTCCAGTATTACCACGTCTTTCATTAAACTGGTCTTCTATCACAACATTATGTTTCTTGTCTATAAACTTTCCTTCTCCAAAGTCAGATACCAACACTCTAGGTAGGTCAAGTACTCCATTTTCAAATTCCTCCAAATTAAGAAACTGGTTTTCTTCAGGGGAATCTTCCCTTGCAATATACTCCACGTCTAAAAGACAATTTGAAGGTTTAAGATCACGATGGAGAATACCATGAACATGCAAATAATGAACTCCTTTAGCAACATCGTGGAAAAACTTCCAAATCTCGAAGTTGCTTAACCATTTCTTCTTCTTAGTTTCTTCCTGTTTATTTCCCGAGCTGCTTCTTCTTAAACGTCGCTTCATTCTCTCCAAATCAATCTTTTCTTTCCAAGTAAGATTTTCTTCTCTTCTAAAGTGTTTAGATATCAAATCCTCAAGATGTCCACCGTCGCAATACTGTTGCAATATAAAAACATAGGGAATTCGATTCTTGACTTTCTCTCCCACGCCTGAAGGTGGAAGGAAATAAGAAGACAGATCTTCGAGATCTCCCAATTCCAACCAAACGTGATTATAACGAATTAAATTATTCTCATTTGCACCTTTCACTGATAACTCATACAAGATCAAAACTTCATTCAAAACTTGTTCTAAATGTTCAAACTTGTCACCTATGCTAATCCTCTTGACGGCATATGTCCCCAATTTGATATCGTTCAAAACATGATCTACTTTATACACTTGTGCATGAGCACCTGATCCCAAAACAAAAGGTTCTACCCGTTTAAAAAATCGCTTGAAATAGCCCTGGTTGAATATACCTTCTGGAAGAGAGCTTCTTGCGTGGTTATTAACGTGGTTGTTGGTGTTTTCGTGGTTGGTATTGTTGCTTACATAGGGCAATTGACCCAATAGTTTGAAATAATCGTTTCGAACAAACCCTTGGGCAAAATCTCTTGGCAAATTTATATCAGGGAGCGAAAAGTTGAAGGGGGTGACGGAACTTCGTGAATTTCTCCTGGGTGTATCCTCAGGGTATTCTGACCAAGTGAACCCACAGTTCGGACACTTGGTTGATTTCTCACCGGAGTAATGACCATATTGCTGGTTTGTGAATGTCAGAGAAGGTTGTGGGGGGCGGGTTCTTGATTTGTCTCGCGAGGAACGTGTTGACACCAACAGGATGCTGTTTTCTTGATTGTCATGCACCACTAGAATTCCATGGTTCGGATCATGGAATAAAATGTCCAGATTTGAATTGTATGGTATTATAGACATTAATCAGTCAATGCCAGCAACTTGATTCGATTTGTATTGGATTCAATTTCACCTTGTTAGAGACAGACTGTTATATTTTGTGGAGAGAGAGAGAGAGAGAGCAAAAGCGAAATTTACGATTTGCATACGCGCGCAATTAATTAAACAATCATTAAAATCTCATTAAATCTATGTACGTTTTTTTATACAAACTTCATCTGGAATTTCTCAAACGAAGCATTAACCCAAGCAATTGGGTTTCTATGTCATATTTCTTTTGAACAGAAAGGTTCAGTATTTCCTCATCAGAAATATCTTGTAACTGTCCAATCAAACTGGATATCACATTTTCTTTGTTTTGCAAAACAGTATCTTGACTGTTTTCAATAATCGCAATTTCCGTACTGGAAACTGAACTAACCTGCTCTTGGATCGCGTCAACATTGTTAGACTCTTCGACAACCTTGCTAATCGAGGAAAATTCATCATCATCATCATCATCAGCAGCAGCAGCGGGAATAACATGGCTACTAACAACAACCGTGGAATCATTTTGAAGCTCAGACACTGTCAGTATCTCAGTCAGAACTAAGTCATTCATTGGTAAATCAGCAACAGAACCCTTTTCTACTAAACTTACTTCTCTGGTAGATAAAGTCTCACAAGATTCTTGAGATACGAAAGTGTCAGGTTCACGTACTTTCTCAGAGTCAAGGTCCAAGCTAGGTGTAGAGAAAAGAACCTTTTCAGCACTATTCTCAGCGTCAACTAATGTGATAGACTCTTCATTGGAAGATATAAAAACCGTTTCTGAGTGACCATTAGACAATTGCGGTTCAACACCCGCACCGTCATCATTTTGCTCTGACAACCTACTTTTCTTGTTTATCTCGACATATTCCCCATCAAGCTTCCTTTTCCTTTCCGGCACATCATTTGAGCTGATTATTGAGTCAAGAGAAACTTTTGGTACAGGCTCATTGAAGGAAATTTCCGAATTTGACTTATTCACTTCTTCAACTGCATCTTTACTTGTCTTTGAATCTAGCTTAGCATTCACCAAGGCAGTAAATGCATGTACATCAAAATTCAGTTCCTTGGAATCAATAAAACTGGAATCCTCACTAGCAGGTGCCTCAGATATAGATACACTATCCGAGTCAATCTCTTTCTTAGCCCTTGTAGATTTCTTCTTTCTACCTTTACCTTTACCTTTGATTTTCTCCTTCTTCTTTGATCTAGTTCCCTGAGAAACTTTCACATCTTCATCGGGTATGATTATTATCACATCAGGAGTTTCTTCCTTTTCATTGGAGACAACTACATTAGTCTTCTCAAGATCTAATGTCTTCTTTCTTTCTGAATCTGATGCTGGTACTATCAGGCAATCTGAAACTTCGACATCAAGTTCTTCTTTTTTAGAGACATTTCCAGTTGAAGGAATAGAATCTGAAATCTCAACTACAACTTCCGATTCATTGGTGGAGATTTCTGTGGTATTTTCATCAACAGCCATTCTAGAAATTTCACCAGCTTCTGCAATTACCTGTTCCTTCAACACTTGCTTGGGCTCGTCTTCATTATTTGCAACCAAACTCTCCTTAACAGGTTCGACAACTGCTTCTAACTGCTCCGTATCTTCAGCCCAAATTACACTATGTTCATTTACGTCAACATCTAATACCGGCTGTACAGTATTCTTTCGAACTGGATCAATAAGCGTGTCAGAGTCTTGATTCACTCTCGTAAGCTCTCCATTGGTGCATGTCACACCTCTTTTACTGAATTCCTCGGCCAACAATGGGAAGTTTGTCAAATCAAGAGTCAAATATCTGGCGATATCCATGTTCAATTCGGTGTAACAAGATAACATAAGCTCATCAAGCAATGCAACATTTGGTTCAAGATCTTTAGATTTTACTAACAAATAATTATGCAAAGCTTGTACAGCATATGGTTGCACAGATTCTGCAGCTGATACAACCGCTTTCACAATCTGAGCAACAAGGGCACCTATTTCAATATCAAAATTTTGCTCAGTTAAAAACTGAACCATAATAGGCAATGCATCCTGATCTTTTAGTTGCTTCTCCAAGACCGAGATAGTATATTGTTGAACATGTACATTTGGCGCACCCTTTACGAGCAAAAGAAAGTACATCCTAATATCAATGGTCCATGAATCAAATTTGATGTAGCTCAAGCAGCGTTTCAATTCTTCACTGTCACTAAGGGATACAATGCTTTGGATTAATTTCTTCACAAATATATCGAATCCAGAATGGAAGTTCCCACAAACTTCATTATATAGACCTAGTTCCAGTTCTGTTGTTTCCACCTTTCTCTTATTTAACACATCGATAAACATGTTTCTCACCCCGTCATTTAATTCAAGTTTGCAGAGATCAGCAATAAATATAAGCACTTTCTGACTAGTAAGTGATTGGATAATCAAGCTGAATAATTCCATTGATTCTTCATTAGTCAATCTAGGCAAGCAGTTTTGGAACAATGAAAGGTAAACATTTGTGCTTATTTCTCCATTTTCATACCTTGTTCTGTTAACCAATAATGATGGATCAAATGTATCATGCAAATTAAGCACTAATTTTAAAGCCAAATCGTATGTAAACTTGTTACTTTCAAACAAAACACCTAGCACGACTGGAATGTTATCAATAATATCATATGTTGCTGCAGATACACTCACTTCATTTTTGGTAATCAGTCGTATACTTGCTAAAAAGGCATTAAAGAAATTCACCTTCTGTTCAATGTACAAGTTGTCCAGTTGGAAAACATGTACCATATTGTGCATAATCCGATCAAATTTGGCATGAACCCATCTTGGAGGCAAGGAATTGATTTCAGTTAACAAAACAGGATCAGTTGATAAACACCTCACTTCATTAAAGTTTCTTTCGTTTATTGGAGTTGCTGGTCTTAAAAGACGAGTTAAAATTTTCAACCCAAGTTGATTCATATGCGGTGTTGATGTACCTTTTTTGAAGTAAAAATTAAGAAATACAACTTGAATAATCTTATCCCAATAAATATGCATATACTTGGTTGACAGCTTCATAATTTGAGGATTGATAATTAAATACAAGATGCAAATAAACAAATTATGCATTGCATCAACCACTTCATTCTGAACTTCAGCAGCATTAAAACTGGCAAATAAATAAGTCAATAATCTTGCCTTTGATTTTAATGCTACGCTGATAGCCTGAGGTCTTTCCTTTAAATTAGGTATTTTGAATATAGGGTCCAATGCCCTCTTCATATCATTAAGTTCATTCCGGCATACATTGAAAGCAATAGCTTTCCAGCTACCCAACACCAATAGCCTAGCATTTTCATCTTGAGAATTGAAGCAGTATTTTGGAATTTGCAACCATTTATTTAAATATTCCCATTTGTCAAACGAGGATTCTCCATCTGCTACGAGTAATGTAAATGCTAACCACATATCCATCACACATTTATATTGTCTTGAGAGAATCAACTCTTCAAGTTTTTTTGTTATCATATCAATAGTCTTCAAATTTGAAGGTTCAGTTTGTCCTTCGGAACTAGGATTGAAATTGGCAGGTAAGTCAGAAGATAAAAATTGTCTAACAAATAACAGCACATTTTTATTATCCAAAAAAGTTTTTGCAACCACCAAAAGACAATTGATGCCAACACCCAAACATTTTAAGTAAAATGGAGAAGTCACATCAAAAATATTCCAAATCAAAAATCCAAACCAATGAGCTACATTCTTAGCCATGATAATTGGAAAATTTAATACAAAGTTCTTGAAACAAAGGAACTTTTCTGTGACAATCGAAGCACTTAAAAATGGCTTCATATTAATCAAACTGTACAACATATTCTCAGGTATATCACTATTATCAAAAACTAGTCTTTTCTTTTTCACACTGAATTTACAGTCTTTGATAATAAGTAAATATGGAGACACGATTGCTTTTGATGTCTGTGGATGTCTCAACATCATACAGGCATGACGATAAAACCAAGAAATGTCGTCAACTGGTAAAAAATTATTGAGATCTTGATCCAGCATGAAAAAGTTGACAAGCTTTAATGCTTGATTGATTATCCGTATTCTAAATGGGTCATTCTTGGATGGCGAAACGTTTTCCTTATCTATATCAGAATCGAAGAGCTGATTTTCTGTAGATTCAATATCCTTTCTAATTTGAGATGCTAACCGTACCACCGTACTGCTTTCTTGAACCGATTTTGGGGAAACCTTACTAGGAGTTGTCAACCCACTGGGAGTACTTGCAAATAACCTGACTAAAGTTTCTCGCGGATTGGATTTGCAGATTCCATTCAATGTGGCATACACTTCAAACCTCCTCTTAAATGCGTGGTCTCCTAAAACATCAAGACAACCCTCGATCAAGTATGCTAATTCGGATGAGTTAGGTTGTAACTGAATAATTGTACCTTGTAGCCAAAATGATGGATTTTTAGGGCCATATGCTTTCTGTTCCGAGCTCTTTTCCCATAATGCGGTGTTGTTTGGATCTACTGGGCTTGAATTTGAGTTGATGTTGTAATATTTGAGAATGGGACGCGAAGGAGTAGGCACCTTCTCTGGAGTAACTGGGAGATCAGAAAATAATTCGTCTGAAAATGCAACACATTTCTTCTTCTTAATTGGCGATGATGAAGTCAAATTCACAATTTCTGGAGATGGTGGCGTAGAATAATCCTGATTTCGTTTAATAGGAGATGAGTCGAGATCTATAGGACTATCTCTTCCCTTGTAATGTAATACTGGAATCTTCGCTGGGGTGCTGGTGCTAGCATCTTTCTTTCTGGAGGACGACGAAAGGTCCTTATTCCTTTTCTTCGAGTTCCTGACTTTTCGTATTGGGGAAATAAGTTCTATATTCCTTTTAGATGCTGCAGATCGCGTCTTGGACGCAACCGGACTTTTGTTGTTTGGGATAGCCATTTTGAATAATTTGTTATGCAACCACTAACACAAATAATTAGACCAGCAAGGCTTTGTGTATTATTGGAGACGAAAGAGCAAAAAAAAGATATGACTAGCGGTCTCTAAGGTATACTAAACTGGTAAGTGCCTTTTGGTAGTAGGAAGATCTAACTCAATTGCTTCAAAGAATAGGTGGTTCAAATTGCATTTGCAAACTTACCGTCTAAAGTTCTTTCCAAAAAAATTGTTGCAACGCGCGTCGCACATCGCGGTACACCAATTTATTTTTAGCGCGACCAAAGGAGATGCCTAGCGAGTGTTATACAATGACAAAATTAGTGTGAATGCTATTAATGTTTTTTTCATTACCGCTCTACTGAAACTATCTATACACCTAAGTCTTTACTCTCTTTGGTACGTTATCACTCTCATCAGTTTCCAAGGGACGTTTGGCCCTATCCAGTTCCTTTTCAACTTCTCCATTAGTTGCTGGCTCACTTTGCAACATTTCAGGTCTCAAGATTTCTCCAAATTTCAACCAATTACTTGATCTCTCTTTGCGCAAACATTTCCAAAGAAGGATAGACCTTTCTTCTAACATTTCCTTTCTCTCAGGACTATCCTCACATTCTGCGATTGAATCACTCAATTGTTCAACTTTTGCTTTACTGAAAACGGAATCAAACTTTGTTAAAGAATGCAACCTTCCAATGCCTCGTTCAACTCTCATTCTTCGAGTCAATTGAGGTGTAACATAACTATTAAAGTATTTCTTACTTTTATAAGGGAAAAGCTTTGTCCTATCTTCTTCTACTTTATCAAGCTCTTCTTGATCCAATATTCTGTCGTAAAAGTATGATTTATTGGTATTAGGGTCCTTTCCATAAATCAACCAACCCCACCAAGCTCTCTCTGATAGAAGGAGATGCAGCAATACAAATGACAATTGCCCATCTATAGACTTTAACGAAGCAAAAAGATCCCTTTTAATTTTCCACAATGCGGTTCTATTGCTCTCAGAAATAAATTCATCAGTTAGATGTTTTACGTGTGTGGGAGCTCCCAATGAAGCCATAAAGTCTGCCTTATTACGAGGTGCTAGCTCAATAAGAAAACTAACAACGAAAAGTATTTGAACAAGATATTGTAGTCTTACCTTTGAAGTCTCAAATTGTTTATCAAGAAATTCACGATCTTCAACTTGAAGTTTTTCATGTTCTTTGCGATCTTTGTATCCAAAGCTTGACATCAAATAAGTTTCAGGAACATAGAATAAATCTGAGTATTTCTCACTCAAATATTGTTGCTCCTCTTCCGATTTTGGCTCTGGAATTTGATATTGATCAGTCTGACCCACACTGGCCGCGTAATCAAGCTCTTCCCCCGTTAAATATTTGCATATACCAACCATTCGATCTGCCATAGTAGACAATTCTTTTGTGTTGGCCTTTTTTGCAAAATAATAAGGATCATTGAAAATTTTGTTCACAGAAATTATATCCTCCAAAAACTTATTCCTCGAAGGAAGTTCAGGGGCCTGTCTATCAGCAGTATGAAAATATTTGTTTAAACCAGTATTATCTTCAAATGCGAACGTATTAGTAACAAACACTCTAACACGATATTGGAATCTATCATTAAATGTATCCTTTTTATAGGAATTTCTTTTCCCAGCTGAATCTTTCCTTGTCAATCGATCAGTTAAGTAATTACATATTTCCAACACAGCAATTCTATCACCTATAGAGCCTCTATCAAAGATTTTCGTTTGGAAAAGTAGCTCTCTAGTTTCTAAATATGACCAGAAATATTCGATTTCTGCGGTACCCACTGAAACCAAAAACTTCAGTATTTGGGATAAACTGTTGTAGTAAATATACTTGGTATGAGTATAGACATCAGTGAAAAGCTCAATTTCAAAGTCTAGCAATATTGCTAGTTTATTGTAAAAGTTTGATTTGTCCAAGTCATTATTTATTTCGGCATACGTTCCAAGAATGCCATTGATTGTAGATTGGAATGATGTGGATATAACAAACTCTTTTGATTTCAGATCTAAACTTTCATTAAATTCATTTATTTTAGCTTTATCTTCTTCTGATATTTCTTGATCCACTTCCAATTTGTAATCAAATTGAGCTTCATCTAGTGTTGTTTGAATCTTTTTGGCATCTTCACTGAACAATATATCATCTACTTGTTCAAAGATGTAATTCTTATCAGTGTCGTCAGTAATTCTTGAAACGACATGATCAATAATGGCACAGATTGAATCTATCGGTATTTGCAATTTACTACTCATTGTATTTACTTAAACTGTACAAAGAATGTTTGCTAAACGTCATACTATGATATAGTGTAAGAAACAAAAAAAACAAACAAAAAAAAAGAGACAAACTGGACAACCAAAAAATTTCGTGATTCAGACCAATTACTATATACACAATCTAAAAGTATGACATACATCAACTTACAAATCAAAGCTCTTAGATCGACTCTTCTTTTTCTCTGAAAGAATCTTCTTTTCAACTTTACGACGTTCCTTAGCTGCTTGTTCTAGTTTCTCCCATTTCTGTTTGGCTTGTTCACTAACCTCACCAGGGAAATAAACCTTTGATTTAATCTCTTCTAACAACTTTTTAAAACATTCACTCGTATTGGCATCTCTACTGCGAAATACATCACTCTGTATCAATAGACCTCCTCCCTTGGTTTCATACCTGATCTTGTTTTCCTTCAATTGATGTTGAATAGGCTGGGGGATCCAGAAACTCGTGGCCGGAGTTAGCCATTGACCAGGTTCAAGCGATACCGTAGCTTTCGAAGATGTCTTATTAACTTTTTGACCACCTGGGCCAGATGATCTGCTATATGAAATGGTAAATACATCCGTAGGGATTTGTATGGGAGTAAACTTCTCTACCCATTTTTTAGATGCATCGATTTCCTTGGTAGTAAATTCCGTTATTGACGAATTAAACCTAACGATGGGTGATACACGGACCAGTAGTCTCAATATAGAGGTACAATGGCTGTATAAAGGTAGTTTGTAAAACATCATGGTTGGCAACATATGAATATAGATAGGCCAAAAAAAGAGGTTGACTATTTCGCAAGTTAGTGAGCATTTTGTTGCAGATATATATGAATGACTTATACAGCTACCAAACTAGATAAACGTACATATTTAAAACAAAATAAATTAAGCTTCTGCTAACACTTTAGAAGCTTCGGAAACATCAACAGAAGTGTTGTCTGGTTCAATAAAAGCCTTGGTAATGGTACCGTCTTCAAGTAACAAAGCATATCTCTTGGATCTTTCGTTACCGAAAACCTTGGTAGCATCAAATAATAAACCAAGTTCTCTGGTGAATTCACCATTGGTATCGGCCAAGAATCTGATTTGTTGACCAGCCACAGTATGATGCAACAAATATTCTCCCCAATTCTTAGTAACGAATGGATCATTAACAGAAACCACAAAGAATCTTTGGTAACCCTTATCATTAAAAGCACGCAAATTCTTGACAAAACCAGGGATGTGGGTACCGCTACAAGCAGGAGAAAAAGCACCTGGAGCACCAATCACAATTGTTTTACCGGACTTGGTTTCTTCAGCAAGATTGACGGCATTACCTGGAGAACTTTCATAAAGATCAACTGAGGGTAAAGTTTCCCCGACCGCAACATAAGTTCTAAGGGCGTTTCTAAGGGGTGAAACAAATAATCTAGACTTAGGGAGGGATCTGGATAAGGAGAACATGGTAATAAAATTAGTTAATCTGGAATTGAAATTGGCAATTGACTTGTAAGAAAAATCTTCAAAACTAAAGATTTACAAAAGATTAGTAAAAACTTTAAAAATGGTGTTTTAAAGATGCGTTAATTTGTGGTAAGATCACACACTGGTGAAATAACCCCACCATGAGAGGTGGATGAGGTGTGGATGACGTGATGTATGCAGGAGTCAAAAATTCAAGTTTTTCATTCCTAGTTTGGCCGGTAATACCGATGCGGCTCGGACTTTTAAGGTGCATATTACATAGGGTCTAATTTATCATTTAGAAGATCTTGCACCTTTGAGTGAGGGCTTGTATGTTGGCTTAATTCTTGCTGCATAACTTTAATAAGGAGGTATTTCGCTGGTTTGCTCTATGTTTAGTTACCTCTAATAAAATCTAGAAGTCCTTACAGGGCAAAATTTACCAGCGGAAAAAAAAAAGGAAAATGCTGAATTTACAACCAAACTAATTCAAAGCAACAGGAAGTTTCTGCAAATAGATGACAGTAGACGTTCACATCAAAGCAATGGGAGAACTTAATAATCAAGAACCAATAACACCAGAGGAAGCACTTAAATTATATACCAACACATTGAATTTTAATGTAATAAGTCGGTACGATCCAGGAATAAAACAACTATTATGTCACACCTCTCATTGCGTTGTATACAAGTTCAACGATGAATCGCAAGAATGGATAAAATCAGATTACCTGGGTACTTTAGCATTGTATGTTCGAGATTTTAAGGTTCCTCCTTCCAATAAACAACTTTCTTACCAAGATTTACAGCAACTTTTCTGTTACGGATTAATATTATTAAATAGAAACAATCCTGACTGTTTCTCATTGGGATTATTACCAAACAAAATAACCAAACATTACTTCCCTAATGGATTGAATGATTCTTCAGTGCTGGAAATGGATGTGGAACTAAATGATAACTTAATCATTGTGAGAAACTTATTAGGTGAGATTTATGGGTTATGGGTTTTCAACGAAGAAGATAGAATAAAATTGTTCAAATCTATAGAATTTTGTCTTAATAGTGATGCCAAATTGTATTAGTATTCAATAAACAGCAGACAATTGCTCTACCTTAGAGTATAGTGCTAATAGCGTAGAATAGTTTATAGTCTGTATACTATATCTATGTAAGTGGTCACGTGCATGTTCTATTTTTTTTTTTTTTTTTTTTTTTTTTAAATCTTAATCGATTTTTTCTTTGGGTCACAATTTGGTGCCAATGGTATTGATCGAGTCAAGGTTGGCGTTCCTACTAAGAATCAATCGTTAAACTGAAGCCAGTGTATCATAAAAACTTGATCGTACATTACATAATCATTTGGTGCATATTTTTCAGTGTGTTTAACTAAATTTACCTCAGAATTTATATTAAAGTGCTACTAAATCAAGAACAATTCGAACATGTTAAATTCTGGTGTCGGGAATGGGGTATCTGTATCTCAACAAGCAGCTATTTCTAGCAATTCCACCAATCCTCAAATGCAGCTAGCGAAAAAGCAACTAATGAGACAACAACAATTTCAACAACAGCAACAACAATTACAAAAACAAAAGCAGCTCCAACAACTTCAACAACACCTGCTGCAACAACAACAACAACAACAACTGCAACATACACAACTCCAACAACTGCAACTGCAGCAAGTCAAACAAAAGATTGATCTTCAACATTACCACTTTACTTCAACGTCTGAAGAAATACTAAAGAAATATGCCAGGAACCCTGCTTCATTGATTCTACACATATTTGAAACTCATTATAGATTTAATAATTCACAAGACTCCCAAATCATACCTAAAGATTCACCTATGATTAAGGATTTCATGCATCATGTATTAAAAGAGGAGATTCCCGTTGAAATGAGTGAGTTACTCAAAGACTTTTCAATTAAATCCTATGATGGTTGTCTTATTTTGCAAGTGTATGACCATAGACATATGGTTAAAACAACAGTAACCCAGCCTAGACCAGCTAATGCAAGTAAGGATACGAAGCCAGTCACTACTATAGTATCTAAACCCAAAACATATAGGACCTTGCTTAAACCTACTCCACTTTCAATTTATTACGACTTGCTTTACCACACGGATTCCGCTTTGACCAAATTCACCGACACTTTATCACTTCAAATGGAATCTGAAATATTGACCTTGACAAATAGAAAATTGGATTTATCTGTTCCTTTAAACCCATATGCTTGTGATGATTACCTCAAACCTGAATCTGAATCTACACATATCGAGTATGACGAAGTTTTGGATGATAACAAGGTAGCATTTAATCACAGATCTGCAAGTAGCTATCCAGCTCGTAAAATCCATCAAGATGAATTGGTATTACATAAATCCTCCGAATATGAAGAGATTATGTTGTTGTTGTCGAATAGGCACAAACGTTCTGATGAACCACAAGATAAGAAATTAGTAATGGTTCATTCATCAACTTTACCTATTGCCACAGCTGCTCCAGTAGTGACTAATTCAGGTAAACAAGGAAGTAAAGAGGCATCGGCTGGAGTTGATGGCAAGGGAAAGAAAAGTGATAAGTCTAATATTGCTTCTTCTGCTCCAATTCCATCAACATTATCTAGCACCCAGAACACCAGTAGATCTACAGGACAGTTTATGAGATTAAGATTGATTGAAGAAATCAGAAAGAAGAGGGAAGCAGAAAAGCTTCAACAGGAAGCCAAGATCCAAGCTCAAGCTTCTGCTGTTCAACAAACTGACTCAATTGCAGCAGCTGCTGCGGCGGCTGCTGCTGCACCGGTGCCCACCCCTATGTCTGCTCCAATGGGTGCACCTGAATCTCAACAAGTCAAACAACCACAAGCTCCAGGACCTCAACCAGCTGCCAAAAGAGTTAAAAAGGAACCAACAAAGAAACAATTGGCGGCACAAGCCCAGGCACAAGCAAAATCACAACAAGCGCAGGCGCAAGCAAGTTTACAATCGCCCCAATTTAACGGTGGTATGGCTTCTTCAACTTCCACTTCTCAAGTACAATCATCTTCAAGCACTCCATCAATGAGAAACAACCAACCACCACCAACTCCCGTTCCTCAACAACAACAACAACAACAGCAGCAACATCAACAGCAAATGGGCGCTCCAAGTCAAGGACAAGGACAAATGTCATTACTTCAACAGCAACAACAACAGCTTTTCCACAATTCTTTAACACCTGAAGAGCAACAAATGTTCAAACAAATGCAGCAAAAGGCTCAAGCGTTTGCAATCATGGGTAATACTGGAATAACACCAAATAGACAGCAATTGACTCCACAACAGAAGCAGCAAGCTTTGCAACAATCCAAGAACATCCAACAGCAATTAGTAGAGAAATTCCCCGTTTATTTCCAGAGATTAAGAGAACTTCACGCCATTCAACAACAGAGACAGCAGAAACAGAAATTACAACAACAAAGACAGCAACAACAAGCCCAGGCGGTGGCAGCTGCAGCTGGCACAAATCCTGTTGATCAACAGCATACTAATATTGCAGGTAAAACTGTTCCTGGGTCTGCATCTGTCGTTCCTGAGCCCAAGAAGAAAAGGCAATATAGGAAAAAGAATGCAAATCCAACGACTTGATTAGCATTTTGTTGAATATAAATTTGTATTATCATATAAAAAATATACGCTTGTAATTAATAAGAAACATTAACATATATAAAAGAAGAGATAAGAATCACTCAAAAACAAAAATTTATACACATATGGCTAAGTGTCGACAAATATATAGAGAAAACAAACAAGACCTTACAAACCAAACTGAACCGTAACCGTATCAAACCTTAAATAACCTTTCCAATGGTCGACTCCTAATCTGATTGATCTTGGCGCTCAAGAGAATGACCGTAAATACCAAGCGCAGTAATGGTTGCAATAGCATAAAACAACCCTTTTCCAATCTCCTTGGCAATAGTTTTGATAACTGAGCTTCTCTTCTTCTTTGTAGGAGGTTCTTCTACAACTGGTTCTTTATCCTTGTTCTCTTCCATTTCCTGGTGATTTCTTTTCCTTGTATGACAGGAAGGAGTATATGATACAGTTGGAATGTTACATGATGTTACATTAGATTCTGAGTTTTCTGAGTCTTGATCACATTTTATCATGTCTTGTGTCAAACAGATCTGAATATTTTGAAGTACTACTGATTCATCATCAACACCATTATCTTCAGATTCAGAATCTTCTTCTTCTAATAAATCATACTCATCTTCATCACCTTGATCATCTTGTTCTAACAAATCATATTCATATACTTCTTCTTCCTCTTCATCATCATCATCATCATCATCCTCGTCGTCGTCTTCTTCTTCCTCTTCTTCAGCATCATCATCAAAAATTTCTAGAATTCCTACCTTTGGAATCAGGGGAAGTTTTTCACCATCCTCATCCTCACCATCATCATCATCTTCTTCTTCTTCTTCTTCAGGCTCTTCTGTTTCATAATCGTCTTCTGATATTTCCAGATTGGCACCCTCTTCCAATTCATCCAGTTCATTATCCTCTTCTACATCTTCGTCATCGTCTTCTTCCTCGGTATCATCAATGCCCTGCTCATTTTGTGTCTCATCATAAACATCTTTGTATTCATCCTCTACAGTTTCTCCTTCTACAATGACGTTGGCTATTTTAGTTTCAACCTTTTCACAATCTTCATTTTCAGATTGGTTGCCATCAAATACAACATAGGACTCTTCCATTTCTTCCAATAATACATTCATTTTATCAGATTTGTGTTGTACTTCATTTTCTTCCTCGACATCTTCTTCAACTTGATCTTCTTCTTTATCAGCCTCAGCATCTTCTTCGATCTGATCATCATCTTGTTCGCTATTGTTTTCTTCCTTTGTTGTAACATCTTCTTTTACTACTTTATTTGCAGTTACTCTTACAGGATCTTTATCACCTTCGGATTCCAAATCCTTTAATCTTGGTTTAATAGAAAGTGGTTCTGGTAAGAAAATGCTCTCTTTTCCTTGTTCCTGATTAGCATCCGGTGCATTAACAGTATATTCAGGTAATTCAATCACATCTTCATCACTATCAATTACCATTGAAACAACAGAGACATTATCTGAACTCTCATCGTATGAAGCATGATCAGAAGCGTGGTCCTTGTTGTAATCTTCCTTTTGTTCATAACCGTCGCTGTCACTGTCAAGAGAAATAACCAGTGTTTCCTTGGAAATACGATCAGATCCATAACAAACTGGGCTATGGTTGAACTCAAAGTCAATAGGCTCTTCCTTACAAGTAATAGAACTAGTAGTGGTGTTAATGTACGGCTCGGGTGATTTAGAAGCGACTTTATTTTCCTCAAGTGGAACAAACTTCAAAACATTACTATGGATGCGAACTCTAAAAGACAAACCAATGGAAGGGTTTTCAAATTCAGATAATGGAATCATATTATCAGTTGGAAATTTACCAATAACCTCCGAAATCTTAGTTGAAGGCTGCTTGATTATAAACCCTAAAGTGTCACCATCAACCAACTTATACATACGACCAGGAATCAACAACATATTGTTTAAAATGGTTCCAAAAGTAGAATTTGTATCTTTAATTTCAAATTGTCTCAAAGCAGTATAACAAATGTTTGCATGTTGCTTTGACATATGCTTTTCCAAAAAATACAAATTAGTAACCTTTGGTGCTCTGTTCTCGTTATTGCTCGAAGCACGTTTGATATCCACTTCTTGGCCACTAGAAAAGGAAATAATTCTTTCATTTGATACTTTGGAAATAGCAGAAGGTGAAGCTAGCATAGTATTATTCTGGATAGGAGTACTTGTAGCTGGAACGAGTTGCCAGGGGGCAGGTTTTGTAGGGGAACTGGGAACGGCAGATCCAGTCTGGGATCTGATAGGTGGTATTTCCATATAATGGGGATACATTATTAAGAATTGTGGTTAAATTGTATTGGATCTAATAAAAAGAGGGAGATAAAAAGTAGAAAAGGACTAAAAAGATTGCTCGAGTTAGTTACACCTTCCGCCTCCCTTCTTATCCACCCCGCTAAATACTACAAAAAAATGATCCCCTAAAAAAAGCAAGTGGTGGCAAAACGGAAATTAGAAGAGATCAAGAAGAGAAACAAAGAGATTTACTTTGTTTTAGATTGGAAAACCGTCAATACAATAGAACTACTAGTTCTAAACTGGTTGCACCGTCAATGTTAGTTACTTTGCTATAGAGATAATCAAGGCAAGTGTGTATATTATTCGTAATGCAACTTAGAGTAAGCATATTTTTTATTATTTTTTTTTTTTTTCACGTTCCTTATTTTTCTCTTATCAGTTCTTTGGTTTACAAAAATAAAATCTGCCTTATGCAGGAAGAGACAACACCACCACTACAAACAACCACAACCACAATCACAATCACAACAATTGCTGGTCTAACATTCCTGGTAGGTTTATTAATGATTAATATAAATATAACCTTTCTCGGGTATTTTCTTTGGCATTATTTTCTTTTGCTTGAAGAAGTTGTACAGTATTTTGGGTGTGATTCTCACCTATAGAGGTAAGTTTACTTGTATTCAAATCTAATATTTACCCTACCAGTTAACTTTCTTGAAGGCTATAACTTGGTAAAGTGATACTCATATATTGTATCATCCCATTAATAAAATAGTTATGTTATTAGCATAAGCAGCTAGTGCTGTACCCCGTTATCTATCGATTAATTTAATTTGGCAGCACTCACGTGACTTTCGTCAAATCTCATTTTTATTTGGTGACTTTTAATTAACCAGTGGAAAAAACCAGTGGCTTTACATTATTATCTACTTATTAGAAATATCATCACATATTGTACCAAACCTAATCTAAATCATTCGGGACTGTCACACTACCAGCTAACTTCAAACCAATCTATAAATTTCTTGAATAAAGCTCCTTTTGCATTTTATTATAGATATCTACTACTATTCAACCCAACAAACCCCTATTGGCGCAGTTTCACCTACTCATCTGCAATACACAATGTCTAATCAACCGGTATATTTTGGTCCTCGACCTCCACAACAATTGAATGATAAAATGAGACATGGTTTTGATGAAGACTATAACTCAGAGAACTTTTTAAACCTACTTGCAAACACATTTTACATTTACTTCGACGATAAGAGACAAAACACTAATGGTAATCCAATAACACAGGAGATGAAGAGAACTTCTAAATATTACAAGAATTATCAACCAATATCTGATTGGAAAGTCATGAAAGAAAGACAGAAAACTATAAGTGCTGTTTTAGTATTGTGTTTAAACTTAGGTGTTGACCCACCTGATATCATGAAAACTTATCCATGCGCAAAATACGAAGCTTGGTGTGACCCTTCCACTTTCACCGATACCAAAAAGGCAATTGAAAACATTGGAAAAAACCTACAATCTCAATATGAAACATTATCATTAAGAACAAGATATAAGCAATCCTTAGATCCATGCGTAGAAGATGTCAAAAGATTTTGTAATACATTAAGAAGAAATGCCAAGGATGAAAGAATACTATTCCATTATAACGGTCATGGAGTACCTCAACCTACTGCCAGTGGTGAAATATGGGTCTTCAACAGAGGTTATACACAGTATATTCCTATCTCCTTATACGATTTACAAACATGGCTAGGAGCACCTGTGCTATTTGTCTACGATTGTAATAGTGCTGGTAATATTGTGCATAATTTCAAAAAGTTTGTTCAAAAGCGAATAGATGATGATAATGATGGAAATCACGATACAAGTGCACCTTCACCTACATCAGCATATTTAGATTGCATACAGTTGGCTGCTTGTAAAAGCAATGAACTACTTCCAATGACTCCCGATTTACCAGCTGATTTATTTACTTGCTGCTTAACCTGCCCAATAGATATCAGTATAAAATGGTTCATTATGCAAAGTCCTTTAAAGAAAAATTATTATGATTTATTGCCCAAGGATTCAATAGGAAATGTGATAATTCCAGGGAAATTGACTGATAGAAGAACACCCTTAGGGGAATTGAATTGGATATTTACAGCAATTACTGATACAATTGCATGGACTTCATTATCAAGACCAATCTTCAAAAGATTGTTTAGACAAGATCTCATGGTGGCTGCATTATTTAGAAATTTCTTGCTTGCCAAGAGAATAATGCCTCATTTAAATTGTAATCCTATAAGTGATCCTCCGTTACCAGAAGCTGTTAGATTTCACACCATGTGGAATTCTTGGGACTTGGCTATAGATCAAGTATTGTCACAATTATTGAAGAACCAGGAAGGTGGATCATCAGTCAACCCAGTTACCAGCAGGCAACCTTCAATTGACACCACTCCAGCCAATACCTCGTTAGGATCAACTCACTTGAATGGCACAGCAGCACCAACCGGACAAGGGCAGCCGCAACAGAATTTAGGAAATTACCAACACTCAACTTTCTTTGAGCAACAGTTAACCGCTTTTGAAATTTGGTTAAAATATGCTGGTCCATCAACCAAAGAACCACCTGAACAGTTACCCATCGTTCTTCAAGTATTATTATCACAAGTACATCGGTTAAGAGCATTAATTTTATTATCAAAATTCTTAGATTTAGGACCATGGGCAGTATATTTATCCTTGTCTATTGGAATTTTCCCATATGTTTTAAAATTATTACAAAGTCCAGCACAAGAATTAAAACCGGTTCTAATTTTTATTTGGGCTCGTATTATGGCAATCGATTATAAGAGCACACAACAAGAGTTGTGTAAAGACAAGGGATACAATTATTTCTATTTGATATTAAATTCAAACCCATTGAATCAAATCGGTGCACCTGGAGCTCCCGGCAGCTTTAGTGGAAGTGCTTCAGGTACCATGTTAATCAATGATGATCATAAAGCAATGAGTGCCTTCATATTGACTTTGTTTATTAAAGATTTCAAGAATGGACAAAGATTATGTTTCTCAGTGGAAATTATTAATAATTGTTTGAAGTTTATTCAAAACAGTGAAAATCCTTTATTGAGACAATGGTGTGGTTTATTGTTATCACAACTTTGGAATAGATATCCTGACGGGAAATGGATTGTATACAAGGATGGATATATTAATAGGTTATTGACGTTGATTAACGATCCCATCCCGGAAGTTAGAACTTCAATTATAGTTGCAATCACTACTTATCTTTCTGATCCACTCCATAATCAACAGCAGCAAAGACAACAACAGCAAGCAAGTAATGGATCCGATTTAAGAAAAGATGAAATTAGACAACAAGATTTGAAACTTGCAAATGCTATACTCAGTCTTTTAGGTGACGGTTCTTCCATGGTTAGAAAAGAGTTGATATTTTTCATCAATAAGTTTATTCATACTTATTCCAAGTTTTTCTTGGTTGTGGCATTCAATCAATTAGAAGAAGAAATTGTTTTAATTGATAATCCAAATTCCTTGAACGAATTTAGAAAACGTTCTCCGGCATATGGATCAATATTTAGTTCTATTTGGAAGGCATTATTAATCTTGTCAGAGGACCCACATTGTGAAGTTAAACAATTGGCTGAAATATTAATTGATTCGGTTATGGTTAAATTAAATAAAAGTGAATTGGCTTCTGTGGTTAAGGAAATGCAAGATTATTTGTTGAGTAAATCTACAATTAATATCAGTGAGAGTTTCAAACCAATTAAACCAATCATGAATCGTCCATTGGGTGATAGAAGACAAGTATCAAGTGGAGCCACTGTCACACCTCGTAAAAACAATTTATTAATTGATGGAACTTCGTTAACTACAAGGGCCGCATCTACAAGTAAACTAGAGCATGACCATGATAATTCAGATGCCAGTTCTATTAGTTCTAAACTTAAAGGATTATCTGTGTCAAAACTTTTTAAAACTTTCCAGATCAATGACGATAGTGAAATAAAATCATTTACAAGGATCTTGAATTCCGGTCCAGTTCAAACAACTTACGGTAACGAGTATAAACCTAAAACTCCGATGTTTAAACCCCGTGATCTTAGTGAAAATCCTCAATTACCACATGAATCAGGATTCTTTGAATACAGTTGCGAATATTTCCAAGAACCACAAATGTCGAAAAATGAAATTGATGAACCGGGATCAAAAGATTATGTCAAGAGATTATGGAGAAGAAATAGAAATGAATCAATTATTCAAATGACTCAACCACAGAAAGAAATGGCAGTTAGAGGTGATTGGAATAAGAATATCTCCGTGTTGAATAACAAATCTCAACCTAAATGTATAAAATTCACCCAATTTGAAAAGATTTTGGTTGCAAGTGATGAAAAGGATAATATTTCAGTTTGGGATTGGGAGCAGAATCAAATAGTGAAGAAATTCTCTAACGGGAACCCATTTGGAACAAAAATTACTGATATTAAGTTTTTGAATGAAGATGATTTGCCTTTACTATTGACTGGTTCTTCTGATGGTGTTATTAAGATTTATAAGAATTTCCATAATTATGAAAGATTTGGCTATGGACAAGCTTCAGATGATTTGGAAGCAGATGAAGATAAAAAGGTTGAGTTGATTGCGGGTTGGAGAGCATTAACTGATTTGTTATTAACATCTAAAAGTTCTGGTTTGATTTCTGAATGGCAACAATCACGAGGATCATTGCTAGTTAGTGGTGATGTGAAAATTATTAGAATTTGGGATGCTCCTCGTGAGTTATGTCTTGTTGATATTCCCGCAAGATCATCATCTTCAATTACTTCATTGACCTCTGATCAAGTTGCTGGTAATATATTCATTGCTGGATTTGATGATGGAAGTCTCCGGGTATATGATCGAAGATTGGACTCTCGTGAATCGATGGTTAAAACATGGAGAGCAACATCTGCTTCTGGAGGAAGTACACCACAACAACAACAGCAGCAGCAGCAATCAAGATATACTGGAGCGGGATCAATTAGAAATGTACATATGCAAAGAGGTGGATTCCGTGAATTAGTAAGTGCATCTGCTGATGGGTATGTTAATCTTTGGGATATTCGATTAAATGATCCTGTAATGTCATATTCCACTCCTGATAGATCATTGAGATGTATGGATGTACATGAACACGCGCCAATTATCACCACTGGGTCTAAATCCGTTAATATTTGGTCAACTTCTGGTGATTTATTAACTACATTGAGAAATCCTCATGATAAATATCTTTCTAATAGGACATCAAGTTACTTGTCCAACACTATTTTCCATCCTCATAGAATGCTTGTTGCTACCAACTATAACCAAGACGGGCATATAAACGTTTACTCGTGTAGCGATACAATAGTTGAATATTAATATATGTATAAATAGACATAATATATCATTAGATGTTTAGCTTCGCTTCCTATTACTCTGTTCGGTGTAACTTCCGAATCTCGGAGTAAAAAATGATCGGGTTCCTGCATATAATTCCGTATCCATCAAAGTTCCGAATTTTTCTTTTTGCTTGCGGCTCTTTTGCCTTAGACCAAAGTCCTTGTGTGTCATCGGGATCAAATACGTCAATATAAGTCATATGAAAGATAACATCTTCCGTTCATAGTTCTAACAAATCACTACGTGTTTGAAAAACAAAATCAAGATGTCATTGTCATCAGAGTTGGCAGCAGGTTCCATGGAGGAGCACGATCTTAAGTTTGGCGAAAAGTTTGTTGCAAAGCCAAAAGTTGCCATACCAGAAAATGATATATCAATAACTCAACGAATGATAAGTGCATGTCTGGGTTCACTCATAACCTCATTGGTAGTCACACCATTTGATGTGATTAGAATCAGAATCCAACAACAAGAGATCTTACCGCAGGATACATGTTGCCACAATTCGCTTAAGGTGGAAAGTGTTCCAGCTACCGGCAGAAATACCTTGGTGAAACACATGGCATCCCCTTCCGCAATGGCTAAAGCTGCAGAAGCTACTCCTGAACTCTTTTGGATGCATAACAGATATTGCAAAGCAGAGAATTGTTCTCGAATAACATCTACGTTTCAAGGGTTTGCATGTGTAGCTAAGAATGAAGGTGTAGGGACACTTTGGCGTGGTCTTTCGCTTACATTGTTCATGGCTATTCCATCCAATATCATCTACTTTACCGGATACGAGTATATCCGTGATCATTCCCCAATTTCAAACCATCCGTTAAATCCATTGCTTTGTGGCGCGTTTGCCAGAATAATGTCAGCCACATTTATTGCCCCTGCAGAATTAATAAAAACTCGATTACAATCCATCCCATCCGATCTGAAAACCTCGTCAAAAGTGTTGAATAATTTATTGAAGGACCTGTTTTCTCTCGTACGGCAAAATGGAGCTGGTACCTTATTCAAGGGATTGCAAATCACATTGTGGAGAGATGTGCCATTTTCAGGGATATACTGGTCGTGTTATGAATTATTCAAGAGTCGTATCGGACATGCTTTAAATGCGGATTTTGACAATAGTAGGGGTACTAATGACTGGAAAGTATTTGCAACTTCATTCTTTTCAGGATCAATTTCTGGTACGGTGGCTGCATTCTTTACTAATCCATTTGATGTTGGGAAAACAAGATTACAAATTACATTCGAAGAAGGTCAGAAACCGGGTGGTTACAACAGAAACATGTTTAAATTCTTGATTAATATTTATAGAAGAGAAGGAATTGGTGCGTTGTATGCTGGGTTTGGTCCTCGAGTAATGAAGATTGCGCCTGCTTGTGCCATAATGATTTCATCATATGAAATTGGTAAAAAGTTTTTTAAAGATGGCAATAATCATAATTAAATTCATGTACATAAGAAGAAATAGAATTTTTTTTTGAATATTTATAGAATTATATAGAATTATAATATGTTCAGGTTGGTCAATTATTACCCCAATGGTCGTTAAATTCTTCTGGTAATTCTCTTGGAAACAACGATCCTCCAATAATATTATCATGATGGACAGATTTTGTTTGTTGCGACAGATATTGGCGTGATTGAGATGGATCCAGATTTTGGCGTGAAATTATATTCTGCTTTTCAAAAGAATGAAGACGCTGGGCTTGATTCAGCTGGGGAGGTTTAAGTGGTTGGTGATTCTGGGACAGCTGGCCTTCATTATAAGGGTTGTAAGAAGGGCCTCTTTTCTCTTCATAACCAAGGGATTGTGGTGTACTCATTTCATAAGAGTTCTCGTGTCCATTGACTGAGAATTTCGAATCACTTCTTTTACCTGGTTTTGAGTACTTTGTTGGTGATACTCTTTCCAAAACCCCCACCGATTCCTGTTCTAAACTTGTTGCAAATTCTTCTGATGCATCAGATAACTTTTTTGAAACAGAATACAATGAATAGGCAAAGTCGGCAATTGTTTCTCTTAAATCGGTAGAAATGCAACTGTCATATTGTGCTTGGACTGTTTGTAGCGCCAGTTCAACTTCTTCCAACTTTTCGCTAATCAAGATTGATGTTGAAGCTTTTGGACCAAATCTAGCTTGTGCATCTCTCAATTGTTTCTCCAATTTGAATTTGGAATTGAGTAACTCGTCCCTTTTCTTTTCCCGCTCGTGAACAAATGAAAGACTTAACTTAGTTCTATCCAATGATTCATTCATTTGAATGGTTGATCTCGCTTGAAGTAGAACCAATTGGGAAAAGTCTCTTATTAACTGTTGATTGTCCATGTTGGGAATATTGTTTGCCCAGTTTAGTAAGTCGTTGGCCAACTCTTGTTCTATTCCTTTAATTTTGTTTTCATATTTGATAAGCCGACCAATCTTTTTGAATAATTTGTAAGAAGTTATTCTAACTTTTGATTTGTGGTTAATGTGATCAGTGTCTCTTTGGGAGTTCATGGTTGTAGTTGTTGTAGTAGTGTTTGTTGTCGTTGAATTTGCCAAGTTTGGGAAAACAGAAACGGCAACTTTGTCTAGAACTCGTTGAAACGCTGTTGGCGGTCTACCTAGTCTTGATAAGTTTGATCTTTCGGTAGACATTGTTGCAATTCATACAGCTCTAGGCATAACCTGGACAATATATTAGGGGACTCTCGGGATAAATCAAGTACTTAAATTAACCGCTCAAATGTATAATTTTGAGAAAATTTTAACTACAAAAAAATTCTAGTAAAATTTCGCAGCCAGGCCCCGGCAATTCGGGCTTAGTCGGAAACTACACAGTTTAGGCTATATGATATCTTTTTGTTAAGCTATATCAATATACAGAATCTTACTTTTTGGAAACTTCCTCGTCGATATTTAACCCAGTAATATCAGCAATAGATTTTCTTAAAGCGGCAGTGCGTGCTTCGATCGACTTCTTACTGTTTTCGGTAGTTTCTTCTATAGAGTGCACAAGTCCAACTGCTGAGTTGTAAGTAGCTTCTTGTTGTTTGGCCAATGCTGGAACTTTATTTTGTTCAACTTGCCACAAGAATTGCATGCTGTTGTCAAATGTGCGTGGTAAAAAGTATTTGAATGCCCCAAGTCCGAATATGGTTGGAAATGTGACTCTGGCAAGAACACCTCTTGGACGGGCAGCAATTGTCCCGGCTAAAAAGGCAATGACAATATATATGGAATTAGGTAAGAGATCTTCTGATCTATTGTGCAACCCACTAACGGTATCAGCGACTGCTCTTTCGGTGGCATTGTATTTGGTGTAGCTTGAATTTAACCACAGTTGAATCGAATCGGCAGTGGACTCGGTGAACTCTCTTACTGATTTAAATATTTGCTCTGTGGTACCAGTGGAACGGACGGAAATACCGTCGATGATTCTATTGCTTCCAAGTGCTGCAATTTCTGATGCTGGAGCTGGAGTCACAGTTCCTGGGATATTGACAACGTCTCTTTCGTCTTCGTAAAAGTTACGCTTTTTTGAATCATTGTGCACTATTCCATTGTTGCTTGTTGCTATTACTGCTCCTGCTGATAAAACAGGAATCCCAAAACGAAAGGCTCTACCAAACATGTTTGCTTATGGTGGTATTGATACTGTTTCGGCTCTCCAACGCATTTTTTTTTTTCACTTGCTTTCATTCGACCAAGTCGATTTTACTTTTCTGTCCAAATCGGGACGAGCCGCACGGACGTTCCTTTGTCTGATTTTTTTTGGAGCCAATTTAAATTTTCACGATGCAGCAAAGAAAGGCTGTCAACTTATAGAAACAATCAGATGTTGTGCAGTCGATCGATAGCTCGAGGCAATATCACCGCCCGTCTAATCAGACAGGGGAGGTGCTTCTATTCCACTCCCAAGTTAAATGAGTCCAACTTTGATTTCTTCACCAAGGAAACTCGCTCTACCACAAACGACAACTTGATCAAATCAAGACAAGGTTATTCAGCACACAGTGGAGAAACCATACATAATACCAAAACCGTTACACGCTCTGATATCATAGATGACAAGCCTTCCCACTTTCGTAATCTGGATGGATCGTTGATCAAAGGAACGAATTCTGATGAGGCAAGATTGCATGATCTGACTCTTGAAGGAAGAGTGGACCATAGAGTTACCCGATTGCCTAAGGAAATCTCCAAGGTTATCAACAATAATATTTTGGGGCATGTGGTTCCTAATAAACTCAGAGAACGTGTTACTAGTATATATAAGGATATGCAAAAGAATTCGATCCAACGAGCTCCAGTCAGTTCCTTGGATGCAGATGCTCACATCAGTGCTTTCTTCCTTCAAGATTACGCACATGCAAGACAGGTGTTGTTGGAATTACAGAAGAGAGTTGGTGAAGAAAAATTCAACCCGCAAAGGGTCCTTTCAGTGGGGTATGGACCTGCTGCAGGCATGGTTGCCTTGAATGAAATCATGGGGCCAGATTGGATACCTGAAACAAAAGATGCTTATATTGTGGGAAGAAATAACGGGGAGATGAAGAAACGTGCAAAGATTATCTTGTCAAGGCAACCAAATGAAAATGTTTCTGCAAGTGAAGAGTCAGCTGCGGAACCAGAAGAACCAACAGAAACCAACGAACCTGAAATCGAGTCTGAAGAATTCGTTCTCGAAGAATACAAGGGCCCAGTAGATTCCACCAAGCTCAATATCCGAACCAAACTTAAAAATACCATTCCAGTCTCGAAACAGTATGACCTTATTATAGTCAGCAGTTCACTTTTATCGCGTGAATTTAGTTTCCCTAATGATGTTGATGCTAATATCCGTATGCTTTTACGAGTTCTTGCTCCTAACGGACATATCGTCCTTGTAGAAAGAGGTAATGCCGTTGGGTTTGAAACCATTGCGCGTGCTCGACAAATCATGATTAGACCGGAAGGCTATCCTAATGAAAATGGTAAGATTCCTCGTCCTTATATCCATGGTTCTTCCGTCAAACCTCAACGAGTTAAGAAAGACGACGAGTTGATAACTAAAGCAGATATTGAATATGAGAAAGAGCTATTGGCCAAATGGGAAAAGGAGGACCAAGAATTATTGGAAGAGGGACAGGAATTAGCTAAGGAATTGGATGAAAAGTTTGGAGAAGTAACTGAAGAAGAATTAAAGTTTGAAGATGAAGATGATGTGGAAGTTATTGATCCTAACACTCAAACTGAAGCTAAGGAAGAAAAAATGGACTATCACTTGAGTATTCTTGCTCCTTGTCCTCATCATCAAAAGTGTCCCTTGCAAATGGGACACCCAAAGTACTACTCTATTCCTAACCATAGTCACAGATTTAGCTTTTGTTCTTTTTCCAAGGTTGTTGAAAGACCGAAATACACCATGGAATTAAAAAAGGGTAAGTTATTGGCTACATCTTGGGATAAACGTGCCGACGATGGAATTGGTCATGCTGACCGAGGAACATTAAAGAGATTGCAAGGTGGTGGTAGACCTGGTGGCCGTAACACCGAGGATGGTTCTTATTCATATTTGATTGCCCATAGAAGTCCAAACGACCCTGCTACTATTGAAAAAATTGAAAAAGATCGTAAATTTAATGATAAACAAGACTTTAATAACGTTAATCATTGGGCTCGTATTATTGAAAGTCCAAATAAGTTAAAAAGTAATGTGAAGATGTCAGTGTGTGCTTCTAGTGGGAAAATTGAAACTTGGAATGTTCCAAAGAGTTTGGGTAAGCAAGCATACCATGATGCTAGAAAATCTCAAGAAGGTGACTTGTGGGCATTAGCCAAAAAGGGAGTACAAGTCAGAAACATAGTTTCTGATGAAGTTCGTGAGAAATTGGATTTGTTGTATAAAGTCAACCGTAAGAAATTCTTAAAGGAGCAACATAGAAAATCCTCGAAAAAGAAAACTGGAGTTGCAATTGAACAATTTGAACGTGATTCAGATGCCATAGAAGCAGCAGTGCAGAAATTGGAACTGACACAAAAGTATAGAACCGGTGGGAAAAAGTTTGACGTTAACCCTGACAAATATGAAGGGAAGTAATGTACAGTATATAAATAGCTTGTAAATAGACTAGGTAAGGTTCTTGTATTAAGGTATATTGGTTCTTTGTTTAAATCACATAGCTGATTACATCTGAAAATCTGGTATATATATATATATCTTTCTCTTAACTAAAGGTATACTAAATACGTTTGCCTATATAGTGACGGTTAACGGTAACGATAAAATGTCAGATGCAACATTGAAGAATCTTATAAAGCCGTTGGGAGCAAATGCCCTAACCGCTCTATTTTCTTCTAAATGAAGCCCCTTCAGTCAAGTGGCATTTCCCACCCGATGGCGTAGCAACAACGGAAGAGCAATCGTCGCAAGTGATGACGGTTTGTGCATGACTGAATATAGTATTAATATTGCGACATCCTGGACATTTCACGTCAATGAAAAATGTATTTGGTGCTTGTACTAATCTTTTTAACTTATGTCTAGATCTTTCAGTTAATGGATCTGGATGTAATAGATCTTGAACTAACACCATGATTCTTCTTGCAGCAAAATATTTCTGTATAAAACCAGGATTGTGAAGTTTTGGATGGCAATTGATTCAAAAGCAAGACGGTTGAAACTCAAGGCTATCGGGCTTTTCTTAGATAGGTATCGTGTAATTTGCAGTTAAAACCAAGCCTGAAGTGTAAATTATGCTTTGAGGGCTAGAGATATGCGGATGCAAATGAAGTAGAGCTGTACAGGGATCAGGTGAAACGATAAGATAAAGGAATTTTTCTTAATTGGGCGCATTTATCAACACGGTTTGTATGCAGGTTCGGAGATGCAACATTGCAACCACGAAATGTAGTGACGATTAGGATTTTCTATTTCACATGAATTAGACTTTAGTGGGAAGTTAAGCAGAATGTGAAAGATATCAAGAACCTCACTAAAATAAAACATTTTGCGAATTATTGACAAAGACTGAAACATATAGTCCTTCAAACCATCTGTGAGCTGCCACAAAATATGAATAAACACGAGGCTCGTAATTACTTTGTTCTTTTGTGGGGTTATTCAATTATGAACTCATTATAACATTGAGAAACATATACCGCTAGAACAAAATTTTCACATGCTGTGAGTGGCATTCGAATTACAAAATAAACGCCGAGCGTAATGCTGTTTCCGTGTTTATGAAATCATATTCTATTTGTGACACTATCACATGAATTCTTTTAGAATTTTGCTATTGTATTCATCAATCCAATCAATCTTTAGGTGCAGTTGACACCTTGTTCCTTGGCAAGACAACCCATGGCTCATCAAGGCACATTTTACGCAAAGCCACCCATACTTTGTCTCATAGTCTAAAATTGTGTTAAACCTTAATTATAGTTTCAATTAAAGTTTGTTAATTCCAATTTAGGTCGAATATTCATGTTCGATACTGTTCGATAATGCACAGACCCCTAACCATTAAACTTTACTCTTCACATGAATCGGACTATTTTTGAAGAGCGTTGACATTCTGATGCGTCTCCATGAATACTATGTCATCATTAAGCATAAGGAAGTGTAACAATCATCTACCGCGAGATTATCACATGGCACCATTCAATCACCTACTCCTGCAAGTCTTGGCGAGACCCGAAAACTACTACGTGGTTTGTTCCGCTTATCACATATTTTTTATTTTTATTTTTTTTTTTCTTTCTCAGTGATAGTTATTGTTATTATTATTATTATTACAAAGTCTCAAATCGCGTCTCTAAAAATAAGCAGACACGCAACTCTAGTACGCATGATTTAGGTAACACATATCCACTGGTGACCTAGTTGTAAATTAGCCATTTCCGTCCCAAACAAGGGTCAATAAACTATTAAATCACTAGTTAGAGTTGGAGGAAAGTGGCATGATTTATATATGGAGCTTGGAGCGTTTAGTTCGTTATGATTTTAGATCATTGTTTTGTGTTGTCATGCGAACCCATGCAACTGCAAAATGGGGCAGCAGTTGCTAACAAAGCGTAGAAAAAAATCACCGAAGATCGAAAGCGAAGAAAGAAAAAAATTAAACAATGCACTCAAGAAGTTTATTTTGTGTATTTTGCAGTTACTATTATTTTTACCTTTTACTTGGACTAGCCGTTCATTTGTTTATATTTCCCCCTTCTTGGTTTTTTTTGATTAAATATATAGTATTACATGGCATTGCCGCAGTATTAAGTGAAAATTATAATTAAATGGAAGTTTATCGCACTACAAATCTGGTTGCCAGTAAATCTTCCCATCTGAAAAAGGCTGCTTGTGTAGAAAGCGTCACGTTTGTCTTGGTTAACGATAGAAGAACAATGTCATTGACTACAACAGCTACTAAGGTACACCAACCCCGATCGCAGCCTAGGATGCAACCGGTATTACCTGCTCAAGATACCCCTCAGACACAACTCCAAAATCAAAACCATACACAAACAAAACTTGAGACAACCAAGCCACCATCACCACAACACATAGAATCAACACCAGCAACAACAACATCAACAACAACAACAACGTCATCATTGCCATCATCACAACAATCATCTCCAATCACATCTGGTAGAATACGTCAACTAGTCCAACCTCCAGATGACTATATAAAACCCTATCTGCATGACAAGTTATACAAAACCTTTACCTATACAATAATTTTGTTGCCAACTTTGACATCAATATTATTCCCTACCACCACCACAACCAACACCACTACTAATGAACAAATTGGTAACTTCATAATTGATCTTTTAACGGTGCTATTGATAAGTTGGGTAGTACGATATGCTGTTGAGTGGCCATTTAACTGGCTCAAGACGTTACGCAAAACCAAACGAGCATTGGTTCAGGAATTATTGGATAGTAGTGAAGACCAAGATATGACCAAGCAAATCTTGCTAATTAGAAAAATCAACACCTTTGAAATGATTGCATTGGTATCTTGTCTTTTATCTTCAATGTTCGGATCCATTCTTTTAATATGGACAAGAAACTATACTATCATTGATAAGGTTAGGAAGAAAATGGTGTTTAACAACGTCAATATTGCCCTTTTGCAATTTTGGTCTATTTTCAGGATATTCTTGACGTTTACCGACATTCTCCAAAATTCATCCCTCAATGAGGGTGATTTGTATATTCAACAACATCACCCACGTCAATCAAGAAAATGGTACTTAGAATTAAAGGACTATTTCTTACCAAACCCAACTAATCAAATATTAGCGGAGAATATCCAGTTGTATAATAAAGAATTTGATCAATTAAAGGCTGATCTCCTGAATTTGCAACAGATTATAAAGAAATTTCCCAGTGATTCCTTTACACCATTTCCATTGAGTATAAATTCTGGTTCAGTTGGTTCATCGCCACTATCCTCAGCCAGTTCTTCGCCCATTGTCGGTCCTGCCAGTCCTGTTATGCAACTGAAACAACCAACCATGCCTAAACGAGTTCTGACAAAACAACAACTACAACAACAACTTGTGCCTAAGAAAGCTAATCGTCATTTTGTTGCCACTGCAGTTGCAAAAATGCAACCTCCTTTGAAAACAATTGTCGAGGAGGACCCTGGAGGTGCACATGAAGGTAATCTATCCAAAAAAGGTCTTGCAATCAAAATATCTCCTCCTAAATCTGAACCAAAAAAATATATAAATAACAGCGTGAGACTAGATGGTAAGCTTAAGGTATTGCATGAAATATCATTGTTTGACTTGTTAATTCATCCAGGAAGGGTTTATAGATTGATTATGGACGAAATAATCTACCCCTATGTCACATATCAATTACAATCTAAACTGTATTTGCTTGTGAAGATGGTAATTTGGGAAGTGGTGAACAAATATGTGCTTCTGGGAATATTTGCTTGGTTTTTGGAATTGTATTATAATCCATTTCGTTATATAAAGGAAGTAATGGTTTGGATTTGCTTTAAAATGCCAGTGCGTGCTACAATTACAACTCTTAAAACTACAGTATTTGTACCGCAAATGATATTAAGATGGGTATTATTGAAACCGTTATATTTGGGTATGGTAATTGTATTTGGTACAACATCGGTGTTTTTTCTGAGTATAAGGTCATCAAAGAAGAAGAAGGAGAGAAATGTTGAACCTGTGAAAGTGATTCGAAGACGAAGAGTTCCTGTCAATAACTCACCAGTGGCGGTAACACCACCTTTCACTGGAACTGAATTTCCAGGAATGAAACAGTTTCATTTAAATTCACCTGAGGAAAGAAACTTTAATGGAGTTTCTAAGATAGCTTCAATTTTAAATAGACCCCAGGTGCAGAAAAGACTGGGATCGCCTTCGATAAAACCAGCATTGTGTCCGCCACTCGTTGCAACAATGACTAGTAATGCACCTATGCCGGCTACGTCTTCTTCATTTAGAAGGTTCAATGTTTCTCCAGTGTCACTCTACGATAACTAATTATTAGTGTATATTATTTGAATGTTGTTTTTTTTTTTGCAGTCACTGTTTAGCAATTCCTCCACTCTCTTGCGCGATCTGTCAATTTTTTTTACTTCGCAAAAACTTGCTTGTATAAATATTACCCCACCAGCAAGTAAGGGATTATGAGAACCCTACTGGTAACAACTACAAACATAATCAACATAACATGGCCAATAAAAGACGTCCTAAGAAGGCTCGTGCTCCTTATAAACGATATGTGTATAAATCAAACAATTACTTAGCCAACTCAGATGAGGAAGAATCTGGCGATGATTTGGAATCATCAAACACTCAAAGATTCAAGAATAATGTAAATATCGTCAACTCAACGTATGTACTTACGGATCAAGTGAAGATACAAGGGAAAATTTGGCCCTGGAGTAAGTTTGAGAAAGTGGATGTATTGCAGTGTGCCTTGCATGGCCATAATCCAGAGTATACCCATTTGGTAGAAAGTAGTTTAGAGGTTAATCAAGACCTTATGAAGCTACCTACAGAGATATTTGTATATATATTTGAAATCCTCCAGGCCTGGGGGAAGCTTCGTCCGCGATATATGAGGGTTTGCAAGTTATTTTATATGATTATTCTCCCGATGATTTATCGACATCCTAAATTAAAAGCTTCCAATTTTTTCAATTTTGTTGAAACAATTGGTAATAATAAGGCACTAGGAGACTATATTCATAGTTTGGATCTTTCGTATATCATCCAAACGGGAAAGAATGCCTACGTGGCGAAACTATTGAAGCGGACAGCCAAATCGCTAGAAACGTTTGTGGCTCCTCAAACCAGTTTTGGATTGGGGCCACTAATTGCATTGAAGAATTGCTTAAATTTACGAATATTGGACTTGAGATTGGTTTCAGAAACATTAAAATTGGAAGAACTATTCCATTCCATTCGAAATTTAGACAAACTAACCCATTTATCCTTTCCAAGGTCCCTGATTGAAATAGGTCTGTACGAGTCAATAAACTGGCCACCCAATTTGAAATTCTTGCGTATTTCCGGTGGATTGAATGATGATTTCTTATATGAAAGTAAATTCCCAGAACTGATTACCGAATTGGAGTTTTCGCATTGTCCAGTGATTTCGGACTTGGGATTACGACAAATATTGTATAGAATCGGCCGCAATCTTCGTACCTTAAAAGTGCAGTACCCAATGCCAGGTCTCCAAAAGAACTCTCTTGATCAAGTGTTCATATATTGCCCAGATTTAAGAGTATTGGAAATATCGGTTGACTATGTATCCTCGTCATTTTTTGATGAAGAGTATCTCCAATATTTACCCTATCCAAGACCACTACGCACATTGTATATCCAAAGCAGTGGCATGTTGGGGACTCTGACGAGATTAGATCCTTTGGATTTAGCAATGGCATTGAACGAAGGGAGATTGCCAAACTTAAAAAACATCCAGTGTACGGCGAAGTTAGGATGGGATCCAAAGTCTGAGGCAGTACAGTATATAGCTGATACTTTGGATGAACGTAATGGTGGTATTTACATAGGTTATTAAAATAGACATGCCGAGCCGCGCAAGACTCTGTAGAAAATTCTCTGGCGCGTTGACATAAAAAACCCACAACCGTCCTAGATTCCACAACCCAACAATATTGAATTACCACGTATGAGCATCGAGGTAAAACTACCATCCCAACCGCTCGACTTGGAGAAAGATGTCATTTCCCAACTCGAATCAAGTGATCCTCGAAAGATTGTGTTTTTCGATGAATCAATAACTGGATATGTGGTACTTACAGCCGAAGGTGAAACACGTCCTCCACCGAAAAGAGTGTCTCTTGCTATGACTATCCTTCCTCTGGAAGTTGTAGACACGCATGATCCATTGCATTACTTGGAATCAGTTGATCAGAGACATAAATTTAGCATTGTGGATCTAGTGCTAGACAATATCGTGTATTCTGGAAAAGGTTCTTCCAATAAACAGTATTATGTCTGGTCGTTTGAGATTCCTGTGAAATATCCTAGAAAAAGGTTGAATGACCCCCGTCTATTCCTTTCGTGTATGTTAATTGAGGGAGATCAAAATGAGGAGAAATCAAATAATAGCAGCTACACCGAAGCTGATACATTACATGATTACTCAACTTCTTCTATAGACAAGATTCTTCCTATCAAGTTAAGCGAGTCATTGTGCGATATTGAAATATCGCATACAACTACTGATTTTGATATCACAATTGAGAATGAACTGGATAATACATATATTTATAAACCTGAAAATTCCATTCGTGGCTACATAAGCGTTCCTGTTTCAATATCCCTCGTCATTAAGTTGAAATCAACCAAACCTGCCGGAAGAAATGATATCTTATTGACTACATTTACCATTGAATCGTCGGACGAATTGTTAAAATTTTGGAATGAAGACGAGGACGACCATTATTTTAACCTTGTTGACGTGAACCTTCAATTCAAGTCTGGGTCAATAGATCCAATCATTGGAAATGACCTTATGCCGCCCACCAGATTCAAATATAGAGATACCATAAGTCTTGCATATAAACTAACCAACAATGAACCCTTGGCGGAAAATGTACATAGTTCAAAACCAGTTCATATATTTCTAATGCTCCAAGTTCAGAAACGTCATAATGGAGAGTTTTACAATATTAGCAATACCATACATACTGAATGGACTCCATATTTAGATTTTGGGTTAATTGCATCACCAATTAATAGCACCTTAAAGTCGGTAAGCAGCTCTCTCCAGACTTACCTACAACCAAATGCTCCACTCAATACCTCAATCAGGAAGCCCACATTACTTCAGAGCATGTACAAGGGACCCAATCTCAATAATAGTAGTGCGAATATTGCAATGACAAATACAATTTCAAATAGTACGCCTAACCTATTACGAAGAGCCCAGACCGCAGGAGCTAGAGAAAATCCGCAACACCAATTACAGAAGTCTCGAACTTTCCTGTCTGGTTCAATCATGGTTAGCTTGTCTACAAATGCCAACTCTACGTTGTCAGGATTGAAGCTCTCGTTCATTGGGAAATTAAATATTAAATTGGGTGAAGTCATCACTTGGAAGATTCAAGCAATAAATCACGCATCTACGAGATTGAACTTGTCGTTATTAGTACAAAACCCCATTAACTTCAATGTCATCTACTCAAATTCAGCACCTCATCACAAGAATGCGTCTACTCATAGTGTGTCGAATAACGATAATAAAGCACACAATGCTGCCATTGTCCATGACAAATCAAACTTGTACTCGACATACAATTCCTTAAAGGTTAATAATAATTCGGGAGTAGTTATATTAGGCAATGATATCCGGATCGGCCCACTTGACCTGAACACAGCGTTTGAGACAGAATTACAATTGATGGGTATATCCAAGGGAATTTTCAATTTGGATGGGGTTAAGATTTTTGATATTAATAGTGGTGATGGTTTAGATTTTGGGAAATTGATTGAGGTGTTTGTCGTATAGAATAAATAGATAGACTAAAAAGAATTGAAAAAAAAATCCAATGCTCCGTAGACTCGTGAATGGCATTTACTGCTTCATTAAAACATTGAGGATGGGTAAAACATAAAGAATTAAAATTTAAAAAAAAAGAAGGGGCGAGCTGGGAATTGAACCCAGGGCCTCTCGCATGCTTGTAGTAAATCAACTTGTTTCCAAGTCGTCGCCCAAAGCGAGAATCATACCACTAGACCACACGCCCGTTTTTTCTGAAAAATTTTTTCGCTTGTTTTACACAAATTCTATATTTTTAGTCGTCATGTGACTTGGATATGCAAAAATAATTTCAGAATCTTTCCGAAGGTGATTTTTGCAACTGCAATAATTAATAACAAACAGAGAAATATTCCTTCCAAAGATGGTTATATAGCTTGTAACTATACTATATTTAGTTAAATTACTTTGAAATCTTTGTATTTAAACAGCAGTTAAAAAAATTGAAATAGTTCTTATTTTATGGAATATTGGGTAACATTCTGCAAAATAAAGAACAGCACGAGCATGATGAGTGTTAAATTACAAATCAAGACATAACTAATTCTAGATTTTACCGGTAAATTAAATCCAGGATTATCCTACCCTTGCATTCAATGCTCTAAACATGCTTGCAAACGTTATGAGTTTAATTCCTAAATTTCCTGTTTGGGGAGTTGTGGTCCCCCCCACCCCGCGCTTTTCAACCCTCATGGAAAATTGTGGCAACAGAAAAACTACCCACTAATCCCTTCTTTACTTCTTTATCCCACACCCTACAATGTCAATTGACTTTGAAGCATTAACTGCCAAGCAAAACTTCCCACTCTGGGAACAAACTCCTGAAGATGTCTTGAAAACTGCCAATGAATTGATTGAAAAACAAAAGAATCTTTTTGATAAAATTGCAGCTACGGAAGAGCCAACTTTAGACAACCTTTTGAAACCATTTGCCGAATTGAACAACAAGGACGCATTTCCTGAACTGCAAGTCACTTTTTACCAATATGTTTCTACCAACAAGGAATTACGTGACGCTTCTACCAAGGCTGAAGAATTGATTGAAGAGAGTTCCATTACCGAATGGTCAAGACCTGAAGTTTACAAGGTGTTCCAAAAGTTGTACGATGCAGTGAAAGACACTGATATTGACCCTGAATCTAAAAGATATTTGAAGAAATCTGTTACCGCCTTCAAAAGGAATGGTTTGGCATTACCTGAAGAAACCAGAGAGAAAATCAAAAAGTTAAAGGTTGAATTGAGTAATTTGAGTGTTCAATTTGCGAAAAACTTGAATGAAGAAAAGGGATTTGTCTTGTTCACCAAGAAGGAATTAGATGGTGTTCCTGAAGATGTTATTGGTCTGTATTCCAAGGCTGAACAAGATGGAGAAGAGAAATTGAAGGTTACTTTCAAGTATCCTGATATTTTACCTTTATTGAAACATGCTCATAATGGAAACACTAGAAAGACCGCCTATATTGCTTACAACAACAGATGCTCTGAAAATGCACCAATTTTAGAACAAATCATCAAGGTTAGATATGAATTGGGCCAATTACTAGAATATGACACTTATTCCGACTTTGTTTTAGAAGAAAGAATGGCAAAAAAGAAGGAAGTTGTTTTAGATTTCTTGTCTGATTTAAGAACAAAGTTGACTCCAGTTGCTACGGTTGAATTGGAAGAATTATTAAAATTGAAAAACGACGACTTGAAATCCAGAGGCTTAGAACCTGAAGATAAAGTGTATGCTTGGGATTCTGCTTATTACAATGAATTGTTATTAGAAAAGAAGTATAGTGTTGATAATATCAAGATTGCAGAATACTTCCCATTAGAATCTACAGTTAACAAAATGCTTGGATTCTATGAAACTATTTTTGATATTAAATTTGTTAGAATTGAAAAGCCAGCTAAAGGTGCAGTTTGGCATGAAGATGTTCAACAATTCGCCGTATACAAGAACATCAAGCACGGCGAGCCACGCCAAGAATTTATTGGTTGGATCTACTTTGATTTGCATCCAAGAGAAGGTAAATATGGCCATGCAGCAAACTTTGGATTAGGTCCTGGTTATTTAGAAGATGATGGAAAGACTCGTCATACTCCAGTCACTGCGTTGGTTTGTAATTTCACCAAACCAACCCCTGAAAAACCATCGTTATTGAAACATGATGAAGTCACCACTTTTTTCCATGAATTGGGTCATGGTATTCACAATATCATCTCTCAAACTAGATATGCTAGATTCCATGGTACTAGGGTCGAGCGTGATTTTGTTGAAACTCCTTCACAAATGTTGGAATATTGGACCTGGTCTAAGGATGAAATTAAAGGTTTATCATCTCACTACAAGACCGGTGAACCAATTGATGATGATTTAGTCGACAAATTAATTAAAACTAAACATGTCAACACTGGTATTTTCAACTTACGTCAATTATTCTTTGGTATTTTTGACATGCAAGTTCATACCATCAAGGATAAAAAGGATTTAGACGAATTAGATTTATTCAAGAAATGGAATAGCTTAAGAGAAGACATTACCTTGATTAGTAGTGACAATAACCCAACAAAGGGTTATTCCTCATTTGGACACATTGCTGGTGGCTATGAAAGTGGTTACTATGGTTACTTGTATTCCTTGGTTTATGCTGCAGATATTTATTATACCCTCTTCAAGAAAGATCCAATGAATGTTGAAAGTGGTATTAGATACAGAGATATCATTTTGACTAGAGGTGGATCTAGAGATAGTATCGACAACTTGAAGGAGTTGTTAGGTAGAGCGCCAAATGCCCAAGCATTCCTTCAAGAAATTTTTGGTTAAAGAAGAAAAAAAAAAATTCAATATTTTTATTTAGTTATAGAACCAAAATCTAAGCTTCACTTTGACTTTGACCTTCAAAAGCAGAAAGGTTAGTAGTAGCTTCGTCCCAAGAAACATGGTGATAAGACATTTCTCTAACAGCCTTGATAATTTCGTGGAATGAACCTCTCAATTGTTTAGTAGTATCTCTGTCTCTTAAAGTAACAGATTCATCCTTAAGAGAATCAAAATCAACGGTGATACCGAATGGAGTACCCAATTCATCATTTCTGGCATATCTCTTACCAATAGAGGCGGAAGAGTTATCAACTTTGAATGGAATATGTTGCTTTCTCAAGTAGTCAGAAACCTTCTTGACAATTGGGAGAAGTTCTGGACTATTGGATAATGGAACAACCAAGACCTTGGTTGGGGCAACAAGAGGTGGCAATGACAAAACACCTCTATCTTCATCTTCTGGTCTGGTCCAGAATGCATGTTCCAAAGCAGCGTAGACGATACGACCAATACCAAATGATGGTTCAATGACATTTGGAGTGTATTCTCTAACGTGTTCAGTTCTCTTGATCTTGTCAATCTTGATTAAATCAGGACCCAATTCAACTGGTTCGGCAATACCTGGAATAGTAACGACAATCTTGCCGTTGGCCTTTAATTCCTTGTCGAATTCTTCTAATTCACATTCAGTTTGAGCAAGTAAGAATTTTTCAACAGTAGCGGCATCCTTTCTAAATCTTGGACCAAACTTCTTCTTTTCAATTTCAATTTCCAACTTTTCAACAGTAATTGGTTCATCCAAGGTTTGTCTAACAACTAACTTGGTGTTAGTTCTGGCAGAGTGGACAGTCAAATCGTAAGCAGATCTATCAGCACAACCAACACATTCAATCCAACCATAAGAAGTTTCAATTTCAGTGTCCCAACAATCAGAGGCATAATGGGCCATTTCATTAGACATATGTTGTCTTAATCTCATTCTTTGAGGGTTAATACCAATCTTGACCAAGAACAAGTAAATTCTGGCAATGAAATAACCTAAAGTTTCATTGTCAACCATACCAGAAGCAACAGCTTCACCAATAGTTTGTTCAACGATTTCAGTAGATCCTTGTTCTTGAATACCCTTTGGCCAGAATCTCAACTTGATATCTTTAACTTCATGGAATCTTGGGTGAGATTTGTCGTTTGGATCAACGTAGTGTTCAATTTCAGCCATCAAGAATTCACGGACTCTCAATAAACCAGCTCTTGGAGCAATTTCGTTTCTGAAAGACTTACCAATGGTGGCAGAGGCAAATGGCATCTTATCATTGTTGAAATCTAATAATCTAGCAAAGTTCAAGAATTGACCTTGAGCAGTTTCTGGTCTCAAGTAACCCTTTAAAGTACCAGATGGACCAATTAAGGTATCAAACATCAAGTTGAATTCAACTGGTGGTTCTAATTTACCACCGGTAGCTGGGTTGGTGATATTGTACTTTTCAATCAATTCACCCAATTGAGGACCAGAGTAACCGTCAATTTGGGCCAAGACGTGTTCGTATTCTTCCACGACAGCATCATCCAATTTTTCCAACTTAATTTCCTTAACCTTCTTCTTTCTCTTCTTCTTGTCTTCACTTTCTTGCTTGGTGTGTTCAAGACCTCTGGCAGCCAAATCACCCTTCAATCTTGATTCCAAGACTTCTTCCACCAAATGGTCAGCTCTAAAGATTTCACCAGTCTTCAAATCTCTAAGCATCCAATCAGAAAATCTATCGACGTGACCAGAAGTCTTCAAAACGTCATGTGGGGTCAACATGGTAGCTTCGACTTCTAACATGTCTTCTTCCAAGATGAAATGCTTCTTCCAAGCATCAACAACGTTATTTTGGAATGCACATCCTGGAGGACCGAAATCGAATAAACCAGCAATACCTCCGTAGATTTCAAAAGCTGGGGCATAAAAAAATCTTCTCTTTAATGCTTGTTCTAATTTTTCCCTGGAGAATGATTGCGCAGTAGTTGTACTAGTCATTCTTACCGATATGTTCTTTACAATTGGGGAAACAAACGATCTATAGTTTATAAAGCGAGTTATATTGAATGTAACAACAATTGAGGCAATTGGGGAAGAAGGGGGGAGTGAGGAGAGGAAAAAGCCAAGTATATTGTCCACGAAATTACCTCCTGAAAAATTTGTGATGATTCATAAATGTGGTAAGTGCACGTACGTCGCATTCTCATACGATCTCAAATGTGGTGGTCATGAGTTTACAAATACAACCTTTGGTAACATCTACAACCTTGGTCATTAAAACAATATTAAAAAATATATATCAACCAAGCTATGTAAACCTTATAGATAAAAAAAAATCTTTTATCACATATTTTTCTTGTCATTGTTTTCATAAACGATATCATTGTAATTGGGGTATTTGGTGATTTTCCAAAAACTAAGTTGTGACCATGGATAGGTGGTTGCATTTAGATTATCATCACCATACCATGATACACATCCGCCAAAAGCAGTACCAAAAATACTTCTCTTTAATTCTTTTTGAACGGAATTGAACCAATCATAATATGCTTCTGTTTTAACCACCATTGATTTTGCCTTTCCTTGAAGAATTGGCTTGGCTGTCTTGGCATAATAGTTCAAGGCATTTTCAAGAGCCATAACCACCGAGGAATGACCAGTAGCAATGTTTGGACCATCAATCATGTAAAAGTTAGGACAATCTTTAATTAACATGGTACGATAAGCAGTTGGACTCTCTTTAGTCCAAAGTTCTTTTATATTGGTTTTGTTTCTTCCAATAATATCAAAGTTTGACAAGAAATTCTTCGAAATGTCATACCCAGTACAAGCTACGATGATATCGGCTTTAATATGGTCGCCATTCTGAAGAATAACCCCATCTTCGACAACTTTAGAAATACGCTCATTTTGGAGGTTAATTCGCGGGTCGTGCAAGGAAGGAATATAATTATAATCAAAGATTATTCTTTTGCAACCAATTTTGAAATCAGGAATAAGTATGTCATGATATTTTGCAGGAGCAGTTTTCATATAATTAACAGCGCTTCGAGTGTTAATATAACGGACAATTCTAGCAAGTAAACCATCACCTTTATACATTGGAAATCTTGATTCAGCTACTAAAACCACGAGCCAACGAACTAAAAGTAAACCAATCCGGGAAAACGCTAACGCCTTGTACAAGTAAAATAAGATCCATGGTACAGGAGGAGCTATGTAATGTTTTGCCCTGACTATTTGGTTGATAGATTTAACATTATACTTTTCTGAAAGCAAAGAAGGAATCAATTGGTTTGCAGAACAACCATTCCCAACAACAATAACATTCTTATTTTTGAAATCAACAGAATGATCAAAAATAGCCGAGTGCATATACTTTCCTTTGAAATTCTCAAGCCCATCAACTTCAAGTTGTCTGGGACATACCAAAGCACCTTGGCACGACAAAACTATGTTCGCAGTATGGATAATCTTGCGACCTGTAGCAACATCATGAGCTGTGATCTTCCAAGTTGCACTACTATCGTCATACTCTAATTTTTCAACAGAAGTACTAAACCTAGTCTTTTCCCTTAACTTGTATTTGTCTGCCACTCGCAAAATATATTCTTCAATTTCGTGACCTGGAGGTTGAACACGACTCCAGTTATTGGTCAATTCAAATGAAAAAGAGTACCATAAAGCAGGAATATCACATGCAATCCCAGGATAGGTGTTGGCATACCAAGTCCCACCAAAGTTATCAAGCCGTTCAAATACCATTACATCTGGTTCTTTTAATTTCTCCAAAGTAGAAATTACAGCAGCCATACCACCAAATCCTGCACCGATAATAAGAACTTTCGACAGAGTTTTCAAAGGCTTTAATTTTTCATTATGAGGAATTGTTTGATTAGGGCCAAGTACTCGATTGGCAACTTTGAAAGGAACCCTGAATTTTTCAGGATTCTGTTGAGATTCGTGGGTTAACGTTACAGACATGTTTAGGGTTTATCGTTTGACTGCGTTTAATTCATTACAATTGAAAGAATATTTTATGACGTATTTATAGATAACGTGGCAAACAGGATCCATGTGCTTTTTATCGTTACCCCACAAGGGTATAATGCGCGGATAATAAAAAACCCATAAAGTTTTTCCCCACCTTTAAGATATGAAGCTCGTGAATTTTTCACTATTTTACCCGAAATCAGCAATAGGCGAATACCAGCAGTGCTCTTGACATATAACTGTATCTCCGGCAAAGTCGGCAATCGAATTCTCAACAAATTCTTATGTCATATGCACCTTTTGTGATATTGATGGCAAAAATATTTTTGACATTTAAGGAGTAAGGAACAATGGCTTAGCCCATTGGCATGTCGAAATCTATAAATAAGGGGCAAGTATCGTATGTTCTCAGTCTAAATATTTTTAGCAGAGAGCTCGTCTATATAACCCGCTTTTTCAAACTAGTTCAAATCTAGTAAAAGTTATCGATATTTAATAGGAAGTTATTAGCAAAATAACTTTTTGAATATTCTTTACCGAACATAGCAACGTACAGACATTAAGGTCTTTTTACACTAGCCAGTTTGCATGTGAACTACTTTGCTAGCATTTTCCCCTCTTAGCGGCAAAGATGTCTTTGGGAAATAGCATATTGCGCTGAAAATACTCTTTTTGCGCATTCTTTTCTCTAGTTTAATTACATGTTACTATCTCTATAAAATCTATACTATGCCAATTTATACTCAGTATCTTCCATGAACAGCTCTTCATCATACTCTTCTGTCCTATATGGATCCAGCTCATCCTCCTCACTAACTTTTTTAATAATCAAAACAATCATAGTAACAACACAAGAAATTGCAAAAATTTTATCAAACCAGTTATCAATAAATAAAACTTCGGCGTTAGCATTTCGCTTATTTGAACTTCCTGAAAGTGATAAGATTTTTGAAATTTGATTTGACAAATTTGTAGGTAAGTTGGTTCTAATTAACAATGCCGTAGCAATAACATAAATTCCAATTAATTCTCCAATTATTAAATGTTTCAACCAATTCTTGGTTGTGTTGGACGAAGAACCAACAAAAAATCGAGAAAACGATTTGAATGTAATTAAGACATTATTAAATGAACATATGAATAACCCTCCCGAGATCACAAAACTTAACTGGTTGACTAGTTGTGCTTTTGATATTGGTAAATTCTTAAATATCGTTAAAATTAATCCTGCTATTGTAATTGCAATAGCATCTTTACTTCTTGTTTCATCTTCCAAATCATCTTCACTATATCCACCATAAAGGTATAATAATGGCAATTTTATAGCGAGTACATTAATGATACGATAAACACAATAAACTCCAAATGCAATATTTCCCAAATAAAATAATTTGGTCAATATGGTAGCGCCGCCTTGGTTTTGTTGCTGTTGTCGTAAATATTTACCAGTAATTTTTGTTATATCGTCGTAAAGATTGTTTCGTAAAGTCTTTAATGATTCAACTTCCTTAGATAATTCTGTTTCTTCACTGTTATTACTGGACATTGGTAAAGTTGTGAATGATTGAACCCTATGCATAAAAGAAGTCAAATTTTTCCTCTTCGGAATAAGTATATTGTCACGAGAAACATCGATATCTGGCATATTATACACTTTACCATCTTGAGTTGTTAATTTAGTCAATTCCATTTTCCGTTTACTTAATAATGAAGTGGTATTATTAAAATACTGAATTGCAGTATTGATATCACTTTCACCGAGTTCTTTCTTCTTGTTTGATTCAACAAAATCTTGATTAACTCGACGAGTAATTAATCTTTCTATGTTGAATACTCGATATGGGGTTGAAGTACAACCGATTCCTGATAAGATGGCTAAAATTGTAATTCCAACAATTGAAATTTCATTAACCTTCCGTTCGATTAAATTTCTGGTACTATCGTCCTTGCTTGCACGTGGACTAAATTGATGAGTTAAATCACCACATTTATGTAATATAACAAACCAGATTATAAATAATGCAACCGCAACCACGGATTTCCGTTTTGATCTAGTGAATGATGCCAACTCTTGAACCATGAACAAACTAATGATGCAAAATGGCAACATAAATATAAGCAAAAGCATTAAAGTATCAATTGTGAATTTAAATAATGTTAACCTCACTTCCACTTCTAAATAATCTCCCAATTCACACATCATTAAAATTACTAGTCCTATACTTAATGCAAGGGTCATACTAAATAACACACCAATTATCATATTCTTCGCCCCTTCTCTTTCTCCTCGTGATTGTGCTGGCTTGGTATCAGAATCATCCTCGCTATTCTCTTCAATATTAACTCGTATAATATTCAACCCATACTTCTTGTGTAGGATGCTGTCTAAATATTCATTGATTTGGGATCGTGGTATATGCAAGAAATTGGAATATCGTTGAATTATATTCTTGTTATATATGAAGATGTATCCCCATATGAACATCAATAGTAGAACACATAGGTACGATAATAATACTAGGATTGGCATTGCATATGTGTGAACTTTCTGCCTGGTTGTAAAGATGCTGTCAACTTTTTGTTATCACTTCTACTATCTTCAAATCCTCACTATTTTTGTGCACTCCACACGACCTTTAGAAAAATTTTTGTGAGAATTAAAGTGAAAAATTCTAAACAGGTAAAGACTACCCTCCAATACCCCTTCAGTTCAGTAAATAGACAGTCAAAATGGTTATGCGTACGAGAGCTGAAAAGAATATGAGAAAGCACTTAGTTGCTCAACTCAAAGCCAGAAAAATCTTAGGAGCTAGAGTAGCACAAGGTGACAAATCAGCTGAAGAATTAGACAAGTTAGGCTTTGCACCACAAATCTTCTTATTCAAAAACTTATTCTCGGGACAAGTATTATATTCCAAAGTTCCAGCTTACCATCAAGATCAAATCGATGAACAGTTTGTTGCACCAAATTGGCAAAATAGAAAGCCTTCACGAAGAAACGATTTGTGGAAAATAATGTGCATTGCCAATTTTGCCAATTTTGAATACTCAAATGCAGCATATGAAGGTTTGGTTCAATTAAGAAAAGTTAGAGATGTTGAACAAAAGAAAGAAGCACAAGCAATGAGAAAAAAGAATGACGATGGAAATATTTGGTATTCCGGTCAATATAGACCAACTTATTCACAAGAAGCGGTTGCTGATTTGTCTCATGTAATTGATGAATTTCAATTAGAGGATACTAAGTTGTTATGGGAAAATGATTGGAGAAGAGGTGATGATAAATATTGGAGAGAAGACTTAGTAGAACATTTTAATTTACCTACTTATAATCCAAAATATCAAACTGTTATGTTAGATTTAGTAAGAGAAAAGGCTCGAGCTGAATTTGAAGCATTAAGACAACAACAGGAAAATAGTGAGGCTCAACAAAGCTAAGTAAATAACCATTTGTAAATAGAATTTAGCTGTACATAGAAATGTGGCTCATTTTGAAACAACAAAATTATTGTAAGTAAAATGAATCGTAGGATGCAAATTCTTAATCGTGAAGGGAATTTGAATAAGTGTTTTTAATTAACTCACAAAATTTAGAATTATATCATAAGTTGATTGAACAGTAGTCGCTATGGTATCAGAACTTAAACAACATTAAATAAAAGCCTTCCCCTGGCCCTGTTCTGGAACCATACAACCAATTTCTTGATCTTATTCTTATCCTTCAATTTAACCTCTATCGCTTCAATTAATCCATTCAAGGTTATACCGTTTGACGACCCGAAAGCTATATAGGAATATATACTTGAAAAAATGGTGTATACCAAATTTTACTATCAAGCAGATTTTATACACAGTTTCATAGGAACTTGTCTATAGTCAATGATATCACAAAGATAAAATAAACAACCCCCCCCCCCAATTGGAACATGAAGCATCCTACTCGAACAGGTATTAATCACGAGGGTGCATAGCTCAACTCACAAATCAGCCCTCGAATTTGAGGATGTAAGATGTTTTGTCCAAGTTTACAAGAAATACGACTTACAAGGTCATAATGATCCAGATTCATTGCAGAAAATAGAAAACTTGATGAGGTTTGGAACCTCCACCCTCCCCAAAAATCACATGAATTCGTTTTGAATAACAAGTTTTATTTTGTTAAGAGACATAGAAATGGATCAAATGATTCACCAAATTTCCATTATAGTACAGCAAAGACTAATTTTTCAACCTTTCCATATATTCATAACCTACAAAATCCAATTCATTACAACGTTGGCACCCCAGAATTATAAGATTAGACGGTTGCGAAAACGACGATTTTATTGGGTCATTGTTTCTATTTTTTTGCCTCGGCAGCAGGGTAAAATTTACGACAGTGAATTTAACTAAATTAGGTTGGAAGTGGAGACGCGTAATAGTCGTCGTCTCTGTGTGATTTGATAGACTGATATGTAACAGCTCATATTGTTGCTCACGTGCAGCATTTATGTGTGCTGGATGTTCCTTCATTACTGAACGAACAATTTTATATTTAACAAATCATCTTAACTTCTACGCAAAATTTCAAAACTTCAGTAGGTACCAGAACAAGGTTCAAACATATAGTCATCATGGTTCTAGAACTTCAGCAGCACCAGTATCAATCAAAGAGCAGGAAATCCCCCGCTCTTCTTGATCTCCCTGATGAGGTTCTCGAACTTATAATCAACCAACTTACTCAACTTGATATCGTTCAGGTTCGATTATTAAATTCAAAATTATGTGATTTGGCCTCCCGAAAACTATACAAAAACATATATTTGAATAATAGTGGGCCCAGAATTTACCTATCAAACAAGCTACACACATCATTTTATGACAATTACACTATAGTCAACGATAAGAAAAAATTTAAAAAAGTGATTCCTAACCGCAACATGAAATATACTCAGCAAATTATGTTTCGGATAGAGCATGAAGATGAAATATATTTAAAAATGTATATAGTAGAGCTATTTCCTCACATTGTTATTAAGGGGGATCCATTCGATGAAGAATACTTCATTTATTCGGATGGTATTAGCCACTTTCATTTACCAAGTTTTAGAAAACCACCTCAAGACAGATCTTTGGTTAATAGATTAACTATCGACAGCCCACTATCAGAAGAGGTTGACATTATATCACAATTTTCAAACATAGCAAAAGTTGAGCTTTCTGAAATTGATAATTTTACGCTCAACCTATTGTCAAATTTTAGCCACAACTTTTGCAAAGTTACAAGTTTGACTATTTCCGATAGATTAGAATTAGACATCAAATTATTGGCAAGGTTGTTTAAATTAGATCAAATCACTTCCTTCCAGCTTCAGCTTTACCGCAACTTGGGTGATGGTTCAATTTATTCCGATTTTAAATGGATCCTTTCGCAAATGACAAATTTAAAGCATTTAGTATTGTCATCAAACCTTGGGCTTGAAAATTACCTTCTGGGGCAACTAAATCCAAATTCATTGCTTTCTTTTGTTTTAATATCTAATTATGGCCCAAGATACGAATTTACCTTACCCATGTTTTTGCTTGAACAGCAGTCAATCACAAGGTTATGCTTCTCAACAAGCACACTAGAAACAAGTATATTCTGGAATCCTAATAGATTTGAACGAATTAGCAGAACCAATGGCGAGCAAAACCGAGGTGATAAAGGAGCAACAAATTATATTCAAAACTTAATTAGATTTGGGAAATGCCCAAGATTGAATCAATTTATTATAAACAATACCTACTATTTTGTTGAGAGACATTCAAATGATTCAATTGATTTTACTAAGTTTCCAGAATAGGTAAAACTCGTTTGAGGTTAATTATCACAGAAAATTTACGTATGAATTGCTTTGTCAGTGGGATTTGAGTATTAAATGGTTGCAAAAAAAAAAGGAAACATACGGAATGTCATGTTTGCTCTTCAAATAAATAAAATATGAACAGAAAATTTTAACATTATGTTACTTAATCGTAAACCATTCTAGCATAACCCAGCCTATTATTTTGCGTGTGGATAATGCTTGTTCTATGTCGAGTTACAAGACTGGGTGTTGGGCGAAATTGCAGAAAAAACTAAAATTTCAGTCGGCATACTTTAAATAAACATCCAATGATATTTTGATTTAATTTCTACGTAGCTCTGATTATACATTTGTTTTGCTTTGATTGAAGAAAGCTTGTCTCTTAATGACATCAGGACTTCTGTATCAAGCTCTCCAAAGAAATGGCAGGAGGACCAGCTCTCTTATTGATTTGCCTGTTGAAGTACTTGAATCAACTTCCGAACGTCCCAAAAAACTTCATTTCGTTCAGCTCCTGGAAACAAATTCATAATTATACGAAGTGGTCAACCAGATACTATACAAGAACATTTATTTAAATAATGAACGGGTTTAAATTGCCCTTTAGCCCCAGTTTTCAGTCCGATGTGAACCCCATTCAACCAGCCAAACATTGAAATTATTGTTTACTCCTAAGAAAAAAAAACAACTTATTACTTAATTTATCAGTACGAGCCATAATCGGGAAACAAATAAATAAGTTTAATGTGCTTAGTTTGCCCCAGAGTTTACTGAAACATGAATCAATTAACCGCTTATATTTCTTAACATATATACCAAAATAATTCTGGCTTTTGGTATATGCAGAATTTTTGCTGAATCTACAAGAGCACTGCTGGTGAAATTCAAACTGATTCGGAAGTCGCGGCGCAAATTCAAAGTTTATTTAGATTTGGAAAGTACCCAATATTGAAAAGATTTATCGTTGATGACAAGTACTACTTAGTTTAGAGAAATTGGTGGTTTGTTGGTTTTACCAAGTTTTTTCGAATCGGTCAACCTGCAAGTGGTTTAATATTTGCTACATTTTAGAAGCTGCAAGTAGTTCATTTTGCGGCGTGTTTCCAAAAGCTGCCTATTGCTCTTACTTCCAATCTAGAAATGTGATTATTCTTTATATTATGCCTTTAATTTCTTCCCTTTCATATTTTTATATTAACTCGTGCTTCGTCTTTGCCCAATTCCGCTTTTATTGTACTTTTGCAGGAACTCGGGGTATTATTTTCACCTTTCCAAAAATTTTTTTGCAGCCAATCCGATTCGCAAAAGAATTATAAACTGAACAATATCTTCAAGAGGGGTAAAATTGATTTTTCAATTATTTTTATCGAGTCAGTTACAGATATTCTTAGCGCAGACTGTCTCAGTACAAATCATACTTCTTAGCAAAGAGTTGAATCAACTAGGAAATTCTATCACTGCAAGAAGGACATGTAAAACCCAAAAATTGACCAGCCAATTAATGGCTTTAATGATTTTTACTGGTTAATACATTTCCTGAAATTCGACAGTCGTTGGGCCAGTTTCTGGCCGTCCTCATTTGAAATAGTCCGGACTTTGCTCTGTATTTCAAAACCCTTCGGAGCCGTTTGTTTGCTCATTGTTCCCGCCAGAGCAAATTACCAGAATAGGCAAAACGCCACTTATTTATTTCCGTATCACGTGACATCGCATAATAAAATTGTTGTTTCCCGCACCAGACAAAGGCCGACACGGCAAGGGCCGCCATCAAAGAACATATTTTTGCGAATCATTTAAATTTTTTTTTTTTTGCAAGCCATAGTTTATAACCATCTAGTAAACAACCCAGAGGCGGAAACACCTGTGATTAACTATGGATTTTTATTATAATAAACTGATGGGAAATGGGACAATCACTGGCAAATTCAGATTGAATCCTATCACTGCTAGTGTTCAACTGAATCAATCTAATTTGCGTAGTGAAATTGTCCCAAAAGTGGACCCACCGGCAAACTCCGTACAAAACCCCGTACAAAAGTCACCAGAACCAAGTCAAACCACTACAACTAATACTGATGTAAAGTTCATATATAATAAAGAAGTACCGACTGAGCCGAACCAGGTTATAGGCACGCATCATTCAAGTAATTGTAATCGATGTTATCGGTTGAAAAAGAAATGTTCCCGAGAATACCCCAAATGTTCAAACTGTGTAAGGACTACTTCGGAATGTGAATATATAAATAGGTCAAACAAGAGGAGGAAAAGAACAAAACCAGCGGAAGCTGAACCTGTTGAAAGTGTTGTGGCTAATAAGTTAGTGTCGGTATCTTCCTTGTTATCCAGTGAATCCGAGACGCAGGTTATACCTACTCTACTGACGATATCAAGCGAATCAGAGTTCATTACTATGAAAGCTATATATGACGATTTACCTTTGATTTTTGTTTTAAATTATTTTGAAAATTACAGTTATCGATATCCCTTTATTAACCGGACGGATTTTTTATCTGCATTTAAGAAAATTGAATTTTCCAAAGAGACAATTTTAAATTTAGATGTCTATTTGTTAATGAGCATTGGATGTTTAATTTATGATTCTAAATGTAATACAAAGTATTATAATGAGTATTTCAAGGAAAAGAATATAGAATCGATTGTAAATGGTGTTGATGCAAAGTTTGATATTGAAAACTTAAAATTGTTGCTTTTATTAACTATTCACGCAATTACTTCAGTCAATCGAGACTTGTGTTGGAACTTAATTGGGGTGTTGAATAGAGCAGTAATTAAGTGGGATATGTATACTTCAAAAGATTTACTTCAGCAAAGAATTGTCTGGACAATTCATAATCTCGACAAGGAAATTAGCTTGCTACTAAAGAAACCATCCCAGTTTCCAAGTTATGAATATTTACAAGTGGAATATCCTCTCACTATCAAGTTGTACGAAGAAGAGAGTTTACCCTTGGTTAATAAGAATATCGAATTGTCTAAATTGAAACAAACTATTCTTCATTTGAACTTAACCCAAAGCAAATCTGATCTTCATGAATTATCGGGTGAACTTGAGAAATGGAGAATCAGTTCCAGCAAAGTTATACATCAATCCAGCGATATTTCTGATTTGATATCTTGGATCAATATGCAATATTATTATCTACTTATTGAATTAGATCAAGTGTCCGACAGTCAATCATTTCAATTCACATTGCAATATTTGTCTAATTCATTTACATTATTAATATCCAGTTCTGACAGACAAAAATCAAATACGAAACTTTCAATTACGTCGAATTTATTTTGGTTTATTCAATTATTTAACGTTATTAAGTTTAATATTATGTCATTACGACATTTAATTGAAACAAATGATCAAACGCGCCTAGAGGAGTTCAATAGTAATTTATTATTGATTTTGAATTTGCTAAAATATCTTAAAGTCAATTTTGCCATTAATCATCTGATAAGTTTGTTAGTTGAAGCTCGAATTGCAAAATTAACTGAACTTAGCTTGGAGTTAATGAAAGTCAATGAAAGTGGTAAAAAGAACTTATTGGAAAGGATAGCCAAGATTGAAACCAGTTTATAGAGGATAAATAATATTTCAGTTACACTATATATGATGTTACAATTACTGCAAAAAAAAATAAAAAAAGAAGTCGCATGACGGAAATCAAAACAGTCATTTCTTTTCTAGAGGCTTTGAAAAAAAAATTTTCGGCTGTTACATTGCTTTTTTTTTTTGTCTGTCAATATTTAACTCCGATAGAACCGCAAGCAAACGTAAGTTGATGTTGACAAGATTTCTTTAATGTCATGTTCTTTTTCTTTAAATCAGTATGAAGACGAACCGTGTTAGATTTACTATAATACATTGGTATTTATTGCCACTTGTAAGTCTAGTAGTATGGTGGGGGATGTTGATCGCATTGTTAGCATGTTGGGGCGCTCAAGGTAGACCAATATACTCATTCATGACAAAATATCAAAATCCAGTCTACATTTCAAGCATAGCCGCAACAAATTTACAGCCATTATTCATCGCATGCAGTGGATTTCAAGCGATATTCTTTGTGTGCACGTTAGTAGTAGCGTACTACTTGAGAACTCATGGCAAGATCCAATCTTATATCCTGAAAGTTCAACAGAGATTCGCTATAGTTAGCATGGTGTTTGCCACTATTGGTCAATTGGGGATTTTATTCACATCAATCTTTAATACTTCTGCATTTCCAAAAGTACATATTTCCTTCGTGGGAATATTCATAATCTGTGTTTTTTTAGCTTGTGTTTTTGACTTTCTAATTTCATTTATGTTTGGAACTCATCCCGATAAACTTGATCCTCATCATGACTTTGTGATATTTGGTCACCATAAATGGCTGAATTTGTATATGGTTGCATTTGGATTAAAGGTCGTTTGGGTAGCCACTGCTGTTGCATTAGCTGTTTGTTTTGGATATTATATGCGTATTGGGCATAAAAGTAGGAGTGCCATTTTTGAGTGGGTGATTGCATTTTGGTATGGTTTGTTACTTATTATGTGGTCCATGGATTTATTGTCCAGTGCAATTAGATCTTATGAACGGAAACATAATACGGAATTTGACAAAACGGAGATTACTTGTCTGGGATCAAATGACTCTACTTTTGTATAGAATGTATAGAATATAAGAATATTTTGCCAGAAAGTGTTAGTCGGACCTGTAAGGTTTACGCTGTCATATGCAGATCAATGCAAGATATTAACATTTTCCCTTTCCCTTCTCCACATAAGGGGTGCTCTTGGCATAGCCTGGTGGTTGGCTGTATGGTATTTCCGATGGTGGAAATATGTTTCCATATTAAGCAAATGCGCACATTACAATAGAGCGGATTTTGATGTCTCGGATAGTGACTCGGGCCTTACCCCGATCATCATCTTGGGACAAAAGGAAAAAAAAAAAAAAAAGAAAAAAAGTAAGACTTTTTCAATATATATTGCTAGCTAAATATCTAGAACAATACCATTGGAATTTTAGTTGGAATAACGCTTCACATCACAACACAAGGGTACATTTCACATGGCGACCGAAAAATCTATGGATAATATTGAAAATGAACTACAAGTACTGCCTTCAAACACGTCTATAGAGAGAAGTACAACTCATACAAGTACTCATACAGTTGTACGGACCTCAACTTTTCTCTCGCGTCATGAACAACTTGACGATCCCCATAAGTTTTCCGATGGGTGGAATAGACGATCTTTATTGGTCTTATTTGGGTCATTCTTCGGTATGATTGGTTCTTTGGGTTTTGTAAACTCAGGAGGGGTTCTACAAACATATTTACTACAAAACACATTAAAGGATATACCTCCATCCACGGTGGGTTGGATTTTTTCCGTATATAACTTCTTTGCATTTGGAATGACATTAATATCGGGACCGATATTCGATAAAGTAGGTTGTAAGATTCCTATTGCATTTGGTACCGTGGTTATGACTGTCGGGCTTATACTTACCAGTTTCTGTACCAAGGTATATCAATTTATATTAAGTTATGGAATACTTACGGGATTGGGAGCAGCATTCACGTTTGGTCCTTTTGTCTCATGTCTTAGTCATTATTTCTTGAAAAAGAGGGCATTGGCCATTGGTGCTTCCTATACTGGTGGTGGAATAGGTGGAGTGGTATTGCCATTAATTTTCAGAAGCTTATTTGGCAAGGTCGGATTTGGATGGACTCTAAGAATTGGAGCATTCATATGTTTGTTTTTTTTGGTTACGGGTTGGTTATTGGTAAATGATAGACATGAAGAATTTAAAGAAGAGAGTGACGAAAGTATATTCAAACAAATCGTTGGTTCAGTCGATTTCAAAATCTTGTTCCATCATGGTTTATTCTCCGTCATTGTTTTTGGACTTTTGTTTAACGGTCTTGCATTTTTAATCACACTTGTGGTTATATCTTCATACTCAACATCACGAGGATTCTCCGACTCAGATTCATATTTACTAGTAGTGGTGTTCAACTGTTTCAGTATACCCGGTAGAATTATCCCCAGTATCTTAGCCGACAATTATCTCGGTAGATTCAATACTTTCTGCATGATAAACACATTCTCAATAATAGCATTCACAATCATTTGGTTGCCATTTGGACATCACTTACAAGCATTGTTCGTATTTGCAGCCGCATTTGGGTTTTCAAGTGGGTCAGTATTAAGTTTATCCGCCAGTTTGGTGGCATCAATTATACCCACAAGTGAAATCGGTAAAGGGTTAGGAACAGCATTTTTCATCTTATCGATTGGTGACTTGTTTGCTATTCCTATTTCGGGGGCTATAACAAATTCCGGTACGAGAAAAAGCTATGATAATTTAGTGGTGTTCCTAACTTGTTGTGCTGGTGTAGGATGGATTATTAGTTTTGTTGGTAGGTATTTATATGGAGGGTTAAATCTTAAACGAGCATAGATATTAATATATTAATTACAAAGTTTCATTGTGATATTTACTTGTAGAAATTAGAAAGTATGACAGGTTAAACTAATTTGGTCAAAGATGCGGTATATTTCGCTAATTTACAACCAGTAAAATTTTATACCATGTTTGTCATGTTTTAATATACAACTATATACTCTACTTTTTCAATTCACAAGAAATCGATAGTTTCTGAATTTGAAACATCAGTAAATGCTTCTACAGATACAGCGTGTAATCGAGAAAATGAGCCTCTCATCATAAGCTTCCACATCGATCTTTTCAATCTAAAAGCAATAATATCACCTTTAGCTTCGCCATCGTCGGATTTTTTCCTCTTCTTGGTAGGATTGTCTTCGGACACACCTAATAGCTCTTCAATCCAATTATCCTTAACTGGTTGTCCATTAACGGTGCATTTTGAATCTTTGAACCCGGCAAAAAACGTGATTGCTGGTGTATCCAGATTCAACCCAGTGGTGATAGCACTTTCGAGGTAGTCCTTGAAAGTTTGCGTGATTTTAGTACACAACTTATTGGTTATTTTCACAGTAGGTAATCCCGTCAGTTTGTTCAAAATTAATTTGATTTGACTATTTTCTGGTTCATCAATTTGGACAATTAAGCATCGCGATGGTTCCCTAGGAATATATGGACGAGTATAAAGCAATGGAGTTTCTGTTTTTTTATCAGGTGGTGAGATGTTAAGTATACCCTTACGAGTCAAGTCGAGTAAGTTTATCACAATGGCAGGTTCTCCTTGATATGTTATAATGTTATGTTTGAGAATTCTTTGTTCCAATTCCAAGAATCGGTAATATCTACATTCACGGATGAGTAACTTGCGGTGGTTGTCTGAGGCGATTACTTCTTCATTTCCACGTAACAACTCAAGCAAGTCACTGAATAGCTTGGGAGACCTATTGGCAACATTGGCTGGTCTTTGTGGAGGAGGTCTCAACATTTTCTGTTGCTCAACAATGAGGATATTATCCATCAACATTCTGTCGTAGTTCATCGTGAAATAATTTGGATAATTCCCTTCAGAATGGCCAAATAACACCTTGGGTATCTTGAAAGATACACCGCCAACACTGGCAAATATTTCCTGTTCAGTCAAGATACTTTGTAAATTTTTCAATCCAAAGTAAAAACAATCCGACCAAAGATGCATGAATTGATAATCATTGTCGATGCTTATAGAGTATCCCTGTAAGTGATTGTAAATTAATTCAAAAATTTCCGGGTTCCTATCAAAGAAAAGCACCTTATCTTCATTTTCAGGTTCGGAAAAGTATCGAGTGAAATAGGATGGTGCATCTGAAGATAATGATAATCCACTTAGGCGGAATAGCTTAAATCCCACTTGGATTGAGTAAACCTTCTCGTGAGGGAGAATCTTCGGGATTTGCGGATCATATTCGGGAGACACTTGTACGTTTAGGTCAGCCATTGTCAATTGCTAAGTATAGAATACTTCAATGTTTTGTGTTGATATGAGCTCAGCGCAAGAAAAAAAAACAACCAAAGGCGTTTTCAAAAGTGCTTTAAGCAAGACTACATTTGTGGGGGAGAAAGAGAGTCCGAAAGATCCTGAGGCGAAAAAAAAATTTAGCCAGATCAAATCTCAAATCTAGTGTTTGGTGCAACCACAACCCACGTAATGGCACGAAAAACTGGTAGAAATTTCGATGGATGTTGGACATGTCGTGCAAGGAAAGTCAAATGTGATCTAACACGACCCTATTGTCAACGTTGTATTAAATCAAAGAAACGATGTGGTGGTTACAATATTATCCTTGGATGGAGTAATCCGTTGACAATATCAAAAGATCAAACCATGTGTTCATTGGATATCCATGAAGATTTGGATAACTTTCAACGACGAAATGTCGATTTCGTCAAGTTTCCTAGAGATATGATTTATGAAACCTATAAAGAATTAAATGAAAAATTGGATAAGTTGGATAATATAGCGGGAACCAGTCATATGGTATCCGTGGGACCATTCAGTACATTTAAAGTCGATGTGAAGATGGCTGAGCCGGATGAGAATATACCGACATCTTCCATAATGGTACCTTCTGAAATATCCTCCTCTCCACTAGTACCACTGCCGCCAACGGCACCAGTTCCACAGTCAGTACCAATCACTGCAACCACAACTATAACCTCTACCAGAACTGCGATAAATGACGAGTCAATATTCTCAAAAAATAACAATACATGGGTGCATTATGAGTTAATGGACTATGCAAAACTAACAATCATAGCAATCAAAGGTGTTCATTATAAACTAACCGAACAAAACATCTTACACATATTATATCCCAAATTCTTCCCTAACATTGATTCAGATGATTGGTTTGCCAATGCCAAATTGGTGAATAACAAATTATACAAAATCGAAAACAATTCTTTGTATTTACTTCCATTGTTCAAGCTCTTGCTTAACGAATTCACATCAGATATATTTTCATTCAATCGAGTTGTCCTTCAGTATAACTACTTTGATATCTTGGTTATACCGTTAATTAAACAAATTCTTGCAGAATTTGCCTGTTTTGAATTCACATCATGGGATTTAAACCGATTGAACAACAGATCGACTCCACTTGACGACAGTCCTACCCCCGATGAATTAATCGAAAGTATTAAAATTGTGATTGTTGATTTGGTATTTGGATTAGCTGCATTCAAGTATTCCAAGAAACAACCACAACCCCAGACTGCAGACGACGACTTATACATTAATGAATACTTAAGGATAAGTATTGAATTACGGAAATTAAGTATAACAATTATAAATTATCATTTGGATGAATATGACAACAATACTGAACTTATAGAAGAAGCAATACATCAAAACCCTCAATATGAACAGTACGATATATTGTTGTTATTAGCATTAATCCTTCAAATTGAATTGGATAGCTACTTCAGTGTTTTTGAAAATTACGAATTAATATTCGCCATTGGTGATTATATCACTAAGAATAAGTTCAAGACAACCAACAATTTAACCAAATTTTTAATTCATGTATTCAAAATTTTGCACGTATTTTTTGAGAGTACCCAATCAGTGAATAGTTTCAATTATGAAATCAGCAAGGATGACGAGCAGATAAACTATCGAGATTTGAATGAAAATTATGATTTGATAGAGAAAGATATGGAAGAAGCGGAGGAAGGGAACGAAGAATATAGTGACAGTGACAGTGATGACTCCAAAAAATTGCAAATTAAACCTTCAGTTCAAAATTTAATTGTTTCAAATGATACCCAGTACGCTCCTATGTCGTTTACAATAAGCTTCAACAAGCGAAACAACCTGATAGAAGAACCTAAGCGACCTTCACTACCTATTATCAAGGCACCATTTATTCCTGCAAATCATAAATTTTCATTGCTGACTGCAATCGATACAAATGCCATATACTTGATGTATGGATTACCTAAATCGCTTATTGATTTATTTCATGAAGTAATCCACTTAACCAATCATAAGAATTTCTTTACTAAAAGGAAAGTGTTCCCGAGAAATTTCCCCAAGATTTGTGCTGAAATGGAAGATAAATTAGTCAATTGGAATATTCAAGATCTGAATTGGAATTTGGAAGATGCAAATCCATTACATCAATGTCTTAAATTAAACATTTTAACATTCTATCAACTGTTGCTAATATATTATAACAGACTTATTAAGAACAATACCAATGTTCAAGCTTACATTGACCTGGCACTAGCTTCTCTTCAGCAATTAATGGACCTACCTAAAGAATTTAAATTCAAGCCTACATTTTGGTCATTGTTAGTGTGTGGTGCCGATACAGCAGATAAGGCGACCCAAGAAAAAATTAAGACGATTTGGAATAATTTAGATAGCACATGCAATTATTGGCGTGCTAAGCAAATCTTGTATGAAATTTGGAAAAGACGAGATATCGGCGAAGAAGTTGGGTTTATGGATATGGTTAGGGAGTGGGATATTGTATTATGTTTGGGATAATCTCATTATCGGATAATTCTCTTTGTTAAAATGTACATAATGGCTTTTGCATGAAATGTTCTCTGGCAGTTTGTTCTTATACAATAGAAAATTGATCCTGACGATTGTGATACGGAACGGAATGACTTTCCATTGACAAAAAGTTTTTCCTATAGTTGCTACCTTTTTGCCGTACGAGAACACTTTTGCTGTTTAACTTCTAAAACTCGAGCAAAAACACGTATTTTTAACTAACTTAATAAATTAGGGTGGTGGTGTTGTTAATGCCCGGCCCCCCGCCCCCACATTTCAAATCAATTATATGCATTTAACACCGTATACATTTCAAGGTATAACTAAGGAGGGTATGATTTCCCCATATGGAAGTCCTACAACAATACCAATTAATATTATTTTTTCCCAAAATGCGCGTGGGCCCTAAAATTACACCAGGAACCCATTCCTAATTTGGAAGTACAAAGCAAGGAGGTTACAGTGGGGCTTACTACGAAAATTTCGGAATTACTCTAAAGTTCGTAATCTCGAAAGAAAGCCACTCATCATGCAAGCAAGCATAGATTCTTTGTTGTGAGGCATTGCAGATAGATCTTTGTGAAACGGTTTCATATTGAAAGGATGAGGAATGCTCGATATTGTTCTAGAAAACTATATTTGAAATCAATCTGTCCTTTTTGGGAAAGTATGTTTTGTACTTGATCAAAACTTTAGTTGAAGCGTAAATTGCTCCGAGAATTAAATTAAGGAGAATAGGCTAGGAATTCACCTGGCACTAACTGTTTTTAGATATCAATTCATGACGTCTTAGCCTTTGAAATTAGGCTTAGCAACTAATGCGCATAAAATAACATTTATGGGGATTGTCCTAGTTATCCCGGAGGAAGGTTGAATAATTGAGTGCACAAAAAATATTTTTCCATAGACTAAAAAATATTTACATCCTCATCAGCGGACCAACTAGGTAGACCATTAATATTATGATCAGTAAAACCTAGAGAAATACACCCATAAAATATTATCAACAACGATTAACCGTCGGTAACAAGGTAAATGTTGTCAGATTTTCAAACTGGCCCTAAACTTAGATTATCCGGTGACATTTTTTTTTCTTAGTCCTACCTGTTTTGGGAATACGGGAAAATAATATATTTTTTTGTGACCATTAATTTAAGCAGCGATCCGCCAAATGCTCTTAGAGAGGGGGGTTTACGGGGAAGGTGGTTGAATGGACAGAGCGATGACAGTTATTTTGAATCCATTTACTGCCATGGCCAAATGTGTGCTTCAGGTAACTTTAATCGAAATCTCGATCGTAAGCTTATTTTCATATTAGATTATAGTTTGCATAAAGGTTATTTGCATCAATTTGCAAATCACCAGGTTATGTATGAATCACAGTTAAAAAAAGAAAAAAAGGTCCTGACGTTCTTTTACTCCTCACACGGAACTAACTTTTTTTTTTTTCTTTTGTGATTACCCAGTGGTAAAAAATAAAGTGTTCACAATTAATTTTTCCATGTCCTAGGGCGACTAAAAAAAAAAAAAATTTTAAAGTTTTTCCCCCGGAAACCCTCACAAAATTAATCCAGGAGGAGTACCATGGCTTTTAGTGTGGGTGTTTTTTTTATTTTAGTTGCGCTTCCCCTTTTTTCCATTGTCATTGTCTTTGTATATGTATAAAGTATCTCTCCGACGTTGACACCATTGAATAGACCTTTAATCTTGAATAAATACTTTGATCTTGTCGTTGTAAAGTCACCACCACAAACTTTTTTTTTTTTATTTTACAAAAAAAGAAAATCCGATTTGTCTATTCGTTTTTTTGGGGGACTTGTTTTTTTCCGTTCTTCAATTCCGGCCAAACTTTTTTTTTTTCTTGTTGTACTTGTTTTGTGGTTTTCGTCTGCCCATAAAAAACCTAAACCTTGTCTGGGGTATATAATAATTCAATCCAACATTACCTTAATATTACTTGTTTCCTTCTCAAGATCAACCAACTAGGAAACTTCATCTTAATACAAACCATAAAGTTTTCTCCTTAGTTTAATATTGAAAAAAAAAGGCTAATTTTAAACCCAGGCTTTTTACGTTCTACTTTGAAGCGAATTATTCCAAAACAAAAAAAAGGGAGAAAGAAAGAGATCAGGCTCTTTTACAACAAAAGTTAAATGTCAGCTACTACTGCAAGTGAAAGCTTAAGAAGTTTACTTGCTCCAAGCCCTACTATCATGAATGGATCGCCTTCCGCAGCTGGTGCTAGTGCGGCGTCAATAGCTTCTGCAAATAGTACCTCTACCACCACAACGAACTCAACAACCAATGGTACGCCCACTCTCGTGAAAAGAGACTATACTGATAATGAAACTCAGCACCCACAGCAACAACAGCAACTGTCTAGCGGGGACAGCACTAATAATAACCATGCCAGAAAAAGATCTAAAGTGAGTCGAGCCTGTGACCCATGTCGAAGAAAGAAAATAAGGTGTAATGCCGAATATTCATCTAGCTTGCAACGAGTGACTAAAATATGTACCAATTGTGTCAAGAATTGTGAAGAATGTACTTTTAGTAGAGTACCTTTAAAAAGAGGTCCTTCTAAGGGATTTGTCCGTGACCACGATGAATACAAACCAGAGGGTAAAGATATCAATATGGTGACTCCAAATGTTGTTCCCATAGGTCCGCCTCCTCTTGGCGCTACTCAACCATTACCATTTCCACAACCACTCAATTCAAACTCGGCTCCAATCAAATTACCTCCAATCGTGGGATATCAAGCAAAACCTTTAGTGCCGCCAACAATTCAAAAGTTAAACTCAAGTTCGTCAATACCAGGAACAGCTGGCTCTAATTCGAATCCTTCTAGTCCAAGAACCTATCAATTAAATGGAATCCTTAACGCCCCCGGTGAAGGATATTCATCCACTTCTACTTTGACGGCAACTACTGCGCCTACAACTGCTGGACCTGCTACGGCTGCTGCCAGCACCATTGGCACTACAAATAGTCCTCCAATCCAAGGACCTTTCTGGAAAGTTCCTTATGAAATGCCAAATTCAGATTCTTCAAGACGAAGCTCGTCTTCAATCTCTTTGGCCAACGGAGGAACCAATAATCGCAGGCGATCATCTTCAATTGATTCCATATCCTCAATATCTACCAATGGTTCAAGATTACCTTCACTAAAACCAACTATTTCAGTCAACAGTGATTTCATATCAGATTCAGATTCAGAAGATTTCTACTCAATCAAATCAAGCTCCACTACACCATTCAAGAGGGATTCTCAAGCACTGTTATCTCCTAGAAACTCAGTAACTTCATTATCGAGTTTGAATGGTAGGATGACTAAAGGTCTTTATTTATCAACACCTCCAAATATGGTTGGATCTCCTGCCAGTGCCAGTCCTGCCTACTCGCCATATTATTCCCATCAGCCTTATCCACCACCAGCACAACCACATGGCCCAGTACAATATCCAGTTGTGGTTGGTCCACCTCAACATATTCAACCCGTGACAAATTTCCAGCAACCTCCTCCTTATCAAACTCCTCTTAACCCTTTGGACATTAATTTAAGGCTTTATTACCAACATTGTCATTCCTCATTCCCAATTTTACCATTCAATCCAAACTATTTATTAAACTTGGCTCAAAATCGAGACGAATCAGGTCCACAACCATGGATCCTTGACTTGTTTAATCACGCCTTGAATAATTTGAATAACTTCAAACAGCTGAATGATCATGTTGAATTTTTCACCCGATTAATGCAAATCTATCCCTTTGGAAGTTACATGAATGATAATTCGTTGGTGTTTTGGTTTAGTACCCTTTTGATTGCCAACTATTCGATTTTGCTTAATGGTGATGTGTACAGCATGGGAATCTCATGGACTTGTTCGATATTGAATGATTTTAAAGTATTGGAGAAATTTATTGAGTTTGTGGAAAAGAGTCAACTGTCCGATTATGATAATATTACGTTGTATTTTGCTAAATTGTATTATTCACTTGATCTAATTGATGATATTTATTGTCTTGGTATGGGAACACAAAAGAGTATAAATCAAAACACTTTGATACAATTCTTGCATGCAAACATTAGATTTTTCGTTAAAGAGGATGAATCAATCAAGTCAGGAATGGCCTTGTTCAAGAATGCACCACTTTTGATGCACATGATTAACGTACGTGACCAATATATCTACGAAGGGAAATATTCTAAGCCAATTCCAATTCAACAGCAGACCTCAGATGACCAATTTGCGGCCCATTTCATGACGTTAGTTAGCGAGAAGTACGATTTGATCAACTACCTTCTTGAAATCAATCATTTCATAGTTCATGATTCCAACAAACATCATGATTCCGATGAACTTTATGAAACTTTAATGGATTATAATTTGAAATTGATTCGTCTAGTTAAGAAACTTTCAAGCTCAATCATGAACTTTGCTAATTTTATAGGAACATCAACTACTGGATCTGCTGCTGGTGTTGCTGCTACTACTGCTACTACTTCTTCGCCAACTTCACCTTCCCTTAAACCAGCCTTGGTTAACCCCTTATTGAATATCTCCATTGGTCAATTGTTCAAGTTGATTAAGTTGATCAAACTAATCATTGACAGTTTAACTACGAGTAAACAGTCAAGCACAGACTTGGAGAACAGGTTAACCAAAATCAATAATGATTTGTCAATTTCATTCAACTTGTTAAACTTAAATTTGGTTAATTTACAATTGGGTACAAAATCCTCACTTATAATTAAAAAGAAAGTTGGTGATTACAAATTCAATTTCAATAAACCAACCAATATCACCACCACAGAACAAAGTTTAAATAGTTATATTCAAGAATTTACCAATACCATCCTACCATTTATTCAACAGGAGAATAGACATGGTTGGTACTAAGGGTGTATAGTTTATGTATATTTAATAACATATCTTTCTGGATTAATTTTCTATATACTAAGCTTAATCAATCTTAATTTGGGCATAGATGGTTTTGACAAAGGCCAAACTACAAAGGAACCCAACAGATCCACAACAAAGGAACACTAACAATGAAATAACAATAGAATAACCAGTGTATAATACAAATGACGTGAATCCACCTAATTTTTCACCCCCGATTAAGAAGAATGAATGTATAAATACATAAATTGCACATCCTCCACCAATAAACAAGGATTTCCAATGCCATTTGTAATTTTCGGAACATAATGTGTAATAGATCATCAAAATAGTGATTAATCCAGTGGTGATAACCATTAATAAAAAGCAAAAGAATAAAAAGCCAAACATGTAGAAAATTTTATTAAACCAAAGTGATGAGTAAATGAAATACATCTCCACAGCTATGGATCCAAATGGGAAAATACCGGAAATAAACATGACTGGAATGGTTCTTAAATACCATGGTTGAACTGGGACTTGTCTTGGAATTTGGTTGGTTCTAACTGGGACTGAAATTAATGGTTTCTTGGAAGCAAGGATAGTACCCAAAACGGATAATGGAATGGAAACCAAGAACCAAATAATAACAATGACAACCATAGTACCCATTGGAATGGCCCCTGAAGAATTAACACTGATCAAGAAGAAATTCAACAACACAATTACACCAAATAAGATTCCTGGAACTAATACTGGTGATAAAATCATGTTCAATTTCCAATTTTCACCACCAAAGAACTTGTAAAGGTAAGCTGAAGTGAAGGATGAAACAAATGAACAGCCAATGTAAAGAATAAAGGTGAAAGTAGACAATGAACCTCTGTTTGATGGTGATAACAATCCAAATAATGCAAATCCAATAGTAATGAAGGACATCAAGAAAATTTGCAATCCACTACCAACTAATACAGATAATAATAATCTTTGCTTTGGTGGTCTAAATACATCACCATGAACTAATTTCCAACCACTTTCATCAGAAATATCATCGTCCAAGTTAACCTCGTTATATTTAACAATATCATTCTTTAAAGTACGGACAATAATATGACCAATTATTATACCAAGAATGGAAACGATCAAAGAAAAGTTGATCAAGGAAAACCATTGAATCTTTGGATCGTAAACATGTAAATATTTATCCCAACGGGTAGCCCATGCAACATCACTCTCCTTGAATTGAATAGAATAAGTAAACAAGACATCGCTTTCCTTTTCTTTACTTAATTGAACTGGGTTCAAGTCCAAAGAACAGACTTTGTCGTTACTAGCATCACTTGCAACCCCGGTTCTATCTAAAGAATGACGTTCGGCAGTTGCACCAACGACTCTAAACTTATCTTCACCTCTCTTGTGATATTCAATAGTGATAACAAAATGGTTTGATAAATGGGCATTGTTCTTGCTGTCAACCTCACCAATGTGGAATCCTGGCCCGTAGAAAGTAGTATCGGTTCTTTCATCCTTAACCACACTGGCAACTGGTAACCCGTCAATAATCCAATTGTGGTTGTAGCTAGCTCTGATGTTTCTGTTGACGAAAACAGAGTCGCTCTTGCTGTATTTGGAAGTACATAACCTCTCACATTCCTTGTTTTCCAACATTTTAATTTCAAATGGAGAATTAAAAATACGATCACCAAATATAATTGAGCCTAAGGATTCCAGTTGCTTCTTGGGGCCCCCTGCGGGAGTACAGAAATGGAATTTTGGATAGTAGTAGTCATAGGAGTAAACATAGGTGGCTGATTGAACTTTATTTTGGTTTGATAAGTGGTGTAAAGAAGGTGTCAAATGGTTCACCAATAATGGAATGTTGTCTCCCTTTTTGTAGTCGGTAGGTGCTACACCGGGCAAATAGAATGCGTTTGCAATGCTTAATGCATAAAACAAAGTAAACACTATTGAATAAATCATGGTGTATGTTTGTTTTCGTGTTAACTTCTCATGTAAAAGAACTCTAACACATTTTTTTTCTAGCCCGTGGTTTTCCCTTCTTTAAACCGTGTCCAAAAAATCGCTCGTAGTTTTTTCCAACCACAAAAGACAAATCTCACCGTTGTGGCCTTTGTGCAGGAATATCCGTGTGTAACCTATTGTTGACGTCTGGTTGTTGCATTTGACAGATTGGTTGCTCTACAGTGAGTTTGTGCATTCCGATCCTTTCCTTCTCCCAAACGTGATTTTTTTATATGCGCTGGTAATCTCTCTTATTTCCCGAAGCTTTCTATCTTGTAACACCGGATCATACATGTATGGAGGCCTTTCCTCCGAGTAATCACACTTTAGTTGCAACCGAACACATTGAGAACATTCTGGTTTTTCTTCCGGACATGCTTTGTGTCGAATTCTGCATGTCCAGCAGCCGGTTTTAGATCTGGCACTGAGCTTCCGTTTCTTTTCGGGAATGTATTCACTTGCTTCCGTGTGTCGTCTAGTTCGATTGTTTTTGCGATTGCGGGGAGAATAATCAGAATCCAAACTTGAATTATTTCCGCTTTCTCTCTTGGTAACAAGTGAATTTGTGGTGGAGGTGCCGGTTGAGTAAATATCCAGTCTGAAATTGGATGCTTCAGATGAACTATACGTACTTGCTAGTGTTCTTAAAAATTCTGGGTTATTAATTTTTAATACAACAAACACAGTAGGTGGTAGTTTCTTTCTAATTTTCTTGACTGTGAGCGTCTTTCTCTTCTTTTTCCTTGTACGTTTCTTAGGTGCCTCCTCGTTTTCCAATTCATTTTCAAGCTCGTGTTTCCCCTCACACTTGATTGAAACTGGCGAAGCTTCTTGGTAAGGAGGTAGCCAAGTACCAAGATCAGGATAGCTCACTTCGTCTTTCTTGATTAAAGAACTGTCTCTAGACTCGAAATTGTTGAGCTTTGAACTGGTTCCACTTATAAAAGACTCTTTGTCTTTAAAGTTTATCAAAGAGCTGTTGTTACTGGCAGTAGGACTTTCCCCAAATAAATTACGATAAACATTCTGTGCTCTTAGGAGCTCATCTTGATTAACATATTCACAACTTAAAAATGCACTATCGACTTCAAGTTCGGTAGAATTACCTTTGACTAGTGTAGGAGAACTTTGGATTAGATGTATTTCCAGTGGGGATTTTCCAACATTAACAGAGCCTGGTAAAGGAAAGTTACTAGTAGGTGGCTTCAGGGGAGTATTAATCAATCTATTGGGAAAGTTGAATACAAGTCTATCAGCAGACAGACTGTTGTTTCTTTGTTCAAAGGTAATAGTTTTGGCAACCGGATTGGTAGTAACTTCTTCAGGAATATTTCCAGTGTTTGTATAGCTTTCAACAATCCTCTGGTGTGTTTTAGGTAATGCATTCTCATTAATGATAATGATATCATTTTTCTGGACTGGAGATGATTGGTTAAATGGATACTTTCCAAGAGCTCTGGAGGAAGAACTATTTGCTAGTAAAGAACTATCAAAAGTTGTAGTTGAATTATTTGGACTTGAACAACTGCCGGTAATTCTACTTGCTTGAATCAGATGGTATTTGATAAGCTTTCTAACTTGAGGAGGCAGCAAGGGCTTCTTTCTTTTGGGCATAATGTATACAGTATTTGCTTATAATCTTTGTTTACCCCTATGTTTATCTGGTTTGCAATAGACAACCAGGGTATATTTTTTGGATTTTTTTTTTTGCAACAGATTTTTCTTTTAAAGAGCGGATTCTTACATTTGCTATACAAGTTTATTCACTAGAGGTATGCCCACTTATAAACGATAACATCCAATTAAGATTAGTAAGCAAGAATTTACAACTTTGTGTCCATTCGGCATTTGAAGTTACTCTAATACTTTTACCTCCAATAGCATCCTTATGTGAAGAGATCTTGTATGGCAACTCGATCTCAGGATCAAGCAGCATTAGTTTAGTTTCAATCTGAGAAACTATATCAAGTAATGAAATCATGGCTACATCCAATTTATTGAAATTGAACAACTTTCCAAGTGAAAACTCATCTGTAGAATACAAATTTAGTACAGTTTTGGATTTGGTTGGTTGACTACCACTGTTGTCAACTGCTTCACCATCAGCTTCGTTGGTCACATTAAATTTAACTATTTGTGATTGGGATCCCATTGGTACTAGTTTATAGTTGTCCAACTTCAAATTCAATCTTTTTATCAAAAATACCAAAAGTAACACTATTTGACCTAAAGCTGCATTTATTTCTGACCGAATAACTTTATATCCAATTCTAAACCCATTAATCACGCCATACTTGTTGTCTTTATCAGTACTAATGTTGAATATTTTTGTGTATATATTCAAATTCCTTAACTTGTCAATATGATCAAGATGAACATGATATGCTGCTTTAGACTGTTCAAGTTTGTTCTCCTTTTCCTTTAATTCCAATTGTAATTTATTCTTTAATTGAAGTATCTCATTTAACTTCTTAGTTTCAATTTCTTCTAGTTCTTTTGTATATTGCTTTAACTCTGTTTCTAAATCCTCTTTGGTTTTCTCTAAGCCTTTTAATTCTTGCAAGCTTGTTTCTTCTAATGTTGTCAATCGTTGAAATTCTTCAATAGACTCTTTCAACTTCTTATCCAAATCTTCACGAAATAACTCGGGGTTTATCTTTCTTTCGCCTTCTTCAAACAACTTCAACTGATTATCTTTATCCTTCAATTTCCGCAAGAAAGACAAGTAACTGTCTTTTTCCTTTTGACTTTGATCAAACTTTAGTTTATAGTTTTCAATAAGCAAGTTTGCACAATCTTCAGAAAGTGGGTGGTCGATATCTTGATTGTTAGACAATATTTCGAATATCTTGGTCAAGTTCTTTATCCTGCTTGATATTCTTATCTCTCGTTCTTCTCCTTCTTGCTTATTTACTTCATCTCTTTCAATAACTTCCTCGTCTGATTCTTCCAACACTACCAAATACGAATTATCTGAAGACGATTCCATAACTTCTCCTCCGTCATTATGTGTGTATGCTTGCTCATCATCGTCATCCTCCTCCTCCTCCTCCTCCTCTTCTTCTTCCTCGTCTTCACTTTCGAGATAATTTCGATATTGAATAGGCTCAATGTTGTTTTTCATATTCACATATTCATAAAGTTCCAATCTATCTTGTGGGATATAATCTTGAGGGTTTAGCTCGTTTATTATATCTAAAGCTTGTGACTGTTGTTCGTGTTGTCGTTTACTCACAAGTCGGGATAATTGGGTTAAATTCACCTTTTTGAGACTATCATCTAGTATTAGTGGTGCATCACATTTCTTACATGTGAGATCACCTTCTTGGGACATTGTATGACGTGTATGTTTGTGTCTGGAAGGTGTATTATGTGTTTGCCGTTTTTGTTTTCTGGGGAGTTTAGGGAAATCTCAAAAGTGAGAGCCGAAAAGATTGCAAAAATAAAAAAAAAAATTGTTATAAACACGAATTTCTTTGGGAGCAATAAAGAGCATTAACAAAGTTAAGTATTCAATTATATCTCTCATCTTTCGATTTAATGTTGTAGTTGAGTAGCTTTTCAAATTTTATATAGCTATTGTGGTAGACTTATTAAAATATATCTAAATTCTAATTGAACTCTTTGATTATTTCGAACATTTTTTTGTGAAAAGTTATAAAATTAAATAATTTATTCAAAAGTAGTTCTATTATACTGAAAGTGACAGTAGACATAGTTGGAATTATTGATATTGTATTTATTACATAAAATATTTAATTATCCTATAATTAAATCATAATTATTGTTATTTAGTCCATTTCAAAGTCACATGACCTTCTAAGTCATCTAGAAAACCAGGGCATTTTAAGAAAAAATAAATACGCCGGTCTAGTATAGTGGTTAGTACAAGTCGTTGTGGCCGACTAAACCCAGGTTCGATTCCTGGGACCGGCATTTCTTTTTGCCCTTACTCTATTTGATATCATTTTTTTTCAATAAAACCTATTTAATTGTGTATTAATCGCCTATACATATTGATTTATTTGGTCTTGTAAGAAGTTCCAAACCTTATTAGAATTTTCTTTTTCTTCAAGATCTTTTCTTATTTCCCCAAAGTGGCCAAAAGAAATCACGTGTTGGCCATTATTGGCTGAAGTTATATCTGGAGACAAAGCTGCAAATAATTCGGTATATGCTCCATATCTCGGATTATGGAACAATAAAGAGTATCCTAATTGTTGTAACCAAGTTGTATTTCTTTGTAATTCAGTTTTCAAATATCCCGGACATACAGAAATACTGACTGCATTGGTAGCTTCTGGATGATACACGGGCCATTGCTGGGCTTGAATTATATTGATTGCTTTAGATTGGGAATACATTTGCTTCAACGGGACATTCGTGACTTGCCTGTAATTTGGATCATTCCAGTTGATGCCATGCAAGGGGGAAAAGAAATGGGAAGTTGAAGCAATCCACACTATTCTTGATTCATTTGGTTTGTTAGTAGATGATGTCTTTATGAATATTGGATCAAGCAAATTCTGAAGCAATTGAGGTCCAATGTTGTTGGTACCTAATTCCATTTGATAGCCTTGTTTAGTAACTGATCCTCTCGGTGGCATCATTATTCCTGCATTGTGTATTATTATATCTAATCTGTCTTCAGCCTGTAGGAACTCACTCACGGCTGGTTTTATAGTAGTTAAGTCACTTAGGTCTACTTGAACGAATTTGATAGATTCATCCACTGCCTTCAGATATTCTTCAGCAATTTCCAATTTCATTCTTTCAATTGCATCCCTAGCCTTTTGCTGATTTCGAGAAAATATGTATATTTTGGCATTAGTTGAACCAGCAAGTGATTTAACTACTTGGTATCCCACACCGGTACTTCCACCAGTTACAATGACCACTTTACCATCTAAAGAAGGGTAATCTTTTTCAAGAAATGTTGGATTACCAGGATGAAATCCATGAAGAACTTGTTTCCATTCTTGCCAGGTTAGTTTGGGAATGATTGGTGAATCCATGTTTAGCCCTTTAGATTACAAACTCGTGAATATTTTTGATTACCCGGATTTAAAAATCAAGCTTAAGAAGAGGTGTGAAAAAATTTTTTTTTTTTTAATATTTAAAATAGTTTAGGTCTCTTCTTTTTCCAAGTTACACTATGAGTAAACCAAATTAGTATGTTTCAGACCAATAAATTACATTTGGAAAGGAAATTTTTATGATGATAACATGATATTAGTGTCTTTAAGACCTTTTGGTCAGTGTGAGCACATGATTTCTCAATAGACTACAACGGTATCTGACAAAAATTCTTTCGAATGAGCATTATGTTAATTATAACAAATTACTAACTAGAATCAGAATGGGAAAACGAAATAATAGACAATTGAATAAAATTTATAGTAGACCCTTGCCAATTACTTTAACTTCTCAACACTATGGTATAACATTACCTACTTTATATCCTCATAATCCAATTTCTTGGATATGGTTTATGATACGATATTGTCAAATAAACGTATTCTATCCAGTTCCAGAATCTCAAACCTTTGAAGTTCATTGGGAAAATGGGATATTTAAGGTTGTTGATGAAGAAAGTATGATGAAACTTTGGCAGATGGGATTTTTCGGAAAAGGAGTGCTTTCTCGATCTGAACCTACTTGGAAGGAAAGAGTACTTGCTAGGAAGAAAGAAAATGTAGAGGCGAAGGATGTAGCAATGGAAGATATCACCAAGATGAGAAGAGAAGAACGGAAACTTTTCAAATCCTCCAGAGCCCAATTGCAAGAGTTGGAGTTGAAAGACCGTCAAGGCATTATCACCGCTGAGGAAGTTGAGCAGTTGAAAGCTTTGAGCGAGACTGTTCAAGTATTGAGAAAGAAAGGACGCGTTTCGGGACGAAGCAAGTCGTCCATTGTCGAGCGGGACTCAGATGGAGAAGATACAGACTCAGAAGAGGAGGAAGATTGGGAAGAACTAGCACAATTGGAGTATTTACAATTGCAGTTAGTGGAAACCTTCTTTTTAAAATTTGCTTTGAATGTTATCAATATCCCAGGTATAGCCTCAACTTTTGACTTATTCAAAACCTGTTGTTATCAATACGACAATAACCAACTGATTCAACCTAATAACAAATTCATTATTGATTATGTTGTTTATCACCATTTCAGATCGTTAGGATGGTGTGTTAGATCAGGGATTAAGTTTGGTACTGATTTCTTGTTGTACAAGCGTGGTCCTCCATTCACGCATGCTGAATATTGTGTGTTGGTGATGAAACCAGACGAGCAAGAATATGATTGGTTTCAAATGGCAGCTAAAGCCAGAGTTATTGGTACAGTGAAAAAGATTTTTGTATTGACTTATGTTGGATGCCCTTCACCCGAGGAGTTCAAGGAATTGGTTAGCCAATGTGAAAAAGATGACACTGGGTTAGCCATTGGGGATCTATTACAACAGTACAAAGTATCAGAGATATTATATAGAAGATGGGCCCCTAGCAGGACTAGAGATTAGCCATGAATAGTTTGTTTATATTCGCAACTTATAATTGGTCAAGGCGCACGACCACTCATCGAATCATCATGAAAACGTAGCAGAAAAAAAATTTATTTAAATATTTGAGAATTTTCCCAATTCAAAAATTTGGGATTCTTTTTCAATTTCAGTTTTTTGATAATTATTTACGTGAATGTCAGAAATATAGATTTTGCGACACAAAACCAAAAAAGTTTACGACACTGACTTTAGCCACAAACAAAACGACAGCAATTATAACACGACATAGTAAATAACACACAAAACCAACGAAACATGTCTAACTTACTGCAGTTGATAAATCACGACGACGATGATAAAGATTATAATTACACACCAAATACAGCAACCCCATCAACTACCACCACCACACCAGAAAACACCAATGCCACCACTGCCGAAAGCAACACTGAAGACATACCAGAAACAGTCTCTCAAGAAAAGATACTAGAAAGCTTTGAAAAGATAAAAACACACTTTCCAGCCGCTAGAATTAAGAAGATTATGCAAAGTGATGAGGATATTGGGAAAGTCGCCCAGGCCACACCAGTTATTATTGGCCGAGCTTTGGAAATCTTTATGGCTAATTTAGTAGAAGTATCTATATTAGAGGCCAAGAAACAGGGCGTTAAAAGGATAAGCGCATCCCATGTCAGAGCTGCTATAGAGAACACTGAGCAATTTGATTTCTTGGTGGAAGCAGTTGAAAAGTATCCACCTTTGAAGAAGTTGGACTAAGGTGTATAGATAATGAAATAATGAGTAGTGGTCTGTAATTGTAAATTAGAATGATGTCGAGGGTTAAGAGTGTTTGACCGTTTTATCGTACTGATCAAAAACTGTAGTTGCCAAATACGGTAGTTATTCCAGATAAAAAACTTTACTAAATCTCAACGTATGAATCAAGTACATTGTCATGTCGTATTGTAAAATTTGACACATTGTTGTAAAGATCCGCCCCAAATAAGATGCAAATATGCCGTTGGCGGAGAAAAATTCTCGGTAAAACACCTGTGATGCAACTGTTTTCCCAGGTATACAAAGCGTCAATTTTGTGCTAAAAAAATAGCTGTCGCTAATTCTCACGGAAGAACAAATGATGGAATTTAGTGTTGTTCCGAAAATTAAATCCCCCACCCAACACATGATCAATTAATTTCGCGCGCCCCAGGATGCCCTCCCTGCTTCACGTAGCTTGCTCTACCCCATTGTTTTTACCTTGACATTTTTTACCTTCCTGGTTGACTATAAATAGTAATTGACATCTCGTTGAAGTTTCCTTGTAGTTTTTGCTTTTACAGAACATCTGAACTAGTGGTTTTCTCACTTACACACATACATACATACACACATTTACTATGGTTCAATCAAGATCTGCAACCAATCTCACTCGAAAACATTCATCTGCACTTTTCAATCTTCCTCCTCCACAACCAGATATTTACTATGTTGGTGTTGATGTGGGTACTGGTTCCGCCCGTGCTTGTCTTATCGACACCAATGGTATAATTCTCGGACTCGCTGAAAGACCAATCACTCGTCATGAATTGAAACCAAACCACATCACCCAGAACTCCACTGAAATTTGGAATGCAATTACCTTTTGTGTCAAATCATGTCTTCGTGACTCCGGAGTTGAACCAGAACACGTCTTTGGTATTGGGTTTGATGCTACTTGTTCCTTAGTTGCCATTTCCGAGCTGACTGATGCTCCCGTAGCCGTTGGTCCTGATTTCACCGATGACAAGGAAAACATTATATTGTGGATGGACCACAGAGCAGAAGAAGAAACCGATGCTATCAATGCCACCGGTGATAAATGCTTGAAATATGTTGGTGGTCAAATGTCCATTGAAATGGAATTACCCAAGATGAAATGGTTGAAGCATCACAAACCAGGCGGAATCAATGATTGTAAGTTCTACGATTTGGCTGATTATTTGGTTCATAAAGCTACTGGATTGGAAACTAGAAGTTTCTGTTCTGTTGTTTGTAAACAAGGGTTTGTTCCTCTTGGAGTTGATGGTTCTGAAACTGGTTGGTCCGATGAATTTTTGAAATCCGTGGATATGGATGAATTAATTGAAGACAATTTCAGAAGATTAGGTGGTATTCCAGGTAAAAATGGTCGTTACTTAAGTGCTGGTGATATTGTCGGCAAATTGAATGCAGAAGCAGCCGAAGAATTGGGATTAACCACTGAATGTATTGTTGGTTCTCCAGTTATTGATGCCTATGCAGGTTGGGTCGGTACTGTTGCTGCCCAAGCAGATATCACCAAATTACAACAAACTGAAGTCCCAGGTAAGATCATCACTGCCTGTGGTAGATTGGCTGCAGTTGCCGGTACTTCCACTTGTCACATTGCCATGACCAAAGAACCATGTTTTGTCCAAGGTGTTTGGGGTCCATATAAAGATGTCATGGCTGAAGGTTATTGGTTAGCTGAAGGTGGCCAATCATGTACCGGTCAATTATTAGCCCATGTGTTGTCTATTCATCCTGCATCACAAGAACTTTCTCGTGCTGCTGAAGCTTCCAACTTGTCTAAATTCGATTATCTTAATCTTACATTGGAAAACTTGGTTTTAGAAAGAAACGAAAGATCTGTGGTTTCATTAGCCAAGCATATGTTCTTCTATGGTGATTTCCATGGTAACAGATCCCCAATTGCTGACCCAAGAATGAAGGCCAATATCATTGGTCAATCAATGGACAGTTCCGTAAAGGACCTTGCCATTCAATATTTCGCTGCTTGTGAATTCATTGCTCAACAAACTAGACAAATTGTTGAAGAAATGGAAAAGTCAGGTCATGATATAAGTTGTATCTTCATGAGTGGTGGTCAATGTCGTAACGGGTTATTAATGAGATTATTAGCTGATTGTACCGGATTGCCAATTGTTATTCCAAGATACATTGACGCTGCTGTGGTGTTTGGTGCTGCATTATTAGGGGCTGCCGCAGCTGAAGATTCCGTCAAGGAATATAGCTTGACTAAAGGTAGATCAAGAAGAGAATCTACATTGGCAGACAAGAAAAAGTCTCAAGTCAGTTTACATACTTATGATGACATTGCTTCACCATACACACAACCATCTGCAACCTCCACTACCAATTTAGCTACCTTGGCATATGCCGGTGGTTCCCATAGTCATTTAGCTCAAGAAGTTGATTACTTCAACCAACCAACTGCTGGTTCCCCACTTGCTAAAGTAAGCTCTAGTGCAATCCACGATTCTGAAAATGAAGAATCTGATGATGAAACTTTGAGTTTTGGTTCTAAGCACAAGGTACAACAAGGACTTTCTCAAGAGTTACACAAGATGAAATTAACCAAATTGACTTCAATCAATGAACAGAAGGCAGAAGATTCCACCCATGCTGATAAATTATGGAAGATTATGGAAAAAATGACTGGTCCTGGTAAGGTTATTTATCCTAGTGAAGACAATGATCCTGACCGTAAATTATTGGCTACCAAATATAAGGTATTCTTGGATCAATGTTTCAAGCAACAAGAATATAGAAGAATGGTTGATGAAATTGAAAAAGAAAATTTAGCTAGCGTTAAAGCATAAGCTGTATATACATTAAATAAAAAGACTTGTATTGCATAGATAATTTTGAATGTAACTTGTAGAATAGTACAGAGCAACAAAAGAAGAATAGAATTTACAGAATTTCAAGTTTAACAAATGTATCCCTTAAAGAAGGTGTAATCCATGGTGAACGGCATAGAAAATATTGGATTCAGATTATCTAGATTAGGACAAAGCCCAATTGTTTAACAAGGGGGGGAATAACGGGTGAGCAGCCGAAGAACAATTGCTACCAAGGTGGTTATTAGCAAAACTGGATGGCTTAAATGGGAAAGAAAAATGGGGAGGGGGAGATGCTAATCTAATGATGACACCAAGGGATGATTATTGCAGATACTCCTCACAGCATACGAATTATTTTTATTCGCTGTGTGTGTAAATCTATTCTTGAAGTTCCTTTGATGTTTTATTAACACTAAATCTTCTACAACGGGATGTTAGTATGTGGTAGAAGGACACAAATGTTACACACATTGGATAAACAAACGAGCAACCACATAAATAGGAGCACCACCATCTACTACAAAGAAGGTAAAAGAGATTGACTTGTCTAATTATTAACAAAGGAATTCGTCAGCTGCAACAACTGAAATTAAGACTTGAACAAGTATGAAATCTATACAAAGCCATTTGATAACGGCAGAAAATAGTGGAGCCTAGCGAGGGAGATTAAAACAATTGGTTTTATTGGATCAAAACAAGGGTTTCCCACGGCGCATTGTTGCAAATTGTGGAAAATATTTACCGATGACATGAAATGAGCATGGGGTGAATATTAGATAGCACAAAGTTTTCGTAAATCAAGACACAAGAAGGAGGAGATGATGTTATGTAAAAAAAAAAAAGAAACTGACTAAAAAGAAATCATATCTTTTGCTTGAAATTTCTTACAGTCCAAATATACTTGTTGCCAAGACTTGTTCGCTAGAACGTATATTTGGTTCGGCAAAATACCTTCTAGAAAACAATTTGCCTAGGCGACCAGGTACCAAAAAGGTAAATACGAAAAATGTCCAAACATCAAGGAGAGATAAGAATCTCAATACAGCTAAGCGCATAATCTTTACCCTATGTATAGAAAATAGTGGTTTCATTTTCTAATTTATGTAAAATTGCAATTGAAATAGTTGGTACAAACCCAGGGCAAAAGTTTAAAAATAATAATACGAATTACGAAAGTATGAAATTGGAGAAGGCATTAGCGAGAGTCATAACAAACGTTTTAGTAAATCAACATGGAGAATCAGACGAGGTGTTCTTATCTCCTGTTGAAGTATACCCAATGATTCAATGTAGTCAACGGTACAAAAATGTTTTGTATCATTTTGTTCTTTTCACGTGACATTGCATAAAAGTAAAACCAATTGCACTATATCACGTGAGAATTGCTGAAAAATTAACAATGCATAACAGCTCAAAAAAATAAAATTGATGGAAGATCCATCGCAGGCGGAGAAGATCATTTCCATGTGTTATCCTTGGAACCTGGAGAAAAGATCGAGATGCGCTCTTGTTGTTGTCTACACGGGGTAGCTAAAAGAACCAACCATCTTAATTAAGTAATAAATTAATCAATTTCCCATTAATTGATTATACTCAGAGTATTGCAACATATGCAGGGTAAAAAAAAAGAAATTAAAAAGAAACTAAAGCTCTAGTACAAGATTTCGATCTACCGAGGCACACACCACTAGTATAGAGTGAATAGTCGAACTGTAGCTTTGAAGTATCTCGTTAGTAGTTGCTAATTGTATAAATTAAGTCATCACTTAGCTGCACAGCAACTATAACACTGCAACATTTCATTGAAAATCAAGTCACGTGCTATGTTCAATTGTGGATCTCACTTGTTTTTTTTTTTCATTTTTTTCGCCATTAGCCACAATTATCAAGACTCATATATAAAAAACATTAGTAATTCATATTTAATGTTTGTCTAATATATAAGTTTTTAATTCAATTAGGATCCACACCTCCACAATTATTCAACGTTATCTTAAACTAGTCGCCTGAACCGCAACAATAAAGCCTTTTAATTGTTTCCTAATTAATTGTTACCAGGTTTAAAGTTTATCCGAAGAAAAATATCAAGAGGACCCCTTCTTGGCATTTCTATTTAAGTTCATCGTTCTCCCTTACATCTTGTTGCATTTGACGAGATTTTTTTTCACATCATCAACAGTCACAGTAAATCATGTCTAATATTCTTGAGACTGTTAAGTCCTATACTTCAAATACTGGACCTGATTCAGAAGTTCCACACTTTTTCGATGGTGAAAACTTGAGAACTACCAACACTCACCATGAGTTTGAACATCGTTCAGTCCACACTAACCCACATGACAACTACGCTATTCCTCAATACGAAGAAGATGAAGTCACTGTAAAGGATTGGTTGCAAAATATCTTTGGTAACCCATTACAAAAGATCTTCAACTACTTTGTTTCCTTATTCCCAATTCTTAAATGGATTTTACACTATAATGGTAAATGGTTATATGGTGATTTAGTTGCTGGTATCACTGTCGGTATTGTTTTAGTTCCTCAATCCATGTCCTATGCCCAATTAGCTGGATTAGCTCCACAATTTGGTTTATATTCTTCCTTTGTCGGTGTTTTCATCTATTCATTTTTTGCTACTTCCAAGGATGTCTCCATCGGTCCTGTCGCTGTTATGTCCTCCCAAGTTGGTAAGGTTATCGCCAATGTTCAAGCTAAATATGGTACTGACCTTTATGATGCTCAAACTATTGCCACTGTCTTATCATTGATCTGTGGTGGTATTGCTGCTGGTCTTGGTATTTTGAGATTAGGTTTCATCTTGGAATTCATTTCCATTCCTGCCGTTATGGGTTTCATGAGTGGTTCTGCTTTAAATATTATTTCTGGTCAAGTTCCTGCTTTAATGGGATTCCCTAAGGCTGTCAACACTCGTGATGCCACTTACATGGTTATAATCAATTCCTTAAAGGCATTGCCACAATCTACTTCCGATGCTGCTTTCGGTTTAATTCCATTATTCATTCTTTATCTTTGGAATTTCGTTTGTGGATTTGGTCAAAGAAGATGGCCAAAGTTGAAATGGTACTTCTTCTATACTCAACAATTAAGAAATGCCATTGTTATCATTGTCGCTTCTGCTATCTCTTGGGGTATTGTTCACCCAAAGAAGGTTGCATTTGATGGTCCAGCTTCTGCCTTCAAGCCACCAATTTCAATCATTGGTACTGTTCCTTCTGGTTTACGTGATGTTGGTGTTATGAATATTCCAGATGGTATTGCCAGCGCATTAGGTTCTGAAATTCCAGTTTCTACCATTATCTTGTTATTAGAACACATTGCCATTTCCAAATCTTTTGGTAGAGTCAACGATTATAAGGTTGTCCCTGATCAAGAAGTTATTGCTATTGGTGTTACTAACTTGATTGGTACTTTTTTCAATGCTTATCCTGCTACTGGTTCCTTCTCCCGTTCTGCTTTAAAGGCCAAGTGTGGTGTTAGAACTCCAATTGCTGGTCTTTTCACTGGTGCCGTTGTCTTGTTAGCTTTATACACTTTGACTTCATCTTTCTTCTACATTCCAAAGGCCACCCTTTCTGCTGTTATTATCCATGCTGTTTCTGATTTGGTTGCTAACTACAAGGTCACCTGGTCATTCTGGAGAATCAGTCCTCTTGATTGTGGTATTTTCTTGATCGGTTTAATCATTACAATTTTCGTTACTATTGAAGCTGGTATTTATTTTGCCATTGCTTCTAGTTGTGCTGTTTTGTTATTCAGAGTTGCCAAGCCAAATGGTCAATTCTTGGGTCGTACTCAAGTTGCCGAAATTGTTAACCCAGTCATTGTTACTGACAGCAGTGGTGCTTCTTCCATTAATTCTGATGCTGAAATTCACCAAGTCTTATCCAACCATTCCAACTACCAATCTGTTGTTGATGGTAAGGACAAAGAATCCAATACTAAGGTCAACACGAAATCCTCAGCTGCACCAAATGTCAAGATTCACACTCGTTGGGTTCCATTAACTAAAGAAAACTTAAACGCTGGTATTTCAGTTACTCCACCACCACCAGGTGTCATTGTCTTTAAGCCAATTGAATCATTTACTTATCCTAATGCATCCCGTCAAATTGATTTAGTTTCCGATGAAGCCAAGAAGTTAACCAGAAGAGGTAAGCCATATGATTTATCAGACAAGGGTTCCAGACCATGGAATGACCCAGGTCCATTATACTTCCCATGGACCAAGAAGGAAGACTTGATCCACCATCAACAAGAAGACACCAGACCATTGTTACGTATTATTCATTTTGATTTCTCCTGTGTTGCCAACGTTGATGTTACTTCTATCCAAGCCTTGGTTGATTTACGTAAGGCTATGAATATTTATGCTGACCGTGAAGTTGAATTCCATTTCTCAGGAATTTTAAGTCCTTGGATTAAGAGAGGTTTGATCAATGCTGGTTTTGGTATTCAAGAAGATGGCTTGGTTGCTGAAAATACTTATGTTAATATTGCCAAGGGATCTTCTGGTAACGACGAAGACAGTGATTTGGAAGGTGGTAGATTTATCCCTGCCATAACCACAAACACTCCTTTCTTCCATTTGGATATTCCAGATTATTAGACAAGTGTCATTTCTTTACAATATTTAGTTCAGTTCCGGTTGTAATTTTTGATTTTTTTGGGTATTTATAGATAATTAAAAAGTTTTGTATTTAAAATTAACTTGTAGATTCATTACTACTAGTTATGATGTAATAGATTGGTATATGTTTAAATACCTAGACATTCTAATGATTTAATGCTACTAGACAAAGAGTAAAGAGGAATTAATAGAAATGGTTGTAAAAAAAAAAAGGAAAAATTGCTCATTCAAATCCCGAGCATATGGTAGCAAAGTATATTATTGGCATAAACAATCAATCAATACTGCTTTTCTTTATTAAACAACGCCAAGAAACACAGAAGTACCCGATTGTTGAACATATGCGGATGAATATTTCTTATTTTCTACAATTCAAAGGAAATCTTTGTGCATATACTGGGCTTTAATAATCCAGATCTTTCGGGGGCCCAGACAAATTTCTAAGAGATATTCCAAACCCCCTGTAATATAGTAAAGCCAAGAAAACGTTTTATATTAGCTGAGTACTTTATCCAACCGGTTTAGGTTTACTGAATCAAGCTATAAATGATCTAGAAAAGGAATGACAAGTAAGTATCACGTGCTTGGGATTATGATACATTAAACTATGGTGCGGGAAACGTTTTCCTTGATTAATCGTCACTATAAATTGGTCTAAACTTTATACTTTGTATGTGGATTCATAATGGAATCTATAGAATGGAACTAGATATATTTAAGATTTACCAAAAAACTTACACTAACTGTAAATTCACAGATTTGAACACTAGATTAGAAAATCGTATAGTTTCCTCTAGCAATTTTTTTTTATATTCACAGTTGAGTTGATTATGATACCTTAAAGAGGTATTAGGGTCAAGCCACTGCCGCAAGAAAGTTATAACTTAAAATTATTGCTATAAGACAAATTGTTTTTGCAAATATAGATCAGTTACATGACAACAAGACTATTTCCGCCTGACAAATTAATCGGGATAGTTGAATTTCCTATTTCAGCAAACTGGTTAGGCGCTAATAAATTAGGAAAGGTTTTTACTATTGGATGGTTGTAACTTGCATAAAAAATACCACTTTATGCAAAATCGGAAATGGGCTTTGATCAACGCCATCGGACATCAAGATCTGACATATAGAAGCCGATAGTAGAACAACATACAGAGGAACAAATGAATCTGATAATTGCGTGTAGTGAGTTTTATAATTCGGTTATATTTACCATATTTCATTGTCGTCAGGGAAGTTTATTATTAGACTAAATATAGAATCGGATATCCGAGTTTCATTCAGCAGTAAAACATCGTTTATGCGCGAGGGGTAATACATACAACACCACCGTATCTATCTTTCTTTCGCGATCCACAAATCATTCTCCAGGGGGGCTTAAAAGGAATAAGCCCATTTTAGTGCGTTGGATTGTTATTCAGCCATTCATTGTTTGTATTATAGCGTGATGTTTTAGAAGTTTCAGAAGTCAATGAGAAATGATGGGTCGCTTGTCTTCAGATGATGGATGTGTTGGACAATGCTGGGCAACAATGAAGGATAGATCAAACATTCTTGCCGGGATTATAAGAGAAATAAACTTAATTAAAGATAAAATTAAACTTATAAAAATCAGTCTATAGTCATAAGGCTTACTCGTTTCTCAAGGTAGTTAAATATAGATGAAATCTTCAAAGCAATGGTTTTAATCTTATCTTTAAATTAAGTTTAATGGATGTTCCTAGCAGGGCTCTCAATCTCCTAGTTTAAGCATAGTCGAAACAATAAATCTGAAAGTTTAACAAAGGACCCCTGAAGAACTTAGAAGATATGTAGAGTATAACCGGGCATTCGTCTCGTCAACAGAAGTATTTAGCTAGACGAGAAAGTGCAAATGCGCGTTATTTTTTTAAGCATCAACAAAGTTCTGTTTATTTATTTATTTTTTTTTCGTGTTTTAACAAAGTCCCCAGTTATTTTTTAGTAGTTCATCATCGGATGCCGCAAAAGGGCTAAATTCTTGAATCCAAAATCGGTTGCAATTGCATACAAATCTTGATCATTTTTAGCAGTTATTTCGACCATTGAAGTAATCCGAAAAGGAAGACAATGGTTTTATCTTGACGAAAACGCACATGGGCAATATGGTACGACTTCTTGTTTATTTTTCATCAAAATAGTTTGCAAATGCTGCAAATATTCTAAAACCTTGTTTTATTGTTGATTAATGGTGATATAATTTACTTCTCTAGACGTGAGACATAGATCTTGTACCTTGTTATAAATATCACAGAACATTCCCTGTAGATCTATTAAATCTTTCTTTCGATCCAATCAAACTAACAATGTTTTTGTCATTGATATTCTTGCAAATATTATTGACATTTGCCGCAGCTAAAGAAATAAGTGGAGTGTTTACTTCTTTTAACTCGTTAAAATGGAGAAAAGGTGCTAATTACAGATATGCCAGCCCTGCATTCCCTAGTTGGATTGCCGAATTAGGATGGAAAATCGATGGTTCTAAGATGAGTGCAGGTGACACTTTTACTTTAACTATGCCTTGTGTGTTCAAGTTCACCACTACACAAGTATCAGTGAATTTGAAAGTCGGGAATACTATTTATGCTACTTGTCGGTTTGCCCCTGGTGATATCTTACTTCCAACTTCTGAATTAAAGTGTAGTTTGTCAGATACTGTCAAGCAACTGACCCTGGCTCATGGAACTATGAGTTTCCCGCTTACTTTCAATGTTGGAGGATCGGCATTAGATACTGATGTTAAATGTGGAGAAACTTTCACAAGTGGTGTCAATACTGTTTCATTCAGCGACGGAGATAACGTCGTTTCTACTACTGTTAATTTCGAAGGAGGTGTCGATACTAATCCTGATAGAATTGCTTATAATGCCCGTGTCGTTCCTAGTGTGAACAAATTGCAACACCAAGTATTAGGAGGAAAATGTGGAGCTGGTTACTCTTCAGGTGTATTAGGTATCACCATGCTTTATGGCACCGGCTCAATCGATTGTTCATCTATTCATGCTGCTATTTCTAACTCATTGAATGACTGGTATTTCCCAAAATCAATTGAAACTGATTTTTCATATACAACTAAATGCAGTGCCACCTCCTTCATTATCAACTACAAGAATATTCCTGCCGGTTACCGGGTCTTTATTGACACCCTTGTATCTTCTGCCGTTGGGGTCAAACACAAAATCAGATACACCAACAGATACAAGTGTGCCAATAGTCCATATATAATTGATAATTCCGAAACTGTTCAATGGCAACCTTATTGTAACGATGTTGCTGGGGCCAATGGTAAGGAAGTGGAACTTGTTACAGAAACTTGGACTGGTCTGACTACATTAGTGTATACTAAGCCTTTTAAGACTCATGACCCTACCATTACTATTGTTGTTGATGTTCCAATCCCAACAATTACCTACACAACCACATATACCGGAATCAGCACTAGTTATACCACATACACCGTGACTCCAGGTGAAACTGCCAGCGTGGTTGAATATGAACCTGTGCATGCTACAACATCTGAAGTCAGTTGCTGGGAAACTGATTCTACTGCTACAACCACTATTATTGTTTCTACTAGAGCTACCGATACTGTCTTGGTTATTACTCCATGCCCAAAAACAAAGGTGGAAACAACCACAAAACAGGAACAGCCTATAACGACGGACAAACCTGAACCTACAACTGTGGAGCAAGTTACATCAGAAGAACCTGAACCTACAACTGTGGAACAAGTTACATCAGAAGAACCTGAACCTACAACCGTGGAGCAAGTTACATCAAAAGAACCTGAACCTACAACTGTGGAACAAGTTACATCAGAAGAACCTGAACCTACAACTGTGGAGCAAGTTACATCAAAAGAACCTGAACCTACAACTGTGGAGCAAGTTACACCAGAAGAACCCGAGTCAACTGAAGTAATTGTCACAACTGATTGTAATACACCTCCACCTGTAACATGTGAGGAAGAAACATCAAGCGTGGATACTCCAGAAGAGCCTGTAACTTCAACCGAGGTAGAAATTCCAACAGAAGCACCTGTTACTTCAACCGAGGTAGAAATTCCACCAGAACAGACTAAAGCTCCACCAGAAGTTCCTGTTACTTCAACCGAAGTGGAAATTCCAACAGAAGCACCTGTGACTTCAACTGAACAACCACCTGTAATTCCAACCGAAGAAGAAATTCCAACTGAGGTACCAGGGTCAACGGAAGAAGTTGTCTCAACTGATTGTTATATACCTCCAACTGTAACATGTGAGGAGGAGGAAGAAGAGCCTTCAACTGAGATTGAAATTCCACCAGAACAGACTATAGCTCCACCAGAAGTTCCTGTTACAACTACCATCGAAACAAAGACTCGCACACCTGCCATTCCGCCAGAAAATAAAACAACTATGGTTACTCCTCCTTCTGGAGCCACCTCAACTGGAAGCCAACCTACAACCCCAACGGCCACAGTTAATCCACCAGAAAACCAGCCTAGTGAAGCTCCTTCACCTACTTCGATCGATGCAATGCCCTCTATTCCCTCTGGAACAATCTTCTCAGGGGCTGGAATTGGGTCATTTAGTGGAAGCTCTACGATGAGTTTGCTCTTAACTCTTTTGATTTCTCTTTTGTAAGAGTTTAGATGAAATCTTTTTGTTTACATATATAATTTCGTAGTTTAGAACAGATTAATTTTTTTTTTACATATATGGTTTATTATTGTTTAAGTACGATTGTAATAAGATAGCTTTGGTATTAACATATGATGCAGCATTAGTAAGTCGGAGCAAACACTCGTTCAGTTTGAGTGTTGAAATGTTTCGGTACGCGTTTTCTCACCAACGGTTGTTTTCCACAACGCGTAGATTAAAAAAAAAAACCAAAATACCTTAAACTAACTCCTTGCAAACACTATGACAACCATGCCAGAAGCAACAGAACCTAGCCAGACTGAAGTGATAGTTATAGGTTCATCACCACAACCAATGGATGTAGATTTATCATTGCAACCTACTAGTACAGACGATGATACATCTTCTCAGTCATCCGATAAGGAAAACCTCAATACCAAACAAGCCGACAAGCTTGCTAAGAAACTAGAACGTGAAAAACAAAAAGAATTAGAGAAGAAAGCTAAAGAGGAAGAAAAACTTGCCAAAAAACGTCAATTGGAACAAGATAAACTAGAACGGAAACGCAAAATTGAAGAAGAGCGAGAATCGAAGAAAAGAAAACTAGAGGAAGAAAGAGAAGCCAAGCGGAGAAAGCTCGAAGAGGAGAAAGAACTCAAACGTAAAAAGCTCGAAGAAGAGAAGGAACTTAAACGAAAGAAGCTTGAAGAAGAGAAGTTACTTCGGGAACAGAAGAGACTCGAGGAGAAGCTAGCTAAGGAAAAGGAAAGAGAAGAGAAGAAACGGAAATTAGAAGAGGAAAAAAGGATAAAGGAACTCGAAAGGAAACGAATTGAAGAAGAAAAGAAGAAAGCTGAAGAGTTGAAAGAACGAAGTCAGATGAAGATTTCAAGCTTCTTCCAAGTGAAACCAGCACAGCCAAAGTCGCAAGAAATACTGACTACTCCAATTGTTATAGCCAGCTCTCCTTCAGAGATTGTTTGCAAATATGATTCAGAATTCTTGCCATTCTTTGTTCAAAAGAATGTCACCGTGATGAGTAGACCCAGAAAGGATCTTTCACAAACTCAAAAAGAGCTAAACGACATAATAGCCAATCCATCCCAAGAACAATTTACAAGTTTCCTCAAATCTTTACCAATGACTGCATCGACTAGTGCAACCCACCAAACAACACCCGATGAAATCATAACTGCCTTAAACTCCTCCACAACTACAGAATCACAAGTATACCAATTAATCAACCAATTACCACCTATCAAATACATCAGTTTCTACGAGAATGAAAAGCCGCCATATATAGGAACATGGTGTTCAACCAAGCACAAGTCTCAACAAGCATCTATAATAGCCAATCCATTAAATTCGGAACTTACTGGGTTTGATTATGACTATGATTCCGATTTGGAATGGAACAAAGACGACGAAGACGGAGAAGATTTGGATGATGATGTTGATGATGACGAGGATGATCTGATGTTGATTCCTGATGAAGAAGACGATGAGTTTGTCGAGAATGATGGGATTAGAAAGAAGAAGTTTATCTCGTTACTGATCATTAACAAATGGAACAACGATGAGAATAAGCTGTTCTTTCAAGATTTTTCTGTTGTGGTCATGACTGAAGGCGTCCAAGTGCCTGTTGAAGGACCGATTGACCCATTTTGCAACTACTGGAAAGGTGAAGAAGTTGTAATGGCAGCAGCTGATGAAAGTAATGCCACATTGAATGAACAGGTGCAAGCCGTTGCTCTAAGTACACCAGTCAAGAACACAATGGCAAATCCAAATATACTAACTCCATCCAAGAAGACGATAACCGACCCAATAATACTTAAGCTGCTCATTCAATTCCTTGAAAAGAATAATGATTTTACTATAGGGACGTTAGTTGAGTTATCTAAAAAGGAATTCAAACAATTCACTAAAGCGTTGTTGAAGAATACTATACAAGATATTGCTTGCTATAATAAGAAAACTTCAATATGGGAAATTAAACAAGAGATCAAGACTAGATATGAATAATTAGGAAAGTATATAGCTAACATAAATTAATGCCGCGGCTTTCCTGTATATAGCACCCTAGATATATTGTAGAACAATTTTAAACGCGCCACGCGATAGCATACGGTTATATCTAACAGCCAAGAACTCGATGTCAGACAGTGAACCAGGTGGTGGAAGTCTTTATTTCAATTCTACCCAGATGCAAAGTCGTTATGAGGATTTGGTGGAAGAAGAAACGAAGACGAAACTCGTCAAATCAAAATTAAATCCATTCAAGAACGACATCGATAAACCAATACTAAGCACCAAGAAATCTATTGCAAAACCAAGAGCCAAGCCTAAACTGAGGAAACAACCGAAGAAGAACGTATCCTTGAATGCACATGTTCGACAATCATTCGAGAATAATGCTGACAAGTTCTCTTATTTCGCTGGAAATCAAAGTAAACTTGATGATTTCATAAAACGAATAACCAGAGCAGAAGACGTGGAGCATTTGACTCATAAGAGCAACACTAAATTGTGGACTCCTTCTGAATGGAAGTATATTGTTAATCTGATAAGACTAAAGTTTCCCGTATTGCCGCGAGCAAGTAAGATGACACTAAAGGCAATCAATAAACGGATGATGTTACAACTGATGAATGAGGAAAGTCAAGAAGATGGCGGAAGTATGTGGAGCCAAGCGTGTTCTCACCCGCTGACAGAGATGTCCAACGAGGATATAAAATCACTATATGAATTAAACGAAGAACAAATGAATGGAAGCAGTTTTATAGAAGAGGAACATGAAGAAGTGAGTCCGTTCGTTATGAGTTTGAATGTCGACGAGAAATTAAAGAGTGACTCCACAATTCTGGATTCTGAATCAGAACCGGAAATCATACTGGAGCATCGAATAAAGAAGTTGTCTTCACCGGAGATAGTAGAAGAAAATCTCCATAAATCACTTGTACAAGTATCTGAAAGCATATATGATAATAATCCTCACCAGCCTCCGCTAGATCCAACAATGTCATTCCAAAGTTTTTCATTTGCTAGACAAGATCAAGTTTATGAAGTTATTGAAAGCGATGTTGAATCAGTAAAGTCCCCCAGTAAACCCATAGCCTTGCTGTCCCCTACCAAGATTAGCAAGACTACATCACCTATTGAATCGCCGTTCACGACTCCTACAATACTAACAAAGCAAATACTAAATAGCAGACCAACAAGTATATCCCGAAGATCACCGATCAAACTAATAAATCAATCGTTTGAAAGTCCAATACAGCAAGAAATCATCATCTCTTCAGACGAAGAGTCAATACATTCCACAGCAAAATCTAGCATAACAACAGACAGTAAAGATCTATTTGTAGAGAGTCAAGATATGCCTGTTTCTTCCATGCCTATACCAAAATCACAGAAGAGGAAAACATTAACCACTACTCGCTTACAAATATCCAATGCATTAATAGTTTCTGATTATGAAGATAGCACCGTGAAATTGAGAAAGATATCCGAGAACAATCGAATAATTATTGATTTAGATGCAGAAATACCCGATTCAGAAAGCCTGGATGACGATTTCAGTATTATTGAAATAACACGAGAGGTGAAGCCGGAAGAAGGAGAGCCTAATACGTCAGGACAAGATGTTTCAGTGGTACAAGTGCCGTCAAGTCCAATAACAACCACAGAGCATCTGCTAACAGTGGCTACTAACATTCCCTCAGAAATATCTTCACTTAAAGCTACAGAACTCAGCAAGAAGTTTAAAGCATGGGGATTGAAACCAGTTCAAGGCAAATCTAAAATGCTTGAGATTTTGACTAATATAACGCATTTTATTGATCCAATAAATCTAACTAATCTCGATACACAACAAACTTTCCAACAAAGCGTATTCATCAAACTCACCCAGCTAATCCGGTCAGATCAACTATGGTATGATAGAATACTTTCTTATGAACCTATCCGAATAGATGAACTCAAGCAGTGGTTGGCAACTCAATCGTACATTCTCGAACCCGACTTGTTACAGATGTATTGCGATAATCACTCGGTAACAACCACAAACTAGCGCTCTATATGTATTTCTTGTAATCGGGTTCGATCTTATCTTCGACTAATTTAGCATTAATATATCTAATTAACTTGGAACTTATCCCAACGTTAGCAACGAGTGTACCTGGTCCGTAAACTAAATTGTTAAGCAAGTTTCCATATGGTTGGTAATACACGACCTTGATGGCCCATATGAGATGGTATACAAGCATGAGAAAAACCAATACGGTGAGCAATGTTAATACCGATGCATTGAATGCTCGTGATTTGGATATTCTTTTATCTGGATGTGTAGAAGGTTGTGCCATGTTGAGTGGTGGTGAACTTGTTAATAGTAGTTTTAAGTGGAAAAGTTGGGTTGGATCTGAAGGGCAAATATCACATCAACAAAATCACGTGATGGACTATATCCGAACCAGGGAAATATAAATCCGAAAGTTCTTCAGAGTATATGGAAGAGGTTTTAAGGCAACTTCAGATATAAGCTCAGCTTGGAGAAGGAAATGACGAGGACTTTATGTTTTCTCAGCCAACACACTGGTGATTTGTAATATCTTTTTTAGGTGGTTACTAAATTAGGTTTATCCACCATGCTCAGTCTTTTCCTGGTGAACAAGCAGAAACAGACGGTTCCAGCTTTTATAATGGCCTGTCATCCCCTCAGATGCTATCCCATACAACTATACATGCATCTTTTCCTTGTATGTTATGTTTCCTTGTTATAAGAGTAGTAAAATTTTTGCAACCTAGATCAAGCTTTCACCCCAGAAAAACAAAAACGGTAGACAGAATTTGCAGCATTTTCTGCTTCCATGGCTCCGCCCTAGAAAAGTAGCAAAACTACCCATCCCGCCCTTAAACCTTTCGTTTACAGCAGTGCAAATGGCAAGAGAAAACATCAATAGGATGATCGACAGTATCATTAAATCGCTTGATTCGACAAATGAATCGCAACTAATCAGATCAATCATTACTCCTACTAACGAAATCAAACAAATAAGACAACAAATCCGATGTTGGAAACCTCCACCTTGATACGATAATAGTCTCAGTTGGCATTACAATTGAAAACCAATTGAAAGGTACTGGTGTTATTGTTGAGTTGGTTTCAAGACTGTTCATTCTGAAAATGTTAGAAAGACTGGCATTAAATCCGTTGACCTTGTCATTAATTTCTTTGCAGAACCCGACAAGTTGTGGTATGAAGTTGTCGGCCATGTGGGTATTGATTCTGGTACCAAGTATGTTCTTCAGCTTGGAGATTTAAGCACTAGGGTTGCATTCATGAGAGTTGAAGATATTGGTTATGTTATCGCTGCTGTTGCTGGTAGTGACAGCGAGTCTCTTCCTGGCAAAATCAGAGTCAAGCCAAGGGTTCTATTTCTTATCAAGCAGCCATTGATCGATATGAACAAACTCACATGGAAATGGACAGAATGTCACGATCGACATGCAATTTAATGCAATTCGACTCTATACATCGATCTAATTTGATGTACACAAGCGTGTGTGCTACCAGGTGTGATTGTAGATTTGTTAGGGAAAAAATGACAGTTCCGATTGCGGACGGGGCGGACCAGCTGGGGTATCAGGCGGACGGGGCACCTGAGTCTGCTATGCTACGCGAAAACACCGCATGTCTCAGTATATAATGCACAGATATGTAACTATGGTCTGATAATGTGTTTGCACGCTACCAATTCCTATTGTTTTGCTTGCTCCCGAAGATATCCACCGATTGTTCTCAAGGCACTCAGAGTGGAACGGCTTGATTGTTGTAGCCGAATAAAAAAAAAATAAAAAAAAAATCATGACATATATCAAACTGTCTCTTTGCTCATAGCACTTCCACAAGATGCAACATCAATATTCAGAAGATCCAAATCTAATAATCAAACCACTGTACTATAGTAATGGTGTGCCCGTATTCACACCCACTTATAACCAATTCCACAACTTTTATCAGTTCAATAAAGCTATAAACCAGTATGGGATGCAATCTGGCATTGTCAAGATTATCCCTCCTGCCCATTGGAAACACCAGTTAGAGAAACTGAAATGCTATAACCACGACAACTTAGAAAACAACATCACCATACGCAATCCAATTGTGCAACACATTAACCAAGTGAGCCCAGGGGTATACCAACAGGAAAATATCGAGAAGCAGAGAAAATATAGTATTTTCCAGTGGAAACAATTGGCAGATCAGCAGAACTTCCAACCTCCAAGAACAAGCACAAGAAAGAGATCGCGACAGGACGACAAGGAAATAGTCGAAGACTCGCCTAGAAAGTTACGTCATACCCATTCCGACTACAATATCGACATCCACGAGTTTACTGATGACCGATGCGCTGAGCTTGAACGAATATACTGGAAGACTCTCACCTATGCCGAACCCATGTACGGCGCCGACATGATCGGCTCAATATTCCCTCCCAATATCAAATCGTGGAATGTAGCTCATTTGCCTAATATTCTTGACCTAATGGACCGGAAGATCCCCGGAGTCAATGATGCATATCTCTATGCTGGATTATGGAAAGCGACCTTTGCATGGCACTTGGAAGACCAGGACTTGTATCTGATCAATTACTTACATTTCGGTGCCCCCAAGCAGTGGTACCTGATCCCACAGGAGTATCGAGACAAGTTTTTCAATCTAATGAAGGAGATATTTCGCGAAGAGTATAACCACTGTCATGAGTTTTTAAGACACAAGACGTTTCTTGTGTCGCCACAAGTGCTTGAAAAACACGGGATCAAAGTGAATCATATAGTTCATCGTCAGGGAGAATTCATAATTACTTATCCGTTTGGATATCATGCTGGATTCAATTATGGCTATAATTTGGCCGAATCAGTTAATTTTGCTCTTGATGATTGGTTTCCTTTGGGGAAGGTGTCTAATAAATGCGAGTGTATTAATGATGCTGTGACTATAAATATTTCCCAGTTGTGGAGTAAGTTTCATGGAGTAGAACCGGACGCTCCAGTGAAGCAAAATCAGGACAATAGTCATAGCAATACTCACATCAGTAATGGTCACGCCCAGAAAAGGCCAATAGGGCGACCAAGAAAGAACAGTGTTCGCAATGATATTCCTAGTGAAGCACCCGAAGAAACACCCAGTGAAACACCCAGTGCAACACGGGAATGCTATTTATGTCCCAACAGCTATCCGCAAACATCACCATTGTTTGACCTACTTCCAACAGACGCAAATCATAAAATCCACCGAATCTGTGCCAATGTGTTTTCAAACCAACTACAACTTTCAAATAACAAAATCTCAAACTTGCAGTCGATTTCCAAACAACAAAAACAATTAAAATGTAATATATGTCACCAACCCAACGCCTGCATTCAATGCTCGTATAAGAAATGTTCTCGTTCGTTCCATCCAAGCTGCGCATTATTTGACGGAGTACAGTTTGACATTCCTGATGTGTATTGCAAGTATCATCGATCCAGACAGTCATCTAAGCCTGAGCATGTTATTGGGAAACTAGTCCAGTTTAGTATCAATGGGAGATATTTCTATGGAAGAGTGTTTAGTGATAACATTTCCGAGGAGACGGTCAATATTCAAGTGCTTCCAGGGTTGTACGATATCATTGAGGTGAGCTACAACAATGTGCTATATTGTAACTATAACGAAAATATGAACTATTTAAAAGAAATGATAGTGATGGACGATGTGAATGCTGATGACATTTCTAAAACTAGAAGTGGGCGAAAGATAAAGGTGAGTTAGATAGACGATTAACTGTATCTATACATGTTTTTGGTTGACATTTGTTTGCACCCAATAAATATTTTGTACTATTGTTATACATCTCGCGTGTACCGTTTAATGCGCTATTGTTCTACTCGTTGTAAGCTGTTTCTTTAAGTTGATACCAACACACAAGTACAAATTACTGTTGTACTATTGATGAAATCAGTCACCTTTAAGTATGGCATCTGGTAGCGCAACGCGTTCGATTATAAACGCGCAAGTTTGTTTATATTCAACTAACCATTTTGCCATCTGGTTCATGGCATGAGCAAGAGAAGGAAATACCAACCGGTCGAATCCTCGTTCGAGCAAATAGATTCCGACTCTGATGACAGCATCATTGTTCTGAAATCACCTTCTCAGTCGCCACCACGACCACCGCCATCTTCAGTCCAGTGGATCGACAAATATGCCCCCATTTCAACATCAGACATCTGCATCAACCCAACCAAACTAACCCAGGTAAGAAATGCATTGACTTCTATGATTAACCACACCCTGACCTCACGCGTTCTTGTGCTTTCCGGTCCTTCAGGATGTTCCAAGTCCACCACGGCGAAATTACTAGCAAAGGAGTTGATTGACTCGTCTGATTGTCTCGTGGAATACAACGAAACTTTCGATATTGAGGATTTCTTGAGTAATTGTCGCTACAGAATTGGTCCCAACCTAGCCGTAGTATTGATTGAAGAATTACCCAATGTGTTTCATGCACCTACATTAGAGAAATTCCGAAACTCACTCCAACAGTGGATCAGTTATGACGGGGAGTTGCCTCCGCTCGTCATATGTCTTACCGAGATTGAATATGGGGAAGGTGAATCGTGGTATAACATTGAAAATACATTGACAGTAGACACGGTGTTCGGAAGGCTGTTGGCTTCTCAAATGAACATCATCAAGTTCAATCCTCTTGCCGTGAGGTTTCTTAACAAGACAATATCGAATATCGTCAAGAATGAACCGGTGTTTAACAAGATAAACAAGGTCAAGTTGAAGCTGGTCCTTGATCAGATGTACAAAGTCGGTGATATCCGTCTGATTATTTCAAATTTACAACTATGGACGATATTGAATAGTGACACGGTATGTCTTCGTGAAAATCAAATAAATCTCTTTCATGCAATTGGAAAGATCTTGTATTCAAGCTCGGAATTCACCCATATGAACAAGGAAGACGTGGACCACCACTCCATTGATCAAGTTCTCTCCCAGTTTCAGGACAATCTACCGTTGGTTAATCTTGGATTATTGGAAAACTATCACATTTTAAACACATCTCAATTCCCCGTCCAACTTGCGGCAGATATAACTAACGACTTGAGCATATCTGATATCGGTGTGACTGACATAGGTATACGGTCTGCCCGCGTGAATCTAAGAAAGCTCACGTCCACTAAACGACAGGACCAAATTAGGTTTCCCAAGCAGTTTAAAATGGCCAGGCTAGCACGAATCACCGCGGGACAAGTGCGCGATTACCAGAGGTACATTACACCTAGAAGCTCCTTTAATGATTTGAATATGATTGACGGATATTTTCTTCCCATGATATACAACCGACGGTATAAACAGAGGTATAGCTATAATAGGCTAGGCGGCAAGTTTAAAAAGATTTATGATGATGAAGTAGAAGACGAGCGGGTGGATTACGATCAATTTCAAGACGAGATCAAACGGAAAAAGTTGGAAGATGTGGAACTAGATAGCGAGGGAGAGCTAAGTGATCCGATACTGGAAAGCGACATGGAAACTGATGCTGATAGCGAGGATGGATTTCTGTCGGATCCTGAATTGGATCTACTTATATCTCAAGGGAGAATATAGACTAGTTTAAAATTATATATTAAGATACATGTATATAGTCGGAGCCAATTATGCGCCTGCTTCCAAGGCATGTTCGAAAAACTTTTCATCCTCTTCGATACTTTCCTTTATGATATCCAAGCCACCTTGGAACTCACCGTTAATGTATAATTGAGGGAAAGTGGGCCAGTCACTAAACTTCTTCAACCCTTGTCTTACAGAATCATCCTTCAAGATGTCAAAGAATCCAAATCTGATCTGGTGTTCTCTTAAAATAGCCACTAATTGTCTTGAGAAACCACATTGTGGAGAGCTTGGAGATCCCTTCATGAATAACATGATTGGTGCGGCAGTAGTCAACTTCTTTAATCGTTGATTCAACTCGTCTTCTGATTCTTCAACCTCTTCAACTTCCTTCTTCTGTATAGCTGGTGCTGGTGCTGGTGCTGGTGCTTGTGCTTGTTGTTCTGGGGTATTGCTGAATTGGTTTAATGCACTGACAAACTCCTTAGGGTCGGCTCCAGATAACTCCTTCAAGATGGTGGCATTACGTATCAAGATAAAGTAAGGCACGGCATTGACTTCGAATATCTCGCTTATTTCGCTCAAGTCGTCAGCGTTAATCAGGAGGAATAATATACTGGGATCGTCCTTCTTGGATTCGGCAATGGTTTGGAAAACCGATGTCATGGTCTTGCATGGTGGTGCCCACTCGGTGTAAAAGTATAATGCAATTAATTTAGAACTGTCATCCTGGGTGAGTTCAGTGAACTGCTCTTGTGACTTGATTTCAATAACTGGCATAGCTGGTTAGTGTGAAAAAGACTTGATTATTAATTCGATAGTGGCTAGAATTCTTCTTCGGTCGCAGAACCACAGTGGTGATGTTTTTTTTTCTCTTGTGGTAGTGCCAATAATTACAAAAAATCACGTGAGTAGAGTGAATCAGTTTCAGTACGGCCATTGCAAGAAAGCCATTGAAATACCAGGGACTATTGACAAAGGGGATTAGACATGGCTAATGAGCCAATGGTTTAAATTTCAATATATAGTGCAATTAGATTGGTTTAAGTCATCCTCTAGACTTGGCATGTTGAGAATGTTGGGAATGTCATGCAAGCTTATGCAACTAAAGCCGGACAATAGCATTCTTGACTTTAAATATGCAGACACTCCGAAAATCTTATCCTGCAAGATAGAGCACATGTACAAACTAAACTAAGGTTCTAGCATGCATGTTAAAATACCGGGGGAGGGGAGGAGGAGGGGGCGGGGGGGATAATTCTTCGGACTTGTTGATAAGTAAAAGAGTAAGCAATTTGAAATTTTGATAGAATGTGTGAAGGTACTCTATACTAATACCCAGTCACACATCCAATCTGATCTAATATGGTTGATGCTATCAGAGTAATAACAAAAGAGTCACCACCACCACCACCACCTCCTCCCCTCTCTTTCGGACTATTCCAATTTTCTTCTCTCGCTTGTTTTACAGCGCCATGACGACCGTGAAGTCCGCACCAGACAAAAATAACTCTAATGTTGAATATGCAATAATTTTTCTATCTTGTTCTTAATCCCAACAAAAGAAACGCCGTACAAACAATGAATTTCTCTTCTCTAATTGGGAGTCGGATCTTGATTACACGTAGATTTAAATATTAGTGCAATTTATCTTCAAAACTGTCAGAGGGGTGTTTGTTTTTTTTTTTGCAACCAAATATCAAAGCGGAAAAAAAAACACTCAACAGACACAAACATTTCCCAACATAATCTCAACAAAATCCCTAAACACATACCCCCTATACCAATACTCAATCCTCACTTCTATAAATAGGGGTAAGTTTTCCTTTTTATTTGATTTGATTTTTCTTATCGGCAAATAAATCTTTTAATTGGCAAATCTCCCATGAGTTTTGATTCTGCATGGTTGTGCATGGTAAGTAGGGGATGTATAGTGCTTTAACTCCTTTTGCATGTTGAAATCCCTACTATCATACCATAATATCCAAGCTCGGTTAGTTGAATTCACACATAACAAGATACACTAACATCAAAAAGTATTCAGCGGCCATATCGTAATTCATGTATTTGGCTGGTGTTCACAAGATTCATTTTCAATGTTTCCACAAGACACAAGTTTGATTTATCACAAGAGGAAATATTTCCAATAAATCCGACCATTGCATTGAGAATGTTTTCTTAGATGCCAGGACGAAATTGTGTGCAGTGGTTCGTTGTAGGAATCTTAATGGCTCATTTATATTCTCCTATTGAGCAAATTCTAGTTGTAATACATCAGCAGTGTGCGGAAATTATCCGGGTGGGGCATTACAACCAGATCCAATCCAGACATCGACGTTGTAATATAACTCGTAGATATATAGTGAAGTCAAAACCCTTGTTAGTAATTTGGGGCCAAGAGAATATTTCGATGAACCCATATATAGCATTGAGGTTTATTTTTTGGTGTATTACTGGGTGTAAGTGGAATTACAACCAATAGCAACTGACTACTTTTCAATTCTTGGCAGACTTGCTTCCATATGGTCTAAGGTTCCTTCCTCTTTTGCGTAGAGCACTTGGGTGTTCGTAGATGAAAATTGCAAAACAAAAATGATGTCATAACATAGTTGCAAGGTCAACCTACTTTATCAGTTACTGTACACAAAGAAATAGGCAATCCCTTCCGAATAGACCGTTGAAGAACATTACGGGGATTAAGGAGCTAAAAATATTATCTAAATAGTTTGATCATGGAACTGAAAAGTGCTACTACATATTATCACATGGTGACACTATTGCGAGAGAGTCAGAAAAAGGTATAAAATCCAAGTCAAAAAATCCGGAGTTTGACATATATAAGCGCCACTATAGGCGCGGGTATGCAAAAAATAACTCGGAGTTGCGCATTGTATGAAAAAAAATAAGAAAAAGTGGGGTAATTTTTGTGTTGGCTTTCTTCTTTCCGACAGACATTTTTTTTTTTCCTGATTTTTTGGGTTTGTTTTCCTCAATTGGGTTTACCGCATTGCGCCCGCCACTGAGCCCGTGTCCATGGTCCCCCACAGATAGAAAAAAAAATTTCGTCATCTCCTGGAAATGCAGATGGTTGGTTTATCAATTGAACGGTAGGCGGCAAGACCCTGTCGTAGATCAAACTGATATGGTCGGGTGATTTTCCAGCGATGGTTCCCCACCTATATCTCTATAATTTTGCCCGATCTAGAAGAGATTTTGTTTTGTGTCGGGCTTAAGTTCTAGCCTTTCTCTGCAGTCTTTTCGTCACTATTATTCATGACTAAACTCAACAAAAAAAAATTCTAAGCATTCTGCTAAAATTTTATAAACGATTAAGACAAAAAATAATTTAATTTAATTACCAGCACCTTTTGCTTTTTCTTTTTCTTTTTCACGAAAAATCTTTGCTAGAAAAAAAAAAAGTGCCTGACTGGTTTTTCCTCTTGAATTTTTTTTTATTTGTCCCTCCAGACTAATCTGACCAATCAATCGACTTTGACAGACAGTCAAGCTCAATCAATCAATTAATCAGTCGACTATCACGGCCAGCATAGATACATAGCAGTCACTATAGACTCATTACACAAATCCATATTGAACAGTCGACTCTAGTTAGTCCGCTCCTCCCCCAGATTTTGTTTTTGCTTTGTTGTTCAACCACTTTGCCCCCCCTTTTTTTCTTTTTTGCTCGGCGCCCAATTACTCATAACGTCGACCCCCACAAAAGGAAAACCTTTTTTTTCTGTGCTGTCGTATAACAAAGGTTTCTCAGACACAAAAATTCCCACATCCATACATACACTGGTGGACGTACATTAGAAAAAAAAAGGATCTCAGTCTTTTTTTTTTTATTTTGCCTAAGAAAAAAAAGCACACACACGCACGGACAGACAGTTCACACAAATTACAAAAAAAAAGCAAACTAAAAAAAAAGTGATAATTTAAATTTTGACAGCCAAGTTGAGGTTAACTACTTTGGTCATATACACAATACTTCCCATTGTCCACTAAGAGGCATATACACAGATACCAACAACACATGATTTCCCCTAGTCAGCAACAGCAACTTCCCTTTCATATGAATTATAATAATAACACTAATTTACCTCCCAATATTAATGGTATCAATACTCCACTATCAATGACCGACTCAATAGAAACAACCACAACTACAACCAGCAACAAGAAACAAAAGAACATCCCATTGGAGTTGACCGCATACGGTACCACCCCCTCTGGGAAGCCCAGATTATTCGTTTGCCAGATTTGTACCAGAGCATTTGCCCGGTTGGAACACTTGAAAAGACATGAACGAAGTCATACTAAGGAGAAGCCGTTTAGTTGTGGTGTGTGCCAGCGCAAGTTCAGTCGTCGAGATTTGCTATTGAGACATGCGCAGAAATTGCATGCGGGTTGTTCCGACGCAATCACGAGATTGAGAAGAAAGTCAATAAAACGCAACGGGTCCACTAGTTCAATGGCAGAACAAGACCTTGATGAAGAAGGCGAGGACGATGACGATGATGAAGTCATGGCAGCACCTTCGCGCGAGAATGTCGAGTTTAATTTGAACGTGTTTGATAAATCCCGAGTCAATACGTCTAAGGCAAAAGTTGCAAAATTGGCCACAACCAGTAGTCAAACCAAACGAAGTTCGGCATCTTTGGCTACATTACCATCACAGGCTAGCGTTGCCAGAAAGGATTCGCTTTCCCGACAGGTGTTTGATTCAACAGGAAAAAAGGCAAATACTGGTGTCTCGTCAAGCTCGACCATGAGAAGAGGTGCGTCCTTTTCAGCACAGTCGGGGGCTAATTATGCGATAAATATCCCGGAATTCAACGATATGTATCCTCAAACTGAAAACGTCGAATTTTCAACCCCACAACTTGGCCCTTCTACAAACTTTATGGATGATATGAATTGGTTGAGTAGTTTACCTTCAATTCCTGGAATGTCCGACAGTGCAAATACAAACAACACAGGAACTACTACAAACAACGGTAATTCCACCTCTTCTGATCAAAGCAATATCTTTGGATATATGAATATGATTCAACCTTCACAAGCTCCAATATTACCTACTCAACTGAAGATTAAACAGGATTTCGGATACTCCTTTTACGATGTACCGGAAGCGATTCCATTTGAAGAGCAACAGCAGCAACCATCAAATAATGCCCATACGTTCATGACTTTAAGTCCCATAAAACAAGAAGAAGATGACAATAATATACCGACCACAACCAACACCCATACCAGCGACTTGGACTTTCTTTCTGAGTTAAACACGGGATTTGATTTCAATTCTTCAAGTAAGTTTTTGCCAGGTGGCTATTCTTTTTATGGTGATAACCCCAGTGCTAGTTCATCGGGGTTTGATACCAATTCACCACCAGTGATATCGCCAGTGGGATATCCCATGTTCAACAATAATAACGACAATGACTTCAACCATGCAAAGTTGCTAGCACAAACTCCCCATATTGATCAATCAATGATTCATAAGCTTCGCCTCAATAATTATTCCAAGAATAAGCTTTTCACCAACCATATGCGTCATATGATTAACAAGTCATTGACAAAGTATCCCATAAATGGCATCATGACACCTACTATCCCATCCAATGAAAAGTTGGAGTTTTACTTGTTGAAATTCATTGAGATTTTCCTTGGTCATTTCCCCTTTATTCATATTTCCAAGTTGAATGAGTATGAAATCATGAACATGACCTCGAATGAAGATATCAATAATGAAAGTTGTCGTGTTTGTTTACCCTTGTTGATTGCTACTTTGGGTGCATTATTGGCTAACAATAAGAACGATTCTGAACACTTGTATGAAGCTTCTAGAAGAACGATTCATATTTACTTGGAGAGCAGAAAGACGAGTGAACTGAAGACTACCGTCAATCCACTTTGGTTGATTCAATCATTGACTTTGCTGGTTATTTATGGATTGTTTTCCGATAATGAAAATAATGTATATATTGTGATTCGACAATTGAATGCGTTGAATTCGTTGATTAAGACATCGATCAAAACATCTAATTCTCCTATTTTGTTTTCCATAAATGGCGAAGATGAAGAGATTTACAAGAAGTTGAGTGAATCGGAAGCCGAAAGCAGTTCGCTTTTTCAGACTAATCACAATGATGAAATGAAGTTCAAAAATAACATTAATTTACAGCTGCAGATTCGGATTGTGTTTATGATTTACAGATTGAGTAATTTCTTGTTGATGATGTATAATGTGCCCTTGACGTTGTCCGTGAATGACTTGATTGGGTTGAAGGTTTCCAATCGCAACGATGACATGATTTGGAAATTCAAGAATTACCAAGAGTTGAAATTACAAGGGAAACAATTGTCGGATTATTTGAATGGTGAACATATCGTGTTTAAGGATTTATTGATTAGCTTAACCAATGATCAGAACCAGCACATCTTGGCCAATAAATTGTCGCAGTTATGTAAGTATGGATTCATTTGCTTAATTCATGGGCTTTATGAAATCAAACAGTACCAGCAAGTTACAGATGTCTATAAAATTGTGGACGAGATTTCCAAGTTTGTTCCTCAAGCGGATACAAAGCAGGATTTTGAACAGTTGGATTTTGTCTTGTTGACCAATTATATCAAGATTTCTTCTTTGATTGATTTCAAGTTGGTTAAGGAACAAAGCTGGTTGAACAATTTTGACGAATTGACAGCTAATTTCAACAAATTGTTGGTTGATTCCAATTCAATTAACGAGTACGATTATTTGAAATTGGTTGATTCTTGTTTGATGATTATTAAGTTGGTCTTGTTTAAGCTGGAGATGACGGAGGACATTAGTTCCATTGAGTCTTCTATTCGCATAATTGATGAATTAACTACGACCAAGACTACTAATCTCATTCATTCCCAGATGTTATTCCATGTATTTATAATATTGACAATTTTTTCGATATACATCATCAAGAGAAATGATTCTGCAACCACATCCAACCCGGAATTGATTTTCTCATTAAATCACAGGTTTTCAATGATTTTGAAATTGTTTGAAAAGATTGAGACATTGTTGAAGATGAAGTATAATAATGACAAGTTGGAGTACGATTTTATTAATTTGCATTTGTACAATAATTCCAACCACGGATTAGAGAAATCGTTGTATGTTTTGAAGATTGGAGAGATTGTTTTGAACTATTTGTATGATTTGAACATTAAGGTTGTCGTATTTAAGAAGTTGGCGGGCAGTTTGGCACAAATTAGAAAGTTTTTGATTGATAATGAGAGTAGAATTGAGGGGAGGTAACGACGAGATGTTAAGTTTTTTATGAAGGTGGATTGAGTCTGCCTGTTATGTTGTACATTATTTTGTATAGATATGATTCTTTTAATACTATTTATTACTTGTATTTGTTAAATATTCTGTTACTACTACTACTACTACACAGGTTTGTAATACTAAAAACAACTCCGGCTAACGCTCAAGAGTGTTTATATTTATTTCTCCCATACCATACATAAACATATCCAAAGGTTGACTGACAGAATTTTCAAACAACGACAGTGTAGTTGAACTTTCGGACAAGTACTGATCAACCGATTGCCCCATGGTCGTCATGGGCAATAACGCACCAAAATTATCAATAAAATCATCGTAGTTAAACATGGGGAACTTTTTGAGCACCTCCTGTTTAACTTCCTGTTTCACCTCCTTGTCGTTTCCATGAATGTCAAACCCAAACTTACCCATTAATGCCAGCTGCATCAGTTCAATAGAGTCATAAAACCGTTGACTCATTATATTGCGGTCACTATAAAATTGAAATACCTGTTTTGCCGTATTGAGATACCCCATCAGATTAATCCGCAGGTAGTCGGGATCATCATAGCTGCCATTTAGTTCGTAGTATAACATTGACATTCCGATTATTAACGCAGCATTGAATGTGGCATGGACTACCCCGTAAGATTCGACCCTCATGGGTAAGAATTGAATGTAACCAACGTAGTAGTCAACTAGTTGTATCACCAAGATTGATGATTTGACAGCAGCTTTTCCAAAATTGCAAATGGCGATTTCTTCAATGGATTTCATACGCTTGGAAGCTTTCTTCTTTCCAGCTTTAACTGCTATTATATACATGAAAAAGGGGCGACAAAGTAAAATAATGGCGTATAATTGAGAAAGATGGACAAGCAACAAGGGGATTTTTGCATCGCGTATAGTATCAATGCTATGGTGAGTTCTGCTATCGGTGTTTTCTACCACTTTATCAATTTGGATACATGGTGGCAAATTGACTGACCATAGTTTTAGCTCAATTGCCAACTTTTCAGCAATGATTCCATTCATCTTGTCGCTGTGGCTGTAGCAATTCTTGATGATTTTTCCTGTGATTCTGTACAACTTTGTTGTCTCAATCAAGCAAAGAAGTTTTTGCGATTTGATTTGGTTTCCATCACGGTCAATTTCAAAAATATCTTCATTGTCAAAATCATCATAGTCGTAATCGTCAATGTGTAATGGTCTTCCATGCAAAAGTGAAACGATGTAATCGTTCACATATAAACTCTTGAATAATTTCCGGCGATGGCGACGGTATCCTGGGTCATCAAATGAATCATTGATAAATTTACGGTGAAGACCCAATGCTTGAGCGTTACGCACAGCAGTACCCAACATAAGCCAAGCAGTATTGCGCTGTTGTACAGCCTGATAGTAATAGTATGCCATAGAATAAGCTTCACTTACCCAAACCTTATTCTTGTTGATGTAGCGATTAGCCAAGTCCAAACCAAACTCCATATAATTTGCAGCCAGGTGCGTGAATTCGGCTACAATTGGGTCTTGGCAAAGTTCAGCATACTTCAACCCTACACCGATAACCAAGTTTATCAACGAGATTTTGTCTCTGGGGCAATTAGCACAGGTTGGATCAGCATATACGAACTCTACTGTGTTCTTGGTAAAGTAATTGGTATCAAAGACATAACATACCTGATTGATGTTTATTAGAAAGACTTCGAATATTCGATTGAATGTTTCTCTGGTGGGTAATGGCGGAGGCGCGACCACATCCTCGCTTTCTTCTGGTTCGTCAACTATAGGACATGTTCCTTGTGTTGTGAACTCTGATTCACCAAGTTTGTCCTTGAAGATCGCACGACATTCAAATAAAAGAGATAGTGGCGATGTCTCACCGAAATATCGCAAATTTCCCTGAGAATCAAAAATTAGTTTTGGAGGGTCCTCTGGTTTAACCATCAATTTATGACCACCGGTTATATCATTGGCGTTGTTGATACCGTTATGCAAGGGGAATATGAGTAAGGGTTGGTAATGCAGGGGGATGTTAGCCTTTTGTGTAAGCAAATTTAAGGTTTGGTTGTCAATAACTGGCTTCACTACTTCCTTTTTGATTTTACGCTTTTTGTTCTTGCGGCGAATAGTTCGTCTATCGATTATACTAAACACACACTCAAGTTTCTTTTTGGTGCAGAGGTTGCATGGAGATTTACCACTGCACTTAAATTTTCGTTTTTTGCAATAATCACATGCGCGAGATACCTTGGTGCGTTTGACACCTTCGTCTTCTGGTTCACTCATATCAGACTAGAGAAAGAAACAGGTTGGAAATTTTACATTATTTTACCAAAGTCTGACTAATTTAGGGGGATTTGGTTATTTTGATCGGAATTCCATTGTGGAGAATTTTTGGGGGCCCATTGTTTGTTTTTGTGTGGGGACGGTCTTTGTGCCTCGGTTTTTCGGACTACCCACGGCACCAAGAAAGTACCACATACGAAATCTATAATAATAATAATATGTATATATATATATATATTTCTATAGATTTATTACCACCATTCTGGTGCATCGCTACCGTTTGGTCTACTGACACACTTGTACCCTAATTCAAGACTATTAAATTCACAAACTGGTCTCAAAACTCTAATAGTTCCCTTGAACCCTTCACTTTCCATGGAAGTGAAGTAATGACCGTTGTTTAAAATATCTGGTTGTTGCTTAAGCAAAGCCTTTAATGCAGTGTTACTGATCTTATCAACACTATCGTAATAATGTAACTTCAAGAAGTCAGCAAAGATTGGATTTTCAAGCACTTGTGATTGCCATATTTGGTCAGGGTAAGTACCTTGCTTTAATAATAATAAATCATACTGTACTAAACTTGACTTAGCCCAGTATGAACCTCCAAACTTATTTCTCTTGTAAATGGCCACTAAAATAGCAATGGCAACCATACACCCAGTACCATAGTCACTCATTGGGAATGGTGGCACCATTGGTTGGTTGTTACCCATACTGGTACCTTGAACCCAAGCAACACCAGAGGCACAATCGGCAATTTGTTGCCAACCAGCACGACCACTCCATTCACCAGTGAACCCGAAACAATTTTCAGAACCGTAGATGTACCCCTTGTTTCTTGATTGGGCCAATTCAGCTAATTTCTTAGGTCCATAACCTAATTTTTCAATAGCACCGGCACGGTATCCGTCAATCACGACATCGGCGTCTTTTAATAATGCTTCAAACTTAACTCTGTCTTCGGCGTTCTTCAAGTTCAAGTTGGTAGTGTGTTTACCCATGTTACCATCAACTTGGAAAAATGGCACGTCTGGGAGGGTATCGTCAGCAGTGACTTTTATAACGGTGGCACCATATTCAGCCAAGATCTTACCAATAGTTGGTCCAGCGATAATTCTGCATAATTCCAAAACTTTGATTCCTTCAAGGAGCTTTTTGGATGATGTGGGGGCGAATGGAACTGGTGGAGTGGAAGTTTCCAAAGCGTCAACTTCGAACTCTGGGGTGTTGCTGATGGTTTTACCGTGAGGAGTTTCTAAGAATTGTTCTGGCTTTAATGCTTCAATACCAGCTTGTTTGTTTTTAACATTCAAAGCTTCTAATTCATCACAGTTGAAAGTGTCTAATTTGTCTTGGTAAATCTTGACGATTTCGTCATAATCAGTCATACCTTTGATAAAAGTTGGCAAGCCAATCATTTCTAAAGTGGTGTTGGCTTCCAAACTACCATGGATGTGGTAGTATCTTCCGTCTTTGGTTCTGTACAAGTTGGCACTCATTCTACGGTATGGATCAGATTGAGCTTGGTTCAAATCGGTAGGCTTCAAATATTTCAACACTTCCTTCTTGTCACCTTTGAAATATCCATCCACAGAAGCACAGTAAGTGGACATGAGGAATAATAAAGCGTGTTGCAAATCGATCTTGCATGCATTATCAACTTCAGTGAACCTAGAATGGGCAAGACCTAAAGCAACAGTAGCTTCAAGGGCTTTCAATGCAGAAATCATTTCTGTTTGCTTTAAAGGACATGGAACACTTAATTCAGCACGATCGTTGTGAAATTCAATCAGTTGAGCATACTGTTTCAATTCACTAGGAATTAAAGGCAGCTCGATAAGAGTTTGGAAAATACGTTGTGTTTCACTAATAGGAGAATAACTTTCAACAGTCATGATTGGGGTTGTTCTACAAAAGAGAAAGAGAGAGAGAGAAAGGTGAAATTAGTGATTGGCCGGATTTACTTTGGTTTATGTACTATTTATGTTTTAATTAGCGGAAATTACTTCCCTGTCAATATTTATTTTTGTCATTTCTTTTCTTTTTTTTTTTTAAATCTTGCGAATATCCGCGATGTTTTCTTCAAGCGGAAATTAATTAATTTACCCGGGGTGGGTTATATTGCGGGTACGCAACACCGGTGGTGTCTAACCCGCAATAGTTATTACTAATGACGTGTTTAAACAATGAAAATGTACGATTAGCTGATTGGCAACGGTGATACTACATGCATATGTGTGCAACAATAGCAAGTTTCAATTGTATATTTACTCTATTTAATCTTCAGCCAAGGCCTTAGCAGTAAGACTAGGGTCTAAATAAACTTGGTAAAATTCCATCTTTAAATCTTTGGTCAAATGCATACGAGCAGCCCATTCACTGGTAATACTCTTACCATTAATCAAAGTATAATCAACATATCCATTGATCAAAAGAGTGTTATTATCTTCGACCAGAGCAACATTCTCAACAACGTGATGACGTTTAGTGACAACCTTCCACATTCCCTTACGTAACTCTATAATTTCATTGTGTCCTTTAACACGGGTTGATCCCATAATCAATGGGGCATCTTCAGTGAAGAAATTGAGGTATGGATCACGGGTTTCAGTTAAGGCTGCAGGTGGAGCAACATCTGAAGTCAAGTAGAAATCAGTGATGAATTTCTTGAGCGAGCTGGTTATAGTGGGGGAATACTTAGTCATGATGGTTTGGGTGGGGGTGGGTAGTTCTAGAAAAAGACAATTGAATAAATGCTGGAGAAACAGGTTCCTTAAAAATATGCCGTTCTATCTTTCCTTGCTCTTGCTTGCTGGAAAAATCCCCGATGCAGGGTTGCTGTTTATTTTGTGGAGTTTGCATTTTTTTGTGCATGGTGCGGAAAAAGGTTGTCAACTACGGATATGCCAATATGCAGATCGTTCCATCTTCCCCCAATACCCAATTGGGTATTTCCGCATTTGACTCCATTATTAAATTTTTCAACTTTCCCTCCCCCCAGTTTTATTTATCTTTGAAACATTCTAAACACAAGCTACTACTACTGCATTCCTGTTCTCCTTTGTCAGCAAACATGATCAGTGCATTCACCAAGACCAATCAGTTCTATACCCTTCTCAATCCAGGCAAATCCACCGTGGTTGTCTTCCTCCATGGACTTGGATCCTCGCAAAACTTCTACTGGCCCTTGGCAAAACCATTATCGCAAGACCATACCGTATTGTTATTAGACCACGAAGGTGCCAACAAATCAAAACTAACCAAGAATGACTTAACATTGGCTGACTTGGCCCAAAATGTCAGTGATACCCTCCATGAACTTTCCTTGCAAACCAAGAAAATCATCTTGATTGGCCATTCCATGAGTGGGATGCTCGTTAATTATATCAACATCCATAGTAATTTACCAATCTACAAGTCAGTACTTATTGGACCAGTACACCCTACTCCAAAATTAACCCAGATCTTCCTTGATAGAATCACATCCTTGAAGGAATCACAATCACTTATTCCATTCTCAAATACTATTCCGGAAGCAGCCACCGGTGACAAGTGCAGCGATTTGAAGAAAGCATTTATTAGACAATTGATCCAAGGAAACACTGTTGATGGCTACATTGCCAACTGTCATGCGATCGCCAGTGGTGCCAGTTATGACTTGGACTACTCTAAAGTCAAACTGCCTACTTTGGTCCTCTATGGAACTCAAGACAACACTGCTCCATATACTGGCTGTGTTGAAGTCATTGCCAATGGTATTCCTGACGTCAAGGCTGTCCCTCTTGATGTGGGACACTGGTTGGTTATCGAAGATGACGAAAGCGTCTTGAAGGAAATCGTAGAGTTTATTTAGATTTATACAGTTTATACACCTATTCTTTTGCACCCTCAAATAATAAATCGTTAATCCCAATATTATACATAAACGCATCAAGCTCATTCCTCTTTTCCGTGTTTGTAGTGATCACAGAATTAGACACACTTGGCACAAAAAACTGTTGGAAATTCATCAAATGCTCCAATTCAGTCGACGTGGCAATCTCAAACGTATGTGGGAAGCTAGAAGGCAGCTGTAATTGCGATTGAATAACAGCTGGTGTTTTAATTGGGAATTGTGGTTGTGAAGTCACGGATTCTGGAGAATCAAATGTTAGGTGTTGTGGCAATGCTTGTGGGAATGGACTGGGTACAGCCATATTCTGTTGGCCGTTATTCATTTGGGGATATCCCTGGTACTGTGATTTCTTGAACGCATTCTCTAATGCCCGATACATTTTGGTGACAATAGTATGAAATCGAGCTGCCGTGGCACTCACTTCACTGTAAAATAACAAGATCGACTTGGCAACCATCAATTTCTCAGCAAGTATATCAATGGTAAACTCGTCCGGTTCATAGACATTTGTTTGTCGATATAAGATCGTCAATCCCAAGATAAGCGATGCCATAAAACAGCAATTCACCAACACATACAGTTCCATTCTATGGGGATTGTGTTCTTTGAAGAAATGTATTAATTGAATCATAAGCACGGAAGATTTAATGCTGGCAGCACAAAAATTACTCATTATTGCCTCTTGTTTACTTCGCTTGTTGGGTGATTCGTTTTTGTTTCTCTTGAATAACAAATACATGAAAAATGGTTTACTCAATAGAATAATCCCATATAATTGTGACATGTGAATCAATAACAATCCATAATTGTCCAGTTTAACTTTATGCAACGGATTATCCACTGGTGAAGTAGTAGCAGTGCTACCTTCCACATCTAAGATCTTGTCAATCTGGATAGCACTAGGAAGGTTTATTGACCACGTTTTCAAATCGATAGCTATCCGTTCGGCCCGAAGCAAATCCACAATCCCATCAATATAAAAGTTTTGGATAATCTTGCCAAGAATAATAGCAATCCTGGCATTGTAGTTAAGAGAAGTGTATTGAATATCAAGTGTCATTCCATCAGGCGCATATACGGTGTCATCATCATCCCCAGTATCATCCCAGTCGTAATCACTGATAAGTAATGGTCGACCAAGAAGAATTGATGAGATTCTATCACATATATACAACGACTTCCATAATTTTCGACGGTGTGTCACATAATTCTGATCCCGGAATGATTCATTAATGAATTTTCTATGAAGTCCTAAAGTCTGGGCGTTTCTTATCGCCGTGCTCAACATAAGGAATGATGTACTTCGCTTTGACGTGGATTGATAGTAAAAATATACCAAGAAATAAGCTTGACTGAGCCATAGTTTCCCATCATCGATGATATTCCGCATGAGATTAAATCCACTTTCAAAGAAATCTGTGGATGTGACACCGGCCGGTTTCATTTCTTCCACAAGATAACTATTGGCCTTTTCTGCAAAGAGCAACCCAAGGGAGAACACGAGATGAAGTAAAGATAGTTTCTCCACTGGTGCGCGTATGGGGTTTTCATAAATATAATCAACAATATTCAATTTGAAATCCTTCATGTCGAAAATATACCATGTTTGATTGATATTATTCTCAAAGAACTTGATCATAACATTGCAATGGTCCCGTCGTGGTAATTGCATTGGTGGTACAACGTTGATTCTGGCAGTGCCGTCTATAATGTTGACACCTTGGGGATCGCCTGTGAACTCCGATTCACCAATTGTCGAAGTGAAGATGTTCCTACTTTCAAATAAAAGTGAAAGCGGGCTACTCTCTCCAATGTACCGTAAGTTCCCGGCTGTATCGAATAAAAGACGAGTTGATTTCCCACTGTCGTTGGACAACCCCTTGGCTTTACCTTTAGATCTGGCGGAACTATGACTGTTTACACTGCCTGCTGGTGAAGACTTGTGATCAATACTAGCATCTGATCTCTTTCTCTTTCGTTTACGTGATGAGTCAAGATGATGTAGACTGCTGGTGGTGGTGCTTACCGGGGTACTTTTCAGATGATGCAGTTGGTGGTCTACCGGTTGTTGTTCCTCTTGTTTTAGTGGTTCCAGCACGGCTACATTCTCTTCTACTTCGTCTTCCTCGTCTTCTTCTTCTTCTTCTTCGTCATCTTCATCGTTGGTACTGCTCAAACTACTGCCGTCTTTGTCTTTTTCCAAAGGGAATGAAAGTAAAGGTTGTAGACTCTTGGGTATATACCCTGGACCGCCAACTCCAGATTCTTCGTTTGTAGACAGATGGGTCTCGTGAAGTGAATTAGATGGTGTATCGTTGACATTACTAATGGAGGAAGATATATTACCAGACATTTTCGTGGCTATAAGTTTATTATGCTGAATCAACTGGTCATCAAGCGGTATGTCCGGTTTCAGATTCTGTCGTTGTGCTGGAGTATTGGTAGACATTACCGACACGGCCGTCACTGTAGAACTACTGGACTCTCTTCTTTGCCTGTCATTCTTGTCCCTGGCTTGATTTCCCTTGGTGGTTCTTCTATCAACTATGCTAAACTGACAAGGAATTTTCTTTTTGGTGCACAAATCACAGGGGGCGACTCCACTACATTTATATTTTCTTTTCTTGCAATAGTCACATGCCTTCGTGACCTTCTTCCGGGGCTCTATCGTGACGAATTGTGTCATTGTTGCCGTCATATTGCTGCTTACAACCCAACCCAACACAAAGTTGTTGTAAAAAAGTTTTAGAAAAAGCGTGAGAGTCAGAACGAAAAAAAAAAATGATTTTTTTTTTTGGTATTGTTTTAACAAAGGGTTTTTTTGTCTGTGTAGATGTAAAAAGTGAGGGGCTGATTGGGGGTTTGCAGTTATTAATTCCTTTAGGACTTGGTGACAGTTTTCCAAGATATGTATGACCAGGTTACTTTCCATGCATTAAATTTATTTGCGGTCTAACTTCAAAATGTTATCGGCGGCATCTCGCAGAATTTAGATCGGCTTGAGTTAAATTGACAGGGTTGGAAAAAAAAAGAATGTCGGCTTGGAACTAGCTGTGATCAGTGTTTCTCCTCTTTGTCCATAAAATATTGCCTCAATAATACGAGATTTAATAGTTTGTTCTCTTGCTTCTGTTTGCTTGGAGGCTGGTGTTGGTGAAATCCACCATCTCTCACATACCATCCCCAAAATATTACGGAAATAGAGAAAATGCAATTGACAATGGCTAAAATGCGGGGGCTGCATCCGGGCGCATAAAATTTTTTTTTCTTATATCCGGATTATTATTCGAGTGCAATTTATTGGATCAGGCGGGATGCCGAAGCCTACCGGGCTCTGGACAGCAAACTCTACAATAACACAGTCAAACCATAAGACATATTTTTATATATATATAAATAATAATAATAATAATGATAATAATAATAATCATCCAAGTCTAGATATTGAGACCAGCTCTCACCACTTAAGCCTTGAGTTTAGCAATCTTGTCAGCAATAGCCTTGTGGTGAGCTTCTAATTCTTCTTCAATGCTCTTGTGCTTGGCAACAACACTAGCTCTGGTCTTTTGGATTTCTTCTTCCAAAGTCAAGACAATGTCATAGTCTAATCTGTTTTGGACACCCTTGTCACCTAATTCCTTGTCATCAGAAGCAACCTTCTTGAAGTCAACAATGATATCATCCTTGACGGCAAAGACGGAGTCATCCTTGGTGTACTTACAGTCACGGTCGTAGATTTGAGTAATCAAGGTGTGGAATTCTGGGTGAGAAACTCTCCAGTGGATGTGGCCTGGTCTCATTGGGTGTCTGTCCATCATTTGCAACAAGTCACCAGCTGGACCGTCGTAAGGAATTGGGTAAGCAGTTGGTCTTAAACCAATGAAAGCGTATTTACCTTGTTCATCAGCGTAGAAAGTACCTCTCAAGTTGTAATCTGGTTGGTCTGGATCTTGTTGTTCGTATAAACCATTTGGAGCACAGTGCCAAACTTCAATCTTAGCACCAGCTAATGGCTTACCGTTGGTGTCGGTGACAATACCACTGACCCAGGTCTTTTCACCACCGACTTCCTTTTGGATGATGGAACCACCGTATGGGTATTCTGGAGAGTTGTCTCTGTAGAATGGACCAATAATAGCAGAAGAAGTGTGACCAACAGAGTCGGATGCGTGGGTTAAAGTGTCGACTAAAGCTTCTAAACCAACAACATCAGAAACAAGAATACCTTCATTTCTTCTTGCATCGGACATTTGACCGATACGGTTGATGAAGTCAACACCAAACATCCATTCGTCAACAGTGATGTGGTTTTCTCTGGTGAAGTCGTGGATGTGTTGGATCAAAGAAGTGAGGATTCTTCTAGCCTTTGGAGTGGCCTTTGGACCAAAAGAGCTCTTGACGTAATCAGTGAATTCTTGAGACATTTTAAAGCAATAGTAGTAGTTAGATAGTTAGTTAAGGTTGTTGTTTTAAGTGATGATGATGAAAAAGAAAACTGGAAATTTATCGGGAATTTTGTGGAATTTATATATCATTATTTCGGACTAGAGTATACCCCACGGGAATATGAGAAATTCGATGACAATGATTTGTTTAATTTTTCAATTAATAAATTTTTGTTAGATTACTATGTTAATTGCATAAATCCGCGAATTTTGTTAGCGTGCAAGAGAGGGGCATCCCCCCATGAATCTACACAAAACATTCACCGGTCTCACAAAACAGAAGTCGTGTTTTTGATTTATCTCTATTTCCGCACTTTTTCCCCAAAGTCCAAAAAAAAATTTCTTTTATTGTTTCGAACACAATAGCGGATAAACATTTTAGCAGAAAAAAATTTTTTAACTTCTGCATATACTCCACAAAACTCCCACATTCCTTTATCGGAGTTTGCCTAGCCCCTCCGATATAGCGATCCGATAATCTTCCATTCACATACAATCCCACCCGCACTCACACATTGTTTTACAGCCGACTCCCAAACACAATCGGCCTTTACGGTAAACCTTGCCTGATATTTTGATATTTTGATATTTTATAAAAGATACATAAAATATTTTGCTTGCTCTACCTACCTCTTTTGCAAGTCCGCACCCTTACCCCAACCATCGAACCCCACCACAAATGTGTAGATGTATAATGGTACCATCCGCGATCATACGATCAGTTGCAGAGCGGATATGTCAAAAGAGATTTAACGTCAACTTTTGCGGAAATTGAAATAGGTTAACCCAATCAAATTGCTCGTCTTTCCAATCACAACAATCTCTTAACAAACAGATACATTGACGGACAGAATGTGTAGGGGTTTGTTTATGGGCTCATATTTGCTGAAAAAAACTTTCTTCTGACTTGGCAAAGATCCATGTAGGTCATGATGGAGATCTATTTTTGACCTATGAAAATTGCGGATTTGTAAGCAAAGCGTGAAAAATTTCGTCAGAGCCAGAAAGATAAAAAATAACGGAAATTTAAAACCTCCTTTTTGCAATCAATGTCAAGCAAACAGGATTATTCAAAACAGGTAAAACATAAATAATAACACACCTAAAACATACAATAGCTAGCTACAATAGGTGGTTCTTCATTTACAAGGTTGTAAACACGAATATTAGCATGGGTATACTGATACATAGGAACTACCAGAGTGCTTGTCCAATAATAGAAATAGTTGTACTTTATGATTCCCGTTACTTCTGGTAGTCAGAATTTCTACCTCTATGGAAAAAAATGCTGGTTGGAAAACCCAGTACAAGAGATTAAATTGGTGCAAGCACGTCTCTACTAGGAAAACCATGTTTAAAAGTTTAGATTTCTTCACACCAGCTGTGTTACTTGAGCATGGTACTTTACCATAAACAACTATGTCAAATGGACTAGTACAAATATCATCTCAGGCTCACAATGAAGACCAGTCATACTTCAACTAGCATTATAGCAAAGAGTATCAACGACTTGGTTTTATTGAGAACTCAAGGAAGTCTCTATCATCGTCTTGTTCGATGTAGTTACAACAAGTTCAACTTCAGAGAAGATAAATAATGAAACCAATTGGTCAATTGCTAAAGTTTTTGTAAACATATATTCTCCTGATTTAGATATTAACCTACCATCACGGCAAATTAAAGCTTTTTCAACCATGGATAGCCATTGATGTCAGGTTCCTGATTTTCACAAGTAAGGAATGTCTCTTCAGGTTTGAAAAACGGATTCGCAAAAACCTCATTAGGCAACTCCAAAATTTCTTTGATGGCAGGACTGGTTGGTTTATTTTTAAATCAGATAAGAAATGGTTAAATCTCTTAGCAGTAATCTTGACCATGATGTGCCACCCACTGAGAAAATTTTAGAACTTCGCGACATTCAAGAAACCAAGGCATAAGAACCCTTACTGCTATTGGCTGTAAGAACTTTTTTCTTTTGGCTCCTTCATGACTTCTGAACATCCGGGGCTTGACCAAGGAAAATTGGGTTATAAGGAGAGGTAAACTCGTTTACGGGGGAGCAAAAATGACATCCCAAAAATGGTGTACATATTGTTACATCTTTCTAATCCAGGAAATAATAGAAGTATAAATTAGTTTGAAAAACTTGATCAGTATCATTACTTAGGTACTATATTGAATGACAAGCATATAGCTACCGGATCATTTCAAGATGTTCATGTTTGTAGTATTCTCTCCTTTGAATTATTTTGCTTTTTTTTTTTGCAATCATACAACCCAAGCAACCCCAGGATTTAGCCCGTTTACAAGGTGTTGTAGGTTTATTTACTATTTAATTATTAAGATAGTATACATTAAGTAAATTGTAGACATGGTGAATTCTGGTATGTAACAAAAATTGTGATTACTAATACTATGTGGATTGAATGTTTATCTCGGAGTTTACGGAGATATGCCTCTATTTTTTTATTCAATTGCTCCTCTTTTTTTTTTGTAGGTCTGTGGAGTCATAAATCTGCAAGATTTATGATGAATATTATATCTGAATCTATTGTTATTGAGACAAATCGTAAATATTATAAATAAACGATTTTCAGTCTTTTAATTACGATTTAGCTAATATAATTACATTTAATTATAGAAAGATTTAAGGATTCTTGATATCGGCGGCCCCTTTTTTTTAAACCCATGTGTGGCATCGCGCAGCACTCGCCCCAACCCCCCCTCGAATTGACAATTTCGTACACAAATGTGCACTAATTACTAAGCAATTACGATAGTTTCGAAATTTTCAACTACAATGGCTTTTCCTAGACCATATATATATAGCAACAAATAGTCAATTTTTCAGAAAAAAACATTTATTCAATCTTCAATTGATCAATACACAATGTCCCACGCCCTCAAGTTATATTCTTTTCCAACTCCAAATGGGGTCAAGGTTTCTATCTTTTTAGAACTCTTGGGTTTGAAATACGATGCTCAAGCCGTTGATATTCGTACCAACGAACAAAAGCAGGACTGGTTCGTTAAGCTCAATCCAAATGGTAGAATCCCAACTTTGGTTGACTCAAGCACTGGTGTCACCATTTCTCAAACTGGTGCTATTTTGCAATATCTTGCTGACACTTATGATAAGGAACACAAATGGTCTTATCCTCAAGGTACCCCTGAATACTACAAGCAATTGGAATATTTGATTTTCCAAGTTGCTGAAAATGGTCCAATTCAAGGTCAAGCTAACCATTTTGTTGTTTTCGCTCAAGAAAAGATTCCATACGCTATCAACAGATACCTTACTGATGTTAAGCGTATTTATGGAGTTTATGAAGACATTTTGGGTAGAAATGACAAGGGTTTGTATCTTGTTGGTGACCACTATTCTATTGCTGACATTGCCTTGTTCGGTTGGGCTAACTCTTTAAGTAAGTTGGATATTGATATTCACACTTGGCCAAAATTAGGTAAATGGTTTGATGCTCTTAGTGAAATCCCAGGAGTTCAAAAAGGGTTAAAGGTTCCTACATTATAAGTTTATAATAAATAAGTTTATAGCTTTATTATTATTAAAAAAAAAAAAAGAATTAAATTATTAGTTTGATGCAATACCAAATTATTCCCAATATAGCCCATAGTAAAATTACAATTTGTAAACCATTAAAATAAACGCCATATTTTCTTGCTAACTCGAGCAGATTTTCAACTTCTGGTAATAAAGACTTTTCGTAGTTGGAACAGATAAACAAACCTCTATCTATCAAGTAATAATTGGCAAAACTATTTGATAATTTATTTGTATATTCAGTGACACTTACAAACAGCAGTTCATAGTCAGAGTGTGCTGGATTCTTAATTTTCGTTTGCTTTTGTAGTAGCTGATTTAGTTGCGATTTGTATTTTATTCGTACTGGGGAAGGTGAGGACATTCTGGGAAGGTATGGTGGTGGTAGCTTAGGTAACGCCTGCGTATTTTGTGGTAGTGTGCTACTAAAGTCACTTTTATAGTTCAGTGGGAACTGCTTGCTTTCCGAAAACTCCGATACCAAGGGAACATCCTTTATAACTTCATTGTATTGGAAAATCTCCTTCTCCACGACTATGATTTCGTTTGGTCTATGACATTTAGTGGTATTCTTTAGTCTCGCAAACTTGATTTTGATGTTCTTGATTTTCTTAAGTTTATGTTTGATCCTGGTTACGACCAGGATGAGGCGAAAACGACGCGAGTTATTAGATAAGAGAATGCTCCTATCTCCTATGATCTCAGTCATGATGTGCAACCAAGTGGTGGATTGCAACTAATCCTAGTTGGAACCTTTACCAATAAAATCTTAATAGTGCATACAGAAGCAAAACGGGGAAGGATCAAAAAAATAACCCAAGTCTTGGAATCACGTAGTTCAAGTACTTTGAAGCACGAGGAACGATACAAAAAAAGAGATGGTTAATAATTAGTGGAGATTTAAAAAAAAATATGAATTACTAAGAGCTTTTAGTAAAAAGAAACTTAAAATGAGGCCAAAAATGGAATTGATTGTGATTCAATTGTCCCCTCATTATTTAAGAATCATCTGACATCGTTTATTTATCCGCTTTGAGTAATTACGACAAAATTTTTATAGATGTCACTGAAGGCATCCACACGTAACATATCCTAATGCAGATAGTACTCATGGTTTGCTTCAGATCATTCTAGAGAAGGAATGTTTCTTTCTTTTCAATTTAATTATCTGTTCCACTGAGCCGAGCCAGCGATCTAGATATTGTTTGTAGTGAAATTCATCACATGGATTATCTACATTCCGACCAAAAAAAAAGCAAAGAAAAAAGAAGCTTCCTTGGTAACATGGCTTATAAATTATATTTGCGGAAGTATGAAATTCTCACATCTATTCTTGCAGGGCAAAGAACAATCAGTTGCTAAGGGGTCAAGTCGCAACCTTTATGAAATTTGTAGTTGTGTTTGGAGAGGGAAAAAAAAAGATCCTTCATAATCGCTTACATAAGGTGAAACCCGGACTTCGGGATGGAACTCCGCTTTTGATTTTTCTGTAGATCGAAGGTTGTAAGGAGATCTCATTGGTCAAGTTATGTCTTAGGGTGTTGTAAGTAACGGAAAGATAGACAGTTTTTATTGTACCGGCAGAATTCTGTTGAGAATTCAGAAATGAAAATATTTGGAGCTCACAGATATACTTCCACCCTTGCAACCTACAACTTACAATACCGATAGTATTCTCTGTCATACCTAAGGTTACGATGGAAGCTACGTGGCATACAAATTTTTGGATAAATTTGATGTATTTCGTTTGGCTGCAAGGTTGCTTGAAAAAAAAAAATTAAAAAAAAAGAATTCATGTGGTTTTTGCATCCTTAAGATTATTCTTACTGTATAGAAAATAGGACACAAAATCCACTTGGAAAGTTCTCAACATATCTTCTCTAAGTTATTAATATTTATAGTTGGCTAATAAATTCAGATAGTTCGTTTGACATTGATTTTAATTTTTCATATAATTTTTGAAATATTTCGACCCATTTTTATCCAAATATTAAATATGTACTCTCATTCTGTGACGATTTTGAATTTGCCCAAACTTTTCTTAAGATAATTCAAAATATGTAATTTTAAGGTAATAAAACAAGTAATATTCCACTAAGACCTTCTATTTAATGATTTAAAGGCTAGGTTTGTTCCTAAAATTCACCAGTAATCAACGAAAACGGTGGTTGATTGCCGAGAAAAAACTCCTGTTCAAATTAAACCAGGTAAAATTTACGAAAAAAATAGTGCCTTTTTAGCTTAGTGGTAGAGCGTTGCACTTGTAATGCAAAGGTCGCTAGTTCAATTCTGGCAAGAGGCAATTTTTTTTAGTATTTTTGAAACACTAAACCCATAAACCAACCAATTTAATAAAGACATAGACAACATCCGCCATATTTAACGTGGTAAATTCAACTTGTTATAAAAAAAAACACAACTCGCCTTTCCTTTTGTTCAAAATTTAAAAGCTTGTTTTATTTTTCTAGTGGTACCATTATTTTGACAACAAAAAAATTCAAGGGCAAACTCCAGTTTATCAAATCAATCCACTTGTAATACATCCCTTATTTCGTACATCATGTACTCCAGAAGCCTTTTCAATGAGGCGCGACTACTTAGAAATCAACATCTAATAATAAGAGGTCAGGTTCAAGCACGCCATTTTTCATTGTTGCGAGCAGCAGGCCGATCCTCCCCCTTGTCATCTCCTCGTTGGGTAATGAATCTGGCTCGATTCAACTCAAGATTGATTGTCCCTACGCGAAAGTTCGTATTTGCCAAGATACTAGCCCGTGCCGCCAAGGCACCTGCCTATATTGGAGGAAGTGTGCTTGCCGGTGGATCATATGTTGCATACAAGGCAGAACAAGCTTCTAGTTATACCCAAGAAAAATTGTCCCAGATTAAAGACTTTGCTGATGGGTTTTTCGACAAGACAGGCGAGTTCTTGAAAGGTATGGGACGATCTGACAGTGGTGGATCCGGTGGCAATGGTGGTGGTGGTTCTGATGGCAATGGCGGTAATGTCACTACATTAGGTGCTGCCGCCGCCGTTGGATTATCAGCAGAAGACGATGAAGAAGAAGAAGAGGCAGAATTGGAAGAAGAAGAAGACGACGAAGAGTTTGAGAATGATGAAACCCAGAATCATATGTTGAACTTAACTCGCCAGATGATTGAAATTAGAAACTTGTTGTCGTCTATTGACCACGACGGAATTAAATTGCCTTCGATTGTTGTTATTGGATCTCAATCAAGTGGTAAATCTTCAGTATTGGAAAGCATAGTTGGCCAAGAATTCTTACCAAAGGGTTCAAATATGGTCACTAGAAGACCAATTGAGTTGACATTAGTTAACACTCCGGAATCCGCTGCCAATGTTGCCGAATTCCCAGCATTGAAGATGTATAATTTGACTGATTTTGAGCAAGTTCAAAAGATATTGTTTGATTTAAACATGGCTGTTCCTGAGTCAGAAGCTATTTCTAACGACCCAATTCAGGTCACCATCAAGTCGCCCACAGTGCCTGATTTATCATTGGTGGATTTACCGGGTTATATTCAAATTGAAGCCGCTGACCAGCCAACTCAATTGAAAAACAAAATCAGAGATTTGTGTAATCGTTATTTGGAAGCTCCTAACGTCATCTTGGCCATTTCTGCTGCTGATGTCGATTTAGCCAATTCTAGTGCGTTGCGAGCATCTAGAGTAGCCGACCCTCGAGGTGAGCGAACAATCGGGGTGGTTACCAAATTAGATTTGGTTGATCCTGAACAAGCAAGAAAGATATTAACTAACAAGAAGTATCCTTTGAGATTAGGATATGTTGGTGTTATCACCAAAGCTCCCAATGCCATTAAATCTTCGGGTACTTTGTTCTCAAGAAAAAATTTAACTGGGCATCAAGCATTTGTAGCTCAACAAAACTTTGAGTATGGATATTTACGGGAACACAAGGATGATTTCTATCAATGTAATGTAGGAACCAGAAATTTGAGAAGGAAACTTATGAAAGTATTGGAAAGAACTATGGCTGCATCATTAAGACCCACCCATTTAGCTATTCAACTGGAGTTGGAAGAAACTGCATATCAATTCAAGGTTGAATTTAATGATCGTCCTTTGACTCCAGAAATGTATTTGGCTAATAATATAGACATGATAAAGTTGGGAGTTAAGGAATTGAGTCATAACTTTTCCAGACCGGAATTACGAGCATTATTGAAGAATGAATTGGATCAAAAAGTATTGGATTTGTTGGCTGAGAGATATTGGAATAAGCCATTTGATCTTAAGAAGAACTCCAACGTTGAACTTGACTTGCGTGAATTGGCAAAGATTACCAATATAGACGATGACATTTACTGGCACAAGAAGTTAGATTTAACTACGGGATCATTGACTAAGTTGGGTGTTGGTAGATTGTCAACTAATTTAATCACCAATGCTTTATTTACCGAAGTAGAGAATTTAGTGGATAATACCCAATTGAGAAACCACCCAATGGCCAAAGCAGCCGTTAAGGAAGCTGCTAAGAACGTTTTGGGAGCAAAGTATTATTCCACTGCTGATCAAGTGGAAAATTGTATCAAGCCATACAAATATGAAATCGAGTTGGAAGATCGCGAATGGCAAACATCCAAGGAAAATGCCGTGAATTTACTACGTGAGGAAATTAAACAGTGTGATGAAGTGTATCAAAATTTGAAGAATCAAGTTGGTGGAAGAAAATTACAACAGGTTGTTACATATTTGGAAAAATTAAAGCAACTGCAAGAGTCAGATATTGATTTAACCAGTAATGAAACTTTGGGATTCTCACCTACATTGATTCAACGAGGTAAAGATGCAATTTTCCTTAAGGATAGAGCAGCATTATTAAAAATGAGATATTCAATTGTCAAGAATTCAAAAATGTGCAAGAAGAAAGAAGGAAAGTATCAATGTCCGGAAATATTCTTGGATGCAGTTGCATCAAAGATAACATCAACTGCCATCTTATTTTTGAATGTTGAGTTATTGAGCGATTTCTATTATAATTTCCCCCGTGAATTAGACCAACGATTCTTTAATACCATGACTGCGGAAGAAATTGAACGATTTGCCAAAGAGGATCCAAAGATCAAGAAACATATTGAATTACAACAAAGAAAAGACTTGTTGGAAAACGCATTGAGTAAGATTGAAAGTGTATTGGCTATACAAAGGACCACCGAACCCCAAAAGGACGACAAGAAATCATCAATATTTCCTTGGAAGTAAGTAATTTAGGCTAAATATGTATATTTGTATATAAAATTCTATTTAAGAACCTTGACTATACGGTCAAACAATGTTTCAATTTGAACCCCATCGATATTTTGGAATATTGGTTGCACAGTATGAAGATCAATCACTCTAGTATTACCCTCATCAAGATTCTTGTCGGAGACTGGTGCATCAATGGAACCATTTCTATGCGCAACGTTTCTACTAGTGACGATATTGGCAGTAGCACGGGAGTTTGTAAGCATGGCACTTATTTCGTGACTCAAGTCAGTTTCTATTTGGTTGGACAACTCAATGGAAGATGAATGCAAGGTGCCTACTCGAGAATCCAAGTCCACAAACACAAATGAGTTATTCTTGTAGTTACGAATAGATGCAATACCTTGATTATGGGTTTGAACATGGATTGGTTTTAATTGGTTTGGCTTGAACAACAATAACTTGGAATGGACTTTGAACTCGTGGTTATTCTCTTCTTCTATATGATAGTAGTTGAGTGCTAAACATATGATGTTGGCAATTGGATCAATTGCAATGAGGTTCTTACCACCAAGAGTAGTATTCACTTTAGCCACCAAGTCAGTCAATTGTGCAGTTAATAAGTTAAATGAAGTTATTCTAGTTTTGGATAAGATAACGAGATGATTATCCACAATGGAGATAGATCTAATTCTGGAACCAGAAAGTGAAGGAAGTGGGAAGTCTTGGTATGGGATTTCCTCCATAGTCTTGGCGTTAATAGTCTTGATAGAGCATTCAACCGCAAGGAAAATAATTGAACTATCGTCTGACCAACATAAATCAACAGCATCAGAAGATTGAGCACCTAATGGTGCCTTGGATTTCCTCATTGTCCATGCAGTTTGTTGTTGCTTACCAGTACCTTTAATTTGATAAGCTTCCTTGGGAACACTAGGTCTCCAAATTCTCAACCCACCTTTAGAATCAGCAGTCAAGAAAGCTAACCCATTGAAGTATGAAGTTGGTGCAGGGATGATGGATAAGATAGGGTTAGAGTTTCCGTGAGGATCAATGATTTTGGTGGAGAGTTCCCAGGACCCGTTCTTATTCAGCAGGTCATTCTTTGGTTCAACAAATCTCCAGAACTTCAAAGCGTACTGCTTGTCATTCTTGGATAACAAGTTGTCGATTTCAGAATTCAACACTTCGTCAAAAGTACACATCCATTCACCGTCATGTGTGAATGATATTATGGTTACATTTGGATCAATTAATTTGGTTTCTGATCTTACTTTACCGGTGCTTAACACTGGAGCGGCATTTTGAATGAACGCCTGTTCGTTCTTGACTAAATCATATGCTTGAATGGCGGCATTATTGGGGAAGTAAAGGTTTTTGGACTTTGGATGAATTTCAAATTTGCAACTGTAGTCATGCTTGAGTTTAAACTTATCAAAATCAGTTGGTGATTTCAAGTATTTTCTTTTGGTCTTTGACAAGGTTGGTTTAAGCAAATTGAAAAACTTTGGTCTTATGGTGTTTACCGATAATCTGGATATCAAATCAACTGCAGATAAGATTAATACTTCATAGTCGTTACTACCTGATGATAACAACAAGGAAATATAACTATTATCAACACAAATCTTTTCAATACTTCCATTCAATCTAGGCAAGAATTGCTTCTTTTCACTTTCCAACTGCCAAAACACCAATACTTTTTCCATCCCACCACTAATCAAATAGTTATTGTCGGCAGAAAAGCGCAAAGACTTGACTTGGTCAATATGCCATTTTAATAATCGTTGTGGTTTACCAGCGACCAAACCCCCAGAAACAATTTGGATGGTTCCCGAGGATGTACCAAGGGCAACAACATCATCATTGGATACGGCGACCGATGTGACTTGAGATTTGAATGGGAATGGAATAGTTTCCTGGGAAATAATCTCTTGTTCGTTAGTCAATTCATCATTCTTGTATACATTGCTCAAATCAAGTAAAACCACTTCATGTTGACTGTTTATGAACACAACCTTTTTGGAATCGGCCGAAGTTGCAAATTCAATACAGTTGGGGATTTCTGCCAATGTAGTAATAGTTTCAGAATTTCTATCAAAATAGTTTATGTATCGAGTATGGGGAGATCCAAAACTTCCACCACTGGCAGATCTTCTCTTATCTTTCTTACCACTAATGTAGACAAATGACAAGTGTCTGGCTGAGATAATAGACAAGATAGGTAACGAAGTTTCGATCTTGACGCTTGATATTATAGCTCCTCCTTTGTCACTGACTTTATCCTTCCAATTAATAGTAATCAATTCACCACTGGCTTTAAACAACAACAAGTGATTAGGGTTAGTGACGTCAATCTTGGCATCTACTAAATCAACAAGGTCCAAGTCAATAGTACGAATACATTGTCGAGTGGATATGAAGTAAACTCGGATTTGGTGAGTTAATGTAACAATGTTGTAACGACCATCTTGGGAAAAGATGGATGCACCTGTGGTTGAATGACGTAAATTAAGTGGCTCACCACCTGTGGCCATAGACAATGTCCAATCAGATACCGAGGTAGCAGTATCGACAGCAGCTGTAGGCATGTTTGTTGTTGGTAGATCTAACTGGTTAGTTGGTAGTTTAGTGAAAATTGGATATATATTGCTAAAAAAAAATTAGAAAACGACCGATGAGCAGCGCACATGACAAAAAGTCACATGACCGAACTTTTTCCTAAAAATTTTCCTCATAGGAAAAATGCAGCTTTCTGAAACAGAAGATGTATTACCTCATCATCCTTCTTCTTAGATACACACACATATATACACATAATGATTATTCCAGTCCGTTGTTTTTCATGTGGTAAAGTTGTTGGTGATAAATGGGAAACCTATTTAGAATATTTACAAGATGAAGCCATGACTGAAGGTGATGCATTGGACAAGTTGAAGTTGAAGAGATATTGTTGTAGAAGAATGGTATTGACCCATGTTGATTTGATTGAGAAATTCTTACGTTATAATCCTTTGGAAAAGAAGGAAATAAGTTAAAGTGGAACATTAAACTCGTCATTCATTTCCTCATCCCACCACCTTTTGTATTTTTAGAAACCAGGTCTTTTTTAATAGTGAAATATATATATACGTCATAGAAAATCGAACATGTGGCAAAAACAAACAGGCGATTTTACTTGTTTCAACATATATATGTGGCAAAAGCTGAAGATGTTGATATATTGTACGATATCACTGTTTTTTGTAGATTTAACACTGGAGCCTAGGTATCACAAAGATGTTTTTCACTGCTACGAGAAAATAAAGGCCAACCTTGAGAAAGGGGAAAATAATGCAATTTGCAAAATCCCTCAACTTGATGTTTGCTTTTTGTAGTGTGCTGGCGGAGATTGTTAAAGTGTAGAAACGAATCCACAGTGTAGAAGTAAAAGTGACAACGACAAAATTCAGAAGGTATATTTTAAGTTTTGATCGCTCTTCTATCTAAAGTGTGTTTACCGAACGGATATCTGGATATTAATGTCTTACAATGTTGAAAGATAATGGTGTTACAACAGTGGTTCTTTTTCACTTTTAAATTCGAGTTACAGAATTATCTGAAGTAGAGCAAAACAACAAAGGAGAACCAGAAGGAAATATTTTACAAATATACAACTTCAGCTGAAATTGGATCTACATTTAATTATACTTCAAAAGTTTCAAAACATATATTTTACTTATAAACTCTAACTGTAATATCAAACCACAGAAAATTAAGCCAATTTCAAATCACTTAATTTGTTTCCTAAGTATTCAGGACCTTCGAAAAGATGGTTTTCATCAGGTTTGTTTAAATCCTTAAGATTATGAACTGGACGTTCACCTTGAGCAGAAGATCTAGCAATCAATCTAGATTCGGTGGTATCGAAATCTAAAATAGCAGAGTGGTTGACGACTCTGTTGTCGAAAACGACAACGGTGTCCTTTTCCCAGTTAGCTCTGATTTGGAGATCATGGGCCTTGGCAACGTGGTCAAACAAGAAGTTAAGAAGAGCTTCGGATTCTTCAACCTTTAAACCTTCAATTCTTCTGGTGAAACCCTTGTTAACAAACAAGACCTTCTTACCTAATGGAGTGGTTCTAACAATTGGGTGAACGTTTTCAACTGGATCTCTTCTGACAACACCACCCTTAACAAGGGAGAAGTTGGCTTGTTCAACAGCACTGTGGACAGCATTCAAGTTTTCCAAGATATCCTTGAACTTTGGAGATAAACGGTTGTAGGCTTCAGCACTGTCAGCAAAAACAGTGTCACCACCTCCACCAGCTGGAAGGTTGGTAACAGTAAGGAAAGAAAGAGCAGTTGGTTGCAATTCATAAGAAACATCAGAATGGAAACCGACCAAGTTAGTCTTAGTAGAAAATGGATCTTCCTTGGTGTCACCAGATAAAATAACGTGAATGTTGGCAACATCCTTTGGACGACCTGAAGTTGGGTGGATGTGTGGGTTACCAAAGTACTTGACATAATCAACAAAGTGTTGTGGACCCTTGGAGACAAAATCTTGGTCTCTGAAGACAAGAACACCTCTTTGATGAGCAAGCAAAGCTAATTCATCTCTACCAGCATCGTTCAATTGAGATAATTGAACACCCTTAATTTCAGTACCTAACTTTGGAGAAATGTTCTTGGTTTCAGCATTAGCCAACAAGTTTGGGAAACTTGGGTTAGCTCTAAGAGCTGGGTCATGGTATTCATGAAACTTGTATGGTTCATAGTGTTCTTCCTTGTTCCAGGTTGGTAAGAAATCTTCAACGTCCTTGTTAATCTTAGCACGAGATTCAGGAGCAACGACAACGTTACCTTTAGCATCGGTTTCAAGCTTGCTTCCTCCGAAAAGGGCTCTTGGATATTTATTGTAAACAGCTGGGGCCATCTTGTGTGATTTATAAGATTTGATCTTAATAGGAAGAAGAGAATTAGCCAGTCGAAAGAAAAGGAATTACAACTGTATTTATAGTATTTCACTTCCAAGCCATAATAACAGTCTAGTCGGTAATATGAGTAAGTGTTCACCCTTTCCACACCCCTCCCCACACCATATTGTTGCAATTTCTACTGGAAAAAGCATCAAAGTGTGGCTGCGAAAAAAAATCCACCACACAAAAAACGAAATCGTGCGCAATTTGACTCCGAGCGAGATTTCCAAAAACGGTAACTATAATTAAAAAACCACCGATGCTCAACGGACGATAAACTCTATCGGGTCAATAAATTCCTATGGACCTTATCGGATTAGTAATGATTTCGCAATCGTGGCTCGCTTGTTTTTTTTTGCAACATTAGTCCCCCATAATCAGTCATAATGGCTTACGGAACACCTGGATCGTTCATTTCACATATCGACTGTATAGTTTACAACGGTTTTAGACGGAGTTAATACGCCACAACCTGATCTATAGTGTGGAGTGAATGATTTTTTTTTCTATAAATACACCTAGAACATAACAATAGCCACTGTGAGTCATAAATCATTCGATTTTGTTAATTTTTCAAGTGGCTATGCCATAATGCTAGTTGTGGACTTTAATGCCCCACCCCTACCTCCCCCAAAACCAAAAAAAATTTGGCAAGAATTAGGAAAACATCTAGAAATAGTATCATATGGATCATGGAATGTCAGAATTCCCAATGTTTTAGAAATATTACTTTAGGTATTTGTCAATGAGAACTGTCAGAGGTCGAGTTTTTTTTTTTTGGAACAAGCCCAACATCGCCCCATTCAAAGGATTAGTGTACCATAGTGACGTGAAAAGAATATGTGATCACCAGTTCTTACATGATTTGAAACAATTCCATATCTGAATTTCAGAAATGTAAACAGTTTCAAGGAAAGTCATTATTGGACTGACAACAAAGTTAGTGCCGAGAGAAATTAGCCTAACAATTAACATTTAATGGCTGCATGACAATTTAGAAAGCTCACAGAAATTCCTTGGTGTAGGGATTCCATTGCTATTTCTATATTTGGACGCTTTATTGACAAATTGATATAAAGAATTGTTATTGTTTTGATTCCAGTGATTTGAAAACTTTGGACCATCGTCTTATAGGTCATGACATCACATTCTACCATTGAACTTAGACACGAAATTCTCTCAAAACATATTCCATCCTCGTACTTTCTAACCCGAACCAAGATGACAATAATTTGTTGGAGAAACCATTGTGATTAACCCTATCTGCGTTTCTTTTTCTTGACCTTTACTGGCGCAGTTCTTATTGTGTCGAGCCGAGATGTAACTACTAATTTTAACTGGCACCACGTGATGCTAGCGGTTGTTTAATAAATTTAACCTGTTTCAGATACAAATGATGCATTCAATTTCTGCATTGTTGTACCCCCTTTTTAGATACGACAATAAAAATTATGTCACTATGCATTGCCTCGTTACCACCATAATTAAAACTTAGACATTTTAGACGTTGTACCCTGAGACGCGCGTCAAAATTATTTTTTTGTTTTAGAGCAACTCCTTTCGATCGTCAAAATAAAAACAAAAATATTGCTTAACATCCATACTGCAATAGTTCCAATTGCCGCAAAATTAAATGTTCTCTGGGTGGTTCCGATCTGGTGAATTATTCTGAAACACATTCCTACGAGAAACAAAGAAGTTTAAGATACGCTGCGCTTGGGGATGCATTATATAATTAGAACAAATTATCGCCAATAAAAATTTTGGACCCGTTTTTATCTTTACCATCACCTTAAGTCTAAAGAAGTTCAACTACTTTGCGTTTTTATTAATCGCGTCCGTTCCTTACTTTAAAACACCTCCACTGTTTGACTTTTTTACACTATGCGTTCGTTTTATTTGCTACTATTGGCTTCGACTGCAGTCAATGCCGCCCCATTTAACTTTCCTTTCATGAAAAGAGACGATTCGTCCTCAACAGAGTTGGTTTCAACTTCTGCAGGGCAATCATCATCAAGTGTTCTTATTGCAGAACCAACCGTTTCACCAGCAGGAAAAATAGAGGCTCTGAAACAGCCTATTTCCACATCAACAGCACTTCAAGCTCCATTAGCCACTAACGGAACTTCGAGTGTTGCAACTGAGCCAGCATCAACTGGATTGTTCATGAATGATCTCCTCGAATCAACTGAATTCTCATCCAGTGCTGAAACTGATCCTGTATCAACCGTGTTACCTTCAACTGAAACTGTGTCATCATCAACAGATTTATCTTCTGAAGAGCTGTTTGTTGTTCCATCTTCAACAGATTTATCTTCTGCTGAACTGACTGATGCAATTACCACTTCCGCACCTCCAGCTGTAGAGGGACTTTTAGAGAATGACTCCTCTGCCACTGAACCAGAATCAAGTGAATTGACTTCAACTGGTGCCATGGAATCTTCCTCAAGTAGTGCTGACCCCGTATCTTCTGTCGATCCAAGTGCAGAAGCAGTTCCACTGACATTCACAGAAACTATCACAAGTTCTGATGAAAGCACTTCTTCTGTCGTTACTGTATCCAGTGTGACTTCCTCAGACACCCCAGCTGTGACACCAAAAGCCAAAGAGGTCAAAAAAGACCCCAAGCCAACAACTTCAGATCCTCCAGCTACTACTACATCTGCTACTTCAGAAGTAGCTGAAACTTCCGAAGATCAAACCACCACATATACCATTACTAAGTTTATCACCGTTACTGCTCCAGATGGTTCTGTTAGAGTTCTTACTGAAGATGATCCAGTTACATCTACAGTTGCTGAAGCTACTAGCTCTGATAGTGCTGATCCTAGTCCTGTTGCTCAAGATAATTCAAGCAAGGCTTCTTCCAAAGCTGTTAAACCAGCTAAAACTTCTTCTAAGGCTGGCAAATCAGCCTTATCTTCCTCATCCGATATCCCCTACTGTATCCCAACCACAGTTACAGTTACAGTTACTGCTTCTTCATCAGCAGCAGCAGCATCATCATCATCATCAGATCCAATGACTTCTGTTATTACAACTAGTTCAGTCGTTACTTCATCATACCCTATTTCTGCCGAGTTTACTTTAAATGAAGATTCAACAACCACAGTAACCACCTGGGTTGCAGTAACTTCAACGATGCAAGGAACAACAACCATCACTCAATCTTCATCCCAAACTCCAACTTCTTCTGTTCAAAATGATGATACTCCTAGTGCTGAAGCTGTACCTAGCTCTTCATCTGTTGTTCCAGTTTCTAAATCCTCAAGTTCAACTAAGGATAACGAATCTTCAACTGCCACCACCGAAATTGCCACATCATCAAGTGCAACGTCTGAAGATCCATCTACTACAACAAAGAGCGAATCACTCGCCAACTCAATATTCGCAGATCCAATTTCTACGCCAGAGACTTCTGAAACATCAATTGTAAATGAAACTTCTGATGCTCCAGCTACTACGACCGATATCGATGAAACTTCTACTGCAAATGCAACTACTGATAATGTCGCAACTACCAGTGAAGCCGCAGAATCATCTATTGCTGAGGTTACTACTGATAGTCCAACTCCAACCACAGATGCCACTGAATCACCAACCACTAATGTAACTACTGAAAATCTGGTCCCTACTACCGAAGTTGCTGAATCTCAATCTCCAATTGAGATGGCGGAGGCTCCAATCGCCACCACTAGCGCTGCTGAAACCTCCGTTGCAAATGTGTCAACTGAGAATCCAGCACCTACCACAGCTGCTGCCACTACCGAATCAGCAGCAGAACCTACAACGGAAATAGAATCGTCTACTGATGACTACACTCAATCCCTGGGTCTGAGTTCCATTGCTGCCACTACAACTGTAGTTTGATTGACGTTCCAATGGTAAGATTTATTTAGATAGTTTACGTTTATGATTAGTTATTTATTTCGGTTATTTAGTATCAATGTTTTTTTTTTATATACCTCCCTTTAACATATTCACTTACGTAGTATTGTTCTCACATTCTGTAACAATACACACACCACCGTGAAAACAAACACACGAGAAAATTCTCTAGTTTAAAAAAAAAGCAACACCCTCCCCCTCGAAATTACCACTGGTTGATTTTGTGGACTATTTCAAATTTTTTATTTTCGTATACGCGTCTCATCCATTTTTACCACAACACCCAATTTGTTCGTCTGTTTATTTCTACAAAATTTCCATAAACATCACCCACGGTTTGCTCCTTTATTCCACTGAAAATGACAACTCCTATAATATCACCATCTAGGAAACATACCCATCATACAAAACATATCATTGACGAAACCTTATCGCCAGTAAAGATCAACCTCAAGCCCGTGGAAACGCCTCCAATCCGCAACCCCAGCAAAAACGATGTTGTCCTAATCCAGCATCCACACGGTCTTCATGCTAAACACGAAGCACGCAGAAACACATTTGGACACAAGAGACGATCGTTAGTTAATACACCATTGATTGATGTTAAATCCAGGAGAGACCCCATGACCAGTCCATATGTTAACCAGGGCATAAGTAACTTGGATAGCATCAAACGATCCAAGCTTCTTTTAGATAGCCAATTTGAAAAGTTGGGAAAAGAAAATAGACAACCTAAGCATTTAGGAGGTGAGGAAGGAGACGACGAAGACAACGAAGATGAAGCCGAAGCTCTAAGTTCACCAATCAAGCGTCCTCTGAAACACAAGGACGAACCATTGAGGAAAATAGCAAAGCTTGTAACTAGTGCTGAGAGTGAGGTGATTGAACAAGGTGATGATGACAACAACAACAACAACAACAATGATGACGACGACGACGACGTTATTTTAGATGATCTAGTAGAAAGATTTTCGAAACCAGCATCTAGCCACGAAGAAACTTCAAGCCCACTTGTTATTGACTCTTCTGATAATGAAGAACTCGAGACGGATAAACCGGCTGATACCAAACTCCATGCTTTTGATCATACTCAGCTCAATAAAATCATACAAGACCATGTACATATTGATTATGTTACTCCACAAAGATACACCGAGCCTGTAGCCAAGAGTCCAGGCACTAACCAGATCTCCAGAATTAATGGCAATTTAGATTTAAAAAATAAAGAAGAAATTGACAAATCATTGGATAGTACCAGCCCATTGAAACAGAAACAGCTTGACGAGAATGTTGACTATTATGACGACGAAACTATCCACCGTTTAGAAAATGAACCAACTATCAATTTCTTAATGTCACCTAATTCCAGGCCGTTATTTTCCATTGAACAAATGAACAAGATACAACAAGAGAATAGTAAACGTAATGAGGAGTTAATCCAGGACATAAAGACCCGTGATGACACTATTCAGCTTTTAAGTGAACAAGTGAATAAGTTACAGGGTAACTTGGTTGAACACCAACACCAATTGCGCGAATTAAAGAAAACAAATGGTGAATTGGTGAATATCGAACGAGTTCTATCTATCCAATTGAAGCACAATGAACGCGAATTAGCTTCTTTAACTAAAAGCTTCAAGATTAAAGAAAGTTCTGTATTTCAATTATCACAAGAGTTGTCAAGAAAACTGAATGAGTTAACACAAGTGGAATCACAATTTACAGATTTGACCAACAAAGTTGAGGAAATTCAACATTTAAAAGATGATTTGATTGAAATGAATGATTTGAATGAAAAATATGCCAATCAAATTGATAGCTTGATTAAAGAAAGAAACGAAATTCAAACTCAAAATGACGACTTACAAGGGAAACTTGAGACTGAATCGTCGGAATGGAAAGATAAATACGAACAATTGAATCAAACCTATCAAGAATTAAAAGATACTAATGATGAATTGAGGAACCAATTAGATGATGTATCGACCGATCTCAGCGAGGCCAATGGTAAAAATGAGGATTTGAAGACCCATCTTTTGAAGTTTGAAACTGAAGTTGAACAATTAACAACTACAAATGAACAATTGACAATGGAAAAAGAAAAATTAACAGCAGCAAATCAAGAGAACGAAAAGTTGATAAAGGAATACGACGAGATCACCAATAATCGAATTGCAGACCTAGAACAAGAACTTGAAGAAACCAGACAGAAGGAGGAACGAGAAAAGGAGAATTCAATCCAATTAGGAGCGCAACTTGAGGAATTCAAACAACTTAATAAAAAGCTCGAGTTTAAAATTGAAGATTTAGATTCAGAAGCTGCTTTGTTGAAAGAGGAAATAACCCGTCTTGAAACCCTAGTTAAAGACAAGACTGCGCTTGTTGAAGAAAAAGATCAAATCATTTCTGATGACATGATCAAGTTAAACGAATTGGTACAAGCTGTAACCGAATCAAGAGAACATAATAACGAAGAAGTCGAGGATTTGCATAAGCAAATTGAAACTCTTTCCCGGGACCATGCCAAGGAAATACAAAGACTTCAAGAAAAACTTGAAACGTCTCAAGCAGAAGCAGATCAAGAATTCAATCGTCTTGCCCAATATTTACATCATGAATATTCTGAAAAACATGCAAAGAAATTGGGTGAAGTTAAAGTTCATTTTGAACGAGAACGAGATGGTCTAATTCGCGATAAAAAGGCAGCTGAAAGAGAAGCGGAGTTGTTAAAGAGAAAAGTCAATCACATGACCAGCGAAATGAAGAAAATGACTGAAATTTATGAAAGTCAAACATCCGGATCACGACATAGAAGTCCTAATAAGTAGTGTTTTAGATAGCTAGAATATATTAATATGTTTGTAACCGGGTAATACTTTCACGTGACCTATTTTTTTGCTTTCTCAATTCTTTCCTGAAAGAGCAAACCGAAATTCAAAAACACTTGACAAAAAAAAAAACCCTTTGATTATTAAGACAAGGTGGGCAGTAGAACACAAAGGTCGAATCGTACTCCAGTATATCCTATCTGTTCTTTTCATTTTCATTTTCATTTTCATTTTCACATTAGAATCATAATTTGTTGCTAGTGGAAAAAGTATTTGTGATTGTTGATTTTTATTTCCTCATATCCAGTTCGAAGTTGTAATATATAAAAGCGAAAGGGTTAAACGTACAACATCAAACCAAATTAATTATAGAATCTAATAGAGCTTTTTTTTTAAAAAAAAAATATTATCCAACAGGAAGATACAAAAAAGATACATTACATAAACAGAAAATAATATATCAAGAATGTCAAACGCAGAAGCTAGTAAGTTATACGAAACAATCATTGAAGACGTGATCAATGATTCAAGGCAAGATTTTGAAAACAATGCTATTGATGAATCTACATTACAAGAATTGAGAAAAATATGGTGTGAGAAATTAAGTCAAACAGGGGTGGCTAAATTTTCATGGGATGAAGAATATGAAGAACACCATGATGAAGATCACCAAGATGATGTTCAACTGAATACCAATGGTACTGCCAGCAATAACGTCCTTGATGGTCTTGGAAATGTTTCTGATTTGGGAGATGTTCCTACTACTACTGATATTGCCAACAATGGCTCAGAATTGGAGTTGCCAGATGTTCAATTATCGTACAATACAACGACCAGTATGGGCATTGAATTGCCAGTAATGTCAAAGAAAGAAGAGGACGACTCAGGATTGATTCTTCCAAGAATAAATCAAGCTGATGGTACATTTGAATTCACGATATATACAGATTCTGCTGATAAGTTTATAAATACTTTAAAAAAGAAAAACAAAAAGACCAAAATACCACAAGTCGATGGTGACATTGGTGAAGACGTTGACCTTGGTAATGATGACGATGATGATGATGGGGACATGTTTAACGATTCTGATGATATCAATTCGGATTTAGATGATGAATTTGACAGTGAAAGATCCGACGAAGAAGATGGAGACCAAGAAGGTCAAATCATGTTATGTCTCTATGATAAAGTTCAACGTATCAAAAACAAATGGAAATCTAACTTGAAGGAAGGTATTGCCAACATAGATGGTAAGGATTATGTATTCCATAAAGCTACAGGTGAGAGTGAATGGTAACTACACAGTAACTTATCCATTTAAAGTATTTACAAAGTTTGTAATGTAATAAAATTATGTATATTTATGACAGTCTATGTATAAATAGGGGAGAAAGGTATGTTTAAACTATATTTCCTTTCATCTTTCCCTTGCTTCTGAAATTATTTCTTCTCTTCTTTTAATTCAGGATATTTCTTATAGAATTCCTTCTTTTTCTTTCTGTTTCTAATTGCTCTAGCAAGCATAGCACCTAAACCAGCGGTGGAGTTTCTTGGTATATCGTTGTAATCATCCAACATTATGTAGCGAATATTCTAAAGTTAAATTTGTAATAATAGTTATTTAAAATTGTTTGATGAAAAAGAAATAACAATTTAGATATCCAAGGGTGGAATCACAGTATTTATATATGTTATTGCATCCACTAAAACACAGCCCTCATTGCAAGTAATGATATCATTGTAGTTACAGATCGTGACCGAGGGGTCATTTCGTGGGGGAGGGGAGGGGGGGGGATCCTTGGAATCATACGTTGAAGGTTTATACAATAATAAAAATAAAATATTTTTTTATGCGCGGACGATTACATGCATAATCCGAAGATGTTCTTTGGGTACAAATTCCTTAGTGACATCATGGATTTTGCAATATCCCGTAATCATGGTGTGTCATGTGGACCACTTTATTGAATCCTCATGGTATACATCAAGAACATTCTAGAACATTCACAAATTTAATTTGTATTTGTACTGTCACCATCCTTACAGAACATTAGATAATTTGTACATTCTATTAGTTTGGTCATTATAAACATGTATTAAGTATTACTCTAAACTACATAATTACGCATCTATGTTTCTTTGCATCATCTTCAACGACCAAATCTGGTCTTTCCTTTTTAAGTTTCTTAAGTTCTTTATGCTGCCTGATTTTTCTTGCAGCCATTGCACCTAATGAACCAGCGGGACTTCGTGGGACTCCTGACATTTTGTATTTTATTGTATAATTATAAATTTGAAATTGATAATAGTGTTTTAAAATTTAAATTAGAAAACGAAATGATTATTCTACCCGTTTTATAATCGCTTGTAGGTTTTATTTTTGATGATCATTCTGCCAGTAATTCCATAACGAATTTTTTTCCCGAGTAACTGCTGTGGCTGTGCATATAAATTTAGTGTGATCGGAATTATGATCTCATTCCTGCATGGAAAGTTATTCTGTACATGATCAAATTTCTTCGAAAAATGACACAATACAATATATTGACTGAACCGAAAAAAAAGCTAAATAAACCAACTGATCTTTGGTGATCAATATAATTAAAATTATAATTAATAATATTTTATATTTGTTAGGGATACGGAAATTTCATTGCCTAGACTTTTACTTCGATTTGTAAAAATGAAATCCGCGTCAGAATTCCATTCAAAAACAATTCTTGGTTAGCTCTAAAAATAAATTCTACAATGAGTTCATCATGCAATGCTTAGTTTTTTTGATACTAAATAAAGATTTCATTATTATCTCGTATTTGTAAGGTGTAATTTACATATTCGTGTTGTGCCACCTTTCTATTTCCAGAATTTGTTTTTTGTTTTTTTTTTTGCACCCAAAAAATTCTCTAGCTCAAATCACTTGAAAAACATTTAACATTCATATATCCACGTTAATAATAAACAGACAGAAGAAAAATTACTAGGTTATTCTTGGTTGAAATGTTTAGATTATTATTGGGTAAATTCCTGGGAAACCACTCGCAACCAAACATACAACCAAGTCTTGGCTATTTTTAGTACTTCTCGTCCACTGCTTTCTAAAATTTGTATCAAAGATGACCCCTGCCTCCTAAAGTGCTTACTCATTAGAGCTGATTAGACATTACTCCTTTTGTTGTATTGATTGCACAATATTTATCCAATACTAGAAAATTCTATCCAAACAACTTGTTTTCAAAATGTAAATAACACGGAATGGTAGGATACACGTTTTTTTTCTTGGGTTCATGTCTTGGAAAATATCATTTTCTGATCAAATCCAAGATATAGATTACACTAGGTTTTCATTTGAGATTTCACACAGGGTATATAATACTGATTATAACTTTCATAAATATTATAAAACATTATAGCGGTGCATTTAAACTAATAGATAAACCATTTTTTAAAAAAAAGGAAATCTAAAAGATCCTATCACAGGGATTATATTTTAACAATCACTTTAAGCAAACATTTAAAATGGGCTGTTTTCCAATGCTTGCCCAGATTTAATATTACCTCTCCCACTCCCTTGGTGTTTTTACCGGGACTGTTATAAGACGATACAAGAAAATCACTTGAGACCAAATATATTTGGCAGAAACACCATAAATATAGTAATTTCTGATATGATCATCTTATTCATAATTAGTATCTTCTTAATTTTTCACAGAAGCTTGAAAATGTCAAGACCTTTATTATTATTATTCATATATTTTGCAATAGCTATTGCAGATTTACCAGTATTAGACTTAGTTGATGAAGTCTATGACTCGTGCCCGGTACATTTCCATCATGTATCTGAAGATACACATTATAATGTTTATTCCGCTGAAATGGTGGGCGACAATGAGTATTACTTATCAATAGATTTCGATTTCACAGATGAAACATGCTTGAGTATGGGATATGTCACTATGGATATCATACAGACAAGTTATGTTACGCATTCGGATATAAATATAGTAGAGTTCTACCCAAAATTTAGGGTTAAGGTTGATCTAAGTGCCAACAAGAATGACTTTGGAATTCCCCAAATATCTGACCTCACAATTTTGGTTTCCAGAATCTGTGATGGTACAAATTTGTTTTGGATTTATACCCCTCGGTCTATATTGCTTGATCAACAGTGTTCCACGCCACATGTGAAAGAAACAATCGAATATCTGGAAGTGGAAGAAGGATTGGATACATGTTCTGTCAAAGTAGGAAAAGAAATTTGTGATACAATCAAACCTACTATACCAGATGATTCACTGGTACAACTAAGGCAGTTTAGGTTTACTTCAGTTGAAAAAATTTTTGATGAATCAGACGATTACGTGGTTTCGGTAGAATTAGAGGTTGGTATTTATAACTCATTCGTTTTAGATGAAATTGACCTTGTCTTTACCGATGGAACACAAAAGACTATATCTCGTTCGCCAAACAGTCCTATATTTGTAGATACCATTGTTTATACTGCTACTTGGGTCATGACAGGAACACCATGTGATCAAGGAATTTGCTCTACTCCATTTGATATTGTGGTGCATGGAAAGATACCAAGTGATACTGAGAATGAGATGAATCCCGAGAATTTCATTTTCAAACATGCTTGTCAATCAGATGATATAGATAACTTATCAGGTTATCTTCCTATAATTGTTCTTCCTGAAAATCATTGCCAAATATCAATTACAACCACACATGACTTGCCACAGCCAATATCCACCTGTAATGTTGACCGCACGGTTGAAGACTGGTGTAAATTTAATACCAACCTAACCCCAGATAAACCACTTAGTTATCTTACAATCATCCATTTTGAAAAGGCACTGGAAATAGACAATGCATACATTGTTACAGTAGACTTTATTACACCTAAGTTCTCTGGTTTCTTCCTAGGAATCACAATTAAAGACTTTGAAGCCCCTGAAAATTATCCTGAGGAATTGAAAATTCTTGCATCTGACATAGGTGAGCCAATAAGCGTTAGGAAAATACATTATACTATCAGTTGGGTAATGTCAGGTACCGAATGTCCAGGGGATCCAAGTAGCAAATGTAATAGTCCATTCACCTTGATCTTATATGGAGAAGAGTGCAAACCGGACTGTAATGAGATTGAGTTTACTTACACCAATCGTTGTTTACAGAACGGTGATGTTTATGATTCTCTGCAAGTGAAAGTACCTGCTGATTGCCTTGCCATTGAAACCGTGGAGAAACTTCCTTCATACCGTTTTTCAACATTTGAAGTGAATTCCATTAAAGCAACGTGTGAGCTGCAAGACTCTGAAATGCAACCTACTGTTAAGAAGTTCGAGTTTGTGGATGCTGCTATATTGACGGATATAGATAATGCATGTCTTGTGACATTAGAGTTTGAACTTGATGCTGGTACATTCGATGATTGTATAGTACAAGATGTGGTTATCAATAACTTGAAAACACCAGGTGACTATCTAGGAAATAAAATTGTAATAAAGAGCCAGGACATCCAGTTATGTGAAGATATATATCACTTTTTTGTGAAATGGGTGATGAAAACAGAGATCTATCTGGAAAACCAGTGGTTTTTGAAGTTGAAGTCGACTCCTTTTGAGATCCAATACAAGTGTAGAGATGGTTTAATGCTGTACACTTACGAACATAGTTGTCCACAACCTGGAAGTGAAAATTATCACTATCCCCAAGTCTTGTTTGAGAATAGAAAGAACCAAGATAAAGAAGAACCAACAATATTGAAAAGCAGTAACTCTGACACATCTGAAGTTGAAAGTACATCTGAAGTAGAATCCACATCTGAAGTAGAATCCACATCTGAAGTTGAAAGTACATCTGAAGTAGAATCCACATCTGAAGTAGAATCCACATCTGAAGTTGAAAGTACATCTGAAGTAGAATCCACATCTGAAGTTGAAACTACATCTGAAGTTGAAACCACATCTGAAGTAGATGACTTAGACACAAGTAATATCACTGATATTGATACGATAGAAACAATGGAGATAGATGACTTCGATACAAGTGAAGAATCAACTACTGATACCTTGGATACAAGTATCACTACTGTGTTAGAAACAACTATGGATACAAGAATAGACATTTCAGATACTTGGAGGAGCATTGCAAATAACACCAGTACAAATACCGACTCTTCAAACGTGACTGAATCTCCTTTGATGCAAGTAAATACCATAATTGAGACTGCTATCAATACCATTTTCACTACTATTTGTGAGTTGTCGACTTGCACAAGAAAGGCAGTTGTTGTCTCTACTACCAAAACATATTATCACTCTATAGTTGCTCATTCCAATGAACCTAATGCAAAGTATTCAACATGCACCAGGGAAAATGGCCAAGTTGAAGTCATATATTCTCCTGGGTCACCAGTTACTTTCGGTTCACAACAAGGACAGCTTCTTTCTTCACAAACAACACGAAAACCTTTCCAGCATTCAAATCAACAACTTGATACTGTAATAGTTAACGATGCTAAACAATATACCGGTGCTTCATTTGTTTCTTATAGCATTATTATATTGCTTTGCGTTATTGCAGTATTATAAGTGATACCTTCTCAACATAGTCAAAAACATCTTTTCTTCCTTTTATGTTTATGAATATTACATCTTTTTGCTTTAATTGTAAACTTGTTTGATGTTAACAACAGACGCTATTACCTTTCATAGAATCTCTTCTATTACTGTAACACATATTAATACGTACATTTCGAAATCTACCCAAGAACTAAAATATAAAATAATACAACGACAAACTTCATTAAAAAAAAAGAATAAAAACAGTCATAAATAGTTTCTAGAAATTAGGAATATTAACATCCAAAACTTCTCGATTGGCATCCAGGATCGGCTTCCCATTTTCAAAAATACATTCAAAGTCAACCAAGAATGTACTCAATACTTCCAATGATATATTCAAGGTGGGAACAAACACAATACAGACATTTCTTAAATTCATCCTATTAATTGGATGTTGACTAATCACTTGTCTCAAAAATTTGAAAATCACATAAGTTATATCATAATGAATCTTATCAACATTCTCTGGATCATTGAAATAATCTCTAAAGATTGCAGCAATTGACGATGGAGGCATTGACGACGTATTATGCAAAATTACCCCATTCAAATGGGAATAAGCATTCAATCCCAAGATTGGATTTGGTAATTCTCGAAGGTACGACTTGAACAAGCCGGCAACAGTGTGAATATCTGGTTTTAAGGCACACTTTAACAAATCCAAATCGTATTGCGTATTGAATTGATCCTTTAATTGACGGATAGTCGATGCAGAACCACTTAATCGGAAGATACCTTCTTCAAAAATTGCTCCAGTTTTATTCAAATAATCAAGACATCTATAACATATGCTAGGGATTTGTCTCCCCATAAAATCATGATTGGATAATTCATATGCAACTTCAACATTTCTTCCAAAAATAGATTTGGCTACATCAGCATCAAGACTCAATTGGTTCAAATAATGCTGCATGGAAACGTCGCCTGGTTGTTGCTGTGGTAAAGGTGGTGGACCCAGGGCAACTACAGTTGATGTACTCTCCAAGTCATCTGTACTGTTCTCTAAAATTGTTCCCTTGATATTGCCTCTGCTGAATGGGAATATACTTCTCTTTTTAGGTTTCTTCAGAGATGGGGTAGTATCCTTGCTAATACTCATTTCTTCATTCGAAAATGACGTGTTTGTAGATAATTGATCAAACGAGCTAACACTATGTTGTTGACCACCACCTAAGTATTTTCTCGATTCTAATTCATCAATGTGGTTGCCCTCATATCGGGATGATGCCGGAGTATCCAAATAACTATGGTCAAAGTTTTGTACTGGTGATATTTCATAATCATCTTGGCTAGGATCATTGTATTCAACTAAGGCTGAAACCCAATCATCACGCTCTTCATCGGTTTCGGCACAAAAGAAATGCTTTGGTAAAGAGGATTGCAACTTCAGAGACTTTTGTGGTTCCATAATGACAAATGCATGACGATACCCTTTATCTTCAGCTACTGAATCAGAAGACTGCTTTCCAATTTGTGCTCCTCGAAGTTTTATTTGTTCCAATATTAATCCACCAGGGTTTTCGTAAATTTCAAGGAAAGGTCCATCAACTTGACACCATCTAATTTTCCAATTACTTCCCAATCCCTTGTATTTTCTAATCAAGAACCCTTCCTTACGAGCACCACTCTTGAAATCATCCAATGGATTGACAAAATCTAATGATAGGAATTTACAGATTCGGAAAACAACCATGTGAGGAATATGAGGCATCAAGAAAATAGTATTGAAGTAATTTTGAACTATGGATCGTCTCATTTCAACTTTTGATGGGGTGGTGGATAAGAATAACCCCTTTTCCGGTAATGCCGGTAATCCAAAGTATTCCACAATGGGTCTGATTTCATTATCAAATGACATCATTTGAGAATATGTTTTTCTAATTCTCCACATTTCCTTATTGGTTTCACGATCATTGATGGTCATGGTGATATTTGGATCATCGCTCTTTTTTGATGTTTGATGGGCTGAATTGACGGTTATTGTGGATACAACTGATATAAAAATGGTATTGAATTCTTCTGGTTTAATAAACAAATTAGATTCTTCAGTTTCGGTATTGGGGGACTGTAAAACATGAAAAGAAGATCCAGGCGTTTGAGGATCAGCAGTGGAATAAACACTATGGGATGATATAGTTGGTGTAGTATGAGATGGTCTTTCTGGTTCATATGGAGGTGCCAATGCTGGAGAATTATGAGTGAATGAACCTTGGAGTGGAGATGAAATATGAGAACGGCCTTCTTTTTCGTCATTGACTAATGGATGAGGGATTGGAGTTACATTCATACCAATCTTGCTATCATTAAATGCTTCAGGAGTAGCAGGAACTTCGGATCTAGGGGCAAAACTAGGTACGGCTTGACCAGGAGGAGTTTCATATCGAGCTGTTCCTGGATGAGTAATAAACATATTGGGTGATTTTAACGAACCCAATTCGGCTTGTTTGTTATCTTCAACTTCTCGATTCTTGGGAACGTTACTAGTTGGAAGTTTGATTCTTGATGATTTATAAGTTGACCCAACGCTACTTGAACTTCGTGAAAGTCCCCTATCTTGCAGATATATTTTGTTTACTGTCGATGTGGTTGTGGCATCAACTGTACTAGTTGAATTGATTGAAACTGGCACAGAATGTTCCTTGATTTTAGAACTATCATTATCGGCAAAATCACTAGTTGTATCCTTGGTAGCTTCGAGATCAACAGTAGTACTCAGGTGATCCTTGGATGGCACTTTTTCAACACTAGCCTCTACCGAGGCATTATTGTGTTCATAAGGTGATAATAATGATTCAGAGCTACTCTTGCCAGTGTAAGAATCAAGTATATTTGCATCAATTGTATTATTGTTATTAACTCCGGAGCTAATTGAACCACTTGAGTGCCTTTTGAATTCGTTATTACTGTTGTTATTGTTGTTGTTATTATTATTATTATTGTTGTTGTTGTTGTTATTATTATTATTATTATTATTACCAGTAGTGTCACTGGTACTATTTTCGATATTCATGTTGTTGGTGTTTTCTCTTCTTCTAGAAGACCTCATGGGGATTTGACTAGGGGAGCCAGAAGTCGACCTGTCTTCGTAAATCGTAGGTGGTTGTGTTTGAAGTTCTTGTTGATATCTTCTTCGTTGGGTAGGAGATGATGGTGTCTCGTCAAACCTGGTTGATCTGGGTGATTTTTGCGACACAGGAGATGTTACCGGAGATAATTGTGTCGCATTAGTTACCATTGCAGGAAGCAATTTGTGAGGTTGTGGTGGCAATGAAGTTGGTGCTTTATGCGGTGTGTCCACGGATCCATTTGCTGGGTGTGAGTCCTCATGAGGAGTGTTATTGTGTTGTTGACTAGCCTTGGCTCGTTTTAGTTCTTCGTTCAACGAATGTAGAAGCTTGTTTTGCTTCTCCAACAATGCTTTCAATTCTTTATTTTCAAAGACGAGCTGTTCAATGTATTGTGAATCAGTCAAATGGGAACGATCAAATTGAGGATCACAGGGGGTGTACTCCTGGGGTTCCAGTGTAGTTATCGGGCGAGGTGTGCTTATCATGTTGGGACGAGGGCGGTAGGATGCTGGTGGGAGTGATCGCCGTGATTAATTCAGACTATATTAGCTTGTTCGTTATATTCACTGGGATGTGGGACTCGTGGCTGTAATGGCTATCAGATCAAGTTAAAAAAAAAATGAATGGGTGGTTGTCTGAGACAGCTCAGTTGGTTGTGGAATGAAAGTAAGAAAGACAGAAAGTAAACAGACCTTTTTCCAGCGTAATCTAATGCAAATAACTGTTGATGCGCCAGTCAGTTGTACATATAAAATATACCAAGTTGTATACTACCAGTAGTTAGGTTGCTAGTTGTTTATACGTGTTTTCTTTCGTAAGTGAGATCTTCTGCGCTTTTAAAACTTTTGTGAAAATAAGAACCAAAAAATTAAAGGAGAGCAAAAAAAAAAAAAATACAAAAAAAAAAAGAAAGAGAAAAATCTTAACTATGTGTAACCATGCTATCGTCCAATGGCATGAACAAAAACTATGTTTTGGAAAATTAGAAATTGATTTAAATAGTATCGACTATTCAAAGCCATGTCCTTTCTAAGCGGTAAAAGGCGTGTATTCCTCTTACAGGGCGGACCTTCTTTGGTCACTGGCTGAAGAACAACTCCACCCCCAGAAATTTTTACCCTCCCCTGCATATAAATTTTACACGACCGATTTTTCCCCACTATGTAAATTTTTTTTATACGACTCCCAACCAAGTAAACTAAAGGTCATGGAAACTTCTTGGACCATTCCAGTCCAGGTAAGGCCGGCAACAATAGTCTAGATTACAATCTAGAACCATTTGGGCTATTCTTTTCCTTCAAACTCGGTACATTAACCCATCAGCATCTAACATGAACTAGCGATTCGTGACATTTTGTTTACTGTTTAAAGTAATTTTTTAACCGGATTTTCTGTCATGGTCAGCCTGACGAACTCTAACGCAGGTTTTAGTTCCTTTTGAGGCTTATAACGCCATAGCTGTGTCAAGACAACCAAAGTCTGATGATTTACAGAAACTGTTGAACAATGCGCTCTAGTTCTGTAGAATCCTCGGTAAAACCTTTGTGGAGGTTTCTTTTCTACCGTTTTACAATTACATTCTGGCCCTGGCGCATAACCGCTAATTATTGATTTACGATCTAGAGAGTCCCCCATTTTTCCGCTGGTGTTTATTGGTTCAAGTATATATGTATATATATTTTGTTTTAATAAATATAGCGGGTATACACTATTACAATTAATATTCCTCGTCGTCGCCTTCTCTAATCTTCTTATAGTAAGATCTAGTATGTCTCATAACCTTTCTGTCATCAACCGGGTCAACCTTCAAGGGACTAGTAGATATGACCAGATCTTTGCCGTTACTGTCCAAAAGCTCCTTAACCATTTTATTAACAGGAATATCCTTGGCTTCCGGCTGGTACAGATACACAAAATTACTAGGTAAAACAGCATTGGGCATCATTGACCGTCCTAATTTAATCACCTCATTGGCCCAAATGGTGATATCACTATTGGGTTTCTTGTACGGTTTCCAATTCTTTTTGCATCCCTTGATCAATTCGCGCATGACTTGCTCGGATCCCCAGGTATGATTCCAAAGCAATTCTTCGTCATTGTTTAACCCAATCAAATGCGAGAAAATACCAGTGGATAACGCTCCATCGGAATAGCCACCTTCCAAAAAAGATATGACTTTTCCATTGGTGTGGATCTTGGCTAATTTGACTACATCTTGGGTGAACTTGGCATAAAACGAAGTAGGAACGTTAATACCGTGTCTTTGCATCTGCGGGTTTTCATACTCAGAAGCATCAAACCCGGCAGAGATGGCAATCAAGGGTTTAAAAGGTGGTGGTGGAGTTGGCTTGGTGAGTGGTTGTCCACCATTATACAAATGGGGCTTGAACAAATACTTGTTGTATTTACTCAATTGATCAAGATATTTCTGATACTCTTCGTCATATTGTTTCTTGGCAGAATTAAGAAATTGATTAGCCCGATTTAAAATGGTGACATATTTAGTTTGATAATGTTTGTAGAATTCATCTTCGGTGTTCCATTCTTGTAAATGGACGTTCCAAATGTTCAAATCATGATCCATGATACATGTTGATGCATTCTTGATATTTTCCTTGGTGGCGTATCCCAATTCGGTAGGATATGACTTGATATCATGCAATGAAAAATATCCAACTTTAGGATAGGTGGCGAATCGCTTACCGTACTCATCACGAGGATTCAGTTTAGGATCAGTAATTTCGTCATTCTCGTCCTTACCGTAATCACCCGTGAATCCGGCACGTTCCCAACAAATGTCTTGACTTCCATCACCGTGATGTAAATCAATATCTAAAATGGCACAGTGAGTAACGCCATACTTCTCAAACGCATATTCGATTCCAATTTGGACATTGTTTAATAAACAGAATCCACTGGGTAAACAGGCGTGACTGTGGTGACCCGGTGGTCTGATCACGACAAACACTAAATTATGATTGGCTTGTTTTTGTTTTTGTTTTTGTTGTTGTTGTGATGATGGTGGTGGTGGTGGTGGCTGTTGTTGCCTTATACTAGGTTTATGGAATAACGAGTCAACTGCATGCTCAATAGTTCCAATGACACCTTCAATAGCGTTAATTGTTCTTGGATTAAGGTATATATCACCCGTGTTCCAATCATCAGGGACTTCCAATTGGTCCGCTTGTAATTTTTCATGAGATTCCAAGCACAATTCAAACAATTTCTTGGGCCAGTTACGACCATGGATTTTTCTCACATGGGATGCAAATATCGAGCCTCGCTTTTCAGAATTGATGACTTTGTAGTAGAAGGGAAACATGGTGACGGCACTAGCTACCCCGATACAACTGGCCAATAATCGCTGTGGTCGTTCAAAAATCGTTGACAAGTACGACTTGGTGACCCATTTACGTCCAAATGCATGTTCTGAAGAATACGGAGACAAGATGATCAAAGTTCGATCCTGGTCGTTTTTAAATCTCGGAGATTCTTTCTCAATATGAGGATTGGAATCGAGAAAGTCCGTGAATGTCTTTTGGTACTTGCTCAACGATTCATCAATCAATAATGAAGGTCTCAACACATCCTTGTACTTTGGGTCTACTTTCTGTCGACTGTAATAATCTTCTAAACTTGGACTAGGTGTTTTCTTAAACTCGATTTCTTCCTGTTTTGGTTCTTCTTGTTCTTCCTCGACGGTCTTAATAACACTGTATCGTGGGAGCAAACTATACCTTCTATTGGTCTTGAACTTGGGGATCTGCTCCAGAATGCGTTCATTTTCTTCTAATTCAGAGATGTCAACAATGCTGTGGTCACGGGTATAGTTTATGGTGGAATCTCTTAACACAGTATGATCTATGGAGATGTCATTGATTTCATCTTCTTCGTATTCGGCCGTGGATGGTCTTATAGTCAAGGTAGTTTCAAACTGTTCGATTAATGAATCTTCGCTGTCGTTATGACGGGCGAGCGTGTCTCTAAGACTGGACATGGTGTGGTTGTCGGTGTGTGGATGTGGATGTGGGTGTGGGTGTGGGTGTGTGATAGCTGGTGTGGTGGTCACCGAAAATGCAAACTATAAATAGTACTGGGGCAACAGATCGGATGTTTGATCTGGGAATGATCTGGAGGCAACGGTGGACGATTTACGTATTACAGAAAGACACCGATGTGTTGTCGTGTCGATTAATCTGAAAAATGTGGAAAACGTTGGAAAAAGAACTTGAACGACCCCACCAATAACAATAGGGATCAAAATAGTACTTGTTTTGGAAAATTTGACTATGAAATTTCATACTCAAAACCCTCAAAGGGGTGGTGGGATTATTTTTTGTTTTTGCGGCATTCGTCCCCACGCGACATCCCATTTTCGCGTTATTCGTCATAACAACTGATTGCTATTACTAGATCTAGTCATTCTACATAGATCTGGTATCTGATATTATAATTCGGTTTATTCGTCTATCTACATTATGCCTTACTAAAAAGGGCTGGCTTTATTTCTTGTTCCAATCTTGGCGCCTCTCCCACATTGTGTCTTCTCTTTTTAATGACATTCTCAATAAATGCTTCTCCAGCCTTGTATGAAGATCTCACCAATGGTCCACTAGCAACATAAAGGAATCCCATTTCCAAAGCAACATCTCTCCAATAATCAAACTTCTCAGGAGTGACATACTCAACCACCTTCATGTGTCTCTTGGTTGGTCTCATGTACTGACCAAATGTCACCACATCACATCCGACTGAACGCAAATCCTTCAAGGTTCTCATAACCTGGTCGTCAGTTTCACCAAACCCAAGCATCAATGAGGTTTTCGTCACCAACGTAGGTTTAGCTTGTTTGGCTCTTTCCAATACGGCCAATGACTGACGGTATGTAGCACGACGATCTCTGACATGAGGAGTCAAATCTTCGACAGTTTCCAAGTTATGGGCGTACACATCCAAACCTGAAGTAGCCAATATGTTAACCATATCCAAATCCCCTCTGAAATCACCACTCAAGACTTCCACAAGAATTTGTGGTGCCTTTTGTTTAATCTTCCTCACAGTTTCCGCCAAATGGTTGGCACCACCATCTATTAAATCGTCTCTATCGACAGTGGTCAATACAACGTACCCCAACCCCCATCTACTGATTGCCTCGGCGGTGTTTTCCGGTTCCTTTGGATCAGGAGGAGCTGGCGCTCTGTTTGTCTTGACACTACAGAAACGACACCCTCTGGTACATGTATCCCCCATAAGCATAATTGTAGCAGTAGCTTCTGACTTCTTACCACCCCAACATTCACCGATATTAGGACATTTAGCTTCTTCACACACGGTGGCTAATTTCAATTCTCGCACGTCGTTTTTGACATTGTGGAACGATTTACCCTTGGGAATGGGCACTTTTAACCAGCTAGGTAATCTTTGGTTGGGATCTTTACGTGCAGCTTCCAATGGGTCTTCAAGCATGTCCTGGGCTTTCCCGCTCACGAAATCATCAAAGGATGGTCCTTTATTGAGTTTATCTGAGAATTTGGTTGGTCTTCTTCTGGACACGGGAGTAGGTCCCGGTGTGGCAGCAGTGGCTGTTGCCAAGGATCTAACAAATATGCAAGATTGCTTTTTAAGCAAGTTGGTCTGTATAGATAACATAGTTAGTTATGCTTAAAAGAGCACGTATAAGGGATAAATTTAGTAATCAATGAGGTAAATCTTTTTATGGCTGTCAATTTTGTACTACAACAAGGGCGAACAGCCTACAGATGCAATAATAAAAAAAAAAATTTTTTTTGTATTTTGCTCAGACTGTGGTCCGACCACTAGAAAACGCCTCACGAGGTCATCTGACTCGGGCCATACCCCACTTGACGGTAATGCTCAATTCACCACAGTAAAACTCGCTGTTCGTTAAATATTATATTAGAAAACTATAGGAAATACGAAAGAAGTCTATGCTAAAGTAAACGGTGAATCTTGTCATCTTGGAATTGTTCTAAATTGTCCAAGTTGCCCCACCACTTGAACAAGAAATCTTGACAAATCAATTTGAACCATGGAGTAAACACCAATGATTTGTCTTGAAACATGTCTTTTAATTCTTGGGCATCAACGTACTTGTAATCTTTGACTTCATTGTAGTTGGCATTGATCTTGATATCATTCTTGGTTTTTAAGATCAAGATATAATCTATTTCGTGTTCACCCCATCTCGAGCTTTCGTCACCACTGGCGGACTTATAATGGATTCTAGTCAAATATGTAAAGTTTTCCACAGGAGTGTCAGCGTAGGCGATACCCAATTCGTGGTCCAATTTTCTTTGGGCTGCAAATTTAGCGCCCTTGATGGCAACATCCAATCTGTTGATGGCACCACTGTCGGAGTCGTCGTCAACACCTAATTCCTTAGGAACACACAAAGGATGGGAGCAACAGGTGTTGGTCCACATGGCAGGAAAGGTGATCTTTTCGTCGGCACGTTGTTGCAACAATAACTTGCCGTCTTCATTGAATAAGAAAACAGAAAAGGCTCTGTGTAATAATCCACCGTTGATATTTTCCATCAAGTGGCATAACTTCTTGGTTCCGGCGCCAACTGGCTTGTCGTCATTGTCCAAGACAATACATAACTCTTCCATCAATCTGATCTGTTCTTCATCGTGACCGTCAAAGATTTCTGTGTCTCTGCTTGATACAGAGGTGATTTCTGATCCTGAAGATCTAGGAATACCGGAAATCTTCTTCAATGGAGTGATTTCTGGCCACTGGGATCTAATGTCTTCGGAGGAAAGACTGGCGACTAATTCAGCGTAGGAGGAGGTTGTCATTTGTGTTGTTGTAGGTTGTATGTTGTAAATAATGAATAATTAAATATCAAAAAAAGATTTGTGAGACGTCAGTACTTCAAAATTGTCAAATGTGGTAGTTTGAACTTAGTTTGAACTAGCAAGTGAAAAGTGATAGACTAGAACTGATGGCTTTTGGACGTTGCTAATGTGATATAGTCGTCTGACTGTTGTTGCTACAGGAAAACCCAAATATACAACCGGAAGCGTTTTGGGTTTGTAAAAAAAATCCCAAAAAAATTTTGGACCTTAGACAAAAGAAAAGAAATTAAAGATTTACGCGCATCAATCCAGTTACCACAATTGTCAATTAGAGGAAGATCTTAACCTAGGCACACGAACCAGATATGATACAGACATTACGATGTAGCTGGAGCAAAACAACCCACCGCGAATCGACCAAAATTCGCAAAGAGAACACAAATTAGTTGCAAAAACGCTGCATTGCATTCGTATACCTCGTATAATCTGCGTTTTCTAACCGGAACAAGAAAACTGTATCACGTGACACGCCATTTTAAGCCCACGCTCGATAAATCAGCATTACGCAGATTTGTTGCATCCACTTAGAGAATATTTCAACATAAGCCAGTTGATGTAAATCGCTGCATGTTACAACAGCTGTAGTTCAGTTTCAGCTTTGTGCTATTCAATGAATTTCATGTTGGTTTGTGTTTCTATAATAAATCTCTAGGCATACTAAATTGACACAAGCTAACTGTATACTCAAGTTGAATGGGGATTTACTGTTTTGGTTGACTCCGCGTAGCACGAGGCTCGTGCAAATCACGCCCGGCGGCGAACGAGCGGAAAAAAAAATTTTTCACTACCAAAAAATCAAATCGAACAGCATTACGTCTAAATTTTGAATTGTTTTTCAACAATACAAATTTACAACCTCTAACTCACACTACTTAAAAAAAAAAAGGGATCCCCTAATCCAACACACATTTCCCTGGTTTACTTTTTTACATTTGTTTAATCTGTTCCCGTGATACTGCTCTGGTGCCTGCTGTAATGTCTTCCTCCCCTGTTCCTTTCAAATCTGCTCCCAAGAAGTTCATCAAACGTCCTGATGATAAAGCCCTCAAGGCCGAAATTGACGAGTTAAAGAATGAAATCAAGAAATTGGATCTTTCCAACAATGATCTTAATGGCCAAATCTCCAAACTCCAAATCGACCAACTGGTTATGGACAAGAGAAACAAGTTGCAAGCTGAATTGAAAGGGTTGATTGCCAAACAAGCCAACGTCAAGAATGAACGTAATGCCATCAACGACCAAATCAAGGCCGTTGACGCGCAATTAAAGAAGAGAATTGCCGAAATTCAAGCTCAAACTTCCAAGAACTCATTCAAGAATGTCGAAGAAATCGATGCTAGAATCAAGTACTTGGACGGTTTAATCGATGCTGGTGACTTGAAGTTGGCCGATGAAAGAAGATTTGTCAAGGAAATGTCTGGTTTACGTAAGTTGCGTAAGGATTTTGGTGGTATTGAAAAAATCCAAGCCTTGATTGACCAAGATAAGGAAAAAATCGCCGAATTAAAGAAGAAGTTGAGTGGGGTCCAAAACAAGGAAATCCAAGCTCAATTTGAAGCTATTCAAAAGGAATTGGATGAAATAAACGAATCCAACAAGACCATCATTTCTCAAAGAAACGAATTGTACGACAAGAGAGCTGCCGTCAAGAAGCAAAAGGATGAAAAGTATGATCAAATTAGAAAATTGAGAGTTGAATTTGACGAAAAGTTCGCCAACTTCAAGAAACAATTAGCTGAAGAAAAGAAGAAGCGTGACGAAGAATACAAGGCCAAGCTCTTGGAAGAAAAGCAACAAAAGAGAAAGGAATTTGCTCAACAACAATTGGCTGAAGCTTCTATTCCTGCCTTCACTGCTGAAATCAACTCCATCCACAACTTGTTGGCTCATTTCGACCCAACCTATGTTAAGCCAGCTCCAAAGAAGGCTTCCAATGGTGAATCTTCCACCCTCCCAACCAATGACAATATCAGAAAGGTTGAATTCCCAGAAGATTTGGTTGTCATTAAGAAGGAACAAGAAGATTTCTTCACTGGTTCCAAGTCCAAGAAGTCTGCCAAGCACAAGAAGAAGTCCAAGAACTTCAATGTCGCTCCAGATGTCGTTGTTGCTTTAAGTGACTTGTCCATTCCATTCCCAACCAAGGAAGAGGAAGTTGAACCAACCGTCAAGATCTTGAAGGAAACTTTGGTTGCTCTTGAAGAAAAGCAAGAAGAACAAACAAAGACCAACATTGAAAAGGCCAAGGCTAGAATCGCCAAGTTGGAAGCTGAAGAAGACGCTGCCGAAGCTGCTGAAGAAGCTGAAACCGCTACTCCAGAAGTTGAAGTTGAAGCTGAAGAAGTTGACGCTTGATTTTGACACCCGACACATTTTTTCGTTTGATTTAGAACTTTAGTACTCGCAGTATATATACATTGTATACTCTCATACCTTGATATTTCACAATATAGATTGCAATTTGTAAATTTGTTCTGTAATTTTTCTGCACCAATTTGAATGAGAGCACTTAAAAAAAAAAAATTATATCTCATCGTGAATATCACCGATTCAAGCAAATATTAACAAACATGGCAAAGAGAAAGACCACAGAACCGGAGGTTCAGCCAACTAAGAAGCCAACCAAGGCCAATCCGGAAACCCTGATCTCAATTTGTATACCTACCTCTGTAATTTCTCAGAAGAATGCCTATAATTTACAACAAATAACCACCATCGTATATCAGATCGCCAAGGCATGTACAATCTACAATGTCAGTGAAATTGTCGTGCTAGATGTTCCTGAAAAGAAAGAAGAAGAGCCTGAACCAACGGTTGAAGTTGTCAGTGGTGACAAGGGAGGGAAGAAGTTAAAGTTTAACTTTGATGATGATCTCTCCAAAGATGTGCCCGCTAAAAAGGAGATCCAAGAAGAAACAACTGAAGATGACAAGGCGATCTTATTAGCCAGTCTTTTACAATTTTTTATAACCCCTCCATATTTAGTGAAAACTATGTTTTCCCCAGCATTAAATCCTAATTTCAAAAGCATCCTTGCTAAGTTCAAATATGCATTTAAATTACCCAAAATTACTACATTACCATTTATGAACAACAATCAAACATATAAAGATTTCAAAGAAGGTATCATAATCCCCAAGGAAACACCAAAAGTGAGACGCAAGACCAGTGTTAAAAAGGTCAAAGCTGCAAATAAAGTAACTGTGTCGAAATATGTAAATATCGGTGAGGCTCAAGCACTTGAATTAAATATCAAGCGAGAAATCCCCATAAATTCACGTGTTACCGTTGATTTGAAAAATAAGACCATTGTATCACCATTACAAGCCTATGGAATCGTGGGACACAAGGCTGCATTTGGATATCACGTCCGAGTGGTCAAACAATTCAGTAAGTTGTTTACTGAATGTCCTATCCCTGAAGGGTACTCATCAAGTGTGTATGTTAACTGTGATGTTTATTTTGGTAGCAACGAAAAAATCTCAGACTTAACAAACCTTCCACAATTGGAAGTCAATCTGGCTGACAAGAACAACGTGTTGGTTGTTGTTGGGAACTATAAATACTTGCAAACGAGTTTTGAAGATGACAAGACCAATTTGGAAGGTGTCGAATCAGTCAGTCAAATGTTTGATGGTAAACTTACTATACCAACTGGGGTAAAGATTGAAGATGCGGTATTAATCTCATTAGCTAAATTGTATAACTAAAAAAGTTCTAGAACTTTAGTGGGCTTCGTATAACTTGTAACAAAGAAACAGAGAAACCTGTAAAAATAATCACTGACTACGTAATAGGTAAACAAACTTCCTAATGTAAAGTAAAAATTTACACTTTATGAAAAGTGTCATTGTTACTCAGTTTACAGGTTAGCTCGATTGGGTAAATTGAGATCAAAAAAGAAAATTCCCTGGCACCAACGTTGAGCGATCTCTTTATTTTTAGAAGTATTTTGTGCGAACTGGCGGTAGTGCCCTGCCCATAAAATCAACAAACGTGAAATTATTTCGGTAATTTGTTTTTTTTTCTCGCATTATTTTTTTTTTTCCCTGGTCGAGGTACAAGCAAAATTTTGTCCCACTTCCACCAGCATCCGCTGAAACCAACTGATTTTCACCTCACACATTTTCTATTTTTGTATTTGATCCTTTTCTTCCTTTTCCTTTTCCTTTTCTTCTTTCTTTCTTTAGTATTGCCACTCATTATTATACCCCCCCCTTAATTCGTGAATAACACCACCAACTTCAAGTTATTTAACTTCTTGATAATCCGTCGTCTTACTATTCATTGAATTTTTTTCCATTTTTTAAACTCAACCACATTAATATAAAAAAACAGCATGCAATTTAAATATTTAACTGCCCTTGCAACCGTTCTCGGTGCCGTCACTGCCATGGGTGATGTATGTATAACATGTGAACAGTAAGGAGATTCTTTTCGACATTCTCGTCAAAAGAATTCTTCTCTTGTTTGTTTTCGATTCGTGTACTAACATTTTTTTTTAGCTTGCTTTCAACTTAGGTGTCAAGGACAACCAAGGTAACTGTAAGACCGTTGAAGGATTTGAATCCGATTTAGAATTAATCAAGGGTCAATCCACCATCGTCAAGACCTATGCCGTTTCTGACTGTAACACTTTACAAAATCTTGGTCCAGCCGCTGAAGCAGAAGGTTTCCAATTGATGTTGGGTATCTGGCCAACTGACGATGCCCATTTTGCTGCCGAAAAGCAAGCTCTTACCACTTACTTGCCAACCATTTCTGCTTCCACCATCAAGATCTTTTTAGTTGGTTCTGAAGCTTTATACAGAGAAGATTTAACTGCCGATCAATTAGCTGAAAAGATTGGTGAAATCAGAGACTTGGTCAAGACCATCAAGGACAAGAACGGTAACTCCTATGGTTCCGTTCCAGTCGGTACTGTTGATTCTTGGAATGTCTTGGTTGACGGTGCTGCTCAACCAGCCATCCAAGGTGCTGATGTTGTCTACGCTAACGCCTTCTCCTACTGGCAAGGTCAAACCCAAAAGAATGCCTCTTACTCATTCTTTGACGATATCATGCAAGCTTTACAAGTTATCCAAACCACCAAGGGTTCCACTGATATTGAATTCTGGGTTGGTGAAACCGGATGGCCAACTGACGGTACCAACTTTGAAGCTGCTTACCCATCTGTTGAAAATGCCGCTGACTACTGGCAAAGAGCTATCTGTTCCATGAGAGCTTGGGGTGTCAATGTTGCTGTTTTCGAAGCTATTGATGAAGCTTGGAAGCCAGACACTTCTGGTACTTCTGATGTCGAAAAGCACTGGGGTGTTTGGGACTCAAACAACAACTTGAAGTACAAGATTGACTGTAACTTCAGTTAAATTAACTTCTAATTTATGAAGATTTCGTGGAGCGTTGTGTGATATAGGTTTTGCATATCACTTTTTTCTTACGGTTAATAAAGATTTTATAAAGATTATATAAGAGTGTATAGATAATCATTTTTGTTTATTTTCATTGAATTGTAGCCAAGCAATTGCGTTCCTGATTGTTTGTTTTGTGTTTGTTTTTTGCGTGTGTTGTTTACAGCGTGTGATTGTTTGTTTTCCGCTTACCTGAGCTATCAACTTATTTAATGAGCTAATGTGTATATATATTGCGAACTGAGTTTGCTGCTGCGTTCCTTCGTGTGATTATGGTAATTACCAAGTAAAACGAAACAATAACATTACAATTTTCGTTGGCTACATCAAGAACTATTGTAAAGATTTTGAAACAAATTTCCCAAATTTTTTTCGAATTTGCATCCAAATGAACAAATATCAAAAATCCTTACAGAATTCTATATAATCATGATAAAATACCAATTCTAGTAATATAGATACAATTATCATCCCAGCTAGCCGAGTTCATGAACAAATTCTGTCAGTCCCGTCTAATTTCATAAAAATATCGCACAAACAGAACTCAAATGCGCGGCACAATGGGAATTGACTCGGAAGACCACAAAATTTCACTGAACATCGAAAATGACTTCGTGGCCAAGTTGGTTAAGGCGTGAGACTGTTAATCTCAAGATCGTGAGTTCGACCCTCACCGAGGTCGCTTATTTTTTTTATATTTTCAACTTGTATTCAAACAACTATGTATTGATTATTAATTTAAATTATGTTGTTCGAAAATTGACCAATTTTTTTTTCGTCTAGTTTAAAAAGTTTTTTTTTTCTCTCGTCTGTATTCTTCCCTGCACGTAATATAACTTTAAATTCAAAATATTACATGCAACTGGTAGCACATTAATTACAAGTAACTGCAAACAGGCACTACAGAGTAATATTTATAAATCAAATGCAACATAAATTAATGCTAAACTAAACGAAAAAGTCTAGAAGAAAACTTTACAAAATATCATAACAAGAAATTAAACGGAAATAGTACACCATACCATACTTTTTGTTTTTAAAACATTAACGAAGAAATCAAACCAATAGCACCAAGAATAGAAATCACCTTAAGTGAATTAGAGCTATTAGCGGAGTTGGAAGATTGAGTGGCGACTGGAGTGTCAGTTGGACTTCCATTAGTGGTGGAAATAAAGGTGATGAAATTGGAAGAGTGACCGCCGACTGTGACCACTGATGCTGCTCCGGTTGGAGAAGCCGAAATGTTTGGTGTGAAAGCCACTGGTTTTGAAGATTGAACTGGTGCTTGAACTGATGCTTGAGTTGGGGCTTGGGTTGGAGTTTGGGTTGGAGTAGATGAAGTGGTCAATTCTCCGGTAGTTTGAATAAAGACTAAACTGGATGGAGTTTGTACTGAACTAGACACTGCTGGACTTGGAGCAGATGTGGATGAAGTAGTTGGGTCTGAAGTGGTTGCTTCCGAACTGCTTGAGGCGGAAGAAGTCAATGATGTTGGATGTTGAGGAGCAACAGTTGAAGATGATGGGACTGAAGAAGTGGCAATGGAAGTACTAGATGCTGCTGGAGCAACTGATTTTGCTGAAACACTACCACCATTCTGTAAACTTTGGAAATCGGCTTGGGCTTGTTGGTATCTGCCATTAACTTCACCATTTTCAGCCTTAATAGATTGCCAAGAACCAGAAGTGTCAGAATAAGTATACTTATCACCGCTGGAATAGTCAGTAACGATGATTGACTTGATATGCATTGAGAATGGTGCTTGGGAATAATCAGTAATACCACCGGCCCATTCAATGGTACCTGGTTGATTATCTGGATCACCACCAGCCCAAACACCAGCATATATCTTCATTGGGGATTGTGGATAACCTTGTGGGTTACTAGTATCGATAGTTCTCACAGTGTTACCATCAAGAATCCACGATAAACTGTCTTCGCTCCAGTCAATAGTATAAGTGTGGAAATTTTCCAAGGGACTCGAGGAAGTAGGATGATATCCACCTCTGTCCCAAGTAGCTGTATTACCCTTGATGAAATAATTGGATTGGAATTCGTAAGCATCACCACCAAACAATTCAATATCTATTTCATCTAAATCATCAGATTGTAAATAGAAGGAGGACACAATACCTTTACCTAATGCAGCTTGTAAAACGACTTCAACTTTACCAAACATGATATAGAAGTTTGATTCCAATGTAGGGTTGTCGAATCTGTTATTGATGGTCAATGAGACACCATTGTCTCCGTAATCAACGGAACCTTGCTTGTCCAACTGCACAAAGTGTGGACCTGGCCCACTCTGGAAATCTTCTCGGAATGACGAGCCCAAGGCAGCATCAGCAGGACAGGTACCTTGTAATGGGTCGCATGCAGCATTAACAAATGCAACAAGAGTGGTTGCTATAGTAGCGAGTGTTATATATTTCATGGGATATTATCTATAATAAATACCAAAAGGAAATAACGGGTAGGAAGTTTATCTGGTGATAAAATTGAGAAAAATCATGATCAGGGGTTTGCCTATGGTATTTATAGATTTTCCCCAAATCCGGATCACAAGGGAAATCGAATTTTAGTGATTTTTTTAAAAAAAAGACCTCAATTATTTTTATCACGTCATACCGTAAAATAGGATGTCAGTTTTACCAGCTAAAGCATAAGACTGCTAATAATAGCGTTTAAAGTTTGTTATGTGTATAAAACAACAAAGTCACATTTTTATTTTTAGCAACTCACGCGTGGTGCAAAATCACTTAATTATTATTTTTTTTATTTTTTAATTTAATTTTTACGAGAACATTTTTTGTAGCTTAGACGCACTTACCAACATGGCTGGTCGATCGCACTATCTTGGAAAGACAATCGTTTAGATCGAAATTATGGGTTGAACACCTGAAATTGTCTATAATAAAACCATAATTATTAGATAAGCTCAATTATTTTATGATTTTGACGAGCAAATGCACCAATGAGCATAATATTTGCTAATTATAGTTCTTTTTCAGGTAATAAAATTTAAAGGTTCGTGGTGGCTTTTGTTCTACATTTGTGTCATTCGCAAATTTAATTAAAAAAAAAAACGAGGGTTACCATGTTAACCAGTAGATGGTTTGTATCTTCGTCGGCCTTGACGAGCAATTTTTTTACTAAGTTGCACAGAGAGATAGGCCAGCCTTTGTTTACCAGTTTCCTTCGGTTAGTTAAGTCCACCATGAGTTGGATTTAGTTGGTGCGTGGTCTAAAACAGTTCAGTAGTATCGAAAGGGGGTAAAGAAAATAAAGTAGACAATGCCGGAGTAAATATCGCTCATAAGACTTTGTCCAAGTCTAGTTCCAAGGATATTTTTTAGTATTTTCTCACCTTAGTTGTATGTAGGAATTAGCCTTAATCAGCAACACACTTGCTCTACATACCACAGTGGTACATGAACTATCTCATCGTACAGCATCTTGAAGCAAGCATCAATTGAACAATGAGGCGGTAATCCAGAATTATTTTGTAAAAGATCTAGTTGTGTGTTTCATATTCGTTCTGCAAGTGCATCAAACAAAAAAAAAATACCGCTCGGACAGGTACGTACCCCACTTTATGCATGTAATTTACAACTTTAAGTTATAGTCCAGGATTCCGATTTTCCCATAATTGGCGGGAATTACCACCATCGGCTAGTATTATTTACCTTTGTGACCAATTGGTTGATTTAATCAAGGGGTTTAGATTTAGTCAAGGCACACAACGTGAAACTGCCCAGCCACTGAAGCTTTCTTTCCAGGTATATCAACAAGGTATTTTTCTTTATCTCCGCCAAGCAATGTATTGACAAGTCTACTTAGATTTGCAGAGACTAGAATGGAAATAGAATAACATTCCTAATGTGGTAAAGAATACATCGCAATCTTCACAAATGGAAATGTAAGTTATTTATAGCAATTCACCCATGTAAGATTGCCGGTGAATGTTTTAGACTTTTGTTGCGTGACATGGCAACACCTGTTGTAGTTCTTTTACAACCAGCGTGTTTCACGATGGACGCGCCACTTGTATCTAAACAGGAACACGTTCTTTTTAGACACACAACACCACTACCACCACCCACATTCGGGAATAGTTGATCAGTTCATTAGATCTTCCATTGTTTGCAACCGTCAGTTATTTGGTTCAGGCGCTGTACATATAACCGAAGATCGTCATATAACCGGAAATATTATGACAACAACTACTACTATCTGTTTAGACTAAAGTCTGAAGACGTGTTTCATTATTATGTACAAGAATCCCCTTATTGAATTTACGTGTCCAATCGTTTCTAAACGATGGCCCTAAGAAATAATATATGTATAGAGTGTAAAATAAATAGGTATTGCCACTCTAAAGGATTCAAAAATAAAGACCACACTGAGTACTTCAGAACTGAGATCCCAACTTCTCTTGGCTTAGTATTTCAAGGTATAATTAACCGTTTGGAACACCTCCCGTCAGTTATACTCATGTTTTGCATCCCATGCCAAGAAAGGGTTTTACATATCACACATGTGATTCGAATCACCTGATCAAAATAGAATTTGCCTTTACATTTCAATTTCTTTTTCCGCTTTTTTTTTTATGATAAGCTTGAAGTCACACAACATTAAATACCCCTATCGTACAGCAATCTAGAACCAACACATATTTCGATTATCAGATCAACCGTACACCATCAAGCAACAACAAAATACCCAGCACACCGAATCTAAGCTATTTCTTTTTCAGTGAGGTTTTTTTTTTTGTTTTCATTCATCCCCTCACTTCGCCACAAACAAAGTCGTCAGTAGCACAAACTTCATTGCCATTGTTCTACCGCTACAACAAGATTCTGGTGTAGTACAGACAACTCAGACATACGTATACCTAATTAATTTATCCTATTAACTGACACCAAAAACATTCAGCACATCACAAGCCATGTCTTTGTTACCGCTCATCGCTATAGTAATATCATCCATAGAACCTTCACTTGCCAGTGTGCTTCCGCCGGGGTTCAGATATGAAGTCAAGTATGATGATTATCCTACCCCTCAGATTCCTCGCCCACCGCCCCATTCTAATTCTGATGACGATCTTCACGATTTCATTATCATATCGTTGATTACATTGGGGTCTTTGTTTGTTCTTACTATACTAACAGGGGTTATATTATGGTTAGTCAGAAGGAGGATTAGACTAAGCGAGGACGAACTTATCAGAGAAGAAGAAAACCAAGCATATTTGGAGTTAAATAGTGACGAACAAGAACTCTACTTTCAATCCAAAGAGTTTTTGAACAGTAACCCATATATAGTTGGGGAGATGACTATGAGTCAAAAGCTAACCATTCAAGAAAAGGGAATAACCGCTTATGAATTCCAGAAGGACTCCATGTTGACAAATAACGATTTGATGATTATTAATCGATTCGAGTTGAACTTTTTCAAGAATTTTGAATGCTCCACCCAAACTAACTTACCGGTACCGATGAAAAACGAAGTTTATTACTTTGAATCAAAAATTTATTCATTACCCCACCCTGAAGATACGTTAATTTCTATCGGATTAAGTATTAAACCATACCCTTGGTTCAGATTACCAGGACGACATGCCCATTCTATATGCTATGACTCCGATGGTTATAGAAGATATAACCAACCATTTAAGTTCACCAATGATCCGCCATTCCCTAAATTAGCCCAAGGAGATGTAGTTGGAGTCGGTTATAAAACCAGATCAGGAACTGTGTTCTTCACCCGTAACGGAAAGAAGGTTAGCGAATCGAGAATAGGCGGTCATGTTAAAAACTTCAAGATTGCCAATTTCGGTCAACTTTTCCCAACTGTGGGAGCCAATAATTTATGTTCGATCCACGTTAATTTGGGCCAGCGTGGATTTGTATTTATAGAGGGGAATGTTAAATCTTGGGGGTATGCTCCTATAGAAGGTAACGGACCAGCACCACCTGCATACCGCAAGTTTAACTCTGACATTTTATTAGAGAGATCAGAAGTGGATGACGACAATAACGATCTCAGTGAACGCGAGGATGACTTCCCACCTGATTTCTGGGAAGTGCATGGTGATCCAGACAGGATGGAGTCGTCATCTCCTCCACTTATTGATCAAGATAAGTTTAGCTACAATGCCTATAGCGATGTTGAATCGAATGCGGAAAGGATAACTTTGAACAGTTTAGTACCGCCAAATACACCGCCTGCCTATAATGAAGAGCTCAGTATAGGTTCATCTCAAGAGGTTATTACTGAGCAAGAAGATGAAGTAGAAACCAATGCAAGTGCGCAACTGGCAACAGAGCTGGAAGAATCGGAAATTCCAGATGACCATAGTGATTCTCGTTTATATGAAGAAGAAACTGAGGATATGGAAATGGAATTTACTCCTGAAGTGGAGACAACAGCTGCAGGTGAATGTCAAGATGAAACTCGCGAGGATATTGAAGAACAACAGTAGCTATACATAGGCAATTTTTTAATGAATAATTACGATAGGATTTCTTAGCTTTTGATACACATTTAATTTAGTTAGTTTCGCGGTGTAGTTTTATCAAAATTGGTTTCTAGAGATACCTATAGGACCGAAAGATCACAAACCAATAAATCTCTCGGATAACTGCCGGGATCACAACTATATTAGTTACTCCACTTCCTACTAACAAAGAGGCTTGCAGGTAAAGAGAGTACTCAAAACTTGTGCCAAACACGACTCCCCTCAAGGCATTCCATGCCGTTGCCCGACATGAAATTCTGAAATGGAAATGTTAAGCGAAGTTTATGTGTAAAATCGTGTGTTTGTGCCTTAAAACCCCAAACCTCTATGCATGCAAGGTAAACCCCACAAAGAACGTTTGTCTCCGCTCGGAGAAGTTGTTGGGTCTTCGACAGGAACAAGTAATACTTTCCTTGCTTGATTGTTTCCCAATTATAATCAAGCTTGAAAAGTTGGGATATTTTTAGTTTTGAATTAGAGGAACCGTTTAATCCCGAGTCTATCCGTTCTCGTGAGGGGTTGCAAGTAACAAGCTCTCTTTGTAACTGCTTTCGCTTTTCGTGGTAGACATTTCTTTTTCTGAGTACACACCTAACAGTGTAACATTTGTCGATTTGATGTGGAATGTGTTACATTTGCCGAGAACCATTGTCATTTTCTGGGGAGCATAGTCTCAATGTGGGGGATACTTTTGGAAGTTTGAGAAATTCCCGGCAGGGCCAAGCGTGAAAAATTTGAACAATTGTGGTTGCTTTTATATTTTTTTTTAGAAAATGCCGTTCCCCAACATCCCACCCCCACACTTTTCAATTCGCCGTACAGTAAACAGGGTAGGACGAGCCCCATATAAATACCAGTCCTTATCAAACCAATGAAAATGAGTTTTTCAAATTTGGTAAACCAGTGAAGGGAAAATATTAAAGATGATTCAAAAATTTACTTGCGTTCCTAGATCAGACTATGACGTAGTCATTGTGTCTAACGGCACTGTAGCCCAGATCTCCGCCAAGGTTTCCCAGATTAATGGCCAGCTTTCCCAAAATGAAATCCCCACCAATTCCCATATCACGTATTTGGATAGCTTCAAACTGTTGATTGCTCATTTACATACCCACACTGCTGACCAGCGGTTTAAGGGCAAGGTCATCTTTATGTTTTTCAATGGCTTGGAATTCATCCAGGAAGTTATTGGCGATTTGATTGACCATTATAGCAGATTTATGCTTATGTCATACAGTAGCAAGAACCAGAAGATTGAAAAGTTGGATAATGTTTACTTCTACTTTGATTCTTCAATATCCGAGGCTCCTACTGAACCTTCAGATCCTTATGATATGTTTATGTATAATAATCATCTGTATGAATATCATTTCAATACCGTGGCTATCATAGCCAATGACATAATCAAAAAGATGAACTTTATGATTGGAAGAATAAGGGGAGTATACATTGATGATGTGAATTTACATGGAGAAAGGATGATTCCGCTTCAACATATCCATAGAAATTTTCCCAAAGTTGAAAGGATTGATTTGAGTAGTTATCACATGATGAATGATATGATTGTTTAAACAAGAAAACTAGATATTTTTTTAATAGAGTACGTATATTAATGATGTAATATGAACCAACTGCAAATTGTAATTGTAAAGCAATTCAAGTGACTGCAAAAAAAAAAAATAATAGAATTCCGCACTGATGATGATCTTCCCCAGCGGTTGTCCCAAACAGGAAATCCAATGCGCCAATCTTATCTAGAAGATTAAGAAATCCGACCTCCAAACTTTTCACTCTTTCTTACACCTTTTCTTAACATGCTCCTTTTATTCGTTCTTTTACTAGGTCTAGGCTTAGGTTTCTACTGGTACAAACATCCAAAAAACAAGATTCAGGCTGTACCCCACAATTTCCAATGGCACACTGAAAAACCACTACCGATTAGACCATTTGTCAACAAGCGCAACTTCAACCCCTCGATTGGGATCAAAAACATCCTGGACCAGCCTGAAAACTGGCTCTTGATAGAGAACACATACTTGTCAAATATAACCATCAGACGGAAACATCTTGAGGCAAACCCACATCAGACGATGCAAATACCCGACAATGAACGAACCGTGGCTGCACTTTGCGAGTTTTATAACCTTGTAACCGGGTTCCTAACCGCTAGATACCCCAAATTGTTTCTTCATGGTTGGACAGGGAAGCTTCACAATGAAATCACCAATGATGACATCCCCTTCAAGGCAGATCCAAGCAACCCCAGAGAGATGTGTAATGCTCTTGGACGTACCATTGAAGAGGACTTTCTAATTTTGATGAAGGATAATCCAGATAACAAAGAGGAGGAATACATACTTCGTGCGGCAGTCAATGCATTTCCAGCTGGATTTGATCCGAGTAAATCATACAATAAACCAATCTCCGCCATCCATGGACCAGTTCCACAATATGCATCCCGTCTTGCGTTTTCCATGCACAAGTTCTTCAACAATTTGAAACAGGGGGATATCTGGGTGCGACACAACTGGAGTATTCAAACCCATAACCAGCATTTCAATCTTGATAGTAATCATGGTCGACCTGGGCAAGAGGTAAAGAAAATTGGTTTTGACGAGATCGATTTTGAACAAGGGTGTTTTCTTCGAGTGGAAAGACAGGCATTTTTGAGATTACCTAACCTGGGAGCAATCGTCATGACTGTCCGCACATATCTCACACCCATGCCCCAGATAAAGAAAGAAGGGTTGGGACCCGAGTTATGCAGGGCTATCGACAGTCTACCTGAAGATTTGGCATATTACAAAAAGCGCGATGCTTGGGGCGAGGCAGTAAAGCAGTATCTAATGAAATAGTTATACAAATATGTATTTATCTAGATGATAGAGAGATTTTTTTTTTTTAAATTCACTCGTTTAATTTAACGTAGTTTGAAGGGAACAATCCAACAGCACCAGTAGCCTTATGCTTACCACTCCACCAGTCTTCGTCAACAAACTCAATATCGATAATCAAATCACCTTCTTCAAAACTAATTTCATTGTCTTCGTCCTTTTCGTAGTCGTATTCTGCAGTAGCAGACTTGCTAGGAGCAGATGGTGCCACTGGTTCAGCCACTGGTTCTGGTTCCTTCACTTCAGGTTCAGCCTTGGATGGTTCAGAGTCTTCATTCAACTTGACATATGCAGCAGGGAATAAACCAACTTCACCCTTGGCGTTACGACCAGACCACCATTCTTCATCGGTGAAGTCTATATCGACAATGAGTTCACCTTCAGCGAAACCAATTTCGTTATCTTCATCCTTTTCATAGTCGTATTCAGCAGTAGCAGTAGGTTTGGATTGAGCACGGGATGGTAAGACAGGGGTAGGTTCTTCCTTAGTACGAGATGGTAAAGAAGGAGCTGGTTCCTCTTCTTCTTCTTCTTCTTCTTGTTCTTCTGCACGAGATGGCAAGGAAGGAACTGGTTCTGGTTGGGTGCGAGATGGTAAAGAAGGAGTAGGTTCTTCTTCTTCCTCTTCTTCTTCTTCTGGTTCAGGAACTGCTTCCGGTTCTGGTTCAGGGATGGCACGTCTTGGTTCAGGCACAGGTTCTTCTTCGATGACAGCCTTCTTTTCAAATTGTTCAACTAAATCATGAGTATGTTCATGGACAGGTTCAGAAGCTTGGTTAGATTCACTACCTTCTTCAGTAGCAACAGTCTTGTATTGTCCTCTCTTTTCAGCCCAGATTTGAGCTGGGGTCTTACCATCTTGAGCGGCAAAGTTACGGGATAATCCTCCAACAACTTTATCCTTTCTATCATCACCACCGAAAACATGAGGCTTAGCACCAAAAGAAGCAGTGACAGTACTAGCTTCACCACTGGCAGCAGCCTTGTATCTTTCGGCTACAGAATGGCCAACCTTTGGCTTTGGTAAACTGGTTAATCTTCCATCATCGGATAACCCAGTAGGCTTAGGGGTAGAACTGATGGTGTCTGACTTATTCTTACGCAATTCTTCAATGTTCACTTTAGTAGGCTTATAAGCAGAAGGAAGGTCTTTCAATGGCTTTTCTGAGAAATCACGGACCTCAACATCCTTGGCATCACCCCAACCATCATCTAACTTTGGTTTTGGCTTGACTGGAGCAACTGGCTTACCAGTAGACTTTGGGACATAGCTTGGTTTAGCAGCCTTAACTGGTGGCTTGGAAACAATTGGCTTGGCAACAACTGGCTTTGGAGCTGGGGCTGACTTCTTAGCAGTGACGGTTCCAGGAGTTACAGAGTATCTGGCACCGGCAGCAGCACCAACTCTTTCCAAGAATTCATTTTCATCCAAGTCATCAGCGTCACGGGCAGTGATTTGAACATGACCAATTAAGACCTTACCAACTTCAGCGAAATTACTAGCAAAACTTAATCTTCCCTTGGCTGGAGCACTGTCTGGACACCAACCGACAAGAATGTTCTTGGACACATCAGAACCAGGAACAGTGACTCTAGCAACACCAAATTGAATTTGTCCATCGGTGAAATGTTCAAAGAATTCAGTGAGTGGGCCGTTTCCAGTTTCGAGTACGGATAACGTGGGGGCAGGATGCACCGAATAAACGACGTAGGAGATGGATGGATCGTCTCCTCTTACGACTGTGTCGTAAGCAGCTTGGATCGCACGGGCGTTGGTGGATAAGTCAATTTTTTCCATTTCAATTGGTGTGAGTAGCCTTCAATTGATAGATGTGATAGAGGCGAAGTGGGTGAAGAATTTCAGGGTTAACTTTGAAATCAATCTGAACACGCGCGGGCAAAAGCGTTACTAGCCGAAACATCCATACTTACACTTTGTACATTTATATTACATAAGATCTATAGGACCTGGGAATAGGGGTTGGTAAACGAATACATTAAACATACTTACTTCTTTTAATCAAAGTAAACTGGAATGGCAATGTGAATTATTTTAACCTACTGGAATGTAGCAATTGAAAATAATATATATAAAAAAAAACTTGTAGGGCAAATCTTTCTTTGTTGCAGCACCAGACAGCATCTGAGGAACTGCAATTCTGTTACCTATTGTGCCATCCCAATCAATTCACAGTCGCTAATTATACTCTATACCTTCAACTAAGTTGCAGACTTTCCCCCGAATTGATTCTCTAGCTAACGGGACACGCTCACGCCGACGTACTTACCAAGGCATAGACCAAACACCACATCATAACGAATCCAGGCATGTTGCCAACAATCCCACTAACAAAAACCTCTTGAATCGGCAGCTTAAAGTACTTGTCTATCTTTCCCTCACCGCATATGACATAAAATAACCCATTGGCCAATGTGAGTCCAATTACATACAACAAGAAACCATGAATTGATTCCAATGTGAGTATTCCTGATGCTATTCCTAAAACTAACGATGTTATATCCTGAACATGTTGTAGTTTATCCTTATTGGACTTGATGTTGGCGTTAGAGTATGCTTCGTCTGTGTTCATTGTGTGTTGTCTGCCTACCACTTTGATGATGGTTGTCAAAATCTTTTGGCTGCTGTTTTTATATACACTTTTTTTTTTTTTTTTTTCACTGGAGTCAAACTATTTATCAACAATTTGCCATCAGTCAACAACATACATGGACGACAACATATCTACCTTGAAGAGGTTTCTTCTCCATCTTCCCTCGGAGTCGTCCTTTAAATTCACAAACGACGTTCGTACAGATATAAGACGCGCCCTCTATCGTGCCATTTCCAACCAGGGGCAATTTCTTGATTGGTTCTTTCCTGGTAGTTCCCAAGATAATATAGAAGAATGCCAATGGCTCTACACCGAATACCTTAAAAGCCGCCAATTGAAAGACGACAAGAATACAAATGCCAATGCACTTGCTCTGCATCCTAATCTGCCATGTGCACGTATTTTCCGTAAAGGTGAACCCATCTACCGATGTCTCACTTGTGGGTTTGATGAGACTTGTGCCTTTTGTCATAATTGTTTCCAACCGGATTTCCATGCCAATCATAAAGTTCATATAACCATTTGTTTACGTGAGAATGGTGGTGTTTGTGATTGTGGTGACCCTGAAGCTTGGATTGAAGAGTTTACATGTCCTTATGCCAGTTCATCTGATAACTCCAATTGTTTGGCTAATGAACCCCCTTCCGAATTAGCAGGTGCTGTTTTAGGAACATTTGAAACTTTATTGGACTTTATTATCGATGTGATGAGTCAATGCTATCTACAATTTGAAGATATCGAATCAATTACCAAGGATAAGATAGAATTGAATACCATAAACAGCACATTTGACCCACGGAAATATGCAAGCGCCGATGACAATTTTCAAGATGTGAACAACGACCAGTACTATATCCAAGTATACAACGATCAAATCCGACATTATCGTGACGCAGTGCAACGAATCCATTTAGCAAGTCAAAAAGTGAAACCATTTGCCGAGATGATAACCGATCAAATTCACAAGCAGGGCCGGGCCAAAGTCATAAGTTCCAAAAATCTACAGCTCTTGTTGGAAAGACAGAAAATCCTTAGTGCTACTGGATTGTCAAGTTGTATAAGATCACACAGGGATATATTTAGAGAACAGGTTTGTGATGAAATTGTCAAATGGTTGGGTGATTTGAGCGAAAGTCAAGTATTTAAGATCAACGCTGACATTAAGGATTTGTTTTGTCGAGCGTTTTGTGACAAGTGGGAAAGTGGACTACTTATACCCTCATTTGATCCAGCATATTCCTATAAAGTTGGTACCCTTGATGGAAGTTTACGTATTCCTAAAATTGATCTGAAAGCCCCTACCAGTTCAGTTTATCCACAATGGGCATTCACGTCATCTAAATGGGATCTTCCGGATGAAATAAATAATCAATGTTCGTACAACAAAGATCTAGGTGATTTCACAGCTGCAGCTCATCATGGTTCACGACTCCAATACCTTTTCTATCTTGACATAAGGTTTTCCAAATCAACCAGAGTTCTCCTTCATGATATTTACTCCACATCACTAATCACAAACTTACACTATAAAAACATAATTTCAGCACAATACGTCGATATATATCCCATGGTTGCTGACCAATTCCTCACCCTTGACCGTGAACCTGAACTTAGTGTTATGTGTACATTATCTACCCAATTATTCACATGCCCAACCAATTCCACCTCAATAATTCATCATGGTGATATTGCCCGCGTTCTTGCTTCCATCTATGGTTTTTTAACCACCGAAAAAGTACAATCTCCCGAAACATTAGACTTGACTACGGAAATATCAATCAAATCACTCAAAAACAGACGATGGGGTCAAATTTTCTTTGATATAAGCTACATACTTAGTAGATCACGCGACCCCAAATCAATATTAAATTCAAACATCATCCCAATGGCATGTGATCTATTGGCTTTATTACAAGGGAAACCAGGCTTGAAACGAGAAACCGAGAATCATGTTGAATACGAGAGTCCCGATTACACGGCATTTTTCCATGGGATACCCGTGATTTACCAATTTGCAGAATTTATAGCGAGATCTTTAAATGGAGTCGAGAATGAACGGAAGGAATGGGGAAGAAGAGCTATCAAATATGTTATGAATTACTTGCAAAAGATGCATCAGGAAAGACATAAAGGTGAAGTTAGTTTTCTTCACCCATTACATTCATTTCTTTCTTGGTTAATTGAACTTTCTCAAATTGAACCAGCAGCATTAGCGAAAATACTACAAGAATATCAGATTGACAATATCTTCACATATCCAATAACTACGCTTGTACTTATGTCACAGATCAAAACTGGGTACTGGGTAAGAAATGGATTCACTGTGCGTGCCCAACTTCAACTCTATCGTACAACTGGATTGCGTGAGTCAGGATATCTTCGTGACTTGTACCTTACGCAAATATACATCTCCAGCACCGATCCCGAACCAACAACCATGAATATTCTTTCCCAATGGCAGCTCAACGACTGGAAAACCTACGACAACAATACACTTCCATATATGATTGAAGAGTGCCTTACGTTCTTTATCCATGTCCTCACGGAAGACCTCAATCTTTCCCAACTCTCCGAAGAAGCACTCCTTCAAAAGAGAATAGAACGGGAAATAATCCACACGTTGTGTTTTGGAGGTATGAACTATGCCAAGTTGTGCAGTCACATTCCTGATCATATCGTGGCGGAAAAACGATTCGACATTATCCTTACCCAGTTGACTGTATTTAAACCACCCAAGGGCGAAAATGATGTCGGAGTTTACTATCTTAAGGATGAGTATTTGGATTGTGTCAATCCGTACTATTTTAACTATACTACCAACATCAAGGACGATGCAATCAAATTTATCAAGGAAAGAGTGCACCAAAAGACCGGGAAGCTGATTGGTGAAGTAGTGGTTCCGGCGTATGCCAGTAAGGTCAAGGACTACAAGATTGGTAACTTTAGTGTGTCATTATGTTTTGCTAGGTTTTTGAAGAAAGTACTTGAGTTTGTGGACGAGAATAGAGAAAGCTTACTCGAGACATGTTTACATTTGATCCATATCTTGGCATTGGAGAATAACGTCGACGAAGGAAAGTTTTATGAAAGATTTGTTGAAGTTGAAGATCATGGTTCTATTGCCAGTTTGATTTATGAATTGTTGTCTAAGGAGGAATTTTCGTGTCAACATGCAAAGATTAGAGCCATTCTTAAGGTTTTCGCAGATAGACACGATTTACCCCATGAGCTCAATGGACAAATCCCACAATTTGATACCAGTGCAATTGATTCCGATTACGTGGACAACTCTGAGGATGAATTTGAAAAGAAAAAGAGAATCGCCAAGGATAGACAAGCCCGTCTCCTTGCCAAGTTCAAGAAACAGCAATCTTCATTCTTGAAGAATAACCAAATGGATACCAGTGATGCAGAAATGGAAGATGAAGAACTCCAACATGGATGGAAATTCCCGGAACCTCATTGTTTATTGTGTCAAAATGCTGCTGAAAATGCTGGTCCATTCGGTTTGATTACTTATGTTGCAAAAAGTTCAGAGTTTAGGAATGTTCCGTTTGACGATGAGTATTGGTTTCTTAGACTGTTTTCTGATGGTGTTGATTTGGATGCAGATGAGGAAAACCCTACTACGCTGTCACACAATCAAGCCAAAACAGCAAGATGGGAAGAATATATGCGTGCAGTTAAGGAAAAGTTTGTAATTGGTCCTGGATTTACTTCGCATGATGATGTCGATAGTAAGTTGGTTTCGCTGAGTTGTGGTCATGGAATGCATTTCCAATGTTATATTAATTTTCTCAATACCAACCGTAGTCGTATGAGTCAAATTACCCGGAATACTCCAGAGAATATTGATCATAAGGAGTTTGTGTGCCCTTTATGCAAGGCGATTAACAATATGTTTATTCCGATTTTGTGGACAACCAACCAGAGAAGTTTACTGAAATTTTTAACTCCATTGCCCGATTCATCAAGAAACCCCTTTCACAATTTGTCCATAGAGCGTGTTCATGATAAAGAATGGTATGATAAGTTCACAAAGTTATCAGATGCTGATATTGACGCAATCTCAATCTTGAACCCTATCTCAAGGGAAATTATATGTCTGGGTCCAACGGCACAATTCACACCTCAACAACATCAGTTTAGACAACTTTTAAGTAATATGTTCCAGATTCTACTGTTCCTTACCTTTCCCCAGGTATTCAAGGCTGACTCGATATTTGTGCTCGTGAATACCATCAAATCTATTGAAATCTGCCATAGAGGAATTTCTTCAGACGGGAGACTCATAATTTCCCAACTTTCAAACAATTGTCTTATCAATCTCCGCACCTTCAATGAGTTTAGAAATACTAGTGTATTAATGAAAATCAAAAATTGGATACATACACCTAATCCAAGAGGGGATGCATATGCGAAAATGTTGGCTAATATATTTGCATTATCCAAGGGAAATGGTGCAATTAATTCCTCGATCGTTGAAGCAGACATGTTTGAATGTTTGGTGAATATTATTCCATTGCCATCGTTTGGACTTTCATTCCATGCTATTTTGGAAGTTACATTTGTTGCTCATTTGATCCAGACCTTGAACATATTGGCCAAGGAATTGTCCAGCAAGAAAAACTGGAAGTATGACATGTGGGATATACCTATTGTGGCCGACATTACAACCACCATTGCCGAGTCTGCTCATTTGTGTTTTGTTCGATTGGCAACTAACGAAAATATCAAGACATTGAGTGAAGCCGAGAAAGTAGGACGGGTGATTTACTCAATGACTGTCAAAGCCGCCACTCCATTCTTGAGAAGAGCTGCCATTTACGCATACGTTCAATGTGCAGACATTGATGACATTGATTTCTCACTTTATCCAGAGACTGAAATTGAAGCAAACAGATTATGTTCATTCATGAACATCAAACCTATTTCTGAATACTTGGAAATATTTGCTTCAAACACTGCCAGTTTTGAATCACGCATGTTCGACGATTTTGTCAATTATGTCCATTTATCTTCGAAATCACTCACCATTTCTCCACTTGCTCGTAAACTTGAATATCCTGGATTAGTAAAGCTCGTTGAACTTCCTGACAGACTTGACCGATTCTTTACCGATTACTACTATCTGGACGCATATGCTCAACCGCATCTTCGGATCGAGGACCCTGCTATTTGTTTATTCTGTGCTTCTGTGGTTGATGCCCAGAAACAAGCTCGCGGAGCTCGAGAAGGTCAGTGTACAACACATTATCTCAAAGAATGTCCTCATGATGTCGGTGTGTTTTTGTTACCTAAAGATCGAACTTTGTTGTTGCTTCATAAGAATGGCGGTAGTTTCTACAAAGCCCCATATTTGGATGAACATGGTGAAATTGCTGATGATCTGAGACGGGGTAAGACTATGTACTTGATGAAAACGAGGTATGATGCGTTTATAAGGAGTGTTTGGTTGCTGCATAATGTTCCCAATTATATCGTTAGGAATTTGGAAAGCGTGTTGGATCCCGGTGGTTGGGAAACGTTATAGGTGTAATATATGTAATTTTTTACTAATAATATATTCGTTATACATTGTATCAAAATGTAACACTCTACAGTTATAATTGACACCGCACTATATCTTTGAGATTTCCAATATACCCAGTATTAGGTACAAATAACATTGATAATTCATTTAATAAACTCAATCTATAAACACTCATAAATTCATTTACAACCCAGTCCAGGTAACATTTTTGGTAGTAGCAAATTGGCCAGTAAGCAAAATGTTGTCGGAACTGTTACCTACCAAGACCTTATAAGTATCCTTATCAGATTGCCATTGATTGACAAAACTGTTCCAGTAGGAAGTAGCTTCCTTGACGCTTAATTCCAATTCCACAGTCTTGGTTTCACCTGGGTTTAAGAACACCTTGGCGAAATCCTTCAATTCCTTGACTGGTCTGTTGATACTTGGATTAGCTTGCTCAATGTACAATTGTACAGTTTCAGCACCAGCAACCTTACCAGTATTAGTAACGTCAACCTTAACCACCAACGATTCGCCATCAGCATTAACTTTCAAATGTTGGAAATCAAAAGAAGTATAAGATAAACCATAACCAAATGGATATAAAACGTCACGACCGACTTTTTCGTAGTATCTGTATCCAACAAATACATCTTCACCGTACCATACTTGACCCTTATTAGAACCAAAGTTGATGTAAGATGGATTATCTTCTAATCTCTTTGGGAAAGAGACGGATAATTTACCTGATGGGTTGTGATCACCGAATAAAACATCAGCAATGGTGTTACCCAATTCATTACCACCATACCATGCATGAACTAAAGCCTTGGTCTTGTCAGCCCATGGCAAAGTGACTGGAGAACCGGATTGGTTAACAACAATAATATTTGGATTAACTTCAGCCACAGCTTCAACCAACTTATTAGTATAACCTGGAATATCCATATCCTTACGGTCAAAACCTTCAGATTCCCATTCCTTAGATAAACCAACAACCAATACAACCTTGTCAGCGGATTTAGCAACCTTGACTGCCTTGGCAATTTCATCTTCTGGAGAAGATTTGATTTGAACACCAAAGTAAACACCACCTTGTTCTTGAGCACCATCTTCAAGAGTGTAAGTTGGCGAAGTAGCGAATTCAACCTTGACGTGGTACTTTCTTCCCTTTTCGAGGAAAACAGAACCTCTTTCTTCTCTGGTACCCATACCCAAGAAGAATGCATCACCCTTGACTTGTTTGGTCTTGTTATCAACGACTAATTTACCGTCAACGAAAATTTGAGCAGTACCGAAAACAGAACATCCAAATGTATATTCGGAAGTTTCATCAGGGGTGAAATAACCGGTGAAATCGACATAGTATAACAATTGGTCAATTGGCAAGTTTGGACTCTTAAAGTCACTAAGGAAAAGCCTGGTTGTGTTCAATGAAAGATCTTCAAATGGTTTACGATCTGCAGTACCTGGAGCTTCATGGTAAAATCTAGCGGTAATAAGACCCTTTTCACCTTTTTCATTTTCCAATACGGAAACACTATCAGGGACATTTTTGTCTAAGAAAGCACCAAGAGCGTATTGCAAATCAATTGTGTTACCACCTTCCTTGACTTTAGCTTCTATACCACCATATGGAGTGGTCTTGTAAGTGGCGGTTAAAGAAGCAGAACCACCACCAGAATCTTGAGAAGCCTTGGCATTTGGGCCAATAACAGCAATGGTTTCTTTAGCAGTCTTGGATAATGGTAAAATACCCTCTTCATTCTTTAACAAGACAATAGATTCATCACCTACTTTTCTCAAGAGAGCACTGGCTTCAGGGGAGTAGTTGGCAGATTCAACCACGTCTGCAGGAATACCAGCCTTCAAACCTTGGTTGATCAATTTCAAAACTTGTCTCACATTATCGTCAATGACCTTTGGATGGATCAAGTTAGCTTGGACAGCATGTACAGTTTGAAGAAGCTGTCTGAATCTGGTTGGACCGGGCATTTCCAAGTTCAAACCAGCATCAAGTGGTTCCTTGGTTGAGTAAGTACCATACCAATCGGACATGGTACAACCATCCCATTTCCATTCATCTCTCAAGATTCCTTGTAAGATTTCCTTAGATTCAGAAACATGAACACCGTTGATTTTGTTGTAAGCAGTCATGATTGCACCTGGGTTGGCATCTCTAAGGGCAATTTGGAATGGTTTCAAGTAGATTTCCCTGAATGATCTATCTGTCAAAAGAGTATCGACAGAACGTCTGTCTTCTTCTTGATCATTACAAACAAAGTGCTTTAAACAGGCAACAACCTTTTCATTTTGGATACCCTTGATAATTGAAGCGGCAGCATGACCAGAAAGCAAAGGATCTTCGGAATAACTTTCAAATGATCTACCTCCCAATGGAGAACGAACAATGTTGGAAGTTGGACCTAAGATGACATGGGCACCTTTCAATTTGGCTTCCTTACCCATCAATTCCCCAGCTTCAACCAATGAATCCTTGTTGAAAGTGGCAGCTAACCCGGTACCACATGGGAAACAGTTTGAAGGAATACTGTTGAAGAACTTAGTTCCTCTAATACCATTGGGACCATCGGAAACTCGGATGGATGGAATATCTAATCTTTCAATTGGAACAGTGTGCCAAAAATCACGACCAGCCAACAATGAGATCTTTTCTTCAAGAGTCAATTCCTCGAGTAATTGGTCAATGTCTAACTGCTGGATCTTGGTAGAAGATTCAGAAGATAATTTGACATCCTTATCTGGGAGTTGCATGATTGAATTTGTATTTAATTTGGTTGATTGTGACATTTGAGAAATTTGACACTTGTAGGGGAATCCATTGAACTTATATATTAATTCATTTGACTAAACCATTATAGGAGACAATTGGGGGAGGAATATTCGGTACAAATTTTTTTTGAAAAATCTCCAGTTTACACGTTGGAAGGGAACGATTCTATTTTAGGAAATATACACAGGGAACCACTTCCTAAAATGGAATGATCTAAAAAACAGTTCCCATTGAACAAAGATGTGGGGAACGAACTACTGCAACAATGAACAGTCAATAAGTACATGTTTGCCGAATTTATTGCCTGATTCTGGAGGTGCAGGTAGGTTTGTGAGTAATTGGAGCAACTTATTTCCACTGCACCATTGACTGGTTATTTGTTAAAGAACGTAGGAGAAGAGCAGACTGAAACACAAAGAGCATTAACCTTTGCCGTTTCTTTTTGGTGTAAATTGTTAGGGTTTATCAAGCTCAGCCACAGATAGAAATAATTTTCTACGGATATAACAAATCATGCCCGATGTTCGGCTCTAAAATGCTACATTTCTAAACAAAAGCAAAAGAAAGCAACGTTGTTTTGCTGTGGCCCACATTGTGAATTGTTTTGAAAATAATCAACTTGTGATAAATATATTGTTCAACATTTTACAACTAACCAGGAATGATTGCAAGAGAAATGTGTACATGATGATCACTGATTTGGAAATTTTGACATAATTAAGCAAACTTCTAGACAAGTACCGTATTTCATAATAATAATAATATTCATTAATGAAACCGATTAATATATTCACGTTAAACAGAAAATCAATTACACATTTCGACGACAAATTCAGCTAAGATCATAATATCGAAGAAATTATAATAAACAACACCAATTTGTTCCTCCATATCATGATTATGCCATGTTAGTGGGATTTTCTGTAAACCCAATTGTTATGTTATTTTGGTACAAATAAAGGTGAGTTGATTTGTTTGTCTGTGTCAATTTTTTTTGCAATCTGTCAATCTGTTCCCTCTAGTAAATTTAGTAGAAATTTGATGGCGTATATAATCGTTCCGTAGTTCGGTGCTCCACCTTTGCAGGTACTTGTTAGGAAATAAGAGACTTGGAGTTCGTATTAAATTGAACTGATGATGTCTAAATATACACCTGTATATTATTCCCTAGTGTATACTAGGGATATAACTCTGAAATGTCTTTTTTTTTTTAAGACAACTGTCTAAATGTTAAATTGAAATGCAGAGTGTAAAAAATAGTTTGTTGAAAATTTGGCATGATAGTCCATTCGGGTACTCACCACTTAGGATTATAGGTTTCAACTAAGTTTGATTTGGGAAATTCTTTTACTTTTAGTTCTGGGATAGATCTCGAAACATAAGTATTTTTAGAAATAGCTTTAAGCTCTACCAGTTTTTTTTTCTGATGTCTGTCAAACATAAAGAGAAAGGTCACAATAAAACAATAAAAAAACCCAGATTTTATTATCACGAAACAAAAGATAATAGAAGAATAGAGGAATGCTAAATAAGTATAGACTTACAATAATGCAATAAGACCGAAAAACATCATAACACTATAAGAAACCAAGGAAGCACCATTAGGCTCTTTAATATCGGTAACGGTTACAGAACCATGTTTTTGACTTGGCTGTTGACTAGGATTTTGCATTGATTGTGAAATAGAAATAGTTACTGTAGAACTATGTTGTTGACTTGACCGTTGACTAGGCTTTTGCATTGATTGTGAACTAGAAACTTGACCATGTTGCGAACGAGTAGGAGAATAAATCACAACTACTTCACCATTTGCTTTGGTACTTGTTGAATACTTTGTACTAAGGCTTTTAGACTTTGAAGATGTGGGGATATAATATGTTTTGGTACTGGTGACGGTGACCTCCTTTCTTGTGCAAGTTGATGACTCACAATTAGTAGTGAAAATAGTACTAATGACAGTCTTAATTATGGTACTTCCTTGTGTCAAAGAAGTGTGAGTCGTTACTGAAGAACTGGTTGTTGTGGTGGTTATAGTGGTTTTGCTTTCTATGCTGGTCCAAGTATCTGAGGTTACTGTTGTTGTGTTTGAAAAAGTTTTAGTTGATTCCAATTCAGTTGAAGTTGATTTGTCACCTTCATTTGTGGAATCATAATCAGTTGAATAGGTATCGTAGTCGGTTGAATAGGTATCGTAGTTGGTTGAATAGGTATAGTAGTCAGTTGAATAGGTATCGTAGTCGGTTGAATATGTATCATAATCAGTTGAAGAAACATTATCAGTTGTGAAAGAATTATCACTTGCAGAGGCATCCTTGGAGGAAGAGACATCATCGGAGGAAGACACATCATCACTTGCAGAAGAATAATCTGAAGAAGCAGCATCAGTTGCAGAAGAATCAACACTTGCAGAAGAATCAACACTTGCAGAAGAATCATCAGTTGTGAAAGCATCATCACTTGTACAAATATCATCACTCGTAGAGGCATCATCACTTGCAGAGGCATCATCGGAGGAAGACATGTCATCGGTTGTGAAAGCATCATCGGAGGAAGACATGTCATCGGTTGTGAAAGCATCATCAGAGGAAGACATGTCATCGGTTGTGAAAGCATCATCGGAGGAAGACATGTCATCGGTCGTGAAAGCATCATCAGAGGAAGACATGTCATCGGTTGTGAAAGCATCATCGGAGGAAGACATGTCATCGGTCGTGAAAGCATCATCAGAGGAAGACATGTCATCAACCGTAGAGCTTTCCTCTTTAGCACTTTCAAGTACAACAATAGGGAGATGTCCTACCGGCAGATTAGATGAATCATATGGGCAGACATGTTTAAAAATATATGCTTCTTCATTTCCCTGTGGTTTACGTCCTCTCACAATAAGATTAAATGGAGAAGAACAAATTCCCTGCTCACATGGTACTCCAGTCATGACCCAAGTGGCAGTGTAAACCATTTTATCAAGGAATATGTGACTAGTTTCCGGACGAGGAGTAGAAACTCCTATAGTTCCATGGGATTTGTAAACAAGATCAACTGTATTTAAAATGAACCAGTCATAAATTTGAATCTCTAATTCTACAGAAACAACATAGTCATTTGAATCCTTTATCTTTTTAGCAGATCTGAATCTAAACTGGCTTAGGCTTATCGGTGTGTTAACGGGTAACATAGGATTGACACGATCACAAATTTCCTCTCCTAATTCGATAACAGTTGTAACTAATCCGACTGGTACGTTCTTGTATTTAATTTCTGTATGCTGGGTGTGCTCGGCACACTTGTGATCAAGCGATACAGGTCCACACTGGTACACCTCCTGCACACTCTTCCAACTATTACTACAAAATCCAGAAACGCGCCATTTGGAATTTATATAGAGGGCGTCTAAGAAAGCTGGAGTAGCTGTATACTGTTCCCTATACGTAAATTTTTGACTTTTAACTCTTTTGTTCCATACATGTTGATTAGGTCCATCAAAATTCAGCACAAGCTCTCTAAGTTCGAAAGTCTTACTGCAAACGGGAGTCATATCAAAATCTATCAGCATATAATATAAACCATTATTTGCTATTTCAACGGAATGCACATAATTGGTACACTTATTGCTCTTGTAGAAACGAACAGGGCACGAGGTAACAGGTTTGTCAATAAAATTTATTAATGCTGAGTTTGCAATCACGATTGCAAAAAGCGTAAAAAAGGATAATAGTTTTTTCCACATTTTCTCTATCCGTAAAGAATAATGAGGAATTTATTTGGATTGGTGACAACATTTGGAAATAAATACATACTTATATTGCTAGTAGGTCACCCATATTCAATTTTTTTTTCTGGTAGATTGTCAACAAGGTAGATTATAGTCAAAGGTATTAATAGAAATTGACACTGCGTAGTCAGGCATAGGGTTTTCTGAGAAATATCATGTGGTTATGGTTTATAAAGTTTAAGTTTACATAAGCTCTTGGTTATTTAATTGCTCTTGAAGAACAAAATAGGGTCTATATTAAGTTTTCTTGACAATATTTTCATAATAGACTACGGCAAAATCTGAGCAGTGGGTTTTACTAAAACTGTCAGCATATTTTTAAAGCTAATAGTAATAAATGATGACCCTGTCTAGGAGGTTCTGCGTGTTATAGTCATACGATACCTACAAGAATTGATGATGGTGTTTTGTTTTATTAAAAACTTAACGTATAAAGATTAAGGATTTATGTATCAATTTCTTGTAAAAGGACATTGACTTCCACGAGTAGAAGTTAAATTCCATTTAGAAAGTAATGAAATGTTCACCAAAAGATGAACCAAAATAAATAAATCAGTTTGGGTGGCACCTGTTACCAACCAGCTCTTTTTTTGCAAGTATGTTTCTTGATTGGACGATTCTTTTTTTATAATAGTTTTAGAAAGTAGTCTATAAATGTAGAGATATATTCAGATCGTCATGTTTGATCCCAATTCCCGCTTACGAGTAAGAAGCTGGCTTCCCAAACTTTTTAGCTTTCAATGCCGTCCAAGTTGAGAAGGAACTTGACAAAAGTGATAAATCTTGGCAGCATTATTATTCAAAATTTTTTTTGCTATTGTTTACCCCTGTATCTTACAATCCAAATAATAAAGTTAATGTGTTCATATATGAACGATGTTGACATATTTTGTATCTTATGCAAAACTGGGATTGGAAAACTTCGACGGTCAATTTTTGGTTGCGAAAAACAAAAATTTTTCGGCAAAAAAATAAGCGTGACTTTAGCGTCTGTCCGAGGACTAGAACTATTCGGATACTAAAGTGGAATAAGAACGAGGATAGGCAATAAAGCACAGATAGCTACAATACCAACAACAATTATGAATAAGATATAGTAAAAATAAATACTTGAAAAATAGTTAAACTAAGAAATAGGGGTTTTTGTGAGTGGGTGGTAGGTTCGTAAAAGTCCCACACAAACAACATTCGATGAACATGGATAAATGCATATTCTCTTGGCACTTATATGCTTAAAATTTTTCCGGATGAGAATTACCAATTTGTATTTAACTTGAGCTATAAATAGCAAAAGTTAGCCATGCAACTATAATTAAGTGTCAATACATAGTGATTGATAACATAGTAAAATTGATAGAAGCCTATATCATACTTATTTTCTTAAAACTATTGCTTTTATTGAATGCACGAGCCCAAGAACTATTGGGGGAATTGAAGGACAGAACCGAAAGGTTGTTCCTAAATGGTCAAAGTTAGGTTAGGGATTTTTTATATGTTAACACCTTAAATGTCATATGCACTTGTCGCTAATTCATAGAATGACAAGGGACTTTCAGAGTTAAGAACGATTTTTTATAGGATATCTCTCTATTTTTTTACGAGAATAAAAAAAAATATCTTGGTATTTCTCCTTGGCTCAACGGCGTCTGATATTATTGGGAATTTTAAATAAGGCACTTTGAGAAGCTTAAAGGAAAATAATCGACTGTTTAGGCTTTATTTTGAGTGATTTTAGTTGTATCCCAGGTATTACTTTTCCATGTAGAGATCATTAGTCGATTAAATATAGAAAGCGATACTGATTATATCTCTGTGTTATACGTCGCCTGATGCAAAGAAAATACTTGGCTAAACACAAAGTTTCGGGGTGGGGTTCAATTAATCTAATTTACCCACTTCAATCTTGGAGCATGTAAAAAAGACTTATTATTTTCAGGTTGTTTTCTTGATGCAACATAAAAAGTTTAATCAATATGCCAATATAATATTTATATATTCCCTAAGTCATGTCTTGGCCCAGAAACAATAGAATTAAACTTTTAAGTATCAGCTTCATGTGAAATTAAATTCAAGTACTGCAAATGGAAACATGTGCTTGGCGTGATACTTATTGGTGAGTTTATTTTCTATCAAGAAGTCCAAATCTATGGGGCCATGACTAAGCTATATATTGGCAATTAGTGCATAATTGCTGATGCAATGAAAACTATTGAATAACGATTCAACCAATGCGTAAAACATTGGGCCAACAATATAATAATAAAAAAAAGCCAGCACATGTTCAACTTGAAGACATTCGTTGTACATTTAGCTGCGCGCGTTACTTCCTGGACGCTGCTTAATGTTTATTTAAATACTGGCAAACGTAAATATATTAAATATTATATACAATGACAACTAAACTAAGGGAAAATACCACCTCTGATCTCAGTCTCGTCATCTTCGTCCATGTCCTCCGAGTCATCCTCAAAAGGAGAAGTATTACCATCATTGCCAAGCAAATCATCCACGGTCCTTGCCCCGAATAAATTTCGTGTAACAAAACCATACAAACCTTGGTTCAACCAAAGCTTATTCAAGCATAAATATCTAAACTCATTCAATGTTGCCTTGAGCTTGGTTCTTCTTGGCTTGACTTCTCCGTGTACTGTCAAATAAGGGCCTTCCAAATCTAACGGAATTCGGCTGTGTCCGATATGCACATTCAAACGAAGAGTATTTGTCGATGGTGTGTAAAATATTCCGGTATGACTGGCGCAAGTGGCCATATGGCTTGGTTGTCGACTGTTACTGATCCAAGTACTGCAGAACAAACAAATTGATTTATCGTGAGTGTTCAGATCAGATGCATTCAACAACGAAGCATTATAATCATGAGGCAATGTGATTAAGTGAACCATACCTGGGGAATTCAAATTGAGAATACCCTTTTCGAAATACTTGGGGATTTTAGACAAGAATGTAACTTCAAAGATTTTATTCTCGAATGAACTATCATCACCAGTCAACAAGGTATTAATTAGTTGGTTGAACGATGGAACCAGTAAACTTGCTGTTAAAGCATCAGTACAATCAACCCGGCTTTGATCTTCAATTGCCGCTTGTAAATTAGCAAATTGTGGTTGACTCTCATACATATTCTCTCCTTGGACTTGAGAAGTCAACAAATCGGCAAGAATAACAACTTGCCTCAAGAATACACCCATCAAATGTTCAATACCAAGATAGAGACCAACAACTACCTGGCTATCCACGGGTTTAACCTCAATCTCCATCATCTCCGTTACTTGAAAGAGAAAGCCCTTAAACAAGTTCAAATGCTTATCAGGAATATTGACATCGGTTTCACTAACAAAATACTGCTCATAGCCCGGATTATTAGCGCAACTAAATAAAATTGAATACAATGATACTGCAAGCAACTTGGTCATCCCCATTGTAGTCAACGTAGCCAACGACTCTCCAGTCTGGAAAAACAAGGCAACAAGGTCGTTAAACACACTATCCAAAATCGAATCCGAGTCCCAGAACCTTTCAGCCTCAAACTGGAACAAAGCTTCTGTACCAAGTAATGCAGGAGAATCCCTCTTAGCATAAGCAAGTGCTCTTCCTTGAACCAAACTAATCAATAATGTCTTGGTTGATCCGGAGAACTGCGAAAGGAAATTAGAATATGCTTCTTCTCCATTAATTCTCGTAGCTATTTCATTCATTCGAATCGTATTGGCAATAAGCTCAGAATATGCGAGCAACAAGTAGAAATAACTTTCACTCTTGGTGTTCCCCGTTCCATACTTTGTCCTGTCAGGGATGCGTGTCAATACTGTCGATAATACCATTCTATGAGCATCAAATTGTTGCTCAGTATTCAAATACTCCTCATTGATCAAGGATGACACAACATTGTTGATTTTCGAAGTGGCATCTATACAATGAGTTATCATATTATACCTAGTGAATTGAGGCTCGCCATGAAGAAAACGATCTGAGATCCTGTTAGTTGCCGATGGAATATACGATGGAATAAACATATCATGCAAATCATGACATAATGGGCAAGGATAATGGGTTAAACCGGTTGAGCCACGTTTATAACACTCATAATGGATACCATGTCCACAAGTAGAAACCACAGGAAATTCAAATGGAACATCATTTTCTGCATTAAAATGATATCCTACACCATAAGTAGTAGCACTCTCATCATATGCTATTGACTTGTCCCACTTCTTATACGCATTGGCAACTTGATCGTGTTTAGATGTGGGGATTTTCCAAAATGTAGCAGCTTTCGTGGAACTAGCCAATATTCCAAATGGACTGTCAACAGATTCTTGTTCCCCACACAATACACAAGTACGCAAATGGCCCTCAACTTCACTCTTGTCATCATTATCAAGGTCAGCATCAAGGTCTTTGTTCTTGGACAAAAACTGTTCTCGCTGTCTGGAGAACTTCCTCATGATTCTATTGGCACGTTCGGTAGCCAATCTCTTTTTCCGTTCAACTTCGGTTTCAAACAAGGCTGATTTGCGCTTCTTGTAAGACTGAATATAATCTTCACCAAAACAGTCTACTAAACTTTCTAGTACGCGTTTATCTTTAACCACGAGTAAATCCACGAGATAGTCAGCTTTTTGAATGACGTATTTCGACATCTTTGATTCCACAATAGTAAGCAACAAGTCACTGATAGGAATATCAACAAAATATGGATTCAAGTACTCTTTACCGTGAATCAATTCATCATCTAGTAAAATGGCATGAATCAAATGTAACAATTGCGGAAGATAGGTTTCATCCGAAGTATCAATTGCAACTTGTAAAAACTTGTAAATCAACTTGGCAAACATTTGCGTCTTGACAAATTGGCCAATATTGTTATCCACGAGATCATAATTGGCGCGCGTGATACGGGGTTGGATAATCACATCATCCTCTTTAATCTTTCTTATTCTGGCAACATTCTTGATTATGCTCTCACTAATTACTTGAAATTTACTGGGGTCCAAGTATACACTCAACGGATCCAATTCCTCATAGATGGCTTCCTTCAATCGATACAACCCACTGTCAGTTAATGAACTCGGTGGTTGGTAATCAGCAATGCTGTACAATACCTTGTCAATTTCTTCAGTGGGCAAATTCGATTCAATTTTGTACCGCAAAAATGTGTATGATTTACCCTCACGACATAATCTATAAGCCATGGCAGTTCTCAACATTCTTCGTGCTCGTTCAGTTGGAGTCTCCACAGTGAGGAAGGTACGGTCGGTAATCAAGTTGTAAATAAATACAATGAATCGTTCACTGATAGTGACAAACCGTTCTTCATATATCGTCTGGGAATAACTCACTTGATTAAGGAACCATGGCAACAATTCCCACCGGTCTAATATGTTAGTTAATGTCTTTTGGGGATCATTTCCGAAAAGCGCCGCAATTTGAACAATATGGAAATCACGATAATAAGTGACATCACACGTCTTGGAACTAAAGTATAGTTTGGATTGATGTGTAGCGGAAAGACCATTTCTAATCCAGAAACCAACTTTTATTTGTGAGCCAAGGACAACACTTCTAAGGGAAATATCAGCAATTTCAACAAGTTTTTGGGAATAAGATTGCAAGGTGGGTATAAACTGATTGATTCCGTGATATTCAATCATGAATGAAAGTAATGAATGTAACGGATTGGCGAAACTGATTTGTTCTTTACTCACTTGAAACTTGACTACTCCTGGTTGGGAAAATTCAATAGGACGGGCAAATAAATACTTCATCAAAACTTCAGCATTTTCCACTAATTTAGGATTGCTATATTGTAATTCAACAACTTGCTTGACTTCAAGAACCACCGGGAAAAAGAAATTCAAGTGAAGCATAAAATCATCCGAGTCTCGTTCAACATGATCCCCATACTTTCTCTTCATCAATAAATAACTTTGAAAGTTTCTCAATAAAAGAATGTACAATCTAAATGTGTCATCGTTCATAAATGCCTTGATCTCACCGGCAGCCAAACCCGAAGATGCAAAGTGTGTCAAATGTCCAATGGCATATTTGATTGCCAATTTAATAGCTCGTTTCTTTTGCGAGTTTATTCCAATATCATAGAAGCTGTGATACCCAGTTTTTTCATTGTATACTGTAGATGTGCGTTCGATTAACGCCGCAAGAGGCCCAATAATGTTTCGCAACAAGTCCTCGCGTAAAATGTATTGGACACTGTTGGGACACGTGAATATTTGCGAGGAGATATCCGCCAACAAGTTCAAATGTTCTTCACGATCAGTCAATGCCATCATATTTAACAACATGGGATACATTTCAATAAACTGTTTGGAAAATTCCATTTTTGTGTCTGGTTCAGAAACAAGACAAGGCACAAGGAGAGAACCTAGTTTCATTCGAATGGATTTACGTAATCTGATCTGATATGCTAAAAGATATTGCAACCTTGAATGCAGAATTGTTGATGGGTCGTCATTGGCATCTAATATTGCAGAAATTGGATGTTCTAATGCATCTACAAAATCAGGATTAATTCGGGTCAACCCCGCATCTTTGAACTTCCCTTGGTATTGGAACCCATTGATGAAATAATCATGATCGCTTAAGCTGCCAGATTTAAACGGTTCAACATCAACACTAGTGGAAACCTCATGAGAAGGGGCTAACAACAACTCACAAAAGACATGCTTGCATAATTCCCTGAATTCGACATTTCCTTTAAAGTTGAGAATTTCCTCAAACCATTTAAACATGTACTTGACAATTTCTTCTCGGAAATGATCTCTTGATGATTCAACAGTAGCGATAAGCCCACCTTGTTCTACTAATATCTTGGCCCCAAACACATTCTCAAAATGGGGGTCTCGCTTTAAAATTGCAAAACCCTCCTTGTCAATCTTGTATGCAATTTCACTGGCTTTGCTGTCGCCAACACCTGTCCCGGCATTGATCGAGTCAATTGCCTCTTGCAAATTGTGATACTCGTCATTCCAAAGGATGAGGAGCCATTCGTCAGAATTAACATCTTCGGTATCACCATATCGTTTACTAGGCAGCAATACTGCATTATCGGAATACGTTTTAGTAGTTATGGTCCCACTCAGGTCAATCTTGTCATGAACCATAGGTAAAGCAAGTACCGACATATTCAACACGTCCAAAATATAATCAAGACAAACGGCAATAGTATCTCTTAGGTATGGAGCCAATTCAGAAACATCCTCTTGTATGGTTTCCGGTTCGTCTTCGGTCGGTATCTGACATTTACAATGGAGTTTCTCCACGAATGCTTCCTCATCTCCACAATCACAAATCCCCCCATTCTCACCTGTGGACTTGTAGATGTAGATATTGTGATTTACATGATCATCGGGGTTGAAACAATACCCACACAATACACAGGTATCATCAAACCCACAGTCCTGACAACAATACACGGCTTCATTTTCAGCAAATACCTTAGCACACGCCTTATCGGGGAGATGAGTGTATTTCGTTTGTTTCAACGTGTTGTAGAATACCTTGAATGGGGGTTCAAGAGAGAGGGGGAATTGCAACTGTTGCGATTGTAATTGGTCCAATTCGTCAATGGAGATATCGGGGAATAGACTGGTGAGATGTTGTCCCTGATTAGTAATGGCAACGTATAGGGCGCGATACAAGTCGTGTTTGGTTGCTTTGGTGAATTCAAAGTCTGCTCTTGCGGGTAATTCCACTAGGAACTTCCTTAGCTGAGTTTGTAGGTCTGAACCAGAGACTACCATGATGGATCAGAGTAAGAATGTGGTTGCTACAGCAGATGAGTGGAGAATTCAAACTTTGGTTGTAAGTTTGTCTCCTACGGAATTTTTTCTGGGTGTCCGGTGCACACTCGCCGTCTAGTTCCCCAAAGGTTTTTAGTGCGGTAAGTTTTAGACGGGGAGAGAAGGGGAGAGAGAGAAGGGGGGAGGGAGGGATCGAGTGCGGCCTGCCAAGTCCAAATTGCCAACGATTACATATTTCGATAGATCGGGCAGGAACCTACATCGATATGCCACTACCAAGGACTATATATACGCCTTAGACAAGTCAAACCCGGCAGATAGACAGATATACTGACAAACTCACAGACTGACACACACACGCACACGCACACGCACACGCGCACATTTGTACCACAGCCTTGCTATTCTTCCCTAGCAAGTGCAATCGAAAAACTTACACTGTAACCACCAACGGCTTTCGTAGCGACAAGCAAAAAAAAAAAAATTTTGATATGCCGATTTGGATGAGTCAGAAATTTTTCACTTTCATACAACAGTTGTTATAACCCTATACACGCAAACCATGAGTAGCACTTTCGATAACGTAGTGACTGATCCTACTGAACAATACAACTTAATCACCAAGGGGTTGCAAGAAACCTTGAATGGCCAAATCATCAAGGACATCTTGGAAAAGGAAAAGAGACATGTCAAGATCTACTGGGGGACCGCCCCAACCGGTAAACCCCACTGTGGTTATTTCGTGCCTATGATCAAATTGGCCCATTTCTTGAAGGCTGGGTGTGAAGTCACTGTTCTTTTGGCAGATTTGCACGCATATTTGGACAACATGAAGGCGCCATTGGAGGTTGTCCAACACCGTTCCAAGTACTACGAATTGGTGGTCAAGGCCATTTTGAGATCTATCGGTGTTCCTATTGAAAAATTAAAGTTTGTCGTCGGATCTTCTTACCAACAAGGTGGAGATTACGTGTTGGATCTTTTCAAATTATCCAACATTGTTTCTCAAAATGACGCCAAGCGTGCTGGTGCCGATGTTGTCAAACAAGTGGCCAACCCATTATTGTCTGGTTTGATCTACCCATTAATGCAAGCTATTGATGAACAACACTTGGATTGTGATGCCCAATTTGGTGGTGTCGATCAAAGAAAGATTTTCGTGTTGGCGGAAGAAAACTTGCCAAGCATTGGCTACAAAAAGCGTGCGCACTTGATGAACCCTATGATCCCAGGTTTGGGCCAAGGTGGAAAGATGAGTGCCTCTGATCCAAACTCCAAGATTGATATCATTGAAGATCCAAAGGTTGTCAAGAAGAAGATCAACTCTGCCTACTGTGCCCCAGGTGAAGTCAAGGACAATGGGTTAATTGCATTTATTGAATATGTTGTGCAACCAATTCAAGAATTGAAGGCTGGTCAAGATGGTGTGTTTGATTTCAAGATCGACAGACCAGAAAAATACGGTGGTCCAATTACCTACACCAGTTTGGATGCTTTGAAGGCTGATTATGAAAGTGGTGCCTTGGCCCCACCAGATTTGAAATCAGGAACTGCTGATCGTATCAATGAATTGTTGGCCCCAATTAGAGCTGAATTTGAATCTAATGCAGAATTCCAAGCTGCGCAAAAGAATGGTTACCCAGCTGCAGAGGCCAAACAAGAAAAGAAGGTGAAGAAGCCAAAGAATAAAGGTACTAGATACCCAGGCGGAGCGGCTGCTGCTGCTGCTGCTGCCCCAGCTGACGCCAACGGTGCTGTTGAAAAGACTGCTGAAGCATTAGAAACTGTTAAATTAGATTAAGTAGTTTAATGATTATCACGTGACATCCAAATAACCAATCAACTGCGATTGAAAAATAATTAGTGTAGAGAAAAAAATGCTAAGACAAAAAATTTCAATTGACCAAGAGTAGCAGCACTACAGTCTTGTAAGATATAACAACAATGGTATGTGATACAATCCATTAGAACAGGTTGAGGGGAGACTACATTATTGAATTGACAGGAAACATTTCTATTTGCAAAGGTTTTTTTAAAAAAAGAAAGCGCTAGGAATAACTTCTGCAACAAACAACACATTGAATCAGGCACACACCACTATCGAAGAAAGCGTGTTGTTGAACTATTATAGAAATGTACTAGCCGGAGATTATTCAAGGGCTCCAAATGATACATTGAATGACCCTTCAAATGACACGACGAATAATACATGCAAGTTTTACAACAAACCAAGGTACAACAAAACCCCAAGTCGTAAACCATACAACCAAACTCAACCCATAGTAAAACACCAATACTAACACCTTCTAGTCATTAATCAGTAAATTATTCCAAAGAAACTCCGTATACGTTGCCACCATCTTTGGAGGTGCTTTTGTCTTCCAAGGATTCTTTGATGCTGCCGTTACCACCTGGTACGAAAACCACAACAGAGGTAAGTTATGGCACGATGTTAGAGGAAAGTTTGTTGAAGGTGCTGACGAAGATGACGAATAAACCATTTACCTAAAGATTTAACTGCTTCTGTTTATAATAATACGGTCTAGCCCTAGTGGGATTGCATGTATTTACATACAAGTTTTGTTTGACTATACATAGAGACAAACTTGTTACACTTATTAAATATATATACTAATCATACTGATGTAAACTTAATCATGCAGATTTGCTTGTTAGAACAATAGTGTAACACCAGTCTAGCAGTAGTTTTACAGTAGATGTTTGACTTGACAGTTAAATCACGTGATAACGTCAATATCAATTTTTTTTGTAAAGACTGTTTAGTTTGCACAACGTTATACACCCACTCTTTACTTAACAGTTATCACATAGACATAATGGCCGTTATCAACCAACCAAACAGCCAAATCAGATTGACAAATGTCTCGCTAGTCCGCATGAAAAAGGGCAAAAAGAGATTTGAAATTGCCTGCTATCAAAACAAAGTGCAAGATTGGAGACTGAAAGTCGAAAAAGATCTTGATGAAGTGCTTCAAATCCCACAAGTGTTCATGAACGTATCCAAGGGACAAGTTGCCAACAATGACGATTTACAGAAGGCGTTCGGGACGACAAACCAAGACGAAATAATTTTAGAGATTTTGAACAAAGGTGAGATCCAATTGAATGAAAAGGAACGTAATGCTAATTTACAACAGAAACAGAACGAGTTCTTGAACATCATCAGTACAAAATGCATAAACCCAAGATCAAAAAAGAGATATCCTCCTTCAATGATTGAGAAGGCGTTGAATGAGGTCAAGTTCCATTTGAACCCCACCAAGCAGACAAAGATCCAGGCATTGGATGCGATCAAGATGTTGGTTGAAAAACAGATTATTCCTATTGCCAGAGCCCAGATGAAGATCAGGATCATCTTGACCAAGAAGGCATACCAAAAGGTGTTTACTTCTGATATAAAACCAAATATTGATCAAGTAGATGAGGAAGAGTTCACTGGGAAGCAGTACGAGATTGTCGGTATAATAGATCCAATCAACTATAGAGTGTTAGTAAGCATAATTGAAGGTGACCAAGCCAAGATCGGTAAGGGAGAAGGGACAATTGAAGTGTTGGACATGTCTGCCGTTAAAGAGTAGATCGATGAGTTGTGCGTAAATAGCAGAATTTCCGCGTAAATAACATCCCTAATAAATTTCTACACCATCACAAAAAAATTTTCAACTATTTTGTAGATCTATGTTATCACTGTAGAAGACAACACTACAATCAATCATGTCTATTGTATTACCATCGGGATCCGGTGATTCTTTCAAGGCCGTTAACAAATACTCTGCTGCCGTACGCCGTCCAATTGAACCAGTTGGCCGTTACTTCTTAGCCCACGCTTCCAGAACCTTACGTGGACACACCTGGTCTGAATTTGAAAAATTAGAAGCCGAAAGAAATGTTAAGCAAGTTGAAGAGGATGAAGATGACGATTTAGGAGACGAAGAACAAAGCGAAGAATTACTCGCTCACGACCCAAGAGAATGGAAGACCGCCAACTTGTACGCCGTCTTGGGATTGTCTCATTTAAGATGGAAGGCTACTGAAGACCAAATCAGAAGAGCCCACAGAAAACAAGTGTTGAAGCATCACCCAGATAAGAAGTCCGCTGCTGGTGGATTGGACCAAGATGGATTCTTCAAGATTATCCAAAAGGCATTTGAAATCATGTTGGATCCTATCAAGAGAAGACAATACGATTCCGTAGACACCGACAACGATCCAAAGCCTCCTTCAGCCAAGACCAAATACGACTTCTTTGAAGTTTGGGGTCCTATTTTCGAAAGCGAAGGTAGATTCAGTGTCAAGCAACCCGTTCCTGCTTTGGGTGGATTGGATGCTACCAAGGAACAAGTAGACGAATTCTACGGATTCATGAACAAGTTTGAAAGTTGGAAGACTTTTGAATTCAAGGACGAAGATGTTCCAGATGACACTGCTAACAGAGACCACAAGCGTTATATCGAACGTAAGAATATTGCCACCAGAAAGAAGTTGAAGCAAGAAGATAACAAGAGATTTATAGAATTAGTCGAAAGAGCTTACAGTGAAGATCCAAGAATCAAGATGTTCAAAGACCAAGCCAAGAAGGAAAAGGCCGCTAAGAAGTGGGAAAGAGAAGCTGGTTCTAGAAAGGCTGCTGAAGAAGAAGCTGCCAAGAAGGCCGCTGAAGAAGAAGCCGCCAAGAAGGCTGCTGAAGCTGAAGCTTCTAAGAAGGCTGATTCCAAGAAGGCCAAGGAAGCCGCCAAAGCTGCTAAGAAGAAGAACAAGAGAAGTGTCAGAAACTCTGCTAAGGACAACGATTACTTTGGTGATGCCGGTAAGGCCAGTGATATTGATGCTGATATTGAATTATTACTTGAAAAGTTCGATGATGTCAAGTTGGGTGAAGTTGCTGCCAAGGTTAAGGATGCCGATGCTGCAGGTGTCAAGGCTGCTCTTAGTGAAGTTGTTGCTGAATTGGTTGGTGCTGGTTCATTACAGGCTTCATACTTGAAGTATTTCTCTGCCTAGATAGATTAAATATATATACTAACTATTTATCGTCTTGTTCCTCTTCCTGTGGTGGTTCTTTTTCTTCTTGTTCGTCGTCAAGATCTTCATCGGACACGGCAAACTTTTGTTTCAAGACCATTCCTTTCAAGTGGTAATGAGCCTTTCTCTTCTCTTCAAATCTTCTATGTCTTTCTTCGGCCGTCAATTCTTGTTCATTTTCTTCGTCTTCTGGTTGTTCGTTTTCGACAACAGCCTCTTCATTAGGTATGACTTCACCACCACTAAGCGACCCCACGACGGGATGTTCCTTATCAAACTCGCCTTCACCCAAAGTGAACGAAGGAATATCGTCTTCTGGAGCCGCTTCTTCATTGTCGTCATCACGATAGTACTCACCCAATGGGTTAAAGCCACCCTCATATGGAGTCTTTGGTTCATCGATCTTCATGGTAGCAGCCTTCTCCTGCTCGGTCTTGTACAAGTTAATCTCATCCCACTTCAAATGGTCGCCTTCAGATTCACCTGGTTCCGACTCAGCCTCGCTGCCACTGGCCCCGAATGATCTTCTTCGCTTCTCCTCGGCGATCTTGGCTCTGATTTTGTCTCCTTTGGTGGAGTACTCTGAGCTAAGCCTAGCGTTCAATTGCGTGTTCTTGATGACTTCTTGACGATCCAATTGGTCCAGTATTTCATGGGGGACATGCTGTCCTTCGTCTCTATTCCTCAAGATTCCTCTTGGTTTGTTGTCTGACATATTGATTAATGCAAGTGTGGAAGAAATACCAGCAAGTTGAGAGACACTTAATTGAAATTGTGTCAACAGATTTTAAGAGCGTGGGAGAAGAAACTGACAACCTCGGAAGTGCCAGCAGGAGGGGACTGGATCACGTGCACGGGAACCACCGGAAGTGCCAATCTCAACGCCCTCAAAATTTCCAATACAAACAGAAAAAAATATGTGGCCGCTTACAATTACCAAGACCGGTACTAACAATAGCTTGGTAAACAGTCAAAACAAAGGTGAAATAGTATCCGAATCCACTCTTGTTTGGTCTACCATAGCATACTATAACATATCCGACAATAATTACACTTGTACACAATATTTAAACTAACATGGGACAAGCATTCAGTTTTGCCAACATATTCGGCAAGCTTTGGGGTGTCCAAAAGGAAATACGAATTCTTATACTAGGTCTAGACGGTGCAGGGAAAACCACAATCCTATACCGATTGCAAATGGGAGAGGTCGTCACTACCAAGCCTACCATTGGATTCAATGTCGAGACCTTGAAATACAAGAATGTCACGTTGAACATTTGGGATTTGGGTGGACAGACGTCGATCAGACCGTACTGGAGGTGCTACTACAGCAACACATCCGCCATCATATTCGTGGTTGATTCGACCGATAAAGACCGTATTGATACCGCGTGCAAAGAGTTACACACCATGTTGAAAGAGGAGGAATTGCAAGATAGTGCGTTGTTGGTGTTTGCCAACAAGCAGGATCAACCGGGTGCCATGACAGCCGCCGAGGTCAGCCAAGCCCTCGATCTCACTGATTTGAAAGATAGAAGTTGGAGTATTGTCGCCAGTAGTGCCATCAAGGGAGAAGGGTTGACCGAGGGGTTGGACTGGTTGATGGATGTAATCAAAGACGAACAGTTGTAATTTTGTATATCCTACGTGCATAAAGTATATAATTAATTTGATAGTATTACTAGTAATGAAAAAAATAATAATAGTAATAATAATAGTAATAAAGAAAAACAGCTACGTGGACTCCTGCTCTCTCTGCTTGACTCTCTCCAATATCGTGTGAATCATTTCATTACCAATCTCATTAGCCTCTTGAAACATGTGTCTAAAGTAGTTTTGCGTTTCAACAAATTCTCGTTTATACAATTCAAAATTACCAAAACTGATAATGTTGGACCAGGTTTGAGCAGCAATGGTAAAGTTCAAATCATCTTGCCTAAAGCTGGTGTCGTTGATGGCCACGTCAATGCACTCATCCAACATGTTTGGTGTACAGAAGATAAACTCAGTAACACCAAGGAATATTCTAAACAACGGAGTGGAGCAGATTATATGATCATAAGGGACAATTCCCAAGTTGTACCAACTGTCGGCAATCGCCAACAACGACAAATGCGAGTTTGGTTGTCTTCCTTCAGGAGGAACCTTTCTCAACGAGAACTCCTGCAAGAGATCGTCATTCAATAACAAGTCATGTTTGCTAGCAACGTTATTTCCTCCAAACACAAACTGTTTCACCTTCATTAATCTCTCTTTTAATTCTGCGTGTTTCCCTTGAATCATCAACGTAAACAATTCAGTAGTGGATTTTGAATATTGCAACACTTGATCATGTGCTGACGGGTTAGTAATGGCTAGTCCAGCATAAACATGCCATTTATTGGAGAATATCCGTAATGAGATGTTAATCTTGGCGTTTTCAATCCCACCAATCCATTTGGGTGTTTCCCATGGATATTCGTTGGTAGATTTCCACGCAACACCCATAGACAAGAATGCCGCATGGGTGACTGCTTGCGTATCAGCAGTGATTCTATCATGTTCCTTCGCTGTCAACTTAACGTGCTTAGATTGTAAGCAGGACATTAAACATTCAACAAATTGAAATGACTCATCACGAGCCCGATGTTGGATCAACACGAGTGGTTGTCCAGTAGGGTCAACTTTAGGACCATGCAAGGAATGAACGCTGATGATTTCCGTGTCTGGCGGTAAATACTTTTCAAATGCTGCAATCTCGGGAGCTTTACAACTGGTTTGTCCACCGATGATGGCACCAAACTTACTTGAAGGGCCATACAACGCCACCATTTTGTCGATGTTGGCCGCTTCTATACTGTAGATTATAAAATCGGAGATTCGGGAAACCAAATGACCATTCTTGAGAATGGTGAACTTTTCCTGGGAAAACTTGGCAAGCGTTTCTTCATAGAGCTCTTCTCTGTCACATCCAACCACTTTCCACCCAGCTTTACTAAACCTTCGGGCGTAGAGTGTACCCATGTCACCCAATCCTATGATCCCGATGGTTTTCGTCTGTTTCAATTGATCTATTTGCTCTGTTGTTAGTTGGTCCATGGTCGTCGTCTATTGCCAAGTAAAACTGGCGTGTGATGTGAAGAAAAAGATGATGTTGTAGTTGTCTGGCTGACTGGCTGAACTCACTCGCTCAACTACGCGCACAAATTTTGAAAATTTTAGGTAAACTCCAACGGACTAGGTTGGTTGTACAAACACTACACTCTAATGTCCAAAGCATTCAGTGCGCCAGGTAAGGCGCTATTGGCAGGAGGTTATCTAGTCATTGATCCAATCTACAATGCTTATGTCACAGCGTTATCTTCAAGAATGCACGCCATCATCACACCTACTACTACATCCACTGATCGCCATATCATAATCAAGTCTCCTCAGTTCGTTAATGGACAATGGGAATATACCATCACCACCAATCTTGCTCCTCCTAAGGAGATCAACGGGAACAATAATCCATTCTTGGAAGCAGTCTTGTTTATTGTATTGGCATACATTCAACCGGAATCCACCTATGATTTAAACATTGACATATATTCTGATCCAGGATACCATACCCAAGAAAACACCACAGTAAAACAACTATCCAAAAAGAAGTTCCTTTATCACTCCCGTGCAATTAATGAAGTGGAAAAGACCGGATTAGGCTCATCAGCTGGGTTAGTTGCTGTGGTTACTACTGCCCTTGTGTCATACTTCAAACCAGGTCAAGAAGCTGATAAAGATCTCTTGCATAATATTGCCCAAATTGCCCATTGTTATGCCCAAAAGAAGATTGGGTCTGGGTTTGATGTTGCTGCTGCAATTTATGGGTCAATTATTTTTAGAAGATTCCAACCAGAAATTATAGACAAGGTGTTTCACACTCTTGAAACAAATCATGATGAATTTACTTCGGTATTGAAACTGACGGTTGAATCCAATTGGAATTTCAAACATACTCCATGTTCATTGCCTAAAGGAGTCAGATTACTCATGGGAGACATCAAGGGCGGGTCAGAAACACCAAAGTTAGTCTCGACTGTACTTGCCTGGAAAAGGGCTCAACCCGAAGAAAGTTCCGTCGTATATGCAAATTTGGACGGGGCAAATAATAATTTCATTACTCAATTACAAAATTTCAATCCACAAGATTTAACTCCGTTGCAACTGGCAATCCAGCAGATTCGTAAGGGTTTACAAGAGATGACTGAGAAATCGGGTGCTCCTATTGAACCACCGGCCCAAACCGACCTCTTAGACAAATGTCAGTTGATTGATGGTTGTATTGGCGGAGTTGTCCCTGGAGCCGGTGGATTCGACGCCATTTCCGTATTGATCTTGGAAGAATCAGTGGACACGTTGAAGCAAACTACCGAATCAAATAAAGAGTACTACCATAATGTTACCTGGGTGGATTTGCACGAAGAAAGTGAGGGGATTGTACTTGAAGATGCGAAAGATTACTAAACTTCTATTATTTAGATGTAAAGCAAAAAAGACACTTTGATCAGTACTTTTTTTTTCGTTTTTTGTTTTTTGTTTTTTGTTCTGTGCGCAGTATTTTTTAGATTTTCTCCGCCACGCTTCGGTAATCTAGTGACCCAAGTGCATGGATCATGCATGACTGGGTTATTTTTTTGTAGTGAGTGCTGTGTGCATCAGCTAAATACATCATGGCTTATCATTCGCTTCAAGTAGGAATTTAACGTCATGTGTAGCAGATCAAGTGGACTGTTGGATGAAACACGCAAAGCATACTAGAGTAAAACCAATAACCAAACTACAACCAAATCTTTATGATTTTGCTCAAAAAACTCATGCTACGTCAAATTATACCCCCAAAAAACCATATCATTAAATTTCAGATATCGTAAATGGGCAATTCAATTGCAAAGTACTGCTAAACATAAAATATTAATAGCAACAAAACAACCAGCGCCGTAAACCCCCAGTGGAACCAGACAAACAAAAAAAAAATTAACCTTTTTAGTCTGCATTGTTTTCTTTTTTTTGAACTATTTCATATATAAATGTCGGAATCATCCCTCGCTTATTTTGTTATTCTGTAGATCAAACCAACTATGAATAACTATAACAATATAGGAGGACTACCTCCACAACCTACACAACCTCCCTACCCGCATTCACCATATATGTCTGATCGCCAGCCACAGCATCTGCTACAACAACCATTTTATGATCAGCAGGCTGGCGCGTACGGCACTAGCAACCCATACCCATCCCAGGAACCCACCCTACAACCAGAAATACCATACACGTCGCACTCCTATGATAACAGCGACTCTGAATCACCCCCGGAATCGCCTATCCTCCATCATGTCGCGTCCAACAGCAGCAACATAAGTGACATTGCAGACTTCAACCGTCTCAATCGTAAACAGTCAAGCGAATTGCGCACCGATGAACGACAATACGGCTTGTTTTCCACATTCTTCTTTTTCATCTCGCTCGTGTCAGCCATCCTCATCATCTTGTTTGAATCGTACATGTTCGCCGTGATCAATATCCACCATGTCGATTTAGGCGATGGCCGATACGTGGAGGTGTCGATCTACTTTGCCTTGTTTATCTTTGCCGGGATTTTCCAAGTGTTGATTACTATAATTGGGTTGAAGACGAGAAACATGTTGTTGTTGTTTTTCTTGTGCTTGTTTTATTGCTGCATGTTGATCTATTCGGGGATCCAGTACAATGAAGTGGCTCGCAGAATCACGGTTGTCCTTCGTGGAAGATGGTACAAGGCCACATTTGCCCTTAATATCGCCACAATTGCCGTCATTGGTGCAACACTACTCTTGCAACTGATTATCCTTATCGTGGCACTTCGAAAATACGTCAACTGGTTCACATTCAAGAAAGTCGGGGCAGACATCACCCTCCGTCGCATGTTCACTGTCTTCCAAATCCACAGATCCATCCTCATGTTTGATTTCTTCTTCTTTGTCGGATTCACGATTCAATTCGTTGTGATTATGGTGAATGATCGAACATCTGTTGAATTCATTCTTACCATAGTGGTGCTTCCATGTACAATCATTTTGCTTTTGATTAGTGACATCTCTACGTGCCGAGAATTCATATTTGGTTCCCTATTCGCCATTGTGTTGTACCTTGCTGGGATGGCATATGTGCTATTCAAGATTATCAGATTGTACACGCACTATACTTCAGCCTATGGGTTTGCCATTGAAGCCGGGGAGTACTTCATGGGGCGGAAGTCCCTTACCGTATTTGGCGTGCTCACGCTTGTGTTGTTATTGATCACGGTTGTACTTGAATGCATGGTGATTTATAACTTCAAAAAGGGACTACTCCCAACTGTGTCCACATACTATAAATGGATACCGGGATACAAGAAGGAAGCAGCTAGTCTGGGAATTAATATCAGCGATGATGACAGTGAAGCCAAGAATCAGCGCACGGACTCGGCTTCCGATGGATACATTGACTAAAATAGACGACAACGGGTTGGTAACCACCGTTGCTGGTACTATAGGCGGTCCGGCACATCATGACATGTCCGCGGTTCGGAATATCCTCAAATGTGTATTCCACAGCAGTTTTGTACACTTGCGACAATTATAATTGAAATCTCACCATTGTTTAGTCGAAATAGAATCGTATGTTGGTGCTTTTCTCGCATTGTTTCTAGTTTGATTTTCCGCAATTGCAGTACAAAACTGGCATCGCTGGTTCTACATGCAGGATATTTTTCTTTTGCTTGCCGCAACTCGAGGCAGTACATCGCGCATAGTGCAGTACTAAAAAAATAAATTTCCCTATTGATAAAGGGGGATCAAAAGGGGGGATTTACTTTTTGCGCATGTGGAGTGAAGTGCCATCACTGAAATTAATGAAATTTGTGAAAATTTAGTATGTATCGGATGTTTTAAATAATTTATTTTTTAATAACTACATTGTTACTATTTTTTATTTTGTCCAATTGATGGGGGGCGGGCTCACAATTGTAGAGGTTGACACCCCCGTCCTTCTCTCTCTCTCCCCCCCTTAATTACCGGAGAAACGTCCACCGAACGTTCTAGCCTATAGTTAAGATGGGCTATTGAGTAGCGTAGATGTAGTACTAGCTCAATTGAGCCAATTGAGTATGTGGAATGTGTGGTTGTAGAGTGGATAGTCAGCTATCATATGTCAGGCATGACATAAATGCCATCACGTAATTCCGAAATTTCGGCGTCAAGTGTTTTACCCCCATGCTATAAAAAGAATGCAAATTTCCCTCTTCCTGAATTTCACTTTTTCAATTCCTTCTTTTCTTATCATATTTTACACGTAAGCTGCGATTGTAATACCTGTTACACAAAATCCATGCAAAACATGTCGGAAATTTCTTTAGGTAGATATCTTTTCGAAAGATTATACCAATTAGAAGTGCAAACCATTTTTGGGCTCCCAGGTGATTTCAACTTGTCCCTCTTGGATAAGATCTACGAAGTTGAAGATGTTCATGGCAAGGGCTCATTCAGATGGGCTGGTAACGCCAATGAATTGAATGCCGCCTATGCTGCCGACGGGTATGCCCGATTAAAGAGAATTTCCTGTTTGGTGACCACATTTGGGGTTGGTGAATTGTCGGCCTTGAACGGTGTGGCCGGTGCTTACGCTGAACACATTGGGTTGATCCACGTTGTTGGTGTGCCCTCGATTTCGTCCCAGTCCAAGCAATTGTTGTTGCATCACACTTTGGGTAATGGTGATTTCACCGTGTTTCACAGAATGTCCACCAACATTTCTCAAACTACTGCGTTCATTTCCGATTTGGCTACTGCTCCTAAGGAAATTGACCGGGTTATTAGAACCGCCTACACTTTGCAACGTCCTGTGTACTTGGGTTTGCCAGCCAACATGGTTGATTTGACTGTTCCTGCTTCATTGTTGGACACTCCAATTGACTTGTCCTTGGAACCAAATGACAGCGAAGCTCAAGAAGAAGTTATTGAAACTATCTTGACTTTGGTTAGACGTGCCGAAAACCCAATCATTTTGGTTGATGCTTGTGCCGCCAGACACGACTGTAAGCCAGAAGTTAAGCAATTGGTTGAACTCACTCAATTCCCCGTGTTTGTTACCCCCATGGGTAAAGGTACTGTTGATGAAGGTGGAGTTAGTGGAGACTTGCTTTCCGACGACCCACAATTGATTTCTAAAATCACAGCTAAATTAGCCCAAGGTAAGACTGTGGCTTCTAGATTTGGTGGGGTTTACATTGGTACTTTATCTAAGCCAGAAGTCAAGGAAGCTGTTGAACAAGCTGATTTGATTATTTCTGCTGGTGCATTATTATCTGATTTCAACACTGGTTCATTCTCGTACTCTTATGGTACTAAGAATGTCATTGAGTTCCACTCTGACCATACCAAGATCAGACAAGCCATTTTCCCTGGTGTCAAGATGAAGGAACTTTTGCAACAGGTGATTTCCAGAATTGGTCCTGTAGTCAAGGGATACAAGCCAAAGCCAGTGCCAAAGATTAAGATGATCAACACTCCTGCTCCAAAGACTGCTTCTTTGACTCAAGAATGGTTATGGACCAAGGTCAGTTCCTGGTTCCAAGAAGGTGATGTCATTATTAGTGAAACTGGTACTTCTGCATTCGGTATCCCACAAACCAGATTCCCTAATGACGTTGTGGGTATTTCCCAAGTTTTGTGGGGTTCAATTGGTTACTCGGTGGGTGCTACTTTGGGTGCGGTCATGGCTGCGCAAGAAATCAACCCAGATAAGAGAGTCATTTTGTTTGTTGGTGACGGTTCATTGCAATTGACTGTACAAGAAATCAGTACTATGATTAGACATGGAACTACACCATACCTTTTCGTGTTGAACAATGATGGTTATACCATTGAAAGATTGATTCACGGGGAAAATGCTGGATATAATGACATTCAACCATGGAAGAATTTGGAATTGTTGAACTTATTCAATGCTAAGGACTATGAATCTATCCGTATTTCTACAATTGGGGAAGCCGAAGCTATATTTTCAGACAAGAAGTTTGCCAAGAACTCCAAGATCAGATTGATTGAAGTTATGTTGCCAAGAATGGATGCTCCACAAAATCTTGTCAGACAAGCAGAAATCACTGCCAAGACTAATGAAGGTTAAAAGTTCCGTGATCTATTCCTTCACCTGTTTATGTAAAATTGCGATGACTATTTTTTATAGTATTTTTATTTAATAGTATTTGTCATCATAAACTATTATGCAATGCATACTATGATCAGTAATGTCTAACGGGCTTGCCTTGTATGATATGATTATTAATGTATAAATGGCTTATGTTGAAGTTTAATGTGTCATAAGGCTTATCTTTGAAGATATTGAAAGAGTCATGAAGTGTGGTTCGCTTATGACGTAAGGTGCGCTGTAAACGTGACGCACTCCGGGCTATATATCCGAGACAAGCTCGGATTTAACTTAAAAATCCGAGCAGATTCTTGCGTGTAATGCATTAATTTTTTCTTCTGTGGCTTATCGATCCGAATTTTTCACTTTGACAGGATTTTTTGGAAAACCGCAGGGAGGGGGGAAGGGGGATTCGCAAATCCAGAAAAACTATAAATTGATGGGGGAATACCTGATTATGTAATTCTCTCGCTTACTATTTAAATTCAAATAATAACACTACAATGGCTTCCAATCCTCCATCTGAATGCTGTGCTAAATTCTCTCTCCATGAAGGTACCCCAGCTGGTGTCTACAACGAAGTTGGTGGTTTAGACACCTATGTCGTTGGTCAAGGTGATCGTTACATCGTTATCCTCACTGATGTCTATGGTCATCGTTTCAAGAACACTCAATTAATTGCTGATGAATTATCTAGAAACGGTTACAAGGTTTTGATTCCAGATATCTTGAAGAACGATCCTATTGGACCAAATCCTGATTTCCCAACCTGGTTAGCTGCTCATGGTAACGACATTACATCTCCAATTGTCGATGGATTCTTAGCCAAGGTCAAGCTGGAATTGAAGCCAAAGTTCTTGGTTGGTATCGGTCACTGTTTCGGTGCTAAGTACGCCATCCAACAATTGGCTGAAGGTAAGTACTTGGATGCTGCTGCTGTGGCTCATCCTTCATTTGTCGCTATTGACGAAGTTAAAGAAATCAAACGTCCAATTTTGATTTCTGCCGCTGAAACCGATCAAGTCTTCCCAGCTGAATTGAGACGTCAAACTGAAGACGAATTGCTCAAGTTGGGTGTTAGATATCAATTAGACTTGTTCTCCGGTGTTGTCCATGGTTTCGCCGTTAAGGGTGACGTCAGTATTCCTTTAGTCAAATACGCCAAGGAAAAGGTTGTCAGAGATCAAATCTACTTCTTTGACAGTGTTGACGCTTTAAGAGTTTAGATAGTTTATCATACATTAAATTCATTTATACACTACTGTTTAACATCCTCTATATCACCTTTGCTGGAATCAAAAAGAACAATCCCATTTTCTCTAGCATTGGCTCTTTCTTCCCGCTTATAAAACCACAAGACAACGATAGTCCACACACTCAAAGCAACTGCACTAGAAGCAGTAAAAGAGAAACCCTTCAAGAAACGTGGTGCTTCAACCGTGGGCCATACCAACACAGAAATCCACGCAGTAGACTGTTGTGCTAAGATGTTCATAGAAACAAGCACAACTTGACGTTCTCGAATGTCCTTTCTACAGATATCACCCTGCCATGAATAAAGCACCGGAGCCATGGCCCATCCGAAATATTGTAAACAAAAGGCAAACCATTTCGCACCCTCGGGGATATGCCACACGGCAAGAAGGACGTTCCCAATGACATTAAACACCTGGGAAAACAAAATAGCACCTGATCTCGATTTGAACAAATCAGCAAATGAACAGGTAATGATAAGCCAGATAAGTCCGAGCCCCGGTGTTAATGCAGTATAATCTTGCAATTGGCCGGGACCAAACCTTGGACTGCCATCGGCGTTAGTCAATGATTTCAACCAAAGTGCGTACGACCCTGAACCGGCGTTGGAATTGTTCCAACAAAAAATATTCCAAAGACAAAGCACGTAGAAATGCCATGATGTGAAGATCGACTTCCAGATCTCGGCATTAAAGAAGTGCTTGACTGCGTTTTCACGAGGTTTGTGATCCTTTTGATCCTTGATCATTCTTCTACGAGCAATTCTAATGTCGTCATCGGAAAGGAAGATACTGTAACAGTCTTCGGGAGTTCCTGGAATCATGTAGAACCCGATAAAACCAACAACAACGGAAATGATCCCGTCAATGATGAAAATCCATTGCCAAGATTGAAGACCGTGAACACCACCCATAGTTCTGGCAATGGCTCCGGATAATAAACCAGAGGTTAAGACACCAAGATATTGACCTAAATAGTAGAATCCGGCTCTACGGGAGATTTCTGCAGTACTTCCCTTAAACCAGGAGGCAAATAAGGCATGGTAGGCAAGATATGAAGGTGCTTCAAATGCACCAATAAGGAATCTAAGCGCTTTCAAGGTAGCAACATTTTCCACTCGGTACAAACACACAGTGAGAATGGACCAACAAAGATCTAAAGCAGGCAAGACATAATTCAATGGGACAGCATATAAGATATACATGAATGGGATTTGAAAGATGATGTTACCCACGGAAAACATCACACCAGTATTAACAAAATCATTCCCTTGCATATTGATGGCTTCTTTTAATCCGCCGACATAAGCATTAGTAAGGTTTGTTTGATCTAAATACTTAACCCAGTATGCCATCAAGGAATAGAAAGTTAAAAGCAAATCAATCTTGAGAATAACACGACGTTCTTCAGGAGTATCATCTTCGTGAAACCAATGATACCATTTTCTATTTGATTTAGTTTCCTTGTTCACACGGTATTCATATTCATCAAAGAATTTCCACCAAGGACGGTCTTTTTCATCACGGTATTCCAAAACAGTAGAGTCTTTGACTTCGATTTCCACTACGTTCTTGTCACTTGATTTTTCAAACGATTCACTTGAGTCATCAACTTCGTGTTTGTGGTAGATGAAATTCCCATTTTCATCTTCATCAACGATTCTTCTTGTGGGGAAGATCCCCCATTTCAATCTACTAAACACAGTAGCAGCGTAAGATTGTGTCATGTCTGGTTTTACTATCTACAAGTGAACAATTTTTAAAATGGAGAGATGGAGGGGCTTCGCTCATTATTTATAACTGGTTTATTGTATGGCCCAGTTTAGCAATTTTGCATCAACCGATCCATTGTATGAATATTAAAAAATTTTTTTTTGCAGTATTGTTATCTCGAATCCTCCACTGTGGCTAATCCTAATACAATCAAAGGCCGCGAAAAACCTACTATTAGCGCCGTGCTTTGCGCTTCTCGTGTGAATTAGACCCACCACACTATGTCTTTTGTGACAAAATAGCTGACTCTGTGTGACTCTGACCACGCCATTTTATCAATATCCATACAACTTACGACACGACGGCGTTTGAATGCATGACTCAATGTTACCTAATTACAGCCGCAAAAACGTTTAAGTTACAATGCCAGTACTGTATCTAGCGTATCTAGTGAAATGCTATCTGGATGTCGCCAAGTCACGTGAGTCATTATTTAGGTTTGATATCGCCGTTCCACTTTGACAAGTTATATCAAAATTCTTGGCATGTGAGCAGGGACAAGGTAGAACAGAGCGTATCTTAATTACCGAAAAAAGTGTGGTTGCACTTATCTTTGCGCGGTTTGCGCGGTTAGGCATGGATTTTACCGGGATAATGATAGTTTCACTTTTAGCCGTGGCTATCTCTCGTATAGTCTTTGTTGTAGAGGGCTTCTTCATAAGTTTATTAAGGCGGTGGGTGGGGGCTATCAGGAGATGCTTTTGGCTAGAACATACATTGTTTTGTTTGGATGTTGCATTAGCTGTTGGAATTATGTAATCGTTTTTCTTTTTTATAATATAAACTGGAGCAGCCACAGTGGACTAACGTACGATACGGGAATGGTGCTCTACCGTTCGATCCGATGAACTTGTCTTGGCAGGCGATACTATTGGTACTTTTGTATAATTTTTGCGAAATATGTCGGAAATATACAAAAATAGGTGCAAAATAAATAATTTTTTGGGGGATACCATGATAGAGTACTACATAGTCAAAAGATAACAGGACCAGGCCACACATCATTGGATACAATATAACCAACAATCCAAATCGTACAAGGGCTCATAGTACATTATCTTACTGAAATATGTAGAACTATATGGAAAGAAGTACTGCTGTTTTATTTTGACTACTTATGGTTTTATATGCAGGTTGTTATATTATGGTTGCAAACATTTGATGAGAGAAGAAACCATTTGGAAGCTCCTATTTAGATTAATTTAGATAAAATTCAAGCGAAATTTAGCGTATTGATGCTGATAATCTCCTGAATCTATACCAGAACCTGACAATAGTTATTTTGGCCATTATCTCATGAAGGCTCTCATCCTTCTATTCCGAGATGACATCAGAGTGCAACCAAAAAAAAAAAAAATTCAAAAATTTTTCATGAGCTTAGTAACTATAGAACAACAACAACCATGCCTACTGAATTAGAAGAACTTGTATCATTCCTTCACTCACCCCAACCAGCGGTTGTTCAAATCGCCTTGGACAATCTTGTTGGATACTCCCAATCCGCACATCAACAAGTGTTTGCCTATGACAACTATACCGCCATTACCGATTTGAAAAATTTAAGCAAATCCAATTCCCTGACCATGGTGCAACAAAGTATCACTATATTGGCCAACTTGTGTGATGATCTCATCATGAGAAACTTGATTGTCGAAGATGACGACTACTTGAAGTATTTGTGTACGCAAATCATCAACTTGAAGAATGTCAATTGCGACTTGATGTGTATTTTATTGACTAACTTGGCCAAGAACGATAACATCACCAAGGTACTCGAGTTTGAAATAGAGAAGTTCGACGATGAGCAAAAGAAGCATTTTTCTTCCACTAAAATCATCGATTGTCTCATGGACTGTTTCGTCAAGGGATACGACAGAAATTTAAACAAGTATGCCAACTTCGACTACTTGGCCTACTTCTTTGCCGATTTGTCCCGGTACACTCAAGGTAGATCATACTTTGTCACCCCACAATCCTACGATAATGTTGTCCCACTTAGTAAATTATTAGTGTTTACCGAAAAGTACGATGCCAAGATCAGAAGAGAAGGTGTTTGTTCCACAATCAAGAATTCCTTGTTTGATACCAATTCCCACATGAGATTATTGGAAGATGAACAAATCAACTTGTTGCCATTTATCTTATTGCCATTAGCTGGCCCTGGTGAAGGCATAGACGAAGAAGATATGTTTGAATTGCCTGATGAATTACAATTGTTACCAGAAGACAAGCAAAGAGAACCATTGAATGGAGTCATTGCTATCCATTTAGAATCTATCTTGTTGTTATGTACCACCAGACAAGGTAGAGAATACCTCAGAAACAAATCCGTGTATGCCATCATCAAGGAATTACACAAAGACAATAACAATGAACAAGTTGTCGATTTATGTGATAGAGTTGTGCAAATGTTAAAGAGAGACGAAGCACCCGTGGATGCCGCCGACGAAGAAAGTGACGAAGAAGACGATAAAATAGTGGAGATTTTATAGATAGACTAGGTAATATTTATTCTTTAAGGACTAATTTCCCATCAACCAATTTCAAGTTTTGTTTAACAATAGTAATGATTCTTTGTTTGTTATCTTTGTGAGCACTAACCCTACTCTTTAACCCAACCAATAGCTCTTTAGTGGTTAATGGATTATTACGAACAATATCCAAAACATCATTCACGGTGACTAGGACATTGTCAGGACCCGATGAATTAAGGTCTATAGTTGTTGTTGTTGTTGTTGTTGTTGTTGTTGTTGTTGCTGTATCAATTGGTGATGGTGACTTGGTAGGTGATGCAGCAATATCCGTTAATGGAGATTCTGACTTTTCTTCTAATTTAATCTTCTTTTTAGGCGAAGTGATATCTGGAGTTGGCCTACGACGAACTTGAGGATTCCATTCTCCTTTAGGAAGTGTAGACAAGAATGATGCTGGTGCTTTGATCGTGACATACCCAGAATCTATGTGATGAACATATATGGTACGATGATAATGTTGGGCAGTTTGATTGTTTTCAAGCTTGACTTCATCTTCCTTTTTAACAACAACCTCATCCTCGTCATCTGATTCATCATTACTTTCTAAATCAGATTTAGATAAGTATGGTAATAACCCTTCTTCATCATCGTCGTCATCGTCATAAACTCCACCTTCTCGTTTATTCAACACCTTCCGTAATTTCTTTCCTTCTTTATCCACCTTTCTTGTCTTTTCAGTTTCGAATAAATCATCCAAATCATCCAAATCACCTTCAACATCCGACTTCCCATCGAAATGGGCTGCTTTAAGCATTTCCTTTTTAATTTTCCGTTCCGAAAGTTTATTCTCTTCTTCATCCCCATCCATGATTGGTGCTTCTTCATCATCAGCAAATTCTTCATCGTAATCCAAATCGTCATGATCAGAATCACGATCGTTAGATTCACGACTGGCACTACCACCAATGACAGTTCGCAATCTTGGTCTTGAACTTGAAGGTCCCGGTTGTATGGCTCTATTAAAAGTACTGCCTCCATTGGCAGCACTAGAATTTCTAAATCTTTGATCAGGAATAGTATCCAGAGTCAGTCTGTCTTCCATATGTTTCATTAACCATCTAGGAACAGTGGCATTTCTTTCCATTTTTGCCTCCGCTTCTTCCAATGTCAAAGTAGCATATTTATTTCTTGGTGTGAATCGATATACTTTTTCAGCCGGAACCATTTTGAATCCATCTTTGTCAAATACAAATAATACATGCTGAGATTCGGAGGAACCAGCTTCATAGTTCCCCACAAACACATTTTTCCCATCGTAATCCTCAATGACCCAGGGGTAATGCTCCTCGTACCGAAGTTTCCTCTTGGCGTCATCCATAAGGTTAATCTGACGGGTTTTCCTCTTGAATAGATTCTTCTTTTGTTTACGAGCACCACCGTCAGGAGCAACCTGGGCCAAGTTAGCTCCCCCAGGAGTAACCATCGGTTTGTCGGGCGCAACCTCACCATTATTCTCCGCTGGGACTTCCCCATCTTGCTGCTCTTGTTTTTCCCGTTTAAGCTCCTCATTCTCGCGTTTCCTGATATCCAACTCGCGTCTCGTTAGATGGAACTGGATATTCCGGGGATCCTTCCGATGTAACCTCACCGGCTTCACAAAGTTATCAACAATGTCAACATCCTGCTTGGAGATGAACTTCATGATGTGGTACCGAGTGTCGTTCAATTCATCGGCTGTGCATGCCTTAAGTGGAATTTCTTGCCATTCTTGTTTGATTGTGTCTGGTTGTGGTTCCTTTTTTATTGGCTGACTCATTTGAATGGCAATAATACAAAGAACTGAAATGGGATTGTCTAAGCATTTTTTTTTCCGTTGGGTTGGAGAAATAAGTGGGATGAAATATGTCGTACGATATGAAATGTCGGGATACCTGCGACATTTATACCAAGTAGACCAGTACAGCTAAATAATACACAAATTTTCATGATAAAGTAGGATTTCCTATAGCTCAGTGGATACTGTGATTGATGTTGGTAATGTGGGAGTACTATTGAGTAGAGTACTGGCTCAATTGAAGGAAACACCTGGAATTATGGTGGCATGAAACCAATATTTCAAATGGATTATTTGCCCATTTCAGTTGCCAAACGGGAGTCAACTATTACCAAATTCACCAAGATATCATATCAGGATAGTAACTGTTCGTATATAGTCATTGCTGTGAATACCTTTGCTAACCCGATACATTGTGAACCAACGGAAGGTAGAGCCATTGTGGTTGAAAGACGCACTCACATGTCCAAATCAAAACATCATAGGATTACTAATATTTATTATCACTCCATTAGTTCTAGTCAGCGGTCCACTTCACAACGTACACGGTCTTCTTTGTCTGACTCACCGCCCGATAGCGGCGATTTTTTTCTTATTCCATATCTCCGCTCAAACCAAAACCGGCGCGCGCCAGATGAAGAAAAATATATATATGAATCAGTGAATCGAATTTCCACCCAACTTGCAGTAAACTTTCTCTAGATCACCAACCATGTCCATAGTAGTAGAAGATAAAGAAGAAGAGCTCTGGCAACGCCATGAAAGGCACGAACCTAACCAACCACCACGATATCTCGGTTTTGTAGCTGGTATGGCCTCGGGAGTTATGAAAAATGTCGTGGGTCATCCATTCGATACCGTCAAGGTGCGACTCCAGACAGCACCTGCGGGACAATTTCGGGGTCCTATTGATTGTGTATTACAAACATTGCGTCGTGAGGGTCCCTTGGGGTTTTATAAAGGATTTACTCCACCTCTCGTTGGTTGGGTGCTTATGGATTCTGTCATGTTGGGCAGTTTGCACGTGTACAGACGATTAATTAAGGAGAATGTCTACCCTGACCAGGAAAAGTTGCCTTTGATGGGTCATGTAGTTGCTGGATTAGGTAGTGGGTTGACTGTCAGTTTTGTGGCGGCACCAATTGAACAGTTCAAGGCAAGATTACAGATTCAATATAACAACAACACCAAGTTGTATACTGGACCTATAGATGTTGCTACTAAGTTATACAAAGTCAGTGGGATAAGAGGGATATATAGCGGGTTATTGCTGACAATGATTTTTAGAACTAATTTCGTATTCTGGTGGGGATCATACGAATTGTTCACACAATGGTTTGAAGCAAACACCAAGCTTCTGAAACCAGCAATCAACTTCTGGAGTGGTGGGTTATCTGCTACTGTTTTCTGGATTTTCGCATACCCCGCTGACGTAGTGAAGCAAACCATCATGACTGATTCCCCACATGCAGCTGAAAAGAAGTTCCCTAGATGGATCGATGCCGTCAAATACATTTATAGAGAACGTGGTGGGATTTCTGGTTTTACACGAGGCTTTGGTCCTTCGATATTACGATCTTTCCCTGCCAATGCGGCGGCATTGGCTGCTTTTGAAGCAGTGATGAGATTCTTACATTAAATTATTATAGATAAAATATAGATTATACAGATTAGTTTTTCTCCCATGGCTTGGCTCTTTGTGATTGACTAGCAGTTGATCCTTGTCCGGATAACACCGTATCAGGAATTTGTTTAATTCCAGGAACTGGTTTTCCTGACATGATCAATTCCACCACATTTTGATAATTGGAAGTATATGGCGCACTACTGTCTTCTTGTACCTCCTCCACTTGTTTGCTCTTGATGTATTTATCTCCATTATGTAACTTCCAATCTTCATAATCTTCCAAATTTAAAATTTCTCCTGTCTTGTTACAGAAAAAGAACACCTTGGCTTGATTGGTTAATTGCTGCTTGTCCAAGGCAGGTATACTAGTTATGCTTGGGTCTTGTTCTTTCAAAGTTTCTAAATGGTTATCCAAGATTTCAGATAACCCCTGTTGGAACTCATCGAATGAGTCCCAATCATAATTCAAATATTGTTTGTAAACTTCTTCCTGTGGGTTGGCCATATCTGCTTCGCTTGCAAGTTCACCTACATTTATTACTCTTTTTTTTTGTTGTCTATTTGTTTTTTTTTAGATTTATATTTACAACACACCAACAATGATTGAAATCAAACATGTGCTAATCGTGTCAATCATCCTACGAATTGCATTCTTTGGGTATGGTCTATATCAAGACAAATATATGGTGGTAAACTATACCGACATTGATTATCTTGTCTTTTCTGACGCTTCTCAATTCGTGTATAACGGACAATCACCCTATTTGAGAGAAACATACCGATACACACCTTTACTCAGCTGGTTGTTGATTCCCAATAACTTCACATTCTTATTTGACAATGCGATATGGTATAATTTTGGCAAGGTTTTGTTTATGGCTTGTGATTTGATCACGGGGTACCTCATTATGAAGTTGCTTGCCAAAGACCAAACATTGACGAAAAGAAAGATTATGTCGTTGAGTGCAATTTGGTTGATTAATCCTATGGTTATTACAATCAGCACAAGAGGATCTTCAGAAAGTGTGCTTACTGTCATGATTATGTTGTCAGTGTACTATTTAATTGTCAGGGATAATGTTGTAGTTTCCGGGATATGGTTAGGTGTAGCCATCCATTTCAAGATATATCCAATCATATATTTGCCTAGCATATTATTATATTTACAAAGCACACCATTTATAAAACAAATTCCAATTTTGAACCTAGTCAACTTGAAAAACTTGCAATTTTTCATATCGACAATAATCACCGTGGTTGTACTCACATTAGGAATGTATTGGGTATACGGATACGAATTCATAGATAATTCATACTTGTACCACCTCACCCGACTTGATCATCGCCACAATTTTAGCATCTACAACATGGCACTCTACTATAAATCTGCCCTCCCCTTTGCAACTACATCGTACAACGACATTGAGAAATTCACATTCATACCTCAGTTGCTTCTCTCGTCATTGATCATCCCATTGACATTTGCCCAGACAGACCTCGTGTCAACGTTATTCTTACAAACATTCACATTTGTTACGTTTAATAAGGTGGTTACATCACAATACTTTATATGGTTCTTGATATTCTTGCCCCATTACTTATCGAAATCGACTTTGTTAACCGCGAATAAAGTCAAGGGAGTGGTAGTGTTATTGAGTTGGGTTGTGAGTCAAGGCGCTTGGTTATATTTTGCATATTTGTTGGAGTTTGAGGGGGTAAATACGTTTGACTATGGGTTGCTTTATGCTAGTATTGGGTTTTATTTGTGTAATTGTTGGTGTTTGGGGGTATTTATCGATAAGTTAGAGAGCAAACTGGCCGATTTAAGCTCCAAGAAGGAGTTATAACCGTCAATATTTGTAAGTAATTAAAAATACAAGACATGTATAATTTTTCAGCCAAGCAATAAATTGCGCTACCAAGCACAGAATCTACATCTATTTAATTTTTTTTTCGGGTTCATTGCGATGATTAAACATCAACCAGACTACATTAATAGAAGCATACAATGGAATTATACTCACCGGAAGGATTAAGAATTGATGGACGTCGTTGGAATGAACTCCGTCGATTTGAATGTAAAATCAACACTCATCCACATTCTGCCGATGGATCATCATATGTTGAGCAAGGAAACACAAAGATAATCTGCATGGTTCGAGGACCCATGGAACCCGCCATGAAATCACAAGTTAACGCTACGTCATCCACGGTAGAAGTCAATGTTCTGCTTGCTAACTTCTCCACTTTTGAGCGTAAGAAACGATCCAAGACTGATAAGCGAATCACCGAGTTGAAAACTACATTAGAGAGAACATTCAATGAATGCATAATGGGGCATCTCTATCCAAGAACGCTTATTTCAGTCACCGTTCAAGTATTGGCTCAAGACGGAGGGTTGCTTGCTGCCATGACTAACGCAGTCACATTAGCATTGATAGATGCTGGTATAGCGATGTATGATTATGTAAGTGGAGTGAATGCCGGGTTATATGATCAAACCAGTGCATTACTTGATTTAAACACCTTGGAGGAAAACGACATGTGTAGTTTAACCATTGGTGTTATAGGTAAGAGTGAAAAATTAGCGTTGGTAGTGTTGGAGGATAAATTACCGTTGGATAGGTTAGAACTGGTCTTGGCAATTGCCATTGCTGGTAGTCATCGGATTCGAGAGTTGATGGATATGGAAGTTAGAAAACATGGTAATATGAGATTAGCTAAAGTTAGCGTATAGTTTACATATACATCCTAATTAGGAAATTGTACAATTTTAGACAACGCGCACGACCACACAAAATTTGATGGTAGTGGATTTCGTGGCATCTTCTCGTTTTGTCGTGGGGGGAGGAGGGGGCCTGTGAATAAATCAAAGCAATTAGCAGGTGATTTCTTTCTCAAGGTTACTCCAATTGTTTGATCCATATATATTCTGTCACCCGTGGGAGCATTACAGACAGTCCCATTGAATATTTTTTTTTAAAAAAGTAATAATACCGCCATGTCATATCGTGGTCATTCAGAATTCAACAACCAGTTCAACAATCAATTCAATCGCGGTGGGGTCCCCATGCCCCAACAACCAATCCCACGTATGAACTCCACCACCACTCCTAATACATCACCTTTGGAAAAATTCGAACAATTCTCCAAACAAGTGGAGGACCTGATTGATAAATACTTTCGACCATTGAAGCCATTTGTGCCTGCCATTGCCAGAGCATTCCTCGTGGCTACGTTTTACGAAGACACCATTAGAATCATATCTCAATGGTCGGAGCAAGTGTACTATTTGCACAATTATCGGAGATACTGGAAGTGGTTTACTGTGTTCTTTTTAGTCAACAACATCGTGCTCATGTCTGTGGCCCTGACTGCCGTGATTATCCGTAAAAAGAGCAACATTGCCACCTCAGCGTTGATCTTTGTCGTTATCGTTCAAGGATTGGGGTATGGGCTTATCTTCGATGCCCAGTTCATCTTGCGTAACTTGTCGGTTGTTGGGGGTTTAGTTCTTGCGTTTGCTGATTCGATTGTGAGAGACAAGAGAAGTTTGAACATGCCTGGATTACCAATGATTAATAACACCGACAATAGAAAGTATTTACTCTTGGCAGGAAGAATCTTGTTGGTGTTGTTATTCACCGGGTTTGTGTTTAGTTCCGGTTGGTCCATGGGCAGATTATTTATTATTGTTATTGGCTCAATTTCCTGTTTGTCCATTATTGTTGGGTACAAGACCAAATTCGCAGCTGCTGTGATGCTGATTTTGTTGCTCATTTACAATGTTTTAGTTAACCAATTCTGGCTCTACGGAAGCAAGGATTCACATCGCGATTTCTTGAAGTACGAGTTCTTTCAAATATTGAGTATTGTCGGTGGATTGTTGTTGGTGGTCAATGCCGGTGCTGGTTCATTATCTATTGATGAAAAGAAGAAGGTTTATTAGAAATGGTATGTAGCAAAAAACATCTCGTCACGTGATAAATAGAGATCCAGGTTTTTCTTTTTTTGAAAATTTCAGCTAATCAAGATTAACGGATAGTAATTACACTGTGTAGAAAACAACAAGTAATGGCGGACGAGAGTGAACAGCCTAAATGTCCAGTAGATCCATCGACAAGATCTTCATGGTTGTCATTATGGAAGAAGCCTGCTCCGCAAGTCGACATACCCAAGCAAAAGCAAGAGCCGGAAGCTGCTGCTGCTGCAGCTGCTGCTGGAGACCAACCTAAATGCCCCGTAGACCATAACGCCCGATCCGCATGGATGAACAACGTATCGGTGCAGATCAATACTGAAGCCATAGAAGAACCAGAAGGATGCAGTTCCAACGCCGTCAACCAGGATCTAACCACCGCAGGCGCCCCCTCAGACCTCGCTACTGAGCGTGAAATAAGTTCCATTCCACGAACATCTGCAGACAGTAATTGGATCTACCCCTCGCAGAAGCAATTCTTTGACGCTATGAAACGTAAGCAGTGGAATCCAGAGAAGGAGGATATGAAAACCGTTGTTCCTATTCATAACGCTGTCAATGAGCAAGCATGGAGACATATCCAGATGTGGGAAGCGCCCTATGCTGAAGAGACCCACCAGAAATGTGGCGGCGTTTCATTAACTTCGTTCAAAGGTGACCTGAAGAAGTTGACTCCGCGAGCATGGTTCAAATCGTCAGTGTTGGGTTACGCCAAGCCATTTGACCGTCATGATTGGACCGTGGACCGTTGTGGCGTTTCAGTCGAGTATGTGATTGATTTCTATGGGAGCGAGGGCACCACGGGGCCCAGTTTCTTCCTTGACGTTCGTCCCAAGATCAACACGCTCGAAGGATTTAAACTAAGACTACGTAGGGCGTTAGGAGTATAAACGTTTTATATTTATAGCTTGTATATATACAGAAAAATTCTAATTCTACTTTCTTCCCATAAAAGCACCGGATTGACCCAACTTTTGCATGTTTTCACCCACTTGCACGTTGGTTTCAAAGTACTTGGCAACACATCTGTCCAAACAGAGAGCTTCTTGTTTGGTGACGTCGCTTTCATTGTATTGCTTAGAAATACACTTGTTGTGACATTGGTTAACCAAAGCGTTGAACATGCCGGTTACCATGTCTAATTCGGCTTCTGCCGCTTGCAACTTTTGTTGTGATGTAACTTGTGGGGCTCCTCCTAATCCAAACATTGTGCTTTGATATTCCTTCTTGATGGCAACCAACAACCGGTCAGTCTTTTTTTTTTTTTTTTAGATGTTGAAAATTTTCCTTTGGTGGAGATGTGAAAAAATATCAACTACAAAAAAAAAAATAATAATAATAAATTAAAATTATTAGTTTGCTCTTGATAACTATATATTATATAGGAACTATTATAACCCAGGAAACGTAATCATTATATGACCACCAAATAAAAACTCATCAAATGGAATAGTCTTCTTCATCTCTTCCAACATTGCCTTTTGTTCCGGTGAAAACAACGCAAATCCGTGTCCAATAATGATATTCTTCTCCAGCATACTAATCATCCCACCAAGATTACACAATCGGGCATGCATCAACCCTGGAATGTTCATGATTTGATTAACATACTTTTCTGTAATGGTGTGCTTAACATCGTAGTGATACTTCATGAACCTCCATGTCTGTGTTTGGATATTCAACACGGATACCCGGATGAATATCGAGTTGTCGGTACACAACGGGAATCGGGCAAACCGGGCAACATCAAATTTATCACTCTTGTAAGGAACCTTGTCAAAATTACGTAAATAGTCCTGGCGCAACCCACCGATAAAGAACAAGTAATCCCGCTCTTCATTCTTGTAATACATCGCAGTATGGTGACATCCTCGCAACTCCGCCGGCTTTAATTCTGGAGTCTCCACCTCCGTTTGTGGAGTGTACTTGTTAAGATCATCATCCTCATTAGGATCGAGCGGCACATTGAAGTAGTCGTACACATACGTGTTCAACCGTTCCCATTTACCAGTTTGGAAAACAAACAACCAGAAATCACTAAAGAAATTATTCGAATCGTCACATCCACCTTGCACAAGCAACGCCTTACTGGAAAGGTACTGTTCCGCTTGCGAAATTTCCGATTCATTGAGGACAGACCCACATTGGAAACTAGCACCATTACCCTCGTCAGCTGCAGGGGTGTCAATCTGGGGTAATTGAAACGACGAAGAACTATTCGGTGGTATCTGGTTCGCAAGCCCTGGTTTTAAGGAACAGCTTGGGTCGATGGCTACTTCAAAAGCGCAATTCTCCTCAAGACTTTGGTCCTGGTGATCAATCAACACCAGGGCGAAATATCCTCGTGCCTCGGGCCATTCTCCATCTTCAACACTAATATCAAAATGACCATCCTTGGGCGTACCCACACTAGAAACAAGCGCTTCGGGCAAGAATGAAAACCCGCCTAAACCGCGTTTCTCATCGTTTCCTCGTGTTGACAATTCAATCTTTAACAAGTCTGACGTGGCGCGGAAATGCTGTATTCCATCAACACCAATATTATCCATGATGAACCCACCATATACAAACACAACCACACAAGCAATGGACGAGGCTTGGTTAAACAAGACATTTTCGTTACCTTCATGGTGCTTCTTGATTCCACTGGGGTCTTCTTCCGAGACAATCAGAGCCACTTCTTCCAAATCGTCAAAGCGGCCATTGTTGCTGATATTAACACGACGATTGGATTTGTATGTTTCGCCATCGAGGATGTAACTAGGGAATGGGTATTGGATTTGTGGACTTGAACTGGATTGGTTTGGTTGTGATTGCGAGGGTAATACAGGCACGCCCACTGGATTTGGAGTAGGACTCAGATTTTCAGACTTAATCGAAGGCGTGTGAGTGGTTGGTGTTGGTGTGGATGATTCATTGATTAAGTTAGATACAGACCCAGCAAATCCCGCGGTTGATGTAGTACTCACAGTATTAATTGTGCTCGACGTGGTAGTTGGAGTGTTCAATTGACCTGGAGGTACAGCCTTGGTGGCCACAAGATTAGGCGAAACAGTTCTCGAGCCTGGTCTTGAGTTTGTTGTCCCGGGATTAGGCGACTTTGATCGATGCTCCTTGTGTCGTTGAGAATAACTGTACTTTAGTGGATGTGGTGATCTGATTCTTGATCGTGAGCTCAGTAATGATCCTGAGTCTTGGCTTGGTGATTGATTATTTGTGTTAGAACTACTGGTACCACCAGCTGTTCCTGAACTTCCACTACCTCCCGGACTACCATCGGATAATGTATGTCTATGTCTGTGGAAAATCCTGGTTGATTTAGCAAGTACATTCCCCATCATCTTGGTGGTTGAGCTTGAAGGGGTTTGCAATAATGTTGTGGATGGGGTAGCCGTGGTTGTCGATGTTGTTGTTGCTGGTGTACCCGTGGTAGCACTCGGAGAATTGTTTACAGCTGGTAAATTCGGATTGATTCTCAATTTGCCAATACTTGGAGGTTGATGCTTATTATTCTGTAACTGTGATGGCAAGACAGGTGGGGGGATATGAGGAGGTGGCAACTTACCAGAATTCTCCGATGAACTTTGTGATTCAACGGAGTTAGTAGTAACTATCCGATGTAATGATGAATGCTTTGACGCATTGCTTGCTGTGAATGAACCAGCGTCCTCATTTTTTAAATTGTTAAATTTGAGATTCACACTTGTATGACTGGTGGTGGCAAAGCTAAGCTCTCGGTTAGGTGATTTGCTATGACTGACTCCATTATTGACCCCACTGGCTAAACTACTTGCTGCTGTACCTGTTCGGGTTCCTGGAGCTCGTTCTGCTGTATATGGAACGGTAGTTGCTGTGAATATCGGAGGCAGGGGTGCTCGGGGAAACGAATTCATGTACTCCCCACCATCATACACATTGGCGCATATCCCATTTCCCATTCTTCCCAACGTAATAAACGAATTCTCCTTGCCTGACAACTTAACCTTGGTGAACTTCAACGTGACGGTGTCGACGATATATCCATCTTCATTCAACACGAAATCCTTGTGAATCAACCATCGGTCCATCTCAGGGTTATAACTAACCAGTCGATCAACAATTGACCACCCTCCATAAAAGAAGAAATGTCGCTTGGAGACTTGTGTACCAGTCATGGCATTGATCCCCAGGGGATATTCCTCCATTTGTGCCGTGTCCAAACAAGTAACGGACCCCCTTTGGGCATTAAACATAAAGAAGTTTGGGTAGGATTGCATAAAAGGATTGGTCATGAGTTTTGTGTTGACAAAGGGTGGTAATTGGTAGGGGAACTTCACCGATACGCGAGCTAAATCAACATCAAGCGGTAATCCCAAGTGTTTGAAATTCGATGCTTTATTCACGTACAATCCACCAAACACATATGTCAAATTGTCGTGGTTTAAGTGAGTCAGGTAGATCAACTTCGGCACATCTTGGCATAATTTCTGATGTCTGCTACTACGGTATCCATTAGGCACATTATATGTGACTCTTGGTATGGACAAATACCCTGCAAATGCACCAGGATAATCTTCATTGTAAAACACATCACCAATTGTCGTTTGTGATATATCCTTCAATTGGTCTTCGGTGGGTGGGCCATGGGAATGCACTGTACTTAGTGATTGTGATCCTGCTGAATTCTTGCGCAGGAATGCCGCGTGTTCAATTTCATCAAGAACTAATTTAGGGGCAAACATGTTCTGGTCGTAGCTACGTACAAGCTTCTTCTTGGTAGTGTCTTCCTGCAATGGTTCAAATGTTATTATTGAATAGGGGATGTCGTATCCATGGATCCATCCTTGTTCATCCAGTTCAAGGAACTCCAATTCCTTCTGCTTGATGTAATCTTCAGAATATCGTGGCTGTGGAGTTGATCGGTGACTGCTGTTGCTATGACTATATCGGGACATATTCTGATTTTCAAAAGTTGATCGCGTAGGCACTTGCGCGAGGTTGAAGTCGCTGGAAGATGATATTGGTGATGAATTGTCGTCATAGCTTCTGGGTGTGTATTCCACATTATCGCTTTGTGAGGATTGATATTGTTGTTGTTGTTGCAAGGGCAGATGCGGGTGCAGATGAGTGTGCAAGTGTTGTAAATGTTGTCTGGGCTGGGGCAGTTGTCGAAGCTTGCGTGGCTGCAGCGGTGGCTGCAGCGGTGGTTGCATTTGTGAATGTGGGGATGGATGATCTCTTCTGTGAAATTCCTCGTCTAGCTCTTCCTTTTCGGCATTAATCAGGGATGTATTGAGTGCCATGGACGACAGACGGTAAATCAGTAAATCGGCCATGGTTATGTGTGGAAAAGTGAGGGGGAGTGGTAGAGAGAGAAAATGAAGCCACGAAACAAAGGGGGGAAAATTTTAAGGTTGTAAGCGAAATTTCCAATTTACTCCTTGTGCTTTGTGGGATTGTTGATAGTGAGAAGCCTCCGTAGTCAAGTCGTGAATTGGTGAATTTCAGGTGATGAATTGTATCTATAAAAAAATAAGTCAATATGGATTGATTGGGGAGATGCAAGTCTAACAAAGAAATTTTGGGGAATATAATAACATCTTGTCATTTTTAGAACAAAGGACAATCAAGATACAAATCAGCTGGGGGGGAGAGAGAGAGAAAGATGGGAGGTCGTGTGAATTGGCCCGAAAAATAAGAACAGAATGGTGGAAAAGTGACACCGCCATACAAACAGAGTTGCAAAGCAAGCATTTTGGTGCTTACACGTGACTTTGTTATTGTTCCCATGGTTTCGCCCCCTCATTTTTGTAACACATCGTCAAGTCACAAAGACCAGCCAGTTACATTGGATTCCTAAAAAGGGAATTTGTATGCGAGCAATTAGTGCACAATCAACGTGGTAGTGTACGGCACCATACTATTCCCTCGGCACGACTGTAATTGTGATTATGCGAACCAAAAACACAAATTAGAGTTAAGATTGTCCAGTCTATTGTTACATTGATTTAACCTGAACTATAATTGCTAAATCAAGTTAAAAATGTTTATTGTGTTACACTCAAGTGCTGGCTAACAGGATGCAAGTTGGAGCATAAAGTTGTAACTTTTTTATTTATTGCTATGTATCATTCTATTATAATTACTATTTTTTTTTCGCAACCAAATCTCCTATGCATTCAAGCTAAGCATATATCGTTTGACCAAAACATAACCTAAAATACGCTCGAGCAGAACAACTTCCGGACTAGGATTATGTAATAATATGTCAGTTCGTGGAAACTCTTGCATCTTTTTAGAGCATGCTTTTCAAAATATGCTTGTTATGGCTAATAGCATTACATAGGTTTGTAGCACTATTTAAAGACTAGTCCTCGACGTAAGTTTCAGGTCAAATTAATATATATATACAACAAAGGCAAGAATCAAAACATAGCAGGCACCACTTGTCATAACTTTGCTAGAAATTGGATTTACATTCCATAGATGGAATGGGGCCATTGCTGAGTTTTGCTCGGCTACAGGGTCTCAGGAACAGGTATTTATATCGCTCTGGAATAATACTAGTGGAATTTATATATATAAAAACTTCCATCTATTAAATTAGCAAGTATAAATCTATACAAATATTAACAATTAAATGAACCAACAGCTTTTCAAACCCGACCAAACCAGAGCAGCCAACCCAGACCAACACAGACTAACCAGACTAAACAAGGCCAAACAAGGCCAAACCAGACCGTTTCAGGCCAAACCAAACCAAACCGCAACCAGACCTAAACCAGACCCAAACCAAACATCTATAATCCTAGAGTTACTAATCAAATGTGAAACATAAATAGCTTATGCAAAAGTGCGATAAGCTGGACCATTTAAGGAATAAAAGTGATGAACATAATGCAAACAAGCACAAGCCTATTGAAATGAAAACCAACTTTATTTCTGTCCTCGTTAAGTCACGATCAATTAGGAACGCAAGAATTTGAAAAATATCCAAAGTTGTAGGAATAGGTGGTAGTTGCTGCTCAGTTGATGAATTAACTCCAACAGCAGTATAACTTGACTCATTTGCCGGTGCGTCAGTATTAGTGGAAGCGTTTTGGATTGATGCATACTCGTTCTGATCATAACTAACTGGAAATCACATTGTATTTGATCTGGGAATTAGTGGTGTTGTTTCGGTATAAGGGTTCTCGCTAATGGTTCTGATTGTTAAATGATTTGGCATAGATTTATAGTTAGATAGCTAGATGTAGTTTAGAAGTAAATAAAATAGTTTTATGTGATTTAACTTTTTTTGTAGATGGGACCGAGTTTAAATAAAATGTTTGCACCCATTTGTGGTGAATTTTTTTTAGGTACGCAAAAAACCACAGAAACTGCTTGGCGCTACAAAAGCACTAGGACCAAAAACATTTTTGCTTCATGTTATGGTTCAATTGCTATTCCCACCAAGCTTACATTGACTTAAAATGCAGTGGCCACTACAATACAGTAAGAACCAGTGTTAGTTCTATCTATTCCTATGTATCATTCTATCAGAACTTTTTCTTTTCTTTTTTTTTTGCAGTCAAATTTAAACATTCGGACTAAGCATATCTGCTTTAACCAAAACATGAATCTAGAAACAAGTTAGTATAATTATTCCCACAACAGGTAAACTTTAAATATACATACATCCCGAATGGAAGCATTGATAAATTGTCTAACTTCTAATGCCAACCACACCTTAATCATGCTTAATGCATTCTCATTGGTCAATATTTCTCTACCTTCTTTCAGCACCCCGAGTTTTCTCAACACAGGCAAGGAACTGAAATCGTTAGTAATTGACTGTTTCTATGTACAAGAACATTTGGATTCCCCGCCACTACTGAATGAAAAACATCCCGAGATCATTCTCAGTGGGAAATCCAAATAATAAAGCGTATACGAACCTAGCAAATAAGTCCAATTGTGGGTCCAATTGTCTTCCTATTCCCTCTAACAACAAAATTGCCACAACAACAGTAATGAAATCCCCTTCCATTCTCACATGGTGTTTACGAACCATGCCAATGACTTGATCAAGTAAATCTCCAATACTTATATTCCCCAAGGTAAAAGTTCTTGATTTCATTCGATCAACCAATTTCTCCACTTTAAAGGCAAACATTTCCTTGTCAATTACGGTTTCTGGAGTTCGTGACCTTTCCACCATTAATTCACCAGCGTGATACCCATCAAATTCCGATAATGCTTTAAATAAATCAAGAAAGTTTACTCGGTCCACCTCGTTTAATTCCGTGACTAGCCCAACATCAAGAAAACAAACCTCGGCATGGTATCCGTCACGGTAAAGCTCAGCTAACTTACGACACCATGCGGCTTCGTCATTACCCAATGCTAACAATTCATGAACAATCTTGTCATTATCGACTTCTTGACTTGATTTGACAATCTTGTATTCCTTCTCTGACTGGAATAAGTCATTTTTGTAGAAACGCACCATCATGTTACCAGGGTGTAAATCGGCATGGACGAAATTATCCAAGATTAACATTTTCAAGAATGCATCTAAACCTTTGTCACTTACTTCTTTGGACAAGTTTTTTCCAAAGTTGTCCTTAAGCGATAACATTTTACTCATAGGTACACCCACAATGAACGATTCAACAAGAACATCTCTGGTGGTGAATTGCAAGAATGCCTTCGGGAAATGTATATCCAACCTATCTTTAAAATTCAGTCTGAATCTTGCCAAATTCAACGCTTCAATTCTTAAATCTAATTGCAATCTCATTAATATCGAAAATTGCTCAACTTCATCAGGAAGCGATAACCATTCCATAGTTGGAAGGACATTAACCAAATGAGCAAAGAATTTCATGATCTTTAAATCTCGACTGATTTTGACTTCAACATTAGGGTGCAAAACCTTAATAGCTACCCACTGACTAGAAGACAACGGCTCGTGAAGTTCACTAGACAAGATCTTTTGAAAGAGCTTCAAATGCCAACGGTCTTTCCCTTCGTGACTTTCTTCATCATCAATCCTCTCTAGAGTTTTCTGGGAAAGTTTCCCAATGTATACTTGTGCAATGGCACCGACCCCAATCGGCTCCTCATTAAACTCGTCGAAAATCTCATCAAAGGGAACGTCACCAAAACTCTTGCTGATGATCTTCTTGGTGGCTCTCAAACTGTGGGGTTTTACATTCAGATGCAATTGTCCCAATTCATGACACATTTCCTGCGAGAAGATATCGGTTCTTGATGCCGCCCATTGACCCAATTTGATAAAACTTGCACCTGCTAATTCGGCGGCGTGACGCAACATCTTGTACCATAACTTTGCTCCTGAATTTCTTTTCCCTATCCAGCATATGGGCGAGGTAATTAGTAGTGGAACGAATATGAGGGATAGTTCCATGAATCGGATAAATGTTATTGTGGGGTCGATGACGTAGTCGGTAAGCGTGAATCGAATGTAGTAGTATATTCGCTTGATTATATTTGGATGTGATTTCTTTTGTATCCGGAATTCCTCGTATTGTTCAGTTTCTTCTCGTTGTGATGCTTTGTAGAGTGACATTTCGTATGTTTCTCCACGAGTCACCTCCTGGACGGGGAGTTCATGAATTGATGTATCTAACGCGTGAACATCATTGCTTATTCTTTGGCTGTTGTAATATAAAAGTATAGATGCTGAGACAACTCCCGTGGCTGCTCCTAATACCCGATGATTCAACCGCGGTTTAGGTGCATAGTAGGTTCTAGTGGAGAACCTGACAGCACATCTTGCTTTGAAAAGTATGTTCGGCTTAAACACACGTGGTATCATATTTACACTGTGATGATGTGACTATAAAGAAAGGAACTACTCAAAAAGAACACTATATTATCATTGAGCAAGTATATCTTGTTGTTGTGGTTATAAGGAGATGTGAAATTTTGCTTGTCTCAATTTTTTTTTCTTAAAGCCGTTGCGCCCCAAATACCGTGAACGTGATCCGGTAGGCGTCGGCTCAAGTGGGTTTGGTTGCTAATTTTATACAATGATGATAAAGACAATGAAAACATTGTGATTTCACGAGGATTCATTGAGCGTTAAGCAAGCAAGCATACTTTATCTGAAACTAGCGCTGAACCTTGTCAGAGAAATGATCCGTATAAGTCCGATGGAATCTCTTATACAAGATTCTTTATTTCCGTTTGCCACTATATATTCTCAACAATTCTTGTACATTTAACTACATAATACTTGGTAAGCTCCTTCAATCGTGTTTTAGAAGAGTATTTCTAGTTTGCATCCGCGTATGGTCACCAGGTTGTCCCCAATTCTGCATTACATTTGAAATGGTCCATTGTGATTTCCTTCTGAATAACCTCCCAGATTAATTCTAGGTATTGGAAAAGGTAGTGGAACGCCATCCTCTAAAAGAACATTGACCATTCAATGCATGGAAGCAGACATGAGGTGGTGCCCACTTACAGATCTCAATTCTTTATGTTATCACGTGACATATTTAGTCCAATTGATTTCAATTTTTTTTTTTTTCCAATCTCGGATTTTCATCAAATCAAACCATATAACTCACCACAACATACAATACGGTACCTCACACACAATGGGTCTTTTTGGTTCTTCCTCCGCATCAGCTCCGGCTGATCCAGCATCAGCAAAATCACAACAAGTGAAACAAGAAATCCAACAACAAATCAGTCAGGAATTAGCTACTGCCAACGCTACCGAATTAGTCCGTACCATAACCGAAAACTGTTTTGACAAATGTATATTCAAACCTCAAGAATCCTTAAGCTTTCAGGAAGATCAATGTATTGCACAATGCCGTGAGAAGTATATGAGATCGTGGAATGTTATTTCCAAGAGTTATATCAGTAGAATTCAAGAGGCTGCTAAACATTAAGTAATGGATGGGTTTATAGAGTGGGATAGTTTAATAGGGGATGACACGTCCCGATTCGACTATGCTAATGGTTAGTTTATTAGATGTGTAATGATGTCTGTATATAATTTTATCTAATAAACTTTAACTGTGTATCTATTTTATTGGCAAATGCCGTCATAGTATCTAAAGTAAACTGATTGACAACTATTTTTCTAGATCATATACTATAATGTGCTATATAACATATTATACATTGTCAATATCCGTCCAGGTGGCCGTACCTTAAGCTAACGTTGTAAGACTAGTTGGAAAATTTTGGTAGTGCGCCAACCCGAAAATACTACTGCGATTGAAATGGGCAAGAAAATCAGTGGCGACAACTAACAGTGCAACAACTACACTATTTTAGCACCCCCCAAACATACACAATGCAAACAACAGTGGCATCAGAATACTCTAATGAGATCCATTCGGTCCCAATCGAGCACAGATTCAATCCATATTCCGACAATGGGGGTACCGTGTTAGGTATCGCCGGAGAAGATTTTGCCGTTTTGGCAGGAGACACAAGACAAGTAGAAGGATATTCCATCCAATCGCGGTACGAGCCCAAGATCTTTGACGTGGGTGACAATATTGTCATGACTGCCAATGGGTTTGCTGCCGACGGAGTAGCATTGATAGACAAATTCCGTCAACAATTGAAGTGGTACAAGTTTGACAATTTTGGGGGAAAGTTGGAAATAAAAAGTGCAGCCAGATATATTCAACATTTGTTATATGGCAAGCGATTCTTTCCTTACTACGTGAGTACTTTGATTGCTGGATTAGATGAAGAAGGTAAGGGAGCGGTATATTCATATGACCCTGTCGGTTCGTATGAACGAGAACAATGTAGGGCTGGTGGGGCTGCCGCCAGTTTAATAATGCCGTTCTTGGATAATCAAGTCAATTTCAAGAATCAGTTTATCCCAGGAACCGACGGAAAGGAAAAGAAACCATTAAAGTATTTAACGTTGGAAGAAGTTATCGAATTGGTTAGAGATGCATTCTCTTCCGCTACTGAAAGACACATTTATGTTGGTGATGGATTAGAAATTAAAATTGTTACTAAGGATGGAGTAAGAACTGAGTACTATCCATTGAAGAGGGATTAGATTAGTCGGTATAGAAATACACACAGCACCCTTTATTAAAAAAAAATAAAAGTCTATACACTTAAACAGGTAACTCAAACTTCTTTCCCTTCATAACCTTGGTGTAATAAATGTAAAAGAAATCAGAGTAGATAGCCGTTTGTAAAAGACCAGTCAATACAGAAACATAATCGAAGTGATCTTCAACGTAATATCTGTAAATCCAATTGGGAATGTACAAAGCACGATAGATCCCCAAGGCAAAGATATAATGACTGGTAATATTTTCAGCCTCTCCAGTACGTTGCAAAATGAACAATTGTGGTAAAATAGCTACGGCTTCTAACCAAAGTGAAAATGACCACAATATTTCCATAGGGGTGTATTTATGGGTGAAAATCACGGCCGCCACTGCTGAAGGCCCCACGAGATACTTGATTGGAAATGTGTCAATGTCGGCCTTGATGGTCTTTTGGTATTTGTAAACCATAACGTAGACGGTGTATAATGACGATCCGATGAAAAAAACTTTCAATATGGAGTTATAAAGGGAAAAGAACTTGGTGAACAAGTTCAAGTATCTTGTAAAGTAAACAAGAACATATAATACTTGGGTTTTTAACGACAACCCATTGATGGATTTGTTGGTTTCAATGGCATAAAGCAATATGAATATACTGGCCAAATGGGAAAGGTCTCCAAAGAATCGAAAGATATTCATGGTGTTGGATATGTGCTATGTTATGTTATGTAGATCTATAAACTTGTTTAGGTGTTGTATTGCTGATTTTTTTTCCGTTCTAGACACCTCAGACGTTTTTCTGGGACGGACAATTTTTGCTGGTATGTGCTATATACAGGAAACAGACACCGCCGTCAAGCCACGAAACAGCCACAATCAAGGGTATTATAATTCAATTTGCTGTAACAAGATTTGGTATTGTTCTTCTTCCAGGAGGTTTCCGTCACTAACATCACTTTGCTTAAGGTTCATTCCTTTTCTTTGGAATAAATGCCCCTGGTATTCGAGATATTGCAAGTTAAAGTTATGTAACTCGTCGGTATTCTTAAACCATGGTAGCTTGTCCTGGCCAGTGATGAACAGTACTATCTCTTTGTCGTCCAATTTGGGTTTGATTTGATGAGAAGTGGTGTGGTATGTTTGAAATTGTCCATTTTTAACATTAAAGTACATCATACTGGGGAAAGTGTTGATTTCATAGCGTGCGAAAATGTCTGAATCGGTGAATTTTTCAATGTCAACCAAGGCGAAATCGGTAGTTCTAGCATATGATGATTGTGCTGTTTCTTGATAAAAATGGGCTGGATATTCCCAGTCTCTCCATTCGGGGATGTATCCACCAGTAAACACCACCAATTTGTTCTTTTTGTTTTTTGTTTGGACAAATTTGTCAAATTCCGTCAGATTTGTAATCGTCTTTATGGGAGACACGAAATTGTCATAGTTGGGCTTGACATTGGCCTTTGCTTCTAAAAACTCAATCAAGGTGGTCAAATCTCTGTTTGCATCATAAGTGAATATCTCCTTGGTTTTGTATTCAAGTAGTTTTAATGTAGGATAGTGTTGCACCTTGAACAACTCGCTTAACCGTTTATTCTTTCTTGCGTTCGTCTTGATCACTTGGAACGCGTCCGGCTTACTGATATTGTTAAACAATACACTCAAGTTGTCAAATACGGGATTGAACTTGGCACAGTATTTACATGTATCTGAGTAAAAGTAAATAAATGAAAACTCGGATCTTTCCAATGTAGGTACAATTGACCCATCGTCAAACTCAATAATAAAATCACTAACCTGGCCACTTACGGAGTGAACGGTTAAATTCCATAATAGCAAACAAAGAAGAAAGAAATGCATGCCAAAAACCTTAAATAATATCGTAAGTCACAAACACGTTGTCGTATTCTTTGTTGAAACAAAGTAGGCTCCAGTACTTAGACTCCAAATTTACTGATGGAATAGATAAAAAAGTTTTGCTGAGCATGATGTTTTTTCTTTTTTTGTCACTACATTTCCGCACTCGGCCGAATTAGGAAATCACCAGCCTGGTATTTTTTATTTTTTATTTTTTATTTTTTTTTTTTTTGCAATCGATTTTCTCAGCCAGCCTTCTTTTGTATCATTCGAAGCCTGCCACCATTTTTCTACGCTGGCAATAACAGGGTCCATGTTCTTTCTATCGAGGGACCTTAGACCAGCATCGAATCTGATTTGTGTGATCTGTTCTTATGCCATGCACATAGACCATTGTCCCTAGACGAACAATTTCCATTTTATATAAAAGCAAGTTTACGAACCCTTTTCCTAAAATCCACAACCCTCCACTTTTTCTTTACATAATTTATTACCAATGAAAGCTTTTATACCATTTACATTATTTGCAACTATCCTTGCTGCTAGTGAGTCTAGCATGCTTACCATAAGGTCAACTGTGATCTCAACCTTGCCTTGTCCAACATCAAGTTCAACTTCATTATATCAAAATAGCACATCCACTTCACCAACACTGAGTGTTTCAGTATACAATAATTCTACTAGTTCTGCCACAACATTATTTAACCTTGCAGCTACTGAGACAATTAACACTGATTCAACAGAATCAGAAACAGAATCAGACCCAACTACTTCAGATCCAGTAGAATCTACTGTAGAGCCAGCAGAAACAGATCCAGTAGAATCAACAACAGATCCAGCACAAACTGAAGACCCAACAGACACTGATGCAGTAGAAACTACTGCTGACCCAACAGACACTGACCCAGCACAAACTGCTGATCCAACAGAAACTGATCCAGTAGAAACCACTGCAGACCCAGCAGAAACTGATCCATCCAGTGCAGGAAACCAAGAAGATCCAGTTGAAAGTTCTACTGAATCAGACCCACAAACTACATCTGAAGATCCAGTTGAACCTACAGCTGCAACAGAAATTACCCCTGAAGATCCAACAGAAACTGTAACTGATATCCGCAGCACCCTCGTCACAATCACCTCCTGTTCTAATGGTGGTTGTACCTTAGTTACTCAAACTTCTGGTGTTGAAACTAGTGTCCAAGGAGATACTACCTACACTTCCCTCTACCCAATTGGCAGTTCAGTCACCGAACCAAACACTACAAAGGCACCAAAACCCTCGGCCACATCCACCGTGACTGACTTCTACACTACTGTTGTAACTGAATATTCATGCCATGATGATGCCTGCGTGGCAGTTTCCAAAACCACTGGAGTTACTGTGATTACCCATGCTGATACAGTATACACCACGTTCTGTCCACTCACCACCGAATCTCCAACTCCAAGAACAACTCAAGTTCCAACTCAAACAGTCAATGTTATTACCAGTAATATTATCACTGAATCTAACGTCGCAATTTCCACATTCGTGCCTCAGGTGAACTCAACTACCACTCCAACAATCTCCACCTATGACTCCATATACGAAGGCAGTGCTGCTATTGTTCCAACAAGTGCTTTCGGAATTATTTTTTCATTAATTTTCTTTATGTTATAATTGACTTAGTATATAGAATTCTCTTTAGATTGGTTAAGGAATATATTTATGCGTTTGCATACATTCTGTAAGTCCGGGTATTGCATAAGCCGCACATGTTCCGTAGCTGCAAAATTATGTGATATGGCATATCAAAGAAGTAAATCATAAATAGACCAAATAGCAATGTATATTGATCAACTTGTTAACATTTTCAGAAAAACGCACTTGTAATGAGTACTCGCACAAGCAAGGAAGTTTGTCGTATCCGTGAGTTAATTGCACCTTATCCCAAGTAGGGTTTAATTTAATGAACAAACTATTTTCCTTTTTTTGCACGTTTGAGAACTGTAGAAAATGGTTGAGTATTTTATCCGTTATGAAAGAGTATTCTCATTTTCATAGCTACTACATTCGCTGAGAAATAACAAGAAATAACAATGCAAGCGTTGGATAATGGTGGGGTGATGGACTACGATGGAAGTTATATGTGCATGCATGGCATCTGGGAAGAACTTTACCCTCGCAAGCAACAAAATACGTAATTGTGACAATGCTGATATATATTGCAACTGTAAATTCTGACCTATGTTGGCCGGTTTGAGAGTAAGAGATCATTGCCGGCTGGTAGCTGATGCGTATCAGTATCTGTTTGGCAACTATCACTTTAAATCTGCTTTCTGCTGAAGGAATATATGACCATAAACTTTGTCACCATCAGTTTCTATTCACATTTTTCTCTTTTAAGTGTTCAAGTGTAAAGTATTATTAATACCATTTTATATTTGTACATCGATTCGAGACGGTTGCAAATGAATCTCTTCAGTCTAACAAGCATATTTGGAATGATCAGAGTTGAAAAAAAAGACAATTTTCAGCATAGGAGAAATATATCAAGTTCTGTTTAGATAGGGATATTCGGCTAAAGTGTATAGCAACTACTTTTGATGTTAGTATTGGTTGTAAACCTGGATTATGGCGAGACCATTGTAGGAAAAACACTTATCCATGTACCCGAAAAATATCGGATGCACTTGATCTGAACCCATGATAAACCTTACCCAAACCACCGTAAAAAGTCCACTAACGATATAAACATACATACAAAAGTTGATCACAATTATCTGAATAATATATCTATCGCCTCAAATTTAAAGGGCTTATAAAATCATTTATTTCTCCCAAAATCCACTCCGCCAAAGGTTTTCCGGTTCGTGCTTCGTCTACATCATCCGAAAAATCCTTGTCACGACCAGGGTGGTGTCATGAAATACCCAGTTTCCCGGCATATCTTCCGAACTAGTCGTACCTCCCCAGTGGGAGCACATCAAGTCCATATAATATTCATACGATAATTCTGATTTTTACATCGCTAATCCATTATTCTGACCGTATAACCCGGCTGTCCACATTTGTTGCAAATGCTATAACTCCGTGATTCACTTTTTCTTCCAAGTAAGAGAGAGTTGGGGAATGTGACGCCGCACCCTTTCAAAATTGAAGTGTGTACTGCATATAACCCCGGCTATGAAAAAAAAAACTGGCTCTCCCATTCCAACAAAACTAACAAAAAACTTACAACCAAGGTGTGTACTACAGCTGGTTTATCATACTACGAGTGTAAGAAGAGTAATCATTCGTGTGATTATCGATGGACGCATACCATGAGTTTATAGAACCGTCAAGGGTCAACAATTGTGTTGGATGTAACTTTATATCACCCCAATCTAAACATCTAATTGTTGCCAAGGGTAATTTGCTCCAAATCTTTGAACCAGTGCTTATAAAACAACAATCAACACCCACAAAACCCAAATACAAACTACAGATCATAGGACAGTTCAAGCTTAATGGATTGATCACAGATTTACATCCTTTACGGACAGTCGAGAATCCCCATTTGGATTACTTGATTGTTTCTACCAAATACGCTAAATTCTCCATCATCAAATGGAATCACCATTTACATACGATTTCCACGGTGTCTTTGCATTACTACGAGCATGCAATTCGAAATTCGACTTTTGAGAAGTTGGGGATCTCTGAGTTGATAGTGGAGCCTACTTTTAACTCGTGCAGTTGTCTTCGATTCAAGAATCTTTTATGTTTCTTACCATTTGCAGTTTCAGACGAAGAAGAAGAGGAAGACGACGAAGAAGATATGGACTTGGACAACAAGAAAGAAAAGAAGGAGAAGTTGGATATAAACGGCAAACCAGCCGATGCTGTGTCTTTCTACGACTCGAGTTTTATAATAGACGCACAAACTCTCGATTCGTCCATTGAAACCGTGGTGGATATTCAATTCATGCATAACTATAGAGAACCAACCATAGCAATTTTATCCCTGAAAAGTAATGTGTGGGCCGGAAACTTGCTCAAAGTCAAGGATAATGTCCTGTTCCAAGTGATGACCTTGGATCTCGTGTCAAAGTCCACCGTGTCTGTGTTTAAGATTGATAACTTACCTTATGAAATAGATAGGATTATTCCGTTACCTTCTCCATTAAATGGATGTTTATTATTAGGATGTAATGAAATATTTCATGTTGATAATGGTGGGATCATTAAACGTATTGCTGTCAATTCATTTACTTCATTAGTCACGGCCTCCACAAAGAGTTACCAAGATCAAACTGACTTATCCTTGCTGTTGGAAGATTGCTGTATTATTCCTATCCCTGGTGATCATCGTGTCCTAATGGTGTTGACTACTGGACAATTCTTCTATATTAATTTTGAATTGGATGGAAAGGCAATTAAAAAAGTTCATATAGACACTGTGGATCAAGCGTTGTATAGCCAGATTAAATTGTGCTATCCAGGAGAAGTTGCAGTTTTAGATCACAACTTGTTGTTTTTCGCTAATGAGAATGGAAACAGTCCGTTGGTTCAGTTTAGATATACTGATGTCGATCAAAAAAGAATTACCCAAGAAGCAGCAAAAGAAGAGAAGAAGGAAGAAAAAGATGACGAAGAGGATGAAGATGATCTATATATGGATGAAGAGAATGAAGAAGAACAGAAACAAATTATATCTAATTCGCCAATCGAGTTTATTCATCATGACGAACTTATTAATAATGGACCAATTTCTTCATTTACCCTCGGAACTTATTCTCGAGAAAAGTTTAAATCCAATTTACCTAATCCAAACTATAATGAGGTTTGTCTCGTTGCCAATGCAGGAACTCATGAATTGGCCAAGTTGAATATAATCACACCCACCATCCAGCCAAACATTTCGTTTTCATTGACATTCTCCCAAGTCAACAGAATGTGGAACTTAAATCAAAAATATTTGATCACGTCCGATGACATCAATTCCAAATCGGAAATTTTTCAAATTGAAAAGTCCTTTGCTAGGTTGAATTCTAAAGATTTTATAAACGATGAATTGACTATCAACATGCATGAATTGAACAATGGGAAATTCATATTACAAGTCACCCCAAAACAGATTGTATTATACAACAACAACTTCAAAAAGAGATTGACCTTGAATGATGAAATCAAAGATGATGAAATCTTGAGCAGTATTCTCCGTGATGAATTTATGATGATCTTTTTAGCCAGTGGTGACGTCATGATTTTCTCAATCAATACTTATAATGAAACGTATACCAAGATTGAAATTCCAAAAATGTTAAGTGATACAATTATCACCACCGGTTATATTACCAATTCCCACTTATTAAGTGCGGTCCTGAAGGATGTGAACTTGTTGATTAATAGAGGAACAAAGAGAAGACATGGTTCGATTGGTGGTGCACCTCCTGCTAAACCCACCACCGGACCTAAACTGAAAATGTTTGTTTTGGTTACTGGTGATAATCGAATTGTGGCATTTAATAGATTTCATAATCAACGTTGTTTCCAATTGAATCATGTGGATAAATTCACTGATAATTTGACATTGGCGTTTTTCGACCCGAACCAAAATGCCCCTGATCCATTCATTAAACAAATCATCTTGAATGAGTTAGGAGATAGGACACACAAGGAGGAATACTTGACTATATTGACGATTGGAGGAGAAGTCATAATGTATAAGCTTTATTTTGATGGTGAGAATTACATATTCAAGAAGGAAAAGGATTTACGGATTACCGGTGCTCCTGAAAATGCATATCCTTTAGGAACCACCATTGAAAGAAGATTAGTTTATTTCCCCAATTTGAACGGATACACCAGTATTTTCGTCACAGGTATAATCCCCTACCTCATCATGAAACCCATGCATTCCATCCCACGAATCTTCCAATTTTCGAAAATACCAGCATTATCAATATCGGCATTTTCCGATTCCAAAATCAAGAACGGGTTGATCTTTTTGGATAATAGTAAGAATGCCCGTATTTGTGAATTATCCCTTGATTTCACGTATGAATTCAATTGGCCTATGCGACAAATCCATATTGGCGATCTGATTAAATCGATCACATACCATGAAACTTCAAACACGTATGTTGTGTCTACATTCAGGGAGATTCCTTACGATGGGTTAGATGAAGATGGGAAACTTATCGTGGGTACACTTCCCGATAAGACTCCGCGTCCGGTGGCTTATAAAGGATCCATTAAGATGATTTCGCCATTAAACTGGACTGTGATTGACACCATTGAATTAGACGACACGGAAGTTGCCATGAATGTTCAAAGTATGATGTTAGATGTGGGATCACTGATGAAGAAGTTTAAGAATAAAAAGGAGTTTATTGTGATAGGCAGTGGGAAATACCGTAATGAAGATCTTGTTGCTAATGGATCGTTCAAGATTTTTGAAATTGTCGATATTGTGCCTGAACCAGGCAAGCCAGAAACCAATCATAAGTTCAAGGAGGTCTTCCAAGAAGACACTCGGGGTGCCGTCACTAGTATTTGTGGATTAAGTGGCCGACTCTTGATTGCACAAGGACAAAAGGTTATTGTGAGAGATGTCCAAGATGATGGGGTTGTGCCGGTGGCGTTCTTGGATACTGCCGTGTACGTCAGTGAACTGAAAAGTCTTGGGAATTTATTAATGTTGGGAGATCCCCTCAAAAGTTGTTGGTTAGTTGGATTTGATGCCGAGCCATTTAGAATGATTATGTTGGGGAAAGACTTGCACCATTTGAACGTAAGCTGTGGAGATTTCATTACTAAAGACGAAGATATTTACATGTTAATTGCTGATAATAATAACATTCTTCATTTGATTCAGTATGATCCTGATGACCCACAATCTTTGAATGGACAACGATTGATTAGCAAATCCGCATTTGAGATTGAATCCACCGTGAGCTGTATGCGGAAATTGCCCAAGATTGAATCAAGTTTTGAGAAAAGTGAGATCAAATTCCTGCCTATTGATGAATTCCAAATTATTGGATCAACCAGTGATGGATCATTTTTCAATGTTTTCCCTGTGGATGAATCAAGTTACAGAAGAATGTATATATTGCAACAGCAATTAACCGACAAGGAGTATCATTATTGTGGGTTGAATCCAAGATTGAATAGGTTTGGTGGTGCCATTGAGTTGCGTGATAATGAAACTAACACCAAGCCAATATTAGATTTTGGGTTGATTAAAAGGTATGCTCAATTGAACGAAGATCGGAAGCGGAATTTAGCCAGTAAAGTCAGTGCCAAGGATATTTATGTTAACATTTGGCAAGATATCATTGAATTTGAGCATTCTTTACAAGGATTGTGATTATGTATCTATATGTATTAATAAAAGTATTTGCAGTAATTACTACACTTATATTTGTCTGGAGAAGAATAAATTTTTCGCGTAGTTAATGAAATCTGACAGACAAAAAACAAAAAAAATGGCTAGCGTATTAACATTTGACAACCAACCAGGAATATGGCCAAGGGAAAAAGTGGTAGGAAACAAGTATCATTCGACGATGTTGATGTATCTGATTTAGATGTCAAACCAGAAGTCAATGAAACTGTAGAGAAACAACAAGCCAAACCCACAAAGTCAGTGGTACCTCAACTTAAAAACTCGTCGGTATTAATCCCATTCCATAACTTGTTTGTCCTTTGGCAAATGTTTCAAATGGGATTGACTGAAGACATTGAAGGGACAATGACTTCAGGATTGGTGATACTTTTGCCGTTACAGTTAATCTACAATTATTTAATTATTAATCAGATGATATTGTCGAAAAAAGCAAGCAAGAACTTGAATGTACCATTATTAATTATTAGTAGTGTCTTGGTAAGTTTGGTGTTATCAATACCGGTATTTGTAATTGTTATATTTATGGGGGCACCAATCTACAAGTTCACAATCAAGAGTTTCCTTTTGGCATTGCATTTATCACAATTAATAATCAATCCAATTGCTATGTTGTATACTTTAGATTTTGAAAATTTCAAAAAATTGTTCTATCAGGATTACATTTATAGAGAGATATTTAGCAATGTGGTTTTGTCTAGCTCTTTGTTAACGGTTGGTGGATGTTGGTTAGGTGTTATACCAATTCCTTTGGATTGGGATAGACCATGGCAACAATGGCCAATCACATTATTGGTTGGTGGATATGCCGGAGGTGTTTTCGGTGGCGTAATTGCATTAGTTGTGAGAAAAGTTAGAGGCTGTTCAGAGATATCTGTGTGAAAGTTGTATAGTTATTTATCAATGCATATTATGAGAGACAAACAAAACTTACGTAATCTACCGTATATTCCACTCCGGCTACTAAAAAAAAAATCGCTCGGAGTTCGAAGTATCCGTAACATCCTCGAATAAGCCAATTGGTTCGAACTAAAACCGATCGATCGACTCGTAGTAATATAATACTATAATAAGGGAATTTTTCTTGTAGTCCCTCGTGGTACGGGGCATATCTACAGCCAATAGTTTTCTCATTCTGGGGGCCAGTACGGTGGAATATGCGCGTGGGGTAAAGAGCCAGCAATAATTGTATCTGTCTAAGAAGCAATAGAAAAAAAAAAGGAGGGGACGGCGCGAAACTAATAGTAAATCAAATTCTCTAGGGGCTGAGAGGGGGGGGGTGATAGGGGGCAAATTTTAGTGAGCAATTGATTACAAACTGAGAAGTGAGTCTAGTTTCTGAATCAATGATTTCGGATAATTTTCCAATTTTTGTAAACTATTTAAATTACGGATTTCTCTCTTCCTTGAAAATTAATTCAATCACTTTTTTTTTAAAAAACAAACTCTAAGCATTATGAGCGGTAAATTTCCAACTAACATAAACCCTAAATATATTCCATACACTAAATTACACGACGGTGTTCTTTCCTGTGATGTCCCAGTCGAATTGAACTTGGCCAACACTTTCAAAGGTAAGAAGGTTGTGGTTACTGCTGTTCCAGGTGCTTTCACTCCAACCTGTACTGAACAACATATTCCAGACTACTTAAAGAATTTGGCTGAATTCAAGAAGAAGGGAATTGACAAGATTGTTGTCTTGAGTGCCAATGATCCATTTGTTATGGCTGCCTGGGGTAAGGCTTTAGGTTACCGTGATGAAGAAAACTACATTGTGTTTGCCACTGATCCAAATGCCACTATTTCCAAGCAATTGGGTGACAATTATGTTGCTGACTTATCTGCCGTTGGTTTCGGGTTAAGATTGCAAAGATACGCTGCTCTTGTTGAAGATGGCGAAATTAAGTACTTGGGTAATGAAGATGAATTGGGATTCACTGAAATCTCCAGTGCTAAGAACTTGTTAGATCAAATTTAAATAGTGCTTTAATGAACATGTGTAATGTGTATAATGTCCATGTCGCAAACTTTGTAGTAAAACATTTGTATGTCGCGCTGGTTTGTCATGTCAAGTGTTATTTTTTTTTTTTTATTAGCTGGCAAAATCAAAACAAAATAATTTTACAACCAAACTGGACTGTTGTAAAAAGGTAAAATCTCATGAGTGGGTTTCCAAGTGTTCCTCGTATAATAGGAGATACTGACGACGAAGCATCAATCCATCTTAATCAATACGTGGGCAAAGCACAACCACTCCGCTCTGCTTCGCCTTCGAAACTACCATACCACCACGTAAATACCACACCTTCGTCAAGACGTCCCATGCCTTCCGCAACAGCATACATTCAACAACAGAAGCAAAAAATACAACAAGGACAGATGCAGCATAGAATACAGGCTAATCATTCGCGGCAAAACAATATTGATAACAAGATCATTGATACGATTCACTCCAGTGACGATATTGACTTGGATGAACTTAACCTAGATGAAGAAGATGTAAATGTATCATATGAAAAATACTTGACCGCAGAACATTCTGATGAATTTGAACAACAACAGGCGCTTAATGATGCAAATTACAATGAAGATGAGGATGAAGATTATACAGATAGTGATACATACAAAGAACTGGATGATGATATAGAAGCAGATTTCGATGATGTTGAAGAACCGGAATTATACACAGATGATTTTCATCAAAAGAGTGTTTTCAACGAGGATACTCAATACTATGATCCAAAACAGCCGCTGCCACCACGCTCGCCGATTTTTGACCAGATTCAACAAGAACAAAATCAATTTCCTCGAAAGAAACCAGTCCAACCCAAGAACAAACCGAAAAAGCCTTCCAATAACAATTCTTGGAATATTTTAACTATTGCTGGTACTGTTGGTCTTGTATCATTCTTGGTCACGGTGATAGCTTATTATGTGCTCAATAATAATCAGATACCCGTGCCTGAGTTTAGTATGCGAAAAATCAATGCCAAATTTCAATATTTTGATGAAAAACTCAATCAATTAGAATCAGAAACGAGGCAATCTAATCGACTTCTTGATAATGGTATAAATAAACTACTGAAACAAATTCACCTGCTTGAACAAAATATTCAAAAATCTCCAGTATCATATAAAAACAATCAAATTCAAATAACTCCAGAATTACATCAATTTTTGTTCAAGTTTATCGAAAACTATCTGCAGAAACAAACTTCAGAAGAATTGACTCGGTATATCGATGAAAAGTTAAAATCTTTCAGTATCACGGAAATCGAGCTGATGATTCAAGATATGAAGAATTTCCAATCGGGACAGTATGAAGCAATTTTATCGCAAATAATGTCCAAACTTCCAAAAACTCAAGATACACCCTCAGAAGAACTTAAAGCATACATTGACTCCCAAGTGACTCAAGCTTTAGATCATTTGAATGAAGAAATTCATCTGCGGTTATCATATATCCTCGACAATTTAACCATCGTAAACAATACTATCATCCCTGATACACAAATACACCCATCTAATGAAATCTGGCTTAATTCCATGCTCGATTTATTTTCAAGAGGTTCAATTAAAGTAAATTATGCTGATTATTCGCTCGGCGCAAGAATATTAGGATTTTTGACATCATATCCCAAGAACAAAACCCATTCTATTTGGTATAAAATGGCATATGGATGGTGGATATATTCTGAAAACAAGCATGATCAACACAATGCAAATCATGTACTTATGGATGATGATGCTACTTGGATATGTGATAACAGCGAATGTCAATTGGGACTTCGGTTATACCTGGCCATAATCCCTACTGATCTACTTATCGAGCTCGAAGGAGCTGATACGCACACTGTTGAGCTTGGATTTAAGCCAAATAGTCGAACTGGATATGATAAGTTATCCCAATTTGATGGTATGTCCCTGAAAACCAATCCATATCTTAAGAAATTCAAACTAATTAAAAGTATTAAATTAAGTTCGGGGTTAGTTCATGTTAGATTCCCGATTCGATTTGTCAATTTACAAGTTTCTGGAAGAGATGTATACCTCAAGTTCACACCCAATTCAAAAAATCCAATTCATGTGAAGAGAGTCAAGGTGTATGGAATCAATGAAGTTGATGCTGTCAAGTATGCCGATCAGTTTAAGTTAATGATAGGTCAGTTTACCCAAGCGCAAGATGTGGAATCTGCTGTTGAAGATACTAGGAAGAAAAATGACAGGATTGGCCATTATGATTTGGATAAAGATATTTATTTGTAATATTATTTGTATGTTTACTCAATATAATATGATAAGTCATATGAATCATCCAGGGCGAGGTCCAAGTGATGATCGTTGTAGATCTAGACTAGTATGAGCATTTACCAGAATAATATTATTCCCTCATTGGTTAAATAATTTGCATTAAAACTATAAAGAACAAAGACAAGAAATTTTACAATGCAATTGTTGAACAAGTTTCAAATTAAGATCGTGTGACGGATCTCTTGGCCAAACAAAAGTGGGGGAGCACATGAATTATTTCGGAAACTCAATGCCGTTTTCGTATTTGACAACAAAAAAAAACCACCTACCACTTGTTCCAGAACCGAAAGGGCACCACTTCAAAACACCATTGATTTGGCTAGAATAAAGTGCGGTTACAAAATAACTTGAAATTCCCGCAAGTGCAACTCTCAATCTGGTAACAACGTGACTTCTTCTGGTTAAAAAAATATTTATTGTTCAATTTAGTGTTTATTTAAGATGCATCTCAAAATGGCAGAAAAAATTATTGGCCTACACGCAACAATAACCGGACAATGAACACATTTTCGTTTGTTGCATTTTACTGGCCAAGGCCAAACTGGACTTTGCTATTTTTGGCATTGCCTGTTTAAAAAAAGCAAACCAGGTGATAATATGGTAGCAATTATTGAAAACTTTTTTCAGGCAGTAACCGTCAAATCATAAATGTACTGTAAGATCATGTACCATCAAGTAGGTAAGATACATAACCGGATTGATGCATCTCATTTACCAAATTAGTTAAACTAATTGACCCAAGCCCATATTATAGTTTGTTCCTTAGCCACATCACCAACTGAAACAAAAACAAAAACTTCCTTGACATTGTTTACTTCAATTTTGTCCTTTATTTGTAGATGAATCGCTGATTAATCTCTCAATGTTTGGGCTTGGGGATTGTAATTTACCTTCACAAGACCTTTCTAGTCAGCCCTACCCTCGGTCCATTGTGACGAACTGAGCAAATGTGCAAAAAAAAACACATCTATCAATATGTTTTCAAGCTGTTTTTGTTTATGTTTGAAGATCAGACTCTATTATGCGAGAACAACTAACCATTAAATCTCTACGAATTATTAATTATTCAAATATATTTATTTGTATCATCAGTAGCATTGACGACACTAATATACACATATAGAACAGATATTAAGAAATGTTTGAAAATTGAAACCAAACCAGCTTTTTTAATAGCCTAGTTTATATAACGAAAAACCAAAAGTAACCGAGTGAATACATACAAATTCTGTTAATCTAGCAAGCACTCTTACAATAAAGCACCAACAGCCATTAAACCAGCAGCAACTAATGGAGCACCAACAACAGCGGCAGCACCGGTTGGGGTGACAACAGCTGGGACGGAGGTGGTACCTGGAGCCTTGGTGGTGGTAGCTGGGGTGGTAGCTGGAGCTGGAGCTGGGGAAGTAGCTGGAGCTGGCTTAGCGGAGGTGGTGGATAATGGACAGTAGGTGGTGTAGGTAGTGTCAACCTTGGTGACGGTGGTAACACCAGTGGTGACTGGAACTGGGGTACAAGAGTGGTCCTTACAGGAGATGATGGTGATGACGGTGGTGGAGATAGCGGTGGCGGTTTCAGTGGTGTTGTAACCAGCGGAAGAACCAGCGGCTAAAGCGGAACCAGCAGCGGCGGATAATAAGACAGCAGATGAGAACTTCATTTTGTATATAAGCGAGTGAAAATTGATTAAATTATAGAAAAGAGAAGAAGAAAAAGATGAAACTAATAATCGTTTGAGTCGGGGGGATTTATCAGACTTTTATATTGAAGAAAATTGGACATATCTGGTGTCATAGATGGCTATCTTGTGTTAAAATTAAAATTAAAAAAAAAACTTCACCTCGAGGTTATTTTCCGGTCTTTGTTTTTCTTTTTCTTATTTGCAATTTTTGCATTTCTATTGTTTGTTCGCCTGGCTCTGAAATTTTTAATGCAGACAGAAAAAAATAAAATATGCCCGGTTTTATAAGCAAACAACAACGTAATGAATATTATTACCTTTGTCTGAAAATATAATTTTACGTAATTGTTGATTATAATAATCAAACTGAACTTGATGTAGTATAAAATTTTTACAAATGTTACCCCTATAGTTTTATCTACAAAACTCAACTTTTGAGGCAGATCTCGGAACAACTGTCATTGCCACAAGACCCCTTAGGAATACCAAGAAAAAAAAATGAATGAAATGACTTATCATTCAATACCTAAAGCTGCATGTGCGGGAAAAACTTTTGCAGCACTTAAACTTTAAATTAAGCAGTGTGAGGTGTAACAATGGATGAAATTTGGGAGGGGCACTACTAAATAATAATATTCGTAAGTAACCAGATGAAAATGTGTATATTCCATATGAATTGGGAAATATGTGATAATTTTTACCAGATGCATGAGTAAATTTCATAACGCTACTTCCACATTCTGTTGCTATTCTCCCTTAATGAGTAATTCCTAAAAATAGTACCCAGTTATTTTTTTGTCCAACCATCAAGCCTGTGGGCAAAAGCAATTAATTTATTATTAGTATTGTCTCAGGTTTGTTTACTAACAAATGGTCAAGTTGGTTGTAAATTCTTTTTATTTTACTGGCTAAGAATAGGAGAGAACGCTGTAGAATTCAGTCCGCAACCGTAAGTTGTGGTAGCCCTGTGCAGGTACCTTTTTTAGTTGAAGTGCATAGATGCAAGGGTTCTGACGGAGCCACATGCAAGAGTTACTCGTGGCTTGGCTTACGGTAAAAGAATCGGATGTTTTTACTATCACTCCTTCTACAGTTACCAAGAAGCAAATATAGGTGAGGAGTGTTGGATACCCTAATTTAAGGTTCGCACAATGGTTTGCGGTGTTAAATGAGTAGAATTCAAAAAAAAAAATTTTTCTTTATTGTTGTTAAGCAAGCACCACTTCTTAAGCTGGGAAAAATTGAATCAGGAAAAAAACCCGGCCGCCAAATGGAATTTTCGTAGGCTCTACAATGCATAGGGTAACCAGTTGAAACTCGTTAGAAGTGCCTGGTTGCCTGGTTTACTTATGTCATATGGTTCCATTGCTGTTGTCTGTCTCTCACAACTGTATCGAACTGGAAAATCCTGTATGTTCTATTTATAGCGATACGGCACTTGATTCAATTGATAACTTTGTTTGGGGGGACTTTTTTGCGATAATTATCCCGTACCATTGAAAGCCTGTACCCCTATACAATTACAATCATGTAGCATTGAGCTGTCCCACATGAAACACTTTAGACTTATTCATATGCTTTGTAATGCCCATTTTACATTGTATAAACATTTGTCTTTGTTAGTGTTTTAGGAAGTATTCTATAAAAGTTGTAAACATTGCGCCGTTTGCGCATCCGCCGCGCAATTCAACCATTTCTAGTACAAATTGGGAATGGCTTTTGAATATGGTAAACATATGCCCAAGCTACAAGCTATTAATTAAGTACACACAAATATTCTAGATTTAGACCTGAAATCTAGAATCGAGATCGTCCGGTTGCACGGGGCAACTGGTCATTGACAGCGATCGGCAATAGTAGAAAATACATTTTACACGTAAACAATAAGATCTGCAAATGTGTGTACTCCTTCAAAGACCACACGATCAGTTTTGCTCCAGCTCACTTGGTAGTCTAACAACAGCAACTTGTAGTATAAACAAAGCTATCTTTGTGTGTTTCACAAAGGTGCTTTGAACAAACACAATCTAAATCAGCACAGAAGTTATTTTTAGCTTCGCAAGGCACGCGTACTTGTTATCAAAACAAATGAAAATGGGGAAAGCCACCTGGGTGAACCATGTTGTCCATTGATCGGATTATTATCAACAATTTTTAAACGCAACTTTCGCGAAATTAATATTATTTAGATTGAAAGGATCAAAAAAAAATATTTGATTCGCGTTGAAGGAAAATTGTGATTTCGACCTAATTAGGTGTTTTTATTCCTGTAAACAACTTGCAAATATTCGGTAATAATTCCCCTGGATAACCTAACTTGTTGCGGTGGAATGCAGTAGCAAAGCGGTCTGCCCAAGACCTCTAGTGGTGATTTGGGTAGGTATGCTGCGCTATTTGACATGATAGGCACAACGTTACATCGAATGTGGGTGTATGCTATGTAAACCATGTAAAGTATCTGTAGACTACTCTGCATAAATAATCATGCTAATGTCGCTCTTTTGCTTTCACCTAAAGTTAACCCATAAAAGTACAAGTATAAAATCAGTTATTTTTTTTTTTTTGTAATTTTTGAAGAATTGCTGCGAAAAATTAACATAATCATACTTGAATTTTTTGTATTTTCAAACTTTTTCTACAAAACAATAAACAAAACATTAAATCATAAAAAAAAACCAAACATTCTACTTTAAATAAACCTTATAAGTAGCAATCTCAAATGATCTCAAAGAGATATCTACGGAACCATCATCCACACGCAACTGTTCACCATGAATTTCCAAAGCACATGTCTTGAACACACTGTCCACCTTCAACAGCTTATCAAACACAAGCTTACCACTGGAACTACCACCCAAGGACTCATACACTCTCAAAACAAGTGACTTTTCTGGAGTGTCAGTCTTGAACACTTCAAATTGATTCACGTCATAATCATTTTCACCACGTTTGATATGGGACAAAACCAACGACTTACCACCTTCCAACTTGACCGACTTGAACAAATCAGTATGGGCAATAGGTTCAGCAATCAACTTGTAATTGAAATTGTAACCGGCACGAACGGTGCTCTCACCCAAGTTTCCAGCATGGGGGTAAATGGCATACTCAAACTCATGGTAGTCACCCATATCGGCACGGTCATCAGGTGCCTTAGCACTTCTCAATAATGACAATCTCATCAAGTTACCATGAATGGCACCACCATACTTGCAATTGTTTAAAATCGAAACACCATAGTTGAACTCACTCAAATCCATGAACTTATGATGTGCAACTTCAAACTTAGCCACGTCCCAGGTGGTGTTGTAATGGGTTGGTCTGGTAGTTATACCAAACTGAGTTTCATAGTTGGCGGTAGGTGGCGTGAATATCGTAGTGGGGAATTGCACCTTGAGGAAAAGATTGTTTTCATGCCATGAAACCTTGCTTGAAAACTTAAGGAAGTTGTTTTCAAGATTGTCCTTGGTCTTAACACCAGCTAAAGAGATAACGGTGTGGATAGAAGATTGGCTGGAAATTCTATGAGTGACCAAAATTGAAGATTCTAATTCATCATTCACCAATACTTGCGACTCACCATTGTTTAACAACTTAAACTTTTCTAACGAGTGCAATTCAGTATCCCAAGCAGGCCAATTCAATGGTTCATCATCAAATAAAACAAACTGGTTCCCACCGATAAATTCACTACTGGTTTGATCAGTAGGGGTAGAATCAATAATCTCACGCTGGTTGACTTCATCATATAATGAGGTAACTATACCAGTTGGAGAAATCTTGGCACTGAGTAATTTGTTGGACAAAACAAAGAACCCGTCCTTTTCTTGAACAGATGCAGGATAGTCTACCGAATTGTTAATGGTCGTTTCTCCATTAATGGAATTGACAGAAATAGAACGAGTGGCACCATCATTTTGAACAATACCTACATTTTGTCCTTCTAACAATTGGAACAATTCCGGAGATTCTTGTTTATGGACATGAACAATTTCGTTAGTTCTGTCCCATGGAAAAGTATTCACAAGTTGAACTTCCTTCACACTCTTTGGCTTGCGCAAATATCTCAATGCATCTTGAATAAGTCCAGCGGCTTTCTTTAACAATGATTCCAACATTGGATGCACTTCGTCGTAGTAAACTTCACCGATACAGGAACCAGGAAGGACATCATGGAATTGACACAATAATAAATCTTCCCACAAATCGTTAATCTCCTTGGCTGGGTACTTGTACTTGTCGAACTTAATACTAACAAGACCAGCAATTAACTCTAAATCATGCAAGGCAATTTCTCCTTGACGCATATACTTCTTGACCAAGGCTTGGGTTGTGTAAGTACCTCTATGGAATTCAAGATAAATCTCACCTGTCCAAGTTGGCAATTTCTGACCTTGGTTAGAATTTTCCAATACATGTTCATAGAAATCATCAATCGTGACTCCCAATTGAACAGTAGGCATCAAACCTACCGTGTTGGCCAACCCTCTACATCTTCTCAATTTCTCAAGCATTTCTTCAGTGGGGCCACCACCACCATCCCCGTGACCGTAAAGTAACAATCCAGCAGGAACATCCCGAAGATTCTTGTGTTGATGCAGTGATCTCATGACATCTCCAAAATGAGCACTTGCAGTATACGTGTTAGCTGGAGGCATATGGACTAAAACTTGAGATCCATCGAGAGCTTTCCAATTAAAGGTGGTCAATGGGAATGTGTTGATGTTATTCCAAGACAATTTTTGTGTCAAGAACCGTGATACCCCGACAATTTGACAGATTTGGGGGATTTGGGAACTGTAACCAAACGTATCAGGCAACCAAAAGATATTTGAATAGAACCCAAATTCATTCATTTGGAATCGTTGACCAAGCAAGAATTGACGAATAAGAGATTCTCCATTGGGGACATTAGTGTCATTTTCCACCCAGGATCCACCAATGGGCAAAAACTGGTTGGTGGTGAACTTTTCCTTAATCCTGGTGAGGATTTCTGGGTGATATTGTTTCAACCATTTGAACTGTTGCATCTGCAGCGCCACAAAGACATACTCTGGGTACTCATCGGCGATTTTCAATTGCGTGGTCCATGACCTGACAATCTTTCTTTTCGTTTCGGCAAATGGCCATTCCCAAGCGGTATCAATGTGACAATTACCCACGGCAAACACATCAATGCGTTTATCCTGATGAGGGAATACATCGTACACTTCTTCTGTATCAATCTTGTTACCCAACATCTTTCTGGCCAATTCACGACAGGCCTTGATGGATTCCGAATCTTGAGAATCAAAAACATTCATGATTTGAGTACATAAATCAGCTGCTTGGTACTTCTGCCAAGTACCGCCTTGAAATTCTCTTGAGCCATCACTCAAGATCCAGAAGTCGTAGTATAGTCTTCTTGCGTCCATATTAAGCACGACCAAATGGGCTCTACTCAATCTAAAATATTTGTTTGGATCAGGGAACCCATCCGATCCATTTCCAAACATGCCATTACAGGCAACTTCAAGGTAAAACAACTGCTTGCCTAGTTTTCTGTATTCCTTAGGGATACGAAATGATTGACGTTCATTGGAAAATGCTTGCAATGGGAGCCCAACAGCATTGTAAAGCAATCCTTCTGAGCCGGTTTCCCATTGTATCTCCAATCCTTCACTTTGTAAAAACTCTTCTGGAATGTCCAATTCGAATTTAACCCAGAAGGTTTTCCAAGAAGGACCAAACCGGTAGCCAATGCCGATATTTTCCCAGTGAACTTCGTCAAAGTTTATATCTTTCCATAAGGGACGTTGGGTCTTGCCGTGTTCGTTATCTGGGACTTTCCACGATTTCAAGTTGCCAATTTCTTGACGATAGACATCGTAAAACTTGGGGAGGTTCAAGTCAACATATCTGCCACCATCTGTGAATTGGCGCAATCTGGATTCATAAAGGTGGTCAATTGGTTTGAACCGGGGTTGTCTATTAAAGCTGTCGTAACCCATGATGAAGTAGATCTAGTAAATTACCACCAAGAGAACTAAAGATGAAACTGAAGATGAAACTAAATTAAAATGGGGCGGAGGGAAGCGAGGGGGGGGGGAGAGTGACGGGTTTTATAGTAAAAATTGTCATGGCAAAATACGAAGGCTTACATAAGAAAAAAAATCAAACGTGGGGAAACGGGCCAGAAGGGATGGAAACATTAACATTTCAAAAAAATGACATGGTGTCAATTGAGACACAAACGAGTAAAGAGATTATCTTGTTTGTACTCTGTGGCGGTTGTTCAAATTGAACAATTGACATTCCAGTACACAGCAACAATCTGATTAAATGTTGTTAGGTTAAAAAAAAGCAAAAGGGATAACGGAAAAATAATCATCCCTGAATTCCACCCGAAAACATACATTTACTAAACAATGTGGTATTCTAGAGCCATGAATTTCCACAGATAGAATTTCAGATCAAACAACAATACAGAGGGCAAACTATACTAGTGGCGCTACAAAAATTCCTCGAGTACGCCTATTACCACGAGATACTAGAAGCTTTCCTCGAGTACTTTTAAAGTTACACGTAGTACGCAACACCGTCAAACAAAACTAGCATGTGTATTAGTTATATAAAGAGCAAAGTAAAACCAACTTAGACAATGTGAACTTCCTTGTCTTCTTCGACATGCAAAATTCTATCATCCTTAGTCAAAGCACTGACTTCTCCAGGTAACTTAGCAGCAAAACCCTTAATCAAGGTGAATTCATTGGTGATTTCTCCACCCAAGTCACCAATCAATGACTTGACGGAATTGAAGTCAACGTCGGAAACGTCTTCCTTCAAGGTAATAATATAAGATTTAAGACTCATCTTGTTGTTAGCAGCAGAAAAAGTAGGGGATGAATATGCCTTGGGAGTAGAAATGTAGGGAATTGACAAGTTATTAGTGTACAATAAGCTAACGAAAATCACAAATACTAAAACGAAAAGTCCAAATAATTTGTTGTTGGAAGCCATTGGGTTAAGAAGAAACAAGTTAGAATTGTGGTTTAAAATGTGCGAGAGGCAAAAGGAGGCCCAGTGTGACCGGATTTTGTGCCACTTTCTGTTATCTTATATTTTGCCACTTTCACATCACGTGCAAAACACTGTCAGGATTTCATTGCTACGCTTATTTTAATTTAGTGACTGGATTAAATTGTGATAGCAACCTCAACAAACTAGAGCAGAGAAGACTACCATCGGTTTAGCATGTTGATATTCACACAGAAGTACGAGACTGGCTTGGATCGGTTTGTAAACAAATACAAAAAGAAAGGATTTTGGCTATATTCTGGTGTCATCTTGTTGTCTGTGGGGTATGTGATGTATGAGATATCCCATTTACCTCAATTGCCAGATAACAAAGAAAAGAAAAAATTGAAAAAAGAAACAAAGAAGGAAGGTGCTGCAGATGCTGCAGAAGAAGGACAAACCCAGCTGAACAGTGATATACCCCCGGATCACCCAATAAATTCATGGAACAAGAAACAATTGTATGAGTATTTACACCGGGAGAAGATCTACCATGGTGTCGATGAGAATATCTCGATTGTACGAGGGAAGGTTTATGAGATCTACGAATCTAAGAAGAAGAAGAATAATAATAATAGTAGTGTGTAGGCGTTGAATTTGTTGCTCTTTAACCACTAGGGTTGTTTGTATCATAATGAAGAATAGCTAAATCTTAACAGTATATATAGTACGGAAATTCTCATCTTTCTTCAAAGTCCTTTTCCATTTCTTCCTTACTATATCTCCGTTGCTGTTATGCTTACATATGGCAACACTCTACTTCATAGCCCGCATCGGCTTTTGTACTGCATATGATCTACAAAACGCAACCATTGTTGTAATTACGTCAACCAATAACGAATAAATTGGTGAGAGTCCTACTTAGCAAATACAAAAAAAAAGTTAAGAATCAATTGGGAATCACCCCCGTGAGTAACACATACTGAATTTGCCAAGGATTGATTTGATAGGTTGCCCAGGAAGCAATTGGAAATATGCAATAGCAATATAGACTGCACTAATGTTACAGTATTGGTGTGGCTCCTTTTTTTAAAGTTTTTCTCCAATCCGCACTACCCTTATTTCCCCTTTTGGCACGTTTACGGCTTGCGGACCGAAAAATATGACTAAGCAATGAAACAAATTTGCTGCCAATTGGGCCCAGAAGCCTAACCCCTCAGATTTTCTCCATTCATATAAATTAGCCCTTGGGAAAAAAAACCGCCCCCAGTAACGAAAACTTTTTGATTTTCCTTCCACCACACTTTAGTAAAGGTTCATTACTACAAAACATATATATATATCAAACATGGTTAAAGCTGGTATGTAAAACAGATCTATCAATTGGGATGTCAATTGAGTTTAATCCAAGTTATTATCTGCAGTACAAGGCAATTTTTTAAGATTGGCAGTTAGTTTCCTATTGAAGCAAAGAATATTTGCTCAACAAAAAACATCAATCTGACAAGGTGACACGCGGATGATACAGGGCTGAAACAAAGCGAATACGCCTTATACAGCTCAATTGACATCAATTGACATGGTTTGAAGCGGAATACTAACTTTTAACTTATAGTTGCTGTCTTAAGAGGTGATTCCAAGGTTTCCGGTGTTGTTCACTTTGAACAAGCTTCTGAATCCGAACCAACCACCATTACTTACGAAATCTCTGGTAACGATCCAAATGCTTTACGTGGTTTCCACGTCCATCAATTCGGTGACAACACCAACGGTTGTACCTCTGCTGGTCCTCACTTTAACCCATTCGGTAAGACCCACGGTGCTCCAGAAGATGACGAAAGACACGTTGGTGACTTGGGTAACATCACCACTGATGCTCACGGTGTTGCCAAGGGTACCAAGCAAGATTTGTTGATCAAGTTGCTCGGTAAGGACTCCATCATTGGTAGAACTGTTGTTGTTCACGAAGGTACCGATGACTACGGTAAGGGTGGTTTTGAAGACTCCAAGACCACTGGCCATGCCGGTGGTAGACCAGCTTGTGGTGTCATTGGTTTGACCAACTAAGTTTAGATCAGATTAAGTAAGTATTTATTTTTCTTAAAATGGATGTGTGCTCTGATTAATAAAACCGTAGAGCTGTAGATTAGTTTTAATGGGAGGGTGGAACAAGGGGCTCGAATTCTGAGTTGCAGATTGTTCACAACTTAGTTGACTACATCCATGTTCAGACATTATAGCCATTGCAATTGTCTGAAACAGAAAAGCGTAGGTTCCAAGTAAACCGATACGATCGGTACGAAACCAATGCGTTTCAATACGAAACAATGTCACTGATAATTGGTTGATTAAACAATAGGAGATCGAACTAAAATCCCCGAAAAAAAAAACTCACGCGGTAACAATTGCAAAAAGCAAAAAAAAAAAAGAATAGAAAATTATACCATCACCCTTTGATGCGATCTGGAACGATTCCTCGTTAGAACTTTACTATAGTCAACTCTGTCTGATTGAATATCTTGGCAGATCCAAGAGGTTACTTTTTTTATTTATTTATTTACTTTGCCGAGGATACACAGTAAGTGTGAAAGAAGAATCCAGAAAATCTCGCTACTATTTACTGGGTTGTATATTTTTTTTTCTTGTGAAGTAATTCCGCCAATACTTGACAGGTAACGCAAGAGGAGAAGCCACCAGCAGTTTATGATGCTAACAGAGTACCTATCTCATGAAATACTAGCATCATATACAAACATCCCCTAGATCAGCTCGCACGACATATTATTTTGTAAACGTTCGATCAGGGGCTTTCTCTCCCCTCTTATCATGACGTATTGTTTGATCCGCATCCAACTTCTCTGCACCGCCCCGAAATTTTTGACCATCCCCCCCCACCGCCGATCACCACCACCAGATTGTATGGCCAAAAAAAAAAAGATTCCATGATTCGTAAAAGATTATGTTACACCCACTTCCACTGTTTTTGACAACCGTCAAAGTTTAAAAATTAAACTGCCTCTTTTCCCTTTGAGGAATCAATAACACAAGTCTACACTACTATCCTTAGCATATCTATGAATTCATTACCTTGAACTTGCTTTCAATTCTCACTAACTAGCATAACATATTTATCTACACAAGTATGGATACAACAAAGCAAACGCAGGAAACTTCTACGGGAGATGATCTGCACTTGCAACCAAACTCCCATTCGACACAACCACCACAGGGACTATTGCAATCGTTCCCGCCACCACCCCGTTCACAACGATCACCGTCTCCACCAGTGCAACAGAAGGAAAACAACACTCTCAAGGCCCCTACCGCCATTAGAAGAAAAAGAGGACTTTCATTAAGATCCCAGTTATTCAACAAAGCATTTTCTCAACAACAACCACAACCACAACCAGACATGACTATCCCGGAACAGCAGATGCCGCAGCAGATGCCGCAGCAGCCCATTGAAATGCAGACCTTACCTCCGATACTAACAACCCCTCACATCACCATACAAGAACCGCCTGAACCTTCGAATTCATACAATGCCAAGCCTTCCAATGGTAGTTACCCTGCATTCAACCATGACATGGCCAAATCTACCACTCAATTAACCGTCACCACCACAATAGACAGTCAAGCAAGTGCAAAGTCGTTCCTATCCAGACGAGAAAGACTGCGATGGAGAAGATACAAATCTAGAAGCAAATTTATTCATGATTTTATAAATTTCAAAAACAAACTTTTAGGTATAAAGGACCTTCCACCCAGTGAATCAGGAAGAATCATCCCACTAAGCATAAACCACAGCAAAGTGAATAGCTACTATCAAGACGAATACTACGACACTAAACGAAAGGCCTTTATTGATGAAAGAAGCAATGAACCTTATGTGGATAACAGAATTACCTCATCAAAGTACACAGTATATTCATTCCTTCCTAAGCAATTAAAGGCCCAGTTTTCCAAAATTGCCAATTGTTATTTCATGGTTGTGGCAATTATGCAGATGATCCCCGGTTGGTCCACTACCGGTCATTTCACAACAATTATCCCCTTGTGTATATTCATGTCGATTTCGATTGCGCGTGAAGGGTTTGATGATTGGAAAAGACACGGCCATGACAAAGAAGAGAACAACAAAAGGACAATTGTGATTAAAGAAGATGAAGATTTGTCCAATTTTGACACGCAGTCAATCACAACAATCATGACGGAAACTGTTCCCTTGGACCAACAGGTTAATACTCTGCCTAATCTCGGTGGGAGAACTTCATCCAACAATTCATGGTCTGATTTGGAGGAATTGTCATTCACCAACAAGGAAGCAATGAAGAAATATAACTTAAAACAATATCCCACCCTTTGGAAGAATGTCGGAGTTGGGGACATTTTACAAATAAATGAAAATGACTGGCTCCCCGCTGATGTAATTATATTGTCCACCAGTGAAGGTGAAACTGCACCAGCTTATGTGGAAACCATGGCTCTCGATGGAGAAACCAACCTTAAACCGAAATTTGCTCATCCAGAATTGGCCAAGCGAGCAAATACCGTGACTGGATTGAAAAGTTTGCAAACATTGGTAACTACTGAAGACCCCAACAGCAATTTATACAACTTTGAAGGGTCCTTCAATCTCAATGATGAAACATTTGCCCTTAGTTCAGAAAATATAGTGTACCGTGGGAGTATTTTAAGAAACACAAGGTCTATATTGGGGTTGGTGGTTTTCACTGGTGAAGAAACAAAGATTAGAATGAACAATATCAAGAATCCAAGAACCAAAGCACCTAAGTTGCAAAAGAATATCAATTATATTGTTATTTTCATGGTTTGTGTCGTGATATTACTTTCTGCATTTTCCACCATGGCTCAACGATTATTATATGAAGATAATAGAGAGAAGGCATGGTACTTGTTTGAACAGGATGCTGGTGTCGCAGCAACATTGATGGGGTTTATCATTATGTACAATACCTTGATTCCCTTATCACTTTACGTTACTATGGAAATCATCAAGGTTATGCAATTATTGTTTCTACAATTTGATATAGACATGTACCATGTTGAATCAAATACACCCGCCGACGGGAAAACAGCCACAATCTTAGAAGAACTAGGACAAGTGTCATATATATTCAGTGACAAGACAGGAACTTTAACTGATAATCAGATGGTGTTTCGGAAATTCAGTGTTTGTGGTGTGAGTTGGTTACACGATTTAGATTTAATGGTCAGTGAACGAAATGAACCTAATAGTGTTGAAACCGCTCCATTGGCACCCAGATTAAGTATGCATGCACCCAGGCAAAGAGATGAACTGCCACATAGAACAAGCACCACCTCTATTGTAAGAGCAAGTATGGATTCTGTAGGATCTTCCCAGTCTAACTGGACCAGTACCGCTCAACCCAACAAAGTCCAAGATAGTGCTATGAATTCACTCCAGTTATTGAGACATATCCAAACGCATCCGCAAACATTATTTGCCAAGAAGGCAAAATTCTTTTTGCTCAGTTTGGCATTGTGTAATACTTGTCTTCCCAAGAAAGACACAAAACGTACCTCAACGGATTCAATTTTCACGTTGAACAGTCAAACTGATGCCAACGGTAACAGTGAAGTTGAAGAAGATGGAGATATCACATACCAGGCCGCCTCCCCTGATGAACTTGCATTAGTTGAAGCTGCCAGAGATTTAGGGTTTGTTGTGTTTGACCGAGTTAACCAGAAGCTTGAAATCAAGACGTATCCCCATGGATTTGATAACGATCCTAAAGTTGAAGAGTATCAAGTGTTGGATGTTATTGAGTTTACTTCATCAAGAAAGAGAATGTCTATTGTGGTTAGATTCCCTGATGGTCGTATCTGTTTGATTTGTAAAGGTGCTGATTCCATCATTATCGAAAAATTAAAGAATAGCAAGATGGCACAAGAAAAAGCTCGAGAAATTTCATTAAACTCATCGGAAAGAAAGACTCAAGAAGCCGATGTCATTTTACAATCCAAGTTTTCTCAAGATGTCCAACACATGTCTCCTTCGCGGAAATCAGGATTTTCATTGAGGCAAAGTTTAGGAGGAACCGCTGCGGCAACAAACACCAAAATGAATAGCATTAATAACGCTCTTATGGGAACTGAAGATGATGAAATTGCCGACATTGCCACCAGAGCTAGAAAATCATTACATATTCAACAAACAAAAAAGTATAGTTTGGACCTATACGAGAATGAAGAAGTTCCTTCCACTCCTGTATCCCTCAAATCGGCCACTTCACTTCCAGCAAACCCATTTACTCAGTTCATACCCAATGACAAGTTACTTGTTAATGACGAGTTCATAGTTGAGAAGATATTGGAACATGTGGAGGAGTTTTCCACTGAGGGTTTACGTACTTTATTATATTCCTTCAGATGGTTGGATAAAACCGAATATGAACAATGGAGTAGAGAATACAGCGATGCCAAGATTGCATTGGCTGATAGGGCAAAGTTAGTAGAGCGAGTAGGTGGGAAGATTGAAACCGGATTAGAATTAATTGGTGCAACAGCAATTGAAGATAAGTTGCAAGAAGGAGTTAGTGAAGCTATCGTGAAGTTGCGTCGTGCTGGTATCAAATTATGGATGTTGACTGGTGACAAACGAGAAACGGCGATCAATATTGGATACTCGTGTCAATTGATTAAGGATTACTCCACTGTGGTTGTTTTATCCATGGATGAAGGTAAAGACGCTCTTATTGATCGGATAACATCTTCATTGCTGCAAATAAAGACAGGCTCAGTAGCACACAGTGTGTTGGTTATCGATGGTGGAACATTGGCTATTGTCGAGGCTGATTCGACATTATTAACTTTATTCCTTGAATTGTGTATTCAAGTCGATTCCACAATTTGCTGTCGTTGTTCCCCTTCCCAAAAGGCAAATATGGTCAGTGCAGTCAGAAACTTGAATAAGAAAGCAGTTACTCTTGCCATTGGAGATGGTGCCAATGACATTGCCATGATTCAAAGTGCCGATATTGGTATTGGGATTACCGGTAAGGAAGGGTTGCAAGCTGCTAGATCGGCTGATTATGCAATTGCCCAATTCAGATTTCTTTTGAAGTTGCTTTTAGTCAATGGGAGATACAATTATGTGAGAACATCCAAGTTTGTGTTGTGTACATTTTACAAGGAGCTTTTGTTTTACTTGACGCAGTGCATATACCAAAGAAACACGTTGTTTTCTGGGTCATCTATGTATGAAAGTTGGTCATTGTCCATGTTTAACACTTTATTCACCTCATTACCCGTGATTTGTGTAGGTATGTTTGATAAAGATTTAAAACCAGCTACTTTATTGGCAGTTCCTGAATTATACAACAAGGGAAGATTATACCAAGGGTTTAATTTGAAAATATTCGTTTCGTGGATGGTATTGGCAACATTTCAAAGTGTTGGTGTGTCATTTCTTGCTTATTATTCATGGGGCTTTACGGCTCTTCGAGACAATACCACGTTTGCTTTGGGCTCGATGGTGTTTGCCGTTCTTGTTATTATTATCAATACAAAATGTACTATTATAGAAATGCAAAACAGACAATGGTTGGCGTTTGCATCATTCATCATATCCGTGGGCGGATTTGGACTTTGGAACGTTCTCATTATGTTGCTTTATAGAACCAAGGATTCACCAATTTATTTTGTGGCTTATGGATTATACACTTGGGGTAGAGACCAAAGTTGGTGGGCTGCATTGTTGATGATTTCAACCATTCCATTGTTATTTGATATCTTCATTAAAGTGTTTAAGTTTATGTTTAAACCAAACGATGATGAATTATTTAGAGTTTACGAGAGGGACATTCAATTAAGAAGATATTTTGAGCAAGCAGCCTATAGTGAACTCCACCAAAGTTGGAATTTCACCAAGGAACCTTCCACCACAGGTAAGTTTATTGCCAGAGTTTTCAGAAAGATTGGTAAATCGATTGGTATCTCCCAGAAAGAACTTCGTGATGAAATTGAAGAAATTAATAGCGAGGAAGAAAACGAAGGTATTCAATCGGCAGTACATAGAAAACGTGCCGGCACCAACCCTATGCCCAATGAGCTTCCCCCTAGCGGAGAAGGTACTGTTACTACATCGAATAGCTACACTGCACACCCTACATTTGATGAAGAAGGGTATGAGATTTTACCAAGTGGGAAGAGGGTTAAGATTAAAATCAAAACTGACGATGAACCAAGTTGGACAACAAGTCTTACACAAGCGTTCAAATGGGATAAATCTGAAGAAGATGTCGATGCTATTATTGACGAGAGATTGAAAACCTTGCGAGAGGAGGAAGAGAGACGTGGTTTGCATTGAGCTATTGTAAGTTTATATATTACTTAGAATTCATATACAGATAAAGATACAATTTTATACACTTAACATCTATTCTAGCTCACTCTTTTGTTGTTTATAGAGTTGAGTTCTTTTTCAAGACTTGAAATGACTCGTTTCAATCCCTTTGGTCGTGAGTTACTAATTAACCAATTCTCAAACATTTCACGTTGTTGCTTAAGTTCCATAATCTTTGGGTGTCGTGGTTCGTTTACAGAATACGGATTCAAAAGAAGGTCAAATAATCCCGACCATAGCTGACTTTGCCAATATCGTCTAAATGTAGCTTCTAATTGAACTTTGGTTCCGTTATGCCGTATTTTTATGTAATTGCCAAACAATAACGTATGAATTATCGAAGCAAGACCGTAATAATCCACTTCATAAGACCACGGCTCGCCTTTATGCATGGCTGGACAATCTTGTTGATCAACTTTGAGATTGACACAGCTGAACATAGCATCTTTTGGAAATAGCTTCAAATCAACACCTCTACCGAAATCAATCAACGTGATGCCTTTTTTATCCCATCCATTGCTTCCGTCGCTTGTATAATATTCACTCCATTCGGATTCTTCAATGTTTTCGAAATGAACCATACAGTTATCAGCTTTCAAATCTCCATGAAGGATACCTATTGAATGCAATGTTTCCAAGGCTTTAAGTAATTCAATTGCGAAATATATGACAAGTGATTCTTCGATGGGTAAGTTACTGCTTTTATAATAGTTGACCACGTCTAATAATGTACTCTGACTGTAATAATCCATAATTAAAAAACTTTCATCATTAAAGTAAAACAACGATTCAGCTTGAACGAATTGAGAACTGAGGCGGGGCGGGAATCCTAATAATCGACGATGGATTTGATGTAAGATGTAAAATTCCCATCTCGATGCCGGTGATTCTATCTTCAATGCTTTTAATTCACCAGTCGATGCTGTTTCTATAAGATATACCAATCCATATCCACCTTGGCCCAATTCATGTATAAGACAATATATCTCGTCACCACAATAATCTATAATTGCTTGTTGAGAACTCTTTGCTATTTTCTTATTGTCATGTGTTATGGACTTGAATTTGCCTAGGCTGTTCAGAGAAATGTTTGTTTTATCAAAGAAACCAGCAAATACCGTAAGGGGAATGGACAAATTATCAAGATATAAATCACGGGTTTCCTTATCAAATGGGTTTATGATAACTTTCTGAGAAACAATTGGTTCATCGACAAACGGCGAGCTTGGAGTATCAGCATAGTCTTCTTTATCAGTTGGTGGAGTTGTATGGGGTTGAAGAACAGGTTGAACATCGATTGTTTCAGTTACAAATCCATCAAAGTTTTGAGTAGTGGTGTTATCATGAAGTTGTTCTTCGCCTTCTTCAAAATCTCTGTTTGAGTTAAACATACTCATTACTTCATTATTTGCCATTTTGGAATACATTGTGATGGTTGGTTCGGGATTGGTTACATTTATTCCCTTTAATGGGTTCATTAATGTCTGGGTAAATTCAGGGTCTTTTCGCTTACGTGATAAAGCTAGGAGCTCGGGCAAAGAATATTCTTGATCATTCTGGTATACGAGATCCATATTGATAAGTACTCGTTCTGGTTTCTTTCCCTTGGTTTCTATCAAGGATGCTGCTAAATCTTGTTTGTCAAAAACGACAGTTATTTTGGTTTCTGGTTCCTGCGGGTTCTCATCTTTGAACACTTGAAATTTAGTAGAAGATGTCAGCGGAGGAGTGGTTTTCTGTTTTAAGACTTCTCCGGTCCATTGTTTGGCAGCTATAGTATTTTCCTTTACTCTAGATTTTGCTGATCCAAGTTGTAAATTTTGATCATCGACTCCAATTCCAAATATAGATTGTAAAACGGTTGGGTTTTCAGTGTTATCTTTGAACACTTCAAGCTTTGACTTCTTTCTAGGTTGCTCATTGTCTTCTCCACCGAATCGTGCCACTGAACCTTGCTTCACAGCTAATGCATCCCGTACAATTGTTGTTGTTTGGACTTGATTAATTCCCGAATCTACTCGTGCTCGGAATTTTTCATATGATCGTTGTAATCTACTCAATGGAAACGCATTGTACTGTATGCCCAACTCGTAGATTTGACAAGCATCGTTGAATTTCCCCTTTGATTCTAGGAACTTGGCGAATTCTTCATAATACAAGCTAAGCCTATTTCCTATTTCTTTCTTTGCAAGATACACATACACGTCTCGCGGAGAATCAGAATAGTTTGTGTACTCTAACCAAATTTTCAAATATCTTGGGTCATTCTTGTACAAGAAGACATCTCTGAATATGGAAATGCATCGTTCTAATAATATGACAAGGCCACTTTCGGAATTGGCACCCTGGGGGAAGTAAGTATGGGTCCAATTTATGTAATCTATATACAATTGCAACGGATCATCCAAGTTGTCTGATTCCTTTAGTGCTAGTTCGAATTGTTCACGTTCACGTTGTCGTTGATCTTTAAACGCTTGATGAGATGCAGATGAGGTTTTGAGTGCATGCGAAAGTCTCAGTGCTGGTCTTCCTCCTGGTAAAGGTTGAATGTTCTCTTTGTTTTCTTCCAACACACTTGCATCTGCCGGCACCAGCATGATTAATCTATTATATATTGTTGTACCAGATACTCTGTAAAGTGTTTTAAAAACAAACATCAAATTGAATGTAAACACAACAACGCGCCCAAGGTAAATTTGCTGTGTGTCGCGACACTGACCAAAACTTTGCGACACACAGAGCAAATAGGACACCGTATGATTTGGACATACAAAATCTTTTACAACCAACCAGTAAGCAATCACAACACACACGTACACACACACACACACAGAGTGCAGCATGGTATTACTAACAGGTCTAATACTTTCATTGCTAGTGCAAGTCACTATTGCCACTCAATTCTATAAAGAACACCTCAATTTGAAGCCATACCCTAGAAACAAATTACTAACTGGGTTTGACTTCAACATTGAATCACAACCATTTGAATTATCATACTACAATGTATCAGCCACTACCGGTGAAATAGCCCACCATTATACTCACTTCCCCAGTAGTTTAGGTCCCATTATTGAATCTACAAACACTAGAGAGTTGCACTTGAGATTCACTCAAGGTTGGTGGGATGCACAATCATGGGGCAAGTTACCCCATGACGGGCTCTTTAGTGGTGGTACTGGTGTCGAAGTAGTTGCTGTGATTGAAGCTCCTGATATTGCCATTGCTCAACAGCATTGGCTGAGATTAACCAAGATCTTATCTGGGTTCTTCTGTGCTTCTTTAAACTTCATTGACAACGATAGCACCACGTATCCTAAGCATTTGACCAAGAAAATTGGCGGGTATGCGCCCGAACAAGGAAACAAGTTGTTCTTACTTCGTGCCGCGTTACCTAGTGAACCTGTGTGTACTGAAAATTTGACTCCGTTCTTGAGATTGTTACCTACCAGAGGTAAATCTGGTATTTCTACCTTGTTGGATGGCCATAAAGTGTTTGATTCCTTATGGCACGGAATGTCAATTGATGTAGTTACTTCATGTGAAGATAACGGGTTGTGTTCTTTGCAATTGCATCAAACTATTAACCAGATGGTTGATATCATCAGATCCATTCGTAAACAGACTGAAGGAGGTATTCCAAAGCCTACTCCTGGTGATAAATTAAGATGTGATACTAGCAAGACATATAATGTTTGGCAATGTTTCCCATTGGGAGATCCTACTGAAATTGACTGGAGTTTGCAAACTATATATGGAAGAAAGATAATCGGGTCTGCATTTGAAGATGGAGACCGTGAAACTTCATCCATTAGTGTCGATTTTGATCCCGCTGCTTGGGAAGTAACTTTTATGAAAGATGCTCCTAACTCCCTTGTTCATCGCTCATTATCTGACTCCAAGGACGTACATGTCAGTGAATTTTTGCATGAAAATGCCAATTATGACTTGAAGTTTGAAACCAAGAGTAGCACTAATGTATTGCCTATAGTTGCCCCTCCATTATATGCATCTCGTTCATTAACTGGATATTCATTAGACAAGGGTGGTTTACGTGTGTCGTTCGCCAATCCTAGTGATAAACCAGTTACTTTTGTGTATTTCGAATCCACTCCTTGGTTTATGAGATTATACTTTAATGACTTGAAGTTGAGTTTAAAGAATCAAGATGGCGAAGCTGATGTCACAGCTAACCAAGAAGAGTATATTCAAAACAGATATTACCGTCCTGCAATTGATAGAACCAGACCTTCGCAAATGGAATTGAAGATTACCATTCCTGCAAATCTGTCATTGGCAATGACTTATTCATTTGACAAATCGTTGTTGTTGTATCATGAATATCCGCCAGATGCAAATCACGGGTTTGATATTGAACCAGCTGTAATTACAATTCTTGAAGACGACAAAGCTACTTATGAATTTAGAACCACTAGTTTATTGTTGACACTTCCTACCCCGGATTTCTCCATGCCTTATAATGTCATTATATTAACATGTACTGTATTGTCATTGGCATTTGGAATTGTGTTTAACTTACTTACCAAACAAGTTGTCACCGAAGAAGAATTTGAAAAGGTTTCTGCCAATACCAAGGCTGCCAAGATCAAGAGACAAGTGAAATATAGAATCTATCAAGTTAAACAAATATTAGGTATATAATGTACATACTAGAAAGGATCTTCGTACGGATCTTCTTCGTCATAATCATCATCTTTTTCAAACTCGTAAACGATGGCACCACCAGCGGAACCCAACGATTCTTGCGCTTCCATGTATGGAAGTTCAACTTGTTCACGAGCAAGTCTTTGTTTATTGCTAGTGGTCAAGTTGAACGTTGTCAAGTCTTTCAATAACCTTTCGTCTTCGATTGGTTCCTCTTCCTCGTGTTGTTTAAAGATTTCGTAGGCATGGGTAGCAGTGTCAATTATGAATGTGTAGATTAAGGATCTCCCCGACTTCCTTCTGTTTGTCAATACAAGTTTAAACTGAGGGGAATTAAGATTAACTGGAATATTCAATCTGCTTACTTTTCCATATAGTTCTTCTTCGGTTAGCACCAGCACAATTGGCTCGATTTCAAAGATGGTAGTTGCAATATATGTCAATAAAGTAGCTGTGTTGGGATATGATGTATTTTGTTGAGGTATTGGACAATTGGTATGAAACACACCCAACAAAGTGATCAAAGGATTGGCCAATTTGGTGATAAACGCAGTGATCTCTTCGCTTGGGATGTAATTGAGGGAATCAATAATCACAAGAGTTTTGTTAGTTTTGCTAACATTGGATTGGACGAATTTTGCAACGTTATCAGGAGTGGTTTCGGTACAATCCAAGAATTCTGTGGCATATTTTGGTCTATTGATGGTTTCATAGGATAAATATATGATGTTGGTATTTGGACTGTTGTGGACAATTTCTTGGATTAGATAGTACGACGATTGTGCTAAGGAATCAAGGACCAAGTAAAATGACGAAGACTCTTTTAACGAAAGTAGCCTTGTCAATAGCACAACTGAGTTTTGAGACATTTCTAACAAAGTCTTTCAATGTCTGGCAGCTATAGTGAGGAGGATGAGGAGGTCGTTGTTTTGCGATGGAGTGCCAGATTTACATCTCACCCAGCAAACAAAAATATGGCAACAAATTTTATACCACTTGAAAGTGGCTGCCTAATTTACAACCAGAGCCAATCCATCACATACAAACATGAAGAAGCTGATAGGGAACTATTCAATCCCACCAGAGTTGAATAAGCAACTACAAAAAGAATTTGCAAAAGACGTATCTCTACCTACTTCCGAAATCAAACTGAATATCCTCAAGAATGATTACCAGAAACGATATAATCAAACAATTGACTTTAGCGAAAAGACATACAAACAGTTGATGAATGAACGAAACTTGGAGCGAGAAGAGAAAAGAGTGGATAAACTAATCAAAGAGAAACAAGAAAGTGAAACAGCTACAACTCTGACTACTGTGGCTCCACTGAATGAACCACGAACAAGAAAGAAGAGGTGGGATGTCACCCCTGAAGAATACTTGAAACAAAAGGCAGACCAAGAAGAACAAGCTTTGGTGCAAAAGACAACATCTGACTTGCTTCAGAAGTTAAAAGAAGGTAAAGTTCCCATAATCAACGGCATACCCTTGACTGATGAAATATTAGACAAGATATTACCCAGTGGCTACGTTAAAGTAGCCCCGCCTGTTGGATATAACCAGGTAGACGACAACTTATCCCCCGATATTATTGCCACAACTGATGACTACTATACGATACCTGCTAATGAAGATGTTACTAGCAAGATTATGACCACAGAAAGTGCCGATATGCCAGTCAAGGGTCTTGAATTCTTTAAGAGCGAAGATGTCAAGTACTTTGGAAGATTGATGAATGTAGACGAAGAAAACGAACAAGATGCAGACACAAAGAAAGAAATTCAAGCCATGAAATTAATCTTAAAAGTCAAGAATGGCTCACAAATAACAAGAAAGAGATCTATGAGATCACTCACAGACAATGCGAATAAGTTTGGTCCGAAGGTACTTCTTAATCAAATCCTTCCAATATTATTAGAACCTAATTTAGAACCTCAAGAACGTCATATCTTAGTGAAGTTGTTGTCTAGGCTATTATTCCAATTTGATGAACTAATTAGACCACACACACATCAAATTCTTCAAGTCATATCACCTTTATTAATAGACGAAGATTCAACAATCAGACTTGAAGCCAGAGAAATAATTTCAAGTTTAACTAAAGCTGCCGGATTAGCCAATATACTATCTACTTTAAGACCAGATTTGGATAACGTGGATGAGTACATAAGAAACCTCACTGCAAGAGTATTTGCCATTGTAGCCAACACGCTTGGTCTCAAAACTTTCTTACCATTCCTCAAAGCAGTGCTTAAGTCAAAGAAAAATTGGACGGCAAGACATACTGGGATCAAGATTATTCAACAATTATGCATACTATTAGGTAATGGAAATGGTAGCTCAATCTCACCTTATTTGACACAGTTGGTGGAAATGTTAAAACCCACAATCACCGATGAATCACTCCAAGTTAGGACAATAACTGCATTGACGTTGTCACAATTAGCCGAGAATGTAACTCCTTATGGTATTGAATCTTTTGAAACTATCCTTGAACCTGTTTGGTTTGGCATTAGAAAACATAGAGGGAGAGCATTGGCTGCTTTCTTGAAGTGTATTGGGAATATCATTCCTTTAATGTACTACAATTCAAATTATGAAGAGTTTTCAAATTACTATACCCGTGAATTGGTCAATGTTTTAGCCAAGGAGTTTACATCGCCTGATGAAGATATGAGAAGAACTATTCTTCGAATAATCATAAAATTGCCACTTTCAAGAAAGTTGAATGAGAATTACAATAGTCAAATTGTCAAACCATTCTTTAATGCATTCTGGAACCGTCGTACTGCCAGTGATAATACTCAGACCACAAGACTTGTGGTTGATGCAACAACCCATCTTGCCAACAAATTTGATTTTCTTAGTTTGTTAGATCATATTGTGATATTCACCAAGGATGATAATGAACAACTTAGGAGACTAGCAATTGAAGCTGTAAACAAGATGATATCGACATATCCTGATGAATTAATTGGGTTAGATTCACAACTGGAGTTACAATTGGTTGATGGGATAGTGTACGCATTCCAACAGCAAACAGTACATCATAGAATATACCTTCAAGCATTTGATTCATTAGCCAAGTCGTTGAATGTCAGATTGAAACCACATTTAAATTCAATTATAAGTTCCATATTGTATCGAATGAAGAACAATGTAGCGGAAATAAGACAACAATCATCAGATTTACTTAGTATACTTGCACCAGTAATCAAAAAGTGTTCCACTGATGACGAATTATTAACAAAGTTGATACTTATCCTATATGAATCATTAGGTGAAGTATACCCGGAAGTGTTAGCATCAATCATTACGGCATTGTATTCATGTCTTGATTCAGTTGACAAGTCAACGTTGTACATTATGCAAAACCCATCGATAAACCAAATCCTTCCTACATTAACACCAATTTTAAAGAATAGGCAAGAAAAAGTTCAAGAGTCATGTATCAAATTGATTGGGTTGATTGCAAAGAAAAACCCTGAAACAATTAACGCCAAAGAATGGATGCGTATCTGTTTTGAATTATTGGAGTTGTTGAAATCAACCAAAAAGAGAATTAGAATTGCTGCTAATGATACGTTTGGGTATATAGCCAAGACGATCGGTCCTCAAGATGTTATTGTGATGTTATTGAATAACTTACGGGTCCAGGAACGTCAATTGAGAGTCTGTACCGCTGTTGCCATGGGGATTGTCGCAGAAACATGTTCTCCATTCACGGTACTACCTGCTATTATGAACGAATACCGTATCCCGGAAAAGAATGTTCAAAATGGTGTTTTAAAAGCTATAAGTTTCTTGTTTGAATACCTTGATGGGAATACCACTAGGGATTACTTATTTGCAATCACTCCATTGCTTGAGGATGCCCTAATTGATAGAGATTTGGTCCATCGTCAAACTGCTGCAACTGTAATTAAACATATGGCGTTGAATTGTGTGGGATTGACCAATGCTGAGTATGATGACATATTCATTCATTATTTGAACTTGATTTTGCCTAACATATATGAATCTTCACCCCATGTTATATCGAGAATCTTGGAAAGTTTAGATGGTTTGAGAAACTTGTTGGGGTTGGGTGTGTTTACTAACTATATATGGGCAGGTTTGTTTCATCCAGCAAGAAAAGTAAGAACTCCGTATTGGAAAGTGTTCAATAGCGCCTATATTCAAAACAGTGATGCTCTAGTTCCCTACTATCCTCGGTTTGAACAGTTGGAACTGCTGCCTGTAGATTACAAAGTTGAAGAATTGGATTTGTTCTTATAAGCCATCTATAGAATATATATAAAAAGCATAATTAATAGTTTAAAACTTGGTAGCTATCATCAGCATAGTCGCTTCCCTCTTCTTCGTTAACATACTCACCTTCGAAAAGTGCAACTGGTTCAGAATCATACCGGTATTGTCTCGTAGCGAACCGGGTCAATTTCTCAGCTTGTGCCTGTAACCGATCTTCCAAGTCTTCAATATCGATATCAACGTCGGAGTTGGAACTGGAAAACGAAGTATCATTGACGATTACTTCGTTAGTATCCGAAATTGTTTCCAACCACCGAGTAATTTTCTCTCTAAAATTCATGTTAGGGGCTTTTCTAGGATTAAGTGAGTTGATATTATCGCTAGCACCACCGCTGGTTGGAACATTAGGAGTCTTGACATTGTAAAATGGAGGTTGAAACGGAGCTGGATATGCTTGATAAAGTTCAGCTTGGTTAACACATAAATAAGGGTCAGCGGCAGCAGTGCCAAGACCAAAAGTAGGACTTGTGAGCCCAAGGGGAGTGTTGTGTTGAGGTGGATATAAATATGGACCCAGGGAAATTTGTCGCTTGGAATAGAATTCATTGATTGTCTTATCATGTACAAGACTGGTTGATCTTAATGGATGATAACGAGGCGGAATGACTGGTGTGGGATGTGGGGATTTATCATCTAAGAAGCTCGAGTCGTTTATGTTACCAATAGTAATCCTTGGAAGCTCTGAACTTGCTTCCATGATGTTGACGTATATGGTGATAAAGAAGACTTTGACAAAGTTGCAAAATTGTTTAACCGCTATCGTGGGGAAAAATTCAAATATAGAAATTGCACTATTTTGATATGGTGCTACCATGTGGTATGCAATTGTGCATATTAACAACCAGGTGCAGTCACTAACCAAAATGTATACTAACTACAGCAGTTGTTAGATCACTCTCGTAGCTAGTGAATACTCAAGCTAGCTAGTTTAGCATTCTTGAGGTTTATTTCTAGAGCTCTGAGCATGGTTCACGGTTTAGATTGCTTTTCTCATTCTATTAGTTCTTGGTAGTACTTGCCTGAATTAAAATACAACGCGTATTTTTTTTTTTTTTGGCTTACATTAGCTTACATTACCACCACATCTAGAATGCCTAAAAGGAGAAGAGAAATCGACGATTCGGATGATTCAGTAGAATACGACGAAGGCGACAGAAGCATGCCGAATAGATCCGAAACTGGCACCCCTTCTCATGAGCTCCAACATATAGTCAATAAGGTGATTCGATTGGTCTTAACACGAGAATCCAAGGGACAGTTAATCAGACGTGAACATATAAATCAAATTATCAATGACCGTAAAAATCGTCTGTACGACGTAGTTTTGAAAGAAGTTACAGTTGCATTGGAAGAAGCGTATGGATTGACGCTAGTGGAGACTCCTATAATCAAGAAGAAGGGGGATACAAGCAAAGCTAAAAAGGTTCTTAAACCTAAACAGCCGTATGCTGTTGTGAATTGTTTAACTCCTGAAGCTAGAAATTTGTTGGGAGATATTTGGGAGAAGAGCTTGGGTACATTCACAAAGAATGATGATCTTGGGCAAAGCAAGTTTTATGTTCCGCGATATTCTAAATCAAAATTGCCAACTTCGAATTATGAATTGGTAAAAAACGGAATATTGTTGGTTATAGTGTCCTTGATTATTCTTTCAGAAAACCATATATCTGAACTGGAGTTGTTTAGGAATCTTCGAAAATTTGGTATCTCAACCAATTTGAATGTCAAGAATAGTAGTTTAAACATGAATATTCAGGAATTGCTTAACGACTTGATTCGACGAGAATATTTGAATAAGAATATCACAAAGGGCAGAATTGAATCTGAAAATGTGGTTGAATACACCTTAGGTAGAAGATCATTAATTGAATTCCCGCCACAATCGTGTTTTGAGTATATCAAAAAGATCTTTGGTGAAAATTTTGATACTGGAATGGCTGAGAGGACATTGGTTACTATTGAACGGGCTTACGGTGTAGCTCTAGTTAATGAAAGTGAAGCTGTGACTCCTGATGTATCACGAGGCCAAACTCCAGCAGAACAAGTGTAATTATAATAGTAGCTTAGTAGATATAGAGAATCAAAACATGCGCATAAAGAAAAAGCCTCATTGGTCTGAACCACTAATTCCAGTTTGACTCAACCAAATACCCCACATCTCCAAACAAGTAAGTATCTGTTGATTGTTTAATTGGACTACATACACATTACTAAGCAACTGTAACGCGTGAATGATACTAACTTGAAACAACCGCATCTGCGATACTTCCTAAATAGGTGAAAGCAAAGTTTGAAGCCTCTTCATGTTATTTACACGTATCAAAAATCTCAACAATTACTTCCGGTGGGGATGCCCCACCTAATTAGGTTAGTATGGAACGGTAGCTACGGGTATGCAAATAGAGTTACTATCCGAGATATACGTGACTATAACGTAACATGAACATAACCTGATATTGCAGCAGCCAATAAGCATTTGATACTACCAAAAAGAAATCTTATGGTCATTAGTCACCACCCAGGTCATCAACTACTAGGAAATTGCAAAATGATTACTGTAGGTAACATGTGATGATCTCCGACGAGCGGAGTTCCCAATGCGGAAATAATCTTTTCCAATTTGTTCACATGACGGTTCAAATTGGAACAATGGGTACCTTGAACGACACCTTTTCTCTTGTTCCTTCCACGCAGCGGTTGTAACCTGATCAAGTTGCTGCAGTACTGGTTTAGGGGGCGATTTCCTTCTCCAGATCTAATTACATTCCAACACATAATTATACACCCCCTCCAAAATCTGATCGTATAAAACTGGTGGTTTTTTTTTTTTGTTTTAATTTTAAATTATTTTTTTTTTTTGGGTTGTCGTTTATCGCTGTTATATAAAACACCAGTGAAAAAATTAGACAACATCGTTCAGATCAATTTCATTCATTCCACTTTTTCTTCCTCCTTGATACGTCATTTGGTTCCAACATGGCTGTAGACTCATTAGACTTGATTGTTGTTTCTTTATTGGCAGCTGCGATTGCCGGGTATTACTTGAAGAACCACTTCCTTGCCCCTCCAGAATCAAAGGGTTTTATCACAACACCAGCTTCAGGCGGCGCGACTAACACCAGAGACATTTTACAAACTTTACACCACCACGATAAAAATGTCCTTTTGTTGTACGGCTCCCAAACTGGTACTGCTGAAGATTTCTCCCATAAGATGGCTCGAGAATTAACTTCGAGATTTGACTTGAAATGTATGGTTGCCGATTTTGCTGATTATGACTGGGATAACTTGAAGGATATCTCCAGTGACGTCCTTGTTTTCTTTGTTATGGCCACTTATGGTGAAGGTGAACCTACTGATAATGCCATTGAATTTTTTGACTATTTGGAAACTGAGGACGACTTGTCCAGTTTGAGATACTGTGTGTTTGGATTAGGTAATTCTACTTATGAATTCTTCAATGCCATTGGTAGAAAAACAAGAGATTTGTTGACTGAAAAGCAAGCTGAATCCTTTGCTCCTTATGGTGAAGGTGATGACGGGTTGGGTACCTTGGATGAAGATTTCTTGGCTTGGAAAGACGGTGTTTTTGAATCCTTACGTAATAACCTCCATTTCGAAGAACAAGAATTAAAGTTCCAACCAAGAATCAAATTGGAAGTTCGCGATGATTTAACTGCTGAAGATGAAACTGTTGCCCTCGGTGAACCAAACAAGAGATATCTCAACTCTGACGAAGACTTGACTAAGGGTCCATTTGACAATACTCATCCATATGTGGCCCCAATTGTCAATGTTAAAGAATTGTTCAAGTCTGAAGAAAGACATTGTGTTCATGTTGATTTTGATATTTCTGGTTCTAACTTGAAATACACTACTGGTGACCATTTAGCCATCTGGCCATCTAACAGTAATGAAAATATTGAAAAATTCGTGGAAGCCTTTGGATTGAAGGATAAACTTGATGAAGTGTTTGACTTAAAGAGATTGGATCAAACTTATGTTGCTCCATTCCCTACTCCAATCACTTTTGGTGCTGTTTTACGTCACCATTTGGAAATTTCAGGACCAATTTCAAGACAATTGTTACTTTCCATTGCTGAATTTGCCTTGACTGACGAAGTTAAGAAATCAATTATGGCATTGGCAAACAACAAGGCCAAATTTGCTGAAGAAATCACTGCTAAGAAGTATAATTTTGCTGATGTGTTGTTGAAGATTTCCAATGGTCAACCATGGACTAAAGTTCCATTTGAATTTATAATTGAAAATCTTCAACATTTAACTCCTAGATACTACTCTATTTCCTCATCTTCGCTGAAGGAAAAGAATACCATTTCCGTTACTGCTGTGGTTGAAGCTGAACAAATTGAAGACAGATTGATTACTGGGGTTGTTACCAACTTGTTGAAAGACATTGATATTGTCAAGAACAAGCGTGATGTCAAACCATTGGTTACTTACAACTTGTCTGGACCAAGAAACAAGTTCTTTGAATTTAAATTACCAGTTCATGTTAGAAGATCAACCTTCAAATTACCCACCAGTAGTACAACCCCAATCATTATGATTGGTCCAGGTACAGGTGTTGCTCCATTAAGAGGTTTTATCCGTGAACGTGTTCAACAATTTGAAAATGGTGTCAACGTTGGTAAATCTGTATTGTTTTATGGATGTAGAAACAGAGAACAGGACTACTTGTACAAGGATGAATGGGTTCAATATGGTGAAGTTCTTGGAGATAAGTTTGAATTATTCACCGCTTTCTCAAGGGAAGATCCAAACAAGAAGGTCTATGTCCAGCACAAACTTTTGGAAAACTCTGCTAAGATCAACCAAATGCTTTTGGACGGAGCCATGATTTATGTCTGTGGTGATGCTGCCCATATGGCCAGAGATGTCCAAGCTGCCTTTGCCAAGATCATAAGTGACGAACGTGACATATCAGTTGAAAAAGCTGGTGTTTTAATTAGATCGTTGAAGGTTCAAAATAGATACCAAGAAGATGTGTGGTAAATATAAGGCGTGTATACTATATAATTTATATAATTTTAATAAGCTCAAGCTAAGTGATTACTCTTTGTACAGTGTCTCCAATTTTCATTAGTTGAATTGTAATAATCTTTTAGCCTCTGTTCAATTTTGACCCAATGAGAACACTTATCATTGGATTTTAAATCTAAGTCATACACCTTGCAAGTGGTTGAAAAGTTGTTACCCACTTGTTGAAACTTTATGAATACGCCTACATCCCTCAATGTCATTATGAACGATAGCCTATCCAGAACATCATCAGCACATGTTAAATTTTCAATCAAATCTTCTTCGTTTGCAATTTCTTGAAGTGTCTTCAACTGTTGAAATATATTATCTGGATCCTCCAAATACTCTTTGAATAATTTGCGTACGGGAATTGTGGATTCTATTGCACTTAGGGTATCATGGGGAACTTTCTTAAACAAATCATTCGTAGCAGAATCAGGATCATATACTAAATCAAGAGGACAGAAATGTCTTGCGTGTCCTCTTGATTGGCTCAACAGACATGTGCGACAATAATTGGTTTTGCAATCATAAAGCCACTTTGGTTTAAGCTCTAATATTACTTTGGCACTTCCCAAATCACAATGTAATTGACACCATTTTGATAAATCTAATGTTGAAAAAGTGCCATCTAACATATTTGGCATTAACAAACCCCAAGGTTCAATAATGTCAACAGGGGAATCCAATTTCAGTATAAACTCAGTTGGTACAGTTATTATTTCAGATTCAATTAACTTGTCTTGAAATATTGGTTTGCATTTTGATTCAGTGAATTCGTACAACTGTTTAGTTGGTATTGATTCTGGTTTGGAAATCCTTAGTCTTAAAAGTTTCAGTCTTAACAATTCATTATTTCCGGTATATTTAAATAACACATTTGCGCCACCTTTGGCAACGAATTTCCATTCAATTGGAGTTGAAATTTTATCAAGTTCCATCAGAAGAGAAACTGATCCCCATTCCCTTGTCTTGCATTTACGCGCGTGTTATAACCTAAAAAGAAATATCCATTGGTGAGCCGCACCTTCTGAACGGTACACCAACTTCTTACCTACATAAACCTCTCTAGTATGTGATATCACAATGATAAAGGTTTTGAAATTAGCCCAATGCAATGACACGTGTCCACATTTACTAAATATGATATATGTATCCTAAGAGAAAACGTGATTGCACATTTGCCACGGCTATCTACTCGACTTTTCCAAGCTTAAGCAAATTTGCCACCATAATCTACCCATTATTACTAAGCAATTGTTTGTAAGCAAAACACCATTCCTATTTGTTACTATGATTGTATTAGTTTGTAAGCAGATATGCTTTTTGTGAAAACCGTACCAATGAGGCTTACATGGAGATAAGTGTTTGATATTGCTTGTTTACGAAAGTGATGCTATCTCCAGTGGGTTATTTCCGGGAGTAAAAAAAAAAAAATAAAAAAATGTATTACAAATCATTTTTTAAGCCTTCTTTTAACGTAAATGTCCCAATAGGGAAACAATACAGTTATCAAACAGAATTGCTGCAAAAAGTAATTAGCAACATTTGTCAGCCAGTAGATACTGAGTACCTATAAATATGAGACGGTTAGACCATGTTTAATCAACTTTCATTCTATTTTATTATCAATAAGATAAACAAACTAACTTACATATAAAAAAAAAAAACATTCAATAATGACTTCCACAACTGTTTTCGTTTCTGGTGCTAATGGTTTCATTGCCCAACATATTGTCAAACAATTGCTTGCCAAGGGATATACTGTCATTGGTTCGGTTAGATCACATGAAAAGGGTGAACAATTGAAACAATTAATCAATAATGATCAATTCTCTTACGAAATTGTTTCCTCCCTTACTGATAAAGATGCTTTTGTTGATGTTCTTAAGAAACACCCTGAAATTACTATTTTCTTGCATGCAGCCTCCCCAGTTTCATTTTCTGTTGAAGACATTGAAAATGATTTATTGAAGCCTGCTATTGAAGGTACAACCAATGCCCTTAATGCCATTAAAGAATATGGTCCACAAATCAAAAAAGTTGTTTTAACTGCTTCTGCTGTTAACATCTTTGGTTTTGGTCCTCATTTCGATGCTGACCAAGTTTATTCTGAAGATGTTTGGAATCCAATTACTTATGAAGAAAGTTTAGCAAATGGATTCTTTGGTTATCTCGGTTCAAAGAAATATGCTGAGTTGGCTGCTCGTGATTTTGTCGCTAAGGAAAAGGTCAATTTTGATATTTCGTTTGTCAACCCACCTTATGTATTTGGTCCTCAAGCTTATGCTGTTAAGGATAAGGCTAACTTGAATCTTTCTAATGAAGTTGTAAACTCCGTTGTTAAGTTAACCAAAGGTGATTCCATTCCTGCTGAAGGTAGTGTCTTTGTTGATGTTAGAGATGTTGCTCGTGCTCATATAGTTGCTTTTGAAAATGATGCTGCTGCTCTGCAAAGATTATTCACAGCTTCTTCAAGATATACTCTTGATACTATTGCTAACATTATTAACAAGAAATTTCCTGATACAACTGTTCCAAAGGGTGATGAATCCAGAAATGAAGAGATTTACAAGTCCATTCATAAATTTGATAATGCAAAGACTAATAAGATACTTGGATTTGAATATATAACCCTTGAAGAATCTGTGTCTGATATTGTTGATCAAATTTACAATGTTTAGGTAGATTAATTTGGCTAGATTTTAATACTATTTCTGTTTTTAACTTTATAATTACATTTAATTAATGTTATAATCAAAATTGTAAAAACATTAGATAGAGAAAACCTTAATGTTTTGGGCAACCAATAATTTAAGCCCAAACTTGAAGTTGTTCGAAGAAATCTACTCTCTTCTTCTCTTCATTATCGATATTTTTACAACTATGATAACGAATTTCATCAACCATTATTGGATGACCACAAGTAACAAATGCAGTCGATCCTGGTGATTCTTTGATTTCATCTTGAACTAATTGTTCCATATCTGGTCTTCCTTCCTCAAAGTGTACATGAGATAATTCCTCTTTCAATTTACCAACAGCATTTGCACCATCAAAGGAGCTAGAGCTAGATTTTGTTTCTTCGCTAGATTTGATGGAACCATCTTGTGAACTTCCAATGTGAGTAAATTCATCTGCATTAGTAATTGAAACATCTGGCCTAGTAACATAAACGGTAGTTTCGATATTTGTGTTTTTCAATCTTACAAGTTCATCGTAAAACCAAAGTATTGAGCTATATTCTCTGATAACCCAGACTAACTTCAATACTGATTTTCTCTCGGGTGATGATCTTAAAGCAATATCACAGATCTCAGAGTAAATTCCTGGAATACCATTACCACCAGCAATGAAAACTGCTTTATCTGCATACTTGGCTGGGGTTGATTCTCCATATGGTCCTTCAATACCAATTCTCATAGTAGTCATTTTTCCTGGCGATTTGTTTAACAATTTGTATAAACTGTGCGTAACACCACCTTTAACTTTCATGTACATCACAATCTTGTCTTCACCTTGATCGGAACAATTCGTAAAGGTGAATGGATGTGACTGCCAGAAGTAGGTTGGTTTTATGAAATGAACAAAAGCATGACCACCAGGAATGATTTTCCAGTGCTTTGGTTTAGGAATACACATCTTAATGGTTTCATCACCGACCAACTTGACATTGACTTCAGGGAATCCAAAGTACAATAATCTACCTATTCTAACAAGTCTATCAAAACTCCATACAGCAATAGTAGGATATAGGATTATTCCATATCCAAAATCATCAATGTGAATCCAAGTTCCAACAACATACAATACAGCCATTACAATATGAACTAAAAGAAACAATTCATACCAGTTTCTTCTGAGATAGAGGATACTTTGGATCAACATTATACCTCCGACAATAGTAGCAATAAGTCCCCAGTAGAGCCATGGTTCTCTCAATTCTTCACCGAAATATTTACGGTTGACAAGAAGGATGGTATAATTAACCGAATGTATTGCAACTAACATAAACATAACTCTGGCAATATGACGATGGTAACAAAGGAAGGTACAATAGTTGATCCCAGTAAGCCACTGTAAGAAGTTATTACGTCCAGCAAATAAAAACAATAATGGCATCATAAAAATAGCGACAATACCAGTTCTATCAGCAACATATCTTAATTCAGCTAAGTAAGTAGATCCAAAGACTGGATCACCTTTAAGTGCTCGGGAGTTGACTGCATGAATAATTATAACGAATATGTAAAATAAAGCAATCACAATCATTTCAAATCTAGTTGGAACTAACCCATCGAAAACTTTAAATCCTCTCATCTCCTGTGCCTTATTCTTGCCATATAAAGCAGGCATTGAAACATGTTTTCTATAGAAGTTGGCAACAGGTCCGACCAACCTCTTAGTTGCTGTTGGAAACAAAACCTTAGTCCAATAACTTATCAGACTAACAATTAAAACTAGCAACCAGAATCCAAACACAGACACACCATACCAAATCGAGTTATCATAATTTAATAAGAATCTATTAGCAATTTCCAGGTAAAAGTCCATATCCTTCAGCAGGAACCTCAATGGGAAATCAATCGGTTCTTCAGTTGGTTCTATCTCAGATTGGTTTCTTGCATAATTGGTAAAACGCTCATAAGATTTGTCAAACCAGTTGGCTTCCAACTCAGTCTCGAAATATCTAGCGCAGTAACCAACAACATAATCAACCAAATAAGTCGAGTTTCTATCCTTGTATGCAAAACACCCTGCCAAAGTAGCTCTTGAATTTTCATTAGAACACAAACAAGTACGATCAGTTGGTGGGCAAAAATGGAAGTCTTTTAAATAGTTTATTTCGTAAACACAAGAGTATAATGTAATTGTTTTTCCATACCATTCAAACTTTCCTCTAGCCAGAACCCCTGCAACGAAGAAGAAGAATAATGAGTACAATAAACAAAGTAACTTCATTTTAGAGAGCAGTCGACTTTTGCTTAGACGAAATGGAAAATTTAACAAGAAAACTGAAAAATTTGCAACAATTTATACTATTCGCAATCATTTGCCGAGGAATTTTTATTTTTTTTTTCAATTGTAATAATTGAAAATGTTTTGCTGGAATTTTATCTATTTCATCAATAAAAAAAGATCCGATCTTCCTTTCGATATTCGTCAAAACTTTTCTTGGCAAAACTCCTGTTGAACCAGGTTCATTGGCTTGTTCTATTGTTTTTTTTGCAATTATAAACGGCGCTGTCGTTGTCCTAGCAAATCACATATTTTGTGAACGGAAAGTAGTTTAATTTCTTGGCACGCCTTAAACCAGGAACAATACCTTAAATTTTGCGCATGTTACCATTCGATTTTCAGAATGGACAATTGGTTGGTATAGATTGCAAGACTGATATACCAAGTCAATTGAAAGCCCAACTTAAATCAAAAAGAATAGAAATCGGCAATATCAAGTTTCCCACTTTTCAGTGTATTTTTTTCATAAAATTTGTAAATACTTGAGTCATTTGAATAACTCCAACACTCCTTTGAGGAATTCTAGACAATGCAATTATAACGCATAAAGGGCAAATTTTTTATAAGGTTCCTTCTCTGATTGCGCAGCCATTCATTGGGCACATTTTGCAGTAAGACAAAGTTTCATTGTTTAGACCATAAGATGAGTCGGGAGCGAAATTTGGTCCCCCCAAATACACAAAATAGAGTACGAAACAGGAATAATAAGACAATGGCTGTTGTTTATTTGGTGTTTATTCAATGTGTTCTTGTTTGACAAATCAGGAAAGGGATTTTTTTAAAGGCCATTGCTAATTTTACAGAAGTCTGGTCGAAGGCGGGACATCAAAATTACTCATAGAATAGAAGATCCAACAAATGATTATTTTATACAAAAAAACAACATAATATTACTACTTATATTATATTGAGTATCCAAGTTAATGCTTCTTGAATAATTGGTTGTGTATTCTGATTCAACAATATAAGACTAGAAAATATTTGAAAACATTTACAAAATACACAACTACTTTGTTTTAAATACGAAACATACCAACTCGCTAAGCCCACACTTGAAGTTGTTCGTAAAAGTCAACTCTCTTCTTCTCGCGATTATCTATATTCTTACAAGTTTGATAACGAACTTCGTCAACCATAATCGGATGTCCACAAGCAACAAATGAAACAGATCCTGGTGATTCTTTAATTTCTTGTCTAATTATCTCTTCAATGTTTGGTCTCCCCTCTTCAAAGTGTATATGCGCCAATTCTCCTTTTGATTTCAATTTATTAACAGCAACTTCACTATTATATGTTTGAGACTTGTTTTCTTCGCCATCAGATGTTTGAGATTTGGTTTCTTCATATTCAGACTTGATAGAGCCTTCTTGTGAACTTTCGGTTTTATTAAAGGCATTAACCGTGGAAAATTTGTTGTCTGGACGAGTGACATAAATAGTAGTTTCAATATTAACGTTTTTCAACTTCACAAGTTCATCATAGAACCAAAATATAGAGCCATAATCTCTGATTACCCAAATTAACTTCAAGATTGACTTGCTTTCACGAGAGAATCTGTTAGAAATGTGAACAACTTCGGAGTAAATGCCTGGAATACCATTACCACCAGCAATGAAAACTGCCTTATCTGAATACTTGGCTGGGGTTGATTCTCCATAGGGACCATCAACGCCTACTCGCATTGTAACCATTTTTCCTGGTGATTTGTTCAACATTTGATATAGGCTATGAGTAGCACCACCTTTAACTTTCACATAAATTACAAGCTTTCCATCATCATCTTTGAAGGAGTTTGTAAAAGTAAATGGGTGTGATTGCCAGAAATAAGTTGGTTGCAAGAAATGGATAAAAGCATGTCCACCGGGAGTTGGTTTCCAAGTTTTTGGTCTTGGGATTATTAATTTAATTGTCTCATCGCCTACTAACTTGACATCTACTTTAGGGAATCCAAAATAAAACAAGCGACACACTCTAACCAATCTTTCAAATCCCCAAACTGCAAAAGATGGATAGAGAAGAATTTGATACCCAAACTCATAAACATGCATCCAAGCCCCTACCAAATAAAACACTGCCATCAATAAATGAACGAGAACAAATAATTCGTACCAATTTCTTCTAATATAAAGAATACTTTGCCATAACATTGATCCTCCAATAGTAGTTGCAACAATACCCCAGTAGAACCAAGATTCCTCTAATAATTCATCATAATCATTAAGGTAAATAGTAAAGTTGACTGAATGAATCACAACTAACATTACCATCACTCTAGCAATATGACGGTGATAGCAAAGGAAAGTAGAGTAATTAATCCCACAAATCCACTGCAAAAGATTGTTACGACCAGAAAACAACAATATTAATGGCAACATGAATAAAGAAATAATTCCAGCTCTATCCGCAACGTATCTAATCTGTGCTCTATAGTAAGAATCAAACATAGGATCATTTTCAAGTGCTTCCATGTTTATTGCATGGATAATAATAATCAAGATGTAAAATAATGAGATTGTTATAAACTCAAAGCGAGTTGGAACCAATGAACCAAAGATCTTCCAACCTATCTCTTGGTTTCTTTTTTTGCCATATAAAGCGGGCATTGCAATATATTTCCGATAAGTGTTGGCAATTGGTCCAACCAATTCCTTGGTTTCACCTGGGAATAACACTTTGATCCAATTACTAGCGAATGCAACTAATAAGACTATTACCCAGAACCCAACCACAGATATACCATACCAAATAGAATTATCATAATTTCCCAAGTAGTTGGCTGTAGATTCGAGAAAAAGATCCATGGAATGAGGCAGAAATCTCACTGGAACTTTAATAGATCCAAAACTTGATGTTATTTCAGACTGGCCAGTTGCATTCCTGATGAAATATTGAAATGCATCATAATACCAGTCTAATTCTATATGGGTATCATATCTATCATGGCAGTACTCTGCAGCATATCTTCTGAAATAAGGGGTATCTCTATTTTTGTAAGCCATACATCCAGCTAACGTTGCTAATGAGTTTTTATTTGAACATAAGCAATTTTTGTCTTCATATGGACAAAACAGTAAAGCCTTTGTCTGGTATACGCAAGCAAGGAAAGGTATGTTTTTCCCAAACCATGCAATACAGTGCCCTTTTGTTACCAAGAAAAATAGCAAATAAAATGTGTAAATAAACTTCATGACAAAACACGATAGCTAGTAATCTAAAATTAAAAAAAAAAAAACCCCAAAAAAAATACCGAAGATTTTGCAATCATTTATAGTGTTTGGAACGACGGTTGTGAAGGAGAAACGTTTAAGTCATAGGCATTCCTTAAACTTGGATAACCCGTCAATGAAAGTTGCTCGGAATTAACTTTTCATACTTGAATGGTCTAGATTCCATATGAATATTAGAGAATGTTAAATTGTTTATATTTTTGCAGGAGTTTATCCTAGAAGTTAATAATCATTTCCCCATTCTGGTTGGATAATTTATCCAAATCTAACAACATAATTGTTTAATAAGAATGACGCTATCAACCGTAAGCTCATCATCAAGAAGATAAATGCTCCAATTTCACTTCCTTAAACACTATTGAACTACTTGGTGAGAACCCCCTTTAATACCTAATCTGAGCATTTATTAATTTCTATGTATGGAGGGCAAAATTTAGTGTTAATACAATCCTCAACTTGCAGAACTTTTGTTGGGAGCAACAATAATTCGACAAAAAAAATTTACCTCTATGGTATATTCAATTTGTTGCAAAATTGAATCTTCAGCTTTCAATGCCGGGTTGCTATTTACCATTACTCTAGCAGAACTATTGTTGTCAATACAGTAGAGTTTCCGAATTATACTTATTCCAACAGAAAAATTTGCGAGCAATTCAATAGCCTATAAAGGTAAGAACATTAAATTCTGTACTGATACTAAGTGCGAAATGGTTGTAAATTTGCAATCACTATCTTTTCAGCTGATCTTGTGATCCGTTTAAACCTTAATTTGTTTTGTGATTGATAGCATGCTACTGAGCAATTATCAAACCTAAAATAGAAATTGTTACCGATGGTTCAAAGAAGGAGAACTGTGCCAACTTGGTTACTTTGTGCTATGCAGTCTGCTGACTAATAGACATTACCATTAAAATCAATGGCTAAGTTTATCCTACAAACTATTTAACGTTTCAAAGGAAAACCATTGAGTCAAAGTTAATATAATATATATATATATGCGAATTTGATTTATACTATTTAGGGTATGGCATAATTTAAGCCCAGATTTGTAGTTGGTCATAATAGTCCACTCTTTTATTGTAGGAATTGTCAATATTCTTGCAGCTGTAATAGCGAACTTCGTCTACCATAATTGGGTGACCACATGCAACAAACGCAGTGGAACCTGGAGATTGTTTAATTTCATTTTCAATTAGTTGCTCGACATTTGGCCTTCCTTCTTCAAATTTAATGTGTAGTAATTTTAATTTCAATTCTGCAATAGCAAGCTCAATATCACCGGTGTTTGATTTTGTTTCCTCATACCCAGATTTTATTGAACTACATTGGGAGGATTGAGATTGATTAAACAAGTCTACCCTGAAAGATTTAATATTTGGACGAGTGACATAAATTGTAGTTTCAATATTCATATCTTTCAACTTTAGAAGTTCATCAAAAAACCATAATATGGAATCATAATCTCTTATAATCCAATATAACTTCAAAATAGATTTCCTTTGAGGGGAAGATCTTAAAGCAATATCCAGAACTTCAGAATAAATACCCGGGATACCATTTCCTCCAGCAAAAAATATTGCTTTGTCTGCATATTTGGCAGGTGTTGATTCTCCGTATGGCCCCTCAATACCAACTCTCATTTTAACCATTTTACCAGGGGTTGTATTTAGTAACTGATACAAACTGTGGGTAACTCCACCTTTGACTCTTAGGTACATAGTGACCCTGTCCTTGTTATCTTTGGTGGAATTAGTGAACGTAAATGGATGAGATTGCCAGAAATAGGTTGGCTTCAAAAAATGAACGAAAGCATGCCCACCAGGAATTGGTTTCCAATTTTTTGGTTTGGGAATTTCCAATTTGATAACGTCATCTCCTACGAGCATGACATTTACTTTTGGAAATCCAAACGAAAGCAAACGAAATAATCTAATGATTCTGTCAAGGCCCCAAACACCAATAGTTGAATATAAATAAATTTCATAACCAAATTGATTGAGATGAACCCAAGTACCCACAACATAAAATATTGCCATTACAATATGGATAAGGAGAAATAATTCATACCAATTTCTTCTAAGATAAAGGATACTTTGAATTATTAATGTACCACCAACTATAGTTGCAGTAATCCCCCAACGAAGACATTGCTTTTTTAGTGTGACTATAAATTGATCAGTTCTAACAAGAAGAATAGTATAGTTGACTGAATGAATAACAACCAACATGAACATGATTCTGGCAATGTGACGGTGATAGCATAAAAATGACAGGTAGTTAATTCCGGTAACCCATTGCAAGAAATTGTTACGACCAGCAAATAAGAACAATAATGGCATCATAAAGGTAGCAACAATACCAGTTCTATCTCCAACATACCTCAACTCGGCCATATACTTAGAACCAAATATAGGATCGTCCTTAAGTCCATGTACACGGACTGCGTGGATAATTAAAATGAAAATATAAAACAAAGAAATAACCATCATTTCAAATCTGCTGGGAACCAAACTGTCAAAGACTTTAAAACACGAAACTTCTTGGGTTCTTCTTTTCCCGTATAGAGCAGGCATCGATATATGTTTCCTATAAAAAGTAGCAAGAAGTCCAACCGACCTCCTGGTTGCTCGAGGGAATAATACCTTAGTCCAATAGCTAATCGTATTAATTAATAAAAACACTAACCAGAATCCAAATACCGATAAACCAAAGAAAGTTGAGATATTATAATTGTCAAAGAAAACCGCTGCTGACTCATCATAAAAGTCCATATCTTTAGACAGAAATATAACTGGTGTTTGGATCAACTTGTACCTGGATTCTATTTCTGACTGGTTCACTGCTTTATTAGTAAAGCGTTTAAAAGCAGTATCAAACCAATCCGATTCCAAGTTTATTTTAAATCTTACATGACAGTAGCTTATACCATAGTGAGCAAAATAAGTTGTATTCTCATCCTTATAAGCTAAACAACCAGCTAATGTGGCTAAGGCATTTTCATTCGAACATATACAGACTCCATCCATGGTTGGACAGAACTTGAAATTTTCTGCGTTCTTTATCTCGTAAGCACAAGCATGGAAAGGTATAGACTTATTATACCATTCAAAGTCATGTTTCTCACCCAAAACACCTACTACTAAGATAAATAGCAAATATAATGAATACCCTAAATTCATGTTAACTATGTTAGTTAATCTGTACTATTAAACCAAATTTCTGAAAATGCTATTTTTGCAGCACTTTATAGTATTTGCAATCATTGTAATTGGAATTTTCTCATGTGTCGTATTTCTAAAAATAAGCGCCTTCTTGATACTCGGTTAGAATTTTCTTGGCAAACTCGCATGTAGAATACAATTGCACGGTTTTACTCTTTGTTTTATTTTTATTAACAGGAATCGTATTGTTTTCTTAATTGAAAAATGAAATTTGGTTCTTGGCATTCCTTTCAGTGCATAATCCGTTGTCAAAAGGATACCAAGAATTACTTTGTTTGAGCCCCCCCTTACATTCCCCCTTTGTTCATAGAGGCTTTAGCAGCGATCTTAAAGAACAATCTAAGCTGATCAGCCTATTTGATGCTCCAAACAACGGATAAAGTTGGTAGATAGGGTTTTATGCTTGAACTTATGTCTTCTACAACATTGTCACAAAGAATTTTGCAAAGCGTGTCACAATTTTGGCAACTTCCTTTTCTGAACATTCTACAAACAAGAATTGGTTGATCATGCAAGGGGGGTTAAAATTTGGAATTTATGCGTATCGTAAGATTGAGATGTATTATTTAAGAATTCGCCTTAGTATGAAATGAATTTCAAAATTGACATCTTCAAATACACTAACTTGGTTGTCATTCTAAGTTAACATATCACTGCTCTTGTCTCCCTGAGAAGAAATGTAAATTATTCAGCATTCCTTTGAGAAACTTAGCATCCTTCCATATGAAAAAGAATTCTGAAAATTTTTAAAATTAGCCCACTTACGTAAGGAGGGTTGACGGTGCGAAAGTTGAAGGTTCGCGTTGGAGCGGTATGGGGTAATTCACTTCCGTCAAATCGCTTATTAAACCTCCTATTTTAGTAATTGTTTATTTATTTATTTTTGTTTTGTTTTATTTTTAACAATATACTATAACAACACCCGTGGAATGGTGATCTTCAGTTCAAGGAAGGGGAGTTTCATTGCTAATAATGTATTAAAATTCTGTTCTGATACACATAAATATTTTTCGGATGTAAGATAAAATTTATACCGAGATATGCCAGCTTGTCCAAAAAGTTTTAGTTTATATAGATACGTGAAACACAGAACTAATTATGAATGCATGATCTGGTCCGAAAATCCCCCTAAAACCCGTACTATGTGATCTTTGATACAGGCTATCTAGTGAAGAATTCCCTCGTCAAGATTAGAAATGAAACTATTTAGGCAAAATTATGGAGCTAGCCGGACTTTTTTCATTTTGATTTAAGTACCTGGTAGTATGATTTCATTTCAATCCCACAACCATGAACAACCAGGTAAATGCGTCTTTTCTTGAAGATCTGCTAAGCTATTTCAATTATTTAGCCCCAACCTTTTCAATTTTGGATATATTCGTAGGCTTTTTCACAGGAGTACTAGAAATTCATATTCTCATAGAAAACTACATATTATATTATAAAATTGAAATCAGAGGCAGGGTCAGAATGGAAACGATATAATAGTGGCAATAAATTCATTAGGCCCAAACTTGTAATTGTTCATAAAAGTCCACCCTCTTATTATAGGGGTTATCAATATTTCTGCAACTTTGATAACGTACTTCATCAACCATGGCTGGATGACCACAAGCAACGAATGCAACTGATCCTGGTGATTCTTCAATTTCATCATGAATCAATTGCTCAAAATTGGGTCTCCTTTCTTCAAAATTAATATGAGATAATTCTGCTTTAAACTCTTCAATATAGTTTTGTCCTTTGTATGGTTGAGGGTTAATTTCATTATAGCCAGATTTAATTGAACCTTCTTGTGAACTTTCAGATTTATTAAACAGGCCAAAATTAGTAACTCTATTATTTGGTCTAGTCACAAAAAGGGTGGTTTTAATGTCAGTATTCTTTAACCACAAAAGCTCATCATAAAACCAAATTATAGAGTTATAATCTCTAATTACCCATATCAACTTTAATTGAGATTTCCTTTCAGATGGTGATCTCAAAGAAATATCAACAACTTCAGAATAAATACCTGGAATACCATTACCACCAGCAATAAAAACTGCTTTGTCCGAATATTTAGCAGGAGTGGACTCTCCATATGGACCCTCAATTCCAACCCTCATAGTAGCCATTTTACCAGGTGATTTCTTCAATAGCTTATATAAATTCTGAGTAATACCACCTTTGAGTTTCAAATAAATAACAATTATCCCTTCTTTTTCAGAGGATTTAACAAATGTGAACGGGTGAGATTGCCAGAAATAACTTGGTTTTAAAAAATGAACAAAAACATGTCCACCAGGCACTGGTTTCCAATATTTTGGCTTTGGGATTTCTAGTTTGATAGTTTCATCACCAACTAACATCACATTTGCCTGGGGAAATCCAAACGAAAACAAACGAATCAACCTAATGATCCTGTCAAAGCACCAAACAGCGATACAGGGGTATAAAAGAACACAGTATCCAAAATCAACTATGTGGATCCAAGTTCCCGCAACAAATAGAACAGCCAAAGCCAAGTGAAGGAAAAGGAACAATTCGTAATGGGATCTTCTAAGGTAGAGAATACTTTGAAACAATGCTAGACCCCCAGCAACAGTGGCAAGAATACCCCAATAGAGCCATGGGTTTTTAACTTTGAAAGGAAAAGTTTCACGATAGACTAGAAGAATAGTATAGTTGACTGAATGAATAACAACCAACATAACCATCACTCTTGCGATATGACGGTGATAGCAAAGGAAAGTCAGGAAATTAATTCCAGTAATCCATTGCAAGAAATTGTTCCTCCCAGCAAATAAAAATACTAATGGCGTCATTGCAGTCCCAACAATACCTGTTCTGTCAGCAACATATCTAATCTCAGCCATGTACTTGGTATCAAATATTGGATCATTTTCAACCGCTTTCAAATTGACAGCATGGATAATTACAGTGAAAAGATAAAATAATCCAATTACTATTGATTCGAATCTAGTTGGAATTAAACTGTCGAAAACTTTCCAGCAGCGAATTTCTTGGGCTCTTCTTTTGCCATACAAAGCTGGAATAGATATATATTTCCTGTACGAGTTTGAAATAGAGCCTACTAGTTTCTTTGTTGTTTCTGGAAATAGTACTTTAGTCCAATGGCTAATAGCTCCAATTGTTAAAACTAGGAACCAAAATCCAAACATAGAAATTCCATACCAAATTGAATCATCATAGTTTCCTAAGAAATTAATAGCCACTTTACCATACAAATCCATTTCCTTTGGCAGGAATTTCACTGGAAAATTAACGGGTTCTCTACTTGGTTTTATTTCATATTTGTTCTTTGCATTATTGAGAAAATGGGTGTATGACTTATCAAACCAATCTTTATCCAAATCAACATTATAATTATTTTGACAAAAGCTTTTGTAGAACTCGATAGTAGAAGTGGTATTTCTCTCCTTATACGCTAAACATCCTGCTAATGAAGCTCTCCAATTTTCATTTGCACATCTGCATTTCTTTCTTTCTCTCTTATTTCCTTTTGCTGGGCAAAAACTAATACCTTTTAAATAACTTATTTCATAGTTACAAGCATAGATAGCAAGGGATTTCTTGTACCATGTGAAATGCTCTTTTCCATGTGCCTGAACACCTGCTAACAAGATAAAACCAAAATAAAGTAAAGAAAATATGTTCATATTGGATGTGGTAAACTATTGACCTAACTTAAAAGTAAAATTTTATAATGTAAATTTTGCAATAATTTATACCATTTGCAATTACTTTGCTTGCCAAGAGATTTTTCCGATATAGTTTTTTTTTATCTTTTTGATCAGTAAACAATAGACGATAACATTTCTGTATTGGGTAGATCTTTCGCTTGGAAGGATATTACAGGATTCCTAATTAAGGACTGATCAATTCTTGTAGCCAATCACAGGTAAATTTCTTCTGGATATTGGATACCTTTGTAAGTAAACCAATTTCATGACATGTTCTGTGCTTAGAGTGAAGATCTGTGGAAATTTTTTTTTTTTTGCAATTTGGATTGTGAAAATATGCTAGAAATGAGAGTAGATTATTCTAACCTGTATTTGCAACAAACAAACGTGCCAATAGAACTAACTAAATTATTAGCTGATTGTAAATATTGACTAATATTATTCACATGAAATCAGAGTTATAATTATAATAGCCCCTTTCAAACCAATAAAAAATTGTTAAGTAAGGAAGGTAAATTTTAGAGTAAGTGCAGCTTTGTAGTTGGATGAACTGGGATTGGGTGAATTGAACAGCACAATCCCCTAACTCGGCTTTGCAGATGATTGAACAATTAAACTGTAGATACTAGTCTTTCTACATTATATGGTTGTTTACGCTTATAGAATCGGATTTATGTGATTCTAGGTTTATGGTAGTAATTTACAGATTGGCTAAGATTAAATATTAAATGTATATATTCGAAATATAACTTTATTAGATATAGAGGTTCAACTAAAGGGATTGTATCCAGATTATATTCGCTATTATTCTTAAGCCCATATTTGAAGTTGTTCGTAAAAATCTACTCTCTTCTTCTCAGCATTATCAATATTCTTACAACTGTAATAACGAACTTCGTCAACCATGACAGGATGGCCACAAGCTACAAATGAAATAGATCCCAGAGACTCTTTGATTTCATCTTGAATAATTTGTTCAATATTTGGTCTCCCTTCTTCAAAACAAACATGAGATAATTCCTCTTTCAATTGTTCAACAGCATCTGTAGTTTGTAATGACTCGGATTTTTCCACTTCACTGGATTTGACGGATCCTTCTTTTGAATTTTCCAGAATAAATTCATTCATATTATCAAAGTTTTTATCTGTCTTGGTCACATAGATGGTTGTTTCGATATTTGTGTTTTTCAATCTGACAAGCTCGTCGTGGAACCAAAATAAGGAGCTGTAATCTCTAATGATCCACACTAATTTCAACACTGACTTTCTTTCTGAAGTCGATTTTAATGCAATGTCGGCTACTTCAGAGTAAATTCCTGGAATACCATTACCACCAGCAATGAAAACTGCTTTGTCTGAATACTTGGCTGGGGTTGATTCTCCATATGGTCCTTCAATACCAATTCTCATAGTAGTCATTTTTCCTGGCGATTTGTTTAACAATTTGTATAAACTGTGCGTAACACCACCTTTAACTTTCATGTACATCACAATCTTGTCTTCACCTTGATCGGAACAATTCGTAAAGGTGAATGGATGTGACTGCCAGAAGTAGGTTGGTTTTATGAAATGAACAAAAGCATGACCACCAGGAATGATTTTCCAGTGCTTTGGTTTAGGAATACACATCTTAATGGTTTCATCACCAACCAACTTGACATTGACTTCAGGGAATCCAAAGTACAATAATCTACAAATTCTAACAAGTCTATCAAAACTCCATACAGCAATAGTTGGATAAAGATAAGTGCCATATCCAAACTCAACAATGTGAATCCAAGTTCCAACAACATACAATACAGCCATAACTATGTGGACAAGGACAAACAATTCATACCAGTTTCTTCTGAGGTAGAGAATACTTTGGATTAAAATTATCCCACCAGCAACAGTGGCAAGAACACCCCAATAAAGCCAGGGCTGTGCCATTCTTACAGCAAGACCATGCTTCTGAACTAGAAGAATAGTATAGTTGACTGAATGAATAACAACCAACATGAACATGATTCTGGCAATGTGACGGTGATAACAAAGGAAAGTCAGGTAATTAATTCCGGTAACCCATTGCAAGAAATTGTTACGACCAGCAAATAAGAACAATAATGGCATCATAAAGGTAGCAACAATACCAGTTCTATCAGCTGAATATCTGATTTCAGCCATATAAGCGGATCCGTAAATTGGGTCATTTGCAACCCCTTTGGAATGAACTGCATGGATGATCACAATAAAAATATAAAATAATGAAATAACAATCATTTCAAATCTGGTAGGGATTAAACTATCAAAAACTTTGAAACCAGATATAGCTTGAGCTCTCGTTTTGCCCAATAAAGCAGGCATTGAGATATATTTCCTGTAAAAGTTGGAAACAGGACCAATTAATTTCTTTGTTGATCTTGGGAATAATACCTTAGTCTAATGACTAATTGAACTAAATAATAAGATAATTAACCAGAAACCAAAGGTTGATACACCATACCAAATGGAATTATCAAAATTCAATAAGAATCTTTTAGCGATATCTTCAAAGTAATCCATATTCTTTGGCAGAAATCTCACAGGAAAGTTAACAATTGTAGCACTGGGTCTTTCTCCTGATCCTCTTCCTCCTTTTGATGCAGAAGGTGATTCCTCATTTTTTGAATCGGAGGGCTTATTTTCTTCCTTTGATTCAGAACTATTTCCACCCTTTGTTTCAGAGGAGTTTCCACCCCTTGATTCGGATGAAGTATTTTCACGTTTTGATTCAGAGCTTTTATCTCTGCCATCAGATGTTCCTCTTTCTTCTCTAGATCCGTCCTTTGGTTCCAAACTATAACCACCTTCTGATTCTGAAGAGCTATTCCCATCTTTTCCTTCTGACTTTCCACTACCTCTTGATTCTGATGAGCCTTCTTGACCTCTTACTTCAGTTTCTGATGCAGAATTCCCACCTCTTGTAGCAGATGCATTATCGCCCCCTCTTGTATCAGATGAAACATTTCCACCTCTGGAATCGTTTGGGCCATTTCCTCCTCTTGATTCGGTGGAATTATTTCCTCCTCCAGACACCAATAAACCATTTCCACCTCTTGCTTCTGAAGTAGAATCACCATCTCTAGTCGAGGAAGTAATTTCATTTAAAACAGCATCTTCATTCTTGGCATTTAAGTTGAAATGAGTGATTGCTTTATCAAACCAATCATGACTAACTGTAATATTTAAATTCTTTTGACAAAATCCAACGAAATTATAAATCATTTCCGTAGTGTTTCTATTCTTATAAGTAAGACAACCAGCTAACGATGCCATAGCATTTTCATTAGTACATGCACAAGTCCTATCTCCAGGTTGACAAAATTTGAAACCTTTGGAATAGTTGATTTCATAGAAACAAGAATAAACAGCTAATGACTTGCCGTACCATTCAAACTCCTCACCTCTGGCCAGAACACCAGCGACAAATAAAATCAATAAATATAAAGAGTAGAGAGCTCTCATATTGGTAGTTACTTATTTTATTTCAAAATATCTGACATTAAAAAAAATTAGAAATTTTTTTGCAACAATTTATACTGTTTGCAATCGCTGGTCTGAGGAATTATTAATATCCGGTTAATTCAGATCCAAGAAAATTTTATCTTTTCCATCAATTAAAAAAATATTTGAACTCTCATGCAAGAATTTGGGGCCTTTCCTTGGCAGTACTCCTACTTAGTACCAATTAAATGTGTCTATTTTCATTCTCATCAATTGTAAACTTATGCGGTAACGGTGTTTCAGCCAATCATGGATTTTTTGATTGAATAGTGGAAGTATTATATTAATATTTTAATAAAAAGGCGGAAATAGATTATGCCGTTATAAGTACTGCCTCCAGAGTTTTACTAGATGCGGTTGAAAAAAGTTTGACGTTGACCCCTATTTCTCAACTTGTTTTCTAGAAGTTGAACTCATATTAGGTCTCCTGATCAGTATCGATTATAAAAGAGGTTAAATGTGAACTAGGTTTGCTTCTTCGAACCCTGATTTCGGATTAATATTCCGTTAATGTCAGGTAAAATGATTTCAGTAAATTTCTCGGTTTTCTTGGCATATGAAAATACAAGTAGTAAAATAATATTCATTGATAATAGAGATGGTAATCATACGATGAATACCCGAGGATATTTTTGAATTGCCAGTTACAAAAGATGGTATTTGTTGTTGATAGATACATGTATGAATCTTGGCTGAATATACCATCAACAAAGCCAACGAATATTTGCATCAACGTGCAGATAATTAACTCAGGGTAGTACTTAGAAGTGATGCCTTACCACAAACTGTGGCTTTGAGATACTGCCAAGGTTCTCTTATTGTCCTATATATTATTATATATCTTTGTGTTAAATCAGAGTCAGATGTATCTCCATTCAAGAAACGCTTGGCCCATGTTTGAATAGTTTTATCTATTCATGCTGCCCCATAGTTTAATCGTTGTAAAAACAATAGCCGTTTGATCTATTCTAAAAAAAATTTAAGCAATTAAATCTTGAACCTTGGTTTCTTTCTATGTACCTGTCTTTGTTACTCTGGCTGTTTATTACAACTTCTGATACGGGATTTATATGAAATGCAGGCATGTCTTAAGTTCTGCAAAGCATCCCAGTATTATCAATCGGATTATCCTAGTGAGAGTTTTTATTTGTGTCCGAAACTCATTTGGGACACCACGATAGTCTTTTACCGCTGCTTCTCAATCGTCTAGTTGTCTGTATTAGTATTTTTTACTATAGCAACAAACAACAATGTTTTATTGACATTTATTGCGACAACAAAGAATTATATAGAACGACAGATTCTAGAAGCAGAATAATAGTATTTTTACATTACCAATTCTAGTCTCTGGTTCTTGGAAACTCGTAATATTTTCCCTAATTGTCAATCTAGTTATCAATGTAATGTATAAAGTTTGTATTTCCATCTTGTTTTAAACTGTTGTACCATTTGGATTTGATAAAGAATGGGTTAGAAGAAATTGTATTTGAAGACATTAATTGCAGTCAATTACAAAGTTTGGATCTCAGTCATAATTATCTTGAAGAAACATTGTATGAAGAAATAGAAAATAAGTTAGAAAAAGTCAAACAACGGAACAAAAGTGTAAATAGTTTACTTGAGTTTGAGTGGTAACTAAAAGATTACATACAATATATACAGGTATATATTTAGTGTCTGCTGTAAATAGTCTTTATTTCTTTTCGGGTGAATACCTTTGTATTTGATACCACGGTTTCATTGTTAATCAACAATTTTGTAGGACCTTTGATTTTAATATAAATTGGTTTTCTTTTGAAAATAGTAGTAGCATATAAGACTATCCAATCAACTAGATTCTTTAACCTAGTCTTGGCTGGCCCCGTATAATCAAGAAGGTTGCGATAAGAATTATTCTGTGTTATCTTGCTAACTATGTCTTTGTTATACTGAGTAATCTTGTCAAGCAATGAAGTTATTGGGGAAGTTAACGAGCCAAATATGCTTTGCGTAGGAAGTGCCCAATCTAATTTACTATATTTGGCCTTGTTCAAAACTTGAAAGTTTACTGTTGAAGTAGTAGCTATTAATGCATTTGGATTCACGAGTATTTCTTCATTGGCTGCCAATTCAATATTAAACAAATTACCATTCAACACAATAGTCCCATCGCCTTTGGTTTGGATACTTCTAAACTTAGACAATATTGAGGTGGGGGTAACATCAAAGTTATACCCTGTGTATGCAATCAAGTCTTGCTCATTCAATATAGTCCATGTGTCTTTTGTGTCAACAATCGAGTAGTTTCCATTAATAACTAACGAGTTAAACCCAGATGAAGTCAACTTCTGGTATGAGTTACTAGGAACAGATTGTATGTCGGTTATATTTCCATTTATAGCCAATAGTGATCCATTTCTTATGTTTAACAGGGAGTGTTTGGGTAGAGTAATATTTAATAATTGTTCATCAATTGGAATGAACTTTGGTAATTCTATAAAGGGACCGTTCCCTGTGACCAATGGCTTCTGTATAACTTTGGTCTTGTTAAATAATTGTTTAATCAATTTCATTGTGATATGTCGCTACCCCCAGTTGGCAGTAAATTTTATTTCCGTTGTTGGGAATAAAAATCGTGAATTTTTTTTTTTCCTCCAAACAAAAACATTCGGCAACCACATTAACACATTGACAACAAACAAACCAGTAGCTATGCCAATTAAAACACTTGAATCATACTTGTTTGAACGTAAACTAGCACAAACGAGCTCCATTGAAATTTTAAAGAACTCCATCATTGGAATTGATGTTGAACATTATTTGAGTAGAATCTACACCTACAAGAAAGAACAATTCTTGTTAGGAATTGGTGGTATACCAAGTTCGTTGAAAGATTATATCTTATCCGATTTAAAAGTGTTCAATGAGTTTAATATTAAGCCCATCTTTGTTATTTCGGGATTGTCGATTCAATTACAGCAGTTGGAGTCGAATGAATTAACCAGCCAAGAGCAACATATGGAATTAACTTGGAATAAGATTGACAACAAGTCGCCATATAGCTTTAACAACATCGAATCTTTTAGATTATTTACAGACCCTTTACCTTTGAAACCAATGGTTAATGATTTAATCAAATATTTCATAGAATTAGATATTGATTATATGATATGTCCCTATGATGCCAGTTTCCAGTTAAGTTACCTATATCAAAATCAAATAATTGATTCAATTTATGGATCAACTGATTTGTTATTAACCAAAATTGACAAGTTTATTCTTGGTATGGAGTTCCAATCCAAAGATTTTAGATTTATTGACAAGCAAAAAGTGTTAAACGAGTTGAGTATTAATGAAAGACAATTGATTGACATAAGTTTGATTGTCGGTTGCAATTTACAACCAACCACTTTCCCAAATTTACCAAACTTGCCCAAGACAATCCCACAGATTAACCTATTCAAATTAGCTTTAGATATAGTGTACCAATTCAGTACACCAGATGGGTTGTTAGGATATGTTGTAAGTCTTCAAGATCCAAGACTAACCCAGCTTTACTTTAAAGGACATTCAGCAATCAAGTATATTCCAGTATTGAATAAACAAGGTTATGTTGAGTTATACAATGTTGAAATGAACAAACTAGGATTAGACGGTAATATTGACTACTTGGATGATGAAGAAACAGTAGTCAAGATTCCTAATGATATTCATGATATTGTTAGTCAAAGATTGCCACCTGAATTCTACTATTACCTTTCTATTGGCTTATTACCTATAAACTTATTACAAGCTATAGTTAAAGGAGAATACAATGTTAGACCACCTTTAGAAATAAAATTGAGTGAAAGTTACAAGAAGTTAATAAACTCAAAGTTCTATACAGAAAAACTTAATTTCCAATTCAATTTGTTAACTCAATTGTTAGCAAGATATTATCAAGTGAAAAAGATAAATCTCAAGTTTTGGTACAAGAATGAAGAACTTGATTTGAATACTAGATTAAATCCACCGATGTCCAAGAGAGTTAATAATTTATTCATCCAAGATGATAATTCAACTGACCACTTTTCCTTGGCTAAGTTTTTTGGTAAATTAAATGGAGAATACACCACTACTAAAGAAATCAAAACAAATGAAGATATTGTGTCTACGGTTATGTTGAGAACCTTATTTTTGTTTGATATAATTGATCAAAAGAAGCAACCTTCATCCTTGGGGAAAATCTTGCAAAAGTACGTGGAAACTCATACTGATATTGAAAATTACGAGCTTGAGCAGTTGATCTTATTACTCTTGCTTATTCAATCGAAATCACTCAAGTTATCCGAACTTAATAAAGAATTTTCCAATGTTTCGAAATTATTCAAGGATTTCAGTCAACAAGATTCATCAGTGCCAAGTCCGGAATTGACTGAAAAGGAGCAAACCCAAATATCTCTCATTTCGAGAATATTCTCTTTGAAAAAATTCAACATATCTCCAATAAATTACCAAGGTCCAATCTCACGCAACTTACTCAACTTTAAGTCCCACATCAAGTATATAAGTCAGCAATTGAACCAAACTATACAATGTTTGCTTGTTGACTTTATTGTGCATCAAGAACAAAACAATATCAAACTGTCATATGGAATAAAGAACGATTGGTACAAGTTAATTAACAATTTACCATTTTATAACAACTTATGTTCTACATTGCTAGGAATAGTGGCAGAAATCTACTTTGAATACTCCCTTAGACAATCTAAATCAGGAACTCAAGACAAGAAAGAAATAATTGAAAACTCCGAAAACCACTTGTTCAATCATGTGTATCAGATAAATGCTCCGTCATTTAATATAAATGTAAATGGAGTCAATTCAATTACTTCAACTCAATTAATGACTGATTTTAAGAACGGTGTTAAGTTTTGGAATCATTTTGTTGACTTGGCTAAGGTTGTTAATGAACTAGATAAGGGCTTAATTAATGATGACTACTATAAGGATATCATCGAGGCTGATGAATTCTTAAAGAGGTTTGTATGAGTTTAGCCTAAATATTGTAGTTACTTTAATGAAGAAATAAGGATAGGATTAATGGTCCTAACCTAAATATAGAATAAATAGTTATTACAATTGAATTTTTTTTTAAAAAAAAAAAGCCACATATCGTAGTATAATTCTACTTTGTCCTAGTTTCAAAGTAAGTTTGATTAATTTATAAATAGCTATAATTACAATATATAACGAACTAAAAAGCATGGATGTCATTATTCACCAAATAGGTTCCCAAGAGCACCATTTTCAATAAATGGATCATTCATTAAATCACCACCAGCCAGTTTCTTCTTCTTTGCAGAAGCAATTTCCAACTCTTTGGTACGGTTATTCATTTCATCAAACATGTTACCAAGGCCACTACCTTGCTCCTTGGACAACTTTATCAATTCTAATAATGCCAGCCTTTGGTGTTTTAATGATTTTGAATTGACTAATAACGTTTCGAAATTACTTATATGTTGTGTGGAAATATTGGGGAGTAATTGAATTAATACTCTTGCTGGATAATCGTTCTTCGATCTTAATCCACAATATAATGTGGTGAATGCAATGGCTGCTTCATTGTGGGTTTCCACAAAGTAATCATCAGTGAGCACTTGTATCAACAGTTTCATTAAGTAATCACACAAGTATTTGTCAACCTCATCATTCTTCAATAATATATCCAGAAGAATATTTCTGACCACTAATATAGTATTAAATGAACATTTAGTATCCTTGATCAGAATAATGTGACAACAAATCTTTAAGAAAGGAGCTAAGACTTGTTGATTTTCAATAATCAATTTTCGACAGGCAAATTGCTGATCAGTTAATGTTTTGCTATTGTATTGTCCCACAATATCCATAATTAATCTTACCACGGTAGCAGTCAATTGACGCAACATATGTTCTTCCATCATTTCTTCAGATAATGTTTCATCAGTTTCTTCAAGTAATTGCAATCCATTACTATAAATCTTTTTCCATTTGGTGACAATCAAATCATCCAAATCATTAAGTGCAGTAGGCAACAATTCACTCATAAATACATCAATGTATTTAATGGGACAATTCTTGATCACAATTCTCAAACAACTGTTAATCATATGTTTCCAACTATGTAATGTAATCCCAGCAGTATCACCCGCAACGGATTTCCAAATCATCATGGCAATATTAGGGATTTCATAAAGTGTATCTTCCAATTGTGATAAAGATCCCATAGTTAAAAACGCATATTCTCTAGTATATCTAATTAAATGACCCACCGAATCAGCAAAATCTCGTAATGTTAATGCGGCTTTGACATTTTCTTCAATAAAGTTTTCCTTAGTTTGAATTGAAACACCCTGTTGCCAGAATCTCTCCATACAACTATACTTAACAAAAGATTGTACTTCCTGAGGTAAATCTTGCCAATTTTTGGGGTTGTGATATGCTTGGATTTGGGTGAGCAATTGCAATATATGTGGAATGATTGGTTGTACTCTTGGTTTCCATAATTTTAACAAGTTCAAATATTCACTTGAATCGTGGCTTAACTTTTCAATACTGTATTGAATGAAAATTCTAGTGGCTCTAATGGGGAATATGGAAGACCAGTGATCTTTTAATCTATTCTTAAGTAATCTCCCCTCATTGTCCATTTTAACTTCAAGTAAATCACTTGTTGGTGTTATGCCTCTGCTTTGAAAGTATGATGCAATTTCCACAATCCCAATTCTTTCCATAAACCAATGCAAATCTAATAACCCCTTTTCGGTTTCTGGTGCAGACCATGCTGCTAATTCTGGATCAACTATCTTGGCAAAAATCTCATCTTTATCATTGATGGTAGATCTAGAGGCAATCACTAATAAGAAGGATTTAAAGGCGACATTTTCATGATCACTAATTTTCTTGGAAGATAAGATATTAGCAATGACGTTTTCTAAATCTGTGAATATTCTCTTTAATGATTCTGGCATGATATAAGCCAATCTATTTAATTCGGTACCACAACTTGTTCTCAAATCACGAATCAATTCTTTTTCTTCGTCAGAGATACCTTCCGGATATTCAAATGTGGCTGTGGTCAAGATTTTTTCCAATACTTGAAACATTAATGGAGAAACATCCTTCAATAATGGGGCAAATTGTACTAATGTTTGAACTTGTTTTCTAATCAACAATGGCGATGCTAAATTCATGGCTAATAATCGTTCACCTAAACTTTCAACCAATTTATTTAATCGATCATTGATAACTTCAAAATCATCATCATTATACCAAATTCTCCAACGAGATATTCCTCGGATACAATTTTCAATAATGTTGAATTGAGAAGTTCCATAGTTGAATGCTTGGCATTTTTCAGTTAATTTATAGTCATTGATACATTTTCCACCTAATTCGCTATTGAAAAATGTTTGTAATCGATTATTCAACCACATTAAGCCATCTTCGGGGATTTTACACACGGTGATTCTTACAATATCTTCATTAAATTTCCTGTAATTTTGTAAGAACGAATTAGCATCTGGAGTAGAATCAAAATCGGCATTCAAGAATTTCTTGGAAATGTGTTCTTCATCAAGAGTGAAGCTTATAGTTCTATCAGCAGCAATTTCCAACAAATCAAGGAGCAATTTCATAATTGGTTGTTTAGAACTTAATTCGTCAAATCTTAATATGGTGACCCACATTTGCAATGATAACCCACTGATTATTAAACTTGGATGGCTAGTAGTTGACAAGACCAACTGCAAATAGTTATCAATATCTGAATCTTCCCAGGAGATTTTATTCTTGGAGCTTATATTAAGATATTCACTTAATGATACAATCATCTCTACGGTCTTCTTCAATAATGAATACACTTGTTCGTCAACGTCGTCAGCATCCAAGGTTAAACTTTGGTAGAATTGTCGTAACTTATTTATACCTTCAGTTGAGAATATAGATCCAATAAAGAAATCAAAATCTTCACTATCGTTGTAATTTCTAGTGAATAAAATATGTAAACAATCAATGGCCAAAGTTTTCCATTTAACATCAGGGACAGTCAAAATATTAATCAATGTTTGCATAATGTTCTCTTCACGTAATACTGAAGGCTGAACCCAATGTAAACAAGTCTTGAATGTCGATAAAATTTTAGGAACAAAAGTTTGACAAGTCTGTGATTTGAAGTCGTTTGTTGACAAGATTTCAATGAGGAATTGTGACCAAATCTTGAACCATCCATTAGGTATAGTTTTGCACATTGCCACATTTGGATTAGATTCATATATGGTATTTAACACATCGTCAGGAGTGACTATGAAAATTGATAATTGGTTTAAAATAACACTGCGTTTAGACGCAATTGGATCGTCCAACAAATATATATCTTCAAATAAAGTTCGAAGAATTATCAACGACAATTCTCGACATGTTATATTATTATTCCATAATTTCCACAAATCGCTGTCCATTGAGACCCAGCCGTCATTGGCATCTTGAGGACTAACAGGACTAACTTCAGGAGATTCTTGGTCTAATTTGGTTGAGTTTGCTGTTGGTTCTGCTGGTATGTGGTTTTCTTTATTGTTGTATGTTTTTATCAAGTAGTTTCCCCAAACACGTTTGGCGATTGAAACCCAAAGAAATGCTACTTTTTCTTTAATATAATGTGGGTCATCGGGTTCAATTTTCCACGCTAATTCAATAATCCAATTTCTAATCGCTTGTGATTTTAAAGAATCGAATTTGTGATAGTTCAATGTGATTGACCCTTGTAATAACGAAAGTCCAAAATATCTTACAATATAGTTCTTGCCATTATTGGCTGGTAATGATAGTTGATAGCCCCAAAATGGAGATTCTTCGTTGGTTTTAATTGTTTCTAAAAATTGTTGTGCTTCATGTCGTTGACTGTTTGTTGATTTTGGATCATATACCACACCTAACGCTGATATAATTTGTTGAACTCCACTGGTATCCATTGTCATATGGAGGATGTATTGATGTAGGGTAGACTATATTAGAGGCTTATAAACGAAGTGGCGTGGGCAATTCAGGGGGCAAACAACAAAGAGTATTTGTGGTTGTAAAAGAGGGTTTTATTTTCAATCGATGGAAAAAATCCTATAGTATGGTTAGCCAGATTTGCGTGATTTTTTTTTTTTCGTCACGTTTGGTTTTGGCTGTAATTTTTTATCTCGGGGTTGGTCCCGCGTTTTTCATCCCACCACCGCTACCAAGATCCCACACGAGGTGCTGGGCTGAGATTAGTGCCGTACAACTTGATTGCTTGTACAACGCCTCTTATCTGATGCTAATTTACTAACGTTAACTTTTTTTTATTACCTAATTATACCGTTGTGGTTATATGTGTACTTAATGTCTGAATTACACGTTCACCAACGTTTTGTTGTTTTTTTTTTTTGGTCCGCCTTGGTTAGAGAATCTCGTATCGTCTGTACTTACCTTAAAAGCATGTATTCTACATACTTGTCTTATCCAAACAATAATCTAAAATTATAGTTCACTTGTTGACAATAATGGACTACATTTACAACTAGGATAAATATATAGAATGTTTTCGATTCATTCATATCATCTCAGGCTTAGTCTTTCGCTACCAAATTTGCGATATTTTAGTTCTCTGGCATAATCATTGAGGGGGTGTAACCGAGCGAAACAAGGTACCCTACAATGAATATATTGTATGCAGGATTGATTATATTAGCTATCTTTCTATAAAATGATTGTACAGCAACACACACACACGCACTATAAATAGAACTTCTTTTTATCTCTTTCCATATCAGGTCTATGTTCCCAAATAACATCACCTCTAACACCCTTTTGCAATCTTCTTAATTTCAAAGTGAATTGTGGTCCTAATTCTTGTAATCCAACTTTTTCTTCGTTTCTAAAAATATATCGATGTCTTCTGACAAAAATATAATCACGTTGGTTGTGCAATGTTATTACTTGTCTACCTTGAATTTCTGGTTGATGGGGGAAAATGGATTGGAATAATCTACCCACAGTCTTACCTAATCTGGAATTGAAATTGTTCAATACTAATTCAGGAATATGATCAGTGGCTCTACCGTGTCCTTTAATTCTTTTTCCATCAACGATGGAAGTGATTGAAAAATAAAATGTTGGGCCTTCAGGTAAGTGGATAAATGTTATACCAGTGACTTTCTTTTTATCTTCGTTAATAACTAGCAAATCGGTGTATTCTCTGTTACTGGCAAATTTAGCAATTTCTTTCATGCTATATTCCTTTTTCCTTTTGATAAACGTGGTATTGGGCAAAAAATCCATCAACATATCAGCAAATTCATATGCTGGTTTCTTTGCATTTTCACTGGTAGTCAACAAGATTTTAGGTTCCAGGCCTAAATTAGTAAAATATTGTTGGAATTCATCTTGGTCCTCACCTTCTACTTCAACACCAATAGTTTCATCGAATACTCTCTTGTTATCTAAAGTATCTGGGATATTTTGGGCAATTCTTTCTTCTCTTAATGCAGGATTGGCTCGTTCTTCTTTGGCACGTTCAGCACGTAATTTATGACGAGCTTTGTTCTTTTCATGTTTTATTTCACCAAAGACTTTTTGTCTTCTCTGCTTGTTCTTGATGTTCTTTAATGCTTCACTTGTGCTGGTGGACATCGTGGCACTTTATCTGATATTGAATGTTTAGATTTAAGATGAGCTTCTCTCAAAAAAAAAAAAATTCTTTTTTGTTTTTTTGCGGTATTGTAACATGGTGAATTTTTCTACTGCGAAAGTAAAGCATTCCTTCAAACACAAGTCTTTTGAGCAGCTCTTGTTTCCAATTTTAAACACCTTTCTAACTCAATATACCACTCTAGTATATAGCTTCTATGAATTTTAGATCTAAAAGAAAGGTTTTACGAATAGAAATTTCACGCTGCTACCAAATGCATTCTGGTCGTGCAAATTTCAAATTGTGCCAAATAGAACAATTTTAGTTTCCTATTTTAAGCAACCTGTTATCACAACACCAGACATGTCGTTAATTACCAAGGAATGCATATATAAGTGGGCCAACTTCGTCAAGGCAAATCCTACTATTCTAAAAGATACAATTGCAATTGGCCCAACTACTCATTTAGTCAACCTTTTAAACTGTATTTTGGGCAAGCCCACACCGGCAACACCAGTATTAGCTCCCTATAAATATTTTAACCAAGGGTTCCACTTCCTTTTCAATAATCAATTGAATTTAAAACTTGATTCTGATGGATATGATACATATCAAGCACCAACTAATGAAAAGGGGGAACAACTTTATTTACGTCGATTATGGGCTCGTGGAGAAATTCAGTTTCCAAACCAGTATCCTAAGATAAACACACCTATAACATGTAAGGAAAGTATCAAGTCAGTAAGGATTATTGAAGAATCAACTTTGGTTACTATCGTGCGAGAATTTCAGGATGGTAACAAATTAAATTCATTATTGACGGAAAATCGTACGTTGTCCTATACTAATGAGCTATATACACCCGGAGAGCCTGTAAAGCTTATACTGCAAGTTAACGAGACTGATAAGCACATTCAAATTTCGCCAATTGATTTACTCAAATATAGCATGTTGACGTATAATCTCCATAAGATTCACATAAATCCAAACTACTGTCGTTCAATTGAAGATTTACCAACTACAATAGTACATGGGCCTTTCCAAGTGACCTTATTACTTTACTGGTTTGCTTTGAACCATCCAGGTATAACTCCTGTCAATTTCAAGTATAGAACATATGAGCCTTGTTTTGTAAATGACGAAATATCTTTACAAATTGTGAAAAATTCAGATGATCATTTTGTCTTGAGTTTATATGATAAGAATTCAAGCAAAGTTTATATAGACGGAACTCTTCTAACTAAGGTATAGATAATAATACATCTAAACTCATGAAAAGACCATACTTTTATGTTTCTCTCAGATTAGTCTTTCCACTATTTATTGCCGACTCGGCTATATTCAAATCCGGAAGTTCCTTTGTGCACTTGGTAGCATTGGGGTGCAAATCTAGAATTTCGCCTGATAAATTGATATTAATGATTCCGAAATTACATGGATATTCTTCATGATATAAATTCTATTATCTATATAGTAACTAGTGAGCCCCCTGGAATTAGGTATGTCTAGAAAAAGAGCGTGGTTTTCGTTTTCGTGGCTGATAGCGTAAAGTTGCAAAAAAAAATTCCTACAAATCCAAAGTTGCTCTAACTTTGCCAAGACAATAATCCTTATACTCTTGTACGTAATCCTTGTTATTCAATTCGACAATCCCTTGTAAATCACTGACTATTTCTTCATTACCACCAATAACCACCATACCATACCCCATTTTTGATAAGTCAATGAATGGTTCAATTAATTTGTCATCAAAGATTAAACTGGACAAGTTGTTAGCCACTTGTCTTCCCATGTACATTGCCCAACCAGCGGATTTGATAATCGGCAATTCAACTAAATCACCAAGAACAAAGAAATTGTCAATTTTGTCATTGTTGCTGTTGGCTAATTGAAGGTATTCATTGATGAAAATGTTGTTGTTCTCAGACACAAACTTTGTCTTTAAATCTTGGGATAATATGCCAGTGTTGTTTCTCTTGGCGGTACACCAAAAGTTGAAATTTGAAGTTATTGTTTTATTATCAGTGGTTATTAAATTACCAGACTCGTCTTCTTTAGCAATTCTGGTGTTTAAGTAAACATTAACACCAGCTCTTTCTAATGAATTTTGAATCATCTGTTTAAATTCTTTAGTTAATGGCTCAGCTGGGAATGCGGAATGAGGGTGAATCAAATTTACAGTCTTATCGGGGAATTCCAGTTTAATGTCTCCAGCAATTTCAATACCGACAGCACCAGCACCAATAACGCTAATTATTTGATTTGCAGCAATGTCTTTTCTTGACTTGATCATTTCATTAATGAACTCGTCTTTAGTTTGAGCCTTGGGGGTAGTCGGCCATTTACGGTCTCTACCTGATGCCATTATGACGTAATCAAATGCAACTATTCCGAGTTCGTCATTGTTGTTTAGCTTATATTGAGCCTTACCGCTGTCCAAATACGTAACCACTCCATGAATAAAATTCAACTGAAAGTTGTCATCGTCTTCAACAAAGTAATCTTGAGTGAACTCGTCTTGGTTGTTACTAAATACGCTAGTAAATTTACAATCTTTTAACTCGTTAAATGGAATGAATTGAGTTTGGGCAAAGTCAGAATTGACAATTGCCTTGGGAATACCCAAGATGTTTAATAACCCATTTCTTGGTTCCACCAATGTAATTGAGATTTTCTTCTTGTTGTCAACTGTGCCCAATTTGGTGGAAAGGTGAGTTTTCAATGCTCGTAAAGCAGCTAATCCCGAATAAGCCCCACCAACAATAAGAATGTTAGTGCTGAACGACATTGGATTGTTAATCCTTGGAGCTAACTTAGTAATTGGCGAGAGGGTCTCGTAGTTTTTGGTAAGCATAGTGTATAAACCTTTGCCAGTCATTGCTATAAGTATGGGGATAACGATGAGGCTTAAGAAAAAAAAACAAAGTTTCAATGGTTTTTCCGCACGTTCTTTTTTTGCTATTTATACAACAGTTTGTTCTTTTTTTTTTTCTTTTGCTTTGATTCGAAAAAATTTTATCTTTTGCATCTTCGATTTTTTTTTATCTTTTCCATCAATTCTCGGATAGGGGTTGAGCACTGTTCCGAAGTATTATTAATGTACAATAAACAAAATCCCGATGTAATTTAGAAATCGGATACCCTTGATTATTGGCTGCTTTTTTCGAATTTTATAAATCCTCTATATTTATTGACAAGTGGGGTACGACTTGAATTCCGAAATCGGTCTATCAAGTTTAGATCTATATTAATGTAAATCCTTTTTTTTTAGACATACACACCAACCTGCATATTAATACACGGATAGTTTCACATTGGAACTAACTCAAGTCCTATGTTAATTATAATTCTCGATATACGATCTACAATCCGCTTATGCTAAAAATAAAACATCTCTTATAACAAACACTATTAAACTATAAATACATTATTCATAACTTTATTCCAAAGCCTTAAACACAAAAGTGGTAAAAGTAGCCAAAAATATGAATCCACAAATCATATTAGGTCCAAACATATCACCATATTGAACTGCCCTCTTTTCTCTAATCATTAAGACTCTCCATATATACTTGTAAATAGCATAACCTAAAGTAAACAATGCAGTGATGAAGAACCCAATAGAGGCAGTCAAGGCTGATTTGTTACCATAGTTCAATAAAGCCATAGCAGTGAAACCCAAAATCATACCGATGGATAACCAACTCAAGAAAGTTCTTTCGTTGGCAAAATAAACCTTTGGTTCGATTCTAACTGGAACACAAATGGTCTTACCCTTTGGCAACTTGTCCTTGAAGGTGGCATTCAAATCCCAATTGGTACCTTCCTTTACGGTAAAGGTACGATCATCATTGAAATAATGCAAGAATTGACCATAAAGTTGGTAAAAGAACTTTCTAATTGGAGAATTAGATTGACGGTTAGTATAAGTGTTTGGTAATAACAATGGAGTGGATTCGTCTAAATCTTCTTCTAATGGATTAATATCATTGGAAAAATGAACTCCAGTGTATGAAGATCCAGTTAATTCTTCTTCGTCTAATTCATTTCCAGAACTAGAAGATCTGGCAATTCTATTGTGTTGACGAGAAATACCATATTCTTGTTGAATCTTTGGTTTTCTAATGTCAACATCCATTTGAGAGTACCAGAATGGTAACAAGTTAACATGGTCAGTTAATAAAGTAGCTCCACCATGAATGAATTTGGAGAATTTAGGGACGGCTTCAACTAAATGAGAAGAAACTAAATCTCTAACCCAAGCTGGTGGTTCTTGACCTAATTGAGTTTGCAATTTAACTTCTAAAACAGCATATGGGAAACGACAAATATCCTTTTCTGGTAATTGAGGGAATGGATAATCAACACCAATATCCATTCTTCTCCAGTTACCGTGAGTACGATCATACCCATCAAAGTCATCTTCTCTGATCATGGACAATTCAGTATCCAAAGAAATTCTGACTCTAGCATCACCAGGTAATTGGAAAGCAGTTCTGTTATAGAAAGAACGCATAACAGGACGGTACTTTTCTTTCAAGATTCTATATTGCACTTCCTTGGCTAATCTTTCCAAGTTATCAATTTCTTGAGGAGATTTCTTACCATCTCTTCTAGCCTTTTCAAATGCTTGTTGGGCAGTGAAATCACCTCTCAAGAATTCATTAACCTTCTTTTCCTTTAATGCAAATCTAGCCTTGACGGATTTTTCACCTGTCCAATCTTCTCTATGCGTCTTTCTTTCAACGAAAATTTGTTCCGACTTCATTCCACCGTACCATCTTAATCTAATAGCTTCAGCACCTTCATCCTTTCTCAATCTACCGTAGTAAAGATCCATATCTTCATTATCGAAATAAATGGAAGTAATGGCACTGTCTTCAGGTTCAAATTCCTTATCAGCATTGAAAACCAACACTGGTAAATGCTTTAAAATGATTAATTTCAATTCAGTGATGTTATCAGGATGAACCCAATACTTGGTGGTTTGTCTAACGAAATTTTGTTGAGCTCCACCGGCAGATGAATCACCTTTAACTGGGTTACCTCTGGTTCTAACTAAATCATACAATTTAGATAATTTAACAATTAAATTATCATAGTTGTCCTTGTAGAAAGGTTTGGCGTTTAATCTAACTTGGAAAACTGGTTTCAAATGATAGTTAGTAGTTTTGTCATGCTTCTTAATAATTTTTTGGAAACCAGTATAGTTTAATCTGGTAAATTTGGCTAAATCGTGAACATCAGCGATGATATCTGACAATTCTTCTTCCAAATCTTCGAAATCTTGTTCTTGAGGTGGAGCGGTGACTTGAGGGTCGTTGTTTTGGTATCTTTGCAAAGTATCAACCACTTCATAAACATAAGCTTCAGATTCCTTGATTCTACGGTTGACTTCGGTGTTCTTCACTTTAGTAAAGGAATATACCTTATCAAGCTCAGTTTCTAATGCATTAAGGAACTCTTCTTCTAATTGATTGTTCCAGACGTAATCATTGTCCTTTAACCCTTTTTTCAATTGATGTTTCAAATCATCGTAGGCAATGTAGTAAAAGGAGTAGGTTTTAATCAATGCCTTTCTTAAATGTTCACCGAATTTCATGTTGAATAGATAAGACTTAATTTGGTTTTTCGTTCAAAAGATAATGCTGGTTTTTTCTGGTGCCTTTTATAACTTTTGGTTCACAATCTGTTTATAAATTACAAAACAAACTTTCACTAATTCACCGTTGGGGGGGGGGGGAGGATTACAATTGAATTTTTTAAAACACCAAAAGATTCGATGCAATACTAAGGAAAGAAAGAAAAGTAAAAAAGCTTAATTTTTGAAAAAGAGGAAAAAGAAAAAAATTCTGTAAAGAAAAGTTTCTAAATAAATATAGAAAACGTTTTCTCTATATTCAATGGGCTCATCACTGGGTTATGTCGTTGCTTGCCTCAAATAAGATGGCATGCTTCTGATTTGTGTGTCGCATTTCGTATTTAGTGGTTTATTATTTTCCTAGTGTTACTTGTTCTTAACTAGTGCTTTCAGTGAAATTTCCTGTATAATGATGACCCACGTGGAGTCATTAATTTAATATTTTATTTTTTCTGTGCATATTTATTGTCCATGGTGCGGCTTAATGTTTATAAAAAGGACAAAAAATATTTTTTGAATTTATTGCGAAGAAAATAGAGACCATGTGCTTGAAGAGATGGTATTACCTCTCTGCAGATCGTTATGAAAAGAAGCACAGGTCTGTGAAAAGGTATTTCAACAGTACAATAGGTTAGGATACGGTCATTAAATCAAGCATACGTATTGGCATATAATTATATATAGAAAGGCATATCCTAGATATTTTTGACTACACAAATAATTTTGACACAAAATTAGAATTAGGCTCACACGAGGGTTAAATCTGAACTAATAAGGGGGGGCATCAAGACAATCAAAATAATTGACAGTAAATATCGTTTTTTTGTGCCATATTCGGATCGACTACCATCGAAAAATCTCGTAGTTGTTTTTAGAGCCTTTGAAGATTTTCCTACTCAAGCAGCTCAATCTCGTCCTTTAAAGCTTCATTCATGTCATTGAAGGATAGCTCAGTTTTCTCAGTAATACCTAGCCAAGTAAATAACGTAGCTAAACATCCTCCGAACTCTTCAGTATGGATTAGTCTTGTTCTTGTGCCATGTTCTAACGATTCATACTTTAATGTATGCACGCCGTAAAATAACCATTCAAATCCCAAAATGCCTTTCCATTTCAATTGTTCAAAATTGTTTACAATAACAGTTGGATAAATAGTCATTACCTTTGAAGTCCCATGATATACTACTTCAATTTTCAATTGGTCACCAATAGCAAGCTCCTTTCTATTTTTATTGGTAAGCTTTTCAAAGCTTACGAAAAAGGGGTTCCAATTGCAATGGTTGGAGTAATTTAAAATGAAGTTTCTGACTTTGAAAACTGGAGCATTTATCTCAATTGATGTTTCAAGCTTGGTAGTCATAATTGAATGGTTCTAAGGAGTTGTATTATTGAATTAAAGTCGCCCCATTAAATTTTTGTTTCAAACGTAGAAATGTGTAAGTAAAAGTTAAATTTTGTAGGTTGTTTTATTTTTACTTGGCATGTATTCCTATTGCTAGAACAGTTATCATTTTGCAATTAAATGGTTGGTGACTATTGTCCCTGTTTCATTCCTATTGTTCAGATTTCCTTCGATTGGAGTTTGGACAACTTGGGTAATCTGTCACACGATACTTAACCTTTGTTAGATTTTTAACCCACATGTACCAGGGCTGACTGAAAAAAAACAAAATATTATATCGCGAAGCACGTTTTAAGTTTCATTCCGTCAGTTACCAAAATAGATATTTCCTGAGCTTTTGGTCGAACGATTCTTAGCTCAATAAACAATTCTGCATAACACCTATACGTCAAAATAAAACTAGGCTTGGTTTCTTTTCTAAATATTTTGTATTAAAAGATAAATTATGTACTAAAAATAAATGCACCACGGTTGAAACTCAGATTTTCCTACTCCAACAGCTCCACTTGGTCTTTCAATGCCGCATTCAAATCAAGAAACGACAATTTTGTATCCTTAAGAATACCCATCCAAGAAATCAACCAATGCAATAACCCACCAAACTCTTCACTATGAATAAATTTGGTTTTAGTGCCATCTTCCAAGGGTCCAAATTTAAAGGAATGATTTCCCCAGAATAAGAAATTCCCACCATTCCATTTAAACTCCGAGGGGTTATTTATTGAAATTGTAGGGTACATTGTGAATTGGTTAGTCTTGCCATGTGGTTGTAATACAATCTTTAATTTATCTCCTACTTGTAACTCTTCAACATTTGCATTAGTGTGTTTTTCAAATACCTTGAAGAATGGATTCCAATTTGATTGATTTTTGTAATTAAGGAGGAATGCGCGCACCTTTTCGGGTGGGGCATTAATTTCGATTGATGTATTTATTGACAGACCCATCGCTATATAACTAGATGAATATTAAGTGATTGATTCAATTCTTGAGAAATTGGCTCATTTTATATCGAAACGGGGGGGGCGGTGGCAATTGCAATGGCAACAAAAAACAATTACCGCATTGCATTCCTACATCATCTTATTCTAAAAATGGAGATCCTAATCTCTTTGTTCAACTCTTTCTATTTGTTTATTGTTATCAGCCTTGAATACAACGTCTGAGCAATCAATGTCAACAAAAGTACGCTGGTCCGATTTTCTTTATCTCCGATTTCCGTCGGATTTCAGCTATAGCCGTCTCTTTGGCATCTTACAAATACTTTTGGGTGCAAAAAAAAAACAAGCATTATCAACAAGTATTCATTGTTTTAATAATTTTGATAAAAGAAAACTAACTCATTGGTTACCGAAATTAATGTTTCAGGGAGTTACCAAGAAGTGTTGTTTATTGAACTATCAACCCTCGCAAAATTCCCACCGGCCCGATTCAAGAAAAAAAAAAATCGTTCACTTCTAAGCTTACTGAACAATTTCCCATACTGAATTCACAACCATGTACTACGCCGCCGTGTTTGATTTTCCCGACATTGATAGAACCAAGGTAAGACCACAACACTTTGCTGAGTTGGTTCCCTCAGTAGCAAACCCTATTGTGGCTGGAGGGGCAATTTATCATGATGATGCTAAAACCAAATTTGCTGGTAGTTGGCTTCAGTTAGACCTTACATCTAAAGAAGAAGTCATTGAATTCTTAAGGAAAGATGTTTATTATCGTGAAGGTGTATGGGACATTGATAGTGCTATTATTTATCCTATTGGAGTTGCTGTTCGTCTTCCACAAAAGTTAGAAGGTACAGATGATAGTCTCTATAAAGTCTAAATTTAGTCTATAGTTTAAAGGTTCTACTTAAAACTTCCGTCAACTTTTCATAAACCATTAATCCTGACCCATATGATAATTCATATCCCATTCCTCCGGCTCCATAATTGTTAATGACAACATTAGCTTCCTGGTGTTCAATGCTAATATTCAATCCGGATTGTCTTGCAGGTCTAAGTCCAACATTAACTCGTAAAATATCAAAGAATTTCTTATTATCTCTTGTGGTTCTCATTAATTCTGGGAAATACTTTTCTCCTCGTTTTAATAATGCATCGGTATCCTCTTGTCTTATTCCAGTAAATGAATCTCCAACTTGTTTAGTACCTCCTAAAATAATCCCACCATTGGAGGGACGTGGAATGACAAACGTCCAATTACCATCGGCGTGCTGGTAAGTAATTGTCTGGTTCAAGTAAGAACATCCCTTGGGTGGGTTAATCAACAAAGTTTGACCTCTTATTGGGAAACAATTTGGATCAAATCCTCCATTATACCGTAACCCCATTCCAGAACAATTAATAATGACAGGGTTACCAGTAATATAATCATTCACCTGACTTAATGATGTAAGTTTTGCGTTAAGGAACTTGACATGATATTCAGATATAAGCTTTCTATAAAGAAAGTGCAAATATAAAGGTGAATTAACCACCCAAGTATCATACTTGAATCCCATATATCCTGGCTTGTCATGGATTCTTGAGAAATTGTCCATACCATCACTATACCCTTCTCCCACTTTCTTGTAGTGCTCATCGGGTGCTTCTAAATATTCAACACCTTCTACGAATTTAATAGAACTTTCAGGATATTCAACTGCAAATTGCTTGAACTTCTTTAAAGTCAATCTCGTCAACTTCATTTCAGCATACTCTTGGGGATTTTTGCTGGGGAATGGTCGGAAATGTGCTCCAGCCCAGGGTGAAGTATACTGCGGGAAATTAGTCATATTTGCATTCATGGATTGATTATGAGGTCCATGTTCAGCAATAATAGTTATATCATGGGCGATCTTGAGATGTTCACTGACGGCTAATGCAGTTGATAAACCAAGGATACCTGCTCCTACGATAACTATATGTGGCTGCGTTGACATTTTGCTGGTGTCTACTTCTTGATGAAAAATTCAATCGGTTTGAAAATAGTGTCATTTTTTGTATTAACATTTATCAAAGGTGGAAGCGAAAATTGATGCGAAACCGGCCAAAAGGCGCAATAAGCGCATCTAAAATAATGAAGCTACAAAATACATTGTTAATAACTTGCGGGGTTTGACCATCCACAGCTTTCACTTTTCTAAATTATAGGAACACATCCTTTATGGATAGCTTATTCAGTTGTTCACCTATTATGTCAATGCTCTATACGGCAAATTTCTCTTCCCCTCAATCTCGTCCAGAAAAAAACGTCGAAAATTTTTGAACTTATTTTTTTCCTTTTTTTAGCAAAAAGAAATTTTACACTTTTGACATTGTACAGTGAATCAAGTGAGTGCAATATATCAGCAAATTTCACTAATTTCTAGTTTTTTTTTAAAATATATATTCATGTAATCTCAAGTGTCTGTAAATGTCAAAAAAATATCTCCCGGGGGTGAGTCGAACACCCGATCTCAAGATTACTTTGAGGTACTCATTACAGTCTCGCGCTTTAAACCAACTAAGCTACCAGGAGTAATTATTGGAAGCGATGCAGAGCCTGGTTTATCATACCATTTACATCTCAAATTTTTCTCTCTTCATCTACAGAGTTCCTAGATTAAAGATACTCTTATATTAGTAGATATCCTATGTACTAGAAGCCTTTAGTAGTTCTCAAGGATTTAAATTTTAATTTGTGCGAGCTCTACCGGATTTCGTAGTCAGTGTTTTTTACTTGGATACTTCAACGAGAAATCAAAAATTGACTCTAGTTCGTTAGACAAGAATGTACTTTGTAATGTTTATTAGATAATGTTGTTTGCGTTATCTTACTGTGTTGATATTTGGACATTTTCTTGTGGTTAAGGCTGTGTTTTGGGAGTTTTTACTCAGTTTCTATTGTTGATGTTTTTTTGCCAGAAAAACAGCCAAATGTTTCCTTAATATTATCGAGTGTCTTTCTAATTCAATTCAAAAATCTCAACGAATTAGTATTACTTTAGAAAACAGGGCAGTTCTAACCCGTATTCTTTAATAATAGAGAAAAACTAAGGGCAGAGGTTAAAACATATGTATTAATCAATCTTGCAACAGCATAAACTAAACACTATAAATTTGTTGAACAGTGTCAACAACAGATTTCTCAAGAGGAATCAAATCAAAACCAAGAATCTTGTTAGATTTTGAACTATCAACCTTTTGAATATTCGTCTTACTAATTTCAGGATTTCTAGATAAATCGCCTTTTGGAACAGTAGAGTTTGGGAAATGTTCATTAATAATATGAGCAATGGAATCAAGAGTGAAACCCAGAGAGGCAACTATTAATCTCTTCAGAATAGCTTCCTCATTCTCAAATGCAACTAAATGTGCACGAGCAACGTCTCTAACATCAACGAAATGACTCCCAAATGGAGCAATCTTGTCATTTTTGCCCAATTTTGCAACCCCATTGATGACTTCTGCCGAAAGATTTAATTGTGCCTTATCCTTAATAGCATATGCTTGTGGGCCAAACACATATACGGGATTGACAAACGAGACTGCAAAGTTAGGTTTCTCCTTTTCAATGAAATCAAGTGCTGCTAATTCGGCGAATTTCTTAGATCCATAGTATCCCGAGGCAGCATTTTCTAAACTTTCTTGATAAGTAATTGGATTCCAATCTTCTTCGGTATATATCTTATTCCCATCAAAATATTTATCCCAACCTAAGTTCGCAACTGCGGATGAAGTAATAACCACCTTCTTGATCTGAGGACCATGGTCCTTAATAGCCTGAAGAGCATTGACCGTTCCGTCAATTGCTGGTCTCAACAAATCCTTTTCAATATCATTCACTGAAAAGCTAACAGGCGAAGCAGTATGTAAAAAAACAGTAACTTCAGGGTGTTTTTTAAGTGCATTGTCAAATGCACCTTTGTCACCAAGGGCAGGGACAATCTCATATGAGAATTTGTCACTCTTAACTAAATTCTTTAATTCTTCACCTTTAGACGAAGATCTAACTGAACCAACTACACTATAACCTTTAGCAAGCAATTGCTTTACAATGTGTTGAGCGATGTATCCATTTGCACCAGAAACAAAAACTGTAGTACCAGTCATTTTTGCAGTTTATCCAAAGAAGATTACATGAGATAAGCAGAATATCTCCCTCCTTTTATACCATTTATATTGGAAAAAATAAACGGATCATTTCAATTATAAGGGAGGTACTGTGGCTGACATATTTTCAAACTTTGATTGCTATTTCTGCTAGAAACAGTAGTGCTACGTCGATAGCTGAACTTTTGTAAATATTTTTAAGATGTCCACGTTGGAGATAACCCGTAAACAAATTACAAATAATTTGTCAATTACACAGTTTGATCATAAGCCTCAAAATACCTAGTCCCCTTTGATATAGAACGGGCTTGTCATATTTGTTGTCTATCTAAAATTTTTATTCAATTTCATTGTGTCAGCTTTCCATACTGCGCAATGCACCCACAGTTTCTTCCACATCAATCGTGATAACTACTTACCCGTATCATATAACCACGAAGCAAATATATCGGAGTTATATAAGATACGCGGAAAAGAAAAGGATTTAAAAATGTGAAAATATCCAGGCGGTCATTCCAATCAATTGCAAAAAAGGGAACATTCCCCCTCAAAATTTTTTTTACACCCCAATAAGCCACTTTTCGTAGTTAGACATTTTCAACGGTTAACTATGCAGATGCTATAATTCAATTGGATAGGATATGTTCAAATGAGGCGCAATGATTACTAATCCTGTGTTCTATTTGAAAACTGGGTTGCAAAGTGACCTCCCTGTGGTATTGAATTTGGTGATGAGACAAGTGTGGGGAACGTAAATAAAATAATTTAAACCTTCTGGGTGATTTCGCTTCCTGTGTGTATATCAGAGATAATCCATTGTTAGGCACATAGAACTCTATTAATATTAAGAACAAACTTCATATTCAACGGTCAATCAATTGGCTAATGTTTTAAATTCGCAGCTTAAAAATCCCTGTAAGGCAATTCATTATCTTGGCAATATTTTTTTCTAATCTTGAAAATGCCTTACGAGAAAAATTGACCTTCTCCAAACTTTAATTTTAACAGTTCTTCCAAAAACAACTACATACACATACAACTGTTAAAACAACAAAATGGTGACATACAGAGATATTGTACCTATTGGTACTGGATTGATTATAGCAGCTTCTAGTTTTGGTCTTGGAGTTGTGTACTCCTCTTGGCCCTATGATGTCAATACCCTTTGGAGATATGAAGAAGGAGCAATTGATGTTTCAATTGCCCATTATCAACAATGGGCCAACTCTCCAATGTACATCCATTATACATTACAAGCTGTTGCTGGATTGGGTCTCCTTGGATGTTTTATCAAGTTGTACAAGCCAAATGAAGATGCAAAATATTTTGAATATGGTACCTTGGGTTTATTGATGGTTGGTTTAATTATCTACTTAACTAACTTAAGAACTGGTATCAATTCTTGTATCACTGGTAATTGGGGTGAAGTTGATGCTGCCACTGGAGTCAATGTCATGGCTGCTTCTCAAGTCATGATTGTTTTTGCCCTTGTTGGTGTTTTGGTATTACAAGCAGGATTATACTATGCTGAATGGTATGAAAACAAATTAAAGGAAGAATTCTACAAAGAAGAGGCTGCCGAAGCTGCCGCTGCTGCTGAAAAGCAAGCTAAGGAAGAAGAAGAAGTTCAGGCTGAAACCCAAGAAAATGCGGAGACTAGTGGAGCAGCTCGTAAGACCAAACAAACTGCTAGAAAGAGAAAGTCATAGACAATTCAACCAGTAAGTTTATCTATTTTTATGGGTATTTGTAAAATTATTGTTTACCATCTGGATTCTATATAGTCTTGTATAACACCTACAGTAATAACATTTTATTGACATTTCCGCACGACCTTTTTTTTTCTTTTCGCAGGGATCCAATTAGGATACCAGAAGATCCAATTATCCAAAGAGAAAAAAAATCAAGAGGAAGCATTGGAATAGACAATACCATAGTCCTCTGATTCAATATAAATAACACATAATGGCTGCACATCAGAAAGTTTATGGAGATTACCCAGTATACTATAAGAATCCAATCAGGGTATGTTTTGATTTTGTTTACGTTTCAATTGTGGTGATTGTAAGGGTGTATTGAGATTTTCAAGCAGGATAAATATACTGAACTGGGAACTCGCAAAATATGCCCAGCCAACCCAGAAACACTTCTAGAATGCTACTAACAACATTTTATAGTGGGCTCGTTATCACGCTCATACCAAGCCACATTTCGTATTTGCTGTATTTTTCGCAGTTAGTGCTCCAGTATTATTGTTGTTGACTCCATTAAGAAGAAAGTTCTTATATGACGACCACACTCCACTTCCATATGTTTACCCTCTCCCAAATAGACCTAGAGATAAAAACTTGTCTGGTTATGATGATTAGAGAAAGGGGAAGTTCAGTGAAAAACTTGTTATGATAGTGTTTTTTTTGGATACGTGCATTATAAATGGGAACAGAAAATAAGGGCCCTTTGATATTCTATTTCTCGTTACTTTGAGGCGTGTTATAGTATATTTTATATAAAGTAATTCTTATTTCATGTTATTTATAGCAGACGTAATGGTCGCTTTGTAGGTCGTGCAAAACTCTCAAATTCTATTGCCAAAATTTTTTTTTTTTTGCTCGTAGGAGTACTTCTGACTATGAAAAATTTTCGTACTTTATTTAGAGCTAGTTGTAGTTGCACAATATAGATCCAAATGAACAGGCTAGCATTCTATATCAGGCCTCTTGTAAGACCACAACCAGTAGCTTGGACAGCTGCGAGAAGTCTCTCACAAACTACACCATTATTTTCTTTGTTTGGTAATGTTACATCTCCAAAAACAACCGACAAAGCTGAACAAGAACAGAAGGGTCAGGAAATTCTTAATTCTGAAGGAGAAATCGATATCGATAAAATCACAGTAGAAAATGACACTGATTTACAAAAGTTTCATGCTGAAAGAAATAAAAAGGATAGAATTTCCATCGACAAGTACATAACACCATTAAAATTGGAACTCTTCAATAAAGTTGTTGAAGAACATGGATTTTACAAGAATGGACAAGTTGTTCAGCATGATGGTAAAACTTTCAAATTAAACTTGACTCCTAAAGAAATTGAACTTTTGGAACCTTCAGTATACCTTGAATCAACCAGAATCAAATCCTCCATGAAAAAGGCCACTCAAGTTAACAGATTTGTTAGAGGACTTGATGTTAAGACTGCTATTAACCAATTGCATTTCAACCCAAAGAAGATGTCAACTGAATTAGAAAAGTTATTGAAGGAAGGTTTGGAGCAAAGTACTAAATTAGGATTAAATCCTGACGGAATGTACATTCACAGTTTATGGACTGGTAGTGATGGTCAATGGCCATGGAGAATGGATTTCAAAGGTAGAGGTAGAGGTGGTATAATTCTTCATAGATACGTTCACTTAAAGTGTATTTTGAAATCAGAACAAACCAAAAAGAGATTAGCATGGGAAAAACAACAAAAGCAACTTGCATCTAAGCCAAAGATGTTCTTAGTTAACGAACCATTAAATTTCAGCGTCAGACCATGGTACAAATGGTAAATGATATATATATATACATAGAAACCTGTACATACAAAATATTAAACAATAATTTTTTGCTTGGAGCGCGTTACCTCTGTAAACTAGTTTGACTGTGTTTCATATGCATATCAAGCTGGTTCTATTTATATATCGTCTGAAAAATATATGACGCAGTATCAAAGCTAAAAAAAAAATCCCTTTGAACACAAAACACATTCTCGTGACCACTGGGATAACCAGTAATTGACAGGGGGAATTTCGTAATCCTTTGAAACAAGGAATGAAAGACAAAAAAAAGAAACACGAATTTAACTTATTGTATGTGGTGGCAGACAGAGGGGTAGTTGCTCCTGTACAGATCCTCAGGAGTTAAATCCATAGAAGTTAAGTTGACTGATTATGAAGATGAATAAATATCATACACAAGAGTTTTTTTTATTTGAAAACGTGTTGACTACAAAGTGGTAAGATCGCAAGGTTAGATGCTAACGCATAATTCTCGGTATATTACCCAATCGGCTTGGCCAACTCCGGGTGAGCTAATCTTGGGTGCATGAAATTCTTGTCCAGAATTGAGGCTGGGATGCAGAACTTTAAACTTTGACGGAATCATATGTAAGCCGAGAAACTCCAACGAACACCCACAGAGAAAATGCATGTCGGACGCTTTAGGTTGTCTGCTATTTAGGCTGCCTATTAACCTTATTGAAATACTCCAATGTAATAGCTAGTTCAAGTTCTTGAGTCTTATTACTTTCAACCTGTAACTTTTTTTTTGTGGTTTGTTTCTTATTCATATTTGATTTTACAATTTGCGTCCTAATTGTATGTGTCTGCATGTTTATTTTTATTGGCTTGCCTTTACAGTCATTTAAAATGTATTTTTATTTTTTTTTTCTCATTTATATTGGTTGCATGTAAAAAAAAAATATTTTTATTCCGTCTTTGTTATACGAATTAAAATAGGATAAAAACGCTTTGTCTATATGCAGTTTATTAGTGTTTTTGTGGTCTCAATTTATTATTCCCTTAATTGTTTGTGGTTCCTTTATTTTTGGTTGCCTTATCTCTGGGGGAGGAGTCTAGATCAAGTGTAGTTAACTACCGATTCTAATTGCCTTGGCCCGAGAAAAACAATAATGTAATAGTAAGAATAAACACAACAAAAATAAAAATGACCGAAAAAACAAGGACAACTCTTTGTGCATGCAGCCCCCAACCCAAAAATCTCTCATTAGTCTGAAACGTACAAGAAAGAAAATCCAAAAAAAAAAATTGTTATCATGTATAAATAAACTAACTTTCGCTGGAGGGGGGATGATGGGATTTATTTGAATTTGGATTGTTTTAAAGTTTTTTTATTGTTTCTACTTCGAGATACTACCCATTCTGTTTTCTAATTTTGTACTGACACAGGCTTGTATAAGTTCAATCTATATCTCAACTACTTTTACATCCCCGTAAGAGTTTCAATTCGAGTCAGTTTCTTATAAAGAGAAGAAATTAAAAAAAAAATAAAAAAAAAAGTTTGAAATCACGCACTTTCAATAACCCACCTTACCCCCTTTAGCAAATTACTACTTTTTAACGCTTAGAAAATCTCATTAAGTCATATATCGGCGACTACAATGGGGTTAAGATGCACCAACTACTTTGAGAACTCAAAGTATGAAAGCCCGGACATACAAATCATCACCTGTAAAGGCTGTTCCTCACATTTATGCCTTTCTGACTTAATATTATCAGACAATTTTAATGGAGCAAGTGGCCCGGCGTATTTGGTAGACAATTTGATTAATATTGAGTTTAATTTAAAGAGTGAAGAAACTCCCATGAAGACTGGAGTATATTTAATAAACAAAATCAAATGTCATCAATGTAAAAGTCCCCTTGGTTGGTATTATAAGAAGTCATACTCTTGTGCAGAAACGTACAAGGAAGGTAAATTTGTCATTGAAAAGAATTATATAAAATTTGTTGATAACCATACGACAATGAGACTATTGATGGAAAGAGCGATGAAAAACAGGTATAGAAGACGACTTTCTAGTGTATCCACACTTTCGGTGGACGAACTAGATTCAATAGGGGATGACAAACCCAGCACACTTCATTATAGCCAAGCACCACTAATCAAGGGGCTAGATACAGATCATACTGGTACCAATAAAAATAATTTTAATTTCTTTACCTATCAAATTAAAAAGAGAAGATCGTCATCATCTGATTATCGTCAAGGAGGAATATTTTTGAACAGGCTAAGATTACCACAACCAAAAGAAGAGGAGGAAGAAGAAAACACTAATACTAGCAGTACAGCTAGTATGACAGGTACTCCAGCAACAGCTCATTTAACTCCGACTACAATTAATGCTGGTCAATCTGGTGCCACCGCTCCGCCTGCAACAAGAACCAGACGAAGTGTGGGGTCAATTGTTGATGACGACGACGACGAAATACTTGTAGATGCTTAGTATATGCAATAGGCGTGCTATAACTTTTGTTGGTTTTATATGTTTCATGATTTTATATTTGGTATTATAGTGGTTCCTACTGGTTTGGTGGTTTTTATAATCCTTTTGGTTTTTTGGTTTGTTAGGGTGGGTTGTTACACGGAGAGGCAAATCCGCGTTGCTTTGCGATTCGGCGTGCGTTTTTTTTTTACTTGTACGGCTTGGCTTTTTCTCATACAGGCCCACCCGCCCCTCATTATCTTGGTTAGTTATTTTTGGTCATAATTAATTTTGTTGTTTTTGTCCGTATCTTTTTGTTGGTTATACTTTAGTTTGCTTACAACATTGGTTATTCCTTTTTTTGCTCTGTCCTTTTTCTTTTCTATTTTATTTAGCATTTGTAGTTTTGTCTAGGCAAATGTTTATTTCTGAAAGATATGAAATAAAGAAATATCAATACGTAAGTCGTGTGCTGTAACTGTGTTGACGATGTGCTGTCTCCTTAAACGACAACCTTCGGATTTTACCAAGTGGGGTGCAAAATTGCAACAATACAAATCCCGCACTAAAATTGATAGCAAATCGGAATTCTAGCAAAAAAAAAAAATAATAAAAAATAAATATAAAAAATAATTAAGAAAAAGGTGTCACGAAATTAACCAATTTGGTAGCATCAATTCGCAGTTAATTGAAACCACCACACCTTTTTTTGTGCAGGTGTGCCATGGGTTTTGCAGGTTTTCTAGATTACAGAGGTTTGCCTCTATTTTTTTTTTTTAGCATTTGCTACATAAACGTTATTTTCACAGGATGACTCGCCATCACTTTTGAAATATGAAATTCTCAATTTTGATAAAAGAGGGTGCTCGATTGCCGGTGAATTTCTTAATGTGAACTTTGACATTTCTTTTCTTATTGTATGGCAATCGTGATGTCAACAAAGGCATGTGGGTTGATTGTCTACAGATCTAGACTGTGGCGATGAAATCTTTCAAGCCGCATTCGGTTGAATTTCGCTCACATCGGGCTAGATTTTGATATGAACGTGATAGGCCATGGTCGCATGTAAACGCATTGCATGATCTGACAGAGTATTATTTTACACTAAATTAGTTATGCAAAGTTAGTTTATATTATGCAGCTATAGTTTACACTCTTCTCTTTTTCACAGGAGTTCCGTTTGCTTCTTCAAATTTCCTCTTCTTACTCTTTGGTGTTAATTTAGTATAAACCAACACATAAGCAGAAGGATCAGATAATGCAACTCTTTCCTCAATACGGTTAATATACTCGTCATCATAAGTACACCAAGTTACACCATCCGGTTGAAGACAATGGGCAACATAATGTCCAGACAGAATTGATCTTCCTTCATGCACAATAACCGACACCAATCTATATTTAGCAGTAATATCTCCCTCGGTATATTGATCAAGATCGAGGTATTTACTATACCTAATTGATTGCTTGACTTTTGAAGATGAGTTTCCATTGAATTTGAAACGCTTTAAATGAATAGTCAAAGTTTCGGGCGCTCGGTTAATCACGGAAACCTTGTTGGCTTGGGTATGGGAATGACACGTTTCACAAAAGTATCCCGAATCCTTCAAGTTAGAATCAACTTTAATCAACTCATTACTGAAAAATTCACGAATCGACTTTTCAATCAGATATTTAGAAGATGGATCGCCCTTAGATTTTCGTTTGTTTAATCCAAGTGATAAATCATAAAACTCTTGTTTGGTTTCGGAAACATTATTACATTTGGAACAGGTGATTCTTTGGTGTAAAAGTCCACCGAAAATATCATAAATGATGGATTCTTGTAACTTCTTCCCCTTTGGTGTACTATCTTCTTGAAGTCTTGACATAAGTGACATAAAATATTCATGGGAATCTTCTTGTTGCCATTCACTCATCATACAATTAATGTCGTCTAGTCTTGAAATTATTTTCCTAGGGTTAACATATTTAACAGGTCTCTTGTCATAGCCCCACATTTTACGGGATAATTCAGCCAATGTATGACTAACACTTCTAGGTTTTAAAACATTATTGTATTTACCTTGGGATATGTCATTGAGATAATGTTGTACTGCAGGGATGTGAAGGAGTGATTGAATTGCTGAGTTCATATAACAAGTAACACCTTGGTTTAATAATCCAACTGGAGGTTTTCTTTTGGCTAATTCTCGCCAGTTCTTGTAAATGCGGGTAGAATTATTAGATCCACGGTCATTTGGATCTTGATTTATGTCATTATATTCGATCTCTTGCTTTTGGATGGATTTTTCGGTTGTTTCTTCTTCTGGAGATGTAGGTGGTGTGCTAATTGACTTTACTGCAGGCACACTCTCACTAGATTCATCATCTTCATCTTCTTCTTCTTCCTCTTCGTCTTCGTCTTCATCTTCATCTTCATCTTCTTCCTCATCGTCGCCAGTATTGATTAATTGGTCAACTTTCAAATCATGTTTTAATCGTTCCATATCTTCTTCTTCGTCAATAGCTTCTTCCGATGAAGGCGATGATGAGTCTACTGGAGAACTTTCTTCAGATGTGGTTTGTTTGAAATCATCGTCTTCTTCTTCGTCGTCTTCATCGTCAATTTCAGAAACTGCATTAGACTGCTCCTCGTCTTTTTCTTCTTCATCCACTCCTTCGTCATCTTCTTCTTGACTTTTTGTTTCAGCTTCACTAAATCCCGTAAACGGGGACTCGGAAAGGTCTTCACCTAAATCCTCATCTGTTTCGGTGGCAGGTGCAGGTGGTGGTGTGGGAGTTCCACCAAATGGAACTCGTTTGTACAATGAAAAAATATTGCTTAGTATGCTAGACGTGGTGCTGGCCTTTTGTTTCTTTACCGGAGGTTCTTCCACTTTATCTTCCTTTTGTTCTTGCTGTTGTTTCTGAATTTGTTGGAGTTGCAACTTTCTCTTGCGTTTCTTTTCTTGTTTAGTAAGAAATTTTTTTCCTGTATATGCCGCGACTGCCTCTTGGAAAGATTTTGGTTTTGTAGGAGACGAAGTAGCAGACTTCGGCGATGATGCAGGATTAGCAGTGCTTATTGAAGGTGTCATTGTATGAGTAGATTTGTCGTTCGACAATACTATGTAAGATGCAGGAATGGATGGAGATGTAGAAGATGACTTAAGTTCAAATTGTTTAGCGGGAACAAAACGTAATGGCGCTGAAAGGTATCTATCAAGGATTGGATTGAGGGATTTGTCAGATGAAGGTTTATTGTTGTTTGAAGGAGTGACAGTTGATGGGTGTATCATTTATATATGTGTATGTGATTCGTTGTGATATATGGACGTATTGAACTCCCTATCGGCTGTTGGTTAACGTATCTGATATTTTATTATGTTGTGTTTATTCGACTTTTTTTGCCCTCCTTGCTTTTTTTTTTCGCAATGAGACAATCAGGCTGAAAAAGAAGGAGAAAGATTTTTCCTGTTAGTGAAACAATGTATGCGACAACAAGATGCAATGAGGAAAGAAATTGCAATTAAATATATGTCAGACTTAAACTCAAAATGCAAATACACGTTAAGAATATTTTGGTGGTGGTGAGTAAAATGTTTCACAGCTAGACTTGCAGATTTTACTTGTGTGGTATGTGGGTTTGGAAATGTCTGCAGTTGATTCTCCCTCTGTAGTCCAAAAAAAAACATAACCAAAAATTTAAAAATATCGGTGCAAATTTTCTACATCAACTCAAAAAAAAAAGAAACGAAAATTTTTCTGCAAAGAGGTACTGCATAATGGGTGTTCCATATTCATTGTATCTATAGACTATTTTGTTTTGTTGATTCACTAAACGCGTATTTGCCTCGATTAGACATGATGCTATTGTGATTACCAAGATTCATTCCGTTTCATTACTTTACTGCACAAGGTTGGCCAACTCTTCGATTATTTCACGCGTAAGAGTAAGAATATTGTTGCGAAAATCTGCTCATTTGCAATTAGTGGGAATCGTTCGACACAAACACGTGTATGTTGCAACCTATTTAACTTTGGCATTACCTCTACATAAACAATCTTTCTTGTATTTCCAATGTGATCAAATCATACACTTCTCGTTGCCCTATACCGGTAGCCAATTGAGCAAGTTCTTCTAATCTACTAGCACGAACTCGGGATTCTTCTCCAGATAATCGAGTTGTTGGCGTAGACATACCAGCATAAGGATTAGGTTTGAATGGACTGAATGACTCCGGTATAGGCATACGTCCACGAGGACCACGTATTTTTCGTAAAGAACGAGCTTCATCAGCCAAAAAACGTGAATTTGGATTTCCACTAGATCCGCTATCCAGTGGAGTAATAAAAAAGCTAGCGTTAGAACCACTACCACTACTTGTTGGCATATTAGGGGTACTAGTTCCACGATTGACGTTTGGCCTTGGATCATTCCCAACATCACCACTCCAGCCCAGTCTGGATAATTTCGATTCCCGAGTTAATCCCTTAGCTGAATTCCACCTTTGGTTTTTTGGTCTACGCTCTGGAACCGCTCCACTACCAAATCCAATAGGTTCATCCTTTGATCCCGGTCTCCTTATTCCTGAAAATCTATTGAACGCTAATGTAGCCTCATCTACCTCGTAATGGTGTCCATCATCATCATAATCTTCTTCTTCTTCTTCGTCTTCTTCCACCTCTTCTGGTTGTTCAACCTCATCATCACCATCCTCTTCGTTATCTTCTTCCTTCTCTTTTTCTTTTTCGTCCCCTTCCTGCACTTGTTCAATTCCCATTAGCTCATCTCCTGCATTAACACTTCCACTACCCATGGACGCAACATCTTCTCCATCAGAAATACCCCGGCTATCATTCTCTAAATCACTTTCATCCATAACTTCATCCTCACTCATTTCAACCAACCGACTTCGCCTATTTCTAGCATTCTTCTTATCTTGTGTTTTGGAACCTTGAGCCAACAATTTAGTATAAATAACATCCTCAAAATAGGACTCAAACTTCCTAGGAACCAAGAAATCAATTGGAACTTTATGGTTGTTTAGTTGTTGAATTAATGTAAACAAATATGACTTTGTAGAGCTTGAGTCATTTCCGTTTGATACTAAATCATAATTACTCACTAGGTCCATAGATTTGATATACTTGTTTTTCTTCGTAACTTTCACTATATTATCATCTGATTGTTCCTTCAAAAGACTGTTTAACCAAGTAATAGAATCTTCAAATTTCAACATTTGGATTATACTTTCATCAACATCACTACTGAAAATTTCAATATCTAATGGATAATACTTGTCGAAATGACTTCCAAAATCCTTTCTCTTTGCCTTGGGTATATTAACTGCAGGTTTAGACAGCAAATGGCTACCATCCAGAGTAGGAACGTAATTCTCGGGAAACGTTCTAAATGCACCAATCTCAACTTTGCCTTGCTTCACAGTTTTGATTGGATCAACCACAATGGCAAGATATGGATCCTGAAATCCCTGATTCAAACTTTGAGTACTCACATCAATCCCAGAAAGCCAGCATCCATACCCCGGGTGGGAATGGTACCACCCCACGATATTCTCATTCCTGCCAGTGATCTTCTTATTCATCTCCAAATATTGAACCATATATTCATAAGCTTCTGCCTGGGCATTCACACGGGTCTCTGTGCCCTCCACAGGCAAAGCATATACATCCATAATGATAATCGCTCCAGAAATGACTTTCCCAATCAACATCCCCATAACTTCAATGTTACCTCCTGATTGGGCATGGATTGTCATCTTCACAAGGGCAAGCGATGAAATGTAACAGGTTGAAAAGTAATGAGGATCGGCTTTCCATGGTCTACTCTTGGCTAACGCTGGTGCTACAGGTGGGATATTGTAGAATTTGGTTGCATTTGAGGTGCGCGGTTTGTCGGTGATACCTAAATCATACAAGTCGACTATCTTGGTACCTTTGATTTTAGCATTATTATTCGATTGCAATGCTGTTGCTAAATCATGAAAGCACGGCATAGCTATTGATCGTGGATTAGTATGGAGTGTGGAATATCAATTGATGGTTGAAATTTGTATGCCTCCACTTTCTGTTGATAAGCTTTCCTTATTTTTTTTTTTGTTATACTCTAATTTATTTTTACCAATACAAATTTTATATACAGTATACACCTCTTTTTTTTTTGTTTCTCATTTACCGCAAATTTTTAGCAACTATACCTAGCAATGCATATCAAACTAAGTCTTCTTTTCATTAGAAGCAATTTCAGATTCGCTAGGATAATACATATAATTTGGAATAGCGAATGATGCATGAGTGCCACTGGTAGGTGGATAATCGCTAGGATCATAAGTAGGGTAGTATTGCTGATAAATATTATAATAAGGAGCAGGACCTGGTGCATTTGTAGCTGAACCCACCCCTTGAGCGGAATGACCAATTGGAACACCATTACCAGAACTACTGCCAGCAGCAAAATTGGCCATTAAGTCATTATTTGGAAAATAATAGAAAAGAGGATAGCCAGAGTTATTAATGTTGGAACCTCTGCTATTATTATTCATAGCCTTGTGGTCATACTTGTTTCCACTACCACGGCTACCACTAGCTTCACTTTTTCCATCCAAACTTCTCTTGGATTTGAAGTCTGATATATCTCGGCTAATACCAGGATATCCCTTGAATGGGGATTCACCATGAAGACCTAATTGGGTGGGGTTGGATGCCAGCCAGGTGTAATAATCATTCTTCTTGCTGTCAAAAGATTTACTTCCAGGTTTGCTAGGGTTATAGTTGGACCCGCCATACGCACCACTATTATTATAACCTGAACCATATGATCTCTTGAATGAATTATAGTGTTTCCCATTGGAATACTTTCCTCCAATTCTGTTAAAACTCTTATTGAATGTATTTGAAGGATAGTGGTTAAACTTGGGTTTGGATATTTCAAACTGAGTTTTGCTTGTGTGAAATCTAGAACCTTCAGTCGCTCTACTTGGAGTAGCCAGCAATCTTTTTGTTAGATTAATTGGTGGTGGGGCCAATGCTACACCAAAGGGGGTGGTTTTAGCGACAGGCGAATGTACTTCACGGTATTGGACATGCATGGTTTTGCCACAAAACATGGAATGGTTTTCTCTTTCAACAGCACTTGCAGCACTACTTTCCTTTTTGAATTTAATAAAGGCAAAGGTGTTATTTGGCTTTTTCACTAAATTCATTTCACTGATAGTACCATGACGTTCAAACCTATCTTGGAGCTCATTCTCTTCAACCTCAGAGTTTAAATGGCCAACAAAAACTGAGTACTTGTCAAACTTCAATTTTTCCAAGTTTTCATCATTGTCATCGCTATGCAGAGAATATTGAAAAGTTACGTGGTTCCTAGCATTGCTCTTGTCGATATTTTGAGCCCAATCAACACGATAAAGGTTTTCTTCAGTCAAATTGGCAAACGCCCTAATTGCATCATCCCGATAGACAAATTTACAAAACCAGTTTCTGTAACCTCTAGATGCAATTCCAGACGAGAAAATTTCTCCCTTGGAATTACTTGGGACTAATTCTTCAATTTCACCAAAAGCACTTAACCTCTCACGAATAAGTTCTTCAGTGAGAAATGATTTTGAGCTGATGAATAAAGTACGATTAACCTTGGCCGCTTCACATCGAATGTTTCTACCATCTAAGAGAGAATTGTGACCCTCTTCAATTGCCAACTTTGAATCTTCATCTTTAGTGTATTGAACAAATGCATATGGACGATTACAGGTATCTCTCAAAACCTTTACTGTTGCTAGTTTCCCCCATTGTTGAAAGTGTTCAGTGACAGAAATGCATAATTCATCATCAGTTTTGTTCGAACATAAGCTGGCAACAAAGACACAGGCTGAAGGACGTCCTCTTATGATGTCATGATCACCTTCACTTAAGCTTTCCACAGACTTCAACTCTTTGCCACTAAGTACTTGAGAGTTTTCAGAGTCACTATCTTCACTGCTAATATCGTCACCACCAAGACTGCTAGAAACAGAGCTAGTATCAACATGATTAGCTCCTACTGTTGAGTATAATGAATTGATGTTCTTTCTAGGGGAATTACCTGATTCCACAGCTTCTATAGCTTCAATATTAGTACTGGAAAAGCTTTCACAGGAACTTGATACTGTTTGTGTATCTGGTTTCCTCAGTTGTTTAGACTGCATGTGTAAGTAGTAGGTAAGGTTTATTTAGATAGCTACCTGTAGATTGATTGGAAGTGTGTTGTTGTGTACTTGATCAGTTTGGAATGTGGTGACAAAGAACGTCAGCGTTAAAATTTGGTTGCAAATAAATTTACACTGCGGAGAAAAAGTAAACAAGGAAAAAAAAAAAAGGCGTGCTTTAATCTATTAAAATTTATATGCTAATTAAATGAATCCCTTGGTACTATCTGCATCTGAACTGGATTCGTCAGAGCTTTCTTCGTCATCTGAATTTTCTACAGTCTTTACAACCTTTGATTTTTTCTCTACTTCTTCCTCTTCTTCACTTTCCAACTCTTCGTCAGAGACTTCTTCTTCAGAATCGTCAGAATCTTCCAGTTCTTCCATAATTTCTTCACTTGAGCTTTCTTCACTTCCAAAAAATTCGTCCAAACTTTGTAATTGGTACGGTGTCTTTGGAGCAGAAGTTGTTTGTGTCTTTCCGTGGACAAATTGGTCAGATGATATTGCATTAACAGGGACAGGGCTTGGTGATTTTCTTCTGTTATCATTGGAGGAAGAAAAGAAAGCCGGGTTTTGTACATTCTTAACAGGAACCTCTTCTCTTATACTTGCTGGAGGAATAAGTGCTGTATCAGATGTCCATTCAGTTGCGGTAAAGTACTCATGTAACTTAGTAGACATAACATCGTCAGTATCATCATTTCTACTTGCGTTTATAAATGGAACCAGTTTGGGAACTTGCAAAAATAGACAAGCTAATTGGGCTTGGTTAGTTCCAGTGTTTAGTAAAACATTAAACATCCTAGCACGATCCCTGGTATCATAGGATGAATCGTATTTGGCCAATTGTAATGCATGTTGAAACATTTTGTATTCAACACTATTAGACAATTTTTCATTGACATAATCTTGGTTATTATCCCCAGATTCATTTTTGAGCTTTATCAACTCATAGGAGAAGATTTTGCAAGCAAGGACAAGAATTTGGTACCTTACTGGTTCCGATTCATTTACAAATGACTTGAGTAGGATTCTCAATATATCTGAAGCAAATGATCCACTTTGTAAGTCTGAATATTCACCAATAGTCCAAATTATGCTAGCTTTTGCATCATCCTCAAGATCCACAGAGGGATCTTGCAAAATTAAAGACATTCTATATGAAGTTTTTAACACAGCCTCCTTATCCTCACTATTCCTACTCTCGCTCTTTTGTTGTATCAAATAACGAACCACTTTCAATAATTCATTCAATGTTTCTCCATTGGCGTCTTTAATTCTTGCCAAACACCATTTTAATATCGTAGTGCTCCAAGCAGGGGAAATTTGTGAGCATTTTCCAATGGCTCTGATTGCTTCTTTCTTAACCTCGTTATTTGGGTAATGTAAAGCGTAATACTTTAATTCCTCAAGGATATACTTGAAGTTATCTTCAATGGCAATTGTTGATAATATATTCAACTTGCTGTTGGCTACTTTGGTCAGATCTGATGGCATCACATAGAATTTCTTGTAGAACGGACTTAACATTTTGTCCTTTTCACTGATCAAGGCAATTGTTTGCAATGCCGAGAGCGATACCTGAGAGTCATCGTATGCTGTACCTATTCTGACTAATATTTTATCAAGGTGGAAATCTTTGAATGTTATAGGAGGAGCAAGTAAATAAACTGATTTTGCCAAACTTAAAATCACATTTTCGGAGCTTGAGAAGGTTAAGGACTTCATGGAATCTAAAAATAGTTGTAAATCCTCATCAAATGATACATCATAGTCCTGGAATGGAATCTGGCTTATATCATCGGGAAAATCAAGGATTTGACCATCCTTCAGGTATAATTTTGGTCTAGGGAGAAACTTCCGACTATACTCTGTAAGTAAGTCAATAACAAGGGACTGTGACCATTCATCAAACTGAGAAAGCAAATTGCAGAATCTTCTGAAATTGCCATGGATAGGAGCCCATATTTTGGTTTCAGAACCCAAGTCTGCTCTAATTTTATAATATGTCTTAATCGCGGATGAAACAACCACAGCGTCGGAATCTGCCAATAAATCTGTCAAATGTTCCACTAGTTGCTTCTTGGAATCTCTAGATATGCTATACGCTTTACCTATCGAGATTGCAGTTGCTGATCTTACCAATGGTGAATGGTCCTTTGACGTTCTCTTTATACACACCATAAGGATAGGGATAATTGAGCTGATTCTAATTCCAGACAATGATCTAATGGAATTAGCTCGACTGACAGGATTCTTATCATTCAAAGATCGTTGGATGGAATTAACAGCAAGTAACGCAGTGTCAGGTTCCGCTTCAGCATATTTTGTCAAGTAGATGAGAACTAGTTGCCTCACCTTCACATTACTATTGGTTACATTCTTAACAACATCAGCAAAGTAGGGTAATCCATCTTCACCTCGTGATATCAAGGATATGACACATTTCATACCATTTAGTATTTCTCTATCGATTCGTGAATTTAAGAGCTTGGAAATTTCCTGTGGTCTCAACGCACTTGGTGTATCAGTCAATCGAGCTGAAGCAGACACTGCTGCCTCAATTGTTAGCTCCTTGGCTGACTCTATCATGGATGATATCTTCGAAAAGGAATCAGCCATTGTTCTGGGGACGGGATCTGGCTATGTTATGGTGTGGTTTTTGGTATCTTGTTGTCAAATCTTGCTTCAAATTTAGTTGACCGAAAAAAAAAAATTTGTATGCGAAATTGGTCCATACAAAAAAGCCTTCGACTTTTCTATAAGATTATACTTTAACTACATAATTATACATTTTTCTATTGATTCTTCCGTCTTTTGTTTAATTTGTTAGCAGCTTGTTTCATTCTCTTTCCCAAATTAACCTCTTTCCTCGATTGGACAAATTCCTGAGAAAAGAACTCACCAATAGTAGACTGTGTACCATCAGCTTTCTTTCGATTCATATCTCTGATTAGAGGAATCATAACCTCGTCGACTCTTTCTTGACTCCAGTCAACATTGAACATCAAGAATGACCTAATTTGATCTAGATTTGGTACTCCCCATTTGAATTCAGTTTTGTCTGAGTCCACCTCAGGATAGAGGTATGCCCGTGAAACAGCTTCATCAGGAAAGCTATCAGGTAAGTAAAGCTTACCATTCTTGATTCTCGTAAGTAATGACTTTCTTAGAGCATTCAAATCGTTATTGGATTTGACTGTTTTAGTATTATCATCAAACCAGTCCTTGAAACCTTCCAATGATTCAAACTCAGCAAGAATTTCCATGGCCAACACAGGACCAATTCCTTTTATTCCTTCGGTATAATCACTTCCTAATAGTAATGCCAATTCAATCAATTTATCTCGTGATAATCCAACTTTTGCTTCGATATCATCTTTGATATAACACTCAACATATTGCTTTTGATTAAACATATTCTTATAGACATGATCTCCTCCAAATAACAAGCAATCACTATCGTCAGTAATAATACCATCAACCAATCCAATCTTTAAAAGCTCGGCACACTGAGCTTCAGCCTCCATAGGAGCAGTAATGTAGGGTATTCCAAATCTTCGAAGAAGTTCTTGGACATCATTAATCATAGTTTCTGTAACTTCATCACTATCCCTCTTTGCTTTTTGTAATTTTTCTTGTAATAATTGTTCTTCAGTGATCCGTGTTTCCAAAGAAGAGATCGGAACAGTATGGGTAGCTTTGATTTGATTTTTCAAGATTTCATGATCAAGCTCTTCAATCTGTAATTGCTGGACCAACTCATCTTCGTCTTCTTTTTCGAAATCATAATCTATAACTGCTGCTTTCCTTGTTCCGTTTTTTTCAGGCTCTTCTATGGAGGGTGGCTTCTCGATATGAGGAATGACCGATGCAATTTCTTGAATTTCTTCATCACTTTTATCATCCTCTGGTTCATGTTCTTCTAAATACTTCTTAGCTTCATGCCACGGAATCAAACCCGCTTCTTCCTCTTTCTTATTCTGTTGGTGATCGAATGCATTATAAGAAACAAACCTTTCGTTATGAGGATTTAATGTCCTTTGAACTTCATCCCTAAACCAACTTGGCAACTCTCGTGGTGGTTGCTCCTTGGGGCTGGTGACTTCTACGACCTCACTCTCGTCATCTTCGATAATGTTGGTAATCTGAACTTCTAGAGAGTTTTCAGGTTCTTGTTCAACTTCATCATCATCTTCCTCTGCGATTTCAATTGTTTGTTTGCTTTGGATAGGAGGGTTCTGGATCACTGGTTTAGTCTGATCTTTCTTTAACTCAATCCTTCCAGTTTCACTAACATCAGGATTAAACAAAAACGATCTTCCCAAAGTTCCCGTTTCATGGACAAGTCTATTAGTATTGTCGGGGCCAATTTTCTTCTTTTCTTCTCTATTTGACGAAAATAAAATCGAGCTACCAAAATCGAGATTAAAAGTATCAGTGTCGTCCTTATTTTCTGGATCTGTTCCTGTCAAAGCAGAGACATTGAGCATTTCAGCTTCCTTCTCTTTGGACAAAAAGTAATCCTTCTTTGATTCTTCAATTGCTTTATCTAATTCTTCTTGATTGAAACCGTCAATTGATGTGGGCACTGTCGACACATGATCCAACGGTGGTTCACTTTCATATTGATCGTATATTGACTTCACAAGTGCAAACTGGAAATCTTTTTCTTCTTGAGTTTCTGGTGCTTCAGCTTTAGCCAATGGAACATCTTCAAAATCTGAATCACTATCTGAATCCGCCTTGGAGTTAATAACTTCACTCCTTGATTGGGGTTGTGCAACTTCATTATATGCTTCAACGTCCCTGGTAATATCATCTTCAGGATCATCTAGGGAAATTGGATTTTCAGCAGATGATTCTTCCTTCAGTAAAGCCAAGGTCCAACCGTCTTCATTTTTCACTAGTGCATACCTACGGTCTTTATCTCCGGCAATACGTTTGGTTGCATTACCATCTTCTCCCATCCCAGCAACATTCATTAACTTTTGAGTGTAAAAGTTACGTCGTTGTACTTGCTGGATTTGAAACTTGGAAAAGTCCATACTATTAGGGAATAACTCTTGCAATTGTTCCTTTTGATACCCCATTCTCAATCTCGATTTCAATCTTAGATGAGACAAAATCATGTATTGAGTTGCCTTGGGAAGCATTTCAAACTCTTTTGACTTGGGATCAACTTCATTTATGTTAATACCGTCAACATGGTCAAAATCTTCATATGACTCCATAAATTCTTCTTCTGGCATTATTCTGGTATCATCCTTGTAAACTTTGAATTCAGTAAGATTTGGAAGGTCGTATTCGTCCTGTTTTCTGAACTTGATGGAAGATGGAGTTGGTGCTCTGTCCGGGAGTGTAATTTCTCCTTTTCGTTTTTCAAAGGTGATGGGTAAATCCTCAAGAAAGACGAGTTCTTCTTCTTCTTCTTCTTCGTGAGATCTTGTAGTTATTGGGTTATTTCTCTGGCTCTTGACTGCATTTTCTGCCTGTCTTTGTATTTGTATAGCCAAAAGTTTTTGTGCTGTTTCCCTGGTGGTTTCTGCCTTCTTCAACCTTCTATTCTTTCTAGCATTAATAGTCTCTCTCTTTAAAACTGGGACACCTCCATCAAACACAAATATCGGCAAGATGCCAAAATACAACAATTTGCAAATTCGCCTAAAGAACCCAATTATATGTGACAGTGGCAACGAGTTTCCTTCCTTGTCGCGTACAGCCTTAAGAAACTGATAGATCCAAATGGAGGCGTCAACCGCTAGTTTCTTTCTTGAAAGTGCTTCTAGTCGAACTGGTCTGGCAGTAGGTCCCACTATATCCCATAATGAATGTACACCCATGCTATTGTGTGTCTAATGAAGGGCATTGCCTTTGTGTTAAGAGACAAGCAAGTTTCTGACAATAGATTTTTTTTGGTTGTAAATGTTTTGGGTGATAATTCAAACGGTCCGCTATAACCAGTGTTACACAATACCTGCGCGGACCGGCTGAGCTTTTCTTCTGCTGAATCCCCTCCCCCCGCGCTATTGTGTCCCTCTGCGTCCACGGCTAATCAATTGATTAGGAATTTCAAAAATATATAAATGGATCAAGATCTCAATGGTTTCTTGTTCTTTTAACAACCTCAACAAACTAGTAAGAATGTCTAAGGAATTTATGAAATATCCTTCGAGAAGATCAACTGTATACTCCCATAAGGGAATCGTATCATCTACACAACCGTTGGCCAACGCAATTGGATTGAAGATCTTGGAAAAAGGTGGAAATTGTGTTGATGCTGCGGTTGCAGTCTCTGCGGCTTTAGTCGTTACCGAGCCTGCTTCAACTGGTATTGGTGGTGATTGCTTTGCATTGTATTACAAGTTGGATGACAAGAAAGATCCCAAGAGCGGGAAAGTGTTGGGATTGAATGGATGTGGTCGTGCTGCACAAAATGTCACTCCTCAAGATGTGTGGAACGAGCATAATGGTGGTAAACCCATGGCTAGAATTCCCTATACTTCAGTGTTTTCAGTTACTGTACCAGGGGCAATTGCTGGGTGGTACGATGCATATAAGAAATGGGGGTCTGGTAATCTTGACTTTGGTGAATTGCTTGAACCAGCTGCACTTTTGGCCGATCAAGGTTTTCCAGTGTCGGAATTGGCCAGTAGAGCATGGAGAAATTCAGTTCCTAAATTAACCAAACAGAATCCTAATGCCAAGGCTAATCCTTTTATTGATGATAATGGTCAAGGGCCTGCTGAAGGTGACTTTGTCAAAAATGCTCCAGTTGCAAAATGTTTACGTTTAATTGGAAAAGAAGGTAAAAAGGCATTTTATGAAGGTCCAATTGCTGAGGCTATTGTTAAAACAACAAATGCCAGAAATCACAAATTAAGCTTAGATGATTTCAAGAACCATACTTCAACCTTTGTAGATCCAATTAAGCTTCAGTTTCAAGATCACAAGGTTTGGGAAATTCCTCCTAATGGACATGGATTAGTTGCATTGTTAGCATTGGGAATTATTCAAGAGTTGCACAATTCAAAAAAGATTGACTTGAAAAAATTGGAACATAACTCTGCTGAGTACTTGCATATTTTGATTGAAGCATGCAAACTTGGGTTTTATGATTCCGATGAATATGTCACTGATCCATCATTCAAAGATATTCCAATTGACGGATTATTGAGCTCGTCTTACTTGCAAAAGAGATCTGAGCTCATAAGCCAAGATAAGATTATTGATGGAGATACTATGTCCCATGGTGTTCCTGATCCAAAATATAAATCTGATACAGTTTACTTCACTGTAAGTGATTCAAATGGAGAAGCGTGTTCATTCATTAATTCAGTATACGAAGGATTCGGTTCTGGTATTTTGGTTGAAGAGTTTGGATTTTGTTTACAAAATAGAGGTTCCAATTTCAACTTGACTCCTGGTAATAGCAATTGTTTGGAAGGTGGGAAACGTCCATACCATACTATTATTCCTGGAATGATTACTAATCTGGATGATTCGTTATATGCATCATTCGGGAACATGGGAGGCTTTGCCCAACCTGTATGTCATGTACAACATGTTTTGAATTTAACCTTGTTTGGAATGACCCCGCAACAACTGATTGATTCTCCTAGATTTGTCTTGAATTCAAATAACGATGATGACGCTGATAGAGGAAGAGGTGCAGATGGGCCAGTACGTACTCCAATTACAGTTGTTCAATTGGAAGAAGGTATTGATGAAGAGGTTATTTTAAAATTACGTTCTTTGGGACACGAAGTTCAAGTGTTGAAGGGCTATTCCCGTCAGACAGTTGGAAGAGCCCAGATTATAAAGAACGTCTCCAAGGATGGTACTTTGGTTTATGCCGCTGGTTCAGATTTCAGAGGCGATGGAGCTGCTGTACCGTTCATTTGAAATTTTTAACCATCTAGATATTTATTAGATATAAAAGTAACTAGTTTATAAATTTATGTACCCGATATTGTTAAAGGCCATGCGATAGCAATTGAAATTTAAAAAAAAATTTTTTTTTTGCAGTAACAAAAAAGATGGAGACAACTTACATAGTAGCGATACTACGCAATAATACATGCTCGGGTCGGAAGCGCCATTTTTCAAGTTCCACTATGGATAAAATGGTGTACTAGGATCATAGCCTTTATTAAAATGCCTCTATAAATAAGTGAAAAGCCACCATTGATTTCATTGTCTGTCGGCTGTAACGTTTATGGAAATCCGATTTTTATACGTACTGCATATATACTACCCGAGGAAATACCGCAACTTTGCATGAACCCTGCTGCAGCACAAGGATTTCAATTTTTAACAAGTTAAATCCTACAATCTTGACAGGTTCAATTGAATTTTCAGGTATCGAGGAACTTTCTTCTTGATTACAAATCGATTGTTCTCCATCTATAGCAGCATAGCCCTATTTCAGTTGTCTTTGTACATATAAGCCTTGTTGTTTTCTCTTGTTTTCCGGAGATCCCTGTGGGTGAATACAATGAAAAAATATTTTGCGAATTTTTCAGTACTTATATGAGTCAATTGTTTTTGATCTACACATTTTTTTTTTGATTTTCCTCCTTCCCTCCTTGTTTTACATGTTAAGATCGTCATGTCTATTACTAGCAGTATCGTCGAATTTGATCTTCCTGCCTATAACGTTGACACGGAATTGCCAACCTATAGGGAAGTATTTGGTGCTCCTGGATGGAACTTTATAATTAGAAACTCCGTTACCGGTGCCGGCTTTAATATTTTTCTCTCCAAGAAGGCCTACCACCAGTATTTGAAAATCAACCAAAATGAAACCGATGATGCTCGTGATATGCATATTCAAGGTATTGGGATACCTATGTTCAGAGTGACTGGGTCATTGTCTGCGATAAACCCCAAACCTATGATCATCAAAAAATATGTTGCAAATACAGAACGGCCCTTTAATGCTTATAAGGATTACCAACAATTTTGCACTGTAAAGAAAAAAGTGCACCTGGTTTATACCAGTTATACCTTCAAATTCACTCCAGATATTGAAGATCCAAGTCAAGACTTTGAAGTTGTGATGTTCTCTCATATTACCCTTCCTATAAGTGATTATATTTACAGGGGCGAAAAACACCGATGGATTCATGAGGACACAAAACAAACTCACCAGTATAGGCATACCATCTTAGAAAGCAGCCAAGAATCCTTGGCTGATGGTTGGGATGGACAATCAGATAAATTGAAACGAGTGTGGACTACTCGTCGGTTTGTCCAGAATGCCTCGTTTATACATACTTTTGGCAGGATGCATAAATTGCCCACAGATGAATATTATGGTTCTGGGTGTTCCAGTATTTTAAATATGACTTCAGTTAATACCATCTCAGGCTATGCTGAACTTAGAGCAAGAGATGAACAAGAAGGAAGTTTGCGTGATTACGACGAAATCTCAGAAGTTCCTCTTGACCATATGGTCCAAATTTGTATTGCGACAGTTCTTAAAACGGCTAAGGTGTAAAAAAAAAAAAAAAAAAATAATGTGAAACTTCAGACACAAATTATTTTAAAGTCGTTTACACTAGTTATAGATAGTGTATAGTATAAAGACTTATTTGAATTAGTAATCAAACATCAAACACATGTAAACGGATTTTACGGGATCACTATGTCAACAGGCGGGGTTGCACATAGCATTATCTGGGCACTTAACCGATAATGGAATAGTGATTCATTCGAAAACGGTTTTTTTTTCCTTCTGTGGCTAATTGTTTCTGCCCCACATTTCTCGGGATATGCGGGCTAGCTAATCTGGCAATGGTCATATAAAATAATCTGCGTATGGACTTTTGTTAATTAAAGAGAAGACAGCAAACGTAAAAATTCGACAAAATAAAACGGGCTAGCCACATTAACTCAATTGTTCTTCATTTCTCTTCCTACATTGTTTCTTTTGCATCCATTGTTAGGTATTATGCACCAGGAAGACCAGGAAGACTCTCCCCCAGATTATTCTTCCTTCATTGAAGAAGAGGAACTACCTACATATAAGCAACTTTTCTGTTTCAAGGGTTGGAAGTTTGTTATTAAAAATTGCTTTGGGGACTCCTCCCATATATTTATCTCCAAAAGGTCTTCTAAACGATATCATCAATATTGTTTATCTCCTACTTCTTCTTCTTCTTCTTCTTCACCAGTGTTGCAAAATCGAGGATGTGATATACCAATGTTTATTGTTTCAGGTGCTATATCCAACGCCCGACCTTTAGTGTTTAAAAAGTACAACGATACAATTGATCACCGCGATCATCCTTTTGATCTTGACAACGACTACTACACTTTCTGTACTGTGTACCGACATTGCTTTTTGAAATATTCAAGTTTTCGATTCCGATTTACAACCGATCCCAATAACAAACACAATGTGTTTGAAATCATCATGTTCAGCCACAATACCCTACCTATTAGTGATTATATTTACAACGGGGAAAGATTTAGATGGATCAATGAAGCTGCTGCCATGGGATTCCAAAGATGCCAATTCAGTCACTATAAATTGAACGAAGACCAAATTTCTCTTACTGATAATTGGGATGGAATTGGTGTTAAGTTGACAAACACCACTAAAAAGAACCCATATTTGAAAAATAAGCTGGTTATTGTAGGGTTATTGATGTATACTGGCTATCCAAGAAAAGAATACTACGGAATGAAATCAAGCGGGAAATTAGATATGACGAAAACATTCCGTCCCAACGGGTTTGCTGAATTAAAAGTTCGTGACACACATAATGAAGGGCATTTGCTTGATTATGAAGATATATCGCAAGTTCACATTGACGAATTAGTCAAACTTTGCATTGCTACGGTTTTAAAAAGGGAACGAGTTGAGTGAAAGAAAAATTCCAATAAAATATAAACTTATATATGATGTGTAGCTACCATAATTTAAGCAAATCATCCCAATCTTGGTTCTTTCTCCTGTTCCAGTAACTCTTTTCTCCTTGAATATATTCCCACTCGCCTTCGTCGATTTCACCATTACCGGAGAATCTGAAAAACTTAGGAACGTGGTCTTCCTTTTTATCTTCGAGTTCTTTTCTTCTCACTCTTTGGTCCTGCTCAAGCTTGAGCTTCAATTCTTCAGCCTCATCAACATTACCCTTTTCAAATTGTTGTAAATCTGGTCTCAATCTGGAATCAGTAGGAGCAAGTTGACCTCTTTCCATTTCAGTGATCTTGTTCAAACTGCCAGCAAATGCAGTGAATCCAAATTTCTTTTCAGCCTGAGGCAATAAATCACCAGCTTCCCAAATACATTTTTCTGTGGTGTTGGTCTTTAAGGTGAATGATTCAGTCCACTTACCAGTAACTGTATATGGAACCTCCTTCTTTTCGTGATCGAAAGCTTTAACAACCACACCTTCAGATCTACCACTAAACATACCACCTTTACTAAATTCAGCCACTGCCTTGTACCCAGAAGTAGACTTGATAGTCATAGTTCCACTTGGTTCAGCATAAGTTTCACCAGCAATAATATTCTTCACCAACATGGTTGGATGAGTCCAAGTGAATACTTCCCCTGTGGCTTTATCGGTCAACATGACGGTACCTTTGGTAGTAAGTTCTGAATGCTTACCCCAGAACTTTTGAGTTGGTGACAATGCATATTTAAGGGTCCAATGTTCAGATTCAACATAATGAACAAATACAGGAGGTTTATGGAAAACTTTTTCAGATATCATTCTAAATCCAAGGTCTTCACGGACCAATTCATAAGTTTCTCCTAATAATGGAGTGAAGGGTTTACGTTTATTTCTTTCTTTGGATCTAACAGCCGACAAATAACTTAATGCAAATGTTGCAACTCTCAAAATCTTTTCTCCTTGTTGATCAGAAAAATGAGTTAATGCGTTGGTAATTAATTCAGGATATTCTATAACTTCAGCGTATTTCTGCAAAGCCGTGGTTGGTTCATTGTAAGTTACTGGCATGGCTAAAGCAGATAAATCTTTCCCGACATTCTTACGAACAAAACTGATAATAGAAGGTGGACTATGTGTGCAAATTGGAATATCTGAATCTCTAGCAACTGGATCGTGAGGCAATGGGTATAAATCTTCTTCTTCTGTGGATTCCGTGATGGTAGTTGCTGCTTCAAGAGCATGTCTAGGAGTTTCCACAAGATCAAGCTCTTCTTCTTCAGAACTGGATACTGACAAGTTGTCAACAAATTCATCTTCGGGAACTGATTTTTCTCCTTCATCTTCTATAATAACCACTCCATAATCTTCAAAAGTTTCCATGGCATCATAAAACTCGGAAGATAAAATAGAACGTTCATCATATCCATTAGAAGCTGCAGGTGGCAGCTCACGATCGCTGCGTCCAATAATCGACGAAAGATCTTGGGTGATTTCATCAATTAAGTTCGAAGGTTGCAGGGCTTTCAAAAGGGCTAATTTTTCTTGTAATTCCTGTAATTCCACCAAGAGCGGCTTCTCCACTTCAGACTTAATTGACTTAACTTCTTCTTCTTTACGTTTCAAGACTTCTTGCTTTATGGAATTAAATGCATCAACCCAAGCTTTAAAGTCGGCATTGTTGATTGCTCTCAAATGCCAAACCTCCATTCCGGAATCAATAATAAATTCTCGAGAGCTTGGATTTGCTGAAATAATAGATTCCTTGATTGGCATTTGACCACGGAGGATGTTATCTTTAACTCTGAAATAAGACAAGGTTCCATTGTTGAAATTCAAAATAAAGTATCTCTTGGTAAACCCTTGCATCTTTTTTCTTCTCTTTTTTAACATGATACTTTGCAACACTTCACCGCTTTGTCTAGAAGTGGTAACTTCAAAGATGTTATCAATGTCCTTGGGAGGAGTGATATCGACCACAGGAACAGCCTTGCTTGCAATGGATGTGGGCTTGAGAATGACATTAGAACTAAATGTGATCTTCTTTGAAGTGGTCTTTGAAAATGAATTGTCAAATACAAAAGCATACATTCCGGCATTTTTCACAGCAAACTTCCCCCGCACTAATTCATTGGCAATTAGACGGTTATAATTTTTCACCAATGTCAAATCAGATTGAGTGATAGTAGACATGGTTGAAGATCTTCTTGACTTACTTCTGTAAACATTGTCTGACTTTTTGAATTGGTTAACAGATGCGGTAGAACTGGCTCTGGTTCTATAATGAGGTGTAGAAGTTCCACTTGGGGGAGCTGACAGGTCGGTTAAAGACGACGAAGACCTAGGACCAGCGTCATTCAGGTATGGAGCACTGTTTGTTGCAGAACCTGGCAAGGAGTCGTCTTCATTATTCTTTCTGTAGATTGCCAAATTGATAGATCTCTTTACTGGTTTCACTTGCCATTCAATAGTGGAGTCCTCAGGAGCTTGGATCCATTTGATCAAGAAGTCTTTGGAGTGGACTTCCAAAGTTTCCATGGTTCAAGGGTGGATATTTGGTATTTGTGCTACTTAGTAACGGGAAAAAAGTATATGTTATGGATATAAAAATGAAAGTGTGACAACGCAATTCCCATGAAACTAGGACGACACCAATGATTTCCCTTTGTAGTAATTTTGTATAACTATTGGAAAAGTTGTTGGGCTGTCATCTTAGATTTTGTGTGGGATCTGCCACCGTTTAATTTCCACTGCGCGCTCGCGCACCAGAAAAAAAAAAAAAAAGAAATTATATGAGGGGTCACCGTCCACATGGTACAAAACAACAATGAAGATAGCGGTGGCTGGTGTATTTCACAGGATTACACATGTACAAGTAAAACAAAATACAATAGTTTATTATATTCCTGTATACCCAACTACAATATCTAAGTCCTTCTCTCATTAAAGCTTCAAATTTATTCGTTCATCTGAATTGCTTCTAGAAACAATCTCATACATTTCAGGCGCTATTCCTTCTTCAGATGGAGTATTATTGAATCCAAATGGCCCTGTCATACCTGCTCCTACTGCACTAACAATTCCAGTACCTCTGCCTCTTGAAAATAAGAGATACTGCAATTGCTTCCGTAAACTATTTATCATCATTCTTTGAACATTCATATCTTCTCTCATCATAAACGTATCATTAATTAATCCAGTCATCACATTCTCTTGTTCGGTTGCTCGAGACTTATTCATAAAGGGTAGTATCTTTTCATTAATTTCATACTTTAATCGGTCTAATTCAAAATTAAGGTAAATTAACTTATCTTGGTCCTCTATCGACTTAAACTTGTTAATTTCTTCAATCGACTCACTATATCCAAGATTGGTAATCTTTCCCTGTATTATTGAATCAAGAATCTTATTAATTTGTTGTTGTAAAAACTCATTCTCTGAAGTTAATGAAGTCATCTTTTCTTGAATAGTGTTGTATGTTGGGAGCAATAAATATAATTGACAATTCCCATTTGCTAAATGAATTTCCAAAGATGTTTCATTGGATCCTACCCATTTACATCCTAGCTCATGAGCAGGACATTTCAAAAGCCCGATCTTTATACAATTCTCTTGATGCTTAACAAGGTTCTTCTGCGGAATCATATCATTACCACATAATTCACAAGTGGTATAGTTGAATAAACACTCATTCTCAAGATGTGACTTGTGAGTTATCTTTGTTATCTGTTGATTACAATGTTCACACTCAAATTTCTTGTGAATACATTCCGAGTCTTCCAGTTCTCCTATATTTGTCTTTTCTTGTTGTACCTCTGCATTCACATCAAAGAACTGTCTCTCGGCAATCAACTCACACTTACTTCCATCGTGTCTGGTACCGTTACATTTAATCCCTGTTCTTGGACAGTCAATTACAACATGACGCTCCAAGGCCCAACGGCTTCCCGTCCAATCACATCCCCTTTCTTGGTTTAAACAATACACCTTCAAATCATCAATCAAATTGCTTATTATCAAAGGTGCAGGGAATAAGTCATTTATATTGGCGGAATCTAATGGTGTTCTGTCAAGAGGACAATATCCGCACAACTCATTCTCCGAATCTCTTGGCTTCTTGGCGTTCTTGAAACATTCATAAATACATTCTTTGCAGAATGTGTGACCACAAATGGTAGTCAACGGTTCTATAAAAGGTTGTTGGCATACTGGACAATTTAAATGTTCAGTGGCGGTCTTGTATTTAACGTTTCTTAAGTCCGGTTTGTCACTATTCTCGAGCAAGTTGAAACATACCCCCAGAACTTCTATGTTTATTGAATCATCATACTCTACTGTTGAACCCGCTGAATCTATCAGCTGCGATGAAGATATGGAGCTTCCGGATGACGACATTTCGTTATCGTGTCTAGGTTGTTGTCTGGTCTAATTAGCTCAAAAAGTGCACAATTAAAATATAACAGTCGGTGGTTAAAGTGACTTTTATATACAATTAATCTGTTGATGCCAATGTAACATGAAACTAACTTTGTGGTTGCAGTAACCTGATAAGAAACCGTTTAATCTGCTGATGTATTTTAAATGGAACGTAGGAAAAGAAACTTAAAATCGGACCAAATGGGAAAAAAAAAGAAAATGTTGGCTTGTGATAACCACTCACAAAAGTAAAAAAAACTAGGTCGTACCCGGATTCGAACCGGGGTTGTTCGGATCAAAACCGAAAGTGATAACCACTACACTATACAACCATTTTTTCTGAAAACATTTTTCATAGAAAAACTGACAATATTTAATCACGTTATTTTCATGATCTTGGAAAATTTCTAATTTTTTAGAGTTAGCCACATGAGTGATACTCTAGATAGCATTTATTGCAGTGGATTTTGCTTTTATTATTTCAGATCTCTTTTTTGTGGAAGCTAATATTGAAAATATTGTTGTTCTCCTGGTTATCTAATTTTTGGAAATTTCGGAGATTTTCTATCTATTATAAGACTCTCTCACCTTAGTTTTTTAAATGATTTCGCACATACTTAAAGGCATAACATAGTTTCAACCAATAAAAATATCATTTCATTAGTTATTAAATAAAGGGAGAATTAAATATAAGACCTACCGTCTGTTAACCTCATTAGCTATTTGCAAAATTGTAACAATATGAATGATAACAGATTGGCTGCAAAAAAACAGAAATGTTTGAACAAGAAAATGGGGAACTAAAATGACAATCAAAGAACAAAACTCCTACTTCTAAAGAGGAAGATTTTAAATACAAACATACTCAGCATCGTAAACTTTTATTCATGCAAAATAATTATTGCTATATAAACACGATATCTTCTATCATAAATAATTAAAGCACCCTGCGTTCATATCTCTTTTCTTCGCTTCCTATCTTCTTCTCCTTAGGAACTCTAACCAACCAGTAGAAAAATACCGTGGCAGCCATGTTGAATATAATAAAGCTCATAAAGACACCAATATCTCGGCCAAGATTATTAAGGGATACAAATATCATGTCAAGGAATTGGTTGGTGTTATTCATGGGACAGTATTGACATTGATCAGTAGATTCAGGATTAACCAAATAACCCCCAGCTATAACCATGTATGCTCCCACATAATCCTTACATTTTTGTCCAGGAAGCTCAGGTCTAAATGTGACATATTCATTGACATTACAAACCACAGGGGCATCTGCAAGGCCAAGTGACATAATTGCAGATACCAAATACGTGAATGGGTTCAAATAATAAAGGAATGTCCAAAACTTAGGCATAAAGTCTTTGGTTGCAACTAACCCACAGAACGTAAAGCAAATAGTCAAGAAGAATGAAATGAAATTGGCAGCATTGTCGGCAACTTGATTAAAGGAAATACACAATTGTGCCAAAGTTGAACTAAAAATAAACATTAACGTCATCATAAACCACATAGCCCCCCCTCTTTGAGTAACTGTGCCGGTATGAGAAGCATTTCTGAATAACCCAAGAGGATAGTACCAGCATACAAAAGACAATGTGGCTGCAACAATTTGATAGGGAATTTCAGCTGTAATTTGTGCAGCAATAAAAGCAATCCAAGAGAATGTTTTTGATGGCTGTTCTCTAGCTTCATATAAATCTCTTTGAGTAACAAATAAAGGAACATATTGTTGTGCCAAAGTAGTCATTACAACAAACAACATAAACAATGAAAGCAGCTGATTTCTTAAACCTTGGATTGAATTATCTGACATGAAAAACGAAAACCCGTTGAATAAACTACAAAAAACAGCCATGGCAAATTTGGAATAAATATATGATGGTGTTCTCCAATATTGTTCAAATAGTCTTTGAAGAACAAGACGATACTGTTTAATCAATGGTGAAGCATAAGTGCTTGGCGAATCTTGCTTGGTTGTTTTGGGACGTTTGGCTAAACTATCCAACCGATATAATTCATCCTGAAGTTGATGATACTCGGCTGATTCTCTCCATACTTTGAAGTAATCTTGGTTAGCACGAGATCCAGGAGCAGCACCAATAATTTCCAACATCCATTCAGCTGGGTTAGCATTACGAGGACACTTTGGAGCCCCATGACTTTCAAAATATCTAATTAATGTTTCACATTCATGGCCAAGTTCACCAAAATAGACTGTCTGTCCACCTGCTTGCAAGAACAAAAGTCGATCAAATTCTTCTAAAAGTCTGGCAGAAGGTTGATGAATAGTACACAAAATAGCTTGTCCATGATCTGCTAATTTTCTCATCAATTTACAAATCGACCATGCCGTTTGGGAATCTAAACCTGAAGTTGGCTCATCTAAAAACAACAAAATCTTTGGTCTGGCAACTAATTCAACAGCAATGGATAACCTTTTCCTTTGTTCTACATTCAACCCTTCACCAGGAACACCAATAACAGCATCAGCAAAATCAGTCATTTCCATCAATTCAATGATATTTTCAACATACTGTTCCTTTTCAATGTCAGAATATTTATTTTCTTGTCTAAGGTATGCTGAAAATCTTAAAGCTTCTCTCACAGTTGAAGTATCCAAATGTAAATCTTGTTGCTGTACATATCCGATCGATCTTTGAAATGAATTATCCAAGAAATTTCCATTCACTTTTCTTTGACCAGAAGTAACCACACCAACAGTTAAACGGTCACTCAATGCATTCAACAAAGTAGTCTTACCGGCCCCTGAAGCACCCATAAGAGCAGTGACCTGACCTGGCTTGACCCAACCATCAATATCATTCAAAATGGTTTTCGTTTCCGATTTTACTTTCAATGTATAGGTCAAATGTTTCCAATGGAAGATATTTCCAGCCCCCAACATCTTCTCATCTAGCTCGGAATCCAAACACGAACTACTAAAATCATAAATATCAGATAATTTCTCAAGAGACCCCGTTTCAATATCTCTAGCCAATCTTCTAGTATACCCAAGATTTTTTTTCTTAAACACCAATATCTCCCCACCTTGTACCGCATCCTTGTTTAATTCCATACAAATCAATGTAGTGAAGAATAGAAATACAACAAATGCCACTAATATACCAAAATTCATCCAAGCATGTTTCCAATAATATCCAAATGCTTCAGCTAAATAATCATCTCCCAAGACATATGGTGATCCAGGCACTGATCCCAATGTTGAACAGACTACTGATTCACCCGATGTTGGATATCCAAAGCCACTAGGAACAAAGCTACTACAATTAAATTGCCTTCCATGGAATTCATTGGCAATCAAAGCTTCAAATGCATACGCCATGGGATTAACGTAAGTTATCCATTTACACCAGCCAAGCATATAAGGTTTGGGAATTGCAAACCCGGTAAATGTTGCCGTGGCAAATAATAACAATGAAGATGGAGTCATGGCTTGAGCTAAGGATTTAGTAAATGCACCAATTGTTCTAAATAAATGTGACATGTACAATGTAGTGACGAAATTGATCAACAAGTAGAAAAAGAATGCACCTGGTTCTCGTTTGAAATTAACCATAAAATATAGAGCGACATTGAAGCAAATACTTGATATGATTTTAAGGGGGAAATCACAAATAATGGACCCAATAGCTTCAGCTGTTGGGGGATAAAGGGCATAATCTCGGTGCTTTTGAACCACTGGCCTAGCTTGATATATAGAGTAGATTTCCAAAACTGATGAGTATGAGTTGAAAACAAGGGCAAAGTACATGACGGCTGTTCTGTAGTAAAATGATGAAGTTGTCGGCTGTAAGTTGTAAAATACAGAAGATAAGATCAAACTCATAGCAACATTGCCAAAGATTGTCAACACTGGAACAGTCCAATCACCTCTCATTCTTTCCCAATCTCGACGAATGATATACTTGATTTGTTTGCCCAAGGATACAGTATAAGGAGTTTTTCTAAGCGTGTGCTTGGATTGCTTTGCTCTCATCGAGTCATAGACTTCTTGCTTCTTATTATAATCTCCACAAGAGGCTAAATATTGATCAATTTCCACCAATAATTTTTGTCTTTCTGGTGACTTCCTCCAATACCTGTAGAATTCCTTGGGAGATCTAGGAACCAATCTTTCATATCCTGGTTTCACCAACCTTTCGGCTGGATTGGTGATTGAAGTCAAGAAATCAGGAACAGTTTGTCTCTCTGCCAAGACAAATCCCATTTTTTCAAAATAGTCGACAGCAGTTTTGCTGGAACCAAAATAAATCTGGTATCCTTCATAAAGCAAAATTACCTTGTCAAATAAATCGTATGCGGGTTGTGAACATTGATAGATGGCAACCAAGGGAGTTTCATTCAAAACAGTGGCAGAAGTTCTAAGTGAAGAAATGAATTCTAATGCAGTTGCTGAATCCAAACCTCTCGTTGAATTATCCCAACATTGAAAAGGAGCTTGCACCAAAGAAACTTCTGCAATAGAAGCACGTTTTCTTTCACCTCCAGAAACCCCTCTGATGAATTCATTCCCAATCTTTGTGTCTTTTGTATGAGTTAAACCGTATGTTGCCATCACCACATCGACAATATGTTTAGCATAGGCTTCACGAGAGACTCCATCTGGTCTATTTCTTGGTGTTTTCATTAAAGCAGCAAATTCTAAAGTTTGTCTTACAGTGAGATTGGGGAAATGGATTTCAGATTCACCACAATAAACTACTTCTCCACGAAGGTACCTTCTTATTTCCTTTGGTGTTATCCCGTCATAGGATACAATAGACTCATCAGCCACTCTGAAACCATCTGTGTGACAAGAAAGAGTTTTGAGTAATGTAGAACAACCAGCACCGGGTCTTCCGAGAACAACGGTAAGTTCACCAGGAAGGATCAACCCCTCCATAGGCTTTAAAATATCCCAACTGGACTCAGAATCTGTATATCCTAGTTTGCGGAGAATTCTCGTCGCATATTTTATTATTCCATTGGAAACTGTAGTTTGGTAAGCAGTATATTTTGCATCTCCAAATGCTCTTAAATGTTTGTAACCGACCCCTAAAGTTTGAGGTTTGTAATAATCTGAATCACTTTGGTATAACTTCCAAATGTTCTGGACCCAGTTCTGTGAGTTGAACGCAGGAGATTGTGGATCAAGTCTAGGATCAAGCTTATCTGTAATTGGATTGATCCATCCTTTATCACTATAATTTCTTGAGGCATCTCCAGCGACTGAAATTCTGGCTAAGGATCGAATCCGTTGTTGAGTACATGAGAATCCACTGTAGTAGCCATTGTATGGCTGGCCTTGGGATAAATTTGTATGGCTCATCTCAAGTTGATATAGTCCGACAAAAATAATGGAGAAAGAAGTTTTCGTGGCTTTGGAATTTCAAGAGTTTTAAATGGAGTTGGGGTTGTGTGCAGCTTTGAGATCACACAAAGAATTTCCTTAATTGAGAAAATGAGAATTACTGTAAATGGATGCAAAAAAAAAGGATCGTCAGAACTTGCGCCTTTACAAAAAAAAAAAAAACTTCCCAAATTCAAATAAATAACTAAAAGAAATGTATGATACGCCATTGTTTTATTTATGCAAGGAGATATATGGTATGATAATGTCGATAGACGATGTAGCTACCGGTGGTAATTTATTAACCCGGAAAGTGCGGCCTGAAGAAGTAATCTTTTAATCAGTCAATTTTTCCAAAAAAGAAATACCCCACACCATCAAAGATTTCTATTTTGGACGTAATGGGTAGTAATTGAAAGTTTGAAAGACTATATTTGAAGATAATGATCATGTTTTACAAGAAGAAGTTTTATCTATGATGTTTTATCAAGTCAGATATTAAAGGCACATACAAGCGATCATATGCACTAGTCAATATTACGTCAAGGAAAGTTCTATCAAGAATTAGCAGATTTGAACATAGATCTGTAAATAGCAGCCCTTGATGTCCTGATCATCTACAAGGGGGGGAGACTTAACAATGCATCGGGTACGAAGAAAAATAATGTCACCCGCAAAGCTCCTACCATCACCCCCATTTTGATTTACGGGGTCAGATGTCTAGATCATTCCGAAGCAAGAATAACCAATATTACCTGGTATTCAGTGGTACATTTTAAACCCTTGATCCCAGCTAAAAGTTTATTTTTTAAAAAAAATTTCCTATTTAGGAAGTATTAGTTAGATAGCAACCAAACCTATCTCCTTTATTCTTGCGCCCTGTAAAATACTGAGAATAATTGGTTATATTAAAGTACTCGACAAAACGAGCATCTTCAGTCGAGACGACAACAAGTTGAGTTATATTTAGAAGCATGTCCGTGTAGTTTCCTTACCACAATCAGAAAAAAACCACTACATTCACTGAGTAAATATTTTTCGTTTCACCTTTCGTAGTTTGGTCGACTTTCTTCAAAAGTTAGTAGATCGCTTACGACGACATTAAAGTTTTCAGCCACATTGATACTTTTCTACTAAAAATAGGCAAATAATGTGTTTTCAAGTCTTCGCTCGCTTCTTATATAGTAATTAGGTTGTTTGGGAACGCAAAAAAATATTTTTTCTTTACTCAGTGGAAGAGGGATTTTGGACCCTTTAATCGTAACTTAGAATACAAATATTATAATAAGCAATACCAAACAAATCAGGATATTAAAAAAAGAATGCGCAAACCCGGAATCGAACCGGGGGCCCAACGATGGCAACGTTGGATTTTACCACTAAACCATTTGCGCGGTATAAAGAGCTCCGAGACGGGGAATTGAACCCCGGTCTACCATGCGACAAACGGTAATTCTAGCCACTAAACTATCTCGGACTATTTTTTAATCTTTATTAGATTCTCCTATAGGTCCTTGATATAAGTATAGTTTATAATACGAAATACTGTAAAAGAATTACGACGAGTCTCTCTTATCTATTCGTAAACTAAAACTAAGTCAAGTTAAGTTAAGTTAAGTTAAGTTAAACTAACTTCTACAAATCCAAAGTGACTTTCTGGGAAAATCCAACCATTTAAATATTCTTTTTCTCGTCTTGCCTCACATCCATAGCCTTCCTAACCACCTTGCGAGTTAATGACACTCTAATACTTTATTCGTCACGTATCTGCAATATCATTGAGGTGTAAGGTATGATTCTGCATAATGTTACATTCCTCTGCATAAGGCTCCGATACGTCACCAAATCTACATTATCCCAATTCCATAAGTGGGGAAAGATGTCATTCGTATTAGGTGAACAAGGTGAAAGGGAACCTGAAATCCTGTGTGATCACTTTACACATTTCCATCTTTAGTTTCACACAGATCCAAAGGTTCATGTGCAAGACTTAAAGAGTTCATTCCTCTAACAATCTTTATTTTTTTGATTTTACTACTAATTATAAATTATATTTCAATTATATTGCATCAATTTACGGTGCTCTATTGAGTATATTTAATGGATTGGAGTCTAATGGTACTACTTTCTATTTCCATTAGAGGACCATGAAACAAAAATCACTTAATGTCTATAATATCTGTGTGAATGGGGAAATTAAGTGTTGGCCACTATGTATAGAAAAAAAGAACAAAAAAGTATAAAAATTGGCCCTCATGTAGTGAGGCTTTCTATAAAATTTTTATATAGATTTGACAACTTCAATGAATGATATAGGTCAAGTAAAATTCCCCAAAAAACCATATCAGGGTTGAATAATTTTTTGGTTGCTCTCAGTTTCCATGAATCTTGAGATCACTTTCACCACATATGGTCCCATCACAAGTTATGGTTTTGTTTTGAGGCATGAAATTTTTTTTTGCAGCAAAAAATTTTGGCACAGAAAAGATTACGAATCAAGAAACAAAGATATTAACATATTACCCATATCACTAAGAGAAACCAATGCTGACAATATCTTCCGAAGTAGATTACGATTATAGTGCCCTAACTAAAACATATATGAGTATTTTCAATTCTCAGCGCTTTTCCCAATTTCTAAACACAACACAAACAGGCTCGGCGCATAGCTCCTCTGGAATAGATTTTGGATTATTCCTGAAAACATTGTTTACGTCCCTATGTTTTTGTATTATACAGCTTACCTTATTTTGTTTGTTTAGGTCAGTTTTCAACTTCCTTTATCAACCACGATGTTTTTGTGTTCCAGTCAATGAAAGAATGGAATGTCTTCCGCGAGGGTTCTTGAATTGGATCATACCCACATTGAAATGCAGTATCAACAATTATTTATCCCTCGGATTAGATGCTTACTTCTTTGTTAGGTTTATTAGTGTATTACTGTTGTTTTTTTTATTTTCAGGCACCTTGAATATGGTTATTTTAATTCCAATCAATTTCACCGGTAGTGACTCAGAATTTTCAGCTTCAGGATTAGACAAGTTGAGTCTTTCAAATATTGCAAATACAAAAGTCAAGAGGTTAAATGCTCATTTCATCATGGGACTATTAACCATCGGGTTCTTTCACTGGTTAATTATATATGAGCTCCAAAGTTTTCTCATTATCAGACAATCATATTTACTATCATCTACACATAAATCTTCAGTCATGGCTAGAACTTTGTTGATATCAAATGTTCCTACATATTTGCAACAACATGACGTCCTTCGAAGTGTACTAAAAACTATACCTGGTGGGATTAGTAATATTTGGGATGTGTATGATTTTGAAAGAATAGATCATGAGGTTCAAAGAGCCAAATACGCTTTAAAAGTTTTGGAGGAAGCACAAATTGCTGGGTTAATGAAGTATTATAGTTCAAAGAAAAGTTACTTTTGTTGCCAAACACCCACTCCTAATGGAGACACCAATAAACTAGAATTCTTTCATGACCATAAGAATCAAGTATATTTTTATCCTCCGATATATCTTGGACTCGTTAAAATTCCTAAGTTTGATAGAAGTTTTAGAATGAAGCTCCCAGGGTGGTGGAGAATGTTTATGTTTGAAAAACGAGTTTCCAAGACCGATTGGGCTATACACACACTTCTGGAATGTCACCAATACATTGATCAAGAAAAGTTGAAATTAGCCAATGGACAATTGACCAAACACAATAAGTTGTTCATCGAATTCAAAACTCAAGAAGGTGCCTATATTGCCCACCAGTGTTTACTTTCTCAAACTCAAGGATGCCTTGACAAAACATTGATTGAAATAAACCCGGCAGATGTTATCTGGAGAAACGTGTCAAGAAATGACGGCATTGCTTGTAAATTTGAAAAGTACTTGGTGACTATCATATTCATTTGTATTATTATCCTATACGTTATCCCGGTATCATTGATTGGGTTGGTATCCCAGATTCCCCTCCTTACACAATTAATGCCCTTTCTCAAATGGATCTATCATTTTCCTGAAGAAGCACGTGCAACAATATCTGGTTTCCTTCCTTCAATACTCCTTACCATTTTAACTGAAATATGTATGGTGACATTCAGATTCTTGACATACTTCAAAAGAAGAACTACAGGAAGTGAGGTAGAGCTTGATTTGCAGAAATGGTATTTTGCATTCTTATTTGTTCAGCAATTTCTAGTTGTTACTATCCTGTCGAGTGTAACTGTGATTTTCAAACAAATAATTGACCAACCAACATCCATTCCAGTGTTGTTAGCCACAAACCTTCCTAAATCAGCTACATTCTTTTTTCAATATATGTGTCTTCGAGCATTTGCATTTTGTGGAAGTAACTTCCTTAGAATAAACCAACTAATTTTGACAAACACACATTATAGGAGAATTGATAAAACTCCAAGACAGAAATTTAGTCGCCTAACCAATCTACCTAAAATAAAATGGGGTACAACATTTTCCGTTTATTCAATATACGGTTGTATTGGAATATCATACTCAATCATATCACCATTAATATCAATTTTCATTATATTCTTTTTAAGTCTTTCCATTTTATATTACAAATATGCATTAAAGTATGTCAATAGCCACCTTAACGAGTCTGAAACCATGGGAAGATTGTACCCAATAGCTCTACTTCATTTATACACCGGGATTTACTGTCTTGAATGTTGTCTTATTGGGGTATTCTTTCTTCTGAAAGACCAAAATGGAGCGTATCCAATGAGAGTTCAGGGGTGGATCATGACTGGGGTATTGTTTCTTACTATATTTGCAAACACTTTGATTTATAACAGATTCATTCCTCATTTTTCAAACTTGCCTATTCTATCCGATAAAATTTATCGAGAATCCAGTGAAAAAGTCGAATCTCCTGTTCCTGAAGATTCAGATTACGAAATAAGTGAAAGTTCTTACGTTAATCACAAATTGTTGTATTTACATCCTGCCTTCAAATATGAACCACCTAAGATTTGGTTACCTCAAGATCCTGATGGTTATGCCGAATTGCAAATACAAGAAATTGAGTCCATGTTGGATTCACTATCTGGAGGAGTTACCGAGGGAGCACAAATAAGATTCACCAAACCATTTAACAGTTTAAAATTGACAATTTCAGAAGCACCTCCTGATTATAAATAAAACCTTTGACTTGAACGATTTTCAATTCTGTATTCTCAATACTTCACATCACTTATATAGAAATTTTTTTTTTTAAAAAAAAAATCCTAGTATTGTTGTGATAACTAAGCTTCAATATTCAAAAATTAATTGAAAGGGAGTTTATTAATGTATATATTAAGGTTGAAAGCATAATCTATAGACGACGATATCTAATCATGGAGTATACTATTGATTTTACAATATTCTGGAATTAAAGACCATTGATTATCCAGTTCAGCAGGAACGTCGTGTCCATAGACCATTAACTCTTTGAATGAAACTTCTGCGGTATAATTCGAAACAGTAGTAATTACCTCTTGGCCGTCTTCATCTTCAGATCTTGCCAAATGTTCAGATTTGTTAATGACATATCCCTTGAGTTGAGAAGACGATAAATCTATTGGATTACCCAACAATTTGCATCCTCTGAAATAGGCAACATGGTTGCCATCTGTAGTATCTGGTCGTATTTTTGATGGAGCAAAGTAATCCTGGGTTTTTGCTGACCCAGTATATTGAATGTGCATTGGAACAAGAGAAGCTGTTATCTCCTGCGTGTTAGAAGCATCTACTTGTATGGAGGACATTATATAAGGGTACAATCGAATGTAGATGTTTGGCTGATAAAAAAAAGTTGATCTTAACTTACTATGTTTTGGAAAAAAAAATACGCGTTTTGAAATCTTGAACATATATGGTAGCATCACACGAGATTCCTGATAAGAGGTTACAAAAAATTAAATGGCTTCTTTTTGATTTTTTTTTTTTCGAGTTATCTTGTTCCTTAATAGTAACCATGTTCAACAGTCAAGACAACGACCACTCAGAGGAATTACACTCTTCGTTCACCCATCCTCACTTACATCCTAATATAATTCAAGATAGTTCAGCCGGCCTGGCAGGAATTGTTGCTGGTGAACTAGCTGCAGAAGATGAAGGTTTATTAAACAACGAGCTTTTCAGAAGCCACAGTTATGGGGCCATACCGGAAGAGCAGGAAGCAGCAGAAGAATCACACGAACCAAGTAAGTATGACATTGATGATCCCAATGGCGGTTATGCATTGTCTAAACGCCAATTATACCCTGTAGTTGCCAGTATTTTCATGGGGGCCTATTTGGCAGCACTTGATGCAACTGTGGTTACCACGTTACTAACCTTAATTGCGTCAGATTTAGATGCAGTGTCTAACATATCATGGATTGCTACTGCTTACTTACTATCATGCTCTGCTTTTCAACCTATCTTTGGTAAGCTTTCTGATATATTTGGGAGAAAGGTTTTGTTGGTTTGTTGTACAATCCTCTTTGGAGTTGGATGCTTGATATGTGTCACTGATTCTCTTGCTATCTTAGTTATTGGAAGATTCATCACTGGTTGGGGAGGTTCTGGATTAACTTCATTAGGAACCATCACAATGTCTGATATTATACCGTTGAGAGACCGTGGGTTCTATCAAGGGTTGGCTAACGTTTTCTTTGGCTTAGGCTCTGCTTCCGGAGGTATAATTGGTGGATTAGTTGCGGATTACTTAGGATGGAAATATGTGTTCATTTTACAAGTCCCACTCGCATTTATTGTGGGATTGGTTATACATTTGAATTTGAATTTGCCAGAGGGTTCTCCTGGTTTAGGAGCTCAAGGACAAGATATAAAGCAAAAGTTAAAAAGAGTTGACTTCTTGGGCTCATTTGTTTTAGTGACTTCATTAATGATGGTTCTTACTGCTGCTTCATTGGGCGGAAGAGAAATTGCTTATTCTTCAAAAACTTTTATTGGATTAACCGCCACTTCATTGATTTTACTTGGAGGTTTTGTATATGTTGAAATGAATGTTTCTACAGAGCCAATTATTCCTATTCATTTGCTTGCAAACAGAACTATTCTTGCAAGCTCATTAACCAATTGGTTCTACACGATGGGGATTTTCACCACTTTATTCTATGTCCCTGTTTATTATACCTCAGTTTTGGATTATACTGCTACCCAAAATGGAGTGCGTTTAATCCCTAACTTCCTTGGGGTGTCTTTAGGTTCAGTCGGTGCAGGGCTATACATGAAGAAGACTGGGAAATACTATAAGTTGGCAGTTGTTTCTGGAATTGTATCCTTGTTTGGTATGACCAAAATTGCCATAATAACTCCTTCGATTCCTAATTGGCAACAATTTTTACTTTTGTTACCTTCAGGATTGGGTTACTCATCTATTTTGACTGTGACTTTACTTGCATTGATTGCCGCGGTGCCAATGAAATACCAAGCATGTACCACTTCAATCCAATATACCTTTAGATCTACTGGGTCCACATTGGGAGTTTCTATAGCGTCAGCTATATTCCAAAATGTGTTGCTACATAGATTGACTGACAGTGTTAACAAGCTTGTACCTGATAAAGATCAAGCAAAGGATATAATTAAACATGCATTGAAGAATACAAATTATATTGACCTTGCACCCAAGTATGTCAGAAAGGCAATCAGGGAATCATATGCTGCTGGATGTAAAGGTGCATTTATATTTGGGTTGAGTACAGTTGCAATTGGTTATGTTTGCTCATTGTTTATGAGAGAACACAAGTTACACACAAGTATGAATCGCGATTGATTGCATCACTCCCCCCCCCCACGTCTAGGATATAGGGATATTGGACTCTTCCCACTATAGAAAATATATTATACCTCGATATTTATTTTTGTAGATATATTGTAGAATAGCTAAGATGTCTGTATTTAATATAGTATTTTGACTATACAAGACTTCAACTGGAAATACCTCCCATCGAGAGTATATCCCAAGAATTATATACATTCTATAAATAGTAAATGATTCTATTAATGTTTATTCTCAATTGAACTTATTATACAAGATTTATACCCTATGGAGTAGAACGTAGCCAGGGTGAGCCCTTGGTTGAGTTTGTACCTGATTCATGATAATCTCGTTTCACATGATACATATGATTTGCACCTTTAACGACAATCAATTTGCTTGCAGTTAGATCTTCATCTTCCTCCTCTTCAGTATTCGACCTTTCATTTAAATTATAGCTTGAAATCAGTCTCATTAGTCTTGGTGGTAACAACTTTGGAGAAAATGAATGAACACCCACATGGAATGATGATTCGGGAATAAATAAATGATGGTTATGTACTGGGCCAAGTAATGGAGAAAGGACCGGCGACATCACTTCATCTCGCTTTATTGAGTCTTCAATTGCTTCTTCTATTACTTCTTCAATCAACTCGTTTTCAGATGTGATGTTTATGTTGACAAGTATTACTGCTAACAAGATGCAAACTATTCCAAAGACGTAAACCACACTTGTGTGTTTGTTCTTACTAGTGTGAGTAATATACATGATAATATAGTCAATGAATATGGTAATTGGAATTCCCGAGGTTAATGTTAAGGAAACAACTAAAGGTGAAGTTAGCAACATTGCTAACATTGCGGTATAATCAGAAATTGCCGAAAATACACCATTAATCAAGATACTGAACAAGATAGCATTATTTGGAGGTGGGAATTCAAATTTCTCAACATTAAAATAATCAACAACATATAGGGTGGGAATACCCATTAATAATGTTAAGAGACCAGCATATCCAAACAATCTTCTCTCATTGGTTGTTTTATTCCCAGTCCCGCATTTAACTTTCATAATAATCAAGTACAATGCATATGCTAGTGCTCCACCCAAGGCTAACATATTTCCTAATCTTGGATTCTTAGGTTCAAATTTGTTCTTATGGCCATTAGCGCTACTAGCATCACTGAAATTTACCAAGAATACTCCTGTAAAACTGCAAACAACACATAATGCTTTTTTCCAGCTGAAGCGTTCGATTTTGAGCAAGACTCCTATGATTAAGGTGAAAACCGAAGATGAAGATCCGAGAACAGTTTGATTGGAAGCAGACGTGAATTGAAGTGCTTCCATCACACACAAATTGTAAACAAGGTAAATCACAGCGATTGTTAAGGCAAGTGTGAACACCTCATACCCGGAAAGTTCGGTGGGATGAGAAAGAGAGTCTTCAGTTAATATTTTCTCTAATGCCCTCTGAGACGAACTGCTACTTGAACTTTCTATTAATGGAGTGAATTCATTAATTTGTTCTGTTGTTTCACGCCTTGGAAAAATTTTCCGTTTGAAAATGCTTATTATGTCGGGGATCAAGTTCAAGCTGTAAAAGCTACCGGAAATTATTGCAAACAAGAACGGCTTGTTGTAATCATCACCTTTTAGTACCACGTTTACCAACTCTAGACCTATGATCCACGTACTGACCGATATAACAAGGAGGATTACTCCTAATCTGTAATTTTTTAGTTCTTGGTCATTGATGATCTCTACCACTTCGGCGGGGTCAGAAACAATCGCTGCATCAGTGGTGGCGGGGGTGCCAACGTGGGGTTGATGGTGTATTTGCATAGTTTACTCAGCTACTACACAAGAACAGCTGAAGTCATATAAATAATCAAAGTAGAATATGGTTATAATAAAAGATGCAAACCATGCCCAACTGAAACGTGCGGGAAACTCAAGATTAGATAACAAACCCGATGGATCACGAACTGGATCTTTGTTACCTATGCAACCTGCGGTGCTGTGCGGCGCAGCTTATCTTTTTTTTTTTATTTTGCGCGGTGTCTTTTTTTTGCACTATAAATTATCCAAATTGCGTAATAGCCGACACAAATTTCACACTTGCCCAATCAGGAAACAGATCTTTCGCATTAAATTTCATGTTCTTAAACTTACTATAAAATATACACTAATTATACAGGTTCTTACCATCCGTAAGTAGCAGCCAATCTCCGTTGGAGGTGTTCTCTTGCAGTTATTTTAACCTCTGCGTTATTTGCCCCTCTTCCCTCTCTATTTCTAATAACGGAACATGGAACAGGCTCCAATAAAGCATCATCATTTGGATGACTAAAAAATACAATAGAATATCTGTCCTGTCCAGTCTCTTGTACCTCTTTAGGGAACTTGACCCGGTGAATTGTGGATTTGAGTAGGCCCGCTGTCCAATAACTCAATAAATCGCCTATATTTACTACAATGGGAGGAGCCACACCTGCATCATTTGATGGAACAAAGGGAACGGATTCCCATTGTTTTGAAACTGGCGAGTATATTTCCAATCCTGCTTGGTTTTCTCGTTGAAATAACAAGGTGACTGCACCATAGTCGGTATGAGCACCTGCCCTAACGACACTTTCCGGATTTAATGACTTTTGTCCAGGGTAGTGAAGTAATCGGAAGGTGGATCCTGATGACTTGTCTGGCGCATATTTTGCGCTAAACCAATCCTTGCCCTTCAAACCATCAGTGTCTTCAATTTCCAAACCTTGAGCAAGAATCTCGAGAATTCTAATTGACAACTTATATAATCTGACAATGACACCACGCAAGAGTTCTTCTCTCGATGAATCATTGGTAAACCAATCTGGAATTGGTTTGGACGAGTCTCCAGTCTTGAAATTCAAGGCACAGAAGTTAAGAGCCTCTTTAGGATCTCCCTTCTTTTGATTCTTAGGGTCCAAATTTTCCCCAGCAAAATCAGAATAACCATGGTTAGAAGCATCTATAGGAAATTTCTGTTTATATTCGTGGGGTAATTTAAAGAATTCATTTGATAATTCAAATAGAGAATCAACTTCCTGTTGGGTAAAGTCATGTCCTTCAATGAAAAGAAACCCTTGAGTAGTGGCTGCGTCTAATAGTTGCTTTTGAACAAGGGCTTGATCATCTTGTGAAATATCTACTATCTTGAGAGGATTGGACATCTTGGTTATATTGAAATGAAAATTCTTGGAGCCGTGGGCATATTGTTGGTTTATAAGCTTGAAAAGCGCATCTTTGAAGAGAATTCCAATTTCTGACAACGGGTGTTTCGATGACATATCGCTACCATTTGAAATGCGCTAAAACGCGCAAAAAAGCGCAAAAACTAATTTATTACTAAATGAACAATGTGACTCTGACAAACATTATTACACGTGTGTTACATTCTATTCATATGTTCTACAACTTAGCTAGCATTGCCCCTTCTGTTCACGTAGTGATAGCTCTCCAAGTTCTTTGGTATATAACCAGTATTCAGTCAGCAAATGTTCAAGCATATGGAAATGAATTTTGCACATCCGATTAAGTAAGACTAGATCGTCAACATCAAACGTAGTTATTGAATCGAATTTTTCAAGTAGTGATTGATAGTAAGAAACAGACTCTTCTTGAAGAAACTTCCCAATAAAGTCCAAGTTTGTTTTGAAAAACTTGCGACATGCACTGGCTAAAATGAGATTTGAAAGCCGGAGGGATTGACTTTGATCCACTGTAGTATTTGGTTGATCCCTGGTTAATGTGGTGTAATTTTCTGTTAATTTGAGGATTACGTCTTGAAACTCTTGTCTTTCATTTTGGTGCGTGATTTTAAGTTGTTTTATCTCTTCAGTTTTCGTTCTAATTTTCTTTTCTAGCTTTTGTTGAACCATTTCAGTTTTATTTGCAACCTTCGTTTTCATTGAATCAAATTCTTGACGTAATTTATTAATTTCATCATCTTTGGCAATGAGTGATTTTTCTTTATCCTCGATCTCTTTAACCAACTTAGATATTTCTTCATTTTGGCTGTCTAATAGCTTCCCGCAATCCTCATCTAACTTGGCTCTCATTTGATCTTGTTCATGAATGTAGTTTATTTGGTTTTGTGCTGTTTCCTTCAAAGTACTTATTTCCTTTTCCTTAAATACACAATCAGCTAAAAGCTTCTTATTCTCCAGTTTTAATATTCCATTTCTTTCATTGAGCTTAGTAATTTCTGTTCTATATTCAAAAACCTGGGTTTGTAATTTGTTATTTTTCTCTCTCTCCAACTTTAATTCTTGGTTCACTATTTCTACTTGGTTTACAAGATCGGCGGAAAGGGAGTCAACCAGTTTAATTACATCAGAATTCTTCTTTCTATACTCATAGAATTCTGCCTTGTTTCGGTTTAGAAACTCTGTTGAGTTTTCAAGTTTCCTGGTAATCTTGATTATCTTTTCCTTTAATAGTTCAATCTCAGAATCTTTCAGTTTTATACCTTCGCTTTCCTTTGCCATATTAGTAATCCTTTCAATGACTTCCTTGAAGATAAATTCATCAACAAGCATACCTTCAGTGTCAAATTTAATTCCAAGCAAATCGCAAATAATTGCAGCATTAGAATTGATCATTTCATTCCGTTTCAGTTGCTGTGAATGGAATGACTGGAAACTTATCTCATTTACATCATCATCAAAGGTGACAGATCTAACACCTTTAATTTGATTGTTTTTGGATTTACTACTTGGTCGGGAAGATATTGTCAGAATTGTAAGTTGAATTGAACCCATATCACTAAATGCGCTTTTACCAGTGTTGGCTTGTGCTTCAATTGGCTGTTTTTCACGAAGAACATTTGATCCAAGTTCTGTTAAGGGATACTTGGATTCTTTGCTCATTTTGACTGTTTGTTGGGTTGTTGTCTTGTAGGGATACATTGTTGCTCCTTTTTTGGTTGCAAGAAATTTGTAGATTCTTTTTACGCGCTCAAATCAGGTAGTTAAAACAAGACGCTACCACATACTTCACCAAAATAGGGGGGATACTGATAAAGTTACAGAGACGTGGTATAATATTGCGTGCTAGAATCATTAAATCTTTCATTAATAGCTATATAGATGGATTATATTTTATTAGTCATTTTCAATGGTTTAGTTAGCAATTAGTTTCATTTCAACAAAACAACTTAGGACCTTGATATAATGAAGTAGTCATTTTGAAAAATATGATATCCAAACAAAACAGAAACTTAGATCAACTTTTGTTAGTATATCTCTAAGTTCAACAGTTTTTTTAGTAACGAGCAACTTTTAAGTTATTTTGGTCAGTTTGGTATAACTTGCAATGACAAAAGCTTCACTTCGATAAACCGATACGCAAACGTTATGAATGGAGTACTACTGTTCAAGGTCCTATTTCTCCAAAACTTTTGCTTTTAATTCTAAAAGCTCCTTGGTAACAACAAACTCCTTATCTCTGTGGACAACTAAATTGAGTTTCTTTAACGATTTGGAAACTCTTCTTCTGACTCTGGTTCTAATTGAAGATGATGAGGGTTCTTGGATTGAATGAACTTGACTGTTGCTTTCGTCTTCTGGCACCATTGAAACCAAAAGCTTTGTTACTTCTAAAGAGAAAGTGTGTTGCAAATAAAAAGGAAAATGCACAAATAAATACAAGCAGATTTTCCCACTTAAAAGAACCGCGCTACCATAACACGCATACGATTTTCCCAGCCATACAATATGATGCTTCTAATTCAAGTTTTTTATTATATTATATTATACAGGAAATATCTTAACTTACAACTTTAAATGCAAGTTCCTCCGGTAATTCAAATGAAACACAAAACATTGGTTTTGTAGGAGCCACTTGTCTAACATGATGGAATTCCATTTTGCTGAAATCCAATTCATAACCCATTAACCGGACAATCTTGTCATAAACCCTGCGATGTAACTCTTCCATTGGTGGTTCTTCATCAATTTCGAACTTTTCAAAACAATGAACGTGAATCATAGGTAATTGGAACTCTGGATCTTGTTTCAAATCTTGGGCTATTTCAGGATATCTTCCGTACAATCCTACAAATTCATCCAAGAATGTCAATGCAGAATCTGGCAAGTTCATCACATAGTGCTTATAAAATTTTGGTACTTTCATTTCAATGATCTTTTCTTCTTTTACTGATTTTGCTGGCTGTCCTGGTTCCTCAGCAGGTACTTTTCTTCGTACAATTCTCTTTTGTTGTATTACTGGGGTTTTTGTGTATAAATCATACAACAATTTAGGACTTTGACGGATAAACTCTCTTCCATCTAAGTTGAATGCTCTCGTAAACAAACCGGCATTGTTCAAAGTAATATTTTCTTGCAAGTATTTGTAACTTTCAGGATTCAAATCGTTGGCCAAAACGATAACTTCTTTTCTACCCGCAGGAACTGCAAATGGACCCACACCAGCAAACACATCACCCACAACATCTCCCTTGGCAAATTTACTAATCAACCTGTCATGTTCAGTACTTAAACGAGAATTCCAATATACTTTACTAAAATCAAATCGGAACTTGCATCCACTTTCACTTTGTTCCACCAAGAAGTTGTCCTCACCGGCAAGCAAGTTCATTTGAAAAGTTCTGAACTTGTTGGCAATGGTGTCTGCTTTGTCAACTACAGTACGAATCAGGGGATTCTTATCCAAAATCACTTGACCTATCAACTTTCCATAAGGTTTGAATTCGTTTTTGAGATTCAAATGAGCAAGATGTCCCGCTTGACTGAATCCCGAAGGAGTTTCATCAAGGAGATTTTCAGGAAGGATAGCCCTTAATATGTCATCAGTTTTCCAGAAAGAGTAATCAAGTTGCATAGTATATGGTCTTAGTTCAACTCCAAATTCTTTAACCTTCTCTTGGGATAAGGCAGAAAGTTGAGAAACGTCAGTGATGCGATCCTGAAGCAAAACTGCCTTTGAATCGTCCATTTGCACAATGTGCTTTATATTGGGCATATAAAGAATGTCCTGTTTACAGCGTTTGACGAATTCACCAATATGTTTTGCATTGGGGAAATATGCTGCCAATAAAGGAACTTCACGATGGAAAAAGGACCGGTCAAGCTCAACCATAGATCTGTTGACTGGTGGTGGGTATTTCTTTACTTCTGAAATCATCAAAACTCTTAATTTTTTACCAAAATGAACCAATCTTTGAAAGTTCATTCGATAGCTTTTACGCTTGGTGATACAGCTGGTTGCACACTCTAAAATTTTCCTGCAAAAAAAAAAAAAAAGCTCATCCCAGAGTACCAATAGAATTTTATACAACACCTACAACAAAAGACAATGGACATAACTGAAGTGATTAGTATCACCAAACCACAATCGTCATCACAATACAACAATATAGATGAGTCTAACGATGATTCTGATATAGAAATGGGAGAATCCAGTGCTGGCGGTGCTAGTGCTGGGATAGTTACTCCTGGTGAACTTATTACCGAGGACCCAATTTGGATGAAAGGTCATGGGACTTATTTCCTTAATGATTCAACATACTCTTCTGTGGCTGGTAGTGTATCTCGTGTCAATAGATTATTGAGTGTGATTCCATTGCGTGGTAGATATTCTCCAGAAACCGGTGATCATATTGTTGGTAGAATTACTGAAGTGGCCAATAAAAGATGGAAAGTAGACATCGGAACTAGACAAGATGCTGTGTTGATGCTTGGATCCGTGAATTTACCTGGTGGGATCCTTAGACGAAAATCTGAATCTGATGAATTGCAAATGAGAAATTTCTTGAAGGAAGGAGATTTGTTGAATTGTGAAGTTCAAACTATATTCAGTAACGGTATTGCTTCATTACATACTAGATCATTAAAATATGGGAAATTAAGAAATGGAATTTTCTTGAAAGTGCCAAGCTCATTGATCGTCAAGTCAAAGAACCACGCCTATGACTTACCAGGAAGTGTATCTGTCATATTAGGTAGTAATGGATACATATGGCTTCACAAAACATTAGCAAATACTTCCACAACCACTACAGTAAACCAAAATGCAGCCAAGATACAGGGAAGAGACTATGCGCCAGGCCAAGGTTCTATTTCAATAACAAGGTTGGAAGAAGAAAGTTCATGGGAGATCTACAGTGATCAAAATGATCCAAATATCACCAGTTCTACCCGTAGCAATATTAGTCGATATTATAATGTTATCAAGGCACTCGCATATGGAGAGTTGGGAATTACAGAACAACGTGTGATCTTAGGGTACGAAGCCAGTTTAGCATATTCAAACATAGGAAGTTTAATTGATCGTGAATCAATGGAGCAAATTTGTCAAGAAGTGTTGAATAGTGAAAAAATGAGAGGTTAGAGTATGTACTAATATATAATTGTTTGCACTAGTGTATTTTTTTTTTTTTTTGGTTTATTCTGTCGTAAACATGCACCGAACAACATACTTACACCAAGTTGCATACTAACACGGGAGGAAGCTTCGGTTCGCCTACAAAATATTCGCGATCGAGAGATGATGTTGACAATTAGATTTATTAATAGTAGTATTAAAGAAAACTAAAAGATATGCAGGTATAATGTTATTATTTTCGGATGGTGTCTAATGACGAAGAGTGCCTTAACCAATTGCCCATTTTATTATCCGTTTCATCCAGGAGTGAATATGCTAGGAGTGAATGAACCATTGTATGGTCTATAAAAGCTTTCTCTTCTTTAGATAGCATTTAAAATAAATCAATTGAATTAGCCCTGAAAATACAATGAAAGAAAGAACCACAATGGAAATTATGGTATAGCCACTGTAAATTTCTTCATTGACATCTCGTAATTTGTATTCTTGATCCATTAAGTCTCGTAATATTGATTCCAGCGATTCCAACTTTTCAACTATAGCATTCAATTCTTGTTTAACTTCCTCCATGTTGGTGTCGAGATTTTCCTGAGTGAATTTCTCGGTTTGCTTTCGCAGCTTTGAGAAATATTTCCTATATAAATCATAATTGGTGTCTTTCATATCCTTCTTTATATCAACAAATAACTCAACTTCATAATCGGCAGGGGTGAAAGACCATGACATATCCGTGTATACATTGTCAAAACATATATTGATGGTCTTTTTTGCAGCTTCTCCTCGTTTACTTGACTTCACTTCTCGATACTTATTATTAGCATGGGAGATAATCAATTCAATTTCCCTCTGTCCAATATCCTTTTGGTTACGCAACTGGTTTGAATCGCTGTCAAAGATATTCAAGTTAAGTATTTGTGACGGTAATTTTTCTTCTGTTTTGACTGTGACAAAGATGATGTCATTCACATTTGTTTCGTAGGTTACGCAGTGATGTAAGTTGGAAATCGATGACATTTGTTTACTTTGGCCATACTTCACCGGCAGGACCGATATACCCAATGCTGAAACATAAGTTGTGATAAATAGAAATATAAGGATGAATATACTCAACATGGTGATATATTACTTTAGTAAATATTGTGTATAGGGGGGGGGGGGGGGTATTCGGGGGGTAGGTGTAGGTGTAGGATTATGTGTTATGGATAAAAAAAAAGAATCGGCAATGTAAAGTCAACTTCTTTTTTTTTTTTTTAACAGATACGTGTTTGTTCCTGGTTCTGTTTCCTTGAGTGATATGCTATGTAGTTTGTAGTTTCAGACACAAGAGTTATCAACTGTATTACAACCAATAAATTATATTTTGGTGGTGTATCTAGTACTAGTTGTGGGTGATCTGGACAAAGTAGTGTATAAAAAAAAAGACAAACGAAAGTTTGGGGATATAAGCGATAGTGGATCGTTGTCTTTTTGGTGTAATCAATGTTGGATGTTAAAGCTGCTTCGGTAGCTATGCTTGATGTATCTATGTCTATACTTGCAAGTAGTATCCTGCTTGCTGAATGGGCTCGTGTAACTATGAAGTAAACGGCTTTGAGTTTAGGAGTGTGGTGATATGGCAATAAAAAAAAAGAATTGGTAGTGTGAAAAAATCAAAGGTTTTCTTTTGGTTTTAGTTTAACACACAAAATGTAAAAAGAAATCAAAAAAAAAAAAGAAAATTCGATGGAAAAATGCCAAACAAAAAAAAAAAGTCTATACTAAGGGGAGTGATCAGCCACGTGACCACATGTTTCGTTATTTCCCAATTAGGAAGCAACATATACTAAAATGATCTAGCGATAGAATTCCGCCCAGATCTCGACCACAGCAGCCTGGAAAATTTCATTGACCAGCATACCATGAACAATGAACAATTACTCCAGATCCAGCCCATATTATTATTCTAAAAACAAAGAGTAGAGGATTATTTTCTGTATAATCAAACTATTGTGATTTTGACGCGTTTTCTAGCCTGTATATAAAAATTATACACCCTATTTACAATTGTTTCTTGGTATAAAATATATCCTGGGGCTAGACCCTACTTTTTTGCAGCTTCGACCGCAATCATATCTTGCATACGTTCCTTAAATTCCCAACTTTCCACTTGGGAAATCAACTCACCCAACTTAGTCCCATTCATACATCCTGGTACATCGTGTAATGAAAACCCACATCTATGATCAGTAATTCTATTTTGCGGGTAATTGTATGTTCTAATCTTGTCACCACGATCAGTAGTGGTGACTTGATCGGTTCTCATGGCCTTTTGCTTTGCTACTTCTTCAACTCTTTCTAATTCAGCTAGTCTAGCTCGAAGAACTGCAAACGCCTTGGCTTTATTTTGAGGTTGCGAACGCTCATCTTGTTGTATCACAGTTACTCCGGTTGGTATATGAACCAAACGGACGGCAGAATCAGTCGTGTTCACATGTTGTCCACCTTTACCACCAGCTCGCATTGTATCTATTCTCACTTCTCCTGGTTTAAATTGACGTTCATCTTCTTTAAGTGATGCCTCGTTCCCTTCAGATAATTTGGGCAAGACAACAACTGCCGCTGTCAGGGTATGAACTCTTCCCTTGGTTTCTGTTTGTGGGACTCTTTGTACTCGGTGCACCCCACTTTCGTGACGAAGAATATCATATGTACCCGGAGTATCAATTGACAAAATTGCTTCATTGACAACACCTGCACCACTCAGTTTCCCTTCAACTTTATATTTCCAGCCGTTAACGGAAGCAAAACCAATGTACATATTCATCAAGTCTGCCGTGAATAATCCTGCTTCACTTCCTCCAACACCAGGTCTAAGTTCGAGAATACATCCTCGTTCTGCATGTTTTATAGGTGGAAGTAACTTATTGGTGAGATTTTCCACCAAACTTTCAGCTTCAGGAACGAGTTTATCCAACTCCTTATTGGCTTCATTGGCAAGTTCTTCATCAGAAGGATCCTGTGCTATTTGTTCGAGCTCGTTGATTTCTGATTGTACCGTATTTAATCTATCATATCTATCTATTATGTCTGTGATTTTATCGAATTTGAGTTGGAGCTCAGCATCATAGGTTTCTAGTTTTGATTCGAGCTCTTTTTTATCTTGAACTAGGGTTTGGGCTCTCAGCACAAGCAAAGGGTGGAGCTGTGGAGCTAGGGAATAGAACCTTTTGAATTGGATCCCAAGGTGTCTTCGTATCATGTGTGGTTTATGATGTGAACTAGTTGCCAACCATTGCAACAAAATTTTTTTCAGTCCCATTCTTACGATAGGACGGTTTTTTTTTATTACAGAGAGACATAATATGCGATCTGGTTAAGCTTTGCACAACATGAATGAGCAGCAGATATGGTATAGGTCATCAGTCTCTATCTAGCTATATATATATATATTATTTGATATTTTATATGGCCCTGGACTGTTGTAGCAAAGAGCCATACTTAATGTAATCCTTCCCACACTTACCTCGTCCAGGGTAATCCTTGCAAGAGCCCCCTCCCTCCGAACTACTTCAAGTCCTTTTCTTTCTAATTTTGGAATAAAGGCCAAGGCGGATGGATGGGTATTCAAATTTCCCTCACAGAATTTTAATAATATCAATAAATTCCCTATCGTGCCTAATTTACAAAATAGCCATTGTTGTTAAAAAATTTAAATGTTGCAAATCTGGAGTACACATTTTCTGGAAAATTTCTCCTTTTTATTACTCTCTTCTTTTTCAAAACCAGGCACTATGACACTTTCAATCGACAATTATATCTTTGAAGAGCTTGAAGAAATGTACAATGATGCCGTTGCTGAACTTCTCATCTCATACAGTGAATTCCTACAATTACAACATAAACAATCCTTCACGCTCTGCAAGATCTTATTCACAAACATTAAAAGTCGCAAGAAGTATTTTGAAAATAAATGGATACTCACTCAAATTCACCTTTTTAAGAAGAATGCCGAGGTATGGGAGTGGAGAAAAGTGGTCAATGTAATCTTGGCAACTATGAAGGATAAGGGGTTTATCAGTCTGCGAGAATTGAGAAGATTGCACCTGGGGCTAGTTCGTGAGTTCAAGCATGTCGAAGAAAAGTTTGAAGCCCACCGGGCTAAAATGCTTAATGAAAACAAAGATGTTGCTATTGTATTGCTGTTGTTGCAGGAGTATCCTCGTGTGGGTAAACATTTGAAACAGTTGGAAAAATCTCTTCTTTGGAGATTAAGAATCATGAACAGAGAAGAAAGAAGGACTTTTTAGGGATACTTTTGAAACTAGGAAGAGCTTTGTAGCTTAGAAAACTAGTTATATAAATTTGTAGGTAGATTTTGATATAAAATGAATTTTATGATAAAAAAAAATGAACAATGTTTCTGTAGTTGTTGAAAATTGGGTCGATAAAATGATTGCCCAGTTTACTAATTCAGATTAGTAAGACAAATGTAAGCATATTACAATTAAACCACATGAATTATGACATGTTGTCTAATAATCAACTTTTATATATTTCAAGAAGCACAATATGGTAGCGCCAATTTACGATCAATGGCAAATTCGAAAAAAGCAAATAAAGTTTGTCATTTTAGTAACACTATTGAATCCTACCAACACATAAGCACAATGGACAATTCAATACCCCTCACGTTAGAGGAATTTAAAGTTAGAATTTCAAAGATCTCTGAAGCTGAACTACAAGATCAAAAACAAGAACAAAGGTCATTACTTTTACACCTTGTTGAAACCAACAATGAGTTAGATCTGGAGATCCACCTACTTCACAGGAAAGAAATAAAGACCAACGAGGATTTGAATGATATAAAATTTTATAAGGAAACAGTTCTTGAAAATAAAGGCGTTATTCTAGATAAAGTTGCTCGAATTTCGGCCATCAATGACGAGTTAGTAGCCCGAGGTATTTTAGATGAAAAGATGAAATCAGACGAAGAGGAGAAATTGATTAGCGAGGTTGTCCAAAAAGACATCACAAATGTATGCGATAAAAAGGAGGAAACAATCGATGTTCCAGAAACAAATGAACAAGAATCTGAAGAAGGTGTATACTTATAGTGCCACGTGTAAATAGCCTTTCCTACATCACCCCTATCCCAATATACATCGTTTATTTACATGTCAGTTATATACATATTACTTACTTTTTTATTTCATAGACATCAGTTCCCCACAATTTATTCCAGAATGGCTTTTCATTAATTTCAATTGGGTCTTCTGGACGTTTAAGTACATACATCCATGTGGTTCCAAAGTGGGCTCTCTTCTCAAGAGTGATATCCAAACCAGCTTCATCAACTAATTCCCCAATATCCAAATTCCATCTACATGCCCATGTTTCCATTCTCTTTTCACTTCTGGTGTCCAAGTATTTGTTGATAAAATCGTACTTGCTTCTTCCATGCTCCAACAAGACAATTCTTCCTCTTGGTTTCAACAACTTGGCCATATTCTTCAATGACTTCACAGGGTCTTCATGAGCACATAATCCAAAGGATTCAACGATGGTATCGTATCTAAGTTGTTCGTTACCTTCAGTTAAGTCAATCAAGTCTTCAGCTTTACCCACAGTAAAGGACACCTTATGGAATTTAGGAAATCTTTCGTGAAACTTTTCTCTGGTAATCTCAACCATATTTCTAGCAGAATCAAGGAAAGTAATCGAGTTGATCTTGTCAGTACGAATATAAGGGATGTTTCTACCCGTACCACAAGCAACTTCAAGGACATCACCCTTGAGCTTCTTCATTACCCAATCTCTTTTCAGACCCATAAAGATACCCCTTTCTTCCCATTTAACGGCATCATCATAGTCCTTAGCTTTACCTTCATAAAAGGCAGTAGTATCTTGAGGTGGCACAATATGTCTGGCGTTTTTAGAGTTGGTTTGTTCAAGATCCAAGGGAGTTCCATCTAATTCAGGAATTACAACCTCCTTTCTAATGACAGCTTGTTTACTATACCAATCCTCTAATTCCTGTGGAGTAGGATTGAAGACATAGTCCTTGTTGGCAATATTCTTTCTTCTAAACTCCTTACGCATCAAAGAGTAATACTTGAACTTTTTCAATTCCAAAGGTCTCAACTTATCATTTCCGGCGTTTTTAAGCATGAGATACTCATATTCACTCAAGCTCTTAGGGTCTTCCTGGTACTTCTTCTTGATATCAATAAGTTGAAGATGTTCATAGAAACGATCTCTCATGTAAAAGTAAAGCAAAATGGCAAGGGACCCAAAGGAGGCCAAATATATTCTAAACATACGCTTCTTGTATGTTTCCGATTGTTTGTAAAGCACCCAATGGAACCATTTAGGAAGCCCTTTCTTTCTTGATTCTATTGCTTCGTCTTCTGGGGAGCGGTGCACGACCTTGCTCTTGACCGGAAACGGTTCTTTCGAAGCATAATTACGAAGGATAATTGAAGTGGCTGGCATGCAATTGATTTTAGAACGAGCAAGAGCTCGTCCCACAAGGGTTGGGAGTCTCCTCGGTAACATATTCTCCTTGACTGGAAGTACAAATTGGTTGTAAAAAAAATCACTTCACTGAAATTTTTCAAGTGCTAACAAAAATAAAACGAAAGGTCGTGCACCAACACATGTTTACTTGACCAACGAAAAACTTGATGGCAAATTATATACACCAAACTGAAAGAACAACCTGGAGAATAACGTAGTAAGATCAATAGATTATGTCGGAGCAATTGTTGAAAGAAGCCAAGGAGGCAACTACAGCCAAGCAATATGATGTTGCTGAAGCAAAATACACTCAACTTATCCAAGATACAACCACAACAACCAACCCACCAGCTAAAGTATTACAACAACAAGAAACAGCCATATTGGAATTAGGTAAGATTTATGAAGCACAGCAAGATGCCAACAAGCTCGCTGACTTGATCACTCATTCGCGACAAGTCCTTGGTAATTTCGCCAAATCAAAGACGGCCAAGATTGTCAAAACCTTGATTGAAAACTTTGATAAGATTGAAGATTCATTAGATTTACAAATTAAAGCTACCAGAGAAAGCATTGAATGGGCCGTCACCAGTAAATTGTCATTCTTGAGACAGTCGTTACAATTGAAATTGTCCGACTTGTTATACCAAAAACACAACTATCAAGAAGCGTTGAAGAACATTACTGACTTGTTAAGAGAATATAAGAAATTGGATGACAAATCGTCCTTGGTTGAGGTTCAATTGTTGGAGTCAAAGATCTATCATGCCTTGAGAAACATTCCTAAGTCAAGAGCAGCCTTGACCAGTGCCAGAACTTCAGCCAATTCCATCTATTGCCCTACTATTTTACAAGCTGAATTAGATTGCCAAAGTGGTATTTTGAATGCTGAAGATAAGGACTACAAAACTGCATTTTCATACTTTTATGAAAGTTTCGAAGGATTCAATTCTCAAGAAGACCCAAGATCAATTGTGGTGTTGAAATACATGTTGTTGACCAAGATTATGTTGAATTTGGTTGATGATGTTAACAATATCTTGAACAACAAGAACGTGATCAAATACAAATCCCGTGATATTGATGCCATGAAGGCAATTGCACTTGCTTATTCCAACAGATCTTTGAAAGAGTTTGAAACTTCATTATTGACCTATACAGACGAATTGAAACTGGACCCAATTATTAAAAACCATTTCAATGCATTGTATGACAACTTGTTGGAACAAAACTTGTTGAAGATTATTGAATCATACAGTTGTGTTGAATTATCACATATCTCCAAGACCATTGGCTTGAACTTGCAACAAGTTGAAGGAAAGTTATCTCAAATGATTTTGGATAAGGTTTTCTATGGGGTATTGGATCAAGGAAATGGATGGTTGATTGTGTATGATGAACCTAGAAAAGATGCCAGTTATGAAGCATCCTTGGATTTGATTAAGAACTTATCCAGCGTAGTTGATTTATTATACGAAAAGGCATCGTCATTAAACTAGATTTACAGTATTCTATTAGTAATACACAAATATACTTTTTTTTTTTTTGCAGTCTATGTAAAGATTCCACTGGCTCCTCGTTCAGAAGCAGTAACTGCCAAATGACCTGCTTGGGTTAAGAACTCATCTAGACGGCCACAGCTAGTGAAACATTGTAAGTAGTCATACTCTTCATTGGCAACGTCATTAATCAACTCAAATGCCATTCTAATGTATTTCCAATCCTTAGCACGAGCAAGCGTGTATACCTGTAACAACTCAATGATAAGATATGGGATATAAATTGATCGGATGTTTTGATAAACCGAAATACTACTTTCATCAGCCGTGCTTTCAATCAAGTCTTTGAACCAATCAGTCATTAGTTTGCGTAACGTTCCTGTAACCTTTTCTAAGCAATTAGTAATGATAGGACTGGCCCAGCTTACATTCCCTCGAGTGAACTCCTTCCATTGGTCAATCAAGCTTAAACCTTGCAATAGTCTTGCGTATGATTTTAATTCTTCTTTGGTTTCTTCCAGGATTTGTACGTCGTCTTCGGACCCTCCTAGAGTTTGTAAATCGAAATCTGCAAGTAATTGGTTGAAATCTTTACCTTGAGCAAACTTTTTTAATGCTGTTAATTTTCCACAACTCAAGAATCGACGGATGACAATAATGGTGGCAGAAATGGCATCACCATACATCTTATTATCATAGAACCATTCAACAGCACGGTACAACTTGAAGTCAATATCATTAACAGCCCCATTGATATCATCCTGAACAACAATCGGTCCTTGAGGGACATAATGATCAGCAGTTTCATTCATTACTCGTTCCACAGTCCTTCTCAATACATTGACCAACTTACCACCCTGTGAGTCATCTATAATTACCATTTCATCATCGGTAATCACTGGCTGAGTTATCTTTTTCGACATTTCCAATTGCTTCAAACGTTGTTCACGATCAGTAAGGGAGGAAAGGTAAAGTGAATACGTTTCACGAGCATCTTTTTCATCAGGCATGAATGATAAATAGATAGGTATTAATTCAGGTGCTTTGCATTCTGACAATTTGGCAACGTATAACGTAAGGATCACAGTAAGGTCTTGAGGGTCAATCAGTGGGGTAACCAGGTATAAATAGATCAGTAAATGGGTGATTATTCTAAGCAAATGTTGATCTGCGAGTGTCTGGTTATCTTGGGAAGATGCAATTAAGTTATGTAAAAGGGAAGGTACTTGATCAATCATGACCGCTCCAGTCATAACTCGTATTGGATCCACGCCTTGTTGAGCTAATTGGTCGTTTGCATTCAGGAGGTTATTAAGTATTTGATCAATGGAATCTACTTGGGGTTTAGGAACATTGATAGATAATGTTTCTTGAGGGTTGAATGAGGATATGAATGATTCCAACTTGTATAGTAATAGTTGTGATGCATACAATAGCAACGACTCTTCCCAATTTTCTTCAGCCACTTTCAAGTTTTCTGCAATATCGCCTCCACTGAGATAGTTATAAATCAAACGTTCATATTGGTTAAGGTTGGGTTGTTGGGATAATTTGTACACTGTTCGTTTCCAGGCTAATTTATGTTTGATTCCTCCTGATTTGGCATTCTCTTGCGGGGAAGAGATACCGTCCAACACTGGATCAATGTAATCTTGAGAAGCTCCAAGCAAAATTAACGCGAGGGCAAAATTACCCGTGTTATTCGCATAATCTATAGCATCTTGGATTTTGCCGGCAAGTATCAACTTGTAAATTATTGAGAAGTTCAACGAATCAATCTGTTCATCTTGAGGATCAATTAATTTGTTGGATCTTAATGGTGCATCAACATCCAAATCGGCTACTAAATCGGGGTTTGCACCCTTTCTGGCGAGAGCACTGAAATGAGAACTGTTCATGGCTAACCTGGTGTTATTCCACTTAATTTGGTTTTTGTTATCGTCGTCGTCAAACACGTATGTTTTGGTATTTGCCTGAATCCAGTTGATGATAATCATCAACTCTCTTATTTTAGGGTTGAGTCTGAGATAATTTTCCTGTTTAACTGCCAAAGTGGAGAAATCGTATTCAGGAATCAATTCCACCGACCCGTCTTCCCCTGTTTGATAGCTCAACCTGAGTGAATACAAATCCCCAACCAAGTCCCATAGTTTGGTTTCTAAATCCCAACTTTCAAACTCTTGCAAAAGTAGTTTGTCCAGCTCATTTTCATTCAACTCACGACCCAATTGAAGTGCCTGTTTGGCAGCGATGGTTTTAAACTTATTCAAGAATTCAAAGGCAGTGTAGTCTTCACTCTTGTTGAGTTGGAAATCTTGCAATGCATTTGCGAACTGGATCTCGATGCTAGTCTCTTGATCGTAAGGAACCACGATTGAATTGAGCCTGTGTTCTCTCATCTATGGTGGCCTGTTTACCGTCTAGACTTGATTTGGTTGTCAAAATTTCTGGTGGTCAAATGTTTACCTTAGCAGAAAAAAAGATGAGAGCAAAAAAAAAAAAAACAAGAGACATTTAAGAGACATTTTAAGCAATCCGCATCCCGTGAGGCTGAAAATGTCGCAGTTTCCGTGCTCCACATTTTAAGGGAAACTCGCCCCCCCTCAAGAAAAAATGCTGTTATTCTTAACTCTACTCCGTTGCAGCTTATCAGTAATTGGTAGTTCAAGATATACACCTTCAAATCATTTCTATATTAGAGTAAATTAAGTAATATACACTACAAATATGGAACCAGTGAATGATTCACAACAATTGAATCAAAATAACACCCCACAACAAGAGTTAGCTGCAGCAGATCAACCATTATCAGTGACACCCTCAGCAGCCACAAACCACTCCTTCATTGAGGATGACGAAGACAACAATCCTTTCATACATCAAGGCTTAGGTAGTCTCGTTAGCCAGACGTCAAATGGTGCCAAAACAAACGACAAACCAGGTGAAGTAGCAGATCCTGACGAAGACGACGAATCTATGCTCCTTTACAATTCAAATATGGCCACCGGCACGTCAGCAACTGCATCAACAACAAAGAAACCCCATGAAACTTTCAATACTGTACAAATGAACTTTGAAAGCCGAGTCACCAAGTTATTAAAACCTAACAACAAGGTCAAGGCGCAAATCACCGAAGCTGGCAATTCCAACGAAGGAATGTCTAATGCTCTGAAGAAATATGTGGTGTATACCATTAAACTAATTAATGTGGAAATTCCCAACGATGAGATATTGACACGAAGAAGATATAGTGATTTCGAAAGTTTGAGAGATGTATTGACAAAGATATTTCCTCTTGTGGTTATTCCTCCCATACCTCCTAAGAACTATTTCAATTTCTCAGTCTGGAATGGATTGGTAGGAACTTCCACCAATGGTATTGCTTCAACAAACGGTACTTCAGCAACAGATTCTTCTTCAAGTGCATCTGCAGGAGGAAGTGCTCCTGTCACCACAACCACTAGCGGTGGGAAATCGTTGCCAACATACTCATACATTAATTCAACCCATTTAACCAAGAACAAACTAATTGAACATCGAAAGCGATTATTAACCAATTTCCTCAATAATTGCCTAGAAATTCGCCAGATTCGTCATTTGGAATTCTTTGCCAAGTTTTTAGATCCTAACGCCAATTGGACCGATGAAATAGCCTTAATTACCAGCAAGTTACCCAAATCTATATACTTGCTGAATCCCGAAAACGGATTAAAGACAGACCCAGCATATTCCCATTTACCCAGCCCTTCCAGCAAGAACACTATACTGTTTTTCAAAGATAATGGAAAGAGATTAACCAAAAAGACAAACAAATTATTGAGCAATGATGAGCTGGCTTCTAGACAACAATCGAGTCCTGAGAGAGACGAGGTCCAGAATCAGGATCTGGCTTCACTGCCACAAACTTTTAACTCGACCCAGTATATTGTCAGTACATCCACGCTTGATGATATTAATAAGCGGATAATGGGAAATTTCATTGGCTTGTCAAATGATTATACGGAACTAGGCACCATCTTTAATTCATTTTCAGTTGTTCTTGGAGACTTTCCTGGTAAATCTAAACTGGATGACGTGAAATTGAATATAATTTTCGATAAGATTGGTCAACTGTTTGATCGAAGCTATATTACTATCAATTCTCTCATTGGTGAATTAGAGACCAAGTTTTCCGAACCTTTGGGGGAAGTGGTTCAGTATACTAGTATCCTACAAGATATTGCCAAATATAAATCAAGAAAATTCAGACAGAAACAAATGCTAGATACAGATATTATTGAGAAGAAGAAAGATTTGACCGAATTGTTGCGATTGGAAGAAGAATCGTCAAGAATTGAAACTGCAATCAATTCCCAAGGAATATCCAAAAATACCAAATTCAATTTGGAATCTGCCACTTCTAGAAAATCTGGTCAATCTCCCCTTAAACCAACTAGTAATCCACAAGCACAATCCACCACAACAAGCAAGTTTCGATTTCCTAGTTTCAAGAAAATTACACAATATGTAAGTGAAATAATAGATCAGAACCCACAACAAACGCGAAAGCAGAAAATCGTGCAACTTCAAAACAAGATTAAAATATTGGAAAGATGTCAAGATATAATGTTGGCTGATTTATCATTTATTGCTGATGAGGTCAATAAGAACATTGCAGCTTTCCATACGCGACAATTGAAGATGATTTACGAGATTTTATTATGCTATAATCGATTTTTGATAGGGTGGGCAAAGAAAAATATAGATATATGGGAAGAGGTGAAAGAAGAAATTATTAAACTATAGGCAGAATAAACTAGATAGTATTATAATTCTATGGAACTGACAAGTATTCAATGACAGCTGGTCCCCATTCATCAGCACGTTTGTACTGGGAAATATCCTCGGGCAACCCACGGATTGCACCGATTAATCTATCACAAACTTCTCTCCCTTCCCTTTTGACCTCTGCTAGTGGAAGAAGGTATGTTCTAATAGTAAATACCATTGCTCCTGATTTAGGTAATTTTGTCAAACATTGACGTTCACTTCTGTAATGTACTTGTTTCTCAAAATCCAATTCTTCTATACGTAAGGGTTCTTGAACGTACCCTTCTGGCAAATTATGGCCTTTGTTTGCATCATCAACGTAAAACTTGGGATGGGTTTGCATAGAAAAGTTCAGTCTAGTTACAAATTGTCCTGGTTGAAGTCGATTAAAGAATCTATTCATGGACATCTTCAACTTCTCGGGGTATCCAGGAATTGGATGATGGACAAATGAAAGTGGCTTGTTGAATCGATCTTTAGGATCAAATCCAGCTGCAAATGCAAAAACCCCACCTTTAAAGAAATATTCAGTTCCGTCAATTTCATGCTCTCTAGTGGGATCCTTTAAAAGAATAATGAAATCTTCTTCGATATTCTCCACCAAATACTCCTCAAGAGTAATTGCTTCAACTGTGCTGTTATCTACAGGATAACACTTGTCAGTGATACCATTGTGGTATTGATTTCCCACTTTTTTGAAATACATGGGATATTTATCACACATATATTGCATGACGATATCGTAAAATTCACGGATGGCGGGAATAGCCTCGTCGGTGACAAATAACGACGATGATCTTGTGTCTTTATCCTTAGGATAGTCTTCATGACAGTTATGGACAATCTTCAGTTTATTTTCTATACGATTCAAATAGGTAGGCTCAATCAATAACCAGTCTTGAACTTCGAGAGTTTTGATTCCCATAGTTAGTTTATACACGGCATCCTTGAAAGGGTAAGATTTCAAAGGTGGGTCCTTGTTCCATTGGAAAGACGGATCTACTGCTGTTGGCTTGATCAGTTGGACTGGTTGTCCATAAAGTTTAGATTTTGCTGGTATAATAGTTTTCTTGGTTCCAGATAACGGAAATTTCAAAAATGTAGATACGACCACTGCAAGGAATGCTACACCCCAAGTCAATACATTCCAATTAGGTTGAGAGAGAAAAACTTGGATATATCCTTGTGTAGAATTCATAAAGTTTTACACTCAGAAAAGAAAGTGAATCAAATAAACTGCTAACTGGTTCTATTTATATGATGCGCTATTGCTGGACAAATCAGGAAGGCGCTTTTTCCATTGACTCATATTGTTTGCGGGGGGTACATAAGGCGGAACTGTCATTTTTTTCGGGGTAAAGCATGGCGAATTGAGTTAACAAAACCGAAACGGCGTTTTTTTATGAGACAAGAGCGGAGCCGGCTTGGTCAATCTCGTTTTTTTTTTATCTGTATCTTGTCTGTAGATAAGGTCGTGTCTAGCAACTTTCGCATGAATGGACCATTGTATTAAAGATCGTACTATTGTTGTGATGAGCGGAGTTGGGTTTCCGCCGTTTCTTTATAGGACTAGAATAAACGCACCAGATATGAAAACTACAACTCATTGCAGCCAAAGCAGATCATGCTGTAGCAATATAAACAGAACTACATAGAACTATCAAATATTATTAGGCCCAAATTTGAAGTTGCTCATAGTAATCAACTCTCTTCTTTTCTGGGTTGTCAATAGTTTTGCAACATTGATAACGAACTTCGTCGACCATAGCTGGGTGACCACAGGTTACAAACGAAATCGAACCAGCGGATTCTTTAACCTCATCTTGAATCAATTTTTCAAGATTTGGTCTACCTTGCTCAAAGTGAACGTGCGATAACTCTTCTTTCAATTGTTCAATAGGATCTGCACCTTCGGATTCCTTAGGTTTAGTACCTTGCTTAGATTTAACTGACCCTTCTTTTGAACTTTCCAGAGTGCTTAATTCCTCAATTTTACATAAGTTATCTCCGGGTCTTGTAACATAAACTGTGATGTCAATGTTGGTATTTTTCAACCTCATGAGTTCATCATGGAACCAAGTAAGAGAGGCGTATTCTCTTATAACCCAGATTAACTTTAATACCTGCTTACTTTCCTTTGGTGCTCTTAAACCAATATCAAAAATTTCTGAATAAACCCCAGGGATCCCATTACCACCAGCGATGAAAACAGCCTTGTCAGAATATTTTGCTGGTGTAGCTTCACCGTAGGGACCTTCAACACCGACTCTCATAATCATAGTCTTACCTGGGGACTTATTCAATAATTTGTATAAGCTGTGGGTTACACCGCCCTTGAGCTTGATATACATAACAAGCTTATCTTCCTCAGGTAAACTAGTAAATGTGAAAGGATGAGATTGCCAAAAGTAAGCCGGTTTCATGAAATAAACGAATGCATGTCCACCAGGGACAGCTGTCCAGTGTTTGGGTTTAGGAATTATCATTTTAATTGTTTCATTGCCCACCAACGTGAGAGTCAGTTCAGGGAATCCAAAGTAGGCCAATCGACACAATCTTACCAATCTATCAAAACACCAAACAGCAACACTTGGATATAAAATATCACCATATCCCAAATCAACAATATGTATCCAAGTACCAGCAACGTATAAAGCAGCAAAAACTATATGTACAACTACAAATATTTCATACCACTTTCTTCTGAGGTAAAGTATGCTTTGTGCCAATATTAAACCACCAATAGCAGTAGCTATAACACCCCAGTAAAACCAAGGTTGTTTGAAATCAGAATAATAATATTCTTCTTCAAAAATAGAGTAAGTTACTGAATGGATAGCAACTAACATAAACATGACTCTGGCAAGGTGTCTATGGTAACAAAGGAAAGTGGCACTGTTAATTCCACAAACCCATAACAAGAAGTTGTTGCGCCCAGAAAATAAGATGACTAAAGGCATGATGATGGTTCCAGTGATACCAGTTCTATCACCAATGTATCTGATTTCAGCCAGGTATTTCGATCCATAGACAGGATCGTTTTCAATTCCTTTCAATATAACTGCATGTATAATTATGGTGAAGATGTAAAACAAAGCAATCACGATTAACTCATATCTAGTTGGAATTAAGCTATCAAGAACTTTAAAACCAGGCATCAGTTGAGATTTTCTTTTACCCCATAACGCTGGAGTGGAAATATATTTTCTCCAAAAGTTGGAAATAGGACCAGTCATTTTCTTAATGAAACCAGGGAATAATATCTTACTCCAGTGACTGATTGCCGCAATGACTAAAACAATTAGCCAGAACCCAAACATTGATACCCCGTACCAAACTGAGTCATCAAGGTTGGTGAAATATTTGTGAGCACTGGTCTGGTACATGTCTATATCTTTGGGGTCGTATCTAATTGGGAAATCGATTGGTGTTTTAGTAACTGCTACTTCAGAAGCATTTCTTGCATTATTGTTGAAGTATACTAATGCTTTATCGTACCAGCCTGGTTCCAATTCAGTTCCATAATATTCATGACAATATTCAGGAATAAAGTGGTTGATCAAATATGAAGTGTTTGAATTCTTGTAAGCTAAACATCCTGCAATGGTAGCGACCGAATTTTTGTTAGCACATAAACATGTTTTGTCAGAAGGTGGACAAAAAGTGTAACCAGAATAGCTCATTATATAATTACAACCATATAGCAAAGCTGCTTTCTTATAAAATTCAAGTCCGCTGCCATGGGCAAGAACTCTAATAGCAAAGAGAAATTGCAAAAAAAGGGAATAGGATCTCATTTTAATTTGTGATACTCATAGTCCACAGAAATTATTTATTGGGAAACCTTGCAACAATTTATACAATTTCTTTCTTTCTTCCTTCCTCCCTAATAACTTATTGTCTCTTATCTGTCACCGAAATTCGGCAAAACTTTCACTCGGGCGTCCCATTTGACTATTATTCATGCATATCTGCTTTTCCAATTCCAAGAGTTCTAGCCAATCGCTGCTTTCGCCTATCCAACCCCGTTGCTAAAATATTTCTTGGCACATTAAATATCAAGTAAATAATAATCACCCAAATTTGTCATTTGGACATAATTATGTGTTGTAGGTATCAACATGCTGGTATCAAATGTGTGTCAGGCTGTACCTCGAAAGTTAAATCTCAATAAATATTGTCATTTTATCAACCAGGTAATGATGGGGTGGTGATATTCTTTGCTTTAAAGATTTTCTTGTTATTTTTTTAGATGGATAAGATTAGATCCAATGAAAAATTATAATTTTCATGCAAAGGGGGTAGAATTTATCGCATCCCCGCGCGCAATATCCTGGCTCAACATAATAAATAGGAATGTGATATCTCTTCCTTTAGAAGTACTCCGCTTTTGTTTTAGTTACTCTAGTTCATACAAAAAATATTTCATGTATAAAAGATATATAATCTGCCTCGGATGAGCAATTTAGAAAAAAGTAGTGATCAAATTTACGAAATATAAAATCCAAAGTTTACGAGCCTAAGCCTCTATTAAATCTAAGCCCAAACTTGAAGTTGTTCAAAGAAATCAACTCTCTTCTTCTCAGGGTTGTCAATGTTCTTACAACATTGATAACGAACTTCATCAACCATAATTGGATGTCCACAAGCAACAAAGAACGTGGACCCTGGTGATTCCTTGATTTCATCTTGAATCAATTTCTCAATGTTAGGTCTACCTTCTTCAAAATGAATATGTGATAATTTCCCCTTTAATTCTCCAGGAATATCTTCAGTTATATATTCCTTGGATTTGGATACTTCGTTAATCGAATCTTCCTTTGAACTAGAAATTCGGTCAAACTCACCAAGTCTATCTAAGTTTGCTTCTGGGCGGGTAACATAAATTGTAGTGTCAATATTGGTGCTCTTCAACTTGGAAAGTTCATCATAAAACCAAACTATGGAGCTGTATTCTCTTACCACCCAAACTAACTTTAATATAGATTTTCTTTCTTTTGATGATTTCAATGAAATATCATAAACCTCGGAGAGAATACCAGGAATACCATTACCACCTGCGAGGAAAACAGCCTTATCTGAATATTTGGCTGGTGATGATTCACCATATGGACCTTCAACTCCAACTCTAACAGTAATAGTTCTTCCAGGAGCTTTGTTCAACAAGTTATAAAAGTTTTTAGTAACTCCACGTTTGACCTTCATGTAAAAGACAAGAGTGTCACTATCGGATGAGTTCGAGAAAGTAAAGGGATGAGATTGCCAGAAGTACGATGGACACATGAAATAAACAAAGGCATGACCACCTGGAACAATAGACCAATGCTTGGGCTTAGGGATTGTCATCCTGATAGTGTCTTCACCTGCTAAAGTAAGAGTTGCCTGTGCCGTACCAAAGTAAAACAATCTGCAAATTCTTATCAATCTGTCAAAGCACCAAACAGCAATGCAAGGATATAAGAGATCACCATATCCAAAATCAATTATGTGAATCCAAGTACCCACAATCCAAAATACAGCTAAAAGTATATGGACAATGAGAAAACATTCATACCAATGTCTTCTAAGGTAAAGGATACTTTGCATCAACATTACCCCACCAACAATAGTCCCAATAACACCCCAGTAAAACCATGGTTCTACAATAGATGACGAGTATACGGATTTTTGAGCAACTGTATAGACCACTGAGTGGATAACAACTAAAATGAACATCACTCTAGCGATGTGACGATGATAGCAAAGGAATGTAGCCTGGTTGATACCACAAACCCATTGCAAGAAGTTGTTCCTACCTGAAAATAAAAATACCAATGGCATAATCATTGTACCGACAATTCCAGTTCTATCAGCTACATATCTCAATTCTGCCTCATATTTTGAGCCAAAAACAGGATCATTTGCAACCCCATCCATGTTAATTGTATGAAAAATTAGAGTCAAAATGTAAAAGATGGAAATCGCAATCATATCAAATCTAGCTGGGATTAAACTATCAAAAATCACAAATCCTGGCATTGACTGGGACTTCCTTTTACCTATTAATGCTGGCATAAACACAAACCTTCTCCAAAAGTTTGTGATGGGACCAGTCAGATTCCTGATAAATCCTGGAAATAAGATCTTGGACCAATGACTAACAGCATGGATAATTAACACAACCAACCAAAATCCGAATATAGCTGCCCCGTAATAAATAGAATCATCGAAATTAAGCAAGTACGTATTTGCAACATATGCATAATAGTTCATAGTGTCTGGTTCATATTTTACGGGAACATTAACCGTTATATTACCATCAGGCATAGGAATATCTTTGACATACTGGGCTCTTTGGTTGTAATCATTCAATGCTACCTCGTGCCAATCTGGTTGCAACGTGACATTAAAGTTTTCTTTACAATAATTAATAATATAATTATCCACAAATGCATTATATCTATTCTTGTATTCTAAACATCCTGCAATGGTAGCTCTTGAATTCTCACTTGCGCATAAACTGGGATAATCAGTAGGTCCAAAAAGTCTGACATCAGTACTATAAAGTACTTGGTAGGAACAGGCATACCAAGCTACAGATTTCTGGTAAAACTCCATACTTTCTGCTTCGACTGAAATAGCACTGAATAAACCACAAATTAAATAAATTAAAATAGTTGGATTCATACTGGAAGCTGGTTAGGAAATGTTCTTGGATGAAACCAATTACCAAAAACGTTTTCAATTACCATATTTATATTCCGTTTTCATATATTTTTGATTGTTGGAACTAATGGGAGCAGCTCTGATTTTAATGTAGACTTTCGGGCCCAATGAAAATATAGAGCCACATATAATGCAAAAAAATATGAAGTGGGCTTAGCTGTGAATTGTATCTTTTTAATCATTAAAAAATATTGCATTTCATATTTCAAGCTTTTGTCCTTATCCCCTCAGTGGTGTCAAATTTTACTTTGGCTACAAAACCTAGTATCATACAGCCAATCATTGATTTGACTTATCCAAATCCTTTCATCTATGGATATTTTTTAGCATACTTGTTGATTAGGTAACAATAAGCTAAATAAGTTTGCTTGAAATTGTGGGGTTTAAACTTATTGTTGGTTGCGATGTATGTTCAAGTGCCAGAGCATGATGTATCCGGAAAATAATAACAAAATTTCCAAATTTGAATTATAATTGACACTTTTTTATGCTAGCAGAAACAGCCAGTATGACTGTGATTATATTTGGTATATTATTTTAAGGTACGCGGGTTAAAACCGCTGCGCGCGCAATTTAAAAATATTTTTGAAGATGGTGTTCTAGATCGACACTTTTGTGCTCTTGCATTTCCCAATTTTTTTTTTCTGTTACTCAGATCGCTAATTGTAATTCGTATTAATTAGTAACAATGAGAATTTCATAACGGGTTTATTCAATCTCTCATCTTCAATCTTTAATTGCTTTGGGTTTCCCGAAAAAGACACTAATTTATATTATCGAAATTCTAATTAAATATAAATTCACAGGATGTAAAATTAATAAATCTAGGGGAGTCAAATTGGCAATACATATATTTACGAATCTAAGCCCAAACTTGAAGTTGTTCGTAGAAATCAACTCTTTTCTTTTCTGGGTTTCCAATGTTCTTGACACATTGGTAACGAACTTCATCTACCATGATTGGATGTCCACAAACAACAAAAGCAATCGATCCTGGAGAATCCTTAACTTCGTCTTGAACCAATTGCTCAAGATTTGGTCTACCTTCTTTGAAATGAATGTGAGACAATTCTTTCAATTGTTCAATTACATCCACACTTTCATATGAATTGACCAATTCAGAAGATTTGATAGATCCTTCCTTTGAACTATTTGATTCTTCAATTTTACTGAAGTTAGAAGGTCTAGTAACATAAATGGTGATGTCTATGTTGGTATTTTGCAAGGTTTTAAGCTCTTCGTGGAACCAAGAAATAGAGGCGTAATCTCTAATAACCCAAATCAATTTTAATACCTGCTTACTTGCCTTTGGTGCTCTTAAACCAATATCATAGATCTCTGAATAAATACCAGGGATCCCATTACCACCAGCGATGAAAACAGCCTTGTCAGAATATTTTGCTGGTGTAGCCTCACCGTAAGGACCTTCAACACCGACTCTCATAATCATAGTCTTACCTGGGGACTTATTCAATAATTTGTATAAGCTGTGAGTTACACCACCCTTAAGCTTAATATACATGACAATATTGTTTTCTTCGGCTGAACTTGTGAATGTGAATGGGTGTGATTGCCAGAAATAAGTTGGTTTGATAAAGTGAATGAATGCATGCCCTCCAGGAATTGGAGACCAATACCTAGGTTTGGGAATGGTCACCTTGATTGTTTCATTGCCTACCAATGTGAGAGTCAGTTCAGGGAATCCAAAGTAGGTTAATCGACACAATCTTACCAACCTGTCAAAACACCAAACAGCCACACTTGGATATAAAATAATACCATATCCCAAATTAACAATATGTATCCAAGTACCTGCAATATATACAGCAGCAAAAACAATATGTATGAATAAAAACATTTCGTACCAGTATCTTCTGAGGTAAAGAATACTTTGGATTAACATGAATCCTCCAATTGTAGTAGCAATGACACCCCAGTAAAACCAAGGTTGTTTGAAGTCAGAATAATAATATTCTTCTTCAAAGATAGAATAAGTTACTGAATGGACCACAACTAACATAAACATAACTCTTGCGATATGACGATGATAGCAAAGGAATGTTGCATAATTGATCCCACACAACCATTGTAAGAAGTTATTGCGACCAGCAAATAACATCACCAATGGCATAATAATAGTTCCCACAATACCCGTCCTATCACCAACATATCTCATCTCTGCTGCATATTTTGTTCCGTAGACAGGATCATTTTCAATTGCTTTCAAATTAATTGATTGGGTAATTATGGTAACGATATAAAATAAAGCAACCACAATCGATTCGTATCTAGAAGGGATCAAGCTATCGAGAACTTTAAACCCAGGCATGAATTGAGCTTTTCTTTTACCTAATAGTGCTGGAGCAGAAATGTATTTTCTCCAAAAGTTGGAAATAGGACCAGTCATTTTCTTAATGAAACCAGGGAATAAAATTTTAGACCAATGGCTAACAGCAGCGATAATTAAGACAACTAACCAAAATCCAAATAAGGCTACTCCGTACCAAATCGAATCATCACGGTTATTGAAATAGTTGATAGAAGTAGCTTGGTATCTTTCTAGTTCTGCTTGCTCAAACCTAATTGGGAAATCAATGGGGGTTTCAGTAGCTTCTACCTCAGAAGCGTTCCTGGCATTCTTGTTGAAGTATTCTAACGCCTTATTATACCAATCTGGTTCCAATTCAGTTAAGTAATATTCGTGACAGTATTCAGGGACAAAGTGATCAACTACATATGTAGTGTTACTATTCGTGTTAGCGAGACATCCTGCAATGGTAGCAACTGAGTTTTCATTGGTACACAAACACGTCTTGTCAGTAGGTGGACAAAAATGATAACCAGTATAGCTTATTATATAGTTGCAACCATACAATGGAGCAGCCTGCTTATAAAATTCAAGTCCGCTACCATGGGCAAGAGCTCCAATTGCAAAGATAAACACTAAGCAGAGAATCTTCATCTTGGAGAAAGTTAAATAACCAACACAATTTTAGGTCACAAGAGGGAAATTTGCAACAATTTATACTTTTTCGTTTTGTTTGATGGAAATGTAAAATGCCTTGAACTTTTATCTTTTCCATCAGTAAAAATAACCGATATTCGGTTAAACTTTCACATGTTTCACATTTTCCTCTACCATGCCCCATTACTTACCTCAATTCCGATTCGACATGTTGTTATAGCCAATCATCAGTTTAACCTTGTTGTATTACCAGTTTAATGTTTCTTGGCATGGTTTGGCCAAATGTGACATTACACAAAAGCTTTGAACAATAGCGTTAAAAGGGTGTTTAATTGTTAAAATTTATCTGATCTAGGCAATTCCAAGAAATAACTTACAAAGAGTTCCAATATGGTATGTAGTTAATGGTTAATTTTAATTGACGCCTCTCTTTTAAAGGTTTTAGAAGATTAAAAGTTTGGTATAAACATTTTCATGCACTCATGAAAAAGACGCCTGTTCTGGTTGAAAAATTTTCATTCTCACTGTTTTTGATCTTTTTGATAACCGTGGATCAGTTTTAATTCAATTAGAAACGATACCTTGATTTAAATTTTAATTTCTCAGAAAAATCACGTTAAGCATAAATTTGGAGACCCGAGTTACATTTACGAGATGGTCTTATATACGAAACTAAGCCTCTTCAAAGAAAAAAGTCTTACTTGAGGTTGTTCACTTTGCTATTATTTTTTTTTTTTGCTAAACTTTGTGTATGAACCGGAGCAACAATATCAATTTTTTCTAAAACTTTTATTTGTATTTCACCTTTTCCTTCAAAATTAATATAAGATACCGTACTTCTGGACAATTTTTCTTTCGTATGGCCGATGTTTGTCGAACACATTCATAACTACAGTTATTATAAGATACGCTAAAAGCAACAATTGCAATATATAAAAAAGAAATATTAGACACTTCTACATGAAACTAAAAACTATAACACTTTTAGGCCCAGATTTGAAGTTGTTCAAAGAAATCAACTCTCTTCTTCTCAGGGTTGTCAATGTTCTTACAACATTGATAACGAACTTCATCAACCATAATTGGGTGTCCACAAGCAACAAAGAACGTGGACCCTGGTGATTCCTTGATTTCATCTTGAATCAATCTCTCAATGTTAGGTCTGCCTTCTTCAAAATGAATATGTGATAATTTCTCCTTCAATTCGCCAGGAATATCATCAGTTATATATTCCTTGGACTTGGATACTTCATTAATCGAATCTTCCTTTGAACTGGTAATTTTCTCGTTAATGTCGCTGATATTAGTCAAGTTTGCTTCTGGGCGAGTAACATAAATTGTAGTATCAATATTGGTGCTCTTCAACTTGGAAAGTTCATCATGAAACCAAACTATGGAGCTGTATTCTCTTACCACCCAAACTAGCTTTAATATAGATTTTCTTTCTTTTGATGATTTCAATGAAATATCATAAACCTCGGAGAGAATACCAGGAATACCATTACCACCTGCGAGGAAAACAGCCTTATCTGAATATTTGGCTGGTGATGATTCACCATATGGACCTTCAACTCCAACTCTAACAGTAATAGTTCTTCCAGGAGCTTTATTCAACAAGTTATAAAAGTTTTTAGTAACTCCACGTTTGACCTTCATGTAAAACACAAGAGTGTCACTATCGGATGAGTTTGAGAATGTGAAAGGGTGTGATTGCCAAAAGTATGCAGGCTTCATGAAGTACACAAATGCATGCCCACCTGGAACAATAGACCAATGCTTAGGCTTAGGGATTGTCATCCTGATAGTGTCTTCACCTGCTAAAGTAAGAGTTGCCTGTGCCGTACCAAAGTAAAATAATCTGCAAATTCTTATCAATCTATCAAAACACCAAACAGCGATACTAGGATATAAGAGATCACCATATCCAAGATCGAATATATGAACCCAGGTACCCACAATCCAAAATACAGCTAAAAGTATATGGACAATGAGAAAACATTCATACCAATGTCTTCTAAGGTAAAGGATACTTTGAATCAACATCAATCCTCCCATGATAGTACCAATAACACCCCAATAAAGCCATGGTTGTGGTATGGTTTCTGCATAGTCCTCTTTATCAGCAATAGTATAAGTCACAGAGTGAATAACAATTAACATAAACATCACTCTAGCGATGTGACGATGATAGCAAAGGAATGTAGCCTGATTGATACCACAAACCCATTGCAAGAAGTTGTTCCTACCTGAAAATAAAAATACCAATGGCATAATCATTGTACCAATAATACCACTTCTATCAGCAACATATCTCAATTCTGCCTCATACTTTGAACCTAAAACAGGATCATTTGCAACACCATTCATATTAATTGTGTGAACAACAATAATCAAAATATAGAATATAGAAATCGCAACCATCTCAAATCTAGCTGGGATTAAACTATCAAAAATCACAAATCCTGGCATTGACTGGGACTTCCTTTTACCTATCAAGGCTGGCATAAACACAAATCGTCTCCAAAAGTTTGTGATAGGACCAGTCAGTTTCCTGATAAATCCTGGAAATAAGATCTTGGACCAATGACTAATAGCATAAATGATTAACACAATCAACCAGAAACCAAGGATTGCTGCTCCATAATAAATAGAATCATCATAATTAAGTAAGAATCTGTTTGCGACCTCTGCATAATAGTTCATAGTGTCTGGTTCATACTTTACGGGAACATTAACAGTTATATTACCATCAGGCATGGGAATATCTTTGACATACTGGGCCCTTTGGTTGTAATCATTCAATGCTACCTCGTGCCAATCTGGTTGCAATGTAACATTAAAGTTTTCTTTACAATAATTAATAATATATTTATCCAAAAAGGTTGTGTATCTATTCTTGTATTCTAAACATCCTGCAATGGTAGCTCTTGAATTCTCACTTGCGCATAAACTGGGATAATCAGTAGGTCCAAAAAGTCTTACATCAGTACTATAAAGAATTTGATAGGCACATGCGTACATGGCCACAGATTTCTTGTAAAATTCGATACTTTCCGCATATACCGGAACTAACAAGCCAAAAACAAAATAAACTAAAATGGTCGGATTCATGTTAGCAGCTGGTAGAGTAATGTTCTAACATGAAAATCCTTCTCAAGTATGTGGCCAATTGCCATCTATTTATAATTTTTCATTTTCGTATGTTTTATTGTTGAAACCAAATGGCTTAGGTTTGCATTTTTGTGTTAATTGTTAAAGGTGTGGAACCACTTAATGCAAAAAAATATATATTGGGCTTAGCTCTGGATTTTATCTTTTTGATCGTTAAAAAATATTAGATATTTTTCATCCTAAACCCCCTTGGCGCTGTCAAGCATGTTTTCCCCTCCTTGGCAAAAGCTGTTGCAGCCAATCATGAATTTCGTCTATCTAACTCCGTTCAACAATGAATATTTTTAACTCATCCTGATCATCAATCCATAACAATAATAAGCTAAGTCATTGCGCTTCAATGTGGGGTCTAAACTTTATTGTTGGTCGTGATGTAGCCGACAGCAACAAAAGATGATGCATACTGAAAATAATGCACAGAATGCGAATTGATTTATGAATTTCGCTTTCTGTATATTAACTAGAACATGTAATACAACTAGGTGGGGGGGGGGGGGGGGGGGGGTTTGTAGTGTATGGTTTTGAAGATACGAATTAGATGCGCGCGCAATTAAATTATTTTTAATGATGATGTTCCAAGTAATTTTTTGCGGTATTGGACTGTCCTTCTTTTGTGATAAATTGAAGGTAAAATGGGGCTCGTAATACATACAATGGGAATTTCATCCACGTGTTTGTTCGCCTTTTCATATTGCAACCTCGGCTCCGTTGAGCTTTCTATAGAAATCTAAAATTCTTCCTCTACATTATTAACATTATTAAAATTCTAATTAAATACAAATTTACAAGATATAAAGACAATTAACCCTATCAAGCGAGTTTTTCAAAGATGCATAATTTACAAGACTAAGCCCACACTTGAAGTTGTTCGTAGAAATCAACTCTTTTCTTTTCTGGGTTTCCAATGTTCTTGACACATTGGTAACGAACTTCATCTACCATGATTGGATGACCACAAGAAACAAAAGCAATCGATCCTGGAGAATCCTTAACTTCGTCTTGAACCAATTGCTCAAGATTTGGTCTACCTTCTTCAAAGTGGATATGGGCTAATTCTTCTTTTAATTGCTCAACTGCATCCACACCTTCGTAAGATTTGGTTAATTCAGAAGACTTGATAGACCCTTCCTTTGAGCTGTCCAGTTTATCTAATTGTTCAATCTTACCCAAGTTAGCACTTGGTTTAGTAACATAAACTGTGGTGTCAATATTGGTATTTTGTAATGCTGCAAGTTCGTCATGGAACCAAGCAATGGAACCATAGTCTCTAATAACCCAAATCAATTTTAATACTTGATTTCTTTCCTTGGTGGATCTAACAGCAATGTCATGAACTTCAGAATAGATACCTGGAATACCATTACCACCAGCAATGAAAACAGCCTTGTCTACATACTTGGCTGGAGTGGATTCACCGTAAGGGCCTTCAACACCAACTCTCATAGTGACAGTTTTACCTGGTGACTTGTTTAATAACTTGTATAAACTGTGAGTGATCCCACCCTTGAGTTTGATATACATGACAATGGTGTGGTCTTCTTTGGCAGAACTGGTGAAGGTAAATGGATGTGATTGCCAGAAGTAAGTTGGCTTCAAGAAGTAGATAAAAGCATGTCCACCTGGGATTGGATGCCAGTTCTTTGGTTTTGGAATTGACAATTTGATGGTTTCATCACCAACTAAGGCAATAGTAACTTCAGGGAATCCGAAATAGAGCAAACGTCCTATTCTGACTGCTCTGTCGAAACCCCAAACTGCAATACTTGGAATAAAGACACAACCATAACCGAAATCAACAACGTGGACCCAAGTACCAACAACCCAGAAAGTAGCCAATACGATATGCACAAGGAGGAAAATCTCGTAGTTGATTCTTCTAAGATAAAGGATACTTTGGATTAACATAACACCACCAACAATAGTTGCAACAACACCCCAGTAAAGCCATGGTTCTTTTATATCTTCAGCATAGTATTCTTCTTCAAGAATGGTGAAGTTGACGGAATGAATGACAATCAACATAAACATGACTCTAGCAAGATGACGATGGTAACAGAGGAAAGTAGAATAGTTGAAACCACAGATCCATTGCAAAAAGTTGTTACGACCAGCAAACAAGAATACCAATGGCATCATGGCAGTACCAACAATACCGGTTCTATCAGCAACATATCTCAATTCAGCCATATACTTAGAACCAAAAACAGGGTCGCCCTTGACACCTTTCATGTTAATGGCGTGAATAATAATCATGTAGACGTAGAACAAAGAAATCACAAGCATTTCAAATCTGGTTGGAATTAAACTGTCAAATATTTTAAACCCTGGAATTGATTGAGCCTTTCTTCTGCCGATAAAAGCTGGCATAGAAATGTATTTCCTCCAGAAGTTGGAAACAGGACCAGTCATCTTCTTAGTCAACCCTGGGAACAACATCTTAGTCCAGTGACTAGCGGCACCGATTAACAATACTATGAGCCAGAATCCATAGACAGATACACCGTAGTAGACAGAATCATCGTAGTTACCTAAGAAGTTCATGGCAATGGTCAGGTAGTGATCCATATCTTTTGGTTCAAACTTTAATGGAACATCAACGATGTTGCTATCAGCAGGCATGTCAATATCTTTGAAGTACTTAGCCCTTGCGGTAAAGTTAGCGTAGGCACCTTCAAACCAATCTGAAGTCAAATTGGTTTCGAAATACATCCCACAATACTTGACGATATAGTCAGTCATGATTGTTGTGTTTCTATCATGGTAAACTAAACAACCAGCCATGGTTGCTCTTGAGTTTGGGTCCGAACATAAACATGTAGAATCTGTAGCTGGACAGAAGGTAAAGTTTCCTGAATAGTCAATTTCATACAAACATGCATACAAACCTAAGGTTGGTTTATACCATTCGATCCCAGGTATAGCGACTACACCACTGACTGCAAAAAATAACAAATAGAATGAATATAATAAGTTCATATTTGCTATAGAGTTCAAACTACTATATTGGTAACGGAAATGTGGACATAATAGTCAGGATTTGCAGTAATTTATAGTCTTGCAGTCATTGCAAACACCGAGGAGTTTTCACATATATTTTTTTTGTCTCGTATTGCATCAATTAAACCACAATATTTTAGAAGCATTTGGAAATTTTATCTTTTAAATCTGTAAAAAATATTTTCAAACAGGAGTTCCGTAAATGTGGTTTTCTTGGAGGCATCCCCTTACAGTTGCCAAGAGAACCTGCCAATGACAGACTGCACTTCGTGTATAACTACTAAATTTACCTTGGCAAATCCGAACGGCATTACCCTTGTGGCCAATCACACAGTCACTATGACCAACAATACGGATTTCCTTGTTGGGAAAATGACCATAATATTTTTCTTGGTACCGCCTGAGCATTGGAATCAGCTAAAACAATGTGTATTGTTTATGGTGTTTTGTGTAAATATTATGAGGTGAGTGCATGAATTGACCGGTAATAAAACAGAGTCAACCATTGTTGAAATAAGCCAATTGCAGAACATTTTTTTTCAGGTGAAAAAATAACCATCTGATTACCGGAACAATGGTGTGCTCCTGTTTAAATATTGTTAAATTGCTTATTGTTATTCAGGTGAAATGGCTTTTGTATCCGTAATATTGTTTTAGGAAGGTATGCTTTGTGTTGCGGCCTTTGTTGAAGGAGAAAAAATTTTTTTTATCAAAAGGATCTAGCTGGAATGTAATTGAATTCAGCCAATCGCAAGTGACACAGTAATTACACGACACATGAAATAATTGTTACAAAATTGACTTTACATGGCGACAGTGGGGGATCCACATTCTTCTTTCGGTTTTACGGATTTTGCGGATCGACTTCCATACATCGGATCAGAGGCCTTCTGTACATTGTGGAATCTAAAACAAAAAAAAAAAGGATCTAAAATTGCCAAGGCGTCTTTACTTACGAGCCGAACTTGAAATTGCATGCATATGTCTATCCAAGTTGCTTGGCAAATGATGTGTGGACTAATTAGCTTAGACAAAGTAGAGAGAGTAGAGAGAGGGGGAGGGGGCGGGAGAGAGGAGTAAGTTAGAGTAACTACCCAGTGAATTAATATTAACTTCCGCGGAAAATGAATAGTGGTGTACTTTCTTGTAGAAAATATTTTTTGTACTAAACTCCTATTGCCCCCCCCCCCCCTGTTAACTCCGGAATAAGGCGGATATAGAGTCATTGAAAAATTTTTCAACATTACATGTAAACAACGGCTATTCGAACCATTGGCTGTTTTAAACAACGCAGGGGTAGCAAGCGAGTATTTCCTGAATAAAGTATCCACACCTTGTAGCACCCTGGAAAAGGTCACACTATCAAAGCTTTATTCTTTGAAGATGTGCCCTATCTGTAGAAAGGTGTTGAGGACATTAATGATATCTGTTAGTTTTCAGTTATTTAATGTACCTATTTTTACCACTTCAACCATTAGGAACTATACCCAGGCCGATTTTGGTTCTTAATTTTCCATAACTCTGAAAAAATGATGTAGAGAGACTTACATTTAGGATCGATTCATTCCCCCACTTAATGTCGGTCTAAAGCTATCAAATCTATATCGAATCACAATAAATCTTTGTTGTAGAAACAATAGCTCATAACTGAAATTTCCATGTTAAGGAAATGAACCACAGGTTCCATTCTCAAATTTTAGCCAATCTCACAGCTGCAAAAAAAAAAAAAAAAAAAATAAAAGGGCCATTGTTGCAAAAACAAAAAAAATATTTTCATGTGTTAAATGCAAATGATCTTGGTGTTCACTTTGCAACTGGTACCCCCTTCCAGAGGAAAACTTATCTTTACATTCTCTTCCTTGTCTTTGTTGATTGCTTGCTAGCATTTTTTTTTTCTTGGCAGTTGGATGGTTACGAGTCCTTCATTTCGTGGGTTGAGAATTTCATATCTGTTCTTTTAATTAGCAATTACAAATTAAAAAGCCATTGGCTAAAGTAACTAAAGCACTGTTCAATCTGGATTTCACTAATTCATGCAAGGGGGGATATGTGTGTTCATATGTTCATAACCTGAGTGTCCGCTGACTTGTACAATTACAAACTTCATTTCCTATTGCTGATAGGAAAATGCTTTGGTAGGCCGAGTGCATCAGCACCTCGAATGAAGAGACTTGCTTTTGCTAATTTGAGCAGTTCATAGCTGTATCGTGACGAGTATAATGAGCCTAGACGAAGCAAACTGTGTGTTGAAAAGCTATAGACTAGTTGCAAAAATGGACCATTGGATCACGTGATTGGTGTGATTGTATGGAGCTGGAAGTGGTATCGGCTGCCTAATTCCAGAGAGTTTCCATACTCTTCGAGGGGGAAAGAACTCGCTGCGCTTTCCTATCTTACTGAATTCAGCCAGGCGGCCTTGTTAAACAAGTTTCAAACGCATGGTCGTCGCAGCTACAGTTCCACTGCTAGGCTTTCCTGTCCTGCATATAGATCAGATGAGATCTTGTCAAAACTGAAAAAAAAATTCAGCTAATATATTTTACTACAACAGAGTATCTCTAATCGTGCAACAATGACGTCGTCCACCTCGTTAATAGCAAAACATCTAGGTGAGACCAAGCAATCTGAATTAATCACCAAGCTTTTGGTTGATGTCTCCTCCAATTTAGACAATATTGACGTTATAATCGAACTCTTGTCAGACTTCAACTTGGACCTGTATCCTGACATTTACAACCAATTGTACACCTTTATTTACGACAATTTACTCAACCGCAAATTACTTCCATACAACATAAAATTGGTCCAATGCGTTAGTAAACTCCGTGGCGACATTCTCGACCGTGTTAATGTCCTCCTTTCTTTATATGTCGTGAAGAACCGGGGATACTTCCAAATTGACCCAAAGATACAAAGTGAATCCGATGAACAAGTCAGCTCAGAAGATGTGATTATATTATTGGAATTCCTTGATTTACTTTTCATGGATACCGACTGTGGGGATTCACTCGATGAGTTATTGATCAAACTACTCGGAATGAACGACGATGTTATCTCAACCCAAGTTTCTAAATTGCTCAGATGGAGAATTGACTCGGTTGTCACTGTTCACTCTGCCGAGTTCATTTGGGAGATTATATCCACCTTGAATGAATCCCATTTGAAATATCACCAAAATCACTCCTTTGTATTGTGGTTAAGGTACTTAAACACTAATCCGTCAATCCAGACTATAGTGGAGCAAGACAAGTATTGGAGCATGTTACAATCAGGATTAATCAGTGAGATTAATGAACACAGAAAATTCTCCCTTTCCATTCTTCAGCTTTCACTCAAGTCAATCACTGCTTCCTTCGCAAACAAGTACATCGCATGGGATATCTCAAACGGCGACAGACACCTCTTGGAATGGTCTAGATACTTGGCCCTTTTTGAAATTGTTGGTATAGACACATCGTTACATCAAGCAGAAGCAGCCAGACAGGATATTATAAATTTGATCTCCACGGACTCCCTCATCCATCCATCTTGGGGATGGTGTTTGATTGCAATTGGTTTAAGAGCCACAATGGACTCAGTTAGAAAGTTTGTTATTAGAATGATTTTGGATATTCCTAGACGTAACCTCCCTTTGATCAAACATGGACTTGTGTTTTTGGAAAGTGTGATCTTGCCTAACTTGATGTTGGCATCTAATTTAATCGTCAAGAATGTTGATGGTGTAGATCAATGTGAATATATCGACAAGCTTATCTCGTTCATTGGTGGATTAGTCGCCACTGGTGATTCTGATATCGCTCTTGCGGTATTGAAAACCCTTGAGAACTTGAAAGACGCATTTGATCCATCAAGAATCGCCGTGGTGTACGGATTAATGAAGGGATTGGAAGGTAAGCAATGCTTACAATTTGGAGTTCATGATGAATCATTGATTAAGTTGTTTGAAGTCAAGGCTGAAGGGGAGATCTTCCAAACCAGTTGTCAAGTGATCAACTTGAGATTACTCCTCAATTTCAAACTTGAAATTAGTGAATTCTTAACGGTTCTCAACAAGTTTGTGAAATTCAATGGGTTTAAATTAGTCCATGAAAACTTAAAGCTCTTGCAGGAATACACCAAGGACGCTAACTTGCTTGAATACGTAGAGGCTGAAAATGATATTGACCATAAAGTCTTGCTCTACGGATTGGCAGGATCACACCCACACTCTAATGACTTGTTAGGTGTTAAGCTCTTACAAGCAGGGTTTTCGGACATGTCAGTTGATCAAATAACCCTTGATGACGACATAATCCGTGCTTTATCCGACACTGATCACGCACCACCTTCTCGCAACAGAATTCTTGCATTGTGGAAGGAGCTCGAAGTTGAAGTACAATCGAAGGACTATTACGCCTTAACCAAGACCTTGTACAAGTTTAGATTGTTTAATATTTGGTTTAGAAACGGTAGCTTCAAGTTTCAAGATGCAGACACTGTGGTTAAGTTCTACTCAATCTTGTTGATTCACTCAGACACACTTTCTCAACAAGTAAAGCATTTTTACAAATTGAAGGATGAAATCATGGGAGAATATTATCATTGTTTGCAAATCTCGCTTTCTAAAGAACATGTTGATATTGAAAAAGTGGTGGCTATCATGAACTCGAACTCAACTGACTACAAGTCCAATTTGTCAATGGTGCAAACTATCAAGGGATACTTGGACTCGGGTGTAGGTCGTATCGATCAGATTGTGGAATTGTTGACTTCATTATGGTTTAATTTAGAAGCTGGTAGATTGCAACTCAACCAAAAGAACTTGCATGTGTTGCTTATTCAAACCTTGTTCCACAAGAATGTGCTTGACTACTCCAAGGAGAACGAAGAAGTCAGTGAATTGCTTGTCAAATTCAGTGAGTCGGTTATTGCTAATGGGATCACTAGAAGAAGTTTACTTCCAGAATTAACCAAGTGTATTTTGAACTATGAACAAGAGTTGGATTGGTTAGTTCCTGTGTTGATTGATGCTTTCTTGGTATATCAATTGAGAAACAATAGCTTCCGTCTTGAATCGATAATTTCTAGAATATACGATGAACAAATCAGTTTGACCAAGTCTGACATATATGCTGACACTTATGGTGATGAGGAAATCTCTGCTAGAGTCAACTTGATGGCTATTTTCAACAGCATTAAGAGTGAACAGTATGCCCAGCTTATACACGATGTTATTGTGGATACTCACCCAGAATTATTCAATATTGTTAATAATGTTGATTCTATAGAAACCTGGAATCGAATTCAATTATGGACAATCGTCCTATCCATAGTTGACAAAGTCAGTATCGACTACAAGTTGATTCTCAACATGATTGAAACCGACAAGAGTCCAATGATTAGAGTGTACCTTGAATGGATCTTATCTTATAAACTTCTCACTGACAAGAATGAACAAATTGTCAATCAAATGTTTGACACCTTGGCAAGCAATACCATCACACCAACCATTGTCATTTCCTATGAGAAGATCCTCTACCTTATGATTAAGCAAGCGCCTACTGTTGAACAAGTGACTAAATTGCTTAACATCATCATTCCTGGGTCGACTTCAAACAAGGCATTGACAAGACACTTTTCCTTGAGTTTAATCATGTCCATTCATAGCAACGACAAGATAATGAGCATACTTTCGCAGGATATGTTGCACGTTGTTGATAGTATTTATAGCAATACTATGAAATCAGACAGTATCAATGATCACAAGACTGGTGATGCTTTATTATGGGATATTACTGAGTTCACCTTGTGTAATTTGTCAGGAGGGTTGATCTATAGATTGTACAACCGTGATGATGTTGATTATATCTTGCCTAGCCAATACCAAAGATATTTATCTGAGGAACATGTTAAGAAGTTGAACCATCCAATTGGAGATGTTATCCAAGAGAAACAAGCTCAGGTAGGTAAGAAAGTCAGTAAGGCACTTACTGGAAACCCACTTCAGACCAAGTCAGGTGCATGGACTACCATTATGGATATCGACGAAGGAAGACAAGACATTGTCCGAAGCGACTTGATTGTGGTGTCTTCACTCGTGGATAAACCACCTAACTTGGGTGGGATCTGTAGATTGTGTGATGTCTTGGGAGCAGGTACACTCACACTTAATGATATGACTGTTACTCAACACCCGCAATTCAAGAACGTTGCTGTCACCGCTGATCATTGGATGCCGATGATTGAAGTTAAGATGGAAGAGATTAAGGATTATTTGATCGCAAAGAAGAAGGAAGGATATACCCTTATTGGGTTGGAACAAACTACTGAGTCTGTGGAACTTAATAACAAGTTAGAGTTCCCTAAGAAGTCGTTGATCTTGTTGGGTAAGGAAAGAGAAGGTATTCCGGGAGATTTATTGAGTGAGTTGGACTTTTGTGTCGAGATTAAGCAAGTTGGTGTTATCAGATCCATGAATATCCAAACTGCTACTGCTATTATTGTGCATGCTTACTCATCCCAGCACTGTTAATAGAGTGAACGAAAAGGACTGGCTAAGAGTCATTTATACTACATATTGTAAATAATTATTCAAACTGTATTATTACAAGACATTTAAGTAACCATTGAATGCGTTACTAAGCTATTAGAAAATATTTTCATCATCGATATCTTGTTCAATCAAGGTATCCAAAGCTTTAACAACCATACCACCATATTTGTTCCCCAATTCAAGAGCCTTGACCAATACAATCAGATTAACACCGTTTGAAATAGAGCTTAAACTAATTGTATTTATAGGAGTTATAACTCTTCCATTGTAGAATCCAATCACTAAGGAATTGTCAATGATTTGTTCTTCTTCAATTGAAGGATCGAATATTATGTTATTGCCAATGATACCGAGGGTGATCAACACTGGTGGTTGGAATGGGGCATCAAGCAAGTCTTGGATTAACGTGGATTCTGCCCAATCGTCGGCAAATGTAGGTTGTTCGGCAATCTCTTCGTCATTTACTTCACTTACTAACTTGGGTAATCTGGCTGTTTTCAATGCAAGATAAGTGGCCAATGAAATCAAAGTCAATGGGTACGACGAGTGACTGGTAACAATAACATCGATGAACAACTTATACCCATACTTTGTAGTCAACTTCAACACAGTGCTGGGAAAGTTGGCCAATGAGTTCAAAATATGAAACTTCAAATTAGTCACGAAATTTGAATCGTCACGGAATGAATCAACATCGATATCAACTTCGACTAAGTTGCTCACCAGAGCCAAGTCAACAACCTTGGCTTTGACGCTTACTATACATTCACTTCCGTCAATGAGTCTAACTCTGGCAGATCCATTGGATGAGGATAAGAACGAGGTCTTGGCTTCAATGGGTCGGAATTGGTGGGGAGTACGAGAATCTGGACGGATTATTGGGGAGGCTGTTAGAGAATCGCGCAAGTATGATCGTTCAGCAGGTGATAAAAGCGTCATATTGTGTGTTGGTGTGTGGTGTGTGGTGTGTGGTGTGTGGTTTGTGGTTTGTGATGTCTCTCTGTGTCTGTCTGTGTGTGATGTGTGTCTGTCTGTTTGTCTGCAGTCTACCGTTTGTGTGTCTGCCGTCTGCCGTCTGCCGTCTGCCGTCTGTCTGTCTGTTACTTGCAGTTGAAGCTCATCATAATTTTTTGTCTGATGAAAATAAAATCTTTGAATTTTTTTCTGACGATGTTTGCTGCAAATCCACTACGGAGTGGAACTGCCGTACTGTGCAAATGGTGGTCTAAAGATGTGAACATACTACATCGATAGACATGATTGGTTAGTCCGACCAAATATGTCTAGAGTTTCCACAATTCATGCTAACACACCAACAACTCAGCTACACTTGCCTAGTAAGGTAATTTTGTGCTACCATGTGTGCCCCATCTATTTTTTCCAACTTTTTTTTAGACTGTTTTTTTTTACGCTCCAATTTCAAAACACCATCAACAGAGTAAACAAACAGCAACAGCATCAGCAACAGCAACAGCAACAGCAACAGCACCAGCATCAACAACAGTATCAGCAGCACCAGCATCATGTCGCTCTTCACACAATCTACATCGTTGAATCCAACGATCAATCCAAGTGTCCAACAGCAACCAGTACAACAACCACAACAGCAACAACAAGTATCAACCCCAGTAGCTAACAACTCTTGGTACACTCAGAATCAAAAGAAGCGAACCATTCCCAACCACTTGATCCCCAAAAAGAAACCCGGATTCCAAATCACAGCCTCTACTACATCCAAAAAGAAATCCTCTAAATCACCAACTACATCCAGTGGATTATTGCTCGGAGATAGTCACCAATTCAATATGTTGTCCTTTGGAAATCAACAACGAAAGACTATAAGTTCAGGAATATTTGATGATGACGACACCACCATCGACAATAGTGAAGAAGGTAATAGCTTGCTAGTATACCAAGATGATTTACCTCCTAATAAGTCCTTGTTTGAATTGAATGAAAAGGTCAATAAGCCAATTGACCAGATCGATTCGTTTATAAATAAAGACCCAAGAAAGTTTAGTAACTTGTTCAACAAGAATGAAGAAGTCGAGCCTGTTCCAGTAGTTAAACCTGAAAATCAATTATCCCACTCGGAATCAGCTATCTTGGTATTTGGATACCCGGAATCCTTGTCTAACCAAGTCATCCAATTGTTTAAGCAATTCGGAGACATTTTAGAAGATTTCCAAATCAACAAGACCAAATCATTATATACCACTCAAGCAAACAACAAGGTGGTCCCAATATTCAGTGGTCCAAATTGGGTCAAAATCACATACGATAACCCAACTTCAGCAATTGAAGCCTTGCAAGAAAATGGTACTGTGTTTAACGGAGTATTGTTGGGAGTCATACCTTATCATAAATCAGCATTGGAGAATTTACAAAAGAGAAGCTTGATTGACAAGGAAAACATTGGAGAAATGAACTTGAACATTCAATTACCAGCTCAAGAAAGTGAAAGTAAGTCCAGTGATGTAGCTCCACCTACCACTGATCCATACAATGCCCGTCTTGACATTAAAGAAGGCAAACAATTCTTTGTTGCCCCAGAAGGAACAGAATTAAAGAAACCAAACAATAGCGAAAGGTTATCCTGGATAGGTACAATTTCCAAATATGTGTTTGGATTCCATGATTTATAGGTCATAAATTACATATATACATATATATTGAACTGTACAACTATAGATTATCATAATAGTAACGATCATACGCAGGGTCATATCTGTCATACCTCTGGGGACTTGGAGATCTAAATGGAGATCTTCTTGGAGATATCGTACCTGATCTAACCCCCATCCGTACCGGTGAAGGCGATGTGAAGCTATTACGTCGACTAGACTCGCTGTTATACCCTAGCACAGGACGATTACTCATATTTAACCTTTGTGGGGATATCAACCTGTTTGGTGTCGATTGGGATATTTTCTGCAGATTTGGTTGATATGGCGTTGACGAAGTATACCATGGTTCTTCTCCACGTTCCTCAAAGTTCAAATCATCATGGTCATGAGTAGTGAATGAAGCAAGGGTGGACTGGTCAATAATTGTAAACTTGGGCACATCCACATTTCCGTATTCCACCACTTCCTTTCCTCTTGCATCATGAGTGACAAACTTTTTAGTCTTGGATAGCAAGTATGGCTGTTTATCGGTTAATACTGTGGTATCATAGGGTCCCTTTGTAGCATCAATAGCCACGTCTTTCTTTAAAATGTTCAACTTTGGGTTGACAAACTTATTATTGTACTCTTTAAACATTTCTTGATAAATGATTTGTTTATCAATGATCAACTGATTGAATTTCGAGATGATTAACCAGGACATAGTAACTTGTATCACCATTACTGCTAACGAGATCAATAACGAAGATATGTGTATAATGAATATATTCAACGGATTCAAGGTAATAAATAAATGTAACGTGAACTTGTTAGGATCCCAAGTGTTCATATAGTACGTGTCTTCTTCGACAACAGTGGTATCATGGGTCTGATCGATAGAGCTTTGCGTTACATCTTCTTCCTTACCGAACAACTTGACAAACAATGAATCAAGAAACCCGAGCCAATCCGTGGTGCTTGTTTTGTAGACTGTCGTTGACTTGTTATTTTCTGTCAAATACAACAATCCGTACTTTCTGGATGATTTGATCAACAAGATGAAATTGGCAATGCTAGCGACGGTAATGGCATTAGATAGCAATGACAACACCCATGTGAACGAAGCGGTGACGTCATAGTGTGTAAACTTGGGGCTGGTACTGAGATGTTTTTTCAAATACTGGTAATCGTAATAGTTTGACTTGAATAGCAAGTTATTTGATTTGCTGTTGATGGAGTTATAGTAGTTTAGCAAAGACACGATAGCTAGATCGAGTAGGGTTAACGATATACCCAAGGTGTTTGCTATATGTATAGACTCAACACTGTTCCAGTCTATGGACGTGATTACTTCGTTGACATACAAGTATAAGTCAAAGGGGAATGATTGGATTTTGGATATAAACAGCTGACGACGGATGAACTTCTTCTTGGACATGGTTGTTTATTGTATTGTGGACGTGTAGGTTACTCGTGTTGTAAAAAAAATTTTGAATGTAAACAAACAAAAAAAGGCAGCCAAAATTTTTTGAATCAACAGCAACAGCCCCAAGCTATCTAAAATGATCAAAGATGAAGATATAAAACAGGCGAAAACTCAGAATAATATACTTAGAGAGAAGCTCAAGGCTGCTCTTGAACAGGAAAAGAAGAAAAAACAAGAACAACAGCAACAACAAAGCCAACGCTTTGATAGCGACGACACCTTAGATCAACTAATCAATCTTGATTTGACCAACCACACCTCTAAAGAAGAACGCTGGTTGGAACTAAAACAACGAATGAATAGAATAAACAGTCAGGACTATACCTTACCCCAAACTACTCCTCCTAGAACCACCCCTACCTCATCTACCATTTCAAGCTCTAACAGCATCAAGACTACCGATCACAACTTACTTGATCAGATAAACCATCTTAATCAAACTATATCCAGTTTAAACCAACAGTTAAAGCAACAGCAAACTGAAAGAAATGACTTGATTGAAGAGTTTCAGTTGAAAGAAACGAAAATGATATCTATCCATAATAAAGAAAACAAAGAGTTGAAGCACAAGTATAATCGGGAATTAGAAAGTGTAAAGGAGCAATTAGTCGCTTCCAATGAGAAAGTAAAGATTTTAACTGCTGATAATCAGCAATACAAATACAACGCACATAAATTAGAAAGTAAGCTCACAGAAGCGAAAACCAAGTTTGATAAGTTGAACTCAAAGTATGAAAAGTTAAAGAAAATCTATGAACAGCAACAGGTTGATGTTCATGAACGTACTCGAGAACAACCAAGCATGGCCTATGTAGATCCACTAAGAAATTTACAATCTGAACACCCAAGAGTCCATGCAGACCAGTCGAAATTTTATTCAGATCATCATCCAAGAATCTATTCAGAACAGGCAAGATTACATTCAGACCAACCAAGAGTCTACTCAGACCAACCAAAAGATGTCAATTCGGATACAACAAATGGGTTATTCAGTTTAAAACCAACTGGTCAAGTAATAGATAATGATTCGGATTCGGATGATGAACTATTGGAACGGAAACTATCACCAATTCTGCCAATAACTCAACCTCTCGATAGTGGTACAACAAGTACTCAAGTATTATTAAATCAATCATCCAATAATATTGGAAATAGGGGTAACTATCATCCGGAAGATGATACTAATTATTTATTAAATTTAAAGTATTAGCTGGTTATGACTATGTTTTGCACATTGTATAAGCTATGTAATATATATTGCTACGGTAAATATAGATCTGGGAATGATAAACTTGAAAAACAATCAAGTTTGGTCTGGGAATCGAAAAACTCTAACAAGTATAACGGGATTCGTCCTATTTTAAATAATAAAACTTTAAAGGGCGTACACATGATGATATATCCCAAGATCCATTAGATTTGGATATTGCTTTCTAGGTAACTTCTTTCGCAAGTTTTGAACAGAGTGCTTCGCCTTAGTATGACTCTTATATAGCCGATAGTAGCTGCACATGCCTGACAACAGAGACAAACCACTGTCCAAACTTAAATAGGTCACCGTACGCTCACGACCGGTTAAAAGTCTGGCAATTTGTTCTTCGGTAATTTCTTGCTCATTTCCTCTAGAGTATAATCTAATTTGGTGTAATGTATGACCGGCAAACAGAGCGATAATTCGTTCAAATGACAAGTCTTTCCAGTTGATATGAATATCTCTAAGTTTGGTCATTTGGCTAGCAAGCCATTTCAAATCGTCATATGGGGTCACATTATTATAAAAATGGAGCTCTAAAGAGAAAATTTCATTCAATGTAAACACATCTCCCAACTTTTTAAGGGGAACTTGGGGAACGTGCAATCCCAACATAGAGAGTTTCAACTTGGATATCTTTTTTGATCTGAAAACCTGGAGAATATCTTGTTCCTTCGCATCATTGATATAGAGCCAAGTCAACGCCTTTAAGTGGGGGATAAGTGCCACAGGATCAGATACACCTCTTTTAGAACCACTAATAAATAATTGTTTGATGGAATAATTGTCGGTGATGTCTGTCTTGAATCTGAAAGTTTTACAAACTCGAAGTTGAGTAATATTGTCAAGTCTTGTAAATTGCTTGTCAAACAAATCAGAACTCCACAGGGCAACATCAACTTTAATCCAAGGGCACTTTTCAACAAGGTAATTATAACAATCATTCGAATGATCATTAGGACTACGAATACAAATCACGACATTTCTAACCAACGACAATTCTTTAGTACCCCTAACCCTTACGAAATCATTAAATCCGTTTATAATGGTATACCTAGTTGAAAATGCCAAATAATTATATCTCGCTTTAGAAACCTGGTTATACAGAGCAATTGCTAACTCTTCCGGATTATAAACGAATATGGAATTGAACAACTTGATTGTGCCTAATTTATAAAGCTTCTTGTTCACGAGTCTAATCTGACAAGCATCAATTTGGTTAAGGTGTACAAAAATAGCCAAGAGAAGTTCTTCCGGAAGTGAAAGAAGAGTAGTAGGATCCAGAATTACTTTCTTCTTTTCGGTGGTTTGAACTTCCTTGTTTTCGAGGTCAATCAAAGTCGCAACATCGGATTTGCTTTCAGAGTCAGCCTTTTCCGACTCGAGGTTAAAACTACCAGCAGGGGCACTAAGTTGGTCTTTAATAGTCAGCAACTGACTAGGCCTCTCGTTCAAAGCACCAACCATAGAAGTAAGTTGATCTTGGGGATTGGGTTTCTCAGACAAACTGTTGCCAGAAGATCTACCTCTAAGAATATGAAGAAGCCGGGACATTGGCAATGGTACTAGGTAAAAAAGACAAACAAACCTTGTAAAAGACTTTACAATTTGTTAGAATAAATACTAAGCTTTACCTCTTCAACATACCAAATTGCAAAATTTGGTTATGGCTGAGTTTTAAGTTATGCTCATGTCTCAATAGGAAATTGCAAAATTCCTTTTATTTTTCTTGTTTTGCAACAAGATAAACTCTTTGGACAATTATGCTATTTGATATGGTCCTGATTTGCATTTCCTTACATGTGCCATGTGAAAGTATGATTTAATTTTGGTTATAACTTCTCGACTAGACGAGAATTGTATGAATAATTCAATTTCCATAGAGTCGTCATCCGAGTTCTGGTATTTATGAACAAGGTTTGCGAGTCAGTCAGCCCTATGTAAAAAATCGAGGAGAAACAACTTTGAACAAGATATTTTGCTTGGAATTTCAGTTAAAACAATTGTAACTGGTACTGATGTCGTTTATGCTTTTTTTGGGACTTGCAATAGCTCTACTTATCTTAGTGCGGATGATATCTTGACCGTAGATGGTGCTGATGATGATATTAAGTCTTTCAGCACTAACTATATCTCAAATGGGACTGTTGAGTCGCGTGAGATGATCCCAGTCTCAGTGAGCGCATATTTAACATGTTTTGCACAAGTTTTTGTATGGTTCAGAGCTGAGATTTATAACTGGGAAAAGCTATTTGAAAACTATGTTGATTTTCAAATTAAACGTTATCCTCTATGATAAATGTGCAATCCGAAAAGTTAATCTTACTTTTGTGTTGGAAAGAGAAAACAAATCGACTATGCAATATAGTGTTGTATAATTCCAACATCAGTTGGTGCATGGACGGAAAAAAAAAATAAAGTTGCAACTGATCTACACCAAATAAAACTGACTTGGTTACGTTTAATCATCATGAGATACCAATAAGTTTAGGGAATGTTTACCCGTATCTCGATGGTGGTTCTTGCGAGTATATGTAGTGTAAAGTGGGTAAATTGAATGATGTTAGAGTTTTACGGGGATGATGTCACTAGTGACATGAGTAGATTTCAACTATGTTCTGCTGATGATGAAATCTCGAAATCGTGATCAGCCTTAAAAAAAAAAAGAAAAACAAATATTTTCTAATTTTAGTTACGGTGATTTCCGAACAATCCTAAACGAGGGAAAAGGAAAGGCATTATTAAAATATGTCATAAAAATATCTGAGGCTGTGTTGCGTTGCTTCTAGAACTTTTAACAATTAAGTCCCATGCCTTCGGTAAAAACGCTTGCTCGTTTTGCATTGTCTTAAGAGCAATCTTGTGTTGATCTGTAGTTGCTAATTTTAGTTAATACCCCAAATGTAACAAACATTTTGTGTAATTAATCGGCATGTAATTTTGCATGATGTTGCAATGCCCCCATCGGTGTGTAATAACCCCTCTTTGCCTTTATAACCGGTTCCGCTAAATGTTGCCTTGGTAATAAGGTTTAAAGGTATTTAAAGACGAGACTGCTGGATACTCATGATGTAATATCTTGAGATCACACCTGAAAAATAAGTGCCCAAGCTCAGATCTACGTGACATGGTGGTGTGGGTTTAAAAAAAAAAAATTTTTTCTGCAGGGAGTTTAGCCACTTTTCCTTCACTTACGTCATGCTTAGAAAAAATAAGCTACGAAGGTTAAGTATGTTTTGTGTAAACAAGCAGCAGTTAAATTGTTAAAGTTTATCCGGGGTGAGGGGGAGGGGCTGAATCCGGATCTGACTGACTGACTGACTGGCCGACCTTTCAGAGATTTGTATAAAATTCGTGTTGCTTTCTTCTTTTTGGTTTTTCTGGTACCTATCTCTCTTCATACCATGGCATTCATGTCACAACCAATAACCTCATCACTTACTACCACAACGTCTACCTTAAGATTACCTGTTCTTTCATCGTGTAGTCGATCATTTTCTCCAAGCTCAGCAACGTTTACATATCTTCCTGTATCTATAAAATTGCAAGATCCCTCCACATTGGAGTTGTCAGACTATCAAATAATCTTTGATGTGAGACCTTTTAAACAATACTCGAAATCAAGGATCCATACTTTGGTAGATTTATGTATTCCTACCACATTATTAAAACGGAAATCTCTTGACTTGATAGAGATATTAAAGAACTTCGTGAATGTGCCCAAAGATATAAAAGATTTGATACTAGCCAAGTTGATTGAAGAGGCACCAAGCACCAAGATCAAAGTATTGATATACGACTCTAACTCAAAAGGAGATCTGGTTTCATATTCGCTCTATCAAACATGTCTTCGATTTGAATCTTACGCTGACAAATTTGAAGTATTCATGTTAAACGGAGGAATTCAAAATGTCAACTCCGACTTAATAGAAGAGAATAAGATAAACACCAACATACACAACCTCAACGGACTAGTCTTACCTTCACCAGACAAGACTTCATTCAATTCAATAATAAAAAAAGAAACTAACATATCATCAAGATACCACCATCAAAATCTCTCACTTCCCAAGCTTTCGCAACATCCCAACTGGTTAAAGTTTGTTGTTCATAAAGATCACCCTACATTACTACAACATTTCATTGATTTGTTTATTAAAATAGAAACGTTGGAGCGGAATAGACTAACCAGGCTCACTTCACCAGACTTTATCGCTTCAAGTCCACCATGTTGTTCTCCATGTCGCAACATCTCATTCACACTTCCTCGAGGTATCGAGTACGGGTATAAGAACAGATATAATAATATATGGCCCTATGAACATTCCCGAGTCAAGCTTGATTCCAAAGGCGATGACTATTTCAATGGCAACTATATTGATGTCAACCCTATAATTCACAACCAATTCAAATATATCGCAACGCAAAATCCATTAGCCTCTACTGTTGACGACTTCTGGACTACAGTATTGCAACAAGAAGTCGATCTCATTATCAACTTAGAGAACAAACCTTCAAACTACTTCAACCATCCTGCGATTACTTCATGTGAAACTATTGAAAGTAATAGCTCTTACACTGTCACGAAAATCAATAATAAGATTTTCCATTTACATTACTCAAATTGGCCAGATTTCGGTATTCCTAATTTCAACACATTAATCGAGTTTATTGAACTCAAAAATGACCTATTTGATAAGCATGGCCTTTCTAACAAGGTGCTCGTTCACTGTTCGGCCGGATGTGGTAGAACAGGAGTGTTCATAACCATAGATTCATTAATACAAGGCTGGTTAAACAACAGAACCGCTATCATCTCCGAAGAAAGTGATTTAATATTCAGATTAATTATGCATGAGCGGAGACAAAGAATTAGCATGGTTCAGAATTTAGATCAATTTATTGTCTGTTATCAATTATTCTTACATTATTTAAGTCAACAACAATCTTAATGTCGGTTTTTTTTTAAAAATAAAAGAAGGGATTTTGTATATTTTATGTACTTTTGGTTTAATACATTAATTCGTAAAGTTTTGAACAAGCTCATACAGAGTTTTGAAAGTACTGCCTTGCCTCGTCAACATCCTTAACTGGAATCCCAAATACTGGATGTACAGGCAATGTGTAATGCTTATCGCCGTAAGCATTGGCCTTGATCCTATAAGCCAACACATCATCCTTATTGCTCACCAGGTGCAAATATTCACAAACACTTAACCCACATAATGCGTAATTGGTATGATAGAAATCCACCCCCTTACCTGGTTTATCCATGAATCCACCATGGTTAGATTGTGCGCATCGGAGAATATAGTGAGCAAGTCCATTTCTATTAAATAGCTCTTTTTGTCCAGTTATTATTTCCAACATGGGGAACAAAGCACCAATCCAGAAACTATAGCATGAATCGACTAATTTGTTGGTACGACCGTTTAACCCACCTTCAATTGACATTTGTCTTTCTACGCTCCATCGTAATAACTTTTCAACATTAATTGACTTTTCAATGGAGTCTGTATCTGTGTTGAGTATGAAGTAACTTGCCAATGCACAAAATGTATATCCTCCGTGAGCTTCGGTATTAGGTACCCCAGAAAACCCTCCTTCATAAGTTTGACATAAATTTAACCAATCTTGAACACCATCAGTTAATTCTGGAGTGAGTAAGTTCAACAAACTTGCAATTACCAATACACAATATGTAGATCTGGTATCTGCTTCACCATACTCGTGCATAACAAAAGATCCATTTTCGTTTTTCAAACTTAATAACCAATTGTAAATCTTGTCTCTTATGCTTTCAAGTAATTGATAGTTTTTGGTGAGGATCAATGTGAGAATTCCGGAATATGTCAGTGCAGCATGGCCCAACTGGTTCACACCACCAGCAATTCCCCTCTCACCTTCATCCACTAAACAATGTTCAATCTTACTATTTATCAACTCTATGGTATCAATTTCTAATGGAGTCTTAATGGACAATGTGTGAGCATTGGCAAGCCAATACATTAACCATGGATGGTTGGCATCAAGAACAACGTACCCTGAAGGTAACTTACTATAGAACGAAGCCATGAGGTACTTTTCATGTAATCGATAATTGAAACTCAATTTCCCAATTTCTTTAAATCGCGTAAGGATAACATTCTCGGTCTCATCTTGCGTTTCAGTAGTGAATGAAACATAAGGATCTTCCTCCACTGCAGATGCAGCAGGTTGAAAACTGTTGTCAGGGAACGATTCGCGAATTTCAGACATCAATGTGTATTTATCGGTGAACATATCTTCAATTACTTCACTCCGTTTCCTTCCTACTAAATTCGAAAGGAATTTAACTTTTTCTTGGTTAGTTACGGCCATAGTCACTTAAAGGATAAACTTATAGTTTATGCAAAGGAAAAAAATTCAGTGTGACTTTTTCTATGGGTGTCATGTGCGGCAGAAAGATTTTCCCAATTGGGCCATTACAGTGGGGGACTGAAAGGGGCAGCGCTGATTTATTTTCTTTCTGCAAAAGAAAACTTTAATCCAAGATCTAGACTAGAATTGTGATAATGTTGGTTTAGGTCGTGATATGTATGTACTACTCTATGTTGTCAGTTTTATGTTGCTAGATCTTCAAAAAAAAAAATATGCGATTTCTGTGGATCGAACACAGGACCTTCAGATTAAACTGTGACTGAATCTCTTCAGTCTGACGCTCTCCCAACTGAGCTAAAACCGCTGATTTATACCAATTTGGAAATTTTTAGATCTTCATGTCACGTGGTTTTTCAAAATTATTTGAGTTAAGAACTCATTAGATCTTACGGTAATAGGTGTATTTTGAGTTGCGAATGAGAACTTGGATATTGCAAAATAAGTTTAAGTGATTTGATTGATTTTATGTATTATTTTGTGTATGTTTTAGCACTCTCTATTTCCTTGGAAATCTTGGGTGTTGCAGTCATTTAATTTTTCAAGTTTTTTCTCAAAAGGTTGCAAAATTATCAATAGTACATAAAATTACAGATGAATGGAGTATTAATCATAATGTTCACGATTAAGTATTATTCTATATACTATTTACATGTAATCTGAAATCAAATAATAGGTGCTTTTTTTTTACAATTCCTCGATCTTGGCTAGCGACATCAATTGTGCATCCCAACGATCCTTCTCACTCAACAATATTGCTGTGCTTCTTCTATTGAACTTGTTTGTCTTAAATATAGCTTCCATGTTATTGTACTCCATTCATTTTTCATTTGATATAAGGAAACCCTTCTTTCCTATATCAATTATATCTTGTCATAGTGAGCATAAACAGTGAAATAAGTTCTTGCTAGCGAGTTCAACATTACCACCTTCGACAACTTCAGCTTTATCTGGTACAATTGATGCAATTTATCCATTCTATAGTGTTTGCCTTCAACGTGTTAATCATTCATACACTTTTGTATAAGGCTCTTCGTTAATTATTATAAATAGAATCACGATCTTTTTCATTCATGTTTATTCTATATCTATTTGCTATTCTGGCTCAAGTTGCCGACTTTTCAATCGTTTCTAATATTCATGAATGCCTTGTAATTGATTTCTGCGTCCAAAATATTTCTCTAAGCGTAAAAGCTTCTTTCTTCTAAATTCCTTACCACCTGATAATAAATATCGCTTAAATTCCTGGGTTATTTTCTCTCGTTTTTCAGAATTCATGAACTTCCATTGATTTTCAAGTTGCCAAAGTTTGCCTGTACTTACCACAGAATAATAATCAAAGGTATACCAATCCTTTCCTAAAATGGTGAGTTTATCTTGCAGTTTAAAACAATCTTCATATTCAACTTTTCCTGATAATATTCTTTCATAGTGCAGACGATAAGCTTCTTTTTCTTTGGAACTTAATTCGAGCCAGCGATCTCTTACTAACTTATCAATAAACTTCTTAAATTCATGGCTATCTAGAGAAAAATTGAATCCAAAAGAACTTTCCAGTTCAAATTGTGGCCGTTTCAAACGATGATAATAATCCCATGCATGTGCTAGTGTTACTGTATCTTTGAGACTATTAATGCCTTTAGAATTGGTGCACCTGATTCTAGAAATACCCTTTGGAACTGGTCGCAATTTGAATTTGGATGTTCTAAGAGCGAGGTCAATTTCTTTTGATACAGAAATAATGGTTCTCTTGTGGCTGTGATAATAAGTATACCAATATTTCGTCCTTTGTTGAAACATAGCTACCCATTCGTCGGCCACCATACGAACTTTTGCCAAGTCTGTGATATCACTTGTTAATTCAGATAACCTCGTATACAAGTAGTGATTCCACAATATAAATTGTCGACTTTTTGAAGAATCCTTGATGATATATCTGCCTATTCTGACTTTCAAATCGTGATCTACTGTAAATTTATTCTTAGATTTTGCCACCTCATTTCCAGTATGTACTTCATAATAGTCTTGTACAACCTGTTGAACTTCTTGCTGTGGGGTATCCTTGGTAAATCCGCGTTGATCAAACAACTCATTCAATGCGTCTAAAGTCCGATGGTTAAATGATCGAGAGGGTGCAATAAACCAACCTAATTTCGTATAAATACCTCGTGAATAATCGATCTGCCTAGTTATTCTTGTACGAAGCTTCTCAATTTCAGCCTCTTGTTTAGTGAATTGTTTGGTCAACCGATTGATTGTATTTTGTATTCTGTTTGCCTTTCTTCTTCGTTTGGAGTTCTGCTTGACTAACCATTGTGTTAAATCATCAATTGAAGCATCATCCATGAGTGATTCGCCATGTTCTATTAGTCCAGGAGACGTAAAGTGGTCATTTAGAGCATGATTTGTAACATGGTGAGAATTTAATCTAACTTGAAGGAAGCCTTTATGATGTGGGAACTTGGAAAAAGATAGTCGGAAAAGTGCAGATTGTATTAATTTCATTATATCAACATATTGGATGTTTAATTAGACAGTAATTTAAGTAGCTATGGCTTGTTCTCATTATTTGTTGCTTGAAGGGTATCCAAACTTTTTCAAACTTGCAACTTCGCAAAGTAAGCCCACCAAAATGTAACAATTCGAGCTTCGCACGACCGGGCCATACATACTATAGGGAGATTCGGACTAATAGAATACACCTCTAATGAGGTGTTTGGGAATCATTCAGGAATCATTCAGGAATCTTCTTACATATGTGAGTTATTTGAGAATGTATAAGAGCCTATTCCAGTACATTATACTTGTTTCTCTTTTTCTTTTGCATGTGTTGCCAAACTGATTGGATTGCCTAGTAACAAGCACAGGATTTTCTTCTCCCTTGGTAATTGTCCAGGGATACCTTTAAAAACTATAAATTTACCTTGTAATACGTTAGTTGTCATTATATTCAAACATCATTCTTTGGTTGTCTAGATAGTCACATGGTACTACCCGTTTGATGGCAAAATTTAAAACTAGGCAACAGAGAAAAAAGCAGCTTCAAATTATAATTTCAGTTCAAGTGTTGCTACAGTTGACACATTTATTGGATAATCAACTATAGACAATGTCAACAGGAAACAATTCAGCCAACAGGAATTGGCTACTACGAATGTTCCATCACCAACGTCAACCAGACTATGAAGCATTACCCAACGAAGATACAACTCCTTCCACCACATCCTCCGGAACAGGTGCGGGCCGCTCCACACACATGCCTGGTTCATTCCCAGAAACAGACACAACCACCCTCCTCACTCCTCAAAATGCAAGATTAAACACGCTTACAACTTGGATAAACTATCTTGTCATACAACCCTTCATTCTTGTTATTCGGATTTTATTCCGAATCATATCAAAGATCTACAACTTGCTATTCACTTATACGTCACCTACAATTGATCCTATAGCGAAAGTAAACAAATTCATCCTTGATTTAGAAGACGAACTTGATCCTGGTGAAGCACAAACACTTCCGCCATTTTTTCAAGGTAGTTATACCCAAGCATTGTACATGGCAACTCAAAGAGCGAAATTCTTGTTTGTATATTTGACAAACGGACATAACGAGAGTTCTAGTCAAGTGTTTGAACAAATAATTATCAATCCTAGATTCGTGGAATTGTTCTCTGATAATGTTATAATATGGGGCGGCGATTTGACTAATCCCGAAGCTTACCAATTGGCCAATAGTTTGAATGTCACTCGATTCCCATTCTTAGGATTGTTGTGTTTGACTAGAACTACAACTATGTCTCCATCGGGCCCCGTGAAAACTCCAGCTAAGATAAGTCTAGTGGCACGTGTACAAGGTGGTATCCGTAGCGACTGTAATGTGAATGAATTAATACGAAACAAATTTATTAATAAATTAGATAAATATGGCGGAGAGCTAAATCAGATACGAATGGAGCTCCAGGAAAAGTTTTTGAATCAAGTATTGATCAAGCAACAAGAATTGAATTATCAAATGTCGTTAGAAAAGGATAGATTAAAGAAACTAGAAAAGGAGCGGGAGAAGTTGACTAAATTGTACCTTGCATACCATGCTTCAAAATACCACGAGTTAGGAGTAGCACACCCAGGTTGCGCTAAGATTGCCCTTAAAATGGTTGATGGGACAAGAAATGTGGCTTACTTTCCCAAGGATATGAAAGTAGAAGATGTGTTTATGTATGTTGAATTGTTAAACCGGGGGTATTTACATGATAGAGAATTAACATCAACATTAACAGAGCAAGAGGCTGCTACCAAGTTCAAATCATTCACCATGGAGTACAAATTCAAGTTGTCGTCGCCATTGCCTCCTAAAACTACGTTGAATGAAATGAGAGATTGCAAAATACAAGATGTGGATATAGTATATCCCAGTGGCTTATTAATAGTGGAGGAAATATAGTCCATTTTTTTTTTCTATATAGAATTCACATACTTATTTAGTTACCTTCCCCTTCTTTTTCTTCTTTTCCTTCTTTTTTAATCCCACAAACCCAGCCCGTAAGATGGGGATATAATCTTGCCAAAATTGTTCCAATGCTTGTGGCTCAACAATAGTCGACAACTTGTATTTACTCTTTTGATCATTCTTGTCTTTACCATTCATGGAAATTCGAATTAGGACGGGATATGTGCTTGTGTTGTTCCCTTCTGTTTCAATGACATTGGAGGGTAAATCAGCTGTGGTGGCATCAGTGGTTGAATCTAATGGTAAAGCAGGTGATAATCGCTTTTGCGTGAAATATACCGATTTTTTACCATTATTAGTAGATAATACCTTGGTTAATTCTTTAATAAATTCGGCGTTATCCACTCTGGTCATTTTTAGGTGGATTTGCTATGTGTATATGTGTTTGCAATAGTGAATCTATTCCAGTTGTGGCAATACTGAATGAGAAATATTGGTGAATAAAAAATCAATGAAAAATCGCATTTGCTACGACTCGACTATATGCAGGACTTCGCTGTTTTAATGAATTTGCAGCTTATATAGTTATTCCACATTATTTATGTTTGTAATACAACGTACAAGACTTTGTGGTTAGATACATCTATTAGATTATGCTTCTTTGACCTATAGCTTCCACTTAAAAGTCGAATTTTACAGTATGATATTGTCTAGTTTTGAGAAATCAGCCTAGTTTTGTTGGTGTTGTAAATATCATCTTGTATAGTTTTTTATTTTTCATATTACACATGTAAGGTGAATACTATTTTGTGGTTATATGGGGGATGTACTACATTAGCAATAGAAACATAAAGCATTTAAAGAGAGATTGATATTTTCAATTGAGTTCATGGCCCCCTTTCATAGCTCTTAACCTTAAAAGGTCATTAGATTAATTGAGCTTTTTTGGAAGGAAAAAGGTACTATTAGCTTGCTAGGAAGATGTGATAATTATAAAAGCTTTCTGATTTACAATAACAATACGACAACCATAGTTACCAACTCATAAAACTTTATATATATATATATATATTCTTGCCGAGTGACTAAGGTTAGGGTTGAAAAAGGCATATTATCCCCGCATTAAATATGGCGCGACAATATTTACGATTAGATCCACAGGATCATCAGATTCTAAATTCACAAGTCATTCAGTTGATTTTCCAACCAAAGAATTATAACCGCTATACACACAATCTCTCATTTGTTTTGATTTTCTTGGCTTATTCTTCATCTATATAAACAGCAAGAACCCTGTGAAAACAACGAATTCAGATGAAATTATTCATTCAAATTTACCACTCAATTGTATAAAGAGAATCCTTTCTAATACACACGAAACATGTCAAGTCCTCCCTTGCCAGTTCTTGAACGAGTAGCTTCTTTACCTATTGTTACCGATAACAGCGACAATCTCACCAGCCGCTTAATTTCATTATTCATTTCTGTATTGGTAGCACTAGCATCAGGTACCCTCTACTTATATGGGGTATATTCTCCTCAATTCATCAAACGTGTTGGGCTCACCACTTCAGATTCAGCGACAATAGCACTATCAATGACAATGGGTTCAGGCATAGGTGGACTACCTGCGGGGTTGATAGTAGATAAGTATGGGCCTATGTTTTCTACACGTATGGGTTCTATATGCATACTTGTCAATTACTACTTGGTATACAGAATATATCTAAATCAACACGACAACTTGCTTCTTATTTGCATGTGCATGGCATTTGTGGGATTTGGGTCAATAATATGTTATTTTTCGACATTAAAGGCATCCCAGGCCAATTTCCCTAATCATAGAGGTGGTGCAGGTGCATTACCAGTAAGTGCTTATGGATTTGCAGCGACAATTTTCTCAATTATATCGGCAAGGTTTTTCGATGAGGATACCGGTGGATTGCTTCGATTCTTGTCCATATTCTGTGGATGTGTCAGTTTTATAGGATCGTTCTTTATTCGTGTTTACCATGAGGTTGATCACCATGAAGACTATCATGAAGAGTTAGGTGTTGGTGATGGACAAAACGAAGAATTGGCATTGCTTGAAGATCAAAATTTTAATCCAACTCCCCGTCCGGTAGATTCCGAAGAATTATATGGATCATTTGCATTCTGGGGGATAGGTGAGCATACACCACAAGCTTCTGATTCTGAGTCTTCGAGCTTATTAGAACTGTCAGAGACTAGTTCCATTTATATCCAACAATATCAAGCGGGGTCCAGTTCTCAACGGAATCCAAGCCAATCACCACCCAAACTACCAAGGATCACTCCTCAAATACAACCTAAACCTAAACCTCACAAAAAGAAACATAAGATAAAACCTTTGGAGGCTATAAAGCATCGTGTTATTGATGCAAAATTTCTTATTCATTACTTGATTGTAGCAATTACTACCGGTATCGGACAAATGTATATCTACAGCATTGGATTCATAGTGACTGCCCAATACTACTACAATAGGAAAAAGGACGAGGAGGACCTTTCCAAAGACCCAGAAACTGTTCATCTTCAAGCTGTTCAAGTCGCTGTCATTTCTATTTCCAGTTTCTTGGCTCGATTAGTTGCTGGATTCTTAAGTGATGTTCTCCATAGACGAAAGTTCCAACGGCTTTGGATTGTACTAGTCACCATTATAATTCAATGCTTAGGTGAACTACTTCTCGTGGTCAATGAATCCAATCACACTCTAATTAGTATTTCCCTGGGCATCATGGGTTCTTGTTATGGTTTAGTATTTGGAACGTACCCTGCAATAATGGCGGACGAATTTGGAACCAAGACATTCTCCACTAATTGGGGATTGGTATGTACAGGATATGTTATTACTTTATTCATACTTACCAAGTATTTTGGTTGGATCTACGATAAGAATACCAACCCTGTTACTGGTCATTGCTACAAGGGAAATGGATGTTACATTGGAGCATTCGAATTAGGCATGATATTATCTGGTATTGCATTTGTAGCTACATGCACAGTGATGTGGAAACATAGAATACAGTAATAAAAGCTTCATTAATATATATATATATAGCGTTTGTAGAAAATTAACGGTTGTCAAAATCAATCAATTCATAAGTATATAAAAACCCCTAGATAATGGCATAAAAAAAATATAAATACAAGAATACCTAATCTACTTCATGAACACTCTCCAAATCAATTTCCTTCAATAACCCCTGTTGATATTCAACCTTCTTGAGTAAATCATGGAAATATCCATAACTTAATTCCGCATCCTTGATGCTCGTTTCCAATTTTTGTTTCTCACCTATTCTCTTATCGATATTGGTTTGGAAATTGTTCATCACTTGTCTGCATGGATAGTTCAATACAGTACGGCACTCATTAGCGATTCTCATAGCGTTTAAATGGGCATAGTTGGCCTTCTTAACTTGCAGTTTGATTCTTCTAGCTTGCTTTCGAACAACTGCATGAGGAACATCAGTAATCAAATAGTAGATTGAAATACCCGAAAGACCAAGGACAACAGGTAAGGCAACCTTCTTGAGCATTCCTGGAGTGACATATCTCGAGAATTGGTATACTTTATGAATTAAAGCTCCAGTGGTCAACAACTTTCCTGATGAATATAATGTGTGCAATGTAATCTGAGAAGGAATTTGATCACGCAATGCTATAGCATTGGTAGGAACTGCAGTGAGAATAGTCAATGGGTTGAAGTATGTAATTTGATGTTGGATACCAGCCACTACTTTTTCCGGGATCCCCAAGAATGTAAGACATGATTCGAGTGAAGGATCCACAAAATCCATAATGTCCAATTGATAATCTAGACGTTTAAGTAAAGTGTCTTTCTTTCTAGTAAACATAAGCAGGGATTGGAATGTCTTATCATTGAGAAATTCTTCACCAAGGGTATTTTGTCCGAATTTGATGATCTCATCAACCTTAGTTACTGTGATGTCTTTAGTATTATTTTCACACTTTGTTACTGATTCAAGAACAACATCAAACAAAGCACTATGTGTTTCTTTGGCGTATTCAAACAAGTATTGTAACCCACCGTAAACTACAACCGGCTTCTCGCCGAGATTTTCAACAACTTCAGTTATTTGCTGTGTAGTAGCATTATAGATATCAGTGCATGTGTTTTCAATTAATGTATTGATTGAATTTTGGATCTTGACAGATTTGGAAACAATCTCGTTGTATCTTGGATTAACACGATTATTTAATTCTTTCAACTTTTCTAATTTCTCTTGTTGATATATCTTTTCATTAAGGTTGGATAATGTTTGTAAATCACGAAGTATATTAACAAGGAAACTCTTGGCAGGAAGCAATTTCGAAATTGATCTCTTTTCAAGAATAAATTTTCTCAAGGATGCTTCAAGGATATCGAAATCAGGATGTCCTAAATCATGTTCAGCTGGTCCATCATCATCATCACCACCACCTGGCCCATCATCGCTTGGTTGCCCTATGGGTATATCACTTGCACTGACAAAATGTACAAACTCGCGAGCATTCTTATAAGTATCAGGACTTAAATTCTTAATCTGGTCCAAAATTCTATTCTTACACTTTTCCTTATCTCTGATATTATCAAATCGATTAACCACGATAAACACATATCGCTTCTCGCTGGCGGCAGCTGCTATAAACTCTTTGGCACTTAAAGTGAAATGATTCTCGGCACTAACGACAAACACAATCAAATCAATTTCTTCCTGTCTGGAGAAAACTTGAGTCGTTTGGTACAGATCCATATTCAAACCTGGGGCGTCTATCAATTTAATGTCGATTATTCCATTGTGCAAAAGGCTTTCTTGGAACGAGCGGTGGTCTAACACATACACTTTCAAAAGGCTGTAACGGTCACATTCATAAACAAGATCTTCTAAATCTTTCAAGGGGTATATTTTATAAGTTGATTCATCACGGATGTTATAATCTGGTCCACCAATAGGAATTGCATGCACTTCCTCTAAGCTATTGTTTTCTTTGGATGCATCAATAACTTCACAAAACACTGAAGTGCATGGCTGTTGATCTTCAGGTAAAATCTTTCTTCTCAACAATGCATTGCAAAAGGTGGACTTCCCGGAATTTAAATCACCAGTGACAAACACTTTGGAACTAGTATCATCCACTCTGTCTTTCAAATTAAGTAAATACTTTACTTGCTGTTGGATTTTCTTCTCTAATAATGCTGCAATGGAACCCTTATCTAAATTTGAAACCACATCAAAATCAGAATGTCCGGATTTAAGGTTTAAACGTAACACTTTGAATTCAGGAAGTGGTTCTTCATCTTCATCTGGTTTAATTTTGGCTTTGTCAAACTTACTAGTATTCTGTCTAACCAATGCTAAATGGGCTCTTGCAGAATTTAATAACAATGAATTATCATCATCAATTTCAGTAGGATAAAACACAGGTCTGGCTTTGTTTTCTTCACTCAAGGCATACAATAATTCTATTGTGGAGTTGATACATCGATCTAAACTGATCTTATTTTCGTTATAATGTAGTTGTTGCACACTTGTGTTTATATGTTTCTTTTGACGGACAGTAAGACCGTTGCTTTTGCTGCTTCCTTCTTGACCTTCAACCAAAGTTCTATTGTCTGGGGAAAGATTACTGGTTCCAGGAATGTATACTAAATGCGAAGGATCTGAAGTTCCGTTGACCAAGGTGGTAACTTCGTCATCATCATATTGATGGTCAGCCGCCTTTGGTTTTGACTTCTCAAGATGTGGAAAATCACTCATAGTTTAGAGATTTCTCTATCCTTCTCAGGCTTGTTTGTGGTTGTCTAAAGAATGGACTGATCGGCTAAAAACCCGGTGGCACAACTTTTTTTTTTAAAAGATTTCGATTCGCGCTGCCACCGAAGTCACGTGCAATGTGATTGTAAACACGAGCACGTGACTAAATTTCTCTCTCATAAAAGTGGCAACCAATAGATAAGATAAGGTGGTCAGATGGTTGACACCAAGACTGGAGATATATGGTCCTAGAAACATTTGATGGTAGTAAGATACCTCCAATAATAGCTAAGCTCTTGACACCAGAAAATTTTGAACCTTTTGGAGGAGTGATCAGTCCTGAGCATCAAGTAATTGCAAATGATTCAAATGCCAACTACGGAACGGCGATAAAGATCCCAAAAGTTGCACCCGTTGTTAACAACTATAAAATGAGTCAGAGTGGGAGTAGTACTACAAACTGGAACATATTCCGATGCTCCCGACCTGACCATTTACTAACTGAAGGTCGAGGTAATTGGCAATACACTTCAACAGTGCTTGAACGTCATCCGTTTACTACTCAAACATTTCTTCCCTTGGGTAAAACCGATGAAATTTGTTATTTAGTAATTGTGGCTAAATCTGATACCAAGACTACTCTTCCTGATCCGGATACAATAGCAGCATTTCTTTGTCGTGGTAATCAATCGGTTACTTATGGGGTGGGTGTTTGGCATGCACCTATGATTACAATTCAAGACAGGACTGTTGACTTTGCTGTTTTGGTTCATGAAAGTGGAATTGCTGAAGAAGATACTCAAGAGTGTTACTATGACCCGGGATACCAAGTTTATTATAGAATGTAGACTACCTATGTACAGCATTATATAAAATCTATAATCTCCTCAAGTACCTTGTTGGCATAACTTTCTCTTTTATCTGGGGGAAGATTACTTATCACCTGTTTAGAAACAGAAAGCTTGTTGAAGATTTCTTCCAATTCCATATCTTGCTTATGCTCATCTAATAGCCCTACAGTCATTGACTCCAATTTATCCAACTTACTCTTTTCATACCGATCTGGCTTGTCTGTAAGCATATCCATATTGGACCATTCATGGCATTCAATCAACTCTTTTATTCGATCCTTTCCTTGTTTCTCTTTATATTCATTCACTCCCTCAGATTGAAGATTGATAAATTCAAACCCAGATGTAATTGCAGCATCTTCGATAAGTTCTACAAGATCTTCATCGATTGGTTCATCATTAGGGGATGAACCAACTACACATATAAACCCCTTCCAGTCATGACCACCTAAAGACTGTCGTATAGTAGCAAGAACATCCATGGCCATTTCTATATATTCAACTGAATCAGATGCCATGTTGACCGTAAATATAAATCCATCAATAACCTCTCGTAATTCTTCACAATCATCTGATTGGAAATCTTCATACCACTTGGATAACTCGGCAAGTTTATCATTAGCACCATGTGACTTTTCTAAGTATTCATCAATCATTATCGTTAGTTTCATCTCGTAGTATTTGGTAATGACCGAGGTCTTTATTATTATTCCCGAGTGTGATTGATCCGGTTCATATTCTCCTGCTTCATAATCCTGAGCTATTGTTTTCGCAATTCGGAGCTTACCGCTATTTGGCGGACCCAAAATTAACAAATGGTTTGGAATCATAATTTTCTTTCCTGATTGGGTTGTATTCTACCACTTTCCTATTACAACATTATATTAACTGGTTTAGTTTTCCACACCAAAAAAAAACACATACACCAAAATTTAGAATCAACACCTCACAGAACATTTGGCAACACCTTTTTCCAACCATAAACACAATGACAGGACCGCTCAATGGATCATCTAAAATGAGCAATGGAATTAAGAAACAAACAGCAACCAATATGTCCTCAGTCGCAGTTGACAGTCTCCAACTAGAGAACTTGCTTCTACGGGATGAAGACATCTTTCAAACTTCCCTTAATTCTGAAGATTACCTCGAATCATTAGCCCCTATAATAAGAGATTCCATCCGTTCCAATGGATTGAACAGCTTGATTGTCAAACTTAATGAGATTGTCAATGATAAAGACGAGGAATTGAATGTTGCATCCATGGAACTGACGGATGAAATTAGTCAATGTATCAACCAAATTGATTCAATACATCAAGAATCCATGGTATTGAAGGATGAGTTCATGAAAGTCAACCAGAGCTTAAACAAGTCAACCATCGAACTAATCAATAGGAAAAATAGATTCATAAAGTATAAAACTGTATGTGGCCGAATCAATGAAACTTCTATAGTGTTGACTGAGTGTATTCAAGTGTTGGAATTGACTAACAAGATTTTAGAGTCCATCCGTCAATCCAAATATTTCAATGCCTTGAAATTACTTGATGAATTGTTGAATATCCATATTGCCAAGGTCCAAGATTTTAACTTTGCAAAGAAGATTGTTGATTCTATTCCTCATTTAACCAAGATGATCAAGGATGATTGTTTTGATAATATCTCCAGATGGTTGAGTTTGAACTTGGAACAGAAGTTAACTGCTGTCGGTCAAGCCATTTTCAACAATATACATGTTTTACAAAACAATTGGGAGGATATCAAGAAAAATAACAAAACATTTTTACCATACAAGTTGAATTCACCCGTTGAGCAATCCCTTCGTGATCCAGGTATAAATTACAATATTTTCACTGATCAAAGTTTACAAATCCCCTTGAATAGCATATATGATGCCATATTGGTTTATCAGACTCTCCATGAATTGGACACGTTAATCGATGCCTATCATAAGGAATGGATGAAGAAATACAGCAGAATCATATACCCACTAGCACCTGCATCTGTGAATATCAAAGATATCGACTTCACTAACTTAGAATTAGCAGGATACTTGCAGAAAATAAGTGCATTCTTCATTATGGACAAACAATTGAACTTAATTACGAAATTCCAATTGCGTACCAATACCCAAGCTGATGAACTTTGGTTATCATATACTACGAAGTTAAAACCAGTTCTTTTACACAATTTAAAGCGTAATAGATTTAATAATGTTGATGATTTGAAGAAGTATAAGGATTTGATTGGGGATTTCCTACAAGTTATGGATAACTATTCTTATGACATTACCGAATTATATGATGTTCTTATGATAATATTCAAGGATTACTTTGCCCCACTCGTGGTACAAGATTTCCGTTCTCAATTTATTGATTCCATAACATCAGATCATTACATGCCTCTTGCGGTAGATTCCCAGGAAGATTATGATAGTATCATGAAGTTAGTATGGTATCAGAAGGATTCAGCATTTGCTCCACAAAATGTGAGGAGCATGCCAATTCAGTTACCATTTAGTGAAGATTATATCCATTATTGTTTTGGAATTCGTAATTTGATCAATATTGTCATTGTATTTATTTCCGAACACTATAATTATGAAATCACGGAAATAAACAATATTATAGTCAATGACATTGTTGAATTAGTGTTGAGTAACAAGAAAGGATTTGGTATTGCATATGACATTGAAGACTTTGTCAAGAGAAATGCAACTAATAAGGAAATTGTGGCCCAAACTTATACCAATCTTGAATATTATTTGTTTAGTTTGTATGAAGTGGGAAGAATGATTAACAATAGATTGAGACAATACACTGGTGTTGGGATTCATAATATTGATGTTAATGATACTTTTACCCTTCAAGCAGTAGATACATTTAAGGATTTGAAGAAATACTCTGAACAGGCAATTTTCGAAATGGTTGATTCCAAAATCAATGAATTGTTGGATATGGTCGAATACTTTGATTACACTACCACCGAGAAAAATACCGAGGCTAACTATTCAGTTAAAGATTTTGCTGGATTCTTGGTTAATTTGTTCACATCGATTTTTTCCACTCTTCCTTCAACATTAAGAACCTTAGGTCTCTTCAAGACCTATGATTTTGTTTCAGAACACTTTCTCAATGTCCTTAAACGTGCTCCTCTGTACAATCGTACATTTGTGGAAAACTTTGATTTGGATATAAGGTACTTGGAAGACTCGATGAGGAAACTTCATTCACCCAGGGAAGGCAATACTGAAGCGTTGGAATCAACCTTTGCCGAGTTGAGACAAGCAATTGATTTATTAAAATTGGAAAACTATGATGAATTTCTCAATAACCCCGGATTTAGAATGCGTCATTTTGATCGAATTAAATTGGAATTTGGTCAATCATTGATTGGCAAGATGATAGGCGGAAGTACTAATCCAACCGATGATGATACTGCATCATTGAAGAGTTTCGAGACTTCAGCTACCGCGTCAAAGTTTACTCAATTCGCAGGAAGGTTCAAGAGAATGGGTGATAATATTTAGAGTATGTAGCCATACAATATTCGATTACTATTTTTTGGTGAGTATTAGTAAAATGCGTACCTGTGTTATCGTTATATTTTTGGAATCAATGTACATGGTAGCGCTTGCGATTTGCAGTCAATAAAAGTTCCTTCGATAATTTCAAGAATTACCCGCTACTTAAACTCTTTCTTAGAACTGCATAACCAACAATGATAAAATATCCATCTAGTATAGTCATTGGGGATGCAATTCAGCCAGTTTCTTCCAATGAGTTTGATTCCAGTTTCAATTCTCAAACTTCTTTTGACAGCAAATCGTACACCAAACTGAGACAGAAATCAGTGTTTGCCAAATTAGAACACTTTTACAACGTGGATAACATGATAGAAATTCTCTACCTTTTACCAGAACTTAAACATATTGATTCATTTCCTCCACACATTCATGTCATTGTTGGTTCTACATTGTTCAAACTGGGGATGACTTTAGAAGGTCTTAGAGAAGTTGGTGTTGCCATTGATATGGAAAGAGATAGGCTGGTTAGGGCAGATCATATCCTGTTGATGGGGACTATGCTTGCTCGTTTAGGAAAGATGGATGATGCAATGACTTGTTTTGGTGATTATTTTGATGATGTTCGGAATTCAAACGGGGATGTCGGTGAAATAAAGCAAAAAGTTAGAGGGTTTCAAGATGAATTAGCCAGAATTGGAGCCGGTTTAGAGTATGTTATCTTTTGTGATTTACGTTTGAAGGTTTTTACTAACATAAGTAGGATTATTCCTAGTTTTCCTTCCTTGGAACAGCAAATATTGAATTTCAAAGATGTCCATAAAATCTTTCCTATGGGTTCTTTTACGTATGATTATCTGCATATTGTCAAGATTATCAGTGATGTCAAACAACGTTTGGAAACTTGGGATTATACCAAGAAGAAAGGAGACCAATCCGACAATAGTGTTATTTTGTCATTGCTGACTGCAATTCTCATTCTTGGTCGTGTAGAGATTTATTACTCAATGTTGGCAATAGAACCTCTAATTCTTCGCCACATTGAAGCTTTTGTCCCTCCAACACAACAACATACCAGAACATATTCTCTATTCAAGAAGAAGCCAGAACTTCCTACGATTCCATATGAAGTCAAGATTGCCCAACGGAAAACTGTGATTGGATTCCTTGCTTTATTAAATCATGATTATTCTAGAGCAGTTCAAGAGTTCACCAATTCTATCGAGCTTTTAGATCCTCAGGATTCCATGTGTGATCAGGTTAAATGCTGGTTAATTCAATGCAAGTGTATGATGGAGACAAATCCTAAAAATAGACTTGCTGCGATTATGGATATATTTGAAGATCGACCACACCCTAAGATATATATCGCTTTGGGGGACTGTTATCGAGACCTTGCAGGTGAAGAATCCACCTCAATTACAATCCTTGAACCAAACAAGATCGTAATTGGGAAACAATTCTTGTGTCTGCATCTCGAAGAAGCAATTTTCAATTACATTAATACAGTGGTACTGATGCAGCAAGATGATCCAGCTGTAGCTAAGATCTATGATTACATTGTATTATATCTATTGTTACATGGAGGTATTCAATATCATGCGTTTGCATTCTTCCTCCAACTTAGAGACTATTTTCATGTCATATCACAGTATAACCACCTTCACCTCTCTAACGATGATTCAACATATACAAATTTTTTTGAGATTGCTGACCAATTTGTACAAGATTCAAAGTTATTAACAGGAGACTTCTGGAGACCAAAGGCAATCAACCTTTTACCTCAGGTATTTCTAGCTGAAGATGACAAGTTGTTGGTTATGAAAGGGAAATATGGTGTTGCTACTACTACCAAGTTCAAAACAGTGAATCTGTTTTACATTGTTCCAGTTGATCATGAACCTTTAATATCTTCGATTGCACTCCTTGAAAGCAAAATTTTAACTAGCCGCACATTAGTTGATCTTTTCTGGAGAGGTTATAGTGGTGACTTGCCTTCGCACATTCAGCAATATTACATACAACATTTAGCCTTCTAATATGTTTTTTACAATTTGCTAAATTTTCTAAATATTGCAAATCTTCGTTACTCTATATTTACAGGATATACACAATTTATATAACTATTACCAAAATTTATACCAACGCTTGCTGTTTGTTTGTTGTACTTGAATCAATTCTTCCTTCTTGGAATCAACAATCAGTTGAATCTTTTCCTCCAATGATTTTGATTTAGCAGTTAAATCACCTTCAGCTTGTTCATATTCTAAATGTAACCAAATTGCCTGAAGACCCATGTATGCTATTCCTGCAAATAAAAAAGTGTGTGTCATTGCCGTAGTGAATTGTGAGAGCCGGGGTTTGTTTTGCGGAATCAGTTCCTGTTGCGGAATTCGCACAGAATAGTTTCTTATTGTGCGAGGCAATGTTGTCGTTCTTGTTGATAGTATTCTATTCATCTTTGTGTTTGATGAATTCTATTATTGTCGGATTAGTGATTTGTATGTGTTTTAATCCCCGTAATTGTCATTCGATGATCTCACTAAAAATTTCAAGTGCGGAAATTGAACCACCAGGGGGAGTATGGAAAAAAAAATGCATGCTACGCCAACTTTTCATAGTTTTATCTTGTATCTTTAATGACTACAATGCTAATGATTGGATTGAGAGCTACCGTGAGGAATGCACGTGTTATAGCTCGACCTAACATTATTGGAAAACTCCTGCTTAATGTTCAGCCTTTAGCGATAAGAGCAAGTGTTCGTGGATTTCATTCGACAAGATTTTACCTTCAACAACAGCTGCAACAACCACAACAAGGTGAGACTGGAGCTCAAGCTAAGTTACAAGCGGAAAGAGAAAGAATTGATAAATTACAAGCTGAAAGAGATGCTCGTCAGCAATTTAAGAACCGATCTGCTTCATATTATGCTGCCTCAGTTGCAGTAGTTTTTCTTGCTCTTGCATTTGCTGCCGTGCCATTATATCGTGCTATCTGTCAACGTACTGGGTTTGCCGGTGTTCCTATCACCGATCCAACCATGTTCACCACTGATAAGTTGATTCCCGTGGACACCAACAAGAGAATTCGTGTTCAATTCACATGTCAATCCTCTGGTGTTTTACCTTGGAAATTCACTCCTTTACAACGTGAAGTTTACGTTGTTCCAGGTGAAACTGCATTAGCATTCTATCGTGCCAAGAACGTGTCCAAGGAAGATATTATTGGAATGGCTGTTTATTCAATCACCCCAGATATTGCTGCACCTTATTTCAACAAAATTCAATGCTTTTGTTTTGAAGAACAAAGATTGAGCGCTGGTGAAGAAGTCGATATGCCTGTGTTTTTCTTTATTGATCCTGATTTTGCCAAGGATCCATCTATGAGACATGTGGATGATATCGTGTTACATTATTCGTTCTTCAAGGCTAGTTATACTGCTGATGAATTGGCTGCCACTGCTATCCCTGTTCAAGGTGAAATTACTGCCACTATAGGTTAGAAATAGATATTCATAACTCTTGTAGATAGACATTTTTAAAATTTTATATGAATATGATAAGTTTTACTGAAAATAGAATAGCAGGTCAGTTGTGCAAATAATTTGATGAATGTGAAAAATATCTGAGCAAGATGAGCTCTGTGGAAGCCGAACAGAGTGGATATGATGTAGATAGGAGTGGAATTTTAGAGTCAGGCTAACCAAGGTATAACCCCAACCGCAACTTAGGTACCATCAACATACCCTTCACAGAACCCTTTCATGGAAATCCTCTTTGCTATATTGTGCTTAAGTGATGTGGATGGGAACAGTATGGTTGTTCAGTTTTTGGCAGCTGAATCCTGGTGTCGATGTCTCTCTCGGCTGCACATCCCGTTATCTCCTATTCATATCTTACATATTCAGTTGCGAAGACTATATTCTCAAGGCAAAAAAAATAAAAAGAAAACACAATTGTCAACCTACTCCACCTAAAATAAACTCTATTCCTATTTGCTAAAAGGCTTTGAGATAAAGTCTTATCTGCAACAGCACCCCACTCACCAGCAAGTATTGCCACACATGTTTATAAATGGTCGCGTGCCCTTGGAAGTTACCCCTAATAGGAAATTGATTCTGTGCCATAACGACAATTAAGGCGAGCTTCCGAACCTGAGATTGTGAGGGTTGGAACAATGGCTCAAAACTTGTGTTACATATTAAGAGCCGCGGGTCGGCCCAGACTAAAATGGAACTAGGTTAATGCGTAGTCAAGAAAATTTTAGCATTACTCCTATTTTGCATTTGTCTAAATAACGTTTATGTGGGCTAAAGTGATGGAACCGTACTGGTTTGGAACCATGTACTCCCTAGAGTGTTGACCCCCTGTTGTGTAATTGTAAGACATGTTTCTATAATTAGTTTGAATGAAAAGCTTGTTGCCGATCAATAAAATAAAATATTTTTTCCAACATTACGACCGGACGCGTATTTCACTGTGCATGTATGTAATGTAAGAACAACTTTCACGTACAGGAATCTCAAACGAACAAAACGTCTAACTTTGTAAGCTATTTAAAGTCGAGGATACTACAGAACTAGTTTCCCTTCTGATACTCATGTTGTTCGGATCTAGAAATCTAGAAACTACTCTACTAGGAAATAGAACATAATTATAATATTACCTGCATAAGTTTAAGGAGAAAATGTGGACAATATGCACACAATAAACTCCAAATATCGTGTATTCCAATATTTTTACAGGGATCAATGGTTGATTAAAATTAAACAAACTGTGCACCACCACAAAAATTAAATCTAGATTAAAATTCAATTGGTTTTGTGGGAAACCATCGTTGGGTACCAACCCTTGAATATTTTTTGGGCCTAATTTGTGTTTTTTTTTTATTTCCATTTTTTCCGGATTTGATTTATTTTTGTTTTTTTTTTGTACCAATTTGCAATAAAAAAAATTTTTTTTTGATTTTTTTTTGATTTTTTTTTTTTTGATTCGTCTGCACTGTTGGATCTGCAATAAACCTGAGGAGATTACGAAACCTTAATCTCTGATAACTTTCTTGAAGTTGATAATATAACAAGATCAAACCAATTCCACCTTTCCTCAGTGTTGTTCAATAACCAAAACTTAACCAAAACTAACCTTTTTCCAAATAGTTCACACGTGACGAGAAAGTTCCTCGAAAATTTGATGGAACAATACTAAAAAACCGCCTTTAATTCACTCATTTTAAATCTTCGAAATTCGATATAAGTCATTCGCTTTTTAAATATATCCATATCGTTTTCCATTACCATAGTGATTACTCCAGTTTAATTCACCACTATTTGTATTATTTCACACTATCATCATTTGTACCACATTGTTTAACAGGCTAGGTTTATCGCATAATGTACACTCCGACGCCTACTTTAAAAATCAGATCGTCCAAGACGTCAGATGATTCTGAACACACTACTTCTGATTACTGTAAAACTCACAAGAATTCTGATTTGTGCCAAAAGCCAGTGAATGACGATGTGCTTACTATCACGTTGTCAATTTTATTACCCTTGATTGCTATTGTTTGCGTGTTGGGTTACTTCCTTTACAGAAATTATAGAAAGGACAAAAAGGAAAGTATGGAGCATGATCCTGACTTTGACGAAAATGGAGAAGCCACTGCATTACCTGACTTCCCTGAACTTAAAGGATATTCAAACCAAAACCCATTCAATAATAATGCGAGATACCCAATGGATCATCAATTTAGAAATCCGCAATACCAACAATACCCACCACCACATGGCAACGATGCTTATTCGCAATATTCTCAAGATCAACACCCCTTCCAAGATCCATACACTTTTGTATTACCATATCAACATCAAACAGGTTCAAAAGTGTCATTGGACGATTATGCCAGAACCTTGGGTGATTCTCAAGGTTATAAGACCTCGGTCTCTTCTGCTGCATTGAATCAATTGGATAACTCTTCGAGTATCCATAGCTTTCACAACAATGTTGGAGCAGCTTCGTCCACTCCTCTTCGTCGTTCCAACCTTTATATGGAGCATTCTAGAACTCCATCAGATCCAGTGAGTCCAACTAGAAATCAAATCCGAGTTCCAGAAAAGGCATATTATGGGTCTAAAGTGGATGATACACCCATGGTTGCTCCTAATATTCATGATGATTCATATAGCAGTTCAGAATTACATTTTGAAAAGGATGCAGATACAACTGTTGTCATTCCTCAAATTATTGTTCAAGATGAAGAAGAATTGAACAATATTAAGACAAGCGAAGATACTGATGGAACTGAACGCAGTACATCGCCATTTGATAGTGATTCCGAAGTCGTAGAACATGGAAAGGAACACGAGTCAACAAAAACTTCGTCAATTGAGGGAACCAACGAAAAATTGACTGATCCTAGACACCACCATTTTGAAGCTAGTAATGAAACGTTCGACTTTTCTCAGTCAGATAGAATAGAGGATGATAGTCATGAAGAATTAATCAAGAAATCACCACCAATGATGCAACTCAATAATGAAATCGATAGCGTTGGAATCGACGAATTAACTGATGAACAAGAAGAACAAATTAAACGAATGAAATCAGTTTACAATGTTTATTTTGATCTGGATAAAACAAGAAACAGTACCGCTGACAAAGAAGTACCGCCATTACCTCAAATAACCCAATTGCAAAGTCCTGGTAATGTCAGATACAGCACATCATCGTCTGTATATGATAATCCACCTGATGTGACACATCAACTGTTCTCCACATACCCAGCTCAATCTAGACCTCAACCAAGATTACCACCCTTAAAACCATTACCAAATGCATCTGATATCAGAAAGTCTACCATCGAAACATATACCAACTACAGACCTAAAGTTGCATCACCACAATTCAAACACTTTATGCCTATTGAAGGTGACGTGAATGAAAGTGGATACTATTCACCACCATTGTCACAACCGCAATCGCCTATTGGGGGGCCTGTTCCTTCCGCATCCCAATTAGCAAGAAACTCGGTGGTTATGATTGATCCTGCGGTGGAAATGACCAAATCCAGAACTTTTAAACCAGCTGGATCCCCAACTCTTCCTCAAAGTGCAAGTATGACTTCTTTTGGAGAGAGCCAGATGGATCATGATAATGATTTTAAACCTGGTAGTAGAAGAAGTGATGTTCGGAGAATCTTGAATAACCATTAGGGGAAACGCTGCATAGCATGTATACTTTGTAATTTCAATATTATATTTATTCGTGTTTCAAAGGCCTTACTTGTATTACTCACCATAAGGTAATTCAAACTGTATTGTTCTTCTTTTGAATCTATTTTAATTGGCAAAAGATTGGGGTTGTAAATATGTTAGATTTAATTGCTGTCTGGGAAATGACGAATGTAATCTCCGAGCACGCGCTACCAGTTTGATTGTTTTTTCGAATTGCACGTGACTTCCCACTTTCTTTTTATCCAACCAAATTGAATCTTAAAAAGCAAAGCTCTTGGACAATAATTGAAAAAAAATTGCAATTAAACAGAGATAAATCGATACCATATCAAAATCACACAAAATAATATAGAAGTATGTTTAAATGAAGTCTTGTGAATGGCCATTCCTTGGAGAGTAACTTGGTACCTTTTTGGAGTAACCTTTTCACACAATTTTTTTTTTTTATTTATACACATGAAATACTAACAAGTTACTAGGATGTCCGAACAACAACAAAAGCAAATTGTCACTCCATCTCAAAACTTATTGAATGAAAAGTGGGATGTTGTCTTATCTAACGCTTTGATCAAGACTGGATTAGGTTTTGGTGGAGGTGTATTGGCATCTATCTTGTTATTCAAGAGAAGATCTTTCCCAGTATGGTTAGGTATCGGATTTGGATTGGGTAGAGGATACTCCGAAGGTGATGCTATCTTCAGATCTGCTCATGGTTTGAGAACTGTCAAGGCTTAATTGGGGGATAGTAAATATAAACATACTCTCGTTGTTTGGAGAGAGAAAAGGGGTGAATAATGGCAAGTTTACTTGTGGATTTGCTGTTTTAATGTCTGATGTATTTGATAGAAAGAAGTCACTCCCGTACATATATTAATTTATTAGACGTGTCTTTGTTATGAATTCTCCACCAAAGGGTGATACCATTTTATTTGTAGGAATATTACCCATTACCCATCTCACATCCGCATTGGTTGTTACTTTTCACACACATATCAGCACCATTAATTTGAACACTGGCATTGTCTTTATATATTAAAAATTCATTTCTATTCACTTTTACTTATATACAAATAAAATTTTAGTATCAATTATATTTCCAACATGGGCTCTTATTAAGCGAATGCTAGTTATATCAGTATGTCTAGTGGCATTGGAAGTTTTCTGAAAACACTTGCTGTCTTCTGTTGTCTGGTCAAACTAAAGTTCCTTCATATATTTTTTTCTTGCAACCACAATTCAACCTCTTTCTAATTATTCCTTACAGCCATGATTGAACAACTGGAAGAGGCGATCTACCATATCTTTGATGACAATATTGACATATATGAGTTCATGGGAATAACTCGTACTGCAACCTCGGCAGAAATACGAAAAGCTTATCGTCAACATGCATTACTTTACCATCCAGATAAACAACGAGGTGATGAAACCAAATTCACAATCTTATTAAAATGCTATGAAATCTTAACTAATGAGACCTTGCGGAAGAAATATGATCAGTTGAGTGCCGCTAAACAACAGCGAGAGATTGATCGTGAAAAGTTGGCTGATTTGACTAGACAATTTCAAGATGAGCTATTGGCAAGTGAGGAAAAAGTACGTACCAATAAGAAAAGAAAATGGGGACATAGTATTGAACAATTGAAAGAAGATGGATTGATGAGAAGGCGGCTTATGGAACAAAAATTATATGAAAAGAAGAATGTAGGAGAAGCAAAACCTGTTTCTATTGATGACTTACCTGTTGATGACCTTATCCAGAACAATTTTAGCTCTTTTGATACAGTTAGATTAAAGTATTCATACCGAGAAAACCTACGTGATTTGATAGATAAACATGTGATTGCGGAAATAATGGGTATATTTGGTGAGATAGAGTCGGTTTCTATGCTAAATCATGATGATAGATATGGGTATGCTTTAATTCGATATAAGCATGACAAAGATGCTACTGCTGCGTGTAATCACAACTATAATGAATCGGCAACAAAATGGGATGGAACAAAGGTCAGAAAATTGGCAAGTTTACTTCGGCATTGTTCTGTTGAAAAAGTTAATCAAGACGACTATACTGACAATCCTCAAGTCAATGTTATTTTAGAGGATTATAAAGCAAGACATGTGAAATCCGTATCTGACAAGAATTGGTAGATTTGTTTTCCAACATTATATACTTGTCTTTTCAAAAATTTCAAGTTGATATACGATCATAAAATGTGAATAGACAATTTGACAAAATCAAGCATCCTAATCACGCAGATCGAAAAAGTCTCTACAAGGTAAGCGATTCTATAAATTGTGGTGTGCATTTTAGTTTAATCATCTCTCCATTCAACAAATACTTCGTCGGTTCTAAACCTTTGTGTACATACAGTATGATCCAAATCAGTTACTTGTCCCATACGATAGCTTAATAATCCTGCATGAGCAATCATAATACCATTGTCAATACAGAATCTTTCATCAGTTGCGTAAATCTGGCCATTCTTACGATCTTCAATCATCAACTTCATCATTTCTTGTAATCTTTGATTGGAACCCACCCCACCGACAATCAAAACTTGATTACTATTAACATGAGCTAACGCACGTTCAGTAATTTCCACCAACATACTAAACAAAATTTCTTGTAAGGAAAAACACAAATCTTCGGCAGTTATTGGTTCCCCGGTTTCTTCGTCAATCAATTGCTTATTTTGTTTACCAAACATGTCTTTGGCTATTGAATCTATATTAGCCAATATCCCAGACATTGATAAATCCATACCTTTGACGGTATATGGCAAATTGACAAGGTGTTTCCCCTTCTTGGCCATTTGTTCGATGTTATAACCAGGTGCTGGTTCATTGGGGATTTTCAAAGTACGGGCAAACCTGTCTAAACAATTACCAATGGCAATATCCAAAGTTTCTCCGAAAATACGATATCGTTGTTTAGAATAAGCAATGACTTGGGTATTTCCTCCACTTACATATAAGACAACCGGGTTATCAGCTCCGGTAATCTCTCTTCCCATTTCGATATGTCCAACACAATGATTTACTCCCATCAATGGAATTTTCCACAATTGTGCCAATGTTCTTGCGGCAATCACCACACTTTGTAAAGGACTTCCCATCCCTGGTCCTTGGGTGAAACAAATCACATCTATGTCAGTCCCTTTAATCTTTGCTACGGCGAGCGCACGTTTTATAACACGAACTACCCAATTTCTATGATGTCTGGCTGTGTCTCTAGGAAGGAACCCTTCACCTGGTGGAGCAATGTATGTATCTCTAATGTTTGAGAGAACCTCAGCTCGATTCGAAGATGTGAGCTGGCCTTGATTGTGGCGAATCACACCTACTCCCAATTTATTGGCGGATCCTTCAAGACCAAGGGCTATGTAATGGTCCTTTCCTGGTTTGAGGTATTTGTCCAAATCGACTGTCATGTTATATTTCCCTGGTAGGCTGGACCCCAATTGTATGAGCGATGCGAGAAATTTTGGTTAATCTTCAAAAAAAAAAAAAAAATTAAAGTCTAGAACCCGTTGCGAAATCTAAACAAACATAAACAACCCAACCGAATTAACTGTCTTATATATTTACTACACCACAAATGTCCTTGAACCGTTTTCTAGATCGAATCGATGAACTGTCAATAGGTATTCAAGAATGCAAATTCCCCGAGAATGGGATGTTCACCAACGCCATGATCAATTCACCTGGGATTATCACCCTTCTTAAAGATACATACCAAGATGAAGGATTACTATATGCTACCAGGAACCCCGAGATACAACCACAAACAGATTTATCCAGTGGAATTAAAAAGTTACAGCGACGTGATAGTAGAAAGCTCTTTGAGGAACAGGACTACCTTGATTTTGAAGATGTGGAGGAACTCGATAGACCGTTTGTTCGTTTACCTGAACTAGCTAATCAAGACCTTCCTGACGTGTCGTTTGTTCCCTTTGATGCGGATTCCAATGACTTGGGTTACTTAATACAATGGAACAAGGAAGTTCTTCTAAAATATCCATTAATATTGGAAGCGGATCAACATATTCAAGAATTGGTCAATTGCGAGAATGAGTATATTCAAACAACCCATGACATTAAAGCGTTGGAAGAAGAAGTTAATAGGAATAAGGAATTGATCAATTTGAGAGATGGCTCGGGAAGGATACCTGTTGACAGGGCCGAAGAGGACCGAGCCATAGATGCCTGTACTCAAAAACAAGAAGAGGAAATACGAGAGTTGGAAGCGCAACTTATGGAAATACAGAACCGTCAATAGTACTTCATCTCTACAATCAGTAATATTTTTTTGTTTTGTTTTTGATTATCCTACCATTAAATTAATATATACACCTAATATAAAAAATATCAAACTGTAAGTTTTCTTTTAATCAACTTAAACGGAAGTAAGGATATCAGAGTCACCAGCATCCAAAATAGATAAGGTACCAACTCTGAATAATTTACCACAAACGGTACCTAATTCGTTGTTACCACCTTGGAAGTAGTAGACTGGGGTCTTGGACAACATGGCGTAGTATTCCAATTCAGACTTTCTCAAGACTGGGGTGTTACCAGCAATGATAACTAACTTAGCCTTACCGTTTCTCAAGGACTTGATAACGGACTTGTAACCCAAGGTGTACTTACCAGACTTAATGGTTAAAGCCAACTTGGAGTTAATGTTTTCTTGGTTCTTGTTAGATTTTGGGGCCTGAAGATTAATGTTAGTATATGAAGTTCATTGATAGATGTTCTTCATACTCTTTCACATACATTGCAAATTAAACCATGTTAAATAGAATAACAATGATGCTTTTGATCAAGAGTAATGTTAACTGTTGCAAAGGATACTGACCATCTCTGCGTTTATGTATATGTGTACACTCCGGTCTTGTGATGAAGAAAAGAAGCAGAACAGCTGGTTTATACGAGAGATGGTAATGAAAATTTTATTTTGGTGCAAACTCTCGCAGGGCAAGGGCAAACCACTGAGAGAAGAACAAGGTTTACTGTGCAGGATGGAAAATGTACCTTTTTAAAAAATAGCAGTCACTTTTATCACGTGAGAGAATTTCGATAGGGAAATTATTTTACTGGTTTAGAAAAATGGCAAAAACTCAATTCCGCAATACAAAACTTGGATTACATAGTTAGTATTTTGTTCCTGCATGTTGCCCATGAAAAAAAAAAGTTTTTTGATTTTTTCACACTAAACAAACTTGACAGTAGCTCACCATAGTGAAAGAAAAAAACTAATTAGAAAAATTTCTTTCATTTTGCCCTTTTGAAAGCTTCAAGGTCTAACCAATAATAGGTATGTGAACGATGAGATACCATAATGAATGAGAGGGAATCCTTACCACTGATGACACTACGTAATCAACGACAGAATCACAGAAGATAACTATCAAATTGAGATGTATTAGACAGCGTGAACAACAACTTTATGCAGCCACTTTTATATGATGGAAGAAATGCTTATATTTCAAAGACAATGAAATAAATGTTTAATCTACTATTTACACCGACAACCAGATGACACCAGATGGATGTTCTTATGATATCACGTATGATCAAATGTTCAAAAGGTTCCCACTCCTTACCTACCAAACTGTATATACTAACATTTTCTTTTAGTTAAAAATGAAGATTGAAATTGACTCCTTTTCAGGTTCCAAGATCTACCCAGGTAGAGGTACTTTATTCGTTAGAGGTGACTCCAAGGTTTTCAGATTCCAATCCTCTAAATCTGCTTCTTTGTTCCACCAAAGAAAGAACCCAAGAAGAATCTCTTGGACTGTTTTATACAGAAGACATCACAAGAAAGGTATTTCTGAAGAAGCCGCCAAGAAGAGAACCAGAAAGACCGTCAAGCACCAAAGAGCTATTGTCGGTGCTTCTTTAGAATTAATTAAGGAAAGAAGATCCCAAAAGCCATCTGACAGAAAGGCTGCCAGAGAAGCCAAGTTAGTTAAGGATAAGGAAGCCAAGAAGGTTGCCAAGGCTGCTAGAAAGGCTGAAAAGGCTAAGTTAGCTGCTTCTGGTGCTAACGTTGTCTCTAAGCAACAAGCCAAGGGTGCTTTCCAAAAGGTTCACGCCACCTCCCGTTAAGTTTGAAGACTATTATGTAACTAAAATAAATATTTAAACAAATCGTGTTTTAATTTAATGTACATTTATAAAGTGTGGGTTTCTTTAAATATATTACAGGAAGAAAAACTTAACAATTATATATATTTCAATATATAACTCAAACGTAAAACTATAAAAGCTTGTACTCACCAAAAGTGAAACCTTCCTTTTCCGAATGGCTAAGAATAACTCTTGTATTCTCCCCAACTCTAAATCCAAAGTGAAATGATTCAGTGGTATGTCCATACAAGAGATGACTTGTGGACTTTGACTTGATAACCACGATAAATCCGCAGTAAATTGAGCCTACTAATTGTTTGAAATACGATGCATACTCCTCCTCTGGGACTTTCAGTATGTTATTAACTATTTCCCATGACAATTTAGAACGAATGATTTGCTCGCCATTTCCAGAACACATACAACTTATCTCATAACCTTCAATACGCTTAAAGTCGATTGCTGCCCCAATTATCCCAGCACATCCTATTCTTCCTGGAAGTTTGAAGAAATTACCTCCTGAAGAAGTAGCTAAAGTAGTTTTGCATTCCACTATTCGTATCAATCCAATGGTATCCGTAATTTGATGTTTCAATTCTTCAATTCGCCCACCCAATACCTTATCTTTGTAAATGTCGTATATTCTTTGTTGACGTTTTGAAATTAACTGATTTGGGCTTAATTCATCGGGATTCTTTGGTATTAAATCTTTTACCCTCTGATAATTTAACATGACTGGAGCTGTTAAATCATGTTTATCATCAGATTGATAAAGTTCGTTGACGTAGTCAAGCGTTCGAAATACTTCCTTTATAGGATATGAACAATCAACACCAACCAAGCTCCCTATTCGGACTTTCTCTGTCGCTTCAATGAAACTGGCATCACATTCAACACAACCTAGTAGGTTTAGTGAAGACCCATAGCCCGTGTTGGTCAACTCTGATTGTTCTACTACTCGTGCAGCTTCAATTATATCATTGTGGTTAAGTGACCTTTTAAGGAGTGTTTTATACTTTGATGAAGATGCAGGATTGTGATTGCCTGCCCCTAGATGTGCAACTAAGATATCCATTCATAGTAAAATCTCTCGATTATTATTTTCAGTTGCACCAAAAAAGAAAAATATACCAATACTACTTCGTTGCTACCAATTGAACAAACTTGATATTCAATCAACTTTTAGAACTGTTTGGATTATACCAATGTTTGAAGATGAAATTGGTAGTTCTTTTTTCATAGATAAACTACGAATTCAGATTGATTCCCAATTAAAGTTTCAAATCTGCTCAAACTCTAATTTCCAAAAACATTTGAAAAGAAAATTCACAAGCATATAACCACGGTTTCTTTCTAATCATGGAATCCATAAATTTTGACTGGTATAACATCCAGCAAGGCCAGCAGTTAGATATTCAAATTAATTCCATGCAGCTTGGCAGTTTTGAACTTAGAGATGATTTAGCATATGACCTTTGTCAATCGTACCCAGTACATCCTGATCTGGAACCAGTCATTAAGTTTATTCTTCAAATTTACGCCCATATGAAACTATTTAAACAAATCCAGTCTTGCTATCAGTTTGAACCATTTAATCATCTATCCCATCAAGTAAGCTACCTTCCTGAGCGTATGGATGCTTTGCTTAATGGTATAGGTGATGTGAAATTAGAATATGGAACATTTAGAATCAAGTGGCCACTAACAGCTTTGAAAACTGCCCTACTTAATACCAATTGGTTCTACCAGTGTATGGAGAACTTCTGTTTAAAGCTCGATATATCTTTCCCTTTATGCGATCCGCCAAAGAGTGGTTGTTACAAGTGTTTGTTCTGGGATGATGATGAGGGGAATGATAAGTTAGATACTTACATTAAAGCTTATATGGATCAATTTTTAGGTAAAGTTGTTTCCCAACGTCATAATAATGAATTTGTAGTTGGGATTCCTTCCGATAAGAGTTTATCGGTATCCGAAGTTGAAGGATATCTTCCGCTTTGGTTTGTATTGGAGCACCCTGAGTTCATGAATGTGTATTCATTATTTATGATGACTCGGTCAGAACGATCATTCAAATTCCTTGAATCAAGTCCAGACACATTGAAAGCATTAGAAACAGTTGGTATGACTTTGTGCACATGCAGCAACGACCTGTTAATCAAACGATTACGCGATATTAGTGACGTATATGAGATCGGGGGATACAATCTTTTGGGAGTTGTAAATACTACTGGTTCAGGACAGGGATACATGGGACAGCTATATAATCATGATCCATTCAAAGAAGTTTATACCCCTGTTCATGATCTTAATGAATTTTCAAAGTTGTTGGGGTATGTTCTAACACCAGCGCGACAAGTCAATATAAATGTAAAATTTCCTGTAAAAGGTGGTGATCGGAAGATCGTGTTAAGGAATTTTTTTACAAGAGGTGAATAAAATAATACTAGAAGGTATTTTTTTTATATTCTCTTATTTTTCCAAATACGTATTAAAGTAGTAATATAGGATTGTTTCTGTATGATTCTTATAACTTGTAACCAATCGACATTTTGCAACAAAATTGAAAAAAATGGGGAAAAATACAAATCTTGAGCACAAGAAACCACTGGAATTCATCTACTCAAAAACTCTTTGCCAAAATCAATCAAATTGTAATCGCACCTGAATTTTGACGAATATCTTCCAAGTATTTTTTAAGTATTTTAGAAGCAATTTATAGAGAGATTTGTAACTTTATAATCAAATATATTTGGATTGATCACGTGAAAATCAATCTGTGCTATAAAAGTGAAAATTTTTTCAAAAGAAATTGGGATGCGGTGGCTCAATTGGTAGAGTTTTGGATTCCAAATCCAACGGTTGCAGGTTCGAGTCCTGTCCGTGTCACTTTCTTTTTTTTTGCTTCCTGCACCAGTTTAAGAACAATCAATAACCCAAGAATTTATTGCAATACTTGAACTAGTGATTGAACTTTTATTTTTTATGCTATTGTAATGTTAAAATGTAGAGAAATTTTGTGTGCACAGGTTTGACCTAATATTTTTAACAGCAATTGTTTGGTCTTTTTCTAAGAAGCATAGCCTACTCTAACAATAGGATTTCCAGTCTATAGCCACTCAAGCCACATTCAGTTAAAAGAAAGAAATTGTAAACGCCGAGACACATAGAAACGGATGTGGGAGTTAGTACCCGTTATCAATAGTAAAGAAAAAAAGCGGTTGCGGAAGTGCGTGCCCGACGTTAAACCCGGCCGGAGACCAAATCATAATATGAGGCGCTATCTCGGGAATTCCTTTTTAGGAAGAATTCGGAGTTATGTGTGAACTAAAATATAATAAGATATCAGATGAACTAGTTTAAGCGAGAAAAAAGCAATATGGAAGCACATTGTTGCTGATAGGACTATCACGGAGATAACTCGAAAATTTAACATTGTTGTTAATGATTTTATCCTAGTTCCGTCAGGTTTAATATCCAGCATTCTCTAATGGGAGTACATAAGACATATGATATTTCAAGTATAAATAGAGGCATAATTATTGGTTTTTATTTCTGATTCCATTTTATTTCATCAGTTAAAAAACTTAAATAAATATGCTTTCAACTACAGTTTTCGTCTCCGGTGCCAATGGTTTCATTGCCCAACACATTGTCAAACAATTAATTTCCAAGAACTACAAGGTGCTTGGTTCCGTTAGAGCTGCTACCAAAGGGGAAGAACTTGCTGCTAATCTCAACTCTCCAAATTTTTCTTATGTTGTGGTTCCTGATATTGGTGTTGCTGGTGCATTTGATGACGCACTCAAGTCCCACCCTGAAGTCATTATTTTTCTTCACACCGCTTCGCCATTCCGTTACGATATACAGGATATCGAAAAGGAATTGTTGAATCCAGCTGTCAATGGTACCAAGAATGCATTGAAGTCTGTTCAGGAATATGCTCCTCAGGTTACCAACGTTGTTGTTACTAGTTCATTTGCAGCCATCGGATGGTCCAACAAGTATTTTGACCCCACCAAGGTATCTACTGAAGAAGACTGGAACCCTCAAACTTGGCAAGATGCTTTGGCCAATCCTGATGATGGATACCTTGGCTCCAAGAAATTTGCGGAACAAGCAGCATGGGAGTTTGTCAAGATCGAACAGCCTAATTTTAGATTGACTACAGTTAACCCACCAGTTGCTTTTGGTCCTCAAGCTTTCCCAATTAAGAACAAGAAGGAATTGAATACTTCTGCAGAAGTTATTAACGGATTATTAAAACTTCAACAAGGTTATGACATTCCTGAAGTACGTCACTTATTTGTTGATGTCCGTGATGTTGCTGCTGCTCATATTTCAGCTTTTGAAAATCCCGACGCTGCCGGTAAAAGATTGTTTGTATCTTCTGGTCCATGGAGTGCCCAGGGAATTGTTAATATTTTCCACAAGAATTTCCCTCAATTGAGCTATATTCCAATCGGGGAACCCTGGAAGGATACTCTATACAGAAGTTCAACCTTTAAGTTTGATAATTCCAAAACTGTTGAGATTTTGAAGGTTGATTTAAGACCATTAGAGGTTTCTATTGTTGATGCAGTTCAACAAATTTTAGAAGCTAAGTGAGAATTTTATAATTGTGTTTTGTCTTCTTTCTTCTCTGCCTAGGTATGTTTGTTGCAATATAAAATATAAAATCCAATCCTGTATAGTGTAAACGAACTCTACTGTACATTGTAGTCTCGTGATCTTCGCACGTGATCTATGAGGCTTTTCCTGTTTGAGATCTTTGAGTGAAAACCAGCCTTACAGCCGTTTTTGACAGATCTTGGCGGGTAGGAGATGTTAGTTTGTGAATTACTAAATAACCCGCCGTAATTAACTGCTTCTCACAAGATTTATATAACCATCCTGCTTGATATTAAAGGGACCACGTTGCCAGAACCCTTTCCGCAAGTTGCTGCACGCCCTACTTAGCCATCAATCAGTTCCAAGAAAAAGCAATTCAAAAAAAAAAATTAATTAATTAATTAATTAAAAAATACAATTGATTCATTTGCGGTTACTCGATGGCAACCAACAGACAACATATACACCTATAGAAAATGCGAATAACATTCAAATCATTCAATTATATAGGGTATGGTATCTACAATGACATCAAGACTCGACTCCCTTACTACAAGTCTGATTTCGCCGATGCATTCAACTATCGAGTCATACCACTGACGATCTTCATATTCTTCACCAATTTACTCCCAGCAATCGCCTTTGCCCAGGATATGTTTGATAAGACCGATCATGCTTATGGTCTTAACGAAGTGCTTATGCTGTCAGCACTTGCTGGGGTTGTGTTTGGGTTGTTTTCAGGACAGCCATTGTGTATTGTGGGTGTTACTGGACCCATTTCTATTTTCAGTTATACCGTATACGAGTTGATCACACCTCGAGGTACGCCGTATTTCCCATTTATGTGCTGGATATATTTATGGTCAATGGTATTCCATATAATTATTGCCGTGGGGAACTATATTTCATTTTTGAAGATAATCAGTTTGTTTTCATGCGACGTATTTGGATTCTTTATCAATATCGTGTATATCCAAAAGGGGATTCAGATCCTAAATAACCAGTTCAAGGTGGATCTAGCCAGTGGTTATTGTTCAGTCATGATCTCATTGCTTATGATTATATGTGGTGTGGGATCGATTTTGTTTGGAAACTATTTGCATTATTTTAAACCATGGGTACGAAGAGTGTTTGTTGATTATGGTGTGGTTCTCCTGGTTATTTTCTTTACTGGGTTTATACATTTCGGGGGCCATTTAGACGAAACTGTGCTTGCTACATTGCCCACCACATCTTCATTTGTGCCTACTCATACTGGATCTGACCGAGCTCATGGGTGGTTTATTCACTTCTGGCCCGGTGATAACATCAGTGTGGGAGATGTGTTTCTCGCTATCCCATTTGCGATATTGTTAACATTTCTTTTCTATTTTGATCATAACGTTTCCCTGTTAATGTGTCAACTGAAGGAATATCCCTTAACCAAGCCCGCCTCTTTCCATTGGGATTTCCTTCTCCTTGGATTGACCACGGGACTTGCAGGGATTTTGGGCCTTCCTGCCCCCAATGGACTTATTCCACAAGCACCACTACACACCGATTCACTTGTGGTTCATGACAACCTCGGTAAAAAGCTCAGTGTTGTTGAACAACGAGTGACAAACACTGTACAAGGTGCACTCACGTTTTTAATGATGTCACCGCCATTTTTGATAGTGCTTGGACTTATCCCGCAGGCGGTTCTTTCAGGGTTGTTTTTTATTATGGCCATCACTGGGTTGCACGGAAATATCGTGACTAATCGGATCAGGTACTGTTTTCTCGAAAACTCGTATATTGAAAACGACCCTAGTTGTCCGCAAGTATGGAAGGACATTCATGAGCTCCCCAATAAGAAATGGTTCTATGTATATACTGCATTAGAGGTTGTTGCTGGGGTAGCGGAATTTGCCATTACCTTGACCAAGGGAGCAGTTGGGTTCCCTGGGGTTTTGTTATTTTTTGCATTTTGCGCCAAGTGGGTTTGGCCGTTGATTATACCTAGGGAAGACTTGGACAAACTAGATGGGGAAGTTGCCGATGAGTTTATTATCAAGAATTTGGATATAACTAATCATATAAAAAGAGAGCAGCGGGATTTGGAGGCAAAAGGTGACGATGTGAATTTGCAAATGTACGAGATGAGCGATGGGAATAGTAGGTATAGTTAATAGATATAGAATTTACATCATATTTGTTTGGAAAATACCGACAACTGAACTAAACTGTATTGTTACACTTTTACCGCCGTGCTTCAATGACAACGGTTCACTAGTGGAAAAAAAAATACGATTGCAAAAGGGGCGTATAGTAAGAATTAGCGAATGCTGATGATCATTCGACAAGGAGCATTTTGAAACATCTCTGGTTCCAGAAGAGAGCAATGAATATAATCGAGCTTTAAAAAACACACACATATATATGACAAAGATACTCCAAGAACCAGATCTGTAACGACCTGGATGCAGCTACCAAGGAATCTTTAGAATCAACAAAATTACAAGTGCGCTCCTGCAAGAAACGTATGACAATGCCACAGACGATTTAGCTGATCCCCTAATACTTGACTAAGTTACCGAATTGTGTGATCAGACATAAAGACATACGGTGGTTAAGCCTCTAATTGCCCATGCCCAGACTTTTTATGGTTATAGGGGTGACGTAATTTACGGTCACAATTGTACCAGAAATTCTATCCCCCCAATTCACTTGCATGATCGCGCATGGAAAGATAATAACACGCTACATCGACAGATGGGACAGGTGGAATTATATGCAATGGTTAGGAGATAATTCCAACAATGGGTTCACTATCCGGGGAGACCAGCCAGTGTTTACGAATTAAACGTTTAGAGTAGGCCGATCATTCATTGGGAACAATTAACTGATTTTTAAACAATGAACAATCAGGTGATACAAAAAGGGTGAAACTGAAAAAATTCCAAGGGGGGGGGTGATGAACCAAAGTGCGAAATGTGGAGTTGCAAATTTTATTGGTCAACTGCAAGTTTCGGGGTAATGGTTTTTTCCCCCTTGGTGCTGGCAAAAAAAAGAGTTCACGGTTTTTTGGGGTCATATATCCCCTGGTTTCACTCCACCCCCCCCTGAAATTTTTACCTATACTTGTATAAATAGCCTGATTTTTAGTTTAAATTACATTTAGACATTCTACCCTCTTCTTTTCTTTGTAAACAGTTTGATTTATATCAATTATTCATTATGTCATACAACTTCGCCAACAAAATCGCAATTGTCACCGGGGGTCTTTCGGGAATTGGTCTCTCCACCACAATTAAACTCCTTCAGCTTGGAGCCAAGGTTGTGATTGGAGACATCACCGCGGAAAACAAGGTTGACCTGATTTTGAACACCATCAAAAAGGCCTCGCCCCTGAACCACGACATTAGATACTTACACACTGACGTTGCTTCGTTTGACGCCAATAAGGACTTGGTTGATTTGACCTTGGACGAGTACAAGGGCCTTGACTTTGTTGTGGCCAATGCAGGTATGATTAGTTCGTCCAAGCCAGGGGCTGACCAAACCTGGGAAGAGTTCAAGAGAGTCATTGACGTCAACCTTAACGGTGTGTTTGCCTTGAACAAGTTGGCTATCAACTACTGGGAAGAGTTTGGCAAGAAAGGTAACATTGTCAATGTCGGTTCAATTTTGAGTTTTGTTGGTAACCCAGGGTTGGCCAATTACTGTTCCTCCAAAGGTGGTCTTAAATTGTTGACACAGACCCTTGCCATTGAGTATGGTAAGAAGGGTATCAGAGTGAACTCAGTTAACCCAGCCTATATCAAGACGCCATTGTTGGATATCTTGGACAGAAAGGTGTATGACGAATTGGTACTTAGACATCCAATTGGAAGATTGGGTGAACCAGAAGAAATTGCTGACGCTATTGCATTTTTGCTTTCTGATAATGCTTCGTTTATCACTGGACACTCGTTGTTAGTTGACGGTGGTTACACTGCTCAATAGTTTTACTCTAAAATTGTTTATGAAATTTATGTTACTTTTTTGCGATGCAACTAAATTTAATTGTAGAAAAAAAAAATATATATATAGATCTGAAAATAAAACTACTCTAGATAGCACCATGTCAACAAAACAGGATCGGAAACAAATACTAGATACGCTAGAACAAGAGTATCTTAGTGATCTACTGCTTCATCTCTACTCAACATTTCTTTTACATCGGATCAATCCCAACTTTCCCAGACAAAAATGGGCTAATTGGCCATTACCGTTTCATGAAGTGCCCATCCCCCAGGGATTCAAACAGGATGGAGATAATTTGGTGGATGAATATGACGGCGATATTGATTTGGATCAAGCTGCGTTTGAAGAGAGCGTGCGAGAGTTGAAAGAACTGAAGAAGAGCAAGAGGAGGAAGATTACCAGTGGTGATGCTGTGAGTACTACCATGAGCGAGTCTGAAGAGGAAGAAGAGTTAGAAGAATCCGAAGAAGAGCTAGAAGATGAGTCTGAAGAAGAATCCGACGACTCCGAGGAATCAGATGATCTGGACCTGACAGCGAAGCCAATTGTTGAAATAACAACGACGGAGCAAGTAGCCAATGCCAAATCAGCCCTCATCAACGAACTAGCCACGGTGATCCACCGAACAATCCGCAATAAACTAAAACCACAACAGACAACTCCCGATATAATGTCCCATCCAAACATGATACATCTAACTACACAACTTGCCAACAAATTTGACAAGTTGTTGAGTAATCTTGCGGTTAATAAGTTTCTGGAAACCATTGATTGGACTCACGTTCTTCAAGCTGGACTTGAATGCGAATCTACTCCATATGAAAAATTCGATACCGAACAGTATAGAACGGCGTACAACCGATGTGAAGCACTTTTCGAAGATTTGCATTATAATTATGAGTTTGAAGAAGATACGTCTCCTCCTGATGGTGTGCTAACGAAGGAAGGTTTCAATGTCGAGGAATATTTGAAATTTCTCGAGGAGACAACTACCGGAGCTGCTCAACACAAATATGCCGAACTAGCAAAGGGCCATTTGGCTGAATTCCAAAAGAAGTATAAAGACAAACAAGCGTTTAAACAAAACTATTTCAAGAGATTGGAAATAGAAGACAAGTACCAACAAGTCAGTTGGACGAAAGAGAAGGGTCCCAGTACCAAGATCAAATTAGCGCCCGATCTCAGCAATCTCGAGGAAATGCGCGCTAGTATCCTCGCCTATGGAAACAACGGGATCAATCAAGTCACATATATTCTAGAAAATATTTAAAAATAACCCAATTACAATTCTAAATATATTCTACTTTTTCTTATCAAATGTAGTGGTGATTTCAGTTCCAAACACCACATCCCAGAATGTCGAAGTAACACCAAACCCTAATTGGTAATTCTTGTAGTGATGTTCCAAATGGTAAGTCTTCAAATCTTGCAAAAATTGAGGTAAGTTTCCGTGGTGCAACATGTAATGGGTTATATCATACATAATGTAACCCAAGGTACCTCCGGCAAACCCGGAACAGGCCATGTAGAATGGCAAAAGGGAAAACACAAGTTTATAGAATGGGAAAGCCAATATGATAAACAATGCAGGTGGCAACACAAGACGGTACTCATCCATAGGCAAGTAGTGGTGAACCCCATGAAGTAAAAAGTGAATGGTGAAAAACACAGAATGGTCAGGCAAGTACCCATCAAGATGGAAAATAACCCTGTGCAAAAAGTACTCCACCAAGGTCCAAATAAACAATCCCATAGCCCACATACTCAAAGCGGTAATTGGGTGTTGGTTGGTGAATCCAACATAAAAGATGTAGAAGTTTGCAGGAAGCCAAACCAAGGGAACAACCCACCAGGGAGTGAGCGAGAGTGGTTCCAAAAAGTTTCCAAAGAGTGGTGCTGAGCCCTTTCCGTAATGTCTAGGACGATGGACTTGATCCACGTAGAAGTCTCGGTTGAACTTACCAAACAACACTTGCCCCAACAAGGGTTTGTTCAAATCCAAGAACTTGTGCTTCTTGACATCTTCATTGTAGTCAGTCTTGATTTCCAACTTATCCAAAGCAGGCAAATGGTCGTGGAATTCATACATGTCGTAGTCATCACTGTCGCTTTTAGCCAACGTGACTTCCACAGGAGTCTTGTTCTTGTTGTTAAGGAGCTCTTCCTCCTCCTTGTCAGTGGCCAAGTAACCCACCAACATGTCTTCGTCCAACATTTCGTACGCAGACTCAGAATGTTCGTGCGATTCGATATCCTTCATGATGGCGGTGATGTCCTTACCAGCATATGGATACACAATCAGGGCTCCACCAGGATGTTCCTTAACAAAAGTGGATACATTGTACACTTTTCTCTGGTAGAGAGTGACCCAAATATCGGTGGGTTTGTCGTGTTTGGCGACTTCGGCAGCGGAAAGAAGAGGTAAGTTTCTAGACATGGTAGGATAATATGGAGATGATGTCTGATATGGAAAAGTCTAGTAATGGAACCAGTGTGATTGGCAGCGTCTTTTATACATTGACATAATTTTTTTTTTTTTTAGGTACAGAGGGGAGGGAAGAGAATCGTGCAACTTTTTTCGAACCGACAGAAACAAACTTCGATCGGGTTATGAGAAAAAGAAACGTTCAGACACAAACAACAAAAAAAGAAAATCAGACGCGCGTGTTGCGCTGATGTCGGTAACATGTGACATGCAAATTTGCAGCTAATCACCGCTTTATGGTGTGATCAAACAAGTAAATCACATTGATTCTAGCATGTGTATGGCAGAGTATGTCTCATTATTATCTCCAACATTTTTATGTATTGTCACCAGCATTTATGTACATACTCCTATATACTTTTTTGCTCTATACAGTAATAGTAGAACCTCCGTTTGTGTCTAAATCTATCATATCATCGTCATCTACGAGAATATTATTTTCAAAGTTTATATCCTCTTCCTCGTCACAGTCACCTTCATTTTCAAGTTTCTGCTGATGTTGTTCTAAATGTAGCGTGTGATCCACCAAATTAAGGTAGGCGTACATGAAATTCGACAACAACACCTGTTCACGAAGGGATCGTTTGGGGTTGGCCAATTTCAAATGCGACAACCTGTAAATGGCTCGTTCCACATGGACGGGGAATCGATAATCAAGCATGACCAACGTAGAATGCGATGGCGGTGGGAGCGGGAACCCAAACGCGGAATCAGTAAACTCAATAGGTTGGTTGGCACGTGACGTCCGCTTGATTTGTTTCTTTAGCTTCTCTTGAATGTCAAGTTTGTCTTGATCTACTATTTGCGGAACAATGGCCCCTGGTTCTGACTCCGGCAGATCTAACTCGTCCTCGATATCGGGCTTTGGCAAGACTTCGGGTATTTCTGGCTCCACAAAATCGTCGTCATCTTCATCGTCATCATCTCCATTGTCATAATCTCCGGGTTTAGCTGGTTCAACAGTAAAATCAAGCTCGGGCTCTGATGATGGGGTTTGCTGTTGGGTCGGCGTTGGAGGAAGAATTTGTATCTTGGGCAACGCCGAATCTTCTATAAGTATATCTGGAGTAAGAAGATCTTTATCATCTTCCTGTGATGGTGGCGATGGAAGTTTACCTTTTCCTGAAGTAATCTTGGGACTAAGCTTGGGACTTTCATTAGGTTTATAGTTTAAGTTCTCCTTGTCTAATTCAGGATGCATAACCACAACCTCGGCTTTTTTCACATCCTTGACTAATTTCCCCTTGGACTTTTTCCCAAATAATAACCTACTGGTTTTCTTCTTGATGGTTTTATTCTTATCTGTCTCGTAGTTGACCGTGACTCCAGAATCATGCGAGTGGATTGAGTCAACATCATTGGCTGGCTTCAGCTTTTTCTTTTTGAAAAACTGGGAAATCACATTGGGTTTATTGGATGAAGTTTCATCGAGACTGGTTCTTGGAACATCCACTACGGTCTGAGTTGAAGTAGTTGGAGTAGTTGGAGTGGAAAACGACCGAACTGGAAGTTTATCTCTTGGAACCGGTGGCAAGTTGTTAGTGTCGATGGACACACTGCGATCACGTAACCAACCCCACGATTTCTTCTTTTTAACCACGGGAGAAGACGAAGCAGTAGTATCGGCCTGTGGACCTTTTTGTAAACTATCAGAATCAATAATTTCCAAATTTGGATCATGGTTTAACAACTTCGTCTTGACCTTGGTGCTTTTCTTTTGGATGAATTTCGAAGATTGAGTTGTTTCAGGTTGTTCAAGCATAGTTTCTTCGGGATCAAAATCTTCATCATTGAAGTCAACTTCAGCAAGATCATCATCGAGCACTGGTTGATTGATATCAAATCCAAGCGGGTCATCTTCAAGAGAGATATCGGCAGTAATATCAAAACTAAGATCTCCAGTATCAATCAATTCAATTGGCTCGTCAAAAGGTTCATAGGTATCTTGCTTGGCCACAAACGGTTTCTTCTGTTCGTTTCTGATGTTATGTTCGATCTCATAGGGCTGTTTATGATCAGGTCTAGGCTCTGGTTTAACCTCGGGGTGTTTCTGGTCGAACCTAAGCTCATTTCTATGATTATAATTTCTATCAATAATTCTTCCATTGTAAGGTCTCTCATTATGTCTATAGTTTTTACCCCCATTCACAATTTCCACTGGATAAGTGTTATCTCTGTAAAATGAATCCTGGCCATATTCACGTTCATTCAACTGTTTGCGGGTGGTATGATCATTCCGATCACTTGGTTTACGTTTGTACTCACCATTGAATGGCTGTTGAATTTGTTTACCATCTTCAGGACTACGTCTACTATGACTGCGATGATGATGACGCGTATGATTACGCTCTCTATGGTCGGCTTTGTGGTGGCCATTGCGTTCACGCTGTTGGGGATCACCTATGAACTCATTGATTTCCAGTCTCAACATGTCCAATCCTTCATTCAAGTTACGCGTCATGTGTTGTTCAATATTGGCTCTATGGACTTGTTCAATGTTTGCCCTATGGACCTGGTTCATATCACTGCTCTTTCTCGCCATAGCATACGGTCCATCATTTAATAAGTCGAGACCATTAGTATTGTTGTTGTTATGTTTAGGTGAATTTGTAGGTTTTTTGTAGTTGAATAACAATTGAGAGTTTCTAGAGCTATACTTTCTTTGTGACGGTTGTTGACGAACCGGTTTAGGATGACTATGGGTTGTATCTTTGCGATAATCTGTTCTTCTTGAACGACGTAATGCAAAATCGGGATTTTGAACCTGAACTGGAGGACTCCTGGTGATGTTTGTAGCTGGCGAAAGGGTCTGTGCCTCTGGGTGGTCCTTTGCGCGTTCTTGCGCTTGCCGTTCTGCTTTTAGTTGTGATTGTTGGAACTGGTGTTGCAATCGCTGTTGGAGCTGTATAGTAGTGGTGCTTGAACTTGATTCGCTGGTGGTGGTGGTGGTAGTAGTAGTGGTGGTAGCAGTAGTAGTAGATTCATCGTCATTAGGAACTCCATTCCCGGCAGTTAAAGAAAGAGATCTGGCGATGGTGACCGCGTCACTTTTCTCTAATCCTGCTATTCTCGTCAACTGCTCTAATTCATCGGTCAATTCTCGTAAACTGGGGTTCAGGTATCTCCACGACTGTCTCTTCAGCGGGGATGTTGTAGCACTGGTGTTTTCCTTTTGCGGGGACTTCTTGGGCGATGGCGATGACGCTGATGATGATGTTGAAGATTCTCGACTTAACGACGATTTTCGTGACAATGACGATTTTCTCGATATTGATCCCAGCGTGGTGGTTGCTTTCCGGTCAAGTAAAATATCATCGACTTGGTTTCTGATTAATGATTTGAATGATTCTGGATTCACTTGGGGATGAACATGTGCAGGAACCCAGATATCTGGTGCGGTGGTGGTTTCATCACTGGTGTCAGCACTCTCGTCAAATCGCGCTGCAAACGGATCGATATCGTCGGTGCTGGGAGGAGGCAAGTCTGGATCAAACTGCATCATGGTGTTCCCGATGGAGAGCCGCTTAAGGGCAGCCACCATCTTCTTTTCCGATTCAAGATCGGCGACCGCGGTGGTATAGTCACTTTGAGTGGGTGACGACGACGACGACATATTATGGTTGCATTCAAAGGGTATACAAAAAAGGGTAAGGTTGAGGGGTGTGGGTGGGGGAGTATGAACACGGATAGATGTTGTTGTTGTTGTTGTTGTCTATATTGATTTGATAAGTAGATGTATGCAAAAACTGAATGGTAAAACGAACGTAGAAAAAGATAGATGGGCGGTAGTTAAGGGGGTATATTTTAAATATGCAACCAATACAAAACCAGGTCTGGCTGTCTCGCTGTCCCAGTTTCGCCTTGTCGTTCCTTTCTCCAAAAAAAAAAAATACGGGAAAAAGTTTTAAAAGCACCAAGAAAAAAAAAAAAAATGTAAATACAAAAAGAAACAAAAAATAATAAAAAAAACACGTTAAAAAAATCTTTTTTGATTTCCTGATTTGGCTTAGATTGCGGGTGGTTTTAACTTCGTCTAGATTTCTAAACAATATGTAACGTTATTAATATGTGGCGTTATGATATAACAGCTAACACGAGCGTTTAAATCTTCTCCTAGTGCCACCACCACTTTGTAAGCTCTATATATGCACCAGCTATCCCCACGAGTATTAGTAAGTGGTAAACCCCTCTTTGAAGTCTAGTTCCATGTACATTTACCAGTGGAACACCAAACAAATTGCATCCTGCATGGAGCACAATCACACACCACAAGTTACTACTAGTTGAATAAATCATATTAGCAACGTAACCAAATATAGAAGTGTACCCCAACTGAAATACACTGGTTGTCACTACTTGACCTACGGGGTACCCTTGTCTATACAAGTGAAACGCGTGATGTAAGTGTGCTACTCCAAATAGAAAAGGGGTATATTTCGCGTGGGTGTCGTGCACGACTAGACTAATTATGCCACGGTAGATAAACTCTTCAGTTACAGGGGCAAACCCATAATCTCGTATATGGTGCATCACATGGGCTTCGCTGTCAATAAATACGATATCTCCGATAATGTATTGGTACACCGACGAACAATATATTGTTATAAGAAACACAATGGTTCGTACGATATGGGACAAATCAGTTAACACACTGTGGGTGTTGGAGTATCCCGGAAAAAGTCCAAGAGAACGGAGATTGTCAGTGTAATTTCCAGGCACAAGGTACGGAACCACCACCAAAAGGAATAAACATAGCTGGGTTATTCGGTAAAATCTAAATTTGATCACACGTAAGTCATTTCTATCACTTGGTAGGTGTTTTGGTTGGTTGATGTATATCACAACAAAGTACAGAAATGCAATGGCTAGAGTGAGCAAAAGCATTTGTGGGGGAGAGAGTGTGTGGAAATTTAAACGGAAAATCGTTTTTTTTTCAGATCCACTTATTTTAGCCCGTCTTTGTTTTGTTTTGTTTTGTTTTGTTTTGTTTCGTTTCGTTTCTGTCTTTTTTTTCTTGCACCAAGACAAAAATATCCCTGGTAGTGCGAGTCTAAGCCGCACCGTGCGAGGACCACCGGCTCCTGTTTCGCACTGGTTTGCGCGCAAGATGCAAGACACGGCCACAGTTGCACCAATTAATTTAATTTGAAAGAATCTGACTCATTCGCGGCTTATCAGTACTCCACTAAATCTTATACCGACAAATTTGAAAAAAAAAAATGAAAAATTTCAAATCGTTTTACTTACTTCTTCCTTTTCACAACCCATCCCCCGAAATGCTTCGTTATAGATCGTTCTCAACTACCACTAAGCTCCTCCGTGGTCAAAATCTTACTGAGAAAATCGTACAAAAGTACGCTATAGGCGTTGCCCCAGGTAAAAAAGTATTCAGTGGGGATTATGTCACTATTTCTCCAGCTCATTGTATGTCCCATGACAACTCCTGGCCTGTGGCTACTAAGTTCATGGGATTGGGAGCTACCAAGATCCACAATAATAGACAAGTAGTTAACACCCTTGATCATGACGTGCAGAACATTCTGGAAAAGAATTTGGAAAAGTATCGTAATATTGAAAACTTTGCCAAAAAACATGGCATCGATTTCTACCCCGCTGGACGTGGGATTGGTCATCAAATTATGATTGAAGAAGGTTATGCGTTCCCACTAAACTTGACTGTCGCTTCCGACTCTCATTCAAATACTTATGGTGGTGTGGGTAGTTTGGGTACTCCCATCGTTAGAACCGACGCCGCTAGTATTTGGGCCACGGGACAAACTTGGTGGCAGATCCCACCAGTGGCCAAAGTCGAACTTCGTGGTGAATTACAAAAGGGCGTTACTGGTAAAGATATTATTGTTGCATTGTGTGGTGAATTCAATAACGATGAAGTATTGAATCACGCTATTGAATTTGTGGGAGACGGGGTAAATAAGTTATCAATTGATTATAGATTAACAATTGCTAACATGACTACTGAATGGGGTGCCCTTTCTGGGTTATTCCCAGTCGACAAGACTCTTGTGGATTTCTACAAACAACGATTACAAGCTGTCGGTCCAAACCATCCAAGAATCAATGAAACTACTGTAAGCGAATTATCTAACCCGTTGGCTTCTGATAACGACGCAGTCTACGCTAAACATTTAGTCATTGATCTTTCATCACTTTCTCCATCAGTTTCAGGACCTAATTCCGTTAAGATCTCCACCAGTTTGAATGAACTTGCCCATCAAAACATCAAAATTAACAAGGCATATCTTGTTTCATGTACAAACTCCCGTCTCTCTGATATTCAAGCCGCCGCGGATGTCATTTCCAACCATCAAGTCCACCCTGATGTCGAGTTCTACGTTGCCGCTGCTAGTTCCTTGGTTCAACAAGATGCCGAACAAGTTGGTGCTTGGCAAAAGTTGATTGATGCCGGAGCAAAACCATTACCTGCTGGATGTGGTCCTTGTATCGGATTAGGTGCCGGGTTATTGAAGGATGGTGAAGTTGGTATCTCTGCCACCAACAGAAATTTCAAAGGTAGAATGGGTTCAAGAGATGCGCTTGCTTATTTGGCCAGTCCTGAAGTCGTGGCCGCCTCTGCGGTCTTGGGAAGAATTGGAGGTGTTGAAGAATTACAAGGTGAACCAGTCAAGCCAGTCACTCCAATTGTCAAGTCTATTACTCAAGAGTCTCCTGTTGAAGCTACTGAAGAAGCTGCTGGTGCTGTTGAAGTTCTTGATGGATTCCCTAAATCCATTTCTGGTGAACTTATTCTTTGTAATGCCGATAATATCAACACTGACGGTATTTACCCGGGTAAATACACTTACCAAGATGACATTCCAAAATCTAAGATGGCCGAAGTATGTATGGAAAATTATGATTCCCAATTCCACTCCAAGACCAAACCAGGAGACATCATTATCTCCGGTTACAACTTTGGTACCGGTTCATCTCGTGAACAAGCCGCCACATGTATATTAGCCCGTGGAATCAACTTGGTTGTTGCTGGGTCATTTGGTAATATTTTCAGTAGAAACTCCATCAATAATGCCTTGTTGACTTTGGAGATCCCCAAATTGATTGACATGTTGAGAGAAAAGTATAGTGGAAGTGATGAATTGACCATTAGAACTGGGTGGGTGTTGACTTGGGATGTCACTACTGCCCAAGTTAAAGTCGTTGACGCTGATGGAAATGTAGTGTTGCAACAAAAAGTTGGTGAATTGGGTACTAATTTACAAGATATTATAGTTAAAGGAGGGTTAGAAGGTTGGGTCAAGGCAGAATTGAGTAAGTAAGTGTCCTAGTAGAAGCTATTTATTGTATTATAATCACATATAATCAGTCATCCATATCTAGATCAATGGTTCATGTAGTGATCATATATGCCAAAGCAATTCTTTTATTAATGTAGGTATAATTTCAATAATATGTAATATCAAACTCCATCTCAGATTTAAGTTCTTCTTCATTCAAATCAGTATTGTCCCTTCTTTTCGAAAAATGGTTTTGTTTTATATTCAATTAGTTTATAGCACGTTTTATGTGCTTTATAATACTTTATCAATTCTTCGAAATAATAAAGACTATATGAAGCTAAAGCAGCCTCAATTAAATTGTATTCTACAAAATCCCTGTAAATAATCTTCAATGAATCCTACTTCATGATTAATTAAAACATTACTATTGAAGGACACATACTAGTACAGATGATTGATTCTAAAATATTTTAAACATTACACTCAACCGGCACACTGAAGTTGGTAAAGAAGTAATTCTTTAATACGTACCTTTACATACTTACTATCTTTATTCTTTCATCGGTAAATTCCATATACTCATATCCATAAATTTTCTTTACATTGACACGAGTTATCTTGCGCTTAAATGTATCTAAATTTAAGTCATCATCTATATATGTTTGCAAACTAAAATTAGAACAGGTAGTTAAATGAAGGGCCCCATCATATTTAAGATAGTTCTTAGCATAATCAGGCAAGCTAGAAATATGCCTAAATCCTCCAACATTAAAAGGCCTGTCTTTTTACTATTGACATAACTCAGTACTAAAATGTTTTACCTTCCCAAATTTTTAAATACTTGTTTAGTAGATTGATTTGATGGATTATTGTATGGTATTTTAGTCAAGTGCAAATTTTACTTTTCATTTTGCTTAATTCACCTTGGCGGTGTGTACATTATCTTGCATAGTTTTTCTGGAGGGGTTACATTCTACTAACTAGTTTCTTGCTTTAACATTACCGCCGCAGCCATGGATTCATGCCCTTTTATTTTGCTCTTGGCTAATTTAGATCAATGGTCTGTGGTTATCTCATTTACAGGAATAAAATATGCCTTTTTAACCATTTAAATTAGCACTTCGTAGGAATTCTTTGAGACATTTCACAAGAATCGAAGCTGAGTTTTCAAAGACAGAAAGATCACTCCTAATTAAAAAGTAGCGAGGATACTAATGTGGTGTGAGCAGTTTCCTATGCGTCTCAAACATATTTAAAAAAAATGTTGGCTGCAAAACTGATTTTGCAACTTTTTTCTGCAACTGTTGAGAAGTTGTGTCTGCAAGTTTTACCATATGACCCACAACAAAATCTCATCAAATATCCAGATATTCTTTTTTTTAAGCTAATCAAAAATAAAAACCCCTATCTGTATCCACCACAATAGTAGAAGAATCCCCCTGATTTAGAAAACTACCTAATAGTCCATGCATGTTCTAAACAATAATAGTATAATTTCTTTTCTATATGGTTGAAGTGATTTACGATGGATGGCTACAGTTTTGATACTATTAAAGGAAAATAATCCTGGTAATGGGAAAAAGAATAATGATACTTTATCTAAGATCAAATTGAAAGAATATTTTGAATTTGTTCTTTGCTAAAATGGTTGTCTTTCACTATTTCATTAGGTTAAGATAACAACTCCAAAGATTTCGATCATTACCATATGTATTTATTTTGCAAAACGTTTTCGTCATAAATGCTGCTCTATTAATATAAAAGGTGGATTTTGGGGCAAATGGACGTGATAAACTTTAATCAATTTAGAAAAGATAATAAATTTTTGACATATATCTATAATCTATTAGCAGTTCTTATTATTACAAACATTAACCTAAAAATGTATTTGTTCAGAATCTAATACTTTCAATTCATTTTCACCAGTATCTAGTTGTTTTTGAAAGTCATAGAAATTAGTAACTAATTCAGTGATCAATCATTACCCACTTTCCACTAAACTAATATCCATAAACATTGAAAATTTCCTCTTTCCATTCCTGGCTAAAGATTATACATTAATATTTGATTATTCAAATCAATCACAGAAATCAAATTGTTCTTTTACGGAAAGCTTCAATGAGGCAATTTCATCATTCTGAACAAAAATATCTCCAACTTCTGTATCCTTGTGTGAATCATGTGAATACACTCGATATCTGATACAGTGTCTGAGCCACTGTCTAGATTTCACATGGCTAAATCAATAGAACTTGTTTATCGGGCAAGCATATGGAAATGTGAAGCCAGTCTGGTTCTATGCTCTTATCCAGTTAGATTAAGTATCTGTTGCACACTGAGAAGATCACGGTTCCAACATAATTTGCTAATTGAATGACACTGGTTGTGATCTCTGTTTCAGGCAAGCAAGCTCAAGCAAGTTTAAATTTTACAACCAGCTTCGTGCTTTTTTCTGGCGTTAATTTTAAATTTGTATGGCAGCAAAAATTATAGCTTTTGCGAAATATATCAAATCCTGCAACTGTGTATATCAGCACGTGAAGTTGGTGACATTGACGAGAATGTAGTACAAAAAGCTGTCTAATTAGTACCCATTACAGGATATCTTAGTTAAAAGGTTGGAATGTTGGGTCAAGGAGGAACAGAGTAGTAACCATGTGAAACCAAGAGAAACTGTGTGTATATGGCATAGATTTTACTAGGCATGGACACAAGAGTTGACCGTTTTTTGTAGTATAATTACGTAAAAATGTCAATCATATGAGTCATCCGAGTCAACCGAGTCGATATCGGGGTAATTCACATGTTGTATTCTCCGAAAGTAGATTGCCACATTCACATATTTTCGCAAATTTATTTTGCCCCAGAAAAACCCCAACGTTTTTCTAGTCACTATACACATGACCGTTACATTCAAAAGTTACAAACCAGTATGCCAAAAAAAATTGTTGGGTTATGACTATGGTATATAGCCCCGGATGTTCATTTCATGTAGTATTTTTGTTATAACTATATACATATAAGCAGTAATTTACTACCATCCCCGGTTCCCCAGGTGGCAAAACCGCGTGATGCTTTATTTTTGTTGAAAGTTGTATTTTTTTTTATTTATTTATTTTCATATGGAATTATGGCGGGGCGAGGGGGGAGGAGGGGGAGTAAAGAACGATGATCCTTGTTTGCAACTCCGAATTCCATTTTACTATAAATATCCTCACAAATTTCACAACCTAACCTTTTTCTAATTAGATCAATTTTTGCCCAAAGAAGATGTTTTTAGTGACAGGAGTGTACAATACCGGGGCCAATCTCGTGAATAAAGCGTATGGTGTGGTTGACACTACTATAGAATACACCATTGAAAGCGTAAAGTTCACCATTACCTCGGTGGAAAATACTAGAGAATTTATAAATAAATGTATATATAACTACAATCTTATAGTATACTCGTGGAAGAATCAAATATACAAGAATATAAATTGATGACCAATGGAACCAGTTAAATTGTGGGTGTTGTTATTGGTTGTGTGTTGGTTCTCCACTTTTCATAATAATTTTGCATCACTTGGCATCGGGTACTTGGTTTGGTTCTCCCAGATTCTGTACATAGAAAAAAAAAAAAGTAATACACGAAACATCTTGTATTTTAGCAGCTATACAGCAACGGACGTCATGCGTAGTAGAACAAATTTCACCTCTTACTTGCTTTAGTTTACAATCATGTTGTGAATTCCATCTCTTTGGAAACCAACTCTTTTTGTGTACATTGCTAACAATCAAAATCTCCGGGGACGTTCATGCAGCTATCACATGCTAATATTTCTACAGATTTATTTTTTTTTAACAATCCTTGTTTATATCGAAATTGTGATATATATTTTACAAAACAAACCTATTAACCCGAAATAAACAATGACCTGTAACTAAAGAATAATGAGAAAAGAAATGAGCTAACTCGCTTATTCTTCGTCTTCTTCTTCTTCGTCTTCAGCGACAGAGTAGAATTGCAATTGGTATTGGTTTTGCTTGACAGCAACAAATCTAATCCAGTCTCTGATTTGGTTCTTCTTCAAGTATCTCTTGGTCAAGTACTTTAAGTACTTACCGGAGAACTTAGCAGTAGAAACAACGACAACCTTGTTACCTTCGGTGGTGACAGAGATTTCTTCACCTAAGTTACCGACGATACCTTCAACCTTGATGTGTTCAACTAAGTACTTGACGTAACCTTCTTGGTCGAAAACACCGTTTTCAACTGGAGCAGAGGTGTCGACGACGAACTTCTTAGCAGCCTTGGATTTCTTGGAGGTCTAGAATAAAGGTTAGCCTACCGCACATTCAAAATGTTCCCTATCTTCGATATGTTTAACAAGAAATAAGAACATTTTTTGACAGCAAAGCCTTCCCCTATACGGGTAAAAGTCTCTAGGTTTTGTAAAAAAGATTTAATATTGGTAAAAAAAAAATAAAGAAAAAACCAATAAACAAGATTCATCACCCGTATAACTATGGGAAAAGTTATACTTTCAATTATTCATTTCGTAAACTATCAAATAAGGTTAGTCTTCGTGTATACATACAATTGGAGCCATTTTTAACTGTGTTTCTTAATGTGATGAAGAGAAGAAATCTATCAGACGAATAAATTTTTCAGATATAATAAAAAAATGAGAAACTAATCTCCAGCGCGCAAAAAAAAAAAAAGATCCTGGTCGAGACACGCAAAGATTTGACAACTGTGTTTTTGTCACGTGAAAACATCCCACTTCAGGGCTGTTGCCCTGGTTGAATCACATTTGAGTCACGCTTCTCCCATCAACATCTCCGACGCTGGTTTGACTCATAGTCAAAAAAATGTCAACCCACGCTAAAAAAATAATTTTGCAACAACCCGATCGAAATTCATCCAATAAAATTCATTCCCTTTGTAAGTCGTCCCTTTCTCTTCTCTATAGCAATCCAAATTCAAAAATGTTTAGAAGATCATTCTCTACTTCAATTAGACGTTTCGCTTCAGCAATTGAACTTGCACGTATCTCCCCTCCTAGATCCACTTGGACTAAGACCCAAATTCAAGAAATTTATAATACCCCATTGCTTGAACTCATTCACCAATCCAGTTTACAACATCGACAATACCATGACCCAAGTGAAGTGCAACTCTGTACTTTACTTTCCATTAAGACTGGTGGATGCACTGAAGATTGCAGCTATTGTGCCCAATCATCACGTCACAACACCGGATTGCAAGCTGAGAAATTGATCTCAGTTGAATCAGTGTTGGAAAAAGCAAGGATTGCCAAAGCTAATGGATCCACTAGATTCTGTATGGGTGCTGCTTGGCGTGATATGCATGGTAGAAAGTCGGGGTTGCGTAAGATTGGAGATATGGTGGAACAGATTAATGCCATGGGGATGGAAACTTGCGTTACCTTGGGCATGATCAGTGAAGAACAGGCTGTGGCCTTGAAAGAAAAAGGGTTGACTGCGTACAATCATAATGTGGATACTCTGAGGGAACACTACCCCAATGTTATCACTACGAGAACTTACGATGATAGGTTAGATACTATCAAGAATGTTCAAAAAGCAGGCATTAGTGCATGTACCGGTGGGATCTTGGGACTTGGTGAAACTCCTGATGATCATGTTTCATTCTTGTACACCTTAGCCACATTAGACCCACATCCAGAATCATTACCTATTAATAGATTAGTTCCAATTATCGGTACTCCCATGGAAAAGGAATTACGCAGTTTACCGCAGGAAAAGAAATTGCAATTTGACCAGATTTTAAGAACTATCGCTACTGCAAGATTAATTATGCCCGATTCGATTATTAGATTGGCTGCTGGGAGATACACTATGAAGGAACATGAACAATTCTTGTGTTTTCTTTGTGGTTGTAATGCTATATTTACTGGTGAAAAGATGTTGACTACCATGTGTAATGGTTGGGATGAGGATATTGCCATGTTGAAGAAATGGGGGTTACGTCCAATGAAAAGTTTCAGAAAGGAACTTGCTGGTGAATAAGTTTGATTTACATTCGATAAATAGTCTGTCTATATATTTTGAATTGTGTCAATTTTATTATCCTTATGTAGCTTTCGTAATAGTGTGTTGGTAGTGCTCACTATGGGTAACGAAAACAGTTCATCTGGGTCTTCGACCGTTTCATTTTTACCTTCTTCTTGTGCCTCCTCCACCTCCTCCTGCTCTTGCTGGTCATCTCTTTCAGTCAACTCAAGCGTGGCCTCGTCTATTATGTCTTCTACACCGGCTTCGCCGTTTATTTCAAACAAATCAGGCGAAACTGACAACAATTGATCTAGTCCACCACCACTCCAGCCTTTCTTGGCTATCGATTCGTAAATCTCTAATTCAGCCCGCACCAACCCGCCAGTTCTAGTCAACAAGTGTTCTCGATTATATCCAGCCACCAATGCATTTATCTCGTGATAATACTCATACTTTACTCGATCAATATCATCCAACTGGTTAGTCAAGCTCAACAAGTTGTTCTTATACTTGTTCAAATCTCTTGTCTTTTTCTTTCTCAATTTCAAATTCTCGGCTTCGTGCTCCTTTAGAAGTTTGGATTTGGACTTGATTTCTTGTTGGTAATACGAATGATTCTGGCCATACTCCACTTTCAACTTTATTAATTCCTGTTGGAGTGGTTCAATGAAACTAGTATGCATCATTCGGCCGAGGATCTGATGATTGCTAGCCATGATATACTGTAGCCCTGCCGCATTGCTTATTCCATCCTCGACCATAGTAGTGTTGTTGACTTTGGGACACTCGCTAATGCACTGTTCCAAAGCTTGGCCAAACTGGTTAGCGGCAGCACTCACTGCTTCAAGAGCAGCTTGCAAATTCGTGGCTGTCTTGAAAAGCTCCTCATAAGTGTTCGTTATATGCTTGAAATCGGTCGTTGTAATGATATCATTGCTGCTCATATCGAGAACAGAAGGAGAAAACGATGTGAATGTGTTGAGTGAAGTTTGTCGAGACGCAGGAGCGGCATTATCCAGATTCATGATAGTGATGAACTCGGAAAGATGGTTGGGAGGCAGAGAAGGCAGAAGCTGTGACTGTTTGATAGATCCATTGTCCAGTATATCAGATGTGATCTGATTATTTTGCGATGTAACTTCCATGGTTATGAAGAATAGGAAATATACACAAACTTTATCTTTCCGCCCCTTCCCCTCCGCGTTTTTTCAATTTGCGCATTGTGCGTGTCTCTTTATAACAAAATTTGACACCTAAAGGCTGTGTGCGGCGCGTGCGGCTCAATGTTCGGTCAAGGTTCATTAAATCATTGTGATTGGTGATAAGATGGGGTGTTGTGCTTTAAGGAAGGTCGCAATTGGGCTAATGTAAACTACGGGATGGACAGTTGAAGTCTATAGCAAAAAAAAAGGAATAAGCAAGAGAGAGGGAAGTAGTTTCTTCAAAAAATTTGTCAATATGAGAGCAAATTTATATTATGTTTATAAAGTATAAGTTTTGCTACAGGATTCTTAATTTATGCAAATGACGACGTGCAGCCAGCAAAAATTTAAACATGATACTGAGTACTAATGTACTAACTATGTAAAGCAAGTTCATTTGATTGCCAATATTTCGTTTCAAAGAATATCACGTGGTCTAAATCTCATGCGAAAAAGCACGAATTTTTTTGCAACGTAAACTTCGGTCCCTTGGCCCAGTTGGTTAAGGCGTGGTGCTAATAACGCCAAGATCAGCAGTTCGATCCTGCTAGGGACCATTTCTTTTTTTAAATCATCTTTTGCATTCAATCGTACTCGGTACGCCTTGAAGGTGTGTGCGCTACAATTTCCTAAATTCGAGAAAAATTGGCATAGGGAGATTAACTTTTTTTTTATGGCTCAACAGAGAAGTGAGGCTAACGTGAGAATATTTCATGTCAGTATTAGCTAGAAACGGGTAATGTTTTCTAGCAACTGCACCACCATTCACATATTCCAAGACAAGCCAAAAGGTTCACCAACTCTATGTAAAGAGTGGAGTAATCGCTGATACTTTTTCGCAACAGTTTTAAACGCAAGTGAAAAAAAAAGAAAAAAAAACATTTCAAATTTAACCCTTTCCGCGTTAAGAAACTTCTTTTGCAATATAGACGTGTTCTATTAGTGAGTTCTACTATTGGCTTGTTTGTATCATCTAGGAATTCTTCTCTTGTGTCAGACCCTGGAAATCAGTATTCCGCCAATGCTTAGCCATTGATTTTTTTTTATTTTGCATTGAGTCAAAAAGAAACTGAATATTTTCTAGCGGTGGCACAAAGTCGGAAATAGCGAAACAATATAATATTACCCCGAAATTAAACTGAGTGGGGTACAATTCTCCAGTCTCCGTTAACTAGCAGTTGGAACCGAAGCGATAATATGTCGGATAACGTTAGATGAAAATGCACTTGTGATCATGGCTTATAACTAACGGGTTTATGTAATTTCCGACCAAGAAACCGTTCTGAACAAAGCCAGATCATTGGTGATAGAAACCAGAAATCGTAAAGCCCAGGAACAAGATAAACCGCGTCTACTAATCAGCAAGCCTTAGCATAATTAAGGGCCCACCCGGCCTTATCTACACATTTCTAGGATCTTCGTTTAATAGTTGATTGTTGGAGGGGAATTTGCAGTAAAAAAAAAAAAATTCTTGGGTTTTCTTCAATGATATTTTTTAGGGGGTATTTTTATTCACTCATTAAACTTTGTGAAACTTTATTTAAGCAGCCAAATCTCCAGGAAAAAAAAGTGTCTAGTCAACCTCAATTTACCAAAACATCTCATCTACTGTACCCCATGAACGAGAAAGTCTCTAAGGATACCAAGAGCAAACGTCCAAGAGTTGTCCTTGCATGCAACAGATGCAGACAGCGCAAGACCAAATGTGATGGACAACAACCAGTCTGTGGTGGGTGCATGAAGAAACAAGTTGAGTGTTCCTATGGTGTCAAGTATAACAGGGCCCATGTCACCGTGGAATACGTACGACAATTGGAAGAAAAATTAGGAATTGCTCCAGTTAAAGAAGAGGAAGACATCACACCACCACCTGCTCAACAACAGCCTCCATCAATGACATACAAAACCCCTAGCATCAGCAATATGGTGTCTAGTAGTTCCAACAACACTGAATTATTCAATTCTCCACTTGCATTACCACAACCACCTGATAGACCATACCATAGAAACTCCTTCTCCATAGCCTCCCGTATAGGTGATGGCGTTAATGAACATCATTATGCACCTAGCATAACCCCATCCAATTCCATAAGAAGTAACAATTCCACAACTACAGCTGCATCTATGCGACCAAGAGATCGCGAGGACTCGACAGACGCAATGGGTGCTGGTTCCATGGACAAGAAACGCAGGGGTAAAGATCGGGACTACTATGGATCTTCTGCCGCAATATCATTCATGAAAGACATATCCAATGTTATTGATGGGTCATATAGATCAGAATTGGGAAGCAGCACAACCACCGAGGACGAACGAGACACAGAAAAGTCAAATGTGTACAGGATGTCTAGAAACGACGCCGCCGTTTCTCGAAGAACCACCGACATAGTGCTACCACCAAGAGCCATGGCTGATCGCTATGTCAAGAACTATTTCGAGTATGCATACACTTTATACCCGTTTGTTCACCAACCCACGTTCATGGCCACCTATCAAACGATATGGTCCAACAATGACGATGACAATGAAATTGACGAATTGTTTTATTCCATCGTAAACATTATCTTTGCATTTGGATGTCAATTGACTCCCGAACCAGAAAAACTCGAAGACAATTCTGAACTATACTTTGAAAGATCACAGGAATTGTTACGATTCCACTTGATGGACACTGGTTCTATCCTTCTTGTTCAAGCATTATTATTAACCGGCCAATTCTTGCAAGCTAGCACCGGCCTGGCTGGATGTTGGAATATTGTTGGGTTGTCCATTAGAATAGCACAAGGATTGGGATTGCATCTGGAGCAGAACTATGCCAGTGCCAAGAGTCTCATAGATCGAGAAATAAGAAAGCGGTTATGGCAAGGTTGTTTGCTTATGGACAGAATTGTTTCCATGACTATGGGAAGACCATTAATGGTGACACAAGATAATGAACTGGGTGAGTTGCCATTATGTGTCGATGATGAATACATTAAAGATGATGCAATCTTGCCCATGAAGACTCCTTCCAAGATAGGATTCTTTATCCAAACCATCAAGTTGTATAATATCCTTGCTGATATATTGAAACAGGTTTATCCGAATGAAATCCAGGATGATGTTGTCCAATTACTTTTGAACATATTCAACTTTGAAAACAGATTGAATGAATTTAGGGCAAACTTACCTGAATACTTACAATACAAGTCCGATGAACGGAAAATGATGCCGTTTGAAAGACAAAGTATTGTTTTGCATATTAGAACTCTCCACATGAAAATCATGCTTTATAGACCAACCCTTTTCCCCAAATCATCCAGAAACCACACCCACACTTCGGAGTTATACACGTCTACCCAAAAATCAGTGGCTATTCTGTGCGTTAAATTAGCTGTGGAATTGATTGATCTTATTGGAAGATATAGAGCCGGTGATATAATCTACTTACCAGCACACTGGTATAACGTCTTCTACATCTACACTGCCGCCAATGTCCTTCTTGCAGCCAAACTTCAAGTGGGTCTCCACCGAGATTTAGACTTGGCCACTTTTGAAAACGCCTGGAACCACAGTTTAGAGATCTTGGGATCATACACTCAACATTCAGAATCAGCATCTCGTTGCCTTAAAGTTCTTGAAATGATGGGTAATAAGGTGAACATATCTTCCCAGAGATTAGCCACCCAAAGAAACACCCCAGTTCCTCACTTGCATCATGATTCCGATCATTTACACCCGGCATCTACTGCTGTACCTGGTTCGGTCTACCCATTGCATAACTATAGCCCTAGTTCCACCAGCTCAGAAGTGCCTACAGATGTGTTGTATTCCTTGCTTTACGATACTGCGGGGCCATTTGGTGGTCCGTTCCATTACTCCGACGACCCCAATGTGTTGGGATTGCGATAGATCTAGTTTAACATAATAAAATTTATTAGCGCGATTTAATTATTTTGCAACTTTGTGTAGTTCTTGAAAACTCCCCGGGTATTCCCAATGAACAATATAAGTATAATTACCCCCCGGAATTGCAAACCGAATTAAGGAAGTATACACGTTTAGACATACCGCAACGTATCTTCCCCCACTTACAAGCCCACCGAAAAAAATAGAATATTTTTTGTCTAAATAATTCTGTGACACATTTTCCATGTTTTTTTTTGTTTTAGGGTCAAACGTACTTTTCGGATGGTGATTCCGCACAACGCACACACATTGCACCAATTAAAAAAATATTCCCCCCACAAATTAATTAGTAAGCGCGGGAATGCTGTTCCGAAGTCTCAATCGCCGAAGATGCGAATTAACAATGATAAAGTCTTACAATATCGGTTGAGAAGTTTCTGCAATCGCTCATAAATATTGTTGAGTACTTTTCTTTCTACACTATTACTGTAATACAACAAACTATCATGTCATATACTGGATCCTGTCTCTGTGGAGACGTCACTTTCAAGCTCAATGGTGAACCAAAGCGTACTATCACCTGCTACTGTACTGACTGTCGTAAAGGTTCTGGTGCCTTAGGTCAATTCATCTCCGTTTACGACACCACCAATGTTGAAATCAAAGATCCAAACTCAAAGGTCGGGGAATACGTTGTTCAAAAGACCCAAAGTGGTACCCCAAAGAAGAAGCAATTCTGTACTGGTTGTGGTTGTACCATCCGTACCTTACCTGGTAAATACAAGGGTGAAGTTTCTATGATGAGACAAGCTTTATTGGATGACGATTTCAAGAACCATGTTCCTCAAGCCTCAATTTTCAACGATGAAAAGGAAAGATTTACTTCTGGTATTAAATCTGAATTCTACTAAGTAGGTAGGTAGTTAGTTAGTTAGTTGGTTATTTAAAATAAAATTGGGCGTGGTGATTAATACACGTTGTAGAGTAACACGCTTTCTTGAACAACATCTGAAAAAGTAATTGACTAAGATGGGAAAACTGCGTGTCTTACTCAATTTTATGCTCAAAGTAGCGTAACGGTTGCCAGCGCTTAAGTTTACTTATTACTTGGTAGCGTCTAACGACCTACTATAACAAACAATATATAAATTCACTCTATTTTTAAAATATACTCTAGATATAAAAAGGGAAAAATCCCTCATATATATATCAATCCCCGTCGTATGGCAGCCTGAAATATCAGGCGATATTTAGTTTCACAAACATTTGTAACTAACTGTAACTGTGATACTATTTTAAAATAAAATTTGTTTTTCTTTTTCTTCGAAAAATCAAACAAAAAGTCTGGAGTATACATTCCTGCATATAGACAACCCACTCAAACATATTCTGATCTCTCATCTCTACATTTGCCAGCTAAAGCTTAGTTGCAATTTTTAAATTTCTATCAATTGTTTAAATACCTGTAAACCTATATAATTAAATGAAATCCATCTTGTTGGAAAGAGTACCAATTTGGGAAATTTCAACCTCAACTTCGTCACCGTTCTTCAAGTATTTTGGTTCCTTCATACCCATGGCAACACCACTTGGGGTACCAGTCATGATAACAGTACCTTGTTCTAAGGTGGTTTCTTGAGAAATGAAAGCAATGATCTTTGGAACATTGAATAAAAGATCATCAGTACCAGTGTTTTGACGAACTTCACCGTTGACTCTGGTGGTCAATTGCAAAGCAGCTGGGTCTGGAATGATTTGGGTAGAAACCAATTGTGGACCCAATGGAGCATACTTGTCAAAAGACTTGGAGAAACCCCATTGTGGAACACCACCAGCGTAAGCTGGGTTTCTTTGCCAAGTTCTAGCAGAAACATCGTTACCAGAAACGTAACCAGCTACGTATTTCAAAGCATCTTCTTCCTTGATGTTCTTACCGGTCTTACCAATAACAACACATAATTCACCTTCGTAATCACATTGGTCTTCTTGAGCAATTCTTGGAATAGGAATTGGTTCACCGAAATCTGCAACACTGAATCTTGGCTTGTAGAAAATAGATGGGTATGGTGGAGGAGTTCTACCACCTTCTTGAATGTGCTTCATGTAGTTTAAACCAACACACTTGATGATTGGAACTTGGTCTTCAGTCAATGGACCCAATAAAGTCTTGACTTCCAAAACTTCATCAGTGACAGCAGCATCTTCAAAGATGTTGTCACCCTTGATGACCTTAGCCTTGACGGTCTTACCTTCAAGAACTTGTCTACCAACATCATATTCAGCATCGGTGACAATTGGTTCACCTCTGTAGATCTTACCATCTTTAGCGACGAATCTGATTAATCTCTTCCAAGCAACAGTCATTTTTTTTATTAAGATTTAGTGTATAAGTAATATAAAGAATATATCTTAAAGAAAAAGAGATCAGAATTGAAAAATCAAAGAGAATCTTCTGGTATTTATTTGAAAATTTTTGGACCTCCACAATTTTACCCAAAAAAGACGTAATTCCCGGCAACGGTAATAATTAGATAAATGAATAACCGACTTTCATAATAAATTGGGCTGCGGATATGTCCTGGGCAATACTGTACATTACTTTTGTGGAAATGTAATCGGGAGCCCATTCCGACATTGAAATGTGGTAGTAATTATCGGTTTGATGTCCCGCGTAATTTCTTTTGTGTTGTTCTTTCTAATAATGCGAATGTGGGTGCGCGAAATCTTGTTCCGAAATAAAGTGGGGAACGGATCTGCATTCCGAATATATCTTTTATTACGTCAAAAATATCTTATTTCTTGTGGGGTTCAAATTGCTAAGCATAACCGACGGAGTAACTCCGCTGAAAAATTTTTAGTTCAAGATGGAGATTTATTGCAAGCATGGACCGATGTTCCGATGATTACAAATGTACCGACTTACTCCAGATTTAATCAGCTGATAATATCTAAAGGCATATATATATATAGACATTCCATCTTTTTCCTTTCCACTATTTCTTTCTTTCTTCCTTCCTGTTATAATATTAATAACTCTCTTCTATATTATACTTCAAATAAAAATGGCTCCTGTCGAATCAACAACTACTGCTAGCGATGAAAAGGTTAACTTCTTTAAAAGTTTAAAACCACAAAACGTCGAACCATTATGGACTGTTATGTCTGCTATGGTTCCACCAGTTCCAAAGCCAAAGGCTGTCCCAACCGTATGGAACTATAAGAAATTAAGACCATTGTTGGAAGAATCTGGTCGTTTGGTTCCTCCTGAAGAATCTGAAAGACGTGTGTTGATGCTTATCAACCCTGCTTTAAAGGCACCACAAACTACTGACACTTTATATGCCGGTTTACAATACATTAACCCAGGTGAAGTTGCTCCTGCTCACAGACACTCTGCTTTCGCCTTGAGATTTATCATTGAAGGTGATGGTGGGTTCACTGCTGTTGAAGGTCAAAGAATCTTTATGGAACGTGGTGATGTCATTTTAACTCCTAGATGGGAATGGCACGATCACGGTAAGCAAGGTGATGGTCCAATGATCTGGTTAGATGGTCTTGACTTGCCAATGTTCCAAGCTATCCCAGTTAACTTTGCTGAACATTATAAAGAAGAAAGATACCCAGCTGAAACTGTTGAACACTCCAACATCAAATTCCCATGGAAGATCACTCAAGATTACCTTGACAGTGTTGAAGGTGACTATGCCATCTACAACTACACCCAAGGTGACGATAAGAAGGATTTGTCCACCATTGTTACCGCTCAAGCTGAAAGAATTAATGCTGGTAAGACTAGTGAATGGCGTCAAGAAAATGCTTCCTTCGTTTTCCACATCTATGAAGGTAAGGGTCACACTGTCATCCAAGAAGAAAATGGTGAAGAAACCATCTTGACTTGGGAAGGCAAGGATACCTTCTGTGTTCCATCTTGGAAAAAGTTCAGACATGTCAATGAAGGTTCTGAAACTGCCTACCTTTTCAGTTTCAATGATTCTGCATTACTTAAGAACTTAAATATTTACAGATCTGCTACTAATTAAGTAGATTAATGCCGGTTTTATTTCTTGTTGCTTCTTTTTTTTTATTATTTAGTTTAATTGCTGCAAATCCAGGTTGTTACCAGCGATAGTTTATTTATAGGTTATGATATGACAAGAGCATTTTTTTTTGTAAAATCTTAACTGTAGCAAACTCACTAAATAACATTACTATACCAACTTTGATATCCTATTTAAATGGCTTAAGGAGATGAGAAATAGAGAAAAGTATAAATTTACACATATAATAATCTAAAAGATCAATCTGATACTTAGATTTACTGCAGACGATTGTATTATTATGAATGGAAAATTAATTTCAAGGCGAGCTAAAAAAGGATCCATTTAATCTCATGGAAATAAGCTCTAAAGAATAAGGCGTAGATTTATGCGTGGCGACGCCTAACAGAATCGGGGTTCAAGCAAAAAGAAATACCTAATTTATTAGCACTAGATGGAATAAAATACAATAATTCTACTCCAATTCAACTTCCACGGATACTTCATCCCTAAGATCTAAAAATAATAACAAACTCGGCAATACCTACCGGGTAGTACCCTGCATACTCGATTAATGATTCAAAAATAGCTTTGCTTGTTTTGGGCAGAGACTATGTCAAATATTAACATAAAACACAGCTACAACATTGTATAGTATAGGTCTATCCATTCTTGTTAGGTAATTGATGTGTTTAGTAACATTCCTCGCTTGATTGAAATGTCGATCATACACTATAGTCATTATTTGGATATTGTAAAAGAAGTTAGGAAATTTCATATTTTCCTACAGTCAATAAATCATTTTGTTTCTTAACTGTAGAATTATACAAGCGGAATAAGAACACTCTATCCAGTAGAAAGGGCTGCAAAGTTTTAGTTTAAACATCAACTTTACTAGCAACAAACTTGATGATAGGACCCATGCATGGGTTTCTTGGATATATACATCCAGTCAAAGGAACCACTTTACAACCAATCGAAACCTTGGCTTCTTCAGTAGTTGGTCCGAAATCAATAAACGAGACCTTTTCTTCTAATCCCATCCTAATAACTTCTTGCATCATCACAAAATATGCTTTATATTTCTTAGAAGTTTCGTGATCTAACCCTTGTATATCTGAGGTCATGGTTTCACCTAACCTGAAAATGACACATGAGGCAATAATCTTACCATCAACTTTTAAATAAAGTAAAGTTCTATATTTGTTTTCATTAGAATTGTTTCCTAAATTGGAAATGAATTCCCAGTCAGGATACATCAATTGGGAGGATTGTCCCGACAGAGCTCTATTATTAGCAATATTCAAATTCATATTGATGATCAGGGAGCAGTTTTCATAATTGAATTGATCAGTTTCCCAAACTTCACCATTGGCCAGTTTGAAAGTATTTTCTTGAGTTCTATATTTAATAGCTTTAAAATAATCAGTTGGTTTTTGATTTCGGAACGGACGAAGGTCAATAATATGGGAGTTTGGAAGTTTAATCTTGTACCATCCAGAATAAGTCACACCTTCTTCGAAGTGATAATCGGAGTACATTGGATCCATAAGCACAGCACATTTTTCATTCTTTTTGTTCCATTCTGAAAGAGTGTAAAGAACGGCAGCAGCTCTTGCAACCGGCTTCTTAGTGGCACTGCAATAGAATGTAGATCTCTTGAATGGCCAATGGAAGCCTAATAAACCAAACTTAACAACAAGTAAGGGGTATTTCCCATTCTTACCAAAGTATTTGCCCAAGAATGTTCCAACCTTTCCTGGAATACGTTCACATAAATCTATTTCTTCAATAACAGTTAATAACACCAATGCTTCGGTGCTCATCAATTCTTGGTAGAATTGTTCTGTGTTTGCTTCCAAGCTCTTAAGGTCCATGGCTTGTTTCTTTTGTTTGTTCTTCTTTTGAAGCTTCTTTAAGGCATTCTTGGAAATTGGTTTATAGGCTTCAAGAGGTTCAGCCTCTTCCTCTTCTTTCAGTTTATGATCATTTTGAAACAATACTGCTTCATGGTCCAATTCATTGAATGCAGTGTTTAATTTCGCTTTCTCCTCGATCTTTTTCTTAATAAATTTGTTTATTGCGCCTGGTTTGGTGGAAGTTTCATGGGGTTTATCTCTGTAGACTCTAAGGATCTTGCATGTCATACCCTCCAAACTAGAATGACTGTAGTTTTCCATCAAGGAAACAATATGCTCACCCGAAATACCAGCATTGTACTTCTTATTTAAGTTAATTAACTTGGCCCAACCTTGCTTTTGGTAATCAGTTAATCTCATTAAATCGTATTCTTCAACCAAGAGATTAGTGGTTAATGTTCTCTTTCTGAAATAACGAGTACATGCAAAACACAAAATATTCATGGCAAGTGAGCAACCAAACAAGATTGGTATACTCCCTGGAATTTCATTAACAGAATTTGGAGGATATCTCTCTTTGGCACCAGATACAATGGTACAACTTAACAACAATAGGCCTAATAAGGCTACTACAGTATCATACAAGAAAAGTAGCAACCCCATTAATTCATGTAATCTATTCTTATGATTGATGACTACCAGAATTACTACTCCAATCATAGATTGCCCTATCAAGAAACAAGCAGTTAAAATGAAGAAATTATCCTTTTTTATTGCAGAACTGGATTCTGCAGCATTGATCATATAAATATTGATCTGAATTAAGGCAATGGCAATCAATATTTGGATAATATTAGCAGAAACAAATGCCAAGTAAATGTTGGAAATATTGGCTGACCACCAAACACATAGTAATAACCCACTGAAAATAATAGCTACAAGTTTTATAGTGAAAAATGTAGCTTTTTGTGAATGAGGAACTTGGAAATCCTTACCAAGATTGAATGGATTATCAAATTTCCCCTGGGTGAGAAGAACAACTTGTAACACAGTTATGATAAACAATAGAAACCACAATAGTTTCTTCCCAACCCTAACTATTAAGAAATCTACCATTTTTTCTTTCTTGGGGGTTATTTTGATTTTTTGGTTTTTATATATGGCTTGGTAATAACGTTCATAAGCAAGAACAAGCAAATAAAGAAAACATACCCAAACAACAATTATTGGATATGGATCAGCAAACCTCCAATTGAGGTATTTTGAATATAATATTGCCTGGGTGAGACTAAAGACAAAACAGTATATGGCTACTGCAACCAGACTATGTAGCCAACCTAAGAATTGTTTAAACATAACAGATTTGATATCCTTGAATAATTTATTAAAGGCTTCTTTTGTGTTACTGGGAGGAGGTACAGGTGGTGAGATTTCTTCTGAGTCATGAGGTAGTGATGCCGATTCAGAATTCTTAAGAGAACCTGTATCTTTATGGGATAGGTCATTCTCGTAGGAAGAGAACCCCAAAGGTTGACTTTCCTTTGTCATTGATAGCTAGGTCGAATTTACAATGGATTACTAAAACAGAAACTTTGATAACCATTAGTCAGAACGTCATAACTATTTATTCTTTTTCAAAGATGCACAGCTCAAGTTTTAGTTTCTTCTGTAATTGTTTTATTTTTTCTTTTTTGACTCATAGTGATGGAGAAAGATTGGGGAGGCTAAGAAGCTTTGTTTCTTTAATCTATTTTTAGCTGCACGGTTGTATAGAGTTCTCCTTGTTTATTTTAATACGATACTACACGTGATAGTTGCAGCAAATAGGTTACCAACGAATCTGGGCTAATGGCACAAATTAGTGAACAAGCATACAAGAGACTAGGGTATTCATGTATCTCCATTAGCTCTGCTTTTCGACTATTCATTATTAATTGTTCTGTGCTGTTTGTCAAGTCTTCAAAAGAGAAAATGTAGTCGTTTGAATTAACATACAACAAGACTCTCTCTTTTTTTTTGCTCTTTGGCGCGAAATGCATAACAAGGCTTTTAAATTGTTACAGGTGATTTTAACTAAGGGTCAGGAAAATTAACGTTAATAATTGCAAAATTTACCGAGTTGTTATTTGCTAAGCCTTGCATAAACATTGTTAAATATTTCATAGATGCTTGCTCTAGAACTGTTTAAAGATTGAGTAAACAGTAGTAAATAGGTGTCACATGGACTCGTCACACTCTGTGAAAATCAGGATTTTCCCGAATAGGATTAACTCAGAGTTATTTATATTCGCTGCTTTGCCTCCATGAAAGTAATATTTTGATTTCTTTCAAAATATGAAACGCTTCTTAATTTGATTATGTTACCAAATAACTTGCGACATTTATGGTCAATAAGCTAGATCAAACCTTGCTGGAACTAGGCGAGATAAGATTCATCACTAGCATTATGATATGATTGTAAATATACATCATGTATCTGTAATATTTAGTACTTACTGGTGAGATTCCCTTGACTTACATATCGATATCATGTGTAGTGTTCAGTCCGAGAAAGCCGTTTTAAACACCTTCGTATGACAATCACTAATTATAGTTTCTAAGCCACATTGTCCTTTGGTCCCCCAAAACCTGCTTGCAAGAATTTTGTACTAAATCTTAGTCAAAAAAAAAATTCACATTTGCTATGTATCAATGCGTTCTAGACTATCTGACAACTTCTAAAATTTCTAATTTTAGAACATTACAATTCATTAAACCTTACATGAATTTGAATAAAATACGACTACAAATAAACTCTTGGGTGTTCTAAAATATGGTCTCAATTAGGGCTGAGTTTTGTCCCTGTAAACGATACATAACCGTTGAAGTTATTTCTTCCACATAAAGTTCTTTTCAATCTCATATACAACTTTCCACCATATAATTGTATGGTGTCTATTAATCCCAACTTCAAAATCAACATTATCTTTCCCATCACACCTTTCTGTCACCTTTTAAGAATACGATTCATCGAAGTATCCATGAATTTTTAATCGACGGTGTTCTTCCGAACATATTCATTCTGAAGTAAGGAAAGCGTATAAAAACGATTAGGATAGACTATGTATACAAATACTACTTGCAATGCTTCCAATACTTGAAGAAATTTATAAATGGGGAATCTTAAAGGAGTTGTTGTTCAGCAAGGAAATTCACATAGGAAATATTACTTATCACTTGAACAAATTCCGATTCAATGTCCCACCGGGGCTGGAAGTGATTGCATGTGGTTAGAAAAATTAGTGTCTCCATTAACAGCTTGTTTCGTATCTCTATTAATTATTATGATGTAACGACCGAAGTTCAAAATGCCGTTCAAACGGGACGCCGGAAGGAATTCTATTATTGGCTATCTACATTGTAATCTACCTTGTTAGGTTACGAGATTAGACGGATATCTAACGGAGTTGCCTATTTTTGATCAATTGTTCTATATAGCTGACAAAGCAATACAATGTATCTTACTCCTTCGGAAGCACACTCCATGAACATCCCTCAAATATATATTTTTTAGTAGCTTGCGTGTATCCGGCTTTGTGGATTTGCATCCATAATGTAAAAATAAAAGCCAACATTCCCCCTCTTTCTCCCCTCTTCACTCGCCTCGGACTAATTTCGGAGGGTGACTCCGTTATGACACAAAATCTTACCTTGCATAAACAGGCATAATTACCTACAATAACTACAGCAATTTCAACTTTTATGTCAAGGGCTAACCAGAGCCCAGTTTATTACTTCATTAAAAAATAAATAATTACAAAAAATTACTTAGCACGTCTTAATCCAACCACGTGAGCAATAATACTTGGAACCCAAGCAAATAAGAGCACAAGACCACACATTAAACCAGCAGAACCAGCAAAGTTTAAGTTGGCAAACATGTATGGGAAGTAGAATGGACCAAGGAACCCGTAGAGAGATCTGACAAAGTTGATGTATAAACCAACGTCAGCAGCCTTGCTTGGGTTACAGTCGATAGCAAATGTAGTAATAACGGTGGCAACAATGTTGTTACCAGCAGCGGCAATAGCAGCACCAATTAATGGTCTGATGTTCCAGTGTCCTGGCTTAGCTTGGAATAAGAAAACACCCCAGATGATCAAACCAATAATAACTAAGAAGTAACCATTGTAAGAGATCCATAATCTGTCAGCAATGACTCTGTTTCCACCTCTCTTAGCAGTACATCTCTTCATCCACCAATCAGAAAGTGGACCAGCAAGGACTTCACCAATGAATGAACCAACAATAATGGAGATATATTGCAAAGATAATTGTTGTGGACTAAGGTGGAAGTATGGAATCATAACTTGAGGCATTTCAACAACTAAAACAATGTTGGCGTAACAGAAAGTAACGGAGGCAGCAATGACAGCAAGAGTAATGTTGAAGTTAGCAGCTTGCTTTAATGGTCTGAAAAACATCTTCCAGTGGAATTGTCTGCTTTCAGACTTTCTAATACCCAACACTTTAAGAACCTTGCTTTGGTGGTAAACTGGGTTAGATCTAGTGTAGACAGTTTCAGTGGCAAACAACCATAAACCAAATTGAATAAAGTTCATAATAGCAAACACGTAGAAAATCCATTTAGTACCAGCATGTTGTTGAATGAAACCAGTAAAGAAAGGACCAGAAGGAGTACCAACAACAAAAGCAAGAGTCCACCAACCGTTCTTTTTACCTCTTTCATGAGAGAAAGCCAAATCACCAACAACAGAAGAACCAGCAGCAGTAACAGTAGAAACGAAGACACCAACCAAAACTCTGGTGGCCATCTGTTGACCGAATGTAGTTGAAACAGCACCACCAATATTCAAGACACCACAAGCTAAAGCACCAAAAGTTACAAAGAACTTTCTACCATAAGTGTTCATCAATGGGACCCAGAATAATGGCAAAACACCAAAGACAGCAATTTGAGCAGAAGTAAAGTAAGCAGCAGTTTCAAGGGTAACACCATATTCTTCAGCCATGGTTTCAAAAGCAGGTGTCAAACCGGCAGCCATGAAAGTGGATGAGAAAGAACCAAAAGCAATCAACAAGATTTCATAGTTCTTCTTCCAGTCAGGCCAGTTAAGTGGATCTTGAGGATCAGCAGATGGAAGAGGATCCAATTGAACGGAACCATGTCTCAGAATAAGATATTGTTCATGTTCGGGATCAAGATCAGCAGTAATACCAATTGGAGTGTTCTCAACATGAGATGGAGTACCTTTTTCCATATCGCTAGCGATAGAAGGAGCAATAGAAGGAGTAGACATTGTTATAACAAATAGAAAGAAACTGTTTGTTGTAATGATAAAGAAGATTGCAAAAAAATGAAAAACTTTTCAGAATATCATTGATCTATTTATATTTAATTCGAGACCCCATCTAAAACAATTATTATTAAGATTTAATGACTTAGAAAATAAAGGAATTATGCATTTCTTTGTCTTTGTGCATTTCGGAGTCCCAGTAAAATGTGCAAGTCCCCACATTTCCCAGATGAAAAATATCTTGGAACAAAATTGGTCTAAAAAATATTTTGCAAAAATTAGCCCGCAAAAAGAAATGTTTTATTACTGTCCGGGATCTATTACGGAATGCACTTCCTGTTCGCTTCGGACCTCAATTTCTCCATTATAATTACATCTATCGGTATTTGCTCCTCTTCAGTGGGGAGAAATAATCCCGAAAATAAGTCATGAACTTGGGATTATTTTTTTGTTAACTATCTAACTCTTATCGTTTTCCATTGGGTAATGGGAATCGCCCAAAAATGGAGAAGTGATACTCCATGTACAAGAAAATAAACTAACGGAAGAGATCCCTGGTATAACGGAAAAAAAAATCTAGCAATAGTAAATGGAAGATATGCGCGATAGTTTCACAATGACAGTGACCAGGAATTGCTTTGCATCTTATACAAAGCGGCATTAAATCACAAGCAAATAGTAAACAAAAGTGGTACGATTAGGCCGAACTCTACAGAATGATGAAAATACAAACTAAGCATCTTAGTATACTACCAGTGTTTACGGATCGCTAAATGTTAGTGCAAGGAGTATGTGGAGTTTACGGATTTTCATCATCTTCGGAATGTTCTCCCGTTCGGTACTCCCGCGCGAATTTGCACCAATTTGTGTCAATTTAGCAGTAAAAAAATACGTATCCGTTCCCCCCCCCACCAGATCGGAACTACCACCCGTTTAAAAAAAGTGTCTATATTTCCAAAATAAACCAACAATAACTAAAAAAAACAACGACCCTCCCCCCCCCACTTCATGTGCCCCACTTTGTTCCGATAACTAATTAATTAAGTTATTTTTTTGAGAGTTAGTGAATTATCTTCGGCATGGGTTCCGATTATACAAAGATTAAGGAAAGGCTTTCCGAAACCCCAACCTAATTTCGGGAAGTATTGCCATAGATAATTCTAGATAATTCTAGATAATACCGATTTCAAATAATATACTTACACATAATAAATTTGTATTACAGCCGATCTCATTGGCATTATAACCCCAGATTTGTGAAAAATCTTTTCAATTCCGACCGAAATGGAGGTCTACATTTCCGTCGCTTGGTATATATTGCAAAGAATATCCTCCTCCTATTTCACTTAATTCAAATCTCTCTCTTTATTAATTAACAACTATAATTGACAAGTACAATTATTACAAGCTTTTTTTTTATTCATTAATATTATGGTCATGGTTTCATTCAACGTTATTATTTGTGGTGGTGGTTTAGGTGGTCTTGCCTGTGCCATTGGTTTAAAGAAGAAGGGACATAATGTCACTGTTCTTGAAGCCTCTTCTACTTTAAGTGAAGTCGGTGCTGGTATCCAAGTTCCACCAAACTCAGTAAAGATCCTTAAGGAATATGGTATCTTTGACAAATTTGAAAAACTTGTCACTAGACCAAAGAACATTATCTTGAGAAGATACGATACTGGTGCTCCACTTTCTACCACTCCATTGGACCCAGACATGACTGAAACTTACGGTAACCCATACTTGTTGATTCACCGTGCTGATTACCAAAGATTCTTACTTGAAGCTGCTACTGAATTAGGTATTACTTACAAGACTGGTTGCAGAGTCAAGGAAGTTGACCCAGAAACCGCTACCGTTCACTTAGAAAGTGGTGAAAGTTACACTGGTGATGTGGTTGTTGGTGCTGATGGTATCAGATCTAAGGTCAGAGACACCGCTGTTGTTACTGAAGAAGTTGTTTCTCCATTACCTTCTTCTAACTGTGCTTTCAGAGCTACTGTTCCAAAGGAAGAAATGCTTTCTGACCCAGTTATTGCTCACTTAATGACTGATGTCAACTCTAATTGTTGGATCGGTTACAGAAGACACGTTATGGCTTACCCAATCAGAAACGGTGAAATGTACAACATTGTCATGTCTCACCCAGGTCAAGCTTCTGTTGGTAAGTGGAACGAACCAGGAGATGTCAATGAAATGAGAAATCACTACAAGACCTTCGACCCAGTTGTCCGTCAATTATTGACCCACGTCAAGAGTGTCTTGAAATGGGTTTTAGCTGATTTACCAAAGTTACCAAGATGGGTTTCCAAGAGTGGTAAGGTTGTCTTGATTGGTGATGCTGCACATGCTATGTTGCCATACTTGGCCCAAGGTGCCGCCCAAGCTATTGAAGATGGTGCTACTTTAGCTGAAGAATTAGACAAAATTACCAGTGTCTCTGAAATTCCAACCGCTCTTCTTAGCTACCAAAAATTGAGAAAGAGAAGACCAGAAACCATTCAAGCTGGTGCTAGAAAGAACGGTGACATCTGGCACTTACCAGATGGTGAAGAACAAGAAGAAAGAGATGCTCTTATGAATGCTAGAGATGGTCACAACCCAGATCAATGGTCTGACAGAGAATTCCAACAATGGCTTTTCGGTTGGGATGCTTTCACCAGTACTTATCCAAAGGCTTAGAATTTGTAATTCCTAGAAGTCTAAACATTTAGTTCTCGTCATTCTCGTTTATATTATAAATAATTTAAAATATGGTATTTGTTAGGTATTTGCACAATGTACATTTATTTACGATGAAATCTCTTTATTTTCTATACATGAAATATTTCAAGCAGCTTTACATATTTCATCTAATGCCTTTTGGTTATCTAAGAGTGCCTTGGCAGCTCGACGCATTGCTTTCTTTTTAGATAAGTCGGATGCGACAGCAACTTCTACTCCTCTAATTTTCAAGGTTACTATTTGTTGATTTTTTTCACCTTTGTTGATGATATACTCAGGATGAGATCCTATTCTTTGACCTATTTCTGAGTATAATCTATTGGTAGCTGATGTATCAATTGGTTCCGATTCATCTACTTTAACTGGGAAAAGTGACATATCAAATGAAGTGTTGCCTTCAGAGCTTTGTTTGATTGGAGTCGATTCTTTGCTTGCTTTATCTTCTTTACGACCTTGTTTTGCTGGACGATCTATCATTTTACGTTGCAAGAAATACTTTTCAAGCTTTTCCTTATTCCTTAGTGCGTCCATTGCTGCCCTCAAACTTGCATCCTTGGAACTAGGTGCTTGTCCCACACCAATGACTTCACCTTTCATAACACAATGGACAATGCAATCAACCTTTACTCCATCACCTTGTTGAATAGTCTCGTATTGAGGATATGCATCGGCCATTCCAATAGTGGAGTACAACTTGGACTTGGCATCTCTATTGATAGGCTCGGAAATATACAAGACTCTAAGTTTTCTCAATCTTTCTTGATACAACTTATGCAACCAGTTTTTCACTTCCGATAAATCCAATCCACGTTCAGTGGATACTGCCCCTATGTAAGCTTCGAAGATATCAGCATAAATCTTTTGATCACCTGATTTCAAAACTGAATCTTCGATTCTAGCACGTAATTTCTTATCAAGTCCATATTGAAGGGAGAATTGGCACAATGTTTTATTATTGACCAAATCGGCTCTAATTTGGGATAACTGACCTTCAGTTGCAGTTGGAAATTCCTTATAGATGATCATAGTGGCTAATGTGTTCAATATAGCATCGCCAATGAATTCTAATCTTTCATTATGATTATTGATCAATTTTTCAGAATTCATGTATGATTTACTGTTTACATAAGACTTGTGAATAAAAACTCTTTCATACAATGCAGGATCTCTGATCTGTGGTAATGGTGGTAAAGTATTATTGATTCCTCTGGGGGCAATTTCATCTGTCATAGGAGTTACTGGGACTTCTACTTGAATATTTTGTGTATTTGGATCACATTTTTTCAACTTCTTCATATCCTTATCGTTAAAATTGATCTTACCCAGAGTTATTTCATCCAAAATAGGCAAAGTACCAATTTTGTATCTGGATTGTAATTTGGAAGCCATTTCAATCAAGTCATTTTGCTTCAACTCCATTTTTATTCCCTGGTTGAGATTTGGGGCATCTATCAAGCTCTTCAACAGCAATACATCCGGTGCTAATTCTAGCACTGTCTCAACATTTTTTTGCAAAGTTCTTGTTGCATATTCTAACTTTTGTAAATCAACAAATGCAACACTTTTGGGGATTTCTCTGTCAAATGTTGGAGTTTTGGCAGGAGGTCTGTTGTACATATCCAAATCACTTGGACTACGAGCTCTTTTCTTCAGTGATGAACTTTGTTCCAGATTTTCATTGCTAGTATCAGTGATCTGAACCATTATAAGTACCAATACTGTTCTAGTTTTTGGTCAGATTGAAAGGGTGAAGTCACTCTATATTCAAGTCTCAGAAGCAAGAAACTAAAGGTTTTTGGTTGTAAAAACAAAAAAAAAAAAAAAGAAAAAAAACCAAATTCGTGCGATGTCTGCAAATACTAACATGACAAAAGGAGCATTAAAGAAAAGAATTCCAGAAAGCCATGGGGTTAGAAAGATGAACCTAAAGGGAACGAGATTCTGCTGGTGTATAAAGATGTACGTAAATACTTTTCTTGTCTACTTAATTCTGTTTTACCATTTTAGACAGATTGTGTTTAAACTTGGATATTTCATCAAAATCCTTTTGGTTATCCAAAAGTGCAACAAGAGCTCTTTTCCTCATCCCTCAGTTGATCTTGACCGGAAGCAATAGTTACATCAATTTTTTCCAATTTTTAACGTAACGATCAGCTTATTTTTCTCGCCTTTACTAATGCAAATGTTGGGTAAAGTGTTTGTCTTTTCGTTAACTTTATGATGTAAACCAGCAAGAGTTGTGATACGTATTTATTAAGGTTTTCTTTTTTTTTGACAACGCGTTCATTACAGCTCTTAGGCTTGCGTCCTTAAAGGTTGGTCCTTTCCTCACATCTAGGATCCACCCCATCCATTTTTCAATTTACGGTATTACCAAAACTTATATTATTCCTTTGTGGAACATTGTTATATTCGGGAAAAACATCTAGCAGATCAATCATCCTAGTCAATTTGAGTTGCGCACCTTATATCCTTGTCCACCTTTTGTTTGCATCTAAAAGGATATTATCTTGAGTTATAATCCAATTCATTGTTTGAAGAAGTTATTTCAGCTAGGTATGGTTTATGTTTCAGATAAGCCTAATTGTAACTTCTAGTATTTGGGAAATTTTGGTTGCAAATGAGAACTAACTTGATGTCTCTAAGGTTTTCATTTATTACAAATGCATTTCCGGTTTCATAATTCAAAGCATTATATACTCCAGTACTGTATAGTGGCTCAACTTACAACTTTAGAAAGTTATGTGAACATTTTGGACGTTTACGCTGTTCTATTCGTAAAGTAAACGGGGACACATTAGCATTATAAAAAATGGTCGTGCGATATTACAAAACTGATTTTGGGTCGTGTCTACTCCAATATAGCGAAAAATTTATTTTCAATATTGGGAAACTTATATTGGATATCAAGGACTCATTAGAGAAGGACAAAACACATAACATAATAAACCTAATGTTGTCGTTCTGTGGTATATCACGAGCAGCTATACGCCTGGCCTCGTATGCAATCCGTAGCCCTTCCATTTTGGCATTTTCCTCCTCATTCTCCACCACAACTTTCAGATTCAATGAAACTATATCACAATCAGCTACTACTCCAGCACCATTCAAAGTTGACGTTTTCGATGAAGCATTTTTAGCCAGAGATACTGAGAAGCCACTTTTTTCTAGAAAAACCTATTTGCTTGATTACTACAAGTACTTGAACGAAACCAATGAAGTACTTTTAATTGTTCATCACAACAACTTGAACCATACTGAAGGAGTCAAGTTAAGAAGAGAAGTCGTTGCTGCTGGAGCCAAAATGCATATTGTTAAGGGATCCATGTATCGATTATATTTGAGATCTGCTCACGAAGTTGATCCAGCAGCCAAGGGAATGACTGAAAAGAACAGAGATGTGCAACACCCATTACTTCCATTATTCTCGGGTCCAACTGCCATTTTCTCCATTCCAGCTTGTGAGCCAAGTGTAATTGCTGCCCTTATGAAGGTTATTAATAAACATAAGGAAAAGTTATTCTTGGTTGGTGCTAAGGTCGAAACTCAAGCTATGAGTGCAGCCGAAGTAATGAACTTGAAGGACTTACCAAACAAGAAACAATTGCAAGAACAATTGGCTGGTTTATTGACTGTCCTTGGTGGTGCTGGGTTAGTCAGAACTTTGGAATCACCTGCTAATATGTTGTATTTGACTGTTCAACAAAGAGCTAAAGATCTTGATCCAGATGCCGAAAAGGAAGCCACTGAAGAAGTTGTTTCCAATTAATGTAAATAGAAACATAACCATTTGTATATAGACAAATATAGTAGTTTGTCAATGAAAATACATTCAATAATGTTGTATGGATTTTGTATGTTACTATCAGTAGTCATATAGTTAAAGCTTCGAAAAACAAAACCGCATCTCATCAAAATTTTTCAGACATACTCTTCCCAAATTGCAACAACCAGATACTACATCTTAGCCATGCCAAAACCTCCACAACCACCTTGTACTAAGGACAAGGAAACTCAACTACGTGAACAGCAAGAAGCAGAAATCAAAAGAAGAGCCTACAGAGAAAACAAGCAAAATGCAAGAAAGAAAGTCAAACACGCCCGATTTGAAGAACCTACCGACGTTAGTCCTGTTGACTTGCCAAGAAAGAGATTCTACCGTCAGCGAGCCCATTCTAATCCATTCTCCGATCATCGATTAGACTATCCAAACTCCCCTGATACCATGGACTGGTCGAAAATGTACCCAAACTTCTACGATTCAGAATTAGGTAAAATGACATCCAAAGTTGAAATCGCCGATATTGGATGCGGATATGGTGGGTTATTGACTCAATTAGGACCACTGTTCCCAGAATCCTTGGTTTTAGGTATGGAAATCAGAGTTCAAGTTACACAATATGTCGAAGACAGAATCATTGCTCTTCGAAACAAACATGCGCAAGATGACTACAAATATGATAATATTTCCGTGATTAGAGGAAATGCCATGAAGTTCTTGCCTAACTTCTTTTATAAGTCACAATTATCCAAGATGTTCTTTTGTTTCCCAGATCCTCATTTCAAACAAAGAAAACATAAGGCGAGAATCATTACCAATACCCTCTTGTCTGAATATGCATACGTTCTTAAAGAAGGTGGTGTGATATATACAATCACCGATGTTGAAGATTTGCATAATTGGATGGTTCAACATTTAGATGAACATCCTTTATTTGAAAGATTAAGTAAGGAATGGGAAGACCAAGACAAGTGTGTTGAAATCATGTATAATTCGACGGAGGAAGGTCAAAAGGTTACTCGTAATAAAGGCTCCAAGTGGGTAGCTTGCTACAGACGTTTACCTAATCCTGAAGAATGTGTATAGACAAGCCAGCATCAACACTCATAGAAATAGCACTATATCGGTGTAAGTCTAGGAACCTTTATGGGAGGTATGCTATGAGTCTACAATCCAAACATGTAACTGCAAGCATAGACGAAGTATATAAGATATAATGACAATAAATATATATACGGCTAGTACAAACTATAAATATACTTAGAGATTAAAGACAAAAAAAAAACCCTTATGAAACACAATCCCAAGTAAAGCCAGGCATCAATGAAAGACTAAACCCCAAAATCTTTCTTTACTTAGAAGTCTTCATTCGCACTCACCAAAACAAAACTTAAAAGGATTCAGCAGTCTTCTTAGCGTCATCGACGGCAGCATCTGCTTGTTCAATGATTTCATCAACAGTAGATTGGTTCAACTTGGTAGCTGGGACATCTGGGAACTTGGATGCACCAGTGGAAACACCAATTGGTTCGGCTTCAGAAACAGAAGAAGAAGGAGTTCCGAAAACACTATCGTTGGTGTCCTTGACAGTAGATCCGGCGGTTCTGGTGTGTAATTTGGATTTAACAAAGTCACCAAGTGGACCGGACTTCTTGATTAAAGTTTCAAGGTGAGGACCAACAGTCTTGTGGATTTCATTGCAAACTTCGGTAGATTTTTCCTTGATAATCTTGGTAAGATCAGCAATGGCTGCGTCGATTTCCTTCTTGTAAGTAGTGTAGATGAATGGAGCAGTAAATAACAAAATAACAGCAGCGACGACCAAGTTGAAAAGTGGGATCCAAGAAGTTAACTTGAAAGCAATGTATGAAACACCGGCAGCCTTTAAAGTAGATTCGATATCTTGAGCGTAAACAATTTTACGGAATCTTTCTTCCAAATTGACAGTGACAGTAGATAAATGTGGCAACACTTGTTCGTTGAATTTTTTGGCGCAAGATTGAGTGGCACTTGGCTTGTAAGCAGTGATGAGCCCCTTACCAGTGACTACCTTACTGACGTATTCAACAGCAGCAGATACCAATAATCCGATATAAGATAAATGGAAAAACAAGTTGATTAAATTGACGGTTTTGAACACAACTAAAGCAACGACAATGGATGCCAATACCTTACCGGTTTTGATTGGATTCTTCCAAGTAAGTAAATCACATGGACAAGCATTGCTGATTGGACAAGAGCCAGCAGTAGAAGTTGGAGCAGATGACATGATTGGTTGATATCAGTGTTTATAATGCTTGATTAAGTTGAATTAATATGAGTTGGATTCAAACAGAAAGAAGAATTGGATATAAATTCTGTGTGTGGTTACAGAGGCAATCGGTGGTAATATGACGACTTTTTTTTTTTCTACGTCGTTTCGCTGAAAAAAAAAAAATCTTTCTTAGCGTCAGGGGGGGCAAATAAAAAAAAAAAAAAAAGATAAATAAATAAATAAATATACTTGAAAAAATCATCAGCATAACTAAGGCGAAATGAGTAGAACTTAATCTTTGCATACAAAAAAAAATATCACAAGATAATTACGTAATAGATAAAAAGTAACTGCCGATGTCGCTTCAAGTCTTACGCACAATCATGTATAACTATATATTGACATGGATTTACTGCTACTCACAAACACTCCTTGGTAACCATCTGACGTTGAGTTCATCATAAAACAAGTGATGGTCTAGTCTGAGACCAGGGGTGCAAACATTCTCACTATGTGCATTCATCATTTCCTAATGGAGTAATTTTTGGTGCACAAGACAACTAACGAATTGACATATCAAAAACTCACAATGCTAAACTTTTCAATTTAGACAATTGATTGTAATATTCAATGATTTGTGTGGCATTCGTATTTGTTGATATCCTTTGTGACAACTTCTGATACTCTGTTATTGTTTCAACTCCGATTATTCGGTCTAAATCCTCTCGGTACAATTTTTTGTATTGCGCCACAATTTCTTCCGTAAATGCGTCGAGTGCTTCAGGTGTTTGTTTGCCTTGCTTGTACAACCGGAGACTTTTGTCTATGGGAAGTATAAAATTGATGAGAACGTGTTTCATAATGGCTGTATTGGTGAAATTGATTCGATACAACAATTCATCATGGAATAATTTACACTCGTATATCAATTGAGTGTAATTGTCTGGATACAGTTGTTTATTTTCTTCAAGGTAAGTTTGCCACAATTTACAATGTTTCAATTGTAAATTCAAGAACTTGATAACCTCTGTAGATAAATCATCCAATTTTTGCCTGATTTTAATCACAGTTCGTAACTGTTTATCTGAGTTAGTAAGTGACTCTTTTCGGTGAGGCACTTCTTCAACTTGATGCATTTGTTTAATTAACTGGGAAGTGCCCTTGGAATGAGGTTTTGCACACTCTTTAGGTTCTGGTTTTGCTGTTTTTGTTTCTAACTTTGAACTAGTCGTCTTCTGAGTTTTCTTTGCATGGTCATTGGGAGAGATCTTTCTGGTTGACTTTAGGTGATCCAGGTTTTGTCTAACATGCCCGTGACTGATGTTACCTTTGGTTCTGGAAGTTTCCAGGGTGGTTTGGCTTCTCTTGACCATCTTAGAAATCGACCTTTTGATAGTCTTGGATTTTTCTAATTCGTTATCCATACGTTTTGTTCCAATATCAGCAAGATCTAGTTTTACATCATGAGAACTGGATAAAGGACGTCCCATATAATCAGCAAACACACTATCTCTAGTTTTCTTGTAATTTGTGCAGAATCTCTCCTTTAACATTTCGTCGGCTTTGGTGATTTCCTGCCAATTGGTGATGGGATTCAGAACCTTTAGCTCGTCAACCATCTTGAACTGTTGACCAAACGAATTCAACTTCAATAAAATTGCACCTAATTCTTGATTTCCCTTATATTTCATCATACAATCATTTATAGTCTTGACGTATGATGGTAACGCATACCATATTTCTAAAGGTAATATCAACCATGTTCTTTGGCTTCTAACATAATCAATTATGAAACTCGATTTATAGTAATAACTCAAAAGATTCGTCTTAAATGTGTCCGTGAATAAAATTTTATCAAACAAGGTTGCAAAATTAGCTTTTTCCAAACTGTATTCAAAGTGAAAAACCAGATAGGTTGTTAATTCATTATCACCAATATTATCCCAGTTTCGAGAATTTCTACCTCCACTAACCTGTTTCAAAATGCCAATCACGAGACTTCTGTAACCTTTAAGAATTATATCAATATTATCCAAACAATGACGCTTGTATCTAATCCCATTCCACCATTCCTGATTTTTTGCAATACCAATCTTCACTTCTTTATAGATCTTAATTAAGTAGCTCAACAAATCAATGATACTCTCTTGCAATTTAAATTTCTTGTCGTCATAAGCATTGATTTGGGGTGATAACATAGGATATTGCTGTAACTTCACTGACAGTGATTGCGGTTGATTACAGGGATAACTTCTTGATCTTGGTGGGGGTGATGCTTCTACTAGTTTAATATTAATGAAGGAATCTAAAGAGTAAACTGTACTACCCTGATCTGAATATATTGATGTGGGACTATCTTCTGATGTGGGATATGGCAACGGTGGAGGTGACAATGCTGCAAGTGATGGTGAGAATGTCGCAACTGATATTTGAGGAACTTTTGGCATCTTTACTTCTGACACTGTTGCTGGCGGAGCCAGTGGTAGTTGTCCCATTGGTGGGAAAGGTAATGAAGGTAAGTTTGTGTTTTTGAGCCAAGCTGGGCAGTTAATATCATCTTGCGAGAAGTGTTTCTTATGTTTCTCCTTAAGTATGTGGATAGTATCTGCGTGCAACATATTTATAACTGTCTATATTCCATTCAAAGTAGATCTGTTTTTCTTAAAAAAAAAAACAACTGAATATATACCAAGAAATAAAAGTATTACTAGACGAAATGGAGTTGGAGAATATCTCCGAGGAAAGTTTTATCTTATAATTTAGCCTGTTTTATAATTACATGATAAACAAACTTAAGTAATTACGCGCGCTTTTTGTACCTCATTTGTTTATAATACTATTCAATGACAACTCCTGTCATTAATTATACATAATGAGCAATTTCATGTCTTGATAATGCAACAATGTCGCCTCAATTCATTGTTTTCGCCAAGTTCAATATGTGTTCCACGCTCGTTTCATGTGCAAATTTGTTTCACCGTTTACTGCGAAAATGCGACAAGAAAAAAATTAACCGAAAAAAGAATTTCATTGTCTTTCGTAAATAGGTACATGGTAGCGGCGGCACGAGTATAAAACCTACTCAACCTACTCAACCATAGTGATTGATTCATTTTCCATAACTCCTTTACCGAAATAATCAGTAACAAATTTAAACTTGTCATTACTATCATGTAGCGAAGATTCAAACGCGTCATAATTCTCTTTAGCTCGGAAATGTCCAGCCTTAACAGCCTTAACTTCATTCACATGACTAATACAAATTGGGCATTGTGGAACCTCACCCTTCCCATCAATCACCGGCTCATCATTACTTGCCACTAAATTCGTAGACAAACATTTCTGATGGAATGAATGACGACATTTGAAATGAATCACGGGGAAATCTAATTTCAATTCACACATCGAACATTTATTGTTCTGAATCACAAATGGTTTAGTCAACTCAGATAATTTAAATGAATTTTTGGTTGATTCTTGTTCATATTTCTCGATTAATTTCTCATTGTTGACAATTTCCTTGCTCTTTTCCTTAAAATGGTCAATCAAATATTGTTTCACTACCCCCAAAGTTATGAAATCATTTTCAGGTTGTTCTGTAATAACTTGCAAAACCTCGAGTGGATTCATTAGTTTATAATATTTAATTTTTTCAAGAATGTATTGAAAATCCTTTTGATTTACTCTTTCAAATATTGATTTCCTAGAAACAATAAACTTCAACATTAGTTTGTATAACTCGGGCTTTGAAGAACCATACTTGTTAAGAAGTTCCATGCAACCAGGTACATCTTCTGCAATTTGATAGTTTATAAACAAGCTTTCTTCCATTCCGGCTTCCTCCTTTGCAATCACTTCTCCTTGTTTGAAATTGTAAATATGACTGATCAATAATAATGATTTCTTATCAAGCAAGCTAGCATAGTGAGTGGTTAATGCTTCAGCTTTATCTATCCATTCCTTGGCCTTTGTTGTTTCATAAATAGAAAGATACATTTCTAACAATGTCAATAACGTTTCTCTCTTGTCAACTTCATTCCCTTGGAACTTATCAAATGCCTCAATGCAGGCTTCAAGGAAAATCAAAAACTCATTAGGATGGTTCATAAAACTGGAATATATTAAGTTTGGCCTAGGAGGCAAATATGTTGGTTCATCGCTCAAGTCATCCTCTTCTTGTTCTTGCTCATCGCTTCCACCTGATAAATAATTGACAAATGCTCGATAGTTAGTCAACTTGGCTACTCCTTCCGGTTCTTCTTTTTCACCACCTTTGTCCAACTCTATAGGTCCTTCTTCAGTATTCTGAGGCTTGTACTTACCAGTGAATACGTTAATCAAGAGCTCGGTTGTTTCAATAGGACATGAATCTAATAATTTCTTAGAGTGGTCAATTAGAATTAACAATAATTCGTCAATGGCCAAAGACTTCATATAACTCAATGCCAATTTAGGTTTTTTCAAATCATTCAATTGAATATCAACAATCAAACCTGGTTGCTCCAACTTGAATAATAGTTTGATAACTTGATGGAAATATCCACATTCTTTGAAAAGGTTAATAATCAATTCGAAATTCAAATCCTGTAAATTAGTAGTTGTAATCACCAAGCTTTCTATAAAGTCATCTAAACTTTCAACTTGTTTCAATTTGCAGAAACAACAAAGAAGCAAGGTAATATGGTCGATATTAGCTATTGACTTTTCGTATAGTTTCATCAAGAATCGAGTCAAGTTGGAAATATTGGTGGCCTCTTTGAATTTTGTAATTATATTCATAATGAAATCGTCTAAATCTTCTTCATCTTCTTCTACCACTTCTTGGTCATCTCCCTTCTGTTTGTCACCATTTAACTTTGCTTCGGGTTGGGTCTTTTCAAACAAATCGAGGCAATCAATAAATACATCAATTGACTCGTCATATCTTTGTGAATCATACAAGTAATCACCGTGTAATCTTTGAATTCGTAACAAAACCTTAGATGGTAAATTCAGCTGTTTGGCCAAATTGAAAGCAACTTGAAATAACTCTCTCTGTAAAACTAATTCAATTTGTTGATTTATTGGTTTTTCATGCAACTTATATAAAACTCCATCTCCTGATAATAAGTATAAATCCCCTGAAGATATAAATGCATAGTTTATAAGGCTGTTGGGTATGATTATATTGAAGGAAATATGCTTATTGACCAAATCTAGGATTATTATTCTGGTCATTAATGCTTTAGAAGTTACATCTTCATGTTGTGGACTGACTATTAGCAAATATGAAGATTTTGAACTGGACTTGGCACTCGAGTCGAACCTTATAATCTTCAGCTTTGCAATATCAAAATTTATCGATGATAAGCTTTGTAAATGATTATAATACCTGATTGAGCCAGGTAATCCAACAATCAAACTCTGAGTCGATTGATCCACAGCTGTACAATTCAAGTCTGCTCCTGTCTTCAGAGACAACACTCTTGCTGGCTTCCCGTGATTTCTTCCTGTTGTGGCAACTGTTAATATTTTTGATGTGGTTGTTATATACAATACTGCCTCTTTCTCATTGAACTGAATCCCGGTAATTGGATCATTGCTTTCATAAATAACTCGTTGCTTTGCTCCTCTATCACGTAGTAAATCACCCCGTATAAGTATAACTTTCCCATTTGTGTATCCAATGGCAAGGCATGTTAAATCATTGTTAAACACAAAGCAACTTATAGGAAACGAATTGTCTCCATTGCTCACTAGAACTTGTGTCTGGAACTTGAATTGAAATTCTGAATCATCTACATCTTGGAGATTTAATACCTTGTGAATATCCCATAATTTGATTATACTGGGTGCCCCTTGTTTTTCAGCCAAAGTGACAACCAAATTGTCGGAGTGGGCGAGTGGAGCAATAAAAGTAATTCTATAGTCGACATCGTATGCGGTGAATACTCCCAATGTAGTTAAGTCCTTGGGATTGATTATTTTCAATGTTGAATTGTTGATGGCAATGATCAAGTAGTTGGTGGTGGTTGCATTGATTGCACTTATGGTGGGATCTGAGTAAAGGGCATCACTAGTTTGATAGTTGGGATCTCGTATTGGAGTAAAGTCGAATAGCTGGAATTGTCTCCATGAAGATAGCAAGGAGGATATTGATGACATCTCTTGCCTTGTACGTTGTTGTTGTTGTTTGATGTTTCTATTTGATTAGGCAAGACTTACTAAAAAAAGAAGCAGCCCAGCAACTTTTGAAGGAGTACTTTTTTTAACTATGGAGAAAAAGTAATACAAAAAAAAATTCTATATTATTAAAAAGATCAACATAAATAAGATAGCTATACCAATTGTTGATGATACTTTGATCGCAGATGACAATGATCTCAATACGAACTGTCTATCAGGTACAACAACCCCAGTGTATGCATCAGGGACTTGAATACCAGAAGACGACGTGGTACCCTCGTCGTTCCAGGTACTGGTGAGATCCAGGTAATCTTCTCCATCAGTATTAATGTCGGTGTCCTCCTCCTCAGTTTCAGTTTCATCTATCAATGTTTCATAATGCCACTTTTCTGATGACGTTTCTGGTTCCGTTTCCGGTTCCGGTTCCGTTTCCACTGTATTTGCAGTAGTACTGTCCACTGACTTGTAGTCTGGGGTAGGTTCCATTGTCTGATCTTCTGAAGTAGTTCGCCTTGAAGTTATGTCCAGGGCAAATTGCTCTGTACTCAGGGGAAATTCTACGTTAGTAGTTCCCGTCTGTGATGGATAAAGTATAGACGATATCTGCAGTGCATTTAACTCGTTAGTCATTCCTGAGGAAAATACTTTACTGACACTTGTCTGAGCCCTTGAACGTGTCAGACCTAAACTTCTTGAATTCTCTGAGGCATCTATTAACCCAGTAGTTTGAACATTGGTAGGTTGATCATATTTAGTAGTTGTTGTAGCTTTACGGGGAGCGTGTACCAAAAGACTACTAACAATTGTGGTTCTAATTGTAATAGCCACAGTTGTGGTAAGTACCTTTGTTATTATCTTTTGATTAATTCTATTTGTCGTTTCAGTCTCTTCTATGACTTCTGAAGTAGGAGTTGGGGGTAAAATATTTGGAAGCGAGGTTGAAGTAACCCATGAAGAAGGTGGACCAACTGGTAGTATGGATAAGATTTCAGAAGGCGGGGGCTTGTGAATGGTGTGTGATGTTCTTTCTTCAGGTGGAAAAGTGGTGCTTGTACTCTCTGCAATATTGGTGGTGTCAATTTTCTTTGTAATATGGTCATGGTTATCTAACATGTGTGAAGAAGTTACAGATTCAGTGGTAAAATATATATCTTTCAATTCTTGTTCCTCTCTTGGATAGGTTGATATCGGAGTGGGATCAGATGCTGATGAGAAATCGAACAGGACCTGTACTCTGCTTTGAGAAATTGTAGCGTCTGTGTGGTTTGCTTCCTCGTCACTCTCGTAGTCAAAATCTTCATCTTCCTCTGAGTTATACAGGCCAGCTTCCAGTTCATCCAGTTCATCCCCCTCTTGCTGATTGATTATTACTGTAGAATTATTATGATTATTATTTGAATTGGCTTCTGCTTTGTTTCCAAGTGTAATAGACTCCCATGGATTCAATTGAACAGTACCAACATTTTCAGGAGCTGTTTGAAAATTCCTATCAACCTTTACAAAGCCTTCGAAGTCATAACCATCATCACTATCTTCGGGATCATCATCGGGACCGTCATCAAGAACGTCATCAAGACCGTCATCGAGACCGTCATCGAGACCGTCATCGAGACCGTCATCGAGACCGTCATCGAGACCGTCATCGAGACCGTCATCGAGACTGTCATCAAGACCATCATCAAGACCATCATCGTTACTCTCACCATTGCCACCATCATCACTATCACCATTATTGTCTTCTTCTTCAGTCAGATTATCTCCATCGCTAGCTTCATTGGTTTCATCTTTAACTGTTTTGTTCTTTCCATCCAATTCATCTAAATAATCATAAACAATGTCATCTTCATCATCTGAATCGTCATTCACAGCAATCTCAAAATCCGTATCAGAGTCAGAATCGGAATTATCTGAATCTGTTCCTTCACTAGAGCTACCATCGGAGCTAGAATCGTCTGTGTATTCAAAAACAGTCACATTTTGTCCATCGTTGAGTACAAATGATGAATTATGAGTGAGACCTTTGGAATTGTTGAATGCTATTAGTGATATCTGGTTGGCATTTTGACCATTACTTCTGGCGTTGGATAGTAGTAGGATATGGCTTGTGAAAAGAAGAAGGGAAGTTAGATAAACCATAATTCAATGACCTTTGTGTGTTGAGCTTACAAACATTTCAATTTTTTGCAATCACTTTTACCCGCTCTAGTAAAAAAAAAAAAAAAAAAAACATTTTTGATGGGTAATTTATGCATGTTCTGCACGTTCTGCACGCTCTGTACGTTCTGCACTTTCCGATTATCAGTAGTTCACAGCATAGGGTAAAGAACCCCAGTTCACAGAGAACTTTTTATTTATCTGGTACATGTGAACTTCAAATTGAGTTCTTTTGTGTAAAATTGCCATATTCTGACATATTGAAGAGCACTCTATAAACGGATATAGTTGAATGCACGAAGGTCGGAACAAAAATAAACCTCACGAGATGTGTCCTCGTTGATTTTTTTTTGTCTTATTTCTCTATGCTAAGCATCCTTGTGTACTCCCTATTAAAAGCCACCTTGTACAAATTTCTCATGAAATAAAGCCATGAGCAAATTCATGCGGCTTCATATTTGTCGATTATAGTAGAAAAGGCGGAGTATCGTCAACAAGCTGGACGTGGCATATAATTGAAGTTAAAATTTTTGGTTTCAAGAAAGAAAATATGCGTTGTTACGCTGGGGGCGTTAGAACTCCGAAATAAACGTGCTTGACAGCATCAAATTGTTAAGGCGAGTGAAGGAACAAAAAATCGTAATTCTCGTACGAGTTTCAACCTATGGGTAATCAACCGTTTCAGTGGGGCACGATGACGGGGTTAGTAAGCAGTAGGAAATCGAACTAAAAGGAACCTAAAGCATTTTATCAATTTTTATACTATTTTAGGTGGGGCACTTAACCTATTTGGTTCTTTTTTTCTACTTATCGGCATGGATACTGTGGGGAACTCGATTTTTCTTTTTCGACCAATCTGGATAAAATAGTGAGACTTTTTTTTCTGGAACGCCTAGAAATACAGGTTGTATTTTAGTGTTCCACGTTGAGTCATGCATGAATCTACAGGTCCGACTCGCCTCCGAAACAAGTTCATAGAAGTATGTTGCAGGTTTTAAACCTTTCCAGGCTAACCTTAATCATACTACGATTACGAAAGTCATATTGATTGTTTTTTTTTGGGACGTGAAAGTTAACATCCCGTGTTAAAAGACCCATTTATGGATAAAATGACAAGAAATCCGGTTGGTTTCGGACAATGAACGCGAAACGAACTAAGAGACGAAATGCCTTGCTGCTTAAAAATAGGTTATTGACGAATAAAATACAAAGAAATAGTAAAAATAATATGATAATGCAGAAAATGCACAAAGGGTTATTTTCTGTGCAGTTGACCGGTGGACCGGTTATTGATGGTTTTATTTTTCTCTTTTCTGGGTATTTTTTCAATCTAGTATATAAAACTTTAAATTCCAGTAAAGTTCTAAGAATATTGGCATACAAAGCCCCAGACTATTCATCTAGTTGCCGATTATTCTTTATCCACAACATTGGACTTAACTTATTACCATCAAACTTCCACTAGACATTCATTATTGTAATCCGGGTCAAAATTTAACTCAACGCCAGTAGAAAAAACGGCTGCAACATCAACCTAACTCTCTACCCCAATCGGTTTCAAAAAAATAATACAACATTACCTCACTATAGTCTAGACTTCATTTGACTTCCAATTATAGTTAATCTCAAGAGCTAAATAACGACCCAAGAACTTTCACCTTCCAAAGAACGCCCATCTCCATACCAACCCTGACCACATTATGTTATCGCAGCTGGCCCGCGACAAACGTTCAAATAAAACAAGTTTACTTACTTCATACATATTCGATGAAAACGCCATAATACCACGGTCTTGCCTTGGAATACCATCTTCAACATTATCAAAATTTAGCATAACCACAGCCCCGGGAGTAAATGCAAGCAACGCTTCATCGTCGGCATCAGTAGATTCAATACTTTCAAGCATGCCACTTAATCCCATGTTGTCTTCCAAATCTAGCTCCGTTTCAGGAATGACCTTGCTGGAAGACTTGGAACATCTAAAACTCAACGAAAATGACACCTTTGAATTCAATAAGCACCGGTCAGCTTCGCTTTCTTCAAACGTTAGTATTCCAAGTCGTGAACAATCATGGTTTACTAGATTTAATTTCAAATTACGTCAAAAGGGAAAAAACGTATATGTCATTGAACGCATTTCAGATTTGAAATTATTGTTTGAATTTTACTATAAACATCGAAATAGATTTAATTTTAATTATTCAGAACTGTTGTTTCCTTATTTGCATGGGTTGAATAATTCTAATCAGTGTTCATACTTTTTAGATGAAGTTCAATTAAAAGATATTCATCACCAATTATCCAATTTACAATTGAACAATGTTATGTTTCTCAGGAGTGACAATAAGAAGACCAATATACCTAATCTTCTAAATACAGTAGATATAAAAGAATTGTTGACTAAGGAAGGTAGTTATTGTTCACTTGATTATGACCATACTCTGCCAGAAAATGAAGGAGAATTGAATTGCCGCAACTTCAACAAGCAAATCAAATTGATGGCACCATTGTCCCATTTTGTGCTTTATAATTACAACAACACCTGTAATGATGAGACCATGAGAATTCTTCGGCAAATCATACCTTCTGATAGATTCATTTACTCGATTGAAATTGATTACTGGTGGATGGAAATTGATTCCTCATACTTTGATAATGAATATGATGAGCTTAAAATGTACAACAATTCAATGACAAACGAAATAAGCTTTTCTGAGGAGAAGTATGTTCTGCATGACGAAATTTATGATTGCAAATTCCATAAATATGAGCAAAATTTAATATGGAGATTAAACTCAAGAAAATGGATTCTTAACGACCGGGTATGTGTAGGGAATATTCTTGATTTCAATAACCTTCGTTTAGAAACTCGAGAGTTCAAGTTGATTATAAATTGTCACCAGGATGCCAAATTACCTACGCTTGAATTGCTTGAATCAATTTGGGACAATTTCTCGTTAGAAAATTCCCAGGGATCGGTATTCTACTTGGACTTCCCTGCTTCTGGAAGCTTTGATCCTCTAAGAATTACCAACGACGAGTTAAATATAATTTTGAATGTCCTCAAACTAATTGAGAAGATTAGCAGACAAAACAAGATATTTGTATTCTCCTATGATGGTTTTACTGGTTCTTCACTTTTAACCATCTGTATTACCATGCTTTTGGCAAGGAAGACAGTGGAAGAAGCAATCATCTATCTTGTCCAATCCCCAGCAAAGATATACTTTTTCAAAGGAGATATGTCATACCTTTCTCGATTTGAGCGGTTTGTTGATTATTTAAACAAGCATTTAATATCTGAGTTCCCCAATATTATACCTCCAGACTCCTTAAACTTTCTGGCTATTAATAGGTATTACCATATGCACCCTATTATAAAACCTCAGCCGTATGATTGGTTCAAACTCAATCAAGATAACAATTTCCCTTCAAGAGTATCGCCAGGGGTTTATTTAGGTTCCCTCAATCATGCCAACTCAAGAACTATCCTTAGATCATTGAAAATATCTCATATGGTTTCCATTGGAGAATGTCCAGCGTGGTGGGCTGACCTTGACCAATACATAACTTTTGATTTTGAGAATGTATCGACTTCAAAGCATGTTTTAACTCCTATTTTCACGTTCAATGAAAACTGTCAAGTATACGATGTAGATTTGTCACAATATTCCATTCCACCAAGAATTGTTCCGGGTCTGGTGAAGTCCTTAGTCTACATTCACAACTTCAATGATGATGGACGCGACTCTATTCTTCCATTGCTACTTGATGCGCCCACCTATATCCAGGAGAAGATTCTTCTTGGATCCAACAAAAACACATTCCAAGCTAATGAAATCACATTGGTTCATTGTAAGATTGGTGCGTCTCGATCAGCTTCACTTGTACTTGCATCTCTTATGAAACAACATCGAATCAATTTGGTGCAAGCATATTTGGCATTACGTGTTCTTCGATTCAATATCATAATCCAACCCAATTTGAAATTGTTTTATGATTTGTATTTGTATCAATCTTACTTGGGAGTAGATGAACAGGATAATGATTGCAAAATATGGAATTGGGAGTGTCTATGCAAGGAAGTTCAGTTATTGAATGATAACTATTTATAATTTTTTAATTCTTGATTTTATATTCTTATTAATTTATTATATAGAGTTTAGAGCAATAATAATACTTTGTCTATGATATGTCTTGCCTGTAATGTAAAAAAAAACACTTGGACATATGTTAGTTGGTAATGGTAGCAACAAAAAAAAATAAAAAAAATAATGCCTCCTGCCAGAATTGAACTAGCGACCTTTGCATTACAAGTGCAACGCTCTACCACTAAGCTAAGGAGGCTAATTTTCAAAATTTTGAAAGTGAAATCCAGTCCGGAAGAGTATGTTGTAAATCACGTGATTGGATATAAACTATGCAATAAGTTAGCCAATTTTGAATTATATGGATAAAAACTTGCATTTGGGTGTTTTCGAAAAGTGTTATTAGTGCTTTGTGTAGACAAAGATGTTGATTATTGAGTTTTTTTCAAGTTTAATGAAGGGAATTGATTTCTGCATTATTTTGCAATAACTTTACACAAATCTCCGAGTGACACCCCAATTACAATTTGAATTTAATAAATAAAATTAACAAATTATAGTCATCAAAAGAGATAAGCGTAATTCACCGCCAATTTAAACATTTCCAAGCATCACTGTCCAAAAAGACCATCAGAGTAAGCGCACAAGCTCCAAATTGCAAGTCACGTGACAAACCGGAATTAAATAATCTCGTTTTGTTTCTGAGCCGAATTTTTTCTTTGGAAATTGGTTTTATTCCAATACCCTTGTCTTCTTTCTTCAATTGCCAACATAATGTCTAGAAATTCAGTGAAAAAGGTAGTTGGAGCCAGTATGCATTCATTTTAATACTCCCCTCCCCCTTGAAATTATACTAACATCTTTGGAACAGTCCAGAAATTCTATCCAATTTCTTTAGCAGACAAGACATGGGACAATACCGGACTATTAGTTGATTCCAGCTACGAAGATTCCGAAGCCATCAGCACCCCAATTAAAGTTTTGTTGACCATTGACTTGACACAAGCGGTTGCAGATGAAGCAATTTTGAAAAGAGCCAATTTCATCATGGCATACCACCCATTTATTTTCCGAGGATTAAAATCAATCACTCCTGCGGATCCACAACAACGATCTCTTATTAAGTTAATCCAGAACAGAATCAGTGTATACTCTCCTCATACAGCTGTTGACAGTCAACGCGGTGGTGTCAACGATTTCCTCGTGAAGGGCATCACTCAAGGTTTCCACGTTGAGTCTTCGGTTCCTATCGAACAGGATGCTGTTGAGACTGATTGTGGAATGGGAAGATTAGTCGCATTAACTGACCATGCAAACTTGGGTGATTTGATTGCAAATGTTAAATCTAGCTTAGGATTGACTCATATTCAAGTTGCCCTGGCCAGCGACAATCACCAAGTCAAAACTATTGCTGTGTGCGCAGGTTCTGGAGGTGGTGTGTTTAAAGGTATTAAAGCGGATTTATATTATACTGGTGAGTTGTCTCATCATGAGGCTCTTTATTTTAAAGAAAGTGGTTCCTCTGTTATTTGCTGTAACCATTCAAATACCGAAAGAGCATTTTTGAAAGTGATTAAACAACAGTTGATTGAAGAACTCGGAGAAGACAATGTTGACGTTATTATTAGTGAGACCGACAAAGATCCATTTAAAGTTGTATAAACTGTGTATCAACCTATAGTAGCTTTTATGAAAAAGATTGAGCCGCACAAGCAACATTTATTTTTTGCGGGGTTCTAGAACCGGCGGCGCGCTTCTATTGTTTGTTCACGATCATCAAGATTGTAACTTACAACCACTTCTTACCTCCCCCCCCCTGTACTCAAACACACGACCAATGGTGTTGCCCTCACTATCACATCCAAGCCTTCGAATAGTCCAGGCAGATGGACCTACTCCTTCGTTTAATGTAAAGTCAACTATTGTTCCATGTAAGGGCACCGACTATGTGTTTCTATATGGAGGTTTCGATGAGCTGGATGCGTTGGACAGCAACGTATATTTACTAAACCTCAAGACCATGACGTGGGAGATCGATGATAAGGTAGAAGGGTTATACCGAGAGGGCCACCTGGCAATATATATCGGCAATGGGAACATCCTCATCTTCGGTGGATTGCCTTATGATGACGAGATACCCACTACTGACACCAGAACAAGAGGCGCTCGAGCAAGAGGAGAGATATCCGAGAGTGCATCATTCAGAAAAGACAATCTCATGATGATCTATAATATCTTTGACCGGAAATGGATTGGTCCTCCTGACTTTGCTCTTGAGAATGCCCCTAGCTATCGATCAAGACATGCATGTTGTCTATCAGCTGATGGATCAAAATTATATATTAGTGGTGGCCTAGTAAGATCAGTTCCATTGGACGACTTGTATTGCTACGATTTGATTCTGGGCGTGTGGTCGGGGCCCATCCAGTTTGTATCTCGATTTGATCATACCATGATGATATATCAAGATCGAATTTTCTTATTTGGGGGTTTAGATAAGGATATGAATAATGTTAGAACAATCACATATTATTCTTTCAAGACTAGAACCATAGGCGAAATCAACATTCTACAAAGATTGGACTATTTCCCATTTGATACGGGCGGAAACGAGGTTGAAGATGAAGAAGAGCATGGACTTAGCTCAAGCCCAGCCACACCAGCAACAAGAAGTAAGATTGATTGTGATAGAATATACCTCGATTCAGGAATAAATCCAGCATTAAGCTTGTTGGTATGTTTACCCACATGGGATAACAATGTTGGCGATATCAATATATCTTATTTTGATCTTGATGATTTTGAATCGCAGAATTTATTCAATACCAACAATTTGATTGCATATTTTAATAGATTAGGAGAAACCCATGATATTACCGATTTCTTATGGAAAACTGCGTGCATTAACAGCGAAGGGAAGTTATACCTCTTGGGAAATAAACGAGAACACGAGAAACACCCCAGTAATATCACCAGTGACTTAACTCATGACACTATGGAGGAATCAGAAGATGAAGAAACTGGCGAGGTTGACGTTGACGACGAATACGATGAAAGTCGTCTTAACAAGTTACGATGCATCTTGGAAATCAATCTTTGCGATTTCGGAATACCTTCCTATGAATCAGTCATGGCCAGAAAGCTTAGTCTTGGCAATGGCGGCCTTGCCAATTCCTTTCATAATTTATTAGTTCAACAAGCATACACTGACTTTGAAATCATTGCCCTTGCCCATGAAGGCGATCGAGGAAAGTATCAAAATGGTGCCATGTCAAGCATGAGTTCTAAGGACACCACCAGCTTCAAAGCCATTCAAGTTCATAAGTCTATATTACTTGCTCGCTGGCCTCATTTTGTAAGACTAATGTCTGTGGGGATGACCGAAACCATCGAGAACAAAATGTTTATTCCAGAACCATTCCATTGGATCAAGGGGTTGATTTACTACTTGTATGTGGGAACAATTGAGTTTGATGCAAAGTTCATGGGTGCAGACGGTGAATTCAATATTGTTGATTATTCAGGATTATTAACCCTAGCTAATCTTTATGAATTATCCGAGTTGCGTACACTTGTATTGAACCGATTATTTAAAATGTTTGAAAGATTCCAATATTATGAATTCCTGGATGGTGACCCAGTAGCAATTGCAATTTTGTTGAAACTATGGAAAGATTTATCGTACTCGGGTGAATCGGTATTTATTATCAAAGTAATTGATTTGATAAAGAAGAGCTGGACAAGTATTACGAGGTCTACCACATTCCTATCCATGTCCAAAGAGGAAATAGTGAAATTATGTCAAGATTCTACTGATGTTCACCATCATCATACTCCTCCTAACGGTAACACCAGAAAGGCAGCAATTGCAATGATTCCAAGCCCTCAACAAAGTACTTATGAGCTTGAACAAGTTGCAGTTCCTGATACACCTACAAGAAGTACAAATTCTCCATTCGTACTTGATTCGCCAGTACGCCAGCCCAGCCTTTCTAGTTTGCCTCAGTTACCTGAGTAAAATGTGTATTTATTATCACATAAGCTTAGTCATCACCAAATATACCATCTAGCAAATCGTCAACTTTTTCTCCAACATATTCTATCCCATCCTCTATATCATCCAAGACATGTCCTACAATGTTACTCAATCCACCTTTTGATGTTGTAGTAGTTTCAGCTCCTTTAGTACTAGTTGTACCTGTAGTTGTTTCAAAATCACTTGGTTTAGGTAAATCTGCGGTAGTCAAAGAGCTAATAGTAGACTCCTCAGACTTCATTGATTCCAAAGGATGATCGTTTGTACTTACTGGTACTGTTCCCTTATGATTCTTTCTCCATAACAAATCGTACGTTGCATTATTACCCACTATATGGTCAACATCATAAGGTAAATCAGGGAAGATCAAATCATCAGACCAATCATGAGGCAAGGAATTCTGCATGACATGACGAGGGTTAGTCCCATTGTTAGGAGAGGGAATGATGTTTAAACTATCACAGATCAAATTGTATACTTCTGTGTTGGCAAATGGTTTAACTTTGCCTGATTCAGGGCGAATCAGTCTAAAGTATGGACCAGAACCTAAGAAAATAGCCCGCATCAACAAATGAGTGTTATTGTATCCATGGACCCCACGAGGTTTGTATTCATTGCCATAGTCTTTCATTTGTTGGTGGGTAGTAACGGAGTAACCAACTTCAGGTATGATCCAAATTGGTGCAAGTCTATAATTGAACCTGTGGTCTTCTAATTGTCCTCCAAATTGCCATTCTTTAGGAAGATCTTCTACTTTATATACATGATAATTGGAAGTGACGTTATCACCTTGTTTGGCCAAATTTGCAGTTAACTCGTTATAAATTTCATCAGCTGAATCATGTGGACGTAATCCAAATAATGGCCATCCGTCAATATGATCAATCTTGGATAAGTCAATTAAATCATCAAGATAAAGTAGACGCTCATTTGAAGTTTGGGCCATCCCGTGGTCACTAACAATGATCATATTAGCAATATTATCCAAGTTACGCGCGTGTAATTCCCTTTGCATCAAATCAATGAAATTATCCACATAAGTAAGGGCATCTGTTAAATTAGAACCCAGAATTCCAAACTTGTGACCATATTGGTCGATAGTAGGAACATATGTTAATATCAATTCAGGACGGGAATCAATCTCCTTATCTATCCACTCCATAACTCGATCCACTTTCAGAACTAACAATTCTGACCCGTTATATCTATCAAATTCGCCCTTGGGACCGACGCCATCAGGTACTTCCGACCCAGGCCACATGTGCACTGCGGTAGTCAAATTTTGACGCTCGGCAGTGTTCCAAATTGGCTCACCGCCTCTCCAGAAATCAGGATCCAACCCACCCATTTTAGGATTGGTATTCACAAAAGGTTTGTTTAATTTGGGATCAAAGAATGTATTACCCACAATACCATGTTCTGAAGGATACAACCCTGTTACTAGGGTCCAATGGTTTGGGAATGTCAGGGATGGGAAACTTGGTGTCATATATGGAGGACCATATTCATCGACAAGGATGTTATGCATGGTAGGTGTATCCTTGGCGTTAATATAGTGGGGGTGGAACCCGTCAAGAGATATGACAATTGTGGTTGGGTAAAAGTCATGGGTAGAATTAGAAAGGAGTCGTTTACCCAGTCCCGAGTATATAATTGTATCACCGCCTCTGGTAGATTTAAACAAGAACAACGTAGTTGCCATGATCATCATGAGTAAAACCACGCCGACTACGGTTCTCGTCTTTAATTTATTCTCAAGCAATTTCACTCTATAGTCGCGTATATTGATTGGTTCTTCGTTATCTGAATCTGGAGTGGAAGGGTCGTTATCAGTATCAAGCTCAAAACTATCGTCATTCCTAGACAGTACCATTTCATAATAGTTGCTTCTATTGCTGTCACTAGATCTTGTGAATAGAGCTTTGAATTTTGTGAACATTGACTTGTTTTCCTTAGGATCAACTTCGTAATCTAGGCTGTCCAAAAACGTATCTTCTTGGTCAGTATTGATGATAGGCTGGGAAGAATCAGGAAAGATTATATCATCTTCTGGATCATCCATATCTGTGATTGGTACATCTACAGGATGAGGTGTCTGGTTGTTGTCTGACATGATGTTTTTGCTTTGTTCATACACCAGTTAAACGTGGTGGCTGTCTGGTGTATTTGCCAAATTTAAATTTTTCTTTCTTTTTTTCCTGTTGCTATTGTTCTGCGCGGTTTATCTTACTGCAAAAAAAGGTTAAGATAACCACAGGGGTAGGAGGGAGTAGAGAGTCATCATCATAAACAGCTTACACCTATCAGTTTAACCAAATATTTCTATTGACTTTCTTATATACATCAAATATACAAAGTTTTTAATGAAGAACTAAAATCGTATGCTCACATGCAAATCATCTATGTAAATTTTTTTTTTTGTTTAACCCATTTAGAAAACGTCACCTTGGTCGAACATAGCATCGGCAACCTTGATGAAACCAGCAATGTTAGCACCCTTTAATAAAGATGGTAAAGTACCTTCGGTCTTTTCGGTAGAGTACTTGATAGCGGTTTGGTAACAGTTGTCGAAACAAGTGTACATGATGTCCTTCAACTTAGCGTCAACTTCTTCGTTGGTCCATTGGACTCTGGCAGAGTTTTGGGCCATTTCTAAACCAGAGACAGCAACACCACCACAGTTGGCAGCCTTACCTGGAGCATACCAGACACCGCTGGCTCTGTTGGCTTCGAAAACTTCAATAGCTTCCTTGGTGGAACCCATATTGGAACCTTCAGCAATGAACTTACAACCAGCTTCAACTAAAGCCTTGGCTTCGTCACCAGAAACTTCGTTTTGAGTGGCAGATGGCAAAGCAACATCAACTTGACCAACCTTGGTCCATGGACGAACACCAGCCAAGTATTCAACAGAGTTTTCACCAGAGAAAACAGAGGCAGATTCAGCAATGATTTCTTCCAAAGACTTGAATTGGATCTTGGCAGCAGCAATAGCAGCAACTTGTTCCTTGGTAATACCATTCTTGGAAATGATGGCACCCTTGGAGTCAGAAAGAGAAACAACAGTACCACCTAATTCGATAACCTTCAAGGCAGCGTATTGAGCAACATTACCGGAACCGGAAATGGCAACTCTCTTACCAGCAAAGGTTTCCTTACCGTTGGTAGCCTTTTCAATCATCTTTTCGACGTAGTAGACACAACCGTAACCGGTAGCTTCTGGTCTGATTAAAGAACCACCCCAGGACAAACCCTTACCGGTCAAGACACCAGCCCAGTGGTTTCTCATTTGCTTGTAAGCACCGAAAAGGAAACCGATTTCACGACCACCAACACCGATATCACCAGCTGGAACATCAGTGTCTGGACCAATGTGTCTAGCCAATTGTCTCATGAAGGCAACACAGAATCTTCTGATTTCAGAGTCAGTTCTACCCTTTGGGTTGAAGTCGGAACCACCTTTACCACCACCCATGGATAATCCGGTTAAAGCATTCTTGAAGATTTGTTCGAAACCCAAGAACTTTAAGATGGACAAGTTAACAGATGGGTGGAAACGTAAACCACCCTTGTATGGACCTAAGGCAGAGTTGAATTGAACTCTGTAACCGTTGTTGACTTCGATTTCACCCTTGTCGTTTTCCCAAGCAACTCTGAATTGGATAACTCTTTCTGGGACAGAAGCAACTGGAATAACCTTCTTATATTTTGGTTGTTCAGTGAACAAAGTAGAGTCTTCAACAGCAGAGACTAATTCATCGTAAGCTTGTTGGAATTCAGGTTCGTAAGGTAAGACCATTTTGTATATATAATTTAAAATAAAGATTTGATAGAGAAAGAAAGAAAGAAGAAAAGAGAAAAAGCAAGAAAGCTAAAAAAAAATTTGAACGAGATTTATCTGGGATATTTATATGGCGAAAAGTTTGAACCCTTGTCTGTGGGTGTTGTCGATAGTTTATGAACAGATTTTGTATTTCCGATGTATATATAAAAAAAAAAAAATTAGTAAATATTTTTTATGCAGATCGTTTCTTTTCAAGGTAGTAAAAATGAATCATCAATAAATTTTACTAACAAATTCAGTTTTGTGTTACCGATAAGCGTACTAAAATCGTCCAGTAAAATCAAGTTGATGATTTTTTCTTTTAAGTCAACGCAAAAAAATTGTGCGTTTCCTGCATGAACTACAAACCACTTGTGACCAAACTTCCTTTAAACTTTAGAGTTTTGGGGAAGGGAAGATACTACAATTTTGAATCCATTACGTCATTACTATTACATTTACTCTACTTCTTATGTAGCTTTTACTTTCAGTCTATTGAGTTCACAGAATAGTGTTAGAGGTAGACACGATAGTGTATAATTGGAGTTTAATTGAAAAAAAAGAAATCCTAGCCGATATAGTCAATTTTTTTTTTGACGCTGCCGGCTTCGGCTTGTAATACCGGAGAAATACAAAGCAAGATGTATTAAAAAGAAAAAAAGAAATCTGATTTTTTTTTTTAGTTTCTTGTCGCACCATAGTTATTGCCACGTCTCTAACGTAATGTTACACTAAAAATCTTGGTTAGACCAGTTGACAATTCAAACCGGTTTTGTCCGACATGGTGGAAACAAGAAAAGTGCCTTCTATATTGTAAAATTCTTCCAACACGGGAAATCTTATTTGATATACATCCCATCACCGATAATAACCTTATATCAAATGCTTACTTCGAGCTTTTTACGCTATCACTAGCGCATTTTTTATTGCAATTTTGATAACGACCAATATTGGAGATCCCCCTCCGCCACCCCCACTTGTGACTAAAGGCAAGTTGTCAAGGTGTCTCTCGAGGCTTGACAATGGACGAAAAATGCGCCGTTTCCGGTGTTCTACCAGTATACCCAATAATTTTGACTCTTGTTAACAATCAATCGCAATCAAACTGTCAATTGTCAATCGCGAGCTCCTATTGGACGAAGATAAAGAGAATATGCAGGTCTGGTTAAATTTCCGTTTATGTGTTTTCCGTTTTTTTTTCTTTTTTAATTTTTTACTTTTTCTTTTCAATGTTGACTCTTGCGCAAAATCTCGGAGTAAACAAAAAAGAATTCTTGGTTGAAAAAAAAAAAAATCAAGATTCTCCTCCTATTTGTCCGATTAAGTTTTAGACCGCAAATTGAATCATAAATGCCAAATGGGCCCCGCATGGATTTATGACACCATGCTAAGTTAGATAAGACTAAAAAGCTTAAATTCTACTCCGAGACCGGATCCTGTCTGATTTTTTTAGCCTTATCAAAATATTTCCCACTTCAAGGAACAGGCAATACATGTGATAATTTGGAATAACCCCCTCACTCCTCTGTCCAAACCCCTTTCTTTTGTTTTACTTGTTGCAAAAATGTGGGAATTTTCCTAATTAATGCAAATGGATGCAAAAAATCAAGACAATGGATTTATTGCACGGATTTCACGTAACCCCACTTTAACGAGCCAATTGAAGACTTCGAGGTGTTGATTACAACGGTTTTCGTGCATAATCCATTGTCCAAACTTTCCATTCGCTTCTATCATTTTCTCTTGGCTCCTATCAATGTGGTATTCGTAAAAGTGCCGGGGTCTAGTTTGAGGAACTCTTGTGATGTGGGCAATAGTAATTTTGTTGGAACCGTTATTTCTGCTAATACACTAATTGCTAATTGGAGAATAACAGCATGAAACGAAAGCATAATCACTCTTCAGAACATATCTCTCCCCTGTAATCAATCATAATAAAGTAGCCACATGGAGATATATAATTGTACACCTTTAAATACTAGTATGCATACCAGACTTTTTCACTCTATTCCCAATTTTTTGAGTCTTTCTATTATACAATTTGACTTTGTTCTTGTTCTACATCATGTGGGATAGAGTCAATGTGGTAATTGCTGGAAGGAGCATGCGAAATATTTATCTTTATTGTAGCATCTGCAATGCTGCTGTACCTTCAATTGATACTTTGCTTAAAAGCTATGATATGTAGTTTTCGATATACACGATTAGATAGACAAAATAAGACGCTCTTACGATTGATTTGGTCAGAGCGCTGAATACTTGACTAAGTATACAGGTAAAAAAACCAACATAGTCGTATAGGCAGCCTACAACCTTAGGTTAATCAGCCGATAGAAATCGCGAGGTTCACTTCCGGTAGAAACCGTAAGTGAACCTACAACTGTGGGTTGGTAAGCCTACTAAAATAATTGACCCCAAACCAGTCACCTACAATTTTGGCTCTTACATCGTCGATATATAATCATTATCAGCTTTGTTTGTATGCTGTTTAAGTGAAAACTATTTGCTTTTTACCTTGATTTTGATTGATACTCAGGAGTAATGAGTACACAGAATTGTTTTGATACGAATGTGAGTTCTTCAACGAAAAACCGAATATTCCATCAAAAATTCGTAGGTTCACCAGCCCACAAAATGTATAAGTATACGTTTGTCAGCCTACAATTGCAGATTTGAGTGCCTGCAAAATCATAGGATAGTTACAATCTCGCAAGAAGAGAGAGATAGAGGTGCAACTAACATAAATTAATACCGAGAACCCAATTCTCATTCCAAAAAACTATTTATAACTGGTTGATACAAATATTCACGGCATCTATTCCCACCTCAACGAGCAACTAACTGCTGAGTTCCCTAAACTTAATACATCACCAGGATAGCGAGATTCCATGGTAGGATAAGCATCATTATGAATATACGTGGTTGAAATAAGAGTATTCATCTAGAGTACTGAATATCCAAATGTTTTTCTGTGAGGGCCGAACCTACTACCATTTTTACTTGCAGAAAAATCGAGCATCAAGCTGATATATTACATGTTTGGGATCCCTCATAAGGGATCACACTAGAAACCCGAATCGGATCTTTCAATTCGGATATGAAAGCACATTTCACTCAATATATGAGTTACAATGGTCTGATTGGTCAAGTAAAATATACCTTTCGATGTTGAAAAAGTATAAAATTAATCTTGGCATCAAAATTATCTGATTAATCTTCCCGTATATTTTTGAATTTAGGCCAATTTTAATTTTGGTTGTAAGTCCAATTTCAATTCGGTCAGAAATAGAGGAGTCAAAAGCTAAACAAATGTATCTTCTACTCAACTGGTTCGCGTAGTACAATCTCAACAATATACGAAAGATTAGTGTTATGCTGTTTTCTCTAGCAAGCGAAAGCTGCTCATTACTCGTATGATTCTTGGCTCAACTCCTCTAAGAATTTTCTTTTAAATTTTATGACAATGAAATACAAAGGAGATAGAATATTAAGTTGTGAAAGGAGCATCATATTGCAGATGCATACAGCCGATTCGAGCAATAATGAACACAAAACTGCGTTCGCGATTCGAAAATATTATCTACGAGATTCGAAGTAGCTGTACTTGAATTGGGAGGGGGTAGAATAGTTTAGATGTTATAAAGTGCTTCATCAAGTGATTGGTGTGAATTCTAATTAGTTATAGTGTTGGAGCTGAAATTGATTGTTGGGAATGCTGAAAACACTTTTAAATATGCCAACATTTTTTTGACTTCAGAGGGGTCCTCTTTTGGGTGCAAAAAAATTTTTTTTTTTTTACAAAAGCCAAGATTAAGTTTTACGTTTATAATTTCAATTGCGAGATTCGTTTATTGAAATCTTGGAAAGGATATGATTGGATTGAATTAGCTGTTTGAAGCCCGAAATTCTAAAAGAATGATTTTATCACCCGATCTCCTTCAATTGGTATATAATGTGAAGAATTTCCTGTTTAGTTGACCAGTTTATTCTTTCGCTGTAACATAACAACGATGAAATCTTCTGCTCTCGCTTTATTGATAATTTCAATCGCTTACGGGGTTCAAGGTGATGAAATCACACGAGTACCTCGTGCTGCTGAAACAGAAAACACTTCTAGTACTTTACCTACAGTAGTTAAGACAGCTACTATCAACGGGTTTGCTGATAAGATTTATGACGATTTGCCTGAATGTGCTAAAGCATGCGTGGTTCAAGATGTCGGGAGGTGCCCATATTGGGATACTGGGTGTTTATGTGTCATGGGTACTTTTGCCAACCCTGTTGCTAATTGTTTTGCTGATGAGTGTAAGGGTCAAGATGTTGTTTCTGTTACATCCTTGGCATTTTCTCTTTGCTCATCTGCAGGTGCTACATGGAATCTTCCAGCTACTATCGCAGAACGTTTAGATGCGGCAGCTACAGTGGAACCAGAAATCACCAATGTTCCTGATTCTTCCCTGACCAATAATCCATATAGTACTTTCCCATCAGTAGTCAAGACAGCCACCATCAATGGTTTTGCTGATAAGATATATGATGATTTACCTGAATGTGCGAAGCCTTGTATGACTCAAGATGTTGGAAGATGTCCATATTGGGATACTGGATGTTTATGTGTTATGGGAACCTTTGCCAATCCTTTAGCAGACTGTGTTGCTGATGAATGTAAGGGTAAAGATGTGGTGACTGCTACTTCATTAGCTTATTCTGTTTGTTCTGCTGCTGGAGTTTGGGAACCTTACTGGATAATCCCAACTTCCATCATTGAACGTTTAGATGCTGCAGCTACTGAAGAAGTTGAAGAAGTCATAACTACTGAGGTAACAATAATAACTACCGAAACTAGTGAGGGGCCCAAAGAAATTTCCGCTTCTAGTGCAGAACCAGCAGAAACAAGTTTTGATAGCATATTTTCAGAAGAGACAGGAGCTAGTAGTGAAAATCTAGAAGAGACAGGAGCTAGTGAAAATCCAGAAGAGATAGGAGCTACTAGTGAAACTTCAAAAGAGACAGGAGCTACTAGTGAAACTCCAAAAGAGATAAATACATCCACCGAAGAATCAGAAGATACAGATAAATCCACTAAAGAACCAGAAGATTCAACTGCATCTAGCAAAACTCATGAAGAGGATGTAACCACTGGACAAAGCACCGACCAAGTGGAAACAAAAGAACCTACATGGAATTCTACTTCCACCAAGACCATATTCAAGACAACAACAAATATAATTGAAGACTGTCAAACTAGTCTTCCATGCATTACTTCGATAATTACTTCATGTGAAGAGGAAATCAAATCCCTTGAGCTGATTCAATCCAGCGCTTCAAAAGCTCAAAATAGGGAGATTATTTCAAGTTGCGTGGATGCAAAATCTTCATTGTCTTCCGTTAAATCTGTTGCTCTGGAAACTATTAAATATTTAACAACTGCTACAGGAGTGAATACCCCTGATATACCTGTTGCAGACAGTGCCAATGGTAAGAACATTGACTTCACTGCCATTTTGGGAGTATTCATATTTGCCACGTTTGCTGTTGTTGTTTAGTATACACATTCAACTTTTTATGATTCAAAGATACAAGTTTTTTTTTAGCTTATACTTAAATATGACTTTGAAAGTTTTTATATAGAAAATTATGCTTGTTTTTAAAATCTTTTCAACACAGAAATCAATCAAACACACATACCCATGCTTAAAGATCTGGTAGTTGGTAGCAACTTTGATTGATTTGATCTGAAATTATTCGTAGTTATATGCAGGACACCACTGACAAAATCCTTGTTTTAAAAGCAACACAATTTCTTTCAAGTTGGTATAGTTTTACAACCAATCAAACAAATTACGTACAATAGGAAAATACATCCCTGTTAGCGTTATAAACACGATAAATAGCCAATTGTTACTGTATATATTCATTCTTGTGTGTGTTATAGACCAATTTCAAAACAACCGTACCCCACACAAGCATCGAAAGGCAAACGGCAACCAACAAGCCTCAACTATAATCTAGCAACAGAAGAAAACTACAATGTTTGAGTCATTAGTTGCCAATTTGTTAAATAGATTCTTAGGGTCTTACCTTGAGAACTTTGACCCCAAACAATTGAATATTGGAATCTGGAGTGGTGATGTCAAATTAACCGATTTACGACTTAAGAAGGAAAGTTTAGACAAGTTTAAATTACCAATTGATGTCAAGTTTGGCCATCTTGGAGTATTAACATTACAAATTCCATGGTCTAACCTCAAATCAAAACCGGTTAGGATCATTATTGAGGATTTGTATATATTAGCATCCCCAATCATCTTGAGAGATTATGATGCAGCTGAAGATGAAGAGCGAAGCCAGTTGTTGAAGCAAGAGAAATTACAAGAATTGGAGACTTTATTACAAGCCCAGACCCAAAACCAACAATTGACGGATGATTTACTTGGTGTCAATAGCAATGAATCATTTACTGAATCGTTAATTACCAAGATTGTGGATAACTTACAAGTCACTATCAAAAACATTCATGTCAGATACAAAGATGATTCCGTTTTAACTGAATCTCCATATTCTATTGGATTAACATTAAAGGAATTGTCAGCTGTTAGTACTGATGAGAACTGGACTCCTTCCTTCATTTCCATAACCCAACGCTTAACCCATAAATTATTGACCCTTAGCAACCTTGCTTGTTATATGAAAACCATAGATACAGCTACAACATACGATAGCAAGTCCACAGATAACGATTATGAGAAGCTACTTGAATCTTTCCGAGAAGCAATTGATTACAATTCTGATTTGGAGTATTTATTGAAGCCAGTCACTGGTCATGGGAAACTTACTATCCACAAACCTGGAACCACGGAAACCACTCCTCATATAAAATCAGAATTATTCTTTCAAGAATTCAGTGTAGAGTTAAATTCTCAACAGTATGACGATATATTATGGACCGCTTCCAAATTTCATTGGTATATGCGTACATTCAAATTCAGAAAGTTCCGTCCCAAATTACCTCCTAATGAAGCTCCAAGGGAATGGTTTAAGTATGCAGCTCGATCAATATTGGATGAGATTCATGAACGTAACTATAAGTGGAGTTGGGCTTATTTTGAAAAGAGAAGAGATCAAAGAATAGAATATAAGAAGTTATGGAAATTGAAATTGAGTGGGAAGCTAATTAAAGAAGATGACATCCAACAATTAAAAGATTTGGAAAAGGAATTACCATATGAAGATATCAAGTTTTATAGAACATTAACCCGGAATGATTTGAGAAAGGAAAAGCATACCTTTTCATTATTTAATAGCATTTCTGCCAATGAACCCAAATCCCAACAGCAAAGTGCAGGTTGGTTTTCTGGCTGGTGGGGTGGTAGTGGTGGAGCTAATACTAATGAGGAATCCAAGGAGGAATTGCCCGATGAAGATACTCCACCGGAGAAATTAGATCTTTCGTTATCGGATGAACAACGAAAGGCACTTTACGAAGCAATTGAGTATGATGAGAATCTCACAACCGCAGTTGAAGATATTCCACGTGAATGGGTGAAATTAGAAGTTCTTGCACTGTTGTATAAAGGTGGATTGACTATAAAGCGAAAAGATTTCACTAATTTGGCAGAGATTGTATTTGAAGGATGCCAAACTCAGATTTATCAAAGATCCGATTCTTTATTATCATGTTTCCAAATTCAAGAATTTAGAGTAGAAGATGGCACTGGTACTTCTTTGTACAAACATATTGTTAGTGTCAAACAAGCTCATTCTCAATTGCACGACGATTCAAGTTCAGTAGTTGAGTCCTCATCAATCAAAACGATCCCCGATGACGACAATGAACCATTCTTTCAAATCTCATTCGAAAATAACCCTCTTGATAACTCAGCAGATTCAACCTTATTAGGTAAATTGAAATCAATGACCATTTTCTACAATCCCAAATTCATTGAAGAAATTATCAACTTTTTCACTCCACCAAAGATTCACTTAGATACGGTAGGGGCTATTATGAATGCTGCTGAAGCAACCGTTGAAGGACTCACGAGTCAAACTAGAATTGGATTGCAGTATGCGTTAGAAGAACACAAAACGATTAATGTAAAGTTGGATTTGCAAGCACCATTGATGATTATGCCTCTTGACCCTTCAAGTTTTAAATCACCGGTGGCTATATTGGATGCTGGTCATATAAGTGTGGTTAGTGATTTAGTTGATCCAGAGACAATCCAAGAAATCAAAGGCAAACAAAGTTATACTGCAGATGATTGGAAGAAATTACAAGACTTGATGTATGATCAATTTAAGCTTACATTAGAAGATTCACAGTTTTTAGTCGGTCCTAACATTAAGTCAACCATGGAACAGTTGCATACTCAAGAAAATATTCCTCGAATCAAACTGGCATTAATGTTGGATAATTTCAATCTTCAATTGATGTTGGGAATTTCTATATTGCCGGACGCCACTAACTTAGCCAAGTTTAAAGTAGGAGGAAGGGTGCCACAAGTGAATTTAGCAATAAATGATTTCCAATATAAGACCATGATGCAAATTATTGATGCAGCAATACCCAACAGTACAAATATGGAAGATTTGGATACCTCAAGTGTGTTTGATGCATTTGCTCCAATTGCTAATAGAAATGAAATTAAAGTGGAAGAAGTGGAAGAATTTGACGAGAAAAGTACCACTTCTAATTCTTCTGTTTCAAACAATCAAAAACAACAGCATATATTTGAATTTGATTTTGCAGTTGATGTGGTTCATGTATCGCTTTCGAGATGTATTAATGGAGTCACGTTAGAAGCAGAGCCATTGGTGGATTTAGTGGGTGATTCATTAAACTTACATTTCCATAATACTTCAAATGATATGCACGTTGACTTGTATTTGCTGGATATAGAACTTACAGATCATATTGAAAAAACAGGGATACTTGAACTTCAAAAGATGATATCATCATCGGGACATGATGCGCAAGCATCACAGAAGAAATTATTACAAGTTTCTTACGATAGAACACAACGAATGGTTGAATTTAATGGAAAGGAAATTGAAGTGTTTGATCAGGATGTTAAGTTGCAAATTGCTACGGTCAAATTTATTATTTCGAGAAAATCAATTTTGAGTATATTGAACTTTGTTTTGAATACATTTACTGATCCAAATGCTGCACCGACTCCCGCAGATGAATTGAAACATAATGCTGAGGATGAAGCTACTGCTCCACAAAAGATAAATGTTAATGTAAGTCTTGATAGTATCATTCTTGTGCTTAATGAAGATGGTGTAAAATTAGCAACTGTTCAATTATCCCTGGCACTTATTGATGTACTTGTTCTTCCGGAAGCTTTAGATGTTAGAGGGAGACTAGGGGCGTTTACTGTACATGATGAAATCAACTATGGTTCACCTAGAGATTCTATAATGAGGAAGTTGATAAATATTGAAGGTAATAATTTGGCTGAGTTTACTTACAAAACATTTGATCCTGAAACCAATACTAATCCATATTCCTCACTTGTTGAATTCAAAACCGGGGCTATGACGATAAATTTTATCGAGAGTTCATTCAATAGGATTCTTGCATATCTAAGCCAGTTCTTAAAGATGAAGGCAATTTATGATAGTGCGAGAGAAGCAGCCATCAATCAAGCTAACCAATTTGAAGAGAAGATCAAGTTCAATTTGTTGATTAATGCACCTACAATTGTATTCCCATCATTATCAGTTGGCGGCGATATTTCAATAGATTGTAATAAGTTGATTGCAAACTTGGGTGAACTTTATGCTCACAATGAATATACTATCAAGGATAACCACATGATGAACGTCATCGAAGCAGGAATTAGAAATGTAAGCCTATGGTCAGAACTATATTTTGAGTCGGAAATTCCAGTCAGATCTCAAATTGTTAAGGAATTGGATATTGCATTTGATATAGATCATTTAGAGGACTATACCAAGGGTGTGCCCACATTTGTAGTTGATGGAAAGGTGCCCGAATTAGATTTACACCTTACAGAATTGCAGTTGAGGATGTTGAGGCAATTGTCGGATTCTTTAAGTAGGGCGGTAATGTTTGATAATGTTGATGATAATCTCGGTGATATTGAAGAAGATGCCGCTTATGCCAATGAAGTTTTGAGACATAATGTTCAGTTGGTACAAGGTGAGAGGGGTGAGAAACAACAAGCGCAACCAAGTATAAAACAACCAGATGAGATACCCCCTGATCACAAGATGTTGGATTTTAAATTTGATGTTCCACGTATTTCATTAACAGTTTATAATCATACTTTTGGAGTAACCGATTTACAACCATTACAATTATCTACTTTCTCGATGAATAAGTTTATGTTGGATTTAGATATGAACCAAGACAATAATTTCAAAGTGAATTTGAAAGTCAAGTCATTTGTCGTTAAGGATGTCAGACAATCGACAGACAGTAAGTTTCAGGTAATTATTCCCTCTGCTGCTGATGTCGAAAATCAATTTATATTACGGGCATATTCCGAAGGTACGCCTGAGAATAAGCATATCACTTTGATGTTAACTGTGGAGAAACCAAAGACGATATTAGCCCTTGATTACTTGTTTGAGCTTCAAGCATTTGTGAATAAAGCAACAATGGAAGATACACTTTCGGCTCCACAAATTGAATATAATGTTGCTATAAGTCCAGTGGAAAGTGCAAGAAGATCAAGAAGGAGATCGATAAGTTCCCTTAGTAGAACTATGGATGCATTGACACCGATATTGTCAGGGACAAGTGCCACTTCAGGAACACCACCACTGCCTGTTAAATTTGGGTTTTCTATCAATGTAATTGAACCTTCAGTCATTTTACTTGCTAATGATACACGAGAAGATACTGAGGCTATTGTGTTCAAGGTCGAACAAATATTGATCACTAGTCAGAATATCACATCACTTGCAGCAAACAATATCGGAATGTACTTGACGGTTATGAACGACTTTGATAGTATGAATTACAGAATAATTGATGATTTCTCCATTTCATTTGCTCATGATTCTCGGGGATCTACCTCCACTGACTTTTTATCAAGTATTCAAGTTTCAATTGATCCATTAGTTGTCGGGGTTTCACTCAGGGATATTCGACTTGCATTGAATATATTGAACAGGGCCAATGAATTGTATAGTAAAGCACAGAGATCGGTGGTTGGTGGTGGGCCAGGTTCAATTACGGAAGACAACGAATACAAATTTTCGGAAGATTTCAAGAGGAAATTATCTCAATATGCACCTAGTATAGTCTCAACATTAACTAATGAATCGAGGGGAAGTATTGCTGGAGATGGAATTCCCGAAGGAGTTGCAATAGTTAAAGGAGAAGAATTTAATGCTAGTGTTGGTGGTGTAAGATTTGTTTTGATTGGTGATGTATCTGAACTACCAGTATTAGATGTAAATGTTAAACCGTTTGAATTGAAGGCAATCAATTGGTCTACTGATTTAAGCTCAGAAGTTCATATTGAGTATTACGTTAATATTTTCAATTACTCACTTAGCTCGTGGGAGCCATTGATTGAACCATGGCCAATTGCTATCTATGCATCCCGGAGTGATAAACCAAAATCAAGGTTGGTGGTTGAAATTGTTCTGAGGCAATTAGTTGAAGTTACTGTAACATCAAGGTCGGTGGCTTTGTTGTCACAGATTACTAATTTAATTACTACTGATGAGAAGTTGAAACCTCGTGGTGAAGATAAGCCATACTTAATTATGAATGAAACTGGGTATGATATTTATGTATGGTCAGATAAGGGAGATATTGGCTCCAAAACATTGATCAAGTCTAGAGAGATTATTCCATGGGCCTTTGAAGATTGGAGAAAAATCAGAGAGAATTTAGATGCTGATAATGCTGGAGCATTGGGAATTTCCTTGGTTGATTCGCCATATTCTGATTTACGTAATATTTCTGCTTCTAGTGAAGGTGAAGAATTATATATGTTGCAGCCAGCAATTAATGGAGTTCACAATAGATTGCTGGTGGACATAGTTTTACGTGAGGATAATATCAAGACTATCAGAATTAGATCGACTGTATTGGTTGAAAATGATGCAGATATTCCTCTTGCAGTGGAAATGTTGTATGAGGATGGTCAAAAGAGTTATGAATTGGAAATTGCTTCGAAAGAAAGAAAAGCATTACCAATAGACCTGGTTTATACTGGACAGATGAGGGTTCGTCCATTGATTCATACACCATATGGATGGTCTGATGAATTGCTTCATTGGAAGACTGTCATGAAAGCAAGAGGTACCCATGGGATTCCATTAAAGTGTAAAGCTACAGAAGCAGGTGATAACTCGGTTTATTATTTCCAGGCTGAGGCTACTTATGATAAGGATGAACCATTAGCTAAGATATACCCTCATTTGCGTTTAGTTATTTCTAGTCCATTAGAGATTGAGAATTTGCTACCATTTGATTTAGATTACAGGTTATACGACAAGAATGCCCGACGCGATTGGGTAGGTAGCATTAAAAAGGGGGTGAAGAGTTATGTTCATGTTGTCAGTTTGGATAGTCTACTTTTATTGAGTGTCACTCCCGAGAATTGTGGATTTCAGAAATCGGAATTTGCTATAATCAACAAACCCAAAGATAGTGAATTTAGTCGTGAAGATACCATTGGATTACGGGATAAGAAGAATAACATTTTGAAGTTGAAGATATTTTATCCTAGAAAACAAGCAGGTAGCTCCAGCTTGAAAGTGGTTATTTATGCACCATATGTCATCCTCAATAGATGCAATTTGAATCTTGTTGTTAGTGAACGTGGTAACCAAGTTGCCATTGCTGGTAGATCAGGAGAATTGGGTGGAAAAGTTTTACCTACTATGTTTTCCTTCGATACTTTTGGTGATCGGAAGAATAGAGCTACAGTTCGGACCGATGATTCAAACTGGTCAGAACCAATGAGTTTAGATGCCATTGGGCAAGCAAACGAGTTGAAACTACATGTTGTTGGCAAACAAACTGAAGTGAATCTTGGAGTTAGCATTCAAGAAGGTGAAGGTAAATACAATTTAACAAAGGTGGTAACCATAGCTCCTCGATATGTCCTTATTAATAAAGTTGAAGAAACTTTGCAAATTGTTGAGAATGGAACTACCAAACAAATCACAGTTCAACCAGGAGAACTGCTTCCACTTTATGGATTACGATCTCTTGAAAAGAAGAACATTTTGGTTAAATTTACTCATGGGTCTAAATCATGGTCGCCTCCATTTTGTATTGATGAAGTTGGGCAATTATTTATCAAGGTGCTAAAAGCTAATGTTGGACAAGTGTTGATGAAGGTTACTGTTTTGATCGAAAATGCAACAATTTTCATTCATTTTGAGAATGGTAATAATGAATGGCCTTATTCAATTAGAAATTTTACTGATGAGGAATTTTATATTTATCAGAATGATCCAAACATTAATGCCAATGGTGAAGTCGTTACTCATGATACTCCGTATAAGCCAATTTACTATAAGATTCCTCCCAAGAGTGTAATGCCATATGCATATGATTACCCTAATGCGATTATAAAAGAGTTAATTGTTAGATCCCACGGCCGTGAACGGGCGGTTAATTTGGCTGAGATTGGTAATTTACGACCATTTAGATTACCAAAAGTTGGTGATTCACCTCAATTAATTGTTGATCTTAATGTGGTGGCCGATGGTCCTACACAATCTTTGATTATTTCTACATATGATCCTTCTACAAGTCTTTATAAGTTACAAGGTAATCAAGGCGCATCAGCATCGTCAACTAACGTGAATAATAGTGGTCAGCAATTTGAAGTGGTTGAGAATGATGATAATTATCATACTAATATTGTGGCTAAATTCGATGGATTTGGTATTTCATTGATTAATACCCGTAACCAGGAGTTATGTTATGCTACATTGAAAGGTTTAGAGTTTAGATATAATGAATCTGATTTGTATCAAACTTTTAGTTTTAAATTGAAGTGGGTTCAAGTTGATAATCAATTATATGGAGGAATTTTCCCAATTATTATATATCCTACTGTGATTCCCAAGACTGGACGAGAATTAAATAACCATCCATCATTCTCTGCATCTGTATGTCGAGTTAAAGATGATTCTTACGGGGTATTATTCATTAAGTATGCTACTATTTTACTTCAGGAGATGAGTATGGAGATTGATGAAGATTTTTTGTTTGCATTGCTTGAATTTTCCAAATTCCCTGGGGCATCATGGAATAAAGATCAAATTGATATATTATGTGAAGAAGATTTAGATATTCCTGAGCCAGTTCGACTTAATGAAAGTAATGATATCTATTTCGAAGCGTTGCATTTACAACCTATCCAAGCTAATTTATCATTTGTCCGTACTGAACGAGTTAATGCTGAGGACAAAGGATCTAGTCAGAACACACTTATGTTTTTCTTTAATGTGTTAACTATGGCTATTGGGAATATTAATGAAGCACCAATTAAATTAAACACTTTATTTCTCGAGAATATAAGAGTGCCCACCCCGATATTGATGGAGTCGATTCAAACGCATTATTCGCAAGCATTCTTTTATCAATTGCATAATATTTTGGGATCAGCTGATGTTTTAGGTAACCCCGTTGGGTTATTTAATCATATTGCGTCAGGGGTATTGGACATTTTTTACGAGCCATACCAAGGGTTTGTCCTTAATGACCGTCCTCAAGAATTAGGCATTGGATTAGCTAAAGGTGGTCTAAGTTTTGTCAAGAAATCCGTGTTTGGATTCTCCGATTCGATTGCCAAAGTTACTGGTTCTATAGCCAAAGGGCTAACTGTTGCTACTATGGATCAAAAGTTCCAAGAGAGGAGAAGGTTGAACAAGGGAAGAAATAGACCAAAGCATGCCTTGTATGGATTTGCCAATGGTGCTAACTCGTTCTTTGATTCTATCAGTTCAGGATTCAGCGGAGTCGCTACGGCTCCAATGGAAGGTGCTGCCGCTGAAGGTGCTGCTGGGTTTTTTAAGGGATTAGGCAAAGGTATTATTGGATTGCCTACCAAGACTGCAATTGGATTTTTCGATTTAGCTTCCAATGTAAGTGAAGGGATTAGAAATACCACTACTGTATTTGATGGTGAAGGGTTAGATAAAGTTAGATTGCCAAGATACGTTGCTCCTCATAGTATCATCAAGCCGTATTCTGTGCGTGATGCCAGAGGGCAATATTGGATGCATAGTATTGATGGAGGTGTGTTTTATGGAGAAGTTTATTTGGCCCATTTAGTATTGGCAGGAGAAGAAAGATGTGTTTTGGTGACCTATAAGAAAATTATCATGTTTGATATAAATCAATTGGTTAGTAAATGGATTGTTGATTTTGGTGAAGTTAAGAGTATTAGCGTGGAACCAACTGGGTTGACCATTGGATTGAAACTGATTCTGGGGCGAGGTCCATTTATTCCTATCCCCGAGAAGTCTAATAGAAGTTTCTTGTATCAAAAGATTGCTATTGCTGTAGAAGAGTTTAATAAGCATTGTCAGATTGTGTTATAGAGTAATATAGTTTAATCGAGCTATAGTGTAAATTTTAAAGTTGTTCGTAACTATATACATTTATTGATCTATAAATTGATGAGGAGAATCACCAATGTTTTTATGGAAACTAGACATAAACTGCTGTGGTGTTTGTTTAACTTTTGCTTGTTGTTGGACTGTTTTTGCTTTTATGTAACCATCAATTGTTTTGATAATAAGTGAATCATCTGGACCTAGTATGAACTGACCAGGATGTTGTAATACAACCTCATCAAAATATTCTGATATCCCGGTAAGAATTACACGATGAGTACCAACCACCTGTTTCCCCTTACGTTTGAGATTCACATGGATGAAAGTGTATACTGATCCAAGAGCATCTTCCATTCGTTTAACCTGTCTAGCAGTGGTGTTAGTCCAATGTACTTGTTTCCTACTCCTTGGGATTTTCAGAGCAAGCGAGAAGGGATACTCACTTTTAATTCCCCCTCCATCTAGAAATAGTCTCTGGTCTATAGTTTCCACAAGTAATCTAGCACCAATATCACTGAGCTTCTTCTCCAAACTCTCGAAGTTGTCACTGTCTAAAATATCAACTTTACTAGATTGTAGTAATATCTCACCCTTGTCAAACTTTGTAGGATGAAGAGTTTGCACAGTACAACCTGTGAACTTATCATCATTAAGCAAAGCGTATTGCAAAGGTGAAGCACCAGAATACGTCGGAAGTAAACTAGGATGTACGTTCAATCCGCCAAATTTACAACTCTGTAAGAACTTACTTGGTATGAGTTTCCCAAATGATACCGCAATGGCTAAATTAAACTGATGCGACACTAATTCATTCATATCGGATGAATTTTCCACACGATGGACAGGCAATGATAAGGAATTGGCGAGTGTTCCGAGCGGGAGGTCAATTAGTTGAGTTAACCCCCGTCCTGTGGGTTTTAGCGTGGGTGTAATCACATGGATTGTATGGTTATGGAGTTGGGAATAGGTGTGTAATGCAGTTAGCAGGGCCGTGGAGAAATGATCACTTCCAAAGAACGCAATTTTTAGACGATCAGATGAACTTACTGAACTGAAGGAGCGAGTATTAGACAAGTTCCAATTTAATTTTATTCGCACTCTCATTAAGTAGGTTTGGTTATACCTTTGACATACCAAAACAAATCAATTTTTCAAACGAGATTCAAACTTCAAATAACAAACTAACATCATCATCATCATCACTATATACACACAATGTCAGCAAACAATCTAATTACTGAATTGGCCCATCTTATGAACATCAATCTCGATGATTCTACTCTTCAATTATGCATCAAACTTCTCGATCAAGGAGTCGATCCCCGTGAATTGGCCAAACAAATAATTGATATAAACAAAGAAACAACGTCTGTTTTGAATTAATTATACAAGATATATATATACAGTTAGAACCCCCTCTTTTTCTTCTTTTTCGGTTGAGAAAGACGTTGACTTGATGGGCGTGATTTCCGTTGAGAGGATTGGGAGGCAGTTACTACTTGAGAAAGAGGATGGGATGCACGAATCGAAGGAGCTTCCACTTGTGAGTGTGAATACACCTCTTGCGAAGGCTTTTCCTGTTCATGTTGTGTTCCATGATCTTCCCATTCGTCAAATATCAGTCTGACTTGTTTTGACATCAGCTCATGCTTTTGTTCATACTCCTGCTCCAAGAGCTTTGTTGCTGTTTTGCTTTGACATTTGATATTTGAGGTTCCTAGTAATACAGCAACTTCTTGATGCTTTCCACCATATATTTTATCGAGTAGACTAGCTATATCATCAATATGACTTCCATTCCCATTATACTTTTGAAGTAGCTTATGAATGAGGGAAACCACTTTGAAGTTATCAACCGAACTTTCCAATTGAACAATCATATCATCGAGATCAAGCAAGTCAGACACGGAAGGCACATCAGAACACAAGTCGTACAATGAGAAGTATGATGGTGATGGTTCTGCATTGGCTAATTCCAGTCCAAGACTATATGCATATTTGTGAATTTGTTGGGTTTCACTGGTGGAACTGGTCGGGGTTAATGCTTTTGAAAGAGATTTTATATGTTTTGGAGTGAATGATTTGAATATTTGCTGCGTATTGAGTTTTGAAATGAAGGTCAGCTCGGAATCAAGTTTGGATTGGATGTTTGTGTCTTGAATGCTTTGACAAGATATAGACAAGTCTGTGTTTAGTTGATATAGTTTTCCATTGCTTATGTTTACGCTTATTTGTCTGGTTTCTCCCAGTTTTCGTATATAGTAAGGATCACACAAACTGGAGGGTTTATCGTTGACTCTTCCTAAAGTGTATACAATAATTAACGGGTTGGTTTGAGTAAATAACATACAAGTAAATGTATTGTCCTCACAATATATGTGAACACGTAGCGAAGGATCGGAATCATCAAGGAAATGTTTCCAGGAAAGTAATCTTTCCCATTTGTCATTAAACCAGATTAATTCTTTCGTAGTTAGCAAGAAGGTATTATCTTGAAATGTGCATATATCACGAAGTCTAGACCAGGTGTTGGCTGTGATTACATCTGTACTTACTGCCTTAGGTATTGTATAGCTAATCAACTTTGATCGCGAAAGAGTAACCACTGTATCTTCAACAAATGCTATTCTCTTCCATTTGGATAGTTCAGTAACATCATGACTCAGTATATGTTTGAAAGAAAGAGAGATACCCGGGTGTTTTCTTATAACAGTATACACGGCAAAATTGCCATGAATGTCAACAATTGCAAATTGGTACCTGGAACCAAACACAACATCTGCAAATTCGCAGTTAGCTAGATCCTTCACATTGATTTCCCCAATTACAGATAGATTTATATTACCTATGGTTGGTTTGGGAAGTGTGGCTGTAATGACGTATATCCTCGTTGGAGTTCTAATTATGAATGTCGTTCCATCATGCAACACTTTACTTGTGATTTGTCGTATGGGAAAAGTCAACTCTACTGGAAATGACAGATCGAAATCTGAGAATGTAAGTATGGACTCTGTTTCTCCTGTTACATGGACCATTACTGGTTTGTTACTAATATTTATAAAATTAACAATATCGCCATGGGTTGGATCGTAGGAAATGGTTGACGAAACCGTAGTTGACTCGATTGCAAATGACAGTACAAGATTCTGTGGTACATAACTGTGGTTAGAAGGAAATCCTTTGCTCGAAACTGTACTGGGGTTATCGTTGATCTTGATCTGTGGTGGAACAAGCTGTATTGGTGATGATGGAGCTAGAGGTGACTGAGTATTCTGTCGTGGAAACACCGCAGATATGGTGTTATTATCTGACTCATGTTGTATGGTTGCATTGCCCTGTATTCCATAACTTAGTCGTATCCCTAATCCTTTCTTATGGGGCCACATGCTATGTATTGGTTAGAGAGTATTGAAGATCATCGCACTTTTTTTTTGTATGTTGATTTATCTAGTGGTTGTCTGGGATGTTGCAAACAAGGTAAATCAACAACTAAAGTGACATAAAACCACTAGCAATCAATATAATGTTTACGGTAGGCTTTAGATTACACGGTTGAGAACTGATAGTTGTTGTTATAGCAAATCCAACTTGCCATGCTTCTTCACTAACAGCACATAGCCAAGAACTAGCAATTGTTTACCTAACAGAATCGGAACATTATCCCTACAAGAAGCTATATTTGAGCATTGTTTACTGAGAACTTTCTTGTATGACACACAATCTAATACTTTTTTAGTAATAAATTGAGAGCTAACTCTATATATATATATATATATGTGTGTGTGTGTGTATGTGCCTGAAGAAGAAGAGTGTGTTCACTTGTTCACCCCAGTAGTTAATTTTTCAGACAACACTTTCATCCCAAATAGGCAACCTTGATTTTACGTCCAACTTACTGACTGAACACTAACCAACGCAGTATGAACTTCTTTCTACTGTTACTTCTATCATTGCTAGTTGTTCAAGCAACTCAATTTGATATCTATGCCGATAAGTTCCCCCAGGATCAAACTCATGATCCAGACAACACAGACTTGTCCACATACTACGGCCACTTGAACAATGCATCCTTGCTTTGGGGCCCTTATCGATCCCTGCTTTACTTTGGAGTACGTCCTCGTTTACCCAGATCCCTACTTTCCGGATTGATGTGGTTCAGTGTCAATGACTACTCTTCTGTTGGTAAAATCAGACACTTCTACCAGCAACATGACCAGTTGAAAAAGGCCAATTGGGTGAAATATGATCCAAGATATGGTGGCAGGCAAGTGATTGATGATGACGAGTTTCACGTTACAATTACAATTGATTTTGTCAAGTCTGAAGATGGATTGAGTTGGGGTGTTCATGTTCTGAGTGTTCCTCATCCTGGACACGAAAAGGACAATATTTCCTTTGTATGGTATTCTGGATTAGAAGGTGAAACAAACACCAAGAACGAATTTGATACTGCTGAACGTAGTGGATATTTACGTTTAGACAATAGCAAAAACGTCAATGGATATGAAGGTACTGTTAAACTTGTTGGTATCAGTGAGGAATTGGGTGCATTCACATTAGAAGTTACCGATGGGCCCAGTACCAACGTTCATCCAAAAGGTGATCCAACTATCCATCCAGAATTAGACCCTAGAAAGGCCCATTATTTAAGTTTGTCTGTACCTGATGATAATGTCTGGAAGGCAAGAGATATATTTATGACCTTACTTCAGGAACTGATTCAGGAATTGTCTGGTGATAGGCCATTGGAAGGAATCCCACCTGAAAACTTGTTCATTATTAGAGATTTACAAGGATTTGAAGGAAATGTTCATTTTTTGCAAAAGATCTATCAAGGGAAATGTGAATTTGACGTTTTATTTAATAATGCAGTTACTCCTGATCAAATAACTAGTGAAAACTTACCAGCATTGGTTCATACTACACTTGAGAAAGTAGACAAGAAGTTTGAAACCAAGTTTTTGCTCAAACCACCATTTACTAGCTCCAAACACCACGAATTTGCTCAGGAAATTGTTTCTGGATTATTAGGAGGAGCTTCCTATTTCTACGGAGACCAGTTAGTCGACCGGGAAACCAGTCTCGATGACGAAGAATTCAAACTAGTTGGCAAGCTTGAAGGACCATCTGAATTATTCACACTTGTCCCATCACGTCCATTCTTCCCTCGAGGATTCCTCTGGGATGAAGGATTCCATTTACTCCCTCTTCTCAACTATGACTCCGATTTAGTTTTAGAAATCGTTAAATCCTGGTTTAATCAAATTGACGACAATGGATGGATAGCAAGAGAACAAATTATTGGCCCTGAGCTGAGAAGCAGAGTTCCAACCGAATTTCAAGTGCAATCCCCAGAGATTGTTAACCCTCCAACTTTAACATTAGTTCTTATCCATCTTCTCAATCACGTTTCTCCATATGATGATATTGAACAGCCATTGGAAGTAGGCGAAGTCAAGGATAAATTAGGCAGCTTTATCTTGCATCATCCTGAAGTATTGACCAATTACACCCGACAAGTATACCCGCAACTCAAGAAACATTTGAACATGTTTAGACATTCCCAGGCGGGATCCATTGATGAATTTGATAGAGGAACCAACAAGGAAGCTTACAGATGGAGAGGAAGAACCGTTACCCATTGTCTTGCATCTGGGTTGGATGATTATCCTCGGGCTGAAGATGTTGATGTGGGAGAACTCAATGTCGATTTATTGAGTTGGATTGGAGTGATGACGAAATCTTTACGTATCATGGCCACTCTACTCAATCACACTTCCGATGTCACTCAATACACTCAAATCGAACAGGACATTGTTTCCAACCTTGATAAGCTCCATTGGTCGGATGAACACAACTGTTATTGTGACGTGACGATAGACGACGACGATGAAGATATTCACGTGTGTCACAAGGGATACATCTCACTTTTCCCATTCATAACTCATCTTCTTAGTTCATCCGATACGGAGAAACTCACCCATATAATTGATCTCATAACTACTGAACTTTGGACCCCGTTTGGTATTCGCTCATTGTCCAATCTTGATCTGGAATATAAGACTGGTGAAAACTATTGGAGATCACCTATCTGGATAAATATCAACTATTTGATTCTTGAGTCGATACAACATTATCATGGTCTTACTTATTCTCCAGAGTTAAAAGAAAAGTTAGCAAAAGCATACAAAGAACTTAGAGTTAATGTGGTAACCAACGTCTACAACGAATGGAAGAACACCGGTTTTGTATGGGAACAATACGATGATGAAACTGGTAAACATAAAGGGGCCAAGAATTTCTTGGGCTGGACTAGCTTGGTCTTAGTTATGATGAATATGCCTGAGGAATTGAAGTAATTGTACAAGCTATAGATATATATATATTTAGATTCTTCATAATTTTTAAATACGTTTGTAAACGGTAGTTCTTTGGCTATCGCTCAGGGATTACTTGGAAGGATCTTCTTCAAATCTCAAATCCCAACCAATTTGTTCACCCAAAGTAGGCAATACTTCAGCAACACTTTGAACATCCTTATCCCCTCTACCACTAACATTGATAACAATTTTCTTACCTTTACCCAACTTCTTGGCCAAATTGACCCCACCGAAAATAGCATGACTTGATTCTAAAGCAGGAATGATACCTTCTAACTCACTTAACCATTTGAACCCTTGTAATGCTTCAGCATCAGTAGCAGCAATGAATTGAGCACGACCGGTACTCTTCCAGAATGCCAATTCAGGACCAACACCAGGGTAATCTAACCCAGCACTGACAGAATGGGTGTCGTGGACTTGACCATCTTGATCTTGTAAAACGTAGGTCTTGACACCATGGAAAACACCTGGGATACCAGCGGTCAAAGTGGCAGAGTGACGTTCAGTGTTTAAACCATCACCACCGGCTTCAACACCAAGCATCATAACCAGGGTGTCTTTCTCAAATGGAGAGAACATACCGGTAGAGTTAGAACCACCACCGACACAAGCAACAACGGCATCAGGCAATGCACCATCGTTTTCCTTCATGAACTGTTCCTTGGTTTCTTGGCCAATAACACTTTGGAAAGTTCTAACTAAAGTGGGGTATGGATGTGGACCAATAGCAGAACCAACGACATAATGGGTAGTTTCCAAGTTAGAAACCCAGAATCTGAAAGCTTCACTGGTGGCATCTCTTAAAGTTTGAGTACCATTACGGACAGCTACAACTTTAGCCCCTAAGATTCTCATTCTAAACACATTCAAGGCTTGTCTTCTGACATCTTCGGCACCCATGAAAACCATACATTCCATTCCGAATTTGGCACAGGCAGTGGCGGTAGCAACACCGTGTTGACCAGCACCGGTTTCGGCAATAATCTTCTTCTTACCTAATCTCTTGGCAATAAGAACTTGAGCAAGAGCATTGTTAATCTTGTGGGAACCGGTATGGTTTAAATCTTCACGCTTCAACCAGATTTCAGCACCGCCGGCAAATTCGGTCAATCTTTCAGCCTTGTGTAAAGAAGATGGACGACCAATGTAGGAGTATAATCCACGGAATTCTTTCCAGAATTCTGGGTCGGCTACAGCATCTTCAAACCCACGTTCTAATTCAATCAAACAGGTGTGAAGGGCTTCAGGGACATATTGACCTCCAAAATCACCAAAGTTTGGATTGTATTTATGAGTTTCGTGCAATACTGGTTTAGTATTGGATTTCTTGGCACCTGACTTGCTGATTTCACTGACAACACTGGAAGAATGACTTACTTGGAAATCTTCTCCCAAAATGGACTTAACGAATTTATAAGCACAATCACCACGCTTGCCTGGCGCAGATTCACCAAGTAAAGTAATGATCTTGGAACCGATCACTACCCCATCAGCACTTTCACCAACAGTTAAAAAGTGTTCTCTAGTACTAACACCGAAACCCACAGCTAATGGAGTGTCTCCGGAAAATTTACGGACTCTGGCACATAATTCGTCAATACCGGAAGAAACGGTGGATGAAGCACCAGTGGTACCCATCTTAGAAACAACGTAAATAAAGGAGTCGGCAATTGCTCCCAATACTTCTAATCTTGCATCGGTGGTTGCTGGAGCAACCAATGGAACATAACTCACGCCAAACTCAGCACAGGTGGTTCTGAATTTAATGGCTTCTTCAGGTGGCAAATCAACAACAATAAACCCGTTAGCTCCGGCATCGGCACTATCTTTAATCATCTTTGCTTCGCCATATTTCAAAATTGGATTGTAGTAACCCATCAATATAATCGGAACAATGACCCCAGCTGCACGAGCTTCACGGACCAAGTCCAAACATTTGGCAACGGTAATACCGTTATTCAAAGCCACGGTGTTGGCAGCTTGGATGGTTGCACCGTCGGCAATAGGATCAGAGAATGGAATCCCCAATTCAATGATATCAACTCCACCTTTTTGCATCCCTTGTAAGATAGGAATGGTGTCTTCAATGGTAGGATAGCCGGCAGTGACAAAGTTAACCAAGGCATTACGGCCTTCAAGCTTGCATCGGTCGAAAGTTTCTCTTAAGGCGTCAGTCATGTTTGTATGTTTTGTATTGATGTTTTAAAAGAAAACTTGAAGATGGAGAGACTTTGAACCAAGTATTTATATCGGAGCTTTTGAAAAATTTCAATCTTGGCGATCGGCAAAAAAATTAAATGAGTCAGTTCAGGGTAACCCCAGAATTTGCCACGTCCGGGTAATGCTCTTCTCGTGTCTTCCTTGCTCCTTGCTCTATGTATATATCAAAGGCTGTGGCTACGGCGGTGGCTATGGCGGTGGCAAACGAACCAGCTCAGGATCACCCTAGGCTCTTTGGATCCCTTCAACAAAAAGGAATACATGAGTCAGTTTAGGGTAATCACCAGATGTTGGCACCTTGTTAGATGAGAGACGTTCTATTGTTTATTTGATCCAGAGAAAATATAATTAGTCAGTTCAGGGTAACCCCCCAGATTTATCGATGATAACATGGCAGCAATCAATCAATCAGTCAGTTCAGGGTAACCACAAGAGCAACTTTAACTTTATTGCGAAGAAATTAGAGTTGTACATTTTGCAGAGAGTTTCACAAAGTTATGGGATGTGTCGGTTCAGGGTAAGACCTAAGATCAATTTAAGCTTTTTTGTCGCTCCAGTGTAACATCAATTGTAGTTGCACCAGTATAAACAGTTGATCATTTTCTCAGTAGCGTACACGAGATCCAATCATATCTACTTTAAAGCTTTGGTATGTGACAGTGTAAGTTGATCAGAATCTTTTGGTGGCTAGGTTTTGTACTGCAAACCGGTCTATATATTGGGTGCAAAACTCCTTTTGCAAAAATGCTAATTTCTACCAAATTCTTTTTCTCTGAAGTATACCTTTTCAATCACAACTTCAAAAATGTAATAACCACAGAAGTAGGTTGGTACCATATGGTTACCAGCACCTTGATAACACATAGTCCAGCTACGGCTGAGCCTTAAAAGTTCTACATTGCTAATCTTTCAGATCTAACTTCAGAAGTTTACAAAACAAGCATAATACAAATACTTTATCACTGTAATTCTAGCTTTCAATATGCTGATAATAACAATAATAATAATAATAATAAATTAAAATTAGATAATATACTCGCACCATTGCTATTAGATCTGACTATCGTTTTTCTAATCCAGTTTGCTACATTCTTTGCTTTAAAGACCTGTTTGTGATCAACGGGTCGAGACAATATCTAAAGTATTTTCGTGTTGTGAATTCCATTCTAAATCAAAATATAGGTAGACTTTAAAGATGGACATAGCTTATGACTTAGGATCAGCCAAAACTTGATTTCTTGGAAATCTTCGAGTTTGCAAAAGAATATCATCTCGAATCTCGTCGTGTGCTATATAAAGTTTAGCTTAGACTTTTTAATTAAGAACTTGTTTGTACATTTCTTTTATAATTCTAACTAAGTTATGTAAATTTGAAATAACCTTTGCAAGGTAACATTCATTTAAGCTAAATGCTATATTTTGTCCCATTCCTCAACAGCTAGAACCAGAAAATCTCTACATACAAACCATGACCCAACTAGATCTTTGAAGCTTTGGGAGATTTAAACTTGAGACAAGATGTGATGTGATACAGTCCCTATATAACTATCTAAGCTATTGAACAGGGACATCTTGTCGCTTGATCTTTGTTAAAGGATCCACTTTTATAGGTTGACTTTCTTACTTCTTCTTTATAGAATTAGCTCGCTTTTTATTGGCACCACCAGGAGTACCATTTGTTGGAGGGGTAGGAGAATTTGTGGAACCATTACCATTCAATCTACCAGGCACGCCATTATTAGGTATTACCGGGGTGGTCTTGTTGTTTATGACTGGTGTATTATTCAAAGTATTCGATGCAGTAGATCCATTACTTCGTACTGGGGGTGGTGCTTCCACATCATGCCCTAGTTTAATCTGAGCAAGGTTGATAATAGGCAATAGCTTATTATACTTGTCACAATAGTCATTGATTGATTGTTGTACTGCAGTTAATCTCAGATGAACAATCTGAAAATATTCCAGTTGTGATTGTTCCGGTGGGATCTTAGCTAGTGCTCTAATGAATTGGGCCATGTCATTTCGAAGAATGTTTATTTCAAGTTTAAGGCGGTCGATCTCGGCATAGATTAGTTGTGGGTCGATTTTGCCAGTTGTTATATCGTCAATCTTGATCTGATCAGGAAGTGACATGCTGTGTGTGATTGAATGAACTTTGATATTAGCTTAGTAAGATGTATTAAGGAATGGTCTATAAGAATCACTATGTGTGGTTATGTACTGTTGGTCAAATGTTACATGCAACAAATCTTTTTTGGTCGTATTTTTTCAGCTATGGAAAAATTATCAGAAACTCTACATATGCAAACATTCTAGTCATTTATCCAAATAACTCTATCGTATTATAAATATACCTTTACTGGAAGATAGAAGCTAGAATTGTTTTGCGTTAGGTTAAAGTATTCCTTGGGTTGATACAGACGTAAAACCCTTTATAATTCCAAATTGAGGAGCTTTTGAAATGACAAGTCCATACTTTTTGGGTTTAAACTGATTAACATTTTCTTTGAGAATTATATAGGTCAGAGACATGAACGAGTTCATCTTTAATCTTCTCCAAGAAATTGTTAAAGATTTGCTCTTTCGCTTAAAAAATTTGAACTTGGCTTCAAACAAAGTCATTTCAACTCAACCGCTCTACGATTTTGTTATGATTTTTTTTATTGAGTCCCTATTCATCAGCCATAGTGTCAATCTCTAGAAAAGAAAGGTTCGCTCAATTGACAGTACGGTAAACCAATAAGGAATTTAAAAAGATAACTAATGTATAGATCTTTTTCATTTGCCATTAGTAATTTTGTAGTTCTATATTGTTCAATCTTTTTTTTTTAAGGAACAAGAAATTGAAGCCTGATTTGGAAGAAAATATCCAAACACCATCACGACGTAGTAGATCTGGAAAATACGGCCAAGATGAAATTTGGGAGGAATTCTTTCTCTTTCAATCTTTATATTTCTCAGAGCTCCATGTAAGTATTGCAATGGAGGTTAATTTCTTTCAACAAATCAAAATACCAATCTATTTGTCAACCCTTCCGGCAACAACCAAGAATCTGAAAGGCTGAGGAATGCACATACTCACAAGAGATTCTGATCAACCAAAGGTCTCGACAGAGCATGGTCCAACCTTAGCCTTTTTCATCAACCTTGCTGATAATGAACTAAAAACTGGGATTGGAGATAATTCTACCTTGCGCTATCTTTAATTAATAAGAATCTCTTATTCAAATGAAATTAGTGTATATCACTAAACTTCATGCTTTCCTAACAAAGAACCTACTTGTGTATCGAATAAGGTGTTTGTTCATTCAGATACTTGCTTTAATCTAACGAGCAATCTGCTCAAATTCGATTTCAGGTGATCATTGTAATACCTACCTAAAATATAATTGATTCTTGTCAATTCATTCAGAGTAAATTAAAAAGAAGAGACAGAAGAAGAGAAATTTTAGACAGGCAAAAGATTTGCAACTTTTATACTTGTTGTTGATTTGAGTTTTGCACGACATTTCCGACTACGAACCCCACATAGTATGCAATAGATTTCTTGAGGGGACGTTATTGAGAGTACTACGCTGCTTTATGTTGTGGGTTTGATAACTCTAATTTTGTATATTACACACTATGCTACTTCGCTACCGTTGCTTTATTTTGAGTCATTCTGTCTTTAATTACAACTGTCCCATCCTCTACTCTCCAATTTGTGCCGGTTAATTCCTTGGTAGTTATTTCTCCACTACCAAGTTCCATCTCTAACCATTTCTTATCTACTTTGTACATAGCTGCTCCAATACTTTCTATTAACCATCGCTTCATCTTATCGGAACCCAATTTCATAATTGCCAACTTGTATGGATCCTCTTGAATACTCACAAAATGAAACCACTTGACATAGTCATGATGAATCCAGGCTTGAATTATATCTAACGTAGGCTTATCCTCAGGAATATATTTGAAATATATATCATGTGCTCGTGAGAAATCCAGATTGAAATGAACAAGATGAAGGATAAGCAAGGTAGAAATTTCTCCAACTTCTTCTTGTGTAAGTTGTAATTGGGATTTATTGTGATGGAGAAGGTAATTTATGCTAGGGATATACGTTTGATAATGTCCCACTATTGCTGCAAGCCGTAATGAAAATAGGAAAACTTTTTTGTGGAATGGTGTGGGCTTGGTATATAGTAATGCCTCTCGAAGTTTACGTATTGATAAAAGTATCGAGTCCATGGTGATTTTATCTGCGGGGGGGGTCATCACTTCAGCATTTGCAGTTTGCAAGTCTCCTTCATTAATAAGCAGACGAATGTCACCAATTTGGGTCTGGGAATTGAATTGGATGAATTGACCAATAATTGATATAAAGAATCGTTCCCGGTCATAAGCACTTTGTTGTAGTCTATTATCTTCACCTCGACTTACAAATCCATAGCTTGATTGTGATGATGAAGATGAGGAATTGTTGGCAAACCTTGCTTTTCGCTGTTCTCGTTTATTGTCTTTATTGTCCTGTTGTGGTTTCTTGTTATTCCTTCGATTCGGTGGCACATATTTCTTGTGATATTCAGGCGGAGTCATTGGAGGTTGTTTGTCAATCGAACTAGAGCAATCTGATTCTGAAGAGGTGGTTAGTGATTGTTTAGCGGTTGATTTTTTAATGATTAATTTGACTATATCGTCCATTTCAAAAACAAAATCTTTTCTTTGAAACACACATTTCCACCTGGACCCTTGGTATTCAAAGCGAGAATAACAACTACATTTTTTTCGATATGCATGACCATGTGTTCTTTGTTACTGTTTGGTTACTTCTCTACATCTGGGGTTTTCCAAAATAAAAATCAATATCAATATATTGGTATCGCTACACAAAATCTACTTGGTAGATAATAATTGAGTAAATTCTTGAATATCAATTTCACCATCTTTATTAGTATCAGCTTCAGCAATCATTTGATCGACATCAGCATCACTTAATTTTTCACCAATTGAGGTTAACACATGTCTTAATTCAGCAGCACTGATTTTACCGTCACCATTTCTATCGAATACTTTAAAAGCTTCAGCGATTTCTGCTTCACTATCGGTATCTTTCATCTTTCTAGCCATCATGGTTAAAAATTCTGGGAAATCAATAGATCCATCAGAATTAACATCAACTTCATTTATCATATCGGTTAATTCACTTTCTGATGGGTTTTGTCCAAGAGATCTCATTACGGTACCCAATTCCTTGGTGGTAATTTTTCCATCGCTATCTTTGTCAAACAAGGAGAATGCTTCTTTAAACTCAGCAATTTGTTGTTCAGATAATCTTTCAGCCTGTGGATGTGTTAGTAAAACCCCATTTTTTCATTCATTCACATGTATACATACCATTGTGTAGTTATATATATCTGGTGTCAAATACGAATACCAGATCAGGTGTTGTGTTCTTTTCACTATATCGGGACAAGGAAGAAAAAAAAAAAAGGTACACCGCGTGAGTGAATAAATTTTAGTCAGATGCGCACGACCCCTCAGTGGCAACCACTACACGCATGTGCTAAGTCATGAGGTAAACTGGTCATGGATGATGGCGAAGAGGAAGTGAATAGCAATTATAACAGTTTCTTAAGGTCGTTAGATAATGATTCATTTATATCGCATATTACTAGTTTAAGCCAAGGGCATTTACATGTTAGAAGTCAGGAGTTTCAAGCGGTATCCACTCCCACAAAGGCAGCAGCAACAACAGCAGCAACATCAACTGCTGCTGCTTCATTCGATAATGCTGTAAGCTCAGATCCTTTTGATGATAGTGTTGATGAGGAAGCACTAGTGAGGATTGCCAGAGGTGAGTATAATCCAACCCCTTTACATTCAACTCAATTAGATCAACGCAAAGACCTTGCGGAGCAACCACAGGAACAACCGGAACAGCCAGGAACTGAACAGCTAGAACAATCGGAACAACTAGAGGTGCAGCCTGTGAAACAGTCTATCGGACAACTACATGGATTCGGAGACTATGCTACCTACTTCCATTCTAAACACCTCAAACAACAACACCAAGATGCAGCATACCTTGAATGGGAACGTAAAAGACTCAAAACCCTTCCTAAACCTATATTTACCGGTTGTACTATATTTGTCAATGGACACACTAATCCATCCATTAATGAAATTCATAGACTTGTTGTATTACATGGTGGTAAATTCATCAGTTATCTATCAAGTAAATCAAGTGCTACACATATAGTATGCGATTGGTTGACTCCGCGAAAGTCAGACATGTTTAAAAATTGTCGAGTAGTAAAGGCTCAGTGGATAGTTGATTGTGTTGAAAAGGAAGAGTTGCTTGATTGGAAAGAGTATAGGTTGATTAAAGAGATTGCTTATGATCAACAGAGATTGCAATTTGGGGCAATAGAGGAACAGACAGAGGAGGAGGAGCAAAATGTGCATGACGATGATAATGATGAAGAAGAAGAAGAGGAAAGCCATTTTGTTGGAGATAGTAATGAAGATGACGATATTCCCGTTATTGATTCAATTCCTGAAGGGAAAGGGGTACATAAAGTCAAAGATAAGTATGTGCTAGACGCCAGGCATCCGGACTTCCTCCCCAATTTCTTTGCCAACTCTCGTTTACACCATCTAAGTGTGTGGAAAGCTGACTTGCGTCTAAAGTTTCTTCGGAAAGTCATAAAGGAAAAACCAAGCCGATTTCACAAAACCCAGAGTGACGAAAGAATTATTATGCATATTGATTTTGATTGTTTTTTTGCTACGGCTTCGTGTCTTGGTCATCCTGAACTTGACATCCACAAAGACCCAATAGCTGTTTCTCATGGAAGTCGAACTTCGGATGTTGCCAGTTGTAACTATGTCGCCAGATCATTCGGAGTGAAGAATGGAATGTGGATAACTCAAGCTAAGCAACTATGCCCCCAGATGAAAATCATTGACTATGATTTCGCAGCCTATGAGAAATACTCTAACGAATTTTACAATTATTTAATCACATGTGATTGTTTTGATGTTATACTCCCTGTTCTGATTGATGAAGTACTTGTTGATGCTACTACATATTGTACGAATCATAGTGTTGAAGAATTATGCAAAACTATAAGGAAGGACGTATTCACATTGACTAAATGTCCTGTGTCAGTTGGTGTATCTTCGAATGTGCTCCTTGCAAAACTTGCACTTCGTCGTGCAAAACCAGATGGGTATTTCTATCTTCAACCATCAGAAACCACAAAATTTCTACAAGATGTGAAAATCCGCGATCTACCTGGAATAGGACGAAGTATTACTGAGAGGTTATCTCATGAGCTTAATCAAGAAACGGTGAATACAACTGATATTCTTCCCCTACCCAAATCAAGATTAATCACGTTATTCGGAGAGAAAACTGGTACAAAGCTTTATCAATATGTGCGAGGAATTGATGATACTTTATTAATCACCCCAACCACTGTAGATCGAAAATCGGTATCCGTTGATGTCAATTTCGGGATTCGATTCGAGAAAGTTGAAGAGTTAGATGATTTCCTTATCCGGTTATCCAAAGAAATGTATATGCGGTTGATCAACTTAGGATTTTGTGGTAGTTCACTCACACTTAAACTTGCACGTAGAAGGCAGGATGCACCGATAAACCCTCCAAAGTTTCTAGGAATGGGAAGATGTGATATTTTTAATAAGAGTCTGAGGCTTGGTGTGCCTACTAACGATTGGGGAGTAATAGGCAATGAAGCTAAGGTATTGTATCGTATGGTTAATATTCCAGTTACCGAATTAAGAGGAGTTGGGTTGAGTTTAACTCGACTTGTTGATATTGATAATGTTAAAAAAAATCGACAGGGTAGACTAGGATTCAAGAAAGGAGATGTTAATGATCAATTTAAGGAGTTTCAACAGCAGCAGGTGCAATTTGAATCCAAGTTACGATCAAAAACTCCATCACCAAAGAAACGAATAGGAATCACTAAGGATCATTTTGAAAAACGCCCTAAATTCTCTCATAATTTAGATGATATTGATTGGGACGTATTTGAATCACTCCCTTCCGATATAAAACAAGAGCTTGAGCGAGAATTATCTCGACGGCGCATGGTTGCAGTTAAACGGGAACCCAACACCAAGGCATATCTCCAACAATTACTTCCTACCCAATCAGGAACCACCAAATATGTTCGAGTAATTGAATCACCCACTAAACGGCAATCACCCAAGAAAGGTAGACCTTCATCTACTAAACCTCTGCGACTGGTCCTGCCAGTGAAGCTATATGAGCCTTCACAATCGTATGATTCGTCAGTGCTTGCTGAGTTGCCATCCTCGATTCGGAACTCTGTATTAAAAGATGTGGAGTATACTCATAAAGTGAAGAACCTCGATTTGGTTCCTGTACGTGATAAACTTCTTCTTTTAGAGAAGCAAAGGCAAGTTGAAGTCAAAACGGTGGATGAAGACTGGGTAGCTCGGCAGAGCAAAGTTACAGAGACCCCAAAGTTTCTTGACCAGTACGTACTGATGAGAGATTTAGAAAGTAGAATTAAGGAATGGGTGACTATGTCATTGTCTCAAGGAGGGCCTCATGAAGATGATGTGAAGTACTTTGGAGAATATCTTGATGAAATGTTGTCTAGGCAGGATATCAGCCGAGTTTTATTATTGCGTAAATGTATTGATACTAATTTGGAATTGCAGAAATCGAAATTGCCATTTGTAGAGGAGTCAACGAGGCTGTTCATACTTGAAGGCATTCAAGATTGGAATAATCAATTGGCAGAGTATATCGATCCAAAATTGGTGAAGTATATCTAAGTTAATTTGTAAATATACATATATATACATATGCTTATTAATATTCAAAGGTCTTACCTAATACTGTTGACCAATTTTGATCCCATCGTAAATTACTTTCTTGTAATGCACCAAGTTTTAATTTGGCCAGTAATTCACTACTAGTAAACACCTTGATGAATAATTTACACATTTCCAGTGATTTATCATCACTAGTTACCAATAATCCATTAACACCTTCCTTGACCAATTCATTGATGGCTGGAAAACTAAGAGAAACTACTGGGATTCCACATCCGAAAAAGTCAACAATCTTCATGGGTAAATCAATTCCACTTGATGATGTGTGTAAGGAAACTCCTAAATCTGCAAGCGATAGTATTGTTGGGTAATCTTCTGATGCTAACCACGCGGTTTTCACAATGACTTTGGATGAAAAGTCGAGTTCGATGACTCGTTCAAGAAACTGCTGTTTCAATGGTCCTTTACCGGTAACTATGAGTAACACTGGAGGCACATTTTTGGTATCATGATACTGTTTTAACGCCTGCAATAAAATTTCGAAATCTTCATCAGGAGTAAATGACGTTGAAGTGACCAAGATTTTATAACTGTCAATATTCTGGACTTTGTCGAAAAGATCAAATCTGGACATGACATCCAGTTTGGATTCAGCCAATGGTTGAAACTGATCACCTGGTCTATCATACAATGTAGTTATTCTTTGTGCGGGAAACCCGAACTCCTGAACCAAGAATTTGCTCATTTGGTTAGTCACGGTAATATTCAACCACGCAAATTTACCCAACCACTGTTCATAAAACTTAACTAGTTTGACCAATGGATGATTCAAATTCTGGTATCTTAGATTCAAAATAGAATAATTCAAATTATGCCAATCGATAATCAATTTACAATTGCGGTTGAATATGGCAATATAAACAATGATAATCGCCAACAATGGAATTGAAGGAGGGTTTTGAATCAAGATAAAATCGGAATCGCCATTGGCAAACAACAATTGGAAAATCTGTTTCACTTGAACACATACTTTCAACATGGCAAACAAAATAAATGGCAACCCGTTGGTGTTCTTCACCGCTTTAATCTCATTAATATCGATATTAATATCATCAATCAATTTCAATGGTGGTTCAGTCTCCAAGTATCCACATAAATTAACAGTGTAATCCATTTTACTGAATGACAATGCATGGTAACACATCCGTGGCGAATGTCCCAAGTCTCCTAATACAAATATTGAAATTATTTTCCGACCTCCATGTCGACGGGTGGAGATAAGTGGTAGGATGTAATAAGCAAGTAATGGGGAACAAAGCCAGAGTCCAATTAGCCAATAAAGCCAAGGGCCTGAGTAGTCCCATATGTGGCTAAACCCTTTGTATTCAATGAATTTAGACATGGATAATGAAAGTATTAAAAACAAAAATCGATGATGAATTGAATCATAACACGTAAAGACTCAGTAGGACGGGTTGAAGTTGAAAAATAAATAAAGACCAAAAATAACGACAACTGCAGGACTCGAACCTGCGCGGGCAAAGCCCAAAAGATTTCAAGTCTTTCTCCTTAACCGCTCGGACAAGTTGCCTTTTTTTCCCAAAAAATTTTCATATTCTATAGGTCCATAAGATACAATCACGTGGTGATTCAAACTCGTAACAATTGTCCATAAACCTTGTACTTGTAATTATTCCGAGCTTAGATGATCTGTTAGGGGGTTGGTACATTTCATTCGCTGCTGTAGTGCAGTTAGGCCCATAAATTTTCTGTTTTGGTGCCACTATGGGTATTTCAATTTTTTTTTCGATATTTACGAGACTTCTGTTGATTTGGTGAGGCTGATTAGATTGAAGTTTAGTCTTGCATCTCTAGTTATGTTAAGAAATTGCATTTACATGGGATTATGTAGTCAAATTGGTAAGATTCTGAACAAAAGGTTCTGATTTCGTAATTCGCTTATATGGTAAGATGGGAACCCAGTATAAATACAGGCTACTTCCCAGAACTATCACTTGTGAGTTCGTATAATTTAATTCAACTATTCTTTCATTGTTATTTTTTTTCTTTTTTTTAACATAGAAGTTTGCCTTGGAGAGAGAGAGATATTTGCTTCACAGCACGTTAAGGATATTGTAACCAACTTGTTACAAATTTACATCCTTGCTATGCACCATCTGTTTGGGATAAGAATTTCGCAAAATTTCCCCAAAAATTTCCAAGCCTCTCCAATTATTATACATGACGCTACATAGCAATACATTTCCAGAGTAAACCCAACCCCTTGTTCCCCAGCTATCCTTGAAACAATCATCAAAACAAAATGATTTTCTCAGCCAATGGTAAGGATGATATTTTTGCAACTGGCAACTGTTTAGTACGCCAAACATTAAATTCATGCGTGATTTCTAATTTATTTGTTTTTTTTATTTTTTATATTTTTTTTTTTGTTTATGTTTTTTCGTCCTCCCAATGATCTGATTCTTTTGAACGGGTCTCTCTCTTTTTATTTTTTTTAAATAACATACACCATAACAAAACACCAGATAACACGTGAACAGCTACCAATGCCTCCAACCGATAAGTCATCATCGTCGTCCGCTAAGGATGACATAAGAGGCCAGTTGTCAGATATACAAAGAAAATTATTCAGTAGATCGTCGTCAAAACAATCGTCTCCTGTCCACCAAAATGCTGCCAGAACTGTAACTGGCAAACGTACAATATCAACTTCATCAGACCAAGAGAACTTAGCACCCCATTTCCCGCCTCCAAAGTTGGGTTCTCCTGTGGGCAGATCATTGACTCCTCCTGCTGCTTCTGGTGCTGGTGCTGCCGCCGCTGATTTGGGAACTTCAAGTAGTAGCCGTACTGGTAGTCCGCGTTCCGCCAGCAGCAGCAGCAAGAAATCACATCACCATGGGTCTCCATTGACTATGATTCAACCATCTTCGCCGCAAACTAAAAGTTTGCTAGGTCCTGAATCTAAGGGGAATGACGTGAATTTTGTAGTTGGTTTGAGCGAAAATTTGTTGAGCGAATGTCGTCGATTAACAGCTGAAAATGCAAAATTGAAACCAAAATTAAAACTGGCTTTAGAAGAAATTCAAACTTTCAAAGATGAGATATTCGAATTGAAACATTATAAGGAATTCCAAGCCACCAATGAAAACCAACTCAAGGACAAGAATTGGGAATTGGAAGCCACAGTCAACAACTTAAACGACCAAATCAACCAATTGAATCAGGAGAATTCTAAACTTGCTGGTAAGAATGACGAATTGTCCACCGAATTAGCCAATGTAAATAAACAACATGATAAATTAAACGTAACGAATGAATCTTTAATCAAAAATTTGAATGACTTGCAACTTAATTATCAAGCTCAGATTACTAATTTAAACCAACGAATTGATGCTTTGAATGACGAAAATGACCAATTGCATTTGAAATTAACTGGACCTGACCAATCAACTTCTACAGACTCAGTCAAGGCCACAGCCAAGAATGATCCATGGCTTAACTTGGATGATTCCACCAATGGTGGTGATGACGGTGCCAATGACATGACATTTGATTCCATATTGTTGGAATTAGAAGCTCACGATTTACCACCTTCCAATCCTTCCAATCCCCAATTGGAAATTGAGACGTTAAGGTCCACTTTACAACATTCAAACAGAACAATTGCCAAGTTGAGATCGTCAATTCTTAAAATGAAACGGGAAGATTTGCAATCAACCCCATCCCCAACTAAACTGAGCCTTCGATTCAGAAAATCAAGAAATGAAGTACAACCATTGGGAACATCTTCAAATAGAAATTCCATGATTTCACCCAAAAAGCGTGACTCGAAGTTTTTGATTACTGCTGATGAAGATACTTCGTTCACCGAATTCCCAACTGAAGGTGGAGAATGGGATGATTTTATCGAAGATATTCCTTCTACTACCAAGAAGAGTATAAGCCCGGTAAGAACGAATGCAAGTCCAGTAAGAAGTAATGTATTGTCAGATGTACCTCAATTGGTTGAGTCTGAAGGAGAGGAAGAAGACACCACTATTCAAAGAAAGCCAACAATATTATCGAAGGAACTCTCGACGAAATCAATCGAAGAACAGATTCAAGAATATGTAAAGGCTAATAATTTGATTTTAATACCAGTTGACCAGTACACTGATTTATCCAATAATTCCATTACAACATTAACGAATGATAAAATTGTTAACCTTGCCAAGGCAAAGGGTTATCACGTTTTGTCTCAAGCTGATTATGAAGAATTAGTAAATGAAGAAGAAATGAAGAAGAAGTTGGAAGCTAAGGGATTGATAACGATACCTCAAGATGATTTGACTAAACTCAAACATGATTTGGATTCACCATCAGTTGATTATATCACCTCCAAAGCTAACGAACATAATCTTCATGTTCTTAATCAATCAGATTTCAACCAGTACCAAGCCACAATAGCTGATCATGAAAAACCATCAAAGGTGTATTTGAAGGAAAAGGCAAACTCATTAGGATTGATCATGGTATCATCTGAATTATACGATGAAGTGGTTAAGAATGCGAACGAACCAACAGTTGAACATATAACTTCAAAGGCTAAAGATTTAAATTTACATGTTGTACCTAACGAAGACTATGAAAAGTTGACAAATCCAACCATTGAAGATCTTTCTCACCATGCCGAAAAGCACCAATCAAAGGTAATTTCAACCAATGAATACGAAGGTTTAATCAACCCATCCGCACAAGCAGTGGAAGAGCATGCAACTAAACACAACATGAAGGCAATTACAATTGATCAATTGACCTCTCTTGAAACCTCAATTGCCAAACCAACCTTGGAATATTTAAAAACTCATGCCCCAAATTATAACCATCAAATAATTGATACTGAAGAATTAGCCAAATTGAATAAATTAGCTAATGAACCAAGTTTACAACAAGTTAAATTACATGCTGATAAGCATGACTTGGTAACGTTATCCAAACCAGAATATACCGAATTATTTAAAATGGCCAATGAACCAACTGTTGAAAATCTCACCACCAAAGCCAATGATAAAGGAATGACTGTAATTAAGACTTCGGAGTACCAAACATTGACTAATCCTACAGTTGAACAACTTAGAGATAAAGCTGGTGGGTTCCATCATGCTGTTATTGATAATGACCAGTTGCAAGCATTGAAGGAAATGGTAGATACTCCAGATATTGAACATATTACTTCTAAAGCTCAAGCTATGGATTATAAAGTGGTGGCTAATTCTGAATATACAAAGTTGCATCAACGTGCCACTAACCCAACATTGAACCAAGTCAATGAAATGGCACAAGCATTGAACCAATCTGTTATTCCAACCACACAATTGAATGATTTGAATCTGTTGGCTCATGAACCTACAATTGAACATTTACAATCGATGGCAGAAAAGAAAAACCACACATTAATTTCAAAGGAAAGCTTTGAGAATTTGAATAAATTAGCTCATGAACCTGAAATTGACCATTTGACAAAACTAGCAAGTGATAAGCAACATGTAATAATACCACAACTGACTCATGATGAATTATTGAATCCATCGATTTATGTTGTTTCTCAGAAGGCTCAAGAATTGGGACATGTTGTTGTACCAGAACTGGAATTGGTCGAATTAACTACTAAAGCTAATGAACCAAGTCGAGACCATCTTGCTGCTAAGGCTAAGAATATTGGATGCTCAATAATTGATGATTCTGAATTGGAAGATTTAACAACTCGCGCTGAACGACCAGATTTGGAATTAATCAAGAACCATGCAACTACATTAAACCACAGCGTTATTTCAAACCAAGAATTACAGGAGTTGAAGAAGACAGTTGATTCACCAAGTGTAGATCATATCATTGCCAAATCAAAAGATCTTGGATATATTGCCATCCCTCAAGAGCAGCACGAAGAATTGACCAAATTGGCTTATGAGCCATCAGTAGATACCGTTAAGGAACATGTAAGCAAACATGGATTAGTTGCTATCCCAGTACAAGAACATGAAAAGTTGAAACAAATTTCAGAAACACCTGACATTGGCTTTATTAAAGAAAAGGCAAGTATGTTAGATTCTGTAGTAGTGCCAGATAAAGAATTCGCTAATCTTCAAACCTTGGCCAACAATCCACCACTCGATCATTTGAAATCAAAGGTTGAAACCCATGATCATATAATTATTCCTGCTTCGGAATTGAATGAATTGAAATCTTTAATTGCTAGCCCATCACTTGAGTACATGCACGAAAAGCTGGAAGCTCAAAACATGAAACTTGTACCAGTTGATGAATTTAAGAGTCTTTTAGACATAGCACATAACCCAAGCACATCACATTTGGAATCGAAACTCATGAATTTAGGAATGGCAATGATTAGTGTGAGTGCACTTCTGGAATTGAAACATAAGCTTGCCGAGCCAAGTGAAGAATATTTACGAGAGAAGGCTAACTCAAGACAATTGCAGGTGGTGCACAATGATGAATTAGCTAGATTACACCATGAATTAAATGAACCTTCTGACGAATACTTAAAGAACAAATCAGAAGCCCGTGGTTTACAATTGGTACCTAGCGAGGAATTAGCTAGATTACATCACGAGTTGGAAGAACCTGCAGATGAATATTTGAAGACTAAATCAGAAGCCCGTGGTTTACAATTAATACCTAATGAAGAATTGACTAGATTACGAGATGAATTACAAGAGCCAACCGATGAATATTTGAAGACCAAGGCTGAGGCTCGTGGATTAGAACTAATTAAATCAGAAGATTTAAAACGTATGGAACATGAAATTAATGAACCAAATATTGAGTATTTGACTAACAAGGCTCATTCCCACCAAATGAACTTGATTCCCGTTGACGAATTGACTAAGATGAAGCAAACCATCGAATCGCCTGCTGAAGAGCACTTAGCCACCAAAGCCCAATCTAAGGGATTGCAACTTGTGAAGAATGATGATTTGGAAACCATGAAGAACACGATCGAAAATCCAAGTGTTGAGTTCTTAACTGAACAGGCATCTGCTAAGGGAATGTCAGTAATTGATACAAGGGAATATGTTCTGTTGAAGCAAGATTTGGAGCAACCAACTCACGAATACTTATCAAGGAAGGCGCAACAACAAGGAAAGCAAATAGTTGAAGATAATGAAATGGAACTGTTAAAGAAATTGGCACATGATCCTGAAATTGACCATATCAAGAATGTTTGTTCCAATAAGGGACTTGTCGTGTTACCTACAGCTGAACACAAGAAATTAGTTGAACAAGCGTCTAACCCAGATATTTCTCATATTACCAAAGTTGCTTCGAAGAGAGATTTGGTGGTATTACCTGTGGTCGAGCATAAAGACATTGTTGAGAGATCCACCAATCCTGATGTTTCTCACATTGAAACAGTGGCTGCTAAACGAAACCATAAGGTTGTTCCTAATATGGAATATGATAAGTTAATTCATAGTGCAGAAGTAGCAAAAAATCCAACTATTGAATTTATCAAATCTCACGGGGCTCAATTAGGATACAAGGTGATTCACATGGATGACTACAACCGTATTACAAACTTGGAAGGACAGGCCAAGGAGCAAGGGTTCACAATGATTTCTAGTGATGAATATAAGGATTTGGTCACAAAAGCAAACAAATCAATCGAGGAGCTTGCTGATGAGGAGCACATGGTGTTACTTCCACAAGATAAATATCAAAAGTTGCTAGAAAAATCGAATAAGTCAGTGGAAGAACTTGCTCGTGAGAATGATTTGATAGTTATGCTGAACCAAAATCATCAGAAATTGACAAGTCTTGCAAATAGAACATTTGAAGAATTTGCTAAGGATAATGGCATGGCGGTTGTTACTTTGGAGCAATATAAAAAGGTTGTTGCAGAGGCAGAGAAGTCATTGGAGGAACATGCTAAACAGGAAGGAAAGGAAGTTATCGCCACTAAGGACTTGCAAGACCTCAAAGATGGGATTGAAAATCCTACCTTAGAATACATGAAAGAATGTTGTAGAAAGCATTTGCACAAGCTTGTTCCAGAAGAAGAATACAGTGCTCTACAAGTTAAAGCTAACAGACCAGTTGAAGAGATTGCAAGGGAATCTGGATTGGCTGTGCTCCCATCTGAGAAATTACAAGAGCTCGAAAGAAATGTCGAATCTCCAACTACTGAGTACATCACCAATAAAGCTGCAAGCTTAGGTTTAGTGGCTATTGCAGCTAAGGAATACAGTAATCTTACGAATTATTTTAAGAAACCTATAGAGGAAATTGCTAATGACAGCAACAAAGTTGCAGTTGAAACTACGGAATACCAACGTTTGATCACTCAACTGAACGAACCATCATTAGATCATATTCGTTCTGTGGCCCAGAAGCATAACCATGTACCTATACCTAAAGAAGAATACGAAGGCTTGACCAAGAACACTCAGGATCCTGATTTGACATTTGTAGAAACTAAAGCTAATGATAAAGGTTACAAATTAATTGAACAAAATGCATATGACGACATGCTTGAAAAGGTTAATAGACCTATAGAAATAACGGCTAAAGAATTGGGATTAAGTGTGGTTCCAATCCAAGAACTCGAAGACTTGAAAACACAGTTGCAATCACCTTCTGAGGATTACTTGCAGGAAAAAGCAAAGTCGCTCGATGCTGTGGTTGTATCAACTAACGAATTAAATTCACTAAAGGAATTGGTCAACGAACCATTGGAACAAAAAGCTGGTGCTGTGGGTATGGCTGTTGTAGCAAGTGGTAAACTTGCTGAATTAGAAGAAGTATATAACAACCCAACAATTGAGTTTTTGAAGAAAAAGATATCTGAGCTTGGTTTTGAAATCATTGAAGCGAAAGATTTGGATAATTTAAGACAAGAATCGACCGATCCATCCATTGAGAGAATTAAGCTCCATGCCGAAAATAAGGGTCAAATTGTGATGGAAAAGGAAAATCATGAACATTTAGTGCAAGAGGCCAACAAGACTTTGGAACAAAGAGTAGAGGAGAACTCAATGAAACTTGTGCCACTTGAAGAGTATGAACAGATGACTCGTGAAATTAATAAAACATTGGAACTGAGAGCCGAAGAGAACTCAGTGAAACTTGTACCACTTGAAGAGTATGACCAGATGACTCGTGAAATTAATAAAACGTTGGAACTGAGAGCCGAAGAGAATTCAGTGAAACTTGTACCACTTGAAGATTTCGAACAAATGGAAAAGTTGGCCAAGGAATCACTAGAAGAAAAAGCAGAAAAGGAAGGTAAGAAGGTAGTAGATGTAGATAAATGGGAAAAGATATATCAAGATGCTACTAATCCTTCACTTGAACAAATTTCTAAATGTGCTAAACAAAAATCATCTGTGGTGATACCTGAAGAGCAATACATTGCTATGACCAAGGAATTAGAAACACCAATTGAAAATAAAGCTGAATCTGTTGGTTTGAAAGTATTACCATTGGCAATATTTGCTGATTTGATGAAGCACAAGGAATCACCTTCACTTGAATTCCTCAAGGACAAATCTAGTTCTAGTGGACATGAAATTGTTGAAAAATCACACCTTGAACATTTGACAAGAGAAGCTGCATTACCTATTGAAGAAAGAGCTTCCAGAGATAATATGGTTGTTTTAACCAAAGATAAATTTAAGGAACTTGCAAATCCTAGTGTCGAGAAGTTGAGGGAGTATAGCTCCAGTAATGATCATGCTATTGTTCCAATTTCTCAACTTGAAGCATTAAAGGCTGAAGCTAACGAGTCATTAGATTCACGGGCCAAGAAGGCCGATATGATAGTAGTATCTAATACTGACTACTCTGATTTGGTTTCTCAGGCTGCTAAACCATCGATGGAAACCATACAAAACGTTGCAAGCGAGCAAGGACAAGTGATTATTTCCAAAGAGGATCATGAAGATTTAATAAACCGTGCTAATGCTACCATTGAAGATAAAGTACAAGGAACCGATTTGAAATTGTTAAAGAATGCCGAATATGATGAGTTACTTATCAATGCTAATAAGCCATCCATTGAGCATATCCAACACCATGCTACCGCCATGGGATTTGCTGTAGTAGCTATGGATGACCTTGCTGAATTAAAGGAAAAACTGGCTGAAACTATTGAAGACAAAGCTGCTATGCAAGGGTTAGTCGTATTAAAGAAGAATGAATATGAAGATTTGAAAACGCCATTGGCTGAACGTGCCTCTGCTGCTGGGTTTGCATTGGTTGGTGGTGACGAGCTTGAAAAGTTGAAAAAAGATGCTGAACAACCAGTGGAGGAAAAGGCAAGAGATGAAGGTAAAGTAATCTTGGGTCAAGATAAGTATGATGATATGGTTGCTAATATTGGTTCTCTTGAAGAAGAAATTAAATCATTACAAATCACCTCAAATAATATTGAACCTGTCAAGGAGAAATTGGCTGAATTTGGATATCATGTGTTGCCAGATAATGAATATCGTGATTTAGTTGAACATAGGGACCTGGACCACTTCCTTGATGCTTCTGATTCCTTTGTGACTGAGGAAGACTTACATAAGAATGCTGCCAGAATGAATTTGGTAGTAATATCAGAGAAGGAACTTGATGATCTCAAGAAGGTTGATCAACAGAAAGTGGAAACATTTGCTAAAGAAACAGGTTTTTCATTGATCGCTGGTGGTGAATTAGTTAAATTAAAACAAACATTAGCCGAAAAGGACTCCCAAATTCATAAGATGAGTAGTGAAAACAAAGAAATTTCCAAGGAAGATGTAATGAACAAACTGGATGACTTGGGATTAGTGGTTTTGGAAAAGAAAGAATATCAAGATTTAATTGCACCAAAGGAGGTTTTTACTGAATCTGAATTAGTTACAAAGGCACAAGAACTTAATAAGGTACTTGTTAATAAGGATGTATTTGAAAAATATGAAAATGCCATGAATATCATTGGTGATAAAGAAAGATTGACAGGAGCAAGTAAAGCATTGGGTCTTTTAGCTATTCCTGAATCTCAATATATAGGTACAACCACCAACCCTCTTCCAGATGTTTCCAATGTCAAGGTTGTTCCAGCAAGCTATTTCAACCAATTGCTTAGATTTAAGGCAACCTCTATTGAAAAGGTTTCGGAAGATACCTTTAAACAATATGCAGAAAGTCGTGGTTATGTACACAAGGATCAAATTACTCCAGTTATTCCTCCAAATTCAAGATTTAAGGATGAAGAAACAACAACAACAACACCACCTCAAAAAATATTGGCTCCGCCAACCATGTCAAGATCTACTCCTTCAAGTACTGGATCCAGTGGTCCGAGAATTGGAACATCCGCAGCAGCTCGTTTACCACATTCTGATTCGGTTGCTTCTAGCTTATCGCCTCATTCAATTGCAGAAAGTGCTGCAGATTCTCTTAGATCCAATGCTATGTTCTCGATTGCTACTAATATTTCACTTACTGATAGTGCCATGATTCCTGCCATCACTCAAGTTGTTATTGGTGAATATTTGTTTAAATATTATAGAAAGTTGCGGGCATTGAGTGCTATTTCTGAAACTAGACATGAACGATACTTCTGGGTTCATCCATATTCATTGACACTTTATTGGTCGGAAAATAATCCAGTATTGGCTAATCCTGGAAATGTCAAGACTCGTGCTGCCGCCATTGTTAGTGTTGAGAGTGTTGATGACAATAATCCATTACCTACTGGGTTGTATTACAAGAGTATTATTGTTCATTCCACTGACAAGTCAATCAAGATTACTTGTGCTAATAGACATCGTCACAATGTGTGGTACAATGCATTACGTTATTTAATTAATAGAAATATGGATGAAATTTCCGTTGACGAAGAAGGAGATAATGATGAAGCAGTTGATCAAGTTAAACCTCTCGATGGTGATCATATGCTGCCAAAATCTGGTCAATCACTGAAGAATCTTCAGAGTTTAAGAGATAGCGTTGATCGTCGCGCATTTCCAAGATCAAAGAGTATGAAATCGACTCAAGGTATTTCATCACCCAGAAGAACTTCTAGACTCCCTTCCTTTAGAAATTAGTTTGATTTTATAAAGTTTATATGTATATATGTATAATCTATAAAAAGGATATTTATTTATACTATGCAGAGAAATATACTTATGACACTTTTTCGTTTACTTCTTGTTTCAAAGGTGAAGAAGTCAATGGTAAAGTCTTTTTGGTTTTCAATGATAATTTAGGTCCAATAGTTAATATCAGTACTATAATAACTGCAAATATGCTTACCAATAATGTGATTTTAAAAATCGAATTATAACATTGGTTACCTAATAAACAAACCAAACCACCATGTTGTTCACTAAATTGTGATTTTGAATCATAAATTGATCCAAATAACATAGTGAAATAATAACTTGGTAAAATTGGAGCCATATTAACTACTCCCCAATTATATGAAAAATTGTCCAAACCAAAAGTATCACCGACGATTAATGGCATAATACAAAATGTAAATCCATAAAATAATCCAGTTAATAATGAATTTAGTGGTAAATTGTCATAAGTCCTGGTAGTTAAACTTAATAGTTGAGTTATCATCATTCCAATCGATGGGAAAAACAAGAGCCAAGTTCGTGATTTATTAAAAGATTGTGTAATGATATCACCCATTATTCCAGAAATGATTCTTCCAAGACAGTTTGCAATTGATAAAAGTCCAACTTGGAATTGCTGATCGTGTTGAATTATAGTCTCTGTTTCTTGTAAAAGGATCGGAGTGATATCCACTTCATTTCGAAGGGAATAACTTACCAATGCCTTGACTATGTAGCCGACTGAGTAAATGTACATTTGTCCAAGTGATGCTAAGGATCCAAGAATGATGAAAAGTAACCAAAATTTAGGATTCTTCAACAAGCTTTCGTTCGATAATGCTGCTTCTCCAAACTGGTAATCAGTAGTAACCAGGGGTGATAATGGGAGTGCATCCGACTTGATATCGGGATGGCTGGACTTGTGATACTTTGCAGCTGATCGCTTCAATTTGTGCTCTCGATCAGCAAGAATAATACTTGGAGAACAAACAAGTAAAATGCAAAATATAGAACCCGCAACAAATCCCAAAAAGCTTGAAGTATCACCAGGATAGAAGATTGAAGCAGCCACAGAATAAAATAATGCACTTAGACCATAAAGGGATAATGGTAACGACGTGGCCACCCCTCTAATACTGGGGAAACTTACAGCACAACACTTAAGAGTGACAGAATTAATAGCGGTTGATCCTATCCCGATCATTAGAGTTAACGAACAACTTAATGGTAAATTATGATAGGTGTAATCAAATTGACGTCTCATAATCATATACCCCAGAATGATCAAGGTTCCTCCTAGAGCAAGTGCGGCCGTATAACCTCGTTTGTCAACTAGGATTCCAGCAATGGGGCCACCAATAGCAATTCCAATTGTTCCTGATAATGCAATATATGATGAATCTGATGCAGTGTAGTTTACTTGTCTGGCAAACTGGGGACTATATGATGAATACATGTATAACGTACCACATGTTAATCCAAGAAATGTACAAGATAATAATAAGATTGCCTTTTGAACTGTACGAGGTAATGCGATCATGATCTTATGGTAACATGGATTAGTTGTTGGCAATGGATGAAGTGTGGAAACGTGGTGGGTTAAATGCCGTGCCTGAGTGGTGGTTGTGAAACTAGTAAACTCTTTCAGGGGTGTACTCTTCAAATAAATGTCTTTCGATCAAAGTTTATGAAATGTTTCAAATGCAAATTGGGATTTGACGCTTGGGGGGGAGTTGAGTTGCTATCTATTGTATATTGATTCACAAAAAATGTGGTGATGGGTTTTTAAATGACGTAAACTTTTAAAATTTCGCGTAGATTCTTTTTTGTTTTTGCTGTCTGTTGTTGTTACTGTTTACAACATGTCAACCAAGTGACGCGTAAGACATACATTACAACACTCAAATCTACCATGCTATTGTATGTTCAAATGATTGTTATCCAATGATTGAAAGGTGTAATAGGAGAATATATCATTTACTTTCTTCCTTTCTACTGTGATTGAGTACCATGAACAGAGTTCGTTTTGAGCCAACTATTTATATTGGAAGAAACTAGTGTACCTTATCAGCAAAGTTAATACTTGTAGAGCTTTTTATACTTTCTGAAGCTATCTCCTCTATTTCTTGTTGACTTGAGTTCTCTTATAGATAAAGGAAAAGTTATCAAGAGTGTTGCCAAAAGTTTTACCCACAGTAGTCCCTATTGGCCAAAAAATACTTTAAAGTGAAAGTGGAAGTGGCTGTGTCTTATACTGAATAATCTAGTATCAAAGAGAGTTAGTATAAAATGAGTAGTGCTTACCTAAGTAATCCTCTATTAATACCACTGAGAGCATTGCTTTCAATGCTAAGAAGATTTATTTCATTCTTTTCCTTCCTAACTTACAACCCTATTCTTATTATAAGTAACATTTATCACAATTCAATCAATCCTCTTTTCTGTGTGTGAGAGTATAATTTGGTGGCATCTATAAAAGAACTGAACATCAACTCAGGAAGAAATCGCCATAGTTATTTTTGCAACACTTAAACCCCCTCCCCCCCGCGATTTCCTCCCTTTAGCAAAAAAAAAGCACATCAGATTTCATTTACACACCCAGGTACAGCCACCACCAACACTATGACAAATATATCCAAAGACAAAATAGATCAACTTATTTTAAACTACTTCATTCAAGAAGGCTATCAAGAAGCAGCTATCAGTTTTTCAAAGGAGTTAAATATTGATATCACCAAAAATGCACCCCCTGTTCACAACACTGCCCGTAGCACAGTTAAAGAGAACTCATTTATAAATCAATTAGGAAGAATTAATAAATTAGACGAGAATGAGTTTTCCGATGTTGCTATTGATTATTTCAATAGAGAGGAAAGTACTCCCATGGTTAAGACTGCTTCATTAGGCACCAAGCTTGATCATATGGGAGGATCTAAATTAATTGCAGGGTATTCAACAATTATACCACGACAAGAAATTAAATTACTAATATTAAAAGGATCAATTACGGAAGCTATCAAGAAAATCAGCGAACATTTCCCTACAATATTAGATCTTAATAACTTATTGCACTTTAAATTACTAAGATTAAACTTGGTGGAAATGATTAGAAATCACAAGTTAACCAAGAATATGAATCAAGATGAACGACAATTTCTTGATGAAATTCTAACGTTTGTACGAGAAAACTTGATTAATAAAGTTTCCAACTCTTTCAAATTACTCAAAGAATTGGAAATCACCATGAGTTTGTTATGTTTTAATTTTGATCCAAATGTCCCAAATATCGAAGATCAAAAGGACTTACCTCAGGAATTACGCAATTTATTTAACTTGTCTTTGAGAAATCAATGTTATAGACTAGTTAACAAGGCCATTTTGAATCTTTACGATTTTGATGATGAAGAGAACAAGTTTGAAACCATAGCCAATAATAATGAAGATCAATGGAAAAAAGATAACATGCAAATATACAAAGGACCTAAGTTTTTTGAATTTGATTTATCAAATTTGGACAAGTACGAAGAAGAAGAGGATGATATTATGGAGGCTGATAATGGAGAAGATGAGGATATTCAATATATAATTAACTCAAACAACGGTGGTGGAATTAATTTGAATGACAATAATACTAGTTCCAATGATAAAGACGGTACTACCGTTGAAGAAGAGATTAATAAGTTACAAAGTTTATCCTTGGAATCAAAATTAGAAAGAATTGTTAAACTTTGGACAATAACTGAACAAAGATTGATGGATTTGAATATAATTAAAGAAAAGAGGTATGTTCTTAATGAAGAATATTTATAGGAACGTATAATGAATATCATATTGAAATGTACAAGTACATAAATGTGACAGTAATGGCATTTCTAAGCTTAAGGACAATCAGTGCTATACAAGTATGACACTATCAATGACATTCCCAGTTTCAATTTGACATTTACTCAAATAGTTGTTGTTCTCTGCTTTTGGAACTAATTGATTCTTGTTATTGTAAATCACAACATCATCAATAGTTATACTATGGTTATCTAGATGTTTATAAGCATCAGACTCTTTGAAAATATTTAAAGTTTTATTTCTTAAATGTTCAATCGTTGAACCTAATTCTGGTTCTTCGTTCATTTCGAAATCTTCAGGACTGAATTCAAAATAGTACTTGACAAACTTCTCCAACAAGAATATCTCGGTGCTTAATTGGGTCAACCTGTTCCAGTACAAAACATTATACTTGGACTTTTGTTTCAATTCATAGTATTCCTTCAATTTGTCTTGGTCAGATTTCTTGATTACATTCAATCTAATATGGACATGAGCGCAATGAATAGGAATTTCAGTAAAGATATCCTTGGCGTGATACTCCCATAAGTTTAAGTATATCCCACTCCAGTAAATAGTTTCATAACTAATTAATCCAATGGAAACTATAACCAACAACTCAGTGATAAACTTGGAAGCTGGGGTAGCTAGCAAATCAGCAGTAAATGAGTTTTTCAACAACTGGGTAGTTAGAAATTGATCAAATTCATACAATAATTCAATTACGGTGGTCATAGTTTTCGCCTAATATTACTTGCCCTGGTATATTGGGTTTCTGTTTACTATGATCTTTGAAATTACCGTTTTCGTTACCCGATCTCGCAGAGCCCATATGGGATTTATGTCGTAAACCTAATTCCGAGTGTCGTGTCTTAATGTCGCGAAACAGCCGTCAATTTTTATATTTTTTTTTATTTTTTTTTTTATGGTTTCAGTTTTTTTCTACTCTTCGTTTCAAATTCAAGAATGACAAACTTTTCGTAGTTGGTTGCTACTTAGTACACTACATCAATTACATTCACAGTAATGGATAATAGAAAAGTGTATAAATCCTACAGGGAAAAGGTTAAAGGGGCAGGTAACCATCCTTATAATGGTAGTACTGCCATAACTTCCAAAGTTAAAGGCCTATTAGGTCTATGGAACTCAATTAAACTGGCGAATGCATCACCCAAGGAAACCAAAGAACAACCCCAACCATTCAAGTTTGAACCACCAAAAATTGTTCAATCAATGCCCGGAGCATTTCATACATCATCATCGACAGCACCACCTCCATCAGTTTCTGTATCTTCGTCTGCATCCGTTTTAGCACCACCAGCATCAACACCTTCCACTACTACAGAGGAAGATGCATCACCAAATAAAATATTGTCCAAATTCTTCCAAGAAAAAGGTGATAGACCATTGACTGATATTGAGTATGAAGGAGTAATGTCATTGATGTCTAAATCAAAACACGGAACCCCTTATAAAAGATCAAGAATTAATTCTATAGATGAGACCTTGATTGATCAAACTTTTTCCAATATTGAGCCATCTTCAAAAAGAAAGAAGACTGATGCCACAACCCCATACACTCAAAAAACATTAGTACAAACTCCAAATATTACCATTAGCACCCCTGAATACAATCCAGTGTACCATACTATCCACAATGATACAACAAACACGTCTTTCAACAAAAGCATTCCTTCAATTAAACGAGTATACCAATTTTCTGGGTTACCATCACCTTATAGAACAAGAATAAAGCCACCAAGTTTTATTTCTTCAAGAAGAAAACAACTACAGAGTACCAGAGCTAATAAGACTATGAATAATATACCCGACACTACTGCTACATCGTTTGCACAATCCAAATCATTTGTTTCTGGCCCTTCTACCAGCTCTACTGCAAAGACTTTATTGTCCATTCTTGATGGAAAATCATCACAACAAACAAAGGTAGCATCTGTAACAAACGATAAATTAAAGTTGTTTAGCAACCCATACGGATCAAGAATAAAGAAGTCAAAACCAACCAATGTTTCCATAACTGCTAATGATATCGAGAAAACTATATTATACGATAAATCGGAACCATTGCCTGAAGCTTCTGTCAACGGTCGTGCTACTTTGTCACTGATTGAAAACGGAAGTAAGCCCTCGGATGACCTGACTATAAAGTCCCAAGAAACCAACGGAATTAAGATTGATACCAAGAAAGTTGACAGTGATATCAAAACTCCACTCTTCACATTTGGAAAAAATGCAACACCAAAAGAGTCTGATAATAAACCAGAAGTTTCAAAACCAGATGTTAAACCGGCCAATGTATTCCCTACCACCACTTCAGCTCCTATAACTAATGGTGATTCCAACAGCAACAGTAACAACAATAGATTTGTCTCTGAAGATAAACCAGCTTTTGAATTCCCTAAAGTTGACGTGGTTCATGTTGTAATTGACCAGAAAGAAGTTGATAAATTTAAACCAATGTTTGAATTTTAATAAACCCCTGTCATTTTATATATAACTGTATAGTTTTGTAATTGCGACCTCCTAATAGATGAAAGGTTTTATTGTTGTATGTCATGTGGGTTCTCTCGTACCGGTGATTATACGAGCCGGTGAGAACGTCCGAAACGACACGAAGAAAAAAAAAATAGGCAAAATGAAAAACCTAACAAATAGATCAACTTTATCAGCAAGCTTCACCATGACTAAATCACCATTGAATTCTGTTCTTTTGGTCGGAGGATCTGGATTTCTTGGACTTCATTTGATTGAACAATTCCATAGACATTGTCCTGAAACCAAAATCACCATATTCGATATTCGTCCATTACCAGAAAAATTATCCCAATACTTCACATTCAACCCTTCACAAATTCACTTCATTAAAGGAGATTTAACTGCAGAATCTGACGTTTCAAATGCCATTACTTCCAGTGAATGTGATGTCATTGTCCATGCTGCATCTCCAATGCATGGATTACCCCAAGAAATCTATGAAAAGGTTAATGTTGAAGGTACCAAAAATTTACTTGCCCAAGCTAAAAAGTTAGGTGTTAAGGCATTTGTATATACTTCTTCCGCAGGAGTTATATTCAATGGACAAGATGTTTACAATGGTGATGAATCATGGCCATACCCTGATGTCCACATGGATGGATATAACGAAACCAAAGCTATTGCTGAAACTGCAGTTATGAATGCCAATGATCCAGCCAAGGGATTCCTTACTGTTTGTTTGAGACCTGCAGGTATTTTTGGTCCTGGAGATCGTCAGTTAGTTCCTGGGTTAAGAGCAAGTGCTAAATTAGGACAATCCAAATATCAACTAGGTGATAATAACAATTTATTTGATTGGACCTATGTCGGAAACGTTGCTGATGCTCATGTATTGGCAGCAACCAAGATTTTAGATCCGGAATTCTCACAACAATTGGGTGGTGAAACCTTTTTCATCACTAATGATGCTCCAACATATTTCTGGACTTTAGCACGTACAGTGTGGAAAGCTGATGGTTATGTTGACAAATATTATATTAAATTGAGTCGTCCTGTAGCTATTGTCTTGGGTTATTTCTCGGAATTTTTCCTGAAATTAGCTGGTAAAGAACCTGGTATTACTCCATTTAGAGTTAAGGTTGTTTGTGCTACAAGATATCATAACATTTCCAAAGCCAAGACTATTTTAGGTTATAAACCTGCTGTTGATTTGGAAACTGGTATAAAGTATACCTTAGATTGGATGAATGAAGATATTTAAATATGGTATTAAACTATTGACATTATATTTAGTCAAAAATTATAAGGAAACTAATAAATAGAATGATAAATAACCAAGTATCGTTTATGAAGCCTCTATCTAAAGCAGCCGAATTTTCCCACTCGTTTCCTGTTAAATTGGCCGTGACATTTGTATAATTCCTAACTTGTGGTTCATCTTCTTCATCACTGTTATCACTGTCTTCACTGTCTTCATTTAACACAAGTTTAATCTTTTTGTTTCTAAACGGAGATTCTGATGAATGTAAGGATGAAATACCTGAGTCTCCCTTATGGTCAGTCACTTCAAAATCAGACTTTGGATGAACCTTGCTTTTGATGGAAGTAACTGCCTGATCCTCTTCGTTATCAATATCGTTAGACTTGCCTTTTTTCTTTTTGATCTTAATAGTAGAATCATCATCTTTCTTGAATGGCAAACTACAAGCATTAATTTCACTTAATTCAACACAGTCGTTCAATAAAACTGTCAAGAAATTAGTGGAAGGATTTCCAGGACACAAATGATAACATTCTTGTTCAATACTTTGTAAAGCACAACATTCACAAGCTAAATCATCAGGTTTACACTCGTCTAATCTTGTCAAAACATCATTGCAACATCCAGAAAGTTTAATTAAGTCATTAGGTTCACATTTATTAACAGGTCGTGGATTTGGATTAATATAAGTACCATATTCATTCAGGGAAGCACTTACTGAAACAGCGGCAACAACAAATGGTAAATAAATAAACAAGAATTGTAAAGTTATAAGGAATCTTGTGGTTTTATTCAACAGTGTGACTGCTTTCATGGCTGGTTATTTTGGTTTAATTGATTATGTGTTGTTTTTTGTATAACCTGATTACAAAGAAACAATTGCAAAAGTTTTGAACAAAATGTTGCAAAATTATACAAAAAATGAGAAAAATCCAAAAAAAAAAAATCCAAAAACCAAAAAGAGAGCAAATTTTACCTCTAACAAAACTTTGTCCATATTGAAGCAATGATAATAATTTACCCGATAAATCTCCCAAAAACAATCAGCACCAGAAAATAAGCCAAAGTCGACTTATACTTGGTGTACTCGTATTTAGAGTTCGTATTGGCGGATGTCGATTGATCGTTACCAGGTAAACCCATTTTGATACTTTCCAAATTAAGAAGACGCCGCACAATTCATATTTTACTCGGCTATTACAATGCTAAACAACTCAGCCCCCTTTCGTTAATTGTTACAAAAGGTTGCACACACTTGACAAATGTACATATTAAGGTATACAAAAACGATAAGAGTAGTTTAATACCACAAAGTAATTCCTATGTAGAAAGAAAAAAACAAAGAAAGAACGAGATATAATGTATCAAGGTTGATTTATATGTAATAATAGTATGCAAAAAAGTTATCGTGTAGTCACCTTACTTAAAGCCGAAATAAAATAGTGCGACAATCATAATATTTGCCCAGATTTTTTTGCAATCTCCTTTGCCTCACAACTGTCGTTGTTAATTGCTAAAAACTAAATTTCGTAAAGACCACATTATTATACGTCAGTGTCTCAGAAGCCCCATAGTTAGTGTACGTCATCTGCAAGACCAGTAATTCATCCGAATAAGATACGGTAGTGCAAGAAAGATTTTGGGTGCAGTTTTCTTAGAACCTAGACGTAGTGAAATGAAATGAATTAGCGCGATGCAGACCAAATGTTATTAAATTTTCTTGTCGTCGATCAGCTTATAAACAAATTATACGATCATAAAACAACGTACTGAAGCTAAGTGCCAGATCTCTGCAGAATAAAATCATACCACGAACTTGGAAGCAGAAAGTACTCTCTCTTTCAAGCATTAGCAGACGCGTATTGCAAACCTTCTAGGTCAAATAACACATTTCCCATTGTAACTAATTGTTTCATGATCTAAAAATAAATACAAAACTTTAAATCCCAAGAAATGTTGCACGGAATTTTTTTTTAGTCGTGTTTTTTTTTTTATTTTATTTTCTTGTTCCATGTTTTGCTGAATGCATGCTAAAGTTAAAATAATGAAAACTGAATCATTTCCAAGCAAAACACACGTTATGAAAAGTATAAATAATTCACTGTTTTCTCGAATAAATTTTCAGATTTTGTATTTAGATCTTGTTCCTTTTTTAAAACTCGGATTATTTTTTTTTGTTATATATCTGCTATCTTTTTGCAATAATTTCCTAGTTTTATCAGAACTACTCCACTGATTGATAATATAACCACATTCCCTAAGGTTTTAAAACAGCAAAAGAAGGAAAACTAGCTACGATATGAAAGTTTCATCCATCACTATTGGTTTGGTTTCATTGTGCTCCTTGGTTAGAGCCAAGTTTGAAGCAACCCCAGAAGTTGAAGTAGTCGGTAACAAATTTTATTTTAGTAATAATGGCTCCCAGTTCTTAATGAGAGGAATTGCATACCAACAAAACCCTGCTGAAGAAAAAGATTCCAAATATAAGGATCCTTTAGTTGACCAAGAAACTTGTAAACGTGATGTAAAGTACTTGAAGGAACTAAATACCAACACCATTAGAGTTTATGCTCTCGATCCAACCAAGGATCATGACCCATGTATGAAGATTCTTGCAGATGCTGGTATTTATGTCATTGCCGATTTGTCTGAGCCATCCGTTTCTATCAATAGAGACACTCCAGAATGGAATCTTGACTTATTCGAAAGATATACCAAGGTTGTAGATATGCTTGCTCCATACTCAAACGTGTTGGGTTTTTTCGCTGGTAACGAAGTAACTAATAATGACACAAACACTGACGCTTCACCATTCGTTAAGGCTGCAATTAGAGATACCAAGAAGTACATCGAAGAAAAGAAATATAGAAAAATCCCTGTTGGCTATTCTTCCAATGATGATGAATTTATCAGAGTTCCTATTGCTGATTATTTTTCATGTGGAAGCTTGGAAGACAGAGCTGATTTCTTTGGGATCAATATGTACGAATGGTGTGGAGATGCAACCTTCAAAAGTTCTGGTTATGAAGACAGAACTAATGAATTTAAGAATTTGACCATTCCAATCTTCTTTTCAGAATATGGTTGTAACGAGAAGAGACCCAGAAAGTTTACTGAGGTTCGTGCACTTTATTCAACTCAAATGACCGATATTTGGTCTGGTGGTATTGTTTATATGTATTTTGAAGAAGAAAACAAATACGGTTTGGTTGAAGTTAAAGGTGATAAAGTTTCTACTTTGAAGGACTATGAATATTACAAATCCGAAATTAATAATATTAGTCCATCTTATGCCCAAGTCAAAACAGTTTCAGCCGAAGCTACCCAAACCCTTGCTTGTCCTGCCTCTGATCAAAAGCATTGGAAAGCAGCAACAGACTTACCACCAACTCCAGACCAAGATTACTGTAACTGTGTTGCTAAATCTTTTGACTGTGTTGTTTCTGATAAAGTTCAACTGAAGAAATACGGAGATCTTTACGCTGAAGTCTGTGGATTAATTGATTGTAGTAGCATTTCAGCCAATGGTACAAGTGGTGATTATGGAGAATACTCCTTCTGTTCTGATAAAGACAAATTATCCTATGTTTTGAATTTATACTACCACGACCAAAATGAACATGCCCAAGCTTGTGACTTTGATGGATCTGCTAGCGTTAATGTCAATGCAGAAGAAACTAAGAAGTGTTCAGCAAAGAACCCAGTCACTTCCAAGTCCAAATCTGCATCTGGTGATGCAACTTCCACATCAAACTCTAAGTCTACCAAGCAAAATGCTGGAAACATCAGTGCAAAGAAAATGAGTATGGCAGAACTCATTGCATTGACCACTGTTGTAACTGGGCTCATTACTGGGTTCTCTATGGTGCTTTTTGAATAGTTTTTTCTTCTTCATTAAATTGATTTGTATGTGTAGTGAATATAAATGAACAATTAGGGTTCGCTTCTAGTCAATTTTACCTACAAGACCATTATTTTAAGTTATAAATATAAATCTTATGAATTTCTAACCCATATTCTACTACTACTGTATGTATATGCACAATCCAACCTAAAAAAAAAAACAATAACCACAATACTAAAATACAAACATCTAGCTAGCAACCATGAAGATCTCATTAAGAGCTTTAGCATCCATAACTGAAGCTCTTTTCTGTTTAATCCACTTAGCTCTAACAGAAAGTCTACTGGAAATTGGCCCAGATTCAGAAGACAGTGGTGATAAACTATACAGCCTGTCTGGTGTGGACATTTCTTTCTTATCATGCTTCTCCTTCTTTGTCTTCTTTTCTTTCTTCTCTTTCTTTGCCTTCTTCTCTTTCTTTTCTTTCTTTGCCTTCTTTTCTTTCTTTTCTTTCTTCTCTCCACTCTCTTTCTTATCTCTCTTGTCCTTCTTCTCCCTCTTTTCCGCTTTTTCCTTCTTGCTCTTCTTCTCCTTTTTCAACTTAGGTTGCTCTTCCAGATCATCGTCATCATCATTGTGCTTTCTTTTGGAAGTTTCAGTTTCCGTGTTATGATAGGAAATTAACAGTTTAGTCTCGGTATTCCAAGTACTTTGAAGAACCTCTCCCTTTACAAATTGCATACCCCATTTCCCATTTATTATATTTTCATTACGTTGTCTGTCCAACTCTTTATTTATTTGATCTTCCTTACCATTTAATCTCCCCAAAATTCGTTGAAAAACATCAAGTCCAGCACAATCTCCATCCAAATCATCTTTCTTTTGTTTCTTGCCTAATTTTGCTCCAAGACCAAGGTTATCGTCCTTTATATGTACTTTGACATGGGTGGTCATTGCATGCTGAACTAATCCTAAACCTTTCCCTGGTTTCCACCCCATCTTTTCTAAGTACTGATGACCAAATCTGGAAGTGTCATTGGACCAATTAGTATTTCTAGGATCCAACCCAAATCTTTGTTTTACTTTAGTTCCAGCAAGTCCCATTTGTGTATATTTCTTAGGTTTAGGAAGAGAGAAAGTTCTTTATAAATTTTTTTTTTTTTCATTGTTAAAAAAGAAATTATCACATCCCTGATTTTACGAACGCAAAAAAAAAGAAAATACAGTTACAATATAAATGAGCTAAAAACACTATACTACACATTAAATAGATTGTACAAGATTGATTGTCTTATGAACCAAGAATAGATAACCACGGATCTGAAAGCCAATAGCCCGAACAATCACCAGCGTAAATACACTTACTTGCAATCAACCAATCAATAACTGCTTGAAAATCATTGTAGCCCAAGGTTGATTGCAATTTGTTGTAAATGATATGCCCAGGAATTCCAGGTCGTGTATGAATATGATGAAGTACTGCGACTATAATTTTGATCCAAAGGGTCTCATTTATAGCTCCATCCAAGCCTAACCATATATGAGAACCAGCCTTCCCTGCGGGCACAGGTACTTTATTTTCATGGGGATAATCAGAACTTAAATTTGACTTCTGATCGCCATAGACAACTATGTCACAAATGAGCTTATCTTTATTAATTAATCGGGATTCATAACCATCAAATGTATAAGTCTTATCTATATGGGCTAAAGATACCACGTCTGATGAAATTAATTGCATCAACTGTGCCATTTCACCACTGAGAATTCCTTGTGAAAGAATTAAACCCTTCGAAGACTCTATTATGGAGAATAGGTTATCCCAGAACCTTGAAGCCTGTTGCAAAAATGAAGGCGACATCCTAACAACAAGACAATTAAAGACTCTATCAGTTAACATGAATCTGCTATTTGTATCATCAGAGCCATAATAGATCATTTCCTTCTCTTTGATTAATGCTGAAGAAGCTTCCTTCGTTAAATCATCACCATGTTCAGCCAATAACTTATTGACAGCGCTGGCGGAGAAGTTTTCTTCAGCAGTTGAAAATATAGCTTTTAAAGCCGTTCTAATTGCATCATGTGGCTTCACATTAAATGAATAATCATCGCTATAGAAAAATGGTGCGCCAATAAGACGTAGCTCTTTTTGCCTCATAGAATTATCTTCCATTTGATCAAACAAATCCTGCTGTACATCAATAGATATCACTCTATTATATCTCTGTAAGTTATCATCAACTGAATAGAATAATGGAGTTTTATCCTCAATCTCAATTGGGGAACTTGTTGACTCTCTCCACAAATCCAAAAAGAAGGGATATTGCACTTGTTCTAAATCTTTACTGGATACTATTTCGTCACGAATTGCTTTTAGAATGATACTTTCAAATTCTTCAACCCCCTTGCTAACAGCAGGCAATCCACCTACCAGCTTTCTTACAATCGTCCACTTTTGTTTACAGCTCTTGGCATCCATTCCTTCAAATAAATTGGCAATGGAAGGAAAATTAATCGGACCTTTGCTAAAACATTTGGAAATACAGACAGCACGGAAAAGAGTGGTAGCATCTGATTTATCAAATTTAGATGTTGATCTGAATCCACGGGGGGTCCTAGACTTAGTACCATCCACTTTCTTCTTACCGGGTTTAGCCTTTCTTCTATGTCTCTTAGAGACCAAATCAGTCAACTTTTCTTCTTGTTCTTGCTCTTGTTCTGGTTCTTGTTCTTCAATATCTGATAACGAAGGAGTGGTAGTTTCATTTACCACGGTTGGCTTTTTCCGTACTAGTGGCGCAGAGGTAACACGCTCATCCAAGGAAGCCAACCTTCTCTTCAGTTCCTTCTTCTTAGCTGGTGCTGGAATTTTATAGAAGGTCACCTCACTTTCTACTATACGTTTGGGCTTTAACGTGGGTGGATAATTGAGACCATTTTCTTTCAAAAAGTCTTCCTTAGCCTTTTCGATTTTTTCCTTTGAAGGTCTATAACCTTCTTCTGTTATAATCAATAATGTTTTGGCAGTTGGCTGACCATTTTTCATCACATGGAACAATTTGGTTTCCAAATCTTTAGACTCAACTAAGAGAGAAACATCTCGAGCTAAAGTTTTTGTATCAGTTCGCGTAGTCAGGGAAAGTCTTTCATCTAACATCTTAATCAACGAAGCTGTTGCATATGCAACTCCTCCCAACAGCTTGATTAGACTGAGTAATTCTGCTCTTCTCTTTGTACCCTTGATAGTCTCGGCAGAAATTCCACGGCCACTAGATTTACGGATCGGGCGCACTTCGAATCGAGGTATAATTGGTTCAATATCATCAATTCCAATGGGCGAAGCAGGTTCTTCATTCAATTCACCTTCATCGCTTTCAAAATTCTCATCGCTTTCAGCACTTTCAACATCCTCTGTTTCTTTCCACTCATTTTCTTCAACCTTTTCCTCTACTTCTGGGGACTCATCTAATCCGACATAAGAAATACGATTTCGGGCTCTTCTTGCACCCCTAGGAATTTCTGTAATCTCAACTTCAAATTCAGGTACTTTGGCTTTTTTAGGAGGTGGCAGTGGTAGTGGAGACTCCTGTTTCTTTTTTCTTTTTCTAGGTGCTACCTTATGTGAAGGGGTTGCCTTTGGAACAGCTTCTCCTTTTTGAAACTTGGCCATAAGTGGACCCTTTGGAATATTTCCCAAAGGAATATTTAACGTCCCATTAATCTTTTCAATGGTTGAATGGATCATTTTTAATTTTGGTCGTTGGTGCTTGTGAGGCTTCACATCCGTAGGAGGGTGGTTACCTCTTGCAAAATACCGATAAAATTTAAACTTTCCCTCAAAGTCATATGCCCTGACTATGGATGTCCTGTTGCATTCGTCTTCAAAGTTTTTAAACGGAACCAAGGATTTACCATCAAATGTGTAGCTGACCAATGCCTCAAGGAGTCTTGTCATTGTCTTGTGATGATTACCACAGATAGATTGCAAGAAAACCTTCAAAGCAATACCTTGATTTCCAGACATTTCAATTGCCCTGAAAAGCTGGTTGGGGACAGGGAAGAACTTATTAATTGATGGAGGAACATTTTCAACTTGCTCAATCTCTTTATTGTCATCATCATCATCAGCGTCATACCTTGTCGTTGTAGTATTAAATACATCAACATAATCGGCAATCTCTGCCGTGTTCTTGGGCAAGTCCTTTACATATTTAATGGAGTACAATAATCTAGTATCGTTCGGTCCTTTAGCATTTACCCTTTCCACATATCCACCACTTTCAAGAGATTCAATTAATGTTCCAAAATATCTCGTCACAGTCCGGTTTATATCCATTTTCAATTCGGCTCTCAAATCTCTAAACGATCTAATTTGATTTGGAGCTTCCTTAACCGCTTGAACAATACGGGGCTTAAGCTTTGCCGCACTCCCCTTAGCATCTTCCACATTCCTCTCATTCTCCGAAAACATGGCAAATTTAGAGTGCATCGTTAAATTTGTATGTTGACGAGTCTTTGAATTATAAACATTCTTCCTCACTATTAGTCCCATCTCTTCCAATTTACGAAAACGTACTGGTAATGAACGTGGATCCTGCCCCGTTGCTTTACATAAATTTGGAGAATAAACTCCATCTGCCCCATATTTTGCAATTTCACATAGCAATTGAAAACTCATCTCCCCAAGCGATTGCCTGAACTTCTTATTATCTGCAACGCCGGTTAGATAGTAACATTGTGCATCAGGTGTAGGTAGAACCCGGAGAGATTCTTCCTCTCCTTCTGTCTTAATGAAATTAGAATAGTTCGGAAGGATGGACACCGTAACCGAGTTTCGTGTTATATATAGCTGTAGTTGTTCATCCTCTTCTAAGCAGAAAAAGAGCCATTGCCATATAGTCTGTTTTTGGAAATCATCAAGATTATCCAGTTTTAGCTTGCGTTGAATGATGCTCCATAATTCCAGTAAAGGCAAACCAAATTGACCAGAAAAAGAAAGTTTTTCCAACACGAATGACACCAATTCATACGGTGTACAAGAAAACAGCATTCTTATTTGATGTCCTGTGAAGATAGTTGTGAATTGACTGGGATGATTAGATTGTTTATGATTGTAGAAAATGATGATTTCAAACCGGCAACGACATTTTTGTTGCGACATCAAGAGACATTTTTGTCTAACGAAAAATATTTAGAAGACATCAAATTTTACTATCTCTGTTGCACCAGCTAGTCAGGTAACTGAACACCAAGTCATTATGAGTGACTCTGACGACGAACCTTTGGTTTTATCTGCTCATGCTTTAGCTGCACTTACCGAGTTTAAACGCGAAGAAAAAGATCGTCTTCAACAATTTGAGTCTCTTTACAAAGCTTCTGAAGACAAATTCGAGGAGCAGAAAGCCGTCTCAATCGACGCATTTAAAGAAGATTGGCAATTGTCACAATTCTGGTATACTGATGAGACCGCAAAGACTTTAGGTAGGGCTCTACTAGAAGGTGCAGATGAGGACACAGTTATTGCAATTGCTAGTGCACCTTCGGTTTATGCAGCAATTAAACAACTTCCTAAAGAAGAGATTCCAACAAAACATATCTATTTACTTGAGTATGATCGCAGATTTGAGGTTTTGGCAGGAATTGACCATTTCAGTGTATATGATTACAACTCCCCCGACTTAATACCATCCCATCTCCGAAACAAATGTCACAGATTGTTAATCGATCCTCCATTCTTGGAGCCAGAATGTCAGACCAAGTCAGCACAAGCTGCAAAAAATCTTTTGGTTACAAATAAAGATGATCGTACTAGATCGGGTGATTCTAAATATAAGCTTATTTCCTCCACTGGAGAAAGAATGCAAAGTATTGTCAAAAAGAATTACCCTGATACACATATGACCACATTCTTGCCCGAACACAAGAATGGATTAAGTAATGAATTCCGATGCTATGCTAGTTTCGAATGTAAGTACTGGAAATTCCAGAAAGATCCATCAACGTTAGGTTAGGATTGTATAGGTAATAAAAGAAAACTTATAACCCCAAATATTACCCGGACTGTAATTATGAGCATGATGAAGCGTAAATATCAGAATAGGCGCCACTTGTCATAGATAATTATCCTGCATAATAGGCATTCTCACGTTGTTAATTATTTGATGGAAAAATTTTTTTGGGCAAAACAGGAGCGCCAGTTCATCATCATCACTGAAAAAAATTGGGAAATCCCCTTCTTACCTTATTTTACTTTCTCCTGGATCAATTCATAACTCAATTCCAATCATGTCTTTCTCCGACTTCTCCAAAGTTGAAACTATCAAGTCATTGAACGAATTCTTAGCTGACAAGTCTTACATTGATGGGTATGTTTTATTTTAGTTAACTTTCTTACTGTTGTGCCCTATGGTATAAAGTTCCCTCATGCCAAAACTTCAAACGCAATTGATCTGCTATGCAATTAATTGTAGCTTTTTCAATGTTAAAAAATTGACGTTTTTACAATTGAGTGAAACTTTTAATTCCTTCTATTAGAATGATGAACTTAATCTTTGGTCCGTGTTTATGAGGTGGACTCAAGACCCACCGCGTGAGTGACAAAGGAGATTTAAATCTATTTGCTGACAAATAATTATTAGGAACACCAACTGGCCAAGTATGCTCATAGCTAATCCTATACTAACTATTATTTTATAGTACTTCTGCTACTCAAGCTGATGTAACCGTTTACAAGGCTTTCCAAAAGGAATTCCCACAATTTGCTAGATGGTTCAACCACATTGCTTCTTTCACCGAAGAATTCGATGACTTACCAGCTGGTACTGCTCCAGCCGCTGCTGCTGCCGCTGAAGAAGATGACGATGACGTCGATTTATTCGGTTCCGATGATGATGAAGTTGATGAAGAAGCTGAAAAGTTAAAGCAACAAAGATTAGCTGAATACGCTGCCAAGAAGGCTGCTAAGGGTCCAAAGCCTGCTGCTAAGTCCATTGTCACCTTGGATGTCAAGCCATGGGATGATGAAACTGACTTGAATGAATTGTTAGAAAACGTTAAGAACGTCCAAATGGAAGGTTTAACTTGGGGTGCTCACCAATGGATCCCAGTTGGTTTCGGTATCAAGAAGTTACAAATTAACTTGGTTGTCGAAGATGCTTTGGTTTCCTTAGACGAATTACAACAAGCCATTGAAGAAGATGAAGACCACGTTCAATCCACTGATATTGCTGCTATGCAAAAATTATAATTCTATTGGATAGATTTTGTAATGAGCATTTATAAGTTGTTCAATAACATGTGTTTTATAGTTTATCCATGAGTTTATATAGGATATGTAATGAATTCACAGAAATATATCTGAGTTGATTGTAGTACTTTTGAAATTTGAGAATAAATCACAAATCTTATTTCAGTCTTGGATATAATATATTTATTAACATCATTAATGTACGTAATGATGACCGACAATAAATCGTAAGTAAGATATAGAATAGGGAGTCCCAGATAGCACTACATCCTGTTGAACAATTTTGCTCCAACAACTAAATTCCCCAAGTGCGACCAAAACGTGCCCGATATTTTTTCTTCTAACCACACTAACTACTGAATAAAACCTCTGGATGAGTTACATAGATCATTACTTTAATAAAAATCTCCACATATTAAAATTTTAACAAAACAGTAAAATTTCAAACAAAAGCACAGGTGCAATTTCAATGAGTGTTTTGAATTACACTTTCATCTACTAAATTTCACATAAAATATAATTCGAATATCTCTATTCAACTAGAACACGGACATTCACTTTTTCTAAGATAGCCCTTAGACAGTACAAAAAGAGTTATAAAAGACTACAACACTTCTATCAGCACAACAATTCTAAAAACAGATAACTTTGAACCAAATATCATTTTCTTCTTCATCAAACATGTGTGTTAAAGATTATATATATCGTAGAACCAAGTCGAATGCAATGAAAAATATATTACAAATCATATACTCGACTCTATACAGACCTTACACCACTTAGAAAAAGAAATAAACTGATACATTAAATAAAATCTCTTAAAACGAAATAATCGGCAGAAAACCAAACCAAAACAAAGGTACATCTCATAAAACAAACCAAACAATATTTGAATGCAGAGATCTTTACAAACCTTTTTAAAAAAATACACCACCCCATTTGTAAGTGAAAATTATATATGATCTACTACTAGAAGAAAATTATTTTCGATCATAGTTCTTCAAACAAGATATAAACAAACTAAACAATTAATGTTGCAATCTGATAAATTTTGACAAATAAAACCATCTCTTTATCATCCTTAATAGTTATCCCAGGTTCATATTACTACCCAATAACTAAAACCTAAACATTGAAGTACTCAATGACTCTGGAAATAACCTGATAAGCATGCGCTATACATATTGAAATAAACTCTAAAGCTACAATGCTAATTAGAAGCTCAATAAACTAGATTTACTTAGAAACCCAAACTAGATTATCTACCAAATAAAACCAAAGTTCTTCCTTCCAAACATTAAATTACCAATACTTACCAACTTTGAATATATGCGTGTATTCAACGCCATCTTCAAGGACGGCCTAGTACTCGCTATAACAATTTATTTCAATAAGGTTAACGACAGATGTTACAATCAACAATAGCAAACTTTCCATACTCTGGTTGTTCATGATATCGATTCTCACTACCACTGGAAAAATAATACAACTGTGAAATTTGTTCCAATGAATCCAACTTCACTTGTAAGGTATGTTCCTTTTGTATATCGAACGGTTCTCATCAAACTTACTACTTAAAACGAAGAACTAGATTCAATCAAACACTTCAGGAACTATACTACACATGCTCCATCCTCTATCGATTATACTTATATGTTGCTGCTAGCTTCACGTTCTTCGATGAGCGTTCATTTGATTGTAAAAATTTGAGATTCTCGTAATAGTATAACCGCTAGGTCGCAAGAAAATTGTTTGTTAAGTAAAATAAAATTCTTAAAATATAGATTAGCTTTAATCCAACTATTGGATTTATAACTTTCAACGTTAATACTTATGGGTATGAGTTCAATAATTTTATGTTGTGGCTAGACAAGTTATCTACAAAGTTGAAATTAAAATGCCATGAATATTGTCGATAGTAATGACTGACATAATATGTCTACTACGGCAACCTCTTTGATATTTTATTGGATTCTAACTTGTTGATCAATGATCTTATTGCTTGATAGAGTTCATATAATGGAATTAATACTTAGAACAAACACCTACCACCATGTTGTCGTCAGTTCAGACAGTATTAGTTAGGTATTAAGTTTGATATGAAATTTCTATACTTATATAAGCATCTGCATCTTGACTCGCACGGAATAGCTCTTTTAGTTATTGTATTTCTACTTTAATATAATGACCTCACAACATGGATCAAGTTTAATAATTCCATGTTTTCTACTTGTACTATAAAAATACTCCGGTTCCTTCTTGCTGAGCAAGCAAAAGTATACTGTAGAAGAAGTAATGGAGTCAAGCTGATTTGTAAGGTAATGGTAGCAATGCGTCCGCGTCTAGTAGTAACTACTCGGAAGAAGCTACTATCACGTAATAAACAATCATAGTTTGCGCATCTAACAGGATTAAGCGTTCGTAGTTTGATAAAGCTAACTGCAGATTTATCAAGTATATGATAATCCTACAACCCTATCCATTCCAGTTGATGCTCCTGGTCAAGTAAGATGATGTTTTATAATCGATGTGGGTTAGGCCTTCCATTTCATTTTAGTATCAACAGTAATTGGTAGTGGTCAATATTCTATATTCTGATTAAAATGTAGTTTAGTTATAGTTATATGTTTTGCAAGAGCTTTTGTTTCTACGTGCACGAGCCGTAATATTTCTCAATTTGAGTCTAATACTACTAATTAAGAAGGTAAATTACTGATGCTTTTGATGTTGGGTTGGGATATGTATACTATATTTTACAGGGCAATGTTTGATCTAATTTGTACTCGTGGTCATTTCTAACTTGTTGCTATAGTTTGTGACAAATTTATTTGTAAGTACTAGGTATATATGTAAGATAGCATCGGAGTATAGAGTGATTAACAAGCGGTTTCCTAAGTTCTTCGATTCTGAATCTTCATAAATTAAGCGAGCATTAGTGACATTTATTGTTTGCCTATATTGTATTTAGGTTCCTGGTATTTTGTTACTCGCGATAGTTTGCCCGCCGTATTCTTTTAATCTGCTTGTTTGAATTAACAATATATCGAAATGAAATTGGCTGGATATTGTAAGTGGATTCGCCCCAAATTATCTAGTGTTTTATGGTTGTTGCTGGTGCAGAAGTATTCATTTGGTAATTGTAATATTGCATGCGAGATGCATTGATGTTTCATAGTTAATGCTTGTAATACATATTGATTAGACAGTACAGGATTGAACTTCTGTGTTTGATCTTAAGCTTGATATTACTATGCTGTTTTGTTCGTTTTCTTTTTGCTTTCAAACACTTTGGACGATTTTTTACTGTTCCTGAATGGTGTCGAGTATAAATGGGGTATGCGCTTAGTAATTGCTGATATACGTTGTCCGTGAAAGCCTAACTGTTAGTCCAAGGTCATACAGTAATCTTAAGTTTTGGTTAATAATACAAACTCTGGTTAATAGGTCTTTCTATCGGATCGATATTTCCACTGACAGTTTCAACTATTTGGGTATTTGTAGTTCATAATAATTGCTAATTACCCAGCTTTTTATGCTGTGGTGATTTGCATTCAAAGCACTTAATATGAAAATATTCAGCAAGACCTTGTCTGCATGCGTTGAGTGATAGAGGTTACATTTAAGACCTGGATTGATATTAGGTTTTATTCAGATGTGAATCATTTTTAGAAATAAGAATTTTGTTAGAGGTGGATTAAATATATTATAGAAAGGCTGGGCTTTGTGCATGTCAGTCTCTGTTACAACAGATACAAGTAGGTAAAATAGAGGAGCAGGGGTAAGTAATGTGCGAAATTTATATTAGTGTCTATATAATATTTGCACGCTGTTAAAAGCAATTTTGGATTTTGGCTACCTCTCTGGGATATTTTTAATTACTCAATTCGAGCAAGTGATGGATGAACCAAAAATAGAACTTTCTGAAAAGAACGAATCAAAGTCATGACAAGTGCTAAAGTAATTTATTAAGAACCTGTGTAGTAATTTTAATGTCTAATGCAATTTAATCATGTTTGGAAAGATTTTGCTTGAACTGGCAAATATAGCAATATAAGCAACAACCAAGTAACTAACTAGGAGTTAGCTGCCTGGTCTTGACGTGAATCAAGTGAAATTGCTCAGGAATTGACTTCGATCTGCAGAAGTTGAATAGCCACTTTATAGATGAAAGCACCAGGAACTATCTGAAAAATGTACCATCAGAATCTCCTTGGCGTCTTGTCTGGTTAGTAATCGAGCTACTATTTTCGATCTTGTAAAGTCTCCAAGCCTCTCTTATATGGTTAGGTTGAAGCGGCTGGGCTCTATCTCCTTCGAATTGCAATCTCCTATCATCAACTTCAATTTCCTGCCCTCTTTCCAAGCTTCGTTCAATCTCACGTTTTTGGTTCTTTTTAGCGTCAATGTCTAAGATTAATCTACCCTTATTATCCCTATCCTGTACTTCAATTGCCTTGGTAATTATTTCACCAAGAAACAGTTTTGATATACCTGCAATAACAACGGCTATGTTAGCTGCAATTGAATGACCTAGGACACCATTGCAAATCTTTTTGACCCCAGGTTTATTTACAGTCATTCGTCTGTATGCTTCAAATCTTTCCATCTGGTCATCTGTGAAGTTTGCTATTAATAAACGTTTCTTGTCCTCTTCAGACATTCCTCTGTCAACTTTTGTCTTTATTAAGTCCTTATATTTGGATACTAATTCGTCATCATCAATATCAGAAACATCACTTATATCTTCCAGGAGACTTTCTTCAGAGTCCGAGTATTCAACCTCATATTCGTTTTCATAATCTTCATCATATTCTGAATTATCTTGTTGTTTATCCCACTCACTAAAAAAAACTCTCCAGATCAATTCCTCATCTTCTTCATCCAAACTCACATCAGAGTCATATTCACCCTCGATCTCGTACTCTACGGAACTAGGATTGGGACTATCTGCCATATTTATATTAATTGTAATAGGGTACGGTTGAAACTGCTGGTTATGACAAGAAGTGAAGCGTTTTCCTTAAATACTTTTTTCCTCAAGAAAAGTCACGTGTATTGAACCATAATGGCTTCTGCGTCAAGTATACTATTAATGCAAAGTACAGCACCCATAGCTACATAGAAATAAGAAAGGTAATTATAAAACATTTGCACTATTACAATTAAGCTCTTGTATTTGAAAATGATATTATCTAAAATAAATATTAATATTACTCTCGACTTATTCGCTGATTTCTGTTATAATTTTTAAATTTCCATCGCCCTATCCTAGTCCTAAATGGTATAACCTGTGGGCTGTTATTGGCGCTGCTGGCCTCTCCTCATAACATTTCTTCTCACTTTCCATACCCCACCTAGTTTTGGTTTTCTTTCAAAACTCACATATGGGAACAATGCTTGGCTACCAAATAAAAGCTCTTGTTTATTCCGCTTTGATGCACGAGAAACAAGACCGGGATGTAGAATTTCAGCGCTAGGTAAGTCTCCTTCGCCTCGGACCAATACCATTTTATAGTTGGACTCAAGCTTTTGTTGTAACAGCTTTATCATATTTCTAGGAAGATATATGTTCATGTATTTCTGGGCACTGTTAATACTATGGAGCATTAATAAGCCCAGGAACTCTACGCTGACACTATCTGGGTTGCATTTCAGTAGCTCTAATAAACTACCAGGATCCAAGTAATAGGGATGGCTATCGTGATGTTTGCCATGGTGCAAAGATTTCTTGATTGCTTCATAAACTTCCTTCTTAATAAAATATACCCCCATGACTGTAGATTCTATTAAAGTGAATAAATCTTGGTAGTCGAAATTTATTCCAATGGAGTGATTCAACACAGACACGGCATTTATTCCTCTAAAGGCTGTCAAGTCGACCTCTGTAGTCTCGTAAGAAAGCTTCAATGGGGACTGATCTAGAATGTGAGATTGGAAATCAAATTTCCCTGGGGCTGTCTGGTGGAAATATAGCATCTTATTTAGAACCCTAATTTGTGAAGGGGAGTACTTTGAGAGCTGAAAGATTCCGGGGAGAATTGTCAATGATTTAAATTGTAAATTTTGCAAAATTTCAGCGTTCTCTTCACTCTCTAAATCCAAAGAACTTGACAACAAAATTAATGTATCTGGATTGACTTTCTCGGTAATATTAGTCAATAGTTCTTTCCCATAGCCTTTAATCCATCCAGGGGTGTTGATAATCAACCGGTAACCTTTTGGTCTATATATCGTTTCATAACAGCTAAATAAACTTTCGACAATTTCAAGATACCTATCTGGCAAATGAACTGGGCTGGTATATCCAAAATATTGATCATGGCGATCTTTGATGCTTGCTGATGGAAACCATGCACCAAAATTGATTTCAGATAGAAGACAAAGCGATATACAATAAGGTGGTGATAGTTCTGATTGACCTGGATCTAGATCCAAATAACAAACAGGGTAACTGCTATTCAGTAGAAGACAGGAGTTCAAAAGGAGTTTTGAAAAAGTAGACTTCCCACTGTTTTTATTTCCAATGACCATGGTAGTGTTCGTATCTGAATCTAGATTGTTGTTAGCTATTTCAATCATCTTTTCCAGCCACATTTTACTGACAGAAAGTGCCAGAAATCCTTTCTCTCTCAATATAATTTCAAAAGAATACTTTTGGAACATAGCTTCGTCTGTGGTAATAATATCCTCATCATTTTCATTGCCAAATAATAGACCCTTCAAAGGAGGATAATATTTACCTATACTCTCTATACCTGTCACCATATTATGTATCTTAACTATTGATTTGAATTCACCTGTAAATAGATGTGCGTTCTCTTCGGTTTTACTGGCGAACGTTTCATTCAGTGTATCAATTGACTGGGTACTTGATATTATAGGCAACGATTGGGATTGCAATGCAACAATTTTATATGATTTATATGGATTAGCTGCGACGTAGTGACATTGGTTAATCAAAATGGAACCTTTTTGGATTGTTACAGTGAATTGACCATTTAGAACAAGATATTCGCCTGTTTTCAAGCCAAATATGACATAATTCTCCCCAAATACTGTATTATCCCTACTAGGTATATATTTAGACCATGAAATTACCTTTGGCGGATCCATTTCTCGTGGTCTTTGTGAGTTGGGAATCGACTTTGTAGACAAGGCTGTGAATGGATTCCGATTCTCAGTGTAAATTTCTTCATCGGAGGAATTGGCTTGGTAATGAATTCCATCATCACCATCGTCTTCATATGCATCACCACTTTCATGGAATATTGATCCTAACGAGGAATTATCCTTTAGGGCCGCGTAGGCACTCATCTATAAAGCTGAATATGGTTTCTTCTAGATTATCATCTAGAACCATCGCATTGTTCGCAGTAATCAAAACTTAAAAAACTATATTCACCAAAATGCACGACCTCCTGGTTTAATGAACCGATAAATATATATATATATATATATATATATCCAAATTTAACGTCCAAGTATTCTAACTTTATTACACACAGTTTTCTAGCTGGAATGGTTTCATACTGACTTCATTTCTAAGACTTTTGGTGGTAACGTTAATATCTGTGTACTAAATTTTTTATTAATTTTGAACTTTAACTTGGTCCAATTTTTTTAACTACAAGATTGATCTATACTATACAATTATCTATATCATCCATGAGTCCAAAATCTTCAAATGTTTGTATTGCTTCGAGGATTGTTCCATCCCGAATGCAAGAACTCGCAAATACCAAAACGAGCCTATTACAGCGATGTATAATAGCCCGTAAATGACATATGAGATTTTCTTGGGCACCACTGTAGCAAATCTATCAACAACAAATCCCATTGTGAATATAGCAAAATACAATGCAGGCACATAATGATGCAAGTATGTCACTCTACCCATAATAATAAAGGGGAAATAGTGTAGAAACCATCCAATAAAAGGTAAAATCCCTTGACTGAGCAATGATTCCCATGAGTCAACTTCATATCTGACAGTTTGTCTTTGGTATTTGAAACCCACAGATAATAAATAAAACAAAAACAAAATCAAAGATAATGATGAGAACCAAGTGACAAAAGGATTTCCTATTAAAAAGAACTTTATATCATCGGCTCCCCAACTACACATTCTCAATCCTGTCTTTAGGATGGGCCATTCCCACCACTCTGAACTGAGCTTATCAAACCTATCGGGATCTGGAATAAGGGCGTTGTTTGATGTCATCATGGCAAAATTGAGTAATACAAACTCCCTCCAAAACTTTGGTTTAGGTGGGACGTAGGTTTCGGAAGGTAGTGGAAGTTTGTCATTTACGTGTTCTTCCACATTCCACCAAGTACTTTTGTCACGATTGAAATATGAATACTTGCATACTACTTCCCCTTGACTGAACCCCCAAGATGGATAAGCATATCCAGTGGTGGCTAGATAGCAACCAAGCTCCTTATTTCTCAACCGGAAGTTAGTTGAAATTGGGTGAAGTTCGTGTCCACTTTCATTCGCAAAAAACTGAGAAGGTGATTCTTCCTGTGTTTGGATCTCCAAAATCCATTCGTCCTTAATTTCGGTAGTATCAATAGTACCAAAGCATGACACTTCAAAATGGGTTTTAGCAACTGCTGCCGGGATAGCATTTGCATGCATATATCTACCTGTGCTATTGTGGAAAAGTCTTATAGCATCACCATTTTGCAATAACTGTTGACTCTCAATAGTGGTCTCGGTTTCCGTTCCATTATTACCTGAAGTTTCAGGTAATGCCCGCTTCCCCAGGATGGCAGCATTAATATCAAACTCAATCAAGAACACGTTGTTTTCATCTTTGTATGCGTATGTCGTAACTTGTTGCTCTTGGAGCCCTTCAGGGTAGTTGTGCGGATGCGAATGAAGCAAATTTTGGCTCAATCCTTGAGAACGTAAAGTAACAAACGACCCATAAGCTACTGATCTTGGTCCTGATTTAATATCGCTTCCCTCGTGCGATGCTTGCAACAACGTTGAAACTGCAGAATCTCCTTCTCCTGCATGACTCAATACAAGAAAGTGAACCTTGAATGCAGCCAAGTAAATCGTCACAGGAAGGACTATTAATGTGAAAATTCTGGTTATCCAATGCAATAAGTAACGTTTCCATGGCAATTGCTTTGATATAGTTTGATAAAATTTAATGATCAAATCTAAAATAGTATAGAGACCAACTAATGCGGTCATGAATAATCCAACCCATTTGGTAGAACATACACAACCAATTGCAAACCCAGTGATCAGAAGCCATTTTATACCTTGAAACGTTAGTAATTGATCACTTGTTCGTAAATTGTGGACATGGATAAGGGCAAAATACGCAAATACGGTGAAAAACAACAATATTGAATCCAACAATATGAATTTTGATAAAGTTAACGAGAGCATTTCAAAAATCACCAGTAAACTAATAAACCAACAGGTTAATTGGTTATATCCAAGCAATACGGCTGTTTTGTATGCTAATGGCGTGCACACAATCCCAAAAACACAGTTGAAGATCCTCATGAGAACATAGTTCATGTCTTCGGGATAATCCACAGAACTTTCAAAGTCAAAACTTCCATCATAACCAGCTAAGTATCCTGACAACCCCACCAAAAGCTTTCCCAACGGTGGATGCACATCAAAATAAAATTCATGTTTCAAATAATGAGATCCAAATTTTCCAAAATGAGCTTCATCCCAGACAACTTTGTTGGCAACTTCAATTCTATACAATCGGACAAATGCTGATAATGCTGTGAGAATAAATGGGTTGATAAGCTTGGTGAATAAGGTACTCACGGACTTCTTGTGATGTGTTTTATTTATATTAAGATTTGATGTCCTGGCTATTATCTCCTCGAGGTCACCATCCTTAGCAATGACTTGGGTGTCATCTTTAGAGCTATCAGTTTGGTAGCGTCTCGTCAATTGGCTTTCCCCAGTTTTGTAGGATGCTCCTGAACTAAAACTGTCTGACATAATCTGGCTTTCTTGCTTTGGCCCTGAGTGCAGGGTTCTCCACTATTGAACATTTCCAAAAACTATGCGCTGGTGTGTTTAAGACACGACTAGCGTGCGCTACCACATTAAATTGGCGTGGCGTAGATTTTTCTTGTTCTATAGTTCAGTTACCATATTTAGCACTCATCCACTTATGTTTTGATTTTTTACTAGTACTGATGACCTTTTATTATAATTTTATGGCCCAAAAGGGATCTACATCGTAATTTGGGGAAAAAGTAAAGTATAGTTATAAGGTTTGATTGATCAGACACACCTTAATTTGGGGGGCTACACGCGTTGAACCCTTGAACCCTTTCAAAACGTGCACAAAATACCAGTAATATGAATCGTTTACAGAAAATCTTCAAACTAACCTATTGATAGGATAAGCGAGCTACGGGCACAAGACAATTGACTCAGTGTCATGTAACGGTTGTGAGCAAGTATCATCGTACTTTTTTTGACATTATGGAATCATGTGCTTTGAAAGAAACCTTTTAGATATGGAAGCAAGCACAAAATAAAAATTGATATTTTCTCCACAAATGGAAGATTGAGTACATGGTTCGTGTGCTACGTATCTTTGCGTTTCGACAAAGCCCATCATGTCATTCTTGTTTACATAATGTTGATGAAAACGGCAGTTTCTAAGAATAGGCGCTGTTACAGAAAAAGTAAAAGAAAAAGAAAAAAAAAATAGAAGTTGCATAGAAGATTAAAAAAATATTTTATGTGGTAAAAGTAAATGGTAGACCATTTCGTGCCATGTTATGCGGTCAAAATAGGTATACAGTATATGTATTATAATTTGCTCTCGAACTTTCTGTTCTTATGATCTCAACTAGAAAACAGTTGCACGCACTTGGTTCAACAGTTAGAAAAGATCGTAAATTGAAGCATTGGCCAAGAGAATCTTTCTTCCATTAATTTTTTTCAACTAAAAAAAAATTTCTTTTTTTAGCAAGTTTTGTGAGCTTTTATCAATTTTTAAAGGGCAAAATAAACAAGAATAAATAATTTTCTGTGTGGTAAATAATTTTCACCGTTCCCACACTTGAGTTTCGAACGTGGGATTTCATTCTGAGCCTTATTTTTAGGTACAGCTCTTTATTGTAGTTCTGTTTTCTAATCAGTTTCTTTTCCTTAGACGTGTTTTTTTTTTATTCTTGACCTATTGAATAGAGGACCATGTTGGCTGCATTTTCCCACAAGCACCGACTTGGTGCAAGAGTCTTCCAAGGTAAAAATTTGAAGATTACCCTAGCATTGATAACTATACTTTTTTTATTTTATGAATTGCCCTATCTTGTGACGTTTTCCTCCGATGGATCAACGCACCCCTTTGGTATTGGCAAGGCAGAAACATACAAGTTTGACGATGACTATGAAGATGATCCTGCTATGGACATTGTTAGACCTACAGACAGCCCTGCAGTTGTCAATGTGGTTGCTCCTAAGGTGACTACCAAAGGAAATCCACTCAAACCAGTCCCAACTGGAAATATTCAAGCACAAGATTCCACACAAGGCTCTGTAAAGGAATCTCTGGAAGATTCCTTGAAGGGATCTATAACCCTGGACAAATCTTTGTTAGATACATACAAATCGTTGCCAGCCAAGCAAACGGAAGACATGAAGGAGTATGCCACGAAATACTGGAAATCAGTCTTTGACGTGTTTAATAAAGCTAAATTCAAGGAGGAAGATCAACCAATTATAGAGGAAGTGGATCAAGCTGATCAATATAAGCCAAAAGAAAAAACCCGAAAATCTCTTTTGTCCAAGCTGAAAATCAAAGATTTAGATTTGGTGAAAATATCCCATAGAAAAGTCTACAACCAGTTATCAGATGAATTACCAACTACTGTATATAATCCTGGCTCCAAGGGTATTGTAACTATTGGTGGAGGGTTTTACTCGTGGTTGGCAGCTATTCAAGTGTTGCAGTTACGTAAAATTGGTTCAATGCTCCCTATTGAAGTTGTCATCCCAACATTCAAAGATTATGAACGTGAAGCTGAATTTTGTAAAGTATTTTTACCAAAGCATAATGCCAAATGTATCATTGTTGAAGAAGCATTTGGTAAAGACATAGTTACTCAGATTGGAAGTTATCAGTTTAAGGCAGCTGGGTTAGCTATATCTTCATTTCAACATACTTTATTATTGGATTCTGATAATAATCCTGTCATGGCCCCTGATCGACTTTTTGAGGCCAAAGTCTACAAGACTAATGGAATGGTTTTATGGCCAGATTACTGGCCAAGAACAATGAGTCCTGAATGGCATGATATTATTGGCAAGCCGTATTCTTTGACAGAAAAAGTTAGAGATGGAAGGTTTCCGTTAGTAAATGTCCAACATTTAACACCAGAACAAGAAGAGAAAACTAAGTTCACTGAATTGAAGGGTACATTATCGGATTTATCAACTGAATCAGGACAAGTGATGATCAATAAAGGAACCCATGGGAAAGTTGTGCTTATGATTTTATATTATAACATGTTTGGTCCTGAGCTTTATTATAAATTGTTTAGTTTAGGAGCTCTTGGTGAAGGTGATAAAGACACTTTTGCTACTGCGGCTTTTGCTTGTGGTAAGCAATACTATCAAGTGAAATCGTTCATCAAAACATATGGTTATCATGATGATGGCTATAATGGTATGACCATGGCTCAGAAAGATCCAGAAGAAGATTATCAATTGTTTATGAGATTAGAGAAAGAGTATCGTGATAAAGGCATCGATTGGGATAAAGATGCCAAGGAAGCATTTGGAGGTGATAATGATGTACCAGTTTTTACATTGCATTGTAACATCAAGAAAATCAATCCTTTCGAATATATAAAAGATGACAAGATAAGTGATTTGTCTGCAAATAGGTTAAAACACAGATTTTATTCGAAATTCAAGATGAGACTTCCTGAAGACGGTATTGATGGAGTACTGACTGTAAAAGAAATTGATTTTGAATTGTCAAGGTGGGAAAGTGTTGAAGAGCTTCTATGTGAGAAGAAAATCAAGTTCACTATTACCAAAGAGAAGGATATTGAATCTGTATGCGAGTATATCAAAAATACTATTGCATGGTTAAAGGTTAAGAAGTGATAATTATATTAACTAACATCTTAGCTAAGAGGTGATTTGATAGACTGTAAATTAGACTTAATATTTTAATATGAATAATTTGAAACAAACAAACAATGCTGTGAAAATATTTAAATGTCAGACATGAGCTTCCAAGGTTCACTAATAAACAATAATTATTTCTGGCTCCTTTGACTACATAATACTCTATGATCTACAGATCTTCGCGACGCGCGCTTATTGCATAATAAAGTGAGAAAAAAAATTTTTCTTCCATACAAAGAAGCTTCAAACAATAGTCTAATTGTTAATATTGTAAACAATGTGAAATCCACACATTTTTATCCCTGATACATTTTCAATAAAAAAGAACTAAAAGAAAACATTAGCAACAACTCGTATATAAATCTCAAATCAGTCCTTTCTGGACCTTAATCTTATATTAAATGGCAGGTTTAGCCGAACTTTTTTTATGATTGGTTTGTATTGGTGCACATCACAACTGTGACCTAAATGGAAATTGTCAGGATGAAAATAGATTACCGAGAAGAGATCGGATTGGTCTTATTTATTTATTTTTGTTTTTCACGGTAACACCTGCTCTGTAAAATCAAATTGGTACCATTTTCCAACTTAAATGATTTGTAGTTACTTGGAATTCTACTCCAATTAAATCAATCCATTTATGTTGCAATTCTCTAATTAAAATTTCTGTAGCAGACCGCCTCATTAACTAGGGCGCCATTGACTTGCCAAGACTATTTTTTTTAAATTAGTTATAGTGTGAGGAAAAAAAGGCTTTATTTGAATGAACTAAAAAATATTTTCAACAATAAATGGTTTGAAATTATGTGGTTATTAATTTCATTAACAGTAGGGAATAAAGGTCCTTGCAAGATAAAATTTTAATCTCACGCTTACTCTGTTTTGCTCTCTTCATATTCAACGTTTAAGTGTTTTTTTTTTGGAAGAGGATCATATGTTTTCAATATTGCTGCAAAAAAGGAAGGTTCTTTCCTTAATATTTGCCCTTCTTATAATAGTGGTCGTATATGAAGCCTCTAGTTTTTATTTCGACTTGCCTTTAAGTCGTGTGACCTCAACCGGTTGGTTAACTCAAGAAGAAGATCATCTCCAACCATCTCAGAAATCTCAGCCATCTGAGCCAGTATCTCCTCAACTGTTCTGGAGTCTGATTTTCAAGATATATGATTCAAATAAGATACCCACGGATGAAGGTGATTGGATTAAATATCCCCCCAATTTGAATAGGGATTTCGCAAAGACTAGAAGACGACTTTTGCAAAGATGTGAGGTTTCCCATACCCATTTAGAAGAAATTAAAAGAAAACATGCGGCTGTTGTCTCTGATCTCCCCGATGTTTTACCTGACAACACATATGAACCTGCATCCAAGGGGATTGTCATGGTGGGTGGAGGATTCTTTTCTTGGCTTTCATTTTTGTCAGTATTACAACTACGTGAACTTGGCTCTACTTTGCCTATTGAAATAGTTATACCTTCAGCTAAGGAATACGATCCTATCTTTTGTGATGAGCAACTACCAAAATATAATGCCAAATGTGTGGTTATAACAGAGCAGCTAGGCTTGAGTGACACAGATTGGCAATTTGAAAAATACCAATACAAGGGTTTAGCTCTATTGGTTAATTCATTTCAGCACGTATTCCTTCTCGATTCAGATAATTTCCCAGTTGCAAATGTTGATCAATATTTTGAATCCCCAGTTTACAAGGATAATGGAATGGTACTTTGGCCAGATTACTGGAAACATTCAATTTCTCCATTATATTATGACATCGCCAATTTGTCAGTAACATTTAATAAACAAGTTAGACTGGGAGCTTTTGATTTACTTGAACCTTATACATTAAATGCAGCAGAAATGGATGGAGCTACTTTCCACGACTTGGAAGGAACAATTTCTGATTTGTCAACTGAATCTGGACAATTAATTGTGAATAAAGCAACCCATGGAAAGATGCTTCTTTTATCATTATACTATAATGTTGTTGGACCACATGTCTATTATAGACTATTCAGTTTAGGTGCCAGGGGTGAAGGTGACAAGGACACATTTGCATCAGCTGCTCTCGTGACTAAATCTCCATACTATCAAGTTAAGTCATATATTAAAACCTTCTTTATGACCTTCAAGGATGAATCTACTAAAAGTTCTGCCATGGGACAACATGACCCACAGTTGGATTATGAATTATTCAATGCTAAATATGCAGAATTGAAAGCCGACCCTAAAACCAAGTTTTCCTCATTGGAAGATCAAAAACAATTGTTAGAAAGCTTTAATAAGAAATACTTTCACAAAGTTGACACTGTGCCTGTATTTTCACTTCATTGTAATATTTGGAAACTTGATCCTCCTGATTATATGGGAAGGGATGCTATCTATAACGCTAAGGAAAATAGATTGAGTACGAGAATGTACAACAATTTCACATACATTCAAGGCGAAAATGAAGAAGTCGACTTTGAATTGCAAAGATGGAAATTTGCCCATAAGATAGCTTGTGAAGACAAGGTTATGTTTTCCAATTTTGAAGGAAAAGATATGAAGAAAGTTTGTCAATTTATCTCTAATTCCGTTAAGTGGTTAAGGGACACTTCAGTAGCAGAGACAGTATAATGGAATGATATGAACCATATCCAATTAATATGTACAGTATATAGCTTTTTTATTGCTCATTAGACATTTACTTTTATTTTAAAATACGCGAACTTTTACAAAAACATTTGCATTAGTAAATTAGTTTGATTAACAAATGTATCTTCGCATAGTTCTTCATTTCAATCATGACCTTGTGAACTTTGTAATTTTTCTTCGGGTACATGCTTCCGTGGAATATTTTCATCTACTAAAAACGATAATTTATTTTCAACCTTTCATATGACTGCTTGTCGATGGTTAACTAACTCTCGATTATTGTAAATAGTTTCATAGTTTGTTTTTTTTTTGTTGTTTATATAGTCGTTTTATTCTTCTGTATTAACATTAAACGATTTTTTTGTAACAAATTTAACAGAATTCTACAAAATATCACAAAACAAAATATTCTGTTAGAAATTTCCCTTCAACAATGATAAGAAAATACTGCAAGCTGAAGATTTCTAATAGGTCGGAATATAGATTCATCACTGAATAAATATAGCCTAGAAGGGAATATAATATAATTCTATCTATATATAAAAAAAGAGAGCAACTAGATTAAATACCCTACTAAAATTTAACTTAATCACTTCTTCCATTTAAAATTTCCAATTAAATACTACCAAAAAAAAACTAACCTATACACACACACCAAATATATAAAACTTACCAATAAACCCTATTGGAAGATATTCAGAAAACTAGCTTTCCTTTCTCTTCTCTTTATTCTAATTAATTTTCCTGCCTCACAATTCTGTAGATTCCAGACAAAATTGCAAACACAGGAACCCAACCTCCAAAATAGGACCCCCTTCTCCCCCCCCCACCATGTTTTTGTTGAAATTGACAACCTCGATATACAAACATTAAAACTTAAAGCAATTCTAATTTTTTTTTCAAGACAGATAACCGATTGCCAATACTTACAATAAACTTTTCAACCATGGCTTTATCCTCATTGTCTAATCTAGGCTCAAGCTCATCATTCGAATCCTCATCCAATAACGCCTCCAACATCCAGATTGCGGTGCTGTATGCCAACTCGCAGCCTTTTAAATCTTCTTTAACCAATTCATTCACTGCCGCATTTCTTGACATTTCTAATGCACGATCGAAAATCAATTTCTCAGCAATAACTTTCGTACTCCCTTCCTCATGAAATGACAATTGTGAATCTTCATCACCTTTACTAATTGCCAAATTTGCTTCCTGTAATCTCAATTTAACAAATTCTGCCTTTTCCAAACATTCATTAAACTTCTCGCGAATCCATTGAACTAGTTGATTAATTTTCACCGAGACTTGAATATCTGGTTTAGTAGCTTCTTCCAAATTGAGTAATCCTTCATTATCAAATTGACTATACCACCATTCACTAGCTATCACCATCCCCTTGGCCAATAATGATAACGTTTTAACATATAAAACTACTCCTTCTTCGCTTATTGTTTTGATTATCTTGGGTGGTAACATATCATTTTGATGAAGCAAATCATCATCCAAGCCGTCCGACGAAGGTGGACTAGGAATCAATTGACTGAATTTAACATCAGCAAACAAATTCACAGCATGTGCTTTAGTTGCAATAGATTCCAACTTATACAAGACAAGTTCATCGCTATTTAAATCCTGAAATTGTTGTTGCAATGATTGCATTTGACTATTGGTTATATCCATTGCCGTGGAGGTGTTAGCTGGAGCAGTGCTTGAAGTAAGCAAATTTAACTTTTGTAATAACAAATGATTAGCGAAATTGGGACTGGAGATAGCTGTTGATAACGCATTCTCCTGGCTCCCACCATCATTATTAGCACCATCTTCAGATATAGTTGCCTGAACCAAATGAGTATTAGTATTACCTGCTGCACCAGTACTGCTTCCAGATCCAAATAATCTATGAGAAGCTAAACCAATTGCTTTACTCAAGGCATTTGTTGGAGAAATTGAGATAGAAATTCTTCTATCATTAAAGCTGGGTCGTCTTTGACTTCCATTCACCGATGATCTTCTATATCTCTGTTGAGGAGCACTTGGTTTATTCGCATTCTCAATTGAGCCAGCCAGACTCTTTCTTGGCGTATTTATGGCAACTGCACCACTACCAGCATGGGCCAACTCATCTGCAATTGCATTGACTTCAACAGCCCGTTTTTCAACAACAACATAATCTTTTTCTAATATTATATCATCTTTTCTAAATTTGAGATTAGGTATGACGGTACTACGTCCTTGAATAGATTGTGAAAGTTGTTCAGGACCTGGACTACTTTTATTTATAATCTGCTTGATTTCTTCATCACGTGAAGTCGGTGTTGGAGAAGATTTCTTGATAATAGGCGGTTGCTGCTGCTGTTGTTGTTCAACCTTGGTAGGCTCATTTTCATCCACAGCTTCGGTCAATGGAGGAGCTGCTGGGATTGGTGTTATGAACTGAGATCTTTCTGATGGTCTTATTGGACTAATATATTCACTGATGAATAAATTTTCATCCATAGAAGAAGTTTCCAAAGGTTGATTAGTATCTTCTAGGTCACAAGTGATTAAAGGATCGTTGAAGAATTCGTTGAATGAAATTCTTTCAGTGGGGTTATATTTCAAAAGGGATCTGATTAATTGCTTCAAAGGTTCAGGAACTTGTGCAGCAGAAGGAAATTTAATCTTGTCGTTTGCTTTTTCAATATTCTTTAATAATTCAATGTGATTACCTGCTTTAAATGGAGGTTTACCCACGGTCATTTCATACAAGACCGCGCCAACTGACCATAAATCTGCTTTAGCATTATACTTTTCATATCGAAGGATTTCAGGAGCCATATAAAGAGGGGAGCCACATAAAGTTTCTGCCATTGAAGTGGAGGGCAAGAATCTTGCAAAACCAAAATCCGCAATTTTTAATATTGGTAATTCCCACATTCCCACAAAATGTTGGTCAATAAATGCTTGTTTTGAATGTACAGGAGGACATAATAATAAATTTTGAGGTTTAATATCACGATGGACCAAACTCTTATCTCTTAAGAAATGAAGAGCTGACGATAACTGGCGTAAGAAATGGATGACTAATACTTCGTTAAGACCATGTGAACCTTCAGGAGAAGGATATCTTTCCAATAAACTTGATATAACGGGATGAGATTTAACTAACTGATTCCTTCTTCTAATGAAATATGATAAATCACCCATGGAACAATAGTCCATGACTAAATGAACATGGGTTGAAGTTTGTTTATAATCTAACAAACCCACAATATGGGGGTGCTTCATTGATTTTAAAATCAGAATTTCAATTTCCAAATTCTCAATCAACTTTTTAGATTTTAACTTCGATCTAACTACTGATTTGATTGCCACTGCACGATTATTGGTTGTATCAATACCTTTGTAAACTGTGGCGAAGGAGCCCTTTCCGATTTCGGGACCTATAGTATAAGGACCTAAAGTCTGCATTTGTTTAGTGATAGTATTATTATTGTTGTCGATAAGTTGTGTGTTGTTGCCATGTCCCGTAGATGAAGTTATTCCAGTTGTAATAGGTTGATTATGACTTGTAGTTGGCACCTTTGACATTATCCCGTGGAGGTGGCGTAAGAAAAGTAATACAAAAAAAGGAAAATATGTCAGAAAAAAAGTGGTTTCTTGATTTTATATAAACACCCACAGTTTTGGTAAATGAGTAATAACTGAAATTTTAAAAAAGCCAAAAGATAAACAAAAAGATCTCGCACTTACGAGATTACTAATATTCACAATATGTAGTATTTTAGCTAATGTTTCTTAACAAATAGTCTGTTTGTAGTTCATATAGTTGGAAAAAAAAAGAAAGACAACCAAATACTCGGGAAAAAGGAGTGATTATTATCGGTACGCTTGACTGAACTAAATCGACTCCTATTTATAGCTGACAATAGGTAGAAAATAGAACTAGATCCAGTAGAGGTAGAGAAGCAAGAGTTGCCAAGACAATATAGACAAAGACAATAGACATAGAAATCAACACATTCCCACGCGAGGCTGAGTCATAGTTAACAAATGTGGAACAAGTAACAGTAGTTGCACCAATAACAAAAGCTTCAAAATCAATAGATGTTTGCTCTTAAAATAACATAATATCACCTGGGATCACCCTCTTTTGGTAACTGTATAACATATTATGACAGCTGGTTGTTAAATTTGGGTTTGTGATTTGTTGTTTCTTTTATATATGGTTATGAATAATTGCACCATCCCTGTGCTGCATGCTTGCTCTTCCAAGTGTGTGTGGGGAGGGGGGTGGTACGGAATATTATTGTTTCCAGATGACTAATTTATCACCACCATGATCTCGTTCTCTCCACAGAGAGCAATATTAAGCGTTTTGATTAAACTGCTGCTGAAACAACGATGGTCACGCGGCATTATCATTAGAAACATGCGCGTGTTCTAAATTTATACAAACATTATTTAATGACAGCAATAACCAACCATGCTATGGTACTATACTTTACCAATGGAATTACATTAGTCTAATGTGAATTTCATATATTAAACAAAGGTTTGAATTATCATATGGGTGTGTAGAGTTTGTTTTACGACAATGTGCACCTATTGTTTGGTCTCGCGCATCATGCTTAAAATCTCTTATCTTATCGGGAGGGGATAACCGAAACGGATTTTTTTTTTTTAGATTTTTTTTTCTTTCTTTGCGCGAGACTGATGGGGAAGCGGGAAAGCCTATATTCGGTGTTGCTCTTCACAATTTTCTAGACTCACTAAAGAAGTGCCAGCCAACAATAGATAGACTAAGCATTGGAGTAGAGAAGCCATAGAGAATAAGACAGAGTGGGTAGCACGTAATCAAGCAGGATGGATGGTAAAAAAGCAAAATAACAAGAAGAAAGTGACAATGGAAATTGCTAAACAGTAATTAGCAACCTAAATTAACAAGACTCACGTGACCAGTTTTTGCAGGATATGCTAACCTTTATTAGAAATCACGACAGACTCACTACATCGAGCTTACACTTGTAATATATAATAAGTATCATATAATAAATGCAAAATAAGAATAGAAAATTCTAAAATACAAACATAAAAAACCACATACAAAGTAATCTACTTTTCTTGAGATTGTTCAATTTGTTGTTGTTCAAATAAATGCCGTTGATGTTGTAATAATTCTAATGTAACTGAATTTGACCTATATGAATTTGGTCTAATTTCTTCTTTATTCATACTCTTCTTATCATTATCTAAATGATGAGATCGTGATGGAAATGGTGAATAGATTGGATCTTTCTTATAATGATTATTAAATTGGTTATGAAATATGTTCTCACGTAGTCCCCTCCTTGGTTGCATATTCTTCTTAGAAAGTTGCAGTTGTAAAAGCTTTATCTTAGTCATCAGTTCACTTTTTTCAGGAATTAATGTAGTTTCAACCGAAGAATCAGCCTGTATTCCTTCTGCAGTTAAGGTAGCTTGTGAACCAGTACTCGAACCCAAAGAACGGTTTTGATTTAATGGCTCACTAGGTGGAATTAATCTTCCACTTGGTTTCATTAATGAGCCAGCAGTAACACTTGCATCCATCAAATCCATAGGTACATCTTCAAATTCAGGCAAAGCTCCATGAAAGACCACAGCTGGTAAATCTCGACTTGGATGATGAACTAATCGAGGTAAATTTGATTCATGGGATTTTGCTCGATTATTAAAAGATAACAAACCTGGTCTGAGTGGAGTGACTTTGGATGAAAAGGCCAACGTTAAATTTTCTTCATCAGATTCTTCATCAGATCCACTTGCTCCATCATCTTGTGAGGATGAACTACTAGTAGAAGAGGATGACCAAGAATATCTAATTTTTGTCCTGGGTGCAATTGTATTGTCCTTATCAATATTCTCCAAATCCTGGTTTGATTTCATCAGGTCTCCAAGATTGAAAGTTTTAAACTTTTGATTAATTTCTTTAATATCTAAATCTTGGTCCAACTCTTTCAAATAAGTTTCTGAAAAACTTGATTTTCTTAACTTCTTGCCATTTTCCACTATGACTGGTAGAGCTTCTGATTGACAATTTAGGTTCCTACTATTAGTAAACTCTTCATATTTCATAGACAAATATTCATCATTTATACTGTCTAATGATGCATAACTCTCACTTAATGGAAGTGACATTACAGAAGATTCAGGGTTATCATCGATATCTATAATTGTGGCAACATCCTTAGTATTAAATACAGAAGGTAATGTAATTGGTCCAACTTTTAATGATGGTCTACTACTCATTTCAGAATGTAAACCACCATTGTTGTTCATATAATTGGAAGTATTAGCAGTACTACCTGTCATATTAGTTTTCAAATTCGCCACCGGAACTGGGATTGGAGCAGCAATATTCGTATTTGGATGATGATGATGATGATGTTGTTGTTGTTGATATGGGTGATTTCTTGAGTATTCTTCATGTGTGGAAGATATAGAATTATTCTTGGTATTATTAGATGAATTTTGGGAATGCAATGAGAATAAACTTGACCTTCTTCGTTTATCATCTTGTTGTTGGATTCCTTTAAATGTTTCCACAACTGATTGATTCTTCAAATATAAATCTCCCCCAACATTTCTTTTAGTTTCAATTTGTGGTGCTTCAGAAAGTACTCCGCCTGAACTACTCCCTCTTCTGCTTGAACTATTACTATGCGATTCAATCATTTCTTGTAATAAACTTCTACCAGTGACTCTTTCTCCTTCTCTTATGCCAGCAAAAGAAAAAGGTGATGAAAAGCTATGTGAAGTCGTTGATGATGATGACGATACTGGCAATTGGTGGGCTAATGCCGATGGGACATGTGGTGGATGTTGGTCATGGGATGCAACACGAGAAACTGAATTTGTCCATCCTGATTGTAATTGAATGGGCGGTGGAGTAGCAGTCACTTGTAATCCTTCCGATAAAATCATGGAATGATTGTGATTATCTATATTTTGTAAATTGCTTAATTTTGTTTGAGAATTAAAATTTGAACAACCACTTGACTCTTCGCTTGATCCGCTCTTTGAATGTTCCAATTGTAATGCAGCAAACTTATTTCTAATTTCTTGATCTTTCCAGCCACCCGCTCTAATTGCTTTAACTAGATTCCGTTTAATTCTGGTACCAATTCCAATAACGGCATTTTCAATTTCTTGTTGCAGAACGATATCATGCTCTTCCAAATTAAAATTCAAAGGATTTTCTTCTTGTAATGTTTGATTAAGGGTGAATAATTCACTCAATCCTTCTAAATCATTTTCCAAGTCCATTAAAGTAAACGGATGTTCTTTGATTTCAATGATATCAATTCTTGTAGTGTTATCCTTGTCCAATAATTTAGATAACAAATCTTTAGCCAAATTAAATTCTTCGTCTGTGACTGGACCTGGTGAATTAAACGATTCCTTGGTTTCTGGGAATTCCAAAGGGTTATTAACAATCACTTGAAACAATTCATATTCTGAATCAGCATTATATGGAACTCTTCCAAATAATATGCAGTATAATGTCACACCCAATGCCCAAATATCAATTTTGTAATCAATCTTTGGGGTTTTAAATTGATCAAGGGAAACAGAACTTGAGGCTGAACTAGCTGGTGATGTTATATCGCCAAATCGACATAATTCTGGAGCAAAGAAAGCTGGTGTTCCTGCAGTTTTAGCTAAATCTAATTCATTGACCAAATGCCCTTCTTCAGTTTCACTTAAGGATGATGCAAATGATACTCCAAAATCACTAATCTTGACAATATTTTCAGCTGAGACTAATAAGTTTGCTGGTTTGATATCACGATGAACAATTCCTTGCAAATGTAAATATTCTAATCCAAGTAATACATCACGGAAGATTCTTCTTCCTTGTTTGAATGTTAAATTTGGAGAAAATTCATTGGATAATAAGTCATTTTCATCAAGGCTATATCTCTTCTTTCCCTTGCCAAAATATGGTTGTTGAATTAAACTTCCACAACATGGGATATCAGATTCGTTTTCTTCAGTTGGTTTATCAGTAGGAGATCTTTTCCATTTAATTTCCCCCTTTTCCATATATTCCAAAACAAGATAAATCTTGTATGAATTTACATCATCCAATACTTCACGCAATGAGACGATATGCTTATGACGACATTTTTTCATAATGGCGATTTCTCGCTTAATTTTCAATTCATAATCACTAAGGTGATGACTCGGTCTTGACTCTTTCCGAAGTCTAAGTGATGGTCTTTCCTTTTTAGATTTCCTATTGACAATTTTTATAGCCACATAATCATTATTGATTAAATCTTTTGCCAACTTAACTTTCCCATGTTCACCACGACCAATTTCTCGTAAAATTTCATAAGTATTCAATACTTTTCTTCTATTTATAGGATCATATTCTAAAAGTACACGATTAGTTTCCTTAACTGGGGATGAATGATATGACTTGTATGGATAGCTATTGAATATATTAGGCTGAGGGGTATTTGGAGTAGTGGTTGCAAATTTTGATCGAGGTGATAACAATTCTGGTTTATGTTGAGGAGGAACAAATTCAACATCTGAAGATGCTCGCTTGTGGATGGAATTTTGATGATGATTATGCAAGTGTTCTTTCAAAGAAGTTATTGAATTACTTCTACTGTCGTTTGACAGGAATATCCCGTTAACGTTATTAAATATATTACTTCTAAAATCATCTTGTGGTAATTGTCTTGGGGAGCCTAATGGAGAACATTGTGAGGAGATAATATTGTTATCATGGGTATAATCCGTGTGTCCAGATATAGGATCAAATGTCGATATACCAATTGTGGGACTTGCAACCGCAGCAGTTGTGCCGTTTTTATTCAATATAAATGATTGTTTTCTACTGGTGGTAGTCGAAGTGCTTGTAGTGGCGGTAGTTGTAGTTGTGTTGGTACTCATGTTGCTATTGTTATGAGAACAGTTAATTGCCGTAGAACTTTGCATTAGGGGAGACGAAGATGACATAATTGATTATGTTGTTGTTGTTGTTGGTGATAACGACGTTGCTGAGGATGAGGATGATTTGTTGCTCTTGCTGTTGTTGTCGTTGGTTGCCTTGTGCTTTGATATGTCAACATAAGAGGGAAATCTCAAATTAAAATCCTATAATATCTTTTCGATGTTATTTTAAGTCAGATTCTTTTCCCTGATGTGTATCAAGCTTCAGTATGGGTAATGTGTGAAGGGATTGATGTGTGTAATGTGAGTGTTGCTAAAATGGTTGACGTTAAAAAGTAAAAAAAAAAAGCTTGAAGAACAAGACAAACAAGGTTCGTTCGATATGATTGAGTAAAGGAAAAGTGTGTGTAGATACTATACTGGGTATAACGTAGAAGTTATATGTGTGTGTGTGTGTGTAATATTGAAATATGTGGTAGTGTGGTCAATATATAAATAAAAAGTTCCTGATGTAATCGGAATTATTATTACTATGTAAAAATTGAACAAACTTTAAAAAAAAATGAATGATAGAACGGAAAAGAAAAATTTAACAAGTGGTCAAACAATACTGAAAAAAAAATAAAATAAAACAAAGCCAAATAAAAAAAAATGTGATTTAAATAATTTTTTTTTTCTTTATTGCGCTAGTGGTACGCTGCCCCTCATGTCTGGAACGATTGATTCGTTTCAAACACGATCTATCAGTACCACTCGTAGTAAACGTTTGCTCGTTTAGTTTTTCTTTCTTTCAATTTATAGTTAAACTCGGTTGTATAGTAACGAAAAAAAACCTTCAACCAAACAAACCCAACAAAGTGGTCAGGTTTGCCAGCTTTTTGTTGCAAGGTTTGTTACTAAGGGCATAATTGAAAAAAAGTATTTTTTTTTTATTTTTTTTTTTCAACAATCTGGTCTCGTGACCTGCTCCTGCATTCTCTCCTTTTTGCCTCCCCCTCTTGCTCCCCCCCCCTAACAAACTTATTCCGGAACTCTCGTAAGTTGCCATGTATACATCATATACGTCTAGGAATTATAGGGTAATTTGTACGGTTATGAGTGAAGTTGAATTGGTTTTAATAAAATAATATTGGAATAACCCCCTTAAGTGTCAAACACTATTTCATCTTCGCTTAAGGATGTGGTAGTTTCAAATATTTTTCGCTAGAAATTTGGTACATTACATGTGTGTATGTTAAAGCCTTATGCCAAGCTGTGTGTAATTAACGCATCAGCTTGCCTGGTATACATACACTCGCTGTATATCTCGAGACACAGTCTTAGAACTAAATGAATGACTATTAATACGACAAAAAAAAAGTTCTATGCGTAATGACTTATAAGATACGGCAATTTTTTATGCTAATTTTCTCCGCTTTACTCGATTTCGTGCTCTTGGGATTTTCTTGTCGTAATGTACAACAGGGTCTCTACCAAATTTAAATGGAAAATACCCATAATATTTCCGAAAAGTTATTGAGTAGTTGTATTTTAATTTGTTTGTTATTGTCTAGTCTGCTTTTTTTTTTTGTCGATATGCTTCTCCACATTTTCCGTCAATAACCCCTTTCGCCAGTTGCAATTAGTTACATAAGGGGTTAGAACTTGCATCATAAAGTAGCCCATTTGAAGTCTAAAAATTCCCCGCGCTGCAGATAAGGTATCCTACCTGCATGTATTTTTCCAATTTAGAGCTACCTGTTTTTCAATGACTGTTATCTTTTCCTTGAGTGCCGTTGCAAAATTTAAAAAGTTGAGTCGAAATTAATGATGAGTTGGTAGTAACAACCGATTTCAATTGATCCGAAATTAAATCCGATAAGATTTAGGTTGACTATACGATTCTTCCCCTGCAAGGAATGTGGTATAACTAGTTGCAATTACTACTAATGAAGAAAAAAAAAAACCATACATTAATATTGGCTACAAGTCTTATTAAACCATTTAGGATAATATATGATATCATAGTTACCATTACAGCAGCATTATAATGCTATTTTAACTAGAGAATGTGCAGTATGATCTGCTCACTACAAGGAATACATAGTTAAGGTTATCCACACGGGAAAATTCGTTTGATTTTACAACCGCGATTTTTTCCGTTACTTCAAAACTGTCACAAGCGATGGGTTCAAAACAAGCACCAACACACATAATATAGAATTAGATCCCACCAGTACATTTACACACAGTATTACACCATGACAGACAAGCTACCATATAAGGTAACGTTAAGTATCCCATTTGAAACCCATGAGCAAGCAACCATAGCTAAAAATACCTTATCACCGGACCCAATAGTCAAATCAGTTGACGAATTTAACATTGAATACGAAATTAACGATAATATACTTCAGATTCTATTCTCAGGCGCTAGTAATAGAATAATTAGAGTCACGATAAGTAATACTATTGATAATTTAAAGACTATCCTTGAATGTATTGACGAGTTTGAAGGCAAACAAGATCATTTGTTTGAAATTGACGGTGAAAAGTTTACTGGATAGTTTAAATCTTTATAGAGAAGTAGTTCTAGTTTATGTACAGAGTTATATAAATCAGTTGGTTAGTTTACTATTGTAGGTTTATAATTTGGTGGGGTGGGGGAGGGGGAAAATTTTTTCAGTGCAAAAAAACCAATACCAATATCAATAGCAACAGTATAGAAGTAAATGCAAGTGAAAAGAATACATCCCAATGGGATTGTATTCAAAAGAACCCTTTTCAAAGGAATTAAAGAAGCCACTAAAAAACTTCAAATTGCAAATAAGCGAAAAGAAGAAGGAGAATCATTTCATCATGAATACTCAATTCGTCCTGATACCTATGCATTCAAAGTGTCTGGTGCCAACGACGTAACCAGAACGCTTACACAAGCAAAACCAACAAATACTCCTACTCCTACACCTCATCCCTTACAGGACAATAAATCATTCAACTTCATTGAATATATCTATAGATATACTACCAATTATCCATTTGGTGACAAATCACCTCAAGAGATATACAATGAATATCCCTTAACCAACAGTGAGAAGCTTGCTCGATTAAAACAACGTCCAAAGAGAGTAAAAATGACTACTTCTGATTTCATTGAAGATTCTTTATATAATCCAAATTACGGATATTTTTCCAAAGAAGTTGAAATTTATCAGCCAGAGACTCCATTTGAATATAACAATATTGATGATATTGACGACTTTTTAAATGTTTGGCAGAAATCCTATAGCAAATATGATGATATGTCAAGCAAATTGCCCGCAAAACAAGAAAGACAACAGGCTGAAGTTGAGTTGTTTACTCCTAAACCGACAAAATCAAAATTTGCTGCTGCAGCTCAACAAATTCACAAGATGGACTTACAAGTGGCTCAAAATAAAAGAACCAGAAAATCATTACAATTATGGCATACTCCTACAGAATTATTTCAACCATATTATGGGGAAGCTATAGCGAGATACATTTTGGTCAATTATAAGTTGAATGGTAATTATCCCTACAATGATTTGATCATCTATGAAATGGGTGGCGGTAACGGTACCTTAATGTGTAATATTCTAAAATATATCAAGACAAATCAACCAGATATTTATGCCAGAACCCAGTATAAGATTATTGAAATTTCAAGTCAATTAGTGGCTAAACAAATGGAGAGTGCATTTAAGAATAAGTTGATTAGCCATGGGTTAGATAGTGATAAGCTTCAAATTTATAACAAGTCTATATTCAAGTGGAACAATGTTGTTAATGAACCATGTTTCTTTATTGCATTAGAAGTGTTTGATAATTTTGCTCATGATTTAATTAGCTATGATAATACCACCGGTGAACCATACGAGGGTAAAGTTGTAATTGATGACCATGGAGATTTCTACCAGTTCTTCACTTCTGAATTGTCATACTACTCAAATATGTATTTAAACTTGCGTGAAAATAGTGCATTCTCAGTCTTAAGGCAACAAGGAACCTTACAAGGTAGCGTTGAAAAAGTCAAGTCGTTAGTCAGTCCAGACAATGTACATCCATTATTACATTCAACCAAGAAATTACAGTACAAGAATATGTTCTTGCCATTCAAGGACAATTTAACCCCGGGAGAATTCATACCGACTAGACTCATCCAATTCTTTCAAATCCTTCGCCATAAATTTCCTAACCATTCACTCATTTGTTCAGACTTCAATGCATTACCAAAGACAATACCTGGAGCATACAATTCACCAGTAGTACAAACTGTTCTTCAAGATAAAATGATTGATGTTACAACATACATGTGTCATCAAGGGTACTTTGATATTATGTTTGCTACTGATTTTGATTTATCAAGTGAATTATATAAGAAATTAACTGGAAAAGTACCTCGTGTGGAAACCCATCACGAATTCTTGAATCAATGGGCTGATATCGAAGCCACCTCTACTAAAACTGGGGAAAATCCAATGTTGGACTTTTATAAAAATGTAAGTTTCATGGTGAGTTAACCATATTGTATATAAAAGCAAAGGTGGTGAATATGTAAATAGAATAGATATAGACATCAATAGTCATACTAAGTTATTCCTGTGTAACATGATAAATATTTTCTAAACATACACTTTGCGCCAACAGAGTACATCTCTACATGGGGTTATTTTAAGTTATTTTAATTAAAGAGTTTGAGAGATTAAAGAAATAAACAATATATAAGGACAACGTAAAGTATAATAGCAAGAAAACCTTCAAATAACCATATAAAGACGTATCCACCAACCATCAGAACAATTATGATTATAAATAAAGATGACAGCATCATCGAACGCATTTCTCAAGAACAAACCTGACTTTTCTAATATACTTCTAACATTTTAAGATTGAGTTTAAGGGAACTTAATTTGGAATGATAATCAACATTAAACTCAGATTCCCTCGAAGCTGACCAATTCATTCAAATCTTTAATAAAATTTGAAGTGGAGGAACAAGCAATTTAGTGTCACCTATTCCTTGGAATTGGAACTCGATCAATCTTTAATCACATAAAAGTGTTTCATTGTCAATTTCAATTTGGTACATTAATAAAGCCATTGTGTTTGTGTATCTCAATATCGTTAAAACCATATTCTTGGATGCATGTACCTTTAACTTAAGATTGAGTTTAAGGGAACTTAATTTGAATTATTAATTATTGTTAAATTCGCCTCGAAGTTAATCACTTCATTTAAACCTTTAAAAAGAGTTTGACTTGAAGTAGAGCAATAACCATCAGTTTTTCTTGGAATTGTAACTCGATCAATCTTTAATCACTTGAAGTGTTTCATAATTATTTCAATTAGGTACATGAAGTTTAGAATTAGTTTTGAAACTAAGATAACAAGAGTTTCAATAAGGGAAAGAAGGTGATACAGTTAACTTCTCTTAAATCCTTTTCTTAAGTTGTTTTAATTTGCGTATGATTCCAGACCCAGGGTTAGAGCGCGCAACAGCACGAAATCTAATGAGTTTAGAATCCCCAAATGAATCATCTTCAGAATCATTTTGGCCAATATTGATATCAAGGGAATTATAACCTGTCAGTTGTCTTTCTTTACGCTGTTGCTTTCTTAATTTATGTTCCTTGAGTTCTTCAAACTGTCTTTGTTTTCTTTCAAGGGTCAGGTTATTTGTTTTTTCCATGAACTTGGAAGCTATTCTACCTTTAAAATCGAACCATTTAAAACGTTCATTTTGCCACAGAGAACGTGATAAGTATGTCGACTCAGATTGGTTACTAAATGATACGTCTGAATTATTTCCAGGAGCTTCATGGACAATACCTTCTGGACATAACCCTTCACCAGAAGTGAAAATATCCAGATATACAATTCCAGAAACATTAACTACTTGGGAACAACTCAACTTTCCAATAGCGTGCAATGAGTTATACCGGATACTCGGTTCAAAGATTTCTGGAGAAACACTATGAATTTCAAAATTAGCTTTGGAGTTTGATTTTTCTTGGTGAAACATTTGGGAAAGTGTCAGTAAAATACTTCCTTTTCTATGCTTGGTTGAGAATGGATTAATCTTTGGCGACGTGATGGGAGATTGTTCACCTAAGCTGGTTACAAATCCAGTAGTGTTATCTATCTTTCCACAAATATCACGTATTGAATTTTCCAACAGATTTATAGAAGATCCCAATTCAGTGGAAATACTGGAAATACTTTCACCACACTCTTCATACTCTTTTTGGGCATTGACTAATTCAACTTCAAGTTCTTCTAATTTTTCCCTGAGCTGCCTGATAGTAGTTTCACAGCGACAAACTTGGAAACATTCACTAGCATATCTGTCTAATAATTCCCTTTGAATGTCTTTTAACTCATTCCAGGATGATCTGACCTTAAGTTTCTTAAGTTCTCTAGACATTTGTGTAGATAAGCCAAATTGAGACTGGATAAATTGGGATGAATGTTCAGTAAACTTTTGATCAACAACATTAGGAGGCAAGCTCAGAGTAACTGGGAATTGTCTATCAATCTTGGTAGCAGTGCTGAATTTGTCGTTACCCCATATTTTAAAACAATTCAGTAACTTGGGAAAACCATGTTTGTGTTTGTGGTCAGAAGCAGATGATTTCAAAGTCGAAGACTCTTGTGGATTAGGATTGAAGTTGGATGGAACGGAAGATAAATCAGAACAGTTTTCCTTTGGGTAATATTTTCTAAACTCGGGTAATAAATCTCTAAACTCAGATCTACAAGAAGGAGTTTTGGTAGGCAGTGAATCAACATTAGAATTCAATTCAACAACAGGAACAGCTTCTTCAGCGGGTGTAAAAATGTTCCAAATTCTTTTGATGATTGAGAACATCAGTGTCATAATAGTAATCAAGTGAAATTTAATTGATACCGATAAACAATCAAATTGGAACAAAGAAAGAAAGTTTACAAAGATTCACCGCTTGAAAATTGAGAGTTTCTCAAATTTATACTGTCAAATTTTCGCAGCCGCTGGTGTCTATGGGTGCAAATACAAAAACAAATCAAAAATCTCCTCACGATGCGGCTTTTCTCAGAATAGAAACAAAAATCTTAACACATGTTTTCGTACTGCTTGAGATGACTTATAAATAAAGTGTGCTCTACTATTGGAAATTGCTTAGGTATGGATAAATCCAAGATAGAAGTAAATATTAAAAAACAAATCCATTTATTTGTAATTGATTATTTTAACCACAATCAGGTTATATTGTTATAACCACTTTTTGGTGTATTACCCATTGATTCCATCACATTATTGATGTTGTTAACCATTTAAACCCCAATTTGGAGTCAGAAATTGTGGTTTTTGGTAAACTTAATACTTTATTATCTGTGAATCAGGTTGCCCAATGGTACTACAGGAATCAAGTCCCTTCGATTGATTTTTAGCCTATGGATTAATCATTTCTCATACTTTTGCAAAACCTACTTTTCTTCATGGATCAATTAAATGTTCCTATTCTTGGTAGTTGTAAAGAAAGGATGTGACGTAAGTAACATTACTGAAGTTTCCAAGTACTAAGCTAAATCATATCACGTGCGTGTTGCTAAAATTTCTTACTGCTACAAAAAAAAACTCGCCTCAGAACAGATATTGCCGTTTCTTACTACAGAAAGCTTAAAGAAGAAAGATGTCAACAACATGAATTATTCAGAGTATGATCGTATTTCAACAATTGATAATAAGTTGGCCACCGTGCGATATATTGGAACAATACCACAATGGGGTGATACACTTGCTTTAGGATTGGAATGGGATGAAGCAACACGAGGTAAGAATAATGGGGAAGTCAACGGAATAACCTATTTTACACCGACAGTTCCCAATTCAGTTACATTTATAAAGTCAACCAATAAGAAACTAGTTCATAAGTGCAAATCATTTGTTCAAATTATCAAGGAAAAGTACTTGGATGCTGAATATATTGAAGCAGACATTCAATTTGGTAGTAAGACAGTCGAGGAATTTGGTTGGGAGAAGTTAAACAAGTTTCAATCAAATTTGTCAAATTTAACATCACTTACTTTAGATTTTCATTTGATTAATCGGGCTGATTATGACAAATCAATATTTACCAATCTTGGAAATTTAACTCACCTTGAATTGAGTTTTAATTTGTTTAATGATATCACCGAAGTTTGGAAAATTGTCGATTTGCTACCTGGGTTACGTGAACTTAATTTAAACGGTAATAGATTTTATAAGTTTAGTCCCACAAATACTCATAACTTGAAAGTACTAAAACTTTCGAGCACGTTGGTAACAGTTGCTAATTTAAATGAACATATTCTTCCCAAATTTCCTAAATTGACTGAGCTTTATATATCAGGAAATAACTATACAAACGAAGATATCAATAATTTAAATCTACCTGCACAATTGGAAGTACTAGACGTTTCATATAACCAGTTAACTATTTTTCCCAAGGTTAATATTTCATCACTTAACTTAAGTCACAATAATATTTCAGACTATTCAAACGTGTCACAATTGAATATCACAAGTCTTGATTTACGAAATAACCAGATAATGCTGTACAGTTTTATTGATTGGTTGTCAGAAGCTGCACCTAATTTACAAATTCTCCGTATAAACCATAATCCGTTGTTTCAAGATATAGACATAATGACAACTCAATTAATAGCCAGGTTTTATTGTCAAGACTATCATGCGATTCCTCATACTAAACTATACAAATTGAACGGAAGTTTGTTGACTAATGACGAAATTGAAAATTCTGAATTGTATTTCATATCAAAAGTACAAATGGGTGAGTACCAAATTGACAAAAGGGCTAAGAAATGGTTATACTTGCTAGACAAGTATAAGCCTAAACCTACTACAATCAACATACAACCAGATTGGATTAGCTTGACTATAAATATACCAAACAAAGATCCTGTACAAAGATTGTTCCTACTTAACAATTCAATATTAAGAATAAAGGGTATTATATCCAAGTTATACTTGGACAACATGTCAATATTACAGTTTAAATTGTACTATTATATTGATACCTCAATTAAACAAGAACTAAAAGACTACCTATCTATATTAGATACATACAGTCTTTCACCTAGTCAAAACATATATATAGATTATTCTTGATGATTCCATAATCCATCACCTAAATAATGTACTAATTCAATACCAATCCCCTTATTCTTTGTCTTTATATCATCAATACTCATTAATAATTTCCCAATAGCCAATGCATTTTCCTTACCTTCAGCATAAACAGTGACAATTGCATCCTTTTCCATGTTTTCTTCAGGTAATTTAGCACCAGGACTAGTTAACCCAGGACACATAATATTTGCACCACTCAAGATGAATTTGATTGCACCACGGTCAACTTGAACACGAGGGAAACAATCAGGGTATTTGTGAACGGTGGTTAAACTTGGTACCAATTCATCGTTATATTGTTGAAACATGACAATTTCATTGTCAACACAGTACAATTGAATCTTTTCTTCACATTTTATAGAGACCACCTGGGATTTCTTCGGTATTAAATTGTCAATAGCTGGTTCAAGCTGTGGATATAATTGAACGAGGTTGGACTTGAGTCCTCTCTGAACTGAGGATTTGATGTTTGAACGGGAGTGAATGTCTTCCTTGGTGAACTTCTTGAACATTGTGTGATGATTGTGTGGTGAAGAACAGTTAACTAGTAATTGGAGAAAAAAAAATTTTTTTTCTCTTATGGTCTGTACTTGGTTAAATCTACAGGTAAATTTACACTGATTCTACAAGACTACAATGTAATGATTTATAATTACAATAACATCATCCGGACAAGCCTTGATGGTATCGCACTCAAAAGAAATCGTTATATTAATCTGGCCTCTTACTTTAATAGAATGTGTAGCTAAACTACACTTGAAAGTTAAAGCATCCAGCTCAAGATTTAATCATTGAAAACTAAACCGAGCGAGGCAGAAGGCGTGGGTAATGGGGTTGGGATTCATATCCATAAATTTGGATATTTATCATCCGAAGTGGAAAGTAATGGAGTGCCTCTCCATCCAAATCTGCGGTCAAATCTCAACTCTAAGAAGTAACAACTTAAGCAGGAACTCAATTTGGATAACTTCTGGGCTGATTTGATCAAAGTAATTCCCATTTAACTATGATAATGACCCCTCATGACCCAATTAAAAAAGAATGTTTGATCAACTTGACTAATACCTTCAAAGAAGTGTACCAGTGCAAGTCCAACCCCCAAGATGCATACAAAATTGTATACACACAATGTAAAACAGTTCCAAAAATTCTCTAAATATCACAAATGTAATATCCAGAAGTTGTCAGGTTTATAGTTTTCAACCAGCAAAAACATGATCTCGGACTGAATCCTCACTGATACACGTAATGCCCCTGCATAAAGATAAAGAACAAGAATAAGAACAACTTCAAAGTTTTGCTGCTGGTTCAAAATTTATACCAGAGGGAAAAAAAATTTTTTTTTTCAAATTATTAAACCGGGTAACACTAACATCAAATCTATCCTAGTATGGTCAATCTATTACAAGATCTTTTGCCTATATATAAAATTTGCAGCTATCTATATTCAAAAGTTACCGCCAAAGCCTAACTACAGAAAAATCAGCCGCATAACAATACCTGAGATTTGAAAAGTGTAACTAATTTAGCGCTTACAAGACAATGTAGTGTCCTATAGACAAGATTCCACTAGAAAAGAATCAAGAGTTCTTTAAATAGCTTTCTCATTAGTTTTATCCATTAAAAGACTATAAATTAATCATAAACTATAGACGACAAATCAAAAGACGAATCATCAGTACCATCTTCTCCAGGTTTCTCCAATATACCACGATTCAAATAATCAATTAACTTTTCTGTATTCAAACTATGTGGAATTTTCCCGTGGTTTTTCTTCTTACCTTTTAAACCATCAAACGGATCATAAAATTGAACAGTTTGGCTAGGGTCAACTGGAACATAGTAATTGGTATATAATTGCATTCGTTGGTCTTCAGTTAGTAATCCTTCACTATCCAGACTAAATTCGTAGATTGAACTATTATGACTTTTCTGTTCTATATCATAGTGTTTATTAACTCTACTTTGGTTGATTACCACAGTATCGTGCCCAGAATCATGAACTGAAATTGTCAGTTTGTCTGGTTCCAGCTCCACATCGATTGAATAATCATTTGTTTGATCTTGTTCTAATTCATGCTTCACACATACTTGACTATCTGGTGTGTAATTAGGCAAATCAATATCGTCCAATACTATAGGAGCCGATCGAGTACCGCTATGATCCCTGTTAATGTCCTCATGGGTAGCAGCAAGCTGGGATTGCCGATTCTTTAACTGATCAAGGATATTTACTCTTGTTCTCTTCAAACCTAATGTTTTCTTTGGCCTTCCAATTTCAGAATGAGGATTGAAACTCAGGGGAATATTGAAATTCAGTTCTGAAATTTTAGTTAACATTTTCGCTTTTTCAACCGGTATACTAGTAACAGGTGGCGGGGAAGCTGTGTGGTCATTAGGAACCACCACTGCTCGCTTGACACCTAAAGATTTAGGCTTTGGTTTTGGAGACAGTGGAACCAATGGCGTTGGTTCTCTGGTAGATTCAGATACTTCTGATTCATCATCCAGACTAAATGAGAAATCATCATCGAGATCAATAGGAATCGAACCCAGCTCCAGTTTGGACGAGACAGGAAATTCTGAAACTAATGATGAGGCCGGTGTGTTTAAATCTTTGTGAATTGATAGCTCGTTATCACTATCCGAGGAAACTTGTTTCTTTTTACTTGAATCCAGTTTACTGACAGCTTTTGAAGCTATTGGTATATCCTCATCACTTTTTAAATCAATAACTTGCCTTTTATTCGGTGAATCCGAAGCTTGCGGGTTTGAATGTTGACGAGATGTTGAGGAAATTGGGATATCATCATTGCTATCGGAGTCAACAACTTTTAGCTTCCTTGAACTAGTACTAGAACGAACTAACGATGGATTTGCAATAATCGGCAAGTCATCATCATCAGAGGAATCGAGAAAAGAATCTAAAATGTCACGCTCTCGTTTCTTTTCTACTTCATCACCACTTTTTTTGATCATATTAGTAACACTTTGAAATCCAGTCTCAACATTATCGGGCATAAAGAACTTTTTCTTAGAAGCTAGTGGTTTCTTGGTCAGTTTCTTCTTCTTTTGACTTCCACCCAACATATACTGAGTGGCAATACGAATAATTTCATCTTCATCGTCTTCACTCTTTAATTCAATATTTTCATCGGGAATCTCAATAAACTGTTCAACAACCTTGGGCGTATATATGTCGGGAATGATTCTATTTCGGGAACATAATGTAATTAAATCACCTTTTTGTATATGTTGTTGGATATATTCATACCCTGCCATGGCTTTATCAAATTTTAATTCTTCATTACTAGAAAAGAGGAGGACGACCTTACCATCACGTTTACGACCAGTTCTACCCATTCTTTGAATGTTCTTGATGGGTGACGAAGTTGAATCGTAACATATAATCAAATCAACTTCACCAATATCCAACCCTTCTTCACCAATAGATGTAGCAACTAAGATATTGTAGGCACCCGCTTTGAATTTCTTAATGATTTCTTTTTGTAACTTTTGGTTCATCCCTTTTATCTGTGCATCTTCTGAACTTGTCCTAGTAGAATCGCGAACATCATCATCGCCATCATGAGCTCGCTTCTTTGATTTACCTTTTGTCTTTGACTTTGTTTCATCGAATCTTTCCTTTTCCTTAGATTGACCGATGAAAATATGCGGTTTAAGATTAGTTTCCGTCCTTTCGATACATTGAACGATTTCCAACGCTGATTCACGATATTCGGTAAATATGATAACCCTTGAATCAGAAGATACGCCATCGGCAAAGAAATCAGTTAATTCGTCCATCAATGTTTCAATCTTAGGGTGACTGTATCCTTTCCCTTTTAGTACCTCATCCAGCCGTTTTAAAACTTGCTTGATTTCATCACTGAAGTAGAAATCAGAATTGATTTGACTCTTTGACTTTTTACCTTTAAATTCATTATACTTTTCATTGAAGTAAGTGTAGAATGAACGAACACCATAGATGTTAAGTCTTCTATAACATTGCCCTACTACTCCTAATAGTTGGAGCATGTAAAAATTTGACCATTTTAGCCCACTGGGCATGGTTCTATTCATAGTGACTTTTCTTGACGCTTCCATACACTGGAAATGATTTATCCGAGTAGGATCAGTAATATCAAAAACCCCCCGTTCATTAGCTGACTTCAATACTGGAGAAATAGCTGTAGCAAGTAACCCAATCAATTCTTGAATTTCCGAAGACGCATTGACTGTCCTTTTCACGATTTGTTTCCGTTTCATGTATTTGGTAATATCTATTGCATGTTCTGTTCTAACTTCAACTTTTGAAATCTTTAAATTGTCAATAATGTCCTGGACACCTTCGACATCACCTGCTGGAGTGGCAGTCAATGCCAAGATCCTGAATGAATTATTGAAACGGGATAAGAATTTGACCACGTTATTGTACGAGTAGTTTCCTCGTGCTCTATGGGCTTCATCAATAACCAAAAGCACAACAGATTTCGGATTTAGTATACCTCGAGCCAAATCGTTTTCCACTACCTGAGGCGTAGTAAAGAACACCTGACGCGTGTCCCATATTTCCTCCCTATTCTTTCTCGTTTTATCCAACAAGATTGCCACTTTTGAACTAGGTATACCTGTAATTGAACAACAGGCTTTGATTTGTTGGGCTACCAATGGACGCGTTGGAGCCATAAATATAATTTTGGACTGAGGAAACCATCGTAGGAAATTCAACATTACTGTAGATGCAATAAAGGTTTTACCTAAACCGGTAGGTAATGCCACGAGTAAATTATCATAGAATGCACGTTGGACTATATTATATTGATAGTCACGGATTTGAAAATTGGTAGGGTAGATGTATGTTTTTAAGTTTTCATAATCTATGGGATGGTGACTGGGGATATTCACTGGTATTGGTTTAGGTAGTTGTTGTACTGATGTGATTGTAGGGACAATGTTGCCATCAAGGGTTCTTTGCCGCTTCAGTGACACGCCGTTTTGGAGAATCTGTTGCAATTCAGGATCCTCTTCTTCGTCATCAAAGGCCCAATCGTCATCGTCTTCTTCATCATGTATCGGTATAACTGGCATTAACGAATGTTGTACGTTGTGTGTAACCAAAGCTAGCAACTTGGCAGCAAAATAAAGCAAAACAAAATAAAAATAAAAATAAAAAAAAAAAGTTTAAACGCGTATCTAAACATCATCACAAGCCAAACAGCCAACGCACCAAAATGAGCTCTGAAGATCCATATGACGTGCTAACTCAGGGTGTAAACTTACTTAGACAGCCATTGAATGATCTTCTCAGAAAACACGAGGAATTTATGGTGCAAAACCTAAGTATTGTCAACAACCTATCTACAGTTCCCAAGTTAACTCAAGAAATCGAACAAGCAAAGGAGAAGCAATAAGCTACTTGCATTATGTATATAGTCTATTTTACAGTTAATACACACTAATTAAGACCAAAGTTATCACCCAATAAACCATCCAAGTCAAATTCTTTAGCCCAAGTTTGGACAATGGTAGTTTGTTCAACCTTTGGTGGTTCCTTTTCTCCTCTTAATGAACTCTTTGGGGCATCCAAATCAACTTCTTCAGCAGTGGTCTTAGAAGCCTTTGGTAAAGTCCAACCAATGATTCTACCATCTCTCCAATCATTCAATACGGACATAGCAGCAGATTCCATGTTTGGTACACCGCCTCTGCCTAATCTACCTTTAGTTCTAGCAATGTGAATCAAGAAATGCTTGGTGAATTCTTCAAAATCTCCTGAAGGTAATGGAGGTAATTGATAGTAATTCTTTAAACCATCGGCCATTTCGGGGTTATTAGAGAATTTCTTTAATAACATTTGAATTGAAGGAATTGGATCAATAATTTGCTTTGGAGGTATAGCAGATAACAAGGCCAATTTAGCCATTTGTTGGGTCTTGCTAAGTTTCTTGGTGTTTATTATTTCATCCGGAAAAACAATACCTGGAGAATCCAAGATCTTCAACTTGTTATCAATCTTAACTTCTCTCATACTGGTGGTTACACCAGCTTGATTACCAACAGGACAGGCCTTGGCACTTCCACCGTGTCTATTAGTCAATGCATTGATTATACTGGATTTACCAACGTTAGGGTATCCAATGACACCAACAATAATTGATCTTTTCAAGTTGGATTTGCTAGCATAACTCTTTAATGCTTTTAATAAGGAATCGGAGGTCATGGAGTTGGTCAAGTTTTTGTTAAATGAGGTCGAGTTAGTAGCGCCTGGAGCAGCCTTAATAGGAACAGTTGGGAATGAAGACTTTAAAAAGTCAAGCCATTGGTTCAAGACATTGGTTGGAATTAAATCAACTTTATTCAACACGAGAATCAAACGCTTACCTGGGTTTTGTAACACAGCTTGTTCAACCTTTCTCGATCTGGTCAGTTCTGGATCTCTGGCATCCAATACATATAAAATAACATCGGCTGCTTCAACAACAGTTTTGAAAATCTTGTCATATGCTTTACGAGATTTATCCAAGTCTCCAGTATCTTCATCGTCATCAAATTCAATGTCGTATTCAACATCTTCATCGGAATCAACCATGTTGTCATCTTCACCTTCAAAGTCATCACCGTCGTATTCCTTAGCTGCCTGCTGGGCAGATTCTAACAATGCAGCCAATCCACCTTCTTCAGATTCATCGTCATCCTGTTCCATATCGTCATCGACAATTTCTCCCCTAGCCAAAGCGGCTTCCTTTTCTTGTTGTCTTTGAAGCTTCAACTGTTCTTTTCTTTCTCTTTCCAATCTTCTACCTTCTTCTAATTCAGTTATAATCTTGTCCTTGTATGGGAAACTGGCAGGGATACCTGGGTCTTTCTTGTGTCTGGATTTCCATGTTATATCTTTCTTGGCCATTTTTCTATTCTTTCTTTGTTGGGCAGCGGCCTTCTTCTTGATACCTTCTCTCATTCGAGTAGATACTCTTTTAGATGTTGGTTTCTTAACTCTCATACTGATTGATGTCTACTAGTTTACTTCCTAGTCTATTGATCTGTTGTAAAAAAAAAATAAAAAATAGTGAAATAATTTTCTTTTTCTGAGAAGAGCTGAGACTGCCTCAGTGAGAAGCAAATTTGGGCGATGAGGGGGGGAGAGAAAAAAAAACCAAGTGCGAACGAGCAGACAAAAACTTGACCAGGCTGACAGGTTGACAGGTTTAGGATTAAAGGAAGGAACTATGCAAAGATGGAACCTAACTTAATATGTTATTTCAACTGTTTATCTCACTACATTCTCTTTGTTAAACTCGTTTCTATTATCACCAACCCAATATATTATAATAATACAAATCGTAAAGACATCAGTTCTATAACCCTAACACTTCTTATAGAGTTCATAAGGATTAAAGTAATCAATATCAAACAGACAACAAACTTTTGAGCGGTACACCTTACATCCACTTTCTTTAGCTTGTAATAACCTCGTAGCTGAACTAACTAACAGGATATAATTTAACTTGCCAGACTCAGCGTATATTGACCAATATACTTTACCGTCATCATCCTTAATTTCAATTATATTGTAATTAGAAATCGATTCAAGCAGGTTTATGCCTTTAATTAACTCTATGAGGTCACGTTCCAGTTCTATATCAGCAGTAGTTGAAAATACTTTTACGTTCATCATGGTTTTCTTCTTTAGTGTAGTAAAAACTTGTTTTTTAGTTCATTTAAAGAAGAGGAGAAGTAGAAGTAGAAACGGAACTTTTTACAATTACCCACCTTTCTTTTAATCTTTGTTTATTCCACCACTCACTGTGGGAAAACGATCTCGGAAACGTTCCCGCGCACTCCATTGCTGCATTAGGAAGCGCATGCCCTCGGGTATTCATTTTGTTCCGGATAAACAAAATTAAATTACCTCGTATCTAAGCATCCATGCAGGATAGGACTAGGAGGGGGAGAGGGAGGGGATCTACACTCGCCCAGATTACAAGTTCTATTATATCTATCAAGACTACTTATCATCATAAAACGAATCTCTATCTTCTTCTTCGTCGTCTGCACTCTCATCCTCAATACGAGGGTAATATTTAATCCCGTGGTCTTGCTTATTGTTCTTAATCCAGGATGGATTCAGATATCCAATATGCTCGTCGTCGTTGTCATCTTCATCAGAATCACTGTCGCTGTCATTATCCTGTCCGAAAATTTGAACAAAATCCTCTTCGATTACTGAGGGCCCTTTTATAATTGATGTAAGCATTCCTTTTGGCTTTGTAACTTCTATTTCAACGGCCTTGACCGGTTTCACGGGCTTGATTAAGACTTGTCCAGTTATAGGGCCAACATTATTGTTAGCTGTCACTTTTCCATTTGCAGCAGCGGTATGTTTGTCAATATCTACTTTCCCATTTGTAGGTCCAACTTTTTGAACTTGTGCAGGAGAGACAGGAATAACACCTGGTGTGGATCCAGTAGCCGGTACAATCTGTGGAGTAGCCCCGGGAGTAATCACATCCGGACGACTAGCATGCACGGGAAATCGAGGATTGTATTGATATAGGTTGGCCGGATTATCAGTATAACTAGCATATGCATCAGGATTAGGATTAGTTTCTTGAATCTGTTTTGTCAAAATTCGATTAAGTAGCTTTTGTTTCACGGTGGTTTTGAAATTGTTCTTAACTTCTGGAATTTTGTATAATGTATATTCGGCAACGCTTCTTATATCGTCTGGTGACAACACTATTTCAATCGAGTCTTTGAACGGTTGAAGTGGGAGAGGAATACTCGAGCCAAATGACGAAAGTAGTAGCAAATGTAATATCTTCATTGAAAGGTACAACTAATAGATACAAGATGAAGATCTGGAATCTCTTTTTTTATTTTTTTATTTTTTTTTTTTTTGTTCACTATCTATTTTTATTTATATTTTGCAATCGTTCATTCCGGCATTACTAAGTTTGTGAATGCATCATACCATATAATTCACTTAATGTAGCAGGATACACGTTAGAATGCAATCTAGACTAGAGCATATCTTGATCTTATTGCACAATCTGTCCTACCCGGCTGCAAAATTTACGGAAAAAATTTCCCTCATTTTGTAATGCTACTGTTGAGTGCGATAAATACTGTCGAGCCGCACAACCGAAAGAAGAAGCAAGGGAAACATGTGAAGTACAATTCTTTCATGTATGTAGTGGTTGACCCCAATACCCGTAAGTTAGATATTCTCATCTCAATTATGAGGGAATGTATATAGATTCAGTAACACGTTAGAGGAGCTTACGCCGAGAGCTTGATATAGGACTTTTCCGACAATCGAATAAGGTGCTCAATTGTGATCAATTTATCGTGCAAATTCCGTATATAAAAGACCCTAAAATGTAATAAAAAACAAGGAAATTCTATTTTTTTAATAGTAATGGGATTCTTCACAATGTTTTAGAAATGTGGAAAGCAGCAAAAACGTGTTTCAGTCTCTAATTTTTATGTTTTGTGAAAGCGTCATTATTTTACTTTATCAGAGCTATAGAATGATAGCAACTGTCGTAAACTAGCCGAGTTAAGAAGAAATGCTACAAGTTATTTGTGTACGCGACAGCTACAATATAACCCGAATATATATATATATATATATATTTATATTATTGTCTCTATAGCTAATCCATAGCACTCTTTGCTCTTGGGAGTGATGAACTACTAGATAATCTCGGAAGTGATTCTCTACTTTCAGAAAACAATCCGTTGCCATTCTTAGTTATGAATGGTTTGTTCATAAAATTAGGTACTCTAGTATTATTCTGGTCTTGTTCCAGTTCTTCATTTAAAGCAAGAGCCAGTCGAGTTCTTAATATAGAAGCGTGTTGATTTGCTTCTGATTGTGGCTTAACTGGCTTTTGTGAGGAGTCTCCTAACCCTTCCTCCAAGTTTATTTGCTCAATTTCTTCATATGATGTCCAGTTTCGTAAATAGTCACCAATATAAGGGATTTTGGAACTTATGGAGTTTATCAGTTTACGAACTGAGATAGGCATGTGCAATCTCCGAAGCTTGTATCCCCATTTTCCAAAATGCGATCTCCCAAAATGATACAAAAAGAACAACAACAATAATACAAATATAATTGAGTAGATCAAACTACCATATCCACTCTCATCATCATCATCACTATCATAATCACTGGATGAACTCTTGGAACTGATACCTCCAGGGACAAAAGACTTCCGGGAAATTTCGCTGGGGTAAATACCTATTTCTAGAGAATCCTTTGAATCTGCTGGTGGTATTTGAGAAGTGGCAAAGAGTAAGATCTTACCCAATGTCCATGATAATTCTTCACCTTCTATAGAATTTGCAGATTTAAAAGGAACAGGTACTTTAGTAATATCATGGTCTTTAACGGTAGCTCTTTTGACTTCTTCTTCAAATCCCAATCTTGGCAAATCAAATCCATCATGCAATATATTCATAACCCAGTTGGCTTTAAAACAGGCATCCTTCAAAAACTTATCCGGATCGAGATTTGAGTATTGTCCCGCTTCAGAATTTTTCAAGATTTGTCCCCAATCACTTTCACAATATTCCTTGACCTTCTGGTTAAAAATCTTGAAATTATATTCACCCCCACTTTGGAAAATATCATTGGCAGTATACCAATATTCGGAAATCCCAATAAACTTATCCTTCTCGAAATTAAGTTTAGGTCCATGAATCCCATTAAACAAACAAGGCTCATCTTGACAGGGAATTGCCTTCATTAACAATGGATATATTGTTCTAGTACACATTTCATAATTCCCGACCCCAACAATCTTGTATCGTTTTCCATCAAGGCCATACTCGGCAGTTGCACCTTTGGGCAAACAGGGATCGTTAATTTCGTTGCTAGTTTGCTCATTGACAATCGACAAGTTAATTAACTGGTTCAAGAATCTCTTTCTTGCTTCGTTAGCTCCAAATCCCAACCATGTGGCTACAAACACATCCCAGGACTGAGTTTGTCCATTGACATTTCTCAAGGTGACTTTTGCTAAATCTTCGGCATGTTTCTTGATTTGTTCTGGTGATGAAGGAACAAAGGCAATTTGAGTTGAGGCGCCTCCCATGTCCATGAAACCAATAGATTGGTGGGATTTCAAGGTTTCATCATAATTATTAAACTGCCCCATTAAGTAATTTAGGCCTAGCCATCCGTATATACCTTCTGTTGATCCGTCAATGATCTGCACAAAATTGCTACAATCTGGTAAATAAAAGTTTGTGTTTTTCTTAATGCTTGAACAGGTTTCTTTTAATATCTTATTTTGAGTAGTTTTAGGTAATAGTCTCATACCAGCAGTACTCAATACAAACACGGGAGTCTCGCCATGCTTATCAGCAGGAATTATTCCCTCAGCGAATTTCATCAACTCAGAATAATGCTTACTCCATATCTCTTTGATTTTCAGGTTTGTGTTATATGTAGAAATACCCGGCGAGATCTTTTTAGTCCAATTAGGTTCTTGGATTATCTTGGGTGGTGATTGAAGTACAGATTGTGATTTCAGTTTAAGTAATGTTTTGGGATCGGACCACTTGTATATCTGGATACGAGATCCCGATGAACCGGAATCAATGACTATCCCATACTTGTCATTCTTATCATTAAGCGCAATTGCCCTTTCTTCTGCCATATTCAATATGGGCGGTGTATGCTTTCTCAGCTAATTGTTGACACGAATCACGTCAAAAAAAAAATACTGCTTTAGAAAAGTGCGGTGAAATTTAACCCACGATTCACCAAATTTGGTTGTTACTACCAAACAATATTTTAACAGTTAGTTCAAATCTGATTACAAGTTTAGAATACAGATGGAAGCTGGTCCAGATAGAGCCATTGATGTCAATACTTTCTACTAGTACAAGATCTGTAGAGGAATTACCAAGTAAGATCTGTCTCCACACTACCGAACCAACACTAAAATTACCCCCTCCGCGCTACCAACGTTCCATGCGGCTGGTTGCAGAAAATCAACACAATTTCTTAATCTTAAATACAACTGACTCTTCCCTTTTAGAATAAGAGTCAATGATTATCTTACCCAATACCCCTCCTTTACCATCGCCATTACCACCACAATCAAACCTAAATCCATCATTGTTGACATCCAGAACAGCATTACAAGTTGCCAATTTGAATAGTTACAATGACTCTATAAGATATGCCGTTGATTTACAGCATTACTTACAGTCCTTAATTCACTGGGTCAAAGAAACTACCAATTCTCAAGAGCTTAATAAGTTAGTTGATTATGCTTCTCTGCGTGAAATATGCCTTGGTATTCCCTGGACCAATACGTTACAAAGCGACAATTCCAAACGAGAGAAATTGAACCAGCTCTTGAAGTCTAGTTCTAAAATACCATGGAGTTTACTCAATGAGATAGAAATGGTATTAGCATCGATATCATTAATATACATTCGAATTGGGTCTGATTTAACCAGTGAAACAATCGAAGTTGAAGCTGATCCTAAGTCCCTCTCTGAATACAACGAGAAATGGAAACAAGTGGTCAACTTCTACAAAACTTCCATATCGTATACCATGTTTGCCAACAAGATCAAACAACTCGAGAAAGAAGGTCCAATAAATGGTGTAATGTTTACATTCATTGAGAAAATAAGTGACATCTGTATCCAAATGTCAATATTATCCAAGTCATGTTGGATAAATCGATGTTCTGGAAACCCAGCTACTTCCAATAATGGTACTTTGTCTCGAGTAGCAATTTACGTCTTGAATGAATTGAAAAACGCAAAGAATATAGTGTCGAGTTTGGGTACTAATATAACTCTTGATTATCGACTTTGGAATGATTATTTAAGTATAATCGAAAAGTACGTTAGTGCATACGCTGGAATGTTCCTATCCATAGAGAATTACCAACAGGATAAACTTGGAGATGCTATAGGATTAATCCATTTCAGTTTACTTTGTTTACAAAGCAAGAAAAATATTGACAATTCTGATTCGAAAAAGTTCATTGCCAAGTTGAAATCAAAAGTGGTGATAAAAAAGAATGAGCATATTCTTAATAACCTAAATTCAATATCTACTTTAAACATCAATAGATCAGCATTCAACGACAAGTCTGGCGTTATTCTAAATGATTTATCGTACTTATTTGAACAATTAATAGGATTAAATCTCAAATTCACCAAAGAAAACAATAATTTGAAATTTGATAGGATTGTTAGCTGGAAAGATATTAGCCAAGACTCAAAATGGCCGCTAGGAACAAAGATCCCTGTATCCAATATAAAACCATATGAACCATTCACTGTGGAACAGGAAGATAACAACAGGTATATAGGTAAAGGTGCATATTACTAAACTTGTCGACTAATATAAGAACAATTCCATTAATAAACATTATATAAAAGAAGCAAAAATACGAAGCAAATGAAAGGACCACGATTCTAAATGTAGTACATGGTATTTTTAATAGAAGTAGCAACATTACTTCCAAGCTTCGCCTTGGCCTTTTCAATTGCAGTTTGACGACCTCTTTCCCTTTCAATTCCACCAATATAACATCTACCTCTAGTACATAATAAATCAGCATAATAAGCAGCAGGAACAGTTTTGATACTCTTAGTAGCTCTACCAAAAGTATGACACAAATTATAAGTGATGGTTTGAATTTCATCCGAACCATAACCATTTTCATCATGCAAAACATAATAATGGGCAGGAATACCACATCCTTGTAATGCTTGTTGTGATTGAATATAAAAATCAAAGAAAGCTGGAGAACAAATATCTCTATCGACAGTAGTGCCAGGAGTAACGTTATCATTAGAAGTAACAGCAACCTTCTTTTCATTAGCATCAACTCCATTTTCTTCAAGTGGGATGAATCTAGTATGATGTCTCTTGACAACAACTAAAAAGGTAAGTTTTGGAGAATATTTAGGTTTATTCTTGCTCTTACCAAATTGAACAAATGCAGCTTTAATTTGAGGCAATTCATCCTTTAACACGGTATAATATTGACCTTCAGAAACACCATCACGATAAAATAAGATTTTGGATGGCAACTTGCCAACCTTGATATAGAAGTTTTCAAGACGTTCAAGAACCATTCCCTTCATTTCAGAAATAACTTCTTGACCTCCAGACTGGATTCTAATTGAACCAGGGAATTTATTGAAGATGCCATCTTCACTACCAACGACAGATGCAATGGAAACCAGTTCCTCTTTTGAAGTAGTATTGGTTGGGTGAGTAACATCAGCACCTAAAATGAAAACTGGTACCTTTTGAGCATCAAAAAGACCCTTAGAATGAGCAGCGGACAATCTATGGTTAGACCCACCTAATTTCAAATTAATCTTCATGGCAATTTGAGAATAACAACCAATATCAAACTTATTTGAACCACGTAATTTCTTTGTGAAAATATTGAAAACAACGCATGTATTAGCAACACCAACTTTCAAATCACCAACTCGTTTAACAGCACGATATAACATGGTATCCTTCTTAGGTAGAATAATGATTAAATAATCACATTTATCGCCACCTTTAGCTTTAGTAAAAACCGTACATAACGCACTTTCCAATGCAGACTGGTCTTGAACCAGTTTGTGATCCACATCAATAGAATATTTCTTAAAGCCATCACGGACATTAACACCTAATCTATGAACTTCACCCAAGAAAGCTTCAGAAGCAGCATGCAACTCACCAAGACCTCTTTCAATAAATCTATTCTTTAAAAGAACAATACCAAACATAAAAGGTTTAGCTTTAACTGGATCAATAAATTTAACTTTTTCAAGATTCCAATTACCTTTCTTCTTTTCAGATCTCCCATCATGTTCCTTTTCAGCAAAGGTAATCCTTTTATTTTCACCATACTCAAGAACAGGTGCAGATAAGACTCTTGAAGGAACCACCGTAAAATTTTGATCGATCTTACCAAAGTCAACACTTTTAAATAAACGCTTGTTCTCTTCACTAATCAATCGAGCTTTGGCCATTGGTTTAGTCGAAGTGATTCTAATTAAATTTCTGGTATCATACACTTCACCTTTATACTCTTGTTGTGGTAAAATATAAGCAACTTCCATAGGTAAATAGGCATCACCACCAATTCCAAGTAAAGGAAGATTGGCAAATTTTAGATTGACTTTCCATTTTTCTTTGAAGTATTGCTTCACAGTAACCAATTTCCCATCTTCATCTTTGAACTTCAAGGTTTCAGCGGTATCCTTAAAGTTGAAACCTTGAATAGCTTTACCGTTTCTTCTATTAAGGTAACTGCGGTAAACTTTAACACCTTTAACAAATGATTGAGCCCGTTTAATATCATTGGAATTAGGGATATTCCTGATTTGAAGGAAGTCTTGAATCAAGTCAATTACATTCATTGGTGATCCATCACGTTTATTAGACTTGTAAAAAATAGCTGGAGTTGGATTAAGATTTAATCTAACTTTATCAAATGAACATCTAATTGATGCAAAAGTACCCATTGTAATAAACAACCCCTTTTGGAAATCGTGTTGTTCTGACTTTTTATCAAAGATGAAAAATTTATTAGATCCCAACCCAACAACATTTTGATCTTGTAAAGCTTTACTACCAATAACTGCAAGTAATGCATTAGTGTATTCTTGAATTTCATTAAAATCACGGGTGTAAGTACGCAATTGAACATAATCAAGTAAATCCTTAAAATTCAACTCTTTGATATATTGAACTTTAACAGCAACACCATCAGCAACAGGGTATAGAACTACATCTTCAATTGGCAAAGGTAAAGTTGAGTATAAGGTATTTTTGTCTCTATAGAAGATCTGGGAACGCTTACTCTTGAATGGTTCAGCTTCCAAGATTTTAGCTACAGCACTTTTAAGCTTCAATTTAGTGGCAACCTTCAGTTGTAAATCAACATGATAAGAGAATAATCTTAATTCTTTAACATGGTAATTAAAGAAGTTAACACCCACATTAGTAGGAATTCCAACAGAACCATAGGAGGGTCTAAGTAAAATTTGGTGATCATCTTCCTTAATTTTGGCAGCGTGTTTCTTCTTAAATTTTGCAATAGTAGATAAAGCATCAGTGTTTTCCACCTTTTTGGCGAACTGAGGACCAGACATATTGATGCCTATATCTTAAAGGAAAGGTATCACTTACAAAAAAAGGAGCAATGGAAAATAGAAAGACTTGGTTGTAAATAAGGAGTTCAATAATTTTTTGTTCTCCAGATTTGACGTTTCTAAACATTTACGATAAGGGGTGATGTGTTATTAAACGGAAAAAACTGTACCAAAAAAACAACAACATTAAAATATCATGCATGCTCTGACGAAACAGATCTAGTGTTAGCACCTCTAAGATGGTATGGTTAGTATCAATCCAAATATATATAATCTAAACCTAATAAGACATAAAAGTTAACCAGTAGGTATGAACATCTTCTCAAGTGTAACCGTAATTCTGTCAGGATAGGTCTTGATCCAATATACGTGGGCTGACTTAGTTCTAGGCTGCAAAAGCCTATGTAGTTAAGCAATATTTCGCATTTGAGTTTATATTACCTGTGCTATTATATCTATTTTTAACCTAGAGGTTAGTGCCATGTAGTAAGAATAAGCGCGATGATACCCTACAATCCATGATATGTGACTTTTTTTTAGATTATTAGACGAACTAATATGCATAGTTGGGAAGACTACTGTAACAAGAAACCGACTGCCAAAAAAAAAAAGACACATGCGTAAAGTTTAACCTTGTTTTTATGTACATACAAGTACGACATAATTCACTCAGTTAACTATAATAATACTACAGCATAGATGCCCATATTAAAAACACCCTTTCTTTGACTAGAATATCTATTGCAATTTTGTACACAGTAATCTAATGATTCCTTCTAACGAATAGATTTAAATACCTGGTGGATCTCTTGCTTTGTAACATTGTAATCAAACTCTTTATCAAAATCACGTCTTAATATAACACTTAATCTTGTAAAATAATCGTTGAAAACCTTCTCCATATCTTGCCATAATTTATCAACTAAATCCTTTTCAAACATATTAGTACCAGTGATGAAATGTTTTTCAAATTTCTTGTTTATCTCCAGAGCTTTAATATTAATATCTTTAATCGTATAGCTTGCCAACATTGATTTGACATACTTCTTGTTATATTTGCTAGTATGCAACTTCTCCAAAGCTTCATAATTATTAATAAATTCAACCAATTTACCAATATTCTTCTTTAATTGTTTTTGGAAATAAACATCTTCAACCTTGTTGAATTCTGCGGTCAAGTTGTCATATAATTTTTTATTAGCAGAATTTGTCAACTTAAAATCTCTGAACTGCTCCAAGATAAAGTAAATATTTTGGAGAATACTAACGTTCCTATATTCTCGTTCTTTATCATCAAGATCATGATTTTTCAATAATGGATCTTCTCTCATAAACAAATTCATCAATGCATCAGAAATTTCAATATAGGCACTATCAATCATATCTTTAACCTTTGAACCTCTAATATCTTGATTGTCAATAGAACTTTCGGTAATCAATAAGAAATAATTGACATTTCGAATTGATTGCAAAATACCACATTTTGCAACAATGATAGAATTGTTTAATAGTTCAATTTGTGACTTAACAAACTTGGTCCAATTATTGGAATATTTATCATATGCCTTCTTAAGGAAATTAACCAAGAGGAAATCTTGATTCTTGGGTGGTATACTAGACATCAAATGGTCCAAATAAAGCAATATAACTGGGATGTTTAACCCTGAAGGATTCACCTTCTTCATGAAGATATTAATATAATTACCAAAGATAAAAGACATGTTACTAATCAAATCATTTGAGGTATAATTCTTGGTAGCATTGGCTTCCTCAATATTTGGCATTTCTTGTAATAGCTTGGTTCTTTGTTTAAACAGGTTGCTTTCAATATAATCACCAAACTCTAAACTTTGTTGAACTTCATAATGGAAAAAAGTCCCAATAAAATATTGAACAAATGTAATCAATGATTGTGATTCTTCAATTAAATTGTTAACCAATTTAGGATCATCAATAGAGTTATGTTGGTTAGGCGTTGGGGATGCCATCTTCTTCATAGATTCAATCTTGGCATCATTCGATGCAGATAAGTGTAAACTTCCAAATTTCCCCACTTTTCTTGAAAGTCTTAAAGTTCTTGATTTCTTTAATGGGATATCCTCACTTGAATTTGAAAATGATCCTCCAGATAAATCAAAAGCACTGGAATTTAGAGATTCACGGACTGACAGAGTAGTATCATGTTGTCTCAGTTGGATTGAAATCATGTGTGCCAATTTTGCTCGGATTAAATTATCGAAAAATCCACTAAATGAAGAATTGAAATAACGAATCAATTCTTGAAATTTAAACATGTCAACTTCTTTGATAAAATAGGTGATTCCACTATAGATTAATAACTTGTTTAATGCAGGGAACATTGTATTACCATTGAATCTTTCCAAGTTAGTACATCCATCAATTATACGTTTGAACTCATTCTTGATAAAACTGGAGAAATTCTCAATAAATGTGGTATTAACTGTATTGTACCTTGATTGGTATTGTTTCAATGAAGTCATAGCACTTAAATTACCTTCAGTGGTATCGGAACGAATAGTAGCAATAGCATTATAGAAAGCTAATAACTTAGCTTCTAAAGGTTCAAGCATATTCAATCTATCGAAATGTCTAAATTGCGAAATATCATCCAAATCACTAGGATCAACACTAACTTTATCCAAGATTGTTTTCAAATCATTAAACAATAACTTCTTATTAATAAACTTTACTTGTAAACCATGTGATTTCTGGTCAATTAAATCAACTTCAGGAGCCAATATTTTGAAGTCAACTTCCATTTTTTGTAAAATTTCATTCAAATGTTCAACTTCTTCTAATGATCTAGTAACATCATTGGTCAGACTATTATCTCCTAAATCAATCTTGGTCAATTCCTTCACTGTTGCTTGTTTAACATTAGTTAATTCTACGGATATTTGTTTGATTAATGAACTAGCTGGGTTTTTAAAAGACCAACCAATATCATCATAAGTTTCATCCACTTCAGGATCATTATCAATTCTAGATACGTCAAGTTTTTCATTAGATTTCTTGACTATATTTAATCCAGAAGTTATTGGAGCTACATCTGAATTAAGATCGGAATCATCTGCAGGAGTTTCAATGCTAAATGAAGGAGGCTCTGTGAAGGTATCACGAGCTTCTTCTTTACTTAATGAAATATGTGAATTCAACATGTCATTAAGCTCTTGTATTGAGGAATCCATTCTACTACCTTCTAATTTAGTCGACTCCTCAATAATAGAAGAAGCACGAGCAGAGGGAATATCCCGATTCAGTGATCCTTTCAAAGATCGTTTTCTAACTGATATTGGTTCTTCTTTATGATCACTATCACTTTCGTCAGTAATTTCTTCAATACCAAAATCAGGAGATTTAGGTGGTTGGGGAATATTATCGGTAAACTCCTTCAACTGTTCCTGGGCAATAGATTGTTCCGAAACAATTGATTGACGTTCACCCATTTGTTCTTGCAATCTCATTCCTGCTTCAGCTATTCCTTCCACTTCCACTAGTGGTACCGAACCTCTTTTTGGATCTAAAGATTTACTTGATCCAGTATATTGCTTATATGGAGATCCAGAAGTTCTTGATCCACCAGGAGTTCTTGAACCTCCAGGAGTTTGTGTATCTTTAGGCCCAAAAACAAAACTCTGGTCATCAGTAGTATCGTTGAGTCCATATATCGAGGTCTTTTGATGAAGCGAATAATTGGCATGTTTGAAAGAATCATGGGATTCCCTACTTTCATGTTTTTTAAGCTCGGTCGAGTCTAATGTAGAGCGCGGTTGACTTCCTGGCCGATCCAGTTGCAATACTCTCATCGGTTTGATCGGTAATTGGCCATTTGAAGTGAAATCAATATCATTATACAACCCAGCCGGTTTTTGTTGTTGTTGTTGTGGTGGTGGTGGTGGTAATTGCTGTTGTTGCTGTTGCTGTTGCTGCTGTTGTTGGGGTGGAGGAGTTTGCTGCACTTGTCTAGGTTGCTGCTGTGGTTGAGAATGTACTGAAGTTGGCGTGCTAGTACCAGGGGGTTGTAGAGGAAGTCTCAATTCTTGTAAAGTCAACCCTTCAAGGATAGGATATCTATGCATATAATTCCCATAAGCTTGAGTAAGGTAACGGCAAAACTTAGTTACCCTTTCTTCACCTTCATCAGATTTCCAATAGTAAGTTTTATTCAATTGAAGAATCATTCCTTCCCGGCCGTGACGTTTTATCGCTTTTAATTCATTCAAATCCCAAGTTCTACCGATTTGATATACTTTCTTTTCTTCATGAAGCTTCCCCTTTTGAAGAAGAGCAGTTCCATCATGCTTACTGGCTAAAACCAAGATTCTTGGTTTTACCATACCAACAGTGGACGCATTTGCTGGCGGTGGGTTTGATGGAAATGACGCATATTCCAATACATCAATATGTGTCTGATAAGTCACATCCTTCACTTGTTTGCCTTTTACCTTGATTAGTTTACTATAACATTCGTTATTGATTTTATCGGCCTCAAATCTTCGTTTAGGGTCATCACGACGTCCACCACTGGCTCTATGTGGTTGCATAGTGGCTGTCAATTTACTTGTTTAGTTTTTCTAGGACTCAGGTATCAGCCAGTAAATAATGCCAATTAATTGATTCTAATTGACTATAGTATATTATATAGTTAGTATAGGTTGGATTAGGTATATTTCACGGCGTGATTAGCGAGGAATGGGTCAGAATTAGATAATGTGGTTAAGAGATCCTATATTTAGGTGGGTGAGTTAATTTGTTACCATTTTTTTTTTTTTGGTTGATTTATTTTTTTTGCCCTGGTAGTGTGTGTGTGGAGCATGTGCCTGAATGGCGAAGCATATCCAGATCCTTTTTGGTCGGCAATTACAGTGGATTTGTTTGTTATGTGTAATTTGTTTATTATTCTAGCTAAAAAAATGTCTACATAAAAGAGAGATAGGGAAGTTTGTAGATCTACTTTTTCTTGCCCTTTCCTTTCTTCTTCTTTTTGTTTTGTCCTGTAGATGTCTTTTGGGTTTCGTTATTGGCTTCTTCATCAGATTCTTCGTCTTCTTCTACTTCTTCCTTAGTATCTTCGACAGAAGCCTTATTTTCGCCAGTAGTCTCTTTTTCATTCACTACAGCTGGGGCTGGTGAAGTCTTCTTTGTCTTTGGCTTAGCTGGCTCGGTTTTTTCAACAAAACATTGCCATAATTCAGCTAATGCTTCTTCTCTACCTTCCATAGCCTTTAATCTTCTTCTTAACGCTTCATTAAAACAAATTTCTTGGGCAACTGGGAAAAAGGTTTGAACCCAACCTTTCTTGTAACTTTCACACTCTTGAACAATTTCCTTTAATTCAAGTTCTTGAAATTTAAGTTGAATTTCGTATTGTTTGAATATTTCATCACCAATTAAACCATTTTGATATAACTTGTTGAAAATCGATTCACATTCTTTTAACTTCATTGATCTTCTGATTGCTTCAACTGCACGTCTTAATAAGGCGGCTTTTAATACCTTTTCATGAGGTCTTTGGTCTTTAGGAATGTTTTGATTGTGATATTGTTCTTTTAAGTTTTGATATAATATAGCATTATAATTTTCTTTAAATAATGGCTCGGTTTGTCTTAAAGTATTTAATCTTCGTCTTCTATAAATGATGGAAAACGCCACGAAAACTGATAACACAACACCAACATAAATCAATGGAGTGAAAACAGAGATCTTAATGATTTCTGGCTCGGGTATTGCTGTTTCTTCCGCCATGTTATAGTAGTTATGCCAATATAGAAAGAGACTGTTACAAGTAAGTTTCCTCTATATTTTGCCGAACTTTTTTTTTTCAGTTCAGACACGTCAATAATCTATATGTTCCTGCATAAAAGCTTGTTGTTAGATTTTGCTATATAATTGTATAAACTGGATAAACTACCATTTATTGCTACCCTTTCTATATTTTATACCAAGATATCTGGCTAATTCGTCAAATATCTCAATCGCTTGTATCTCATCAAATTGTTTACTCAACTCAATAATGTCTACACTGTTGTTTTCAACTGCGGTGGCACCGGCAGCAGGAGCATGTGAAATTCCTGGAACAACACCTTCTGGTTGTTGTTCTAATTCTGAACCTTGATTAGGTATAATAATCTCATAAAATACGGCTAATCTTATGATATCTACCTTGTCTAAATTCTGAAACTCTTGTAAAGTGTTTGGCAATTCAAAATCAGGCAAATCACCATCTCTATTAGTTAAGGGAGCCAAGAAGTCCAGTGGTTTGGTGATCAGGGCGTTGGAACAACGACGAATTGTACGATCTTCCAAATTATCCAATTGGGTTTGTAATTCAGTGACCAATTGCACAATATCTTCGTTATTGATATAATCAGTCAAGTCTATTTCCGGTTGCTGTGGTTTCATATCTAATGCTGACATTCTTGTTTTCACATCTTTTACTTGCAATTGAAGTACTTGTTCCCCAGTTTCTGCTATAATCTTTGATTGTCTCTCCACAAGTCCCGAGAGCTTAGCTACTTGTTCGTTCAATTGTTCTAATGTTAATTCTGGCATATTGTTCGGTAAAAGGTATAGAAGCAACAAATTGACCTGGTCAACCAATTTAAGAAAAAATAGGTGCCAACCTGAAATTTTGAGTAGCAAAACAAACAAATTTGTGCAAGTGTTTGCAAAGAATTGGTAACGCATACAATTTAGTCAATGAATCTTAATTACACAAATTGTAGCAAGAATAATTCAAGATGTGTACCGGATATGCAAATCTAGGAAAGAATGCTCGGAATTAGAACCCAAATTTGGAACTGTCTCGCAGCCATATCGAAGTGGAATCTCCATATTCTGAAAACTATCTACAAATACAACGTATATACTTACATATAATCGTTTAAAGTCGTATACTCTCTCTCTCTCTCTCTATAAATTCAATCGTCAAGTACAACAGGATCTTCCCAACTGCTTCCATGCAGATAATAATCCCCCGAGTTATTTCCTGGTGTCCCCCACACTTCTTCGTCATCCAATAAATCAGTCCTTCCAATTAATACATTATCAGGGTAATTATTGTAAACTGCATTATAAAGCGGTCTAACTTGTGGAGGAAGTGTCGCAATTCTAAATATCCGTGCTGCTTCAGCTGCTGCCGCTGCAGCTTCTTCTTCCTTCTTAATTCGCTGATCCTCTTCATCATCTGAAGACAAAACAATCATATCTTCGTCATCTTCAGGTGGAATGTGAGCTGTTATTGAATCGTCAATTAATCTATATTTTTCCATTCCTATTAATTCTATTCGTTCAGTTTCCTTGGGTGTGCTCTTGACAAAATAATTGTATGAATCACTAATCGTTAACCCACTCAACATAAACTTTGTATCACAGATAGGACAACTATAGGTGGGACAATTAAACACTGGGGCAATGAATCTTGACGTATAAGGAGAATCTATAACTTTCACATAGGGTTGATAGTTGGGTGGAGGAGGGAGGGTTGGTGGCTGGTGATTTTGTAGTGACGGTTTTGGTGGGTATAACGTTCTTGTTGGTGGGGGTAGCACCGGTCTTTGTCTCTCTTGGGCCAACCTCTCAACATTTCTTTTGATTAGATTCTTTCGTGTTAACTCTCTAGTAGAACCAGTAATCTTGTTAAATATACAAAAGTTTTCATAATCAAAACATTCAAAATGAACGCATTGCTGGGATCTAACAGGTAATTTTATCCTGCTAGCGCCTAAAGGGTCTTTCAAACTGAAAACCATCTTGTCAACCATTGCTTCATCATCTTCTTCTAAATGTCGTAGTTCTCGTTGGATTATAGGTAATATGTTCTTCGGTATTGGTTTATAATCAGAAGGTTGTACTGAAGGAGTTTTGCTTTTTGGTTTTGGTTTAGGCTTTGGTTCTGGTTTAGGTGGTTCGGACCTTGGTTCCGGTTTAACCTCCTGTTTTAGACTAGGCATCGGTGTTGTTTGATTTGATGACCCTGATCTTGCTTGTTGTTCAAGAATTTCATTTAGTTCATCATCCAAGGATGATAACTCGTCATCTGAAGACAGTTGAACTGTGGGTGGTTGGTTATGCACTGGTGCCACAACCGGTATAGGGTCATCTTGGGATTCTATGCTTGCTTCCCTGGTATTTTCAACTTGAATCTCAGGAGTTGCGTTATTTTCATTACGTGCTGTCTCAATAAAAGGATATGATAATTTTGATAGCACTTCTGAACTTAGATGTATTTGAACTAAATATCTCTCCACGGTATCGTTATCTATAATATCTGTTTCTTTGGTTACATGAACCTTCTGAGATCTTAGCCGGGGGCCTCGCACTCGTATTTTAGGTGACATTGTGAATGTAAGTTTATATATGGATCATCTGAACATGTATGTGTAAGTATGAATAAGGAGTGATCGGTATTAATAATTAAGGCAAATAAATTTACTTTTCTTATTTTTTTAAAAAAAAAGTCTCACTAGGTAATTCTAACGAAAGACTAATACGTATCAAACATATACATATAAAAATACAAAACTATAACTATATCGTAACAATTTCTGATTTTCTCTCTGTTTTACCAGCGATCTCCTCTTCCTTCGTGACGACCTCCGTGGTGTCCTCCGTGACCTTCCCCGAATCCGCCTCCACCAAAACCTCCCCCGCCAAATCCACCTTCACCATGGTGACGACCACCATGATGTCCTTCACCGAAACCTCCCCCGCCATATCCACCTTCATAACCACCATGATGGTGTCCTTCTCCACCGTATCCTCCACCATAACCTGGACCACCACCGTATCCTCCACCTCCATGGTGACCACTACTCCCTCCACCACCTAACAAACTGCCTAATAGAGCACCAGCTCCACCACTTCCACTATTGGAATATCCACTGTTACCATATCCACTGTTACCATATTGGTTGTTTCCATAGTTATTAGGTCTGCTACTGCTACCACCACCTAATAAACTACCAACCAAAGCGGCAGCTCCTCCACTACCACTACTGCTGTGGCCACTAGAACCACCTAATAAACTTCCGACAAGGGCGGCAGCACCACCTCCACTTCCACTATTGTAATTAGTCTTACCTCCACCAAGAGCTTGGTTAAGAAGCATGGTACCCAAACCACGATCACCAGATTCACCGTCTTGTTGATTAGGTTCGCCTTCTTGTTGAGGTCTTTCACTTTGTTTGACGTATGCTTCAGATTGAGAAACATAAGTTTCAGAGTATCCTTCTTGAGGTCTGGAATATTGCAGTTCGTCTACTGAATGTTGAGATTCGTTGTTTCCGGAATAAGGTCCTGCTTCTTCACTTGGTACATCCCACTGGGATTTACCTGTACGTTTATTGACGTAGAAGTATTGTTGGTATTCTTCGTCCCATTGGGCAACCCAACCATCAGGTAATTGGGGTGGTTGCGGTCTTTCTGACATAACTGTTTGCAATTGTTTGAGAAAAAGAAGTTATAAAGAAAAGTGTATTTTTGAAATATCTGAAATAAAAGAAAGAAAGTATGTATTTATACAATACTTCACATGAAACTACCCCCAATGCAGGTTCTGGAAATGTAGCCACTAATTATTTTTTAATCCTGATTCAGGACAGTATAGACAGCTAACACTCGTAGTTTTTTCTTATTCTGCGCTTAATCGTTTTTTAGAAATTCAAGACTACGAACACGAGATACAGCCTCGTACAGTCACTCACTCTATTTTAAAATATCTGGGTTAGTAAGTTCGTGTATGTACAAGGGCTTGAAATTTTACAGGCGTAAAAATATATGGCTCAGCCCTTTTTTTCTTTTTCCCCTTGGCCAGAACAATAAACGGCAAACAATGGGAATCTGAAGTATGACGAAGGTATAGGAAAAAAAAAATAGCCACGTTGAATTGGAAATATAACCAGATCACGAAAAAGCAAGCTAGTACGAGGAGAAGCTGACCTGGAAAATAAAACTGTGATCACTCAAGCGTTGTGTACACTGTCTTCAGCCTCACGGCAAAACGGTCACGGTATTTTTTTTGCTACGTTGCGGGATTTGCCTTAGAAAATCATACTTAAGAATTTGCGCTGTTTATATCTATCTACATGTTATATGCCTATCTTACTTAACTATCAATACCTTCAAATTTGAATTCAGTTCCAAGGGCGCTTGAAACTTCATCTTCCAAAAGTTCGGTTAGTAAAGAACCATCTCTTAATGTTTTCCATTTGCCATCTATTAAATCATATCTCTTTGGACCACTTATAGGACTGCTAAGCCAGATTTGTTTATTTGGTGGTTGTTTATTAATGACATAAGTTCCATGAGGTGGTAAGATTAACGTAAGTACTCCATGGTTCAATTCGGCATCAACTTGTTCATAATCTTCACTTAATTCTTCCAATGAATCAGCTATTCCTTCGAGATAATCTCCAGATAACTTGTTGTATTCATTGTCGGTAATGTCATCAATTTTATTGCTGATTTCTTCTCCTTCTGTACTTAACGAATAGTTTCTAGTGATTTGTCTTGAGACGAATGGCAATGCCACAGTTTTTGGTGCAATAAATTTAGGAGTTACAACTAAGCTTCTTCTAGCTATAGGAACAACCATACGTGTTCCTAAGGATCTAACGCATGCAATCATACTTGAATACTGTCTTAGTAGAAAGAAGGTGAACAATTTCTAGTTCTTTTCAATCTCCGTGATAATCGCCTGATGATTTTTTTCAAATCCCCAGTTGATCATTGGGGCGAGCCAAAAAATCTGTCAAACGATCTCCAAAAAAAAAAAAAAAAAAACTTAGTAGACTGTGGCTACTACCAGGGTTCTCCCAGAAATCGAATCATCATGTTCTTTACAATCTTAATAGTAGGATTTATATTAGTTGCATTTGTGCTTCTCCTTCCATACGTATCTGGACTTACCAAAGTCGAGATTGATACTCATAGACGTGCCAAAGACAAACAAAACCAAAAACAGAAAAGGACCGCCGCCGCAGATGTGCCTGTTGATCAATTCGGATATGTTCCACCTGATGAAATTGAATCCAAAGACGAAGAAGATCATTCATTAAAAGCTCGAGCATCTGCGCTTAAGGAAAAGCTTCAAGTTACTTCTGAAGATATGCCAATTAAGATTCATTTAAACCAAGGTGATAGTGCGGGATTAAGGAGAAGAAAAGAGAAACTTGATATCGATACCGATCCAAATAAGTATGACTACGATATTGATGAATTGATTGCTGAAGAGACTGAAACTGCTAGAAGAGAACAAGAGCATGATTTCTACAAGGACCAAGATATCGGTAGAGACAAGGAAGCAATGGTGTAGTGTATATCATTATAATAAATGCATCATCATCTTGTACTTTTTTTTTTCCAGCCGCTGGAAATTTTAAAATCCGTGCCGATTTTTGTATTTTTTGAGGCTTTTTATTTTTTTTTTCTGTAACTCGAAGCATATCCTTTTTGCAACATTAGATCAGGTTTTTGCAACTTTGTACTTTAAACAAGAGTTGAATAGTCAACACTAAGCTATACAAAACACTATTAAAATTGCTAGAAACATTGCTGATCAACTTACTTGATCAAATAACACCCACATCAATATGGTTTATATACCTAAAAAACATGGCACATTACTATCACTTCTTTTATTCAATCATTACAAATCCAATAATGTTGGTAATTACAATCGTGGCGACATGGTTATTAATTGATTATTTCATCACATCCCCAATTGAAGTTCCGGGAATATTCTCAATACCTGGTGCACTCCCCATTGTGGGTAATCTTTATCAAGTATTAGACAACCCTGCTTTGGTTTATATGAAATGGGCACAACAATACAATCAACAAATATTCCAGATCAGACTAGGCAATAAACGAATTATTGTGGTTAATTCATTTGCTGATATAGTATCACTATGGATTCAGCATTCATGTCCTAATAATTCACGTCCATTAAGTTATATCTTTCATGGTATTGTTTCTGCAACCCAGGGATTTACAGTTGGTTCAACACCAGCTGGGCTAACTTACAAGAGAAAGAAGAAGGCTATATCACAACACTTGAATAAACGTGCTGTTGATAATATGCTGGGTACCATAGATTCAGAGATAAAACATATGTTTCAGGCTATAATCAATTATAGGAAAATAGGAACTCCGAGTATTGACATGGATTTGATGCCTTTTTTCCAAATGTTTGCGCTAAGAAGTAGTGTTTTCATGGCATATGGGATTAAATTGGATTGTTATGGGGTTGATTCTGAATTATGTAAAGAAATTATTGATGTTGAAAGCAAGATCATTCAATTAAGATCTCCAATTTCTAATTTACAAGATTCAATCTGGTTACTAAGATACGTTCCATTCTGGACTAATACTAAATTTGCAAGGATGTGTGGAGAAAGAAGGAATGTATACATGAAGAAACTATTTGATAGACTTTTGCATGGAATAGACCACGATGATGAAGACTCAATCAATAGTATAGTTGGGACAATGATTCTCCGACAATCTCCCGTGTTAACTGAAGCTGAAATCCATTCCATATGTCTAACATTTGTCAGTGCTGGTCTAGACAATACTCCCTTGAACTTGAACTATCTAATGGGCGTTCTTTCTCAACCAGCTTTTGGCTCGAGACTACAAAATAAAGCACTTGGAGAAATCCTTCAAAAATCTAATGGCAACCTTATACTAGCATGGGAACAACTGGGCCAAGATTCAATGGATGTTCAATATGTACAGGCTCTAGTATTGGAAACGCTTCGTCATTTTACAGTGCTTCCGTTAAGTCTTCCTCGTGTTACTACTAAACCTATAGTCCACGAAAATGCTACAATACCTCCAGGTACGCATTTATTTATGAATGCCTTCGCCGGGAATCATGATCCTACCCAGTTCAACTTACCTTATGAATTTATACCTGAACGTTGGATTGATTCTGAACTGGGATTAGTTACACAAGGAATTAATCATCATTTTGCATTTGGGGCTGGTTCTAGAATGTGTTCAGGTTATAATTTGGCATTTAAGGAACTCTACATGGTTACTTGTCGAATAATGTTATTATTTGAAATTGGACCACCTGAATCAGGACAATTAATGGGGTTAAATCCGTTTGAGAATAATCTGAATCCTAGAGCCACTTCGTTCGAACCTTACCCACATAAAGTCAGACTCAGTCTTCGTCAATTGCCTAATTGTAATTCACTATACCAAAAGATTTTTAATGATTAAGTTTGCTTAGTCTGACCTTTTAATTATATATTTTTATATAAAAATACCTATAAGAATAGCGTAGGATCAATATATCCCGTTTTGCGAACCACCACCGATTTTGTATTTCTAGCCATTGGTAAATCATACTTAAGAACCCCAGAAATGATTAAATCGAATGGATTTTGACATATAATTTCCCATTTCTTGGAATTGTCTGGCTCGGTACTATTATCTTTTTTACCCAGATCGAGAGCAACTGATGTCAAATTCTTCCCTGGGTTCAACAATTTAATCTCACCCTTTTGACTCGAAGGTTCTCGCGAGAAAAATCCTCCTTTGAAATTCATAATGGACTCAAGTTTGTTAATGGTACCTAACTTTACTGTTTCTACTTTACCTGACGAATCCTCGATTTCAAACAATGAATTATTACCTGTAGATTCAAATAAATCATGTTTACGTGCTTGATCATCATCTGGTAAATACCCACTCCGGGCAAAAATATCCAACTCAACATCTTCTATATCGACCGAAAACCAGCCAGGATTAAATGCATCCACAACAATATTAAATACCAATTCATCTTGACTGACAATTGGGTTTTCAATCGAACTAATTGTAACATCAGTAAGATCCTTAGTTGTGGCCAACACAAATCCTAAGACAAATCCAATGGTTAAAATTACAAATATGAAAATCATGGTATACAAAAATGACTTGATACAATTGACACGATGATGGATGTCACTAGTTGGTTGCTTCTTAGGCATCATAAATTGACCAGAAGTAAACCTTCCATTTGGTTTGTTTCCAAAGCTTCGTGATATCTTCCTATTCATATTTAAATCGGGTAAATCAAATGCTGGATCATAACCGTGGGATTCTTGATCAAATTCATCATAGTCATAATAGTAGTTAGGCTGCTGCTGCTGTTGTTGTTGATGTTGTTGTTGTTGTGGCAGGTATGGAAATGGGAATCTGCTATTGTTGGGATTACCAAGTCCTGATAATCCACTGTTATCATTATCAGCATTAGCACTGTGGGCATTATGAATTGATGCAGCTTCGGAATGGTTCTCTGAAAGTAAAGGCTGTCCACTTGATAAATAACGTTTACTTTTCAATGCCTGTTGACGTTTCAGATTAGGGAAATTCAAGTTCAAAGAACGGTAATGTGGTATTCTATGATGGCCACTTGCTGGGTTCAATAATGCAGTATTTTCATTCACGTTATTATTATAAGGAAATCCAATGTTGTTGTCGTAGTAAATTAATTCATCATCAAAATCTTCAATATCAAAATCATCGGGAATAGTACTATATCTCCTTGGTTGAGAACCTTTCTTGTCAAATAACTTTGAAGTGGTAGATCTTAGCTTTGAAGACGAATTTGATGATTTGTAGTTCTTCTTTGAAGTATTCTTACTGGAAATAGAGCTGGCAACACCAGAATTCACCACTGTTTGCAAATGTTGATTCTGAAGTTGTGGCACTTGTTGCTGCTGCTGTTGTTGTTGTTGTTGCTGCTGCTGATTAAGAGTCTGACGTGAACTCTGAGGCGCTATAAGAGTAGTATTTGCTGTGTTGTTTCCTTTGAAATAATCTCCATCAGCGGACATTTCATCATCTATCATATCATCTTCAATTTCATTATAGGAATAAGTGTCATCATTATATGGTTGGCTAATCGAATTAGTAACACTAAAATTTCTCTGTCCTTCCACTACTCCTAATCCCAGTCGATTATCGGCATCTCCAAATGGACTCATTGGGGATTGATTAATTGATCTATCAGTAGATGGTAACCTCAGCATATATGCGGGAGCAGGTGTTGATGCTCCATTATTGGTTAGTGGTGCGGCACCTCCTGTGATTAATCCTGCCACACCCGTGCTAGCTCCATCAACAGAGTAAGTCCGCCCTTGACCCGGACGTCTATCTGTCATGCTCAAATCGATATCATGATTACTGCTAAATGAATTTGATAAAGATGGTGGCTTTTGAAGTCCAGTTGGAGTACCAGCACCAGCTCCTCTGAATGTTTTGTTCAAAGGAAACTCAAGTGATTGTTGATGTTCCACATGGCCATCAATGATGGAAGGAGTACGATGAACCTGGGGTACAATACTGCCGGCAATACTAGCATTTTCAATATTGGCATTACTTAAAGTATCGAAATCATTGTTGTTATTTTCATAGACAAAAGTTTCATCACTGTCGCTGCTTTCAACATCATCAACTGCACTAGCCAATTTGGCCGCAAAAAAGTCTGTTCTTGCTGAACTTTGCTTGGATATCTTCTTGTGTTTGCCTTTTTTTGTGTTAGAATCGGGTTCATTAGTGGTCAATCCGGGCGTTGGAGGTGGCGGAGGTGGTAATTGTTGTGGTAATACCAAATTTGAAGTTGTAGGAATGGTAGGAGTATTTGGTAGATTGGCGTTTGGGAAGATTGCTTGGTTAGTTCCAGAATTATTAGGATGTAAAGTGAAATACGTGGGTGTTGCATTCAGGACTATAGGTGGTGGTACCAGCGATTGTGTTGTTGATTGAACAGGAACAAGTGCGTGCTCATTGACTGCATTTTCATTGTTGCTACTTGGTGGATAGGTTGCAGAACTAGCAGCAGAATTTGCACCAACTTGAATGATAGGGGTTGCCGTAGATGTAGCAACAGAAAAATTTGAATGGGTACTAGCACTCTTGCCAATATTTGTTGGTGGTGGCGGAGGAGGAGGAGGCGCATGTGAAGATTCCAGTTCAACTGTGCTAATATTAGATGAAACAGGAGCATTTACTCCATTGGTTTGGAAAACTGGAGTTTGAGGCTTAGAACTGAGGATGTTTGAAATTAATGTTGGGTTTTTCGAATGAGGAGATTGAATCACTTTCTGTTTTGCCTTCAAGGTCTTATTTATGTTGGAAATGGTGTTTTTATTCATTACTGATGGCGATTGTAATGCAGGAGTAACTGCTGGAGCAGGAATAACTGGTGGTGAAGTATTGAGAGATGCATTAGTAGACGTTGTAATGACTGGATTATTTGATGTGGTTGCTGTGTTTATAATATTGGAATTAGGGGAATTGGTATGAATTGTAGTAGAAGGATTAATGATATTCGAAGTGCTTATTGTAGGATTGTTTAAAACTCCTGTAGAAACAGAACCTATGTTGGTATGGCTGGCAGTATGAGAAATTATATTGGAATTTTTTGAACTATCTTTAGCAACATCAGTTGAAGACATGAGGACCTCTTTTGGAAGCTTAAAAGGACCTGTTTTCGCTATAACTTCTTCGGGTTTCGATATGATTGATGCATTATTTACTGCAGTGGAGTTGTTTGTTGCAAGTGCAGGTGTTGCTGGAGTGGTTGAAGTTGCACTTGTGTTGTCAAAATTTAACTGTGGCTTAATTAATTTATTAGCATCGGAAGTACCAATTGTATTTTTTCCAATACTGGTGTTATGTGATCCGTTCGGCGAGTTGGCAGTGGTGGTGTCGATATTGGAAGCTGAAGCATTTGTAGTTGATGTATCTTGATTCGGTCTACTCGGTTTAGAAGCACCATGTATAACGTGTTGTTGCTGATCAGACGACATAATGTATGATTTTTTTTTCTACTTCATATGGAGGCAGTCATATACAAACGATTCCTTGATTAGACAATAAGAAAGTGAGTTGGTGTTGTTAATTATTATTGGGCGATCTTAGTGTTCTATATAATTCTAAGATTCTGAAATATTTCTTGGTTTGGCTACTCTATCAACTGGAATGGTGGGCAACACTTAATCTCAAAACTTTAATTGTTTTATATTTTTTTTTTTGTCTCTCTTTTTTTTTTTTTGGCGTGAGGGTTAGGAAAGTTGCTTAAAGTTTTGTGCTACCAAATTTTGTCTCACCAAGAATTTTGCTTGTGCTCATGGTAAAAATTCTCGTATTTTCTGTTGGCTCGCCTAAGTCGTTGTAATTGCTAGATATGTTATTAATTGCTCTAATTAGTGATGGTGCTATAAAATTAAATTACTGATTTTTTTTTCTTCTTATAGTTCTTTATATTGTAGCTTCAATCATGAGAATGGAGTGGTTGAACAGAGCAAATTCTTCAAATGTGGTTATGTGTGTGTGTTTTGGTATGCTTACTTCTCTCCCTTGGTTAGAACAATTAAATGCGGGGGCGTGCGGATGGTAGGTTCAAATGACAACCAAAATAATTTAGGGGATTAGCCGAAACTGACACATGCTTGCTTGAAAATATTTAGAACATAGGCAGGAGTTTTCAGTAGAATTATGCCTCCATCAAACAGTCTAGACTACTTGAACTCCTTCAGAATGAGCGAGAAGATAGTTGACTATACAACATTACATCAGAAAATGATCTGTCGCATGTTACTTGCTAATCTAATGCTGCAGTGGAAAACCTATCACATCGTTTATTGCCTGGTTAAGTATTATCTAAAACAATAACTTCACAATAGTTCAAGTTATAATTCCATTGTTTATTTTTAGCTACTTTGGAACGTTGGAACAATCAGGTTACTTTATAATTAAACGAATCAATATATAGATCACGTGTTATTATCACCATTATAAGACACGATGCTAACTAACCTCATACATTTCTTTCCAAAATAAGTTTTGCATAAACTTGGAATAAAAAGATACCTAAGGGCACGTTCTTTGCATTATAATGACCATACGGATTATATCTCGTTTTCTATAAAACAAAGTTCATTTAATATACCGAACTTGTCCATAATAACCAAGTATTCCCGTTGACCAAGGTGAATGGCTGGTCAACTTTCCTATAGACCATTTTCCATTTCTTCTGAAGATATTCTAGTGCGAATCATCAACTTGGTTCCATCTAGTTATCTTATTGGTTGTCTAATTTATTCCTCTGTTCGCCATTGCAGCACCGCCGGACTTTGATTTATTTTCAATTCCTCTGACTGAAGGGATAGTATCTGCGCAACTGGTTATAAGAGGATTCTTTTGATCGAATTTCATGGTATATCTATAATGTCCCTATTTATGAATAGTCTCCCTGAACTTATTTCTTGCAAATTAATCCTTGGTTAGAAAGACCGAGATTTCAATTTTGTGATGGCTTTAATTGAAAAGTATCGCGATAGAATTTGTAAAGTTGATGAGTTAAAGGTAGTTTTGCACCGGATGATTGGATCATTCCATCTAATCTTCTATAAATATATCCACGTGTGAATTGCATCTCGAAGTTAAATCTGAGGTTTCTCCCGCTCCATGCTCAGTTATGATTTCGGGCTTGTTGAATTGGATCTATGCAAGTATCCGATAAAGATAGTTAGCGTTGATTATATTCCTACCAGTTTTGAAAAGGTTAGAGCTTTCAATGTAGGTCCCAATTGGATATTTCTACGACATCGAGGAAGATAAATAATTTACAACTTGAATATATTTAATCTATTTGAAGTATCTACGATGGATTGAATGGAATGATACCAAACCCTCCTCCCCATTGATCATATACTGCACCTCTAGGTTGAGGTTTAGGTTGCTGTGATGGTTGTACATCAGGGAATGTAGATCCTTCTCTAGTGTATACGTTATAGTACAATCCATATGAATTCAATGTTTCTTGATCGACACCTTCAGCTAATTCTCGGGCAATATTTTCTTCTTCTATCTCATCTTCTTCGTCATCCTCATCGTCGTCATCATCATCTTCCTGTTGCTGCTTGGATTTAGTGTTCGTGTTATTATGAGTCGTAGTAGACTGGTGGTATCCTCCATTAGGTGTTCCTGGTGTGTTGCCGTAATAATGCAATGGATGGTGTTGAGAAACTGGTTTCAGAGTAAAATTATTTTGACTAGCATTGTTGGCAGTGTCATTTCTATAGCTAGCAGCTTGTGAATAGCTATTGTTCATACCAGTGAGGTTTCTCATTTGCTCCCAAAAGTCTAATCCTTCTTCATCCTCACTTGGTATGTCTACATCACCGTTTCTTGCCTTTTTCGAAGGGTTTGATTCTGATGTGGTTCCATTCATTCTCTTTTTACCTAAACGGCCTTCTTCCACTGCTGCAACTAATTCTACTGCTTGAGTTAATGGAGTCATTGGATTGGAAATTGGTGTGGCTTCTCTTCTGAATTCTTGTTGTTGCAGTTGTACTTGGTCATTAGTATTCAACAACTTCATTAAGTCAGATTCTCTACCATCGATCTCATTCTTTCTAGCATTCAGTGATTGCTCAAGTGCGACATTAGTAGTCGTATGGTGATGATGGTGATGATGATGATGGTGATGGTGGGTTGATCCAGTTTTCGAACTACCATTTCTAGATTGTGATGAACCTAATCGAGGAACTTCAGTTAACGGTGGTAAGTAGTTGAAGTGTTGATATCTGGAAACTTGTTCTTCGGGTTCTAAATAGTATCCCGAATTGTTGGTTCCCGGTGTACTGCCTGCACTTCTTCTATCCTCAGCTGTGAAGTTACTGTTGCTACGTTGTAAATATTCCGAATGATCTCCCGCTGGATGTGGAAGAGCATATTGTGGAGAATAATGATGGTGGATATGTTGATGGACTGTGATTTCCAACCCGTGGTTCTTTGCATATGAGATTAAATATTGAACCAATTCTTGATTCTTGATTACTCCACCATTTTCATTATTGAAAAGCCTATTATGAGGTAAATCTGATAACTCACTCTCACTTTCGCCATTGGCTAGGGTGTATCTCCATTCCACTTCACTATTTGCCGGTCGGGATATGGCTGATCTGCTTGGTCTGACCGGTACTGGTTGTAATGGCTGATTTGAGTCCTGGCGCTGCCGTATATCTTGATGATCATCTATCAGTTTGGTAGAGCGTTTTCGTTTTTGATCGCCTGCTGGACTATTACTGTCTTTACTGTTTTTGGTCAACTCTTCTTGCTGTTTAGTTAAACTATCCAAAAGGGTAGAGTTCCCGTCAGTTATAGCATCCACTGCATTCTTAATAACAGGGCTGGCTTTTCCTCTAACTACTTCGGTGACAATCTTTCTCCAACGGTTACGACAAGTTAATGAGGGTCTTCCTTCAAAATCTTGGGATATAGTTCTCCATTTAGTACCATGTTGTTTAACTTGGTGGATCAATTTCAAATCTTCTTCTTGACTCCATGGTTTTAGTCTGTCTTTAGTCTTTGGATCCAATACTTCTATATATCTTTTGGCACATTGATCATCAGTTCTTCCTGGGATTTCCGAAGCTACTCTTAACCAACTGGCACCGTATGTTTCATACGCCTTTAATAACTTTTCATCTTCTTCAGGAGTCCATTTTCCCTTTCGTAAACTAGGATCTAACGAGTTACACCAACGTTTTCTGCAATCTTTACCCTTTCTGGAACCATCAGGTGTTATTTTCTGGGCTAGAATGTCCCAGTTGACTTTATCAACGTCAACCTTGCCATCTGAAATGTACTGGTTTTGAATAAGTTGGGCAAGGAGCTGGTCTTCCTCTTTAGTCCATGGTTTTCTTGGCCCTTTTCTAAAAGTTTGGAACCCAAGGGATTCAGTAATGGCAAGTGGATCAATGGGCACTACTCTTTTCTTCAGGGCTACTGACGAGATGGATGATTCTGTATCGTTTGCACTGTCGTTCATGATATCTTTTTCTCTCGCTTATTTTTCTGACGGTTTTCTCTTTTCAGTCCGATGTCTTGCAAATCAATTCAAATAGTATATAGGAATAAAGAGCTAGAAATAAATACAGCAATTGTATCAATGGCACTTAAATTTCTCGTGTAAACTTATGTGATGACCCTCTTATCGTGTGACGACTTGGTTACCACTTCCAAAATATTCGTTTCCCTCGAGGATATCTCTTTGTTATCAGTTATTCCCACTATTGCACTCTATCAAAGCTAGGCTACCTCTCTAAAAGTCAAGTAAAAGAGTCAGAAGGGATCAAAAAATTTTCTGACTCTATACCAGAAAAAAGAATCAGAAAAAAAACGGGCATGCCAAAGCCGCCTAAAAACCCAAAAAAAAAAATAAAATAAAATAAAACAAAAATGGTGGCTCTTCTCTGGAACTGCATATAAGTGTATATTCACGTGATACAAAAACAAAAAAGAACAATTCTAAAAGTCCGGGGTCTCCGATGAGCTTTGTTCAAGTGATACATACAAGAATAGCCTGTATATGTCTTTTGCAGATATGTGATAGCTTATTATGATGATGCAGCCTCAGCAGCTGTCTTTTCTTTTCTAATTCTTTCATTGTCGATAAGTCTCAATAAGTTTCTTAAAAGGATTGCAATGGTAACTTTCCCAATGGAAGGAACGTACAAACCAGCTTTCAATTTGATGTCATCATTGAAATTCTTGGAACTTGAGAAATTTATAACAACAGTACCATGACGTACTAATTCAGTAGGGAATTTGTAGCTATCTGAAGGCACACCAGTGATAATCACATCACAAGTTGGCACCAACTTTTCAAGGGAAGCTTCACTTGGGTCCAAGTCAATCACTTTATGTCTGTGTTCCAGTAAATCATCACCTCTGGTGAATTGCTGAACATTATTTATATCTACTGAATATACAGTAGCACCGTCGTTAGCTAACAACGCAGCTAAGGGACGACCAACAATTTCCGATCTGTTGACAACGAGAACCTTCTTACCGTATAATCTGTTTCCATAATGTAAAATTGTATTGTAAACTCCCAAATACTCTAAGATTTTAACCATAGCTAAAGGTGTGCATGGTAAAATTGATTTTTGTTGGTTATGAGGTGGATCCAAGAATCTAACATTATGATACAAGTTATGGTAGTACAAAAAGTTTAATCCTTCGACATCTTTTTCTGGAGCAATTAATTGTTGTAAATATTGATCTTGTTTGTCTCCAAACACTGGGAAATATACCATAATACCATGGATACTAGGATCTTTGTTGGCTCTAATCAAGGTAGCTTCCAAGTCGTTCTTATTAACATTGACTACTTCATAATGGAACCCCAATGATTCACAGGTTTTCCCTGTCCAACTAGCATACATCTGAGCAGCTGGGTCATCGTTGGCTAAGAGACCAACTAATTTAGGAGTAAAGTCTAATGCTTGTACACCTTTGGTGACTTCTTCTATGTATGGTTTAGCGATAGTGGAGGCTAAGATTGTTCTACCGGCTGGCTTAGCGGCTGCAGAGTCTGACATTGTCTATAGTTTATTTTTTGAATTGATTAAAGACCAGGGAGTAAAATTGGTAAAGAAAAGAAAGAAGAGATGATGGGAAATATATTAATTTTTCAATGACGAAATTTCACTGGCGGTTTAGGCAGAAGTGAAGTAAAGATTAGATAGAAGGAAAAAAAATTAAATCAGAATTAAATTTGACTTCGGACAGACAACAAAAAAAAATTATTATGGCGTGGGGCAAGAACACGCGGGCGTAGCCAGAAGAACACACAAAACTAGACCACTTTATAAACACAATTGTTGTTTAACATAGATATCAATTACAAAATATGACTAGAAGATATTTGTAGAGATTGGATATTTTGTTTGCAACATAAATGATGTGTAAAGCACCTACCAAAGGTCTAAAATATTCACATAAATTGAACAAATGAAAAAAAAGAATAGCTGCAAAAAGGCTTCAGAGCTAAGCCGTCAATTCCAAGATTACGGTACCAACTAGAGTAAAATCCTACACTTATTAGTTAAATGTTTAAAGTTCTCAGAAGTCTAAAAAAAGTTCTAGAGATTATTTCAGGTTATAGCAAAACCAGCACCATAAGATAATAAACCAATATACCATTAGCATCGAAACCAAAAACCAATACTCAACAACCAACAAGATTAACTATTTCTAATACACTTTCAAACTAATATATGAGGTCAGAAGTTAAGGGATATTTAATGACTATATTCATTAAAATCCCTCGGAGCGCCTAATTCATCCAAGTCTTTATGGGACTTAAACTTAACGAATCCAGTTAATTGATTTGCAATTAAACTAACAGAATTAGCCTTTTGTGGGACTAAATTCAGATTCATCGAAATTAGTAACTCGTTCCGCCTTCTAGCATGAGTGAATTATCAACAGCACTTATATGTGTGGGTTATTGGAATTAACAACGAAAATACCTTGGGATAAACAATTTAAACATTTTTGGATGATTGCTGGAAAATCTTTTGTACTTAACTTTGCTGCAAAAATATGATGCCTATAACCTGGATGCAAATTGTACTACTACTTTTTTTATTTTTTGGAATTTAATAGGTAGGAAAGTAATAGCATGGGAAATTAACATGAAACACCGAGACCAAAACACCAAACATAAAACCAACAACGAAACAAAAGTGAACAACAAATAGTGCCTTCACCATAGCTCCTCCTCCTTCTCCTCCTCATCTTCAATGGATGCCAAAAATTTTTTATTTCTATTCTTTCCCCAACGACCCTTCTTGAACTTTTTTTCTTCAGGATCCTCAGGGGGAGGATTGGCTAATTCTAAGGCATGCAATTCTAATTCTAAATCATGATACTTTTTCATCAATTCTGTGTTTTCTGTTGTCACCATCACTAATTCATCTTCAGCCTTACTGAGTTGTTCCTTTAAGTCTAATCTTTCGGCGTCAAACTTTTTTAATAATGCCTGCTTTTCAGTGTTAAACTTCTTTAATAATTTCTGCTTCTCGGGCTTAAACTTGTCAGCTTTGCACTTGTCCATAACTGCTTCTTTGTGATTTAATTGTTTCTTCAATTCTGATATTTCTCCATTTAACTTTTGAATTAACACCGACTTGACAGCTTTAAATTTCTGGAATTTAGATTCGGAATCATTCAATTGTTTGTTCAAGTCCAATGTTTCAGCTTTAAGCTTATCTAATAAAGCACCATTTTCTGATTTCAACTTCTTTAATTCTTCTTCGGCATCAACTAAACTATTAATAAGGTTAACATTTTCTAATGATAAGTCCTTGTATCTCTCTTTGTAACCCAAACCAAGCTTTTCTTTAAATTGGGAATTTAATCTGTTGAAAAAGCATTGGATTGAGGATGGATAAATGTTAGCGCCGAGTTTTTCAAGAAAGGTAAAAACTGATCTGGACACCTTGGCGGCTGCTTTAACAACAAATGAAACAATAGGATTAGTTGGATTGTTTGACTCGTTAACATTGATAGGGGAATTTTCAGACTTCTTAAACAAATTAGTGACAAATTTGCAAACACTGGAAAGTTTTGACCAAATAATGGATCTAAAAGTGATGGATGGAGATTCAGGGGATTCAGGAGATTCAGGAGACATTGGAGATTTTGAAGACTTTGAAGACTTTGCGGATTTGTTGACAACAGGAGAAGAATATGATACTTCAGAAACTCCATCACTAATAGGAGTCATCAACATAGCATCAATGCGTTCACCTCTTTGGAACTTTTCATATAAATATTGAACAACAGGTCTTAAGAACTTTGGACAACGAATTGTAACCTTGGAGGTTGAGCGGTTGATAAACAACTTACACTTACTTAACTGTAAACCAATTACAAACATATCTGAAGACAAATCTGATCAAAATTGCTTTGTGACTTCAAATAATGAATTAATTTGGTAAAAAAAGAGTAAGCGGCAAAATTTCCTGAGACTGTTTGCAGCCACCATCTTTATACTAGAAAAATTGGCTGTTACACGACGTTTTTTTGCTGCACATAATGCGGGGAAGAACGCTTTCACTTCTGCATTTCGTAGAATTGATTAACTTGAAGAAGCTTAAGTGTCTTTTAATACTACCTTTCAATGGCCAATCTGCCTAGCACCTATAACTAGTCTTTTTGTTTGCTTCGACTACACAAAATCAATCTTTCAATTAGTTGATATTAATTTATTTATATATATATATATATATATATATATATATATGACATTCTACCTCAAATGAGCAGAAGCATTCTTGTATAAACTTTGCCAAATGAATGCTTCACTCAACATCAATTCCACATCTTTCTCTTTCCACCTTGAAGTTGGGGGATTCTGAAGAAACAATAAAATTTCCTGAAAATCCTTGGCTTTCAAATCACCGCTAAACTTGATCAAAAAAGCCGCACAGACATAGGTATGAAAAGTATTGAATCCTAATGGAGTCTCCGATAAGTAAGTATCCCACATTCTGATGATTAATTGGATTGGTAATTCTCTCATTAATAAACAATTCATCCATCTGAAGGAAAATTGAATAAATTCAACTCCTTCACTGTCAAAATGCTTAATCAATTCATGGTCAATTTTAGAAATCAAATTCCTTAATTCATTAACTTGTCTTATGATACCTGGTTGTTCATGAATATAGTTATCAGTAATATTCTCCAACAATCTCGATAAACACCAATAAGTATCTGCCTCAATAATTGCAGTAATCCTAGGGGATAACCATGACGTATCAAAGTTATCCAAAGTATATTGTGGTAACTGAGGATCTTGTAAAAGTTTTAGTTCTTCTGGATCGTCTTCTTCCTCCAGAGCTAAATAGCCTGGAATGTACAAATCCATATCATCATCTTCAGGGAGGCTACCAGTGCTACTATTATTCAGCTTGTGTTGTCGTTGTAATAGTTGTTGCTTTCTTTGTAATTGCCAAATATAATTATTCAAAAAGATTTGATAGAAGGGCGTGCACAAATCATTTATACCTTGAACATATCCACTTGCTGGATGTCTTACTGCCCAAAGATATAAGATTTTTCGAAGTGACATCTGTGTGGCGGTGTATGAATATAATTTCAATGTTGGGTTTGTTCTTTTGACATCAATCTTAATTTGATGATACAACATTTTATCTCTATTTGCGTTAGACAAAGATGTGGTGGATTCGTTATCAGGAGGATCATCGTGAAATTCAATTGTGACACTGTCCAATCCTTCTAAATATTCTTGCCTTTTCCTCTTTAATGTCGAGCTTTGTCTGGACTTGTTGGTAGGTAAATATCCTAACAACAATAACCATGAAACTGCACGTAATTCATTGGGAATCCCATTCCATGCTAATTTTCTTAAATCTTGCAAATTAATGTTGTTATCAGAAGTCAAAACTTTTCTGAATTTTGCATATTTACTATTCAACAAGTTGAGTTTATTAATTTCCATTTTAGTTTGCATGTCTTCAAAGTCAAGTGATTCCTTTGGTGGTTTACTGGCAGCACTAACTCCATTTCCACTTGGTAACATTAAATCAGGATATAATGAATCCAACATAGGACTAGTTTGCGCATTAAGACTCGTTCTTGAGGATTCTTCTGTGTCAAGCTTGGTCAATTCTTTCTTGGGAGAAGAAACCTCTTGTAAATCTGCATCCCAATCATCATCCAAATCGGTATACCTCGACATTGATCTTGAACGGCGTGGTTGAGATTGCTTATGTGAACTGTATGGAGATATCTTACCTCCACTTCCACCACTTACAGGGGTCATTCTTTCAGGAAACCCCAGTCCCAAACCAGTGGAAGTATGTGGAAGTCCAGAGCCCACTGACACAGTCCTTTGAGTATTGGTGGGACGTTTGGGATTAAACAAGTTCCCGCTACTATTTAAGGAACTAGTGCTATTGGCATATCCTAAACTTCCATATATTTGGCTGTTTGTTTCCTCGACACTGTCTCTTGCTGAACTAGAGTGAGATAAAGTGGAACTTCCAGTCAAGGATAAGTTTTTCAAGAACGATGACAAATTCTTACCTTTGCCACCTTGCTCTCCGAAAATGAACTCATTGGAAGTACCATTGTACACTTGAGCCATTTCTTGTTTCTTCTTCCCCATTTTGAAAATGTATGGCTAGAGAGGGGGGGGGATGTTATTTCTATGGGTGCGGTTGTAAATGCAAGATGTGGTTGGCTTTGTTTGCTCGTTTGATTCAGTTTGTCCCCCAACAAAAAAAATATTATATGGCTGACGTGGGATAAACTTTTTTTTTGCTGCTGGGTGGTGGGGGGAGAGGGAGGTAGAGAGGGGGGGGATCCGCAGTATCACCGATCTGCCGGCCGCTGTACGTGGTACCCGACGGCACGGAAAGATTCTCTGCATGAACAAGCGCGGCTGGACTAGTCAGTCAAAAATTCTACAACAACTGGCTATAACTAAGTTACTATAGATTAAAATTTAAAAGCATCTACGTTCTATAAACCTCCTCTAGGCTGATGGTTGAACTTCACCCTTGATGGCAATAGCACCTTGTTTTAATTCTCTACCAGATAAATGTAAAACACCGTTTTGAGTGATGTTGATGATAACTTCTAATTTAGCATTTGGTTTCAAGTTCTTTAATGTCAATTCAGCTAATAAGTCACCAGCTTCATAAACAACTTCTCTCTTGATTTCTGGTTCCTCATCAGAATCTTCTTCTTCAGAGTCTTCTGCATCAGCTGCTTCTGGTTCGATAACGGTTTCCTTGATAGTTCTCTTACCTTCGTATAATTCAACAACAACAGAAGTAGATTCACCGTTGGTAACTTCAATGGACTTCTTGATTGGGTAGGCGGTTTCGGCAACTAAAATAGAGTGGAAGTTACCTTCGGCATCCTTGATACCAATTGGCTTACTCAAGTGTTGAGTATTGACAACAATTGGTTGTAATGATTCCTTGATTTCTGATTCGTCAAATTGTTCAACTAATGAGGCTTGTAAAGCAGCACCACGGACAACTAATTCTGATGGATCCAAAGCCTTTGAATCTAAAGATGGGGCAACGATCTTAGTTGATTCTGGGAATAAGTAAGAAATGTTGGTAGCTAACTTTGGAGTGTTGGCAGCACCACCAACTAACAAAACTTCATCAACATCCAATGGATCTAATTCGGCCTTCTTGATGACTTTTTCGACAAAGGCGGTCATTTCAGATAATGGTTGTCTGGCAGCCAATTCATATCTCAATCTGTTGATACTGGTGTGGAAATCGAAACCTTCAGCTAAGGATTCAATGGAACAAGTGGAACTTTGGACATTAGATAAAGTCTTCTTGACAACAATGGATTCAGCCTTTAACTTAGCAATTGATCTGGCATTGGATCTTGGGTTAGCCTTGTACTTCTTTTCGAATTCCTTGGCAAAGTATTCAGATAAAGCAGCATCTAATTTGTCACCACCTAATCCGAATTCATGAGCAGTGGCCAAGATGGTTAAGATACCACCTCTGGCTGAGATAACAGCAGCATCAGATCTGATACCCCCGAAATCAGCGACAACATATAATTTATCTTGTGCCAACTTTTCTTCTTCAGTGGATAAGTGAGCTAATAAAGCAGCAGTTGGTTCGTTAATCAATTGTAAAGTCTTTAATCCAGCATCTTCAGCAATCTTGGTTAATTCTTCTCTTTGATGTTCAGTGAAGTTGGTAGGAACAGTTAAAACAACACCTTCAACGTCCTTACCGGTGAAATCTTCAGCAGCCAATTTCAAATTAATGAAATGTCTCTTAGCAATTTCATGAACGGTAACAGTTTCAGGGTTTCCATTTTTAGTAATTTCGTAGGCAACTTCACCTTGTGGACCCTTGACGGCCTTGGCACCAACTTGATGAGCAGCAGTAGTATCAACTTCATCAAATTGCTTACCAATGAAATCTCTGAAATTAACAATTGTGCTATCTGGGTTTCTGATTAATCTGGCTTCAGCTTGGGTACCGTGGTATTCATCACCACCAACATAGGATAAGGCGGATGGAATGAAACGATCACCATCTGGGTTAGCAATCACATCGACTTTACCATCTTGAGTGGCAACAGCAATGGATGAGGTAGAGTTACCGAATGTTATACCAATTACAGACATTGTAGTTGTGTTTAGTTAAGTAATTTAGATTTGTCTAGTTAACCTTCAAAAAAAAAATTTTTCAATGCTTTTGATGAGGCTCACACAGTGGAAGAAAAAAACAAAAATCAAGATCCCATGCGTTTTGTTAAAAATAAAGGTCGTACCCGGATTCGAACCGGGGTTGTTCGGATCAAAACCGAAAGTGATAACCACTACACTATACAACCTGTTTTTATTTCAAACATTTTGCTATTTTCAACAGGTTGAAGCTTAAGCATGTGATTATATTGCACGTGATTAGTTTTCAAACTTTGCCTCTTTAGAAGACTATACAAGTTGGCACTTGAATTTAGTTAGTAAAACTTTGTATATATTGTCTGTTTAAATAGATTTGGAGATATACCATTATCATAATTTTAGTTGTGTGGGAATGACCTTCATAAAATTGATTGTGCTTACATTTTTTGCAACCAACATAATTGGCAGTGTTAAAGGCTATAGCGGGTCCTTATTTGACAAATTTTAAAGCATTTTATGTTCTTTTTTTATTAAAGTGGCATTTCAGGGTAATTAGTAGGTTATTTTAAGATGTTTTAAGGATTTTCTTATCGCTTCATAAAATCAAACGTTTTTGGTAAATTTTTAATACAAATTACCATAAAATTCCTGAAAATTAAATGGATTTATGAGGTAGTTACCTTAACAGACCGATAAGAAGCTTTTCTCCACAGACTATACTCCTTGATTACACATTATTACAAAAAAAGATAACAGCAGAAAGTTGTTTGTGTTTTATGACCTTGTTTGTTGGATGTTGTGTTCTGGTTAGAAAGATCTCGCCCAGGATCCAATTTTTCTGAGCCTCGTTAGAAAAAGGGGGATAAAAAAAAAAACAAACTACACATCAATTGATTTACCTAATAGCCGTTTAGCATACAGATCAAAGATGACTCGTCAAGGAAGGCGTACGCGTATCCTAATAGTTACATTAGTTCTTATTCTGACGTTTTTATTCTTCATTAACAAAAACAAGTTGAATCATGATTTAGATAAATACATGCCTCAGTTTAGCAATGATAAGGGCATGAGTTTGGAGAAAGAACTTTTAGATAAGCCAAAAACTAGAAAAACTACCAAGGGTTCAAAGAAGACAGGAGTTAAGCAGAAAAAAACGGGTGGTAATGCTAACACATCAAGGAAGAAAGATGCCAAGCTGAAACAAGCTAGTGTTGATGAATCCAGTACATCAAACAAGAAAGGAAGTATGCGTCAACAAACGGCTAATACTAAGATGGGTTCCAAAGGAAAGCCAGCAGTACCCAAGAAAATGAAGGTTAATGCTAAACCTAAGGCCGTGGATGACCCAGAAGTTGATCCAGATGTTGATTCAGATACGATAGATGACCTCAAACAGGCTAACAGTACTGAGGAATTCGGATATGAATCCAAGACGAACTCGAAATTACAAAAATTAAAGATAAATCCTTTAGGAATGGAAGATGAAGAGGATGAGAGTGGTGCAACTGAACAGTACGAGGAAGAGGAAGAAGAAGAAGAACAAGAAGTTGGTACTCCTAGAAAGAATAATAAGTTAAGCAAAGGGAAGCTTGATACTGCAGATGAAGACCATGAAGATGAGTTTGATTTATTTGACATTGATGCAATTGGAGAAGATGAAAAGGAAGTCAAATTTGACCCTGAAAATCCTCATGGGTTCCTTGGAGATGTTGAACGTATTTCCCCAGCTGAAAAGGAAGTCATTTCGGACTCTTTAGAGTATTCTAAAAAGCAAAAGGTTTTGGTTGGCGTGCCTACAAATAAGCAGTTGCGTTTAAAACCAGTATTAAAGGATGAGCCTCCTTTACCAGAAGATATCCCCCAAAACTTCAAGAAAATATCTATAACCCCCTTGAAGTTTAGAATATACTCGCATAATATCAAGAATGGAGGAAATCATGTTCTTGTTCCTGGTGAGCATGAATGGTCACAACGTTATCGTCCTCTCACTGCCTCAATAAACTTCCATGCAACTGTTCCTAATACTATTATCGCATTGCAAGAAGTGTACAAGTATCAAATGTTGGATATCATCAAGGAACTAAATAGATATTCTGATGATTGGGATTATTATGGAGCAGGAAGAATTGATGGTGAAGAGATTGGTGAATTTGTTGCCATAATTTACCGTAAAAGTGAATGGGATTTAGTTTACAGTGATACAATGTGGTTAAACCATAAGAATCCGAGAATGTCAATTGAAGGCTGGGACGCTACGTATCTTAGAATTGTCTCATATGTTACATTAAAGCATAAAGCTACAAATAATTATATCAATGTTTTCAATACTCATTTTGATCACATTGGAATAAATTCCCAATTAGGTTCAGCCAACTTAATTCTTGAACGAATTGCACAAATAAACCAATGGCCAAGTTTCATTGTTGGGGATTTAAATAGCGAGCCAAAACATGATGCATACCAATTATTACGTCAACACATGGCAGATCTGGCAAGATTAACCACCCCTTTTAATAGATATGGTCATTTGAGGTCTACAGTTACAGGATTTGAAGGCGAGGTTTTGGTTGAAGGTGGGCAGAATATTGATTATATTTTCGCCCCTAAATATACCAGTAAGATTGATATGGATCCTAAATGTAGTACCTTGAATCCAAATTCACCAGAAAATAAGATTGATTTACGATTGACTGGGTATGGAATGTTGCATTCAAAGTTTGATGGGATTTATGTAAGTGATCATAGACCTATAGTTGCTGATTTTTCCATGAAAGGAAAGTGTTAAGCTGCACATAAGAATATATACGTACATATTATTTTTTTAATATATCATTAATGAGATGATTTAGAAGTAAAGTATTATTTCATATTTCCCCTGGGGTTGGTTCACAGAGTCAAGTTCAACTACAGCTAAAGTTTAGAGGATATATTAAATTTTTAAAACTGTTACTACCAAATACCAAAAATAGCAAAAAGACCAATTATACTGAAACGAAACAACCAATTAAACCGAAGACCAAACACCAAAATCAAAACAGAAGATACGTTAACCAAAGATATTACCCTCTATGATGAAGATAATAAATACTGTTGTCCAAACAAAGACCAACCATCATATTAACAAATGAAGGGAAAATACCAAATCAACCAGCGTCATAATTTAGATATTGTAAAACAAAATGTAAGACAAGAATAACTTGAAGCTGGAGCTAATACCTGTTTGAACCTTGAGATCCATGTAATAAAGGAAACAATTAACCACAATGAAATTTAATATCGAATTTAAGGATTATGTAATATCATTAACTTTCATCACGAAATTGGTACAAGCTTGTTCATAATCAGGAGATTTATCTGAAGATGAAGTTGAAGGGGTTTAGATTGGAACTAAACGGACCTCGAAGCAGGTACTAACTCATTCACTATTTCACCATGATTAATGTAGGTGATAATATTGAACTTGATGATTGAAAGTTTAGGGATAAAATTCACAAAATCCTCGGAATAAGTACAGATTCATTCGCAATCAGAATAGATATTATTATCTGAAGACGAAGTGAAGGGATTTAGCTTTGTTTTTTTTGAACTAAACGGAACCTCGAAATAGGTACATATTCATTCATATCTTTAATCATATGTGGATATTGTTTTATCAATTTCAATTGGGTTGTCAATAATCTATTGTTTATTATTGCCTTTGTAAATCATTTTAGTCATAAGCAGACAAGGTTTAATCCCAAATAGTAATCCTTGGTTTGGTTTATTTTTGGCCATAAACAGGCAAAGTCTAACCCCAAATAATAGCTCTTGATTTGATTTATATTTGGTCATAAACAGACAACTCTTTTCTTGATTTGCTTTATAATTATTCGATGAATCCATCAGAACAAAATAAAATGGCTTGGATCTTGCTAAATTTGGAGTTTGAATACTATCAACAGAAATGAATGTTTCAGCGGTTACTGGGTTGGATTTTGAAAGGGAATTCCATTTCGTGAAAGAAATTGAAGGACTATAGGTGGGTATCACATTTGGGTTCAAATTGGAGCTTTCAAATGTTTTAGACCCTTCTGATTCATCTAATTCTTCAACAACGTGTAATTTACGCTGAATAAAATCAACTTCAAGTCCAGAGGAGCCATTGTCAAAAGTAACAGGATTATTATCAGGATATTCAGAATCTTCACCACCAATTGCAAGATCACAAACATTATCATAGGTGCCGTTATAGTTTGAAGTAAGTTCGTTGTTCACATTGAGTGAATTTTTAGGTTGAGAGGAATTGTAGTCAAAATAATCAGAATTATTATCAGGATAATCACGATCAATGGGAACGCCCATGGAATTCGTATCGCGGAATATTTCTCTTCCAAACACTAATCTCACAAACCAATGCTTCAATTGTTGAAAAAAAGAAGTGGAATAGTCCGTAACAATGTTGCTATAAACCGGGGAGGAACATTCAATTGAATTTGAATTATCTGCATATGAAGGTTCAGATACAAGACAGCGGACACTTGTAAAAGAATTTACATCGTTGTTTGCACAAGAAGGTTCAATTAAATAACATCCAACAGCACCCAAACAATTGGAATCAACTTTTTCATCAGTATCAGCTAAAGCAGAGTCTATATTACTTTGCTCATTATCAGAGTCATCTGTTTGTGGGTAGATGAAACCTTTAAACCATTGCTTTACTTGGGCGCGTTTAGAAATTCTGGTTGATGGGGCAGTATTAGTCTTGGAATGAATACTTTGTGAATCAGTTGAGGTGGAAGTAAAATAATCAATAAATATAACTTTATCATTGACATCGGTGTCATCAGTTTCCAGTTCATTTGAGCCAACATCATAAATATTGGTTTGTGAATCCCCATACATGATCTTTGTAAACCATCCTTTCACTTTTGCACGCTTGGAACCAGCAACTGAATGAGGTGGACTAACAGAAGTGGATGGTGGAGCATCGGTGTTTATATTTGAGGTAGTATCAGTATTAATTGGACTTAAGATAGAAGCAGTAGTATTTGTTGAGGTAGTAGCAGCAGTCTTTGTTGAGGTAGTAACAGCAGTATTTGTTGAGATAGTAGCAGCAGTATTTATTGAGGTAGTAGCAGAAGTATTTGTATTTGGTGTTTTAGCAGGAGCAACATCAATCGTATTTGTGTCCTTTGAGGGACAAACACAATCAACTAAATTTGAATTGAAACCAGAATCAACAGCAGCATCTTTTGAAACATCAACAATAAAACCTTTGGATTTGGCATTTTCCATCCATTTCTTAAATCTTGCACGCTTGGATTGTTTAATGGTAAATTGAGATTCACAAGCAGCAGCTTTAACAGCGCCAACAATATCATCAACACCAACATCAGCAGCAGTTTCACTAGAAGAAGTTTCAACAGTGGAAGTATTGTCAGCAGTTAAGGATTGGGAAGTGGTAGTCTTATTCAAAGGAGGGTTTGCATAAGTTGATGAATCCAATTTTGAAATAATCTCTTCAAGAGTTTGTGACTTCAAATCCTTATTAAGAAAGAATTTCGGTCTGTGGAATCCAATTGGTTGACCATAGGGTTCGAAATGATGAAATTTCATGGTCAATCACTTGGGGGAAAAACAAATAAACAATTAATTGGAAGTTTATGTGTGATTTTCAGAAAGAAACAAGTGTACAGATTAAAAATATAAAAAAGTTAAACTTTTGCGATTGTACAAAGATTTCGCAGTCAATTTTTGCACTTGTGAGTTATATCGCTACCATACGAAGACAAGACTTGGATGGAGTTAATGTGTGCTTGACACGGAAATAGAGTAGGGGAGATGCTATACAATCCATGGTAAATAGTTGTATATTGAAGCTGTTTATGTTGTTTATATTATCTAGTGATTCCAAGGGAATAAATGAATAACCTGAAGCTCATTTTGATTGAAATGTTTCAATTACTATAATATTTCGTTGGTTTTAATGAACCATGTAGTTATTGGATAATAGTTCGCCTTTCAAAATCTCATGCCCAAGTTTGTTCAGCAAGCATAAGGTTTGAAGCAATTCTCAGATTGTTCTTACCTATGTTGTATTGCATAGATGTGTTGTTTTTGTTGTGTGGTTGTCAAAAATTTAGAAAAACAATTTAGGAATTGGGGAACTTTTCAATGCAATTGGTAGCAATCAAACCATATTTAAGTTCAATGTAGAAAGACTTGAATTCAGAATTGTTCTTATACAAGTCAGATCAAGAATGTTTCTTTCTCTCTTGAAACCAAATACCAGGTTTTATACAAGTCATCAATAAGCTTTCTTCGTAATTTGTGGCCTTGCCAACGGTTGTCTTGAATTGACACCGAAGTTTTGATGGATAACGACAATATCTGCTCTTAATGATTTCACCGGCGAATTTGAAGCTCCTGGCTACAGTTCCTTGTAGGAAGCAAGTTGTAAAGATGTGTATCACCTGGTTGCTTTTGACTACGCGCGACTAACAACAGGTGACACACTCTTCCCAGGAGTGATTGACTATACTTCTTACATAATTACTCAATACAAGAGCCTACAATTGTCTAGATTTAATGTGAAAAAGGTTTGTTCTCCGCAATGCAGGATAAGTCTAGAGTTGATAAATGACGTTCTTTTTTTTTTTTTCCTTCTCGCTAAAACAAATCTAAATCAGACAGCATTGCCTCAATAGATCAGGTTTCAGGTTCATATGGTCATTACCACAATATAAGATAAAAGCACCCACAGTTCTTTCATTAGTAGCATCAATATATAGATATATCCAATATGAACCAAGCATATGTCACGATAAATGGGGAATACGAAGAACATAAGCTACCGTCACCACCGAGACTACCACCACAAGAAACCCCACCACCACCGCCAGCACACACAGTAGGTGTTGGCCATCATCGTGTGTCATTAGGCCCACCTAAGATCATGGGAGATATTAACGAACCACCAGCCACTCCTGCTGAACTTCTGCATTATTATACGAAACTTATCAACTATGAGTTTCGTAATTTACAACTTGATCATACGTTAGTTAATAAATCGTTGTTTGACTTAATTGACTATTGTGAGTTGTTGTATGAGAAATCAAGTAGTGAAATAAGTTCATTGGACCCTAAACAGAATCTTCATGGTATAAAGACATACACCAGGGGATATTTGATCTTCAACTACTTCATCAACAGTTTTATCATGATACATTTCCAAGGGTTTGATTCTTTTATTGAGACCAATGAAACTGATTTCATCATTTATCTCAATATCTTTGCATTTTACAATCATGAAGTTTATTTCTCAAACGGGATCTATTCAATAAGCTCAAACAAATTACAATTCTATGTGAAACGGTATTTGTCAGAAAAGAAATTGTTAAGTTTCGATATCGACGAGCTTTATACTTGGTTGAATGACTATATAGAGTACTTAAAAGAGAAGGATCAACAGGAACAGCAACAGCCACCAGAACCACCACAACAACAACCACAACAACAACCAGTAAGCAACAGTGAGTCTGAATTTGAAACTCCGCCTCCGTATGTTCAAGGATACAATTTATCAACTGAAGAATTAGATTTTAAACAGCGATACCCTTCGTTAGATATGAAAAATTTTACACCAGAACAACCATCAGAACCATCATCATCTCCGGCACCTCCTCAGGCCCCAGCAGGAGCATCTTCTCCTCCACCAGTACCTAAACAATTACCACCTGGGTTGACACCCACGACTCAGACTTTACAATCAAGATCATTTTCTCCCCAACCACAACCTCTTACTATTCCACAACAACAACAACAGATACTGAAAAGATATACTTCTCCTGCATTAAGTCCAACAATTCCATACCCAACAAATCAAGAATCTGTACCATTGCCACAGGTAAATCACAATGGATATTCTCGTCCTAGATCTGAGATCCCCCAGGTTCCTCAGATCCAGAATAATTATTATCAACAACAACAACAACAACAACAACACTACCAATCGAGACAACAACCTGCCCATGCTAAATTCACCAATTATCACAATGGTGCAACACCAGGAATTAGACATTCATATACTCAACCTAGTTTAACTTACCAGCAAGGACCACAAGCACCATTACCTCAAATACCTCCACCACAAGTGGTTACTCCTAAGGTCGATGTTTTACACCAACTTTCCGTGTGTGGATTACGTAATTTTGGATCATCATGTTATATTAACTCAACGGTACAAATCTTATTTGGGATACATTCATTCAAATCGATTTTCCTTCAAGGGTTTCAAAAATTCATTAGAGATCCAAAATATCTTTCAGTTTTAGCCCATCCCAATTCCCACAATAAGAATTCGGTATTGTTAGCTGATGCGATATCTGGCCTATTACGTACTTTTCAACAAAATGGTGGTTTATCAATATCTCCTACCAAATTCATTAGAATATGTTCATTGTTAAAGCCAGATTTCAATATTCCTCATGAACAACAGGACGCGCAGGAGTTTTTACTATTCATATTAGAAAGACTTCATGATGAGTTTGCCAATAAGCAAGTTCTGGGATACGATTTAGAAGACTATATTCGCAAATGGAAAATTAATATAAATGTTAAGGACAAGAATGAATATTTACATTGGTGTAATTCATTGATCAAACATGAGGGGACATCACCTATCCATGATTTATTCCAAGGTCATTTACAGAATAAATTAACTTGTACCAAATGTTCCTATGAACTGATTAGTTATTCTTCATTCAGCATTTTGTCGTTACCTATACCAAGAATCAGAAATAAGCAAATGGTTGATTTGACTGACTGTTTAAGATATTACACCCAAGATGAAGTACTTTCTGGGGATAATGCATGGCATTGCCCAAGATGTAATGGAGAAATTGGGCATAAATTAGATAACCACCCCGTGTTTGTGAACAAAAAATCCGGGATTTTCCAATTAGGTAAAAAGACCAAGCCTAACAAGACCAATGGAAAACAAATAACAACCGTGTCAACTAAAAGTCTTACATTTGTTAAATTACCACAGATATTGTTTATCCATTTATCAAGATTTTCAATGTATAACTTAACAGATAAACTAGATACGGTCATTAAGTATCCATTACTACTTAAATTCAATAACAACGGCCATGAAATAGTATACAAACTTTCAGGTTTGATTAACCATTTTGGGAATTTGAAGAGTGGTCATTATACTTCAGTGGTCAACAAATCCGTCAATGTCAATCTGCTGAATATTGATAATATGTATCATCCATTTTGGTGTTTGTTTGATGATGAGAATGTTCAATCAAATATTCCTAATGGAAGTTTGAATGGCCCTTATACCGAGTTGACTTCAAGAGATGTTTATGTGTTGTCTTATGAAAGAGTATAACCACTGAAATTACTTTACCCAGAACTTTTATAGAACGTATCATTTATATCTATATAACATTAGAATAGACATGACTAATGTCTTTTTAGACATATTCAAAACAAAGTACACAAACACAAGTTGGTGTGCCTTCAAAATATTTCAACATCATTTCTAAGATGATGTTTCACAATGCAAACTTTGGATTGTTTTCCTTCCAAAGTCCTTATTGTGTTGCACAACAAGCCCGATTCTCACAACAAGAGGTAATGACAAAAGACAACTTCATGAGAACACACATCTTGCTGTTCTACCAGGACTTTATTGTTATTCAAACAATAGTACTCACCCTGGATAAAGCTTCGACATATACAGTCGATGGAAAACCCAGCTTTTAAATATTTCAGTCCCAATATTAGCTAAAACATAGATAATTTAGTAGTTTCTAATATTACATTATATCATATACACATATCTAAATCCACTTGGAATTTATGGTTGCAAAATCATAAAGATCCAAATCTCCTTCACCTAATCCAACAACAAAATTTGAATCTTCACGGTTTTCAACAATTGTAGCAGAACCAGCTTCCACATGCAATTCCAACAACTCTTTCATATTCACTTTGATCAACGGTAAGTCAAGGCACGCCTTTAATATCTCCTTCGTTTGGTTGATATTACGATTAAGATCATTCAACCAGAAAACTTTAGGGTGGGATGGGATGTCCAACCATATCATTTCTCTGGTTTTCAAATCAAACATAAATGGATTAATATCAGTGGCTTCACAAGTCAAATCCATTTTCACCTTTACCGTCGAAGGTTCAAATATTTCTCCTGCTTGTTGTTCTTTTCTCATCATATAACCAGCAAAGCATTGTTGAAGTTGACTAAATTTAGGTCCCAGGTACAGCCGTACATTCATTTCGACATATCTATATCCCAGTTTCAAGGCTTGGTTTATATAAATATCGATGAATTCACTTGCTCCCTTGGGGGCAGGGGCATTGATTATATCTCCAGAATGAACAGCGAATTCTTCTTTCAAATGAGTATAGTTTATAAACTTTGTTGTTTCCATGTCTTCTTTGATAAATACTGCTCCAAGATCAACGATTTTGCCTATCCAATGTACAAAGAACCGAATGACATTTTTGTCCATGTCACATTCATCCGTCATCAATCTTGAGCCTCGAGCTATTGCTCTCTTGTTGGAATCACTTCCGGTATAGATCTGCATGGGAAGTAAAATACCTTCAGCTTCTTTAGTGATATAAACTTTCAGGTTCTCATTGAAATGGTTCAAAGCTTTATATTTTTCAACTAATGCTTGTCGAAGGGTATCAATAACCATGTTGGCAGTTTCAGTTGTCAATTCGCTTTGATTTTCCTTTCTTTCAAACATCATTAAATTCAGTTTAGCAAATACTGACCGTTTTTCTATCTTATTACTTCCCTTGAAGTGGCCCAATGCTTGTAGTAAGACTTTAGATTCAACCCCAACAGCAATCATGGAGAATTCTGACAATATTTTCTTATCATCTGGGGAATCCCGTAATAGCTTATCTAAACATCTAGCAAACATTGAGGGAAGATTCTTGAGGATCCGTATTGCTGAATCCGTGTCCTTATTTTCAATTGCCTTACACAAAGGCGTGTTCTTTGTAGGAACATTTTTCTCAGATCTAAACCTTGTGGCGATCTCATTAACTTTACCACCATACTCGCCAACGTGAAGACAATGAAATGCTCTAATCCAGATTGTGGTATGACGCTTGACATCTTCTATATTAATCACTTTTTCCAACAATTGAATCAAGACCCTTCTCTCTTTTCTTTTCATAGAAGTGAATTTGACAACTTTGGTCAAGTCAGGTTTTTGGTTTGAATAAACAGCCATTATTCTTAACACATCAGTAGTTGTTTTGACAAAATAACCAATATCTTTTCCTTGCTTTAAGCATTCCACAGCAAGTTTACATGAAGTTTCTCGGAATGGAATTTCTGAGTAAGTAGACTGATAAGTTTTAATCCAATTTCTTCTAACACCATCAACAATGAAAGCATCATGTTTAACGGGAATACCAGTCTTTGAATTGACCAACTTCACAAAGTACTCTTTCAACTCATCCAAAGATACCAAGTGTAAGTTCACAACTGGGTTCTTCTCATTAATTTCCACACGCTTCTCCTTAATAAATACCGGTTTCCAATTCCCACACGAGAAATAGTGTGTTATAGCATATATGAATAATTCCAAATGAGAGGCATCCATAACTTGCTGTGGGAAATTAGGATAGAATGGTTCATGTTTAACATGTGCCCCCAAATGTTTCTTGACCATCAATAGCTGTTGCTTTAAGAATTTACCACCTTTATCAGCTGATAACTTGCATAATTCATCAATTACTGGTTTATCCAATATATAGTTCATGTTAACCAATTCTAGCATGAAAGTATATACTGTATCCTGTGAAATCTTATCACGTTTGGACTGATCCTTGGGGTTGATGTAAATACCGTTCAAAGATTCAAAAGCTGTTTCTTCTAATATCATTGTTGATTATTAGTAATGTTTCAATGAATTATGCGAGTAAGTCCACTCTAACAAATTTATAGCGGAGATGGTTAAATTGTGGACTTGTATCTAATTACCTTACTATGACTAATACCTACCATAATGTAATTACTGCTGTAGCAATGACTAATGTTTACTTTACCCTCTACATAGAGCCTATTATCCCTTAGAGTTAATTTTGCATTAATTTTAATCTTGGATGCATTGTTAATGTTGACATTTCATAAGTGTTTTTTTTTTTTTTGCAGTGACTAATGTTTGTTTACTTTTCAGTTTCGCAGCAAGTTGGATGTTCAAGGGGTTGGTTTTGTAGTTATTCATTCAAAAAACATAAACATAAGATGAGTCATAGAATATTAACCGGCTACATTGGTATAATTCAGACATAATTGCCCAACTATAAATATCCCAACAAATCGTCTTTTCTTGCCAATAAATTTCAGGCACTATCACTTCTTGAGTTGCTCAACACTACAGAATGATCCAAACAAACTTTATGCAATAACTGCTATTGCTGGTTCTATCATAGTTGCTATAAATATGTTGCTTATGATGATTGGTTAAGTTATACGTCCTGGCTCCTGATTGAGATACTTCTACGTTTAATTTGTTCCTCCTCAATCTAATATCCAGGTACACTTTAGGCTCCTTTAGTTAGATACTTCTACCGAACTTTTACTTCCTCACTAGCTATAATTTCCTAATAAATATAACTTTAAATTAATCTACTTTGTAGTTCACCGTATGATACAACAAAATTTATTATCTATAAATTCATAAATTTTCGTTCTAATTCCTGGTCTTGTACGAGCTATAATGTTTCTAAATGGCTGTATAGAATGAATTTACTCTTGATTAAATATCGATGTAAGTTTAGGAGCTACCAGTTTCTTTTTCGACTTAAGGGAAAGTTTAACTGGTCCCAGAACCACAGCAGTTACCGGTGGTGGCGGCGGTGGTGAATGTGATGCATTAGACTCCAAATCCTTCTCTTTTCCTTGTTTTATCTTTTGATTCAATAACTTTACAGTTAACTCCTCATCATTCTTTATTTCCTTCTCTCGAGATTCCTTAACTTGTTGTTGTGATTGATCAATCAACCTTATTTCAAGATTGAATTCTTCTTCATTGGGATTTTCCACCCGTACTATCCCATTCTTACCCAAATACTTCACAAATGAAGTCAAACTATTCCATCGGGTACTGTTCATATGAATGTGATCTTTAGATTGAATATACTCCTGGTAGAACCTATTTGCATTAATCTTCTTAGTTCCATGGTTAATACGAAGTAGATTTATGAAATCCAGTTGAAACTGACTTGAATATGTGTCTACGAGTGTTTTGGCTTCTCCCAGGGATTGTATGTTTGATATCCTTCCCATATGTGATGGCGATGCCAAATGGTTTTTAAATCCATTAGCATCTCGACATTGTTTCTGACATAATTGACAGTAGTATTTAAGCTTTTGTAACCCTGCTGCTTTGAGCTTCTTGGCTTGATATTTGGATGTACCCAATTGTGCTTTTGCCATGATGTAAGAAAGTTGGTCGTAAAAAATTGGCATTTTTTTTTTCTTTGTCTCTTTCAGATCAAGATATATAAGTAGACAGTAATGCTCCGATTCAAGGCTCTTAGGGTGTACACACTACCGCCCAGATCGTCCTATATTATCAACAAAACATATCCATTGGTGCTATGGAATAATCTCATTCCATATAAATTCAAATTCTTTACAGGATTAGGAACAGTTGCCCTTAGTATAAAGTCCCTTCATCCAAACACGGTCATTGCATGTTTACCTCCATTAACTATAGGTTACTACTTTGGGTATAAACGGTGGCGTCACTGGTTGTATTTGAATAATTCCACAAGAGCAGAGCAATCCGGGGTAGTTCGATTTGAAAGATATGACGAAACAAAAGTCGAGAATGTATTGAGCGGGATTGAAAACGAGTATGATTGTCTAACTCGACAGATTGTTGATGTTGTTGAACAGCGAGTTATTGAACATGTGGCCGAGACTAGTGATGATGTGAGTGAGTTGTTTGTACACGATGATCAGTTTTCAATGCATATATTCCCTACCGAAGTGGAAACTTGGATTACGAGTGAGGTAGACGTGGATGGGGAATTAGTCAAATTCATCAAAATGTCCATGCCATTTTATTCTGTTAGAGATGTTGAAACAAGAAAGAGACTTGGTGTAGTGACTGTGTATTTAAGACAAGTTGCTAAAAGTGAACATGAAGATTTTCATATGCATATAGAAGTAAGTCCTTTGACTTGGTTTAAACCAAAAGTTTTGGTTATAAATGATGTTCCTGATGTGCTCAATAGTAAGTTATTTGAGGAGCGTAATAAATCTGTATAGACCTGTAAATAGTAAACAATAGACAATTAGAGCCTGGGCTCGTGACTGCAACATACACCCAGCCTTGGCTCGATTAGATTGATACATTTTATTACAATTTATAAGTATATATACAAGCACCCCCCAACTAAGACAAACCTGGAAAGAAAAAAAAAAAACTTCTATGCAACAGTTTAGTATTTAAAGAAATTTCTCACACCTTGTTGGAAATCATAATAATGATTACATCCAGCTGAATCTCTAATCAGATTTAATTCCGGCATCCAACTTTGAATATCATGGATACGTTTACTAGTAGCCGGGTGAGTAGAAAGCCATTGGTTTAAACCTTCCCAACTTTTTCCAGCTTGTGCTTCAACTTGACTCATTCTTTGCCAAAAGCCAATAGAGCTTTCTGGATTAAAACATGCCCGTGCCATTAGCTCACATCCTATTCTATCTGCTTCCGATTCCATTTCCCTTGATGCTGGCAAGGAGAACCCTAAGGTTAACAACTCGCGTACGGCGGGAACACCGGTTATAGTGCAGAGCAATATGGACAACAAGGTATATATTGGTTTATAACTTAATTGTTCCAGGGAATGCTGTGCCAATTGATGTGATAATTCATGGGATAATACCGTGGCTAATCCATTATCATCTTGACATATTGGTATGATAGAACTGAATATAAAGATCTTCCCATTGGGTAAGATAAATGCATTGGGAGGATCTTTTTCACTGGCAACCACATTGATTTCCCATTTAAGGTTACGCAAATGTTGTAGTTGTGCATTAGGCACTTCTGAGTTTTCCCCTGTTAAAGCGACATCTAGGAGCTTATTCATAATACTCAGAATACGACGATACAATGGATGTGAAGGTGGCAAGATTTGGTGTTGGTATTGTTCTTTGATTTGCTGGTATGAATAATCACCAGCCTTCTCTTCTAAGGAATAAGGAATCCATATGAATCTTTTTCGATGGGTGTATGGAGCTTCATGAAGGTTGTATACGTAGAATCCAATTGAACCAGCAGCGAAATACGCCACTTTACGGGAAGTTAATACTTGCAAGTAGTTGTAACTACTACTTGACGTATTCCCATTGAATCGCTTGTAAGTAGCGTATCTACGAAAGAAGAACATTGTTTGGGTGGCAATAGATGCAAAGAAAAAAATATACCTTTTAAATTCTATATTAACTTAAATCAAACTACAAGAAAAAAAAATAAACAGTAGGAACTGAAATAAACAGAAAAATTTACAACCACCAAAAGAGTAACCAAAAAACATCCAGTGTTTTTCCCATTGACCTGTGCGAGTGTTAGCATATGTGAATGTGAGCGTATGGTGTATGCAGTGCACTTGCTCACTCACTTCCTTGCTCTCTTCGTTCGTTCGCTATATCGACGGCAGTAGCTTCATAAGTGAAATGATCATTAATTCCTCTGGTTTCACTAACCAAATAATTATTGATCATATCGGTACTTGAATTATTACTTTGTACCATGGGGTTTCTTGGTTTCAATTGGATTTTAGCAGCTTTACTGGGTAATTTTTCGAAAAACTCGGGTTGATGAAGTTGTTTAGCCAATATATCAATCGTAGAAGATGTTTCACTTACGGATACATCGGGACTTGTAGGAACATTAATTAAATCTGTAGATGATGCTCGAGGTGTATGGGTTTTATGAGTGTTGTTATTAGTGTATGGTTGGTTTGGTGGTAACATGGGAATAAAAGTTTCATAGAAGTCATAAGCAGTAGGTTTAGTTTGATTAGGACTTACTTCGCTAGCAGAAGATCCCGATTCAACAACAGCTTTTTCATATATTAATGTGCTGCTGGCTTTTTCTTTGACATATGGTTGATGCAACTCTTCATGGAATTGTCGGAACGATTGATCTTCTCGTAATTCCAAGTCAATAGCATCAACTTCTAAATCTTCTTTTGTTTGTTTCTTGTTATTACGGTACCAAAATACAACCACAACAACTATGATTAAAAACGAAGGGATACCAACTGCGAGCCCCACGGCTAATGATTGCGAGTTGGCCATATGTGTGAGTGAGTGTGTGAGTGTGTATTTGTTTATATGTATGCTGAAATTCTCGAGGAATAGTAATGCAATATCCCTGGGAGTGGGTGATCTGCGGATATATGACTCTTGGTATGTAAGAGCTTAACTTTAAAGATGGGCTGTTTCTCGAGAAATCTTTGGTTGACACCGAGTATGAAATTCTGGATAAACGAATGGAGATGTATCAAGGGTTAAAGTTTTAAGTTTTTTTTTAAAAAAAAAAAATCGTTGAAGCAATAAAAGAAGTGTTTCTTTCTCTTCTGTCAAGTTTTTTTTTTCTGATTCTTCGGCTCCTTCTATACAGTGAAGGGGAATTTTTTTTCTAAACTGGGAAAAGCCTCTGGATTGCGGTAATAATTTATTCTTTCTTTGTATTGTGGTTTTGTGTGTCAGTAGTGCCTGCCAATAAAACCCACACATCTCGAACATTTTTTCTTCTTGCAGTTTTACGTCCTTGAAGAAAAAATTCTATTTTTGGAAATCTAATTGTTACATTTTTCCGCTGGGCACGTCAATTCCAAGTAAGTGCAAAGACACAGACCCTCTCTTTACTATGTGTCTCCGCTAACAACCCCTTGATTTTTACCCCCCACTCCCCCACCGGAGGTTCTTTTGATCCAGCAACCTTAATTTCTATTATCTACATTCTCTTCATTGTGATCAATATTAGCCACAATCGTATATACCCTAGTGCATACATCTCCCGAGGTATCGTGTCTTCTTCTACATATAGTTGCTAGATTGATCTGCATCACCTTGCAACAGAATCTATTTTTTTTTTTTTTACGTTACCATATAAATTATTTTTATATCTAATCTTGTCAAACCTATTTACAAGTCACATTACTACTTCTCTTAAATCAAAAATTCAATCTCTGGATCTTTTGTCAAATCATAAACTTGATCATCTACAACCAAACTAAATTCCCCAATTTCAAAAGGAACTGCTTTGTTTGGTCTGGTAGCTCGTAATCTAATTTCACCGGTACCTTTCTCACCCTTAACACCAAACTTGATATCAATATTCCCCTTGACGGTATTCAAAGGACCAACAATCCAAGGCCATCTGCTGGTATACGAAATTTCATCACCTAAATGAGTACGGGCAATTGATGATCTTCGCAAGAAATAAAATGTCGAAGTTATTATAGGAGAACCAGTTTTTTCATAATTGAAAATCAATCCACACATCAACGAAACTCCCACGAAGTAAACCCAGAAGTAACGACGGTTTTGTCTCTTTTTTTCAAATGGATCAGGCAAAGGACGGTCAATTGATACCGGGGGTCTCCTGACTCCTTGAGGTGCAGTGGCAATTGGTTGTTGGTTGAATAAGAGCGGTGTGGTATGAACACATCTTAAACCAATAGTGGCTATGCGAAGCGGAGTATGGACTCTCTTGAAACTTTGCAACATCGCTTGATAAACAGTCTCTGCTTCTTCTCCCTTGTAGTTCTGACAGTCGACAGTTTTTTTTTTTGCTCATTCATAGTCCGATTTTTTTTTCCTGCATAAAATTGAAAATGTTGTACTTCAACCTTCACCTTCTCTCTTTACAACCACACCATGGATATTGTAAGAGGGGCGTGCTCCGTCGACAAAGTCGGAGGGATGGTCTATATCAGAGAAGATCTAGCTCCGCTGATTCTAGAATGGAAGGCGATAGAAGCTGACAAGACCTTGTCAATCCCTTTGAACTCCCTCACTAACCTTCAATCAACCAAAGAGACTAGTCCGAAGATGATTTTGAAAATCGTGTACAAGGACGATAACGGAGAGGAAGTGCCTGTGAAATTCACATTTAGTAATCGACCCACTATGAATAATGTCAAGGATTCATTGCAGGCAATTGTTGCCAGAAGTAGAACCAGAGTTGAAGCAACGCCAGTTTCGGCAACAGCAACTCCACCAGCATCATCAGCTGGCGGCACCCCAAGCACAACTACACCCACCGGTAGCGCCAGTACTTCTGCGGCTGCTAGTACTTCCACTGCAGCAGTTCCCGCAGCCACAGTGGTCGATCTTTCTGATGCAGCTCTTCTTAAAAACCTTGCCTTGCAACAAAAACTCCTTTATGAAGATAAAACCCTTCGTGACACATTCACAAAAACCGTCATAACCTTGAATCTATCACCGACAATCTTTTGGTCCCTGAGAATCCCCCAATTACGAACCTTTGCATTAACAATCTCCCAACATCGAGGTCCATATAATGTGCTATCGACAATCAAGCCAGTGGCCACCAGTGATAATCAAGTCAATGTCAATGTCACACGAGAAATGATTAACGAAATTTTTGAGATATATCCTGTGATTAAATTGGCGTTTGATGATTTAGTTCCTCATAAATTCAATGAGGGTGAATTTTGGTCACGATTTTTCAATTCGAAGTTGTTTAGGAGATTACGTGGTGATAAGATCAATTTGGGAAATATCAGAGGGGACGTCGTGTTAGATAAGTATTTATATGCGGATGACACAAGAAAGAGAAAGGGAAGTGTGATGGAAGTTGATAATGATGCTGAAGAGGAGAATAGAAAAAGGCAAGATGTGTCGGTACATAAGTTTTTGGATTTATTGGGGAATGAAGAGGATAATTCTCAGAAATTGGGGAATAAGCCTGATTTTACCATGAGATATGATGATACTACTGCTTCAAAGACTACTGGTGAGAATGAAATGGTTGTATTAATGAGAAATATGAATAAGTTGTCATCCAAGATGATGTCAGTGGCCGAACCAGAGGAACAAGAAAAAGAAAAGCCAGAATTCAAGGGATTATCTTCAGTGGAATTCCATGAATATGACGAAGAACTCAACCTCCATGATTTGAATGATATTACTTCCCAAGAATATGTTAAACTCAACATTGATCCAAACCTAACCACTCATTCAGCCCAGCATACCTCCCAGGCCGATGTTACTGCATTACAATTATCAGAATACCTTAAAAACCAATTCACATCACCTCGAGTTGATTTGACAGACACATACAATGGTAAAACTGCCGATATTGAACGCTCTTCCAATGAAATCACCACACTAACGAAACACAATTTCCGAAATTATAAACTGATAGATAATAGAGGAACAAACATTGTTCCGAAGGAAATATCCCAAGAAATCATAGGTTACAATATCACCACCACAGAATTTCTTTCTCATTTCTGGGGATTGTTCTTGCGTGGGAACAACCCTGGTCAATTACGTAAACTATTCACCAGTTTAAAGAATAGTAAAACGGGAATAACAGAGTTAAAAACAAAAGCAATGGCGAAATTGGAACAAATAGAAGTAGTTAAAGCCAGTGAAAAGGTGAAAGAGCGAGTGGCTCGAGAGTTGAATGCGTGTTTGGAAGTTTTAGAAGTGGCTATTGACCGAGCATGCAGTGAATATATCGCTGCTGTTAAACAGAGTACAGGTGCAAGTGCAACCAATGGAACTCCCGCAATTGGAACTAGCACTCCTATAGCAGGAACTCCAGTACCAGAATGAATTTTTTCCTGTTTGTATATTTAAATAAAAGCATAAGCTAAAAACTCATTTACATTCTATATCATTAATATTTCCGGAGTAAATCGTGGATGCTATATCTTGCACACCAAACAAATCCACTCATAATTATCCATACCTTTCATCTCCCTCTTCAACTCACATTCAAACACCATATTCAACCTTGTAATCAAGTGCTTGGCGGTGTCTAATCTCTTTCTTGAAATTAAAAATACTATCGACGAAATATCAAACGAATCCAACAAATCGGCAAGAGAAACCATTATTTCGTTAGAAACGGTATTTGCCAACTCCTCCACATTATCAAGTTTAATCTCCACGGCCTCATCTCGGAAGATACCCTTGATTGTAATATCACCAAGTTCAATAACTAACGTTTGGGGAATCGCCAAGTCAAAAATACCACTTTATCCTCGGAGTCAGTCGACTCAGATTGGATGTGGAAGTTGATGGAACGGCTGGGATCAAATTTGGGGTAATTTCAAGATTCATATTGTGATTGCGAGTGTTGTTATGAGGTCATTATTTAAAAGTGGAAGAATTTGCATATTTATATTGTGTAAGCGCATTGTTCTGTCCTGATTAGGAATCAAGTGATGCGCATACGTCATTTACCTTTTAAACAAATTGTTAGTTTTTTTTTTTATTTAACGCGATGGCATCAGCATACGATTAGCGAAATAAGCCATGGCCAAGAAGAGTATGTATATACATTTTTACATATTATGGATTAATGAGTACTAACTGTAGTAGTTTCCAAACATAGTCGTGCTGCCAGACGAGGTGAGATTGAATTCACCAACGAGGAGAAGTCCCTTGAGACTGTACCTAAAGCTGAACCAGATTTAAAAAAGACCATTATTAGAACAACCATCAAGAATGAGAACTTGCTTGCAAAGAAAATGGAAAATTCCCGTGTGAGGAAACACCAGAATAAGAAAAAGACTAGCAGTTTAAAACATAAAGTTGAAAGAAACGAGAAATTAAGTGGGGTCTTATCAGGAAAGATTGAAAACAGTATTAAACGTGCAAAGTATGTTCAAAGTACTAGAAAAGCTGGATGGGATCAAATCAACAAAAGTATTGTAGTGAACGATTCAGCCGTTTTGAATATTTTGGATGATGATGATGATGATGTTACCCCAGAAAAGACCCAGGAACAGATTGAGCGTGAAGAAGAAGATGAATATGTTAGACAGTTCTACGAAGGCGATTCTGAAAAGACTGAAGAACCAAAGATTGCTTCTTCTGCTAATAGATTTGCCTTGTTGGATGAAGCAGAAGCTTAACCTTTGTATAGTAGTGTAAATTAGGATGGACTAATAGAATTTTTGATCAACAACTTCAATATTGTAAGTGAATTCCTATTTTAATTTAGCATTTACTTTGAAGCAGAGTAGCACTTGTCTTATTCACATGCTTTGGTTGCCTCTAGTGTTTGGCTGCCAATAGAAAACACTCTTAAAATACGCCTGCATATTAGACAACTTTTTCTATGCGGTTCTAGGGGGAGTTGAAAAAACTTGTTACCCTCCCTCAACTCTTACTAATCCTCATAACTCTCTGTTATCCCTGGATCTAACCATATCAAACAATGCTCTCGATTTTAGCATTAACGTACCTTATAGCAACAGTATATTCAGTACAGTTCACAGCATTTGACCATTCGCTTCTTTCACCCGACTCCACTTTCGAACAATTCGTATACTCCAGACTTGAATCATCACCATGGCATGTTTCCAATGCCAAAAAGTATGACGAAGGAAGAGATGAAGTAGTGGCATACAAAGGTAAATGGGAATTGGCCGAGCCAATAGTATACCCAGGATTTGAACATGATTTAGGTCTTGTATTAAAGTCCAAAGCAGCACATCATGCCATCGCCAGAAAACTTGATCATGTGATCTCCAATGATGGTCGTGATTTAGTGGTGCAATATGAAGTTAAATTGCAGGCTGGATTAAAGTGTGGAGGTGCTTATATCAAATTATTGGATGATGCCAGAGATTACTTACGCTTTGGTTCAGAAACTAGCTATCTGATTATGTTCGGTCCCGACAAATGTGGTAGCGAAAATAAGGTTCATTTCATACTTCGGAAAGCTGTCAATGGGAATGATCAAGAATTTGCTTTAAGACAGACTCCTATGTCACGAACTGGTGATTTGACAACATTATATACTTTGATTATCCATGCTAATCAAAAATTTGAAATCAGAATCAATGGAGAAGTAGCCAAAGCCGGTAGTTTGATAGACAACGCCAACTTGTTTAATCCCCCTCTTATCCCACCCAAGGAAATTGTTGACGAAAACGACAAAAAACCAGAAGACTGGGATGATCGTCTTTTCATTCCTGATCCAAACGCAGTTAAGCCCGAAGATTATGATGCAAAACATGCTCATCCTAAAATCCCTGATCCTAAAGCTACAAAGCCTGAGGAATGGGATGAAGATGCTCCATATTACATCGAAGATCCAACTGCAGTCAAGCCCAGTGGCTGGGAAGGTGAATGGAAGCCTCCACTTATTGTCAATCCTAAATGTGAAACTGGGTGTGGTAAATGGACACATCCTTTAGTGCCTAACCCTAACTATGTAGGTCCTTGGTTTCCTGAAGATATAGTTAATCCTGACTACATGGGTGTGTGGAATCCTAGAACTATTCCTAATCCGGAGTATCATGACGAACAAACCCCAGGCAAAGTCCGTCCAATTGGTGGTATTGGATTTGAATTATGGAGTATGGATAATAATATCTTGTTCGATAACATCTATGTTGGGAATTCCATTGCTGATGCCGAACTTATTGGCAACAAGACATTCAAAGTCAAGCATGAATTAGAATTTGCCAATAAACAGGAAAACAAACCAAAGATCAAGAATGAACCCTTGCCACCGCCTCGAAACTTTGATGAACTCCTTCGCGATCCTGAAGTTAGTACCATTTACCAATTCATCATCTTTATCAAATTATTCTGGCTTAAACAATATTTGGAATTGAGAGACACATATGATGAATTATTACTTGATCCAGTGTATGCAATTAAAAATAATACACTCAAAATCATCCTTTATACGCTTGTGGTTTTAGTAGGAACAACTATTGTGCTAGGAACATTGAGCACAATAGCGTTCTTATTTATTGGTGGTGAAGAAGAAGAACAAGAAGTGGAACAACATCGAGTTAAAGTGTATGATGTTAGTGACGATGAGGAAGAAAGAGATCGTATTGAGATAATAAGTGAAGAAATCAATGACAATGTGTCTGTACCAAGTGTGCAAGCGGTAGATCTGGATATTAGAAAGAGAAAAGTGTAGGATAGTTATGTAAGTAGTTTAGTGCGGCTTAATATATTATTTCCCCTTTTGGGTTTTCCCCCACAATTACCCCCTTTTGAAGTTGATTTGAAATTGTAATCAAATAGCAAGTCATATACATCCGTAGTGATACACCATCATGACGGACGAACGCATTCCATTGTTGGTACAGGTTGCACCCCGTACTCGCAAACCACTTCGTATGATGTGCCTATTTATCCTTCCATGTATTCTCTTATTGTTTGCTCTTTGCAGTTGGTACAAAGTTACGCATCATCTTGGTCCCGAAGTGACCGTACGGATCTACACCAACAACATCCGATATGACAACCGTAATCATCCAGATGAATTCGAGCAACCATGGAAAAAGAGAAGAGTACAACTGATTAATTCTATGGATTTCCATTCTTCTGCCCAGGCCAACGTGGTTTGCCTTCAAGAAGTATTACACCACCAACTCAACGATATCCTTGACAAATTGAACAAACACGATGAATGGACCTATTATGGCGTGGGAAGATCAGATGGTATTACCCGGGGAGAATATGCTCCAATATTGTATAAAAAAAGTGAATGGCGTGTGGTACAAAACACCACATACTGGCTTAGTGAAACACCCTGGAAACCCAGTCGAGGCTGGGATGCAGCATTAGAACGTATAGTCACGATGATAACCCTCCAGTCGTATCATAATCCATTGGTGAAAATCAACGTATTCAATACACATTATGATCATCGTGGTAAAGTTGCCAGACGCGAGAGTTCAAAATTGATTGTTAACAAAATGCAGAATTTCAATACATATCCTTCGTTCTTGTGTGGTGATTTCAACACTGAACCAAAGGATGAACCATACCACATTCTCACCAAGGCTGGGTTTAAAGATGCGAGGAAACTCGTGAATTGGGATGACGAGTACGGGCATTCTACAACCTTCACTGGGTTCAATAAGGAACATGAGGCTGACTCTATTATTGATTATATTTGGTCTCCTTATTTCACAAGATCCGATGAAGTGGAAACGGAATCAATTAATTATTTTAAGTTGAATCATCATAGGTATTATGATATTGTATTGCGCCAATTTGGTATTTTGCATAATTACTTTAAGGGCTTCTATTTCTCAGATCATCGTCCTGTGGTTGCCACTTATATAATTAGAAGGATTAGATTGTTTTAAAGTACTCATGTTTTGTTCATTTGTTGTTTATCTATGTAGACAGCTTTTTATAAAATATGCCTCCTCGATCACAGTAAAAATATGGTTCCATCTAGGCAAGCTGTAGTTTAAGCCTCGCTCCCCCTGCCCTTCTAGTTGGCTTATGAAAGTTACCCTGCAATAGTAAGCTAATTTGAGTGGGAAAATAAAGTTTTACATTAGGATAAACCTTATATTGCTGCACAAATTAAACTATATTGTAGGTGCACTATGAAGCATATGTGTACAGTATTGCAGTTGCAAAATTTTGTAAGTAATAGTCAAGACGGTAACTAAATCAGAAACAGTTGCCAAAAAAAAAAAAAAACCTCCTGAAATATGATCTAACCATGCTTGATTGATACTTAAGAAGGCAGATTTAATCTGATCTTGCCAAGAGTTTCACTTAAAAAAAAAGGGTAATCAATGATACATGTATTCTCGCCTAAAATGGTTTTGAAGTTTTTACGTGATGAAAAGACTGAATATTTCTTACACAAAACTTGGGACCTGATCAAGACACTAACAACCGATGTCATGAAGCTAGCTACGATGAATACCTTACCAGTTTTGTGGTTTGTTCTGGGTTCTGATCTGATACCAAATATCTTGGTAGCATACTCGCTTGTGCAAGTAAACTTGATTATATTTTGGTTAATATACGGTTCTATTGCGGAATTATACTACAAAATAACTTTAGAAAACAAAACATTATAATAATAATAATAAGATAACAAAACAATAAATATACTAGCTTCAATACTGAAGACTTAGACTTCCTGAACTTTAGTCTTAATACCAGGTTCTTTACTGTCCTTGCTGTCAACTTCCTTGATATCAGCCTTTTCTTCACTGTCATCGGATTCTTCAACATATTCAGGCTTTCTTTCACCAGCCAAATCAGCGCCTCTATTTTCTGGACCAAGGAAGATAACAGTCATCAAATAAATCATAACAGCAGCCATAAAGATAGCCATAGTCTTACCATAGTCGTAGATTTCATTTTCACCATCAATAGGGAAACGTTCACCAAGAGTAGCTTCGATAGTAGCACTGGCAGAAGAAATCAAGTTACCAATTTGGTAAGAAACACCGGAAGCAAAAGCACGGAATTGTGGTGGAGTTAATTCAGAAAGATGAATAGGAACAATCGACCAAGAACCTTGGACACCAAATTGCATAAAGAAAGCAGTGACCCACATTGGTTTGAATGCCCATGGATAAATAAAAGCACAAGTAATCACATTACCACACAAGATAGCAGTTCTTCTACCAATAAAGGTTGACAAGTGACCAATGATGATACCACCTGTAAGAGCACCCAAGTTAGCACAGACGTTAACAACAGTGGATTGATTAGGACTGTAACCGTATTGCTTAACCAACATGGTTGGATATAAATCTTGTGAACCATGGGAAGAGAAGTTGAAACCAGTCATCATAAGAATCAAGTAGATGATAATTAACCAGTATTGTTTGATAGCACCCTTGGCTTCAGCTTTGAATTCCTTAACCTTGGATGATTTATCCATAGCACCTTCTTTGAATCTGGCTTGCTGAATTTGATAAGCATCAGTTTCTGGGGTAAAGTATCTCCAAATAATTAAAAGAACAGGTGGACCAGCACTGAACCAGAAAAGTGATCTCCATCCATGAGGAGTGGTGTTAACAAGAGCTCTTTGGAAGACAACAGCTAATAAGTATCCGAAAGCATAACCTTCTTGGAAGATACCAGAAAGAACACCTCTTGCTTTAGTTGGGGCATCACTAAGAGCTTCAGCAGCACAGACACCAAATATACCACCCATAGCAACACCAAATAAGGCTCTGACACCCAAAAATTGTTGATATGTAGTGACGAACCCAGTACCAATTTGAATAACAACCAACAAGGCCAAGTTAAGCATATAAGGCAATTTTCTACCCCTGGTATCACCAAGGGCACCAAAGATAATAGCACCAACAGTTCTCAACATTAAAACCAAAGTAATACCCCAAGAAACATCCTTAACAGTTACATCTAAACTTTCAGCAATATTGTGAAGGTTTAAAGAAACAGTAAAGAAATCCAAAGCATCCCAAGTCCAAGCCAAGAACCCTAAAAGGAAAAACTTCCATTGATGCAAGTTCATCTCAACCAAAGGTTTGAATGGGTTTAAAATTTCCAGTCTGGTGTAGTGGGCATATTCATCTCTGCTAACAAAAAGCGACGAGAATCTAGTGGAAAAGTACTTTTTGATAGCAGCAGACGTAAAACTAGGTGGGTGAATAACATGCTTGTCTTCCGCTCTAGCTTCAGAGGGATTAATACTACTAGTACTTGAAGTCATTGTTGTTTGAGCTATAGTTTGAATCTATGACCAGCAATCGAACTCGATAGTGAAAATGAAAAACAAAAAAGTTGCAACCTCATTGAGGGAAGAACTTGGGGCTATTTATATTGGAAATTCTTGCAAGTATGAACATATTAACCTGATAAAAGTTTGAACATATTCCATATAGCTGACAGTGTTACTTTTCTGGTTATTTTTTAATCCATTGTACTTTCGCTTGCCCCAGAAATTACTATCCTCATACTTCCTTCCTTATTGTCGCAAAAAAATGCCAACAAAAATAAATTATTTTTTAACTCTTGTTTCTGCACAAACTCTTAAATTATCAAGTAACATTTCTTTTGTCAGTTTTATTTTTAGCCTTTCCAAAATTTATTCTCTATGGGATCTGTTGCAACAATCGATACTGAGTGCCAAAATGAATGAAAAAAGTTGTTTTTTTTTATTGCCGTAATTTGAACTTTGTATGGCTGCTATTTATCTTTCTTTTCAAGCTAAGCCATGAATTTAACGAGAAAAACCTGGATTTGAATTGTAGCAAGAAAAGTGTAAGCAGAAAATAACTCACTCTACAGTATATCTCGGAAGATATAAATCAAAAGGTTGGCTGTGTTAATAAACTGGGCGCCCCACCAAAAGCTTAATTGATTATGAAACGGGGTAAACTTGCACGGTTACGCCCTGTAATATGTCTATTCCCCCACAAAATCATTTGACTTATCGCTCCTTCTACGAGATACTTGCCAAAGATCCTGCCCCTCCTTTATTTTGTTTTGAACTGAAATCCACCCCCCTCCTTAATGAATTGGAACTCCGGGTTATGAAGTGTTACATCATTGTCCTTTATGCATTGTTTTTTTTTCACGCAGCGAAGCAATTGGGTTTTGCAAACAGCCGAGAGATGTACTAAAGAGGGGAGCAGAATGACATCACTGGACTCGGGGCATTAGTAATAACTTGAATCTAGACTTGTTCAAATAAGCGCTGTCCTCTTACTGCGATAAGAACATTCATTATCGTTACATATATTTAAGATAAACTATCGGAGGGGAATACTGAGTAACTCCTTTCTGGAAATTGTTTCTAGATTGACTCTAGGTCAATTATTTAGTTGATAGGTACAACAATATGACTATTCTATGAAGTTAATTCCAAATTTCTCCCGGGTATCTATTTGACTTGATGCAAGAAAGCTCTAGACTTAGCAAAACCAAACTAAGCACCACGTGTGTGTGAAAGAAAGGCCAAGAACTACACGTCCCTTTACTCTTGTTTAATTGAGTTCCATGAATCTCTTAACGATTAAGGTTTTCCAAGAAAAACTATATTGTTTCGATTTCTTCGGCTACATGTCTTTCCGTGACATCAACATACACACACGTACACACATAAAAAAAGATTGTGTCTTACACATTAACTGCCAATCAAAATAACTAGATGGTCTAGGGAACTCCTGGCTATGATCCCATTTGTATCAATCTTGCAGAAAAACTAGTACCAGTTTTACTTTATCCCAACTAAAAATATATTTTAAGTGTAGTATTATTGAAAAATAAAATATTCTTTTTGAAATTTCTTCTACTCTCCCTACTGTACCAATTCATGTACAGAATGAGCTTAATAATGAAACTAAAATGTCGATTGAGTGAGGAGGAGAAACCAAATGAATATTCCGGTATAAGGCGGGCATATTGCTTCACATTATGATGTGGTACTAGCAATCGTAACTATCGCCGTGCACGAATTGTACAAATTACAAATTTTAAGCAGCTTTGCATGCTTGAGATTGAACACACTAGAATGCTTACTCTACGCACCACCTTCCCATTATGAGGTTTTTAGAAGAGAGCTTGTCTTTATAGAGTCCTAATATTAGTATATTTATTACGTTAACGTACCAATTCTTTCCTTGGTATTAACCGGGGTATTTATAAAGTTTGTCTGGTAAGAAACAAATTCACTTCAAAGGTTGCCAATATTTTATTTTTTTTCTTCCATCAATTAAAAATAATGTGGTTGCAAATAAAGCAACTTTTTTTCTTCAAGGAAAAGACTACACGAAAACTACACCACATAAAATGTGGATCTCTCCACAGATGAACCATATACCCCACTGATTTAAAGGTCCCCACTTTCTTATCATCAAAGTTAACAAACGTTTTCTTCGGGAAAAACAGGAAAGAAATTCGTGGTTCTTGAGTGAAACATAAATATTAGAATATTATTTATGCAGGTAGTTGTTTTTTTTCTCTTTATTTTTTAATGCAGCCGTATAATGTATTTCCCACAAAATCTATACCATATTCGGAGTTTTTCCTGTTAGTATTCCTTGGCAGTTTCAGAAAGACTTCACCATTCCCGGAGAAACCAATCTACTGTTAAAGTGCATACTGGGGATCTTTATTCTTCTCCGCGCCGAGGGGGACAATAAAGCTACACCTCGTAAAAAGTTTTTTTTTTTTCATCTAATAAATACACATTTATACAAACCAAAGCAATTGCGCCCCGTAGCAACCTATGTACGAAACGATAATCTGTGATAAAAATCGAACGATACGGATCTATCATTCCCAAGCCTCTCCCCCCCGCATTTGTGTATCAATATACCCAACAAAATAATATAACTTTGAAACCCCCCTTGTTCATACCTTATTGCCAAGTCGATGCCAAGCACAAGTGTAACTAATTCATCCCTTACTTTCAAGAAGCTGTCAAGTAAGGGTATCTAGCTTATCCTCTTATCTGTCTATATGTCATAATTTTCTTGAATAACATCTCTACATCTAATTCAATCTCACTTATAAACTCCTCTAAAATTGACTTGTCTCGAATATACATATCAACATCAGTAGCAATACCAAATACATCAATGCCACCACATTCTCGACTCATTCTTTCAACAAATTCAACAATTGCCTTACGTTCCAAGAACGTTGAATGGTCAATCTGGTCTCTAATCCAACCTTTTCCCCAACGTGCTAGTCTTGTCTGAATTGAAGGTTCTTTGGTGAACCATTCTTGACAGATTTCATGTACAGTGTGTAGATCATGGTTCATTTCTATAATAGGAGGAGGGGTTAATATTACCGGGTGAATCAAGAATTCAAAGTTGGATAATGATTCATTGATGCTGCGAGCAATTTCTGATTTGAGTTCCCCATCGGATATTTTGTGCTGTAGAGATTCATTGATCTCATTACGCATCTTGTTAAATTGGTTACGAAGTGCAGTCATGTCAACGGTTTGAATTAGTGGCAGTTGTGCAGGTATAGAGTCAATTGTAGTCACAAATGACATTTCTTCTCCTATTTGTGATTGTTGAATATTTTTCTCATGTTCTGGACCTAATTTAACCTCTTCTTGATCTGAAAACTCGTTATACTGCAGGGATTCTAAAGATTCTTCTGAAACATTCTTAACTTTTGGTGGTCTTCTGACAACAACTCGTCTTGGAGATTTGCGTTTTGAATCCTCGTCATCACCAGATAACTTAGTTGAATTGCCATTTACAAACTCCTGGGTTTCCAATTCTTTAAGTACCAAATATTCCAATGCTATATTCCTATTGGGGATTTCCTTATTTTTCAAATGATAGACCAAAAAGTTGATTTCCTGCAATTTAGAAAATGCCGGATCCATTTTTCTTAGCCTAATGACGGGATTATTGGATGATGAAAGGGCAAATTGCTCTTCATAAAACTCTTTCATCAACTCACCAGTGACGAAAAAGTCGTGTAATTGTTTCTTACAGCAAAATCGGATATAATGTTTGAATGTGGTAATGTATCGTTTCCTTGTTTCAAACCCAAGAGAAAGTAGTCGTTGACGTGCTTCTGGGTTGGTGAGAACCTCATCATCAAACTTCTTGAACATGGCAATAACATCTTCGGTATCTTTTGACATGATTCGCTTGTTGATCTTAATATTATCACGATCTACCCTATATCTTCTCTTGGTCTTCTTATCAGAAGATATAGAGCTCAATGTGGTATCTGTGGACATTGAGAGAGTGGAAGAGCCGCTTGAAGCTAAAGGCTCTGCACTTAAGCCTTGCTCACCCGAGCCATCTATTTTCTGGGATATAATTGATGTTATGGGTATGCGTCCATTACTTACCACCACAGACGAATTTTCCGCACTATTTTGCATAACAAGCGGTGGAGGAGTATCATCCGTCAACAAATGATTGATGTCATGTTTGACAAGACGACGAACAGTGTTGTCTCTTGACTCGTCAGGAGGTGAATTGGCATCGTTTTGTACCCTTTTTGGTGTAGGACCATCCATTGGTAATTTTCTCTTTCGACCCCTGGTTTCAACTTTAGGTGTAAGTGGAGCTCCTAATGGATCAGGCAATTGATCCTTTCGTTTACGCCCTCGTGTTTCTTTTTTCTTGGGTGGATTCTGGCTTGGTTCAAGAACGCCTCCTTCTGAAAATTGCGATTTCTTCGAAGAAGTAATTGATTCTGATTTACTTCGATGCTTGATTGGTATCGCTTGAATCGCTTTCCCATTCTCGGCTAATTCCACGTCTTGAGGGTGGACCAAACCATTCCCTGCCGATCTCCTGGTAATTACCATGGCAATGAAGTAGTATATACAAGGAATGAATAAAGTATACCGATAAGGAAATTGGCCGTGTTTAAATTGTGGAAAAGGGGGTTTTTGGGGACCTACAAATTTTTTTTTAGGGCGAAAAATATATTTTTTGTGCGGCAGGCGTGGGGAAGTTAGGGAGGGTGTATCTAGGTTTAGTATTTTAGTTAATCAAGGTTTAAGAGGTAGAGTTTGCTGTCTGTTACTGACAATGTGTTCATAATTGTGATTGAGGATTATTTGGGGTTTTCAACCAAAAAAAAAAAAGAGGGTCTTTATTAACGGCTGACGATCCTTATAGTCGTAAAAGCATCGCCTTCTAATTTTTCAATTTAGGGGATTTTTTTTTTTTTCTTGCAACAATCGTCTTATCGCTCAAAACCTTAAATTCATCATTACTGAGAACCAGCCCACATTTGGGTGTTGCTACTGCCTCTTCGACAAATATGACACGAGCAAACACAAAGTTGGTGCTGAGCTTCGCGTGCTTTTTTAATCGTTATTGTGTCAATGTTTACACGATCGACTTAATTCCAGGTGGGAATTAATCGTTCGGGGGGCTTAAGAAGTTGAAATTGTGAAGAACAATAGAAACAAATAGACCGAAACATTTTTCTTTCTTTTTCTTTACAACGGGCAAGGCAGTTGGATCCTTGAATGTATCACTTTTTAGTTGCAGATCCGAAATCTGCATACATCTATGCCACAATAGTCAATTCCCATTGTACGGCTAGTTGTGTGGCCATTGCCTTTCTCGGAATCTTTACACACTTGGAACGCGATATTTTGCAACCAGAATTTCAATGTCAGTAAATTAGATCGATTCGAGATATATCTAATTAGTCTAGCTCTAAACTCTTTGGTTATTCGGTTATTCTTGTTGGGCTTGTTTGGTTGCTCTGCTCATGGGATCGTGCTAGATCAATTAATTGTCAGTAATTTTTTGGTCCGCCCTAATTCATTGTTCCAAAAATGTACCTCGCTTAAATCCGCTCCCAACGATCAAAGAGGGGGAAATAAGTCCGCAATCGACGTTGGTTATGGTTACATGGTCTGTTTTGACATTTGTCATGACAATGCAGCAATTTGCGCTATTTACTTTTTTTAAACAACGAATAATATTGTGTAATTATTCTTGGTTCATGTAAATAAAACAAGTGAAATCCATTGCTCGAAGGAGTTCTTTGAATATCACCCCTTGATTCTTTGTTGCTTAGTTTCTTTTTGGAGGGACTGGTACATTAGTAATTTGTGACTAAAGATCCCAACCCCTTTCTTATCTGTTTCTACAAGCCCGCCGCCCGTTTGATAATAATTACATTTATTTCTACCTCCCCATAAAATCTATATATATAATATATGTTATACAACTTATACGTAATAAACGACCAATCATTTTTATTTTTTTTGGTTATAAGAATTGAACGAAAAGAAAACTAGTTCCTTTCAGTTTTAGTTGCGCTTAGCCCGTTCGCGTAACATCTTAACTTCGTCATCGCTCTTTTGCGATCCCTTTTCAATAATCAAATTTCTCAACAATTTATTCTCCATCTCCAATTGTTGTAACTTATTTTCCAATTCACTAATCAATTCAGTCAAGTTATGGATCTTACCTTCCATTTCCTTTTCCTTCAACTTCTTCTTTATACGGAAACGAGCACTAGCAGCAGTATTGCGGCGACGTTTATCTAATTCAGCAGGATCAGGAGTGTTGGAATATGTGGATGTGGTTGGACTTGGAACATAGCCAATAGGACCATTACTTTCAAGGAATAATTGTGAATGTTGTCTAACTGGAGAATCACCCTTCATTGGAGGTGAGCCTGAGATGGTTGAGGCAATAGACGAACTAGCCGTCATTTCTGGAATCAGGTTTCCCAAGCTAGCTTGGTGCTGCGCTACAAGAGCACTTAATAAATCAATTTGATTGGACGAAAGGCCAGCATTGACCAAGGATGACTTGGCACCTGGTGGAACTGGAAACTTGGGTAAATCTGTCAAGTTAAGGAATCCGGAATCTTGTGATAGTATTTCAGGTCGATTATTCCGAGGTGCTTGTTGTATGAGATCGTGCCTTGAAGTATTACGATGATGGGTGTCAAAAGAGTGTGAAGGAACCATATTGAAATCATGATTGGTCCAGCTGTTATTGTTGTGACTGTTACCGTTAGACACTGGTTCGTTATCATCTTCATCGTCATTTTCCTTTTTAGGTTTCTCTTCGTCAGGGAATATAAATGAGTCGTCTGCAAATGCTGCCAAGTCAAGTCCCAACTGGCCATCAATATCTAAGTTCGGAGTAGTAGTAGCAGTAGAACTTTCCACTTGTCCATTCATAAATGTGTCTATATAAACAAGTTGCTCAAGCAAAGCTGAAGATGTTTGTTCACTCATGGTGGGCTGTATGGCTATGGTCAGGTTTTTTAGTTCATACAAAGTCTATGAAAAATAAAAAAAAAAGAAAGGACAATATCTGGAAATAACGGAATAAAAATAAATCAGTTGGATGATGATGACTAGCTTCTTATATATCAAGATCACACAGTAATATAACGTTAATCAAAGTCGAACTATTTGTAAACCACAATTTTTTTATTCCATATGCACTTATAATCAGGAATAATTAAATCTGCATTGTTCTTTGTGGTTCAAATACCAAAAAGCAAATAGAAAATTTCAGCCATATTAGACAATATCACGTGATTAGTTGCAAATTAAAAAATATGCGTCCCCCAAGCAATTCTTAACTACTAGATCAATGTTACATTGTATGAAGCACTAGTAATTTGCAGAGGTTGATTGGGCCAGTCGGTGTTTTACGTTATGATTTTTCCCCCCATTTTTATTCTGACTCCGTGCTTTGTAATCATGGCTCCGATCTTGTTTTCCTAATGGGGCAGGTCCAAGTTATTAATGGTTAACCGATCCGATCACCACTTCTGTTTGTAACTAGATAGTGAAGGATATTTCATTATCAAAGATTCTCGGTGTGAATTGACTTTTGTTGAATTAGTTCCAAGTATTTACTACGTTACATCATATCTTTTTTTAAGCAGTCCACACACATACACATACACAAAAATTTTCATCGTTCAATTATCGCTTAAAGTTGATCAAAAATAACAACTGTTGTACTTTAAAACAGACTTGAGCAAGAACCCTACCGATATTATATGGATAGAATTTTAGTAGATCTGACTCAGCCCGAGTGGCTAGCCTTTTTCGTGTATACGAAGGAATTCGTATAACAAAGTATTCAAACGCCACATATCTTTTTTTTTTTGCATCCAATTTGCGTTCCCACGTGATCTAATATAAAAAAGTTATTTCCGGGCGGACTTTGTAATATTGACAAAAATAATTGTTCCTCGTTCCGAAAATTTGATCCGTTTCCCATTCTGTGTTGCTGTTATGTAGTATTGATAAGACAGCTGAATATAGCTGGGTCCACTAGATTGTTCATAAGAACATACATAGAATAGGACTGTCTTATATGTACACTGTATATTCCACTAATATTTCAGTTACCACACTATGGTGACCATACCTTTGGTAGGTGATATATATTTCTAACCCGTGTAGCTTATCTAAAGATCTGAAGATCCTGTTGTGACTTTATATAAAACTTTATATTGTATTCTATCTGTGATTATCGTCAGTTGTTTGAGATTATAAAGCTCTAAGGAAATAATTTTGAAGATGAATACTTTTTTCAAATATATTACTAATTTTTTTAAAAAATTTTATCAAAAACTGGAGAAAACATAACTCTTCGTAATGATTTACAAAACTCCTTTCTGATTCAGTTGATCCAACACAACTTTATTAATATAAACAACCTTTCTAAGCATAGAAAAATAAAGGTTGGCAACATTTGAATATTGTTGTTAGACATATCATTTCCAACAAAAACATGTTTGCTTCAGAGGATTGGTTTATCCCCAAAAAGAAATGGTCCACATACTACCATTACATGATTTCTCAAGAAAGATTTTACTTAATCAGGAATTAAGAGCCGAGGATCAAACTTCCAAATCTGCAATTCAGTTCTTAATACCTATCGATATGAGCCACCTTTACTTTTATAATTTCGTTCCAAACATCGCAGGATTATGACTAAGCAAGTTACCCAACAATACCCCTCCCCCACTTCTTGGGTACACTTATTGCTCCTTGTGAGCTAACTAATTGGGTAGGCGGAAGCTACCCCCCCAAGAGGTGGTTTGCAACCATACAAAAATTAGTAATTCCCCTTTTTTTTTGCGCAACTTTTTTTAGGCTTAGGCAAATGGGGGGAATCCGGCTAAATGGAACGGACCGAGCATTACACTACTGCGCAACTCACTTCCCCTTACACCTTATTGCCGACATTGCATGAAAACGTGCATTACTGATTTGCTAGATAAGAGATTTCTACAAACAATCAGATTTAAAGTTTTCATTGTACATTTAATCTATATACATACAACTAACAACTAGCAAAAAAAAAGTGAAAAACCATGTTAAAATGGTATAATGAAATTCTTTATCTCTCCCATGAAAGAAACCTTAAAAAAAAACAAGCAATACAAAAAATCAAACTAATAAACTAGTTTTCGAAAGATAGAATTGAAATAAAGACCCAATAATCAAAACTAAATGAACCCAAATAAAATAATGCATGAATAACTATCAATTGTTTAGACGTGTCTTAAAGTAGCATTGTAATTCTTAGATCTGATGGCTAATGGAGAGTTGTTGGAGACTTTTAATCTATATTCAGCAAAGGATCTGAAAGAATGACCATGGGTTGGTTGCCATTTGGTAGCATTAGTCACTTGTTGCTTGATATTGTGAGGAATTTGCTTTGGGATGGTAGCCTTCATGAATTGAGAGGCGACATCATTGTGGAAAGCTAATCTAGCGGAAGTGGAGAAAGATCTGGAAAACATAGCAACTAAGAAAATATAAAATACTTGGATACTTCAAAACAGGTATAATCTGATTAAAAAAAAAGGGAAATATCAATCTACTTATATATTAATTGTTTTGGCTGTGAAAACACAAAAATGGGTTTAAGGAAAAATTTTTCATATGAAATATTTTTATGCAGGATAATTATGGTATGTTTTTTTTCGAAAGGTGGTGGCGTAGGCTATTTTTCAGCGATGAATGCGCACGATAATGCGTTGCGGAACAATCGAAAGAGGGGATGAATCCCATAGAAAAAAGTAGGTCGTGCACAAAAACCAATCTATGATAAGGAAAAATTTTCACCTTTTATTGGTTAGATGTGATTATCACCAGGCACGAGTTGCTCACCTTATGACGTTATTAATATAAAAGTGGCATGCTTCTGAGTGAGAACTGTAAACAAGAAAAAAATTTGAATGATCAGATTCTGTCTTATCTAACCTTATTAAAGAGGAGATACATTACCTGTTAAGATCCACACTTGGTCGTTTCTTTTCATTGGGATCAAATCAAATGTTTAAGAGTCAGATACCAAATTTCATCTTCAAATTACCCCTCTGATAAATCTGCTCTCTTGTCTTTATTTTTTTCAGCTACTGTAGCGGGAGGTATGCCCAAAGCAGTAAATACCGAAAAAACTTCCAGTAGAAAAAAAATTCGCCCTAAGAAAATTAGAAAAATAGTTTCCTAAAAACCGCAAAGAGGGGCGGTAATACCTTCGGGAATTAATGTCCATGAGTGGTCCTCGGTTTTAAAGATCCTTTCTTCCATACTAGCTTTTTTTTATTTACCCGCTTTTAACTCCTTCAAATATACGGGAAACCATTTCCTAAATGTAAGTGAATAATAAAAAAAAAGATCGGAGAAATATAACTCAACGGGATTTGATTCTAATTTATACGCTGTAGAGACCGAAAGTAATTAAGATGAACATAGGTCATAATTATAATGTCTAGTTATATACCATTATGAGTCAGAAGCAATTCTTCATTTACCGTAAATGTTTATGCACTTAACGAGCACCTTGAGATTAATACTACCAAACACCACTATGAAAATAATGTTCGGACAAATATGTCCGTCACCACATGTGAAATTTTTTGAAGCAAAAAAAAAAATATTTTCGATTGAATGTTCTCACGTGATTAGTTTTGTGATGAATTTGCCAGAAGAAGGTCAAATATCCAAGACTGAAAATTATTGACAAAAATTTTTTTTTTTGACTTTGCATTGTTCTGTTTGGAATGTGTTTCTGGCAAGCTCTAACGAGTTTGGTACCGGATGGCGCGGGGTTAACCTGAGTAGTAGACTGAATCACAAATACGTATGCCTTACACTTTATCGAAAGAGATTGAAGAGATATGGTTATCTGTATTGGATATGCCTTACGTTAAGGCTTTCCAAAGGAGAAAACAGCGAAAACATCGAAACATCAAAACATCCGAAAACATGTCGTAGTTTGTACATTTCTGTAGAAAAGCACACCATGGTACAAATGAGCTATTAAAAAATTGGTTGCCCAAATGTATATCCAAACGTTGCAATTGGATTTTTGTGTCAAAGATCCAAGCATGTAATTGGTGAAATTTGCCAAGTGGATGATTCATGAATTGGTTTTATGATGTGTTTAATTCCTCGGAGTTTTTTCAAGTGATTTAATTAGGTGTTCTTTTTTTTATCAGCCATTTTCGGAGTGCAAATCCCATTGTTCACCGATGAGTAATACTTTGGAGGCAATATTATTTTATGCATAATTGATGATTTCATCCCGTTGTCTATTGGCGAGATAGCCAGTTATCAAGATTTCATGTTGACTACTCTTCCCCTCTATACTACAGTCCCCTCCGATAGACCATCTGTCAATTCTCAAACATACTTCCGTACGCAGGATGCAACATACGATATATTTTTCTTAACAAGGATTTCAGAATAGGCACAGCAATAAAATCACCCATCATACCAAATTCAAACTCTCGGAACGTTGAAAAAAAACCCTGAGTGTCTGTAATACAAAACCTCACAGGTCCGTTTACATTTTTTAATTTGTACATTGTTTATTTCCAAAATTAATTTTAACCTTCTTCTCTCTCGGGGATTCGGAGTCCATCAACTAGTAAAATGCCACCCACGGAAAATTGTACGATCTCGCATAGTGTGCAGGACACACATTCTCCTTAATTTAGTTTTCAAATCTTCAACCTTCATTGTTGTTTTTAATCAAACGTATATAAAGACCAAGATTATTTTCCCAATTGAGAATTCTACAAAATTTTCTTTATCTTGTTACTTTTCACTTTTTTACTTTTCTTGTTTTTTTTGTTGTTTCTTTTCTAAGTACCTATAAATTAAATGTCATCGGTACATAAACACAGCACTCATGATGCCGCAATCGGTAAATTGAGAAGAGATTCAACTGTATTGGGTCAGATGAACAAAATCTTGGTTGCCAACAGAGGTGAAATTCCTATTCGTATCTTCAGAACCGCCCATGAATTGTCCATGCAAACTGTTGCTATCTACTCCCATGAAGATAGGTTGTCCATGCATCGTTTGAAAGCAGACGAATCCTATGTTATTGGTAAGAAAGGCGAATTCTCCCCAGTTGGAGCTTATTTACAAATTGATGAAATCATCAAGATTGCCAAACAACACAATGTCAATATGATTCACCCAGGTTACGGGTTCCTTTCTGAAAACTCAGAATTCGCCAGAAAGGTCGAAGAAAGTGGAATTGCTTGGATTGGTCCAAGTCATAAGACAATTGATGCAGTTGGTGACAAAGTCAGTGCTAGAAACTTGGCTTTGGAAAACAATGTTCCAGTCGTTCCAGGTACTCCAGGTCCAATTGACTCCGTTGAAGAAGCTGAAGCATTTGTGGCCAAATACGGATTCCCAGTCATTATCAAAGCTGCTTTCGGTGGTGGTGGTAGAGGTATGAGAGTTGTTCGTGAAGGTGATGATATTGCTGATGCCTTCAAGAGAGCCACTTCTGAAGCTAAAACCGCTTTTGGTAATGGTACTTGTTTTGTTGAAAGATTCTTGGATAAGCCAAAGCATATCGAAGTTCAAATTTTAGCTGATAACTACGGTAATGTCATTCACTTGTTTGAACGTGATTGTTCTGTTCAAAGAAGACATCAAAAAGTGGTCGAAATTGCGCCTGCTAAAACCCTTCCAAAATCAGTTAGAGATGCTATTTTAACCGATGCCGTCAAATTATGTAAGAATGCCAACTATAGAAATGCCGGTACTTGTGAATTCTTGGTTGATGAACAAAACCGTCATTATTTCATTGAAATTAACCCAAGAATTCAAGTCGAACACACAATTACTGAAGAAATCACCGGGGTTGATATTGTTGCTGCTCAAATCCAAATTGCCGCTGGTGCTTCATTACAACAATTAGGTTTACTTCAAGATAAGATAACCACTAGAGGTTTTGCAATTCAATGTAGAATCACTACTGAAGATCCAACCAAGAATTTCCAACCAGATACCGGTAAGATTGAAGTGTACAGATCTGCTGGTGGTAATGGGGTCAGATTAGATGGTGGTAATGGATTTGCTGGTTCTATCATTTCTCCTCATTATGATTCTATGTTGGTTAAATGTTCCACTTCTGGTTCCACTTATGAAATTGCCAGAAGAAAGATGTTACGTGCCTTGATTGAATTCAGAATTAGAGGTGTCAAGACCAACATTCCATTCTTATTGGCTTTATTGACCAATGAAACTTTCATCACTGGTAACTGTTGGACTACTTTTATTGATGATACTCCATCTCTTTTCCAAATGATGAGTTCTCAAAACAGAGCCAACAAGATCTTGGGTTACTTGGGTGATTTGGTTGTTAATGGTTCTTCCATCAAGGGCCAAATTGGATTCCCTAAATTAGCTTCTGAAGCCACCATCCCAGAAATCCACGATCCAGCTACCGGTATTGCTATTGATGTTCACAACACCCCGGTTCCAAGAGGTTGGAGACAAGTTTTACTTGAAGAAGGCCCAGAAGCATTTGCCAAGAAGGTTAGACACTTTGACGGTACTTTAATCACCGATACCACTTGGAGAGATGCCCACCAATCTTTGTTGGCTACCAGAGTTAGAACTATTGATTTGTTAAACATTGCTCCAACTACTGCCCATGCTCTTAGTGGTGCTTTCTCTCTTGAATGTTGGGGTGGTGCTACTTTTGATGTTGCTATGAGATTCCTTTATGAAGATCCATGGGTCAGATTAAGAAAATTGAGAGCTGCTGTTCCAAACATTCCATTCCAAATGTTACTTAGAGGTGCCAATGGTGTTGCTTATTCTTCATTACCAGACAATGCCATTGATCACTTCGTGGCTCAAGCTAAGGAAAACGGGGTGGATATTTTCCGTGTTTTTGATGCCTTGAACGATTTGGACCAATTGAAGGTTGGTGTTGATGCCGTTAAGAAAGCTGGTGGTGTTGTTGAAGCTACCGTTTGTTACTCTGGGGATATGTTCCACAAGGGTAAGAAGTACAACTTGGAATACTACTTGGATGTTGTTGACAAGATTGTTGCCATGGGTACTCATTTCTTGGGTATTAAAGATATGGCTGGTACTTTGAAACCACAAGCTGCCAAATTATTGGTGACTTCCATTAGAGAAAGATACCCAGAATTACCAATCCATGTTCATACTCATGATTCTGCTGGTACTGGTGTTGCTTCGATGAGAGCTGCTGCCCATGCGGGTGCTGATGTTGTTGATGCTGCTTCTAACTCTATGTCCGGTATGACTTCTCAACCATCCATCAGTGCTCTTTTGGCTTCTTTGGAAGGTGATAGAGAAACTGGTCTTTCTGAATCTAAGGTTCGTGAATTAGATAACTACTGGGCACAAATGAGATTATTATACTCTTGTTTCGAAGCTGACTTGAAGGGTCCAGATCCAGAAGTTTACGAACACGAAATTCCAGGTGGTCAATTAACCAACTTGTTGTTCCAAGCTCAACAATTAGGATTAGGTACCAAATGGGTTCAAACTAAAGAAACTTACAAGATTGCCAATAAGCTTTTGGGTGATATTGTCAAGGTTACTCCTACTTCCAAGGTTGTTGGTGATTTAGCTCAATTTATGGTTTCAAACAATTTATCGGCTGAAGATGTTAATCAATTAGCTGCTGAATTAGATTTCCCAGATTCTGTTTTGGATTTTATGGAAGGTTTAATGGGTACTCCATATGGTGGATTCCCTGAACCATTAAGAACCAATATTTTGGGTACCAAGAGACAAAAGTTGAGTGCCAGACCAGGATTAACTTTGAAGCCAGTTGATTTCTCCAGTGTTCGTGAAGAATTGGTTTCTAAATATGGTGCCAACAAGGTCAATGAAACCGATGTTGCATCTTATCTTATGTATCCAAAGGTGTTTGAAGATTACCGTAAGATTGTTGACAAATACGGTGATTTGTCAGTATTACCAACCAGATATTTCCTCAAGCCAGTTCATATCAGTGAAGAAATTGTGGTTGAGATTGAACAAGGTAAGACTTTGATCATTCGATTATTAGCCATTGGTGAAATTCTGGAAAGAACCGGTACCAGAGAAGTTTTCTTTGAGTTGAACGGTGAAATGAGATCCGTTACTATTGAAGACAAGACTGTTTCTATCGAAACTAAGACTAGACCTAAGGCTCAACACTCCAACGAAGTTGGTGCTCCAATGGCTGGTGTTGTTATTGAAATCAGAACCGAAAAGGGCCGTGAAGTCAAGAAGGGTGATCCAATTGCCGTGTTGAGTGCCATGAAGATGGAAATGGTGATTAGTTCACCAGTATCTGGTCATGTGGGTGATATATTGATTAAGGAAGGTGATTCTGTTGATGCTAATGATTTAATCACCAGTATTTTGAAGTAATAGAATTTGATTTGTTTTTATGAGAGTTAAAGCATGACTCGGTTAATGTGTAGCTTGCTTTATATGTAGTTATTAGTTTGTTTATTTAAGAGATTTTAGATGAGACTGATTCTATGTAGATATGTAGCCTGTTATTTGGGGCACGGCAATATGCTGCCGCTATATCGAATTCCTGTAGCTAGACACATTGCTAGAAATGGCTAATGTGTTGATAGCTTATAATGCTTTTTCTTGGCTCAAGAAAAAAGAAAACCACTTTATTTATGTAAATACCAATTCCTCTCTATTAACACACACACACACACCAGCTCTAAAAGAAATCAAGTTGCATAAAATATTCCACAGTTCTACCTTGTTCGAGAATAATCCAAACCAAGCTCTTTCCGTCTTTTTGCTGCTCTATCAGCACTTGTTCCCTGTGTTCGTTTTTGTTTATATCTATCCAATTCTTCCGTTAATTGCACATTAACTTGATCTAACGTCAGTATTTGTCGTTCTAATTCTTCTTCTTCGTCTTCTTCAGGATCTTCAAAACCATACTCTTCCATCTCATCCAGTATCTGTTGTTCTGAACATGCCTTACGAAGTATAGATCCATATTTTGATATTAGTTGTAATGATTTATCACTGGCTAATTTGACAGATTCAATGTCACTGCCTGTTTTCTTGATTGTTTCAGATAAGGTCGCCACAGTTGAATTTATGCGTTTAAGACTAGCTAGTTCTCTCTGAAGAGCTATATCTCTGGCATTGGTTGATTCCATTGTAGCAGAGAAGGTACCGGATGATGTGTTATGTAGTATGTAAGTTTTGTTTACCTTTTTGCTATCACCAATTTGCGCGCACCAAACGTAGGAATGAAAAAAAAGGAAAAAACCCCTCCAAAAAAAAAATAAAACTTCTTATAGAACGACTACTGACCAAAACAAAGATGAGTGATGTAAAGGAAGAAACTCCAGTTGTTAACGGAGACACTGATTTATCTAACCTCATGCAATCACTTCCGACGCGATGGGAAATAGAATTGGAATTTGTTCAATCGCTAAGTAACATCCCCTATGTGAACTATCTTGCTCAACAGCAACACCTTCAAGATCCCCAGTTTATCAATTATTTGAAATATTTAAAGTATTGGCAAGAACCTCAGTATGCAAAGTATATTGTGTATCCTAATTGTTTACATATACTTTCCTTACTCCAAAATGAAGAGTTCCGTAAGAATATAGTTAATCAAGAGTTTATGAATACTTTAATGAATGATATGGTAAAGAGATGGCAAGAAGATGATGGAAAAGATGGTGTTTCTCCAATTAATTTTGAAATTAGAAATAATAACCATCAAAGCAATCCCGATAGTTCTATGGCAGAAAGTAGTACGTGAAGTTGATACGAACTTTAATCCTGAAAGTTGGCGTCATGAGCTATGCTCGTTTAGAATATGGTATTACTTCGCCGCTCTGCCGCTCCCCCGCTCGGAGCCATGTTTCAGAACCCCCAACAGTTTATTTATATTCGCGTTGTATCTGCACCCGTGTAAAGTTGCGAAGAGTGATAATGTTGTGAAATTACTACATTTTTAAGCGGTTGTTTAGTCTAGAACGTGTCAATACCGAGAAAAATGTTCAAGTTTTGACTAAGATTTAGTAAATTTTAGAAGCAGGTTTCGCAGTGTAACAAACAATGTGGCTTTTAAACTTTTAATTAGCAATTGCAATGCGAAGTTGCTAAAAACGGCTTACTCGGGCTGAGTAATGGAACACATTAATTCATATGATAGATCGAGAGATCTCTATAAGAGCAAATGTTGCTTATGTCTAAATACATGATGTAATAATTACAAGCACAACATAGTGCATGTGTCAGATCTGATATATCGCCTGATCCCAATTACGTTTGATTTATTTTTTTTGGCTAGTTAATCATCTACATTTTTAGTAAATGAATGTCGCAAAATGTCGGTAACATGACTATTTTAACATGCGTTGCGTTTATTCAATTTCTTTCAAAATATTGCTGTCATGTACCCAAGGCAGAATATTTAACTGAAGTAGCCCCGAATCAACCCTATTTACTGTTTACGCGTTCCTCACCGAGAATCCGATGTGTCAATCTTATATCTCTTAACTACCATTCACTGAATATTTAGAAAGCTCTAGAACCAAGTTTATAAAGAAAACAAAATATTCAACAATGACCACACAAGGCATTTCTAATTCCAACTCGGTATATCATGTAATTATTAACCTTAATTCTCTGCCATCCCTTGAAAGTTAAAATTATCAGAAAAAATTGAGAGCCTTGTCATGTATTTTGCGCAAATAAGAAAAAAAAAAAAATATGAAACCTATTGCAGACTACCTCAAACAACGACATTTTCTCGTTTGATGACTTGACAGAATGTGTTTTGATGGTAAACAGTCTATAAAAGTAGAGTCACTATGAGTACAAAATCGTTCTAGACGATCGTATCTTGTTCGCTGCAAGTATCACTAACCCAGAGATTGTAGATGACCGATTTTCTAGAACTATCATGTGGTCATTGTCTTGACAAAAGAAACAAGGAGGATTCCGTATGATGACGCAACTAAAAATATTAAAAAAAAAATAAATAAAGTTTCTTGGCCGCCAAATCTTTCTCTAATGATTAAAGAAATTAAACTATGACCGCCGTATCGTGGAAAAAGAATAAATACTGATGATGTTGTCCCTCTTTTCCAAAAATAATCTAGTTTTCTCTTTTGCAACTAATTGTAAGTTTTACCTGTTCTAGCTATTCAATGAAAAAGGAAAGACAAGCTTCCAAGTGTTCCGGAGAGACCGACCTTTCCCATAAAGACGCAGAGTCTCATAAGGAATCCGAATCTTCATCACTACCTGAAGACTCAGAGAAAATTTCTCCACCACCTCCCAGTAAAGCTAAAGAAGCCTTTAATAAACTAGCCAAGGATGTCAGATCTGTTACATTCAAACAATTCTTACGTTGGCTATATAGTCTGGCTGCAATAGCAATCTACTGTTTTGTCTTTAGTCTTACCCAAGCAATATTATATTCAAAATACCTTTTTTGGCAATTTACTGATAAATATGCAATAATTGTTGTTTGCATATGTTTTGTTTACTTGCTTGGCCTTTCTTATGAACGTTATAACCATGTCATATATAAAAACGAAAAATTCACAATATCCTCCAAGAAAGAAAAACGGGCAGATTTCTTAATAGTTGGAGTTGGGAAGAAATTATTGTGGTTATTTTTGTTCGTCATAACTGTGTTACAAGTTGTTGTTCTCACCCAGGGTAAATTTGATAATCCATTCAATATTGATGCCGATTTCAAAATCTTTTTCAATCCTTCTCATTCACAAAGAGCTACATTTTTCGCTATAAAGCTAGTAGCTATTGTTTTCAGTGGATTGTTACTATGTGTGTGGTGGTCAGCTGATATTTCCACCATTTTCTTGGCTTTTATCTCTGCCAATATTATTCAAGTATTGATTGCTATTGCCTTGATTCAAATTAATCTTGATTTAATAAATTTAACATTATCCCGACCTGCCAAGAAAATGCACAATTTATTTATATTGACTGGTTGTTTTTTGATCGGTCAATCAATGATTGGTGTGGTGATTCTGGTGTTAATCAATGATAAGAATAGATTACATGAATTAATGGGGTTGTTACTTTTCTTGTATGATACTGTGGTAGTCTTATTAGGTCTTTTGTTGTTAAGTTGTACCATTTTATCTGGTGTCAAAGAGGGGTACCACCCTATGTTTATTGAAGAAGTTCCAGTTAGTATCCCAATCTTGTTTGGTTGTGCTGTTGTCATGAGTCTTCTTTGTTTTGCATGTACTCGTTATTTCAGAAAGAGAACATTAACCACTAATCTCTTGGTTGAAGAATACGATTTAATGGGATTAACTGATTACCAAAAGCAAGGTTGGGCTAAGTTAATTAACTTAAATAAGAAGTACAATGCTGGTATTTCGGGTGAGCATATTGTTTCCTTGATGGAAAACTACAGTCATTCTAGTTTGGAGGGTATGACATGCAAGATCCTTAGAGTCTACAGAGATAAACCCCATGAAACTCCCACCAAACCAGGCGCAATAAACAAATTTATTAAGAAAAAGATCGAAGAGAAAGCGAAATTAAACACTGCATTCAATGAATTAGACCGTGAAGCAGTATTGTTTCAAAATGATCCTAATCTGAAAGAAGAAGAAGAAGCTGACCCTCTTGAAGTCTATAAACCAATTTCCAAGAATGCCTTAAAAAAACTCCAGAAGAAGAGCAAACAAAAGAAACAAGCTATGGACCTTAAGAGCTTGGAAGCAAACACAGAAAAGTTCTACCAAGAATTGATGGAGACCGAAGCATTAGTGTTATTGACTGTCATTGAAGAATTTGATTTATGTGAACGTATTCCAGGAAAGGTTGGAACATTCTTGGGCAAATACTTTGGTAAGAATGGGAAATACCCCATACTTGTTGTTAAGTTTGGTTTATTGGGTTTCCATTGGCCATTCAAGAGATCTACATTCTATTGTAGTGCCACTAAGAAACCGGTTGCTCGAGGTGCTGCCGTTTTATACACTCTTTCAGAATGGAACAAAAAGAATGAAAAATGTACTGTACTTATGGATCCTTTATATTCTGATTATAACTTCGAAGAAGGTGTGACTTATTCTGGATGGTACAAGATTAAACTTCCAAACTCCCATATTATTGACCTTCGTCCGTTCCGAAATCAAAAACCAACCGATTATTTTAAAGCTATTAAATATAGAACTCAAGAAAATACTTTCAAACTGGCCAATGGTGAAGTTTGGGAAACTGATCAATTCAATTATGAAAACTGTTCCCTGATCATCAATATGAATTTGAATATTGCTAATAATAGAGCTCTGTCGGGACAATCCTCCCAATTAATGTATCCTGACTGGGAATTCATTTCCAATTTAGGAAACTATTCGAATGAAAACAAATATAGGACTTTACTTTATTTAAAAGTTGATGGTAAGATTATTGCCTCATGTGTCATTTTCAGGTTAGGTGAAACCATGACCTCAGATATACAAGGGTTAGATCACGAAACTTCTAAGAAATATAAAGCATATTTTGTGATGATGCAAGAAGTTATTAGGATGGGATTAGAAGAAAAGGTCTCGTTTATTGATTTCGGACCAACTACTGAAGAAGCCAAGGTTTCGATTGGTTGTAAAGTGGTTCCATTGACTGGATGTGTATATCCAAGAAATGCATTCATGGGGCCAATTATCAAATTTGCTGCTAGTAAAGTTGATGTTTAAACAAAAAAAAAAAAACAAAAAAATTTTTTTTTAACAAAATTTTTATATATTATCTACAAGGCTTTTATAGTTAAGAAAAACATTAATTTATTGACTAATTACCTGATTTGTTTTTGTAGTTGAAGAGTTCATAATTTGTAGTGGCATAATCTTAAAATTTTTTGCAACAATTAACTTTGAGAAAAGTTCCCTTTCGTACGTACGACCTTAATCAGGAAGAGCCGCACCGTTTTCTTCATTCATTCCTCCCCCCAAAAGTAGCCACGTACGAAAATTATGAAATTTGCCATCACGACTTTCTTTTACATATCCATATAATGCCAACGGTGTATGATCGACACTTCAATCAAGTGAGGAATATCGCTAGACATCTCCATAATCATTATCATATAGCAGCAAATGAGTTACTCTTTTTACTGTCCTTCATAATAAATTTGGTGCTTGGAAGACTTATCCATTGGACAGCACCACAAGAAGAAGTGTATAATTACTATACCGACAAACGAAATATCCTTAATCAATTATTTGTCAAGAATGGATGGGCCTGGACTACAATTGTTATAGTTGTGTTTTATGTGAGTATTTTGACTCAATCCAGACCCAGAAAAAGCAAAGTTATTAGAGAGGCGGTTATCAGATATGCAGTAATTACCATGTGGTGGATATTATTCACACAATGGTGTTTCGGATTACCTATAATGGATAGGATATTTGTGCTCACAGGGGGGAAATGTGTGGTTGAAGATCCTGGTCGTCATGTCAAATTATTTGCAAATTTAGGGAATGGCAAGAGTGTATCAAGTACAATCAGTTCATATAATTGTAAGCGAATCAAGGGAAGCTCTTGGGAAGGAGGTCACGACCCTCTGGGACATGTTTTCTTACTCATACACTCATCACTTTACTTGTTTCTTGAAACTGCTGAGTATTGGCCAGGATGGGGTGCATTAATTAACCTGATCTCCCTGGTTGTGCATAATCATGAAAAGACTATAATTGAAAAATTGAAACAGTTGGCGATTTTAGGGGTAAAAATACACCCCCAGTTGTTAGTTATCGGTATGATCTCGTTTTGGTGGTTTATGTTACTTACGACAAATATTTACTTTCATTCTATTGCCGAGAAATTAGTGGGGATGGTGTATGGTTATCTCGGCATTGTTGTCGTGTATTTCGTCCCCAGGATTTTTCGTCAGCAAAGCCAAATAGGAAAGAATTAGAGTTGAGAACGCTTCTTCATAGAAAAATTAAATGTGTAGATTCTAATAGACAGATAAGTTCGTTAAAGCAAACTAAAATATGACCACGCGATTCTATCGAGATGTCATTCAACAAAGATACGAACCATGTAATTACTTCTTTGTGATATATTTATACCCATTGGGTGACATTTGTTCTATGGTTCCAAAGGTGTCTCACATTCCAACCTGATCCAAATGGAAACAATTGCATTGTTTTACGGGTCGAGGAATGTTAGCCCACTATGCAGGCAAGTAAATCTATGTGAGATCTTCCTCAAATCTTACGTTGTTTTGTTTTGCAAAATTACTGTAGCGATTAGCCCCTTTCAGATTCGTCTAAGTTGCCGGCTGCCTAATCGGGAAAAATTAGGTTACGAAACGCGCAGAAGACAGCCAAAAAAATTTAAAGTTTTTTTCTTACTCGTGTAACAAATTACAACACAAACAATAAGATCCAATACCATAAATGTTCAAGGGCCTAATTAGCATTGTGTCGAGAACGAAACGAAACCAAAAAGGAGACGAAAAAATATCGACGACGTGACGCAAATACAATGGATTTACCTGTGAAACAATGGTTTGCAAATTATATACTTTCGTGGCTGCCTCCTTCTCTAATTACACCATTTTTTTTTACAACACCTTTTATAATTTTTATCACCCCTTTTACACGAAATCTTCTTCAAGTCACTCCTTCTGCTTTCCTTGCGTTATATCCTGCTCATAGACTTGCACTGTTTATCCTTACAACTAGTTGCTGAACACACATACCCCCCCTGATAGAAGTCTATACAATACTATTGAAGTTTCATTCTCGTTTTTTGGCAGCAGTCTTTTTACAATCAAGTTCACTACAACAGACCCACCCCAACCACCACTTACAAACCAAACTGCATAAGTATTAAGGCGAACCAATATATTCTATTTCCCCTCAATGTTTATACAACTACTACTCCTTCACCTTTTGGTGTTGGTGATACCTACTTCGGCTGAAATATACATGGGTTTCCCATTCAATGAACAACTACCCAACGTAGGAAGAGTCAACCAAGACTACAGTTTCACCATGGCCAATAACACCTACAGATCAAGTACTGGCGCTTATATCAACTATGAAGTGCAGGGATTGCCTGACTGGTTAAAGTTTGACTCAGGTTCAAGGACATTCCTGGGGCAACCTACTCAAGATAATGTCGGCACCTTTGAAATCACCTTGGTAGGAACAGATACTCAAGATTCTACTACTCTTTCCAACACTTATCAAATGATGGTTTCTCTGGACCCAGGATTAAAATTAACTTCCCAAAATGCCATCACCAATGCAATTGCTAAAGTCGGCCATACCAATGGTGGCAATGGTTTAGTTGTTAAGGAAGGTGATAATATTAATTTGCAATTCGACAAGTCCATCTTTGAATCGGACCCAAACAGTAACAATCCAATTGTTGCCTATTATGGTCGTTCTGCTGACAGAAGTCCCTTACCAAACTGGCTTCAGTTCAATAGTGACGATCTTTCATTTTCAGGTACTGTTCCTCATGTTACTTCCCAAAATGCGCCATCATTTGAATATGGTTTCAGTTTCCTTGCTACGGATTATCCAGGATTTGCTGGGGCTGACGGTATTTTCAAATTAGTCGTGGGAGGACATCAATTAAGTACTTCTATCTCTGGACCTATTAAAATCAATGGAACATTAGGTGGAGATATCGATGTTGATGTCAAGAGTTATATTATGGACCTGGTTTACCTTGATGGGAACTTGATCTCCAGTGATCAAATATATCGAGTCACTACTGATAATTTACCCGATTTCTTAACGTTTGATGAAAATGCTGTTAAATTCACAGGTAAATTCCCAGAAAAGCAAACTTCTGACCAAGCTATTGTTCAAATTATGGATATTTATCAAAACAAGGTTCAATTGCCTTTTTTGTTTGTTGCTGATAATGATGTTTTCACCGTCAAAGATATACCTAATGTGAATGCCACTAAGGGGCAATTCTTTGAATACTCGATCAAGCAATATGTTCCCGACAATGTCAATGTTACAGTTGATTTTGATAACGGATGGTTAAACTATGTCGAAAACAACAAAACATTCGTTGGTATGACCCCTAAGGACTTTGATTCTTTGAAAGTTAGTGTAATTGGAGAATTGAATGGTAAGGAACAAACTAGTGAATTCTCAATCATTGGAGTCAAGAAACAAGCAAAAATTTCTCCTACTTCCCATTCTTCAACCAAGACAAGTTCTACCAAATCCACCACTAGTGCTAGTGCTACTCAAACACCAGACTCAACTGAAACCACCTCTGATGCAAGTGAAACTAGTGATGCACCAGCCCCCACCAACCGTTCTGGAATGACCAAACCAAGAGCTCTCGCAATTGGTCTTGGAGTCGGTCTTGGATCGTTAGCTTTGATTACTATTGCAATTCTTTTATTCTTTTGCTGCTTTAGAAAGCCAAAAGATGATGATAACAAATACAATTCAGACCCCGAATCTGGAATGGGAAGAACTATTTCCCCACCACAAGAAGTAAAGTCTACTGTTCCATTGACTAAATTCGAACAATTCAAGCATGATTCCGATCAAAAATCTACTTCCAGTTCAATCACCCATGTTCCTGATGATGCCAGCAGTCATTATGAAGATTCACGTCAACATATGCCTCCACCACCACCAATTCACGGAAGTTCAAATACCAAGGCTGGTGATGATGGTAGAGGCGTAGTTAAATCATGGAGAGCTAATGCTGATTCAGACTTGAAGCGAGCACTGGGTGCTTCGATGAGTACTGTTAATACCGAACAATTATTCAGCGTCAGATTAGTGGAAGACCAATCCAATCGTAACTCCACCGCTTCCTCACACTACTTGAGCAATTCTCCAAGTATAGGGAACTTGGTGCGAGATATTTCTGGTAATATTCAAAGGTTAGATAGCGATGGAAATATAGTGGAGACATATAACCGCGAGGGACAGTTGATATCGTCACGACCATCATCCAACGCTAACTTGTACGATGTCACTGAAGAAAACACCCATGATATGACACAATCCACACAACGTGCAGGTTCTATGGACAATTTACTTTCCAAGAATAATGACACAAGTTCGAGTGAACTGGAAGTAGCCAATGAGAAATATCCCTGGGGATTTGAACCTAGTGAGAATGTGGGTGCAAAATTAGTGGACTTTACCAGACGAGGAAGTTTAAAGGATTCAGCAAGAGAGCCACAGAATCGCTATATGGGACAAACAGCTCAAATTCAAGAAAATGACGATAGTGATTACTAAGATTGATTTTTTTTGTTAATATGTTTTTTTTTTTCTTCCTTTCTGTATTATCCTTGGGGTTTTTCTAATTTTTCTAATTTTGAAAATAGTGCTAGTAGATTGACTATTAGTTAATTAATTATTACTGAAATATAAACTATAAAAAATAATAATAAACAAAAAACTAGTGCTCTATAAAACTTTAATCCTTTTTGTTTGGCTTTGGCAAAGTCTCGACGTAACCGGCAGTATCTTGAGCTCTTCTTCTACCACCAATATAAGCCATCATTTCTGAATAAGTTTGAGGAATAACTGAACAGAATCCTTGTTTGTCTTCGTGAGGAACAAAGAAAGAGTAAATAAAAGTACCTGCTTCTTTCTTGTTTTGTGATTCCAAATGCTGAATAAATGTGTCAACTTTAACTTGAATTAAAGTACCTGGTTCAGAAAGAAACGCGTCTGGATTAGAACTGATCTTGTTGGTTGATGGAAGCTTGAAATCAAATGGTGAATCTTGTTCATGAGAGGTGGTATCATCATGAAGATGTTCAGTATAAGATACAGAGGCAACCATAGAACAGACGGATCCTACTGGAACTGGAGCTTTGAAAGTGGTGGAATCTAAAGAGACAAATCTTGGTCCGGCCGATGAGAATGATGCAGCGGTACAATAAGCAAGTTCAAATGTTTGACGAAGTAAGTAACCACCAAAAATCATATATGAATGACGGTTTCTGTATTGTGGTTGCATGAATAAGGTTGAACTCATACGTGTATCCTTCATGTAGGAAATTCCCGTTTGTAAAGGTTCGGGTAAGTTGGCAGATGATTTCCACATGTGATAAATAACGTTTGATTCTTCAGGGGTTGGGGCAATCATGGTTGGGTTCTTGGCTGAAAGTTTCTTTTTGGCATTATGAGATTCAGCTCTTCTATAATCAATCCAATCTTGTTCAGTAACTGGGAGTAATCTGTTAATGGCAAATGATTTATGAGTAATTGGGTTACGAGCAACAAAGGTGAAGTTTGCAGTTAAAAACACATTATCCATAGGTAAAGTATCGTGGTTGATAGTTTCTGGTAATTCATCTTCAAAGGCATAACCACGTACAGTGATTTCCATGGAGGATCTACCAGTCCATGATACAAACCCAGCAAGAACGAAATTATAATTGACAATTTCATCAACCTTCTTGACCATGTAAATTCTATCAACACTGGCAGTGACATTCACTGGTTCGGCTGGTGCACAGTGACGATAAGCAATTCTACCAGCAAGGGCGTCTAAATCTTGAAACAATTGACCGGCACGTAATCTACCAAAAGCATTGATATAAGCATCACAAAGCCATTCATCTTGTTTGAAAGGCAATGTCAAGTATGAAAAGGAGTCGGCTCTAGTTTTTTCACCAATGACTGTGGTTTTAGGGTCGACGTAAGCAAAGGAATCTATCACTTTACCTTCGGCCAATTGCTTTTCTCGTTCCTTTAAAGCTGCTATCCAAGTAGCTTTGTTTGGATTAGTTTGTTTGTCACGTAAATCAGCAAGAATTGTAGCTGCTGCATCGGCCGCTTGAGCCGGTTCAGCGGATCCGGCAACATCTGGTTGATGAAAATTGTGAGTTAATGAGCGGAATGGGAGGATTCTTTTAGCGATAGCAGGAACCCCCTTATAGGTTATCGATCTAGAAGTGAGAGTTTTCAACATTGTAATTTAAGTTGTGTGTGTGTGTGTATGTGTGTTCAATAAAGAGACAAATAATGTGACAGGAATTTCAAATCGGTGGTGGAAATTGACTATTTATATAATAAATGAGGAGAAGTTGGTGTTTTCGCCGAGCGAGCAGAATTGAAAAATGATGAGCTATAAATGCACCGGGTGTAAAATTGACAGAGTAAAAATAGTTATGCCAAGCGATGGAATTGCTGTAAAATGACTCACAGCAAGGGATGGGAGGACAGGGGACAGGGGGGGCGGACAACAAGGTGCAAAGGAAACCCGGAACATTCATTAAGAGTAGACTGTGGTATGCGCGTTCTAGAACGGAACAACATTGGAATGTGTGGTGCAAAACGATAAGCATTTTATTTTTTTTGTTTCCATACGTCCATTGTTGTGACGGTTGAGCTAAATCTGCCAACATTTACGATAGAGGGGTTAACAAGATGTTGGGATACCCAAAATCATAAACCTAATTTGTGTAAGGCGATTATCAAGTGAGGGGGAGAACGACGACGAGAGAAGTGATCAAATTTATATTTATTAACTCCAATTATCGTGAGTATGCCATCATATATGCCTCTTACAAAAGCTGGATCACCAGCGAGTTATTGTTAAGATTTAGCATTTGTAAGCAATGTTGCTAAATATGCACGTTACTGCGAGTTATTGCTGCATCGTCTAGGAATATTTGCGACAATTTAGACACGATAGGCTTACCCGGTGGCTGTGGGTCTAGGATGACTTATACAGTTTAATCCGTTTATCACCGGGATAAATGTGCTTTGTCACGCGCACGACCCCCTGTATCAATCCATCACGTGACACAACATAACCAGTAAAAGTTGATATACAACCTGCGAAAATGTATTTGACAATCTCGGAGGTTTAATCCCGACGGGGGACGGATGAATGAAGACCGCTCGCTGCCAAAAAAAAAGTTACAACCAACGAAAAATTACTTGATGGGATTTGACAACCACCACATTAAAGATCTTAGTTTAGACCCTAAATTTTTCTTTAATTTAGTCTTACCCAGGAAATTGGAAAATAAGCAAAGATGAACCCAACTGCTAAGAAATTGACCTCCTCTGTCGCCAAGACCGCTCAATTAGCTGCCCAATCATTAAAATATAACAAGCAAAGATCAGCTCTTGCTGCCACTGCTACCGCAGCTGCTGGTCAATACCAAGCTTTACGTATGATGGACATGCGTTCTGCATCCTCTGCTTCTGGCCCACAAACCATGACTGTTAGAGATGCTTTAAACTCTGGTTTAGCTGAAGAATTGGACAGAGATGACGATGTTTTCTTAATGGGGGAAGAAGTTGCTCAATATAACGGTGCCTACAAGGTTTCTCGTGGTTTATTAGACAGATTTGGTGAACGTAGAGTTATTGATACTCCAATTACCGAAATGGGTTTCACCGGTTTAGCTGTTGGTGCTGCTTTACACGGTTTAAAGCCAGTTTTGGAATTCATGACTTTCAACTTTGCCATGCAAGCCATTGATCAAATTGTTAACTCTGCTGCCAAGACTTACTATATGAGTGGTGGTATTCAACCATGTAACATTACCTTCAGAGGTCCAAACGGTGCCGCTGCCGGTGTTGGTGCTCAACATTCTCAATGTTATGCTGCTTGGTATGGTTCTATTCCAGGTTTAAAGGTTTTATCCCCATACTCTGCTGAAGATTACAAGGGTTTAATCAAGGCTTCTATCAGAGATCCAAATCCAGTCATCTTTTTGGAAAACGAAATCGCCTATGGTGAATCATTTGAAATGTCTGAAGAAGCTTTATCCTCAGATTTTATCTTGCCAATCGGTAAGGCTAACATTGAACGTGAAGGTACTGATATCACTATTGTTGGTCACTCTCGTGCTGTTAAGTTCGCCGTCGAAGCTGCTGAAACTTTAAAGAAGGAATACGGTGTTAATGCCGAAGTCATTAACTTGAGATCTATCAAGCCATTAGATGTCCCAACTATCATCGAATCTGTCAAGAAGACTAACCACTTGGTTACTGTTGAAAACGGTTTCCCAGCTTTCGGTGTTGGTTCTGAAATCTGTGCTCAAATTATGGAATCTGAAGCCTTTGACTACTTGGATGCCCCAGTTGAAAGAGTTACTGGTTGTGAAGTCCCAACTCCATATGCTAGAGAATTAGAAGATTTTGCTTTCCCAGATGAACCAACTATCTTGAGAGCTTGTAAGAAGGTTTTGGGTTTGTAAATAAGACAAAATCTGTATTTATTGAGTGCACGTGAATAGCTCAAATCTATACTGTGGACAACTGGTTACAATTACGTGCCTCTCTCACTTCCCTCTGCATTTTGTATATTTAGAAAGTTACACCATAAAAAGAATAAAAAATAAAGGAAATATAACGAAGCAACCTGCTGTAACTATGTAGATCTGTACCGTTGTAAAAGCTTGTCTAAATCTGGACCCCGTCAAAGTTAATTTTTCCCCTTGGCATTTCCTTGGCCCTAAAAACCAAAAAAAAATAATAAAAAATAATAATAAAAAAAAAATTAGCTGTACACATTTATTTTCGTTAGCCCCCACATAGCTTGTTAGACCAAACATACCATTACATCATGTCAGAAAAGCATCGTCCCATTGATGGAGTGGCAGGTAATCTTCATGTCAACCTCAATCATGCTGCATTTGATGAAGAAAACAACGGGTTTCTACCATATACAGACCTTGATAACAAACCACTTTCGCCACGTCCCTTACAACCAGAGGAAAAAACCACGACGCCGTCTGGCAAACTCGATGCCAAGGATCGCAAGGCCTTCTTTATACTAGTAATGTTGTACTGTCTCCAGGGTGTTCCTGTTGGATTAGCATTTGGCTCGATCCCCTTCATATTGAAATCCAAATTGTCATATTCTCAAGTGGGGTTATTTTCCCTCGCCGCATATCCTTATTCGTTAAAATTAATATGGTCTCCTTTTGTGGATTCGATATATCTGAAGAAATGGGGAAGGAGAAGGTCTTGGATTATCCCAATTCAAACAATTTCAGGGTTAATGTTACTCTCATTAGGTTATGTGATTGACGATTTGTTGGAGGATGCTACAAAGTATTTGTTCCAGATTACCATTTGTTTCTTTATGCTTGTTTTCTTTTGTGCAACTCAAGATATTGCTGTTGATGGGTGGGCATTGACTTGTTTATCACCAGGAAGTTTGAGTTTCGCAAGTACAGCCCAAACCATAGGGATAAACACGGGTTACTTTATGAGTTTTACCATTTTCCTTGCATTAAGTTCTCCTGATTTCACCAACAAGTATTTAAGATCAATTCCTCGCGATGACGTAGGGTTGTTTTCATTAGGTCAATACCTTACATTTTGGGGATGGATGTACCTTGCGGTTACCTTGATTGTGGTGTTGTATGTGCCAGAAGACCCCCCACATTTGGTCAAGATCAACCAAGATAAGCGTGTTCAAGAGAAGATTTCTCAACAACAAGGAGTTTACAATAGTAACAAATGGAAGGAATTACAAAGTGTTTATTTATCAATGTATAAGGTATTGCAATTACCCAATGTTCAAACGTTTGTTGTGATATTGTTAATCCTGAAACTTGGTTTTCAAGTTAATGAAGCAGCTACTAATTTAAAACTTCTTGAAAAGGGATTATCCAAAGAAGACCTTTCCATTACTGTGCTTATTGACTTCCCATTTGAAATGATTTTCGGGTACTATGCTGCTACATGGAGTACAGGAAAATCTCCATTAAGACCATGGATTTGGGGATATATAGGTAGACTTGTCGCCGCTATGCTTGCCCAGCTTGTGGTGTACTTCTATCCTAAATCAGGTAAAATCGGGACTGGATACTTTATTGCAATCATCCTTCAACATTTACTTGGATCATTCATGTCCACGATTCAATTCGTTTCCCTTTGTGCCTTCCATACCAAAATTGCCGATCCAGAAATTGGTGGCACTTATATGACCACTTTGAACACATTATCTAATTATGGAGGTACATGGCCTCGAATTTTCATATTCTTATTAATCGACAAGATAACAGTCTCACATTGTTTATTATCAGATCACCCATTCTTAATCAGCAATGACGTGGCCAAAGAAAGATGTTTGGAAGATGGTGGGATAATTACGATTGTTCGTGATGGATATTTCTATACAAATGCTGGATGCATTTTATTAGGGTTGCTTATATTGGCATGGGTTAAACGAAAGGCTACACACTTGCAAAGTTTACCTAATTCTGCATGGAGAGTGACAAAGGCTAGCTGAGTAGCTTCTATAGACTTGGATTGTACTATTTAGTTTCATTATACATTATAGACTTGATTCTGTCCAGTGGTTGTGAAGAGAATAAAGCAGAAAAGATTTCTTGATTCATAACTTTATTACCTAATATACCCCATCTGATTGTCCTAAGATAAAGCAGTTTTTCTCCACAAGAAAGGCTTGTTTCAACTTTACACAACTGGCCACCAACAACCTGCGGGTAGGTGGGAGAGAAACCAATTGTGATTTTGGTGCAAGTTTAAACCCAGACTATCACTGTAGATCCTATCAAGTCAGTACAACCCAATACAGCAATTTATATGACTGCCACTAAAATATATTTGTCCAATTAACATTCGTTGAGTTATCAAGACTTTCTGTATTAACGAGTGATAAGTTCTCAGGCCATTATATGCTACAATTATTTGCAATACAGTGGGCGAGTTTGGTTTCAAGTTTCGTATTAATTCAACAAATTCAATCATTGGTAAAACCATTGATAATTGTTTTCGGTTAGTTGCTTTTGCAAAAACCTCTCCCGATTGTGATTCAAATTCTAAACTAATTTTGCTGAACTCACAAAAATGAACTTCAAGTGTTTTTCAACTTATACAAGTTGAACCCATGTTTTGAATCCCGGATATAAACTAGTTTTACTTTCTCCCTTCGAGATATACTCAATTGTTCAAGGTGATTAAATTTCTTTGACAAATTATGAACCAGGCGGCGCAATACGTTACGAAACCTTAGCAATCGAAGATTTTGAAATTTTAGTATCCTGGCCAAGTGTCCGTCAGGCCAAACTGCCAATTCTATAACTTGGTTGAGAAAGAATATTATCAATGTGAGTGCTTCATCAGGTAATGGGCATAGACAGCTATGCTCTAGGGGTTCGAAGCTTTCCATTATTTGATAATATGATGGTTACTTTTAGTGATGGTTATACCAAAGGATATCTTATGGCTGGAAAAACTGGCACCATACAACCATTAGTATCTTGTAGTAAATCGATTGAGTCTTGAGTGATCGCTTGTGCTAGAATTGTATTAGTTTGCTAAAAACTAGTGGCTAATTTTTTTTTTTTTGCAGCAAATGACAAGTTTTTAATTGGCAAGAATACAAAAACTAAAAGCTTACAAGAGTTTCCATTTACATCAGTGGTACTGTGGATTATCGCAATATTTCTTACATTAGATATTATCATTTAAAAAGTTTATTTGAACAGCTAAATAACAATATATAGTGATAATTGAACGTAATATCCCAACAAATCAATCAAATCAAAGAAATTCCCAATAGAGCTAAAAATGAGACCCCCACAGTTGAAGCACCATTTTTGATTGCAGTGTTAATCGCACTCTTGACTTCAGCAGCTGCGGAATCATCGCTGCCCGAAGTAAATGAACCAGCTGCTTGACAGATTAACAGTTTGAGCTCTTTAGGATCATCTACTTCAACAGGTAAACTAATCTGAAACTCATCACAGTCAGTCACACAATTGATATAATCCTTAAAGAACTGGTCATCAAATTTGCAGACACATTTAGCCACTTCTAAAGTGTCATAATTTGGAAAATTAGGGAAACATTTCTCTAATTTGGTTCCTGCACTTTCACAAATAGAGCATGAGTCTCTTTTAAGTATCTTTGCAAAGTTCACTGCATTAAATTCGTGAATTTCGGTTGCGCAAACCAAGGTAACAGAAGTTGCTAAAATTGTAGTGCCAAGTTTCATTATAAAGTGTTGATAATGGTGAACTCAAAAAAAAAAGTTTATTGGTATTACTGACTTTTGGAGTAATATTTATATGATTTCTTTGAAGCATCCCGTAAGAAGGAGGCAGAGCTTCTATATGGCACGTTGACATTCCATAAAACTAAATATAGGCAGTGTATAGTATTTCGTAAATGTCATGAGCCCTAAAAATAAGAAAAAAATAGTTTTACACTATATGGAAATTCCATTCTGAAAATAACTTGAAATTGATTGATTTACGTTTACGTAAAACAGCTTACTATCTGAGATATTTTTGGACTACTGTGCTGTTCATTAATTACGAGAAGTGTTGGATTGTTTAATTTATTTTTAGTTCCAGACATGACCTCTAAGCCTTTGTAGATATTTTCATTTCAAGCTATGCCAGGTACTAGCCACCATGTCTCTAATGAGTGTAAGCTAAACCAAGTAACTATGAGAATGTATAGTAAAACTACTTTAGATACAATACAATACAGTATCAATATATTTAATTCTGTCTATATAAAATGACCATAAAGTTAATGCAAGATTGGGATTCTATCACCATCAGTCAGTCGACCCAACATACTGTCCGAACCAGCGCTATTTTTCCAATAATAGTCATCATGCAAGAAATCACTAGGCAGGAAGGGCACTTTTGACCCATCATTTAATTTCTTACCTACACTACTTGCATGTCCGACAATACTAGGGATGAAACTCGTGGGCAGCATTGCGGCGTTGGTACTCCCGATATTTGTGTCTATTGAATTAGGGTATCGTTTAATTGATTTGGCAAGGCGGGAAAACATCGTCTGAGTGAATTGTTCTTTTGATGGAGAGTTCAACGATGAGGATATGTAGTGAGCCGGTGGTGGGGACACATAGCTGGGGTATGATGACTTCATTATTAGCGATGTTGTTTCTGAATTGGGAGACTGGGTTAATTTACGTCCGCGCGATTGTTGCGATAATATAGGAGCAAGAAAGTGGTCGTGGTCCATTGTGGTGTCTTCAGTTGGGTGAAAAAATTCTTGCAGGTCGTAAATTGGCTGGTTACGCGTATACCACGAAGGTTGTCTTGTCGACGCAGATAGTCTTCGTGGATGTCTAATTTGGGGTTGATAAATGTGGGTTTGGTAAAGGATGGTAAGGTCGAGAAGTATGGTGATACCTGATGCAATTATTAATGGGAGTTGTCGCTGCAACACTACTCCAAATGGTTCGTCTGTGTCTTGAATATTGTTGGTGTATGCTAACAAGTATAAGCTCAACGATAACGATACAACGTAAAATAAATTGCTAAGGATATTCAACACTAGGAAGTTCTTGGAGATGCCTTTGGCTGATTTATGATTAAAGTTTTTCACCACCTGGGGTATTCTTGACGATACCAATAACAATGCATTGGCTAGCGAATTGCCATTCACGTTAATCTGCTCGGGTATTTCCACAGGACGTGCATGAACGGTTGTGATTAGTGAAGGCACAATAATTGCCTTGAACAACGGTGACGAATAGGTTATATGATGATAGTAGTAATATTGTAATAGCAATAGACAATCTAGAATGCAATAGTACAAATATAACAATATTTGGTAGTCCAATGAAGATTGTAGAAGGTTAAATACATCTTGTATAAGAAGTATGCCAATGAATGATACTGACAAATGATGAAAGGATTTGTTGCGATGTACTTGAATGATCTGGGGTATGAATGCGATTAATGAGAATGTTAATGAGACAAATGCCGTTGCCTTGTATGCAGTGAATATTATGGGATAAGGTGGATCGAACATGTCTATAGCTTGCAGTTCTGCAAAACGACTCAAATCGGGTGAAGTGGATATATTTCTATGTGGGGGTGTGTGTGTGCATGTGTGACGTATTGTTTTTCAGTCTACCTAGTAATACTAAACCTAGTTCATTTCACCTGATATGACAATGAGATAATTTTAAAGTGGCAAAATTAAAATTAGATCGTTTGATTCTTATTAGTCTGTAACACTGTACTACTCCCCCCTTTTAAAAGTGTCCTCAATTGTTCAAGGGAAAAAAAACAAAAACGGAGGCATCTGGCAGACAGACAGACAGACAGAGAAAAACACGATAAGAATTGAGGAGGGTGTCTATGCAGGATCGGAATGAGTCAGCTGGGAGCCACACTTTTTTATTTGACGAGAGGATATTCAAGAATGTAAACAGAATTCTAACTATACGACTGCTGTATAAATAACACAACTACATTCTTGTAACCGCGGATGGTGGGCTTACGTCATAAACTATTTGTATGTTTACAATTGTAAATAATTTGACAGAGCTTTACCCAATATTAGATCTGGCACAATGATCTGATAAGCTTATTCTCATAGTTCACCAATAACCAGTCGGGTTGTCACTTCGGATGTTCTAAGCTTAGTATCCAATACATATATGTCATTGAATTAGCTTGATCTGAATCCTTGGTTCACCAAATAAGATCAGGTACGCGGTAGTAGCACTAGCGCTACGCGATACGTGAGCCCAACCAAAAAAAAAAAAAAAAAATCAAAGTGATTTACATGGTGGCAGTCAGAATGTATACAGTACATACACACAATGGTTCTTCTAGGAGAGATCGTGCAACTGCAACAGTATTTCTCCCGACTTACTACCGGAATACCATCATTAGACCAAATATTCATCACCGGAACTGGAAACAACCAATCTCTTACAAACAAAATCTATGACTTTCAGACAGCACCTAGTTGTCAAGCCATGTACTTGGTGACTAGTTCATTAATCATGTCACACTTGCTGAATGAAAAGTCAGTGATTATTATAGACACTTTAAATAGATTTCCTATGAAGTTCATTATTAAACATCCGAGCTTTAAGAAGGAATGGCTTAATGATAAGTTAATGCTTTATGATCGAGACACATTTTCTAAATTGTATGCGTTTTTTATATACAAGAAGGATATACCGAAGAACTGCATGATTATAATCAATGATTTTCACGACTTGGTAGAGCTTTATAAACTAGAGATGTCATCAGTTTACGAAGAGCTTTTGTTGAAACATCATATAGACATGAATGATACGTACTTGCACAATAAGAAGACCGCTGATAATTTACTAATCCCTGAGTTGCCTTTCAATTCAGATTTGATTAAAGTTAGTCCTATAGCTAAGTTTGAATCTCATGTGAAGATACTATTTAGCAAATTGATTCAAATATGCATCACCCAAATGCTGCCGATTTTCCTATTGGGACACTTGGATACAAAGTTCCAACCATATAGAATGAAACCCACATCACAAGCAAACTCGTCACAATCGTCCCTTACCGAAAAGGGAAGAGTGGTATTGACTCCACACAAGTTTGAGAAAATATCTACTCGGATTGTATTCTATAACGATTGGTATCACAAGACACCGCACTTTGACGAAACAGTCAAGTCCAACTTTATCAATGAAAATAAGCTTAGAATGGTATCTGCTGCAAGATTAGAACTACCAAAACAAAAACTAATGCATCACCCGGTGTATTTTGCCGTGGATGACAAGTTCTACCATGATAAACACTTTGCACTTGACAACAAGTCATACTCATTGATTGATCTTTCAGCAAGTACATCAGATCCCGATACCGATGTTGATATCCCATCGTCTCCCATTGAATATGAATCTGTACTAGATGTTAGTGCTAGCGAAGGTCCTCAAGATTTAAGTGCTACCATGTGAGTGTATTTTTTTTTGTACCTGCATATATGCCCAAAGGTACTCATCTCACTCAAACAAAATATAGAAATTTTTCAGAACTACTGTTTACATATCCTTTTTGATAAGATATCAGAATAGGCAAGCATCATGGCCACTGTTATTCCACCACCTTCTAAGAAGCAGAAGAAAGAGGCTCAAAAAGTACGAGAAGTTGATCTCGTTCCTGATGATTTACCTAATGTTCTAATTAAATTTCAAGCATCGGATACAGGAGAAACCACCGGTGGATCTATACGAGTTCCTGGAGGAATCACCGAGAAGCAATTAGAAGAATTATTGAATAACTTACAAGGAGAAAGTGATGATCCTGTTCCGTATACTTTCTCCCTTTTAACTGACGAAGAGAAATCTACTACTGTTGACATTAAGGACAATTTATACAGTTCGGTGTTGAAGCCGGGGATAAAAACCACCGAAGACTTCTTAACGTTAGTGTATACCCCACGAGCAGTGTTTAAGGTTAAACCAATCACCAGGTCTAATGCTGCCATTGCTGGTCATGGATCTACAATTTTATGCTGTCAATTTGCCCCTAATGACTCCGGCAGAATGTGTTCTGGAGCTGGTGATTCAACCGCAAGAATTTGGGATTGTAATACTCAAACCCCAATGCATACTTTACTGGGACATACCAACTGGGTTTTAGTGGTGTCATATTCTCCCGATGGTAGCATGATTGCTACCGGGTCTATGGATAATACTGTGAGATTATGGGATGCGGCAACTGGTAAACCATTGGGTAAACCACTTTTAGGGCATACTAAATGGGTCAGCTCATTGACTTGGGAACCATTACATTTGGTTAAACCCACCGATAGTCCAAGATTAGCCTCTGGATCTAAAGATGGCACGATTAAAGTATGGAACACCAGCACTCGTACTTGTGAATTCACCATGAGTGGCCATACCAATGCCGTCAGTTGTGTCAAATGGTCGGGAAGTAATATAATATACAGTGCATCACACGACAAGACTATCAAGGCGTGGGATATAAGTGCCACCGGAAAGTGTATCCAGACATTAAAGAGTCATGCCCATTGGGTTAACCATTTGTCGATTTCTACTGATTATGTGTTACGTAAAGGTGGATTTGATCATAATTCAACTAGAACCAACACTGAAACTCGTGAGCAATTGAGAGCCAAGGCATTACAGCAATATGAAAAAGTAGCCATGTTAAATGGGGTTATTAGTGAACGATTAGTTACCGCCAGTGATGATTTCACCATGTACTTGTGGGAACCGCTTAAATCTTCCAAGCCAGTGTGTAGAATGACGGGACACCAAAAGTTGGTTAACCATGTGTCGTTTTCGCCTGATGGTAGATACGTTGTTTCTAGTTCGTTTGACAATTCGATCAAGTTGTGGGATGGTATAAGAGGGACTTTTGTATGCACATTAAGAGGACACGTTGCGCCAGTGTACCAAACTGCGTGGTCTGCTGATAACAGATTGTTAGTTAGTTGTTCGAAAGATACTACTTTGAAGGTGTGGGATATTCGTACCAAGAAGTTGAGCGTTGATTTACCAGGGCATGCCGATGAGGTGTATGCTGTTGATTGGAGTATGGATGGTAAGAGAGTTGCATCTGGAGGTAAAGATAAGATGATTAGATTATGGTCGCATTAGATAGATAAGCTAGTAGGACATGTAGACTAGCGGTAGGCACCAATAAACCAGTAGCTAGCTCACAATACCAGTAGACCGACTACACCAGTAGACCGACTACACCAGTAGGCCGACTACACCGGTAGACCCACTAGCAAGCCTGGCCTGGGATAGTGCCGGTATCCACCGAGTCACGTGACCATACTTTTGCGTTGACGTTCGCCGCCGGACAAGGAAGGCACAGTCGGTGACAAATTTCCGGCTTCAGTTTTTATTTCTTTTTCCATTTTACAACCAATCCAATTCAACACAGCTACATCGCATCATCATGGCTATTGTAAAACTTGGTGGTCGTAAAAAGAACCAAGCACCACCGGCCAAATCTAATGGATCGGGCGGTGGTGGTATCAAGAAAGCAGAGTTTGATATCACCAAGAAAAAGGAAGTGGGTGTGTCGGACTTGACCCTTTTATCCAAGATCACCGACGAAGCAATCAACGACAATCTACACAAGAGATTCATGAACGACACTATATACACTTATATCGGGCATGTGTTGATTTCTGTCAACCCCTTTCGAGATTTAGGGATCTACACTCCCGAACACTTGGACAAGTATCGTGGCAGAAATAGACTAGAAGTGCCCCCTCATGTGTTTGCCATTGCTGAGTCAATGTACTACCATTTGAAATCATATGGCGAGAATCAATGTGTGATTATTTCCGGTGAATCGGGAGCAGGTAAAACTGAAGCTGCTAAACAAATTATGCAATATATCGCCAATGTGTCCGTTGATAAGGGTAATGTGGAGATCACCAAGATTAAAGATATGGTGTTGGCCACCAATCCCTTGTTGGAATCATTTGGGTGTGCCAAGACCTTGAGAAATAACAATTCCAGTAGACATGGAAAGTATTTGGAAATCCAGTTCAGTGAAGGAAGTTACCAGCCTATTGCTGCCCACATCACCAATTACTTGTTGGAAAAACAAAGAGTGGTGTCGCAGATCACCAATGAGCGTAACTTTCACATCTTCTACCAGTTCACCAAGGCCTGCCCAGAAAAGTATAAGCAACAATTTGGTATTCAGGGTCCCGAATCCTATATATATACTGCTGCAGCTAAATGTATTGATGTGGATGGTATTAACGATAGCAAGGACTTTAATGATACTATCAATGCTATGAATATCATTGGATTAACTCAAGAAGAGCAAGATAACATTTTCAGAATGTTGGCTGCAATTTTATGGGTGGGTAATATCTCGTTTGTGGAAGATGAAAGCGGGAATGCGGCAATTCGCGATGAAACTGTGACTCAATTCGTAGCTTATCTTCTTGATGTTTCTCCTGAAATCATGAAGAAGGCTATTATCGAACGTACTATTGAAACTACCCACGGTTCAAGAAGAGGAAGTACTTACCACGTTCCATTGAACATTGTCCAAGCCACTTCGGTACGTGATGCCCTTGCTAAAGGTATCTACAACAACCTTTTCGAATGGATCGTGGAAAGAGTCAATGTCTCGCTTAAAGGTGTGCAACAATCAGACAAGACCATTGGTATCCTTGATATCTACGGGTTTGAAATTTTCGAACACAATTCCTTTGAACAAGTTTGTATCAATTATGTTAATGAAAAATTACAACAAATTTTCATTCAATTGACCTTGAAAGCAGAACAAGATGAATATGTCCAAGAACAAATCAAGTGGACCCCAATTGAATATTTCAACAACAAGGTTGTGTGTGACTTGATTGAAGAAGTTAGACCCAACCCAGGGTTATTCGCTGCCTTGAATGATTCCATCAAGACTGCCCATGCCGACTCAGAAGCCGCTGATCAAGTTTTTGCCCAAAGATTGAGCATGGTTGGTGCAAGCAATCGTCATTTTGAAGACAGAAGAGGCAAGTTTATTATCAAGCATTATGCTGGTGATGTCACTTACGATGTTGCCGGTATGACCGATAAGAACAAGGATGCTATGTTGCGTGATCTCTTGGAATTATTGGGAACTTCCAGTAATCAGTTCATTACTCAGATCTTATTCCCACCTGGATTATTGGCTGCTTTGACTGATTCAAAAAAGAGATTGGAAACTGCCAGTGACAAGATTAAAACCAGTGCCAATAAGTTGGTTGACACATTATCCAAATGTAGTCCATCATACATCAGAACTATCAAACCCAACCAATCCAAAAAACCTAGAGATTACGATAACCACCAAGTATTACATCAAATCAAGTATTTGGGTTTGAAGGAAAATGTCCGTATTAGAAGAGCCGGGTTTGCTTATAGATCAACCTTTGAACGATTTGTGCAAAGATTCTACTTGTTATCACCCCAGACTGGGTATGCAGGTGATTATATCTGGCGAGGTGATGATATTTCCGCCGTCAAGGAAATCTTGCGTGCTTGTTATATTCCTGCTACTGAATTCCAAATGGGTACTAGTAAGGTGTTTATCAAGACCCCTGAGACTTTGTTCGCCTTAGAAGATATGAGAGATAAGTACTGGCATAACATGGCCACGAGAATCCAACGTGCTTGGAGAAGATACGTCAAGAGAAAAGAAGATGCCGCCAAGACTATACAACGTGCTTGGAGAGTAAAGAAGCATGGTAACCAATTTGAGCAATTACGTGATTATGGTAACGGATTGTTGCAAGGTAGAAAAGAACGTAGAAGAATGTCGATGTTGGGATCGAGAGCATTCATGGGTGATTATCTTGGTTGTAACTTTTCCAGTGGATATGGTAGATTTATTGTCAATCAAATTGGATTAAAGGAGCAAGTTATATTTTCGGCCAAAGGTGAAATATTGACAGCCAAGTTTGGTAGATCTTCCAAGAGAATGCCGAGAATATTCATCTTAACCAGATCGAATTTGTATATTATTGCTGAAGTTTTAGTGGAAAAGAGATTACAATTACAAACTGAATTGACTATCCCTCTTGGCGGAATCAACTATGTGGCATTATCTACGTTACAAGATAATTGGGTGGCTGTGTCATTACATTCGTTCACTCCAACTACCCATGATGTATTGATTAATTTGGATTTCAAGACTGAATTAATCACTCATATGAAGAAAATCAGCCCAGGGTTAACCATCAAGGTTGGACCAACTGTTGAATATCAAAAGAAGGCTGGAAAGTACCATAGTGTTAAATTCACCATTGGTTCAGGTGCTGAAGTGCCGGTCAATAGTGATCATTATAAATCAGGAACTGTTACTGTAAGACAAGGATTGCCCGCCAACAGTAAGAATCCTAAACGACCAAGAGGTCGTTCTGGTAAGGTTGATTATAGTAAGTATTACAATAGAGGAGCAGCCACCAGACTGAGTGTTTCCAAACCAGTTATTCAAAGACAGCCAACCCATCAATTCCAACAACAAGCTCCTGTATATCAAACCCCGGCCTATGATACACAAGTTCAACAACAACAACAACAACCGGTTGTTCAACAACAGCCAGTGGTTCAGCAACAGACTAGTCCTAGCCAACAACGTCGTAAGGTTCCACCCCCAGCTCCAGTAAATGTTGCAGCCGCTGCTGCACAAGCCGCTTATGGTCAGAAACCACAAACTGTTCAACCTGCAGCGCAAGCAAAGGCTCAGACACCAACGCCTGTTGTTCCTTCCAGAGCTAAGAAGACTGCGCCTGCACCGCCAGCCAAGAAGACGGCACCACCTCCACCACCGCCAGCATTATCTAAACCAAAGCATCCTACTTATAAAGCTATGTATGATTATGATGGTTCAGTTCCTAATACTTTCCCATTGACCAAGGATGAAGTTTACTATGTTGAAGAAAAGAACGATAATTGGGCGTTGGTTAAGAAGTTAGATGAACTGGCCAAAGGATGGTCACCAGTAGCATATTTGCAAGAATGTGCTCCACCAACTGGTAAAGCTAGTGCACCCCCACCTCCGCCTCCACCTCCTGCCCAAGCTGCACAACCTTCTGCCACCACCACAACCGCCACTGATTACTCCAACCCAACCAGCAGTACCAGTTCCTACACCACCCAAACCACGGCGGCAACCACAGCTGCTGCTCTGGATGGAGCTGCAAATCTCGGTAATGGATTAGCAGATGCTTTGAAACAAAGAAAGAATGAAGAGACCACGTTAGCTGGTTCTTTAGCTGACGCATTAAAGAGAAGACAGGGCGCAACCAGGGATGATAGTGACGAGGAGGAAGATGATGACGACTGGTAGATTTGTTTTGTATGTTTTATAGTATAAATTTATATTGTGTTTTAGTGTGATATTCTGCTCCTGCACATAACCCGGCTAGCTGTACGCAGGAACCCCAAAAATCCGAAATCACGTGACACGCAAAACCCAGGTTTTAATTACGGCCATTGTTGTCAAGAATGTGCTGTCTGGAGTAGCAACTCTCTAAGCTCTTAGATACACCACGGAATAAGGTTCTTTTGGGGGTTATTCAACATTATAAATGATAAACAATGTCTAAGCCAAGAAGTAGGAACAGTCTATTGTCTTCACACAACAGGACATCATATTCCAATTCCACCAAGGATGAATTGCTAGCTATGAAATATCAGATGGATAAACCGGCCCTACCGTTATATCCATTGAGCGATTTGAACACCAACAGTAGTTCCGACACAGATTCTTCCAAACGAGACCACGAAGAGCATGAAACCACATATCCCGATTTCAAACCATGGAAGGACCATACCCAACTAGCCGGTGATAAACAAGAGCAGGAGATACAGAAAATGAGCAACACCTCGTTCTTGAACAAAGGTTATTTCGAAGCTCCGCAAGTGTCGAACGAGTATTACTCAGCTCGGAACTTGATCCAGGCTACCGTGTTTTCGCTGACTGATAATTGTAACTATGTCTTGCGTGAATTGTCACAGCATTTGGCAAATGCATACAAGACCAGAAATGAAGTAATAAACAAGATCAAGTACGATTCCAACAATTTCAGAATCCCACCAAGAGTCACGTTGACAGCCACCAAGAAAGAAGCGTGGTTGAAGGATTTGGGCAACTCGAATATACCCATTATGAAAATAGGCGAAAAGATACCTCATGGGATAAGAAACAAGGTCTTGATCGACTCAGTGTGCTCGAGAAATGTCCCGCTCAATCGAGCATTATGGTTCACTAAATGTGTTCTATTTAGCGAATTGCTAGCCTTGAGAAGAAAGCATCAGGCGAGATTGTCTGTAAGTGGACCAATCCCTGGTTCTGAATTCAACACGGTTGAAAAGTTTGAAATCCATTGGTTGCAGGAATGGACTCAACAGGTCTGTGATTACATATTGAAGTTCTCAAGGGAGATGGTCCACATTACTACACCCGAGAAGAAGGAACATTATATGAATAAACTAACGTATTTGCTCACATATGTCCAATCTTTATACGTCGAGTGTCTTGTTGACAAGACGTTCTTCTTGTCGGTGATTTTCAAATCCTTGAAGGATGGCTTACCCTTGGAGGTTAAGCATATCAATGAGCTTGTATTTACCAGTAATGATGATGAGAAACTAACAGAAACGTGGATTGACGAGATTGATCTTAACTATGGACAACGGTTAGTATCACTTACTTTAATTAAAATCTTTTGGAAAGACATTTTAAAGACGGACTATTTGTGCAAGGAATTGAGTGAATTATTATTGCTTAACCACTTGTTTATTAACCGGATATCCAGTTTGGAATCCCATTCATATCACCATAAATTTGCCTTGCCGGAAACATTAGCTCAGAATGTCCTTGAAATGATCTCAAATACCGTAATTTACCTATTCAAATACAACACAAATGTGTTTATAATACCAAAGTATTGGATCCTATTGCAAGATCCATTGGTGAAGATAATGGTGGAACACGGTGAATCACAATTAGAAAATGAGCAAGATGAAATCAAAAATCAACTTGAACTTATCAAGTATCGTAATGAGAGCTTGATATTGAATTTGAAACATGTAGCTGAACACAAACAACCTAAGGTACGTGCCCGAAGTAACTCCTTTTCCAACATGACACCTATTGAGAATGATATCAATACATTTATGAACAGAGACACCAATGATATACTACGAATCTTGTGTTGTTTGGATAGAGTCAAGCTAAATAACGATCTTGCCTCATTATTGAAGCCTACAACTCATGGAATTAGAAAAACTGGATGTCCCAACTGGAGAATCAATTTGCGACTTGTATTGTTTTGGTGTATCACCCCGTATAGAAGCCACAAGAATTCAAGTGAAGGAATATTGATTGTTTGTAATTTCTTAAAGAAGCATATCCTACAAAGCTTACATGGAAGTATTCGAACTGAATTTGAAACTGAGTTGCTTGAAATTATCTACCAGATTGCCGAGTCTTATGAACTGTTGTTTGTCAAGTACAACTTGTACGTTTTAATCAATGAATTATATCAATTGAAAGTCTTGACTATTGCTTCATATTTGAGAAAGTTGATTGCTTCTGGAATCTTCTTTTTGGCGCCAGGTACAACGGAAGATCTTTCTAACTTACCGCCCGTGGTCAAGATCCACTTGGATATTTTACAGAGCTTACCAGTGTTGAATAATCGACAATGTGATAGCATTTTAAAGAAGTGGACTCCAGAAGGGTTCAATTTTAAGGATAAGTTTGATAGAGGACAGCAGATTTTGCAAACTGAAATTATTGACAGACTTGTGAATAACACATTCAATGTGAATATCGAATCTAACTGGAACTATATTAAATCGCTTAATGTGGGATTAAAGTTTTTATTGGTGAATTGGATAACTAATGTGTTGAAAACAACATTGAACGACTCGCCCAAGTTGATCCATTTCGACCCAGTAGTCATTGCTAACTTGTACATGTTTTATTCAAATTGCGATAATCTCACTGTGTTTTTCAAAGTGTTGGTCAAGACAATACTTAGAAATGAAGGTGGGATGATTATTTTCTATCTTGATTCATTATATTTCATTGCCAAGTTAGTTATTCATCATTTCAAGTTGATAAAATCATTAGCGGGAAGTAACGACTTATCATCAACCGGTTATGAATTGTTTAAATTGATAGTGACAACGTACAAGGATTTAAGTCAACGAGAATACAACTATTTCCTGTTCAATCAAGTATGGAATTTCATTGATGATGTTATCGAAAAGGAATATCATGAAAAGGCAAAGAGGAGTAAAGTTTTGGAGAACCAGTTGTTTTCCAAAGATACTATGGATACACCGATGAATATCAATACCGTGGATGTGCATCTGAAGAGCAGCAGTAGTTCTGATAGATACACCTCGGCTGATTTTAGGAATGATTTAGAAACACTTCGTAATTCTCGTGTGCAAGCACTAGACCCTCTGGAAGTTCAGGATACTTTGGATACTTTAAATTTGGAAATTTCTGAATTGTCATTGAGTGAAGCAGTAACTGCTCAATTAGAGTACTTGTTCAAACAGGGAATTTCACAAGATCAGGAGAATTTAATCATTAAATTGCTATTCAATGCAAGAATATCACTCAAGGAGGATGGTTCATTTAACGAATTGGTTAGACAGTTTGTTATGAACGTGATGCAATCAGAAGCAGACTTTAACATTAAAGCTAACTTCTTGAAGAAATTGGTGATTTCTGAAATTTTCAAGATGAACGACCTTGTATCATTCTGTCAAACAGAGTCGCAGGCTGGTCCATTAGTTATGGACGTAATTATTGGTAATGAAGGTGAAGCTGCAAACTTGGCGCCTAATGAATCACTAGGGTTGAGCATACACCGTGTTACATTCAGAGAGAAATCTATGGCCAATTTCATAAGTATTCTTCTGAAGGAATTATTAAAGGGTTCTATTTTCCATTCTGACTTGATGGCAAAGCATAAGGAATCAATGTTGAAATATATTCACGATGCATTAATTATCCATCCCAAATTATTATTTGAGGAATTGTTTGTGAAACTATCCAAGGAGGACTGTATAGACCTTTTGAATTTGTTGCTTGGAAGAGAGCACACTACCTTTATTCGTCAATTGTCAGATTTTGAGATCTTAACTCCTGATATTAACGAGTTTAATTTGCCCATTGTTCAAATGTTGATCAAGATAATCAGTTACTATGAACTTAACAATCTGGATGATATTCGTCAGAAATTAGAATTGTTACTCGGTACACTAATTTCCAAATGTGAATTCAAGTTTTCAGCCAGTAATTCGTTTTTTGGAGAATTGTTTAGTTTTATTTCTTGGGAACACAAGATTTTTATTTTAGATATCATTGAAACTGAATTTTTAACCAACACCAAGTTTGAAGAAACAATCAGTTTGGACAATGGCAGGGATTTGTTACCTCCGTTCAGTGACTTCTTTAACAAGTTTTCATTATCTTCGGCAAACACGGTTGATTGTTCGCCTGTGTTCTTTACCAATCTTTGTGAGTTTCTCACAAAGTTAACGAAAGCGGTCAATACACCACACCTATTCACCGACAGCTTATCCACCTCGATATTGATATTCTTACGAATCTTGATTATACATAATCTGGCATTGTGCAAGCTTATTTCAATAGGACAGGAAACTCATGTTTTATTTATTCAGAATTTGCTTGCTATTTTACATTCCCAGTTCCTTGGATCTCATGAAAAGCTTCGGATCTTGCTTTATGACTTGTTGTTGTTGATGAAATCGTCAGTTACACAAGAATTAACCAATGCTATGGAGCCAGATCATGAAGGGACGTCTCCGGGGTTTTCCTCGAGTGCTCCGTCTGATGATTCGAAGAAGAACGGGTCTGTGCCTATTGTGCCATCCATGCTGATTCAACGGGTGTTTGAATTGCCGGATGAGCCCAAAGACGACAATCCATTCAAGGACAACATAGATGAGCTGCTTGTTCAATGTGCTCTTATGCTAGACGACGAAGAGTTGAACCATGGTGGTGATGTCCATGCTTTTAACGACAGCGGCTTGGTTCTTTTGCAAGCAAGACCGCATTCGGTATCATTGCCGTTTGGAATACTAAATAACAACGAGAAAGTAAGTAATGAAATCAAGATGGTTAAATTTAGAAGCTTTGAGATCTTGGAAGATACCAGCTCGGCATTGAATGACGGGTGTGTCAATTTACAATTATTGGATGCTTACACTACTAGAGAGAATCCTCCATAGACTATATAGATATGTACAGTTTACCTGTTATTGTTATTCTTTATTGTTATTCTCTATTGTTGTTGTATCTGTTTTTGCAATTTACAAAATTTTTGGCAGCAAGTCGCATGGAAAAGGAAAGCCGAAATTTGTTGTTGAAATTTCTGGAATTAACTGCTGCCAAAATTTCGTCTATCCAAACAGCAACCAGATGACACAAGACGAGACGGGGGTGTCTACTCCCAAGGAAAATGTTCCGTCAACGCCCCAGATCACCGTTAGTGACGGATTACGATTGTTGGCCAGCGCCAATTTCTCGTCTGACTCAATCAACGAACAAACCGTTGAAACAATCAATTTCACGAACCAGACCCTCATGAGCCCCTTACAACCCACCAACCGAAGATACTCTAATAACAGCACCACATCTCCAAAGTTGAACGCACGCACGAGGAGGCCACGGCCTGTTTCTGCGTTCTTGCTTGATTCCAGTAACTCGATTTCCGAAGATGGAACACCCATCCAGTTTGATAATACCCCTAGAAGCAGGAACTCCATGACGTTTGGAAACAGCAGTCCGTTTAATTATAATCCAACGTTTGAACTTCCAATGCCACCACCACCACCACCACCTCCTCCTCCTCCTCCTTCCCTTGCAATTAGAAGTACTTCTCCTGTTCGAGCGGCTCGTGCTCCTGGCTCACCAATAAAGAACTACTCACCGTTCAATTTTCAACCCCAAGAAGTCAACGTGGGTGGTGCAGCAGCTGGACCTACCACTAATGGTCATCGTCAGACTCCCAGCACGGGGCAACTGTTGAAACCAGCCCATCGTAAGGGTCACAAGTACAAACACTCGTCGGTGTCCATGAACTTCTTTCAAGAACCACCACCGGTGGAAATTCAAACATCGGGCCAAATCGTGGGCATGCCTGACCATTTCCCCGTGCCTACTTTCAAAGAGACTATCAACTCAATCACGCATACGCAGAAACTACGTTTAGGCTGGGCGTGTTTCCATATTGGCATCTCGGTGATTATTTTCCTCATTGGGTTTCACTATAAATTGCCTTCATTGTCTACATTGGCCCACTTGGTATTTTACGATGCCATCGGGTCAAGCCTAATTGTGGTGGTGGATATAATGTCTAATTTCGACGTGTGGAATACCAGCTCAATAACGTATCCGTTTGGATTGGGTCGGGTTGAAGTGTTGGCCGGGTTTGCCTTGAGTAGTTGGTTAATCATGGTGGGGTTTGACTTGTTTAGTCATTTAGTCGAGGAAGCAATATTCCTTTGGGTGGCTACTACCAATGATGGCCACGATGAACATGGAGCGTCACATCATGTCCATGCTGAAGTGGGGGCAAGTACGAATTGGATGGTTTATGAGGCTGTGTTAGCGCTAGCCATGGTTGTTTGTTTGGTATCTTCAAACTTGATTCTTAGCTACGATAGAATTAGTGAGATGATGAGCAAATCTGAACTGGTTGCGAAATCAGACCTGACTACTAATAAAGGGTTGTTACTGGACGAACCTGCAATCAAGCATAATAAACTCAAAAAGATACTCCAGACATGGAGAAAGAATCCCACCCATCTTGTCACGATCACATACACTTTATTCCTAGCGTTATCACCAGTCATCCCACAAAGTCTCACTTCTGAATTAGCCGTTGACATCAATGAAATAGGCACATTCCTCGTGGCCACTTTTCTTTGCTATAATGGATGGAAATTGGTCAAGTCATTAGGAGGAATCTTACTTTGTTCATTCCCATATTCCGACCACAAGTATCATTTAGTCAAGGCAAAAATCATGAGTGTTATTGAACAAAGTGATTTCTTTAGACGGGAGTACACTGTTGATCGGTTCTTTATCACCAAGTTTAATTATCGTGTGTTTGTCGTGGGGATGAAGATAAGCATGAATGGTGCTGATGCCGACGAAGAAATTAGAGTTCGGTTTGAAGTTAATAGAATAATAACAAGGGAATTGGAAAAGTTGGAAGGTAGCAAAGTTTCACAGGAGATTACTATTGATATTGATAGGTTCTAGCTATTAGTCATTAAAAAGTATATAGCAGTAGTGTATAAATGGGCTTTGGACCCACCTTCCTAATCGGGTAACTGGAATGTGCGGAAAATGACTCAACCGCGATGTAAAATCTTTTTCAGAATTCACTATAAAAATTTTCATTATTCCTGTTTGATAGTAATAGTATAGTTATTCATTGATAAACTATGTTAAGATCAGTAGCTAGAGTTATACAGAGACCTTCTCTTATGAGAATGTCTCAGATTTCTACCAGAATGACCCATTCCATTCCTGATGCTTCCGACCAATCCAACACCGGACAATTCATCAACACCATTTCCAAACCATACACTGTCACCACTTATTCCAGACCAAACTTGATCTTGACCCATGGTAAGGGATCTTTGATCTACGATTTGGAAAACAGAGAATACATTGATTTCTATTCCGGGATCGCTGTTACCTGTTTAGGACATTCCCATCCGGAAATCACCAAGATCGTGAGTGACCAAGCAAGCAAATTGATGCATTGCTCGAACTTGTTCTACAACTTACCTGGTGGAGAATTAGCCAACAAATTGGTGGAAAAGACCAAGGAATCAGGTGGGTTACACAATGCTCAGCGCGTGTTCTTGTGTAATTCCGGAACTGAAGCCAACGAAGCTGCCTTGAAGTTTGCCAGAAAGTACGGAAAACAATTCAGTCAAGACAAGATTGAAATCATAACTTTTGAAAACTCGTTCCATGGTAGATCCATGGGTGCATTGGCTGTTACACCTAATCCTAAGTACCAACAACCATTCGCACCTTTGATTCCTGGTGTCCAAGTTGCCAACACTAAGGATATCTCCAGTGTTGAAAAGTTGATCAGCAAGGAAAAGACTTGTGCCGTTATCATTGAACCTATCCAAGGTGAAGGTGGTATCAACACCGTTGATGCTGAATTCTTAGGACAATTAAGAAAGTTGTGTACTGACAACAATGTCGTGTTAATTTACGATGAAATCCAATGCGGGTTGGGCCGTACTGGTAAATTATGGGCTCATTCCCATTTACCTGAATCTGCCCACCCTGATATTGTCACCATGGCCAAGGCCTTGGGTAACGGGTTCCCTATTGGTGCCACTTTGATTACTGAGCAAATAGAAAAGGCTTTGAGTGTCGGTGATCACGGTACCACATACGGTGGTAACCCATTAGGGTCTAGAATTGGTACTTATGTCGTTGATCAAATTTCCAATGACGAGTTTTTAGAAGGTGTCAATGAGAAATCGGCCAAGTTTATTGCTGGATTGACAAAAATTGCTGAACAACACCCAGACCACGTTATTGAGGTCAAGGGTAAAGGGTTGTTATTGGGATTACAATTCAAGCCGGAAGTAGACATTGGTGCTATTGTTGCCAAGTGTCGTGAAAACGGATTGTTGGTTATTACTGCTGGTATGAATGTGATCCGTCTTGTCCCGGCATTGAACATTCCTAATGATGTTATTGATAGAGGTTTAAGCATTTTAGCAGAAAGTGTAAGTGAAGTATGTAAGTAGATAACTAACCTATTAGTATTATAGAATTAAAAAAAAACTGTAGCCATGGCAACAATATGTTTTCTTACGGCACACACACACACACAGAGGCTCCCCTTTTCCACACGTTGGGTTTGAATTCTTAAAATCTCCTTTTCCATTTCATCCGCACCCCTCGTTGTTTGTATTTACGTTTGCTGACAACCAAATTTAGACTTACCAAGATATTTACTCACCATAAACAAATACACGAAAAAATTCCTCGGTTGATACTAAAAAGATTTTCTAAAGATAAGACACACCTGACAACCTGTTTATACTTACATTATCACCTGCACATTCAATACATTGTTATAGAACTCGTAGATAGATTACTATGACCATCCCGTATAATATTCCCATATCAGATCTCGACTACTGTCTTGAACAGCTTCTAGATCATAAACCACCCAAGATCCTACCTCCGGAAACGATCCAACACCTCTGTCATACCCTCAAGACTCAACTATTGTCTGTGCCCAATATCATGCCTTTACAATCACCAATATCAATAGTAGGGGATATACATGGCCAGTTTCACGATTTATTGGAAATATTCCAAATTGGGGGATCGCCTCCGTCTACAAACTACTTATTCCTTGGAGATTACGTTGATCGAGGGTACTATTCTGTCGAGACCATATCTTTACTTATTGCATTAAAATTACGATACCCAGACAGAGTGTTTCTTATTCGAGGCAATCATGAATCACGTACCATCACCACAAATTACGGTTTCTATACCGAAGTGCTTAATAAGTATAATGGAAGTGCCGAAGTATGGACTTACATCACAGATTTGTTTGACTATTTACCCCTTGGTGCCACTATAGATGGTAAAATATTTGCAGCCCACGGTGGACTTTCGCCCAGCTGTCAACAACTAGACCAAATCAGAGCCTTGGATAGATTTAGAGAAATACCTCATGATGGAATAATGGCAGATTTAGTATGGAGTGATCCCGATACCGAAATACTAGATTTTAAGTTGAGTCCTCGAGGCGCAGGTTACTTGTTTGGGCTCGATGTCATAAACAAGTTTTGTCATGATAATGATCTAATGCAAATGGTACGAGCCCACCAGTTGTGTAATGAAGGATATACTAGTTATTGGAAGGGCAAGTGTTTAACCGTATGGAGTGCTCCTAATTATTGCTACCGATGTGGTAATCGTGCCAGTGTATTGGAAATCTTGTATTATTCGGGAGAGAGTAAGAGCATGGGTGAACCAAATGCTAATGAAAACGATGTAAAGTATGATGACTACAAGAATAGATTTGAAGATTCAATTGTACATAAAGTTCAAGGCGTGTTGCCAGGGCAATTCTTTAATATATTTGAGGCTTCGCCTGAAAATGACGAGGATACCCTGAAGGGTAAGGGAGTTAATGGTATTAATAGTGATGAAGAGTTGGTTGGAAATGGTGATTTCTTTTGCTCGTATTTTAAAGAACGTCCCCGAAAGCAACATGTTGAGTATTTCCTATAATGATTTAATGATTCTTTTCTCGTATGTATTACTATATATGTATATAGATAGATGTCTCACCTATAATATAATTCAAGATTAGATCCATCGTGAATCTCGTAATCTTCTAATGTGATATGGTCTTTATATTCGGTGTAACCTTTCTTGAAGACAAGCTTCTCATGGGATGTACCTATTTGTAGAGATATGATTTTCTTGAGATCTCCAATTGTGTCAGTTGGGAGACATTTGACGTTTATTTTTTTTCCAAGTCTATCATTTGCCTGTATCGTGATCATGTTGGGGTATGTATGTATATGTGTTGTGTTGTTCTGGCTAAAGAAAGAGAGAAAGCAAATTTGGTTGTACCAATTTGTTTGTTGTGCGAGAAGAAAAAGTACCGCCAGTTAATCTTTGTTTAATAGGTGGCTAATTGAGTCTATATACCACGAATTATCATGTCTCAATAGAACGAAGGTTGATATGATCTCCATCAGACTATATGTGAGAGAAACCTTTGAGTTCCTATATAACTTGTATATTATTTTGTTGTAATTGAAGAACTATATAGAACAACTCGTACCACTGTTATCGTTCAATCTGTCGCTCTATTATCACTTGTCACCAAAGTAGAATCACTCAATAGTTTGAGAACATTCCTTTGACCTTCTAGATAGTTAAGATACTCTCGAGAATACTCTTTAATTGCAAGTTTAAAAGTACGAGTCTCTTGTAGCCACTTTTCAATTTCATGGCGCAAATTCAGTAGGTTAATAATCTTTCTAGCTGTTGTTCCGTCTAACGGGACACTTCTAAGGACCACGCAAGTACAAAACACTTGAAGGCGGTATTCAAGCTCCATTTCAAGGAACGTTTTTTGTTGGCCTTCGATCATACATTTGCACATAATTAAAAGCAGTCTCACTTTGTCAGTTTGGTTTTGGATTTTGGTTTGAAGGAGCTTCACTTCCTGGTTTTCAAAGTTAAACTGTCGGATTTCTCTGGATATACTTTGTATATCCTTAAGGAGGAGTTTTACCATGGCTTAACTGGTGCCTTCTTGGGAATGTTGTGTGTTGTCAAAAATACATCCAATTTAAATTAATTTGTTGCAAAAAAATTTGCTCAACAAATCAACCACCCTTTTTCTTTGGAAATGCGCCCTGAAGTAACTATTTGGTAAGTTTCACTTGAAAATCGTAGATAAATCCTTATTCTATGATATATGTTCATACTGATTGCAGCTCAAGTCCTGAAGACTGATGTTGTAATGTTGTAAGGCTTGCATAGATGCTTGGAAATACCTTCAGCTTCATATAGAACTCTTGAGAAGCACGTATGGATAGTTGGGATCAACTGCTTAAGGCTCTACATCAAAGAAGATCGAAACTAGATATATTCTGGAAACATGTACAATACAAGAGGTAGTGGGGCACGTAGAAATCTAATCTGGAATGTTGCTAGTCAAAGTGGGAAAATTAGAAAAAGGAAAATACAAGTAAGATAACCTACTACGTATTACGTCATTACTTACATCAGTTTAGTATAAGAACTATTACTACCAGTCATGCTGTTCAAACGGAATATTGCTCGGGCCATTCGTTTGTTATCAGTGACCTCCATAGCTAAACAAACAAAAGGCGGCTTCCCTCACAATTGTGTGAGCCGCCTTACAAAAGAAAAGTGAAATAAAAATAAATAAATAAAAAAAAAAGAGCCAAACCCCAAACTACACGTGAAAGGTCAGGTATCATTCTACTATAATCCATCTCAGTGGGTCTATATAGTAGCTCAAAAGCATATATACTAAAACCTACACAATTTGTATCATGGGAGAAAGTGCTCTGACATTTTCCACTTCTGACACAACCCACCCTCATCCTGTTCCGTTGACACCTCCAACAACTTCAGCAAAAACCTCTCCCACTCAACTGCAAATGAACAACGACAATAACAACGTCGAGAATAAGTCTAATGACACTGAAAGAACTATAACTCCGCATCTACAAACTGTACGACAGCATAGCCAATCTTCATCAAAACCAATCCTGGCATCTTCTTCCACTGCTTCCGGAAAGTCACCAATTCCACCACATCCATCAGTAAATATACCACAACAAAGACAGCCATCTAGTCAAAATGGAATGGGATTAGGTTTAAATATTCACACATTGCCCACCAATGGCATCCAGAGAGCCAACCCAATCAGAACTTCCTCTTCAGGTCATAAGACTACTTCACCAGCAGCAACCATGAAAGCCAACAATTCCGGGCTATCAAATACAAAATCCCCTCCTGGCACAGTGACTACCCGATCATCACGTTCACGCTCCATAAGCTCTCAGCAATCAAACTCATCACAACTAGGAGCACCCCTGCCGAAGCAAATCCAATTGGCTCAACACCATGGATCGATTCATTCCACAACACAGTATCTTGCCCAAGAAAAAGCATATTTGCGTAAAATGAGAAATCAGTTAGTTGATGATTACTATACCAAGGGAATCACGGGAGCTGATGATAATGTTAGAGATCAAGGTGACACCGAGCTTAACGAAAATGAAGAAGGTGATGATGATGATTACGATTACGATTATGATGATTCTACTAGTAGTAGCCATGAAGAAGGGACTGGTGATCAAAATACCCATTTGTTAGTAGATATTGATAATGACAAGTATCCCCTTGATTTTGGATTGGCATTGTCACTAATGAAGAATGTGCCTTCTGACAGAAAGAATAGCAACAAAAGTGTGCCACAATTGACAAAAGATGATACTGATGACCCTGCTGTGATTGAGCGTTTGGAATGGCAATCGATGTTGACGGCTGTGTTGACTGGTGATGTTGTTCGTTCTGAAAAGACTAAGATCATCAACAATAACAATCCCGATAGTGCCAATGAATCATATATTCATGCTACATATAAAGAAAACCTTTGGTTTGGAATCAAAGCCAAGTTATTTAACAGGACGGAAGATGATCAACGGAGAATTGTATCATATCGTCGTACTCTAGTTGATCAATTAATTCAAGAAATATTAAGCTTTGAAGTCAACTATGATAATCATGAAGTCCTGATTCGCACCCAAATAGAAACAATATTGGACAAGTATGAAGAAGCATGTTCGTTATGGCGTACTTTGGAAGATATGAGAAATGATGAACCGATTTGCAGAAGCTTGGAATTTCAGAACAGAATAGATGCGCTTACTGCGTGGTTGAATATCACCGATGCCATTACCCGAGAAACCAAGTCGTTGAGATTATGGATTGGGAATGATGAATTGGATATAACGAAATCACCAGTGGAAATGCCGAGCACGAGTAGTAGCAACAAGAATCTTAAAAGGATCTTTGACGAAGATAATAAATCTCTTGCTGAGAGATTAATGAAGGAAAAAGATATTCATACGATTTTCCGCAAGAGAATCTTTAAACCGCTCTCGCCCTGGATGATTAAATCTAAAGATACGTATATCCATTTGGGTGATATGTTTGAAACTATGAAATTGCCTGATTATATTCATGACTTGCTTCAGATATGTGTGATTCCTATGAAATTGATTAAGGAAATTATCAATGTTCGTTTAGGATATGCCATGAAGTTGACTAATCCCACGTTAATGATGATTGATCAAATGATTGATGATTTGAAATCGTACATTACTGTTGCTCTTGAAGTCAAGCTGGGAATACAGGAATATATTAAGGCGGATGGTGCCACCAATTGGGTATTGAATGATTTATTTGATACTGAAATTACTGATTTTGATGCAGTAGTATTACGGTGTGTGCGATACTTTTTGGTATTACTCAATAGAAAGTTATTGGATAGTTCAAGGTCACCTACTAATTTCCGAACATTCAAAGAACCAGATGAATTGGAAGAAGCATGGAATTTCTTGAGATCATTGGGTAATTATATTGACGGTGGAAGTGTTGTTGTTGCTGAACAAATCACATTGCTCACGCTGAGATTATGTCATCGTTTACTCGCCTATTTCACTAATCAAATAAGATCTCCGCCTAACAATATTAGTCAAGATTTAATCAGATGGTATAGTTCAACTACAGATAACTTTGGGCAATTACGAAGAAAATTGGCTAGGTTCACAGGTGAAATTTCTCGAGATTTCAGTAATTCCTTAGTATTTGATATTCCTAACTTGCCTCATGCCAATACCAAAACTTTGCTCGAAATTCTCAAGTCAACCCACCATTTTTTGGTGTATACGGGAACCGTAGAAACCAAGGGGACATATTTCTTTGCAAGTGCCGAATTAATGGGACGTGAACAAGATATACTTAAAATCATCCATGGTAGTTATATTGGGCTTGATCCGAATGAGAAAAACGATTTCAGTGATTTATTAAACTTGATGAAAACAACCACTAGTGATAATCATATGTTCCTTGAAGGTGAGAACGGTCCTGGTGGCGATGCAAGTGCTGATGCTCTTGATTACTCGTACGTTATTGCATTGTGTCCCTTGAAGCCTATTGTATGGGAGGGGACTGTGGTTAATGTTCATATCGATTCCGTGGTGCCTATTACCGATGTTAAAACCGGTCAGATGTTAGTTATTACCAAGCTACCATATTATGAATTGCCAATTGTCAGAGATCAATTCTTGGATCTTGTAAGTGAAGTGTTTATGATTCCCGGGGGAATGAAACCAGTAGAACAACGATGTTCATTAGCAAAAGTACACCATGAACTCACGAAGATCAACCGAGCATTCTTTAAGATGTGTCTTTCTGTATTGGATTCTGTCAGAATTGTGAGAGATAAAGTGAAGGGAACTGGTGAGTATCAAAGTTTAGTTAACAATTTCTTTATCTATTCTCGTGATTATGGGAAGAATGCTGTAAGGAACTTGGATCTGGGAAGAAAAGCTACGGTTATTATGAAATTGATTCAATTGAGTATTGACTGGGTTAGTTTCGTCTGTGATGATTGTATTCCTACTGATAGAAAAACATTTAGATGGTGTGTGCTTGCCTTGGAATTTGCTATGGATATGACTAAAGGGTTTAATGTATTGGTGTTAAATGAAGATCAGTTTGATAAGCTTAAAATTAAAGTTGCAAGATGTATGAGTTTGCTTATTTCCCATTTTGATATCATGGGAGCAAGATCAAGTGAAGCAGAAAAGAACAAGTTGTTGAAATGGACAAGTTCAAGACAACATGGTATTGAGAATTCACAGGATGATGCAGAGATCGCTGAAATGTATCATAAGGAAGTCATGAATCAAATTTCTGAGATTGAAGAATATAGGCGAGAATTACAAGAACAATTACAAAGTGTTGGACGTGTTCTAGATGTTACTGATTCCGAGTATCAATATGTTACACTTCTTGCTTCTTCGTTCTCGAGTCTTTCTATCAGATGGCAAAAGGGAAGATACATTGGTGGCGGTACATTTGGACAAGTGTTTTCTGCGGTCAATTTAGATACTGGGGGAGTAATGGCGGTGAAAGAAATTAGGTTTCATGATAGTCAGTCCATCAAGAGTATTGTTCCTCTGATCAAAGAAGAGATGACGGTATTGGAAATGTTGAATCATCCTAATGTTGTTCAATATTTTGGTGTTGAAGTTCATCGTGATAAGGTCTATATCTTTATGGAATTCTGTGAAGGTGGTTCTCTTGCTGGTCTATTAACTCATGGAAGAATCGAAGATGAAATGGTGGTTCAAGTTTACACGTTGCAGATGTTGGAGGGCCTTGCCTACTTGCACCAATCGGGTGTGATTCATCGTGATATTAAACCTGAAAATATCTTACTTGATCATAATGGAGTTATCAAGTTTGTTGATTTTGGAGCTGCTAAAGTCATTGCCAATACTGGAAGGACAAGGGTGGTTGGTACAACAAGTATTCGCGCAAACGCTGGAGGAAACAACCCGCAAAATTTAAACAGTATGACTGGTACTCCAATGTACATGTCGCCTGAAGTGATTACGGGAGCATCTACTGATCGTAGTGGAGTTGTTGATATTTGGTCACTAGGATGCTGTGTTCTTGAAATGACAACTGGACGCCGTCCATGGTCTAATTTAGATAATGAATGGGCAATCATGTATCATATTGCTGCTGGGCATAAACCACCATTACCTAGTGCTGATCAAATGAGTGAAGCTGGACGTAAGTTCTTGAGTAGATGTTTGGAACATGACCCATTAAAGAGACCCAGTGCCGTGGAATTGTTGGCTGATCCATGGATGGTTTACATCCGACAAGTTGCATTTGGAACTGGTGGTGATCTCAACAGTACGCCAACAAGTGAAACCGGTGGGATTATTGATTCTATTTAGTTCATTACTTCGATTTTGTATTATATAAATAAAAAAATGCTATAGTATTACGTGTATTAATCTATGTACAGAACAGGTAATATCCTTAATTAATTCAAACCTTCATTGAAATATTCTTTAATTTCTTCAACTACATCACCCTTGATGTTAACATACCCGGCAGTTTTATTAACAGTAATTTTCAAATCCGGATTCAATTTTAACAAATCTCTTCTGAACAATTCAATATCACCTTCGATTCTCTTTATTTCAGTGGTTATTTTGCTTTGATTCGTTATTTTCTTGTAAACTGGCCAGTGGTTGAACTTTGTCTTTTTGATGAAATAACTTCCTTCACCAAATCCGTTGTTGACGAGGGCAGTATGTGGTATTGATTCGAGTGAAGGGATGGTGTATCTTGGAACTACAGCCTTAGGAAATGGGAAATGACTGGCTCGGGCAAATAACGTTGGTCTCATTCTTGTTTGTTTGTGTAGTTTATCCTAACTAGTTACATTTGATATTGAAAATTTTATTGTTAGTGAGTCGAAAAAATTTTTATGTAGGAAAAATGTCGTACTATTGAAGATAAAATTATCAGAGACATTTTTACATTGCGACATTGTGCCAGGATAATTATCCTAGGACACGACTTGGTTATACAGAATTTTCTTAAGCCCGGATAAGCAGTTGATAGGAACAAACTAGACTGTTGTTGTTTTGTTGTGTTTTGGGAGTTAAGACTAAATTTAGTAAACAAAAAAATCTCCAGAAGTGAACCAATTATATTGAAGATTATTTAAGCAATCATAGCAGTATGGAACAATTGCACCAAATGTTCTATACATTGTTTGGACTACGGATAACCCCTTATCTTTAACTCCTTTTGGTACACTGAAAACAATACAAAAGGCATTCTATTGCCCTTTTTTTGTTTCAAGCGCAACTTAGCATTAATACGTTATCAATGTGTATAGCCCTCCCCTTAAAAATAAATACATACTCCTGGAAAAGGAACGGCGTTTCAATTACGATGATAGGATTTCTATTCTTAGATTTGCTCCTTCTTCGTAATTAATGATCTGATTAATTTTAGGTATGATGTAACTCAAGAAAGAAAAAAAAATATTGCGCTTCAAACAATGAGATTGACCCCTCGTTCTAGAAATGTAACCCTGGTTCATAAGAAAAAGAAACTCAATTACGGTGGACTGTTGCGTGTAATCTGACACGGCATTTTGTGTTACAATTGATACCTTGTCAGTTTTTGCAGTAATTATACAGCAGATTTGCACCTAAACCCGTATCAAATGTAACTATAAATATCATGGTATGCCTCCTGGTTAACCAAGATCTCTTGGAGCTAGAACTCCACTAATCATAGATACAATGAAGATTACATTCGCTTATATATTAACTTTCCTTTTGTTGAACTATGTAGTGGCTCAGGAAGCTGCTGATAAGAGTTTATCCAAGGCTAAATCGATGTTTGCCTGCCGCATGATTGTCCACAAGACTATAACACAATGTCCAGAAGGGCCAGACCATCACGAATGTATCTGTAATGATAAGGATGCTATTACTACATTTGTTGCTTGTTATGCATTCTATCAAAAGAATGCCACTGAGGCAGTAGAGTTCTTCTCCCATTTCTGCTCGGAGTTTGCTGATACTACTTTGTCCATGGATAATGTGACTCTGGCTTACCTCAATTATACCCAATCTGGTACCTTTGTTACAGACGGTAAAGTGGTCAATTTTACTAATCTTGCTTTTAATGGCACCGATTCCGATTATCCACATGCTCTTGAGGATTCTATGAATCAATTCTTGCATAATTGGACAGATATTTTGTATTATGGTAATGCTGTATTGGGATATTGGGGTTTGGTGATGGTATTTGGTGCTATTTGTAATTGGCTTCCATTGATATTTTCAAGTTGCAGACCAGCTGGACCAGTTCCTAATTGGTTTAGAAAAAACGTGATCCTTCCTGCTGCTATTGGTAAGAAGAGAATGCAAAATTACAAACTCTTCCAAGTTATTGAGTTCTACATGCCTTCAAGATTAGAATCGATAATCTTATTGGGATTCTGTGTGGTTATAACTATTGTTTTAACCATCAATATGTCCTATGTTCAAAGTGATTCTCTCATTTTCACCAACTATCAGGCACATTTGAGATATCTTGCCAATAGAACTGGTATTATTTCAACCATGATGCTCCCATTGGTCATTCTATTTTCTGGACGCAACAATATCTTGCAATACTTTACTCGTTGGAACCATTCTGTTTTCATTATGTTCCACAGATATATTGCTCGCATGATGGTTACATTTGTTTTGATTCATGCTATCAGTTTTACCATTGCCCTTGGTCCAAACTACAATGCAATCATGAAGGATCCATTCATGATTTGGGGCACAGTAGCTACTGTTGCTGGAATGATTATCTTTTTCCAAGGAATGTTGTATTTTAGAAGAAGATGGTATGAAGTGTTTTTAGCTATGCATATTCTCATGGCTGTTTTGTTTATTGCCGGTACTTGGAGACATGTGGTTAAATTGGGCTATGTCTGGTATGTATATGCTGCTACTGGTGTTTGGATCTTGGATAGACTAATCAGAATCGTTAGACTTGTTTCATTTGGTTTCCCTGGGGCTGATGTTACTTTGATGTCAAATGAAACTTTGAAAGTAGTAATCAAAAAACCAGCTCATTGGCAACCAACTCCTGGAGGACATGTGTTTATTCACTTTCTTCGCCCCAGTTGTTTCTGGCAATCTCATCCCTTCACTTGTGCCACTTCTCCGCAATCTGAAGATCACATTGTTTTGTATTGCAAGGTTAAAGGTGGTGTTACTCATGGTTTATACCAATATTTGATGACTTTACCTGGCAAGACTGCCAAAATTAAAGTTGGTGTTGAAGGTCCTTATGGAGAAACTAGCGGTGCAAAGAAATCAGAATCTGCTGTATTCATTGCTGGAGGTAATGGTATCCCTGGTATGTATGCTGAAGCTGTTGATTTAGCAACGAAGTCAACATTTGAATCTAGAAGGTCAATCAAGTTGTATTGGATCATTAGAGAATATCGTTCTTTGTATTGGTTTTTTGAAGAATTGCAGAGTTTGAGACGTCTTGATGTTGAAACTACCGTTTTTGTTACTCAACCTAACAATGAACAGGATATTGATGGATTGAAAACTCTTTTAGTGACTAATCGTGTGGAAGAGGTACTTGAAAAGGATATCAAGGACAACACATCAGAGATCACCTTTGAAGATGATTTCACTGATTTGAAAAATAAGATTGCCTTTCATCTTTCACGTGTTAGCTTTGTTGACGGAAGACCAAATATTGGTGAACTTGTAGAAAACGAAGTTGACTTGGCAGACAATAGCATTTCTTTTGTCACTTGTGGTCACCCTGCTATGGTTGACGATATTCGTCATGAAGTTGTTAAACAGTTGGACCATGCTGAAGGGAAAAGAATTGACTTTTATGAACAACTTCTTAGTTGGGCGTAAGTATTTATTTATAGATTAATAGAATAAAGAGTATGGTTTCACTTTAAAAAGCCCATTACAAGTTCATTTCATATTTATTACATCTTTTTTAAAAAAAAGAATTTCAACTAATCTATAAGAACCCAATAACCACAAGAATTATTATTCATGTGTTTTTACATGTTTTGTATAATCCACCTTTTTCTCAAACACTGATCCACAAACCTCACATTCAAACAACTTAGAATGGATCTTCATATGCTTGGTCAAATTTGAACTTTCACTAAACCTCTTGCCACACCCGGGCCATTTGCAAACCAACGGTTTCTCTCCAGTATGAACCCGGTGATGTATACTCAATGAACTACGGGTCGCAAACCGTTTCCCGCAAATCAGACACGGGAATGGTTTCTCTCCTGAGTGGGTACGGAGATGTTGAGTCAACATTCCCTCCACTGCAAAGCTGGCACCACAAATGTGGCACTGGCACGGTTTGTACCCGGTATGTATATGTATATGTCTGAGAAGTTTTTGACGCTGGGTAAACTGTTTCCCCATATGCCTCTCACACCCGATCCAATTACAGAAATATTTGGATTTCCCACACCCAATGTGATCATTAAGAAGATGATCTTGGAGGTCAGCTTCACTTATATGTGTCTTGTTGCACGGTATTGCGTTACCATTGCTGTCATGGCCAATTTCCCATTTACAAGTGTGGGTAGGGTCTGGCGGTGTGGGGCTGGCTTTGGGTTTTTTGGGTAAGATTTTAATTGAGGTGATGTTTACATTTGGGTGTTCATCCTTAACCGTAGGGTAATCTGCTATTGGCGAAGACTCGTAAGATTTCGTGGTTGAACTTGGAGTTAAAATAGATTGATTTGGAAGGATAAACTGTTTCTTGGTCTGTTGTTTATGGTTCTTCAAATGGTCAACCAAAAGCTTGAAATCGGAGTTGATGAAATTACAATCTTGCCATTCACATTGATAAGCGGTGTCGGATATCGTATCGGGATACTCGTTACGGATGTGTTCTTCCATGACATGATTAAGTATGGTATCATCTGTTACCCTCTTAAAACACTTTTCCCATTGGCATGGGTATACCAATTGGTCTGGCAGAGCAGAGGAAGTAGCGACTGGATCAGCATTAGCTAGTGAATTATTAAAGTTGTTGAATTCAACAATGAAGTCATAGTCAAAGTTAGACATAAGCTTTTCATCATAGCAAGAAGCTCTAGCACCTGCAGAAGACAGAGCTTCTGGTATAGTTGTGTGAAAACAAGATTGGTGGAAATGGTGATGGTTGGTGGGTTTGGATTCTTCAGCATGGCATTCATGTGGGAAATGAATTTCAAAGTCATTATGTTTCATTTGAGATGTGTTGTTCAAGTTTGCATGAACGTTGGTTATCAAATCTTCAAATAGCAGTCGTTTTGAAGATTGAACTTGGCACAAGTGGTCCTGTTGGTGACTACTTGGGGGAGGGGAGTTATAATCACAAGCTTCGTCGTTGCAATGATGTGCTAATTCAGAGAGCTGTTGAATCTGAGGTTTGGGTGATTGCTTTGTAGTGTAATCAACACAGTTGGGGTCGTTACAGCACTCGATATTTTTATTGGAAAGTGCCCAACAATCACCATTACAAGCAGGATCTCCCATACAGCAGCAATCACCAGCATTGTCACAATTTGTAAAGAAACAATCGTCGAGGTCATCGCAAAATACGTCTTTACAGAACTCTAAATCATCCATTTCACTACACGGAAAATGGCCAGGGGCAACTAGCTGCTGTGAACTTCCCGGTGAATTGGCTTTGATTGGCTGTTTAGGTTCATGATAATGTTGATCATGGTCGTGATTGTGGATATGACCATGTATATGTGTGTGATCCTTGTGCTTGTGGATGTGACCGTGAACGTAACCGTGAGTTAATATCTCCAATTGTTTTTGTAGCGACAGGTCTATATCTATCTGAGGAGATGGCTTATAGCTCGCCTCAGTCTTAATCTGGAGGTCCACTTTGCTAGGAAGACCGTTCTCATTTAGCAGCGTAAGCATATCGGACTAAAATGGGAGAAACGAAGCGTTGTCAGATAGAAAAAGATTTTTATTAAAATGACAAATGAAATTATTGTCTATCTTTGCGTTACTTTAAAATTTTTTGCTTATAAAATGTATTGGCTTTGATTAAACTTCCCTGATTATATTGTTGCAGAAAATGTTGCAACGACCTTGGTGGTTATGCCACTCGTTGCTCTATTTTTGTGCAGGTCGTTCTCACATGACGCATGATTAATTTTCCAAAGGGCAGATTTGTGGTCACGTGATGAAACTTATTTTACCAATTTTTGAACCTAAGCATCCAAGGCTAATGGTTTGCATATTAGGCAAAGAGATGTTGACCAATGATAAGCATTTTACTTGATCTCATCAAAGAGCGATGTGCAGCTGGTTTGTTCTGCTTGTTGGGTTTGTCAAGTGTTAGCGACAAGATTAAACTTTGAACAATGAAAGAGCCCGTGAAAGAAATTAAAGTGACCCTATATATGCGTTTACAAGGTTCAAAAAGAACAAGATCTTATATGTTCACAGCACAAATTTTTGTTTCATCCTCGGAAGTACCTAGTTGATATTTCAGAAAATTGATTGTTCTAGCTCTATTGTGAGTGTTCGAAGTGTGGGGGTCTCAATGCCAAGAACTATATTTTTGTATCCCCCAAACTCAGTTCTTGTATTGCTTGCAAGATATTAATAGGAGAGTTGTATTTAGAGTGATTTCGCAGCATTGAATCATGGCTAATGGAAGCTCGCTAAGGTCTAGTTCAATACCTAATCTTTGGTGCAGTAGAACGAATTTAATAACAAAGCAGCTGTATTCTTCGGAAGACTTCTCTTGCATGTAACTCTATATCTATCGCGTTGCTTTTTATACTGCATAATAAATCTGGTCTATAATGTTCTAAATATGGCTAACGAGTTTTCGTCTAATTTTAATAAAATTTTTGCAAAAAATAAAAAACTCTTTTACTTAAATAAAATTCATGTTAGCCTTAATATTTAATCCAGATTAATTTGTTTCGTAATTACACAACCAGGCACATGGCTAGTGATACAAACAGACCATATACAGCTTATAAATCCATTATATACGCGTTGTGCATTCAAGATTGATTATCTCACAATGGTTGATGGGTACATATCCGTAAAATATAAAGAGATCATTATTCTATCTGTTCTATCTCGAGTCAGGATTGGCTGAGAAGATGCACGCACCCCATTGTGTTAGACGAGTAGGAACTAACAAATGAATAAACTACAACCTTCCTTACATAAGATGTGTAATTGTGACATAAGCCCGGTCAATCAAGCAATTGCCACAAAATTAGGTTCATTGTTGAACGCCTGCTCTGAGGCAATGGTAATTTCAGTTTGTACTCACGTGCTTTTGAGAAAGTAGCACAAATGAATTAACCTACTACTCAATTCGAATACATGAAACAGTTCGACTTATACAAGGACTAAGAATATATGGAATAATCTACATGATTTAAATAAGTAAAGTAAACAACGCTCCATAACCTCCCCCCCCAGGGCAATAATTATTTTTTTGTGCGCCCTATTCCCAAAACAAGCAAATTGTCAACAAAATAAACCTACACACTGTAGAAAATATCTCATGGTCAAGTTACTATACGAACTATGGGACAAAACTAACGAAGAACAAAGAACGATTGAAATTTTGTATGGATCTAGATTAGGTGGTTGTGGTGACAATCAATGAAAACATATCCTCATGGAACAAACAATCTGCCACCTTCCACCCAAAAAATTCACCCAAAGTTGCACTTGACAATACCATTAAATAATCAACAATTAGGCTTTGTCTGCAGAATAAAACCAGGTGTTGTGGTACAGAAGGTCAAGAATTGTTGGTTAAAATGCTATTTTTAGCAAAAATTTAGTTCTTAGATCCAGGCCACTGTCAATGCCAAGTAAGCTAATGCGTCAGCACTTAAAAAATGAATGTGACAAGTGCTACCCCTCGAGATAAATCAGATAAGGTCGAGCGCAAGGGTTTTATTTAATTCCAGAATAAGAAAAAGCAATCCAACACCAATCGACGCCCTGAGCTAATTCTAAATTGCCCAAAGGAGGCGAGGCTGCTAGCATGGGGACAATTTGTGCATTTGACTCAATGGCTTTTTTTTGGTGTCTATTGTTTCACACTTTTGCTTGTTTGTTGATATTCAATTATAAAATATCACAATGCGGGTTCCTCATGCATGGCGGGTAGCCTGTTGATCTTTCGATATATTTCTTAGATCCCCCCAATATATTAACTCCCTCTTTGCCATAACAACACCTAGATCCATATTCATTGCTCATACACAACAACCCCATTCCCATGCCCAACTGTATATTGACCCTTGGCAAGTTATTCAAAAGGCGAGAAAAGACGGAGAAAATCCGTAAACAAAACGTACAGAAGGGGTCCAATTCTATACATACACATGTTCAAATAGTTCAAAACACCCCTGGGCCTTCACAAGTTCGGAAATCCTCCAGCTGTCGTGATTTCTTTAGGAAATTATCAACACGCTCATCGAGAGCTAGTAATAGCGATTCGCCTCGCGCGCCACCAGTAATCGCATTTGAGGACAGAATCTTGCATGGTGGCAGTGATATCTTCCACACCCCACCCTCCGAAATCAACAACCACCATAATTTCTTAGCAGATGCGTTTCTAACAGAAGACGAATACGGAGTCTCGCTCGCTACAATTCCGCTTTCACCATATGCAATATCATTCGATGATAATGTATTAAGTACAAGCACGTCCAAAGAAGAAGATACCCATCCCTTTACCACCACCAGCTCCAGTGCTTCGGTCACTGAAGCCAATGTACAAATATATCAACCTGCACATGTAAAGATTGTCGAGATGCCCGAATATGAGGAGCATCACAGCGACAACGATTCCCTCTTTATTGAAGAAGAGCTTAATGAAGAAGATCCGATTTCTCAAACTATCATTTCAAAGTCTGGTACTTTGGAAGAGACAACGACAAATGATAGGTCGTCAATATATAGGTTAGAGATGGTGAACCTCGTTGCGAAACACCAAAGCATTATGGCTAAGCAAGAACGTGAGATTGCTCATTTGAAAAAGTTGTTATTAGAACAACGGCACGTCAATAACCTATTGCTGATGGCTACACACAAGGGACACACGCTGCAAGCAGCCAAGGACCCAAGTGAATTCAAAGTAAGGCTGTCATTTATCCCAATTCAAATAATCAGCGAACAAAATGCCGAGGAAGAACAGCCTAAAGATTTGCTCCCTCCTTTTATTGCCAAACGACAGGATCAAGTTCTGGTAAGGACTGAGATGTACCGCAAGAGTTCATCAGAATCTTCATGGGCACGACACGGCTCCATCACATCGGATGTTTCCAGTATAATGAGCAGTTCACACCGTCACCAAGCGCAACGTAAACTTTCAGAGGACCTGTATAAACCTCTGCCCTGTGTAGCATTATAGTATTAATAGTTTATGAACAAAAAAAAAAAGTATGTTTTTATATTCGAAATGTTTTATATGATATAGTACACGCTATTATCTTATTCTACAAAAGTTTAAACTCTTATGACTGCAACTCCTTGATTTCGTTTTCATCAGCAACTAATCCCATCACGACCAAATACATATTCAAGTTATTCAACAAGTTTTGCTTCTTGTACAAGTTGGCAACGTCGGCTGGGTCAATATCCTTGGCCCTGGCCATGACACCAAAGATCTCGTCTCTGACTTCATCAACAATGATTCTTTGATGGCTCAACTTACCTCCCAAACTCAAAGTAGCCAAGAATTGCCAGACGTAATTCTCACGAGAGGATCCATCGTCAACGTCTTCGGGGTGGGGTGGGAAGATAGCGGCAATTCTCGATTCAAGAGAAGTGAATAATTCATCGTAACATGATGACCATTCGGAAAGATCAGTAGCAGAAATTGTTCCTTCACCAATGATAAGTTCAGCACGAGAAAGCAAGGTGGTCAAGATAGAAAGACCGATCTTAGTAGTGGACACAAACGACACATTGTTGTGCTCGATAAGAATAACCAAAAGACCAATGATTTCATTAAACTTAAAGTCTAGAACGGCATTCATCAATACCTTAGAAAAGGTCATGGAATAAGAATCAACAAGATGGGCAATGTTTTCAGGAACACGCTTGTTAGCATAGGTAGTATAAGAACCATGTTTTATCACGGCGAGATTTTCCAAGTTGGACATGATTAAAGTAGTGATGGTCAAGATTTGTTCTCGGTTCAAAAACTTGAACAAACGGGGTAAGATCTTCAACATCTTGTTATAGTTCAAACATTGAATGAATGGGTTGACCTCAGGTTCTGGATCACCAGAACATGACGCATGTTCCAATACCTTGAGAGAATCCCATAATTTACTAGTGTCAATGTCATGCAACGCTCTAGTTTCACTTTCAACATTCATCAATTCGGTGATTATTCCTTCCAAGATATTCAAAATATCCTTCTTGGAATACAGAGTGATTTCCTTATCTTGCTTAACTTCACCGGCTCTTTCTCTTTCCGCAGCCTTACTGATGATTTCCAATTGTTGTCTTGGCTTCTTACCGGTACCAAACGAGATCTTACCCAATGCGCCTTCCTTGGCATATTGAGTCAACTTAGGTCTTTCCTTGGCCACAGTGACGGCTTTTTGCACTTGTTGTTGCATTCTTTGCAAGGCGACATCGGCACGCTTGTATCTTCCACCTAAACGATGACCACTTTGTTCCAAATAGGCTTGAGCAATGGAGTTGTTGGTACTACCCATAGGTTGGACATTGTCATTCTTTGGATGAATGACCTTGTAGACTTGGGCATAGAAATCTTCATTGTAAGGATCTTCGGTGACAATTTGCGACAATTGGAAACGAGTGACGAAATCCTTGTCTTTAGGGTTCATAATACCAGAATACTTCATGATTCTCGACACTTTTTCTTGTCTGCGAGCAGCACGTTCTTGTTCTTCAGGAGTAAGAGTGTGTTGAGGAGGGTGGACTTGAGATTGGAGTGGAGCAATGTGGTTATGTTGATGTTGTTGTTGATGTTGTTGCTGCTGTTGTTGTTGTTGTTGTTGTTGGTGTTGGCGATGAGGTTGGTGGTGAGCATCATGTGCTTCCTTTGAGCCAAGAACAGGAAAGTGGGACAAGTCAACCTTCTTAGGAGGGGAAGAAGATACCACAGAATTGTCAACAGCTGTTTCAGGGGCTCCTTCTTGAACTTGACTTTCTTCAGCTGGTTGCACTGATCCGGCAGTATTAGGGATAGGTTGCGGTTGCGATTGTTGAGGCACAGGTTGACCAACTGGTGGTTGGGGAGGAACACCCATAGGTGGAGGAGGCATCCATCCGGGCATTTGTCCATACGCCTGGGGAGGAGGTGGAGGAGGCATGTATGCACCCGGTGGGGGAGGCATCATATATCCAAATTGAGGTGGAGGCATCATGTATGGTTGCATGAATTGACCTTGAGGTTGTTGCTGCTGTTGTTGAGGAGGTTGGGCCAGAGGATCAATTGCGGTCAATTGAGCTTCGATTTCTTCTAACGACAAGATCTTTCTTTCACCACTGGCAATTGGCTGTTCGTGCTTGATTGGAGTGTTGGTGCCCCAAAGATCTTGCATAAACTCGTCGTCAGTAGGAGCAGCAGCTTGAGCATAGCTGACACCTTGTGAAACAGAACCGGTAGAAGCAGTGGCAGGAGCAGCTGCAGGAGGAGCACTGGCACCGGCACCGGCACCGGCACCGGCACCGAAGTCGAAATCTTTTCTGATTTCGCCAGTGCTGGTCCCAAATGTCTCATCATTAAAAGCATCATCGGCTTCGTCTAATCCTTCATAAGTTTCTTGGAATTCGTAAACTTCTTTCTTGTTGTTGTTCCTTCCTGCTGGAGGAGCAGTTGGATCAAACCCAAAGAATGACATTGTATGTTGTACTATCTAATGATTGATGGTAAACAAGTGGATATGATGTTGCCCTTTTCAAAGTGTCGACAATTTCAGTTTTTTTTTTCTTCGCAAAAAAAATCAGCAAAAAAATTCTCTCGTATGTCACGTGACCAACATGGTAGCATAGATAGCCATGGTTATTTACTGGTACACACATCTCGTCTATTACGTATTAGTCATTCTATTAATCTATATCTATAGATGTATATATACAAGCTATGTACAAAAAAGACAATGCCAGTCTTTAGCTAAACATCATCAACAAATGCCAGTAATGCACTTCTCAATTTCACATCCATCTCTTCCCATTCTCCTTGCGCATCACTCAATACTGTGATAGCACCCCCTGCACCTATCCTCCAACATTTGGTATTATCTCTATTATTAACATCATCAACATAATGAAACACCAGTCGAATAATAACCGACCAATCGGCATCATCAGTGACCGACCAATACCCCACAACACCACTGTATATTCCTCTTCTTCCACCTACTATTCCCTCTTGCATACTCTCAATATCCTGAAGAAGCTCAACAGATCTTCGCTTAGGCGCACCGGTCATGGACCCTGGAGGAAGCGACGAATGCAAGAGATCTATTCCATGATACCCTTGTCTGTCAAGAGATCCTTGAATAACACTGACTAACTGGAACACAGTCTTGTATTCTTCCACCGTCATCAACTGGGTCACTTGTACAGAGCTAAGGAACTGGAAAAGGTCATGGCGGATTAAATCGACAATCATAAGATTCTCACCCATTTCCTTGGGAGTCTTGAGGATAGCCGATGCCATTTCATGAGTCACATCATCGGTGTTCTTTACTGTTCCCTTGATAGGACGGAGTTCTGCCATTTTAGCTTGGCTCTTCTCGTCATCCTTCCACGACAAGAATCGTTCTGGAGAAGACGAAAGAAGCACACAATCGTCAAATTGCATAAAACAGGAAAATGGACTAGGATTCTTACGAAGTGTGAGCACTTTGTAAATGTCCCATGGGTCTATATAGCTTGGTAATTGGATTTTCAGTTGTGTAGTAAGACAAAGTTCATACGAGTCCCCCAGATGGAGCCATTCTTGGCATTTGGCAAATTGTTGGGCGTAAATGTCCTGATCGGGGAACTTGAATTTAATCATGTCTTGGTCAGTATCTTCAGCCAAGAACTTTACAGTCATTGGAATATTATCGATATTAATTGGAGTAACTCTGGTCAATTCTTCGGCTATTGAATCTCCCCACTTGGTATCATCTTGTTTGTTAATGGAAACAATATACCAATCTTGGTTTATATGGTCATAAGCCAAGAATCTCTCAATAAAGATCAACTTAAGATCAGGGGTGGGGTTTTCACCACAAATCGACTCCAACTTTTCAATTATTAAATGCTGTCCTTCTTCATATGAGATAAGTCCCATATATCCACCAAGAAAGGGAAGTGCTCTGCCTTGGACTCCACCCAATGTAGAATTGATAGTGTCTCGAGAAACAAACTTTTCTTGCATACGTTTTGCAATCACCTTCCACACTGTTTCATCAGTTATAGTGTTGTTCTGGCTTGCTGACTTGTAGGCAGATATATGCACTTTGTTGTCATCCACTGAATGAGTAATTACTTCACTCTGCCCTTCGATAGGAAGACCAATTATTGACCATTCACCTGGAATAGACGCTGAATTAAGCAACACAAAATCGTTTTCGTTATCTCTATTATGAAAGTAATCACAAACATCCATTGCATTCACATCCAACTTTATTTGCTTGAAATAGATCCGATCAAGCTTGTTTGACTTGAGATCTCCGCCTTCAATCAAATACTCTTCGTGAACAGCATGATGATTTAGCCAATTCAGCGACAAATCAACATGTTTGTCAAATACGTCTGGCCTATGGTTTCTATTATACTCAGTTGCAATCTTAGTAAAGTTCTTAACCAAATCATCTCCTCTCTTGGAACAAATACTCTCGGGGTGATACTGCACTCCATAAAACGGAAGCAGTCTATGTTTCATTGCCATAAGAATCTTCTCGTCTTGCTCCGGTTCAAAACAGTATGCCAAGGGGACAATTTCCTCATTGACTTTCCCCACAAATAACGAATGGTATCTGACACTCTCAAACACGTTGCCATCAAATAATCCAGCCAGGTCTTCAACAGGATGTATATCGTATATTTGTCCGTGTCTTACATTCTTCAATTTGTCGACTGGATTGCCAAATTCGTAGCACAAGCTCTGAAATCCCAAACAGATCCCCAACACAGGGACAACGGTGTCTCCAGATTCGCTAGCACTTTTCATACGCTGCAAGAGCCAACTAATTATCCCAACGTCTTTTTCAATCAGGGGATGGCCAGGACCAGGGCCAATAACCACGTATTCAAACAAGGGAAGGTATTCAGTGTAGAATTTTTCATATTCACAAGGGGGGAATGCATCGTTATGGATGGTGGCCACTTGCTGGTTGGAATTAGTGGCAATGAGATGGGCAAGGTTGTTTGTGAACGAGTCGTAGGAGTCAATTAGTAGAATCATCTTGAAGTGGCTGCCTTTTTCATTACTGTCTTGTCTTTTCTTTCACTTTTTTTTTCTTTCTTTTGCGTCCCAGCATGACGCTACCATACGTTTGTCATATGGTTGCGCTGGATTTACACATCACCCAAACATTTGCATTGGTAGCGAGTCACCTTTTTATATTCTTGGTACAAATCCTCGCATGTATTTTCACAGTGCTGTCAGGGGTTGGGAAACCTAAATCAATATCATAACCAATGCAGGCCAAATGCTGTGGGAAATAGGGAGATTTTAAGCTTCCTAAAAAGGTTAATGCATTGGCAAAGGAGTCTTGGGAATATGGAACTAAAACTACACGTCCAGGTTCATGCAATGAGTTGCTGGTGAAAACCATGGGGAACTACCATGGGGAAGTACCATCGTGTAGTGAAGCACTGACAATCATAGCCACTCAAAAGAGCAAAAAAATAAACATAACATCAACTGACAACAGCGTAAGGTTGTATCGATTGGGTTTATGTTTTCACAAGATAACGGAAAAAAAATATAACAATGCAGCATCGTACCATTCACCCCCGCATATCCCGCTTCGAACTTTATTCAAAGACAATCCAGTACCCTCTATCCCCTCTTTAATATATCCTAAACGAGATATAAAACCACGTAATACTCCCCCCCCTGAAAATTTATTTATTCTTCCCTCACCTCAATTCTCTCTATATTATTATGTCTGAAAGTAAATACGCATTAGTTACTGGCGCTTGCCAAGGTATCGGATACCAGTTATCTGTGGAATTATCAAAAGCAGGATACAGAGTAATTGGATGTTCTCCTGCAAAAGTTATCCATCTTCAAAAGCCATTGGAAGACAAATACGACTTGATTTCCATCCCTCTTGATATTACCAAGGTTGAAGAAATCAAAGCTGCAGCTTTAAAAGTCAATGACATAACTGGTGGAAAATTGCACGTGCTTTACAACAACGCAGGCATATCCGTTATTGGTCCTGCCATTGAGACTCTGGAAGAAGATTTGTTCAACGTGTTTAACGTCAATGTCCTTGGTCACATCAATATGACCAAGTATTTTGCTCCTCAAGTAATCAATGCAAAGGGGACAATTCTCTTCACTAGCTCGATTGCAGGAAGAGCCCCACTTTCGTGGGTAAGTGCTTACAACGCATCCAAGGCTGCAATTGATCAATACGCTTTGACATTACATGGAGAAATGAAACCATTTGGAGTGAGAGTCCACAGTGTCATTACCGGAGGGGTCAATACCGCTATTTGTGACCCAAACTTGTCTGCTAAATTAGTTGATTCGTATTACAATGTACCAGGGGTCCAGGACAGTTTGAAGGCATCCGCTACCATGTCCCGTGACGTAAATATCTCACCCGAGAAATACGCCAAAGAGATAGTTGCTGACATTCAAAGGAAATGTGATCCCGGTTTCAATCTTTACCATGGAGCAAGATCCTATCTTATGCATTGGGCTAGTAGATTCTTACCCTTGTGGTTTTTTGAAATTGCCGTGCAAATCCACTTTAAACAATTCCAAGTGTTTAGAACTATTGCCAAAAATGTCAAGCAAGGAATCTACTCAAAAAAGAATGAATAGGCTATATGTATTAGTTCTAAATAAATCTAAAGAAGTTCGTCCTCGTAATCCTCTTCATCGCTTGATACTTCTTGTCCTAATTTTTTTAATTCCTGTTTATACTTTTGTTTACTTTCATCCAAATCAGCCATTATCAACATAAGTTCATCTAGTTCAGATTGTGCAACACTATGTTTAAGCTTGGACTTTAATTGTTTAATCTCAGACTCATACGTTGTTTGTTTGGCCTGGCATTCCTCTTCCAATGCCTGCAATTGTTCAGCAATCTTGGCGTTGACTTCACGCAGTTCTTCTAATGATTGACGAAGTTGAAGTTTTTCAGTGGCATCCTCTTCTACTTGAGAGACAAGTGCTTCCTTTTCTTTAATCAATGCTTCACTCTTTTCAAGATGTGCTTTGGTTTCAATAAGTTCTTGCTCGAGTTGTTCTTTGGCTTCAACAAGCTCCTGATCAGGTTCAGAAGATACTTCCTTTATTCCATTTAATCTAGTTTGCATTTCGTCTCTTTCGCTAGTTAAATTAGCAACCTTCAAATTACACTCATTCAACTCCTGCTCAAGTTGTTTAACACTTTCACGTAACACGGCATCAAAGGAAACTTCTCCATCAACCACTCTCTTCAACTCATAAATTTCTGCTTTCAATTTCTCAACTGATTCCTCATGATCAAACACAAGATCTTCTTTACTCATGGTCAATTCGATTGCTCTTGCATTACATTTTTCCAATTCCACTGCCCTTGATTGCAATAATTGTTCGAGTCTATCCTTTTCTTGGGAAACAGCTTCGAGTTCTTCCTTTAACAGAATGGATTGTAGGTCCTTTTCATTTGACTTTGATTGTGAAAGAATGTCGCTTATATCATTGTACTTTTCAAGGGTTACACGCAACTCCTCATCTCTTTCCTTAAGTAATTCTTGCAACTTGTCAACCTGTTCATGTTTATATTGTTCACCATTAGCAGTCAACTCTTCAATCTCATTCTTGGCATTAGAAAGTTCTTTCTTGGCAATATCCAACTCGGTAGAAATATTCTCTATTTGTTCAATCTTGGTAGCATGTTCTCTTCTCAACAATTCAATTTCAATTTGCACAGATTCCAACTCAGATTCTTTTTCAGCAACATCTTTCTTGACATCACCATGAGCAATCTCCTCCTTAAGTTCATTATATTCGATCGTCAACTTGGCAATCTCATCAACTAGCTTAGTCTTGTCCTCGCTAAACTCAGCCGCCATTTGAGTATGCGATTCATTATTGGCACTGATTGTATCTTCCAATTCCTTTATCTTGTCTGAGTATTCTTGGATAAGATCATGGGAACTTTCATTAAGAATAGATTTTTGCATTTCTGCATCAGTAGTTTTGCTTTCCAACTCTTCTTTCAACTTGGAGATTTCGTCTTGTTGGGTTTCTAGCTTCGTTTGCAAAGCGACTAACTCAGATTGAGTTTTGGTTAATTCAGCAGTGGATTCTTCGTTTAACTTGTCTACTTCGAAGTTATCATTAACCTCAGTTCCACTTGCAATGACCAGTTCAAGTCTAGAAACTTCCTCTTCAAGTTCAGAAATAGTTAATTTCAATTGAAGGATAAGATCATCGTCATGTCCAGAACCACTATCGGCCAACTTACCATTCAACTCGTCAATCTCATCTTGAGCTAGCTTTAACTTTTCCGCCATTTCTGATTCAAGAGTTAAATCCTCAATCTTGGAATTTAATTCACTAATTTCACTTTGTTTGATTTCCATATCGGCCGCCTTCTGCGAGATCACTTCTTCACGAGCAACCAAGCTTTCTTCAATGGATACTTTTTCTTTCTTGAGTGCTTGAATTTCCTGGAGTAAAAGCTGGAAATTATCGTCGGCCTGGGCAAGTTCCATTTCCAATTCAGCAATGCGTATAGTAGACTGTTCAACAGTGGACACCAATGAGGCATGATCGTCATTATCAGCTTGTATTTCTGCAAGCTTAACTTCGAATTTCGACTTTTCATAATCACGAATCTTGCGAATATCGTCAAATTTCTTTAATGCATCATGGAGCTGTTGACTGAGCTCTTCGCTGTCGTTGTTGTCAGGGGCGGTAGACACCGTCAGATCAAGCTTTTCTTGAAGATTCTTGTTCTTTGTCTTGAGAAGATCAATCGTAAGCTCGAGATCTTCTTTAACAAACTCAATTTCTTCATTCTTCCGTTCAATTTCCAAATGCAACAACTTGACTTCATCACTTGCTGATCCATTCGACTTAAGTTGTTCAAGTTCATTACGCAATTGCGAAAGCTCTTGTGTATTGTCCCCACCTTCCAATTTCTTATTCAATTCCTCGATTTCCTTGATCTTCATATCCAACTCACTCTTGACCAATTCACACTCTGCTTGCGCGGTTTCCTGAGCCTGTTTCAAATCCAGGAATGCAACACTGGCTGATCTTAATTTATCCATCAAATGAGCGTTGGTAGCTTCTGATTCGTACAACTTCTCTTCCAACTCCCTTGTAGCACCTTCTTGTCCTCTGCTCAAACTGGAAACCTGGGCATTCAATCGGTCTAATCTTGATTGGTACTCCTTATTTTCCGTTTGAAGTTTCTCAATTTGGGAATCAGAAGTCAGTTTTGATTTCGTTAAAGTGTCATTGAGTTTCTTGATGTCGCGTTCGTACTGCTTCAGTTTAGAGTCAGCTTCATCACGTTGCTTTTGGAGCGAGAATAAATCTCGCGTCATTTTATTAATCCCATCTTCCAATTTCTTGCGTGCTTGTTCGGACGTATCTAACTTCTCTTGAATTTGACGGATCGTTTCATCGGAAGTGGCCAACTTACGACGGGCTTCATGAAGTTCTTGGAAGTAGCGAGCTGATGAAGTTTCAAATTCCCGCTTGGATATTTCCATAGCATTCAATTTCTCAAGGGTATGATTCAAGTTCTTGTTAACAGAACCCTGTTCCTCTTTCACAATGGTCAATTCTCGTTCTGAGTGTTCCAACTTCTCACGTAAATCAGTACTAGCTTGGGTTAATTCCTCAATCTTGGAATTGAGTTCGGTTTCATGAGCACCAGCACGTCTCTTTTCATCATTGAGCTCCTTCAAAAGTTCAGTCACTTGTGTATCCAACTCTTCAAACTCTTCATAGGTGATCTTACCACGGGGTTCGCCAATTGGATCATGCCACAAGGCTCGTTTAATTCTAGGGAAGTTTTCCTTGATTAATTGCACATAACTCATATCGAAATATACTTTAGGAAGTCCTTGTTCGTCTTTGACATCGGTGAACATCAGTAAATCATCACAATCCTTAAACGCAGGGTTCAATCTAAATTGCTTCACTTTCAAGGCGTAGTTGTCCCGTCCCAAACTCTTAACCATAAGAGAATGCAAGCTTTCTCTCGAAGTTGGTGAATCCTTGGATGAGAACTCATATGCTACACCTAATAATATAGTAGCCATGCCACTAATCAAAACATTCAGCTCAGTGGTGTGGTCCGCCAACCATGAGAGCAAGGAAGTTACCACTGATTGATCACTTACAAAATCATTCACGGCATCAAAATCTTCATACATCCAATATGTCAAAAGCTGGATGTATCCCATGGCAATACGTTGATCTGATCCCCGTTCCAAATGAGTAATTAACAAACTGGCCATAGCAGCAATAGAAGTCATCACTTCTTCTTCAGTATCGAGTGTACCAGTATGTACAGAACGGGCAAATTGTCGATTAGTATCAAGAAGATTCATGAGGATGAGCGAGGAAAACCAGATACGGTAGGGGTTGAGATTGATGTCGGCATCGTAATCCATTAACGTCGTAAATAAGTTCCCAAATGGAGTGGCCACGGCATGGGAATCTACTACCGGCTTAACTTGTTGTCCTTCTTCTTGTTGCTTTTGTTTTTCTTGTTGAATGTTTTCAAAATACAGACTGTCGGAATATGCCTTGATTTGATCCTGTAAAAATGCCTGTTTGGCTTCTTCATTTTCGTTGAAGTATGCTTTTAAACAAGTTAATGACCCCACTCTAATATCAAATGCGTGCACGGAGTTAATAAACAAACACCAATTGAGTAATGCTATGGGGACTGGGATCGTCAGGGTATAGGTTTGCAAGGTGGTGGGCAAACTTGGATCGATGTATGGAACGTCAATTTGCGAGAATGCAAATTGGATATTGGCATTTCCGGAAATGGCATCGGCTGCAGTTAATAAAGCAACCAGCCTAACTGCATTGTCGGTAATAGGAGAAAACACCAACTTGAGGACGATATAATGGATTCCCGACGAATAAAGAATGTCTTGGTTGCTAGTTCTAAGTTCATTGTCTTCATTCACTAAAAGACGACAGATTTCTAACGCAATGATCATGTTTTGGATTCGTTGTTCTGTCCAGATGATGGGTGGTGTAACAAATGGGAATCCGTTATCGGGATATAATGTTTCATTTTGTTGTTCGTCAATGGGTTCAGCCAAAAGTTGGGCTAATCGAGGTACACACTGAGTTTCCATAAAGAATTTCTGATTCAGGGCATTGAATTGAAGGAGGTTAGTTATAAGGGTAAGACAGTCTTGGACAAGTATTGATCCTCTAATTCCTCCTTCTTCATCTATAATTTCAAATAACCGGTCAAAAGTGTTTTCAAATGCAACTAGTTTTTGAATGTTGAAGTTATCATTGACAATGGCCATAAGAAGGAGAATCACTTCGTTACGAACTTGTTCATTGACGTCACTGAGCAAAGCACAAATTGTTGACATTGCAGTAGGTGTATTAAGTAGGTTCTCCTTGACTTTGGTACCACGAGTGGCCACTAACGATTCTAACAATTGCAACGTGTACAACTTAATATGGTAATCACTTTCTCCGTCCAAGTTCTGCAATAATAATTCGAGCACTTCTATATCCTGGGTCAATTCATCGGCAATCCAGATCAGCAATTGGTCCATAGACAATTCGTCCATGAGCAAAGGTGATTGGTACTTGCCATTCTGGATTCTCAGCTGTTGTGAGATCCATCCTCGTGCTACTTCTTCATCTTGTTCCTGCCCTCTAATAAACAAAATCAATAATGTTTCCAAGATTGCTTTGACGATTTCTGGGTTTGATAAGTCCTTCTTGAGCGTTGAAATCAATGGACGAAGCCCATATTCAACGACACTTTCACGATATTGGCGAGAGAATGACCGGAGTCCAAGCACGGCAGAGCGTCGGTCACTGGAGAGATTGGCGTGTTGGAGTCGATTTGATAAAGTTGGAATCGCTTCCTCAACCAGTTGGACTTGGTGCTGGCCAAGAGCTTTGCTGACGTAGTCCATGGAAGCTTGGGTGGAGGTAGTGGGGTTGTTGTTTGTTGTCTGATTAGTTTGGTGGTAAAAAAATTGAAACTTCCAACGAGACTTTAAATTTTGTCGTTTACCAAAACAAACTTTGTTGTCAAGACAGGACTGTTGTAGACAAATGGCTAAATGAACGCGTTCGACTTAAAGTATGAACTATCGCCTACTGATGCCAAGGAGCTTGCAAATGTTCCGTCTACTCTTCAGCTATTTCCTGATGTGTGCGAGTTTGAGGAAGGGGGTGATGTAGAGGGGTACGCGGACAGCAACAATGACTATGTTGATGATTGGACGCTCCAAAGAATTGGTACGCTTCAATATCGATTAGAACTTCTTGAGACCAGACAGTATTTTGGCAGATCAGGCTTGAACCTGGTGGCCGCCCATATGATATATGGCTTGGCTAATGACGTGTTTGGATTTAACGGGTGGTCAACCACCATTCTTGATTGCGTGTTTGCAGACTTCAATGAAGAGCCAGAAAAGTTTTCTGCAAAGTGTACAGTTAAGTTGCGGATTACGTTACGAAGTGGCGCTACAATGGAACATTACGGTACCGGAGAGGCTGTAAATTTGCCACACAAGTATATGTGTTACAGTAAATGCAAGAAGCAGGCAGTGACTGCTGCCACCAGAAACGCGATTCTTGGTCTTAAGGAGCTTTTCTATAGATACGAAAAGAGAGAACTTGAAGAGGAAGCGGAAGAAGAAGCGGGAGAGGAAGCGGAAGAGGAAACAGAACAAGAAGAAGCCAGTTTAAAGAATGTGAGCATAGGTTAATCCTTCCAGCTTCAAACTCTGGTCATGACTTTCGACTCAGTTGCTGCTTTAGCACCAAACGGATATATCTGGACTGAAATTGATATCTCAGCTTAATGCCAAGCCCATCGGTGTATACGACCCAATGTCTGAGCAATACCCCCCTATAGCACGCACAATGAATTACTTTTTTTTACATTTTATTAAAAGTATAAGTATATACATTAGTAGTCCAACATTCTAACCTTTGGGAAGTCCTTAATTACAGGCTTTGGAATGATATCAATCAAATAAACAACCCCATTATCGTCAACACGTTCTCGGTCTCTTTCACTCATATCATGGATCTCATCGATGTTCTCCCTGATAAACAGTACCAACTCACCCCATCTTCTTTGAATTTCAAGTGCTTGTTGTTTCTTACCACGTCTAATCAATCCTTCAATCAACAATACAGCATCTGGTTCCGTTTGGTCAAGACGTTCAACCAATCTGCCTACAGACTTGATTAAATACTCTTCTTCGTAAATAGTACCTTTTCTTCCCTTTGCCCTCTTTCTTTCTTCACGCTTTCTATTCTTGGTGGTTCTTCTCGAAGCTCCAGTCTTGGCTGTTCCCGAAGTCTTACCTGTGTATCTAGTGAAGAAAGATGGAGTGGTACTTGTTTCACTGGCAGCAATAGAAACATCATCAGGAGTGTCCAAATCATTATCAGGGACACCGTAGAATGAGTAAGGATCCTCGCTCTTCTTGGCACGAAGCTCACGAAGACGACGGAGTTGCGAGTTCATTTGACCGTTACAGTCAGCTAACAACTCGGCAATGGTACCAAACCCTTCATCAAGTTGGCCATCTATTGATTCAATAAGATGTTGCTTGTCACTGGCAGTAGATGCAACAAGGATGGCAGTGTCGTAATGATAGTTCTTACAATACAACTTCACGGCCTCGTCAATGTTGTTCAAATAGTGGAGTTGAATTTCAGCAGCTTCGCTATAACGATGGTCTTGGGTTAATGAGTCAACCAACCTAACGGCAACTTCTTCCTTTTGGTCATCTTTACACAAACTAAGTGCTTGTTTCCACTTCTTGGCCAAGCTATAATTGTCAATGGCATCACTAATATCACCCAAATACTCAAATGCCACAGCAGCATCGCTAAACAACAGCAGTTCGCTCAAGTATCTAGCGTACAATCTCAACATCACCCTGCTTCTAGCTTGGTCGCCTTCATACATTCTCAAAGCAACGGTGTACAACTCATGCAGAATAACATACTCGTCAAACTCACCAGCACAATCAGGTCCCAATTCAAACAACCATTTCAAGGCACTCTCGTAACGTTTTAAGTAGTCGTCAATCAAGAACTTTCTTCTGATTTCCGGTTGGGCATGCAAGTTTTGCAAGAATGGCAAGTATTCCTTAGGATCCATTTGTGATTGCTGGGCAATGGCAAGAGTTAACTTGACGTCATACATTCCCAAAGCGGTCTTATAAAGAAGAAGAACATCTTGAAGGAAACACAAATGGATCACAGCCGATTCAGCTTCTTCACCAGAAAGGGTCGAGATAAGTTCAAGCGCTGCGTTTAATGCTGGTGGTTTCTGACAGGCATAGGCGGTGAGAATGGTTTGGATGTATTTGGTCTTGTAGTCTGGTTCAAGAAGAACGCCAAGAATGGCAGTACAGATTTTGGTAATTTTCGAGTTTTCCGCATATGTTTCTGGTTTGTTCTTGATGATACGGTGGATAACGCCCGAGTCAGCAGTTGGTGTAGGGGTATTTTCTAATTGTAATGCACCTACACCGTCAGTTATCTGATTGATGGTGTCTTTATATTTAGTAGCGGTAGTATCCTCTTCATGCAAACAAGAAACAAACAAGTCCAAGTATTCTACCTTTTCAATTTGATCAACAAACAACTTGATATTATTGAAGAACAACTCTGGGTCATAATCATGCAAAATATCCAAATCAATTCTATGGGTTCTACACACCAAAAACGCTTGCTTAAACTGCTTATGGGCAATAAACTTTCTGATTGCACTCAACACCATAATACGAGGACAAATGGTTTCCAAATTACCACGAGGAGCTTCAAGAACTACCGAGTATTTCAGTGGCATAGCATTGACCAAAATCGATCCTCTTTCAATCTGTCTGATTCTCTCATCGTGATCAGCAGCTTCTGAATTGGTCAACAAGTTGGAAATGGCATCGAATTGATTAGATCCCAAATGAACCAAGCAAAGCTTGGCTTGCACAGTAGTGAACAACACGTGACTATCCGTGACTTTCAAACTGGTGACACCGCTGCATACTTCCAATTCGTTAGCAAACAATTTCCCATTTCTGGAAATACCATATGTGAAAAAGTCCCCATTTTCGAGAACAACCACGTCGAAGGAATGGCATAATTGCGGGAACGTCGTGATTGGTTGAAAATTTTGCGTCGAGTCTAATTGCACAACACGACAGTCAACTGTTTGGAACACAATGGCGCCGTAGTCCGCGCGGGATTTCATCAACACTAATTTGGCACTGGGTTCCACGGTTTCGTTGAATGTTGGATTCTTGATATCGTCTACTTCGAAAATGGCGATTCTGGAATAGCCAGGAGCTTCGATGGCAATAGCGACAAAGGTGTCATTAATGAATGCTACCTGTTTGGCAACTTCAATTTGGTTCATGAATGTGTTGGCACTAACGTGGGACATTGGTTGCGGGTGCTTACCTGATTTCATTTCTTCAATTGACAATTCACTAAATACTAAATCACTAGTGGAGGTAATTGCCGCGTATTTGGTGTTGGACTTGGATATGGCCACATCAGTTACGTTTCCCTCAATTTCTAATTCTCGGAAACTGATAGGAGGTGGAACATTGGCAATTGCCAAGGGAGTGATCTTGACGGTGGATCCATCAACAACTAATGTCATACCGAGATCACCGGAACCTAATTCAGTGGTTGGTCCCGTAGTGATCTTGTATGCTAAGTCAATTATTTGAATGACACCACTGGCAGTACCCACCATTAAATGCAATGGTTTCTCAGGATGAAACTTTACAAATGACACAGCATCCGGAAAATGCAATTCTTGTTTCAAATACCAATGGTAGTTTTTGGTGGTCCAGAGTTGAACTCGATCTTGCAATTTAAAAAGTAAGATTTCTGAATCACAATTCCATTCCAATCCTTGGATAACTTCTGCAGTGGGATCGAGTCTAGTATTGAATTGTCCATGCCTAAGCCCGTTACGTTCATAAAACACCAAGTCAAGTACTTCATCACCATCATCGTCTGTATGTCTTTGGGTGCTGGCAATCAATAATCCTTGTGGTTTCCAACTCAAGTTATGTTCTAAACCGTCAACTGGTTCATTAACGCTGTCCAATTTCCCTTCTCTACTGAACACACGAATGACACGTCTATCATACATTTCCCCAGTGTCTTCAACAATGACTGGTTCGACTGAACTAACGGAAAAGTATTCACAATCACCTCTCCAACTAATTCTCACACTTTGATCGTCCATGAGAGAAAGAACACCTCGTTCGATTTCATTAACTGTAGGATCTCTCAATTCTCCTTGACTATCATGCAACCCTGCATGTTTTAATGCTTCGGCTTCTCTTTCTCTTGCCTTGAACCCTCTTCCTTTGAATTGAGTTTCTTTCTTACCCCAGCCAACGGAAACATGTTTGGAATCGGTGATTTTCACGTCATCGGGGTTCAATTGCTTTTCAGTAATAGGTTCAAACATACGGGAGAGCAACAACAACTTCATTTCGTTGGTTACTACCGCCAATGTTTCTTCGTCGTGACTCCATTGAGCGGAGATGATCCCACAATCAATCGACCCAACAAGTTCGATAATGGCATCATCTACTTGTCCACCTTCAGCATAAGTAGCAGTAAGGATATCACCATTGCAGAATACAAACACGAGCTGGGCAACATCAGCAAAGTGGGCGAATGAAAGTACACGGGATGTGGATGGGAAGCTGGCCAATACAGTGACATTTCCGGATTTGCCGAACTGTTGTATTTCAATGTGGGATCCATCAACATCGGTGAGAAGGAAGGTGACGGAGTCGGAGACGGGGTCGAATACGGCATCAACTGGGTGCAAGTCCGGTATGGTTAGTGATTCCGGGTTTACGTGGCCTCGATTGAGCACTATTAGGTTTCTCATGGTGGTTGTATTGCGATTGCTTGGGTGATTGATTGTAAGAGCAAATCAATTGGAATAAAAAAAAAAATGTTTCGATGAGCATTTGGCGCGACATTTTTCTGACCAAAAGTTGTTGCAAAAATGTCGTGCAAGTAACCTCCATCAGATACATTTCTGATTAGACTTTTCTGAATACAACAATGGATAAGGTAAGCATTTTCAAGGAGAATCCTAATGAATTCTCTCCTAATTATTGGAAAACTATATTTCGAAGCAGTACTTTATTCACACGAAAGGCTAGATTTAATTACTTCTAGATGCACATATCCATATTTCAAAGAAAGCATTCTGACTTTCATTTAGGAATTTTCTTACAAATGATGATTTCATAAAGCTTGGTTAACTCTCATTCGATATCTTCAATTTCAGAATTAAATGTCAAGAGTAGCTAAATATGGACGGGAATATAACCGGTTTAGCATGGGAGTTTTTCATGGTACTGAAACACTGCGGGCAAGCTATAAATAATATATTCATCTCTTGTGAAAACGTTAATTTAAGCTTGTAGCTTGAAATTGATGGAAATTAAAGTTTACGGGGTCCAGTTAAACCGCCCCTCCCCCTCCAGAATTAACATTGCGGGGCTCACTAAGCATGTTCAGCAATCTTTTTTTAAAAAATTTTTTTCTACTGGCAAATGACGTAACTAATCTTGAATGATATAACTAATTAGTAATCATAGATGATATTTTCTTACTAATAGCTTCAATTACTAAACATAGGGTATGACGAGGGTATGCAAGGGAGATGAATAAATTAGGGTGCAAAAAAAAGGTTACAAAAGCAGCAATTATTAAGCAAGTAAGTTCGAGAACTGTTGCTGCGGGGTAGATATGATTGTCTAAATTTTTCAAAACACGCTTACACACTACAAACAAGTAATTTCAACCATAATGATTTCATAAATTGACATAAGTAAACCAAACAACATAAGATCTAAAAAAAAAAAAACTATTTCGTTACACCGCTAAACTTTTCTTATATTCCTCTACCGAATCCTTGACAATCAAGTTGGGGTACAATTGGTCCTCAAATAACGGTTCTCTGGTCAAGGGATCATAGTTTCCCCTCTTGTGTAAATGTGCCAATAAGTGGCATTTCTCATAGGTGATGCCGCTAGGAGTAATCACGGGATCTTCAAATAAGCAAAGTGAAATTGGATCTAACAAATGCTCGGGCGCATCATCGACCAATTTGTCAAATTTGTCTTTGATTCCCGCGGCCACTTTTTCATTGATAAGCGAGATGCAGTCGGAGTATATTACCCCGTCTTGCTTTTTGGCAAGCACATCTGAGTATAATGTTTTCGTGTAGTTATTCTTAAACAAGTCGAGCAAGTCAATATACTCTTGTAAGTGGGACTTGTACATGTTGAATAATGCCTGATGGTATTGAGCATCGTTAGCATTAGGATACTTAATTTGCAATGATTTCTGTTGTCTTAAATGGTTTGACTCGACGAGCTTGAATATTTTGGCGTAGAAAGACGTTTCATATTGTTTTAGTTGCTGTTTTATAATCACAATATCGTTATGTACATGTGGGGCAAGATCTTGAGGCTTTCCCTTTAAAGTTTTCCCTCGTTGGGCCGGTGTCGGCTGTGGAGTATTGGAAGAATTAAAGATAAGTTTGACTATGTATAAAAGGGCCATGGTATGTTGTGTGTGTGTGTGTATGTGAATGAGTAAATACCAAAAAAAAAAATTGAATGAATAAGGAGAGTGTGAGTCTTGGGGGACACTTAAATAATAAATGGAGAAAATAAAACCCTACAGACTAGTCAATATACGGGGCATATTGGGAGCATTATATAGTCGATCCCCCAGTTGGGAAATACACCCTAAAAAGAAATCCCAATTTTCTTTTAGGTTTTATTAAAATATTTCACACATTTAGTTGCAAGAAAATAATAATAATAATAACAACCAGAAAAAAAAGGGGTAGAACAACAACCATACCCTTGTTGTAACTGGGAATGTTATGCTTATTACCTCAGTGTACTTGCGGTGATGTAATATGTTGCAAAGCAAACATGGTTCTGCCCCAGCAACCCGGCAAAAGTTACTACGATCAGAGTCAAACAGCCTCGTTAGTTGCTGGTAGCTCACCATATTTTAAGGGCGCAGTTGGATAATCACGTTAACGTTATTGTCAGTTGTAGCAACGTGATGGCTAGAATTTTATCTCCGCAGTTTTTGGCTTAGTTTATCGGGTATGTGACGGGTATGACAAATGGTCCCTACATCATCGTCACATAAGTCATACTTTGTAATCATGTTCCTGTCTAGACTTTGTGCCGGGCTAGATTTTTTTTTTGCTTACTTACGAATGGGTCGTGGGATGATTGCTCGGGAAGGTCCCGCCAAAAAATTCAACCAATCTCTCCTCTCCCCCCCTCACTCGCCCGATCATTATTTTATTTTTTTTTTTTTTGCATCCTCACTCGAAGAGAGTATAGACAATGATGAGAGAACAATCAATATTTTAATTGGCTAGAACGGTAGTGGGTTTTTAGTCTATGCAGAACATTTGTAGACCTTATGCATAAATACTATCTATCCACACACGATCCGATATTTCTTTTTGAAAGAATCTTACCGATTAGTTCTTTTACGAATATTTCTTACCTCAGGCGGGCCGAACATATGATGTATTATATACATTCATCATGTTGCAACAGACTGAATCAAGTTCTTTCAGTGCTGAATTTGACATGAACTTACGCAAGAATAAGATATTGTCGGATCGGAGTTTTTTTTTCCTCCCCTAGACAGAGTCAATGTACCCCTGATTTCTTTTCACCGGCTGCCAAAAAAATGATCATTCATTTCTTCTACATTTAGTCAATGTTCGTACTTTAGAAGATATAGATTCATCTCAAAAAAGAAACTCCCGCCTCAACCCTACCGTTTTATTTTTTTTTGTGATAACTAATCATTTGCATGATCACGAAGAAGTAACGTTTCTTTTATATGTATGATGATCTAAGATCACGTTCCAAGCTATGTCAAAAAAAAATCGATCCTCTCTCTGTCGCGACACATTATTAAACTACGACACTCACCGCACATGGTATAAAATTGGGTCGTGCGCTTTTGCCAATATTTCACTCCCCAATGAGAAACTTAAAAAAAACATCACCAGCTTGATAGTCCCCAACCCCATCAGGTATTACAAAGCTTAATCAATCGAGTACACCTTCTTTTCCATCGCATAGCCATCATGCCAGAGAAAGAAGAAGCTATGTTCCGTATGTATATTCTCTAATACGAAATAATCATCAATTGATGTTCTATTCCCCACCACATCTACTAACACCCGTTTCAGGTTCTGCGGACATGTCCTTGGTACAATTGTACGTCCCTACAGATGTGGCCAGAGACATCATCTACAAGATTGGACAATTGAACATTATCCAATTCAGAGACTTGAACTCCAAAGTCAATGAATTCCAAAGATCTTTCGTTAAGGAATTGAGACGATTGGACAATGTTGAACGTCAATACAATTTGTTTAAGCGTGAATTGGTCTTACGTAACATTGACATCGCCAGTTTCCCCTACGACATGAACATCCCTCAACAAACTGATATTGATGAATTGTTGGAAAACTCTCAATTGTTGGAAGACCGCGTAGTTCAATTGAAGGATTCCGTGGAAACCTTGTACGACAACCAAAAGTACTTGAAACAGTTTAGATACACCATTCAATCAGTTGATAACTTCTTTGCATCTCAATCTGACGACGTCCCTGCAGCAGGAGCTGAAACTGCGTTATTGTCCCAATATGATATTGGTAGAGCAGAAGATCACGTTCGTTCGGCATCTTCATTCATCTCTGGGGTCATTAATAGAGACAAGGTTGCTGCCTTGCAACAAATCTTGTGGAGAGTATTAAGAGGTAACTTGTACTACCATAGTGAAGAATTACCTGAATCTATTTATGACGCTAAGCACAACACTTATGTCGACAAGAACTCGTTCATTATCTTTAGTCACGGGTCAATTATTCACGATCGTATTAAAAAGATTTGTGAATCTTTGGATGCCGATTTGTACGACGTTGACACCTTATCCAGTAGAAGAGTTGAGCAATTGTTGGAGGTCAATTCTAAGTTGACCGATTTAAGTACTGTCTTGGTTGAATCGGAAAATGCACTTTCTTCAGAATTAATTGCCATTTCTCGAGATTTAGGTAAATGGTGGGAAATACTTGCTCGTGAAAAGGCTGTTTACCAAGCCATGAATAGATGTGATTATGACGGATCAAGAAAGACTTTAATTGCTGAAGGTTGGGTTCCAACTGATCTGATTTCAGACTTGACCAGTTCTATCCAAGCGTACGATCAATCACAATCTATTCCAACTATTATCAACATTTTAGATACCAATAAAACACCACCTACATTTGCAAGAACCAACAAGTTCACTTATGCTTTCCAATCCATTTGTGACGCTTATGGTGTTGGTAAATATCAAGAAATCAACCCAGGTTTACCTACAATTATTACCTTCCCATTCATGTTTGCCATTATGTTTGGTGATTTGGGTCATGGTTTTATTGTTGCCCTTGCTGCTGGAACTTTGGTTTGGAATGAAAAGAAGTTGGCCACTATCAAAAGAGATGAAATTTTCGATATGGCTTACACTGGGAGATATATTCTTTTATTGATGGGATTATTTTCCATGTATACTGGGTTTATTTACAATGATATCTTTTCTAAATCCATGAATTTGTTTACTAGTGGTTGGGAATGGCCAGAGAAGTTTGCCATTGGAGAAACTCTTCATGCCAAGTATTCTGGATCGCCATATATTTTCGGGCTTGATCCAGCCTGGCACGGTACTGAAAATGCCTTGCTTTTCTCCAATTCATACAAGATGAAATTGTCCATCTTGATGGGTTACATCCATATGACCTACTCATACTTCTTTTCCTTGTTCAACTATAGATACTTCAACAGTATGATTGATATTGTTGGTAACTTTATTCCAGGTTTGTTGTTTATGCAAGGTATTTTCGGGTACTTATCCTTGTGTATTGTCTACAAATGGACTGTTAATTGGTTTGCTATCCAAAAACAACCACCAGGATTGTTGAACATGTTGATTTCTATGTTTTTGTCTCCAGGTACCGTTGCTGAACCATTGTATTCGGGCCAAGCCACCGTACAATTATTCCTTTTGACCATTGCTTTGATTTGTGTTCCTTGGTTATTGTTGGTTAAACCATTGTATCTCAAGAGACAGCTCGACAGAGAAGCTGCCGCCAATGCCCAATACTCGCAACTTCCAAATGATGATCTTGAAGATGTTCACCATGATGCCGATGCTGGTGACGACGATGACGAAGATCACGAAGAACACGGATTTGGAGATATTGTCATTCACCAAGTCATCCACACCATTGAATTCTGTCTTAACTGTGTCTCCCATACTGCATCTTACCTTCGTCTTTGGGCATTGTCGCTTGCCCATGCCCAATTATCCACCGTGTTGTGGTCAATGACTATTGGTAATGCGTTTGGAAGTACAGGTATAGTTGGGGTTTTTGCCATTGTATTCTTATTCGCTATGTGGTTTACTTTAACTGTGTGTATTTTGGTGGTTATGGAAGGAACCAGTGCCATGTTGCATTCGTTGAGATTGCATTGGGTGGAAAGTATGTCCAAGTATTTCGAAGGTGGTGGTGTGTTGTATGAACCTTTTGGATTTAAGGGGTTATTGGATAATGTATTGTAAGACGTTAGAAGGGGGTGTAGAAATGACGTTTTCGTTTATTTAGTTTAATTGATTAGTTTCTAAATGCATAGATATTTTTAAAGCGATTGTAAGGCATTGCTATAATGAATGCCGTGTCTTTGTATTACAGTAGAACAGAAGATTCGGTGACTTCAAAGAGTGATTGAAAATTCAATGACCTCTTTACTCAACCCCCTGGTCGAAATTTAGATCTGGTGATTTTACAATAAGCCCTTTTTTTTAATTTGAAAGGAGGTAAATTCGGATATACCTTGGATTGAGCCATTTAAAGTTGTGACTATTTAGTTGATATATTTAAAGTTGTCAACACCTACATACTCACAAATCCAAAAACATAGAGTTCTCTCAAAAATATCACCGACATTCTAGCATTATTACTTAATATGCAATACGACATAGTGTATAATCTAAGACCGACCTATTATTCCGACTCACGCCATCGTAAAAAGAAATGACGATACCACTACATCATTCCAATTCTAATAGTTACACAAAAGCGTGGAAGTCAACTAATAATGTTTTCCACCCGCCTGAAGAAAAGACTAGCCTTGTGATCGGCCCTTCTATTGCATGAGATTAATCGTATTCGTTTTGGTACCTTGCGTTCTGTACATTAAAAAAATATGCAGAGTTAATATAACAAGAAAATAATCATCCATTCAGTTGCTTTCGACACATCAACAAGTAAATTTTTATAAAGTATATATGCTTTTATTTTGACATGGGTGCTTTCTTGCTTTGAGTTATCAAGGGTGCCCATCGACAATCATTTATAGTCTTTTTCTAAAATCTATAAATCTCAAAGTAGTAAATGAAAAATAGACGATCCAAACACTGTTAAAGAAATGGCTAAATCCAGACTCATAACACCAGCCGTCTTCAAAAATTAGATCTTCGTAAATCTGTCAAATTGATTCCTCGGCTTGATTTTAGTAATGAGGATGACTGCAAAAAAAAAAAAAAAGAAATGACGAAAAACGGCGAGATCACAATTTCCTTATAGTGGAGCGGAAATAATCAACTCCGGTCAATACCGCCCGCCTGGAAAAATGTTCATTCATTAATTTAGTTAGTGGCTTATTTCATTAGATGTATTTCGTGTGCCTGAAATATTGATTACTCTTTGAATCGTTATTTTCTAGAAGATTTGTGAGTAATGTTTGCGTAATGGTGGAGTTTTTAGTGGAAAACAAATATATAATCGAGGTTGTTCAAGTGGTTATTAGTCCAATAGTGTTATAAATGCTGCTTAGAAAGTCAAACAGTTCTATCAAATGCAGTCTTCCAACTAAGCAGTGAAAGAAGTGAACTGTATTTGGTGTTTCTAGAACCAATTTTCCAATACGCGGCTTAGTTCTTCAATTAAGCCTCTTTGAACCAAATGGTTTGGAAATTGCCTGGTGACCTCCTCTAACGCCTCATAGAACAAATTACCGCCCAATATGATTACTATTATTACTTTCTATGATGTCAACGTTTTTTGTTTTTTTATTATTAATTTAATTCTTTCTTTTTTTGTTAATTTATTAGACGCAAATAACTATGAAAGGAGTGACATCGGTACTTAGCTCGCCTTTCGGTAGTAACACCATTCATGTGGTTGCCATAGAGAGGAAATATATTGGATTGACATGGTATAAATAGACGTCCGTAGTAACTCTAACAAGGAGGAGCATGTCATATTTTACTCCAATAAACTTAATTGGTTTAAATTTTGCTAATAATAATGACTTATTTACTACTACTTTTACTTGCTCATTTATTTGGCTTGGTAGATTTGGGTGCTGCTATGTTTGTTGGTGCTAACACTGAAATCTCAAACGATGTTCAATCAAGTGCATCTGAATTAGAGGAAACCTCTGTATCGGTTGCAAGTGAACTACAAGTGCTGGTTGAAACTCAGGATTCTTTTGATTTGGAAGATCCAGATGACTTTGTACATTCAATCGAAATTGATCCTCATGATCCTGTATATAGAATCAAACTTGATGATGGTTCTCGCTGTTACAATGCACGTCAGGACACATTTGGTAATTGTTATATTGAGGCTTATTCGGGTCCTATAGATATTAAGGAGGATCCAATTATTAAAATTGCTGGTTATAATTCTAATTTCACTCTATCCAACACATACAATAACATTGAAGTACCAGTTGCCGGTGAAGAATCAGTTGATACTGATGTTGCAGCAGAACAACCCATTGAATTGGAAAGTCCTGATGATATCATTAGATTTCCTAGTGCTCTGATAACAGTTAAAAATGGAATTTGGGAGTATGAACCTGATATCTCAGGTCCAATGGTCTCTCTTCGTATAGATGGTCATTTATCTGTAATTGAGATTACTCATCATACTTTGGAAGATATTGATTACAATAGTGATTCATTTCTGGTTACAGAAAGTGAAGAACAAACAGTTGAATCTAATGAAACTACAGATGTACCTGAAGATACTATTATGCCGGTTGAACCAACTACAACTACAGAAGAAAATGGTGGTGGAGCTATTTATATTGGTAATCCTCGTACCCTCTTGCATGATGTGACTGTCGATCCAATTGTTGATATTCCTGTTGGCCCCTATACCTTAAACATCCCGATCTTTACACTCGCACAGGGAAGATTTGATCCTTTTCATTCGGAAGGCCCAACTGATTCATCTGATTCTGTTGAACCTGAAGAAACAACTGAAATTGGGTCTGGTTCTAACACCATAGAGTTCCCTCTCTACACTGGTATAGTGGTAGGTCCAGATGGTCCATTGATCATAAATCCTTTGGAACCAGTTGAAACTTTGGCAACTGATAATACCGACCAACCCCAAGATACAATAGTTCCTGAAGGCCCAACCAACCCTGAGCAAACAGGTGTTACGGTTGATCCTTCTCAAGCTAGAGATCCAATAAACCCAGTTCAAACGGAAACTCCACCTAGCCCTGAAGATCCTCCCAAGCCTTATGTTGAACCAGAAGAAACCAGTGAGCCACAAGATCCAAAAGTTCCTGCTAACCCAGAAACTCCTGCTGACGTTGGACAAACAGAAACTCCAGTTAATGCACAAACTCTGGAAGGTCCTGTTGCTCCTATCGGTACTTCTAAACCTGCTGATCCTGTTAATCAACTGGAAGATCCAGTTATCCCAGATGCTCCTGCTAATACAGAAAGTCAAGTTAATCCAAAAGACACAGAAACCTCAGTCAAACCAGAAGATCCGGTCGATCCAGAAATTACTGCTACTGTAGATACTCCTGTTGATCCAGAACATACTGAAACACCAGTGGTTCCTGAAGATCCTGCTAATCCTGAAGATCCTGCTAATCCTGTTGGTTCTGCTAATCCTGAAGATCCTGTTGGTTCTGCTAATCCTGAAGATCCTGCTAATCCTGAAGATCCTGCTAATCCTGTTGGTTCTGCTAATCCTGAAGATCCTGCTAATCCTGAAGATCCTGTCAATCCACAAGATCCTGCTGCTCCACAAGGTCCTGTCAATACTCAAGTCTTGACTGCTACATCAGTTGATCCTGAACAGACTGAAAATCCATCTGATCCAACAAAAGAAGAATTAGTTGAAGATGATCCATCTGATCCAACTCCTGTAACCTCAAATGTTGCTCCTGCTGACCAAACTACCACACAAACTCAAGGTTCACAGAGTGGAAATCCATCTAACCCACAATCACCTTCAAACCCAACCAGTAATTATTCTCAAGCAACATCAGCAAGTCAATATTCTAATCCATCTTCAAATCAAGGTAATTCTAACTCGGCTGTATCCCAAGGTAATGGAGGAAATCAAGGTAATTCTAGTCCATCAGTTCAAGTCAGTTCGAACCCAACGACTCCAACTTCCAACACAAGTCCATCCAATCCTGCCAACAACAATAACAATGCTGCTGCTGCCGCCGCCGCTGCTACTGCCGCTACTGCCGCTACTGCCGCTACTGCAACTGTCAACAATGCCAGTCAACCAACTAACAATGTGGCTTCACCACAAGGTACCAATCAAGGAGGTTCTGCTGGTCAATCTGGATATGCTAGTACTCCATTACAACCAAATCAATTACAAACCATAGTTACAGATGTAACCATGGTTGAAACAATTTCTGATTCGTTTACAACATATGTTACCACCATCACAGAAGAAGTCACCGGTGTTGTTGAGGCAGATTCAACTACTGTTGCTATCATCACACCAGTTGTTGAACCAATCACTGTTACTTATACTTCTGTTGAAGGAGGATCAGAGGTTGTTTATACTACTACAATAACTCCAATTGCAGAACCATACACTGTTACATTTACTGGTTCTGATGAAGCTGGATCAAATTCTCAGCCTAGTGTTGTTGCTGCTGATCCAGAAGAAAACATTCAATCTGATTCTAACCAACCTGAATCGACACTAGTTTCCTTTGATAGCGCTAGTACTAGAGTTTCGACCCATTATTTGGCATTAGTATTGGGATTAGTCCTTACTGTTTGCTTTGTATAACTATAGTTAGAATATAAAAGTATAATAGATACCGAGTATTTTTAAGTATCATCATTCTAGATCTTCTTTTATTACCATTTATTAGCATGGTATCCTTGAATTACTATATGATTTTTTTTTTTTTTGCACCCACCAATGCTCATCGCTCGTTAAATAAAAAAAAAAAAAATTGGGAGTGAAAATAATCACCTCTTCGCAAATATCATCAAGTAACCACCATGTCGATACCCATTTCGGTAATCCTCGAGGAATTAAAGACGACACCAACGTCAGTTATCCCACTTCTCAGATCACTCCACAATAAAACCTTACTCCAATCCCTTTCCAAATCTGAAATCACCCACTTAACATCAAGGATTCTTAACCTTGCCAAGTCACACCAACCTTATCCCCAATGGTGTGGTATCAATCTTATCCGTGTGATCAGTTCCGATTACTCAATTTTGGCAGGATATGGAAGTATTTTCCTTGATCAATTACTTAAACTTGTTGAAAATTCTCAAGGTAAAATATTGGTAAATTGTATTGACGTTATTGGATTCATTTGTAGTGAAATTAGAGGCAAACCTGGGTTAACTAGAGAGATTTTGACTCCTAAATTGGGTCCAATTATTAGTTTGTTTATTGAAAAATTACATTTGGCTCCATTTGAGATTTTAAAGAATTTAGTGGTTGCCATTAGATTTCATCCAACTACTTTCCGTCCATATGGAAACAAGTTGAGTGCCAAGTTGGTTAGATTGGTCAATGATGTGGGCTTTGTCAATTATCCTTCAAAGTTAAAGGATGTTGTGTACGAAGCGTTGGCTGTCTTACCAGGAATTGAAAAGCTGGAGCCAGAACAGAAATGGAGCAATGATGTCTTTGGATTGATTGGTGAAATCAAGGATGTCGTTGAAGTGTTCCAAGAGTTTGTCCATTTCAAAGATGATCAAGACTTGATTGATAATTTAAGAAAGTTGGAAAAGTCAGGCAAAACTGAAAGCAAGATGTTTGAAGATTTGAATATTGATTTGAATTCTCCAAACTCAATCTTCCAATTATCCAATCGGATTGATATTCTGTTGGGTTTATTAAAGAGTTACCTCATTACTGAAAGTCAATTCACTGTCAAAGTACCTCTTGGTACCATTATCACTGTTTGTGAAGTTTTAACTGGGTTAAATTTAAGAATGTTGAGATTTAAGGGTGATATTAGAGACGAAGACGTCAAGAGTATTATTAGATCTTCAATTGCTAATATTCACCATAGCGTTGTTTTATTCTTATCTGACATTGTTGATGTTTACAAAGGTGCATTGTTATTACATTTCCATTCAATTTTAGGAATGTTAGAAGTGATTATCCCAATGAAGGGCAACAAAGTTAGCTACGATGATTTGATTTCCAATGAAGGATTAATTATTGATTTGTTAATATTTGTAGCCAAGTATGTCTCATTAGTGAAGCATCTTGACGATAATACTCAATTATTACCTTTTGTTGACGTTTCCATGATTTTGGTTGAACCCAGATCTAAACCTCAAAAAGAAAAAGAACAAAAGCAAGATGGTCAAAAGAAGAACAAGAAACAAAAGAAGAAGGGTAATGCTGCTGCATTATCTGATATTCTCTCGCATGAGCACTTGTTCTTGGAATCAATTCCAGCATCTACTGTTTCAGCAGTTCGTAAATTTATCAATGTGATAATTAAGACTATTACTCTTAGTCCAAGTCAACATTATAAAGTGTTGAGATATTTGATTATTGAAAGTATAAACATAAGACATATTAATCAGCAACATTCTGTACCCCAAGAATTGAAACAATTGTTAATTGACTGTGTATTGTTCCCTGGTTATGACAGAGTTAATATCTTGCCTATTGTTTCAAGTATTTTGAAGGGTGACCAATTATTAAGTGTGTTTAACAATCCAAGATTCCCTCCATTACCTAGATATGTCAGGCAAGAAGAATTAGTTCAACAAGATTTAGACGAAGAAGAGGAAGATGAAGAGGTCGAAGAAACCAATGATATTGGATCCAAGAAGAGAAAATTGGATGAATTGATGGCAGAAGCCGGAAACCCAGTACAAGATAACGAGCCAGAGCCAGAACAAGACGATTCAAAGTTGTTTAAAAAGAGCAAACAAGAAGTAAACGAGGTTGAAACTAATACTTTAGAAGAAGTAGTACAAGACAAAGTCCCAGTAAAGGAAACTCCAAAGGCAGTTGAAGAAATAGTTGAAACAGTGTCAGCTTCAGTTCCTGTTGAAACTGTTCCTGCTTCGTCATCTACTATTAGTCATGCAGATGATGATAGCGAGGAAGAAGGTGATGAAATAGAAATTCCTGAATTGGATCTTGGTGAATCTTCAGATGAAGAATAGAATATTACTAGGTTGATCTTTTAGTTAAGTACACTATAATGGAATTCATTATAGAAGGAAGTAGAATTCGTTATATTTGTACAACAACTTCTTTGGACGATTACTAGTACCAATTATTACATCTGTTAAAGAAAAATCAGTAAATAGTTTCAATATATCAGTATTTTCATTCGACTCAGATGTCCTACTCTACTATTGACCCCATTATATTCAATAAACTTCCAACTTTAGAGAAAATACCTGGAAACCATTAACATGGAACGTTTCTCTCAGTGTCAATTATGATAGCTATACAAATTATAATGAAATCCTAATAATATTTAAATATAAAACTATTAGATTAAATTATCATATTAGAATCTCTTGAAAAAAGCAATAAAACAATAAAGAATCATCGTCAAATTCCCAAAGCAACCACAAATACTGCAAGTATAAAAAGTGGAATTCTGAATATAATCGAATTGGCTTTGTTTGGATATTCATCAGAAAGTTGTTGAATTGATAATAGTGGTGTAGGTCTTGTATGCGGTGCTGCTTCTTGTTTGCTGGTCTTCAGAACCAGTAACATTGTATTACCATCCGAATTCTTGGGGGCTAAGGTAATTTGAGATGATTTAACACTTTCAGAACAATCAACAGTAACTGTCTTAGTATACCATACTCCCTTGGTATTTGTGGTAATAATTACAACATGTGTTTTTGTTTTGCCGTCTTTGTTGATAGTTTCAGTTGTATACAGAGTACAAACTGTTGTAATTGTCGACGTTACAACTGTTACCCAAGTTTCTGGTTCATCATCATCTGAATAGGTAGCAGAATTAGATTTAACTTCAGTTGTATCACCACTACTAACAGTTTCATCCTCAGTTATTTGCAGACTTGGTGTTTCAGTAATACTAGTGCTTTCTTGTTCTAGTGATTCTTCACTAGCACTGCTAGCTTCAGTACTAGTTTCCAGTGTCTCCCATTCAAACTGGGTGCTGGTATCAACTTCTTCCTCGGTAGTACTTGTATCAAAGTCAGCAGTCTCCAGGGTCACTTCTTCCAACTCCGTGGTAGTTTCCGGGATTTCTCCTTCTGAGCTTGAGGGCCAAATATAATCAAATGGAAAATCTTTGCAATGTCCATCCATGTACCCAGGCATTTCACCATCATAAGTGACATATCCATCCAATGTTACCCTAAATAATTCCGAATTATAGTCATATCCTATAATAAAATTTTGAATGCTAACGGAACTTTTTAATATCAAGAGGCCATCACGATGAATATACTTCATATCAATTACACTACCTTCAATACCAATTCGCTTTCCGTTACTAAAATTCATCACTCTATAAAAATTAGAATTATCTGCACCTTTAATCAAAATAGTTGCATCTTCCCCCATCACAAATGTTTGATCTGTCGCTGGATATAACGCATTGAGTTCTACAACAGAGCTTATTTCAAGAAATACACAACCATCACCAAAGATTTGTCCTGTAGCTTGTCTGTAATGCAGATTAAATAATTCAACCATTCCATTGTTTGTCATATCAAATGGTCCCATTTCATATTGGGCTTGTTTCACTCCTGGATTATAAGTTACAATTGTCCCTTCATTTACCCACTTGTGGTGACCTAAGATAGTGAAAGATGTATCACGACTAGTTTCCTTCCTATTCAAAGCAATGAATCCGGTATTGGTAAATTCTTCATATTCAATTAGGATATGGCTTTCTACATCGTAACCAGCCTGAATCTCAAATACACCACCATTTAAAAAGACATTTTCACGATCTCTCATATTTATAACCAATTGTTCAGTTGATTCTTCCGAAGTTACCCAAAAAGTTCCATAATTCGTGAATTTTCCACTCATCAGTAAACTTTCCATTCCAATGAATTGCAAACTGCCTTTCTCAGTAATGTAATATGTGTCAGAAAATGAAGCATTTCCAAGGTTTTTATAAATCTCATCAGTTGTAATAATTCTAGCCAAAACTGTTTGTAAGAATAAAAATAACCAGATTACCCACATTTTTTATATAATGAATAAGAACAGATAAGAAATTAGAATGGAAAAACATTATGGGCTATTTATATATCTATATTTAAATATGGTGCTCATTAGCGCAACTTCGTCATACCTCCATTTTTTGAGTTGATAATAAGGGGTCTTGTTTGTATGAATTTAGAGTTTTGAATAGGTAGTATGACACGGCATTAACAAAACTAATTTTTTATAATCTTCTCGTTTAAGTCATTTAAAAAGACTATTTCAAACACTGTACATGCTTCTTCAAAAGCAATGCTGCATTAAGAATGGAATGAAGTTGTCAAATTATAACACCCGTAAGCAAAAGTAAAGTGAGTCAACAAAATCAAACTTGAATTAACCCTACACTACCGGATTGTATTCTATTTAAACTTTAATTTAAATGTATCAATTTATCCATTTTATGAAGTTCAAGCAACCGACATTAGTGAATAGGTATAGCAATTTGAACCTCGGGATAAATCAATAAAGTTTATTTATTGGAAGTAAAAAGCTATCTATGAGTTTTCAACAACACTTGATTGCAATCGTTTAGCTATATTTCTTGATCAATTCTCTTGTGTACTTAAATTAAGAATTGATTCTGCTTTTAAACATTTCTGGGCATTGTCTGGTGATGGTAGAATCAGGCTTGGATAATACTTCTTTGTGTGCTACCAAATAGATATTGAGCATCGGATTTGAGTTTTAAATACCATGCCATCCTTAATATTACCCATTTGAAAGAGAAGAAATAAGTTTAAGTTACGGATATTTGCGCATAGCCAAGCAAAGAAGTGGTGGAGTTCAAACTAAAGTACAACAGTAACCCATACTAACAATAAAAAATATATATATCTTATGTTGATGATTTTACGATTTCAGTCGAACTTAGATCTCAACTTCAGAAGATAGTAGTATCTACAATAGCTGTTCTTACTACAAGCACGGTCGTACCATCATCTTCTGACAATCATCCTGATAATGATATTGAAGGAAGAGAAGAAGCAGGTTAATTGAAAACTCGTGAATTTGGTCATTAAAAAAAATCATATTAAAAGTCCAATAAAGTTGGGTGCCATGATTATATTTTATTAAAATGCATTCCCGCGCATTATCTAAATAGTTTATTGTTTATAAAACAAGCATTTGCAACGCTTTGATCATTCAAGGTTATTTTGCGCTAGCGAAATAGTATCCCTTTGTACAACAACAAAAAAAGCAGCTGTATCCATATTCTGATCTATTACCTAGTCGGCTCTTATTCTTTTACTATAAATACCCAATGAGTCAAAGCAATGCAAGCAATGTGTTGCCAAACTTAAAGATCTTAGGGAGTGAGCTATAAAATATCAATCAGGATGGACCAATTACCCTCGACGTGTTGCCTGATGATATTTTAGATCAAATTTGTTCTTATCTTAATCAAATCCACCTTGCTCATATCAGAATATTGAATCGTCGACTTTTCCATGCTTGTAATCGAAAGTTGTTTCATTCAATCTATCTCAATACTGGGCTTATAAAGATGCAAATTGGTTATGGGATCGAAACACCGCTCTATTTGAAATATACTGTTATTAATAACCGCAAAAGATTTGCATAATTGACTAAGATGAAGAAGTTGAAATTGGTCCATGAAGTTAGAATGTTTGGACATAATCTAAAGAGTTTGTCAATTTTCAAAGTTATGAAGAAAGCGTGCCCCAATATTAACTTGTTTGTTGACGATTCAATTAATTGGCATGTTGAGGAAACTTCTGATCCTGCGATAACGTTCTTAGATCTTAGGCCAAACCATCATAAGATTTCTAGGGAAGATAATAAATCGATTAGCATCGTAATTAACTAGCTTTAACCAAGATCGGGAGTTCTTTCCTCATATTACTGTGCCCTTTACTTCTCTCATGTGTGCTACCAAATTTACTCAGCTTTGCTGCGTCCCTTATTTTTTTTTATGACCAAAACAATTACAGTTTTGATTTTGACAACCAACTTTCTTTAGCATGAATCAACAGCAACTACTAATAACAGAAGATTTAACGCCTCATAAACTAGGGTTGTTGTTTGTATTACATCTTTACAGTAGAGCATCGCCTTCAATATCTTCACAATGTTTATCCTTACTTATCCAATTACTCAATAATGATTTGCTATTGTATAATGACAACACAAAAGAAGAACCAATAATATTCCCCACTTTGAAAGATTTATGTCTTAGTATTAGTCACTCAGATGGAGTAAATCAAGAAGACACGCAGAATTTACTCTTGGAGCTACTCGAATTGATTTGGAAGATCCATAGTTTAGACGACTTGCATGAATTTATTGACGATAACATAATACCGTTGGTGATTACAGATAATTCTGTATATATCAACAAAGCACTAAGATTCAAGCAATTTCAGAAACTGCTGATTTTAGGGTCTTTTATATACAAGGTGACCACTGAATTTAGATTGTTAAAGTTCAATCAATGTTTGACTTTATTCAATGGGTTTGTTGGATATAGAGAGAGTACCAGAAAGATGTATTTGTCAATGGGTGGAGCAATTGGTGACACATTTGATAGTGAAGATAATAGTGAGTTGTTTAGCAGGCTAAATCAACAATTAACAGAAGCAAATATTGATTCCATGTCTAATTCAACTAAAGAAATAGCGTCAGAGTCCGATCTTTCACTCATACTAAACAAGCAGATTGAGTTATTGGAATCAAAGGGAATATCTCCACCTGAACTACTTGATAGGATATTTACATCTTCAACAGTTGCCAATCTTCCGTCCTATTACTACATCAACTATCTCGAATCATTAAAGGTATACGACTACAATTCTTCATTTGAATCTTTGTACAGATACTTTGATTATATGGTATCGAATAATTCCAAATATTTCTATCATTTTGCGTTAATCTTGAAAGCCAATTTGCATCAATACTATAATCAGCATGAGTTAGCCGTGAATTCAATTCAAGAAGCTATTTCTATAGCTCGTGAGAATAAAGATAATTCTACCTTGACATATATTATATCCTGGCTATTCAATTATATTAAAGATAAACCTGAACTAGTTGGAGACACGGCTAACCCCAATCAATTGCTCGAGTTTTTAATCAAAAAAACTAAATCTGTATCATTATCGTTATATTCCTTAAGTTATAATTTCAAAACATTTCAAGTATTAAATCATGGAGGGGGTATTCGCACGTATTTGAATGACTTGACCAAAGCAACTTATATTTCAATCTATGATGAATTTCAAATCACGTCATTTATTAAAACCATGGAAATGGGGGTGATTGTATGGAATAGAATTGGAAACAATATCTTGAGTGAAGTATATAATGATATTGCTATTGAATTTACAAATAATTCCAATGATTTGATTAGTCTTAAGATTCGATTGAACTTCTTGAAATTTTTGCAAGGCGATATTGAATCTAGTTATAATGAATTACAAGAGTTGAAGAAAAGCGTACAGCATGATTATTCCTTATTCAATTCAATTCAAATTAGAAGTTTGATTATGTTGATTAAAATCAATCTTTTTAAAGGGAAATTCGTTCAAGCTAAGGAAATCGTGGTAACATTGTTGGATAATGATTTACAAGATATTGAATTGATTCATGAATTTATTCAATTGCAAGTTGAAATTGAAATATATTTGGAAAATTATAGTCGCGCCTTGAAATTAATTGAAAAACATCAACATCGCCTGAACACTTACCTTATGATACGACTTAAACTACTCAAGTGTGCTATATTCAACAAATCAAACAACCACATCAAATCATTTTCATTAATTATACAAACTATCCAATTAAGCCATAAATGTGGATATGCCAATCTTTTAATGGAAGCGTTAATTATATTTATAAACATTTTGAATCATTTGGGCTATTTTCAAGATGTGCTTGACATATTTGAAAATATAATGCCGGCACTAATCAGTTTGAACAGTCAACATTTAACATCACAGGCTTATTTTGGGTTGGCACATGCATATTTCAACAATTACAAGAAAACCCAACAAGAAGCATTGTTTAATAATGTCTTGAAATTCTTAAACAAGAGTATTAAAGGATTTAATAGTTGTAATGATTTAATTAATGTGAGATCTTGCTCCGAGTTTGAAATAGAAATAGCTAAATATAGCCAAGATCATGAGTTATTGGTACATGCCAGGGAAAACCTCGATAGAATCAACACTTTGATAGGTTAATAATTGATGCGTTCAGTGTGTATTAGGTCTAGTTTACATATTATACTAGTAGTTAAATACTAAAAGGGATAATGCTCTAATGTGGAGATCTACTTCTTCTTTCTATCATCCAAATCCATTCTGGCTAAAATTAAGGAAGCAGCCTTCAATTGGATGACATTAGCCACTTGTTTAAACAACCAGATTGGGCAACAGATCCAAACCATTAAAGTCCCTAACCAGAAAAAGTTATAGTAATGTAAATAAACCGCAACATAGAACAATTCATTGACAAGACAAACAATAAACAACACGGTTCTGTTGGTATAATATAAATTTAACAATTTACTTTGTTTGGAATCGACATTTTTGTGGGATGTGGAGCCCGCACTTAACATGGCATACATGTGCATGTAATGAGAACTCAAATCTAAACTAACCAATAATTGCCATATGATAATGAAGCTTGGATATAATTGACTCAAATATATGATCAACGAACTGGTAGCACATCTGTCAGTAACCATATCCAACACTGCCCCGAATCTTGTACCTTGGTTGTATTTTCTAGCTGCGTATCCATCCAATGCATCAAGAAGTCCGGAGATCCCGTAAAAAATGGACGTAATTATAGGTTCATGATAATACATGGATATAAAGGAAAGGATGGCAAAGAGTATTCTCGAGTACCCGATTAGATTAGGGATGAAAAGGAATATATCATTGATGGTTAACACCTTGGCCAGTTGTTTGGATTGTGACATTGGTAAGTAAGCTAGTACACCGTGAACGAAATCTAAAGGAGAGGATATAATTCACAGATTTTTCGGTTGTTGATTATTGTTAAGGTTTTGTAGTTTTTTTTTTTTTTTCCCGTCCATTGTTTGTCATGTGACTTTCGATCTGACGTAAATTGTTTTTCATGTCGTGACACCCCACCGAGGTTTTCGACAATTCCAAAGGTCGTGCGTTGGGGTACAACTTCACCGAAAAATCATGAAACTGGTTGTTGCCAACAAAAAGTTGGGATCCAAGCTTGTCTACTCTGTTTATCCACTGCTAGCGAAAATCAATCGTGTATATAATATGACTGAATTTCTTAATTATAAAGTCAATCTTACTTTAAAGGATGGAACAAAATCAACTGGAATTATAACTCATGTTGATCCCCAGCAAATCATCTTAAACAATGCATCCCAATCCATCAGTCCTGATCAACTTCTATCAAATTATTCGGTTAAGAATACCGATATTCTCGATTTAAAAGTTGTTCAATTACCACCAAATTTCAAGAAAAAAAATAAACAACAGCACCAACCCCCAGTGTCTGCTGGAGGTAGTGTATCTGTCAATAGCACCCCTCGAGGCAAATCTCCAGATTGGGATTCCAATGAACTTGATGATGTTAAAGCCACAGGGGCTGATTTTGATTTTGAAGCTAATTTAGCTATGTTTGATAAGAAATCTGTGTTTGCGGATTTTCAAAAAATGGATCATGTTCGTCCTCATGACAGACTTGTGGGCCATAATAAATTAGAGAATGTTAATAAGCAAAAGAAGAAAGAAAAGTACGACAATAACGAAATGGTTCTTGATCGTAATAGAAGTGACAATTGGGATTTAATAGGTAGTCATTCAACTACAAATACCAACACGCCTGTCATTGGTAAAGATCATACTTCTGGTGTTGCAGCACAATCGAAATTCGTTAATTCAAGCAATGGTACGGTGCTTCCATTGGCAACCCCGGTCCAATTGTTAGAAATTGAACGATTATCAGTGGAATATGGCATCTCAGCAAACATAATGGCTGAAATTTGTGGTACTAACCTAAGCCAATTGATCATAAATAAAATACTTGGTGGGGAAACCAGATTAAACAAATTGAATCATAATCTACCACCATTGGTGTTATTACTTATTGGTAGTAGTAGATGTGGTAGTCGTGCATTGGCTACTGGTCGTCATTTAACCAACCATGGTGTAAGAGTATTGGCATTCATGATCAACTCGCCATCACAAGAACAAGACGAACAAGATGAAGACCGCGACCATCTTAACTTGCAGCTTAGATTGTTTGAATCTAACGGTGGTAAACTTGTTGTCAATAATTTCAACGAATTGTTAGACATCATTACAAACCAATTAGACACGCCAGTCGAACTTATCATAGATGCGCTCCAAGGTTATGATGATCATCTTGAAGACATATACTACGAACAAAAAGATCAAATAGTGTTACGACAATTGATCAACTGGGTCAATGAACCCCATCAACATTCAAGATTGATGTCTATGGAAATCCCAAGTGGTATCGATGGAGGTTCAGGTATTCCTAGTGATGAAACTTTGGTAGTCAAGAGTAAATGGTGTATATCCATGGGATTCCCAATTTCTGGTTTGATTTTAGCATACAAGAATAATCAATTGGAAGTAGAAGAAGTGGGACATTACTTGTTAGATATTGGTATTCCAAACAAGGTTTATAGCACCAAGACAAACTTGAGAAAGTTCGATAAGTTTTGGTACGACAATGCCCAATCGGTTATTAAAATGGAAGTTTCAAAATAGATTGAATAGTTAATGAAAAACATGTAATTATAGTTGGCAGATCATGTGCGTAAATTTCAGTAGGTCTCGGTGTAAGTTTCAGCACTAACAAAAAAAATTCGTTTTTTTTTGAACTGAATCAAAACACAACAGGTTGCATCTCTTAACGTTTGCATTCACAATTGATCTGACATTTCCTTCTTCATTTCCTATCCAAGCATAGACAATATATAGAGGAATAATCCCCATTTGATACAATGTCCACGTTTGGTAATAATAATTGGGGTGCATCCACAGGATTTGGAAGAAGAGCATCACTCAGTGGTCCACCAGCATCAGCTTCGTCTACTGGTGGTGGAGGTTTATTTGGTAATTCATCAACTGGATTTGGACAAGGTGCAGCAAATAGTACTACTGCCGCCAACACATCAACTTCTGGTGGATTATTGAGTAATAAACGACCTGCATCTGGTGGTGGACTTTTTGGAAGTTCTTCTACTGGTGGTACACAAACCAGTACAGGTGGACTTTTTGGCAATAGCAATGCTACAGCCGCGCCTGCTACTTCGGGAGGGTTGTTTGGCAATAGTAATACTTCTACTGCACCAACAGCCACTGGCGGATTGTTTGGAAATACTAGTCAAACAACCCAACCTGCACAACCAGCAACTTCACTTTTTGGCAACACTGCGAAACCAGCTAGTTCCCTCTTTGGAAATTCATCTAACCAAACTACGTCATTGTTTGGTCAATCTCAACAACAACAACCAAGTGGAGGATTATTTTCAGGACAGCAAAACCAAGGAAATCCCCTCTTTCAACAACAGCCGCAACAACAATCCTCCTTGCTTACAGTACAAAACTCAAATCCATACAGCTACAATCAACTCCTCACAAATCTACAAGCGTCCAATGATACCATGCCTGAATCAATCATTACACAAATCTTCTCTCCTGCCCAACATCAAGCTAAGGATATGCCTGAAAGAAAGAGAAGATTTTCATATTTGGAAAAACCAGAGGCGCATAAACCAAAATCGTCACTCTTGGCTAAATTAGGACAAACGTTCAGATTCATTCGTGGGGTATCTAAAACTAATGATAACAATGTGAAAGGATTGTTTAGTCAATCTGATGATTTGCTAAAGAAACCGGTGTTGCCTATTCAAACACCAGCTATCTCTACTAAAAATGCAGTTAAACTGTATAGACAAGTTGATGCTAGAAGAGTTGGAAGTATGAAACGATTAGTCATTAAGTCCAAACCAGTAAAATATCATTTGATTGATGTGAATAAGGTGTTTAACGCCAAGAGAAGAAAGGTGGAGAATAACGTGGTTACTGCTGATAAATTATTGACTGAAAAATACTTGAGTGACAGTGATGACGATGATGAAGTTGTCGATACTAGAAAGTCTCTTGATTCAAGATACGCATACAAGGTCAACAAAGATCGTGCAACTGGTGCTAATATTATTGAAGGTAACCATGATATCTCATCAAAGAAACAAGATACATTTACTCCACAAGAAGAAACTCAGGAAGAGAAAGATAAAGCTACAACCATGCATGACGGATACTGGTGTTCACCTACTATTTTTGAACTCTCACAGATGTCATTGGAAGAATTGTCTTCTGTGGATAATTTCATAATTGGAAGAATAGGTTATGGGCAAATCACATACTCTAGACCGGTTGATCTTTCTACCATCATGCTTGATGCTAAAGATCATGGACATTCATTAGACAAGGAACTTTTCGATAATGTAATTCAAATCACGAAGAGACATATTCTTGCATACAAGAACTATCCAGCAAAGCCACCAATTGGACAAGGATTAAACGTTCCTGCTATGATCACACTTGAAGGTATGGTACCTACCAAGGGAAGATCCCTAGCTGAACATATCGCATTCTTGAAGAATCAAGTTGGACAAGAATTCATCACCTATGATCCAATCACTCATACTTGGGTGTTTAAAGTAAACCACTTTAGTGTTTGGGGATTGGTTGAAGAAGAAGATGGTCCTGAATTGATGGAAATGAAACGGAAGCAAGATGAGCAAGAACATCAATCTTATCTTGAATATTCCAAAGTATATGGTGATGAAAGTATTAAGAAAGAAGTTACCAAGAAGGCGCTTTATGATCAAGTCAAAGTATTTCCTGGAAGTTGGGAATATGAATACACTTCAACCCCTGATCCATTAAACCTTAAGCGTGAATTAGTATCTAATGAAATTCTTGAACAATTGAACAAGCTCAAGAGTGAGGAGTATGAAGAAGAGAGAAACCCTTATGAAGTACAAATGCTTCCTTCTGATGTAGACATTGCTGAGATTGTGGATGAAAAAGTTTATGAGCCGGAAATTGACGATGATGCAGTATTTGACAGCATTCAAACTAGACCCAATTTACCTACTTCCGATGACTGGTTGATTCAATTGGAGTTGGCTAATGATTTAAATTCTGCCTTGGCTCCATATAACAGTATTGTGAAACCATCTCAAAAGTTGACGTTGGAAAAAGTTGATGGATTGTTGTTTTCCGATTTTAATAATCTGATTATTGAAAAACAAAAATTGGAGACTATCTCTGATGAAATTGAAGTTGATGATGAAGAACAAGATGATATTTATGCAAATAATATTTCCGAGGTGGTTTCTAGAGTGTTATCCCAATCAGAAATAGTCAGTAGAGAAAGCACCTATCCTAAAGTCATATTTACTAGAGATCTTACCATGAAGAGTTTCATAACTACAGACATGACCGATTCTGAAAGGGAAGTAATTACTTTAGCCTCTGCCTTATTTGATAATGATGAAGTTGATCGAGAAATTAACCAATTACCACTGAAATCCAACACTACACTTATTGAAGCCATCACTGAAAGAACTAGACGAAACTTATTTGGAGAATGGTTGAAAAACTATAACAAATCAGCGATTAATAACTTACTTCTGACTCACAAGTCTGACCCCTTAGAAAGTGTTTTTATTTATTTATGTTCCGGTGACTTGATGAAAGCAATCGAGGCAGCTATAGATACTAATAATGGACATTTATCGGTTATTTTAAACTTGGCTGATTCCAATGATGAAGTTGTCAAGCAAATTGCAGCTCAGCAATTGAAACAATGGTTGGAAAACGGCATGAATGTACCTAAGGCTCTTGTGAAGATTTATACTATATTGAGTGGAGAAATTGACAGCTTGGCTGCTGGGTTGCCTTGGAATATAGCTTTGGCATTACATTTGTTCTATGGTGGTACAAGTTTGACTGAATTGGTGTTTGAATTTAAGGATAGAGTTCCTGAAGGGTTACCTGTTGTTGATGTTTTAAAATTGGCATTCATATTACCTCTAGACGTGGCTAGTATTTCCAACACTAGTTTAAACAAGAAGTTGAAGTGGTATTTCTGTAAAGTTTTAGCTGGGAGTGCATCGTTTGATGATGTTACCAAGTCATTTGGTGATTACTTGGCGTCAGTTAAGTTATGGAAGGATGCCATCTTTGTATACTCTCATTTATCCAATGACGCTGAATCACAAGAATTGATTCGTGAATTAATTATCGCCAATATTAGTCTGTTGAAATGTGATCAAGGTTACCTAATGGATGTATTAAAAGTTCCAAAAACAGTTATATATGAAGCTATATCTATTGAGAAACGTGCCGCTGGAGATTTCTGGGGAGAAGTTGAAGCCTTGGAAACTGTTGCATTATGGGAGATGGCACATTCCACCATCATTTCCGAATTGGGTCCATCTACGGTTATTTCTAATAATGGTGATGATATTGATCATTTCGAACGATTGATAACTCCATTCCCTAGACATGGGTTGATCATACCTGATTGGAACGTGGGTGCAGGAATATATGTTGCCTATTTCAAATTCTTGAAACAAAAGAATAATGTTGATGCTAGTATTATTGACTTTTTGTTGACTAATATTCCCTTGGTTAAACATTCACCAGAATCCTTTACTCAAAAAGTTGCATTAAATATCATTTCAAAGAGTGTCGGGGATTACATTATTGAAAGCGAGTTTGCCGATAAGAAGGACGAAGTGGTTAAGTTATATTTGGATACTGTTGATCTTGAGTATTTTAAACTTCGGTTATCTATACAATAAGTTTAGAGCATATAGCATGATTGTAATAAATTAAAAGTAGCGTATAGTGAGAGGGTGAGTTTAACCCCCAATGTAGCTGCGATTATACTAACAAGTGATGCTATAGTTAGTTTGACAGAATCTAATCAATACAACCAAACTAGTGATTGCAAAAAAAAAAAAAAAAAAAAAGGTCGTGTGATGGGTCATAAATATTTATTCCTGCATGTACTATCAGGTTACAAAGAAAAAGAAATTAGCAATTAGTAATTGACTACATTTGCGTAGTTGGCACACACATTACAGAACAAGATATATAGATACCATAGATGTCACCTAGTATAGAGCCTACACAGGAATTAAATGCACCTGAACCAGAACACTGTCCTGGCCCAGAATCAGACCTTGCCGGAAAAGAAGATGCATGTCAAGGATGTCCCAATCAAGAAATCTGCAGCTCCAATACTGTCAAAGGACCCGATCCTGACCTTCCCTTGATCAATGCCCGTCTTTCACAGATCGACCACAAGATACTTGTCCTCAGTGGTAAGGGAGGAGTAGGGAAGTCTACGTTCACATCGATGCTTAGTTGGGCGCTTGCTGCTGATGATTCGCTTGAAGTGGGTGCCATGGATTTGGATATTTGTGGACCTAGCTTGCCTCGAATGTTGGGAGCTGAAGGTGAAGGAGTGCATCAGTCGAATTCAGGATGGAGTCCGGTTTATGTGGCTGATAATTTGGGGTTGATGAGCATTGGGTTTATGTTACCCGATCCGGACTCCGCGATTATCTGGCGAGGAGCTAAGAAGAATGGATTGATTAAACAGTTTTTAAAAGATGTGAATTGGGGTGAGCATTTGGATTACTTGGTGGTGGATACTCCTCCGGGTACTTCAGATGAGCATTTGGCAGTGACCACATATATGAAGGAGGTTGGAGTCGATGGAGCCTTGATTGTCACTACTCCTCAAGAAGTTGCATTATTAGATGTACGAAAAGAGATTGACTTTTGTAGAAAAGCAGGAATAAAGATCTTGGGATTGGTAGAGAACATGTCAGGATTTGTGTGTCCAAACTGTAAAGGACAATCTCAGATATTTAAACCTACTACTGGTGGTGGAGAACAATTATGTAAGGATTTAAACCTTAAGTTTCTTGGTAGTGTACCGTTAGATCCACGAATTGGAGCATGTTGTGATCATGGAAGGTGTTTTTTTGACGAGTATCCTGATTCGCCTGCAACCACTGCCATATTAGATGTTGTTGATGCATTGAGAGATCAAGTTGAATTAGATATGACTAAGTTGACATTGGAATAGTATTTATAGTTTAATTTTTAATTTTGCATTATTTAAAAGATTATCGGCGCGCCAACTTTTTTGTACATTCTTGTGTAAAGCTGATCCAGCCACAAACGATGACAATAGAGGATATCATTAGATCAACGCCAGAATTCAAACCGTCTCGTCTATCCTCTCTCTATTCTAATTTCCGTGCACACAAAGAGTTGAATCCAGAAGGGTATGACGCTAATATCCATGCGTGGCACATCCTTCTTGTGAAACTTCTCACACAGAACCAATTTGATTCAGCAGTTTCCGTTAATTCCCAAAATCATAGCTTGGCTGTTAGTTTGAGCTTACCTCCATATGGTGTACCTAAATGCCTTGGGATCGTTGTCGACGAGTTGATAGCTAAGGGGGTGTTTGTACCTTATTCTGAGTACATGGCAGCAACTACTTCATATGTGCGCAAACCGGGTATCTTCTCAGTCAGGGGTTGGGTGCATTGGGGGTTGGATTCAATAGGTATCATACGGCGATTTTCTGCCGCATTATCCAATGGTGATTTGAAAGATGAACGATACATAGCATGGGATTTATTGGTACAATTAGGAAATCGATTATTGTCTACTATATCTACCACCACTGGTGTATATTCCGATGGATTATACAGCAATGCCACATTGTTCAACCAATTAAATACATCTCATAAGATCAATAGTGTAGATTTTGATATGGTGTTGAAGTATTGGTCGCGAGATATATCTGCATGTCAAATCAAAGTAATTGACAACATAACCTACATCAAGTTTGGTCAGTCAGGAATAACTGAAGACGATATAGGAATAATCAATATCAAAACTACCTTGTTTCACTTATCAAATAGGAATAGTGAGCTTTCCAATCGTGTGGACCAACTAACTAGTCAGGCCAAACAATCACTATCCAACAAACAACATGTTCGTCACTTGTTAACGCAAAAGCAAATCTTGAACAAGTCGTTAAACACGTCAATTAGCTCATTCAATGAATTGTCTACCATTCTTGCCAAGATCAATGATTCACAATTGAATCATGAGATATACAGTCAGTTAATTACTAGTTCTAAAGTGTTGCGCAATTTGAATTCAAAGGTGAATATAGATGATGTGGATGCCATTAAATTGGATATTGAAGACGAGATAAAGAAGGTTGATGAGATTGGTGATGCTTTGTTTGATACCGAGCAAGTTGAAGTTGAAGAAGAGTTGGAGGCTATGATAAGAGAGAATGAAGAGGAACAGGTCAAGGAACAAGAATTGCTAAACAAGTTGGGTAAATTGAACATTAATAAGCCTGAAATTGAACAGGAAAAGGCTCCATTAAAGGAGAAGGAGAAGGAGTTGATTCCTAGTTGAGCTTAATACATTTAGTTAAGTAGAGAGTATGCAAATGTAATATTATCAATTATGATTGCTTCTTTTTTTAAAAAATAGAACACTTATATAAATAAAAAAAAGAAATCCACATTATATTATACACACCTTCTCTATCCCTCCAATTCTAGCATAGTGGCTATCCTAAAATTTGCAAGATTTGTTGGGTTAAATTAAACAATTCTACTTTAGGATCATCAAATTGGTCTTCACCGTTAATCTGTGACAGTTGTACTTGTTGTTGGGCAGCACTTAAATTCTTGATTCCATTCAAGATGGTCTCATTTTCTTTAATCAAGGCATTTATTTCTGTATTATTTGATTCCAATAATTGTAAAATAGTCCACAAGGCAATATGCTCAAATGTTGCGCTGCCACTGGATAAGAATCTAATCAAGAATCCGTAGATACCTTCATCTGGACTTCTCCAATTATTCAAAATATACAGTTTATGCTCAGTACTGACTCTCGAACACAAGTTGGCTAATGCTGCGGCAGAATTACCACATACTTCACCATTATCGCTAAAGGTCAATGGGATAAGGACATCGATAATGTGACTCTCGTATAATTTAGGTTTCAAATCGTCAGCCAAAGCCAAAATGGCAAAACAGGCACTGATTTCCGATTGCACTGATAATGGGACCTTCAAAACCAACTCTTTGCACTTGTCAACTGCACCAGCAGCCAACAAAGCGGTTCTATTCTTTTCACTGGATGCAGCCAAGTTACGCAAGGTAGATACAGCATGACATTGAATTTCTTCAGATTCATTGTAATCCAATAATCCAACAAGGGGTTTCAAAAAGCCGGCTTCGATAATCAATGCTTCATTCAATGGATGGATGGAGATGTTACGAATACAAGCGACTGCAGCCAATACTAATGGTTGATGGTTACAAGTCAACAATTGCACTAAATGAGGTAATCCACCACTACGAACAATCTCAACTTGATAGCCTGAATCAGATGCCAAATTCCGTAATGCCAATGTAGCCTGACATTGAACTCGGGGTGAGGGGCTATCCATCAAGTTAACCAATTGACCCACTAACTTAGGTTCAGTGGATGCTAATTTCTTACGATTGACTTCATCAACAGCAATATTGGATAACGCGGTGGTACAATAATATTGAACATCGGCATCATCATTGGATAAGAGCGATACCAAGACCGGTACAGCACCGGCATTGACCAATTCTTGTCTATTTTCTCCCAGATGGGTCATGTTTAATAATGCACCAGTGGCGTTTCTTTGAACTCTTATATCTTTAGACTTGGCTAATTTAGTCAATGGAATCAAGGCGCCACTCTTGGCGATCTTGGATTTATTGTCATCTTGGGTGGCCAAGTTGGTAATGCACCCTACGGCATTACATTGAACTTCGATATTGGTCGACATCATCTGTCTAATCAACGGTTCTAACCCGCCCATTTCCACAATGAGGATCTTATTTTCGGTATTGACGGCCAAATTACCCAATGCACCACAAGCAGCACGTTGGACTTCAGAGTCGGTGGATTGTAACAAGATTAATATTGGCTCGAGCACATCACGATTGACTTCACGTACATCCTTCTCGGTGATTTCAGCAAATGCTAATGCGGCACTTCGTTGCAAGTCAATGTTTTCTGAATATACCAAAGTACTCAATGCACGAAGTGGACCATTGGTGAAGAAGTCAACGTCGGATCTATTCTCCAAGTATTGTAATAATGCTGATATCGCTTCTCGTTCGTTTTCAGCCAACAAGAGCTGGGTATGACTACCGTCACCGTTTCTATTAGGGAAACAACTAAAGCAGATTCCCATATTTTTATTCTATTTTGATTGATTGATTGGTGTGGTGTGGTGTGTACTGTGGTATCTTGTTATCCTGTCGTCACTTTGTTCTGAAGTATGTTGAGCAGGTAATATATCGTAACAGACCGGTATAAAGTTTTTTTTTAAAAAAAATCAATCAGAAAGGAAACTTTGGGTAGTTAATTGTGATGAGGTAATAAAAGTTGACGGAGGGTGGTTGCTGGTTGTGTTTTGTTTTAAGATAATATGGAACGTAACAAAAACTAATCAAAGAAACCAAAGGTTGGAACTGTAGGTCGTGTGTTTGTAATAAGGTTGAATGGATTGAACAAGGGATTTGTTGATTGAAAGATGATAAACTTTGATGGTTTATTTATTTGATGGGGTTAAATTGAATGACAGTCCGTTGCAAGGTAGAAGAATTTAGAAAGACGAGAATTGAGGAGCAAGTTTTTTTTTTTTTTTTGGTTTGGTTGCCCGCCGTAGCGATCCCAAAATGGAACGATTAGAAAAAATTAATTTTGCCGAGTTGAGATAAATTCATGGCCCACCCATCGCAGGGCTGTATCGGTAGGTTTTAATTGAATATAAATGAAAATATTTCTACTTGTAATATAAATATATGCTACATATCTTATCTATTCAATCGCATAACTATTTTATATATTGTAACGATATATATATATATATATATATATATATATATATATTGAGAAAAGTGTCGCTGTTTCTATTTATAGAACTGTCATTTCGGTAATCTCACTAAATTAAAAGATAACAGATCTTACTATTGACAACAATACTCAGACTAACTTCGCATACATGACGTCTTGACGAGCGAATTATAAAATAGAAGGAGATCCTAACATGCAATAAGTCTCTTCCCAGTCAAATTTGCATCAATTTTCTTGGTATTTTCCAAATGGATGCAAATTGATATAAAGTTTTTCCCCCCCATCTTGGTTAGGAGAATAGTTCTTGGCCTTGAGCTAGGTCGTTCTCATCGATCATATAGTTTAATAACGTTAAATCTTTATTTATAATGCATCTTACTGCAAAAGGTTTTAAACGCGTCTAAACCGAAAATGAAAGTGACTCCACTACCAAGCCTGGCAGCATATTGACATTACAGCTGTACTACGCACCGGCAACAAATACACGAGATCCTGTATTATTATTATTGTTATTGTTATTGTTATTTTTATTTATTACTGACAATTACACATTGGCTAAGTTGCCATGCCACAAAATCACTATTGAAAACACCGTTTATTTGATAAAGAAAAAAAAATACTAAAAATACATAAACACTCTACCTTTTTAATCTAACCATCTCTTTTTCTTGGTAGCAGAACTAAGAGTAGCTTTACTAACTCTTTCACTTGCTGGATACCAATTAGTAGGATATGGTGCCACGGTAGCATAATTCACCGCAGATTCAGCAGTGTAATCCCACCCAGGAGTAATGGTTGAATAAACAACCGGACTTTTGGCCTTGGTGGTGTAATAACTCACTGACAGGGTCGGAAATCTCATGGTCCATGTAGTAGCAGTGACTTTGGATCCTGGTTGGGTTTGCATAGGAGCATATCTGGTCTTACCAGTTTGTTTTGTGTATGGAATAGTAAACCATGCAGAGTTAATGTTGGCAGCAGCATCAAAACCTTGAACCTGAGGATCAGGAACAGCTCCAGTCATAGTAACGGCCAAAGTACCAGCGGTACCACTCATACCAGTTAATTGGAATCTTGGAGAGTAATGAATAGTATCACCACCATTAGCAAAAATGGAATAGATTTGGAAGTAGTAATATCCATCAGGCACAAGTCCTTGCTTAATAGAAACAGTAGCTTTCAAACTAGTAAGGGCCGTGGCTGGCATCAAAGGTGGTTGAAGACATTGAATACTACCTCGAGCATCAGGACCAGTACACAAGGAAATAGTATAGGTTTTCACGTTTTTCAATGACATAGGATCAGACAGATCAGAGGCATCATCTTTCCATACAATATCGACTGATGCTGCACCTGAAGACCCACTGAATTTGTCTCCTTTACTCGGTTTACTAATGTCTACATCAGCAATGACGTATGCAAGGAGTGACACCAATATAGTAAGTATTTGTAACTTCATGGTATATTATAATGTGTTGGAATATGTCTATAAAACGGGCTCTCTTTTATGAACAATAAGCAATTAGTAACAAGGTATGAATGTATAGTGATGGGGCGTGTCCCTTTTGATAGTGTAAATAGATTTGACCACATTTTTTTTCCTTTCCTTTCCTTTCTATTGCTATTTTTCTTTTTGGCGTTTTCATTAAGGAGTTGAAATTAAATCCTGCAGATAAAATTTTGTGGTCATGTGACGCAATTGTTTGCAATTTTGCAACACATTCTAACTTGAATTGAAAAGTGCATAGGTTGGTTAATTCGTCCAATGACTCTCCTATGAGTTAGACTATTTGAAAAGTGTTAAATAAATTTGAGAGTTTTGGATGTTATTTCTCTTTTCAACAGAAATGGTAAAAAAAAAATTTGGTTTAATCTCTCGTGTTTTTAATGGGGGTTAGTTTAATACAAGACTAAATTGCATTTGAGAACTAATAACGAGTTTCTAAGTTATTATAAGCTGATTTTTTGTATATTTTGTTATTGGCTGCCTTAATGCACGAAGAAGGTTTCTAATAACAGATGAGTATTAGTCTTTGGTTATTGATATTTTTCTGATTTTTTTGCAGTTTTTCAATAAAATTGTTCAACTAAATTCTCTCCTAAAAGAGTACCTTCAGATTAATAATTGAAAATAGAATCAACTTCAACAAGTTTATTATACTATTATACACACTAATGTACCATTATATTGTCAATATACATAATATCTGCATAATAAAAAATCCAAATTTTTGACCGTAAAATGACAATTTAAATTTCTTGGAGAAAAAAATTGGGCGTGTGGTCTAGTGGTATGATTCTCGCATTGGGCGACGGTCAAGTTTAAACTTGACTGATTTACTACAAGCATGCGAGAGGCCCTGGGTTCAATTCCCAGCTCGCCCCTTTATTTTTTTAAAAACATTTTTCCTACCTAATACTAATACATTCTCGGTTGATAGTAGGCAAAATTTCAGTGGTTGGGGATGCTTCAGATTGTAATTTCATATTTTTTATCAATTAGGGTTTGTAGAGAATTGAATTGATTTTTCTTGGTGCTGGGTCAACACTATTTTATTTTTTTTTTTGGCTGGTACGGCAAATTGCATAGACCGCAAAATTGATGTTCCCCATGAAAAGATAACATTGTAATCTGTCTTATAACACTCCAACTCATCATGTAATTCGATCTGTTTACGAATTCACCATTTATTCACCAATGTTGTCACAAATCTGAACTTCGCAACACCTATTGACAGTGCAAAAACTTCTAGCACTGCAAGCTTATTATTCTGTTTTCTGAAGCTGGTGGGTTTGTCTAGCAGGTACTCAAAGCAAACAAAAGAATTAATTACCAAAAGCAATTGATGGATAGTCAACTAAAACATTGAAATAACAATTCAATGGAAGGTTTAATACATTTTACAGGATTCTTCGGAATCTTTTTACTGAGTATGTCTGTAAGAATTCGCCCTAGGTTTTATTTTTAAAATTTTTTCCCTCCGCGAAGGGGGTTGGGCTTGATTACATCGGGAACACCCCCCCCCTTGATTAAATACGGCGAGAAAAGCCCCTAGTATTAGTCTCGCTAGCAATTGTGTCTACGATTTACAGATAACAGCCTAATTGTTATATCATCTTGTTTTTGTATCATGGGGTCCGGGACTTGCTTCTATTGTTGCTGGAACAAGTGGAACAAGGAGCATTATGCAACACCGCTTTTTAGGTAATAATAAAGATGACGTCAACATAGAAATTGTAGAAGACTATTGCGGTGCTCAAATATTTGAATGTGTCAAGTAACTTGTTTCAAATAAGATATTTTTTGTACTGGGTATATTTCTCCAAAATTTTTTTCCACATGGTCAGATGTAATATTTTCTCAGATCAACTAAATTCAATATCATGGATATCAATGGTTAATCTTATAATTGTAGAACGGGTTACTCGGGTCTAGACCGAAGCTCACCCTCCGGAAATCCCGTATTTGGTTAGTTGGACTAATTTGCAACTAAGAAAACATTAGTTTCTCACTAATGGGGGCAACCCAAAAAAGTGTCACAAAGAATAAAATTCCCTGACCCCATTGTCACAAACTCTAAGTAATTGTTTGCTCTTCATTGTCGCGGTTTTGTGATGGGATTCTAGTAATTACATAGAATTGAAACGCAAGTGTTCTTTTTTGTAGTCTGGGTTGACTCGCTAATTTATTCGCCCCCCCCCCCCCCCCTCACCTGCGCTGACTCTAAATTTCATCAGTCCATTTCTTGCCGCCTGGATCTTTAAATTTCACTCGATTCCCCCAGTTTTACTTTCTTTCCTCCTATTATTTCTTTTCCAAAGCAAAAGTCGTTGATTGATTTTGAGCATTACCTACCATCGGCAATTCCATTGACTTAATCAGCGCACTTACCACCACATACACACATAGCGCAACTCAAACGATCATCGCATTCAAATCTAGACCACATAATCCAATTGATTTCAATTGCAATCATAAACAATCAGACACTATAATATTACCAAAGACATTTGGCGGTAAATCAATTACACAAACTTAACTAACAATACCATGACTTCTTCTTCAACTGAACGTTCAATTTTATTTAGATTATCCAATTTAGGAGAACCAGTTAATAATGAAAACGTCAACAATGGTGTATTGATCTTACCATCAGTACAATTACCCAAAGACTTCCGTAAAGGTGATGTATTATTTGAATTACACTTTCAATTGAATGCTGCATCCAGAGTATCCCGTGATGGTGTTTTCCACACCAACGTTCCTCAATCGTTTGATCAACCATTTGATAGATATACTCATTTTGATTATCCCATAAAATCCAGTTTCCATCAGGATATCTCTATTCCTATCCCAATCTACAGACCAGGTGCATACAACTATTACATCACTTATACTGATGAACACAACAAGCAAAAGCAAACTGAGAAATTCTACTTTAACGTTCCACCCAACTTGACTATTGATAATGCATTTGTTGCATTCAACTCCATCAACATTGAAACGGTTATTTCGAAATGGATTGGACCTTTGGAAAATTGGGATAAGTTCTTTGGTAAGATTAGCGACAAGGGATACAACATGATTCATTTCACTCCGTTGCAACATCGAGGAGAGTCCGACTCGCCTTATTCCATTTATGATCAATTGCAATACGACCCAAACATTTTCCCCGACAGTGACAAAGCGCCAGCTCAAATCCAACTGATTTTACAAAAGCACAAGTTGTTGGCATTGACCGATGTTGTTTGGAACCACACCGCCAACAATTCCGATTGGTTAAAGGAACATCCTGAATCTGGGTACAATGCTGAATCCTCACCTCATTTGGCTGCTGCTATTGAATTAGATGGTGCTCTTTTGGAATTCAGTGACAACTTGGAAGAGTTGGGATTACCAGTTGATATCAAGACCGAACTGGATCTTGATGAAATCATTCATGGTATCACCAGCCATGTATTGGATAAGTTAAAATTATGGCAATACTATGTGTTTAACAGCAAGCAGACATTGATTGAATTGGAACAGACTTACAATGAAGGATTGGACAAGGTTGCCCCTATTGAAATTCCTCATGATGTTGACATCCATAGTTTGAAGTCATTGTCGAAATACACTTTAGAAGTGACCAATATTCACCCAACCACGATTATTGCCGATAGATTCAGCAATAAGTTCGACATTAAGAAGTTCTTGGCGATCTTGTATGCCATTTATGACACCGATACAGAATTCGAAGTTGTGAAATCCAAAGCTGGTGATATCATTGACGCCATCAATGTTGACTTATACGCTCTTTACGATAGTGATATGTCTTCTATCAAGTCCCAAGTTGCCGACCGAATTAGATACTTGAGGCTTGCTGACAATGGCCCCAAACAGGGACCTGTAACAAAGAAGAACCCACTTACAGAGCCGTACTTCACGAGATTTGTCGACAATAAGGGCCGCAAACAAGCATTGGCTAACAATGGTTGGATCTGGGGTGGTAACCCTCTTGTTGATTTTGCATCAAACAAATCAAGGGCATATTTGAGAAGAGAAGTTATCGTCTGGGGCGATTGTGTCAAGTTGAGATATGGAGAAAAATACGAAGATTCTCCAGCATTATGGGATAGAATGATTAAGTATACCCAAGAAGCAGCCAAAACATTCACCGGGTTCAGAATTGATAACTGTCATTCCACTCCCTTACATGTAGGTGAAAGGTTATTGGATGAAGCCAGAAAAGTTAATCCAGATTTATACGTTATTGCTGAATTATTCTCCGGTTCCGAAGAAATGGACAAGATTTTTGTGGAAAGGTTAGGAATTAATTCATTGATTAGAGAAGCTATGCAGCCTTGGGATGTTCAAGAATTGTCTAGATTAGTTCATAGACACGGTGGTAGACCAATTGGAAGTTTGACATGGTTGCCACTTGATGATTTCACCTATCCAGCTGAAGCAGAACCAATCAAAGATAAGTACCTTAATGCTTATACTGAATTGGAAATCCCCAAGGCGTTGACTTCACAAGCTCCTCATGCGTTATTTATGGATTGTACCCATGACAATGAGATGCCTGCCCAAAAGAGAACTGTGGAAGACACATTGCCTAATGCTGCTCTTGTTGCCTTCTGTTCTTCTGCTATTGGTAGTGTATACGGTTATGATGAATGTTATCCAAAGATTTTGAATTTGGTACATGAACATAGACAATATTCCTTAGATGATGATAACGGGATTGGTAAAGTCAAGGCTAAGTTACATAAGATTAGAAAGGACTTGGCATTGGAAAGTGAAGATATTTTACGAGATCATGAAATGTACATTCATCATGAAGGACAATACATTACTATTCAACGTTACAATGCCAGAACTGGTAAAGGTTGGTTCCTTATTGCCAGAACGAAATTCTCCGGCAGCTTCCAAAAGCAAATCTTGTCTCCTGTTGTATTAGCTGGTGCCAATGTCAAACATGAGTTTAGTTATACATTAAAGAAAACTGGCGAATATGAAGAAAATGACAAGTTCCTTGCTGGTATTCCTGTTGAAGTTGTTGACCTTGAACCACCAAAGTTAACAATCGACGAGAAGGAGACTATTATTCGTGTGGATGAATCGTTTATTCCTGGATCTATTTCGGTCTTTTCTACCGAAATTCCTGGTCTTAATGTTTCCCTTGATAACTACGTCAAGGAAGGTGCTATTGAAGCATCTAGAGATCTTGATTTATACGATTTGAATGCATTATTATACAAATCTTCCCCTGAAGAATTAGATGCTAGCAGTGGTCAAGAAGACGTTTATAGAATTCCAAATTATGGAACATTAGTGTATGCCGGTTTGGAAGGGTGGAATACAGCCTTGAAGCATGTCATTTGGTCAAACAATTTAGGTCATGCTATTTGTAACCATTTAAGAGAAGGTGAATGGGCTTTAGACTATATTGTAAACAGATTAGACAAATATGTTGCCCATTCTGCCAAGTTGGGTAAGTTTCAGGAGTGGTTACGGTCAAGATTTGATGCTGTCAAGAAGCTGGCTCCTTATTTCTTGAGACCACATTATTTTGCTCTTATTGTGGGTATTGCTTATGAAGCCGCTAGATTCAGAGCTATTAGAAGCTTTGATAAAACAATCCAGCAAGCTACCAATTTCGTGCAAAGTTTGGCATTGACCAGTGTGCAAATGGTTGGATACATGCAAAACACCTCCCTTTACCCCTTGGTCCAAGTTCCTTCCATGGCTGCTGGTTTACCTCATTTCAGTAACAGCTATATGAGATGTTGGGGCCGTGATGTTTTCATTGCATTTAGAGGATTATTGTTGGTTCCTGGCCGTTACAAGGATGCCAAGACGCACATTCTTGGGTTTGCCATGACGTTGAAGCATGGTCTTATTCCTAACTTGTTAGATGCTGGTCGTAATCCAAGATATAACGCTCGTGATGCTGCTTGGTTCTTTTTACAAGCGGTGCAAGAATATGTTAATTATGCTCCTGATGGTTTGAGTATTTTGGATGAGAAGGTAAAGAGAAGATTCCCCTTGGATGACACTTATATTCCACATACTGATCCTCGTGCATTCAGCCATGAATCCACCATTCGTGAAATCATTTATGAGATTTTGCTGCGTCATGCTGCAGGTATCAAGTATCGCGAAGCTAATGCTGGACCGAACTTGGATTCGCAAATGAAGGATGAAGGATTCAACGTTGAAGTGTTTATAGATTGGGAAACAGGGTTGGTCCATGGTGGATCACAGTTTAATTGTGGTACCTGGATGGACAAGATGGGTGAGAGTGAACGTGCCCATAATAAGGGTGTTCCTGGAACTCCTCGTGATGGTGCTGCTATTGAATTACAAGGTTTGATGAAGAGTGCATTAAGGTTTGTCAATAAGTTACACGATAAAGGTAAATTTGAATACACCCATGTTAAGAAGGCTGATGGAAGTGAAATATCACTCAAGGACTGGGAACAGTTGATTCAAGATAATTTTGAAAAATGTTTCTATATTCCTACACTGTCTAAGGATGATCACTTGTACTCGCTTGATCCAAGTTTAGTTCATAGACGTGGTATTTACAAGGATTTGTACAAGTCAGGCAAACCATATGAAGATTATCAATTGCGTCCTAATTTCAGCATTGCCATGTGCGCCGCTCCAGAATTGTTTACTCCACTCAAAGCCCTCACTGCTCTTCGTAATGCCGATAAGATAATTCGTGGTCCAGTTGGTATGAGAACTTTAGATCCCCTGGATTGGAATTATCATCCATATTACAATAATAGTGAAGATAGCGACAACTTTGCTACTTCCAAGGGTCGTAATTATCACCAGGGTCCAGAATGGGTCTGGAATTTGGGATATTTCCTTCGTGCATTCTTGCATTTCCATGTGGAAGCAGTGGCTGATAGTCATACCCAACAAGGTGATCCGCTGATCAATATATTAACCGAGTTGAATGAGAGATTACAGGGGAATATCAAATGGATTAAGAATAGTCCTTGGGCCGGATTGACTGAATTAACCAACAAGGATGGTGTGATTTGTAATGATTCAAGTCCTACACAGGCCTGGAGTGGTTCTTGTTTGTTGGATTTGTATCATGATGTATGGACTGATGAGAGGTACCGTAGCAAGTACTGTAATTAAAGATAGAAGTTGTTTTATTGTTTTTTCTTTGTTAGTTTGATTTAATATATATTTACTTGTTTTGTTTACCCTTAGCTAACTGTTGCAAAAGTAAAGCCCCTCGTTGACTCAAATGCACCAGACACTAAATATACCCGAGACACATGAGCTTTTATTTAAACCTGTTTAAAATTTTGCAAACGTTCAAACATGTCGCATAATTAAAGACCCGAGGACTACCTCCGCCAATAGCCGTGGAAGTACCCCGTTAATTATTGCTTTTTGTTTCTTTGTCATTAAACAGTAGATATCCTAGACCTGCCCCTCCCCTTGCCTTTCCTAATTGGGAAAGTTGACGCTAAGTGCGCCGACACAGGCAAGGAAAAAAAAAACAAAAAAAAATAAAGGTAGCCATGGAAAACGATTGCCAGAGGGGAAGTTTCAGTGGGGTCGCGCACTATGGGTCTCCACACAATCTGATGGTTTATATACAGGACGTGTACTTCTGCCGGCAATGGCCACCCGCCAGGACTATATAAAAGCACCAAAATTTGTCCTCCCTTGAATGTAAATGAAAAATTTCAGCAATATCAACAAATTAAACCATGTTGTCTCGAGTTGTAAGAAACAAAGCTGCCATTAGAGCATTTCAGATCAATATCATGAGGTTCAAGACCACAATTGCCTTGTCCTCGACTACTTCGAGTTACCCCACCACTCATGTCAAAGATCAACCATATGACACTCCTAGTTTTGTCAATAACGAATTCATCAAGTCAGAATCATCCGAATGGTTTGATATCCATGATCCAGCCACCAACAATGTCGTGTCGCGTGTTCCACAATCCACTCCGCAAGAGTTGGAAGAAGCAATTGCTTCTGCCCACAATGCTTTTCCACTGTGGAGAGACACCAGTGTGATTAAACGTCAAGGGATTGCATTTAAGTTTGTGCAATTGTTGAAAGAGAATATGGATAGAATTGCCTCAGTCATTGTTTTGGAACAGGGGAAAACCTTTGTTGATGCTCAAGGAGATGTCACTCGTGGGTTGCAAGTTGCTGAAGCCGCATGTAATATCACCAATGATTTAAAAGGTGAAACTTTGGAAGTTTCAACCGATATGGAAACCAAGATGATTAGAGAACCATTGGGGGTAGTTGGATCCATTTGTCCATTTAATTTCCCAGCCATGGTTCCATTATGGTCATTACCTTTGATTTTGGTTACCGGTAATACTGCAGTTATTAAGCCATCAGAAAGAGTTCCTGGTGCTGCCATGATCATTTGTGAATTGGCTGCAAAAGCTGGCGTTCCTCCTGGTGTTCTTAATGTAGTTCACGGAAAACACGATACCGTTAACAAGTTGATTGAAGACCCAAGAATTAAAGCATTAACTTTTGTTGGTGGTGATAAGGCCGGTAAGTACATTTACGAAAAAGGTACTTCATTAGGAAAGCGTGTACAAGCCAATTTGGGGGCCAAGAACCATTTGGTGGTTTTACCAGATGCTAACAAGCAACAATTTGTCAATGCCATTAACGGGGCTGCATTTGGAGCTGCTGGTCAAAGATGTATGGCAATTTCTGTATTGGTTACTGTTGGTAAGACCAGGGAATGGATTGACGATATTGTCAAGGATGCTAAACAATTAGTTACTGGTAGTGGATTTGATCCAAAAAGTGATTTGGGACCATTAATTAACCCCCTGTCTTTAACCAAAGCCGAATCTATTATTGAAGATTCCATTAAAGCTGGTGCCAAGATTGTTTTAGATGGTAGAGGTTACAGACCCAAGGACTCCCAATTCGCCAATGGTAATTTCTTGGCCCCTACTATTTTAACTGGAGTCAAGCCAGGAATGAGAGCTTATGACGAAGAAATCTTTGCACCTGTATTATCTGTTATCAATGTTGACACTATTGATGAGGCTATTGAAATAATTAATACCAACAAGTACGGTAACGGTACTTCGTTGTTCACTAATAACGGAGGTTCAGCTCAATACTTCACCAAGAGAATTGACGTTGGTCAAGTTGGTATCAATGTTCCTATTCCAGTTCCATTACCAATGTTTTCGTTCACAGGATCCAGAGGCTCTTTCTTGGGTGACTTGAACTTTTATGGTAAGGCTGGAATTACATTCTTGACTAAGCCAAAGACTATTACTTCTTTATGGAAGAGTAATTTGGTTGATGAAGAAATCTTAAAACCTTCTACTTCTATGCCTGTTCAACAATAGAGTATTTAGTAATAAAATATTTATTAATAGTTGCAAAAAAGAAAACCAAAATAACAATGTAATTTTTTTTTTCTTTCTTGAAAAATATATGAATACGATAATTTTTGAGAAACTCCTTGTTTATCATAACTGCTATACGAACATGTCATAGACAAGATATAAGATAGAATAATCGATTTAAAATTAAATAAAAAAAAAAAGAATAGTGAAGGATGCGAGGTTCGAACTCGCGCGGACACTGTCCAGTAGATCTTAAGTCTACCGCCTTAGACCACTCGGCCAACCCTCCCTATTTTGTTTTCAAGTTTTTTCAATTTTATCACATCAGAAAACTAATTTTAAACAGTTTTCAATATTTCTTAACTAGTGGTTAATCGACTATTCCTCGGGGATTCTGATAGTTTATGTATTTAGAGGTATTGATCAATATGTTTGTTTGGAGATGAGTGTATTTCTAGAAGATAAAATGGATTTAAAGAGGTGTTTTATTTTTAACGAATTTTGCAAAAAGAACACAGATAATATGGTAATAGATTTAGCTCAAGATAGAAAATCAATAGACGTAGTTTGAACATAGCATTGTCCGGATAGATTATTGACCAAATTCAATTGGTATACTAGCATTTGGCAAAGAGACGATGAAGGACCAACCCCTCACTATATTGATCCCAGATAATTGCCACTGATGATCAGAATAATGGATCGATCAACCCAGATTAACTGTGTAAGATAAAGTCCATACCACCTGAATATGCTTGAGTTTTCTGTATTTAAATGTTTATACCGTCTGGATAGCTACACTTTGCTGTTCTTAGAAAGAGAGCCCAGTTTACTTCTTGGGAATTGTATTTTTTTTTTTTGGTATATAAAACCAATTGGAATTATGATATACCCTTTTCTAATTTGATCTTCATAGGGAGTGGAAAATATTTAGTAGCAGTCTTTAAACGAAGGGGTTATGAAGGTAGATCATCAGTACTATTTATTGTAGTACAATCTTAATAGCTTAAAATCGTTGCTCTGCTCTATATTTGTCTAGTAGGCCATTCACATGTTCAAATCGGACAGCCAAATGCGTTTTCTCAAAATTCTTGCCATAAATGAAGTCACGCAACAGCTGTTGTATAAGCTACAATGAACCACATGCTTTCCATTCCAATGGACAAATGGATATTTCAACTAAATTTACGAACATCATAACAATGGAACGGATAGCATTGATCATGACTTAAAATTCAATCCATTCCCGAAATGGTCCAATTTACATCAATGTATACAGATGGTGTTATTTAGGTCATGAAATTCAATCTCATTGCATAAAAAATGTTTTGGTAGAAGATGCATCATAGGCATTCAAACTTGTCATGACTTATTGAAAATTGTCCGGGGCAAGTATCACCAAGTTCCCAAAGTCCGAATATTATTTCGATACATTTCATTGCCAAGGGAAGATCGGCATTAGGTTGTACATACACCTACATCCTTCCGAGTACTCGCGGGTATTACTAAAGCTGACAAATCAAGGTCGGCTAAGGTAGTGTTTCATGTCTTTATTTTATCTCGAATGTCATCAAAAATCATTGTTGTCTAGAAGCTTTACATACTTTGACAATGTTCCATCGTCAAGACTACAGAACTTGGCTTTGACGATGACAAATATAATTGTCTAATTTCAAACATCGGAGAGATTTATTTTATACCTGTTTAGATCATATATGTGAACAATGATCTATGCACATTGCTGTACCAGGCGTCGAGAGTACGGGGTTTGTCATTCTATGTGTCGAACCCTTCGGTTAATTTGCAACCGTTTCTTGTAAAGGTTTTTTTTTTTTCGCTCCGTTGTTGCAAAATGCTTTTAAAAATTTCATCCTGAGAAAAGAAATGGCGTGATTTTTATCAGACGCAGATTAAAACTGATAAATAAATTTGAATTTCGTACTCGAGAGAATAATAATAATAATAAAAGAAAAATAAGAGATCCGGGGTATCAGGGCGTTTCATGTGTGTCTGGGGTTAATTATTCGCGTGTTAAATCCCATTCAAGCGCAGAATGAAAAATTTTTCTGTAAAATGGGCCAATTCGTAAGCTCTGCCGAGGGATTTGATTTCATGACAGATTTGAAAAAGAAACAAAAAATCCAAATGAAGTTCACAGACCCCTTACAGTTGCGTAAATCCTGACTGGCTAGATTGTTGTCATGCCGAACTCCGGGGTGAAAATAATATTGAAAATATATTTTCAAGAATATGGGGTTGTACAATTTGATTTCTTGGGAATTAAACCTTGGTTTTAAGGCTGCTTTTTTATGAATTAAAGATGATTACAAGAAATTGAGTCAAACTTAAAACCGTTGATTGATTACACATTCCGGGTTGCTGGCTTGGCTCGTTATCTTTGTTTCCACGGTTATGAAGAATCCGAGGTAGATCACAAAAACTAAAACGCCAAAATAAGAAAATTTTTTCAAGCGTGTTTTTATTTTTATTAACAAAATATATTTTAGCAAAAACTTACAATAAAAATAAAGAAAGCTTATTTTATACATTCCGAAGAGACATACACATTATATACAATCGTAGTATGGCCATTTAACGAAAGATGGATCGTTTGTTTATATGCGGATTTGCATGTCCGGAAAGAATCGTGACGGGAAAAACTAAAATTAAAAAGCCGCAAAAGGGATCGGTTCATTTTTTTCGTTACGTTTCTGTGTTGCATATTTATTAGGTGTTGCCAAAAAAGGATTAACACCTTGGGATTTTGTGTCGCAAAATTTAATTAAATTAAAAATTGTCTTAAAATGCTGTCTGATTTGTTCCTTTTTTTTTTTTACTTTGCCGGAATCAAAGTCCGAATATGTAGTAGCGATGTTTGGCTGTAAACGCCGCAAAAATAGCTAGTCATTGCATTTTAATTTACAGGCCGGTGTTTGCGCTGATTTTTTTTATCTTGTTCATCTTGCAGAAATGTATATCTTTACATAGGCGTATATTTTCAATTTTTTTTGTTTTGGTTTGCTCTTCAATCGACTTTCAATTGTTTCAATGACGTTCCATTGATTCCGGCTTTAAGTGAAATAACTCAATGCAGAAGGTCCAGGAAAAGTCAAGAATTAAAACCGCGCAATTACCTTCATGAGAAAAAAAATAATTAGTTTGTTTTTGTCTGTCTGATGAGCTGTTCTATTTTGTTCTATTTTTTTTTTTGTTTGCTGCTGCTACTTCCTGTTTTCCATAAAAATTTTTCTTCCGTAACTGTCCGATCACCCCCTGTACACAATTACAACGTATACTATTATTAAAATTGTCGGATGAATTGTAGAAAAAAAAAATAACACATTTAATGCAGACAAGAAAAAAAAACAAAAAAAAAGAAAAGCTATTTCGGGGGTTGGTTATAATATATGGGGCAGAGAAAGAGAGTCATATATAAAAAACATTTGCCATAAAATTTTCATCGACAAACATTATCCAGTACTGATACAACTATAACGATTCATAAAATTTTTTTTTACTTATTTTTATTTATTAACCATTTGCAAATTATTCATATATAAACATATACACATAGGCAATGACAGGTACGTTTCAAATTTTTTTCTCCTTCTGGGGAGGGGGGTGTGGTCGAAGATCACTGAGAAAGGAAGGGCAGGGGGCGTTATGAAATTCATTTCGTTGCATTGAAAAAAAAAATAGTATTCCAGTCCAGCATATTTTTTTCACCCTTGAATTTCAGTAAGAGATTATGTATTATTTGTTTACTATATAACAGGTCGACGTTGTCAATTCTCCCTTTTTTAACCCAATTTTAACCAGACTAAAATTAAACTCCTTACTCCGGCTCCGACAAAGACCCCCAAGATCCAAGAAAAAATATACTAATCTTATTATGGATCTAGTTAATTGTAACATTGAGGAAAAGTCAACCACATCAACCACTTCTGCACCAATGATTGTAAAAACTTCCAAGGAATGGGTTCTTCCTCCAAGACCCAAGCCAGGAAGAAAGCCAGTCAAGGAAATGGCAGATAAAACCAAAATAAAACCAAGAAAGAAGTACCAGAAGAAAACAACCATACCGAGTACTTCAGAAACAACAACCTCCACCACTACCACTACCACTAAAACAAGCACAAGTGTTAACACAACCACCCAATTGAGTGATCTAGGTCAAGACCTCAATGATGTGTCATGTATTATGAAAAACATCAAGACAATTGATTCAGAAAACTTGTCATTAAAATCTACTTTATTATCTTTAATTCATGACTATAAACAACTCAAGAACTTGGTCTTAAACCCCGAAGTTATTACATCGGTACACCAACCTTTAGACTCTAATGTTCATAAGAGATCCTATACCGAAGTAAAGACCAATGAAGTTTTAACTACCTCTACTACAACCGAGTTCGACAAGTTTATTGATCTTGACAACAATGACCATGTTGACCTTAAGAAATCCAAAACCAATGACTATTTCGAACCAATAGACTCGGACATAGAGATCGATTATGAAGATGATTATGAATACAACATGATGACACTGCCTACATTATCTTCTACCGAGCTTTCACGCACTACTTCACCATACTCTGATTTTGAAAATAATTCATTAATGTCGTCATTGACAAGATCTACTACGGTTTCATCGGTGATGAGTTTTGATAAACCAAAATTCACCTTGAACAATTTCTTTGAATTACCAAAATACGAAGAGGAACAAGATGATCATGAATACAATTTCAAGTTTGATGAATTAATGAACAACAACAGTAAGAATGACCAATATAATATGATCACAGACTTTTTAGAAGAGAAGTTGATTACTAATGACATTGAATATTATACTGCATCTACCACCACTGCTCCTGTTGCGTCATCATCTGATAATAACCTCATCTGGTGAGAGAGAGAGAGTCGCCTATTGTTGATGTCACCAGCCCCCTTATTAACCCACGAGGAAAAAACTATATTTTTTTTTTTTTACTGCGAAAAAATTTTCTAGGACTGGCTGCTCATCGCACATGCATATACCACCCCCTAAAATCCCCGTCATTCTCCGAATAGAATGATCGAATATGACAACGCATTGGCGATGACTTAATGGTGACATTTTGATTCTCGTATTGCACCCAACTTAACTACATTACCCCCTATTTATTAACTATATTTATTCCGGTTTACGATATTACAATTACTGACATTTGTTTTTTGCTTTTTTTTTGTTTTTTTAATCTTTTTTTTGATTTTGTTGATGATTTTATGGGTCTTAAAGTTTATATAAAAATTATATATGTAAAATAACTTTAGTAAATATAAAGGTTTGATTTTTTTAAGTGACCATTATGCTTGGGTTCCAATAACGGTGGAGAATAACCCATCATGCATCCGATCAGATTGTTCAAGATCGTTTTGGAGTTATCGGCAAAATTTCTTAATTCCAAAATATTTTCGTGACCCAAAAATAACCTAAACCCGTAGTCCTTGTCGCGACATTTTCTATTTCCGTGTCGTGGAATAATCTATACTTTTTTATTTTATTGTCTGTTTACTCTAGTTAACTCTACTTAACCCGTTCCCTCCGTTAATTACATCATCAATATTTTGTAAGGATCTTGTGGCAGTATAATCGAAATTTTCAACTGTTGCTGCACCAATATGTGGGGTTAAAACTACATCCTCACGATTCAACAATTCTTCATGAACCTTTGGCTCTTCTTCAAATACATCCAATCCTGCAAATAATACCTTGCCTGATTTCAACCCATCAACTAAAGCTTGTTCATCTATCAGAGTACCTCTACCAATATTCACAATTCTAAATGGTTTCTGCATAGAATCAATAACATCTTTGTTAATTAAATGGAAAGTTTCTGGTGTAGCCGGACAAGCAATAACTACTAAATCTGCATCAGTAGCATCTTCAATCTTGGCCTTATAGGTAACTTTATACCCTAATTTATTTTCTTGCTCAGAAGAAAGTTTGTTTCGCTTGATGTAAGTAACATTCATACCAGCGTCACTCAACTTTTTCCCTATACATTGTCCAATATTCCCAAACCCAACGATGGCAACATTATGTCCACGAGGCGACAAACATCCACGATTATTGATATAGTGTCCAAAATAGTATCCATTGGAATCACTTAAACTGGTAGGCTTACCTGTAGTTTTATCAAATTCACCTGCGGAATGTTGGTATCTAATTTTCAAGGTGTTCTTAACATTACGGAATTGAGAATACAAGTGGAATTGTCTGAAACTAGTTATGGCATTAACCAAAACCAATTCAGCCACTGGTTCAGCAGCACCGTCGGAAGGCACATTGGTCATGGTGATGCCGTGTTTAGCTAAAACATCAGCATCTTCATGGTCATACCCTACTGAACACAAGGCTATGATTTTTAGATTGGCTGGGGAATGGTCAATGACACTTCGGAATCCACCGATAGGCAAGAATCCCAACCAGGCGGCGTAAATGGCAACGATATTTTTGAAATCGGTTTCAAGTTTGGAGATGAATTCTTCCCTGGTGGTTAAGGTGTAGAAGATACAGTCATACTTGGATTGGAAGTCGATAAATTCAGGGAGCGTACGGTTGAGTTCTCCGATGAATAATACTTGTGGTTTAGCCATGCTTTGTGTAATTTGGATTGAGTTGTTGGATGTGGAAGTGTATTTGTTGAAAATATTTATAGTGAAAAATTTTGGTGCCGCAGAAATCAGCCTTTTTTTTTGACCATTGTGCAGCACCGGGGTTAGAATTACTGCGAAAACTGTGGGGTGTGTGTGAGTAAAAATGCCTTACGGTGTGGCATTACCACAAGGGTGGGAAAGCAAGCAAATGGAATCATTTGCGAGTCCAGACTTTGAGATAGATATTATTACAATAAAACCATATTTAAAGCAATACAGTATCTAAATCTAATTTAAACAAACAATCTCTGTATTTCGCAAACTCTTAATTGCAAAATAATTCTCATTCAATACAACTTGATTCAACTTTTCAAACCTTCCATTATTCAAAAGAAACACAACTTCTTCCAACTTATTGTTATCTCCAGATTTTTTATAAACGCGATCAAATTCTTGTAATCCATACAGTCTAAACCTTGAATTACTCCTAACACAACTCCAATACACTTTCATGACAGATTGCTGTTGATATTTTAAAATCTCGACAAGTCCCGAACTCGGAGTTTCATAATAATTACCTAATATTTTCAAATAGAAACTGGTTATACTATTTGGCTTTAATTGATGCACGACTTTATCAAATCTAATGTTTGGTGAAATAATTGCCAATTGTTTAACCGACTTCAATTGCGAAGCCAATATTGCCAATTCTACCACTGAGGGAGGTGGGTGGTAAAGCCCAAATTTTAGTTCAAGTGAAACTATTTCAGCCAAATTGAAAATATTCCTTATATCAATAAGTCGAATTGGTTGCTGAAGGAATTCTAATGAGAGATCACGAATGGTAATTTGTTGTTTCAAACTGTCAAACATAGTTGAAGTACCGTTGATGATTCGTAGCGATTTCAAACGGGTAAAGAAAGGGAGCAACTTAGTTTCACCTCCATTGATGGTTAACTTCTTAATTGAATAGTTGAATTCAGTCATGGCAATCCTGAACCATGAGGAAAAGGACAACTCCTGATGAACAATTATGCTTTTCTTGTATTCGAACTCGATAGATATTCGTGGTGATGAGCGAATCACTTTCTTGAAATCAAGGGTTATACCATAATCAGTGTATATCACAATAGTATTAACAAATTGCAACTCCTTCATATTCAACAAGGTGATAAATTTGTTCCATCCATTAACCACAGTGTATTTGAGGTAGAATGGAGAATTAACATCGGGACCAATCACAACCGGATCACCATTATTAACATATACAAAATTGAATAACTTCTCAGTAGCGACAATGTAAAATCTTAAATTAATTAGACGAACCAGTAAAATATTAATTTGGTTCAAATACCCCAAGATCTCATATATTATTTCATCAGGTAAGGTTAAAATTAACGGTTTTCTAATTGCTATCATTGAATCAAGTTGTAAAAATAAAAACCGTATAATGGTTAGGAAATATAAATAAAACAACGTAGTGATCATTATATAGCCAAATCTCTAGCAAAATTAGGTAAGCAATTATGTCATTCAACGTGTGGAGATAAGGAATGACATCCGTACTTTGTAAACCCTTTTCGAGCATTTTATCTTCCCCGCACAAAAAAAACATTTGTGGCTTATGCGCAAGAACTCGACTATCGGGACAATCCTCACTAGCACGGAAACATTATAGAATAAATCATAACATTTACTCAACCGACGTTAATATAAGATTCTATTATATTACGCTAAACCTGGTTCACCACAGATATTTTAATTTTTTTTTTTTGGTATTTTGGGTGCCAAAATTTAAGCTATAAAATGGTTGCGAAAAACTTATTTTGGTTATCTTCTGGATGTAACAAATAATAATGTGATAAAAACTCAGAACCAACTTCCCAATGCCATGAAAGTATATATCGGCCAATGATATTATAGAACTAGATATTATTGATTTTAAAAAATATCAACCACTAACGACATAAGATAGAAGCAAATGAAACCTTCAAAACTACTTCCCTTACTCGTCTCCCTCCTTTACCTAAAATTGGCAGAAACAATTTCAGGACAAATGGGCTAACAAAAAAACTGATATAGTCTCCAAAAACCAAACCTGATCCTGAACTTTTGTAGTAACAAATTGTTGCTCAATCTATTGTAGTGGAACTTCATTGTGTACATTCCATGATTTCGAACTACTTAAAAGCGCAACAGCAATTGCGGGTAATAAACAGATAACTGATGGCACCACACGGAACCATAACACACCATTGTTAAATTGATCTTTGATCCATTTAGTTGTTCCGATAACTTCAAAAACTGCAACAACTATAGAATCCAGGAACAGACCTTTTTTTTTGAAAACAATAACCAAGACACCCTATAAACTAAAAATAACTTGCCATTTTACTCTTTTACCTTTGAACAGAATCGTAACTGATAGGACTGCAGCACCAAGGGAGCCGAGGAATCTCCAGAACCCAAATATGGACCTCAGGATTTGTGGTCCCAATGGATTCATTAATTAGCTATTCTTTTATATACGATTGCTCATCTTCCTAGAGTAGGATACGCTTAAGCATGCAACAATAATCATTGGTGAAAAGGTAATAAATCAAGTAAAAATCTGTATTTTTGGCTTCCTTGAATTCAAAAAAAGGGATACTGTAAATGAAACAATCCCAAACACTACCTCCATACCCATCACAACGCAGAAAACATTGAATGGAAAAAAGTTCAATAACATCCAAGAGGGCGATATGAAAAACTACCTGACGAGCTTGTACCTTCAAACTAGTCAAAGAATCACACTACCACAGCAGTAATGGAGCAAAGAATAGCATTCTAGACAAAGATATCTCTTTACTAGAACCAGCAAGTATTGTCGCAGTTATTCCTTTAATTTTACAATTATCATTGCATCAAACGTGAAATTGGATTGGGTTGTAAAGCTCACTATTTCGCTACACAATAGAAGATAATTATGTGTAGAATTTATGGTTCACATCTATTGAATTGCTTGGGCTAACTAATATTTCTTGATAATCCCGCTTCAAATATCCTCAATTAACACCAATAGAAAACTCGACATCCAAACAGAAGCCAAAAGAAGAACAGACTATATTGAATGGAGGGGTGATAACGCCATGGACGCACCATCTTATTGTTGGTTTTGTACCTTGTTATTATTATTATTTTCAGAGCAATTTTTATTGTCACCTGTCTTTTCTAGATCTTGTAGTTTAATCAGAGAACTGATAGACAGAGTATTTGTTTTCGACCTTGTGTTCAGAATGGTCATCTTGTTACATTGTTACCTAGCGTTATCAATTAAATACTGAATTGGGTGCTTGATATAGATATGAGCAATCAAGACTTATAAGAAAGAAATTAGAAAACTTATGCAGCAAGTAGGAAACTGACGAGTAATTAGGAAACTGATGTAGAGTGATTCAGAATAGAATTACATCTCAAGATATTGTTGTTTCTAAAAAAAAAATCAATAGGCTTCTTACATCCTTAGGTATAACTTCTATTTCAAACATGTGAATCGTAACTGTCGTCAACACTATCATCACTAAAATGTTCCCCAGATTAACAAGTATTAGGGGATGCCCGCCTTACCTCGTAAAAATATTTGGGGGAAGAAAGATTTTGCAACCATAGGTCGTGTACTTACAGTCAATTTAACACGTCAGGATATTTTTTTTTTCTGGAGAAGGTCAAACCAAATTCGCTTGTGAGGACAAAAAAAAGGGTGACACTTGCTTATAAAAAGGAAGGTTATTCCCCCTACGAAAGTTACCTGACATTTCAACCTCACGCTATATCCGCACCTGAAATTATGGATAATATTGCCCAAATATTTGAATTTCCAGTAACTATCCCTAATCAGAGAAGGGTGGATCAGGTGATTACTGGTGCCACTATAATTAATGGCTTTGTTTCATTAACCGTGGGCCTTTACACCAATTCATTGGCCAATGTTTATCTCGCTTTTGGTGCTCAGTTGATCTTGTTGATACTTGTTGTTGCCCCCAATTGGTTGTTCAAGTCAGAACCAAATCTCGAATGGCTACAAATTAAGATCTAAATTGGAGAGTGTTTATCTGGCGGTTTCCCCTAATTTTTTTTTATACGAGAAAAAAAAAAGAAATATTCTCGCCCTGGCTGCGTGTGTATTAACATCAATTTCGGTTCAACCTTACTTGGCCTCGAGAACAAAAGAAACAAACAAAAAAAATTTATACCGAAATTTCTCCCCACCGCCGCCCCACACATAATTGCTGCACTAATAAACAATGTCATGGGGACCGTTTTGATTTCTCCGGTTGTATAAATTCCCAACGGTTTCAACAGTTTTTTTTTATTTCTTGTTTGCTTTTCCTTTTTCCTTCTTTCATACCTAACCTTTTTACTTTTTTACATTTTTTTTTTTTTTAATTCATATAATTAATAATATATAATGACTGTTGAATTACCAGCATCAGAACCTTTGTTCTTAGGGTTTGATCTTTCTACTCAACAATTGAAAATTATTGTAACCAACCAAAAATTAGCTGCTTTGAAATCTTACAATGTTGAATTTGACGTTGCTTTCAAGGAAAAATACGGCATCACTAAAGGTGTTTTAACCAACAAGGAAGACGGAGAAGTTGTTTCCCCAGTTGGCATGTGGTTAGACTCCATTAACCATGTCTTTGATCAAATGAAGCAAGACGATTTCCCATTCAACCAAGTTGCCGGTATTTCTGGATCTTGTCAACAACACGGTTCCGTGTTCTGGTCTCACGAAGCAGAAAAGTTATTGAGTGGCTTACAGAAAGACCAAGATTTATCAACACAATTAAAGGACGCTCTTTCCTGGGACAAATCTCCAAACTGGCAAGATCACTCTACTCTCGAAGAAAGTAAGGCTTTCGTCGATGCTGTTGGCAGAGAAGAATTGGCAGATATCACTGGTTCAAGAGACCATTTAAGATTCACTGGTTTGCAAATCAGAAAATTTGCAACTAGATCCCATCCAGACAAATACGCAAACACCTCTAGAATTTCCTTGGTTTCCTCATTCATCACCAGTGTTTTGTTAGGTGAAATCACCGAGTTGGAAGAATCCGATGCCTGTGGTATGAACCTTTACGATATCAAGGCTGGTGACTTTAACGAAGAATTATTGGCCTTGGCTGCCGGTGTCCACCCTAAGGTTGACAACATCACCAAGGACGATCCAAAGTACAAAGCTGGTATTGAAGACATCAAGGCTAAATTAGGTAAGATTTCTCCAATCACTTACAAGTCTTCTGGTTCCATTGCATCATACTATGTTGAAAAGTACGGCCTCAACCCAAAATGTCAAATTTATTCCTTCACCGGTGATAACTTGGCCACCATTTTATCCTTGCCTTTGCAACCAAACGATTGTTTGATTTCCTTAGGTACTTCCACCACTGTTTTGTTGATCACCAAGAACTACCAACCATCTTCCCAATACCACTTGTTCAAGCATCCAACTATTCCTGATGGGTACATGGGTATGATTTGTTACTGTAACGGGTCATTAGCCAGAGAAAAGATTAGAGACGAAGTTAACGAATATTACAAGGTTGAAGACAAAAAGTCCTGGGATAAATTTAGTGAAATTTTGGACAAGTCAACCAAATTTGATAATAAATTGGGAATTTTCTTCCCATTGGGTGAAATTGTTCCTCAAGCCAAGGCCCAAACTGTAAGAGCCGTTCTTGAAAACGACAAAGTTATTGAAGTTGGATTAGACACCCATGGATTTGATATTGATCATGATGCCCGTGCCATTGTTGAATCGCAAGCTTTGAGTTGTAGATTACGTGCTGGTCCAATGTTGAGTAAGTCTTCCCGTGCCAGTGTTACTTCCCCAACCGAATTAAAGGGTGTATACCATGACATTGTTGCCAAGTACGGTGACTTATACACCGATGGTAAGCAACAAACTTACGAATCGTTGACCTCTAGACCAAACAGATGTTTCTACGTTGGCGGTGGTTCCAACAATATTAGTATTATTTCCAAGATGGGTTCCATCTTGGGTCCAGTCCACGGTAACTTCAAGGTTGATATTCCAAATGCTTGTTCTTTAGGTGGTGCTTACAAGGCCAGTTGGAGTTATGAGTGTGAACAAAAGGGCGAATGGATCAACTATGATCAATACATCAACCAATTGCTTAAGGAGTTGAAGTCATTTAATGTTGAAGACAAGTGGTTGGAATATTTCGATGGGGTTGCCTTGTTGGCCAAGATGGAAGAAACTTTATTGAAGTAAAGTGAGTTAATATAATTAATAGCATACGAATAGAAAAAGATAATTAATTACAATCATGTGTAGAGCATACCCTTATTCACTTATAACGTTATATTTAGAAATACTTCTGCTTTCTTTAGTCCAAGCAATATACATACATGTCATTATTACTTTGGTTGCCGGCTCCGGCGCTACCATATACAATAGTGTGGAAAATTAAAAAAAAATTGACAAATATTTTTGCCAGTGATTACTAGACTTATTAGACAACCATGATCAGAACCGGGTTAAGAGTATACAAGAGGCAACTATCTACACTCCTCGGAAAAAATCCGAACAAGCTAAGACTTTCCGATGTCAAACTGCCTCACCTAAACCATGATGATCTCCCATCACGCATCCAATTAATTCAATCGGTCAACCAATCCAATAATGAAGCCAAACAGGAACTTCTTGACGAGCTAATTCCGGACTTTTCTGTGTTTTTCAAATTGAAAACGAGTGATTATAGTAATGAGATCTTGAAGCGGATTATTGAAGTGAATCCTGGTCGAGTTCATTCTTCATTTGAGCTTTTCAAGATGTATTCTCCTAATTTAGAAGTTGGTCCGGAATTAGTAAAGGTTGTGTTGAGAAAGTTAGTACATGGAGAAAAAGCGGATACCGAATATGTTATCGACGAGGAGGGGTTAAGCAACTTGCGAGTGTTACTTAAGGAACACGTGAAGGAAATCAACGGGTTTGAAACTGAAGTAGAAGAGTTGTTGAGTAAGCTAGGTGAAAGTGGGTCATTTGATTTAGTCGAGGAGTTGACTAATGGTTTATTGACTGCTGAGTTTATGACAAGGTTTATCAAGTCTGAGGATATTGATAATCATTCGTATTTGCTTATGTTCCACAGATTATTTAGTATAGATCCGGCATTACTATCAGGAGATGACTACGTCAAGGCGTTGGATATTATAAACTTTAAACAGGAAAAAGAGCTCAGCGGCAAGATACTCGACTACATCAATGAATCCAAGATCGACCAAGAAGCAGAAAACTTGCGTTTGCGCGTCAAGATTCTTGAATGCCTTGGGATTGCCGATGATAATATCGAGGTAGCACTTCAAAAATATCACCAGTATAGAACCCATGCCACGTACGGTCTTCATATTGTCAGCACCGCCATGGTGAAGGTATTTGGCTACCAGGCTATCAAGCAAGACAAGAATATCTACTCGACAATCGCCGCCACTTTAGTGCCTCAAGATACCATCACAGTCAAGATCTTGCAAACGTTGATCGTAACCAAGGGATATTTCGACAAGGACTCTGCCTTGGAGTTGTTTAATGATTACATCAACCAAGTCTCGGCGGATGTGAACCAAGCCACGAGAAGGTCAGCCAAGGGATTACTCACCGAGGCTGTGTGTTTGTCATCGTTACAAAACAATGACCGTAGTTTTGCGCAGTTGGTTTTCGACAAGGCAATTGACAACAACGTTATTAGTGATGAACATGAAATTGCCGCGGTGAAGAAGGTGTTCAAGGCATACGGTGACTCATTTATCGAAGATGACGACTGGAGCAAGGCGAAAGTGAATATGAACAGTTATGTGTTGAACTATATAAAGAACTTGTAAACATAGAATAGGAATAGAAATAGTAATAGAAATAGAGAGAGGCCAACCAGATTTGGGATCTAGCGATGGTTCCCTTGAGCCGCACAGTGGCTCTTCCTTGCCCCATATGACTAATGCGATAAACCGCAGATATGCCGTGGATATATTAATTACTGAGTCATTGTTGTTGTGTGCAGGACACCAATAAATGTCGATTACTCACGATGCGCTAGAGCGTGGCGTATATAAAGGGACAAAGTTTTCAGACTTGTCAGATCTCTATTCCCTTTCTTTTCTGTAGCAATCAATCAATATACACACATCACAATCATGTCACAACCAGTAACAATCCATTTAAGAGCTGAAACCAAGCCATTGGAACACAGAGCTGCCTTGACTCCTACAACCACCAAGCAATTGTTGGATGCTGGCTTCAAGGTATATGTTGAAGAATCGTCGCAATCAATTTTCCAAACCAAAGAATATGAAGAAGTTGGTGCCACCATTGTTCCTGAAGGGTCGTGGAAGAGTGCTCCCGCCGACAGAATCATCTTGGGATTGAAAGAATTGCCAGAAGAGACCTTCCCTTTGATCCACGAACACGTTCAATTTGCCCATTGTTACAAAGACCAAGGCGGCTGGAAAGACGTCTTGAGTAGATTCCCTGCCGGTAAAGGTACTTTGTACGATTTGGAATTCTTGGAAAACGACCAAGGTAGAAGAGTCGCTGCCTTTGGGTACTATGCTGGTTTTGCTGGTGCTGCCATTGGTGTTTTGGACTGGGCGTTCAAGCAAACTCACAGCGACAACGAAAACTTGCCTGGCGTCCAACCTTATCCTAATGAAGACGCTTTGATTTCCGATGTTAAGAAGCAATTGGATCTTGCTTTGGCCAAGAATGGTGGTGCTTACCCAACTACTTTAGTTATCGGTGCCTTAGGCAGATGTGGTTCTGGTGCCATTGATTTCTTCAAGAAGGTTGGCATTCCAGAAGCTAACATTGCTAAATGGGATATGGCTGAAACCGCCAAGGGTGGTCCATTCCAAGAAATTGTTCAAAGTGATATCTTTGTCAACTGCATTTACTTGTCACAACCAATTCCTCCATTCATTGACTTTTCCAGCTTGAATGTCGAAGACAGAAGATTGAGAACCATTGTTGATGTGTCTGCCGATACCACCAACCCCCACAACCCAATCCCAGTTTACACCATTGCTACCGTTTTCAACGATCCAACTGTTCCTGTTGAAACTACCAAGGGTCCTAAGTTATCGGTGTGTTCTATTGACCACTTGCCAAGTTTGTTGCCAAGAGAGGCCTCGGAATTCTTTTCTAGAGATTTAATGCCTTCCTTGTTGGAGTTGCCAAACAGACACACTGCTCCAGTCTGGGTCAGAGCCAAACAATTGTTTGACAAGCACGTTGCAAGATTATAAGTTACGCCTTTCAATTCTACTTTTACAATTAAATTAATATATTTATATATATATATATATATGTATCAAAATAAGATTATTCTAAAGTAACACTAACCTTGGTCTTTTTGCTCTTTTTCTTTTTGGCTTTCTTACCCTTCATGATTCGTTGAATTTCTTCGCCGTCAGTTTCGTATTCAGATTCACTGACGCCGCCTTCCTCTTCACCGTGCATGTCTTCCAACGAAGTGAATCTTCTCTTCATAGTATCCATTTTTTCAATACTTTCCGGGGAGGTAACCACACAGTTTAATCTTTCACCAGTGTCGTAAATAGCAACTTGATCGCGGACTTGCTCGGATAAGTTCCACACGACTATCTTACCATCAGAAGACACAGACACGAGCAAAGGCAATTCTTCGTTATAAAATGAGATGCCCTTAATTCTATTGGTGTGACCACGCAATTCAAATACAGGTTTAAGTTGTTCTGGTTTAGAATCCAATACCTTCAGTTCGTCTTCTTCAACAGTAGACACAATCTGTTCTTGGAAATCGTAGAAATCAATAGCTCCGTTACCCAATCCAGTAACCAACCATTCTTTACCCGCGACCAAAAGAATATCAATACACATCAACGTGGTTGAAAACTTAATCTTCTTGACAATCTTAGCCGAGGAAGTCTTGTACACCAACAATTGGTTGAGTAACCCAACCACGAAATAGTCACCGGCCAATGACCATCTGACGAACTCTCCCAGTTGTCCCAAGTGATCTCTTCCCTTTATCTTCAACACGGCGGCCTTTTTCGCAGTCATTAAGTTCCACAATCTGATAGTTTGGTCTTGAGACACAGAAATGGCCACTTTACCACTGGGATGGATGGCTAAATCGTTAACTCTAGCGGTATGTCCCTTCAAGATCCCGAACGTTTCCCAGTCCTTGGTTCTCCATATGATGATCTTCCCATCTTCGGATCCGGACAAGAGCCACTTCCCGGACTTGTCAACTACTTCGGTAGGGTCGTCGTGTCCTTCACTGGAGAACTTCAACGTGGTGATTGTCCCGTTGTGCGAAAGCAAGTGTCCCAACTCCTTACGTTTTTGCAAGTCGTAGATCCGGATATGTTCGTCGTTGGACCCAGTGACCAAGTATCTCTTGGCCAAGTCTATCGATTTGATGGATAATGCATGGGCTTGGAAATGGAAGATAGGCTGGAATACTGGTTCTTTGGTGCCGGTGGGGTCGAGTATGAGTGATACACAGAGAAGGTTGTGTTCGTATGATCCAACAAAGATTCTGAATTGGATGGTGGTGGTGGTGGTGGTTGGTTTGGTTATTGGGGTGGTGGTAGTTGATCCCTTGAGGGACGACTTTATGGTGGTGCTGGTAGTGGTCTCTGGAGACGAATCTTCGATTGTCACCTTCTTGTCTTTGGCCATGGCTGGTTTGGTTGAAAGAAGATGCAAATGCAAATCTGAAAAATAGCGATGAGCTTAACATTTTTCTCATGAATGTTTGGTCGCACAAAATTTGTACCGTGAACTTTTGAACTGGCGCCAAATCAACACGAGCAAAAACTTGCAACAACAATTGTCAGAGTTTAGAGTTTATATAGACAAACAGATTATACAATTGATCCATCATGGTGAATCAAAAGACTCCGCTGCAGCACAACTCTACGCTATATATCTCCCCCATGATGACGCGCAAACAGGAATTGTTCATCACCCCACCGAATCCCCAACAACAACAACAACCACCACCGCATTTCTTTGAAACACCAGGATCCAACCGGTCTTCCTTCTTCAGCTTGTCCAAGGACCTGACACGGATTACTGAACCACTCACACCAGTGGAGAAGCTCCGACTATGGCGTCATGACGCCTTAATGCAACACCACTACACCACCGCAGAATTCATTGGCGATAAGATCCTCACCTTGACCAATGACCCTAATGACGCATTCTGGTTGGCGCAAGTCTACTTCCAGAGCGGCAACTACCTTCGTGCCAAGAACTTGCTTATTTCCAAACCCGAGTTTGAAAAAAATGTCGGATGCAGGTATCTTGCCGGGTATTGTTTGATCAAGTTGGAGTTATGGAGTGACGCATTGGACTTGATTGGTGAAAACAACCCATTCACTAAAGACGACAATTACCAGGTGAGAAGTATAGACGGCGGAATCAAACTCGAAGCATCCATGTGCTATTTACGAGGGTTGATTTATGCCAATCAGAATAATTTCGACCGAGCCAAGGATTGTTACAAGGAGGCGGTGCTAATTGATGTGAAGTGCTTTGAAGCGTTTGATGAGTTGATTAGTAATAACTTAATGACTCCGGCAGAAGAGTGGGAGTTTATTCTGAATCTAAACTATAGAGATGCCGATGACAACGAGGAATTGATTAAATTGTTGTATACTACAAGACTAAGCAAGTATCTTAACGTGGACAAGTTCAACGAAGCAGAACATATCCTTAAGGAAGAGTATGAGTTGGGCGAGAATAGTGATATTTTGCTAAGTCGTGCTGATTTCTTTTACATTCAGTGCAATTTCGATTCATGTTTATCCATATGTGAGAAGATTCTCGCGTACGATCAGTACAATTTCAACATTATACCCAATTATCTCAGTTGCTTGTATGAACTTGGAGGAAAAAACAAATTATTCCTCATGGCGCATCAGCTTGCCGAAAACCATCCTACAAACCCAATCACCTGGCTAGCAATCGGTACATACTACTTGTCGATCAACAAGGTCATTGAAGCCAGAAAGTTCTTTAGTAAAGCCACACTACTTAATCCAAATTTCGGGCAAGCCTGGATTGGATTTGCCCACACATTTGCCGCAGAAGGTGAGCATGAACAAGCAATAAGTGCTTACGCATTTGCAGCCAGATTGTTCCCCGGCACCCACCTACCTAATTTATTTCTAGGCATGCAACATTTGCAAATGAATAACTTGAATTTGGCGGAGGAGTACCTTTCTGCCTCGTACCAGATCTGCAATTCCGACCCATTATTATTGAATGAGCTAGGAGTGATTCATTTCCACAAGTTGCAATTCGATAGAGCGGAATTATTCTTTCAAGAAGCGTTAGATGCAGCGAAATACCTCAATTCCGATAGTAAAACCTGGATATCGATTCATTCCAACCTCGGCCATGTCTTCAGGAGAAATGGCGAGCCATTCAAGGCATTAGACTGTTTCAACCAGGTGCTTAAGATCAGCAACCGCAACAACGATGCCAATATCTTGGCGGCGATGGGACTCATTTATCTCAAGCTTGGCAAGGTGTTTAAACTGATTGACGTGTTACATGACGCGTTGGCTATTAGTCCCGGTGATCCCATCGCTACTGACTTGTTGAAACGCGCATTGGACGCCAATAAGGACAATGGTGCCGTGTTTATTCAAGAGGTGGGTGCAAATGTGCGTCCCGATGACACTTTCAAGTCACCATTGACAGGTAAAATGAGGCTTAAGGAAGACAATGTGGACACGCTTGCCCGCGACTTGAAAAAGGGAGAGGAGTCAAGTGATGAAGATGAAGATGTTATGGATATAGAAAGTGATTAGAAATTACCCATCAGAATCCGGGGAAATGAAACCTAAAAAATATTCCGTCACCAATTGGTAACGAGTCAAGCGGCATTTACGTGACGTATGTTTATAAAAAAAAATATTTTCGAGATCCTTTTATTTCCTATTTGGGAAAGATAATGTTTTTCTATTGATTGTTAATTCATGACGAGTTTGTGTTGTGTTTACAATTGTCATTTGACGACTGTGGTGTAGATGAACCTAGTAATACAAACCAGAGATGGTGTAAGTGGACACAAACAGAGATGGTGAAGTGAATTAAGGTTTCTATGATATAAATCTTAACAGCGAGGGCCCCAGGAGCACCCGGAGGGGGGGAAACCCGCGGAAACGGTGGAGATGTGCGGAAACACGGTAGACAAGGATACAAACGCAAAGTGTTACAAACCGGAATTCCATGCAACAGCTTCTTACACAGAGGCAACAATTACGAGATTGTGTCGTGACGTAACAGTCCCAAATAGGCAATCCAAACACACCAGATGTAGAAGAGGGTATGTATCATATAGTAATGTAAAGCTCCGATGCCACTGGAACAGTATATGTTGTTGTTGTAGTGATGCTATACTCACTCCATGAAACTGACTGCAATAGATGTGACTATCGTTCTAACATCGTCAGATTTAGGTCAAAGTTTCTTGTTTACATTTTTTTCCGCATCACATTATAGTTTGTTTCCCCCCCTCCTCCCCCTTATTTAGTCTAAATTTGGCAGGCTTTGTTTTGATCTGTAGAAAACCCCCATCACCAGGTTTTTCCTACTTTAGTCCACATTCCCACCACAATTTTTGCATTAGTTCACCTCTTCACTACTATTGTTAGTTTATTTATCTTTGCATTACACTACCTCATGACATGAGTACCCATACTATTAATACAACCACCACTGCAACAACAACAACCATGATGGCAACCACCACCACCAACACCTCCTCCTCCTCTTCCGGTCCAGGAACCGCTACACCCGGTCTCTCCAAGGATTCACGGATATTATGTATAAACTTCAACCAGGACCAAGGGTGTTTTGCCATTGGTCACGAATCAGGATTCTTGGTCTACAACACAAACCCCATTGATTTACGAGTCAAACGAAACTTTCCTGCATCGGAAACAACAACAACCACCACCACCACCACCACCAATGGTGGAGGTACCGGGATCGGCCAGATCAGCATGCTTCATCGAACAAACTATCTCGGATTGATTGGCGGGGGAAAGTCACCCAAATTTGCTCCGAATAAGTTGGTCATATGGGATGACTTGAAACGCAAAGTTAGTTTGACTTTGGAGTTTGACAGTCCTGTTATCAATGTATTGCTATCGCGGATCCGAATCATTGTGGTGTTGAGGGATAAGATAATCGTATATGGCTTTTCGGCCCCGCCAAAGATGTTGACCAGCTATGACACAATTGACAACGAGTTTGGCATTGCCGATTTGGCCAGTGTTAGTAATAGCGCAGCTACCAGTGCGTCATCGATATCTTCACTCAGTTCCACCAGTACTAAGTCGCAAACCCTTGCGTTCCCAGCACGATCCATGGGCCAAATCCAGATTGTTGACGTTGGACAAAATATTATACATATAATCAAGGCTCATAAACTGAAGTTACGATGTATCACTTTGAATAAGACGGGGACACTTGTTGCATCAGCAAGTGTAACGGGGACGATTATCAGAATCCACTCCACTCACGATCAGGTATTGCACTACGAGTTCAGAAGAGGATTAGACCGAGCAATAATAACATCGATGAAGTTCTCTCCTGATGATTCACGATTAGCTGTTCTTAGTGATAAACATACATTACATATTTTCAATATTGGTGAAGCACCCAACCGACAGCATGTATTGAACCGGTTATCCGGGAGTGTACCCATCCCGCAATACTTTAAGAGCACATGGAGTTTCTGCTGTGTCAATACGAATAAATATCATTTAGATAGTCAGCCTGACCAGGGGGTTATTGGATGGAGTGGTACTGATTGCGTGATTATAATTTGGCAGAATAAGCGCATCTGGGAAAAGTATGTAATTGTCGAGACCAGCAATGAGGCTACAACTTATGAGATTGTTCGGTCTAGTTGGAAAAGTCTAGAAAGTGAATAGTTCTATGTACATGTATATACAAGGTGTTAATCGACAATTTCACATAGTATAGGTTCGTAAAATTGTTGTTCTGGTTTACGTTTATCTATCTTGTCCCATTTCTTGCCATGGAAATTACGCACAAACCTTTGAGCTTGATGAACATCGCCGAACCTCATTAACTGAATGTTGGTTTCGTTGTTGACATCTATGGTTATGGGTGGTAATCTTTGGAAGGTGTAGTCATGGAGTAATTTTCGAAGGGTTGTGTTTGGTAATTTGAACGGTAAGTTTTGGATCTTGACGGTCTTGCTTCTAGCGTCGCTGGATATGAGTTCGGCAATGAGTTTATAGTTATCAGTCAGATGTTGCGGTATAGTTTTAAGTAGTTTGCTATAGCCTGTGTTGATCAACGGGCTCGACATTGTCGCTAACGTGACCTCGTCAACCTTGGCGAATTCGAAATTTAGATGGAATCCATTGAGCATCTTGGTGGAAGTTTCGTGGAGATATATACAAGCAAGCAATTGTGAGGGAAACACAAGGTAGTAGGCTTGTTGAAATGTCAAATCGTGAGGATTTCTCGATTTGACAACTTCTAAAGGAACCGTTCCCACGGAAAACTCACGGTAAAACTGGGAGTTTCTTGGAAAAACACGCAAGAAATCCTGTTTGGTGATGTATGAATTCAAGCAATTGAACTTGAGGATGTTGGAGTCGGGGTTATACTTTTTCACAAGGTCGGGAGCTTCATGCAAGATTGGTCTCGAGATCAAGTCGTAGTATGAAGGGTCGGTGCCGGTGTTGTCGTCATATAAAGTTTTGGATAGTTTTGAAGTTGTTGTTGCTACTTTAGGGGCTGTTTTAGAGTATAGAATGTTCATCAATCTATTTGATGCTTCACTGGGTAGTTTCTTCATAGGGATATCGTATACACTTAGGGTAATAGCTGACGGCTTTACGAGATGTATTGAAAAGGAAAAAAAAAAGGTAGACAGAAATGGTAAGTGCGACATGGAGACTATGCACGGTTAAGCTTAAGTTGTATAGCCGGGCACCAAACCGAGCTTACACTCATAACTTGATTTACAAATAGTAGAAGCATGCAAGAAATCATCTCAAGCGGTGCCAAGCTGAACAAGCAAAGCATACAAGTTGTCCATGTAAGTGAATGTGGCTCCAATAACTTTCTTTTCGGACTATCACCGGAAATGGAAAAAACTAAAAAATAAAAATTTTCTGATCAATTTTTTTTTTTGGGCTGTTTTTTTAGTTCAGTCCAACTTTTCGTTCTGTGAGTTTTTTTTTTACAACATAACTCTTGCCACTGAACTACATCCGGTCCCCCTTCGTTTCTGGTCACTGTCTCACTTGAGTCTTCAACTCAACTGCTAACCTCAATCATATGCTAACGATATAGTGTAACGCGACACTTTCCAACAATTTCCCTTGTAAATACTGAAAAAGCTTGTACATATTTTTATACCATCGTCCCATTTTTTTGACAACCAAAAAAACCCAGAAAACATCTCTTAGCCAAGTCAAACCAACCAGAAACCAGAGAGACAGAAATTACATTCCACATCAACAAACATAGACCAGACATACCAGACACATACCGCAAACAGATCGAAAGGCACAACCAGACTAGCAACCGTTTATCTAACCATCCAAGAAAAATATAACCTTAAAAAAAAAAGAAAAAAAACACCTCATTGAATAACACCACCACCAGATTAACTTTATAACTTCTTCGTCCGCTTTTTATTCATTCACTTTTTATCAACTGATCAAACCATGCCTTCGGAAACTATCTGGTCCAGTGCAAGCACTTCACCGATGCAATCAAACACCAATTTGAATCCGCAATACAAATCGGTGTTGGATCAAGTTGACCCTGAAGTTGCCAAACTTTTCGGCAACTCCAACCCGTTGGACTCTTTAACCGCAACTAGTTCTTCCGGAAGAAGATTCTCATTCAATGATGGCAGTGATATCGACGGCAGTAACTTTTTTGGAATCAAGAGAGGAACATTCTCCGCAATCACAGCACCGGTAGGCAACCATTACGGTGCAACTACTGATATTATTGGTGGCACCACCGGTGGGGCTGGTGGTGCAGGTATCAATTTCGGCACTGCTTCCATCAGTGGAGGTATCGCTAGTAGACACCCACCTCAAGATAGTTTTTTACAGAAATTCTCCACTGTTGCTGATGCCACCAGGGAAATTGAACTTGGAAAATTATCGTTAAAGAGTACTTCGCCAGGAACCAACGAGCCTATAAAGTCGCTCGGAGCATTGAATTCTTCTCCTCATGGTTCCTTGAATGAAAACTTGAATATGCCTATTCCAAGAAGTTCAAGACAACAATCTATAAGTGAAAAGATTGACAATTATAACAACAATTCCCCAATTCAAGCAAGTACTTCTTTGAGTATCAATAGTGATTTATCTGGCGACAAGAACTTGAACAATACTGCCCCTGCCAACCAAAGATTTTGGAACCCAGCCACGGCAACTTCATTCACACCAACTTACAATTATTTCATGGATCCTAACCAAATGCCACCCCCACCACCCCCACAAGCTGGGTTCTACAGAAACGGACAAGTCATGCCACCCCCAGCACCAATCAGTCCACCTCCACCATTTATGATTCCTTCTCCACCTCCTCCACAATTTGTTGACCCAGCATTATATGGAATGATGGACTATGGTGGATTCCCACCCCCACCTCCTCATATGATGCCACCACAAATGATGCCGCCACCAGTTGTACCAACTGCAGAAGAAGAAGAGGGATCTGATGAAAACAAGGAAAAGAAGGACAAGGATGATAAATCTCCAATTAACATTACTGGTGGTATTGGATTAATGAATCGTCAATTCTCACCTGCCAGTTTTATGTTTCATCCATTTACTTATTCGCCGGTGATGTCCCAATCTCCACCTACCCAACCACCAGTTCTAGCAACAGCACCAGCAGCACCAGCACCAGCAGTAGCAACCAACAATAATTCGAAACAAGGAACTCCTACTCCAAACTCTCGCGAATTACAAGGAACATCACCACATTCATCTGGAAACAAGCGAAAGACCGGGAAAGCCCCAGCAGGTAAGGCTCCAGGTGGCAATCACATTTATAGATCACCACTTTTGGAAGAAATTCGAGCCAACCCTAAGGATAAAGAGTTTTTCTTGAAGGATATCTATGGTCATGCGGTAGAATTCACCAAAGATCAGTATGGTTCAAGATTTATCCAGCAAAAGTTGAATAGTTCCAGTGACGAAGAGAAGGCGACCGTTTTCAATGAGATTAAAGATATCTCGTATGACTTGATGACTGATGTGTTTGGAAACTATGTTATTCAGAAGTACTTCGAATATGGATTGAAGGATCAAAAGGAGTTTTTGTTGACCAAGATGAAGGGTCATATTTATGAATTGAGTTTACAAATGTATGGATGCAGAGTTGTTCAACGTGCCCTTGAATCTTTGAGTTTACCTGGACAATTGGCCATCATTGATGAACTCAAGGATTATATCTTGATTTGTGCCAAGGATCAAAATGGGAACCACGTCATTCAGAAATCGATAGAGATGATTAAGCCATTTGACAAGATTAGATTCATCTTGACTAGTTTGAGTGACCAGATTTACCAATTGAGTATTCATCCCTATGGATGTCGAGTCATTCAGCGCTTGCTTGAATTTTCCAACTTGGATGACCAAAAGGACATTCTTGAACAATTGAATAGGTATATATTCTACTTGATTCAAGACCAATACGGGAACTATGTCATTCAACATATCTTGGAACATGGGAATGAAAATGAACGTAATGAGATTTTGAAAGTGGTTACTGGGTCAGTGGTAACCTTCTCCAAGCATAAGTTTGCCTCGAATGTCATTGAGAAGTGCATCAAGTTTGGAAGCACGGCCCAAAAGAGAAAGATTCTTGACGAAGTCATGATTGGCAATGAAGATTTCTCTATGGAATTAGTGTCGGATGATTCATCACTTGCATTGATGATGAAGGATCAGTATGCCAATTATGTCATTCAGAAATTGGTTGAAGGGTTTGATTCAAAGCTGCCCGAGAAGAAGAGACTTGTGCTTAAATTGAGACAATATTTGAAACAGATTTCCAACAAGAATAATTATGGTGGGAAACATTTGGCTAGTGTTGAAAAGATGATTATTGTTGCTGAAACTGCTTTAGACGATTAAGATTGTTTGTATGTAAATATGCTTGTTTATAAATAATTTTGTATATATCTTGTGCCAATTGTAGTGTATATACTTGCAAGTTCAGAGAAGCGCTCTCTAATAAAGATACTACAGGAATGCTACAACTGATACTAACAAATCATCCTTATATTAAAACCCCTTTATAAAAACCCAAAAAAAACTATACGAAAATCAAGAAAATCCTCTCATCAATTCCCATTTGAATTTATTCCAATCTTGTCCTGTCTCGTAATACGCACTATACAATTGTTTAATCTTGTTACAATCCATAGTCAATTCAGTCTGGTCGATGGTTAAATACTTGTATATGGTGATATATTGCAACAACGTTAATTCCTGTATGTTCATAACCTCATCATGTGTTAGTATCTTCACAGCTGGTTTTGTTTCAGCAGTCATGAAGATGTTTGATTCGTCATCGGAGCTAACAGATGAAGTTTGTGACAAACCAAGACTTAATAATGAAATGGTGGATGATTTTTCCGTGCCAAACTCTTGGTTCAATTTGGAACCAATGTTACCCCCAGGATGCTTCTTGGAAAAAAGCTTTCTTCGCTTAATTAAATCGTCTTCGATCAACTCCGATAAAGCTAGGATTGTTGAATCGGCAAGTATTAAAGATAAACTGGTGGACACGGTTGGCGCAGGTAATCCGTGAATAGAGTCTTCATTTAAATGTTGTGGTAAATGAACAAGTAACAAACTAGACACCTGGTTGTGGTTGGCCAATATAGACTGTTCGTTACATGTTAATAATATGATGGGAACAGTATTGGATATGTGAGGTAACAAGTTGATCAACTCCGGTGTATTCCCACTGGCAGTGATCATAATCATACAGTCTTTATTTTCGTTAATCATCCCTAAATCACCGTGCAACGCTTCGGAAGGGTGTAAAAGAGAAGATTGAATCGACAAACTGTTCAACGTGGCCACTAATTTGTTGGCAATTTTGTAAGATTTTCCAATACCACATACCACAATCTTACCCTGGGATTTAGTTATACAGTTGAACATAGTCTCGATTGACTTGAGAAAGTTTTTTGAAGCAAATGAGTCCTGGTCGTATTCTTGGTACAAATTGGTTATAGCCTCGTTCTGGAAACGAAGGGTATTTTTGATAGAATCAAGAGCACGTTGGCCCAAATAATCAAAGGACATTTTGTGAATAGTGTCTTCCTATAATATTTCTTTAAATTAAAGTGTGTCCCACTTATAGACTGAATGTCCAGAATATGCAAAACTATTACAGTCCAAGGATGCTGCTAATATATAAAATAAAAAAGTCTGTGAAATTTCTTTTTTTTTTTTCTCCTGCCCGTTTGTATTATGTTAAGCCCGGGAATTGATGTACAGTTTAAGAACAACAATGCCTGGTCGTCTTAATGTGGCGCGCGCACTTGTTCTGTGAGATTTCAACGGAAAATGATGCAATTGAATGAGCAAATTTAACTGTGCCTGTTTGTTAATGGCGAAGTGTGGTTTGCATGTTTTTAAAAGCGGAGGTTACATTTTTATTTATATACAGAGTAAAATTCATCCTGGTGATTACTAATTACTCTTTTTTTTTGTAATAATTCTCAATTTAGTAATTAAAATCGGATACATTTTACCGACACGGATTAATTGCTTGACTTATTTCAATTCGGATCCGAAATGATGTTAACGCCGCAGGGGCGAAGGTTTTTTTTTTTGTTATGTTGTCTCTCTACTATACGATGGCCACGATAGCAAACTTAGCAATGTCTAGTACACATTGGTCAATATCCAATTAGATCTTAATACGGTTAATTCATTTTAGAAACCAACTAAGCAACAAAAAAAAAGTTTCAGATTTATGAAGGATTTGCCGTGGTCGGATATACTCGCTACAAAAATTCTTACTATTTTGTTTCGTTGTATCTTGGTTGTGAACCTAGGAAATGAGTACAAGTTGTAGCCATTGAAGTAGGTTGCTATGATCGCTTAAATTTTCTTTGAGTACCATCTAGCCACTAAGAGTCAACCTCTTATCTCCGTGACCTTAATTCTAGAACGACTCTACTGACCATGTGGTCAAAAACTACATCTAGAACACAAAAAACAATAGTGCATGACATCATTACTATTTTTAGTTTGACAGCGGATGGATGATTGTATCCTGTCATACCAGTCTATTCAACTCAATGGTAATTCTGATGAATAGCATCCTATAATGCGCAATTGATTTATATTTATAAATCTCAAAATAAAAAAAAAAATCTGCAAATATCTGTTGAACGCACAAACAATGGGAAACATGCTCTAAGTTGAGATTCACAGCAAATTTCAAGCGTATGCACAGAACAAAGTTCAAAAGATAAGCTAAGATAAGAAAATCAAAAACTGATACACGGAAAGAATTTCCCAATTTGTGGAGTCCCATTTATGCTATCTGATTCTGTTGTGCAGTATCCTTTGATACAAGAACAATGGAAACAATGAAGCGAAATAACTTGGCGGAAAACTCCAATATAGGCACACGCAATTTTGCAACAATTGATATATAATGATAAGCATTATCCAAAAAGTTTATATATGTAGATACTGCCCTGCGGCTATTGTTCAACATTGTCTAACTAGACATACTAAGATAAGGTAGTAACCACACACCCCCTCTTCCATCTTCCATACAAACCAGTTCGAATATAAATATCAAAGATGAAAGTAGCACTTGTACTAAATCAAGAAGAATCAGCAAACCATGTCTGAATTAGAACAACCATATAGCGTCTCTGAAGCTGAGATAGTACCAGGAACCATTCAACTCATCGATATTCTTGGAAACTTAAACGTGAAAAAGAATGATGGCAACGATAACATCATTCTTCAACCTCAACCTACTTCCAATATCAACGATCCATTAAGATGGTCTAAAGTCAAAAAGAACTTCCAATTCTTCTTGGTATGGATCTGGTGTTTTATGTTTGCTCTCACAGTCAATTTCTATGGTCCTTTGTTTGATGTATGGGTTGACGAGTTGAACTGTACTTATGATGAATTAAGTATCAGTGTTGCCATATGTTTCTTATTTCTTGGAGTAGGTGTCTTAATTGTTCAACCAACTGCTTTGAAACTTGGGAAAAGATTCACATATTTGTCATGTACTTTGCTTGGGGTTGTTGGCTGTGTTGTTGGTGCCAAGGCTACCAGAATTGGTCATATTTACTTATATCAGGCATTAACCGGATTTGGTGCTGCTCCAGTTGATTCATTGGCTGAAATAACGTCCACAGATATTTACTTTCAACATGAAAGATCTACTGCATTTGGATTAGTCATTCTTGCTCTTTATGCTGGGAGTTACTTGGGCCCAGTGGCTTGTGGGTATGTATCCGATGGTATTGGCTGGAGATGGTGTTTCTACATCCAGATCATAATATACGTGGTTATATTCATTTCCTTTTTGTTCACCATGGAAGAAACTTCATTTAGAAGAGATGGTGAAGAGGAAGATGAATTTGAAGAAGAAATCCTCAAACAGACCCAATCTCCTAAATCTCACAAAATGGACAATATTGTCCTGATTGCCAAAGAAGTTGACTCTGATGACAACAATTCTATAGATGCGTCAATCCCCAAACTTACCTATAGGCAACGCATGCGTGTGATTCATACCCAATATAACGACCCAAGATCATGGTTATGCATTTTCTACCGTCCATTCTTCTTGGTATCCTTCCCGGCTATCATGTGGGGTGGGTTGGTCTATGGGGCGCAAATGATGTGGTTGTCATTGATTGGAAATTCTCAAAGTATAATTTATGGAGCTGCTCCATATAATTTCCTGGTTAATGGGATAGGTTTAACCAACTTGGGTGCATTTGGAGGATGCGTATTTGGGATGCTTTATGGTGGATACTTTGTCGATTGGAGCACTATCAAGTTGGCCCAACGCAATAACGGTATCTTGGAACCAGAGTTTAGATTGTATAGTATGTTTGTGCCTACAATTATCAATGCTGCTGGTTTGTTGGCCTATGGACTAGGATCAGCTTATGGTGCCCATTGGGCAATTTCCGTGGTTGTAGGACAAGGATTTTTGGGGTTCGCAATGGGGTCGACAGGTTCGATTTGTTTGACATATGCCGTTGATTGTTATCATAAGTTAGCCAGTGAAAGTATTGTGCTTATTTTATTCATTAGAAATATGATTGGAATGGCGTTCTGCTTTGCATTCATGCCATGGTTGGATGGATGTGGATTAAAGTTGACTACTTGGTTAATGTTTATGTTGTCGCTTATAATCAATGGAAGCTTCCTTGTACTTATAAAGTGGGGGAAGAGTATGAGAAGATGGACTGCGCCTAGATATACCAAATTCTCTGATCCTAAATTTGGAGAATTATTTAAAAAGTAGTAGTAGTTTATTCAATATATATATACTATTTTATAAGCTTATTTATTGGAATAAAGTACCTTCAATTTGGGCATTATATCTGTAACCCTTGATTGGACTTTCTTCAAAGATCTTATCAATGGCCTTTAAATCATCATTGGTTAATTCAACGATAGCAGAAAAGTTAGATGTGACTCTTTCCTTGGTGGAGCCACTTGGAATAGGCAAGATATGAGTGACTTTTGGAATACCTCTGAAATTTGCAGACCCAGAAACTTTCAAGATCCAAGATAATGCTAAGGATTCCAAGGTAGTTTTCTTGACATCGTGAGCATAAGAATATAATTTCTTTAAAGCAACCAAGTTATGCTTGAAGTTGTCTGGCTTGAATTTATCAAAGTTGTGTCTCATATCACCTTGGGGAATTTCACTAAGGAAAGTATCGGCATGTTCAACACAGTAATCAGTTAAAAGACCACGACAAAGTGGAGAATAGGCAATCAATGGGATTTGATGTTCTGATAATTCCTTCAAGATACCAGTGGAGATAACATCTTGAGAAAACAAACTCAATTCTAATTCAACACAGGAAATAGGGAACACATTAATGGCTTTTCTAATTGACTCAATACCAACTTCAGAAAGAGAAATACCATCAATAGTGCCATTCTTGACGTACTCGGCAATATACCCGATGGTTTCTTCGTAAGGAACTCTCTTGTCAACTCTGGAAATTTCAAAGATTAACTTTGGACGGTTTTCCTTGGGGAAATAAGAAGCGATGTTTTCAATGGAACGTTTCATGCTTTCAGCACTACCATCAATACCAGCACTGCTGTAACCACCCTTGATGGAAACAATCAATTCCTTGTTAGCTTCAGGATCGTTGGATTCCAAGAATTCCTTGAAAAGTTTCAAATTGGCATCATTAGGACCATAAAATTCACCACCATTAAGTAACTTGGTGCCGAATTCTTTATGAGAAGTAACAAATTTTAAAGTTTCAATGGATTGCTTGAATGGTGGAGGAACAGGCTTCCATGTCATGGACATGGTACCGAAACCAAATCTACCTGGGATTTTAACAGCGGAGTAAGACATTTTGATGATGAGTTTATTGAATTGACTAATTCTGATGAATAATTCGAAAATTGAACTCTAAGATACAGAAGATACGATCCTTTTTATACTTTTCAGATGCTATTGGATTCAATCGTCTCCACCAATATTATCGTTTTGTGATGTTACTTTGATAACCTGACAACCTTGCTTTTTTAATATTTTTAGTCCATTGTTTGACGTGCATCGGCAACCGATCCGCCCCTTCACTAAAATTACGGAACTTCCTAATTGGGATCAACGGCCGAAGGGTACATCCTTGCCGCAATACTTAACTCTTTGTGGCTAGGGCCGAGAAAAATTCACTGCGATATTTCTTCTAGAAGATATAAAGCTTTTCTCTTCTCCCCTGATTATCATAACCATAAAAGTTCGGTGATTACTAGGTCAGTTATCAGTTCTTCTAGAAAATGTATTCTCTCTAGTGGACGGAGTTAACTTAGTGAATGAAATGAGTCACCCACCTCGGTGATTACCTTTTAAAATGTTCGCTTTTAGGAAATAAACGATGTTGTTTCCGACTTTTCTATAGGCAAGCCCAAAAGTATTTCCGATCGTTATACCCGATCTGTAGGCAGGTTATTATATTGTAAAACTTTCTTGAAACTTTCTATCCTGCCATCATTTTCGAATTCTATATTCTTATATTCAGATCCATCAGGTATAGTTACAATTATCTATTTTCTCTTCTATTCTCTTCTATAAATAATACATAATCAACATGTATAAGAATTAAATTCTACTAATTGATAAAGTTCATTCAACTTTACACCTTCTTCTTCTTCTTCTTCACTGTTACTGTATTCAAACTTGTACTCGTGGCTTGATTCTTTATTGGTATCTTTACTGCTCGACGTTCCACCTAGTTGATCAAAGAAAGATTGTGTTGTGTCATATTCATTAACATCGTCTAATTGTTCTTGTTGTTCCTGTTTGAGGTGATTATAATTGTCAAGGGACTTGTTCTTGACAATCATCAATTGCTTAACCCGTTGACACCAATTGGAATGGTAACTTCCTTGAGTATGCCAAATGTGAGCAAATTCATTGGCCAAGATCGACAAATTTCTGATGAATTCGGGTAATTTCTCTTGACTGATTAATTTGAAATGACAGGTGGAAAATATGGCTGGGACCCCCGATCTCCTATATATCTTGACCTTGTAAAACTTGGTACTTTTTCTCGATTCGTCATTTTCAATCGAATCTTCTTTTATTCTCATAGCCTCGATAGAAATATCTTTACTAATTGCACAGGGACTAATCACAATACTTAAGAAATTGAACTGACTTTTGATTAGGTTAAAGTTAAATTCCTGACTTCCACTTTCATCAAAGAAAATATTAACATAATCATTCCCAATATGGCGTTTCTTCAATTGAACGTCGTCACAAGTCATCATGGTAGTAACATGGAAAATCAACTGGGTAGTTTTATCCCGCCAGTATCTGGCAAATTCTCCATCGATGTCATTCTCGATATCTAATCCACCAACATATATCTCACGATTGTTCTTTAGCTTTACTAAATTTCCAATTTTGTTCAAGAACTTGTGATAAGCTAGTGATCCCACTTTATTCAGTAATACTTCATGTTCTGTGTTTTGTTCCTTTCCAATGTATATTATACCAATTTTATGAAACTTGACTCCAGGAATACGATCTAATACAGAAAGTGCTCTTGAAACAATTGAATCTTCAATTATAGGGATGGGCTTATTCTTGCTTTCTAAATGATCAAATAACTGAAGTAAGAAGTAATTAGGTGTAATATGTCCTTGTTGTTCCTGGGTCAATGTTATGTTCAATTTAGTCACACCGGTTGGTCTTCTGACATTCACCTCTGAATCTCCACTGTTCACGTCTGTTTCAATACTCAAAATGGAATTACCCATAATCCATCTGTTCAATACACGACTCTCCACAGGTTTATCGACTCCAATAATAGTCAACGGTAAATCACTATAGGTAAACCTAATGATAAAATCAATAAATCCAATTGTTTGTTCATCAAGTTTCAAGACATTGCCATTACAGCTGATTAAATTTTTGATGATAAACGAACTTAACTTCTTTCGATCTTGCATGTTGATCTTGAGAAACCAACTGGCTATAACATTATATGAAATCAGAAGGATATACTGTGACATGATTGGAGTCAATTCTCCCACGGGTTGCGTGGATGGAGTTTGTTCAACTTGAGCATCAACACCGTGCTTTTGAATAAGTTCAGTCTCTGTCCCTGCTGTGCTTGGTTGTGATTCTCTGGTTCGTAAATCATTAGCATATTCGATATATTTGAATGCAATTCCAAATACTCGCTTGAACTCTTCCATGGTAAAATTTGAAGTAAGGATAGGTAAATGGACTAAACTCATCAAGAATTCTAAAATATGGGAGCTGGCATTTGTTGATGATGTTATAGTGGTTTGTAACTTCATTAAAATAGTAGTCAAGAATTTCTTCACACTCAATGGAATTTCAAAACAACATACTGTAAGAATGTTAATACATGGAATCGCCGTCTTGTCCCAAGACTGACCCAATCCAAATATCAAACTGTTTATAATTTGGTCCTGATCATACTTGGAAAACAATTCGTGATATCCAATTAAACTAGACAAACTTCTCACAAACACAACTTGTAAATCAGATTTAGTCAATTCATTATTCAACTTCAACAGTGATGGCAAATTCAAAGTCAACTGCTCACAAACTATCCGTCTAAATTCAATAATTTCTTCTTGACAATGCAGAAGTAATTCCATATTGGATAATTGCCAACAGAAATGACCCCAAACAAAAGAATAAACTTCCCAATCTATAAACTCCTTCATAATTCTCAATGCCAAATGAACCCATTTCTTAATATCAATATAATACTTGTCATCTTCTTCATCGAGCTTTAACAATATAAACTGCTTATTTATCTGATTGAAATATTTCTCATTGAGATAATCAACTGATTCAGGATATACCCATTTAGCATTAGAGTTTACACCGTGACTAGCAACATCTCTCTTGAATGCTGACGCTAATCCCATCATGTCATTCGGTTGTGTAACATAGACGTATCCTTCCAGAGTGACACGCAATCTCACAAACAACTTACATATAATTAACAAGATATCGCCATTGGATGCACAAGTATCGGTGATTTCAATTAAAATGTCAAAACACTGCTTGGCACGACCAGGATCTTTCATTATACATCTAAGGAAAACTTGAATTATCCCTTTGGTTATTCCGTGGAGGAAATCGACACTAGTATTAGTTACTGAAGATGCCTGGGAACTTAATGTGACGAAACTTCTGGAATATATTGACTCTTGTCTAACGGGTCTCTTTTCGATGTATAATGACATTATTATGCTTACTAATTGTTGGAAAACTTGGTGTGAACTTTCAAGACAAATGAAGGTAAGAAGTTCATTTGTGAGAAAGGATATTACCGGACCTTTAGGCTCTCGTTTGGATTTCTTAAAGATTTCTATAATTATATCATAATTTATATCATCTTTGTTAAAAACCGAATGAGACACCTTCAACCCATTCAAAATTACTCTCAAACATTCAGTTCTGACATCGTTGTCTTCAAGTTGATAGTAAAACTGGTTTAGAATCTTCAACACAATATCTTTCCAAAAAGGATTTAAAAGCGAACATAATTTTTCATCATCATAATACTTCAACACGAATAATATTGTCAGGTTAGGTAAATATGGACTGTAGGCCATAAAAAAGTCAATCAATTTATCTTTAGGTGTACTTAATTCATGATTTTCATACAAAGACTGCAATGACACACAGATACTTTGAAAATAATCAATATCTTGATCAGAATTGACTTTCAACTTCCGCAAAGAATCATAAATCGAACAATTTGAAGAATACCACAATTGAAATGGGAGTATTTTATCCATCGAATCTTGAAACTTCAAACCAAAGTTGTCCAAATAAGATTCCTTGGCTAACAATTTGTCGAAGTTACGTAAATACGATGTGTTGATGATGGGAATATTGAAGGATAATGCTGATTTCAATGCCCGTATTACTTTGAAATAAGTCGAGTCCATACTATTTCCCTCAATTGCATTCTTGATTTGAATTTTAACAATCAATTGGAATGCACCAATAGAAGAATATATAGCAGTGTTAGCAGTAGCATCCGATCTAGACCTTTGTAAATCTGGATTCAGAATGAAATCACATAATGTTGAAACAACTAGCTGGATTGAGTCCTGCAAACATAAACTTACAATTGATTCCCAAACTAACAAGTTTAACCTTTCGTCTATGCTTGATCCGTATATCGATGTTAAAAATTGGATAATATTCAGGAAGTATTCTATTGGTGGATTTCCAAACAGAAATATGATATTCAATGAACTTACCACTGATGTAAGAATGGTCAAGTTAGAAGTCTTGGAGCCTATCCGTATGAGTCTGTAAATCATAGCATTAACAAACAGTTCTTCTAGCAATGTGTAGTTAAAATTAAGACAATTCTTGACAAACTCAATCAAGTTAATTAATGTCCTAAAATCACGATCTTTATGCATTAATTCCGTGTCTTGATCGTCGCTTTGGAAGTTGTATTTACCAGCAACACCTTTGAATCCAACCAAACTGTCCTCTAAGAAAACATTTAAATTATGTTTATCATCATATATTACAAAGTCATGAATATCACGTCCATTATCGGACAATGCCACTAGTGCTTGCAAAAACAAATCGAAATCAGGATCAACAATCAGTACATTGCCGCTGGTACTACCAGATTTAAATCGACAATACTTCACTATATCATTAAAATAGTTTAGTTTAGCACCAACACCTTTACTATCATCACTCTTGATACATTCAATACACAATTTTAAAGCTTGTCTCCTTATGTTTGTGGGATTTTTCCTACCGTCACACAAGTCATGGACCAAGTACCAAATCTCCGGAATTGAACTAATCAGGTACTTGCTTATGGATTCAGTCAACTTAATTAACGCCGTTAGTTTGACTGTATTACTAGAATTTGTAGTTAACTGTTGAATAATAAGTTGTAAATCCTGACCACCACCAACGACAGTTGGGTTGATCAGAACAGGCACAACATTCTTAGATGAACTGGACGAAGTAGTTTTGAGCGATTTAGTGAATGATTTGAATACGCTTCCTATTCCACCACCACCACTAGATCCACTTGAGCCTGTGTGGTGCACTGACATAGCTTGCTGTCTTAATCAGTTGTGTTGCCAAAATAGAGTCAAAAAGAAGCCCAAAAAAGTGACTATTTTTTCTTCTGCCTTTTGTTATCAGAAAATTTTAGATCAGATTAATTTCGAGCTACCACACGATTGTGTTGCAAAAAAAAAAAACAAAGAGATCGAATTTTAATTGCCATAAGTCTATTAGTCATACGTAAAATTATTGTACATTATCTATTAAACACCTAACACCAATAGTTGTAAAGTCTAAACCACCAAGGCTTGCTTTGCAAAACTCTTCTTTCCTCAGCCAATTCTCGCTTTAATGCTTCCAAATCGGTCTCTCTTCTTCCGGAATCAATATCAATATCCTTAGCTCTGATAAACAAAATCCAATTCTTTCTCCAGAGTTTGTGTCCGACATAACAACCAATCATGATAAGGAAACCCAAGTACACGGAGAAAAACCCTTCGGCACTTGGTGCTTCGCCTAACGGAAACAAGGCAATCCAAAATTCAGCAATCAACACTAAAGAATTAAGAAGAACACCAAACCAAGAACCAATGACACCAGTCAGAGATGTGAATACAAGTTCATCGGTGTTTCTTCCCTTGACATAAAGAGCTCTTCTGAATCTTATATGGGCAAGACAAATGGAGAGCCAGGTGAAAATTGAAGACAAGGCGGAAATAGCTAATAACCAGGTGAATACTTCGTCTTCCTTACCACTGGCAGCAATAAAACTAAGCAATCCAAAGACATTGGTAATGATAATGGCAACCAATGGACGACCGGCTCTGTCGACATATCCACAAATCTTTGGTGCCAATCCTTGTTCAGCCAATGCAGTAAGGGTTCTGGAAGTGGCATAAACAGTCGAGGAACCCACAGAAATAATGGAAATCAAGATAACGGCATTCATAATTGAGGGCAATACTTTAATACCACCATTTTGAATAGCAATGACAAATGGAGATGCAGAAACATCAGATTGTCCTAATAATCTAGGTTCCGAATATGGAACCAAAAAGGTAATCAAAGTTAAAGAAACCATGTAAAACATCAAGATTCTCCAAAACACTTGCTTGGTGGCTTTTGGTAACGATTTTCTTGGATCTTGTGCTTCTGCAGCAGTTAAACCAACCAATTCAGTACCTGCGAATGAGAAAGCAGCAGTGATAAACACACTAACCACACCTTTGAATCCATTGGCAAATGGTCCTGGGTGGTGCCAGTAGGTAGCCCCCATGTAATGACCAGTTGGTCCACCACCGGCTGCCAACACAATACACACAATAATGAATCCAATAATGGCAATCACCTTGACAATGGACATAACAAATTCTGCTTCACCATATCCTTTGACACCAAAGAAATTGATACTGACCACAACGACATAGAAAATCAAAACCCAAACATCAGGGTTAATTGAACTATTCCAATACTGAATAGTCATGGCAGCAGCAACCAATTCCAAAGGCAACAACACCAAGTATTGACAAAAATAGTTCCAGGCAACGGCAAACCCGACACTTGGGTCAATAAATCTACTAGCATAAACATTAAATGAACCACTGATTGGGAAAGTAACGGCTAATTCTGCCATGGCCTGAATAGTACAAAGAATGGAAATACCGGAAATAAACCACGCAATCAAGATCCCACCTGGACCCCCGGCAGCCAATGCACCTCCGGACCCAATTAACAAACCAGAACCAATTGAGGAAGCAATAGCAATCATTTGCAAGTGTCTATTCTTCAATTTTCTTTGCAAGTTAGATTTGGAGGTGTTCATGTTAATTCTTTGGATGTCGGTCATATTTTCAATATCTTCCCCTTCATCGTAGGCAGACGTGAACTTTTCAGTTACAATAGCTGGTTTGAATGAGTCTTTAAACGATTGCCATCTTGTAGGGTGTGCTTCTTGTTGTTGTGGATAAGGAGTAGTATTAGTTGTCTCAATGACAGAAGATGACTTGGTCTTCGGTATGCTTATATCCGACATTATTGGCTAAACTCTAAAACAAGACTTCTAGAAAGAAAACAAAAAGAAAATACTACAGCTATATAATATCACAGACAAAGGGGGCATTTTTTATCGGAAATTCCAATCAAACGACCTTTTAGTTCCTAAGCGTACGAGATGAGTAGTTACAAAAATTTTGGTACGGCAATTCTAGCAGCTAGGGCGGCTTCAAACCGGGAAGCGGGTATTTAAATTTCACTAAAAAAATAAAATACATCACTTGATAGTTTCACTCTGACTCTTGCTCCCTATTAGTCACAATAGTTGGTGCATTTTGTCTCCTTATTTTTGGAGTCGACGCCTTGAGCTCGTAAGGGATGATCATTCCTTTCGCTTATCTGATTTTTATTACTTCTCTCCTGATCTTCGAGGGAAGGTTTCTGGATTCATAAGTTTGTTTTTATTTCCTTATATTTTATATGACTCGGGATAATTTAAATTTCTTTTTGTCCATCGCAATTTGCAACTAGAGATTGTCTCAGATAGATTGCATGTTTACATTATCTCCAACTTGGCCTCTGCCGCCCCCTCCCTCTACTAAGATACCACTAATCATCCAATCGGAAGTGTCATACTCTCAACGGCGCTCACGCAGCCACAAGTCTTTTACTGTCATCTTACGTATAATTCAAAAAGGTTGATATTAAATTAAATTATTAATAGAAGTAAACTTGAAAACATAAATAAATCTTCATCTCACCCGTAAATCAAGTCGATAATATAACAAAATCCTCCACCCCAGGTGACTCGCTGCAAACCACTCTTTAACCATGTTGGTCGTACGTTAATAAATAAATTCCCACAATTATAACCCTCGCTTTCAATTCCAACTCCCCATTTGATATTTTGTCTGACATTGCACCCAGACCAGAAATTCCACCATTTGGCTCGTTCACATGGCTTCAATCTTAATAAATTCTTCATCAATGGTCCCATTGGCCCATCAATATACTTGTATCCCCCGATAAATGAATACACTTGTCGAGGATCATCATCGGGTAACTGTTGATCTCCCCAATGACCCGTGTACGATAACCAATTACCATACTGCCATTCTCTTCCGGCTTGTTTAGGGTTCAGATGGTTTGTAGTAGGAAACACATGTTTACCGTCGTAAGTGTATCCTAAATAATTCTTACTTGGGTTCCATAATGGACCACGGTCAGTAAAGTCAGAAAGGATTCCATAGGGTAAATCATGAGGGTATTGTCCTACACTAGGGTAGTTAGCATGTGTACCTCTAGCACTGAATATAATCGGATGTTTTTCATCAAGAGAATACTTTTCTAAATTCTTATAATAGAATGCTCCTCCTCCTCCGTGTGCTGACATCCAAACAATAATTGGTTCTCCCTTGTAAAATCTCACAAGAGAATGTTCCCAATCACCAACATGGTTCCCATAAGGTCCTTGACCCATAACAAATGGGCCCAAGTTGAATGAATAAAAGTAAAACCAGTAAGAATCAACCCATCCGTTACCTTTATCCACGGTGATTAATACCGCAGGGGCATCTTTAATTTCACCGTTAATCAAATTAGGCTTATTCTTGAAACCGGTGATCCATTCTGGATTCTTATCAAAGTCGCTATTCGAAGTCAAAAAGATTTCCGAATGTTTAGGCAACTTGGATAACTTTTCCAAGGTCATATCTTCTTCGGTTCCTGGTATTATAGTGCCGTTTTTATAAGTAACATGAAAGTTCGTGACAAACTTTTGGATATCATAAGGAAGATATCTTTCCTCGCTATACAAGTGTACCAAGGGAGAATACTTTAGTACGTAATCAGGAATTTCTCCATCTTTTAAAGTGCGTTGATCCTTCTTGGGAAGACTCACTATAGGAGGGTAATCCTTATAAACAAGGGGGTTCTTCAAGATATTCTCAATCTGTATTTCCTTCTGAGGATCATTTATTGCATTCAAGATGTAGTTTGTTGTTTCTTGAACGTTGAAGGATGACAACGGAATACAAGTTCCTAGTGTTATCAACCAGAATATCGGATATAACATATTGTTGCTATCAATCTATAATGTAAACTTTTCTAATAAAGATTATTTCTATAATGCGTAGTAGTAGTAGTAGTAGTAGTAGTAGTGGTAGTGTAAAATGGTATTAGTATATAAGAAAATAAATCAAAATGACACAGTTGGCTTATATATATAATAATATCGGGCCTTCAGGAAGATTCGGTTAGTTTGGCCATGAAATGAATTACCGTAGTCGATTTTACATGACACACTGCGGAGAGGGATTTTTTTAGTCCCCTATTGTTTTTAATGTTGCCTTCCATTGCGAATTTCTTTTTTGGGAAGAGATTTTATGTCCGATGACACGTGATTCGGTACGAGCGAGGGGATGATCTGTCAACCCAGCCTTTTGCAACCAGAATATGGATGAATTTTTTTGCCAAGGACCCAGATCTGAGATCTGTATCATGTGATGGAGGTATAAACATATTGCAATAACGTAAGATATCAAGATTTGTTTGTGGGGGTATCATGGTAGGATGTGTAGCAATCCACGTTTATTAACCCACGAGTCAACATAAAACGTGTGAGGAGGAGAGGGGGGTGAGCTGGTGTGTTACCACTAAAAATTTCCATTGTTTACTAAAGTGTATGTTGTCATGACGAGGCTGATAGAAACTTGACTAAATACTACTTGGTTAAAAGAGCTAGGCATCTCCATGGAGTATGAACTATTTTATATTTTCTATCGCAGCAAATATTGTCTGCTGTATACTTATTAATTTCCTTAATATTTTGCTGAAATAACTACAAAATATTGAATTGGCATAATTTCTTGACTTGATATTAATAGTTATCTATATAAGGGGATTGCACCAATCATACCATTCATATGTTTATATCCTTAGAATGAAAGTCCTGGGTGCATAAGAGTGATCATCATAACAATAAAAATTTGCAGCATTTAAAATCGGATCCGATAAAAAAAAATTGTTCTACCACGGCGTATTTTTAACAATACACACGCTAATTAAAATTAACTACTCGGAAATGCACATTTAAAAGACAAAGACTTGGTCACCCAACTTGGAAACTGGCTTGGCCTTAGCATAACCTAATCCAACAGCAGCCTTCTTCATAGCACTGATCATTGGTGGAGGACCACACAACAACAAGTTAGTTTCATCAGAAGCCTTTGGCAAGTAAGTATCAATGATTTCTGGAGTAACAAAACCAACGGAACCGTTCCAGTTAGCAGGAGCTTCATTCAAGACATAGTGAATAGAGAATTGTTCTGGGTGCTTCTTGACAAATTGTTCCAATTCTTCTCTCAATAAAATATCAGCTTCAGTAACATTAGCATAAACTAATTGAATCTTGGTCTTGTCACTTGGGTTGTTTAAGACAGCAGTGATGATTTGATACATTGGTGCAATACCAGTACCACCGGCAATCATACCTAAACTCTTAACCATGTTTGGAGTATAAGTGAAGAATCCCTTTGGACCTCTGATTTCAACGTGTTCACCAATCTTCTTTTCAGCAACGTGCTTGGAAATATTACCATTTTCATAAGTCTTGATCAATAAATCGAAGCTACCTAATTGATCATTAGTGGAAATTGGAGTATATGATCTGACAACTTCCTTACCGTTAATAGTGGCACCGATAGAAATATGTTGACCAATAGGAAGGTTTAATTTGTCAGTGGTTTTTGGTAAACCAAACTTGTAAACACTGGTGTTGTGACTGACTCTAGTCTTGCCAATAAGAGGGAACTTTCTGAATTCAGTTGGGTTCAAGACTGGTTGATCCTTTTTGGAAAGTTGGAAGAAGTAGTACGCAACAATCGAGGAGATGATAGTGAAGACTGTAACAAAGACAATCAAAGGGTTTGGTTCTGATTCGGCTGGCATTATAGTATAGCTTAGGAAGAAGAAGTATGGAATGATTTTCAAATTGTAGAAAATCGAATAATTTTTATATCCACCTGAAAAAAAAAAAATAAAAAAAAAGAAAGAAAAAAAAAAAGTCGTCCCAACAAGGTCGGAATTGGCTAATATTTTTGTTTAAGGTTAGCTCGGAATTTTCATGGACCGTGAAACCTTGTTTCAGAACTTTAAAGATACGAGGGAAAAACCGGATTTTTTTTTTTAATTTTCGTAACGTGTTTCTTTTTTGCCCCTACATTTTAACTTCGTATATCCCAACCTAATATGGAAATAAGATCCACCATGTGATAGTGACATCATTACATAGAGGTACAGTTTTACTAGATTAGGCATTGATATATCATGTCATATTTTAGTGTAGAGGTGCATTTATGTGCTAATATACATTATTTTACTTGGAGTCTTCCTGTTCCTCTTCTTCGTCATCATTTTCAGTTTTCACGTTCCATTGTCCGCTGATATCCCATCGGGATCCCTTAGCGTTGATACTCACGTACTTGATAAACTTCAACACACTAGGATCTCTTAAGTATAAAGTCAATACGTTCCATTTACATTGACTAGTGAACAAGATACTGTCATCATTTGGATCGTTGGCTTTATACACGGCTGGGTCATCGTCTTCTTCAAATTCACCATCTGATTCATCACCAGCAAGCAACATGCACAATTCATACCCACCAAACTCGCCACTTTCCCAATTCTTAGGATTCACAGCCGAGGGAGTGAGGTTTAATGTAGCTTCAAGCAAGACGTTTTCTTCATCAGCAGTTTCGGATTTATCGATAGTTGTGGCCAAGATGAAATCATGACCTGGTCGGAATCGACGCACTAAAACTTGATCAGCAGTGACTACTAAATCAGTCAACAATTTCAACCATTTCTTAAACGCAACAGATTTGAACAATGATGCAAGTTCAATAAGTTTGACATCAACGTCATTCTTGGCTTCAATAAGGGCAAAGTTTGGTAATTCTTGTGGCCCCACTTTAGTAACATAATTTATATTTGATTCAGTCATTTCTCCAATCGGTGACTTCCCATCGATATACATGAATCTTTGCTTATGTGGTGGCACAGCACATTTCCAAGGTGCTTCAATATCAGTTGATTTCTGAGGAGTAACAGAATTCAACTCCAAGTCTCTTATTTGATCACGCAACACATTAGCATACTCATCAACTAAAACATTCTGAATTTCAATAATGGATTCATCAATAAACAGCTTGTTTAATTTGGTGATGACATCATCTGTCAAGTACAACGGGTTTATGAATTTTCTCAAGTATTCTGTCTCAGCTTCACTCAAGCTCTTAAATGGCAGTTGATAAATGTTTAATTCGCTAGGGACAACTCTATCACGTTCGCTCTTCGGGAAATCATATTCTTGCAATTCTTTACTTTGCAATTGTTGTAAGGTTGATCTTGCTTCGGTTTCTTCTTGTTCCCCAGGAATAAACCCATCTTCACCCTCCTGAGGAATATGGAACCAGCCTTGAATCGACAATCTTTGTTTGTCTTCTCTAACTTCTTCCACATCGTGGAAACTTAACCCCGGTTGAACGGTAAAGAAGGCGATTTGATTAAATTGTGGAATCAACTTTTGAGAATAGTCAGTATGGGGGACATTGGGGATAACTGCAGGGTATAATCTTAATCCTCCTCCATAACTTTCCTTCCATGTTCTATCAGGATCTGGCAAATACAAAATAAAACTAACTCGTCTTGAACCAATGACATCATCGTGAGTCAACAAGTGACACCCCTTAGTATATGTATTAATACTAATGTCGGTCTTTACCCCACTTAACTTCCCACATCCGGTAACTTTACTTATAACGTCTCTAAACTCCTGTGAGTAAATACCAGCTCTGAGCTTAAACAAAGAGGGAAGTCGAGAAAGATCATTCCAATCTAATCCAGATAAATTGGCCAAATCTCCAGATTGATAAACTTTATAAATATCAGTCTCCTTCTGGGTGAATGCAATCTCGGAAAGAACCTCCTTTCGTACTTGACGCAAAAGAGTATCATCAATTAATTGAGTAACAGTACCCCATCGATATGGTTGACTGGCTTCAATCAGTTGTTTCAAATCATCTTGGAATTTACTGTCCCATATTTGCAGATTAAAGAATGAGACTATGTCCTCCTTAGTGAACTCAATCGATTGCTTCTTAGAGTCTGTGTTTTCCACCGAATCAACCTTTCTTTTAGTCATGGTTTGCCTGCTGTGGTGAGAAAAGAACCAACTATTTGAAAAGTGCTTTCTAAAAATCAGGTCATCTCCTGCGTATAAAATGCATCGGCATTTATTTTTTCATATTTTTCACCTATTGGGGGGTGCGGAGCGGACGTACTGCATATAGAAATGGAAAACAAAATACTTAAACGAGACAGTAGCACAACCAACCAGGGGACGAGGCTTATCTAGTTCATGGGGTCAACTTGGACACCGTGTTCGGTATTTGTAATAGCATAATGATTACGATCAAGAACAATATGTCGTAATTTGGGATGAGGCGTGTCACTTTCTCTCATGAAATCTCGGAGTAGTTTAAGTTCTTCCGGTTGGGTATTATCTTCTTCTTGTTCTCGATCTATTTTATAAACCCGATCAAATTCTTGGAATGACCAGCGTCCTTCGGTTGTCGAACTAACAAGTAATTCCGTTAGTGAATTTGTTTGATTAAGCATGTACAAGTCCAAGTAGTAACTGCGCAAAGGCGGGTGGCTAGCACATGCAATGTACAATTTTTCTAAAGAGTGTTTTTGTAAAGTACTCATTATATTTGGGAAAAACAACATGGCAGTTGTTTCAAATGATAGGTTCTTTAGGTTGGTACATTTCTTCATTAACCTTTGTAGCTCATTTTCATGTTCGCTGGCTTCGTCTAAATATGCCAAGTGAATTTCAAACGATGTGATTTCACTCAAGTCAAACAACCTTTGCAATTCGCTGTAGTCTATGTAATCTACCTCCAATAAGGAAACACACAACCATTTAATGTGTAGCGGAGTCTTGCTTGTTAATTTCAAATTCTTAAGCAGATTCTCGGATCTTCCAACAATCTCGATCCTTTCAAGTCCCTTCATATGAGGAACTATATCCAAAATATTGGTAGACACCGACCACTCATTTTCAATAATCATACTTTTCGCAGTATAGTTGTCTTGTTCCAACGGCAAGTAATTAGACATAATCACTTCCTTGGTGAAGTCAGTCTTGAGAGCATCTATAGATTCCTCTTCTCCATCGAAACATTGTTCCAATTCTACCCTAATCCATGGCCAATTCTCTGTAATAGCTTGTTTAAACTCAAGCTGCTCGCCGCGACATAATATATACCGAACCAAATTCATACGTGACAGCAAATACAATACTTCTAATTGTTCCCAAGTGTTGATAATCGTGAATTCTCGATGAAATGAAGTGTCAGCTTTTGCGTCAATAGCTAGCGGTGGCCATTGACTACCAAGAACATATATACAACGGTATAGTTTCACTTTGCCAATTTGGTAAAATTTCTTATTTACAAGCATAGCCTGCATGGTGGTTGCCTGGTTGAGATGGTAGAATATTATATTGAGAATCTCATCTGGAAATGACAAGATCCAGCAATTGCTATTCATTGTTCGAGGGTGTTCAATGGTTATTACTAAGTTCAGGCGTAAAAGACTCGGATTAACAATAGTTTTAGTTTTCGTTTAGGGGTCTAACAATGAAAACTTTGGTTGCGTGTTTGTTTATCGTTCCAGGCTTTTGAGCCGCACCAAAATTTGTGGGGGGTTTATGGTGGGATCAAAATGTGGAGAATCAAAACTGAAACACAATACGAGGTTGGCTTGGGTCATTTATTTCACAAATATTTAGAGTATTTACCATTTGATACATTGACTTAATCAGAATTACACTGCTATTGAATATCTCAAGGCCATTACAAAGAAGGTTTATAATTCTGGCTCTTGGTTCGAAGTAATTCAATTCATACATCTAACTTCGACTCCGTGTTCAGCTCTTATAACCGTGTAGTGTGTGCCATTAAAGAGCATATGATATAAATTTGGACACAATGTATTATCTAGCAAACGATCCTGGATCAATTCGATTATATTCAGAGGATCACTAGTATCACTTTCTGGTATCCTGTAGAACTGTTGAAGCTCTTCCATGGGCAGTTATAAATATTCATTACCAACCAGGAAATCGGTTGAAGATTCTGTATGTTTTACCATTATATGATGTAGTATGGTGTGATTACTTTCCCTAGTGAATACTACTCCTTTGATACGAATGAAAAGGATTTCTTTGACTGAATCAGAGTGATTACTCAATATATTTTACAAATCTTCAGGATTTAGGCAATTAGATTGTAATGCAAAACTTTTCGAGGGAATCCTGTTTCAACAGTTTCATTATAATTTCGAAATGCAAAGGCAACCATGCTTTAAAATGACAATATTTTAAGATTTGGCAATTTGGACAATAGCCAAGTTGGTTATTCTATACGGTTATAAACTTACACCAAATGATCTAACATAATTTCAAAAGTTGAAACTTCAATGAAATCAGAAAAGAAAAGCTCAGCAGCATTTAGTAGTCAGCATGATATTCCTCATCTTCGTTTTCAAAGTCATCCAGATCTGGATCCAGTAGGAAGATTATAACTAAATTTTTGATTTTTAAAATAGACGTGAGTGCAAACCCCATTTGATCAAACACATTCTCCTAACTGCCATTAATTTTGTTCTTTGCAAGTAAAACTTTCTTTTCTTTTCAACTGGACAAAAGCAATTTATGCTTATTTTGTTTGTGAAATCAGTGGTGAAGATATTTCTTGGTTAAATCCCTCTCAAACAGAGGAAAAGAGCAAGCCTAGCAGTGAATAAATACCCTGCCAACTTAAATATTTATTTTCCTTCGCTGCATTTCGGTTTCCATTTGCAGTGTTTACTCATAATTATCACACGATTAATTAGTTACTTGAAAGGTGTAATTATGTCAAAATTACATTCCGTATTAGAAGCAGTTAGCAACTTTTAAAGATTATTAAAGATGTTTCATGACTGCCCATTTTAGAATCATTTAAGCTTCTTCGTGTAAGGATATCCAATTGAATAATGCAGCACCCAAGGTTGCTTCAATCCTTCTAATTACCAGTTGTTCAGACATGTCATTTCATATTTCAGAAGAAGCTTCATATCATGTGCTCCCTTTCATACATATGAAGCTGATCATTTGGGAAATTTATCACGAAAATGGCAGTACAATTTCACTCGCATACACAAGGACCAGAACAATTTTGAGTACCTTAATTTCGAACATACAAGCTATATACAATAAACATGGTCCAGTACTGTAAAGCATAAAGCAGTAATTAAGAAATTATCTGAGAAATTTTTGATATACGAGAATCTCGGGAAATTATTTATCCTTGCAACCTGTTCCAATTTGCAACCAACTATTAAAGTAAGAAAGATCTTATTCGAAGTCAAAATCTTTGTGCAACAATTAATTAATAATAGAACAATTATTTTGCAACAACCCCAGGGCCAGGCAAGAAAAAAAAAAAATTAATTATGACTCAACCGCACGTGATCGGTTCAGATTTCCGTTTCCGGCGTTTCTCAACAATGGCAGAGAAAAAAATCACCTGGTGCTGACGGAAATGTATACCGGTTGAGTCATTGGTGAAAAATTTCAATTCTTTTCTTTTTTAAATATTTCTCTTTTTCACTTGATACATATCATTAGCTCATCTGATCAAACTGCCCTTGTACATAATATTACTATCTTTCTCCCAAATTATAGATTGTTGCTATGTCTGATTCACCACCATTATCTGCACGTTCATATAATTCCGTGCTTGATTTCAAGCAAACTCCGCCAAGCACTCCATTAACTACTGGTGGATGGATAGTCCAAAAATTTGGAGGTACTTCAGTCGGGAAATTTCCTGAAAATATAGTCGATGATATCGTCAAGGTATTTTCGGAGAATAATCGAGTTATTGTTGTTTGTTCAGCAAGATCTTCCCATACTAAGCTGGAAGGTACCACATCTCGATTGTTGCGTACGGCTGATTTGGCATCTTCCAAAGGTGATTTCCTCAGCTTGCTTCAAGTCATTGAAGATGACCACGTTGACAATGCCAAGAACAAGATTGAACTGGAAGAAATAAGACAAAAGTTGATTGAAGACACTAAAACTGAATTGAACCATATTAAGGAATTATTACATGCTTGTCAAGTCATTGGTGAAATAAGCCCAAGATCATTGGACACCATCATGGGTGTTGGTGAAAAACTCTCCTGTCTTTTTATAGCGGCCTTAATGAAGGACCACGGGTTGAATTCGGTGTATATGGATTTATCCGATCTCATTCCCTTGGATTATGACTTCAATAATGGGTTCGATGATACATTTTACAAGTTCCTTTCTCTGGAATTAGGAAGACGTGTTGCTGAACTCGAAGATGACGATGCTATCCCTGTTATGACTGGTTATTTCGGGGTTGTCCCAGGTGGGTTATTGAATGGGGTTGGAAGAGGATATACCGATTTGTGTGCCGCCTTAGCAGCTGTTGGCGTACAAGCTGACGAATTGCAAATTTGGAAAGAAGTTGATGGTATTTTCACTGCCGATCCACGAAAAGTGCCCAATGCTAGAAGATTAGACAGTGTCACCCCAGAAGAAGCAGCCGAATTGACCTACTATGGTTCCGAAGTTATTCACCCATTCACCATGGAGCAAGTTATCAAGGCCAAGATTCCTATCAGAATCAAGAATGTTGAAAATCCAACCGGGAAAGGTACCATTATCTTCCCTGACAATATCGGAAGACGTGGAGAAGCAACCCCACCACATCCTCCAGCAGCATACGAAACTTTACCAAGCAGTTATATCTCCAGTCATAAGAAGAGATCAGCTACTGCCATCACCGCTAAACAAAACATTGTCGTTATAAATATCCATTCCAACAAAAAGACCTTAGCCCATGGATTCTTGGCCAAGATTTTCACCACTTTGGACAAGCATAAGTTAGTGGTTGATTTAATTTCCACCTCAGAAGTTCACGTTTCTATGGCGTTATCCATCCAAGCTGAACAAGAATTACAGTTGAAACATTCCTTGCAAGAGTTGAAAACTATGGGAACGGTTGATATCACTAGAGAAATGACTATCGTTTCCTTAGTTGGCAAACAAATGGTTAATTTCATCGGTATTGCTGGTAATATGTTCAAGATCTTGGCCGATGAAAAAATCAATATTGAAATGATCAGTCAAGGTGCTAATGAAATTAACATCTCTGCCGTCATTAACGAAAAAGACACCATAAGAGCATTACAATCTATTCATGCGAAGTTGTTAGAAGACAATTACGAAGATACAGCTGCAAGTGCTATAGATTTGAGATTACAATTCTTAAAGACGCAGCAATAGTCATATATTATAGTATAAATAAAAAATAAACAAAAAAAAACAATACAAACAGATTAAATATCAAAGTCTCCCGATTCTCTAGATTCCGTACCAGTTTGTTTAGAGCTATCTTCAATAATCTGTTCGAAATCTTCCACCATCAGACCAAGTAATTCATTGGCCAATTTATGATAAGCTAATTGAGCCTTGATCAACTCCAAGAATTCATGCAAAGGTTTAGCATTTTCCAATACATTTTGCATGATATTAATGGCATCTTCTACGGTATTGGCGAATTCATCTTCAGCATTTTCCATATCGACACGTAATTGAGATTCCTTGTTTGGATTAGTACAGTTAGTCAAAGCCTTTCTGGCCAAATCATAGTCAATTCTCTTTTGTTCAACCTTCTTTTGAATTTGGTTGGATTGACCAATCAATGATCTTAAAGTAGTAGTCAATGGTTTATTAAACTTGGTTCTGATCAACTGATCTTGGCCTAATCTTGCGTTGGCAATCTTGTTCAAATTAGTCGAGTATAAAGTTAATCCTTTAACTAGTGGGTCATTGATATCTTGATGTTGGTTATCTGCACCACTCAAAACTGCAGGGTCAGTGGCTCTACTTATAGCATGGTACAAGGTCTTTGGAGGTCTGGTAAGATCTTGTTTAGGATGAATCAACGCAGCTTGTGCTTCAGCAGGGGAAGTGGCCTTGGACAAAGATGAGACTCGGCTGGTTATGTCTTTACCAAATTCGGTAAACAGTTCTTGTAAGTTGGAAGGATAGTCATAAGGTTCATTGTCATAGGTGGAGGTAACCTTAAGAACATTCTTGTAGAGCTGTTCAATCAGGTTACATTTCCTGGCGATTTCAATATATTCACTTGGCAATTGACTGATTTCATCAGCATTGACATTCCCAATCTTTTCTTGAACCATACGTGTGGTTCTTTGGGCCAAGGGGACAACTTCCTTGTTGAATTCAGTAGAAATTTTGTCTCCAAGTGACTTCAAGTCCTTGGTGAAGTTGGAGAAGTTGAATGACATGTTTTATGGTACTGATTGATTTGGTTATCTAGTAAAATTTGCGTATAAGAATACAACTACCACTTGCCCCTTTGGATGACTGACACCTAATTCTTTTTTTTTTTTTGGTCGTCCCCTTCAACACGCGCGCATGTGGTTGAGAAAATCTGGCTAATTTATTTTTACATCTACGATAAAACAAACGTAAACGTAAACGTAAACGTAAACGCAAACGCAAACGCAAACGCAAACGTAAACGTAAACGTAAACGCAAACGGAAACGCAAACGCAAACGCAAACCTGATACATGTATGTATTTTATAACTCATCTATATCCATCATTTCATCTTCTAAATATTCCTTACTCTTACATCGATCATACTCGTCAACTACACGAGCTACGACTTCTCGACTATCCCTGAACATATCCATGACTCGTTCCCGTTCCTCCTCGGAATTATCCTGGGTATACCCGGTAATGTAGGCTCGCCTGTTAGCCAACATATCATACTGGTTCAAGATCTTGCTGAACATTTCCACAATCGATGTGTTATTTGAAATTTGAATCCCCAGAAGTTTTGCCTCACTGAATGGTGATTTTTTACCTCGAACCACCGGTATTGATCTTGGAACCCACGGTACAAAGTTTGTTCGTTTTTGTAATTTTAAAATCGCCTTTTTGATCTCTTGTTGATTAAAACTGTCTCCTATTACGTAATTCATCATGGATATATAGTTGGTCTTAGGTCCGGCTCGATTGGTCTTGTATCTATCATTGGACAATTCCAAAATCATATCATAAGCATTATTGGAATGATGTCCACCACGAGGTCCAATTGACGTGGTCAAGAATTTCAAATCTGGCGTAGGGATCAACGTTGAATAAATAGAGTCATATGAACTGTACATATACCCGGGGAATCGTAATGGGTTTGACACAGATGCCGCAATAAAGGCAATCAATTTGTTAGTCTCGTTGAATGCATTGGCTGCAGTTCTATCGATATCATTCTTTTTGGCGTATAGTAAATTCTCAATGCTGTTCATGGCATCATTGTGAAACACAAATGTAGCATCGCTGAATTCAATTAATCGCTTTAAAGTAAGCACGGTGTTGTATGGTTGCACAACCACATCGGAAGTGCCTTCGTTATAAGGGAATATCAGGAACGTATTCAACAATTTCTTGGTTCCATACCTATCATTCAACAATTCCAATATCTTTGATCCTACACCAGCACCGGTCCCACCAGCAACTCCATGTATCAATTGGAAACTCGATAAATTATCACATTTATCCAACTCGCGATCAATTAAACTTATCAACTCAGTCTCATAATTCGTTCCATATATGTATCCCTGTTGCCAATTATTGGCTGCCCCATTACCTTGTTCACTCAAATGGATATTTCTTGGATTTATCATCGGCATTTTGGATGTACATTTGTTGATGACCGACGGTTCAAGGTCAATCAATATAGACCGTGGGGTATATCGTTCACGAGAAGACTCGCAGGAAAAGAACAATTCGGGTTTATCATCACGGTCTTTGGTTGTGGTCTGTGCATTGGTAGTGTTTGCTAGTGGGGAGAACCTAAGCGAGGTGTCTTCTGGGTATGCTAACGTGGTTCCATCAGGATTGATTCCGTGTTCAGTCGCGAGTTGGTTCCAGTATTGCAATCCAACTTGGTTTCCACATTGCCCTGCTTGTATAGTAATAGTTTCCCTATTGATGTTAGTAGTTTGATTAGCTAAAAATTATTTGCAGGTTGAGTACATACCCTGGCATTTTGGGTGTTGATTTGGCTATACTATGTCTTTGTTTACATTTCAGTTTTTCTTTTTATTTTTTTTTTTGTTATGTGGTGATAATTGACGTGGTTGCAAGCACGTGACTGATTGTGAACAGTGAATCCAGAAGAAAGTGGTTCAATACCATCAACAAAGGAGAGTTGGGTAGTTAAATTAGTTTCAACATAGGAAGGTATAGTTCTTGTATATCGGCTTATTATTTATAGCATTACCCATGTAATGTGTTTAAATTTCGATATCTTTGTCAAAAGTATTACAGCGGTGGTATTGAAATTCAACAGTTCTCAAAAAGTACCTGCCTGCCAAGCCACTCTAAACTTGATAATACTTCTGCTTTAGGAATTATGTCAGTGGATGTTTAAACTAAAATTTTTTTGGGAGGCCCCCACATAGAGGAATGCAATTACTTCTTTGGGATGAATATTGTTTCTACATAAAATTGATTTAGCAATCTAGAAACACATCATATAATTAAAAATTGTATAAATAAGACATAACTAACTAATTTCAATAAGTAGTGGTATTATAAAAAGCATAAACAGAAAAGAACTGTACCGAAAGTAAAAACAAGTCTTAACGTAAGAACATTAGATCAACTAATAGTTGCTTCTCTTTCTTCTTCTCTTACAATTAGGGTTACCACCAGGGTTAGTAGGTTTAGATGTTGGAGTAGTCGTTGTAGTAGTAGTTGGGTTGGTTGGGGTACCACCTTCACTGTCCTTACATTGGTTGAATGCAGCTGCCAAAGCAGTAACAATAACATCTTTCAAGGTACTAATCTTCAAGAATTCCTTGATAACAGATGGAATCAATCCTGATTTGATAAGAGCCTTGGTAATATCGGTAACGGAAATCAATCCCTTGTCAATCAATTTTTCAATTAATTCAGCACCGAAGGTGTAGAAGTTGTCATCAACCACTAAAGCGTTGACAACTTGGTTAGCTAAACCGGAGTTCTTTAAAGATTCCATTAATGATGTAACAACATCTTGGGTGTCTCTGGTGTAAAGCTCAAGTTCATTTACATATTCCTTTTTTTCTTCTCTCTTGAGAACCTTACCAATAAAATCAAGGATATCAACTGGGTTGGTATGAAGAATACCGGCAATAAGTGCAGGTAAGTTGGCAACTTGTTGCAACACAAGCTTGAAGATTTGTCTGTAGAATTGACAGTTGTTAATTAAGTCGTGGATAACATCAACAGCTAAACCAGACTGGTTCAATGAAGTTAACAAAGTTTGCAAACTAATAACACCACTTTGAATAGTTAAGATGATAACTTGTTGAGCAACTTCACTTAATTGTGGGTCAGAAATGATGTAAGAAATAATAGCTGGAGCTAATTGGGAATCCTTAAGAGCTTCCAAAACATCAGTGACAATTTGAACTTCTCTTTCAGCAAGTTCAAAGAAGTCCATGGTGTCACGCTTGGAGTTGTAGTGTTCAATGTTAGCGACGGCATTGGTAAGAGTTTCTAATTGTCTGGTTGTTAAGGCTCTGGTACCAACCTTTTCAACTACAAGTGGAGAAGCAGCAACTTGGGAGATAGCAGCCAACACTAAGGTGGCGGTAGGGAGATCTAACTTCATAGTACGGTAGGTTGATTTTTTGATAGTGTGAAAGAAAGATAGTTCGTTTACAAAAAGTGGCTTTTACTTACGTATTTATAATTTAACCGAGACTACCACCTCTTGCAAGGGTATGGTCTATATTAGGAAATAAAAATTTCGATGTATTAGGTCTAGGCTATTTTGATATCCTTTTTGAACGTTCTGTTACCAAAACCAGTATTATTCACTTGGGATAGTTCGTCAAGATTGCAAAAAAAGCATATTACCAGATCGGGAAAACGGTTTGTGCTATTTTTAAATTTTTTTTTTCCGTGGTGGTTGTTGCAAAATTGGATTTCCCAATTCGGAAATTTACTATAGTACAAAGTGAGAAATCTTCTTCAGCAGATCCTACAAGGGCGATTTTCATTGGCCAAATCTAACAAGAGTGAATAACCAGAATTGGACAATTTTAAGATTCCAATTAAACCGAATTGCTTTAATTCGTGTAATTGCACTCCGAATATGAAACAAATGTTTCTAAAATAGATGAAATATCAACAATTAGAAAAAGGGAATATACAAGTCGTATGAATCCAAAGATGAGAGCAAAGTTCGGGTTTAACAATGGGTTGACCCTCCAAAACAAAATAGTATTTTCTCGTAACCGAACGTTTTGCCATTCAACATAGAGCAAATAATTGCTCTTGTGTTTCTTGGAAACGTATAGCTGCACCATCGGGCGCATTTCATATGAATTTTCTCTCTCATGTGAGGAGATTGGATGTCTAAATAACTTTCTCTTGACTTTTGCCAACTTGATGGCTAGATCTATGTGACTTCCTTGGCGTGAAATAGAAGCTTAGCATCAAAGCGCAACTCGGCTTAAAATTTTCAAACGAACACGAATTGATATTTCTCGTCTGCTGTTCTTGGATTGATGTCCTCCTTACCGAGGGCTGTGAATTGTAAAGTATCCGCGCACACAGAGTATGTCTGAGAAGTACGAAGGTTGAAACTTTATCAAAAATTTCTTGGCAATTACAATAAAGAGCAATATTTACAATTTTTTTATCTGACAGAAGGAGCTTCTTTATATTCTTGGCACTCCTTCATACTCTTTCTGTAGAAAAGTGTTTCAACCCAGAGAGCTTACATCTTTGTGTAGCACCTTCAACCACGTTTTCTGATTCAATAGTAACACGTGAAGCAACTGCCCTTTTGCGTCACAATACTCACAGGCTTCTACTAATACTGGTCTATGTTCTAAATAGACTAACTTGGTGCACCAGCCAAATGATAGCCAATAGCTATACCATAGTTCCAATTCCACGTGAAATCTAGGATTTTGTCTCAACATTTTAATTTTCGTAAATCGTAACCTTAATAAAATGCACTTGCAACAAACCTCGTCAATTCTCGTCTAATCGTTTCGAACGGGAGCATCGTTCTTTGTTTTATTTTTAAATCGTTCGCTGCAAAATCATGTAGTTTACTTTGGTAAGCCCCGTTGCAATTGAAAATAATCGGTAGCGCGCCCTGAGAGTAAGCCGCATAAGCTGTGGTACAAGCTTCACAAGATGAATCCTGCATGCTTGAGTAACACATGTAGCTGCATTTGTCTTTGATACTTTATAGCGATCCCTACGCCTCCTTGAATAGTTACATTCTTGGTGCAAGAACAGTTGAATCTTATTTGCCACAAAAACCCGTGACGTCAAACTCTGACAGGAGCAAAGGCTCCAAACCCCCCGTAGAAGAAAAATTACTAACATTTTGTCTCCATACAAAATGATTGAATTTCATTTACGACCGATGTAGGGCGGGTAAACCAGGAAGCAACGGAACTGAATTTTTTAAGACAACCGCCATCACACACAGATAAGCGTTCATCAGGATACTCTCATCATATGATTCAATCGTCCTAAATAATGACATACATCTTCTGGCTACTAATATTCATACAGATACTCCCATATGTCATAGTATTGATTTTACTTAACTGCTCTAAATATGTTACCGTCAAATATATTGCGTGGCTATCACTAAGACAAGTGACTATACGATTGAAAACCACAAAGATCCACATCAGGAAAATTTCACTACGGTTTAACTTCTTTAGGTCCAATGAAACATCGGGGTTGAAATTGATCAACTTGGAAATTGTTGATGTTGAAGTGACAACCCTTGAGTCGGGACAGCAAGCTGGCCATGATACTCCTGCTAAACCTGCCAAGACTAGCAAGGGTGGATCATTGAGTCGAGCAGTCACGTTTCACATGTCCAAAAAAATATATTCATTTATTGAATCACGAATTTGCAACAGAATCAATATACATGTGTTTCGATTGGCCGTAAAAGGCAAAACCAGTATATTTTGCGACTATACAAGACTCCAAGTGACAATTAATGAGCAACATGACTTTAGATTTACAATCACTATGTTGTCAGGTCTAATAGCCAAAGATAAGAAACAGAATACACATTTATTGCGAAATTTGGAGTTTTATATCGATTGCAATTCAGTTACAACTTGTAACGACCAGAACAGAGTAAGTTTACAGTTGATAAATTTCAAATTTGCATTATCTATTGGAAGGTTGAACTTGCCATTGGAATATCTCGAACTATCCAAGCCTAGGAAGGAGGTTTCAAAAGGCCCAAAGGAATTGCCAGATCTTCTCAAATACGTTGGACTTTTACAAGAATTCTTAGACTTTTTCTCATCAGCTGAAATACGATTAGAAGATTTCACGTTGTCTCATAAACAACTAAGCATAAACTTGACTTCAATCATATCACTAACCAAAATTGATAAGGACACATACTCAAACTTTAAACTTTCATGGTATTTAACTTCATTTAAACTATATCACAAGGAGACTCAATGTGTTGAGATACCGTCAGGAACATTAAACCATGAATTTGACCCATTGGAAGCCGTTAGAGTAATGAATGCATTGCTTCATCGACAAGAATCACAAGATACAATTAATTTTAACATATCTTTGATTCTCACCAGTCCGACCATTGATGTTTATTATGACCAGCAAGAAATTTTATTTGCCATTCAAAGGAACAAGATGATGAAACGAATGCAACAATCAACAGTCAAGAACGATATGGCTAATGAAATACTTATGACTATTGTGCAAATGATAAGGTCTATATCAGGAACCATAGATATAGTAGATACCCATTTGAATATTCATTTACCTGCTAGAGATTCAAAACATGAAGATTTCAACCGGAATTCTAAATCGAATTTAATTTTCAAATGCTCATTGCTGGATCTTATGGGGAAGATCTTCACGAGAAGGAGAAGAAACAAGACTACTATTGATTCATTGATCAAACTTAAGGAATTTAGAAGTGAAGTTGAAGGAAACAGGATTCTGATTTCAAAAATTACTTCGTTGATAACATACAATGTTTTAAGCAATACAGTAGCTATACGAGTTGCAAGTAAAATCGTCCGAATGAAATCAGTTAATGATATGTTCTTCCATATTGTTCGACAATATCGTAATCAACAACGAATATTCAATAATGAAAAGTATAAAGAATGGATTAAATCGGCAGATTATGAGGCATTTATCGAGAATAACCATACTTTCCAACCAGTCAAATCCGATTATCTACAATTATTTGAAATTATTCCTTCAATTGTGACTTCGATTAATGTCAAACTTGGTACTATTTTGTTAGATATAATATGTAAAGAGGGATTACCATCACATATGATTTATGACGAGAACTTACAGAAAGAAGTTGATTTAGCTGATTTCAGAAGAGGAATCTCTCTCAGAATCAAAGATACTCGTTTCATATATAAACTGAAAAAGGAGCACGTGGAATTGACTAGTAATTGTGTTGAATTGTACACATTAAGCGAATATGATTCCGAATATATTGAAGATTTTGATCAAGTTACCGAATACAGTGAAACAGATTCTGAATACGGTGATTTGTCAAGTATCGAGACCCTGAATGATATTGAAGACGAAGAAGATGAACGAGAAGACGAATGTACCAAACGAATTAAAAGAGTTCTTTCAATCAGTGGTATTGATCTCTCCAACAAACACAAATCTGACGATATCAACAAGTTAATATTGACAGTACCCTCGGTGGATGCTCGTATAGATATGTTTTTTGTATGGTGTATCTTTTATGCCAAGACAATGGTTGAGAGATTTGCGCCCACTGTTGAAAGCAATTGTTCCAAGGATATGCTTAGACAGATAGCACCACGAAAGAAAATCAAATTGGATGTTAATCTTGATTCAGTAGCTTTAGTCACCAGACTTCCTCGCAAAGTGGATATTTTGATTGAGGTAGACACTGCACAATTCCGAAATGTATCATCATTAAAATCTGTTGATATTGGTTATGCTAGATTATATGTTATCCAACCCGCCACCAAGCTTTGGGCACGATTAGTAGTTATCACACAAACGAAGTTGAATATTGATCTTCGTGGAAAGACAGATATCACTCCTGCATCAATTAGATTCAATGTACCTAATAGGTTCTTGATGTATACCGTTATCGACAATTTAATCACCTTTTTTAAGGCCATCAAACAATTGAAGCATAATTTCTGGGGAGTAAGTTTAGAGTTTGATAAATTTGAGAGATGTTATCCTCTGCAAAAATTGCATCCAATGAAATTCCCATGCATTAGGATAAGAACAAATATTTTGGGGCTTGCATTGGAAAATGATGCATTTGAAAATGAATTGGCGATGATTTATGAATTGGGGATAGTTGAACACAAAGAAAGATTAAGAAAACTAAAGATTTTTGAGAAGAAAGCAGAAGAGATACTATCCCAGGCTCAAGAGGAAGATATTGAACACAAGATTGAATTGTCAGAAGCTGTTCCCTTTGGACCAAGGTTAAATGAACATAGGCCCCATAGTCCAAATCCGTTTAAAGCAGCAGAATGTAAGATATCTCAAAGCACAGCCAGATTCAAAGAGAGAGTGAGTAAACTAAGTAGAAAACCCTCGAAGCCAGCTGAGCAAACTTCTAGTGATCCAGAAGAGCCTCCCCTTTCTTATACCGTTGCAGATGCATTAGATCAAATTGAAGCAGCCAGGTCAAGACTTTACGAAAATATGTCTACTGCATGGGTTAACAGATATCGATTTTTCCGTAAGGAGAAAACTGAAAGCTGGAGAACAAGAACCGAGGCTGTGTGGGGCAAAGATGAAATTAGAACCATCATCAAACAGAAGTTTTCAATTTTGGCATATGCTCAAGGTGCACCATTAATGGGAGCTGTATTCAGGGATGTTGATTTAACATTAGATAAATTTAATGATGGTGACTTGGATGAGTTTATATATAATAATGCCAGGAAACAGCCAAAGTTGAAGTATTCTATTTTAGCACCATTTCATATCGACTTGGTTGCGAAAAAGCTTTATATGTTTCTTCGAGATTATCCACTACCGCTAATATCGTTCCCACCGAATAGTGATGCTTCGAAACCTACCATACACTTGCAAGGAAATATAGTCATCAATGAGAAATTGTACGAAATGCAAGAAGAACTCAGATATATTTTTGTTCCATTTTCACCTGCCTGTATTGATAATGGCAAAGCCGATAACTTTTATTCTGTGTACGTTCCAAGAACCTTAACTCCAGTGAAAATGATTGCCAATATCCAATGTGATTTAAACACCGATCGTGCATGTATGATTAGTTTCTGTAAGTCATACACTCCTTCTTTAAGCCTCATGTTTAGAGCCTTTGATAATTTTACCAAGCCAGCAATTGATGATAGTCCAATAGGATGGTGGGATAAAGTTCCATTGATCTTACACGGAAGGATCCAGTTTAATGTTCACAATGAATTATGTTTACATATGAAGAGTTCCACTGATCCCTATGCACTTGTAGGAGATGCTGCTGGGTTTGTTTTTTGTTGGAAGAATAATGTGGAATTGGCTATTGATGGTAATATTGACAGTAGAAAATTGATTACCTTATCCAGTGATGATTTCTTATTTGTAATTCCAAATTATGGTGCTCTGGCCAAGGAAGCATGGAGTTTATTTTATGATGATAAAGACGATTTGACAAATCTTGTTGATGGGGAGTCAAAGAAGTACTTGAAACGAGTTATTAAATTGTCGAGTAAGAGCAGAGTCAAATGGACATTTGGGATGATGTTTGAAAGGAATAAGCATGAATCCAATAACTTTTCTGATAATGAATTGCGTACTAGTGAGTTCAAACCCCATTATGAAGTTATTGTTACCAATCCCGCCAATAGTTATCATCCTGATTCGTACAAGGATTATAGGTCTCATTATATCCACATGGCTCTTGCTGTGATTTCCAACTCAGATACAGGACATTCATATAATGCAGCCCATCTTACCCCCTTGACATTTCAATATTTCTTCCGTTGGTGGGATTTGTTATTACATCACACAGTTATGCCAGTTCGAAATGGGAATTTGTATAAAGGCGATCTGTTGAAGAAGAAGCTGGTTCTGATGGGTAAGCACTTGTTCACTATCAAGTATCAATTAGTATTTAATCCGGTAATCATTTCGCACATGTACCTCCATGCCAGTAACGACGTGCCTGATAAGAATAATCGCGTGCAGTTCACAGGATTGAAATCAAGGTTTACCAAATTTGAAGTTGATATGCATCAAAGGCGAGAGTTGATTACTTATGTCAATAAGAAATTAAATAAACGTACCCAAGTACGTCATTTGAAGATGAATCAAGTTGAAGTAAGTACCGAGAATATGGACGTGAGGTTGATTAGAGCTACATTCCCAGATCGATGTGTAACCAGTAAAGTTGCTCAGTATGTCAAGGGAGAATTGATGTCTTCGGCATCAAGTAGTTCATCCAGTGATGGATCATTGAATGGACGTACATTTCTGGATTGGATGGCTGATATTGATTCGTATAATCAAGACTATTCATGGTTAGATCAAGAAGATTTTATCGAATTGGAAGTTAAGGAACCACTTTCTCCATATCCTAAAATTAGAATTGTTCCATTTTTGTTTACTCCAAAGTTTAGTTATTTCCGAGAGTTCACCAAGGAACTGGAGGGACCATTCCCATTTGGTAATGAACCTATTCATGATTGTTTAATGGATTTGGAAAAGCCTGCTGCTGTGCAAAGACGGATTCTACAACAAAGAATCGATCGTCTCGAAGATGAGTTAGAGTCACAACAGAAATTACTCGATAGGTATAAACTTAACGCGCTGCCTGAATTTGAAGATGATATCAAGAATTTGGAGACTAATATACTACTGTTGAATGAGAAGATAGAAGTGGTAAGTACGGCACGGGATGAATTTATCGAAGAACAAGTTGATGATGAAGACGGAACATCGTTATCGAAGCAAACCTCGAGGCTATCTGCCTATTCAGGCCATTTGTCTAATGATATTCTTGATGGATCGGTTTCCCAGTTTCATAATAGATTCATTATACATAACTTGCAGATGAAGTGGGATAATCAGTTGCGTGATTACTTTCTTTGCTATTTGGGAAAGGTTGGTGATAGAAAGAATAATGTGTTTTTCATGTCTAAGGCTGCCGTGGATTTGGTAGAGAGCATAATCAATGAGCAACAGCAAGAAGAGGATGGATTAAAACCTGAAAGTATTAAACAGCACCGGTCATTCGACCCAAGCGACTTCAAGACAAGCGAACAAGTAATTAACAGTTTCCATGATGAGTTTGATCAAGTGAATGAAGACGAAGAAGTCGACAACAAGTATTTGATTAAGTTGATACATCCTCAGATTCAATTGGTAAGTAAAAAGAATCCCGATGCATGTGTGTTGATTACGGTTCGTGATTTGGAAATACGAATTATTGGTGTCAATATGCGTGATATGGTTAATACTATGGATGAAAATACGGAAAATTGCAGCATGGTGGAAAGAAGATATGGGGTATTGTTAAAGGATGAACAAATTTTCGTGGTTTGTAAAAACTCAATTGTTGAAAAAACTGATCCTATGATTTCCAACTTTGTTTCTGGATACTCTACTGGTGCTGATAATTGGCCACCTTGGTTTGAATGTGAGGTTTGTTACCAAGGTAATAATTCAATCAATAGTCGATATATGGTGAGTGATAGAAGCACAAAGGCCGTAATGTATAAACAAAAGAATCCATTGTTTGTGGAAGCGTCTAGTAGATCAGTTGAGAAAGAGCTTGTGGTTTACTTGGGTAAGTTTGTGATTAATGCTACTTCAGATCAGTATTCATGCATTTATTACGTCTATAGTGACTTGTTATTCCATACTAGGACATCCAAGGATGATGTTACTGGAAGGTTAAAGAAGGTTATGGCATTGAGTGATTCTACCGATTTCCATGGATTGGATATTCGAGTCAAGACACTTCAAGATCAAATCAGAGAATACCTGGAGCTATTGCTAAGCTTTGATGTTAAACGTGCCCAACACCATGACTTTGAAAAAGAATCATTGGCAGTTTTACAAGTGGAATTAGTCAAGTTGAAATTTGAATTGATGTATGTTATGAAGGGAATCTCGTTGAGATTCAAGTCCAAACAAATCTCCTCGAGTTACTGGAATGTATTGGCTGATCAAATAATCTGGCACTTCTTGGATGATAATCGTGAACCATTCGTTGATTTTGCATTAGGGAACACCAGGTTTACTAGAACCGAGTCTGCAGATGGGACTAATGTGAACAATCTCCAGGTTTCGTTTCTCCAAGGATTTAACTTACAGAAGGATGCGTTATATCCCCAATTGTTAACACCATATGAAAGTGCGCCCGATGGGAAACGATTGTTGAATATGTCGTGGACATTGATGGAACCTATAGGTGGAATTCGTATTGTCAAGGATGCTAAGGTGGAAATACAGCCATTGCAGCTTGAACTAGAGTTTTCAACTGCCAAGAAATTGGTATCCTATTTGTTCCCCAAAGATGATTCTGTTGACATGGATGATCTGCAAGAACATGATGACTTTGATGATATTTTTGAACAAGAGGAGGAAGGGTATGCTTCTGAGACGAGTAGTAACAAGTCCAATTCATCCAAGAACCCAATCAAGCGATTGATACAGAAATCTAAACCGTCGTCGTCAAATTGGTCAGCTAATGCATCGACATCGGTTTCTGATAATATGTCACCTCGGAACTCCAGTGAGATGAGTTCTATTACATCTTTCTCTAATGATGAGTTTAGTGAAGGTACGAAAACAAAGACCAAGAAGCTGACAAGGTTGAAAAAGAAGCGAATTGAAGATGATGAAGATAACTTGGCCCTTGTGACTGCACGGTCCGCCAAGTATAAATCGATAATTCATGTTGAAATTGTCAAGTTTATTCTAGTTGTCAGTTTCCGTGGACCAAAGAACAACCATTTACTCGATGTCAATCAATTGCAATTGAATGTGCCTAATCTCACGTATAACCACAAGATATGGTCAGGTGAAGACCTTATGAATCGGATCAAAAAGGATATTATTAAGATGATATTGCAGCATACAGGTAAGATTCTTGGGAACAAGTTCAAGATACCGAAGAAGAGAAGCAAATTATCGGAGCCATTGAAGCAGATATCCAATTATGGGAAACTATTGACGTTGGATGATTTGCAGCAACAACACCAAGGAAGAGATTCGATGGATTCCTTGGACCTGCCTCGATCAGAACTGCCACGAGTCACACCCAAACCTCATGTTATTAAAAAGATGGATGCTTCTGATGCTACATTTTCTACATATTTCAGAGACGATTCGTCCGATATAAGCGGAGACGATGAAATGGTTGTAACTGTGTAAAACTAGTGTAACACTTGTATAAATTTGTATTAACTACGTGTATAACTTGCAAAGGATAGTAGTGTATTGTGTTATCTGCAGGAACAAGCGCGTTAGTCATGTTCCCCAAAAAATACAACAAACGAAAAAGCTCAACCGCCTGAATTTTACGGAGATTACCCAAACTGCCAAGCATTGCCCTATTCCTTCCCATATTCGCCAACAATTTCGGCACTGACGTAGTAATTGCTTTTACATTGAATCAATCACCGATAGAATTGCTAGTTTTTATTAGTAAAATCACCACATCATGGCCTTTTTTGACGCCCTCAGGGAAAAGGCCGTCACCACATTGAACCAGGTGTTGGACAAGAATCGCAACTCTGGTTTGACAAAACACCAGCAATTCTGCTATAGTCACCACATACCGGAAACTGAAACCATTCTCAGTGAATCCGCTGCGGAAATAGGCATCAAGTCTGATTATTCTACTGATGCATACAATGACAACTTGCCATTCCCCCAGGGACGAATCTACTTGACCCAGCTGTTTCTTATATTTCGTGATGCATTTGATCGCAAGAACTGCTCCTTTAGTGTGCATTTGAGCACCATCAAAAAAGTGGAGAGACCTCCGGGCTCTGACTATGGGTTTGCACTCATGGTGTCTACGTACAGCAAACTTCATTTAACATTGTATTTGGTGGGGATTAGGTCAGACAGTGAACGGTTTGCCCAGCAGTTGAAGATTGCATTAAAGAAGAATTTGGTTCATGTGGGAAAGTTGCAACCGTTTATTCAGACCTGTTATTCCGAATACTTATTGGCCAAGAACAAGGTAAGCACTGAGAAAGTGGAACATGCTCCTCAAGGTGGATTGGGATTAGTGTTTAAGTTTCCGGGAGACCCGAAGGAATCAAGAGACAAAACCAAGATGAAGCTATGGTTTGATTTGTTTAGAGTGGATGGAAGGAATTTGTCACTCGTTAGAACGCCGTTGTTTTACAAGTTAGTTAGAGTTGGATTGCCTAATAGGTTGAGAGGAGAAATTTGGGAATTGTGCTGTGGCTCAATGTACCTTAGATTGGACTATCAAGGAGAATATAATAAGATCTTGGAAGATCACAAGGACCAGAAATCATTTGCCATTGAAGAAATTGAAAAGGATTTAAATAGGTCCTTGCCGGAATATGCGGCTTATCAGTCTTCGCAAGGTATCGAAAGATTAAGACGAGTCTTGACAGCTTATTCGTGGAAAAACCCCGATGTTGGCTATTGTCAAGCCATGAACATTGTCGTTGCAGCCATGTTGATATACATGTCTGAAGAACAAGCATTCTGGTGTTTAAACGTATTATGTGATCGTATTGTACCAGGATATTATTCAAAGACCATGTATGGAACTTTGCTTGATCAGAAGGTGTTTGAATCGTTGGTACAAAAGACCATGCCTATGCTTTGGGAACATATCACCAAGAATGATATTCAATTGTCAGTAGTTTCATTGCCATGGTTTTTGTCATTGTACTTGTCATCAATGCCATTAGTATTTGCATTTAGAATACTAGACGTGTTTTTCTTACAGGGACCAAAAACTTTATTTCAAGTTGCATTGGCAGTTTTGAAATTGAATGGAGAAGCTCTTTTGAATACTGAAGATGATGGAACATTCATATCGATTATCAAGCAATATTTCTTGACATTACATGAATCAGCCCATCCAAACTCTCCTAATCCTAAATTCAGAAGTATCACTCGATTCCAAGAACTTTTAGTCACGGCCTTCCGAGAATTTTCCGTCATTGATGAAGAAATGATTAATAACACCCGAGCAAAGCATCGAGACACAATATACCAAAACATTTCCAGTTTCGTGAAACGGACTGAGCTTCGTAACTTGCCACGCACCACTAATATCTCCCAAGAAACCCTTAGTTTGCTTTATGACAGATTCTATTCCGTAGTTGAGTCATTATCAGTGACTAAGGGATCGGGTACAAGTGTCATGGATTATAAGGTTTTCGTTGAGTTTATGTCGGAGATATGTGATTGGATAACTGATGTTAATGTCGATGATGAGCGACACTTTTTAAGAAGATTGTTTAACCATTGGGACACTGAGAAACAAGGAGCACTTACATTTACCGACTTATTGGTTGGATTAAACTCGCTAGTTGATCCTGATCTTATGACTTCAATGTCGAATTTCTTTGAACTTTATGATACCAAGGGAGACGGTAAGATTGATCGTGAAGGAATCTTGCAAATTTCTGAAGATTTATTGTATATTACTAGCCCTTGGAAAGATGGGGTATTGTTTGACGGAATCACAAAAGCCAATATAGAGAATGTCATTGCTGATGAAGTATACAAGAAACAAGTGGAATCAGGCAATACCAGTCCTGATCAATCTGAAATACAACTTCCATCCGATTTCCAAGTCGATAGAGATAAACTAGAACAGCAGCAAGTGGAACGATACTTGCAAGCGGCTGCTACTTTTATCCAACGTGCATTTGAATACGCCCAACCTGAAGAAGAAGAGCTTCTCATTAAGGAATTGGCGATTGATAATTCCATTTCTCATAATGCTGCTCTTAACCCCAACACCCCTGTATATTTGAATTTACCTACTTTCAGAATGGTTGTCCTTGCTGACGAAACTTATGAACTATTGTTTGGTTCTACATTGCGTGAAGCCACGCATCTTGAACGGCCATTGGATACTAAGTTTGATCCTATTCGTAACTTGCGTGATATGTTTGATGGATTATTGGCTGATGGACGGAAAGTCGCTACTAAGGTGCGTTTACGTATGGATAGCCGAGCTGCGAATGGAGGAGGAGGAGCTCCTCCAAATTCTAGCAATGCATCCATCAAATCGGGTGCTAAGCGAGAAGAAGAGGAGGAAGATCAGGATGACGATGATTTGGGGGTCATTTCCATTGATGATAATGATAAGGATCTTTTATTGGCTACCGAAGCACAAGTGGTTGTTAAAGAACTGACAGAGAAGCCCAGGATCTCACGAATGGAAAGTGAAAAGATCATTGGCAAGTCGGATCAGAATTTAATAGAGTTTGAAACGTAAAGTATATAGGATGTCCATTTCTAGAAATACACAATTCAATTTTATTTAGAATTAAAACAAAAACATATTATTAAAGGAGGGAGGGAAGGGGACTAACTGCCTCGCTTGGTACCAAATAACTTTCTCAATTTACCAAACTTTTTCTTTTCTTTGGCAGCAGCAGCAGCAGCAGGGGCAACTTCCACGTCCCTGACATCCTGGAGCACGGTGACGGGAGGTTGTAAATGTTCATCATCAGAATCATTGAATCGAGAAGAAAAGAAGTTCCCTGCGTGTCTCACAGGTCCATCTTCATCATCCGAGTCTACGAAGCGTGACTTGAATTTTCGTCTTCGGTTGCCAGAATCACTGGTTGGCGTAGTATCAACTGAGGAATCCAATGGTTTCGACCCATGTGATTGAGTCGCGCTAGGTGCCATAGGATCACGCAATGTCATCCGGGTGTTTCTGTTCAGAATAGCCTTCTCCTTGTTCTGAGTCTTGGTTGCTTCCTGGGCAGTTGGCTTGAACACTGACTTCGGTCTAGCTTGAGCCTTGGCGTATAATTCCTGAGCCCGGGCCTTGGATGGTGATGTATACCCTGGGGCAGTTGTGGGATGGGGTGGTATTGGTTGGACGATGGTGTGTCCGGCATTCAGGACTGGTGTATGTCTGAATTGTCTTGAGGCCATGCCTTGTGGTTCCATAGGCATTGAGTTTGGTCTAAGAGTTCTGATTTGGTGGGCTGGTGGTGGTGGTGATTTGCGCAAGGATTGTTGAGAGAGTTGGGTTGGTTGTGGTTGCGAATTCCTCAACGATTGATGCGAGAGACGTTTCTGTGGTGGCACTTGTGATTTCTGGTTATGGAACTGTGGGTATGCCGAGGCTCCATTTAGATCACTATGGGAAAGTTTTGAGTTCATCCGGGTGTTTTCGGCCGTTGTGAGGGAAAGGTAGGCTTGTTGAGCTGGGTTCGGTTTAACAATGGATTTAGGCTTGGCTGCTGGAGGAGGAGCTGAAGTTTGTGGTTGGGCAAGAACTTGGGCAAGTCCTTGAGATGGGAGTGATGAAGTAGAGTTCTTCATTGCCGACTTTATTGGTTTTCTTACGGGTGACTCGTTGGAATAGACCGAAGATTTGGAACTGGCGTTGTCATGATGAGGTGGTGCAATCAAATCACGAGGTTCGACATGGTTATCGTTATTAGGCTCATGTGGAGCTTGTTCATCCTGGAGGTAGTTTTCTGGAGCAGGCATTTCTATGGTGGGTGGTGCTTCTTCCTCTTTTGTTTTACTGTCTTGACTTGCAATAGCTAATAACTCATTGGACCTGAAATTACCATATTGACTAATTATTCCAAGCTCATTAACGCCTGGATCCAAACTTGGGAAATTGTTGGAATCAGCAGACTCGGATATAACCACTGGTGGAGGAACAGGTGTTTCTTGGTGAACAGCTTGTGTTTCTTCGTCATGTTCACTTAATGTATCGACAGCAGATAATTCCGGTTTCTCAATAATAAGGGCATGCTCGGTATTTTCAACAACAGAAGAGTGATCAAGAACATCACCGTTAGTTTCTTGTTCGGGATGTTCAAGAACTTCACCATTAGTTTCTTCTTCTTCGGCATGTTGGATGATAGTGGTTGATTCTTCTACATTGTCCATGCTGATTTCTTTTTCGATTGCTTTATTCAATGATTGTTCTTCTTGGACACGCTTAGCTTTCAAGCTTTCATATTCCTGCTTCTTGATTTCTAATTCATGAGCCAACTTCTTTTCTTCATCAATTTGCTTCTGCAACAAGTCCAACTTTCGTTGTTGTTCAATCATCTCGTCGGACTTACCCAACTTATCTTCGAGATCAACAACTTCTGTCATAGATTCCAAGTTGGTTGGTGGAGTAATTGCCGAGACCGATCGCTTCGGTGCTACTTTTCTTGCAGTAGTAACGTTACTCAATGAAGAAGACCGAGGAATTGGTTTCACGTGCTTCGATACGTTACGAAGAGAACTGGATCTACTGAATCCAGAACCACGCATAGAATTACAACGGGCTACTTCCTTATCATAGGTTTCTTGGGGAACTTCGACAATCTTGATACCATTTGGAGTAGGAATATACTTTTTCACCATCTTGGGTGTTACATTTGCAGTGGTGGTGGTGGAAGAGGTCTTTTTAGGAACTGCTGCGCCCTTTGCTGGCTTATGTTCCAATTTCAAATCCTTCAAGTTTTGTTGATTCTTCAAATACACTCTCGTAGACTCGTCGGTGATATTGTCGATGTATGAATCAGTAAAACTGTCATCTATATCGTGAACTTTGGTAGGACTGTATGCGCTTGAATTAGTCACGGTTGAACCCGATGAAAATCTTCTGAATGGGTGAGGAGTGTGTGGCGGTTGTTGTGGTTGCTGCGACTGGCTCAGTTGCATTGACCCTATGCTTGCTCTCGAGCCTCGTTTGAACAAACTTCCTCCATACGTCTTTGTAGGAGGGGCGGTTGCTGACTGGGTAGATTTGGGGGTAGGTTTCTGGGTAATTGGCTTTACTGCGGTTGTTTTGAGGGAATTCCCGATGGTCAAGGCGGCAGCCACGGCACTGGAATTGGGTTGGTTGTTGGCAGGAGCCGGTTGATTGACTCCGGTGTATGCTGTGGTGTGGGTGCTCCGAGTCTTTCTTCGAAACATGGTGATACAGTAGAGTCAATTGAAGATGAAGAGCAATGGGCAAAAGGGTATTGATTGCTCTTTGTTTCCCTAAAATTTCAGTTTATTGTTTTGTGTTGACTGCTGCGCAATTGTGAACCCCTTCGTGAATGAATGAAATTAAAAATAAAAGTCACGTGGTTTGTCTATTTTGGATGACGAGGTACAACACATGGTGTAAGTAGGTTCTACTGGCTAATGATTGCGATCTAGCGTGTGGCTAGTGTGTTGTCACGGTTGGACAGCAGTATACACTGCTTGATTGATACGGATACGGTCAATTAAAATTGGTTGCTCGTCCCATTGCACTATTTCATTCGCGCCTTGCTGTTGTAGCATTCATTATCCTAATGTGTGTATTATATATATATTCTATTTACAAATTATCCATCTCTCACGACCTTTTAACAACCAGTACTCTGCCAGCACCCAATCTGTTCAACCCTATAAGTCGACTAACCCAACCACCAACTTCTTGACCATTCTTTACAACCAACCGTAAAACTGGTCTTATACTCAACAAGGCATAACTCAACAAGAACCCTTGCAACAACGGCATGATAATTTGGTCCTTGATAACAGCATACACAACTATCCCTGTCGATATAGGTAATGGTTGGAGTTGTTGCTGTTCCTGGACGTCTAAATTATGGTTCATCAATTGTAATTCTGCATCGGTGAGTACCGGTGCGTTATGTTTGCGCTTTAGTTTGTTTGGAGAAACTGGGGGTGGTGCTTGCACATCACCAGCATATTTGTGGAGCTGCTTTAAAAACGATTGTTCAAACCGCAAGTCAGGGATAGCAATGTGTGGAGGCATACTGGTAACCACCTATAAAAGTGTAGTAGAAACCCGCAGGCAAAAACATTCTCCATTTGTTTTGGTCTAACTTGTAAAATACCCCAACATGCAAACACATCTAACATGTAAAGTTGTATTTACAGTTTTCACCTGAACGAAAAAAAGTTTGAAAATTGATCAGCACATACAAAAGTTATTTACAACCAACTTAACCACAACTAACAAAACTATACATACCTACACAATGAACATGGATATCGACACTAGTGGACCCTCGGTGACTATCCGAGAAGCCGAGAGAGACCATGTGAACTTCATTCTCAAAAATGTCAGTCTTGCCCTGGCAAACTCTATCCGACGCACCATGCTTGCCGAAGTGCCAACCCTTGCCATCGACTTGGTGGAAATAGACGTCAACACCAGTGTGTTGGCCGATGAATTCATCGCCCATAGACTCGGATTGATTCCGCTTGTCAGTGAGGGCATTGAAAACTTGACATATTCCAGAGACTGCACCTGTGATAACTACTGTAGCAAATGTTCTGTCCGATTAGAACTTACTGCCAAGTGTGATAGTGACTCCACCATGAGTGTATATGCATCCGATTTGGCTAAATTCCATAACGGGTCCAGATTGGGTGACCCGGTCATTAGAGATGCCCAAGGAAGAGGCTCGCTCATCTGTAAATTAAGAAAACATCAAGAGCTTAGAATTGTGTGTATTGCCAAAAAGGGGATTGCTAAAGAACACGCCAAATGGTCGCCTTGTGCTGCAGTGGGGTTTGAATATGATCCATGGAATAAATTAAAGCATACAGATTACTGGTATGAAATTGACGCCGACAAGGAATGGCCCAAGCTGGAAAACTGTGAATGGGAAGAAATGCCCGATCCAGAAGCTCCATTTGATTATACTGCCAAGCCAACTAATTTCTATTTCGATGTGGAAACCGTGGGTAACTTGCCTCCTAATGAAGTAGTGGTTAGGCTGATTGAAACTTTGCAAAGAAAATTGGCCGATATCGCTATCGAATTGAATAAAGAGAGCGTGGAAGCCAGTAATGCTAATGCAGGTGGGTTTACTACTTACGGAAGAGATTATGATGGTGATTCTCCCATGGGTAGAACTCCATACGGGGAATGGGGACAGTAGTTATTAGTCATATTGCATTTGTAGACACAGTCTTTGTATAATTTTAATGTGTATTATTAGTGTTGAAACTATTTCTATGTAGCACTCTGATTCTTGTTCCATGCAACGACATCATCAAACTTTACAAGCTTGCCCCCAAAGATGTCCAATGCACTACCATAAGTCAAATCAACTTTACCTCCACTCAATTGTTTAACTACGTCTAAATCTTGGGCCAGCTTTGCACCACCAGCATATACGATTTTCCCTTCGAATCCACTGGGACACCATTGACCTAGTTTCTCAACCAATGTCTCGTCAATACCTTGACAGAGTCCTTCTACATCGGCAGCATGTATGAGAAACTCGTCGCAATATTCCCCTACTTCACTCAAGAATGTCTCTGATAATACACTAGTGGTGAGTGTCTGCCATTTATTCATAGCCACTACCCATTGTGATTCACCTTGGTTCACTACCGTACGGCAACTCAAGTCAACAATCAAATTTTCTTTGCCCACTTTTTCGCTCACCTTCTTCAACTTGTCCCAATCAAAAGCCATATCTTCGCCAACTTTACTAAATAAATAACTAGTGACAATGACATGGGAAGCACCTTTGTCCAACCATTCCAGTGCATTGTCGTAGTTTATCCCACCACCAACTTGCAACCCACCAGGCCAGGTCTTTAATGCGAGTTCCGCAGCTTCGTCATTGGCAGGATTTGATCCTAGCTTTATAACGTGACATCCAGTGACGTTGTGATCGTGGTAGAGACCAGCATAGTGAGATGAAGGAAACGACAGGACAAAGTTTGTTGTGGTAGAGTTTGTATGGGTGGTGTCGTCCTGTGTGAGTGTTCCTCCGACGATTTGCTTGACTTGACCGGAATGAATGTCTATGCAGCCTCTGAATTTTGTCATGTTTCTGAATTGGAGAGAGAGGTGAGTCAATTGTTTGGACGACGTTTTTGATATCGCGATTTTTCAGAGTCAAGTAGTCGCTGCTATCAGTGCGAATTGTCTTGTGAATAATACCACAATTTCCACTACAAGATTCAAGTGTATAGTTATAGCTATGTAAGTTTAAAGTTCAAGATCGTTTGTCTCTTTGCTAACAGTTCATTTATCAAGCTTAATTGGGCGTCTTCTGGTGACATAATGTTCTTCTACGCTACTAAGAAACTACTGACTAACATAAAATGAGTTAAAATGCAGGATCAAAAAAAAAATATGTCGATGCTCATCAGACTCCTCTCTTTATCTTAAACAACATGAGTGACGACGACTATAGACGAGCCCTTGAAATACAACGACGCAATTTCGAGGCCCAGTTCGGCTCCATTGAAGAACTTGGTTTTGAAGACAAATCAAAATCCGTGCATGCGTCATCTTCTGACGACAATTCAAGTGGCATCGAAAGTGAGAATGAAAGTGGCAGTGATGAAGAACAATACAACTTTAAAGGATTTGAAAGTTCTGGAGAGTCAGACAGTCCTGATTTTGAACTGGAAGAAGAAGATGATGATGAAGAAGAAGAAGAAGCCCCAAAAGTCATAAAGCTTAATGCTACCATCGCCAAACCAACAATCATCTCCAAACAAGACAGAAAACTCCTCAAGTCCGGCCGAGCACCAACATTACAAGAACTCGAACTCAAGTCCCAACAAGCGTCCAAGCAAACAAAAGCACAAATTAAAGAAGATTCTGAAAATCTTGAAAACGATTTGAAACTTCAACGACTCCTTCAAGAATCTCATATCCTCACCCACTCCCTCGAACATTCCGGGGCTGAACTCACTCTAGAAACTATAGACTATGAAGATCCCACTGGGAAAGCCCGACGCCGAATTCTCGACTCTCGTATGCGTCAACTTGCAGCCACCAACTCGAACGAGAATCGGAAATTGGAAAGCATGCCTATGTCCATGCGTAAAGGGATGATTGCTAGCCGAGACAAGAAGATCAAGAAATTCGAGGCAGATGCGCGTGATGCCGGTATCGTGTTGAGTAAGGTGCGTAAGGGACAAGTTAGAGATTTGAATGCCGGTAAAGGGTCAACTTTGACCAGTGATCGATTAGGATCGGGTGTTAATAAGAAAAAACATCATAGAGATCGTGGGTTGAAGATCCATGGTGTAGGAAGACTGACTAGAAACGGGCTTGTTCTTAGTCAAGGGGAGATCGATAAGATTAACAATAAAGGGAAGAAGTTTAGCAAAAAGAAAAAGATGAATAGTCGATAGAATTAAAAATAAAATAAAAAGCACTTGTACATTTTCTATAAACACCAGGTATACAAATTAAGTTTTTTTAGAATGCCTCAATCGTGCCTTGTTCGGACGCCATTTGATTTCCTTTGATCTCTAAATCATTCCCACCTTCTATCGATTGAATTTCCAATCCATGTTCATTAGCCAAATGTAAAAGACAGATAAAACAAAAACTGGTAGATATATCCTTAGCCTGTTCCGGTTTATACATGGTGGAAATTTTACTCACAATTTGACCAAACTTGACAGGCTTGACTTCTTCAGTGGTGGCATCTTCACTTTCTTGAGGTTCTTCTGTTATCACATCTGTTTCCTGTTTAATAGCTCCCCACATATTATCCTTCAACAAACGAACATTAACCCGCTTAGCCACCCGTGAAAAACTGACATATTCACCACTTCTCTTTCCCATAATTCCCTGGTCAGTGGTTTTCTCCTCCACTTTAGTTGATTCCAAGGCGTCATTGAAATCAATTCCACCAAAGTCATTCTCAATAAACCCGTCATCGTCAGCCAATTCAGCTTCTCGGAACGACTTTTCTAATCGTTCACGTTCCTCTTGCTCTTTATACGCATCACCAAAGAATTGGGCGTCTGTGAGTGTAGCTTGTGGCTTAACTGAGTATGTTGATATTGTGAATTGCTTCGTGAATAACGTGATCAAGCGAGATGAAGTGTATCGTATATCATCAGGTAATTTATTAAGCCCGGAGTTTTCCTTCTTCACAAGAGTCAGAGGGTTTCTGGGTGCTTCAAAAAGGGTGTCTTCATCAACATCATCGCCAAAGAAATCAACCACAACGGCATCGTGCTTCTTCTTTTCATGAGTTGTTTGTTGAGTATCGGCTTTAGGCTTTGATTCTTGATCAATGTTGTTGGCACGCTTGAAAGCAGTCACTTTCCAATGTTCGGGTCCTCGCCAATTGTGTCTCATTCGATCATCGAAATACGCCATTAAGTCGCGATCTAGCACTTCTTCCTGTTGTTTCTCGTATCGAGGTTCTTCTTCAAATAATCGCGGTAGGAGAGTTTGAGTGAGATTGTATGGGTCCGTGGTATTATTGGCTTGTGCAGGAGTTTCGACTTCAGGTGGTGGCCCAAGATCTCCGTCATCTGCGTTGAAATCATTCATGTCGTCATCAAAGAAATCGTATTCGTTAGATTCAGCAGGAGTAGGGTAATGATTTGTTTCGTTGTTCTTGCTGCTCAAATCGGTCAATATGGTTTTAGCCAGTTCAACGTCTTCCAATGCTGATTGGAATTCAGCAAGGGATGGAACCAAGGTAAGATCGTCCAATCCAGAATCACGTAGGACGATTTTGGAAAGAGACTTCATATCAATATCATCATTGACTATGGTTTCCACTTGTTCAGTTGTTTCTGCATCTGGGTTTGTAGTTGCATCAAACACAACTCTCCCGTTATTATCGATATTTAACGAGTTTAACAATAAACTTTTGGCTCCACCTTCATCAAACTCTGCAAGGGCTTTTTTGAATAACGGATCAATGGCCAATTCCTGTTCAAGTTTCTTTATCTTGATGGTGTCAAAATCGACCAAAGTAGATTCAACTATCCTGTTCATTTTCCTCTTCTTTTTGGGTTCTTCGTCGCCTTCGCCGTCCTCTCCTTCTTCTCCTTCACCTTCGGCATCTTCTTCAGTTTCACTTTGTTCTTCGTGCTCCTTCTTCTTGGCTAATCCACTCAATAACTTCCCGGTCTCACTAGCAGCACTCTCGACACGACTACTGTAGATTTTAACACAACCATCCAAGGTAGCACTGGCTCGTTGGAAATTGATATTTTCACCATCTTTAATAACATTCAAATCAGCAAAATAGTCAATCAAGCCGAAGTTCCAACTGTTCTTGACAGTAATCTTATTATCGGTAGCCATCTTGATCCATTCTTCGAAATTGGATAAGATTGTGTGTTTATTCTGATGGAAGTGAATCGGATCATCAATTAGTCCACTAGAATCCGAAAGAATCCGCGTCAGGAGAATTCTGTTTGTAGTAGAAACATTGCGCTGTTGCTGTGGAGTCGATGACGAAGGTCTACGAGCTCCGGAGGCTCCTCTTCGCTTAGGTAGTGTAGATGACATTGGATGGCTGGCCTCACCTGTCTAGAAAGAGGACTTCTGGCCTTTGTTTTGATTTGGAGCGTGTTGCCTTTTTTTGGGGGGGGCAGGTAGAATTTTCTGAGCCGCATGTCATGGGGATGATGATGTTGTTGAATTGAGGTTGGACACGACTTTTCTTCTGGCTGCAGCCTAAACGTTGGGCTATTCGAGATTAGGTCTGCACAAAATTAAAATCAGCTGCTAGTAGGAGGTATGAAGCTTGGCATGGAAGACGTTTCTCGCTCAAGTTGGAGCAAAATAGGTTTTTGAAATGAGTTTTGGAACTTAAACTTATATTGCCTATGTACAGAGTCAGCCCAGCCCAGTCATGCCCAGCCACTGCCCGGGGTTTACGCGGGATTTGCAATTTCACGACAAAAATAAGGTTGCAAATTAAAAGTGGCGACTGGCAAGTTTTACCTACATTGTATATTTAAAACTAAGTAAACTTGGGTATTTCTTAAACATGTCTTGTCGCAGTATATTGTTTTGTGTATTTATTCTCTCGGTTAACGAAAAGGTTTTCATTTGAGTCATTTTAATGTACCACATTTGGTACGAATTGTGTGCGAAATCTGGAAGAAACTTCAAACATCATTTTTGACCAACCTCTTCAGGATCACCCTATCTATCGAATCTAGTATTTGTTTGACTCGCTACATTCCTGGTACAAACACACAACATATATCAACTGTAGTTTCATGGATTGCCTATCGTGTGCGGATCGGGGTAAAATCTGATGGCGTAGTTACCGCCCCCCGAAAAACAAATTGAGCATCCGCACGACCACAGAATGTTCCCGAAAAACTTTGATGATCGAATGGTATCCACTTTTAAATTGGCAACTGATTACTTTACAGATCAAGTTGGACAGGTATATAAAATACATCACACAAACCATGTTGACACGATCACTAATAGGTATAAGTCGTGTCGGTGTCTATAGACGCCCAATCACACCAGTGATGGCACGGGTCTGGCCTATGATGCGTACCATTCAAGCCAAACGTCTTGCCTCCAACTCCATCGTCACCCTTCTCCAATCACAAGAGCAAATCGCCAACACAGATTTAACTAATACCATGGCCCAGGCTGAATTCTACAGACTGCTTCTCTCCAACAACTACCCCCACATTGTCGTTCAAAGGTACGAGACCCCCGGTATTGCTGCTAGTGCTGAATGTACTCGTCTTTACATTGATGCCTTGAACAAGATTGGGAAAAAGGGCAAGGCTGAACAAGTATCTCGAGCATTAAATGATCAGTTGGGTTCATCTGGAGTCGTAGCTAATAATGCCACTGCTGGGGGCACTCCATTACCCCATGGGTTTGGATCTAGATATGAACCAGTCCATGTGATTGTAAGTGAATCACTCTTGACTATATTGAGTAGATGGCTTAAATGGTTAATCCCAGTGGCATTAATAACTTATGGTGCCACAAATGCATTTAATTACCTTGTTGAAAACAATACCATGTTCAGAAACACCGAAGTTCCAGATAAACTGGTGGATGTGTCTCAATCCACCGTGAGATTCAAAGATGTTCAAGGATGTGACGAAGCCAGAGCTGAACTTGAAGAAATTGTCGACTTTTTGAAGGATCCTTCCAAGTTTACCGGATTGGGTGGGAAATTACCCAAGGGTGTTTTACTTACTGGTCCTCCAGGTACAGGTAAGACTTTACTTGCAAGAGCCACTGCTGGTGAAGCGGGAGTTCCCTTCTTTTTCATGTCCGGGTCAGAATTCGACGAGCTTTACGTTGGGGTAGGTGCCAAAAGAATAAGAGAGCTTTTCACTCAAGCCCGTGAAAAGTCACCCGCAATTATATTTATTGATGAACTTGATGCCATTGGAGGTAAGCGTAACCCCAAAGACCAGGCATATGCTAAACAAACATTGAACCAGTTGCTTGTTGAATTAGACGGGTTTTCCCAAACTGAAGGTATCATTATCATTGGAGCCACTAATTTCCCAGAATCTCTTGACAAAGCATTGACCCGTCCCGGTAGATTCGATAAAGAAGTTGTAGTTGAGCTCCCAGATGTCCGTGGTAGAATTGCCATTTTGAAGCACCACATGGAAAACGTCGAGACTGCCGATGATGTTGATCCCTCCATCATTGCTCGTGGTACACCTGGTCTCTCCGGGGCTGAATTGATGAATTTAGTCAATCAAGCCGCAGTCCATGCCTCACAATTGTCTGCTCCTGCCGTTGACATGAACCATTTCGAATGGGCCAAGGATAAGATCCTTATGGGTGCCGCCAAGAAAAAGATGGTCATCACCGAGGACTCCCGTATTAATACCGCCTACCATGAAGCGGGCCATGCCATTATGGCAATGTACTCCCCAGGAGCTACTCCTTTATATAAAGCCACCATTCTTCCTCGTGGTCGTGCTCTTGGTATCACATTCCAATTACCGGAAATGGATAAGGTCGACATGTCTAAACGTGAATGTCTCGCCCGATTAGATGTCTGTATGGGTGGTAAGATTGCTGAAGAGATGATTAACGGTAAGGAAAATGTCACTTCAGGATGTGCCTCCGATTTGGCCAATGCTACTAATGTTGCACGCGCTATGGTTACCAGCTATGGTATGAGTGAGAAGATTGGACCAGTGCAATTGTCGGAAAACTGGGAAAGTTGGTCCCCTGATATTCGTAACATGGCCGACACCGAAGTCAGAGATTTCTTGATCTCTAGTGAAAATAGAGCTAGAGATGTGTTGACTAAGAAGAAACTCGAGTTGAAGAGATTGGCTGAGGGATTGTTAGAGTATGAGACCTTGACTAGGGAAGAAATGGAGAAGATTGTCAAAGGCGAGCCAATCAACAAGGAGAAGACAATGAGCAATACTGTTATTAAGAGCAAGGCAGATATAAAGGGATTGAGCATACCGAATGCAGCCAGAGATGCCTAGTGTAATTTAATTTTATAAAGATGCACACTGTTTATAGCTTTGTATGATTATACATGAAATACCAAAGTAACTCTGGCGATTTACCCGCTGTGTGTAACCATCCTTCTAGTGCATGGCAAATTCATTATATTAGAGTTCGTGCATCCTGGACTTGTATGTTCAATTCCACTTTAAGCTGATTGCCTCGATGACTCGAAATTTCATTTCAAAGATGTGCAATTGTTGGAACCAGTTTGGTAAGAAAATCAAAACACAACTATCGGATTATCTTAGTTATTAATACTTATTCAAAACTGATAAAGAGTTGAAACTTATATCACGCTAGTCACCGAATCCAGTTGATACATCTAAAAAAAAAGGTATTGAATAGACAATACAGCGTAAAAGAAATTCAATCTTGATTTGGTGATAGTAGTAGGTAGCAACTGAATTACGGGATGCATAATCCCGAAAAGAATTTCATTTTGCAACCAAAAACAAGTGCTCGTAACCAAATAAAGCTCTAAAAATCGAACCGGTTTCATTCTAGATTTAGAGGTGCCGATATTGTGATTGATAGGATATGATTGGCTAATTCCCACTTTTCAGAATTCGTAAGTTGCTAATTAATAGCAATCAATATGGTGATGTGATCGACAGAAGTAGTTAAATGTCTAAACATCAACAAATACACTTTTGTCACTTTCATTGGACTTAAGCAACCTTAAACATTCGATGGTTGGAATGTTTATGATGTGGAGAATTTGGAAGTGCTCATTTTCAAGAGTACCTTTTGTCAATATGATAAGGAATCGTACAACGTGAATATGAATGTGTTTTCAAAGATTGCTAGCTTATACTATTCTAATCCCTTTTTTCTTTCTATTGTAGGAGTCGTGCTTGTCTTAAACTCCGTTCGATTATGTGTTTGACTTCGGAATCACCACATTTGGGGAGAAATTGTCCCCCCACCCCCCTTACAATAATAGCAATTTATAATTCCCCTGTAACAACGTCAATTAACTTAAGCGAATAGACGTCGTGTGGGCTTGTATAACAATGGGTGGGGTGGTTCGTTTCATATCGTGCAAGATTTCGGTTATACCTCGGTAAACCACTAAATTCATGTGAATGCTGAAAAAACCGTTCATCCGATTAGTCCACATAATAGCAATCTTTCGATACTGCGTAGGATCTTTATTGCACCATCAATCCATGGGGACTTCAAATCGAACCATCATCTTTCAAGGAAACTGCATCATGTCGTCAATTTGAAGTTTTGCATGGAAAAGCATGGTGTAATCTTCTGCACAAAAAATCCCCCATTGAATTTCCAAGCCCTTTCAGATGACTCTAGATGACTCAACTGCCTAATCATCCCCAAATTCCCCAAAGTTCAACATATAAGAGCACCACTCAACAAACTCTCGATGTTCACCAGTTGAACCTGTTAATATATTAACTACACACGACAGATACACGCAGTTCAGACGGTTATGAAACTGGTGGGGGGTGCTGCTTAGCAATGGTACCGACGTTAGCCGAATAGCACTAAAAGGACGCGATTTGATTAGTTAGAGGGTTGTATAAATGTAAACATGTACCCACGTGGATTCCGAACAGAGTACGAAAAAGTAAACTCACCTTGAATTGAAGCGCCTTGCGTTTTGGAAAAGAATAAGTGATTTTGTGAATTTTTACAGAGATGAGGTGAGATGTGACTGGGGGCTGGCTGTTTAAACCAATAGTTTCTACAATAGAAAACCAACACAAGGATAGTGGGATTAAACCTATGATTTGCTTGACCAGGCTAAACTAGGACTATTCGCTAATTGCAACGGTTTTTTTTTTTTTTCTTCCTCAAAATCAACAAAAAAATAAAATTAAATAATTGATCTGGCTTCTGTAACAGGAAGACAGCACCTTCCAAACTGGTGGTATTTGACCGATCTGAAAAGTTATCTCATTTAATGTAAGGATCCTATATGCTCGTGTATTTTCTCTTTTACGTTGTAGCAACCATATGCTTTACTAAGTTATAGTGGTTGCATTTATACTAGTTAAAATAATGACACGCACACTTGCCTAATTAGGAAATCCTATTGAATGTGCGGGTGGGTATTCCGCTTTGTGTTTCAATTTTGAATGATTTATTCATAACGCGAATACTAAACACGACTGCAAATAGAGATCATTCCACATTGTTGACGCAGATCTACCGCTTATACTGCGTCTGATCCCGACATTCACGTGATACAAAACAGACAATTTTTTACTGAAAAAGAAAAAGTTAACTATGGAACTGCAAAAATATTATGTAGCTCAGCAGGAAAAACAAAAAAAAATATGAATTGGTCCCACGTGGGTTCCTTAATAATTTTTTTTTTGTCTCTTTGTGTAAATGTCACACATTGAAACAAAAAAAAAAAGGATATAATGTCGGACTTACTTTGTCTTTGTCTTCAGAAGATTTTTATATAAAAACGATTTTCAAACATTCTGTAGAATTTTTTTCTGGTTTTCATTTTCTTTCTTTCTGACCAAGAACTAATTTGAGATTTTCGTTTAAAATTAATTTGGGTGTGCTGTGATTTATTTTTTTTAAGGTTACATTCCCAACCACAGACAGATTTGTACATAGTAAAGAAACAAGATAAAGAAAAACCACATCAACAGATCCTCGTTAACTATTGCATCCCACTGTGAACTACCATACACCAATCGTGCTCCCCCCTCCTCCCCTGTCCCCCACCTATCCTGCATTTTAGTATTTTCGATTTATCTTTTTTTTTTTCAATCACAAAACTAATAGAAAAAATATATAAACCTCGAGGGGATTATCGAAATTAAAAAAAAAAGATTTAATCATACAAAGCAAAGTAAGCAATCAAATAGAAAAAGTGATACATCTCATGGAACTGACTACTTGGGTATTATCACCTAATACAAACCAAACTACAGCTGGCAACACTCCTACACCTGGGAAATCACCGTATTATCCCCTGCAGGAGTATACCCCAACAGGAGGAGTTCAATCTAGCAATCCAGCCTCGGGCTCTGGTTCTAACTCCATGCAATTTGGACCACCATCTCAACAACCTACTCCACAAGCCATGCATCATGTGGCTACCCCACTGAACTTCACTGATAGTGAACAGATGTTCTTGCACCAATTTGAACAGAACTTGTATGAAGAGGCTCAGCAGCAAGGCCACCACCTATCAAATGGCGAATCTCCTAGAAACACCCCCGGTGCATATCCAGACAATATTCCACAAACACATCACCATCTGGGAAGCACACCGGGACATTCTCATCCTACTTCTATACCTATACCGCCACCGCAGTACGAGTTTGGCCTTGACCAAATGACATTTATCATCCCTGATGATATGTCATTTGACGATAACCACCATAGTAATCATATTCCACACCAAGGTTCCTCTTCTGCATACCCACCTCAACAACCACAACAGCCTACTCCTAGCATGATGCCAGCCAATAAGCGCGAAAGCGATAGCATGTTCTCGCCAGTATTGCCCGGTCAAAACGAAAGATCATACAATAACCAACATTACTTCCATCGACAAAACTCCTCAAATAAGATATTCACGCAATCGTCACAACCACAGCAACAACAGCATGTTAGACCAGATGCCGTCTTTACACCATTAGTGTCACCCGCCGGAACACCCTTGGAGAAACCATACCGGGCCCCAGTTCAAGTAACGTTCGAACCATTAACTTCTCCTGCACTTAATGCCCAGCCTTCATTCTCTACTACAAACTCAACTACTTCTACTGCGACGGCGGGCTCATCTACCACAGCAACATCTACCGGTACAACTGATAAGAGAAAGTACGAAGATTCAGGAAGTACCCTGACCTATAAAAGAAGAACTCCCCATGGTACTCCAATACTTGCTGCTAACAACAAATCGTCATATTCTCCACCAGCTTCAAAACCCCGTAATGGTATGTCTCTTCCTGAATCGGCCATCAAAGAAGAAACAAGCATGTTGCCGCCTGTAGGTGGTAAACCCATGCTCAATACCAATTCCTCATCCAACAGTCTCAACAATGGATCTGCTCCTTTAATGGGATTCACTATGGGAAGGCTAGCTGAAGAGCAAGGAAAGCCTCCGCAAACCACCCAACGTAGAACAAGTTCAATGTCAAGAAAGAGTTCCACCAGTTCTCTGGACTCCGCTCTGTCTTCCAAGAAAGAGAAACCTGCTACCAAGAAAGCCAGTCATAAGCTTGCTGAACAAGGAAGAAGAAATAGAATGAACATGGCAGTCCATGAATTAGGCAGCTTGATTCCTCAATCCTACCATGATGAGGTTTCCATTCCATCCAAGGCTACTACGGTTGAGTTGGCTTCCAAATACATAACGGCGTTGTTGAAGGAGCTCGAAGAGTTGAAGCAGAATAAATAGGGTTTGTGTAAATTAAACTTGCTTCTCCCCCACGTGTGTGGTAATTGCACATAATATATTATTAGTCATAATTGTATAGAGCATCAAAGGTTTATATAGTTCATTTCATTTCTACATTCCTCTTTAAAAATTAATTATAGATATGTGATTACCCAACCACCATTGAATTCAAGTAGTCCACCACACTTTCATTATGACACACGTGATTATATTGTACCGTCACAAGACCTTAATGCTCTTAGTTTCTTGGATCTAAGGCTATAGTTATATTATGTTAATTATTTCTGGTGATGAGTTGGCAGATTATTTTTGGCAGTATTTTCTAGTTTCCTGACCATGCAAGAAGTGTTGGAATTTAACTGCAAATGTTCAACTAACAATATATGAACCAATTGGTAAAAACCACCCTACAACTACATGCTCAATCAATAGAAGTCTTATATTTACTATTCTCCTTCTTGTCACTTTTTGATGATTAATGTATGTCGATATTGCCAATCGGAATTAGATTTGCAATGTGGTAGCTTTTTGCTGGCAGTGCAAGGAAATAGAAAGTGGATCACTAGCTCCGGCAAACAAAACAAAACAAAACAACCCTATTCTATGTGTCCTGTTGGTTACTAAATGCCCAGTAGATGCCATAATGAAAGTTAAGACAATTATTAAGATTTGATTACTTCTTATTGGTTGAAATATATCCTAAAAATGTGTATTATCTGATCTCAGAAAATCTTGCTCAATTATTGGACGAATGGCAAACAAAGTCGAATGAACAAATGTTGTTTCAAAATGTTTCCTTAGATTGATGATACTTATGCCTGCCGAAACATTTGATCTGTTTTAATGAGCCTGCATACTTGTAGGAGTGTGATATATACATTTTGATCATCATCTACACTCCCTGGATTGGCATGCAACACATTTATTCATCATATTGATTTAATTGATCCCAAATCATTCCCACTTCAAGGAATATATGGAACTTGATATCAGATTAAAGTACTTTGCTGATTGATGGGTTCTGAATTGGTTCGATTAAGTGGTCGGGGTATGAACCACGTGCTCATTATTAATTATACTTCACTACATTGATGTTGATTTAACTGATGTTTTAGCCCTATCCCCCCCTACCAAATATCTTATTTCTTTCTTTAACACTTTCCTTCTGCCATTCCCTACTAAATCATTCCATTTTGTCAATGAAGAGATAATTAATTCCATCGATCGGGAACTGTTAAATATGACAATAGTTTCGAACTTTAAGTCAAGATTTTAAAGATGCTTAAAGGTTGTGTTTAAGATTTACTTAGAATTACAAAGTGCAATGCATTTGTTTATGGTTCAAGGAAATGTTATCCATCTTACAGTCCAACATCACCTATAGTTATATCTAAAGCTTGAGATTAGATGAATTACATATAATTTTGGTTATAATTCAGATCACTTCATACTTGTTTCACGGCCAGTTCTAATATCTCATTAATAACTTCTTCAGCATTAGATTGATTTATTATACCTCATTCAGAGTATTTTAGCTTCTCTTTATCATGAGAACATAAGCAAACCCTCATGCTCTGCACCAATGTTCGATTGGCTTGATCTCCACATTATTGACCACCGCAATCGGGATTTCATCCTCTCCTATTCTAAATCGATAATGTAATATATCAAAGTAACTATTGACGACATTTCAAAGTCATTTCCACTCGTAATTCATATCGCGTAAAGCTTATTATTACTGCAAACTTCTCATGACCAAAACAAAAAAAAAAACATAGTGCATATGACAGTCATGTCGGGAAGTTACTATTATCGCGGACAAATATCCGACATATCCTACGACACCCCCTCAGAAGTTGGGTCATGTTTTCGATGACATAGGATCATTAACAAATTCACTGCAAAATATATCGCCCCACTTGATCAGGCAAGATATCCCGATTTGGGCGAGCTGGTGCAGACGGTCCAAACTTAACACAAAGCTATTGCCGCGAATGAGGCCATTGATTTCTTCTACATTTTAAAGAAAAAGGGTATATAGAGCTGGGTAAGTTTGTAGGGGAGGTTATCTAACAGTGTTTAAATTTGGGGGGGACTTCATCATTGGTGATGACCCATGCGCTGATGTGATTGGCTCTTTTCGTCACCTAATCTGCGCACATATTTTTTTAGCATGTAGTGGGTGATTTGATTGGATAGTTGGGAGTTGTAGACAGTGTTGATGGCTAGATAGTAGTTAATTTATTCGATTATGTATCTAATTAGGAATAATCTATCAATGGTCAACTGGACCTTTTTCTTCCTTTAATTTGTGGAGCTTCAGATGATCAACATAAGATTTTATATCTAAGCTCTGGGTATAAAGTCAGGAACTAATCAATCTCACAATGGTAGACAAAACAGCAATCTCGTTTGATAAAGATGTAAAAGGTCCATATCTTACAGCTTTGGGTTTATCAACTCTGGTTTGTGTTGGGAATTTGAAATTTTCAATTCTTTAGAAAGTCGTTCTTCGTCTTTATTGGTTTCATGGATTCTCATTTGACTAACCAGTCTTCTTTACTCTAATGGGATAGCTAAAAACATAACTATACCTTTGTCTTTTTATTTATTCCTAGAAAAGAATGATCCTAAGGTAATAGTCACCATGAAAGCACTCCAGCACATACTATGTGATCTGGTGTCTTTTCAGTTCAAGCTTAAGCGAATAAGTTCTAAATTTGGCACTAGAATGGACTTTAAAGGATATAGGTGGATTAAATACAGACACATAACCACCTTCTGTGGAAATTAACTAGGGTCAACTGATTTCTTGTGGTGACAGAATGGACAACATTTTAGAGCAGCAAAATTTTCAAAAGTTTGCTAGAATCAATATTGAATCCATTTCTGTTAGAACCTCTTTCTTAAGCAGAATTCACTGTAAATTGGGATAAGGCTTCAATAACTAGCTATTAGTAAGGGGAGTTCTAGTGTAGTCAATATCTGTGTACCCAATCACACGATTGTTCGATCTTGTGATGAGATCTACTTTCATTTATTCCTAGGTTGCTTCATCTTGATTTCTTTGACTAAATGTATTATAATAATAGTATGCTAGGTCAAGAGCTCTGGGAAACAGTTATGGAAGAACTGAAGAGTTCATATAATGCTTGTGTATGATTCTAATTTCCCCACGTGTAGATGCCGTGCATCAAGTTAATTAACGATTGTATGCATGTAAATGCCTTACAAATTCTTTAATATCTTCAGAAGTGACCTACACAAAGTTCGTAGAACACACACTTGTTGCCTCATGGTTTGGTTTCAGGGAAGATTAACAATGAGGTTTGTGTCATCATTACTTAAGCAAACAATAGAATCCTGCAAATGATAAATCAGTTACCGCGGGCAATACATGCTTTTAATTGTGTTGATTTCACCTTGGTTCTCCTGCGATTCTTCCTAGAGATTTGAAGCAAGTTATACATCAAGAACTAAAGACATAAATATCAAAAGAGAGATTCTTAATTAGTAATCAAAGATATTTGCTTTCAAGATTTATGTTCTTTCTCTCCAAAGTTCGATATTCACATTCATTAAAAAGGCAATGATATCATCAAGATATTAGAGACACAACATATCAATTTCAGAATTTAATTAAAGAAAAAGGAACTAAAGGTACTTATAAGTTTCATCCATCACATAGAAATGAAGAGACCTTTTAGATCAATCCAAATTGAGCTACCTGTATGTTTTGAATAGGGGGGGATGATCCAACTTCAAGATCTACAGGACTGAATGATTACTCTTGTACAGGAAAAATACCTAGACAGTTGGGTTTATCATTTTGAATCAAATCTAGAGGAACTTTTAGGAAAGTAAAGTGTTGTTTTGTCAAGATCAAGTGATTGTATTTAACTATGTTATTAATTTCCTATTATATATCCCATAAAGATGAATCGATTTACCAGGCAAGTATCTGCACTTACTGATCAATATGTCAAATAAAACCCAATCTAACATAGTCAAGAGGACCAGAACAACTTGTAATATTAGATAATTGAACCAAAAGAATCTTTTGAGAGATGTGACAAGCCAAGAATAGGATATGCTTTGCACCCAAGTCTAGAATTCATAATATATTCCTTAACTTTAAGATATTGCTCAATGAAAGATCAGCGGTACATATTATAGTTCAAATACGTGAGTATGTTTTGAAATTCCCCCAAACAACTACTGCAATTATAGAACAAGAGGACAAAATGACTGCAATTTTTGCTGATCTAATCGTTGTATTTGAAAAGTAGAATTCACATGGAAAATTAGTTGGCAATGTACAATTCTGCTTAATATTGCATTAAATTGCATTGAATTGAGATGAAAAAAAAAATTGGCAAAATGAAGTGAAGCATAACTGATGTTATGACATCATATCCCGTATGTGGGATTGCGTTTTCCTTTCTTTAACTAAGACCATTAGCAAAGTAAATAGACTCCGGTAGTGATTAGTACCAAATATGACTTATGCTATTATAAACTTCGATATCTTTCAAGAATCTTCTAATTAATTTACCATTTTCCCTCTTCTAAAGTTAGCACATAGTCATTTTAAGTGCTCGTACAAGCAATTAGGCACACAGAAAGTGAAACATGGATAGACGGATCATACTTTGCAACCATGTCACACTCAGCCTCCTTGGGTAAGCCAATCGTATCAGACAACTCATTAATATCTATTTCTGCAACTTCATGGACTTGACTTTAGATTCTGACATATATCTCAAGAAAGTAAGTGGGCAGAATGCAAATAGATAACTCCTTAGACTTCGTGTTGGGGTAAAAAAACATATGTCACGTGCTCATTTTCAAATGAGTTGTCCTTTTGATTTTGTGCATTGCCACGACCATAGTTGTAGGACGAAAATTTCCAAATCAACAAAAAAATGTGCTGCTAGTTGGAAACATAAATAATAAAAGTCCAAACACGTCACGCAATTCAAGCAGTAGTATATCGCCACGATGAACTTTGAAGACGCTGAAGAATTAAACGGGGTTCGTTTCGCGTGGAACACAATTCCATCCACTAAACTTGAAGCTGGAAAGATTGTGGTTCCAACCGGGGCCCTTTATACCCCATTGAAAGAAAGAGAAGACTTGCCAATTGCAGCCTACGACCCAATGTTTTGTTCTAATCAAACCTGTAAAGCCATTCTTAACCCATATTGTTCATTTGAACCTTCATTCTGGGGATGTCCAATTTGTGGTTACAGAAATCCTTTACCGGTCCACTACCAAGGTTTGACTCCGGAAAATTTACCATTGGAAATACAAGCAAATAGCTCTACTATTGAATATATTACAGCTCGTCCTGTGCCTAACCCACCTATTTTCTTTTTTGTTGTTGATTTGTGCCAGGATGCAGACAATTTGAAGGCATTGAAGGAAGCTTTGGTTATTTCTTTGAATTTATTACCAGTCAATGCCTTGATTGGTTTGATCACTTATGGAACCATGGTTCAAGTTCATGATTTAGGTTCAGAAAAGATCAATAAATCCTATATTTTCCGTGGAGATAAAGAATATACTGATAAGCAAATTAGTGAAATGTTGAATCGTCCATTGGCACCATCTCCTGCAGGACAACAACCTCAATTTGCCAACTCATTAACTCGCTTCTTCCTTCCTGCTGAAGAAGTTGAGTTCCAATTAACATCTCTTTTGGAAAATTTGAATGGAGACCCATGGCCTGTGGCTAATGGTGACAGGGCTTTGAGATGTACTGGTAGTGCATTGAATGTTGCTTCCAACTTACTTGGTCTCACATATGCTGGATTTGGTGCCAGAATTATGTTATTTACTGCTGGTCCATGTACCTTGAGCCCAGGTTTGATTGTTGGTCCTCAATTAAAGGAGCCAATTAGATCCCACTCTGACATTGATAAGGACAATGCCAAGCATTTCAAGAAGGCAACCAAGTTTTATGATTCCCTTGCTGCTAGAGCAGTTAAGAATGCCCATACTGTTGATATTTTTGCTGGATGTTATGATCAAATTGGTATGTTGGAAATGAAGAATCTATGTAATTTAACAGGAGGATCCTTGTTGTTGACTGATTCCTTCACCACGGCTATTTTTAAACAATCATTCCTTCGTTTATTTAATAAGGATAGTCAAGGATTTCTTAATATGGGTTTCAATGGTACTCTTGATATCAAGACATCCAGAGAATTGAAGGTTAGTGGTGTTATAGGTCATGCCTCATCTTTGAATGTCAAGAGTGCTAACGTTTCTGAAAATGAATTAGGTTTGGGTGGATCTTCACAATTCAGATTATGTGCTCTTTCCCCTAGGCATACATATGGGGTATTTTTTGATGTGGTTAATACTGCTCAATTGCCTCAAAATTCACAAAGTTATATTCAATTTATTACTCATTACCAACATTGTTCGGGAAGTTACAGAATCAGAGTTACTACCATTTCTAATTTCTTGACCAGTGATGAACAAACATTGACTAATTCATTTGATCAAGAAGCTGCTGCCGTATTGATGGCACGTGTTACTCTTTTCAAGGCTGAACAAGATGATGGGGCTGACGTTTTACGATGGGTCGATAGAATGTTGATTAGATTGTGTCAAAAATTTGCTGATTACAGAAAAGATCAAGAAGAATCTTTCAGATTAGGTCCACAATTCACATTGTACCCACAATTTATATATTACTTAAGAAGATCTCAGTTCTTGCAAGTGTTCAATAACTCGCCGGATGAAACTGCCTTTTACAGACATGTATTGATGACTGAAGATTGCAACAACTCGTTAATTATGATACAACCTACATTAACTGCCTTCTCCTTGGATAGTGAACCAGAAGCTGTGTTATTGGACTCGGTATCCATTAGAGACGACCGTATTTTGTTATTGGATACATTCTTCCATATCTTAATTTTCCATGGTAGGACAATTGCCCAATGGAGAAGAGCAGGATACCAAGATCAACCAGAATATGAGAATTTCAAAGAATTGTTGCAAGAACCAAAGGTTGAAGCTGCTGAATTGTTGGTTGACAGATACCCATTGCCTAGATTCGTTGATACTGAAGAAGGTGGATCACAAGCGAGATTCTTGTATTCAAAGTTGAATCCATCCGTTACTTATAACAGTTCTGAATTTGTCAGTAATAGCGGTGCTATAGTTTTGACAGACGATGTCTCATTACAAGTGTTTATGAGCCACTTACAAAAGTTAGTTGTTTCAGGTTCTACCTAATTCTAGAAATAAAATTTTTGATATTTTTTAAGAGAATAGATTGCTGTAGAAGCTTGTTTATAGAACTTTGGAACGAATACCGCATGTAGAAGGTCTAAGATTGCGAACCCCACACAAGAATATTAGACCATCATTGTCTTTTGTCAATACAAATAGGAAAATACATCTGTGATGGCTTTTTTGACGAATCAGATAAAATGACTTGAGATTAAACTTCCGCCTATCCAGAGTGAGGGGGTGTCCAATATAGGTCGATACGGATTCAGTTTGCAAAAAAAAAAAAAGGAGTTTAGAGCCGGAACCAAAAAAAAAAAAAAAAATGAATTCGGATTTAGGAACTCCGAACTTTAACAAACAGGGTCCCACTTCGTTGGACTATTGTAATATCAAACCCGTAAGTAAGAGTAAAATGTGAAAACATGTGATTGCTCCCTATCTTTAGTTTGCTTTAGTTTTTTGAGATCTATTTTATGATCAGATTGAATTTGAAATGTGGAGAATCTAACAATAGAGAGTTCAGGCTCTGATCGTTTTCATTTAAGTTTTAACGCAAGAGATAATATGTCATATTTACCTTATGTCAGCCACTTCTACATTCCAGCCACTTGGTCACATCCATCTTTATCAATATCATATCATTGACGGAGCGGAAACTTTTTATTCGGATCGACTTGTGCGTTAGATTTTACCCCGGATTAGGAAACTTTATTCGTAGTCACAATAATTTTTTTTTGGGGTTCTAAACGCCGAAGCCAAGCTTAAAAAAGTGCATCGATCTTATAGTGCATGAGGTTTTTGGTCTTAGATGATCCCCTCTTATTCACATTATAGTTCATACGGCACAGACATTGAATCCGGTAATCCTTTTATTCTTGCTACTTGAAATACTTTGTTGGACCCGGCCATAGTTTCCTTTCCCAAGCTATAAACGAAACTAACGAAATTTCAAAATATTTTTTGTTTATCACACCCACTCATGCCATTGTTGAGGCTCAGCCAGATTTATTATTAAACCTATTCTTTTTTTCTGTTCCTTTGTTAAATTGGGCAGAATAAGACCACAGGCGGAGCACACATTAATTCTTCGAAACGAGGCTTTTGAAAAGTTTCCATCTATTTATATCCTTAGACTTTGGCTAAAATCAGGCAAATATTATGCAGAATACGACAGTAGCAAAAGAAATGGATATGCTGCTAACTATCGCCACGACAGAAAAGAAAAGTGTCAGAGACAAACGTACCCAACTTCAGATATTAGATGGTGGAATCATTAAAAAAGTTCAAAAAGCAAGACAACGTAAGATATTAAGTTGTGTTTATTGTCATTCTAAAAAAATCAAGTGTTCACGTACCCATCCTATTTGTACTGTATGTGAAAAATTAAACATTGAATGTAAGTATTTTATCAATGAACGAGTGAGTCGAGGTGGGAAGGTCACCGCGCGCTTGAGTGCTCAAGAACGGAAAACCAGAGGTCTTGACAAAGAAGCAACTCCTAGATCTGTTTCTGAACTGGATGGTTTGGATATAATTTCCGATATTCCTGGGTCTTTAAGTTCTAGTGAATTGTCTCAATCTCCAGAAAATGATGATCCAATGGACTATTCAATACAAATGACTAGGAGTGCTCCCAGCTCCATTACCAGTGGAACAACACTCAGTGACTCTGAATATAAGGATAGGTCTAATGATGAATCAAAAGAAGTAGTATCAGAAATGGCTTTAAGCTATTTGAATTGCTGCACAACCACAAAAGAACAACAACAACTTTTGAAATCCATGCCCGCTGATGATCAGCTTGCTAAAGATAGCCCTATTTCTTTTGAAACTCCAGAATCTCCTGCGGATATCTTTAATCGTGGATTCATGAGCCAGAAGGTAATTCAAACTCCAATATTCAATACTGTGTCCAATAATATCACCAATAGTTTCTTCAAAAATAATTTTACAGTCAATTCGCAACCGCAACAGAAAAATGGTGTTGCTGAGGTTGCCCCTCCTGGTTATTCTTTAAATGCCTTGAGAAAGAACTTTGATGATTCATATTCGTTTAATTTAAGCTCATTTACTTTTGTTAATCAGGATAATGCAAAGAGTTCTTCTGAAACTATTTCAAATGTTTCAGGTGTGATTGTCAACGATCAATCAGCTGTTCAGGCAACACCTGCAGCAACTTCCAAGCATGTTTCCACAAGTAGCAACCAATTAAGCAACCCCGGATTAAATAATTCACTTAATGCATATCCATCAAACCCAGCAACGACCGTTAACTATCTTTATGGTACCAACACATATTATGAAAATGATTACTTGTTGGAAGACTTGGCAAAACATCTTCCTGAACAACGCCGGTCATACGAGTTAATTGACAGATATATTAATTCAGTTCACTTATTATTACCCATAATCGTTAATCTTGATGATTTCCTCAATGAACATAAGCTGTACTGGGAAATTTCCGCTGGTATGGAAAATTCCTCAGCTCACAGCTCCCAACACAATGATTATGATTTCAATTACCTTCAATTCTACACTCTTTATTTCCCCATTTTATACGCAGCTACCATTTCCGAATTTGAAGAATATGATAATTTATTGTTGAATCAAGATATCGATAGATATTTACGGGGATTCAATAAAATTTGCCAGTATTATAATTATCCTCATGGTATTAAAATTATTCCTTTGTTATTAGGTAATGTTATAATCCAATCAACATCCCCAAATCCTTCCACCATGGAAATGTCCCAAATTATAAGATATGCTAAATTCCTTCAATTTCACAAAGATCCAGTCATCACATTACGAATTAGTGATTGGGAAGTGGTTAAATTCAGAAGATTACTTTGGTGGGTTATTTTTGGATTAGATGCTTTGACAGCGCATAATTTCTGCTTGCCGCCCGTATGTACATATAATGATTTCAATGTGGTTATGCCTGAAGAAGAAGAACCAATATTTGACCATGGAGTGGTGCGGGAACGTAAATTGAATGTTAGTGTGTTGTCTTTGAATATCAAGTTCAACTACGACAGAATCTTGAGTACTTTGGTGTATCTCTTACATAATGGATTGTCTTCTAATATTACTCAAGCACAAATCACAGAAATTTCAGATATGATCATCCAATATTATATGTATATTCACAACTCCATGAATAAAATGAATGAATTTTACAAGGCCAATCCTCCAACCACTGTTCAAGAAATGAATTTAATTAATTTTATCAAGAATCACTCATTTAGTTTTGTGGATAGAGCCATGATGTTGCTTCACAAGAAGATTTTATTTGGTGATGATACACTGAATGAAGTATCAGCGAAGCAAAGTAAACAAGGCTTCGAGTTGAATGTGGATAAGAACCGAGGTGGTGTACTTTCCTTGAGTCAATATGAAGACACGTTTGGCCATATTCAAGAAGCTAATATCATCAAAAATTTCAATAATTCTTCTATTTCATTATTGAAATTCAACCCTAGTGAAGACTTCTCATATGGTAATATGCACAACAATTTAATTCCTTCTATTCTTCATAATTTGAATGATTTCCTCAAGTATAATGATTTCATTAAATTTGGGAAGTATAATTGGTATATTAAACGTACAATACCTTTGGATTCCATCATTTTGATGTTCATTATAATCACGGTTAAGTTCAAGTATGAGTTCTTCACCATAAATGAGTTGTGCATCTATGTGAAGTTGATCAATAAGGCACTCTTTATTTTGAATAGAAAATGGTTCAAGAATGAAAAGTATAAAAGAATGCTATCATTAACTAATCTTACCTGGGAATATATTTTGAAGAGATATAATATAGTACAATTGATCAATCAATTCAATGATGAAATGCCAAATAACCGTATTGAATTCTTTGACTACCAAGTTAAAGCTATGGTGAATATGAACGAATTGTTTGATGTGATGGATGTTCCTCAACCAATTGATTTCCCCTATAAATTAGATGCTCATGGCAAGATGCCTTCCAAGAGAAGCCATTCTTTAGGATCGAGGGTAAATAATGTCTCTGTAAATTCTCTTGTGTTGAACCCTGAATCAAAATTGGAATTGGCCCAATTAAATGAAAAGATTTACTATGATTTAAGGAATAATTTTGTGGATGTTAATGATTATTGTGCTTTTTATACTAGTTTGGAAAATATTTTGCATGAGTTGATGGATTTTATGAATCAACAAAGATTAGAGTAGCTTTGTATTTATTTAGTAATGACTTTACGATATAATGTATTTGTGTAGAATTTTAATTTTTTTTTTTGCACACAATATTTTTTTTTTTCGCAGCTATAAACTAAGCCTTGCAACAAGGCTGAATACCATTTTAAATGTAACGTTTCGTGTCTATTAAGTACATGCAAAAAAAAAAAAAAACTTGAACTATTAAGCTTCTATAATTAAAAATCTATATAAATATCCCCTCAAATCAACCTTCTGATGACATTAGTCCATCTAAGACCATGTTTGTAATTGTTCGTAGAAATCTACTCTGTGAGTAGTATCTTGCAAGTGATGCGTAACTGCATATCTTAAATCATCAACCATGACTGGGTGACCACAGGTAACGAAAGCCAATGAACCATTAGCTTGTTTGATTTCTTCTTCAACATGTGCATCCATTGAAGGTCTACCTTCAACAAAAGTGACATGGCTTAATTCTTGTCTCAACGAGGACATAGTAGATGCTGGATATGAAACAACGGATACATCGGAAGACTTTTCAGCTTCAGATTTTTCCTTTTCCTTTTCTGATCTTCCCTTCAAAATATGCTCGACTCCTTCAGTAATATCAGGTCTAGTAACATAAATTGTGGTTTGAACCTTGGTGTTTTCCAACTTCTTCAATTCATCAATAAACCAACTTAAAGACTTCCAGTGACGAATAACCCAAATTAACTTGATAGACTGAGAAGAACTTGAATTTTGAGCAACATCGAGACATTCAGAGTAGATACCTGGGATACCGTTACCACCAGCAACATAAACCACATTCTTGGCTCTACGACCATCACTTGGTTTACCATATGGACCTTCAATCATAACATTGACGGTAGTAGTCAAACCATTACACTTGCTCAACTTCTTGTACAACTTCTTGGTAATACCATTCTTAACCTTAGTGTAGAACACAATCTTACCTTCTGATTCGTGGGATGTGGTGAATGTAAATGGATGTTGTTGCCAGAAACAAGATGGAAGCAAAAATGTAACAAAAGAATGACCACCTGGGATACTTTTCCAATAACTTGGTTTAGGAACAATAATTTTCAAGGTTTCATTAGCCAATAAAGTGATTTCAGCCTTTTGAACACCAAATGAAGCAAGTCTGCATAATCTGATAAACTTATCAAACGCCCATACTGCAACTGCGGCATACATAAACTCGGCATAACCTTGGTCTGTTAAATGGTACCAAGCACCGATAGAAAAGAAGACGGCAAGCAAGATGTGAATCACAAGGAAAACTTCGTAACACTTTCTTCTAAAGAAAAGCAATGATTGAACAATGGTAAAACCAGCACAGATACAAGCAACCACACCCCATTGCATGAAAGCTTGAGACATACGAGTTGAATATCTACCAGCAGCTAAATCAGAAGCGGAAAAACTAATACCGTGAACCATAATCAAGATTGCAGCAACACGAGAAATCCATCTGTGGTACATAATACAAGTTCCAAACTTCCATCCAGTAATCCATTGCAAGAAGTTGTTACGGCCACCAAATAAGAATAACAAAGGAACAAGGAAACAAGCCATAATACCAGTTCTATCAGCAACAAGATGTCCCATTTCAACTTGTCTAATTGGATTAAGTGGGTTGTTTTCAACATGTTTGATATCAATACCAGCTAATAATGCAGCTAAAAATACAAATGCAAAAACGTAAAAACTTTCAAGTCTAGCAGGAATCAAACCAGCAATTGGACCAAAGTGGTACAGGTTTGTCTTTTTTTTATGGAAAGTGGCTGGCATGGTGATATACTTTCTGTAAAGGGTAGGGATAGTTCCTGACAAAGCACTTGGGAACAACTTGGTGAAGAAGTTTGAAACAGTAGCAATGACGATAACAATACCCCAATAACCAATTAATGCAGCACCATGGGTTAAACCAAGGTTATAGTTGTTGTAAGTCATTTCATATGCTTCCCTGTAAGGAGTAAATTTGGAGTAGTCAAGTGCTAATGGAACCTTTGAAAGTTCTACCGCAGCTTGGTCTCCTTTACCTCCTCCACCTTTACCGCCTTTACCACCTTTACCACCTTTACCCCCTTTACCACCTTTGCCTCCATCTCCTCCCATACCTTGAGCCATTGGTTTGGGCATTTCAAATTTCTTAAGCTTCATGCTATCATATTTGGTGTAAAATTTATCCACAGTGGAGTTACACAGTTTTGCAAATGATTTAATAAGACTTGTGTCATTGCTATAACCCTTGACAAAACAGTCAGCAAGAGTACCAAACCCAGGATCACTGTTACAATAACAGTCCATATCTTTATTGGTCTTTTTTCCAGCTTGACATACTGCCATGTTAACAGTAAAGTACCCTTCACATGCCATCAAGGCAAGGTCTAATTCTGAATAGGTCTTCACTGCGCTTACCAAAGCAGATGATGTGATCAAAAGCAGTATCAATGTACTCACTTTCATTGTTATTGTAGAGGATAGTATAGAGAGTAAGAAAGAAAAATAAAAAAAAAAAAGAGGTTGCAAATTCCTGAAAAGTTTTCGGGGCTCACTCGTATATATAGTAATTGTCTACCATTCTTAATCCCGGGGAGCTAGATGAGAACAAGATCGATGACTAGCCAATCAACAATAAGGGAAGGGGCGAAGTGTGAGGGATGGTATTTATCAGATGGCCAACAATATGGAGCTAAATTTGGTTTTGTGTTATGAACGGCAAATGTTTCATCTCCTGTATTGTTTCAGGAAATAATATTGAACAAAGAAACAAAATTTGTCACCATTAGTAATCTGATTTTGTGATAACACAATCAACCCTAAGTCTCCAGGATAAATACGACTAACAAGGCTTAGATTGAATATCAAGTTCAGAAAAATGTAACTAAAATTCAATCAAGTGTTATGATATTGCTTTGAGAATTATTCTCCACCGGTTATCACATACTTGATTTAAAATTTAGAAACTTGGATTACATATTATCAGGTGTACACATGCATGAAAATGGTGCAAAATTGACAGATTATTGTTTTAGTCAGGCGGAAGGGATGGTATTAAACGAGAATTACAACAATAGTTTTTTCTCAGCATAAAATATTTAAATATCCGGACCCATATTTTTTTTTACTCAAAAAAAGAACGATGTACGATTTCCAACCAGTCATCAAAGCTTTAATATCATTCTCTCTTAAAGTTGGCTATTTTAGATTCCGTCTAGAATGTACAATTATAATTCTTGCTAGTTCTGGAATTCTAAACTTAAAATATGCGGATTATCGGATTCAATTTGTAACAATACCTAAACGATGGCTAACAATTTGTCATGAATGTGCCGATTCCGGTGATTCAACCTTCACATGACAACTTGTAACTTGGTTTTGGAATGCCGATGCCGTGACTTCAACCTAATTGCGTTGCTAGTTACCTTTGTTCAGAAAAGTTTTTTTTTATCTGATCGATCTAAGATCAAAATATTTTATTTTTTTCATGCATAATTTCAGGATTGTTCTAAATTAAAAATTATTGGCCGTTTGAATTACAAACACGAATTTCAAATCTATTCCATATTGTGTTAATTATCATCTTTAATTCCCTCATTAAGTAAGGAGAACCAAAAGGAAAACCCTTTTTGTACCTTTTGTGTAATGAAAAAAATTTTTATCTTTTTGATCAACGGCAATTAAGATTTTTCTTGTCCACGTCAAAATGTGTGTCTTGGCCAAACTAAAACTAAAGTACCCCTGAATTAAACCAATTAGGAGCCGTGCATTCATATCTCACATTGATGTTGCTACACGGCGAAACATATTATTGTACCTTCAACTAGATGCTATAGGTTATACTAGCACGTCTGAGGAAATCCCGAACCCGGACTAGAGATGTAGGTACAATAGTCACATAAAAAATAAATTGGTTATTTAGTGTCTTGATTTACTCCATTGTAATTGAAAAACAATTTTTTTAGAAGGAGGTGAATTCTGACCGATGTTTTCTGCAAAGCCCTTTCAATTTGCCAAAAAATAACGCCGAGTATTTTTCAACGCCCTATCATTTGGGAAAATAACGGGTCGGAATAGCCAGCCTTTAGGAGGTGTTCCTTTTCCAACATTTTATTCAATGGTGATTCATAAAATAATAATTAGATATTTTAATATTAGGTTTTGTAATTGTAAGGCGGTTTCTTTTTAGGCTTAGAACTAGAGTGAATCTGGGCATTGACCTTGCAAAGCCTCTTAATCTGATATAAATTTGAAAGTAGGCATTATAACTTCAATCAAGAATGTACCCAATTAAAACCTGAAATGTGGGTCATTTCCCTTTCGGTTATCTTATTAATTGTGTCCGCGGAATTGTTTAGAGAATTTCATTGGTAAATCCCACGTTCAATAGCAACACTTTGGTGCTCCGTAAAAAAACAATACCCCTAATTATTTTAAATGAGAATTCACGAACAACAATGAATGCTCTTATCAAGCCCCCCTTTACTCGTTCTTTACATGTACAACTCCTTGAATTTGGAATTGCCACATATCGCCCATATGACCAAAAATTTAATTGAATATCTTGCCCTTTGTAGGTGAAGACCTGTATTTACAACGAATAACAAACATATTGGCAAATGAGTTAAAATGGAACCTATATCATATAAAGAAGAGAACGAATTCAAAAGTAAATAAGACTTGCCTCTGGTAGTTGAAGGTAAACAAATCCTACTTTTATCAAGAATTATTTTCACAGAGAATTGATTGAAGTAGATGAATCTGATTTGTTGTTTATCCAGATTGGTAATGTAGATATAGGTTTCGATTCGTTCCATGTAGGTATAACTAATGAATTTAACAACTGATATTTACTGAAAATTACTTCTGAAACTTTGAGTATGAAGAAACGGGCAAAGAAAATTGAATTACAATCACATATACAAAAACCTGTACCAGATTTAGACCATTCATTGGTGTTTTATGCCAGTGTAGTCGACAGGGTAGCCAGAAGTATTTCTATTGAGAATTCTGTTAAATTTAAAGATTCTCAGGAGTATAGTCAAGGGTATTCTTATGTTTTAGGGGGTATATGAGAACAACTATGCCGATGAGACAGAACAAGGCTTAATCACGAAAGTTACTGAAACATATGATAGTCTGACCACTTAAAAATCTAGTACAGTAACTGTAATTTGGACGGTTTCAATTTTTGTGACTGCTCCTTCTTCTCCTGTTACAACAATCGCGACATACATTGGGGAGTATCACTACTTCAATAAGTACGCATCACCCTGCTCTTAAAAAGGCCCCCCCCCCCAACTTATTTATTTTAGCCAATTCATTCGACAGTTACGACAACAACCTATTCGACTAGAGCTACCACAACTATCATAAGAGAAAGTTGGGTTACTGAAACAATTTGTGCTTGAACACCTTGTGCAACATCAAAGACAGAAACTACTACAACAACTTCTATTAAGCAAACAGCTGAACAGCACGTGAAAACAGTTGTCGTGCTAGTTCCCATTCCCATTCCCACCATCGCCACAACTACTACATATTTCGGAATTTCTGCTAGGATATCCAAAGATATCTTCTCGTTTACTGTCATGATTTGTTGGAGAAATTGGAACCAATTCAAGTCTCTAGCAGGATTTCATTTTTGCAATTTGCACCTCCAGGGATTTCAGTTCTACATCTTTCAGCACATAGCAAAATGTATTTCCTTACATTCCGTATTTTTCCACTAATGCAAAAGATGTTCTATTTGAGTATTATACATTCAAATATACAATCTATAAAGCAACGATAGTAATATATATACATTCATCCACCCTCATCTATCTGGCTTTCTCCTTTAATGGTGCTTTTTCAATGGTTCAACAACCAACTTATCAAAGGTATACATTTGAGAAATGGTGGTTTGTCTATGTAAAAGAGCCAAACTGTCTATTCCTTTGTTGTAAAATTCATCAATGGCCTTTGGATCTGAGAGGCCCTTGTTGTCTTTGAATGCATCATGGATTCTTCTCTTGGAATATTCTCTGAAATTATAGTTGTCAAACTTGTAAGCTTTTTCTAATAATTGCTTATATAAGCCTAAAACTTGCTTTGAGTTGGCCATTCTGTTGTCTTTTACCCTTTCTGGTTTGAATGTATTGAGTGATGGCAATCCCCGAACTTACAAATCCTTTTTCGGATGTCGGTAAAAGCAATTTTCCGATTGTGCGATGCACGTCCTTTTTTTTTTTGCAATAAGGTTATTACTCTATTAAATAAACAAAAAAAACTATACACTTGGATATTATGTTAGCTTGATTCTTCTTGAGAGGAATCCATTCTCTTCATGTACTCTTCTATATCCTTTTCGCTTACCTTGGATCTCTTCTTCTTTGACTTTTTAGCCTTGGCTTCAGCCATCATTTCTTCAAAGATCCTGGCTTCTTCCTCTTCTTCTGGACTTCTTTGTACTTGTAACAATTCCTTACCGATGAATAAGACGGCATTAGCGCGAGATACCTTTTCCTTTTTAGATATAGACTTATCACTCAATACCTTGTGACAAACCTTGGTCAAAACATCAGTCACTTCAAACTTGGTAGATGCCCAAGCGGTAGCCAAGAACTTTCCAGTAATTATTCTTTCCATTTCTGCTTGTTCATACAATTCCTCCTGGCTAGCTTCATACCCCATTGCTTGGGCAGCAGCAAGCTGTTCTTGACGTTCAAGCATCTCTACTGCTGATTGTTGGGCATCCATTGCTGTCAGTAAGATATTGTACCCATTCTTTATTGTCTCGGTTTTATTTTTGACAGAACTAAATATCTTGGAAACACCGAGGGTTTTAGTGGAACGTATAGTAGCATGTGCCTTATCAGTATAGATTTTCCCAATCAAATGTAACAATTGAATACCAAAACTTTCAATCTTTAAATCTTCAAATTCAGTTCTCAATTTGCTGGTGAATTGTTTCAAGGCATCAGCGTTTCCAACGGCACTTTGGTAGCTCTCTATACGAGATAACAAATTTTTAGCAAGTTCGTCCACACGTTTCTGCTTGGCAATCTTAGATTCTTCATACATTTTCATCACTTCTTCACGTTGCTCCTTGGTCATCTTCTTTTTCTTGGCCTTTTTGATGGTATCTGAAGTTATTGGTTCATTAACCTTGTTTTCAGAAACACTGGGTGTAGACACAGTACCATCAGCATTTGATGTAGCTACAGTTTGCTCATTAGCTGTGCTATCGGTCTTGCTTGTTTCCTCATCATTTTCTTCCAACACTTCAGCAGTCTTTGAAATTTCCAGCAACATCGATAATTCCCCAATCCAATCTTTAAACGCTTCTCCTCCAAACACCATAGTAAAGAATTCCGAAGGATCAAACTCGGCTGCTTCTCCAGCAGCTGCCTTCTCTTTCATTCCCTCAACTCCAAACTCATCATACACGGCTCTGGTGTCTGGATCCTTCAATATTCCATATGCTTCGCCCAATTCTTGAAACTTTTCGGCTGCATTGGGATCATTGGCGTTCTTATCAGGGTGCAATTTGATTGCTTGTTTTCGGTATGCTTTTTTCAATTCCAAGTCATTGGCAGTAGGCTCGACACCCAAGATGTCGTAATACACAGTATCTTTCACCATGATTACAGCTTGATAGTTATGGTTGTCTGGTAAATCCGGTTCATTCCTTTCAAAACGATGCCCGCGTTTCGGTTCTTTTTTTTTTACCCAAGGAAGGCAATGCGGAAATTTACAGTTTGGCCCGATCCGAGATATGCAGATTATAACAGCGGCTTTTACGAAACAGACAGACTTATCTATGCATGAGCATGTATTAACTCTAAAAGGAAAATGTGACGCTATTTACTTCAGGCACAACTAACAAGGTTTCTAACCCGTTCTTGAAATCTACTTCTAAAGATGCGTGTTCGGCCAGGTCATTGTGTTCCGGGTTTAAAAACTTCACAAACACCTTCGGCAATAAAATCTTGCCTACATTCAATGGAATCAAAAGGAGTTCCGTCTGTAATGAATTTTCATTTGTGAATGAGTGTTTCTTGTACCCTGAAACTAACCAATTATCGTCGTTTTGAACAAGTGCTTGGAATTCGTCGGAAGGTAAGGATTTACTTGGAACTTCGGCTGACCATTTGCTAATAGTAGTGACCTTCAATGTAACTGCGATAGCTTCACCCACTACGTACTGGGACTTTCTCTCAAACTCGTATTCAACAATTTGCAAGTACTTTATGATCGGGATAGGCACAGATATGTTCAATTCAATTACTTTACGTGTGGTTGTGCCTGAGTGTGTGCTAGTCAACCTATCTTGAACTAATTGCAATAGCTCCTTTCTGTCAGCCGGTTCTTCAACATACTCAGCCAATACTTTCTCAGCAAGTATATTCAACTCGTTTTGGTTATAAACTTCTATAGTATCATCAAGAGCATACTTATTCAAATCAAATCGAGCTTGGGAAAATATCAATGACTTCAACATAAACCAATATCTCACCAAGTTGATTTCTCTCAACTTGTTAACAACTCCATCAAAAAGATGCAGTTCACATTCTTCTTGTAAATTAGTATACCAAATCGATAAATCCACTGTATCTTCACTTGTAATCATATAGTTCTCCTTTGGGGTGATTCTAAAGAATATACATGTAGGTTGTTCCCCAAAAGCTACAAGTTCTCGAGAATTAGGTTTTGACGTAGCAATGATGTAATTCTCGTTTGTTGTAGTGAGTTGGTTCCGTAATACTCTTATGGGGTATTCTGGATTAGAAGTACCGATTTGGAATTTCGAGTAGATGAAATCTTGCTTGAATATATCATAGACGGAAACGGAGATGGTTAACGCTGTGTCGATGTTGTAAGATACCTCGTGGATATACGTAGAACCCTCTACCTCATAAATAATTCTTGATTTCATGTTTATTACCTTGTTTTGACTCAAGTAACTATATGGAATAACAACCCCTTCAGTTTTCCTTGCATCAAGTTTGTCAATATTAAAAGTAGGCTGGGTGATTTTCAATCCTTCCGTAGTTGAAAACATCTTGATCTTCACATTCTTTACCTCGTTATCTCCATTATGAATATTCAACAACACTTTTGAAACACCCAACTGAAGCTTATCAGGACATGTGATTTCACATCTAAATTTATCAATATCATGGAAGGTGTGTAGCGAGCCATGATACCATTGTTTTGTTTCCAAAGTAGGTCTGCTTTGTTCGCTATCCTTGAAAATCGTGCCGTCTTTGTGAACCTTGATGTATTCAGATACCAACAGTAACTTTTCATTCAATGCAATTGATAGTTTGTAAGGTTTGAATGAGCCCATTATGAAGGTGTTGGAATATAATTTCATGATATGTTTCAGAGAATCGGGAATATCAACGTTTTCCAGTTTGAAAATCATTTGGTGTCCTTCGTTGGAAACCATTACTGCTTCCACCGATCTGAAATGGAATTCCCTTTGGAAAGGATTATTGATTTCTAACTCGATGTAGTACTCATCTCTTGATGTTGAAGCGTCAGCATGCAAAGATAAATATATTCTGGTTCTGAATAATTCGTCCAACGAGCAGTCGATTTGAGCTTCCTGTTTCAAGGAATACTCGTTAATCTTCAGGAATAATTTATTAACTTGACTCTTGTTTTTGATGAGGCCATATGAATTGATGCCTGTCTGATTTGTAGAATCGACTAAACAAGTAGCCAATTTGAGACAAGTTGTTAATATCTCCTCGTCATAGTTCCTATTCAACTTCTCAATACATCCATTGTAAATCTCCAACAATATTCCACCAAGGTAGTTCCAACCATTGGCAATGAAGAAATCATAAGACCCGCGTAAAATCTCCAAACATTCTTCATAGTTACCCTTCTCATAGTTCAAAACGGCAAGATCTATGGAAAGGATATCAACCGATTTCGACCGTTCGCATTCGACGAAATCGCGAATAATCTCTTCAGTAATTGATGTAAATGCAGCAAAGAAAGCCGACTTATCAGCCATGTACTGCGTCAACTTGGGGTTGATAAATTTTTTGGGTTTGCTTACTGCAGGGGTATCCTCCAATGGAACATCTTCTAATACTTTCAATCCACTGATGGAATAACCGCGTTCGGCGGCAATCTTTACGACTATAGAACGTTGGAATAGCTTTAGCTCTGCGCGGAATTCATAAATGTTTCGTAATGTAGTGTTGATGCTATCTTCATTCTCTGGTTTGGAGGATTCTATAAGTTGGTTAATGCTGGGAATATTCAAATAGTATTCAATGACGGAATATTGAAACTCCTTCAAGTCGACATGAGGGAATTTTCCGGCAATATTGCTAAGAAAGACAATGAGTTGTTGATATAGTCTCGATACGTGTATTGACGAAATGGAAAGCGATTCAGAACTGGACAATGCTTGCAACACCAGAGAGTAATTAATGAATAGCAAGCAATGTAATCGGAAAAGATTAATATCGGTTTTGCGAAACAATCTGTTTCTAATGCCAGTATCTGCAAACGACGATTCAAACTGGGTATACTCTTCAAAATGCTTCGGAAGGTGGACATTCTCGTCAAACATGTTGGGATTGTATTCGACGACAGAAGTCAATTTCTCACGCACATGTTCAATTTCATCTAGTGACTCCTGATATAACGCCATATCATTCAACAACTCAGCAATTCGGAACGACAGAATGAATCCTTCGATGCTGTGTATCTTGTGGTCTTTGATCCAGTCCCGGAACAAACCATACCTGGTTGTGAACGACGACAAGAGTAACGTTTTAATTTCCAAAACCAATTCCTGGCTCGAATCTATGCCCTTGGAATTAATCCCCAGTTCACGATACTTCAAACATCTCTCCCCGTCATAATCAGGAAAGTTGCCAGGTAAAATAACCGGCAACTCCTTGCCGTCTATACCAAAATCATTCTTCAATTTATCAAACCGGGACACTTTCATCACCGACTTAGTGTCCTTGACATTCAGAGGGACATACAATACAATCATCCACGAACTCCTGGCCTTGAACACGATATTCTTGAGCCACTCGCGAATCAAAGGACGCACCAGACTTCGATAATTTTCAATGCTATCAATCTTAATAAACATCAATCGAGTGTACACATTATCAAATGCTAATTCGCCAGCACCGGTTTCGATTTTCTTGGGTACTTCTTCGAACATGGACACGGGGAGTGAAGGTATCGATTTATACGATTGCGAATCCTGAAACTTCAAATGGAGTGATGTTAGCGGTAGTTTCTTCTCGAATTCATCCTTGATCTTGGGGTATATGTTGAAAGGATCGTAGTACCCTATCTTTATAGGGCTTTTAGGTCCCGGTGGTCGAGGTTGGGACATCTGATTTCACGATTCCATCTGATAAATATGTGTGTGGCCAGTTCACAGAAAAGATTCGGTTTGTTCAAAACCAGTCCACACGATCACGTGAGCGTTTCGCGTGGAAAACGTTTTGGCGTGTTTCTATTTTTGCAACAAAAAAAAACAATGCCGTAGTTTAAGCTTCAATTTGCACGACTGGAAAAGCGTGTTTGGGGATATTAAAACCTTCCATAGGGTATTAGCTTCACCTGTATACGGTAAAGTGAGTACTAAAAATTAAAAAAAAGAATGCGCAAACCCGGAATCGAACCGGGGGCCCAACGATGGCAACGTTGGATTTTACCACTAAACCATTTGCGCTTAGGGAAATGCTCCGAGACGGGGAATTGAACCCCGGTCTACCATGCGACAAACGGTAATTCTAGCCACTAAACTATCTCGGACGCTTTTTTTTCTCAAAATTTTCCCTGGTTTAAGCGCCCAATATATAGTCACGTGCCTTGGAGTATATCTAGATGTTGCCATATTTCAGCCAGTTTTTGTTAGTGTTGGTTAATATACTAATACGGTATTTTATAATACTGGCTATATGTATATATAGCAGAATATCTATATGTTTCGGTATGAATATTGTGTTTTTTGTGGATGGCTCTAGTTTTCTCATACTTTAGGCAGAATTTCAACGAAAAACTCACTATAAATGGCTGCAAATTGAAAACTTTGATAAAAGTACTTGCTTTAATATTTATTAAAATCAGAAGGAATCGCAAATACAGTATCTATTCAATATGTATGATTTAATGATCTGTCAGTAAAAACCTAGGCGTTGAAAGTTTCCTAGGCTTGGTGTTTTTTTTTGTTTTTGCCTTCGTATAGACGTGACATTTTTACCCTAGTTAGCTTCAAAAGATTTAGTCCAATTACAAGTAGAGCATAAAGACAAAAGGATGCTCTTTATTATCTATAAATAAACACTAAAACCAAGGAATTTTATCATTTCCTTCCCAAATCAACTCATTCAGTTTCAACTGTTCATCTTCCAATTGATTGTTTATCAAAATGGCCGAACGAGAACTATTTTCAATACCATGTTTAGTATTCCATTCGTTGACAAGGAATTCCTTGACCAGGGAAGAAACTTCCGACTCCCAAATGACAATCTTTGAAGTTGTTTGGTCCACGATTGGATTCTTGATAAGGTAGTTCTTCATCAATTTGAGTAACTTGATTGTGGTTGCGTCCTTGTCTCCTTCAAACACCACGGTTTTTAAAACCGAAGCGTAGTTTTCGGTGGTTGATGCCCACTCCATGGTCCATACTATGAATGCAGTTACTGCTGATTTATCAGCGTTGTATAATTTCAATCCAAACTTAAAAGGGTCATTATGGACTAATTTGTCTCTTATTGAGTTGTAAGATTCATTCCAGAAATCAATGGCGTTGTGGGCCTTGTCTTGGTGGAACAATTTGTAGGAGATGTATTTCGATCTTAAATGGAACCAATCGACAATATCCGAGGTAGGGACCACTGCGACTCTAGTCTTGTGATCAGCTTGCACTTTGGAAATAATGCTTTGTTTGAATTGGGTGATGTAGTCATTCATTAATGGTTCAAAGTTGTGGTAATCGACGAGTTCAAATTGGGAGTCTTTGACATCTGGGTCTTGTTCTAACTTATCGTCATTCATGTCTACTGGGGTATTCATCAAGTCAACTGGCAAAGACAAAAAACCATTCTTGGTGTAATACTCACCTACTTCCGAATACAAAAAGGTAAAGCCATCTTCGCCCAATAATTCCGACTTGGCGACTTTAACTAATTTATCAACCATGATTCGGGCATAGCCTTTCTTTCTATGTTCGGGGTAGGTGAAAACCCCCCCAATACAGCCACTTAAAATATCATGTTGCACCACTTGGTTAGTTGTTTCGTCAAAGGTGAATTTCCAACTTTTACGAATAAGCAACTCAATAGAGCACAAGGGAGTACCATCCTCCACTCGTCTCATCATGTAGACGACCAATCTGTTGACGTCGGAGGATGTAATTTTCGATTTTCCCAAGACATGCTCTCTCAAGACGTAATCTTCCAGCGACAACCTCCCCTTCCAGGCCTCGGAGTTTTGTCTTCTAGTGAACTGGATGACTTCCTTGTCCGTCAAATGGACAAGTTCGTATTGGTTAGTATTGAGAACGGCGGATGGCAGCATTTGGTGATGTTTAGGGATCAAGATAAGAAAAATGGCAGGGGCTAAGAAATAATCGTAGTTTTTTTATTTATTTTTTTTCCCGAGATATTAAGATGCAATAAATGATAAAATAAAAAGAAGCCCAGAAGATGTAATAGGAAAATGGCTTGTATTTATAGCTATGCCTTCAGATCGATGCAACCCTGGGGGGAGGGGGGGGAGAGGGTGTATTTTTTAAATGGGCCTTGATGCCATTTGGTTTTCCTGCGGGGGGAGGGGAGCATTGTTCGGAGCAATTTCTGACTCATTCTGTTAACGTCAAGAGAAAGCGTTTTTTCCTTCCCTAACGTCAATTTACCGCGCGATCGTTCCCAATCGGGCAATGTATGCGACAACCCTCTCACGTGTAGTGTGTGGTATCAAACCGAACAAGTCGCATATCTAATCAATGGTTTGTATCTCAGTTTGGTTATCTCGTCCAGCGTAGTAGCCCTAGGTAACACCTACTACCCTCTTCTTTTTCTGTTCCGGGATCGCCAGGTCCGTGTGTTGACATCTATTCGGCGTTAATATCGGAGTTTCCCTTCCGACATGTCTAAATATTTTGACTCTGGCTCATTCTTGTATACTTCTGCTGTAGGAGACAAATACAGACAGGACAAGCATCGATTGTAGTATACTTGTATGTATACAGTTGCACCATGTGCTAGTTGCCCTGAGTTAGACTCCGATCTTGGCTCTTCACGACAATGTCGCAGCTCCAACATTTTTTTTTGTTCGACATTTTTGTCGCCAAATTATCAAATTTGAAAAATTACCCATAGCCTGTTACAGCAAACCACCACTCAAACAATGGAATTACTACCAGAAGGTCAAAGGAATACTGCCACCGAGGTGACATGGGAAGACCAACAGAGAATCAATAAATTTTCAACAATAATCGCCAAAAAGGACGAGCAATCAGCCATACTAGAAAAACTAAAGACCGACAAAGAATACCTTGATGATTTATCCTTAGAGATTGAATTGTTGGATGAAGACGAAAAAATCCAGTACAAAATAGGTGATGCATTTATGCTCCTCAAAGTAGAAAAAGCCGTGGAGAAAATTGAACAAGACAATGAAAAATTGCTGACCCGAATCAATGAAGTTTGCGATTTGATTGATTCTTACGATGATCAATTGGGTGAGTTGAAGAAATATTTATATGCCAAATTTGGAAATAATATCAACTTGGAACGATAATCCGATATCTATAGTCTACTAGCTAATATATTTACTACACTTTGAACCCCAATTCTTGTAATTTTTCATCAGGTAATGTTACACTGTCTAGTAAACCCGCATCAATAAGCTCACTATATGAAGCAGCACATTTCCCAGTTTTACCCTTGTACTCAATATATGCCTCTTTGATCAGTTTGATCATCCCTCGCACGGAAATCAGCTGTTTATCCCATGCATGAGGAATGAGGTTCCCACCAGCTTTAATGACTTGCTCAGTAAGCAGGATACAATAACGGACATCTTCAAGATTGATCATATCGTGAAACTTGCTTCCGTTGCCCTTGAGATCTACTCTATCTTGTTCCCATTGTTGCATATGTTGTACCAGAGGCAAGGCAATTTTTTGAGCCCAAATACTAGCTAACCAGCACGATTGGGTTTCTGAAGTTCTCGTGGGGAGAACAAACCGGGGGAGACCAATGATGGCTAAGTTGGGATAGTTGTAGAGAATAACGTGATTAAAAGTTCCATGGACTTTATGACCATCAGTTACTAAGGGATGTGTCGGGTTAGCTTTGAAAAACGGGAATGATTTTATATATCCAGTTGCAAAAACTACTGCTCCGACATCAGCTAAAACTGTACCATCAACAAGTACCACTGACTTGGTATCAATGTCAAACTTTTCAATATCAGCCACTTCTTCAATTAGGTCACTCTTACCGGCAGGGACTAAACTACCTGATCTCTTGGATTTATAGACCTTTTGCTTCAATGTCGTTGCTATCTGATATGCTAAATCACCAGCCGAAGCAGAATTACCCACAATGATAATCTTTCCTGTGACATCTTTAAACTGGCGAGGGTTTCTATACCACTTAGCATGGGTAATTGTCCCCGGAAACTGTTCATTCCAAGCGGTCATTCCTGGTCTATCAGGGATATAAGGAAGATCATAATTTCCCGTAGCTATGACCACGGCATCATATAATTCCACGACATCATCAACACCTATTGTTCCACCTTTAGTTTCGGTGCTAACTGGACGACTGACGACTTGCCACTTGCATATGTCGTCTAATAGCTCAACACTAACTACTTTTGTATCAAATCGAACGTATGGTCTAACTTTTTCACTGTATTTACACACATATTTCAACACGTCTCGTCGATCAGGGAATATCGGCAAGTGTGAGTCGAATTCAAGTCCACTATAACTCATGAGGTCCTTAGGGACATTTGTGTCTAAACTGTCATACACTGGACTGGGATAAACATATTTTCCATCCACTACAACTGGATTTAATTCAATAGGTTTTTCACAAGGTATAGGAACTTCATGAGAGTCAGTTATGTCGGTATGATTCCAGATCCCCCCGAAATCGGACCGTTTTTCAAACCCTTGTACATGGCTGAATTTGCGTTCGGCAAGGAGAGCCTTGATGGTAGAGGCACCACCAGGACCTGCTCCTATCACAGCTACGCTGTTGATGTGGCTGATAGCAGCGTGTATGTCTTTGTATACTGTCATTGGTGGAAAATGTGTGGCTAATTTGCAGCGATTGCCTGATTTGTTTTTTTTTTTTTTAATTACAATTTTGTTTTTGTTACTCCAGACTTGAACTAACCATTGGTTGATGTTCAAAGGAACTTGTTTCAGAGATGCCTTGAAGACCTTGTAGAAGAAAGAGCGATCGATAAGGAATCATGTTTTGTAAAAATTTCCATTGAATATTCTTAAAACAAATCTGACATAGTCATTATAAACAGTTTAAACAGCCACATCTTTATTTATCAAGTTTATTATTACAATAAGTTACAATATAATATACACCTATTCATCATCATCACTATCTTCATAAGTGGGAATATCATCCAACATGGGTTGTTCAGGTTTACCATTGGCCGGTTGTTCTTCCACTTGTTGTTTCTTGGCAGGACGTTCTAGTTCCGGTTCTGGTTCCCGTGGACGGATCTGTTGTTGTGAAGCAGGAGCTGTGGCATGCTGCTGCTGCTGCTGCTGTTGATGATGATAATGATGATGTTGCTGTTGCTGTTGTTGTTCATGTGGAGGAAGGCGATGTCTATTTCTTCGTTCATATTCTCGTTTCTTCCACGCCTTTTGTATCTTGGGACATGATTCGTTGATCTCACTTTCTTTGACCCCGTCCTTGATGGACTGTAAAATCTTCTCTACTACAGTTATATGATTCCCGTTACTCTTGTCATTTCTGAATCTTAACATCTCCCAATATCCTTTTTTGCTAGAGGATTGACGGCACTCTACAATTCTCCCTTGCAATGGCTGTTCTAATGCTTTCAATCTTTCCCAGTCTTCATCGGCAAGATCCAAATGAGCGAAATCAACATGGTTCTTGCCGCCTTCCCACACTTTCAATTTGATTGTATTAGGCTTGGAATCGTAGTCAGTATACGTCGACGAGGGATCACGTTCATCCATATCTGGGTCCTGCACGGTGTTAAACACAAACTCAATCTGAAAGTCAATAGTGTTTTCCTCCGCGGGTTTCCACTTCAATAACGTTTGATCGGTTCCAAACACATAGGGTGTTTCGGCACAGGTATAAATCAACCCATCGGATGCATGGAACAATTGCCCCAATTTGCTCAAGACGTCATCGGCGTGGTATGCCGTCAACATCGTCTTGAATCCGACTTTAAATGGGAAATCGGGCGAATTTACTATTTCCGGGTTGTTTCTTTTAAAATTGTCAAAAGGTTTCATGATATTTTCCGTGATGTAACCTAATCTCTTTGGTAAAGGACGGTCAACTATGGACTTCCCATTTATGGCAAGGGCATCGAATATGACATATCGCAACACTGGCTCACTTATATTCTTATTTTCTAGTACTAATTCCCCATCCAACAACGAACCATGGTGGTATGTTCTTCGTTCAGCCGTTTCATGTACATCCAATGGGAAATGAATGTTGGGAATGTAGTAATAGTGGTTTTCTCTCGTGATCAAGAAAACCCCCTCACCCTTTTGCGGGTCAAACAACAAGAGCAACAAACATCTCAATCCATCGGTTTTTTCACACACAAAATAGTCCTTGGTCATTAGTGCTTCTTCTAGATGCCTTCGTTCAAAAGACACTGGCTGGGATCCTGGAAATTGTATCTTACGACGGTTGAGGATTTCTGCAACGATGTACTGCAATTCCTGGGTTTCGGTCTCGTCAAGTCTGGTGCCCGGTATTACGGGCATGTCCCTTTCTTCAAGCTGTATCATTGGAGATATATCCTTTGAATTGTTAGTGTCTAGAGAGTGGTAGGTTGTTGTTTTTAGAGTTGGAGTCGTTTTTAAAGAAACACGAAAAAAAAAAAAAAAAAATTAATGGAAAAAATAGTTTGCACGACATGCGACATTTCTCAGACCATGAGAAAATAATAAACTTTAATAGATGTAGTAGCAACAGGTCGTTATACAAGTATGAGACTCACATCTCAGGTGATTAATGATGCACCGATAGTACTTAACCCCGAGAACAAACTCACGTTACAATTACGCAATTTGCAGATCCCCACCATTGAAAACCTTGGGATAACGCAGGATAAATACCAAGTGATTGATTTAACTAATAATGAGCTAGTCGACTTGAGTAATGTTCCTGGAGGGTTCAAGAATTTAGAAACTTTGCTATTGGCAAATAATAACATTGCATATATTGATGAGAACTTCCCTGAGGATAATTATGTGACTTCCATCTCATTAGCCAATAATAACATATACAAATTCCAAATAGACTTTAGGGATAAATTTAAACGACTTGAAAATTTGGTGTTGTTAGGCAATCCCATTACTGAATTAAGAAATTATCGTTTGTTTATGATTTGGTTGATTCCCACATTAAGAGTGCTTGACTTTAAGAAAATAAAACAAAATGAGCGACAAGAAGCAGTAGCCAAGTTTGGTGATTTAACTAGTGAGTTTAACCCCGAAGTATTGGCAATGTTGTCCAAGTCGTCGTCGTCGTCGTCGTCGTCATCATCCTCGTCTCAGGCACGTTCCACCAATGGTGTCGCGACAAATGATACCAGCGCAGCCACTAAAACCATGACTACTATGGTTAAAAAGTTGACTCAAGAAGAACGTCGACAGTTGTTGCATAAGCTCCAGCTGGCTACTAGTATTGATGAAATTGACCAAATTGAAACTGCATTGAAACAGGGAAGTGTATAACCGAGCAGCAGCAGGAGGAGTGTATAGAGAGAAAGAGATGTAATTGTAACAATAGTTTTTTTTTTTACCTATTCATACAGAATGTGTAAGTTTTCCCTTTTACGTTCAACTAGAAGAGGTTGATATAGCAGATGCTGTACGTTTTGTCTAGGCAAAGCCGCAAATATTTACTTGTTTGTGTTTGTTTGTTTGTTTGTTCATTCATTCATTCATTCACAGGAAAACTTTGTTTGTCCTTGCTATGCATACTGGACAAAAAATTCAACCAGTTTTTTTTCCCTTCCTGATTTAACGCCTTTTGTATTATATGGTGAATATTTCCTCTTTATTACTCGAGCATTCTTTTAAATCTTGTGTTTTTCCATATTCTTTTTCTTTAATCTTTTCCTTTATCCTTTTTCTTTTCAAAAGAATCTTCTGTTTGATTTAAAAACACTTTGGCTCTACTTCCCGCCACACTATTGTACTATATGAAAGTTACATCCACTACCACTACCAGACTTTACTAATATATTGTCACATTTGTCCCCTCATATGGATTATTGTACATATTAATAGACAACCACTATACATAATGTCACAACCACGTCCGAAAAGGAAAGCCACCATAAACAAATCATACAACGACGCCATAGAATCATCACATGACTTTGACCTTTCAGCCAGTTCTTCGGTCTCAAGCATAAATTCAACTACTACTACGTCCACCAGAAGGAGAAATTTGAAAAGATCAAGTCCACAAACGGAAAATGGCAACAATTCTCATGGCACACCCACCCCTAGCAAACACGCGCCCACCAAATCCATCATTCCCTATAATTGGCAACCACCGCCCCATTCCAACGACGCATTTTCTCATAGGCTAGATTTAACTGATGCTTATATAGACCTTGATTTGCAGACGTTGTATTGTCCCAACCAATTCAAGGATTCGGAAGATGGCAACTCTAGGAAGAAGAAACTGAAGCAAATCTTCACCTTGTCTAAAGGACAGTACATTTACATGATTAGTGAACCGCCTGGTGAACCATACTATATAGGAAGAATCATGGGATTCAAAAGAAAGAAGGTTGATACGGGGAATCACGAAGCTGCTACCAATGGGAACCTGGTTGAATCAGGCATTGTCCCTGCTCAAGATTTTGCATTCCAAATTCAATGGTTTTACAGACCAAGGGATATTTCAAAACTCACGTCCGATTCCCGATTATTGTTTGCTTCCATGCATACGGATTCGTGCCCATTACCTAGTTTTAGAGGATTAGTCACAGTGAAACACAAACAAGATATTGAAGATGAATATTTGGAAAGTATGAATGGGAAAAAGAATTCCCGTAATACCAAGTCGGCATCTCCTTCATCCATGACCAGTTTGGAACTCTATACACAAGAACCAAATTGCTTTTATTTCGACAAATTATTTGACAGATATATGATTAAATTTTATGATGTTCTTCTGACAAACAACCTCCTCCAATACGCCAACACCGACACAAAATGCGGAAACTACCTCCAGGCATTAAATAAACGATTTGAATTCATATTTGTTGAAACTCAACGAACAAAATCTTTAATCAACACATTCAGTTCCACTTCACGAAATTGTGAAGTGTGTGGACAATGGTGCGGATCCTCCCAGGACTCCATCAGTTGTGTCGAGTGTGAAAACTACTACCATATGTTATGTTTAGACCCTCCATTATTGAAGAAACCAAGTAGAGGGTTTTCCTGGTCTTGTGCGGCATGTACCAAGAAGCACGAGATTGAGTATCACAGCAAGAAAATGTTGATGTTATCCCATGACAATAAGTCATCTAATGAGAGCCAATTGACGCATGAGTTGAATGCATTGAGTTCGGTGGATGCAGATAACATGTCAGTATCAGCAAATGTCAGCTCCCAGGAAGATGAAGAACAGACAAGACCTATATCCACGACACCATCATTATCCACGCCGCTGCTACCAAAATACGAAACCATGGCAATTGATTTCTTGCACAAGGACAGAAATAACACGATTGAACAACGAAGACTAAAGGAGGAATGGTGTATGAGGTATCTTGGTATGTATGCCAGATTAGAAGACGGAGTAGATCTCGATGACAGATCGCCGTACCCACGAGCATCCACGCGACTCGGATCAAAACACCAAGCGACAAATATCCCTGAATGTGATGAAGACCATCCTATCGTGTACTACGACGTCGAGAGAACACCACCAAAAAAGAAACCAGGTCCCCCAGCGAAGAATAAGAAGAATATGGCCAAGCACAATGTTGACGAATTGGAGCTTAAGAAATTGGAGATCCCGGCTGAATATGCCGATGTTGATCCCCGAGATTACCCTTCATGGTTACAACCACGACCTAAGGGGTATATTGAACGTGGTATCGATGATGGTGAAGGTGAGACTTGCACTTTATTGTGGAAGAGTTCCCAAGAGGATGTCGATGATGATTTCGTCAAGTTGGATGCCTATGTTGAGAAATGTAATCCGATAGCTGAAGGTCTTGATTTATCACCCAACTCGCCTAATTTCGTTGATGCAATTTTGTTGCTCTATATGAAATATAATGGAGATTCAGAAAAGGCATTTGAAGAGGCCAAGAAGTTGAACAAAAAGACATTAAAAGAGCCAGTGTTCACCAAGGAAGAAATAAAGAAGTTTGAAGCCGGGGTGAAATTATTTGGAAGCGAATTACATCCTGTTTACAAAAAAGTCAAGTCTCAACCATCAGCCATGATTGTAAGATATTACTACCTCTGGAAAAAAACCAAGAATGGCCGATTAATCTGGGGCAATTTCGAAGGAAGAATTCAGAAAAAAGTACAAAATATAAAGGAAGACACTATCAAAGTCGAGCATCATAATGTGATTGACGAACTAGCTGACCCCGAAGACGATTCCTCATATGAAAACGACAAGATCACGGTTCAACAGAGGAAATTCAAGTGTAAACACTGCAACACCCATCTGTCAACGCAATGGTTTAGAATCACTGGGTTTGATGCCAAGAAACCAAACGAAGAGAATCAAATTGTCGCTTTATGTTACCGATGCGCACGATTATGGAGACGGTATGCAGTTGTATGGGAGGATCCATTGGAAATACAGAGAAAGACGAGCAAGTCAACTGGATGGAAGAAGAAAGTTGAATGGGAGTTGTTACGTGATGCCAATGCAATTATCGATCATGCCGAGACGAACAATTCCAGTCTTGCATATGATGGATTCGAACAGGAGGAGACTACTGTACAAGCTGCCAAGGTTGAGAAACCAAAGAGTGAATCGCCCAAAAAGAAGCGTCTGTTTTCGCCTGCTGTGGCTAATGCTAATAATAAAGTTAAACGACAAGCAAAGGCTGTAGTTAAAGTGAAGACCGAAGAGATTGCTCCTATAATCCCTGAAAACAAGAGGAAATTACCCGAAGCAGTTATCAAGCCTGAAGATATCAAGAAACAAAAGAAACAATTGTCATTAGCTGATAGTATATTCAATCCTGTTTTCAATCCCAGTTACAAATTACCACCCATTGATTTCAAGGACAAGAAATCTCATCCAACGTTAACGCACGAACTCATACAAGAAATTGTCCAAGATTTCCGAAAGAAGCAACTTGTTGATTTAACTTCATTATTACACAATCTTCAAATCCCCTCGTTTGCATCAATAGTTCCCCCATTTGAGCCGCAAGATAGGAAATGCTGCGTATGTCGAGAACACGATACTTTAAAGCTGTCGCTTTTAGAAATGTTGATTTGTTCAAGTTGTGGAGTAAACGTTCACAGTTCATGTGCTGGTGTTTCCATTCCGGAAAATGTTCCACGTCCAGTCAGGGAGTGGCTTTGTGATAGGTGCATTAACGATTTAAGACCGGTTCACAGCACGGTTTATTCGTGTGCTTTGTGTCTTGCTAATGAATCAAACTATGAGTTATCATTGATGGGATCGCCTTATGTGAGACCAGATTATTTGAAGTCGACGGATACCGGGAAATGGTGTCATTTGCTATGTGCGGTTTTCAACCATGACCTTGTTCTGTTTAGGCAAGTTGCAGCACCACAAGTCAAGGCCGGTTCCGATTCAAAGAGTGTGGTCGAGGGCGTGAATAGTTTGATTTCAGTCGAGAATATCTCCCGGGTATATCTTGAGAATCACAAGACCCAATGTGGAATATGTAATACGAGAAATGGGTCCATGATCAAATGTGATTTATGCCCTGATGAAGTCAAGTACCACATTACATGTGCCCAAGATTCACCAAATTTCAAGCTAGGCTTCAAACTAGCTAGTAAGTCGTTATCGGAGAGAGATGTTCAATTAGTCACTGCTGAAGGCAAGGTTGGGAAGTTGCAACCAATTCTTATCTGTCCGAGACATGATCAATCTAAATCGACGATATTGAATATGAGGACACTAGGAAGGAGGGTTCACGGCAAGGACGAATTGAAACCCTTGATGCAAATGTTTTTGGAGGATATCGTGAGAGTGAATAGTAATCGACAATACGGACCTAATTCACGCTCATTAAACTACATCACCAATTTCCAAATGTATCACAATCATGAATTTAAGGATAGCCATGAAGTTGCCGATGACCTACACCACACCTGTGTTGATTGTAAAACCATGACTTCGCCAATCTGGTGGCCCACGGAAGGCAACGTTAAATGCCAATCATGCCATCACAAGACAGAAGTAGCACAAGAAGAAGGACCTAGACTCGTTGAAGTTTTGTCACGACCATTAAATGGAGAGAATTACGGAATAGTGGACCAGTACGATAAGGTTTCCGTGATTTACCAGCCGGAAATACCTGAAGAGAAACCAGTTCCTAAAATGATGCACCCAGTTGAAAGTGTTAGATCGAAGATATCATTGGGTGATATTTTAAGTTAGAACTTGTTTTATGTATTATAAAAAAGGACATTTATTTTTAGTTATAGAAAAATAGAATATCTGTATTCGCAATCGATCATTGCCCAATTGGGCAATCAACTCCGAGTAGATCCGAGTTCTTATCGGTGGCACAAACGAGGCCCAAAAAAAATACACATGATCCACATGGCAAATAACCACCACATACACCACTACTACCAATACACCACCCAATACATAAGAGTTAACTGGTGACAAACAGAGCTATTATGATTCACGAAACAACCATCAATCCGGGCCAAGGACTAGGTAACAGCATCAAGCTTGGCTCTCCAATGTTTGATATTATTAAACATTTGGACAAACACAAATACAGGTTTAGAATTACATTCAGTGAAGACAAATTCTACGAAACTCCAACATTGGTCACTGTAGTTGAACTAGGAATCAGATTGACATTCAATAACCATCCCGATCAATATTTGGACCTTATTGAAGTGTTGAATCTTGATGAGAGTGCCGATAAGAAGTTGTTACGATTAGTTTACAATGGTCAAAGTTTGAATGAGTTTGAGAACGAGCCAGAAGTCACGTCACTACCTTTGGAATCGACAATATCTAAGAACTCATCATCAAGCACGATTATGGATTCATCACCAGCGTTATCCTCAACCAGCTCGACCAATTCTACCTATCAGACATTGTCGTCTACTGGGCCCACTTTTAAAACTATATATAACAAAATCTTTGGACCGACTTATCCGGGGAAGTTAAACCGAGTTAACAAGACTTATATATTGTCATACCCGGGTATTTCATTCAAATTTACAATCACTGATAACCTGTTGTTGTCCTTATTGGATCAAGAGGATGACGTGCATCAGATCTTATCAAAGTTGTTAAACTGGGATAACCCCCATGATGTGACTTGCGATTCTATTGCTTTATATAAGGGTAATTCATGGGAAGATTACAAAAATAACAAGAGGAGACCAAGCACGTCTTCCAACGAACTTAACAAACTTGCAGTTAATCTAAACGAAGGACTTGTTAGAATAATCAAGCATGATTCCGAAGAGGTCATTAAGATTGGAGAGTCTACTCAACAAGAAGTTGTCAACATCTTGGGCCCTCCAGACGAGTACTTTAACAAGTTCGACTCACGGTTGTTGATCCATAACCATTTGACGGACGAGAAGGAATCTCAAGATATAAGTCATTGCAAGTTTCACAATTACTACAAATATGGAATTGACATATTATACGACTTGAACAACACCAAGGGAAATCAAAACAAAATGAATACCACGGTAAAGAAAATCATAATTCACAATGGCGGCATACCTGAAGATTTAAACTTTATGAAATGGAATAGATGTAATTGGGAAATTGAACGCGAGAAAGAAGATGACATGCCCGGATTTGAAATCAATTCGACCATGTACTTTGATCAATTGCCCGATGTTTTCCATCAATTAAACCCAGTATTATTAAACAGAAACGAATCAGAATTTATCGATAATGATTTGGATATAATTGAGATGCCTGATCTGGTTGAACCAGAAGAAGAGAATCCAAAGGTGAAGACATGGGGTCAATCTAAGTTGTACGGGTTAAACAGATGTATTTTGGAGGTTATCAATTCAAATGGTTGTATTTCCACTGTAACAATATATTAAAGTTGCCTCCTATTCTCTAGTAGTTAATGTATTGATGATTTTTCAAGTGTAAGTAATTAAACCAGAAGTAAATTAGGATTAAAAAGTATTTGCAGCAATAGCGTGCAAAGTGTTCTTGTAGCTATGCTGCAAAAAATCTTGCGACGGAATACACCTCGCGAAATCTCGCTATCAGATACCGTTTTTAAATCAAACAAGATAATACGATAATGCAAAACTCGCTTGCCTGTTTCACATCTGGTGCCTCTCATAACCAATGATAACGTCGCAGATCACAATGACATCATTCCAAGCGATAGTTTTCCCGAATAGAATTTCAAATCTGATTATTACCAATTTCCCCGAGACTGAATTCCTGTTATGGAAATAAAAAAAAAATATATCTTACTATGCTGCCAAGAGGACAATTGTGACTATTTCAAGGCGGGATCCCTAGCCCGGAAACGGGCCAGGGTACTGGTGCGCCGCCACCACGTCTTTGCAAATCGAAGAAAAGAACGTTTTAATAGATTTTACACAAAGTAGCTAGAGCACATAACCCCTTAATCAGGGAACATTACACGGAGTCATTCTGATTGTTGAACGGTGTTATAAAACCTGACTTTGTCCTAGCCCGATCGCTGTTGACTAAACTAGCATGCGGATAAATTAATTTCTGCATAACGTTGAAAAAAATAAACGACACAAAAACAAACCAGAAAAAATATTTAAAATTAATCACTGATAAGAAAAATTTATCTTTAGCCAATAAAATCTAAGAATTGAAGTTCTATCGAAATAATTACCAAATTAAAATCATAGCTGTTTTGACACATGGAACGGATCTTCGGGTTCTCCGTCCGTAATACCTCTCTTATCGGTTATCCATTGATTAGTCAAACAAGTAACATTCCAGTAAAATTTCCTGCTTTACATCGTTTCTTGTAGTACCAAATTGCTGCTAAAAAAAATTTGTTTCCCTCATGGAAATTCACCGACGCCTTCCGTTTTAGCGTCAGAACATGAATGTACGTTAGCGCCCTCTAATTTAGTACTTGCAGCATTTTTCCATAGATCTGAACCAATTGTAAAATTCCAGCCTCCACTTCCTCCACTTCCTCCACTTGTGGCAGGCTTTACCTCTTGGAACAATACCTTCACGTTCTCCTCTTGAAGTTATTGGTTGAAGAATGTGATTCTGGACTCATTGTCCTTGCTAATCCTCCAATCAAAGGGGAATAACGGGTTGGGTTATTATGCATAAATTATTAATCATCGTGTAAACAAAGTCTAGGAACAATAAAATAATAAAATACAATAAATTAATAATGAATATTCGATTTTTAATTTTAGTGATTGGGTATTATACGGATATTGTATGTTATTATTATTACCAGGTAGTACACGGCAGATTCCTCCTCTTTCCTTAATCCCCCCCTCCTCCAAAGTTCCATTTTGTTTAAAAAAAACACTAATTCCAGCCCTTTTTTTCTAATTTTTTTTAAATTTTCTTTTTTTGTAACTGTTTTACTTCATATTTATATAACCCGCACCCCCTCTCTCTCTCTCTGCCAATTTAGACAACAATTAACGAGACAACCACATCACAACTTTCGCCCATTACATTTACACCACTTAAATTCTACTTCACCAAGTTGAACAATTTATCAATAGCAACCACGTTAATATGAGTATAAACAACTTTACGCCGTTAGGTAAATATTCTCCTTCTTTAAACTCACCATCATCAACCAGTTCATCTGATCCACTAACTACTACTGCTACGTCCAGATTCACCAGCACCTCACTAAACCCTAAATTTAAATTCAAAGAAAGCCAAAACAATAGCAACACCCCACCAATAAAACTCTCACAACTTATTCAATCCGAGTCACAAAACATCGAAGCCTTGTGGAAAATGTACAATAAAGCTAAAGAAACTTTGCCTTACCGTTCCCGAATGGAGAATTTGACATGGCGGATGATGTATATTACTAATGTTTCCACATCTAACCATGGTGAAATAACACGTAATATGAGCAGTACTCGTGAACTTGATACTAACATGCAACAAGATTCTGAAGATACTAGTTTAGATCCTGATGCTGAAGATTTCGATTACGTTGCTCATATAAGGAAAATCGGTGAAGACCACTATCGTCATTCTCAACCAGCTGGCAATAGCAGTAGTAGTAGTACAAGCAGTACCGCCAGCAACAAGAAACGAGCTGCTAACTTCTCACCTATGTTGTCCAGTTCAAACACAACTCCAATTAAAACACAACAATCACAATCTCAAAGAACAGGTGGAGGTGGATTATCCCAATTATCCAAACAACTCAATCAATTTAATAGATTTGCTCACCCTTCACAGTCATTGGAGACAATGTTACCGTCTCAACACCGACAATCCATAACTCAACACCATGAACCTGTGCCAACATTACCATCAAATTCATTCTCATTTGCATTGGATCCTTATGCCCTTGAAGGACCACAAGATATGGATTTAAATAGTCATTCTGCAACTTCCTCCTATGATGCTAAACCATTATTTGACGATTTCATCCATACACCAGCCACATTATCTTCATCAGCCTCCACAATTATATACGACAACAGCCACAACAACAACAACCACAATAGTTTCTTTCAAAATCCCCTGAAGAGAAGCTCAACTTCCACTGCCACTCCCTCAAGCTTGCTTCGTGAGGAATCAATGATGAGTTTGCCCGGTATGATGAATAGACCATTCACCCCGTTAAATATGTCATATAAACAAGATTCGCAATTTATGAGACATAGTCCCCTGATTACTTCCTTATCAAGCGGGCCACCGCCAATCACCACATCAGCATCATTCAACACCACCACCCAGAAATTTGTCCTCCCTAGTCAATCAATTGAATCGTCATACTTTGAAAACCCACATGAAGTAGATTACTTTTCACCTAATTCATTACCGGCAAACTTGGACAAGAAGAAAAAGCTCAAGACAAAAACAACCAAATCCAAGAGAAACAGTCCTGATTCCACTGGTTGGCCAGGATCTAGTGGTGGTGTGTCGTGTTCTAACTGTCATACTAGAACAACTCCTCTTTGGCGTCGTGACCCTGAGGGACAGCCTTTGTGTAATGCCTGTGGGTTATTTTTGAAATTGCATGGTGTTGTTCGTCCGTTAAGTTTGAAAACCGATGTTATCAAGAAGAGACAAAGAGGTGGTGGTAATACCGCTAGTACTTCAACCACGCCGAGTTCAACCAAGAAAACCGAGAAGATAGATAAGGAAAAAGAGGCTGCTGCTAAAATAAAGAAACCTCCTGTAAAGAGAACTAAATCAAGTGTGAAAGTAAATGATATGGCTAAACCTGAACAACCACAGTTCCTGCATGACACTCACCACAGTAATTCTATAGATAATGGCCACATTTATGTTGATCACGATAATTTTATGAATGTGTTGGATTCACCTAAACTTAATAAGGGCGAACATGGGAATGGGAATTTACTTTTTGCTGAGGATGAACATCATTCTCAGGACGGGAATTGGGATTGGTTAAGTATGACTATATAGATTTGTAATTAATAAAGATAGAGAGAAAAACAAAAAGTTTTAGTGCACTTGGGTTTTTTTTTTTTTTTAATTTCTATTTTAATTTTAATTTTTATTTTTTTTTTTTGTTTGGCTGGCTGGACTACGCTAATTCTGTGTCTGACGATGACGGTCTCAATTGAAAGATATCCCCGAATAATAATCCAATATTGTAATAAATGCAAGTGGCAGAATAGAGCAGTATGGTATTTACAAGAAATCCTACAAACATTCCCTGAAGAAATTCAAGATATTTCCTTACAGCCGATTTTAGACCAGCCGGGGGTATTTCAAATTGTGTTGGTAACATCAAACTCCGCCAGTGAGATCATATACAAACGGAAATTCAAATCCAAAGAATTGCAAGAAAAGTATGCTGATGAAGGCGAGGAAAAATATACATATGACGGTTTCCCCGATTCAAAGTTTATTAAAGTATTAATAAAGAATAAGTTGGGATTGCAAGTTGGTAAACATATTGACCGGGGACTGGACTACAAATTAAACGACGGAACCGCATGTGTCGATTGTAGAAAAGAGGAATAAAATTTATTTAATTATACAGAATAAAACAAAAATAGAAATACAAAAGTAACAGTAGTAGTGTTTGTCTCTTTTTTTTTACTCAAGATCATCACCAAAATGATGTTGGTAGTGTTGTTCTCCTATATCATCCCATCCATTAGGAGCTACAACATAAGGTAAGCTAGAACCCAAAGTTCCAAAATATATAGAATTGTTAGGCAACCCCAATAAACTTTGATATTGTTTCATGACAAAAGTAGGCGACACATTCTTTGGAGCAGACTGACCCCCGGCCCTAGCTCCTGCATTAGCTCCAGTACCTGCGGCACCACCAGCACCACCAGAATTTGCGTTTCGGTATCCATACCCCAGCTGTTGAGAATTAGTAGCTGCAGCTGCGGCGGCCGCAGCAGCGTTATTGTTTGAAGTTTGATTAATTTCTTTAGTTATTTGCTTCCACTTGTGCTTCTCTCCAGCAACTAATAATTGTCGTAATACTTGAATATCATGAGCGTTAAATTTAGAAGTTAATTGAGCATTGGTGGGTGGTGGGTTAGATGATGCACCAGTACCAGAAATTGGTGTATTGGATGCCGAAGGGTTTGTGGCACCGGCGGTACCTGTAGAACCAGAAGCACGAGAAGTATTGTTAGCAGTAGGTGTTTGGCTGGTGGATCCTGGGTTAGCGCCGACATTCGCGGGCTGGTATGCGTATGAAGCAGTAGATGTGGTAGCAGGTGGTGGCAACATTGTTGTTATTGTGGGTGTTGTTGAGTTCAAGGAAGAAGTGGAACCGTATCGAAAATCAGTGGAAAATATTGAAGGATTGGACACTGAAGAATGGGAAGATATAGATGGCTTGACCTCGGATGATGTACTTGCTCTGTGGTGTATGGGTGAAGAAATGTCACTTGATCTAGGATAAGGTTGAGAGCCACTCGAGGAATTAAACATTTTCTTTCGGTCTTGAAATTCACAAGGTATTTTGTTTACTTTTTAGTATGGATGTTTGGGTGTACAAAATGTGTAAAAAATATGGAAAAAAATAAAAAACCAGGCGGGATTGTCGAAGTACCCTAAAATTCTTTTTTAATGGTTCTGGTGATAATTAGGTGTGATCTTTCTGTTACCTGTGCATATAGCCTAAGTTTGCGCTAAAAGATGACCGATTCCAAGTGTTATATAAAATCACGTTAAAATATTCTCTTTTCTTTTAAATTAGTCAATGTGGGGAGATGCGATAGCTGTCAGTACTTTTGTCCTAGCTGGTACATGCACAGGTGCTAAAACTTCAAAATACGGTAGAATGGCAAATGCAAAAAGTGCTAAATTGTAGAATTGGGCTGGGGTATCGTTTTGATAAAATTTAATTCAATATGATTCAAACAGCTTACAACCAAGTCCAAAAAGAAAAGACAACAACAAGAAGAAAAAGAAGAAGAAGAAGAGTAGTAGTATTGGAAAACAGGGGGAATACACAGAAATAAATACGTGTTATATTCAATCTTGACAAAGGTAGTGTTACTAGTTTCCTTCGAGGGGTTAACTTTCCAACATTCTTCTACAGTGCAAGCAAACGCCTTTTTTTTTCTTATCGTATCCTTTCCTTTGTTCTCTCTATCATTAAATGGAACTTAATTAAGGAATTGGTAGGTACCAAAGCAATTGACTTTCTAGAGACACCTATTGTTTCTGCTGTAACGTTTCAACAATCTTGCTAATAAACATGCAAAAATTTAGCTGGGGCGGGAGGGGAGCGAGAGAGAATGTCTAAGGGAGGCGGATGCATTTTAATTTACCCCCGCTACCCCTAATACATCCATCATTATTTTTCTGGTTTTATTGTGACATGTTCGTAAATCATTGTTGTGAGCCACACGAAATAGTAACTAAATAATTCTAGTACATGGCTTGAGTCTTCCTCGAGAGATAAGGTTCATCTACAGAACACTCTTATCTACTAATCCATCAGATCATACTTCTTCGCTTAAGTCCGGTTGACAAGGCAACACACGATTCAGTGGAGCCCTTGCTGAAAAGATCTTATTTTCTGTGTCTTCAAAAAAAAATAATAGAACCTAATATTTTTAATCTAGATTTGGTACAAAAAATACTTTGCCAATTTTAGGGAAGGAAAAAAAAAAAAGAACAAATTAGCGAAGTATAATAAATTTATAAATAATTTCTATGTATAGCAAATATAATAGCAAATTTAATAGCACATGAACATTTAATCATCTCCATATTCCTCGTCATCCTCATCATCAAGGACCTCAATGTCATCATCTTCGTCTTCATCACTATCAATGACATAGGCTGGAGTAAGGGCGCGTTTTGCAGTAGTTTTTCTTTCTCTAGCAGGTCTTCTAGATCCAGAACTGGAAATTGTATCCATTAACTTACCTTCAATCTTCAAATCATCCAATTCATCCTTGATCAGAGTCTTTTTCTTGGTTTTCTTAGGTTCTGACAGTGGCGATTTCTTTATCAGTTTCTTTGGAGTGGAGTTATTACTAGAACCGAAAATGAGTTCATCATCTTCACTATCACTGAAAAGGGTAACTGGCTTTTTCTTACTTGAACCTGCCTTTGATTTAGAACTGGAAGAGGAGCTTGTAGGAGAGAAGAATGACAATACATCGGATTTCTTCTCAATTGGCTTTGGACTTGCTGGAGTTACAACTGGTTCCAGTTTCACTATTGGTTCCAGCTTGATCTTCTTCTTTGGTGGTTCTTTAGCTGGAGCTTTTCTGGTTCTCTTTTTCTTATTCTTATCACCAGAAGCAGCCAAAGACTCACGCTCTTCTTGATCCCTAATCAAGAACTTATCAAATTCAACCATGAATCTTTCCAAATCTTCATTCCATAAATCCTTAGCACTCTTCAGTAATAACTCATTCAATTCAGCTTCCTTGATATCACGCTGTTTTAACAATTTCAAATAACGTTCATAAGTCAAAGACCAAATAGTCATACCTAACAAATATTCATATGAAGAATAAACAGTTTCTGGAACATGTTCAGTTGAATTCTTGTCAGTTTCAACTTGCTTAAGATTCAAGGCAGAAATATCACCATCAGAAGCTTCAACAATTTCTTCTTCTTCTTCAATACTATCATCATCATTCAAGAAAAGTTCTTCTTTGATTGGCTTACCTTGTCTGCTGAACTTGATAAACTTGTGCTGTTGAAGTAAGGAAACCAATTCCTTCTTCTTTTTGTTAGCGACTGATAACTTCTTTTCAATGATCATCTTGATGAATCTGGCCTGTTCACTCAACATCATCAACTGATTTTGTAAATCTTCAGACATATAATCCTTTCTTTTTTGGTAGAACTCCAATCTGACATAGTAATAATCCTTAAGAATTTCCAACACATCATTATACTTTTTAATTCTTCCCATAGGATCAAAAGCCACCATATTACCCAAACTGAGCGAAGATACTAATTTAAATCTTTCTAATAATCCCACTTTAAGAGATTTTTCCATTTCGGCATCACTCAATTTGACAACAAATCTAATTGACGTAGTATGGTGTTCTTCCATATCTTTAATCCAAGCTTGGGTCTTTTCATTACCGAAACCTGCCAATAAAAATTCCTTAACATTGTTTGTCCATGTCTTGACTGGAATTTCCGTAATTTCAACGGTATTGTTATCAACTTGTTCAATTCTACCGGAAACCTTATACTTTTGTGGACCCATAGGTTCAATATCACCTTCCCAACCTTTATACCATGGAGTCATTTCTTGAAGTGGCTCTCCATTCATTAATCTTCTAATGTTTGCAACTATATCTTTTGGATTGTATGATGGGATGTTGGTTGACCAACCAGTACCAATACCTTCAGCACCATTGACTAAAATCATAGGTAAAACAGGTAAATACCAAGTAGGTTCTACCGTTTGTTCATCGTCTTGAACATAGGTATACAATGGATCATCCAATGGGTTGAAAATAGTTCTTGTGATTTCATTGATTTCGGTGAAAATATATCTCGCAGCAGAGTAATCCTTACCTCCAGCAGCACGAGAACCGAACGAACCATTTGGCTTCAAGATATTGATATTATTTGAACCAATGAAGTTTTGGGCAAGACCGATAATAGTTTGAATTAAGGACTGTTCACCGTGATGATATCCTGTGTTTTCACTGACGTAACCTGCCAATTGGGCAACTTTAATTTCACTACGAAGTTTTCTTTTGTAACAACCAAATAACACTTTTCTTTGACCTGGTTTCAACCCATCAAGAACCGAAGGAATAGATCTGACATTATCAGACATTGAAAACAAAATCAATTCCTTATTGATGAAATCTGAGATTGGAATATCATTCAAATCTGGATCAAGATGAGTACCTGGAAGGAAACCCTGTAACCATTCTTTTCTATCATCTGCTTTCTTTTTCGAAAATGCTAAATCAATGCATTCCTTATCGTCACCTTGCAAGGCATGGAATCGTTTCAAATGCTTATCCAAAGCAGAGAAATATTCTCTAGCTTCAATTGGGGTAGATGTACCCAAACCCTTATAATACTTCTGGGTCCATCTGCATTGAGTACCTTCAGTATCTCTCCAACGTTCAAATTCAGGCATGTTGTAAAAGGAAATCACCCTTTTGGTTCTACCCTTGACAGTAACTTTAACAATTGGAGTAATAAACTCAAGCAAAAATCCAGGAATATCTAATAAACCAGGGAATGAAGTTTCCAAGAAATTGATAATTAACCCTTTGATATGTGAACCATCTTGATCCTGATCGGTCATGATCATAATATGTCCATATCTTAAACTCTTGATACTTTCTTGAGTATACACTTTCTTGTGTTGTAACCCAATAATTTGTTTCAAAGCATTAATTTCGGCATTTTTTGCAATTTGATCAGCAGAAGCTTCTCTAACATTTAACAATTTCCCTCGGAGTGGGAAACATCCATAATAATCTCTACCAACCACGGAAAGACCAGCAACTGCCAAGTTCATGGCAGAAAGACCTTCTGTAAGAATAAGCGTACATTTAAGACCATCTTTAGTACCGGCTTTGTTGGCGTCAACTAAATTGACTTGACCCTTTATTCTATTCTTACGACTACCATCGGCTTTTTGAAGTGCCTTGTCTTCGTTAGCTCTAGCTATTGACCTAATCTTATCAGCAATACCAGTTTTCAAAATACGGTTAATTAAGTTATCACTAGGAACAAACTTATCCTTACCTCCAAATTGAGATGGTTTGGTAGTTAACTGTTCCTTGGTTTGGGATGTAAATGCAGGATTTTCAATCAAACAATTTAAGAAAATAAACATATTATCTCTAACTTCTTGTGGTCTAATCATAAGTTTCTTCTTACCTTTTTCTCTTTTAGATAAGACTTCAACTAATTTAGTGATGATTTGGTCAGACACGTATTTCACGTGGGTACCACCTGAAGTGGTAGCAATAGAGTTAACAAAACTGACTTGATTAAAACTACCATCACTGACAGCAAATGCAATTTCCCATCTATCATTGAACACTTCATGAACAATTGTGGTGTAGTTTTTCGACTCTTCACCTTCGGGTTCAGGAGATCTTTCCTTGATTGCATTGACGTACATTTCAATATAACTCTTGAAATTGGAAATGGATAATCTCTTATCATTGAGATAGATATTACAATTCTTAACTGTACCACACAAATCGTAGACTCTTCGTCTAAGAACCGCCAAGATATCTTCATCTAAGCTATCCATGTCAAATTTGGCAAGATCAGGCTTGAAAGAAATCTTGGTATATTCTTTCTTAGTTTTTAAGGTAGTGATTTTGGGTTTTGAAACTTTTCCCATATTATTAGTCCAAGTTTGTTTATACAATTTCCCAGTATTTAAATCAGCGGTTTCAAGTTCAAACTCAGTAGAGAAAATGTTACATAATTTAGCACCATACCCATTTCTACCACCAGTAACTTTCTTTTCATCATCATTATAATTGGACGAAGTTAATAAATTACCAAAAATTAATTCAGGAATATACATATTTTCTTTGGTGTGGATTTCCACGGGGATACCTTTACCATCATTCATAACTTGAATAACATTATTCTCAGGATCGATCTTGACGCGTATATTCTTCATAGTCGGGTCTCTGATCTTGTTATCAGCAGCATTAACCAAAATTTCATCAAAGATCTTGTATAAACCGGGAACAATAGTAACTTCTTTAAATTTCATTGATTCTGATTCAGCATCGAAACACCACATCTCCATCTTAGTTTTTTCCACAGAACCAATATATGTGTCTGGTCTCTTTAAAATATGTTCCAATTGAGAAAGTTTTTGATAAGTTTCAGAAGCATTGGATTTAGGACCAGTACCAACCTGGGTAGAGGGAGTGGAAGAACCAGACGTGTTGTTAGTAGAATCAGACAATGGTGATTTGGATGTTTTGGACGCGATCTTCTTCTTTGTAGGTGGAGAAGGAACAAAGTCATCTGAGCCATCAGAATAGTAGTCTGATGCATCAGACTCCAGCGACATAGTTAGATTTGTATCTGTTTTTAGCAAAGAGGTAGACATGTTGCAAGAAAAGAAGTAGAAGGGAAGAGAGAGGAAGCGGAAAAAAAAGAGGGAGATCGTGATCTTTGTTTACATGGGGGGGGGAGGTTTTTTTACAGCCAAAAAAAAACAGTCGCACGCGTTATGTTAACTATGCATTTTGATTCACTTATTAGTTTCTATATACGTTTCACTTTCTTCTTTTTAATAAGTCGTTCTGGATTCTTTCGAATTCATCATCGTCTATGTCCTTTACCAGTCTTTTCTTTCCCCTCTTGTCTCCATATTTGCTTTCTAAACTTGAAATCAAATTATCCAACCGGTTTGCCTGGCGGCTTTTAATTATTGACTTTAAGTCGCCACCATTGGTTTTCTTCTTATTATTAAGCATAGCCTCTAACTCCTTTGCTTGTTTTGCTTCTTTAGCTAATCTTTTTAACATTTGTTTAACTTTGGTTTTTCGAGATTTCGTGTATTTTTCCCATGACTTTATGACATGGGATTCTACATCCAGCTTTGGCAACTCCTCCTCGATAATCTTATATACACGCTGTTCTTCCAGTTCTGTGAATTCCAAATGAGGAATCAACTCAAATAACTTAAGGAAATCCCCATCATAGTATATGAAATTAGATATAATATCATGTCTTTCTTCTTGAGAATTTTGATATTTTAATTTATCTTCTTCTATCATTTCCACCGTTATCTCTTCATTAATTGATTCAAAGTAATCCTTCCAATCAAACCCTTCGTCATCCACATCAAACTCAGCTAATGATCCAGTATTATCATATCTTTTCCTCTTGTTTGGATCATTAAGTATGCTAAAGGAAAACTGGATTTTAGCAAACTGGTCTTGATCTACTGTGGTATTACTTGGCTGTTGCTGTTGGATTTTGTCAGGATGATATTTTAAACATAGTTTTTTATATTTCTTTTTGATATCTATAGGTGTAGCGTTGGTTTCAACTCCCAACGTTTCGTATGGGTTTATATCAGGAAATGGAATACCCATGGTGCATAATATGGACTGTTTTGTTGTAATGTGATGCTGTTAGTAAATACAATTTTTTTTTTTCTCTCCAATTCTCTGGCATTCTGTACTTGCAGGTTAACTAAAAAAGGATCTCAAGAAAATGCAAAAACGGCAACCAAGTACAATTACGATACAAATACATTCAACAAACATATAACAAAATTACAATATAAAATACACGTAAAGAATACTAAACAATACAGAAATAAACTAATTAAATAGAGACCTTAATAATAGTAAAATAAAAATAAAAACAGGACGAATCTACCACTATTTCTTTTCGCTCTTTAAATGTTCAATCTCTCTATAAGCTCTTTCCAATTCTTGCTTTAATTTTTCATTTGAAGCACTTAATTCGGAAACAGCTTGTTCAGTTAATAACTTTTCTAATGTCCACTTTTCAATGTTATTGTTTTCATTTTCCTTTAATCTCTTAATGTATTCAACTGCACGTTGCAAAATTTGGGCTTTGTTAGTATCATTGGTTGGGATTAATGCAGCCAATTCTTTAATACCCACGTTAATTGATTCTCTTCTTCTTCTTTCAACTTCCTTGTGGTTTTCTCTTCTTTGTCTATGCCATTCGTCAGAACCATGTGTTGGTTTGTTAGCAGAAGTTGGGGGTAAGGTGGTTGGTCTAAATGGGTTTTGTCCTTGGGCTTCTTGTTGTTGTTGGTATGCTTGGTGGTATGACAAGCTTTGTTGTTGACTTTGTTGAGCTTGTTGTTGTTGTTGCTGCTGCTGCTGTTGATGTTGTTGTTGTGCTTGTTTTTGATCAGAATCATTAACTGCAGCAACAGCCGCTTCAGCAATTGAAGCATCTTCTCCTTCCTTATTATTGTTCACATATGACGATTGTTGACCTAATAACTCGGAATCAATGGCAATTTCTTCCTTCTTTGATAATTTCACCTTCTTTTCCAGACGTACACGTTCGTCTCCTTCTCTTTTAGACATTTTCTTTTTATTATGTAACTAGCTCATGTTAGTATTTGCTGATAATTGTTATGCAGGCGAAAACAACACTATCATTTTAGTTTATTGGCCATCTCATTTGCTTTGGATAATAGCTTTGATCAACTGATGGGTTGTAGTTTTATGTGTGCATGCATGAGACATGCGCATTTTTGCAAAAAGGTGGGGACGGGTCTTGCTTGATCACGAGGTCAAGTCAAGTGTTTATAGTTAAAATTGCCTAATAAACATTCTTTTGACAGATATTGAACTTCAGCAGTCCTAAAAACTAAAATTACTTACATTATTCAAATGTGGAATTGGCGTATTTGTTGGTGGTAAGCTAGATGTACAATTCTAGTACGTTAGTTTTGCAATCTATTCAAATGCAAATTCAAGAAAGTCACGTTTATAGCCTGTGGTTCACTTAACAGCCAGGAAAAAAAATGAGGGAATTTCGGTTTTTTTGTGTTTTGAAAAACATCACGAGGTTTTTCTCACATGGATTTCACCTGACCCACGCCCGTGGCCGGGTAAGAAAATCAAAACAATAACATAGAGTGAGATAGAGGAAAAAAAAAAAATTGCAAATGTAATTTCTGCACAAGCCCACGACCCCTCACTCGATGGGCTGGCTGGCTCGAGCTAAGAGAAGAGTCAATTATGTTTTTCCCAATGCCGGAACATCCTCAGTTGCCGCATTCGGTAATATTCAACTAGATTTTGCCATTCGGGTCACGTCGGATAGTAAGTGTTATAGTTGCTATGCAATTTTCGCTTTTTAATATAGCCTATCAGTTGTGCCTCTTGTTGGTCGTGTAGTAAATTGTGGAAGTTTGCCATCCGGATTGTATCGGTTAATGACAGCAATTCCAGTCCAGTTTACGTGTGTGGTTGTATTTCTTGAATTTTCCTTTATTTTTTTGCAAAAATTGTATGAAGTATTTTTATGCGACTTGGAATGAGGAGAGAGAGAGAGAGATTCAAGCAATCAATTCAGGTACAAAAATATCCAAAATCAACTGATAAAAATAGAGCAAATGGAGGGGCGTTTAACGGATACATTGTTCCGATATACATATGATCTGACTAAGGCTTCCTGAATAAAGAGTCAACCATGGATAAATATGGCATGTATAGTCATGATTCTCGTATGCTATATGCGCTAAGAAAAGAAATGACTTACGAATATGCGCTTACGCAGTCTGGAATGTGGTTCATGCAACTTATGCGCTTAAATTGTTAGTGTGCAGCAAGACGAAAAAAGAAACCCATGAGGTTGCATTTGTAAGAAATCGGGACGATCTGCTCCTAACGGCGGAAAAAATAAAACTCAACGCAACATTATTATTCAAATTATTCAAAATTCATGTAATTTTTTTTTTTGCATCATTCCACCTTTCCAGGAAGAATACCTCCGCTGTTTTAACTGCAAAAGATGAAATGTGAAATATATAAATACAACCTGAAATGGATTAAATTTCTCAATTCCTTTCAATTCTTTCTTCTCATCACAAACTAATATCATAGATATTAACACATATACACACACACACAAATACAAAAAAACATACAATGTCTGAAGTTACTTTAGGTAGATATCTTTTTGAGAGATTACATCAATTAGAAGTCAACACCATTTTCGGGTTACCAGGTGATTTCAATTTATCCCTTTTGGATAAGATTTATGAAGTTGAAAATATGAAATGGGCAGGTAATGCCAATGAATTGAATGCCGCTTATGCCGCCGATGGTTATTCAAGAATTAAGAGATTGGCTTGTTTAGTCACCACTTTTGGTGTTGGTGAATTATCCGCTCTTAACGGTGTCGGTGGTGCTTATGCTGAACATGTTGGTTTATTACATGTCGTTGGTGTTCCATCAATTGCTTCTCAAGCCAAACAATTATTATTGCACCACACTTTAGGTAATGGTGATTTTACTGTTTTCCACAGAATGTCAAACAACATTTCTCAAACTACTGCTTTCATCAGTGACATCCACAGTGCTCCAAGTGAAATTGATAGATGTATTAGAGACGCTTATGTTTATCAACGTCCTGTTTATGTTGGGTTACCAGCTAACTTGGTTGACTTGAAGGTTCCAGCTTCCTTATTAGACACCCCAATTGACTTAACCTTGAAACCAAACGATCCAGAAGCTCAAGACGAAGTTATTGAAACCGTCAAGCAATTGATTTCTCAAGCTGCCAACCCAATCATCTTGGTTGATGCATGTGCTTCCAGACATGACTGTAAGCTTGAAGTTGAACAATTGGTTGACGCTACTCAATTCCCAGTCTTCACTACTCCAATGGGTAAGTCCGGTGTTAATGAAGCCCACCCAAGATTCGGGGGTGTTTATGTTGGTACTTTATCCCACCCAGAAGTTAAGGCTGCTGTTGAAAGTGCTGATTTAGTCTTGTCTGTCGGTGCCCTTTTATCTGATTTCAACACCGGTTCCTTCTCCTATTCTTACAAGACCAAGAACATTGTTGAATTTCATTCTGATTATACCAAGATTAGACAAGCTACTTTCCCAGGTGTTCAAATGAAGGAAGCCTTACAAAGTTTGTTAAAGACTGTCAAGCAAGCCGTCAACCCATCTTACGTTGCATTGCCAGTTCCTAGTGTTAAATTGATTGCTTCTCCAGCTCCACCAGCTACCCCATTAACTCAAGAATACTTGTGGACCAAGGTTTCTTCTTGGTTCAGAGATGGTGATATCATTGTCACTGAAACCGGTACTTCTGCTTTCGGTATTGTTCAATCTAGATTCCCAAGCAACACTGTTGGTATTTCCCAAGTGTTGTGGGGGTCTATTGGTTTCACCGTCGGTGCTTGTGTAGGTGCTGCTATGGCTGCTCAAGAACTTGATCCAAACAGAAGAGTTATTTTATTTGTTGGTGATGGGTCTTTGCAATTAACCGTTCAAGAAATTTCTACCTTGTGTAAGTGGGAATGTAACAACACTTACTTGTTTGTATTGAACAACGATGGTTACACCATTGAAAGATTGATTCACGGTGAAACTGCTAGTTATAATGATATCCAACCATGGAACAACTTGCAATTATTACCATTATTCAACGCTAAGGAATATGAAACTTTGAGAATTAGTACAGTTGGTGAATTGAACAAGTTATTTAATGATAAGGCCTTTGCCACCCCAGACAAGCTTCGTATGGTTGAAGTTATGTTACCAAGAATGGATGCTCCTGCTAATTTGGTTGCTCAAGCCAAGATTTCTGAAGCTACTAATGCTGCTCAAGATTGATTTTTCACTTCTCTTAAATAGAACATTTTAGAATCTTAATAACAAAAATTTTTGAATTAGTTAAAAACCTTACAATGGAATTACTGTACAAATATAAATTATTCTATTAATTGAGATATTCAAATATATCTTCTTGAACCCTACTGGAAACCCTTACGTCTCCCTGTTTATATGCCGCTTCTAATGCAAGTGATCTACTGATCCTTTCATCATAACTATCCAAGTCATTCTTCAACCTATATGCAAATGGTTCATACTTGATAGGTGGGAAATCGGGCAGGTTAGCCATCAAATTGGCGGTTGACTTACCAAAAGTCAACCTCATGATTTCCTGTTCATGGAAACTAGTGAATGCACGATACTTGTAATATTGAATTAAAACTTCATCTTTTCTAAGGAAATCTAGAAGATCTTTATCACTCATTCTAATCACTCGCTGAACTTCTTCACCATTCAAGTATGGGAACGAACGTTGTTGAAGACTCTTGTACCCTTCTGATCTATCTCTATTCAATTTAGCAACTTCATCCTCAGTCATGTAATATGAGAAATCCAAGAATGGTGTATGGTCAGGATCTTCACCTGCACGTTCATTATAACTATGATATCTATTCCACTTGGCTCTATCTCTAAGGAAATAGAATAAATCTTCTTCCTTGACCCATAATCTTAGTCTTGGAACGAAAATGTGACCCAAGAATCTATGTGATGTCATACCAGTTGGATACTCACGGGCAAGGATAGATGGGTATCGTTGAGGAATATAACCAATTTCACCTTCAACTGAAGTTTTAATCAATGGAGAAAGTTCTTCATATGATGAAAAATGATTGTTACGACAGTTGTAAAGTTGTAATAACGAGTTTTGCGCCGTGTAATCCTCCTCATTTTTTTGGAAGGTATAAGGTAACATTTCTTCATAATCCTTAGGAGGTTCAGTGTTGGAAACAGCCAAAGCCGTGATATCAATATACAACCCAGTGTCAATGTCAATAAATCTTGCATCAATATTATTTTGTCCATTACCCTTTTCACGTTGAGTGATAAAAGTACTACAATCAAGGAAATATCTACCATAGCCATCTTCAGGGTCTTCAACCACTAATGTTTGGTTGTATTCTAGGGACAACTTATGGAGATCCAATATTGGAACTTGAACATCAATATCATTGTCCCATGGGAAAGCTAACCCATTCCAGTACCACGATAAAAGAGAACCATGGGCTATCCAAGTGGTGATACCTGTTTTTCTGGTAAATGATAACCAAGCTCTAATCATTCTATGTAATGTTAATTCCAATTCAGTAGTACCATACATAACACCAGAAAAGAATCTCCAATCATAATGATCACCTAACAAAGTGTTTAATAATCTTGATTCTTCCAAGTATTTAGTTGGCCCATCAGTTTGAACTTTATGTACGGAATATTTCAAACTCTCAAAATACTTTTGTTCCTTTGGAGTCAACAGTTGTCCACGGTTCAATTTCCTTTGGTAGCCCATAATGATGGCATCGAAATTGACTTTGAAACTATCTTCTGGGATATGGATTTCATAATCATTGATAACTTTATGGGTATCAGGTGCATGATTCTTTTTCAATTTATGATATTCAGTAAGAACGTTTAATTTGGTATTTCCATGTTCTTGGATATATGATTCAGGAATACCATTGTCCAAAAGCTTGATGTTGGATTTGATTCCAACAGAATACGAACCTTCTTTAGTTAAGAACAATACCAGACTCGGAGGAGGAGCAAACGAATACATATATGATCTGCCTGCAAGCTTAGCTCTTTGTTGGGTTGTTTTACCTGGTGGTAAAAATACATTGAACCCTGGATGAACTCTGTGACCATCATTGTGTTTATAAGGCAATTTGATATCATTAACACAGAAAGTTTCCACTATTGGAACGATTCTATCGCCTGGAACTGGCTGTAACAAGTCAAATCTTTCATCCCGCTTTCCAAAACTGTGAAGGTCTCTCTTGCCAAGTTTTGGCTCGTCCAAGTTTTCATCTCGTTTACCAAGATTGTCTCGCTTTTCAGGTTTATTGAGTACAATTTGGTCCCCCTTTTGGGCTTCTGGAGGAGTTTTATCCGAATCCTTTTGAGCTTTATTCTCTTGGGGGTTGTCTTTAGTATCATCAGGAGATTTGTTAGAATTTTCCTGTTGTATCTGTTGCAACTGTTCCTTATCCTTTTCAGATTGTTTATGTTTATTTTCTTCTTCTTTCCCTTCGTTTCTAGCTTTTTCTCTAGCTTCTTGTATTTCTCGTAACTTTTCCAAGTTCTTTCTATTCTGATCTTCTTGTTCAATTTGCTTTTTTCTTTCTTCTGATATCTTCTCTTCTCTTTCCTCCTCTTTTCTCCGTTCTTCTTCAAGTCTCCTCATTTCATCCATCCTTTCCTTTTCATATCGAGCATAATCTTCGAATAATCTCTTCTTTTCCTCCTCCAGCAATTTACTTATAGCCACTTTTTTCTTTCTTTCTTCGATTTTGTGTGCATCAGCATCAGAATCCAAGATATGACAATTTGGTTTTTGATGTCTTGGAGCTAAGAGATATTTATTCAATTCCGACATGTCTATCCAATCGTACCAATTGAAAGGAATTTCTATTTGCGTAGCAAGGGGGTTCCTATTCATTTCTTCATTAATGTAATAATAATACAACCCTAAAGTGAATCTGGGATCAAATGGTTGGAGCAATGGCTTTTCTTGCTGGTAATTTTTCCTAGTGTCATAATATTGGGGTATATTTATATGAGCGTGAGGTTGGATTGAGGTATCGGCTAACCAGAACTTATCTTCAAGGTCATTTCTGATCTTGTTTTGGAAAGTTTCTTCAATTTTCATATCTAACTGTCGTTCAGGTTCTGAAGCCTCACGGTAAATATCAACTCTTCTTTCCTGGTGATTATACGTCAGTAGTCTGTCGCGAGATGAACTAATTATTGTAAATGTGACTAGAAATAATAAACCAGCAACCATGGTTAGTTGAAAATTTTTCTTTCTCAGGAATAGTAGACCAACTACATGTTTGAGATAGTCCAGAAATGGAATGTCCTTGGAGGGGGCATCCATTAGTTTAACCATTATAACAGGGTGTATTTAGAAAAAAATATATGGGGGGTGTATGTGTGTGTGTGTGTGTGTGTAGTTGTCGTGTGATTGTAATAAATGTGGTTGTCGTGTGATGCTTGTTTGTGGTGCCCGAAGTAAATTTATTTGTCTTTGAACTGTGTAGTGTGAAGCTAGTAAGGCGATTTAAGCTTTCTCTTGTGGATCTTTGCTTTATTGATAACCTGTTAACTATGTCAGAAGGGTATGTTTGTAAAGATTCTAGCTAAATAATCAAAACAAATCACCTAAATATGACCAGGGCTAATTCAAGGGGTTCTAGTAGTTAATTCAAGCTGCTATAATTAGTAGTGAGACCTTTCCAGTGCTCCTAATGCCTATCAAAAAGTTTAAAAAAAACGTAAAGAAGGTTTTGTGATGGATTTTAAGAGTTTTCACCAGATGGAAGAAGATAAAAATCTGAAACAAATCAGGGACTAAAAGTATAAAAATGAACGGGTATAATCTACTGGGCAACCAAAAAGCCTTACTAAAAATAAAAATGCTGTGAAATTGTGAAGTCTTGGCAGAGAGAGAGAGGGAGCTGCAGCAGCAAGAAGCACAAAGGGTAAATTTCGTGTCAAGGCAAAAAATAATTTATGTATTGTTCGCTCTATATAATAATAGGAACAAACTTTTACCTCCTGATAAATTTATGTAACTTTACATATTAAACTTTATAGTATCTTAGCGACCGTGTTCTGACCTGTAATTACCTAAATGTACTCATCAGCTCATGCACCAATATAAAACATATGTATGTAACCTTGTTTCAGTCCGTTACATCGGTGATGTGCCAAATTAGGTGTGGTTGCCACATCCTGAAATTTGTTGGGACAAAAAACAATAATGAGAAAAATTTTTTCCTTGTTATTTCCAAGTGATGCAAAATGTTTGTGCCTTATTCGTGGTTTTTTTGTACCTTTGTGGGGATGGCTTAAAATCACCTACAATAGAAGTAGATCACACGAGTAAAAAAAACCGCATTAGGAAGCTGCATTACTCAGAGGCGATTCTTGTGTATCAACGCCATTTTGATATTATATCCTTATTCACCACTCGAGACGCGTCACATTTCTAGAGTATCACTTGAGAAGTTCTTGAAATTTTATAGCCATTATGCACATAAAGCCCCCTTTTTTTCAGCTAGACGAGTGCCTCTGCTGATGATACGGAGAGATAATGCAACTTTAACCGCTCTCGTACCATCTATGTTTTGTTTTTAGTCAAACTTAAAATAACAATGAGATCTTTCCAAATTGACCAATTGAAGCCTACGAGCAAGTAGCGTGTAGAATCTGCTCAACAACGAAGTCATTCATTTGGAGAATGTTGAGCTTAGTGTGATTGCTGTACGCTGCATGTATAATCCTGTTCAAATCTTCTTTCTCGTTATTTCCTTGAGAATTATCTAATCTTTCAATTACAACAAGCCCAGTTTGTGTTGGACCTGAGCCACTTTTTTGAAATGAAACAGTTAATCACAAAGAAATTGTACACTTTTTATTTTAAAAAAATAAGCTACGTTATAAAACGTAATTGTGTTATTTTACTTTGATTCCACCGTAAAAATTAATGCTTTCTTTTTCTTGAGATATTCTTAGAGAAAAGATAAAGATAAAGATAAAGATAAAGATTTATTACCTAAAACCAAGAATTAACACAAAATCACCAAAACGCATCAATCAATGGAATTAGATTCGTAAATTATTAACAATAAGGGTTACCTCTGGAACTACTGAAGATGTTTTCACATTAATAACAAATGAGCAAAACCGTATTTATTTTAGCATGGTTTACACCACCCTTCCAATACTATCCTGGGTTTGTTATATATATATATGTGACCAATTCCCCGAGTTCAACTGAGATAAACTAGAAATGACACTTATTTTGTTCAATTTTCATTCAAGTAAATTGTCTCACTACACAGGAACCCTGAACAAGTCCTTATCCAACACATAATTCTATGAATTCAGTGATTGTTGATAGTACCAACCGAATACTCATGCGTGTGCCCTCTATATCGTCACATCTGTAGAAACCAAACTTCCTTAGCTCACGCTTCTAGTCGTTTACAATCGAGGAGTTGAGAACACTACATTGCAGGCTATATGCGACAAGATATCTTCTACATTTTGGAAATTCTCCATTACATCATAAAGCAGCAGCAGCAGAAAAATCGTTGCCAAGAATAACGGATATCCATCGGATTTGGCCAAGAGATAAATCGAGCCACTTTAAGTTCCTTTCCTAAACACCAACAAGAATATCTGGGCTATACGACCAATCAGATCTAGTAAAAATATGCCGTGACAACTCAAGTGGAACAACATAAAATGCCTAGACTATATTAGAGACAATTGATGCAATTGAAATTACGTAAGGTGAGTAAAACAGGCATGATGGTCATCAATGCATTTATAAGGAGGCGCGGTATACGCACCTGCACTTGGTTACCAATCAAAAGTGCTATACAACATAAAGCGCAACAGAATTAAGAGAGAACGCATACCGTACTACAAATAAGGAATCGTACTTCCATGTAATCACAACCATCATGATTTGTTGCAAAAGAAAAAGGGCAAAGCGCCTTTCCCAAATAGGCAGGCAACTTCCGCTGAATGCGTGTTTCTTTTTCGCACGTGATTAACGATCTTGGTTTAGAAGTCCGAGGGTTTGACAGAGCAAAAGGTTTCAATTTACCCGGGGGTAAAAACCCACAGTGGAAAAAAAAAAATAAAAAAGAAAAAAAGAAACTGACGATAACATCTGCCCCACTAAAAAAAATTATAAAAAAACGTTGATTTTCCACAAAAAAACCAACATACGATTAAATTGGCCACATTTCCCTTAGCTACAAAGATAATTCGACTTAATCATGAATGTCCAAGCAGTAGCACCAATACTATCAACCATGCAAAAGCAAGCTTCAGGAAGCAGAAAAAACAGAATTGGTAGTGTCCCAATCACGACATTATTACAACTACAATCATTATTAAAGAAATCTGTATTCAGTAGGAAGTTCTACCAGGAGATAAACGACAAGGTTCTTGCTAGCTCAGCAACCGTGGATGCTAACTTATACTTTATATGTTATTTCACCCTTTTGGTTTCCGCTGTTCTCAATAATAGACCAAAGATTGTGTACTGGTTACAAAAGCAAAAGTACAATTTACTCCAGGTTATCAAGAAATTTAGTCAACTTCAGTTTGGCACTGACTTATCTCAAAGTGATAATAAACTTGTAAGTAAGATATTCAGTCAACAACCACCGGTATTGGACGAGAAAGCTTCCTCCTCATTAGCAGTCCATTTCAAGGCGATAAGCTCGTACTTATCGGATATTAGAATTTTCAACAGATTAACTGATTCAATAAAGTACATGCCATGGATAATAGACGAATTTCACGCATACATGGACCCATCCAACCCAACTGCCAAGTTCGACCGCTTAGTCAACTTTGTTCAATCCTTGAACTGTCTTGTGTTGGAATTGCTTGAAAATGCCGGTTGGTTAACCGATCATAATTGGGTCGGCACCGGCGATAACGACTGGTGGTCATTTGAAACTTATATCTGGTGTAGTAGAATATGGGGTGCTTATTTACTAATCGAAATCATAGAATTGGTTAGAAGAACTCCAAGAAGTAAATGGAATACCAAGTGGAAGATTTCTTTATTCCAGCAAGTCATTCAAGTTCCTTTAGTGGCTCACTGGTCGTTGAGAGAAGGATGCTTAACTCCATTCTGGGTCGGTGTTTGTGGTTGTGGTGCTTCATGGTGGAAGTTTAAAGATATGTGGAAATCATTAGATATGTCTTAAGTCTTTATATTTATTTTTGTACAACATTAGAGAAATATATTTAATTTTACATATGTAAAAAAAAAAACAACAGTCAAGCTTAATCCCTAAATCTCTTATCTTCTCGGGCGGCTTTCTTTTCCATTTCATCCCAATCTTCACCATCGTCACTTTCTTCATCAAATGAGCCTTCGCTGTCACTTCCAGACGCAGAGTAATCATCGCTAGCTTCACTTTCTTCGTCTTCGTCTTCATCTTGAGGATCTTCGTCACTGACTTCAAATTCGGATTCCTCTTCCTCCTCATCTTCTTCATCAGAGTCACCTTCACCAGTCAAGAATGACCAACCTCCATCAACAAAAAATTGATAAGGATCAGATTGAACCGTCTTCATAATTGTACCCCAATTCAAATTCATTTGTCCTTCACTTATAGGAATATCAACGTCAGTAAGCCATGATTTAACATCTTCCAATACTTCCATAGGGATGGTATTCACATGAACCACGGGTTTGTTGAAATCTTTAAATACAAACACCAAATCGAAGTTCTTTAATCCAAATTGAACTCTTTCCAAATGGGCAATTTCAATTTCTTCTAAAGTGACAACAAGGTATGGTGGATCAACCAATTGTACCAAACAATCACGAGTTGGCATACAAAACACAGAAGATCTAAATGGAACACCCTGAAATCCCAATTCTCTAAATGGAATATCTAAATCAATTAATCCATGAGACAGGTCAGCAATCAATTCAGCAAATGCCTTGAATTCTTTATCTAAAAGCGTTTTTCTTCTTCTTTCTTCTTGTTCTTGTTGCAATTCATCTTCATCCCCATATCTATATCTTCTCTTTCTACCTCCAGTTTCATCAAATGCCATATCACTTGCTTCACGATAGAATTGAACATCAAAGGTTTTCTTCTTACCAATCATAATTGGATTCTTCAAATGACAATGAATAATAACAATCAATTCGTCTTTACAAGGTTGGAAAAACAAATGCTTGATATTGGAGAACAAGACATCTACTTTTTGATCAGACTTGAAACTGGATTGGTATCTTAAACCATTTTCATGGATTTGTAACACCCCACCCAACTTCTTGGTATCTGGGGTTGGTCTCACGAAAACTTGTTCCAACTTCTTCATTCTGGTTCCCTTTAATTCAATCAAGTTGGCTTGAGTAACGACATCCGCCATTTGCTTCTTTTCCAGTTCTCGCTTAACACTTTCCTTTTTCATATCTTGAATTGCCTTGTACACATCAATCATTCTTTGACGATCTCTTGATCTAAGAGTGATTGATCTCAAGAAAGTATTATCGGGAGAATCTTCATATGGTAATTCAATCTTCTTGCTGACATTACCACCAGCACCAGGGGAATTAAAGTTTAATCGAAGAGAAGTGAAATCTCCTTCTTCAGTTTGTGAACCACTTTTGTAGGAGTTAATGTGGAATGGAACTGGTCTTCCTTGAATAGGCAAGATGATAGTTTGATTCTTGATATCGATGTGGATTCTTAAATCACGAACATTGGCAGGAATTTGCGATTCACGAATATACGATTCATACTTTTTAAACACGGGTTTAAAATCACCAGAATCAGTAGCATCGGCTTTGGAAAATCTAGCCAACCCTTCTTGTAATCTCTTTTCATGCAATTTAGATTGAATTCCTTGTCTGACCTTTTCAGCATTGGCATCATCAACTTCATTGGTTTCGTGTCTCAATTTAGACTTGAGAATCTTGGAATTAAGTTCGGCACCTTCATTCTTGATACTTTCAGTTTTCAATTTCTTATCCTCATTTTCATCCTTGAAATAAAAGGAAATTTCTGATTTAGATTTAGGATAAGTGGTTAATAAAATTGGTTCGGACTCACTAACTTTGAATGTATCAGTTAATAACAAAGAATAAGTTTTTAATTTAGGATTCTTGGCACTTGAATTAGACAAGTTGTTGAATCCAATAGTCAAGGAAATGATTTGTCCATTGAGCAAACTTCTTTCATTCTTGGCATTTAAAACAAAGGTAGAATCTCTAAATTCAATACCTAATAACCAACCAGCGTTCTTGGTGAAATGGGAAACCAAATCTGGTTTTTCTTTCTTGATATAATCAACAGCACCTTGGTATAACTTATTAGCTTGAACACCATCCTTCAATAAAGTAGAAGTAATATGGTTTTGTAATTTCAACAAGAAATCATAATTAGCTTCAATTTCAGGAGTTGGATCAATTAAAAAGGTTCTGGCCACGTTACTACAGTATGCTTTGTATCTTAACCCAATTGAGGAGAGAATGACACCGTCACCAATCAACATAGCATCAGTTGACACGGCACTTGGTTTTAAATCATACTCACCACCACTTTGAACAATAGGGGAATAGCACCATTCAAGAAATTCGGGATCAAATTCTTTAAGTGGCTGTAACAAAGATTTTCCTAATTTTGATTTAAGATACCACTTGTTGTTTTCAATCTTATCTTCTATTTGATCAGAGATTTGACTGTTGGTGACCTTCTTTTCTTCATCAACCACAACCATCATTTCATCAGCAAAGGTATCCATCATAACCACAGATGCTTTAGAGGCGATCTTGGTATTGTTGAATTCTTCGGAATCCTTAACTTCCATACTCTTTGAGATTAAGATTGCTATGTCAACAGGAGTCAATTTATCCCCACCTTCTTCTTCAAGAACCTTCTTCCATTCGTCAAGTAATTTCCCTTGGTACTTGTCCTTTAAGACAGATCCATAACTGGTACCATTTTCTTTTAAAGTCTTGATCAAATCGACAAATAATTGATGATTCTTGTCGGCGTCCTTAGTTCTGACCCAAATTTCAACCTCACTGGAGTTCAGTGAAGGTTTGCCAGTCAATCCCTTCAAATACTTGGCTTTTCCTTCTGAAGTTAAAAACACACATTTGTCCTTAGTGACGTATATGGCAGTATGAACGAATTCGTAACCTAATAACCAATTCTGTAATACAGTAGATTTCTTGTAGGTGTTCTCATCTTCACGAGCACCCACGATAACGAGGGCCTGGGTGATGTTTTCCGCAACAATGTTCTTCTGGAGGATGGACAACCGCTTGTGGAATAACCCAGCATCAATTTTAACATCAGTCATGATTGATTGGTGGATTGGTCTTGTCTGATACGGAAGAAGAGATTGAAGATCTGAGCGTGTTTTTCGTTCGCTGAGTATTTCACTTTTTCTTTCTCAGCAACGCAAAGTTAAAATTTCGCGATTGCTGCTACCATGTGGCAGTGACGATAAGTCATAATGGGTTTATTTGAACGGGTCATGGGAATGTGAAGGGAAATCCATCGTTTGGGAAGATGGAATCTGTTACTTTGAATGTTTATTAGTTTGAAAATTTTTTGGATTCTTAGAAATGTATCGCTTGCGTTGGAATACAGGCAGATCTTTAATTTTTAGGCAAGAATAAGCATAGATTAGACGTACTACCAAATAAACTATACATAATATTCTTAATTGATCCAAGATTTCAAAAGAACTAGTATAAACTTACGAGACAGTCAGATATATTTGGCGTGGTTCTTGATGCCTTGTGCTATGTAAGTTAAAATCTACGTAAAGACATCAATCAAGTGCGGCTCAGAGATTACCAAAAAAAAAAAGCACGGACGCGTCTTGGTCAATTGAAAAAAGAAAAACAATACTGAACTTTCTTCTCGAACTGTGTGCTTTGACAACCCCAAAACAACAACAACAACATGTTCAGACAAGTCAAGAGAAGAACCGCGGGTCGGAGAAACTTTGAAGATGATAAATTCTCATCATCAGTTTCTCCTTCATCCCGTCTTTACAAATCTCGACTTTCATTCTATGATATCCCACCAATGTCCGAAATCACGCTCGAACAATTTGAGATGTGGGCTATAGACAGATTGAAGATCTTGATTGAAATAGAATCCTGTCAGGCCAGATCCAAGTCCTTGAAGGAGATCGAAACTTCTATAAAACCCTTGCTATTGAAGTATTTGCCCTTGAGTCCTTCTGGAGAGAATATTGAACAAGAAAGAATCAAAGATCATTATAGTCATTATATTCTTAGATTGGTATTTTGCCGTAGTGAAGACTTGCGTAAAAAGTTTATCAAGAACGAGACTACTTTGTTCAAGGTGAGATACAACTTGTTGCAACCAAAGGAACAACAAGAGTTCATTGAATTGTATAATGACAGGTTAAGTTGGAATTACATCAGTGCCAATGAAAAGCAAGAAGTTTTCGATCAGTTGTACGCGGCATGTGGACTAACTATCAAGAACCATTTGTTAGTAGAAGGAGAAAACTTGAACAACGAACAATTGAGACAACATTTACTCGTTAAGGAAAATTTCATTAAATTACCGTTTGAGAAATGCGCAAATTTAGTCGGTAGTCGTTCGATTTTTTTGCGCAACGGATACGGCTATTTACCTTCGAGTTTGCAATTAAACTTGTTGGCTATTGAGTTTCAAGAAAATTTAAATCAAATTCTTTTACAAACTTTTCATACCATACCAAGATTAGAAGAAGATGATCGAATTTTACCATTGTTGAATAACATGTCAAGAAACTTTGCCAATATTCAATACGACTCGGGATACAACCAAGATCCTGCCTTGGCTTCAGATATCAATGCCCAATCCGTGACAACTGACACTATCACCCAACACTATCCACTTTGTGCCAAGCACTTGCAGAATACTTTGGTTGCAAATTCACATTTGAAATACAATGCTAGACAACAGTTGGGTTTGTTCTTGAAAGGTATTGGGTTGAGTGTTGACGAGGCAGTAAAGTTTTGGTCGTATCAATTTACCAAGTCCGGAGTCATGTCTCAGGAGAAATTTAATAAAGAATACAAGTATAACATTAGGCATCAGTACGGGTTAGAAGGGGCCAGAATTAACTACAAACCATGGGATTGTGCTATTATTTACTCCAAACCTAATCCCGGTAGGGGTGAAGCGCATGGATGTCCATATCGTGATTTTTCCTTGGATTCCCTCGTCAACAATCTACAAGAAATGGGTATCACTGACCAACAAGAATTAAACAATGTGATTGACGATGTCAATAAACGTGATTACACTATTGCATGTACTAGAGTATTTGAATTGACTCATAAGAAACAACTAGCTACTGCTGGTGCCAAGATGGAAGGGTTACACATTAACCACCCCAATTTATATTTTGATAGATCAAGACAATTGGCCAAATCTGAATAGGGGGTGGTGGATGAGATTGACGTTGTCATTTTTTATAGAATTCCCAATTAGGCAAGCATCAATACCGATATTTGTGAAATAAAGATCGGTTGTCGAGCTGGGGGCTTTGTTTGTTTCAGATTTCCCTTTTCGACCTGTTGGATCACGTATTTGTAGTCTTGATTGTAACAACCCATTGTTTGAATTTTTTGCAGCATTCTCCCCTGAAACAATCGTCACGTGATCGTTTTTGTGCCCTGATGGACAAAAAAAAAGTCTAGACTTTGAGGAGGCGGACATAGACGGCAGGGTATGATTGTAATTATCTTTTTTTTTTTCATAAGCGGTTTATATAAATACACCAATTAGATAGTGACAAGTAGGTTATAGTGCAATTACACCCCAACGTTGCTCTGTCTTTTTTGCAGTTCCAATCGGTTAAATCTTCTGATTCGACCTACTAATTTTTTCTTCACAAGCAAAAAAAAATCAGATTCTAATTATTTTTTTTTCCCCTTTGCAAAAAAAAAAACTTGTCACCTAAAATTTGTTTAGTTCATGCGTACGTTTCTCAATTATTTTTATTTCGTATTTTTACAACAACTTTCTTAGTAGTGGTTTAAATATCTGCCAGATTTCCCACTTTACTCGACTAAAAACACATTATTTTGGTTTAATACATCCGCCCCACCTTTTGTCGTTCCTTTTATAAAATACAACGTGCTCACAGATTTACCATGAATGTAAATCAACAAGTTCAACAGTCACAACCGCGTCAAGTATCGTTCAATGTTTCGGATCATTATCAGATTATTGAGATTGTAGGTGAGGGTGCGTACGGTATTGTTTGTTCGGCTATTCACAAGCCGTCCAACCAGAAAGTCGCTATTAAGAAGATTGAACCGTTTGAAAGGAGCATGCTCTGTCTTAGGACTCTTCGAGAATTAAAATTATTAAAACATTTCAATCACGAAAATATAATAAGTATATTAGCAATCCAGCGACCGGCCAGTTATGAAACCTTCAATGAAATCTACTTAATTCAAGAACTCATGGAGACGGATTTACATCGAGTTATCCGCACCCAGAAGTTGACGGATGACCATATCCAATATTTTATTTATCAGACATTAAGAGCTTTAAAGGCCATGCATTCGGCTAATGTGTTACATCGAGATTTAAAACCACTGAATTTGTTATTGAATTCAAATTGTGATTTGAAAGTGTGCGATTTCGGGTTGGCCAGATCTATAGCATCGCTGGAAGACAATTTCGGGTTCATGACCGAGTACGTTGCTACTAGATGGTACAGAGCTCCTGAAATCATGCTAACTTTCCAAGAATATACCACGGCAATTGATGTATGGTCGGTTGGTTGTATACTTGCGGAAATGTTGACAGGTAAACCATTGTTCCCTGGGCGTGATTACCATAATCAATTATGGTTGATTATGGAAGTGTTGGGTACGCCAAACATGGAAGACTACTATAATATAAAATCTAAAAGAGCAAGAGAATACATTAGATCATTACCGTTCTGTAAGAAAGTTCCGTTCCAAGTGTTGTTCAATAATCCTGACATCAACCCCTTGGCACTTGATTTATTGGAGAATTTACTTATATTCAATCCGGCCAAGAGAATAACAGTGGACGATGCTTTGAAACATCCATATTTGAAATTATACCATGATCCAAATGATGAACCTATAAGTGAGAAAATCCCCGAGGACTTCTTTGATTTTGATAAGAGAAAGGATGAGTTGACGGTAGAGGAATTGAAGAAGATGCTATATGATGAGATAATGAAGCCATTGTAAGACAGTATTTGCATAGACTCTGGTAAGAGTAGGTTTATAAAGTCTATAGGTAATGTATTTTGACTTGTAATTAGGCGGATGTTTCGTAGCGGGTGGTATACGACGCGAAATTTTGTTTCTTGTTTTTCTATGTAAATGCCGACCTACACCCAGCGAACCGCGTTCATGGTGGAATTATACATTTCATGTATAACTTGTTAAATATACTGCAAACTGACGTTTTGCCATCGTTGTTTCCGGTTGCTGTGGTTGCTCTGATTGCAAATGTAAAATAGGTATAGCAACAACTGAAATAAAGTCACGCTATTGTCAAATTTAGGGCGGAGCTATACTGAACTAAAAATTACTCACAAAATCAAGAACAATTCCACCCGCATGCGAAATTTAATTCGATCTCTGCAAGTAATTTACAACAAAGACTACACAAAACTCAATGAAATCAAATCGTATACTAAAACAAATAAAAGAAGGCAAACTTATAAACGTAACCAAATTATCTCTACTACTTCTTTCTTCCAAATAAACCTCTCTTTTTCTTGGCTTTTTTACCACCGTCTCCTTGTAAACTACTGGCACTATAGTTTCCAGTTTGGTACACCGGTTGATCGAAATTAATCACAGGTCTAGAAAATTCATTGCTTCGTTGTTGGTTGCCGCTAGCCAAATTGTAATATGGAAAATCTTCGTGGAATCCCCATCCTAATCTATGAGATTCCAACTGGTCACGATATCCTACATCACCAGTAATGGCATATTCAAATCCTCTAATAGTGTCCAAGGGACGTTCGTTTCTTTCTCTGGTAGGGTTGGACATATCAGCTTGTCTGATTGGATTACCGAAAATGTCCTTCAAGTTACCAGAATCTTGACTCAAATATGATGGTCTTCTGTTATCGTGTCTTGCTGCTTGTTCAAAAGGTTGATCTTCATTGACGGCTTTTAAAATTGGATCATGGACATTGGCAGTGTGCATCTTGAATTGTTGGGCATCCTTGGAAGATATTTTGACATCTATTTGTCCTGCCTTTGTGGGTGCTTTCTTTGCACTCTTACCTCTGAAAATGGCCATATTGTTGAGGTTGTGTGGGTGTTGTTAGTTGTTAGTTGGTGGTGTGTTGTAGTAAAATATTCCTCGGAGAAAAACTTTATAAGGGGGAGAGCAAAGGAACGATCGCGGCGGAGTCAAAACTTATCTATAACTGAAGATATCAAAACAAAGCGATAGAATTAGTGGTTGAACAGTAATAGCGAATAGTACTAAGCACCAAAGACAAGGATCAACTAGAATGAGTTAAAAAAAAAATTGAATAAAGAAAGAAAGAGAGAAAGAAAGAGAGAAAGAAAGAGAGAGAAAGAAAATGAGGGATAAACAATTCTAATATTTTATTGCTTAAGGTTTCATATTTTTCTGAATCAAGAAATATTTTTAGGAAATCAAAAAAAAATTTTCAGGTTTCTTGAGATAAGCCTTGTAGGTTTTTGTCAAAAACTTCGATTTACTGTGTCATATTAGGTCATAGTTACCGCTAGTACGCCCTGCAGTTACTCAGGAGACTGTCTGGCATAACGTGTTGAGACAGCAACTACCACCTCCACACAATCTGATTGTTCTCGCGCTGGTTCGCTAGAACAATAGGAACGATAAAAATTTTTACTTCGCCCACGTTCGAGACTGCAATTTTCAGTTACCTGTCAAACAACAATTCTATTCCGTAGTGTTTTCTTTCTGTTTTTTGTATCCTTGCTAGACTGTGCTCACGAGGACAACCTCCAACTTACAACAACTTTAATGTATCTTCTGATTTTACGGCCGATTTTTGTTATTCCCGAGATCTAAAAATAGAATTTTTCGCAGTTACATATGCTGAATTATGCAGGCTGGTTTTGTGCTAGTCATTATATCACCACTTGCTTAGTATATTGGCTGCATTAATCTGCCCAGAGTGGCAACGGAGATTACTGTGAAAGTATATTTATAAATATTGATATACCTCTTTCACGAAAAACAAGTTGCAAGATGATTTTCTAAAGTCAAAGTAGAATGTTTCGTATGACTGTTTCGAGTATGCAAGAAAATTTCTCACCAGTGTACGTGATTCGTAAATTGGCCATTATTGGCAGAGGTGATTGGGCGATTTAGTCCGTTCAATGCAAAAGCTCTTACAAGTTGAATCCAAGAATTCAATAAACGGTATACATCTTAACTAAACTATTCTCTCTTTTCAATTTTGTTTAAAAGGACATTCGCTAGAGATTTTCCCTGTAGCCTCATATAACCCGCATATAAATTTAGTACATCTTTTTTTGTTTAATAGACCATTATGGATTTTTCTGGGTTGGAATATCGTGAAAAAAAAGATTGTTTAGCTATACTTATATCCGCTATTGAATTGGAAGAATAATGGTGTAATTGACTATATCGTGTTTATATGGTCTGAAATTTTCTGTATCAAACAGTATCAATTCAATCCAAAGATCACACTTCTCTTCCTTACAGACCTTAGAAGCAGGCTAAGAGATATATACTGAACTTGATCATGATATAATGATGATGGTTATAGCTGTTATCAGTTTTGTGGAATCAATGGTGAACTCCTTAAACATATATTTTGTTGCCATTTTTCTGTTGCGGCGGTTTTTTCACTACATTTTCATAGTGCATTTTTAGGCAACCCTGGTAAACTAAAGAGGACAAGAGCTACAAGATGACAGCACCAGCAGCAACATCCAACACTCCGCCATTAAAGCAAACAACCTCAGAAACTTCTGTGTCACAAGCTTCACAAGTTGCCACCAAAACTCCATTCAACCCAATTCAATTTGTATCAATAATTTCACGTACCGATAAACCACTTTATATTCAATCATTTGGAATTGACGACACATCTACTGACACCACCGAAAATGCCAATAAATTCTTGAAATACAATTTCTTGAGTCATATGGCTTTGGACATCTTTACGTCTCCTGAATCATTACTGCTCCGAGGAGGACAATCACAGACACAACAACAAACTGATGCCAATGTTGTTCTATTGTTTATTCAGGATCAAGTTATGGTTTACGGGTATGAAACTAACAATGGGTTGAAAATCATTGTTGGATTAGATCAGAGTTTCGTGATACAAGATCAGCGTATACTACGTCAATTGTTTTTAGATATTCATAAGTGTTATTTGCGCACTATATTCAACCCATTCAGCAAAGTAAACGACGAAGAAGATGATGACGATTCAGTATTGTCTACTCCTACATTTGATAAAAATATAAAGAAAATTGTAGATGGGTGGACGAGATAGGTGTTTATTACTATATAATTACTTTAATACAACATTGGCCCCTCTTAATTCCAAGTAGTCCTGGTCTACACCAGATGGGATATTCTTTATGACTTCTTGATATATTTCAACATTATGAAATCGAAGTTGATTAGCCGGACTCTTATATTTACCTTCCAATCCAGTTATATCACAATAATGCTTAGGTGGTAAAAGGCTGGGTGGAGCAGCTACAGAAGTATATGTTGGTGTATCATAATTTAATTTTTTAGTTTGAAGATATTTTATCTCGTCACTGATTAATTGTCGGGTTGGTTTATATCGTCTAGACGGAGCTTGGACTCTATTTGGGTTTTGTTTGAATGTATGTGGTTTGGTGGTTATGTACAGGAGTTCATGCAACTCTGATTGAGGTGTTTGTGACATGATGGGATGGCTACTATGTATGACCAAGAAGTAAGTTTTCAGTTGAGTGTTTTTTCTTCACCAGGACTAGAGATTTTAAATTGCGAAAATAAAAAAAAAAACGCGGAAGTCAAATTATGATGTATGTGGGAGTAAAGAATGCTACAACTACATCTATCAAGTTATCGTGAGGTGAAAGGTTGTTCTTCATATACTATCTATATTTAATTAAACATCATAACCAGCCAATTTGCTCCAAAGAAAGATGAAATTCACTTTATCATCATCAACATGATTCGATATGCTTAGGAATAAGTGCTCTGATTTACTTTAGAATAACCTTGTTATATCATGTATTCAATGACAATAGATCCTTGATAAGACTGAGATTAAAACTAAATGGAAATAAGTTACAAAGTCAGCCCAAGTTGGTTCCATTAGTATTGATTTTATACTTTATAATCAACACAATCTAAATAGATAGAAGTGCCGTTTTCCTGCAAAACACCAATGACAGATGTTCCAAATTAGAATGACGAAGCTCTAACTTCCCGATTGGATCCGATCTTGAAATAAACTTTAGATCCCCCCACCAAGGAATTTGTTGGTCCAAAAATAGGCGATACTGGCTACATTATTACATTATCAAGTTATAGCCTATATGATATAGCAAACCAGGCATCTTATACCGATGTGTTACGATATCTTAGCCAATTCAAAATGTGTTATAAATTGGTTCACTGTGTGTGGTTGTGTTGGCCAGAAAACAATGGGCCACATTTTGTGGGGTTCCCCCCTCTCCGAGGCTGGATGAGGTGATTTTTCGGGCGATTTGCATCATAGTGCATGTTTGAAGTGCAGTGAACTACACGAATGACTTGAAGCCAAATGTGGACTTGACATAAAAAGGAACTGTTGAGACTATATATTGAAAGCATTACACTGGACAACATTTAAAATTTAGCAACACTATTAAAGTTTGTTGTGGAAAAGTCCGGGGAAGGTTCCACCCCTCCCAATCATATCTGGCTTTTTTTTTTTTTGCGCGGGACAAGATCCATCATTCGCTCGCTAGAAATACCGCGGAGAAAAAAAAATTGTGAAAAGAAGTGTTTTAGCTCTCATTTACATTAGTTTAGTTCATCCCAAAAAGTTCCAGTAGTGACTATATATTGCATAGCTAGCCACCTTCAAAAGTTTTAAGTTTGTCTTTGTTTTAAACACACCCTGTTCCTTGAATATTTTATAGAAAGGTTTGGTTTTTACAGTCATGCGAGGAATACTATCCAGGTCGACCATTAGACAACTACACTATACCGTACGGCTGCTTACTGCTGCAAGCATAAATATAACACCGCTTGAATTATACAATGATAGAGTAGCTGAAGGGAAATTACGTGATGATCCCTACCAACGAAAGATTATAAGTTCGTTATCGATACTTCATGACAAATTAGCAAGCTATGATCCCCCAGTGGTTGAAACTCCGGAAATTGAAGCACTTAAGCCTAAGATTGGCGTAAGTAAGATATTTGCTTCCTTTCTAGGAAGAAATGGTAAACATCAACAAGACAATTTGGTGTCGGAAGAAAATGAAATTAAAGGAATATACCTTTATGGAGATGTGGGGTGTGGTAAGACCATGCTTATGGATTTATTCTACCAAACCATTCCGAAGAATTTACCCAAGAAACGTCTACACTTTCATCAATTCATGCAGCATTTGCATAAGCGATCTCATCAGTTGAAAATGGAGCATGGAGGAGATTTTGACGTTATTCCATTATTAGCAGCCGAAATTGCCCAGGATTCTACGATCTTATGTTTTGACGAGTTTCAAGTCACAGATGTTGCTGATGCCATGTTGTTAAGACGATTGTTGATGTTGTTATTACTGGCTGATCATGGAGTTGTCCTTTTTGCAACTTCAAATCGTGCCCCTGATGATTTGTACTTGAATGGTATTCAAAGGGTAAGTTTTATCCCATGTATTCAGTTGATCAAAAGACAAACAAGAGTTATTTATTTGAATTCACCTACCGATTATAGAAAAGTTCCAAAGCCTATATCTTCAGTGTATTATTTCCCTAAACCTGGGGTGAAATGGGATCTGAAGATCAATCAAGCAAACTGTAAGGCTCATGTCAAGCAGTGGTATGACTATTTCAATGCTGAGAATGATAGTGATAAAGTACTTTCTGATTATCAATTGGAAGTGTGGGGGAGAAAAATTCATGTGCCAAAATGTTCCCCACAGTATGTTGCCCAATTTACATTTAATGAATTGTGTGGAACCAAAATGGCTGCGGGAGACTACTTAACCCTTGCTAATTCGTTCCAATCGTTCATAATTACAGATATTCCTTATTTAAGCGTTAATCTTCGTGATGAAGTTCGAAGATTTATCACATTTTTGGATGCGGTGTATGATGCCCATGGAAGAATTGCAGTGACTGCTGCAGCACCATTCAAGGACTTGTTTGTTGAACCTGAAGATTTAAAAAGTGGTAATTATCAATTGTTTAAGAAGCAGATAGATAAAGGAAAAGAAGAGACGTTCGAAGATGATGAGTTGGTGGTGAAGCATGGGTTTGATAAACTGATTGCGAAAAAGGCAAGTATGTTTGTTAATGACGAAGAAAAATTTGCATTTGCCAGAGCATTAAGTAGATTGGCTCAAATGAGTACCACTGATTGGATAGACAATGTTAGAGAGATTCACTAATTAATAAAGATATTTATTTATTCGAAAAGTAAGTGTAGGCGATCGGCATGTAGTTTGGGTTCATCTGGGTACAATGGTCTATTGCAAGCAGCGACTTAAGATTTTACTACGAGACGGATAAATATATCACCGTACTGTGGCGAAAAGAACCAGGTTGACTATTTGCAACGTAAATATTGGGGGGAGGGGGGGGGTGATTTGTGAGTTTACGCGTCGTACGATACCCGCTGTGGCTGGCAAGGTAATAATGAAGTGGCAAACTAAAATGTTCTGGACCTGATCTAATGGAACGGCCCATTGTGCTTGTTTTTTTTTGCATTCTCACGACGCATGAATTAATCAACTTTGTGTCTTTCCACCGAAGAATCTTCGAACGCGACGCATAGATTACCCCTTGCGCTTGCCGAAGATCCGCATTGCAACATTGTAGTCGCACAGTACTAATTTACGCAATCGAAGGAAAAGCGTGTTTAATTATACTAATTAACATGGTCAGGAAATTACACGAGTGTTTCATAATGGAATGTCAATCTGTCAAATTTGATCTGAACCGTTTGTTTTCTTGTTAAGGGTCTCATCCGGTCAACGAAGATACGAGTGTTTGTTCGTTTATGTAGTTGTAGTTGTTGTTGTTATTGCTTGCTATTCCCAGTCGGAAGCAAATCATTAACACCGAAAATTTCAATTGTGAAATTTGCCGATATTCAGAATTTGGTAATTCTCGATTATTTTTTTTTTTTGTTTGTTTGCTTACCAAGCCATCTCGAAAAATAATTACTTGTTGATATACAAACAACGCGATTCACAGACGATGAGCTCACATATAAACGATAGGCGTAAAAGGTCACTCCACTTAAAATCGTGCTCAACCATGCATATAAATCACATTGCCCCGGTCATGCATCGTAAAAAAAATTATAGTTAGTTTCTGCTGGTTAACATTTCAACACATTAACCACATCTCATCAAGTTGCTAGTTTTTCTTTTCTCAGGGGCTAATGAAAATTCCAGTAAAAAAAAAAAAACACAGCTGTCAAAAAAAAATATTCATTTATTTTTTAACCTAGTTTCTATGCTCTGCTAAATTTAGAACAATAACAACCTAATTGATTTCAATCTATTGGGTTTGTATGCAGTAACAGACAGGTTTATTGCCCGCGTTAAAGCATGAGTGCCTCCCTAAAATTCATATCTGAGGAATTTGTTAGAGTAGGGTCATCCGTTTTTCCTAGTTTTGCCCCTTGATAAAATGTAAAGGTATACCCCTCGTGTATCTCAAACTAGTCATCGCTTTCGCTCGAATCTTTAGTTATAAGTTCCCATGATGATGACTCGTAAAGGGGGTAGATTATTTATTTAAATAGAATAATATTCCCCATAATCTCTTGAAGATTTTGTTTATACCTTCGTTGTTTTGAAAATACACATCGTTAAGCTCGATAACAATAGAGTTGCTTACGGGATCACCCAGCCAGTTTATGATTGTTCTCCGAGGATAATAGGAATACGCTACAACACTGATAAAAAAAAAAGTGTCAATAGAAATCCCACTAAAAAAAAAAATAATAATCTAGAATTTCATTTTGTGTTGCAACACATTTCCCAAAGTAAATCAAAACCATCCAAAATAAAAAAAAAAATTTAGCCAGAAAATCAAAAAATACCAAACTTGGGTGAATTTTTATTTTTGTTGTCTTTTTTTTTATAAAGACATTTCTATAATTTACCGCCAACATCTCACTAAGCGATTGACAGGGAAACAGCCAAAAATTTGATCTACTTTTTATAACAAATTATATTACCACTTTTATATACTTCGCTTAACTTGTGTCAAAACCTAGCTGATAGTTTCTTTGTGGTACACGTGAACAGTTCATTTACGCTTGGCACATAGAAAAACACTTGGCCCATTTACTATTTTTAACCACCAGAGTATAGTCTCACTTCAGAATTTACAACCAAAACATTTCCTGCTTTGATTTTCACATTCACATCAACTTTTGTTTATATTTATCACAGGTCTTCCCTCGTTTCATAATCTAAAACAAGTCCATTCAGCATAAACTGACCAATAATCCACTCGTTGATCCATTCACAAATCCATTCGTTGCTCCATTCACTAATCCGCTCGTTACCAGTATTATTATGGCAACACAACCGTCCAACAACAACTTATATGATATAGATCTTAGTTCTACAAGAAAACAGTTTTATCAAGCACAATCTCCCACTATGCCTATCTCCGCAGCCAACAATATAATACATAACCCACAAATAGATTCAACACCTAAACGTCCTGGCGACTATTTTGTTCAGAAGTTGGCTTCTAAAAGTTCATTACAACTTAATGGACCTGGTGCGAACAAGAGAATGTCTGCCGATTCATTTAATTCATATCAATCATCGTCAGTTTCTGATGAAAACTCCCTGATTTTATCGTCACAATTTGATTGCCCAATACTTCAACAAACGCAGGTGTTGGAACAACTTGGAATAACCCCTGATTCAAGATTAAGTTCAATGACCACAGCTACTTCTGTGAGTGAAGTGGTTGAAACGGCATATCGTTTAAGTGAAGGTACTTCTACATCTACTTCTATGGACAAGCAAATGTCTACTGCAAAGACTTCTTTCTTGGAATCGTCATCTAGTATTGCTGAACAACATGCGGTTTATAAATTAAAGTCTTCTTCAACATCTAGTATGGTCCATCATAGACAGGTTGCACAACCAGTTAAATCCCCCCGTTCCAAATCAGTTGCATCAATTCCAACCCTTCATAGAACTAAGACAAGATATATAAGTTCAAAAGAAACTAAAGAACGTCAAATATTAAGAAAGAAAAAGTACGAGGAAAACGATGATGATGAAGAAATTTTAGCCAATGATTTAGATAACTTAATCTTTAATGTTCCTGTTATTAAGAACAAGGGTGAATTATACAAGAGTAGCAGTGTCGGTAGCTTTTCAATTTCTCGGGCTGATTCATTCACTATATTGTCAAGAAGTGATTTAATGTCTGATAGCACCGATAACAACAAATATAACATACCCATGAGACCATGTCCACTTCCTGGGAAGTTGGCTGTGTCTACAAACAACTTACCAACTTTCCCACCAGCACCATCCCTGCTGCTGCTGCTGAAGATGCCCACACTCGACGAAAATTCTTCAATTACCTCCTCTACTGATGTTTCATTTAATGATGATTACGAAATTGCTCAAAATATCTCCCAGTTCTACAATCACCGTTCAGCTTCCATGTCTAAACTAATTAAATTGACAAGACAAGAAAATATCATGTATAAATTACCTACTTTTGTTAAATCGCAATCGTCAATGGAAGATTTGCATTTGATATCTCCTGAGAAGTTGACGTATGTTGATCAAACCAGACCAATTAACTTGCCCCCAAAGACTGAACAAGACAAGATTAAGCATAATAAGGAATTTAAACAAGTTATATCAGATTATGAAGTTAACACTAAAGCTACTAATGATGAAAGAATACGAAATGTTCAAACACAATTACAATTTAAACAAGCATGGTTTAAGATTATTGACTCATTTTCAGAATTGGATTCAAAAGCATTTAACAAGAAGTTTAACTATGAAAAGAACAATATCCGGAAATTAATTTGGGATTGTAATATCCCAAGCAATAATAGATTTAATTTCTTGACAAAGATCTTATCCACGAACCAAAATTCTCAAGATTCCTTGAATACCATCAAGAATTCATTTAAATTATTCGATCAAAAGTACCACAATTTATCAGATCAAGTCAAAACCAGTAAGAATGATGAATTTGATAACATAATTGAAAATTGCTTACAACGCCCCTTGATCAAATGCATAAGTGATAATGTTGACCATGCACAATTTAAACACAATTATAGATACTTGCTTTATATCAAGTCCTTATCGGAATTTGGATTGCATAAACATGATGAAGTTTTCCTTATCCCTGTTTTACTTATCCTTTTCCAAGATGAATCCTTGATTGATATTTATTGCTTGTTGGAATTGTTGAATCAAGAAGTGTTTGATAGAGACTTGATTTCCCAACTTAATTCGTCATTAGGTCAATGGGCAGATTCCAGAAACATTCCTAGAACTTTAGGTAAATTCTCCACTTCCGAATTTGAAAATTTGAATTCAAACCACATGTTTGAAATGATTTTACAATTTAGTGATAAATTACCATTAAGTTTAAGTGCATCTTCCACCCCCATTGTGTCACAACCACCAACTTTTGAATCGATTGAAGATCCTATTTCTACTTCTGCATCGGCATGTTTTGAACTAGTCAGCAAGTTAATTTCCTTGCTTGTAGTCTATTCCAGTTCAATCAAGACCAAAACCAAGAATAATTCAAAGTTATGGCAAACTTTCATTGTTGTACTTTTCAAGTATTACCATTTAAATTGGAATGATTATCAAGAATTAATCAAGGAGAATGTTTCTATTAGATTGAATAACTCTTTGGACATGCAAACTAATTTGGATTCTTTTGTTGAAAAATGGAAAGGTATTTATAAGAAATTTTAGATTTTGTATATCCCCTCCCCCCCTCCTTTTATAGACTCATAATGAATAGTAACGAGTATGATTAATTGTAAAAAAAAAAATTTACATGTATATATATTACATATCAAGATCTATTTCGTCCGGGTTTTCTACTTCCTCTTCGTCTTTCTTTTCTTCTGTGGCCTTGACAAATCCCATTGGGTTAGATACTTCCACCTTGGCAGTAATTGGAGCAGATACATTTCGCTTATAACGTAACATATCTTTAAAACTAGTTTCATTCCCATATTCCAATTCAAAATTCTCCCATGATTCCCACATTACCTTGACCTTATCGCTGGTTGATAATCCACATACATATTTGTACAATTCACGAACTCGATTGAATTCAGATTGAGTAATTTCAAAATCAATGAATATTTGAGCAAGTTGGATGAATTGTTGGAGTGCGAAGTAATCGTCTTCAATTGCATCCTGGGCGATTTGTCTGAATTGATTGATGTCTTTGATTTCGATTAGTTTAATTAGGATTATCTTTACAATTTCAAATTTCATAGTTGTTATTTCTGTTAATCTGTTGGTATGTTCACGCTGTGCCTTGTCAAAAGTTTTAAGCGATTTAATCAAGATGTTAATTGAATTGATTATTCGAGAATGGTCCTTTTCATATTGTGAATAAAGTACAAGTATAGGATTCATTAACCATGCAGGAACTTGTTTCAAACTAACTTCAAATAAATCTTGAATTCGTTCAGTATCACCTTGGTGCTTGATCATATCTGGTAAATACACATTCCAAATTTCGAACTTCAATTCCGGATCAACAAATAATTGAAGTCCGCGTTCATATATTTGCCATGCACGTTCATGATATTTCCAAGTATGTAAGAAATTAGCATATGCTAGAATGTCCTTGACGGTAATGATTTTCTTTGAGATAAGTACCTCATACGCTTTTCCGACTTTATCTATATCCTCAACTTGTTCAGGAGATTCAACAAATGATTCAAGCAAATCAATGTAAAAATTCCATAACTTTCTTGATTTGACAATTCGCTTTTGAACTGTTATTGTGGAGTCAGTATATTGGAAATCCTCATCATACTCTCGATACATTACTGAATCCAAGATTTCAATGGCATAAGTCTCCGGGAATTGATCTGTTCCCAAAACCATTTCACACCATTGAATGTAAATCTCGGCTAATTCGTCAGGATGGAGGAATTGGGAAGTAATACTCTTGGAATAGATAAAGTCTGCAGTTTTATAATCTTTATTATTGGAATATATTGAAGCGTATTGAATCCAAATTTCACATAACTTATGATTGGTGGAAACTACTTTCAATGGGTTGATTGATTTCAATGCATCAGTATAAGTTTGAAGTAATTTACCAAGATTATTCTTGTATATATCAAATCTGTCAAACCAAACATCTAAATTGTGGATATTCTGGCGTAATTTCATATCATTGAATAATATTTCTCGATCATCGAGTAATTTCTCGAACTTGTCAAGTTTAAAATTAACTAAAGTAGGATCTTCTTTTGAGACTTTTGCTAATTCTGATTCTTCAAATTCGGTATATTCATCGTACAACGCTACAAAATCTTGACTTGTTAGACATGTTTTGATTCCGTTATCATAATAGTACCTTACCTTTTCCACATCATGTTTTTGCTTAAAAAATTCAACCAGTTTAAGATATAATTTTCCAATTTGGTCAGGATATGACTTAATTGAATCACTAATGATCTTGTCAAAGAACAACGGCTCAGTTGGAAAATGAAGTAATAGGTCGATATACTCGAATAAATATTGAACTGGTGATTTTCCAAGGGTAGTATACTCGTCTGGGTGACTTAATATCTGCTCATAAATTCCAACTGTTTTATCGACTTCACCAAACTCAGTAAGCTTAGAAATTATATCATCGAAACTTGTACCTCCTTCTTTGGTTCCTTTTAATGCCAGAGGGTCAAGATATTGAACGTACTTTGTGTAAATTTTCACGGCTGTCATCCCTCCAATCCTATCTGCAAACAGCAAGTATAAGGGCCAAACTTGACCATGAGCTTTCAAAGGTAAACTCCGCAAACAACCGTTAAATGTTCTTCGTATGTATGTAACTTTTGGTATTTGAGTCTCTAGTAACATTTCAAGATAACATTTCCATAGTGGTACCAGAGCAGAACAACATTGTACCGCTTTGTTGAATACGCTGTTTAGATGTTCATACTGACGATCAGTCAATACGCTTAGGTTATCATGTATATGCTCTATCAAAAGATCTAAATATAACTGCCATAACTCCTCGCTGTCTGCAATAGCACTGGTTGCTCTATGTAATATGAATGCTTTATTATGAAATGATGACCTTGATTTGAATTCAAGATACGTTGTCCAATTCGTTATATTCGTAGGATCTTTTGCAATTGATTCTTCATAGGGTATGTCTCCCTCCTGTATGAGGTCTTCCAATTTGAATATCATTGGTAATCGTCTTATAACATAGTCTTTCTCTGTGTCTGTAGTTGGTTGTAAAAATTTTGTATGGTTGTAAAAATTAACTACCACCACCACCACGGGCAAGAAAAAAAAAGAAAGTGAAACTGGACTCTCACCACCCATCCTTGTTTTACAACCATTCGACACATCACTCCCTTCTTCACAATCAATTGGACTAACAACAACAAACAATGTCCGGTGCAGGTAATCGTGAACAAGTTTTCCCTACTCGTATGACCTTAGGGTTAATGAAGGGTAAACTTAAGGGAGCCCAACAAGGACATTCCCTTTTGAAAAGAAAATCGGAAGCATTAACGAAAAGATTCAGAGACATTACCCAAAGAATTGATGAGGCTAAGAGAAAGATGGGCCGTGTTATGCAAACTGCTGCATTCTCCTTAGCAGAAGTTTCTTATGCTACTGGTGAAAATATTTCTTATCAAGTCCAAGAATCCGTTCAACGTGCAAGATTTCAAGTCAAGGCAAAGCAAGAAAATGTTTCCGGTGTTTACTTACCAACCTTTGAAAGTTATATAAATGAAGATATTAATGATTTCAAATTGACTGGGTTAGGTAGAGGTGGTCAACAAGTTCAAAGAGCTAAGTTGGTTTACACCAAGGCTGTGGAAACATTAGTTGAATTGGCTTCATTGCAAACTGCTTTTATCATTTTGGATGAGGTTATCAAGGTTACTAATAGAAGAGTTAATGCCATTGAACATGTTATTATTCCAAGAACTGAAAACACTATTTCTTATATTAATTCCGAATTGGATGAATTGGATAGAGAAGAATTTTATAGATTGAAAAAGGTTCAAGAAAAGAAACAAGAAGCTGCCGCCGCTGCTGAAGCCGAAGAAAAAGCAGCTCAAGAAGCAGCAATTGCAGCTGGCGCTGAACTTTCTAAGATTACAAGAGTCACTTCTAATGAAGAAATAACTAATGATGCTCAAGAAGTTGAAAAATTAGCCTTGGCTAATGGAGATGACGATTTATTAAAGGAGAATGAAGACGATGTTATTTTCTAGCATTTACATGTTTGTTTATTTACTCAGTTTATTATAGTAGTATTACATATATATATATATATCTATTAAACGGCTTCTATGGAGCAGTGTATCCACCGTCCACAACGAGATCGGCTCCCGTAGTAAATGTAGAGGCATTGGAGGCTAAGTATAAGTAAGCTCCTACTAATTCTTGTGGCAATCCCTCTCTCCCCAAAGGAGTTAATTGCCACCATCTTGCCTTCATTTCAGGATCGGCGAATTCAGAAATATCAGTAGTGATATATCCTGGAGATATACTATTGACTCTAGCAAATGGAGCCCATTCAACTGCTAACGATTTAGCTAAATGTTTTACAGCAGCCTTAGCAGCATTATAAGGAGCCTGTAGCTGTGGAACATTGACAATCAGGCCCGACATTGATGAAGTAATAACCAAGGAACCCTTTCCTTTCCTCTTGAATACTTTCCCTATTGAATGACAACAATAGTATACTCCATTCAAATCCAAGTCGACAATCTTGTGCCAACTTTCATGATTATCGTCCACATCAACCATGGAACCAGAAGTCCAAGCCACACCAGCATTGGCAACAAAGATATCAATCGTTCCAAAATCTTGCTCAATCTGCTTAATCGTCAGATCAACATCGTCAGCATTGGAAATGTTGCATTTGTATGCCCTGCATTTAACGCCATATTTTTTAGCCAATTTTTCAGCCTTTTCGGTTGCAGGATGATTGTTGTACCAAATTGCAACATCGGCACCTGCCTGTGCAAAAGCTTCTGCCACAGCGTACCCTATACCAGTAGAGGATCCAGTAACTGATGCTACTTTGCCCTTAAGCAGAAATAAATCAAGCACACTAGTAGCTAGTTCTGGTGCTGAAGTGGGTAATGGTCCAAGAGCAGGGTTTGTAAACGAGGTAATTTCAGTAGTATTAGGAATAGTCATGATTAGCTTGTGATTGTCTATCTACATTACCAACCACTTAAAAGTTTTTCCGAGGAAACTCTTATTTATATATTAGCAAACATTCCAAACTAAAGATTAGAGCAACTTAAAAAAAAGGGACAATAGGAGACGTTAAACGGGTTCCCGCTACGGCTAAAATATTATTACGTAACTGATTGTACATTATCCGCGATCGGTTCCTGTATAGTTTCCTTTTTGTATGACCTGCATGTAAACCAAGTATTTTAGCAACTATGCAGGTATAGCGACACAGAAAGTCAAAGTATGACATCATTACGAGAATTCAAATGGTCTCGATGAGTTCGGCGATGAATATTCTCGAAGAATACCATTACATAAATGGAAATTAATTTGCGTCATCCAAGTCAAGGTCATGCAGTATCGGTTCGTTCATATCGGCGGTTCGTTTCAAATCCGCTTAACCTGAAATGCGCCTCTAAGCCTATTAAATCTGACTAAGATAATATAGATTCTCTAAACGTTGCAACATCAGTAGCAATCCCCGGAGGAGACGGATAACACATGATCGTCATATTTATTAAATGACAAGATAAATATATTTTTCTGATACTATAAACGTAATTCAAAAAAGTAAGGTTTTAAAATAAATAAAAAATGGCATATAAATAAACAGAGGATAAAGTTTTGCTCAATCCCCCTCATAAATACAGTCTTTAAAATTCCTTAATAGACACGCTTGGCTGGAGGAACTGGTTTACAGTCAGATTCATCCAAAGTATGAGCAATGACATCACGGTATGCTAAACGAACCTTGTCCCCGGACTTGTCTTGGTATGACAAACTGTGCTTTCTCCAGTTGACATCGTCTCTGTCTGGGAAATCATCTCTGGCGTGGGCACCTCTAGATTCCTTTCTAGCAGCGGCAGAATTAACGGTTTGAGCAGCACAAGTTAACAAGTTTTGTAATTCAAGGGTTTCAACTAAATCAGAGTTCCAAATCATAGAACGGTCGGTGGTCTTGACATCAGCAAAACTTTGATCAATTTCACCAATCAACTTGGCACACTTGTCCAAGGTTTCTTGAGTTCTGAAAACAGCACATCCCTTTTGCATAGTCTTTTGCATGTCTAATCTAATATCAGCAGTGTTCTTGGTACCGTTGGCATTTCTTAATTTGTCCAAGTTGGCAATAGAGTCATGACCGATATCCTTTTCGTGAGTCTTGATTGGGGCACCTGGTTTCAAGGTATCTCTAATGGTGTGAGAAACAGCACGACCGAAAACAACTAAATCTAACAAGGAGTTGGCACCTAATCTATTAGCACCATGGACAGAAGCACAAGCAACTTCACCACAAGCCAACAAACCTGGGACAATTTCATCCTTACCGTCCTTACCTTGTTTAAGAACTTCACCCTTCCAGTTGGTTGGAATACCACCCATATTGTAATGGACAGTTGGTAAAATTGGAATTGGTTCCTTGGTAACATCAACACCAGCGAAAATATGGGCAGTTTCAGAAATACCTGGTAATCTTTCCTTTAATATAGCAGCTGGGATGTGACTCAATTGTAAGTACATGTGATCCTTGTCTGGACCAACACCTCTACCTTCGTTAATTTCCATAGTAATGGCTCTGGAAACAACATCTCTAGAAGCTAAATCCTTGGCTGATGGAGCATATCTTTCCATAAATCTTTCACCTTCAGAGTTAAGTAAGAAACCACCTTCACCTCTAGCACCTTCGGTGATAAGACAACCGGAACCGTAAATACCAGAAGGATGGAATTGCACGAATTCCATATCTTCCAATGGCAAACCAGCTCTAGCGACCATGGCGTAACCATCACCGGTACAAGTGTGGGCAGAGGTACATGAGAAATAAGCTCTACCATAACCACCAGTGGCCATGACAGTTCTGTTGGCAAAGAAACGATGCAAGGTACCATCTTCTTGGTTGTAAGCAATAGCACCGATACAAGCACCATCTTGCATCATCAAATCCATGGCGAAGAATTCAATAAAGAAATGGGTGTCATGTCTTAATGATTGACCGTAAAGGGAGTGCAATAAAGCGTGACCAGTTCTATCAGCAACAGCACAGGTTCTGTAAGCTTGACCACCTTTACCGTATTCTTTGGATTGACCACCAAATGCACGTTGGTAGATTCTACCTTCTTCATTTCTAGAGAATGGAACACCATAGTGTTCTAATTCATAAATGGACTTTGGAGCTTCCTTGGTCATGTAGTGGATGGCATCTTGATCACCTAACCAATCGGAACCCTTGACGGTATCGTAGAAATGCCAGTGCCAGTCATCTGGATGCATGTTACCCAAAGCAGCATTGATACCACCTTGAGCAGCGACAGTATGGGATCTGGTTGGGAATAATTTGGAAATACAAGCAGTCTTGTACCCTTCAGAAGCTAACCCGAAAGCAGCTCTCAACCCAGCACCACCAGCACCAACAACTAAACAGTCGTACTCGTGATCAACAATGTGGTACTTTTGACCCATGTATTTGGAAGCATTGAAGTCTTGACCCTTGACATTGGAACCGACGACAGCAGATCTGACGGTAGAACAAGACAATGCTCTAACAGATGTGGATAAAACAGATCTCTTGATGGCTGCACTTCTACCCAATTGGTTGCGAACAGAAGTCAACATGATTGATGAATATTTGTTACTAGTTATGTTTATTAATTTGACAACCCAACGACTGATTGGAGAAGGAACGTAACTAAACAACTGATGTTGAAACTAAAAGAAGGAAAAGAAGAAGTTTAAATCGAGAAAAATAAATTGTCATTCTCCCTGGAGAGAAGAAAAAAATGCGGTCAAAATTTTTTTGGGAACGAAAGTTTAACTTTTACACCATGCAAAAAATTCCCATCATCGGGGCTTTCCTGCCGATCTGCTACGAGCAGCACCTGACCGCCCGGACTACGAAGGTGTAAATGACATTATAGGGTATATAGAGCTGGTGTAATGGTTTCTTCTAACACCAATAGCACACCAATTGGGCTATAAACATTGTAGTTTTATTGTAAAACGTCAACTCCAATGCCAAGTTCAGCGGCTTTTCAGTGGTGTAGGAGGTTTAGTAAAAACTCGATTCTTAGTGGCCAGTTTCTTTTTCCGCAAAAATTCTGAAATTTGTGTTTGTTTTTCATTTCTTGTTCCGGGGTTTATCACGTGAGTGTCTTGCAATTGTTTTTTTCTTTGTTCATCCCCACATAGAACAGATTCAATTATGCAGTAAGACAAGTAGGGAGATCGAGTGTTTAAGATGTACATGTATGTACTTTACTCTTGATTTCGAACTGATTAAGTAGTTATTTTATGAATTTAGATGTGCTTTCGAAGAAGTAAAGTATTTTGTGTGAAAGATGTTTTTTTTTAATAGCCTTCCCCCCATACTATGCGTAAGCCAACATATTAAATCAGTTCCGTCTGTGTGCATCTTGCAACTTATATTTAATTGCAAAGACTAATAAAAAGTTATAAATTGTTGTCGAGGGGGGGGGGGTGGTTAGTCTCTGATGTGGCGTGTTTTGCTTCATGTTAATGTTGCATAGATTTGCCTGAACAAGCTTTCTTCAAAAAGATGTTGCAAATTTAATCAAAAAGCCACTTCATATAATGGAAATTCAAAAAATAGATTAGTACTAGTATATTCAAACTATACAAAAGGGAGAAAACAACCTTCCAAACAACCAATGAGAATGCAATATTTTCATAAACAACTATTTCCTGAAGTAAATGGGTGCAATAAATATCTCGGACTTTCTCGGGAATGTATTTTTTTTTTCTGCCCGGAAATACAAAAAATATGTACAAAGTATTATTTCTATTCCTAAACCCAAACAAGCACCTCCTTTTTTTGGTACACTTATTTAATTCTTATATGATTACATACAGAAGTAATCCACAGCAGTATCTTGAAGGAAAATAAATTTTAAAAAACATCGAAAAGAATGGTCAAAGAGAATAATTTAAGTAAGCAATATTTACCTACACTGAAATGCTTGTTTAGATGTCTGGTTCATCCCACTTATGTCAAAAGGAATCTATACTTATTTATTTACAATCCCGACTAATCCCTAACCAAATGGACTCTCACGAACTTATAAACTAGATAAAGCTACGCATTGAGCAGTTTCAATTGGTTAGAGGTTAGTTGGGATTATAAATAAATAAGTATAGATGCCTTCTGCCAGTTTTTTTCTTTTAATTACTGGGAGGAGGGGTTTAGTTCATTGGTTGCAATATTGCAAAAAATTTGCACATTTTAATTTGCATGGACGAAATGCAGTGATAATTATAAGTATATAAAAAGCATATTACTAAACTTACCCTCAGTCTTTTTTTATAACTTTATTTTAATCACCATGATGGATAAAATGGTTCCTTGTTAATATCCCAATCATACAGTAAACATTTTAACAGGGCACAAGCAATCTGAAAATTTCTCAAAGAAAAAATAGGGCGTGTGGTCTAGTGGTATGATTCTCGCTTTGGGCGACGACTTGGAAACAAGTTGATTTACTACAAGCATGCGAGAGGCCCTGGGTTCAATTCCCAGCTCGCCCCTTTTTTTTTAATTTTTGCATTTTGCTATAATGTATATTGGAATTAATTGTCAACATACCTACATTTCCATTTAATCGTTCACTACTTCTTACAAGAGGCTATTTTGTTTTTGTTTTTATTAATTGAAGTAGATTTAGTTTTTTAGCCCTCTACCTCCCCCCCTCATAAATTTTGTGTGGAGTGCAAGACAAAATTCAACGAAAAAATACACCACCAATTCATAAGATTTAGTAAAACTTACAATCACCACAAAACCTTGGATGGTGTATCATTACAAAGTGCATACATCAGAATAAATAGGATAAATGGATAACGAGGATCTTACTGCATCTCATTGGGATGATGTAGTGTCACCCAATGAATTTGGCAGCACATCAAATACAACAGCCACAAACAGCTTACATCAATCAATCATTACTCCATTAAGCAATCAATTCAACGGGATTAATATTGATGATCCATTTGCTAGTCCATTAGGATTTCTGAATCAACAGCAAAGACATAATGACGAGGAAGAAGAAGAAAATGACGAGGAAGAGGAGGAAGAGTTACAACAACTGCGCCACCAGGAATTCTCTAGTCCATCCCCTTTTTACGATTCCAATCAAGCAGAATATGAACAAAGAAACGAATTGAGAAAGGAACAAAGAAAAGAACATAAACACCAACTCTTATCTGAATTGACCCATGGGTCTGAAGATAGTGAACTTATGCTTGAAGCACCAATAATCCCTGACGATCTTACAAATTCAGAATCTTTGTTTCAAGATAAGGGCAGTCCAATTAAGGTTTCGAAAGATGCAAAGCCTATCATTCCCAGTTCACCTACAAAAACCATTAATTTCAAACAGGGTCAATTTAAAGCCAGACCGCGGAAATTTAGCGCAAAGTTAAATGTTCAACATTTGTCAAGCAGTAGTAATAATCAATTGGGACCATTGGGAGGTAATGAAGGGGAGAAATCAAATGATAGAAAATCACCTCTGGTGAGCAATGCAGATTCACTTGTTAAACAAGCTGATGCCCCTCTTTATTCCATTTCACGGAAGACTGATAATCGCGAGCCAGCTAGCGCCTCTACAGAGTCCGCTACAGTGATCGAGTCAGGCAGTACCATCAAGAAGAAACCAACAGTGGAAGATGAAGACAATCCACAGAATAACAAATTAGATATTTCCGTGGGAGATCCTATGAAAGTTGGTGATATCACTACTGCTCATATTGTATACACTATCAAAACTACAAACAAGAATTTAGAATCGGACAATTTCCCGAAGAATGATACTACTGAAGTGACAAGAAGATATCGAGATTTCCGCTGGATTTATCACCAATTACAAAATAATCATCCAGGAAAGATAATTCCACCACCACCTACCAAACAAACCTACATTGGCCGATTTAATGAAAATTTCATCGAGAATAGAAGATTGTCGCTTGAGAAAATGTTGAACAAAATCAGTCACATCCCCGTGTTATCAAATGACCCTGATTTTGTGATGTTTTTAACTAGTGATGATTTCATCAATGAATCTCGAGAGCGGGAAAGATTATCGGGATCAGCGGCATCCACGCAAAATAGTGAATTCTTGGATGGTGCTAGACCTTCAGGTGATAATGAAAGTTCCACAGGAAGTCTTACTCCAATATCTACTGGAAGTACCACCACGGGTGGATTTATGAGTTCATTATTTTCAATCTCAAATAAAATTAATGAGCCAGATGAATACTTCTCCGATCAGAAACAATATATTGATGATTTGGAATACAACCTTAAACAATTTTACAAAGCAATTGAGTTGATTGGCCAACAGCGAATTGATTTGATTGGCATTTTGGAAGAAGTATCTATTACAGTTGATGAGTTGGCAAGTTTAGAGATTCTGAAGATAACCAGCGATTTATTAATTGGGTTTAGTGAAATTCAATTGAAGATTAGGGATAATTTAGATCGAATCAATTTGCAAGATCAATTAACCTTGGGTTTTACCATTGAAGAATATCTTCGAATAATTGGTCTGATTAAATTTGTGTTTGATACTAGATTGAAAATCTATCAACAGTACTATAATTTCAACCAAGAATTATCAAAAAAGCAAAATCAATTGGATAAATTGCAACGCAAGTATAGTCGTGCCGCACCACAAGTGGACAAGATCAACTCATTATCATTTGAAGTTGATAAATTGAAACAAAAGACTAGTTCATACGAAGCCAGTTTCAATCAAATTAGCGAAACTATTAAATTAGAATTGGAGAATTTTGAATTTGAAAGAATTGACGATTTTAGAAACAGTGTCGAGATCTTTATTGAAAGCTCAATTGAATCGCAAAAGGAAGCTATTGAATTGTATGAAACTTTTTATGAGCGTCAAAAACTAGCTAGTGTGTAAATAACTTCAATTCTTTTATAATTTCTGGAAGTAAAATACCATTGTCGTCAACAAAACCTTGCCATAGTATACGGTCTTTTTGCGCTACTATTGGAAACACAAAATCCTCTTTGCCTTTATTAGTTTCCATCAGTAAAATTGCAGAGTGTAGACCAATTTGATTATGTATGAATTTGGTACTATTTGCAAAAATGCCTGTTTCAGATTGCATTTTAAATTGAATGAATTGATCATCATTAAGCAATGGAGTTTTGAATGCCTGAATCACATGGTCTCGAATCTGATTCTTTCTTCCGGTGTGCAATTCAAATATTATTGGCATGAGTTGGATATTATCGAAGAGGTCAGGATATTGGAGGATATTCTCGGGTGTTGGATCTCGTGTTAGATTTGTAAGTAGTTTGAATCTAGTTAGCGCTGGGTATGTGTTTAGTTGCCGGGGAGAAACAGGTTTCCCTCTGTAATCCTTTTCCAAGGCTTGAATATCGTAGTTGATTACTCCACTCGTCAATGAATCGTGTCCAAAAATCAAACCTTTATCCAGGGAGTTAACTACTGGTGCAAATTTACTATAGATATCCGTTCCTTTCGTTACTGGTAACAAACCAACATATCGTCGAGTTAACTTCATACTCTGAGATTTTCCACCTAGTACTCGTCTTATCTTATCAGCCCATTTTCTATTTCTGGCCACGATTAGTCCACCAGTAACGAATCGATCTAATCTCTGACATATTCGGAATTGTGCAGGATCAAATGTCATTTCCGGATTACGCTGTTGGAATTCTTGAGTTAAGGATGGGATTAAACTGGATTGTTGATATCCTGAACATATCATGTTGGAAGATTTGTTGACGATTGCATAGTTGAATGTGTGTTTAACTATGTCTAGTTTACCCATTATGTAGAACTGATGTCTTGAGACAGGTTCAGCAGGTAGCGATGGATTTTTCTTTTGTAACTCCGCATAAACAAAACTTCTTTTCTCTGACTCATCTTTTTCCATTACTAAACAGATTATTAGCCATGGATAACCAAGCGAACCAACTGGCTCAAGCTAGTCAAGTACCAGCTCAAGAGAAGAAGAGACCCCCCAGAAGACGTCCCAAGAAAAAATCAGATGAACAAAAGCACGATCTTACTTCAACCAAGAAATTTCTCCAAATTTCCAAATTAATCCGAGCATTTAAACCAGTGACTATAAATGGATCACCAACACAAACGATTATAGATCAGATCAAACTCAAAGAGCTGAATGACCCAGACTATTTCAAAACCAAGTATAAGAACCATGCAAGATTATCTAATTTACAAAAGTACTTGGCTGAGTTTATTGAGAGTCAACCTGATTCTACGATTTACATTTCCATGTGCGTCAAACCATCTGATCCCGATTTCCCGTTTGATTTAGATAAATTGCAATTAAATTTATCGATCCCAGGAAAGTACCCCGACAAAGTCCAAAAACCGAAGATAGTTGTATTGAACGACGAAATACCCAGGGGGTTTGCTATAAATGTTGAGAATGGGTTTAAACGGATTGCAGAAATAGCTTTGAACAAAGGAGAAGATGAAGAGATTGAATTGATACAAGGAACAGGATTATTGTCTATGATATTGACTTTGGATAAGTACTTGGAAGAGTTTTTAAAACAGGAAAAGAGAGAAACATTCAAGTTTGTCAAGACAGTAAAGAAGTCATCGCCAAAACCAAAGGATGCCCTGCCTGTACCTGCACCTGCACCTACACCCTCTCCTAAGGAAGACAAGAAACATTCCCCTGCTGTCAAACGCCAAGAGCAAATTATAGTATCTCCCGAAGTTGCTAGACTTAGAGATAGCTTAACTGAAGAACTAATCAACAAGTTAGGTGATTATATCAAAGTCTTTAAAAAGTCACATCAAGGAGAAACTCTTTACAAGATTGCATTACCAATATTTAACTTGGACTCACCAGTTATTCCCAATCTTTGGAAATTGAACGAACAAGTCGAGCTAATGGTTGCAATTCCAATAAATTTTCCTCAACTGAAACTAAAACTTACGTTCCCAAACAACTTTAACTCAAACTTAATCTTGAAATATTGTCAGCAGGATGAACAACAGTTTGAATTAGTGCAAATTACCAAACAATATCGGAAGATTGAACAAAACTTTACTAACAACTTCAATAAGTTTGACTTTGGCACTAACAGTTTAGTTCTGATATTCAACTGGCTCACTAACAATATTGGCCAATTTAGTTTATCTGATCAAGAATTTAAACAATGGGTAAGTAACATCGAGAAGTTTAACCTTTGATAGTTAGAATTACATGCTTTATTGTTGACTTACACAGTGTAGCTTCTGTAGTTATAGCAACCCTTCGGAGCTAACAGGGATCAAACGCCGGCTGATTCCGTGCATTGTTTACGGTTAAAAATAAAATTCATTGTTCTTTTAAATTGAAAAAAATTATTTTGATCCGTAGTACTCTGTATGGTGGTGAGGTTGTGGATTATCCCACACTTTTTTTTTTTACCCCTCGCCTTATTTATTTATTTTTCCTTCTATATTTTTTTTTTTTCAAAAATGAGCCATCCTTATAAAAAGAGTCATATTCCTTGAAAAGTTTTTAGGAAGTTACCACTTGTTATTCTTAAGTTACTAGATATCCACTTGTCTTACAAAAAGTACTTCCATAATTTTCTACTATTTGCCAAAATTAAAAATACTGCAACCATATTATATCAAATCAAATCGAATCATTACTAAACCCCGATCAAAGACCCTTAATAATGAGCACCCAAGTCCATCTAAACCCGACTAAACTTTCTATACTATCTCTACCCCGAGACAAGTATTGGATATTCGCATGCTCCATATTGCAACTTCTATATCACGAATCCAACAAGTCTGGTAGTGGATACAGTTCAGATGGTGATGACGAGGATGAGTTTTCTGATGACGAGGATGACTCAGACATTAAGGATAACGGATTTGAAGAGTTGAAGAATGGATTCAGTGGTGCAATAAGCAGTAAACGAAACTCTTATGATTCTATTGGGGAGGAGCTTAACCGATTATCTGTGGATAATTCAAGTAAAGTAAAATCACCAGATTCGGCCACTGATCTCACACACTATGAAGATGAATCAGAGCATACAGAGGAACAGCAAGAAGATGAGGAAGAGGAAGGTAACTTTTTCTTCCATATTGCATTAACCCCTGATGAATGTACCATTGTATGCTCTAGCAAACTCATGGAAGCATACTTTTCCAACCCTATTGAAATTTGTGCCAGTTTGAACTATTCAGTACACCTCCTACCTGATTCATTTTTGAGTTTACAAGTTGACAGTGATGGAAGTTTTGATCGAAGTTTAAGAATACTCGAGCTAACCAAACCATTATCGGAAAATGGGATCTCATTATTTTTCCTTTCCAGCCATTTCAATGATATTGTTCTTGTTCCCTATGATCAAAAGGAAAAAGTTGTGTCAATTCTTACTAAACAAAATTTTGAGTTTAATGACATCTCCAATAGTTATATAGGAAGCAACGACACAGAACTGGAATCTACAGTTCACCCTGAAGGATCAAAACTATTGGAAATATCCACTTTCAAATTATTTGAACAAGCCAGCATCAAACCTATTATCAACGACAACATCAAGCTTTTGCTAACTGGAGCAAGAGCAGGAGAAGTCAGCAATTCAATCTTGAAAACAGCAAAAATCTTGTCCATCCCAACCACCATCCCAGACTATTTTGCCATAACCAGAACTTCAATCAATGAAGTCTCACTCATCCTCCCAAAATCATCCAAAAGAAGAATCAAGATGGGATTCGACTCAAAGTTTATTATCGGATCAACTCAAGACGTGATCATTCCAATAACAATCGACTTTTCTAAATTACCTTTGGATTCACCGGGTATTGTTGCAGGAGTAGCCAGTAAGCTAATCAATGGAATGAGAAGTTTGGACAATGATTGTGAATTAAACTATTTCTCCATGGCTAAATCGGGGGTCATTATGATCCCAAGGGAGAATGTGGAGATGATTGCTACGATACTCGAGTAAGCATAAAAGTTATTTATTTATATACATCGCACATATAGAAAAAAAATAGAATATATATATATATGGGAATTAACATTAAGTTCATATGATTTATTGAAGCTGCGCATTACGTTCATTCTTTGTTTAATTGGCTGCTGCGACTTTGAAATCTTCACGGAAAACGGCTTCCTTTCTAGGTTCGAGCACCTGAGCTGGTGATCCTCTAAAGTACTTGAGTAGGACAGCAAGGATGAACAATCCAACTATGAATCTAAACAAGGTTTTAAAGAAGCAAGGCATGGTTTACTTTTGGTTGTAAAAAAAAAAAGTTGTAAATAAATTTGCTGTCAAAAAAGAAAACGTTCTATTTAAATGCGCGATCTCGTCTAAGAAATCGCCTTATGTGCACTGAATACTTACGACGGAATATGACACGTCAACTCGACTAAACTCAATTACTATTTATATTCTATTTAATGCTTCTTATTTCTCTTTTTGCTCTTACCAGTACTCCAACCATCTTCATCTACAGTTTGCACTTTATCAGCAGAAGAAATCACAGCCGATGCCCACGCAACTTGATCATGAGCTTCAGCATAGCCGATAGTTTGATCGACTTTTTGACGTCTCTTCATAAACTCTTGTGCAAATCTTCTTCCATCCATAGTAGCAGATGAACTATAGATAGTTTCAGAAATTAATTGCACGGAATCGGTTGAGTTGGAAGGTAAGGTGATAAAAATATCTAAAAGATCATCCTTGGTGACACTAGGATACAAATTAGACATGTTTGATCTAGCCCATACTAAAAAGTCTTCTCTAACAGCATTAGCATTGACAGATGGTGCTGCTGGCTTGGCAGCCGACACGGCACGAAGTAATTGGGGATTGGTCTTAGTTGCAGAGTTGGTGACAACAGGAGTGGCTTTCTTGACAACTGGTAGTTTCTTGGAAGTAACGGTAGTCCAAGCTGGTCCTTCATCTTTTGGAACAGCATTAGCAAGGGTGCTAGCAAGAGAAGCTCTCACAGGTAAAGTAACGGAAGCTGCACCGGTAGAAGGTTTAGCAGCAGCAGAAGCGGCAGCCGCAACCGCAGCCGCCTTGGCCTTAGCAGCAGCTTCTGCTTCTTCTCTGTGAATTTCAGCTAAGGTCTTAGTAGGACCACTAGATGCAACATTACCACTAGCCCAAGTGGCAGGGAATGCAGGAACAGCTTTTTCAGCTGGCTGTGGTTCATCCAAACTAGCCCATGCTTTAGCTTGTTCACTTCTAATTTGTGCTTCAATCCTTTTTTGCCTCTCCAATTTTTCAGCTTCCATTTGTTGAATCTCTTTCAAGGACAATTTAGGCTTCGTTTCTTGAGGTTTTGATGCCCATGGAGCTAATTCTTGAGGAACAGCTGGTTTCAATTGAACACCTTGGTTTTCTTCTTCTTCTGAATCTTGCGAAACCTCTTCTTCCTCTTCTGGAGATTCTTCCTCAGCAACTACTTCCGGTTCAACTGGTTCAGGGATAGGTTCTGGTTTAACATCAGGTTCAGTTTCAACCTTCTTGACTTCCTTCACTTGGTCCTTTGGTTCAGCAACTTCTTCATCTAAAATACCAGTAACTACATTATGAATCTCATCCAAAACAGTATCATCGCCAGTAGATGCTTCCTTACCAGTGTCAAGCAAGGGGCTTGGTCCTTTACTGTTGCTACTATGAAGGGAGGAGCTTGGAGCAAATGGAGAACTAACACGAGACAGTGATTGTACATTGCTAGAAATCCATGGAGAGATTGGAGTAGGTTGAGTAACTTGGGCTGGTTGTGGGACCATCACTGGGTTCACTGGAGTAGCTGGATTGCTTGAACTTATCAAGGTAGAAGTGTTGCTTGTATCTAATCCCCAACCAGTACCTGATAACGGTTGTTGAATTTGTGGTTGCAATAATGAAGGCATGGCGGAATGTTGTAACGGATGAGTGGAGCCAAATGGGTGATTAAATGTTTCAATTCCAAAATGATGATGCTGCTGCACATGTGGGTGATGGCCATGGACAGGAGCAGTTGCTGGGAAAGTAGCGGTTGCTGACAGTGGAGTAATTGGACTGAACGGATCATTCTTCCAATCATTAGCGAAAAGTCCTGATTGTGGACCAGTAGAAAGGCCCGGTAATCTGACACCTCCAGGACCCAAATTCCCTTCAGGAAGGAAATGATGATGGAATTGGGATTGTGGTTGTTGCAGTGGTAAACTGTCAGGCAATTGATTTTGGAAAAATTGAGACGTAGGGGTAGAACTAGTATCAATAGCCGATGGTTCAGCTGGAATAAAAGTCAAGTCAGGTAATGGAACCTTGAATGGTTGAATATAGTTTTGGACACTATCACATAAATCCTTAAGAGTCTTGAACGTTGATTCTTCTTTTCTTCTGATTTTCAAATCAAGAGTCAAGTATCCTCCAGTGAGCCATTCTTGCATCATATCTCCATTGAACGGACCTTGCTCTGTACCCAATGGATCGATATAATACCATTCAATCTTATCGGAAGTGACAAGAGGGTTAGAATTATTGGTTTGCTCACGAGACAAGACATTTTCCGAAATTCCTGGAGGCGGACCGGTGAGATGACTAGCAGCATTTGCAAGATCCAGCTGTTGTTGTTGTTGCTGTTGCTGTTGCAGCTGCTGTTGACTAGCTTGCTCGGCATAATCATCAATCGACAACTTATCCAAAGATTCATTCACCTGCTCCTGATGATGAACATCATCAAAAGAGCTTGGTTGTAAATCCAAATGATAAATCTGACTAGGTTTAGCCAATCGATACGATTCACTAGCCTTGATAGGAAGATCCACGGCTGGATTCAATATCTGATCCTTGTTGTCATACCATACTTGAAATACTTCATTCATGGAATATCTCTTACTGCCTTTATTAGGTTGGATCGTGGGAGTAGGAGTATAACTAGCAGCAGGTGATTCGTGGGAATCAAGGCCGTTATTGACTTGATGGTCTAAAGATTGATTTCTGCGAGGACGGGAATACATTTTTTATAAGATTGAGAATCTAGATGAGCTTATGCTAGAGGTATATGCTATAGTATATGCTGCGGTTAGTGGGGAAGGGGAGTTGCTTTTTTGTATAGCAGAAGATGTGATTTAGTTAAATCTTTTTTTTTTTGACAACTTTTATTTGAAAGTGAACAAAAATTTTTTCTTTGATTTTCGCAGTTGGTGAATTTTGCAGTTTAATTTGAATTTACATTTTTACTGACAAAGGTGGAGAGATGCTATACAGTTAGCCAGATATGCTGTATGGATTATTTAAAGGAGAAGTTGATGAAAATGAAATGAATAGTAGCCATTGTACAAAGTTGGTTCACTATTGTTGGTTTCTTTCCTACTGATTTGATGCAAAAGTTAGTCCTGGAAATGGATGGTCGTATCTACTGAGATACAAAAAAAAAGAAAACACATATATATGTAGCATTGAACCAGTTACAGCACTCCCACGCAAGTTGGTACAATAGCTCACACAATTGGGCAATCCATGATTCAATTGGCCTACAAAAAACCCTGGTTCTACTTTCCATTGCAATATGTCTTGTTCTATTCTGTATTATTTTCTGCACAAAATACATAACTCCTTATCTCATTCTATAGAATTGACACTTAGATTCCCATCTTCTTTTCCATTTCAGTATGGAAATCTTTCACATTATTCCCACTTTCAAACCCACCAGGGTATACATCTTCCCAATCAACCGAAGTATCCTTGCCCAATAATATGTCTTTATGCATAGAATCACTACCTCCTAAAACACTGGGCTTGAAATCAGTAGCTTCAACAATGTTCAATTCCATAGTTCTCTTAATTGGTTCACCAGCACCAAACACTCGTCTATACATTTCCAATTTGGTTTCCTCTTGGGTCTTTTCCCAAGTGGTTATTCTTGATTCTAATGGATGACGATTGTTTAATTTGGAGCTGATGTTCAATGGACCTTCTTGAGTTCTTAATATATCTTGTAATCCTGGTGCATGTTCGGCTGCTTCACCAAACTTGGTGGTGGTAACCGATGATTCTTGTTGATTATTTGGAATTATTCTCAATGACTACAATCGTTAGTAAGAGATCCCTGCAAATGTCATTGGGGTGATTGACATACCATTCTAATATATGTGTTTTTATTAGTCGACTCTCTAACTAAATGTAACTACTACAGATTCGCCTTTCCTGAAAAGTGGCAAACAAAACTCGCATTTTTCTTTGACTTTAAAAATTTTGTGCGTTTTCGCACGACCACTGGTGTTACCCTATAACCTTTCAATAGGTTCATCAATTTCGTCAACAACGTTGATTAATCGTTCATTAGGATTGAAATCGGATTTTAAAACTTGTGGGACAAAGCTCCACTCTTCGGGCTTTAAAACCCCATTGAAACATAAAGTTCCAAATACCAATACCGCAAATCCTGTGAATTGCAACCATTGAAATGATTCCCATCCCATGCTGATAGCCACGATCCAAACAAGTAAAGTTCTGCATGTATCCACAGTTGATCTTGCAGTTGCAGAAATTCTATGAGTAATTGACAATCCACAATAATTGAACGCAGCAATAGAAATCATGATGCAAATGGAAGATAATAATACGGCCCGGTTGAAAAATACTTGGGAAAATGCTTCTACCATATTGAATGGCGACGATTCAAATTGTTGTTTTGGTTGAATTGCTCCAATTATAAAGTTAAGCACAACCATGACTGCCAACAAGATTGAAAATCCGTAAAACCCTTCAATGTAAACCAATTGCAATGGTATAATCTTGTGTTTTTCCAAGATATGTTCTTCCGCCACAAACTGGAAAGCTTGAAGCATTTCCGCAAGGACAATTAAAAAGATCCCAAATACAATCAAACTCGAGGTTGCTGTGTCTGTCGAAGGAGAGGTTCTCGATCCACTCAATCCAACAAGACCAACTCCAAGAGTGACAAATAACAAACTAATCCATTCCAATTTGGAAATCCTTCTCTTCAAGAAAACCACGGAAAGAATGGCCACAAACAAAACAATCGAGCCTCTTGTCATTTGATATATAGACACTGGAGTATATACCAACCCAATGTTAAGTAAAGTAGTACCACATAAATCACAAATAGCAGGAATAGCCAATTTCAAATTCAGAAATATGGAAATCTCCTTAACTTCCTCTTCTTCGTCTTCGTCATTCAATCTAACATAATCCTGTCTTTTCCTATTCTGACCCAACTTATAAACCAAATAATAAACAAGAAACATACTCAACTCACCTACAAACATTTGTAATGTTTGAATGGCCGGTTGTTCAAAGTTTTTATGCGTTGAGAAATCAGGATTATCACAATTCCGAACACATTGGTTATCTTGATATTTGGTGAATAACGAATTAGCAGCACCGGTGATTAACGTCCCTGCCACGATTAAATAAAGCCCTATACCCATCGCATGAATTCTTCCTATGATATTATGATAAAGTAATTAAAATAATGAGTGAGAGATATATTAAATTTTACGTGTTTAAATGTCAGTGGCGACGTTGTTGTATTTCTTTATCAGCCATCCGGGAGGTGGGGGAAGTTGTCAACTTTTTTCTGGCTGTCAAAAAGTATGTCCATTGCCTGCCCAATTAGGCAATATTACCACGCGAGTTGAAATTGTAGGATTACTAATCAAAGGCCGAATCACAAAAGTATCAGATATTAAAGAAGCAGATGTTGAATCTAATTCTGGGTATTCATTAACGATAGCCATAGTTATCCAATTTTCGATTGAGGTTGAAAGCATGGTTTACCATTGTTCCCTTTAATTTCGTTAAGTTTTCGCTAAATCGCTACCAAAAAAAAAAAAAATGAAACAATACTTTGAAAGTACTAGCTATCATCTAATTAACACATATTAGTTGTTGTAGAATAATTCAAATAATGTTTTATAACATTTGGAAAAGAATAAACAAGCCTATAATTCCCGAAACATGCAACTAAGACAATCCAATTTCCTTTCTGGCAGTATAAGCTTAGCATGATAAGCAAATATACATTATAAATTATTCAAAAAAATAATAATAAGTGATCTAGAAAAGAGCCGCTTATTAGTTCAGAACATAAAAATACCCCTTATCTCGCTTATGGTTTCAACCGTTGCTTGAATTTGCAGTATTTTTTTTTTTTTTGCAACTTGAATACACAGACACACACAATATTTGTTTTAGCACCCCCAGACGAGTTTTTTGAGCCGCATGATGAGCATCTTTGATAATCCCATACACCAGCAAATATGTTAAACTTCTACACTATTTTCTTAACTAAGACATATCTCAATGTATATCAACAGAATCCCACTCTCATAATATATCTAAAATTTAGGTACATAACATCAGCAATTGATTGATGTTGGAGAAAACTTAACAAATAGGTGAGAATAACAAAATTTCACCACTGTATTCCACTTTTCCACGGGTAAAACTTAGTAAAAGCTCAAAAGAAAACCTCAATGGTTTATTAGGCTACGCATGAAAGCACTTAGTACTCCTTATAGAGCCGTTTTCTATTGAATGTGCCTACTGAAACCGAGAAAACATATGGAAATAGTATATTTATAGATAATGCAAGTTCTCCTCTCACGTGACCAAATTGGGGATTACCCGCACGCATCTCTGCATCGAATTGCAAGAAAAATTTTCTTTTCCCTATTTAATTTAATTCCAATTTTAATTTGTGAAATTTATATATATTACTGATTCTACATTCGTGATTGAATCGTACTTCACTTTTACATATAAATCATATTAACATACTAAAATAATGTCTTTTGCTCCAAGAGGAAGAGGTGGTGCCCGTGGTGGATCTAGAGGTGGATTCGGTGGTGGTGCCCGTGGTGGCCGTGGTGGTGGCCGTGGTGGATTCGGTGGTGGTCGTGGTGGATTCGGTGGTGGCCGTGGTGGTGCCAGAGGAGGTGCCAGAGGTGGTGCTCGTGGTGGTGCCAGAGGTGGTGCCCGTGGTGGAAGAGGTGGTGCCCGTGGTGGTGCTCGTGGTGGTGCCAAGGTTGTCATTGAACCACACAGACATGCCGGTGTCTTCATTGCTAGAGGTAAGGAAGATTTATTAGTCACCAGAAACATGGCCCCAGGTGAATCCGTTTACGGTGAAAAGAGAATTACCGTTGAAGAACCAGCCAAGGAAGAAGGTGCTGCTCCAACCAAGATCGAATACCGTGTTTGGAACCCTTTCAGATCTAAGTTGGCTGCCGGTATCATGGGTGGTATTGATGAATTAGGTATTGCTCCAGGTAAGAAGGTCTTGTATTTGGGTGCTGCTTCCGGTACTTCTGTTTCCCACGTTTCTGATGTCGTTGGTCCAGAAGGTTTAGTTTACGCTGTCGAATTCTCTCACAGACCAGGTAGAGAATTGATCGGTATGGCCAAGAAGAGACCTAATGTCATTCCAATCATTGATGATGCTCGTCACCCTCAAAAATACAGAATGTTGTTAGGTATGGTCGACTGTGTCTTTGCCGATGTTGCCCAACCAGATCAAGCCCGTATTATTGCATTAAACTCCCATTTGTTCTTAAAGGATGGCGGTGTTGTTGTTATTTCCATCAAGGCTAACTGTATTGATTCTACCGTTGATGCTGAAACCGTCTTCGCTAGAGAAGTTCAAAAATTGAGAGAAGAAAGAATCAAGCCTTTGGAACAATTAACCTTAGAACCTTATGAAAGAGACCATTGTATCGTCGTTGGTCGTTACATGAGAAGTGGATTAAAGAAGTAAGCAAACTTCTCTATATTTGCATAGGTTTTTGGGTTTAAAGTAGTTAGAGAGATGTTTTTTCTAAATCTGTACATTAATTGAAAAGAATATATAAGTAAACATTTATAAATATTAGTAGAGAGATAAAACTCAATCAATTCTAGCTTCGGATAATGTCAATGGTTTAATATTGTTTGAAAATACAGAAGAACCAGATTTGAATCTGTTGATCTTCTTTAATTTTTCTCTAACAACCATGACGGGAACACTCAGTTTAGTAACCAAGTAGTTGGACAAGGAACCCAACAACACACCCTTGATTGCACTTTGACCCTTGGATCCCACAACAACTAAAGTAGGTTGTAAATTATCAATGAATTCCAAAATCAAATGTCTTGGGATCGGATGGTGGATAATTTCAATGACAATATGAATTTGCAATTTGGTTAATTTTAACAAGTTTAACACTTGTTGTTTTGCCTTGGCTAACATGTTTAATCGATGTTGTTCTCTTTCGGCTTCGCCCTGGACATTTTCTTTCAAATGTCGATTATTGTCATTATCTTCAATGACATAAACGATAAACAATACTGAACCATCAACCAATACAGTCCCAAGACTCCATTCCAAAGCAAAAATGGATTCAGGCGAGAAATCCATACAAACCAAAAACATCTTTGGCTTCACTTTAGGGTTAACCAATTGGAAGAAATTACCTCTGGTTATAGTTTGAATTACTCGTGAATGTGCTTTATTTGAATCTATTTCTCCTTCCTTTATTGTTTCATTCAATTGCGATGCAAACTCACTATCTAATTTATCTTCAACTGCCGAAGTATAAGGGATAATAAAATCTTCATTGTTTTCGGTATTTTCGGTTTCTCTGGTTGGAGAAAGAGAATCAGTTGGAGTGCCATTTTCATGATGAATAATCTTTCTTCTATATGCTTGATAATTATCTAACTTTTGTCTTCTGGCAAAAGCATCTTGCTCAGTCTTGCTCAAATTCAAAGTATCTGAACCAGTCAACTGTTGTTTGAAAGTAGCCAATTTGTCCAATTGTTCTTTATCAACCAGAGACCCGGCATTTTTGGCTGCAGCAAATGCACGTTCACTAGCAGTCAACTCTTCTAATCTTTTGATGGTGGCATTATCATTTAAATTTGAGTTTTCTAAAATTGATGAGATTTCATTAATCTTTTCATCTTGACATGCATAGTTTGGTAAAATGTTACCAGTATCATCATATTGTAATTTCTCATTGGCATCATCGTCACTGACATGTTCTTCTTCACTGACTTCGTTTTCCCACAAATCGGTATCATCATCTTCTCCATCTCTCTTGACGATTCTTTCCAGAGGATCGTGGTTGGTGATTGACCATTTCAACTCCTTGTTAAATTCGTCGTTCAGAATCGAGGATGATCGGCTGCCACCGGCAGATGGGGATATCGATCTACCTCTAGAAATAGTCTTCTGTAGTAGGGCCAACTTTTCCGTTTCTAATCTAGACATATTAAAGTAGTATTAAAGGGTTTAAGTACGTTGATCAAGCAAGTGTAAATCAGGGTTGCACAAAATGCTCAACAAAAATGGGGCAAATCAGGAAGGTTCTCTATGGAGGAGGGGGAGGGGTGTCAATCTAATAGTAAAAATTAATATATCTATGAATTGTTGTTACCAATAGATTACTTTGTTTAGATTGTCTATATCTGATGTGGATGTTTTGCTGTTGTTGTGTGTGACTGGTGGTACCTACGGATGTCTGTTATCAAATGAAACGGCATGAAATTGCCAGAGCGCGGGAGTCAGCTCGGCTGAGCGAACTCGTTTCTGGGCCAAGAAAAAAAATATAACAAAAAAAAAAAAGAATTCTCCAATTAGCCATATCCACACGACCTCCCCCCCATGGCTGCAACTCTATTGGTCTCTACAATAATACAACCTCTACCAATATATGATATTAAATGCTACCTAATTTTCACTTTCCTCATCTACTTCCTCATCCTCATCCTCATCTTCATCTTCGCACGTAAACTCCACCAAGAAATTTGCCCCTTTAAAGTCAGGTGCTTCGCTGATTTTTACATCATTTGCAACAATAACCTTCTTTGGATACGGTTGAATAACCTCAAACTTAAATGGGTACTTGACACAATAATCTTCCAAGGTAAGTGGTTGCTCTTGTAATGATCGTGGTAATCCAACATCAGCGATCAATTCGTCAATTATGTGAGTTATTTCTTCAAATTCAGCTCCTTGAGTCTCCAAGAGCTCTTCCACAAACAACTTCAATTCAATAAACATATAAAACTCTTTAATCGTGATCGACTTGCGGAAAAATTCAACTAAACGCTTCCCACTTGGTAGTTTGACAGCAATCCTAAATTTATCTTCATCTTCACCAGTGGTTGTTACACTCGAAAAGAAATCATACTTGACTAAATTCAATAAATAGTATTGTCTCATCTTGTAGGATATTTCTAAATCATGCTTGGCCTTCTCTTCTTTTTCACGTTGGACCTTCTTTTGTCTATCCTGTTCTAGTGATTGCAAATACGCATCATCTTGTTGCTGTCTAATCATACGAGAAAACTCCATTTCTTGCCGGTCGTACCTTGCCGAAATCAACTGTGGTGTAAACTTTTCCAAGAACTTGTTAACATTCTTGATGATTTTAATTACTGTTAGCCTGGCTTCGTAATCATTGCTAACAAATGGGGTGGACAAATTAGACTTGTACAATATCGACATTGAAGCCATGATATCAGGACTGGGAGACACATTTCCAACCAACATGATATATGGAGTTCTTCGAACTTTATAAACATGAGCAACTTCAAATGCTTCACGGTTTCTCTCCACATTACTTATAAATATTTGAGTTTCTTTAAATGTACCACTATTCTTATTGAAAAGCTCATTGAAACCCGAGTTGGCAAATAATTCTCGGACAAATCGTTTACATCCAACTGAATCATTCACAAGGATTACTAATAACCAGTGGTATTCTCTTTGAGATATTTGATGTGCATTATTGAAATCTGATTCAGATATGTTAAAGTTCGATTCAACCAAAGTGGAGGAATCTTCTGGCTCGAACGATTCCTTTTCGGCAAGTGTCTCGTCATCTTTTATCAACTCCGTCTTTTTTATCCACAGATTAACCTGATCTAATAGTCTATAACTAGGATGGAACTTGTCAAAATTGAATGTTCTCGATAACTTACTTGACTCTCCACTCCCAGATGTCGTATCCAACCCAAACAAAAACCGTATTGCCGAAACCAAGATATTCCAAATTGTCTTTGGGAGAATAAGTAATAGAACCCACAAAGCAGCTGCTGGCGATCTCCTTTCTTTTCCTTCATCCACCACCGTTGGAGGAACCGATATAGTTGACTCGGAATCTTCTTCATTCTCCAACAATTTCTTTTGTTGCTCTTCACGTTCATGAATCAACGAGGTATGAATTCCAACCTCCAATTGCCACCCATTGGATATCGTTGGCGCTTTAGGAAATCTCGGCATTAAGTTATCCATAAACATCTGCTGTTGAAGATTCATGATATTATCACGAGCAGGAGGAGTAGGAGAATGTCTCGGTGGACTAGCTGTACGTTCTCGGTTATGCAATTGACCATCATGGTGTACTTGTGCTCCTGAACTGTACGTATTTGCTGTTTCGGCCATTTCAAACCCGCTATCGAAATATGTGGATATGGCATTGTTTAAATTGTATTCATGGATCACCAATAATCTTAATACTTTATCGTCGTTTTCATCATTTTCTATTCCTGTTATTGATTTGAATTGGACAACTGCTTCTTGTTGGTCGGCGGTAAGGTCGTCTGACATGTTTAGAGTGCTGGGTTTTTTTTAAAGAGCTGTTCGTTTTTCTTTCAATAAATAAGGGAATGACTCAATTTATATGTTAATAATGATAAATTAATCAAGTGGCACTGGTAATATGACTCTATAAGTAGAATACCCTATTTACTCCAGATTATTCTTGATCTGGTAAGAATAGTGTTGGATTACGTGTACCATGACAAAAAAAAATTGTTGGTAGTTAAGAAAACATGCAAGCGGAACCGTTGCGGAATTTAAGCCCCAGCATAACGAAAGATGAAAAAGTTTAAATCAATAAAAGTATCCCAGCCTTGTCAAATAACATTAAAGACATCCGCGAGGTACTAGCTAGACCCTAAATTCTAGCACTGATATCACACACATCAACAACCGGTTTGCAACTGACCGAAACACAATGCCACAGTGGAGGTTTTAATCACAGGAATATATCGCGGTGGAGCCTCCACCCAAAATTCCGCCTTAGTGGTGATTTTGTGTCTTGCACGGAATTTTCGGGCTTGGACCGCAAACAATTTGCAACACGAAGGGAAAGATTTTCGGAAATCCTTGCTTAAGGCACAAAGCTACTTTAGATTATAACCGATCAACTAGTCTAGCATGAATCAATACTAGTTCCTATCAAGTTTCGAACGGTCGTAGTCCGACTTACGGAGAGCAAAAAAAAAATCACGTGGATACCCTCTTAGCCGCACTATAGTCATCCACCGTCCCCCCCTCCAACCACGCCGCCGATAGAATAGAAGAAAAATCGTACTTTTGCGCTCGCGTAATAAGCCGTTGTACATGGAGGTGAAGCAGCAACAAGACTAATTTTAGGACAATAATGACGAATCAAGCGTGAAATACAATGACTGGTGAAATAACTTGAAACAGACAAAGGCAAATTGCTGCCCTCTATATAAGACATAAACTGCACCACAGAGACAGACTGAGATGTTGCATATTCGTGCCGAGGAACTAACTTTGTAGAAGGTTATGAGAAAACAGACAATGACCAGGTAAAAATGCATGATCCTCCCCGAGAAAACGATCCAGGTACAAAGATAACAAAGAGAACGGCATTGGGTTGCACAGACAAACATGGTAAGTTTAACCTGGGGTAACCGCCTTAATGTTTTGCATTCTATTTTTAAAACATGAGAAGCTTTTAAAGTAAGTTGGATACTAGACACATGTTGATCAAGGCTACATGGTTCCTGCCAATAAAAAGACACATCAATCACAACGTTGTACTCATATTTCTAATTTAAAATTATTGCTGACTGGCTCTTGCGGAAAAGTTTAATTGTATGAATAATCTGTGACTTTTGCCGAGAATCTGAACGTGAATTTCACGGAATTGTTTTCGAGTCACCACAAAAAAATAAAATAAGTTGACATATAAAACGGAACCACGATGTCATCAAAAGTTTTATTTATTTAACGTAGTATTGTACTTTAACCAGTTTTACGCGAAAACTCTTCACTAAGTCATCCTCGTTGCTTTGGATATCTCCCTATCAAATAGATAGTACACTTCACCCAGTTTTCATAGCATCTATCATTGCACCTCGTGGCTAATTTACGATCTCATAATTAGATTATTTTTTAATTTTTTTTTTTTTTTGAATTCATCGAGACTTTTGCACATCAGCTCACACAGCCAAGCTTACCAATTAAACCATGTGGAAACGATTATGGTCCCAACCATGGGCTAGAACGGTGGTCAAGTACTCCGTAGTATCAGGTGGTGCTGTCGGTGCCGGTATAATCTATTTAGATTACATACAAGCCCGCAAACCTGCTGCGATACTGATACCTCACGCACCATTAAAGAAAGAATGTCCTCCACCTCCATCAAGAAGCGAATTGCTTGAAACTTTAGATAAGAAATTCGATGTCTTGGTCATCGGTGGTGGTGCCGTTGGTACCGGTACTGCCTTGGATGCAACCACTCGTGGATTGAATGTTTGTCTTTTGGAAAAAAGTGATTTTGCATCAGGAACATCATCAAAATCAACCAAATTGGCTCACGGTGGTGTTCGTTATTTGGAAAAAGCCATTTTTCAATTATCCAAGGCCCAATTAGATTTAGTCATTGAAGCTTTAAGTGAAAGAAGTAACATGTTGAAAGTTGCTCCTCATTTAGTCACCATTCAACCTATTATGGTTCCAGTTTACAAATGGTGGCAAGTTCCTTACACTTACATCGGATGTAAGATGTATGATTGGTTTGCTGGAAGCCAAAGTATCGCTAACTCGAGAATTTTCGGTGCTTCCCTTACTAAAGCCACTGCTCCTATGATGGATAACGAAAACTTGAAAGCTTGTTGTATTTATCATGATGGTATTTTCAATGATGCTAGATTCAATGCTAGTTTGGCAATCACCGCTATTGAAAATGGAGCTACTGTGTTAAATTATATGGAAGTTGATCAATTATTAAAGGATGAATCTGGAAAAATTATCGGTGTTCGTGCTCATGATAGAGAAACCAATAAGTCATATAAGGTTCATGCCACTGCTGTTGTCAATGCCACGGGTCCATTTGTTGATAAGTTTTTGGAAATGGATGAAAGTCCTGAAGGCTTACCACCAAAGGAAGAACGTGCTCCAAGAATGGTTGTTCCTTCAACTGGTACTCACGTTGTTTTACCTGAACATTATTGTCCTAAGGAATATGGTTTATTAGATCCAAACCCAGTTGACGGTCGTGTTATGTTTTTCTTGCCATGGCAAGGTAAAGTTCTTGCTGGTACCACTGATGAAGGATTAAAATATGTTCCAGAAAACCCAGTTGCCACTGAGAAAGATATCAGCCTTATTATGAGCGAATTACAAAAGTACCTTGCCTTCCCAGTTCGTAGAGAAGATGTCTTGTCAGCATGGGCCGGTGTCAGGCCATTGGCTAGAGATCCATCTACTATTCAACCAGGGCAAGAAGGTTCTACCGAAGGTATTGTTCGTTCCCATTTGCTTACCCAAAATCCAACTTCAGGATTGATCACTATTACCGGTGGTAAGTGGACTACCTATAGAGAAATGGCACAAGAAACCGTTGATCTTGTCGTTAGCAAATTCAACTTCAACAAGGTGATCAAACCTTGTCAAACCAGAAATATTCAATTGATTGGAGCCCAAGATTATTATGCCAACTATGCATCTCAATTGATTCGTGAATATAATATTCCAACCAAATTGGCCAAACATTTGGCAGGTAACTATGGTACCAGAGCACCTTTAATTTTGGAGTTATACAAGCTCAACGACTTTAATAGGTTACCAGTAGCCTTGGCTGCAACCAAGCGTTATAATATTTCGGAAGCTGAAACCTCCCCAGACTCCCTATTGAACTTTGAAGCCTTCGAAGAACCATTCACTGTTGCTGAATTAAAGTACAGTATCAAATACGAATACACCAGAACCCCACAAGATTTCTTGGCCAGAAGAACCAGATTGGCTTTCTTGAATGCTAGAGAAGCTTTCAAGGCTATTGATGGTGTCACTGAAGTCATGGCACATGAATTCAAATGGGACAAGAAGACCACTGAAAAGATGAAGAACGATGCTGCTGAATATATTAGTCGCATGGGCCTTATTCCTGCAACTAATTGAACTCCCTTAACTTATTGTATAGAATGATTAATAAAGTAATACGTATAAAGAACCTACATGTAAACAATTACCGTCTGAATCCTACTTGTTTGCTTTCTTTCGTGAAAGCGTTGTCTATTGTTAAATTTACAACCAAAATTTTGACAGCCAAAAAGTTGTCCGGATTTTTTTCTCATTTGAGCACAATTGAAATTGACGGCTTATTCAAACCACAAATTAGCCGGTGTTTACTATTTGAATAAACCCAGCGTCACCAGGTTACTACCAAGCTATACCCCCCCACCCTTCTTTGACCCCCCAATTTTTGGTTGTGTTTGTGTGAATTATGAGTTACAGTGATGTAGAAATACCGACCAATGGTAATCAGCAACTTCAACAAGAAAAGATTCCAAATCTATATGCATACAACAAGGAAAGAGAAGACAGAAGCACCAGTCCTACCCTAAATGAAAAAGAAACCCCATTATTAGTCAAAATCCTATCATCACTTCCTTTCCTCCTAGCATTCCCTATCATATTCTTGTCCCATGAACTAAGCTTGCAAATACGAGGGGATTTGGACACTTTACCCAACTCCATACTATTGACTATATTCATGTCTGCGACTTTTGTGGGTTTTCTTTTACTCACCAACTGGCTAGCTATCATCCCAATAAATAATATTCCCGATACCCTTATTGTGGACAGTGCTAGATCTAAAGTTTCAAACACACTTTATTTATTAACATCGGTATTTATCATACTTACACCAACTGCGTTCATTCCAGCAGGTAGATTAGCAGTGCTACTCCTAGCCTTGTTTCAAAATCCATGGAATTTTTATACCCCAGTGTCTTTGGTAGTTGATTGCGTCATCAGTTGGCAAGATTCTTGGACAACTTTATTTCCTGTCATTTGCAGTTACTTACTTGTTGTGCTTGGATTCTTTTTGATTAATAGGAAACTACATCTGATTTCAATATCTGCATTATTGGCAAATATGGAAAAGTCAATCATAGTTGGAGTTATCATTATAAGCGGTGCTGCGCTTTCATTATACAACCCACAGCAATTAAGTTATAGTATGATGGGAGTAAATGTGGCTACTATATTCGTGACTATAATTTCATTATCACAGTTTCAAATGAGAGATAGCTTTATATCACCATTATTCGTGTCTATTCTTTCCATCATATTAGAATATATTGTCATTGAAATGTCACCTTCTCCAGTTCATATCGTGAATATGGTTTTGACATTCTTGATCAAGCCAGATAGTTCACGCCAGTGGACAAACGTGAAAGCAAATTCCAAGCCAAGATCTCCTATTCTCAAGGAATTAGTCAGCCATTCAGACACACGAGCAATCTTTAATTTCCTTTTGTTGAATGCTAGCTTTATGTTTGTTCAATTCTTGTATTCGTTTAGATCGAAATCGTTGGGACTACTTTCGGATTCTTTGCACATGGCTTTGGATTGTATGTCACTTGCAATTGGCCTTGTTGCTGGTGTGATTGCAAAACATGAAATTGACCCTAATGGAAAGTATCCATTTGGATTACGTAATTTTGAAATTTTAGCAGGCTTTACCAACGGTTCACTCTTGGTTGGAATCAGTGGAACCATCATGTTTGAAGCTATCGGAAGGTTATTAAATCCAGTCCATTTACAAAAGACGAATGAATTGATTGTTGTTTCTGTAATGGGTCTTTTGGTTAACTTGGTGGGTATCTTTGCATTCAATCATGGCCATGCACATGGCCATGGACATTCTCATGGACATTCACATTCACATGCACCTGTTGTGGAAAGTGAGCATGAACATGAACATGAACATAAACATAACCATTCACATGAAACTCAACACCTGCATTCACACTCACATTCCCATCCTCATGACGACGAACATATGAATGATAACATGCGTGGGATCTTTCTTCATATAATGGCAGATGCTCTTGGCTCAGTAGGGGTGGTGATATCCACCATATTAACCAAGCTTTTCGATTGGCAGGGTTTTGACCCAATATCATCCATAATCATCGCCATGGCAATTTTCGTGTCTGCAGTACCGTTGATTAAATCAACTGCATCCACACTTTTATTACAAATTACCAAAACCAGAGAAGATAAAATAAGGAATGTGCTTCGTGAAATTTCCGAGATTAGAGGAGTCAGGTCATTTGCCAGCCCTAGATTCTGGCCCAATCTGAGTAATTCAATCAGTGGGTATATCCACATCCAGATTTATCGAGGAGAAAATGGATCCTTCATTAAGAGACAATGTGAAAAGATTTTCAAGAATGCGGATATCGATGTGATGATCCAGATAGAAAATGATTATGATGATTGTTGGTGTCGTAAGTAATAAGTTTGCAGCTAACTAACTAATATATATATATAATGATATTTTTTTTTGTGCGCCTTCGCACGACTTCGCATCTCGGGAAATATTTAACCTCCGAGAGTTTACTAAGCAGGAACTAGTGGCTAGATATTTGTTTAAATCAACAAACTACATAATGTCAAGAACAGGGGTATTAGTATTGGGACCAGCCGGTTCAGGGAAATCCACATTCTGTAATTCCATGATTGCTTATATGCAATCCGTTGGACGTCGTGCTCACATAGTAAACTTGGATCCGGCCGCAGAAGCCACTGAATACGAATTCACGATTGATATAAGAGACTTGATATCTCTTCAGGATGTCATGGAAGAAATGGATTTGGGTCCTAATGGAGGATTAGTTTACTGTTTTGAATTCTTGTTGAATAACTTGGACTGGTTGGATGAAGAAATAGGTGATTACAACGATGAATACTTGATCTTTGATTGTCCTGGACAAATTGAATTATATACCCATATCCCAGTATTGCCTACAATTGTTAAACATTTGCAACAATCACTCAACTTTAACTTGTGTGCTACGTACTTGTTGGAATCCCTGTTTATTGTAGACAATTCCAAGTTCTTCTCTGGTGCTCTTAGTGCCATGTCCGCCATGATTTTGTTAGAATTACCTCACATAAATATTTTGTCCAAGGTTGATTTAGTCAAGAATGAATACAGCAAGAAACAACTAAAGAAGTTTTTGAATCCTGATCCATTATTGCTAGCGAAAGACAGCGAAGATGACTATAACCCTAAATTTGCCAAATTAAACAAGTTGATTGCCAATTTAGTCGATGATTTTGGTATGGTTCAGTTCTTGCCTTTGGATTGTGCCAAGGATAGTAAATCGGTGGAAACCATTCTTAGTTATATAGATGATGTCACCCAGTGGAGCGAAAGTCAAGAACCAAAGGAACCAAATGACGAGTTTGAACTTCCTGATGAAGAATAAAGTGTTTATAGAGAGTAATAGAAGTAAATGGTGGTATAGTCTTTTGTATATCCTGCATATAATCACAGTGGTGAAAATTGAAACTGAAAACAAAAATCATCGAGTAGTTTTTTTCAACTTTGCCTTTGACAACACATTAAAGTTCCCAGAAAAGCACACAATCATGGTACAAATAAGTGAAGTTAAAGACAGTCAATCAAGAGAAAGAAGAACTGCAGCACATACACATATCAAGGGATTGGGGCTCAATGAACATGGTATTGCCAAGAACATCGAAGGAGGATTTGTTGGACAAGCCGATGCTAGGGAGGCATGCGGGATTATTGTCGACTTAATCAAATCTAAAAAGATGTCAGGTAAAGCTATTTTGATAGCTGGCCCTCCTGCCACCGGTAAAACCGCTTTGGCATTGGCAATTTCTCAAGAATTGGGTCCAAAAGTGCCATTTTGTCCTATTGTTGGATCTGAACTTTATTCCGCTGAAGTTAAGAAGACATCGGCTTTAATGGAAAATTTCAGAAGAGCTATTGGATTGAGAATTAAAGAAACCAAGGAAGTTTATGAAGGGGAAGTTATCGAATTGACTCCAGAAGAAGCCGAGAATCCTTTGGGTGGTTATGGTAAGACTGTCAGTCACGTTATTGTTGGATTAAAGACCGCCAAGGGTACCAAATCTCTTAGACTTGATCCTAGTATCTATGAAAGTATCCAAAAGGAAAGAGTCACCATTGGTGATGTTATTTACATAGAAGCAAATACCGGTGCTGTTAAGAGAGTAGGGAGATCCGATGCCTACGCTACTGAATTCGACCTTGAAGCCGAAGAATATGTTCCTTTACCAAAGGGAGAAGTCCACAAGAAGAAAGAGATTGTTCAAGATGTTACTTTGCACGATTTAGATGTCGCCAATGCTAGACCTCAAGGTGGCCAGGATGTTTTATCTATGATGGGACAACTCTTGAAACCACGCAAGACTGAAATCACCGATAAATTAAGATCCGAAGTTAATAAAGTTGTTTCCAAGTATATCGATCAAGGTGTTGCTGAATTAATTCCAGGTGTTTTGTTTATTGACGAAGTTAACATGTTAGATATGGAAATTTTCACTTATTTGAATAGAGCTTTGGAAAGTTCCATCGCTCCAATTGTTGTATTGGCCTCCAACAGAGGATTGACTACTGTTAGAGGTTCTGACGATGACATTAAAGCTCCACATGGATGTCCACCTGATTTAATTGACAGATTATTAATTGTCAGAACATTACCATACAACCAAGAAGAAATCAAGACCATTGTATCGAAACGTGCTGCTCTTGAAGGTTCTACTCTTACCGAAGATGCCCTTAATAAAGTTGCTAAACATGGTGTTACGAAATCGTTGCGTTATGCCTTACAACTATTAGCACCTGCTGGTGTTTTAAGTACTAGTGCTGGTCGTTCAGAAATAACCGTGGAAGATATCGAAGAATGTGAATTGTTATTCTTGGATTCTCGCCGTTCTATCAAGGTCTTAGAAGAAAATAGCAAATTTCTTTAGAGAGTATAGTACGTTTTTAAGAAGAAGAAGAAAAAAAAAGAATTGTATATTATATTAGCATAACGAGTTTAATTGTTTTTCCCTAAATCATCACACTCTTTCAAGAAATCGGAAGCAGAAACAATTTCAGTACTTCCATAGACAACCTTCTTTGGTGGCTTACCTGGTTCATTAGCCCATTCTTGTAAGTTTTGATATTCCAAGTAGTTACCACCACCAACGACAAACACCAATGATTCTTGGTATGATTGTCTTCTTGGAGGTTTGGAATGGCCCCCTCTTGATTTTGGATCTAGGTACAAGTATTCATCGGTTAATTGGACCGAACTAGCTGATGAATTGTTTGGATCCATAATAGCTTCAACAAGGTTTGTAATTGGTAATAATTTTTTTTCTGGGATAAAGCTTTTTATTCTAGTAGCGATCGAACTTAACCCTTCCGAGATTTTACCTTCAGTTAACCCATATAACTTAGAAGACAACCCACTTAAGAGAGCAGACGAATTCAAATTCGATGGGGTGTTATTATGGAGATTCTTCAGGCCAGTATCATTTAATGAAGCCAAATTAGCCAATTTGGAGTTTTCTTTGAACTTGAGAATGTAGTCAAAAGCAGCCATGTCAACTTCAGGGTACTTTTCCTTGAAAATTCCTCTAACTTTGTCAACATAATCAGGAGTAACATCCACAATTAAAGTCAAGATCATAAAAGTTCTCAACTTATCAAGTGAGCTATCTCTTTCCGTCTTAGTTGCTAACAAGTCAAGGAATTCTTTCAATTCCTTTGGATCACTTGCATTTTGTTCAATTTCAAAAAACTTATCCAAATTCTTCGCTTGAAGCTCATCAATTAATGCTGCAAGTATATCCATATGCATATCCAAAGTAGTCTTTCTGGCAGTCAATTCTGGCAATTTTTCAACTGCTTGTTGAATATTTGCAGTTTCACTAGTGTTGTGATCGATATCCTGTAAAGATGTTATACCTGTTTTGGCAGTAACTTCTTTAGCATCATTCTTATATGCGTTTAACTCAGCATCGGCACTTTCGACAACATCTGGGAATGGCAATTGAGAATACTTATTCCAAAAGAAATCTCTTGGATCAACATCGTACTTCTTTATAGTTGGTTGAGTGCTTTCCTTGGAATATTTATGGATCAGAATTGTATTTCTTTGCAATGAAAACACATCACTAACCATACATTGATAAATCCACGAATGAGAAAACATGGATGCCAAATCAAAGTTTCTATCCAATAAGATCATAACTGGACGCTGTTGAATGGGTTGAGTTGCGCCAGCATTTCTAGAATTACTCAAATAATCTCTCAATTTCAAGTCTAACAGGGTGGCTACAAATTCTGCAGGTCCATTTTGTTGTGCTCTTATCACGGGAACTATGTCCATGGTTATTATAGTGGAAAGTAAACCATCAGCTATGGTATCAACCAATTGGTGAATGGTTTCTTCTTGGGTATGAACAGTATTAAAAGTAGTGAATATCTTTGGCAAGTTCAATGAAAACAAGTTAGGTTCGGTAACAATAAAATCAAGATATTGATCGTAAACTTGTTTGATCTTGGTAGATTTGCCCGAAGTGGAAACCTTTTTAGCAAATTCTTCAAGAAGTTCTCTATTAATCGAGGAAGTAAAGTTTATATAGAAGGATTCGTACTTGTCATGAACCAAATCGTCGATAATTAACAAGATATTTTCAATGGTTGGCTCGACAAAATATATAACAGGGACATCAGGCAAGGCCGATCTATTAGAATTAATCAACGAATGAACTGTAATACCACATCTGAGCAAATCATTGACTCTCAAAACTGATGACAACACTGCTCGTGACTTGGTGTCTAAAACCAACACTTTCCAGATTATTTCCTCACTTTTGGACGCCAAGGTGAGATCAGCCGACCCTTCCTTGTTCAAATGAAGCATTCGCTCCAATATCGATATCTGTCTGTTCCTCAAACTAGAAGTCTCAACTAATGACATTGGCAATGGTTGCTATTGAATGATTGGTGTGGTGGTAAATCAACAAGTTTGACAACAACAGAAAAATTAACACCAGACCAAAACACTAGTGATTTTTTTTTTCTTAGTGCGAGTTTGCAATCGTAGACTGCCTAATTGGGTAATATACGCACTTTGCATATCAGCTATATCTTTTTTTTTGATTTTGAAAATGAAACTAGCCCATATTCTATTAAAGATGAAAAGGCTCATATCATGCCACCTAACATCAGTGTTTAACATGACAACGATACAATAATAATACTACATAAACTATAAATAATAACAACTTTTTAGTCACCTAAAACTTTCGCGAATGTCAAACAATTAAGGCAACTTAACTTTCCTTCTTACCGTTTAAAGTAAGTGCAACCATATGAAGAATTGAAATGAATGCTAACAATCTCCAATGCAAAAGAAATGAAATCGAAATACTGATTCGAACTTTTAGTGTCTAATGAGTCTTTTGTTTTGTTTTGGAAAGCAACCAAGATTTTTTACTTGCTTTTATATTCCACTATTCCTCGCAACACTTTAATCTTACCATATATCTCATGGTCAATGACATTTTCCTCATTCTTAGCATCCTTAGGCTTGTTCTTATATTCAGTCCCAGGTTTTGGCCAAGTACATTTTAGTCGAAGACGGGTGCATTCAGTACATCTTGGCCGTGTCTCACAACATCTCTTTTTCCTATGACGGCAAGTTAAACATCCCATACGAGAGCGTTTGGTTAATGGCTTGTTAGTGGGATTAGCAGCACTATCACTGCTGGGACTTCCACTGACCGATTTTTTCGCCGTTTTTGGCTTCTTTTTAATCTTTTTATCCGATTTGAACAGCGGGCTACCTTTATCGCCATCTAATGGTGGTCGAATACGAGGAAGGGAATTATATGGATCCCACCCTTGTTGTTGATGTTGATCAGAAGTTGAAGAGTTCATACCCTGATATGAACTAAACTCGGGTGGCATAGGATATTGTCCAACTGGCACTGGGATCATAGCAGGGTGTTGCTGCTGCTGGTATTGAGGGTTTCCTGATTGGCCCGGGGCCCCATATTCTCCTGGCAAATAAGTCAATGGCTGCGGAGGAGGTTGGAACTGCTGGTAAACTGATGTTGTTGCTTGAAGTTTGGTAATATCGGCATCGTTGGGCTGAACGACATAGTTGGTGTTCGGTATGTATACTCCTCTTGGCGGAGCCAATCCCGGAACCGGTCCTGGTGGCTGTTGGAATGTAGGGTATGCACGATATGGAGGATCAGCTGTAGAATTAGGATGTGAGTTACTTGTAGAATATGAATTAGTTTCACCTGGTGCCTCTCTTGATGTGGTTACATCTGAACCCAGGTTTGAGTTTTGTTGAATATCATTACTAGGTTCACTGGAATCATGCCAATTACTGGCTTGCCAAGTATTCATTTTTTGACTGTTGATATAACTGTAGTAATGAATGAAAGGAGGGGGGGGGAGGGGAGGTGGGAAGTTTCCTGTGGTCAAGGCTGCGGAAAGCCTGGTAATAATGAAGACAAAATCAGTTTATCCGTTTGCTAATATGATCTCTTTTATGAATGATAACAATTGATCTCCCGTGACGTGATTCTCGATTAAAACGTCAAGTAATGGTGTTTTCCCTCGTAGAGTTGACCTGTCAGTTATTGGAGTATGCAAATTGTCAATATCGTAGCAGGAAGAAATTAGTTATTGGTCACCCAATGAGCCTGCTTCTATCTCGTCTTTCTAAATGGTCTCAACCTGTTAGTAAGACCAAAAACTAATGATATTCTATTTTTCAAGAAAAAGTTGTGTTATATTTGTGCTCTCTTTTATTTATTTTTTTTTCTTCAAAAATGTTTTTAGGGGCAGAAGAATGTATTTATGCGCAAATCCGCTCGGAAAATATAGGTTAAGATGATTAAATAATAAATTAGGTGGCAAATAACAACTGAATGAAAAGAATAATTATAAATTTAATTAGCTAAAACAACTTGGTTACATCATAATCATATATATAGGAAATTCGCATATGAAATGTATGGGCTCATCAAACATATCTTTTTAATATTTTTAACTATTTTTTTTGATTATTTTTTTTTTTTCTGGTTGTTTACACATATGGGGGGTAGCGGCATGGGAACAAAAGTTAAATCTATCTTTAAATCACTGCAAAAATTCCATACAATGCAAATATAATTCGGGTACACATTTAAAGAAAGTTTAAAGGTGTTTATTGTAAAGTTTAATTGAAACCATCATGTATGAGAGGCTAATTCTGTAGGATGGATAAAATGATTCAACTTTTTTTTTTTAGGTCTCTTGGAATAGTTCCCGAAAAAGAAAAAAAAAATTATATTTAACGATACAGAAAAACGCAAACGATTATGTGCTCGTTGGTGGTGTTTATTAATTAAGAAAAGTAATGGCTTAGATATGCAAGAACTTCTGATGAATGTTCATGCAGAACCAAGTGACTAAAACGCGAAATTACTCAAGAACTAAGAAAATATTTTGCCCGAGGTGCATGATTTGCAGCAGTTTTAGCAGCACCGCATGTTTTGCACCCTGGTATGCAGGTCAGCTTTATTTTTTTTTCTTGGTTCTCCTTTCACGAAAGTTACAGATAGGTAAATCTTTTGTTCAGGTCCCGCCAGATTTGCATGAAATACCATGTCACGAAGTTACGAGCAGTGAATATGAAACAAGTGACCAGAGATATGAGTTGAAATCTGGTTTGGAATTAACGAGATTTTTAATTTTTTTTTTTTTAGTTTTGAAAAAAAAAAAGATTTTTCTGTAATTGGTAAAACCCTGTATCCTCCTGTATGTAACCAAATGAATGACTAGAAACCGTCTTTTGTAATTCTTTGTGTTGGTTCACCTCGCAAAGCCGTTTCCTTTGTGGTTGCAATGGAGATTAACTAATTACTTCTACTTATAGCAGATCAACATGGTTTTTTGTTTTTTGCTGTCATTACATAGTTGCTCTAAACAACAACACCCGCTTGGTGGAGATGTTTATTTTAAGTTGTGGAAAATTAGACGGTATTAGATTTTTGATATCTAAACTTAAATTTTTACTCGACCCCAAATTAAAAAAAAAAAGTTTAAAACTTAAGGAGCCAAGAAATAATAAATGTGGTGCAGAAGACAAAATATAAGAAAACAATTATTTTTTCCTGCGCCTTTAGGAATTCTTTTTTTTTCTATTTTCAACAATTTAATTGTTTCCTGTGCGAGATCGCTTATAATTGCAACTTGGAGGATTATTTTCAGATCAGATTTTGTTACCGTAAATCCATTTCATCAAGCATGTGTTGCTATCTGAATTAAACAATATATGTTGTATCACAATGACATAATGTCAAGATTTAGCTTAAGCAATCCTTGGGTCCGCCTCAGATATTAGTTGTTAAAAAATCCGATTATTTTTTTTTAGGAGTTCCGAAATTTATCCGAGTGTGAAAGTGGACCACAACCACCCAAGAACTGATGATGGCTTAATTAAAATTCCGTTAATTTCATCTGGTGAATAGCGCAAGTTTCATTGTCATCACCCACTGGAACTGCATTAGGATGTTACGGTATGAATCTGGCATAGATAGATCTTAGGTTGGAAATGTTAATTTTTTTTTGGCGCTATTGCTTGTCTCAAATATTACCGCTAGGTGGGGATCGATTACCCCGATTGCTTGAAGGCAGGTCTTGTGACACGGTATCTTCTAGACGTTCTCGTAGTTGTGCACATGGTTAAAGTTGGGTCGAGAATGTGAATGTAACCTCCACCGTGGTTCTTCGCAAGTATAATTCTTCCCGGTCATTCCTGTTTTGTGCTTTCGTCACTTTAAACTAATTTCGTAACTGAACCCTATTGAAAACTGCAGAGGTTTTGAGCCAAGATCTCTATATCCCCCAAATAATTATATTTGCGTTTTCTTTATTTTTGATAATAAAGAAATAATCTAAGCCCATCAGTTCGATATTATTTTGTAACTGACATTTTGCCGCCCAAATTTTAGCCTCCCCTCCCGCCACGAAGATTTTTTCGAGAACCTTTTTTGTTTTTACCTTTGCTCACTGCAACATTAAGTGGTTGTCAGCGAGTAACTGTTTTTCCGAATTATGTTGAAAAGTAGCGACTTGTAACAAACTATAAGATTTTTAGACGAACCCGAGAAGTATAGTGCAGTCAATGCCTAACCCTTTCGTATATGTATTAGAGTAGTCATATCCATATTTAGTAAAATCAATTTTACTGCTTGGCATTTCTCTTGAACCCGTTTCAGCAATTTTTATATTTTTCCTTTTTTTTTTGATTCCTGTTGCATTTTTTTCCCCCCCTTCAGACTTCCTGTTATTGTTCCGGTTTAATCCTTTAAGCGAGCAAAATCAAATATTGGAAGCTTGTTCTGGACCTCGATTATTTTTGTGAGATCAGAAAATATGGTAAATAATATGTAAGTTTTGCGTTTCATTCCTAAACCAATGGCATTCTGGAAGTTTCATTATGATTCCCCAGATAATGTGCCGTTAAAATTTCTTGGAATGTTACATCATGCGATTTGGGTAGAATTAGACATAAAAAATAATATATTTTCCCAAACAAAACTCATCTTTCTTGAAGAAGCCTGAAATTATCAGCGGGATCATTGCGGGATAATAGGCTACAAGTCGCCACCAAAAACCACATGATAGCCAAGAAATGGCCACAACGTGAAATAGCAAGGAGGGGGTGCCGGATTGACAGGGTGTGTATTTGTGTAAATGTTGCAGCCCATGTGCGACTTTTTGTAACCTCGGCGAATCACCACAGGAAATAATGGTTAGCGAATAATATCATATGTAAAGCTGGTTAATTTGTATAAAATAAAGGTACCAACAAGTTAGACACATAGTCGTGCATTTTTCACTAGACTATATCTTCCTTTTTGCAAGATGGCGTGAAACTAGAAGTATTATTTGTGAATGCTGTATAACTAAAATCAACAATAGTTTGATAATTACGAAATAGGCGCTAGACGTTGATAAGAAATGACATATTTCAGTCAGCCCTATCTGTGTTATGAGTTACGTCATGGCTGGGTTTGATCTTGCATCGTCAACGAAGTCGTCTCAATGATATACAAAGAGACTAATCTAGTGAAACTTTCATAAACACATGCAAGGTTTAAAATCCCGCGCGAAAAAAGTGGGTCAATAATATTGCAGCCTTTTAAGCGAAATGAAATTTCCATTTGGTTCATAACTCCGGCTTAAACAGTTGACTCGGGTTTATTACATACGTCATTGTATAAGAAATTCCTTATATTAAATCTTCCTTCTATATACCAAAATTATCTATTACATCATAGGTGGCATACCGGGCATTCCACCTGGTGGACCGGCAGGAGCACCACCGGCACCGGCACCATCACCTTGCTTCAATGAAGATCTACCAGCCTTTAATAATTCATCACACAACAATAAATTAGAAGCGATACCAGTGGCTGCACTCACGGCATTTCTCACCACTCTATAAGAATCCCAAATACCTTCCACGGTTGGGTCCATTGGTTCACCTGATTTCAAATCGACACCAACGACGTGGCCTTCGACAACTTCATCTTGACAGTTGGAGAGGGTTTCCAATTGGTCTAAACCTGCGTTGGAAGATAAGGTCTTTGGAATGACGAGCAAGGCTTCGGAAAAGGCTCTGATTCCGGACTTGTTCTTACCCTTCAAGAATTTCTTACTGTCTTGAGAGTGCAACAAGTAGTCATTACAACTTAACCAGTAGGCACCGGCACCAGGCAAGATGGAGCGATCCTTGATGACGTTAGCCACGGCTCTTAATCCGTCTCTTACGGCGTCTTTGTTTTGGGCAAGGGCGTGGTTGTTCGAACCCTTGATTAAGATGGAGGCAGATTTTGGATCCTTGTTTTTGGTGACATAGGTGAATTTATCTTCTCCGATGGAGGTTTCGTAGACCAATCCCGAGTAACCCAAGATCTTGGGGGATAAATCGTCGACGGAGTTTTGGGCTTCACCTCCACATACTAATTGTAATCTTTCCATGTTTCTTCTTTTGGCTCTTCTCAACGCTAATATCCCGTTCTTAGCCAACACGTCTAAGGACATTGGATCAATACCCTTCTGATTTATTATAACGAACCCTTGGTTGGAGTTTAAGTCACACACTTGGTTTTTCAAGTCGATAATTTTTCTTAATTTGTCATCCACGAATTTACGTTCGGAAGCAACCAACTTTTCACGCTGTTCGGCGGAAGAGTAGAAGAACCCGGAGTTGACTTCGGTTTTCTCATATTCTAAGGAAACATTCAAGATAAGGACGTGGGCGTTTTCAACACGACGGGGCATGTCTGGGTGACGAGCCCCGTGATCCAATACCAACCCTTTGATCAATTCGGTGTCTTTGGAATGGCCATGTTGCATAGTCATAATTTCCACCATATGTAAATCGAAATTTCTGTCGTTATCACCACGAACAGTCAAGACGGCATCAGTGACTATTGGAGTCAAGACATCGGCCAATTCGCTTGGCACCTTAGTAGCTAACGAGCTTCTAGCAATTTGCAAGAGGAATTCCCTGTCGAAATCATCGGGGACTTGTTTAAACTCGTCCAAGTACTTTAATGCATTCTCACGAGCAATTTCAAACCCATCAACGATGACTCGAGGGTGGACACCTTCACTGATAAATCTCTCAGCTTGTTTTAACAATTCACCCACAAGCAAAACAACTGTGGTGGTTCCATCACCGGTGATTTCATCCTGGGCAGTAGCGGCTCTAGCGATCATCACGGCAGTAGGGTGCTGGATTTGCATTTCTGTCAAAAGGACCTTCCCGTCCTTGGTCAATTTCAATCCTCCTGAACCATCAACCAAAAGCTTCAATGTTCCCTTAGGGCCCAAGTTTGAGGCAAGGACCAGTTGAAGTCCTTGAGCGGCGTTTATGTTGACTTGGAGTGCTTGAGAACGTCTTAATGATTCCGCCTTGGGATTAAGCAATTGAATCGACGACGACATTATACTGTATTGGCTATTGTTCAATTGACTGGCCTAATGGTTGTAAATTTTTTTTTGCCTTTTTATTTTCCAACGCGTGGAAGGAAAGCAAAGGTTACCCGGCGATGGGGGGCTGTCGTGTACTTTGGTCATATCTGCCGAAGAGCTGCTGCTGCTGCTGCTCGTGCTGCTCCTCCTGCTGCTGCTGCTACTGCTTGTCTGTGTTTGGTGCGTGAAACATGTCCGAACAGTATATGCAAGATATATTCATCCCCTCAAAGGAGTATTTGCACAAGAAACAAGATGAAAGAGAAGAATTAATTCGAATAGGGCGAGATATCACCAGCTATTCCAAGAAGGCCATCTTCTCCTTGCACAGAACGTTTCTGGAGAACAACGACAAAGTGAAAGATTTGAGTGAATTAGTCAAGCATTTGCAGTTGTTAGGAACGAGATTGTCCCAGTTGAAAACAATTTATGACTGTAATATAGCACTACGTGGTAGTGTTGCAGGACCGGTTGAGGAATTGATCGAGTTTTTCACGTTTGGACACTTTGTGGCCAATAGACGGTTGTTGGAATACAAACAGTTTATAACTTATATCAAGATATTGCTCAACGCAACCACAGAACCGGAACCATATCAAGCTATTCTAGAATCGTTGTTCTTTAACATCGACATTCCCAACAAGTATGAATCTGAAGTAGAGGTGACTTTCATTGACATTGGAGATTACTTGATGGGACTTTTCGATTGTACCGGAGAAATAATGAGATCTAGCATCCAACATCTGTCTGGATTTACTGGAACATTACAATTGGAAACTACGGAAAGGCAATACCGATATTTACAAGATTTATACCAACAATTTACGATATTAACCCAGAAATACCCCGGCATCTCAATCCATCGAGGGGTATTTGACAACGAATCGCGACTGAAAGGTAACTACTCCTTCATGAAAAAACTCGAAGTGTTTAACAACTCTATCCGCAAAATCGAAACTACGCTATTGGACATTTTAATTAGTGATAAAGAGACCATATAGCCATTTCTATAAACAACAGTACTTACTATAAACATACTAGTCACTTCTATAAACATGCTTATATTCTTGGAATTGGTCCTCCCGGAGAAGTTTCAGTTCTGGCAGTCAAAACTTCAACCCCATCTTCAGTAACCAATAACATGTGTTCGAATTGGGCCGAGAATTTCCCATCTTGAGTAACGGCGGTCCAGTTGTCTGGCCATTGCAAATCTTTGAATGTACCGAGATTGAGCATGGGTTCGATGGTGAACACCATTCCTGGCTTGGCAATACCCACGGCTTTGTTCTTGGCGTAATGAGGCACGTTTGGTTGGCAATGGAACAAAGCACCACACCCGTGACCACAGTAGGTACGAACGACAGAACAGTTGTTTTCGTGGGCGTGCTTTTCAATGATGGCACCCAAGTCCCTGAATGCAATGCCTGGCTTGACGGCTTGGATGGCGAGGTCGAGTGATTCTCTGGTGGTTTCCACTAATCTGACAATGTCGGGGTTGCACTTGGCCTTATCTCCGACATAGTAGGTTTCGTTAAGATCAGAGTGGAAGCCAAGGTAGTAGATGGTCACATCCAAGTTGACAATGTCTCCGTCTTGTAATTTGGTCTTGTCTGGAATACCGTGGCAAATCACTTCATTGACAGAAGTACAGCATGACTTTGGGAAGTTGTAGTAGTTTAATGGAGAAGGGTATGCGTTTCTCTTGACACATTCACGGTGTAAAATGGCGTCAAGTTCATCCGTGGTGACACCGGGTTTGATATGACTGGCGGTTATGTCCAAGATTTCTCTGGACACCTTGGCACATTTTCTAATCTTGGTGATTTCCTTAGGTGTAAGCACGGGGATTCTTCCAATTCTGTCATCACGGATTTCAGAAATTGGTTTACCAGCCTGGGCATAGTCTGGGAGTTTGATGTGTTTAGGGATGGCTCTTCTTGGGGACAATGGGTATGTTGGTCTTAATTCACCGGTGAAGTTGAAGTTTGGAAATGGATTGTATTCTTCAGCTCCATCTTCTGCGGAATGGATGGCCTTGTGGGTAGTCCAACTGGAACGGAAACAGTTTTGATTACAAAAGACACAGGAGACGCCGGCTTTAAGACATACTGGACATTTTAAACTGGATTCAGTTTCTTTACCACAATTTGGAGATGCACAAATAGCAGACATAGTAGGATGAAGAGATGTGATTAGTAAAGAAGAACGATTTGAAGTTTTTTTTTTTCTTTCTTTTTTTTTCTATGTGGTGTGAATGTGCTTTTGGCTACAGCACTGTTTAGTATGCAATAATCATATATTATGCTGGCTAGATAAGCTATATGGTAACATGTATTAGGATGCAGATGTAGTGTATCGGTAATAGTAATACAATGTGTGTAATTAGAGTAGTAGATGTCATTTGTGCATATCACACATTGAATTTTTACTCTCCTAGTAAGTTCTCAGGGCCAAAACTCAATGGCAACAAGTCATTCATATACACCTTGATAAATTCACCACTACTCTTGAACATATAGACAGGAACGTCTTTGGCAAACTCACGGATGACTTGTCGACATATCCCGCAGGGACTTATAAAGTCGTCTTCTTGATCACTGGAAATGGCAATCACTTTAAATGTAGTGTGACCAGAAAGCTGAATCGGGTTAGTAAAGAAATGCTTTGAAACAACAACGAAAAAAAAAAGTACATATATATATATATATATATATATATATGGTCATACATACAATTGCTTTTGAAATTGTTGTTCTTTCAGCACATATGCTGGCACCATAGGATGCATTTTCAATGTTTGCACCTGATATGAACTCATTTGACGCGGTAAGAATAGTGCAACCGACTCTATATAGTGTTAGTATAGCTGTAGTTGCGACAGGGAAAGGAATAGACATACCTAAATTTTGAGTATGGGGAATACGACAACGATTTAGCTGTGGTTGGGTTAGTATTTGCCAGTATTTCCGAACAAATTATAAAAAAATATGACACACCTTTCAAAACTTCCTCGCTTAAAGTATTGAATTGGTCTTCCGTCAACTCAGTATGGTCTTTATGTATAGGAACAGTCATTTCTAGGAAAAAGAACCAAATGTTTGTCAGCAAAGATAACGAGGGTTTGTTATCTTTACAGTTGTACCCGCAAAGTTGGCCCAATAGAGCTTGATCACGTGATCCGGTTGCCGATTTTTTTTTCGCACTGGTTTTCTTCAGTGGCAATTCAGACAACCAAACAGAAAGACAACCCTCCCTCCAAACAATTCTACCAAATCAATTCACTCTAACATAGAAAACAATCACCATGGTCACATTAGAAGAATTAGAAAATAACAAAGAAGACGATTTGTTCGATCAAGAAATCTTAAATCTGTCCACTTCCGATATCATCAACCGAACCAAACTTTTAGACAATGACATCAAAGTAATGAGATCAGAATCACAAAGATTGACCCACGAGAAAACCATGATGTTGGAAAGAATCAAAGATAACCAGGAGAAGATCAACAATAACAAGCAATTGCCATATTTAGTTGGAAATGTTGTTGAATTGTTGGATTTGGATGCCGAAAAAGAAGCGTCTGAACAAGGGGCCAATATCGACATTGACGCTGCTAGATCGGGGAAATCTGCCGTCATAAAAACTTCTACTAGACAAACTATATTCTTGCCTATGATTGGATTGGTTGATCCAACTACATTAAAGCCCAATGATTTAATTGGGGTGAACAAGGACTCTTATCTTATATTAGATACTTTACCGTCAGAATACGACTCTAGAGTTAAAGCCATGGAGGTGGATGAAAAGCCTACAGAAGACTATTCCGACATTGGTGGATTGGATAAACAAATCGAAGAATTGATTGAAGCAGTAGTATTGCCTATGAAGCAAGCAGAAAAGTTTCAAACTTTGGGTATCAAACCACCAAAGGGTGCGTTAATGTATGGTCCTCCAGGTACTGGTAAGACCTTGTTGGCCAGGGCATGTGCTGCTCAATCAGGTGCCACTTTTTTGAAGTTGGCTGCTCCACAATTGGTGCAAATGTTTATTGGTGATGGTGCTAAATTGGTTCGAGATGCGTTTGCTTTGGCTAAAGAAAAGGCCCCCACGATTATATTTATAGATGAATTGGATGCCATTGGTACTAAACGTTTTGATTCCGACAAGTCTGGTGATAGAGAAGTTCAAAGAACCATGTTGGAATTATTGAATCAATTGGATGGGTTTGGATCAGATGATAGAGTCAAGGTGTTGGCTGCTACCAACAGAGTCGACACGTTGGATCCAGCGTTATTAAGATCCGGGAGATTAGATAGAAAGATTGAATTTCCCTTGCCTTCGGAAGAAGCCAGAGAATCAGTGTTGAAGATTCATGCTAGAAAATTAAACTGTGATAACAACTCGGTTAACTGGAGAGAATTGGCTAGACTGACAGATGAATTCAATGGGGCTCAATTGAAGGCTGTCACTGTGGAAGCCGGTATGATTGCTTTGAGAAACGGGAAATCCATTATAAAACACGAAGATTTCGTCGAAGCCATTGGTGAAGTGCAAGCCAGAAAGTCAAAGTCTGTAAACTTTTACGCATAGTCTTAATATATATATATATATATGTATTCAGTACACACTCAACAATCTATCTATACCTGCTTTTGAGACTTTTTCAACTCTTCTCTCAACTTTTGTGAGAACTTGTCTTGATTATCATCATCATCCCAATCTTCTTCCCATAAGTTATCTTGGACTACTTTGGTGTCGTTGTTCCATTGGTTATCTTCGGGGAAATCTTCAAATTCGTCGTCTTCTTCCAAGGTTTTTATGACTTTTTGTTCTTCTTCGGTACTAGATGGGTTGGGTTCTGTGGACATTGTTAAACTGTATATATATATCTATAGGGAGCTGGTTACACTGATGGTGACAGTTTCCGTTTGATACATTCGCCACTTCAAAAGCGTAACGTGAAAAAAAGTAGAGCGGAGCACGTGACTGTGATCGCACGTGACCGAAAATCCACGTGACTGAAATTACACGTGACCACACATCCACGTGACCATGAGTCCACGTGACACAAAATCGCATCAAAATTTTTTTTCCTACTTAACCCAGAGAAGCATCTCTAAGTGCTGCCTAAATCAAATACATCTATTAGTCACACAATCAACGCATCAATCCTGGGAGCACAATGAAAGAAGTCGTTGTTGATATTGCTCCCAAGTGTATCAAGGGATTGGAATTCAGCGCGTTATCCGCCAAGGATATAGTTGCCCAATCAGAAGTTGAAGTGCAAACCCGTGATTTATACGATTTAGAAAAGGGAAGAACCCCAAAGGTTCAAGGTGCCTTGGACACTCGCATGGGTATTTCGTCCAACGCCCTGGAATGTTCTACATGTCACGGCAACTTGGCTTCTTGTCATGGTCATTTCGGGCATATTCGATTAGCCCTTCCTGTGTTTCATGTGGGTTATTTCAAGTCGATTATCCAAGTGTTGCAATGCATTTGTAAAAACTGTTCGGCAGTTTTGTTGGATGAGCAGGCCAAGAGGACCTATTTGAATGATTTGCGGAAACCAAACATCGACAATTTGAGAAGAATGAAGATTTTGAGAAAAGTATTGGACCAATGCAAGAAACAAAGACGTTGTCTCAAGTGTAACCATGTTAACGGGGTGGTTAAGAAGGCCGCCAGCGGTGCTGGCCCTGCCGCACTCAAGATTGTTCACGACACATTCAGATGGATTGGGAAGAAACCTACCCCAGAAAAGGAACTCTGGGATCAGGAGTTCAATCTCGTGTTTGATAGAAATCCCGAGTTGGAACGATTTGCCAAGAGAGTCCACGAAGACCTCAACCCTTTGAAAACCCTCAATTTATTCAAACAGATTTCTCCATCCGACTGTGAGTTGATCGGTATTGACTCGGCTAGAGGAGGTAGACCAGAAATGTACATTTGGAGATACTTGCCTGCACCACCCGTCTGTATTAGACCTTCAGTCATGATGGATGCCCAGTCCAATGAAGATGATTTAACCGTCAAACTTACTGAAATCGTCTGGACTTCGTCATTAATCCGGGCCGGGATTGAAAAAGGTATCAGCATAAACAACTTGATGGAACAATGGGATTACTTACAATTGTCTGTGGCCATGTATATTAACTCAGATAGTGCCAACCCTGCCTTACTTCCAAATGCTGGTGCCGGTGCCAAGTCAGCCAAGCCAATACGTGGGTTCTGCCAAAGATTAAAGGGTAAACAAGGTAGATTCAGAGGTAATTTATCCGGTAAGAGAGTCGACTTTTCCGGAAGAACCGTCATTTCCCCCGATCCAAATTTGAAGATTGATGAGGTGGCTGTTCCTGACCGTGTCGCGAAAGTATTAACCTACCCTGAGAAGTGTACCCGATATAACTTTAAGAAATTGCAAAAGTTGATTAGAGCCGGTCCTGATGTACATCCTGGTGCCAATTATATCATGAAACAGAACGAGTTGGCTAAACGTAATTTACGATTTGGTAACCGTGAAATACTTGCCAAGAACTTGCGTATTGGTGATGTTGTCGAACGTCATATTGAAGATGGTGACGTTGTGCTTTTCAATAGACAACCTTCGTTGCATAGATTGTCCATCTTGTCCCATTATGCCAAGATTCGTCCTTGGAGGACCTTCAGGTTGAATGAGTGTGTGTGTACGCCATATAACGCCGATTTTGACGGGGATGAAATGAATTTACACGTTCCTCAAACCGAAGAAGCCAGAGCGGAAGCCATCAACTTGATGGGGGTTAAGAATAATTTGTTGACTCCCAAGTCGGGTGAACCAATCATTGCTGCTACTCAAGATTTCATCACTGGTTCTTACTTGATTTCACACAAAGACTCCTTTTTTGATAGGGCCAGTTTTGTACAATTGTTGAGTATGATGTCGGATGCCGATGTCCAATTTGATTTACCACCACCAACGATTTTCAAACCGGTAATGTTGTGGACTGGTAAGCAAGTTTTTTCGTTATTAATTAAGCCAAATAAAAAGTCAAATGTTATTATCAATCTTGATGCTAAGAACAAGACATTTATTCCTCCAGCCAAGGGCTTACCCCTGGAAATGTCACCTAATGATGGGTTTGTCATTATTCGAGGCTCACAAATTTTATCGGGGTTGATGGATAAATCTACCCTTGGTGATGGTAAGAAGCATTCGGTATTTTACACCATTCTTCGAGACTATGGTCCACAAGAAGCCGCGTCAGCTATGAACAGAATGGCGAAATTATGTGCAAGATATTTGGGTAATCGTGGTTTCTCTATTGGTATCAATGATGTCACCCCAGAAACAAAACTTAAGCAAAAGAAGGAATTGATGGTTGAACAAGCCTATCTCAAGTGTGACGAGTTGATTGATTTGTATAACCGTGGTAAATTAGAAACCCAACCGGGTTGTAATGAAGAACAAACATTGGAAGCTAAAATTGGTGGTTTGCTTTCCAAGGTCAGAGAAGAAGTGGGTGAAGAATGTATTCGAGAATTGGACTCCATGAACGCTCCCTTGATTATGGCCACCTGTGGGTCCAAGGGTTCCACCTTGAATGTGTCACAAATGGTGGCCGTTGTCGGTCAACAAATTATCTCGGGCCATAGAGTGCCTGATGGGTTCCAAGATAGATCATTGCCTCATTTCACAAAAAACTCCAAGACTCCACAATCCAAGGGTTTCGTTCGTAACTCTTTCTATTCTGGGTTAACACCTCCGGAATTCTTGTTCCATGCTATTTCAGGTAGAGAAGGGTTGGTTGATACTGCCGTCAAGACTGCTGAAACCGGGTACATGTCGAGAAGATTGATGAAGTCATTGGAAGATTTATCGGCACAATACGATAACACAGTTCGTAACTCTTCTAATGGTATTGTTCAATTCACATATGGTGGTGATGGGTTGGATCCTTATGATATGGAAGGTGATGCTAAACCCGTAAACTTTAACAGACAATGGGATCATGCTTATAACTTGACGTATGATGGCGACGAAACAGGGTTGCTTCCATATGAAATTAAAAGATTGGTGGATAGTATTTTGACACCTCTTGAATCAAAATTAATTAGGTATGACAATTTAGGAAGAGAGCTTGCTGATGCTGACCAAGACAGAATTGAATACATTGATCAAAATGATGCTGAGCGAGAATTCTACCAATCTTTGCGCGATTTCCTTGGTAAGAAGGCCGAGAAGTTGGCTCGATTAAGAGAAGCCAAGGGATTACAACCATTCTTTACCAAGATTGAATCAGAAATGCTGGTTGATGAAGATGAAGTCAAACTCAACTCCATTAATCAATTGCTTAAAATATCATCCAAGACAGTCGAGAAGTTCCTTGAGCAATGTCTTTACAAATACTCACGTGCCCGTGTGGAACCAGGAACCGCTGTTGGTGCCATTGGTGCCCAATCTATTGGTGAACCAGGTACGCAAATGACATTAAAGACTTTCCATTTTGCCGGTGTCGCCAGTATGAATGTTACATTGGGGGTTCCTCGTATTAAGGAAATTATCAATGCGTCAAAAACAATTTCTACGCCAATCATCAATGCCGTGTTGGTTAATGACGATGATGAGATTGCTGCAAGAGTGGTTAAGGGAAGGATTGAAAAGACGTTGCTTGAAGATGTCGCATTTTTTATTGAAGATGTGTACAAGGACAATCTTGCTTACTTGTCCATCAAGATAGATTTGGAAACTATAGATAAGTTACAGTTGGAATTGACGATTGATAATATTGTTCGTGCCATTCAAAATGCACCAAAGTTGAAGATTACTCCGGGTGACGTGTCAGTCAGTGGTAAAGATAGAGTCAATGTTTTGGTGAACTTGAAGGAAAAGACCGATTCGCTTAAATCACAAGCCGAAACCAAGAATGCGTTGTTTTTCAGAATGCAACAGTTGAAACGTGCCTTGCCAAGTATCTGCATCAAGGGTCTTCCAAACATTTTCCGTGCCGTTATCAATATCAGAGATGATTCCAAGAAGGAGTTATTAGTTGAAGGGTATGGTCTTAAGGATGTCATGAGCACTGATGGGGTAGTGGGTACAAAAACCACCACTAACCACGTCCTTGAAGTATTTGAAATCTTGGGTATTGAAGCTGCCAGAAGTTCTATCATCAAGGAAATCGACTATACCATGAGTAATCACGGTATGAGTGTTGATCCTCGTCATATTCAATTGTTGGGAGATGTCATGACGTACAAGGGTGAAGTGTTGGGTATTACCAGATTCGGGTTGAGTAAAATGAGAGACTCTGTGTTGCAATTGGCATCTTTTGAAAAGACCACCGATCATTTGTTTGATGCTGCGTTCTTTATGAAGAATGATAAGATTGAAGGGGTTTCTGAATGTATTATCTTGGGTCAAACTATGTCTATTGGTACCGGGTCGTTCAAGTTGGTTAAGTCGTCGAATTACGATAAGAAGGTGTTGAAGAGAAAGCCAACTTTGTTTGAATCAGCTTGTGAAGCGATAGCTGTATAATTTTGTGTATAGAATTAATAATTAGGTTGAGCATACATGTAGATGTTGCGGTGGTGGTGGTACTGGTGGTGGTAGTACTGGTGGCGGTAGTACTGGTGGCGGTAGTACTGGTGGCGGTAGTACTGGTGGCGGTAGTACTGGTGGCGGTAGTACTGGTGGCGGGGGTATAATCACATTTTGCAGTTGAAATATGGTAGCGCGCGGCGTGTTTACCAGTTCGCACAAAAAGCTGATCTTGCACACTTATTGTAAACACCACCACTTCTTATCAGACACAACACATCATCACCATGTCACGCGATGGAGTATACTCGTATATTCACCTTGATGACTCTAAAAAGGTTCTCTACATGGAACAATGGAAACAAGAATCATTACCTTTCGACGATATAGAAACACATAACCTAGTGGAGGCAACATCAACACTATTCACCAAATTGTTCCTTGATGACGAGGAAGAGGAAGAATCACTACCCATACATCCTGCAGTATTCGGCAATAAAATCTACAAATCCCGACTGATGTTGAAAGAAAAAGTGTGGACTGATTTGGCATTGACAGAAAAGTTTCTTGATGAAAGCAGCGAATTGAACAAACTCCATGATAAGACCATATTGCCCTCGCTTTCTTCCGAGGTGGAACAACAGTTTGGCGAGTTGTCATTAGCGGAGTTCTTGTCGAACGGGTATAACATTCCTGATGATCATTTGGATTCGGTGTTGTCTCCTAATTTGACCGACAGTATCCCACAACACCATTTCAGACGCCATAGATTACTGCACCGGGATATCTCCTTGAATTCAACTTCAGACTTGTCCGTTCCCAACAATTCATTTCAAAACATACGATCTAGTTCAGGTACAGGCAACCCAGTGGCTCCGCCCGGATCATTGCAAACTCCAAGAACAGGAAGAGTACGTCAAGTATCTACAGACAAGAACTTCCAGACGCCAATATCGAGAATAATGAGGTAATGTACATTTAATGTTACAAACAAAAACAAATAAACAAAAAATAGAGTCTACATATCTAATTGAATCCTGCCACACTCAATCTCGCTCTTCAAAGCTTTCAAATCCTTGGATCGAACCTTGGACTTTTTAGTTCGGTTCTTCAACCTTATAGCCGCCAATACAAATTTAGCCACCCCTTTAAATGTTAGCTTTTCCTTGCGCTTGTATGTCGCCACATATTCAGGGTAGATCCCCAATTTAGCTAGGTTCATTTTACCATCATACATCAGGGTATTCCCGGTAATAGATTTCATAATAAACGTATTCATCATGCGGAAATCATTAGCTTTCATCATAACATCTCTTAACTTGGCTTTATAATAGATGGCTTCCTTTTCAAGTATATTAAATTTATCTTCATAATTAGCATCCCCTTTCTTCATGATTTGCTGCTTGTAATCATGTGCCTTGAGTGACATCAACCGACAACTTCTAGTCATTCGTTCTAATTCTTCATCTAAGTTCAGTACTTGACCAGCAAGTCGTTCCTTTTCACGGGAGATTTCCTTTTGTTGGGATCTAACGAGGAACAAATCGTCTTCAAGCAAGTTCTTTTCATTTTCAAGTTTGTGAATAATGGACTTGTCGGAATCTTGCTTCTTCCTGAGGTCAGATATTTGCTTGGAAAGAGTGTCGATCTTTTCATTGGCAGCTTGAACCTTTAATTCCAATACTGCTTCAATTGGTGATTCATCACGAGTGGCACTTCTCTCCCGGGATAAGATCTCATCTTCAAGAATCTTGATTTTTCTTTCATAATTGTCAATTAATGTTTGTGCATTCTTTAATTTTGATTCCAACATAGGATCATCTCTCGTTCTATCGAAATCGCCCAACAATCTATCAATATAAACTTCGCGTTCATGCAACTTGTCCTTCAACTGAGAAATTTCCCGGACTAAATCTTCGATATAATCGTTAGAGTCAAACCTAGAAGTTAATCTGGATTTGTAATCATCCACGAGTAATTCCAACTTGCGAATCTCACGAGATCTAGATTCAGCTGTTCTATTAGCGGTTTCCAATCGTTCAACTAATTCACGATTATCTTGAAGCAATTCGTCCAATTGTGAATTAGTCAGTCTTGAACTATTCATCATTTGATTAAGCGTTTCATATTCACTCTTGAGTACACGATTAGAACTGGAAACATTATCCAATTCAGCTTGCAATTTTCTATTTTCAATTTGGAATTCTGACAATTTAGTATCAAGGGTAGTGATTTGTTCGTTGAGTTTCCTATTCTCAATCTGAAGTTTGGAAAGGTCTCTTGTGGAAGTACTGAATGTATTTAATTCATGTTTAAGTGTATCCAACTTATCCTTCAAGGTTCTGTTAACACGTTCAAGGTTTTCATTATCAGCTTTTAATTGCAGAAGTTCAATATCTGAACTTCTAAATTTAGTTTCATCAGATTCTAATCTATCGGCCAATTTATTACGTTCTTGTTCAAGTTTACCTAATCTTGTCTTGTAATTCAACACTTCTCGTTGTTTGTCTTCCAATTCAAGTTTAATAGCTTCATATTCTTCTTCATAGAATCTGATCTTGTCCTGATCATCACTAGATTTACCTAATTGTGATTTAAGCGAAGATAATTGGTTGTCCTTCAGTTCAAGTTGCATTACCAAGTGGCCTCTTTCCAATTCCAACTCTCGCAATTGATCTTGTTCTTGTGATGTTGAATGCTCCAATTGTTTCAATTTAGTTTCAAGTCTATCAATATCAATATCCTTTTGTTGGAGTTGGGTTTGAAGTACAGTTTCTCCTTTAGATTTTGAATTCAAGTATCCAATTTTAGTTTCAAGATTCATTACTTCTTTAGTCTTTTCCAGCAATTGTTGCTCCAAATTAGAAACTTCAATGGACTTTTTAGACAACTTTCTTTCTAAATCGGCGGATTTGGATTTCAACACTTGCTCTAATTCTAATTTATCGCGTAATTGGCGTTGAAGATCAGACAACTTGGACGAATAATCCTTTTCTTGGTTCAACAACTGGTTTCTTTCTTGACGTAATTGATTATCATTCGTGTTGAATCGCTGTTGCTGTTCGGACAATCTGACAATTTCTTGTTCTAGTCGAGCAATCTCTTGTCTATCCCGTTTATGGGTATCATGTAAATCTTCGAGTTCATTCATCATTTCTTGCTGAAGTTTCTTGAACTTTGTCTCGGCTTCTATTTTGTCTTCATTAAGCTGTTTCATTTCCAGATTATGAAGGTCAAGGAGATTCCTAAGTTCTTGAATCTCATGCTGGGCCTCGGCGAGTTCATTACTTTCGCTTTGTGATCTTCTGGCCAGGTCTGCTTGGGTCGATTGAAGGCGTTCGAGTTTTTCTTGCTGGTGCACAATTTCATTCTGATGGGAAGACTGTAAGCGGTCGAATTTTTCCTGCTGGTGGTCAAGATCAGCTTGTTGAGTTCTGTACTTATCTTCAAGTTCTAGTATATCTTGTTCCATTTCATGAATCTGATTACCCAATGAATGAATCTGATTATCCTTATCACGAATAATGCGTTCATATTCAGAGTTATCCAGCCTGACATGAGTACCACTTTCCAACCGCTTTTCCAATTCCACAATTGCGTGCTTTAAATCAACATTTTCCAACATGAGTTCACGGTCAGTTTTGGGAACAGAATCCAAATACTTCTTCAACTCCATAAACTTTAACCTCCACAGGAAGTTCTCTGCACTTAACTGTTTAATTCTCTCTTCCAGCTCTTTAATCGAGATTCCTCCATCATTAACAAACAGTTTGGGTTTGCCAGAATCATACTTGACATTGGTCTTGATTGGTGAATTATGATCAAACTTATCGATGGTGTCATCATCATAGAAACTCTGGGAAAACTCTTCTTCTATATCACGACGAGGAGAATTTTGAACAATTGGTTTAAACAATTTAGGCGCTTCATTTTGGGGATAATTGTGAATCACTTGGAAACCGCTGTGTCGCTTTTCACCTATAGGAGTGAATTCTTGGGCGCGTGAGCCACGGCCGAATATTGAGGATCTCTTGGGAGTACCCACTAGTAGTCCATCATATGCCATGGTGTTTAACTATGTATCTGAATAACTGTGTAGATCTTGTTTATCAAAATGTAAACAAACAAATCGAAAGCAAAATAAAAAAAAAAAAAAATGAAATTTACGCGCGTCCAAAATTTGGAAGTGCATGTGGTAGCGAGGCCTCACTCCCAGCTTGTCGTGCGGTCACCAAGTATGCTTTGCTTTGGTGACAATAGCCAAAGGAACCATTTTAAAGTATATCATCATTATATAATTCGTTATATCATAATCTTAGCTTTTGTGGTCCTAATGCCATGCTCTTGCAAGAGTTGATTTGTTTAAGTTTCTGGAAAAATTCGTTTCCAACAAGGGGATGTTTTTAGCACAAGCTAAACACACTTTTGTGAACTGTAGTACCAAATGTCAAATACCAGAAGAAAGTATACAATACTTGAGACAGAAGCTCAAAAGGAAAGAATATATTGACTCGGTTTTTAAATACTCAGTACGAGAGATTAAATCTCGATCTGAATACAATTCAATGTTATTTATGCAGCAATTTTTTGAAGGTAGTAAGAACAATGCTCTCGGCTCAAACACACATCCAGTTCAAGATTGCTTTGTCAATACTCCTGCTTGACTTTCCTAACAAGTTTACAACAAGTACCTGATAGGGGTCTTATTGTAAATTTTTAGTCTGTAGGTGAATCTCGCTGCCAGAGCAATAATCAAGCCCATGTTGTGTTCTGGTTTTGTACCAATTTATATTGTTAAATGCATCGAGATCAAGGTTGCCCCAGTAACCACTTTTCACACTTTTCTCAAAGTTGACAAGGAAAGTCAATGCGTAGACAAGACACTCACAGAATTCGAAATGTGGCTATTTGTCCTGGCATGAACAATAGATCCACATGGGATGGATCTACCTAATTTAGAAATGACTCGGTGATTATGTTGCGGATATCTACAATATGTTTAACACATGAGGAGTAACAGGGATAAAGACAGCACAATAAATAAATTGACATAAAAGCTGTTGTTATTTCCATATATTGAAAAAATTCATTTTCCTTTCCATGACTGACTATTTCTTCATAGCTTATCCTAGTAAAATCATCATTATCCCGGTATTGATGAATTTGCTCCTTGATAATACTGTCTAGAAAAGTCACTGATGATCCAACCGGTTTTATCTCAAGGTATGTATTTAGCTTCAACTTGGATTCCTACAGGAGGCGCTGATGAATTAATTGCACATAACCTGTATAGTTTATTTGGTTAGTAGATTTATCCAACCACGTTATCTGATGTCCTCTTCACATCCCAAAACCTCGAAAATTCCAGGTTTAAGAATGAACTGAATGCAACACTACATAAATTAATTAAATAGGGTGAAAATGATACAGGGGAGTCCATTGAACTTTGGTTTTGTTAAACATGGTAGTTTTGAAAGATCAACCCCAAATAGTCACCAACTTTCCACCTCCATTAACACTGCCACATACTTGGCCCCATTCCGTTCTTTAAAAGTATGAACCGTGAGTGAGGAGCACCTAGAGGCGGGATTGGGGGTAGGAAGAAAGTGAATTGCTTGTTTTCTCCATATTGAAAAGCTTGTATTCTTCAAATAAAACGCTGGCTCTAAACTTATAAACACCACACCAACAGTTCTAAATTGCCCAGACGGAACATTAAAAAGAACGTCTTTTAATACCGAGCTAGCCAGTTTGGTAGTCAACAATGAGCTTTGCTTCAGCATCAGCTTGGTTTTCAACTTTTCCAATCTGTATTGAAAACAAACCTCATGCCTAAATTAACACGCTAATGGTAACAGATGTATTTGAACTGGTCACCAGTAAGCCACTGGATTTTCCTCTGTGGTCATTATCTGTGCAGTTGTTTATCCACCAGGTGATTGGAAAACAAAACCTCTCATATTGGATTGTCATAGAAAATACAACACACTGTACGGTACTAGAATATACATTTTAAAGTCTAACCAATACATATTTTATATCTTATACTAATCCGTTAATTGCCAGTTTGAAATCTTCAAGAGCATTGATAGCTGCACCTGAAACAATGGACTTCTTTGCTAATTCAACCCCAGCGATCCAGTTGTCCGCTAACCCAGAAACCACGGCCAAAGCGGCACTATTCATCAATATATAATCCACCAATGGGTGATTGTCTTTATCCTTGACAATATACTCTTCTTGGTCTTGTCGTAAGATATGTAATAAAACTTCAGCGTTTTCTTGTGGAGTGCCTGATTTAACCAATGACAAATCATGTTCTGGTAAATTGAAATCTCCAGGAGAAATTCTTCCAGTTGTAATCACTCCATCTTGTTCAACCAACCAATATTTGGTGTATCCGATTGGTGAAATTTCATCAAGAACAACTTCCCCAAACACCACCATGGTTCTTTTATGAATATTACTAGACCTTGCTAAAATAGATGCAGCTTGTGCGTATGATTCGCCCAACTTTTCCGAATAAACACCCAACACTCTTGCTTGTATAGGAATTGGGTTTATCAAAGGACCTAAGATATTGAAAATCGTCGGAATACCAAGTTGGGACCTCACATGAGCAACTGTGCCCATACCAGGATGAAAGCTTGGAGCGAAAAGAAAACAAAACTTGGAATTCTTGACAATTTGTGGTGTGGTTGTTTGATTTACACTGGATAATTCGACACCCAAAGATTTCAACAAGTCACCAGACCCAGACGTAGATGTGGATGCCTTACCACCGTGCTTACAAACCGGCAATCCCATACCTGCTGCAACTATAGCGGAGGAGGTAGAAACATTGAATGTGTTTTGTCCATCACCCCCTGTTCCTACAATATCTATGTATCCTGCTGGGTCAACTTCTTCGGCTGGGATATTCTTGGCAAATTCCAAAACTGTGTTGACAGCAGCAGCAATGAAATTAGCCTCTTGGTCCAATCCTCTTAATCTCAAGACACTCAAGAAAGCACTGGTTTGAATCTCCGAGGGGATTCCCTTGAATATAATACGTAAAACCTCCGATAAATCATTTGGGGTCAAAGTTGGAGGATCCAACAAGAGTGATTTGATATATGGAGTCAACACATTCTTGGAAGATACGTCTGGTTTCTTTTGTGCTGTAGATGCTTGGGTCAATTTCAAGTGTAGTTGCTGTAATTGTTGCTGTTCACTTTGTTCAGAGGGGACTTCTTGAATTTGGACCAGTGATTGGTCCTTCACTAGGGTAGACTCTCCTTTAACGGGTATGTCCTCGGCCATCTCGATCTTACTCATTTATTATTGAGATTGACTGGCTATAGTAGTAAAGCTTTAAAGTGGTTAAACGGTTCAGCTTAAAAAAAGAAAGAAAAAAAATCGGCCCTAAAAAAACGACAATTTGAAAAAAAAAAAAAAAGAGTCATAGCGAGACATTTTTATTTTTCTTGCCGACGACATTATTTGTAATATGGTAGCATTACATCTATCTATACAACTTCTATATCAAAGTTAATCTCCTTATCAGCATCAATGTACGAGTCACAAATGCTCCACACAGTGAGATTGGCTTTCCCCTTAGTAGGCACTGTAAACTCAAGAGTAAAATTTTGACTCTCAAGTCCTAGGCTTACTCGTTTAATAGCGTAAAGCTGACGTAACTGAGCATCTCCAATAACCAACCACCATCCTTCTTCTCTAGCACTAGGGTATTTGTCACACACAACTTGCAACAGCTCCATTTCTTCATCTCGCTCAATCTTGATGGTGATTTCCTTGGGTTCGTTAGCAACACAGGGTGTTGCTGTATCCATCTCATAACTGATTTCAATGTTTGGATATTGATTGACGAAATTAGCAACGCTGTTTAATCGATCTCCTTCTAGTTGTAATACTTCATCTCTTTCTTCGTCTTCAAGCGACATGATATCATAAACTGTTTCCACATTATGCTTTTCACATCGGGCAAGGATAGCGTCGTCGAAGTATGGTATTTGTCGTAAGGCACTGCCTGCACCTGTACTCCAAACAGCTTGAATAATCATTTGGGAAAGATCCATGGCTAAAAGTGCATTCAAGTGCCCTTCGCCTGAAAGACAATCGATGCAGGCGTTGAGAATATCCAATACTTTAGTCACAACGGTATTTCTATCCTGTGCTAACTCTGCAGGTACCTCAATCCGAGAAATGTGACTTTGTAATAATATGAAACTCTTGTATAACGGCGATTCAATGTCGTGCTCTCCATTGAGTTTGATTGGGACCTTCTGTCCAAGTCGGGAAAGTACATTGCCATCTTCTTCTCTAACCGGTATACTTTCAAACTCTGAAGCACTGGTAATGATTAAAAGAATATCCTTAAGTTTGCTCTTGCTGGTAAGACTTCCAAACAATTTCATAGTCTCGTAAGAAATACTATAATGAGACGCAATTATCGTCTTGTTCAATGGCAATATTGTTTCCTCTTCCTCGTCCTGTTCAATCTCAACAAACTCGTTCTTTTCCAACTCTTCAATAGCATTCTCAATCAACTCAGACAAGTACTCAGAAACCCCTAAACTAGTGGCATTCTTTAATTCGTAGAATCCTGGATTCTTCACCAATCTCCTGTAGAAATAACTAAACGTCAATAAATCAATACAATCTTGTTTGCTTCTGACGACTCCGTTGGAAATCGCACCCATAAAGAATTCACTAATCGAAGAAAGCAACAAACTTTCTACAATCAACCCATCATTTAATAACGACCCATAAAATTCAATCGTCTTATTTTCAGTGTATATGTGGACTTTACCTTCGTTTGCCAAATCATCCTGACAACATCCAACCATTTCAAATATTTCATTAGAATTGCAATCCACGTTTCGATGCTCATACCCATCATAGGTTTGCGTGCCCACCACCAACAAATTATGACCATGAGGGGCGTATTTACAAGTATTCTTGGTTGCAATGAGTATTCCTATTGAGTTTGATTCAAATAATTTCTCCACGATAAGCTTGTCTACTCGTGACATGTTCTCAAAGTAAACTGCTATACCACGTCCAAGTAATTCCCTCAATGTGTTATCTTCAACTTTTTCAATGTACTTTTCAAGTTTTAACAAATCAACTCGTCTCCAGTCATGGGAGCCAGCCATATAATCCAACAACTGTCTTGCTAATTCCAAAGCTTTCACTCGCGTGGGCACGAATATCACTGATTTTCTCAACCCAACGTTCAATCGCTTCAACTCTTTGTAAATCTTTACAATTGGAACCACGCTGCCTTCCGGACTCAATTTAATCTCACTAATAGAGTTCTGTCTCGATTGAGGAGGAAAGTTAAACACATTAGACTTGCCCACTCCGATCCAATCACATAAATCACGACAGTTGGCCACGGGGCTGGCTAATGCAACAATACGTAACATATTATCCCATTGAGAAGTCAACATTCTGATTCTTGATACAAGTATCTCATAAGTTGGAAGTGAGCCGATGAAATGGATATCATCCAAGATTAACAAGTCGATTGATTTAAATGATTTCTTGGTTTTCCAACGTTTGGACAAATTGGCGAATTGTTCCGGCGTGGCCAATACCAAATGACTTTCATTCAAAATTGCAATATCTTGACGAAGTGTTCCTGTCAACTTATTAACCAGCTTTTCAAATACATCGAATGAATTAGACCATTTTTTGAGATTATCGTCAATGATCTCTGTGCTTGGATTAATATAGACTACTCTTCCTTTGTTTTGTCTCCAATGATTCAAGATTGCAAGTTCAGCACAAACTGTCTTTCCGTCACCTTTAGAAGACCCAATAAACACGTTTTCATTGGTGTGGTATACCACGTCGAAAGTGGCTGATTGAACTTTATTGAAAAATGTAAATGGAAATAAATCAATAAACTCTTGTTTCTTTAAGTCTTTAGTCAGCACTAATTGTACATCACTGTTATCCAAATAATACAGGGATAGTGAGGGGACTTCCACATTTGTTAACATGATAGGCACTTTCCAATTACAATTCACCCATTTGTTGCTTATAAAAGAAACAACAAAGTTAGGAATCAATGGTTCACTAACTGGCACAATAAATTCAACCACGTGAACCTTGTTGATATTTTGCTGTTTAACTACAAACTCTTCATGATGCAACAATTGATTCCCATTACAATCTTCCAAGAAAACCATAAACATTTCTTGGCTTCCGTGAACCGACATCCAGCTCCATTCAGGCACTGCTTCAATCTGTACACGTAAAAATTTGGAACTTATTGGCTGCACAAAATATTGAATGGATATTCTTGGGAATGCTTGGATAAATTCACTAGCAACTTTGGCATTACCTTTCAAATTTATCGCTTCTGCCAATTCCTCGACAGTCAACTGAAAGTATCTATTCCACGGTAAGTGTGACATTTCTGTAGCTCGGATAATTTGATCAGGCACCAAACTACCAAATTGCCTCAAGGGAGAATTGTTTAACCAAATTCGCTTATCCACCATCTTACACAAATCAAGCACAATCTTGGATAACCCTGACCATTTCTTAAGAAGTGAAATCTCATATATAGCACGCAATAAACGACCAGCTGATTGGGTGATGTAAATCATATCCGAAATCAACGCGTACCCTTCCAACGCCAATCGGGAAATGTAAGTTTGTAAAAGGATATTGATTTTTGCAACTGCTTCATGTGGTTGCTCTTTGATCGGAATAGGACACTTTTCCATAAGTTTGCTAACTTCGAGACGCTCTTCCTGCCTTACTGGGACGTACTTGAATTCTCCCGAGTTTGAAAACACTCGTAATATATCAATCTCATTATACCATGGTTTCAACATTTTCCCATACAAATTGATCGTTTCGTAGTTGATGTAGTAATATGATGAGATCTTCCCCAATTCAGTTGATTTCACTAGCCCAGTTTCCAGTTCAAACATTACTAATTTGTTCTCATGAAGTATAGCCAAAGCAGTGTATATCAAATCAGCACGTCTATTGTGTAATGTAGGATCACCTTTGAAGTCATAATCAGCTTCGATACCATACAATGCTGGCGAATGTAACATTCTCACAAAGAAATAGGTATAACTTAACCATTCAATACCTTCCTCCAAAGTTGTTATAGATCCTGACACAACTTCTGAATTAACACTATCAACAAGCTTACTAATCAATTTAGATTCAATAGGTAATTGTTGATTCAAAATAGCCAAATAGTACTGGATTTCATCTTGAGAAGTTATGATGATACCTTCACCATTCTTGTCATACCTTGGACGACCTGCTCTACCCAACATTTGCAATATATCTTGCGGTGATAATTGGACCCAGGTACCGATTTCAGGAGAATACGTTTCTGTACCTTTGATAATGACTGTGTGGGCAGGTAAGTTGACACCCCATGCTAAGGTAGCAGTAGATACCAATACTCGTAAATGACCCAGAGCGAATAAATCCTCAACCACGTTTCTATCATTTCTCGACAACCCGGCATGATGGATCCCAAACCCATTTGGGATAATTTCCTTCAAGTGTTTATTAGACATGGATTCACCTTCTTGTTTGAGAATTTCCTTGACTCCTAATGTATCAACCATGTTAACTTCCAGACTGGCCATTTTATCCATGAGGTATTTAGCTGTGGTGTACGTTTCTTTTCTTGAATGAACAAAGATAATCAATTGATGACCCCGTTCAAGACTGTTGAGAGTCCTATCAAAACATGCTTCATTCATGGCATTCAATTTTTTGATTGCTGACCTCTCTTTAATCCCCACAAATTCTTGTTGTAAAGGGCATGGTCTGAATGATGCATCAAAGTAGAACAACCCTTCTTCGGGAACTTGGATAAATTTAGCAACGTCGGCATAGTTGGGTAAGGTAGCTGAAAGACCAACTAATCGAACTTGGTTCCCTGTAGTTTCGCTCTTGCGTAAGGTACGACCAACGATATTCTCCAATGCTGGCCCTCTTTCATCATGCAACAAATGAATTTCATCAATAATGATTAATCTAGTCAAGCTTATATAGCTGGGGTCCTTTCTGGTTATAATATCCCATTTTTCAGGAGTGGTTACAATTATTTGAGTTTCCAATATTTGTCGTTTTGATAATGTCAGATCACCAGTTAATTCATTGACTACGAGTCCATATGAGGTGAGCCTTCTTTGGAATTCCCTCATTTGTTCCTGGACCAACGCTTTCAAAGGCGCAATGTAGATGATTTTGAATTGTTTAAGCAATATGCGACCTGCTTCGGTTCTGAAGTTGCTGATTGTCCTTAATATCGTCAACATGGCCACATTGGTTTTACCTGCACCTGTAGGTGCACAAATCAACAAATTGTTATCAGTTTCAAAGGCTTGAGGAAAGATTTTGGATTGGATCCTGTTAAATGTAGTAGTTTCATTACTGGGGAATGCATCCCTGGCCCAATCTGGAAGCAGATTTATAGGCAAGAGATCTTCGGTTTGTGGTGCTTGTTCAACGGGAGGGACAGTGATTATATCATACGATTTCTTGTTTTGTTGGAATGAACCCTTTGGCAAGATGACCTTGGTTCCTTCTACTGAAGTGCTGAACTGGATTTTATCCAAGCTGATTCGTTGCGGTATCCTCTTGCCTTGCTTGACTCGCTTAACTGAAGTCACTTCTGCTTCATCGTCAAATGCTGATCTCTTTTTGTCTTCAAGTTCAGATGCTAGTTGTTCAAGATGTAGTGCTTCCATTTCTTGGTAGATTTCTTGTCTTGTTTCTTCGGAAGTTGCTTCGGATAACTTCTTGGTAAAGACTATTCTCCAACGATTTTCAATGCATTTAACAATAAGATCTGAACATTCATATTCGAAAACCTCGTTCAAGGAGTTATCCAACTCGTTCACAGTAAGTTCCACATCGGAAAGTAATCTTATAGTATCTGAAAGTAGCAATTCTGCTGATGTGGAAAGCTCATGAGTTTTTGATGCCTTGAGAACTTCTTGTTCTAGCCAAGCTATGTTCACAACTTCTGGGTCTTTTGATACCTCGGGCAATTCTATTACTTCTTGTTCCCCTTCTGGTTGCTCCTCGTCTTCCTCGACCTCGACTTCGACGTCCGCCTGTCCTTGTTCCTCGTCGGAGCTATCGAAATCCACAGCAATATATTCATTCTCGTTGTCATCTTGTTTAACAGAGTTTAGTTCATTCATCTTATCGGTTAAATTGATCAATACATTCAAATCGACATCGTCGACTTTTGCTGAGAGTAACTCCTCCAATTCCTCTCTCTTTTTCACCACGCTCAAGTCAGGCTTGCTCAAGTATTCAACGGCCAATTCAGTCGCCGATCGAATCACTTCATGACTTGAATCAGGCAAATACGTCCTTATCTTGGTCATAAATACTTCAAACAATTGATAATTGGGTAATGATGAGTTTTCTTCTTGCTTGGTAGTTTTGGTAACAGTCTTGTGCTCTGGCTTGTAGTTACTACCCATATCCTTGGCGTTAATGCGTCCAGCCATCGACAGAGCTGGGACTTCCTGTTCGCTAGTTCCTTTTCTAGGCTGTCGTATGACCTTGTTGGCCATCTCATAGCTGCTGTATGGATTGTTTGACATTGGTGGGGGGGGGGGGAGGGAGGTTGCAAGATCTAGGTGGTCTGTCTGAGTTTAGGCTGGTTGTTTTTCAGTGCGATGCTTCTTGAACAAAAACAGCAAAAGCTCTCAGCCGCACGGCCGGCGGTTCGGCCATGTTTACAAATTTGTTTTGTTATATTTTTATATATATATATACTAATAATTTACATATTCTATGCTACTCCTATGCTCTTAGTAAACCTTGTTTAAGAAGGTCTTGTTCTTGAAGTCCCAAGTGTCATCGGAAATTCTACCTCTCAAGGTTGGAATTTCAGAACCTGGAATGTAAACATCTTCAAATAAGATATCCATCTTGGCTTCAGGTGGAGCATCGGCTTCAGCAGCAGCAACTTGTTCGTCAACATAAGCTCTAGCTTCCTTGTCGTAAGCCTTGATTTCCTTTTCGGTAGCAATACCCTTTTCTAATAAGGTGGCCTTCAATCCGGCAATTGGATCGTTTCTAGATCTCATTTGAGAAACTTCTTCTCTGGTTCTGTAAGTGGTACCTGGATCAGACATAGAGTGACCACCATATCTGTAAGTTTCGTATTCCAAAACTAATGGTCCGTTACCTTGGGCAGCCCAGTCCTTGGCGAACTTAGAAGCTTGGTAAGTGGCCAAGACATCCATACCATTGACCTTCAACCCTGGAATGTATTGACCTCTCTTGTAGTATTCAGTCATGGCAGAGGATCTGGCAGCAGCAGTACCCATACCGTACTTGTTGTTTTCACAAGCGAAAATACATGGCAAGTTCCACAACTTGGCCATGTTGTAAGCTTCGAAAACTTGACCTTGGTTAGAAGCACCATCCCCGTATAAAGTGAAGGAAGCACATCCGTCACCTCTGTACTTGTGAGAGAAGGCTAAACCGGCACCTAATGGAACTTGAGCACCGACAATACCGTTACCACCGTAGAAACCTGGGGCAAACATATGCATGGAACCACCTTTACCGTGGGAGATACCAGATCTTCTACCCATCAATTCAGCCAAAACGGACTTGACAGAAGCACCTCTCATGAACGCAAAACCGTGACATCTGTAAGAAGTGATAACGGTATCTTTTGGAGTAATGGCATTTTCAATACCAACAGCAATAGCTTCTTGACCAACGGACAAATGACAGAAACCTCTAATTTTCTTGGCTTTATATAAAGCATCGGCAGCCATTTCCATTCTTCTGATAATGACCATATCTTTGTACATCTTCAACAAGGATTCCTTTTCGGTTTCGAATTCCAAGCTTGGAACATCCAAGTTGTAACCTTCAAATGAAGATTCTGGTAAAGTAACAGTAACTAAGTCAGTGTTACCAGAAGCCATTGTTCTTCTAGCCATGACTTTGGCGGCAGCACCGGCCAATTGACGGTGCACAGGAGAGTAACGCAACATTCTAGTATGTGTAATATGTATTGTTCAAAGAAGAATGTTCAACTGGTTTGGTAAAAGATTTAAAAACTTGCTAAGATGTGTTGCCAAAAAAATTCAAAGGTGTGCGGGTTGGGCAACCCAACGGGAAGGAGGAATCCGTCACATCCAATCTGCAACAGAATGCGCACACACCATCTATTTTCCTTCGGTGGTTAACATCCGCGCAGCACGGGAATGACTTTTTTTTGTTTTTCCAATCGCCGGGCACCGAAAACTGAGATCTAGTTCAAATGGGCTCTAGTTTTGGTCACATGACTTTACTTCCTTATTGGGACGTAAGATACGAAAGATTAAATTTATTTTTTTGCCTTGGATGATCGCTTAAGTGCCCGTTAATCTTTTGTGTGATGCAACAATCCTTCTCCACCAAGGTTTACATCTTCATTAAAAAAAAAAAAGAAAAACTGTGATTTGGAGGTGTAATCCACTATTATATTCATACTGTTTCACATTCAAGTTATATCAACAATGAGTAACGGAAAGCTCAGAGGTAATAAGCACTATTTTGAAGATTTAATTTTATCTAGTCCAGAATCTGCAAAAAATTCTCCAAAAAATAAGAAAAATTGGAAAACCCTCTTTAAAGATACAAGTCCCAAGGCAACAACTTCTTGGCATAACTCCAAAATGAGTAAAGAACCACACCCTACAGCATTTAATGCCAGTTTCATGCCAACTACAAACCAGTCTCGACATCTTGAGACAACCCCACCTTCTCTAACAAAAGTCAATTGGAAATCTTTTACCAGCACACCAATAAAGGATCCCTTCACGGGTGAAATATACCTAACTGATATTCAGTCAGGCACTGGGTCAAAAGAAATACCTGAAAGTGCAAAAACTATCACTGCGCCTCTTCCAGATATATCATTTGCGTCCGAACCGCAAGCTACACCCAGTCAAACATTTGAAACCATATTAGGCAAAAGATCAGCAGCAAAAAATGGGGGTAGTAGCAACTTTGATATTTCACTATTGGAACCTGCACCAGATTTGGAAAAATGTTTCATATGTAACGAACTACTCCTGTCTGTCTTGACAACTGAGAGGATCATGAAGTTGAAGTGTGGAGACTCTGTCCATAGCGAATGCTTCAAGGCATTGTTTAACCACGAGATCCAAGTATACAATCAAACAATGATGAAGCCAAGAGTGTTATCTTTCTCAGAAACTTGTAAAGGAAATGTTTGCAAAACAAATGGAGTCTGCCAGGACATCTCAATCGATCCAAAAGACTTACATCTTGTAGCTGGCAAGTTTCAGGTTCCAATCACCCCCAAATCAAGTACTAAGAAACTGAAAGAAACAAGTGCAACCTTCAAAGCTTTAAGGCCAACTATCAATGACGTGAAACCAATGCAACAAAGACAAGAACCTCCCCGAGTCAAACCATTCTCTCTTGTACCAGAATCAAAGAATCGCCGTATTGATCCCAGAACTTCAGGCCTACACACCAATTTTGATTTAGCTTCACTTTTCTCATCTGGAACATCATCCAATACAGTCTCAGTGGTTTATGACTACAATGAAATCGAAAGCATAAGAAATCAATTAATACATACATTGGTTGACAATTGCAAACATGCTAATTTTGCAAATATTTATCAACTTGGGCAATTAAGATTAGCCGACGAACTATCAGTATGCACAGGAGAAACCGAAATCTTCTTTGAAAAACTTGTTTATTTGTTTGAGGATCATATACTAGTTTGGAACCATCATGACTACCTTGAAGAGCCGCGACTTATTCCTGTAAACAACGTCAAAATATCGTCGAAGGAGTCAGTCGTACATATTTTGCAAACGACAGATGATTATCCATATGTGACAATGTTGCAATCTCCATCAAGTGCAATAATTGAAAAATGGGTAGTTGCACTTTCCGATCGTAATCTTGTCATTCCAGCAGAAGTTATAACCAACACTATTAAGCTGGTTACAAACAATTTGAACAAACGGGACCAGAATCCTAGTATCTCATCATCCATTCACGATGTTTCTACAATGGACTCAGATATCGATTCTGACCAAGAGAGAATTGATAAAATAATACAAGGCGATATGCTTATGTATGATCGGGAGTTTTTATGATGACTATATAGCTTAGACTAAAATGTAATATATGTACAAACTATCTAGAATCTATCCATCTCACCAAGAATTCGGGACACCCATTGATCACGATCTTGCCTTGAGTTTGTCATAAACATAACGCTTCTCCCAGTCAAACCAAGCTTGGCAACCATTTTAATCAACCCAGGATTTTTTTCTAAATGCAATGCCACCGGTTTTGCTTGTTGTTTGGAGATATTTCTTTCATAATTACTTATATTACGTTTCTTGCCAAACCACAACGTAAAACAAAGCGAGCACTCTTCTTCTTGTGACCTCCACCCATTGGTATGTAACCGCGGAACCGAATGCCGTTCAAGTTGTGTTCCTCTAGTTTCACTTTTTGACTCTAATAAATCTAGCTCGGCAGCAAACCCAGCATATATGTAACATTCAGAGATTGGAATTGTCAAGTAATGCTCGAAATAAGATGTCTTTTTCCAAGCACCGGTATTCTTTGATCTTTTGAAAATATTAAACAAGATTAAAAAGCCAGGACATAAAAGTGCAAAAAACTGATTGAATGTGGAATGCTTTTTCCGTTTGTGATATAAGAACCCCGATTTAAGCACCAATGTAGTTGATATCATCGACGAGATATTGTTAATTTTCGTGTCTGCTTCAGTGTACTTCAATTCCAAATGATTAATTTGCTGACCTGCATTGGAATCAACGTATTCGCAAGCATTCAAATTATTCAAATTTGCACTTCTTACAGCAATCTGCCGCTGAATTTGTTCTTGTTCATGCATGGCCCAAAATTGACTCAATAACTGCAAATGCAAGATCCATCGATCACGAACATGTCTGCTGTGTGCTTGAAGTTTAATGACACATCCAGTAGCTAATTCAATTTCAAAACAAGAATCTTGGATCTCTTCATTATCAATCAAGCCAGACAGAGCATACCATAAATGAGCAGAGAGCAATTTTTGGGTATGCGACATCGTCGATGATGGGATTGCCCTCACTTGTACGATTCTCGACAAATCTATTAATCCTTCAGCACGAACAATTTGTTGAGTTCTTCGTTCGAATTCAGAAAAACAGTGATCGTCTCCAGTTGTAAAATCATCCCGTAACCAAGCAATATGACCATTTCCGTCACTGGGATACAAACATTGTTCGTAAACAATGGGTGTTTTAGATGAAACTTGAGATGCAAGAAAGTAGTTTTCAGATGCTGGTGGTAACACTCTATAATACTTTGTGAAAAACAATAAGTTCTTGTTGGTGAAGAAATACAGAATTTTGTAGAAATCATGAACTAGACCTTTACTTCTGCCAGATGTACTTGTGAGCCTAGCCAAAAATCCTTCAATAGGTACAGGTTCTTCCAATTTATATGTGGGGGTATACACTGAAGTCAATTCTATGGTTCTGTATTCCAATTGAAATGTTGGTGTATATAAAACATTTCCAATGAATAGTAATTCACTGTTATCAGCAACCCATTCTAATCTGTCGTAAAATCGAAAACAAAACCAGGAATTAGAAAAGCTGATATTTTCATGTTTAAATTTTGCCTTGATGGTATTCTTCAAATACTGCAAAAGTACAGAATGTTGAACTTCGTAACCAGTTTTCTTCTCCCTAATGTGCACTTCTTCTATTGACTGAACTGCTTTCTCTAAAATATTCTCGGGTATTTTCACTTGTAAAAATTGACCAACATGATGAATGTAAATATTGAACATGGTATTCATGTCATGACCAAGACTCAGCTTAATAAAGTATAACCATCTTAATGCTTTCGTTTGATTATTGCATTTGAGGATATAGCTAAAAGTATCATCTCCTTGACGAGCAGTCAAGCTAATTGACTTATCCAAGATATTGTAAAATTTGGCACTGATTTTTGAATTCAAGCTGAATCCAACTCGTGGAGATTGTTGCTTGGCATTATCTGCATTTGGAGCCTTGGCAATATCATAGAATTGAAGCATTAAAGGTTCTGAACTGCTATATGTTCGTCTTAATACCACAATGTACTCTTTCCATCTTTCATAAACTCGAGATTCCAATTCATCTCCATCGAAATTCTCCTTTACATTGCCAACAATTTCCTTAATCATCACAAGCATTCTATCAGCTCGAACAATCTCACCAGATTGATATGGGCTGATTAACGAATTAAGTATCCTATCGCGGAAATCCCTTATTTTATCACGTCTTTTTCCTTTTGATTTATGGGTTAAACTTCGTAACCTTTTAGAAACCCGGGTCTTTTCTTGATTAATGGTTTCTATATTAAGTTGAGTTATTGGATGTGGTAGTTCCAACAACATCCTGGAGTTTCTTGATGTGACTGACATGGGAATTGAGCATTGTAAAGATTCATTGGAAGCACTGGGGAGTGATAGTAAGCCTTTTTTGTGTCCAATAGGCACCGTAAGGTGGTTTTCAAAACTTGGAACTGATGTGTTTCTGGAGCTTGCTCCATCAAAGTTAAGAGATGAAACAAGTAAGGAATCATTGAGGATGGAGGAAGTCTGGTAACTGGTTTGAGAATCTTTGCGCTTAGCCATTTCCGCCAAGAGCTCGCGCTTGCGAGTAATAAACTCTGATTGATCCGGAAACAACTGGTCTTTATAATCTTTCTTGTGGTCTGAATCTGTGGTTGATCCTTTGATATATTGATGGATGATTTGGTTTCGTTCATGGAATTTCCTCTTGACTGATTGTTTCAAAAAGTCACTCATTATGTTTGTACTTTTGTCGTTATGCCACACTGCTGGAATCCCGCCAATAAACATACATTTTGAAGTCTGGGAAATAACATCTGATGATAGCAAACTTATGAGGGGAGCTGTATACGAAGCTTTAGGTATGGTAAAGTTCGGATCATCGGTTGACATCCATTGACTGAGGGGAGGGGGAGTATGCTACTTGTGCAATGTAAGCTTAGATCAGGGAAAACAAAATACGGTTGCCAAAAAAAAAAAAATAAGAGAAAAAAAAATAGAGAAAAAAAAATGGTGGGGAGGAAGGGGAAACCATAGCCTTACCCCTTAATGGTACACAAAGACAACGTGTGAGTGAGTGTGAGTATGTGAAGGTATATAACATAGCTCTACAAAATGTGTATATTCAAATACATAGAATGACAATATAAACGTAGAATACAAGCTTATCATTAGATAATTTCTTCATCATTCAAGCCAAGCATGGCACCATCTGGGTTCATGTTGTCTGGTGGTGAAATGCTTGGAACAGTTTCTAAGGCAGTGTACACTAACCCGACAAACACGAGCAAAATAGCAGCAACTATTCTAAATGCGCTATCTCCATTCAAACTGATTCCGATAAAGGTATAGACTAAAAATGGTTAGTGGTAAAGTTACCTCAAGGGGGGGGGATTGACTAAAACCAAAAAATGAAAATAAAAATATACATACAAATACCACGGCCAATAAATGAAAACAAGAATGAACCATATGCATATGCTTCCGCAGGTACTCTAAATTCTAAGTGATGTTGATTAGTATTAACCGATCAGTGGACTCAATGTGAAGTATAACATACCTAAAGACCCAATTACTATTCCAAATGCAATAAGAAATAACCCACTAAGAAACTAGATGCGTGTGTTAGTATATCTTTTGTTTCTGGAATAGATTAAAGTACAAGTACATACCGAGTGACTATATTGAAAATTGTTAGAATTGCTTCCGTGATAGATGAATCGATTAAGTTAGTTACTTACAAGCTGTGAAACAATTGGGAAAGACCTCCTAAAACCTATAGATAAATATGTGTTAGTGGGCTGTGCAACACAGCAGGTTGAAAACGTTCAAATCACATACAGTAAGGGTTGCAACGGACAAGTTTGTTATCTTAAATACCCCAGTCAAATCTTGACCTTCAATTGGATCTAAATTCATATTCATTTTGTTCTATTCAGGTGTTGTCCTTTGTGGTTATAGTGAAATTAAAACTTGACATATTTGTTCTTCTGAGTTTGCCGCGTTTTGGTCCCACAAGAATTCCGCGGGGGGTTACAGTTTGGACAATTAGTCTTACGTAATACGTGCCTAGAAGTCAGCTTGCACATTGGATATGCCTAGCTTATGAGAATGAGTAGGTATATACTATTTTTAAAGTATTCATCGCTTCCCAAAAGGTGTCACATCAGTAGAAGAGCCATTAAGTGCAAGTGTTTGATCATGTGACCGGAAGCAGAGAGCACATGAAAATAGGTCACATGACAAACGTGTGACATGCGCATGGTTTGTCACGTGGAAGGTACGAAAAAAAAAAGGATTTTTATTCAAATGTTATATAAAACTAACAACATACTATTTCAACAGCTCCATAACAAAAAGATATAATGGCAAGCACCTGGCAAGCCAGGTTACTGGAACTCGTGCATGTCACCACTGATCCTTTTTTGACCAAACTTCTCAAGGCGGATTCACACGATGATACAAAGTTGATGAATCTTATTCAGAAGTCAGATAATAATGCAGAACAAATATTCAAAGATGCAATCATTAAAGCCATGGATGAATCAATGTTTCGACCAAACATCCCCCGTGAAGTCATCAAGAGAAAACTGGAAGCAGAACTCGATGATGGCAGTAGAAAATTCCCCAAAAATAGCATAACTCTAGCGAGAGAAAAGAAAGTATCCGAAGTACAATCATTAAAAACCCAAGAAGAAGCTACTCTTGAAGCATTAAACGAGTTTCTTGATAAAAGCATAAACGAACTAGAGATATTATCGGTTCCAGAACACTACCCACTTAAACCGCAAACCGTGTCTTCCTTAGCCGAGCTTTACTATTTAACCCAAACACTTCCATTGATTAAACTTCTTCCTGCTAGTCATAAAGTCTTGATGACTGAAAACTATGAACTGGCATTATTGGAAGGAAAAATAGCTGTATTATATTCACGCATTGAAGAACTCAAACGTCAAGGGAAATGGTCATTAAGACAACCACAAAAGTTCTATGATCCTTTCACGTATTTGAAAAAGACCAAGAAAAAGACATTTTATTGGGATAACGTGTTGCAAGAAGCAAGATGGATGGCCGAGGATTTCAAGCAATCAGCAAGACTTAAGAAATGGTGTTGTGTGACCATAGCCCAAGCTGTTGAAGAATATTGGGTTCTTGGTAAACAAGTATGTATAAAGAGAAAACCAATCAAGCATATAGAAGAGAAGACTGCCGAGGAAGCCAATACTGAGCTTGCGGAAGATTCAGCTCAAATTGCAGTAGCAGAACCAGAAACAATCGACGTGTCAGCCTTGAATGCAGAGGGTGATGACGAATCCAAGAAAACCGTGAATGATGAAATTGAAATTACAGAATTCGAACCAACTCCTGTTGTGCCCCAGAAACAAGATTCAATATTTAAAGTCTATTTGGATCACAATGATTTGAAGAAGATTGATCAGTCTATTATACAAAACCTTCCCAAATTTACCGCTTTTGACGACGACGAAAGTACTTATGCTCCATCAAAGCCATTAAAACCTACCGAACCCCCTATTGCTCCAGTATCGAGATTATTACATCCATTTGAAGAAGATGACTCGTGGTACAAGATTGTATTGAGAGACCCCGGTACCGAGAAGAATACCCAGGGACCCCCGGAATATCAAAAGGGATTATTTGGATTCCAAGCCCATCGTCGATTCAGCACATTGAAACCACCGAAGCCTCCTTTAATCAAGAATATTGAGTTTAGATCTCCGACAATTTGGCTTCCACAAGATGACAAATATCTTATTCATTATGTTGCTGAATTCTGTTTTAACTGGGACTTAATATCCGAACATTTACTGGCACATTCATCAGCGGCAAGTTTCAAAAAATATGAGTCAAATATTGAAAGAAGAACTCCATGGCAATGTTTTGAAAGATATATTCAATTAAATGAAAAGTTTCAATTTCTGGACATGAAGGGAGTATATGCTTATCCAGCCCAACAATGGCTTGAACAAGCTCACCGCACCCAACTGACCACCAAAAGAAGAATTTCTCCATTGGGTGTAGGTACAGATTCCATCCAACGGGGCCACAGAAGACTTAGATGGGCATCTATGTTTGATGCTATGAGGAAATGTATGAAGAAGAGAGAAATTGCATTGGCAAAGATGAATCATCGTAGATCTACCACTGATTACCAAGGCTTTAACCAAAGTCAGCAACAAACCCCAACGCAAACACAACCCGTCAGGCAATCCTCAGAACAACCAAATTCAGCTAACCAGGAAGTTACTCCAGTCAAGAGAAGTACAGATAGAGTACCTACTCCTGGAGAACTTTCTAAATTGAAATTTGAAAGAGATAAGTCTATACAGGAAGCATATTTGAACCAACAAGCCACTAGATCTCGTATGATGGCTGCTGTGGCACAACAACAGAATCAAGCCAAGGCTGGAGGAAGTGCACCACCACAAGCACCAATTGCACCAGGACAAGCACCAAGACCAATAGTGAGTCAACCTCAACCTGCACTGGGTATTCCTCGTGCTCAACAACCAGTTCAAGCTAGACAGCCAGGCCCCAAAAGTGAAGGTTGGAATTCACCCGCGTCTATGGGTAGTCCACAAACCAACAATATGGTATTACCACAGGGGCAAGTACCTGGTATGACTAGAGTTGGTTCTCAAAATGGAGTTCCATATCAACAGCAAACGGCAGCTAATCCACCACCACAAGCCAAACGTCCAACCACACCAAATGGAACACCACTTACCAATGAACAAATTCAACAATTGCTACAATTGCAAAAGCAAAGACGATTGATTCAACAACAACAACAGCAGCAACAGCAACAGCAACAGCAACAACAGCAACAACTTCAACAACAGCAGCAACAACAGTCAGCACATTCGTCACAACAACCTTCTCCTCAACTTCCAATGAATACTATGATGGCGCAACAACCTATCAACTCACCAAATCTTCAAAATATGCCTATCAACCACCAAGTGCCAGTAGCTAAACCAGTTCAACAATCCGCTCAACCACCACAGCAGAGAACTCGTATACATTTTGCACCTGCACAAGTTTCCGCGATTATAAACTCTATTCAATCAAAGAACCCAGGGTTTACGAAGGACCAAGTGACGAAGTTAGCTGCACAATACCTCGCTAGCCTACAACAACAGCAACAACAGCAACAGCAGCAGCAGCAACAACAACAACAACAACAACAGTCTATACCATCTCAACAACAAACACCAACCAGGTACGACCAAAATTCACAGCGAGTTGCAGGACAGCAAAGAGTGCAACAAATGCAGCCTGTTGCACCGGGTGCAAACAACAGAAACTTTAACCAAAGTCCGAATCCCAGGCGAATTCAAGCACAATCATTAACTCCAGAAGAACGCCAACAATTGCAAATGCTTAAGGCCACTGGAACATCACCTTTAGCTCAAGGGTACCTTCAACAGAAGATGCCAGTTCAGCAACAACAACAACAACAACAAAAGCTACAATCAGCATCTCCCATAACTGGTTCTCCAAACATGTCATATTCAAACAAAGAATTGGAAGAAAGAAGAAGAATACTTGCTCAAAGACAACAAGCCGACCAGCTGATGCAAGGACCACAGAGTTTTTCATCAGGCAACGGACTGCCATTCTCAGAGTAAGTTTAACTATTTATATATTTGTACTTTATAATATAATGTTTCATAGACTTTACCAACGCGTGTACTCCTCAATAGGAAAATAAAAAAAAATTAAATTAAATCAAAAATTTAGACTAGCGATTATTTGGCAACAACTTTACAACAACCAATGCAATACCATATATGATGACTCCCAATATAGAGACTTTAGTGAATGAAGAGTCAATACGAGATGCACCTAGAGACTTGAAAGAGGCTCTTGCGGTCACTCCGCTACTCCATTTGGTACCTAGACAGAATTTGGCAGCATTAACGAATGTTCCATACTTAGCGCCGCTATCAGATGAAACTTGTTTAGGACCCGAACAGTTCAATACAGAAATAGCAGAGCATATCGATCATTTAGACAAAGAAGCAGCGGATATGATAATAGAAGAGGTGATGAACTTTGACGACGAAGAGCTTCAGAGTATAAGGTTTGAGAGATTTACAACCATTCAACAACCATCAGAAAATGTTGGTCCTACAGTAGAACTAAAAGGACTTGAAGCTTTTATGTTTAATGCACAACCGATAAATGAAAGCTTTTACCAAGATCCTTCAGTTTCAGCACCTCCAGAGTGGTCAAAGTTATCGGTCAGGAAAAAGTACGATTCTACAAATAAGAAGGTGATGGATGATCATAATCAAAAGTATGTTACCAAATTTAATAACTTACGAAAACAAGGTACTAGTAAAAAAGCGAAACGAAAGCGTGATCCAGAGCAAGATGGTTCTGAAGAAAGAAATCGAAAAGTCATAAAGTTTAGTGAATTGGAATTACACCAAATAGCTGAAACCACAGTAAAGACATTTGTTTTGGAATTTCCAATCAACGAATCTCAAGAGGGAAAAGTAAATGTACCAATAGAGAAACTTGAGGAAGTTTCGGACTCACTAACCAAGATCTTGGAAAGTACAAAAGACGTGGACACTCAAGAAGTTGCCAACTTACAAAGAATATGCCATAAGTTGCTTAGTGAGAATATAGAAAAGATCAAGAATGATATAAATATAAACTCTTTTGACGATATTGCCAATTCATTGGTGATCTTCTCCCAATCTGCCATTGCTACCGAAGTTCTACTCGAAATTCTCAATAGTTCAATTGAAGATAAAAGTTTGTTTTGGGATGGATACTTAGACCTGGCCATTGAGTTTGTCACTCTAGTTTTCCAAGATCTTCTACTTCCAATCTCTCAGTTTTCTATGCAAGAATCTGCTCAAATGGAACCATTGAAGTACAATATTGGGAGATTATTTAGAGAAGTATCCAATTTGCTTAGGCATATCGGGAATTACAATTCAAAATCACAATTAGAAGATCAAGCATTAACTAGAATTGAGATTTTACTTACTCAAGTTTTATTTGAAGAAAAATATCAACATGACAAGAAGTCAATGCTTTCTCTTCTTCCAATGGATTCAATTAAAATATCTGCTGGCTTGGTGTTTGTTGATATATTTAGGTCTTGTAAGGATCAACGACCATATCTTTTGAATGAATTGATTCTTAATTTTCCAAAACTATCTACCAATAAGGCTAATTTCAGACAGTTTAAAATCGAACGAGGATTCAGTGTGCAATACTTTACGGTGATCTTAGTAAAGTTCATTCAATCTATTGAGTCAGAAGATATAAAGGTAAAGGATTCCGGTTTTGAAGATACTATTAGTATTTGTGATCAGATTGCTGTTCATTTAACCACCATAACTGCTGACAAATTTAGCCCTACTTTGAGAACTATATTTGATTTCATAGTTGAAGATTTGCTTGTGCTTTTGCCTTACCCTGAATGGTCTGCAGTTGAATTTATGCTAACTTCCCTAGCCAAACAATTCTTGTCAGTATTAAAAAATTCAGAAACTGTACTCCAGATTGAAGTATATTTCTTGGAAATATTGGGTTTAATATGTGAAAGAGTTGTATCACTTGAAAAATTGGGCAAATCAGAATCCAATGATGATATTAAGGAGATGCTAAAAGACTTCAATTGTATTCGATTTGATCGCCAAAATTCTCTTCAAAGTTTAAGATCAAGATGGTTGAAATCAACGGTAAACGAAGAAATACAAGCACTGTTTCAGCAAGCATTGGAATTCAAATTCCAACTGTCTGACATGAATGATATAAACAAGGTTCACCCAGTATATACTTCTTTTATTTTGGGTTCAGGGTTGAATTTAATTTGTATGAATTTCCTTGATTCCCTTGGTCAGTTCTTGAATAGCCCTAAAGTTAAAATTAGAACCAAAGCAGTAAAGATATTGGTGAATATTTCGGAAGTGAAACCCAACCTTTTCAGATCCAAGAAAATCCAAGAAGCTTTATCAGCAAGACTACTTGACGCTTCGCCCTTGGTACGTGATGCTGTATTTGATTTCATTGGAAAATATGTCCAAGCACATCCCAACGAAGCAGATAACTTTTGTGCACCACTCTGTAATGCCTTGGGTGATACTGGTATCCTGGTTAGAAAAAGAGCTACAAAGTTTGCCAAAGATTTGTATCCAAAGTTGACAAGAAGGTACAATAAAGTTGAAGTAGCATGCAAACTTCTCAAGAGAATGGACGACGAAGAAGATTCTGTGAGGAATATTTCAATTTCAGCTTTGATTGAATTGTTATTCCTCCCTCTAGTTTCTCATTCTTGTACCCCAGAGGAAAGAGTCATGACAATTTCAGTGCTTGTTGATATTTGTAACCTGGGTACGAAGGTCTTGTCCAATTTGGAGGTACTTTTGGAACGACATGTGTTGAACAGTCCAGAGAAGGGGGTACAAGATGCAAAAAAGAAGCTTATTGAATTGATCTTGGAATTTGTTAATGATGAACTGATGAATGAAAAAGTGCTATTCAAAAGTGGTGCTTTATTATTGTTAGCTAGTTGTGTGAAGTCCCAGCCAAATATTTTTGGACAAGATCAATTAATTGCACTACAACCACTTATCACCGATGAAGCACAGACCATAGACCCATCATATGGTTACACCTTACGAGTCTTGAGATATTCTTTGGTTCATATTAATTCTTTACAGCCTAGTTTCTTAGTTCCGGTTCAAAATTTTCTTTTCAAAAGGCTTTCTAAGTTAACGTTTCAAGAATTAGATGAAGCTATTCCTAGTTTATGGAAACTTTGTGACATGAATTCCACCAAACCAAGAATGATCAACCTGGTTATTGCTACTTTGAAATTCTTATATCCATACATTGAGAACAAGCAAAGACGACATGAAAAGGGGTTAGGTAAGTTACTTCAGTTGCTAGGTTTCTTTGGTAAATATTGTAATTTCCAAGAATTTTATGATCTGTTTAAGAACTCCGGGATCGGATTAAAGAATAACGAATCAGTGGTCAGTTTGATATTGAAGTACATTATGCAATTCTGTGATGATCTGACCGAAATTAAAAATCGAATTATTGCCATCCTGACATTGATAACTGTTTGTACCAGTTACACCAAACTTTTCGGATCAGAAGAGGTGATCAAGATTTTTGATCGTGAAATGGACTCTAATGATACAAAAATCGTCATGGCTATATTACGTGGGTTGATAGATTTCTTGAATGAAAAGGATGCTGATGCACAAAAGAAAGCCGGGTATGAGGAGAAATCTTCTGCAGATAACAAACTTGATGTTCGGGTATTTCATGGCATTTCAAGTGTAAACGCTGTCGATGGAGTTTGTGCTGGTATGGTTCAAAGGTATTTGAATAAAGTATTGAAACTTTGTTTATCGTCTGAAAGTCAAGTATCATATTTACCTATACAATTTGTCAAACGGGCGCTTGAACTTGGTTATGCCAACCCTAAAATGTGTATTGCTACTATCATGGCGTTGGAATCCTCTAATAATGAGTATATCAGGAAAACGGGGATAGAGATGCATCAGGATATTTATGAGAAGCATGAATCAATAATTGAATCTAGTTATCGAGAAGGTGTTTCCCTAGCATTAAGTTCGAAGCAAGAATCGGAAATCTTGGTCCAGGGAGATTTTTTTAATTTATTATACCGTATAGTTCTGGGATCTGTTTCTTCATCAAAGAAATTCATGAAAGCACTTGGTAAGGGAATGAGTATTATTTCCACAAAAGAAAAAGATCCAAGAAAGAAGCTAGTATATCTGGTATTCTATGCGAATAATATTGCCAATCTCGAGTTCAAATCAATGGAAGAACTATTCATAATAACTCTGCATTTGCGTCTGTACCTTGTTGGCTTCACAGCAGATACCCTGGAGGAAGAGAATGTTGAAAATTCAAGTTCTAGGAATCAAGAGTGGTTATCTATAATGGCCATGATGAAATTATACAATCATTTAACTTACAAGTATCACATTCTTGATAGTCACATAGACGATTATGACTCGCATGCATCCGAAATTGATCTCAAGCAAACTCCGAAAGTATTACGTGATGTTAAAATTGATTTAAGTTGGATTGTGGAGAATGTTGAGGGAGAAAATCCAGAGATAATCACAAAGTGTAAAGAAGAACTTAAGCAATTAATTTAATAAGTACAAAATACAATTTAATCATTATTGGTATTGTTACAGAGTCTTTTTATTCTCAATGGCAATTGGAAACCCTCCAAATGAGCACGAATATCTTCATAGCAGGTACCAAATACAAAGTTGGTGTCTCCAGGATCAAGCTTGATTGTATTGATATCAGTTATATCTTCTAGTCGGATTTTATTCCTGCTTCTTCTTCTTCTAGGCGTTGGTTGTGGGGTATTTTCTATAGTGTTGGTATGTGAGGTTTGTTGGTTATCAGGAGTTCCTCGAGGTTTGAGTTTTAGTTTGACAATTCCGTTCATTTTCATTGGAGTTTGTGGAGCCTTTTGAGGTGAATTAGGTTGTGATGTTGGTTCTGGTTCTGGTTCAGGTTCAGTTTTTGGTTTTGGTTTTATACCGTTATTTATATTTAATGCATTTCCCTTTATGATTTTGGGAGTATTCAATGGGTCGATAATCAAGTAGGTATCGTCAGTAAGGCGTAGTTTTATAACAGGGCCATACCTGCTTCGTCTTTCCTTTGCGCGCTTTGTTCTTAATTGGGGCAATGAAAGTTGATAGTCTGGATCATCGGATATCTCCTCTTGGAATTGCTGTTCCTGGGCCGATTCTCGTATATCATTGTTTAATCTTTCCAACCTTCTTCGCCAATTTTCGTGCTTTCGTAATAAACGTTCAATTTCCTCGATACTTAGCTGTTTCTTTAGTTCTAATTCCTCATAATCGTTCATATCATTGATTACAGCAATTGTCGGTAAATGACGGACCCAATCGTATTGGTTCAACAAATTCAACTGAGATTGTAGATTATCAACTTCGGACAAGATTCTTAGCCTTTCTTCGTTGTTCATAACTTTCTCCTCTTTGGTCATTTTTCTATGGTAGAGTTCATATAGTGAATCAGAAAGAGGGTCTTCGATATGCTTTGACCTTCTAGGTAAAACAGGATTTACCGTGCTAATGGCACCATTTGGAGGAAGCTGTGGTAGATCACTAACCTCGGCATAGTAAGGTGTACTAGGATCAAGTTCGGATTTAGTTATTGAAATTTGTTGATTTCGATACAAGAGTTCATTAGCATTATCGAAATTGAATAAAGTCTTTTGGTTATTTTGGTTCTTGGATTTGTCTTTCGATCGAAGTTTTCGGGTCGGCTCTTCTTTCTTCTTTTGCCCCCCAGAATGACCATTCAGAAGAGTAGTCATTTGGTGCTTGTAACTGAATAGGTCGTAATATTTTGGCAGGTCATCAAATTGTCGTATTTCCAGTTGGCCAAAAAAATAAACAAAGTCCAGTCGCGCTTAATTTGTCCCGTATTGCAATTGAAATATCCCCTTCTCCCCCTACCCCCCCCCACACAAAGGATATCTGTTGCTTATAAACGTTTGTTATATCCCAGTAATTATGGAAGTAAGAAAAAGACATGTAGGCGAAGAGAGTTCTCCTAGTAAGGTTGCAAATGTAAATGCGAATGAAAAAGCCAATGGCTTAAAATACAAATATTCAATCCAATGGCATCTTATACTCCTGTTTTCCCTCATATGGATCCTGTTGATACATTACTATGAACGAATCGTTCCCTATTCCACACTTGAAAAATGCTTATGGAGTAACTGGGAAGACTGGCCCATGGATAGGCATCCTCATCGGATTGCCCTTATAGCAGATCCCCAAATAATTGACGATTACTCGTACCCTAAGCAATTCAAAGTTCTAAATTTTATAGTAAAGCAAATATCTGACAACTACCTTCACAGAAATTTCCAAGTGATGCAACAAGTGTTGGATCCTGATACCACTATCTTCCTTGGGGATTTGTTTGATGGTGGTAGGTACTGGGATGACGCAAAGTGGATCCCAGAATTCCATAGATTCAACAGAGTATTTCCTGCTAGAACTGACCGTCGTGATATCAGGTCTATTCCAGGAAATCACGATATCGGATTCCAAACTATCAAGCGTGATGTGGTGGACAGGTTTGCTAAATATCATGGCAAACTGAACGACTACATTACCTTGGGTAATCACACCGTTATCATGTTCGACTCGATTTCATATTCACACGCGGATCCTGAGATTTCCAAAGATGCTAAACAATTCATTGACACAATCAACCAAGAGATATCCCATGACCTTCCAAGAATCCTCTTGACGCATGTTCCATTGTATCGTTTCAAGGAGATTCAATTATGTGGTCCTCACCGAGAATCTAAGAAGTTGTTTCCGATCATGTATGGAGACGAGTATCAAACAGTTATTGCATGGGAGTTTTCCCAAAACATGTTGAAAACATTCCAACCCGAGATTATCTTTGCTGGTGATGACCATGACTATTGTGATATAATTCAAGAATATGAAATTCTGGAAGGAATTGTTAAGCAAACTCGAGAGATTGCCGTAAAGTCTGCTGCCATGACCAGTGGAATCAAACATCCTGCTATTCAATTATTATCATTAAGCAACCCAGAAGGAAGTACAGGTATAACTTACAAGACAGAAATGTGCTACATGCCTGCACCATACGCAGGTATTTACAGTTATATTTTGTTTCTATTATTGTCGAATAGTTACTTCGTATATCGTTTGAAGTCACGGGGTGGTCGTCAGGAAATTTTCAAGCATACTTTGCTCAATCTCATCATCGGTTCTGTTATTTTAAAGACATACTTTTTAACCATTTAAATATTTGTTAATTTCAATAGTCTTTCTGCATATCCAGGATTGAAATCAGCCCGCTTTGAAATATATTGTCTAACTGTATATGGTTTCATCTTGGCTAATTGTCCTTCCATAATTAACGAATTAACTAACTCTGACAGCACTGTAAACAAATTACCCACTTCTTTCAAAATTTGGAATTCCTCCGATAATTCAGGAATACCCCATTCATCAATTATACTTTGATATCTTAATACATCCTTAGTAAGCACGATCCCACCAATTGAGTTCACAGGGAACTTTTTATAATGTTCCAATAATTGATGTAATAAATCCATCCCAATCTTGATAAATATTTTTTCAAGATTTCCACTATTCATGGTAGTTTTAAGGGCTGTTTGTAAATCAATCAAGAAATCACTGATTAATTCACAAGCTTCGGTATCTTCTTCTATTTCGTCACAATAGAAATCACGACGTTTTTGTTTAGTCAACAAAATCAGAATTCTGCTACTCAACATTTCCAACGTTTCATTAAGGATGATATTTAATGACTGTTCACATTGGGAGACATAGCTATTGAGCAAATTACTCATTCTGTTCTTGATATTAGGGGAATTGGTAGCACAAGGTAATATAATTTTTTTGATACATGATGATAATAAAAACAAATTTTCACTAATAACATTGAAAGCCTTTAAATACTTGAGATCAAAAGGTTGAATCAGTTGGATTTTGGCAACTTCTTGGTGCATTTCATCATACACCACTTCTAATCCAGATCCAATGTACAATTTCCCAAAATCGATAACAAGAATCTCAAGAATTTCAAGTGAATATTGAGGTGCTTTAGTTGGAGTTAATTCCAACAATCTAGCTATGGATTCAATGGCAGATTTCAATACAATTTCCATCTTACCCACATTCAATTTAGCATACTCTTCTAAATCCCGAGATGAAGTTCTAGTTTCAAGGTCGGTTGATTGTCGACTCGATGCTAATTTAGTCTTGACATAGGATTTGAATTGTTGCATTCGCTTACGTTCCAGGAATCGGAAATTAAACTTATCGGGGTTTTCACCAGCTTGTGGTTTATCGACAAACTCCAAATTATCCAAGTTCTCCAACTTTGTAGCAAGAGCTCCACTAGATATCACCGTATCATGGAAAGTATTAAACTTGTGGACAATTTCATAAATTGTTTCTTCAAGATTCTTCTTTTCTCGGGCGAAATATACTTCATCAGCAGTATATTCTATAAACAAATCAATCAACGATTGGTCAAGAACATGACTGAGCTCATTATCTCGTTCAAATTCGTTCGTTACAAGGAATTCCTTAACATCTTTAGTGAAATCTCCAACTAACATCGACAAAGAATGAAGCACTCTTACATGAGCTAATGTACTTACCGACAAAGAATACTGAAGTAAATTAGTTACAGTATTTCTTATTATTTGAGCATAAACTCTTTGTATGAATATTTTAAGCACGGGAATAGGATCATCAAACACTTGACGAATGATCCATGCTCGAGATTTAATTTCAAACCGTAAATGATCCAACGTAGACTCAATAGCTTCATCCTTGATCTCATGATCTCCACAATTTGGATCAGATAGTCTCGTCCAAGTAGCTTCATCCTTGACTAAACCGGAATTATCTTGTTGTTCTTGTTCGGCAATTTCATTCTTGCTAACAAATGTTTGAATTACATTTATACCATTGTTATATTCAAATAGCACCAGAGCAATATCTTTCATAGTATCAAAGTCACCATCTTCTGATGCAAGCTCAAAAGTCTGAAGTAAATTATCTTCCATTGTTTGTCCATATTGTTCAATGGTCTCGATACATTTAACTGTAGTTGGTTGATGTTCATTAGCAATCTTCTTGGCCAATGTAATCAAGTTAGCCACTGTTTTGGCACATTTCACACGTTCTTCAATCTTTTTGCTCGTACGCAACAATTCCAATTGTTCGTAACTGCCTCGGGTATAAAATCCATGGTATGCTCGGATAAGGAAAATTGTTTCTACGGATCGGTCTCTGGAACTGGTAATTTTGTTTAAAACCTTACCCAATGGGTTGATCTTTGTAGAGACATCCAGGATTTGCGTGTCCAAAACGTCGAATTTCTCAGTGGCTTTAGTAATTTGATCATTCAATTCAAGCACATTCTCACTGTGTTGCAATTCGTATTCGTCAACCAATCGTTCACTTTCCAGCTTCTGTTGATTGGCGTGAGTTTTCAATTGTTTCAATTCTCGTAATATCCCTTCGAATGTTCTGATATATGGCTTGGGGTCTAAGTATTCGAATTCATTGACTTCGGTGTCTTTCAAAAGGTGATCTTTACTAATCTCCTCAATAAAGTCATTGACGGAGAGTCCATTAAGGAAGTTATCGACATTAAGAAGCTTCTTTATATCTTCATCAAGCTCATAGATGGAGAAGTTCATGTGAAGAATGTGTTTCTAGCAAAGGTAAGGTGTTGGTGAACCGGTTGTCTCGCTAATGTGGTTGTAAATTGTAAACAGAGAATTTGAGACAACACACGCACGCACTCTGGGGTGAGAATTTCTGAGACAGCCAAAGCCCATACAATAAATATACAAAGACAATACAATACTACAAGATAATTTCCAAGACAACGGATATATGATTAAATATTTATACTAAATACATAACATCACACTTAGTTAGCCTTTAAGGTTAAGTGACACTTACCACAGTATTGTCTGGTCTTCATGTCAGCCATGAAGATACCAGCACCACAGGTTGGAGCAGGACATTCTCTTCTTAATCTTTCGACCTTACCTTCGTTGTCAACCTTGTAGTAGGTTAAGACAGCCAACTTGTGCTTTCTGTGCTTGTGCTTGATCTTCTTTGGGGTGGTGTAGACCTTCTTTTTTCTCTTCTTACCACCACCTCTTAATCTTAAGACCAAGTGTAAGGTGGATTCCTTTTGGATGTTGTAGTCAGATAAGGTTCTACCGTCTTCTAATTGCTTACCAGCAAAAATCAATCTTTGTTGATCAGGTGGAATACCTTCCTTGTCTTGGATCTTGGACTTGACATTGTCAATGGTGTCGGAGGATTCGACTTCCAAAGTGATAGTCTTACCAGTTAAGGTCTTAACGAAAATTTGCATTTTGGCTTGTCTGCAAACGATGCTTCTTTCTTACCAAAGGTGTAGAGAAAAAGAATATAAAAACCGAAACCAAGATGGTGGAAGAGTATTGAAAAAAAAATTCTGCGCAGCCAGACAGTGAGCGGTGGCGGTGGAAACACAAGGATGAAAACAAAAAAAAAAAAAAAAAAAGAAAAAAAAAAACGAAAATGCTATCACGTGCATAAAATTATTCAGGGTTAGTGCCCTTGTTATAGTTTTGCACGACATTTTTTATGTCGCGACGAGCAATGTCGGCAAAAACCGGGCAAAGAATGTCTCGCAATGTCGCACCATAATTCCGCAAAACCCGAGTTTAGACTAGGTCATCAAGCTCGTAAAGCAATATGTAGAGTTTAATTCCGAAGTCCGAAAGATTTAGATCTTTTGCCATTTGAAAGACAAACCTTCAAGCAGAATTAAAAGTAAGTTATTAGCTGCTTTTCAACTACTTTAAAGGATATTACGAGAGAAATATACTATAAAATAAAGAATATTAGACAGCAATTCAACGGAACCTCGGGATAGCATTGTTTGCCCCTATTGACTGCAAATAAATGACACAGAAAAAAAACCAAGCAGTTTCAAAAAAACATCATGAGGTTTTCTCAAGTCTACGATTATTTATAACCAGCACTAGAACTGTTCCTTTTTCAATTATGAGAGTGGTTGAACTCTAGAAATTAAATTCCGAATTCATTTCATATCTATTACAATCCATCCACGTATCATCAATACGCACCAATTACCAGCTGATGTTAGGAGATAGTGTGTTACAACAGCGGCAATTATACAGTACCGAACAACAACAACAGGAGAATAAACGAATTAATTCAGGTAGAGATTCCGATGATGAATTAAGCGAGCTTATTTCAGGTAATCTATGTGAATGCGAAAAGGGTAAACGAAAGTCGAAATGGAGAAAGTTTTGGAAATTGGTGCTTTGTAGGGCGACTTAATTTATTAATTCCGTTATATACACTAAGATCTAAACTACTATGGATTGAGCATGGGATATGGCGTACCGTTATATGATATTTATCGATTAACAATGCATTGTGGATATTTTTCCACCGTTATATGTCCAAGTCAGACTCATCACTTTCCTGTTGGATCTTTCTCCCCCTTATGGCCCGATTGATTGTGTGTCTTTCAATAACTCTCAATCGGTACAAATAAAGTTCCAAAGAATCATAACTAAAACTCATGGGATCGTTACCTAATTTTTCAAACCCAACCAATCTATCTAATTCCTTCCCTTGTTTATAGATTATTACAAATGGTAGTACTTGTATGTGTAATTTATCCACTAAAAATGGGGCTCTTTCTGCCTTGATTTTGAAAATTTTTAGATTAATATAGTTTTCAGCTAATAATTGTAATCTATCATTCATAATTTGACACTTAGTGAAATTTGGTTGATAAAAGTGAATAATTGAATACGGATATTGTAATATGAAATCCATGAGTATCTTTTCAGATTCTACTTCAACAATATTTCCTACATCATCGGGATTGGTGGTTTTGATAGTGTGGTCTATTGATTTGATTTGTGTGGATAATTGCTGGATTCTTGATTCACGATATTTGGTGATTATTGAATCGTCATTCTCTAACTGAGCAAGCAATTCATCCTCATCTTCGGATTCAACTTCTTCATCTGAGTTTCTCAACTTGTCTAGTTGAGCTTTCAGGTACTTTTCTAATATCTGAGAGTCCTGATGGTTCATTTTAGCTGGTATCTAAGAATAACAGTGTGTATTTTGTTCACTATATTTTTCTTTTTTTTTTAAGTCTCGCGGACGCGTTGGCGATACCACATAGTTAATCTCAGATAAACTTACAGTAATGTATCAAGAATCCCTTTTAATAAAGTGATATTGCTCTTGATAACATTAGATTGATTAGAATTAGGTGTTGTGTTGGCAGCATTAGCTTGAGTCATTATGTCAATAGTTTTTTGAATGTTGACGTTAGCTTGCTGTACTGCAAATAAGATCTTGTTTAATTCATCAAGGACAATTAGTTGATCTTGTTGTTCTTCTTCGGTAGGTGTATGTGGTATTGATACCATTGTAAGAATAACTGTGCTGCCAGTGGTGTTGGGTGTGTGTGGTAGAGGAGAGAGGATTTGAGCCAATGTAGAAGTTGATGGTTTTTTTGTTTACCCTTTTTTTTTTTTTGTCTTGACTTTATTGGGATATATCAATGTATCAGAAATCGGATGCAACTTTGGCAAATCGCTTTCAAAATCTGACATGGTTTACTAGAGAGTATATTTAAACATTGAGATAACACTAAAAAGAACTATAAAGAAAGATTTTTCATATAAAGTTTACTGTGTTTGGAATAATTTTGCTTAGTGTAAATCTATCGATAATTTTTGCAGCAATATTGCAAAATTTCATCAAAATAATTTGTAATGATGATAGAAAGGTAAAAGATTTTTCAAACAAATTAACTGGTATGGGGACTAACTAGCATATAATCTTGTATTAAAACCCAAGCCAAAGTCGCAAATTTGCCTATAAAACAATACTGAGTACTCAACTATTCAAAAAGACTTATAGAATAGTTTGCAATGCACCACAGAAAATCCCATTAACTACAAGATACATCATTCTAAATCCCATTATTTATAAGTATGTAATCTATAAATTCGTTAAAATTGATTGATGTCAAACAGTTAGAATCAGTAAGAACTAGTTCACCTGTCCAACCTATGCTAGATATGCTATGCTAATATGCCAAAGATGACCCATATTCACCCTCTATTTTGCTGCTTCTGTTCTCTCTTTTCAATCTCCCTTTCTTTTATTAAATCGTACAATAACTTTTTCAACTCGTTATTTTCATGAATCAACTCAATCTTGATCCGTTCATTTTCATTAAATTTAGTCAATAAATAGTTAAATTCCTTACATAATTTCAAATATGTAACCTTTAATGTTGTATATAACCCCAACAACTTAGAAGTATCAACCATAGCCTGCTTAATACTAGCAATGGTATTCATATTCACATGTTTGTCCTGCACTACTTCTTCTTCAGGGTAGCTAATTTCTGTATCTAGCGTGACTGGAGAATCAAATTGAGATGATGCTGCTGATGATTCAAGTGGCGATGGTTCGTTATCTAAAGACATAATTGCTCGTTTAATCTCTTCATCTAGTGATAGTCCTTCTATAGTATCTTGCATCAACGAGGATCCATCGTTCAAGAAATCAGGAAATTCATATGTGAGCGCATCAGCCATGGTGTGTATGTGCGTGCGTGTGTGTGTGTATGTATGTATGTGTGTTTGTATGTATGTGTGTATGTACAGGAATAGAATAAGGAAAGCACTACTTGGAATTGGAATGTATTGTGGGTAAGTCAGTCAGTTGGTGTTCGCTATATGTTACTTAAAATGTTGCAGATCAAAATATGTAAACCCTCGAAAAAAAATGGGATGAGATGAGTGCATATTGCGCACAAAAAATACTGCGGCTCAGTCGCTTACGACGCATAACAACAAGAACTGCATTAACGAATACTGTATCCAAATAAATAAATAATTGACGATATATACACACTATGTACAGTAAGGTACTTTTTGTCTAGGGGGAACTGAACATGCAAATGAGGCTGCAAAAAGGAACAACCGTAGTAAAACAAAAACAAAGAAACAAGCAAAACAAAAACAAAACACACTCAATAAATCTAATAGAAGTAAACCATTCCCACCCAATGCAAATAAAAAATAAATAGAATGAACGTAGTAAAAAGTTCCAAACCATGCCAAAATTTCTCTAAATTAAATTAAAAAAGTACTCCTAAAGCTTTGAACCTTGTAAGAATGGCAACTTGGAAACTTCAGTCAATACATTATTAGTATTCTCGAAAACTCCAGATTGTTCCCATTTTTCATTCAAAGTCTTTAAAACACCCTCAAATGCCATCTTACCAACTTTGGCATTCTGGCCAAATCTTTCAACACTCCAATCTTCAATCTTATCACAGATTCTTCCAATGGAAGCAAAGGCGGTGATTTCTGCACTTTGTTCAAATAAGGTTCTTGACTGGGGTAATTCTGGATCTGGTCTATAAACCACAGTTTCATTAACTAATAACAAATTATTCATGGTCAAGTTTGAAGATTTCATAACCAATGTCTTATTATTCAAATCAACTTCGCTAACTTCACGAACATAACTAACAGTAGCCCCACCAACCAAAAATGAAAGCCATTTTGGAATGGATTGCTTACATCCAATTAATCTTTCTGATCGAAGAACATTTGTGGCGGGATTTAATTCTCTCAGAAGAATATCAACTGAGATCACATGGGTAGACATTTCATTAGGATATTTCTGCCAATTTGCAGCAGTGACTTGATCCCATGGGTAATCAAAGTAATGGTCAGACTCAAAAAACTTCATTGTTCACTATAAAACCCCCCAACAAACAGTTGTCTTTATGATATATGTCTTGTGACTGATAAACCAAGATATAATTTGAAAAATTTCACAAGGGAAAACCTTAGTCTTTATAGAAAATTTTTAAGCGCCGAAAAAAAAATAGTCAGAAATTTCTTTTTTACCAAGTAGGCAAACAAAGGCGGCGATAAACCCCATTGCTCGGATTTTTTCGGGTTATCAATTTAATATCTAAGTGGTTGATCACACATTATTAGGCTGCACCCCCAGTTTCGTATGACTTATTCGCTTATATTTAAAAGCCGATGGAACCGTCGGAGTCAGTGTCTGAATCATCACTCGAATCCGAGGTATCAATAATAGGGGAAATGTTTCGCTTGGATCCGCCACCGCCTTCAGCTTGATTGTTTTTCACAACTTTGGTTGGTTGCGAAGCAGAAACTTTAATTTGCTCGTTTAGTTTAACCGCCGGCTCCGTATGTCCAGGCATATCATTTTCACTATTATTGTCATGATCGGAACTCTCGCTATCATTATCGGAACTCTCGCTGCTACTGCTACTCTTGTTTTCTATGTTCTTAGGTTTAGTCTCATTTTCGGTATGCCTTTCATTTGAGCTATCAGAATCAGAATCAGTTTCGCTTTCGCTTTCACTCTCACTCTCACTTTCACTCTCACTCTCACTCTCACTTTCACTATCTGAATCATTAGATAATTTAAACTTTGACTTTGTAGGACTTGATTGCTGTCTAACTGGACTTGATTTTGATTCAATGGTAGTTGATGGGAGTTTGACATCTGACAATGACGGCATCATTCTTCGAATAGGAACAGGCAGTTGTGTCTTTAACGTTTCAGCAACTGTTTTAACTTGGATAAATTGCGGTTGTTTTTTTTCTTTAACCTCTTCAACTTCATCCTCGCTATCACTAGACGACTCTTCACCTGATGATTCTTCACTAGACGATTCTTCTTCACTGGATGACTCACTTGATGAACTGTTGGATTCATTTTCATCAACTTCCATATCATTAGACTTGTCATTTGCATTGGTGGTTGCAGTAGCAGTTTCAATAACTTCTTCTGCAATTGACTCAGTAGAACTAGATTCATCATCATCACTTGATTCATGGGAACTACTACCCAGGCTTTCGTCTTCACTTTCTTCTTGTTTTTGGACTATTTGAATTGGTTGATCCATCACTTGCTCTTCATTAGCATGTTTAATATCCAATGGTAGTTGTTGCTGTGGTCTATCTTCTTTCTGTACTTCCTTTGACAGTTCTTCTTCCAGCTCCTCTTCTGACAGTTCTTCATCAGAATCTTCTTCTGACAGTTCTCCACTTGACTCTTCTTCTTCAGACAGGTTCCTATCAAATAATTTGGCTTGCTTGTAGATTTCCTTCTTCATTTCTGCACGTTCCTCAATTTGTTCAACCTCTAGTTCTTCTATTATGATGTCTTCTATATTAGATTTCTCTATTTCATCTTCCTTTGCTTGTATTTGTTCTATATTGTCTTTTTCCATGTTGTCCTCTTCTATATTCTCTTTCTCAAATATAACTTCTTCCATGTCCATTGGCTCAAGCTCATCTTCTACTTTCTCTGCTTCTTCTTGTTCTTGTTCGACTTTTTCATCTCCTTCGTCTTCATCTCCACCATCCTCTTCCAGTTCAGCGTCTTCTTTATTTTCACGCGATTCTCTATCATGTGGTATGATGTCCGCTTGTTCCTCCCCAACATCTTCTTGCTCTTCTGCATTTTCTTCATCCTCACTATATTCCTCATCTTCTATTGGCACAGGAGAACTCATGCTGACAGGCCTATATACAACAGAATCCGAATCATCACTGTCTACCTCACCAGAAACATCATCCATTTCTATCAGCTTGCTAAAGTTCACCTGCGGTGCTGGTGCCAGAGTTTTATAAAATTGTGATGGATGTATAGTTACAGGTGGTGTAACCAGATTTCTAGTTGATCTTGGTTTAGTGACTGTCACAGGTACATCAACATCAGATTCAACATATTCCGAATGGTTTGCTTCTTCTTCACTAGAACTTTCATATGAATCACTATCATCATCTTCTTCCGAGGAACTACCCGCTTTCTCTATTGACTGTTCCAGTAAAATATTTTTATTTGGAGAAAGGTCCAATGGTTCTGGTGTCGATTGGGCCTGATTAACTATGTTAGACTCAACTCTCAATTGACTTGTTTGTGTAGTCGAGTTATCCCTAGTGGCACCATTTGAATTAGGAGTATACTTAAATCTTTGGATCTTAGAGTCAAATGAATCCTCAACATCTTCATCTTCATCGTCAAATATACTGACAAAGTTCAATTTATCCCGCTGTAATCTTTCCAAAATCTTGGACTTTTTCACAATTCCATTCTCATCTGTCATTGAACATTTTCGCTTAGTTGGTGAAGGAACAGGTGGTGGTAATTCAGATCCTTGAGATTCTTGAGTAGTTGGTGGTGGTAATTCTGGTGCCGGTGATTGTGGAATTGTATTGGAAGGCAATGCTGATTGAGGAGCTGGCGCTTCTTGGTTTGTAATAAGTTGAGGATTTGAAAATACAGATGTCAAGGCTGGTCTAATAATACCTGTATCATCACCTCGTAATTCTTGGTCAATATTGATTCCCGCAGTATATAATCTCATCTGCTCTTCTGTGCAAAAGCTATGGTTAAACTGGGGAAATAATGAGCTGACATGCTCATTAGAATAATCATACGATTGTAACAATTCGTTAAATAATAGTGCAAAAGGATGGTATAAGCCACACTTATCAGAAATTAACATTGGAAAAAGCTTTTGGGTGAAAAATGGAACTATAGAATCCAAATTTGTAGTTGATGGTTGGTCAGGTAATGTCTTGAACTTAGCTAGCTTACCAATGATGTAATATACATTTTCAATTCGGTAATGATAATCAAGGATTGGAGCTTCACTGGGTGTTTCATTATCAAGAGTGAACTTGTTGTTATTAAATATAATCCTTTCAACAGTAGGCTGACAATTGAAAGAAGAACCAGGAAGAAATCCAGACAATTGGATGTTCAACTGGTGGAACTGGTTAATTACAGGATCATGCAATAACTGGTCTCTGATATTGTTGTACTGGTACAACAAACTAGGAATAGCTATACTTGTTGCACCAACGACACTCTTGGTTAATTGCTGATATATCCAATCTTTCGCTCCAAACTCATCAGGAAATCTCAAATATTCTTGTGTATAGAATTTGTCAAACATCGTATCGACGTAAAATATCTCAATATTGGTGAATTCAAGTTTTGCCAATCGGCAATTGTTAGGACATATGATTAACACTTTTCGTTGTTGTAATTGAAACTCAAAATTCATTCGTAACAAATATATGTAAAATTGATAAGGATTAAACATACCAGTGGGAAAATAGTTGAACAGATTGGAATAGCTACTAGAAACAACATACGGGTCTAGGAACTCGGTCCCGGTCAAGTTCCCAATCACGGATATTGAGGCAATATCATCACCGATTGGTAAATTCAATTCGCTGACATAAAAGGTATTGTTCCACGTGTATTGTTCGAATTTCCCATATAGTTTACTCAACTGTTCTTCTAAATTTGAACACGTATCACAATGATAATGAACATACAATAGATCAACAAATGCAAGGACCAGGGCTGGATCAAATTCAGGTAAATCATCTTGGAATACCTGTTGGAAATGCTCGATTAAATTAAGGACTTTGTCTAGATCACAGCCAGGGTTATAAAGCTTGACCAAATATTCAATCAACAGATGATAATTCACTTGATTTACCGCGTTTTTCCGTATTATGTCTTGACTGTTGATGATGGACTTGAGACTCTCTAGAGTTAGTTGAGGAATTACGGAATGAAAATAGTTCCAAGTGGTGATTAATGTATGGTCCAATGATACACATTGATGATAGTTATGATAGTCCAATATAACCAACTTCAAATCATCATCAATATTAAACATTCTGACGTGGTGATTGATGATCCATGGGATGATCTGGCAGCCAAAATTGTTACTAATTTTTTTTAAACCGTGTGCGAGACATTGTTGATGCGGTCGTGTGGATCAACCCAAAAAAATGTCTATGGTGATGAGCACTGGTGGAAAAAAATAAGAGCAAGGAATTTTTTTTTTTTGCAGCAATTTCTTGAGGTGATATATTACCCAGGGGTACTAACCTCACACTTATTGACAGCTAGGACCAGCAAGATTTAAGGGGCAATAATTGAATGGTTTTGATGATACCCATTACAATGTGTTTGAATAGCATTAATTTTACTTAAAAAAATGATAGATTTGAACAAAGTAATCCTGATTGTTATTAGCTCCAGGAAATTCGAGATGCGAACTAAGACATACAAAAGTTGAAACTTATTGGTATTTTCCAACAGTAAACAAGATGTATACATCGAGAACAAACTAGCCACAACTACTGGATGTCTCATAGTATGATATAAAAAGGGATCGCCGAGGAGTAAAAGGGGATAAACAAGATTCTCTTCCCCTGAGCTCAAGGACACCCCTTGTTTCGTTTGACAGTTGCAGAACTTGGGCTCAGTAACTCACAAACAAGAAAAAAAAAATCATTTCTAAATATAATAACAATGATATTCAAAAGTCATCCAACCTTTGGTTTTAGAAAGGATGGGAATTAATAAATGTAATTTGTTGCCACAGGTAATTGCACACAAACAACCAAACACCTTTCATGCATCTATAGATGTTTTTAACCTTGTTGTAACTGTGAAATCGCTATGTGCTTTAAAATTAGCGATCTTTTTATAATAATTTCCTGATTATTTTTTTCCCCGTATTTCTCACTTTATTTTTTATTTCGTAATGACCATCGCACAGATACGCAGCCGCGAGAGCAGAATCGAGTTTCCACGCTCAAGAAGGTATATTGTCGTATGCGTAATTCATTTCACATCGCAATAGCATAAAATTACAATAGCAATAGTGTACCTTCTACCTTATTACAGTTTGAATGATTTTTTTTTTTACATTATTTTAAAAAAAATTCTTTCCCCCCTAACTCATGATCCTATGTTAAGAATATATAACATGAAATTCCCTATTATAAATATGTTGCACTCTAACCTCTTTTCTAGCTGAAGCTGTCAGTAAATACACAATTCAATGTTGAAAACTTTGTCAAATAGAAAATACTTCAAAACGATACTATTTATTCTCTGTTCAAATACTATAGGTATTTCGCTTTATTATAGTTTCTACTCGGCAAATCTATATTACAAAGAAAACGATATCAATTATAATAGTGCATTGCTCCAGACATCATTTACAGAAACAGAAACAAGTCAGAAACTAAAATCATTACTCTCAAAGTTCAAATCACCGACCGTGACACTGGAGATAACAATCTCCAGCGATTATTTTGAAACGGATCAAATTGTGCAAGATCCTCGAGTTATATTTTCCCTTACTTTGAATTGGTTATATCACCAAATAAAGGTTGATCCGGAGAACGTATCCTTCCCATTTAATTGGGCAGATTGGGTAGACTTGACCTATTTGAATCATCAATTATCTAAACCGCAGAATAAACGAATAAAATGTCAGGACTTGATTCAGCATTTACAAATTAGGAGAGATGAACATAAAAGAAGTGCCAGAAAAAACCCCATGTTCTTTGGATGCAAAAATACTCATGAATTAACTAAACTAGAAATTGAAGAAATGGGATTAGCTAATTTGGATAAATTACCAGGATTCTTCCAATTTGAGGCAACCGAGATTAGATCATCGGAGTTTATACGTGTGTTACAAGGGAAAACTTATATCTTGGGTAGAATGCCACCACCAGTGCAAGTAATGTTCCTCAATGATGATGGGGATGATTTACTTTTCCAAGTTGATAAGAAAATGAAAGGAAAAGAGTTATTGCAATTATACATCACCAACAACAAACTCAATGATATTGAGGAGATAACTCTCGACACTGTAACGGAATTCAAACAACTTCGAGATTTGCTAGGTGTGAATTCCACCCAGAACCATTACATTCCAGAAAAAATTGTTCAAATGGATCCATCATGGTTTCACTATAATGCATATAACGTGAGCACGGAGATTAAAACTTTAAACTCACAAGATCAATTGACTCCTATTGAACAAAGGTATTTGAATTCATTAATTGCTTCAAAGCGGACAAGTGGAACCACGAGCCAAAGAGAACCAACATATTTTAAGATTGCAACTTTAACAAGAACTCCAAAGAACCAGGATAGCGGTTGGCATTATGACTGGAGGTTTATTAATGGGAAATGGAGAGATCGCTATAGGCATTCAATTATTTTGGAAAGGTTATTGAGAAATTGGTTCAAGTTTTGCCAGAAATATGGAATTATCAGTTGGATAAACTATGGCTCACTTCTAGGGTGGTACCGAAATGGTGCAATATACCCGTTTGATCTTGATATTGACATCCAAATGTCTATATATCATATGACCATCTTAGGCAAAAAATTCAATCAAACTTTGGTAGTGGAAGATTTACGTGAAGGTACGGGGAAGTACTTGATTGATGTTGGAACCTTTATACACAACAGATACATTACAAAAAATGCCAACCATATCGATGCAAGATTCTTAGATGTCGATAGTGGGTTGTACATAGATCTTACTGCCTTAGCAATCAGTAAAGAATCTTCAAAAATTGACCCTAAATTCTTCAAGGACATCTGTGATGATCCAGCCGAGGGACCTGTTTTGGATAATGATGATGACAAGGAAATCTACAATGATAGAAATAATTGGATGTATAAATTCAGCCATTTATCTCCATTGAGACTAACAATGTTTGAAGGTATACCTTGCTATGTTCCTAAACAAATTGTTAAAAGAATGAAATTTCAGTACCCTTGTGGAACATTGAACAACTTTGAATTCGATCATTGGTATTACGTAGAGCAGGCTGGGACCTGGATCCATGAAAAAGAATTGCTCCCTGTTTTAGACACCGGTAAAGCCATGAAAGATAGAAAATTAAATAAAAATAATGTTAAAAAACAACTTGACAATTTAACCGACGTGCAGCTTTATTTACTTTTGTGTAATGATCAAGCAACATTGGCTAACTATCAATTGGCCCAACGTTACTTTGGATTCCATATCGAGGAGCTGAAGTTTCTTTTTACAATAGACCCTAATTTGAACAAGAACAAAAATGATCTTCTCCAAGGAAAGGTATTAGACGCTAGTCCTGAGGATAATCCCGAATATCTTAAACTCGTTGAAAGCAATGTATGGTTGAGAACTCCCCATAGGGAATCATTAGCCGAGTATGAAAAGGTCAACGGGAAATTGTCGGACTATAACGAGCTAGCGTTTAGTCAGTTAGAACAAGTAGTTGTTTCTAAAAATAATTAGTGTTGTTATTTGTATTTCTAGTCTACCAAGGTTTGTGTGATATTATTTAACCATTTGATTTCATTTCTCATTTTACAATGCCTGAGCGCGCCTGACAACAACAATGGCAAATTTTATAACAAAGAGCCTATAAAATTGCATTTAATCATTCTCTCTTGGCAAAAGTGTTCCTGGACTAGTGCGAAAAATGATTTCATATTGAAATCCTTGAGAGACTCAAGGGTACATGAAAATCGTAAGAGCGGTTTCAAGGGAACATCTAATAAGCATTATTTGTATACTTTTTATAGTTGATTTTCAGCAATATTATGAGCAAGTAATAAGAAAGTAGCTGCAAAACTTCGAGGCTTAAATTACAGCTAGAATTAGATTTAGCATTTTTCCGAACCAGGATTCTTAATTAGTGTAGTAAGGTTAGGTATACCTTTTAACTCATGCATGAAAATAAAATTTTGTCACACCAGCAAGCTAGTATAGCAGCCAGCTACCGCAGCATACAGCTATCTCTTGACAACAAGACTGGCCAATTGAAGCAAAATATAAAGTGTGGCCAATCAAGAATTTCTACACTTTAATGCGATAATGAACAATGAGACTCTTCAATTTACAAAGCATTGCTTGGCGTAAGAAGGGTTTGTTTCTTTTAATTTGCTGGGATTTATTTTTTTACGAGTTTCTTTTTTTGAAGTTGTCATCTGAAATATGCAAGGTGTCACACGAGCTACAAGTAAAAAATAATAAATTTTTTTTGCATTGTCTCGAAGATCTGTACTCAGTTCCGAGTATTGGTACCGCGTCATTGGAATCGTTTAAATATTTATTGATTCCCGGGAAAATTGTAAATAATGTAATATGTAATATTCGTCTTCTTCTGGAGTACTTTCTGAATCTTTTTCAGTTGTAATTTTTAGGCTGTTTTTATGAGGTTCTTATACAGGCTATAATTATGTTCAAGAATATGAATATAAACAAGTTATTCAAGATTATACCAATCGTTCTATGTATAAATACCATTGGTATTTTGTTATATTACAATTCACACCTACGCCACATAGCAAATAATCTCGATTATGTTAATGCTTTGCCTCAAACAGGTTTTACGAGTCCTGAAATCACCAAGAAATTAAAGTCAATACTTTCATTCAAGCCACATAAAGTTACTCTGGAAGTAACTATTCCTACCGACTATTTTGAAACCGAGGAGTTGGTTCAAGACCCTCGTGTTACATTTGCCATTACTTTAAATTGGATATACCACCAAATAAAGGTTGATCCAGAAAATGTATCCTTCCCATTTAATTGGGCAGATTGGGTGGATTTGACTTATTTGAATCACCAAATATCCAAACCAGTAAATGAAAAGATCAAATGTTCAGACTTAATTGAACACATTCATTTTAACACTCCTGATGATAAAGCTAAATCGATTGCAGATCCCATGTTTTTTGGATGTAAAAATACGCAAGATTTAACGGAAAAAGAAATGGAAGAAATGGGTTTAACCAATTTAGATAGAATGCCCGGATTTTTCCAATTTTATCACACTGTTTTCAAGCCTAGCGAATTTATTCGTATGCTTCAAGGTAAAACCTATTTGTTATCAAAGATGCCCCTTCCCCACCAAGTAATATTCCTTAATGACGCTGGTGATGATTTGACATTTCAGGTGGACGGAAAAACTACTGCACGTGAATTATTGAAAACATACATCACCAACAACAGCCTTGAGAAAAACAAAATTATTACCCTTGATCCTATAAAAGAATTTCAACAGCTTCTAGATTTACAAGGTGCAAATACTTATGAAAACTTATACGATGCTGACAAAATATACCACATGAGCCGATCATGGTTTCATTATGGTTCTGATAATGTAACCAATCAGATTGAAAGATTAACATCACAAGAGGAACTAACACCAATTGAAAGAGGGTACTTAACCTCACTCATTATTTCAAAAGAAGCAAGTGAGAAAAAACCACACAATGAGCCAATGTTTTTTAACACGGGCACTTTTAGGAAAACAAGTATGAACAACGATGACGGAGGGCACTATGATTGGAGATTCATTAATGGTAGGTGGAGAGACCGTTATAGACATGCAATTCTCTTAGAAAGACTATTGAGAAGTTGGTTCAAATTCTGCCAAAAGAATGGAATTGTAAGTTGGATAAATTTCGGATCTCTCTTGGGGTGGTATAGAAATGGAGCTATATACCCCTTTGATCTTGATATGGATATTCAAATGTCCATGTATCATATGACTATATTGGGGAAAAAGTTCAATCAAACTTTGGTGGTTGAAGATTTGCATGAAGGCACAGGGAAATATTTCATAGAAGTTGGAACATTTATACATAACAGAAATAAGATTGGAAGATACCTTAACCATATTGATGCTAGATTAATAGACGCTGATAGTGGATTATACATCGACCTCACAGCATTGGCAACAGAGACAAAATATTCAGATGTTCATCCTAAATTTTTCAAGGATATCTGTGATGATCGGGTTGAAGGACCTGTTTTAGAAGATGATGGTGACACTGAAGTTTACAACGATAGAAATGATTGGGTTTATAAATTTGGTAACCTTTCCCCCTTACGTTTAACATTCTTTGAAGGAGTTCCCTTTTATGTACCAAAGCAGATTGTAAAAAGAATGAAATTTCAGTATCCCTGTGGCACATTAAATAACTTTGAATTTAAGCAATGGTACTACATAGAGCAGGTGGGAACGTGGATTCACGAGAAGGAATTGTTTGCTGTGTTAAATGTAGCAGAAATAAAGAAAAAAGGAAAAATAAATATAGACAAGGTTAAAAAGCAGGTTGAGAATTTAACTGATGAGCAGCTTTATACCCTTATATCCAATGATCCAGCAACATTGTCCAATTACCAGTTAGCCAGACGCACATCTGGGTTCCACACTAAAGAACACCAATATCTCTTTACAATTGATCCTGAGTTGCACAAGGGTATAAATGACCCACCAGAAGGAAAAGTCTTGGATGCAAGTCCAGAAGAAAATCCCGAATATCTTAAACTTATTGAAGACAATGTATGGCTAAGAGCTCCACACAGAGAATCAATTTTTGAATATGAGAGAGTCAAGGGTATGTACTCAGAATTCAATGAACTTGCATTGAAAGAATTGGATAAAATAGCTGTTTCCAAGTCTAGTAGTTAATACCAGCCTTTTTGATTTTAAAGTTTTTTTTTTTGCTTGTATATATTTTCTTTTTATAATGGACAATTATGCACACTAGCAAAACGATAATTTAAAAATTTAATTCTTAGGTTTTGACTATAGTTTCTTGGCGAAGGTATCCCTGGGTAATGAAGGCAATCCTCCAGGCTAAAATTCCTGATTTTGGAAAAGGGATGTTTTATTAAATATCAAGGTGTTCATATGGTATTTCCGAGATGTTTTCCAAAAGATATTCGAGGCAAGAAGTGAATGAATAACTAAGTTTACTTGGAAATTTGCATACTTTTTTTTTTACTTTTGCATCATCTCAATGTAACCTCAAATGTGTCAGCTTATAATGTTTGTATTATATATAAGAATTACAATGTTTCGTATTGCCATTGTTTTTCTTTAAGGTACTAGCATTATAGAATCAAAGACAGACTTTGTTCACTCCTTGTGGCGCCATTTAGGGGAAAACACCAATAATCATAATATACAAACCACACTAAGTCGATAACCCCAACAAACTATAAAACCCCTTCCATATTTCGTAATTCATAATTTTATTCCCTTAAACATTCTGTGATAATAGTTGGAGATATAGTTGGTCATGTTAAATAGTTCCTACGAAAGAAAGTTATTGAGGATAATACCAATAATTCTCTCAATAAATACTATAGGTACTTGGTTGTATTACAGGTTTAACCAATCAAGTTCTCTGACAATATTTTTCAAAGATATTTCTAGTTTGCCACAGGTATCGTTTACTAATTCAAACATAAATCGGAAACTAAAGTCCTTACACTCAAAATTCAAACTGCCAACATTTACTCTGGAAATAACCATTCCCACTACCTATTTTGAAACTAGTTATTTGATTCATGATCCCCGAGTAACTATATCCCTCACATTAAATTTGTTATATCATCAAATAGAGAACAACCCAGAGAATGTTTCATTCCCATTTAATTGGGCTGACTGGGTTGACTTGACATATTTGAATCACCAAATTTCCAAGCCGGAAAATAAAAGGATAAAATGTTCAGATTTGGTTGAACATATGGCGTTCAAAAATACTAGGGATAAATTAAAAGCAAAAGAAGATTCCATGCTCTTCGGGTGCAAAAATTCTTATGATTTAACAAAACGAGAAATTCAAGAAATGGGATTTACCGATTTAGACAAAATGCCTGGGTTTTTCCAATTCCAGCATTCACCTCGACATACTAATGAGTTTATTCGTGTGTTGCAAGGAAAAACGTACTTATTAGGAAGAATGCCACTACCCTTTCAAGTGATATTCCTAAATGATCATGGCAAAGATCTCAAATTTACAGTTGATCTGAAAATGAACGGGAGACAAATAATGGAGAAATACATTAGTAACAACAATCTCAAGCACAAGAAGAAACTAACATTGGATCCTGCAAAAGAATTTGACAAGCTTCGTGTACTACTAAAATCAGATACGCTTAAAAAGGTATATAAAACGAGAAAAATTGTTCGTATGAACAGATCCTGGTTTCACTACGAGCCAGATGATGTGAATAAAGAATTTAAAAAGCTAGAATCAAAACAGCAACTAACTCCTGTTGAAAGAGGATATTTAAATTCAATTATTGCCTCGAGGAAAACAAGTAATTCAAAGAACCGAAGAGAACCAATGTATTTCAAGGGTGCCAATTTGATACGAGGAAAAGCTAATAAAGATGATGGCAACCACTATGAATGGAGATTCTTTAATGGGAAATGGAGGGATCGCTATAGACATTCTCTTCTTTTGGAAAGAATATTGAGAAATTGGTTCAAGTTTTGCCAGAAATATGGTATTATTAGTTGGATAAACTATGGATCTCTTTTGGGGTGGTATCGAAATGGAGCTATATACCCCTTTGATCTTGATCTTGATATGCAAATGTCTATGTATCATATGACTATATTGGGGAAAAAATTCAATCAAACTTTGGTGGTTGAAGATTTGCATGAAGGCACAGGGAAATATTTAATAGACGTTGGAACATTTATACATAACAGATACAAAATTGGAGTATTCCTTAACCATATTGATGCCAGATTCATAGACGTTGATAGTGGATTATACATTGATCTCACAGCATTGGCCAGCACTAAGAAATATTCAGATGTTCATCCTAAATTTTTCAAGGATATCTGCGATGATCCTGTTGAAGGACCTGTTTTAGAAGATGATGGTGAAATTGAAGTTTACAACGATAGAAATGACTGGGTTCATAAATATAACAATATTTCGCCATTGCGTTTATCGATGTTAGAAGGAGTTCCAGTTTATATACCAAAACAGATTGTAAAAAGAATGAAATTTCAGTATCCTTGTGGAACATTAAATAACTTTGAATTTAGGGATTGGTATTATGTGGAGCAAGCTGGAACATGGATTCATGAAAAAGAATTGTTGGCTGTATTAGACAAGCTGAAAGCTATCCAAAATGGCTCTGTGGATAAATCAAATATTAAAAATCAGATTAAGAATTTAACTGACGAACAGCTTTATAAACTTTTGTCAAATGACGAAGCAACCTTATCTAACTATGAATTGGCAAGACGTAACTTTGGTTTCCATGCTAAAGAAATACAATATCTTTTCAATATCGATGCCAAGTTGAACAGAAATAAAAATGACCCACCTGAAGGAAAAGTCTTGGACGCAAGCCCAGAAGGGAATCACGAATATCTAAGACTTATTGTCGATAATGTATTGTTGAAAGCCCCTCACAGAGATTCTATTTGCGAATATGACAGGGTCAAAGGAAAATTTGCCGATTTTCATACAATTGCATCCAGAGAGTTGGATAAAATAGATGTTTCAGACCAGGAATAAGTAGTCGGGTAATTTATAACCATAGATATGTAATAGTTCTGGAAATCTAATGAATTCTGTGCCTAGAACATTAGAGTTCTATAAGTCGATCCTTGTATTTTTCTTGAATGCTTGATTCTGCCTTGCAAGATTTCCAATCTTATAATAGAAAGGCAGGTTCATGCTTCCTTGGCGGGTTACTTTTTTGCTGTATGCAACGTTGCTTAATTTCGGAGAAGAACAATTCCTTGGAACTGTTAGCGGTAAATTTTAAAGAAAATTTAAGAATAATACGAGTTTCGATTTTTCATTCTTCGGAACATTATTTGATTGAGAATACTTGTTGAAAAAGTGTCTAAAGGCTAAATTCTCTTGCTGGATTTGGGTATCTAAACAGAAAAGAATATTTTTCTTGGTGTATGTATGGGGGTATTGAAAACTCTTGGCGAGTAGGTGCGTATCTAAGCATAAATTAGACGATGTACATCGCCTGATCTGCAACCCATTGCCGTCTGCGTAAATAGAAATTAAGTTTGCAAACAGATTTTAAATACTATCCATAAACTATTATTCAAAGAGTTTAAATTATCAAGTACGTTTAAATATCCAAGAGATTATAGATTGGGGGAAAATCGTAGTTTTGGAATAATTTTCGTGATGTTTTTTTTTTTTGCCGCTATTATTATTTTTAGTTCAATTTTGTGTTTATATTTTTAAATGATTTATTTTTTTTTTTGGTTTATATATTTTTTATGTATATTGTGCAAAATGCGAATCCAAATTAGTATGTAGTCGCAAGATTTTAAGTTACTGGAGATTTTTCCTACAGGTATACCTTAATATAACAAAATTTTTTTGAATTATTGTGTGTCCACTTTGATTTGTGAGGTGATGATTCGATTCGGCATATATAAACAGTATTTTACGTCTATTAGCAACTTTTTTCTTTTTATATCTATTATTAACTATTTTGCTAATCTTTATATTCCACAAGTTTGAAAAAGTTAATGACTCTAAGCAGCCTGTACTTTGATTAATATTGATACATTAACATGTCTAAGAATATCTCTATTTTAATAGGTACAAGCAAATTTTACAAGCCAATTTTGTTTATTCTATTATTGAATACATTGGTTATTTCGATATATTCCAGCTTGCGTCTGCGAGATCTATATGCAAAGGAAATTTATCTCAATGATATAAGCACATTGCCTCAAGTATCATTTACAAACTCGGAGATAAGTCAAAAATTAATGTCCCTACTAGCCAAATTCAGAGCTCCAACTGTGACTCTGGAAATAACAGTTCCTACCAACTATTTTGATACAGATGAAATCGTTCAAGACCCTCGTATTATATTGTCTATCACTTTGAATTGGATGTACCACCAAATAAAAGTTGATCAAAAAAATATATCTTTTCCTTTCAATTGGGCAGATTGGGTGGATTTGACTTATTTGAATCACCAAATATCGAAGCCAGAGAATGAAAGGATAAAATGTTTAGACTTAATTGAACACATTCATTTTAATACTCCTGATGATAAAGCTAAATCAATTGCAGATCCCATGTTTTTTGGATGTAAAAATGCCCATGATTTAACAAAACGGGAAATGAAAGCATTAGGATTGTCAGATTTAGATAAAATGCCTGGCTTTTTCCAATTTGAGCATACGGCATTTAAATCTAGTGAATTTATTCGTTTATTACAAGGAAAAACCTATTTACTATCAAAGATGCCTATCCCCTACCAAGTAATATTTCTCAATGATAATGGAAACGATTTGATTTTCAAAGTAGATTCAAAGATGAATGGTTCTGAATTAATGAAGAAATATATCACAAACAACAACCTCGGAAAGCAAAAGGATGTTACCCTTGATACCATTCAGGAATTCAAGCAAATACGGAGTTTGCTAGATGTAGATACTAACGAAAAGATGTACAATGCTAAGAAGATTCTTCGAATGAACAAAACCTGGTTTCATTATGGGCCAGATGATGTCAAAAATGAAATCACAAAATTAAGTACAAGACCTAGCTTAACTCCAGTTGAACAAGGGTACTTATACTCTTTGATAACCTCGAAAGCTGCAAGTGAAACACCTAGACAAAGAGAGTTAACTTATTTTCAACTTGCAACATTAATAACGGATGACACTAACAAAGACGATGGATGGCATTATGATTGGAGATTCATTAATGGCAAGTGGAGGGACCGTTATAGACATGCACTTCTCTTAGAAAGACTCTTACGAAATTGGTTCAAATTCTGCCAGAAGAATGGAATTGTAAGTTGGATAAATTTCGGATCTCTCTTGGGGTGGTATAGAAATGGGGCTATATACCCCTTTGATCTTGATATGGACATCCAAATGCCAATTCATCATATGACTATTCTTGGAAGGCAGTTTAATCAAACTTTGGTGGTTGAAGATTTACGGGAGGGTACAGGTAAATATTTGATAGATGTGGGGACATATATCCACAATAGGTACACAACGCGTGATTACAACCACATTGATGCAAGATTCATAGATGTTGACAGTGGCTTGTATATTGATCTTACCGCATTATCAACTAGTAAGGTCACTTTGAACATTAAGCCTAAGTTTTTTAAGGATATATGTGATGATCGGGTCGAAGGACCCATTTTACAGAAGGATGGCGAAACTGAACTTTACAACGATAGACACAATTGGGTTTACAAGTTTAGTGATCTTTCTCCATTACGGTTATCGTTGTTTGAAGGAATCCCTTTTCATGTACCAAAACAGATTGTCAAGAGAATGAAATTTCAATATCGATGTGGAACCTTGAACAATTTTGAGTTTAAACACTGGTACTATGTCAATCAAGTTGGAACGTGGATTCACGAGAAAGAATTACTTGCCGTATTAGACGTTAAGAATTACATAGAAGATGGGAAAGTGAATAAACATAAGGTTAAAAAGCAGGTTGAGAATTTAACTGATGAGCAGCTTTATACCATTATATCCAATGATCCAGCTACATTGTCCAACTACCAGTTAGCTAGACGTAACTTTGCCTTCCATACCAAAGAACACCAATTCCTTTTCAAAATTGACCCTAAATTACACAAGAATGCAAATGACCCACCAGAAGGAAAAGTCTTGGATGCAAGTCCAGAAGAAAATCCCGAATATATTAAACTTATTGAAGACAATGTATGGCTAAGAGCTCCCCATAGAGAATCTATTTGTCAGTTCGATAAGGTGAAAGGAAAATTGATAGAATATAACCAACTTGCATTTAGAGAGTTGGACCAAATAACAGTTTCTCAAGAAATTTAGGACTCAAAATAGAGGTTTTTTTGCATTTAGAAGCTTATTCTGATGAATATTTGATTTGGTATTTAATTTTCTTGTTAATAAAACTAGCATAATTTCTTTTAATTCATTTTATCTTTTTTTTTTTTGATATTGAAGTCCGACATTTTTTTTTTTTTTGCAACCTAATTACTAAATGTATTTGTGGTTCACAATTTTATTCTTTTTATTGCTAACTATATACTATCAGATGGAATGATCTCAATGAAATTTGATTATAAGGAAGAGGAATCTACGAAAGAACGTCTCTTACCTACTTACAAGAGACCATTTGACAATGTCAAAAATTTCTTTGACTTACATTCAAATGCAACAGAATCGCTCATGAATTCTCCAACTTCTGCCACATCTAGTCAAGCCCATACAAATCATACTTCCACATCAGTAACCAGTTGTGAAATTAGTCAGGATATTTTAAAATTAGAAGTTTATGAGAGAAAGTCTTTACAACTGTTTGATTTGAGTTCATGGTGCTCGTTCAGTGTTGATTTTGATTCACTCAGTTTAGAGTTTGAGACAGAGTTGGTCGATGCAGTTCCACATGAAGTGGAACTGGAGATGAATTTTGAATCAATCAAAGAACAAAATCCCGAAATGATATCCAGAGTTGTTACTGAAGAAGAATTCGAATCCATAACTGACAGTGAATCCATAATGGAATCCTTGAAAGAAAATACCTTAATGGAGAAGTTGATGAGTTTGTTTAAATCAAAAATAAGTAAGGATTCATCTACTATTCAGATTCCCATTCATAAACAATTGTCTACAATGTTGAAGAAGCCTTTATTAGGTCCAGGGAGGTCTGCTACCAGCGGACCCATTGATCTTTCAATGTTCCAAACACCATCCGAGGAATCTACCATCTATGAAGGGAATATCAGGTTTAAAAGAGAAGCAGAATTTATAATTTATGAGAGATCTCCATCTATTACTTCTGAACAGGAAACTAAAGGCAACAAATACCCCGGATTAACAAGATTCAACTTGTCTCGGCCTAAACGAAAGCTTTCCTGTTTTACAAAGACATTTACAATCCCTCGATTTTCACCAAGAAAAGAGTTTATGGAACGTTCACTTTCATTACCTAAAAGATTTGGATGGAGTTCAGCTAACTTTAGTCCCAAGTCTGATAATAAATCTATTCTTAAATCGAAGATCAATAGAAATTATGAAATGGAAACAGTACAAAGTCTTAAAGAAGAAGCTGTGGATTTTCAACATTTCTGGGAAAACTTTGAGAACATGGAGCATGAGAAATCTGCAAAAGAAGAAACTTTGAGTTCAATTCGTGTCGAACAAGTGCAAAATTATTATCATAATTACAATTAGGTTGTATAGCATAAATGAAAATATGGCTAGTTTCTATTGTATGGGGTTTCATTTTTTGTTGTATTTTTCCGAGAATTAAATTTCCCCATTTGGAAGTGATCCCACTATTCCTTCCCCCAAAATTTTTTTGCGCCATGGGGCCATTGTCTACTCGACCTACATTACTCATCAACGACCTTCGAAATTAAACCCCCCCCCCCCCCCCCCCCCGAACCATGGGGTGCTCCAGGTGTACGATCTATATAAATTGACACACATTCCCTCTTTCAATTCCCAGTTATTTCCCTTATCAATAGAAAAAAAAAAATGTCTACTGTTTTCGTTTCTGGTGCTAGTGGTTTTATTGCCCTGCATACTGTCCAACAATTATTAGATCAAGGATATACTGTCATTGGTTCTGTTAGATCAGAATCCAAAGGAGAAGCATTGGTCAAGGCTTTAAAGGGTAACAAGAAATTTAGCTATGTTATTGTTTCTAACATTGCCGATGCTGGGGCTTTCGATGAAGTTTTGAAATCTCACCCTGAAATCTCTGCTTTCTTACACATTGCCTCCCCATTCAGAATGAATGTCACTGATCCAGAAAAGGAAACTTTGATTCCTGCTATTCAAGGTACCAAGAATGTATTAGAATCTATCCAAAAATATGCTCCTCAAATCACCAGAGTTGTTATCACTTCTTCTGATTGTGCTGCTAGAGAAAATGACGACAGAAATCCAAGTATCACTCTTGACGAATCTGTATGGAGCAAAGCTACTTATGAATCATCCAAAGATCATCCAGTTTTAGCTTACTTGGGTTCTAAACCACTTGCTGAAAAATTGGCTTGGGATTTCGTCAAGACCGAAAAGCCAAAGTTTGAATTGGTTACTGTGTTACCAAGTTACACTTTTGGTCCTCAAATTGACGATTCCTTGATAAGCCCTACATTGAATCAATCTTCCCAAGTTCTTGAAACTATGTTGTACCTGAACCCAGATTCTAAGTTGCAACACCATACTGGTAGTTTTATTGATGTTAGAGATGCCGCAAGAGCTCATCTTGTTGCTTTAACTAGCAAGGAAGCTCCTAATCATAGATTAATTTTATCATCATCCAGATTCACTTCTCAAAGTGTTTACGATATCTTGTCTAAGAAATATCCACAATTAAATACTTACAAAGGGGAACCAGAAAGTGACGTTGCAGAAATTGCAACTTTCCAAAAATTAGACTATTCCAAGACTAAGCAAATTCTTGGTTTCGAATATATTCCATTACAAAAGACTGTTGTTGATACTGTTGATCAGATATTACGTGTTAGAGCTTAGGTTATATAGAGATAAAATAAAGCCTTTGATAATCGTTAATGTACAATTTTATTGTAATTGTCACCTAATTCCTGTTTGAGTAAATATTGCTTTATGTCAAGCCCCCAGCGATAACCAGTTATCTTACCATTTTTCGCAAGAGCCCGGTGACAAGGAATAACCAAGGAAATCTTGTTTGCACCACAACAATTACCTACTACCCGACTTGAATTTGGAATATTTAATGATTCAGCTATTTCTTTATATTGCATAGTAGTCCCAGTAGGTATCTGCAACAACTTATCCCAAACCTTTTTCTGTAGGGCCGTACCAAAGATAATTCTAGTGCGAATATTAAGATTATTCAAAGTTCTTGGATCATCCATTCCTTTTCTAAAACCATCAATTGTCTTTTGAATTTGTTCGTTTGAAGGTATGGTTGATAATGATTTTAGGTTGTATTCCTTTAGCGATTTAAAGTCCTTAACTAATTCCTCTCGTAACACGTTTGGGTGTTTTCCTAAAGACGCGTAGCACAACAACCCGTGGTCATCCAAGACCAATAATGCTTTATATGGAGTAGATGTTTGAATCACAGTATAATATAAGTATGCCATTGATGTATTTTTACTTCATGATCAATAAATAATATACAATTTGCTTACTAAGTTGAATTTATAGACAAACAAAAATTTGAGAGCAATATTCTTTACAATATAAAAGTATTTTTTTTTCCAATCTAGTTTGCAACTATATACAATTATCAATTAGTTAACTGGAAAATTTCTAAAGATTTAGGTCATCTTTAATGGCCACAAGCTGTGACCACAGAATTCTGGCCTGCTAAAGGTTGTCTATAGGCAAAGATCAATTTACCAAACAAGGCTCCCAACAAACAAGAAATAATAATATACCCATTGTAATACATGAAGAGTAACATGATAATATAAGCCAATCCCCATTCAATAACAAACAATATACACCTAATAAGATGTTCGAATGGAGTTGCCACTACTCCTGGAGCAGGGTTAAAGAACCATTCATGGGATAAGGCATATAAGTAAGGATTTGGACCTGGTGATATATCAGCGGTTTTCCCACCATCTGAATCATCACAATTACAGTCGATAATTGGTCTATTACGTCTGACAATTGCAGCATCAAATTCTTGAGAAAATCTGTGTAACCATTGACCAGAAACAACTAAAAGGAAAGCCCCAATACAAGAACCAGCAAATTGACCTTTGGTACTCACATGCCACGATCTTGCTAAGAAACAAGCGTCAATAGTATACCAATTCCAAAGCATGGAAATCTTACATGCATGAGGATCAGCAGCTCCGTGTCCCATATTCATTTTTTTTTTGGCGTGAGTTGATTTATTATATTGGTAAGAGGGAAGGGTTTAGTGTTTAATAACAATTATAAATCTGAATTAATCAATATGATCAAGGATATCGTCCTATTTATAGACTGTTTTTATATTAATAATAGAAAACGGATCAAAAATAAGATCACCATGAGCAAATTATAAACTACACCATACTATTAGTTCGCCTTGCAATGCGAGCAAATATAATTTATCCGTAACAGGAATCGGAATGCTAGATTTATACTTTGAGCATTGAAAAGTTTATTCTTGGCATAAACTTTTTCTATCTGATCAATTGATGCCATTTGTCCTAGATCACAATACAGCTCGGCGGGGTCTGCTTGAGCAATATACCATACGGTTAAACCTTTATATTTGCTGTTATTACACTGGTAACCATGGCAATTGTCTCCCCTTGTTAACTTTTCAAACACAAATTCAAAATTGACTAGTAGATCGCCCTTGGGTCAATCACCCCATATCGTTCCAAATCAGGTAACTGGAAACTTGCTCGATAGGGAACAAAAAAAAAAATTTATGGGGGTGGGGGGCTGACTGGGCTGATATGCAGGCATAACCCCTTAAGCTTTGATAAAATTACTTGTATTAGCGCCAACCTAGGCGAAATATATACCCTAAGAAACAGTAAAAAAAAATAGTATAAAGAAAGAAACATAACCTTGATACATTTATTCCCGAAATGTAATGAATGCTAGAACAGACGGCTTTTTGTTGTCTGAAAAATTAAATGGAATGAATGAGCAATTTTTTTGTGACACCTTCACTTTTGTGATATAATTCGTAAGTCTAAGTTTTCACTGTGATATTTGATAAATAGATGTAAATTTTTCCAATGTAATCTTGGTTATTCTGGAGAAACGTGGTGAAATTTAATTGAGCAATCTTTGAATTCAAATTGTTCTCTATCTGGATGAGATTGTTTTTGTATTCATTCAAACTAAAGATATCTTGATTTTCTTCCAATGGTATAGGATCTGGCTTACTCTTTTTAAAATTAACTATCTTAAATCCGACAAATGTATGACAATTACGACAATAGACTGAGTTGACTAGTATTTTATCACTTAAGATTTCGGTATCATGATTTATTATTACGTATTCGGAAGGTGTTATATTATCAAATAGTTCTGTAGAGCAGTTATTACAACGGAATATACAATGGTTTAATGGGTGGCAAGATATGTTTGACATGGAGGATGCGAATTTAGATAATGGTTGAAAATGGACTGGAATACATTGGTCCACATGACTTGGATATTGAACTTCCATAGTGTATACGAATTAAGAGTTGAAGTGAATGGGAATGATTTCACTGGAAGATAGAATGTCAAAATATCCAACCCTAGGGATTTGGAATTTTATATAAGAATTTTAATCGGGGTTAAAATTTTATGGCTTATGATTCAAAGGAGGATTACATACCTATTCACCCGACACGTAAAGAGAAAATAACACCAAAGGGTTGAAATCTCGTAATTGGGAAGTACTCGGGGAAACTCTTAATTTCCGCAATGGACCGATTTGTTAATCACAAACATTTATTTTTAGCAATCAGATAGAAATTCAACTACACAATTCAATTACGAAATTTATTTTTTATGCACTGCTCCATTCTTTGTGTAACTAAATTTGTTGTTAAATTATACAACATTGACCTCAACAATATCGTTTAGCATAACATAAGTACCCCTTTGCTCCGCGATTACAACAATAAATATCAAAAAAAAATTTTCACCGAAAATACCGCCTTAACTGTCGTTCGTATTTTTAGTACTACAGAATTTCATTATGAATTAACCCAGTCTGCAGAATTAGTGACAACAGTCTAGGTGCATAAGGGGGCATTCTGATTAATAAGCTAATATTTTTTTGGAAGACTTTCTACTAGGTAAATGGTTCAATTAATGCGATTAGCTAATATTTGATACGAAAGTGTTACTTTGCATGAATATATGATAACCCCTCATGACGAATCTACAAAATACTGAAGGTGGGTTAGAAGTTTTGCATGGCCTGATTTTGGAAATCTAAGATAATTTTGTGGCGGGGAGGGAAATTAAAAAAGAAAAAGAAGAGGTGGAAATAGATTCCGACATCTCTCAACAGACTAAAATAAAGGAAATATCTTTTTCGCGCCTAACACCGAGGTAATATTCCCGAGAATATGGAGTTGACAACTGAGTGGTGCAGCTCCGCGCACTTGCATATATGTGATGACGATTGCAGTTAAGATTCAAAGCCTCCTATCAGGGGGAGGGTCATGAGTAATTTTGAAAATAACCAATTGCATTGCAGCTTGGTGGTGACTTTTGACCAAATCTCGATGAGCATGACTTGTGCGAACTATGATAAACTAAAACTGACTAAAAAGATTCCACAAACAGAAACTGGATGATTTTTCAATCAAAAGGCGGTTACACTTGCCTCGGCTGCAATTTTCTGGTTTCGGATCGGGCTGGATTTAGTTTTATCTCTAGTTGTTTTTTTTTGAAGTCTATCTTCAATTTACGAGAAGTTTCTAATCACGTGAAAATTGAATTTCCTCATGTCACGTGGGCAAGATCTATTGAAAATTTCTATTACTAATTACAATTTTTCAATAGGACTTGCAATCAGATATCTCCACCCCAGAACATCATACTTGAGTTTAAGATGACTAGCCATAATATTCAAATAACTGCCGATCATTTGGATTTCTTAAATGAACAATTGAAGTCGTTGAGTGCTCCAGAAATCATCAGATGGGCATACTATACTTTTCCTAACTTATATCAAACTACTGCTTTTGGATTGACTGGTTTAGTTACAGTAGATATAATTTCCAAACTATCCAAGGAAGTGGGCAGTGAAAAACACTTGATTGACTTAATATTCGTTGATACTTTACATCATTTTCCTCAAACTTATGATTTGGTGAACAACATCAAGGAAAAGTATCAACCAAATCTTCATATCTACAAGCCAATAGATGTTGAAACCGAAAAGGAATTTGCAACAAAGTATGGAGATCAATTGTGGGAAGTTGATGATGCCAAGTATGATTTCTTAGTTAAGGTTGAACCAGCTCAACGTGCATATAAGGAACTTAAAGTTAATGCTGTATTAACCGGTAGAAGGAAATCTCAAGGTGGTGCTCGTGGAGATTTGAAAATTTTAGAAATTGAAGAAACAAGTGGAATTATAAAGATAAATCCATTATGGGATTGGGACTTCAAACAAGTCAAGGCATATATTGATGATAACAAGGTGCCATATAATGAATTATTAGATTTAGGTTATAAATCTATTGGTGATTGGCACTCAACGGTTCCTGTTGCCGACGGTGAAGATGAAAGAGCAGGTAGATGGAAAGGCCAAGCCAAGACTGAATGTGGTATTCATGAAACTAGTAAATTTGCTCGATTTTTGAAAGAGAATCAAAAGTGAGTCAATGTGTATAGATCATAGTGTTCCTAATTAGGAAATAGCCGCGTGTAAGTTGCAAGTGGAATATATAGATAAGCAAAAAAAAAAAAAAAGATTCCGTAAAACCATTGCTCTGTAACATCTACCTATGTTGATGGGGTTGTTACAATTGGTGGTTGAAACTGTTCAATCACATTTAGTGCTATTTCAAATTAGTATAGTTGTCGTTTTAGCAATTTATTATTATGTGCTTGTCCCATTTATATTGTCTCCACTTCGTGCTATACCTGGGCCATATTTCCATAGAGTAAGTTATATTCCCTGGCTAAATGGACAACGAAACGGTACTTGGATCCAAAAAGTGTATGATCTTCATCAACAATATGGTAATATCTTGATATTGTCACCCACTGAAATTAGTGTGAATGGACATTGCAAATTCATCACTGATATTTATACAAAAAATTTCCCTAAATCTAAATTTTATGAAAACTTTAGAAATCATGGTTTTAAAGATAATATATTTGCAAGTTTAGAAAACAATCGCCATTTAAAATATAAGAAGCTTATTATGGCGTTATATAAAAAGCTGGCAATTTTCTCGCCATTGAACAATACTCGCTCGATACTTATCGATGCCCTGCGAGATCTAGTGCAAGCTGTATTTAAAGGTTCAGTTGAAGGATCTGAACCAGATTTATGGAACGCAAGAGCTGAATTAAATATTCATGGTAAGGGAAAAGTAGATCCAAATTGGTTTAACAAATCGGGGTGGTCCAACAACCTTGCAATCGATGTTTATACTCTCTTTGGTGCATTGGCCATGGATGTAGTTACCAGATTTGAATTGGGTAAAGACAGTGGAACTTCCCTTCTTCAATTTACTCAACTGAGAAAATTGATAGCATATCACTGTCAAGTATCAAGCATGGGATTTTGGACTACGCTTGCACCCAAATTTTGGAATTGGGTTGCTTCAAAAGAGATTTTGAAAGCAGCAGATGAGATTCTTAAATTTCAATTAAATCTATATAAGCATGCTGAATTAAATCCCGATTCTAATGGAAAGAACTTAACTACTTTGGGAACTTTAAAACAGAATGGTATTACTGGTGAATATGCATATTCTTTCCTTACGGATAATATATTTGCTGGACATGAAACTACTGCAACCCAATTGACATATTTATTTTACGAATTGTCACGACCAGTAAATTTCCCGTTACAACAACAATTAAGAAAAGAGCTTGCAGAAACATTTGGTCGACCCCTGTCTATTAACGACGTTATCGATGATTTAGAAACAGTTGATTCTCTTCCATATTTGAATGCTGTATTGGATGAAAATTCTCGGGTTCATACATCTATCCCAGGTGCGGAACCAAGAGTAGTGGATAGAAATTATATAGTAGAATTGTCGACTGGAAAGCTAGTTGAAATTCCTATAGGAACAACAATATCATGTCTTCCCTATGCTATCCATCGTCAAGAAAATGTGTTTCCAGATTCGAATAGGTTCATTCCTGAACGTTGGCTCGCCTATCCCGAAGAATGTGAAAAAGACTACCAAGCAAGAATCAAGTTACAAAAAAAGTATATGATGCCATTTGGTAAAGGAATTCGAATGTGTCTTGGTATGAATTTGGCATTAATTGAAATGAAATTAGCCATTGCTAATTTATACTGGCACTACTCTACTAAAATTGATCCTGATTGGTGTGCAATTACGAAATATAACACAAACCAGGCATCGGCGGAAATAAAAATTGGCCGAGCCCCAGCGCGTGGTGGTGCGCACCACGACCACCACCACCACCACCACGGTGGGAACGTTCCAAACACCGACGAAGATAAAATGATAATGTATGATGCATACACTTCCAGGCCATTGTATGATGAGTGTTGGTTGAGGTGGTACAGAGATGATTATAGTTTAACTTAAATTAGTATTATAATTTAGCAAGTATGCATATGTTGCTAAATGGAGGGGTAACTCGCATGGTTTGCGATATTTCACAAGCACCTTCGGTTCACACCGGTTACAAGAAAATGCTGCGATAAGAGGGAAAAATAAAAAAAAAAACCAAGGCGATCTTGACAGGCTTCTCTCCCGCACAGAATTTCCTCTTTGCCTTCGATTCTCTCTCTCCTTCTTCCCCCCCCCCCCTCCTTTTTCAACGTGCAACTAACCCCACGAAGAATAATCCTATACCCCTTTATTCTTATTGTATACCACATTAATAATCAAATAGCATGTTCCCTTTTGCCATTCCGTATCCACCAGAACAAGTACATGGGTACTGGGGTATTGCCACTTCTACTATTGATTGGTGTGAAGAAAATTACGTGGTATCGAGATATATTGCTGAAGCGGTCAACACAGTAACCAATTCAGTATTTATAGCCCTTGCCTCGTTTGCGATTATCCATGCATACAGAAATAAACTAGAACCAAGATTTTTATTCTCAGCTTTGGGGTTTTTACTAGTCGGTATTGGATCGTGGTTATTTCATATGACCTTGCAGTATCATTTTCAACTATTGGATGAATTACCTATGATCTATGCTACTTGTATCCCATTTTGGTCAGTATTTGCCGAGTTTAAAACAAAGAAACAATCAATGTATATTGGATGGGGAATATTCACAGCAGCCAATCTTTTAACAGTTATATACTTATACCTTAGAGATCCTACAATTCACCAAGCAGGTTATGGACTTTTAAATGTTTTAATTATTCTTAGGTCTACGTATTTAAAAGGGAAACACGTTCATGACAAAGTGGCTGGAAAGCAATTGGATAGAACTTGTGTGCTTGGTATTGGCCTTTTCTTGTTTGGCTACTTCCTTTGGAATTTAGATATTCATTTTTGTGATTTTGTTAGATTAACAAGAAGAAATTGGGGAATGCCATATGGATTTGTCTTGGAAGGACATGGATGGTGGCATATCTTTACTGGAGCTGGTGTTTATTGTTCGTTAGTATATCAAGAATATTTGAGATGTTTCTTGACTGGAACTGAAAAGTTTTATGAGTTCAAATGGGTTGGATGGTTTCCAATGATCAACTGTATAGATAAATTCGGGCTTGAAAGACATCGGTCAGTTCAAAAATTGGCAGAACAAGATGCTGTTTATTATGAACAGTATAAAAAGGATATCTAGAAAAGTTTTATAATAAAGCTATAATTTCTGAAATCAACTTGTCTGATTGTATAGCTTCTGATTCTTTGGATAAAATCTCCTTCAATTTGGCGATTGTAGTTGTGGAATCAAATTTACATTTGGTACCATCATAACATTCGGCTTTCCAAGATTTCAAGATCAGCTTTAATTTCTTGACCCCAGTAGTAACCTCTTCGGGTGAACATTTGGTTCGTTTAGATTGGATATATTCGTTATCAGCATCGTCTTGTTTTTCTTCCTGCAACTCGGAAGCTTTCCTCTTAGCCATGTTGATTATCTTAGTAGGGAACTTGACTAATTCTGCAACATGAATACCGAATGATTTATCTGAGATTCCTGGTTCTACTTTATACATTAACGTAATATCATCATCTTCTTTAGCATCAGTCTTTTCCAAATGAGCAACAACGTGTAGGTTATCTACTTTGTTGGGATATTTTTCTGACAATTGATTTAATTCATGGAAATGAGTTGCAAATAATGAAAAGCATTGTTTGGAACTGATCAAATGTTCACTTATAGACCAAGCCAATCCAAACCCATCATAGGTGGAAGTTCCTCTACCTAATTCATCAATGATGATTAAAGAATTGTGTGTAGCAGTAGCCAAGATTGAAGATGTTTCTAACATTTCAATCATAAAAGTTGATAATCCTTTCAATTGAGAATCTCCTGCACCAACACGGGATAATATAGCATCAAAAATAGGTATTTCTGGAATGAAATCGACATCGCTGGCAGGAATAAAACATCCAATTTGACTCATAAGGGCAATAACTCCAATTTGTCTAATATAGGTAGACTTACCTCCCATATTTGGACCTGTTATAATAACAAAGGACTTGCCCTTGGCATTAGAATCATTGGATAAGAAAACGTCATTGGCAATGAAGTTGATATCATCTTGAACTTCAAGTAAAGGATGTCTAGCTTCTTGCAATTGAAGCTTTCTATTTGTGAATTCAACTGATTCAACTTCTGAAGCCAATGGTTGTAATTTAGGTTTAACATAAGCAGTAGGGGCAATCACAGCAACATTGGCAAAACTATTCAATACATCGAGATGAGCAAGACTTAAACTTAAATTGAGGAAAACCAGACTATAAGTCAAGGCAATTTCTAATACTTCTTTAATAAGCTCCTTTTGCTTTTGGTTGTATTCGTGATAAGAATCATAATATTCTTGAGAAAGACCAACAAGTTCCTTGGTAGTAAAGAACACCCCAGCTTTAACCGTTTGTAATTCATTATACTTCTTTCCTTTATTTCTTAAAACAACCGAATCTATTCTTGTAACTCGGAAACACCAACCGTGTTGAATATGTTTCTCCAATTTCAATTTCTTGTCAACTTCCATATTTAAATCATCAGCAACATCAGCATGTAATTGTTTAATATTTGCCAAACTAGATTGTAATTTGTTATTGATTTCAACAAGAGAAGAGTCGAATTCAGGACGAATGTTGAAATCATTATGTAAAAGATCACCTGAATCTAAAGGTGAAAGATCGATTGTAGTTTGAACAAGTTCAGCAAATTTAGTCAATGATTGATAATATTTTTCAATAGGATCAAGCCAATATTTCTTGATATAAGATTTTAATTCTTCTTGGTCTGAACTTTCCAGTAAGGTGGTGGTCAAAGTATCGATTAAGTTAGGTAATGTTAACACCATTTGATATAACTTAACAACATCATCCAATTTCTTATTCTCGTTCCCAGTTGCTTTATGAATGTTTAAAGCAATGTTTTTGGTTAATCGTTTGATATCAGGAACTTGAGGCAAGATATCTTGAGTTACTGCCACTCTTAATCCGGTATTTTCAATCAAAAGTTCAACTAATGCTTGACGTTCTTGAATCAAATTCAAATTGGTTAACGGTTGCTTAAGCCATTGAGATAACAATCTTGAACCAGCAGTGGTTTTACATTTGTTTAGTAATTCAAATATCGATGTGATATTACCAGAAGAGCTCTTGTATGTTGAAGAACCAGCTTGTGGAAAAATATTCAATGCCTTCATGGTGGATGAATCCAATTTCATAAAGTTTGACAAATTGTATTTGTTGATTGTAAACGCTTTATCAGTGTTTAGTTCTCCCAATAAGTCAAGGTATTGAATAAGGGCATTACAACAGGATAAGGACAATGGGAAATCTAAACTGTTGATACCTTTCGAAGTTAAAGTAAGTTCTATGGTAGACTCATTATCATCTTCATCAACTACCAACTTGGTTAAATCCTGTTCAATATCTTTATGGTTGAATGATGACGACTTTGCTGCACTCACCACAATATTTCCAATCTTGTCAAGAACTTGAAATAATTTGATGATCTCAGGATTGCTATTTTCTTCCTGAGGGTTGTAATTGGAAGGCAAAATCACTTCTTTAACACCTAGTTGTAACATTAAACTTTCTAAATTGGAATATAACTCATTGTCATCAAATTCTGACAAGAGAATACTTGAATTCAGAACGTCAATCAAACAAACACCAACTTTCTTACCGGTTGCACCTGATTGAAACTTGACAGCAGCAGTAATTGGATTAGAGCAATCTTGAAACATTCCTTCAAGATTAACTTCGTATTCTTCTGATATAGCTTGCAAATTCCCAGCAGTTGCTGCAGTAATTAACTTGAAAGTTTTGTTATTATAAATCTCCACCTTCAAATGTTTGTCAATAAGACAAAACTTCAATACATTATTGGTGAAGACTTGGTGAGAAATTGTAACGTATCTATTCTTGTTTTGCTGGTTGTATTTAATCACAGACTGGGTCTTGTAAATATTGTCAGCAATTAAATCAGCATCTTCGTCTAGCGCAGTGAAATAGTCTTTATTATGGTCAATGAATCGAATGACAAAACTGTCCTTTGGAGGTAACTGTGAATACTTTCGATAGTACAGTCTTTCATCACCGTTATCAGTGAATTTAAGATCAGGTCTTGTACTTGACATGGTTGCCTATGTTAAAAGAGTATTGAATTCTTGCAACAGCAACTTAAGTCAATATCAAAAATAACAAAAAAAAAAAACGCGCGCGTGTATTTTGATTTTTCCACACCGCGTAAGTTTTCCAGGGGCAAAATACGTCCAGTAAACTGCACCAACACTAATACCGAAGAACAAAATTTAAACTTTCTTGGCGTTGCAACAGATTACGTAAATTTGCAGTCAATTGAGCTGTCTACATAATACTACGGTTTAATCAAGTTTAAGCTATATTTTATTATATATTATATTCCTAACCTGCACACTTAGTATCTGTATTGATCAGATTGGTAGTCAAATGGTGGTTGAGAATCTGGGTGCCATTGTTCTTGGTTACCGTAGTGGCTGTCATAAGCTCTTTGAGCATTGTCAACAGCTTGGCTCTTGGCTTGATCTCTGTCCAAGTAATCTAAACCCTTGGTTTCAAATAACTTGTCAACTTCACCACCAGCAATACCAGCTAATAATTCCTTAGCGAAAGCGTGGCTAACTGGCTTACCTTCCTTTCTTTGCTTATCTTCAAAAAGCTTGACAGCTTCGAAGGAAGCAGCACCAGCAACTAATTCGTGAGAGAATTTACCTTCGTGCTTTTCACCGTAAACTTGTTCGTGGTTGTCCTTTAAGAAATCAAACATTGTGTAGTAGTAATATTAATAAGATTGGGATTAATCCTAAGAAAAAACGAAATAGAAATCAGCTGGTGAAAAATTGGACGACAGTTCTGCTATTTATACTTTTCTCCAACAAATGGATCATCAACAATAGGGGGCGTAAACTGATCCATATAAATTTCTGTAAGGTTCGAAAGTAGAGGGGGGAGGCTTTTGGGTGAAATTTCACATAAAATAATTGCCCAGAAAGGAAGGATGTAGCAGTTTATGACGTGGCCTTTAGTTCGTCTGTTTCAACAATTGTTTCTGGAACAAGGCTTAGAAAATTGTATACTGGTTCAAGTTCCACTTTGCAATATCACAATAAAATTTGAAACAACAGAAGTTTGTTCTGACCGGTTTTGTGTTTGATAGATTACAGTAAAATTCTATGTCAAATTTTTGAGTGTCCAACCAACGTGGAGAAAAAAAAAGTTCGTGGGAGGTTTTTTTTCATGACCGATTAGGGGCGATGCCGCATTGCGCCCATTCACGGATTCCGATTGGAAGAGTAATACAACCAGGAATATGTTGTAGAAGACAATCATTACGCTTATTATTTGAAATTGAAATGTTAATAAACCTTCTAATGTTTAGATAATAGGTTGTAGATTGTAACTAAGTCGCATGCATTATCTATTGTTTTTCGCTAATTTTTTGCAGAAAATGGTTTCATTTTCAACATGACAATACCCAATATCCATTAAATACCCGAGTACTTAGTAACAAAATTACGACGTAAAGACCCTACATCCACGATTAGAAGCGGGGCTGAGTCAAGAATCAATTTTATTGGATAGTTTACATGAAAAAGGGTTAACCTAATTGGAAGAAATGGTATTTGTAGGAACATGTTGTATAAGAAGTATTCAATATCACCTGCAGTATCACCTATCAGTAACAGTTAAATAAAATGAATACAGATTGGAACATTGGTAGAAAACCTTGTACCCGTCGCTGGAAAGGCTAGACCCCAATTTATTGGTTCTCAGTTTTCTTAATGCAAGCAATATAGAGCGAGGCGGTCATACACACACTAACCACATTTAAACTAATTACACCCCCCAAAAGAATGACTTCTGGTGTGTACCTGTATGAATGGATGATATTTTAAGATTGGCTTCTAAACAAAAGTGTAAACGCCAAAAACAACCAGTGCTGAGTTGTGTAATAGTTCAGACGTAGATGAATTATTACACGAAAATAGTCATTCAAATGGTTAGGCTAATTAATAACGACATGCACTGTAATTGAAGTGGAGCTACAATAGCTAAAGAATACGGCTGATTGAATAATCTTTTTATAACCATCACAGTTGTATTGTTTGTTTTAGTTTTACGATTATTTTTTTGAAGGCTTTTTTTAAAATTTCAATCAACGGTGACGCGGCAATATACCAAGACTTTAATTTAATTTCACCAGCTTCGATTGAATAACTTTGTTTAAATATCTTGGCATTTGAATTCATGTTGCAATTTAAGGTTGGAACATGAAAAAAAAGAGGGATGTCATCAACCTTGATGGTTATTTCTCCAATTTCAGCACAAAAATTCAGCCGCACATTCACCTTCATTAACCAAATCTAGGGCGAAATCATACAAATATGAGATATGGCGATATTTAAGGTTTTAAATATGCTTGGCAACACCACCAGGGTGTTTGGGATGGAATAAATTGTATTTAAAAGGAGGGAAGTCATCCAAGTGGGATTGCACTTACAAGATATGGCTTTTTATTATCATCGAAACTATGAAGCTTTTACCATACATAAGTTTATTAGCCTTAACTTCTGGAGAAGTAGTTAGGGTGACTAAGTACATTGCTCCTACTTTAGTCAAAAGGGTAGATCCAGTACAAACAACAGCAGTAACTAGTTGTCACTTCCATGACAATGTTCAATTTTGCATTGATGGTCACGGAAATGAAGGTTCAATGGTCCCAGCACCTACCGACAAAGCCAATGCACCTAAAGAGTATACTGGTTGTCATAGTCATGGTAGTGAAGTGTTTTGTTTACACAACGGGAAAGATGTTGAATTTGTGAAATTGGATGAAGCTGGTGATCATGAAGAAACTGGGAAATCAGGAAAAAAGTGCCACTTTCATGCAGGTGTAGAACATTGCGTAGATGATGGCGAAGAGAAGTCAGTTCAATGTGACCGTGTTGACCGAGATTACAATATCCGTCTTAGAATTGGGTTATTATTTGTCATATTAGTTACTAGTGCCATTGGGGCTTTTGGTCCAATGTTTTTAAAGAAAATGTTTAATTTGGATTTGGAAGGAATGATAATTACTATTATCAAACAATTCGGTACTGGGATCATTATATCTACTGCATTTGTTCACCTTATGACTCATGCCGATTTGATGTGGTCAAATGCCTGTCTTGCTGATAAGATTCATTATGAAGCAACAGGAACTGCACTTACCATGGCAGGAATATTTGTTGCGTTTGTAATTGAATTTATTGCAAGTAGAGCACTTAAGTCAAGAACTGCAAAAACACAACAAGTACAAGATACTGAAGTTTCTAGAGATTCAAAAGAAGATCAAACTTCGATTGTTTCATCCTCTCCTAGTTTAATTTCATTGCATGGAATTTCTTCCAAAGACAAAATATCCGTGGTTATAATGGAAGCTGGGATTATTTTCCATTCAATTCTTATTGGTATAACATTGGTTGTTGCCGGTGATGCATATTTCATTACATTGTTCATTGTTATTGTATTCCACCAATTTTTCGAAGGTCTTGCCCTTGGTTCAAGGATTGTGGGGTTGAAGAATACTGCCCTTATGACGAAATTGATCATGGCTCTTGTGTTTGCATTAATAACACCAATTGGTATGGCTATTGGTATTGGTACATTGAAAACATTCAATGGTAATGATCCTTCAACTTTGATTGCATTGGCCACACTTGATTCCTTTTCCGCAGGGGTATTGTTATGGACTGGTTTAATTGAAATGTGGAGTCAAGATTGGTTGCATGGATATTTGTCAAATGCACCAATTACAAAGACTATTTTTGCAATGTTGGCATTGGTTGCAGGGTTAATCTTAATGAGTTTACTTGGTAATTGGGCTTAGCTATTGTATACTCTATTTTAGTGTTTATTAAAAATTCGGAGATAACTTTTAAAATTCGTGTAGGTTTTTTTATAGAGACATCGGAGATAAAGGAGTTAATCAAATTAGCACAAAACAAAAAAAGAAACATATATAAACAGGGGAAGATTACGCCATGAATGCAAGGCTCAGAAATAATCAGGGAATACTCTGTAATCATTAATGTCGTCATTTTTAGCTCGTTGGATTGGTTATCTTTTATACAATTTTAGAGGTAGAGATCATGGTCTTGCTGTAAGATTGCTTAACCTTGAAGATCAAAACCCAGAAATTGAATTAACTAGTGCGGTATTTAACGATAATGATTACATGCCACTCAGTAGCGCTGGTACAGGTGTTGGTGATAATCTTTCCCCTGAATTGAAAATTGTCTTACCAAGTGGCGATTCTGCTACAGGCTCGTTGGTATTAGTTTGTCAGGATCTTGATGCTCCCTTGCCAAATCCAATTACTCATTTGTTTGCCTACGATATTCCAACCAATAAAACTGAGTTCAAACAAGGCGATTTGAACGAAACAGATACCCCTGAAGGGTTCAAATTTGGTTCAGGTGCATTTGGACGTGTTGGATATATTGGTCCTCGTCCTATCCCATGCCATGGCGATCATCGTTACATCTTCCAAGTGTTTGCAATTAATGAAAAGGCAACAAAGGAGTTCCGGGAATTAGATACCAGACCCGACCTTTCACGTGCCATTGAAATAATGAAAGATAACGTTATCAGTTACGGGAAACTTACCGGATTATATAAACGTGATTAGATTATAAATCGTTTATAAAAATTTCAAGTAATTTTTTTTTTTTACAACCAAATGCAGCGCCCCCTCTTTCTGTGTTATTTAAAGTGATCATTGTTCTTGTTAGCCACACAAATTTAAAACAATGAATTGGCTATAAAAATCTTTTTCCTTTCTTGTAAACAACGAAAGAACGTTGGAACGTTATGAGTGGTGGCCCTACTGTTCACACGAAAAGGTCTAAATATTCTTCTCCCTGTGATTTATGTTCTAGTCGTCGTATCCGATGTTCAGAACAAAGGCCGTGCCTAGGATGTATTAAACGTGGGGTGGAATGTACTAACAATAGAATTAAAAAGAAGACTGGTCCAAAGGGCAGTCGAAATAAGCAGAACATTACCAACAAGTTCCCTTTAAACGGCAATGGTCTTCATATTCAGATGATGCTGCTGGTACTGCTGCTGATTCAGCTGCCACGACAAGAACTGTCTCAGCTGCTGGTACTGCCACCACAAATCAATCAACACACACTGCCACCACACCTTGGGTTTAATCCTGGCGGTGAACCATTCATATTCAAGTATCCTATCTCCACTATATTGAAGTATCTTGATATCTACCAAAAGATGTTTTATGGTATTTGGCCAGTTTTAAATATAAATAGGCTAATATCACAGTTGATATCGATCAATTTCCATGAAGACATGACTCGTGAAGCATCGATTATTTACACGCAAGTGTTAGCCATTTGTGGGGCAATTTCAATGCAAGTTACATTTCTTACTGAAAAGGCAAAGTTAATTCAAGGACAAGGTATAGATGCCGAATCGTGTATAAAAGAATGTATCGCAATTCGTGAGAAGTTTAACCATAAGTTAGATCTTGATGATGATATCTTGACAACATCATTATTTCTTTATGAATATTATATAAACACTTCTGGTGGAACAAAAGCAGCCATGCTTTATTTACGCGAGGCAATATCTATGGCTCAAATAATGGGATTGCATGATACAGCAACATATAACAACAAAACTGCAGGGGAAATTCACAGACTAAGAAAGTTGTATTATATGTTGATGATTACCGAGAGGTATATGTCTATTGAAGATGGATTGCCAGTTATATTGGATGCCTGCATTCCATTTCCACTGTTGGAAGATGAAGAATATCCTGATTTACTTACTGGGTTTACCGAATTACTTAAGTTATTTTCCGTACCTGACAAATCATTCTTCGATAAGATGGTTCAAATAAGGAAAATGTCAAGTAATATGGAATTTCTTTCTAACTTCTTCCATGAGTCTTCAACACCACCTTCTCAACGTTGGTTAGTTGATGTGGATAAACGCCTTGACAATATCAAGGTTTTGAATTTTATTTCTGATATTCAGAAAGTTAATATATTGTTGTCTAAACATTGGATGAAATCCTTGAATTGGCATATTGCTTATAAAAATGGATTATTGGATAAGGATAGTACTGAAGAAAATAGCTTAAGTTTAACATATCCGAAAACTATCGCACATGAATTTTTGAAATCAGTGACTAACTTACCAATTTTTGCATTTGAATCCAACGGACCAGGCGTGGTTGTTAAGTTGTTAGAAATTGCTCAAGGCTTAGCCGATTCCATTAATGACATGGCGTTAGTACGAGAAAATTACAATTCAATTCCAATTCATGATACATTACATTCAATTTTCACTTTGATTGCCAAATTCAAAACTGAAGTAACTTTACCAACAGAGTTATATAGAAGAATTGAAACAATGGTTAATAGTTATTCAGTACCAAGACCAATTGGATATCTCGAAGAACTTTCATCCGAGTCTGATCAATCAGAAGACAATCAATATTCACGATTCAGGGAAAACTTGGATGACGACTTTATTACAAAGTTGAATGATTCTGTATTTAATAACTCCCAGGATCCATTCCCATTTGAAGAATTGGAAAATACAAATGATCCAAAGGAGATTTATAATAGGATTACCAGCAGACTAACTCCGCAGCAGATGGAAACTTTTGAGTATTTATTAGCATCAACTGTCAATTCAACACCAAGAATGCCCTCACCTTTATCAACTCAACTAGGACTCAACAAACAATTTAATGTGTAAGCTTTTAATAATATGTATAATTTGTATAATTTATGAATAAAATGGGCACTTTTGTAGTGCATTTGAATAGACGCTCTAATTAATACTCCCAGAGGGATCTGTATTACTAGCTACATTTACCACAAAAACATTCTTGATTTTATTGAAACTGAAATCAACAGTTCTTTGATTGGTAAGTCGATATAGGAATCATGCCATCGATGAAAATTGAGTTGCCTTTTTTTTTTTTGCACCCTATGCAAAAATTCGTATATTATTTTTTGTGTCTTTTTTTTTTGCTCATAACCAACTTCCTAAATTGGATGTTTAATAAACATTTGAAATTTTTGAGGGTTTTGATTTGAGATATAGACTCGTCTGAATTAGCCAAATCAAGGTAATCAGAACAGCTACTTTATCACTACCTCACCATGATATCTTCTGAATATGATGCATTAGAAATAATTGGTAAAGGATCCTTTGGTACTGTACGAAAAGTTCGTCATAAAACCACGGGGGAAATCCTTGTTCGTAAGGAAATTGAATATACTTCTATGAATGATCATGAAAAGCAACAACTTGTTTCTGAATTGAGAATCTTACGTGAACTAACCCATCCTAACATAGTCAAGTATTATCATGACGAACATTTACCCGAACGAAAGTCAATTCATATATATATGGAATATTGTGATGGTGGAGATTTAGCCAAAGTTATATCCAATTTTAAAAAGAATAAGGAGTCCATACCGGAAGAATTTATATGGCAAGTTTTAGTTCAAACTCTATTAGCATTGTATCGATGTCATTATGGACAAGATGCACCAAAAGTCAACTTGTTTGGAAGTAGTAAACTGCCGAATGTTAAAGGGGAAGCTGTTATACATAGAGATATAAAGCCTGATAACATATTCTTGATAAACTCAGGTAAAACTGTTAAACTAGGAGATTTTGGATTAGCCAAGATGTTGACCTCGAAGAATGATTTCGCAAAGACCTATGTTGGTACTCCTTACTATATGTCGCCAGAAGTATTGATTGACAATCCGTATTCTGCCGTGTGTGACATCTGGTCATTAGGATGTGTCCTATATGAAATGTGTAGTTTACAACCTCCATTTCAAGCCAAGACTCATTTACAATTACAAAGCAAGATTAAATTAGGGGTAATACCCGATTTACCAGATACTTATTCTTCTCAGCTTAAAATGATTATAAAGGAATGTATTACGGTTGATCCAGACTTACGTCCTTCATGTTTTGATCTTATGGAATCACTTTCGATCAGGTTTATTAGAAAGGAAATGGAATTAAAAGAGACTACTTCTAATTTAAATGAATTCCAAACACAATTGTTGACCAAGTCAGAAGAATTAAAAAAGAAGGAAATCAACTTGAATGGCATCGAAAGAAAATTATTGACTCAAAAAGAAGAATTGGACCAGAATTTGATTATCCAAAAGAAATATCTTAAAAAGCTTGAAGATGAGTTAAGAGAAGAGTTTGAATTGAAGAAAAGAGCCATGGACCTAGAAGCAAAAGAAGTAAGATTAGGATATCAGCGAGAATTCAAATTGGTGGTGGAACAAGAAGTTCAAGAACGAGTTAAGGAGATACTTAATAACGAATATAGAAAGAATTTAGCACAACAATCGCCCCGAGTTTACCATGCTGAAGTTCAATCACCTAAACCTAGAGGTCCTAAGGAATTATTTGAAGAGGCCAGGAGAACTCCCTTGAAAAACAGAAATAATGAAGATATAGATCATAGGACATCACCCATCAGATATCAAGGTGCCATCAAGAAAAGAGTAACTGATGAACGAGAACGATTAAATTTAGACAAGAGACATACCCCAGAATTTGAAGAGGTTTACCTTCGAAAGAATTATCGTTAATATATAGTCTAATCAACCCACTTTTCTCCAGTTAAACTTTCATAAGCTTCAATATACTTTTCTTTAGATTTGATTGCAATTTCTTCACTCATTTTAACTCCATCTTTACCGGCAAGATTGTTGGAAGTTAACCAATCTCTCAAGAATTGTTTATCATAAGAGTCTTGAGACTTACCAAGTTCAAAGGTTTTTGCATTCCAAAATCTTGAAGAGTCAGGGGTTAATACTTCATCAACAAGAACTACATTATCTTGAGCATCTAATCCAAATTCAAACTTTGTATCGGCGATAATAATTCCCCTGGTTTTAGCAAATTCCTTAGCCTTGGAATAAAGTTCAATAGCTTTACTAGCTAACTTGTCACACAATTCTTGGCCGACAATCTTGGCTGCTTGTTCAGGGGATATATTTTCGTCATGTTCACCTTGTTCAGCTTTAGTAGAAGGAGTAAAGATCGGGGTTGGGAATTCTTGAGATTCTACTAAACCTTCTGGTGCAGGTAAACCGTGGACGGTTCCAGATTTCTTGTACTCTTTCCAAGCAGAACCGGTAATAAATCCTCTAACAATAACTTCTAAGGGAATTAATTTCAATTTCTTGACGAGCAAGGATCTGCCAGATAATTGAGCTTTGTACTTTGGTTGAGATAATTCTTGGGGCAATTTAGCAAATAAATGTTCATCATCGTTATTGGATAAAATCAAATGATTTGGAATTGCATCACCTAAAAAGTTGAACCAAAATTCAGACAATTTGGTCAAGATCTTACCCTTGTTTGGAATACCATTACTCATTATAACATCGTAAGCAGAAATTCTATCAGTAGCAACAAACAATAAAGTGTCGTTATCAACTTGATAAATATCTCTAACCTTACCTCTGGCTATCAATGGCAAGATACTATCCAAATTGGTTGAAGTGAGTGAGTCTGACATGGTGTGAATACGATTTGAGTAGTGAAGAACAGGATGTAATTTGAGATGGCCAGTTTTTTTTTTTTTTGGGGGGGGGGGGGAGGTGTGAAGATGATGGAACACAATTTATTATCGCGAAATTTCAAAATGACTCTGTTCGAGAGAGTCAAGGCTAAGCCGCAGTGAAAAATATCTATATCTATAAACTCAACCAAACATCCCCATAATATGCCATTATATCCTTTGCCGTATCGTTGAATGTTATTATCTGTCCAAACTCTGGGTTATCATCACCACCAATTCGTGAATATGCGCAATATAGCTTGGATCTACAATATCTACGATCTGGAACCCATCCTCTACTTGGTTGATTATCACGGTTTCTCATGTAAGTGAAGGTTGGTGGTATTGGTGGAATTATACCATGACTTGGTCGAAGTAGTGATTCAAAGATCAGTCGAAGCTCTACGGGATCATTTGAAAACCTAGCACCAATGCTTGCTTCCTTGTTATAATCTACCATTTTAGCACGTTCACAAAATCTGAATCCAGAATTTATCCATAGCAAATGTCCATCGTGGGCACTTAAATGGGCAGGATGAGAAGAACAAATTTCCTTGGTGGGTTCGTCCTCCTTTGAGAAATTACCAATTGCAGCTGCAAAATTTGGTTCAAATTCATATGATTCATCCCCATCGAACGCCATACCTAACCAATAATACTCTTTTTCTCCATAAACTTCCCGATTCACAGGTTCAAAGAAACTTAATTGCAACATCATAAGTAAGGACCTGAAATGTTGTTTCTTATTGAATAATACTAATCCTGATTCCATATAATGACCCAACCCTTTAAAAAATTCTCGATTCAAAGTATGACTTGTCATCATGGGGATATCAAACATTAAGTTATCAATAATGCTTGGTCCCAAAGATTTGAAAAAGTTTATTGAATCTTTGCCACGGAATTCCAGACTTCTATCCTTGAAGAAATACGCTCCAGTATCTTGATATTCTTTGATTTTGAAGAAAAATTCGGGACTTTCAAGGATTACACTGTCACAATCAATTAACATAAATTCTTCAAATGAATTGAAAATATTTGCCAAAAGTTTCTTTGTGAATCCGTTGAATCGTGGCCAATAAGCTGGTACAATTGAATTTTTAATATTAACAAACCAAATATCCTGACGCGGTAAACCTTCACCTGGCGTCCAATAGTTGTTTCCAAGAATACTGGCAACTTTATTATATGAGAATGGCAATTGGGTAAAATCATCACGGGCAGCAGCAAGGATTCTCTGTTTTGATTCAAGTGAAAAATCTTCATCGACTAATATTTGAATGGGGTATTTATTCTTTAATGCTCGTAATACCCGGATTAATCTTTCGGTATTCTCAATATGTTTTTCACCTATTGTTAATACAATACCTCTACCATTGAACTTCTCTTGGAATCTATTGAACCAGTATGGGTTCAACAGAATGGGCTCAGGTGCTCCTGGTACATCGAAATAAGTTTTCCCCGTCCAATCTTCATATATTGGCGCTTCTCCTGATAACCAAGGATATATTCTTTTCTCGAACGTGTGAGATCCTTTAAAAAGATCAATGCTGTTGTCCTTCAACAATGCCTCATTGTTTTCAGTCAAGGGTTTTTGATTTTGGAAATGTTGGTCTTTTGGTCCTATGTAACATTTATTAAATACTCGTAAAATTGAAATAGTGTCTCTAATTTTTGGTTGATGTCTCACAAAGTTTGCTTTTTTATATTCTCTTCTGATTGTATCCTCATTTTTGTTGGCCCCCATTTCTCTTTTAAACCGGGCAAAATCAGGAGAATTGAACTGGGGAGCGAAATCATCATTTGCATCAAAGGAATAATTTGGATCTATTGAATATAAAGTCTTGAAGTAAAGATCACATCGTTGATTGAAATCCAAGGAAAGGATCGAATCAATATTATGGTTTTGTAGCATGATATCATATACTGACGAACGTTTATCGACCAATTCTTGTTTTAGTTGTGAAACAACCTCATCACTGTTAAGATCAAATGGGGTCTGTGGTTGGTCATCTAGGATGGCGTAGGAACCAATCTGTCGTTCTATTTTATTTTGGTTAGTTATGTACAACCAAAGAACTACCAACAGTACTACTCCACCAATTATGTTGCTTCTAATACTTCTATTTCGCATACGGACAGATGTTAAAACATTTAAGCAAGGTTGTAAAAAGAGTAAATAAATAAAAAAAAAAAAAGAAAACTTTTTTTAATCAAAGCAGGGTTCAATGAATAACACGTCGAGCTTAGGAGCAAGAATAAATGGCCTATTGTAATGACATTGTGATCTTTGTGGCTTATGTCGTGAAATTAAATGCGATTCGTAGTATGGGGGAGAATAGAAAAGTGCAAAGTGCGAATTATTTTAGCAAACTTTTTTTTTTGCCATCTAACATATTTATTTCTTTTTTTAGATCTAAGACAGAGATTATTTAAATTATGAACGTTGATTAGACTTGTACATTGGGAAAATTAACCCCAAAAATATCCTAATAAGAGAATATATCATTTTCAATAATAAATTTAAGAACTTTTGAACGTATACTCTTTTCTGGTGTAACCAACTGTTCTGAAATTATTTATTATTTAGATTCATTCCGTACAAAAAAAAAATTCCATTAATAAAAAATATTTTACGTAATTATTTGTAGAGCATAAAGAGATACGCAGATTCAGAAGGGGGGTATGGCCCAAAGTGCAAAATGATTGGAAATTTGGGAAAATTCATGATCTAATGCTACAGCATTGATTATTTTTTTACCGCCAAAGCTTTAATGCTTTTCAATTCCTCCATTTTAGCATGAAATCTCTGGTTGGGTGAAAACTTGCCATAGCCACTATCTGTGACAAAGCACCCTTTTACTTTTTTTATTATTTTTTACATAGCCTACTCATTTTGTAATTCACAAAAATACCTCAATTTATAACCAGTATAATGTAATTTGAACCTGCCCAGGTTTGTAAGAACTGCCACGTCGGAAATTAATCGGAGATCTAGATATGATTTGGTATCATGCAAGATTTTTCTGGGCCGCGCGCTTAATTTGCGTTTAGATCGTAAACCTGCGTGCCGTTTTAATTAAATATGTTGCTCTTTAATATTTTAATTGCTAGCCTTTACCATACAGTTGGTAACAATTAATCTAATCAAACTACAACTTTTAGAAAAAGAAAATATGTTTGTATAATTATTCGAAAAAAATTAGCAAATATACCAAAAAATGATCATGTTGAGGATGTAAACATTTTATCGGGTGCACAAGGGGTGATGTAGAAGATATACAAGGTCGGATAGTCAAGATCAGGTTAATGGTGAAATTCACAAATTTAGATTACCAGTCATTGATCTTATCCAGTGGTGCCAACGGAGAAAAGAAAGGAGGGGATTACAATGTAATGACGAATCCAAGGATGCTGATCATGCAACAGGAATAGATTCTACTGAAATTAAAGAAATTGCTCCAGTTAGTAATAAAGATAAGGAGGGAGAATCTACCGATTTCCTAGACAGTGTCTCTAACATATAATGCATTTCCAAAGAATGTATAATCCTCCAATTACTAGATGCCTAATGGTAGATTAGAAACGACCGAGTATTCTCTAGAGGTATCCGAACGTTTTGATTTAGACGAGGAAGCAGTTACAGGATCCATTAGTATAAAGGTTAGAATATGGATTTCTATTGTTACAACTAATACTTGTATATCCACATCATTTTTAGGATAGATTACAAGAGCAGATAAAACTATAAACAGTTCTGGCACATTGTGTATATCAAAACCAAGATTCTCTACACAACAAAAGTAACTAATGGTGATATTAAACCAAGGATTCATACAATAAGCATTGATTGGATTAGTCCATACTTTGATCAGTCTGTTAAAAGTAGTAGCAAATCAAGTTATATTTATCACAAGTACAGCAATTAAAAATACCAACGACAATTTATCATAAGCTCAGATCATTGTTTCTAGTGATGATACAATAAAAATCTATCCAGATCCTACAACCACCAAACTAACAGTCCCTGTACATGAATAGATGTAAAAGAGTCGAATCTAATTAGAATAGGGATCACCATCCTGTTATTTGCAATATTAATTGTTCCAATCACAGCAATGTAATATTCAAGTATCATCTGGTGTATTGATTAAGATTAAATAGAATAATCATTTGATATATACTGTTATAATTCTAAAATACATCATATTGAAGTTCATATAATGTCAGTGTAGGACAAAATTTCGTTAATTGCTTAATTATCTTTTTCATAAATGTATGCTCGATATACATCGATAATATCAATTGTTCAAATGGTATAAATATCCTCATAAATTATAAAAACAGTGTGGTAGATTAGTAATGTACCTTTTTTTTTTCCAGCTATTAGTTTGACAAGTGCAATAAACTCGCTTGTTAATACATAATCCAAATTCTAGTTTTAGTACATCTACATAAATGAGGTACCTAGTACAACCTTAAATGTATCAACAAAATAGTGTGAATGATATAGTATTCTTCCTATTGAATAAAACTTGGATTCTTTGAATGTTTGAATTGTTAATATTAGAATTAACAAATATGAAATTGTTGGAACCTATTCAAAAGTGATTTTGTAGAATATGACTAATTGGAGTAAAAAGCGAGTTTAGTTGGTTATAATTAAGCTGATTCCACATGAAGCAGCATAAATGGGATTGTTTTTATTATCCCTTTTTGTTGAAATAACAGGTATAGCGAAATAAACAATCATCTGTATTTTTTTTTCTTTTGGCCAACCTACACTACTGCTTCGTTTGTTAAGTAATTATACTTATTACCATTCAAATCAATAAATAATATCATTGGTAAACAAAAACTATAATATGAAAATAATACGCTCTGCATATGAATCCTTAATGCAGACATTTTCATACGAAATAATACTTTCCAATTTCAAATCCTGGTTGTGTAAAATCAAATAAAAAAAAGCCGCATATGGCTGTTTTAGCTAATCTATACGATATGAATCAGTGGGAGAAAAAAACTTGGGAGAGCATTTGCCAAGCATTTGCCAAGCATTTCATCAATATATTCAGGTACAAATGAACACAGGGGACCAGTTTATTAAATCCACTAAGATAGAGTTGCTTGGCACTTCAAAGTGAATAGAAAAAAAAAACTAGGAAATAAGGTATTGCTTTTTGATTGTTAGCTAAAAAAATAATACCGTAACTTTACCTTGTTTGCAAAACTGTGCCTTTCAAATTAGCTGGCTAACAAATTAACTCCTTGAAGCTTGGTCAACCATACGAACGAGGTTTTTTATAGAAACAACATATCTTTTTGAATTGTGTTTCAGGTTCTTGCTTCAAGCTGCATTTGCGAGGTCATAAATGCCGAAGACAAGCTTGATTCATGATACCTTTGTGCTTGTTTTGATTCCTTTCCGTCACAGGTTTTGGGACTTTCAGCCGCGTTTAACCTTTAGAAAGGAGGGTACTGATCGTTCCTTGCCTCAAGTGGGGTCGTTGGTATTGCAACAAAGAAACATGATCTTCGTTAGTGCCAAGACGGTATCGAGTTTTGCAACCGTTGTAAATGCAACAAAAAAATAGATTTCGTTGCAAACAACCACCAACAATAGTAAAGTTTAAAATATATTTTTTTGCGCAGGCCAAAGCTTTAATGTTTACAAGATAGACTAATAACTTGGTATTTCTTATAGGTTTTGAGCATCTTTGGGATGCGTGCTAAATATAGGAGGAGGTAATCCAGAGTTGTTAATGCACGTCGTTCCTAATTTAGTACCATTGTTTCAATTTTAGTTACTATACGCAAAGATCGTAAGATTGATTGATAATCCTTTTCTCCATTGTTTAAATAAAGTAGAACGTGTCTAAATTAACCTCAAATTTATAATTTGAAACAAACTTTATAACAGTATAAATTACATTTACATTTGAAAACATTAATCCTTGTAAAGAGTTCCAATGAAAACAAGAAGCTATCCAATTGGGAATTAGCATACTGGGAAATTCTCTTTAAACATGAATTTTCACTGAAGAGGAATATAATCAAACATGTGTCAAGAGATGTGGTTTGTATAATAATAAATTACATGTAACTATATGTAGTTCCAAAACCATTAGCTGATTTTGTGTTTCTTTTAGTTCACCCCATCTGAAGCACCTTGATAAGTAACCTTCTTTTTATACAATCCTTTCTTGTAACTTACCAAAAATACCTATTTGTAACGAGCCCAAAAAGCGTATCCACATTCATGTATATGGCGTAATAAGTGCGATGTACACGAAGCATCCTGAATATTCTACCTTCTATACAATTGTTTCTCAATTGTACTTAAACAGTCACATTTAAAGATATTTACTAAAATCATTCCATTTGTTTTGAATACTACTTTTGTTTACTACTATCTAAAAGTTAATTCAAATTTATAATTATACCCATTGTTCTAAACGTGCAGACCATATTTTCCAGGTTTGTATACAATTACATTCTCTCAGTTGGTATATATTATTGCCCAATTCCCAATTTAATAGATTCTTCTTCAGGTGTTTTATTTTTCTAATTATAGAAGCATAAGCCGTCAGCCGTTACATTCGTTTTAAACGTTTATGAGAATACAATGAAATTAACTTCAATCATAGCAACCACGGCTTTATTGACATACGCTATTACTCTAAATGTTGACTATTTAATTCAACGAGATCAAGTTCCTGTAGTAGAGTTGGGTATTGATGGCGACACATTTTCAATTCCTACCATTATTGCTAAGAGAGCAGACGATGATCCAGATGCACCAGATGAAGATATTGATTCATCTACCACTGAAGAATCTACCACTGAGGAATCCACAACCGAGGAGTCTACTACTGAGGAGTCTACAACTGAGGAGTCTACAACTGAAGAATCCACCACTGAGGAGTCCACTACCGAAGAGACTACAACTGAAGAATCTACTACTGAAGAATCTACAACTGAAGAATCTACCACCGAGGAGTCTACTACTGAGGAGTCTACCACCGAGGAGTCCACTACAGAGGAGTCTACA